CGATACCGGACACAAGATCAGTGTTGAATGCCAACATTCATGCCTCCCTGACGAAAATCGACGTTGAGGTCGTCGCTTGTCTTGTTGTTCGTCGACGATGAAGCACTCGGCTGAAGCCTCGGCCACAGTCGTGTGCGACCTCTGTTTCTCGTCAGTGATGCATTGACCAAGCGTGTGAGCAGACGGCTACAGTTGCCCTCGACACGCATGTCTCGATGTGCTGGGCCTGGCTTATATTGCGACAACAGTCTCGATATGGTGCAACCCATGGGTGGAAGAGGTCGTCGTTCAGGCATTGAACATTTGACGACCTCGCAAGAGAGTGTAGTGTGATGTTACCACGAAGTCGTAGTGGTATATGTATGCCAGTTGGTCGATTGTGAAAGGGTTGACTGTGAAAGAGCAACGCAAAGCACAGATGTCATCTTCTGCAAGATTTGTCCCAGAGAGCGGGCATTGTGGAGATCATGCCAGATGCTAGTACCGCTCGAGTGTGTAGAGCGTCTGCCAGGATGGCAGACTCCCCAGGTCTATGCTGCAACTGGAGTAGTCGCGTTCGTGGCTGGATGGAAATGTTACGAGGATAATTCCGCATGACTCCACAATAACGCTCGAGCTTGTGTGAGAGAGGCTCCCTTTTTGCATGGTAAGGGATGAGCGGATATGATGGACAAGTATCAAGAGGATTACTCGTATGTATCTTGTTTTCCGCAAGCCTCTTCTTCTACACAACGTAAAGTAGGACTCGGCAATGTTAGACATACCACGCTGCTTCTGATACACCCAGCGTGGTTGCTCCAGTCGTCGAGTGTAAGCATCGTCATACCTTCTGATCTGAGCTACAGGCGGCCAGCCCCTAGTAGAACACCCATCGCCGAACAGAGAAGGTAGAGCGAGGCTGCCACTTTGCCGCCCCAAGACATATCATCGTCCAGTTTGCTGTCTTTGCACAAATATATACGTATCATCAGACGGTGAAAGTGTTTGTTACTATGCTTGAGTCGAGCAGCAGGACTTGCAGTGCTAGTGTTGCCATCAGCCGGACTGAATAGGACTTGTAAAGGCATATACGCTTCGTATATTGAAGGCAAGAATCAGTGGTTCTGTGGGTCCGGCTTACGAAGCGGTTGCATCTTGTAGCCAACACTATCATCTGGGTTATTGCTCGACCTGTCGACCTTGCTGGGCTGAATATGACCATGAAGCAGAGTTTCATTTGGGTGCCTCGGAACGGTTCGTCTACCTCCTCCGTTACACCTGGCGTCCTTAAGGTGGACGCTGTTCTCTCGGACGAAACTACAGGCCTCCTTCGGGGGAACTCTGTCACCAGAGACCCAGAAAGCAATGATATACACGCGGATGTACATTACAGGAACATTGACGGACCATTGAAATTCTGGTGCTTATTTTCGAGCATTTTGGTCTCTTACGTCCTCGTACGCTAAATGGGTATCTGCTCGATCATCGAACAATCAGCTAAGGTGGCAAGGTTTACTTTGACTCTTTCTTTATGAGTTCTTCGCACCCGTTCATCACATCCTATTTTCATGCCTCGAATGCTGCGTCCTGGCCATCAACGGTCTTTTTCCTGAGCTCGACGATATTTGGGCCTTTCTACGGCAGAGTCAGCGACGTTACAGGACGACGTACCATGTATCTGTTCGCGCTCTGTTCGTTCGCATTAACCACTCTGTGGTGTGGTTGTGCAAACAGCATGTTGAGTTTTATCCTGGCAAGGTGAGTCTTTTCAGAAAGTTGCGATGGGACCACTGCGTGCAAGACATGTGAACGATCCAGATGAGCACGCAAACTGACATTTCAGACTCTTCTGTGGTATAGGAGCTGGAGGTGTAAGTCTGAACGTTGTTTATGAGACGAAGGCGAAAGCTAAGATTTGCAAGGTAGCAACAATGGCCAACATCATCCTCAGCGACATAGTGCAAATTCGATATCGAGGCATATATCAATCATATTTGAACATGTGTTACGGCCTTGGCAATGGTCTCGGTAAGTTGCGACAATCCACATAACGTGGTACTGGTATAGTAACGACCATCAACAGGAGCATCTCTAGGTGGCCTCTTATGTGATAAGCTTGGCTGGCGCGCCGCCTTCTTACTGCAGGTACCTTTGATTTTGACACTGCTGGTATTCAGTGCATGGGCAACTCCAGAGCCTTTGGGTCCGTCCTTAGCAAGAGTGAAGGGAATATCAGTTGCAGCAGGACTGGCATCATTCGACTTCCTTGGTGCGCTCAGCCTGTCATCGACGGTCACAGGTTTGATTCTCGGCATAAACCTAGGAGGTAATTTGTTGCCTTGGACGCATCCAGTTGTTATCTCGTCTTTGGTCGTTTGCGTACTGGCTGGGGTGGCGCTTGTATCTGTAGAGCGACGTGCGCTGCGACCTCTGTTGCCTCTAAGATTGCTCTCCTCAGTGCCTCGTGGAAATTTGAACTGGGGCAATACACTAGGATCGATGCTATCCGCAGTCACTAATTTCAACCTACCTATATTTTTGCAAGCTGTGGAGCAGATTACTCCGACACAATCAGGCCTCCTCCTTCTATCTCCTCTAGTAGGACTTACGATTAGCAGTGTCGTCGTTGGCTTTGCTATCTCCTACTCAGGAAAGCCGAAGCCATTTGTGGCTGTTGGTGCTGTAAGCCAACTGACAGGTATTCTCGCATGTGGATTCCTTTACGAGAAGATCCCGCTGCCGGCCTTGCTGCCAATCATACCTTGGGTCAGCATCGGTCAAGGATCGTTCTTTCCAGCCTCAACCGTAGCAACGCTCGCTATGAGCAGTACCGAGGAACAAGCAATCACAGTGACTACACTGAGCTTAGTGAGATCACTGGGCAGTGTTCTCGGTGTTGCCTTTAGCAGGTAAATATCTCATTGATATGTCGTTGCTGAGCTGATACGTATCGTTTAGCTGGATTTTACAGAATGCCTTACTCGTATTTCTGGAACGGGAAGTGACTGGAACTCATCAAGAGAAACAAGAGATCATCAGCAAAGTTCGTGGATCTATTGAATCGATTGCTTTGCTTGGGGCAAAACACAAGCGAGAAGGTACGTTGGTTACCACACTAATCGAGATGTTTGCGATGAAAAGCGTTGACCATAGTCACAGTGATCGAGGCTTACGCGATCTCTCTGCGATTGACCTTTTTATGTTGTTCGCTACTCGGTATTGTGCTATGCCTGCTTGTGCTGCCTATTCGCATACCGCACATCGACAATGAGGATAGTGATAGTGCTTGCGAAACACGGACTGCGAACGAGCCATTGTTGGACGGTTGATACTGAAAGAGGTTGCGCCTGGTCTGTCTGGGCCCGGTTGAAGTGTGCGCGCAAAGTCTGTTTCCAATTTCACGAAGGTGCTTCTGTCTGAAGGCGCCCTGGATCTTGAATGACCATACCATACAATCCGAGACTCGATATTGACAACCTTGTCAAGCGAGACAGTTTCATTTGCGATCGGATAGAAAGGAGTCTCATACGTGCTTGCCAACGTTTTTAGCGAAATCGTCGCAATCGCGTGGTCAATCACTTGCTAGGTGATTACACGAGATGTGCTCGTGGTTCGACAGCGTTGATCAGAGAATAGCTTGTGGTGATTTCCGGGAAATAGACGGATACCATCCAAAGAACCAATCGGATACGAAAAGTCAATGAAGAGTTTGAGACGAATCAATCTGTACTTATACGAAGTTAACCTTTTCCTCGGAATCACTGTAAGAAGGCCCATAGGGGGAGTCTGCATGTTCTCGAATAAATCAAATGTTCTGACTGGAATGGTCAAAAGGACACCACCGTTCTCAACGCAATCCGCAAGGAGAATTTACCAGAAAGGATAATGGCGCAACGACTTTGGCTAGAATAATTCGAAGCGAGCGTTGGAACTGCCAGAAAGGGATTTTGTAAGCAAAAACAAGTTCCGGCGTCAGCGATAGTCGACATATTCCAGAGCGAAAGAGGCAGTCGTATGCCGTGAGCCAGATTTGCAGTGACATGGGTGAATACAAATCAGCAGGTCTAGACGCGCCTTTTGGAGGAACAGCAAGCGAACAGGCCCAGCACTGCGGGTCAGGATCGACTGGACAAGCCACACAGGCAGGCATCATGTGAGCTGGAAGGCTAGCCGAGAGAACATCCCTTGAAGCTAAATGTAGCCGAACAGCTGGTTGTCTTTCCTCGTTGGCGTAGGTCTGCGACAGCCTCTCAAGTGCCTTTCGGGGGGTTGACGAGCCGCACTCCTTTGCAGGCGCCACACTCATTATCTGTCATAATCCCAGGGCTGTGGGAAGAGGATCGGCTGTCGCCTCAACTTATACAGCTTTCCCTGTCGAAAACGTGTCGAACGTGTCATTTGCGTCGATTGACTTCGGGCTAGGCATAAACTCGATCTTGTACCGCAAGATAACCTCTAGCTCTTCCCCATACATGATCTTCATCGACTCGACTTTCCAATATTGCACAACGACCCTTAGCATAGCTCACTGCAACAGCTCAACAACGTCAAAGTATCAGGTAAGTCACTTGTCCTATACTAGCATAATATTTCGTGACATCCAACGGCAAGATTTCACTGCCATGTTTCTGCTCGCGACCGACCCTGTTGATCATCAGGCTTTTAGTTAGTGGCTTCGATGAATCATCTACAGTGTGGTCTGGGAGGACTGTCCGTGCACAAAATATTTGAACAGTTGTTCTAACACATTTCTCCAGCTACAAACTACGTATTTGTGCAACCAAGTGGGACGTTTCCTGACGGTCCGAACAAGGATCACGAGCGCGCCGAATACAGCTCTCAAGATCGACGACAGAGTTCCAGCACTCTTCAACGAACACGATTACCTACGCGGAAATCTTTGAACAAACTATTGCATCGAACGGTGGCAATCACAGCCTCTGATTCCTTCTTGGTGCGCCGCGCTTTCTAGCATTTACTACTGCAGGAATTGTCAAAGCTGTGTAGTGTATGGCGCCCACATGAACCAGTCATCGTTGCCAACACCGCCCTATGACGCGACAGATGCTGGATCGCACAACTTCAGAATGCCTAAGGATCCTTCTCAGAGATCGACCCCAAACACAATCAGAAACAGCCCAGTTGACACGGTACCAGAACCTAACATTGTCGACGGATCATCAACAGCTGCTGGAAAGCCTAGGAGAGTGCGTACTGGTTGCTTGACATGCCGAGAGAGACATCTCAAATGCGATGAGGGCGTGCCTGTTTGCCAGAACTGCAGAAAATCTAGTCGTCAGTGTAAACGTGGAGTTCGGCTTAACTTCATTGATACAAGATGTGAGCAGCCACCTCATCTGTTGCCTCCAGTACACGACTGGAAAGTAACCTTTGAAGATAATTCTCGCGAGATTGCTTCGGAATACGAAGGTGGCCTGCAGAGGTATTATCCGGTGGAGACACCCCGAAAACGCCGACGCTTAACACCGCCTACAGAAACAATGTATGACTATAGTCAATTGGATGCTCCGATTATACAGCAGCAACCACTACCACAACAAGGCTATCAACCTTTTGCTGAACCAGCTGCGATGTATACCCCCACTACTGGTCAGAGTTTCGATGATCCCAACCAAGTAATGCCTCAGTCATATCCAGACCATCGACAAAATTATGACCAGCAGATGATGATACATCAGGAACCAGATCCTCCGGCACCACCATTGACGCTCAAAGAAGAAGTTCTATATATGCAGGTCTTCGTTGAGGAGGTCGCGCTTTGGATGGACAGCATGGACAAAGACAAGCATTTCTCGCGAATTTTACCATTTCAAGCATTAAGAGAGCCGATGCTGAAATACGCACTACTAGCATGTGGTGTACGACATTTGACACTTATCAACTCTGCTTATCCAGAAGAACATGCCCTGACCTATTATGCCGAATCAAACAAGCTGTTGCTCAAATCATTACAGAACCCGAATTGAGATACGGTCTTGTGCGCTACGGCTGCTACAATCCTTAACGTTTACGAAACCATGTCCGAGAAAGCTCTGCAACGTATGAACCACATCGCTGGAGCCAGGGCACTGATCAAAGAATGTAGATGGGATGCAAGCTCAAACGGTGTAGGAGGCGCCTGCTTTTGGTTGAACGTTGGCATGGAATTATTCTCGTGTCTACACTTCAATTGGGGACTGGCATGGGACCCTGACACCTGGGGAATCGACATGACCATGAACCCGCAACCGCAGTCGGGCAACGAGGTGGAGTGGACTCACAAGATGCTGTGGATCCTGGCCAAAATTACTAACTTCCGTTCTTCTACACCTCGTTTCCAGGAGCAAACCATGCATGCAGAGCAAATTCGACTACAGACACGATTACAGCAGTGGCTTGGTTTGAAACAGTTCTGCGATCGTTGGGACAAATGTGCTCCTCCTTCGATGCAACCTATGGCGGTCGTGCCGCCTTACTTGACATCATCGAAGAGTGCATTCCCAGAAGTATGGCACCTCAAACGAACGGCGATTGTCGGCCGCTTATTCTGGCACACAGCACAGGTCTTGCTTGCTTCTACACATCCTCTAGTGCCATGGTCATCTCAGGGCGATACAAATAATAGCAACAGCAACAACAACCCTCAACTTGCTGCTGATCTGGCTCAGACACGGTTACATCATGCCCGTCAGATTTGCGGGATTGTCAAACACGCCAAAGATCGAGGCGTTGCTTCGGCATCAATCCGCTGTCTTGCAGTTGCCGGTGACCATCTTCGCATCCGTCGCGAACAGGAAGAAGTCCTCGAAATCTTTGAGCGAATCAAGGGCGAAACTGGCTGGCGTGTGGCCTTCATTAACGATGAGCTGAAAGAGAAATGGGGGTGGAACAAAGTTGATGCATATGGAAACCAGACGTCGCGCTCTGCTTTCTACCAGCAGAGTTCTAACGCGCCAAGTGTGGCTACAGTGCCAGCATCACAGCCGACTCGACAGAAGCCGCCCTCTGGTATTGTGAATCCGCTATACAAGAATGCTGATTTTGCCAGTCAGAATCCACCCTATCAAGGGTCATATGTGCCTCCAGTCCCTGCTGCAAGTTACTTGAGCCATCATCATGGTGTGCCAGGAAATGAGGCCGCATTGTATAGATATGGGACTATCGCAGCACTTTAGAAGTACTAGCAAAATCAGAGAGATTCGCACCAGGAGATGCGTTTGAACTCGAGCTTGATTCAGCTTTTCTAGAATTAGATGTCGCATATGTCTGGCTTCACAGAGCCAGTTTCCGATCAATCACAACTATATCGTCACTTTGAGCAGAGTAGTGAAGAGCAGATAAGTCTTTCGGATCTCTTTTGCGGACTGCACGTGTGAGCGGGATGTGTTCCTGACGCTAGCGGTAATTACGGGGGCCTTTCCGACTCTGGGGTCGTGATGTCAGGGTCTGAGGCTGGCAGTCCTGCGCGGCTTCCCTAACACGAAACGTTCCAGAGCAAGCTACAATAAGCGACCGCCCAATTGCCAACGTATCTTTACCAATCCGATCCTCGACATACTGTTCGTAACAACCACCCAACAATGTCTGCCACACGACTGATTCGAAAGTCCATACCACTCAGAGCTTCTCAACTACTCCCCAGAGCTCCATCCTCTCACAGCTATGCCTCTCAAGCCCGCCCAAACCAGAGCGAAGCCGACAAACACCTCGAAGACAAGCGCAGCGTTCAAGCAGGCAACGCGAACAACAACGCCACGAAAATCGACCGTCAATCCTACGAGTACAGCCTGACCGGCACAGACGACGGCGTAGCCAACGACCAACAGGTCTCCTACGAGAAGGGCAGCGACCCCGCCCGTTCGAGAGAGCTCGCAGGAGAAAACAGCAGCACAAACCCACTTGAAGTCAGCCCTGCAAACCCAGACGCTAGCTTAGCTGGCACCGAGTACGTAGCAACCACAGAGTTTAGACCCACAAAGGCACCGACAACGATACAGAGTCAGGGTGTTTCGAAAACGAAGACGGCGCAGCCGGCGGATGATCGTGTCAATAGGACGTTTGCTGGAGGGGACAAGAGGAAACCAGGGCATCCTCGAGATGTCGCGAAGGATAGTAGGTTGGTGACTCCCGGAACGAGGTAGATTTTGAACCAGTTTGTGATGCTGAAGGTGTTTTTATCATATGGCAAAAAGGATGTATAGCGAGCGAAGTGCGATAGCTGCTTCTTAGAAGACTTTGTTATCTTCACAGGGTTTGTGGAGGACACGACTTCGGCACGGGCGGAGGCAGGAGAGACTTGTGCTGCTTGTGTATCTCAAAGCCCATGCAGGACGAGATGCCTCATATTCCATTAGGCTTGATATAGCTCATGACAATGAACGCCCCACATTGATTGAGGTCAAAGCAAATGTTGACAACAACTCCATAACAATCTGGGCTCTCCGCCTAAGATACCAGTCTGACAAGCCTCACAGGCAGAACATTCCGCTTCCTTAGCTCTCTGGTCATTGACATGTATACGTACTCATGATAGATAGTAAGCATGAGACGATCGAATTTATATGCACCTCTCCCGAATGTATGAATGCCATGGACGCAGTAGAAGGAAGGACAAGTCGGTGGGCTGGTGGCTCTCAAGAGACAGCCAATTTTTATTCTCGATTTTCCCACCACTCTATCTTCTCGGTTCTGGCCCTGCATCCTCTGTCTTGGAGCACACAGTCACAACGAGCAAGCGTCCTCTTCGTTGTGTCAATACGCGGCAGTTTCCGGCTAGTAGTGAACATGTTCGCTGACCACAGTAGGCGTCAAAGGAATGTAACCTGCATATATAATATGGTAAGGTTACAAAAGTCATCATCGTACTATCTGTCTAATGACCATAATTGTACATAAGAAGAGGAGAAAGGTAGTACAGTAAACTCTTATCTTCAACAATCCAGCCTCATAATACAGCCGCCTTTCCCTCCCCATTATTCTCTACAAACGACCGTTCCGCCCTCAGAACCAACTCCTCGTACACTGTCCACGCAAGCGCACTACTCAACGCCTTCCGTCCCATTCGTAACGCCAACCCATCAAAAAAGCTCCTCATCCCATCTTCCACGAACATCACCTTCGCACAACGGAACATATTCTGATATTTCCCAGGCATGAGTTGCAGCCGCGTCTTGACTGCATCGAACGGGTTCGTGATCGCGGTAGCCGTACTCGCAGCAACAACACCACTCGCCGCGTTAATGCTCGTTCCAGAAAGCAGCATGCTAACCTCGCCTGTATCGGCCGGAGACCCCGTTGTCGTAGGAGAAAAGGCTTTGTTCAACCACGTCTTACTTGCTTCATAGAACACCACATACAGTCCAGCATAAGGCGCATCTCGTATCGCAGTCGCGCCGAAACCTGTAAAGAACCCTCTTATCCCTTCAGCTTTGAAGATACTGCTCGTCGCGGACCTGATGCTCTTGTACGCGTAGAAATTACTCTCGTACCGCACCTTGATGACCGTCATGGGCATCAGGATGAACCCCGCCAGGACTCGAGCCGTTGCTCCCGTAAGCAAGTTTTGTGTATTGGTCAGTTTGGGTAGGACGGTGCTGCGTCTACTACCACGGCCACCACCACCGCCATCTCCACTCCTCTTTCCTGTACTGTCTGGCTCCGCGACTCTCCCACCCGTCAATGTCGCCGTATATGCAGCATTCTTTGCAACTAGACTGCGCAGTGAACTGAGACTGGTGAAATATAGCGCACTGCCAAAGCCTGTCCGCAACGCGCTAGGTACAGTTCCTCGCCAGAGGCTCGCGATCGGCCGTGGACCCTTGAGGATGTCGCGGAGTGTTTCGCGCAAGGTATGGGCACCAGATTGTTGGACACGGGTCTTGAGGAGATCGGCTGGTTGGAGGAGGACGGCGGAGGAGATACCGCTGCCGAGGCCGGCGAAAAAGTGGAAGGTGGGATGAGCTTTCTTTGAGGATGGAGGAGAGCTGCTGTTGCTTAGCGGACGTGGTTGCGATGCTGCTTGTGTAGAGCCATTTGACATTGCTTTGCTCGTGAAAGTTGTGGACTAAAGGTGACGCCGTGGTGTGCGTAATGCTTCAGCAGGTAGAAGTATAGATTCCTCGATCAACTACATGTTGCGATTCGACATTGATGCATCGAGCTCGAAGGTAAGCTCGATTGATAGCTTGTGCTGCAATGACTAATGCCACGAGTTAAAATCGGCCTGGTGAAATATTGAGTAGAAGTACGTGTTGGAATACGAAAATAATGAGATCACTGACCCGTGCAAACCGATCAACGCGCTTTCCGGCACGTGCATGTGGTCAGCATTTCGAACAGATCCTTCTCAACTCATTGCAAGCACAGAACTTGGTCGATTATCTTTGGGATTAGATGTTGCTGATAACGTTCTCGAGTGATGCATCTATATTGTATCTTTCTAGCTTTCTATGCTGAAACATCTTTATCTTTTCAACGTACTAAATATTACACATAATCGAATTGGCTAGCTGCCTAATATTCGAACCATACACATTTTCTTCTCTCTAGATAGGACAGCCGTGGTGTCCTTGCACATGAAAATGCTATCTTCCAAGACGCCTTGCTAAGTGACCGACCAAATAAAAGACCGGGGCTGGAGCGTTGCATCCTGCTCAACAGGTCTGCGAAGTAATGCTAATGTCTTCTTCGATAGGACTAAACAATGGGCTGATAGTGAGTGAATTCTGGGTGTAGACTGGAAGTTTGTGAGAGCCTTTTGCTAGCCGAAGCTGATCGGGCTAGGAAGTTGACAACGAACAACTTCGCTGTACCGAAGTACTGCTCATGTAGGTGCTAGAACAGCGAACCTGATTTCTCTGCAGTCACATTCTTCCCCGTAGTATCATCCACAATCGACCTGATAATTCAGTGGATAGCTGTATGAAATTCTCAACCAGCAAATCTAAATCGAGTCGCTTCCAATCTGCCAAGTCCTTCTCGCGGAGCAACATTCCTTCGCCTGTAGCTATTTGTAAAATCTTGCAGGATCGCTCTCACCTTTCGGACCTCATCCTGTCTGACCTTCTCATTTATACTGGTCATCAGCTTGTTGGCCTCTTCTGGTTTCAAGCTACCTGGAGGAAGAAGCTGCAACGTCGATGCAACCCACTGTGCAGCGGCTTCTGGCGCCAGGCTGAATATGGTCAGCAGAATCGCCGAAGCATCGCCATAACAATCCTCTGGAAAAGTGTACATCAGACCAGTCATGGTCTGCTGCACTATCTGTTGGCCGAGTTGTTGAAGTACTTGTCGTACAGCGCTTCTGACCTCCGTAGACGTCTTGGGGGGTGGACCACCATCTGATGTGAATTCTGAAATTGGCGGATGCTCGAAGCCAAAGTCAAGATAGTCTCGAAGGAACTGCAACGTTGCAAGTAGCGGATCGACCAAAGGTAGTGTCAAAGCTGTCAGTGACGCTTGGACCATTGGCGCAGCGAGTGGTGAAGTTATAGTCTTTCTCGGGTAGAACCGAACTGCGTCCGTAGCCAGTCTGAAGAAGTCCTCGATAACATCTGGAGCTTCGTTGGGGTTGAGCTCGTTCAAGATGCGTAGAAAGACTGTAGCCTGTTGTCCGAAAAACTGGAAGACACTATCGCTTGTGTCTTGGTCAACATACTCGGCACCATAAGAATACTCCCTGATAACAGCATCTGTGGCCCATAGGAAACACCCTTGACGAGAAGCCTGGAACCCTTCAGCAATACTGTTCGCCAGTTCACCAATGAGTGGTACTGTGGCTGTGCGGTACGATATTATCATGTACCTCCAACATCTGCAGACTCTTTCAAGAATTGGTATGGATCTCGTGAAGTGTTTCGAGATACTCGAGAGTGCTGGGAGAATCTCTTTACAGTATTTGACAGCTGGATTCTCTTCATTTGGCGATACGTATGGCTGTACATTCTTGATAAAGGTAACGATCAGACCTAGGTAGTCAGCAACAACATTTTCGGATTTTTCATCCTTCGCTTGCTCCGCTAAAGAGACTATACGTCTCATCACAGGGTCACAGAACATCTTCATGGTATCGTAGAGTTTGTCCAGAGGTTGCACTGACACTACGGCTGCCACACCTTCAGTGACTTCTTCTTGGCTGTTTGGTTTGAGCTTGTCGATAATGCTTTCGTAGAACTGATGCATGACAGGAATTTGCCCGCCAAGCAGTTTCCGACAGTCGGTCCCAAGGTATTGAAAGGCAAGCGCGGATGCTTGCACCACCTCAGGAGAAGGATGTTGGAAGCCAGAAATAACGTAATTAAGCTGCACCTCAAGCGTCTCAGGATGTTCTGCAGTCCACTCAGTATAGCGTCCTAAAGCCATGATCGCCTGAAATTTCAGCTTGTCGTGATCTGGCACTTGAGTCAGTAAAGGTATGACCTCTCCCAGTACCGAAGTCTCTTCAGGGTTGATCATGCGACCCATTGCGCGTACAGCGAAGATGGGTGCCTCGAGTTCCTGCCAATGAGGGACAGAATTGGCTTGAGCTTGACCTGCATATGTTTGTGCCCAAGCTCTAATTTTGTGATAGGTTTTGTTTAGGCACTCGGTGGGTGACAGAACTTCGCAGCAGTCCTTAAGGACATCGCCCATCATATGACGGAACTCTCTGAATTTGTCCTCTTGTTCGCGATCACCATCAAACAAGTCTGCTTCGTCTCCGCCTTCGGGACTAGGGAACTGCAGATGGTTGATCATGATGTCGACGAGCCTAGAATATAGATCGGCAAGAGCAGCTCTTGCTGGCATGTACTTCTCCAGAGTCAGGTATTGCTTGAGGTCGTACCAAAAGATGAATGTGATGGAGATGGCTTCGCGGTCTTTGTCGTAGGCACAACATTCGAGGATGACGTCGACCAATGAGCGGAAGCTGTTTGGCTCTCTGGCAATGAGCACTACCCACGCCTCGCCAGCCTCGGCGAAGAGTCTAGTCATGCCTTTAAGGAGATCGTTGTCTTCGATACCTGAGGCCTCGGCGACCTTAGATCTTAGTCTAAGGAGTCTTGGATATAGTTCTTGTATGACTGTTTTATTCTCGTCGACATCCCGGGTATCCTTGAAAATAGTGCATAAGCAATCGATAGCTGCATCGAAGGATGAGTCGCTGCTGATGGCTCCAAACATCAGGTCTAACAAAGGTGAGTTGACGACATCTACGGCAGGTATTTCTCGTAACCACGAAGCGATACACTCGTAGAGCCTAGGATTGGCTGCATTTGTACCTGCTGAAGTTAGCAAGAGTGCTATGTTCATGTAGCGATTACTTACCGGATGCTTGAGCGTAGGAAACAAGGAGCGACAAGACCTGCTTCGAATTGTCCTCTAACAGTTCCTTTGTTCTGTTGGTGAGTTGTTCTTCCTAGATGGAGAGGCTGTATTAGACTTTGAGCGCTGGTGGGAGCGTACAGGCTGCGAAGCTGAAGCTGGGAGGCTGGATTGTCGCACGTACTGTCAAGTTGATCTTGCGACCTTCGGTCACTTCTTCGGGAAGTATTCGTAAAAAGTCAAGGAGACTGTCCAATCCTTGTGGAGAGTTGCTGACCGCAGAGCCAACCATCTGAAGGACATTCCTCCACGTTGGCATCTGGATGGCCAAGCTTGCTATACAAATGCAAAGCTGAGTTCTTATGGGCCTCGGTCCATTAACGTAGATCTGTAAAAGAGAAAGCAACGAATCCCGGAGGGGCTCGAGAGCAGTACTGGGCAGTTGATGCAAATCGTAGGTTATCTAAGAGAGTGAGCTCGTGTGTTTGACCAGTGTTTGCGCAGGGTACCTACTTTTCCCTTCAACGTAGTGGCTGCGAACAGGCGAGCTTCGACGGACGTGGACGAGTCTTGAAGTATGCTACCAGTTGTGTTCCAGGCTTCTTGCTATCACGGGTATTAGTGCTCTGTCTGGTCAACTGAATTGTGTTTGCCGCATACTGATTTCTGGAATTTCTCAAGGAATTCGTGCGCCTGCGCTTTGTCCTTGCTGGCCACATTGCTCTGCATAGTAGCCAGCGCTGAAAGAATTGGGCCCAAAGTGCCCGAGTGTGCAGTGTTGGAAGCCATAGTGGTATCAGTCGCTGGTACGGAGGGGTGCTCGGATACGGCCTCGCAGCCTTTAGAGCCACCGGTCAAAGCCTGGCATGCAAGTGGTGAGAACGGGTATGGATTCGAGCGTTAGATTAAAGAGTGTATGTCTAAGCGACTGGCAGGCGACTAGATGTGTGAGGTCAATGCGACAAGTGAGGGTGCTTTGTAAATATTGATTGAGAACAATCGAGTGCACGATGATGCAGGCGCGGCCCAATTTGGCCAGGTGGAAAAGTGGAGCTTTTGGACTTTGCGACTGCGACTTTTTGTTTGGGGTCGTAGTTGGATTGTCAAACTTCCAGCACGACCAGCCGAACAAGCAGAAACCTCGACTATCGCTAAACCTATTACTACCGTCCCGTCTCGAAAATCTACCCCATCCGCGACAAGCTCCTGGCCAGAGAGATACCAGAAAAATGACCGGTCGTGGAGGTGGTGGTCGCAAGACCTTGCTTGCGCCAATTCACTTTATTTTCAACCTTCTGCAGAAACGATTAACGGTGTCTGTGTGGCTCTACGAGAATCTCAATACCCGAATTGAGGGCAAGATCAGGGTATGCTTGCTATTAGATCTGTCTCCGTAATGTGTCTGATTCTTCCAGGGCTTTGACGAATTTATGAATCTTGTTATTGACGACGCTATTGAGGTCCAACTACCTTCCAAAGACCGATCGGAAAGCAGGCGACAATTGGGCCAGATCCTGCTCAAGGGTGATAATGTATCTTTGATTCAGGCGCTAGACTAAACTTCTCACGTCTGGACTAAGGTTGCACACTCGCTTTCGGCCTCTAAAAGCATCACATATGACTCTACGAACTCCGATCGATCTGCTCGGGTACTACAAGACAGTCTATCTTCCAGTCATCTTCGTCTGTGGGGACATGTTCGCCATGAGGCAGGAGTTGCTCCTGTAATGCCAATGCCACTCAATTGTGTCAGTACGCTCGATCATAGAACGTTTGATGCACTTACCGAGCTTTGGAAATCTGGGACTTTTACCACTAGCTTCGGTAATACGCTGAATCTTCGAGAGATATGTGTCATAAAACCCTTTACCGTGTCCCAGACGATTGTGGGCAGTGTCAAAAGCTATACCAGGCATCAAAATCAGGTCAAGGATATTGACCGAATCAGACACATCGCTGGAATCATCAACGCCCTTTCCACCTAGACCATTCTCACGCTCGTCAATGCTTTCAGGTGAAAGAGAAGGTATTCCCCATTTGTCTGGCTTCAGACTTTGCAGGTCTTGCTCATCCTGGAGCCGAAGCATGTCCATCACTTTGTGCTTTTGGTCGTCTTGTGCTGAGTGGATATACGGAATGAAGACCTGTTTGCCTTGACGAAAGGCATCTCGCACAATCTCGATTGTGGAAACCTCTCGACCTGGCATCGAAAGGAAAATGCTAATGGACTTAGCGTGCTGATATTCTGGAAGCTGCAGTACCTTCCGCGTCACAATGACAGCTGTAATACCATGTCAGCAAGAAACACAGCTCCACTTGCGGTTACTACATTGCTCCTTGACATTTTCCTCCTCGATTTTGCCTAGTAGCTCCTTGATGTGTTTGCGCAGCGCTTTCTTCTCCTCTCTTATTGTGCTTGTCATGTTTCCAAGTGTCCTCAGGCATAATCTCGACCTCAGCATAGCACCTTTGACAGCGTAGATACTTGTTGGTGGCAATCGTGTGCCTAGTCCAAAATACTACTCTGCTGTCATAAATGCCAAGACATACGGATCACGTGCTTATCATCTCTCCTCCACACGCTGTTTCACTTGCACTCCCGAGCGCGAAGTCGATGCTATAGCAGTAGCCAGATCAGTCTCTACGGAGGTCATTCTGTTTGTTCTTCGTGCTATCCTATGCTGACCGCTAGAGTGCTAGGTACTGCATTCCGCTCCGCAGAATACGAGAAAGCTGCGATGTCGGCGAGTCCTGTGCCACATGACAGTACGAAGGTGGTTCGATCATTGTGTTTTCTGTCCACAGGGATCATGCAGTTTAAGCTTTGAGCGATGAGCTTGCGAGCAAAACTTGATCTTATCATGGATCTAATCTGATTTCACCAGGTCGAGTCAAGCTTTTCCACCACTCACAGCGGTTGCTGCGGAGCTCTAGACCACGCGACGACGCTGCTCGAATGGAGGCACATTTGATGCCGACTGGCATTTGTACTTCGTTGGTTGCAAGCTGGACTTTTCTGTACGCGCTTCAAGCCACGAAGCAAATCCTTCGCTTAGCAGCGCGATTTTGAGGACTATGGCTTTTGAGAGCAATGGCTCTAGGGCATATAAGATGCGTCCTGCGCTTGCGTCGGGCTTCACGTCAACTGTTGCCATCAACCTCCTCGAATTCAACGTGTTGTCCAGAGCTAATCAGCTCATATCTCGTACAGCATGGCGGTAGAAACTATCGTTCAGGACAACACCACCACAGCTAGAGCTGACGAGAACAAGATCCAATCAAATCTCACAGCCTCTGCAGCTGATAGTGACGCAGAATATGCACCTGAAAAGATGCCCGCGTCAGCGGACGAGGCACAGGAAGGTGTGAGAGAGGTTGAAGCCGTAACCTTGACCTGGACGAGGACAAGTTTGATCGTGGCTTTTGTTTGCATGTGGTCACTCTACCTTACCAACGCGTTCCAAGGCTCGATTACAAACAACTTGTCACCATTCATCACGAGTGGCTTCGAAGAGCACTCTCTTCTGACGGTCATCTACATCGTTTCGAGCTCGATGGCTGCAGCAGTCTACATTCCCGTTGCGAAAATTGTCGACGTCTGGGGAAGAGCTGAGGGTTTCCTTCTCCTTGTCGGATTCGCAACTCTTGGTCTCGTTCTGAGCGCTGTTACAACGAATCTTACGACATACTGTGCTGCACAGGTCTTCTACACAATCGGCTTCAGTGGCATGATCTACTGCGTCGATGTGATCACTGCAGACTCTTCGAGTCTCAAGCATCGGGGCCTTGCTTTTGCTTTCACAGCGTCGCCATACATGATTTCTGCCTTTGCCGGACCAAAGTCTGCTGAGGCATTCTACGAGAATACTAATTGGAGATGGGGTTATGGTTGCTTCGCCATCATTCTCCCCTTCGTTGCAGCACCACTTGCCATCACATTGAAGTACAATCTCAAGAGGGCTCGTGCTTTTGGCGTCCTGGTCAACGAGAAGAAACAGAGGACGTTCGTACAAACTGTTTGGTACTACATCCAGGAATTTGATGGTAAGTCACCTCGATCGACCATCTCTCTCTCTTGCTGACAATTCTGCAGCTGCTGGCATGATTCTTCTCGCTTCAGGACTGGTCATCTTCCTGCTACCTTTCACATTGGCCGACTCAGCTCCTTCAGGCTGGAGCACTGGCTACATAATCGCTATGCTGGTCCTCGGCTTGGTGCTACTCATCACGTTCGCACTTCACGAACGATTCTTCGCTCGTCAACCTTTTGTACCATTCAAAATGCTGACCGATAGATCGGTGCTCGCGACTCTTGGACTCGCAGCCACCTACCAGATCTCCTACTACTGCTGGAGCAGCTACTTCACATCCTTCCTGCAAGTCGTCACAGATCTGACTATAGCTCAAGCTGGATATGTCAGCAGCACCTTCGATGTTATTTCCGGAGTCCTCCTCATTGGTGTCGGCCTCGCCATCAGCAAGACTGGCTACTTCAAGTGGTTGCTCTGGATTGCTGTCCCACTGTACATCTTCGGCCAAGGTCTCATGATCTACTTCCGAAAGCCAGGCGTCAAGATCGGATACATTGTTATGTGTCAGATCTTCTTGTCAATAGGTGGAAGCACCATGATTCTCTGCGAACAGATAGCAATCCTAGCAGCTGTCGATCACCAACAGATTGCTGCAGCTCTTGCCCTGCTCAGTATGTGCGGCTGGATCAGTGGTGCTATTGGAAGCACTATCTCTGGCGCGATCTGGACCAACTCTTTCCCACAAGCATTGTCGGAGTTCTTGCCCGAGGATGCACAAGCCAGTCTCGAAGACATCTACGGAAGCCTTGATGTTCAGCTTGGCTTCGAGGTCGGCAGTGCTACAAGACTGGGCATACAGTGGGCTTATGGTGTTGCACAAGAAAGGATGTTGATTGCCGGTACAGCTATCATGACATTGTCGTTGGTTTGTGTATTCTTCATTCGCAACTACAATGTTGGTGCTATGAAGCAGACGAAGGGCATGGTCTTCTAAGCATGGCTCGACAACCTACACTACTCTAGCACCTCTGCACGGAGGGCATGGGAACATGGCCGAGATGATGCGAAATGGGGTGCGGCCGTTCTTCTGGCTCATGGTTTCACCTTGGAAAATGTTGCATTTGTTGGGGAAGTTTTGACTAAGGGTAATAGATTGACGCACTCCAAATCATCCTAAGCCAACAGGCATTAAACGTCGAGGAGGTCGTGAGGGATCCTAGTCAATTGCCTTATAGCTCTATCAATTTAAAGGCAGTGGAATAAAGCTCGGCTGTTACCTGCGCGACCAGCAGACCTCCGGGATGTTTTCCGCCTGTTTCGACCATTGTACAAGCGCGCACAAATAACGCCAGTAGCTGGGATAGAACTAGGTCTTAGACAAAGAAACCAAACTTCTGCTACCCAAGACTCTATCGTTCTCGTTATAAATATTTTAGTACTTGGCACAAGTTTATTGCCTGTATCAGGCTGAAACCATTCCAGCTCGTGACTTCTCCACCATAACGCCGCTAAACGCGGGATCTCCTTTTCTAACTTTCCAGGGGTGAAACGCTAGTTTCTAGCGACCTAAACACCTGCGCCAGCCCAGAGCTGCTAATCACATTTCTTTGAGCGATCAGATGCTGTACAGCTTTCACAATCTTTCATTGAACTTACCCTAGCCGTTCGTTTCTACGCATACCACCATGAAGACTCACACACTTGTCATTGCGGGCTTCGCCCTACTGACCTCGACCCTGGTCCAAGCACAAGACTCAATAGTCGGGACGTGGACGACCAAGTCGCGAAAAGTACTTACTGGCCCAGTACGATAAACTCGACGTAAGGAAGATACGAATGCTTACTGATTGTAGGGCTTCTACAACCCGGTCGACGACCGTCTTATCGAGCCCGAGTTGACTGGCATCTCATACTCCTTCACTGCTGATGGTTGGTACGAAGAGGCTTACTACCGAGCAATCTCAAATCCAACAAACCCAAACTGCCCTTCGGGGATAATGCAATGGCAGCATGGTACATACACGCTCCCTGGAAACGGATCAATCTTCCTACAGCCTATCGAAGTCGATGGTCGTCAATTGATCTCCACACCATGTCGGTACGACAATTCAGTCTATGAGCGCTATCACCAGCCAGAGTTCATCAAGTCTTACTCAGTCGAGACAGATAAGTTCCACAACGTTCCGCGATTAAACCTCTTTCAATTTGACGGTGCACCTCAACAACCACTATATCTTGCTTACAATCCTCCTCAAATGCTTCCTACTCAGACGCTAAACCCTACTGCTGCACCAAGTGCTACCAGCAAAGCGAAACGAGACGAGCCACAAATCGCTATGCACAATGACGCTCCACTGAACAAGAACGCAATCATACAACCGACTGAACCTCTGAATGCCGATAAAATCTGGTGGGCAGGAATAAGCTTGGTAGCAGTGGGCTCAGCGCTATACATGTTGCCCAGCAAGAAGCAGATATCCTGAGGCAGGCGAAGCTTGGAGCACCACAGAGCGAGCTCGCGATTTATATCACGGCACTTGCTCGCAGCACTACTGACGATGATGTGGCTTCTACAAGAAGGATAACCACACTCAACGAGTCTGTCCCGAAAATCTGAACAACAAAGAGATGTTTGAGCTCACACCACTAAAACGACTTACGAAAAGCAGCCTAATGTTCCCAGGAATAGGCATAGCTGGCTTTGCGAAAGAGCTATCTTCATAACAGCGGCGTAGAAGAGGTCGAGCTGATGTTGCGTCTCTCAGATCCGGTTTGGGACCGGCTCATGCGCACTGAGCCGAACCCTACCATTGGCGATGTCGTAAAGCTAGAGTCGGACTACATGCACTGGAATTGTTAGCAACAAGATGGAAAGTAAGCTTTGCAAAGTTCCTGTGTGGCAGCAATAGCGTTCAAGTTGAAACGATTTGGACTAAATCGAGCGGGTGTTTGGAGTCGAACATGTCTATCCAAATACCGCGATGGGCTATGCAACTCTCTTCGCGATGCAATCACAGCCAATCCATGGTTACCACAGCTATGAAAGATTACATGGAAAACCAATGAGCCAGGTAAATCTCGTCTCAACATCATTAGCATTCAATATGAGAGTGACAAAGGAAACGATTACCGGATCATATCAACACAGGAAGGCTGTCCCTTCCCAAGACACACAGTATGCTGAAGTCATCTGTCCAGATCAAATACTTCACACTACTGATTTCTGGTCACTTCTACTTCCTCGAATCCTTTTGTCAAAATTTTACAGGCACAAAATCGTAGGCGTTGCTCACAGAATACTGAATCAAGATCTATGAAGCGGCCCAAATCAGCCCGAGCCATAGCGACTCCTCAAAGCAGGATTAAGTGAAAGAAGAACAAGTTGCAAGAATTTGGGTATCACAAGATGCTAAACTGCAAAGAAAAATACATCCCACATGACCAAATCCCATTTCTCCAGCCTCTCCAAGGGCAGCCATGTCTCTGTGTTTGTGCATATATTCATTCCATCATATATCCGCAAATGCCGTTCCTTTTGTTTCCCTTTCCGAGCTCCTCGCTTTTCGCTTTCCTGATTATGCCTGCCTACGCCGTAAAAAATCCAGACATATACCCTTGTCAAACAAATAGATCCAACCCCCATAACCATATCAGCAAAACTATGGTCGCGCTGTATTGAACGCCGACACTGTGCTTCCATACTCTATCACAGGCATAGTATCAACAGTATGCCCATTAACCTTTTTCACCGCACCGGTATTTTGTGCCATTTTCTGCTTCCTCGGCTCAACAGGCGACCAACCAGGACCACCCGCCCCAACACCCCGCAACTTCGCCGCCGCGTTGCCCAGCAATCCTGCCGCCTCGTGGGTCAATTCCCATCTGGTGCTGGCGAAGCTCTCTTTGAGGATTAGAAGCAGACCCAAACAGCGATTCTTGCCTTGGACGCCTTCGAGATCGTCGGGTGCCTGGACACCAGCGACTCTGTCGAGATATGTGCGCATGTCTTTCTCGCGCTGTTCGTAGGTCTCGTAGTCTTCGTCGCGTGGGACTGGATCGATGGGCCCTTCGAGCGCAAAACCGTAGCACCAGACCACAAGGGCAGATACGTAGAGGACCCATGGTCTGTTAAGGAGGAAGTCGTCCCTGGCAATGTATCTGTCGCTCTCGTATGCTTGTGGGAGGATAGGTGATGCATGGCCGTAGATGCGGCTGTCGATGCTGTCGCTGTTGTTGTCCGTGTGGGGAGGTGGGATGAGTACGGTTGTGATAAATTTCAAAGCGTAGAAGGCTGCGTCCCGGGCTGAGGCTCTTGTCGCCCATTTCTCGATCTTATCTCGTACCAGACCAAAATCACGTGGTGTGACAATGCGGCTGAGAAGTCGATCGGCGCCGGCAAAGACCTGGCAATCCACTATGTCGACATGAGCTGCGATATGAGCAAGATGATGGAGGACTGTGCGCGACTCAAAGATGTTTTCATCGTCGAGCGGGCGAAGAAACGTTGGATGAGTAGGGTTAGGGCTGATACGACGGGGAGGCGATAGAGGTGCGTTAGCGGCTGATTCAGCCAAGGCCTCATCGAAATCGCGTTTCCAGTTGTCAAATGCACGAAGAAGAGTACCTTTCCACTTGTCTGGTCCTCCGATCGAGTTCGCAGCTCGAGGGCCAATTGACTGGATCTGGAGATCGCGCTGGGTCATGTGCCATGATACAGAAAGAAGACCAGCCATGATAGTTGTCCGACCGAAAGAGTTTGTTCGCACCGTCTGGCCGTTCAGGGTGCGCTTGAGACTTTCCAAAAACGAGATAGGTTTAACGCCGTTTGTGCGTAGAGAGGCTTGAACTCGACCTACTTCTGCTGGTGAAGTGGCTGCCCATAATGCCTCATCACACGGTAGGGGAAGACGCATCTCATGCGCCACCATTTTGGCCGAATGACCAAACATAGTGCAATGAATAGAATCTAGGACAAATGCACCAAATGCAGCGCGCTTTGTTGCTTCATTAGAGATCCACCTCGACCATTCATCATTAGAGTCTTTATGGGACATTCCGCCGTTGGTGAACTTTTCGTTACGACCTTCAGCCGGGCTTGCTGGTGATTCTAGTGCTGATTTGCCTATCAAAGAGCTGCCTCTTCTCATCAGAGTCAACGTCGAATCGTGGTGAATATGTGCTCGTTCGTGCAGTATTCTGGTAGAGTACATTTTCTCGTATGTCTCGATCAGCAACAGGGTCTGAAATACCCATAGCTTCGCGGGTGGTCGAAAATCAATATCTCGAATGATTTCCCAACGTAAATGCCAGACAATAAAATTCGCGAACTCAGCTGCCGAGTCAGTCAATGAAGTGCCGTATGCCTTATCGAGCGTCGCGGCACCAATGGCAATAACTGCTAGAAGCAATAAATTGGGAGTGTTGTCTGCCGAGAACGTCGGCTTGTGCAGTATCGGCAATTGTGCGTGTTGATGGTACCAGTACGACCCGATGTAGGTGTGCATCATCCTCAAGCTAAGTATGTGTCCATCGGCGTCAACATCGCCCTCAAAAATCATGTCCTTACGCTTCTTGACAGCATCATGAGTACGTTCCACAAATTGTGATTGCATAAGAACAAGAAGTTCATGCCTCTTGTTGTCCGACATTATGTAACTGTTTAGATGTGAGTTTTCTAAGATACTGCTTACACTCATTTTCGGATTAAGATGCAAATGGCCTTGGTGCGGGATAGTCATAGTCGGACTATGGGACAAAGTAGATTCCCGCACTTGTGAGAAAGAGTTGTCCAGATAGGTAGTATCCATGAAATCAGGCGATAAGTTGGGTTGCTCGGCCACGTTAGGATTGAACAACCAAGCTGTGAAGTCGTCGTTCAATAGGAAAGGTGACCTGTTCTGATTATCGTGTCCGAAGATCGTGTAACCATACGCGCTGTTAACATCAATATGAGGATTGCCGTTGCCGATGTGCGCGTACAGATAGGGGTCTGTCTGAACCCCGTTGAGTCCTTGGGTTACAGCAGCAGCGAAGTTGTCGTGTGGTTGTCGGGACATGTTCGGCGAGCGCATGCTAGTCGAATAGCTTGCATGTAGTACCTCAGGTCCAGGCAAGTAACTAGCGTCTTGGTGATTGTTGCCGATGTAGTTGTCAGAGTCAGCCCTTGGAAGTGCAGGTGGATGCATCGAGAGGGAAGAGCTTGAGTAGGTTCTGTGAGGTGATTGTGGCAATGACTGAGACACTGTCTGACCAGGTGCGGGACGTGATGCAATCTGGTTGACACTGTTTCTCCGATGTGTCCAGTTGTTCACGTTGTGAGGCTGACCAACGAGCTGTGGATTGCTTTCGAAGCTATTGCTACGATGGTGTGCCAGACCGGAAACGTGGGGGGCATCTCGAGGTGTTGGCGGTGCAACATGAGAGGAGGGGGTATCAGCCAAGGGCACATGCTGCTGATGATCGGTTGTAATGGAGGGCTCGAAAGGACGACCATCCGGGAGGTACTGGTCTTGTATTGGCATACTGGTTTGTTGCGCCTGGGACACTACAGAAGAGCCATAGTTGGAATCATGAGTACCTGACGGGAATATGGTAGTAGGACTCTTATGCTGATCCTGAGACGCTCTCACGAAACTGTCTCTCTTGTGGAGCTGAGAGCCTGCTGTTGTATGGCGCTCTCTATGACGGACGCAGAGATCCTGGCGAACAAAGTAGCGGTTGCAATCAGGGTAATCGCAATGGTAGATGTTTTTTGGTGTATGATTGAGTTGATGGCGATAGAGATGCTCTGCACGAGAGTAACTCTTTCCGCAGCCTTCGTGACTGCACTCGAATTTCTTGTCCGCATTGGGCTTTGCAACCCTCCTGCGTTTCTTGAGTGGTTCTTCGTTTGAAGTTTCAATATGTTCGGGCTGTTCTTCGTGTTGCTCCACGGGCATATCTGCATCAGCCATATCCGTACCAGGCTGATGACTTTGGCCCGTCATCTCGATCGCGGCCATGATTAGAGCAGTATCTGTGGAGAAACCTCATGCTCCTGTAGCAGAACCTGGAAGATCGTGTCCTTTCGTCTCATTCGTGTATTATTGCGCAGTATTCGAGTTCTCTGTCTGGCCAATACCCAGCTCAATACGGCCACACAGACAGGTCGTCAATACTATGGGAGAGGCACGGTTTCTTGAACAAAAGTTTGCGTAACTAAGTCTGCCACAGCAGGAATCGGTCAGGTGAGAAGAGAGGACGTGGTCAAAGGTGGGATGATTCGACAAAGTACATGCGCCGAGATTGAGGAACACGCTAGCGAAGTGGTTCCTGCGTAAAGGTGGGAGGGAAATCCGAGTTTCTGTGTATTTCGAGGCGGTGCAGTAGTTGCGCGATTGGGTTGTTGCCTCAAAAGTTGAACGTGGCAGATGACTCGAGGTGGAATTTGTTTTCTTTGGTGGATTCTGCAGGTCAAATCGCCAGCGGTTGATCTAGCTTGTTCCCCGCAATCTGTCGTATTGTTAGTGTGGTCGGTCGATCAGCTCATGCTCAGCTTGCACGAACGTTGCTATATACAACGTAAGGTATAAGAGAAAACGTAACTCTACAGTAGTCAAACTTGGAAGCGGAGGAGATGCAGCGGTTTAAAGTCAAATCAAGGTTCTCGTTGCGCCTGCAAGCGGACAGGGTAAAGTCAAAGTCACTCACCTAAGCGGGCTCCAGCGCTCGTCTACAGAGATTGGTGGTTTGCATCTGTAGGCTAGTTCCATCAGCGTGTCGGGCCTTCCACAGGTTCAAAAATACTGCCAAGAAGCTAAACTCTCGGTTGTATGCCACCACGCCTTCGAGTTCTGGGTTCCCTGCAACTTGAATGAGAGGATCATTCTTGCGTGACAACATGCGGACTTGAGCAGCGTCCTCTTATAGTCATCAGTGACGTTCATTGTTGGCGTGTTCAGATGTATACTCGCAGAAATACGAGCTTCAGACCATGGACACAAAGTATGCCTTGGACAGTATGCTGAGGACTCTCCGTCTCGATTGCCAATTTACTGTAGCTCCATCCAAGTCCACGGTCATCTCCTCGCGCACCACGACGAAGGACGGTCTCTGGTTCTGTACTTGTACGATTATATACTGTCCAGAGAATTGTCCCTCGTACATCTTTCGATGATCGGCAGCAACCGGGCAAAGTCCCCACACTCCGCCCCGAACTATCAGACGCCAATGCACCACCATCCATGTCAATATGCACTCCAGATGCCAATCGATGTAACTTGTGCATGATCACCACGCGAGCTCAACCCGTGTTCCATGGCAGGACATATGGTGATATGCCAACTAAGCATAATCAAAAGAGGCATAAACCGGAGATTTTGGCACATCTGGCTCGTAATGTGATCATACCAGCTACTAGTATGCAAGTCGATAAATGCAGCGGTATGCCGAGTGATGGAAAATCTGCGTGCGAACAGCATTGAAGCACTCTGACCGTTTCTGCGTTGTCCTTATATGCTCATGTCTGGCAACCTATCAGAATCGTGAGGTTGACATAGAGTTTAAACGCGTATTGAACCACGATGCTGCCCGCCACGAACCCACGGTCAGGAGCAGCTGCCTATCAATATGGACTAGACTCTGTGATGCAGGAGCGCATGACCACGCGTGACGTTTCCGCCTCTGTAGTCTCAGCTTAATGCTAAAATAGACAAGCTGGGAAGGTGACACCAGACTTCGTTGCACAAGCCTCGACGCGAGGGGTTGCCGCATCCTCAAGTTCATTCGTGTAACTTTCCGGAAGCTAGTCTGACTTAGATTAGGCTGAAGCTCTACATCCCAAAGACCGTTCTCTCACCCATGTGTCAAGTAGCTCATGCCGGAAGGATGAAGGCCTGCAGCGATGAAGAACTTGAAAGCGAGTGGTCGGCGAAGAAGCTTGCCGCACCCCGCACAATCTTGTCCCAAAACCGCAGACCTCTTGTCCTTGGCCACTCAAGTCCACTTAACATCATTTCTTCTAAGGAATGGCAGCAGCCGCCTTCTCGAATTCAGCAGCTCATTTCGTCGATTCCACAGCTACAAGCTAATATTTGAGCGTCGAATACTAGCAGCCAATGTAAGTACGCGAACACTGAGGCGATCTTTTACCTGCCCCACGAACGAAATATATGTCCAATTGTTTTAGAACCAGTCTAATTTGTGGAAAGCTTAGCCAGGTACCTTATATCTGTAGAGTTTCGTGTCTCATTCGCTGCTCTAGTTCTGAATAGAAGAGTACAACGAATCAGCCTGAGGCAGACGCAGAGCTTACAAAGTGAGCAGGAGACTCTACATTGATTTACAGGAAGATCAACAATCTTTCATCATACTTGAACGTCTGATCAGCTATACACAATGTCGGACGATACTCCTCTCTCCCCAACAACTGGTCGACCATTGCCCAAGTCTCAGAATTACCAAGGTGGTTGCCACTGTGGTAAAGTGTCCTACACCGTCAAGCTTTCACCACCAGTGACTGAAATGCCCGTCACGAAATGCAATTGTTCCATTTGCACTATTAACGGACAGCTAATGGTCTATCCTCTCGAGTCGCAGATAACATGGCATTCAGGACGAGACGACATGACAGGATACACGTTCGGCCCTGCCAGGATAATGCATTCTTTCTGCCCTGTATGTGGGACTTCCATTGGTGGAAAGAGTAATGAGGCAGGCTTCTTTGCAAACCATCGGGCATTGAATGTGAGTGCACGAAGATCCTTCGAACGAAAGCTTTTCCTTGTGGAGTTGAGCATGTGACGGGTCGCTGATGCAATGAGAACAGGTTAGAACATTACGAGGGATTGATCTCGACAGCCTTAATTATCGCGATGTTGATGGCCGCAAAGACGTACCAACCAAGGAGTATGCTTAGTAAGTGCCTAAGGTTATGCGTTTACCCGACAGGGACGTCCGGCTGACAACGTGCTTGTAGCGACTCCTCGAAACACCCGCACAACGGCTATGGGGCCAGAATCATATGATGAGTGGGTGACCCAAAGCGATCAAGAGCCACGAGCTGTCCTCGCCAAAATTTGATTCAGCAAATATTGATCGTTGATCTGGTCTATACTCATGCTAGAAATACTTTCGGCGTTCAGAACAGCACCTTACGGCAGGTCTGGATGATAGCCTTCAGTCTTCATGTCATTCAAGCCCAGCTCTTCCATTTCCTCTGCCGTCCTGTCGTACTCCTCGGACGTGATCTGAGGATCCTGCTCATCCCCGTCAGTGTTCTTCTGCACAAATGAGTTGGCGAGCGGGTCGATCAGCGTTATCGAGAATGCGAACTCGGCTCTGAGCGCACTATCCAGCTTGTCGAAGAACCTATTCCAATTCTGCCTCGTGTCTGACGCCATTGAATCACCTGGCTGTAGACCCTCACCATCCTCAGTGTCGAAGATCTGACCACGCAGCTGGTCTCGAACTTGTGTCAGAAGACCTTCGACAGTGGTGAATCGCCCGCCCAGTGTTCCTGGTTGGACTTCGAGTCCCAAGTCCGCGCTATGTAATTCGCAAGTCTCGGATTTCAGTATATCCCTTGACAAGTCCACCACATTTTCTATCTTGAGAGTAATCTTCTTGCCTTTCTCCGGGATAGCGCCTCCAGTTTTAATCTCGTTCGTCTTGTAGCTGCAGTGTTCGCATACGGTAGCCATCACTATCACTTCCTTGAAATGTGGTATATTGACCTTTTTCATGTTGACTGTACATGGCTTTGTGCAGGCTGGACACTCCGCTGGCAGTTCATAGATCTCGCCATCAACGATGTCCACGCCTGCCATAGGATCTCTTTCGATGTTCTCCTCTCCGTCTTCGATCGCAAGGCCTAACTGCACGTTTTGCTCATGCGTTCGAGGGTAATCCGAGCGTACGTATTTATCGCCCTTGTCGTCCTGCGATGGTGTTATGAAAGAGTTGCCTGATATGTCGTCTAATGTTACAGTGATGGGAAAGCTGTTTCCTTCCAGCATAGTCATGAGCTTCGCTATTATGCCCTCAAGGGCCTGGTAAGTCTCTGGTGTTTGCTCTTTTCGCGTCGGCTGATCATATTGCAGATCTGTGACGACCTTTGAAAACATACTCTCCAGGGTAGTGTACTGTCCAGGTGCAGGAGGCATTTCGAGATCAATGTCTTCTATTCTAAATGTGCCATGATCGCTCCTTATGACCTGCCGCTGAAAGTCTTCCAGTGTCTGTATACGGAAAGTGTATTTCGAGCCTTTGGGTTGTATTTCGCCTGCGCTCTTGACCGTGTTGTTCTTGAATCCGCAATGATCGCAGCTGAAGGACTCTAATAGGATGTCTTTGAAGTATGGGATTTTTATCGGTAGAATTCTCGTCGTGCCGTCGTCGTGACAATTCATGCATAAGGACTCGATTTCGTAAAGGCCATTTTCGTTCATTTCAGGTCGTAGAATTTCTGGTTTTTGCATAGCATCGGTAGTCTCCATCTCGGTGAACGTGTCCGCTTTGACAGTAGTTCTTCTCTTTTGAATGCGATGAGAATGCCGATGGTGCTGAATATGCGGATTGCGAACTGGCTGAATGTTTCGAAATCTTTTTGAACAAACCCAAAAGTTTTGCAGAAAACAGTAATCAACTGCTATGACGAACGTGGGGCGAGATTAGTGCCTGGACCTGCCTATTTCGGAGCGCCGGACATGAAGTCCATGAGGCTGAAAGAGCTTGGAGCTTTAGCGGATTCTCGATTCTTGTCAAGCATGGCCTTCAAGCCTTCTTTCTCCTTCCTCTCCTTCGCTCTCTCCTTACTGCTGATTTTAGCTGCTTGTGATACTGATGTGATTGTTGCGCTTTGTCTTTCCTGTGCTGGTAGAGTCGATTGTGGTGGACCAGGTGCAAGTCTTTTAGTTGTATTTATCGCGAGCCGCTGCTTTGCAGTACGAGAACATCTTCTGCATACCCGCAACACAAGTTTATGATTTGGTTGCGAGGTTGTGGGAGCAGCAGTTTTGTCGGGTGGACATTTTGTTACCTGCCGAATAACTACTTCCCTTTCTTCTATATCCAGGCATCCGCATGCTGGACAGGATTCTTCACTCGCTTTTGGAGTGCTAGTACCACCAAGTGTCTGCAGAGACAAACAATTGTGTCGACACCTATCAGCTAGTGGCTGGTCTGATTCGTGTAGCAGTCCCGCGGCATGGCTCAGGAATTTCTCGCGAGCGCTGTACGCGACATTGTTCGACATCGGATGATTCTCTTTCCATGCAGCAAATACGAGTTATCTAAACCTTTCACAGCAAGAGGAAAATCTACTCGAAGTTAGAGAGTGAAGGAAACAACAAATCGCGTGCAGGATCTGCTAAATTAGCGGCTCCGTCTTGGCACACTGGCGATCGACACTCCGAAGCAGGTGCCTGATACTCTTTTTCGAAGGCACACATGATGAGTCGTATTCAAACAGATTGCATTGCACTTTCCTAGCTTCCTTGACTTCTACTATTACGTGTCCTGAAGCTCGGACATGCCACTTGAACTGAACAGTAGCATAGGGTGGCAGAAGTGCAAAGCGCAACGCTGGTAATTAACTATGTCTAGCTCAGGTGCCATTAGAATCGCTGTCGAGGGCTGTGTAAGTAATCACTCTCGACCCTGATGGAGGGAAAATCGAACTAATGCCAGTCAGGGCCACGGAAAGCTCGATACCATATATGCCTCTGTGCAAAAATCTTGTGAGATCAAAGGATGGGACGGCGTCGATCTAGTAATTATAGGTGGTGATTTTCAGGTAAGCCACCAATGATCTCCGGCCAGACAACGTCTGACCATGCACAGGCAGTGCGTACTCACCAAGATCTCAATGTCACTGCGATGCCTCACAAGTACCGGCGTATGGGCGATTTTCATGACTATTACCACGGCACGAAAATTGCTCCTTACTTGACGATTTTAATTGGAGGCAATCACGAGGCTAGCAATCATCTCTTCGAGCTTTACTACGGAGGATGGGTTGCTCCGAACATCTACTATCTAGGTGCAGCGAACGTATTACAGCTTGGAGGGCTCAAAATTGCAGCACTTTCCGGGATCTGGGCAGGTTATGATTATCGGAAACCTCACTTCGAGCGACTGCCATATAATGACGATACCATGCGAAGTATATATCATCAGCGAGAACTCGACGTTCGGAAACTATTAGCCTATCGAACCCAAGTCGACGTTGGATTGTCTCATGACTGGCCACACGAGATTTGGAAGCACGGAGATTTTCAGCAGTTGTTTAGGTACAAGTCAATGTTTCGGGGGGACGCCGAAGTGGGAAAACTAGGCAGCAAAGCTGCGACCTATGTCCTAGATAGGCTTCGACCACCGTACTGGTTCTCGGCCCATCTGCACTGCAAATACGTGGCATACAAGAGTCACGACATTGTATCCGAAGAAAAGGCTCAAGAAGCACTAAGTCAGATGTCTCTCCAATCAACTACCAACCAAGCACAGCTGCCAATACAAATGCCGAAGCAGGAGGGCGATATGGTCCAGCAGCAAGTCCCTCAACCCAATGGCCGCGATGCATCGAACGATGTAGCTGGAACAGCACATGTTTACGGAATCTCGGCTTGGTCGAACTTCAGCAATACCGCTCAGGAGGAGGACGCACAGATCCAGGAGCCGGAAGAAGGTGCACACACGGAAGAGACAGCGCAAAATGACCGACGAACCACCGCCAAGTACGAGTTCCAGGAGACCTTCAAACCAGTCACCATAGCAGAAGTTGATGGCGCACTCGACAGACAGTCCAAGCCGGTCAGCAAGATCGTGCCTCCAATTCCACAATATGACGGAACCTGTTTCTCAACACCCAAACGCCGTCGAAATTCGAGTCCGTCTGACGAGGCACAACAACCGGCACGACCTCGCATCAGCGGTCAGCTTGATGGCTCGGCTCCCCCTACTACAATGATCACGAACCCTGATGCCATCGACGTCGACCTGTCTGACTCTGAGGATGACAGTAGCACTAAACCGATTCTGCCAAAAGGTACGTCTCAAACTTCAGTGCAGTGTTTCAGGCATCCTGCCTCGGGTCGTAGATTGTACCAGCCTTACCAGAAGCTCATCTCACCTGCTCGTTCTTCACCTAAGATGGGGTCTATCAGAGAGATGCGATCACAAGAGACTGTCGGCTTGCGTATAGAACACTCAAGCAGTCTGTCCGATGCTTCCCTAGTCCCATTCGTGCTAGTGCCAAACAAGAATGCTGACATTGGCCTAGAAGATAGCTCGAAGCCCGTACGTAACCCTGATGCGTCGGAGGATACCAGCTTGGAGTCAGCACAAGAGGAGGACATATCATCGAAGCAGAATCACTTAGTGCCGAAAACTGATGATGCAGTCCGTGAAACTTCAGCAATCTCGCAAGCTGGTCAGGTGCCAAAACAGGAGCAACAGCCAAAGGCCACGACGGATACCAGTGACGTACCGGAACACTTACGTGCGGAATTGGAAGGCCGGTCTTCAGTGTTTGCTGCGAAAGAAGAGGTAGAAAGAACTGCTGCTTTGCCATTTCCCGAAGACATAACAAACAAGGTGACACGATTTTTGGCACTGTCAAAGCCTGAGGAGAACCGTGATCGAGAATTTCTACAGCTCCTGGAAATCGTACCTTCCAATACCACGATCAACGCAGCCGTGCTGCAGAGACCACTCAAACTACAATATGACCCGGAATGGCTAGCCATCCTACGAACCTTTGCTCCAGAGCTGCAGCCAGGCGGCTCACCAGATGATAGAGTACCGGCGCATCGAGGCGATACCTACTATCGAGAGAAAATTGTCGAGGAAGAAGAATGGATCCAGAAGAACGTGGTCGACAAGCAGTTACTCAGCGTCCCAGAGAATTTTGTGGTTACCGTTGAGAACGATCAGGTTCAGGACCAAGAACCAGTCGACAAGAACGAGATGCCGCGAGAACAGACGAATCCTCAAACTGCTAGCTTCTGTGAGCTCATTGAAATCGAGAACAAGTTCGACTTCAGCGAGGAGGATAGAGACGCAAGAATGGCAGCTGGTGCGCCTGCAAGTAAAGGAAGAGGCGATGGTCATCGTCGAGGTGGTCGTGGGGGACGTGGTGGCGGTAGAGGAAGGGGCTTCGGCGGTCGAGGTCGAGGCGGTCGTGGTCGTGGCCGAGGTCAATGGTAGATCGTGCTCGATCTACAATGTACGAAAACACATGTAGTATTATAGACTGGCTGTATGTTAGCGTTTCAAGCAGGAATATGCATGAATGGAGTTCGGGTGCTCAGGTACACGGAAATATTACAGGAGAGCTTTTTCTTCACCAATGGAAGGACATTGCAGCTCGACTGAAGCAAGGTGAATGCGAGAATCGAAAAGATACATCGAACAGGTCGATAAACAGGTAGTCATCATGCAGCAGCAGATACTGTACTTGCTCTTGATTTGCCCTTTCTCGGTGTCTCTCCTTGCTCCATCGCTGCGAGGCGTCTATAAACTCCTGCCTCCCATATTTCGTACTCAGCATTTCGCTCTTCGCTAAAATAGTCAACGGCATCATTCATCATCGTCCCTAGACCAGGAAGTAGAATGTCTTCAGGATCCGATTCTTCTAGCTGCTTTCTCAACTCTTCTCTTCGTGAGCTCTGTCGAGGCTGAGACTCGTCTGTCTTCCTTTCTCGGGCTATAGGAGTGGCATCGGCGTCGGGATCTTCCTCTTGAGACTCTATCCTAGCCAGGTCTAGAGCTGGAAGTATGTCTTCAGGTACACTGGACCACCAGTCCTGTCCTTTACCGGACAGACTGACCCACTCTTCGTCGTTTATTCGAGAGATCCAGTCCTCTATCTCTTTCTGAGGGTCTTGGTCCTCTGGCCCTATCTGCAGGACTTGTAGTAGGCTCTTCTCAGATATCGCTTGGTAGACCTCTTCGGTCATGGGTCCTTCTTGCATTCTGGTCAAGGTTAACAGGTAGACTGCAATTACCAGACACAGCCAGTGTTGCTGCTGCTGCTCAGAGTTGCTGTCTTGCTCTTCGTCGTCTTCCATTGCCAAAGCCGACAAAACGCAAAAGCCTGTGTATACATGAGGTGCCATCTTAGGAGTTTCAAACATCTTGCATAGCCTCCTGATCGCAGGCAATACATGATCAGGTGCTTCTGCCGTCTTCGTCTTACTAGCTGAACTTTCTATCCGTCCTAGAAAAGCACTCTTTCTTCCAGTTGACCTCGTCGGCGTCGCTAACGGATCAACACCCCTCCGCTTCTTCGTCGGTGTCTCAACATCCTCATCATCAGCACTCACAGCCTCAATGTCTCGCTTCCTCGCCATCCCAGTACCAGTACCCGTGGTCCTCCCTGTCCCAGGCGTACCTCGCCCGGGCGTCTTCCGACCCTTCGGCGTCCCAATCAACTCAACATCCTCAAGCGTCTTCTCCAAAAACGCCAGCAACTTCTTGTACACAGCAGGTCGACAAGGCGCTCCACTCCCACTCTTTATGTTCGGCAATCGTAGCGTCGCGCGGAGTTTTCGACATGCTATTTCGGCGCAGACGTGTGGGCGGGCGATTTCTTCGTCGGGCTTGAGGTGTGTTGCGCGTTGACGGGATATGGCGAGGAGGGAGTCGGCGGCTGAGGTGAGTCTTGGTGGGATGGTGATTGAGGGTGGGAAGAGGGCGGAGAGGGCTCTGTGTACTGGGTTTGTGGACGCCATGGGTATGGAAGTTTGGCGGAGACCTCGTCTTTCGCCTATGTATACCGAGTTCGATGACTGATCTGGGGGAACGCGTCTGCGACGCGGTCGCGTCAAGTGCTCACGTGATTGTAGCACTTAGAGGAAGCATTTCAGATGGCAAGATTGCAAGATGGAAAATAAGAAGGAGTGCGACATGGTCACAATATTGCTCACTTGTGTGCCTGTTCTTTACCAAATCTCTACGACCTCACTTCATCACTTTGATCTGTTTGCTTCTGCTTCCTCCGCCGTGCCTGCTTTTGTTGTGCCTCTTCAGTCGCTTCCGAAGTTTCTTCTCGCTCGCCTTCATCGCTTTCCCCTTCCTCGGCCTCATGATCACTGCCCCTCTCTTCCTCACGAACCTCTTCAATATCTCTTTCCTCTTCGCCGTCTGTGTCCTCATCAGCTCTATATTTCTTGTCGAGCTCTTCCATAATGTCTTGTCCTGGCAGAAGCACAGCGCGGTCAATGGCCATAGGCAGTACCCTATGACGACCACGCAGCATTACAGTCATCAAGATCAGTTTCGATAGTGGCTGCCATGCACCGCAGAAACTGTAGCTGTCATAAGGTAAACCAAGAGTCAGGCCCACTGTACCGTATGCCGATACTGTCTCAAATAGAACAGCGAAGAGGCCGTTCGAGAACCCGGGAGCAGGAGTAGGGCCAGCTGAGATTGTTGTCTGGAGTGTCGTGCTCACAGCAGCTGGGGAAGGTGCCAACTTCGACCGCTCAATGATTGACACAAGCCAGACACAGACGAGGATCCACCACAAATCATAAGAGAGCTGCTTCTGAAGATGCTGACTCAACGTCGATGATGCTGCTTCCTGCTTCTCCGGATCTTTGAGCGCAGACTGCCACTTATTCTCGTCTTCTTGACCTATACTACGCTCCTCGTACACGTTTGTCGTGCGAATGGACATGATCAGTGGCATCGCAGAGGTGTACATAAGGATCATGTACGCGAATTGTAAAGCTGGAGCGATGTCAGACATCTGTATGATGTAAAAGCCTGATTCGCGCAGGCCGTGTGCTTGGAATAGGCCATCGAACCAACGGAGCCCTGTCGACATCTGCTGTCCCTCTGGAGCGTATCCGATATTGAGGATAACGAACATTAACCAAGCAACCAAGTGAATGCCGACTTGCGCAAGCAACAGTATCAAGGTTTGCTTGCGTGGAAATAAAAATAGGTAGCATCTTCGTGGATGGTGAAGTAGGAACATCAGACTGTGGTGCATCTCCGAGTCTTCAGGAACAGCTTTCAGCGAAAGCCATATAATAGCTCGCAGGAAGATGGGATAGAGCGTGTTTCCCGCTAAGATGGTCACGGCTATGAAAACAAGGACTAGATAGTTGTCCTTGAGTGGTATCATGTTGTCGTTGAGCAGGTTGAGCCCGCAATTAGTGTATGCAGAAACAGAAGCGAAGATTGACCACCAGCCCGGATTGAGGTTACCAGGTTGCGCTCCTCGGATCACATTGCTCGTACTCGTATGTTGTACATACAGTGCTAATACAATACACGCAAGCGCCATCCAGAAAATTGAGTAGGCTGGCAGTAGCCAAGTAAGAAGATTAAGAGCACGGAACTCGACGCCACCAACCTCTCTCTGCTGTTGTCGTGTCAATGAGTGGAATCGTCCTTTCTGGTCCAGCTTTGGTCTGAAAGATAGATAGTGGTGATCACGAGGCTCTTGACTACTAAGCCTTGACTCGAAGAATCGCCATACTTTGCGCCAGTATACGCTGTGCCACGGTGCTGGAAACCCTCCATAAGCAGAAAGATGTGGCTGATCGTATCTGTGTTCACTCTTCGTCTCTTTTACCACAGGTGATCTCTTGTGCAGATCCCCACTTGCCTTGAGTAGTCGACGGCGCTGACCTGATGAATCTGATTGAGCTGAAGACCCAGAAGCCGAGCTGTTTCGCTCCACGTCGTTCGCGACTCTGCGTCCGGCTTTTGAGTGCTGCAAGAAGTTTGTCATATATTTGTTGAAGAAGTAGCGGCGGGTAATCACGACAGATATGCTGACTAGAGACAGATCGCCCAGGAGCATGTCGACAAACAGGACCGATTGCTGAAAGCCACTGATAGAGCCAAGATTGATCGTGGTGAGACCGACATTGCACATTGCGCTACAGCATAGAAACAATGCGTCGATGTAGCGAACATGAAAATCGCTGTTGTTTGAACTCCAGAGGATCAGTGACGATATCAATATTGTCGTTGCAAAGTAAGTGAGGTGGACTCTGTAGAAATTCGGTGCGAGTGCATGTTTGATGTACTGCCATGCTTGCGAAGCACGCTCTTCTATACTAACCTCCATCAGCACCTTTCTGTCCTTTTAGCTCAGAATATGTTGATATCCGAGCACCAACTTTAAAACGTTGTCATTTGTGAGCATTGAGATGCGAATTGCCAGATGGCTTCGTCTGTCGTGTGAACATAGAGGTGGATGGTGATGAACAGTCACTATTTCATTATCGTCAAGGATCTCGAGCTCGTGGGGCATTGAGCAGCACTGGCCCCTGCCAATGGGCTGTCATTATGACGACGCTTTAGTTGCTCCTCGTCGCATTCAAACACCTGCATATCAGTTTGTTACTACTGTTAAAGCTGCTCGAAGCTCTGGGCCATGGCCTGCCCGAAAGACATTTCACGAACAGTCAGTGTTTGTTGCAAGACATCTATTGCATACTATTCAGGCTTTGCTGGGGTCACAAAGAAACCCAATTTTATCAGGCCAGCCGAAGCTAAATTTATTGTGACGGCTCCTGAGGTCTGATGCAGCCATCTAGCGGCAGCATTGTCCAACGTGGGAGACTTTCGGACTGACTCCGATACTCCTTCAACTCTCCTCTTTCCTGTCTACCCATCCAGAAGTCGTTGCCATCACAGGTTATTCAATGCATATACGATTGTGACTCGTTGGCTGCGAATCTTAGGACGGAGCATCGTTGGATATCGTGCATTGTATTCTGCACCACGCGACAGTGCATGCAACGAAATTGCAACCAATATTGTTTGGGTATCGTCTCAGGCCATGTATCACTGTACGATACACTGTTTCAATCAAGTGCTCCTAAAAATTGTGCGTTAACGAGGCAAACATTGACTGTCATATGACAACTCACAGATGGGTTCTCTACCATGGCTGACTGAATCACCTCCAGCAATTGACAAGCAGTTCAACGTACCATTCTCGTTGCTCGATAAAAAGAGGCTGAATGCTTCGCACACTAGACTTCGTGATCATGTAGCTGACGCTGAATTCATCAGGGAATGTTCTGAAAAACGCTTGAGCTGATCGCGAGCACTCAACCTCTAGCACTACAGCTATTTGCGGAGATGGTCGAAACCTCTGCGACGTCAGACGTCCCTGCTCCTTCAGATACTGTATCAGCTCTATTCATTCAAAGGAACTGTTTGAGCCTTCAGCATGTCGAAGCACCGCTTCAGCGTCTTCTTTTCGCCCTTGTCGCGCAAGTGGGAGGTATCTGTGGCTCTTTGCATATCATTGGGCAATCCTCTGGCTCTGCTCGTCTCCTCGATACGACGAGCATGCATTTCTGCAGAAGGAATAAGTTTATAGTCACGGATGTGTCCCAAGAAAAATTCTCGTTGCGCTTCTTTCTTTAAAGGTATAAGAGGAGTCGAGTTCCCTTGTGCTTTTGACGACTGCAAGCTGGTAGCAGCACTGTGACCCCCAATTAAAAAAGTGTTCCCAAAAAGTAATCATTTGACTAAACCAGGCCTCTCGCAGAGAGCACGATTCAGTCCAGCAATCCAAAAGACTCAATATCTAGCCCGTTACCATACACCACCGCAAAAATAATGCACATCCCAACCACCCTCCCCAACATAACCTTCCTCCTTATCCTCCTCCTCCTCTCACTCATCCTCCCAATCACAGCTCACCCAAACATCTTCTCACCAACCATCCTCGCACGGTCCGAGCTTCAGAAGCGTTGCCCACCCTTCGATCCAGCAGGCACCAAGAACATCGGCAATGGAGGTGGCAGTCAATTCATCGGCGGCCAGTGTCTGAGTGGTGCGGATTGTGCTTCGGGCTGCTGCGCGACGCCTTGTGGGATATGTAGTGGTGTTGGGGCGAGTACGCAGGCTGGGAAGACGGGTTGTGGGTTTGGGGAGGCTGGTGCTGGTAGTGGTAGTGGAGGGAATGGTGACGCAGGTACTGGTGGAGCGGCGAATAGTAATGGGAACAATGGGGCGGGAAACAACAGGAGTAGCACTGGTAATGGGAATGTCTGTACGGGGAATTAGGAGGGGGAAGATTCAAGGGTGTAAGGATGGAAGAATGATGTATACCAGGCTGGTCCCGTATAACAATGACTATTAACTCGAACGATTTGGTATGCCACCGGCATAGCTCATCAGAATCTGAGTACCACTCGCTCTGATAACAAGTGTGTTCTCTCCTATTGCAATGTCTTCTGTTATGACTCTATCTTCGGTCTTCCTTTTCGGTCGACTCTCTCATCCCTTGGGTCGAAGCCACCGTTACCGAAATAAGCCCATTCAGGTGTTGGTGCACAGTAGTCCTCTGGCCCGAACTCAGTCCCACTCTCGAGCAATTTGAAGAACTTGTCATAGTTGATGAGAGTGCACCACTTGTCATCGATGAAGAAACGTTTCGATGCCATAAGTATGCAGCAACTATGAGCATGTTCAGCTGCGATGCCATAGCCACCTTCCAGTCCTCGCTTCTCAAGCGCAACGTTAAGAGATGTTACGAATTCAACAACTTCTTCATAGAAAGGAACGTTCTGCATCGTCAACCCTGCTCCAGCGGCGGACGTGGTGCCACAATAGGTCACACCTTTGATCTCCACAAAACACGGTAGTGCTTTCTCGATCAGATCTGCATAACCTTCCACTTCATCGTCAACGTTGAAGCCTTTAACGAGTGTGAGGCGAAATACTGTTCGTTGAACAAAGCGTTTAGTGCGAAGGATATCCAGACATGACTGAAAACGTTCCCAAAAGTCACGATGCAGTGGTCGATCGATTTTGCGGAGAGAGTCTTTGTTGGAAGCGTCGATACTAACGTAGAGCTGAGTTACACGTTTCAGGTTTTGCAACTGATCTGGGTGTTGCGCATTGCAGACCAGGAAACTGGAAATTCGCTCACCATGCAGCAAGTCAACGAACTCATTGATGTGTGGATAGAATATTGGTTCTCCAACAAGCGATAGTGCACAATGGCGGATCTTCATGGCTTCTTCGAATCTTTCGGCACGTACACCAGGAACTCCACGCATCATTTTGATCTTCTTGTAATGACCCGCCTTTGCGCCATCGAAGATGACCTGGGGATCATCAACTTGCCAACGCCAAGTCGTGGATACTGGGTTCGTGCCGTGGCGCCAGCAGAAAACGCACTTGTTGCTGCATGATAGAGAAGGAGTAGTCTCCATGCATAGATGAGAGGCAATTCCATAGAAAGAATTTTTGTAGCACGAGCCACGACCTCGAAGTGCGGATTTGGTCCAGCGACAAATCTTGACTCCAGAATGCGTTCCAATGATTGTGTAACCTTGTTTCGTGAGAGCTGCGTATGTTGGTGACTCTTTTGGAACCATAGGCTTGACCTGCAACTGAGTTTGGGGCGTTGACGAGTATATGGTAAAGTCGACAAGAAGAGGAGCCTTAGGTTCTGACTTACCACCCACATCCTCGACATCGACAGCAGCAGAGTTGTTGTTCAGCTTTTGACGCTTCTTACGGCCAAAGTCTGGGAAGTCTTCACTTTGAGGCTCCTGCTCGTCAGCTGCCTCGTCATCACTTTCTACAGACGCGCCACTGCCAGGTACTCCTTCTCCCAAGTTACCTGCTTGTTGCATGTCCCTTAAGCTGTCAATTATACCAATTGTCCAATCCTCAGCAACTTGCTTTATGTTGCTCTTCACGTCTCCAAGACCAACAGGATATGCTCGCTTTCGTCCAGTAAGCTTGGCCAACCACTTGTCAACCTCAATAGCTTGTGAACAAAAACCTTGCTCTTCTGAAGGCCAGCCTTCCTTGTCACCAATACCAAAGACTGAGTATCCTGCTAAGCTAGACATAGGTGCGGTATCGATACGGAAATCATGATGCGTTTCTCTGAGATGCTCGAGGAAGTTTGTTATGATTGAGTCAATATCGTAGGAAGGCAAAATGACAAGGTAGAAACTCGCTGCATTATCAGTCGCTTCAACCTTTGGACCGGACACGAAGTAGTCATCAAGATCAATATAAGAGAGATCAAACAGTTCCGGCTCCAAAAAATCATGCTTGCCTGCGGTTCGTAGGCGTTCGGTCACGATTTCAGCGATGCTTTTGCTATTGCCAGTGAGCGAAGCGTAGAACACGTACGGTTTAATGCATAGGCTCGCTTCCTTTGAAGAAGGCTTGGTCCGCAGAAGCGGCTTCTTGCCTGACACAACTCTTGGACCAACAGGTCGTGCCTTTCTGCTAGAAGCGCGTACACCCACATCCTTGTCAGAAATCGTGAGGACCTTGCGATCGTATTCGGCATCTTTTACAGTACCCAGCCAGCTGGATTTCTCCTCGGTCGCTGGAGATGGTGCACGGTTGTGAACAGTTTGACCTCTTCGCAGAGTGAGTAAAATGACAATGCTAATAAGCAGCGCAGCTGCAACAAATGCGAGTCTTTGTGAGTGCCAGGTTGCGAGTAGGTTGTCGAGCCCGTCCGCTGCGAGAACTGGCCATACTGGCATCTCACCCATGTCCATATTGTGTACAAAAGAAAGTCTTGTATTGTCGCGATTGAAGACCAACCTATAGAGGCGTCCCTCGAAGGAAACTAGTTTGGGTGTATTGAAAAGCTTGGCACCGTCCTCCTCCTCCTCCGCAGTTACTGCATCTCCACCAAGTCCTCAGACCTCGTGGTTCACGTCAACGTAGAACGTGGTCACACCTCATCATGCATACGACTCTTGTACAGGCAGTACGTACTGACCTACAGCACGTAGGACTTCCTCCATCACCACTCATTCCAATATCATGACTGCACACGTCTCGCCGGTATTGGACAAACACAAGCTCCTCTAGCGTCTCCAGAATCCAGCCGAGCAAGTTTAACTGAGGATCAGAGCTTGACGCGTCTTCATCTTCGTTCTACAACATGACAAACCTGGTACATGGAAGCTTGGAAAGCTATGCCAGTCAAATTCGTGAACAGCTTCGAGTGAGAACCGGCACGAGTTTGCAAGGATATGAGCAACATCAATGTATCTGGACCACAATGAAAAGCCAGTTGATATGTGCAGTATAAACAGGGTGAAGGCAACGCTATGGAACGTGGTCTGCACCTCAATCGAGTATATGATGCCAGTAACGATAATCTGGGTAAGTCAGTCCGACACAGCGAAAAACCGTTATCACATGTCATAGAGACTACGCATGTAGCTCGGTCTGTACGAGAAATATAGCACTCAATGCAATTGACCATCTCAAGCCGGCAGTCGCCAAAATTCATCGCGAAAAGAGCCACTTTTCAAGCCGCGAGCACGCGAGATTTCGGTTTACGTGTGTGGCGAAGCTTTCACGACAACGGCCACGATCCCCGCAAGCACAACGACCACAAGAGTGACGACAGTAGCAACAACTTGGTGGACGCCCGCTTCCAGTAAATTCCCCATAGGCTAGCATCAAATGTGAGGGCTCCTTCTTCATACGTGCCGACTTCTTTGACCTTCATTTCTACGTCTTCGAGTGTCGTTGGTTCCTGGATGGCTTCTAGCTTGTTCTCTTTTAATTCTGACTGCTTTTCTCGGAATCTGGACGCTCTCTGGTATAGCTCATTACATGGGCCGAGCGCGGCCGGCTGTCTCTCGCTGTCGAGCTTCTCGCCCCGTGCCCGGGCTGCATGTCTACCCATATACGACCAGGATTGACGACCTCATATTCGACGACAGACAGCGCTCGACTCTGCCTTCTTGGTCCAGCTTGACTTCTCGTCCTGGTTATACTGCCAGCGACCTTTGCCATGGGAGAGGGTGTTTGAGTTGGTGAAGGACTTTCAGAACTCGCAGAAGCTGAACGTCTTCTGGTCCTACGGATTTCTTTCTCATATATCTCCCTGAACCCGTTCCTACTCAGCTCTCTACTTCTATTCCCGGCTCGACCATTCCTCGAAACTCCTTGGCTTCGTCGCGTTCTGACGCTACTGCCACCGTTCGGACCCTTTCCCTGAGGTCCTTTGCGCTCTCCACAGTCATGATATGGATCCTCTCCACTCATACTGCCAATCATGGCAAGACCTCTTCTGACCAAGGCGTTGGTCTCCAGCATATCCCACTCAATGCGCCTGATCTGCAGACGTTGCACAGACTCGTTCAAGGAGTTGATGTCATCTCGCCTCCACCACCAGACAACTCTATGCCACAGATCAGTGTTATAGTACGTCGTCCGGTCAAGGCTCAGGCCTGCCTCCCACATACCCATGCGGTTCGTGACATGCGACTCTCGCCTTCTCATACGTGCTCTATCCCGTGCTCTTCTGGTCGCTGGTGGAAGCGAGGAAGCATGTCCAGACTTTTCACCCTCATATTTCCGCTCTACATCACTAAATTGACTATTGCCATCGTTGCTTCTGACCTCGCCCTCCACGTCCTCGTCTCCATCGACGCCATGACCTTGCGTGATGAAAGCCTTTTCCAGCTCACGGAAATTCTTCCATGTTTGCTTCAACGTCGTATCAAGAAGTCCAACATGACTTTCGTTCTTTCCAACCCGTCGCATCTGTCGTCCTGGGAAGACATGATACCGGTCTCCTTCTTTCAGACGCTCACGTAACATAGCACGTTCAGATTGTATCTCTTGGCGAAGATTGCTGAGTGTAAGCGGGATGTCTTTAGGAGCTGATCGAAGTGTTTTGAGGAGACCAACGTACACGCCAAGCCAGGTGAGTATGGTGAAGAAAAACGAGATAAAGCCTGTAGTTATGCTGGCGATGGATATGGTGGGAAGCGAGGCCATCGGTGCTTATGGACAGCAATGCTGGGTTGGATGGTTTGTGTATTGACGGAACGTAGTCGCCGAGCACATACTATCACTGGCGTATCATGGCTCCAAGTTCTCGTGTCCGTGGAAGGCGGGCGATCAATTGCGAGCTCGTCCTTTGGGTAGGGGTAGAGGCGTCAAATCACCGACTATGTGCGAATCGTTAGCCAGCACGCATTTGAACGTTCGAGACGTATATAGGCAAAGTTTACGAATGTAGTAAGTGTTGATTTCAAGACTCGGGATGAACGGAAATACATACAGAAACTAAGCTTTAGCTTGATGCTTGGTGAGATACCAGAGGTCAGCGGATGGTATTTGAAATGACTGGTGGGTTTCTGGTTCTTCCTGCTCAAACGTAGACAGACCGGATATAACCGAAGACAATGGCATCCACTCAGATAGCTGGCCTGCCTGATGGCAGCATATTCGAGCGGCGCAATGTCGACTCTACGTGGCCTTCAGTGTGAGTGAGAAAAGGAATCGTGAACTCTTGTCCCAAGGCTATCACTGACAGATCCTGATGTTACCACGTAAATTCAGCCCATTAGGGCCTGCAGCTTTCCTCTCCGATATGTAGCACTGGAAAGCAGGGCGTCATGTTGCCTTCTAGCGAAAGGATAGTGGGGCGCACTCCTGAGAACCTTGTTATTGTGTCATGTCTAGCCACGACAGGGTGTTCGCAAGTTGAATTCCGGCACATGTATGTCTTCTGATGCTGTTCGTCTTAATCGTTCAATACCATGCCCTTCTTGATCGTTGGATGTGCTTTCATCGCCAACCAGCTAGTCGAGTCGCAGAATCGCGTGTTGAGGAATTGGGATCTGTGAAAAGGTGTTCAGCGGAACGTAGTCTAGCACTTGTCCGCCATGAGGATGATGCACAAGATCTGTTAGCTTTCGCCACTGTTTGCACAGATTCTGTGATCCCAGCAAGAATAGAGTTTAAGGACGAGAGACTGTGCTGCAACTCTTCTTTCTGTGTAGATTCATGGTTTTGGTTAGGGAAGCGCAACATTTGCTTCTCGGCCGAGCTTCCTAAAGCTTCAGAACATCGAGTTCAGGCAGGTGCGACCCAATCAATCGACCTTTCAAGGTACTTGCCCAGACCCTACTAATTTCAGGTCGAATAAGCAATGCTGACGCCTACTTTGCCTGTCCAACGTTTCCGCCTCCCATCTTCATCAAGCATGGCACTAGGATTTCTCTTCAAAATGCCACCGCCACCACCATCGACAGGACTCACAGTAACGCCCGCACTCACAAGCAAAGACTTGATTCTGCCAGTCCACAAAGCGCTAATGTTCCAGCCGTCATCGACTCTGACTTTGACCACGTTCTCGTGCTCTCTTTCAAGCCTCTCGTCCTTCAATGCTCTCTCTTCAGGTGTAAACCAGTCTTTTGTCCTATTCCTAATCCATGCTAGGTTGTCTTCGTTGACGACAGTACCATCCTCCAACACTCTGATTTTGCTCGTGTGTGGCTTGCGACCTCGCCAGATCTCAGCGCCGAGTGTGTATTGTGACTCCCAGCTGTAGACGTTGAAATCGAAACGGGACGATAGAGCCAAGTTCGAGGTCGGCTTGACGCTGTAAGTCGAGGCTAGTGCACCAATGATCGGATTGAGTGTCAATGTCATGGTGTAAGGGAATGAAGATTGCGAGACATTCGCTGGCGCAAGTAGTGCGGACGTCAGAGCGGCTGAGGTACCGGCGAAAGGTTTCGAGCTACGCTTCTTGTTGTCGGTGGGCGTTATGTGAGAGGCTAGGGTCGCGAAACGCAGGCCTGTTGACAGTCCAATGACGTGCGAGTACGGTGTATAGTAGAACTCTGCACCGGCAGACAACAGGGAAGGCTTTGATTTTAGGCGTCTGTAGTACGGCGAAAGACCGTCTACTAGCTGTGGTGGTATCGGTATATCAGGAGAACCACCTAGCTCGGCCAGCGTTGACATACTGTCAGGTTCCTTAACCGGCTTACCCATGCCAAAGTTCCATAATCCCCTTACGCCCAGCAGAGCATTGTCGGTTGATGCTAAGCCTTCGATCGAGTATCTCCCTCCATCATGCTGCACATGCGCCAGCACCGAAGCAGGAGGGGCTCCAGTAGCAGCAGGAATCGCTATACTTGTACTGTTCAAGTAAAGTGACAACAAAGTCTGCTGTCTAACTCTCCTGGCATACAAGGCAGTGAGAGCTGAAGGAGGAGGTAGCGCGAGAGTGGCATGCAGCAACGTTGGTTTCCTTCCCTCTTTCAACGCCGGAACGGCTCTCGACAGCTCTTCCAACTTTACTGGTAGACACACGTCTCTGTAGCCCTCCACTAACCTCCTCAGAGGAATACTCGGCGATTGCGACGGGACATCCGCCAGCGAAACATTCGAATAGAGGTAGGAAATCGATCCATCGAGCTGACCTAGCGCTCCAAGAGTGTAAGAGTTGGCAAAGTTGCTTGACGCTAGAGACGAGACATGCAGTGTCGCTGAGTTCGGTGTTTGAAAGGAAAGTATGGCGTCGCTGGTTGCGGTGAGGAAGGAATAGCTATTGTCGTAGTTCCAGTCTGTTGCAGCGCCGAATTCACGGATCACATAGTCCATGAAGGGTAGCATTTCGCGAGTATATTTGCGCCTCAAGCGCTATCTGACGTCCATAGACATGTCAGGGGTTCGCATAGGCTCGAACTCGACTATCGAGCCATCTGCAGGAGCTTGTACTGCAGGTAACCTCAAGGTGAGCGGTTGCATGATATGCCTCTGGCTCTCTACGAACTTGCCAAGCCGGCGGAGCAGTGACCTCAATCTTCCCCGAAAAGTTGCTGCCAGATGCTCATGCGACCGAACGACTTCCCCGTCTATCATTCGCAAACACAACTTCGTCGACTTCGTACTTCTTTTCTATCTTCTCGAACTACTCGTATCTATCTGCGCAGGTCTACGATTATAGGACATCATCTAGCATCTTAAGCAGTCAGAATGGTCAGATTAGAAGAGGTCGAAGATGAGACCTTCGTCGACAAGCCAGTATCGTCCAGTGGTGACGCCCTATTGATGGACGACGACGCAGACTATACAGATACAGGTGAGCACACAAGTTCGAACCTAGCAAAGAACGAGATGGACAAGGCGACCATGTGAAGAGTGCGAGCTCTTCCAGCGAAGCACAACTCCTTGTCCTGCTGTCCATCACTATACCATCCTTTGCATCCCATCCTCTACTATTCCATTCCTCAGTACTAACCTCATCCTCCCCACAGACTCCGAAATCAGCGACGCCTCCGACCTCGACTCAACCCCCTACGAAGAAAGCATCTACGACCGTATCACCGCCCTAAAAGACATCGTCTCCCCCACAACCCGTGCAAGACTCTCTTCCGCCTTCTCAACAACCTACAACGCCACGTCAAAGTCGCTGACTTTCGGCGGAAAAGGACTGTGGATAATCACTACGAGTGTGTTATTGCTAGGTCTGCCATACGCGCTGGCCCTGCAGGATGAGCAGATGGTGCAGGAGGAGGAGAGGCAGAGGCAGTTGATGACGGAGGGTCAGAGTGGGTTGATGAATGCGGGTGGCGAGGCGAAACCGGCGCTGTGATGAGGGGTGGTTGAGATGGTTGAGGTTTAAGAGGAGAGGAAGAATGTCCTGTTCGTGTATATGGTCAGGAGAGGTGTGCTGCTGCTGCTCCGCGATACAATCACCACTTCGTACGCTACGTTCGCCCATGACAGGCCGTACAAATCTTGGTTTGGACGCTCTTAAATCTCTTCAAGGAGAGACGAGCGAGACGGTATGCGCAGAGAGCACAGTTAGTGGTCTTAGATGATTCTTGTATAGTAGGTCGGCACTAGAGAGAAGATCTCTCAACTCATGCTGCCAGAGGAGCATATCATGTAAAATGTTGTTGACGTTTAAAGCTAATTCTCACTTCACGACAAAGTTGGTGGCCGCTCCTTGATATGCTATGGACAAGTAACGCAATGATCATGGAAACAGAATCGTTGTCTTGAGCCAGACGCTTGTAGACTTGCCTCGCTGATTCTCTCACGTACAGCCAGCATAAAGTCCACTAGGAGTAGTTCGTCAACCTTTTCACCATCAACCATATGTCTCGTTCGTTTCATCCAAGCCTTGGTCCCTTAGGATCTCGAGCCATGAATGAGATGCAATTGCCTACGAACGTCGGTAGTATCCCTGCAATTTGATGTTGAACACTCTCCAAATATGTTCTGCATCAGTAGCAAGGACTGTTCTGCCATAAATTTGTCATAAGAAAGAAAGGGAACGATGGGATCCTACTCCTAGGTGGTGTCCATAGCACCACCCTTCTCCCTCTTTTCCTTAACGAAAGCCACAAAGTCATCCACTGCGGTAGGCCATGCTCCGTCTTCCGACCACCATCCTAATGTCTCACCACCTTCTTCTCTTGTCTTGGCTACCAGTTCAGCAACCTGGTTCCACAGATCTTTATTGACAGGTCTTTTGTTCTTTCCCTCATAATACTCGCGCCACAGGTCGTACCACTTCGTCGTGGGACTGTTCCATTGAATCCCACCCTTTCCGCCACCAAAGAACATGTCCCAGAATGCGAAAGAGTCTTCCAGCGGTACCACTCTTTGACCTGCTGGTTTGGCGTATGTGAACGACCCCTTGTAGACTTGTCTGAAGTAAGCTGGATCGGACTTCAGTTTCTGTCTCAATGTTTCAATGTACAACTTCTGGCTCTTTTCGTTGTCGCACGGGTTTGACGGCGTAGACACGTTCGACCAGTTGTTGACAAAGCTTTCTCGGGTGAGCACGCCCATCTCTGGGGCATCTAAAAGGTCGAACATAGCCAGGAAGATTACATCGTCGAGCCCTATTCCCAGCGCTTCGAAGTATCCCATGGTGCCTTCAAGACCAATCCTGTCAGGTTCGTTCGCTGGGTCATCTGACAATGTAAGCATTTCAATCGCGAAATAGGCAGGGGAGCATTACCTCGATACTTGTCAAAGAGCTTTTTCAGGTTTTGCTGAACGGGGGACGGTCCACTGTTCGTTGATCCAGAGTAGTGTCTGTGAAATACATGTTAGTAATTCAAATTACGAACATATGCAAAGTGCAACAATATAACGACCAGTTTCGCAGGAGTGAAGAAATTTCGAGGTGAAAGCCAATGGCTCCATGGCCTGTATATAGTCGTCTTGTACACGAATTGTCGCAACTCCGACCACCGTGATGCTCACGTCAGTCTTCGCCTATCAGGAGCTTTCTTGCTCTTAGCAACGAGAACCTTGCGTTGAGGGTATGGCTTAGTTGATGAAACCTTGTATAAATACAACCAATGTTCGTGGATTGCACGTAACGGAGGTTGGTCTCGTTCCTGATAGACGACAAAGTGCATAAACACTCACTCTACCGATTGCAGCTTGGCCTTCTTCGACCTCACGGCCGTGGTCATGGTCTTGGTTGGAGCGGATTTGCGCTTCGGCATCGTGATAAGTTTGTTGAAAAGGATAAGGGCGAGCACAGAAGCGATTGTGGTGATCAGGTATTGCGGGAGAATCATGTGAATTCTCTTGATGCGGCTCTGAGGAAGGAACGACTTAATGTGTTTGCAACAATCGGTGAGGACAGCCTTGGTGGTCACTCGGACGGCAGTCACGATTGTTCAAGTGAGGTGACAACGACACTGCATTGCTTCCTGAGTATTGTTGGAAAGCCAGGGATGTAGGATACTTTGTCTTATGGTCTATTAGGTGATGTTGTGAATGAGACGTGATGAAGTCTTGAGCCTCGGATGTGTATCGAGAGTGCAACAGGAGTGATGAGCTTGACTGTGAAAATGAGAAATAGACAATACTTACGAGTTAACTGCTCTCTCTACATCCCAGTCGTGACTCTTCAGCAGCTGTGAAGGCGTCAGAATGCGCAAACCATCACCGTTAATTTTGAACAAACCCGTGCGGCAATGCTCTCCTTTGCTTGGGTAAAGTTGACAAATTGGCTGATCGCAGCCCTTTGACTCGAACTGTAAGTCGGCATCTGGGGCGGGTGATGGCTTCAACAGGGTGTGGACAAGAAAATCCAGAGTTATGGGACAGGCTCTGGTACTAGTAGACGGTAGCCTACTGTTGGAACCAGGCACAACGGAGCCTCCAACCTCGATGGTCTTGAAAGGGAGCTTTTTACCCCATTAAAAACACGGGAAATGCCTCTTTTTGGGCGGGTATGATCGATTACATGTATCAAAACGTCACTCAGGCAGAAATGGGCTTGTCAACTCGAGGTTGATATTGTGATCACGTGCAGAAGAGAACAATCACCTACTGGTGTACTACAACTGAATCGATGTCACAAAATCACATCGTCTCGATGCATGCAACTCTCTGACAGATGTCCATAACCGCGAGACCCCGTAAGCAGCACAGAGTCAGACATGGTCCCAAGGCTTCTACCTCCCACCGATCGGTCTTCCACCAGCATTCCAAGGACAAGGATGACTTCCATTCTCGACCTTCCCACGGAAGTCCCAGGATCAAGTTTTCTGAACGACATAGCCAACCTTCGCAACGTGACAGGAATCTGCCAGTCGTGGCAGTCAATAGCCTTCGAGGTCTATGCGACCCAATACTGCAGACAATTCGGTATACACCGTGAGGCTGCTTGGGGTTATTGGAATGCGAAACTGTCGCCAGTCCAAGACAATACTCGAGTATGCTATTCTGGACGAAGATTGCATGGAGCAATGTCAGCAAGACAAGTTGGTTCCGGAACGTTTCATGTTCGAATGTGATGGACGTCTGCGATCATCTGTCTCCCTTGGTTACTCTTCCCAGTAAAGCAAGCAAATAGCTCGACTGGACCTGAATGCAGGAAAACTTGTCGAAAGCACCTAGGAAATGAATCTTCGGTGTCTCGCGACAAGTACTATCAATCTACCTCCCGTGACAAGCTCAGCCTGACATTGTGAAGGTCGCGACCAAGAGATACTAGAGAGGTGCAAATGAACGGAGAAGATATCACTAGATAGAACGATACAGATGGGAGGAGACCGAACTTGTTGCTCAAACGCGTGCGCACGACGTGACTGCGAGCTTGAAACCTGTAACACATTATCGTTCCAAGTTGTACACAGAGTTTTGGCTCTGGAGTACTCGTAATATTGGCGCTTTTTCGTTGTCCATTTGCGAGCCCATCTACACGTTCACGTTGGTTTTGCAACCTTTCTTGATTCTCCACGTCCTGTCACAACGTCTCTCATCTCTTTCCAGCTGACAGGAACCATTGCATTTCCATTCTCACTTTTTGCAATAACAACACCAAACTCGTTGCCAGCAGTGCTGACATAGTAATTCCGCTCATCGCCCAAGCTGATGACGGTGGCCCTGATTATGTCGCCAACGCGAAACGACTCATTCATAACGACTTTGTCTTTCTCATACGCTCTGATGTCTTCTCTACGCAGAATAGCGATAAATTGTGTCTCGTCATCCGTAACTGTAGGATAGGGTGTGATGCTGGAGTTCGAAGAGATGGGTGGTTCGACTGCGAGAATCGCGGCAATTAGTTGGCGCTGCTGAACACGGAGGATGCGGCACAGGACAGTGCTTCCGACGGTTGGGAGACTCGTTAGCTGAGTGGCTGCGATAGAAGAAGTTATTGAGATTGTGGGCTTTGTAGATTTGGAGGTAGCTGGAACAGTGAGTATAGTGCCTGCAAGTGAGGCATGAATAGAATTTTCTGAGACGTGAGTTCCTGGTCCTGGCTGGTGGGATGATAATTCTGCTAATACTTGACCTGGGATTGCAAAGGATGCCATCATGAGCATATAGCAATAAGCTGCAACATCAGATAGAGGTATGTGCTTGTATCGCAGTGAGCTGTGGGCGCAGCTGTTTACTCAGGTCCTGACAGCGATCATAGAACTCAAGTTGACTCTCGAACAGAAGAGCTTACGGGTGAGGAAACAACAAGATGTAAGAAATAATTTACAGCTCATGAGTATTTGCTTGATTTGCTTCATCGGCTTGTCTTGGCATAAAATCGCGAGCCTGAACAAGGTGTCCACCGTCCGACCTGGTTGCTATAGACCACGATGGTCACGGTGCTTCAATCTATGTCGCCTGCACCAGCCCTTGTTATACGACATGTTGCTTTCCATCTCTCAATAGCTTCAGTGTCACATCTCTTTTCTAGCTTGCCTTTCAGCAGATCGAAATAATCTGCGTGTTCGAAATCGTTCTTGGACATGATGCTCAACCAGCCATATACCCCAAAGCGTGTCCATAACATATCTGCGCCACCAGTAATATCGATACCGTTGCGGAGAAGTGCCAAAATCAACAGCTTGTTCTGCCGAGACAAGCATGGGCTAGAGTAAAGGGACAATACATGCTCCCACAGGTTACAGCGGCGATATAGTTCCATGTCTATTTGGCTGCGCAAGCCAGATGACATAATCTGTAATAGCCACTCGCGCTCTTTGTTCCAGCTATCTTCATCATCACTGTGAGGCGCTTCTCGCAGGATGTGCTCAAGCCAGTAATCGACTGTGACCTTGAAAGACCACGAGGGCTTACGAAGAAGAAATTTGTTAGCCTTGGGAAACATGATGTGCTGCGGTTGTAGTGCAATTGTGAGCAGAGCGTTAGCAAGCACTGGCACGAAAGTTGGCAATGGTTGTGCTAGATCGTACTGATTAACTGTTTCACATAGCTCGCCCAGTATAAGGAAGATTTGTTGCTTGCCTTCGTTCGATGAGCCACTATCAATACTCTGCAAGATTTGTTTGAGTACCTGATTTGCTTGGAGCTTGACTTCTGCATCATTTGCTGACAAGCACAAGATCAGACGCTGCAGTCGTTGTGTGCTCATCTCAAGCTCCACATCAAATCCGGCTGGCCATTTATCAAGTCCTTGCAGACTATCTGGGACGGAGGTCGAATGAGTGCACAATCTTTCCAGGACATGATCCGCATTTGACAACAAGTTGTCAATCCCCTTAAGAGCCTCTTCTGCTTCACTTCGGTTTTCCTGCTTGGTATACCATGTTGTCTCGATGACCAAAGCTTTTTCGCGGACTTTATCCAGAGCATCCTGCAGATAACTTCTCGCCTTGCCATCTGAGCCATGCAACATAGCTTCTTGGAAGTGCATCATGACCCGGTAGTTCTCACCAGCTGAGTCCAGCAGGGAAAATAATCTAGCTATCCAGGCGGCAATGTTCTTGACGACACTCTTGTCGTGTTCATAGCGCTTCAGAACGATATACCATTGCTCTGCTATCGCAGCCACGAACAGACTCAGGGGCTTTTTGTCTGAGACGGCCTGCGACGCAGACTCGGTCTCATCAAGATACTTGACTGGTCGTGCACTTGCTCGCACAATGCAATTGTCAAAGAGAACGAAAAGTTCTGTTGTGGCCGAGAACTTCTTGGAGGTCAAAAAACTGCTACAAAGAGCGGCGAAAGATGTCTCGCTGGGACTGAGGACTCCTCGATAGACTAGAACTTGACGAATGATTCCAAGTATCGTGCGAGTTGAGGACGAAGACTTTGCGGTCACGCAAATTCGAAATAGTGTACTCAAAGGACTCAAGGTTTCGTTATCAGGTTTGTGTAACCACTTGGTCGTTGGAGAAGATTCTGCTATCTGCACACAGTTGGCAAGCTGTTCTAGGATCAAGTCTTCCTCAGCCTCGGAACTCTCAAGCTTCAAGCACATTTCCGTCATTATCGGAGCTATATCAAACGTTGTCGACGTTGACTTATTGGAGAGAACATTATGGTAAGCAAGCAAGCACTCAAGAAGCGCAGGTCGCACCTTGTCGCCGACACTGGAGCTATGTTGTAAGGAGAGGTTGAGATCTCGAAGTGTCGGCAATCGTGATTCTGCAAGTTCACAAAGCTTATCACTCGCTTGGTGCCATAGGAAAGTATTGGTTGACGAACATCGAGCGAAAGCATCCAGGACGTTGTACAGCTTCGTCAATGCTACTGCCATGAGTCGAGCTGCGGAAATTTGCAGGACCTCATCTTTTGAGGACAGCATTTTTGTGAGATATGATCGATCCATCGGCCGAGGTAATACACTCTCAATCACGATGTTGAGCGGCGGAGGAGAATGTGGCTGGCCTTCGAGTTGACCAAGGTCTTTTGGAATAGGTGCTTCGATAGCCGCAAATATCAATGCAAACTGACCTCTCCAAGTAACATTGTCGCTGCTCGCAGCGGATATCTGTTTGTGTTTCCCGAAATACTCAGCTACAAGTTCTGGTGCCGCATCCAAAATACTGAGAAGAAGGGTTGATTGCAGGTTGTCCTCGTAAGGTTTCAATTTGTGTATGAAGGAAGCAAGGGTAGTATTGACAACCGGTACCCTGTCGCTGCGATCATCGAAGTAGAAAGGTGAATCAAGACCCAAGTCGATGAAGTCATCTCCAGAGCCTGTGAATGATGGCGCAGCTAACGAGGGTGGATACCATCCCTGTTGAGGTACCAGCACTCCATTGTCTGAAGCGCAAAGCTTGACCAGGAGCTTATGTGTTGCTGTCCGTACAGAATCTCTAGCATCACCTGTCTCATCCTCGAGCTCGTAAGAGTACAAAGCAGACAGGTTTTCAAGGTGAACTGCGTTGAAGAAACGAGCTATACCGACCCTGGATAACTGATTGTCAGAGATGAGGTGCTGGTCAATAGCTTGTAAAACATCGTTGACAATATCGTCGCCATCCTGAGTCAGTCCTCGCAAACACGCATGAAGTGCTCGAGCTTGGGCTAATAGATCTAATTTCGAGGTTGAATCGAGGTACTTTAGCATAGCAATTATGAGACGTAGTGCCATACGTCGTACAGATGGTCTCTTCCTCTCCTCCACATCATTGCTAGATACCTGTAACTCCAATACAGCCTCGAACTTGTACATTATCAGATCTCGTCGATACCAGAACTCGGCCGCTCTTGCTCCGGCATCGAAGCTTACCATCTCCGTCAATAATCGAAGACATGGTGAGGCGAGATGTGGCTTGGTTCTTGGTGATGCTAAACACTTTTCGAATAGCTTCGATTGATCGCGCTTCAGAAGACTGTCAATGAGTGCTAGCCCGAAAGAACGTAGCTCGATGATTCCTCCTATAGCCTTGAGTAATTGCGCTAATGCTGAGGGAACCGCTAAAATGATGGCCTCTGCATTGTTTTCGACCGCGAAGGACCAGGTTGACAGTAAATCATGGAAATTGAGCTGATCGTCTGAGATTGATTGTTGCGACAGACAATATTCCTTCAAGATTCGAAATTGCTCGGCTTGTTGCGACACATCCTCGAGGTGAGAGATTAAGAAAAGATAGTCCTTAAATGCGTTCACACCATCCTTGACCACGGGATCAGTGCTTTGCTGGAAATTTATCCATTCGTGTATTTGATCTACTGTGTTGACGGGTCCTGTAGTGATGTGATTTTCGGAGCTGGTCTTCAAGCGCTTCGCTGGACGTTCGTGGATATCTGCCATGACTTTGTTTGGACCTTGGAGTTAGTCGAACGAGTGGTGAGAAAACTTTTGAGGTGGTGTGTTGGCCTTGATGCCTTGATGCCTTGCATATGTTGCATGCCTGTATATGTTGATGCATTACATGCATCCTGCTGCCACCCCATCATTGATGTTGTTTCTGATATGATTTCGACCCGCATGTGCAGCAAAAAAGAAGAGGTCTTACCCGGATTCGAACCGGGCTACAAACTGTTAGCTAGATGTACAACACAAGCGTTTTTCGTTTTACGAACGTCACCGGAATAGTGAGGCAATTCAAGCCTGATCAGAATCCGAGGTGCTAACCGCTACACTATAAGACCTGATCGAAGTCGTCGTTGATTTGGGGCCAAAATTCTGGCCATAGATACTCTAGCATCACAATTTGCAAAAACAGAGATGTGTGACCGATTTCCAGCCGAGGCATGTTCGAGCATGTGGAAGTTTTAGCGCCTGGTGGCACGTGTTACAAAGCCTAGACCTCTAACTTCATCAGGCCCTTCAGGCCACAAAGAATGATATCACTCGGCTGCGATTAATCGTCAATTGCAAATTAGCTAGCAGTGGCTAGCAAAACTCATCATTTGGCACCTTTCAAGCGTATCAGTGTCTCACATCTATAGCTATGGAGAGTAGCGTAGTACGAATCACCTGACGCGAAGGAACGGTTACGACTTGTGAGTACGGTTGCATCGACGAGCCGCACAGTACGACCTAGCATTCCGAGGACCACGATGTGATCCTCCCTGGGTATCGTTGTCGACATAATGTTGGGCATGGCACCAAACAATGGAGGTCGAACCGAGAAGTCTATACGTCTTTGGTCTCCGATATGCGATTGAGGACTCATTGCTGCATATGCTTGGTTGCACATTGAATAATGAGCTGACACGTTAAGACCCCTTCCTAGATCTGATGCAGTCAACTCACTGTGGACTTAATGGATGCTGCTTCAGTTTCGGCGTCCTAGCAACATCAGAAGGTCGACTTTCGAAAAGCCTCTAATCACGCAATAGTAAGAATTGTCTACGAACGCACGAAAATCATTCAACTAGCTCTACAATGGAGCCATGGTGTTCAAACAGAAGTCCTGCCAGTCTGCTCAATTGAAGCTAGCATATATCTGTGTGATTTCGTACAAGCGAAGTAATATTGATCTGAATAGACCACTGTTCGGGAAGGTTGAATCCATCGATATTGGGGAGCTACGCTGCACAAGGGAAGAGTGAGTCTGTGAGTAGATACACTGAATTCCATCGATCGCTATAGGAGCTAACATAGTGAGAGTGGCTTACCAAAGACCACTAGTACCAGGTGAAAGTACTGGTCACTTTGTCCTTGCAGGGGAAAAAAGCATTACATGTGAAAGTGAACTGAGAAGAACTTCAAGTGCACTCACAGTGAACTCAGTTCAGTGAAAGGTTGGTTTAATTTTAAGACGGGCAATCTGGCCTGGTTCGATTTTCTTTAGCCAGTGACGCATTTTACTGTGTCTGCGCGCAAAGTGACGCCGACTTCAGCCTCTTGCAAACCGGATCTACGCGCCGATATGAAGCGACAGGAGGCTCGTCTTGAACAGCTCCGTGCCGAGTGCAATCACGAAGAAGATTCTCTTGAACGAATACAGGCTGCAGTCCAAGAGTTATGGGCTAGTCAACCCATTGTTCGGGCACTGGAACAGCTCTTCCAGCACTCAGAGGCCCTACATCTCGCTATTGAAGTTGATGCCAGCCAGGAACTGATCAGTACAGCACGGGCAGCCTGGCGCAGAGTAGTTTGTGAGCACTTGATAGATGAAGGCACCGGTTTGTCAGACTTCGCAACCACCCATGGCTTGGAACAGCCCGAGACTGTGCTGGAAAGCACAATTGCTATTGGAGTCGAGCTGCTACGTGAGGAGATTGATCGTGACGGCGGCACAGCGTCTCTGAACAGCTTAGAGGAGATAACCACAACAGTGAATCATGGAGCTGATGGCGCAGAGACCATGACGGTAGAGCTCATCAAGAGAGGAGACGATTTGCCGGTGGTCAATTATATCACCCAGGTTGTCGACGAGACTGACGATGACGACATTCCGGTAATTGTTCCACGGCCACCATCATGGGGAGCCTGAAAGAGATATCAGTGAGGGCGATATATTTCTGCGCCAGAGATGTGATCAAGCAATCTATTTGACCAAGTATATCCTCGCCTCCCAAGGCTTCAAGTATTTTCCGACATTCGCCTCACCATAGTTGCTAACAAGCAACTCAAGAGACCTGCTCTTGAACCTCCCAGGCATATCAAAAGGTTCCTCCTCATCCGAGAAACTGCAGCCAACCAATAACTCCTTCTCACTCGATCCCCGTTTCCCAGCTCCTTTCAGCTTCTTCACGAAGATAAAGGTCTTTTGTTCGTAGAAATCATGCAATTCGAAATCTCCTAGAATAGTGAGATCCTGATACTCGTGTCTGAACTTGAGCATTCTCTGCCAGAATTTGAGAGGTGAGTCTTCCCGTTGTAACTGTTCGGCGATATTGACGTTCTTATAGTCGTCGTGTACCCTGATCCAAGGTGTTGCTGTGGGATCGGTAAAGCCAGCATTTGCTTCGGCGGACCACTGAACAGGTAGACGTGCGTTGTCTCTACCAACAGTTGCTAGGCCCCTCATGGACTTCTTGTTCCATAACGGATCGTTTCCGTAACGATTCTTGACGTCGTTGTAGGCGTTGATACTGTCGATGTCGCGGATATCCTCGATTGACCAGTCAGCAGAGTGGTTGTAGGAGCCAATTTCCTGACCCTGGTATATGAACAGAGTTCCACTGAGACAAGTGATACAGACGGCAAGCATCTTCGCCGCTGCTTCCCGAAACTCTGGCTTGTCCGTTGCAAAGCGGGATACAGATCGTGCTTGGTCGTGATTCTCCAGGAACACCGTGCCCCATGCGCCAAAGTCCTGGATTAAGTTCTGACACTTCGCCAATGCTTGCTTGAACTCAGGTAGTTGATGCTTGTAGCTTTGATGTTTCTTGCCACCAACTGTCCGATTTGTGCCTAGGTCAACAACGTCGAAGTCGAAGACACAAGAAAACTCGTTGCGGTCGGGAGAGCAGTATGCGAGGATCGTTTCGATGCTGGAAGCTGGACACTCACCCACCATCAGAATGTCGCCGTACTTGTCAAGACATTCGCGACGCTGTTCCTGTAACCACTCGTGCATTCGTGGTCCATTCTCAAAGTGTTTGAAAGCAGGCTGGTATTCTTCTTCTGGCAGTGCAATTGCGGCTTCGGGAAATGAGATGTCTTTGCTGTAGAGATTGCATGTGTCGACGCGGAATCCGTCAACTCCCTTGTCTAACCAGAATTCTGTGTCACAAAAATTAGTCGTAAAGCCCAGCATTTTCTTTCGAATTAGACTTACCGATGGCTTCCTTGTATATGGCTCGCCGTACCTCCTCCAACTCCCAGTTCAGATCCGGTTGCTCCTTGACGAACAAATGCAAATAGTACTGTTGTCTCTCCTCCACCCACTCCCAAGCACTGCCGCCAAAGATAGACTTCCAATTGGTGGGTGGATACCGCTTGCCATCAACATATCTGGGATCCTTCCACATATACCAATTAGCCTTTGGGTTCGTCTTGTTCATTCTGCTCTCCTTGAACCAAGCGTGTTCGTCGCTAGTGTGGTTTATCACCAGATCGAGAATGATCCTCATGCCTCGATTATGGCACTCCTCGATGAGTGTGTCCATGTCATTCATTGTCCCGAACGGAGGGTAGATGCCTTGATAGTTCGAGATATCGTACCCGTAGTCTTTCTGAGGAGAATCGTACATAGGTGAGAGCCATATTATGTCGATGCCAAGATTCTTCAGATAATCTAATGTTGTTATGATTCCGGGTATATCACCCAAGCCATCGCCGTTACTGTCTTTGTAAGATGCTGGCCAAATTTGGTATGCAGTGCCGGTTTTCCACCAGTTTGGCTGAGGGTCGTTAGCCATGGTGTCTGGTGTATTTCTATGGATTAGTCGAAGCAATACAAATAAGTCTATGCTCTAATGAACGATGGGTGTCACGAGGTGAGAGAGAGAGGAGAGAGGAACTCGTGGACAGAAGACCCCAATATCAGCACAATATAGGAAGCATTAGTAAACACTCGACATCCGAGGTATGACACTTTCAGTGCAAGATCGTGTGAGTCGCGCCAATGCTCGACTCGAAGAGACACATGGCGGGAGATGGTTACCAAGAGGACGTCCATGACGAATTGGTCTAATAATCCGACAAGTAGTGCAGTAGAATTCGAGCGAGAGAAGGACCGATGAGACTTCTGGCTGTCTACTTGAATAACGCGTGGGAAACCCGCGTGCATTTACCGCACATTTCGGCGAACAGGCTTGGAAAGACTGGTATAACATCGAGTACTGTACACAGTCCTCTTGAACCTATTTCGGCCGATCTATGGCTGTATATCACATTATCATGTGACCGAGGAGGAGAAGTCGACACTATACGAGTAACAGAAAGAGAGAATTTATGAAAATAGCGAATACATCGCTCGATCGAAACGAGCCACCAAGGCCGGAATTCGAGCTATCGAGCTCGTTAGCATCTCCATAACTTGGCATCAGAGAACTACATCGAAACGAGTATCTTGCGCTCTCGAATAGCGACAAGTATTGTCTATATTGAGACGCCAGCGCAGGATCCCGGAGAGGACGGGTTAGGATGCAAACAAGACCAGCCAACACTTGCGCTCAAAATAAAAACACGACAATATACAAGCATGCTCTGTCAGTCATTCATACAACATGGTCCAGACCCAAACACGGCATGTCCTGGCGCTTCTCTTCAAGCCTTCGGAATCATATCTCCTGCGATTGAATAGTCTCTTCTTTCTTGCTGTTTGCAACTCTGGCCCAACGCTTCCCGAGCTCATAGGAACTGATCATAATAGCACAGGCAGGTGCAACCTTGAGACATCGTGGTATCCATCCCTTGAAGAGTCCGCTTGCACCTTCCTCTTTCATAATGTGATATAGAAATCTGGGCATAGAAAGTTCTTCAGGTACGAGCTTGCCAGCTTTTGCAGCTTCTTTAGCAGCCTGAATAGCCGAAGGGGCGTCGTCACCTGCATGTCGATAGACTTGCTGGCGTGTCTTGCCCACATCAAATGGTGTAGTAACGAAGGCAGCAGCGGCACCCGCAATGGAGCCGGCCAGGAAGCTATCCACGAAGGTCTGCATATGTGTTTCCTCCCTCTGTTGCTGCTGAGCCTGAAGCGGAGTGGAGATCATGCCATGAGTCGTGCTGCCTCTGACTGAACGTAACGTATTGCGCAGACTCTCATAGCCCCACCAATATAGTGCAGAGAATGGGACATCTCTCCACATTGTCAAGGTCAATCCACGCCATAGTGAAGTATATCCCTGCGATTGTGTCATTTTGTGCATTCCAACTAGTGTCTCCTTGAACACTCCTGTTGTACCTCCTTGAGCAGATTGTATCCTTGTTCTGAACATTTCAACAGGCGAAACAACCACGGCAGCCAAGATGCGTGCGAAAGACCCCGAGATAAGAGGGTTATAAGTGTCGTTGAATATGGTCCGAACAGGACTTCTTTGATTGTAGCGCAACCAGTCATAGCCAGTGAAATAGATGACATTGGCTGGAATAGCCATAACCAAAGTCGGCGTAAGTCCCCTCCACAGAGTGAGAGGTCCTTCATTACGCGCAATCTTTCGTAGACCATCAAAGGTGGAGTTTATGGTACGTCGTTCTGTCTCTTCCACTGCACAATCTGTGGCGACCGAACCTGCGCTGGCCGATCCGTTACCTGCTAGACAAAATTGTCCGTTGTCCCCCACGAAGAAGACCTCTTTACAACATGCTTTCAAGCCTAAATCTGGCGGTAGCTTTGCGAAATCAGCTCCGTATGCAGAGAATCGTGAAAGGTTAAGAGGTGGTGGCTGAGCGGGGCTTTGCGACTGTAATCTGACTCGAACAACATCGAGCGGAGTGACGAGGAGGGAGGTTAAGAGACTGCCAACAGTGGCAGAAACCATTCGCTGGGTCACCGTGATCTCGTCCATGGTTGTGTCGGGTGTATTGTCCGCGGACGATATTCTGTCATGCTGCTGGCCACCTTCTGCATCGTGCTGTCCTCTGAGACGAGATGCCTTCTGTGAGGCAGCGTCATAGGACATTCAAATGGGCCATAAGAAGTCAACGACGATGTTCGTGGGCGTGATAGTAAAAGAGAGGCGTTGAATAAGATGGAAAATGCTAGCAGTGCAAGCGCACTGCATCACTGAACGTCATGGAACCTGTATTTTTTCCAAACAGGCCTAGCTTCGGTTTCTATCGGCATGGTTGCCTTATTACCGGAACGTTTTGACTACAACGCTAGTAATCCTACAGTACCAGCCATGACTCCTTTCGTCCCTCGCTGTATATAACATTCTTTTGGTATAACTAGCTTCAGGCAGCTGTCTCGACTCAAGATACATCCGACATCCTCACACTCTGCGGATCACAACCACAATTCCACGACATGAACCAGGAACCGACGTCATCAGTATTAGAGCATTTCCGCCAGCAGTGGCAACAGGAAGTTCATGCTCGGACACAGCAGAAGCCAGCTGGAGGCTCCGGCCATACCGGAACCAAACCTGAGATCGACCAGGTAGCAAGATCCGAGAGACCCATTACTAAGCCGCCGACACGGCATCCTTCGGCGGACCAACATACTGAAGATAATGTTGAACCTGAAGCTTACGGGCGGAGTACAGCTACAGAAAAGCTTGAGCGCTTGGCAATACGGGACGCTGATGAAGACGAGTTTTCGAAACTTGGACGAGATGAGCCAAAGACTGCTCTGGAGCACTACGAACGGGCGGTAGAGAAGGAAGGTCAGGGGAGCCTTGGCGTCAGCCTGTCTCACTATCGCAGAGCTTTCAGACTTGACGAAAACGTGGATAAAGCCTACAAGGAAAAACACTTTGCCCACAAATGGAAGCAGCCAAAGCCGAACCCGTCCAATGCCGCTCCAACTGTGCCATCCACTGCCCATCATTCCCTAGCCGAAGCTGGCCGTGACTCATTACCACGAACCACGGCCGAGCTCATTTCTAGCTGGGCAGATTGCGACATACCAAATGCAGAACCAATGATTGAGGGAGACATACCGCCTCCTTGTCCTATCAGGAGGTTGCCCACTGAGGTCCTACTCGAATTGCTTCGTACTATTGCTATCAGGGACGTTTCTGTGTTCGCCCGGTTAGCTTCTGTCTGCAAAAGCCTGGCGTTTCATGTGCATTCCGAAAACTCGATCTGGAAAAGAGTTGCGCTTGGTGCAGAATTTGGTCTTGCAAGTCAGAATTATCACTTCAAAACTGATATTCAAGGCCGACCAGTAATATGGAAAGCTCTCGAAGATGACGACGAAGACGTACGACCAGTGGCTCCAATACCCGCCCAGCTCTTGTCGGAAGCGCAGGACTATCGAGAGTTGTTTCATTCGTATCCTCGTATACGCTTCACTGGTGTGTACATTTCAACAGTAAACTATACACGTTCTGGTGGAACGTCGGTAACGCCTGCCACCTGGGGCTCGCAAGTACACATAGTTACGTACTATCGCTACCTGCGCTTCTTCCGAAACGGTACCCTAATTTCTCTGCTGACAACTCATGAACCATTGGAGGTTGTTCACTTGTTGACTCTAGAAAATCTTGCGATCGTGCGATCAGGAAACACAAAGTACTCTGCAAACACCCACCACTTCGCCAATGCAGGCTATACTGTCTCAACCCATCCAAATGCACCTCCACCATCTGCTCAAGCCATTCTCAAGCATGCTCTCCGTGGTCGATGGCGGCTGTGCCATGACTCTCTCGAGTCGATCGAGATTGGCTCGAATACGGCAGTACCTGGGGACCTTCACATCGAGACAGAAGGTGGAGCTGGTCCGAGGTACATGTACACGATGCATTTGTCTTTAAAACATGGCAATACCAAAAACAGACTTGCCACCAAGAACAACAAGCTGGTATGGAAGGGATTTTGGAGTTACAACACTGTCACCAACGATTGGGCTGAGTTTCAGCTTAGGAATGACAAGGCCTTCTGGTTTTCGAGGGTAAAGAGTTATGGCCTGGGGTACTGAGAAGTCGATCCGTGATGACGAGGACTGAATCTTCTATGGTACCGGTCATAGCTCTTTCGAAATTGTTAAACCGGGCCTTGCCCAAGCTCGGGCCTAGACCGTCGCCAGATCCGAACGATCTGCAATTTCTCCCAACCAGCCTTTTTACCGCTGCTGCCAACTGTTTCGACCAGCCATGGTCCACCTAGTAGAGACTTGATTTTGACCTTGACCTGATCAGGCTTATTCTGTGCACAAAGTAGAACATATGCAATGCCGTCCGGGCTTAGGACATCGGGAATTTGTGCTAACAAGCGATTAGTAGTCTCCATGCCGTCTATACCACCATCATATGATATAGACAAAAGGTGAGAGTCGTGTTCAAATTTGTCCCTATAGTTGTTTCCCACAACTGGCAAAGCAGGCAAATTTTCACTTGGAACGTAAGGTGGGTTGAAAACGAGCACATCCACGCTTCCTCGATATAACATTGTACATAGATCGCCATTTACACTTCCAAGGTAGCAAGAAGCTGATGCTCGATCTTTAACAGCCGCGGACACAGTCTGCTTGGTCGCCGCACATGCATTCGGATTGACGTCGATGCCCATCGAAGCGATTGGTCCGCCAAAGATGTGGTCGGCATTAGCAGCGAGGAATGCGATCACAACGCCAGAACCTGTGCCCACCTCAACCACGAGAGGCGTATAATTGGTAAAGTGGTATTGCAGCCATTGCACTTCGCTTGGGCTGGACAGCGTGTCTAAAAGGAGGAAGGAGTCTTCAGCCGGCTCATAGATCGTGTCGAAGTTGACATGGGAAGTGTCGGGCGTTGGTAACATAGTTGAGAGCCACGCAATAAATATAGTCGGTCTCAAGGAGAATAGACAGGTTCGTATGTGCCGAACACTGCAAGCACTGTTGATGAGCCTTACCTTAATCGATAGAAGAGTACATGGCGAAACTCCTCTTCTGCTGACTACCACATCCACGCTCAATAGACTTAGCTGTGTTAGATCTTAACGTGTCTCGAAGAGTTTATTACAACGAGGCAGCCGCGAAGTGGTACACGGAACACGATGTGCAGTAAAGGTTGACGTGAGGCGCTAGTGGTACTGACCCTAACCTTAGTTTTTGGCGACCACTGACGAAAGAGCTGCAAGCTGTGAAATGATGTCAAGTATTTTGTACCCGATACCGTGAAATACGATCTTCCTTCTTGTTTACATGTAGTGTATAGCTCGTTCTTTGCTTCAAATACTTTAGCTAGCCAAACTTCAAGCTTCTGACTGCCGCCATGAAAGTCTCAGCACGTCTTCTTGCCTCTCCAGTGACGCCCCGTTTTAGACCAGGCCGATCTGCTCCAAAACTGGCTGTCCTTCCACCTATACCACTCTATCGTCGCTTGCTACGGATACATCGAAAGCGTCTAGGTCCGGAAGAGCGGATTATGGGCGACCTCTATCTGAAAGCCGAATTTCGACGGCACAAGGACATTGACAACCCAATTCACATCATTGGCTTTCTTACGCAATGGCAGCAATATGGCCAGACGATCGAAGGAGAGAACTGGAAGGACGAGAAGTTTGATAAAGAGCTACTGGACAAGATGAGTGATCAGCAGGTTGGGCAGATGTACGAGCTGATGCAAACGATACAAAAGAGGGGCAGAGATGCTGCAGACGAAGAGAGTGTAGATGAGCTGTACGCACCTGATGAGTCAAAGAAACAGTGATAATCAGCTCTGGGCGCGACAGTGGCTGACGATGTTGGTACGATGGTTGTGTGTCGATGACTTTGGTTTCAGCCACGGAAAACACCCAACACAATGAATATTGCTTGCGTATAGCCACTGCGCATCACTTTCCGGCTGACTCAACACCATCCACGAAGTCGCTACGTAAGCGTAGCTATCTCCACAACTGACAAGATATATCTGGGGCGTGGAAGACTCGCTAATTAGACCACGCGTTCTTAAAACTTCTACAGTCACAACCGAAGTACAGTCAATATCATTATACCTACGCAAATCCCAAATTAACGACCATAACAATGTGTCGCGTCACACCTTACAAATCCTCAACCTGCGCCCACCGCTGGATGACAATCACACGAAGCTGCGCTCCCAACGTCAACTTCGAAACTGCACCAGTCCACAAGTACAAATGCGATAGCACGCACTTACTCACCAACTCACCAAAGTACCAGGATGCGCCCGCCAATAGCTGCCCGATCTGCGATCTGAAAGGACAGTATAATGGCAGAACGACACGAATCGTTGAGCCTACTATGACTAGGACTAGGTGCACGCAGAGCAATATGTATAAGATGACGGCGCTGCCAGTCATGGCGGCGACAGGCTATGGAGGTGCTGCTGCTGCTTACGGATATCCGACTTTTGGCACGACCGCGACGAATGGACGAATCGTGTCGGCTTATCAGCAGCAATTTGCTGCAAACAAGGAAGCAGCTGCAGTGATGCGTAGTCAATTCTATCCTCAACAGAATTGCGTGTATGCATATCATCGACGGAACGAGGAGTCGATTTGTGGGGTTACGTGAAAATGGCGTGTATGCACGCGTAGGAGCAGATATTTGATGAGTGCCAACGAGCATGCTACGTATACAACCATCTATTGGAGTTGCGAAGGACCTGGAAGGAGGATGGACTTCTCCTCAAACAGAGCTCTTTTACAAAAGCGCGACCAGCTGTTGTCCATACTGTACAACAAATGCAAAGAAATCCTCAACAACGAAGGCCATCAACCTTTCTCACTACTATCTTCACTCATTTGACTCGTATCACCAACCTTCTTTTCCTCCTTCTCCCTACGCTCCTTCGCTCTCCGCTTCAACTTCCGCTCCCTGTTCTTTTTGTTCCTCTTCTCCTTCTCATGCTCCTCTTTCGACTTGCTTTCATCGATGATCCGCTGACGTTTCGCTGCCCTATCTCTGAGCAGATTCCGCCGTTTCTTTGATGGGCGCGGCCTTCGTCCCGTCCTTGGGTTTTCATTGTTAATCATCGCGGTACCTTTCACAGTGCTGCTTGACGGTAATTTTGTCAGAGATGGTGTCTTTTGCAGAACGACCTGTTTCCTGTTTGTCGGTAAATGTATCACGCGCCAAGACAGGGAAGCTCCAGGCCAATATCGTGTGCTCAGTGTGTCGAGGATGAAATTCCCTGTGACCGCGGCCGCGGCGTAGCTTTCTCGCAACCGTTGCTGCTTCTCGGGCGGTACACATGATGTCAGGTAGTAGCTGTCTGGTCGTGACGTGTGGTATAACCCTCTCTCAGCTTCCTGAGATACTGCTGGAGATGGCGAGCGGATCGAGATCAAGGCCGGGACTGATCCTGTCGTGTTCTGGCATGTGGTTTCTGTTGATGGTGTGAGTGCTGAAGATTGCTTCTGAGATGATTGAGGTGCCGGTCGGAATAAATTGAATTGAAAGGTCTGCTCTTTTTCTGAGGTCGTTCCAGCTTGTTGCGTAGAAGCAGTAGTGGTCTGGTCGATAAATTCGTAATCGAAGCCATAGTCTGGCAGGATTTCGTCCACATCAACACCACTGTGCTTCTTTTGTCCATCAATCTGCGTGCGCTGTTCGTTATCGTTGTCCCTCTCGAAGAATTCTGTGCGCTTGACACGCTTTGCACCTGGTATCTCGAACATTCTGCAAAGCTGTGTCCAGCGCTCCAGATGTTCAACAATTCGATCTGGCGAGCCGTGTCAATCCGTTGTGCATTTTATGAATCCAGATATGAACTCAATTGTCGGTTCCATATTGACGGTAGCTGTTTCAGTGAATGCTAGTATACGAATCAAATGAGGTTCACGTTCTCAGGCACGTGCACAAGGTCAGAAAGAGTTGATGCCTGAAACACTTTTTTTCCTGCTGACGACTTCAGAGAATCAGAGGAAACTGTTGGGGTTGGCTCGTTACTTTACTAGCTATACGACTCTGTCTGAGTAAGATCTTATACTTCGATACGGACAGTCTACGCATCCAGCAACGGCGGCTCGAACGATCCTGAGAACCTTTACACAATCTGAAAGACGGGCAGTAACGTTGCGGAATCGTTTCTACAAGATGTCCTCGGATTCTCTACCGACCACTTATAATGGTAAGGATGACGAAGAAGTATGGTCTCACGTCTGATTTAGTGTTTCAGGAACACCGCGCATAGCAGTAATTGGCGGGACAGGCCTCGAATCTCTGCCTGACTTTCATCCTGTGGCAGCACTCAACATCGATACACCTTGGGGCAAGCCTTCCAGTCCAATCACTATTTCAGAGCATCCTTCACCTACAACTGGCAAGCCAATTCCAATCGCTTTCCTCGCTCGTCATGGCGTACATCACCAATTCACACCCCATGAAGTTCCTGCTAGAGCCAATATTGCCGCATTACGAAAGATTGGTGTTCGTGCCATTATCGCCTTCAGTGCCGCTGGTAGCTTGCAGGAAGAGGTTAAGCCTAGAGATTTTGTGGTGCCTGATCAGGTGATTGATCGAACCAAAGGCATCCGGCCATTCACGTTCTTTGAAGGAGGCTTTGTGTGTCATGTCCCGTTCGCTGACCCATTTGACGGACAAGTGGGCAAAGTCGTGAGAAAATGTGGCCACAGCCTTGAGGGCGATGGTGTTAGACTACACGACAAAGGCACTGTCATCTGCATGGGTAAGCTGACCAGATGAACGCAAGTGACGGGGCACTAACAAGCGAGCAGAAGGACCACAATTCAGCACTCGAGCAGAATCGAACATGTACCGAAGCTTTGGAGGTACAGTAATCAACATGTCTGTCCTGCCTGAAGCCAAACTTGCTGCTGAGGCCGAAATTGCATATCAAATGGTAGTGATGAGCACAGATTATGATTGCTGGCACGACAGTGGTGATGTGACAGTAGAGATGGTCATGGGTCACATGAGAGCCAACGCAGTAAATGCACGAAGGTTCATAGGCGCTGTGTTAGACGAGCTCAGCAAGGAGGAGTATGCTGATCTGGTGGCGGCTAAGCATTTGGAAGGGGGTCGCAAGTTTGGTGTCAGCACTCACCAAGGTGGAAAGAGTAAGGAGGCATTGGAGAAGATGGAGTGGCTCTTTCCTGGTTATTTCTCCTGATCAAATGTTCGGATTTCAAGCAAGTCCGATCTTGCTTACTAGCTTTTCGGCAATGGACTGATAATACTGGGTGTTGATGAGATGTCCGCTAGCCTCTTCAGCCACTATGGTTGGCTTGCCAGCATCAGCGTCACGACATATCTTCGCATCAAGAGGTATGTTGCCCAGAAAGTCTACGCCCATCTCTTGAGCCTTAGAGGGTACCCTCTCAGAAGAACCATCATGAGCAAAGATATGTGTCTCTTCACCGCATTTCGGACACACGAACACAGACATATTTTGAACGAGTCCAAGCACGGGAATGTTCATCTTTTGAAACATGGCTATGCCCTTCACAGCGTCCTTCAGAGCGATATCCTGAGGTGTCGTAACAACGACAGCTCCAGAAAGCTCAATCTGCTGGCCAATCGTCAACTGAACATCGCCTGTACCTGGCGGTAGATCGAGGACAAGCACATCGAGCTTGGGTGACCAGTCGACTTCATGTAGCAATTGATGAAGAGCTTTCTGCACCATGGCTCCTCTCCACGCTACAGGTGCAGCTTCAGAGGGTAATAGATAGCCCATGCTCATGCTTTTCAACCCATAACTCTGTAACGGGATCAGGGAGCCTCGATTGGTGACTTCAGGTTCAGATGCATTTGCGAGATTGAGGAGTGTCGGAACAGAAGGTCCAAAGATATCGGTGTCTAGTATTCCCGTTCGTAGATTGCGTCTAGAAAGAGATAGGGCAAGATTGACAGCTAGTGTTGACTTTCCGACACCACCTTTGGCGCTCGAAACAGCTATCACATGATCAACATGAGCTATTCGACGTTTCACAGGAAGCCCACGTTGCGCTCGTGGGAAGGTAGGAGGTGGGCCAGCTGCTGGTTGCCGTCGAGGAAGGCCTAGTGGGTTTTCATGACTCAGACAACGCGGCGAGGTCGATAACCATCTACGCATAGCCAGATAGCCAGGTCGTAGGTTGCTGTTGCTTTGCTCTTGATTCGCGAAGAAGAGATTCAATGCAAGACATGGAAAGCCGGAGCAGGCGTATGCTCAACCCAGGAAGGCAAGTGCGGCGAATGCTTTCACGCTCCCTGCGAGCCATAATTTTTGTCCGTACTACTAGTAGATGACAATAAGTCATTTGAGTTGTGCGGTTGTACGCGCATTGTAAGAAATGTCACGCTTGAGGAAGGACGTCAAAAGTTTGACATTAAATCAAGGAAGGCGGAAAGACTATGATCCAGAAGACGAGCGCCCCACGAGTGAGGACGAGTCGGCAAGTGGCACAGATGTGGAAGATGTGGTCAATGGTCGCGAGCACTATGAAAGTGTTGGAAAGAGCATATTAAGGAAGCCAGAAGCCCCTGCCTTGGATGCGAAGTACGGCGGAGTTGTTATCAGCAGAACGACTCTTGGAGACGAAAGCGATGACGACCCATTCGCGCCTGACAAAGATGGCTTCGACGATGAGGATCCCTTTGCTGTTCCCGAAACTGGAACTGGCAGTGCTTCAGAAATAGATAGTATGGACAGTCATGAGTTCCTGCCTGGCAAGCTGAACGAAAGAGCCGGCGATACCAGCGAGAACGAAACCGTTGAGTCAAAGGACGACCAGGATCAGCTGTCCGACCAGGATATGGAGCTCGCAGAAGGCTCGGAAAGCACAGGGGATGAGGACGAAAACGAAGACACAGACGAGTTGTCTGCCGAAGAAGGGAGCAGGGCCCTGAGTCCACAGCAGCAAAAGCGAGCAGACTTGCGAGCTCTGTTATCAGGTCAAGCGCAATCGCTTGCCTCAGGTCTTTCGCAAGCTACTAACGCTGATGTGAAGAAAGGTCGAGCAGTCAAGAAGCAATACCAGACTTTCGACCGTTTGCTAGACTGTCGAATGAAAATCCAGAAAGCACTGAATACACCTGCACATCTACCTACACAACAAGATACACATCCACTCTCTTCCAAGGCCGAGGAAGCGTTTAGAGGCGCGCAACAGGCTGCGTTAAATTTGTTCAACACAATGTCCTCATTTCGAGACAGCATTAAGGAAATACCTGCGACTGGAAATACTTCTAAGAAGAGGAAGAGACTGCCGAAATATGAGAGCCTAGACGATCTAGACTCAATGTGGTCCGCACTCAACGACCACGAGCTCGGCGCACAAGCCTCGCGTCGTACAGTACTCGACAAGTGGTCCAACAAAGTAAAAGCGTCAGATCCTACAAGAGCGACCGCAAACGCAAGGTACAAAAACCTTGACCCAACCGCTCACAACGACAACCTCACGAAGATCTTAGACACCTATGTTATTAACGAGCAAGAAAAACATTTTAGATCCGATGAAGCGCAGCAACAAGAACACTCCGAAGCCTCGTCGCTGCCATACGACGACAGTCTCTTCTATCAGTCACTTCTACGCGAGCTAATAGCCTCTCGCGCTAACGCCTCCTCGGCTGGCGACAACCTCTCGCTGTCTGCTCTACCGCACAAGCTTCATCCTTCGGGTAACAAGCAGAATAAGAAGACTATCGATACCAAGGCGAGTAAAGGGCGCAAAGTAAGGTATACTGTCCATGAGAAGCTGCAGAACTTCATGGCTGCCGAGGGTGATACTGGCCGAGATACCGCTATGTGGTCAGAAAGGGGTAAGAACGAGTTTTTTGGTAGTTTGTTTGGGCAGGATCGTGCTCTTATCGAGGACGAAGATGAACCGATGGACAATCAAGAAAATGGAAACCTTGCCGAAGTTGAGGCGTTGAGGTTGTTCAGGACTTGATCTGGTCTTCTACAAATTTAATGTCGCATCTCGACCACCAGAATTGATTTTCGTCGATCTCAAGTGTTGGCATCGTGATTATTCTGCATCAAAGTGTCTGAGCATACACTTCGGTGACACTGACGAGTTGGCAGACAACAATTCGAGAATCACGCCGCGAATACACGAATATTCGTCGGAGCGCTTACTTGTCCTCAACGGGTACCCGACCCATATCTTGGTCTGCGCAGCGTGACTGCTCGTGTCATATCTCTGTCGTCATTTTAATGAGGCTCTAGATCGCACGGACGTCGAAGCAATCTTTCACCAGCCTCAAGCGCGAACTGATCATCTGGTGGCACTTGCTCTTTTATGCTGTCACAGGTTGATAAGTCATCTAAATACTATAACACAGCTCTGCGATAATATCGGAATAATGCCATCCTTGGTCTTATGGGCGAAGGCCTATCTCGATCGACTACCAACAAGTGATTGCGATCAGACTGTAAGGGGAAGTCGGTCGATATATCAGGAGTAGTGCTCGACAAATCCTTGACGGGCCTCATGATTTCGCTATGGTGGTCCGTGACGACGATCCTTCAGATAATTCCCAGCCTTCTTCCTAGCACAACAAAAGCTTCATAGGCAGAGATTCCCATACCTCGAACCTCATGTGCTCGCTGTCTTTGCCCTATTAGGTCACCTTGTATTCACGAAGTTCGACACTCTGCTCATCCATCTGGGTTGCTCTGCCACTAGCTACGGTGGCGTATTATGGGTGTGCTAGAAGGGTTTAATCACTTGTGATGAAAACAGTAGACAATGGTACAGCTGACGTGGAACGAGGGACGACCAGGAACGTGGAACGTGGTTTGCAACACGATCAACAGTTACGATCTTGGTCGTCTTACCTCCCTTCGACGTCCGTACAATTTCGAAACCCCGACTATGGAAAAGACGCGTGTGTCGCGCCAGACATCGAGCAGGGGCCGTTCGTGAGAGATGCAGAGTTCAGGACGGAGCACCGCTTTGAAAGGTCACAAGGTATGTTCGCGTTGCTGTCGAGCCTTGAAGTCTTTCTAAGTTGTCTCTTAGCTGCAATGGATATTTCGTCTCCGCGACGCCTACCATCCCTGGTAGAAGCTATGTATAATGACGGAAACATAACTCCTGGCATACTACGACCAGAGGAGAACCATAACAGCTTCGGTCGATGTCATCACAAGGACAACCGGTATCACAACATCCTAGATACCGCATGCCTTGGAGACCTGAGTCGAAGGCCAAGCGAGTCCGACGAACACGATTTACAGAGTGCTGTCACTCTCGTTGCCTCTCCGACTGCACAAGCACTATTCGACAAGTACCAGGCACAATACGCTACTCACCAAGATTCGACCTCATCATGCAGCTCTTTTTCCAGCCAAGCTAGTGACGTGCGTAATGCTGCCCCAACGAATAGGTTGATACGTTACTACACAGATGGTAACAGTTTCGACGAAGAAATCCTAACCAAGAGGGTCGACCGCTTCTCAACTGAAATACATCCGTGGCCGATAGGTGAAGATCAAAAGCAAGCCCACTATCCCCTAACAGCTCATCACTTTGAGAAGCTTCGGCAAGGCAGTTTACCGCCACCCTATCAGCAGACAAATCGCAAGGCTTCCGATGCTGCTGCAGGGAAGTACAAACCACACTCGAAGCAGAGTCGTGATCGTTACCTTCGACATGCTGCTCATACACGTGAGAAACATACCTACCTCCTCAAGCTTTGCAAAGGATTCCTCCTCTTTGGAATACAAGCTCATCGGCTAGAGGAGTACTTGCACATAACGGCATTACACCTTGGTATTGCTGCAGAGTTTCAGTACATACCACATTGCATGCTTATTATCCTTACCCATCCATACTACGACAGAAGTGAGGTACATCTTCTGAAAGAGAGCACGGGCTTCGACCTAGGGAAGCTCGAAGATGTCTACCAAGTTTATCATGCCGTTGTCGAGGAGCAGAAGGATCTGCAAATCGGTATCGGAGAACTGGACAACATCATGCGAAGGCGAAAGACCTACACCAACGTACTCCTTATCCTGCTGCATGGTCTAGCAGCTATGTGCGCCGGTACATTCGCGTTTTCAGCTAGACCAGTGGACTTTGCGCCCCTCTACACCTTTGGCTGCCTACTCGCCATCCTCCAGCTCCTCGTCATACAGACCCCCATCCGCAACTCTCACATCCTCGAAGTCCTCACATCAATCATCGTCACCTTTTCAGCACGTGGTCTCGGCTCAATCCTTCTCGACAACGGCAGTCCCATCTTCTGCTTCTCAGGCATTGTCCAAGGCACCATAGCCCTCATCCTCCCCGGTCACATCATCCTAGCCGCAACCCACGAGATCCAAAACCGCCAAGTCCTCTCCGGCACAGTCAAAATGATCTACGCCATCCCATACACACTATTCCTCGGCTTCGGCATCCTGATAGGCACAACACTATTCGGCCTCATCGACCCAAAAGCAACCAGCAAAACAACCTGCGACGTGCCCTGGTACTGGGATACGCTCCACGACCGCTGGCACGCCACATACGCGCAATTCGTATGGGTCCCGGTCTTCGCCCTCGCCATCTCAATCATGCACCAGGCTAAACCCCAACACCTCCCTGCCATGGTCTTCATCGCCACCTGCGGCCACCAAGCATTCTACTGGTCCCTCTCCCGCTTTGCGCAAAATCTGCAATTCGCAGGCTTACTCGCCGCCTTTGCCAGCGGCCTCCTCGCGAACATCTACGCGTTGTTCGCGAATTGTCTTGCGGCGACGGTCCTCCTCCCAGCGGTACTGGTCCATATCCCCAACGCGCTGGCTGCGAGTGGGAGTCTTGTTGCGGGCGTCAGTACGGCGGATGCGATTGTCACGAACACGACTCAATGGGTTAATGATGATGGGATGATCAGGCAGAGGAGAGCGGTGGATTTGTTGTATGCGAGGGATTTCAACGTGAAGGGGTCGAGTGGGTCGACGGGGTTGATTATTACGAGCGGGATTGGGATGGCTCAGGCGACGATTGGGATCGTGGTGGGGTTGTTTTTGAGTGCGTTTGTTGTGTATCCGTTTAGGAGGCGGAAGGCTGGGGCTCTTGCTTTTTAGATCGATTCGCTAAAGCAATGTGCAAATACGTAGTATCCTAAGAATATCAATCAATGATGTGAATGAGAAGTTGCTGTTGGCTATGGCTATCTACGTCTTATACGTGTCTACTTGCCAGCCAGTCGCGCATTGTCTCAGCTGGCTTGACTTTGCGTCTAGCCTCCTCTACTGCCCTACCATAAGGTGTCCCCTCTCCACTCGATTGTATATAGGGATTGTTTGTGGTCTCAGATTGCTGTCTGAAGCTTCGCGATCGGCTCGGAGTAATCTTCGGGTTATAGTAATGTTGCTTCGGCCGCACAGCTGGGTGCTGACCACTTCGTTCTGCTCGGTCGGATCTATGATCCGTTGTTGTATGCGCGCGATGTGGACGCGTCACCAAAGGAGGAGGAGCCGATGAGTCTAACGTCGTTGAGGAACGAGTGCGTACGGAGGGCACCCGTTCGACACCTCCCTGCTTCCACCCGTCCTCGTGATGGATCTTCTTCGTGTGATCTAGTCCGTGTTCTGCCCTGCCCGAATCGTCCTCGATCCAATCGAGCTTGGCCTTGGCTTTGGAGCGAAGACTTCTCTCCAGCTTTATTTTCTGGTGCTGGTATTCTCGCAATTGAAAGACGAAGAGTATGAGGTTGAGGAGCCAGACAAACGAGCCGCTTGTAATGGCTGCGATTTGCAGATCACCTATGATGTACAGTGTTGGATTACATTTGCGGGTGAAGAGGTTTGCAAATGTGCAGGAATGGAAAGTTGCTTTCTGAGTCGTTGTTGGAGTGCTGCTAGAAGGTGGTGTGAGAAAGGTAGGGTTCGCGTCGGATATGGACCGGCGTAAGTGCAAGGTGATTGAGGAGAGAAAATTGGCCGATGAAGTTGCGGTCGAGGAAAGATCGACTGAAGATGTGATTACGGCTGGACGCCAGAAACGATAGAGGCCTGAGATACCGGCCAAGACGAGGAAAGTCAGAAGCACGACGAGAATGGTGACTGAAAGATATACTCGAATCTTTGCAGATCGGATCTTGAGGCTGGTGGACTTGTTCCGGGCTTTCAAGTAATCGCTCGAGCTAAACCGATGGACCAGCCACGGTTTGGCAAGAGCATATATACTAGCAGCCAAAGTGAGAAAGAGTGGTCCTATCGGGAGGGCATCGGGCCAATCGCCTCTGATGATGCCAGTCCGAAAATTGAAGTTCGAAGTCCACAAAGGGAGGACAGCGGCGAATAGACCAATAGAGGCGAATGACAATAGAGCGTTCAGGCTGTGCAAGATGGAAAGCAGTCGCCGGCGACTTTTGGATTTGTGAGATCGACGATGGTTATGCGAATGGTTGCTCGAGGACGCCTTGTAGGAGTAGTTGGAACCCATGTTCACTGATGCGCCTGTCTCTGAAGGATCAAGAGGTGTTTTCAAGTACAATAGCAAAGGTTATACTAGGTTGATTTCGTGACAATGGTGCGAATACGCGTCTGTCGTACGTAGGCGCTGCTAACATTCAGGAACCAGGTCAGTGAGAAAGAAAGAGTAGACGCTCCTGGCGCTACAGGTAGAAAAGAATGTTCAGCAACAGCATCGCCATGAGACAGATCAGCAGTAGTCAGTATCTCATATGTGTGCTCAGAACAAAAACGTCGGAAAGCAAAATGAGTGGGTTGTACACTAGGTCGTGAGGCAGAGGGTATCGGCTTGGTCGCGTTCTCCTACCTGCATTGATCGTGGTTGGTAGTTGAGAACAATTCCAGAACATCTTAGTCACACTACTATCGTGGTAACCATACCAAAGATGTGAGAGAATCGCAACAGCGACACATTGATTGGCGTGTAGTTGACAAAGGCACAAACTGAAACTCTGTTTGGCTTGAAAACTGGGGAGCAAGGAGTTTCAGATTCGCGAAGCAGGACTACGAGTCGCGATTCAATTGGTCGGGAACACCAGTGAGGAAAGGGACCGTTTTCTGGGCGGGTCTGGACTGCCAAGAGATTATTAGTGTCAGGAACACCAATGGTAGCGCGAAATATCCGCTTCCTCCCGCACCTGTCTGCATGTTGTTGGTCGCTTGGACGAGTGAAGAAACAGGCCCACCAAGGTGCACCATATAGGGATCGGAATGTATCAGCCTGTCAAAGTTGCGCGTGAAAACAACGAGATCTTTTTGTTCGAGCGGAGGCTGGCGCCGACTCAGTCGGCAACATGGCAGCAATTAAATTTAAATTACACTCCGGCTCAACAGCCATGACGTGACATCACTTTCACTGGGCATACTCATACTGTTTCAGCGTCTTTCTGCAACACCATTCCATGAACCATGGAGAAGCTGGATATGCCAAGTTCAATTGCGTTGGCCTTTACGTGTGACCCATGAATCTCGAACCCAGGTAACAGCCGTACCAACGATGTTGTGGCATCGAATTGGTGACGTCGCAGATTCCACACCTTGTCTGAGGCTTCAACGGTCTGAAAGATTATAATACGTTATTGAGCATTTGGAATGGCGGACGCCCTACCACCCTTAATTGGGCAATCCATCGATTACCACGATACACCCATCGCTCACCCTCCGACCACGGTTTTCCCATACCCTAAATCTACCCAACCTCCAGGACTTGCTATTCGAGAAAGAGATGGCTCTGATGCGACATTCAACGATGAACGACCTGAAAGGAATGGGGCGCCACAAGTAGTTTCTGTACGACACAGGTCAATGTCAACTCCAAGGAGTCCTGGCGCAGAATCAATTGAACAGAGGCACTCGTCTGCGACACAGAATCGGCGGCCATCTAAAAATATACAATCTGCGAATTCGGACCTGCCGCCGAACTATGAACCCGATGACTCCTCTTCGGATTCAGGCTTCTCTTCTGAAGATGAAGATGAAGATCAGACTGCCGACCTTGATCACGCACGTTCGCAGCCTGGACGAGGTGAGTTGGGGCCTCAAGAACTAAATCGTGCTCGCATGAGGCCGTGGCACGAAAAGAAGCGTCATATGATCAGGATCGGCAACGATCATTTCAAGAGCTATGGCAAGATTGCAAAGGATGGTCGTCTCAATGTCAAGATCAGCGAAATGGCTAATTCGGGTTATCTGGCCAAAGCTCTGGGTACTGCTATTCGTGGACACCTTAGCCCTCATGACAAGGACACGCAGCAAGAAGAAAAAGAAGCGGAGACTCATCACCAGGAGCATAAAGAAACCGACAAAGTTCCTCGCATGAACATCGTGATCATGGTCATCGGAAGCCGAGGCGATGTGCAACCATTCCTAAAGATTGGTCAAGTTCTGAGAGATCGTTATGGTCACAGAGTACGAATAGCAACACATCCTGCCTTTCAGAAATTCGTCCAAGATGAGATTGGCTTGGAATTCTTCTCTATCGGCGGAGATCCCAGCGAACTCATGAGCTTCATGGTTAGAAACCCAGGTTTGATACCTTCCCTCGAGACTCTTACCTCGGGCGAAGTCGGCCGGAGAAGAGAGCAGATGTTCGAAATGTTCAATGGTTTCTGGAGAGCTTGTATCAATGCCACTGACCAGGAAAAAGACACTTCCAACCTGAAGATGTTGAACAAGAGGCCCCCTTTTATCGCGGACGCCATCATAGCCAATCCCGTATCTTTTGCTCATTACCATTGCGCCGAAAGATTAGGTGTTCCCCTACACCTGGTCTTCACTTTTCCCTATACGCCAACAGCTGCTTTCCCGCACCCACTAGCCAACATCAAGGCAACGAACGTCGACAGAGAATACACAAACTTCATGAGCTACCCACTTGTCGATCTGATGACTTGGCAAGGTTTAGGCGATCTGGTCAACCGTTTCCGTGTCAAGACTCTCGGACTCGAGCCTGTCTCTACCCTTTGGGCACCGGGACAAATCACACGTTTGCGTGTCCCAATGACGTATCTTTGGTCTCCTGGACTCGTGCCGAAACCGGAAGATTGGGGCCCTGAAATCGACATTGCAGGCTACGTCTTCCTGGACCTGGCGAGCTCATACAAGCCTGAGGACGACCTCAAGGAATTTCTACGCCGAGATCAGGACTCACGACCCCTCATATACATTGGCTTCGGCTCGATAGCGGGTATAAAGGATACTACTGCTTTTTGCAACCTGCTCTTCGAAGCTGTGAAAGCAGCCGACGTTCGAGCCGTTATCTCCAAGGGGTGGGGAGATATGGGCAAAGGCTTAGACATTCCAGACGGAGTGTTCATGGTAGACAACGTTCCCCATGACTGGCTTTTCCCGCAGATGGACGCTGTTTGTCATCACGGTGGTGCAGGGACAACAGCAGCAGGTTTGAGGTACGGAAAACCGACTATGATCGTTCCTTTCTTCGGAGATCAGCCGTTCTGGGCTCAAATGATTGTGCGTGCGGATGCTGGTGCGAAACAAGTTTGGCCACTCAAGAAATTGACGGTGGAAAGATTTGCAACCTCTATCAAAGAGTGTTTGAGACCAGCTGCAAAAGAAAACGCGCAAGCAATTTCCAAGAGTATTGCCCTGGAAGGGGATGGTGCTGACAATGCAGTGAACGCGTTTCATCGAGGCTTGAAATCGTCTTGTGTGCACTCAGTCGCTTGTGACGTGTTTGAGGACCGCATTGCGGTGTGGTCGGTAAGGCATACAGACTTCAAATTGTCTGCACTAGCTGCCAGTCTGCTCGTTGAAAGCAAACGAATGTCATGGGATGATCTTGATCTACTCCGCCACAAGGACTGGGCTGACTTCTCTGGTCCTGGTGAGCCAGTCACTGGCGCTGGCGGCGTTGTCGTCGGTGCTTTCCAGGAAGCTGTTCATGGTATATCGAGCATACATGAAGATGCCAAGGCCGACTTGAAAAGGATTGGGAAACACAGGGAACGGAAAAAGAGTAGAGCCGAAACAAACATCAGAACCAAGCCAAGGAGTCAGCTTGCCTTAACCGCTGGGCACTCTGCGGACAGCCAGGACGAAGGTGACGCAAAAGTCAACCTGACTGGAGCCGCAGAGCCCGTGCGTAATCCAACAGTTGCAGGACTACTGGGGGATTCCGGTACGGCCCGACCGCATGCATCTCGAACTCAAACGACATCGACCCTGGAAGAGCCTGCACCGGTCTTATTGGCCAAAGATGTTGGAAGAGGCGTTGGACATTCGCTCAAGTCCATCGTCTTACTGCCATCCGAGATGCTGCATGCAGTCACACTAGGATTCCGTAACGCACCGCGTCTATACGGCGATAAAACAGTTCGTCCGCCCCCACACAACATACACGGCTTCCGGCAAGGAAGTAAAACTGCAGGCAAAGAGTTTTGGTTTGGCATATACGACGGATCCACGGGGCTGGTCAAGATACCTTATCTTGATGTAAAGGAAGCAGGACTATCTGGTCTACCCAAAGGAGTCGCCAGAGGTCTGGGAGGTCTGGTTCTCAAGCCAATAGCTGGCACGCTAGGCTTATTCGACTACACAAACCGGGGTCTTTATGCTTCTTTGAAGAAATTGGTAAAAGATACCGAAAAGACAGAACGTTGGATTAGAGAAGCAAGGCTCGGCCAGGGAGCTGTGGAAGCAAAAGCACTTCAAGAACAGGATCGGAAACAGGATGACACACATACAAGGCCTGAAAAAGGCCAGTTGGAGCACGCCCGTACCCAAGCGCTCAATAGGTTTACTCCAGACGATCGACGTAAACTCGAAGACACACGCAAACAGGAAGAGCAACCATCGTTGCTTCCTGGAAAGTCGAGCAAGCTCAAGCTCAAACACAAATCGCACCGGTAAATGCTCGTAGATCGAGGCCGAGCATGAGCAACGACGGCTTCGAGAGATGTAGAAAGTATGTCATTTTTGGTTGTTCGTATATATGACGTGGCGAATCAGAGTGCAACGATAACGGGCTGCTCCAATTATGCATGGTGACGGTCAGTGGTTCTCGAGATCGATTACAGTTCCAGATCATCGTTAGACTAATCAAATCGCACATAATAACTCTTACTCTATATCGGTGTTTCGTAGGTTGGCATTACTCGATGAGTATGCCTTCAAGGTAACACTCCAAAAAGCAAATAGTCACAGCATTGTGTCAAAGGCGGTAACACGGAAGTGATAAGGCAAACGTGCTGTGTTTCTTCTTCTGTAATGCTGGGGCGGCAGCGCAAACACCGCATGCAAGGCACAAAGCCGAAGCTGGACTCCACACGTAATGGTTTAGCATCGGCACGAGGTAATTGTTGCACAATCGCATGGCCAACGTGGGAGCAATGCAACGAACGGCTTGTTACAATTTATACTCTTATCTACTGGCGCAAACGTGAATACAAACGAGCAGCAAAGAGCGCGATCGTCCCAGTTGTTCTTATCGCATTAGGTTGTCTATTGAAGTGTTTGTAAGTGGTTGTTGCCAGAATGGAGCTCAAGTTTAGACATACGCGTGGTGGGATTTAGTGGGGCAACTCGAAAGAGCAGCCCACCAATAAGTCAGGTCTAGAAGAACGAAGCAAGGAAAGCAGACTGCGTGCCGTTGAAGGAGAGTGTCCGATAGTATGAGTATAGTAGAATTATTGGAATTGAACGATAAAGATTAGGACTCCAATACGATGGTGTCTCGCCTCGCAAAGGCCGATTGGAAGCAAGAGCTTGAGCGTTGTCTCCGTCACCGGCGGAGTGAAGCTTTGTTTCCCCAGCATGTTGTGCACTCGTAGCAAACTAGAGGGCCGCAAGAGCCAACGCTTATTTCGCAGGCTGGTTACTGGGGAGGAGCCACTACTGCAACGATCACAGCACAAGGGACCACCTTCGGTCGGCCACATCCAGCAGCTATCAACAGAAATCCCGGTGTCGTTGCGAGATAATTATCTTTATTATCAGTTACGGCTGCTCCTGCTTTCCACTCTTCTGCTCTTCTTCTTTGTATCTCTGGGCTGAGCATTCTTTGTACCAGTATTACTCGTCTCCATTAAGTCACTCTGAAATTTTGGATTGTTTTCAAGTATATCCCTACAGTCCTCCACCATGGCTGATAACGTTTTTACCTCCAACACGGTCAACTTGGCCAAGTATATGAAATTGGAGCAGAAGGGCAAAGTCCTTGCAGAGTACATCTGGATCGATGGCACAAACGGCCTGCGCAACAAGACAAAGGTAAGCATATACCCTCTCGAGATATCCTGCTTGAATGATTTTGGTCCTTGGAGCACGTCAACGCTGAGGAGAGGCAACCCCACGAGCATTCAGAGGCATTAGGTTTCCTCGTCAGCCACTGCCGAGCCTAAAATCGACTGGTCGTCGTCGGCCTGCGGCATTTTCTGGCTCAACGAAAATGCTCGTGTGACGACACTCCTTGTCTCCGGAACTTCCAATTGCGCAACACACGATTCATGCGAGGTCTTGGTGCCGTCTTGACGAATTTCATTTGCTAACTTTGAGTTCACAGACTCTCAGCAAGAAGCCCGCAAGCATTGACGACCTCCCAGAATGGAACTTCGACGGCTCATCCACCGGTCAAGCCCCGGGTGACAACTCAGATGTCTACATCCGACCCGTCGCCATGTATGCCGACCCAATCAGACTAGGCGATAACATTTTGGTCATGTGCGAGACATGGGACCCAGATGGAACACCAAACAAATTCAACTACAGACATGATGCTGCACGATTGATGGAAGCAAACAAGGAACACAAGATCTGGTTCGGTCTAGAGCAAGAATATACCCTCCTTGGACCTGATGGCTACCCATACGGTTGGCCAAAGGGTGGCTTCCCAGCTCCACAAGGTCCATACTACTGTGGTGTTGGTACCGGTCGTGTCTTCTGCCGTGACATTGTCGAGGCTCACCACAAGGCCTGCATGTACGCTGGCATTGAGATCTCCGGCACAAACGCAGAGGTCATGCCTGCGCAGTGGGAATACCAGGTCGGCCCATGTGAGGGTATCAACCTAGGTGACCAATTGTGGGTCTCAAGATGGCTGTTGCACAGAATCTCGGAAGAGTTCGGCGCAAAGGTCTCTTTCCAGCCCAAGCCAATGCCAGGTGACTGGAACGGTACTGGTCTCCACACCAACGTCTCCTCTGGTGAGATGAGAGAAGAGGGTGGCATGAAGCACATCGAAGCTGCAATGAAGAAGCTCGAGGAGCGACACGTCGACCACATGAAGGTATACGGTGAAGGCAATGAGCTACGTATGACTGGTGCACACGAAACATCCAGCGTCGACAAGTTCACCTGGGGTGTTGCCAACCGGGGCTCGTCTGTTCGTATTCCACGACAATGCGCCAAGGAAGGAAAGGGATACTTTGAGGACCGAAGACCTGCCTCGAATGCTGATCCATACCAGATCACTGGTATCATCGTCGAGACCATGTACGGTGCCCTACCAGCTGAGAAGTTCTGATAGATGGCTTGTTTGAGCACGGCGTTTGGTGAAGACTTTATCCGTTCAGGGCCTTGGTTTGTTAGGTTTCATCTGCTTGCCCGCGGTCAGATAGAATCAGACACAACTTTTGAACTTGTCCTCATAACAACAAGCACGAACGTAGAGCTTGGCGATGCACCTTTGTGTGTCAATATACTATCTGAACCTCTCTCATTGTCAAGTACGGCGTGGTCTACGATGCACTTTTGCGATTAAGATCGTTCGGTTTGTGCTAGGGTTTGCTAACCCTTCTAGTCACACGTGCTATACGATTAAGGTCAAAAGCACATTAACGATCGACATACTTTACCGGGCGTGTGGTCATCGACACTAATCTTCCGATACACCGAGACGTTTCTCAAGCGTCTACACGTCCAGGCTGAAGGCTTTGTGACTAGGTCACTCTCAGCCTCTGCCATCAGTACCAATTTGCACGACGCGCCGTCAAAATTAAGTGCCAGAAGAGTCGAATCATACCAAAACACAAATATTCTAGGCCAAACAGGAAAAGACCACCTTCCAGATCGAGGTGACGTGCCCTCAAGCTTCAACCCCAGCTTCATATGCAAGATGACAACCTTATCTCAGCATGCGAAAAATGCTTATCAGTCGATCTTGTACTCACTGGTTCGGTTCTCAAACTCCAGGGTCTCCTCGATTAGTTTCTGATAGGTCGGTTACAGCTTGCACAATGACCCATTGATTTGGCGCAGAAGCAAGGCTACCAGTCCATAGTGGTACCAAGCGATGTACACTGGGGATGCTACCAGGAGAAATACCTCAAGGTTTCGGGACCAGACCTAGCGATGGGTATTTCAAGCGCATCGAGCAGAGCATGGCTCTGTTGCTGCTGGCCCTGCTTGATATATTCGTGCCACAAAGACCGCCATTGAAGGTGATCTGAGGGATTACCAGTTTCACGCCAACATCAGACGCCTGGATAATTGAAATCATGGGCACCTTTATTGCAAGTGCTTATGGAGTCGATTGGCATGGTATGCAGATAGTCTATAGCGAACCCATCCAGCACACACGGAGTCGTTGATCCTGAAGGATATTGTGGTCGCTATGCCCACTCACCTCCGCAGTCGTCTTGAATTCTTCCCACAACGCGTGGCTCATGATCAGGATAATGCGCCACCATCGAGACATGAAGATTACTAGCATCACAGGCAATTCACAGAGCCCCGTGCCCAGGCCTAGATCTGGTTATCGTTCACTATGGATGTCCTTCTCTAATGGCGCAGGTTGCTTTTGTCGGACAGCGTCAACCAGTGCCACGTCCAATAGCTCGCCAAATTCACGTGCCTTGCTTCGGATCCCTTGCGCTAGGTCCAGCGCTCCCACGGAATCCTGGTCATTCAGACCCACAGACGTAAACTCAAAAACTCGAGTGCTGATAAGGTGGACGTATGTGATTGGTCATGATCAACCGCATCTCAAAACCGAAACAGCGATCAAAGATATGCATCCGTCATATCCTTTGTAGTCCTTCTGGAATTCAACACTTTGATCTGTCGATGCGCCGACTTCGGAAAACTTGCGAAACTGTGGGACTGGATTTTGAGGCGCGCGTGGTCGAAACACCGAAAATTGTGCGACATAACACCACGAGTTGACACATGGACGCCTTGTAACACCAGCACTGTTCTATTCTTGAGGCCAAAAGCAACCACATCAACGATGCAAACCATTAATTGCCAAGCCAAGCTATACGTACTGCAACACCGAGCTTGGTGGTCAGTTGCAAGGACCTTATCTATTTCAAGCAATCATCATACAGGGCATCACGTCCTCAATTACCAGAACAATCCTGAAATCTGGGCAGCCTCCCACCAATAGCAATGCAAGTCAATATCTAGCCAAGACACCTGATTGTCTGTATTGAGAGTCTTTCACCAGCTTGGCGGTCGCCAGGAGCTGTTCCCCCGTTGCCCGTTGCCCATTGCCAATCCAAGCTCGTATCTTTTTCAGTTGCGATGTGCTCAGCTGTCTTGATAAGGAAAATCTACCACCAATATGAACGCGTATCAAAGGCCTCGCACGAACGCACAGCCAGAGGAAGAGCCAGATTGAACTCCACATGGGTGGGTGTTGAGGGCCCGCTAATGCCCCAAGGATAGCCCTAGCTCTGTTTTAGCCTCCCGTCAACCTGAGCTCCATAGATAGGTCCACGCTTTGCTGACCACACACACTGATATGACGGCAACCCGACTCACGCCTCGACTTCCCAATAATCTACCGTGCCCGGACGGTACATTGGCAATTATGGCTCTTATAATTCTGACTTTGCATTCTTAAGTACTACTATCACCACCTATCACTCCTGCCTTCTGGCTGCGTTTGTTGTTGTTCGTCCTTTTCCTTCTTGCTCTTTCGCACTTCGACGCATGCTTGCCGCGAACCACTGAGGTCGTGCTTGCATATCACAACTGCCCACCTTCGCTCCTCCTTAATTCTACAACTCTTGGGCGACAAGCAAGATGAGCGAATCTACCCAGGACCAGCATGGCGTCTTTGTACCCAACTATGCCTCTTACAACTGGATCGGACCCCCCGCAGACTTTGGTCTAGCTACCGACACAGTTACTGGTGGTGATTCGATCACTGAGAATGTCAACAAATGGTTTCAATCGGGTGATCAAGCCTACATCTTGATAGCCTCAGCTATGGTAAGAAGCGAAAGAATCAGGTATCAGATACCGTCACTAACGGATGAGTTCAGGTCTTGATAATGGTGCCAGGTCTGGGTTTCTTGTATTCCGGTTTGGCAAGAAGAAAGTCTGCTCTGTCACTGATGTGGGCTTGCATGATTGCTGGTTCGGTCGTCACTTTCGAATGGTACTTCTGGGGTTTCTCACTGGCTTTCTCACCACAAGCAACGAATGGATTCATTGGTGATATGCACCACTTCGGTTTGATGAGGACGCTGGCTGCACCCTCGGTTGGCTCACCTCTGATTCCTAGTCTGCTATACGCTTTCTACCAGGTATGTTGGATGTCTCGCTCTTGTCGATGTCGAACCTCCACTAACTATGACTAGATGCAATTCTGCGCTGTCACTGCCGCTATTATTGCAGGTGCTGTCGCCGAACGTGGTCGTTTGCTACCATTCGCCGTCTGGTTGTTCCTCTGGGGAACCATTGTCTACAGTCCTGTCGCCTGCTGGGTGTGGAATCCTAATGGTTGGGCATATGCTTGGGGTGTTCTTGACTATGCTGGTGGTGGCCCTGTCGAAATCGTGTCTGGTATGTCCGCACTTGCGTACTCTATGGTCCTCGGCAAGCGACAAGAAAAGATGATGCTTAACTTCCGACCACACAACGTCTCATTCATTCTACTGGGTACCGTCTTCCTGTGGTTCGGGTGGCTCGGCTTCAACGGTGGTTCTTCATTCGGTGCCAACATGCGAGCAGTCATGGCTTGCTGGAACACCAATCTTACAGCCACGTTCGCAGCCTTTACCTGGGTTTTGCTCGATTTCAGACTTGCACGAAAATGGTCCATGGTCGGTTGGTGCTCAGGTACCATCTCCGGTCTTGTCGCCGCTACTCCAGCTTCTGGTTTCATTCCTCCTTGGGGTTCAGTCGTTCTCGGTATCACTACAGGTATTGTTTCTAACTTTGCCACCAAAATCAAGTACTGGATCAAAATTGACGACTCCATGGATGTGTTCGCTGAGCACGGTGTCGCTGGAATGGTTGGTCTGATGTTTAATGCCCTTTTCGGCGCTGACTACATCATTGGCCTTGACGGAGTCAATGGTGGACTTGAGAACACTACAACAGGAACTCTTGCAGGAGGATGGGTCAGCCCCAAGAATTGGCGACAGTTTTACATCCAGCTCGCCTATATCCTTACCTGCACAGTCTACTCTTTCGTTATGTCCGCCATTCTCGCCTATGCCATCAACTATATTCCAGGACTCCATCTTCGAGCCTCCGAAGAAGCCGAACTTCTTGGTATGGACGATGATCAACTAGGTGAATTTGCCTACGACTACGTCGAGGTCCGCAGAGATTACCTCGCCTGGACCCCAGCATCCAAGGACTCAGCTGGCATCGATCCAGATATCGCTCAAGAGCACAGACACGGAATCCCCGAACACAGCGCCATGCTTAAGAAGGATGAGCTCAGTCACTCGTCGGATTCCACATCCGCTGGTGGTCTGCCAACACAAGGTGATCGTCACGGTATGGCCGCTGAAGAGCAAATGAAGCACGAGAAAGATTACCGAGAGCCCACTCAATAAGCAGTATCGCTCGTTGGTGGTACACAAACCACTCTGCTACTTCTATAGACGCTTTCGTCCCTTAACATCTGTGCTACCTTATGTACTCTAGCGGGAGTTGGGTATGGCTGTGGAGGAACCATACCCCCTTTTTTGGAAATACAAAAACCTGGATCCAACCTAATTTGAACAGATTTACAGCTCTCCTACATACATTGTAATCTTTGCTTCACACACTCGTTTGTTTCTTGCTGCTGCTGCATCACCAAACCCTTGCCACGCAACTCGTTCGCTGACCTCAAAGCAAACAACTTCAAGTCCTTACTACTATTAATCCACGCAGTCACCCCATTCCCATCCAAAGTCCTCAGTCAATCTGTTGTCACACCACACACTCGCACCACGTTACACCCGATAGTACTCGCAAAGGCAAAACACCTCGCGTACGTACGCACGCACTTCGTTCGGTACACCACACCACACCACAAGACACCACGCTTCCGTAATGTATGTACATGCCTCTATCCGGACCTAACTGCGTAGTCTGTACCGTGTCACATACTACTGTGGTATGCGCGAGCGACATTTCGTTCTCATCCCCACTGGTTACTTGATCGTTTGAATATCTATCGCCTGGACCATGTTGGCTACCTTTTTATGCGATGTTCGTTGCTTCCGTTCATTTTGTTCGCGTTTCTATTCGGGTTTTTCATTGAATCATCAGCCGATATGATCCGGAAACATCCGTGTTTTGCCAATTTGCACACCTTGAAAGATGGCAGGAAACGACTTGCAGGTTTATTCTCCCATTCCTATAGTAAAGGCTAGTGATCAATCACGAAGAAGTCGCGTGATCATCTGCCCTTCTTGAATAGATACACTTTGCAGACCAAAGAAGTAGTGTTTATCTATTCTTTGCAATGAATGATTGATTATCTATGTTATTGCTTCGTCGCAGCATATCGCATATGTTTCATATCGTTGTTTTCACATTCCTTACCCACTACTAACCCTTTACACTAAACATCCATACTAATGCAACGACGTGCCCATCGTGTACAAATCGTTGAGGACCAAACTTTTCCGTGAGTCCTGTATTACTACCATATCGTTTTCATTGCGTCAATCACCTTGGTAACCACGCGTACAATCTCGACCAAAGCCGTGCCTCTTACCTTCCACTACGATAGATGGAAAGCGCCCTGTCCTTCCTTGATCGCAGTACCCAGCTTATTCTTCAATACAGCAACGTCCGAGTAATCTGGCAGTTTCAGATAATTTGCACAAGTCATCACACTTGGCAGGTAATCATCGCTGGTGTATGGGGGCTCCGACGGCTTGCACACGACTGTGAACATTGGCGTGAGACTCTTGAAACCGCCAATAGGTAACCTTGGGCTACCTGTGATGAACTGCAAGAAGTCACGTCTCTGTGCAGCGCTGAGCTCACTCATGACTTGTAACAAATTCTTCACGCTCTTGCTATCCATGTTGAAGCCATGATCTGCTTTGATAGAATCCATAAGTGTTTCCATAGACCAGTCTTCTTCGATACGACCAAAAAGCATCACAAGCTCATTTGATGTGAACGCTCTTAAGGATGTGTATGGGAAGACCTGCGAAAAGCCATTCTGGAAAGCTTTGATTTGTGCTCGTACACCCGCTCCAAGTGTGAAGTCGAGGACTTTGTGGATGTAAAGAGCAATGTTCTCGTTCGTGACGTCGACATCAGAGCCATTCTCAACCATCAAGATTTGTGGATAGCCTGGCAGAGTGAAGTCAAGCCCAAGATCCTCCAGAGATGCACCTCGAATCGTAAGGTTTTCAAGAGCAATAGCTTTCGCATCCATACTCATTGCCCAATCAGCCTCAATATTCGCGCGTCGTGTTGCATACGCTTGTAATTGTGCCATTGAGTTTGCCAGGTCTTGATCAATGCTCCGCAGCATAGCAATTGACAGGCTACTATCCTCACCAACCTTGAAAAATGTGGGATTGAAGGAGACATCAATGATACGTGAGTCGAGCATTGACCTCGCGACAAACATCCCGAGCATTTTGAAGGCCTGTAGAATCTTCTTGCCTTTCTCGGTCGCTTGGTCGGCTTCACTAAGCGGAGCAGGAAAAAGTCCGTTCTTTCCAAACGCATACTGGTCGCCTGATACTGTGTCGTTTTCTCTCCATAACTTCAACTGCTTCTTGGCAAACTCTTTTGAGACTGTTGAATAGAACTCCAGTGTCGGGCCTAGACCAGTGCCAACTTCATCGAAATACTCCACCTCGAGTATACTAGGCGAGGCACCGAAATGATCCATAACCTTCATTGCGGACTCGAGCATTTTGGTCCTTGAGATACGAACCTTCTGACGTTGAGGTCTACCCATTAGTGGACGATCGTCACGACGACGATCTCGCCTATCATCATTTTCTTGGGAATTCTGCCATCGCGTGATAGATCTAGAATATCCAAATGACGTGGATTGAAGGAAAAGATGTCGAGTCTCAAAGGGGAACAGGAAGGGAAATGATCTTGCAAGATCTTCTGCCCAATCCGGCAAACAATTTGAGGCCACAATCAATGGCTCTTCAAGCTGGCGATTCATCTTGGCAGTAAGCTTCGTGTTGATAAATGAAGCAAGTGGTTCCGGAGTCAAGTCAATGCCAGTACGTCCAAGTGCTTCTCGCACATCGTCAAGACCTGCGTTAAGTTCGTGCAGTGTTCCTAATAGCGTTAAGATCGAAGAGGTGATGGGATGTCCTGCCAGCGACGGAGGAAGACCATCATGCTTGCGTACGTGAGTATCTTCCTCGGACGTAGAAAGCTTGGCTACTGGTGCTGGTCCTGCCACACGTCGAAACTTGATTTCGTGGATGCCTGCCCATACTGTTCTGCCAGTTGCATCATTGAATTGTTCACGGTTGTGATGGACAGCTCGGTAGATGGTTATATTCTCCGGTATTGGTTTGCCGTCCACACTGAATTCAATATGCCAGTCTTGGGGAGCGCTGGTTACAGCTGCGTAGGTCGAAGGACGCTTCTGAACAGATGCGGGTCTTGGTGCAACAGGTGAATGATCTAAAGATGCTTTACGGCCTGTCGCGACTGGCGTGCCTGGCTGTCGTGGTGTATAGACTCGAGAGCCGTCCTCGCGCCGAGCTGTGAGGGTGCCACCTGAACCGACCTCCATATTCACAGCATCAGGTTCATGTCCATCGTCAGATCCGTCATCTCTAACCTCTCCCAAGATTGGGTCCACATTATCTGCCGCACCGAGCACTTCATTTGTGTCGTCATCTTCGACGTGCTTCTCATCCACAATCTCGAGCTTTGAGGAGCTGTCCTCTGTGCTAGGCTCAGGAGGCTGTTGTGGAGCGGACGTAGTATCGTCTGAAGCAGGATTCTTGCGGCTTGATCTTCGCCGTGTTGTCTTAGCTGGTCTAGCCGACTCTTCTTTAGGCTGAGACGAGGTCGATTGTGGTCGTGATTGAGAATTCGACCAATTTGTTTGCTGGCTAGAAGAGCCTGGTAGAGAACCTAACTCAGTACCGAAAGGCGAAAAGAGACCAGATTCAGCAGCGCCCGACAACTGTGCCATACGCGCAGTCGCAAGCTGTTGTAGCATGTCTCGACGGCTTCTGCTGCGATCCGATGGCGGTCGTTCTGACAAAGTCACTCTGGGCCGCAAGTAGTCATCCAGAGCTTTGAATGTGGCAATAGCGTGTATGGACACTATCATGTCTCGAAAGTTCTGCGGAATATTGCTGTTCTCATCGGCTTTCAACTGCAGCCGAATTTGTCTAGACAGCAGTGATGTTGAGCTGCTGCGACTGTTTTCTGACGCGTTGCTGTTAACGGTGAGGACCTCGAAATGTTCTGCTCTGCTAAGTAGGTCCTGTAACTTGCTTACAAGGACCGTGAACGCGGTTAACGGCGAGGATGCAGTGGTTGTCTTAATCTTGGCCACATTCGCCTGACCCATAAAGGCAGCAATAAAGTCACCTCTTGCATTTCCAGAAAGCTCTGTGTTAATCTTGAGGATGTCGTTGAGCAGTCGAATGATACCAGAATCTAGAAGCTCGGAGCTTGTGATGCTCTCAAGTGCGTCTCCGTCAAAGTATCGTGCCAATCGATCGAAGAGAGCTCGTCCTGAAGCGTCGGTATGAGTCCCAGTGTAGTGCTCACGAGTGGTATTTGCTAAGTCCTGAAGATCATGTCGGATTTGTTCTGCCTTTTCTCGTAACTCTTTCCCACTGTTGGTATCATACTTGTCGAGAAAGGCTTTTGCTCGCAACACGACAAGGTCCTTAACTCCAGAGATTGCGAGTGGTGCAGGAATGTCTTCGGGTTCTGAGTCAGAACTTCTGTCGTCATCAATGTCAGCTTCATCCCTGATAACAATATCATCATCTCCGATTTCGTCATCCTCATCATCCTCATGGTCGTCATGTCCATCGTCTCCCTCGCCATCCGACTCTGGGTCACCTGCGCCATCAGTTCCGTGGTTGTTAGCAGGATCACTATTGATGGAAGCTTGGCTACTCTTTCCGAGTGTCGTTCGGGCTTCGACTTCGCTCGCACGTGCCGCGAGCTTCTTGATCTCTCCAATGACGCCTTCACGGTAGAACTGATAGCGATAAATTCCTTCAAGCCTTTGGAACAACAATTCAGAAGCTTGCAGAGCAAACATGACAAGACTCGGATGGTCCTCTTGCGACAGGATAGAAGCTAGGAAGGATGCGTAGGATACAGGTCGGAGTGCATCTTCGATGACCTTTGTGTCTAGATTGGACAACATTTTTAGTTGAGCGGTGAGCACCTTTTGTCGAACGCTAAGGTTCACAGTACTTGAATAGGCGTCAGTCAGGGCGGGAAGCAATACCATTGCAAATCTTCGGGTCTGGGTTTTGCATCCCTGAAGCAGTCGTAGTCTCTCCTGCTGCTTGGTCTTTCCAGAAGGTCCCTCACTGTCGGACGAAAGATGGTCATCTACTCCTTCAATGCTGACGCGAGGCAGCAGTTCGCATATCACATTGAGAGCTTCGTAAATCTGCTCTCGTGGGCGATGGATCAGAGTCTGCATGATAACGACACTGTCAATGGCAGAGGCTGCGTCTGCTGTATCGCTAGGTGGAGACACTCCAGTCAATATCTGATAAAGCGTATCCACGACATTTAGCTTGAGCAACTCAGTTGACAAGCGGGGACTGTTTCTAGAGACGATCGCCAGGACACGAAGGAATTCGGTATGGATATTCGCACCAATAAGATTGGTGGTACCTGGAAGAAGCAGGCCGAGGATGGCTTGTAACAAGGGAGGATCGACCAGCTGCTCTAACTTCTCGGGGCTGTACTTGAAGCTATCGACGATTCGGGTGACGCAAAGACAACCTTGTTCAACAACTTTTTGATCGTGGCCCACAAGTACGTTCTGCAGGATAGGCATGACGTCGCGGATGACAGCGAAGGAATCATGAGGGATATTGCGACAGCAATTGGCGGCAGTGGTGACAGCAGTTCGCTGAGTGCCAGTGGCAAAGAAATCGAGGTACTGAAGGCAAGCAGTGAGGCCACCTTCACGGACGATGGAGGCAGGAAAGTCTAGAGAGACCTTGGACAGAGTGCTCAATGCTTGTTCCGCAACGTCAATGTACTGGATATCGAGGAGCTTCTGGCATAGGATAGGCACAGCACCCCCGTAGACCACGTTTGCCACTGAGCCTCGCAGTGCCTCCATCAGGTTGGCTAGAGACCTACAAGCCAAGAGCATGATCTCAGGATTTTCCTCCCCAGTGAGAGGATTTGGTTGCATCAAGGTGACAAGTTCCTTGACGTAAGGATCTGGTGAGAATTGACCCGATAGATTGTCCTCGTTGGAGACCAGCAGCAGGTTTGAGAGTTCCTCCAATGCAATCATCTGCATCATCGAATCGTCGTTCCTACGCAAGTTGTTGAGGATGTCTCTGAACCTGGAAGCCATACCAGTCATCATGCCGCTCAGAGCCCGCAAAGTGCTAGATAGACCTGCTGGACCAGCATTGCCAAACAGAGCAGTTGAGAAGGGGTCATGACCATCGTCTGGGGGATCTGGTGACATGTCTGAGTTGCTTTCTCGATGGGTAGAGGGAGTAGTTGAATCTTTTTCTCGCTTGGGAACCTTGGAATCTTCATCGTCTTTCATGTCCACATCATTGTCCTTTCTGGCGTGCTTCTTTCTCAATTTTCGACCCGAGGTAGGTTGTGATGGAGGTGAATGTTCTTGTGAGGTGTCGGTTGAAGAAGTGTCTTTCTGCCGCAGTGGCACGTTGGCAGAGGCTTTCTTACTGGAACGGCCAGAGGGGCCTCGAGAGGAGGACTTGGACGAGGATTGCTTGGGGTTGTCTTCATTGTACTTTATAGTGGACCTAGCTTTGGTCAGAGGCTCATCTTCAGTAGCCTTTTCTTGAGAATAGCCATTGCTAGACATTGCCACGTCTTGAGCGTCTCCTCTCCTAGCAGATCGGGTAGAACGTGGGGTTAAGGTTGAGGCTGGGGTTAAAGGTGTAGTGGTTGTCTTCTGCCGCTTCGATCTACGAGGGCCTGACTGTGGAGACGAGGGTTCGTCGTCGATTGAAGGGGAATTGGGTTCGGGACGTGATGGCGCCTTGCGTTTCTTGGGTCGAGTCGTGATCCTTGCAGTGGACGTATTTTCAGGCTCAGCCGGATTGTCGCCGAGAGAGTTGGTCTGGGACTCTGCTGCGAGCCTCGCAGAGGAACGAGTGACTCTAGAAGACATGTGTCAATGGGAGGTCGGCAAGAGCAAATAAAAATGATTGCAGATGGGTGGAAACAAATCAGATTGTGGTTCAGGTGCAGCAGGAAGATTTGCTAGGATTGGCGGAGCGGGTCTGCAAACACATGCGGGCACCGGGGTGAGAGGTGCAAGGCAGGAACGAAAGAGTAAAGTGAAGTAGGTACCTGTCAAGGTGTGAAGCCCAAGTTGTTTCGGAAGGTGACAACAGCTGCGCGGTTGGAGGCTTGCGGTTGCCTGTAGGCGTGGTAGAGTGTTGATTACTGTCTGTTTGGCGGCTTCCCAGGCTGGAGCGGCTGGCCATCTAGCCCGAACCCGCCATCAGTCACTTACTTAACGAGTGTAAAAATTCCCCAACGATACAAGATGGTGATATTGTCTTACGGTCCAAAACATACAAAATAGATTAGAAGATTGTTGGTTGAATGAGCGTTCGAGAGCCCAAGGACGACAGTGATTGATATTGATCAAAGTGCTATGTCAGTCGTGGCATCCGCAGGTGGATAGGCCAGCCAAACACAGTTTGGTGCCATCGCGAGCTCCATCCCAGCGCCACTGATCACATTTTGCGGAATGACTGGGGGTTCTGCTCAACGGCCTCGAACCTGCTCTCCCATCTGCACGTCGCTCTGGCCATTACATCTGGTTCTATACAAGCTCATGTCGTAACTTAGAGCTTGACAAAATTACACGGCAATGGAACTCCATACACTACAGGTAACTCTCCTATCCTTCCGACTCGGGTCTTGCAGTCCGCAGTTAAGGTCCTCTCTGTAGCTCACTGCCAAGCGTGGAGAGCCATATATACCCTCCTTTACGCTGAGGTGATCTTTCTTTTTATCACTGCGTCTTCTTCTTAACTGAAGTTTGTGCTTTTCCCAGGTGAAGTACTGACCACTAACATCTCGATTCGTTGTCTGGTCCTATGGCGGAAGCACGATGGAAGCACATTCTCGATCACGAGAACCTTCAGAGGTCATCTCATGTGGCTTCTGTCATTGGTCACAATCTCTATGTCTTTGGCGGCGAACTCGTTCCTAGAGAGCCACGAGATGAGAAGGTTTTTTCCATCGATCTCGATGCCGCAGGTATGCACCGACGATCTTCGTCCGGCAATCCTAATCTTGCACAGAATTGTCCGTTATCACCAAGAAAGCTGACTCTACACCCTCTCCTAGAGTTGGCTCAGCATCTACAGTCCTGGGAGATCAACTCTACGTCTTTTCCGGTCGTGGTGGGGTCGCCATGAAACCCATTGAGCAAAAGGGAGCTCTTTGGTGCTACGACCCACGGACTTCTGCCTGGCTGTTGATCAACCCATCAGATATCGATGCCCCTTTTCCAGTCGCACGAAGCTATCACTGTATGACCACCGACAAAACCGATAGAATCTTCGTCCACGCCGGCTGCCCCGAAAGTGGCAGATTGTCTGACTTATGGTCATTTTCCTTGTCTGACCAAACCTGGACAAGACTCACAGATGCTCCTGCACCAGAAAGAGGTGGCAGTAGCATCGCTTTTTCAAACAACAAAGTGTACAGAATGAACGGGTTTGATGGCAAAACAGAGCAGGGTGGCTCGATTGATGTGTTTGACCTCGCACAGAACACGTGGTCGACGCTGAATTACTCCGCGGATGGTATCTCCGGTCCTGAGGCCCGTAGTGTCAGTGTGCTATTGTCGCTTTCTTTAAAGGGGAAGGAAATGCTCCTTACGCTCTTCGGTGAACGAGATCCAAGCTCTCTTGGTCATGCGGGAGCAGGCAGAATGCTAGGCGATATATGGCTCTATGACACTGCTGAAGAGGCGTGGACGAAAGTCGAGACTAATTCGTCGACTGCGCCTCCATCACGTGGATGGTTCGATGCAGATGTGGTAGACGAGTCGAAAGTGGTGATCACAGGCGGTTTGAGTGAGTCCAACGAGCGGCTTCGAGATGTCTGGATGCTGTCCTTCGACGGCATATGAGAGAAGTTCGCCTGTTTTGAGATGAACCAACACAGAAGTGGTTGTTCGTATTGTTCAACAAATGGATGATGTGCCGATAGTGAGAGGAGGAACGAATTATTCCTCCAGCAACATTTCTCGAGCTCGCTTTCTTTCCTCAGGCTTCAACTTGTCCGCAATCTCCATCGCCCCGCTTTCCTTTTGTAGCTCCTCCCATTCTTCATCGTCCATACTCATCACCATACAGATCTGCGAGCACCTCAAGAACATGTCCCGAATCCGCCAGTTCGTTTTCTGACCTGATGACACAACTGCTTTGATGATACCGCTTATATCGTGCTCCAATCGTGCTGCGCCGTTCGGATCGATTCGCCCTGCATACGTCCACAAGCGCTTCTCTAAGAGCTTAGAAAGATAGCTGGCCGTCGTGGTTAGTAAGGTAGCATAAGTATTCTCAGTCATGAGTCGAGAAATTGGTTTTGTCAGGGCGTCCCAACCGTGAGAGAAGCGGGAAGTCACTAGAGTCTGGAAGCTGCTCAAATCCTGAGGATCGTGACCTAGTGTTTCGATCAAGTTGGACAGAGCACCTGAATCCAAATTGTATTCCATGTCGCGAAAGCTATCCAGCAGAATTGGTCGAAGTCGTGGCTTCATAACATTGTTGAACAGAACGTTGGAGGCATCGGATAGGAGTTCACTACTCTTTTCCGTGAAATTGTTGGTGAAGGCCTGCAGGCTTGTCTTTACTAGCTCCCGGTCGTGAGGGTCAGGAAAAAGTTGGACAATCGGCGCTTGCTCATTATCGTCGACAATTGTATTGATGATCTGGTTGATATGGCTTGATGCTATGTCAACATTATTAATCAGCACAATGAACGCGATGATTGTGGACTCGGGAGGAAGGCCGCCTTGTACAACTGGACGTGGGTAATGCTCGTCGCGCATCCTGCGTTGCTCCATGCCAAGAAAATCGGAGCCCATTACCCGACCCAGTGTCGAGATGATTGATGTAATCACAGTAACTTGAGACGTGGCTAGTGTCTGCTGAATGACCTTGTTGGCTATGTACATGATATCCTCAATGGCTGACGAGACGTGAGGTGGTGTACTCTTGAGAGGCTGACGAGGGTTCAGTGAGAGGTCGGGTGGTGGTTCGTCTAGCTGGAAGGCTTTCTCAACCGAGCGACGGAAGAAGAACGTGGTCATGGTGTTGAACGGTGTGACGAGCCTGTCTTCGACCTTCTTCATTAACGACGAGTTGGTCAGAAAGCTCGGAATAATTGGTTCAGAGTCGTCGCCAAGCGAATCGCTTTTCTGAGCAACGAATTTTGTGTATAACGACCACTTGCTGAGCATTGTGGTTATCTCCCCTAATAAAGCATCGACCTCCTTCATGTCGATGCTATCGTCCTCACTGCTTCTTCCTAGGGCTGGAGAGCTAGTTCTTGGTGTTCCACCTCCTCGTTGTGCCGGTAAAAAGCTTTGTACCAAGAAAGTATAGGCGTAGGATTTGATATCTGTCATGCGTCTGTCGACCCTCCTCTCGTCACTCCACGTATCGAGGATAATACCACCTTGTCTGTCAGCCTCGTTTTGTAGGCGTTCGATGACTCCTATCATCTTGCCCGGTCCATAGTGCCTTTCGACCAATCCGCCGTGTCCATCAACAATTTGAGCAATGTGTTCAAACAGCTTGGTCAAGGCGTTTGCATAGAAGTAGCCATCCTTGGCCTGCGCTCCACCCGTTCCAGCATTCAAATTTGTCCTTGCCCTAGATGCGATACCTTGACATACATAACGGGCATATACATCGAGACCGACCTCTGGTCGGTTGATCAGCGGAAACAGCTTGAAGAATCTTGTAATCTTAGCACCGTCGTTATCCTTAACAGCTTTATCGAACTCTCGCTGAAAAAGACCACACAGCGATTCGGACGCGTTTTCGAGCGTGATGCGTGGTGAATCTGGCACCTCCGCCGTGGGAACTACACGGGCAGCGAAAGCACCATCGATGACTTCGTCAGGTATTTTGGAAGCTCGACTAAGGTAGCCAGCGGCAGTCTCCCAGTCTTGAGGAGCTCCCATGGAACCCAGAACTCCGAGCACACATGCTTTCAGTTCTCGTACTTGTTCGACGACAGTCAAAGTTTCCTGGACCCTTGACTGCTCGAGATCAAGACGTTTTACTGAGCCAGAGATCCGGTTGGCTGTTGACGCAGCATCGGATAGCATGCCATTGCTGATAGCACGGGTCTTAGCACCCTGTATGCTCAAGTTCGCACGAAAAAGGTCAAGTCGTCCAAATTCCTTCTGCAGGTCCTTCTGGGATGAAATCAATTTATTTAGCTGCTCCGTTACGTTACTCTCTCGGGACTGCAATTCTGCCAGAGCGGCTCTGATCTCTGACACAGATCTTGCACTAAAGACATCTCTGTTCTCTTCTTGGTGACTTGACACTGTCCTCAACATTATTCGAGTTTGATGAGTATTGACAAAGCCTTACACCGATGGTTGTGCGGCCGGGAGTGCACCAACCAATCTCTAAAGGGCACGGATATGATACCCGAGCTCTGGAATCCTAAGTGCGCGTATATCCGCAGTAGAAATCCGGACTGTTACACGTCAGAAACAGACGAGGCGAGTTGGTACTTCTGCCTGTGTTTGCAGCGAGACCTTGAACGTCGAGTAAACAGCTTTACTGCTTGTACTCGATTACATCTCGATTGTGGCTCTACGCGCCGTCTTTCAGTATTTCAGCAAGATAGCTCGCACACGCCGTAGAGGACGGCCTTCAAAAGACAAATCCGTGTTTGGGCGATTAAAAATGGGAAACGAAGCATCGACGCCGGTATCCGAGGACGTGCCTCCTATCACTTTGACAGCACGTACCGTTGAGGCTGTGGCAGATTATATCAAGAAGAACAATGTCAAGAGGATCGTGGTAATGACTGGCGCAGGCATATCTACCTCAGCAGGTATTCCCGATTTTCGTTCTCCTAATACGGGTCTATATGCAAACCTCGCGAGACTGAATCTTCCGTATGCTGAAGCCGTGTTTGATATATCATACTTTCGAAACAACCCGCGACCGTTCTACGAGCTGGCCCATGAACTTTATCCTGGCAAGTACAGACCGACGGTAACACATTCCTTCATCAGCCTGTTGAACAAGAAAGGAATGCTGCTAAAAGCATTCACGCAGAACATCGACTGCCTCGAACGAGAAGCAGGTGTTCCGGGGGATAAGTTGGTTGAGGCTCATGGTTCTTTTGCAACACAGAGATGCATTGATTGTGGCACTGAGTTTCCTGATGATCGAATGAAAGACACTGTTGCTATAAAGGAGATCCCATATTGTGAAAGAACAAGATGCGAAGGTTTGGTCAAACCAGACATAGTCTTTTTTGGCGAAGCCCTACCCGAGTCCTTCCATCGCAGTCGAAGTCTCCCTGCCTCAGCTGACCTTGCGATCGTGATGGGTACTAGCTTGACCGTCCAGCCTTTCGCTAGTCTACCATCCTTTGTAAGAGAAGAAACTCCTCGTATATTGATTAACTTGGAAAGGGTAGGGGGTCTAGGATCCAGAGCAGATGATGTACTGCTCCTTGAAGATTGCGACAGTGGTGTAAGGAAGTTAGCTGACGCTTTAGGGTGGCGCGACGAATTGGAAGAACTTTGGGAAACAACGAACCCGAGCAGATCTGAAAGAAAGAAACAAGAAGCCAAGCCCAAGGATAAGCAAGCAGATCTGGACGCCAGGATTGAAGAGCTTACACGGGGCGTGGATAAAACACTCAAGTTGTCGGAAGATCATCAGAGACAGTTTGAAAAAGACTTCGCAAAGCGGCCTGATACTGGAAAGCTCGATGTTCCTGCTGGACTTGCTAAGTCGGTCACCGCAGCTGAACACAAGAAGCAAAGTGAGGGTGAGGTCAATGATCGAAAATCAAACGGATCAGATCTGAGCCATATATATCCTCATCTTGATTCCAAATCGGTCGATAAGCCCTCGCTTTGATCTCACGGCCGAGTGCGCATCTACAAAGGAACAACAACAGCTGAATTGCGACTTCGCACTCGCTGTTTTCAGCAGTCGATCGTCTCCAAGCGCAGAAAACCTCGATCATTCGGACGTCAATATGCCTTCTGCAAAGAGGAGAACAGAGGCACCACAGGCCAGAAAGGAGTCGTCAGTACGGCTGTTTGATAAAGCTTGCTTCAACTAATTGCTGGTCAGATCCTACACATCACCGATCTGCAAGATCCTCGTGGGAGACACAGAAAAAGTCTTCAAGGTGCATAGAGAATTACTACAACGGACGTCGTTCTTCGAGCAGCACAACGAACCTGCACAAGACGAGCAGAAAGGGCACGGCGAAAAGAGAGCAGGCACTGCGTCTGCTATATTCTTTGACGACAATGCTAGGCAGTCTACAGTCGATTCGGACACTGAGCACGAAGTCATCGACCTAGTCGAACATGCAGATTACATACTTCAGGACTCGTTCTTCTACGAACCAGACGCTTGGGCAGTTTTTCAACGACACCTCTATGATGCCTTTCCGGTTGAACCCAGAATATGCGATGAGTGCATCACGTTGTTCAAAGCATACGCTCTGGCTCAACTGTACAAAGTCGAATTGTTACAGAATGAGATTATTGATGTTCTCCAAAGATACTACAACAGATACCAAATACCTATAACACACCTTATGTACGTGGTTCAGCACTGGGGAGACAATGTGCACACCTATCTTGCCAGCTATCTGATTGCCCAATGTGGGTACGAAATGGCTAAGAACTGGGAACAATGGCGACCCGAAAACGAAGGTCTACTCGAGCTGTACGCCAGTGGTCACAAAGTCATCATTGAGCAGTTGACCCTTGCAGCGATGGGATATGCTAAGTCAGACGCAGATCCAGCGAGGCACAAGAGAAACTGGAGGTTTCAACTTTGAGCTGCGAAAACGACAAGTCAGCGGATAATGCAAGTTTCTGGTGAATGCACGCGTGTTCAACTCTTGAGATCATCTGATTTGCCCAGCAGCATGATCCAAGCTTTATAGAGGACTTGGGGCGACGAGACGATGCAGATCAACGATTTCCTACGAGATGAGTAACGAGATGAAGCTCAGTAGGACAGCAATAGCTTTGAATTAAGAGAAACCCAAAAGACGATTCGATCTTTCGGTAGCAACAGCAGCATCAATCTCCAAATTTGGTGAGCGTTCCTGCCCCTCGATGCCCCAAAGTTGCTCGGTCTCCGCTTCAACCGCAGAATGACATGCATGTAATCACAACCCCACTGATTATTCGTGTCGATAGTTTCTGGCGATAGATGCAAGGTAGTGGTGCGCATATTCAGTTCCCTATTTTCCTGTCTGTTCGTGCCTCGTACACAAGCCCTTATTCCACGATATTGATAATCCTATAACCATGTCCGAGGTAAGCTCCCAGTCCGAACGCATGCAATGTCCATATACCGCGCTACGAAGAAACACATTATGTACAAGGACACCTCTGACGGCTTCATAGCAGGTCTCGTACGACAAGATACCCGAGAGATGGACGACGAGAATCAGGTAACAGTCCTCAACATTCTGCTTGAACACCACCACTGATCTGCTTCCAGAAAGCCGTCCCGCAAGGGTAATGAATCCTCACCACGAGCTCCTGCATCGCAACGCTGACCACTATGTGATCAGGTTCCATGGCCGATGTGCCTCAGGACATCCTCTCCGAGATCGCCAGCCTCGAACGACTATTCACTGTGGACACTGAAAAGTTGAAGGAGATCACCGAGCAATTCATCGATGAGCTGCATCAAGGCCTGAAAGGAGAGGGCAATATACCCATGAACCCAACCTGGGTCATGAACTTTCCAGATGGCGAAGAGACTGGCTCCTTTCTCGCCCTGGACATGGGTGGCACCAATCTGCGTGTTTGCGAAATCACATTGACCGACGAGAAAGGCGAGTTCGACATCGTCCAGTCAAAATATCGCATGCCAGAGGAGCTGAAACATGGCACTGCGGAAGAGCTGTGGGACTACACAGCTGATTGTATCGAGCAGTTCATTGAATACCACCACGAGGACGAAAGGGACAATCTTGATACTATCCCTCTGGGCTTCACTTTTAGCTATCCTGCGACCCAAGAACACATCGATAATGGCGTGCTGCAGCGTTGGACCAAAGGTTGGGCTGTAGAAGGTGTTGAAGGTGAAGATGTTGTGCCTCAGCTGGAAAAGGCATTGAAAGAAAGAGTGAGTCATCATGCTGAGGTCCATCCAAGCTTGTTAACGTCGATTAGAATCTGCCTGTCACGGTTGCTGCTTTGATTAACGACACCACCGGTACCTTAATAGCGTCTGCGTACACCGATCAGTCCATGCGCATTGGCTGCATTTTCGGTACTGGCCATAATGGCGCATATCTCGAGACATGTGGCAACATCCCCAAGCTGAAGCACATGAACCTACCTGACGATATGCATATGGTAATCAACTGCGAATATGGAGCTTTCAATTCCAAGGGTCAACATCCGGTACTTCCAAAGACACAATACGATGTGATGATCGATGAGACCTCTCCACGACCAGGACAACAAGCATACGAGAAGATGACTTCTGGCTTGTACCTGGGTGAGATATTCCGCCTTGCTATGCTGGATCTTCACGACAACAAAAAGATATTGTTAGCGGATCAGGATCTGAAGGCCTTCCGAACACCCTTTTGCCTGGACGCCTCATTCTTGTCCTTCATTGAAGAAGATCCATTCGAGAACTTGTCTGAAACTCAAGACATGCTGAACGATAAGTACGGCATCAAAGCCGCTCGACCGGAACTCGAATTGCTGCGTCGCTTAGCTGAATTGATTGGCACAAGGAGCGCGCGACTATGTGCATGTGGAATTGCGGCCATCTGCAAGATGAAAGGGTTCGATTCATGTCATGTAGGTGCTGATGGATCGGTTTTCAACAAGTACCCACACTTCAAGCAGCGGAATGCCAAGGCACTACGGGAAATTCTTGATTGGCAAAAGGGCAAAAAGGACCCAGTCGTGGTGTCGAGCTCAGAGGATGGGAGTGGTGTGGGTGCAGCCCTGATCGCAGCGTTGACAGTGAAGAGGATAAAGGCTGGCAATAAGTATGGTATCCAGGACGTGAGCAAGTTCAATGTCACGTCAGACTCAAAGCCTGATCCTTGAGCTTGACTCTGGTGGTTGGGAACCTGCTGTCCAGAAATTGAGCATCCTATAACTACTCAACGTGTTCTCCTCAAATGGCTTCCTAACCCTTCTCAGCAGAAATCATAATGTGCCACTTAATCCCTGATCTGCCATAGCCTTACTTTCCCAGCCTCGTTACCTACAGCCAAGTATCCCCCATCAGGACTTATCGCAACACTGCTTATTCTCCCCAGCGGCGTCTTGTCCGTAGGCCAATTTCTGTACACAGTACAACTGGGTAGATGCACCAGTCGCAGAGCATTCTTCTTCCATCTCGATGCCATAACCAGCAACTGCCCAGCCACATCACCCGAGAAATTCAGATGCGAAATCGGCGTCGTGAGGTGATCGAACGTCCTCAACGGCTTGGGTCGATATACATGTTCTTCTGAAGCCGAGAGTGCACCAGCAAAATGTCCCATAATCTCCCGTCGATCATAAATATTCACAATACCACTCGTAGACCCAAGCGCAATATACCTGTCATTCCCCATCTCCATCATCCTCGTAACTGATTTCACATCCTTGATCTCTCCGCCTAACGCCAACGTCGTTGTCCCTACGGCACCCTCATCGACCCATCTTCCCGTGACCCGTCGTTCCCGGATGTTATACTCGCTGACCTCGCCGTTTTTGCCCACGGCCACGAACCCACTATTGTCGCGGTAGAACGCCACGTCCGCGATGCCGTTTAGACTCTCGACGCGGACTTGTGCGATGGGCTGGTGTGTTGTTGCGGAGAGGAGGTGGACTACGCCACCGGAACTGCCTGTGTTGGCGATGATGGCGAGATAGGAGGAGTCTGGGGAGAGGATGAGGCGTTCTGTGGTTGGGATTTCGAGATTTTTTTTGGATTTGGTGAGGGATGTGTTTGCTGCTGCGGAGCGGGATTGGTATAGTGGTTGGGAGATTTTGGTGAGGGTGCCGGTTGTGAGGGACCAGGTGTGGAAGTAGCGGCGGCGGGCGGAGAGGTAGATCTTGGTTTCGGTGGGTGGGTGTGGTGGGTCTTTCTGGTGGTGTTTGTGGGTGTGGTCTGGGGTGGGGTTTGTGGAGAGGGCGAATGTGGCTGTGGTTATGGGTGTGCCTTTTATGTGCAGAGAGGTCATTAGGGGGTTGGGAGTTTGCGAGGAGGGAGAGACGTGATAGATGTTTATGGTTGAGCTGGGTCCGGCGGTCATGAGGAGAGGATGAAGGGGGTGGAACTCGAGGGTGTCGATCGAGGCAGGGCCGGAACTTGCTATGTCTTTCAGGCGTTGGATGTCGATGACTTCTGGGCGAAGCCTGAGAGCCCGTAATGGACCTGAGCTGCTTGTACTCTTTGAATCTTGGTTTGTGAAAGAGGCTGTGGAGCGCAACAGCTCAGCAAGAGGTTTGACTGAGGTTGTGGGAGAACCATCCAAAGAAACGTCCGAATCTGTGTCCGACTCGTGTCCCTCGTGAGTATGCTTCCTCTTTTTTCTGGCGTATTTGACCCAGTCTGGTGTAGGATGAAGTCTCTCATACTGCCTGCGTAGCCTGCGGATGTACTCAAGACCAGAAACTATGTCGTCGTCCTCGGTGTCTCGTAACTTTCGTAGGCGTGAATTTGACGCAAGTGAAACTGTAATTCTCTCATCGTCGCTGTCATGCCATAGTATCTTTCGGGCATGCTTCTCCTCGTCTTGGTCTGTTTGCTCCTCTCGTAGATCCTCCATCACATCGTCTGGCAGGTCAGTGGTGCCTGCATCGAGGAAGAATAGATCCTCGTCTGCGACATCTTGCATATCATCGTCCTCTGCATTTGAATCCCCGCCATCCTGAAAGCTTTCTTGCCGTGTGAGAGCTCGATCGCCTGCGTCCGCAATGGTATTGAGAGAATCGAAGAATGAGGCTTGGTCGCCGAAGAGGATTTTCTCTAGCTGCTTCTCTGTATCATCTTTCTCGAGCACTTCTTTCTGCTTGCGCTGAACAATTTCGTCGGCATTGAGACGTCGTGTCGGTGCCATGGTAGTGGTTGCTATGTATCTGGTAGGACTGGGATTCAGTCAGAATGTTGCTGGTGGTCCGCATTCGACCATTGCGACAACTTTTTTCTCCGCATCTTGGGTGGCCGCGAAAAATTGCCATTCAGGCTCGTTTTTCGATGGAGAAGTCGGGTATAGCTTCCTTGTGCTTAGGCCTCAGGCAGCTACAGCCTCTAGAGCACGCCTGGTAGCCTCTAGGCATTCAAATACGTCGCGACAAGACCAGATTAGCTGGGTCGTCATGACCTTCGCAGAGTATGGCATGTAACGACAGAACACACCATAGTATTTGTGAAGACAGATCGATACAATCGCGATGGGAGTAAGTAGTTGTGATGCAATATATATCTATAACCAGCAGATATTTATACCTGCGTGTAAGAAAGTACGCTCTACCCAGCACTAAGTAGATATCCACGATGTTGAGCAAAAACCCTCTCCGTCTTAGCCTCCACGACCTTATCAAGCCCACTAAAACAGGAAGGTGGTAATCGCCGTTTCTTCAACCATACCAGCGATAATTGTCAGTCGCGAAGGCACCACTGAACAAGTCCTCCATCTGAGGCAGGTCCCACATTTCAGTTGGTGCAGGGGCAGCCTCGAGGTGATGGTTATGTGCATGGGCAACCAGATGCTGCTGATGTGTTTGGATGTCGGTGTTTCCTAGGAACTCACCAAGCGCAGCCTTGGTAACTTCGAAGCTGATTGTTGTGCCTGATACGGCTTGCTGGCCATATGCGAGCGTTTCACGAATCAAACTCGGTACGGCCGGGTCGTGGGGCTGCTCCTTGTAAAGTTCCGCAAGCACTATCATTGCGTATACCACACACAAATGCAAGAATTCTGGTACCTCCTCGCTTGTCGTCGGTGGCAACGATTTGAAGGTCAGCAGTAATTGCATAGCATGTTCCTTGCATAAGAGAAAGTACCGTTCACGTAGGCCGTGGTTGTGTAGTGACGACCTATCAGCCCTGCTCGATGCCGAGGGTGAATTTAGCTGACCATCGTTTGGGGAAGTAGTGGGTCGTTCGGCAGTAGGAGAGGGAGAGTTGTTGAGATGATCGAGGCACCTTCGATCTAGTACCAGATGGCAGAAGTCAATAGCCATTTGCAGCACACAGACTCTGTGATCGTTTGCATCGAGCAAGTGACCCCACTTATTAGTCCATGATTTCAGATGCCTTCTCGAATGATCTTCTGTCAGATTGTTGTGCTTAAGAAGGTCCTGAACAATCGCAAACAATTGTAATGTGGCGACAGATATACCATCATAAACTGTGGCTTCAATGGTGTTCAAGATGGAGGGGCAATGTTCCAGGTATTCTGGCGCAATGACCGAGGGTCGTCCAGTCCCAACGGCGAACTGTAAGTGACATAAGCATATCATGTTCCAGAGCCTTAATCTTCTTTGATCGACATGGTCGGCTCTGCCTTCGTTAAGGTGCTTCAAAAGCGAGGTAAAGTTGATCGACAATTTGGCTTGCTGTACAGCATATCCACTCATCAACCAGCTATCAATGAACTCGGCCTTCTCTTTGGGACTAGTGCTCCATATAGCCAGGATAAGAAGAGCGCATACAGATTCCAATGGTAGAGGACAGATTAGCAGTTCGCGCCCAGTAAGAGTTCGGACATGTTCATACAGCTGATCGTGCTGAACCGTGTTGCAGAAGGAAGGATCCAGACGGGCGCCCTGTAGGCAGATGGCTGCAAAAAGCAATGGTGATATTCTGCGAACGTCCCGGGCTTCCGAGATGGCGTTCCAATTTGTGATCCCGATCCACGGGCCAATTCTCTGAAAGAACAACTCTTGTAGCGTGAGAGCCTGCCGTTCTGAAAGCAAGCCGAGCTCGACCACGTCTTTGGAGTTTCTGGCCAGTCTCGCCAGCCCACTTAGAGCCGAGAACCGATTTCTGATCAGGTTGACTGGCGCTGAGGTGGTATTTCTGTCTGCAGCAGGATTGTTAACAGACTGATCCTCCTCATTGCCATTCTCGAGCTCGGCAGTGTCGAGAGATTGACTTCGTGGTCTTTCAGCTTTGTACTGTTGAGGGCTTTGCGATTGGACTTGTATTCGCTGTACGATGTCTCTGATATCGTTCAGTAGCACGCTGTGTTCACCCAATCTAGAGCAGTACCGTTAGCGCAGCCTGCGTTGCGACAGACGTACTCACTTCTCTTCTATCGAGCCCAAGTTGGTCGCCGAGTCATATGGAGGAGCTTCTTGGATGTCGGACGAGGACGGTCTTAGAGAGCATTCCAGTCTAAAGTAGTATTAGCACCATTGGATATGCCATCTGGTGGGAGGAGTAACCTCTACCTCAAGCGTCTACATCTTGTGCATTTGCCAATCGAGGCATCGTATTCACATCGGTTCTTGAGTCTCCTGCAGGTGTCGCAAGCCAGGACGCGCCGCCTCTTTGCAGGTCTCTGTTCACTGTCGTCTTCTACCATCCTGGGAGCGATAACAGGACCATGCGCTCGACTCATCGGTGGACCGGATTCGGAGAGCTCCATTCACTGCAGATGGAAGAGCGTTGTCACAGGCGCATAGGCAGCCAGCATCATGTTATATTTGTCGCAGTTAGTAGAATCAGGTCACATTTACGGACATTCCAAGATCTTGGCCGATCGGAAATAGAGATATATTTCACGTTCTTCATAAGTACAATCAACAGTCGAGATACGCCTTCCCGAGCCCTCGGTCTCATCCACTTTGCGGCGTGTCCGTCCACCGGGCCGCAAACCGTCCGTTGCACATGCTCTTAAATTTTGCACAGCTTTTTCTCTTCGTATAACTTTTCTCTGAATTACCATGATTACATGAGGAGAGAACACCTCCAGAGACAGCACGAAAGACTCCGACCACCACAGTGCATTGTACTATTCTGACTATCAAGGACGCATTCCTGGAGGATCACTAGGACTTGTGCCAATACCTTCGTCGCTGTGCATAGTGTTAGGCCTCAGTGGACTTCCACTGCGCGAATCAACTGGTCTTTTGAGCCATTCTGGCCGGTTGCTGATAGTAACCTTATTATAGCTGCTTGCTGGCGGCGAAAGAGGTGTTCCTCTTGATTGACTGTCTGGAGTGCCTGTGATGCTCCGAGTTTGCATGCCAGGACTGTCAGTACCAGCTCGATGAGTTGGTGGCGGACCTGGACTAGCCATACTGCCGTTGTGGCTGTATTGGTACTGCTGACGAACTCCAGGGCTTCCATAATATGCGTGATGCTGATACTCTTCGCCTCGATGTTTGACCGGGCTCTCGTCATAAGGATCCCATCCTACCCTTCTTCGTGCATCAGCACGTATTGCTTGGCGGTGTTGCTCATTTCCTCCCGCGCCCGTTGAAGCAGACTCTTCCAAGAAGAAGTTCAGAAGCTCGTCAGGTATCGATAAATGTGATTGTTGCTGGAATTGCTGTAAACTAGTCAACCGGAGGAGCAGTTCTAGCAACGACAATGAGGTCTTGATCTGAGGCTGCCACGCCTGGGAAGAGGGTGGCTGTGGGGTCGCCATTTGTGGCGAATCGATGTTCAATGTAGACATTGATACTGATAGCTGAGATGAGTCCACACCCTCATCTGGAGTTGCAAAGTCTTCTTTGTATTCCTCATCGTCTTCAGAGTCTTCGGAAGCAGAAGCTTCCGTGTAAACCTCTAGTGCAAGCCATTCAGGATCGAGAGAGGGTGGTAGTCGCCACGGGTCATGCTTTCGCTCTTTGTGCTCGTTCTTGACATACGCCTTCTCTTCCTCCGTTTGTGGTCGACCGTCGTCCTTGTGCTTGGTCGATTCATCGTTCGCTTGGGGAGAATCTTCCGAGTCGCCTGGGAACATTCTGCGTGGTGGTACGGCTTGAACGTCGCGTCTTAGCAGGAGGACAGGGTGGTTGGACTCAGCATCCATGCCTATATTGAGGACTTTGCTCGTGTCTGCATAGAAGATCTTGGAGATCTCATGAACAGGGATCATTTCCCGTATGCCAGCTCGCTTCACGTCGTCGAAAGGGCCAGGTTTGGCATCACCGTCCTCGAAGTCGTGATGTCGATCGTCATCAAAGTCTTCTACAATGACAAGCTGATAAGCAAATTCGTCAGATCTAGTTTCCCCTCGGATCTGTGAGGACGACTCGTTCTGAGATGGCGTTTGCCTAGTTGTGGAGATTTGGTGCGCCTCTAAAGCATCAGAACCGGAACCAGTTGATATCACAACATCCAGAGGTACTCGTCGAAGCTTCACCCGAGCTTTGTGTATGACCTCTTTCCACGTAGTTTCTCGTACATCCTCCTCTGACTCTGGTCTATCGTATCCAGCAAATAGCATGTAAACACAGAGGGTGAACGTCGGCCCGATTTGAGCCACACGATGCGGTGACGCCATGTATTGGGCATCGCCTGTAGTCATGAACATGCTTGCTTGCAACAAGCGTGAAGGCGATACGGTAGATGGAAGTTGAGTGGACAGTTTGGCACCTGATGTAGTCAAGGCCAAGCTGATGAGTGGCACCGCGTCCTCGATCCGTAGTAGTAACTGTTTCATATCGTAGGTAATGAGCTGGATCTCTTGCTCGTCTGCTGCAGCGCCTGCTAGCTTAGAACGTTGACTACCAGCCCTGTATTCTTGTGAAGCCGCTACAGCCTTAGCAAGGCGTACACTTAGTCTTTCAATATCACGCCGTAGTTCTTTGGTTAGCGAGACGGCTGATTCCAAGGAAGTGTTTCCACGAGCTGCAATCAGCTCAATCATGTCAATAGCTGGAGAAACAATACGGATCTTGTGCTCTATGCGCTGTCGGTTTGTCAGTGGTCTGAGAGCAGTTGAGAAGGGAGGGCAAGACTGACTTTCTGAAGCTCATACAGCTCATTACTCGCGCTGCTTTTCGGTGCATTTTGAAGGAGCTTGGTTGATTGTTTGAGGGCGTAGGTAGCCGTCAAGGTGATGCCGGACTTGATCGCATAGTTCATAGCCTGCTGCGTAACCTTCCCCAAAAGAGCGTCCATTTTGTCGTTGACAGGTTTGAGGGAGAAGCAAACTCGATGAAGTCAAGTCAACGCAAAATCCTGGGATACAAGATATCGTAATAGCTGATAGTGACAATACAGACAGATCAATGGATCCGGGAAACCTGCTTGAGTGATCAGGCAAGAGGAGTAGCCTCGTTACGTATAAGCAAATTTGAAATCTTATCCTGCATTTAAGAACTCCTACACGCGTAGTGGAGCAAACAACATTGTACAGGTAGCAAGAGGAAGGCTCATCAATTGTCGGTCACATTGATTTGCATTGTGACCTAGAACGACAGTATAGACAGTACGCAGGCTTAAATACAACAACATAGCGCTGTGGTTTGCTCTTTCATCAGCCTTCACCATCTTTCAGCGACATGCGGGAAGTGATGATGAGATGGTCACCAACACGTCGGCACGCCAGGCACGCGTCTTTCTTGTACAGGCATGAAGCCAGGTACGTCATAAGCAGGCTTTCAGCGTGTCTGGTCGTTATCGTCTCCTCTTGCGGATTTTGGTGGGGCACAAAGGTCTAGCGCGGCCCTTGGGGCATGTGTGAGTCTTTGCACAGTCAGAACGACCAATTGTCCTGTCATTGAGCCAATTTTCTCCTTTGCCCCAACTACATTCATGATAAAAGCTGAACGGTCCGACACGAGCACAAACGACAACCACCACCTCTACGGAACGGCTTCGCAACTCAAGATCGCCGCAAATACTTGTTAATAATCGAAGAAAATTCTAACCTTGTCCTCTCCTCCATACATACCACATTCAAGGTCGTTGTGTATTCAAGATGTCGGGAAACTATGACTCTTGGGAAGATGCGGCAGCACAGGATGAGGAACTTAATAGACAGACACAAAATATGAACATTGGAGCAAATACCTTCCGGCCAGGCGCTTCGTCCTTTCAACCAGGCGCGTCCAATTTTACACCTGGTCAACAATACCAGCAGTACAACGGCTATCAGCAACAATATGCTGGTTATGGTCAGCAGCCGCAGCAAGGATATGGACAGTATCAGCAATACCCTCAGCAGGGTTTCAACCAGTACCAGCAATATCAGCAGCAACAACCTCGACAGAACAATAATGCCCAGTTCGCCGCCTTCAATCAAGCTCCTGGGCAATTTCAACCGAAACAGGGAGCGCCAATAAGTATCGCTAAGAGAGGTGCTGCTGACTCAAGTGCCACGCCTACATCCACCGCCGCGAAGTCTGCTGCTGCTCCAGCTCCAGCTGCAAAGCCAGATACAGCCGCACCACCGAAGGCTAAGGTCCTGTCTATAGGTGTGCCTGCACCTCTCAAGGCTGCAGAGAAGAAGGTCGATTCTCCGACTGCAAAGACTGCGCCTTCAGAAGATAAAGCTGCTGATGCCGCCCAAACACCTGCTGAGACAGGGGCCAAGGTTGCAGCGGCAAAAGCTGTAGAAAAGACTGGTGACAAAATATCTGGGAAGACGACACCTCCTTCGAAGACTAGCGGCAAGGCCTCGCCTACTCCAGCAGAAACTAAAAAGAAGGTCGATGCGGATGCTATTGCTCAAGCACAAACCGCAGATGTCGACTCTTCTGTGCTGGAGGAGATGTACGGAAAAGAACACGTGAATATCATCTTTATAGGTCATGTTGATGCAGGTAAATCGACACTGGGTGGACAAGTTTTAATTCAAACCGGTATGGTTGATGAGCGGACACTGGACAAATACAAAAGAGAAGCCAAGGACGCGGGAAGAGAAACGTGGTACATCTCGTGGGTCATGGATCTCAACACCGAAGAACGTGCAAAAGGCAAAACTATCGAGGTCGGCAGAGGCTTCTTTGAGACTGAGAAGCGTCGATACACTATCCTTGACGCTCCAGGTCATAAGACTTATGTTCCCAATATGCTAAGTGGTGCAGCTCAGGCCGATGTTGCTATTCTTGTCATTTCTGCACGAAAAGGTGAATTCGAAACTGGGTTCGAAAAAGGAGGCCAGACACAAGAACACGCTATGCTCATTAAGACGACCGGCGCTAAAGAAGTCGTTGTTGCGGTGAACAAGATGGACGATGTTACTGTCGAATGGGCAGAGGAACGGTACAAGGAAATCGAAACAAAACTCAAGCCCTTCCTCAAGAAGAAAATGGGTCTCGATTCAACCTTCTTGCCAATATCAGCTCAAACAGGTATTGGTGTCAAAGAACGCATACCTAAAGACGTTGCCCCATGGCACGAGGGACCGTCACTCCTAGAATTCCTTGACAACATGAAGAAAATCGCAAGAAACTTGAATGCTCCATTCATGATGCCTGTGGGTGCCAAATACCGTGACCTAGGAACTATGATTGAGGGACGAATCGAGGCCGGTGTCGTCCAAAAGACCTCAAGCTTGACCATGATGCCAAATCGCGAGCAGATTAGCATTTCTGCTTTGTACGGCGAAACGGAAGAAGAAATTCCTCACGCTACTTGCGGAGAACAAGTGCGAATGAGAATTCGAGGTATCGAAGAGGAGGATATCATGCCCGGCTTCGTGTTGTGCTCGCCGAAGAGACTGGTACATTGTGTTTCTGCTTTTGAAGCTCAGATCAATATCGTGGAACTTAGATCAATCTTGTCGGCCGGCTTCAATTGTGTCGTACACGTTCACGCGGCTACTGAAGAAGTCACTTTTGAAGCGCTGTTGCACAAGTTGGAACCAAAAACTGGTCGAAAGAGCAAGAAACCGCCGCCATTCGCGTCAAAGGGCATGGCTATCATCGCTCGAATGAGAGTAACGAGCGGTGGTGGAAAGATTTGTGTCGAAAGATTCGAGGACTATCCTCAACTTGGCAGATTTACACTTCGTGATCAAGGACAGACTATTGCTGTCGGCAAGATTACTAAGCTGCTCCTCGACGAAGAGTGAAGAGACACAAGAATTGCTGCAACCAGTTGTCCAGAAGACTCGGAAACAAGACGTGACGGACACTTCATGGCATACAGAAGTCGAGCGTGGTTGCAAGAACGCACAATAAAACGTGTGGACTACCTCAGATGGCATGAACATAGCAGCACGCACGGTTCATCTGGACCTAAGTCTTCATCAATTTCCCACTTCCAATATGGCGTGACATTCCCAAGTCACTAGAGCACCACGAGACTTGGGTACGGAGAACGTTTGCTCTCCCTTGCAAGGCGATGGTTCACAAGCCTATCACTACTATGAGGAGGTCGACTCGCCCGAAGAGGACGGTCTTTCGGAATTGGATAGACAGTCCTCTTCAATGAATGTAGACACCATACTTTGTGGCTGGCCATGTGTCAGAAGCATTTTCCGATGTAGTGAGACTTCCGTCCTCTTTGGCTGCCGTACCAAGGACTTGAATCTCAATCTTGACACTGTTGTTATGCACTATCTAGTGACAACTGCTTCAACCTCTGCCATATTCAGATAAAAAAAGTCCGGTCTTCTCACTCCACATGACTGTCACTCTGTGCTTTTTACAAGTCAAAGTGAACCAATGCTTCTCGTCCCTGGCTTGTTCTAAGTTCCTAGTTCCCATCACATAAGCCTTTGGCATCACTTAGTGCCCGTGACTATATGCATTACCGGCCTATCTCGTATTTCTAGTCTTTCACTCATTCATTTGCAAGCACTCACTTCATTTCCTCTTGGTCTTAAAACTCTTTAACGGATCAATCCTACGACCCTGAGGCTTCTTACCTCTGTACTGTCTCCCTCCCTGTCCTGCCCCCTTCTTCTCGTTCTTATTGAAGCTAACGAACGCCCCATCCCCAGCCTTTTGGCGCTTTCCTCCTGGCAAAAGATATTCAGGAACGTGCTTGAGATGATTTTGTACACGAATGATACCCGCGCCACTGCTGGTATCGTGTCTGAGCGCTTTCAAGTCCTCTGGATTCTCCTCGAAATGCTTGGACAACTTGTCGCTTTTGAGGAGTTCTTGCTTGATTTCTCGCGTTCTTGCTTCTCGGATCTTGTTGGGAGTGACTGCTTTTAGTGCATCTTGCATGCGGTATCGGAAACCTTCGACTTGTGACATGTTGAAGGGGTGATCTAGGATTTCTCGGCCCCTTTTGGCTTGTCGTGCTTTGATCCTTCCCATCACTCGTTCGTCGTGGCGTGATGAGGAGACGGATGTGTATTTGTGCTTGCCGAACTCTTCGGTGGGTATAACGAATGAAATTGCCGTGCCGGATTTGCTAGCTCGCGCAGTACGACCGATGCGGTGAGTGTACGATTTGGAAGTTGTGGGCAGATCGAAGTTGAGAACACAAGAAACATTTTGAAAGTCGATTCCGCGAGATACGCCAAAGTCTTTCTGTCGGGGTTTCGTGGACTTCTTGGTGGTCGTTTGATTTTCTTCCTCTTCACTTGCTGAGCCATTTTCCGGTCCCGATTCTGCATCTACTTTCCTCGATTTCCGTTGGATGCCTCCAATAACTTCCTGCTCGTCTGCGGCTATCAGGATGTCATACAAGCCTCGGTTGAATTCTTGCACAGCATGTAGTCGAGAATTGACGGGTAATTCAGAGTTGAGAATGCAGGACCTGATGCCAAACTGCTCAAGATATAGCTTTAACCTGTAACTGCGATCGATGTCTTGAACAAATATGATGCACTTCCCTTTCACCAACTTCAGCTTGAATATAACATATATGAGCAGGAACTTGTCTTCTTCACCACATTTAATCATGTACTGTTTAACCTCTTGACCTTCCTCTTCTTTGTCCTCCACGTCGACGACAGCGTAGTCCTGAGCGAAGGTTGACCGCAGCTGGTCGACTTCAGGTGTCAACGTGGCACTGATGAGAAAGGTTTGAATTCCTGCAGGAACGGCTTTGGAAATCTTTTCGATATCTTCCTCGTGACCATAGGAGAGTACACGATCGGCTTCGTCGATTATCAACTTTGCTATCGTGCTCAGAGACAAGGTTGAACTGGTGAGTAACTGCGCCACCTTTCCTGGAGTCGATACGAGCACATCCGGCGTCTCATTGAGTTTTGCTGCAAGTACAGATGCGCTGGCCTTTTGGTTCAAGTTCAATGCTCTAACCTCTTTTCCGCAGAATTCGCTGAGACTAGCGAAAGTGCGTGCGACTTGATCTGAGAGCTCGTGAGTCGGGACCAGCACCAGAACCGAGATGCCCTTTGACTTGGAGCCATGTGCCTTGGCTTCAAGTATTGCTTGTATACATGGCAGAACGTACGCAGCAGTCTTGCCGCTACCAGTCTTCGACTTTGCTAATATATTCCTGCCTTCAATAGCCAGTGGTATTACTTGTGCTTGCACAGGGGTCGGTTCGAGATACTTCGACTTCGCTAAGGACTGCAGTAGGCGGGCATCGAGGTTCAAAGAGTCAAATGTCGGTTTGTTGGATTGAAGGCTTTCTGCTGCTTTAAATGGTACTTCCACTGTTGGCGCATCGTTCTCGTCAAGCTTGCGTTTCATGGTGTTCGGACTTTGGATGTATAAGCCCTCTTTCTGCAAAATTCAAGACAGAAATGCCTGCTTCAATTGGCGCTCACCAGTCAAAATTTCGAGGGAAAATAATTATGGAACCGACATGCGACTGAAGGTGTAAGTAGATCACATGGACTACCGTAGCTCATACGCGGACGTGGCGGAGTTCAAGTTCGTGCCATCGTCAGCCGTCGTTCTCTTCATGCTACAGTCTACGAGCACGTCGCACTGTCTGCAGCTATGCTGCTTGACACTAGTAGGCGAGGTTTGCATATCTGCATTGGAAGCACGTCGTCCCGGCAGTATCTGCAAGGAACTAGCATGTGGACGACAAGGGAATGCACAGACACGCTTCGATATTGATTGAGTTGACCCGCACAGTCGTGAATTTTATTACAGAGCTGTCAACTTATTCAAATTATCTGTCACTATCATGAGTATGGACTTTATGGTTTCTTCCATTAAAGCATTTGTTCGGCCAACCTATCTAATGGTAGGCTGCTTTCCGGCCTCACGACCCCATCCTCCAAGCCCTTCCCCAGCTGCAGTACCTCCAAGCCCACTGTTTCCTCCAGCGGTTAAACTGCCAGCTGCTTGACCGCCAGCCACTCCAGGTGTTGTCGCAGCCCACTTGTCAAATTCAGTCCGATCCATCCCAGTATACTTCTTGAGGTCCTCTTCGCTGAGCTGGGAGGTCGATGGACCTCGTTTGAGATCCTGGTACTTTTGGTAGAGAGACTTCTTCCGAGGTCTGTCCTCTGTGGTGACGCCGCCAGATTCAGACGACAAGATTGGGTTAGAAGGATCTTCGGGTAGCTTCTTGGATTTGTTGAAGAGTCCCATAATGATATGCTCGGTGCGATTGTGCTTGTGAGTTTGTCTTTGTTGACAGCAGGCTAAGCCACCTAGAGAGCTCTGTGTTCAAGCTTCTCACTTGGATATGTCTTGGTCCCAGGTAGCTGTTCACCAATAGTGTGCGCAGCAGTCGGTGTGGTAGGTGAAGCTGTGACGTCCTCGTAAGGTAATCTGGTTTGCGTATCCTCTATGTGTCTGCTCTCGATACCAAGACTTGGCTGGTCTTCGATTCTGTTGTCGAAACTGATTCGATCGTCGCCGGTCACTTGAGGCTTGGTCGAGCTGACGGCAGTGCTATCTAAACTCTGCGGGTGCAAGCTGCTTGTCTCCTTCTCTGATAGCGAGGGTAGCGGGTTCGACTTTTGTCTAACCTCTTCAGGTGCGACTATTGTATCTCGTCTGCCGGATGCAGCAGCGTCGTAGTCGACAGTGCTGAAATTGGTTTTGACCTGTTTGATCGGCTGAGGAGCTTGGTTGTCGATGTCTTCTTGCTTCTCACCTTTCAGGTCTGACTGGCAACAACCCATGCCTTATTTATAACTTGATGTCTGGATTGTCACGATACGTATTCGCTAAATATGTAGCTATTTTTGGGCTATGCTAGAATTTAGCCTAGCCGACTGATGTCAGTGCGCCAACGCTGCTGTGTGTCCAGAGGCGATGCTGTGCAGGTGACTCTCAATGGACAATGCGAACCTAACAGCGAACAATATTTTGAGGTGTCAATTAATGCAAATAGCCTTCCCAGAAGTCCAAGCACTGAAACGATCGTCGTGGTGATACGGTAATGGTGTGCCGAGTTTGTCGATGGCTTCAATTCGAGCGCCGCACGATCCGATCGTGGGGATTTCCCTCGAAGATGTCGCAATCGTAGTTTGTAGTGAATCAGGTCCTGACATACACCGTCTATATGAGTAGATGGCAGGAAGTAGCGTCGACTGCTATACAACGAATTGACAGTATTGAGAAGTCTGATTGAAGTACTTCCTCAATCCGGGGCCCCGACCAACATTGCGTGGCAAGGTCTTGGAGGATCCGGGGCCATGAAGTTTATCATTCAGCTGGAAGTCGTTATTCGTCGAAAGGCAAAAGCTACCGAGGTGGCTGTGTGATCCAGGCCACCCACCTTTAGTCACGACGCAACATTGGCCGATTTGACAACGAGCAAGCACTTTCTAAGCCTCGAGTGCTTGAGGTTATGCATAACGCGACGACGATAATGAAGACATTAGTGCCGTGGTAAGGAAGGTGCTGATCGAAGAATGTACCGGTACGTCACAGAGCTACACTGACCGACTGCACATCAGCTGGCTCTCATTTAGCATACTAGCAGTGAGGCCTGTTTGCATACACACAGTCAAAGGTAGACATATCGCACTATACCATTACAGATGTTGTACAACATACTCCCAGAAGCGAATCGCGCTTCCAGCTTTTTGCATTTAGTATCACATACGAAAGCTGGTCCTGAGTAATATGATGTGAGGTAGATGATCAGAACGACTTCAGTAACTCTCGAGCTACGGTTTGTCTCGTCGCTGGTACTATTGCAAAGCTGTTTGAGGCCGTCGTTGGGAGTCCACTGATCGCTCGAAGAGAGATTAGAGATGTTGCACTGGTGGCGTACTGTCCAGAAGTGAAGAGGTGTATGTGGTCAGCACACTCCCGCCACCAGCTTGCTGGTAGGGAAATGCCAAAGCAGAACCCGCCTGATAACGCTACGCTTGTCGGGTCTGTACCTGACAAGCAACACCTAGAACCAAGCTTTCTGGTTGTCATCCTCAGAAGGAGCTGTTCACATGGCAAGCCAACCATGATTGTGGGACTGCGTTTCAGCTTTGCAGGTCGATCGAGCGTCCGAAGCCTGCACCGGAGTTGCAATAACCAGTTGTATAGAGCAGTACCGCCACTTCCCAATGGTCATTTGGGAATAATCGTCGTGATCGACTGTTGCTCCATTTTCCACATTGCGCTGATGAACACTACTGAAGACAATCAACGGCCGCCGATACTCGACGGTGGCCAAGGTCGAGATTGCTTCGAGGACAAGTCTGACGGTATCGAGGTGAACGTGCGAATAACAACTCTCAAACAGGCTTGATACCTTTGTGTATAGCTGCGATTCCACCTGTAAGGTTTTCATAACCGACACCAGGTGTTACGAAACCAGCTTTTTGAATCATCGCCTTGAACTCTTTCTGCGTGGGAAACCTTTCGATGCTCTCCACTAAGTACTGATAGCTGTCTCTATCGCCAGCCACGACCTGTCCGATCAGAGGAATAGCTCCAAAACTCCAGCGTTTGTAGAATGCGTTGAACAATGAGCTGTCAACATGGCTGAACTCCAGACAAGCGAATACGCCGCCAGGTTTGAGCACTCGAAAGGCTTCGCGAAGTGCGGCATCTTTGTCTGTAAAGTTTCTTATCCCAAACGCCACAGTGTACAGGTCAATACTGTTGTCTGCGACGAAGCCCAGCTTTTCTGCGTTGCCTACTTTGAAGTCGATTCTGCCACTGTTCGCATAAGGTGTTTGCAGGGATCTTTTCTTTCCTTCCTCGAGCATATCAGGGTTTATATCTGATATTGTGACTTTCGTAAGGTTGTCGCCATTTACGTTCGTGGCGTGATCGAGCATACGAAAGGCTATGTCACCTGTGCCGCCAGCGATATCGAGAATTGACCAGGCTTGATCTTGCGATGCCGCTCTACTGCCAGGATTTAAGGAGCGGACAAAGTGATCTTTCCAGAGTCGATGAATGCCCAAGGACATTAGATCGTTCATGGTGTCATATGAGGATGCCACTGAGGAGAAAACCTTTCCGACTAAGAGAGTCAGCACGTATAGCGGAAAGTGTGACTTCAAACTTACCTCTTGCTTCCTTCTCAGCTTCCGGTACAGTCTCGAATCCGAAATGCGTCGTCTTCGCATTGTTTTTTTCTGATGCTTCTTGGAGCGGCTTGAGGGACTGTGGGAACCCTCGACGCGCAAACGATCGACTGCATTGTGAAGGAAGCCGCAATCGCCTAGAGGCGATGCGAAGTGACATGGCCGTGTACGGCAAAGTGAAGTTGAGATAGATCCATACTAACAGTTGATCTCGATCTCGGAACTTTTTTATTCGGGTACTTCAACAGTGAACATACATGCCGCTAAACGCCACGAGTATATCATGATGGCGGCAAGTTGTCAGAACATGAGGACTCTGCGTCCTTCCCATCTCCCATTCACAGCTCAAGCTTTACCGGACAATACGCCACGGTCTGAACTACTCCTCGTAGTATTGGCATCACATGTGTCCAGAAAGCTCGACATATCCTCGTCCTGATGTACCATAACCCGTGGAGCAGATACTGAGTTGATGGCCGAATATTTCCACTTATCGTGTCGCGAAACAGGCAACGACACCACTGATGGTCGAGTAAATCACTTAACCTTAAACAACCGAGGATAAGCGACATCACTCATTCCTCTCTATAAGAGTAGTACTCTATATACTCTCAACCCACCAGGTTTATGGGATACCATATGAGAATGTTCTTTCTGTTTACTAGTTTTCAATGCTTATAGCCATGAAGCAGGTAGCTCAGCGGTCGCTCAGACTTGAAGCTGCCCTGCTACGCGAAAGACTCGTACCACAACATAACACCCTTGCTCAAGCCACAGTACAAGCACGACGATGGCAGTCAAACAGAGCCGAGTCATCCAGCTACCAACCCAGCGTCAGCCAACGTGCCGGAGCTGACAGTGTCAACTTCCCAGGTGCCGTGAACAGCAAGTTCACCTCCACCATGCGGTTCCAAAACCCGGCAGAAAACACCGCCATGTCAACATATCGTATCTTAGATGCAGACGGCAACGTGGTTGACAACACCCGCGACCCTCAAAATGCGCCCGACAAGGAAATCTTGCAATGGTACAGGAACATGTTGACTGTGAGTATCATGGATATCATCATGTTTGACGCCCAACGTCAAGGCCGTACCAGCTTTTATATGGTATCAGCTGGCGAGGAGGGAATCGCCGTAGGAACAGCTTCAGCGATGGATCCGGACGACGTCTGCTTTCTCCAATATAGAGAACAGGGTGTATGTATCCAGCGAGGGATGACACTGAAAGAGCTTATGAGTCAGCTATTTGCCAACAAGGACGATGTTGGCAGAGGACGGAACATGCCTGTACATTATGGAAGCGGCAAGCACAAGATATTCACCGTGTCGAGTCCGCTTGCTACACAGATTCCGCAAGCGTCTGGTGCGGCATATGCACTGAAGCTGCAGCGGATGATGGATCCGAATGTCAAACCGAGGATTGTGACTTGCTACTTTGGCGAAGGCGCAGCGAGCGAGGGTGACTTCCACGCCGCATTGAACATAGCTGCCACCAAGTCCTGCCCTGTTGTATTTGTGTGTCGAAACAACGGCTTCGCTATTTCCACGGCAAGCATAGAGCAATACAAAGGTGACGGTATCGCTAGCAGAGGATTGGGCTATGGTATTGACACGATCCGAGTGGACGGCAACGACATCTTCGCTGTCAGAGAAGCAATGATCGAGGCTAGAAAGATGGCCCTTGGAGGAAACTGCAAACCAATTCTAATCGAAGCAATGAGCTATCGAGTCAGTCACCACAGTACAAGTGACGACAGTTTCGCATACAGAGCGAAACGCGAGGTGGAAGAGTGGAAGCGCAGAGACAACCCAATCACTAGACTACGCAAATGGATGGAGAAGAAGGGCATATGGAACGAGGATATGGAGAAGGAAGCCAGAGCAAGTATACGAAAGCAGATTTTACAAGAGTTCTCAGCTGCTGAGAAGGTAAAGAAGCCAGCGCTTCGATATATGTTTGAGGATGTGTTCGAGGAGATGACTCCAGATCTGAAGGCTCAAATGAAGGAGCTGAAGAGATTGATAGAGACATATCCTAAAGAGTACGACGTGTCGCAACACGAGCAGGGTATCAAGAGTTTAGACTAGTTGTGAAAGCGCGCGGATTGTATGTATAAGTAAGAAGCATATCAAGCCTGTCTTAAGCCAAGCAAAATCTTTGGCATTTGGGATTTTCTTGCATCGAAGCGCACTCCTGCTCATGGGGACAGGTTAATGGATAGACGCCACGGAAGCGGCATTCTGTGTCGGCTGTGGTTAACAGGTTCTTTCGCGGTCCAGTCGTTTTCACTGTTTCGACTTCCCGGACGAGCTGTGGTTCAAAAGGCTAAATTCATAGTTCGACCAAAACAGACTTGCATCAAGAATGCCATGAAACGTGCGGGTGTCACAAAGTGATGTTTGGACTGCTAGCCCACAGCCGTGGCATTTATCTTTGTCCTGAGTATGATCTTTCTCGTCAAAACAAGCCAAAATCCAATAATGGCGATAGCACGCCTGTCCTCACTCCAGCTTGACAGGCGGATAAACACGGCTCAGCAAAGCATTTGTTTTCTTGCGAAATTATCATCGTTCTATCTTACGAACTGGCATCAGTTCGCAGAGGCTGTCGCAGGTTCTGGGTCTTTTCCCTTGGCCTCATTTGAGGCAGGCAGGCTGCTGCTGGAAGCGGAACCGCGGTTTTCTTCGACGAAGAGGTGGTTCTGCTCGATATATTCAACCACGGGTGCAGGAATGAGGTACTGCACACTCATGCCTCTCTTAAGAAAGAGACGAATCTTGGTGCTGCTGACATCGTTCTGGATTAATTGTTGTATGACGTAGATGTTCTCTCGGTATGTTTGCAAGCTGGCAAGAGCTTCGTCGATATCGGTACCCTGTCTTTCGACGATGAAGGAACCATATTGTCCAAGTATATGTTCCAAATCTTTCTCAGCCCAAACGCCTGGTTGCGACATGGTCTGTATAAGATCGGCACCAGCAAGAAGGGCAATATGAACCTGCTTCCGCTCCCCGTTCTCTGCCTCCACACCCTTTCGTACGACGTTTATCTCGTGATCGAAGTGGTCCAGGACAAGCGCAGTGGGCTGGTACTCGGCTGACTCGGCCTCCCAGGTATCGACCATCAACCAGTTCGAAGCCTTGTCAATGGCCAATTTGCACATGTTAACTCTGCGACTTGTTAGCAGGACCCATGATGTTGCGAGAATGCCCTCTCACCTGTGCTCTGCAGCGGCTAAGCCTTGTTTCTTGTAGGCGTCCGAGACAGGAGACAAATAACCACCGATGAGCTCAAAGTTGGTATTGTGTTTTATATAATCGCCTGCCATAACGAACATTCGGAGGTGGAGGAAAGTAATTGGTGAAAACGAGCCACAGGCGACGAGTAGCAGTGGTGTCTTGCTTGGGTCGTTCATTTTCCGCTTCAAGCGGTAGTCCGGAAAAGTGTAACTGTCCATTTCTGTGAGTCCTCCCTCACCGAGGAGGGCTTGTAGCTTGGTGCCGCGTCGCTGAGTCAAGGGGATAAGCGAATTCAGAGAGGTCCCGTGGGCGTAGTTCTTGTCGGCAGAAGCAGATACTCTGCGGAGATGCGCAGTAGAAAGCTCGCTAAAGGAATATGCTCTTTTTCTGCCTGTATGGAGATTGGCGCAAGTGACGTGTTTGTCAGTGAAATGTTTCGTATACAAGGAGGAATACTGTAGAGATCTCTTCGTGAGTGAGCGTGTTTTCGCAAGCAGAGAAAGTGGTATCAGCATTTCACATCACAGTCATAGTGGGTGGTGGGGACAAGACACTTTCGAGTTTCTGTAGGCAGGCGTCTAGGCTTCGGCAGAACTCCTCTCAGCCAAAGCGGTTGATATCCGTGCGCTTTGCGGGGCTTCGGAGGAGCAGGCAAATTCGGCCTGGGTGTACAGTACTCCGAGTAAAGATAGCGGGCACTGCAATCGATAAAAGCTGCACTTGTTTTTTCGTTCGGCTCTGCGGCGATCAACACACCAGCCTGGCCAAGTTGCTGGCAAAAACGCTTAACTCGCACTGCTACGAGGTCTCGTGCTCCAAAGTGCTTGTCAAAGTGAAGAAGGCGACATCCCAATCCATATCTCCGGCATGACGAAAGTGACAATGTGCAAATGCGGCTCTACCTTTATGACACTCTCTGTTTGTTCAACGTGTTCGATTGTCCAATGCTATTGGATTGTGCTATACCTCGTTGTATATCCGGCTGCTCGAAAGCTGTGTCTGATGGCTGGCACAGACGAGTACAACGTCATCAGAGTACGATACAAAGCCGTTGCGAACAAGGAGGAACCTATAGTAGTATTAGAGTAGAGGCGCTGGATCATAAGCTCATAGAGTGATAGCTCCTGCCATTCCACTACCGGCGTTTTCGTAAGTGACTATTGTAGCTTACTGGCCTCTTGTTGAAAATCAACTTGCTTTTGAGAACGCGTTATTTCGCGTTGAAATGAAAGTACTCATCCTAAAAGTACGAGTCATTGCGAGTCATTCGCAAACTGAGGCACCAGTCAGGCCAATAGCATTGCTGCCTGGATAAGACATAAATGCCTGGCGATTATGCTGGGGTTATGCTCAGTGGAGTGGTTGACGGCCAGCGTCGATCAGCCTCCACCAGCCATGAACCCTGCTCTTGTCAACGCACGTGTGACTGACCACTACCCAGCACGACCAGACGCACCCACCTTGTTCTCGGAGCACGGCCTAGGACAACGATACTACTGACCACTATGGACTTCGCATACGATCTCATAAACGACCGATCCTCAACACCCAAACCCTCAGATACAACAGGGTCCGATCCCGAGGCTACTTCAAGCACGCCCACTCGTGCCACTCAGCAGCCACAGCGCCAGGATTTGCAGACCGAATTTCAGGAAACATTCAAGGCATTCTCGAATACGCAATGGGGCGCTAAGCTGGGTGGGTGGTGGTCCACCACCCGAACACAGGGCGCGTCCTACTATGAAAGTGCGCGGAAGGAGGCCGAGAAACGCGAGGCTGAAGCCGCAAGAGTACTGGAAGAGGCAAGGAAGTTGGTTGTAGAACGCACCAAGACCGTGGTAGAAGCTGCGGAGAATCAATTGGACAACATCGTCAACGAAGAAAAGCGGGCTGAACTACAGGCAGCCCGCAAGCAGCAGCAGGAGCACGAGTCGGAAAGATCGTTGCCAGGCGCATCCACAATAGAACAGCAAGACGAGGAAGACACCGACACCTTCCTAGCTCGCTTCAAATCTGAAGCAGCTAAGCGACTCAAAGATGTTCAAAAGGCGGAAGATGCAGCGGATGAAGCCCTTCTCCGCTTTGGAGCCAATATTCGCAACTTCTTGAAAGACACCATATCTGTCTCTGCCCCAGAAGCGTCCTCAAAATCGCAGTCCACAGATGTTATCTTCGAAAGTAGGGATATCACAACTGGAAAACGAGTAATACACACCTCGAGATTCGACGCGCAGTTGCATGTGATACACACCACACCCTCGAGTTTTACTGAAGACCCTGAAGCGAGCGAAGGATGGCAACAGTTCAAGACAGGGTTTGACATTGATGACAGAACGGACGACATAGCCACAGATCTGGACAAGTATCCCGAACTCAGGTCTACGATGGAGAAGCTGGTACCTGGGACAGTTGACTACAAGGCCTTCTGGACAAGATACTACTTCCTCAGGCATGTCGTACAATCACAAGACGAGAAACGCAAGGAGCTTCTACAAAGTAAGTCGAAGGCCGTACCAGGTAACAGATTCTTTACTGACAAAATCACAGCCTCTGCAGCAGACCAGGAAGAAGTAGCATGGGACGAAGACTCAGAAACCGAAGCAGCTGAAAGGGAAGCCGAACAAGTCCCTAACACCGCAGATGCTTCGCAAACGAAATCCAGCGCACATGCACGCACAGATTCAGATGCAATAACTCTCAGAGCACCACGCCGCTCTCACGATGAAAAGTCTGTAGCTGACTCCGAAGCAAGCTACGATCTCGTGAGTGGAGCGGCAAGTCATGCCAACAGTTCTCCAAAGGAGAAGCACATCAAAGAAGAAGAAAGCGACGATGACTGGGAATGATGACCAGCAGATTTTGAAGAATAGAGAGCATTTTGTTTTCTTGATTGTAGGACAACAACCACGATAGGATCAGTAGCAGGAAATACCCCGGCGCCACCAATCATTCAAGCAGATTCTTGTGTATCTATTGTGTGATCACGATCGTTGAACTTGAGTACAAGCAAATGCTGACTTGACTTGCGAGTGTTACAGTAGAATCGACAACACACCATGCAGACTTCGTAAGTCATGTTCTTCGCGCCCCTGGTCAAGCATGAACGAATCTGCCGCCGACCAACATGACCTGCGCACTTTTGTAGAACCCACAGTTGCCTCCATATCCTTCCCCTAATCCCTTGACTCCCCCTCATGACCATTGACCCATGCCCAACCCGCTATGCACCTCTTCTTAACAACAATACAAATACAGAATACCCACCTCATCAATACATGCAATGGTGAACCATGTCGAAAAATGCCTTTCCTTTTTAAACACACACCGCAATAGCCTTTGCCGTACTGAACTCAATTAATGATCGTCGAAGGTAACCATACCCACCGAGAACCTCAATAAGCATCCACCGAGACCGAACTCAACTTAGACCAGGAGGCGCGCCCATGAATGCTGCGCTGTCCATGGGTCCTGCGGGCGCCATTTCCATTTCTCCGTTGAGCATTGGACATAACCTGTAAGTGAGGCACATATTAGCAAATGTCATTGTAAAGTGAAGTGAAGTCAAGTGAGTGAAGTGTGTCTCAGGTAAAGGGTCAAAGGGCGCATGATAGAGCAATTGCCCCTCTCTGGCATCAGCAAGGTAGAGAGGCAAAGCAAGGCAACGATGACATGTGGTCGAAGCAAGACAACAGGGCAGTCACCACCCTTGTCTCGTTCAAACTACAGCCGGCTTTTTGCCAGGATGGAAAAATTCATGTCTCATGGTGCTGGAGACTAGCAAAATCAAAGGACAAGGCTTTCCCAAAGTCGTCCGTCTTCTTCTTTACCAGATCAAATCCACAGCGCTTGCAGGTAGAGTTTACTGACTTTTTGTTTGTCTTGATATGGCCGACTTGGCCGCAGTTGGCACATTTGCGCTGTGTTCCAGCGTTGTTTCTGCCGCCGCTGCTAGGAGCGGGAGTTGAAGGATCAGCACCGTTGCCGTCTGCTCCGGTCTGGTCGCCATCGATGGTGGCTTCGGATGGTCGGTTCTTCTTGCGGCGTTTTGCCTTACGGTTGTTCTCGAGTCTAGCGAGTTCGTCTTCAAGCCTGTTGTCATGGTTAGTGTTTGATTCAGGTATGATGCGAGGTGGTCAGGAGTATACTTTTTTCTATTAAGCGCATCGACTTGATGATCGCCGGTTGGTAGTGCCTGGGACAGACTACACTTGTCAGTACTCGATCGAGCTTAGCATGAATGAAAACTTACTTTTGAACCTCCATCTTTTCTTTCCGCTTGAGGTACATCTTGATAACCTGCGGATCTGATTCAACGACTTCTCTCCATTCGTATGCATCGGCGCTGGCATCCCACACTCTGCGTCTGATTCGAAGATATCTTTGAGCTTGCGAGTTGGCACTACGTTTGCTGAAAGAAGTGCCTGTCTCGTCGTCTCGCCGTCTGCCGCTTGGTGTCTGTAATCCAGATGCCGGTGTAGCTCGAATGTTTCGGGATCGAGCAAAGTCATCAAGCTGACCGTCAACGCCTTCTTCGTCGATGTCTTCAGCTTCGTCCACAGAAGACAAAACATCTCTCTGCCTGTTCCAGATCTTGCGAATCGATTCTTCGTAGGCTTGTTGTTGACGAGCCACGTTATAGGTGTGCCCACCCAGACCAGCCTCCTTGCCTCGTTGGCTAGCCACATTCTCGTTCGCCGAAAGACCCTGAGCTTTGAAGCCACCTTTCATGCTAGTCTTAATAAACGAGAATGCTTCACCTCGACCGGAAGGATCTCCATCGCCATACAGGCGAAGCATAGCCTTGCCTTGCGTAGCTAGCTTGAAATTCTTAGTTGTCTTCCAGGGCGCAAGTTGTCTTTCAATGGCTATATCTTGTTTGTCGTCTTTCTCGTCATCGTCCTTGTCGTCGTCTCCACCCGCATCATCGTCTGCGTATCCCGAATCATGCAGATACTGGTTACCGACTTGCATGGATTCAAGAAGACAGATCTCCTCGGGCACAAGCGTCTTCTGAATCTCTTCTTCGTCCGGAATTTGCTCGGTGCCTCTCATTTCCCACTCCTTCTGTTCCTTGTTGAATTGCATGAATTCCTTCATTTTCTGGCGATTCTGCATATCATTTGTCTCTGGGAAGTGGCGAGTGACTTCTTCGACGCGCAGCCGATGGCTCTTCTTCCTTCGTGCAATACGGAATGAAATTGCCTTCAGCCGATTCTTGGCCACAGTTGTGACTAATCTAGCAGAAGGTCCAGGAACCTGTACACTGGGAAGCTCTTGTCCCACGACATATTGATAGTCGATGTTACGCAGGTAGTGCAATTGACCGTTCATACCAGTCACCTCGCGGACAATGAGAAAGTCCGTTGATGCTTGGCTCTGCTTGAAGATGGGAGCTCTATACATACTATTGTATATTGCTAATGTGGCCTGACCTGGGTCAATATGTCCAAAGTTATTGAACGGAGACTTGTCTTCAGGCATTAGCACAGATGTGTCCCCTATCTCGGCTTTCGGTCGTTGTGTATCGCTAGCGTCCACTTTTCGATAGTAGTTGACGACTTTGTTACCCATTCCAGTCTGTGAGAGCATGACAGGATGTTCCTCAGAATATTCGAGCAGGAGAGCATAGGAGTTGTCGGCCACGGAAAGATCCCGCGTCTTCCCGAAGGCCTGCTGAATTGGCTTGTTCTTGATTTCCTTGCGCTTCTGTTTGTTGACCTTGTGGAACGCAACGCCGCCTTTGAACAAGATTTGTTTCCTGTGCCAATTTCGCAACTCTTTCGCAGGCAACCTGACCTGATAATAAGGGTACTGTAAGCGGATCGCGGGAATCGAATGGTCGATCGCCATGTTGGTTAGCTGTCCTCTAACCTTCTTTTGGTTCTGCTGCAGTAGGTTATAGGACGCATCGTTCGAAGTCTTGAAGCGTCGTGCTAGGCGATCCTTAATTGTCGCGATTTGGTATCGACTCTCACCAGGTTTGGCACGTTGTCTAGAAGCGTCTTGATCAAGTTCTTCAACCAAAAGTGTCGTGTCATTCAGATCGAGTACTACCTCGCGCGCGATCTTCGCTGTCAGTCTCTCGGGATCGTCAAAAGAAGGGATTTCGAATTGATGGATCGTGACGATGTCGTTAGCACCTAAACCAATACGACGTTTCTTGATTGGCCTCTCAGAGTCGTCGAAATCGTTCTCGTACTCTGACATGCTTGCATCTTCATCAACAGCTTGTGGTCTTGTTGAGAAGACACTGTCTTCGTCCGCCAGATGAGACAACGTATCGAAGTCAGTACACATAAGATCGAGGTCTTCGTTGGTCAATCCATTAGGTAAATCGTCGTCAGATTGCTCTTCGTCTAAAGGATCGAACCGCTCCTGTGTCACACCCACCGGAATATATACATAATCTGCGCGACGTTCGAACGGAAGTGCAATAGCTGCTGGAGTAGCGAAAAGAAGTTTCTGATCAGGCTCGATATCTAGCGTTACTTTGGTAGGGCGAATTGGTCGAGGTTTCTTGGTCTTTGTGTCCTTGACAACGTAAGTTGCAGGCTTTGGTGGTAGAATTCTGTTCCAGAAGGGAGCGTCCTCAGTAGGGTCGTAGGCTGGGAAATTCTTGTGCATCCATACATCCATGTCATCGATATCCGGTCGTCCAAACTGTCCAGGTTCCCGAGACAGCAGGGCCTCTTGGAGTACCCATTGGCGTGTCTCTTCTTCTGTCATTGTGGCATCTCGTTCAGCTAGTGCACGCAAGAGTCCTCCATTAGCAGGAGCTTGGTTGCTGCCTGCAGTGTTGTCTTCTATGCTTCTGGCTCGACCATCCCCTTGATCATCATGTCCTGTGTCTCCAAACAGATCATCATCACCATCGCCAAATAGGTCGTCGATATCAGATTCTGCAGCACTTTCACGAATACCGGACAGAAAGGTGTCGGGAGGTTGTACCGGTCCTCCCATCTCTACCTCATCAGGCAGATCATCGTCGCCAATGTCGTCATAATCAACAGCATCGATGGCCTTCTCGCCTATCTCGAGTGGACGATTGTTTAGAGCATCCAGGTCAATACCCTCAACGTCTTCTGCCACTCCTTCCTGCAAAAGGGCACTCAATTCCGCATTCTCTATACTTTGGTCGTTGGGTAATTCGGTGGGAAGGAAGTCGTCGTATGTCACGCCTGGTTGCACATTGTCTGTGTCTTGCTCAATATCAAAGCCTCCATCGTCGATAGCGAAAAGGTCGTCAAGATTGTCGCCATTCTCGTCATTGAGGTCGGCGTAACCGCCGTTTTCTGTGGGAGTATTCGAATCCATGATGGGAACTGCTCGCTTCTCTTAAATCAGAGGCTTCATGCCCGCCCTGCTTCGAAAGCCACCTGCGCTCCAAAGGCAAGCGATGCGCTATGCACATATCATTTGTTTGTGGAAGGTACTGGCGCTGAAGGCGTTTGCATGGTGAGTCGTAGTGATAATAGGCGACGTTGTGATTTTGAGATACAAACGTATAGGCGCGCACTAGGTAGAGTGCGAAGTTCAGAGCGTGCGTGTTCTGGTTTTGGTCGGGCAGTTGACTTGACAGAAAGTGAATGGAGGAGCAACGTCCTGACTCGTGGCGGCGCTAATTGATCACTACCTGAGTCAGGAATCACTATAACCTCACTGTTTCCTCTTCGCGCGTTTCCTTGTCAATCAAATTGCTAGAACGTATCAACTAGGTCATTTTGTTCTCCTAAGAGCGATAATTTGAAGTACAGGCTCTCGGTCAACCGAACAGTTTTCGATCCCCGAGACCTGCAGAAGGCGTGGTGGCGCAGGTCGAGACTTTCACAAAGCTTTTCACACAAGCACTCGTCCAACACAAACCCTACTAGTACTTCAAGGATGATTAACATGTAGGCGACCAAGACGATGTAAGGCATTGTCAGCTACTGTAATTCAAGACAGCGTTGGGGCATCAGTAATATTCATAGCCGTTGTCTCTGGCCATTATACCTCTATGTCTTTCCAGCTACCCAGATACGCACAAAGTGCTTTGCTGTTTTCACAAATACAATAGTGAACAATCTGCGCCTTGTCTTCCTGCTCTACACAATCCGCAATCTGGTTCAAATCGCCGGTCCTGGGAAGGTAAAGAACCATATTCTTCGTGACTTGCGAAAACCTTGAGTACATGAAATCCAGCGAGTACGGCATGTTTTCCAGGTTCATGATGTCTGCATCTTTATAGCTGGGACCTGCTAATATTAGCTCGTACTATCGAAAGAAAACAGCTTCGTACCTCCCCAAGGTGGACTGCCAAAGATTATGCCAGCTTTTTTGATGACTGCCACCAATTCATCGATCTTTCTACCAGACTTGCCGTCGTCCAAGCCCAGCAGTTCGAAACAATCTCCATGGAAGAAGGTGATTCGGTTGTGCACGCCATAGATCTTTGCATTATGCCGCGCACATTCCAAAGCTGCCATATTCTTCTCAATGGCGTAGACGCGTTTGTAGCCACTCAATGCGAATGCGATGGCATTACCGCCTACACCTGCAAAACAATCTAGCATGATGAGTCGGTCTTTTGGCTTGGTCGCAGCGACGTGCTCTGCTATTTTACTATTGTGATGTTTAGCTCGGTCGGCGTCACCTTCGGCTCCACGTCCATTTTACGCACTTTGCAACAGATTCGGGCGTGACCTCGAACCAAGAGTCATCAGTCGTCCAAATGCCATGATCGTACAGAGAGAACAAGCTGTGTCTGTGCTTCCAATACCTACCAGCAATCAGACCTCGTGTTCGTAGACGCAGTTAAGAAGTAATCTATGCTCACGGTTGTAAGTCCCATGGCATCTCATCTTTCTCTGTATACAAGTGAGCACCCTCTATTTCGGGTGCGACGAAATCATCGATAGCAGAACGCACAGCTGGGTGATTGGCATGATGCTGAGGCGCTTCGTTATGTCTCTTCCTCTTCTTGCCCATGGCTTCAGTGGAGTTAAACCGAGTCCTTTCTACCTTCTGCGTGCAGATCTTGAAAGTCGAAGAAGCAGGGCGGAACAAGTGAGTTTGGGCTGAACCGCGTCCACGTATTGTGATCGGATACCAACTTCAAAATCCAGCGCTAGTCTGCCCATAAGATTTAGCCACCAGAGACGGCGTTTGAGCTCGTGTTACTTCTCTCACAAAGTAGCCGTAATAAATTACACTAACATGGCCGAAGCAGCCTAGTATGTACCGGAACTTCGCAACCAGGATAGGGGCCAAATTTTCAGCGCCGGTCATTTCGTACACAATCGTTGCCTGCATGCTGGTGGCTTGTCAGTCCACGGGCCCAATTTTGCTGTCTCGAGGGGGTGGCTTTCAATTCCTACTGTGCAGCAAGATTATCCTCTTGGACAGCGCCCAAGTCGGAGTCCAGACGTCTTTTGCTGGAACCAGATACCCTTGTGGAACCTAGAAGCTGCATACCCGAGAACAGAGGCACAAGTATGTTGTGAAGTGGTCCGTGTTAACAACGTAATCCCAACTCTTTTCCTCGACGAGAACGGGAAACTCATTACTTGATCCTTTGAGTACAGTACATACGAGCCGATTAGGGAAAAATTGGAAAGCAAAACCCAAGTTCAGTTTGACTACCTACGCAGTAAAGCCGACCTACCAGGATGGAAAGAGACGTGTCAACTCCCTTTCAGCGCAAGCAGTATGAGCAACCTCTTCCTCTACAGTCCCGCATATCGCCTGATTTCAAGCCTCGGGGCAACAGGTCACTGTCTAGGATATCGGAATATGCGTTTGGTCTTGGTATAAGTCTAGGTATCAGCACATTAGCGACAATCCAAATGGCTTATGCCCAACACTATTTATGGAGAGTATCCTTCTTCATCACGCTCCTGTCACTATTCCACTACCTCGAATTTAACGTGACGGCTCGCTATAATTTTACCAGGGCCGAAGTATCTTCATTTCTACTTTTCAACGGCGTGGCTTACAATATTGCGCATACAACAGCTGTGTTTGAAGCAGTATCGCGTTATTTATTGAAGAAGACTGGATATCTCTATATAACATCTCTACCATCAGTACCCTTCATCACTGTACCAATAGGCATAGCGATGGTTGTGTTTGGGCAGACATTCCGCAGCCTCGCAATGAAACAAGCTGGTTCGAGTTTCAACCATGTCGTTCAGTCGACCAAGAAGGAGGATCACGTCCTCGTCACGACCGGCGTATACTCAATATCGCGACATCCGTCATACTTTGGCTTTTTCTGGTGGGGATTGGGAACACAGCTGATCCTCCGCAACCCTGTTTGCTTTGTGGCATATACAGTTGTATTGTGGAGGTATTTTTCTCATCGTATAAAGGTCGAGGAGAAATACCTTGTCGAGTTTTTCGGCGACGACTACCGCGAATATCGCACTAAAAGGGGCGTGCTGATACCATTTATATCCTAACAAGGCATATCAGGAACAAATCTCGATGTGCATGCTCTTCAGACTTCCCAGATCCCCTTGTTGGCCTCCGGTACACACCTGACACTGCGAAGTTGAGATCTTATGCTGATTCCATTTCTACGTGTCGAGACAGGCGAGCTTCGCAAGTGCTGGGGACGCATGAATTGTCGCCTTGACTACCAAGTTGTCGGCATCAAGCGATCATGGCAGACTCGTTCCCGGTGGTTTACAATGCTTGTCTGTATAGCATTATCTTGAAACTTTCATTGTCTAAAGACGACATAGCGCTTGCATAGGGAGCTGTAGGCACAAGGCAAATGTGCTCACATCTTACACGCGACAGCAGCGAAAACAATCAATGTGGCCGTGGCGATACGCACAGTAAGTTACGGCAGGCAGACAGCTTCTGAATTTAGAGACAACGCGACGCGTTCGCGATTATTTAAAGCATCGTAGGTGGGCCTTCGTCTACATTCATGTGGTTCTTGCTAGTAGCAATAGTCAATTGCAGCCTGATTCTTGACACATTCAGCTATTTGTCACTCACGCCTGTATTTCGTCCTGCTTGTTTACTCAATCTGTGTTGTAAGAAATTGAAACTGTTACCAGACTCTTTGTTTGTGGCAACAAGTGACATGCTCCTGCCTGGAAGTCTATCTTCTGAAGCATCTGCATGCTTCCTCCCACGTCTGATACCACAAACTTATGAATAGGTCGATCGCACTCGGTCTAACGTGCTGAGTCACCATTTACAATTCCACCTCTTCTTCACCGGTATTTCCTGGTTACATTTATCCCTCTGGCTGCCTGCGCCAAGACGCTACTACTGTAGTTGGCATTATCTTGTTCAATTACAGCCACGGAATTGTCGACGTTGGAAGATGGCAATTAAATAGAATAATACTGGACATCTCTGTTTCATGATGGCGCAGGCTTCGGAACAGGCGTCAAGGAATCGCAGCACATCGGCAGGCACATCTGAATTACCTCAGCACGAGAACAAACGACCCCGACTGGACATCAATGTTGTCACAGACATGCATGGCCGAGATGATGTTCAAGGAAGCGAAATACCACCACTTAAAGATCGTCCTGCCTTACCACAATCAACAATAGTTCCCGCAGAGAGGCCGACTACACCTAACGCATCTCCGCCAGCAGAAACTGAGGTCAATGTCGTGTCTCCCACGAGCAGAGTTACCATTAATACACGACCTCTCTCAGCACAGTCAGCTAATAATGAACAGCTGCTGTCGAACGGCAATGATGAGGGCAATCCGACAGATCCTTTATCGAACGGCACCACATCGAACGCCGACTCGCCTATCATCGTCACTGTTTCCGATGGTGAGACGTCAAATAACATTCCTGGAGATCTCAACGAGCCGATATCGATATCGTCGTCTCCGTCGGAAGTCGTCATCGAGATCGGTCCACCAGAGGACGTCGAAGAGTCTGTTGGAGATACCAGCTGGTCGAGATTGCTTCATGCTGGTGCCAACATTACAGCGCCTTCCATATGGCAGACCTTTCCCTTTCAAAATGATGGTACAAAGGCTGGAGTTCTCAGGGCTACGCAGGGAGTGGCAGAGATGTTGGAACGGTCCCAAGAATCGCAATTTGCCGAGACGCTCAAAACAACAACAAGCTGGATGGAAGAGATTCAGTCATCGCTCGCGCAGTATGACTTGCAAACTCTCCAAAACAATCTTGAGCTCATCTCGCGGCTTCCCTTGTTCATTAACTCTCTCTTGAAAAGAAGGGTTGCACTGCCTGTTAGCACAACTGAGGCAGACATTCTTGCTTTTGTAGGCGCGTTCGCTTCCACGACTATGTACATGCTCAATTTTGATATAGTCCGACTGAAGTCGACATCCGGTGCGCTGGACCCAGCTACACAGCGTCCAGCTATCTCGCCCGACTTTCTACGCTTGCTCAACGGGGTACTCTGGCCAGAGTCAACATGGTCTTTACACAAACTGCTGGAGAAAAATCTACAGTTGTCGGTAAACGACTTCTGTTCCCATGCTGCTTCACTCCTGTTTCGCAACGACAGCGAGAAGCCTTTTCAATCTTTCGCGACACTTTTTGATGAGATGGTGCAAAAGGTGCCAGTCAACTCAAATTATAGGGCCGTACTCCTTCAAATTGTCGCGTTCTACCGCTTGTTCCTCGCGGCAAATTGCAAGTACAGCGTTCCTTGTGAGGCACGGACACTCGAGGCCTTACGCGCAACAACTTCAAACTTCGTGTCGTCAGCAGATGGTGCTCTACGGCAGGCTATCAAAAAGCAACATTCTTGGCTCAGCATCGAGAATAGTGCTGGTTGTCTGGAAAACTTTGTCCGTCTCATAGGTGCAGCGCTCAGTATGTTTCCAGACCTTGCCAAATTCGTCCTTACCACAGCGAACTTGGACCCTGGCAAAACTGACGTGGCTCTGAGGCATACGTTTGTCCAGGAATTATACAAGTTCTCACTTCTGAAACAGTTTGTCATGTATGGCCGCATGGAGCTTCGAGTCAGTGGCATAGAGGCCATGTCATCGGGTCTAGTGGAGACCTGGTCACGCATTTCAAAATCATCCGACCAGCGACGTGGAGCCGACGTCTTGAACCTGACTATCGACTTCATTCGCAACAACGAATTGATGGAATTCATCTTTGGTGTTGACTGCCCTTCACAAGTCGTGCAGAGAAGTTTCAATGTGATTGGGTTCCTTTGCGTGTCCGAGCGATGGGATCAGTCCGACAGTGACAAAGCCTGGCGTGCTGTTCTCGAGAGTCAAGATCACAGATCAGCTGCTGCGATCGTTGAGAATCTTACTACCAACTTACAACATCTCAATCTCGAGTCACTCATGTACATGTACGAGAAAATACACGATGTGCCCTTCGAGAAATTCGACCAACGCCTACTGACTTTCACAATGCAACTCTTAGACTCCACTATTCAGAGGATCGATCGGTTCTCTGGTATCGAGCAGGGCATCAATGCGAAAATGGTCAAACTGTGTTTGCATCTTTTGCGAGAAGCTTTCACACCAGCCAGATGCTCGACAGATGTAACAGAACTGATCAAGGAGAATATCTACCGATGGCTCATTAGAGATCGAGCAAACGTAACTGCTCATCGTGTAACAAACTTAGCACGACCTGAACGAGATGAGCTAGTCACTACGCTGCAAAGAGACATTTTGCTCCACACAGAATACGCAACGGGCAGCATCTTTCTGATGACAGCACTACTACACTCTGCGGATGACTTCGAGACAGCTAACGTTGTCTCCGCTACTAACTATGTGGAGCTTCTCCTCGAGGATCTCATCTTCTTGTCGAACACCAATACACTCGACGTTGTCGCCTCAGAGAGATCTATGAAGATTCTGTACAATGCAAGATTATCCGGGCTAGCGCAGTTGATTATGGCCGTACCGCGCTTGATAGATAGAACCCTCTGTGAGACGCTGTGGGTCAATGTTCTGACGACAAGCTCCTCTGCCTTGAGATCCGAAGCATGGACCACTTTTGCGAACATCCTCAACGAAATGCAGGTCAGCAACGAATTTCTAGACCTTGTTGCCTGCGACTTTCTGCCTACCCTGCCACCAGCCTTTTTCGATGAGGCTGTACTAGCATTCTGTCGAGCTTTGACGGACTTCCACGTTCGCTACAAAGTAAACAGTATGCAAGATACAGATGAATGTCTTCAAATTCCTGCGATGGAAAGAGTTTGGTCTATCATGCTCGAAGCGTCGAATTTTCACGTTGCAGAGATGGCATCCGATTACATTGTGCACACCTATCTGAACAATGATGACCTGGTCAGCAAGCGTCATCTCGGTGAACAGCAGATGTATGCGGTGCTGGTAGATAGATGCATCTCAACAGTTATCGAATCTGCCAACTCGTTGAAAGATAATGGTCCTGATGCCTCCACAAACACGGTTAACAGCCAGCACGAGGCCCGTCTCCACCGATCGCTCTCACTATTACGGAAATTGCTGAATGGCCTCAAATCCAAACCGCGATTCAAGCCGTCGGCGTCTGAAAAATTTGGTCCCGCTCTGGCAACATTCGAACCCAAGGGTCAGCCGGTCGAGTGTCAACTACGATGGATCTCCGACTCTGAGATGCGGGAGGGAAACCTTACTTGGACTGTTGGCGAGGAAAGTACCGGCCAAGAGCTATGGCGTTTTCTGGTTGAATTAACTGGATGGAGCCAGATAAATATTGTCAAAAGTGGTGTACGTCTCCAGCTTCAGGACGACACGAAGACAGTAAAGCAGCTCAATCTCATCCCAGGCAGCCTACAGATCAGTAAACCTATAGGTGCTACTGATATTGGCCCAGGAAGGGCAGTTCGCGCATCATCGCCCGTCGATTCTGCAATCATGCACCATTTCAGAGATCTTTACGCCTTGCTGGAATTTCGGGAACCTGTCGCTAAAGCGATCTACGATTTTCTGGTGGTCTTCTCGTCACAAGCCACTGTCATTGCTGAAGTGAAATCAATGACCCTATCTGCTGAAGAATTACTCCCTGTGCGCAAGCCATTCAAATTGCTTTACTACGCTAATGCCTTACGATCTTCTATTGAGGAAGAGTCATTAAGCAACATACCAAACTGCAACTTCATACAATACGCCGTGACCACAGTTATCAGCACGCTGAACCACTTGAGCATGGTTGACGATCATTCGTTGCGTTTGACAATAGTTAAAGATTTGATCGAGACACTGCAGCTCGCTCTACGGGCAAAGGTCCCCGACAATGTTTCAAGCACGTATTTCGACAAGCCTGAGTCTTTTGTGAGGCATTTGATGTATTTCTGGGGTGACTTCCAAGGCAAGCAGATAGGCGGAGATGTCTCTTCGGAAGGTATGGATCGTGACTTCTTGGATGTCATGATTGAAGCATCCTTACACAATGATCGCTTATGGGAGCATCTGAACAGACAAGCAAGCTTCCAGGAACTGCTTGCAAGTGCTGTACTATTAAACCCGAACATCGACTCGCGAAAGACGGCAGCAATTATTATCTTAAACGTCGCAGGCGTTGTGTCGGGCAAAACAACAGCCAAAATAGAAGAATCTCGTTCTCCGCGAGCGCGATTTGATGCAGAAAAGATCAAAATTTGTCTTCAGCACTTGTGGAAATACCTGTTTCCATTGGTAGCTCGCGCCTGTGATATGCCATCCTTAAGTCAGCAGGCTCTGGAGATTGCTGTGGCAGTCTTCGAAACAGTATCAAGGACACTTTCTGAGGAGTCTCTGAAAGGAGTCTTTGCTGAATCTTGGACATTGTTGCTCACGCAACACGACCCTGGAAACAATATTTACTGTGCTAACGAAGCAGTGCCACTGAACCTGGCCAAGATACTTGCTCATTGTGTCCGATGTCTTGCAAACTTAGGCATCACTGTCCCCGAAAGCTCAAGTCTTATTCGGAAAGTTTACCAGCAATACTTGTTTCCTCCTCTCTCGGACTCCTCGAGTGCTTGTCTCGAAGAACAAAGTACACCACTTATTGATTTCGAGGCTCGAAGTGCTCTCTATGGCTTGGTGCTCAGACTATGTCAATCCTCAGACGACCTCGCCGTGCTTGCAGCAGAAATGAGCGAGAGTGCAGTTGATGAAGACGCTTTTTCGCAGATGTGGGCCAACGACAGAAAGGCTATAAGGTCTGAACAGGGATATGCTGGCCAACGGAACTTATCGAACACTTGCTACCTCAACTCCTTGTTCTCTCAACTATTTATGAATGTGAGATTCAGAGACTTTATCATCGGCCTCGACATTGTTGACAGTATGAAGCAACAGTTGTTCTGCGAATTGAGCAATTTGTTTGCTAATATGCAAAGTTCCTGCGAGAAATATGTCAATCCACAGGAAGTCATTGAATCAGTAACCCAGTACAATGGCGAGCAAATTGACGTGACTGTGCAAATGGATGTGGATGAGTTCTACAATCTGCTGTTTGATCGTCTCGAAGCACAACTTGTTGATGCTGATGCACGGAAAAAGTTCAAGTCCTTTTACGGAGGCCAACTTGTTCAACAGATCAAGTCTATGGAATGCGAGCATATTTCAGAAAGAATAGAGCCCTTCAGCGCCGTCCAAATTGAGATCAAAGGTAAAAACGGTCTAGAACAGGGCCTGGCAGCTTATGTGGAAGGCGAAGTTCTGCAAGGAGAAAACAAATATTCGTGTACAAGTTGTGGTAGACACGTTGATGCTGTCAAGCGTGCTTGCCTGAAAGAGATTCCTGACAACCTCATTTTCAACCTCAAGCGGTTTGACTACGACATTATGACTGGTATGAGATGCAAGGTCAACGACGAGTTCCAGTTTCCGGAAACCATTGACATGATGCCATACACGGTGGAAGCTCTAAGCAGCGAGAATACACAACTACCCACCGACATATTTGAGCTCGTTGGAGTTATTGTACATTCAGGAACCGCAGAGACCGGCCACTACTACTCCTTCATCCGCCAGAGACCTTCTAGAAAGGACAGAAGACGTTCATGGCTGCAGTTCAACGACATAGATGTGACGCAATTTGATCCAGAGCACATGAGGGATCAGGCGTTTGGAGGAACCGACGCAAGTTATGGAAATTTCCTCAAGTTCTACAATGGTTACATGCTCTTCTACCAGCGAAAATCCAGCATCGTCACATACGAGCACGATTACCCTGTTCTATCGGCTCAGAACACCACGAGCGTACCGCTACCAAAAGGCCTGGAGAGCAGGATAGCTCAAGAGAACGAAATATGCTTGAGAAGATATGTTGCACAGGACCCATCGCATGCCAAATTTATTCGACACATCGCAGAGCGTATACACCATGGTGAGTCAGGCTCAACACCTCACGTGTTAGAAAGCCAGCTCCTGGGAATAACTCTGGACTATGTGAATGCCGTCTCATCGCGATTGAAAGACGCTGCTGAGTTTGAAGAAACAATGAGGCTTCTGGGCGAGTTGGCGAAGGCATGTCCAAGATGTGCACTTGCCATCATGGAGTGGTTCTACACCAAACGCACTGTTGTGGGAACCATAATGCAAGCATTTTACACTTTGTCTCGAAGGATGTTTTCGAGCCTGCTGTATACTTGCTACAGTGTTCTCACACCATTACGAAGCTCGAATGCAATTGTAGAAGGAGACTCGGTTGATCAACAGCGTGTGGTCAACGCGCTCGATGGCTCACTGAAATTAGTGTCAAAGGAATGGAGTCAGTTGCAAAGATTCCCAAGAAGTTGGGATCAGGTCTTTGGCCTTCTCAATGCCGTCGCAAAATCTGGCGACACAGATGTGCAGGTACTTCTCGATCATGAGTTTCTCGCCAAGGCTGCCGAGATCATCTGGATGCACATGGACTACAACCGCAAACCAACACCACTTGAATTGCGAAAAAAGTACACTGCGTACATAGCTGCTCGCGAGAAGAACAAGGCTTTCAATCATGGAATTGTCATGCAGATCTTTTCTGAGCTGCTACCTTTTGTGAACCTTCAGCCCGAGTTTCACAGGGAACGTAGCGGGATTGATGCGTCCAACGACGAGCAATACTTGCTCGGACTGAAAGAGGATGGGAGCTTTGATTGGCTAAGAAGGCTTGTGGCAGGTGGCTCCAACCCAGATGCGGCTGACGAAGTGGTCAAAGAACTATGCACATATCCCAGTCTTCTTGAACGTACGACCAATGCTCTGTTCGAAGGACTTGAACGTTCGAGACAGTACAATACCGCATGTCGCTTCCTCCGGCCATGTTTCATGCTCATCAAATGCTGTACAACCAGAAAGCCAGTACTAGGGACAATCAAGAAGTGCCTAGCTGCTGTTGCAGACTCAGACGGTCATTATAGCAGTGACTACTATGATTTCGTGGAGGCCTTGGCACAATTAGAAGGAGTTCAGGTCTTTAATCAGGGCGAAATCCGAATCTTGATACTGCAGCAGCTCAGTGATTGGGCACCAGCGCTTCTCATGGCGCCAAACGAGATACAGCGAAATGTGCGAAACGACGCCATGCATTTGATCCAGAGGATGCTGTTTGGCCCAATTGACGAGGACGACATCGACCGACTCCGTCAAGACAAGCCTACTATGCGTCAAATACACAATCTCACTCGCGGTTGCATCTCCTACGTCGTCAAGCACTTCCTGGACATACCAGCGTCCGCCCATGAGCAACGCTTTACGCTGACATCTGGTCAGTCTGCTCAGATTGTGGACGTGCTGCGAGAATGTCAGAAATATCTACAAGCCGCAGAGGAGAATGCCGGCACGGAAAACCTGATCGGGGATGTAGAGAATGTCATCCAAGAACTTGAACAGCTGGAGGCTGTGGTTGAGAATGAGTACATGTATGGTAACGACGAGGCGAGCAGTGAGCCAACGAGTGATATAGAGAGCTTCGAATCGCCTTAGTTAAGCGAGGCAAGTGATGAGACTGCATGAGGTCGAACACAGGTCGACCTGATGTTCAAGCATTAAGCACTGGTACGGCATTGTTGAGCATGCATAGCGGAGGTGACGGGATACAGGACAGGGTCGGAGTTCAGGGATGTGCTTTGAGGCTATGATAACGACGTGTACGAAGGCTTATGACATAGGGTAACAACGTCCAGGGCAGTGAGGACATAACGGTCACTGATATTGTCCACACCAGAGGACGACGGACCTACACGGTCGTAACCCACATAGCTGTGTAGGATCAATAGAGCTTGACGGTTAAAAAGGGATGTATCAAACATGCAAACGCGTAGGATCAAACTATGACCTCGCCCAGCAAAGGCGCTGTTCGAAGGTCTTTGCTGCTGCGGTTCAATAAATAGCTTTCATTGAGACCCTTCAATGTCACCAATTACAGGCCTCAACATCTCAGGCAATATCTTCGCAGCATCTTCCATGAAAAACCAATCCTTCCCACCTGGACCCAGATCGAGACTGTTACCACTCGACGGGTCGGGATTGACCACAGCAACACGGGCACCCTTATGCTTTGCGAATTGTATATAACCTGCGGCAGGGTATACGACTGCCGACGTTCCAACCACGAGCATTAAATCGATTGGTTCAGCAGAGGAGAAGAACGCATCGACATCGGCCATCACGTCTTCTGGCAATGACTCGCCGAACCAGACGACGCCAGGTCTTAAGAGAGCTTTTTGGCAGGATGGACATTGTGGGAGGTCTGAGGTTTGGATTGTGGGGATGTCGTGTTTGATGTCTGAAATGTCTAGGCCGTGGATTAGGTTTTTGGTGTGGTCGATTTGCGAGGATGAGTCTGTTGTGGTCTCGTCGGATGCTGCGACGTCACCGCCTTGTGGGATGACTAGAGATGGCACGATAGGGTCTGTGTAGTTGTTTGATTCTTTGTAACCGCATTTTCGTTGGTCTGTGCATTTGAGGTCGTAGAGACTGCCGTGGAGGAGCTTGAGTTGCTCTGGTGGGTGCCCGGCTCTTGTGGAGAGGCCGTCGACGTTTTGAGAGAGGGTGATGAATTGTGGTTTGTGTTTTGCTAGCTGGGCTAGGGCGTGATGGGCGGCGTTTGGCTTTGCGTTGAGGGCCATATGGCGGCGGTAGGAGTAGAAGTGCCAGACTAGAGATGGATCTGCTCTGAAGGCTTGGGGTGTTGCTAGGACGGTAGCATCGTGAGTTCGCCAGAGACCGCCGGCTCCACGAAACGTTGGAAGACCTGAGGAGGCTGAAAGACCTGCGCCGAGGAGAGCACAGATGCGACGAGATTTTTGAAGGTGTGAGCGGAAGTCGGCCAGCATAGACGGATCTGTGGTCGTGGAGGATGCCATTCTGATTGACACTCTTGGCTTGTTGGGTGACAAGTGTTGCTGGATGGTGTGAGCACAGCTGAGAGCGCGCTTCATGTACTCGGCAGGTTCAATATAGGCCTGATGGGTAGTAGATGATGGACTATCACGGTTCATTAATCTACTAGTTCAAACTGCTGCCTGGTCAATAGTGCCCTCTGTTGTTAGCGGATGAGGCTTCGCACTTCTATTCAAAAGAACTCCGTTTCCTCCTCGAGTTGCATAGAAGGGAAGCTTTAGTGGTTACATGTGGCATGCACGCCCTGGATCTTACCTTTCTTCGTTGTTATACAGCAAGTATAGTACTTCCCACAAACACTTCTCACAATATTGCTGCAATTGAGCAGTCTCACTGAGATGGTATGCGATACAGGACTCGACTTTCTGCAGCGACAGCCTCATACGGCATCAAATTCTATCTCACGACGACATATCGAAGCTCGCCATTCAGCATATCAATCAATCAGTCACAGAGTTCCCGGGGAAGAGGGCCGCTCCCGATGCGCCACGTTGTCGCTCGATTCACCATGCCGGATCACGACCTCATAGACATGGTTAAAGGCGGAAGCGGTCAGTTTAGGCTTGCATGAAGCATCAGCCCAGCAAACAAGAAGGAGACTATTGGGTAATGAGTTGGGCTCTTCTAGCAGTGGCGATAGGCGGAAGGGAACTCCGCTGAGGTCATCATCCCTGCAAAAAGTCCCACGAGCCATGTGCAACGACGGAATGATCGAGATCTTTGTCGCAACCACTACCATTGAGTATGAATGCAATCGCGAAGGGTTAACCTTGATAGCAAACATCGAGCCTTGATATTGTAAGAGAACAACAGATGCTATTTGTGATCAACTCCATTTTCTGCTAAACCACCGTCAGCTTTCCATCTATACCTCGCTTAAGTCTGCACCGTTCTGCATTTCATTGACATTCAGCCAGACCCAACCAGTCTTCGCCACGACGCGGCTCTTTTGATTCGATCACACCTGCATAGTCTTGTGTAAAGGCGTTGAAGGATCTTGTTCTTAACTTCACTTCCACCAACTTTCTTTTCCTGCTGATGGCACTTTTCTAGCAATGCATTCGCTGCTTCCGAAAAGCGGCTTCAGGCCGCCCAAGCGCAGAGTCAATGTGCTGGCATATATGACCGCGAAAATCGGCCCCGAGATTCTTCCTCTCCTGTTACAGCGATCAGATATCAATCTAAAGGTCATATCGGATTGTCCCAAGTCCGAATTCCAGGAATACTTAGGAGATGCATGTAGTATCGCAAACTTGCATTGGATTGACAATGCACCAGTCGACCCTTATAGGAGGCAGAAAGAAATGCAGGGCCACAAGCTGGCACGCTGGGCGGATATACTTGTCATGGTTGCTGATGCTGGAATGATTTCTCTTATACTTGCAGGCATGACGACCGATGTTTTGCTGCATGCAATACGATGTTGGGATACATCGAAACGGGTTGTTATGTTGCCTGAGCTCAGCACTGAACAGGTGAAGAGTCCGATCTGGAGAAGGCATCTAGGGAAATTGCGCCGGAAATGGGAATGGATACAAATCTTGGAACCTGCCATCTGGTCTTGGGCCTTGCCCAGTGATTGCCAATCCCTGGATGACGACCTGGAAACCGAATCAGAGATCGAATGGGACTGGGCAGGTGACACAGAGCTGCTTGAGGCTATCCATTCAGAGACCGAGATGGTTCTTCGGAGAGCTCGCGCCCTAGCTCTACCGGTTGCAGTGAAGCCGGAGCATTCGAGCAAGTCTGCTTTACCGTTAGAAATTTGGACCCAAATATTCGACCACTTAGGCGATTGGGAAGTGGCTACCGCCCTTGATATTTACACACATATCCCTACGCCGAGTAAGTGGCATGGTCTGGTGCCCGAGTCAGGTAGCAAAGCACGCAGCCTGGAGTGGGTCATTCTGACACGACCAATAGGTCAAGTCAAGCTCTTCTTCGAGAAGCACTCGAAAGACCAACCCTTGACCTTGTCGCCTATTTCCTTAGACATCATATTCAGGTTCGCCAGGACCGATGTACTGACGTATCTGGCTTCGAATCAGAAGGATATCTTCTGGACCTCTTTCCCATCCACCGTCCTCCCTCATAAAGCCTCGTGCATCTATAACTCACCCGCAATACTACAGTGGTGGAAAGACTGCCCAGCTGTCATCAAGAAAGTCTACGAGGCCATCGCAATAGACGGCGCGTCACGTGCCGGATTCATAGAGGTGCTGCAGTGGTGGCTAGATTCTGGCTTACCATTACACTATACCGAGCGAGCCTTGGAGAACGCCAGCTCAAGAGGTCTGGTCGATGTCCTCGACTGGTGGCGCATGAACAACCTCAAGCTCGCCGGCACGTCCCGCGAGCTGCCCCTCAAGGTTGGCAAGTCAATCTGGCTCGCTGCACAATGCGGTCGTGTACAGTCCATTGCATGGTGGGAACGAAGTGGCATCCCCTACTCGCACGAAGAGCGCGTCGCCACTGTCGCCTCGCAAGGCGGTCATGTCGAGGTTCTGGATCTATGGTACAGCCTGAAAGGGTCCAAGATGATCTTCGACAACCAAGTGTTGGTCGGTCCAACGAAGCACGGTCACGCAAACGTGCTGGAGTGGTGGAAAGAGGCTAGTCGTAAATGGGGATTGCGCGTTGAGTACAAGACTTGCGACATTGAGGAAGCAATGGAAGATGCCGTTGGCGGTGGTGGAGAAGGCGAGGTACGTGAGTGGTGGGCGAGGAATGGTCTTAACCTTGGAGTTGGGACTGGTGAGTGGATGAAGGTGAAGACTTTGTAGTCTCTTTTTTCTTTCCGATGCTCGAAAAATTGAAGCACAAGCATGGTGTTTGAGGAGTTTCCTTGAGCGTGGTACAATTTGACAATTACAAATTTATTCTTACAGTCATGATCTACACTTCTGCGAGAAATCACAACACGTCAGCATAAGAAAAGAAGAAAGGCAGACTACCAGTAGAGCTCCATTAATTTTGTTTCTAGCACAACATTAATCGCTCTCTTTTTGTGTGTGGCAAAGCATGCCCCTTCCCCCAGCCTTATCATCTATGCACAAACCTAGCTGATAGTACAAATTTTTTCATGCAATCCTCGATTGGAACTGGGTATCTCGAAAACAAAACACTTTTGAAACCATGATCTGTAACACGATGACGCCTTTTTTTGACCCTTTCCTGATCAGTTCCCTTGAACGCAGATGCTGTCTCTCATCTGTTATGAACACCACTCAGGCAGTGGGAGGAGACGATGGTTTGTTGTGGCTTTTTTTGTTCTTTCTGTTTTTCTTCTTCTTCTTCTTACTGGTCTTCTCATCAGGGTTCTCGTCCTTGATCTCGCCGTCGAATTGAGGAGAGGTGCTGATGGTGGTGCTGAGCTCTCCGTCGGAAGTTTGTTCGAGCTTGACCTTGACTATGGGGTTGATGGTTGGCTTGTTGTCGTCGTCAACGGTATCTTTCGTGGTTGGGGCATCGCCATTCTGCTTTGTCATCTTATTCCTCTTCTTCTGATTCTTCTTGGCCTCAGCAGTAAGTTCTCCATCGTTGCCAGGAAAGTCAGCGTCCATAGCGGAGACCTTGTCGTTTTCGACATCGTCAACGGCTTTGGCATCGGTATCATTCTATGACACCCGGATACATTTGATGTCGAAGGTCAACTTGGAATTGGCAGGAATGCCAGGTAGAGCCTTCTTGCCATATGCGAGGTGTGCAGGGATGATGAGACGTCGCTCACCGCCCGAAGCAATACCTGCGAGACCAAGGTCCCAACCTTTGATGACCTCGCCAGCGCCAAGCTTGAAAGAGAATGGCTTGCCTGATTTGTTGCTGTCGAAGACCTTGCCGTCGTCGAGCTTGCCGATGTAACGCATCTCAAGCTTGGAGCCCTTCTTGGCTTGAGGACCGGTACCAACCTTGCGCTCATCGACGCTGACACCTTGAACGTCTTTTACGCCTAGCGAGGAAGACTTCTTGGAATCAGTCTTGGTGTCTGGCTTGGCGGGATCGTTCTTGGAAGGAGTTGGACCCTGTTCAAGATTTTTGGCAAACTGCACCTTCTTACCGGAGTCAGCGCCACTGGCTTGGACAGCTTCTTTCGTAGTGTCTTGGGGTGGAGTGGCAGCTTCACCATCGTTGTTCTTCAGCTTCTTGGCCTTCTTCTTCTCAGCTTTAGATAGCTTCTTGGCCTCTGTTGGGGCAGCAGTATCATCAGGCTTGCCGAGAGACTTGGCCATGATGGTGTCCAGCGAGACATCCTCCTCAGCATCACCTGCGGCTGGTCTCTTGTTCTTGCCTTTGGTGGCTGGAGGAGCAGTGATCTTCGACTTGAGGTCTGCCTCCTCTTCAGAATCTAGCTCTGTAATTTTGGGGTCTTTGATGTCGTCGAGCTCGTCGGACTCGTCATCACCGTTTACAAGGGCGTCAAGACCGTCGAGATCCTCTTCGTCCTCGTCAGGGGAAAGATCGTACTCATCATCCTCGTCATCACTTGGCTCATCTAGCGGCATGATGTAATTTCCAGTGAGGTGGACAGTCAGGCTGCCAGAGACCTTGAAGAAGACCTTTTCGCCTTCAGCAACGACGAAGTCAAGGGTTTGTTGGTATTGCTAGACATATAGGTTAGTACTTGGGTTGTTGCACAAGCTTGAGCTTAGGACTTACCTTTTCCGGGTCGAGTGTGCACATGACAACCTCATCGAGCCCCAAACCTTCGACAGAATCGTCGTCCTCGTCATCATCATCGTCATTCAATCCGTTCAAAGCTTTTGATTTGCCCTTCTTGTCGACGTTCATAATCCTGGCGAGAAGGTCCTTGGCATCTTCCTCATCTTCCTCATCTTCATCCTCCATATCTTCGTCATCGTCGCCAGCCAGAAGAGCAGCTTTTGATTTAGGTTTCTTGGAACTGGGACCGCCATTGACACCTTCCTCCTCAGAGTCGTCTTCATCATCTTCGTCCATGTCTTCGTAGTCATCTTCATCCTCATCATCATCGAACATATCTTCAGCGACACGGACAACTTTTAGAGTTGCTCGAGGCTTTTGCTTATCGTCGGCAGCTTCGAGCTCAGGCTGTTCACTTGGATCAATGGCGGCCATTGTGAGACGGAACTACAGTCATGGTTAGGAGGTCACTCAGACTTATTGAAGCGGATTGACTTACCATTGCAGCGAATTCTGGCACAGCTGGGACCATAATGTCACCAGGTGGAATTCGCAGTGAGTACACTGCTACAGGTTGTGTGCCTGACATCTCGACTAGCTGTGAATAGTAAGCTGCAATACTAAAGTTTACAAGACACAACAATGTCCAGCTGGAAACTGTTCAAGAAAGAAAGTTGCGACAAACCTGAACCTCAAACTCGAAACCAAAATTTTTGGAGATCTTCAGCCGCTAGCGTTTGCTTAGTGCTGCTCCATCTTCTCGCCTGGCAGCCTGAACTGTTTTCGTAGTGCGCTTATGACGCGTGGTAGATTGGGACGCGCCCAGGCTACTTGCATTTGAACTCATTGTCGCAGCCATCTCATTGCCACGTTATTGTCTTCGTGTTGAGTACTCGCGATACTCTTACTCAGTCGGAGCCGAGCCGGACATGATCGCAAAGTTATGATTGTTGCTTGTCGCCCGCGATGGGCTCCAGACTAGAAAAGAACAGCAATTCAGTGCGCAAACGTATCGCTGAACACACCTTTGACGGCGAAGATGGAGAGGAGTATGCAGCCTCCAAGTTCGGCGGTTTCACCGACTACATGAGGCGCAAGAAGCTTAAACTGCAGAACCTCGATGCCAACCTACGCTCCCAATCGGACAAACCGCAGATCTTTCGCAGTATAGTCGTCCATGTGAACGGCTATACCCAGCCCTCCCTCCAAGACCTCCATGTCCTCGTTGTCACCCATGGCGGAGGCTTTCAGCAGTATCTTGAAGGGAAGACCGCCGTTACTCATATCGTCGCGTCCGAGCTTACGCCTAAAAAGAAGGTCGAATTTGCCAAATATAGGTGTGTCGCTCCCGCCTGGATCGTGGACAGCGTTGCAGCTGGGAAATTGCTTCCGTGGAATAGTTACAGAATTGTTGATGAAGGCGAGACTCAGAAGGTGCTCCGTTTTCAAGGTGGGCAGATGACCGCTGAAATCAATAAGCGTAACGAAGGGTATAAGGCCGCAAGTGAATCGAGCTGGTACGTTTCTCAGGTCAAACACGTCGCTGATAAAATCAATGCTTCCCCACGTACCACTGGTTTGCTTGGTATCCAAGATTCAGACTCTTTATCTCATGACGTCCCTGAGGCTGTTACCAACATATCATTCGATGAAGCTGCAGAGCCAGAGGACGAGTCTGATGAGCTCCTTCTACAGCTCGCTGCTACACAAAACTCACTCACTTCTGACACACCGCCTACTGTGGAAGACAAGGACGCTGTCAACCATCCTCATCCCAATGCATCGATTGACCACAACCCACACCCCGAACCCCAGGCTGACTCGCCTTTCAAGGGAGAAGAGAGGCAGTTGACTGCTGAAGAGCACAACGCTATCCTACTTCAAAACCCTCATATGGCTAAATCAAGTACTGCAAATCCCGATTTCTTGAACCAATACTACCGAGAGTCTCGTCTCCACCATCTCTCCACCTGGAAGGCAGAGCTAAAAGCCCAACTTCAGGCAAGAGCACAGGAACGATCCTCTCAGCGCCAGCGGCACAAAAGACCTCTGGGTTCCCGCCGCTACGTCATGCATGTCGATTTCGACAGCTTCTTCGCCGCTGTCAGTCTTCGCAAGCATCCTCAATGGAAAGACAAGCCTGTTGTCATCGCTCATGGAAGCGGTCCTGGTTCGGAGATTGCCAGTTGCAACTACCCTGCTCGCAGCCATGGCATCAAAAATGGTATGTGGATGAAGTATGCTCTTGACCTGTATCCTCACCTCAAAGTCTTACCGTATGATTACAAAGCATATGAGGAAGCCAGCAAGCTTTTCTACGATTCCATTCTTGCCATTGAGGGCATAGCACAGAGCATCAGCATTGACGAAGCACTCATCGACATCAGCGATCTTTGCATTCGTGCAGGTGGTTCTGATGGCAAAGACATATCCGAGGGCTCAATCTACAGAGAGCAGATTAAAGCGAACGAGCTTGCTACGGCATTGCGAGACGATGTGCGAAACAAGACCGGCTGTGAAGTGTCTGTAGGCATTGGAAGCAATATCCTGCTCGCCAAAATTGCACTACGCAAGGCCAAACCGGCTGGCCAACACCTCATCATGCCAGAAGATGTCCTCGACTTCATAGGTGAACTCTTAGTGACCGATCTACCGGGTGTTGCACATAGCACTGGCAACAAGCTCGAGGTTATTGGTGTCAAATACGCCAAAGACATCCGCACAGTAACCAAGGAAAAGCTCATCAACACGCTTGGTCCAAAAACTGGTGAAAAGATCTGGGATTATTCACGTGGTATCGATAGGCAAGAGGTCGGTGATCAGGTTGTGCGCAAATCAGTCTCTGCCGAGATTAACTGGGGCATTCGTTTTGTCAATCAGCAACAGGCTGAAGAGTTCGTGTATTGTTTGTGTGAAGAGCTGTCCAAGAGACTGCTAGAGCAGGTCGTGAAGGGCAAGCAGCTTACTATGAAGATCATGCGCAAAGCTGCTGATGCTGGACTCGATCCACCGAAGAATTTGGGCCACGGAAAGTGTGATACCTTCAATAAGGCCATCACCTTGGGTGTTGCAACAAACGACAAGACGGTCATCGGCAAGGAGGCAGTCTCTGTCCTGCGAAGCTATAATTTTCCTCCCGGTGAGCTTCGCGGGCTTGGTGTGCAAATGCAGAAGCTTGAACCCTTGAAACCTACGCTCGATAACGTGGGTGCATCTTCGAAAAGCAGCCAGAGACAGCTGCAGTTCAAGCGACCAGAGACAATTAGCAGGATTTCGGAAGGACGTTCGCCAATCTCGGCTACTAAGCCTACGATGACTGCTTCCAGGTCGAGTCCTATCTCAGAAACTTCTGTGAAGATTAGAAAACATCACGATCCTATAGAAGAGCTGCCAACTCCCGAAAAACCCTCATTAGCTGCGCAAAACGAGCTCGCGCATCTGGAAGATAATGACCAGACACCCCTCAATATTTCTGGCACACAGTTCGTGCTGCCCTCCCAGATCGATCCAGATGTTCTAGCTGCTTTACCAGCTGATATCAGAGCCCGGCTGGCTCCGAAAACGGCCAAACTGTTTGAGGCAAAGCACAAAGACGACACCATCAGTGAAGGGTCGAGATCTCGATCACAGTCACCTTTCATTAGTGATTCAGAAGTCCTGCTCCCTAGCGAGAGCCAACTCGACCCCGAAGTCCTAGCAGCATTGCCTGAAGATATGCGTGAGGAGCTCTTGGCTGAGCAAAGACGTGCAAAACGGTCCCTTGTTGGACGGAAGACACAGCAAGTACTACCACAATCACCCAGGAAGGCCAAACCTTATACGACGAGGGTCAACGTGACACCAAAGAAGAAACACAAAACCACAACCTTGTTTCCCAAATTCAAAGCACGTGACCCATCAGTTCCCACGTTAACACAAGCCAATTTTGTTTCACGCAGAGATAATGGAGGCATTGCAGAGGCTCAGACTTTAATACTTGATGAAGACATCCCAGAGGACTTGCTCGATGAGCTTCCAGAACAGATCAGGCTGGAAATTTTGGCTGAGCAGAAACGACAGCGCTTACAGCAGAGGTCAAATCTGGACGTTCCCAATCGCAGACGTAATAAGATCAGGAAGGGTCCGGACGAAGACGTTGATCCAAGTCAGCGTCGGCTTCACTTTGCTGCACCCAAACCCAGGCCTACATTTACGGACCGTAAACTGAGTACGTTGCCAGAGCTTCGCGACATTATGTCCTCATGGGTGCGATCGTGCTCGAGCGGAGTCGAAGGAGAGCCAGAACAGGAAGATACTCATGCCCTAGGTACGTATCTTGCTCGAGTCGTACTTGAGGAAGGCGACATGGCAAAGGCACAGTCCTTGGTAGAATGGCTTGAGTATGTGGTTCAAGACGCATTTTTAGAAGATACACCATCACTTCCAGTATGGACAAAGACGATTGCGTTTCTGAAGGCAGAGGTGCAGGGTGCTGTAAGAGAGCGAGGTCTGCAGCCTCTACGATTTCGATAGTGCCTTCCTCAAACTTACTTTTCGATATGCAGTTACGGTCAATAAGAGTATCGTTACCTGGGCGCGCTTGCCAAGTAAATAGGTACGTATGGTGTTGCATCAATCGTCCTTCGTGTTTGGCTTCACATCCCTTTCCATCCACAACATTCACTCCCACTCTGCATGCTCTCACCCATACACAATTGATGTTTTAGGCGTGTATTGTATCTGGTATCAATTGCATTGTTTGTCATCATGTCCATCACCAGCTTTACTCGCGGTCAAGATCGTACTACGAATCATCTACGATCGAATCCCCTCAAGCTGTCTGCAGTGACGAAGAATCCCTCACCCATCGACTTGAAGCGTACACTTTCCTCAGCCGAGCCTCCTATGACCACCACTAGCAACGGTAAGGTCCGAAAGAGTCTACAAAGAGGCATGTCCAGCATCAGGAGCTTCTTCAAGAGCAGAGTTGGAGAGAATGACCATGGCAGCAGCGACAATAGCAACGGGCAGGTTGTGAGCTTTACACGGAGAGGTTCACAGGCCGCTTTCAACAGTACACCTTGCGTGATGAGAAACCCTTTAAAGCTTCACCTCACAACCTTTGACTTGAACAAGGACATACCACCGAAAGAAACTGCGACAGCAATGCCAGTGCCGGTCAAAGAGGTTACTGGCCAGACGGTTGGTACTCCCCTTCTTCCGTCGACTTCTCTGCGACGAAAGATATCTCTGAGATTCATGAACTCGTTCAGTCCAGCCAGCCCGACAGTGATTGTGAAACCAGAGCTCAGAGCTCGCCCAAGTGTTCAGACGCTCCGTGTCTGCCAAAGTCCTGCCCTCTCCGGCAATACATCGTCACAGAGCAGCAGCAGTACGTCCACGACACTAAACAACAGATCTACACCTCCAACATCTGAAGGTACTGCAACTGGTTCTCCTAATTCAGTTCTTCATTATGACATGAACGTTGCTGCTGCCGACAACCAACTTTTGATTCTGTTTGAGCAAGCCAACCTGCCACAGAAGCTCTCCACAATCCACGAACAACCAAATCTGACGATCAAGACCGTCGAAGCCACGGCGGCAGCGAGGTAAAGTCTTGATACAAAAATAAAGACACCGCTAATAGATAAAGAATCTTCTTCGAGACCCACTTCAACGCTCTGCTCAATGTTGCTTCGCCTCGTCGCAAGAGATATGAGGACCTGGAGCAACGTCTGAGCCGCATGCAGTTACCTGCCTACCTCAAGCATCGGATTCGACGAACGTGGGAAAAGGGCGAGACCGATGCTTTGCGACAGAGTCGCGTCCTTGAACAAAATGGCCGACACGCCGTCAAAGTAGGTGCTTATCAAGTCGTCAAAGTACTGGGTATGTTTTCCTCAACGTTGCACACAATACAAGCTAACAACAGCTTCTTAGGTAAAGGCAGTTTTGGTGTTGTGCGTCTGGTCAGGGACAGTGATGTCTTTCGAGACACCAAGGATCACGTCCCAGCCTCGAATACTAACGGCTTGCCACATTCCATAGCTGCTTCTCGCAAGTCTTCGATGACCACATTGGCCAGGGGGCTATCTCGATCCAGACATAAAAAGCTGGCACCCAACAAGACAGTATATGCCATGAAGGTCATTCGGAAAGCGGATATGCTGCGAAATGCGCAAGAAGGACACTTGCGAGCCGAACGCAACTTTCTCGTTGCGGCTGAAGGCTCCAAATGGGTGGTGCCGCTCATCGCTGCCTTTCAGGACGCCAAGCACCTCTACCTGGTCATGGACTTTTGTGTAGGTGGCGATTTCTTAGGACTTTTGATCCGAAAGAACATTTTGAGCGAGCAGATCAGCAAGTAGTATGTGGCTGAAATGATTCTCTGTGTCGAAGAGGCTCACAAGATGAAGTGGATTCATCGAGATGTGAAGCCTGACAACTTCTTGATCGGTGCGGACGGTCACTTGAAGATCTCGGATTTCGGCCTGGCGTTTGATGGTCTTTGGGAGCACGACCAGAAGTACTTCCACAACCAACGGCACAGTCTGATGTCCGAACTCAACCTTGACGTGGAAGGCGATGTCGATGATCGACGTGATACTGCCCGACGACTCAAACGCCAGGGAGGAGAAGGAGGCGATTATGACGCTGCTGCCTCACCACTGGAAGACAATCCCTTCGATCCAGCCGCTGAGAAGTTGATTGACTGGCGCAATAAGAACCAGCGACGCAGACTTGCACGATCAGTGGTTGGTACCAGCCAGTACATGGCTCCAGAAGTCATTCGTGGAGAGCTCTACGATGGTCGATGTGATTAGTGGTCGATTGCTATCATTCTTTACGAATGTCTGTTCGGTGTGTTGGAGGCTTCGAGGCATCTATCAAACCCTGACTGACTCTCGATAGGGTATACTCCATTTGCTTGCGAAGATCGCCAGAACACGAAGCTCAAAATCCTGAAACACCACGAAACTCTGCGTTTTCCTGCTCCTCAAGAGTCGGTACAACAAGTATCGCCCGAAGCCCTCGATTTGATGAAACGGATACTCGTGGAAAAGGAAACCAGGCTCTGTACAAGACGGTACGAGCTGAATGACTACACCAGAAAGTTCTTCGATGTAAGTTCAGTTTTCAAGCTACAGTCAAAGTTATTAATTGTCCTCAGAATGGTGCTAGACTTGTGCGTGTGGACAAGACACACCGCAACTATAGCAGCTTCTTCGTGTATCCGGACGATGCGGAGGATATCAAGAACCATCCGTTCTTCTACGGTATTCCTTGGGGAAATATGCAGGATTTTGGTCCACCCTTTACACCACGTGTACAAAGCTGGGAGGATACCAAATACTTCGACGATGAAGGCCCTATCTCCGACATCGACAGTGGAAGTTCTGAAGATGACCTTCAGGGTCAGAGACTGGAGAAGGATCGCCTCAATCCTAGCTCGCATCAACACGAGGCACAGAACATCGTACCAGAAAGTCCTGCAGCGGAGAAAGAAGATGTGCAGGTACCATTATCCTGCACTATCAAACCAAAGCGGCCTCGAGAGAAGAAGCGACCGAGAGACAAGATCTTGCGAGATGCCAATTGTGGAAAAATAGCACTACAAATGAGGAAGAACAGCGCCTTCATGGGGTACAGCTACCGTCGACCCAAGAACATCAGTGAGGTGATCGAGGAAGTATTAGAGAACGAAGGAAGGGTCGGCGAGAATGAGCTCATCTTTGAAGTCAACGGTCAGTCGTGAGGATTTTGTAAACTGCGTGTCTACGGTTTAGATTGGATGATGGTATAGTGCACTCACTCTTTTTACGAGACTTTATGCTCCGCTATTTAGAGTCTAGCGTTGTCGCGTACACGTCGCGACATTTCGCAAGACGCGTTCAAAGGACCTCAGGAGGAAATCGAGGGGCATACGTGCTATGGCTCATGCTTCTCGTTAAATCTTGTGTATGCTAACTGTTGAGATGTCTACGCCAGGATCTCGAAGATCGGCCCGCAGTGGCCGTGGTTCTGTCAGTGCAACACCGTCGAAGCAAGCACGAAGCACACCGCAGCCGTCCCGACAACAAGCGTCTGATAACGTGGCAGTATCATCTCCCCTCTTCTTCCAGTCTTCACCCACCAAATCCACGCCTCGACAGTCTCAGCGCTCCAATGGCGACCTCATCATCAGTTCTCCACCTCGACAACAACCGGTGATTGAGGACGGCGACACAACCCCCAAGGCCACAAGATTCCCAAACATTACAGGCAAGCACTTCGACATAGAGTTACTACATTCTTCTAACAAGCGCAGACTCTTCCCCACTCCGATACGACCCTAGCTCAAGCCCTGCAAGGACTCGACAGCAACCTACAGATGCGCCAACAAGTAGTAGTGGATTGTTCTTGAGATCCGATCCTCCTAGGATATCCTCGCGAAGAGGTGACATCCACTCTGACGCTTTTCCCGCTGCATCCACAGGAGGGAGAAGAATATTTGTGGGCGACGATGGTGTTCCAATCAGGGACTCTGAGCCCGCCTCAGAGGCTACCTTTTCCAACGCCAACCCAGACACTTCAGATGCTGACGTGCTCGCGGGTGGCTCAACTAGAGTCATCTGGGGTACCAATGTCTCGATTACAGACTGTATGGCTGCTTTCAAGAATTTTCTATACAATTACACTCCAAAGTACAGGATGTGGGCAGACGGCATGTCGGAAGACGAGACCAGGGCACTGGGTGGTCGAGCAGACGAAAAAGAATACATGAACATGCTTAATGACCTTCGAAGGATGGGTTTGGCAGGCCTCAATCTCGACGCGAGGAACCTAAAAGCCTACCCAGCCACACTCAAACTATGGCACCAAATGCACAACTATCCACAAGAGATTATCCCTCTAATGGATCAATCACTCAAGGACGTGATGATGGAGTTGGCTAAGCGAGAGATGGCCGAATTGCAGAGAGCAAATGCTGTTCGACCGCGCGCCCGATCACGCCTCTCAAGTTCAATGCCTGCTTATCCTAGCTCAGATCCTGCCACGCCAGCAGCTCCCCAGGAAGTGCCAAATCTTGTTGAGGATGCTGAAGTACGGAACTACAAAGTTCTGCCTTTTGGGCTGGAGAAGACAGTCAACATGCGCGACCTAGATCCCACCGACATTGACAAGCTGATATGTGTCAAAGGTCTGGTGATCCGCACCACTCCGGTTATTCCAGACATGAAAGAAGCTTTCTTCAGATGCAGCGTCTGTAATCACGCAGTCCTGGTCAGTATTGACAGAGGCAAGATCGCCGAGCCTGTCAAATGTCCTCGACCGGTTTGTGATTCGAGAGACAGTATGCAGATCGTCCACAATCGATGCAATTTCAGTGACAAGCAGGTCATTAAGCTGCAAGAAACACCAGATGCTGTGCCAGATGGACAGACTCCCCACAGTGTCTCTCTGTGTGTGTATGACGAGCTCGTCGACGTATGTAAAGCTGGTGATCGCATCGAAGTGACAGGTATTTTCCGAGGCAACCCTGTTCGTATCAACCCGCGCCAACGTACTGTGAAGTCGCTGTTCAAGACTTACGTCGACGTCCTCCACATACAGAAGACCGACAAACGCAAGCTCGGCATAGATGTCAGCACGATTGAGCAGGAGCTATCGGAGCAGGTCGTGGGCGGCGCAGAACAGGTGAGGAAGATTACGGCCGAAGACCTAGCAAGAATCGAGGAAGTTTCACAGCGACCGGATGTCTATGAGATACTTGCTCGAAGCTTAGCTCCGAGCATATACGAACTGGATGACGTCAAGAAAGGTATTCTCCTACAGCTTTTCGGTGGTACCAACAAGTCATTTTCAAAGGGTGGTAGTCCCAAGTACAGGGGAGATATCAATGTCTTGTTGTGTGGTGATCCCTCGACTGCGAAGTCTCAGCTGCTACAGTATGTTCACAAGATTGCTCCTCGCGGTGTTTACACTTCTGGTAAGGGTTCATCCGCGGTCGGTCTTACAGCATACGTGACAAGAGATCCTGAATCTCGGCAGCTTGTGCTTGAATCTGGCGCTCTCGTATTATCTGATGGCGGTGTGTGTTGTATTGACGAGTTCGACAAGATGAACGAAAGCACTAGGTCGGTGCTCCATGAAGTGATGGAACAGCAGACCGTTTCTATTGCCAAAGCTGGCATCATAACGACGTTGAATGCTCGTACAAGCATTTTAGCTTCTGCCAACCCTATTGGCAGCAAGTACAATCCGAACTTACCAGTACCTCAGAATATCGACCTACCTCCGACACTGCTTTCTCGTTTCGACCTTGTCTACCTTGTGCTCGACCGAATTGATGAGGTCAATGACCGACGGCTGGCCAAGCACTTGGTAGGGATGTACCTCGAAGATACGCCTGAAAATGCTAGCCGGGAAGAAGTCTTGGTAAGTGCACTGATCGTTCAACCTCTTACTTAGAGTCTAGCTAACACAATCACCAGCCCATTGAGTTTCTAACACTTTACATTTCTCATGCTCGCTCCCATTGTCATCCGACATTGACTCAGCCTGCTGCCAACGCTCTCACCGAAGCATATGTCGCGATGCGTAGCCTAGGAAACAGTATTCAAGCAAATGACCGACGCATCACTGCCACAACTCGGCAGTTAGAGTCGATGATCCGTCTTTCCGAAGCACATGCTAAGATGCGACTATCACCCACAGTCGAGGAGTCAGACGTCACCGAGGCAGTACGGCTGATCAAATCAGCTATCAAAGCATCGGCGACAGACGCACGGACAGGCCTCATCGACATGGGATTGCTCGGTGAAGGTGGTGGCGCGAGCGAACGAAGACGCAAAGAGGAGCTGAAGCGGAGCATTCTTATGGGCCTTGACAACAACGAAAACGTGAGAGCAGGGGATACTGTGAGATATGCCGAGCTGTACAGGAGTATAGCGGATGGAGCTACGGCCGAGATTGAAGGTGCTGAATTCTTGGAAGCCATTAAGAGCTTGGAAGCTGAAGGCAAGATTATGGTGCTTGGGGAGGGTGCTAGGAGAGTCGTGAGGCGAGTCACTGGCGGGACGGTGTAAGCAGGGATTTTCCCCGTTTTTTCCATCGATGAAGGCATGCAGTGATGAGATATATGATCATATGATGAAGTGCATGTATGAACACGTTGATACGAGGCGGAAGGAATGAAAGCAGTAGGGACCAGGATAAGCTATCGTCCGTGCTGGCAGCCATTGAGCAATAGGAGCTGAGGAGGGTTGTATAAACATAACTGTATCAACTCTGTACAAGATGTTTAACATGTGAGGCAGTGTGGCATGTATCTTTGCCGAAGTGCGTCTCAAAGAGGGTGAAGTGGTTCGTAACGCAAAGATGTAATGACTAGTTGCTGAACCGCAATTTCTAGCTTGCTTCTGGTTGCGAAGATCATTCTCCGGCTTGACTTGCCAGTCTGAAGATCCATGGAGACCTTATCGACTTCCCCAAGGTTGCCATCTGATCTGTTGTGAATACAAAATATCTTGGTCTGCGTATCCTCCTCGTACCGCTGCTTCCGTGATGCATTCCACTGTGCGATTGACTTTGGCCCTCCGTTTGCGAGAAAGTCTCGCACGTCTCGTTTGACATTCATGCCTTGTTGCGTACGTTTTGCGAAGTTCTCAAAGACCCGGTAAATGTCTTCGAGTCGTTCCAGCTTTTGAGAATAGCAGAACCATGAGTGTCGTATTTCACCTGCAACAACTCAGACGTGATGTCTGTGACTGTGCGACACCTTAATGCTGACAGTACATTTCTTCTATTGTTCTCTCACAAAGCTGAGCCAACGCCATCGGACCTGCTGTCTGCCAATGGCGTGTACAGCATTCTGATTGACCCATGGCTAGTCGGTAGTTCGATAGTGAACGCGAAATGGTTCGCCATCACTAACAGATTAGTCCCGAGTTCGATCAACCACCTCTCCGAAATCGAAGAGCCCGATATTGTGCTTGTGTCGCAGAACAAGCCGGACCATTGTCACAAAGAAACACTGCTCCAATTGAAGCCAGAGGGAAAGACACTCATAGCTGCTGAGCCAGGTGCTGCCAAGGCAATCAAGAGCTGGAATCACTTCGATCCAAATCGTGTGCAGGCTCTGGCAAAATACAATGACAAGGCTCGATTCGGAAATACACTACGCTTGAGGATACCACCTCTAGGTTCCGATGGACGACCTGGAGAAGTAACAATTGCCTTTCTGCCTGCTAGGAATTACATGACCGGCTTGCACAATGCATTTGGAATCACATATCAAGCTCCCACCAGAGTTAAGACTGTCGCACCAGTGAGCACTATAGACCTACCCAGAAGCAATATGCACATGCTACTCACTCCGCAGACCATGCCATATCAAAGTCCGCAACCTATGTTCTCGCCAAATGTTGCAAGGCCAGCTACGTCCCAGTCGACCAGAGATTTGGTGGGACAATCAGCACACCTAAGTACCACGCTTCAAAACCCTGAACACTCACAAAGACAACGATGCCAGCCAGAGTTATCAACATCTTCGAACGATGAATCGTCAAGAGTCTTGCTTGCGTCAGACGACTCCGACCTGCCACCTTTACCACACTATCTGCAAGAACAACCCGCTGCATTGCCTCAACTATCACAAAGCATCCCAGATGTGGATTTTGATGCATCCGCGTTGATCGATACCACTGATTTTGCAAGTACCCTACCTACGCCAGTTCTATCTCCATCTCCGTCAACACAATCACCGAGTTCTTCTTTCTCCCCTGAAAGCACACCAACTACAATCACAAGCCCTTCGTTTGCGATCTCTCTGCCTAGCTCTCCATCGCTTGCTGAAATTCAAGCTCGATACTCACGGCCACCGATGATACGGCCCGCCCGTCCGAAAGCGATATCGATCCTCTACACACCACATGGCCTTCCTCTTAGCGACATTCAAGACTACATCAAGTCACACCTTGTCCCACTTCCGGGCGCCTTACCACTTACTTGCCTTCTACATAGCTTCGATTATGCCAAAAACCCTTGGTGGTTCGGTGGAAACATTATGATGGGTGCTGAAGGGGGCATCCAAATTGCCCGAACTCTTATGGCGCGCTGCTGGATAAGTGCTCACGACGAGGAAAAGGACGATAGAGGCGTAGCGGTCAAACTGCTCAAGTGCAACAGAAATAATGCAGATATGGTCCGTGACAAGCTGGCTAGTACAGAGAAAGGCTGGGACTGCGATGTGCGGTCCCTTGATGTTGGTGAGGAGATTCTTCTGGTAGCTAATCCTGAGCAGAAGGGGGTTGGAGGCGATGAGAGTGGCAATATCGGTTTGGGCGTCGAGCTGAACAATGCGTCTGACAAGAGAGGCTGACAGCACGATGTACCAGTCTATCTATGCAACAACTGAAGTCGAGGGACGAATCTACCATGATTGATTGGATCTCGGCTTCATACGTTATGGAAAGACCGGCTGAAATCCTAGTTGCACCGGCTGGGCTGTTCATGCAACAATATGACAAGTCAACCATCAATGGATCTGGTTGACTGACGTTGCTGAAACGAAACGATGTTCGCTCTGCGAGATGTGTTACTGGCCATCAAACGAGTCAGCACGAGACAACATCAAATAGTGCCGAGCAGTATGCGCCCACCGACACTCATCAAGGCTTTGCGATGTTCTAGGTATAATCTAGTTTCGACAGCTTACGTATTCCGTCTATTCACACTCTTGTCGGCAGCAGTTTCCGTCAAAAGTCAAGCATCGTACCGGACATACACATATACGTGATTCGAAGCGATATGAACAGCCTCAGTACTCAATGGAAAGGCATATAGTATGTGTTCACTCACTTACCCGTGTTCCCAAGCTAGCACTTTAATTGTATGCTGTTGCAGCCATGAACAAAGATAGCGCCTCGGTCCTAAAAGGATGCATCGCTCAATCACAGTAGAGTCCACCTCACACTACAAACCTTCGCTTTCACGCCCCACAGCAATTGGACCATCGAGAGCCGTTCACGCTATTACGCCTGTGTGGTAGAGAGAACCATGATAATATAGTGCCCTTACGAGGTACATGTTTGAACGAAATGTGTCATATGGTACAAAGAAATATACTCTACTACGGACCATTTATATCGGTCGAGATAGCGGCACAAGTTGTTCCTACAAGCTACACATATTGTCTTCATTCCTTGAGGTGATCTCGTCTAATGGTGATCTGCCAGATCGTAGCAAGAAGAGCAGAGGTATTTGTACCACTAATTTTTCGGCATTAGAGACTTGAGGAGCGATCATGTCTACGAGTATCGCTATAAGGTCTTTTCGATCCAAGAGAGCACCCATAGGTAATGTATTCTTCAGGAGACCGATCACTGCCTCTCATGTTCTAATTTGTGAAATTTGAGCGTCTTCCATACCATTCTCGTATCCTGACTCGGAAGGTTGGCAACGATAGAGCTGCTGCGTCGGGGTACCAGGCAGGTAGAGCCTTTTCTTAGACCACGCTCTACCGAATTCGGTACTACGGGTGAACTTCAAGTCTGGTCCGAGGAAATGACGCTTTGAAGAGTCCTCTCCAAGACTACTACCAAGATAACCGTTGAACAGGAACTCGTTTTTTTTCTCTCGTCTTGGTGTTGGTGTTCAATACAAAAGCCTATAGGGCATCGTTTATAATGGCCGACAATTGCCCGGATTAGCTTCACTGGTGGCCGTGAGGCCAGTATGTTTGACGTACTGTGTCAGGAGCAGCACAGTAAGCTTCACGGCATTTGTTCTTTTCCATCAGTCAGGTACCAGCGCTCATGCCAAGGCCAAGTAAGCCTTAGTACAGTTCCACTGTAAGTTTCAGGCTGGCATCCAGTGTGAGCAGGGCCACACCCACGTCGTCAACTCGGACTTCAGGTCATACCTCTTGAGGGGTTGTCTCTGCTTTCGTTAGGCTCGCTGTGTTGCTGGCCCAAACTGTCTAATGGCTCCGATGGTGGACCTATTTCGAGAGAAGATGAGCACCTTGCAGCTAGGGAGGTAGTCGCCAGTCATGTCGTAGAAATATGCATGGACTCTGTGTAGTCCATTGGTAGGTCGCAACCGTTATGCTGTGCCGCCGTGCTTCGGCCTGCGCGAAACAAGCTCTGAGGAGTGCGGGGATCTAAGCACGTACGACAAACTGTGATGATCAGTATCTGGTTTCGTTGCGTATTTGTTGCCAAGGAAGTGCCTTGCCTACGATCACATAGCCCGGGGATGGCGCCGGCAAATCTCACAGGTCAAGACCGGCTTTTTGTAGTCGCAGCTATCTGCTGTTCGACAGAATTCTCGCGGTGCTAGCTATTGTCACAGTGTTCATGGATCGTCAGGAGATGGCGTGGTCGCATCTGTTGAAGATTCTGGTATGCCTTTGCATTTACCTCCGTACAAGTGCCCATTGCGGGCAGTTGTTCTTGTAAATTCTGTGCCACAATGTGGACAACGGGCCTTTGTGGCTGTCCCGCTCTTTTCACGTTGGTGCCGTAGAAGATTGCTGAAGGTTGAAAACTGCCTTCCGTTACATCCATGATCCCAACACTGTGGCTTTTGCCGACTGCTTGCGATCTCAGCCTCGTTGGGCGTGGATTCAAGCGTCTGAGTTATTGGTGGAAAATTAGAAGGTAGGGAGTTCACGGATGGTAGTGGTTGTACACGAGTCTGGTCATATATTGAAACGACTGTATTTGGTGGCGGCGCTGTCACTTGTACCATGTCTGACGTAGGCAATTGAGGTCTTCCTGTGGTGTATACAGGCGCTGAATGAGTCACACCCTGCTGAGCTGTCAAGCCAGGGTAGCCTCCTTGTCCAATAGATGTATTAAAGTAGTTTTGCTGAGAGGAATAGGTTGGAATCACCTGCGGCGGAAAAGCGTAATGCTGTGGTTGGAAAGGTGCGGCAAGGGAATCTAGAGGAGCACCGTATGTCGTCTGAGTAAGTCCCATCTGAGGGTTTGGTGCTTGCCGGGCCTGTTCTTCAGCGTACGACACTAGTGCTTCAGAACGACTGCTACTACGATGCCTGGGTATCTCCGGTCGACTATGTTTCAAAGGTGTACGGTCTCGAACGTTGGGTGATCTTGATGCTGGACGAGGATGCAATGCCTGCTGCTCAGCCCATCTTTGAGGTGAGGAGAAGGTAGCCCGCTGGTCAGGTCGGACATTGCTCACCATTGCGCCAAAAACATTGTTCGATCCTTCCTGTCCTAGATCAAAAACTCAGCATAAACAACGTAATAATACAGTCTGCATTACCTGTAGGGTGGTCGAAAGAGCCTTGACCGTATTGATGACCTGGAGCAGAGCTGAAATGAGATTGAGGGTATGGAAGCAGAGCAGTCGCCATACTGCTCAGGTTAGACATGATGATCTTCTGTAGGCCACAGTAACTTACTTCTCAGCTGACCTAGCGGAAGCAGGCGGGTAAGAATATTCTGATGGAAGACAATAGGTGCTATTGCCCAGCTGGATTGAGTCGTACGTATCGTACAAGTTGTCCGCCAGACCCTTCGAACCACTGCTAGGATATAGATGATGGTCTGGAAAGGCTGTGACAACAGGACGGTCCTGCGCTACGTTCGTTGCGGTGTTTGTGAGACTACGACCTGAGGAAGCTCGAGGGCTGCTTTGTCGGTAAGCGGACGGCACAGTGGCCTGAGCAGTCGCGGTCGACCTTGCGTTCTCTATATTGACGGGCCCCTCCACACAGGAGGAATGAGTGCTGTTTTGGCCAAACCAGCACTTCCGACGTTAAGTTCTCTTCCTTCAAGGTTTGCATTGGCACACAACGTTAACGAGAGCCAGCGACAGAGTACGAACAATACACGACGAGAGATCTGTAGTGCTGAATTCGACAGAGCCTCGGAAGTCCCGAGTCACTTGAACTCCTCGTTTGGTGTAGCTCGTTGTGACAGGCGCTCAGCAAGTTGTCAGAGTAGCATGTTGTGGCGTCAGCACGTATGTGAATCGAATCAACGTATTGACAATGAATAACAACCAAGCAGACCGTTGTGAAAGGGTCCCTTCAGGTGGAAGTAAGCTTGAGAGCGACCATACCAATGTGGGTTAATAGTTGCTAGGTTTTAGGTTGGCCGAGGGGGCCTGAAACTAGACCTATTTTTGATATGGATAGACAATTATAACGTGAGGCTTCATAGGTCGAAAGATGCATGGTTGGGCGCTGCCGTCACCAGTGGATTTACGCAATGGTGTTTTAGAACTGAGAACATCTTGGTTTTGTGCTCGCATTGTGGCTGAGCTTGCAGTGTCGCAGCGATGGTAGAGGGCGAAAAGGAATGCACACTAACAAGTGTAACTGTCCTGGTTTGGTCGAGAAAGATTCCGGGGTGATCCGGTTCGGTATTTCGTTAGTTCTTCTGCACAATGCTGCTGCTTTGGCACAGACTCGTAAGCGGGCGAGACAAGATAGACAAAGGCCATGACGTACACAGTAAGGCAGGCATAGGCGTGACATTCGTGAAAGCAGAATGAAGATCAGGTAGTAGCAGTCTTGGCAGCTAAGATGCCTCGAATCACTCCACCTGAAAGGCAATCCGGCCCCAACGTGCAGGAATGTGCAAAGCCAGAGGAAGCTGACTCACGAGGGCGGAGATGCTCGTCTTAAAGGCGAACTTCAGCCGTCATTGCAACGCAGGTAGATCGCCTGCGAGGTCAGACTCAGCAGGCATAGAGAGACAGAGACGGCGAAATGCGGTGATTTCAGCCCCAAATATATGGCACGCTAAAGTCGGCTGTTGCATTGGCCGGTCTCTTATATATTAGCTTCGTAAGCTCTCCGAAGAATGTGCACTAGTAGGAAGTACATGCCTTGAGTGGCACGAACGTGGAATGGACAGTCTCGATTGTAGCGTGTTTCAGAGAGGTTCCTGTTGACACGCAAGCACTTTCTTTCTCTATGCTCGTGGAGCTCGTTCGATGGAGAATCCAAGGACTGTAACAAGAGCGAGCAGGTAATTTGGATGTTGCATGTCACCCTAAGTTGAGTGAATCTGGTAGCTCATTCATCATACTCAAGTAACGATTAGGTTTGTTACTGCGGTCTCGACAACCTGATGTCCTCAATACTCCTCTAGCAATGGATGTCGCGTGAATCAGGGTACGGAACTTGTGATACACCGGTCAGCGGCCAAGTCTATCGAATTGCATTCAAGCTGTATTTATAGGCACACAAGGCCTTTCATTAGAGGTGTGCCCATGACGATAGATGATATGGTCACGGTTGTTTGGTAGCAAAGGTTGGTCAAGCTCTGTCGTAGTCGTAAGCTACAAGCTTCCGAAACTCCGCGGGCAACGAAAGACCAGATATTGCATCGCAGTCGTCCAAGGTAGAAAGACCATCACGAGTCCAATTGTGCTGGAAGCTTCTGAACGGAACTCGTGCTCGTCGACCACTAGTGGGCAGACGCCTTAAACCTTTGATGGCCCCTAAAGCGTCAGAAGCAGTCACTTGCTATGAAAGACCACGTGGTCAGAACGTGTTGAGCGTGCTTTGGCCTTCGATGAGGTGTCTTGTACAACCAATTCCAAGAACAAAGCATCCTGATAATGTTACTATCGTTAGTACTTAGGTTTGTACCTGTATCTGGCTGTCCCATCGGCTGAGAGCCAGCAACATTACCCAATTCAGGTCACAGGATTGACAACGTGCATGCACTGCAAGCTGTTCGCCAGTCAGATGACGACAGGCGGGATGTTCGATGTTCGCATGCTCAGAGACTTCCGCCTATCCTGACCTGTTGATTGTCTCTGTAGAAACTCTTTTGTTCTGCGACAAACCCATGCAAGAGAAATCTTGCGAGTCTGCACAATACACTAAAGGTGCGGTCACATAGTTGCTCTGAACATTTTCAGCATTGGCAGCCACGACCTGCTGAAAGCAAATCCCACCTTGAAGCCCAACTGGAAGGTGCAACTGTACAATGGCCACATTCTTCGAAGAGCTTTGGAATAGCGTCTTCACTCCAGGCACTACCCCTACCTTGCTCGTCGCGACAAATGCTTCATTCGGCGCTCTACAGTTCCTACTTCTGATCCTACTCCTAGCCACCTATAGCGTGCACTTCCTCGTGCTATCTGTGCTCTCTGCAAGCTTGTGGTACGCCATCAACTGGTTTGCTCGTGAGCTACAAATAGAGCAAGCAAAGAGCGCTACAAAGGAGGAACAACGCGGTAATAGAGAGAAGTCGACGGACCCTGGTAGCGATACAGAAACCGAGATGCCTGTCCCTGAGATGACAGCAAAATCCACGACTGCCACACAACACAGCACTTCGAGCCATCTGCAACCAGATCCCGCCCTTGAGAGCGACAATTTACGGCGGAGACGCAGTCTAGGTGACCACAGCAGTAGTGGCTACGTCAGCACTGATTCAGAATGGGAGAAGGTCAGCGAAGGCGAAAACAAACAATAACCTTGCTGCTGGTTACCGTTAAGAATATTCATGCGGAACCTAAGTAGTGATACTACGTTGGGATTACAGTGGCGAGGAGACGTTGCTGCTGGATACCTGGTGCAGATCCTAGAACCTTGCCATTGCCCAAGACAGAACGCCTTGGTGCATTCTTTGACCTTCTTCCGCCTTTTCCACTCTTCCGAACAGCAGCATGTGATACACTGTTCGCGTGATCGGCCCATGAGGGTGTCATATAGGTATGCTTACCAGAGTATAGGCTAACAGAATGCGAGGTTTGCATGGCAGACCTGACACAAGGTCAAGAACACTAACCAGCAACAATCCCACAATCAAATCAATGTTGCACTCGTTCATAACTTTGAGTCTCTGCGGACTGCCCTGATCGCTGAGCTTCCGAACAATATCTGCTTGTCGATTTCGCTCTCTGTAAGCGCCGACGTGTCTGATAGCAGATGTTTCTTCTTGCTGATACGAGAAGCCAGCCACCTGTCTGCAATTACACGCTCCACTTCGCCCTGTGTGCAGCAAGCGTCAACCAGAAGGAGAGCTGCGCACACGATATCCTCCATAGACCGTAGCAACCCCTTGCCGCGATAAAGAGCCTCTACTTCTTTTTTCGTGGTGAGGAAAGTCCGCAAGTCGTGCCAGGTTTGCTTGATAGTCTCGACATGCTCTGCAAATCGTAATGACGCTACTTCAAGCATTTTATCAAGCATCGTACCCAAGGCTTCAATTGCTCGTCCGCCTACCTGACCTCTAGTGGCTCGTACAAAATCCTCTGCAAGAATATTGCTGGTTCCTTCCCAAATACTGTTAACACTGCTGTCCCTAAGCAGTCGAGCGATGTTCATAAGGCCATCATCCTCGTTGTTCTCGCAGTAGCCCACTCCTAGCAACAGTGTTAGCAGCAGAATTGAGCGGAATTGTGGCCAAGGCCTCACCTCCCAAGCTTTCCATACATTCTCTCAGCCCCAGCGTGGCAGCCAAGCTGCACTGAGCCTTCATCACTGGTGTCAAGATCCTAAGCAGTATCTCAGCCTCTTGCTTGTCTCTAGGTAACCACTCCCCTGCTCGTGTGCCTTTCGCCGCAACTTCTACACCCCACTCACTTATTCCTAGAAGTGCGACACCCAGAAAAGCCAAATGTGTCGCAGCTCTGTATTTGACTGCCTCCTCTGCCAACCATCTGACGTGTTGTCTGTTTTCAGCTAGAACCTGCTCGCCCTTGATTTTGCGCACCTGGCAGTATGCCTTTGCCACTGCCAGTCCTCTACCCCATGACCCGGTCGCCCCTACAGCTGTCCAGAGTCTTGTTGCATTGAGGATCGCAGAGATTTCCCGTACCCCTCGGCCTTCTTCACCGAGCAGCCATCCTCTCATACCCTTGATCTCGAGCTCGGCGGTGGGTAATCCTTTAGTACCCATTTTGTTCTTCAGACGAGAAATACACACTCCATTCATTACTGGCGTCCTCTTTCCACCTACACCGACCACGGTCCTCTTCATAGGTGCATAGAATGCGCTCAAGCCCTTCTGTGTCTGTGCCAGAAGCACGACCATATCAGCATCAGTAGCGGAGCTGAACCACTTGAACCCATCAATGAACCAAGGACCAAGTGGCATGTCCACACTATCGGCCGCCGAAGCAAAGGTATTCTCGTCAGCTTTCAACTCCTCCTCAGAACCCAAACGAGCGAGCGTCTCCGTCCTCGAAACATCCGAACCTCCAGGCCGCTCTGTCATCCACTGTCCAGACGTCCATGCATACCCAGGATCAAAAGAAGTCAATCTCGCATAAGCCTGCTCCAACACCTTCCGTAAAACACCCGCATCCTGAGCCGATGTCACAGATGGCTGCGACCGAGCCAAGTGCCGCGACAGCAGAATCGCAGCACCATCCGTCATTGCCGCAGGACAGGACACAGCAGCAGAACTAGCTGACCACATATGCGCGAGCGCAAACTGATGAACCCGAAGATTATACTTGCCAGGCGTCGATCCCAGGCCAGCAGTAGTAGCAGCACTCTCTCCCTCACCAAAACCTCGATATCCAAGCGCAACAACCCCAACTCTAGTCTGAATATCCTTCAACCCCCTCCATCCCTCCCCAGTCCTCAACGGACTCACAGCATTAACCCCACCAAAAGTCCCCAGTAAATGCAAAGTAGGCTGATTAACCTCACAATCGACCGTGAGACGAAGCGTGCTCGGGTCTAGACACGTCCGTGCGAGATCGTGGAGTGATTGGTCCACTTCTGGAGGACACGGGGATGGGAGATAGAGGTTCAGGATATTACGTAGCACTGCATCGTCGTCTGAGTTCTTGACACTTTGCTTCTGTGTCGATGAAGTGTATGCCGGTGGTATGACGGGTAATTGCTGGAAGAAGCCTGCTGTTGTTGAGGAGGGTTGTCGTGCTGTCATTGCCGCCCTATCATGTATTCTACCTCAGTGTCTTTAGATGCCGCGAGGTACATGAGTGGTCACCTCTACCGCACTCAGAGAGGTTCATATTGACAAGCATGGATTTACCTCGCCTTTGTTGACATGCAGCCCGTAGAATACGAGGAAAACGCATAACGATCAGCCTCGGTTTGAACTTTAGCTGCATGGTTGTCCCGAATTGGCACAGAATAAATATGTCACTGAGAATAAACGAGACCACGAATGCGTTTCTGAATCTAATTACTCCAACTTTACAAATCTAATACGTGCTTATAGCGCAGAATAGTCTCGAAAGAGAGAGTTGAAGAAGGGATGATTGGAAATGATATGTAACGATCTTAGATAACTCCTCCTAATGTAATCACGCCCACACAAAATGACTTCTTCTGTTTGTTCTCGTGCCTCATTCAAAAAGGTAATCCTGGGTATCGTTCAAACGCCTGTCAATGCTACCGAGTACAATCCAATACTCCCAAGACCCCAACCACTAGGTTCGGCCGCGTAGCTGCATCACACGCAGACGTCTTTCTTCGTCTTGTAAATGGCTCAGATTCCGGTTTGTTGGTGCAGATGAAGAGTATGATGCTGGAGGATAAGTGTCCATGCGGTGGACGTCTCTTACATGTGCGCTTGCCGGTAGGGCAGGGGGAGCAGGTCCTGAACCGGCCATACAAGCGCCATAGCTTGGGAGGTCGGAACCCGAATGGTGCGAACGTGGAGCAGGCGTGCGTATTGCTGTCGAGTAGGAGGGGACTTTTGCCAGATCCTCAAAGTGATCGGTCTGGAAGAATGGGGTTGCTGTTCCGGAAGAGTAGGAATGGGGCACATCCTCATTTGAGGTTCTCCGTGATACGTCGTTGGAATCTGGTACGCTGTTCAGACCACTCGTCGTGCCTCTTGAGGTATCTCCGTCTCGTGGCAGACTTCCTGCTTCACGAGCATCCATATTCGTAACATAGTCACCGTTTATATGGACTCCAGATCCTCGTCTGGACATATTCCCATTTGTAAACTGGTCGTGCTCGATTCGAGCAATGGTTGGTACGATAGTATCTGAGCGGCGCAGGTCTTGCAATCTATGCTGGAGTGCTGTCGCAGATACATGGCCAGGCGCATCAGCTACCGCATCCATACTTGCCAAGTTCTCGGAGGAGATGTTCCTGCTGTGTGCATAAGGAGTACCAACAGCCGACAGTGCACCACCTGGGGTTCTCCATCCACTCGGATCCATATCCGAGAATAGCTGATCGAATTGATGCTCGCCGTAGACAGGAGGTGCAGAATTCATAATATCATTCTGGAGCGCTGCTCGCCCAGCTTGTGGTGTCTGATCAACCAGATCGTTATCGTCGTTGAGGGGCAGACTTTCCGAGATGTACAACGAAACAGGTAGGTTCGCTCTCAGCTCCGATATATGGCCATCCGGGTTGTGTAGTTGGACGTTGAATTTGATCTTGTGCCGCACCTTGATTCCTTTCACGTTGCAGTCTTGTAAACATTTTGAGAGAGTCTTCGGCAGTTCCAGGTACCTCGAGAATTGAAATCCCTCAGCTGCTTCTTCGATTATCTCCAGGTCGTGATCTGGGTTCAGCTTGTAGTTGTCATATGCGATCACACGGTCATCCTTTATCTGACCACCATTCAATGCCAAAACATTCCACTCAGGGTCAATGCAAAATTCGTGCTCCTCTTTTAACTGTGTACTTATGTTTCCGATTACCAATCCCTTTAGAAGTGGTATCAGCTTGAAATCAACTTGTAAGAACGAGCCGAATATTACAGCTTTGCTTGGTGTGCTTATCGAGTACTCGACCTTGTTTGGCCAGATGTTCTCAACGCTCATGGCATGGCTTAGTTCGAGGGCACTCGGGCCTAGCGTGCGAACAATTCGCAGGGGTTTCCTGATCACTAGATCTTTCCCTCTTTTGCGTGTGACCTCTGCTTTCAATCTATACACGACGTAGGCATCCTTGAGTCCTTCCACACTTTCCGGGAGGGCACCATCAAGTACCACGTCGAAGGGCCACGTGTAGTTGTCGCTCGGCAGAGTTTCTGATTTTCCCTTTGGACATTCGCGGAACGTCCACGATTTCTGGTAGAAGGTTTGCTCTTTCGATGCGTTGCGCCGGCCAGACAGTGAGGATGCAGAGGTAGTGGCATATCTAGTCTGTATCAGTGGATGTACTTCGGGTACAGGGTAAGGAACGTATTGGGTAGTTTTCAGTGTATGCTGTAACACAATGCTGGAACAACTTACGACATATGCACAATACCGCTCAGAGTGAGTTTAACACCAGTGATTGTTAAAGAGTCTACCAGTGACAGCACAAGCTGCCCGGACAAGCGAGCGCTGCCTGCCTCATCCTCTGTTCCTCGAAGGACAATGTAGTCACTGTCCAGCCGTATCTCGTAAAGCTTGACACTGCTGCTGGTTCCTCCAGTGCCGGTGTGAGCACTGAGAAATTTTAAGGCCATTGTCCACGAGGACGAACGCGATCAGTTAAGAAAGACGCAGGGTGAGATAGCGCTCTCTTTTCGTCAGCCACATTACAATGTCGTCGACATAGCAGAGAGTAGTGTTTGTTGTCAGACTGAAGCTAAGCTGTGTGGACGAAGAACAAATTTCCGGGCGACGGGAAGATACGTAGTGAAGGCAGTGAGGAAAGAGAGTTCACATTAGGAGGAAACAAGATGACTGTGCTTTTCTAAAACAGTCTCCGGTGGAAGACTAACATGACATGTCGTTTATGTCAGGTACCAGTGGGGTTTCATTGGCATGTCTTGAACAAAGGAAGAGCCGAAGAAGAAAAAACGCAATCCATACGATGCAATCAGTAATTAGTACTCCGTAGTAGATACGACGAGCAGGCTGATCAGCCGGCAAAGTGCTTCTGCCACGCCGCCCGTAAGCTTGCGTGCGATAGTGTGACGGCTCCAGCCGAACAATCACCTGTAAGGTTGTCAGCTGGTAGCCACACCTGCGAGGCCAGACACGGCATGTTTGCCCCTATGGCCGAATTTGGCGCAGGAGCCTCAGAGGTGGCAGGAGGCAGTAACGGATGCAACCTCAATGCTGTTCTTTCTTTGGCCGGAAGTTGCTGTCCAGAATCGAAGTTTTTCATTTCGCACGCCATGATAAGGCAGTCCAATCGATAACGCAGATAAATTGTCGCCTCACGTCACAAAAAGGTATAGCGCGTTTGAATTGCACCTAGTGGTGGAAGCCCTAATTGTGATTGCTGGTGCTCCACTGATATAGCCGGTTGTTCTTATTGTGGCGGTCGATCTTTGAGATCTGTTCACGGGAAGTGCACATGGAAGAGACCACGTGCACGAGTGTTCTCAATTCAGCACATACGATGAAGCAGAGCCGATGAGTTGTTCTGTTCCAGTTTTACACTACGACTTATGTAACGAAACGCGGACCATAGTTGGGGTGCACCTCATTTCGAAATGAATGCCAAGTGAAATTATATTTCTCTCAGTCGGACCCAGTCGAACGGTACACCAACTGCGACTACGTAGAACACTCTATGCAAGGCTTCTGGGTCGCGTCCGAGTTCAACAGAACTTCATCACGACCTGAAAAGTTCTTATCAGGGTGAAGGGGCATATCGATCCGAACGGGTTCGCCTTCCAACACATGTGATCTGACACGCATTCATTTGCTGCTTCTATCAGTACAAATTGATCCACTGAAGCCTGGACTCCATAATTCATCATAAACATGTGAATCTGCAAACCCAGAGCCCGAGCTATGAGATCTATGTCGCGTCTTGAGCAGGCCTGTCCCACGTTCTCACATGTCCATCCTGACATGATGTGATGATACAGTCTTGCTCGAACGCAAGCCCACACAATGGATGTGGGTCCACAGTCTTTACCATTACGGGTGGAAGTTGAGCTGTCCGAGCACGAGGTTCAATCGGATGGTTGAGAAAATCAGCTTCAGCCTCGTCGTCTTCCTGCTGATTCCCCTGCGAGCGACTGGAATTTGACCTCATTCGGTTGACCGACGCACTTTCTGTCCGATGCCTATTCAGCGAAAACGATTGGCCCGAGACACTGCCTCGTGCCCTTGCAAGAGTACCCTTAGGTCGATGCAGCATGCCTACACTGAAGTCCCAAAGTAGCAGCTTGCAGTCGTCCCCTATGCTGCCGAATCGATATGTCTTGTCGTCACAGCGCCATGGGTCGAATGCAACTGCTGTGACCCATGAGTCGTGCCCCGGACAGCGAGCAACAATTTGTCGGTCAGCAAGCGACCATATTGAGACGAGATCGTCTTGGCCTCCCGTAAGAATATACTTGCCATCTGGAGACCAACAAACGCATGTAAAGCCTCCGTAATAAGAAGAGAACACATCTCTTAGAGTCTCCTTAAGGTAATCGACGATGCGTAAATAGCCATCTTCAGCCACAACCGCCAAGTGACGACTGTCTGGCGAAAAAGCAAAATCATTTATTGGTTGCGAGCAGAGCTTCCAGCAGGCGACCGGGTTTGCCTTCTGGTTTGCGGAATTAACGCTTTTCGTCACGTTCAGTTGAGAATCAGGATCGTCTTCGATACTGATAGCTTCATCAATGACCACTTCAGGTACGAAAGGAGCATCTTCTTTTTCCTTGTCGTAGACCACTAATGAGCCATCTTGGTGGGCTGCAAGAAAGAGACTTTCTGAACCAGGGATCCATTTGATTTTCGATACTGGCGTGCTATTGATCATGCCGTTCTTGTTTATTCGAGCATATTTCTGGGATATCGGCTCGTACCATATGATGTCGCTGGCTGATGAGCCCATGAGGACATCGATATGAGTTTCGTCCTTAGTCAAAGGATTTACGTCGTGGCACAGCATGTGAGCCTTGGTAAAAAGGATCTTGGTGAGTGGTTCAGCTTTTGTGGACGAGGACATATCGAGCCACTGAAAAGCCCTGTTGACGTTCACAAACGCAAAGCTGCCGCTAGAGTCTCGTTCCGCCAATCTTTTTGTGAGATGATCGTGGGGAATGACGCGTGAAACGAAGGAGGAATTACTTTTTACCATGTTATTCTTGGGTTTCCTCCTCTTGAGAACATCTCTCGAATTGGTCAGTGTCAGAGCAATGTTGCCTTCGCCAAAAGCTGGCGCGGTAGACGAACGAGTGCTGGCTGCAATCGCGCTCCTGTCACTGCTCGCATCCGATAGCACTTTGGCGTCTGCATCTACCTGTGTGACCTCCTTCGTGTCTTTGGCTTTGTTGGTGTCTTGTCTGCCTAATGCGCGCCATCTCAGCAGGTTACTCGTGGTCGTATTGGCTCTGTTGAGCTGATTCCGGACCTGGCGTGGTTTCACGGTAATGACCGAGAGCTTTACACCACTAGTAGGAGGATTAGTTGTAGTCGCAAGCGGATTCGGATTTGTGACTGGTATTTCCGAAGGATGTGGTGGTGGGGTAGCGAGCTGGATGTCTTCCCGGAGCACGTATATGCCTGTTTCAATCAGCACTGCTTCTGAGCGAGAACGCACTCTGTTCACCTTCGCCAGACTGGAAGCTGTATTCTGGTCCCTCAGGGTGTGAGATCTGGTTCGCAGTTTCCAATGGAGTAGGCGGCATTCCGTTATGCGTTGGATATCGTGGAGGGGGTGGAATTGCGCTGTGAAAGGGCAGTGTTAGCACATGCAAGCTCGAGCGGTAGCATGCAGATACGCACAACATGGTGGCCGCTTGGCGCTAAGCGCGCCTCGAGATTGTCGCAGCTGCGAAATGTGACCACTAATCGGCCAACACAAATGCTATCTCTCAATATTGAAAGCAGGTGGTAGACAAAGCGATGTGTACGTGCAACGGTTGGCAGCAGCTGTTGAAGAGGAGAGTTGAGAACTCTTGACGATCTCGAATGCGACCCCAGAGCAAGTTGTGGGTTCCGATTTGCGGGGGTGCGGCCGCCGTCCTAGCACCAAAAATCGACCGAGAATAGGCTTTCAATACAGCAGGAACCGTTCTGCACCAGCAGGACAACAGAACATACAGCGCTCGTAGTGTTTCACTTGTCGCATCGAAGATCACCTTAGGGATTCCGAGCAGAGGCTATCAGAGACAATAGAGGTTCCTGATCATATGTCCTCAGGCCATTTCATTTCTGATAGCTCTTCACGGATAATGCTTGCCAACTCTTGATTAACAGTCTCGAGCTCTGTACGTAGTCGCGCGATCTTGGGATCTTCTTCGTCGGTAGTATCTCCATCTACGGTACTGTCTGCCTCGTGTACGGTCTTTTCATAAGGATCAACGCCCTGGGGTTCTGGTCCGGTAACAGCTAACAGAATCTGGTCTGCGACAGAGGATATGACGGTCAATGCTCCAGTTCTCTGGGCCTCGAAAACGAGACTATCTTGCCCTGCAATAGCGTAGGCCGTTGCAACCGTTGTCGATCGGGTGCGCATCGCCTTGACTGAGGGAGTGTTGTGACGGAAGGAATATGCTAAGATCGATCCATTCTGCGCCGACACTGTGATTGATGAGATCTCATCATTCCAGCCTAGAGCTTCTTGTAGAAGCGCAGACAATCGTCCCGAGTCTACGAGACTGACTTGAGTCATGCTTGGTACTATGGTAGAACAGCATAGACCAGTCTTCCGATCACGCAGAAACGGTCGCGAAGACACGCGCACGAAACGTGGGATGGTTAAGAGGTACTCGAACAATTAATATGGAGTACGAACGCGCCAAATCTTGGCTCGCGTTGAGGTAATTACCTGATATTGCTACTGTAGTACTGCACTTTAATCGCATAACCAGGCACGAAAAAAGGACCAGATGATGGGCACAAAAACAACCAAGAGGTCGCCGTCATGAAGAGGCTGATATCAGAATATGCTGGTAATAATTTGATTCTCAACTGCCTTCCAGAAGAGGTCATTTGGCTGTCAATGCAGTACTGACTCCCAACACGCCCATACCAATAAAGGCGAATGCTATACATATGCCTTTTTTGTGGCTCAACTGTAAGCTTTCTGAAAATAACGATAACGCCACGCTGGTCATAATACCTGCAGTAATGGCGAACATGCCTCCATACACGGACTCATCTGGACCGCCGTGTTGACTCCTTTGAGCGACTTTGAACCACAATGCTGCTACACCAGCACCAAGTGGCTGGGAAGCGCCGCCCAGAAATGATGACCAGACGATAGCCTTAACCCGAGAATTCAACGCAAGGTACAGTGGTAGGGACATGGCGAAACCTTCGCTGATGTTGTGGATGAATAGGGCCATAAATACGGCAAATCCTAGAGTTGGATTCGCGTGGTTCGTGGCATAGGTGATGAAGCCCTCTGGCGCTTTATGAAGAGCGATTGCTATTGAGGTCTGCAAGCCAATTGACATGAAAGCATTTGTTGGCACGTGATGATGGTGCTCTTGTCCTTGATCGTCAGAGTGCTGATGCGAATGCCGCGAAGTAGATCTCAGTCTGTCTTGAGCATGATTGTGCTCGCCTTCAGCGTGGTGAACGTGATGGGTGACAGAATGTTTCCTTGCAAGACCGTGTGTCGACGTTGCCTGAGATTGGGTTCTTGATCGGCTTGCATTGAGGGGAGATGGAGTGCCAGCTTCAGTGTCCTCTTCGACCAGAATTGGCTGCGAAAAGCTGGCTTTCGACCAAGTTGGCTGACGCGATCCCAGACCAAGGTGATGCGTAGGCGTTGAGGAGGTTCGTCTCTGCATGAACCGGAAACAATCTCGACCGCAAGGATCGGAGAAACCTTTACAAGGTCCGGATTCGTCACAGTTCTCTTTCTGTCCCTGTACATATTTCGAATATGTCCTTGATAGTGTCCTTCCTAATCTAGACGGCCGTTGCGCATCTGGTACTTCGAGAGAGCCATTGGCATGCTTCTTTGTGCTCGTCTGCGCATTACTGGACCTTCTTGATGACAGTAAGGGGGTCGTTTCCCCTGCATCCTGGTTTTCAGCCATTTCTTCGTTATGTTTCAGATTCCCCTCCTCTTCTTCTTCTTCATCCTCGTGCTTGTGATCGCAATCGACAACGTGTGAGGGAATAAATCTATGCAGGACATTGGACACGACTCTGATAACAACGACGCCTGTCAAAAAGAGGCCGATCAGCAGGAAAGATGCCTGCCGTGGAGAGTAACCACCATCTATGAAATAGATCTTGGATTGAGGTAGCATGGAGTATAATGACGAGAACAGCTGTTGCTTGTCAGCATTCGGTCCCCCTCTGATTGCGCTTGTCATACCATCACCCCAAAACTCAGACTTAGCGATGCTGATAGAAATGTGTCGCTCTCACTGATGGAGAAATCTTGCATGCGAGGAAACTGTCTCACGATAATGTCGACACAAATGATGCTTGCGCCGAAACAGCAGGCTGTGAAACTTAATTAGCCCGAACATCGTATTGTCGGATAACTGCAGAATGTTTCCAGATGTTCTCAGCTCACTTACCAATACCACTGACAGCCGTCATGATCCATCCTCGCGTGTCATTGTCCAACCCCATCTTGTAGTATGCGTCGAGGATTTGAGAGTCTCTAGAATACGAAGTCGGATGCTACTCAAAATCAAGGAGATAGTGATCAATCGAGATCACTTGCAGAAGTATTCAAGAAATCATGTCGACGATGAGGAATGCTGCAAACAAAGACAATGAGCCTCGACAAGCCAAAATTGAGTACCTTCAAGTTTGACCTCGCTGCATACAGTAACCGAACCACATGGCCAGCCTATGACGCGCTTACAAACTGCATGGGGGTCAAGCGCCACACTCACAGGCACGCCGCAGGAGCGGATGCTTAACTGATCGAAAAGTGGTGGTCTTCCCATTGGCTATAGTTTTCAGGGAGGCCATGGACCCTGCTGCTAGGGACGCGTGCTGCACTTTCTCGTGGACGCGTGAATTTCAAGTTCAAGTCGACAACCAGCTCTACAAACAACGAGACCTGTACAATGCTGATACAAGAGCTTCGGCTGTAGACCTGTCCCTTGAGCAGTTGTCCGCCACACACAACATGTCTAAAACAACCTTGGGACTGATCGCTGCTGGATCTGCTGCAGCAGGGGCCTCGATTACGGCCCTGATCTTCTCATCCAGATCATCGACGCCGATAACTACACCAGCATCCACGATTCCAGCACCGGCACCCCTTACATCTGGGTTCCCAGCACCACAACCCGTTTTGACTCCAGTCCCACAACCGCTGCCTTCGACAACCCTCCCTCTTGCACCAGTCAATCCCCTAGGTGTGCTAAAATATGGCCTCACCCCTGCCATTTCCGACACCAGCATCACTCCTTCCCATTTAGCCGCCTACAACCGCATGACAAGAAACCCACACTGGGTCGCCGAGCACTTCACACCACAATCCCTATCTCTCAACAATGCTTCTCGACGAAACAGCGTATTTTACGAAGATGCAGGCATACCACCCATGTTCCGGGCGAAACTCTCTGACTACTTCCGCAGTGGCTATGATCGAGGCCACCAGGTACCAGCAGCAGATGCTAAATGGTCCCAGGACGCAATGGACAGCACTTTCGTCCTCAGCAATATGTGCCCTCAAGTAGGTGATGGTTTCAACAGAGACTATTGGGCGCACTTTGAAGACTTTTGCAGAAACTTGACAAAGAGTTATCCGAGCGTACGGGTTGTCACAGGTCCCTTGTATCTACCGAAGCAATACCCAGATGGGAAATGGAGAGTCAGCTATGAAGTGATCGGCAATCCTCCGAACGTCGCAGTGCCCACCCACTTCTACAAGGTCATCTATGGTGAAGAGTCACTTCACAACCCAACCTGCAAAGTTGCTCTAGGTGCATTTGTGCTACCAAACACAGAGATTCCCAACTCGAAAAGCCTGAGAGATTTCGAAGTGCCGCTGGAAGCTGTAGAAAGGGCAAGCGGGTTGATTTTTGCTGATAAACTACCTATCGAAAGACGGAAAAAGTTATGCTCCGACATCAATTGTGAAATCATGGTGCGCGAATTTGACAGGGTCAAGCAGCAGAGAACTGCTCTTAATGCCGGTCAAATAGCTCCTGCTCAGATTGCACAAGAGTCGAGAAGATGGTGATCTGAGGAGACCAAAAACGAGGAGAATATCCAGTGAAAAGCTGAGGGGACCACTCCCTGCTCTCCTATCTGCCAGAATCTCTCAGAAGCCGCTGCGTGTTCGCTCTCAGGAGTGCAGCGCCGAACAACCGTGATGCAGAACTGTGGCAAGTACACTTACACAAACATCCTCGCGTATATGCTCAAGCTGAGGACGCTCTTTACGTTCTCATTCTAGGCACGATTCATGTCGTCCTCCTATCGAAAAGAGAAGTCTAATGTTCTGAAGTGCTCGATTTTGCAAGTCGCTGAAGCAGTTGCGGTCCACTACAGTAACAATTCGTCTTCCCAGCGACACCGCTTCTATCAAGAAGACTCACACTATCGGCTTTGGCCAGCGAGATGATAACGACAAGCTTGAAGTGTCACCACTCAATTGGGAAGACATCGAAGACGCCACTGCCTACAGGCTGGTGTGCTGAAGCGATGGAGGAGAATAATACACCATACTATGCCATATTCGTTGATCTACAGACCTGACTGGAGGTGTTGCTGCAGGTGCGACAGAATATCGTTTCGACGATATATATTTATGGAGGCAATCCCTACTCTCGCATTTCGCATATCCTGCCTACAAAGCCAGAAATCCCAGGTATTGTCGATACAGGAGCCGGGCCTGCCACTGGACCTGCAGGCGTCACGTTTGGAATGACTAAGACCTGATCGTTCAAGGTCAGGAACTCGACTGTATTGACAAAATTGAAAGAAATTCGTAGATGACCAGTTGCTGAGCCTGCACCTTCATTGTGGTTAGTCTCCTCGTCATCGAAGCAGAAGACGTCGTCCTGACGGAAGTCTTGGGCAGGGTAGAGACCGCCATGACCATTTTGGTCGTCTTCAAGTGCCACCGCAACGACCTTGACGACTGCTCGTGTGCTGTTTATGTAGGCAATAGCATGACCACCTAGAATTAGTGGAGGTGATCCAGATCCAGCAAAGTCAGAAGATGGAAACGAAGCTGTAAAAGAAGAGTAGCCCAGCAGAGTATCTGAGGGACTCGCCAGTACCATGCCTTTCCTTGCTTTGTGAAGGAGCACCGATCTTGAGATTGCATTCTCGACAGCTTGAATTCCAACAGTGCCTGTATCATCTAGCAGCAATGAGGTGACGGGCAGTCGAAGATTCCGGAGTGATACTACGACCACCTCTACGTACACGACCTTTGTGTCGGCCTCCTGGAGGAGTTTCGATTGGCCATTCAGTTCCATCGATCTGGCAAAGTTCTCGGACAATGAACGAGGAAGCGATCGTGACAGGGACTTAGCATGGTAGGATGCTGTTCTCGTCATCGTCTTCGTATCTCCGCTATCCGCCTCGACCAAGAAAGGCCCAAGCATTAAACGATCACCCAAACAGATTTTTCCCGAACTCAGAACACCACATAGTACCACCCCACTATCGCCGACCTCGCGCTCGGCTGTAGTCGAGTATACTCTCGAAGGTGGGATTGCAAAAACTTCATCTGTGCGAAAGATGACTTGATTGGTGTTTCTTGCCTGTTCCGAAAGACTTTTGTTTACAGGGTTGGGCGGCAGCACTCGAAGCAATGCATGCAGGCTAGCCACACCTGATCCTGTAAGCGCACTGGTCATGACGAGTGGGATAAATGTCTCGTGACGACTTTCGGTGAAGGGGTTGAGCTTCTGCTCCACCTGAATCGCTTCGTTCAAGATATCTTCTTGAACAACAGCCGAAAAGTCTACCTCTTCTCTACGTATATTTGAAGCAGATGGCGCGTTCACAAGGACAGGTGACCTTCCAGCAGCTTTGACGGAAGAGAGGATCTGACTTAACACTGACCGGAGGCCAGATTTAGTCGCGAGATCCATCTTCGTAATGGCGACAATAATGGGCAAGCCGAGTCTGAGGCAAAGATCAAGGTGAGCCATAGCCAGATTCGATGTTGCAACATCCGGAGTTGTAGTCCCTACAGACCTGGTTGCATAGTCGCTCACTTCTAGTGGGGGTTGCTCTAGAGTCTCGTCCGCAGGCATGCAGAGCACGGTCCAGGAGGGCTTCCACGAAAGCAAGGCACGAAACGTCGACTTCGAGTATCGAGGTAGACCTGGAGAGTCTGATAGAAAGACCAATCGATCAGCCAGGTTGTGTATATCAGGCCACGAGGACACGTCTCCAGAAGCGTAATTGACAACAGGGGAAGTCAATGAATAGCTAGACTGGTAACCGAGTAACTCCTGAGCTACAGAGCTTGTGATTCCTGAAGCTATCTCGTGTCGATGCTTGAGCAGAGAGAGACGACTTTTGCCTCTACCATTGTCAAGCACGGACGTTGTAAGTGTACCAAGCAAGGACGATTTTCCAGCAGCACTCGCGCCGACTATAGCAATTCTGAGATGTTGCTTTTCCATGTCGTCGGCTGAGGCACGTGAGTCTGCCTCAGGTTCTAGATTCAGCGTCCGTAAGGTTGACCCTTCGGATGGTATTACTTCCACAGTTTTGTTGTCTGGTCTCACTAGAACCTCGGCCACCCAAAGTCTGCTTGATCGATTGACTGACTGGCCATCTTCTTCCTCCGTCCATTCGCAGTCACCGACTATCACTCGTCGATGGACATCAACTACACAGCCCAGACTTGCTGCCATCGCACGCAGGTTAACCAAGCTCTCTTCCATTTCTTCGTCCGCCAGACCTATGAGAGTTCCATCGTCAGCTACACCAATCTCATACAAGGCCCCCTGACTTTCCTCGAGACCAGGAAGGAGCTTGGATGGCCTTTCAGGTACGCCGAGTCTCGGTGTAGCTTCAGGCAGGACTGGGAGAACAAGTTGCGCATTGGATGATGAATGGAATGGAGATGATTGCTGTAAACGCCACAGTAATTGTGTGGTAAGTTGTTGCAATCGCGCTTGACGATTTTGAGTCGAAGGCTGGTATGTAGTACGTGAGGGGACAGCGTCAGTAGCTGGAGGCGAGGTCGTGCAAGTTGACTCAATACGTCCTTGTTGGTTGGCCCATGCAGGCATAGTCGTTGAAGTATGTGTAAACGTTCTTCGCCACCGCAGCAGGAGATGCAATTTGTATTCGATAGGCCCATCATGTTTCTCAGGCTCAAGTTTCGTAATTGATGCTGGGTGCTCGACCTTCACGCCATTGTTGGCATCTTGATATTGTACATGCACAGCTAGCTGTGGAGTGTTACTTCCAGGCGTGCTCCATGGAGAATGAACTCGATGCGGCTCTTCCTGGTAGGTGAATATCGAAGCCATTTTTATCTAATCAAAAATGGTTCGTGCCAACTTACGTTTGTGTCTGCTCCCTGGTCATAGGTATTATGTTCATGTCCTGGTGTAAAGTTCCTTTAACAATCCTAAATATCCTAAAGACCGAGTATTCGTATGCGAGTAGAAGAGCATTTGTTGTATCTTGAACATCATTGCGATGCCTCAGTCCTTGCAATACGACAAGCGGTCAAGATCACTGACCAGAAGAAGTCATCTTTTGACGTCGAATACGCGAGATATTTCGTGCGAGCAGTGAAGCAGGAGTCATCATTTCCAGCATCGAAGTGGCAGGTAATACTCGCGTAGCCACAGCTGCTAGTCAGGCATCCATATCTCAGGCAACAAGAGTCTCCAATGCAAAAGGCGAAGAGATCTGAGATGCAAGTACAATACATGAGAAGAAATTTGTCATTATGTCGTCTATATTAATGCTTGTCCTCTATACATGGCATCTCTGACCTCGCGGACAATGTCTTTGCGATCCTTGCTGCCTACTAATACAACAGCTCGACCTCTCCTGTTCATCCTGCCCAGTCGACCGAGTCTGTGAATAAAATCAATTGAGGTATGTGGTACATCATAAAGGATTGCATGTCGTACAGCCAGTGTATCAATACCACGTGAACCCAAATCTGTTGTCACAAGAACTTTTGTATTGTTGAGTTGCTTGGGGGAAGTGGATTGCTGTGTTGGGAGTTCGAATGGAAGGAAGTCTTTAGGCTTGTTCTTTATCTCGCCTTCCACTCTGGAGGGAGACGTAAAGCTTTCCAAGATACTGCCTCTCCGTGCTTCGGTAGTGTCTCGGGTCAGAGCGGTTGCATCGACACCTTTTGAGATCAAAAAGGTGGCAAGCTCTTCCGCCTTCTCTCGTTCGTTCACAAAGCATATTATGTGCTTGACAGTGTGGTGAGAGCCGGTGTCATCGTGCTCAGCCTTGCCCAACTGCCAAATCACATCGGCACATGCAAGAGTTCGATTTCCTTGGTAGGGCTGTTTGTCAATATCGACCATACCCAATTGTACTCGTCGCGGGACGGAATGCAGCTTCGGGGTGACCAGTCTCTTCATCATCGGGAAACGGTTGTCGATGAACTTATCCAAATTCACCGGTATTGTGGCGGAACATAGGATGAGTTGTTTAAGCGAAGGCGCGGCTCGGTCGATAATGCCCAACGTGGTGTCTCTAAAGGAACGATCGAACAAGGAGTCAGCTTCATCGGCAACAATATAGTTGACCTTGCTAAGAATATGGGACTCTTTCTCCGCTATGCTCGAGATCAAATGGGGAGTTGAGACAATGATATCAACACCTTTGGGGTTGAAAAGCCTGCTTCTGATCACAGTAGGTGTATTTGAGGATGAGATGCCAGCGGTTCGGTATTTGACTGTATGTGCCATAATCTTCGCGACCTTGCTTATCTGATCGACAAGTTCCGAAGAAGGCAGAAGTATGAGAGCCCTCGGACGTCCGGTGGTAGACTCGGGATCTTGCTGGTCAGCCAATTTGGGCGGCTCAACCTCAAATACGTGCTCATCGTGTTTTCTTCGTTCCTGCGCCTTTGCCTTCTGCTCAGCCTGGACAATCGCTTCTGCTTTCTCGAGATCTTCATGGTTCTTGATATGGTGAATGATAGGTAGCAGATAAGCTAGAGTCTTGCCCGAGCCAGTCTCGGCAGCTAAAAGGAATTTATCGTAATTGTTTTCTCCTGTCTTCTTGCTCTTTTGCATCTCACCCTTTCTACTCAACAGAGCTGGAATGGCCAACTTCTGAGCCGGAGTTGGGTCAATGTATTCAAGGTAGCCTAGCGCCTGATTCCTCACAGCATCAATAACGTCTGCTCGTAGGTTTAACTGCTCAAACGTCTCGATCTTGTCCAGCTTTTCTTGGAGCGAGGTCCGGGCCGAGTATGATAGAGGAGCGAGAGCAGTTTGCATTTTGAGGGCATGAAATAGTGGTCGGTCATCTTTGTTCTTCACCACGTATTTGGCTGGCCTTTTCTGCTCTTCTTCTACCTTGGCTGCTCTTGTTATTGCCTTGTCCTGAATCGCGCGCAGTCGAGGACCCGGGTCTATCCTGTTCATTCCCGCAAATGGACTCTCATTTTCCTTCTTTTTTGGACTTTTGGATACATCGTCAGCAAGTAACATGCGTGCTGGTCTGCGCTTCTGCTTCATCGCTGAAGCCCAGCGCTTTTGAGTACGCCATGATTGCGTCGGGCGCAGTGTAGAAGCAGGTTCCGAGACACGCGCGAGAGCAGGCAATTGACAGCTTAGACACAATGAAGGTTTTGACATTAGTTCTATAGGGGATCAACGAAAACGAAAGAGGCCAACCTGAAGGCACATGCAACCAAGGAGAAGAGACTGAGGCCTGAGGCAAAAAGAAAAAAGAAGGACGAGGCAGCCAGGCACAACCTTGCTAGCGCGTGCATAAAGTTGGAGAGAGAGCCAGTTGCCCTTGACGACCGCGACTTCTTGTGTTGTGTGTTCCGCTAGCCTCGAGGGCAGTCCCACCAAACTTCACATGATCATATGAATTGATAGTGGTCGCTTCCAGGTCGCCTATCACCTTCACCACCTTCATGATCAGCACTTCACCGTCATCCAGTCACTCATTCGAGGAGCAATAAGTGCAGCTGGACTGCTCTGCATAATTTAAATTGCCTCCAAGGCAAACATTCCAGCTTGAGCATTGTTACTGCCTTCATGGTCTAAGCTCATCTGGCAAACATTGCTATTGTCCTGCAGTCCAGTCAAGATGGCTGCGCAGTCTGTAAGTCATGGTTCGAGGCCTGCGTACTGTTTGTGAGTGGTAGCTAACTCGCGCTTTGACACAGGTCGTCTCTCCACTGCGCGTGCAGAAAGGCAGCAACAACTCGTCGCCGACCAAGAACATGAGCTTTGTGCAGAACAGACCGCTCTCAGAGTTGAGTCCGATGGCTCTGCGCAGGAACTCACCTAGTTTTCCTCGAGTAGGTGACCACCAACCATTGTTGTAACCGCAGAAGTTGCTGACAGCTCGCAGAATAGTTTGTCTAAGCATGAATCGTCTCCATCCACATCATCACCATATAACAATACAACTTCGCCCCGCATGTTGTTCTGGCAGGGGCGCGATCCCAACTCTCCTTCCAGCGAAAATCGTTCGCCCCACGATAACATCTCACCTAACAAGCGATCGTCGATAGAAAACCTCAAGCGGGCTTCACGGGTTAAGAACAGCTCGATGTTCGCTCGTGAGCAGCAGATCAACTACGATCCATCAGACCCAAAGATTTTAGACGGAAAACCACTTCGTACTTCTATTCAAGGCAATGCCTTTCCTGGTGGTGCTCTATTCAGCGTCAGCATCACAAGCAACACAAGCAACGGCACTCCATCAACCAGGCCAGAAGCGCCATTATCAATCGACGGCAAGTCACCCACTAAGAGTATTACTCCGCCTGAAAAGCTCGAGTCCTCTCCCCTCAACCACATTGCACCACTATCTCCGAGCAAGACACTAGGATCGCCTACAAAATCATCTCTTTCCAAGAGAACTGGTGCAAATGCACGAAAACACGCCTTTGATCCGTCGACTGGTATTTGGGAGGATGAAGACGATGGGGAAGAAAAGCGACTGCCTGAAGGCCGTGGTCTGCATCGACATGCCAAGAGCGTCACCTTTGATCAAGCTCCTCCTCAAATCAACGAGTATGAGATGACTACTCCAGACCCTTCATCTGTGGCCTCAGGTTCGCGCGAGGGTAGTTATGAATCCTTCGACGACGATGAAGAGGAAGATTACAGCTATGAGCGAAGCTCCTCCTTCGACCCTCATGATGATAGTTTCGATGCTTCTCTTGAGGATACTGAGAAAACTCCAGTCGTGCTACCTGAGGACTGGCGCTTCATGAGCCCTGAGACTGCCAATACAGACCTTGTAAGGCACCAGGAGGACGTCTTCGACGACCATGTCGGTTCGCCAGCTCCAGAAGCAAGACCGGGCTCGACCCCTGCTCGGCCGCATCAGTCAAGTGCACAATCTGTTGACTCGAATGGTCAGGCACGACCTCTGCCGCCACTACCTCCTCAAATGACCGCAGATGCTGGCAGGGTGTCTTCGCACCCGGACAGTCTCTCCGGCACTTTTGAACGCATGAGTGGTTCTCATCGAGCTTTGCCATCTCCTCCACCTGCCGCAGTTGTCACAGTCGCAGAGATTCGCCAAATGAGCAACAGCACCTTATCCTTGGAAGACCGCCTGAAAATCATGGCTCTTGGTGATACCACTCCTCAAAACTCGGATGCTGATGTGCAGCGGGAACGAAAGATGCGAAGAGCCGTATCCAAAGAGTCTAGCCCAATACGTGACCAGTACAAGGAAGGCGAACTAGACGGACAAGTTCACGATACCATTGAGAACTCTAGTGCTGAGAAACCCGTGAATCGACGTTTGTCTCGTGACTTCATCACCCAGCAGCTGCGAATGCAAGACGACATCTCTCGCTCCAATAGCGTGTACTCAAATGTTACCATGGATCCAGATGTGCCTATCCCGTCAAGAGAAGATCCCACTCAAAAATTTGAGGATGAATACGAAGACGATAGTATCGTCATCAAGGACGAGCCTGTGGATGACGACGACCTGTACAAGATCCCAGACATGTATAGAAAGACGAGCTCACAATTGGACGCCGAAGATGAGGAGTCGAGCCAATACTCACAGTCAAGCATTCAACACTCTGTCGAACTCAATGCAGAAACTCCTCGTGCTCGCAGCCCGCAAAATGTGCCAGACACGGCTATACCAGCAGAAAGGGTCTCTCTGCCTGATTTTGCCGATTTTGGTCAGGAGAGAGATCTCGACTTTGGCCTCGGTCAATACATTGTTAGAAAGACTGAAGAGCCCACTAAGCACAAAGAGCTCGCGCTGCCGGTGTCAGACATCCCCGAGCCAGACCTACCAGACTTGGCTGTACTTCGACAAGAAATCGCACGACCTTTTACTCCTGATCCCGAACTAGAGCCACCCAGGCCTTCATTTGCACAGGAAGAAATGTCCGAGCCTGGTACACCTTCTTCTGTCATCCGCCATCCTATCGATCGGTCTACAACCCCAGAGATGGATGAAAACGACACTTCCTCTCTGACCAAGACCGATTCCGATACGGGTTCGCTGCCCTCTGTTGTAGTGGATGAGCCCATGACAGAGCTCAACAAGGTCGCCTCGCCGCCATCACCTGGAGCGGGAGACGATTTCACCCAGGTACAGCCCCAATCTGCACATCACCCCCAACCGGAAAGAAAACGATCTGGCAACCGCGTCAGCAGTCTCGTACAGCTTGATTTTACTAGAGACGATTCGAACGGTGACCTTGGTCTTGGTTTGGAAAAAGAATTTGACCGCGTTCTGGAATCCCAAAAGGTAGCGTTTGAAACCTCCCTGAAGACACTCTATTATCCCTTTAATGGTCGCTTCCCGTCTGCCGAGTTACCTGATGCGAAGGAACGAGGCACACGGCATTTAGCCCCCATTCCCCTTTTGCCCAAGCCCTCGAGTACAAGAGCCCACTTTCCTCAATTGCACAGTACTGACGGATTTGTTCCCAAACAGAGAGGCTATCTGATGAGACAAAACACAAAGATAGTCGTTGCGACAGAACGCATGTCGGTCGAGGAACCACGATCACCAACTACAAGCGAAGCCCAGATTGGCTTGTCAAGCCCTTCTGCTCCCGCGAACGAGGTCGTGATCTCACCACGTAAGATTAGTCAACCTGCGTGGGTTGCTGAGCCATGGAACAATAAATCCAGAAGACGAAGTATCCGGGTCAATGGTGAGCAACAAAGCCCAAAGCGCAAGCCGGTGGAAGGCCCTGTTCCTCCTCTGCCAGGACAACCAAGTAACGTGGGCCACGATCTTGGTGCTGTGGCCGAAGATGAGCTTGCAGAAGAAGAGGCCGAAGAATTCGAGGATGGCGCCGAACGAGGCAGACTCTTTGTCAAGGTTGTAGGAGTCAAGGATTTACAACTGCCATTCCCTCAACGTAAGCCAACCCGTGCTTTGGGTCAAATCGCTGCTGACCATCGTGAAGAAGAAAAAACTCAGTTTGCCTTGACCCTGGACAATGGTCTTCATTGTGTGACCACATCTTGGCTTGACCTCGCCCGTAGTGCACCAATTGGTCAGGAGTTCGAGCTTGTTGTGCTCAACGACCTGGAATTCCAGCTCACTTTGCAGATGAAACTCGATGAGCCACCAAAACCAGTATTGCGACCTGAATCTCCTACCAAAGCTCCTGTATCGCCTAAGAAGCAAAGTGCTTTTGGTCGATTCTTCGGCTCACCAAAGAAGAAGAAAGACTCAGAAATATTCCCACCCGAGCCTCAACCTGCGAAACGACCAGTAACACCTCCTTCAGCCTATGAACTCGTGCAGGGAATCGTCGCCAAAGACGGCTCCTTCGCAAGGGCATATGTGTCGCTTAGCGAATATGAGAAGCAAGCCTTCGGTCGCCCAGCCACAGTAGACATCAAATGCTTCAATGAGTGGGCTATGGAAGAGGTCGCGGTCGGTAGCTCTCGTAGCAAGAAAGGCGTTGTCAAGCTTCAACAACGACCACCTTATGAGATTGGCAAGCTTGAACTCCAACTCTTGTACGTGCCAAAACCAAAAGGTGCCAAGGACGAAGACATGCCAAAGAGCATGAATGGTGCTATTCGAGCTATGAGAGAAGCAGAAGAGCAATTGAAGCAGCAAAGCGAGATCAGGGAGTTTGAAGGCTATTTGAGTCAGCAAGGCGGTGATTGTCCTGTAAGTCTACATCAGCCTTTTTTCTGTCGTCCTCACTAACATTTGCAGTACTGGCGACGACGATTCTTCAAGTTGGTTGGTACAAGACTAACTGCTTATCATGAGACGACGCTTCAACCTCGAGCTACCATAAATCTTGCGAAAGCCGCCAAGCTTATTGACGATAAAGCTGTTTTAGCGCAAAAAGAAGTGTCAACTCGAAAGGGTGGGCGTAGGAAGAGTGCCCTTAGTGAGGACGAGCATGGTGCCCTGCTGCCACTAGCATTTCGGTTGCGCTTCAACAATGGAGAAGTCATTGATTTCTATGCCGACAATGCAACAACCAAAGATGATTGGATGGCTGCACTTTCGGAAGCTGTTGGCAAGCAGGTTGTCCAACCATCTGGCGGACCAATTAATGGCTGGACGGACATGGTACTCAAGCGCGAGAAGAGCACGAAGGCAAAATCAAAGCCTTCCAAGCCTGAAGCTCCTCAAAGAAAATCCAGCAAAGACAAGGACCTGCCTGCCCGGCCAGCAGTCGATACACGACACAGCTATCAAGGTGCTATGATGGCTGGCGCTCTGCAGAATTCGACATCGACGAGACCGCCAAGCTCGCTGCCACGACCTTCAGGTCATGCCAGAACAGAGAGTTACCATGCCGATGCTGGAGCGTCTCGCAGTCAAGCCAGCAGTCCCACCAAGCAGGAGAGGCATCGCAAAACGATGTCCATGTGGAGTTGAGCAGTCGGCATTCTTTCAACGTGAGAATGTATTAATGAGGCGTTTTTTTTCCGTTTGAGCGGCAACGAGATGGTCTAATGAGGATAAGGAGGGCGTTGATGCTGCACACAATTGGCTTATGGCTTTGTTAGTTAGGATGGATTAGGCTGCACATGGTATTGTCCTGACCATGGAATCGGTCTTGTGGGGCAGAGAGTGCTTACAACGCACATCTGAAAGTGAATAGACCAACGACGAAAAGTTCATCATTGACTGCTGCTTTTTGTGTATGTTGCTTTCCAGTCTTTGAGACTGATCTTCTTGCCAACAAGAGCATGAAGATGGTCAGTCACGTACTACTAGGCTCACCTATGTGCGTGCATAAAACAGGCTGATTAGCACTATTTGTTGTACCGAAGATTACATGTTTTATTCGCGTCGTGCTCAAAAATACCTATGTGCGATGTCGAAGGTGCGGTCAATCCGTCAATTATGATTTTCTGCGAAGTTTATTCGGTCAGTACACCTCGTCATTGACACGTCATTTCCACGCCATTACAAAGTTGATATAGGTTATTGAATTACATGTATTTAATACTCTTCGCGTATTACGTATTGTTTGTAACGAAATTGTCTGGTATGGTATATTCTCGGAAGCATCCAACTTTCAGCGAGAGCTGTTACAGACCACGACCATGCCTGTAACTTTCAAGATACCAAGGTGTTTTCCGAAATACTGATCAGCAATTGATGAGTGGGTCGTATGACCCTCGCTCATGGTGGCAGTAGTTAATGCTTCTCGTCCCTCACGAAAAGCTACTGGCGATCAACGTGTTCACCAATCCCGCCACGGAGAAGCTGAAGTCGAGGCAGTGGGAGTAACTGTATCGGTGACTGCGACGGTTACAGTCTCGGCGGGCTGAGTGACAGGGTCGGTAAAAGTTGTAGTCTACATGAGATTAGCTGACGAGCTGCTGGTAAATGACTGGCAGATTTGCTAGTCTGTGAGCTGCTAAACAACTTACCTGGACTTGAGTTTCGACCTGTGTCTGAGTTTGCACTTCAGACAGAGTCGTGGTTTGAGTTCCAACTTCGGTATCAGTCTCCGTTGCAAAGATGGTGCTGTAGGCTGTCGAGAAGATGGTCGAGTAAGTCGTGCATATGCCCCAGGTTTGCCATTCGTCTTGTGCCTGCATCGCAGCGGCTGAAGCTGAAGCAGCTAGGGCGAGAATGGCAAAGAACTTCATGGTAATTGGGCTTGTAGCGGTCGCCAGAATTGGTTATCGAAGCAATGGCAGTGATGTTGCTGTATGTTCGACGATGGAGTAAGAGGTGACCATCGGGTGTTCTTACAACTATATGTCCCTCTGGAGCTTCGCCTCTCGGTCGAGCTGGTTGCTTGCCACCGATTATACTGATCCGTATAGCAATCATCAACACATCCTCGCTTCGCTTATGCGTGCAACCTGCATTTGTCATTGAGACACCTTGCCAACGTCGTCAAGTTGTGTTTTGACTGAAGACACACACTTATAGTCGAAGTTATCGACGCTGCTTATCAATGGCTCTGCCTATGTTCCAACATGGGTGTGTACAGGCATCAAGTCGATGGCATGGGAAAGTTGGGCGTGCTTGCGTAGGTGAGCTGAGTCGTTTGCCATATTCGAAGCTTGATGACTGAGGTGGTTAGACTTGCTTCCCTGGCGGTGATGCCAATCGTCGAGGCTATCCTAGCTGCTTTGCACGATTGTTGATAGCACGTTGGTGTGCACTTTTCTTGCTGTATTTGATTTTATGTTAATTTCTCGTCGTCGTTGGGGATATCACACCAATGGCCTAGACAAAGACTCTCCGGCTCTTGGTCGTCGCAGAAAATGTGCTTCAGTGTTCAGAACCCAGTCGTCTAGACTCCAGTCGTTGGGCTCCGAGAAGATTAGATAGAAGTATTTCAAGGTTTCAGCGAGCCAGAATGACTCCATCCTATCACTTTGAGCAGGTGGTTTGACGCCAACATTCGATAGACCAGCGTATGCGATTTCTGATCTACAAACTTTATCAATACTGTTCCACATTCGCCATGCAGTATCGAGATATTCGCGGTCCCCAGTAAGGCGATATAGAATGAAAACGCTTTCGATCGCTTCAGGACGCAGGATATATCGGTTGTCACCCCACTTGGTATACCCTGGTGTCAGTGAGTGCTCCTTGACAATCTCCTTGCCGAGCTCCGACAACGTCTTGCCAGGACTGGGCTTGGAGGTACCGTTTTGCCTAGCGACAGCCTCCAACCATCTTTCCTCTGACCAGTCACATTCATTGGCCAGAGCATCATCGATGCCGTAATGACATGGCGCGATATGGAACGTTTCGGGCATGAGACCTGTAGGTGTCGAATTGTAGGCCCAAACGCAGCCATCCACCAGCCGTCTCGCCACAGATAGGTCATTGGGTGAGTCGAATATTCTTGCAGCAATACCAACCATGCCGCCTGTGAAGCAGGTTAGATGCTGACCCTGAGGCTCAGTATTGACGTTGAGCTGCTCGTCCAAGGCAGCATTACCACTAAAGAGAATATCCTGGTTGCCAGGAACGAGAGGTCGGTAAAAGAGGAACTTTTTGGCAGCAGTAACCATTTTCTTGTACATGTCACGATAACGTTCGTCCAAGCCACCAAGGAGCATGCACTGCTTGGGTAGGTACTCGGAGGTCGAGTCAGCCATACCACCTAGGGTGAAGTGGTTGTAGGTGAACGTGGCATGTTCGGCGTCTACGAGGGTCGGCCAAAGACCTGGGATCTTTGTATTAACCTGGTCCTTGTACAACAGTTTTGTAATTCTTTCAACGGCATCAAACCACTTGGCGTCCCCAGTAAGCTGTGCCAATCTCGTGAATTCGAGGGTCATACTGCCGAATTCGGCCAGAAGAGTATTCTTGCTAGCTTGCAGAGCTGCACCAGAGGCCGACTGCCTCCAATACCATCTAGTGACCGGTAGTCTATTAGGCGTGTCAAAAGTGATATAGAGGATATTTGCGAGTTCGACGGCCTTTTCGAGGATGATAGGGTACTTATGGTCAGATAGATCGTAGGCGCTCAAGAAACCTCCAAGGTAACGGATCGTGGTTTCGAAAACGTTGATGTACTCCTCCGTATTGGTTGTGAAATCAATGTCTCGAATAGCCTCAGTGCATAGCTCGAACTCTTCCTTCAGACCCATGATCCACAATGTTCCCATGGCATCTACTAAAGATGCTCCCCATCCACCGAACGGATTGCGATATATCCCTGACAGAGGAGCGACCTCGTCTTGCTTCCAAGCAAACTTCTTGTAACCTTGCCACGAGTGGTCGAACGCATGCTTGATTGTCGCAAGTCTCTCAAGTCTTTCGTTTCTCTGGGCCTCGGTCTCGGAATCGAAGACATGCTGTATACGTGGAAGCTGTTTGGCAGGACCTGAAGGAAGCTGAGCAAGGCTTGTGACAGGGTGTCTCTCTGGTCGAACTTGTAGTCGAGCATTCGGCGAAATAGGTATGATCAACGGCGTTCTCAGGTGGTGGTAGGCGTAGTAGAGCAACAAACATATGGCTAGGGATGGCAGAAGCCATAATCTCCTGGTCAACAGCATCTCCAGGGAACTCGTGCAGGGCGGCCAGCCACTGTATCGACGAGTCAAGCTACCATGAATCTTTGGTTTGCTTCTCCAGACGAATCCATGCGCGGGAGTGGAGTTGCGGAATAACCCCCAAAGAGCTTAAAGTTTCAGCAGCTCGTTTAGCTCGATCAACCCTTAACTCTAGCGCTGTAACCCGCAAACTTGAACCTGGAGTTCAACTACTAGCACGTCTTTTGCTCAACTGAATTTATAGCGCGTAATGTTCACAATCTTATCTGTACTCACATGATTGATAACCATTGTCCGGTGTTGTTTGGAAATCGGAACTTTTTGTCCAATGTGTATAGTTACGCAAAATACCCGAATACATCTGAGAACGCCCTCGAAGAGCAGGCGTAATGTCAATCACAGGGTAACACAATTGCGAGCTGATACCTTGACTTCTTACTAACAGATATTAGTGTTTGTTTGCTCACGCCTCAAGCAGGTAATACATCAGCCTATCCCAAGCTGCTGGCACACTTGTCTCGTCATTTCCCTACGCAGGAGCACGAACACTTTCACCTAGATTATCGGCTGTTTTCGGACACGACATCTCAACTTCCAGGAGCAGATGTACAGCAGAGAGCGTTTACTCATATTCTGACATTGTCTCATGATACAAAGCATGCCTATGTGAGAAGTACCAAGGTCGGAGATCCCGACCAAGGCTCAATGATCACGATACCACCATCGGCGGCTGATAGCTTCGCTGGACTGGTACAGACCAAGATGCAGTCTGCATGGTTCCCTCGACAGACGTCGAGCGTCGAAAGTGGTGTCTCCGTGTCACTACTGAACGATACAGTGAGATTGTCGATTGGCGACGTCAAGCAATCTACGAGATCACAAGGTGCTGGCACCCTACGAGGCACTATCATTGAGCTCTGCAAAGTTACCAACGATGAGCAAAAAGACTGGCCTACCTCATCGGAGGAAGCTGACCAGGCAGCAAATATGCTCCAAGACCTGCTGAGACAGATCTTCCATGGCATAGAAGAGGACTTCGGGAACGTCAAGTTCACAGTAAGCCCAACATTGTCTATTGACCACTCTTCTGGCTATGGGAAGACAAGTGCTCCCGATTGGGATATGCCCAAATTGTACATCACTGTGCTTCGAGGTCAAAGGTGAGGTTGAGTATTGGTCAGTCGATATCACCTCATTTGTGTCGAAATTAACACTTAACTTACGGTGTTGCTCGAGAATAAACCTATACAGAGGAACACTGTCTTGCATTTTCTTCGCACCAGCAGCACGTTAGGGAAACACCTGGGCAAGTCAACCGGTATGCAACAACATCGATTTTCAGACTATATACGAGAACGCAGAGAAGCAGTCCTAAAACGGTAAGGTGTGCTTCTCGTGTCTTTTCCGCCGTCATCAACTTGGAGTCGGCCCAGACACTACTACTTTCAGAAAGACTGACCACGGTCGCGACTATAGTTAACAGACACACTTTTAGGAATACTGGAACCACAGCGCCTACAATCCACTCAAGGGGTCAGAGCAGCTACTTTGTTTCCTAAATCGGTGCCTTGTGTCTCTACCCATTTATCCATCCGAACTTCAAGAACCACGTATTGCAAAGACCACCAACTTCATGGCCCTTCGGGTCTTAACTCACCCCTCAGCTCTACCTTTCCTAACAACATTAATCGGCACAGGCGGCCTCACAGTCGGCATCTTCAGCTTCATCGACCCCATCGCCGCAGCCCGCATCTACGGCATCCCTGTCCCTAACTCAAAGCCAACCATAACCTCCATCTTAGCCCCCAACCCCAGTACCTTCTTATTACCCACAAACAGATCTTCCTCCAAGGAACCAACAGCTCGCGAATTAGCTCTGGTTCACGCCCTCGGCATCCGAAATCTCACAGCAGGATTGACCGTTCTCACTCTGACTGGATACTGGTGTCTCCTTGCAGCGCCAGAGTCTGTGGATGACGCTGTCAGAGCAGCGGTACAGCAAGTGCTTGGTGTTGTAATTTTGATCGGTGCTCTAGTCCCTATGGTTGATTCTTGGGTGTGTTGGGACCGTTGTAGGGACGTCTATTTAACGAGAAGAGCTTCTTATGAAAGTGAGAAGAAGGAAGGTCAGAGCGAGGGGCAGAGTAAAAGGAGCATGTGGAATGGACACGATGAGGATGCAGAAACATACACGACCAGTACGAAGGCTGCTGTCTTGCACGCTGCGAGGTCGTTAGTGTGGCTTGCTGGCGGCATTTGGTGCCTCGTTGCTTAACTTTTATTATCTTAAATCAACTGTGCGGCACAAGAGAAACTCAGCAGAATATTTCAGATTCTGGTTTTGCATGAAAGCAAAGAATATGCAGCTAGTGCGCGAGTAACTAGCTATAGCTATCTAAATATCCAAACAAATGGCTGAGATATAATGCTGCAAATCTCCCGATTCGGTCGCAGAGCCGTTCTTCGTGCTTCATCAAATGCTCGTATATACACAGCGGGCTGCGGTGGTCGTGTGTGTCGATATGTTGGAAATAGCAAAGCTGGGTCGAATGCAAAGAAAGCTGGAAATCGTCGGCTGCCTTGTTGTTCGCGAATTGATCGGAACGGAAAGGCAAATGTATATGTCAGAGAACCAATGTCGATACGACAGATGTGCAATAGACAAGTGTCACGATCGACTGAGCGTCTTAGGGCATGTTTGGTGGAACTGTGGACCATCTTGTTGATCGTTCTGTCTGTCGTTAGCCTTAATTCGACGCAAGACACGAATATCTTACCGAGCACAACAAGATCCTGCTTCGTGCATTGTCGAAACATTTTGTCCTCTCTTGTGTTCGTCGAAAACTGCCCAGCTGATCTCCTGTTGACTAGTGTGGATGCTGATTCTGTGTCAGTAGCCCGACTCTCCTTCCTGCGCCTAGCTAAAAAGGATGCTACCAGGCCACCAAATATAGCAGCAGAACCACCCGCGCAGATAGCTCCAGCCGAGCAAAGCGCAAGCAATCTCAGGTCTTCGATACTGATGGGTATGTCGGACAACGAAAATGGCAAATTGTACGCAACAGACCAGATCAGACGCGTAAGAACTTCCCAACGTTAGCATGTGTTATTCCAGCAGTTATAGAGCTCTTACCATAGATCAGAGAAACAACAGTCGCTAGACGTGGCCGTCCAAAGAGTAAAAGGAGAAGAGAGGGTACGCAGAAGAGCAAAGCGTATGTCGCTTCGGCTCGCATGCGTATGAAGGCTTGCTGAATTCGATGCATATTCTCAATCCATGAGGTTGGTACAAGATCTAGGGTCTGCTTGATCTGATGAAATTGGCCATGGCTGTCTTTGATGATCTGGAGAAGATTGTAACTATCGCTCAGCTGTTCTTTAGCAATCTGGTTTTGCATCGATTGTGTTTCGGCGAACTCAGCGGCGGCTGCCTGACCAAGACTCATACCTTGCTGTATCTTGTGCATTTGATCATCGATGTTGAGGTCAAGTAATCTTTCGACGAAGTTGCTGGCTTCCCTTGTCATGGTTGCGACACTAGTTTCAAAATTGTAGGTCGTGCCAGAGAGGGCTTCGGCGGCTGTAGCGTAGAGCTCGGCAAAACTCACCTGCACATTGCTGACTTTGTCGTTCATCAGAGCCAGATCCTACTTAAGTTAGTACGGTTCGTACAACAAGTAAGAAGGTATATACGGTAACGGCTTGCTCAACTGCTTCATTCATGCTCGCCCGCCACGACTTGCCAGAATCCTCCACCACCGCCATGTAGGATTCCACGTATTGAGACATCTGGCGCAGATATTCTTTCGACTGTTCCGTTTGTGCGTGGTTAGAAGTGATCACGTTGTGTTGTGATTCCGCAATGTTGGTTGCCATTTCTCGAAGGTCTGACATGGCGAATTGGATCTCCGAATGATGGCCTTTGAGGGCTTCCAAAATCTCCGGAACCACGTTCGTGGCTTGTCTGTAGGTCTCCAACAACTCTTCCCGTTGGTAATCCACACGTGAGGAATCACAAAGATCGGCAGACTGTGCACGAAAGGCAATATAGCTGGTCCAAGACGCAGTATCGAAAAGCTCGTTCATGCAATTTTGGATGTCAGCCGAGCGTGCGATCACGATAGAGGAGTCTGGAGTTGGATGATCAAGCATAGTCTCGAAGACGTAGCAGGCTGATGGAATGGAGACCTGTGCTTGCCGTGCCTCGCAAAGCGCCATAGAGATGCCGTATGTGGCCTGGACATTTGCTTTCTGCTGATCAGAAGTCGGATCCTGTGTCTTCGGCTTGATCAATTTGCATTGCTTCAGCAGTCGAGCGGTGGGTCCATACGTGCAAGATGAGGATGACGACAAGTCCTGTACGATGCGCTTCGCGTTGACCAGGGATTGGATCTCGGAACCGCCACGAGTCGTGAGAAGGCTGGATATGCTTTCGAGCTCACTGGGATGATCGCAGGCATTTGCATCAGCCCAACCTATTTCGTCAGTCTTATGCTTGCAGCTTGAGTAGTTGACTATACCAGCTAAGATATCTGGCGCGGCTGATACGTGAAGGAAGCAAGCTGCTAATAGCAAGAGTACCGTCAGCTTGCTTGCTGATCTGAGAAGGTAGTTCGTCATGGTAGTGTGACTAGATCTGCATGTTCTGTAGATCGGGGACCGCTGAGGGTTGGCAGGAGTTGGGTGTCTGGCAGGTTTATGTCTCGATCCAGAAGATATAAAGACAGGTTGACGACGTCCAGTGGAGCTGTAACTTACCGTCGATCAGAAGGCTTCACCGACCGGCGACAACTCTATTGAATCCTACGAATGTTAGCTGTCACCTGCTTCGTGTTTCAGCCGCTTATTCGGATTCCAGTCGAGCATGTGAGACCGCGATCTGTATGAATCACGACGGCAGGACGCATAGTGCAATTGTGGAGCTGGAGACACTTTCATGGTTTTTCTTTCTCAATTCTCAAATTGTCTGCTTCAATTGTAGAAGAGGAAGGAGCGCGTAAGATTCTGGACGAGTAGCTCTTTCCTAGGATTTCGCGTTAAGTGCACCATACCCTTTTTGGCACAAGTGCTATCGGTGCAGCTTCGGTCGATTCAAGTTGACCATCGAATTATTTGGTTTGTTCTGATCACTTCGCTCATCATCAGTCGCAATATATCCTTGGTCTCGTCGTTGTCGCAAATCCATAGAAGAGCCATCCTGAGTCTACGATCAACAACATGGCGTGTAGCGCTTCTCGGCAACCACTGAGATGCCTATTGCAAGAAGCACGGTCGAGGCAGGAGGTCTTAAGCTGTCAAGTACCTGTGCTGTCGCGAAGAGCATTCTCGACGTCGAGCTCATGTTCATCGCGGATAGGCATGGCTCCAGTAGCCATACCTCCCGATGTTAACGTGCGTTTCTTCAATCTCCCACGAGCGAACGCGTTAGGCCGTCATATAGACAGTCCCACGTCTGCCATGGAAGTGGTAGGACCTCAAGGTTCGTGAATGAGACTCACCAAAGTGAAGTCATGGCTAACTCAATTCCAGGTCAACTGACTGTCAAATTTCCTGCCTACATTGTCACTCAATATGATGAACCTGATCGAAAAGTAACAATCTCGGTTGCAGATCCAGAAATTAAACATCAGAAGTCGATGTGGGGTATGACGGTGATAGGATTGCTGTAGAACTTGACTCTGACTGTATTGACAGGCACAATGCGATCGCACGTACAAAACTCAGTTTCCGGGGTGTCTGAAGGTCACATCTGCATTCTCCGCCTAGTGGGTGTAGGCTACCGAGCTACAATCGAGGACAAGGCCATTACCAAGAAGCCCGAGTACGAGGGACAAAAGTTCGTGTCTTTGAAATTGGGCTTTGCACACCCTGTTGAGCTTGGTGTACCGAAAGGTGTCAAAGCAACAGTACCGCAGCCTACAAGGATACTGCTCGAAGGACCTGAGAAGCACGATATAACACAGTTCGCCGCAGACATTCGCAAGTGGAGGCGACCTGAGCCGTACAAGGGGAAGGGTATATTTGTCAACGATGAGACCATAAGGCTGAAAGCTAAGAAGATCAAATGAGCTGGTACAATTTTGTCATTGGCGGTGGTTGCAGTATTATATTCATATCGACCAGGCTACCACGCATATATTCGGCAGGACTGCTACTTAGCAGAAAGAACCTCACTCACAGCTGCCAAAACTTGCGCATGGATGTCGGCTGGAGTTGCAACGACACCCTTGTTTTCTGTAAGAGTACGACCGAGGCTGAAGTTGAGCCGTTGGCCGTGGATATCAGTCACTTGCCCACCAGCTTCTCGAACGATCAGATCCCCAGCAGCGTGGTCCCAGATTTTCTCCACGTAATCTTTCCTCACGGGCAAGCGGAGGTAGATATCACCTGCACCTCGAGCAACAGATCCGTATTTGGCTTGAGAATCCATCTGTACTGGTCGACCTGTCACGCCAAGCTTCTCTGCAATTGCAGCATTGTCACCTTTGCTGGAGTGACCAGCTTCGACACTCTCGCACATGACAGCTTGAGTGACATCGGTCACCTTACTCACAGAGATTGAGTGGCCTTGTGACACCGAACCTTTTGTCAATGGTTGACTTCGAGCTCCCTCACCTTGGACAGCCGAAAATAACACACCATAGCCCTCCGCATCAGTCGCAGCGATGCCCATGTCCTCCTTCAATGGCTCTGAGTCTTTGACGGGTAGATTTGGGCATCCAAGCACACCTACCTTGACATCACCATCGACCATGAGGGCCAAGCAAACAGCATATTGGCCACCTCTTAGAAACCCCTTCGTGCCGTCTATGGGATCAAGGGCCCAAATGCGGCCTTTGCTTCCTCCGGCACTGTTACCCGCATCAATAGCCTGTAGCATTTCATCCTCACTCCGAATTGGTCCTCCTAGGATGGCATCGCTATCGGAATCCGACAGCTTTGTATCCTTGACCAGATTCCAGATCTTCGAACTCAGGTCTTTCTGCTCCCGTAAAGACGATGCTTCTTCCTCGCCCACCACTTCGTCTTGTGGAAAATTATGCTTGATAGCACAAATAATCAAGGCTTGAGCGCCATAATCGCCAATAGTAACAGGTGATTTGTCTTCCTTCGAGATCGTGCCCTTAGCTTTCTCTGCGAACACTGCTTTGGTAAGGATACTAGCACGAGCAACGGCAAGCTGAGCCACTTGCAGTTCCTTCTCAAACGCCATATTGCTAAGTAGCCTTGTATTTGTATGAAGAGAATCACTCAATGTCTTTGTACTGAAGTATGAGAAATGGCCAAGTATCGACGCGGTGCGGCGAAACGATTGACTATGAAAGAAGGAGGCCAGGATGATCGCAATTCCTAACACAAAAATAAATCTACGATACGAGATGGAGGGACGATTCTGGTTTCCCATGTGTTTGAAGTACTCGTCACACAGGTTCAGCAGTGCGACACGCAATATGTTTGACGTGTTTGATAATGCTCCACCGATTGACCATGACCGCAACAGACTATGTCGGCTGAGGAAGAAGGTCGCTCTGTGCAGACATACTAGTATAAGACCAATATGATGTACTAGTAGTGCCTAGCGCCTAGCGCCTAGTCTGCACGAGCATGCTACTCGAGTATGGATGTCAGGCGGGATGGTAACACTGTCAACTCTGTAACTCACCTTGGAGAGCAAATTATCCGCTACCACAGAGTGATACTGATCTTGTGGCTGTCTTGAGGCTATCAGCAGATACAAGTAGACCACTTACGTGCATCATATCGATAGCATGTCTGGCTTATCGAGTTGTGGCTAGGTGGCTGGCTCATGGCGCCCTAATGATTTGGCTAGAGGTGTCTGGCTACAACATAATACTCCGAGTCGACCTCGATGCTTGCAAATTGCCTGGACTTGCGTACCGCAATATCGATAAAGCGTACACCGGTATGACACTACGATAAGCTATCAGGCGTGGCGAGCTTGTTCTTTTGTCTCATGTGGTTTGAGATAAGATGGGTGTTGCACAGGCATACCAGCTCGATGAGAATGGACTTTCCTGCTTCGTCAGATTCATCACAGACCTGCAGGACAACACTGTCTTCGAATGGCACTTTCAATCCGTAATTTCAGTTCTTTGTGCACTTTGGCTGGAGATTTTTACTGCCGATCGGTAGATTTTAGAAGTACAGCCAGCAACTATTCGACTCCAAGGTTGAACGGAATGCCGAGATTGTATTGTCAGTAGCGTGAATTCGAGAACCTTGTTGCACGGTCTGAGATCCAGAACCTTCATTTAAATAGAGGACTACAGAACACTCTGCGGCTGGCTGCTCCCGAGCATTGCCTGCTGAAACGTGGCTTAGGAAAGGGAGAGCTGCTAGCTGTGCCACTACTCCCACTACTTGAGCAAACACAAGACGCGACATATTTTTGTATACAAGGGTGCCAAGCAGTTGCTTTTGCTGCACAATGTGTGGATACTGGTTCGCGTCTCGCCGGTGAACGAACGGCTCTTGATTAGTGGGAACTCTGCAAGCCTTGACACGTTGTCACGCCCGGGTACAAATCTATACAACTCTCACGAGGGGGTCCTCCCCGTCACCGCTAGAGCTTCTGTACGACAAGGCTATGGTACAGGCTGCATATTGACACACCTGGCTATTCATGAAATTTACATGTCGTGTCAAGCCTTCAGTCCTGCTTTCACGTACTATACTGTACTCCAATTAAAGGCTGTCAAAGCATAATACTTGGATCAAGTAAGATTGAAAGACAGCAGTCAGCAAATAAAATAGGCCGAGGCCCGCGAATACTTTCTATAGTGACAGCTTGTTATAACTCTTGCCGGCGCCAAAAACAAACATAAAGGAGGAAGTACAACTGCTGCGACGAAATGGAGCTGTAGGATGCCCATGTGCCCTCAGTCTGGCCTCTCGAAGCACTTTAGGGGCCATCCACAACCGCATCGCTCCCGCACTGCAAGCCACAAAAGCTTTTAGCCTCTGGCCGGGCATCTCTTTCTTCAGCCGCCGAGCTGGCTAGGCTGCGTGCTGCCACACCGCAATCCATGCTCGTTCCCGCTTCCACCTCCCTCCCCCGTCGTAAGCAGGCTGTTTGTTCACCTCCTTTCGCCTCTGCAGACCCGTGGACTCCATGTTTGAGCATACTCGACGAGGCGGTCCACAGAAATGTTCTCTTCAAGCTCGGTAAGTGCTTTTCATATAGCAAGCAGCTCCCCTCCACATGTGCCCTGTCGTTCATGTTCCTGCTTGCCTGCGTCCATACGAAAATGTCGAAGAACCCCCTCAACTGGCTTATTGTCGCTGCCCCAGCTTCCGCCCCAGATGCTTGTATTACCGAATTACCCACCCAGACCCTAAGGTGTAGCCCTCCTCGCCAGGCTATACATCGAAGAGCAGAGTCCGCTCCTCTATTGGGAGATGGCACCCACGATTGTCTGCAATGTACTCGCAAAAGACGTCGTGTATCTGTTGACGCATATCCTACAACTCTACCCACAGTGCCAGAGTACGTCTTCCAGCCCAGAAGACGTCCTCGGGAAAAAGGGCTTCATCGTTTTTGGGTTGAATTAAAGCACGCTGCTATTTGCTATTGCACTTCCAAAAGAAGATATCAGCTATTGACAAGATATCGTTACTCCAAGCAGAAAAAGCCATATACTGCCGTTTCCGTCCATATCGAACAACTCACATCAGAGAGCTACGAAGAAGATGACCTAGCCGGCATTCCCGATCTACTCGAGGTGGTCAAGCTGCAAGCCACAGGACCTTCAGAAGTGGCACGAGGTTTGCGGAAGAAACTCAAGTATGGAAGCGTACATCGACAGCTAAGAGCACTGACTATTCTCGATGGGCTATTACAAAACTGCGGACAACGATTGCAAAGAGCAATACTGACAGATCCACCTCTACAAGAGCGGCTCCGCATTGCTGCAATCGACCCCATGTCAGACGAAGAGGTACGCAAGAAATGTAGGAGTTTGTTTGGTCAATGGGTAGCAAGCTCTACCGAACAGCCAGGTCTTGAAGGAGCAAAATCCCTATACAATCAGTTACCGAAAAAGAAGCAGCCGACAGTTCAACAACGTCGAGATCAGAGTAGAGTTCTGCGCGAGACGGAAGAGGCTGCTCGGCACGATGAAGAGGAGGAAATAGGACGAGCTCGAAGTTCAAGCATTGTTGGCGATTCTACTGCGTCAACATCGCGGATGAGGCATCTTCCTATCAGTCTCTCTTCCTCGTCAACGTTCGGCACGAACAAGGTAAAGAAGGACAAGAAGAGCAAACAAAAGATGTTTAACCTGGAGAAAGAAAGACCAGCTATACTACAGGCCATTGCCGGCTCGTCCGTAGCGTCCTCGAACCTCAACAACGCCTTGAAATTGGTGAACCGTGAGAATAAACGTGTCAGTGATGACGCAGAAGTTATGAAGCGTTTCGAGACTTGCAAAAACTTGCGGCGGCAGATACTTCGTTATATCCAATTTGTCGAGACGGAAGAATTGCTTGGTGGGCTGATAGATGCTAATGAGCGCCTCATCGGCAGTCTGATGGCGTTCGAAGTTATGGACAAAAGTGTCGATGACGACGATTCAGATTCTGAAATGGAGGAAGCAGCACATCTTTCCCGAAGACAGAAGCAAGCAGATGACTCTGCCATCCGGGAGGCCGAGAAGCGTTTCGCTGCAATGGAGGTGAATCCACCTAGCAAGCCTCCACGACCTAACAACATCGCAATGCCGCAACCACCACCATCTATCACTAGAACGAAATCAGTACAGAATGACGAGAGCGAGAGTGATTACGAATCTGACGATAGTGATGATCCATTTGCTGATAGAAATGCTGCACCAAAGACGCCAGACCCAGGCAGTCGAACTGGGTACACCTGGAAAGAGGTGTAAGGCAACACAGTGTGCATTCTGTGAGCGCAAACGAGCTACGATGTGATGATAGCTCTTTCAATCTTCATGAAGATGATTCTCAATTCAGACGTTCTGATAAGCTTTTCTTGTAGCTACAGTGTTTACAGTGTGCATTCGTCGTAGTGACTATGACGCCTCGATCCTTTCGTTTCTGTTCCTGCATGTCACGACCATTATTCTCCACCTTCTGTACCACGAACGATCGAGTCTCGCTCTTCGAGTAATTTACCAAGATCTACCAGTGATTCCAACGCTCCTCTATTGGAAACTTCAGCGTCGCGCTTTCACCTGAATTCCTTCGCAAAAAAGATGTTTCTACTGCTTAGAATGCAACGAACCACGAGCACGAGATCAGTCCCAGCAGATTCTTACGCGAGTGTCTGACGTCTGCGAGCATCGCGAGAGTCTACAAGAGAAGAATCGAAAGTGACGACACGTCCAGGTGCGCCAGCATGTCTCACGAAGAGGTGCGTTACACTTCCTTTGTTTTAACTTATATCTTTGACTCACCAACTGATCGCAGCCTAGAGACTACTCCGCAAATACTGTCCACCACTCGAGGAGTCACTGTTCATTGCCATTGCTAGTGACTACGATTTACGGAATGAAGAACAAGTGAACCAGCTTGACCAATTACTGGCCGACCTGAAAGAGCAGGCAGTTGTCGAACAGGAATTAGAGCTAGCACCATCGTTACAGCAAGAGACCTCGGCGGTCGCTGGAACACAAACACATAGTCGTACAGCCTCTAGCAATCAGAGGGCCAGTACAACCGACCTAGAAGACACGATCGCTAGTGTTACTTCTGGAATATCTGACTTACATCCTTGTCCCAAAGAATTGGACATCAGCCATGTCGAGGGCAAATATACTGAGTTGCCCTACGGTTTGGAAGGTGGCTCGACCATTGATAAACAGAACTGGTTGAAGGACTTGTTCCCGACCATCGAAACTATACAGATAGTGGAGACTCTTGCTAGGTGCAACGGTGACATCCAACGAAGTATTGACGAGCTGCTCAATCTATCATTCTTTCACGACGATGCAGATCGAAACTATGTTCCGCCCTCTGTCCCGAAAGGCGTTGAAGGGTTTGCGGGAGATGGGAAGGTTAAGAAGTCCAAAGGCAAGAAGACTCGCCGGAACCAGGAAACCGATATAGGCTATCTATCAGACGGCGCGCATTCATCAGGCGCTACGACTCCGAGCAATATCTGGCGAAGTGCTGCTGAAGATGTTGAATTCATCGTTTCAAGGACACATCTGCCAATGGCCTTTGTCAGATCCGTTTACCACCAGAACAATGCCAATATAGCGCAGACAATCAGAGCGTTGATCACTCAAGAAGTGGAATCCCATGCATCACAAATCAAAGGTGATGAGCTGCTTGAGCTGCAGGTGGCCGAGTTACGATTCGAACTGGATGCAGTTCCTGAAAAACAAATATATGGCGCTCTCCTGCTCGCGCGAATGATACCATCGGCAGCAAAGGATCTACTGGATGTCACTCTAAAGCGTCCCATGGAAAGTCAAACAGGCAAATTAGTAGCACAATATACTCCTCTAAACTTATCTGAGGACGAGGCTCCGAAGAGGACGGCCAGGCTTTCCACCGTGCCCGGAGATCCTGCTTTGCTGGCAGGTAAGGCTGGTGTGCACTCTGTACAGGCCAGTAAAGCTTTCTCACAAGCCTCCGCAGCATATCGACGTGGAAAATCGGATCACCTCATGGGAGCAGCCGCGGCATATTACGCAGAGATTGGCCACGAACAACGAAAACGACATAAGGAGCTCATCGCGTCAGCCGCAGACTCACTGGTAGGTCAACAATCAACAGCGAACAGTCTCGATTTGCATGGCGTTAGTGTCGAACATGCTGTCAGAATAGCAAGAAACAGTGTCGAGAATTGGTGGGAAAGACTTGGAGATAGAAAATATATCGTTGGCGGAGTCGGTGACGGGTACAAGATCATCGTGGGTCTTGGAACGCATAGTGCTCAAGGCATAGGTAGGATCGGACCTGCTGTAAGCAAGATGTTGATCAGGGAGGGCTGGAAAGTGAATATTCAAAGAGGAGAGGTCTTCGTCGAGGGAAGATCGCGCCGATAGCATCGACAAACGAGACTGTTCACTCTTAACACGCTAAATAGGCGAGACAGGTACAGACATTCAAGTCCTCTCAACTTTTTCTTGTCATGCTACCACTATTACAGGCAGCAACAAGTCTCAACTCGTGTGACGTCAGACTTTCGGCTGGCCGCTCACGTCGACTGTGACACGACTGCCACCTTCACGAGTTTCAGGTTCAGCCATGGAGGAACCTAGGACAAGGATACATATTTTCAAGAGAGTTCTTCACTTCGATCATCCTCAGTTTGCGCACACATCAATCCTGCCGCATCGAGCTTTGTATTGGCCGGAGCAGGACATCCATTAGTGCGGCCCCACTCTGCCTCGTGGCTGTAGTGTGGACCTGCCGCAAAGTTCCGCCTGCCAACTTTTCTCATTCAGTCGGCGATTTCATCCACGAAATTGATACTGTGCGAGACACAAGTTGAGGTGCTGGCCTACGGGATGGTTGATCACTGATTGAGCAACCTCAATTTTCTACCTACAACAACCTTCTTGCGAGAAAAGTTCGCGAGTTGGCTCGATGGTCCGTGCAGATGTGATTGCTCGTTCGATAACGAAAGCAGTCGTGGCATCGGAAGATCCAAGCGCACGTCGTTCCAGGTTGCGGCGTCTACAGCGTTCTTTCGAGGCTCTTTTCACAATCTACCATGTTAGACTGTATCAATATGCTGCAGAACTGTTTCAGCGACTTCGAAGAGAATGGAACATCGATGCCTCTTCGTACACTGATAGCTTCCAGCCTTCACATGACCAGTGGAATGCCCTAAAGGCCAAAAGCGATATGGGTTATTCTGGTTCCACCTTCTTCACAACCCTTGACGACAAGTACATCGTGAAGTCAGTGCCTAGGCACTTCGAACACAGCTTCTTCCGGGACGATCTGCTGGTCCTATACGTCGAACACCTGAGCAAGAACACATCGTCATTGCTAATCAGAATCATGGATTTCTTGGCTGCGGATAGTGCTTACAAGTTCAGTCCTGCCATTCTCTTTGGTTTCGCTCCGAGCCATCACATTGTAATGGAGAATTTGCTAGTCGGACAGGAAGAGGGCGAGCAGAATGGACAAAAATATCACAGAGACTCTTGGCGAGTGGATTCAACAAATGGGCAAGAGGCTGAAGATAAGCCTTGGAAATGGCAAACATGGGACCTAAAGCCGACAAGCTATTTCTTCCCTGAACGCGACATCGCTCAAGGCAAGCTGACCTCTCAAGCTACTAAAAGTAGGCTAGCCGACGAGTTCAACGACAAGCTATATCTGACAAAAGAGCAAGCTGAGATTTTCGAATCTGAGCTCGCGAAGGATACGGAACTGCTGCAAAGGGTCAATGCAGTTGACTACAGCCTCTTCTTAGTCAGGATTCCTGTGCCAACAGCAGAGCGAAAGTCGCCGGGCCAAGAGGAGGAAGTCGGCCAGGAAGACCCCTTTGCAGATCCGAATGAGAGCGACCCAAGTGCAACGGCTGGTCCTGACCTGGCTACGACAGCGCCGACACCAGCCGTGCCTCCTTTCACCCCTCCCAGTCCACCTTCGTGGCGTACCGGGATTCGTTCAGCAGACGGTCGCTTCATATATCGTGCATCAATTCTCGATTTCTTCTGGAGCAAGGACAAGCTTCAACCGAAGGTAATGACGCGATTAGTCGATTTATGGAACAAAATAGATGTCGAGGGAGACAAGGGACCGATGTCAATTACGACGAGTAGCAGTGAGTATCGAGAAAGGTTCACAAAAATGTGTGAAGACTATATTGAGATTATGGACTCTTAGGAAGAAGCACCCTTCAATGAACGAACCATTGAGAGTCGCTGTTTGTCCAGAGCAGTAACTACGCTTCAGCGTGGAAGTCCTTCGAGGACTGTAGATATTAGTGATGCGTATTGATCGACGTGTCACATTCCAATAAGCTTTTGCTCGAGGATGGGACAACGAGGAATAGGAACGGGCTACTTTAGTGACCCAAATAAATCTCCGTTTCCTATAGTCGACCTGGCTATTCCGCAGACACGCCATATTTATATTCAGAGATGATGTCTTCACGACACCTAATTGCATCGTCGTTCTTATACACAAAATGTATAGGTGACCATATCAACTATAGACTAACATATAATGTGGTGTCACTCTCAGCTTGTTTGTCAACTGTGCGCATGGTGAGTGTGCCGGCTTCTGGAAGAATGTGCTGTGCTGATCTCTCACCCTAACTCCAACACCCTCTCTCAACAATGGTGACTGTACGCGTTGCCGTGTGCGGCGACGAAGGCTGTGGAAAGTCTTCGTTGATAACATCTCTAGTAAAAGATACCTTCGTCAGCTCGAAAATCCAAGCAGTCCTTCCCCAAATCACCATACCACCGACGCTCGGTACACCAGATAATGTCACTACCGTCATCGTCGATACCTCTGCGCTTCCGCTAGAACGACCGGTACTCGCGAAGGAAATACGTAAGAGTAATGTCATACTATTGGTATACTCCGACCACTATAGCTACGAGCGAGTAGCATTGTTCTGGCTGCCCTACTTCCGAAGCTTAGGGGTGAATGTGCCAGTCATACTATGCGCCAACAAAAGCGATCTAGTGCAGAGCACTACTTCGAAGCAGGTTGTCGAGGAAGAGATGCTGCCTGTCATGAGTGAATGGAAGGAGATCGATTCGTGCATACGAACAAGTGCGCGAGAGCATCACAATGTCAACGAGGCATTCTTTCTATGTCAAAAAGCGGTGACTTGTCCGATTGCACCGTTGTTTGACGTAAAGGAATCGCAATTGAAACCAGGCTGTGCAGAAGCATTGAAGAGGATATTCTACCTTTGTGACAAGGACAAGGATGGCTACCTGAATGACCAAGAACTTCGTGGGTTTCAAATGAGATGTTTCGAGAAAGAGTTGCACGACGACGACCTGCAGTATATCAAGGATACGGTTGAGACGATGATGCCGGACGATGATATGAGTCGGGGTATCAGTCCGGATGGCTTTCTCCTGCTGAACAGGCTTTATGCTGAAAAAGGAAGGCATGAGACGATCTGGATTATCTTGAGGATGTTTCAATATACTGACTCGTTATCATTGCAAGAGTCTTTCCTACATCCGAAGTTCAATGTTCCCGAGTTTGCCTCAGCTGAGTTGGGGCCGGCAGGATATCGCTTCTTCGTGGACCTGTTCTTGACGAGCGACAGAGATGGCGATAGTGTCTTGAACGAAAAAGAGCTCAGTACGCTGTTTGCTCCCACGCCCGGGATCCCTCATAGATGGCTCGAAGATGGGTTTCCGGCATGCACTGTTCGTAATGAGGCGGGTCATGTTACACTACAAGGCTGGTTGGCGCAGTGGTCCATGACGACCTTTATGTCTCCAAAGACGACGCTTGAATATCTAGCATATCTAGGCTTTGAGTCTACAGATAGATCGGACCCCTCCACGACTGCGGCGCTAAAAGTGACCAAAGCTAGAAAGAGAAGAAGGAAGGCTGGACGTGTTCAGCGCAATGTTATCTATGCACAAATACTGGGTGCCGCCCATGCTGGAAAATCGAGCCTGCTCGACGTGTTCCTTGGTCGACCTTTAAGCCAGCAATATCATCCTACCATTCAGCCACGAGTGGTTGTGAACACTGTCGAGCTTCCTGGTGGCAAGCAGTGCTATTTGATCCTCAAGGAACTCGGAGAATCCGAAGCTGCCGTTCTTGAGAACAAGACCATGCTACTCGACCAGTGCGACTTGCTCGTCTACTGTTACGATTCCTCAGATCCCGAATCCTTTGACCACATCATCGAGCTCAAGAAGAAACACGCTCATCTTGAGGATATGCCGAGTATGTACGTTGCGTTGAAGGCAGATCTAGACCGTGCCACACAAAGATCAGAAGTACAGCCAGACACATATGTTATGGATGTGCAGAGGATGCCTCAGGGTCCACCAGTACATACCTCGGCGGCATGGCCGACCATACAAGAATTGTTCGTGGCCATCGCCGAAGCTGGACTCGAGCCAAATACTGCTTTTCCAAAGCCGATAGGAGATGAGAATGATGGGAAACTATTACAGTATGGACTTGCTTTTGGCGCCTTTGTCTGTGCCACAGCTGGTGCGGTGGTAATATGGAAAAGAGCTACAGGTGATCACGGATAATCGAACAAGTCATAGCAAAATGTTGTGGGGAAATGGTTTATGTAGACGCTTCACTCGTGCAGTCGCAGCCTAGTCCCAAAACATTCTAACGGAGATGTTTGTCACAGTAGTTACAGTACATAAGGCTGCCGTATGCTAGCATTGACAGTTCACAACAAATCTTGACCTTGACTGCTAGCGAGTCTCTTTACAATTAGAGGCTGAGCTACACTACTACATAAATCCACGTTGATGTTTGCCAGAAACATCGTTCGCACTTAGATACAAATTGTTTCTTCGAAAGCGATTAGTCATCTCTTCGCCAAATTCGCGGTTGTAGTTGCCCGCGAAATCCGAAGCTAAGCCACCACTTTTCGCGGCTTTCCAGGTTGACTTGCCCCTTCCGTGAATGATTGCGGGACTGACGTTGGGCGGATCATCGCTGATCCATGCTAGTTTTCTCATGACATAACACACCTGGACCAGAGCCGAAGCTCGAAATAATTCAACAGCGACACGACCTCCACTTCGTTTGCGCTTCACTATCATAGAGTCGACAAAGAGAGGTTTTCTAAAGGCCACTGAGAACAATCAACTCCCTCGACGGGTATATCTGGCTAGCCAAGCTCGAATTTCAAGGCTAGAGGCCCTGTTACATTTGGCTCACAGCTGACCAAGGCTACCGGACCGCCGAGTCAAGCTACTGCGTGTTACGAGAACGCTGCCTGAACTTCACGATATTGCTGTCCTTGTTCTTCCAACGGACTGAGAATCACAGAAGGATCTTGCGCGCGACGATAGGCGATCGACCACGTCAAGATGGGCCTTCACAATCCGTTGCCCTCATCGATGAGGAGTCAGTCTCCCGATTCGCAGGCATTGGTACAGGCTAACGTAGGACAGGTGAATGCAAGAAAGCAGGAAGTATTTTAGCATCGTTCGTTGACCCCAGGCAAGCGTTTGGTCCAGATAAGGTCATACCGCCATCAGTACTCGCAAATTGCAAGGCAAGTATTCATCTTTGACTATGGGAGCAGGCGCTGACAACTTTAGGGTCTGGCTGTCATCACTGTCCTCAAGGCTGGCTTCTTAGGGTCAGGTCGTCTAGGCTCTGGAATTGTGGTCGCTCGCTTGAGTGATGGCTCATGGTCAGCGCCATCAGCCGTAGCCACAGCAGGAGGTGGATTTGGTGGACAAATAGGTTTCGAGCTCACCGATTTTGTCTTCATCCTCAACGATATCGCCGCTGTTCGAGCTTTCTCCCAAGCTGCCTCCGTCACACTTGGTGGCAATGTCTCCATCGCCGCAGGTCCTGTTGGTCGAAACGCAGAAGCTGCAGGTGCAGCGAGCATGAAAGGCGTGGCTGGGGTATTCGCATACAGTAAGACAAAGGGATTGTTTGCAGGTGTATCGCTAGAAGGTAGTGTCCTGATTGAAAGAAGGGACGCAAACGAAAAGATGTATGGGGGCCGCATAACAGCTCGACAATTATTGGAAGGTGGTGTCCGACCTCCACCAGCTGCTGATCCACTCATGCGCGTTCTCAACACCAGAATCTTCTCTGGTGTAGCTGGTGGTGGTGACGCTATGTATAATGATGTACCTGTTTACGATGATCAGCACGATAACGTGGTCTGGGAGGGGCGTACGGGTCAAGCTTATGGTGCCGGAGTACGAAACAACAGGTCGTCTACGTTCGGCTCCACACATGAGACAGGAAACGATGAATACGAATACCGAGACAACCCAAGACGCACAAACACCTGGAACGACGACGTATATGACCAGCAGCCCGGCGGTTTCAACAGGTCAAACACTTTCAACTCACGCGCGGACCCTAACACGACTTTCGATAACCTCGGCCGAAATAGATCTTCTACCATTGGTAGCGACAGAACTGGTCCAGGGAGACCCACTGCACCCAAACCAGTCTTCAGGCAACCAACAGGAACCGGTACTCTAGGACCGAATCAAGCAGTTGCTCTATTCACATTCGATGCCGAGCAGGATGGTGATCTGGGCTTCAAGAAGGGCGACATTATCACAATTACACAACGGACAGACAGCAAGACGGATTGGTGGACTGGAAAGACGGAAGATGGGAGGACTGGGATGTTTCCGAGCAATTACATTGAATCGAGGACGTAAACGACGATATGAGGTGATGATACTGTGCAAGTTCGGAGCGGGAGTTGTGATGGAAATTGATATTTATCTTACGGACGTGCAAGGCGTGGGTAAAATGTGCTTGATACTTCAGAGCTAAGATATCCATATTTCCAATTTCAGGTAGTAAGAAGATTTACGCCACAGAACAGAAATATCAGATCCAACGATTTCGACGCGATTAATGAGAGTGTTGGAAAGAAACTTTCCATTGTTTTGTTCAACAATATGGAGTGACGCCGATATTCATCCGGCATAGGCACGGCGAGTCGGATCCTGATAGCAGGCTGCCAAACCCGTCGACTCAGAGGACGTATACCCAGTCTTCAGCATTGTCCATGGTATTTAGGTCTGGTGAATGCCGTGCAGTAACACACGCTTCTTCGTTGCACGTGTCTCCAGACTGCTGCGGTTTAGGTGGCTTTGATGCTGGGATCAAGAGCGGACCTGAAGCGCTTGCAGCTTCACAGTGGTATCGCCAATGTTCACGAGCATATGTAACAAAGGCAGAGCCACCGTCACGAGCACCTGTGTCGTCGTTGTTGGCGGCTTTGACGGAGGCTAGCTCAGCTAGACAGCTTGAGGCAATTGTCTTGTGGCTTGGGTCTAGGCCTTTGATGCGAAAGGTGCGTAGGTACGTGTACATGGCCGGGGAGAGGAAATGAACATATCCTGCATCGTCTTCGCGGAAGACTGTTGATGGATGTCGGAGGGCGTTAATGAGTGGTAATGCGTCTGTTTGATCTTCTTTATCAGGTCTGTTCGTGCTGTTTCTGTATAGACGTATGGCTGACTGGAGCTCCGTCACACTGAGAGGTCTGACACTGTTGAGTACGCATGAGAGGGCGTAGGACCAAGCATCGAAATTGGGAGCCACGTTCTGCAGGAAGTTGAGGAACCTTTCGCCAGACTTGATCAGGTCTGCTCGGTATGATCTCGCACTGCTCTGGTTGTTGTGTATGATGGTGTGCTGCTGTTCCTCACGATCACTGAGGCTGACTGTAGCTACTCCGAGGTCCGCAGAAGACTTGATTGGAACAGACCAGCAGTACCCTTCCCTCTTGCGAATAACTACCATATGGCGGATGTGCCGAAAATCCTCGTAGCTACCGTCAGCATAGTCGGAGCACACAGCCTCGTAGCTACCGTCAGCATCATCGGAGCACCTAGCCTTGTGCCAGAGAACAGAGAACACACGCCCCGGTTTGAACCAAGCTCCTTTGACTTCTCCAGACTGAGCTGTTGCAGGCTGGTGATCATATGGTACCGATGTAAATTTATATGCAAAATATGGATTGACGGATAACGTTTTCTCATGGTTGTCGTCGTTCTCTCCCTCTACTATGTCTCTACTTGTCAGTCGTTCTTGGGACATGATTCACAAGGACGATGCAGTTCTGGCCAAATGCGTCTGCGACGAGGTCTTACAAGTAAACTCACAGTCATTGTGGTCATCTTTGCCTTGTTCTTAAGTTATCCAGGTGAACACTTGCCTAGAGACGTCTGTCGTAAGACTTTAGACGTTGATTGCAACTCTAGACGTTGGTTGCATATTGAATAGACCCCGTCAAGAAAGCTTAACACAGGAAAAAGAGCTTTCTTGAGTATCACTAGCAAAGTGTGCATCAGCTGATGCTCTGTTCCGATAGGGCGTCGCCGTGTTCCCGGCGAGACAAAGACTGCCAATAGCAAGACCGACTGGAATGTTAGTAAGGCTTCTCACAGATTCGGGGTCGAGCACGATGTATAGCATAGCCACAGGTAATTTGCTGAGCGAGGCTCACTTTTGCAGACTCGCACGTGACTGTGGGCTGGGCTCTGGCAAGCACAAAGAATTGTGGTGCCGACCTTTCGAATCTCCATTCGTCAAACGTCTCTGATTGGTCATAGTACTGGCGGGCTAGAAGCTATCCGGGCAACGTGAGTGGCCGAGTATACCAAGCAAGTCAGGCACTTTGGTCTCAGTCGCAAGCAGTCGCTTCTGGTCGCACTCGAACGCGATTGTAGGAGATTACTAGATCAAATAATATGCAAGAGGGCAGAGACAGCAACACCGGCACTCGATACTGATAGGTCGTCTTCGCCAGTCTTGCTTAACTCACTACTACAAGCTTGTGCTTGCGAATTCATCGTCAAGGAACGATACAAGTTCGCTGCACGGTCATGTAAGGCAAAATGACCATCAGCATGTCTACATGCTCTGCCTGTAGATTCAATGGTTTCATGGGTCTACAGGAAGTACTCGGACAGTCCTTGTTAGATCACAGCGATTTGTGCGAATCGAATAAGATCCAACACGTCACGTCTCTCATCACCTGAGCTCTCTACAGGAGCGTCTCGACAGCAGAGACTGATACAATCGTTTCCTTCATTTGTGAGCAGCCCTAAGGGGTGCTCCTCGACCTATAGTCAGGAGCATCATGGTAGCCATCGCTAGACAGAGATCTTTGCAGCTCAATCAGGTGAGAGTCACGCAAAGAACATGTCTCAAATGTGATCAATGTCGAAACGACAGCAAGAAATGCACACCAGGTGTTGCTAGCCTTGAATCACCCTCAAACAAATGTGAAAGATGTCAAAGGCTCGGTCATGCCTGTGGACCCCTGAGACGGGCACAGACATACAAAACGTCCTCCTCAGGCCGTTTCTCACGCTTTGGTACAAACCTTCAACAATTTATGGGTACTTCCCAGGCGTACAAATCCAAAGAGCTCGGCTCAAATCACTCCACCGGCCTTTGCAGACTCGCAAACGTCGTTGGTGCCGGGCAATTCCTCTTCCGGCAGCAATGTGAGCTTACGGCTATAAGATCGCTATCACCACAAAATGCTGTCTTGGATCAACAAGGTTCGTTACTACAGAATCTAGCCAGTAAGCTGGAAAGAGAGTTCGAGAGTACGGTTGACAGCCTAGCAGCTGAAAGTGGCCAAGCTGAAACTGATGCACATGCAAGCGTTTCACTTCTGAGCGACTGTTTGCAAGATAGGTTCAACATGTTTCAGCTCCAGCTTAGCCGGTTTCACTCAGCGCATGATGGTCGTGGTCCAATATTTGTGTCGTGCAAATCCTGGCGGCGGCGGCTGTGTCCGTCTTTGTCCAGCTTTAGTCTGCTCGCTTGTACCGAGAGGGCTGCATCGGAAGTGGATCCTGGCTCTCTTCGGGTGAACAAGCACGCCTCGAGTACTGGCGACCATCTTCGAGAGCAATATATCGAGGCATCAGCCGAGCTGGACGCTATCATGAAAGACGACATCCCTCGCCTTCCAACATCTTCGCAAAACTCTATGGCAACTGATATTGGTTATCAAATACACGGCAAAGTCCCCGCGTCACATCTTGCGTATTGGAACTTCGACAAAGACGTCGCTTTTGAGCTTGCCACTCAAAATGGCTTGCTCGCATTGCCTGTGAACATGTTTAATCAGAATTTGATACATCTTGCGGTCAAAATGAGCGATATTGGCTTTCTGAAGAGGCTGGCGGATGAGGATCGCGGATGCTTTGCGAAAGCCTTAGGAGTACAGAACCATCTCTCAACGATGCAATATCACACACCACTTGAACTTGCGAGCATAATTGGAGACAGCGACATCTTCTGTCTCCTTGCTGCAAGGTCCACCGAAATCCACTGCTGGAGCGAAGTTCTTCCCGAACCAGCCGTGACCATCAGCAATCTAACTACGACCGGTTCCATGGACCATGATATGACAGGCTGGCTGGTACCCATGGAAGCAGCACCGGAGAACAACGTCAATGAGAAGATCTCTTATCTATATGATTACTTATTTAGGACTGGACAGGTTCCTCTCAATGACTCGATACGATCAGTGCAACACGACCTCGACCATCTCAAGATGTCACAGGATGAGACCACGTTCAACAGTGGAGAAGACCCTAATGACTTGTTTCGAAGCAATTTTCTGGGCCACAAGCCTTCCAAGCCTCTGCCTGATGCAACCTGATAGCCCGCATGGTAGGCATTTGGAGTTCGAACCGCAAGTTGCGCTCCGAGTCTGCTTACAAAACTTGTCTGCCCTAACATTGCCATCAGCCCCACAATCCCGGTGGTGTGAGGCGCAAGGCCATTCCGATATAGAAGTCATCGGGCCTAATCCGAGTACTAGCAAGGATGAACAACATCGGGAGCCGAATGGCCAAATGAAATGCTCAAATTTGAGCTTCCATCCAAGCGCCTAATTACATAGCATAACTTGGGTTTTCTGTTTGTAAACACACATTCGTTACGTTGCAAGGTTTCGATGTCGCATCAATGAAATACCATCCAAGAAGTCTTCTTCGATACAGAACTGCACGTGGAAACTAATGCTTGGCATCCCGGCCATAAACGCTCACTGTGGTTTGTATTTCAATGATTCTCAGCTTCACATTAAAAACTGCGTATTCTTCCGGACAGCACTGTGTACGTCTCAGTTGCTTCCAAGCCTCTTACATCCGGACAAATGCATGCCTTGCACCCTAAAAACCCGAACATCGTCTGGCACGACCCGATTTGAACAGCCACGCCTGATGTTCTCCTCCTTGAACCACCTCATATTCCTCCATTTGTACATTCATGCTATTCCCTCTCATCACGTCTTCCCAGTCAATTCCAACATGGACGAACATACAGCAATGTCCACGTCCTGAAAACTCGTCCCCAAACCTCGCAAGGTCTCAGCCATGACAGGCAAAGTCGTCCGATCATGGTTCATTGTACGTCGTGCTGGCTTCACTGGTTCTTTCAGACGACATATACAATTCGAGCGGCAGTATGGGGCGATGGAGTCTGTGTCGTTGAACGGTCAGTTGAAGTACTCTTGGCGTGAAGTGTCTGTGGTACGTACTCGATGTATCATGTCTGATCGTGTTATGAAATCTAGCAGAGTCCATCCTGTTCGGCTTGGAGCTTCACGGTTCGCTGGGTATGCGCATATCGAGAGGCTTTCGGATAATCGTCGTGGAGTAACTAAGTAGATGTAGTTTTTGGAAGCTCAACTCTTATGTCTTATTGAAGTTGTTGAAGGGCGGGTTTGGCATTGCCACAAACATTACCTTTTCCAGGACAGCATCGGCGTACCCCTCTCCGTGCAAATACAAGAAGCGAGCCTCGTCTTGACGCGGTGGGTGAAGTGGGCGGTCGTACCGATCGTGCGACTCAGTCGAGTCGCGTCTGGTCGAGGGACGATCGTGCAGTTACGACTTCTGATTTGACGCGGTGAGGAGACAGCGAAGCACGGCTTGAACCGGTTGCCAGGCCAAGCAGGTCATTTCTCTTGTCTTCTGAACTGGCGTCCTTGAATCGGTCAAGTAAGAAGCGTCATCCTGGCGCATTAAGCTTAGGACAGAGGGGCAAGAAGAGTATCCGGAAGACACGAAGTGCTGTGATTTATTCATGTAAACATCCGCTACCACATGCAGAGGGTGTGGGAAATTATTCATGTGGTGATCGGACATCCAAAGATCATGCTTCCTCACCATAGGTCTTTTCTATTGTATTAGTCTAACGAGCTTGCCGAGTACGCATCAATCAAAGCACAACTTTATCTTTCTCCTCCTCACGCTTCTTATCCTTGTCCTTACTCTTTAGCATCTGCGAGATCATGAAATGGTTCACATCCGCGTCCGCCCAGTACGATAGATGCGACGCGATTGATGCCAGTAAACTCACGTCAAATAGACCTTCTTGGATGTGATAGTCGACTCGACCGTTACTGTTCAGGGCTCGAACTTTGGCCTCTTCTTTACGTAAGCGTCTGGCCTTTTCTTGCTCAAGTTCGAATTCGAGATTGGATGGTTCGGCTGTGCTGCTGGCGTTCGAGGCTTGAGATCTGCGACGTTTTTGGAAACCTGCGTATAGGGTTTCCATTTCTGTGTCGATAAGGGTTGGGATGTCTTCGGTGGAGGTGCTGTCTTTGGCTTCGGCTGCGATGGCTTTCTGTTTGGAGGCGGAGTTGGTGCCAACGACGTCGGTGACTGGAGGTGGTGGCATTTTTATATCGCCAGGCAAGGATGCTGATTGTGCTGGTGTTTCAAATTGTGGGACTTGAGGTTTGGCTTTATCTTGCGGTAAGGCCTGGTCTTCGCCGGTGATGCCTAGGCTGCGGTTGATGAGAGTCGATGCGACTCCTGATGTGAGACTATACCAGCCCGACATGACTTGCTGACCCATGCGCGCAGTGAGGTTGGCCATCCCAGGTGCATCGAAGAGCCCTCGCTTTGTGTATGGGAGTGCTTGAGACTTCAGTGAGGACATCGCCGGCGAGATCAATGGCTCGATACGGTAGGCGATTGGGTCGGTCGGGTGAAATATGTTGAAGAGCTCAGCACATTTAGGAGAAGATGTAGTGATCGGCAGCAATGACTTGCTCTGAGAAGAGATGTCGCTGCTGTCCGCAAAAGGGTTGTTTTGCATTGGATCTGCGTCGAAAGGTGACATTGGTGGTGCACGATCTCGGAGCGCAGGTCTTCCAGCTATCGTTCGTCCCTTCAGCATCTGAAAAAGAGCGATCGGCGAGCCCAGGGCAAAGAAATTCTCACAGACAAAGTCGAGAGCTACATCTTGATCAACGTTTGGGTCGCGAGAAGATTTGGAAGAAATACGTCGTGGTCGGGTCGTTCGTCCTTCGGTTTGGCGGCACAAGATATCGAAGAAGATGGCACTGCCCAGAGAATGTCCAACTAGGCTCACTTTGCCGTCAAACCCAGTCCTTTGCTTGTAGAGCTGATAGACGCGATTGACCTCTTTCTGAACGATCTTAGCGATATGCTCCCGGTACGCACTCTGGTACAGAAGGACATCCAACGCCAGGTCAGTGATCAGGTTCCGCACAGCAGGGACACCATCCACTGTGATGTCCTGTAATGAAGGATAATCTTCCTCCAAAGCAGTATCGAGGTCACCAAGATCATGCTCTTTGCGGTTCTGCTTCAAGCTTTGCTTGGGAAAATCCAGGAGATGACGCCATGCGACTGGCAAGACCTGGACTCTACAATTTTTTGGATCAGTCGTCAGAACTTGAAGGTCATCCGAGGCAGCGTACACAGCTTTCATCGTCTTACGCATCATGTTGACATCGTGAACGAAATTGATGCTGTCGAGCCTCAAGCCCAATCTTTGCCCGATGCCGTGCGTGACAAGCACAAGGTGATCGATTTTTCGGCCTTGGTCGTCACCATCCTGATCTCTGGCATCTTCCATCTCTTGTGCTTCTTCCACTCTAGCTTCCTCTTCTTGATCTTGGCTTTCAGATCCAGATTCAACAAGCCCAGCGAGAGAGGAAAGTTGTCTCTCCAAAGCAGACGGGCGAGATGGCTTTTCGACCTTTTTCTCAGCAAGCTTGTCAGGCTCAGCTGAGGTCTCTGAGGATGGCTTAGACTTTCTCTTCTCTTGAGTCGATGTTTCTGCTGGCTTGCTGGGGGTCTGGATGGGCTCGGTATAGCCTCGCACAACCTTGGTTCCTGTTTGACCAACGAAGCGACCGTAGACGGTGCTACCTATGCGTGACATAAAGTCGTCAGTACTCAGGTACGCTGTCGTGCTATCGAAGTAAGTAGCTGTCGTACTCATGTGTGCGCCAAAGAGTCGGTAGGATTTTGAATTTGGTGTCTCTGCCGTAGCGGCAGTCGACTGCGGCTGGGGAGGGTTCATTGATGAAGGCTGAGACCTTGGCTGGGAAGCTGATCTCGCAGCACCAATTTTCTTCCATGGTTGCAGTTTTAGGTAACCCTCCTCGAGCTGGTTGGCTAAGTTCTCTTCGCAGGGGGTGTTGTCCTGCCAGAACCAACTACCTCTTCGGACGTCGTAGACAGGACCGATCCAGTAGGCTGGCTCGAGCTCACGCTTCTCAATATGCACATCATACAGATAATCCTCGTTCACCGGGATCTTGGTCGTGGTCTGGTTCTCTCCATGTTCATCCTCACGTCCCAGCTGCTGAAAAGCACTTTCGACGGCTTTCGAGTCCTTTTCGGAAAACAGAACCCATTTTCTCGGAATGTTTTTGGGCTTCTCCCTGTCTTCAGCAGACAGTTCTGGAGCGAAGGGTTTCCTCTTGGCGACATCAACAGCATAATACCATCTTGGCTTTAGAGTTGGACAATCCTTGGGGTATCTCCGTGAGCTTGGAGTTGGTCTTGTGGATATTGCATGGTCAAGTCCTGAAGTCGGTTTCAAGGGTTCTTCTTTGGCAGGAAGTTGCTTTGGGGATTTGGGAGGAGGCGTGTTAGTTCTGCTCCATGGATTGATAGTGCCTAGGAAGGAAGTCTTGCTGGCCTCTGCCATACCTCGCGATATGGCTCGTACGAGAGCCGGCCAGCGATCCAACGCGGCGACATTCAATAAGATTGAAGCTGTTCAAGCAAAAGATGCCAGATGATGGGTTTCGAACATGTGATCGTATCATAGAGAGCGCAAGGTCATGTCGACAACTTCTGACGTCTTTTTGGTGACAATGCAAGCCACGTGGTTGTTGTCCTTGTTTGAGCCCATATCTCGGATCCAATCAGGAGATACTGCTCAGAGTCAGGGAATTGTACCTGCCAAGAAAACGCCACGTCTTGCACCGCCTCAAGCGCCTGCTGGGATTACGAATCTCGGAGTGGCAGTCTCGGATTTGGTGGGGCAATCAGGCTCCGAAATTGTTACTGAAAAGGAGCTCACGTCATTTTGTAAGTTGGTGGGTTTGGGCCTACCCTTCAGGTCGCACTGCGGCAGAGAAACACATCGGTTTCCAAATTATATTGCGACGCAAGTCAGGCACCCGAATTCCGTCGCCCACGCTGTTATACTCTCCGTCCATTGTACAATAAGAGCCTTCTAAGTTTCTTGTTTTGGTCGCTTTCAGGACAAACATCTAGCCACTCATCAACCATGGCAGCCGTCCTCAAACTTGCCAGGAAGTATCCTCAATTTCAGCAGAACGATATCTTCCAGTTGCAGAATGCCTTTCAGCGGCTCGATGTTGACGACAAAGGATATCTTACAGAAGCGGAGGTGATCAAGGCCACACAGCAATCGGAGAGGCAGTCCTACGATCGTGTGCGACAGGCTCTGAAAGAGGTGGAGCTAGACAGTTCACGAAGAGTCGAGTTGGAAGATTATGTCGATCTCATATCGAAACTCCGCGATGCCCCCACTCCTCAGCAACGACAGGTTTCAGGCGGTGCTGTCAAGTCAGCCGGCGGCCCACCGCCAGTTTCACACGCGTCCAAGCCAAGTTTAGGTGGAAGTGGTGGCAGGATCCAGATGACCACCGGCAATGTTACACACACCATTAACGAAGACGAACGACAAGCCTTTACGAACCACATCAATGCCGTCCTCGCTGGCGATTCGGATATCGGCCACATGTTGCCTTTCCCGACCGACACCTTCGAGATGTTCGATCACTGTAGGGACGGTCTAGTGTTGGCAAAGCTCATCAACGACTCTGTGCCGGACACTATTGACGAGCGTGTTCTCAACAGACCAGGAAAGAAGATCAAAACTCTCAATGCCTTCCATATGACTGAGAACAACAACATCGTGATTGAATCAGCCAAAGGTATAGGCTGCTCAGTTGTCAACATTGGCTCGGGTGATATCATAGAAGTGAGAGAACACTTAATACTAGGTCTTATATGGCAGATTATCCGTCGGGGTCTGCTCGGCAAGATTGACATCAAGCTACATCCCGAATTGTACAGACTACTCGAGGACGACGAGACACTCGAGCAGTTCCTTCGCCTACCACCAGAGCAGATTCTTCTTCGCTGGTGCAACTACCATCTCAAGAACGCTGGCTGGCAGAAACGAGTCACTAATTTCTCAGGTGATGTCAAAGATGGTGAGAACTACACTGTTCTACTCAACCAGCTAAAGCCCGACCTGTGCTCTCGTGCACCCCTGCAGACACGAGACCTTATGCAAAGAGCCGAGCAAGTTCTACAAAATGCCGAAAAGCTCGATTGCAGAAAGTTTCTCACCCCAACTGCCTTGGTCGCAGGAAACTCAAAGCTGAACTTGGCCTTTGTGGCTAATCTTTTCAATACTCATCCTGGTCTTGAGGCTCTTACGGAAGAAGAAAAAGAGGGCATCGAAGACTTTGATGCCGAAGGCGAACGAGAAGCCAGAGTTTTTACCTTGTGGCTGAATTCCATAGACGTCAAGCCAGTTGTTCAGTCTCTCTTCGATGACTTGAGAGATGGAACAGTTCTAATGCAAGCCTATGACAAGGTCGTTCCAGGCTCTGTAAACTGGAAACATGTCAACAAGCCCCCTCAGACAGGCGCAGAAATGTCGCGCTTCAAAGCCGTGGAGAACACAAACTACGCTGTTGAGCTGGGCAAGCAAAATGGCTTCTCTCTGGTTGGTGTACAGGGTGCTGACATCACAGATGGCCAACGAACATTGACGTTAGGACTTGTGTGGCAGCTAATGAGACGAGACATTGTTAGAACCTTGGGTGGACTTGCACAACGCATGGGTAAACGAGACCTGAGTGATTCCGATATGGTTCGATGGGCAAACGATCAGGTCAAGAAAGGTGGCAAGTCTACTCAGGTCCGCTCGTTCAAGGACTCGTCGTTATCGAGCGGTGTGTTCCTTCTCGATGTGCTCAATGGTCTGAAGAGCAGCTATGTCGACTATGACCTGGTGACTCTAGGCAAGACTGAAGAGGACGCATTCATGAACTGCAAATTGGCTATTTCGATTGCAAGAAAAATGGGCGCTACCATTTGGCTAGTACCGGAGGATATCCAACAAGTTCGTGCCAGACTCATCTTATCGTTCATTGGTTCGCTCATGGCTACGGCTGAGAAGATGGGTGTATAGTTTTGGACGTCTTTGTTGAGTCACGGGTCTATGGTGTACTTCTTGATGTGGTTCGCGTTTGTAGTTTGCAGGCATATCACATTCCAAGCCTTGTGTTCTTCTATGCTTTCCAATATGCTGGTGATAACTTGAAGTATTGGTTCTTCGTTTGCGTTATACCAATTCCAGCTAGAAGCATTGTGATCCTACCGATAGACCCAATAAAGTCGCCAGCATGACTCAAGCAAACAAGCTCGTGCAGCAAATGAGGACAGATTGCGACTCTGCTTCAGGCACTACTAGCTAAACACAACCCAAGACATACTCCAGGCAGAGAACAGCAGCATACAGCAGCTCTTATGCCTACCTATCTCATCCTAATCAAACCACTCTTTCGCCCATACACACATCTCAACCTAACTCACTCGCAATCAGGAAATATACACAAGTTCCCCATCCACATTCCCAATCCGCTGATCCAAAATAACCCGACTCCGATTCCACCCTCCCCGCCCATCGCCCAATTCGGCCTCAAGCGTCATCGGCGACCCAGGAAGCAACCTCACCTTCCTCGCAGTCGCAAAGGCGTTGCCTCCCCGTATCCAGCGAAAGACACCGTGTTCGTTGCCGAGGTAGTCGTTGAGCTTGATGCTGCTGAGTTTCTCCTTGCCAGAGGAAGTGGAGCAGAGGGCGATGAGGTCATAGTCCCGGTCGAGGGTGATGTTTGTGGTGGAAGTGGAGAAGTTGCCGGCGTAGCTGGAGGCATAGGAGGCGGCGCCTGCTCCTGCAATGGCAGTGCTGACGTGTTTGTCCTTCTTCCTGCGGCGTCTGTGTTTTTTGCCGTTTTCGGAGTCGGAGGAGGAAGAAGAGGAGCTGGAAGAACTGCTGGAGCTGCTACTGGAGTGAGATCCGCGTCTTTCGCGTCTGTGGTGGTGTGGCTTTGATGACTTTTTCTTTTTCTTCTTGTCTTTGAGGTGGTCTTCGAGCTTGTGGCCTGCGTAGGCGCCTGCGACAGTGCCTATGACTCCGTGGCCTGGAAATGCGTTGTTAGATGTTGGTTGTCAGTGTCTTGTGTTAGGAAGTGCTTACCCATTTGATGGCCACCGGAGGCTCCCATTGCTCCGCCTGCCAGTGCGCCCATTAGACCACGATCTGCTTCCGTATTTACAGGTGCATTTGGGTCTACTTTTGCTGCCGTGATGGCTGGGTCTGGTGGGATCTGCGATTGCGCGTATTGGTTGTAGCCTTGTTGACGGGAGGCATCGTAGCCGTATTGGTCGTAGGCTGGTGGTTGTTGGTATAATGGCTGTTGAGGTGGTTGAGCATAAGCAGCATTGTAGGCTGAAGCTTGATATTGCTGGTGTTGATAGTTGTAGGTCTGTGAATCGTATCGTCCATATTGTGGATCTTGGTAGTAAGTCTGGTGTGGTTGCTGACCATAAGGTGGCTGTTGTGGTGCTGGCGGTTGACCATAGTAAGGTTGCGGGGCATTACTTTCTGGATAGCCGTATGGATTTTGTGCTCGTTCTTGTGACTGAATCACGTCCGAGGGAGGATACTGATATCCTTGATGTTGTGTGTAAGGTGGTGGGTTATTATACTGGTAACCCTCATGTTTCGACTGATCGTTATAGTAGCTTTGCGACGACATTATGCAGATATTGACTGCAGTTCCTGATAGTATCCTAGAACTGTCTCAAGATGCGTCTTGCAGATATAGTAGTCGGAACTTTATGATATAGGAAAGAATGTTGGTTGCCTTACAAGTGGGCCTACGTGGGAGGTGCTGGTGGGGTGAGTTGAGGCTTGGAGTGGAGCTTGGCAAGCTTGGTCGTCACCTAGGGTAAACGAGCTCATCAATCCATGACTGCTGCCTTGGTTTAAGCAAGTCGATCATATGGACTGGAGAGCTTTTCAGCTCGAACTGCACACCGCAGCCGTGTTAGCATATTGCCGGATATGTGTGCATAGTGTAGCGTTCATACTAGTAACTTTCAGCTACACGGATCGCGCTACCAAGGCTGAAAGCAAGGCGTTCTCCAAAAATCTCGTTAGATATGCATGATCAATTCTCGAAAGCACTGCCACTAGCAAAATCGCAAGTCGTAGCAAGCCAAAAGGGTGTCAGGTGATCCCTGCTCTGGACAAGCTATTCGTACATTTCACGTTAGGAAAGGAGCACTTTTTTTTTGACGTCGTGCTGTGTCGGATTATGATCTACGACTGGACAGCCAGGTTCAAATCATGGTTTCAAACCCTAGCAATCGACTAAGAACACGGTCTCTGCTCTATAGAGGTCGAGTGTATCGGTTAGAAGCTTGAAGAAGGATAGCTGTTGTGTTCTTAGTCCAGAGATAACTTAATGCGCTGGTTCGCGCCGGTCTATTGTTTCATGGGAAAGGATGATATTAAATATGTTAAAGTCCTTCTCCAATGGTATCGCGTATAACAGATTGTTTGCCATGGCTGGATCCGAGTAAATATGTCCTTCTCAACCTCACCGCGAGTGAATCGACACTATCGTCGAAGTAGGAATGAGGTTGTTCGTCTGAAGCCTTCCTTACCGCGAAAGTACTCTGTTCGCCGTCTTGCATTACGGGAAAGCAGTAAAGCCAACAGTCTCGGCCGCCAGAGGAATTTGGGACAAGAGTAGACTGTTGTCAGATCTGCTCAACCTCAGTTTGTCATAGACGATGTACATTCGTTGCTGGTAAAATGTAGCTCTTAGGGACATCCGAGTCGGAAAAGTGCTAAAACCAAAGCTCCTTGTTGATCGTGTAGACCTCTCCCTTGGACGCCTTGCATACGACCGCAATTGGCGCCTGGAGTAAAGCATTGACTCAAAGCTACTCCTTGAGCAACTGCAAAGTGTACCCGCTTAGCTAGCTGAGCTCGAGCGTGCCTGCGTGTTGCGATCGTATTCTGGACTGACTGAATTCGGTCCGAGATGTGCTCGATGGTCCTTCTCGAGACCAGCTCTGCCATAACGAGGCTGATGCAAGGCAAATACCAGATGTATAGGCATTAATACACCAGTATAGACTCAAGAAGTTGAGAATCCTCTTCGTATCCTCTGAACTCCTGCTTTTATCCTGCTGGCCACGAATAGAAACACCCCCAGCATACCAGGTATTACAGTCTCAAGGATATCTCTTCCCCATATAGGCATCGTTAATATCGAACCCCACAGAAGTAAGCGTCGCATTCTAGGGTTCAAGATCTGTGACTTATTGTCGCTTGAATCCTCATCCTGTTGCTCACTTTCCTCTTCTCTTGCCCCTTTCGATCTCGTTTGTTCCGCTTCGAAATGCGCTGCGGCTGGGTCTAGTGCGAGAGTTGAGATCTTGCTGCGAGAGTTTTTGGCTTTCCGTTTACGGCTGAACCACGATTCTCTTGGCTTGGACTGTGCTCGTCTAGATCGGCTTGGGACTGCGCTGTCATTGAGAAAAGAGGAGGCTCGAGTCTGTAGCGCTATGGCTGAATTGAAGCGTGTAGGGTTTACGTTGTGAAGGACAAGGCGAGGGTAATATTGTGCTGAGGTAGACGCCAGGCGCCATGGTTTGATTGGAAACATTGCTAGAGCCATGGTAGAAATCTAACCATTCAATTCAAACCGAGATGGTGGTCCTGGTCGTCTGTATCAACACAACGGTTCAAAGCAACGGTTCAAAAGCAGAAGTGGTCGCCCGGAAGCGGGTGTGCTGTGTTTGTTATTATTACAAGATTGAACGCAGCAGCGTGACAGTACCGAGTCCGAGGCACACGATGAACGACATGTGAAGTTGTCCGCTTCGAAAGGTTGTTCAATTAAGGTGGTGGAAGTGCCCAAATTCTTTGGCATGCGTGCGCCAAACCATACATTTGCGTGGAGGAAAGCATCTTGTTACAGTTGATCGACCACCAGAACAACAACACATTCTGGGGTTCAACTAGGTTGATCTCTGTTCTGAAGAGACCCCTTTTTGTTTCCTCGTGAAATTGATGCTCATAGAGCGAACTCTTTGGGTACGTGCTGCAGATCACACGTCAACATGGAGTTATACTTAGGACTGCCGACGAATGGCACTGCTTCTCGGTCTTTAAATGGCGAGGAAGCGGCGAGGCAACTGCCGAAGCAAGATCCATCTAGACCGGAAATAGTAAGGTGAAAGCCACGTGCTTTATCAGTCGGATATGATTGGTCACCACAATCGAGGCAAATATTGTGGCAAATAGCCTTCGCCATGGCTCAGGCATGCTCATTCAAGCAGTCAATATCTAGATATGTCAACCGAGCATTTGACATCCTCAGCCTCATATACGTGAAACCAATGCACAGAGCGATACTACCATAGTAATGTTAGATTGCTCCGGGAGAATTGGAAAAACAAAGCTGTTCGCGTTCACATCCCGATCATGCCAATTGCTACAGTGAACGTCAGCCTCACATACTGTACGCCTTCGACCATTCCACCCTAACAGCATGACTGTAGTTGCGCCGCCAACCAGTCTTTCCAGATTATACATCATGGTCCCATTTCAGGGTATATGTGCCTGATACGCCGCGAACTCCTTGCCTTTCTGCGCCTAAAACAACGAGGGGTCGTGCATCTCCTCCGCCTTCACACTTTTCTTTTCTGTGGCTTCACCCTTTTGAATGAGATCTATGATCTCGAGTATAAGCACACAAATCGTGGTTTGCTTGCTGAATGCCGTCCACAGGTTTTCCCGTACCTTTATCTCGAACAGTCGATTCATGAGCTCTTTTCGTTGCTGTTCGCTTCCGCCATGTCGACCCACATATCGTGCGAGGTTGCGTAGAAGCAGGGCGCTCATGAATGGTGTACCCATAGGATAGCCTTTTTCATCCACTGCAGTTCGTAAGAAGGTATGGGGAACATTGACGACACCCTTTTCTGCCTCTGGCCGCTCACCAGCCAACCTGTATATCAATGCTCGATTCTGCTCAGCATTCTCAGGTACATGCATTCGAAGATGACGACCCAGTGCACCCGGAGTGTCGATAGCATTGTGTTTATGACAGTTGATCCATTTGCACGTGTAACCACCTTCAGGCACCTGAACATCTTTAGATTGGAATTTGCCATCCGATGCTGCTGGGATTCTGGCGTGGTCAGCCAGCAAGTGCCTCCAGAGCGATTCGGGAGATGAATACCATGTTGCACATGGTATATTTCTTACTGGAAGAGGCGGGCCGGTGTAGTTAGCAGGAGGCTGCAGCGGCACTTCCCAATGGCATTTATAGTATGGCTGACCTTGCAATCCAACCAATACTCGACGCGGCCGAATACCTCTGATGATGAAACGATTCCCTTGTGGCCCTTGTACTACTTGTGCTTGTGCGCCATGTATCGTGGCGGAGACTTGCTTGATGAAGTCCGCAGCTGCGATATGGTTGTTGTGCATAAAACGCTGCTGGTATGCTTGCCATATGGATATTTGCGTTACGTCAGCGAGCTGTGCCTCCTCAAAGCAACATCGCAACCAACGTGCGCTTCGTTCAGGCTCACTATAAGCAAGCATTTGTTGATGTAAGTCGTTTGGCACTTGTGGGATCGATGCAGGGGCTAAAGGAGGTGCCTGCTGTGGTCGCTGGCCATATGGATTCAAGTTGTGTTTCTGCTCAAGTACGTGAGCCGTGGCACCCCTCGTCAGTAGCTTTGTGAGACGAAGCGTGATGGTCGGCAGTAGATCAGGTGCGTACCTGAGCACTCTGCCAAGGTCATCTGGGAAAGCAGACCATGCGTACAGAAAGTTGATAATAGCTTCGATGAACTCATCGTCCTCAAGCATACAGCAACGTACCAGTTCTTCGAATGTGCTCAAGGGGATACCCTCAATAGGGTGGACTCGATCAGCTTCCGCATCAAACCGATATATGGCTCCAAGCGCTCGAACGATCTTACCTCTGTCTCCTGAAGCCAGTTCGCGTACCAGTGATTGGTATAGCTCATCATCTTCAGCCACATTCCAGTACCTTGTCGTCATCTCGGCCATGTCGAGTGCATATTGTCTGATCTCGTCAAACCTTGACTGTCGTGGAAGATTCAGCAGAAGGATGAGAAGATCCCGAAAAAGTGCCATTCTTGACAAAAACAGAGCATTCTCTTCAAGCGTGACCATGTTTCGTATCACAAGAGTAGCTTCATTGACTCTCTCAAGCCTCTGCACATAGTCTTTGGGCTCAATCTCGTTTTCTGCTAGGGACGGTGAGAGAAATGAGAGTTTGTGTATGAGGTTCTCAGTTCCGTGTACTGCATTAAGCACATTTTCAGCAATTCTGCCGCGAGGCTCCATATAAGACACCTGGAACGAAACACCAAAAGCGAGCTCAGCTACCTCGATTGCTTTCTCCATGAGTGCTTCAGCTAACGTTGGAAAGCCTTCAAATTTGAATTTGTCGCCTCGTTCGTGAGAGACTTTGACCAGGTGGTGTAATGCGAACTCTTGCTCACGTTGAATGCCAGATTTGAGTCCTTGGACGCATCGAACGTAGATATTGGGGCCGTCAAAAGTAGATTTCGGTAGTGTGAACCGAAGCAGATCTTGAGGAAGGGGCGTCCGCTGCACTGGGGTCATCTTTGACATAGCCTTTCGTTGATAGAACACGTCTGAATTGCTACTAGGAGTGATCAGAGGTCTCAACGTAAGAGGTATGGATGGTCGGGGTTCATAGTTCTCGATCTTGAAATTGGGATCGCGTGGGTTACTGGTATTGTTGGCAAAAGAATGCTGAGTGTATATAGTGGCAGGCTGGGGAGAATGGGTAGTGCGCATACGTGTCGCTCGAGAAGTTGTAGGATCGGGCTGGTATAGTTGTACAGGCTTGGGCTGCTGGCGCAAGCGACTGGGATATCTGGTAGCACTTCCCTGGTCGTCGGCTTCTGGTCTTTCTTGTTTAGGCGTATGCTGTGGTGTGTCAGGCATCATCTCGTCGCTGTCCTGGTTGTTGCTTGTGAGAATGCCTGTCATAGCCTCGTGAGTCCTCTTCCTCACATCTCCTCCTTTTGCGGTCGTGTGTTCTAGCAGGCTTGGGGGTGGAGGCGTTTCTCCCCAGTACTTTTCGATTTCGTAGGCGGCTAAGTTTTTGTAGTACAATTGCTTCAATTGATAGCTCATGGCCCCATCGTGAGCTTTCGGGAAATTGAAATTCGAACATATTTCTCGCCACGCCATGCGCGTGTCGCTCACAGCATCGTAGCCACCTCTTTCCATGACAAGAGTATATAGTCTGTGCAGAGGTGCCGGTCGTCCTGCAACTTTTCCTTCTCGATCGAAAGGCACCCCTCTTTGGCGCATATACTCTTCGGCATCTTTCAGAAATTCCTCCTCATCTTCGATAATCGTTTGCAATGGAGGCTCGGTGGTTGCCATGCTGATCTATCTGGTTCAGTTCGCAAATACAATGCTTTAGAGCGCACGAGCGCTCGGCTTTCTTGTTATCAGCATGCACGTAGCACGTCCTCGGCGAAATTGTTGAACTCCTATGTTTCCCAGTTGGCTCTTTGATCGGACCTGGCAAGTGAGAGGCACTCGAATGACAAGCGGTGTTACAGTTCACTATAGCGATGTTTAATGACCAGACGTGACAATTGACGAATTTCACGTTTGACTCTTCAAAATCGCACATATAAGACGTACAAAAATCCAGAGAAACTCAGCAGCGGGAACTTGAATAGGCGTGCTGGTGGTCCCAAATGCGCGTCGAAGTCGTTGGTTGTATAAATGTTGTGCACTTCGTCGCGATGACTTGAACGCGCCCTTGCAGGAACTGCATGGAGAGCTGCTAATGAACTGCACTAAACTTTCAAGCGTTGTTATAGGTGATTTGAGCCAATAGCGGCTTGGCACTGTACTAACACATGCAGTCATAACCAGCATCAGTGACCCTTCGGATCTCGAGTTGTATCATCGCTCGCATCGCACTTGCCTCGCCTAGTTGTTCTACATACCCTCACATCGTGCAACTTGGACTCGATAGCTCCTGCCTCACTACTAGTCAATTCCATACCATCAGTCTCAATCTCACCTACCAATGACAACATGTTCAATTCGTGTCTGCAGTTCTTCTCTTTACGTTCCTGTTCATGCAAGCCCAAAAGATTTTTCTTACTAGCATATCTACCTAGGTAGCATCTACTGACTCCAATCATGCAAGCACAAATGCTACAGATCGAGCCTCAGTGCCAGGTCACTACCCTAGCAGTAAAAAAATTTTCTTCAGCTACGACATCTGATGGCTATCCAGGACGTATCCCCTGGTCCCATCTTACAGGTGATGCTCTTTTTGCATCCTTCTCCATATCGTCGTCCCAGTCCAACTCAGGCACGATAACGCATGATTATCGCTTCAGGGTTGTGGATGAACCGCAAATCTTGGTAATTCAACCTTCATTAGGAGAAGAAGTATGCTGATACAGACAGGAGGACATCAACCTTCAGGCCTTAGGCGATGAGGCCAGAGCTGCGGCTTAGGAAGTCCAAGTGTCTGGTAACTTCAACAAGACTCCCAGAGTTCATATCGTTATTCAATGTCCCTGTATTGCGATGAAGTATCCCACGGTTCAGAATCAGGTAGGAGATAAAGCTCTTATCAGCGAAACTTTCCTGATGCCAATAGGTTAGAAGGTTTCAGATCCGAATGACAGAGAAAGCCGACTTCTTTGAGGCACTGAAGATGTTGAATCTAGCCAACGTGCCTACTGAAGCACCTCGATCTCGTCACCCAAAGAACGGACCTGTCAGTTCTCAGACCACCTCAACACACCGGCCTGCTGGCAATGCATCGCAACCAGTGCACGCGATGATTCCTCCATTGAGACCAGACGAGATGTAAGAATCCTCCTTCCTTCTCTGAGAACTAGCTGACTTGTAGAAGGCGTCCATTTTCCACAATTAATCAGCAGTCAGCACCAGCCACCTTTTCGAGCCAGACGAAAATCGGGACGGGTCAAGAATATCAGAACTCAATGCGGCTCGAGAAAACGATATCACCGAACTCCATAACACAGTATCCCTGTGGCCCAATAGCCCTGAATCGCGGTCAACATGCTGTGCTCCCACACAGTACGGCTCCGACTTTGGGCACAACAAGCACTGAACATCGGAAGTACCCTCTGACTCTATGGCCTTCGACTGCACCTGTGACTGGCTTCAAGAATCTCGATGCAGTTCTTCCTCCTGTACGACAACTTCCTTTCATGGTATCAGAGCACAACAGCACAAGCTCAGCAAAACAGAATGCTTTAGCGACCACATCTATTCCAAAGCTGGCAGGTCAACCTCCTCAAAAGCTGCCACCGCCTTCGCCGAAAACGGACAAATGTGAAGTCAGAGCACGATCCAATTACATCCAGGAGCACGAAGCTACTGATATTAGTCACGACCGACAGAACACTGGACTCCTGTCTAGTGAGGTATTAGATCGATCCAAAGCCGACGATATAGATACTCAAGTGCTATTCTCAAAGTTAGAAGCTCGCCGCTCGCGGTCCTCTAAAAAGAAGCAGGACTACGCTGCGCCACCATCTAAAAAGACCCACCCACAACCTGGTGTTACACCACCTCCTCAGAGCAAAGGACGAAACTTCAGGTGTGACCATTGCCGTACAAAGAAACAGAAATGCGATAAGCTCCCAGATGACGTGGAAGGTCGATGTCGGCCTTGTTTGGATACGAATAGGGAGTGCACTTACAAGCTCGTCTCTGAGCTCAAAAGTTTTAGCCAGACAAATACCACTACTGGCAATGTTGTCCTTAGCAGCAAGTCTAAGGATACCAGTAGTCAGGCTGTGCAGCCGAAACGTGTCCTGAGATCGAACAAGGCACTCCTTTCTCAAACCCACTCATCTCTTCTAGAGAAAGACGCTCAAGTCAAGAGCTTCATCGCTCCCACCGAAGCTGGAACTGTGATCAAGAGATCGACAGAGTCGCATGACACAACTTTGCGAAAACGAATCAGAACAACAGGTCAGAAAAGCGCTACAACAGCTGCAAAGATCTCTCAGCCCTCCAAGACCACAGGACGACGACAACAAGTGCTAAAGACCTCGAAAAAATCCGCAAAACCCAAGCCAACCTCGCGTATCACGTTACCGTTCCATCCCTATTCTGACGGAACCACTACGACGGAGGATACGGACGACCTGGACCGACCTACTCGTTCTCGAGTACCACTCGCAGAGACTCCCAATCCTCGGGTGCACCATGCGGTAATTAGGTCTGACTGCCCTACGTACTCTGACTTGTCAGAGCCGCAGCACGAGCAAGATAATAACGCCCAAGTTGCAAATCAGCAATTGAGTTCTGAAGAACACCATAGCGCTATAGAGGACTTGTCTAGGCCGACCAAAGATCCTCACAATTCTCGGCCAAATTCCCGTAACCCGTCCTGTGACATGGCACTTTCAGCATTCACTAAACTTGAGGAGAACGCACGCACAGAGGGTTATGTGACAATGCTTCGACACGCCATTCAAAGTGACAAGTTTCTCCAGGTATGCAAAGATCTTGACAAAATCTGGCAGGCACAGATTGCTACAAGTAAGATCTGAGTTGAGAGAGTGCAGATTTAAAGCTTATATATCGTATTTGTGAAAGCATACCCAAGTCTAGCTCAATTTCAACACTGTTACATGTATGCCGATCTCTGACTATCGAACGATCGAGTCGGATTTTCGCTGTTACTATTTGACGAATTACACAGAAACGCGAAGATAACAATGAAGCCAGCACGAGAGCCGAGGGCGGTTATGAAAAACGGAACAAGACAGTGTAGTTTGGGAGTTTCCTAAAAGGCGTAAATTCTATGTACGCGTTAGACGGGTGAAGACCAAGCACATCCATCTCATCTACATTTTAACCTGTATACAGGACGTCACGAATCTTACGTTGTGAGCACGAAAAGGCGACGGAAAGGAGAAAAGGAGAGCGACTCATGTCATAACTTTTGATTTCATCTGTCTGCTATCTTCGTGCCGTCGTGTCTCTCCTCTTCAACCACAATTGCATTGTAATCGGGTTAGAGGTTTCTGGACACAAGGTAGACTCGCGGCAATGCTCGACGATATCAACTTCGACTCAATACAGCCATTACCACCATGATCCACCACGTTCTGCCGGAAAGTCAAGCTGACATGCTTGGAACACCTGGAATAAATGCTGGGCCCGTGTGCTGCGAATTGCTATGTACAGCAGCCATCAAAGCCTCCAATGTACACTAAGGGGTATAGAGTAAAAGCCGAAGAAGAAAAAACCCATGTGCCTGCCTGCCAATGAGCCCAGAAACCATGCAAACCCAAGCAAGATTCGATCATTGGCCAATTCTTTTTCCACAACAGAAGCTGAACAAAAATGGTCGGACTTATGTAGTAGCGAATGTAAAAATTGAAAGTGAGAGTTGAGTAGGCCGGAAATGGCAAACAAGATGAGTTTCGTACCACGAGGTCGAAACAGATTTCGCATAGAAGACCTAGGTGGTTGGTCTTTGCTGAACGACAAAACAAAAAGCGAAGGCGAGAGCCGACCAAGAAGACGACAATCATGCAACGTGCCTAACCATGGCACGAGAGTTTGGTAAATGTGCTCCAGGTCTGAGACGCGTCTCAGTAAACGCCCGCTAAGCCGTTAGGCATCAAGATAACATGATAGAGAAGCCCCAACACCAAACTGAAAGAAGACGTAAGTAGAACGGAAACTCAATCCAAATGCTAATAGGAGAACATCCGTTGGGTTCGTCCCATCTGTAGAGCGTTGAAAGCAGGTCGTGAAGGCACTGGCGTGAAGTCGCCAAGATCCATGTCAATATCGTCGTTTCGACTCCGGCACATAGCTGCTGTAGGGCTTGAGTCAATTGAGGGAGAATGCTGCCCGAAGGCAAAGGTTTGAGCACGGACCAGTTTAGTTCGCTGTTGCTGCTTGACCTTGCCCATACCAACTTCGCACGCATCGGCATGTTCTTGGGCCAACATCTGTACATAGTTTTGTGGGAAACAGCGGAAGCTGTAATCCTTGTAGAAAGTGCTATAGCCGCCATCCAGGATATAGACCTCAGGGTAGTTGAGTCTGGGATAGCAATGTTCGTTAACCATACGGTCCTTGTTCCGAATGTGCTTCGCCATTAGGGGAGCTCGATGAGCTGAATATTCACAGTGGAAGATGAGGAGAGCTTTTCCGGGTTGCTCATGGTCAAAGAGCTGGCTGGTCAAAGTGTCCTTGTCGTTGAAGTTTACAGCCCCGTGAATGTGGCCGCCTTCATATTCGTATTCGAACCGGCAGTCAATGACAACACGTTTCTCGTATAGGGTATCGTACTTGCCATCAAGGACGTCAATCATGGTCTCCCTAGTGATACGAGGCAACTCATTAGGCTGTTTGAGGAAATGTGGAAGTTGAGGCTCGCAGGGCACCTCTGTATCCGCTATGGGTGGAAGGCTGGGCAGCGCCGCATCCTTTTCGTGCCGCATGACCTCGTTAGGATGCTCGAACATGCTCAGTGAACGTCGAAATTGCTTTCTCGGTCGTACCAGGGGATTCGAAAGCTTACGTGAATGCTGTCCCAGAGGTGAACCTTTGAGTGCGTTGCTGCCGAGGAGGAATGGTTGACGAACACGATTCGGAGGCATGACCGGTCTTGCCACAGGAGATATTGTCTTGTCCGAGACTGGTGAGGAAGCTTCGAAAATCTCGGAAAGATTGAGGGAAGAGGAAGGATTGGATCGAGGAATACCACCGCCGAATTTGAAGGATGGTAGCTGAGCCTCGGGATGAGATCTTTGAGGCACGCATGTTGTGCTGAAGCCTTTTGCTCTTGTCAGGGATGGACGTAAGGGGTTCGACCTCCGTCTTTCCTGAGGTAGCTGCAAGGTCATCTCCTCAACCTGCACAGGACTAGACGACCGTGGTGTAAGACAATCCGCAAAGGGAGGCTCGGTGGGGGTTGGCTCTGGTGAAGGTGATTGTACATCTAGGTTGTAGGAAGTATGGGCTGATTTGTGAGGCAATGGCGACATCTCCATGGTATCCGTTACGGGAGCAGGAGATGAGGAAGATACAGGTGGAGTGGTCAGTGGCACTACCTCAGGTTAGCATTCAGCAAGTGTAGGTGACATCTGACCAACCCTGGAATCCGGTCAACGTGTTGCCGCCGAAGAGAGCTCGTCTAGGAGTAGGATATTGTGGACTGCTACTCGGAGTTAGTACAGAAGAACCTGACCTCCTTCGTGTTCAAACCATACCTCCTGTCGATATTCATGTTCTGTGAAAGGTCCGCAGCCAGACTGGCAGTTGGAGAAGAGCCTCGCACAGGAGGAGGCATACTGAAATAGTCTCGTTCCCTTCTGCCCATCATAGAGAGATCTCTGAAATTGAAGCTGTCGGGTCCAAAGTTGGCTCGAGCAAAAGAGGCATATGACATTGCATCCTGACCAAATCCACATCTGTTCATGAACATAGGCTGTTGCATAGCTGCGAGCGGCGACGATGCCTCCATCATCATAGTCGTTGTCATGGTGACGACCGTTTGCCTTGCTACCCTTCCCAATAGAGAACACTGCTACTAGTGATATGTGGTTCGGAAGGTGTGGCACAGGTTGGAGCTGAAAGAGGTTGTCTGCCAATGCACAAAATGTGGTCCCCAGTTCCCGTCACGATATATATGTTCCTGGAGCCGTCTGCATTTACTCTGGTCTGTACTTTCAAGATATTCTCAATTCGATAGGGCCTGTCTCTACTGCCTCATATTTTGCCAGGTGTGGGAAGGTCAAGAACTCGAAGGATGGGAGGGCTGGATCGTTGTTGGTTGTTGGTGGTGGTCCAGTGAATGCCCTTACTGTACGGCGGGAAAAAGTGATATTGACGGGTAGGAGTTCGAGCCTTGACCTCTGGCAAGTGAGGCAGTGGGAGTGCAGGAAGGAGTGTTCAAGGTCAGATAAGAGGGGAACGAGATGAGGACTTTGCCTCGTTGCTGGGATACTGTCCACGGTGGAGAGCCTGTACAGGTAACAGGAAAAAGCCCGGCAACTTTCCCAGAACGCTGCGCATGCTCTTGCTCGGACAAGCCCAGAACTGCCGCTGGTTGGTCCTTGGCAGGTACCTCTCCAACCGCCGAACCTGGGCGACTCTTGCTTTGCAAACGCCTATTCGAGCCAAAGACCCACTGCCTTTAGTCAATTCTGGGGCTACTATTTGCGAGCTCCAACCCGAAAAGCACGCTTTTGTTAGCTGAGTTACCGCAGAGCTCAGACTGCAATTTCTACTGCCGCCATTTAGTGGCATATCAGTCATTGATGAACGATGATCGGATACATAGCACAAGAATGAGCGTCTATTTCCATGATCGTCGCTTCTAGTACATCGTTTATAACGATAGGCAGGCACGATGGCACCTTGCCGCTAAGCTTCTGCTAGCAAGCTTCAAGCGTCTCCGGACCTGGATATACAGCTTCAGCATAATGAACAGGGTGACCATGGCATGTCGTCTATCAGGAAAACGTTCAGGTTGACTACGAAGCTATCCATGCACGTTACTCTAGTGCTGCATTGGAGACATGTTCGATCGTTCTATGACAGGGTTATGCTGCCATCCTTCCGAACTCTCGTACTGTGTACATTACGTTCTGACCACCGATTGGTAGCACAATTCGGTCTGTACCTGGCTACGGACGATGCTACTCAGTGTGTCTTTTACTGCAAGAGCACAATTGTGCTAAAACTCACGAGGTAAGCAACATCAGCCTGGTCGCCCTCGTGTGTCTCAATCCAGCCTAGCCACGGACCTAACTCAGCACTAAAGGATTCTGTCGTCTTGTAGCTGCAGCCAGCCGGCACTGGTAAAGAGCTGTCATCCATGTTGCCAGGGACAATACACCCAGCTTTGCCGTTCGCACCACGAAAGGACAACCGCATGAGACCTCAGATATCCTGTTTGTTCACCCCCACTTACAGCAGACAGGTGAGCACTGATATCTCTAGAGAAAACCATGATCAGAATGTTTCACAACGTCGTTGCAGTCCTGAAGAATTTTAATCTCAATGCTAGTAGGGGACAAAATGGCGTTGAACGTCAAAGCTGAAATTTAGGGCGCACGGTCTCATCGCGAGTCTGGACCTCAGCCGTCTTTTTCTTCTTCACAGTCTGTGCTCAACAGTAGATTTGTATATCGATTACATTCCAGGGCTCTTTGAGATCGTGATAGCGAGGGTTGAGGGAGACACAAGTCTAGCATCCAACTGCAGAGCTACTTGTCAAAATAACGGCTATCATTGCGCAATTAGGCGATGGCGCAAAATGAACTAGTAGCTTGGAAGGGCTATTTCTGCTTTCGTGCGGAAAGCATTTCCTAGCATTGGTCATCCTTGACTTGACCACTCTGTGATATATTTGCTGACATTCAAGATGACTGGAAACGATTTTTGCGTCTCGACAACATAAACAGTATTGTCACAACTCGACGAGTACCGTATCACTACCATCGAATTGATTGTTTCAGCGTGACCTCTGTCCTACAAATCCTCCTTCCTGGTCCAAATCCCTCCAGTCAACCAGGCAATACCATGTCACCTTGGTGGAGGGGTTGCTAGCCGAGCTTGGAGCTCTTTGTTTGCTGATCAAGATCACTACTCCACTCACAAAACTCTCATGAACTGTTCGGCTCTGCCGGCGATTGACTATCAGACACAGTGACTGCCACTATGTCGAGCTTCCCACAACCGCTGGTCTTTCTTCCTTGCAGCTCAGCCCATATTCTCCAGGCCAGCACATCGAACAGCATCTGACTAAATCTCAGACCAAGTCTGAGATGGTAAGCCCGCGGGACAATAACGTCACGTTGTATTCGAGGCTAGAACGTAGGACAACTTGCTTTCCAACTGTTTCAACGAAGTGGGAACCGATGCGCTTTCAATGCTGCTTGGAAGGCACAGCTCGATTTAAGCTTTGACTAATCAGAAGCTCAGACTGCTCTTCTCAACCCAGGTTCAATGTCGCCATCAGTTCTTATCTGCATAGCCTGTTTGCTAGCGCTGCTGCGCTGGCAGAAATCGGAAGCAGGTTTTTCCAAAACGACAAAAAGACGCGATACTCTGAGTTCTGATGTCAACAAACAACACGACGGCAAGTCGGCGCCAACACGCGAACACGTGCCAGGGCGAGCTCTCGCACTGCAAAACGGCACGCCTTGAGAGGACAATCTCTTTCTCCACGCCGGAAGCTGGTGTACCGAGCACAGGAAATTGAGCCTCGCCCCGAGATCTTCGATCTCTGCTTGTGATGACGATGACAGCACCCGCCATATTTCACTTTCCTTGCTTCAACTTTTGAGCTTCGCGCGGCCTCCCTCAGCCTCACGCAAGCCAACAGGCCAGCTCAGACGATCCAACCTCGCTAGTGTTGCAGAAATCAGCTGATATTCTCCATTGACCACGCTTCTCAGTTTGGCGAGAAAATGGCTGCAGTCGCTCAACCAATCTTACTGACACCACTATATTTCAAACCAAGGCACAATTTGCCTTCATCTCGCGCAGCCAACCCCCAATTCATGTTAATGCACATCCTGAAGCTGTCAGATCGGTCGATCTACCTGTTACTCCTAACGTCATCTGGCCAACTTCGAGACCGCCTTCCTCAGTCCTCCGAGAGTGGAACGATGTTGACCTTGTTGAATGGCAGAACGGGTCGATATCACAAAAAAAACTTGCTTACTGTATGATTTGCGCTTGCCTTTTCCAGCTTCTCGACATGGTAAAACGCACAGGATGACAACAACAACAATCTCGTGCTATCGTCGACCTTCGTCGGCCTTGAAAGTGAAGCACATCGTTTTCGCTCCCTCGCCAGCGCGCCTACGAGCTGCGATTCAGCCATGCTGCCTTCGTGTCCTTGTGCACTTACGTCTGCGTCGATCTCCATTTCTTCGAGATAACATAGATGAAGTCCGTCCTCAAGGCTTTACTAATTTATCCAGACTGTTTCAGAAGTCATCTTTCAATGTATACACGTAAGTTTGAGAGTGGTCATTGATCATATACAGTTTTTCTCTGTCCCAATGCTACTTGCGTGATATACACGTCCAAAATTCAGGAGCAAATGTATGTTGAAAAGTAGATCGGTGGGAAGTTGCGTTCAGAATGAGAAACAAATTTGTATATGGAAGGGCAAGTCTTCTCCTCGGATCTGATGAAAGTGGATGAAAAGGTGGTCGTTCAGATATTGCGAGGTCGCATTCATTCCATCATAGCCAAAACCGTCACGTTCAATCCCCATCTCACAACATCCCCAAGCTGAGAGACCATAACTCATCCACGTCTCTCTTCTTCACGGGCCCGCCTTAACTACCGCAGACACATCAACCATCCTGCTCTAAAATGCTACAGAACCTCAAGCGCCCCCTTCTCAACACCACTCTTAACATCCCTCCATCTCGCCACAAGCACACCCCCCCTCTCACACCTCAATTCCACACTCGCATTCTCTTCCTGCGTCACATCCCCCTGCGTCCCCTGTCCTCCTCCTTCCAGCCCATCATCCGCAAACACATCAGTCTCGTTATTCCACTCCTTCGCAAGACACCTCACCATCACCGCCGCAGCCATATCGGGGCCCTCGTCCATCCGTCCTGTAGTCCCGGTGTTATCGTCTAGCCTTCTCAGGTTCGGGGGCAAACTCAGCAGGAAAGACGAATTGTATAGGTTCAGGAGTAGATGGTTGTGGTGCTGGAGGTACTGTGTTTCCTGCTCACTTAGTAGAGGGGTTTTTGTGTCGGTGTCGGAGGAGGAGGTGGAAGCATTGACGTGATACTTTGAGTAATATGTCGCGGATGTCGTTATTTTCGCTAGACGACACCGCAAGTAACTCCGCATTAGGAACTGGGTCCTGCTCAAGTCTGTCTGTAGTATGCTAAGGACGAGGTTGAGGTTTTGTTGTGGTTGTTGCTGCTGGTGATGTCCATAGTCGTTGCTGTAGGTCCCGCTTGCTAGGTCTTCGATTCGTGTAATCTGGGCACGGATGCGATCCATAACGCGGTTGATGAGTGCTGTTGGGTAGGCGAGAAGGGAGGGCGTACAGCGCTCGGAGGTCCAGTGTCTGGTTAGAAGTATGTGGTCTGTGGCTGCTATCGAGGGTTCATAGACGTAGGAACCGCCATATGGAGATGATGTGTCAGGTAGGCTTGATACATTAGGCCGGGATATGTCTGCTAAGATGTCTGAAATGTCGATGTCCATTTTGTCTAGGTTCAGAACGTATAAATCTGTTCAATAGCTGGGATCACTCGGTGCATCAAATCGCTTGCGAGCGTGTAGATTTCTGCATCAATGTATAGGATGTTAAGTCGGCAACCAAGGCGACCAAGTCGACCAAGTCGTGGTTACCTAAGTTGAGTGTCTACTATTGTGCCGTAAGAAGACTCCTGGCCAGTGGTATAAGGACTTGGTCTCCTTTTCGAGTCTGCTGCTGCGTGGTTGTAGACTGAATTCGAGTCACACCTTTCGGCGTGGACTTATCAAAGAGGTGGCTGGAGACAGAAAGAAACCTTCAGGAACGCATGGTATGCTGCAGCCCGATTTTTGGGCATGAAAGATGCTCGTTCGACCAGGGATGGCTGGGTGCAGTGATATCCGCCGAGACTAGAAAAGGGTAAAAAATTGTTGGCTATGTTCGTGATTTAACAGCCAAAAGTGGGAAATGCATGCACAGCATGGCAGCTTCATCGAAACTACTGACCATGAGGTAGGCCTACGGGCACAATACCAAAGGTGGGAAGAAAGAAGCGAGCACGTTGAACGAAAAGGATACACTTTAAATTCGATTCACCTGGAATACCACAAAATTGGCGTCACTGATATCATGCATAAAACCATAGTCGTGCTGTCCGAACCTGGCACTCAACTATCTGAACGCCTCACACCTTGCTAGAAATCAAGATTTGCGACCTGGCCCCAATATCACATCTATGCAACGCTTGTGTCCACACCAGAAACGGTCACAGAATCATGCTAAGTAGTTGTAAGAAGGATTCGAAGCATCTGATCCTCTTTCAAGATAATCTCGCTCAATCAGACTTTCAATCTTCTTCTTGATCATGCCAACATCTGGCTGAAATCTGCTTTTGAGGATGTCGATGGTCTCTGAAATCAATTGTTGATGTGACAATGTCTTCCTGGCCTTCATGACCTTCACGATAGCCGCGTCAATAACCAAGCCGCGCATGTCGTCAGCCTTTTTCTGAGTCTCTTTGCGTTGCTCAACTGTCTCAACTTTGTTGGCGTGGTCAGAAACAAGGGCAACTTTGAACTTCCGATAGGCGTGCTCGAACTTCTCGTTGTATGAGAAGACGTCTGTAGGGTTGACATCTCTGGTCATAGGCTCTTTCCGAAGCAGACGAGTTTTCGGCGCAACAGCCACAGATAGAAGGGTTTGGACGACCTTGTCAGCTGGAATGTTGGTCATTTGTTGGATCTGATCGCAAGTCAATCTTTCGTGCTCGTTGAACAGCATCAAGACAATCATGCAATATGTCGGTCCCGTAACTTCGTAGACAATAGGCTTGCCATTTTTCTCGTATGTAACACGCATGGTAACGTCGCCCATGTGCGGCAACCACGTCAGCTTGCGACCAGTATGTTTGCTGTGGTAGTATCGTTCGAACGATTCCTGCGCTTTTGCAACCTCAGGAGGAAGTATGGCAGGCTTGTCGGCACCCTCTGGAATAGTGATTGGCCACACTGTTGTCGTAAGTATACTGGGCTCGAACTCAATCTTTGGCTTGATATCCTGCCTCTGAACGTGTTCCCTGTATCCTGATGTGAGATTCTCAGAAAGCTCAATATCTTTGAGCAGGCCTTCCATCTTGGCAGTGAACTGATTGCCAAGACGCATCTTCATCTTCGAGAGCATCTGGCGTTCAACATCACGGCTCACAGATTTGCCCATCAACAGTCGCTTAGCCATGTGCTTGTGGTAGTAAGTTTCGAGCACATCCTTATCAGCTAGATATTGCACAAGGGTTACACCACTGTCAAGCAACAAATCAATCTCTGCCTCGGATCTGTCCTTGATACCAGATTTGAGATATTGGTCAAGGAAAAGGGACACAAATTCCGGGCTTCTGGGGTTGCTATTGATGAAATCCTGGAAGCTTATTTCAAGAGCTTTCTCCATGACTGCATCGGACTTGAAGGCGCGCAAGAGCACTTTATCGTACTTTGCCTTCAACTTCAGCACGTCTTCGACCCAGTTGATCGCGGCTTGAGTAGCTTGGTTGAGTTTTTGAGCAGCAGGTTTTTCCTTCTCCTTGCCTTTTGCGTCACCTTCCTTCTGATCTTCCTTTTGCCTGGTCGGCATTTGAGTGGCAATATGATTGGCGCCGTTGTTGATCTCTGTGCCTAATTCCTGGATGCGCTTGTGTACAGCGTCTTTCAGATGTTTTAGGCGTGGATCGACACGCTTGACGAGTTCGTACATGTTTAGGAGATCAGTCATCTTGTCGTTGTCGAGCATGTTCCTTACTCCTGTCCCTGGTAGATTGATGACATCGGCAATGTGAGCGCCAACCAATTCTTGCTCTACAACCAGTCGAATCTTCTGATCAGTTGCCATAGAGAGACATTGCTGACATCTCTCTTCTTCCTCTTTCAGTCTCTGCCGAGCCTGGCTGCAGAAGGTGGTAGCATCAGCCTCTTGAACGAGCTTGACACCCTCGTTCCTGTAGAAATCGCGGCTCGCTTCCAGAAAATGTGGTTCGAAATGAACGAGGTATAATCTGGTAGATTCTTCTTCCATGAGGCTTTGATAGAGGTTCTCTAACATGCGACAACTGGCTCGGATGAGTGGTCTCTCTATGATTTCGCCCTCTCTTTCTAGCTGAATCATTTCCAGCATGACAGTTTCCAGCAGCTCGAGTATGGTGTAGTGCAAGTCATCATTTGCTTTTGCCTGCAACACACGTTCCCGAAACAGGCCAAGGGCAACGGCATATATCGAGGACTTGCGACCCTCAGAAGTGGATATTCTGTCCATGTACATAAGGACGTCTGTAATCATTCCAGCTTCTTGTGAGTGGTCGTTGAAAGCCTTTGTCAACTGAGCCATAAACCGCTCGCCGGACTGTCGTCGCTCGTTAGAAGAAACATCAGCACCCACATTAGGCAATAACAATGTCGGAGTAGCAAGACTTCTAATCTGAGCCTTCACTGTATTGTCTAAGTGTTCAATTTCGAGCTTCTTCACGTTCTCGAAGAGAAAGTCTCCTTTCTTCTTAAGAACCAACTTGTAGGCATTCCGGAACAATTCTTCGTAAGATAAATTGGAGGCATTTCGGCCGTGGATCTCGCGGAAGGCCTTGTCTAGAACTGCCCAAATCTGTTCGCAATCGACTTCGTCTTTTGTGAATGCCTGCATGACACACGGTCTGGTTAGCCCAATTTTTATAGACATGGTTGGTTGGAAGGAGAAGAGATTGAAGGCAAGACCTGAAGATGTACAGGGTGTCGTAGGAACTGGGCAACTTGGAGTGAAGGGTAAAGCGTTTGGTGAGCGAAAGGTTGCGGGCTGAGATCATACGTACCCTCCTAGGAGCTCTTATTCTACCTCTACCTCGCCCCGACATCATGGTGCTGAGTGAAATGGCGCTGAAGCGCGCCTCAATCGAATGCCTTTATCGCAGATACTTGTAGCAGGTACAGGTGACCTGGGGTGGGAACAAACGTGGCGGTTGTGGCAGTAGTTGTCAAGTACAGACTATTAAAGATTGATTGCAAGACAAGAGCAAATGCACACCAGTGACGATAACTATGCGGATTGTGGAAGAGGTCAGTCAAGTGAAAGGCTTGCAGCGAACAAAGTTGTGTTTGGTGAAGGCTCAAGTCACAGTTCTTACGTTCTTGCCTTCAAACTGCCTGCTGTGGCTGCCCGCAATTGGCGCTCGAAAAATAGGGCATCGCACCTGAAGATCGTCGTCATTTTGATCAGGTTTTCCCCTATCCAGCCTAGCGTCTGCGTATACTACTGATACTATCTTTTGGCCTCTCTTGTTTCTCCTTGAGAGATCATCCCATTATCTGCTCTTCACCACCATCAGTGATATCGCGATGCAGTCTACAGTGTCCCTGAGAGCCTTTGTGGCCAGGCGCATCATACCAATGTCTGTACGACCATATCAGCATTTATCTGCTCCCACACGTCGATCGATACAGTGCCTTCCTTCCACGCCTCTACAACGTGCTCCTCTTCTGCGGCGCTGGAATTCTTTTCTGGCCATACCAGAGTCTGAAGCGAAGCGAACCCCTCCCGCGGCACAGCAACCATCATACCAGATAACGTTTACGTGCAAACCTTGCAGCCGTCGTTCGAGTCATGTGGTCACCAAGCACGGTTATCACAAAGGCACAGTGCTGATCAAGTGTCCTTCTTGCGAAAATCGCCATGTCATCTCTGATCATCTCAAAATATTCATGGACGAACATTCCACCTTGGAAGATATTCTGAAACGTACAGCTGGCACAAATCAGGATCTCAGCAAGCTGTTAAAGAAAGGCAAGCTAGGTATGAGGCCTGGTGAGATTGTGGGAAGAGAAGGTGACGAAGATGTCGAATTCTGGGACGACGGTTCACAAAGTCAACACACACCTACCGCCTCAACTCCTTGAAACCCAATATATCTCATGTACTACAATCTCTACTCCTAGAAAGACTACCATCCTAGTGGTGGACGATTCACCATTTGCGCAATGCTCCAACATAGCGGGTGCGCTGCATGACCAGCTGACGACGATTCACAACGGCCAGGTTCTACACTCTGCATGCAGAGCGGTAACGTTCTGTTGCTCTCCTCTCGTCCAATTCCACTATAGGGACTAGTGGTCGTTTGCTTGTTATCTTACAGTCAATGACCTGAGCGCCGCTCTACAACCAGCCTTTTCCTCTTGTTGTTCGCGTGGTGAAGCACAATGTCCATGGGAACCAACAAATTGTCTTAGGTCAGAGATGACTGAGAACTTTCGAAAAACGGTATCCACAAAGGAGCCTCTTTCGGCTTCTATATAGCCAGGTCCCATCCTAGAATCGAGTTCCGCCAGAAGTCATGGCTGATCTATACAATGGAGCTTGCAGCGTCACAAACAGGGACCCATTCACCTTCAACTCGAGAGACCGATTAGCACTTCAAATTGCTCGTGGCTTTACACATGCCCATACCGTACGGTCACGTGTCGGTCTCTCCATCCTGAGTCATTTACTGATCACGTAATATGAAGCAAGGCCAACACATTTACGCTGCTACTGATCGAAGGGCGTACCCGGATTCCTGTATGTATGCTTGACGCTCCTAATCTTGTCGTCGTTCATAAATGCCATTGTCTTTCTAGCAGCTATCGCAGAATATCGACGCCACTACTCAGGTCGAATTTCATCCTTTACGCTAAGTTAACCTTATGGCTACATCATCCTCGCACCAGCGTCCAGCCGATTTTTCACTTTACAATTATTTGGCGGTTTCACATGGACCACGTGCGTCAACTGCTATCCTTGGTGGAAGCGCAACACCGTCGCTATCTCTGAATGATATTATCTCCCTTTCTGACGATCCCGATATTAGCAGGACTGCGTTTACAACAGCTCTTGTCGCTACTCCCTTAGGTCTGGCATCAGATCGAGGCTCTAAGCATCTTCGTGCCAATATTGCTTTAACATATGATGGATCCACAGGCATTACAGCCGATAATATCATCGTTGCTAATGCGACAACAGGCTCGAATCATATCGTTCATCGCTCGCTTCTCCGGCCAGGCGATCACGTTATTATTCAGTATCCGATTTACGGGCCACTGATCGAGGAACCACGCGATATAGGCTGCGAGATCTCTTATCTTCGCCTAGATCCAGCAAATAATTGGTCTTTCGACCTCGGTGAGCTGCAAAGCCTGATCCGACCCCACAAAACCAAGATGATCATCCTCAACAACCCAGTGAACCCGACTGGCACTCACGTTGGTACAGATACTCAACGTGAGATTATCAAGATAGCCAGGCAACACAATCTCTACGTCCACTGCGACGAGATATTCAGACCACTCTATCATACCACGACTAAATCAGATATTCCAGCTTCTATGGTCGAATATCCAGATCTCAAATACGACCGTGTCATCACTACCTCGAGCCTCTCAAAGTGTTATGGTCTATCTGGTATTCGCATAGGCTGGATTGCGACACGTTCACCAGAGCTACTTGCAAAATTTGTGAATTATAGGATGTATTCTGTTCAGGCCTTGAGCATGCTTGATGAGGTAGTAGCGACAGAAGTTCTCAGTCCGCGATGCCGGCCCTCGATTCTGCAGAAACACCTTGCCCTTGCTAAACATAATCTCAACCTGATTGAAGCATTTGTCGACAAACACGAAATACAATGCGAATGGACAAGGCCAACTGCTGGAGCTGTTGCTTTCGTCAAGTTCAAGAATGCACGGAGTGGAGAACCAGTTGACGACATGGACTTTTGCGAACGACTAGTTGCGTCTAAAGGCGTTCTGTTGAGTCCAGCTACTCTATGCTTCGAGTTTGATGAGGCTGTTCCTCCTGCTGATGACGCACTGAAGATGAAGGGTGCCGAAGGTTTAGAGGAGTTTAAGGGACGTGTGAGGCTTCACTTTACTTGCAATACTGAGGTGCTCGAGAAGGGTTTAAGAGGCTTAGCAGAGTTTCTGGAGGAAGAGGTAAGCTTGTAGCAGGAGTGAGGCTGCGCTATCGTCTAGGACGCCGATATCAGGTTGGCGCTGTTGTTTAGAGCTACAATCTTCATGAATTTGCACGGCTACCATCGTGTCAGCGACTTAGTAGTCTCACAAATTTATTTATCTCGGCTGTTGTAGCTGAAACTTCAATTTCCAATGCATTTACTACTACTGTAGGCCGTTTGGACGATGTGATCTGCTGCTTTGGTTTCTTCCATCTGGAGAACCAGATGCGGAATTCTCGGTTTCTCTTAACACAGCGGTGCTCCGAAAATCTCATTGTCTCAACCACAAGGAGTACTAGTACAGCATTACTCGTGCATATATATGCTTGAACACTAAATGACTGCGTTTTTGTTACTTCTAGTAAGCCCGTGCGCTGGGTGAATCTGCCGCCAGAAAATTGCAATTTATTTACCAACCTGTATCATGCACGAGAGCATCAGATTTATTTTGACCACTAATCCAGAAGATACGACGAATTGAGTGGCAGGACTTGTTCTGTAAGAAGCACGCTCTGGGCTACGCCTTCCTTGAGACTTGCTCAATGTCAATCTTATCAGAAGTGGACAAGAGCCACAACCCTCTACTGGGGACATTCCATGCCAAACTCATGGGCTGCCAACCTCCAGAAGCACGACTCTGGGAACCACAAGGAACGCTAGAGAATGACCTGGTTTGAAGGACTGTTGATCGAAATCTCCTCGGTCAATACACGAGATGCTACGCATTGCCTCAACGAGTCTCGCCTTGCTCTGCCCTTCCTTGTCTTGATGGGTCTACAACCGAATCCTAACAAGGGCTGTTGCTGGGCTTCACGAGCAGCACTTGATCTTGTCTTGCCGCGGTACGATGGCCTTCTGAGCTGGAGTGGATGGGGCTTTGGGACGCGCCTGCCAGCGAAAGAGCTACAGTGATCGGCAGTATTACACCATCGTAGAGAAAAACCGAGATGTAATCTGCACTAATCGCGAGCCACTATCAAGGTCTCCATCTGCCACCTACAGTATGTACTGTACTCGGTAACCCCACAAGCCTGGCTGGCATTCACTGCTACATATCTCATTGCCAGGGTCCGTACCATACTGGTCCACAAGGGATTAGAAGCTGGAACTGTTGCCTCAAGTTCATGTTTGCACACAACCAGACGTATCACTGAATTGGTGGCTCGGGATCAGAAGTGCTTGGTCTCAGTACGGTTTACAAGAAAAACACGTAATGACTGACAGTACTTTGATGTGATTCAGACAGCTGGAAGAAGCCGTGCAAGATCTCGGTTCCTCGCCTGCATAACCAAATCAAGAGGACAGGCTGACGCACATAGCTAGCAATTCTCCAATACAAGCATACAAACATATGCAAAAAATGCTGGACGCTTTGCATGAGCCAAGGACTGAAGGCGCTACTCGTGTTGATCGTGTCAAAGGCACAAACAATTCCTGGAAAGGTGATAGGGAATGCATGTCTAGCGCCAGCACACAGATGCTTCGATCTTCATGTAAGTTGTCTGCTTGAAATCCAGCCACTGGTTCAATACCGATCGTGCCCTTCATCTATACTGAAACCGTTTGTGAAATTTTGGACACGGAGTGAAACATCAAAAATCCTATAATTTCCTCAACATCATGTGAATTCCTTCGCAGCAATCCTCGTCCTCCTTCAGTTGAGCTGTTTGCTGCCAGACATCTCTGGCAACTTTTGCCTCGCTGTCGATCATGAGAGGAACAGCAGACAGCCATGGTGGATTCAATGCACCACAGCACTTGCAATAGTGTACAAGCTATGCAAGCGAGCTGCATGTGCGATGAAGATCATGTTGGGCTATTTTCACTTTGATGTCATCTAGGGCAATTCATTGGTTCATGGAGGCTCCAGCGGACGCGGACTCCGGGTAATTCATTGCTTGCGCTGTGCTTTAGTGCATCTCTGAACCATACTTCCATATGGCCAACGTGACAACAATCGACGCTCGCCTAATAGTGACGATCTCTCATGGCACTCTAACCTCCACAAAGCTCGTTGAGGTAGAAAGCTGCGATTATCAAGTCCAGTCCCTCCGTCATGCTATGAGAGAGCTTTGTCTGTCTGAAAGAACTTCCGCCAATCGGTTCGATTCCAGCAGCGTCAAGTCTTCGAAGGGACCTCTCGCTGATGCGCGACTCGCCGAGTCATGTCCCTCTCAGCGGCTTCTGCTCGGTTACTAATCGTTTAGCCCTCGAAGAGCAATTCAAGCTCCACATTCTCGAAGGTCAAGTGTAAGCGAGACTTGCTCACTAGAGAGCGTTGCCAACGCAGGCCAGCTCCAAATACCAGCCATGCTAGCTGTTGTAAGCTTTTGAATCCGCCGGGTCTCGAGACTGGAAGCGGCGGAGAGGGTAAGAAGGTTCCAGTCAGGATTGACTAAGTGGTAGCCTATTCAATGGCCGAAACATACACACTGGCTTGTCATATACCTTGCCCTACAACCGTGGTGTCGAGGTCCAATATCTGGTGCGACAGCTACAGTGACTTTAGCAGTTGAATATGACGGAATCTTTGGTTGGTGCAAAGATGTCTACAAGCGACATCTGCGCCTGTCTCGGTTGGCAGCTGGATGAATTATCGACAACGAAAGACAACCGTTTGAAGCCACCAGAATCGATGATATTCTCCGCCGTCAAATGGAAGATCTACTACGACTCCAGCAACAGCGCGACCCCTATAATTCAACCACGACCCTTGCGAGCGTCACTGTAGTTGTCTTCTACTGCATACTTCGAGGGATTGTGCCTACACTCAACACTACACTTGCTCTTAGAGCCGTACAGATTGCACGTCTGGGTCGGACGAACGGGATGGGCAGGATATGTCCAGCGGTACCCACGGCACGGCGTTGAGGCAGACAGTTTGAAGAGTGCCGCCGACCTGACACAGCAAGGAAGACATAGCATCTCAAGCTGCTTATTCTGACGGGCACAACCAGGCACAGATGCATACAATGGTCGTAAGACAGGTCTACATACCACATCCTGCCAGAAGTCGTGCTTCCAGCACTGGGTCTGTGGTGACTCGACTCCCACCACGGTTGTACAATAACGTCACAATTTCGCATGCGAGGGCAGAATATATGATCCAACATCGTGGCCTCCGGGGTTGTTCTCATCCTCCACTTCTTCACCGGGATCAGGCGGGTAAGAGATGTTACCCTACCCATGAAAGTCTGCCTGGTCAAGCCATATCTTGCTAGGAAGGAAGTACGAAATCCCCACAGATACGCACATGACCATGACTTGTTCGATCATTCACGATATCTTGGCGCCAGGATGCAGGATTTTGTCGTTGTGGAACACGATAAGCGAGCACGACGTTGGAAAAGGTTAAACGCAGCCAGGAAGCTACCAGGATATCTACCGGGGTTTGTCTGATGTACAGGGTACTATTTCGTTCCAGGTCTCACATCTTGGACAGAACCACTGCGTACGTAGCTTGAATACTCTGTGTTCTTGAAGAACAGATGAAGCAACAAGGGAGGTACAATATTTTTTATAGATAGCTATACATACATACCATAGCCAAGAAGTTCATATACTTTGTCACAAAGCTTCTACTATATCTGGAAGGCAAGTGATGTCTGATTCTGCCACCATTCTTGCAGCAGAGTAGCACTCTCGCTACATGACTGGACTCCATGCATCTGTTAGAATCATAGAGGCAGTAGCTCGACGTCCTTGCTTGTGTCTAGCTCTTCATGCCGCGATAGTTCAATGTGCTGATTGACGCAAAGCCTATATGATGTGAAGAATTAGTCATCTTCTCTCACTCACAAAAGCTAGCAGTGGCTGAAGACGACAACAAGAATGCCTATACCCAGATTGGGCCATGTCTTAATGGCAGGAAAGTTGAGGTATGGTGAGAGGTCGATGTACAAGCGGTAGCAGTAGCTATAGTTCCCAGATATCATCGACAAAGAGGCGGCGTGGAGAGATCGTAGCACAGTGACGTGCGATCCATCACCTAATCTTTGCTGTAAAGAAGTTGATCTAACTGGATAGGTTCTGCGAAAGGTGTGATCCATCCCTGCCAAGCTGTCCAGCGAGAGTGAGACTTTCATGAATCCCTGCAGCGCTTCGCCGAAAGAGCCGGCATTTAAAGGAGACACAAGCTGTAATTCCAGAGATTGTGAAAATGTTTACTCACGGCTTAACATATGGATCAAACGTTTTCCAATAGGGGTTCTCGAGGTGGTATTTCTGGCTGCTCTCGTGCTCGAAGCGCTCGACAATGCTGAACTTCCGTGGATTGTTTACATCCTGCATGACGAACCAGTCGACTGTTTCTTTGTCCTTTCGGTAGACGCGAGCTGCTTCGATGAGCTTGCGTTTGATCTTCTCGATTGAGTCGTCATCCTTGGCTTCGAGATGACACACGAGTGTATAGACCATGTTGGTAGTAATAGAGATAAGGTTGATTTAGAGGCGTGTACACCAGACAAATTCCGAAGCCTTCTCGGTATTGCATGGTGAAAGAGGCCTCGTAAAAATGAGGACTAATCACCCCGCATAAACGTCATCCATGTACCGTGCGCTAGCTCATTCTTGTTTTTGTGTTTTCAAACAGGGAAGGCGACAGCGACGAAACCATTAGATTTGGGAGGTAGAAGTGAGTGGCCCGTATTCCTGTCCTTCCATGATGCTTTAGGTTCGATTTGGCGAATTTATTGGACATTTTGGTTTCCTCTGCTTAGCATAAATCTCACCCTTGGATGTAGCAGTGTTGATAGACAGACCTTCACATGCGGTACAGAAGACATTGACCTGGTAGCTGAAATCGTAGTGAACTCACCGTTGCCACTGAAATGTATGCGCACGCCGTTGACCTACCACCAACTATGTGCTATTCATTCGTGCCCTGAAATTGATATCGCTGCTGATCATCCGAGTCTCGGTCTCGACAGCTTCTACTTTGATCGGAATACTCAAAGCAGCGTCTTTCCTGATCTCTATATTGGTTCCAGCAACGAACAGTGGTAGAGAGCGCTGTATCATCTTCAGCCGTACTGCGAGTATGAGCGCATCATAGTCTTCATCATCCTCGATGAAGTAGTCTATCATTTCCAGAACCTTGTCATAAGTTGGCACGATGGGTGCTGGAGGTATGCGAGCTTCGGACCCAACCTTTGTAAGTTGAAGTTTTGCGTATTGCCTCCACCTCTCTGACATGAAGCGCATCTGCGCTTGATGACTGGCGAGCATAATGTTGAACCGGCTGCAGTCGTTCGGTCGTACTTGAAGTGCTTTGGCTCTTGCTTGGTCTAGCAAACGGATTCCAGTTACAGCTTCTCTGATACCCCACAGAAGACGGATCTGAAATTTCTCGTCATGGTTATCATCAGGATCCTGTACATACTTGAGAATATCAGGGCTTTTGAGAGCTTGAGGAACACCAGTAGCGCAAACAGTGACATACCACGCGACAGCTTCGCTGACTTGTCCGTTCGGGAAGCCTTGCTCGCACATTCTTGCTGCACTAGCCAGGTGCATGACAGCTCGATCCCACTGGCCAATCCATGCCTCCATGAACCAGAAGACGAAGGCAACAAGTACAGTCACCTCTGGAGGTGGCTTCTCTTTAAAGATGCTAGTAATGGCCATGCTGCTCTGCTTGACGGCCTCAACGACAGCTTGTCTTTCGTTGGATTCACCAAGCGAGAACCTCTCGATTGATGCCGTGACTGATGCAGCGGACAGTAGACCATGCTTGAGGCAATCGTAATTCCATGCAGCTTTCGGGAGTTCGCATCCTAAGATATTGAAATCACCGAAACTGCGTGAGATGACCTGGCAGCTTTCGGTACGATTTTGCCAATGTACGAATGTTTGATGTTCCGTTTGTGACTTGTAAGGCGAACTATGGACGTATTTGAACGTTGGCGGGTGATCGGGATCCTCGAACATGTCGATTTTGCGCTGAAGCAGTTCAAGAGCCTGGACCTCTTCAGGAAGATCCTCTGCGAAGTCTTCCAGTGGAGGCTGGGTATATTCGCACTTACGGCTTGAAGCTGTACACCGGCCACACGCTGGTCGCCCTTCGTCACACTTGATGCGTCGCTTCTTACATGTCACGCAACCGCTCCGTGACTTGGGAGCCCACCGTTTCTGTCGCGTGTGCTCGGGTTCTGGCGAAGTTGAATGCTTGCTTGAAATTGAGCTCCTTACACTAAGCGATGTTTGAGAGCTTATCGGACTTGATCTGTCACGCAATACTGAAGTTACACTGCCTGAGCTCGGCGAATTACTGCTGATTTCGTACACAACAGTGCCTGGGTCTTCCTGAGCGGACTCGAACAACCATGCTTTGGGAGTGCGGTACCCTTCACATTTACCAAAGTCTTTAATGCATCGTTGACATTCGGGTCTGGCTTCATCGCATTTGAGATGACGTTTTTTACAGCTGATGCAGCCATGTCGACTTTTGGCGTGATGCTTCTTCTTTCGGTCGTCTGGATGAACCCTCATATTGGGTGGCGAACGTCGCAAACTTTGAACATAACCTGAAGATAGGGCAAAACGTGTCGCTAGCAAGCGACGAACGCGATCATGTTGTTCTTTTGATTTCGTGAAGGCGGGAAGCTGGAGAGTTGGTGTGAAATGGTAAGTGGCTACAGGAGACTGACTCGCTTACTTTAGCTTTTCGTTTTGATAAGCCTTCGGCACTTCCTCGCTTCTGGTTAGAACAGTGGACGGTGTTGAAGTGCAGTGCTTTCGACGAAGCTAGTTGGAGGTCCAAGTCGCTTACATCCAGGAACACGAGATGGCAGATACCAGTATCAATGCAGGTTACAATAAGAGGCATGCACAACCTTTTTTGTCCGGTGTCTCGAGAGCGTGAGGTACCAGTGAATCACCGTGTTGGGCTTGAACAAGCACAACGACATGATCTACATTACGCAGTACTAGTTTTGCAGATCGCAGGCGAAGCTACCTGTGTTCGCCGTGCCTAGACTCCCGCCTAGAACATAGCTGGCGTGGCGACTCCACGATTTGCTGGGCGTTTGCAAGGACGTTCAAGAAAATACATGAGGTCTGCCTTCAACCTTCAAAGAGGTATTGGCTTTTCCAGCGTTGTACAGCAAGGCACAGCATTACAGGCCGTCTTCTAGCGTGCTTCAGAACTTAGCATGATAATATATTACGTGGAAATTTCCAATAACTCAAACCCATTCGCAGCTGCTCACACATCATTCTAGCTCAACCATATGCTGGTAATGTTGCCAGTGCGCACATGCTGAAAGGCATGCCTCGCTGTTATTCTTCAGACCGGGATGATGGAGAAAGAGTTCCTTGGTCAATCTCGGCTTGGCATGATTTAAGCTAGAACTTGACATGTAGCATGCTTCTCATCTGCTCGATGTGAGGAAGGTATTGTGGTATACCCTGAGGTTCTCATGACACAACTGTCGAGGACCAGATGTGATCCAACTAGATTCACGCAGCTAAATGTAGAACCCGCAGCCAAGGTACGAGTGTTGGACGAGATGTCACTGGCTACCACTCTGTGAGAAGACCAATTTTGCGATGCTGCAGTGCTGGAACCTGAGAGAGCCACCATAAAGGCAGACGGAACCGGAAACAGAGTGTTGAGCTGCGTGATTGAGCATACTTTTCAGAATCACACAAACGTGGAGAGCTCTTTCAACAATCTGACCGGCGGGTTCTCCCAGGTACACAAGAACTGATCACTTGCAGGGAGGCTATGAGTACCTGAACCCTTTCGATATCGTGCCAAGAGGTGCCAACATGGTTTAGTGCTGGTTGTGAGGATTCTGGTTCTATGACTGTAGAATTGCATTTACAACCTGTCGGGCGATGGGGAAATAATTATGGAAAAGCAGAGGAGTATAATACTCAGCGAACACATATACCTTCATATCTCCAGCAAGGCTATACTGTGACTGGATCGGTCTTAAGAACGCCATGTATACTCGATAACTCCTCCCTCTTTGAGCAGCTGGATCGCCAAAAAAGCTGTTCCATATTACATACCAATTTTCCATTTCGATGCGAGTGGTGTGCAAATCGGTGCCTCTGTGAATTCACATGCGCACTGCCATCTCGGTCGAGGCTCTCATCAGTGCCGTTCAGAGTACGAATTGTTTCAACTTCAGCTTTTCGGCGAATGTCCCGCCATGGGATAATCATACGAAGAAACTCCATCACTCAGATCGCCGCTCAATCCTTGTATGATAGGTCCATCTTCTTATCGCGGTCCTTCTAACTTCGAGTTGAGAACTTCTGGCAGCTTTAACGGTTGCGAGACGCCGCTGAAGTCCACAGATCTAGACTGCCCAAATACCTTCCACTTCTAACAGCGAGAACTGAAATTGAGTAAGCTCAAGATGATCATGGCGAGAGCGTGACGATCATTAGTGGGGCGCGCGTAGGCTACCGACAGCTAACGCGAAACACGAAATACGCTGAGAACACGATGTTCACGTGATGATCTCCGGATTCGACGCGGTGCTTGCTTGAAGCCTCACCTTTCACTTGGTGCCTGTGCTTCACGATATTGTATTGGATTGTCTTAGCTGGAACCTCCCACTGCGGGCATATGTGCCCAACAATGCTACACCATGATATGATTCCACGTCCATGGAACATTCTCATGTTGCCCATAATGAGAGACTATGTAGTGATTCAAGTTCTTCTGAGTTTGCAAGAGCCCGGTCTTCTGGGACATGAAGCGCACGGAAGGTGTATGAGCCGAAAGTCGTCCAAGGTCAAGAACAAAGAGATCTTGTATTATGTGAACCAACAAGAAGAGCCAAGATGGTAACAGAGGAAAGAACACGTTTCGTACGCGTCTCCGACTGACTGGTTGTACCTGCCTACTAAGTAGGCCTTTTGCCTTCAAAATTCGAATGCTGCGGATCCACGCTTTTTGTTGTTGTTTTGTCTTCACTGACTACTTCTTACCGAACAACCAGCTGCTCTGGAAAAAGACACGAATTTTCAACATGGGTCGATGGGGACATGGTAAGCAAAGCATTAACAGAAATCTTGAGCAGGCTAACAGATGAAGCTATGTTTGAGGGTACAATGACAGAGATCTCGTTTCAGAGTTCGAGTCTGTTGTTGGTGTCTCGATGATGGACGATCCACATGAGCTCAGGGAGGCACGAGAGAAACTTGATGCTGGATTAGGTGCAAGACTTATGTAAGAGTGTTGACACAAGGAGACTGGTTCTGCCAGCTTCTTCGATCCAAAATACACGACTGTTGTCCTTGCCGCCTACATGATGAACTGTGGAGCTACCATATCAGATGCAGACCGAGCCCACCTCCGAGAACTCCTCCCGAAAATCCCCAGTCGAAGTGGCTATGCACTCCCAATTTCTGATCTTGACCTTCGAGATCCTGGCAAGGTACAATTTCAAGCTGCACTTGACCACTATGTCAATGGTGAACCCAAAAGCTTCCTCGTGCCAAGGCAAGTACTTTTCTCCATTCATAACAAGGCTGTCGCTAACCAGTCTTTACAGCTGTTATCATTGTGGTAAGATTCCTGATGACCGAGCCCAAGTCCAACTCAAGAAATGCAAGGGATGTACAGAGAATCACAGAATTGCATTCTATTGTGATAAGGAGTGCTAAAAAGGAGACTGGAAGAAGCACAAGAAAACTATTTGCAAGCCACTCATGCCAGGGAACGGTTTCATTCTCATGAACGTCTGAAGATATCTTCTACGCCGATGCGAGATGGAATAGCAGAAGTTGTGGAAGACACGCTCGAACCAGTGTCAGTCTAGCAGATATTGATGGTCATACCGAACAATGCACTCGAGTGGTCATCAACAGGGACAGAAAAATACCCGGCTATCAATCTTCAAAAAGCTGAAAGCTCAATTTACCATGATACAAGAAAAAACAAACCAGAAGAAAGGCGGTAGCTAAGATGTCAGAATGGTGAATTTACAACATTATGCGGGCCATACCTCACAGACTTGTCTATCCTTGCATTGACATCTTAACGTTTCTCTGAGGCCACTACTGTCTAGCAGATCATGCCTCCTCCGCATCCTCGGTCCTCCCTGTGGAGAAGAACGATGGCGTCACACGTTGCTACGTACAAAGTAAACAGCATCGCTATTTACTCATATTCGATCGTGCCCGCAAAGTTGTGCTAATGGACAGTAACAATCAAGGACCTTCTAGACAACTTTTTGATGACTGAGCACGAGCACTAGCACTAGTCAACTTGCAAATAACAGATCGAACCATCCCCATACCCATCATGGCAACCACCACCACAACTCAATCACTTCCTTCAAACATGCTCGCCGCTCAAATAGTAGGGTTCCACAAGCCACATTCGATAAACAAGATCCCAGTCCCAGACATCAACAATCTAAACCCGCATGATCTCTACTTGAAGGTGGCTGTATCTGGTCTTTGTCATTCAGACCTAGAATATCTGAAGGGTACCTTTCCTCACATCAGCCTACCTATCACTGGGTCGCATGAAGGCACAGGCGTCATATTGGCCAAGGGTAGTGCAGTTGACTACTTCAATGTCGGTGATCGAATTCTTGCAGGACAGACTTTCGGTCGATGTGGCGAGTGCGATATTTGCAAAGGGCCTGAGAACTATAGGTAACTATGCTCTACATTAGTTGCTGATCTTCAAGCTCGCTAATATATCAACAGGCATTACTGTCCACATCGGGAAACAATGATGTCCGTTCACAGGAACGGTGCTTTTCAGGAGTATCTCATCGTCGACGGAAGAGAAGCAGCATTAATCCCAGACAGCATGAGTTTCGCTACTGCCGCACCATTAGCCTGTGCAGGTATGACCAGCTGGCGCGGCGTCAAGCAGTGCGAGCTCAAGCCAGGACAATGGATCGCGATCGTAGGCAGTGGTGGAGGTCTAGGCCACTTGGCAATCCAAATGGCGAAAAAGGCATTCGGACTCAAGGTCGTGGGAGTAGATGCACGGGACGAAGGTCTAGCATTAACGGAGGAAGCAGGAGCTGACCTCGTACTGGACGCCAGAATAGGCAAAGAAAACTTCGTCGAGCAAGTCCACAAACACACTGACGGCAAAGGCGTCCACGCCGCACTCAACGTCTCAGACGCCAAATCTGCCGCTCCCACAGCAGCCGCCATTACCCGAGACCACGGAACCGTCGTCCAAGTCGCCCTTGTAAGTCTTATTCCTCCCTCCTAATATATTGGCCTCCACTACCTCTACTAACACTTAACCCCACAGATCGACGAAGTATCCCTTCCCTTCCACGACGTAATCTTCCGAAACATCCACCTAAAAGGCTCATTCATGGCCTCACAAGCAGAAATCCAGGAAATGCTCTACGCCGTCGTCAAACACAAGATCAAGCTCGAGAATAACATCTTCCATGGAATACCGGAAATTCCTCGAGCTGTGGAGATGTTGAGGAACGGAGAGTATAGAGGGAAGGCGTGTATTGTGGTTGATGAGGGAGCGCCTGGGACGTTGCCTGGTGATAGCAGGATGTGAAAATAGGGTGATGGTGGTTGTGTTTGAATCGAATAGCTTGAGGGCAGCCGTGATGATGGACTGACGTGTACGCCACTGATGGAGTTAGACAACAGCGTTCTTGAGAAAATGAGGCATTATAGAACGAGAATAAAGCCCAGATAGAGCCGCTGGACAGGGAACTTGGTCATCTGTCCTACTCTGTTGTCGGCATTCTCATCCTTCAAAATTCTTTGCAACGTAGCTTGTATAGGAAAACCTTATAGCACGCACGGGAAGCAGAAGTTGATTTGCGGATTTTGACCTAGACATTAAACAATCCGGCCAGGAACTCACTCAGTGCTTTCTTTGAAAAGCTGGATGCTTCAAACACAGGTGCATTATTAATCTATCTGGGTTCAGTCACCTGCCTATGCAAGAAACATGTTCTAAAATTAATCCATCCAGCTTGCTATGCAATAAATCCAAAGACATGTTATACAACGATACTACCTCGATCGTAATTAGTTTTGTTTCCCTTGTGGTTGAGGAGCATAAAAGCCACCATATTGGCTATAAGTGCTTTGTGGACGTGGCTGGACTGGATAAGCTGGATATCCAGCTTGTTGCATTGACTCAGTCCTCTGATACATTGGCTTCTGTTCAACATACATTGACTGTCGATGATCTTGCGTTGGTTGTTGCATGTTAGACCAGTAGGCTTGGTGGCTCGGTGTCATTCGATGAGCTGGAAAGTCTGATGCCATAGGACGATCGGGGACCAATTGGTTCTGGTAGCTATTCTGATACAGTAGTTGTTGGGGTCTCGGGTACTGATATGGACCTCCGTGCAAAGGTGCTTGCTGCGACTGAGAGGTTCTCATCTCTCGAGACCGTTGATCGATAGCGGCTTGAACCATTTGTCCCTGCAGCCCTTTTTTGATGTTCTGCTTTTCTTGGTCTCGTGCTTCAATGGCACCAATGAGACCAACTGATGGATCTGGCGTCCTTCCAGCTTGATTGACGTTACTGAGCAACGGACCACCAGTCATCTTAGCAACATGCTCCTGCTCGCGCGCGGAAAGGTGAGCGGAATAGTCCATAGAGCCTCTAGATGACTGTCGTGACGAAAGTGCGCGCTTCTGCAACTTTCGTGGTGAAGTCGGCGAATCTGGCCGTGCTTTCTGGTCAGTCTTGACCTGGTCAATACGACCAGATGACAAAGTTCTGTGTGCTACATAGCCCTGCGGCTGCATAGCCATTGAAGCTCTTTGTTGTACAAACTCTTCTGCAGACATGCCGCCTGGACTTGTATTCTCAGCCTGTACCCTTGGCCGCCAGGCATAACTTTGTGACCTAGAGTGAGGCAACCGCTCGGTGGATGACTGCTTTTCGGGTGTTCGCGAGGGCGATGACGATCCGAAGGCATCGAAAGGCGACTGACGGCCGGGAGATGGTTGGCCCAGTGAATCAAAGGGCGATCGACGTCCGCTAGCAGTGTCCGGTCTGCCTAACGAGTCAAAAGGCGATCGTCGACCTGTCGCTGTGGTAGGACGACTATTAGGTCGGCTGTCGTCAGGTGTTAAGCGTAAAGTCTGGCCAAAGTCGATGTGTAGGTTGTCCTTCTGAGCGACAACTTGGTTATCTGGACTGCCAACGACTTTCCTCGTACCACCTCTTACTTTCTCTCGCTCTGCCGGTGGATCTTGAGAAGCATGACTTGCATAGTCAGGCGAAGAATCCCGGTCATGGTTTTGCATGGAATAGTTCGAAGTTTCCGAGTAGTTTCGATCGATGGGAGGTCTCGAGCTGTCTTGCAAGACTGCAGCTGAAAGTAGAGGCTTCCGCTTGGTCGGGCCCTGGATTGATGTTGAAGAAGTGTTTGTTACCACTGCTGGTCGATGAGGGTTAGCTAAAGTTGAACTCGGATCTGCAGGGGCGTCATTTACCCCACGGTTTGTCTGGTCCGCTCCACCGCGCCACGCAAGGGCGGCAGCCGATTGTGCAGTTGCTCCGTTCTCTTTCGTTGGTGAACGCGAACCCTCCCTTCTCAACTCTTCCAAGACTCTGGGGTTCATCTGAGACAATGTCGCATCTGACATGCGGCTTTTTTCTCTTCTCAGCTCTGGTCTGTCTGCTGGTCTCCGTCTTGGTTGTTCATTAGCTTGATGTTGCATTTCCGGTGGTGCCACAACGGGTTGAACAGGTTTCTGTTGGATTATCATATCCCGTTCCACGTCTTCAGCATAAACCCGGTTCTGCATATCGCTATCGGAGCTGTTCGCACTCTCTGTATAACCAGCTTCATTAACTCTGGGCTTCAGAGGCTGCCGGATGTGTGGCATGGTTGGCATTTGTGCATGATCCGGAATACTTGGCTCTTCTGATAATCTGGAAGGTGTATATTCTCGTGTCATAGACTCTCGCATTTTCTTGGGTGATGCCGGAATGCTGCCAGAGGCCGATCGAGCATGGTAATTGTGAGCAAGCTGAGTAGGAGCAGTCATCGTCTTTTTCGGTAACTCGAAGATGGCATCGCTAGATTCGTTCCGCCTGTGAGGTGATTGGGTCGAATGCACCGAAGCGGCATCAGAAAAGCGCATCCCTTGTCGTGGGCTGTTGTCCCTGATCCTTTCAATATTGCTCGATCGACCTTGTGTTTGCATCGACATCCTTCGAGCAACTCCCTCTTTCAGTTTCTTGCGCCACTCACGTTCAGTCCACTGGTCACTGTCTTCAGTATGAATCAATGCTGCAACATCGATAATGTCAAGATATCCATACCGTCGCTCCTTAGGCATAGCGAACATGAGGCTTCGTGGATCGAGAGTGTCAGGTACGAGTCTCGTTGGGCGACCATACAATGAGAAAGTGTCATATACGGGCATCAACCATCTCAGCATCATCTCGAATCCTGACACAGCCGGATGGACTTCTGGCATCACAAACACGAATCCTTCTGTCTTCGATTCTGGTTGCGAGTGAATAGTGATCCTTCCTTCCAGCTTGATTAGTGTCGATTCGTTGATCAGAGGCTTTGACTGCGGATATATGGCATATGCCGAATATGCGTCGGTAATGGTCGCGATAGGTAGCGCTTTCTTGGTCTTCTTCGTATCAAAGAATTTGATATCGCCTTTGGGATAGGTGACTTTCTCGTAGGCGGAACGCTTGCCCAGTTTCTTCTGTGATTTCTGCCACTCTTTCTCGTCCGGAGGTTCTATCACGCACCAACACCTCCTCCACGGAGTACCTGCGCCAAATCTAACACGTGCCCAATCCTCAATTCGAAATCTGTTCTTGGTCATGATTTGATTGATACTGTTCAAGTGTCTTCCTTTCCCAGCTATCAGCGATCCAGTGTAGAGTTCGTGTAGGGATGCGTTCTCAAACATGGCCAGTCGAATGCCAGCAGTCCATTGGGTCAAAGAATGAAGGGAATTGAAATGTAGGAGGTATCGGTTCTTGCCTGCAGTAGATACGGAGAGCACATTCTGCAGAGGCTGCACTTCCTGGTTTCGTGTCGGTAGAGTCTCGATCTGCGGGTTGTTAGGACAATGCCACCTCAAATAGGCAGGACGTACCATCTTGATGGATGCATCTGCTAGATTGATGAAAGAGGGAGCAACCTCTCCGTCATTGCCGGCTGCGTCAAGTGCTTCGGCGTCCCAGAACGAGAGAATAGTGCCCACAAGTTGAGCAAAACATTCAGTCCAAGCGCGGACAGGGTTTGGCTTTCCACCTAGGTATTGTCAGTCCTGGTTTGAGGTTATGTCTAGCACACTAACTGGTGTCAAGGTCGTCTAATTTCAAGAAATACCCTAAGACAGTCAGCCTTGTTTTCCTGATTTCCGTACCGGCTCTTACCCTCTTGGTACAATTTGTTCGCATGACTTGATAGGTAACTAGTCTGTCAGTCATTCTCCGTCGAAACAGACCAGGTAGGTATCATACCTAAACACAGGCTTCAACTCTTCTATTTCGTCGTTGACGATAGTAGGCGGAGTGTATACCATTGGGTTGTGCAGAGCTGGCGATGAAGCAGAGGCTTGGGGCAACGAGGTAGCAGAGGTCTCTCGAACGACAGCTGAGCCATCGGGCTTGCCGGCTAACGTGTCAGAGCTTTCGGGTGTCGCCCTGCTGTAGGAATTGTTGCTGGCAGTTGGAAAGGCCGCAGCTTTGAAGCTCGCGGAAAGGTTTCGTAAACGACCCATCCTGCTGCACGATGAGATATCTCGCTGCTACGCAGCAGTCAAAAAGCCTGTCGGGATTTGGACGTCTGCAAAATCGTGGTCGCAACTGCAGTGTTGTGTGCAAGTCGACTCGGATCGACACAGACAATCCTTAGAGGTTGACGAATCTTGGACGTCTACGATGGTGATCGAAAGGATCTGTGGCGCAGCAAGCACACGGATGCCGGTCTAGCAACACAATGAGTGATGTGACAGACGAGCAGTCGGTTGTAGTAACGAAAGAAGATCTAAACAAGGCGGCAACAAGCTCACCACGTCGACAGGACAAATTACTTGATGATGATTAGAGCTTGAATATTACGAGAGCTTAATCTTTCATTTCAGGTTGATACAGTATCAACGCGCTCCTGATGCCAATACGGAGTCCTTGGTACGATGGCTGGGGTTCCCTAGGTCTAGCGTACCAAGCCTGTCCACGTCAAGTGGAAGAAAATGCAAGATTCATCTCACTTATTAGGCTCCATCTCCGCCGCCAATTGGCCTCGTCCAAAGTCGTTTGCCTGGAAAATCGTCTAGAGGCGGCTCAGCGGCTCCTAAACAGTTCTTAAATCGACTTTCTGGTGGACACCATTACGCAGTCGAGAATCGGTGACGTATTCTCACCACGTGGAAAAGTAACCTCTGCTATTCCTGGCTTCAGGTAATCTCCAGGTGACATTACTCTCTAGTACGACAAAGGACACTCCGACGCTCATTTGAGATTCGCAGGCTCGGCGCGCATATATACAGGCTGGCCTTGAAGCAGTGAACGAAGGTCGGATCTGGATTCAATGAGATCGAGCTATAAGGCCAACCGAACTCGATAAGTGCCGCCAAGGCATTGACGATCTCCTCCTGCGCTGAGCTTAGGACGCCAGAGACGTTGCCAAGGATGCAAAAGTGTCGTGAACTGCTTCGTGATCGTAGGCCTCCCCTAACAGTTCCTAGACCACTTTCACAGCACTAATTCACCTTGTGCTGTTCAGACACTGAGTCCTCACTTGCAGCGGGTGCCAACCATTACGCCGACGATAGGACGGATGATGCTGTAGCTCAATTAAAATCTTTAGTGTTGCGGCTTCTCTCCACTATACTAATCACAACCGGGTTTATGTGATTTGGTGCCGATGTGGTTCACACTCTTTGGGGATCTTGTGCAACCCGGGATCAGCTCCTGTATATACAGTGCTTGCGCAAATGAACAGTTACAATTTGCTCACATACTGCGAGCTTCCTCCTTCGTCACGTCCGTATGGTGACAAAGTAGTTTGATGCTTGGAGCGAGTGTTCAAATGCTCCACTCAAATAGAGATGTTTGTGCTTGAACACGATGAGCTGAAGAGATGCCGCATCTGTCAAGGAACATCTATGTGATAGGATACAGTGGCTTGTCACGCGCATGTCAGGAGTACCAAGTTCACTCCAGACAGATCCGCCAATCGCGTAACCTTTATCGACAGCCTTTTGTAGTATGCAGCAACAGCTGGCCTCGTTGGTTTGCTGGAAGGTATCAGCGCAGTGACTGTACCTCTGAACGGAGGCTGTAGCGACAAGCAGAGTGGTGTAGAGGACGTGAACTGGAAAGCGCCAGCTCTTGCTGAACATACAATGCATGAGTGAATTCGGTCGTGCCTAAGAATACAACTTTTCATTGATGCTCGTAATGATGCTCTAACCATTCTCTTCCAGCAATCTCGGCTGCGAGACCAAAGGATGAATTTTGTCCTTGATTTGCCACTCTCGTGCCTCTGACTAGGAATGCTGATCGTGGTGCCAAGACCAACTCTCTGTGGCCCTGCAGACGTCGAAAAGCAAAACTTGACGCAAAGATGCTCACTGTGTACCATTTAGACAGACACATCACCACTCGAAAGCCGTGGATGACGCTTTCCGCCAAAACACCTTATGTTCTCGCACTGTTCATAAATCACCCCAAAGCTGACATAACCAGAAAAAACCATGTCAATAGGCGTAATTCTACAACGCCTTCACATGTTCGTCGGTGTTTCTCAGAGCCTTCATGATCGTCTCGTTGATGTTGTCTTCCGCCGCGTCGATCACAGGAATAGGAGATTCGTGGGATAGATTATCTCCCTCAAGTTTGGGAAGCTCAGTGCTGGTGCCGTCCTCTAGGCTCGGGTCAATCATGGCTTTCAAGCTCGACGCAGCGACGTCGACGTATCCTGGGTTGTGCTGTTGTGGCATCTCATACTGATTGTGGTACTGATGTAGAACTGGCTGCTGTGGTTGTAATTGCGGTTGTAGTTGCGGCTCTTCCGTACTGGCGTAGGGGTCAGTCACTTGGACGAAACATACTATAAGAAAGTTAGAATCGTCTGAGTATGGTGGATGTGTGAGCCTCTCTTACATTCTCGTGGGACCGGTAGGAAATATGTGTTGTTGAACTTCTGTCGGTACTTATAGAAACTCGATAGCTGGTCTCCTCCCTCATTCAGTCCGGCATTTTGTGCGTGGCGAAAGGCGATGCCTTCGCTGGCGACGCATTCCCTATTCGACTTTCGACATTGTCCGCAGACTGGTTTGGTCTGTCCGTTATTAGCATTGTTTCTCGACGCTGATTACCATAGTATTTCTGCTATGGCTCCGACTCTTACCTCGTCGCATTTGAGTTTCCTTGAACGACAAGTCTTGCAACCAGTTCTGGTTCTCCTAGCAGGCGTTGTAGCTGGAGCAGTAGGCGTGCTATTCATTCTCAGGTATGGTGAGGATGCGCGGATGGTTTGCTCAAGGTCGAAACGATTCAAACAAGGCAGGTTCGACGATGTCGCGGATAGTGGAGAAGTGTCTGCCGTCTTTCTGGAGAAGTCTTGGGCTTCTGGCGGCAAAGTTTTAGTGGTACAGGGATATTGTGGTGATAAAACTGTGTTTATTCGCCTCGTGCTGATCACAAACGCATGTCAACCAATTTCACCCACAAGTGCTACTGAGTAAATCGCAAATGTCTAGCCATGCTACTGCTACGTTACTACACTCGAGCGTACATCATAGTCACATCTCTTTCATTAGGATTGGCTAAGTGTCGCTTACTTCATGATCATAGCTAGTATGCTTTTCCTGGTTATCATTTTGTTCGTTATTGCACGTACTGAATCGTCTACTGCTGTCACGAAACAAACGTGCTCATTGTCCTTTGCGGTTGCTGTTGTCTTTGACCCATATATATCGATACCGACAAACCTACGAGTGCAGTAACAGCCACGGCCGTTCTGTCCAGCATTAGCCGTGGTCAAATACCTCAATTCTGATAATTCTTACTTCGATGAAAAGCAGGACAGGAGAGTGTTCCACAAACTCCATCTAGTCGTTTTCCCGGGTTCTAGGCTAACATTCCCATCTTGAGAGATATCCTGATTGTGTGGCATGTGTTCATTGGACACGCTGTTGGAAGGTTCTGCTTTGAATTGTGGCTCGTCATGGTTGCTCACTAGGCCGCCTACAACCAAACTACCGTTTGACGCAGGCTGCTTGCCTAGAAGGGGGGTTGTCTCGACCGCTTCGTTCTCTGAGCGGCTCGTTGGTTCAGGCATGCTAACACTTTCCGAGGACGGCCTGAGGCTTGACTTGCTGGAACGTTCTTTGAGATTCTGCTTGCTTGCTTCTCTTCTTGGCTCAAGAGGAGCCTCAACAGGCTCTTGTACCGTGATCACATTGTTCGTGTTTCCTAGTTTATCAGTGGCTCAAAAACAAGCATTAGTATGTCACCAGGCATTGTCGAGATCGCATTTACATACACTGCTCAGCACCATCATCGCATATCCACCAATCGCCAGGGCCTAACCGGAATTTGTACTGATGTACTCCTGGCGCAATGTCGAGCACTTTGTAGAATCTGTGTTGAACTTCGATGTTGTCGCGTGACTCTTCGAAGTCTAACTCTATAGGTTGCCATGACGTGAAAGACCCGGCGATAAACACCGGTGGTGTCAGTCCTGGTGTGGAAAGCAAAATTCTTTTAGACACCATTCTCGTGTCGTTGTAAAGATTGTCGGATCGCATCAGCTGGGTGATCACCATATATCGAAGTTTGTCGAAAATTGTTGAGCTAGACTAGCGTGGTGAGGCAACTGCAGGGGCACCCTTGTACGACAAGAAAAGCACATGCAATGCACCTGATGCGTCATTAAATTCGAGGAGAGAAAAAGAACAAAGTTTGAAAGTAGTAGACAGAGCTGCCAAGCCAACCTTTGCTCAATGGACGTAACGAAGATAATCGATGAACTGAAGATCTACTTACCAGCAAGACCAGCAATCACCTTGTCAAAGGCTCTTACCTGCTCACTGATCTCGGGACAATAATGACGTCGAAGGAGCTCTTCCTCCCAAACACCGCTACCTACAGCAAACACGTTCGTGCCTTCTACTGTCTCAGCCTCGCCTTTAAACACTCCGTCGCCCTTTCTTTCATCATTGTACCAGAGCGCTTCCAACCTGCGGCTGTGCTTGCTCAAGAGCGCATTCAGTAGAGCGAACATAGCTTTAGTCGACTTCTCCGGCAGTTGTAGCGACGCTGTCAATAACCTTTTATAGAATGCAGCAACTGCCTGAGTGGTCGGGGGCGAAGATGGTGTCAGGAGGATCGCGGTCAACGCACGCGTCAATAGTAACACTGGAGTCGAAACATTCACCTTGTTGTCTCTCCGGCTAGGTTCTGCGGCATCAGGATCAGGAAGATGCATTGATTTTGGCCCGAGTTGTATGTCAGGGTCAATACATAGAGCGTATAATGACCTGTACACGTGTGATGTAAAGAACGATAAATCCAGGTGTAGAGCCGAGGCCGATTTTGCTGCATCCTGCTGCGATAAGAGCGTAAAGGCTGTTTGGATGGCCAGCAAAGACTCTCTCATTCTGTCACGGCCCTCAGAGTCCTGGCCGTCGTCATCCCTCTCAACTGCCTCTGCCTGCTTGAGGATGTCTTTGAGAGCCTCGAGAATGTCTCCGAAGAAGTCTTGATTGATAAGATGAGCGAATTTGGCCAATCCTTCCAACACAGAACCCATAAGGCGTGGTATACGCTCTTTCAGTATTCGGAAATATGTCACGAATACGACCTTGAGCGTTTCAGATTGCAACTTCTCTCGAGACTCGAAATCAACAGCTGCGTCTGCCTCTTTCATGTCCTTCTCGACAGCCTTACGTTCACGTGCTATCTTTTTCTCTTTCTTAGATCTGTGTTCCCACTTCTCCTTCTTAATACGTCGGCCATGCAGCTTCGAGACATCGTCTGGCTTGTCAGTTCTGTTGGTTGACCCTTTGACAGATAATTCATTCAGCAACCTTAGGTGAAAGAAAGTGTCCAGGATTTCGCCTCGGACATCGTAGTCCTTTGCTTTCATCATCTTGGCCAAGAGGGTTACAGCTTCAAGAGAAGGACCTCCATCCTCGTCCTCATCAAAGAACTTTTCGAGGGTTTCTATGCTCTTTACAAAGTAGATTGATGATTGTTTCCGAGAGAGCTCGTGCATAAGCACATTCAACAGCTCGGTCCTAAAGTTAAAATGTGGTATGGCCAACAGTAAGGAGCAGACGCAACTCAGAGCAGTAGCCTTCAGAGACTCTTGTTCTTTGTCTCTACATATCTCGACCAATCGTCGAACATAACTCTGGTAGTTCATCACGAGAGACTGTTCATACTGTCTCGTCCGTCGTACATCTTTTGAGACTTTACTTCCTAAATCTTCATCTTTGTAGGCTCGTATGCGGTAGCCTGGCGCAGCGTCTTTGTAGACGACTGACTGCGAAAGTAAGACTAGTTTAAGAACGCTTGGATGTGCGTTCTCTCCTGCGACTTGGGCAAGCTTCTTGAACGAGCCAGCGTGCTCCTCTGGATCTTCATTTATCAGACCAGCCAACCTTGCAATGTCCTCTTGAGCTTGTATAAGTTGCTGCTTCAGTGGAACTGCAGGCACTGGTTCGCCTTGGTCAGTAGGGGGTGTTTCGACATCCTCCTGATCCTCGCTGCCAGATCCAAGAAAACTGTCCGAATCGACGTCTGAACCTTGCAACTCTGGCTCGACCTGCTCAATATTGCCATGTATATTTTTGATGGGGAGTTTGTTGCTTTCTTTGGTATTCTTGCGCCTCGATCGTGTTTCGTAGTCCTGCTCCAGGTCCCAATCAGCTGCTTTATGGAAGAGTTCTTTGGACTGTATAGTTTCGGAAGTTCGATCATCGTCGACGGGAGGCGTCAGTCGTCGGCGTTTAGCTGGCCTTCCATGTCCCATTCTTTTCAGACGCAACGATCTATCTAGGTTGACATGCGCAAACAGGTTGGTGAGGATTTCGTGACCAGAGAACGAACTCCAGCACGTACCAAATTTTTTGAACGCGGTAGTTTTCGACTGACCAATATCAGCCGTGCGGAGTCCTTTACTTTGGAGTTATGGATGACGCTCCAAGCTACCTGGCACGCCTGGCTACGAGTGGTATCGTTTTCCGCCAGACTCACTCAAACAATGAGTCTACGACTGTTCAGTTGTCACTGCGCCTTCGAACACCTTGCGCACATCCGAATATCAAGACTCACAGAGTCACAGCTACCAATTCTTGACAGTGATGATGTTGCGACTTCCTAAGAATAATGGCCGTGTAGAAGTACACTTCAGAGTAGATACGCGGCAAGTATAGAACGACCTGAATGTGCCAACGGCTTGGCTCGCCGCTCACGGCTCTTAAACGCTTCTCAGGTCGCATGCGCAACACGATCACGATACCATGTACAGATAGGTTGGCCAGTACTGCAACAAAGTCCCCCTCCTCAGTCAACTAACGAAGTACGAAAGCTGAGTGGTAAAGACGTCTTTGGTATATTCGTGGTTATGTCTTCGATTCCTATTTGCTGCATCCGCCCTTCCACATTGACTGACCTTCCGGACGAGGTCCTCTTACTGATACTGTCTTATTTGCATGTCTCGGACCTCCTACAATGCAGTCGGACGTGTCGCTTACTACGGGCGATCGCTGCTGATCCCCTTCTCCATCACGAACGGTTGATCAATGCAAGATACGACCTTGCACGAGCTTTGAAAAAGCGGAAGACCAAGAACGAACTCAGTCCGCCGAACGCGTGGATCTTGCTCAGCAAAACGGTTGTGCTGTCAAGAACAATAAATAAAAGTTTAACCAAGATTCACCTTGTTCACCGGTTGAACTCACGGCCATCAGCGCGAGACTTAGTGAAACGTGCTATCATTCCCGAGAATGCTATTAATGTCTCTCCGGTTCTGTTGCAATCACAAAGGGCACTCTACAAGGATCACCTGAAGAACGGACTTGGTAGGAAACTGGTATGCAGACCAAGCATGAGTAGCCTTGTCTCACTGAATATCATCCCAGAGGAGTTCGCCAAACAAAGTGTATCGCCTGCGTTGATTGAGACTCGACGTCGTGTGATCAAGGAGAGCCTTAAAGACGGACTACGAGCATGGGTTGAAAACAGAGGATTGAAAGCTCAACAACGCAAAGCCCTAGAACTTGATGAGACTGAAAGAAGTACTGTGAAAATGCTAGTACGACGATTGACTGCTCGCAAACTGGCAGAAGAGCTCGAGGGTAAGGCTGATGCAGTATCGATGGAGAAGAAAAGAGCTCAGGCACGTTGGGGTCGAGCTCTAGAAGCTCAAGCTATCAAGGAAGAGAGGAGGGCAAAGAGTCAGAGTGGGGCATGCGCGCACCCGACACGTGCTAAAGTCTCACAGTTGAAGCGCTTCTGGGAGGGAGCTCTTAGGACTGCCAGTGGTTGAGGTACTGCATTCTTCTAATCTCTTTCGATCGTACCAGCGCTCTTATCAATGGAGGAAAACAGGACTTGCCTTGTTTTCTGCTGTAGTCCTTGCGAAGTGGGCAAGGCTATGCAGAAGCCGAGAACTTGCATCGTTTCTTTCGACTTTGACCTGCGCATCGCAAGCATAAGCACGCGTCAAGTGTTCGCATAACGTGGGGTAAGATGGGCGCGTCTTGTTGCCTAGGTGATTTCGCCGCGAGCCTGAATCTTGCCAGTGTTCCAAACCAGACTCTGAATATTGCCAAACGCACTCGGCCTTCGCGACACTGTTTCTGTTTGTAGTTTCCAGCGAGGTAAGTTGTCATATTAACGAGTGAAATTGTTCTGCTAACACGATGACAGGCAGGGAAGGCCATCTGAAAGTGCTAAGCTTCGACGAATTATTGCGATCAAGTAGAACAACGACATCCCCAGTACAGTACACTCAAAATAACAGAGCGGCACGATCGTCTCTCAGGTCAGTTGCGTCCAGTGCTGTCTCAGAGACACAAGATTTGCAGCCTGTGGCATACGACTTCGGCACGAACCACCCTAGGTGTACACCATTCAATTTCGTCACAGACATTCAGATGGTTCGAGAACAGGCGCCAGCGACAGATCCTCTGATGCCATCACAAGGCAGAGTTGAATCTTCTGCTGCCGGCAACGAGAAGACTCCTATCGAAATTGCCTCGAGCCCTATCGCACCAAAACCAACCCATACACACCCACTCTCACCACAACCGGCATTTGGCCAGCCTACAGCGCTCAACAACAATGCCTCTCCACTTGCGAAACCTTCAGCAGCGCGGACGCAGCAGGGTCAAACAGTAATCAGAAGAAGTGGCGATGCTACTCATGCCAATTTGTTTGCAAAGAAAAGACCAGGAGAATTCGGAGCATACAGACCTCCAGGCTCGGGGAACCCACTCGCTAACATCGGTGGGCATCCTCGACCGGCGCAGAGTCAACAACAAACGCATGGAAATAGTAGCGAGGATACACACAATCTGACACGTGGTGGCTATCCTACGCATGCGCAGTCACAAATCTACGCCAATCCACTCAACGTTCCTCATCCAACTAGCGATCCTTTCATGATACCGAGACCAGCGAACCCTCCTGCTCGTTTCCAGCCTGTACCACCGCAAACCTTCTCTTCGTCTTCGAACACAAACCCTTACATGCAACCTGCACGCCCGTTCATCGACCTTACAAACCCATCCTACCAGTCTGCAGAAGGGGATGGCGAAGGCTTCAGCGACAAGCATGTCTTTAGTGGTGATCGTTTTGGAACAGTGGATCCACTGATGTACTTAGACTCGAGGCAAGCGGACGAAGATATTAAAGCTCTGCTCGAAGGTGCAATGGACGAAGAAGCTGAGAGACCTGGTACACGACGCAGGAAGAAGGACATCGACCAGAAGGTTGATGCACTAACTAAAAAGTTACAAGGTGTTCATGTGAAGACTGATGACGAAGAGCAGGAATATGAAGAAGAGGATGAGGACGATGGCACTCGCGAAGGCCTCAAGGTCAAGCTTCTGCCTCATCAAATCGACGGAGTGAATTGGATGCGCGACAAAGAGCTTGGCACGAAGAGGGTTAAAGGAGTACTGCCCAAAGGTGGTATTCTGGCTGATGATATGGGCTTAGGCAAGACAATACAGTCTATTGCTTTGATCCTCTCAAATCCAAAGCCTTCGACGGAAGAGCTGGCCAAATCCAAACGCAAGCTTGACCCCAGCACAGACCGAGCTACACTCGTCGTTGCACCACTGGCTTTGATCAAGCAGTGGGAAGCAGAAATCAAAGACCGCATTGATGAAGAGCACATGTTGAAAGTCAAGGTTCATCATGGTCCGCAAAGAACGAAGTCGTTCAAGGATCTTCGAAAGTACGACGTTGTTATTACTACCTATCAAACACTGTCGTCTGAACACAACGAAGGGAGTACCTCAGAGAAGAGCGCTTTGTTCGGCGTCAACTGGTATCGAGTCATCTTGGACGAAGCTCATTCCATCAAAAACCGCAATGCGAAAACTACCAAGGCTGCCTACGACATCAATGCCGAGTATAGGTGGTGTTTGACAGGAACACCAATGCAGAACAATCTTGATGAGCTGCAGTCTCTCATTCGCTTTCTCAGAATCAGGCCATATGACAGACTCGAAGTTTGGCGAGAGCAGATAACTAAACCCATGAATAATGGTCGTGGTGGTCTCTCGATTCGACGCTTGAGAGCTTTCCTCAGTGCTTTCATGAAGCGCAGAACAAAAGATGTCCTTAAGCTAGATGGTGCACTGAAGACGGGTTCCAATGGTCAACAAAAGCAATCAAATACTGGCTTCAAAATCGTGAAGAGAACCGTTGAGAAGGTCGAGGCAGAGTTCAGTGGGCAGGAGCTAGCATTTTACCAGCGACTTGAGACTCGGACAGATAAAAGTCTTGAGCGCATGATGATGGGCGGCAACCAGATGAGTTATGCTAGTGCTCTTGTTCTTCTCATGAGATTGAGGCAAGCCTGCAATCATCCTCAGCTACTCGGTGCAGATCTCTCGAGAGAACAGGACCCAACGGCAGGAAGTAAGACGCCAAGTAGAAAGACTTCCAAAGTCGATGATATGGACGATATTGCGAACATGCTTGGTGGCCTGGGTGTGGAAAGCAAGCTCTGCGATATTTGCCAAATTGAACTCACCAAAGACGCGGTACAGGAAGGACAGCTGAGGTGTACAGAATGCGAGGAAGACCTTAAACTAACACAGTCTACCGCGTTCAAGACGAAGACGAGCAGGAAGAAGCAAAAGGTCAAGAAACAGCGCAAGGTCAATCGACGTGTTGTTGTTGACAGTGACGACGAAGAGCATCAAGAAGAGATAACGCACGAATCAGAAACGGAGGAGGAAGTAGAGCACGATGAGTCGACATCAGACGAGGCTGAAAGCGGCAGTGACTACGACAGCAGCCCTCAAGCACCACGCACATCACCAACCTCCAGCACCAAGATTCGCCAACTCCTCAAGATTCTCAAACACGACTCCCACACTCACAAATACATCGTCTTCTCCTTCTTCACATCCATGCTCGACCTAATCGAACCATTCCTGAAACGCCACAACCTCAAATTCGTCCGCTACGACGGCGCAATGCGAAACGACGCACGAGAAGCATCACTAGAACAACTACGTACCAACTCCAACGTCCGTATCCTCCTCTGCTCCCTCCGAGCAGGATCTCTCGGCCTCAACCTCACAGCCGCCAGTCGTGTCGTCATCCTCGAACCATTCTGGAACCCCTTCGTCGAAGAGCAAGCAATCGACCGTGTCCACCGTCTCAATCAGACCCAAGACGTGGTCGTGCATAAACTCACTATCAGAGACAGCGTCGAGGAACGAATCCTCGAGCTACAGGAGAAGAAGCGTGAGCTTGCTAATGCTACGATCGAGGGACAGAAGGGGATGGGAGCCACGAAGTTATCGTTGCAGGAGATGTTGAAGTTGTTTAGGCATGATGGGGAGAAGGATACGAGGTTGGATATGATTGGGATGAAGGATGGGAGGAGTTTGTTGGAGAGGGATAGTCAGAGTACGAGTACGAGTACTGCTGCTGCTACGACTCAGCGCGGACCGCCTGTGCGCGAGACCAGGGACGAGTCTGTTATGCTGCGTAATGGTGCTGGGAAGCCGAAGAGAGCTGAGGATCCGATCTATGGCCGGAGGTGGTAGATGGGAAAGGACATAGATAGACCAGGACAATGGCGTTGGGGTTTCTAGGTTCCCAGCGATGGAGCGATGTTTTGAGTTGATAATGTGTTACGATACTACGAATATGTTGACGCGTGCACTTTTATTGGGATCGTGCCTAGGATGTACCACGAGGGCCACAGCAGGTCGTGCGCACAGTTTCCGAAATTATCGGTCTCTGGAGATGTGATTCTCAAAGTCTGAGACATTCTTTGTTCTCTCATACTCTTTTGTTCTGGCAATCTGTGTGGGACTTCTTTGTTGTGGTACAGAGCTCGTTTACAAAACTTCGACAGTGTATATCTTCCTCAAGCGCTTAGTATGACTGACTAGCAGGTCTTACGCCTTGATCTTAAGCCCTCGTCTCCACGTCTCCCACGATCAAACGCATGGCTGAATAGGTATAAATACGGCACTAAAACCACAGAAGACCTCGTTGGCCGTGCCTGGAACCTGGAGTCGATGATGCCAACCAGTCTCAGTGAGCACGACACATTCGCATCTGGGCCAGGTTCCGAACGTAAAACGTCTGCAGCATCTTTTACGGAGTACGTCCGTCATGTAGCCGCATCGAATGATCGATGTTACAGACTGACTGGAGAAGGCAACTCAACCAGTCCTTCTGTCTCAGCACAACGCTCTTTTGCCAGACCAATGCCACCACAGAAGATTCACGCAAGTAAGAGGCAATACAAGACAGATGCATCGAACCTGGGTTATCAGTCCGACACTCCTCTCTTTCGCACAAGGTTCTCTGCAGCCCTTCGTTTCGAAGATCGAAGGGAGAGCGTCGAGAGTTGGGCGACCAAACGGTATAACAATCGTGAGCTGCCTTTCGCGGGCACACCAAGGACACCGATGTGGAATGAGAAGGAGTTATTGAGGAGTAAGGAAGGTGCAAAAGACAAGAAGAATCAGAGGAAGACAGGATGGTGTGCTGATGCCGCTATTGAGCAAGAACGACAATTATGGGGAGAGAGGGGTAGGAACAAACATGGGAGAATATACCGAATGCTCGGGCAAAACGTTGAAGACCAGGAGGGGAAGGTATATGGTGACATAGGCTTCTCTTCCTAACTTATTGTTCTGAGGCTACCTGCTGCTCTGGAACGAGACAATTCGTGATCGGTGTCAGCTTTTGCTCTCACTGGCACAGAGCGATGTCAATGCGGCACTGAGAAAGGCTGTCAGATTGGCTCTGGCAAATCGCACAGCGGGGTCACCCAACATTCAGCTTTGTTGGTTGTTGATATCCGTACTTACCTCGTTCGATCCGGCTTAAAGAGCATGAAAAGGCATTGATAGGACAATTGAAAACTTCATGTCAAACATCGGGAGCAGCACTTCGAGTCCATGAGATCTAGAAGTGCTTGCTTCATAGCTTGCTCCGTAGATATCGACGCCGGAGAAAAATCGATGACTCGCGAAGCCGAACAATACTGTACACGATACTGGCACGACGTAAAATATTAGTCTTGTGATTGCTGCGCGTTGTAGACGAGAAGTCACAAGCCGTCGATTGGCATGCAGATTGAAGTGGCGTCAAGAAACTATCATAATCATTTCCCATCATCGCGTCTGGAACAAATCGTGGTATTCTCTATCGTGTGTTTTGAGCACATCACCGCACCTGTTATCAATAGTCGATAAAACTGTATTGATGTTACATTGGCAGAATTGAATGTCAAAGACTTGTGGTGGGAGAGGTTGCAGTCAAAGTTCCAGTGATGCCGCCGAGCTTGCAGGATGGGTCCGGGGGGGCTTCGAACCGCGTCATGACGCGGATTTGGAAGGCGGCACCCATGGGTCTGGTTAGCAAATCAGAGAATGTGGTTGCTGTAAGTCGCCGGGTGAAAGCCTCGTCCGTTGCATGGGTGCCGTACTAAGCACACAAGCTCGTGATGGGTGGATTGTGCGTTATCCTGGGCCTAGCGGATTGGCTCATTGTCGCCTCGTCAAGAGAATGTGAAAGTAACTAGGATAACAGTTAAAATGGCAGCGCTGTATAGGGGTACCGCTATTTCCACGAGCTCCACAGTTTCTGACATTCGCTTTCTCGCGAATTCACATTTTGGTACTATGAGGTCTCACAACCATCGAATATTGAGGTAGCTGTTGACGATATAGAAGACCTTCAGCTATTCAGTGCTTGTGGGATCCGGTATTGTTGATGCATGATGGTGCTAGTGGTATTCCGGAACATTGTTTGTTAACGGTAATGCCATATGTGCATTAGTGCTGCGTTCGGTTCGGAAATTTACCAGTCGAGCCAGTTATTGGGACGTCGATGTTGAGGAATAATGCTCTAGGATGTTTACATCTACTGCAAGAAACAGTGCTGGCTTCCTCCAACAAGACAGATAGAAGAGGTAGCGATAGGAGAAGCCGCAGAAGCAAAAGAGACTGATACGGCGTAGGCTCGCACGCTTATCGCCGAACATAATTCTTTCTGATCAGGAGGGTGCTCGTATAGTAGAGCCAACCCCATCTTGAGTTTTCCTTCTAGAAATTCTTCAAACACTGCAGTGGTTTGTGCAGTTTCGTGCCTGGTGCTGTTGTATATCTGCCGTATTCGAGTCGGATTTCGACTTGGGATTGACAGGGTTACGCACCAACCACTTCAAGTTCCAAACATTGTTCTGGCTCTCCATCTTTCCATTCAGCCCTGATCAGCGCTCCCAGGATCACCATCCCAGATACCTTGGCTTGTCTGACTAGATCTGGGAAGGTTGCTCCTACCTCCAGACTTTTGTACCACCACAAAGGACGATTCTTTCGCAAGCTTCTCTGCATTGAGTAACCACATAGACGCCGTATACGACTGCGCCTGACACAAAACGTTCTTTTATCGATTCTGGTCTTACTTGCGCACCTACATACCGGTACGGAGGTCGCTTTCCGTACACTTCCTACCACAAAATCAAAGCCCATCATCAGCGCCAACTGCTTGACTGCTTGGTCCGAGTGCTTCCTTGCAAAATCATTCGCCGACGCCTCAGTACCTCAACTCCCCTCTCTGCCAAATTTGTCCTTGCCGCCGCAGCCTACCTCTTTGTCGCTCACTCGCGCCTTCGGAACTCCTACGCATCTTCTTCCTTCGAAACCAGCAATCAGAATAATTCAACAGAGTTTCTTCTTTCGCGACTTTCTCAGTATACAGGGTAGATAAGGTGCGCCACGGCTGTCAGAATGGCCTCAAAGGTTTGTACTACCTCATCAGCTTCTCCACGCTGGTCTACCAGATCTTTATGCTGACCCCTCTTCTACAGTTTTTACGTGAATACAAACTGGTGGTTGTTGGAGGCGGAGGCGTGGGAAAGTCCTGCCTGACCATACAATTAATACAAAGCCATTTTGTCGATGAGTACGATCCCACTATCGAAGGTTAGTCAATACCATTCTGGCTCGTATATGCGACTAATCTCAAACTAGACTCATATCGAAAGCAATGTGTGATTGACGACGAGGTCGCCCTGTTAGATGTGTTGGATACAGCGGGACAGGAAGAATACGCTGCTATGCGGGAGCAGTACATGCGCACAGGAGAGGGATTCCTCCTGGTATATTCCATCGATTCAAAACAATCCTTCGACGAAATTAGGACGTTTCAACAGCAGATACTAAGGGTTAAAGATAAAGATTACTTTCCGATAATTATTGTTGGCAATAAGTGCGACCTGGAGCAGGATCGGGTAGTGTCAAAAGAGGAGGGTATGGCTCTAGCACGATCATTCGGCTGCAAGTTCATGGAGACATCGGCAAAACAACGAATCAACGTAGAAGGAGCCTTCTACGAACTCGTACGAGAGATCAGAAAATATAACCGAGAGATGTCAGGGTATGGTCCGCCACAGCCCGTTTCTGGCACACCGAATCACAAGTTCGATACGAGCGACCCGGACGACCAGGCTGGCTGCTGTGGAAAGTGTACAGTCATGTAGCATGAAGAGAAGTTGAAAAATGCAAAAAAAACTAATACAATTGAGTTGGCTATTTGGAGTTTGAGGTGCTTCCGCTGGGTGTATGTTTGTTTGGCTGGGACCAAAAAGTCTTCGTTTCTCAGGACACATTACCACATTCGCGACCTTCAGTCACACAGTCTGACATGCACGGTTGCATTTTGTTTAGGATCGAAGACAGCAGCCGCGCAAGCGAGATATAGCCGGGAGTATGCACAGTGTGGTAGGCATATCAAAATCTACGTTTTAGTACTGGGAATCTTCGCATGGACTTGTGGCGCTCCTGGTCACGGTATCTGTGCAGCATCTTCTAGTGCTTTCAAACAGCAAACACTTTCTAATTTTGTTTTCATGACTTTCTATGCATGACTGTTGCTGCAGCCTGAGAGACTGGTTAGTGCTTAAAGTTTTCTATGAGTTGTAGATTCTGCCTTACCTGGTGATTGGGAAAGATCAACGTGTCGGCGACGACCACGTTCTCTCGCCTGCTGGCTGCAAAGACAATGACCTCGGCGATATCGTCAGGCGTCAGTGGATCGACTCCCTTATACACAGCGTCCGCTTTGGCTTTATCGCCATTAAACCTGACAACGGAAAATTCCTGTGGATAATGTCAGCCACTCTTTCGACCACATTTGGCAGAAGGGAAAAAACTCAATCTCAGCATGAAAACCAGACGAGGAAGCGAGCAAAAGGAAAGTACTGCCGTTGTTCACCGTTGTGACTTACCGTCTCGACTTGACCAGGATCGACCTCAAGTACTCTGATCCTGGTCGCGACAAGCTCACGCCTCAAGGCATCTGTGAACGTCCGCACAGCGGCCTTGGTTGCGCAGTAGATACTACCACCAGGATAGCCTTCTCTGCCAGCAATGGACCCGATCATAATGATATCGCCCTGCCCTGACTCTCCACGCTTCATCATGCCCTTCATTACCTCTTGAGTCATGGTAATGAGACCTGTGACGTTCGTCGCAAACATTACCTCGATATCATCTGATTTGATTTCAGGACTCTTGTCTACACCCTTTACCAGCCCAGCATTGTTGACTAGTACGTCGATATCTTTGAACTCGGCAGGTAGATTGGAGATGCAGGATACAATCTCGCTGGGCTTCGATACATCCAGCTGTACTGGCAGGCATTGGACGCCGTCCCCAACCTCGCTCTTGATCTGCTCTGCCAAAGCCTTGAGAGCATCGATTCGTCGTGCAGTTAGGATCAACTTCAGGGATTTGGGCGCGGTGCGAGCGAATTCCAGAGCTGTTGACTTGCCAATGCCAGATGAGGCGCCTGTAATCAGGACAGTCTTGCCTTCCAGGCGTTTGCTCGCAGCGGAAGACATTTTGCGCAGCTGGCTGAAGGATCGTAGTGCCTGATTTGGCAGTGATCTAGCAAGAACTGTAAGCTGAGCTGCAAGCTCGTGGTAACTGTTTGTTTGTGGGGAAGTTCGAGAGTGGGATGGTAGAAAGAGTGCACGGGTCGTGCTTGGATAGGATTTCAGACAGCGCAAAGAGTGCATCGAACAGGTGAGAAGATTGCACAAAGCGACTCGCTAAAACATTTACAGCTATCAGCCTGTATGGAATATTAGTGGCATGTGGATAGCATTGCTTCATCTTGCTGCCAGTGTGTTGAATGCGGACTCAAAGTTGGAGATGCTTTCTCGGAGTCGCAGCTTCGGTGCAGTGCGGAAAGAGCGCCGAAACCCCTGCCAAGGGGGGTCGGAGGATCGACGTCGCAACGTCGCCGTCGATTGACTTCAGCACAGAGCTGACAGCAGCCTCGTTTGCCCACTGCTCTTTGCGAACCAAGTAGGGCAACAAGGTCTGAAGCTTCTGCTGGCAAACAATTATCAGAGCTTCTGCCGACCTTGCTCACAAGATGAGGGGTACCAACGAAGAGGACCCTGTTTGTGTTCAGTCTGCGATGGCTTTAAGAAAACCCATGAATAGGGTTGAGATGGCTCGCTGGCATTCTGTTCTTGCTTTTTGCAATAGCTGCCTGCAAATTGACTAAGGTGAAGCCAAACGACTCGTCAAATGTCGGATACTGGAAGGTGACTATGAGAGTCATCATAAACACTTTGAAATGACACGGCATCCGGCCTACCACTCGTCAGCAGCCATGGACGGTCTAAAAACCTCTGGCCAACAGTGTTGCCATGAGCTTTGCGACCATCTTTTCATATCTTACTGCTTGTGGTACTTTCGCCGATACAAATATATATTCAGATTGCACGAAGACCTTTCCCAAGAACTTCTGGCCCTCGAGATCGTTCCTGATTGAATATGGCTATCAGTATCGCGGCTGAAACGATATTTGTCAAGTCTTCCTCGAGCAATACACAAGCAATTGCGTACAGCTTTTATATAGGTTTGCTACGTCGACAAGGCAAGAAGCAAAATATCCATCAGTGATCGTCACTCGCCCGACACGCGTCTTACCCTGCGAGCCATATCACTCACGAAGATAATGAAGCGACAGTCAAATCCACGTTGCCATAGATATGGCGCGTCTCTCAAATATCACCCCTTCGTGCGTCGTTTCGTTTGTCTAGGGAGTGAAACGGGGCCCATTATCAACCATCTACACTTCTACTAGTGCGTTGCTGTGGCACTATTCGATTGAATCTGCGTCGCATGAAGCGTGTCAAAAACATTCTGCATCTCTACAATCTTCTCTTCCACTTTTACATTTACACCTTACAACATCTTTTACAACCCATCTTCAAGCATCTGTCCAAGACTTCTACCACAATATCCCACAGACCAAGTCAGATAAAAAGACAGACCAAAACACATCAATAGTAGAGATGTTTGCGAAGCTTTCTCTGGACCCTCTTGCGTTGACATTCAAACCAGCAGCCAGTATCAATAGCACATCACGCCTCAGTCCATTCGCTATAGCGTTCACGCCAGCAGCACTTGCGACGCTCAACATGTCATCAATAGCGGCAGAAACATCATCGACATTATCGACCCTATTAACCTCGTCGACTTCATCACAAATGGTAGGTGTTACAAGCACAACACTTGACTCACAATCGTCGATCTTCTTGCCAACAATGCAACAGACTTTTGTGTCTACCTTGAATCCTCTAGCTGTCCCTTTCCTGCTGACTCCTCCGATGAACTACAAGGCCAAAGACTTTGTTACAGGATCACCAGCACGTTTCATCAGATGCGAATTGAATCCATTCGCTCAAGAGTTTGCGCCTTTACAAGAGAAGGATGCTGGGAACGCAGTGATTAAGCGACTTGACCCGAAGGCTTCGTTATTCTACCGAGGGCAAGGCAGCCATTTCACAAAATCGCAGCTAGACGAGGAGTACAAAAACGATAGTACTCATTCAAAGCAGGAGCAGGGTTCAGCTTTGGTACAATATGTGGACCTACTCTCAATAGCGCTAGCACCCGTGGCACATGCTCAGCCATATGCGAGCGTTACGGTTGCGGTTCCACCGAATTTACTCAGAGCACATATTCAGACTCTACAGCGCCAGGCACCAGTACCGGAGTATGGGCTACAGCTACGACAGGTCCTCCCCGTGAGGCCCTTATTATGGCTGCTTCTCTGCGTCTTCAGACAACACATCCATAATGCCATCGACCAGCTATATTCTGAAGTATCAAGCTGTGAAAACTATAGTTTGTCAAAAGAGCAGAAACACTTCCTTGAGGACTGTGAGACAGCAGACTACAGCCCTATCGTACCTATCATGTCTGAACAACCTATACGGCCTCCTCATCGACTTCTAGACGATTGGGACCGCGACACCATCTTCCCAGAAGATGAGGAAGGGCCAAGCAAGTGCCTCGACAGCTCAGCTAAATTGAGCGTCTTGCTTGAAGAACTACAAAATCTTGGGCCCGTCTGCGGCTTTCAGCATGGCGAGTCACATCCATCTCCTCAGGAAACAAAATTTGGACCTTCCGAACAGCAACTGAAACTGGAATCGACCACGGCGCAGCACAATAAGGACGAATTGCCACAAAACTCAGCCGAACTGTACCATCATCTCAGCTTTCTCGGGTATGCGGCGCCCTGCAAGAGCGACACTGATCCTTCGTTGTCTCTGGCCATCATCAACATGATGCCGAAAGGGGCTTTGTCATATCGGGACGACATGGATAGTCTGCGGGTTCCGGTCACTATTCAACAAGCTTTTCTCTTCATAGACCCTGTGGTCTATTTCGAAGACCATGCTACGATCAAAGGCTTGTCCGCGAACCAGATCCGCGAGGTGACAGTTGGCCAAGTCTCGAAGTTTTACCAAGGCTATGGCACATGGGTAGACGACGTATATGACCCTGATGAGGATTCACCGCTCGAGGATCAGGGCGATTCAAACTACTACCCACGATGCTGCACCGTGTACAACGGGCTTATGACGGGCTCAGAGCAACCAGATCAGACTGCATTCAATACTGCTATCGAGGTTGCGTACAACGACGATCTTACTGAATGGAAAGCTATCCGTGCAGCACGAAGCAAGCTATTTCCTTTGCATTCCCAAGCGAAAAGTGGCTTTAGACCACCGAAGTCGTCTCCATTGCGCCATTCGTACACACCTGAGTCCACGATCGAGGCTGAGGTCGAGCATGAAAAAGCATTAACGTTGCGCAACAACATCCTTCTTCGTCCAACTATCAAGTCCTGGGCTGATTTAGACGAGGAAGAAGAGGAGGACAACGACGTCAAGCAGGAATTTGTGGAAGCTATTGTACAGCATCCCGATGAAATTTTGGAATCAGACATCACACAAGCAAGCTCCGATTCTACGCCGTTCTGTGCTATCTGTTGGTCAGATAGCCCTTCTAAGGGCTCATGCAAGCCTATTGGAAAGCTCAAGGTCCAATACTTTACGATTCCTGCTTATGTGGTTGGCATGCTTGCTCATCCGGTATGCGTGAAGCGATTAACCATTAAGCAGTCGCGAGATGAGCGATTGAGCGGCTACCAGGGGTTGTATGCTGCTACGAAACAACCTGTGGTGCAGGAACAGAGCTCGTTGCCCACAGTATGTGCGCCTGTCGAGGATGTCGAGACCCCAGGTCTAATCGGGATCGTGGACGATGGATATGCTTCCCAAGAGCTCGAGGCTTCTGAAGATCGTCCCACAGTAAACGAGCTTGAGAAGCAGCCTTGGCACGAAGTCGAGGCGATGTACGACGATGCAGCCAAGACTGTCGAGCAGCGTCTATCTGATGAGGATCTTTTTGGTGACATGACTGTGGCGGACGAGTATGAAAGCCTCCACAAGATTCGGACGCCTGAGATATCGTCTTCGAATGTCTCCTCAGCGATGGATTCTGAGGAATTGTGCCCTGAAGACCAAGAGAATGAGGGTTTCTCACATGTGCCTTCTCCAGACGTCAAGCGAATTGTGTCTCACCCGTCGACACCATTCGCTGTGAAGACAGTGCAGGTTATTGAGTCACCAGCTACGCCTTTAAAGAAGACTGGGTCTGAGCCTGAAGATGTCCCTGAGACACCGGAAAGTGTGAGGAAGATCGTGCAGAACCATCGATCCTGGTCCGATCCGTTCCTCGGCGGGTTCTCAAAAATGACTGCACGACAGTCATATGAGCCCAAGGCGCATCTTCCACGTTCCGAGGCAAGCTGGGATCTACGCAACATACTCGAAGAGGTTGATGAGGACAAGACCAAAGTGCAACAGTCAGTTGCTGCCTTGACTCGAATTTTCGAAGAAGATGAGAATGTTTTTGATGACATCCCGGAAATTGTCGAACAACCTAAGTCTCTGGCAGAGATTAATGCTCAATACCGCGCCTTCAATGGTACTCCAGAAGTCGGCCAGAAACCTCTGCGGGAGGAATACAGTAGCGAGGTCATCTTTGCGCCACTACGCACACCCACAGCCGTGCGTACCCATCTACAAAGAAAATCTCGAGTTGGTACGATGCCCCCCATCGTAAGCTCACCAACGATCGTCGAGGAAATGGAAGAAATTGCAGAGCCTTCGATACCCCCACCACCAATGGTACTGTCTGGTAGTGACAGTGGTAGTGAGATTGGTGAAGCTACAATCTATCCAAGCTATACACTATCATCTGATTTGGATAGGTTACCGGCGACAACGCCGACCCACCCTGCCCGACCAACTAGTGTGACATCGAACCGTGGTCTCCTAGGTCACTTACTACCTCGACGTCTTCGTTCGAGAATCCTGGGCGATATCATCTCTTCTCCTTGTGATGAGGAGTTCAGCGATCTCGACGAATATTATGCTCATCAACCTCAAAAGCACATGATCTTGCCATATGAGCCATCAGCACATGCCAACATTCCAATCTGGACTGAGGCTATCATTCTGCATCCTATTGCACATGTCGACGATGTTCCAGAGAGTGCATCTTTACCATGGCAGACAGATTATACAGATCCTGATATAACTGCTTTGCCTCAGTTCTCGACTGTGGTGGACGCGTCGTCCCGTCGAGGACGCTTGATGGCCTCTGCCAAGCCCGAGCGATCATGGCGGCGCGGAGCAAGTGCTAGGTTCGCCACGCTACTCCGTGGCGACAAGGATACACGAGCAGAGATGTCTTCCAAAGACACAACTTCCAGTATCGGTACTAGCTCTATCGATGTCTCAGGTATCATCGGTAGTGCTCGAGACCAGGACGGAGAGAGCAAAGGAGTATTTAGCTCGATCAAAAGCAAGATCGCGAGCACTCTGAGGAGACGGTCATAGTTCTGCGACGGCGAATGGAGTTCGGAGTAAATGGCAAGCGAATGGAAAGGATTCAGAAATGAGGTACTTTGGTATATCACTGTTCTTTTTGTGCATTGGCGGAGTTCAAGATCACTTTCGCTTCGAGATATGGCGGCGTTTTCTTCGAAGATGACTCATGCCCCGGAGTTCACAGTGTGAGGAAGTACATCTGGATGAAGTTGTCTGAAGGATTAGGTTGTACATTGTACACACGAAGATATGAGATATGGTGCATGACTAATGACACGTGAGATACCCTAGCAAGACTGCTTGCATTGTAATAATATGATGTAACAACAAAAACCACTTTCAATCATATAATAATGCCGCTGATGCAGTTCCATTCGACACCATTCCTACGCTCGTAACCAAACAGAATCTCTCGCTGCATTGACTCGTAAAACATGACCAAGGCCCTGCTCTAATTGTGGCGCAGTTTTGTTGAGCGACAGCTCGTCTGCAAGACGTCAATACAGTGTATGTTCTGTGCATTAAAGTGGTCTTCAGCCCTAGCACGCGAGGAGGTCCAGCGTCGATCTCATCAAGCCCACTGGCTCTGCGAGCAGTCTATTCTTGTCTCTGCACCTTATGATCACCTTTCACAGCATCATCGTAACTCGGTGGCGCAGCAGCTTCACTGCTACCAGCGCCTGTACTCGGTCCAGCGGCATTGGCTGGTCTATTGTTCTGCGGTACAGGTGGCGCTTGTGCTTGTGTACCGTAGTTTGACTTCTGTTGTCTCTGCGGCTGTCGCTGTGGTCTGCCTTCGTGAGAGACATAGTAGTAGGTGACGCGACCACCTTGCTGGTTGGCTTCGCTATCTGGCACCGTTTCGTATTCGAATTCAGGGTTCTTGGCTATGATGTACCAGGCGTGGAGGAGACCAGGTAGGTAGCCGAGCATGCAGAGGAGGATGTTGATGAGGGATTCGGCGCTACATAGGCCTGCTTTGATCCATACTGTAATTGTTAGTTTGAGTGTAGAGGCGGAACGTGGATTACTAACCTGCGACAGGAGGGAATATGATGGCGATGAGGCCGAGGAAGATGTCACCCGCGGACATGATTGCTGTCGTTGCGTACTGTGCGTCGCTAGTAGATTGCGATTGTTGTTGCAACAAACAAGGAAGAGGTAAAGATGAAAGAGTGGAATATGTAGTTTGAAATGAGGCTGCCTGCTGGGCTGTTCATGCAGGTACTGGTGACCAGTCACGCCGTCCAGGTTGCGTATGCGGGCAATACTCAATTGCAGCGGCGAAGTTGACCCCAAGTGGCTGTGCTATGATGTCGTTTCTTGCCTAGAAAGTTCCGCGTATCCACCTTCACCGCGTGGACGATCATCGAGAGCTGAGGAAGTTCACCACCACACTCAATTCTAGTTCTTGAGAGTCGAGACATAGTATTGTCAAGAACTTGATCTTCTATGAGATTACAACATGCGCTTCAATGAGAAACCGGTCCATATTACTCTGTCATCCCCATCACTACTCATGGAAATAGCGTCTACCCACAATGCCTGGCACAATACTTGATCTTCCCACGAAACACAGTATCAAAGTGCAATGGTTCCTACAAATCTCAGTCTGCTCTCGAAGCCCTCTCTCCGCTTTGCGCGCGATATCACCTCTTGCGTTTGCATCCGCACCGCGAGAAACGCGTCCACGCGTTGGGATGCAGACCTTCTAGCTGATTTACCTCTTTATCATAATTCTACCCAGCTCTTTCCTTCGCATTTCTTTACTCCTGTCTTTTCGTACCAAGTTGATCACACTAGCCCACAATCCCTCTAACCATGACTCTGTTATTCAAGAAAGAGATACAGGCGTCGACTCCGAGATCTATCAAAGCAGCCTCTAATTCTTCCCTACCAATACGAGATCCTTTCATGATTCTAGGGCGCGCTGCAGACCGAAGCTTATGGATTCGAGATAAATCATCTTTCAGATTCTTTGATTTACCGCAAGAGGTTCAGGACATGATCTACACCCATCATCTGCAGGACGTTGACTTTTGTATACAAGGCTCGTGTCGCGATTGCACATGGAATGTAGCGCACCAATGCCGCGAGGAATCAATCATGGCACAAGCAAAGGGTACCATACCAAGCCTGGCTCCAGAACGAGTATGCCGCAAGATGTTCACCGACTCAAGATATATTCGGGATAGGATCTGGCCACGAACCTTGACAATTGAAGAGAAGGTGAGTGTAAAAGGTGTGGTCAAACAGCTGGCACAGCATTCGAAGTTTACCTGGTTGCGTGGACACATCACAGAAGTTGTGTTCAACGAGGTCTCGTCATACGCCTTATCTACTCAACCACACTGGAAAGGTCTTGCACTTGCCTGTCCTGGTTTGCGGAGCTTTCATATTCATCAACGCGCTCGTAGGGGCTATGTCGACTGGGATCCTCGAGAGTATGAGGAAAATGCGGTCGCGGAAGACCCGGATGATCGGAATCTACAGGCCATACAACCCAAGACCTTCGAAAAGCTGGCCGCATGTCTTCATCGTAACCACGGCGACAACTATACAGTCACGGTCGAGTCTTGCATCTGGTGGTCTTTGATGCTGACTTCACCTCAGGAATGTCTTAAGAAGGTGAGTTCTTCTGTAACATTTATTGGAGACCTACTAACTCGCTAGATTAACATATACAGCTTCAAGCAAGACAAGCACGATATGGTTTCTAGAACGTTCGAGGTCGAGAGGTTGGTCGATTTAAGAGCAGCTGAGACTCACTTGAATGATGACTGGTCGCCATAGGGGAGAAGGGAGTGTTCTCCCTAGTGTTCGTCAAGAACAAGGTCACGTTATTTGAGATTTCCTGCGTTCAAGGCATCGTCCACTACAGCTGGTGGTGCTGATAGTATCTGAGGACTGACGAAGAAGAGGAGCAAGTCGGTTGCTATGGCTGTAAGGTTTATCCTACGGCGATATTGGCTTGTTTCACGCGCGCAGTATTGACTTGAAGTTGGAGATGGGCTTACGTGACGACAATATCGTCTTATGCCTGAAGTCTCTATGTTTTGGACTTGCAGGTGCAAGAGCGGCCACGAAGGCGAATGCCTACAATTGACAACAATACTACACACTTTACAACGTCTGATTTATACAACCATTGTGGGGAAAGAATCTGGTACTCTTCTGGCTGCTTCGAGTACAGTACTGTAGATAGAAACAGAGACACTATGCCAAAATTGGGCATAGCCCTGCAACGAGCTGGCAGATCCATCCTTAGCTACGCTTCTTCTTGCATAGCACCTTCCGCGATGAACCTGAAGCAACTGCCAAACAGCAATCAAGCTACGATCCGCTGCCGCATACTCGCTTCGTCGCAGACTTTGCTTGCAGTCGATTCTTCCCCTCAAAGTAATTTGTCACCACGATCAACCCAGCTTGCGTTCTGCAAAGGGTTGCTCTCACTGCCGAAGCTCCAGCAGAACAAAACTTAACATACCGATGTCGCATCGCCCAGGACGCGAAATCTCGTGATCAGAGGGAACATCAACGACAGCCATAACCAACCTCCCCGCGAACTCCATGCAATGCTATGCACAGCTTCTGCTAACTGCTCTACTTGTCAAAATCTCCAATGGTCGTTTGTGTCAATCATGGATGGAAGGGCCCCGATCTGAGATCAAGGTCTCGAACCAGTCCGACCGAGCCTACTCCTACTCTGATTGTGAAGACTGAAGTTGCCAACCACAATGGCACGATTCTTGCAGTTGCAAGACATGTCGTCCACGTAATATCTCGGTGAATTCGGTAGTGGTTCCAACGGTCATCTCGAAACCAAGTCTTGACATCCTTGCAAAGTCAAAACCTCCAACTGCAAAGCAACCATCCCCGCAACATGTGGTCAATACCCCTGGCTTCTAGCCTCCAGATCGAGACATGTGTTCCGCTACTGTTCGCGTCTCGAAGTACAGTGACAACCTTTGGTGGAGCATACATATGCACTCTCTACGCAATTTCGACACAGAACGCGGGGAAGATGAGACGATTTTGTTCTGGAACATCTGGTGGAATACTGTTGCGCAGGAGGGGGTAGGAGACAGCAGAGAGATTCGTACAAAGACTTGATGCCCTGCGCTTCCTCAACCTCTATTCTTCAAACCAGACTCTGGCTGTGATTTTTCCGAGATTCAAGCACGAAAAGACGAACTCCTTGCCCGTCATGTCTACAACCACAGAGACGACCATGAAGGCTGTCAACTACCAGGGCGCCTTCAAGGTGAAAGTTGAGGACGTCCCACGACCTAAACTTGAGCATCCCGACGATGTCATCGTCAAGGTTACAACAGCAGCTATCTGCGGCAGGTAAGCATTCCCTAGACCAACTCCAGCTCTTTAGAGCTCAAGTGCTGTGTCTTCCAGCCTGTCAGAGCTAACACACGTCAGTGACCTTCACATGTACGAAGGCCGTACTGGAGCACAGCCAGGCATCACCTTTGGCCATGAAAACATGGGTATAGTCGAAGAGCTTGGTGAGGGTGTCACACTTCTCAAGAAAGGAGATCGAGTTGTCATGCCTTTCAACGTGGCTGATGGTCGTTGCCGAAACTGTGAAGAGGGATACACTGCATTCTGCACAGGAGTCAACCCAGGCTTTGCTGGTGGTGCCTATGGATACGTGGCCATGGGCCCATACCGTGGTGGTCAGGCACAATACATCCGAATCCCATATGCTGACTTCAACGCCCTCAAGCTGCCAGAAGGCAAAGAGCATGAAGCAGACTTCATTCTATTAGCAGACATTTTCCCAACAGGATGGCACGGCGTGTCTCTCTCAGGTTTCAAGCCTGGTGACACTGTCGCCGTCTTCGGTGGCGGACCAGTCGGGCTGATGGCAGCTTACTCCGCTCAGCTCCGAGGTGCCAGCAAAGTCTTCGTTGTCGACCGAGTACCAGAGAGGCTAAAGGCAGCAGAGAAGATCGACTGCATCGCCATCAACTTCGAAGAGGGCGACGCCGTAGAGATGATCTTGAAGGCCAACGGCGGCAACATGGTCGACAGATCAGTTGATGCCGTCGGCTACCAGGCAGTCGTCAAGGGAGGACAGAAGGAAGAACCAAACATTGTCCTCGAGAACATGATCAAGGTAACAAGAGCTTGTGGTGGCCTCGGCATCCCAGGTCTCTACGTCCCAACAGATCCTGGCGCACCAGACGAGAGTGCCGCAAAGGGAAGAATTGCACTGAGCTTTGGAAAACTATTTGAAAAGGTAAGGAGAAAGCAATCGTTACATTCAATAGCATCATGAGTACTGACTGCTGTATAGGGTCTTGCACTTGCCACAGGCCAGTGTAACGTCAAGCAATATAACAGATACCTCCGAGACCTGATCATCAGTGGTAAAGCCAAGCCATCATTCGTCGTCAGCCACGAGATCAACATCGACGATGCTGAGATGGCATATGAAAAGTTCGACAAGAGGATTGAAGGATATACCAAGGTCCTGATCCACCCCAACGGAGGGTTTTGAAAAGACTGAAATAGAGTCCACAAGGACATTGTAAGATCGAGTATGTCTCATTAGCATAACTGCAGCATTGCACTCCTGTTCTTCGACTCTTCATACGCAAAATGTGTCATTAGAACGAGTTCAACTCACGACTTCTTCTGCCTCTTGCTTCTCGTGCCTTGCGGTGCTTCCCCAGTTACCTCGCCATTATCTGCGTAAAGCTCGGTATTCTTCGACTTGCGCTTCATACCTGATCCTTTCCCATTCGCACTTTCTACCAGATACGAACCGTCCATGACAGGAGCAGAGCTTAACACCCATTCCGCAGCTCTGGTTCCAGTCAGCCTCCGCTGATTCTCCACCGCTTGAATCTTCTCCCAACCCTTCAAGCCAAGCAGATTCATGCCATGGTCACCACCTTCAACAATAACCAAAGTCGACCTGGCCTGCATTCTCTTCTGGACTTGCTGCAGATCACTAATCTCGCACATCGTATCCTTGGACCCAATGATGAAGAGAACCTCCTTGTCTCGTGGTAAGTCGAGCAGAAGCTGTTCCCGTCTATCTCCCTTAGGACTAATCAGCGGATACGACACTAGCACAAGCTTCTTAACCTCTTCATGTGTCTGAGCCAGCTTAGCGGCCGCCCGAGCACCCAGACTACGACCACCGACAGCGAACGTCTGTCTCGGCTCTTCAGCCTGGAGGTTAGAGAGCACGGTCTCGAAAGCCTTGACGCGTGATTGTAGGTTCATGGTTCCCTGGAAGCAGACTACGGGTCCTGATACGGCGTAGCCATCGGCGAACAGGGAAGTCGCTGGATTTTCGAGGCCGCCGCCCGCGCCATGTGTGAAGATTAGAACGGTCGAGTCTGGAGCTGAAAAGTTTGAGCCTCGGGATTGGCAGGATATGTCCATGCCATCTTCGTCGGAGATGGTGAATGTTTGGATTGCTGATGAGGGTTCTTTGCCGGGGATGCGGTATTCGTCTTTGATGCCGCCGCCGTTGCCGCTGGACGCGTTGTTGGTGGTGTTTACTACTGGTTCATGTTCATCGAATTGGGGACTCATCATGGGAGGCGCGTCCATAGGAGCAGCAGCGTGCCTGGCTGTCCTTGGGGGCATGCCGCCGATGTCGTTGAGAAGTCCAGAGCTGGGGGCATGTTAGTTACTACTGCCATTGTGGATATGTCGCTTATGGTATCTTACAACATGTAAAGGTCTTTGATATATCTTTGCGATGAGACGCGATGCTTGGGTGATGAGTAGAAAAGTAGCCGTGGATGTTGGTATCGATCGCGACAAACAAAGGTTGGAAGGCGCTCATTTAGCACACTAGTGTCTTTCAGGCTTAGTGAACAAACTGTACAGTCTCGTGACTCTATACATGCCTTAACGCCTGAAGACTTCTAGTCTATCGAAAAGTCCAAAAGTCCACGAATGAGACTTGGGAAAGAGGACTGTGGTGTTTGACATATCGTTTCAAGCAAGATGCCGACAAAGCACAAACGCAAACGAGAAGACGACAAGTCCAATTTCGACCTTCCACCATCCTCAAAGGCCAAACCATTACCAGTCATTGCACCAACAAAAGATTTCCTGACACCACGCAAAAGGCAGAAACTCAACGACGGCAAGAGCAACCGCAAGAAGAGCAGCAAAAATGACTCCAATGACATGCCCAAAACATTTGCGCGACTCATGGCATGGCACAAGGAGGGCAAAAAGATAGGCGGTGGCCTCGACGACGGCAGCAAGCCAGCGAAGAAGTCAAAAAAGAAGCAGCAGAGTTCAGAGACAGCTACAGCAGAAACTGCCACTAAAAGCGATCCTCCTTCCACAAACAGTACCATACCCAAAATCCAACCAGGCGAAACCCTAACCGATTTCGCCATCCGCGTCGACCAGTCCCTCCCACTAACCTCCCTCGCCAAATCCAACATCAACCCCAACACATCGCTTCCAGCTGACTTACTCGCCAAAGAGAAGAAATCTAAACACCTAACCAAGCACAATAAACGCCTAGCTCGGATGCAAGCCGAATGGCGCAATACGGAAGCGAAACTGAATGCGAAAGAGGAAGAGGAAGCTGAGCAGAATGAGGAGAAACTTGCGGAGGAGAAATTGTTGTGGGATGGTGTTAGGATGACGGGGAAGAAAGGGAAGAAGCGGCTGGTTGAGGATGATGATCCGTGGAAAGTGCTTGAGAAGAAGAGGAGGGAAGAAGATGGGAGGAGAGAACGGGGGGCGGTGATTGGGCTTACTGCGAAGGATCAGGCTCAGGCGCCGCCTGTGTTGGGAGCGGTTAAGAATATCTTTAAGGAGCGTGCGGTGGCCGCTCCGGCAAGGACAAGCGAATCAAGCGGGTTTGCTGAGAGGAATGGGCTATCTAGGCCGACTCGAAAAGGCGGCTATTCGCAGGTGGCAGAACAAGCGAAGAGACAACATATACAGGGCGTGCTGAGGCGAGCACAGGACCACCGTCATGGCATACCTGTATAGTCATCCTTGTGACGGCCAACAAAAATCGCTTACTCACAAAACATTCAGTCAGCTTGTCCACACTTTCCGAGCAACATCCCGCAACAGCTCCAACTTTTCCCATTGCTTCTCCCGAGTCATACCCAGACCACCCTTGGCAGAATGACTACTAAACCCACATTGTGGACTAATAGCCAGCGCTTCAACAAGTGCCTCTTGTTCACTTACGCCCCAGGCCTGCGCTATCACCCTACTCGCCTCATTGATCTTCCTCACAAGCACTTCCCTGTTCTCCATCTCCGCCGTCTTCGTACTCACCAACCCCAACACGGCATGCTTCCCCCTCGGCAGAAACCTCAGCGGCTCAAACCCACCCGCCCTCGTCTCATCATCAAATTCTAAGTAAAAAGTATCAATCCCCTCCGTCTCATTAAACAGTTTCTTCGCAATCTTCTCATACCCACCACTGACCCAATGCGTACTCCCCAGCATGTTGCCGCGACACAGATGCATTCCCGTCTTCAGATCAGCATATTTACTGCTCCCTCTTATCGGCTCAAATATCCAGGAATATACTTTTATGTACAGATCTAATAGTTTGTCGGTATCGGTTCCGTCCTTGGCACAGCCGGCCAGAAACCCTTCGTCGCAGAAATAGGTCAAATGCGGATCATCGATCTGTACGTATCGACAGCCGTGGTCGTACAGTGTCTCGATTGTCTTTGTGTAACAGGCGGCCAGGTCGCGGAAATAGCTCTCGTCGTCTTTATAGCCTGAGTCGGGCGTGGATGCCGCCCCAGGCTTGAGCTGGATGTGCTGGTAGGAAGGGGCCGGGATGGTGATTTTGGTCTTTTCCCAGTACGTTTCGTCTGGTAACAAATCGCGCAGTTGCAGCCATTCGGAGAGGTAGGGCGGTGAGTCTGGGTTGAAGCTGATTTTGTTGGTTGCAATGACGCTTGCTCGAGTCTTGAGGCCGAAGGATTTAAGGAGACCTGTTGTGGTGGGGAAGTCTGTGCGGAAGGCGTCTGGGACGGGCAGGGCGTCGAAGACGATCATTCCGTGGAGGTTTTCGAAGAACCCGGAGAAGTAGATGGCTCGTGGGTATTCTCCATTGACGATGGGTAAGATGTCGCGGGTGATTTGCACGTGGACTGCGAGTTCGATGGCGGATTGTTCGGCTTTTTTGATGCTGTCAGATACTTGACGTGTGTATACTACAGTGTAGTCTTCATTGTTGCGGGCGTCTCTCAGGGCCTGAGGTCGGAGGAGGGATCCTACTTGGTCTGCTCGAAAGGGTGGTGGCGGCATTGTAGGCTGCTTTGTAGGAAAACGGACGTACAGTATTGGACCTTCGATAAGCTTGAGATTCTACTCATAGAAAGCACTGATCTTGCGATCCAAGGACAATTGAAACCCAAAGGTGAGGATAGTTTATGAGAGGGAAGTTTAGCAAATGCAACTACAAGGGCTTTGTGACAGCGAGTTGGACTAAAGACCGCTGAACAACAGAAGGACTGGTCAACGCATCGTGCCTTCCGTTTCGTACATCTTCAGCATCTGGTACGAAATCTCCCGGTCAGAGATGTGGGGAAGGAACATATCCATTCTACTCGTCTGTGCTCTAGATTGTCCGGGATGTGCCTCTTTGAGCTATTACCTTTACTGGCTGAAAGCTGTCGTCAAGAGGAGGGCTCATTGCTAGCAGAAGTGTCCGAGCAAGAACGAACAACGATAGTAAAAGAAAACGAGATTTCAGTTATTAGCCCCAAATCTCAGAACCAGGATGCCCAAAAACTACATCTTCTACCAAAAATCTACCCTTCAAATCCAACCAATGACTCGACCAGACGCTGTTCATCTCTCGGCACCATCCTAACCTTATATCTCTTCGGCACGCTAACAAGCTGAGTCTGATCTTGCACGCCCATCACAGGATGTGTATTAACAGCACCACCATCCTCAGCGACCACATCCCGGATCTCAAAGCAACTGATCAACCGTAGGTATATGGTGTACATCTCCCTGTTAGCCAGCAGCGACCCTGCACACATCCTGTAACCAAGACCGTAAGTGAAGAGCGGTGCATCTGGCTGCTCGAGCCAGCGCTCTGGGCGGAAGGTCAGGTAGTCGTCACCCCAGACTTCGGGGTCCATATTGCAGGACCAGGCGTTGAGGAAGACCACAGTGCCCGCAGGGATGATGGCGCCTTTGTTGAACGAGCTGCGGATGTCTTTGACCGAGGCTCGAGGGAGAGATAGACGGAGTACGGTGTAGAAGCGGAGGAACTCCCGGATCAGGGCTACAATATAGGGTATGCTCTGGTCGTCGTTCTCATCGCAGAGAATGCTTGATTCCAGCGGATAGACTTTGCGGATCTCTTCGAGAGCCTTGTTCTGGATGTCTGGACGCTCTGCAAGGAGAGCCATAGACCACGCAACCAGTGTTGTGAGTGTATCCAGACCACCAGACAACATGGTAAGAGAAATAGAGGTAAGCTCCTCTTTGTTCAGCTTGGCCTCCTTATCCTGGATAACATTGGCCTGGATGCAAGGCTGATGCGTACCTTTTTCCATACGATCATCAAGTTCATCATTTAGGCGCTTAAGGTACACATCACGTCTTCGTCGCATCTCACGAGCTTTTGACTTGCCAACGCTGAACGGATTGAGTCGTAAGATAGGTATGTAGTCCTGTAAATTGCCAGTAGTGGATCGGAACTTCGACACCTCTTCCTCAACATAGGTGATCTCGTCGAAGAGATCATCAGACTGTGAGGCAATACGTGTTCCCCAATTCAAGGTCAGCGCAAGCGACAAGCTTAGACGCTGAATCATCGGCATGGGATCAACGAGCTTCGTCCCTGCCGCACCATACTCAAGGAACTCCTTCACAAATGCCTTTGTCTCCGTATCGATATGTGGAATATAAGTCATAATGCTCGGCTTGTTGAGTGCACTCGCTGCTCCCTTGCGTCGCCTTTTCAAGCTGTCTGAGAAGGGTGAAGTGCCGATTGTAGTCCCCGCAGTACTACTGACGACTTTATGAAAAGTGTAGAACTCTGGTCTGGAACTCAATGCCTGAGAGTTGGCACCGAATATTTCCCGGGCAGATGCCGCGCTGTTGATGACAACGACGGGAACATTGCCAAGCATGATTTGGTAGACTGGACCATACTGCTGAGCCCATAGACGGTATTGCTCTGCCGCGTTGGTTCGGATTTGGTGGATATTCCCAATCATTGGAAGACCGACAGGACCTGAGATGCCTGGTATGCGGACTGTGGCCCGCTGGAACTCTGTGATTGTAACATAGCCCACAATACAAGCTGTGAAAGCATAGACTGTGAAAAGCAAAGGGTGACTAATTGAGTAGGCTAGTATTGACTTTAGTAACGAATCGATCGCCATCGTTGGCAGGAGTTCTTGTTTTTGCGACTTCCTAAGCTGTCCACGACACTAATTTCGGGCCACTGAATGTGCTGCTTTGTAAGAATTTGTATTTCTTTGAAGCCTAGACGGAAGCTATTTCCTTCAATCGAGGAATAAATGTGAGGCCTGAGATTGATCGTTTCTGTACAATTTTAAACCCTGGCTGGAAAACACTAGGTTATGGTGGACGAAACCGAGAGCAGCACCCGAGGTGAACGATGTGAGAAGCAAATGGATATATCATGATGAGAATTCTGTTGTCGATATATACACAAATCCAAGTCCGGTCATTGGCGCTGCAGATACGGCAAATGTCGAGTAATGTGCTGAGGATCGTCTGGAGTGTACTTCTGTGGGGTATGGAGAAAGTCACTGCGGAAGCAGGCCGCAGTTTGACACAATTGTGCGGAAAGGTAAAAGAGTTCTGTGAAGATATGGCTGCAAGTTGTGTGTACTGCTGTAGAGTGTATTGGCGAATCTCCGTGTATGAGATATCAGGCTCTGTTGACTCAAGTTCGTTCCGGTGATTTCCACAACAAGCAGAAACCATTGCACGAGCGAGCGTCCACTATGACTATCTATTCCACCGATTCTGATAGGGGGACCTTGTCGAAGAAGTGCTGCAGGAATTTCGGTCCAGGCAGGTTGTCAGTTATGCCAACAACAGCGTTCTGCCAGTAAAGGTTTCCCGCCGATGATGAATCTGCGAGGATTCTCCCGTATGCAGGAGCTCTCTCGAACTCCTTACCATGCTCGGTTTCTCTGGCTGTTTCCTCGATCACTTTGCCCATCAAGTATTCTTCATCGAGAGTGCCCACGAATACGACAACCTCGTCAGGCATATCATCGCTGAACCACGCGATACCGCTTCCACACCCAGAGCAAAAAGCTCGCTTAGAGCTAGGGCTGGACTGATACTCCTTGAGGGTTGTAAAGCTGGGCCATGCAGGTGATACCTGTGCTTTCTTAACGATAAGATTGGTTGAGACGAGGGAGCCAGTCCATTTCCGACACATATTACATTGGCAGGTGGCGACCTGGAAGGTTAGTTGGACTGAAGCAACGCTTAGGTCTACTTACCATTGGAGGCCAACTGCCTTCATCCTTGAACAGAATGTCGTAGTGAATAGCACCACACAAACATCCGCCCGAAACTTTGTTTGGAGTATCCGAGGCCATGATTCGATACTGCACAAGGACGGTGAAGATTGACAGCAGTTTCTCGGTAGTGGCGATGAGCTGTACGTTTGTGGGAAGGCTCTGCTTGTGTGGGCTATATGTCAAAGAGAGAGAGATCCTCTGGAATAACGAGCTTCGCCCTCTTATATAACGAACCCAGTATCTTCGCTTTTTCATATTATCGTCTGACTGTGGCGAGGGTTTCGAGGCAGCCTGGATCTCAAGCACAACAGGCAGATACACTGTCACGTACTCGTATCCTTAGCGACAAAATCGTTCAGCTCTTCTGCTTCTTGTTCCTCCTCGAACCTGCTGTCTGCTGTTTGTGGCTTGCATCACCTGTATTCCCATTGGCTGTTCCATTGCTGCCTGCATCGGTCGTCTTAACACCCTGCTTGGCTGCGTTCTCTTTCTCCTTCTTCTCCAACGCACGTTGAACGGCACCCTGTTTCTCAAGTCGCTCGATCTGCTTTTCGGAAAATTCCCACAGCGTTCCAGCTATTACCTCATCTCTGACCTCCGGTCTCAATGGTTCGATTTCACGGCATTCCTTGATGTATTTTCCACCTAGGCCCTGACCATATTGAGGGTCCATGACTGCGAAGAGAAAGCTTTGAGCGCCTTGAACAGGTGACTTGAGAATGAGCCACCATATAGGCCACGTTAGCAGGTAGAGCAAGAGTCCAATCAATGAGCCACCGGTCAGCCACCTTCGCATTCCAGGAGTACGAGAGTAGCCAGGATCAACCACAAGAGCTCGAGCATTACCTGGCTGCTTATCAGGTCGCTCATATGCATCGAGATGCTTTTGAAAAGCGTGGGCAAAGTTCATGACAGCCAACTTTGTTCTTGAATGAGCCCAACTTCCTGATTTGGCTTTTGTCTCTGTGTTGCTCAGATCAAGAGTGCCTCCAATGTAGCTACTGCATGTGCTGAATAGAATTCGCACGTCTCGATCTGGTGGCTGTGCTCGAATAGCAGGCGAAAGGATGCTCAACAAATGGTAGGTGGAAAGGTAATTGACCATCCATTCTTCTTCGACACCATCTACGGTAGTCCTGCTCTTGCCCCATTTAGGTGTCATCACGTTCGCGCACAAGACGATGGTGTCTAATCTTCGTGGAGGAGCATTGTCTACCCATTTCGTGGCAAACATACGGATCGAATGTAAAGAAGATAGGTCGACTTGCTCGGCGTATATCAGCTCGTTGTTACACTGAGTTCTTAGGTCATCGATGTAGTCTACCAGGAACGGGTCGGATGGTTCGTGGTGGGTGAGTAAGATGATCTGTGCTCCTCGACTGGCCAGCTCTTTCGTGGTTTGTGCGCCGATGCCTGAAGCTCCTCCCTGCTCCTGTTAGAGATGTGCTCCTGCGCCAGTGTTTCGCCATACCGTAATTACTACCACCTTCCCATGCATGTTCCGCTCGGAGAGACATTTTGCTCCACCGAAATAGGTCTTGAGTACGTATACCACGCCAATGATCGCGGTGGATTTCGCGATCGTGAAAAGGTGCGGGATATTGCTGATACCTCTTCCAAAGCCCTCCGCCAGCAGAGGGACGACCATGTTTGCGACTACTAGTCAGATGGAATTGAATGCAGTAGTTCGTGCTCAAGAAGTTTATCTGAACCTGCGACTAGCCCGGCTTAGGCTCGTGGGGGTGCGGAATCCTCACGTCTTCAAGTGCTTTCGTGCCTGAAACTCAATTTCCTTCAGGCAATGACGTTGCTAGGACCAGCCCGAATTTGTGCCTGCAAGTGCAACTTGAGCCACCTTTCTGGAGCACGCTGTTGACCACTTCTGATCGCGGTACTCTACCAGTTCTATGTCTGACGACAAGTTTGATGTCGATGAGTATTTCGTCCCGCTAGTCGACCAGCGCGTGTTCGGCGCAGGTCTCAAGAGAAAGCGTGTCGCGTTCGTGCCAGCCTCTTCCCACAACTCCACAGTGAAAACCAACGCCACACCCACTGCTGGGAATAGATACCTCTCTATTGTGTTGCAGAAAGAACCGGGCTCGAAAGCTGACGTTGTAGACGAACCCTCAGCCACAGAGTCGAAGCCGAAGAGCAAGACGCGTGAGACACCTGTTGTGTGTGATGTCTGTGGTCAACCACTACTAGAGGCCGATAGCCATGCCACATCGATTGCACATCAGATATGCATCAAGCATTCCCATCCACCTTCTCATCTTGATAGGTCGCATATTGGACTGAGATACCTTCAAGACCACGGCTGGGATCCTGACAGCAGACGAGGATTAGGTGCACGTCAGGAAGGTATACGAGCTCCTATTAAGGCGAAAGAGAAGCATGATAGTGCTGGACTTGGCCTGTATGCTACCAGCGAGGACACAGATATTCACGTACGGCAAAAGAAAAAGAAAATAAAGGAAGAGCCGATAGTCAAATTGAACGCCAGAGAGGTTAGGAGCATCGAAGAAGAGAAAAGTCGGCGTGCTGAAAAGCTACGCCAATCACTGTATGGTCCAGATCTGTCCCAATATCTGGGTTCAAACGGCTAGATCGCTAAGGCAGATCAAAAAGTACTGTGCCCAGAACACAAGATGCATACATTGAGTTCCAACGCCGGACGCCGTGCTGGAACGAGAATTGTGTTTGTCTAAATAGCTTCAGTTCTTCCATACTTTGAAGTGATGTTTTTTCTCCTTCTTGCCTTCCGCCTTCTCCTTGGCCAATTCAGCTGGCGTCTTGAAAGTGCTCTTGGGAGGCTCGTGTTTTGAATCGTGTTTGGTTTCCTGCTTGGACGAGCTGGGTCGATTGTTGACCTGGGGCTGGCCCTGTGGTGCCAAGTTCATCTTCTGCATCGCTGCTACAGGCGGCTGTGGCTGTGCCTGTGGCTGTGGCTGTGCCTGAGTTTGAACTGGCGGCTTTCCATTAGGGATACTCTGCGGCTGCGGTGGTTTAGGCTGCATAGCAGCAGGAGGCGGTTCCGACATCCACGCTGGCATCTTAGGCGGGTCACGGTCCATAGGTAGGCCAAGCTCACGCCTGCTTCGACTTAGCAGGCTGACTTGCCTTGTGAAGGAGCGTGGTGTAATCATGTGAGTTGTTGCTAGGTAGACCTCCTTGCCATACTCGCGAGCGATCTCATAGCAAGAACGTGCTTCGGAATATGTTGCTCCTCCAGCCATAAAGACTATCAGCCTTTGTCTTGGTTTGCCAGACTGCTGACGAGTACTTGCCCAAGTCGGGGCGCCCTGCTTGCGCAAGGACGTTGTTGATTGAGCAGTCGATGAGTGGTCGAGATGTGGTTTGACGGGAGGAAATACGCCTGGGTCTAATGTATTTTTGCACAAGCCTTCGAGTAAGCTCCGCACATTAGTCTGGAACCGCGTCAAGTCAACCTCGTCTCCAGGTTGAACCTGTTGCGCCTTCGGAGGAAACAATGGTTGGAATCCAGGACTATTATCCTTCAGTTGTCGTTCCACCCTCGATCCTAGTAGGTCGAGATTGTAGATCATCTCCCCATCCATAGGCGAAAGCTCACCATGACATCTCAGCTTCTCAATGTCACCTCTAAGCAAGCCATTTCTGTACATGATGTACATGGCCAGCAGCCGCACTCGATCGTCGTGCACTATACTGTCATCGTCCAGTAAACGAACGACCTGATCTGCCAGGTTTCTGGGTCTCTTACCATCTTCATCGATGCCAGTAGCCAGGCATTGCTCAGTCGTGGAGATGTCAATCAGCTTTCTTTCCTGAAACAACTTTGCGCACTTCTCGGCCATATCGATATGTAATGCGAATGCCTCCTTGCCTTCCTGGAACTCAGGCAGACCAGCCATCATGTCCTTTATGGTATTGACTGTGACAGGCTGATCGTCACTGTCAGCAAATTGAGAGTTCTTGGCTTGAAACTGTTTGAAGTCGTTACTGAGTTCGACTAGAAGGTCTTTCATGTGTTTATGTCTGTTTGATACCCAGAGCTTGTCATTTTCATTGAGCTCCACATCCTTCTCTTCTTGATCTGGTTGCCCTCTTCGGATAACGTTACGGTAGGAGATTTTGTCGCCGTCGTCCTGCATGGGTAGGAGGTCCATAGCCATGGCTTGGTATGTGAGCTCATGAACAAAAGGAGCCATCAGATCCATGGTTCTATCGGTGATGATCAGCTCAGCACGAGGTCGTGGAGAATCAGCCGGAGGAAAGTTGTTACGCTGATCGCGGGCATATTCGTCCAGAGCAGTCTGTACAAAAGAGGCCAGATGAGAACATAGAACGGCGGCTGCATGATTTGCGTTTCTAGGTCTGAAATAGCGTACCAGTGGGTACTCGCCTAGAGAAACACAGACAGACACAATCTTCTGAGTGAGGCTGTCGAGATGGGCTTTGATCATGCTGTCGCAATGCGGATTGTAGAGAACGTGGAAACTCCAGTCGGCACGAAAGGTGACCACGTGAGACTCCCGAGGGTAGAAATCGATGTTCAGGTCCCGAGTGCTAGCAATGAGCTGACGACGTGGTTCGGCATTGAACAAATCCTGGCCCAGGAAGCGGGGGAGTGTAGAAGTCCAGATCAAAAAGGCTCTGCGGTACCTGCGACGGCTCAAGTCTGCCTTCAGCTGCTCAACAATATGTGGCAGAGGGGACAGTAAATATATGGCATCAGTCTCAGGCTGTTGCTCGCGACGATCTTCCAGCAACTCGACGTTGATAATGTTGCAATTGAGAACATCATCCTCTTTAACCACATTGTACAGCAGTTTCTTGCTAGTTCCGTCCAATACCAGGACCTTCCAGTCATTCCCTGTTGCCTGTTTTATGGCTGCGAGGAAGTTTTGTCTCTGCTCATCGAGGATAGAGGTGGCCATGGTGAGGGTTTTGGAGGGCTGGTGGTCGTTGTCGACTTGGAGGGTTCACTGCTGGTGATGACTGCGACAATGTCGACTCCCACATCAAACATCTCTTCTCCCGTATGAAATTGATCGTGCAGGTGCTGCCTGTGCAGAAGGACTTCTGCCAGAAAAAAAGGGTGCCTGGAAGTTTAGAGTAATGTATATCGGCATTGAGTGCGCCACATGGTCGAGTTCATGAGTGGGCAACTTGAACTTTCGACCAGGGCTTGCAGGGTCCCATGTGGTAATGTGGATCGAAACTCTAAATTTCGCGTGCATCATTGAGGTCGAGATTCATTGGCAAGTCGCCGCAATGCGTCTTTCACTGCATGCGCATCTATTGTCAGCTTACGTCTAATTGCGCACTGGAGTATGCAAGCATGGCATCAGCGACCTATGCAATGCGTTCTTTGCACATTCCGTCGAACAGCTCCGTCTGCGCGCCGCATCAGCAGCAGTCGGACACTGAGTCTTGAGATCCGTCGCCAGAAAATTAAACCAGCGGCAGGCTTTGATAGAAGGGAGAGGGATCACAAGAGACAAGATCCTGCTGAACCTGTGAGGGGAAAGCATGGCCAACCTGTGATACGGAAATATGGAAAGGGAGACAACATCAGCCACCTTTCTGACGCGGAGGAGAAACAAAAGCAGGCCTCTCACATACAGAAAAATATCCAGACTCTGGAACATCGCCTACGTGCGAGGACACCGACTGATAGCGGCAATGGCACCACTTCTGACATGGATCGATTGGATCCCACGGGGCAGTTATGGCCAGCCTACCGTGCATATATCTTGTCCTTGAAGGAGAAGGTGGCCACATCAAAACGACCCTCAAATGATCAGAGGATGTGGGATACTTTATCGAGCACAAATAACGAAAGCTTGGAGAAGGAATTATACTTTGGCTTCCTCGACTTTGCTATCAAACCACCAAGCGCTGATGAGTTTAGCAAGTCAAAATCCATGCCCGTCGATCTGCGCTATCCGACCGAATGGTACGCCTCAGCACGAAGAGCCCAGAGGGTCATCCATCTTCATGTCGGTCCCACTAATTCCGGTAAAACATACAATGCCCTGAAGAGACTGCAAGAGACGAAAAATGGCTTCTATGCTGGACCTTTGAGGTTGCTAGCACATGAAGTCTACTCCAGGTTCAGAGCCAATGGTATAGCTTGCGACTTGGTCACTGGTGATGATGTGCGCCTTGATGAAGACGCTGACACAAAGGTCTATGCGTCCACGGTTGAAATGGTCAACACCTCTCGTCACCACGAAGTTGCTGTGATTGATGAAATTCAAATGATGGGTTCAGAAGACCGTGGATGGGCTTGGACTCGCGCTTTCCTTGGTGCTAATGCTAACGAGGTTCATCTCTGTGGTGAGGAAAGAGTTGTACCCTTGATCCGCGAGCTGTGTGCCTCAATGGGAGATGCTCTACAAATCCACCAATACAAACGTCTAAATCCGCTTCGCTGTATGTCCAGATCGTTGCGTGGTAACATCAAGTTACTTCGCAAGGGCGATTGCGTGGTTGCTTTTTCCATTATGGAGCTGCATGCTTTGAGGCGACAGATCGAGCTTGAGACCAATAGAAGGTGCGCTATTGTCTATGGTAGTCTGCCACCTGAAACCCGTGCTCAACAAGCAGATCTCTTCAATGACCCTGACAACGACTATGATTTCCTTGTCGCTTCCGACGCTATAGGCATGGGTCTTAACCTCTCTGTCAAGCGCATCATCTTCAGTAGCACCTCAAAATTCGACGGTACGAAAACAGTGCAGCTCACCATACCTCAGATCAAGCAGATCGCAGGCCGTGCCGGACGATATCGCTCTGCTCATCAAGACAAGAACAAGACTTCCGCTACCACGACGGATGCAAAGGATGCTGCTGACGAGAACGTCGGTCTTGTCACTTGTATCGATGAAACTGATCTTCCCATCATTCGTGATGCACTTGCTACAGAAGCTCCACCAATGCGAAAGGCCGGCATCGTTCCACCTGCAGAATATTTGCAAGAGTACTCGACTCAACTTCCGCCTGGCATACCCTTCGAGTACCTGATGCGCAAGGTTTCGCACGCGGCTACGATTCATCCTCGCTTTTTCCTATGCGACATACGTGACAAGCTAAAGAATGCACGCATAGTGGATGATGTCCCTAACTTGACCATAGAACAAAGAGTCAACATAACCGCAGCTCCTCTTGGAGGTCGTGATCCCAAGCATGCAAAATGTCTCCAGGCCCTCTCTCGTGTGATAGCGCAAAACAAGCTGGTCACAGTAGCAGATATCCCTGAGATACCGCTCGAGGTTCTAGCTCAAGAACCACAACACGAAAGAAGATACCTAGAAGAACTCGAAAGTCTTCACAAGTGCTTAATTCTCTACCTCTGGCTCAGTTACCGTTTCACAGCAGTCTTGCGCGATCAGCCTATGGCCGCCCATGCCAAGGACTTGACCGAGCAGCGAATCAATCTGACACTGCGAGCATTCTCTGCTAACCCTCGACTCAGACAGAGACTGCGTAAGATCAAGGAGCAGCAAAAAGACTTCGTCGCTCCGGCCGTTCCCGAGAAAGCTGAAGCACAGGCGACAGCAGAGCCAACCTACGATCCTGAGCGCCAGTCACGAGTAGATGAGAAAGACCGAGATCAGTACGAGGATAATTCCAATCCTTTCATGCTGGACGGACAAGCCGACGAGACCGTCGAAGAGCATTTTAGAGAGCCGGCTTCGATGGAAGCACCCTACGGAGCTGAACCTGGTTCAGAAACACAGCCAGATTCTAATAGCTTGACGTCCAAGACACCTATACACGACACGCTACCTGTAACAGGGAATTTAGACACGACAAGACCGGAGGATCCTATGCAACAGCAAATATCCAGCGCCATCAACGAGGCCAACATGTTTCACGCACGTTCTACGAACCCCGCCTCAGGACTACCCGAAATCGACGCCGACACTCACGATCTAGATATGACTTCCGGAACACAAACCGCAGACCAGGAACCTGCATTCCAAGAACGACTCCCACCAGACAGAGACACCAGCGATGAAGTGGTCATAGACCCGGCTGAGGCAGAAGCGATCGCGCAGATTGAGGATAAGGAAGAAGGTGTCGACATGTCGACGGAATCAGAGTCTGGCACGACAAGGATACCTGAGAGGAATGAAGATGCTGACGAAGAGGAGGTTGAGCAGCCAAAGGCCGCGAGTGGTAGTGCGTGATCTGATTTGACGATTCTTAGAATGTTGGCGGCGAGCGTGAGATGTCGCTGTAATGGCTTGGGGTTTTTCTTAATGTATAAGACTATGGTCATCAGGCTTGTACAACTACGATAGAGACGAATTGAATTCAGCCAATCAGGTTGTCGTCAGGACAGCTATCTCATTCTGGCACTGTCAGTCCCACAGAAGAGAAACACGTAGTCGATCTCAAGAATTGAATGAACAAATATCATTTCGTGGTCTAGGTTGTTATGCTAGCATGATGAACACCTCGGTAACATCAACTTGTCTAAATGCTTGTCCCGGCGCCCAGAACTTACTGGTCGATCTGACATACTCGCTGTCTTCACAATTTGCTTGTAGCAGAATGGCTGCATTGCGTCAATGTTGATTGGTGTCAATATGCTGTAACTAACGGCTGGTTGGAACGGTTCTCTGGGTAGTGTTGGTGGTTTGTCCAGTGCCGCTGCTAGCACCGAGTCCAGATCCAATTCCGGTGCCAGTGCTACTGCCAATGCCCGTGCCACTACCGACTCCTCCCATACCCGCGCCGTGGTTTCGCTGCTCAGCCGCACGCATTTCTCCAGCAATCTCGTCCTCACTAATCCCGTGTCAGTAGTGACCAATAATGAGCATCGGTCTCAGAACTGAGTTGGAGTGTCTCATGGGATGCAACAAGTGCTAGACAATTTGAGTACTTACGTTTTCTTGTTGCCATGGCTGATCATGCGGTTGAGAAAGCTGTTTGGTCGGCCCATTGGGTACTTGTCACCTTCTTTCTCAGCGGTTTCGACTTCTTTGCTGACATAGGAGTGAGTCTCCTCATCTGCGGAGGCATCTGGGTCATCGAAGTCGGCTGTGTGATGGGTTAGTTTCCGTAAACTTGAACGAGGACGCCATTGACCGGTCACTAGGAGCAGGAAAAGATGGAAGTTGTTCCGGAACAAGCTTGACCGTGTTACTGCTGTGTATATCTGTCTGCTGATCGTCCAAGCTGCTTCACGGTCGAAGGGTGACTAAATCATGGTCATGTATGGAGGGGCAACTGCTCCGTCACATCTACTGCAGCTCTCGACAAAAGAGTAACGGGGTCGATGCTTCGAAAATATCGAAAAATGAAGACACACGGCTGAAGCATTTCCCCTTGGAGAGGTTTTTTGAGGGGCAGGATGTACTCACGTTCAGCATCTTTGTGGGAAAATCGTCGCTTGACCTTGGCTCTGATGTTGGTCATCATTCCGGACATCTTGCTCGATATCTAGTGATAATAGTGAGGGCGTTGGAGAAGTGTTCAATAAGGATGCTTCGGGTGCAAGTGTATCTCAAGAGCAACCTGAATATGCAGATGGGACAAGGTCTCAAAACTAAAATGCCGCAGAGGTGTTATGGTCTTGCTTCCAGAACAACAAGAAGGTACAAGCGAATTTAAATGAGGCGGGGAAAGAGCGTTTCTAGATCACGTAGCTTCAAGTGGGCAGGTGCATGCCAAACGGCAGGTGGCGGTGCCTCCCTGAGCGACAAGTCACACGTTCTGTTTAGGCTCCAAAACTGCTTGGACTTGCATGGCCATACGTCAGGATCCATGTTCCGAAGCGTTTGATCTGTTATCTCGGGAAGCTGTTGCTGGCAGAAGTCAGTTTCACCGATCCAGAAGATCCACTAGAGCTCAGTGGGTAGGTTTCTTTGTCCTCCGGTATCGAACAGCATATCCCTGCCAGATAAGGACTAGCAGCAGTCAGAAGCCTGACAGCCTAACCCCAAATTACAGAATTTGGTCTTGTTCTGGTCAGGTACAATCATGAGTATCAGCGTCCTATGCGACAGCCACGGACACAGTCATACGTGTCTGGTGTAGCCCTCCAGCAGTGATGGATGACCTCGAGAGTCTGGAATACCTCTCTCTTGTGGCCAAGATCACTTCTGAACTACAAAATCATGTTGGTTTGGGCGACAAGGCTCTTGCTGAATTCGTGATCGCGCAACATGGCGGCAAAGATCTGGTGTCCTTCAAGAAGGCTCTGGCCGAGATGGAGGCAGACTTTCCCGAGTCTTTGATTGAATCCGTTGATCGACTCGTGCTGACTATGCATCCAAAGTATAAGAAGAGCCTCAATCTAGACAAATCGCGAAACCGTGATATTGAAAAGATGGACGATATTGGTCGCAAGGCAAAGGTCTTCAAGGGCTTGGCTGTTGCTGACAAGACACAGACCTGGGAAGAGAGTGATGGCTCGGCTGACGATACTTTTGCGATATTGGAAGGGCTGGCACCAGACAAGTCTAACGGAACAGCGCATGGCAGCAGAAAACGCAGTCGAAGTCCCGACGATTACCACCACCCACGAAAGCGGAGATCTAGGAGTCCCGGCCACCCACCTCGCTCGAGAAGGAGGAGATATAGCGATGAGAGTGATCGTGACGAATATCAAGAGCAACTGCAACGTGAGAAAAATAGCAATGGTCGTCGACACAGGCACAGGCATGACAACGATGAAGACAAATACTTGGACAGGAGAAAGCCGCGGCAAGAAATAGACGACCATCCAGTACTCTATAAGGTCTACGATGGGTGGGTTACAGGTATCAAAGACTTTGGCGCATTTGTGAATCTGAAAGGTGTAGAGGGCAAGGTGGATGGACTAGTACACGTTTCAGCCATGCAAGAGGGAGCCCGTGTAAACCATCCTTCTGATCTACTTTCCAGAGGGCAAGAGGTCAAGGTCAAGGTCGTCAAGATCGAGGGAAACAGAATAGGCTTGTCGATGAAAGAGGTTGACCAAGTCACAGGTAGAGACCTCGTGCCGTCACGCAGAATTGCCTCGGGAGCCAATATGGAGCGACTCAATGGTGCAGGCGATTTCAACAATGAGGAAGTGCCTGTAATTGAAGACATCTATGGAGGCAGATCCAAGAACAGGAAGCGAATGACTTCACCCGAACGCTGGGAGATCAAGCAACTAATCGCCGCTGGTGCTCTGAAAGCTTCGGACTACCCTGACATCGACAAAGACTACGATGATGGGTTGAATGGTGACGGTGGTCAAGAACTTGAAGAGGATGTGGATATCGAGGTTCGTGAAGAGGAACCTCCCTTCTTAGCTGGACAGACTAAACAGTCACTTGAACTGTCTCCTATACGCGTCGTCAAGGCACCAGAAGGCTCACTGAACAGAGCTGCTCAGGCAGGCACCTCTTTAGCTAAGGAAAGACGAGATCTGAAAGACCAAGAAGCCAAAGACCGTGCTGCCGAAGAAGCCTCGAAAGTAAATCTGAACGAGCAATGGCAGGATCCTATGATTGCTCCAGAAGATCGAAAATTCGCTGCAGACTTCAAACAGAAGCAGCAAGAACAATCCAAGGCAACGCTTGTGGTCCCTGAGTGGAAGCGAGTGACACAAGGTCCGAATCAGGCACTAGGGAGGAGGACGAATATGACCATAAAAGAACAGCGAGAAAGCCTTCCTGTATACAAATTCAGGAAGCAACTTCTGGAAGCAGTGGAGCAGAACCAGCTATTGATTGTGGTCGGTGATACTGGCTCTGGGAAGACTACGCAACTCACTCAGTATCTGGCTGAAGGGGGTTATGCAGCAAGAGGCATCATCGGCTGCACACAGCCTCGTCGTGTTGCTGCAATGTCAGTCGCAAAACGTGTTTCAGAAGAGGTTGGCTGTGAGCTTGGCCGTGAAGTGGGCTATACAATCCGGTTCGAGGATCGAACTTCAGCCGATACGCGAATAAAGTATATGACGGATGGCATGCTTCAACGCGAAATTCTGGTTGATCCTGACCTCAAGAGCTATTCTGTTATCATGCTGGACGAAGCACACGAAAGAACGATCGCTACTGATGTGCTATTTGGACTCCTGAAGAAGACTGTCAAGAGAAGACCTGATCTCCGCATCATTGTTACATCTGCCACCCTTGACGCTGACAAGTTCTCTGACTTCTTTAATCAATGCCCCATATTTTCGATTCCAGGTCGGACATTTCCTGTCGAAATTATGTACTCCCGTGAACCAGAAGAAGACTATCTTGATGCCGCTCTGACGACAGTCATGCAAATCCACCTGACTGAGCCTGCTGGCGATATCTTGGTGTTTTTGACGGGTCAAGAAGAGATCGATACAAGTTGCGAAATCCTATATGAGCGTATGAAGGCTCTAGGTCCCGCAGTTCCAGAACTAGTCATTCTGCCAGTGTATTCAGCATTACCAAGTGAGATGCAGAGCAGAATCTTCGATCCAGCCCCGCCTGGTGGTCGAAAGGTTGTCATCGCTACCAATATCGCTGAGACATCTATCACGATTGACCAGATCTACTATGTCATTGATCCTGGATTTGTGAAGCAGAATGCATACGATCCCAAATTAGGCATGGATTCGTTAGTCGTCACACCAATCTCACAGGCACAAGCAAAACAAAGAGCGGGTCGTGCGGGCCGTACAGGACCGGGAAAGTGCTTTAGGCTATACACTGAAGCTGCATATCAATCCGAAATGCTGCCAACTACGGTACCGGAGATCCAGAGACAGAACCTGGCGCAAACAATCCTTATGCTCAAAGCTATGGGCATCAATGACCTGCTTCATTTCGACTTCATGGACCCACCTCCAACGAACACCATGTTGACAGCTCTAGAGGAACTGTATGCATTAGCAGCGTTGGATGACGAAGGCCTCCTCACACGATTGGGTAGAAAGATGGCAGATCTCCCAGTCGAGCCTTCTTTGGCCAAGACTCTGCTCACCTCGATCGAGTTAGGGTGTTCTGAGGAGATTTTGACAGTAGTCGCCATGCTATCAATTCAAAACGTGTTCTATCGCCCCAAGGAGAAGCAGCAACAGGCCGACCAGAAGAAAGCTAAGTTTCATGATCCACATGGTGATCACTTGACACTCTTGAATGTTTATTCAGGGTGGAAGAACTCGCGGTTCAGTGACCCTTGGTGCTTCGAGAACTTTATTCAGAAGCGGTCAATGACTCGAGCTCGTGATATTCGAAAGCAGTTGGTGGACATCATGGGACGATATCGTCACCAGATCGTGTCTTGTGGACGCAACACAGAAAAGGTGAGGAGAGCTCTTTGCACTGGCTTCTTCCGCAACAGCGCCAGGAAGGATCCACAAGAAGGCTACAAGACGATGGTGGAAGGGACGCCCGTGTACATGCATCCAGCGTCAAGTCTATTTGGCAAGCCTGCGGAACATGTTATATATCACACCCTTGTGCTTACCACGAAGGAATATATGCATTGTGCCACGGTCATCGAGCCCAAATGGCTTGTGGAAGCTGCACCAACATTCTTCAGAGTAGCGCCCACGGATAAGCTCAGCAAGCGGAAGAAGGCAGAACGCATACAGCCACTGCATAACAAGTTTGCTGGCGAAGACGATTGGAGGTTGTCTGCTCAGAAGAGACAGTCAAGAGGTGGTGGAGGAGGTACTTGGGGTTGAGGTATATAGCTTTCTTGTTCCTGCGCTTGAGTATCTGTCAAGAGCCGTACTTGAATACGACTGACAACAAACATTATCTCAAACTCTCAGAACTCTTTCAAGAACTGTAAAGTGGAAAGCGAAGGTCGGAGTGATTCCGGGCAGCGCGCGTTTTTGCCGTCCAAAAGCGTTACTAGAACGTAGATGCAGGCTACTTCCACAACCGATGCTCCTGCCCAATTAAATACAGCTTGAAGTCAGAAAGCTGGCAGTTGCGCCTGCCAAGCAAAACTTCGATCTCGTCCCTAGAACTTCTTTCATCGACATCTCCCGCAACTGTATTGAAGCTTTCACGTCAACTCTCATCTATCCTCCCTCCTTATAGACGTCAACATGCCTCCCGTCTCACAAGCGGCCGTCTCAGCTGCGCGACAATGGACGAAACACAGTCTGTCTACCTCGTCCAATGTCTCCCGCATCACAGCAAGCTCTCTCCTCACCTCTACACCCGAGTCGCAGAAAAGATTAGCTACACAACAAACCAGCACTGCTAGCGCACAAGGAGGTGCCAGCTTTGACTCTCCTTTCAGAGGCCAGAAATCCGCAACAGACTTCAACAAGGTCCCAAGTTTCAAGGCATACATGAGCAGGGGCAGTGAGCCCTCGACAAGAGTCTTTCAGTATTTCATGGTCGGTTCGATGGGTCTATTGGCTGCTGCTGGCGCAAAGGCTACTGTACAAGGTACGGAGGATTCACACTCATTGTGAGCATTATGGTTACAGTGGTCGCCCGCGACACTGAAGAAGTAGTGTTTACAATTCAGCTTGATCACTCGGCTAATACGCTTGTACTACAGACTTCCTGGTCAACATGTCCGCATCCGCTGACGTCCTCGCCATGGCCAAGGTCGAGGTCGATCTTTCAGCTATTCCAGAAGGAAAGAACGTCATTATTAAGTGGCGAGGCAAGCCAGTCTTCATCCGACACAGAACAGAAGGAGAAATCAAAGAGGCGGAATCGGTCAAGTATGATACTCCCGGCTGAGATGTTGAAAAGCTGCTAACATGCGCTATAGAGTCGAATCCCTTCGAGATCCCCAACAAGATTCCGAGCGAGTCAAGAAGCCAGAATGGCTCATCATGTTGGGCGTCTGCACTCATCTTGGTTGTGTCCCAATTGGTGAAGCAGGCGATTATGGTGGTTGGTTCTGCCCATGCCACGGTTCGCACTACGATATTTCTGGCCGTGTACGTAGGGGTCCTGCTCCTCTGAATCTGGAAGTACCAGAATACGAGTTTCCTGAGGATGGTAAGTTGGTTATTGGTTAGAGCGTTTCACAAAAGGAGTGTACATATCATATTGCAAGACTGCTACAGCCGTTGTGTCAAGCATGCTGGATTTTAGCGGATGTTACAGTCGTCTCTTTCGTCATAAGACTGCTTGAAAGTTACCAATTCGCAAATTGTGAGAGTTTCAGGTGAATTCCGAGTCGTCCTTTTCACGGCTCTGCCATGAACACGACATGTACTACAGTGGATCAAGGTGGTATTCCCATCGCGGTTTCGAGATCCCATCTACATGGCTGTGGTCAGCTTTTTCATCTGAAGCACTAACAACTACAAACAACAACATTCTCATCCCAGACGAGAGCTTAACGATTGAGCAAAGTTCCTACAAGAGAATTCGCTTCGCATGGACAATCTATCTGCAGCTGTTCCGATTACCGTCTTTATTTCCACTGACTGCCACTTGGTTTCACAGGTTTCTCTAAGAGTCATGGAAAATTTTACTTAACGATACAAGGCATGCATGGTGCCTCGGGTTTGCTCCTTCTCAAGTTCTTCTAGCCGACAGTATCGACCAACCCTCTTCTCCACAAGCACATGAATAGCCTTCTGAGCCCGCTCGAAAAGTATCGGTGTCTCGCTGCTTATCTAGTGGTTCGGCTCGATATCTCGTATCCTCAAAGCCCAAGGCATGATTCAGTCTGCAAACATCTGCGAGCACTCGATGGTCTATGCAGAAACGTGTGCATACGCTAATTGGGTATACGATGAGCACGGCGTGTGTGTTTCATAATATCACGATCGTACAGTGGCCTCACAACCAGGAGCACCATGTTTGGCCACAACAGGTGAGAGGGTTGCTATCTGACGGCCCTTTTATCTCACATTTGATGCGATGGGTTTGAGCGAATTGTCGACGGAAGCGATACAGTCAGAGACAGATCCAATGTTTCCTGTGTCTTTTCCAGGGAGCGTTCGGAATCATCCAACCATATCACCTGTATGGTAGTTGAAACATGTCTTAGCCACCTATCGTCTCTTAGCTTGAGTTTCTGCTCGAACCAAGATCCGCTTCTTTGGCCTATGGACTGCTTGTGTCTCATGCTGTGAATGTGTATGACTTTCGGCTCGCCATCTCCTTTTGTGTAGGATAATTCGAGCATAAAATTGGACGTAGAGGTATGCCAGACCGTGACAGGGTTATTGTAAAGAGCCACTGATTCTTGCTACTTCGACCCTCCGGCGCCCTGCTTGATAGATTCTGGTGTGCAATATAGGACAGTGCTCGGGGCTCGTCAAGTCCAGGGAACTTTCTGAAAACCTACTACTGGTGGTTCGACCCACATATCAATATCGGCCCTCATCTCGGGGAATGACTCGAAGAAACCAGGCAGCATAGTCCAATTCTTGAGATCAAACATGAAGTCGTGATACAATCTACTCAACCCGCAAATCAGACCTGATTCGGGGTCGTATTGAGCAACCTGCTCATCCGGATATGGCCAGTTGAAGTGAAAGTACTCCACGAAACAGAAGGAGAACTCGCCGCTGACTTGATACTTCTCGTATTCGAAAACGAGTCTCTCGCGCAACCCTGGCCATACCAAGAAATCAATAACGAGCGGATGTTCTATCCTAAGCTGCGCAGGACGAGGAAGAAACCAGGGAGGCACCTTGGATCGATTCTCGTCGGACGGGTTTGCCCGCCACCGCATGGCACATCCACAAATATACATCAGAGCCAGCCGTTGAGGCCTCGAGGTCCATTTGCCGAACACTCGCTGGTCGACGCATTGCAGGGCGAACATGATAGGATGTTGGATCGCCGTGCCGATGCTTTCCCACCCCAACAGGATTGCCCTTGCTAGCACACTTTCATCGAAATCCATTACAATAGGATTTGCCTGTAAGCCACGATGGAATGCGTCGTCGGAGGTTGTCCACTTGTGCTCGTCAGGTGCTATCACGAGAAAGCCGCCCTCGGGTGGCAGTCGTCCTGTGAGTGGAGAAGGGTTCGAAAAAGGGTTGCCAGAACCATATTCGAAGAATTCGTAAATCTGATTGATGTCTATGTTTCCGAATTCCTGCGGTACAGCTGCACGGTAACCCTGTGACTCGAATAGTGGTTGTAGACGTCGAGTTTGTGTTAGAGTTGAACCATGAGTGAGTGCGATGGCTGGATCAGATGTGCTTTCAATATCGGTCACCGAGCCTGAACGATCATCATTCACCAAAGGTGTGTACGTAGTTGATGATGTTGAGTCTCTTCTTATAGTATCTGTCGATCCTGTCAGTCATTGCCCTTGCAAGAGAGGCCTGATCTCCGACCTTCACTCTCACCAAGCGCTTCGTTGATGGCGAACCTCATCTTCAATAGTGCTGTTTGATACCTCCCATTTTCTTGGCGCAGGTCGCCAATGACCTTAGTGAGTTGAGCTATCTCATAGTTCTTGTCTCCCGATTCAAGACTGGCCAGACGTTGTTCCAAGTCTGCGATCTTGTTCTTCGTTCTTTCACGCGTTGCGCGCTGTGCGAGCCTGTCAAGTTCCCTTTTCCTTTCAACACGATTGCTGCCTGTATCCTGTTTTTTGCGTTTCGGCGCATTGCCTTCATCGTTAACCGTGTTCATCGCGAAACCACAATCTCGGCCATTTAGACATCTCGCTCTATCTCGGATCACGACTCGGAACAAGCAGCCGCAATCACAACTCTCACCACCGACGATCCATCTGTGCACTTGTGTTGTACCAGCTTGATTTCGTTCTGTTCCCGAACGTGAGGTAAAGCTCCTAGCTCTCCGCACAAAACGCCCCGGGGCCCTCGGGGGAGAATGGCGCCGCTAGTAGCCGAGGCTTTCGAGCTCTATTCCATGCCCACAACGGTTAGATATCGCCTGGATGATAAGCTTGGCTTTTCGAGCTTTGTTGATGCATTGCTTGCACCTTGGCATATTTACTGAAGCGTTGAATAAGCATCGAACGTGAGTACTGATCCGAGCTCGTCGATTGCAGGCAACCACTCCGCTGAGGATCTTCAAGCTGTGCTTCTTCAAGCCATCACTGCCTCTTGTACTGCTACTCGCGATGCTTTTTGCCGATGTTGCAACGACGTGAGTTTCAACATATGCTTTCTCTGTAAAATGGGCAAGCCTCAACTCAGTGCCCTCTGCCAGAGCTTCTCTTGACTCAACAAATTCACCATGACTTTTCCGCGTTGACTGCCCGATCGCCAGAACGACCAGCAGGTTCATTGTCAGCTCGAAGACGCTTCCGCAAGCATCAGAATGCCTGATTTTTTGTGCAGACATCTGTTCGAGTTATTCTTGCACAAATCGCGAACCTGCAGATATGCAATGAAAAGTTAATGCCTGGTGTAACGTCATTGCTCCTTGATTACCTCATACTCAGATATGACGCCAGAACATTGACTGCCGAAGCCCCAATATTGAAGCCATCATGGTATCTAAATATGTCGTTCTTATAGGTATCCTCGGCAGTGTGGAATTCACTGATCAAGTTGAAACAAACCATCGATCGAGCAGTAGCACAACTGACACTCAGATTCCGAGGCCAAAATGTCCAGCTCGATGCCAGCTACCATGAAGGCAATCATAATCAATGGTAACAAGGCCAAGGTCGCCTCTGGAGTACCCCTGCCCAAGATACGCCCAACCTATGTTCTCACCAAGGTCGATTCTATTGCACTAAACCCTACGGACTGGAAGCACATCTCTGGAAAGAGGGCTGCTCCAGACGGTATTAGTGGTTGCGATTTCTCTGGTACGATTGTCGAGGTCGGTCCAGAAGTTACAAAGTCATTCAAACCTGGAGACCGAGTTGCAGGGACTACTCATGGAGCAAACCTCAGTCGTCCAGAGGATGGCTGCTTTGCTGAATATGCTATTGCAAAGGGTGATCTGTTGGTCAAATTACCAGACAGTCTCTCATTCGAGGCAGCCGCTACCTTTCCACTAGGAGTATCAACAGTTGGACAAGGACTGTTTCAGAAAGCGCTGAAACTCAACTTGCCAACTGACCCCGTCAAGGACAATACTCCAGTACTTATTTATGTAAGTAGGCCCTACTCTTTTTATGCACAACAAGCTGACTTGACAGGGTGGTTCTACAGCTACAGGAAGTCTTGGAATTCAATTTGCTAAGGCAGCAGGATACAAGGTTCTGACCACCTGCAGCCCTCACAACTTCGACTTCGTCAAATCCCTCGGGGCAGACGCTGTCTACGACTATCGTGATTCAGATTGTGCAAAAAAGATCAACAAAGACACCAACGATTCGCTCAAGCTAGCCTGGGATACCATCTCACTCGAGCCATCGGCCAAGATCTGCTCCGAAGCTCTGTCGTCTGATTCCTCTGGAGCACGTTACGGCTCGATCCTCCCAGTCAAATTGCCAAGAGACGGTGTTGAAACCACCATGACGTTCATGTATACAATTTTCAACGATCCGTTCGAGAAAGCCGGCCGACAGACTCCTGCTGTGCCTGAAGACTTTGAGTTTGCGAAGAAATTCTTTGACATCACTGAGAAGATGTTGGCTGAAGGCAAACTGAAGACACATCCTGAGCAGGTAGGACCAAAAGGTCTCGAAGGTGCCCTGCAAGGCATGCAAGACCTGAAGAATGACAAAGTCACGGGTAAGAAGCTGGTCTATCGTGTTCGAGAAACACCTGAGGCCTCAAACGTTGAAGTTGAGCTATAAGATTGGCATATATAATGCTTGTGGGTAATGCAGGCGAGTACGAAATATTCGAGACGGGACATTAACGACATGTGCTATTCACTGTTACACAGAGCTTCCTGGTTGACCTGTCAGCAACCATGGTCTCTGCTGCCAAAAGTCGTCCTTGATGATATCAATGTGTCGAACAACAACGTCTGCCTTCTGTCTTGCTTTACGAATCTTCTCCCTCTTTGTCTTCGATAGCTCGTCTTCTTTCGGTAGGTCGGAGGCGACGTCAATGTCTATTCGTCTCGCTGCTTCCGTTGGCTCAAGCATTTTATATTCCCTGAGTACCACACTTCCCTTCTTGAATATTTCTTTCTCATTGTTGTAGTTGATTCCATATCTAGACCACAATATTTCGTTCTTGTCAGAGCTCAAGGTGCCCTTCAGGAACTCCTCGGCTTCGGTGTTTGACATGCCTCCTTTCAGCACAAGTGCCCAGAAGGTAGTGTTGTACAGGTTGTTTATGTGACAGTCTGCTTGTCGCCAGGAAAGGTAATCTTTGAGGTTATGGTTGGAAGGATATGATATGCATCGAGCGTCGAATGTTGGTAAATGCGAAATAGCGAGATCGGCCTTCTCACGGCTTATTTCCTGCGATTGAGGATTTCCTTCAATCGCTATAACGTTCGTGCTTCCGCCACCATTTGAATGACGAGCTAGAAAGGTGCCCGTAGGGGCCGGTTCTGCGAAGTACTTTGGCCAGAGGTGAATATATGCGGCCGTGAATGTACTGACAACCGTGCTAGCAATTTTGGCAGATCGTCGCTCGAACAAGGTACACGACTTGTGAAAGACGAAGCTGTACTCATCTGAGTGACCATAGCTAATCATTATGTCGTGCAAAACGTGCAGTACATGCTGAGCGGCTGCATTCATTAAGTCTAGTGCTCTGATGTCGTTGGGTTTCACAAAACCATAGTGGTTGGATATTCTGAAATAGTCAGCAAGGCGTGAAATAGATAGTCTGTCTATTTTCTATAGCTTCGTCGAGGATGAAGTCTACGGCGTGAAAGTAAGCACACATTACGAACGGATTCACCTTGCCTGAAGCCACAGGGGAGCCAGACGTATTGGGTTCTTGCAGAGGTTGGTGAAGCTGACGTACTTGTGAAAACCACGACCATCGATGCGAACAACGATCCAGGTATTTGGAAGCAGATACTCTTCTCTTTCAAACTGTCGAACATATTCGAATCTGGGGACGATCAGTCGATATTACCATGGTCGTTGGTACTACTTGCTTCGAGTTAGCCATGACTACTGGCCATCAACCCTTTATATTGAGTGGTATTGTTCGAGCGTGTGATGTTTTTGATCACTGTACTTGCCACTCAGTACAATACTGTGACTCACGTCCAAGTCTCGTCGGCCATTGTGCGAGAGCGGCACAACGCGTCAAATCACAAGCGGACTCATATTGCGAAGCTACGAATTTCCTTGAAGAGTATAAGAGCCTTCTTCCTTGTTTGGAGGGCATATGTGCTGGTGTTGGGGTGATTATTATGTTTGAACTTTTTCGTCCAACGCAAAAAACCCAGTTACGTAACATTTCAAGCTGTTTACATCGGTGGTCTGTGACCTGGTGAGAAAGCAGGATGGACGAGAAAGGTGAGCTTTGCTTGTCCTTCAAGAATATGGGTATATACCGTTTGCACATTTGCTCTCTTACTCCAGGGCTGAGAATGTGCGCCTACTTCCTGCTATGAACGTTGCAGGTCTATCACTGCCTCCAGAGGAGAGTCAAGAGCCACGCTTGAACAATCAGCCGCTGTTCCGACGAACACGGGATCGACAGGTTCCCTGGTCGACGTGCGGAGGACTCTCGTGATGGAGCGACGCCAAGAGCAGATGTCCCCGTCCTTATCTTCAGTGCCAAAAGCACTACTCAGGTTTGGAATACAGCAGCACAGCACCGTGATACTAGCCTACAGGTGAAACAGATAGAGCCAAGAAATGATTTCAGTAATTCAATGTGCTTTAGATAAAGTCGCGGAACGACACAGTGGGCAAACACTCGTCCAAGAGCTCTCTCAAGACTAAAGAGAGAGTTCAGCTTCCTGGTCCCTTGACGCTTGCAAAACCGGTTGCAGGCATGCCTGCTTTGCTCAGAGACTTCTTACCGGTGGGTTTTGCAGCCTATCTTAACCTTCGACCAGGAACATTGCTCATCTCCGAAAACTAGTCCTAAAAAATGCACATGACCGAATCCACAACGTTTCTGTGATTGTTCCCCAGATGAGAAGAAGCAGACGAACTGCTCCGCCTTCACACCAGATCTGCCAACGTCTGCGGAGGCCGCCACGAGTGGTGCTACTTGCATGCATATTGGCCACTATACTCGAATATGCTGATGGCTTCCAAAAAACATTTTGGTTTGCTCCCAGCGATTGTTTCTACATCTCGCACATCAATCGTTGCACCTGGTCCAATGACTGCCAGATACAGATGAGAAACCTTCTTCTACTTACTTAGTATAATCGATATGCTACAGTCGTGGTTGTTGTCTTGCAAAGACTGTATGGGATTGTGAATATGGCATCCCTGCTGGATATCTCGCACGTGGCGATCCCTCAATCAACGACGAACCCACGCAAGAGGAAGAAGCGAGCTTCGGTGGCTGGTGCTTCAGCGGACTGCTTCAGATGCGCACAACGGAACACTACCTGTGATCGCAGGCGGCCCTATTGTTCTCGATGTCTTGAATCAGGTGAAGACTGCTCAGGTTACAAAACACAATTAACTTGGGGGGTGGGAGTCGCCAGTCGTGGAAAATTGCGAGGACTATCCCTGCCGATCGCGGGTACACAACAAACTACACCGTTCACTTTAGGACAGAAGACAAAGAAAAGACGTGAGAGCAAAACGACCAGCACACCAGAGCTACCGTCGCCCGCGCAAGTCGAGCAAACCCAAGGTTCGAATGGTACACAATTTGCGCCAGCTTTACCCACTCGCACGACTTCGGACTATGTCTCACTTCCGGTCATAGCCTCGACCAGTCGTGAACAAGGTTGCTCGATATGGGATCCTACACTCTTCTCTGCGCCTCATGAAGCCCAACACATTCAGCTGGTCCGTACACCAGCTCTGGATTTCCAGCAGGGTTTCAACCAACTTTCTGCTCAAAATGAAGGTATTCACGCAGTAGCGCTCCCAGAACCAAGTGCTATCACAGGTTCCTGGCGTATGCCAGAGACAGTTCCTATAGCACGTGCAAGTCAGCACACCTCGACCACGCACCAATCGATCAACACTTCGAACATGTCATATTCTGATCAGCCTAACTCATTCTTAGCTGGTTCTGAATTGGTCCCCTCGACTCAACCTGGATTCACAGAGACGGCACGGATGGTGTTGAGTCAAAATGGACGATCATTTGACGGTCTCTCGATGCTGCTCCAAGCAGGTGAATCGATGCAGCTGCCTCACGAAGGAGAAGCCAACGATATTGATGAGGAAATTCCGAGGAACAGGTACGATGAATGTGCGGTTTCCGACGATTACTCTCTGGGCACAAGACCGCAACTACTCGACACGAACTTTGGTCCCACGTTGTTGTCTGGCATCAGTAATATTGGAAAGACGGTCAGAATGCAATACCTGATCAACTACTACACCGAAGTCATTTCGCCCGTCATCGTTGCATTCGATAGTCCTACGAATCCCTTTCGGACACAGATATTGCGTCTAGCAGAGAGCAGCGAAACTTTACAACATGCCATAGCCGCCTTGGCTGCCAGTAACTTGAGACAAAGACGAGGCATTGGACTTCTATCAACAGGAAAGACTGCACCAGCAAGGAGGTCATCTTTTGCACATGTTCACCTGACGAACGAATATGCGCAGAGTATTCTTTCACCTGAAGAGCAAATGCGGGAGGAGACACTTCACAAGCGCCTAGCGATTGTCCAATTGAATCAACAGCTTAGCCATCCAGTATTGAGAAGAGACGACGCAACTCTTGCTACGCTCCTTATGCTGTGTTTGTTTCATGTCTGTGATTCTGGTATTGCCAAATTTCAGACTCAATTTGCTGGGGTACGAAAGCTTCTCGCTCTTAGAGGCGACGACGTCAAAATAGGCAACGAAGACTCACGGTGGATGTCCCGACTATTTACATGGTATGATGCATTGGCCTCTACAGTCAATGATAGAGAAAGACAAATAAGTGGTCAACTGCTAGATATGTCTGCGCTAGGCGGTGACTGGGCATTGGAGAATCTAGCAGGTATTGATGGACAGCTGTTCAAGGCTATCTCCAAGTTGTCTAGACTTAATCTGCTTCAGCAAGGAAAAACTGTGCATCAGGGCGATTGCTTCGTGCCTATGCCCATCTCTCCTGCTTACACGACAGATGCGTATTCCATGCTGGACGGTAACGGGTGGAGGCAGAGCCCCCGATCCGATGGTCTAAGTGCTGATTCTACAGAGCCTGATACAAGTCAAGCGTTTTGGCGAGAATGGCACGTTGTGAGGCAGGAACTCCTTTCATGGCACCTCGACACCACGCTCTTTGATTCTCTGAGCCGCGAGTCCTGTTACCTCACAATGGAGCAGCGTGCAGACCTCGAGAACATTTCACAGTCGTTCAGATATTCAGCCCTTCTCTACCTCGAAAGGCTAGCGCAACCAGGCCTCCCATCTAGCGACGAAGCCATCCAAAGATGGGTTAGAAAGAGTCTGAGCCACATCAAGGAAGTAATTAGTGACGTCTACCTTTTGTGGCCTTTGTTTATCACAGGCACCGAATGCATTGACGAGGAAGGGAAGAATATTATTCGAGGACGATGTGCAGATATTCAAAAGGATTCTGGATTTGTCAACAATGCAAGCTGTTTGCAATTGCTGGAAAAGGTTTGGCGAGCAAATTCATCCAAGTGGAGGTCTGGAGTTGAAGACGCAAGTGTAACAAACTCGAGTACGAGTTTTGAGAGGCACACTGACGGCACGTTTGTCTTCAGGGACGTCATGATTAAAGAGGCTGCAAGGACAGAAGGTGAAGGGGAATATATTGTGATTTAGCGCTACCTATCACGCCTAAGATAAGAAACCCATTTTCTCGTCGCATCACTCGTGATTTTCCACAGTCCACCATGTATGCATGGAATGCTTTCTTGCTTGGCTAGTCGGGTCCCGATCCGGTTCTTGCTGGAACGCAACACGTAGACATGAGCGAGCAGGAACCATATCGTCAAGGGAGCGCTTGTCAGAACTGCTTGGAATTTGTCCAGTCGCGAAAAGAAGGAACCCTACTCGCTTTTCGCAGATACCGACTTTCAGGCCCAGCCCGAGATATTCGCAATTACAACATTGTTTTGGAGGAAGGGATTCAGTAAAGATAATTTCAACACGACTGTGCTCACAGCACCTGAAGTAATTTTTCAGCTGACACTGGGTACCCCGTATTGTGCCCAACCTTCAGTAAGTCCTTAGCGAGCTTAATTTGGGAGCAATTAACCCACAGTTCGTTCTTTTGACCACTAACCATTCGATTTGATTGCTTATGGCTTACATAAAGGCGGGCCATTCGAGTCTGGCGGAGGTCAGCTTGTGGTTGTCTCCACCCTACTACCCACCTGAGTCGGGATGAGTCTTTCGTTCTCGCCGTCTTACACCTGCGCAACGCAACCGTGCGGGAGGCTGAAGACGTGTTAAGGCCAGGTTCAGGTCCGTTTGTATATTGCAATACCGTAATGATTTGACAAACTTGTGAGCTTCATTTCAGCCACGGCTCGCGTGCTTGCTCTTGCTGCTCGATCTTTTCCCTGACTACAGTATGCCGTGATCGTGTTAACTTACCTTAGCTATTGGCTAATATCTTACGATGGAGGCAGGATCACGGAGGTGAGTCTGGTCAGCTACATGCATACTAGTATCTTATTCTAATCTCGGCATAGACAGAAGGCACCGCTTTGGCCTCCATTCAAGCATGGCGCATATCACAACCTCTCTTCCACAGAGGATCTGCCTCTTCAGGATACACCTCACTTGAGCACTCCGGGGACTGGCATGTCTGCTGTGCAACGAACACTACTGACACCCAAGCTTTCACCTTCTCCATACAACACCCCCGGGCTCGACTCGAACCAGAGCACACCGCTCGTTGGAGCGTCGCCGGAATCGTTGAGATATGACTCGGAAAGACCGAGGAAGAAGTGGTTTGGCTATGGATGGAGAGGCGGAGCCAGAATTGCATTCGTCAGCACTGTTGTCGTCCTCATGGTCAACATAGTGCTGATGGTATATTTGACTGTCAACTACCCAAGAATGGACGGGTTTCCAGTCATATATCGAGGCACGTGCGAGAATGCGGAACGACAGAATACCTACTGGCATTTTGCAATCAATGTTCTGTCAACTGGTCTCTTAGGTGCCAGCAACTATTGCATGCAGCTTCTGTGCGCACCCACCCGAGCTCAACTTGATCGCGCTCATGCTGGCGGAAACTGGCTCGACATCGGTATTCCCAGTATTCGAAATCTACGCTTCATCAACTGGAAGCGAAGAGGGTTCTGGTTGGCTCTATGCTTGTCCTCGATTCCCTTGCATCTCGTCTACAACTCCACGTTCTACGCTGCCATCGCGACCAACGACTACAATGTACTCTATGCGACTGAGGACTTTGTGAATGGTGGAACATATGACAAAGTTCAGTTTCCCGATTCTGCTGCGCAAAACATTTCGGAATTTCAATTACTTGCACCCTTGTGGAAACCTTTGAACAACTCCGGCTGTATTCAGGAGTATGCTCACGACTTTGTTACGCGCTATCGGAACGTTATTCTTATCTTGTCGAACGTTTCCACCGAAGCTGACAATTCCCTTCTTCAGATTGCAATCAACGAGCTGCCTCCTCGAGGACACCTAGATAAGACTTACGACTCTTTTGCGTGGATCTGTAACGATACCGAGACAAGCAACAAGACCGGGGTCACAGACAGGAACTCGGTAGGGTTTGTGCCGTGCGCAGCTCAAGCCCCTGCACTGGAAGACATGGCCAATACATGGTGGAAAAGTGGAGGTTACCACATCTCACGATGTGTCGCCGAGGAAATCAATCCTCCGGACTGTCATCTGCATTTCGCACCTCATCTGATGGGTCCCGTGATCCTCATGAACTTGGTGAAGTGTATAGTGGCCTTTTATGTGGCTTTTCGTATGGCTGACAAGCCGCTTGTCACACTTGGCGATGCGATTGAATCGTTCATCAAGTACCCCGATCCCGCCACACAGGGTATGTGTTTGCTGACAGCAAAGCAAGCGGAGAAGACGTTCAGCAAGAACGCATACAATCTTGAGCCTGCTCCACAACAGTACCGTCCTCATAGACATCGATGGTACCAAGCTGCCACTAAACGACAGTGGTTACTGATTTGCGGCTTGATGGCCTTCATGATAGTCGGTTTGCTGCTTGGTATCGTCTTCGGTACTCGTGAACTGGCACCGCCAACACTTGCTAACGCCTGGTCAATCGGACTAGGCGAGGTACAGACACAGAATCTCGTGCTAGGGGCAAACCTCCCACAGCTCGGCGCGTCGGCCGTACTTATTACGGCCTTGATTGCCAACGCTCCACAGGCGATGCTGTCGTTCTTGTATATGGTGTACAACACAATCTACACACTCATGTATGTGGGCGAAGATTGGGACATGTTTGGCGCTTACACAGCAACGACAAGGCAGAACTTCCGAATACACTCGAAGAAGGAAACACACAGATATCTGCGAGTGTCGGAACCGAAAGGGCAGCAAAAATCTACTCACAAGCTGACTCTGCCTTTACGATTTGCGATACCCTTGCTTTGTGCTAGTGGGCTACTACATTGGCTGATGTCGCAAAGTCTATACCTTGCCAATATTTCTGTCATACCTCGTGATGGTACACTGCCAAAACAGGATGAAATCACGACGATTGCGTTTGCGCCACGAGCCATGATCCTGCTGATAGCGTTGGCAGTGGGAATGATAGTAGTTATTGTGGCCACCGGGCTGCGGCGCTTTAATGGCGAGATACCTATTGTGGCGTCAAATTCTGCTGCCATCTCAGCAGCGTGTCACGTAGATGATTCGCTGAGTGAGCATCGTAGACGGGAAATGGTGTTACGGAAGGTCGCTTGGGGCGTGCTGTCAGTGAGTAGTAACAGTGGGCATGCCGCACAGCTGCATGAACCAGAAGGACTAGGCATCGAGCCAAGACAGGGAAGAAAGATAGGGGATACTCATGTATATTCAACCAGCGACTTCAGTCATACTCTGGATCACGATGATGGTCTGGGAGATGAAGAAGGCTACCAAGCGTTACGAGGTCGGGCGGAGTTGGTAGACGAAAGAGGACTTGGTAAAAGTAGTGGTTTGGATATTGGCCACTGCAGTTTCAGCGACGAGTTCGTGTTCAAACTTGAGCCTGGAAAGCTCTATGCTTGAGCGAGGTCGATAGTGCGATGGTGGATTGAAGTCCACGTAGTTGAGCTTTCTTGGTCCTACGTTTCAGCGTCTTGTAATCGAGAGGACATCTGCGACTTACATTATCTTCGACCAACATAGCAGACGACGATTTAGCTTGTTATTGTCCTAAGAAACGAAAAGACAATTCAATGGGGTAGCACCTTAATTCAAACAATACCTATCGGCAGGGGCAAGGTCGCAAAGCAGGGCTGCAGGGATCGCTCTCAAGAAATAGAGTTTAGTGTCGGACGCGAGGTTTTTACTAATACGGCAGTATCAACAAACATTTCCATGCTTGAAAACATCAACGTATCACATCAGTCTTCACATGGTACAACAAGAGTAAAAGCAACATATTGATTGGAAGAGAGAAGCCCAAATTACCATCGTATTCGTGTCAATGGCCATAGCTGCGACCACAAGTTGATCAGTGCTGCCGTCGCATTCACACGATCCCAAACAGCTCCGCTACCTCGAAGTGCCTGAGACAAGGCCTGGACTATTTCCTCCTCAACATGTCAAAGTCAGGGAATCTAGCACAACTGTCCTCGATCCTCAATTCGAACGAAACCGCTACAATATACTACGCTGAAGATGCGCCATACCTACCTCGAATATTGATCTTCTACTGGCCAGTCCAAGCTGTCGGCTCTCTAAGTTCAGCATCGAGAGTCAGAACCACAATACTAAGTGCTGCTGGTTTCAGGAGTTTCAGTGCCTTCTCGGTCGCCCCAAGCAGCAGCTACTACTCAGCCGTGCATAAGTTGCCAGACGAGAAACAACGGGACGATGTTTGCAGAGCTCTCGCATTTGCTCTCTGCAGGTATTTCTCTGAAGTACCTACAGAGGTCAAAAATGCGATCACGGAGGAGAATCTCAGAGAAGGACCAGGCTTGAAATGGGGTCAGACTCATGCAGCGCAGGTGGCATGTAAGATGAGCAAGGTCATAAATGCAGATGAGATAATCGATGCTTTGCGTCCATTTTCTAAAGAACAACCAGCTACACCTGCTCCTCCGCCCGTGATGAGACCGGTAGCATCTATAAGAAAAACTCGCCCATCGTATCTTCCTGCAGACCCCAATCAGACATCTTTAGGCTTCGGCAGATTCGCAACGCCCTCGAAACGAATACCCAGTGGGCACAAGCGCTCACCTTCAGCATCGATGATGAAGAAGGCCGCAATTACTGCCGCCCACAAACAGAACGTCGAAGAACTTGAAGCACTGCGGTTCAAGATGTGTGAGCTTGTGGATACTGAGGATCGGTACATAATAAGAGTACAAGAGCTTATCGATCTAGTGATCGCACAAGGTAGAACCGCAAAGTCGATAAGCAGTAAGTTCTCAACTTCCAAACCTCAAAAGACTATCAATGCCATGCTGCAGTTTCCTAGTCTACTAGACCAAATCAAAGACCTAAACCTGGCTTTCCTCGATGATGTCGAGTCAGTCCTGCAATCGACAGAAGACCAGGCATTGGGTTTCATTGAGCAATCGCCTGTACAGCAAAGTGCTGCGGCAACACAACCCAAGGATCCTATTGGCATCCTAGCTTTTGCCAAAGTGCTTCTGAACCATTTCCCTAAGTTTCCAGTCCCATACCGTTCCTATCTCGACCTGCACTCTCAGATCAGCTCAAATCTCGATCAATTCTTCAAGGACGATGCGACGTCAGTCCAGATAGCACCAAGTTTACTCATGGAACCAGCTCAGCGCATCAGTCGATACGGTCTATACATTGACAACATGATTCCTCAAATCCCACCTAGCAGCACACTAGCCATCCGAACCCTCGAGAAAGCCCGAAAAATCATAGCCGAAATCTGTGAGATGGAACCAGCAGCTTCTACCATCCTTGACTCTCTACGCATCGAGCACGAAGCCAAAAAGCGATCACTCTCCCCCACCAAGCTCATCTCCGGCCTGACACGCGCAAACACCATCCGCGAAGCCCCAGCAAAGCCACTCGCAACAAGCACATTCAGCACCTTTAGCTCTAGCTCCCTCCGCGATAGACACACTCCCAGCCTCCTACCCTCGCTCGGTCGCAGCTTCAGCAAGAAAAACCGCTCCCGCCCGGGCCTAATCGGCATCCTCTCAGAGCAAAACCCCGAACAAGCACAAAACCGCTCCACCTCAACCCTGAACGACGAAAACGCCCGTCCCAAATCAAGCAGCAGCGGCAGCAACAGCAATACCAACGGCCTCTACAACGCCCTCTCCTTCGGCCGCAAATTCCGCCCAGACACCTCATCATCAGCAGCATCAGCCACATCCCGCCCAGGCAGTAAAGGTCTACCCCTCGCAGACCTCCACGAAAACCAAGCTACCCAGTCTTACTACCACTACACCAACAACAGTAATAACAACGACTCCTCAACCCTCGACGAGATCAACAATACTACTACCACCAGCCAGTCTCAGTCCCAGCCCTTGACCGAAGAGGAGAGGAACAAGCCCCGCGACCGCAGTAGTTCAGGGAACATCGAGCACTATAAAGCGCAGGTTATGAGGCTGGAGCAGGAGAATTATAAGTTGCTGGCAGAGAACGCGGAGTTGAAGAGGGCGGCGAGGGAGTGTCGTTGCCGGTAGTAGGGGCCTTCTCTTGAGCTTCTAGGAGAAGATGGAAAGATGTGTTTAAAAAATTTTATGACTGACGATGACTTGGTTTCTGGTTGTTGGTAGGGCGCGTAATGGGCATGGATGTATAACATTATGACATACACTAGTAGGTAGATATGCATTTGGGTTTTATAGGTATTTTGGGGAAGGGGCGTGTTCTGTCATGAAGAATGTTCAGACTGGAAATACATGACAGACCACGACATAGCACAAATTCGGATACGGCGGTTGCCTGAAGAACATCTTTGATATCTGTCTTTTATCGCTTGATTAGTGGCTTGAAAGCTGAGGCTGCTCAGCTGGCGCTACCGCACTAGGATGCGCTCATTATGCTTGCTTCATGCTAGCTAGTCGACGCACAGATCAAACAAATCCCTAAACCGTAAAGGTGCACGGCCACCGTTCACTTTGTACGTTGGCCTGACTCCCCGCTACCTCTTCTTTTCTTGCCGTAGTTTACTCATCATCATCCCAGCCCTCAACCCCAACATCAGCCCATCCTCGTCTCAGAAGCGCTGCCTCATCTCTGTTGCCCTTGGAATTCAAACTTCTCAATTTTCTTGCTATATTTGCATCTTCACGCCAGCACCGTATTGTGAAGTCATCTGAAGCTGTAACGAGGTTACCCTCAGAATTCCATGCCACACTTGTGACCTCCTTGTTGTGACCGTGAATCAATGGGGTCCCGTGATAGTAGATCGGCAGGGTAAGAGCGTCCTCCTGCTGCCTATCTTTGGTGAACAAGGTTGTGAAACTCGAGGTTGGGTTTCGGTTCATGCCTGGACGGGCGATACGAGAAGAGCGACGGGGTGTAGCCGGGATATCAGGAGTGGAGGACGAAGTCGGGTCGTGGAGAGCTGGAATATGGCGTGCTGAAGCAGTGTGGTATTTTTCACTTGTTGGAAAGAGGATGGCGCAATCTTCTGTGCTTCCTACAGCCAGAATCTCACTGTGGGTTTCGTTGCACTTACGAATGGCAAGTCGTGGCCAGAAGGTTGCGACGCGGAGATTCGGGTGACGCAGGCCATAGAGTGGACCAAGACCAGTACTACTGGAAGTCCTCATTGGTGCAAGTAACGAGCGTCGACCAGACGATGTAGGGACAGATTCTGGGGTACAGCCGAGGATGAGGTGTGAGGTCGAGTATGCATAAACAGTATGATCTCGAGATAGGGCAAATATGCGAGATGAATCAGTGCTGATGGCGATCGAGTTGATGCCAAACTTTCGATGGTTTGCCTGGCTGCGTGGCTCTTCGGTGATTGAGATGGGTAGCTGAGTATGACCTCGCTTGCGGGGAGAAAGTTGACTCTGGCGCAGATCCCACAATTTGATGGTAGTATCAACTTCGGAGGCAGTTGCTAGTAGGTTGCTACGTGATTCGTCCAAAAAAGTCATGGAGGTAATTGAGAAGTCATTCCGACCAGCGATGCTCGTGTATTTCGTCTTTCGCAGCGCAGATTGCGTTTTAGCATTTGGGTTGTGAGCATCGTGAATCTCAAGTACAGGAGCCAATACCGGCACATCCTTGGCCATCGCACTCACAGGACGGGATCTGAGGTGAGTGGGGGCGGGTTGACCTTTGACACGAAGGTCCCAAAGATAGATACTTCCATCACGGCCAGCACTAGCTAGAAGCTTGTTACCAGTACCAGGTTGAAAAAGAATCTTTTTGACCGAAGCAGTATGGGCTCTTAGTGAGTATAGAGAGCTCTGAGTCTGAACATCGACAAGCTGACAAGTCTGATCTCCACTCGCTGTGGCCATAAGATTGTCATCATGGGAGAAAACCATGTCCATAATAGCGTTCTCGTGTGGCTGCATGCGAAGCACGGTTTTACCAAAACCATTGACCGGACCATCTTGTGCGTCTTCGTGAACGTGAGGGTCGAGAAGACGAACCACGCCTTCCTCGTCACCAACGGCCACGACTGGGTTCGTGTTGCAGGAGGCCATACTAAAAGGTATAATCGGGGGTTGTGCTGCACGCAAGTAGCTATCTACATGCTCGGGATTGCTGTAAAAATTTGCAGTTTCAGCTTGCCAAAGGTTACTTGGGCCGGCCACGCGTATGCTTCTTTTACCAGTGATGTTGGTGGCCAGGAGAGAACGTGATGTACTTGTGCCAGCATATGGAACTATACGTGGACCCGCAGGTAAGTCATCCTCATCGTGTGACCAAGCTTCCTCATCAGCTATTTCTGTGGAGGCATCCGAATCGTCATCCACGACATCTTCATGGTCATCTTGATCGTACTTGATTGGTGAGGACGGCAGAATATCTTGACTGCTAGGCAAGAAGCTGACAGCTCTGGATTGTGGGGTAGAGTGTAAGGAGGACGTGATAGACGAGTACTTTCTCTTCTTCCTTGAAACTTGGTTCTCGTTGGCAAAGCCGTAGTCGTCAGTCTCGTTCTCCTCTTGGATAGATCTTTGCCTTGAGTTCAGAGCCGAGCTCGAAATGGTTCGAAGAGCTTTGCGTGATGTTCTTACTGCCGTGGCTGTAGGTTGGGCACGAGGAGCAAAGAATTTATTGAATCTTCGGGGAGTGATCGGTGGAGGTTTGCGTATTTTCCCGCTCTTGAGAGAGTCCTCATCGTGTAGTTGACCTTCATCGAGCATCTGGAAATCAGCATGTCGAAATCTGGAAGCTCTCGTTGGAGTCTGGTCCATGCTGAAGCAGCGGTGCGGATGACGTAGTGTCCACGCCTCTGATGTCGTATGCTGTAGTAAGGAATTATCCTAAGAATCGAGGGTAACAGGACGCAAGAGGGAGAATGAGTGTGAAGAGGTTGATGTTGAGCTGTGTTACATGCCGCTAAAGAATGAGAAGCTCGATTGTGGCAAGTGACGAGAAAGGAAGGCTGGCACTGCAAAATGAGCTTCGCGCGAAATCAACGCGACTCGAACTCGGCACGCGTTAAGCCTAACGAGTATGACTCCACCTTCTATGTGCACTTTCTCCTCCTAGTGCTAATTCCATGGGCGATGTAAACGTCTAAGTAGATCTAAATGACAGCGGGAAGTCGAGATTTTGCTACTGCTGGGCGTGAGCTTTGCGCCAAAGATCGAAGAGCACGATGTGTACTGGATTGATAGCCAGTGGTAGCATAAGGTAGACATGGAAAAGTTTATGCCTGACCAAGGCTCTAGGGAACAAAGGCTTATCGATAAGCTGGGTAAATCTAGAAATTTTGGCAAGCGCAAACAGCTGAAAGTCCATCTATGCATACAAGCTGAGTAGATACTTTGCACAGCTACACCCTTGTTGTAATGCGATGTCGGTCTTGAAGCGTAAGCAGGAGGCCGGGAAGGGCGGTGTCGACCAGGCAAAGAAGCGACAGAAGACTACTTCGGATGCAAAAGTCAAGAGCTCGAGTAGCGATCACACCAAGAAAAGCACAGATCATCAAGCGACGAAAGACATTACACAAAAGTCGTTGTTGTCGCGAGAACAACCTGCATTTCCTCGAGGTGGTGCTGGACCTTTGACCCTCCTTGAACAGAAACAAATCCGTGCAAAAGCGAATCGAGATGTCGATCGTGAGATAGAAAGGTCGGAATTGTTTGCGAACAACGCGAAAGCACCATCTGTGTCGGAGGAGAGTGAGCTTGATCTGAGTGGAATAGACGAGAAGCAGACTTTTGCTCAGAAAAAGCCTCGGAAGCGACAGGAAAAGAAGAGTACCAAAACATCAAAGACGACAGATTCCGTCGCCATCGATAGTGTTTCGCACAAGCGTCTTACTGATGGCTCCCTGCTGTTAGGTCGTGTCAGTCACATCGCTTCACGAGAATTGACCATCTCCTTGCCCAACAACCTGATTGGCTACGTTCCTTTTACTGCAATCTCGCAGCAATTCAGCTCAAAGTTGGAGAAAGCATTGAAACAGGAGCCAAACGAGGAAGATGACACGAACGCCGAGGACGACGACCTCGATATCGACCTCCGCAACCACTTCAGCATAAATCAACTTCTGCGTGTCGCTGTCCAGGATGTCGAAGATGAAACTAGCTCCAAGAAAGAACAGAAAAAGCGTATAAATTTGTCCATCAATCCGTCCCACGTTAACAAAGGTCTTTCGAGAAAAACACTTGTGGTAGGGTCTACCGTACAAGCAGCTGTTGTCAGCGTTGAGGATCACGGTATCGTGGTCGACATAGGTCTTGACCAAGCTCATACTGGTTTTATTGCAGACACCGCTCTGCCTACCGGATTGCAGCTTTCGAGCGTAGAGGTTAGCACTGTGTATCTATGCAATGTTTCGGCTACAAGCTCGAAAGGCAAAACAATTCAGCTGTCAGCCGACTTGTCCTCAAATGTGCTCGCGAAGACAGCTCCTTCAATCGAGGCTTACTTGCCAGGAACTCTAGTAGAGGTCCTCTTAACACATGTAACGCCAGAAGGATTGGCTGGCAAAGTGTTGGGTCACCTTGATGTTACTGCTGATCGTCTTCACTCTGGCGCCTACCTGGATCAAGACTCCTTCAACGAGAAGTATCAAGTCGGTCAGAAAATTAATGGTCGTCTCATAGCCACTTTCCCGCTAGCAGACAACAAAAGATTGGCATTTTCCGTGCTAGATCATCTTGTTAATATCGAACAGACTCTCGAAGATCGACTGGAAATATCATCTGTCGTTGATAGAGCACAAGTCGTTAGCATTGCTCATGGTCTTGGTGTCTATCTATCTTTACCTTCTTCAGCAACTGGCTTTGCTCATATATCCAGATTGTCAGACAGCACCATTGACACGTTAAGCCAAATTTCTGGGCCTTTCAAGATCGGCACAGAACACCAAGCTCGTATCATCGACTTCAACGCGATTGATGGTCTATACGTTCTGTCGCTAGAAAGAAGTGTGATTGAGCAACCATTTCTGAGACTTGTTGATGTGCAACCTGGTGTGATCGTGAAAGGCACCATCGAGAAGGTGCTTGTCGCTGCTGCTGGCGTTCATGGTCTTTTGGTTAAGATCTCACCAGGTATTACAGGCTTTGTATCGTCCTTGCATTTCTCTGACGCGGCTTTGAAACATCCCGAGAAGAAATTTAGAGAAGGCATGTCCGTCAAAGCAAGAGTCCTTTCGGTTGATACCGACAGACGCAGGCTTGACTTGACATTGAAAAAGTCCTTAGTAAACAGCGACCAGCCAGTATGGTCTTCTTATAACGGCATTCAACCTGACCAGTCCACTGTCGGCACTCTGGTCAAGGTTGACTCGAAGGGAGCTATTGTTCAGTTTTATGGTCAGGTCAAAGGACGTCTACCTGTGTCTGAGATGAGCGAAGCCTACATCAAAGACGCACAAGAGCATTTCAAAGTGGGACAGGTACTCACACTGCACGTTCTGAAGATTGATGCAGAGTCAAAGAGATTGACCCTGTCGGCCAGAGATACTACAACTGCTATCAAAAATGAGACAAAGTCACTCAAGCCAGGTACTTTAATGTCCGGAACTGTCTTTGAGAAGAGCTCAGACGATCTCACCCTGAGGCTTGAACCAGATGGAGTAATAGCACGACTTGTCCTCGATCATGTTGCTGATGGGTCGGAGAAGAAACGTAAATCCGCGCTGGAAAAGATTCGTGTCGGCCAGAAGTTGGACGAAGTATTAGTTCTCGAGCTCAAAGGTCGACAAGCCACACTCAGCAACAAAGCAACGCTCAGAAAGGCTGCTGAAGATGGTACGTTGTTGACGAGCTACGAGCAGTTGACAGAAGGCAAAATTGTCACAGGCTTCGTATCGAATATTACAGATAACAGAGTCTTTGTCAGATTTGCACAGGGCATTACTGGTGTGATCAACAAGGACCAAATACCAGAAGACCAGTCCGAGCTTGTGGACTTCGGCATGAAGATCTTGCAAGCTGTCTCCGGAAGAATATCTCAGATCGATTACAAAGGCGCAACACCAAGATTTTGGCTTAGCATGAAAACCTCAAACAACAAATCCCAATCGTCAACGGGTGCACAAAACCCCCCCATCCCTGAGCGAGAGATCGTCGAGCCTGTAGACGAGAATCTGACGTCTTATCACGATTTGGTCTCGAATGCTGTTGTGAAGGCTAGGATCACATCCGTCAAGGACACTCAGATCAATGTCGAGTTGGCTAAAGGAATTCAAGGTCGTGTCGACGTTTCCGAGATATTCGATCGAATTGAGGATATCCATGATCGAAAACGACCTCTCAAACAATTTTCTGTCAAACAGGTCCTTGACGTCAAGATTCTCGGACAGCATGATAGTCGGACGTACAAGTTTCTACCTCTGTCACATCGATCGAGTAAAAACGTGGTGTTCGAGCTGTCTGCTCGTCCTTCAGTCATAGCTGGACAGCAACCAGCAGTACTAAAGCTTGAAGATCTCAAAGTGGGAGAGACTTACCCTGTCTTTGTGAATAACGTGGCAGACCGTTCTCTTATGGTTAACGTTTCGCCCGCTGTCAGGGGCAGGATTCGAGCTTCCGAAGTCTCAAATGACCTCAGCCTGGTAGCAAACCTAGCTGGTAATTTTCCAGTTGGCTCGGCTTTGAAAGCGAAGGTCGTGTCTGTGGATATCGAGAAAAACAGGCTGGATCTGAGCGCAAAGAATAGCTCTTTTTCGAAGTCTCTCACTATCGAAGATATCGCGGTTGGCGAGATCGTTGGGGGTCGAATCTCAAAAATCACGGATCAGTCGCTTGTGGTTCAACTTTCCGATTCCCTGATTGGCAACGTTGACATGATTGACATGGCGGACAACTTTGAGCTTGCAGACTTGACACGTTTCCAGAAGAATGAGATTGTACGAGCATATGTCCTGCAAATCGACCAACCAAACAAGCGGGTATATCTGTCGCTACGACCCTCCAAAATTTTGAGTTCCGCATTAACTGTCGCAGACCCCGAAGTGTCGTTGCAACAATTGGAGGTTGGTAATATCCGCCGTGGCTTTGTGGCTAACGTCTCTGACAAGGGCTTGTTCGTAACCCTGGCGCAAGGGCTCAGGGCATTTGTTAGGGTGACAAACTTATCAGATGAATACCTCAAAGAGTGGAAAGATCACTTTCAGAAGAATCAGCTAGTACAGGGCAAGGTCATCGCTCTGGACAAGGATTCTGGTCATATTCAGATGAGCTTGCGCAAGTCACACATCGACGGTACATATCGCCCACCTGTTACATTCAATGACCTGCAAGTTGGCGAGATCGTCGAAGCAAAGGTGGCAAAGATCGAAACCTTTGGCATATTTGTGGTTGTATCGAACTCGGCGAATGTCAGAGGCTTGTGCCACAGGAGTGAAATCGCCGAGAAGCGGATAGAAGATGCTACTAAGCTCGGCTTCAGCGAGGGCGACTTAGTCAAAGTAAAGGTTCTCAAGATTGACCCTAACGAGCGACGTGTAAATTTTGGCATGAAAGCTTCCTATTTTGGTGAAGCCAGTGAAGCAGAGGCAGAAGATAGTGGTGATGATCCTGGCATGGTGGTCCAGGACGACGATGACGACGATGATTCTGCGCTGGATACTGACCAAGGTGTTGCTATAGATATGGAAGTTGACGATATCGACAACGAAGACTCGATCGACGTGGAATCAGATGATGCCTCGGGCGAGCTCGACAATACAGACAATACACATGCAGCTGCCCCTGCAAAGGGTCTATCCGTGACTGGCTTCGACTGGTATGGAATGCCTTCGACAGCAGCGGCGTCGTCAAAGCGACCTGCTGATGTCTCGGACAACGAAGAGAAGAATATACAGTCTAGAAAGAAAAAGAGGAAGCCAGAGGTCATGATCGATCGTACTGGTGATCTCGACAAGGACGGCCCACAATCCGTGGATGATTTTGAGAGACTGCTTCTTTCGGAGCCTGGCAATGCTCAATTGTGGGTTCAATTCATGGCTTTTCACATGGATTTGGGAGATATTGATGCAGCACGCGAAGTGGGTGAGAAGGCTCTCAAGTCCATCGAAATCACTCAAGAGACGGAGAAGCAAGCAATCTGGATTGCACTGCTGAACCTGGAGACTGCCTTTGGAGACGATGACACAGTGGAGGCCACATTGCAACGAGCATGCGAGACGATGGATGCTGAAGACATGCATACCAAGCTTGCAAGCATATATATTCAGTCTGGCAAGCACGACAAAGCCGACGAACTGTTTCAAACGATGACCAAAAGGTTTACACAAGATCCAAAGTTATGGGAGAACTATGCCAGCTTTCTGTTCGATACGTTGAAAGAACCTGCCAGAGCACGTGCTCTCCTCTCTCGAGCTTTGCAAGCTCTTCCACCATTCACGCATTTCGACATCACGAAGAAGTTTGCACAGCTGGAGTTCAAGACGAAGACGGGTGTTCCGGAAGAAGGTCGTACACGGTTTCAAGGACTGATCAATCTTTACCCCAAGCGTTTAGATCTGTTCAACATCATGATTGATCTGGAGATGAAGCTCGGTGATGCGGATCAGGTCCGGGGTGTTTTTGAGCAAGCGCTGTCCAAGAAGCTGAAGCCTGCCAAGGCCAAACCGTTCTTTCAGCGATGGCTCGCATTTGAGAAAAAGCAAGGTGATACGAAGAAGATTGAGGAGGTAGAAGCTCGAGCAGCAAGATGGGTGCAAGAGTACCAGAAGTCATCAGCATAGAAAGTAGGTTGATGTAAAACGTGGTGCTGAACATGATGTCTTTTCTCCAAGCATAACTAGTGATCCTCTGGTAATACGTTTGCAAATATCCAATTTCAGGACATGTCTGGTCATATCCCAGACAGCAAAAGTGTCGGGTTGTCACAGCGAATTTGCGGGCGTGCCCCCGACACTTTTGCCGGCCGGGACGTGCTGGTATTGGTGATAGTGTTGACTGACTAGGATCTGCAACGACTATAATTAAGTAACATAATCCTTATCAGTATTGGGCACAACATGAGATCCGTGAACACCCGTCGCGCCAAGCGGAGGACTTTCTAGAAAACGCACGCACCGAAACGAGAGATCCAACGAGTGGAAACGGAGAAGTTGGCCGGGAACTAGTGACGGAGCACAACGTGCTGATGACATGCTGTTGTAGACAGGACGCAACCCTTGCTGTTGAGCAATCTGGATCTGTCTCTGGCAGAGTGGTTAGGAAGAGGGAAAACTTCAAGACCGTAGTACCTCGGCTACGAAATACTACAGCAACGGCATATTATACTGTTTGGCATGTTGCAGGTGTGTCACGGGTGAAACGACGAGTACATCCCTGTCAGCACGCGATGGTTCATGTAGAATGACATTTTGTAGCATGATTCGATCGCGTGCCGGAAGTCCAGAAGGTTTTGACGCGCAGCTACCACGCAACATTCTTTCCTGTAAGGATGTACCCGTAGATGTGTCGTTTGGTGCTTGTCCGGGTTCTCTGGCCCATTAATTCTCGATTCGTACTCCAAGTGTCCGAACTTGCAGACTCGTGTATGCAAGTGCTGGGGCTCCTGGCAGGAAGTCGTGGTTGCTGCCCGACACTGTGGACGATTACGTACCCGGCAAAAACAAGGACGGATTAGCTCAACGACCGAACAAATGAGGGGCACGGAAAACGCAGCAGGCAGCACTTTTGGTGGATTCCCGACCAAGTTGGGAATGGCGTTGCGACGGACGTTCTAGGGTGGAAGTGGAAGGTTCGAACCAGCATTGGTAACCGCCCTCTCCTGACGATCCTGTTGGCCTGAAGGAATGTCTCGTGGAGGCTGAAGCGGATCCGCTGATCTTTTTCAGCTGGTCGCCCACGCTGCGACAAGGGTCGAGACCCCGGCACAAGCGACGAATCAATCACGCCGCAAAGTTGGGGGTCAGTCAGATCATCCGTCGGCCATCGCCAGTTTTGACTGAACATCTTCCTTGTGCGATTACCTTTGTGCCGGGGGCGGCCAGCGATGCGATCATACTCCTTCTTTTCGCCCTGAGAATCGTCTGCAACACAGCACACTATTATTGGCAATCGATTGCTTTGGTTGCTGGTGCTGGTCTCCTTCTCCTTTGCTTGCTATCCCTCTCACCCTCAATGCAGCACTCCCGATATACCACTCCATATACCACATCCCGCAGATCTCGGATTCCCGATCCTTGCTCGGCCATTCTGCCTTTCCTGCCGTGCAGTGATTGACAGACAGGCCACGCCCACACTTCATGGCCAGTGATGCTACACACTCACAGTGACCTGACTCGATTCTTACCAGGACCACGGCCCTGCAAACATACTTCCTGCAACCCGTCAAGATGATGATCCTACCGCGTTCCTACGTCCAGGCAATTCCTCGCCGGACGAGGTCCATGGAATTCAGCGAAAAGACTTCCCACAAGACGACACGCTCACCATCTGGCTCAACACGTACCAAGTCACCACGTAGTCCTTCTCTCTTCAGCTCTCGAGACTCGTCGCCAGCTAAAAGCGTGTCACATGGTGTCCGGATCAAAGTACAGAAACCATCGCCCTCTCCAGCTTCTGACCATGAAAATGTACCCCAGAGACCACCGCCCACTCCACTCTCGGAGAAGGTGCTCTTAAGAAGGCGGCGTGAGTCTGCAACAGACATATTGTCATCTACCGCGATACCTATAAGAAGAAAACCTAGGGGCCGGCCCTCTCAAAGATTACCGAAGGGGGATCACGTTGCCAACTTCAGCACCCTAATTATGGGAGATGTCAAGCCGCATTCCACCGGCTCACTACCCAAGTCGGCCAGCAACTCGAACCTCGAGGTCCTTTTCGGCAACATGGATGAGTTACTGGAAGAGGGTCAGATGTATGTGGGCAGCGAAGGCTTTGACTCTAGCGTTTTGAGCACGCGATCCCTCTCGGACGACAGTGTCATGTCATTTCCGTCACCTGACAATCTCGTTTCAGATGACTGTCACAGTCAGCATTCCGACGCTTCCACTTCAGTGCCAGAACGAAGATTGCGTCAAATTGCTCTGTCTGAGGACTGCTCGGATGATCACCCATTAGCCTTGCCTAGCAAAGTGGACGACCCTGTGGACTATCCAGAAGCGCCTGTGTCACCTCCGGCAAGATCGCCCCTGGCTCGAGATCGTTCAACAAAGAAACCTCGTACTTCTTTAAGGTCAGGCCTGTCTGCTTCGCTAAAAGCCCTGAAGTCTGCCGCTCAGTCTGTATCGAACAGATCCTCAAGCGACGCAGCAACTGTGCACGCTCCAACCCTTTTTGATTTTCATCCTGCCTTGACCGACGACAGAAGACCACCTCCATCCCTTGACGAACCAGGTCCAGAGCTTCGACGTTATCTCAACCCTCCGCCTCTCGATTCAGCCGCTCAGCTAAATACCTGGCAGGACCATCGCCACTCAAACTTCGACAACCCCCCTTCGCGGACCGAGCCTCGTCGACGATCACCGCGTGGCAAGAAAACACGAGGCGGCAGGAGCCCAAGTCCACCCGGCACCAACCCTCGAATCCACGACCTCCCAGCCGTCGTCCAACTCGCAGACTGCCTACCCCCATCCGTACGCACAGAACATGCCTCCAGCCCCCCAATCTGGCTCACCCAAGACGGCACACCAGTCAACAAAAGCACCGCAATCTCACTTCTCTACGATCCAAATGCGAACGAAGGAAAGGGCGAACCAGCAGGCTTACGGCACAGAGAACCCCGCGAAAATAGAGATTTCTTACGCGTCTTTGTATGCGAAATGCAAATGAGGCGAAACGGGAAACTATCCGATGATCTGGGCGTTGGACGGGCGAGGTTATGGTTACCTCCAGCTAACAATGACCGGAACCCTGAACCAGCGGCCAAACGGGATGGTGACGAGGTAGCCGTGGCAGAACCAGGAAGAGTGCGGCAGAAGAAATCGGCGAAAGAGCGGATGATCTGTTTGAACATGGACGATTTATGAAAGATCCCAGGGAGGTAAAAAAGAACTGTTACCTGGACGGCCCAGCGGCCTGTCCTTCTCTGCATGAAAGCGCATTGGCATTTTTACAAGTGAGCGTTTAGTAGCGAATATCTGAAATTATCATTTGTTGCAATCGTTCAGCTATTTACGGTTTTGTGCTTGCATGTATAATAAGTAAAGGATTCGTGGCCAGTATTCACACGACTTTTCGACTTGTTTATGTCAATTACATACTTGCCGATTGCTGTACAGAATACCTACTTACAAAGAAGTACATAAACACATTACACATCTTTTCAATCACCCATAATCTCGTCCTCATCCTCGTCCCCGTTGCCATCCTCATTACTACCTTCCTGCCCATCACCCTCTTCATCAACTTGCTCAATCGGATCGTCTTCCAACCCCTGCTCCCTCAACACCTCTGGATCATCATCCTCCCTTCTCCTCTGCTCTTCCTCCTCATCATCTTCAATATCATCATCACTGAGGACCATAGCTTCACTAATCGGCACCGCTTTCCCCACTTTCCTACTGCTACCACCACCAGTCGTCGTCGGTACTGCTTTCCTTCCTTTTCCAGCAGCAGTGCCTCTAACAGGCGTCTTCGGTCCCGGCGTCGCAGAACCCGCTTTCGATTTCCTCCTGTTTTTGTCCTTTTTGTCGTCTGCGTAGGCGATGACTTGGGTGTAGCTCTTGCCAAGTTTAGTGCGGTTGACTTGGAGTCTGGCGCGGATGGCTTTGGGGTTGGGTATGACGCGGGCGAGGAGGGCGAGGACGATTTTGGCGGTGAGTTCGCAGAGGGAGGTTTCGGCGACTAGGATGGCTTTGCGCTTGGCTTCTTTTTGGGAGAGGGTGGTGTCGACATTATCGACATTGTCGTCATCGTCGTCGTCGGAGCTTGATGAGTCGTTGGCGGTGGATTTGTTGCGATTGTTAGTGGTGGCGTCTTCGTCGTCGGAGTCTTCTGGAGGTCTGTCTACTGCTTCTTCTTCGTCGTTGTTGTTTTGGTCATCGGTGCCTGGCGAGGTGATTGGGTTCTCTTTGGATTGGTGCTTGGACTTTCGCGCTTTCGCCAGTGGCAGTTCGATGTTCTTCTTGTTGGTCCGTCGAGCTAGTCGTTTTTCCAGTGCTTCATGCGTCTCCATGATGGCTGCCGTGAGTGATTCGTTCACCTCTCTTGCAAAGTCCTGAAGGTCGACTCCCTCGTCTGTGTTTAAAGTGTTCTTGTCTGACTTGAGATTGCGACACGTGGCTAACAGGACGTATAGATCCAGTGCACTGAGCAATGCAGCTAGACGCGTAGAGTCAAGAGGCTTCCTTGCAACGACCACAGGCACTAATGCCTCGGTGAATTCGTTCTTATGCTTGACAAGTTGTGTCAACGTTTGAGTGGTCAATCGACCATTGTCATTGTCTGAGGCAGCTTTTCTCATCGCAACAGCCTTCCATCGACAATAGAACAGCAAGATTTTGATGGAGGATTGGCAAACTTGATCTTCTAGCTCCGCAGTCTCTGGAGGAGTATCTTCGTCGAGGTTGCCTCTTCGAACAAGCTGAAGTAGTATATCCATGACAGTGTCAGTACGTTTCCTAGTCGACAGACGATTAACCCAGGGAAATCGACCTTCAATAGTCTCGCAGCAGTCCTTGACAGAAGCAAGCTGAGCCAAGCGACTAGTTGCGTCGGAAAGCTGTCTCGTTCGTTCTCTGTCAAGCGACCCTCTACCTTGTCCGTCAAGCAGAAGTGGTGATAAGCTGAATGACAATTGCTCTTTCCATAAATCATTGACTTTTCTCATAGCTGCTTCCCTGCTGGCTTCGTGGGTCAATGCTGCTCGCAGAGTACGTACAGCCTCAGCAAGGACTTCTTCGTCCTGGTGAGAAGTGAATTGATTGCTTATGTTGCTTACCATAGTGTTGATTTCTCCTTCGCCATCGTCATCCTCGAACTCGTCGACTAGATCTGGGTTGAAGAGCTGGTTGAGGCGCAATATTGACTTGGCTGCTTCTGGTATGCTTCCAAATTTGTTGTACAATTTTGGAATGAAAGCGGAAAGGTTGTGAGCTGCAGTTTCTTGCCTCTTTTTGGATTCATCTCTTTCCTTTTTTGATCTACCACCTTTTTGACCTGGTTTGTTCTCATCGGGTTGCAAAATGAACAATTTTGCAGCAACAAAAAGAACATCGAGCAGAATACTCTCTTCGCCAGCCTGAAGCTTGTAGGCTGCCTGGACAGCTGAAGCTAAATCAGTAGCGCTATCTTTTGTGGCAGTCGAGTGGTCGTGTAGGAGATAACCCGTCAATGACTCCCACTCTTGCAGTTCAGGCATATGGTAGAAAATCGACTGGGTAGCAACCATGTATTTGGAACTGAGATTCTCAACGCCCGCTACGTGGACATGTCTTTTAGTGCCGTTGACAGTACCACCTGCCTGAGCGCCCAGGATCTGGGCAAGAGCTTTGAACTTGATCCAAAGTTTGCATGGCTCGTCGAAATCATCAATCTTGTCAACATCAGGAAGTATAGTGTTGTACTCCTCTCTGTCAAAATCCTCGACACTTGCGTTGTACAAGTCTTGTATGTTCGAGACGACGAACTGAGCCACGGCTCTGCGCACTAAAGCTCCATCATCGAATATGAGTTGTCCAATGGTATCAATGTCGTCAGGTTCCAACATCTCTGCACTTCGCAACATATTCAACAGCTCTATGGTTTCGACTCTTACAGTCAGATCTGCATCTCTTGTGCCCATCTCTACCATGCGAGCTCGAAACCTGTCGGTGAAGCCTCGCATTTGTGCCAGATTGCTGCGATTTCGGTAGATCGCCTTCAACTGGCGTATGACTTCAAGTCGTGTCGCAGCGTGAGGATCCGACATAACCCAGCCAAGGTAACGTAAATAGGTCGACTCGAGAAAGAGGTGACGGTAGGTCTGGATCCATGTTCCCATTGCTCGTGCGCATTCAACGCGGAGCTTCTCTTCAACATCACGATATCTGTGAGTATAGACGATGTCGAATTCGTCTTTGAGTTGTGTATCGATAACCTCCAGACGTTTCTCCTCCCTTGCCATCTCTTCTTGTAACTTTGCAATTCTGGCTTTGTTGGCACTTTTCTTCTTCTTCTCAGCATCCAATTGTTGTTTTGTAGCAGAGATACCCTGCTGGATTTCCTTCGCAATTTCAGTCAAGCCAGTCGACATTGCTAAGGAAGCGAGCGTCGCGGTCACACGGAAGGACCGGTACGAAGCCGCAGACATGGTGGCAATCCACACGTGGAGGTTATCGTAGATAGCCACCTCCTCATACATCAGACCTGAATTGTGAAGTGCGTGAGGTATGGCTCTGAAGAAATCGGAATAAACTTCCTTCATGCCGTGGAAGGACTTCTGCTTGCCAGATAGTGGGTAGTCGCCCTCTTCTTGTTCGGAGTATTGTTCTAGGATATCGCTCAGTTTGTTCGGAATGTTATCGACATCGTTAATGTCGTCCATGGTCACACGAGCGTCGCATCCAACAACCTGTAGCACGAAGTTTACCATGTCCGTAATACCTGCTACATGATCACCTTCCAATCTGCTGTGCCATGTGGTTGCTGCTGCTTCTGCGTCGTTGCCTTTGCCGAATACGTCTGCATAGAGGCCACTGCTTTGTGCTTGACTCTGTCGAGACCTAGCCTTGTCCTTTGCTGCTTTCGATGCTTTTTTGACAGTCTTGTTTGCAGGTCGTGCGGCAGATCGTATGGCGAGAGTGGTGTTGTTATTGGTTTTAGTCCTAGCTCTCTTTGCGGCTGGCTTTGCTACAGCCTGACGAGCGCGTTGTTTTCGTTTTTTCTCTCTCAGCTCTTCCTCGTCAGCCTCACCCTCGTCCTCTTCACTATCCTCAGACTGCATTTCGTCATCGTCTTCAACTTCATTTCCGTCGTCGTCGTTCGCTACGTCGCGTGGGCGCTTTCTCTTAGCAGAGTCGATGACACTACCATGATGCTGCTCTTGAGAAAAGACGGGTGGCGCTTGCACAACTCGACCAGATTTTCGTCTGTTTGTACCATTGCTGGTAGGCGTCGCGACTGTGGTGGCCATAGCTACTGCGGGGATGTCAGAACGTCTGACCTAGTAGTAGGTGTTTGAGGGTCACCAGAACGATCAGGTCATATTTACATCAAGAGAAGATGGCGCATAGTATATCAGCCTGAGGACGACGCGGCGCTGTTTCGGAAGACGATTGAACTTCGCGACTTTCACCTGCACTTTTCGTCACGCGTCGAGCGTGTCATCCATCTCTCCACTTCTCCTCCACCTCTTGACGTCGGAGAACCTTCCTGAAAAGTATTCAAACCACCATACGCACTAAACGTGGTCTGGGGTCAATCTACGGCGAAGCAAATACATAGCCCAACGAAAATGTGCACAGCGAAGCAGGAGGGTCATCGGTATGGGCATGGACGCCATTGAAGTTGTTATCGTAGGTAGCCCTTGGTAGCCCTGACCGGCCATAGAGTCGACACAAGATTCCAGGACATGGAGAACTTTGTCTCATGGAGGCGACTGTGACCTGTACTAATTGCCGGTTGTGGTTCTCGGAACTGCGGCTACAGTCGGCAAACATTTCACCGGAACCACTTGCAGCACTAAATAAACATGTCGAATATAGCAGGAAGGCACGAGCCAAACTCACCGAAGTGTAGAGGAACATAGCGAGCAATAACAGCACCCGAGATTAGACACGAGAACGTGGTAGAGGAGTAGCAACGACAATGCAATTGCAATAACATAATCCAAGCTTCGGGCCTGGCCATTGATATCAGGTACCAAGCTAAACGATGTCGACCCCCAGAAACCCATTCACCAAGACAAAAGCCAAGGCTGGCGAGGGCGAGATTGTACTAACACGACTGCCGCCTGACAAACAAGTCCTCACTACATTCGAGTATCAATACCCTCTGAAGCTCATCTCGCCAGATCCACACAAGGTCACAGTCACTACTCCACTTACACCCAACGAGGAGACCGAAGTGCCTGTCACAACCATCTTCCTCCTAACCTACGGAGGAGGCCTCCTAGCTCACGACAGCATAAATCTGACCATAACCCTGCAACCATCCACACGCCTAGCCCTCCTCACCCAAGGCAGCACCAAAATCTTCAAAGCAGACTCGACCCAGCACTCCCAACCAGGCACTCTTCCGACTACTCAACAACGCCCCCCTACAACCAGCCAAACCCTCAACGTCAAGGTCTCCCCCCACAGCACCCTCTGCTACCTCCCAGACCCCAACCAGCCCTACGCCTACAGCATCTACGAACAACGCCAAACCTTCTACGTCGACCCCTTCGGCAGCTCCTCCCTCCTCTTCCTCGACTGGGTCAGCGAAGGCCGCTCCGCCCGCGGCGAACACTGGACCCTAACATCCTGGAAAGGCCGTAATGAAGTCCGAGAATTCGATGAATCCTCCAAAGGCCGTCTCCTGCTGCGTGATTCCTTACTCTTATTCGGCGACGATCTAGCCGCCAAAACTGACAAGAAGGGTATCATGGGAACACTCGTCATCTACGGACCGGTATGGAAGCATCTCGCGGAATTCTTCATGCAGCAATTCCAGGCCTTACCGAGGATAGGGGCGAAGACATGGCAGCAGACTAGTACCGTTGAGGAAGGAAAAGGACAACAGTCCTTCAGCATGTCGAGCACAGGCAAGCAGGAACAGAAACAAGATTCAGAAGTAAAAGGTCTCCTCTGGACCGCCGCCAAAGTCAGAGGGTTTGTGCTGGTGAAGTTTGCGGCCGCGGACGTGGACGGTGCAAGGTTGTGGCTTGGGCAGATGCTGAAACGGGAAGGGAGTGTAGAACGGGAATTTAGTCATCGGGCGCTTCTTTGCTTACGCTAGAAGCTCATAGATCACTAGACAATCGTGTATAGAGATAGGAAAATGCTCATTGCTTGTAACCTTTTTGCATCATGGTGTTTCTATTACTCTAGATGCCCATTAAGTACCTGAAGACGAGGACGACGAGCATGAGCATAGGCAGATAGGACATCCAGTTGGTCGTCGCTGGAGGGTCGACGTATGGTTGACCTGTGGCAATACTTCTAGATAGTCCAAGTCAGCAGGGTACCAAAATAGAGTGTAACCATAATATGGGGCGAGAATGTGACATGCTATCCTTAATTCGATTGTCTATATGAGCAGGCCTCCGATAGCTGTTTCTGCTGGTGCAGCATTTGACGTTACCATTGCTCTCATGCTCATACGCGCAGGCTTTGCCCCACGCTCTCTTCAGCTCCTATAAACATCCTCCCAAGACGGAATGCTCTGCACTTACTGAAGCGCAGCATCAATCTTCTTCCTCAGGGTATTGGCATCCGCACCAACAACCTCACCAATCTTCTCGCCACCCTTGAAGAGCACAAACGTTGGCATGGCTCGGATACCCAGCTCTTGCGCAACATCTGGTGTGTTGTCGACATCGATCTTGTAGAACTTGACTTTATCGGTGTATGCCTCCTCGTTCGACATCTTTATAATGGTTGGGGCGATGGCCTTGCACGGTCCGCACCAAGTGGCGAAGAAATCGATAACGACAACATCGTCGCCGGAAGCTTTGACTACGTTGTCCTGGTAGGCGCTCATACTGCGTAACTCGTTAATACCGCCTACTCTCTTTGGTTTGGGGGTTTGTGATTGCGAGGAAGAAGTGGAAGCTTGACAGGCATTCTCTTCACGCAGCTTCTGGCGGTGGTAGGCAACGTACTCTTCTAGATTGTGGACACCCATTTTGGAATTTGTGTTTGTGAAATATGTAGATCTGGTAGTTGTGAAGTTTCTGGTAGTGATTGGAAGTACTCTCGTGTAATGTGTTGGGGTTGGATGTCTAATTGCGGTCGATGTGGTTGATGTAATAAGTTTTTGCAAAGGGCGAACTCGCAATGACGTAGCCAGGTTGGAGGGGATTTTTTGACTCCTAAATATACGCAACGGAGCGCGTTTGTTAACTCGGTGTGAATAGACTGTCTGAAGTATCGTTGAGCGGTGGAAGTGTGAGTCGAATATTATAGGTAAACAGTGCTGACCTATGTGGAATCACAAGGAAGGAAAGATATATGAAATCCAGTTGCATTGGGGGAGGATGACGAACCACGACATTGATGCTTTGAACGAGTCCGAATCGGCTAATGAAGGATCGCGCTTGCCGTTTGTATCAAGCACACAAGGCGAGCTTAGAAATCCAAGATGCAACAGCCTGAATGAAAGCACGCCCACGAGCAAGCTCTTCCGGAAGAAGTTCGAGAACCTGCTCCTTATTTGCCGAGCTTGTTCGCTTACGGAATCTCCAGATTGGCCCCATCTGTATTTGGAATTGAAATTTAGATATCAAACGGAATTGTAGTTGGCTGTGGCCTTGCAGCCACACGCACGTCTTCGCCATGTGTTTGGACTGTTACCCATCATTTGAGTGCTGTGTATCCAATGTGGCATGTTGGGCTAGAGGACAGCCTACGAGTTATGATCAATGAAAGACAAGCAGAATGCTATTTGACATTAAATGTATTATTTTGAGACCAGTCTCTGGATATCTAGTTCGCTAGTACAATAACCACATAGCCCTACGCTTTGCACAGACAAATTTTCAGAAATTCGGTTCAGCCGTTTTCCTCGACGTGTCACATCTCATGTCTATTGTAAGTCCTACCTGTACCAGCGGCAAGCTTCGTCAGCCTCTGCATTGTTCGTGGAACAAAAGAAATAAACCAAGTCGGGGGTATAGATGGCAACGTTCGTCATTGTGTGTTCGTGTTCAGGTATAGAGACTGTGACGGTTCGTGACTTCAAGTGTCAGCCACTGGACAGAGCTCACTGTCCTTGCAGACGGTCTTGGCTCAAGGACGATAGTCGGCCACTCAGTAGATCTAGGGATGGCGTCGATGATCTTCGTATATCCAGTAGCCTAGCAGATCCAGCACTGATTTGTCGAGCGTGGCCCTTGTATTCGACACTTCGAGCACGACCTAATGTTACAGCAGTTTCGTCCTCATCCTGACCACCCTCTTCTCCACTCTCTGCAGATGTGCTTGATTGCCGTGACTCTTTGGCAGTATATTCATTCAAAAGACCCTCTTTGGATTTCGCTCGTGCTGCTTGTCGAACGACTGTAGGTTGACGTGCCAAGGCAGCATGCCACGTCTCGTCTTTCTTTAATGTATCACCAGCGGATCTATCCGCGTCCTGTGTCTCAACGACAGTACTCTCAGCACCAGGATGTATGTTCTCGACACCGTCAAACGTGCCCGGCATAGGACGAGTGAGGGACGATCTCCTGGCCTGCAGCCGTTGCGAAGCTGCCGACCGTCGACGGAGAGGCTTTCCCGAGAGCCAAGAGCCCTCACTGTCAACTGACGCAAGAGACTGGGACAGTAATACCTCCGCCTTGGAAGACAAGGGTACGTCCAGCTCAACAGACTGTCTGTTTTCCTGCCTGTTCGTCTTCATTGGTATAGGGCTACTAGTCGTGTAAGCTGATCGTTCTACATCCTCCAGAAGCTCTTCGTTCGGTTGCTCCGTCGTGACAGCCTGGTTGAATGTGCTTGACGCTGGTGGATCAATTGCGTCTAGTGACCGCATACGTGACGCTGGGGGTGTTGGAAATTCGGGCAAGTCTTCCCGAAATTTCGAAGTCGTCCTTTGCGGTGTGCTCGAATCCGCTCTTCTGAACGTGCGGGTAGTTACCATTGGCGGAGGTTGTTTTCGAGCGAATGACTCCCTCGATGTATTGGAGAATTCGGACGGAGTACTTCGTCCCTGGAATGAAGAACTTAGCTTCCGTCCAGTGTTGGTTCCTCTTCGGAAAAAGGCTGTCCACGAGCTTAGCCTTTGACTGCTGTGGTCAGAGGCTCCACCAGTAAAGCTGCCGCTCTCTGGTATATCCGTGGTAATCTCCCTATTCAATAGTGAACCCTGCGACAAGCTCTGCCTGTCAGCCACTCGCGGCACCGGCGACACTGATGGCGACACAGTTGCATGTGATGGCTTTTCCTCCGACTTTACGACGTCGGTCCTGATCTTCCTTAGTGGTGATCTGATTGGCACAGGTGGCTCAGCCTCTATGTCAGATGGTTGTTGGTGTAATACATCCTCATCTTTTTCATCGTCAAAAGGGTTTCTGATGACGACGGGTGACGTTGGCTGAGATTTGGGATCGGCGAAAGGATTGACCTTGTCCTCGGGACGCAAGCTGGATGGCCCGGCTTCAACTTCTACATCGTGTACTGGCAGTGGTGGTTGTGATTGTGGTTCCATATCAAGTCCTTGCACCTGCGAAGCCGAGGCCGAAACGTACTCTTCGGTCCTGGCTTTCCTAGCCTCTTCCTCTCGCTGGCGTTCAGCACGCCTTTCTAGCTTCCTCTGTAGCCTTGCATGTTCAGTTTGCTTCTTTCGTTCTCTTCTTCGCCTGTCACGCTCCATAAGTTCTCGAAGTGCACCTGCATCCAAGCCGTCGGCCAAGTCATCGATACGTTTCTTATCCATACCAGACTCTTCTTCGACAATGGAAGGTCGCGCCTGCAACCTTGGTCGTTGTGGTTGCTTCCCTGACATGTGCTTTGGATTCTCGTCATACTTGATTGTTGGTCTTGGACTTAGAGCGGCAAACATGCCAACCTTGAAGGTGTGGTGGTGAGCCACATCGCCAACATCTAGGAGATCATCAGGTAATGGCAGGGAGACTTGCGAGGTTGGTCTGTGAAGTCTGCGGTTCAGGCCACCGGGTATATCTCTTGTCTCGCGCCTAAGTGGACCGCTCTCGTAAAAACTAGTTGGTCTTCTCGGTATTGGTATAGGAGAGGTGCTCATGGCCTTGATTTCGCGTTCCCTGGCATAGTCGTCGGCTTTGCGCTTACTCGATTTCCTGCGGACGAGGTCTGAACCATGCTCGGATCGGCGCGCATAAAGAGTAGGCGGTTGTCTCATTGTGGTGAAAGTGTCGGGTCCAAGACTTGTATGCGAAGTAGGATTTTGTTGGTATAGATCTTTTTCGGACGATGTATGGTCAAGCTGGCTATGTCGCCTCGAGGGAGGAACCGGTAATGGAGCAGTCTGAGACCGCTGCTGCTGCTGTTGGATCGGGCCACGAGTTTTCGATAGGTGACGACCTTTGTCCGACCGGTCCTGCTTCGTAGAACTTTTTGTGTTGTCGCTGAAGTTGGTGGCGGCTTTTTCCAAACGACCCAGGTTGTCGACTGGTTCAGTCTGTAACGGTCGGTCGCCTATTTGCCTCTTCGACTCAGTAGTCTTTGGCTTTTTCGCGCCACCGAATGGCCAGAAGCCCATCTTTCGATAATGTGATCAAAGGAATGTGAAGTTATTGCATCGTCAGGACGCCAGGGCCGGAACTAAAGTCGCAGTGGGAGGATCCAATCAACGCGACGGGCAGCTCATTGAAGTGCTACTGTTTCAGGGCGCAATTTTGTGTATGCAGTGAAAGTGAAAGGTGGAGTTGAAGTGGTGATGTGTCTGCAACAATTTTGGTCATGGGTTTTGGTCGTGGTGACAATCGTGGATATCGGTAGCGAACGTGGTCGACAGGGCCTCAAACTGGCGCGTGAATCATATAGCCGCAAGGCGCAGAAGTCGAAAGCGAGGCGAGCGTGTCGGTTGGTGTGGAATGGACAGGAATAACAGAGCAGGAGGGTTGAGCAAACCAAGGGAGCTGTTTTGGAAATGCGAAAGAAGGGTCCAGCAAGACGCAGCTTGAAAGGTCGAGAACAAAGTGCAAGGTCGAGAGAAGTTGAAGTATGATGTCGTGGTTTGCTCGCTTCTGCGGCTGCTTCTGCTTCTTGAGCTCGTGGCACGAATGCTTCTCTTTCTCCTCGCACTGCGCCGTGGCGATCTCGATTGTGTAAGATATTATGATTATGCTACCAGTCTGCTGTGTGTTCTATCTCGCGGCTGGCCTGCAGGGTCTTGTGATTGTATTCGTGACCATGCAAAAACAGGTGTGGTTAAGGGTCGCTGCAAAGACCAGATCCTGGTCGCCGCTTTTACGCCTCATTCGCGCTTCTGCTGAGTCCTGCGTCAGTGGTCCTGGTAAGCTTATGGCTAGCTCTCCTTCAAGCAAAACTGGCAATGCAAGCACCTGCAAAATGCCTTCTTGGGCTCCATCCCGGATGGGTCTGTGCTACGAACAAGCAGACTCGTCCCGCGATTGGTCCTGGCTGCTTGACCACTCAGCTGCGCGACACACCCCTTCTACATCAAATATTTCATTCTTCGGTAATCTACCAGAAATTGTTTTACGGCAACAGCTTTTTTCATTCTTACTCTTCCCAGAATTGCTTGGCCGTTACTCGGATATTCAAAGTCGCCCGACTGGTTGCAGCTTGAGCACTGTTGACCAACAGTACGTCACTGGCTTCCCCATACTTTAAGTGTCTTTTAGACGAGCCACTGTTGATGCGAACCCAGCGCGTGGAAGGTGTCAGTACGGAAGTAGTGCAGCCCTTCGTTTGGGTCGCTCAAAGCCTGATAACAATTCTCCGAATCACCAAACACCAAAAGAGTGTTACTGCAATGAGCTTAGCGCTAATCAATCGAGAATGAAGCCTGAGCTTAGACGCTGAGAGCCTAAACGAGCGCGCTGTGAGAGTGGACATGGCAATTTCAGAGTACCGAACAATACATGCACAACCGGAAATCCAGATTGTCTAGCTGCCTGCTCTCAGCTGAAAGCCGGACTTTTTGCTCTGCGAGTTATATGTGCAAGCATTGCATTCTAGTTGTGTAAAAGTTCGAATTTAGGTCCGCACCTCTTTTCAATGAGCTCCTCTCTGATACCCGCGTGCCTATGCTGGTTCCGCCGAAATGTCTTGTCTAACTAGTCATCCATTCTCAGTAAATCGTATGTCACACTCTGGCCTGAGGCTCAACTGCATCAAAACAACACTGCCCGGAGCGTGCAAGGAGGGCAAGCAGTATGCCCGCAATGATTGAGCTTAGCAATAAGCCCCAGTACAATTCGACCTCTCGAGGCTGCTGATGCTATCCTCATATCTATTGATGTACTCGTTGACTCTGTCCTAGTACTCAGTCGAGCCATTGACACCTTTTCGCGAATCGGTGTGCACTGGCTCGGCAGCACTCAATGCTTCAGTGGCTCTGGTTAGCAATGCCTGTATCTCCTCTACTTCGTCCATGAATTTCTTGTAGCCTGCCGGCAACATGGTGGGGTGATCTTCGTCAACCACTTTTGGAAAGAAAGTCGTAAGGTCTCGCTTCCATTCAACATCTTCACCTGGTCGGATGTTGGCGAATTGTGCCATCAGTCTGTCCCACTCTTCGTAGTAGTACACTGCTGTCCACTCAATCGACGCTGGTACTGCACTAGCTTCTCCTGCATTCTGTGGGAAAGTGTCTGTTCTTCTTATCTCAAATGTACCTTTGGTATCTTTGTATGAGTATCGCGCAATAGTAATCTCTCTCACCGCTTTAAGATCACGGTTGCTGGGAGGAAAGAGTGCATGCTTCGCTGGGGCGAACCGCAACCCCTTGAGGGATGGTTTGAGGTCTACCTTATCGGAGAAACCACGTAGTTCTTGTTTTGTTTTTTGATTTTGATAGATGCCGGCGGCGACCATCTCGAATGTATAGCCAACTTTACCCAACACCATATGGTGAATCTTGAGAAGTTCGCCAACACTCCCAAGTTGGTTAGAGCTGTCGTCGAGCCACCTTATGGCGGCAACATTGGGTTTGTCAGGGTCGATATGACTAGCCGTAAATTCCTTTTCAAGTCGCAGACTGCCTTGTGCTCCTGTAAAGCAGCACTCCAGCGCCCACGAGATGTCAGGTTCTCCAAATTCTGAAAGTGTGTCCATGTAGTCAATCAAGTCGAAGGACGCTCCTGACGACAATGGAAGCATCCGAGCTTCCACGTTCGGTTGTTGGACCATATTGATGAATTCTTCGACCTCATACGTGTCTTGACCGTTGGCTGGACGTTTCAGTTTAGTCAGTGCAATAGTGCCGAACGATACTCTCATTCGGACGTGCTTCTCTGACAAGTAAAGACCATTTATGCATGATCTTAAGGCCTTCTTGGTAGCATTTCGGTAACGCTTGTTGCTGGCCTTGCTCAACTGTGGCCAGTGTTCTTCTCCTGGTGGCAGTTCATGCTCGACTCCAACAGGTTTAGGAATATGAGCTGTGAACGGGTAGCTAGTAATAGCCACTTTTTCCAGACTCGTTCGTTTGCAGAAATCGTTGGCACCAGGCAAACGACATTGTGTGGCACGTAGACCTTGCTTTTTCTTGGCCACCATCTCTTTCATGAGGCCAAGAAGTCGGTTATAAACTTGGAAAAGGCTTTGCTGCGTCTCGCATGCTATTCTGGTAGCACGGGTACCCTCACGAGTGTGAGTAATATGACAGGTAAACGTGTCGCGAAGTCGCTCGAGGACACCTTGATCGTAATCAGCAACAAAGTCTTGCAAATCGTACCCTTCCGGCCAAATTAGGTGGGCTTCATATGGGAGCAACGATTCGTCAGCGTATTGGAAAGCGTTCTGCTCATGGATTCTTAGGGATTCTCGGATGTTGCGGTCCTCCTCGCGAGCATCTAATGCACGTTGTTTAATCCAGGGCTTATTGGATCCCCTACTCGTACTAGTACCAGGCCCTGCAACATACATCTCAAATGACCTTGCTGTATCCTTGGCTCTCTGAATCTCTTCTGGCGAGCCCCATATCTTGAGAACGTAAGAGTCATCATCGGGAACCTCGATGAAGGCACCAGTGCTGGTGCAGATCTTAGCTAGCTCATCCGTTAAAGCCTGCCTGGGAGAAATATTCCTATCTTTGGGTAGTCGCTGGCTGACTTTGTTGAATGGTTGCATCATTTCATACTGAGCATCCGGCTGATCTCTGTTTTTCTGGTATCTGTCAAAAGCTTCGAGTTCCAGCACCCGGCGTTGCACATGCTTGGGCGCTTGTTCAGTAATTGAGTCATGACTTGCTTTGAACCCGCTCGTAGTACTAGGTCGAAGATTTTGCAGAGTTGGTCGGTAGTTTTGTGGAAGGACACTGGTCAATGATTTCTGCTCACGTCGAGGCTTTTGCTGAATGACTTGCTTGGCCTCGCGGAGATTTGTCCCTCGCGGATAGGTGTAATTATGAAGAGGATCGGGCGGTACTGAAGGCGGAGCGGCGGAGACGAAGGAATTGACTTGTGATTTGATCTGCTCCCACTCTCCATTGTCCCAATCTCCTTCGTAGCTACAAAGTCAGCAACGCATACAGCAATGAAGACTGTACTCACTCGCTCATGGTGAATGCTGAGGGCGGCTAGATCAATCCGACGAACGACAAAACAATTCGAGGTCGCAATAGAGTATACTGAACAAGATGATTGACAGGTAGGGCTGGAATAGAACGAGGATGTATTTTAAAGGATTTAATAGAAGTTGGATCTGAAGATCCCGGCTCGTGCACACTAGATCAGAGTGACTGGACCTGATCTAACTTCGCACTATATGAGGTTGTTATCTCTGAGTTGAATCTCGATTTCAGTCGAAATCCATTAATTGTAGTGGTGCTCTTCCGTCAATTTCTGAGGTTGAAGTGAGTTTTTGGTAAAACTGTCGTCTGATTCGACAAGTAAGACTGCTATGTTTACGAGTGTCCCTACCTCGCTGACTTCAGTGAGGCAGGGACTAGTACAACGGAGCGAGAATGCTCTGATGCCGGTATATAATTGTCGGTGAAGGTCCTGTGAATCTGGTTGGGAGTAAAATGTCTAATGTGCTATCCCGCTCGAACAAAGAAGATGCTTCTCTACAACATTCAGCAGGACCGTTGCATTATGCTGTCATTTTGATGGCTCGATGAAGACCACTTTCACAATTGAATACTTTTACACTAAATTACTGCTAATGTCTCGTGACTTCCACAAATCGAGTTTCAGCCCCTGCACTTGCACCATAGCTTACCTCGCTACACTTTCTCATCAGGACGCACCAATTAAGCGATCATTGCTAGTATCTCAAACGCGTCTAGCGACGCGTCATTTTCGTGTAGGGTTGAGTCAACCATTATTGGTCATCTCAATGTGTTTTGCCGGCAGCACCTCGAATGGTATGACAAGAAATGAAGAACGTCAATGCCACGGCGCAGACAGAGAAATGGTCAACTAGAGGAGGGTTGACACGGGAAGACTCGGATGATGAGTTGGGTTACGAAGACCACCCATGGCATTGGATATATGCCGAAGAAGGCTCAGAGAGCAATGCTACGGCATCGGCGCCGACAAAGAAACGCAAGGCTAGCGTCATACAGACGAGGAAGATAGTGGGTGCGCGCATGGGTGCCTTCACGATTCGTGTTGGCGATGCTGTACTCCTGAAATCTCCTGAGCAGGGCAAAGATTGGGCGGGGCTGGTTTGTGCTTTCTCAGATACAGATGACGATGGCGAAGAAGAAATGTGTGCTCACATACAGTGGTTTTGCGCTCCAGAAGAGCTGCTTGCCGGACCAAGCCTAAAATCGAAGTCAATACCGGAATCTCTGCCTAACGAAACCTATATCACAGCTGATTTCAATATGAACCCCTTAACGGCGATTAATGGAAAGGCAATTGTCCTGTCGAAGGACCAGTTCTTTCAAGCGTACCCATCTGGCGAAGCTCCAAAATCAAAGTCGGGGGCCATCAAGTTTGCCAAAACTATTATGTGTCGACGGGCTGTCAAGCAAAGAAACATGATCTTCTCGGAGGAATTTAACTGGGTAGAGAAGTGCACAGGAGCGCATAGCCTCCTTGACCTTCTTGAGTGGATCGAGGAGCAGACTAAGAGCAAATCCAGAGCGAAGCCTGAAGACCAGGCTTATCAGCAGAACAAAGGTCTAGAAGAGGAACTAATGCCTATCACACCAAAGAAGCGGAAGAAAACCACGAGTGCTATAAGCACCCCTAAGTCAACTGCGAAAACGACCAATTTCATCACTCCCACTAACAAACGTATTATGATCAGAAAACCTCTCGAGATCACTCCTTTGGGTACCAGAGTACTTTCTCCGTCACAACTCATATCGACCCCTTATGCTCATGCAAGGACAATTCTTCATGTGTCGGCTGTACCGACTTCTTTACCATGCAGGACAGTCGAGTTCGACACAGTTTATTCGCATCTCCATTCCGCCATTACTGACGGGTCAGGAACGTGCATATATATATCAGGAACGCCAGGTACTGGCAAAACAGCTACCGTTCGAGAAGTGGTTGCATCCCTGCATCAGGCAGTCCTTCAGGATGAGCTCGATGGTTTCAACTTCGTTGAGATCAATGGCATGAAGGTAACAGATCCTCACCAGTCCTATGCCATACTTTGGGAAGCTTTGAAAGGTGATCGACTCAGTCCGACTCACGCGTTGAGTCTGCTTGAACATGAGTTCTCACATCCTAATCCTCGCCGTATACCATGCGTCGTGCTTATGGATGAGCTTGATCAGCTGGTAACGCGTAATCAAGGCGTGATGTACAACTTTTTCAACTGGCCGGCTCTTCGACATTCGCGCTTGATCGTGCTCGCGGTAGCAAACACCATGGATCTGCCAGAACGTACCTTGTCTAACAAGATCAATTCGAGACTCGGGTTGACCCGAATAACTTTCCCTGGCTATACTCATACGCAATTGATGGAAATCATATCTTCGCGTCTACAAGGAGTGCCAGGAAACATAGTAGACCCTGATGCTGTTCAGTTCGCGAGTCGAAAAGTTGCAGCTGTGTCGGGCGATGCCCGTCGCGCACTTGACATCTGCCGCCGCGCTGTTGAAATAGCAGAGAAGCAAGCGGAGGGACAGCAAGTGGCCGGAAACGCTGGACAAGAAGATGCTGGGTTCGACGTTAGTACTCCATCACGTACTGGAAGGAAAAGACAGAAACCTGAATCGGCAGTAGAGCATGCGAGCAGTGTCAAACCCTTAGCCCGAGTCACAATTGCAACAATCAAAGCAGCTATTAACGAATCCACTTCCTCACCGGTCGCTCAATACTTGCGAGCCTTACCTCTTACCGGAAAGCTTTTCCTTGCAGCATTGTTGGCACGTTCCCGGCGCACTGGTATAGCTGAAGCAACAGTTGGTGAAGTGTTCATTGAATCGAAACGTATTGCAGATGTGGCTGATAACACTGCCGTTCAGGATTTCCTGATTGTCGACCAGAGAGCACCTCGACTCCTGACTATGGGAGCTGTGGCTATGGACCTTGTTGACGCTGGACTTGTTCTGATGGATGTCAAGTCCCGTGGCGAACGTGCGGGTAAAGTCAGGCTTAAGATTGCCGAAGATGAGGTGAGAAGTGCATTGATAAACGACATAGAAGTAAAAGGCATGGGACTCGAAGCCTGAACGAATTGATGGACTCGGTCTCTAAACAATTACCAGGACCCTCAACAGCAGCATGTTTGCTGTAGAAACACACATAGTGGCGCATCGTTGACGAACAGCATTTGTCATAACTCACCACATCTAAGTGTGGAAAACGATGACTTGTTGGTCTGCGGCAGTTGAGATGTGACGGTACTCGACGTACCTCCCCACATCCGTCTCGGTCGAACTCTTGCTGACCCCACATCAAAAACTGGGGCTCGAAGATCGTCCGAAGCCGGCTAATGACCTGACAGACTCCTCAGCAGCTGTCGCCGTCATGTCAGCCTGTCAACGCCTGCGACTATGCGTACAAAAACAATGTTTAAGCTCAAAACCCTCAGTGGAACAACGGTCTGCCAGAAGAATTTGACGGAATATTCTGTGAGATCTAGGGCCCCCACACGCGTCCCTGGCCAGATATGTAGCCTCGTCTCCGTTGTATGAGTAGTGATTGCTGCAATATCGCAACTGCCGAAGCTGGTCCACAAGATTGATATTACATACAATGAAACTATAAGTTGAGGTCACTCTCAAAGTCTTGAAGCTACAAGTCCTGACTCTGTTGCTATGTATGTCAAATGCCGTCTGGAGGATCCTGTATTCTTGAGAAGGAACATTTGCTCGAATTATCATACAAGCTTCCACAACTACTTGCGTGGAGTTGTGCTAACGATGTCGAAGGGCGGTTCCAGGGAAGGGCCCCTGGTGCATAGCACTCTTGCCACCTTTTGGGCCCTGTTTCGCTACTCACCAACACTCACTATTGTCACGCTTCTAGCTATTCGCTTCCTGTTCAGGCGCTACGTCTCGCCTCTTCGTAGGTATCCGGGTCCATTCCTGGCTTCCGGCACGCGTCTACACTCTGCGTTTCTTACGTGGAGAGGGAAGACTCACGAAGATCATATTGCTTTACATCGCAAATATGGACCTGTTGTTCGTATCCAGCCGAACCAGCTCTCGTTCGCGTCGCCTGAGGCTGCGCGTCAGATCCTGTCTCCTGGGAAGGGCTTCCATAAAACCTTGTTCTATTGGGTGTTCCCACCGTATGGCAACCCCGACATCTTCACCGAAGTTCGAGAGGAAGTACACGCGACCAAGAAGCGGTTTGTCAATCAGCCATATAGTCTAGCCTCTTTCCAAGCGATGACGCCTTGGGTCGACCAGACTATTCAGCTTCTTTGCGACAAGCTTGATGGGATTTGCATTTCTGGCACTCTTTCGACCCCTCTGAATCTGGGTGATTACCTACACTATTTTGCTTTTGATGGTAAGCGTTTCACTGCCAAAGAGCAGGAAATCTACCTTAGGCTGGACAAATCAGCGTGCTAACAACGGCTATAGTCCTTGGGCAAGTGGCTTTTTCTACTGCATTTGGTTTTCTCGAGCAAGGAAAAGATGTTGACGGTGCCATCAAGTCAATCGACGCCGTTCAGGTATACGACGGAATTGTGGGTCAGATCCCTTTTCTCGATCGTTTCCTGCGGCGAGCCTTCTACTGGGATTACCTACCATGGGTGACACCCTTGAGCAACAATTACATCACGCGAACAGCTCTAGCTCAATTGGCGAAACGAGAAAATAGTAATACGAAGCCTGGCCGCAGAGACCTGCTGAGTATGCTACTGGAATCACACGAAAAAGACCCTAACAAGTTTGATAAGAACAGTGTGTTTGCTGTGGCTCATGGCGCCATCTTTGCTGGCAGCGATTCTACTGCTAGTACCATGCAGACATTCATGTGGAATATTCTCAACAACCCTTCAATCTACGAAAGGCTGATAACAGAAATTTTCGACGCTCACCAAGCAGGTAAGCTCAGCGAGATTGTGGCATGGGATGAATCACAGAAGCACCTTCCATATTTCCAAGCTTGTCTTAAAGAAGCCATGCGTATTGGTCCAGCAGTGGGATTGGCAATATACCGCAAAGTGCCTGGCACTGATACCGAGATCAACGGCACTTTCATTCCGTGTGGCACCGAACTGGCAGTGAATGCATGGGTGCTGCACAGAGATCAAGATATCTTCGGTCGAGATGCAGATGTGTACAGACCTGAAAGATGGCTGGCTGCAGAAGGAGATGAGAAGAACGAGAGCAGAATCAAGAGGATGGACAGGTATATGTTTCAGTTCGGTGGTGGTTCTCACGTTTGCATTGGTCGCAACCTGGCTATCCTAGAGATCAACAAGGTCTTGCCTCAGCTCCTCAGACGGTATAAATTCGAGCTGGTAGTTCCAGGTCGACCGATGCATCAGCACAGCAGTTTCTTCGTCGTGCAAGAGGGATTGGAAGTAAGGTTTCAGCGGCGTTAGTCAGGTATAGCCAGGTAAAATTGTGAACTTCTACTTCTCAGCAGAGCAACAGGTACTTGAGATTCGAAGCATTCTTGCAATCATAACGCTACTTGTCAGTAAGAATGTCTGATATATGTCTGATCAGAAGTCTAGCAAATACTCTGATTACTTCCATAAACCTAACGTATTCGGCTCGAATTTAGAGCTTATGCAATAAACGATACTCTTTTCAGTCCCCAATAAGGATGGCGAACTTTGTGAATTCCCGAACCGCTTCTCAGACGACTGGAGAACTAGGCATCCTTCTTTGAGGTCATTGCTAAAAGTACACACGTTTCCAATATGTGACCAATCGCGTTCGACATCCATGTCTGCATGCTGTCGAGATTGATTTAGGCTTCACTATTAATACCTAGCAAGGATGTTGACAAGTGACATCACCTGAACATTGAAGAGTGCTACTCAACAGGAATGCAATTCACAAGCAGACCGAGATGCCTATATGAAAGAGTATGACAGCACGTCCTTTCCAGGAAGGTTTCACTAAGTAGCTTTGCACAGGAAGCACGCCAGATGACCAGGTCGCTTATATTCGGGACCTTACACACTAACGGCATCGTGTCCAAGCACACTCGCCTCAACGAGGACAAGAACACGTCGGGACATCTTCATACATAAACATCTAGTACAGATAGCAGACACAATGTTGCTCACCACGCTTCCCTTCAGCATCCTAGCAATGTCCCATCTCGCACAAGTTTCCGCAAGCCTGATCAGACCCCATCACATTCCCTCGGCAGCAGAAGACAGCCACCAATCCCCTCTACAAAACCCTAGAGTTCATTTCCGTGATGCCACAGAATCTGATATCGACGACATCACAACACTGATCCTGGATGCATTTGGTCCGAACGAGGAACGGCAGTATATCCAGCCGCAGCGAAAACTGTACCCTCACTACGAGTGGCACTGCACGCGGGAGATTATCCGGGAGCAATGGTCGCAGTCTAGCTGGAATGGTACCTTTGCAAAGGTCGTTGCGGTCTCGGATCATAGTACTGATGTCGAGAAGGATGGGAGAAAGCGCGATGAACGTGTCGTCGCTCTCGGCATTTGGAATATCTATCATGGGGATGGTAAGGTTACTTCGACCATACTTGATAGAAAGGGCCTGACACCATTTTCATCACTGGTCAACTCCAATCCCACCACATCCAGTATACAATTTCACGACAACGACGACGACAAACCACCATTTAATTGCTCCCTCAACCTCGCCATGAACACGACTCGCGAAGAGGACTTCTTCAGGCAATGGAACGAAGCCAAGCACAAACACATCGACGAAGCCTATGAAAAGCAACTCTACCTCAACGTCCTGTGCACGCATCCGCAATGGGATGGACACGGCTTTGCGGCTATGAATTTGGATTGGGGGACGAGCCTTGCACGATCACTGGACCTACCAGTGACGTTGATCGCGACACCTGCTGGATATCCGCTGTATGATTCTTATGAATTCGAGAGTGTCAGTAATGTCTCGATTTCGAAGCTTGATGGGCTGGGGAGTCTGTGGTATGAGGTTATGAAATATTCTAGTTGATCTCGGCCAGTCAATGCGTGGTGAAGGACTAAATTGTGATGCGCTTGGGAGATTATACTGAATTGACTCCGGGACAATAGAGATCTTCATTAGATCAAAATCAAGATCAAGCTCATTTATCCCTCAAAGCACAATTACAACCAAACTTCCTCCTAAACTCATCCCTGCTCAACCCATCCAGCTTCGCAAGCGCATTCTTGCTCGCTCTAACCCTAGCATACCTCGCGCTCGTCCCTCGAGATTCAGCAATCACCGACCCATGCACGATAACACCCGCCACAATCTCAACTTCGATGCCTCCCTCATTGACCGGATCACCAGAGTCATTGATCCCATAATCTCGACATTTGTATTCGTGACTCAGCTTGTTGTAAAGATACGTCGTTGGGTGTCTATTTGCGAACGTGTCATACTCAGATATATCCTCAAAGAAATGCTTGACGTGCTTGTTGAAGAAGTTTTCTATTTCGCTGTAATCGAACCCGGAATCCACAAGAACGGCTCCAAGGTATGACTCGACCAAATCTGACAATGCTTTGGGTGGCGACTCGATCTCAGTCCAGAAACTCTTGGGACAATCTGGCCGTGCCAGGCCCTCACGCACTTTTATTGCGTAGGTCTGAATATCGGCGATGAGCTTGGCGGTAGTTACGAACACGAACTTGTCAAAGTCCAGTGTCACGGCTAATGCTGCGAGAAATTTGTTGCTGACCATGGCCATCTTGTGCTCGGTGAGCCATTGAGGGTTTCGTGTCGGGTTCGTGTTGAAGAGCCAGGAGATACACACCCAGTCCAAGATTGCGTCTCCGAGGAACTCGAGACGCTGAAGATCTGGAACGGTTGAGTTCATGTCGGAGCTGTGGGTAAGCGCACTTCTCAGAAGACGCGGATATCGGAACTGGTAGCCCGTTTTAGCTGCGACGGCTTGGGCACGATCATTCGCGATCGGGTCATTTGTCTGTAGAGACCAGGCTGGTGCAGAATATTGCGCAGCTATGTCTGACCACGAGTTGACGTCGTGGTCTGCTGAACGGACGAGCTTAGTCACGGCTTTGATGCCAAGATCAAACCGGTTGTTCTGCGAGGAAAGATGTGCTGTCGCAGTGATTACCGCTCCAATGATAGCCTCAGACATATCGGCAATCGTCTTCATACCTAGGTCTTGAGAAACAGGTTCGTGTACCATCCGAATTGGGTCTTTTCTTGCACCACGACCCTGCAGCAATTTCAGGTTTTCTGGATACCACGTCGTTCGATCAAATGCAAGGGTTCTGGCGTATTTGTATAGCTGCAAGTCCTCTGCAGTAGCGACATTGAAGAGATTTCTGTTGCATAGGATCTCCATTCGACGACAATGCATGCCTTCTTCATCGCAAACAGTACGGTTGAAGACGGTCATTGTCGTTGTCATCTTCAGCAAGCTATCGCCGATAAATTCGAGACGCTCGTAGTTCTTGCCCATTCCTCGCTTACCGCTTGTATGAACTTGTTGCTCTTGGTTATCATTATCAGCGTCTTTCGTGAAAGCCTCCAAGGCAAGGTCTGCAGACACTCCAGGCAGATCAAGCTTCGTAAATGCTTCTATTGCGATCATGTATGCTTCGATGCGGTGGATCAAAGCAGGCCATAACAAGCAGGAAGCTGCAAATTCTACAGACATGCGGGCAATTTGCAGAGTTTCCGGGGCGATCAAACAAGGAATAATGTCCTTTGCCGACGCTGCTTGATCGAGAAAATTCCTTCTTGTGCCAATGAGATCTGCATGGAGTACAGGCTGGGTATAATCGTAAACGTGTTCCTCTGTTGCACGTTTCTTGGTAGCCGTCCACAGACTGTTGGAAAAATCTATGATGTTGTGTCTCTTTTTCTGTGCGATATGAGGTACCGAGTCAGGCACAGGATCCGTGATCTTGACCTCGGGTGCGACATCGCCAGTGAAGTAGTGAAAACGACCATTCAATGGATCACAGATAAATTTGTTCGTCCAAACTTTAGAGCTCACGCCAGATTCCCATTTTTGTCGTTCACCTTGAGCTGTTTTCAATGCAGGCATATCGGCGACGTCCTCAATGTTACGACAATCGCTTGACATATTATGTGCCAGAGGAGCCAGCCAATACGACATTTTCTCAGGCTCAAATGCGTACACCTTGTTGAAGACATCCGAAAAGACAGCTCTGAGCGTGAAGGTGGTCAGCTGATTGACTTGCTCTTGCGATGCTTGGAGCACTTTTGGAACACAATTGAGCATCACATCGGTTTTCACATTGTCCTCCAGGTAAGCACAAAACGAAGGCATAGCTGGCAATGGTGCTTTGGTCAGCATTACTATTGGAGCTACCTGATGCTTCAATTTTCGCTCTGGACAGAAGCTCCATATCGTAGCATATAACTCGGTGGGGAAAACATCAAGATGTGACTGCCAGGCTGTAGGCTTGACTTGCATATCATAAGCTTCCTTCTTGACTGTCACAGCGAGTCGAGCGTTAAGATTTTCCGGCTTGAGCTTCCTGAAAATCGAGTCCAAGTTGTCATTCAGATAACCTTTATTGCGTAGTAGGTAGCAGCATCCGAAAGCAGCTGACCGCTTTGCGAGCTGTTTGTTGGGCTTCCAGTCGCCTCTACAGCCACGCACTTGGCATTCTGAATTGGCTGGCAACCTTACAACGTATCTGAACAAAGTATCGTGGATGTCGATCTCCTCCTCGTAAATTTCTGAAGTGAGAGCCCCTGTGTGTCGCAAGGATGCTGTGAAGCGGGCCAAGATCAGAAGAGCATTTGAATAATCGAGCATGGCACCTGAAGCAGTCCGCATTGCTTGTCCAGCAGAGTCCTTAGACAACAATTTTGTCAATTCTGTGCCTTGGCCGAGACGACGATCAGGCTCCAGACTGCTACACCATTTCTTGATGTACATCTCATTGTCCAACTGGTAGTCAACCTCACCAGATTGCTTCAAGTCTCCATCTTCTACCATGTGGGCAAATATCGAGCCTTTCATTCTTGCTCGACCTTTGCTTTGCATGTACTGTATAGTTGTCTTGCAAAGGTCGAACCTCACACAGAGATTGCATTGTGGAATATCCAAGCCTTCGTCAGCAACCGATGTGGCAAACACCAGATTTATTAGACCTGCTCGGAAGCGTTGAAGCATTTGTTCTTGATGCTTCATTGATATGGCCTCAAAATTAGTCCCAGCAATGCCTAATAAGATGCCGCTCCTGATGTGAGGAATGCAGAGCTGACTTAAGCAGTCGTGAAGAACAAGGGCTTTCAATCTCTCCTCAACAAAGACTATGGCACGGGTGTTCGGGTTGTTTTGAAAGTGCTGGGCAAGCTCCTCGCACAGCCTGATCACTTTGGACGACAAATGCTCCGAGGTCAATTGTGGTAGTGGGTGAACGTAGTTCCGGACAAGCAGAAATGCCTCGTCTAAAGCAGCCATGGCCTGCGTTCTTTCTCCGTCGGGTAGATCTGCATAAGCCTGACTTTTCTCGAATTTAGAGCTGATTCGTGAGGATTCATGAGCAGAACAACCAATCACATATTTCCATACACGATCAGCACACCAAGGGCCAAGCTCGACAGTAGCTTTGCTTGCAAAAACAAAGCCTTGTTTCAAAGCTTCACAGAACTGTATTTTCATGAACAAATTTGAGTAGAGGTCAGTTTGCGTGCAGAATGTTCTTAGCCTAGGGTAAAGCCACTTGACATTCGTGGGTTTTGGCGCGAACGACAACAAGCTGCCATCGTCGGTAGTTACAATCTTTGCTTGTAGAATCTCCTCAAGGTTTTTGGCTGTTATGGCTATATCACCCTTTGAATCGACTGCAGACGCAGTCATGCCAAAAATCCTCGGTCTATGCTCATGAGGGCATTTGAGATAGTATGAACGGATCAAACGACTGTATGGATGGTCTTTTTTGGCGTGATGTGCCTCATCGAAGACGAGGAGGGAGATGTCTTGCATGTTTAGAAAGGCGTGCATGAGACATTGATCGAGGATAGCCGGAGTGCAGACGACCAATTTATTGTGCTCTCGAATGGAGTTCCAATTGGACTTCTTCCATAGGTCATTCTTGCTGTTGCCATAGAGGACGGCCGGCTTGTCGATGAGATTGTTGGCCAGAACACGAGCTTGCTGCTGAACGAGGTGGACACTATCTGCATTAGTAATCCGAAAAGGGGGGGATGTTGAGCGTACCTGTTAGCGAGGAAGAAGACAATTCTCTGTCGTCTGCCCTCAGCTCGGTCAAGTAATTCCTGGTCAAGGATATGTTTGATTAGCAAGCAGGCTATCAAGGTTTTGCCGCTACCAGTATCTAGACTTTCACTTCGTCAGGACAAGCGGATGGTCCAGCTGGTGTACACTTACACAGCAATTATGTTCTCACTCTTAGCCCGTTCAAAGAGCTCTTGCTGGTAGTCACGGACCTTGTCGATGATTCGAGCAGATTCAGCTTCGATAGTAGTTGAGTACTCCTGTTGTTCCTTGTCAACGGTGTCAGCATCCACATCTTTCTGTCGCTCTTTCTCTTGCTGGTGCTTTATGTGTCGATCAAGCACTGCACGATGAGTATCGTTTCTCAACGTATCGGAATCTTCCTTTTCTTCTGTTGAAGGGGTGTCGAGCTGCGAAACAGCAGACTCAGCATCGCTTGCGATATCAGCCTCGGAGGAAGTAATCTCTTGCATACTGCTGAGCGTCTGCTGTTTCGGGAGTATAAGAATGAGAGGTGGATTGGGAAGAGACATGCTCGCGACCTCAGCCATGTTGGAATTTGGAATGAGAGACTCTCAGAGCCTTGCACAAAATATCTCAGAGTTCTGTTTACCGACCTAGGTTAGTACAGCGTCAGTAGGAAATGAGACGGATCATCAGAGTGCACTTTGTATATTCTCGGGAGAGAGCAGTAGATGCACCATTCACGAAACACATTGATCTCAAGCTTCAGCAGCGACATAATTCCGGTCTAGCGATGGTACCAGGTAACGCTCGTTTGCTTTACTCAGGAACAAACATTTTGTCCTGAGCTGAATGAGATGTCAATCTCACATTCAAATGGGTCAAGCAGAACCTGCCACAAGGGGAACGACAAACATCCTAACGGGCTCTGTAGGCGCTTCAGGCATCTCAACGCTCACAATTCAGGCATCCCTAAGAAATGATCTGCAGGGGAACGCGTCCTGAAACGCGCTCCTGAGCAATGGTGTCTAAATGCGGCATGCCTCGTTGCATGTGCCTACAGATAGAAAGATAGATTTCTTGAAGAGGACGCTGTACAGAAATAACGAGAAGCAAAACACACACACACACACCCACCCGAAAGCTCTAGCCATGAAGCTCTTTATATCCGCATTAGTATTTTCAGCTGGTCTGAAAAGCGTGCTGGGTCACGGCTCGCATGGAAGCGGCAGTGATGAAGCACGACCGGAAGACTGGGCTCTGTGGCACCTTGAGGAAGAACATCGTAGGACACCTCGCCTCTCAACCTTCTGGGCAAGGAAGCGCTGACTAGCATGTAGACATCTCAAATTTCGATCCATCCTCCTTCTTTACCCTGCATGACTTCAACAACGACGGTGCCTGGACCGAAGACGAAATACGGAGGACATATGGCCTAGATGATGCTTCACTAAAAGATACCTCAGACCAGGCCAAGTCCGAGGGTGTTAAGGAGGTCATGTCCATATTTGATCCGGACTCTACTGGACAGATCACTCGTCCGCAGTTCCTAAAGCACATAAAGGACGGGAAGAAACTACCAGACCTTGGCCTGGGGCCAGGTCACCATGGGGACATGGAGTACGAATACGAAATACATCATTTTGAGAAGTTTCATGGACCAGACACAACAGAGGAAGACCTCATTCACCCTGAAGATATTGAACATTTCAAAATGCACGATATGCTGGAGGACGAGCAGGAAAGGATCGCCATTGAGCAGAGCCAGAGTATTGTCGAGGCGAACATTCCACTAAAGTTCAAGAAGCAGCAATAGATCACGGCCCAAGGAGCAACGTCCCACGCAATCAAAAGAACGACTATGTCAACTTGCGGCTGGCCACAGCTTGATATCAAACACGAAATGGCCTATGCCTGGAGCATAGGTCTTGACCATCTCAGTGTGTTGGCAGGCAGCATTCCATTTCGCTTCATTTGGTTCGTCGGCAAGGCTAAGAATGCTGTCTAACACGCTTTGTCTTTTGTGCTCGACCTGCTGGATATCAGCATTCTCGTGTACATGGAGCCAACCTGCGCTGTTGTCCTTCACCAGTTCTACCGCGTCGCGCCACGATCCCGAACTCGTCGGCAATAAGCCCAAATTGCAATGTCGTATGTTGAGTGCTGCTGGTGACTCAGCCAGCGTCGCCTGGACCCTGCTAAGCAGGCTCAGTGCATGTCTATTGTCGCCCCAGAACGCAATGCATCTGAGAGACTCCTTGTCTTTAATTAGGCTTGCTACCTCCGCCACCAATTGCTCCAGTCCAACACCTTCGTGCTCATTTGGAACCTTCACGACCTCACACGTGAAATTGTTCTTTTCACAGCCTCTTCGTAGTCCTTCTATGCTCCATCCATTGATGTCCCAGCCGAACACTCGTCTTACACCTCGCTTGAGATATGGGATAGCGAAGTATCCGATCCCAACATACATATCCACGATATCGACCTCGGAAAGTGGTTGCCCAAGCTCTTGCATTGTCAGTCCAGGGAAAGGGGCTGGGTTTTGCTGGGTAATTTGAAGAACCCGCGCTTTCTCCCGAACGTTGCCTCGACTAAACATCGTCCAGCGAGGCGCCCACACCTGCGTGACATTACTCACTTGTGTCGTCTCCACCCAGAATGCAGATTCGAAGTCATTTTTGGATGGCTGTGAAGTGGCAGAAGACAACAATCGCTGCGGCCCGAAATCACCATACAATGGCTGAAGGTCGATAGGTGAGCGCATAGCATTCTTCTTGTCGGATTGGGCTCCTCCTAAGAGCTTGGATTGTATGGGTGCATTCAGCCCAATATGTGTGATTTGATGACCCGATTGGGAAAAGACAGATGTGATAGTGCTGAACAGATCAGCTCTCCGTGACTGCGACAGAGCTTGGTAGTACGTTTGCCATTCGAAGGAGTGTTCTGGAAACGCTGCCGGCAATAGAAGTAGATTGCCGTAAATTGTATATCGCTTTGGCAGGTCTCGACTATGTAATGTCGTGCCTGATTGTACGGGTTCTGAATGGCCATCCAGTGAACCGCTTTCATATAACGGCGGCAGTAGTATTTCTTGCTGCGCGACGAAGTCCTCAATGCTACGAACCAGTAAGTTCGTCGGCCTCTTCTTGCCGTGATGTCGATGGTGTCGACTTTCCATGCTTCATAGAATAGCTATATGTGTTCAGCATTGTCTTGCTAGAGTGCAAAGCGACTCAGTGACGGTCTATGGTAGTAGCAAGACTTCCGCAGATGTGCTTTGACATGAGCACTCATTCTGTGGAATGCTCTTCAGTATCACGACAAGTTGGACAACATGAGGCACATTATACATTGACTTTGCACTCATCAGAAATCGATTTTGAAATGCGTGAGGTTTGTGACTGCCAGGAGTAGCAACCAGCCACTAGTGAGCAACGATCGCCAAAAATCTAGTAAATCATTGGTCGAGATGAATGGTTGCAGAGCCTTGTGCCACTCGACTTGAACATTCTCTCTGAGAATCGCTGGTCGGTCAGCTTCAGCATCTGCCATCACAGATGAATGCGACGATGATAGTGATTCACTAGGAACATCTCCTAGACCAACTGGAACTCTTTCCTCTTCCTTTCCGATCCGACCACGTTCATTTCTACCGCCGCCACAATGCCTTCACATCTCCATCCAAGGTCAACTGCCACATCTGCCCTCTTTGCTGGAACACTACTAGCCTCCTTCGCGGTAGTTGCTGTGCCTCACATATGGCCATGTCCGAGACCACGAATAGCCTATATGGACTCGGAGATTATCATCGACGAACACGGGAGAGCTATGCGCAGGGTTCGAAAAGGGAAGAAAACAGATAATGTTACAGAACAAGAAGCTGCCGACTTGGTGAAGAATAATACGTCAAGGTCGCATGCACGTCCGCATGCAAAAGGTAACACAATGGAGGATGAGGCAGCAATACTACGACAATTACAAGCTGAAGCTGCCATTTTGCAACAAGATAATGCTAGGCGAGAGTGTCCAATACCAAAACCTAAAGGTGTACTAGGTCGAGTTCTGGGGTTCGAAAGTGACAGCGATAATGGTGATGCGAGCTGAACTGTCCTACTCATAAGAAGGTTGTTCTAGTTTACCTGAAACTGTTGTGGTCGAAGATTCACCTGATTCCACTATTGCAAAAGGTACTCGGTTTCGTTGTCGCAAGCCGCAAACAATAAGAGCAATGAATCGTGGAGACCCTTATTCCTATATAGCTGGGAACCCAAGCAGGTCAACAGATCCGATCTTGGTCCTCTGCCACGCAACCATGTTAGCAAGAGTCTTATGACCCTTTTTTCTCTACAATCGTGGTCAGCTGGACGGCTTTGATGGCAGTGGCACAACTTTCCCGACGCGCATACCACATCGAATCTTGGTTGAAGCGAGCTTCAAATACCGTCACGAGATCTCCCGCCTGAATTGAAGGATGTAATAGATTCGGGAATGAGACGGGGTTGTTTGCCTTACGTGGCCGAGGTGGATTGTCAATGGCTATTCAAATCGCAAGCCAAGCGGGCACAGGCGGCAGGAGTCAAGCTGGCGGCGGATGTCTAGTGAATGCACTCGCGAAGACTTCGACCTGCGACAGAAGAATGTGGGCGGGCTAGAGCGCGGTATGCATAGTATGCACACGGCGAGTGGGAAAAGGACGTCCATCGAAGTGATCAGTGTTTGGTCGGCATGAGTGAGCAGCAAATCTACAGTGTGTGGCAGTCGTGAATCCTATAGCAATGCTCAGCAATAATTGCTGTGTATGTATTTACGATGAGATGGCAGTGGACATTTCAATTGTAGCACACTTCGATGTGAGTTCGTTATGCTGAACAGAAACGCAACGTATCGAGGAATAACGGCCATTTCTAGAGCGAGAAGAAAGATGAGATTAAGTAGGAACAATAATTTTGTACTCCGCATGCGACTCACTCTTGAACGTTCAGCAACACCTATGATTATACTCAGTCGGTCGACTGGCCTTGTAAAGATGCCACATTTGCCCAAGTGACCTTTCTGGGCTGTTGCTGCACGCCCTGCTGTCACCAACGTAAAGAACAAAATGGCGAGTTATAGAAGCTCGCTTTTCTCCACTACTAGCCTCGTCCAATAAGTATAGGCACTGGCCGAGTTGCGCTACAAACAAGCATATACACAATTGATTAGTAGATATCAGGAACCCGGGTTGCGGCAGTGGAGCAAATGTGCGACTATACAGCGGTGTTGTATGAGGTGCAACAGCATCTGGACTATTATCCAAGATGAGCTTCTTCCATCGACCATCTGACTCCAGCTCGGAAGAAGAATCATCGGAAGGCGAAGAGGAGCTCGAGCCTTCACTTCAAGAGATAAGTCAGACTTCGACCAAGGACTCTGTTGCTAGTGCGGAGGAGATAGTGGTGCCAGACACGACAAATGGAACGCTTTCACTGACTAACACCATTAGCCGGGGTGAGGATGGTAGTGCACTCGACATGGACGAAGCTCGCAACATGATGATAGCGTCCATGCTTGAGGAACTATCCAGGTACAAAGCAGCAGAGCTGCTTAGCAATACCGGCGATGGACGCATGGTAGATGCGAATTCACCACAAATCCTCGACCTCGCCAAGCATCTCTTTGCACGATCTAGTGGCTTGCTAACTCAGAGTGGTGTCATATCGAAGGATTCAATCAGCGATGAACGAAGTTCAGAGAGGGCACGATACCTATCCGCTCTCGAGCGAGCCAGCTACAGTGTTGGTCCGCCCGACGCTGGGCCAGCCTTATCAGGAAGACAAGGCAGATATGATGCCGCAATAGACAATAGTACAGCCTTGGTACGACGACCTAGCAACCACCCTATTCCCATCCAAAACAGTACAGCTGGCCAGCTGCAGCGGTTGACCTGGGAGTTGGAGGAAATGAAGATGGTCCGACGATCGAGTACCGAATATCAGCTCGCTGCGTTAGCACCAGCGTTGCATTCACCAAGCCACTACCGGACTACATTTGAAGAACGAGGGTTTCTCGGTAAAGGCGGTTTCGGCAAAGTATATCGCACATATAACGTGTATGATCGGAAAGAGTACGCCGTGAAAAAGATTCCCCTCTCGGCAAAGCTATCACAGAAATATAGCAAAGGAGGAGTCGAGGCATTGAAAAATGTCCTTCAAGAAGTACAGGCACTTGCGCAACTTGATCATTGCAATGTCGTCAGGTACCATGCAACATGGATCGAAGAGCCAGCCGCTGCTACCCTAACTAAGGTGGCACCACAATCGGCTGTGTTGTTGCCGCATCGAGGCCAAATGCTGCTCGACAACAGGGCGGCATCACCCAGTACATTGCCACAAAGTGACTCACCATTCAATAAGATCGACCCATTGCCTAGACGGGATGGCAGCATAAGCGAGCCCCTAAACGCAGGTACAAGTTTTGACCGTCAAGACGAACAACGTGATGGCCATAGCCACAACTCATTCGATCCTTTCGCACGTTCAGAGAATGGCTATAGAGACAGCAAGCAACTCTGGTCCAATCAGCAAAAAGTCACACATCACCTGGATCGAAAAGGCATCACCGACTTCAGTGATGGGTCTCCCCAACAACATTTGAGTCAGTTGTCCGATCTTTCAGACAGCCCGACTGGGTACACTCTGCACGTACAGATGACCATGTACTCGATGAGCTTGGCAGGTTATCTCAGACCAGCTTCTTCACCTCACAAAAATACCAAGAATTCAGAGCCTCGTCACTGTTTTCATCTCTTACCTGCACTCCGCTTGTTCTTGAGCATACTTTCCGGCCTGCAGTATATTCATTCTTGCGGGTTCGTTCACAGAGACATGAAACCAAGTAATATTTTTCTGTCTCAGTTGGACATCTCGAAGCCCATCGCCTTTGCCATTGAGCAAGGATATGTTGATGTTGGTTCTTGTCCTAGTTGCTCACACCAGCAGCCACGTTTCCTCAATCCTCGAATAGGTGACTTTGGTCTTGTGGCGAGCCTTGAACACGATGTTCGACAAGAGTCTCTGCACCAGTCTGGAAGCGATTCCTCTCGAACCAATAAGGTGGTAGGAACGGAATTCTACAGACCTCCTGCACATGAGCAGGCCACAGATATACCTAATGACAAAATTGACGTTTTCGCGCTTGGAGTCGTCCTTATTGAGTTGGTCTTTCCATGCAATACGAGGATGGAGCGTATGAGCCTGCTTAAAGATTGTCAGCTGGGTCAAATGCCAGCAGGAATTCAGCAGAGGCTGTTAGCAGAAGGTCATGAGCAGGACGTGATAGAGACGCTGGAAATTTGTATGACTAGCATGATCGACCCCAACCCTCTCACAAGGTGGGAATGCAACACCGTTCGGGGTACACTTGAGAGTGTTCTGGCCAGAATCAGTTCGCGAGTTCCCATTGGTATGCAGGTGCCGGATTAGGGACAGAGGTCTCATATACACGTTTCATTCCATGTGCGGCATCAAGGTCACCCCACTGCGAGCGAACTTACATTCCGTCCAACGTGGTTGCTAGCTGTTTCGCAAGGTCTGTGCACTGAGGAAGGCGACCGCGAGTTTCGATGTTACGAATTCGTCTCGAAAAATTGCCGCTCACGAACCAACATTTCTCCTCTATACGGTATGTTGGTCGTCGAGGGTAGAAACTGGCAATGCTTTTTTTGGTCCCTGCTCGACGGGACTGCTAGCTGAAGCAAGTCATCGTTGCAGAGGAAAGGAACAGCATGCTGGTATAAAGGTTATCGAAATTTGGTGCACGGACGCCGATGGCAGTAGTTAGCTCCTACCTAGCTGAAACGCTGTGATGTAACATGATACATATTGCCAGACTTTGCTTTCGGCAAGCAGACATTATAGCAGGCAGACGAATTCCGGCCTTCCGCAAGCAACGCTGGGAGCATATGGAACTGCGGGCTTGTCGTAACGATGTGATACCAAGGCACAGGCCACACGCTCATCGGTCGCGTCCTCTTCTGTCGTTGTTGCATTCTGGCTGCTTTCGGATCAGTACAACAAAGGCATATATACCTACCACAATGAGTGAGAAAAACTTCCTCCTCTCGCCAAGAAACAATCTGAAGTACCGAATCAATACCTCAAAGAATTATCAGGACCACTGTAATATCAGACTTATCGGCAAACATGTTAGCACTTGCCACAGTCCTCCTTGGCTTCGGCCTTTCAGCTCTGGCGCAAAATAGCACCACCTCAATCTTTCTTCCAATCATTGAAGCTCAGACATTGGTCGCGTCACTGTCACAACAGGTTCGTCGAATACTGTCCGACATTCAATACAATGCTAACGGTTGCAGAACGGCGACATAAAAACGCTTGTGATCAAGTGTCCTGACGGTACAGACTCGACCAAGTGCGGTTTCCCAACGCCTGTCACAGTCACAGCTGGCCCAAGCACGTTAGCGCTCACCACGACTGTGGCCAGCACTATGATAGTGGACCTCAAGTGTGGTGTCAAGGGTTCAAGCGAAGCGAGTTGCACCCAGATCTACACAGGACCTGCAAGCCTGTACACCACAGGCGACAATATTGATGGTTCGAAAACCACGACCTGGACTGCTAGCCAGTCGCTCAGTTCTGGCAAAGTCACGCACCTTCCAGTTACAATTACTGCTGGCCTGCCCAGCTCGACATCAAAAGGCAATGCAGGCGCAGTCCCAACTGCTGGTTTAGGCCAAATGCTTGCTGCCGGAGTATTTGCCAATATTGGTGCAGTGATCATCTAGATATCGTCTACGCAACATTGCATAGCTAGTGTATTATTAGAGTGGTGGATGTGGGAACCTCGAGATCTGGGATGGACTTGTTCGCCGGAGTTATTCAGCCACAATCGTGAGGCTAGCGTGAGCAGGGCAAATACATAGATGCGCTTCGAGAGATGACCGTAAACGTGTTGAGCAGAGTTGTAATACCCGGTACAGATATGGGCCAATAGTCAAGATCGGGACATGTGGAAGAATGCTGGCGGCGCAGGAATTGTCGGAGTTGCATATCCGTTACAACAGTAGTATGTCAAATAGTCGATCAACTGGATCACTGACAATAATCTACGTCAGCAGCGGACTTACAATTGAATTAAGCTTTAATCTTTCCTCCACGGCTCCCGGCCGTTCGTCAAATCAGCATTTGCTCGCAGCTTGGTATTGGTCTCACAAGATCGTGCTTGCAAAATAGATGACAGATGGTACAGCAGAAGAACGAAACCCACCACTGCGAATTGTTTCCAATTTGGAAAGATAGTCAGTACGCACAAGCGAAGGTCCAGAACACGTTCTCAAATATGGTCTCACTTCAATGGCGGTCAGCTATTCTTTCTCGGTAAGAACACAGGATTGAATGTGATGCAGCACCGCATCAGCCAAGCATCTGTGACATGCCTCGGAAATGTATTCACGCGCAAATATTGTCCTGGACAGCACCAGCCACACAACAATTTATCAGACCACATCGACACTGTACATGACAGACTCTGCAATATTACGAGAAACTGGAAGAGCCGAAGCAACCAGGGGAAAAAGCGTTGCTATGACAGCATAAAACCAGGTCCGAATTGACGGGCTAAGATCTGAGCGTATCTGGGGGCAGCAGTGACATGCCGTACCCACCTGCATACTCGGATGCGACGGTGATTGGTAGGAGGCACCAGCCGACTTCTTTCAAATCGCGATCGAGAAACGAAGAATCCCATGAGAATAGTTAGGAAAAGCACGGGAACTTTATCCCCATCGTCGATTTGGAGAAATTAAGGTTTCTAGGGTGGAATAATCGGCGGCAACGTGCTTCGAGAGTTTGTGGTCCCCAAACCATTGAGCCTCAACCACCAATGATTGCGTCCCTGAGCAGATGCGTTCAGAAACTGGTAGCTTGATATCTAGCCTGAGATCGCGCTGTACTGTATACGAGCAGCAGGGACAAGTGCCGATAGAGTCAGCAGACACTGGTAAACGGCATGAAGTCCTGCAATTCAAACTTGTGGTGTCTTTGTCGCATGGACTGCAATGCACATTCACTTTGTTTTTATAGTCCGCTCTACGGACTGATGTGCAACAGTACTGACCACTGGTCAAACAGCGACTTTATACCAGCACTTCTGTTTGCTGCTTCTCTGTAAAGGAACTCGTGGTGGGGATAGTATCGATGCTTGGATGCAGCCGCTAGTGTAATTAAAAGGTACTTCCTCGGCAGGGCAAACCGCACCTTGCTGCACATTGAGAATGGTTCGCATAAGTCCAGGACTACCACTACTGAAGATAGACTAGGTCTACTCGTGCGTTCCAAGCTTGTTCAAGCTAATTGTCGACAGTGGAATCTCGCGATCTTCTACCCTAATCGCGTGTAGCAGTGACTTGCAGGTATCGTGTCTGACTATCCATACCGATCTGTACTCCCGTTTAGGTTTTGCTAGCTGCTTGCTGTCCTAGCCACGTCTGCTCGACAAGCGAAGCCGCATTTATTTTTCCATGCTGAAGTAGCCACAGTACTCGCATTTCCTTGGAGACCCGTTTCTTCCCTGCCAAACTCCCACTCTGCCATTTGAATATCCTTCGTTTCCGCTATCTATTTACTATATTGACTCAAGGGTCAAGGACACCCTATACTCAATCCTTCTTGAATAACCTTCGCTCTAAAGAAAAGTCTTGTTGTGGCAAGCCGAGCCCCGCACAGTGCATCATACTTCCGCCAACCAGTACAAAGATCTCTCGTACTCGTGCAGACTTGTTCCTGGTTTTGAGAAAAACATCAGGAACTTGAAGTAGGACAACCCTCAACTCAACAAAGACGTGTCGTTTGTCACACTTCCACCTTAACGAATTCTTGACCTGCACAAACTGCAAACACTACCCTGCGCAATTTATCTACACTAGAAGCTTCGGCCAGAGGTGATCCAAGCTTTCTCCCTCCGTTGCAGATTGAAAGACTGCCCAAGCTTTTTTGAAACACAACAGCGACAAACAAACGGAGTTCGAAGTACCGTGTTCAACCAGCCGCAGGCACTGGCGCCTTTGTATAACCGCTAGTTCGAACACTTTACCACAACTTCGAATATGTCCAACTCATTTGCGCCTTCTGTAGCCACGATGAGCGATCTGGATGGCTTTTCAGTGACAGGAGATAATTTCTATCCTCAGATGCAATCAATGGGGTTCGAAAGCGGAGGAGACTTTGGTTTTGATCCTCCGGTAAAACAGCAAGCACTATATCCCATCAAGGTCGAACAAACCTACAGTCCTCCACAGGACAGCAACCTCTTTGGAGACTTCGACTTCGATCCTGCAAAGAATGCACAAGGACAAGTCACATCTATCAGAGCTCTCGAGCTTGACCGTATGATGCCACAGAACGTTCCCAACCCTGCCACAACCGTTACGCGTTACGGTCAAGTTACTCCTCCTCGATCAAATTCTGAGTCTTCGGGCGAAGCCACCGCAGAGCAGAAACCTGCCAGACAAAGACGCTCTACAAAGTCTTCGGTAAAAGAAGAGTCGGTCAAGCAAACGCAGACCGGTCGTAAGCGTAGACATACCCGAAAGAACTCCGAAATCACACTTGACGGCCTTGAAGACGATGACAAGAGAAAACAGTCACTGGAGAAGAACAGATTAGCAGCCGCAAAGTGCCGCGTCAACAAGAAAGAAAAGACCGAGCAACTGCAACGTGATTCTCACGACAAGGCTGTTCAGAACGCTTTCCTGAAGGATCAACTCATGCGTATGAAAGAAGAGGTTCAACAAATGAATGCGCTTCTACTCGCTCATGCTAGCTGTGAAGGCTGCAAGTCTCCCGAAGACATTCAGAAACATCTCAACAACCTTGGTAACGAGTTTTTCGCGCAACATATCTCAGGCATGACGCAGGAATACTCAGCGTTTGCCAACATGTCGACTGACATGCACGATTTGGAACACGATCATTATTTCTCGCCTGCAACGGATTCCAGCATGATGAATCCACCTCTGCCTGAATTCAACAGAGAGCCTGAATTTGACGTTTCCACGCCCATGCAGACGGATTGAACAGGTTGAAGAATATTGTTTGGACAGCTCCTACATAACGAAGTAACGACAATTAAAAATCGAATATTGATCACAGTCCCGATGTACCACCGTATTCGCATTGACAGCACTCCTGGCTTCACTTCTTACATTGCGGATGCATCTTGCACAATTACAACTCCGAGGTCTCTTTGGTGTGGTTCCGTTAGCGCGAAAGTTGCAAGCTCTCCAGCTTGTACCGTCTCGTTGTGCCTCTAATCGATACATGAAATATGCTTTTTCTCGCGTTGGAGGAGAAAGGCGGGGCAAAATTTCATGAATTAGGACATCTACAACACCCACCGCTTCAGCTCATTCAGAGCTAGACTCTATGGTTGTGGCACATCATTTCTGTTGGCATTACAGATTATTTGCTACCACGTCCATTATACGTGCGCTAGATGCTGATTACGAGAGAGGAGAAACAGTCTCCATCCCCACCCGAGTGCTCACTGCAGGACTATTTTTTATACCTGGCTTCACAAAGGCAAGCCATGTTGCGAAGGTCGGTGAGCGGTGTATCTCAAGCAGTGTCTGTACGACCTGCGAGCAACGACATTGATGGTGTCAGTAATGATAGTTGGCTGGTCCAACGATGCCAGAGACAACATCTCAGTCAGTAGATGGGCAGGAGATACGGAAACGTACTCGTGCGTGCATTGGGTTACACGCATCTGCTCTATAGCTGTTCATTGGTAGCAGAGGAAATTGATTCCTGCAACACCTCAACCCTCTTTCCTCTCTTCCTCTCCCCCTCGCTCTGTGATGTCTGTGTTCAATAGTCTCAGCTCTCGGTATGTATATCCAACTTTCCGACGGGAATACCGCCATCGTTCCCTGGTATAGACACCCCTCCTATTTCGAAAGAAAGCGACTATGCTTATCTACCACCGGACTTGCAGTTCCGGACTTCGTGATATCTGCCAAGTAACGGGCTGCAGCACAAAACGCATGTGGCTGTACAGATTAGCCGCATTCATCCCTGCTCGAACATGAACACAATAACACCTGCCATTGCCGCAGGGAAAGAAACAGACTGAAAACTGCGCTCGCATACTACTCATTCCGTCCCGCATCAATATGCCGGGAAGGATCTCTTGGATATCCGGTCCCCTCGCTGATCGTCTTTGATCACAAAACATAGGTACCGACTCGCCTTTCCGGTTCACTCAGATGCTCGTGTCTCCTTTCACTCACCGTCGTTCCCCGCACTGTACTGTATACAGTATAGCCAGAATCAAGCGCTGATTCGCTACGCGTACGTAAAAGCGCAGTCTTGCCACCGGCGTCACTTACTCACAAACCCTGCCGTAAACAACCCTACCGATCGCTGATCACACTGATCCCAGCCCGGCCGCTCACGCTTCTTCGCCCTTTTCGTATAAATCCCCGCTCGACTACCTTGCTCATCCACACAGCGGGATATAATGCCGTAGTATCGTATTCCCTGAGTGGAGGATGTTGATCCGCAGATCCTGCCGAGCATGCTGGCTACGTCGACGTGCATGAAGTTGAAGTTGTTGGCTTGTGCAACTTTTTGACGATCTGCCTGTGGAAAATGTTGCTGTGATGGCCGGAAATGCAATATGCCGGATTTTTCGATAGGCAGGGTTGTAGCGGAGAAAGGTCGCGGTTTTGTTTTACTGTAACAAATCGTTATTGGCGGACGGCGTGGACGTGCGTGCAAGGGTGTATGAATACTCGTACTGTACGTGAGGAGGGTGGGCGAGCATTTCGGCAACGATTCCCTGCCAGTATGGAGTTTTGCACGTGCAGTGCATTTTTATCTAACTGCACGACCTGATCGACCCTGTAAAATGAAGCATTACTTGGTTGTGTAAGCACTGCTTAGCGATTCTGGAAAATAGTCCGGTCTAGTCGAGTACTACAGCTCCCATCTTCTCTTCTGATAGCAGAGTTAGAACACAAACTCGATGAACGAACTTCAATGCATGAATGGCTGATTCAAGATTACATATTCAGAACAAGTATCATCTAATACGTCTACAGTGTTATCGAACTCCGCTCAACATACCCTATGCAGTATTGCTTCTTCATGCTGTTCGACTCCGTCCCTTAGTTGAGATCAAGTCCTCTCAAATCTTGTGTTACCTTACAAATGTCTCACTACTACAGTGTTCGATATCGGTCAGATTGGGTGACTTCTCAACTTTCTTCTTCTTTCCCCACATTGTTCGTTTGTGGCACACGCTCTCACAGGCAGGTCAGTCGATGGGAAACCGCGCTGCCAACTTGCCCATCATCCCAAATCGTTTCAGAGAGTCCTTTAGTGACTCTGTCGGTGTCTTCTGAAGGGGAGTGTTATCCTTGTATGCCGCATTTGCCTCGTGTGTATCAATTTTCAGAGTGAGACCACCTGAAGAGGTGGAACTGCTATCGTTGGCAGGTGGACCTTCATAGGACTCGCTGCTAGTATTTGGTTGCTGGGCTGGTGGAAGCACACATTGTTGTTCGACGCCTCGGCGACGACGGGTCGTATTGTTCGTGTCCGTCGAACCATGGTCATCGAGTCGCCGTCGTTCTTGAAGGGAGGCTTGACCACTCGGATGGCTCGTCGGTAAAGGCAGATTGTCAGAATTTGCAGAAGTGAGTGTAGTGAGATCGTAGCAGGTTTCTGAATGACGAAGCTTTAGAGGTTGGACCTTTGGTTCGTCTGGCTCAATATCGTGATCCCTCAGGAGTCGTTGAACAGTTGCTTGGAAATTTGTCCTGCCATCTCTTCCCGTATCTTCCGCGCTGTGTTGAGAATTTTTGCTGCAGAAACCCAAGTTCTTCACGATACGTACATCAGATACCCTTCTGTTATTGATTTCGTGCTCAGGTGGATATTCGCAGGTCGAAGTCACGACCTGGTTTAAGGAGAGCCAAGCACGTTCTCGGTAGACTGGTCGACAACTATGACAGACTTTCAATTGACAAGGAGGCGGAAGTGAGGGCATGACCAGACGCAACATTTGTTCTTCCTTTTCCAGCTCGTCGTGCACTTCAGGTATAGGTTCAAGGGCACCACGACACAGTGATGTCAACTCAGACAATTGACTAGCCTCTGTCTCGGTCTCGGTATCACAGACTGACGAACGTAGGGTAGAGGAAGTCGGACTAGCAGGTAAGCTGTACTCACTGCTGCTGACTGAAGAGGCGGTGGAGGAAGTCGTAGGCCGTAACTGCTGAATGGTTTTACGAACCCCAATCTTCTGCTTCCAGAGAATGTTGAGTTCTTGGTCGGTGTAATGTCCCTCGTGTGCAGCTTGCATAATGGAAGGGCTGAGCATGTACAGCTGTGCATCGAATTCGACCTGCTGGTGATCGCGAGCATCAGCAAAGTCGGAAGCTGGCAGGAAGCCACCAGAGTCTTGTGTGCATCGGTAGAGCCATCCAAAGATTGGTGTTCTCTGACAAATTGAGCACTTTTCGTGGTCAGACCCTTCGAAAAGACGTGTAAGTCGTGAATGTGTACAGTTTGAACTCCTATCCCGAGCGGATGGACGAGACACATATGCAAACATTTTCTGATCTTCACTCGCCATGTCTCGAAATGAACATAATCTCGGCTGGTAGTGAGGTCAGATCAGACAATTTACAAATAAATGAAAGGTGTTTGGAGGAGTGCTCATCTACATGCCTCGTGCCTACCCTCATGAGAGGACCTGTCAGGTCGCGCCTATCAAACTAGGCTTTGTGATTCACTAGTCAAGAGCACGTTTACTGGATTTGCACAAGACCTCATGCTGATTGATCAAACCCCGACACATTACTCTTGATGGCACTACTCTTTCGGACACAATATCGTTCTGAGTACTGACAAAAGGGTAAAGTCATGCGAGTGAAAGCTCGAGAGGACTCTAATCATCAGTTTCCTCATAGGCTGATGATTCAACCGCTGTCACCATCTTTGCCAAATACAATGAACATGCATAACGGCACGTGCGGAACTCGTGGTGTCATCGACATGAAAAGATACCGTCCTGGATCATCTCACAATTTGTGTAGGTGCCAGTATACTGATATAGAGTAAGTTGAGGTTGGAAATTGCCCTCAGTCGTCCAATGTTTATGTTACAGTCGCACTAGCCATGGTCCTACCTATCAATCGCGCAGCTGAGGTGTCTCCTTATCCACTTAAGAAGGAAGTGGCTGCTAATCGACCAAAAGCTACTTCCCGTTCAGCCAATCAAGGACAATCGCGTTGCTGTGCATGCGAGACACAGCGACCTGCCTCCCATTTGAGTTACCAACTACACCCAAGTCATTCCGCTATCTTCACCACCAGCACTGAGTACTACGCCCAGTCTCGCATTTGAGCGTCGTCAACAGTGAAATCCTGACGTTGCGTCCTTCCTTGTGCAGCACGTGAAGCCCGGTATCTCTGCCTCGGTTGCGGAGCCCAAACAGACTCGACGAGCAGCGACTACTCGAACTCGAGCATCATATTTTGCTGCGTGTGGACTCACGCGTTGCGCGAAAGGATACAACTTTGGCCTTACTCTGACATTGCCTCTCTGACGAGGGTAAATCGCGCAAGATGTCTGTCAAATTTCAGGAGACAACACAGACCAAGGTGACAGAGGCTGCATCTGGTATGGCCAGCGCAGCAGCAGGCGCGGCAAAGGCGGCTACGGAGAAAAGAGAAGATCTTACACACCGGGTCGGTGAATTCCTGACAGGAGGAGATACGGGGAAAGGCTATTTAGCGGTAGGTCGCCATTCAACCTGGATGCTAGCACGCCTCACTATCACGTCGAAGATCGCTAACGTGCAAAGGCCTATCTCAAACAACTGCAGACAAATCCTCTTCGAACAAAGATGCTCACTTCCGGCACATTAGCTGGATTACAAGAAGTGATAGCATCATGGCTTGCACACGACCGATCTAAGCATGGACATTACTTCAGCAGTCGTGTCCCGAAAATGATGGCATACGGCGCACTGATCAGTGCTCCTCTAGGTCATGCTCTGATTGGAGTGTTGCAATGGCTCTTCAGCAACAGGTCAAGCCTCAAGGCGAAAATACTCCAGATTCTCATCAGTAATCTAGTTGTAAGTGGCACAGGCGTAATGCTACGAAGGACATCAGCTAACCACGTCCAGGTTTCTCCTATCCAAAATACGGTGTACCTGGCCAGCATGGCTGTCATTGCTGGAGCTAGGACCTTCCACCAGATTCGTGCTACCGTTCGTGCCGGCTTCATGCCAGTTATGAAGGTCTCATGGATCACGTCCCCTATAGCTCTGGCATTTGCTCAAAAGTTCCTGCCAGAGTATTTGTGGGTGCCATTTTTCAATTTTGTGGCATTTGTGATCGGCACATATATTAACACACACACAAAGAAGAAGAGACTCGCAGCTTTGAGGAAGAAGGTAGGCGGTCGACATGACTCTACGAGTTCCTCGAGTGATCGGCGATACTGATATCTCAACAGCACTACGGAGAAGGCAGATCAGGCATCGGGGCTCCGCGACCATCAGAACCAGGATACTAGAAGAATCTGTTTATAGACGAGGGGCATTTGGTTCTGCTTGTGCCTGGCAGTCAATGGTTAAACGGATGTCTACCTAACCTCGAGACGGGTATAGTGTCAAATCGAGAGCTTTCCACACTTGCTCCCAGGCTGGAGGGCGTTCTTCGTGGTAAATTGGTTGAACTGAAATGTACTTGGGGGATGATGTATGAACTTGGTATTTATGCACATGTTTGGATCTATAGGACAAATACTTATTCATGCAATTGTAGAAGGATCTGAACGCTGCAAAATAATACTAGTACAATTTCATGTCATGTCTACGACGATACAGGGCGCACAGCCTTCTTTTACGCATTCAAGCAATGGTCAGTGCTGCCTTCTTCAGGCATCAATAGTACTCTTGCTGCCTGGCTCTCGCTGCGACATTCCTTCAATCTGGACATCCATTCTGTCCGTCTTTTGTCCCCTTACATGTTACATTGTACTGATATCAAAACCGGCTCGACAATTCACACGCGAAGCCTCACTCTTTGCGCTTTGTAACGCCGTAAATTGACCACACGTCAAACCTCGGAAAAGATGACTAAGAAGAAAAGGGGACATCCTGATGTTGAGGAAGTCCTGTCACGACCATGGTACGATCGTTGATCTCCAGGTTGCTATAGACTGACAGACTTGCAGGTGCTATTACTGTGAGCGCGATTTCGATGACTTGAAGATTCTGATCAACCACCAGAAGGCAAAACATTTCAAATGCGACAGGTGTGGGCGGAGGCTGAACACCGCAGGAGGTAAGTCTTTAGCTGTTATCTGGACTTACTTCCGCTAAGACATCAGGCCTTAATGTACACATGAATCAGGTGCACAAGGAAACCCTGACGGCCATCGAGAACGCCCTTCCTAATCGTTCAGGTCTTGATGTGGAAATCTTCGGCATGGAAGGCATTCCTGATGAGATCGTCCAGCAACACAATCAGCGTGTCCTGACTCAATTTCACCAAGTAGAAGCGGAACGACGCGCAGCCACAGGCAATCCTGCACCTGGTGCACAGAGCACAAATGCCATTAAAAAACCTAAATTCGAATCGCCTTCAGACCTCAAGAAGAGATTGGCCGAACACAAAGCTGCGAAGCTGGCAGCAGAACAGAATGGTGGAGGTAGCAGTGGTGGCAACACACCCACTCCAACTCAATCACAAGCTGCTACAACACAATCGCCTGCGTCGGCTGGCCCGCCTTCTTATCCTGGATACCAGCATTCGTACAGTACTCCCCCTTCAGTGAGCACCTTTGCCGCTCCTCAGACTTACGGTCAGCCGCATCCTGCTTATCCGCCGCCAGCAGCAAGTTTCGCTCACAGCCCTCCTCCTCAACACCCTTACGGTCAAGTTGCTCAGCCATTTCAGCAACCATATGCACAACCACCACAACCGACTTTTCAGCAGCATCCTTTCCCAGTGCCGAACGCTTTCTCTCCACTATCTTATCAGATGACTCCACCGCTTGCACATCAAGCAGCACATTCACAGGTACCACAAAATGGTTTTACAGGACAAGTAGGTGCGCCTCGTGCTTATAGTTCTGCTTCACCCGTTTCTCAATTTCCTGCTCAGCCAAGAACTCACTCACCTGCTCAGAACGGGTTGCCTGCGAAAGTGGGCAATGGCACTCTACCCAGTGCGCCTGGGTTGCCGCAGAGACCAGCTGTGAGTGCTCCTTCTGTCAATGCTGCTCAATTTCAGCAGATGCATCAAGGTCAGATTCGTGTACAACAGAATTTTGCACCAGCCCCAGCGCCACAGTATGTCCAGCACAGCGACGGATACAGCCCTGCTGCTTCTCAAATTGGTATGCCTAGTAGCTTGTCCGCTAGCATGCCAGGCGCGTCATCCCTCGATGATTTGATCTCAAGTGCTTCTAGGCAAGCTGACGAAACACTTGCTCGAGCAAAGACTTCTACACCGAATCCGTCAACGCCACAACCGGCTTTGGCGGGCAAGGAAGACAACACTGATGCTAAGACGAGCAAGAAAGACAAGGACAGCAAGGAAAAGTCAACGAAGGCAACAAGGTTGGTCTATTCTGACAACGAGACAAGCCCCGAAGAGAAAATGGCTGCTCTGGACAGGTACAAATTTACGCCGGTATGAAGACCTGTCTAAGACCAAGAACGACGCGACAGCTTGTCGTAGCTGACAATAATACTTGCGGCACGCTTTTGGCCACATCAGCGTCATTTTTGGTGTGACATGTTGTTCCTCGCACACATTGGTGCTCGCCGATACCCTCCAGCTCGTCTTGTTTTGAAGGTGTCATGATCAAAGAGTCCAGCTAAGTTATGAACGATTGAGCAACTACTGATACCTTCGCTTCTACATATTACTAGTACTTTGCAGCAGGAGCACGTTCTGTTGCAGATCATTTTTTGGTACTTGTGAGTAGGCGGCGTCTCGTGTTGAAGGACTGGTATTGATGCCCATCGAAGTCTCAAGCGACATTCTACTTCTTGACTTCTGTTGCGTTCACGTCAGACAACGGAGGCCTTGACGGGCATACTCGATCAGAGGGTCACCTTTTCGAACGAACATATACTCCTGCGCCACGTCCGCATTCAGGCTTGCAGAGATCAAGGTTCATCCTTGTCAATGTTCATTTCTACTCAGGATATAGACTGGTAGGTACGTCTATTGGGATATTATGCAATTCCTTTTGCAACAACAAAGCGAGTCGCGAGCGCTTATGACGACGGGAGAGCCACGGAGATATAATGTCGCAATACGAACAGCAGGCTGCCCATTTGGACCGCGTCAGAACACGGGGTCTGCGAAGGAGGTAAGCAATGGTCCAAGTATGTCAGGACTAAAGGCAGTCATGTCAATCATGCTTTGCAACGTAAACTGAAACTTCAGCTCCTGGTAAAGAATCAAAACCTTTGTTTCAAAAAGTCGGTCACTTATAATACTTTTTTTGCTATTCGGAACTGGATTGTCAACCTGTCATCGTCATGTAGAGGTCGATCCAGTCCTGCCTACTCTTGAAATCAAATATGTGTGTTTGTCGTCCATTATGCCCGATAAGTAACAGAGTAACGACAATCCGTTACCTGGGTATTCAAACCCATGCAGGACTCCATGAGGGCTCGAGGGCACAGAAGAGGCGCTCCTTGGACTCCAAGCTCCACCAGGTTCCTCTTCTGTTCATGCCAATGTCCATATCGCATAGCGCATCGCAAGACACAGAATACTTTGCAGCATGACACCATTGTGTGTACAGTTGAGAAGAAATGACCATGCTATGAACTTGCTAAAGCGTTATTTCTTGTCAGAGATCCCTATCGTGAAGCCTGAAATTACTCGGTCTTCTGCATGGCACGCAATCGCACACACAAGCTCAAGCTTTCCCCACGCATCCACTAAAAGTCTAGAACGGCCAAGGCTTCAGCCACGGGCTTTGGCGATTGGACGTGGTTGTCTCATCTGCATCGGATTGCCACCTCTTTTCGATCTCGAGCTTTGATGAGCGCTTGCCCGAGAAAGGCACGATGTGACACTGCTCACATCGCAGTGGTCGAGACCGTGCCTGTAAGAGCAAACTGTGGTTGGTGAAAGCAGAGCTTCCGCAATACTTCGGGTATTCATTCTTCGTTTGTGTGGAATGTGCGTAGGCGTTGCAGCACTCCGAGTCGTATAGCTCAACTATGTCGAGCAGGTGTAAGCGGTCTACGCGTCTGCTATCGCTGCTTAGCTTGTGGTAGTTGCACCTGATGGAAAGAGCAGTTTCTGACTTTACACCAAATACATGGTGTAGATTTCTACTTTTCAGCTTAGTACTATCAAACAAACGTGACTCGGCTCAGGCTTTGTATTCGCATCCTCGACTGTCAAGTGTTGAGTAGGCAAGCTTGTGTGCTTCTCTCACTACCCCACGAAATAGTACTGGATCCACCCTGCTGAGTAAGGCGAAGAAGCGCCTTGTCAGGCACAACAATGCGACCCAGCAGCACGACATCCCGGTGCATCCGAGCTTGCGTACACGATTGCAGTCATGAACCAAAGCCACTAAGTGCTTCGTTAGATGCGCGCGGTTTAGACCACGAAGCAGTGGTCGAAGAAGATTCCAAACTTCTGTACGACGAAGAATGTGGAGGTTCGCCCAAAGTCAGCACTCAACATCTCGATGACTGCGCTTCTTACCATATATTTCCTCAGTCGAACAGATCGAGATGGACAAGGCAGAGACAAATCTCCGCGATCAGCTGGGCCTTGTGCTGGACCGAGTGGCGGCATAACAGAGCAGAAGAGAGCATAAAATGCAAAAGATGCAGGAAAAATAGACAACCACTGAGGATCGTTCTTAAATGTTTAGCTATCGCCCTGATGCTGTTGTAAGCTCTACCAAAACCCTTGTCGCGTGAGAGGATTGCTAACAAAAAGCTGCAGAGGGCTAGTTGAGTTTGTCTTGCTCATCATCGGCCTGATCGAGTCGTCTTTTCCGTCAGAATTAGATGCTTATTCTGCATGGCAATCACCTCGACCGTCCGATCCTACTTCGCATTGGCCGACTGATTATACGGCAGACGTTCAGCCGGTTCAGTGTCATAGCCACAATGACTATTGGCGACCGATTCCACTCAGAAACGCCGTAGAAGCTGGTTGTACTGGCGTCGAGGCCGACGTATGGCTGCTTCCAGATCGAGCCACAGATGATCTCCTTGTCGGTCATTCAAGAGCGTCTCTGATACAGCAGCGGACGTTCAGAAGCTTGTACATCGAACCTCTTGTCGAGATTCTGGACAAACAAAACCCAAATACTACTTACCATTCTACGCTCGATTTGCCCAGGAATGGCGTCTTTGACACGAACCCTGAACAAGATCTCGTACTCTTGGTGGATTTCAAGACGGACGGAAACATGTTATGGCCGATGGTCAGGGAACAACTAGAACCTTTGAGGAGGAGACAATACCTTACACATTTTAATGGTACAGATCTGGTTAGTGGTCCTATCACTGTGGTTGTCACGGGTAATGCTCCCTTCGACGAAGTGGTCAAGAATTCTCACTACCGGGATATGTTCTTCGATGCACCACTCGATCTACTTGCCAGCCTCGCACCAAATTCGGATGATATCAATCGAGATTCAGGTACGGCACTTCCAAGCTGGACACATTTCGACGACGCGGAAGAGCGCAATTACTTAGCCTCTCTTCCAACAGAAGACGTGAGCAGTAAAAAGCCAAGCAACCAAGGTCAGGGTCGTTCTGGCGCAACGCCAAAAAATCCTGCTATCTATACTCCAGCGAACAGCTACTACGCTTCAGTAGCATTCACGAAGGCAATCGGTTTTCCACACCCATTCTTGAGTTGGAAGCAGAAGCAGAAGATTCGACAACAAATCCAGGGAGCACACAAGCAAGGCCTAAAGGTTCGATATTGGGATACACCTTCTTGGCCTAGAGGTCTAAAAGAATATGTTTGGACAGTCTTGGTCGAAGAAGGAGTGGATTACCTGAATGTCGACGATCTGCAAGAAGCAACTCGAGGTGATTGGGGACGTCCCAGACACCGGAAGTGGGGCTTATTAGACTGGGGGATGTGGTCGAGGTAGCAGAGGTACGATAAGCATGGAGCGGCCGCCTAAGATCACTGTAGACACCAATCACACAATGTTCAATCACAACCTAGCTGTCTCTGTTCCTTCGCTGTGATGACAAGTAGTCGCTGCAACAAGTCTGAGCTGGTGGCTGTATTCTCGGATTGGCACAATGCAGGTTTTCACTTTACGCGTATTTTCGTGCTTGAGACGCGTGAATAAATTCAGGGCCGATCACGTATCCGTGCCTGATCATCCACTGACCACTTCGTTGCCTTTTTGGGATCAGCTCTTGTGCATTTCAGCGCCGCCCTATCATAAGATATTTGCAGCTAACATGGCAGAGGATGCTGCGGGATGGAGCACCATAGAGTCAGACGAGGTACGTCTTCTGAACAGATCTTGCCGCAAAGCGGGAAATACATGGCCGTCGATATTAACAACCACCAGGGTGTGTTCACGGCTCTGATTGAGCAACTTGGCGTCCAGGACGTACAATTTGAGGAAATAATTTCTCTTGACGCTGAATCCATACGGGCATTGAGGTAAAGGCACATTGATCAAGGTGCAGGTCCCAACCTTGCCAGCTCTCCAGATCCTCACAACTCGTGTGCTAACTTATGAACAGTCCAGTATACGGAGTCATCTTCCTGTTCAAATATCTCTCGCCCACGTCGACCGATAGATCAAAGCCACAAGATGGAACATACGATACACAAACAGTCGAAGATGATGGCTTGTTTTTCGCAGCACAGACTATACAAAACGCATGTGGTACACAAGCAATACTGTCAGTAATACTGAATAACGACACAACATCGAATCCAAGCAGCTCTGGAGGCGACGGCAGTCACGATCGGATCAAGATAGGTCCTAGCCTGAGCGAGTTCAAAGAGTTCACAACTGGCTTCCCATCAGATCTGCGAGGCGAAGCACTATCTAATTCGCAAATGATTCGTGAGACACACAACTCCTTTGCAAGATCAAGTCCTTTCGCAGACGAGACACAAAAAGACCCGACACAGCTTTCCGACGAGGTTTACCATTTCATAGGCTACACTACACATCATGGCAAGCTCTTTGAATTAGACGGTTTACAACCATACCCAATCAGTCATGGTTACTGTACACCTGAGTCATTCCCGGAAAAAATTATCCCAGTTTTGCAAAGACGAATCGAGCGATATCCTGCCGATGAGGTACGGTTTAATTTGATGGCAGTTTGTGGTGATTTGAGGAAAAAGGCCGAACTTTTTGGCGACGACAGCATGCTTGAGCGTGAGAAGCGGAAGCGAAAGGCTTGGGAGTGGGAGAACTCATTGCGTCGGCATAATTTCGTCGGCTTTACAGGCGAGGTTCTGAAGGGAGTCGTAGCAGAAATGATCAAAAAGGGCAAGTACGAGGGATGGGTGAAGGAAGCGGAGGATTCAACCAGGAAGAAGCTTGAGCAGCGACGAAGCAGAGGCTTAGCAGAGGAGCAGCTACAAGAGTAGACTGGCTCAAATCGCTATCGAGGGACGAGCCTTCTTCACGATGTTCGTCTCTGCGGTACGTCATGTCAGTAAAGGTGAACATAGTCGGTAGCAACCTGGACAAACTACAGACCTTTACTCAATGTCTTGCATGATGTCCAGTTTCTTAACTAAGACAAAGCTAGCAACGATGACTACTGTACTAGCTCAAGGCACTCTGAGGACCTGACCCTTACTGGACAGTTTCTTCAAAGCATTACCAACCATGATCGAGACAGGACCTGTCCTACGCTACCGCAGTAGAGAAATGCTGCCTAGAATCCAGAATTGAGCGCATATGTTCGTTGATCACGGGTGACGAAGTCGAGCACTAACGAGGTATCTAGCTCATCAGGCAAATCAAATTGACGCTAACGCTAACCTATATAGTGCCTTTTTCTTTCCTGCTCTTGATTGGCTACCGTTCCGAATGGTGTTCAGCATTCTATTAGGAGGAATGCCTCCAGCTCAAATAAATATTCCTCTTTTGCCTGTACTTCATCGCTGTCTTGCCATTACTTACCTGTCGTCCTAACACCTCACAAAATACCTGCTTAAACTCTACCTTGAAGGAGCACTAGCCGAGCGATTGAGCACACAACCAGCTGTGCCAACCCTGTTGGTCGAATACACTTTTCCAGCCAATATGGCAACAGCAGAATTGAGCAAGCTCTGGGCAGAGCATTTTCCTCACAAGCCACGGCCATCGGTCTATACTTCTGAAGAAGTTGACAACGATGGATTTCTACCTCTTGCAGATTTCGAGGACTTCAAGGTCGAAGATTTACAAAACCTGACGCAAGCGCAACTATACACACTCACAGCAAATAATGCAGAGGCACTTCAGCTAATACAGAAGGAATGGATAGAGCTCGAACGACTTGCGCAGCACATTAGATCTCGAGATCCACTCCCGGTCTCACACAAGGATCCACAGCAACTTCCTTCTCGTGAGATCTTCGAAGAGCGAAAGGAAGCAGCTCTGTATAGCTATAAGTATGAGGCTAATCGCAAGATGCTTCCAGCAAAGTTTACAGTGTCTGAGAATGTGACAGATCAAGAGAAATTCGATTGCCGTGAGCCACCTGAGCCTTTTGCTCAAGGAGGGTTCATACCGAACGACAAGCAATACAAATCAATTATGGCTGTAGCTAAAGCTGAAGGACGTACAAACAATCCCGACAATCAAGCTCCTTACAAGCAGAATTTCGCATTCTCTGACCGAAAGGAGGGGAATTGGATTGCTAAGATACAGGCTCAGGACACGCTAGCTCCGCCAAGGACCCGAGCACGCGAGGCAGCATTGAATTCTACTGCAGGTCGACAGACACGTTTGAATGGCGAGAGAGCTCCATTGAGTCGACAATTGAGCTCAAGTCTGCTGGATGCGCCAAGTCCCCGGACTCGATCGGGATCGCCAGCTGAGAGTAGAAGCTCAGCTCATCTGAAACGCAACATCGATGCTGTAGATATCACTCATGAACTGCCTCCGAGAAAGAAACACCCCAATCAGTACACAAAGAGGAGGGAGCGCGAGGAGGCAGAACGGCTGGCTGTGCGAAGAGCCACTATCACTAATGGTCAATCTTCAGTCACAGAGGATACCAGCGGCACGTCTTCCCCAGCTCTTGTGAAGAAGAAGCATCCTAACCAATACACAAAACGGCGAGAGAGGGAGGAGCTGGAACGGCGACTTCGAGAAGAGGAAGAAGAAGAAGCAGAAAGCCTTTCACAGAGAGCGAATGCTGTCGATCGTGGGCCGCAAGAAGTGCGAGCTGCTACCACTGATGTACACTGGGAGAGGCCTACTTGGAGGAGCAGCTATGTGCCATCACCTCTCCCAGACCTTCTTCCTGTTGTCGATTTTCTGTCTCTGGAAACTCCTGCTGTGACGTCTTCGATCAATCGTCCAAAGCATCCGAATCAATATACCAAGCAAAGGGACAGGGAAGAATGGGCTTCGACATTCAAGTCAACCAAGCAGAACAGAATGGAACCTCCTGTGGCAGAGCGACCTAAGCACCCCAATCAGTACACTAAACGCCGGGAGCAAGAAGAAGCTGCACGAAAAGCTGCACTTGCACAAGCCGGCTCTTATCCAGGACATGGTGCCCTGCAGAATTTCTCAGCTGGTCCTACTGCCGCTTATCCTTACCAGTACACATATCCTCCTTCGCCATGGGCTGTACTACGTCAGACACCCATACCAGACAACCGTTCGAGGACAGCAGGTGCTATGCCGGTGCCTGTATCTGCTCCGATTGCCTCTACAAAGTCTCGAGATCCTTCACAGATGACCAAAGAAGAGCTTCGAACTCATCTCTTCAAGGATCATGACTTACTAGCGTTCCTTGAGAAGGACCACTCGTGGCTAAATGAGGATCCCGAAAAGGCCGCTGCGTGGAAAGCCAAGATCATAGCTTCCGAGTATCCAGTACGAACATGGGCCATGTTGAGGAAGTGGAAGGAGTGGAAAGCCGAGGGCAAGGACAAGCGGCCACGAGACAAGGATGGAAACCGAATCCGAGATTTCACATCCTCTTCTGCGTTGAATGCTGCTGCTCCGCCTGGCGATGCAAAAGATCAAGCTTCCTCTGCGAGAATGGAGGGAGAGAGTATGGATATTTCCGATGGAGATGGAGATGTCATTGTCGCCCGCAACTACACCGAGCAATCACGCTCAGCAACACCAGTAACCGCAGCGGCATCTACATCTGAAGTTGGCTCTACCAGATCAGCCTCACCAGCACGTCGATCTAATCGAAGCCTTAGATCTAGATTCGGACGTAACTACCTTGGTTCTCCTGGTCCTCAACTACGAAGCCCACTTGTCAACAGCATAAATGCTAGAGACATTGACACAGACATTCCTTTGTCCAGCATACGCTCGACACAAGCCCGGTCTTTCAACACAAGCCTCAAAGCTATAGACGAGGTCGACTCAACAACGAAAGTGGACGATTGGCAAGACAAAAACGAAGCTCAAGCTGACCATGCCACTTCTACGGCTACAGGCAGGGGTACACGACAGGAATATCCTCGACGAAGCCTTCGAAACCAAGCACGAACCGTATCAGAGCAGGAATTGAACACCGAGTCTGAGGACACTGCAAGCAGGCTCGACAACCCTAAGTCTGCGAACCCGGGTCTTGCTGTAGCTGAGAAAATCCCTGAGCCCGATGAATCTCCCGATTTTAAGACTATCAACAGCCAGAATTTCGTACGCGTCTCGTGCTTTACACCCTCATTGGGCAAGCCACCAAGGCGCCATGACGAATGGGAGGAGTTAATCACCTTACCAATGCGACAGGCATCTCTCACCTCGTCAAGTCTCGAAGAGTCAGACTACGAGGACGGCACATACCAGTCTGGCATCAAAAGCCAACCAGCAGCAGCCGCCGAACCTGCAAAAAATGCCAATGGCACAACCACCTCGACTCAAGAACCACCAACAACAACCACCGCCAAACCCATACCCACCATCGTAGCAGACGACGACGCCGACAACGAGGCGATATCAACAGAAACCCCACCAAAACGAACAACCCGATCTACAAGCGCTCGAGCCCCTCCACCTCCACATATCCACCCCAACCCCCTCCCAGACACAACCACTGCCACCAACACCATCGAAGTCGCCAGCAACCCAAACCCAAATCCAATCACAAGAGGCAGGAGGCAACAAGCGCGACTAACAACACCATCAACAACGACTTCGGCCTCGATCTCCCCAGTCGCTACTAGACGCGCTGGATTGAGGCCGAATCCGCCGAAGAGGGCTTTTACGCTTGATAGTGAATCTGAGGAGGATGATGATGATGATGGTGCTTCGTCAGCGAGAGCTACGTCTAGGAGGAGGAGTGCGAGAAGGGCTGGAATGAGGAGGAGGGAGAGGTGAGATGTTGAGATGGTGCTAGTGGTGGTGGTGTCTGAGCTGCGAGTGTGAGTGTGTATTGATTGAGGTTGGAGGTGGTGTCTATGAGGGCCATCGATATGTGATGTGTTGTTGAAAGTTGTGCCAGCCTGCTGTGATTAAGTTCACACAGAAGGGATAGACAGACGACCGCTTGAAGGAAGCATCCTTATAAATGAACTTGACTTCCTACGCTGTAATTATTCTTCCAAATTGTTTTAGGTCTGCCACGTACCAATGATGGCGGATTTGTAGAGACAGGACCTAAAAACTGCTGTACGTCAAGTGCTAGGAGATCCAAGTCAACATGAAGCCCTCAAAGAGTGAGAGATATTTAAATAATGTGAAGATTATCTATACAAGTTACCAAAAAAAACATCTTCCACTTAAAGATACATCGTTCACAACAATGCATTTCGAATCGACCCCTAGTCCCAGACATTGACTCTCGATCTCTGAACTCCGCAAAGTCCATTTGCTGTGCTGCTGTCCTTATGGGTTTCGACATAGCATTATTCGATTCCGTCACTGCTAAGCTCATCCAGACTCTGACTTGGCACATTAAGATGTCTTCTGCTACCCATCCGTGAACCACTTCCATCAAATACGAATGGGCCTGCGTTGTTCCTAGGAGTAAGCGGTCCCTCTCCAGCTATGATCTGGTCCGCGTTTGGTGATTCGGTTTGCGTACGCTGCTGTGCTAAGATGTGGTGCATTTCGGTCTCGGTTGGCCTCGCTGGCATCGGAATTGTCTGTACTGGAGGGGACAGATTGCCTCCTGCCGGGGAAGCGATCCTATCCTGCCTTCTAGCCAGGAGAGATGAGTTGCTCAGGCTAGTATGTATGTTTGGTGCAACTTCAGTGATGCGGGTTTCGTCGGCACTCCCATCTGACGTTGCTCCTGCTGGCTCTGGATCATCATAGATGACTTCAGGATTGGCCGCGGTACCAGGTCGGGCAGATTGGTCGATTTGCAGATCTTTATCCTGGTCAGCCGATTCCTCTTCAGCCCAATCCTCCATATTAACGTCAACATCAGCCTCAAGATCGGCATAAGCACGACAGTTCGGACATTGAAATTGTGGATAATAGCTGTTCCGGCCTTCTAACATAGGGCGGATGCATTTGTAATGCCACGCATGAGCACATGGTGCTACGAAGAGAAATTGACAGGGCTGAAGAAGGTTAGTACGGCGGTATGTCGATATCGGTATGGACTTACCAAGACGTTGCCCAAGCAAATGGAACATTCACTGCTGTTTGAATCTGCGGACGGTTGATCTTTGGCCAGGCCTCTTAATTGAGCCTGCCTTTGCTTGTTGAAATTGTTTGGTTTCTTCTGCCACGAACGATTGCACTCTATTCTTATTTTGACGCAGCGGAAGATCATTTCCTCACCACCTCGGAAGTCTATGCCTAGCTGCACGATATCACCATCTTTGACTGGATATAGCCTTGATTCCTGGTTTGGCTGGCTCAGACGGATGTGGTTGAGGAAAGTGCCACTGCTACTTGCCGCATCCCTGATCTGCCATTGGCCGTCAACAAAGCTGAATTCACAATGCTTGCGGCTAACAACTTTTGATTTGAAACCGATGGCAGCATCAGAGGGTACGGTCGGGTTTGCGGTTGGAGGTCCTTCCCTCTCCGAATAACGTCCAACTCTTATAGTGCTCTGCTCGCTCGGTAACGTGCGCGAAATTGGGGAGAAATTGAGCGATGGTCTGCCGGCTCTGTTGTTATCCTGGTGGGGAAAGAGGCGGATGGTAGGCAGACCTGGTTTTGACTCTACGAGCTCGCCGTTTGTGCCGGTTCTTGTCATTGTAGGACCGGCTTCAGCACTCCCTGCTTGTGCGGAAGACGTGGCCGTGCGAGTACGGGCCATGTCGATAGATTCTGAAGAGTTGGGGGCTGTCTCCGCCTGAGTTGCACCACCTCTTTCACTGGCTACTCTCGCTAATGGCGCGGACGTGACGTTGGCCGCAGCAACAACATGTGGTCTGGAATGAGATTGGCTCCTTCTTCGTCCGTTGGGAGCTCTTGTGTCTTTGGTTTCTTGGTAACTCGTCGAGCGAACGAAGAACTGTCGAGGAGAAATACGGGACGAGTCCGCAGATAGGTTTGGAGAATGATGGTCTCGGGACGATAAGTTGCGTAGATAACTGAGACCACGTCGCCTTGTTGTAGGGGATTGCGCAGAGATGCTAATGTCGACAGATTGTTGTGACGGAGGAGCAAGCGGTGGTGATAGCATGGTCGACTAGGATTATAATAAGAATCGGCACGGAGAAAGTGGCAGTCGTTCAGTCCTGGTTTGGAGGGTACGAACGTGGGTATGATGCAACCTCTAAGCGGCACCTTCCAATCAATTTCCCCAGGTCCAGTAAGTTTAGTGACTTGCTCAGGCACGTTTGTGCTTCTTGCTCAAGCAATCTCTGGCGTTTGATGTTACGATTCACAACACCAACAAACCAAGTGCTAGGACTCTAGCGAGAGGAAATAGTAAGAAGAGCTATATTCGTGAGAGAACATCAAGCCACCTACATATGCTTTCTCTCAACCTGCCTCGCCAGCTAACCGGACGAGGACGATAGATAATCGCTGGTACTACTCTGGTTAATAATTATGTCTCGCTTCCACGAATGCGTAATTGTACTGCTTGAGCTGCAGCTAGTTCTACTCTATCAAGCCGAATGGAGTGACAGCTGCGATCGAGACCATACCAGATCAGAGTTCACCATTCTACGCTTGTGACCTGGTACCGAGCCATCAGTGGCTAAAAACAGGCAATGGTAGACGATGCCCCGAAGGAGAAACTGATCATGATGGGCAAACAATGAAGTCTTGATACATCCTATATAATGTTTCCCAATAATGTCAAAATATAGGCTTGAATCAACGGCCCAAAACTTGAGACAATAATTCTATGTACACTACTTGTAATGTGACCTGCTGACGCAATATGTGCTAGTAAATTGAGAGTGACCGAAGAGTCGAAGCGAGACAAATGAAGCCCCAGTAATTCGGTGGGCGGAAGAACCCGAGTACGATAAATCGTCAATGAGTGCCTGAGGCAACTAGAAGTTCGCGATATGCCTGTAGCGTCGTATGTTTCTCGCCAGCAAGATTTACAACCATCCACCGAATCGCATCTGTGTCAGCATAGACACTTCTCACCATCATGAGAAGCGCTGCTGTTCGAGCGCTACGAAACGCCAGAAATGTCTCCAAGCGATCGATAGTACCGTCCCGATCATACGCAACAGCACGAGACCCAAAGCAAAAAGATCCTGTGGAACTCGACCAGATCACAACTCTGCCAAATGGCGTGCGTGTAGCGACCGAGTCTCTGCCAGGACCTTTCTCCGGCGTCGGAGTCTATATTGATGCTGGATCACGTTATGAAGATGAATCGCTTCGTGGTTGCTCCCACATCATCGACCGTCTAGCTTTCAAGTCAACCAAAGAACGAACAGGCGACCAGATGTACGAAGCACTTGAATCCTTGGGAGGCAATATACACTGTGCTTCCAGCAGAGAGGCACTGATGTACCAGAGTGCTACCTTCAATTCCGCCGTTCCAACTGTCACCGCATTGCTAGCCGAAACGATACGTGATCCGAATATCACAAATGAAGAGGTTGACCAACAACTCGATACTGCAGCATATGAGATCAACGAGATATGGAGCAAGCCGGATCTGATAATTCCAGAATTGCTTCATATGGCGGCATACAAGGACAATACATTAGGAAACCCATTGCTATGCCCGCGGGAACGATTGCCGTACATTAATGGACCTCTGATCGAGAAATACAGAGATCGCTTCTACAAACCCGAAAGAATCGTCGTTGCATTTGCTGGCGCCAAACACGAGGACTCTGTCAAGTTGGTCGAGAAATATTTTGGTGACATGAAAAGCAGCACGTCTCAGCAAGCACAGCCCCAAGTTCATAACATGACCTTCCCACAACAGCAAATGTCAGGTGGCTCGAAGACTCTGTCCAGGCTTCCTGGCTTCAACAATTTCTCCACCTCCGCTCCTCATCAGGCGACCGTCAGTCCGCTCGACCCTTCGTTGCTCCAGCCTGCACCAGAACTTGACCTAAACCGCCCGAGTCACTATACTGGTGGCTACCTCGCTCTACCTCCTCTACCAATACCTCAAAACAACCTCAGCAGAGCCCTCTCACATATTCACATCGCTTTCGAAGCGCTTCCCATCTCAAGTCCTGATATTTACGCTCTTGCAACTCTTCAAACACTACTAGGTGGTGGAGGCTCTTTCTCCGCTGGCGGCCCCGGAAAGGGAATGTACAGTCGTCTGTACACAAACGTCCTCAACCAGCACGGCTGGGTAGAATCCTGCGTGGCTTTCAACCACAGTTACACTGATAGTGGTCTCTTTGGCATCGCCGCTGCCTGCGAACCCGGCAAGGTTGGAATCATGGTCGATGTCATCTGCCGCGAATTGCAACACCTCTCCTTAGAAAGTGGATACACCAGCCTACAAGCCGGAGAAGTCAACCGAGCAAAGAACCAATTGCGCTTCTCTCTACTCAACAACCTCGAAAGTCGCCCTGTTGAGCTCGAAGATCTTGGTCGCCAAGTCCAGGTTCATGGGCGCAAGGTTGGTGTGAAAGAGATGTGTGCGAATATTGATGCAGTCACTATTCCCGACCTGCGGAGGGTGGCCAAGCAAGTCTTTTCTGGCGCTGTTCACAACGTGGGCAAGGGTACTGGTGCACCTACAGTCGTAGTACAGGAGAGCGAGGACCCGTCTGGAAGAAAGAGACCACAGATCGCGTGGGAAGACGTACAGCAAAGGATAAGCAGGTGGCATTTAGGAAGAGCTCATTCGTGAGGTTTGAGGTGTACTTCAGTAATGCTTACGTAGACGGGACTCGGAAGCGGGCGTTGTATAAATTGTACTGTAAATACCACATGATGCTGCTTCACAGGACACCCCTTACTGCTGCTTGTTTGTGCTCTGGTCATACTGCTCTGGTATTTATTCATCGTCTCCTTCTGTTAACAACGCGACGAGCAGTGGCCGTAGAGGGGACCCACAGAACACCCAGATGCGGCAAGCACTTTCTCAGCTTAGTCGTGCCTCGGCTCGAACAGCGTCGCAGCTCGAAGTTCCAAACTGAATCACTGGATTGCATATTACACCAGAGAGAGAACACGGTAACAATACTGCGAGTCAGGTCCTGAAGTTGTGGTTCTCCTTCCTCTTAAATCTCTAGCCTCCTATTCAGATACAGCCGTATACATACATATACCAAGCATCCACACACCATGACCTCCGCAGCCAAACGCCGTCTCGACGCTCTCTCCCAACAACTCGTCGAAGGCATACCAGACGCAGGGCAATACGAAAACATCCCTCGAGTCCGCCAGGTAGCGGGTGAGTCTGCAGGAAAAAGAGTTCCTGGAAAAGTAGCAATTATCACAGGTGCGAACAGCGCAACTGGTATTGGGAGAGCGACTGTGCATCAGTTGGCACGGAACGGCGCGAGAGCAATCTATATCTGCGATTGGGACGATTCTAACCTCGAGACGCACAAGAAGGAAGTAAAGGAGTTGTACCCGGAGGTTGAAGTACATGCTATTAAGCTGGATGTGGGTGATGAGGAGAGTGTGAAGAGTGTGTGTGAGGATGCGATAAAAAGGTATAAGAGATTAGATATCATGTTTGCAAATGCGGGTGTGGTGGGTGCGAGGACGACGTTTGTGGGAATTGATGCTAAGCAGTATATGGATACGATGCGGGTGAATTCGCTGGGAGTGTTTCTGTGTGCAAAGTATGCTGCCATTGCAATGCAGCAGACCAGCGAGGAGAAGAAGTTCCCTGGTGGAAGTATCATCGGCACAGCGAGTGTTGCTGGCTTAAGATCGAATGCTGGTGCAACCGATTATAGCGCGTCTAAGGCATCGGTTGTGTCGCTTGCTCAAACGATGGCGTACCAGCTTACTGGAACTGGCGTGAGGATGAATGCGATTTGTCCGGGTGTGATCGAAACTGGGATGACGAGAGCTATGTATGACCAAGCGAGAGCAAGAGGCACGGAGAAGAAAATTGGCCAACTCAATCCGCTGAGGAGGGGCGCAGTCGCTGATGAGGTCGCAAGAGTAGCTCTGTTCTTGGCTAGCGATGAGGCCAGCTATGTTAACGGACAGGCGTGGGCGATAGATGGTGGACTGAGCGCGGGGCATCCATTTGTGCCAGGAAAGTTAGGATAGAGATTTACTCGAGAGTGTCCTTCAGCCCCCCAAATCTCTAGCCAGCACTTCCATGACTTTATGTGAGTCTAACACGGTTGGGGGCAGGAGCGCAGTGCTGTCATCCACCTCCCCGTCCTCCAGAGATACGCTCACGTCGACTGGTGTACTGTTGCCATGGTGTTTGTCATACTCTTCTTGACTTATGAGTGGCGGCTTGAGGCGCGTAGGGTCTTCTCGTATGGCGTAGAATGTCGGAAACTCCATAACTGTTCGTCCTTCCAGCACTGCTCGAATGGTCTGGTCCTGCGGAATAGGTATGAGGCACTTAACTTTGGAAGAAGTGCTTGGATTGTGTAGATAGAAATGAATGCCACCAAGCGTGTCTTTATGTGGTCCTTGACGGTTTTCCTCCTGCTCTGCAGGCATCTCGTTCGCACCTTCTTTCTGCTGGCTTGCGTCTTGTACAGCGCCTTGCTGTTTGAGTACGTGGGATGTGGGCGGCTCTTGTTTCAACGCCTTCGCACCACTGTCTGCAGTCACAGCAGGCTCGTTCATACTGAACTTCCTTTTTCTCTGCACTTTCTTTTTGCCCACAATACCGATATAAGATTCACCAACGAGTCTCTTTTCAGGACAGGAGCCTACAACTCTTTCACCATCCTGACATAGCCACTCGATTGTCCACATGACACTCTTCTGTTGTCCAACCCAATGTGTCTTGTTCTGCTTCGAACGTGACAAGCCTTTCGGAGCTCTGACAACCTTCACATTTCGCTCTTCGATCTCCATTTCGACCTTCGGTCGTGCATCGTAAGGCTTTAGTTGCCGAGCCGGAGCAAGATTGATTCCACGATCGAGAGCATTATCGTCTGCTCGTGTAATAGACCTTTCCACTCCGGCAATGAAGTTGAAGTCTTTGTCAATCGATGAAGGTGTTGCGAGATCCGCTCGCTTCCGATATTCGGCAGGATTGCGCACGCCCGAACATTGCGCCCAGGTTTTATGTTTCTTTACGCACGGCAATGAGCAGGTATGGGTGCCACAGCGTGGACATGTATATTTGATGGCATTTGCATGACTGGAAAATTAGCACGTTATCCGAAACGACAGCGTAGACTCACCATATCGAACAAAGGTCGATCAGTAGAGGCTCACGCGACATGCTTCCTGTTGTCCCATGGTTGTGATTTTGACTTCTGGTGTTTGGTGTTTCCGATAAAGCAGCCAATGCGACCTGAGAAAGCTAGAACCTTTCTTATCGATAAGCGGATTACTGCCGAACAAGATGACGTTGAGTTCGGATCTATAACAAGAAAGCTATCTCTACTCATGTGCTGCATGGTCGAGCAGCTTGTATGCCATAGTACACGCACTGACCCAACCTTCTCACTATGTACAGGCCCAGATGACAAGAAAAGCACAAGAAACAAACAACCACTCCTTCGAGTCCCAGGTGTCTAGCTAAAACTCGTTTCGCTGATAGCAATCCTGATACTGCTCTACACTCGATTGTATTTGGAAAGGTCAGGTATGCTGTATGTCGAGGCGTGTTTCGGCGTCTCGAGTCATGCATTGGCAGTACGTGAGGTCTCATAGCCTGACAACGTTCGTGGCTCGAAGCGTGTGCACTTTCGGGTCAACACGTTTTCATGAACTGTAGGACACGCCTGAGCATGTTGGTGGTCGTCCGACGAATTTTGATCAAAGAAAGGCTTGCGCTTGTATCCATTCTCATCACCAGCTAGGAAGTTGTCTGAAAGCACGTTACACAGCATGGAGCATCTGAGTAGTGGCTGCTACGACTAGAGAGTATCCAGGGCACATGTTTCGACCAGAAACACAACATTTGGCTGGATAGTTGGCTAACCAATCACCCGGGATTAGTCCACATAATATGCTCACGTACTCATGTTCGCTGTTCTCATGAGTAGCCACTCTCACGGTGAGTGGACTGTGAAAGTGCCATTATTTCGGTGAAGGCGAATTGTGAAAACAATGAAGCGGTCATTTTCTCAGGGCCGGCTCACCGATCATAAAACCGGAAAGCAAACGCTGGCACCTCGAGGGAAGCAGCCTGACGTTATACCAAGAGGTTTTACCATGTCGCCTGAACGCTTAGGTACTAAATAAGCTAGACTTGGCGACAGTGTGGCGTTCTGAAATCGCAGTTTGAGCGAGCCAAGCTTTGCAGCCACGACTTTTCAAAAGCTTTGAGTTTGTGCTAGCACGCCCCTCCTTTTCCGCGTCCTAGCATCAGGAACATTGTTATCGTATCCATATCACCACAACACGCTGTCGCATATGTCTCGATCGGAAGCCTGTTGAGCTTGAGAGGTGCTGAAGATGCTGTAAGCTGTAGTACCTCAGATTGTCCCTGGAGAACAGCAACGAGACAGATACGAACATCTCACAACGGTTCAACGTCCATGCCCGTCTCAATCGACGAGAGCCTGTGGTTCGCTCGATGTGATGCAATTGCTCCATCACATATTGCAACCTTGCTGGGCTTCAGTTCCCTGCTCTCCGATTGCCGACCAACTTGCTCACTAACGAGTGTCCGGCTACCTAGCATTTTGACCTTACCGTGACAGAAAGCACGTTGCAACAAAAGTCTTCAATACCAAAGTGGCTGGTTGTTTGTTCGCCAGGCGTCCAACGCGCCTGCTGGGGACGCTTCGCATGCGACCTATCCACATCACTTCCGCCTACTAACGTGCTACTCTCACCCGTACCACGAACCTTAGTGCAATTCTTTATTCGATGTCGTGCTCGTACCATCATCCACACTGACACCATCACAATCGAGGATCTTGCTCTACCTCGATTTGACTTTTCCAGTCCTAACTTATTAGATGTGATCGGCATAGTGCTTTACTTTGTTTACTAGCTCTCTACAATATAGAAGACGCTCTCTCGGTTTGTGTCCTTCTTTCTCTCTTCTTACCACACCTAGGGCCGACTTTTGTAACCACCAACTTACATAGGCGCGGCACATGCTGAACACACGGGCTCAACGAAATCTCGAAACCTTTTTTTGCGCCTGCTTTGTCAGGTCAATCCGATCAGTGAAGTGGCGTTGAACAGCAGCAGACTAACTTAGCAAAACAACATCTAATAGACAACGACAGTATGTCCATCTTCCGAGAAAAGAAAGAGAAGAGAACTGAAGATGCCTCTTCTGGCTCGCGCAACATCTCGCCAAAGCCGGAGAAATATGACGCTGAGGGCCACGATGTCGAGCGTCGAACGTCAACCACGGTCCAGGGCCAGAAATGGAAGCGAATCTGTCCACCTGAACGCAGAGCTGGATCCGTTGCCGGCATAGAAGATTCATCATCCGACACGGCTGATCGTCTTGTTGAAATGGAAGCTGATAACGCGATCAAGTATCGAACTTGCTCGTGGTACAAAACTGCAGCTCTACTTTTCTCCGAGTATATTTGCTTGGCCATCATGTCGTTCCCATATTCTTACTCGGTTCTCGGACTGGTTCCTGGTCTGATTCTGACCGTGGTTCAAGCAGCTTTTGTGCTCTATACCTCCCTTATCGTCTGGTAAGTCCCTAGGCTTGGAGGAAATGATAGCTGGCTCTAACCACGAATTATAGGGAGTTCTGCTTGCGCCATCCTGAAGTGCGAGATGTGACAGATATCGGCAAGATGCTTTTCTGGAACAGCAATATCGCCTACTGGTTCACAGCAGTTATGTTCATCCTGAACAACACATTTATACAGGCTCTTCACGTATTAGTCATCACTCGATATCTCAACACGATGACCCAGCATGGTCTCTGTACCGTCGACTTTGCGGTCATCGGCGCTGTTGTCTGTTTCGTGTGCTCCTTGCCACGAACTTTCAATGCTCTCAGCCACGGTGCCTGGATCTCGGCAGTTTTCACATTCATAAGCGTCATCTTGGCTGCTGCCTTTGCCGGTGCCGAAGGAAAGCATGGCACTGCAGGATACAACCCTGTTCCAACACATACCGAGAACGGTGTGACGATTGCAGGCGGCGAGCCCTTGGTGTTAGTCATTCCATTGGCATCAACCCCTTTCTACAGCGGACTGAATGCGTTCTTGAACATCGCATACACATTCATTGGACAGATTACCCTTCCTAGCTTCATCGCAGAGATGAAGAATCCATACGACTTCAAGAAAGCGGTCACCATCGTCACAATTGCCGAAATCATCGTCTTCTCCCTTGTGGGCGGCATTATCTACGGTTACACTGGGACTCAATACAACACGGCACCAGCGTTCGGATCTCTGGGCAATCTCGTATATCGAAAAGTCAGCTTCAGCTTCATGATTCCGACCTTGATCTTCCTCGGCGTGCTCTACGCCGCCGTCTCAGCTCGATTCGTCTTCTTCCGAATCTTCGAGGGAACACGACACAAGTCGGAGCACACCATCATCGGATGGGCATCCTGGGCTGGCATCCTGGCTGGATTATGGCTTCTAGCATTCGTCATCGCCGAAGTCATCCCTTTCTTCTCTGAGTTGCTCAGCTTGATGTCCTCGCTGTTCGACTCCTTCTTCGGCTGGATCTTCTGGGGCACTGCATACTTGCGCATGAGACGAGTGGACTACGGTCCGAACTTCTACAAAGTCCGTGGCTTTAAGGGCTGGTTCGGCTTCTTGTTGAATTGGTTCATCTTGCTTACGGGATTCTTCTTTTTGACTGTGGGAACATATGTAAGTGCCAGCTTCGCGAGACTTGTGCGTCTTATGGAACTAACTCGTGGTTTACAGGCTTCGGTGCAAAGCATCATTGACGACTTTGAGGTGGGGGTCAAGAGCGTGTTCACTTGCGCCAATAATGGGTTCCTTGATTCAACTGGATACTAAGCAGGGATGTACTCCAGAATTTGACACGGTCACAGGTTTTTGAAATTTTACGATTAGGGTTATGTGAATAGTTGGCTGTCAAAAAGAGGCAGCGCACAGAACATTGGTTACGAACGACGTAACAGTCTCACGAACACGATTGAGATTAGTTTGATAGTCCTTAATAAGAGAAGTTTGTTGGTGTGTTATCTCGTGCAAAGAGTAGTTCGTGATTCTGCTGATCGTATTTTTCTACCTACAAACCTATTGAATTGTCCTCGGATCGAAAATGCTGTGCAGAGACCACGCAAAATGCACAAGAGTTTTAGTCTCGAATTCTCACCACACCAATACATGCCTGCTATTCAGTACTTCGTTCGTTCGTCATCTATCAAGGAAGAAAACTGTGCTTGCTTCTTTTGCCATATAGGTCATATGCATCAAATCAGTCGGGTATCGTGCGGCTTAGCTGCTTTATCTCGGTTTATTTATTTTTCGTCTTGGAAAAGAGCTTCATTCTCTTGTTGGGCTTTGATAAAGGCTTCTTTGAAGAGATTTGCGTCTGGGTAGGATTAGAGTATTGCTCAGGAATGTCAGAGACGACGAGACTTACTGTCACTGTTGCCGAATCGGATAGCTAGAGTCTGTGCTTCCGGCTCACCCTCGGAGACATCGGCAGCAACGTTCCATACCCAGCTTCGGTCACTGCCAACGTTGGGAGACAGCTTCATATCTGGGGTAACATAGTGGTTGGCGCAGACTTTGAGGGTCTTGTCTCTTCTCATGACCAGGCGGGTCTTGCCGTTCTCCTTGTGCTTTAGCAGGCGAACGTCACCAGTACCGCGCTCTTTCCATTCTCTCGAATCTCTATCGAACTTGAAAAGCTTCGCTCTCATTTTGAAGGTCTGCTCTTCTGCTTCCTCGTGCGTCTTCGTCTCGACCTGCTGTGTAAGATGAACAACTGGTTCGAAGTGGACATCTGCTTCCTCTTCCTCTGCCTTTTCCTGTATATATGTTAGCAGTCTTTAGACTGCCAGAAATCAACCTCCACTTACGTCGTCGTCATCAGCCTTCTTAGCCTTGCTGCTACCGCTTGGCTCATCGACCTCTTCCTCCTCTGGTTTCTTCTCCTTCTTTGCACCCCCACCGAACATCGAAAATACTGATGCACTGACACCAGAAGCAGCTTGAGCAGCGGTGTCTGCTACCTTGCTTACAACGCTCTTCTCTTCAGTTGTATCGGTAGCCGGCTTTGTAGAGTCTTCTGTACCTTTAGGGTTCGTGGCCAGCTTTGTCTCCTGCTCGGCGAGACGAGGCTCGTTGGAGGCTACAGAGTCCGACATCTTGCAGAGGGTTGTAATGGGTATAGGTCGAGGATCCGTTGCGATTTACCGTTCGTTTAGGTTGGTGGATCTCTGATACAAAGGCAGTATAGTGGTCGAGGGATGGCGAAGTGTTATTGCATACGAGACGGTCAGAAATGTTTGTTGGCAGAGGGAACAAGTGCACCCCACTAGTAAGTTTAATGGCGGCCAGATTTCCACCGTCAGGCACATTGGTCCCTGCAGAAATGCCTAGGTGCCTTAGCTCGATGGTGCTGGTTCGTCCACGACTTGGAAGGATAACGCCCTCGAACTGCTATACCGGAACGCCCACGGTTGATCTACTCCTGGTCAGACAGGCTTTATGGACAACTAACGTCCTTCTGTGCAACGTCTAAATCTTGCCCGCTACTTCTCGTAGCACTGCTAAAGCCCTCACTGGCCCATCTGATGACGTACCATCTAAGCCCTCAATCCCTGTTCGCAATTCGGTCGTACAAACAAACTACCAACAGGCAGATGAATTCTTGCTCTTGAACTATCATGAGATTCTCCTTCTATCTGCACTGACATATTTGATACCTCTTCTGTTATGGTGTGAAATACTCATAGGTAACTCCACGTCTTTACCATGCTGATCGTTGACTTGCCTGAGGACGTACTGTCCATTATTTTCCTTTTCCTGGATCCAAAAAGCTTTCTCGCTTTATGCACCTCAACCAAGGTTCTATATGCAGACTACCAGAGAAACCCACTGTTCTGGAGGACCAAGGTTGCCACAACATTCCGTACACCGATCAGTCCGCTACTGAAAGCCGATGGTGCTAGATGGTACTCACTTTACCAGCGATTGAGGACTCAGACCAGGCTCTACACTTGGGGTCAAGGTGTAAAGGGCAATCTCGGTCAAGGCGTTGGTCCTCGATTAGATCCAAATCTCCTCCCCGGTTCTCCTAGACCTCAACAGATCCTACCTCTGCCTCGTAGTCCTCCAGGACCACATGGCCGTGCCATGCGTGGTCGCATCATTCCTGCTGGACCCAGGCCAACTACTTTTCAAAGAATCAGCTCTTACTGGCCCACAGAGGCGCATGTGCCCGACGATGTTGGTGTTGTTGCTGATCTACAATGCGGCGGGTGGTCGACAATAATATTGTCGTCAAGCGGCAAGCTGTACATAGCTGGTTGTATCGATGCAAGAGACGGACGCATACTTGGTGGACAGACTGATCGATTCGAAAGACTGGAGTTCCTAACTCAGAGTACTTCCGCCATTGCCCAGTTTTCAGCAGGTCGTGCACACGTTCTGGCACTTACCGATGATGGTGAAGTGGTGTCGTGGGATAGAATCAATGCCAAGGGCTTGAAGATATACTCTCGTCATGGCGGTAAACTGCCAGGTAAACCTGCGAGAGTCGTTGCAGGTTGGGGGGAAAGTTCAGCCTACGCTCCAGATGTTGGGATAATGTATTGGTCCCCACCTAAAAATGACCAAGAAGACGATATGGTTGATGCACGAGAAGTGAAAGAGCGGGTCATACCAAACACCACTAGAGCGCTCTCTGCGGACGGCACGTTATATGAGGTTACTGCACATGTTGTACTTGAAGGTATGATCATCTGGACGACCGGTGACTCTAAAGTGTGGGCTTGTCAGATTGACCACGACAACGAAGAGGATACTGAGCCAAGAGGTCCGTGTATCCAGTTGCCAGGCTACTTCGACGGTGCAGATCTGGTCAAAGATATCCAAGGCAGTTTCAGGCACTTCGTCGTGTTCACTGGTTCTGGTCGTGTGCTTGCTGGTAATGTTGACTATGTACAACTGTGTTTTGGAGCGGCTCAGAGGACAGCGAGGGAGAATATCGATGGACAAACCGACGCCGTTAACCCATCAACATGGGCTAATCTCAATTTTATCCTCTCAAGTCGACCGAGAGACATTCCTGCTTTGCAAAACACAGGGGTCATTTCAGTGAGGTTCGGGGATTGGCATTCTCATGCCTTGCACAGCGACGGCACCATTACAAGTCACGGACATGAACCACAGTCTTGTGGTGCTCTGGGTCTAGGCGAAGCACACCAAGGAGGCAGACTCCGTGGCATGATAAAGCCACAAGGCTTGCATCCAGATACAAATCTTCAACCAGTAGCGGATATCAGGGGTCGACAAGTCTGGTTTGAGCACGAAAAGCGTGATTGGCTCGGATATCTACAGCATACTGCTGAGCAGCATTTTGCTTCACACCAAGACCAGCCTTACTGGCGTGAAATCTTGCATGATCATGCAAAGCAAACTATGTTCAGTGAATGGATAGAACAGGAAGGCCGGCACTGGGAGGATGGACCAATCTCTTGTACTTCGAGGCTGCCAGAAACCAGACAGCAGACGAAGCCACAACACGGCGACGGCCTTGAATTCAAGACTTATTTTGCTCTGGCAATAGGCGCTGCAGGGTGGCACTCAGGCGCTCTCGTGCTCGTTGACGACGACAAAGCCGAACAGGTGCGAAGAAAATGGATACGCCAAGACCATAGTCAAGAAAGAGGTCCAGAAATTGAAGCACAAGCTATGCAGCTAGCTTGGACGACAGAGAGCTTCCCACGGACTCAATTGCCAGATGGTACCGAAGCACCTGTGGCAGGCGATCAGGCTCCCGAGCAGACAGTTGAGAATGCATTGCGACCTTGGAGAGATGGCATGCCTACAATGCAAGACCTTGGACTAGAGTCTTCGCAAGGCTAGGAATTATATAGTCATCCCAAGCAGATCAGCGTGTCAATCCATCGATATTGACCATTAATGATGCGGCGTAGTATGCACATGGGTATACGGAAATGGCGTCGTTAAGTGCGTGCGGAGTTGCATTTAAAAGTTCAAGGTCGGTGGTTCAAGTTGCCGAGGGTAGCATGAAAAATGATGTTGCACGAGGCAATACCACGCGCATACTATGGGTCGTCGTTGCACGCGTTTCGCACATACTGGATTTGATGTGAGATGTCTTGAGCTCGACTTTCCATCAGTCCGAACTCTACATCTTAGCTAGATCGTCCTCTTCCTAATTGCGTCTGTAGCATGCAGAGTCGTGATGGCGCTCTTAAAGCACCTTCTGCACTGACAGTAAGCTCGCCATGGACACGTTCACTCCTCGCAGGTGCCCTGGCTGGATTGACTGTCGATGTCTCGCTCTATCCACTCGACACCATCAAGACTCGACTACAGTCGAATTTGTCTCGACATGCCTCCTCCCTTAAGACGAGACACACCTTTTCAGGTACGCTTCGTTCCATCTATGCCGGCCTTCCTACAGCTATCATCGGGAGCATGCCCAGTGCCGCATCCTTCTTTGTCGTCTACGATGGAGTCAAACGACAAATGATCGTTCCAGGACAGACGTCTGTGGCGATGCAATCATATGTGCATATGCTTGCCTCCTCACTTGGCGAAATCGCAGCCTGTGCCATCAGAGTACCAACGGAAGTCGTCAAGCAACGCGCACAGGCTGGTTTGTTCGGTGGAAAATCAAGTCTGGCTTTTCTCGATATCTTGTCTGTTCGACATACAGCTGGCTATGGTACAATGGTCAAAGAGTTATATAGAGGAGGTGGCATCACTATTATGAGAGAGATTCCGTTCACAATACTACAATTCACTTTGTGGGAGCAGGCAAAGAGCACATGGTCTACACGCCAGGCACGACTCTCCAATCGAGAACACGGCTTGGTTACAGCTGGAGAAAGCGCGATATTTGGGAGCCTGTCGGGAGGTATCGCTGCAGGGCTGACCACGCCATTGGACGTCCTGAAGACGAGAGTCATGCTCGAGCGGCGTGAAACTGGTGACACAATGACGAGAAAAGGTACCACAAGAATCTTCAAACAAGTCTTACAAGAGGAGGGTTGGCGAGGCTTCTTTCGAGGCTTTGTGCCAAGAGTTGGTTGGATAAGCACAGGCGGAGCAATCTTCTTGGGCACTTATCAATGGGCGGTCAACACAATGGAAGAGACTGGAGCAGGACAGAACGATGTCACGCAACAGCCTTTGTGAACCTTTGAGGCTTGAAACAGAGCTTCTTGTTGTGTGACATAGGATGCTCGTGTCGGCCGTTCTTATCGCGTCATCAGCCCGGAAAAGGAAACGTCATTCTCACTTTCGGCAACGATAAGCCCAAGGACATCGCCAACTACATTGGTTGTCCTCAATTGAGTACCTCACCAAAAATTGCAACGTGGAACTGCTAATAGGTTTCCGAAAAAGCCTGCTCACTGAGAACCACAGCGAGATTGAGAACTCGATCATACGAAGTTTTCTTGTTCAACCTGCTTTATCAGCCAGTTGCTGCAGCCGCGCATTACAGCTTCTCCAAGCTGTTCCCACCGCAGCTTTCTCAGGACATTACACGAAGAAGGACGAAATATAAGCTTCTCACCGCAAAACACCTAGGTAAGATTGTTGTTGTAAGTCTTGAAGGACACCCGACTAACCCATGCAGCAACCATGGAGCGTCTGAATAATATGCCGCCAGAAATAATCCTCAAGATTTTTCAAGAATTGTTCACCTCATACACGTCTTGGAACGAACTCCTCTTTCTGAACGGACGAAACAATGACTTTCGATCTCTAACTCAGGTTTGTCGAATGTGGCAGGATATGATACTTAGCTCTGCTATAGCCCCTGGTTCTGGTTCTGTGTATAGATTCACGAAGAAAGGTGCGGCTGAATCTGCCAAACCGAGATTCTTCGTTCGCAGGTTGAGTGGTCAAGACGATTGGATTCCGGCATATTGATCGATTTGGCAAAGCCTGACAGATCGGAGTTTTGTAGCCTTAGGCGACCAGGTATGCGAGCATCGAACCTGAGCTGGCAAGGAGAAGGTGTGTTTGGCCATGCAGGAATGCGAAACACGGCGTCATCGGCAAACTTTACACGCTCTATGACGTGCGGTGATCAAGGAAGCATTCAGGTATACTGACATGGAGGCGTATAACAGATTGGTCGCTGTGCTTGATGGGAGCGTGTATGGGTAACGAGGACTTTTGTGCCTTGCACGTCGAAGTTAATCCTTTTCGACGGCACTCCGACAAGGACATCGGTTGCACCCATATGGAGTAGGTCTGTCTGTCCTGACTGGAAAGATAGTATAATTCCATGCACAATTCTTTCTCCCTCCAGGGACCATCACACAATCAACAAAAGAGTATTGCGCCTGTATGCCAATTTCAAAATGCTTCAACGTCGGTCCATGCACGTAATGACGTGATAGCAGCTGAAGATCTATGCAAGAAGTACTCGAGTAGCTTGATACTAATCAAGCAGATACTTTGTTTGCTTTTCTTGTCCTATCTCGCAGGGTGGGCCAGTGATTACTAGTGCGATCGTTTGCTGTTGCCGAGCAGCCTCTTCTGTCTACCTCTGCACCTTCACACATTTCGGTACAATCTCGCCCAATGCACCGAGTACTCGACGAAGGGAAAACAAACGGTGCTTCACCGTCTCCACGTCTGACCATATCAACCATTGACATTCCCGTGATGGATTCTGGAAGCAAGCGAGCCCCGCCCTGGGGATGCTCTCCAATGTCCCATGGTCGAGCCCCCGCATAAACTGAATTGACCCGATCGCGAGCTGGCAGGCTATACAAGATGGCATCGTTGGCCGCAACCAAACGCGTGCGCAGACTGCTTCTCCTTCTAGCTCTCGGTCACTCTCTGTGAAGCTGATCGAGTAAACGTGGAACGACTACCATGCAGATCAAACACTTCTTCGAGGATGCCACGGTGCTCGTGCACTCAGCACTGAACTCCCTGACCCTAACGAATCCGTCATTGGCCTTTGACAAGGAGAACAAGATAATATACAGGAGGCCGACCAAGGATGCTGAGGTCAAGGTGTCGATGATATCAGGAGGAGGCTCAGGCCACGAACCTGGCTTCGCTGGGTTTGTTGGCAAGGGTCTCCTGACGGCTTCTGTGGCTGGTACTATCTTTGCTTCACCTTCGGCGGAGCAGGTCAGAAGAGCTGTGCTTACTAGGGTTCCTACTGAGAAGGGCGTCCTGGTAATCACGATGAACTACACCGGAGACGTGCTGAACTTTGGCATGGCTGCGGAAAAGGCGAAAGCTGGAGGTGTTGCTACAGAGTTCTATGCTATTGGTGATGATGTTGGAGTGGGACGAGCAAAAGGCGGCAAGGTTGGCAGACGAGGTATTGGAGGTGGTATTCTGTTGCTGAAGATATGTGGTGCCCTGGCTGAAGCAGGTGGCAGCTTGACTGAGGTATACGAGCTTGCTCAACAGGTGAATCGCAACCTTGTGTCACTTGGCTCGTCGCTTGAAAGAGTGCATGTCCCTGGTCGAGAGATTCCCAAGGAGGGCGATACCGAGGGTGTGATTCCTTATGGCGAGATAGAGGTGGGCATGGGCATCCACAACGAGCCTGGTAGCAGACGAGTCAAAGCCACTTTACCAGAGCTTGTCAAGATCATGCTTGCTCAGCTGCTAGACCCCAAGGACGAAGATAGGCATTACACCAACATCACCAAGGACGACAAGATCGTCCTCTTCATGAACAACTTGGGCGCGACATCGATGATCGAGTTTGCCGGCGCAACCAACGAGTGTGTAAGGCAACTAAAGGAAGACTACGGCTTGACCCCCGTCCGAGTCATAACAGGCACTTTCCTCACCTCCCTCGACGGGCTAGGCTGGTCCGCCTCAATCCTGCGTCTAGAGGATACAGGCCTAGGCCCTGGCAAATCCATGCTCGAGCTCATCGACGCGCCAGCCGAAGCAGTAGGCTGGGCTAACACGGGCGTGGCCACATCGACATGGAACGAAGACCACACCGCCACATTCGACCACAGCGCACAAGACACAGCCGATACGTCAAAGTCGCATCTCACCCTCGACCCTGCGCAGGCATCAAAAGTCCTCAAAGCCGGTCTACAGAGAATGGCAGCTGCAGAAGCAGACGTTACTCGTTACGACACCATCGTCGGAGACGGCGATTGCGGCATTGGTCTGAAACGTGGCGCGGAAGCAGTCGTGAAAGAGCTGGATGGTGGGAACCTACCAAACGATGCTGTCGCGTTCCTCAATAAGATTATCCCTGTGGTCGAGAATACAATGGATGGGACGTCGGGTGCTATCTACGCCATCTTCCTGAATGCTTTGGCGTTTGGGCTGAGGTCACAAGATACTGGTTCGGAGCAGGCGGCGACGTCACAGGTGTGGGCTCGGGCGTGTAAGAGTGCCATGGGTGATTTGGCGAAGTATACGCCGGCTCAACCGGGAGACAGGACATTGATGGACAGCTTGGTGCCGTTTGTGGACACGCTGGAGAAGAGTGGAAGTGTGAAAGAGGCGGCGGCGGCAAGTAGAAAGGGTGCAGAGGATACGAAGGGTATGAAAGCTAGTTTGGGACGAGCCGTTTATGTGGGAAGTGAAGAAGAGTGGATTGGGAAGATACCTGATCCGGGAGCCTGGGGTTTGGCTGAATTTTTCGACGGAATGGCTGAGGTTACAGGCTGAGGATAATGAGGTGGCAGAGAAACCAGGTGTTGGCCGAAAATATAGTCGAAATTTGCTCGAATGCCTCGAGCGGAATGGTATTGCAAACGCCTGTAGCAATCTATTGTCTTGTAACAACACGTCGTGATTTTTGACTGTAAATCATGGTAGCCTGTTCATACCTCTCCACTTCGGGGTACAGTCTGGCACGCTTTATAGACCTGCGTATTTCTCAGACTAGCAAAGTAAGGTCGATGTTGTCGGCACTACTAGGTTGTCGTAGTCGAGAAGAAGAGCCCTAGTGAAAATCGTGGTATTGTCACAGACCCGTCTTGTTGGTGCGATAATCCAAGTCCAAACTTGGCTTCTCGCTGTTCCGCCCGACTAAGCTCGAGACAGGCGATGCATTGTGGATTTGCTGGATTCCGTGTCTCGTACGTATCGCGCTGGGGAGTGCCAAACTTTAGAGCACTGCTGCGTATTTCAGAATGCGCAAGATTCTGATACTTGTATGTTCTCTTCCAGCCGTATAATCATTATCCCTTGAGGTAATGGCATGTTGTAATCCCATGGCACGTAGCAGTACGTGTAATCTCTTACTATAGTGGACTCTCAAGACAGCAGAACCAGGATGACCGAATCGCCTCGCAGGAACATTTTGCTGATAAACCTGTCGCGATTGACACTCTTCGCGTTAGCGCCCTTGCCCTGCTTCTCTGTCCACATCTCCTTGACGTTCTCGAGGACCATATTGCAGTGGCGATCGAATGCTTTGACACGAGCGAGCAGTTTGTGGTTGTTGCGGCAGGATATCAGGACTTGAGTGTGGGTTCGCGTTGCTGTCATAAGGATACTGAGAGGACCGGTCGATAGTTCGTGGGTTTCAAGGAGAGACACTTCATATTCTCTGTATTAGGATATGTTAGCGAAGGCAACAACAGGCAGTAGCGAAGTGAGAATATGAATGTTCAGAGACAGCATGCATGCACATCCAATGGTATAACAACATCATACGTGGATTATGACAATGATGTGGCGACAGTGATGATGTGCATCGATGATACGAGTTGTACTGTGATGATTTGGAGCAACGAGATGGTCGTCTGTTGATGACAACGGAGCGGAATGCATCTCGGAGCCCCCAGTGTATGCAGCGGACAGGTGGGGCAAATCGGACAGGATGCATGTTATGGGGTAGAGAATAGAGAAGACCACCTCAAGATGAGGTGATTGGAGCCAGACTTACGATAATTCGTTCTTAGGCTTGCTCAGCAATTCCCTAAAACTCATCAGTAAAGCGTCCGAAGGTGTAGCCTGAGATATACTGCGACTGAGCGTGCAGGCGCAGATTGTATCACGGGTGTGAGACTCACTGTATCTTGGAATTGTCTGCCATGTTGACCTCGAAAATGTATAAGAAGTCGAGTGTCTGCAAAAAAGGTCAGGATTTGAGCGTTCTTACTCTTCTTGATTCAGGACCTTCTTTTCAGAAGGCCCGCCAAGCCATTTTTACACGCCAAGGTCTATTCCAATCTCAGACTAGCTTATCTCCACATCACGTCAGGCCTGTAAGTCGCGTACAGCGCTGTCAGTCGCGTTGCACTAGTGTTGCTATGGCATGTCTTTATATGCTTCATCGTGCTCGTTCACCTTCACCATTATGCTGCCTACCGTCTCTTTTGTTCCTTTTGCGTGGCGGTCCTCCGCTTCGCGTGATCAGTATAAGCTTATTGTAACATTATCTTAGCAGAATAATTATTTCCTTCTCCTCCAGCAAGCCATCGACGCGTTTGAATCACGTTCCAGCCACGAAAACCCACAGTCCTCGCGCTCACTTAAGCTACCTCCAAGCAACACTTTCTTTCTCGGAGATACACCTACTAGACCTTCACACCCGGGTCGTAGATACGATCGAGCATGTTGAACCTATAAATTACAGCAACCGCCAGGACCACAAGCGAGCATGGCTGAAGAAGAAAGCGTGACAATCTCAGTTAAGCTGAAGGTATTATACACCTTCGATGTCGAACACAAGGTCGACCACCTTTCTCGACCAGCTCAGTCATATCAAGTCGATACCGCAGCTGTTGACGAGAACACGACCATTGGTGTCATCGACTTGCGATCATGTATCGACGCTATGATTACCTCGAGTCCGGAGCTCACCCACTTCCTCGAAAACGACTACACTGTCTACGTCTACGACTATTCCGAACCGAATATACCGCTCGTTGGTCATGGAATGTTGTCGAAGGTTCTGTCGCAGGACGCTGGCTCGAATGAAGCTATGGTCACTGGCAAGATCACAAAGTCGGTCATGGCTAAATTCAAGAAGGATGTCGAACCATTCCTAGAGGTCAAGCTGAAACTCACACCCATTGCTTCATCTTCTTCGAGAGGCAGATCTGGAAGTATGAGCAGTGTTCAAGACGGAATGCAGAGCCAGTGGTCAAGTTTTTCACAGGCCGGTCCAGCTGCGATGGACAGATCACAGTCTCCGGCGGATCAGTCACGACTGGACAACCTGCACCGAACTTTACACGAAGGCAGTCAACGTCGTGACAGTGCCTACAATAACTCATACTCATGGGGCTCATCATGGTCGTCCTCGCGTCCTACCACTCCAACACAGCAGTACCAACCACCTCAGCTGGTGTCCTATCACTCAAGACAACAGTCCCAAATCGCAAATTATGGAATGCACCCAATCATCCGACGAGGATCTGAGTCAGGTTATGGTTCCGGAGATGAGGTAGAGGAAGGTCCTGCTAAGAAACGTGCTCGTATCACAAAGGTGCAAGCCACAAAGAAGAACGACTTCAATATCGAACAACGACCTAATTCTTTACGAACTGCTGCTATGGGCGCTTCGAGCTTGAGACTACACCAACCTATTGCCATCAACCCGGCTGTAGCCCTCCAACGAGGCATGTCAACAGAAGAACCCGTGAGACCACCAACTCCCATCGTAGCGCCTGTCCGCAGAGCTGGTCGCAAACCGACAGGTCGACCCAGAGGAAGACCAAGGAAAAATAGAGAGACTTCCGGTGAGCCATCTTCGCCTGTGCAGCCACCTGTTCAGCCACGACTACCAGGTTCAAATGTATCTTCTCCGGAAGATACTCAAGATCGTCAGCCTGATGCAAGCATAGCAGGATCTCCAGCACACTTGACTTCCTCGCCTCCTTTCCTACCACCACAAATGAACGCTGTCAAGAGTCCCGAGTTGCCCAAAAAACCAGCCCCGCCTGTACATGTCCCAGACAGTCACGACTCAGGCTTTTTCAGTGCTCAGGTAGAAAGTACTCAAGCCGAAGCTGATACTCCCAAGCAGGAGAATGCGATAGACATGGATGCTCTTTTCACAGATATTGATGTCAACGACTACGGTGATCTGTCATGGTTAGATGCTGTGGACAGCACAGCTCTAGACGCAGGTATGCACTTCGACAGCATTGGTGTGGACAACCACTACACACCTGTATTTGATGAGGAAAGCACCGTTGGGATCCCAACGCCTCAGCCTGAATCTCAAGCAGGAACAAAGCCAATTCCCACTCCGCAGCCAGAGCCTCAACAGCCGACAGAAGCTGTTACCTCACAACAGGCTCCGCCGCAAACGATACCTACACCCACTCTCCAGCTCTCATCCAAAGTGTTGAGTCAGCCTCAACCGGAACCACCACCAACGGACTCAACTGATTTCCAGAAACCTGCTCTTCCAACTTCGTCTATCCATCCACCGACCGTGCCCACGGACAAGAACGGTCGTCCCGTTCCCACACTGTTGCCGAGACCTCGACCACTGAGGGACATTCAGCGATCTCAGAGCACGTTACCTCCAGTGCCGGCCAGTGATCCGGGCTTGAGACCACTGTGTCGCTCAAACACATGTGGTCCTGAACTCATGAGCGATGCAATACAATCAGACGCGCCGGCTGACAACAAAGATGGCAAGAAACCACCCCGGAAACGCATTGGTAAGGAACAGACCAAGGCCCGCCTTGAGCAAGCATTAGCTTCTGGTGCTATGCCACCCTATTGCCACAATTGCGGGGCCATCGAAACACCAGCCTGGAGAAGAGCATACATCAAGCACTTTGAGTGTCCCATCAATGAAGTAGACACTTCACTCAACCAAGGTGAACTATGCTACAAAGAAGTCTTGCAGTCCGATTCCGACGGTTCAGTCAAATCGTGGAGGGGCTGGAAAGTGGACAAGACTCAAGGTCAGCCTGAAGACGGATGGGAGCTGATTAATCTGTGTAATCCTTGTGGTTTATGGTTACACAAAACAAAGACAGTACGACCACCCGAGAAATGGCAGAAAAAAGACCCAAAAGAGAAGAGGAAGAGAAAGAGGCCACCAAAGCCGCCGAAATCCAGAACGAATCCTCCTCGTGCAGCAGCTGGCAATCTATACAGTGACGCCCTGCAAAGCGATGTACAAGAGCCAGATAGTGAAGACTCTTCACCAGCTGATACTGCAATGGAGGATGCAGGGGATGACAACAACGACACTGCCACGATAGATGGCGAAAATAATGAGGCAGATCAAGAACCTGAACTTCCACCTTTACCTAAAGCTGTGATGAGCGTGCAACTTGGCAGTAGAACTGTCAAGTGGGCTGACGTCTCTGACAGGCAAGCTCAATCTAGTCCAGTTGGCAGAGGAACTATTGATGAGCCGATTAATATTGACCGAACACCTGACAAGCCTCTCAGACGGAGGTTGTTTTCACCAAATACCCTGGTCCGTGAGGAAGACACGGCTTTACCTTCCGTTCTTGGTGAGAAGAAAAACACATCGTTGTTACCATCGTTTGTCCGAAGAAGTCCTCGCATTAACAACATTCGAGACATCTTTGATGAGAATCAGGCGTCCGCCACTGTTTCAGTAGATGCAGTCAATGGGACAGGTAAAGAGAACGTCGCACCACTCGCCACGCCAGGCAACTATATTGACGACTTCATTGAACTCTTTGGAGATAATGACGAGGTCATCTTGCCTCCTGCTACACCGACGCCTAGAAGGCGCTCAGAGCGCATCCTGCTACGAACCCCTGGCAAGACACCGAGTCGTGAGTTAGATGAAGAACTTTCTATCAACGTGCAATTATCGTCCAGTTCAACAAAAACACCGAAGCAAGGTTTCAAGGATGTGGCTGAGTTGTTCATGGATACCATCACTCGGAATCTTGACCCCAAATTCATGACACCCAACACTCGTGCAGTACATAAAGCTTGCTACGGCAGTGGGTCACCAACACCTCGTCGTGTGCCTGCAAACACTGGCTTTACACCGAGACACAACACACCAGGTCGAGCATCACTCGATTTTAACTTTCCAGATTTGCCGTCCCTAAAAACATCGTCGCCAATGTCGCACGATGCTCTGAGCTATGGACTACCCGAATTATCAACGGATACGTTGCATGTGGATATAGAAGAATTGCTCACTACTGATGTACATATGCCTAGTTCGCCACCCGTCAGTGGTTCTGCCCGTTGGAATTTCGATCATGAGGATGACTTTGGTGGCATGGTCAGGTTTGAAGAGTCTGACGACGCAGACACTGATGCAGATATTCCTACACAGGGCACATCGTCCTTGCTGAAAACACCCAGAAAACAGACTGGTACAGGCATGCTTGAGGTTGCGACGCCTAGCTCGGCAGGGTTGAGGCGTAGTCCTAGACATCTTGGTCGCGATTGAGAAGGGAGTTCAGTTGCGGCTGTGATCGTGCTCTAGTACAGACGACGTGCTTCTACTCACCTGGGCTCGTGAGCTATCTCAGCAATTTTTGTCAAGCAAGGGGGTCTTTGGCATGTACCATAAAGCAGTCGCTCGAGGCGCTCGTACACATTTCGTAGTGGTGTCTGTAATCAAAGCACAGGTGGACTCGCTCTCTACTTTTTCCAAACTCATGTTGCGTGCTTGTCATTGGTTTTTTAGAAGATCTTTTGTTACATTCTGTATACCAATCTTTGTCCATACACGCTGCTCGTATTCCAACAAGTTCAGCTATGTCCAGAATTATGTTCACATTTCAAGAGACCGTGCTATAACTGAGATCACGCGAGTCAATATATATATATAATCTCACAAAGAAAGAGAACTCCATATCGTAACGGTGAGTAACCATCACCAACCTACTCACAACCCGAAGCCTCAGAGCTAGTTGGATAGAACCACGCAGCCACGGCAATAATCATATACAACATCATCAACAGCAATCCCTCCAACCAATGACTCTTTCCATCCTGAATCAAGTAATTGACCAGGAGAATCGCCACAAACAACATCGCCAGCTGGAAACCATCGAAGTACAGAGTCATCTGGTCTCCTTTGCCGGCCATCCAGCCGATGATCACGACGAGAGGTAGGACGAGAAGAGCAATCTGCATGGATGAGCCGACTGCGACACCAATCGAGAGGTCCATTTTGTCCTTGATGGCGACGGAGACGGCGGTGAAGTGCTCTGCTGCGTTTCCGACGATGGGGAGGAGGATCAGGCCGACGAAGGTTTTTGAGATGCCGTTGCTGGAGCAGGTGACCGAGTTCAGGGAGTCGACTAGGAATTCGGCATTGAGGGCTACGAGGACAGTGCTTGCGGCGAGGGTTATGATGGCGACGGTGAGGGAGATGGCGGGAGTTTCGGGTTGATCGTCGTCCTCTTTTTCTTCCTCGCCACCCATGGGAATATTGAAAGGTTGGTCCATGTCCATGGTGTTCTTTCGACCAGTGATGGCTTGTACTTTTCTCAAACCGGTACGTTGCTTCCAGCCTTCCTTTTGCTGCTCGGTGAATCGGGTCTTGTTCTTCTGACTTGGTGCAGTGTAGTAGGATACGTGCGACTTAAGCTGGAAGAATAAGTATGCTCCATAGATAAGCAGCAAGATAATAGCAGTCGCGTGCGACAGTTGAGGTACACCAGTGACGATGGCCTGTTCGGAGCTAGTTCGGTCGGCTGAACCTGTTTGTGCCCAGGCTTCAAAAGTCGTGGGGATGATGAGACTCGCGACTGCCAAGAAGAGTAGGGAAGCTGCAGTCTGTGCGACCGTGGTGTTGAAAGACTGTTCGAACCTGTTGATGCCGCCGAGGAAGAAGGCCATACCCAGGACTAGAAGTAGGTTGGACAGCATGGATCCGAGGAGCGAGGTCTGCACGATCAAGAACTGATTTTGAAACAAGGCGATAATGGAAACAATAAGTTCGACAGCATTTCTAAGGATTGTTAGCAAATGTTTCACACCGAGATCTGCAACTGCATACCCGAACGTGGCGTTGAGTAGACCTCCTAGGACTTCTCCTGTCCTGAGCGCAATCTCTTCAGTTGCGTAACTGAGTGTTCCTGCCAAAGGTATAATCGCGATGAAGTTAACCACAAAGATAGCAATGTCGTTCGCATGGGCGAAATGTAGTGCTATACCGATAGGAGCTGAGCCTCGTTAGCTTTAGTATTGCATGAATTGAAACCATGAAACTCACAGAATATAAGCAGAACGTTAATCCATGAGCCAAAGACGACTGCTCTGAATTGCCCCCAAAATGTGAAATTGTATTTGTCCTTTTCTTTCACTTTTCCATTATTGTCGTCGACATTGACCTTCTTCTTGTGCGAAAACAGATTCAAAGCATGATGACGTGCCTTTTCGGTACCTTCGTTCTGCGCATGATACCCAGAAGACTCTGCTTCTTCTCTTGAAGGTACCTCAGTGCTTGAACTACGATCGCCTTCGTAGGGTGCCTTGTCCTCAGCAATGGCATCGTCGTAGGGTAAGGGGCTGTCGACCCTGTTCAAGTCCTTCTCGGCATCTCCTGGCTCGACACCTCTTTGTCGCGACGTGGCGGATGGATCTGTTTGAAAGTCGCGCAGGGCCTGCTTGCCGTTTTCTGTATTGCCCCTAGATCCTGGTGTGAAATTCTGTGGAGTGGATCTTATTCTACCAAAGCCTTCCTCAGCTCTAGCGATCTGGTTGCTGGATTGTTGACGATTTGGATTCCATCTACCAAAAGGGTTCCTGCTATCAGCGTATGCATGCTTGCGCGCATCAGATTTGATGTGATCTAAATCTTGTTAGTGCTGCAACACTGTAGAGTACGAGCAACTTACGCATCTCGCAAGGAGAATTGAGGTACTGACTTGCGCTGAAGGCTGATATGGACGTATGAAAGTGTAGTGGTGGCCAGTGATGGTGAACGTCGACAATGCTTCGAGGAAATAACAGGTCTGGAGTCTATTCGAGCAGTATGAGTGCAACTGCTGTTTGCGAGATGAAAACGAAGTTCGGTTGGTAGTGACGTGGTTGTTTATGTTTAATGGGTCAGAGTGGCTGTCCAGGTTTAAGACCGAGCAAGAACCAAGATCTTCAAGGACGATGAAACTGGAAGTGCACAGCCAACAAAGTAAAGACCTACCAAAAGTGTGAATACGGAGTAGTGGAGGCGAATGGCACCAGTACCTGCCACTCAAGGGGAACGCACGGAAGGAGAGTTCGACATGTCGCAAATGCATTCGCAACGTGAAGCCGCCAGTCGTGGCGTCGATCTGTGCTTGAACACTGAAACCCAAGTATTGATTAAGCATAGCGTTAGGCTGTGCGATCGTGGAGCACTTGCAATAGCTATACATTTGTGGCTTTCATCCGGTGTAAGCTCGAGCGATGCTGAAGACATAGCTAGCAACCAGAACCTCTTCGATCCTTTTCAAGATGGTTACGATCAACGATCCGTCATGCTTGTCAAACAACCAGCTACAGTCTCAATGCGAACAGTATCGTTCGTGATCAGTACGTATGTGAAGGGTGGACATGAAGTAAAGCTATGAATGGTTGGCGATGAAGCCGAGTCGAGATGTCATAGTGCTTGCGGAGTCAAGCCTGCCAAACCTTTGCCAATCAGGCTTGCCGAGTGCTTGTTTCCAGTTCCAAGATTGCTTGTTGGTGCTCCCACTTGGCAGGCCCGTGTCCAAAACCTCGACCAACTGAAAGCGCTCTAATGGCAAAATTTTGCTATGTTTGCGCCACGAAAGCGATAATGCATGGTTACGCGACGGTCCTCGCTTACACGCATTCTGTGGCTCACTGCACGAAGAACGTGGAAAAGAATCGCATCTCTAGAACATGACAACGTGCATGCTGCGTCATTGCGCAGGAGTGAGCGAAGTTCAGCGCGAAGCTTGTGCTCAAATGCGGTGGAGTGTGCGGGCACACACCCAAAACCGAGCCAATAGGCAGACATTGGACTTGTCCTGATGAACAGCCATGGGTTTCCAATGAATTTGCTGTGGCGCAGCTAGACGATCATGGAGAAGGTGCCTGGGTGAACTGACTTCGTTCCAGAAAGCTCTCAATCGTAAAGAACAGATTGTAAGCCTGGACCTCGAGGTGCTCGACCGCATGCTCAGGATTGCGGTTATACAGGCACATCGTGCTGTGCTGTCCAGGGCGCGTCATCTTTGCGACCCGAAAACGATCTTAACCATCGATCTCGTGCATGTAACCCGAAGTAGACAGAGCCTAATGTACAATGCTGATCAACCACATACTGGCTCTGCGAACCCGATTGTCCAGCCCATCGAACCCATAATAACAACAAGGCCTGCCAAAGCAACGCCGACGCTGGCAAGACCATATATCCATGCAGCCCTCCAGTTCATCCCATTCAATTCCACAACCCAAGTACTGACAGTGGTCAAACAGCCACAGAAGCCTTGTTGTATGCCTATCAGTATAGCACAAGCGTTTCCACCAGCAATGCTTGCACCAACGGACCTGGCGTGTAGAAGATCCCATGCCATTCCAAGCACAAGAGTCCCAAATATGTTCGCCAAGAACGTGCCCAAAGGGAAATTCTGCCTGCTAGGACGATTGAAGTACTTAGCTAGATAGAACCGTATGATACAGCCTGGAGGGGCAAACAGCAGCGGGATGGTAGCTCGAGCTCTCCAGTTTACAGGAGATGGCCCGGATGCAGGTGGGAAGATGGTCAGGAACAATGCCCCGAAAATCCAGCAACCAAAGCCAACAAGCACAAAGAGTGGATTCAAGACCTTCACTGTCAGCCGAGTATGAAAAATCTGCTGCGGCAAGACTGGTCGTAGGAATTCTGCAAGATGGGTACCAGCTCTGAGACCGGCCAGTGATACGGCAGGATGGAGTATCAGAACGGCAATGAGAGCTTCGAAGCTAAATCCTCCGCTTCGACTAGCAGAGGCACGCGCATTCCGGTAAGCTGTTGTGCGTGAGAAGGTCGGCAGAGCGTTTGTAAGAGCCAGAAAGGCATCCTGAAGGTAAGTCGAAAACGACGTAAACGAGCCACAGAAACCTGTGGTCAGTCCTATGTACAAAGGTATAGCCTTCTTGAACTTCAGGTGTGTCGCTGACAGCTTAGAGTCTTCTGGCGGTGCATCATCTTTTGCTGGAGATGGGCCTAGGTCAGGAGGCAAGCCGAAGAGGTTACGGTCCTCAATGAGGAAGCCCATAAGGAACGAACCGCCCAGGTTGGCCCATAGAACTCGGGATGTGACTGGTGCGTCTGGATACTGGGTTATGGCTTCGACACCAACACGAGCTAACGTTCCGAGCAATGAGAAGAATATCAACCACGATATGATATACAATTCGTTCAGCCAAGGCGGACTTTCAGATGACTTATCCTGCGGTTTTTCGACGGTCTGGGCTTTCGTGGGCTCGTCTTCAGGCGCAGTAAACTGTCGATTGGAGTAGATTGTCATATTCTGGCTGTCGACTGGTGATCTGAGAGAGGTGCTTGTGAACGATCGTGACTTGGACGTTGGCAATCTGAGACCATCACGCCACGACCTTTTATGTGGCTTTGACAATCTAGCGCTTGCGGACAATTGTCGATGTGCATCGAGTCTAGATGTATCGCTGTCATCCACAGACGAACCGCAATGACCATTTCCATCCTCATGGGATTGAAAGTTCTCTTGTGCCCATCTCTGCCGGAAGTAACCAAAGCGATCCCTGTCCGAGTCCAACAGATCCGCCATACCCTTCAAATAAGTCCTCTGAGACGAACCTAGACGAAGCCAACCTTTTCTTGACTGTCTTGTCAACGTGTTGATTAGTTGGCACGTATGTTGATGATATCTATCAGGTACAGCTTCAAAGTGCTTGGCGGAAACGAATGTATTCAACAACAATGGAACGATTAAGTTCAACGTTCAGGCATGGAACTTGAGCTATGGCAAACATGATAGCAAGATCCGAAACACGTTTTTAGTCCTCGCTGTGATTGAGCGCAAGTGACAGGAGATCTGCAAGTGTCAAATAACAAATATGGTGCTCATCATACGCGTGGCGTCAGTTGAATTGCTCTATCTTGCAATCCTGCCGGTTGGTAGCCACGATACTGTGGTAAATGTGGCAAGATGACAGGACATTAATACGCAACGACAAAACGCAGGAGCCTCACCAAGTGCTGCAGGTGCCAGCGATTAAGACGCTTTAAACTGGTATCTTCGGCCCAGACGGCTGGTACAGGCAATACAGCGCTGTCAGGAAGTGCTGTCTCGAGATGGCGTTGCATATACCAACAACATCACCGAATCTCAAACACCAGACCATTTTCAAGAACTACTTCAGTGATTCAACAGCTCCCCTCCAAGCTTATCCAGGGGCTGCTTCGATTTGATCTTCCTCCTCACGACCTTGCACAGTCCATACTGTCCGTGTTTTTGTTCAACGACAGTAATGTTTCATGGCCTTTTCCTACTGTCAGTACCCCCACTTCTTATAAGCCTTGACATGATTGAGAGACTCATATTTGCCGTATCTTGAGGATGCCGGTCCCGAACAATATCAGGATGTCTCGTCCTCGCATTCTGATCAGAAATGCTATGGCTGTAGTCGTCGGATCGTGCATCTTGTTGATGCTCCGAGGCGACGGCTTTCACTTTGATGGCTGTATTTCGATTCATTTGTCCCGTTCATATTCCAAAAATCCATTTCCCACGCTCGTAGACGTAAAAACTGGTCGCAGTCATAGGCACAGTCTTTAGGTACCCAATTGTTAACCCAACAAAGAACCCTTTAAATCCCCTTTCCACAAATATGCGTGTCGCAGTCTCAACAATGCCCGCTCTACGTCCATCTCCAACCGCGCCACCTATCTGCATTCTTCTGCGTATAACCTCAAGGGGATATGATGATGTTTGTGAAACAAGTCCTGCTATTGCGCCTGCTGCCAATTGAGCCGGAGCAGTCAGCTGTGCGCGCTTTGTGTTTGTACCACGCTCTGTCGTGATCGCTGCATCTTTCGAGCCCCGCATGATAGTGTATGGGGCTAACTGAGGTAGGCGAAAAAGGTCGCCTATAGCATCGTGGGTGAGGAATGACATTCCCGCATAGGGTATCATGCCTAGCAAAGTTGACGAGAAACCTCGATAGAAATTGGATAGACCAGACCTGGGCGCTACTTTATGCACCACCTCTGATACTGTCGCAGCTGGACTTGACCCATGTCCATTGTTATTCACAGCAACCAAGGGTCCGGGAGGCTGTTCGAAATAGATACGTCGACACGTTTTCGTGAGCGATGCCTTTGAACTCTTCTTCGTCTCGAAAGCCATTCTCACACGTATGACTTCCAACGGATATGTAAAGAAGACGGACGTTAAGCCTGCCAGCGAGCCAGACGCAAATCTGCGACTGGGTGTTTCCATAGCCTTGTTAGGTATTAGAATATTTCGAATCTGCTCGTAGGCCAGGAACTTGATCCCAGCATAAGGAAAGATGCGCAACAGTGTCGCTGAATGCCCACGGAATAAGCCTCGCACTCCCTCCGCTTGGTTGATATCTCGTAACGCTCTGAACAGGCCTAGCCATGAACCTGTATATTTCGCGAACTGCGGATTCGAGGTCTGAAAGAGGATTTTGACGCGGTCGAGAGGTCCAACAACAGTCTTTGCCTGTACATGGCATTAGTCTAGGTCGTTGCATGTCTCGCGCATCTTCATGCTTACAGCACATCCAGCAAACCCACCTGCGACGCCTGAACGGACAATATAGCTCAAGCTCCTCTTGTCTATATGCTTGTGCTCCTGCTGATGGTCCTGTGCCAGTCCAGCATAGGCCAGCGACTCATCGTGCATGTCGACTAAAGCCGGCGTGCTCGGAGCTGCAGGTGAGGGCTCTTCGAGGAGCCTCCTCGGCGCAGGTCGAGCCATCTGCGATGGTTGTGAGGATTGCGATATTGTGGCTGCATTGCCTGTTGAAGCTCCTGGCATTCACGAACTACAAAGTTCCGCGACAGGTTCCGAAGGGAATTCGAGCACAAGGGGAAAGTATATTACACATGGCCAGTGACGAAAATGAGCCTTTCAACGTCGCCGAGGTCGTGGAAAGACCTTCCAATGAAAACGTCTGGTCTTCGGATGACGCACCTGCACACGCGGGCATTCTGTAAGCACGCCGAGCAAGCTATACCAACACCACCATCACCACCGACTTTGAAATTGCTCTTGCTCGAGGTACCTTGTAGTGAACGACCTTCAGAGGCAGCGAAAAGAAGCTACTTCAATTATCGGACAATGGCTTGTGCTGCTATACTCGCCAAGTATTCTCAACCCACGGACGAATGTATAGATTCCACGTTAATATATTCTATTTGATCTATGGACTCCAAACTGGTTATGCGCTTCCTCTGGCCTCAGAGTAGACAGTGATCCTGCTGAGCGTTCTTTCTGAGGGCGACTAGCGTCCTCATGATCTCCAGCTTCCTCTGCAACCGGCGCCGTCGAAGGTATTTGTGCCAATGTCTCCCTTCTGTCAGAATAGTCTGCGTCCGTACCCATCCAAACACTATCTTTCCGCCTACGTCCTTCAGCTTCCCACCAATTTGCGCTTGTACCACGATTCGATGAAGGGTTTGACATAGTGATCTGATTCTGTGAAGCTTGACCCAGTTCCTCCTCAGACATTGCATGGAATGATCCCACGGCTGACCCTTGCCGGTTGTCTCCTCCGAGGCTGAATGAATGTCGTATCTTGTTCAAGGAGAACTTGCGGCCCTCCGGTATGCGCTTCCATGGCTTTTCTCGCCATGAGAATATCACACAGTCAACACCGGCTTGCAAGCTTACTGAACACGTCTGAGCTACCGTCAACCAATAGATGGGGTTTTGCACATAATAATCGTTGTAAAGAAGACAATGAGACACGAATGGAAACAGCCACATAAGAACGTACACGGCTGGATAGATGAAAAGATATCGTAGCTGTTTGCGAATAGCCTTGCGTGTTGATTGCAACGGATCTTGCGGCTTCGGCTGAGATGCCGACTGAACAGCCTTAGGCGTCATCGAAGGTACCTGGTTCATAGAGTAATGAGCCGGTACCGTCCTTGTTTCTCCAGACAGCTGCGACATACGAGCTGAGGAAGGCGGCTCCTCTTGACCTTGAGGTGCGGAGCTCTGACCAGGAAAATACTGACTTGTATTTTGAGGCGACGTTGTGCCCGCAGAAATACTATGCTTCTGGCTTCTCATTGAAAAGTCCGAGGTCTCTATCCCTGCTTGCGAACCGTCGTTCCTCCTTAAACCTTTGGAAGTGATGAACGAAACTTGTTCCCAAGGATCAAGCTCGCGGGGCATTTGATTCGGTTGCTGGTTGTAAGAAGCAGACCGGGAGAATACAGGTCGACCGAACCTCATCCTGGCCTGAGCATCCTCAGAGCTAATGTGCTCGTCGGGTGCGATATTGTCGTCCGATATTGATGATCGACGCGATGGTGAGCCTGACGAAAAATTTGAACTGTCCTCGTGAAGGTAGTTGAAGCTGCGGAACTTCAAGGCGACATAAATATATACAGCCAAGTACATTGTGAAAATAAGTGTAATGATACAATAACGAGGTATCCAGCTGAGAGCCAGCCGATACCAGAATGGACGTCGTGGCAGGTAGCAGAACGTGCCGGCGGTAGTGTAGCCATTGTCGTTGTTGACGAAGGCCAGGGAGGCTGCTAACACTGGGAAGACCACCCAACAAGGATATATGTATTTTCTATATCTGTAAAGTCCACCGTTGTCCCCAGAGCTGGCCGGTGGATTGAAGATGTAGATTAGTGAATGCAGAGCGATCATCAGAATCGCATAGTCGGAAGCCTCAATTCCTAAGGCGAGGAAGAACCCACTAGCTTGACAGAACCCTGATGAATTCTGAACCGGACCCTGGCTGAATACCACCACAGGGAAGATGAAATACCAGAAAGCTTTGAACGTATCACTGAGGATAAGAAACATGACCAGCTTGTGTCGGAAAGCCCGCTTCATCAGAATAAACCATCGCAACGTTATCAGTGTCGCAAGGACGCTGAAGCAGGCACATGTTAACCCAGCAATTAAGATACCTCGATTCTGCTCCCTTGTAAGACTCGTGCGATTCGGATCTGCTGCGTTCAACGACCTGATGGTCAGACTCATGAGGAAAGATCTGCTTGGATTCGCAGAAACGTGGTCTCGGGTGTTGTTAGATGAAATACGTCCGCCATCCGAAGGCCAGACAAAGATCGTCTCGTTGTCGCAATCAGTGATCGACTTACTATACGCAGTGGCGTATCTGCATTTTTAATCCGAGAAATCTCTTAATCAAGCGTCCCTGTAGAAAATCTCAAACAAGGTCAAGGTTTGTTGTGGTAGACAAAGGTGAGAGACAGTGGAATGTGAACTTAAGAAGACGTCAGTGCTGCAGCATGCACGGCATTTGATCTCGAATCAATGTGGATGGGTTCCGAACGGGGGACATTGAACTCAAAGCGGCACAAGTACTCAGAACCGCGAAGAGCTTCGAAGGGAACTCGCTCAAGGCCGGTGCTATTGCAGATCTCCGTGAGATCAACCCCATCAAGCTTCACAGTATCTGCGATAAACGAAAAGCGACTATCTGCCGTCACATGAGCCGAGGAAATAGTAGGCTTTCACATCCAATGAACCAAGCATACTCCCATCGCCCAGGCCGCAACAATCGAAGTCTCACTAGACTCGAGCAGAGGGTCGAATGTCATGCCTTCCGCATCTCTGCAAACATAACACAAATCACGTCAATAAATTCCCAACACAGAGGATGGTGGGTCCAGATGGCCGACATTCTTGGGAATTTTATGGTTGCTGGCAGCAGGGGCCTTCTGCAAGATTTGACGATGGTGGCGCTCTTGGCGCTGTCGATTATGCATGGCTTATGATATTAGACATAGACTAGATCTATTCCGGATGGCACCGAACCCGCAGGAGCAGCCTTCAGAGCAGATCCTGTCCCAAAACTGGTCAACACTTCGGGCGAAACCCCTTTCTGGTACCAGAAAATGTCAGACATTCTGTTCTGTTCTCCGGACAAGAAGATATTCTTGCTCGACATTCCACGCTCAATAGAAAGCAGTCAAGGTGGAGGACGTGTTCGTTCCGCTCTACCGCTTCAGGTTCCTCACGTTACCCCTGAACCGAAAGGCAAGAAGCGTGAAGTATTGCTGAGTCAAGTGCCGGTCAAGGAACTCGTTTACCAGCAACGGATCGAAGAGAATATTGATGCGGCATGGCGCAGTATAGCAGCAGCTTTCGAGCAAAAGGCATGGTGTCTACCACGTTTGCCGATAGAGCAGGACGTATATTCACACCTATGTGCAGCTAGTCAAGGGCACGATGCAAGCCCTCATATCCCGGTAGTGCTTTCATCCACACAGAATGACTTTGAAGCAGTACGTGAAGTGCAGGACGACATCATTGTGAATAGCGCTGGCCCGACATGCATTGCTATCCTGGAGATAGAGACGACCATTGTGGTTCCTAGTCACTGCACGTTTATCTGGAGCAGGATTCAACATGGGTTGGACGTCATGCTAGAGTATGAATGTTCAAGCAATTCTCGCCTCCAATTTGATATAATCCTCATGGATCCACCTTGGCCGAACAGATCAGTGCATGAACACTATGCTACGATGAAACATCGAGAACAAAATGCGTACGTGGACGCTCTGAAGATCGTACAGCACTTCCACGCTCCAGAACGCTACGTTGCAACTTGGATCACGAACAAACCTGCAATTCGTAGGCAAGTCCAGGCTTCGATGATGTCTCTGGGTTTCACTCTGCAGGAGGAATGGATATGGACAAAGACTACGACAGCAGGTGAGTTTGTGGTACCCTTGAATGGTCTATGGAGGAAGCCATACGAGATTCTGCTTCTCTTTAAGCACAAAGCTTCCGCTTGTTCTCCCCTTCGTCGCATCTTGTTTGCTGTACCAGACATGCATTCTCGCAAACCGAATCTCAAAACTCTGTTTGATATGCTCATTGGAAAGTCCTGCGTGCTTGAATTATTCGCCAGAAATTTGACTGCTGGCTGGTGGAGCTTAGGTGACGAGGTGCTGAAATACCAGGACGGCAACCTCTGGCATGAGCTTGCAGATGGAACATTGTGCTAGATTCAGATCTGTCAGCAGGTGATCACAAGCGAAGGGACACTCGTTGTGATCTCAGATACAGAATTTAGAGGCTCTCTATCAATAGGCGTTGTGTTGGTCGCGCTCTCTTGAGCAGAACTGCAGACGCGTCTGACACGCGCCTGATGACGCATTTGGCGGGTCAACCCTCTGGGCAGACCAGAATACCCCGAGAGCCAGTTGCCGCTCGACTTCAAGAAAGCCAAGCATCTACAAGTGGTTGTATTTCGTGCAATTTCTGTTCAGGTACAAGATGTCGCTGGAAAATCCAGATGTTGCAAAAACAAACAAGGCGTTCGTGCCTCTTGGTACGAAGTAGAAAAGAGCACTTGTGAAATGGTATTAACTTGGAGCAGAAAACAACCCAGAGGTGATGACCAGACTAGCCCACGAACTAGGTCTAAGTCAATCTCTGCAGTTCCACGAAGTGTACTCACTGACCGAGCCTGCCCTACTCGAATTTCTTCCACGACCAGCATATGCCCTCCTTCTCGTCTTTCCTGTAACAGAAACGTACGAAAAGTTCCGACGAGAAGAGGACGCTACAAGACCAGACTATAGCGGCAATGGCTCCGACGAGCCAGTCTTGTGGTTCAAACAGACGATCCGTAATGCTTGTGGTTTAATCGGTCTGCTCCATGCGATAACGAACGGCGGAGCACGTGAGCAGATCGTCGCAGGTAGTGACTTGGAGAAACTATTAAGAGAAGCTGTTCCACTGGACCCTGTCAAGAGAGCCGAGCTGCTGTACCAAAGTAAGAGTTTGGAAGCTGCACATGCCACAGCCGCGGCCACAGGCGATACTCAAGCTCCTGATGCAAATGCAAATGTTGATTTACATTTTGTTGCTTTCATCAAGGACCAGCAAAACAACTTGTGGGAGTTGGATGGAAGGAGAACAGGTCCATTGAACAGAGGTAAGCTGGATACGGACAATGATGTGCTCAGTGAACAGGGTCAGGAGTTGGGAGTGAGGTCGTTCTTGAGACGTGAGGAAGAAGCTGGTGGTGGTGAGTTACGGTTTAGTGTGATTATGCTAGGCCCTTCTATGGACTAAGGTCACACCATATTGCGATCGGACACGCTCTTCATGCATGCGTAAGAGGGTTTACGAAATGGGCGTCAAAATTTGAAGTTTGCATATCCTGAACCTGTCGAGCAGTTCCAAGACAAAACCAGCAAGTTAGGAGTCATTCTCCTACGGATGAGCCTTCGATTACAGTCAATATATGTAGAACGGAAGAGCGCAAGAACATGGCTCACACAGCTCAAAGTTGTATATATCTTGAGACAGGCGCCTACTGGTCACCAGCTAAGCATAGCTGCTCTTTTCAGGCGCTTGCAACTCCTGCTCGATACGAGAAGTCTCAAATGTCTCGTCGTCTTTAAACATCATCTCACGATCCTGTTTGCGGGCCTTGTCCTCTCGTCTATTCAACCTCGCTTCCCACAGTCCTTCCAAGTCCATTTCGAGTCTTTTAGCCTCTGTAAACATCTGCACCACTATTCTCGGCGCAGTACTCGCACTTCCAAAGCCTCTGTACTGAAAATCCTGATCTGAAGGATTTTTGTATTCATCCTCTTCGTCTTCAAGGATGCGCTCCTGATCCTTCTCCGAATAGACGGGATAACTCTCAGCTTGCGCCGTTTCCTCCTCCACCGAAGCCTCTGTACCACTAGCCACGACACCTTCTTCGACGTCGTCGTGCTCTTCCTGCGCAAGAACAGCCTGGCTCACATCTCCCAGATTACAACACACCCAGCCCGTAGTGATTCCGTCATCGTAGCTCTTGTCGTACATCGTGTTTCCCACACTCTGCGCCAGTTTCAGCTTTTTATTCCGCCTCCTCAGTTTCAGCTTCAATTCGTTTCTCCCTAACAGGCCGTCCGCAAATGGCCGGAGCTTGTATGTACTGCGCAACCAACGGCAGAAACGGTCGGCGGATGTGTTTAGGTGTTTTTCGGAGCGGGCGGTGCCCAGTATCATGAGGAGGTTGGAGCCGAGAGCTGAAGGTGGATTGAGAGCACGCAGGTCTAGAATAGTGAGGTGATCGAGGCCGATGGTGATGGAGAGATGTTGGAGGACGGGCGAGAGGATTTCTGGAGGGTCTGATGGGAGTGGTGGAATTTCTTGCGCTGCGAGATTGATGGAAGAAGTCGCGGCAGGTGATATGGGTGTAGGAGGTTGGACTTGTAGGTACCACGGGACATGGGAAGGTTGTGAAGTTGGTGGAGGAATAGTTTCGCTTGCTGACTGGTCTGGCTCTACATTTATGGCTGTATCTCGGTCTATCCCTGGTTTTGGCGGTTCCGGCTGTCGCCGAAACGTTGAATTTTGAAAAGATCTTTGTGCTGGTCGTGATACTATGTTGATTAGCCTCTTATGTGCTGTTGACGGTGGTGGCGCGCTGATTGAATGGCCGGCCAAAGATGCTACAGCGTCCAACATACGACGCTGGCACAAGCGACAGCCGTTGAATGTCAAAGTCATTTCGATGATCGATACCTGGGTACGCACGATGATAACAGCTGAAATAAAGTGTATTGGTTTGATATGTACTGCGATGCTGGCACAAGATTCGTTTCCGTAAAAAAATTGCCGTTAGCTGGTACACGATGCTGCCGATACGGAAGCAATGTGGCCAACGAGCTGCGAACCTGCTCCAAAGAATGTCCTCCGCAAATATGGTGCTTTGATTGGATGACTAGATGAGCCACCAGGCTAAGAGTCACTAGCCTTGTGTCGAGTGAAGGGACAATTTCCTACCTCAGTGACAGACTCATCGTTCACTTGATATGGTGAAATACTGCACTATACCTGATGAACTCGAAGTGGCTCAGTAATGTCAGGCAACTAATCTCTGAACCAGGTCGCTACCGAGGCCGAGCATCATATCGATCTTCTATGACCATGGCTCGCATGGCAGCAGAACCACTTAGCTTGAGCCCTCCCGAAAGACTGTTTCGACAATGTTTGCTAGATTGTCGTGAGAACATGCAGGGTGTGCCTGGAATGGAGAATCTCGAGCTACGATGGACTGGTGGCTGGGTCAGAGACAAACTTCTGGGAGCAACAAGCCACGACATCGATGTTGCTCTTAGCACTATGACAGGCGAACAATTCGGCAAAGCATTACAAGAATACATGAAAAGCAATGGGACAAAGTACGAAGAAGAAGCTAAGAGGGAAGGCTTCACGTCCGACATAAAGGACTTGCACAAAATTAAGGCGAATCCTGAAAAATCGAAGAACCTTGAGACAATAACAACCCGCATGTTCGGCCTCGATGTTGACCTTGTAAATCTAAGGAAAGAGGTATACAACGAGAGCAGTCGGAACCCACAGATGGAGTTTGGCACTCCTCAAGAGGACGCTGTGAGACGGGATGCTTGTGTCAACGCCTTATTCTACAATCTCGATACCCAAAAGGTCGAGGACTTTACGGGTCGAGGACTGCAGGACATGGAAGCCAAGCTGATTAGAACACCTTTGGCGCCTTATCAGACATTCGTTGATGATCCTCTGCGAGTCCTACGCCTTATCAGGTTCGCTGCACGCCTGGATTATACTATTCAAGATGATGCATTGCAAGCGATGGCCGATCCTAGAATTCACGAAGCTCTCCGAATGAAGATCAGTCGAGAACGAGTTGGAGTTGAAGTTGGTAAAATTATGACTGGTCCGAACGCTTTCAGCGGTCTCACGAGAATCTATGACCTCGACCTCTACGTTACGGTCTTTGGCGACCCCAGTTCTAATTTAAATCAAGTCGACAATAGCAGCTTTCCTGTGGCACTTGACGCACTAAGACAGGTGCTCGATCATGCTTCGGCTTTGTCCTTGGTGCTCAAGCCTAAGGATGATATTACCACCGCCTGGACCCTGGCAGCCTATGTACCTTACGCAGACGATGAAGCTGCAGCCCTGAACGCCGCAAGAGAAGGTATCAAGGCAACTAACGTTATTTCCAAAACGCTGTCCGATGCCATCACAAATCGCGACCGCATACGTAACAGCGTACACAAGGTCAACAACCAGGAAGCGGGACGGGCTGACGTCGGCATGTTACTCAGAGGATGTGGTAAGTCGTGGAGGTTTCATGTGCTGTACTCTCTGCTATGTGATGCAACGAAGGACTCGTTTGAAGAGGTCAACAAGTCGTACAGCACTTTCGTCCAGTATGTACAGGCTCAAGATCTGGAAGGTGCTGCTGAGATAAAACCGATACTGAATGGCAACGAGATCAAGAAAACTATGGACATTTCTAAGGCAGGAAGCTGGATCAAGACTGCGACTGAAATGGTTGTGAGATGGCAATTTGCGCATCCTGAGGGTACCACGGAAGAGGCGGTCGAATGGATCAGACAACACAAAGACGAATTGCAAGCTGGGTGAAGGGAGAGGTAGCTCAGATTTTCGACTTCTTAGCACGAAGCTGGACGTCCCTGGCTTCTTGTCTTACGGCGAGACTGCTCATGATCTCCTCGCTGCCTCCGCCAACGACGTGCACTCGAACATCTCTACTGATCTGCTCTACACGAGCGCCTGGTCCAGACTTATTATACCCAGCACCGCCGAAAATTTGCTGAGCTTCGCGACAGCATTTCTCGAGGCATCTCGTGCTCATGACTTTCAGTAAGGCGGTCATGCCTCCCACGTTGACCTCCTTGCCAGTCACACACGACGTTTCAACCACGTAGCACAGCTGGTCCAGGAAAGCCTGACAAGGTTCGATGAGCTGACCGAACTTGGCAAACTTTGCTCTTATCGCATCGTGTTCGATGAGCTTCTTGCCAAAGGTCTCCCTCTTACAGGCATAATCATACGCGTCTTGTACACAAACTCGGGACAATCGAATTGCCGCAGTGGCTAGGCTCAACCTTTCGGGATTAAAATTGGACATGATGAGACGGAAACCGTCATTCTCTTTTCCGAGCAGATGGTCAACAGGTACTTCAACGTCTTCGAATGTGATAAAAGTCGAGCCTGCAGCTTGTAAGCCTTGGAAATCTCTTACGACCAATGACACTTACCACTGGCATGGACACCTTGATTGTACATGCGACGTCGAGTCACGCCTGGTGCATTCAATGGAATGACAAGTAAGCTTATGCCACCATGGCTGTTTCCGCCCGTCCTGACAGCAGCAGTAACGTAATCAGCCCAGATTGCACCTGTAATCCACTTCTTACTTCCATTCACAATGTACTTGTCTCCTTGTCTTTCAGCTGTTGTGCGAATATTAGCAACATCACTACCACCATCTGGCTCAGTTATGCCCAGGCAGAACCTGATCTCGCCTCTAGCAATCTTAGGTAACCACCTCGCCCTCTGCTCCTTGGTGCCAAAGCGCGAGACTGGTGGTGCTCCTATACCATTCCCTCCGTTCAGGCCCCAACTCACACCACACCAGCCCATTCTGTTCATCTCATCACCTACAATCATGCCGCACCAAGTATCCCATTCATTGTGAGGGATGCCTGCTATTGGCGTAACACCACCAGCATCCTCTTTGTCGATCACTGGATGCACAATTGTGAAGCCTGCGTCGGAGTATTTCTGCCTCACATAATCAGGTATCTCGCCTGCTGTTTCCCATTCTTGTGCATACGGCAACAACTCTTTCTCGACGAAATTGCGTGTATAAGCACGTACTTTGTGGTGCTTCTCGGTCAGAAAAGGATTGGGGACATCAAGTTGTGGAAGGAGAGGTTCTGCGAATGGTGCTGGAAGTGAAGACGGCATCTTTATTGTGTCAGTGTAGAGTTGGTCAGCATTCAATCAAGCCTTGGAGGTAGGCTGATGGTATTTTGATCACATCTTCGGTTCTGTCTGTGAAGACCGTAGTACGAAAGCGATGTTGATGCTTGTTCGTATCGGTTTACCAAGGTTTCCTCGAACGGCGGCTCAGATGCCTCGGTTCTACCTTGAGGTCAGAGATGAACGCGGAAACGTAGTACGGATCTCTAAGACGCATAAATTGGCAGTCGATCCGTAGGGTTATCCTGTCCTGAATCGCTGCTGTACCAAGCACAATGCATCGACTATCGTCCTTACTCAAATCTTGCAACTCTGATCCAGACCCACGTCTGTTGGCCCTTTGAAGATTGAACACTAAACAGGAATGCTGCTGCAATCGTCCGATCCGTGTGAGCTAACACCATGACCTGATTTCTACATTCCAATTCACTCGAAGTACCCAACACCTGATCTACTGTACAACAGAGAGTATGCAATGGAATCTTTCGATGCCCTACCACACTCTGATAGATTGAGTGACGACTACGATGAGCCAGTGAAGCGGTCAATTGTAGACCAGACGAAAAAGGCTATTGCCTCCATTACCAGTGGCAATGCCGATGTAGATACCAGAAGCCAAGCATCCTCTCAGTTAGAGGAAGCTAAACAAATCACCAGAACGACTGAAGATGCGGCAACGATTAATTGTCCGCCAGAAGTTCCAGTCTATCCCCAATTGACCCACAAAGCTTTCGAGGCACCTAGGATCGCCAACATGGACACCAATGTTGACGATGAAGAAATAGACGAAGATGGTATCGGGCTTTCGAAGCCATCGCAACGAAATGCTACACCACCGCCTGAGCTGCTTCAACACAATCATGGCGCGTTCGTCCATAACGTGGGTGAAGAAGGCGTCATGCGAATGCATCGCTTTACACTGTATGAAACGCAGAGTCTTTACTACATTATTGGCTCCGACATACTTCGCACCTCGTATCGCATCCTGAAGATCAGCCGTCTGTCCGATCAAGGTGAGCTTGATGTTACAGAGGACGATATCGTCTATACTCAAAAAGAAACACAGCAAATCGTGAATGCGGTAGACGAAGGGAACAGGGCTACTGGGGGCTTAAAGGTAAAAACGAACGAGTTCTGGGGTCTCCTCGGTTTTGTGAAGTTTACAGGAGCATACTATATGGTCATCGTGACCAAAAGAACTCATGTCGCTGTTCTAGGCGGTCATTACATTGATAGAGTTGACAAAACTGAGATGATCCAATTGACCACTACCGCCACTGCGCGAGTGAAAGCGGAGAAGTATCTAGAGGAGGCACGTCTCGTAAGCATTTTTGGAATGGTAGATCTGTCAAAAGGATTCTACTTCAGTCCCTCATATGATATCACGCGAACTTTGCAACACAATATCTTAAGAGAGCGCAAAATACTGAACGACAATTCTGCACAACCACAACCTCCAGAGCACAACGACATGTTCATATGGAATCACCACTTGCTCGAGCCAGCTAAAGCAGCTTTGCAGAATCCTTTCGACTGGTGCTTAGCAGTCACCCACGGATATATCGACCAGTGTGCACTCTCGATCTACTGGGGACGAGTGGTCTACATCACAATCATTGCACGGCGATCGAGGTTCTTTGCAGGCGCTCGCTACCTGAAACGAGGTGCTAACGATCTCGGCTTTGTCGCCAACGATGTCGAAACAGAGCAAATTGTGTCTGAGATGCGAACTCAGTCTTTTCATGCGCCAGGACCAGAGCTTTTCGCAAGCCCTCTGTACACATCATACGTACAACATAGAGGGAGCATACCCCTGTATTGGTCACAAGACGCTACTGGAGTTTCTCCTAAACCAGATATACATTTGAACGTGGTCGATCCCTTTTTCAGTGCTGCCGCACTCCACTTTGACAACCTTTTCGAACGATACGGCACGCCCATCTATGCATTGAACTTGATTAAGCAGAAAGAGCGAAGCCCTCGAGAAGGCAAGTTAGGAACCGAATATCAAGCAGCGGTTGGATACCTCAACCAATTCCTCCCTGAAGATAAAAAAATTATCTACCATGCGTTTGATATGAGCCGCGTCACAAAGAGCAAGGGAGGAGATGTCATCGGAGACCTCGAAGAAATTGCAGAGGACGTCGTCACGAAGACAGGCTTCTTTCATAACGGGTACGATCTAGAGAGTGGACTTCGCTTGCAGAAAGGCGTAGCGAGAACTAATTGTATCGACTGCCTGGATCGAACGAATGCGGCCCAGTTCATCGTTGGCAAGAAGGCCTTGGGTCAACAACTTAGAGCTCTCGGGGTCATTGAAGACGACTTTGTCCAATTCGATTCAGACGCCGTGACAATCTTTACCAATATGTGGCACGACCATGGCGACACGATTGCAATCCAGTATGGAGGTTCGCACTTGGTCAATACAATGTCAACCTATCGTAAGATCAACCAGTGGACAAGTCATTCACGAGATATGGTTGAAAGCTTGAAGAGGTTCTACAATAACTCGTTCCTAGATGCACAGAGACAGGAGTCATACAACCTGTTTCTTGGTACATACAGGTATCGGAACGGGTATCCTTTGCTATGGGATCTGTCGACAGATTACTATTTGCATCATACTGAGCCACGATCGATGTTCGGGCGAAGGAGGCCCAGCTATAGAGCCTGGTACACGCCAGCATACCTGGAAGAACCTCAAGTTGCTTCGCTCTTGTTGCCGAAGCAACCGTCGGATCGACCACTATCATACTATGACGATTATTGGTCAGAGTACTATAGACCACTAACACTGTCATCCTACCGAAAGATCTTTGCCTTTAAGATTCATTCGAACTTAACAATCATCAACGTCAATGAAGAAACTCAAGGCGGTAAGTACGACTTGAGTCCCTTCAAGGTCAGGACGGGGAAGTCAGAAAAGACAGACCCAAAAGAGAAAGCCGTGCCAGCGCGAAAGAAGGGTGTCAAGGTGATAGCCCCTAGCGACGAAGGGTCCACAATAGACGGCTCATCGATCGACGCTCGGCTTGCAGCTAACAACGCTGTGGAGAAGCCAAACCCCCAGGAATTGGGTGAATGGCTTGATCGTCAGCAGCAGGCACATGCATTACGAAGGAAGTATACTGGTATTATCAAGGATTCTTCCTGGGAAAAGGCTTCGAGAACGCCGACGGTACCTGCTATGCCACCTGCAGGGATACTGCTTGGCGAGATGCCTCAGCAGCAGTCCAAACAGGACCAGCAATCAGCAGCTTTCGAAAGGATGGTGACCAATAGCCTGAACCCGAGAGTTGTGGAAATGGAGGAATACGAACAGTACATGTCACATCCGGCAAGCATCCAATTAGTGACCTCGACAGAAACAGACTATGCGAAAGCCCCCAAAGAATTCATCGAGTACATCGCTAGGAATCAAGATCCTACCGAAATAATGTATGCGCATGCGCTGTCCTCTCATGTCGATGGTTACTCTGAGGTTGATTTGACGCTCGATGAACGAGCAGAGCTCAGCATCGATGATTACCAGGAGTATGTTTCGTCGGGAATGCGAGAAGATGCATTGACCGTGCTTGATGAGGATGCTGCAAGCAAAAGGTACAAGAAGTACAGATCGTGGGTCACTCGTGGCAAGAGTTTGTTCAAGCAGAAATATTATCTTGGTGGTGAACTCGTTTAGTTTACTTATGTTCGCCAGGTATCAGTGGAACTGCATAATCGTAATTTACTAATGGATGATGTTTTCGAGGACGTTGAAGTCCTCTGATCGACACTACTAGCGACATTTGATTTCAAGAGTACCCGTCGAATGTGAAATCAGAAATATTAAAGCAGTCTGGTAAAGATCTTGGCCAAACTTGCATTCCGTGCATGAGTGGCTTCTGATTGGCGTTCTGGCAAGAGTGGTCTTGAACTGATTTGCCTTTGTCTCGGCGCTAATGTAAGGTACCCCAGCGCCAATGCCGACCCCTGCAAGGAACAGCCTGAGCGTGAGCGCCCCTTCTCGAGCAATCCTGCAACTGCGGTTTGGCTATTCTATTGTCTTCAACAGCGGCACAGCGACTTTTTGAAGAGCATCTAACTTGAGTATCGTGCAGTGCACGTACCTCACAAGTCCTTCTCTGTCGTGGTTTGCACAAATTTTGTGCCACAGGGTCCCTCACCTACCCAAATCGACGGCTGGACGCTACACTCTTTCCCTCATCAAACTTGCAGCCGATCGAACAAGCTTCGCAACTTCTGAACCGCACGTCTGAACAGCTTCTTTCTCTGTCTATACTACACGCTCAGCACGCTTCTGAGAACGCAGAACAAACACCTACAGCCGGTCGCAGATACTTCTATCTTCGAACGCGGAACCTCAAACAATATCGTCCCACGGAGAAACATCGAGGATAATCTTTTCAATACACGACTCGGAAATTTGTCTGGTACATTTTATATAAAGATGAGGTGGCACTCAGCAGCGTTGCTGCTTATACCGGCCACGACATCAGCTGAGATGATAGTCTCGCCGTCCCAAATAATAGATTCACTCACACCTTCGAGAACAATTCTCCGGGTGCAAACAGCCACCATAACGCCTACACCTACCACACCAATACATAATAACTCAAGAGTTTGGGATCCGTTAATATCGATAGCTACCGACTTCTTGGACGAAGTTAATGAGCATCTGCATATCGACCTGAAAAAGAGACAAGGTGCTGCACAGACGGGTGCTGTAATTGCCACGACGATTGTCACACAAATGCCTGCAGTTACGACTTTTTCGCGCAACGGGGTCGCTGGAGTTTACACACAACTGTTCGTAGCTGTGCCAGATCAGTGGCCAAATCCTGAAGCAGGCACTATCGGGCTTGGAACCATAGTAGGCCAGATCGGTGTCGTCAAGAGCAAGTCGAAAAGGGACACGTTGCCAGAGGCAACCAGTGCACCAGCTCAAGTTCTGAGAATCAAGGGTCGAGAAGTAAAGGTGTGACGAGCTGGTAGTCGGCTCAGTCTTGACTAAGCGTTTGTTCGATCTCCCGAGCTGCTTCAAACGAGAACATGTTTCTGTCCCTGACAGCAGATATGGGACTACAAATCCCCAGCATTGTACAGCATTAAGGAGTTTGTTTTTTGAGCTTTTCTTCTCGAGCTAAGCATCAGCAATTCGAGAGGAGTACGGTGCATCAATCTCGGGAGTGAAATGCGGGCTAGGGAAAGGAATCAGGGATTTGCATCCAGAAGCATTGTATGATAGGCCATATCAATATCATCGTCAGGCTGGAACCAATATTTGGCATAAATTCTGGAAATACTTCCACTACTTGTTGAATCTTCTCTCGTGCCGATACCTCATTCCAGCTCTGAACCGCAGTGACTTGCCACCTATGCTCATGCTAGTCACGAGCGTCAATACCGCCTCGGCCGGATTTGAAGTAGCATGCCAACACGTACAACTCATGCTTGTTGTCCCATAACAGGGTGTCGTCCTTTGGAAAGTCTGCCGAGTCCCGGTCGTGCCTTCCTCTATGCACTTTCACGCGTTCGTACCGAATGTCAGGTTCACGGAAGCTGAGCACTTCAAACAATGACTCGTGCTCGTAGGACGAGCCAGGTTTGTCTCGGCACGATGGGATGCCTATACGAAGTGGTGTAACGGACAGTATGCTCATTGTGAATAGCGCCCATGCTATTTTGCTCTTTCACTAGACAACGACGGATGTGCGGAGTAGTCCTGGTATGCTGACCTCGGTACCCCATGCATGAAACACGAGGCAGACGATCTCAAGTGGCCTACAGAGGAAGTCGAGAGAATATAAGAGGATCGCTTGCCTCGATAGATTGTACACTCAGACAGCTCTCAACCAAGCAAAAGATTCGAATTTGTCATGATTGCCAAGGATACACATTACGACGCCATCGTAGTCGGAGCTGGCTTTGGTGGCATCTATATGCTCAAGAAGCTCATCGACCAAGGTCTACGGGTAAAGGTTCTCGATGCGGCTGGAGATGTGGGTGGTACCTGGTACTGGTAACTAGAAGCCAGCCTTGGTAAGCTAACATTGGCTGAACAACGGGACAGGAATCGCTATCCTGGTACTTAGAACCAGTGTTGTCGGGCTGACATTAGCTGAACAATTGGACAGGTGCAATGAGTGATACAGAGTCCTACATTTACCGATATAGTTGGGATAAGGAGGATCTTCTGGAATATCACTGGGATGAGCACTATATAAAGCAACCACAAGTACGATCACCAACAGTTCCACTCTGACCTGAAGCCATGCTCACATAAACCAAGGCACTAGCTTACCTTGAACACATCGTCGAGAGGCATAATCTCCGGCAGTACATGCAATTCGATACCGAGCTTACTTCAGCACAGTACAACGAAGACACGAATGCTTGGGAGGTGTCAACCTCTACCAACGAGACCTTCACTTGTCATTATCTGGTTACAGCTCTTGGCCTGCTGTCCAAGAGAAATTTCCCAGCTATCCATGGTTTGGATAAGTTCAAGGGTGAAAAGTATCATACGGGTGGCTGGCCCAAGACCTATGACTTCAAAGGTAAACGTGTTGGCATTATTGGGAATGGCAGTACTGGTGTATGTCTACCATCCAACCTTGCAAACAGTTGTGCTTATCTGCGCACAGGTCCAAGTCATAACACAACTAGGGAAGGAAAAGCAAGTGGCTAAGCTTATCAGCTTTCAGCGTTCACCACAATACTCTGGTACTTTCACCCCAGCAGCGTAAGACTTCCTAGTACGACCAAGGCACTAATATTTTGCCTTCAGTTCCTTCTGGCGACGGACCCGTGTCTCCTACCTACCGCTCCCAAATAAACGAGAACTACGAATCCATCTGGTCTCAGGTCCGCAACTCCGCCGTCGGCTTTGGCTTCGAAGAATCCACTGTTCCGTGCATGTCCGTCACCCCAGCTGAACGCCAGGCTAAATTCCAAGAGGCATGGGACAAAGGCAATGGCTTCCGCTTCATGTTCTGGACTTTCAACGATCTTACTATGGATCCTGCTGCGAATGACGAAGCGTGTAATTTCATCAAGTCAAAGATCAAAGAGACGGTGAAGGATCAGGAAAAGGCACGAAAGTTATTGCCGAACGAGTACTACGCACGACGTCCGTTGTGTGACGCTGGTTACTACCAGGTATTTAACCAAGACTTCGTAGATGTGGTCGCCTTGAAGGAAGAACCGATTGTGAGGATGACGGAGAACGGCATTGAGACGACTAAAGGACACTATGACCTGGATGTGTTGATCTTCGGTAAGTCCAGGTGCTCCGCCTGCTCGATGTCAGATCTGACGTCCCTGTCCATGTGCACATACAATACTAACCTCTCTCCCCAGCCACCGGCTTCGATGCCGTCGACGGTAACTACACCCGCGTCGCCGTCAAAGGCCGCAACAGCGAATCCCTCTCCGAGCACTGGGCCACTGTCGGTCCAGAATCCTACATGGGCGTCTCAGTCGCCAATTTTCCCAATCTCTTCATGATCACCGGTCCCAACGGCCCCTTCAGCAACATCCCACCCGCCATCGAGATCCACGTCGAATTTATCGCAGACACAATCGCGCTCGCCGAGAAGAATCACCAGCACCAAACACAACCACAACCCAACAACGAAAAGGGCGCAATCGTCGAGGCAACGCTCGAAGCCGAACGAGGTTGGACGGATCTCTGTAACGAGTACAGCAAGGATAGTCTCTTCAGAAAGAGCCCCAGCTGGATCTTTGGCGCGAATGTGCCAGGGAAGAAGTATAGTAGTTTGTTTTTCTTTGGTGGGCTGAAGGATTATAGGGAGAAGTTGCAGAAGATGGTGGATGGGGGGTATGTGGGATATAAGCCGTTTTGAATCCTGGTGGAGTTTGGCTCTGGTCTTTTGCAAGGGTTTTCATTTTGTACCTGTCTGGGTTTCTGACGCTCTTGATCTGTGTACGTTTGATACTGCTCGGTCATCACAAGCTGATATTGCCCTGTGCGATGAATATATTCACTTCGTTGAGTCTCACACATACAAGAGATCTCCCGCGCCTCATGAACTTAGCAGGGGTCACATTTTAACGGTCATCTGAGACGTGGCTTTCTTTATTCGACGTCATTCGTACATCGATCATACAGAGCACCAAAAGAAGTATCTAGTAACCAATATCCAAAATATTTATACCTGGAGTCCACCAAATAGTACTTATCATTAGAAATTCCAATCGTACCAATTCTCCTCCGCATAGGACACTGAGAATTATCCATGTTTATCGCTGTGATCCATCTAAAGTATCCTGAAAACGCTAAGAACGCACGCAAATATTTTCGTTTAAAAAAAAGGTGTACCGCGTGTCGTTGTCCAAGAGTGGTTGACTCGCTCTCAGTCACTGGCGTCTATTACCATTGATTGACCGTTTCAATCAGGTGAGCATATCGTGTTCGTTCCTCGTAGACTTGGCCTTCAAGCTGTCGTGTTAGACGTAGTGCCTCGTCACGCTCGGCCTCGAGCTCAGCGACACTGATTTGAGCCTGGTTCATTTTACCGACGATCTTGCCAATTTCACTCTCGGTGTCGGCAAGTGCTTTCTCTAGCTCGGTAACTTTGTTCTCCAGGTATTCTGTCCGTAATGCTTCGTGAAGAGCCATACCAGGCCCGGAAGAGGTCATGTCTAGTTTGGGTGATCTTTTGCTGTTGGCGAACATTGGGCTGAGTGGACTCCTGACAGTTGGCGTGAGCAGGTTGGGATTCAATTTCTTGTCCGCTGAGTGCGCTCGCATCAGCTGTGCATTCTGGGATGCCTTGAGAATGCGCACTTCCTCCTCGTGTTTCATAACGGCAGTTTCCGACTGTACTTGCGCAGATGCTATCAGATCTTCAAGTCGACGAAGCTTTGCTTGCAGCTCAATGATTTGCTCTGCTGATGCATGCTGGTTACTCTCCCCACTTTCGACGGCATGTTTTAGCCTAGCTCGTAGTGCGGCGTTGTTCTGAAGCTGCTTCTTGACCTGTGTGGATAATGCTTCAGATCGAGTAGCATATTCTTCGAGCTGTTCGGACAATTCCTCCTCCTGCCGTAATTGGATGGATGATTCTTGGATCCTAGCTCTTTCCTTCTGCATCTCGATTATCGCATTTTCTAGAGTGGTAGACATAAGACCCTGAATATCGGGGTCTGATCCTCGCGCTTGTAGTATCTTCTGTAACGAGGCCGTCTCCTGCTTGTTCCTGTCCAAATCCATCTTAAGACCTGCCAGGTTCTTTTCACATTGCCATTTCTGATCCAGCGCATCGTCAGCACGTTTGCGAAGGGTGTTTATCTCGGCTCGAAGAACGCGAACTTCGCGCTCGTAACCACGTTTCCGTGGCTGAGGCGAGGAGTTTTGTGCTCGCTCGAGTTCAGTTTCCAGCATTCGCGTTCTTTTCGTAACCTGCTTCTGCTGTATTTCTTGTCTCTTGAGCAAATACTTGACTGTGTTGTGGAGCGCGTCACGTTGCTGCTCGACTGATTTTATTTTCTCGACCGCATGGTCGATTGACTCGATGGCTGGTCCAGGACGATTCACAGTTGAGGTGGCACGTGTTAAAGAGCCGGATCGTGCTAGACTGCCTCTGTTGTTTCGTACACTTGTGATAGTGTTTGATCTGGACAAACTGCCGATCCTGGGAAGGGGCGTCGTGCCTCGACTGGCCGGATCTGCATCGTTCTCCTCGGCGATGAAATGCATTGAGCCCCTGTTGATATTACGTTCCATCTCCCGAGCACTAATCAGGGCTGCATTCTCATCCCTCAGATGTTGTACTTCTTGTTGCAATTTCACCAGCTCGCCTTTGGATTGAGAGCGGATCTGTTCCAGTTCACCACGGAGTGCATTCGTCAGATCCTCGATATTCTCTTTTGCTTTTCTCTCTTCATGTAGCTTCCGACGAAGATCGTCAAAGGCGGTCTCCAATGTCTTACGTTGTGAAGTCTCATTCTGCCACCTCTGCGACAGATCGACCCTTAGTTGAGCCCTTTGTTGTTCCGCGTCACGCTTGACCTTATCAAGCTCTTCTTTAGCAGTAATTTCGCTGCCATCGGCTCGAAGTGAGCTTGCGCCAGAATCGGAGAAATAGTCGCTTGTGCGATCGGCCGAGTATATAGGTGGATTTTCCGATTGCAACTTCTCAATGATGTCTTCGAGATCGAGCTCACGGCGTATGGAGTTGGCAAGCTCGATACTAATTTCCTTCAATTCTGCTTCAAGCGCGTTGCACCGAATGTCAGCTGAACCGCGTGTACTTTGAGAATATTCAATGCTGTCTTGTGATCCAAACTTATTCGTCCTGCCTGAAGTGAGGTTGAAGTAGGCGCCTGATCCGCGACCAGAGCCCGTATCAGATTGCGGATAGGGCGATGGAGCAGGCGATCTACCTTCGGATATTTCTGTTACGGCTGAGTCTGCACCTGGAGAGGGGTGTGGTTTCCTCATAAAGAAGGAGGTAAACTTGCTGCCAGGTGTTTGTGGTTTCTTGGTGTCCAACGATTTTGCGGAATTGATGGATTCCATGCGCAGAGGCGCAGGCCTCTCCCCGAGCCTCAATCCCATGCCCTTGCCCTTGGATCCTACCGCCTCTCCTTCATCTGCAACGATTGGTGTCTGAGAATGAGTTATAGGAGGTACAGGGAAATCGTTAATCGACACCCTGTTTGGTGTATCAACTGGACCAGAGAAGTAATGTGCTCGTGGATCGTGTTCAAATGGAGTAAAGAATTCTACGGCTCTACTGCTTGTCAGTAACTGCAGAAACCGGCTGAAGACACTACTTACTCTTGTGGTGCTGTGTCAAGGACATCGTTAAGAGCATTGGACGAAGGAGGGGCAGTGGCCCGGTCTTGGTCTTGCGGTAAGGGTAGGCCCGAGAAGATTGGTATAGGAGGAGGTGATACAGCACTGAGAGGCAGCGGCTTCCGTTTGATCGATGGTGAATAGTTGATAGGGGACTCAGGACTTCTTGGAGAGACGGTGTCTATGGGAGGTACTGAAGGAAGAGGTTTGCCTGTACCAGAGGAGGATGAGTCCGAACCGGCATGGCGAGCATGTGGTTGCATGTTGACTGCCTCTGGCTGGTTCGGTAGCTAATAGAGCGATTCCTTCATCGAGGTTCAGCACCAGATGCGCAAACAGATGAGCTTCAAGCCACGATCGCGATTGAAGTGTGTAGAAGTGTGGGTCGGGAAGCGGGTGCGCCTGCTGCGATTCGTCACTGGCAAGATTGAAAGCGTGATGGTAGTATTCGAGTAAACCTGGGAGGGACTAGCGATGCACTGGCGCAGCTTATGGTTCGAGCAGATTGAGCGTCGACAATCTACAATCGGCGCCAGAGCAGGAAATTGCACCCACGCAGCTGACCACGAAAGGGAATCCAACCTGACCTCGTGCGCTGCTCTTGGTGAACGATGGCGTCGTCGAGTTAATCAAGAAGTCAAAATATGCAATTGGGCTGGAAGGTCTGTCCTAATGAGGCTGGAGAGGCAGGGATGGCTGGGAAACACAATTGCTACAAAAGTGCAAGCGCCGGCTGTCCTGTCAGCATTCTTGAGTACTTGTTCGTGCCTGCTAACGTTTCTACTGCCTACTTGTCTCTGTAAGATCGGATAAGCGCACTATTGCGCGACACTTTGTGACCCTTGTATGTATTCTAGTTGGGACACTGTGAAGATCTCACTGCTTAACCATGCTTTTGATCGTCCCAAGGGTTGCACCTCGCATGGCTTTATCTCCGAGGCGTGTCTTAGTGGCATTCCTGCCCCTGCCAAGCATTCGGCACGGCCTGCCTCGTGCTTGAACCGCTTCGGTTCCAGAGATTGAAGTTGCACGCAACAGCAGACTTAGTACCAGAACTCACGATCAGGTTCTAGACGAATGGTTTGTATAAATACAAATCGGTTCTCGGTCATCAAACCGCATTCTGCTTAACGGCAAGAAAGTTAATCTCGAGTATCACTAGTGCAATTACTACCAGTATATGCTTGGAGTGATGCCTGAACCACAGGCAGAGCCAGCCTTCTAGTGAACGCCATTCAAATTCACGTAAACCCTCCTTATCGTTCGAAGCTGTAACGCATCCACTCTCCCACAGCCTTCAAGCTCTCCCATCTCACTGACTCATCGGCATCTGTCATGAGCTCCATGACTCGTACCTTCAGACCCAGCTTTTCCAGAGTGGTGCGGTGCTCGGGCACCTCTCGAACAAGGTTGCCTATATCGTTGCAAGCAATAGCCAGTACCTTTTTGTCGCTCTCCCACTTCTTGCCCGTGATTTCTGCCAGTTTTTTGGGTAATTCTTTGTCTTGCAGAATCTTTCGCGCGTTTTCCCTCCAAAAGGTAGCGCTCCTGTGAGGCGGTGACCATCTGAGATGACCCGACTGTACCTCATCTGCGTACTCGTCAAAGGTGGTCTGTCCTTTAGTGTATTCATCGAGCATCTGGTCAAGTGCGTCCAGATCCTCCTTCGCATCGTCATCTGTTAGATGTCGTGTTGCGAGATTCGCAAGTAGAGCAGGCAGTCTCGCAGTCGTTGCAATCGGTATCAGAGTTTTCTTGTTCGCCTCTAGGAGATTGTGCAAGGTTGCCAGCAGCAAGCGGGTCGTCTTCTCCTTGGGCGACATCCTCAGTAGCTGCACATACAGTGGAACTATTTCTTCGTCCTCTTCAAGGCCAGGACCCACCAACTCTGCCTCGAAGCTGAGTTGCCATATGACCAAGAGTATGTGATACATCAGCTGCAGACCGACACCACCACCAAAGCGAGTGTCGGCGCTCCGTACGCTTGCTGCACCACTCCATAGAGTCGAGTCTGTATCTTTGGCTGCACCTGCTGCCTTTCTAAGTATATCGAACAGGGGAGCAATGGTGTCATTTTTCTGCTTCCAGAACGTTTCCTTCGCAGAACTTGATCTCAGAACAGTTGACATATGCTGCACACCAATATCTTGAAGACCAGCATCTTGCGATTTTACCAGAGTAGATAGGTACGAGTACAGCTTCGGTAGTGCATCGCTGTCTCTTTCTACTGCTTTGGAGGAAGACGTCAGAGAGAAAGCAACTAGATTGGCGAGGAAGGTGGCAGCGAGAAGAGGTACGGCGTCCTCTGGGTTATTGGAGCTGCCAAGTAGAGCCAGGTATTGCTTGTATGGATCTGTTCGTTGTAGGATGGAAGTTGCCAATACAGGCACATCTGCATTTGCGTGTTAGCTTGGGGACAGGCTCGCGCATACCGAAGGAGACATCTTACCGGCAATAAGATCTGTTGCTAGTACGAGGATGTATTGTATGATATCCTGTCGTTTTTGGGCCTTCTCAAGGACACTGGGACCGCTTTCACCTCCTGCTAGTAGGGTGGCATAAGGGTCTGTATTCAACTCGATCGTCTGCTTCCTTTGCTCTTTGCGAACCTTGTCAACAGATTTGATTATCTTGAGCTGCTCCTCGGACAGATTACCAGCTCGAACAGCTCCATCCCACGGTATCTTGGTCACATCAGTAAATTGTTTCGCCAATCTATAGGACATAACGTACTGGTCTCGCTCGGATGTTGTTCTGTAGAGAGCTCAGATATGGAGGGTTAGCGAGCGACATCTTCTCTCAGCCTGCAAAAGAGCTCGACTTCGATCACCACTTCTACAATTGATTGACGATACAACGTTCAGAGCCAGAGAATCAGCTGCAGAAGGAAGGTGCATCCGTGCTATGTCATCGCTGCGCCGACAGCCTTGAACTGCCACTGGTCGCGCCCAAAGTACTAGCACAAAGGCTCCACATGTCGATCCCTCCCGCGTCTCATCCGCATCGGCAACCATGAACTTGGAGTCAGCCTCGACGCGTGTGCATGGACGAGATTGCAACTGTGTCAGTAGTGCTGCGCATCAGCCTCTGTCCGAAGTTTCAGCAACTCAAAGCATGCCGTAGTTCTTGTAAGGTGGTCTTTTGACTGCTCCCGTCAACCAGGGCATTAACACAACCACAATGGCAGCTCAGCAGAAGCCGTCCTCTAGATGGGCGTTCTTATCCAACGCCGTAGCATCTGTAGAGTCGGGTCTGGACAAGATACTTGCAGAGGAGGACGAGTCAACAACAAAGTCGCAACCCAAACCTGCGAAACCACAGGCGAACGGATCGAACCCACGACCATCAACCGACGTGAAGCGTAGTGATAGCTCTGGCCTGCAAAATGACAGACTACAAGCCCGTCTTGCTCAGGCTATGGCAAGGAAGAATGCCAGCAGAGCGACAGCTCCTGCACCCGATGTTGATTCTTCACGACCAGGCACACCTTCCGTAGGTCAGGTGCATTCCTCTCAGCCAGCCCCGGATGAGGCAGAGGATGTTGTATCAGAAGAGGATGGTCGAGAGGTAGCGAAGGAAACACAAAGCATATCAGAAGCTATAAGCATACCTACCGTGGATGTAGTACCTGCATCGCAAGGTGAGGAAACTGGTCGACCTTCTACGACTACTTCGCGAGACAGTACGGAGGGAGACAGGCGATCTGCCACAATATCGCTGGAGCCACCAAGGCCATCTGGTGTCTCTTCAAGAGCAAGCGATGAACAACCATCCAGAACATCGGTCCCTAATACGGACTCCGTCTTACTAAACGTACAAATCGAGCACGAGAAGAGCATCGACAGCCTACAAGAAGAGATAAACGCTTATCTCGAACGCATAGACGCCCTACAACGCAATATGCAAATCCTAGCAAAGGAGACGATTGCTAATGCGAAAATGGTCAAATCCGACGTCCAGTCATCCTCTATCGAGAAGCAACTGGCAGACAAGGACGAAAGAATCGCCTTGCTGATGGAAGAGGGCACAAAATTGACTAAGAGCGAACTACAATACCGAAAGACGATCAAAGCTCTTCGAACCCAGGCCATCACGTTGAACAAGGATCAGGATGCAGCCAGAGGAAGAGCGGAAAAGGCTGAGAGGTCACTTTCTGCGCTTGAAACCAGAGCTTCAGAAGCTGAAGCCAGGGCGAGACAGAAAAGTGAGGAGCTTGCCACTGTGTCGAGATCTGCGACAGATCTGGCCGCTGTCACCAAAGAACGGAACGCTCTCCAATCGACCTTAGCAGAAGTGAGGAGCCAATTGGGCAAAGCTAATAAACGAGCTGAACAAGCCGAGGTGAATGCTCAGTCTGATAAGCTCGAGACGGAACGGAAAAGGACTGCCGAGCTACAGGACGATCTCACCAGCTCAAAGGTTGAGCACGAGCTTGCTACAGACAAGTCTAAGCGCGAGATCGAGGAGTTAAAGCGGAGTTTGCAGGCTGAGAGAGCGCAAGCTCGGCAGATGGAGAACGATATGCTAGCTGAACAAGCAGCCCTAGAAAGCAAACTCGAGGGCTTTCGTCTTCGTGCTGAGGAAGCCACATCAGGAAATCAGGGCGATACCCAGGCTAAGCTGTTGAGGCAGATAGAGACTCTACAGAACCAGTACTCTACCGCAAGTCAGAATTGGCGAGGAATTGAGAGTACTCTCTTGGCACGAATAACAGCCCTTGAGAAGGACAAAGATGAGGTTACTGGACGCGAGGCCGACCTAAAGAGGAAGCTTCGTGACGCAACAAGCAAGGCAAGGGCTGTAGCCAAAGAATTGGAAGATGTCCAGCTGTCATTGAATTCTTTGCAAGATCAGCAAACCGACCAGGATGCAGAGATTCAGCGAGCAAACAAGCAAGTTACACAACTTAAGGACGAATTATCACTGTTACGGAAGGAACACGAAGAGCAAAAGCAACGTGTAGAGAGAGAAATTGTCCGTCGGTTGGAAGATGAGAAAGCCAGATGGGTCAACCCAATGCAACGCATCGATTCACCAATTGTTCCCATTCGCAAAGGGCCAATAGGTTCTTTCGTAGATGGTCTCATGAGTCCAGGGGAAAGACCTTCGAGTCGCCGATCATCCACACAGCCTTTTCACGACCATAACTTCGCCAGTCCACGTGTCAACTCAGCAGTTTCTATCAAGACGAACGGTGCAATGCCAGAGACACCCTCTATCGCATTGCACGAGGATCAGGACGACTTCTTTGCTAGCATCCCTCCGACACCCGCTCGAACTCACGCCGAGTCGCCTTCACGTACTCTCAATGATCTGATGTCGGCGTCGGTCGCGGGTGCTGGTCCTTCAGTCCAGCTTGTAGAACGGTTGTCGACCAATGTGCGCAGACTTGAATCCGAGAAGGCCGCTTCCAAGGACGAAGTTGCTCGTCTAAGCTCACAGCGTGACGAAGCACGACAAGAAGTTGTTAATTTGATGCGCGAGGTCGAGCAAACGCATAGTGTTAGTCAGCAGTTAGTGAAGGTTGAGAAAGAACACAATGAGCTGCAGCAAAAATATCAGGCCATGCTAGAATTATTGGGCGAGAAGACCGAACAGGTTGAAGAGCTGAAGGCTGATATTGCTGATGTCAAGCAGATGTATAGGCAACTAGCGGATACCATGGGAAGGTAGATGCCAGGTTGACGTGTTGCTAATCCTGATGTTGAAACAATTTAATCAGCAAGGGCATTTAGTCCTAGGATTGCTACTACATCTTTCGCATCCAGCTAAAATGTCCTCATCTTAACAGGTAAGTGTTCTAATGTGTTGCCTTGTCACACCCTTATACTTAGTAGCCACGCGCACGGAGCTGATTCTCTCGATACTCTCAGTCGTGACTTCCTTCCCAAATATGATTGGCGTTACGCACCTGCCACGTTTACAATTAAAGCACTGGAGTTAAACTTTCTGCAAGTACAGACGCACTGAAATAGAGATCGACTTACTTTTGCAACTACATTAAGTTGAGAACCTGGTCGATTCGCAACCTTTCCAACGAGAAAACCACAGTCTGCTCGAGTCTACATAGCCAGTCAGTTGGCCACAAACTGATCACAGTCAATATGCTGTCCACTATACGCCTCTCTCTGGTAGCCTGCGTAACGCTGACCAGCTTGCTTTTCCACCCAACCACGGCACGAGTGATTCCAATTGATCCAACCACGAACCAGCTTGTACCTCGAGCAAATGGTCAACTTAACATCTATATTAATACAGCCGATCCTAGCGTTGCTGGCATCAGGAACGACGCACGCCCACGCATAACCGAAGGAGCGAAGGACGCCGTGATTATGGCAAGGCTGGCCTGCGCTCTGATGATGTTAGAAAACTATGAAGGACTATATGAGAGATACTTTGAGAGCCCACCCCTGAACGACGATGAGGACAACGACGACGAGGATGATGATCAGGAGGAGGAGGAGGATGGCGGCGGGCAAGATGAAGCCGGGGTCGATCCCGCTAGAAAGCAATTCGTTCAGAGTAAGTCCATGCTTTACCTGGAGGACAGCACAAATTAATGCTCTTAGCTGTTTTCTGTGCTATTGCTGGAATCACTCCCGAATGTAGCATCAATGACATCTTCACACAGCGCGGAACCAATCCCAAACTCGATGGCCTCACCTACAGCGTTGGAAAATATCCCGGCATTGAAGACCATGACCGAAATTTTGAACACGATGCCGTTTACGCCGCGACACTCTATCAGGATATTTTGACTGAGTACAACATTGGCAATACCGATGATGCGGCTATCATGGAGATACACAGACGAGCTTTTGATTTCCCGAACATCGAAGACATCTTCGAGAATCGTGGTTGCCAAGCCCTAGGTGCGGCTGGTAAGTCTATCCCGTTTGTATCTTCGCTTAGTCAACAGGAGACTAACATTGCAGTCAAGACAGCGGTCTGATGACGACCTTGGGTGCTCATATACTCCACGAACTTGTGCACTGGCACCATCTCACCCGCACGCCAGAGAATGGTCATATTTATAACCAGTTGATCACACACGATGTGTACAAGCCAAATGAAAATGGTGAAGAGGTGGAGGAAACGCACGACTATATTGACGACTATGATCGAGATGAGTACGACGATAAGGACCTTGATCCACCTGATGGCTATGGTCCCCAGCATGCTCACCAGCTCGTTGTCAACGACGAGCAGGATTCTTTCCGCAACGCAGACAACTATCGCTGGTTTGCTGTGTCTCTTTACTGGCATTAGAGGTGCCAGCGACAGTTCGCACAGCAAGACGACAATGAGGAAGGCGACAGAATCATACCAGCAGAATCAAGTGGACAAGTCCCCTACCCAGGAGAGCAAATATCATAGTCTCGAGGACGATGTAAAGCTCTGCACGAAAATGCAAACAAGCAAACAAGCAGGACAAGAGTGATGAAGTCAAGTGTAGACCTTCGGCACATCGACACATCCAACGGTAACGTGTTGTATTGTAAAGCCAATCATAGATATCTAGTCGAACAACCAGTCGTGTCACACAACTTAATCCTTCTTCAACGTCTTCTGCTTTTCCGCATCTCTCCCCACCCCCCTCGACCCTTTCACCAATAACCCCTTTCTCCTCCTCACAGAATCAACATATCGCTTCGCCACGTTCTCTCGTTCCCCCACAACCCCCAAATCCTCCAATTCCTCCTCCGTCCTCGGCACCCAAAACGGATCAACATCATCCGCCCCCTCCAGCCTCCGAAACCCACTAAACACCAACATCGGCTGCGCCAACCCACTCGTCCGCTTCCGAATCTCATCGCTGAACCCAAACGACTCCGCTACAGGCAATGTAGCGAGAATAGTGAAGTACGGAGTCCCTTCGAGCAGGGACTCGGACTGGATGGTGCCGCGGCGACGGGTTAGGACGCTGTAGACGCGGCCGAGGACGTCGGGGGTTGCTTGGATGGTGCAGGTGTAGGTTGCGAGGAGGATGCGGGGGGACCAGTCGAGGAAGGAGTGGCGGATTGTTTCGCGGGTGGTGGTTATGAGTTCGCCGGTTAAGCGGCCTATGTCTGAGGCGTCTGGTGATGTGTTGTTTGTTTCCTCGGAGGGGAATTCGTGGGGATGGGAATGTGGTGTATAGTCAATCTTCTCCAGGAAGACAGCAACGCCTTGCATTGGTTCGCGGCACAGAGGGCCCTGAGTGGTGGCGAGCTGGAAGGCATAGGTGACTTTATCGGCGAAGATGCGACTTGCTGAAGTCGCGGATGTTCCATCATTTTGTTCCTCGTTTTCGAGGGAGAGGAATCGTTTACATGTATCTGTGCCTGTGGCGTCGACTAGGATGTTTGGTCCGACTCTTCGTGGTCCGAAGGCTGCGACGTGAGAGACGATGTTTCGCCAGACTTCCTTGTCATCTTTGACTGTGTCGAAGGTATCTTGGAGTTGTTTGCGAAATTCTTGCAGGGATAGGCTTTTTCGATCGTTGGTTGCGTTGCCTAGATCTGCTGATTCTTGTCGTTCTTCACTGAATCCTTCTTTCTCTTCTTCGGCTCCAGCTTGGGCATTTTCTTCGGCAGCCTTCTTCTCTGCATACAGTTTTCGCAGTGATGCGCCGTTCTCGAGGAGGAAATCTGTCACTTCTTGTGGTAGAGGTCGTACTCGAAGGCGGAGTGATAACGTTTTTGAAGGTGTTATTGTGATGCTCGTGCCGCGAGGAAGGTCTTTGCTTTTTGGTGGTTCCATCTCCTCTGCTTTGATAATAGTTTCTCTATATGGGACGATCGGCTCGCCCGGCTGTATATCGCACTTTGCATATCGTTCTCGAAGGTCTTTCAGACATCTTTCCAGATGCAACTCACCAGCTGTAAGTATGACGTGCTCACCGCTGGGCATCTGCTCGTATACAGCACAAGGATCGCTTTGCTCTAGTAGCTTCAACCCCTTGATCATTTTGCTGAGGTCAAGCGGATTGACTGGCTCCAGGGCGACGCGCACGATAGGTTGGCTGATGGTGCTCGTGGTTGCTGCGAGATTGATGCCACCATCAAGCTGCGAACACAACGTTCCTGTTTTGAGCACGTGTCCTTCTAATCCTTCTATGCCGAATATGGTTCCGGCATGGACCGTCTCTAGTACTTCTAGTGCACGACCCATAAGCAGGTAAAGAGCAGAGATTTTGACCTTCTTTGGCTCGGGATGAGCATGGGGCTGAGCAGGATTGAATTTTGGTGGCAACACATAGACTTCGTCGCCAACGGACAATTGACCAGAGAATAGTCGGGCAAACCCTATCAAGTGTTCTGGGTCTTCTGGTTGTTCGGGTCCTGTATCCTCTTCACCTTGTTCCCCAATGCTCGTGGCTCTTAGTCCGTTAGTGACGCTTCCAAGGTCGCTAGATCCATCCGCCTCTGCTTGAGCTTTTGCAATCTCGGCTCGTTTTCGCCTTGCCAACTCTCGAGCTTCATCTGCTGTTAAAGTCGCTCCCAGCTTGCGCCGCTTAGTGGGCAGTTCGCTTTCTGGTACGGCAACCATTTTGCTGACATATATCACTACCGGATCTGTCTTTCCTCCTTTAAATTCCAGCATTGCAGATGAAATCTGCTTGTCAATGTGATCTGCACCAATAAGGTCCTCCATAATCTCTGGTATCCGCTTTGCTTGTGCATCTGCTGGACTAGGTAGGTACTCAATCACAGATACAAGCAGAGCAGTAGATAAAGGGAGCCACTGAGAGAAGACAGCCTGTAGAACTGCTTTGGAGTCTCGAGAACGAGCGACATGGGCTGGGATAGTGATGTTGAGGGACTTGGTGACCTTAGCCAGAAGCTCAGGATCACCTCTCTCGCTGTTTGGGCCACCTACAGTAGCCTCATATATAGTCCATAATGGCTCAAGAACTAGTTGGACAAAAATGGGCTTGAGATTCCTACCTTTCAGGTGCTTCTGACCAAGCACTTTCTTTGTCTTTGGGTCAAAGTAGAAATCTCCCCACAAGACCTGCTTGAGCAGGGCTCTCTTGATACCCAACTTTTTCTCGTAAATGCCTGCAAATTGACTCACAGTAAAAGCCCAGCCGTCAATGGCACTGGCAAAGATGACATTGTTGCGCTCCGGCGCAAAATAAAGGTCTTCGTCGTCTCTTTCTTCAAATTGCTGTTCCAATTCGGCGTCAATGGCATCACCATTGGCCGCCTTGTTCTGCCTCTTCTCTTCCTGCTTCTCCCTCCACAAAAGATCTTCTTCCATTCGCTCACCTGCGAAAAAGCCACCAATGACCGCATTGACTCCTTCCAGCACTCTTTCAAGATGCGAATATGCTTCACTGGGGCTCATCTTCAGCTCGGTGACCAGTCTATCGATCTTGTTTATCACAAGCAAAGGTTTCAGCTTTTCAATCCAGACCTGCCTCAGTACAGTCACTGTCTGTGAGCATACACCCTCAACGGCGTCTACGAGCACAACTGCAGCATCTGAGAGTCTGCTGGCTGTACTAACTTCTGAGGAAAAGTCGATATGGCCAGGGCTATCAATCAGATTGATCAGGTATTCCTCCTGCTTTGCCTCTGTGCCCTCTTGTCGCCTCATCATACTGAAGTATAGACTGATGGCGCTGCTTTCCATAGTGATTCCTCTTTGCTGCTCGTCCGGCCGTGAGTCAAGGTATCGAATCTTACCGGCCATCTTGGGCGCAATGATGCCATTCGTGGCGATGAGGGAGTCAGTAAGAGACGTCTTGCCATGATCAACGTGGGCCAATATGCAGATATTTCGGATATTGTGAGGGTTTGACTGCAGGGTAATCAATTTTGAGGAAGGTATTACAGGCATCTTGCTGGTTGACGTCAGCTAATCCCTCATGAATGAAATGGAATATCCAAATAGCGACTCGCTATTCTGCGGGAAGTCGAGGAATGTATCTTGAAATAATTATCACCATTGTTGTACTCATGACTCGACCAAACGAAATGTTCACTTATGACGCACACCTGGCCGCACCAAACGCACGCCTAAACTCAGCCCGGTTTAGTGCCAATGCTGGTTAATCTTAGCCTCTTCAGCCCCATGATCGTCTTTTGGCAAAAGAATGTATTCTCTATGTTCTTGAATGATAACAACTATCTCCAATGTGCTTCTGGATCCTCCCGCCAATCTATTATGTCCCAGGGACCGTGTAACTCTTTAATCGGTGTCTTGAGACTGGTTACCGTGTCTCTTCGTGGTGGGCGATCAGGCGTCGTCCTGCCCGTGGGCACCCGCCAATGCTTTCGCAGTTGGTCTTGAAACCCTGGATTCATATTCACGATGCTACGAGAATTTTTGAGCTCTTTCATGGCTTCGTCGAAGTCCAAATCGAACTTCTTCATCACTGGCATCGACTAGTCAGTGTCCTGATCAACCGGATTGATGTTACTCACAGTATGCCACGATGACTGCCGCGGATCTTGAGATGCCCTGTTGACAGTGGACGATAATCGCACCCTGACGACCATCCCTTGCGCGAAAGTTCGTGAGGACATCGTCAATCCATACGCATTGTTTGTCCAGGTGCTGGAGCATTGCAGCAGCTGGCTCGTCCGCAATGTCAAGATGCCTCAGTTCGACACCAGGACTTTCGTCAGGCCCATATTGTTCCAGTTCCCCTGCTGTCATTACAGAAAGAATATGCGTGATTTCGAGAATATTGCTCTCGTTGACTGAAGCTGCCCCAACCCAACTGCGAAAGGTCAGCACTCAGTATCTGCATTTTCCACCCTCAGTTGTGTTACACTGCACCTACTCTGTCATGTATAGGCGGGGTACTCGTGCAATTGCCGACACTTCGTGCCTCTTATCTTCTTCATCCATTCTCTTGAGCAATGTGCAAGCAGTAAACTTGCCTTGAAATACACGTAACTATGGTCATGGCAAAGCTCAATCTCAACAGTTTGCATCTCAAAGTTCTGCTTACGTGCTGACTTTTGCGGAGGCCGGGCTGTTTCATCAGTACGGCGCGCTATGGTTTCCAGACCGTCTATTTCGCCAAGCACGTTTCACAATCCTGTTCGTATGTGGTGTCTTTTCCTTTGTTCAGCGTGGTAATGGTGGAAACACACAGCGAGCGGTGCTAGCCTACTGTATCGTTCGCCTTGCGCATCTGCAGCTTGGGTAGTGCCTGCCTCGTACTCATGAGCTGGCGTCATATGACGCGCAAGCTTTAGCAGTGCTCCTCAGATGCGGATTCGAGCCGACCGTGTCGACGCTGAATTTGAACTCCTGTGTCCGTACAATCGAAGCTGTCCGTGCTGATACTAGTGACAGATCGCAGCTCACCTCAGCAGATCCGGGATGAAGCATCGTTCTGTGGTTTCGAACTTCGTGTTCAAGGGTGAAAGCGTAGATCAAGCTCAACAGATTGCACTTTTCAAGAGGAGTACACATCCTAACATCCGAAGTTATCAGTGCGTCTATCAGCAAGTCTACCACGTGTCATGATCCTAACAATTACACTAGAGGTAAGTACTCGCCTATAGCTGGTAGCATTGAAGAACAAGATGCATATCCACTTGCCGCAGCCGAAAGAGAGATTTATGAGGAAACACAACTAGTGTGCGGTCGGGATCTTGTGCTTGGGTTCACTGGGAGACCCTTCTCGTTCGAAGACGAACAGGCTCAGAGATCATGGACGGTACATCCATTTGGGTGGTTACTTAAAGCAGACGAAAGCAAGATTCAGATAGATTGGGAACATTCTGGCTGGAAGTGGTTTGATCCTCAAGCTGTGCTCGACGGAGGCATAGACGATGACTGCGTCCCGAGGCTAAAGGTGAGCCTGCGAAGGGTCTACCTTGGCCCGAACGGCATGTTTGGAAGTGGTAACGGGCTCATTACTCGCAACAATGCCGCTGGACAAGCATTTCTCAGAACAATCGAGAAGTTGAAGAACGACACAGAGAATGGGGCTAGAGTGCTCGCCACGGACGCCTTGAAAGGACTCGTGGAGATTACTAAGTGCATATTTTCTACCGAAGATGGACTACTATCACCAGAATACTGGTATGCGCTGCGAGTGGCTGCGTGGCATTTCATCTACAGCGCACGCACCAGCATGAATGCTGCTATCGCATCTGCTATTGTCAACGCCCTCGCTCAGATAGCCCATGCAACCAATGTTCTGCAGAACGACCCCAAGGCAGCTTGCGACATCCTCGAACAGAGCATAGCCAATCGACAAAAAACATCCACGGAAATTGCTAAGGCGTTCAAGAAATATGTCGACACCCTGGTCACCCGACAACAGCAGGAGGAACCTGCGATCAATATCATTACCTTGTCTGACTCGTCAACTATATTAGCGTCACTTACACATCTAGTTGAGCTTGCCCAGGAGAATCTGTTGCGACTAAATTTCACGATACTCGAATCTCGCCCAGCATGTGAAGGTGCTAGCTTAGCAGCTTCTCTGCTTTCAAGCTTAAACGACAAAGCCGCCTCTAGAGACGAACCTGCCCGAGTAAGTGTTAGGATCGTGCCAGATTCCCATTCCGCCTTTGTGCTAAGAGAGCCGAAAGACGCTGGTGACAGCAGGAAACCACACACTGTTGTCTTGCTAGGGGCAGATCGAATCACACCTTCTGGACATGTGGTCAATAAGACTGGTAGCACAGCCCTTGCAGTATTAGCACGGTGTCTACCTGGCCGTGGCAACAGGGAAGTAGTGGTGCTGAGTGAGACTGACAAGATCGCTGTACCAAAGCAGGACGTACTAGCATCATACGAGCAATTACTTGCAAAGCCTGACGAAGAAGGCGTGACAGACGGTTTAGCTGCTGAATTGTCACGGCAGGAACTTAAATTAGAGCCTGACGAACAACATGATTCGGCAGAGATCTCTTGTATCTGGCCGGAGTCAGCTAGAAACATGGTCCAGTCCTACATGCAGGCAGCAGGTAGCAGCAGTGTACGAAACGCCGTCACGATTGAGAACTCGTATTTTGAGCTCATTCCCGCCGAGTACATCGACGCATATATTGCCGAGGACGGAGAGATCAGTAAGGAGGATGTTCTCAGGAAGAGCGTCAACAAAGCGAAGAAGGAAAGCAACCTGTTTGAGGACTTGTATGAAGTCGACTAGGATGGGGGTCAATCGTTTCAGTAGAGGGTTCGACGACCCTGACCATGATGAAGACCATTGAAGGAATATGATTGGGCGATCAATGCAATGTGAGTTGACTATCAATTGGTCACGAGAACACAGACGGCGACAGGACTGACAGAGCTTCTCCTTCGAGGGTCTACCAGCAGGTGGACACGCTTCAGTACTACGGTCGCATCCGCTAGACGACGGACAACCTGGTGGATGTTGATAACGGTGGCGGACGGCTTCCGTCGATAAATTTTGCCCGCAATAACCGAGCAGCCAATCATTGGCTACGTCAACCGAAGTTGTGGATGACCTATTCGAAACCCTGATAACATAAAGAATACGGGCCATTCGTTCAGTTGCCTGATCCGCAGCAAGCAAAATCTGAGATCAAATTCTCACCATGGTCTGAGGCATTTCCAACCTCACCTTCAAAGCTGTCGCCAATCTCAGCAACAATGGCACGCAGAGAATTTAGTATGGATCCATGCAGGGCCATAGGGCAAGGATACTTATTACCTGACCCTCCTGCCGTTAGAGGTCAGAATCTCTTCAACCTGCCGTTAGGGTTGTCAATCGTGGAGCTATCTTCATTTCGAGTTCACCTTACTGCTATCCTCGTTCTTGCGTCACGTGTCTGAGACCTTGCATTTCAAGATGGAGAAACAGGGAGACGTACAGGCCAAGCCTGCCACATTGACGGATGTCACAGCCTCGAAAACCTCATCCATCTCTGACGATGTTGAGAAGCAGTCCGTACAACATGGACAAACAGCACAGCTTCAACGACGCCTGCAATCGCGACACCTGCAGATGATTGCTATAGGAGGAACAATTGGAACTGGTCTTTTCATTGGTTCTGGCGGAGCAATCGCAAATGCAGGACCGGCCGGAGCTCTCATAGCATATGCCTTCGTCGGCACCCTGGTATACAGCGTTATGGTCGCGCTGGGCGAGATGGCCACATACCTGCCCGTCGCCGGTGCTTTCACTGTCTACGCTAGTCGTTTCGTCGACCATAGCTTATCTTTCGCGATGAGCTGGATATATTGGTTATCATGGGCAATCACCTTCGCCCTTGAGCTTACAGCAAGTGGTCTCATCATTCAGTACTGGCGTCAAGACCTGAATATCGGCATTTTCGTTGGTGTCTTCTGGATAGTGATTACAGCACTTAACTTTCTGCCAGTCTCCTTTTATGGTGAGGTAGAGTTTTGGTTCGCCACAATCAAGGTTCTGACTGTCATTGGTTTTATCATTTTCGGAATCTGCATCGATGCTGGTGCTGGTCAGAATGGGTATCTAGGTTTCGAGACCTGGAATAATCCAGGCGCGTTTGCACCTTATCTCATCGAGAACAACGACTCTCTCGCCAAATTCGTCGGCTTCTGGGCTGTACTCATTCAAGCCGGATTCTCATACCAAGGTACTGAACTTGTGGCCATTGCAGCAGGCGAAACGGACAACCCTCGCAAGAATGTCCCAGCTGCCATTCGAAAGACCTTCTGGCGGATTCTGATTTTCTGTAGGTCTACCTCGTCATCCTTCTTTCAAAGCATATACTAACAGAACTTTAGTCGTCCTCACCATATTCATGATCGGCCTTCTAGTGCCATACGACAACGAACAGCTTCTGAACGACAGCACAGACGCTTCTGCTTCACCCTTCGTCATCGCCGCTCAATTAGCTGGTGTCAAGACCTTGCCGGGCCTCATCAATGCAGTCCTCCTCTGCGTCGTCCTCTCAGCTGCAAATTCAAACGTCTACTCCGGCTCCCGTATCCTCGTTGGTCTTGCCACCGAAGGTCTAGGTCCCGAAATTTTGACCCGAACCACAAACGGTGGTGTACCATACGTCGCTGTCGCGTTTACCTCAGTCTTTGGTCTCCTTGGCTTCATGAACGAGTCCAACAATGGCAGCGAAGTGTTCAACTGGCTCCTCAACATCACTGGCGTCGCAGGCTTCATTTCTTGGACCTGTATCGGTATCTCTCACATCGCATTCATGCGCGCCCTGAAGGCGCAGGGTATCAGCCGAGACACACTTCCCTACAAGGCCATGTGGCAGCCATGGTTCAGCTGGTATGGCATATTCTTCAATGTGCTCATCATCTTTACTCAGGGGTTTACAAGCTTTATTCCATGGAACACGTCAGATTTCTTCGTGTCATACATTAGTTTGATCTTGTTCACAGTTTTGTATGTTGGCCACAAGCTGGTGACCCAGTCGAAGTTTGTGAAGCCTGAAGAGGTAGATCTCATCAGTGGAAAGAAGGAGGTAGATGAGATGTATGCGGACGTGCCAGATGAGCCGAAGACGTTCTGGAAGAAGATGTCGAGTTGGATCTTAGGATAACAGGCTTCGCTTTACATTCCAATTTGTTTTATAGCGTTTTACATGGCAATTTAGCGAAAATCGATTCTCTACATAACTACATAATACTGGCTGTATCAGCATTACTTCAGCAAGGAACCACTTTGCGTTCTGATACTTATTCCGGTCACATTCATGTCCTTCATCAAGTAGAGATAAGCCTCTGCCACATCTTCCGGCTGTCCCAATCGTCCTGTTGGGACGTTCTTCTCGGTGTGTTCCTTAAGCTTCTTGAATTCCTCCTTGGACATATGATTCCAGAGTTCAGTCTCCACAGCACCAGGATTGACGATATTGACCCTGATTGGAGCCAGGTCAAGCGCAAGACCACGCATCAAGCCATCCACAGCACACATCGTCGTGCCTGGGAGGATCCAGTTCGGCATCGGTCGGTCGATGATGCCACCTGTAGTCAACGTGATCGAGGACCTTGGGCCAGGGTTCATGTATTTGGCTGCATGTTTTCCGATCATGAGAGGTGCATAGAAGCGAACCATTGAGGCTTGGATGGCCATGTCGATGGTGATTTCTGCCAAGGGCTTGATACTGAGGGGATCGCCAGCAGAATGGACTGTCCGCTGTTAGCACTCGAAGAAACACTGATCGCCTGTATCTTACTGATGTGGTCTAAAGTGCCTGCCTTCTCCAACAAGTCTACCACATTCTTTTCGAGGCCCGCCTGGTCGGATAAGTTGCAAGCATATCCCGAAACACGGTCCTTTGCTGATGGATATGCTTGTTGCAACCGTTCAACTGCTTTGTCTACCTTCTGTTGTGACGAGGACGATATCAAGACAGAGGCACCATTTTCAATGCTGGCTTCTGCAGCTGCAAAGCCGAGCCCGGAGGAGCCTCCAACGATGAGAACCCTCTGTCCTCTCAGCTTGAGAGTGTACTTGGAAGCATCCATCCTGGTGGTTTGTAGAATGCAAGGTCGAGGGGAAACGGGATTACTTTAGGATGTTGGGTATGAGTGAGTTGTTCGAGAGACGGCTCTGTTCGGAACACGTCCATCTGTGGCACTTTCCTGGTAGAACGGTATTGCTTTCTCATCATGTCGTCATTCGTGCTCTTTATTGATTAGCCTTCCAGGAGCAACATCGTCTCAAGGCTTGAGTATTCTGTGAATCTTTTATTCTCCTTTTGCTTTGACACAATCCTTCGATTCAGATGCTATGATTCACTCGACGCAATGCAAACACAAGTGAAATGCCCATCATTCCTGCAGGATGTCTGAACTACCTAACCTGCCGACATTGCGAATGGTACTGTGACCGAAGCACCTGAAATACAAAGATTTCTTGACTCTCCAAAACGCGTTTTGGGTCAAGAAAAGAAGGAACAAAAGAGACGGATTGATATCGAAACGAGGAATAAGACCAGGCCATGCCGCCATGCCGACAGCCAAGAATGTCGTTCCTGCCTGGTAGGCTGGGCAACTCCACTAATCTACAGGCACGAATAAACCTTTAAACTTGGTTCGCTCCTTCCCAATCATAAAGCACATCTTGTTCGTGGTGTCGGCAATGTTAGCATGTCGGAACGACGTCTCTCCACATAAATCCCCTTCATTCTACCACTGACGACTCAATCGGCACAGTCTTCACGATTAAGTCTCGACTCCACGGCGTCCTAGCGCCAGCGGCAACGTCCTGCAGCTAGAAATCTGCTTGAAAGACGAGTAGGATACACAATGTGCGCGTTGCTTGAGCGAGATCGTTTTCTCGGGATGTTTGCGACCACAACGGACTTGCAACAACTTTCCCTTTCGTACATACACCCCAGATGTTTAATTTGAAGACTTTTCTTCAGCCCGACTACACATCTTGATGGGCCTTGACATTTTTTGTGTATGCTGGCAATCTCAAGAGCCTGTTGACCAGTTGCACCAGGCAGAACTACGTAAAACAATCTCGGACATACACAGTTATGCTACGAGAACAAAACAAGAAGGATTCCCTGACGACGTGGTAAAAAATCTGCATGGTGAACGACGCCATCAACCATGTCCTAAGCTTGCGGCTTCGCATAGAAGTTTTGTGCAACAGTTTCATGGTGTATGCATGTGCATATCAACATCACTTCCTGCTGGAGCTTGCCTTGCTAACGTCACTACCAATAGGGAGCAGTCGACGACCACTACGACCCATCACGCCGCCGTCGCTATGCAACTTAACCGGATGCTCTCTGAACTCCCGATGGCATCTAGGACAGACGCCTGTTCCACTATTGTTGCAGCCTTTGCCGATCCGCATCTCAACTGTACCTTCACCCCCGGTTCTTGGGTTCTGGTAACCGTACTCATAGCCCATCTTCAAGCCACTCCTCTTCGGTTGAGGCGCTTGTCTTGGCCTTCCAGCCTCCACCAATCGTCCGAATGCATCGATCTTGTCCATTTGCTGATCGTGATCCATTCGCTCGTACTCCATCTGTGTCTGTTGGTCGCGCTCGTCCTCTTTACGACGTTCAGCCTTGAAGATGTCACCTCGCTGTTGTCTAAGCCGTGCTTTCCCAGCTTCTTCTCTTTCACGAAGGGCTGAGGACAGCTGACGCTGACGCTCGTCTGCTTGGGCAGCCTCTTCACGTGCCAAGGCAGCAACTTGATCTTCGTGACTTTGTAAAGCCAGGTTTGCCAGCTTCTCGTTGTGTATGCCGAGCTCTTGAAGGCGAGTCAGGGTGCGCGAGTCTTCGAGGGACTGCTTGGCCAATTCGAGCACTGCCACGCGCGTTTGAGCTAAGTTTGAACCCAATGTTGATTGTGATGCCTCGAAAGCAGCAACGGCTTGTGCCCGTTGAAGTTCACGCTGCTGGCGTATTTGGGCTAGCATGAGAAGATCGGAGGTCGAGCTCGAGTTTGAAGTCTGAGACTGCCCAACCTTGGCGTAAGCGACAGCGAGTGCAGGCAACAAGCCTGTGTTCGGGAGCACCAGGGCCTTGGATGAGTCGGAGAGTACGGACGTTGAACCTGTCTGACCCTGGAAGAGCCCGTCAGTGGGTCCTGCTTCGAGAATCTTGGACGAGCTGTCTTGTCTCACCACCTCCTTACCCTTGGTGCTTGGGACTCTCGACGCGCTCGATTTGCGATCGAACGCCATTGAAACGATTGAAGGCTCAGATTGTACTGGAACGACTTGCTTGGATCGTGTGGAAGAGGCCTTTGACACAGTTGATAACGGGTTTGGTTTGTACGGCTGTACTTCCTTTTCCTTGCCCTTATAACTTGATGCCCGAGACGTAGTGCTGTGCATCTTCGAACTAACTTCACTGCGAGCCCCCACCTTGGATCGACCTATTTCTGGACTAGTTGCGTGTCCTGTTGCGATTTGATTGTCCACGATCACGCTCGCTTCATCGACATCCAGCTTCGGGTTTTGGCGAAGGATCATAGCAAGCAGTTCCTCACGATTTGCTGGAGCTGCTCCAAGAGGACCGCGTTCGTGAATGGAGATGCTGTACATGTCATCGTCCAGGTCTTCGGCTTTGATCTCGTGCGCCAGAGGACTAGCTTTGTAACCAGCCTTGGTATCCGGCACGAGTGCCTTGCTTTTACTACTGGCACGGCTCGAAGACTTGGGTTTGCTGCTGGATGCGCTTGAGACTTGACTGCTTGCTTTGTCCTTCGTAGTAGATGACTTCGAACCTGATGCTGAGGACACGGTACTCTTGTTGTCCTTTGACCGAGAAGATGAGCTCGATTGTCTGCTGCTGCTCGCTTTCGACACCTGTGAAGGTGCTGCCTCAATGGCCAAAAGGCCGGGCGCGTCCTTGGAAGAATGAGCTGATGAAGACTTTGACACGCTTGACGTTGCATCATTCTTGACTTTCTGCGAAGTTGGTACCAGAGCCTTCGAGTTTGTTGTGGCTGCACTCTTGCTACTTCTGTTGCTTGATACCTTCGAGGTTACATCCTCGATCTGCAGAGCGCTGTGTGCTTTCGACTTGCTTGAGCCGGGTTTCGCGGAAACTTCTTTGTAGGGTACCGTTGCTTTCGAACTGCTTGATACTTTGGATCCCTTTTCTGCTTGTGCTTGTATTGCTTTGGCCATTCGTGCTGCAGCGTCTCCACCTGCCTCGGCACCCTCTTCATGGTTAACATTCGACGACATTTGCGACGCTGATTCGTTTGGATGGACGGTTCCCGCAAAACGGTTGGCAGGCTTTTTGCCTCCTTTGCAAAGGGCGAGTTCTTGGGACATACTTCGGAATTGTGGACGATTTGACTATAGTGGCTGTCCTGTATATGTATTGTGGTTTATAAATCTGTTCCGAAAGGAGAATTCTGCTGCAGAAGCATCAGAAGCAACAGAATATATAGCCGTGGAGTACGTAAACCGTCTCGTGTAACGGACACCCTCAGGCGAACAGTGAGACAGTCAGAGCTGGAAACGAAGCGTGCGTTGCGTCTCACTTCTTTGTTAAAACTCAACTCAAGACTTTACGTACGCTTCTCGTTGCGTGGTGCTGCATCATATGTAGCATGTGTGGTAGCTACCTCGACTGTGGATTTGCAAGCTATCCTCGCGGTTAGTGTTCGAAGGCTTACGCCATTCAGGAATGACTTCAAGATGCATTCATATGCTGCAGTGCTCGTAAGGTCTTCCTGCGAGGCTGATGAGCGTGGAGGTCGGAATTTGGAATGACTTCCTGAGCTGACAGCAAGCATAGCAACGTTGTGCTTTGAGGAATGGACGACGCCATGCATCGATTGACGTGATGCGTTGGTTTGGTTGGATTGCAAACATAGTAACTGCGCGTCAGCTGCTCAGGCGTTATGATCTGCGCATCCATCATTCGTACTTTGGGGGTGTGTTACCTACCGCGACATTAACGGCCGTCAGGGTTCATATAGTTGCCATATCTGAGGATCCCAATCTAGAAGGCTGAGGCGAATGGAAATCGACATCCGTATTGCATACTTGGCCAGCAAGCAGTGGCTGACCAGGAAGTGACTAGGAGTTGACCGTCAGTACCTGGAGACAGGGGAACAGATGCGGTGCGATCAGATTGTATGTTGCAATGCTCGATGCCGAGTTAAGCCCTATAGTCTAAATGCCACAGTCTTTCTATGACCGTGAACGACGTTCCCAAGGTGTTCATTTCAAGAAAACTTATCTGATTCAGTAAAGAGTGCTTCTGCCTCTTACACCGCAAGTGCTTGCAGCGATGGCAGGACCGAGACTGCAGCCGACATCGGCAAGGTGAAGTGATGGTCCAGTATCGTGAGGATTGTGAAGGATGGTACCCATCGAGCGGCACCACGTCTGAATGTCCGCTTGACTGAACGTCCTGGACGTCAAGAAGGCCCTGGTGAGCTAGCTGTCCGAAGTCCAGTAAATGGAGCCAAACACACGAGAGTCTACTTGATGTTGTTGAAGCTTGGGCACAAGTCCAGCTGGAGACTTGAACTGCAGCGGGACGAACCATGCTTGCAGCAGATGAGCTATACGATTAGGCTGCATGGGCCATATGTTCATTTAGAGGCTGGCCAGTAGAAATTGTGTTAATCACAGGTCGGTGTAGAACACAAAGCAGACTGGTCAACACCAATGTTTTTCATACCCAATTACTGACCGTGGCGTCCTGTGATTGGTCGCGGAACATGAGAGGCTGAAGCTACGCGAACAGCTCTGCAGCTGACAACAAGCGTGCTTCATCCCTCGACACGTACAGTATCGAGCAAATGGAGACTTTACCATACGATACAGTGCGAGAGCCGGCAGAGTTTCGTGGTCGACAGAGTGTTTTGCTGATATCCCGGTAAGATTTGAAAGCAACCATCACACCTTCAGCGACGTTGTACAGGTAATTGGTTTCCGCAAACGAGTATGGATAAACAAAAGTGGAGGAAGGTTTAGTTCAGAAGACATGTTCGGTAAAGCAGCAGGAACAAATTTGATCCCGTCGATATGTGTGTTACGCGACGTTGTGCTTGTTTCTGTCACGAGCTCTGCAACCGGACAGTTGTTGACTTGGCACAACCTGAGCAGAAGAAGGGCCTTGGTCAAAAGGCCAATAGAGCGTCAGACCGCTGGTACAGACTGGCCGGGGGTCGGGACCGTGCTTCCCAAGCGAAACATGATCGCGCGTGCATTCAGAGTGTATCGTGATTGCTGTTCGACAGAGATACGTGTGTGAGAGGATGGTGTTTTCTAGAATATGCTCTATGGACGCAGCTGCGCTGGTTAGAATGCGTAGTTCAGGCTGTGAGCGCCTGGAGAAAACCAAAGGTATCCGGACCACAACAACTAAATTAACAACAAGTCCATGTTCCCTCTCCAGCTGGCAGACAGACACGCATTACGACTCAACAGAGCCAAACTGGACCTCAAGCAGTCACCGTGAATTTCGGGTGTACCACAGTATTGGCTGTTCCGGGGACCGTGATCCATCGTCTCGGCCCCTGAGACAAGCCGTGTGGATTGCAAACGGGACTCCTCTCGATGGGGAATTGCGGCTCAGAACTTACAGGTATCCAGATGCCCCACTGAAAGGCAAATCCATTGCCCAATGCTTTTCGAAAGAAACGACCATGAGTCGTACAAGAAAGAGTAAACATAGGTTTGATGTGCTCAGATTTATCGAGTTCTGTGTATCAGCTTTGAGGCGGAAGCTGAAAACTGAGGGCCACTTGCTAAAGTTAGAAGGAGCATTCGGCTCGTCCGGGCGGGGCATCGTCATCGCACAGCACCAGGGTACCTGAGAAAGTCGGAGAAGTTGCTACGTTTGTCTCCCATCTTCCACGAGGAACAGCTTGGTCATCGGTTAAACAGATGCTTAACGTTCTCGCCAGCTTCGGCGGTCGATCTTTACACAGCCGCCATTGACACGACTGTGCTCGCAACTAAGACTCATATCTTCAGCAGAAATCGACACTGTTGTGGCAACGTTCAGGCAGCTGCGAAAGGAGGTAGCGAATCACACTCGCATCTGTTTCGTACAGTACAGCCTCCTTACAGCTGATACGAGTGCTTGTATCACTCGTAAGAGTTAAACGAGTGGACTTTGGTAACTTCTGATACTAACGAGGGATCCTTGTCCTTGCGAGCCGAGTGGATTGTTTTTACGGATGCCCAGCATGCCAACGTGCATTTAATGAGTGGAGCCAGGACCGACTTGTCAGTAAGCTAGTTTGTGCACTAATAATTAGATGCCCATCGCTTCTGCTCCCTATTTCCTCTGCTTAATTTCCCTTTTACTGCCATTTGTGAAATTCAAATTGACTTGCTTTCGCTAGGCCATATTCTACGGCCTTCTGGCTCCAAACTTCGACTATTGTCAGATCGCGGAATCGATACGTCCGTCCCGTTCAAAAGCTTGTTCGTGTAACTTGTTCACGGCTCCAAAGCGACCGTGCCGCAAACCTGAGTCAAAGGTTCCACCCAATTCTGGACGATTGCTCAAAAGTTGTCGAGTCCCTAAGCCAGCCTCCTTCTTTTCCCTACTGATCGCTTCTGTTGCGAAAAGCTGGCACTGCCATTCACCACGACCTACTTCAAGTCATTCAACTCGATTGAGTCTGCGTAGACTCAATTACTCAGCCTCTTCTACAACCATCTGGTACCACCCACGACATGATATTCAGCATCTCGACCATTCTCAAAATTGTCTCCACCCCTCCACATCTCAGTAGGAAATCCGACGCAACCGATATTGACAGAGGTGACCAAGGAACAACCTAAAGGGTTGCGCAAACATGAGTTACCATTTCGGCGTACCGCCAACTCATTACACCAAGTTCTACGACTCAAGCTCGCCGCACTCCAGCGGTGAGTATGTGCAATATGTACCACACCAATACGATTACACGACACCAGTGAAAGGACATCGGCGCAAGACCAGTCACACTCCGCAGTCTACCAGGTTCGGTGGCTGGTTTTCGCCTGCGGGCTCACCTCCTCCAGGTGCGGATCGGAACGTGTACAACGTCAGTCCAACAAAGGAAACTTATGTGAGTTACGAGAAAAAGAGATCCAAACATCCAAGCACATCTTCGGCCAAGCCACAGCCACGACCGATGCGCAAGCCTTCACGTCCCGTCAACATCTACGATGGCGACGATGTGTATGGTCGCGACTACAACGACGATCGAGAGCCCATGAGGCCTAGCAAGCCTTCGAAGCATGGGAAGAAGCCAAGTACTGATTCATACTTTTATTTTGGACAGGAGCAGATCTACGAGGAGCAACAGCACAAAGCGCATACTAGAACCCGCAGATCTTCCACTACCACCAAGTCCTCACCGCGCAAAGAGCGACTGTCCACCAAAGCCACTCCTGTCGCTACAGAGGACGATGCCGCCCGTGCAGGCATTCCAGCAGGCTACAGCATCAAGAATTGGGATCCAACCGAAGAACCAATCATTCTCTTGGGTAGCGTCTTTGACGCTAATTCGTTGGGCAAGTGGATGTATGACTGGACTGTCTTCAAGTGTGGGGCTTCAACACCCATGGCTGAAATGGCAGGTGACCTGTGGCTGTTGCTCATCAAGCTTGCTGGCAAGATGAAACGAGCCAAGGATTGTGTATTACGAATTAGAAGGGACGATCAGAGAGAAATGATCTACGAATTTATTGAAGGAGGACAACGCATGTGGAAGGCATTCAAACAACTACTAAAGGATTGTGAGTATTACATGATGAAGGCTGCAAAGCTGCATGGCAACAAGACGATGATGGGGAAGAACGCTGGCACCGAATTCGTTGACAGTATCTTTGGTCGAGAGCGTTACCTCGAAACTACAGAGCGCCTTATGAATAGACTAAGGGTCTGGACAATGCGATTCGATGTCAATTGCGAGGACATCATTAGGCGACCATCGGTACGACCGGAGTAGGTGGTCACTGCTGGTTGTGACTCACGCTTGGTGGCAAAGTCAACATGGTGAGCGTCGCCACCACATTTCCGCCTAGTCCCCTTCGGCGCTCGGACCTATCAACATTGTTGTTGCTTTCCCCTGTCGCTGGTTGACAGGTCAGTTCTCTTCATGGTGTTCAAGGCTGAGGCTACGAGTCCTCAGGCGCTATCTTTCTGCGTCATTTATGTTCTCCTTATTTGGCAATCACGTATGGGCGGCAAAAGTTATCTCGATTTCGACAGGCTATGGTTCGACAATAGAAGGACTTGGGAACGCGGGCATGTGATGTTTTTTTGACCTTATTTCAGAGATACCCCTGTACTTGTATACCGGTGCCCTCGCGGGCTGGCATGGCAATGGGTTGGTTAGTCGCTATCAGACTATTTTGTTGTTTGACACGAAGATACTTGTAATTTAAATCAATATTTGAACTATATCACTACAGTCGACAGTGTTCAGCTCATATTTCTTTCCTCGATTTTACAGACTGGTATGCTCGAGCGCCTGTAAGTATCTTGCTACACTTTTTGACATGGTCCGTGTCGTCCAACACACCATCCTGCTGCGCTTGAACACATACCCGGTGGCATACCTGCACCACGGTGATCAAATGTACCTACGACAGATCTGCAAAATACTCCTGACTGTCGCGTATTGCAGCTGGGATGACCTAGCAAGAAGCAAATTGGTCCGATTTCCAATCAGATGTCTGCCCTCCTTGCCTTTTCAAGCATGCTGCACACCATCAGGAACACCATAGCGTTGCAGTGATGAACGGCATCCTGGTCACTTTTTGCCTATCACATAGTCGACCTCGTCTATAATTTGAGCTCCAGGTAGATTGTTGCGCTGCTGTGCGACTTCAAGTCTGTTCCGCATTTGCATGAGCTCTCCACAGCTTTGACTCTTGCCGACACTAACCAAACGAGCCTCAACGACCAATCATTATCTCGTTCGAAGCGCGTTCCCGAACATCATCACCTTGACTCCTGTCTCGCACGCTATGCGTACCACACACACACATCTATCTCTGTCAACGAGAGGGTCGTACAGTCTTCCGCTGCATGACCCAACGATCTTGCCAGTTGATGCATGCTGTTCCGACATGCCGTCGCATTCAGCACGATCGAGTTCGGAACAGGTTCTTCACCACTTCTTCGGAGGCATGTGCCTTCACAGACAGGATGTGTGAGGTCCTGCTGTGACAGATCCACAAGCACACACCTATACTATGTACTGTGGTGCAGCTAATCCTTCTAGGTACATAAGCAGTCTTCTGCTAGAAACTCACACCTCTTAGCGCTAGCTCGAGCTGCAAGCCTGGCAATGTTGTGTCACAAAACTTAAATCACGTCGAATTACTAGCTACGACAAATCTTACCAGGTATCTACAATGGTGACTGGGTCATGCTTGAAACTACCCTTTTCCAAAGAGAGGACTTTACTGGGCTGGAGTTATGGTTCTTTTTGCGATGTTACTTGTTGCATGCGTGAACAGTCAGCGGATCATGGATAAATGCTGTATTGAAGAGCCAGTGCTGTCTTCGCTGTATATCAGTGAGCAGTCAGCAGTACTTGAACATACAAAATTGTTCGAACCATCTTCAGGTGTAATGCTGTCAACGGTCTTCTTTTCCGTTCTCTGGGAAGCATTAGCAACCACTCGATCGCGACATCCATTGGCAGGAAGGAGCCATCACTTCAGTGTGCAATTCTGAGCTCCCACAGCATGCGATTCAGCGAACCGTTCTACCTATACCACAAGAACCCAAACAACAATCTTCTTTGATGAGCATCTGATACCCAGCTGATCTTATCCCCTGCTGCACTGCTCGTGACTTGTGTAGCCCGGTATACGATTTGTTCCATGACAGGGCTGCTAAACAAAGGACGATGTGGCACAGCTTCGAATGGTTCTCTTACACAAACTTATTTGGTTGCAAAAGTCATCCACACGGTATTGCTATGCAGATCAGCTCCGTTGGACAACCTTCTCAAATTGCTCAGCCACAAGGGACAATTCCAGAACCTCGAAGACAATTACAGCAATAGAGATTCACTCTTTCATCCTGTCTCTCCCGCCACATCCGAGTTCACCATCACTTTTCGCTACTAATGAACTTCAAATACGTCGTGTTCTGCAGCAAGATTTGGCACATACTGCTGTGCCGTGGGAATGCCGCAGTGATTCTGGCCGCAGCACCAGGCAATCGAGTTTCTTCGCTTGTGATTGGCTGACGAAGATGTTAGGTGGCCTTACTGTCGAATCCAGTGCTCTCATTGGCTCGAGTAGACAGGCTTAGCCACATTGAATACACCTCGACTCTGTGCCTACGTAGGCAGAGGCGCAATTCTGTGGAAGAAGAGGACGATAGAGATAAACATGTAACGGATGTTCTGAGCCCCCGACCTTTGGAGTCTGAAAAGGATAATTATATCTAGGTATTCTTGCGATAAATTCAGAAGCACGTATCCAACAGACTATCACACACGTCCCGATACGACCTCAATCCAGTCACTATGGTCCTGCTAGAGTTGACAGTGAGTTACTCATATCACACTGCCTACGAGCTCGTTCGCTGACATGCAACAGATCATCGGTGGGGCTGTCTACTACTACAAGACACATCACAAAATCAAGTCCGACCCCTTGCTCCCCTTTACCTTGCTTTCAATACTGACCCTTCTACAGCAAAGCCAGAAAAGCGGCTTTCATGGCTGGGAACCCATATGTTGAGAGAGATGGCAGTGTCTCGTTACCACCTTCATATCCTGGTCTTCCTGCATATACAGAGGCTATGCACGACAAAGTCCAGGCTCAAGAGGTTCGACGTGAATATTACGCTGATTCTCCTACCTTTGCGAACCACCACTCGCTAGATGAGAAGGCTGCTATTAGACCGGCTGTCAGGCAGATAGAAGTCACAGATGGCAAATTGTGACAACAAAGCGCGTGCGTATGTTAATAGCTAGGCGTCGGGTGGTGCTTATCACAGCCAGTAGTTGTGATAGATGTCAATTTGTATCAAGTAATGTTCAGATGCTTCGTGTTTCCTGTTGATGTTGTTTCTCATGATACGCTGGGCAACGAGTGCATTGGCCGATTGACCCTCTTTATTATGCCCAAGAACTTTGGCGATACGTGCTGTTCAGCTGTGTTGGATCCTGTGACAGGGGGTGCCACTGAGTCATGTCGTTCTAGTAGAAGCTCGTACTCGAAGGTGCAATTCACAATGACAAGAACACCAGGAAGACTTAAGATGCATCGTTGCTAAGTACTACCCAAATAGAAAGATCGGGTTAAGCAGAAGATTCCGGTGCTGCAAGCTTGTGTGCATTTGCGTAGCCCTACAAATTGAGAAAGACCCAACCACGGCTGCGCGCGATATATTGCGCTCAAAGCGAGAGTCCGATAAAGCAGACATTCGCATCCACGTTGTTGCTCATGATACTGTGATGTCCAGAAAGAGCTGGCTACTTCCCACATAATGTCGCAACCTCAATTGCGCAAGCCACATGGCTCCATACCTGGGTATCGACCAGGTCCCATCCTAAGCCGCAATCACAAAATACTCCTCTGGAGCCTTCTCATCGCACCTGGCGTAGCGTACGGATTTCTGAAACTTCGGCAACAGGGTCGGAAAGAACAGGAAAAGTCGCTCGAGGCAGAAGGCAGAGCAATGTTCGAGCAGAAATATGGGAGAAGAGCAGGTCAGGAAGTCAAAACCAGGTAAAGCAGCGATATTGTATAGCACAGACCAGGTCTTCTGACTTGGTACGACGCGACCACGGTCCTTTGCTGTTTGGAAGTCTCTGCTATGGCGCTGGCCAAGTATCCAAGAAGAGGTAGAGGCACTAAAGACGTCGATCACGATCTCCCGACCACTTTCATTACGTTCCTTCGAACAGTACCCGAGCTTCTCGAAGCTCGCAGGGAGAGATAGCACATCAAATTCGCCCATACCCTCACCACGCGAGCATGTCAATCTGCAGTATGGCAGATCACGCAGGAGCAGGAAAGCTTAGTGGGCTGTTACAAGCGAGAGCTGGTGAGTTGGTTTCCCTTTTCAGTAGAGTTCACTTCAAGCTGACAAGATTTCTATAGCGAGTGGTAGCCGTGACTGTAGGCAGGACCCTCACTATTCGTACGACTGCACTTCGACGAAAACCACACAGTATAGATATAGCCTCTAGTTCTTGTGAAGTATGACGACAATTCCTTAAAAATGAGTGCAAGTTTGCACCATCAGACCAAGATGATCAAGGCAGGCAATCTGACCGCGAAGAGGCGGGCGATATTAGAGCAGTACGACTATTTCGGTCCATACTTGCTCTGATGGACAAGCAACCATCCGGACTCTATGCTCTTGACTTTCACTTCTGTCGATTCATGCGGAGCCGGATCATTATGTCAGGACACTAGTCGACCTACTGAGCAGCTTCGCTGTCTCGACTCGATATGGTCTGGTGCAAAGTCTTAGCACACAAAACACCAGAGATCGAATGACCTGCTAGCCAGCGATAATTCCTCAACTTGGCAACCGAGCGTTTCTACTCGCTCAACGACAAGCGAAACATTTCTATGCTCGGGAGGCATGTATCGCAACACAATGCACAACGTTTTCATGATAGTTTTAGTGGAAGCTGCCAGATATCAATGGTTACTTCAAAGACCACCAGGCAACCGCAACCTTGGGCAGTACCTTCAATCCTTCAATCGCTTTCTATCTATTTGTGTTGGTGTGTAGCGCAAGTGGTATGCAACGTCTGGCAGGCTGAACTCATATTTAGCTCAATCGCGCCGAAACTTTACATGCTTAGTTAAGGTACCTGATCGAACACTACTTATTGTAGTCATACTGTCAACCCAGCTCTGGCAATCACTCCGAATTGCCAGTGGTGAGAAAGTAGTAACATAACTGTTTACCAATTAGTCAGCGTAGCCACGTACCGGCTTCAAAGCAGCGACTCATCCGACAGTACGTGTGTATCACATCATCGTCTTTTCAATCTGTGGGGTTATTATATGTTTGCTTTGAAAGCTTCAGAACCAGCAGCTGTTGGAGAAAGGGAAACACACGAGAATGATGCCACTGCAAATTGACCAGGAGAATCCAATATAAACATTTCAGACATCTCTTGTCCTTTACTGACGACAAGTCACGCTTTTCTTGACTTCCGTTACTACTGCTACTGCCGCACTAACATTGGTGCTCACACTACCAGCACAAATCACAACAGCAGGTTCTCCTCCACCCCTTCCACCATGTCAGGCCAAAAACTATGGGCTGTAGTCGCTGGCGTCGGCCCAGGTACGTCAAAACCAGCTCACCACCACCACCACCAACTTGAATCCCACTCATAAACTCCCCCAGGAACCGGCGCCTGCGTCGCCCGTCGCTTCGCCAAATCATACTCAATCGCCCTGTTGGCCCGCAATCCCGCCAACTATGAAGAGCTCGTCAAGGAGATCAACTCCTCAGGCGGGAAAGCAATCGGCATCTCGACAGACTGCTCCGACGCCAACGCCGTCAAAGCGGCCTTTGAGCAGATCAAGAAAGAAGATGGCTTTGAGGGAAACCTCGCGGCAGCTGTGTATAATGTCGGTGGGCAGTTTGTGAGGAAGCCGTTCATGGACTTGACGGAGGATGAGTTTTCGATTGGGTGGAAGGCGAATGGGTGAGTTTGCTACATATGAAGCTGTACGTCGACGCTTGAGAGTTTGTACTGACGACAACAACAACAACAGCTTGGGAGGCTTCCACTTCTCCAGAGCAGTTCTTCCACTGCTGCTAGAGACCGAGAAGGCAGGGCCACAACATCCGCCTACACTAGTGTTCACCTCGGCAACGGCAGCAATGCGTGGCGGCGCAATGTTCGCCAGCTTTGCTACAGGTAAGTTTGCGATGAGAGCGTTGTCTCAGTCTTTGGCTCGAGAGTTTGGCCCAAAAGGTATTCATGTCGTACATGCAATTATTGACGGAGTCATTGATATTCCTCGAACGAAGGAATGGAAATTCGATGCGCCGGATGCGAAGATTAGTCCGGAAGCGATTGCTGAGTCGTATTGGCATCTACATACGCAGCCACGGACATCGTTTACGTATGAATTTGATATCAGGCCTTATTGCGAGAAGTGGTAGGAAGGGATAGCTTGAGCTAGGATATGTACCTTTACAGACACTGTCCTGTCTCGTACTACTTAGCCATGGCATCGTATGTTCGCTTTTGCCTGAGTGCTTCACCTCACACGGTACTGTTGTTCTGCTCTTAACACATAAGCGTAAGCATAAAATGCCCGTTGCAAGATACATTCAGTATCATCCACGTCTCTCATGTTCTACTCTTTCTTCCTGGACCATAGTGTCATTACCTCAAGCATCCCACGCCACAACCTGACGAACACCGGGGTTCTGCACGAAGGTCTCCCTCATCTCTTGCGTAACAAGTGTACAGCCACCACGATCCAGACCTGGTCCCATCTTCTCCTTGCGTTTCTCAAATGCTCTTAAAACCTCCTTGCTCGCTGCCTTGGTGTCTGCGCTCAAGCCGTGTGCCCTCAGGAACGCATCGAAAGCGGCTCTTTCAGTCTTCTGCTCGTGAGTCAGGCTCTTCTTTGGAATATCGTGGGGTGTTACTTCGGTAAGGTTGAGGACGTCACGAGGGTAATGTTCATTGCCATTGTCCTTGTCGTTGATCATGGGCGTGACTTCGTGGTGACGACCATCTGCACAATAAGCCTCGCGGTCGCGTTGTATGATTAATGGATCTAGAGTAAAAAGTGTGAGTTGGTTCCTTGACTATGGCAGCTACAAAATATTCTCGTACTTCCACCTCAAAAGACGACTATACTTAGTGCCATTGCTAAGCGTCGAGCTTCACGTGTGCTTACCAACATGTGCCGTGGCTGGACCATCACCGTACTTCATAGCTATTGGGGTTATGTGGTCACGCTCAATGTGCTTCAGCCACTCTTCCCAATGCTCGAATGCTTTGGTTGTGATCCAATCGCCGTTCTCATCCTGCTTGAGGAATTTGCACTTCTTCCACCAGCACGTGTAGCCCTCATTGGCAGCATCATCATTGGAGGGACGATGGACACGACCGATGTGTTTTCGAAGGACATCAAGATTGTGCAAGACAGTCGGACACTTCTTCCACTTGCACTTGAACTTGTCTCGACTAGGAGTCGGTTCGCGCTGTGGCACATTGATCGTCACAGTTGCCGAAGTAGCGGCTGCCTGTTCCTTCAGTGCTTTGAGTGAAGGGTATTTGTTCTTCGATCCTGGCGGTCGTCCCATCCTTCTCTTGACTACAGGCACGTTGCCTTCAGGAGAACCGTTTTGAGCAGAGGACGCAGGCTCGATAGGTAGTACATGAGAAGGACGGGTCGGGTCGAACGTCGCAGGCGTAGCGTGTGCGTCAGAGGCGAGTAGAGAGTGACGCAGGCCCGAAGGATTTTTCAACTTTGGAAACTTTGGAAACTGAGTGTTTGCTGAAGGTGCTTGAGGCTGGCTCGGAGACGCTAGCGCATTCGGAGGACGCTTTTCCTTTTCGGGATGACGCGTTCTGTCGACGGGCATTTTGGCTTTCCGTACTGTTCGATCTCCAAGCTTAAACCGGGGCTTCGTTGCAGGTAGATCTACCAATTCAACTTTAGACACTGATGGGCCACCTGGATCTATCTCATCCCATTCAAAAGTACTCACATCAGACTCGAGGTCGATGTGTTTACCCAACATTCCAGCTAGATGCACATTGAGCGGACGTTCGGATGGATGTCGTCCTGAGGCAATGAGGACGTCCCTGGCCACTGTTTTTGGATCATAGTACTGTTTTCTCAATGCTTCACTCTTGTGCAGAGGCTTGGCAAGGATCGTACGCTGGTTTCTAGAATCCTGCACGTTGTCCACCTTCCTAGGTTGAAGTTGTACTTGTGGATATTGTGGATTGAATTGAACTGGCTGTTCAGGTGCAGGATAGTAGCCCGGATGTGTTTGCACTTGATTCGGCCCAGCCGGTGCCTGAGACTGATGTCGGAACACTTGAAATGTATCGCCCTTCATCTCAACATCGGAATCTATATCATCAGATTGCGGTAGCTTATCCGGCACGACATAGTTCTCATCCTCCGTAAGTTGTGTCAGATCGACTAACTCGGAAAAATCACGCTTCCTGGCTGCTGCTTCCTTCGAGCCTGGAACTGGTTCAGGCCGTTTGGGCAATTTCGATTTGGGTGTCTTGAGCGACGACGGCGGTCGATGTCCATAACCAGATGAGTGAAGCACACCCTGGCCATATTGAGCATTAGGTGGAGGAGGTACGAATTGCCCAGTTGGAGAATTATGCCATTGTATCATGTAGCCCGGTGGTGGTACTGGATATGGTGGCTGAGAAGGTGTTGGCGCAGGTTGAGCCGGAGTAGAAGCTTCCGCCGAGGTTGTGACAGCGACCTGCAACTGCTGAGTAGGCGTTGGTGGTATGTTAGCTACAGGCGTTGGAGTTTTGAGTTCGGGAACACTATTCAGGAGCTCTCTGGCAAAATGGCCTCTGTGAAACTTCAAGCCACGCTGCTCAAGCAGTTCACACAGTGTAATATATGAAGGATTGTTCTCTAACATCTTCCGCAAGTCGTCCTCCGCTAGCTCGATGTTAGCATTTTCTGGGTTAGCTTTCAGGACCCTCATAGCGGTCATCGTGAGAGCATTTCTTTTTTCAAGCGGCCAAACAGTTCCAGAGGAGGATTTCGCAGTTCCGGATCCATCAATTACTGTACTACCGCTGGCTGCTGAACCAAGTGCGTTTTGAAGAGCTGACGGCGTAGCTTGGGCTTTTGCGGCCGAAGCGGACTTCTTATTGAAAGATCGTGCAGATGCAGTCACTGCAGGCAATGGAGGAGGATTCTCCGACTGCGACAAAGTAGAGCCAGCAAGTTGTTCCTCCGTAGTGACTTCCTGATCATCATCTGCCTTCTCTTTCCTGTTGTATTTGGCCGACCGAATCCTTCTCTCGGCTGGGAATCGTCCCAGATCTGGCAAACCCTCGGCATTGTTCTCGACGACAACAGAGTAGCCATTGAGATACAGCTTGCTTCCATCCGGACCAACCTTAGCAGCCTTCCTCTTACCGTTTAATGGCCTTTCTACTGATTCACTGACCTGAGTTGAGATCGGACGGTTGGGTGTTTGTTGGTTCGCTGCGATATCACTAGAGGCTGTTGGCCCGGGTAGGGGTTGATATATAATTTGAGGAGAAGGTGATTGCACCACATTGCTTGGTGCCTGTGAACCTGGTTGGCGCATATCGTTCCACAATTTCTTAAACAGGGAAGGATCTTTGCTTTGAAACGACTTCATTTTTTCCATGATTGACTTCATCTCCAATGCCATGGCCTCCTCTTCCGTCCCTACAACAGTGCTTGCTGGCTCAGCCACGGTCGAGGTCGAGGCTGTCGTTTCGTCTGCTTTCCGCTTTTCGGATTTTTTACCAGAGGATGTGGACGTTTCCTTTGCAGCCTGCCGCTTCTGCACATTGACGGCTTTCTGCTGGTCTCCTTGAGGCATTTGTTGTTCGAGCTCTGCTTCGCCCTGTGTTCTTGCTACCTCAGCTTGGTTTTGCTCTTCGGCCTTTCTTCGAGCCCCAGCGGCCGCCTCTTGACGTCTTCTTTCACGCTCTCGGTGATACGGATCGAAGACAGCAGTGGGATCGATGAAATTTGGTGCAGAATCTGGCGTCGCCGGAGCTTGAGCGTAACCTCCCGACTCAGCCTCATGAGCAGCAGTCACGAGGTTAGCAATGCTGCCCATTTGCTGAATATTGCGACGTTTGGTACTGGTGGATTGCTGCTGTTGGTTAGCCTGATTTGAGGAGACATTAGACTTCTGAACTGTGGTTGTACCATTTAACATGTGCGTTTGTCTTGCGCTTGCGGGAGGATTTGAACCGGGTTGATTCCCTCGTGTGGACCGGGGCTGCTGATTTGTTACATAAGAGTGCGAGATGTTGGCCACAGTTGACGGCTGTTGACTGTAAGCAGAGTATGAAGTGCTCGTAACATAAACCTGTGGTGAAGCAGTTCGCTGTGTCACACTAGGCCTAGCATTCGGCACATTTGGCGAAGGGCTGGCAGTTTTACCTTGCTGCTGGTTAGGGTATCTTCGACCAACGGCCCCAGCTAGAGCAGCGGCAGCATTGTGAGCGAGCTGTTGACTCGAGCTTGAGGATGCAGAAGCCTGTTGCTGCATAGGATACGACGTGGAGACAGTGGGAGGGTTGACCGAGTATCTCGATGGCATTTCGACAGGTGACTGTGTACGATCGTGTTGGGGAACAGCACTATGATGCTGGGTGTCCCGCGACGTGGTTGACCTCGTGGTCGACGGATCCAAGCCCGACGCATATGCGAGATTACTCAGGCCTTCAGCATGACTTTGTGTAGGATGCTGACTGTTGTTGGGGTTGGACTGACCATAGTAGTTCTGCGGATATGCATCATTTAGTGACGAATCCTGATGATCATACTGATTGTTTCTTCGATAGTTGTAGTTTGCGCTGTTCGCATATCCTTCCGTATCTTGCTCAATATTTGTATTATTAGGGTATAAAGATTGTCCCGTGTATCCATATCCTGACGAACCATATGAAACCTGCTGACCACTGGTAGAGCCTGTTATTGAAGATGGATAGTTATAGGCGCCGGAGCTTCTGTTAGATGTATAGGCATTACTATCAGTATTTGGTGGTTGCGCCGAGGAGCCGTAGTAATTGGACAAAGAAGGGTAGGACATCTATGCGATGGAGGGAATGCGATGTTCATTTGCACGACCCATGCGATAGTGGAGATATCGAAGTCATGCCAGAATGTGACCGTCTGTCTCACGCAGAACGGTCCAGTGATACGCGTAATTAACACAATCGTCGCAGGTCAGTCAATCGCACCGTAGGCACCACATTATCGCCTTGACAATCCAAAGGCCTCGAGCTACAGCCCTACAATACCATCACATCTGGACGCGTTTTCGCCTGCAAGAGTAAGTTCCTTCTCCACTTCCTTCTGCAGCCTCGCCAAGACTACGGAAGGCCAACCCACACTCCGCTCAGTCGTACTTTTCCTAGGAACTTTTGACCAAAATCCGACAGCGATCCGCGACGACTTCTTACTTGACCAAGTGATCTTCTCATCTTCTACCAGACACAATGGCCAAGATCGCAAGCGGTATGTTCTTTTCGTGCCAATTCCAGGTATTATTTGCTGACGAAGACCAGCCCTCGCATCTTCGCGACGCAAGTCACGCAAAGCCCACTTCAGCGCACCATCCCATGAGCGCCGGGTGATTATGAGTGCACCTCTTTCCAAGGAACTGAGAGAGAAGTACAACGTAAGATTGGGCACAGAAATAGTCAGTCTCACATCTAAAACTCAACAGGTCCGAGCTATTCCTATCCGCAAGGACGACGAAGTTACCATTGTCCGGGGCTCCCAGAAAGGTCGAGAAGGAAAAGTCACATCTGTCTACAGACTGAAATATCTCATCCACATCGAACGTGTCAGCCGAGAGAAGTCCAATGGTCAATCCGTACCAATTGGCGTCCACCCAAGCAAAGTTGTTGTCACCAAACTCAAGCTCGATAAGGATCGTGAGAATATCCTGCAGAGAGTCGGCAAGGGCCGAGAGACCAGCAAGGAGCAGCGAGCCAAGAAGGATGAATAGACGACCGGGCACAAGATCAAGTTCGAAATAACACAGGAGATGGAGTCATCCGTCCACCCTGTTGACATCGGTTCAACTCACGAAGAGCAGAATGCTATGGCCTGCTGCTCTTTTGCTCGCAAGCACAACCACGACTTCGCAAGCATTGAGACCCAGCCGCCAGCTTCAAACTCGTGTTGACGACCAGTCCACAAAATGACAAAGAAGTTCAATCCACATTGTCGGCTTCGTGCCGCCCTACTCTACCCATCCTTGCATGGGCATCTGCGGACGGGGCCGCAGAACCTTCCCACACACCCCTACGTTGTTTTCCCATCGCACGTTCAATTGCATTGCCGATTTATCACCTTGTCAATCCTGATATCGTGGATTTCAAGGTAAACATCTGGCATAAATTGAACCCTCCGCATGTTTCGCCTGCATTTGCTTTCGGGCATTTGCAAATCGAACTACAAGTGTGTGGCTCGCCTGCAGATTGTTTACAAGGATTGAGCTAACCTGCGAAATTCAAGGAGTTTAAGAATTTGATGGTGAGATACAATAATTGTGGCTATGAGTTCGCTTCATGTAGTGTGATATGTAAATATGGATCAATCACGCCAGTCAGGTATACATGTCAAGTTGTAGCATTCCGAGGTGGGTTGTTCTACAGTGGGACAACGTCTGGAGTGATTGTCACTCAAAATCTCAACACTTCTTTCAAGACGATACTGTCACGGGAAGCTCATTGATGAACAGAACTATATTGACTCCATTCCGAAACTAAAAAGTCTACGGCATACACCATAAGACGGTCAGCTTAGGATGCCTGGGTGGTTGAACTCCTTGCCAACACAATACGCAAACGACTGGGTATCGCGTATAGGCCATACCGACGTCGACCCGGCTCGCTTTTTGCGACAGCAGTCCTCGTCGCGTAGGACGAGCAGGGTTAGTTCCTGACAAATCGTTAGTACATTGCGTCCAAAGAATTGAGGTTAGGAAAACATACAGCAACCCCAGAGTCAAATCGCCATGAATCTTGGCCTTCAATTGCACTTCGATATCCAGGTTCAGGTCCAGGCGCAACCTCAATTGCTCGTCTGGGCCTCCCTCCTCTCCTCCTTCTTCCTCCCCACCTTTCTGTGCGTCCTTCTTACCGCCTTTGCTCTTCAGAAGACCACCTAGAGCTTCGTGTGGCTTGCTTAGCGCTTTGCCAGCAGTGTCCTGTACCTGATCTGTTACACCACTGACAGTCTCGCCAGCTTCATCGACGGCGTCAAGAGGCCCTCCACCTCCACCTTCTTGCTCTGTCTGCGCTTGTTGCTTGTTTCTGTTGCGCTGTCTCTGCCTTTTAGGCTTTGCCGAAGATTCACTTCTGTATGCGCTGTCTGCATCTGACGGTGGCTGAGACGAACCTCGTCCTCTACCACGGCTCTGACTTGGTTTACGTGACTGAGATCTGTTGTCTTTGTCCATTTCTTTTTGTGGTGTCGCTTGTGGACTTTCGTCCTCCTTGGCCTCACCGTTTTGCTGAGCCTTTTCCTTCTGGCCTAGTTTCTTTGGCTTCTTTTTTTCCTCCGAGGTTTTCTTGCTTGAAGCGTTTAGTCCAACACTTCCTGCACCTGATGCGGATCCAGCGGCGTCAGCGTTAGCACCAACTTGTGATTCTTCTGTAGTCTTGTTCTCAGCCTCAGACATGGTGAAAGAGCAGTGGTGAGGAGCTCCGGATTGAATAGTGTTGGAGATAATAGCTTGATGTCAGCACAACTAAGGGTACAAGCAACGAACAAAAGGGTACCCGGATCAGTAGTTGTGAGATACCTTGTACCTCGACGTCAGAAACGGAACACGAAACAGGGCTGCAACAACCAGGAACCGAAAGATACTCCTCAGCAAGGCATGACGTGACGTCAAACGTCGCTGCTTTGACATTTTGAACTGGGTTGAGGCCTGTACACGGCTGAGAATCTGGAGGTGGAGAGTGCTCTGCGACGACAGGGGAGCATCGACAGTGTGCGCCAGACGTGTCAGATGTCGTGGCACACGTGTGTTACCAAGTTTGAGACGTGCAAACGAATCCTAAAGAGGATAGTGTGGGCCAAGCAGTGGCTGGTATCGACCAGGTTCATGACAGGAAATGCCGGAGAGGCACTCATGGCAAGGACAAGGGACTGAGCTCACGACACCATACTGGGCTTTGAAACACCGGTCGCGAGCCATCGAGATGTCACAACATCTGACTTTGACAGCGATGTAGAAAGAAGCTTGATGTTACTGCGTTCACTTGCGGTATTTTACGTCGGTGTTGTTTTGTAGTGCCTACCAGGCTTCAGAAACGAAGCGCGAAAAAAGAAGAGTATGACTTCCGAATACTCGAGTCCAGCCGCCGGACAATTGCGTCAAACGCTAGCACCGCCACATTTAGGGAAGCCACGCAACGTTGCTACTCCACAAGCAAGGTTTGTGCCAAGTTCAATGGGAAGCGAGCGTCACATTGATCGAGGATCGGAACGGAAATGTGGCAGTCTGCATACACATCGTGCCGCTTTACAGCAATGTCCTGGAACGAGGAGCTTTGTGCATTGTACCCTGGTCAGCCATGATGTAGTAGCTCGTAGTTGACATGTACTGTACCGCTGCGACGTGCCTTGTTCCTCTGACTTAGTCTCGATACTTCGTACCAACGACCACGTTCGAAGTCGTTACCATACTTTTGCTTGCTCAAATCCTACAATCCAAGACTTGGAGACATGGCGGATTCAGAAAGCACACCCAGCAAGTCGAAGTCAAGACCACCAGCACCTCAACGGACAAATTCAGATCAATCAGAAGATCAGGGCTATGAATCCAGGTCAAGATCAGCGTCTCGACGCCGCAGAAGGCAGAACCAACGACAAAAAGGTCAAGGACAGGGTAAGGCTCAGGCTGGCAAAGCTAAAGCACAGTCAATGGCAGCCGTCCAGGAGCAGGAAGAGCCTGAGGAAGAAGAGGTAGACGAGGAGGTCCAGCAGGGGTATGCACCGAAATCACAATGGCTGAAGAATCCTGAGCCTCGAGACACCACAGAGACTCAACCTTTTGACTGGATAAAACCTGCTTCGCAGGGCATGATGGGACCTGTAACATATGCAAAAATGATGCGAGGCGAGATTCCATGGCGAGGACCTCCTCCAAGACAACCATATGAAACGACACAAGGAGTCGATGCGAAGACAAACGCGCCGGATCCTATGGAACAGGACGGACTGAAACTGAGGATAGAGTTAAACCTCGATATCGAGATTGAGCTGAAGGCCCACATCCATGGTGACTTGACGCTGGCGCTGTTGTAAGTCACCCTAGCTAACTAGCATCCAACTTGAAAATGTTGACTGACTTATAGGGCGTGATCAGCTCTGGCGGATAAACTCGAAGATTTGACTATGTCAGTAGCACGAGTGGTTCGATGATGGGAGGGGTGGTGAAAAGGCGTTTCAAGGCTTTCAGTCTCAAGATGTATCACTTCGACAAGGACCAGAATACCTTCTAGTAGATGTCTAATGTCACTGTGATTGGTTCATTACAGGTAGTGGCTTGTCCTCGTCACTGGTTGCAAGCAACTTCAGTTCCGCTCCGCTACAACTGTAGATGCACGTGATTCTTGTGCGACTTTATCATCAATTTCGATTTCTTGCGATAGCTTTAAAGCATTCACGTTGTATGCAGCGTCTACAAACGCTCGGACGCACACTGCGATGCTCGAGCATTGCTGGACGCATCACTTCTGGTCCTCGTGCTTATAACTCCTCGAGAAACCATCTACAAGCTGCAAGGTTTACTGATGCAGTCCGGCCTCTCTCTAAGAAACCTCTACTGAGATGCCTCCATCACGATTCGCATGCCTTTACCTCTGATACAGACGACACGGTCTATGCGCTGTCCACTGCGCCTGGAAGATCCGCCATAGCTGTGGTCCGGATATCAGGACCCTCCTGTCTCTCCATCTACAAACAGCTATGCCCAGGCAAGCCTCTTCCCATACCTCGAACTGCCACATTACGCAGGCTTCGCAGCCCGTCAGACTACACCAGGGTCCTTGATACCGGCGCCTTACTGCTGTACTTCCCAGCCCCGAATTCTGTTACAGGCGAGGACGTGCTTGAGCTGCATGTTCATGGTGGTCCAGCAATAGTTCGAAGTATCCTTGAAGCACTTCCAGAGTGTTCTGGACCTGAAAAGAATGTCATACGAGCAGCAGCGGCGGGAGAGTTTACAAAACGTGCTTTCTATAATGGTCGCATCGACCTTACAGAAGTTGAAGCTCTAGGCGAAGCTCTAGCAGCTGAAACAGAGCAGCAGCGTCGACTTGCTGTAAGTGGTGCTGCTAGTGCCTTGACACAAAGATACGGACAATGGCGTAGCATGTTACTCTATGCTCGCGGTGAGCTTGAGGCTCTGATAGATTTCTCAGAGGACCAGCACTTTGACGAGAGTCCGGCGGAGTTCATGAGCAGTGTTTCAAAGCAGGTACTGGATCTGAAAAGCCAACTGGAGCTTCACATCCTCAACTCTGGAAGAGGAGAATTGCTTCGAAGTGGTATCAATGTAGCATTGCTTGGTGCTCCAAATGCAGGCAAAAGTTCCTTGCTAAACAGAATCGTTGGCCGTGAAGCTGCTATCGTATCGGCGGAAGAGGGTACGACTAGGGATATTGTTGATGTCAACATTGACCTTCAAGGATGGCTTGTGCGACTAGGAGATATGGCTGGTCTTCGATCAGATCATACAGACACTGCTGCCGCCGTACAAGCTGGTAAGCCATCGACCTTCCCAGCCAACGTCAACATAGGAGAAATAGAACGAGAGGGCATGCGCAGAGCTCGGGAGCGAGCCCTACAATCAGACCTCATTCTCGTCCTAATCTCTCTTCAAGAAACGCCAGAGGGCACCGTCGGACTGGCCATCAACGAGGAACTCGTCTCTGCTGTTCGGCAATGTCGCACATCCAGGAAGGACATGCTCTTTGTCGTCAACAAGATTGACCTACTGCAGTCCCAGACAGCTCGCCACAAGGTCTCAATTTCTAGGCTCCTTTCATCTCTTATCGACACATTCCCCGATACAGACCCCAACGAAGTCTTCTGCATTTCTTGCAAAGATGCGGACTTGTTTGTTCCTGATGAATCAGATGCTGGTGGGTTGCAGACGTTCATTGCTGGTCTGGTCCAAAAACTTTCTTCCATGACTGCAGCAGTCGCAAGCTTGCCTAATTCCGATACGACACAGATGTCAGCAGCCGATGCTCAGAGCTATTGGGCGGCGAGTCTCAATGTTACACATCATCAAGGTCAGGCTCTGCGACAATGTCTGACACATCTGCAGGACTTTCTCAGCATTAGTCTGCCCAACGCGCACTCACATCTGTTAGTTGAAGCGAGCGCTCAGGTGATGACCGGGCCAGGAGAGTCTTCCCATGGCGGAGAATATTTCGACACAACTGAAATGTTGCAGACAGAGCGCAAGCCACAACATCAAGATTACCATATCGACAACCACGAAGACATCGTGGGTCAAATTGAAGACATACGTGAACAATTTCACACCAGTGAAGCGATGCGACAATCACACAAACACCTTCAGAATCCGCATTTTCACGCAGAGAACGCTGAACTCAGTGAAAATATCGATCTCGATGGCGAATTTGATGTTGTGACTGCCGCAGAGCATCTACGACATGCAGCGAATTGCTTAGCGAAGCTGATAGGTCGAGGGGATGGACTTTCTTCAGGTGCAGACGTTGAAGACGTCCTAGGCGTGGTTTTCGAAAAGTAAGTCACTTCTTTTTCTCCCCGTGTTGTTGCTTCAGTACCTATTCCACAATAAGCACGTTTCGCGAATATCTGCTTCAACGTGCAACGTTGGGGATGCATCGAGTGTGGCTTGGCAATTCGCAGCCAAACTGTCCAAGCCATCCGATGAGTCGTCCCAGTACCTGATCAGCTCCACAACTGCAACAGCACATTCGTTTTAGTGCTGCACATGCCTGACGGGTAATTGACTTGACAGTGATCTGGCTCTCCTCACGTCTATGTCACCCAATTGGGAAGATAGCTAACCAATCCGGCTGAATATTTTTGGAACCTAGTTCCGAAGGAGTACTAGTCTGTCACACCTACAACCATGCGAACCTTTGCGTTCTTCCTCAGAACAACCACTTCGCGGCATGTGAATTGGTATAGGCACTGACAAGGGAGCTTCCAATGGTTGACTCGATTCGGATGCTCAATTCATCACTGCCTGTTTTGGGTGCCATAAATACCAAATTTGACGTCTGGTCCTACATAGTCTACAAGAACAGGGTGCCCGTCACACCCGACGTATCCTTGTGCAAGGCTGACACGAACATTTGTATGATCGACCCGACAGGCCTTGGCGACGATCGTATGCAAGGATCTTCGGCACCTGGCTGCGCTTGGTGTTTGCTCAATACTGGTCTCAACACTCCGATACCAGACATTGCGCAAAGAGGATTGCGATGGATGTTGTTCGCAATTCGCTGGTGCACAGAGTTGTGAGCACTGGCCACAAACCACCCCAACTAAACTCCTGGCGAGGCTGGTGCTACCATATACTCAGGGGCCGTGTGCTGCAAGCTGTCCGCCCAGATACCCTGCTTGCTCGTTGCCACATACTTACTGTTTTTGTACAATCTTGGGCAAGACTAGAGACTGACTGTGTGTTGCGCAATAGGTTTTGTGTAGGCAAATAATGCATCACCGCGATAAAGCAACATACGCCTGATAAGAATGAATCAACACCTTTGCTGCGGACAATTGTCCCTGGACACTGCCATCAACTATTGGACTGCCCCGTGCTGGCGTCCCCATTTTCCCAGGCTTTCGAAGCGCAATATCACAGCTGTCGAGCCTCAACCTAGGAAGCTGTATAATTCGAAGCGACTGTAAGAAACCTCTGTCATATATTGATGAAACCTCGATAATATTGAGAAATTGTCATTGACTACCTTGATCGCTACCTGTTATACATCTTGATAACATCAAAACACATCTCCTCCTCAACAGTGAACTCCTGCAGTAATGGTATCTTGTCTATCTCTATTGTCTATTTCTATCTGATGCTGTACCCTCTGTAATCATTATTTCTAGCCAGATCTAGCGTTTTGTGGTACATAACGAGTGTATATTATTCTGTTAATACAACCAAGGACCTGCCGTGATTTATGCTGTTGATACACGTTAATGGTACGCAGAAGCGGTGTCTTGCCCTTCCGGAGGGTAAGATGCGTGCTTCGAGTCCCGGACTCTGGTGTGCTGTCAATTGAAGTGATCGTGTCGAGATAAGAGACCTTTGAGGTATTGTCTGTTCAGGTGTGCTGTTGGTACAGTGGTTGAGACTGTGTCGAGTACTACTGTCGAACATCAAGTGTTCGTATATTGGATCCGGAAGATGAGAAAACTCCGTCGCTATGCTTTGCGAAGAACAAATTGCAAAAAGGTGTGTAAACGCTGTGGCTATGCTGTCAAAGATGCCTTAAAATCGAGAAACGCCGTCGCTTGCTATGCTTGAATCCAGTAGAGAACGAATGTTGGGTGTTTCGGTGGTGGCTTTCCTCGGCCTAAGGTCGTTCGTATGGAATAGACTCGAACACCTTAGTTGTAACCACCTCGACCGAAGTCTGCAGCAGGTGTAGGACCATTGTACCCTCCACGACCGGAAGCGTCCACAATTGAGGCTGCTGGACCATTATAGCCACCACGTCCGAGGTCGAGAGGAGATGCAGTCATTGGGCCATTGTAGCCGCCTCGTCCTGCTGCCATTGCTGATGATGCTGTTGTGTTGGAGCTTGAGAAAGGTGTATTGGCCAAGGTAGAAGTTGTTTTGGTCAGTTCTTCCTTTCTGACGGAGAGAGAAGAAATTATGACAAAGCAAATAAGAAAAGAAACAGGACAGATAGGAAATGGGATCGGCTCTCTGTAGATGAGGGCTTGAGCCGATCGAACAAAAGAAATGAGGTTCTGTAGATGTGTCGAACAAATGAAACTCTTTGGACTACACCCGAGACAATTGTGTGAAAACCGTAGCAGATCGGAACTTCGAGTTCAGATTTGCAAGAAAGACTGCAGTGGATGAGGCGTTGTCTGTGCGTGCCTCGAGAGAATTGGAATATTGGTTGTACTATTGATTTTGTTGCTGTCGATTTGGTGTTGTGTTTCAAATAGGGTCTTAGCACTGCTGAGAGTAGTAAACAGTAAGGAAAGGATAGTCTTGAAGAAGGTTAGTCTGTGTGATGAGACAGGAGCGCATGTTTGTGAGAGATCTGGCAGGAAGCTATATACATCTGTTCGGAATATTGAAGATGCTGTCATTATTGAGGCAATGCGCAGCACAGTAAGGGACGACGATGTAACTGACGAACTTCGGGTCAGAGAACGAAGGTAGGATGAACGTGAATGGTTGACGGCCATGTGGATTCTTCTTCGGAAGTTTTAATTGCGCATGTCGACCATTCCCAAAAGTGCAACGCCGAGAGTCGTTGGCAGCTGGAAACTATTTTGGGGTCCAAAAGACGGTGGATTGCCTTGTCAGCTTGGGAGTTCTGCAGTCATCTTGCATTGAATTCAAGACTTATGGACCAATACTACGCGTGAGAAGCTGGTGACGACCGTTTCAGTGATCGTGCCTGCTTGATCAGGCACTCCGACAATGACTCGAAAGACAAGACTTCAATGAGGAACAGTAGGAGCTCCCGCTTGGCATGGTACTGGGAATACTTCGTCGTCTTCGTTTTCACAGGGAGAGGTCTTGCGAATTAGTCAGGCTACTCCCGGGATACACTAGGTTGCATTCGAGTATCCTCGACGAGATTCGCACATCTTGACCCAAATCTTTGGCAGGACCGACCATAGAGCAGGGCGCAGGGATTTCAATCAGCAACGGGTTTGAAACATTGTGACAGGCACGTAGCAAGGTGTCTATACCGGTTTCATCGGACGTTGACCTAGTCAAATCTCTGCAATGGTACGTGCGCCCACGGACAAGTCCCACGCTATGTAGAGTATCTAAAGTTGGATCTGTTCGTGCACAACCCACGGGTGCTGTCGCAGTGTCTGCAAGGCTAACTGCTTGGTAGTAATCACTCACGCAGAAAAACTACATCTGTCTTCACCTACTGCTTTTCTGAGTTGAGGACCCTACAGGTTGACTTTGCTAAGCAGCACCAGCGTATGAGATGTGGATCGCTCATGATGTCGTCGTTGCATGTTTAGTTTCTGCGAGTAACGCTCATGGTCAGCTGTAAAGAGAAGCGATATCCTGATCAGTAAGTCGATGCGGAGAAACTCTAATCCGTAAGCCGCAACTCGCTGTCAAAAAGTCAATGCATTCACTATCTTCCTCCGGGCCCACGTTTTCTCACCTTCAACTTCTTACCGCCAGTTAAGCTCTGCAGTACTTCGGAGCTCGACTCTCTATGCAGAACGTCACTACCACGTGGCCTGGATTAGATCTCACAATCAGAGACCATCAACACATTTCTTGCATCTCAGAGACTCATGGAAAGAGACAGCGTACGACTATAGCTTTCGAGTGCCGTTCTCGAGACTGCTTATAAATTGATGGCGTAATAGCTGTTAGATGATGCGCAAAATAATCTGGTGGCATACATAGTTGACTCGAACAGAACTGTTTGCACGGCTTTCCCAGTGCTCGCTACGTCAACAACAATATCGTTACCACCTAATCTCATTTCGCAATTGCTTTTTGCTCGAGCTCTTACATGCACGTGGTGACTTGGCGAAGACTGCACGTGAATTAACGATTGCCTCGTGAAAGTTGGTCCCGCCAAAGTGTCGGCATTGACTAGGAATGCTGATCGTATTCAACTATGATGGATACTAAAACTAACTGAGAGGGGTCGCACACCGATAACAATAAGTGTGCGACCGCGTGGAACACACTAGTGGAGTGCCAAGATCAACTCATTGTGGTGGGCCTTTAAAGTTTGTTCGAGAGTCCAGGTGCAAAAAGGCTCGGAGTGAAGTGGAGTGTAGGCACAAAAGTTCCATGAGGCTATGCCATGGCCCTCGATAACTATGCTCCTGCGCATGTAATAAGAACTCCTGCCCTTCATATAACCTGCGGTAGTCTTATCGTCCACGGCAGGTGACCTACTTCTCAGTGTAGGCCTACCGACTTGAAGTTTTCCCTTTCTGAGGATTGTTGAAGACGGAACATCACGTTCGCGCCTTCGCCAAAAACCCGACTGTACAGTAACGGCATCGAAGGTTCTCGGCTCGTAGCATGCTACGAGTCTGTCTGCAAGATACAGGACCTCGCCATCTTGAGTCGAGGCAGCAGATACTGCGAGTACAAGCATAGTAGATAGATGGTGCAGCTAGCCGTCAGGTCGCCTTTTGCCACCAGAGCGCCTGACCAGGCGTACTCTGCCGTAAATGTATCGCATTCTCACATTTAATTGGCTTAAAGCACTTTCATCCCCACCATGAGTTGAGCTGATCGTCTTGACTCGAGTTTGCCTAACCCCCCGGCCAAGGTGTACAAATTGCGACTCAGCCTGCCCAGAGCGACACCTCTGCTGTTCATCCCGAGAAGTACTCGTCACGCCATAGCATTGAGGAAAGTCTTTTCCCTTCCTCAGACTTGCCTGCACTTTTGCGATTGTCCGTGCAAAGTACGTGATATGAATCCTTACTCGAGACCTGATCAACGCTATGGCCAGCTGTCGCCGCCGTCTAGTACGAAGAGCACGATAAATTCACCGATGATACAAAATGGTGTACCTGCGTCAGGACGGCTGCCACCTTTCAATCCGATGTCCTCTGCGTCTCCCAATTTTGGAGACGGCCAGATGGCCATATATCATGGTGGTCAGCAATTCGCTTCGCCATCACCACTGACAACCTCTCCATATCCTGTTCCGATATCTGCTGGACAATCGCATGGAAGCACAGAGTATATTGATCGTGCCACAGAAGAGCAAGAAGAGATGGCCGAGTACAGAAAGTGGAAGGCTATGCAGCGCCAGCAGCAAGCACAACAGCAACAAGTGCAGATGCGTTATCAAGCAGGACCGCCTGCAGCGATGCCACGGAATCCGCAGTATGTCCAGCAGCCATTCCCTCTTCCGCAGATGCACAATGATTCTGGCTATGGTTCGGGCACCTTTGAAAACTATGGCCAGTTTCAAGCATTTCCCGGTCAACGGCCTCAAGCCTATGCTGCAAAACCTGGCCACAAGTATGGGAATGTCGTCGCCTCCGGCAATTCAAGGGTCGTAAGAGGAAATGTAATTGATAGGACGGCGCCGAACATGCTCGAGCGTCAGCACGAATACGGAGATGCTACCTCCTCGGACAAGGCGCGAGTGTTCGATGGTAATGTTACAAGTGAAGACATGAAGGGCTTTTGGAACCACGACTGAACAAGGAGTGAGCATCTGGTCAGCTGAGGCAGTGTCACCCAGGCACAGATATGTTCAGGGATTCAAGGCTACGAAGTTATGATTGATGAAGATATGTAGTTTGCACGAATTGATTCACCAGTAGTCTGTTTGTGGTAATGCACAAACCACGGGTGTTTCCACACAAAATCTCGGTCTTTTCTAAACGTGTAGATATTCGCACAGATGTGGCAGTAACCTCCCTGTGGATCATACAGTCTTTTGGCCCTCACTGCCAGAATCTCTCCTTAACCAGGCACAGCCGTCCTTGTGTTTCTGCCGCGACAAAAAGTCAACAATTTGGATACATATACTCGTAACGTATATACCATTTTGTCACCCCTAGATAACTGACTTCTATCTCAACTCTGAACATGAGATTCACAATAATGCATTCATGCTTTGTGCATGCTACAGTGGATAGTTGGCCTGGATGACGATTTTCACCACTCGAACTAGCCCGGTTCATGCCGGTTCCCGCCGCACTTCCAAAACAAACTCCACAATCGCGACTACGACGACAATGCGCAATGTTGGCAAGGCCACTGCTTGCAGTAGGAGCAGGAACAGTTCATGAAGCTGCGACTTCCCGCAGCTCAAGACCTGCAGCCATGCGGAACGTTTGCTATCGGGATGTCGGTGGTTCGCTGCTTGGTTTCCTTCGATCTGGCCCCTCGATAGCCTGTGCTACCGAGTGCTTAGCCTAGGACTTCATAGGCCGCATATTTTGCCTACAATGATGTCGGTGGTCAGGTGTGCCTGTTACGGTCTTTACGAGTTGACTCATCAAAATGTATTAATCGAGGCGCAGTCGTTCCAACTCTCAATTCACTTTCCTTGCTTAAAGAGCGTACTTGCGCCTATACTTCTTACCACATCACTCACAGCAACAGCAAAGATCTGCCCACAGCGCAACAACCATCAGACTCGGCATCTTCGAGGTAGCCGATTCAGGTACTGGGTGTTACCGTCTTCCACATCTCCCGAGGACTCGACGTCCAGCAGCAAGCCACCGTAACAAAATGCCAACCCGACCAGTCGGCGGCATGCGCCCTGACCCAGGCATGATCACGCCGCCGATGTCACGACGTGGTACCGAAGATGTTACTGCCGCCTCGGCTAGTCCGTCAATCAAGCCCGGTGTTCCGATCCGCAAGCATTCACAATCTCACCACGGCAAGTATGTCAACGAAGGACGTGATCGAGATAGCTACGCAGTCACCCCGTATGATTCCCGTCAGCAGATGTTCATCGATGAAGAAGAAAGAGCAACGCAGCGAAGCCAATATCAGTCAACGGCTGAATATCCACAACCAACATCACCCAGGCACCCACCCAATGCAATCAGGACCTATCCTCCTGTATCACAAAGTTGGATCAGCTCTGCGGGGAGAGCTCCAATGTCGGGCCTGTCGGATACCCAGCTAAAGATGCTCATCGACTCGGGCGCCCTCAAGGGAGGCCAGCGCGGTCACAAGTTTGGAGGCATCTATTTGGATGGTAGTGGGAGTGCTTTGTGCGGGAATGCATATGTGGACCCGCTACTTGCTCCTCTCGGTAAAGTTCACGACTTCGGTACCATTAGAGCAGGTAAAAAGTGGAACGGCGTATTTTTGGGAGGAGATCAACATGTCTCGTTGGTGGAGAATGTCTTTGATGGAGTAAGAAAGCAGAACATGGGCTCCAGAGGTGCTCATGGACCTATGTACGTTGACGAGGAGGAGGAGGACTTTTCATAGTCCCTTCGCGGTCGGATAACTCGTTGCTGGCGTTACATATGGCGGAGATGGAGCTCACCAATCGACGTTGAGGTAGAAGAGGACTTCAGATCTAGTGCAACGCTTGGCACTCTATCTGTATGTTGGTTGGTGCTCTCTCGCATTCTGGTTTATTGATTGGTCCGAACAAGAAGGGTCAGGCGTTGTGGTTTAATTTTATTCTTTCGCGGAGTAAAAGGGGTATTCAGCAAAGCAGTCATACATAGTGCCATTTACAACAGGTATAACAGACTATATATTATTCAATTATTACATCTTCTTCCCATCTCTTCCATTACCGTGATCTCCTTTCATCACAGCCGCCAATTCAGGAGCACCACCTTCAACCACAGGCTGCTCCCTCTTTTGAGCATCTGCATCTTTCTCACCCCCAAGCTTAACTTTACCGCTCATGCTCTCTCCCCCATCTTCCACTACACTCATCCGTGCTTTCATCTCCTCCTTCATCCTCCTCTCCTCCCTCCACTTCATCCCATACCGAAAATTCAACCAAACCAACGGACTCGTCACAAGCAGCACCAAGCTCAAAAACGTAAACGTCCAGCCTCTCCCCATAGCTTCAATCATCGGCAGCACCGCCGCCGTCGCGCCCGCACCAAGTAGACACCGCACAAAGTTGTTGGCCGCCGTCGCCGTCGCGGGTTTAGTCGGGTAGAAATCAACGAGGAGCGTCGACGTGACGTTGAAAGCGATGCTCATGCTGAAGCTTGTGAAGAACAAGATTACCAGTAAGGCAGGTAGAGGTCCATTGATTTCGAGGAGCCAGCCCCATACTAGGATTAGTGCGATGGTGGTGTAGATGGCTGGCATGGCGATTTCGAGTCTGGCGCGCTCGATGGGAAAGTTGCGCAGGTCCATGTCTCGTCCTTTCTTGATTTGTATGTCGAGCTTTCTGCACCAGCGGGCGAAATTGCGGTCTAGGAATTGGCCGTTGACGAGGGCTGCAAGCATGGAGCCGACGCCGAAGGGGATGAAGCAGAGACCGATCTGGAGGTCGTTGAAGTGGAAGATCTTGGCGAATTGGGATGGGATTGTGGCTGTTACGTCGTAGAACGCACAGAATAGTAGAGCGTTGTAGAGGAGGATGATGGCCACTTGTTTGTCGAGTAGCAATACTAGACTTGCTAGTGGGTTTGGGAAGCGCTTCTTGCTTTTGGGTAGACTCTCGGTGGTTTCTGTGTTAGCAGGGGTGTGGTCGTCGGACATCTGCTCTCTCCTTATTCTACGTATGGCGAGGTAATTCATCAGGCTCATGTTCCATCCTTCTGGTGGAATCGAGCCATTGCCGACTTTGCTGCGTGCTGTTTCAGGAAAGAACACCAAGAAGATGGTCAGGAAGGCTACTGCTAAGATAACCAGAAACCAGAAGATTGCTCTCCAACCTAGAAATTGGGCCAAAACTCCTCCTGATATCTATTAGTAAGGTTCACTGATGAATAATGCTGTACCTACCTAAGACTGGTCCAATTGCTGGCCCAAGCAGAGACCCAGCCAAGGTAAAACCCATGTACGACCCACGTTCTGCTGGAGTGCTAACATCCGCCACAACGGCGCTTGCCATGGCAATTGTAGCGGAAGAGCCACTTGACTGCACACATCTTAGAACCATCAATGCAGCATAGCTATTCTGTAGTGCCAGCCCAACATTAGCAGCGATATAAACGATGAAGCAGACAGTATATGCTGGACGTCTGCCCATATTATCCGCAAGACTGCCGACAAAGGCAGGCGCAAGGCCTTGAAACACCATATATGATGTCAGTGTCAGGTTGATCAGTGAAGACGAAACATTCAGAGAACTGGCGAGAGGGTTCAGTGCTGGAAGGTAGATGTTTGCGCTAACGGGTGAGAAGAAGCCAGCCCACGAAGCCATGAAGACGATAAACTTCTTTTGGGTGGATGTGAAGATCGAAAAAGGAGGGCCAGTCGTGCCGCTGGTAGTAGTTCGTAGCAACGTGGGATGTGCCTGTGACACCTCGTGTATGTCAGGTCTTGTTGCGGCCTTCTCGAGCTGTATGTGGTCATCACCGTGTGAAACTGTCAACACATTTGGTTTTGAGCCTCTCTCGGTACTGGAAGCTTGCGAGTCATCGTTTGTTGCCACTTGGCTATGTGCAGCTGCCACAGTAGTTGCCATACCTGAGTCGTCATAGCTGTGGTGCTTTCTTTGATCCATACCTTGCGGCCTGCCAGGTTGGGGAAAGCAAAGAAGCTGTTGCTGTTTGTAAGGCCTAGCTCGAACGCTGCTGAGAACGAGTGGGCATCGTGGTATGTTCAGCAGAGGAAGCGAGGCTATCAGAAAGGAAATGAACGCATTTCGGCAACATCCTGATAGTTCGAATTATGAATCAGGTAGTGGATGTCTCCACATATGCGGAACAGCCGTCAGTAATGTTCTAACCACTGCTGCTGCGTGATAATGAACATTATCAGCAGGTCGTGGAGTCGTCCTCTGTTTGTGGGTCGTATCCGCCTCTGGTGAATGCTTGTTGAGCTTGGTCCATCTATGTTTACTGTATCATTACTTGCTGATTTGAGTAGGCACGATGCCGTTTAACCGGTATTAAAAGGACTGCTCAAGGAAAGCAACGGAAAGAGGTTGTAATTTATCGATGAGCGGCGACTTCACTTTCTCGCCGTGGTTCGTACTGGATGAAAAAATTCCGACGATAAGCGGCATAGAGCAGAGCGATTGTACCTGCCTGAGGTCATGCCTGAGAAAGAGAGTCAAGCCTGAAAGCCGGCAAGCGTTTTCAAGAGACGCGACGCGTTCATCAGCGCGTCAATTTCTCCACTCTCCGCCATATTGACATGCCAGCTTCGATCGCCCCGGAACTTCAATCTGATGGTAAGCCGATGATCGATGGGCGCAAGTTGCCACGAAAGCATCAACAGCAAGATCAGAACAAACAGAGCGGTGCACAGATAGGACGTAATGCACGAAGTTTGAATAATAACAGCAAGTGGCAGAACTCTAATCAGCTACAGTGCCTCGTAATAGCCAGAACCGACTCTCATGGTCAGAACTATGCCCGAGAAGATGGAGAACGACGACTTCTGAAGTCACTACCAAATGGCCCTGCTCAGACAGGAGAAAGCTCTGCGATTCCATTCTATCCAGCCTATACTCATAATGCTTCCCCAACCTACTTCAAGTGGGTCAATCTGACCGCTCATCAGATACATACCGAGCTGAAAAGAAAGGAAGGTTTCACGCACACCTGGCAAGCTAGTAGAGATGGATACAGTCGCGATCCTGCTCAGCTATTATTCTACCTCAACCATCCTATTCAATTCGTTCAGGTGGTTGGCATTGTCGTCAGCCTGGAGGAGTGGTTCGAACGATTTTGGCTCTTTACCATAGATGATAGCAGTGGCTCGACCATTGATGTTAGGTGCCAAAAGCCTCAGAAAAGCGGGCCAGAGCAGAAGGAAGTGGACGTGAAAGAGGATGATTGTGAAAAAGGGGAAATGGAGCAGGTAGCCAAGCTCTCGGACGAAGTAAGGTGCAAGGTGCAGATCGGTGCTGTACTCCAGATAAAAGGTACTATAACCTTGTTCCAGCGCAGCAGAGAAGTGAGGGGTATCATGGCAACTAGAACCTCAGCGAACGATCAGGTCAAAGTACAGGCACAAGAACCACCAACGCGGCAGATTGCACTCGCAAGAGTCACAAGTTTACACGATACGAGTCAGGAGATAGCGCTCATCGAAGCACGCACGAGATTCTACAGAGATGTGCTTAGTAAACAATGGCAACTGACCAAGAGAGACCAGCAAAAGCTGCATCGGAGGGCTATGGGGGAAGCCGAACACGATAGAAAACGCACTAAGAAGCATGCGGCGACGTTTAGTGGAAGCCGCCAGCAAGAGAAGCATGACAAGCAGTGCATTGTTGAGCAGTACGAAGAAGAGGAGCAACTTAGGCAGACAAAGGCCGACAAGGCACAGCAAGCAGGAAAAGCTCTTAAAGTAGAGCAAACAAGTACAATCAGTACATCGAGTCGGATCACTGACCCGGAAAATTCGGTGACGGGGTTCGTTGATAAAGAAGACAGCGTAATAGAAGTCGTCAAGCCTACCCAGCCAAAGAAGAAGCGGCGGAAGACGAACAAATCTACGACACAGCATGCTGCTGTTTCGGTAGTCGACCATGACACCTCGATGAGCTTCAATATCGATGATGAGGAGAGATCTGCACTGCTTCGAGCAGCTTTCGGCTGAGACAACAAGTACACTTCGAAAATATAAATATGTGTCTTCACTACACAAAGTCGAGCGTTTCAGCTTTTCTACAACATTCGTTATCGCCATCGGCCAGCACAGAACTATACCTGACAAGTAACAGGTCCAGGCCGAATCGCTGGACTGGAAGCTTCTCCGCTACTAGGCTTCAACCCGCCGAACGTCTTGAGAGCTTGCAGTACTTCCTTGAGGAGTGGAATGACAGAAGAGAATATTATGTTTCACATCACTTTGGAACAGCATTGGGCACGACAAATTTTTTCCAGAGCAACAAGCTAGTCAGCGCAAGTAGTACATACTTTGACAACATGAGGAAGACAAGATGAAATAAATGTGTTAAGCTTCCTCCATCCATCGCAACGACCGGCCACGAATGACCAATTTTGTGGGCTTCTGTCGAGGTCTTTGAGTACCAGCCAGCTTTACGTGTATATGCTCATTGCAAGAGACCATCTATTCATGACAAGAGAGCCTTCGTCTCCGACGAGCAGAGGCCGTCACGACGAACGTTGCAACAATTGAATGTCCGCACTCTGCTAGTACCTCGAGCCCAAGCCACCTTTAAGACGTACCAGAAATTGCTCAACTATGGATGTAAGGATCGCCGCCCTGACCTCTGTTAGAGTGACTGGGGCCTCTTTGACGTCTGACTGCTTTTGGGCTTCCAGGCTCGTCGCTTACAGCGTTGTCATACATGGCCATCTGACCCCTTGCCTTCTTGACAACTCTTTCAATAGCATCCATGCCTAGCTTGAGGACTTCCATCTTTGGACCATACGAGATTCGAACGAAGTGGTGGCATGGCGAGTCGAAAAGGTCTCGTCGCTTGGCAGGATTGAGGTCGAAAAATATGCCTGGCACAACGATGGCTTTCTCTTTCAGTAGAGCGTCAAAGAAGCTGAGGCCGTTGGAAATGTCCGCTCCCGATGAGGCAGGGATGGGAGGATCGAGTGTGGTCAGGTCGAGCCAGATGTAGAAGGTCGAGTCGGGAATGTCTTGGTCGCCCTTGCTGAACCCTATTTCTTGAAGTCGCTTCAGGCAGTAGTCGCGCTTCATCTTGAAATGCGTTTGCAAAGCCTTCATCTCGATTTCGACTTTGGGTGGGTCGAGCATGGAAACAGCCATCTCTTGAAAGGGGACGTTTGTACCTCCGTCTAGGTAGGAGCCACAGCTTCCAAGAGCACTGATGAATTCTTTCGGTCCTGCTTCGTATTAATGGGGCACAGCATGCATAGTATAGAAGTACTTGCCAATCAACCAGCACACACGCAGCTTGAAAACAATTAGCAACCGTCGCTGTACAAAGGGCCAGGGGCGTACTTACGCCAGGTAGTCTGAAGCGTTTGGTAAGTCCATCGATGATGATCACATCATCATCGTTTACGTCCACAACGTTCGCTGCAGCTGAAATTGTGCTGCCATCACAGTCATGATCGTAGCGGAACCCGGCGTAAAACTCGTCAAAGATGATAGTTGCCCTATCACGACAGATGTCTTGGATCTCAGCAAGTTCGTCTAAGTCAAGGGAGTGGCCAGTGGGGTTGCGAGGATTAGAAGTAAGGATGACTGAGGTGCCCCGAGCAATCTCCTCCGCAATCTTGTCTGCATGGATGTGGTAGCCGTCCTTGGCGGACAAGGGAGTTGGAATGGCGACGAACTGAAAGCTGATTAGGCGTATTACTCCAGGTTTTCAATAAGGATACTCACATTCTTGAACAAACTCAGCATCTCATTGTATGCCGTGTAGTCTGGAATAAAGAAGCCAACGTAGGCATTACCAAGCACAGCAGCAATTCTGATCAAGCCAGCTCGACCACCAGGGACGATACATACGTTCTCCCACGTGTATTTGCTATTCCATGTCAGTCCAGTAATACTATTGCCTTCGAATGTTCTTACCTAAGCTTTCCTTTCCTGTAATTCTCATTGTAGAGGTTCGCGACTGCGGTTCGAAGTGGTTTGATCCCAGCTGTTGGCCCGTACTCACGACCATTCATAGACAATGGAATAGTTTCAGGTCTCTTGAAACAGCCTTCAATGTCATCGTCAACTTCTGGAGCACCTTGACCTAGGTTGGCCCATTGCTCAGGATGCTCGGCGAAGCCATATTTCTGTGCTTGTTCTGTGCACCATACTACGCCAGTGCTTGAACGGGTTTGGTCAAGACCAGCATGGACGGCTTTGTGTCCAGGATGCGCACGGAACTCAGTATGGACTGGTGAGGCGAGCTCTACGTCAATTTAGCTCACTGTGCAAGTAGTCATATGCGACATTCATACCATTAGCTGAAGGTTCCTGCAGTTTGGCGATTGACCCTCTTCGCTGTCCTTCCGACGATGTCCCCAAAGCCGTACGAAGGACGGATACGCGACGACCAGAGAAACTCATATTCAAGGTAAGTGGTAGTTTCCGTACCAAGCAATTGTCGTGCTCGTCCCGCAATTGGCCGAGGAATCCTTGAGGTCGGTCTGGTGCAAAAGCCAAGCCTTAGGCGTGCTTGGCTTAGCTCTAGGCCTAATTACGGAGTACAGCTCACAGACAACAGCGGTAATGGGAACGAGAGCTTGAGGGTGGTGCTGAGAAGTCGACCCAAATTTATAGAGTGAGTCGGAAAAAGACAGTTCAAGCAGCGCATCAGCCGTAAGCACAGTCTCGCATGAATCTGCCCATGTGCCAATGAGGGACTTTCTCAAACGAGCTAACATTCAGCTGGAAAGTTGCTTCTCTTATTTGAGCATGACGCTTGCCAGTAGTTTCCCTATGGACGCGGCACTTATCCTTTCAGCTGTGCCCAAAATGTACCTGCTATATGCAGTGGCGCATGGGGAGTTTGCTTGAAACGATCGAAGACTTACGATTCCAGAAGAAGGCTTGACCATGCACGTTGCAGATCCGCTTGAAGTCCTATTGCCAGTCAGAGATCGAGGAGCAATGCCCGGACATATCCGTCCTGACACGAGATTGATGGCTTGTCAAGCATACAATGTCCCCTGCGTCTACTGCCCAGGTCAGATCTCAGATGACACATTGGATCTCGGCAAGGATTCAGACGGATTTGTAGGGTACTGAGCGTTGGCAGAATAGCTAATCTGTAGGGTACCACAACAGCACTTCACTAACAACCATTCGTAGCGCTTCAAACTGTCGCATTTTAGACCCAACGATCGAACAACCAGTGAAGGACACAATAGTACAACCTCTTTCTGCTTCTCCTATCACTACTACGCTATGGGCTCGATCGATGCAGCCGAGCTTCCGGCAACTAATACCTCTTCAATAACATCTGCTCTCGCTGCAGCTCAAGAGGCCTACACAACAGCTCATCCACGCTCACGAAAATCTCACCAGGATGCCTGCAAGTACATGCCAGGCGGTAACACACGGACTGTTCTTCACACAAGCCCATTCCCGCTTACTATACACTCCGCACAGTCGTGTTATCTGACTACTGCTGACGGACACCAATATGTAGACTTCCTCGGTGAATATACAGCAGGTATCTATGGACATAATTCGCCCATCATCCGTACCGCTGTCGAGAAGGCGCTGGATGACGGCTGGAATTACGGTGCACACAGCCAATCCGAGCAGGAGCTTGCCAGGATCCTGTGCTCGAGATTTGCAGGTATTGAGCTTGTCAGATTTGTGAACTCAGGTACTGAGGCTAACATGAGTAAGTCGTTTTGCGTACCTTTTCCGAAACTCATCTGATGATATGCATGCATCCAATACCCTTGAGCTGACAAACAATACAGTGGCACTTGCTACAGCCATTGCTGTTGCTAAGCAATACGGTGATTATAAGAAGGGCGTCCTGCTCTTCGAGAAGGGCTACCATGGCAGTACGATCTCAGGTCGAGCACCCTCTGGCAAGCCAAGCATTAACCTACCTCACGACTTTATTGTGGGACAGTACAACGATGTCGAAGGTGTCAAGCGCCTTGTCTCGTCAATACCCGAAGATTCCCTGGCCGCCATTCTGGTTGAACCTATGCTCGGCAGCGGTGGTTGTTTTGCCGCTACCAATGAATTTCTCCAGACCCTTCGTGACTTGGCGACACAGCATAGAGCCATCCTCATTTTCGACGAGGTCATGTCTTCACGCTTGTCATATCACGGTTTCGGTAGCATATACGGTGTACTCCCCGATCTAACTACACTGGGCAAGTACCTAGGAGGTGGCATGTCGTTTGGAGCTTTCGGTGGTCGAGCAGACCTCATGTCTCTTTATGATCCACGGCAAGGTCAGCTGGAACATCCGGGCACTTTCAACAACAACGTTTTCACTATGCAGGCGGGGATAGCTGGTGCCAGCATCCTGACACCTGAGCGCTTACATGCCTTGAACAGCCTCGGTGACTTGATGCGTTTGGAGGTGGAAAAGCTTCTGGCTCATCACCTGCCGTCGGGGTTTGGAATCGTGCCAAGCGCACCTCTTACAGACTCTTCTCCCCACGATCCCACTAAAGCCCATCCCAGGAGGCCACCGAAAATGTTCATCAAGGGGGTGGGTAGTCTGATGTGCGTACACTTTGCCGGACCGAATAGAGAATCTTTGCAGGGCTTGTTCTGGCATCATATGCTTGAGCACGGTATTTACATGGCCCAGAGAGGCTTCATTGCGCTGAGCATTGAGATTACTGATGCCCACGTATCTCAGTTCGTTGCTGGAGTCGAATCCTTCCTTCGACAATGGAGTTCCATGTTGAGGTGGTGAACAAGTAGGTTCTGCAAATGCTGAGTGCTTGCAAACCAACCGTTCCGTCGTCCCTGTGATTCCATAGTGCGCTATTGTTATGTTCTGCAATGACAATGAACACTACGTATTGCTCACAACTCCTTCCTTGGGCTGTTTCCGTCTGAATACAAACAGCGCATCATCTTTTCCAGCAAAGCTAGGTAATGGCACCTGTACGACTCTCTCAAAGTCCTTTCGCTCTCTGGCCATCCAAGAATCGATCATCTCGTCTCGGAAGCCTGTATACCCATTCCCATTCTGTGTACCCACCACACACACAATGTCCCCTTTATACGCATCCAACACACTGACTGTAAATTCAAGTCCCACAACAGGATAAACCATCAGTAACACGTCGTCCTTCCCACCTTTACGTTTCTGCTTGATATACCGCGTACCATCCTCATTTATCGTGTCTTCAATCCACAGCGTTCGCCATGTACTCTGCCCATTATCAACCGCAACAACATCAACACCATGACGTCTCAGCATAAACGTCCAATATCCATTCCCACTTCCCACATCAAGCACAGTTCTCCCTCTACTCACGGCCCTGACAATCTCGAGACTCTCATAACTCGGACAAACACACCCAAAATGATGCATGAAAATAATCAAGCAAGCATGACTAATCGACGTCTGCGCACTCATCACATTCGGTCCACCCCACCTCAAACACATACAGCTCCACGCCCAAAAATCAGCATACACATTCGCATGCCCCTTCTTCGCCTTCGGTACCACAATCCCGGCTTCTGGGCTGACATATCGTTTCGCGAGTAAATTCTCAGCAACCCCGGACTGTAAACTATTCTTCTTGGCGTTCGCCTTGAAACCCTTCAGCAAATTCGCGCCAGACTTCGACGGGTCAAAGAGGGATATGTAGTTCTGCACTTCCGCTGGCGACGGGTACTCGAGTTTACGCCTCTCGGAGCCATCTTCGTCGTTTTGGAAGACCTCGGCGCTGGGGTACCAGGCACATAGACCGTTTATGCCGCCGGCATTGACTGCTTGCTGTGCTTGTTCGAGAGTTATACTTGATGAGGCGTGGTACGTGTATTTGTCCTTGTCCGAGAGAGAAAAGGCTATTTTGATGGCGGATTGGAGGTCGTCACGGCTGAGGGCGTCTCGGGCTTTCTGATGGATTTCTGGGTCTGTGAGGAGTTTTTCGGTGTCGAAGGTGGCTACGCCGATTGTCGATGGGCCTTTTCGTGACATTTTTTGGGGTGAGTTGGAAGTCTAGTACTACAGAAAATGTGCCTATGTTTTTTGTGGTTTCATAGGGACAACAAGCAACAGGCTTTGGGTCTTGAGTATCGAGATGGTGCTTCGATCGATATATCGTGCGTAGCCTTTCGTTGACTGGTGGGCTTTTCGAGTGAAGCGCGACGATCTAGCAACAGTATCAGATATGAGACGGTAGAGGTGTTGAGACCAGTGTCCATGGAATGGGAGTTATTCCATGGGCTGAGGAGGAATTTTGTAGCACGAATACAGTTTAGCCTGGTGTTGATCCCCTGTTGAAGCTCTTCAACTCAAATATCGGTCAAAAGTCACAGAGCCACGTTCAACAGCTAAAGCGAAAGTATGGCTACGTACCAGAACAAATCTACGTTCAAACATGACCTTGTAGTCATCTGTGATTCTCAATTGACATCAATTCGTTAATGGACTTGAGCCTATTTTCTATACAACGCCCACGTTTTGTCTCTCCAGTGCCGATCACGTTGAAGGCACAGGTGGCCCCGTGATGCAACACCGATTCTGACGACATAGCATACCATGCAGCGTCGAGAAGGCACACTACTGACCACCATCAAACTACGACTAAATGTGAGAGATACTGTCCCGGCGCCTGCGCAACCTAGATAACGAACTTAGATTTTAACTCCGTTTTTGACATACCCTGATCCCTAACTCCTATCATGCTCTCGTATCAATGCCTTCGTTCCTCAATACGTATTCTCATATGCTGGTTCACTGGGACTGGTTGTTGACCCGTTTCTTGCAGACGTGTCTCTAAGTGCTTGTCGATAACAGGGTTGATGCCCGTTATTTGTCTACAAGCTGCTGTAGGCTCATACGGGTTCTTCGAACAGCTTGATTCTTCGATGCTTTCTTGTGCGATCCGCCGTTGATGTCGATGAAGGTCGAGAACCGTCCCTTTCAGACACTGCGTGAGTTTTATCTGGTACACACGCCAAACGCTCAACCTCCATGGTCTCCATTGACGTGCGCAAACAACATAATCTCCGCGTTGAGGCCACCAGGCCCGACATCGTCTGCATGTGTCTCACTCCAGTCGAGCAGGGCCTCATTTACAGCCTCATCACTATCGATGAGTACATAATCCCCATCCTGATCTTCATACCTTAGCTTCACACTCCCGCTTGCGATTGAATGATGTGTAACTCGTGAAAGTTTGGCATCAATCCTGTCGGTCAGCGTACGAAAGGTGATGTTGGTTGGAATGATCATAGAAACGTAATTACTTTCGAAACGGACTTTAGCCTTTAGTTGAGATGGCATGCCGTTGCTATCAGTAGTCATTGGAGTTGACGTGATACGATCTTGAGAGAGTTGCGGCTTGTGAGCACTTCTTGCACTTGCACTTGCACTTGAATATGACGGATCATAAGTGTAGCCATGGCCACCCATTTGCGGTCTGCTATTCGATTCGGGGGCCAGCCGATGTGGTAGACCATCGTGATTTCTGGTCGTCGATGTTTTCTGCTTTGAAACAAAGGAAGGTATTGAAGGTACAGCAGGGATGTTTTCGCCATATTTGCGATTCTGTTGCACCTGCGGATGGATGTCTGGACTGCTCGCCGAACGCATTCGGTTCATGGAAACATTGTTAGCCGAATGTACACTGCCAGGTGGCAATGATGGTCTTTGAGGATGTCGACCATTCGGCAAGTATGGGTTGCCTCTTGGGTTATCTCGCCCCATTGCTGGGGCTGTATTTCTATAATTCTGTTCATGGGAGTTGACAGGGGTAATATTGCGATACCCAGAATAAGCCGATTGAGCACTTGACCTGGTCGACGCAGTGACAGCTGATTGAGGCGGCGAGTCCTTGTCGATGGGAGAGAAATAAGACTCGCCCACGACATATGCAGGAGACTGTGTGGTGTTAAGTTTCAACGATTCGCCCTTGATTCCTTTCATGCGACCTTGGGACAAATGGGGATTTGATGAGGCCTGACTGCTAGCAGTAGCAGACCTCTGCCTCAAACTGGTACTTGAGGCATTCCTGCTCATATTGTAATCTGAATCGCCATAGGTCGTGCTGGATAGTCTGTTGTAATCATCGTCGTCGTCAAGCCCCGCGTACGGATTGACTAGATCCATATTTGCGAGCGAGGTCAACTGAGTACTGGATGCATTGGCTCCACCTTTTTCGAGCAGACAGGAAGTTCTTTGAGTATGACATAGTTCAAACCACTTTCTCAGCAGATCTTCGTTGCGAAATTTGATAATGAACTCATCAGTCCCTGGTCCATCCTTTTCTCCTTTCCATACAATCTTCAGGGCGTAGTTCCCAGGAGTTGACTGCATGTTCAAGTTGGATACATTGGCGAAGTAGATGCGGCCTTTTATCGACATCTTGGGCTTACCGCGGGCACTAATCGCGGTAAGGCCTTTCTTCTTCGCTTTCTGAATGTTGATGTCCTTGCACATGATTAAAATCCGAGTGAAGAGATAGACATGGTATTGTTTCTCTTCAGGTCTCATGCTGCCGTCTTTCAGCACCATGAAAGTGCCCATCAACAAAAGTTCACCCATTTGGCTTAGGTTAACATTCTTCATATCCTCCACCCTTTCTTGAAGGTCAAGGACGGCGTCTTCCCTAGTCTCCTTGTCGATTGAAGCGTCAGCTTGATTGAGCACCTCTTGTATGATGCTGACAGCTGTGCTGATATCCTTCTTGAGGTCTTCTGATTCTGTTGACTTCTCCAAGTCTTTCAGTAGAAGAGGGTATTTGGTGAGCCTTTGAAAAGGCTTGATCAAGAAACCATTGAGGACGGTTGGATTCTCGAGCATCTGATGCATCAGCGGCGAGCGAGCAGAGGCAACCATATTGCTCCATTCTTTGGCGCATGTAGTTTCACATCTCTTCTGATTAGCAATGAAAGGCTCGTACTGTCGAAAAGGTTCCCTATACCGGATGAAGAGTTGACCCCAGTTTTGATCCTCTTCCGGAAGTTCGTGCTGTTGTTCGACGCGAATCAGGAAGCGCTGTGCAAAATCCAAAAGATTGTTCAGGTTGAGAAAAATGTTGTGAATCGAGTCTCCAGTCACAGATCCAATCTCTTCAAGTTCTTTCTTCACTGCCTGTAGGTTTTGCAGATGATGGACGTAGTGCCGTTCACTGTCAACCAACTCTTTCAATATACGATCGCGTCTGGTAATCTCCTTTCCAACTCTTTGAATCGGATTTCCTGCAGTGTCCACCACATCTGAAATGTCACTCGAACTGGAGTCATGAAGCTTTCCACTCATATTGAGCAAGTCCAACACGCGATTGACCACTTTTGTCACCTTGACAAAGCCAGTAGTGTTATCGCTGAACAAATCGGTTAAGGTGAAGATTTCGGTGGCAGGAATTTTCATCTGCTGGTTACAGGCTTTTGTAAAGAGATATGCAGCTTCTTTCCCTATCTTCTCCGGGACCTGCGACTGCTTAACCTTCAGCTCCCCTTCTTCCGGCTGTGATGCATTATATATCGTAAGCAATGGTAGACCTGTCCTAAAGCACTGCCATAGCGACGAAACAGGGTCGGAGCCTTCCTCTTCCCTCGTTTCCATCTCGTTCAGAAACGGCTGGAAGCCTGGCACGCCGGACAGGCGCCTCCGCAGCTTGATACATATTTGATACAAGGACTCTCCCTCCCGCACGTTAATAATGTTGTTCTTGTCGAGCATGGGCGCATCGCTAACGGGGTTCAACGGGTTCGCCAGCATGTCTACTAAGGTCGCACGCGGTCAATTATGTTGATTTTGTTTGGATCATAACATCAGAACCGGTTCTTGAGTTGTAGATGAGATATAGCGACTGTTATAGTGGTAATTGACTTATGGTGATTCTGAGCGTGAAGCGACGAAGGAATGGGACGGTCCTAGAGCGGCCAATACAGAAGGAAGAAATGGCGCTGGAAAGCAGCAGGAAACTCGAATACGAGCCGGTTCGTGAGCAGCGGCGAACTGTGTGACATGTCAGTAAGTGAATCGTCCGTTGGATATTGGATCGCATGAGCAGGGAGGATGAAGCAAGGAGCAGGACGAGGGCATAGTGGGAGCACAGACCTTTCTCCAGATCTCGAGATCCCCAGCCAAACCACCGACCTCTGCTATTTTAGGGACGCGTAGCACTAGCCAGCGCGAATGAGGTTGTAAAAGCCTGGCGAATGATTGTGAGACGTTGCTGTACAACCAATCCAGTCGCGAAAGAACCACTGGCAGTGCTGGCAGGTGCACGCGCGGTAAGCCGACAAATGAGGAAAAGCACAGCTTCACCTTCTAATCTTCAGTTTCGATGTCAATGGTTTTCGCACCGTGCAGAACAGCAGTCGACTCGTTGAAGAGTGGTATGATGTGCCATTGAGCGAGCAAGTGCTTTTACGAGTACAAGATCTATACTATGTGCCATTCCGTCCCTGCGGGCCGATGTGTTTCTTCCTCCTTTCAGTGGCTTTTGCTCGGTGGAATCAAGCCAGTCCTCTAGCCAATTACTAGTGAAGCACGCGCAAGGTTGAGCTTGAGACTTCCGCCCAGCAGTGGAGCATCTGACCTCGATACACTAAACTGCTTTCTTACTAGCACTTCTGCCCTAGCTCTTGTCGGGCGCATCAGCCTTTTTCTTCCATGCTGTCTGAGCTCGCTAGAGTCGGTGCGAACAGCCGTGCTTTTGTTGTCTGAGAGACGAAGAAGCTCAGCGACTGCCATCTCGCGAGCAGAAATACTCCTTCTACGGAGGGATAAAAGTGTTTATGGAGTACTGTAGCATGCATCCAGACTCGTAGTGGAACACAACCACGTGGTCTTGGCCTTGCAGAGAAGCAATTCTGTCCGCTACCATAAAGGCGCGCCACTCCCGTTTTTCAAGCAGGGGACTCCGCCCGAGTAGCCCCATACCCTGGTCGGAAAGCATGAACAGCTACATTGACAGGGTGCGAATGGGGACATGATGTTTGCAGTACTTCCTCCCGCTTCAACGGTACCTTGAACATACTGTAGAACGCATCGTCCTGTGTGTGTGACTGGTTTGACCTCAGGACAGAATGAAGAAGCAGCTACGTGGGACAGCAGTCGGGGCGTCCAACTTGATTGACCTACGACGTCGACAGTAGCTCGATGTTCTAGCCCTATCTCGAGATGATCGTATGAGAACACTTCTCCGTCGACCTTGTCGGCCAGGACTTTGTGCAAGAGTCAACCACCGAAACCGACAGGACTCGATATCTGCCTACGGTACGGGTGTCCAGTAGCAAAACGTGTAGTGTAAGCTGCATCGTGCCGGTCGTGCATATGCAAGATCGCTAGAATTCGCCTTTAACATAGTAGCAATGTGTGAAAAGCGTTATATGCCAGGTATGCATGTATAAATCGCGAAACACTCTGGAACCTATTTTGACAGCCCCCAAGTTGCTGCATGTACTTCCACCATGCAACTAAAAAGGTTTCAAGTTTCATCATCCTAGTTACGACCAGGGTTCGTCAGCAATACTACAGTAGAAGGTCGACACGTGACACCGTGGGCTCGCGTCCTTTGAGCATGACGATCCGACGCTTCTGCCGACGGCTGGCAAACAGTTGTCGTCCTCAGTATATGTTCGCATAAAATGTCAGCTTCAAACGACTCCGGTCAACGCTCCTTCGCGACACAAAAACCTTCAGCAGAAGAATTACTCAAGGACCAGACGGTTGGGCTCGTGCAACTTGATGATTACCGAAAGCGCAGACGTGAGGTCGAAGACCAACAGGGCGATCAAAGCGGGTATGCGTCCTCTGTCCTGCAACTATGAGCGATACTAAAGGCTCAAGCATAGGACGGTGACGCCGAGGACGGATGGCAGCGATAATGACACCAATCTAATGTTCAAGAGGAAAAAGAAGAAAGTGGTGGGCCGAAAGCTCCTTTCGTTCGACACTGTTGAGAACCAAGATGATGTGTTAGCTGGTCACTCAAAGGTTGGAACACAAAAGAGCCAGACTTCCATCAATAAAGACATCGATAACGAGCCTCAAATAGCGGTCAAACGCAGCTTCAAACCAAATCCACACTTGGGCTCAGCACCACCGAAAGCGATGACCAAGGCCACTCTAGTATCGGCAGCGACGGAGCGCGAAAGATGGCGAGCAGAGTTTCTGAAGGTGCAAGAGCACGTCATGAACAGCGAAATTGCTATACCTTTCGTCTTCTACGACGGCTCCATTATGCCAGGTGGTACGGTGAAGGTAAAGAAAGGAGAGCACATATGGCTTCTTCTTGACAGATGTCGTAAGCTAGGTGCAGAATTAGGTATCGGCAGCGAGGGTAGCATTCAGGGAGGAGGAAACAAGAAAGCCGAGGGGAAAAAGTCTTGGGCAAGGATTGGTGTAGATGATTTGATGTTATTACGGGGTGATACGATCATTCCTCATCATCTCGACATTTACTACTTCATTGCAAACCATGTTGCGGACTTGAGCCGACCGGACCGGCTGCTGTTCGACTACGCGGGAACTGCGAAGCTCCGGTCTGAGAACGACGAGCAATCGTTGATCAGGACACCAAGAATGGAGAAGCTCGAAGGTCACGACGATGATCCCGCATATACCAAGGTCGTTGACAGACGCTGGTATGAGAAGAACAAGCACATTTATCCTGCTACTCTTTGGCGTGAGTACAAGGTGGGCAAGGAAGCTGATGATCTACCAAAGGGTCGACGCGACGCTCAAGGCAACGTGTTTTTCTTCTCATGACCGGCACAGTTTCGACTGCGACACGGCAAGCACGCTCAATGGCCTACGTCACGCCTTACTTCCTGCCTCGAGGGCAATATCGCAAATCCCAATTCAACCACAAAATACAAGTTTTCGAAAAACTTCTCGTGGTACGATATGGAGCTTGTTCTACGTTGCAACAATCTTATTGATGGGTATTGTCGCAAGGAGTTGCGCAGTGAAGCATTTGTGACCACTTGCTCGTAAGCTTCTAGACCACTTCAACAACACTTCTCTAGTTCTTGATACTGACTATTCTGCAGCCATGTCTTTTGTAGAGATTGTGTTCACAAGCACCATCTTCATAGTCCAGCTGGTGGTCGACGACAGTGTCCAGCATGCACCACCAAATTGCCTTTGGCCACAGACGTTGTACAATCCAATCTCCAGCCTAGCGAAGAGTACCAAAGCACTATACTTTGTGGTTTGGATCCTGTCATAATTAATGAATGTGCTGGGAGGGCGTTGAAGTTTTGGAAGTACCAGATGAGCACCGAGATGTAAGTATGTAAGCTATACATGTCAGCCTGGCTAACTATCGCAGCGCATGGCAACAACACCTGACGAAACAGTGGACGGACAAGCACGCAGCATTGTATAAAAATGCCCACAAGGTCATTGATGCAGCTAACACAGAAATTGGAGATTTGGCGAAACAGGTTGAGAGTTAGATGAACAATCCTGGCGCAAGAACGAAGCTGATGCGTGCGCAGCACTAAACAAGGAGAAAGAAGACACAGAGCGGCGAATGAGTGACTTGACTAGTCAGTATCAAAACAAGACAACCGAGTACGACAGGGTTGCCTACCTATACGCAGCCTTGAAGGACAAAGTTCTGAACGATACGCGAGTGCCAGCGATGAACGCTGAACAGACCGTCCGGTCTATGGATCGGACCCTCGACGCTGAAAGGTCTGTACATCATGTAAGCCATAGGCCAAATGTGTCGGAGCTGCCAGCTGTTTACAAGACGCCATACCATTCCAAGTTCTCGACAGATCGACGAAACGTGGAGCAACTCCATCCATTCCTGCGAAGCGGCAGTGCGAGGAACCCAAGCTCTGATGCCGCAGCTACACAGGCTATGCCCCCACCTATCCAAGCATCCACCCGCCAGGCATATGGTAGGCCAAATACGACGAGAACACCAGCACAGCGTTCAACGGCCCCACATACTGTCGGAAACCATACATATCCTGCATCATCTCGCCGACCGGTTGAAGCTCAGAGGTCAACCGCATCTGACATGTCTAGCAAACATCCTTCAGATCAGCTTATGACTCGGTACGACTCCAGACAATATACCACTGGAGTGGCCTTAAGCCCTAAAGTTCAGGCTCGGAGGCCAGTTAACAGAGAGTTCTACTAATACGTTGTTGAGACTCTATAATATCGAGCACTTGACCACGAAAGCTTAGGAATGGAAGGTACGTTTCTTGCTTAGAAACAGAGAGTAGAATGTTCATGTGACTTTTCGAGGCACACACGATCTGGTTTGAAGTAATAAATTTCCCGCTCTACCCAAGCAGGTCATCGCAGCCGATCGCCCCAGTACTTGGTCCATAGTACACGATCCTGCAACGTAAAAAAAGCTGGAAGGAGAATCGTAATGTTTCCTTACACCGTGTTCGGCGAAGCATGCGACGATCAGGCCACCAGCACGGAGCTCTCTGGCTTTGTAAGCGAAGCGGCCGCTGCCAAGACGCATCCGCTAGCGCCCGCGTTCGAGCCTCAGCTCCTTCAACTTGTTGGTAACTCCATAGAGCTCGAACTATTCGAATACACCAATTCAGCCCCCGCTTACCAACATAGTTACTGAGTCCGTCAACATGGTGTATAGATGATTACCAAATCGGTACTCCTTCTGGCGGAGTTCTGATCCACTCGGCTGTAGCCTGCTGTGTCGTGATGGACAAGCATTCACGAGTAGGATTCAAACAGAATAAAGGCTTTTACAAAGTCCGTACCAAGATGGAATTCAATATTACTGCTCAGACGTCGATCTGCAGAATGATTGTCCGAGATTTGTCTATATAAGAGCGCTACACTTGCAGTGAACTCGATGTCAATTCCAGCACTCGAGCCCAAACAGACCGATCAAGATGATGACTTTTAGCAAAGAGACGACGGGCGCTGTGCTAGTTGCGAACTTCAGCAAGAACGTTGCCAACAAGACGAGTGAGTGCCCCGACCTTAGCAGATGAACAGTTCGTTTGACCGGCAATCAACATAACAACGCATACTGACCATCCTGCCCACCCCAGTTGTCATTACCGGCGCAAGCAGCGGCTCTCTTGGTGGTCAAACAGCCATCGACCTTGCCCATTCCCAACCACCGCCAGCTCATCTTATCCTCCTGGCACGCTCAGAAGCCAAGGTCCAGCCAGTCATCGACCAAATCAACACCAGCACAACCGGGCCGTTAGCCAAATTCGTCCCAATCCTCCTAGACGACTTCGACTCAATTCGATCCGCAGCCAAGGCCATCACAGACATCGTCGGTCCACAAGGCAAAATCGACATCCTGATGAACTATGCTGGAATCATGGCCGTTCCGTACAGTCTCTCGAAAGCCGGTATCGAATCCCAATTTGCCACAAACCACATCGGCCACTTCCTGCTCACTCTCCGTCTAAAGAGCCACCTTAGCAAGAACGCACGAATCATCAACGTCTCAAGCGATGGATATAAGCTCGGTCGCTTCGATCCAGAAAAATATAACTTCGACGATGGCAAGTCATACCACCCTTGGTCCGGCTACGGTCAATCGAAGACCGCGAACATCCTGTTCACAAAGGGTCTCGCGAAGCGTGGCGTGATCAGTTTCGCGCTTCATCCAGGCGTGATCTTCGGCACTGGGTTGACTGTAGGGATGACGGATTCCGACAAGCTCTTTGAGCAGTTGGAAGAAATTTCGGTGCGAAACACTGGTGAGGCAATGGTTATGGGAGAGGGCAAGACGGTCGAACAAGGAGTAGCCACGGCGATTAGGGCAGTGGTCGATCCTAGTCTTGACGGGAAGAATGGGAGCTTTCTTGATGACTGTGAGGTAGTAGAGGTATTGGATTATGCTAGAGATGACAAGCTGGTTGAAAGCCTGTGGGAGCTGAGTGAGAAATTGGTAGGTGAGAAGTTTGTGATTTGAAGACTCTTGGCTGGGGCGGAACGAAGCAGGGAACGCTGGATAGAAGTTACTAGATTAGACAGGTGTGTGGTGGAGGAGAACTGCTGATGTGGAACTCTTATATAGATGCCACATGGTAGTTGTGTATGATAGCTGATCGAGTCATTACAAGCATGGCTCTAAGCAGCCTTCCTTTTCAACTTCGCAACCAGATCGTGAACCTGATGTGAAGAGCCATCCTTCTCTCTTGGCAACTTGGTCGCACCCTGAGTAGTCTCCTTCTTGCTGCTCTGCGCCGCAGAATCCATTTGCTTCCTCCGTCGACTCTCCTGCATAATCTCCTGCATGCCCGTAGTCTTTCTCAATCTCTGGTTGGTAGGATCAATAGCAAACTCATGATTTTCAAAAAGTTTACCGAACCGAGGATCAGACGTATCCATCTTAAAGTCCGTTTGCAAAACAGCTTCATCTCGCTGCGCATGCTTCTTCTTGAACTTGTCTTTCTTGTTCTTCCGCTTCTCGGCTTTCTCAATCTCTGTCATGTCGAAGTGGCGCACGGTTTGACCCATAGTGCCGTTGGCGGCGCCTGTGGCTTGAGCAGTATCGGCGTCGTCTTCGGCCATGAGGAGCTCGAGCTCTGCGCGCTGTTTGGCGGAAGCCGCGTCTGCGAGTTCTCGTTGTTGTCGCTTCTTTGTGCGCTCTTCTTTGCGCATCTTGTTCTTGACGGCTGGGTCGTTGAGGGAAGAGTCGTTGAAGAAAGGATCGTCGAAGCCGGCGTCATCTTGTTCTGTGTTTTCTATGGGAGCTGTCTCCTCTGCTGGTACGTCTGTTTCAGCTTGTTCCGTCGTTGTTTCGGTGTTGCCAGTTTTCATTTTCTCCTTGCGCTTCTGTTTTCTTTCCTTCTCCCTGCGGATGTATCTCTCGACTGTGGTCTCTTCTGGTTCTGGACTATTCTCGAAGACGGAACGTTTGGTGGCTCCATCTACTGGACCAGATAGACCTGAAGAGAACGTCACCTGAATGTTGCCCAGAGGTCCGTCTTTGCTTTTCTTGCTCGATTTCGTAGACGATTCAGCAGGAAGACCCAACAATGCTCGCGCCTTCTCACGTTCTTGCTCTTTCTTGGACTGTGTAGAAGGCTGGACATCCGCTATTGTGGGTACTTCGTGGCCGCCATCGTCCTCGTCGTCGGAGGTATCGGACCCAAGGTAGGCTTTTAGGTCGTTCTCATCAACTTCCTTCTGACCACCCTTGAAAGCGCGAGCTTGTGCTTCTTTTCTTGTGCGATCCTCCTGGTCCCAGGTCAACTTGACTTTGCTGTGTTGTAGAGCATCAGTGACGAAGTCGTTAGGTTTGTAGCCACTTGGTAAGGTTTCGCATTGATCTCTAGGTTTGTCGTTAGAAAAGTTCATCTCTTCGGGAATGAATCTGAGATCGAAGAAATTTGCGGTAGAGAGGTATTCAGTGCCGTCAACAGCATCGTATATTGCCTTGGCTGCCGCCTTGTTAGAGAAGGAAAGGACAGCGAAGAAGTAGCGTAGCCTTTCGAGTTGATATTGACGAAGAGCCTGAGAATCAAATTCAGAGCCATCGTCGGGCTTGATGATTGAGGCTTTGATGTCCTCGTCCTCTTCCTCATCCTCTAGGTCTGAGTTGTCTTCGCGATCTTCGATGTCCTTCCTAGAGGCTGCAAATATCTCTTTTGGTGGTCCTTCCATCTCCTCACGCTCCATTCGTTCTTTACCAAACTCGCTAGGATAAATGGTAACTCTCAGCAAACGTCCAGTGGCGGGTAAAAAGCTTGAGAAGACAGCCATGAGATCCTCAGCACGAATATTGTCCCAATCTAAGTTGACGATGGCTAACCTGGTCGAGACTTCGCCTGTGGGCACATCCTCTCTTGGTACAGCCGATTCAACCTCGTCTTCAATGTTGGCCTCTTCATCCTCCGAGTCTTCGTCGGTCGAGCTGTCCTCATCTGATGAAGATACGGACAGCTTGCCTTCCCTCAGCGGATCGTGCCTCTTCTCGAGACGCGACAACTCTTTCTGCACCTCGTCGTCATCGTCGGGGTTGTCACTTGATAATTCCTCGTCCTCGAAGTCGAATTTGTCCCTCAGTCTGCGTTCTTCTGCACCAGACTGAATGGGCCTGCCATATCGGTCGACTTTAGCTCGACGGGTAAAATCCTCGTCTTTGAACTTTTGGGCGAAGCGTTTGTCTAATTTGACCTTTTGTTTCTTGCTCGGCAGACGGTATCTGGGATCAGATTGTATGTTGGCAAAACGAGGATCGGTTATGCGAGATTCACCATTGCTACCGACCTTGCGGCGCTTCGCCGATGGTTCTGACATCGTTCGTAGTGGTCGCAAGTTACGCAGAGCAGCAGCACCAGAAAAGCACGTTTGGTGTCTGGGTACTATGCCACGTTGGTGGGCACGAGATCAGCTTGCCGTGCCACGGAAATTTTTTAGGATGCGTCTCATGCGGATAAAGCTTGTCGAGTTTGGAGACCACGCCGCAACTTCAGGCAGGTCTTCCAGGCATCTTAGGGGTCCTCCGCGTGGATGGCTCCATATTCCATGCAGGACCCGATGGACGGGCACAGGTTCGAGCAGGGACTTGCGGGGCTATTTCTGCCACAGGAAAAGCACTGTACATTTGCTGCGATTGCAAATAAATCACGATTCTGACTCTTTGTGTATCCTCACCGCTTACTTCAACACTTTCCGTTTGCCCACCCCTGTAAAAGTCATTTCGTCGTGGTCATAATCCCTTCTCAAAATTCGAATCTAGCAACTTTACTATCTGTCGCTCATACTTTGTGTAACCGCGAGTGAAGACCTTCACACTACCTACCCTCTACAGAACTAGGCCCGAAGAACTGACCAACCATGACGGTCGGTTCCTGTCTAATCACAGGGTAAGCACAACTGAGTGGTCTACGGTACTAAACACTAACATGGTCCCAGTGGCGCAGGCTATATTGGCTCTTTCACAGCTCTTGCCCTTCTCGAAGCTGACTACGAAGTCATCGTGGTCGATAATCTTTACAATGCATCACCGGAAGCCCTGAACAGAATAGAGCTCATCTGTGGCAAAAAACCTGCCTTCTACAATGTTGACATGATAGACCAGAAAGCTCTAGAGGACGTCTTCTCCAAGCACCCAGCAATCGACAGCGTCATACACTTTGCTGCGTTAAAAGCTGTTGGTGAATCAGGCGAGATACCTTTGGAATACTACCGGGTCAATGTCCAGGGCACGCTCTCTCTACTTGCTGCCGCTGCCAAAAATGGTGTTACCAACATAGTATACTCCTCCTCTGCCACCGTCTATGGTGATGCGACTCGTTTCCCGAATATGATCCCAATTCCAGAAGAGTGCCCGCTGGGTCCTACCAACCCTTATGGCAACACCAAGTATGCTTCGGAGCTCATGATTACCGATCACATCAATGCTGAAAGAGCCAAGGCAAACAAAGCTGGAAAGTCGGAGGATGCTGCCAAGTGGAACGCTGCTTTGCTGAGATACTTCAATCCTTGCGGTTCACATCCATCTGGCATTATGGGTGAAGATCCAGCTGGCGTGCCATACAATTTGCTGCCCTTGCTTGCTCAGGTTGCAACTGGCAAACGGGAAAAGCTTCTTGTCTTTGGCGATGATTATTCCTCACATGACGGGACTGCAATTCGAGACTACATTCACATCCTTGATCTTGCTCAAGGTCATTTGGCTGCCCTCAATTACCTTCGCAAGCACAGCCCGGGTGTGCGGCCTTGGAACTTGAGTACTGGTCGAGGCAGCACTGTCTTCGAGATGATTGAAGCGTTCAGCAAGGCCGTTGGTAGAGATCTGCCGTATCAAGTTGTCGACCGAAGACCTGGTGACGTCCTCGATCTGACCGGCAAGCCTACTAGAGCAAACAATGAGCTTGGCTGGAAGACGCAAAGAACTATGGAGGACGCTTGCCAAGATCTATGGCGATGGACGAAAAATAATCCTGAAGGCTATCGGCAACAGCCACCAAAAGACCTGCTGGATCGCCTAGAAACGATGAAGGCGGAAGGCAAAATTGCCATGACAGCCAAGCAACCTCCTGTATGAGTATGACTGACATACAAATCGGCGGAGTCGACAATGGAAAGGCGATATGAGCATGCTGGGCAAGATGGAAGCCATGGATAGATAATACTGCGACGCATTGAAACGAGCACGATACAGCCGAACGTAGAAGCGATAGATAAAATTCCATATCGAGCTGAATTAATAGCCTTGACGAGCAACTGCCGCCTGATGTATCGTTCAGCAATGCACAGAATACTGCCACCTCTGTGCATGCGGATATGTCGCGAACCTCAGGCACGCGAGGGTGATGGATTTGTCTGAGTTCGGCTAGCGCGAAGATAAGCTGATAAGGAATCACATCTGCGACTGTCTGGATTCCGCCGCCAAATTTTTGAAGTCGGCGACAAGGCGCCTTCTGGATCTGACTTGTGCCCCAATACACGCATTGCGGTCATGGCGATACAGAAAAAGCATGGAAAAGGTCGTCTCGACAAATGGTATCATTTGGCCAAAGAGAAGGGCTACCGCGCTCGTGCCGCTTTCAAGCTTGTTCAGCTAAACAAAAAATACGGCTTCCTCGAGAAATCCAAAGTCCTGATCGATCTTTGCGCTGCTCCCGGATCATGGTGTCAAGTCGCTGCAGAGACAATGCCGCAAGGCAGTCTCATCCTCGGTGTCGATCTTGCGCCCATCAAGGCGATCCCACGATGTATCACATTTCAAAGCGACATTACGACTGACAAGTGCCGGACTACATTGAGGCAGCACATGAAGCATCTGAAAGCCGATGCAGTATTACACGATGGCGCGCCTAATGTGGGTATTTCCTGGGTGCAGGATGCTTACAGCCAAGCCGAGTTGGTACTGCAAAGTATGAAGCTTGCTACTGAATTTTTGAGAGAAGGTGGTACGTTTGTGACCAAGGTCTTTAGGTCAAAAGATTACAACGCCCTTTTGTGGGTCTTCAAGCAGCTGTTTACGATGGTTGAGGCCACGAAGCCACCTTCTTCGAGGAACGTCTCTGCAGAAATCTTTGTCGTTTGCAGAGGTTACAAGGCTCCCAAACGACTCGACCCTAAATTCCTCGACCCTCGACACGTCTTTGCTGAAGTTCAGGAGGCTACACCAAACAACGAGGCCAAAGTATTTAATCCTGAGAAGAAGAGAAGAAGGAGAGAAGGTTATGAAGACGGAGACTACACACAGCACAAAGAAGTCCCAGTGAGCGAGTTCATTCACACAACAGATCCCATAGCCATTCTTGGTACGGTCAATACTCTCAGCTTCAAGCAGCCACCCAATGGAGACCTTGCACTTGCGACAATTGATCGATTACCTGAGACAACAGCAGAAATCAGGCAGTGCTGTCAAGATTTGAAAGTTCTGGGCAAGAAGGAGTTCCGAATATTGCTGCGATGGCGTATGAAGGTCCGAGACATCTTCGGTATGTCTGCTAAAGCCAAGAAGCAACAGGAGGGGCTTAAAGATGCTGAAGAAGGGAAGGAGGTTGCAGAAGTCGAGAGTATGGATGAAGATCTTAAGGTACAAGAAGAGCTACAACGGCTTAAGGAACAGAACGACAAACAGAAACGAAAGGAAAGACGAAAAGAAAATGACAAAAAACAGAGAGAAATCGTGCGAATGCAGATGCACATGACTGCTCCTTTCGATATCGGAATAGAACAGAATGGTCCAGCTGGCGAAGGCGCAATGTTCAACCTAGGAACAGCTGAGAAATTCGACAGCTCTGCGCGTGTGGTGAAGGAGAGTATGGAAGATGTCTATAATGACTCTGAAAGTGATTCGGGTAACGAGGTAGAGCTCGACTCAGATGAGGACGGGGATTATCTCGATCGAGAATTGGATGCCATGTACGAAGAGTTCCAAGAGCGTAGGGATGAGGCAAACGCTAAGGCTCGTGCAAAAAGGGCGAGGAAAGAGAAAGAGCAGGATGATGGCTGGGAAGGACTTTCAAATTCGGAGAAAGAAGACGTTTCAGGTGACGAGCCGGAAGCGGAGAAGATACCACTTGCACGACTGCCTCAGAAACAAGGGCTGTCATCCAAAGCTGCTATGTTCTTCGACCAGGATATCTTTCAGGACCTTGACCTACCCGACGCTGACGAGGAGGACCACGACAGAGATAGTGCTATTGAGCTTGACGACTCGCCAGACGATGCAGCAAAGCAGAAGCAAACAACAGAGCAGCCGTTATCGAAGGCGCAAGCTAAGCAACAACAGAAGAACTCAAGGAAACAGCCTTCTCAATCACCTGAACCGGACTCCAGCTCCGAAGACGAAAACGACATCCAACCTCAAAACTCACAATCGAATATTTCTCGTCCCGAAGATCCACTCACCAAGACTGGCCACCTTGACATCGACCTCATAACCACAGAGGCCATGACCCTTGCCCAGTCTCTTGCCAGTGGGCAGAAGAAATCTGCCGACTTAATTGACGATTCCTTCAACAAGAACACCTACATCGGCCACGACCACTCACACCTCCCACAATGGTTCCTCGACGACGAGTCCTCACACTCCAAGCCTCACGTCCCCACAACCAAAGCCGCAGCTCAAGCGATTCGCGACAAACTACGCGCTCTCAACGCACGACCCATTAAGAAAGTCCGTGAAGCCCAAGGGCGTAAGAAGATGCGCGCAGCCGCACGACTCGAGAAGCTAAAGAAGAAGTCTGCGCTCTTGGTCGAGGACGAGGGTATGAGCGAGGCAGACAAGGCGAAGACATTAGCGAGGATGATGGCTAGAGCGGCCAAGAAGAGTAAACCGAAGAAGCAGGCGGTCAAGGTCGTGGTTGCGAAGGGAGGAAATAGGGGCATCAGCGGTAGGCCGAAGGGTGTCAAGGGCAAGTACAAGATCGTGGATCCGAGATTGAAGAAGGATGTACGTGCTGAGAAGAGGTTGAAGAAGAAGATGAAGAAATGATGTGGATGTCTTACTTGATCCTACGGCTTTTGGCAGTGCTCAAATGAATACAAACTAGCACCAACCGCTCAGAAGGTGGTAATCCTGAAACTTTTTACATTGGAAGCGAGTACATTGACCGAATAGGAGTAGAGCAGTAAGTCCTGACGAGATACGAGACAGGCATGATCATATGATTTAAGCGAACAAGGTTAGTGTTAAAAATACATGAACTGTGTTTTGATATTGCAAAATTACTCCTGCGCTGTGCCATGCTACCTAACCAAGCACTAGATGAATTATAGATCGCAAACCCCCCATGCTCGACCTATCGTTCGCTTCCACTCCCAACGCCATGTCTCGGCAATTCCGACTCCTCTTCCTTCTGATCCGGCCCAGCCACACCACCAAACCACCCACCAATACCCCATCTCGAACCCCCTGTTTCCCCAGCATTTGAGACAGCAGGATCATCAAACTCCTGCCCAGCATCGAATCTATCCAATTCACTTCCATCTCCACTATATCCGATCCTGTCTCGATTATCATCAATGAGCCTTCCATATTCCAAGAGCAGTCTGAACATGTATACTTCGATATCGTCTCTCCGTAGGACTTTATTCGCCCATTCCCTCCCCTGTCTTGCGATCTTCTTGGCCTCCTCCTGATGAGATGGGATGAAGACGTTCTCCTGAGCTTCAGTAGGACTCATGTCCGGGGTTATTGGACTTCCATAACCAGCGAAATACGTCAATAGGCTGTAAAGGTCGTCGTAGCGGTTATCGACAGGGACGAAATGTCGCCACGCAAAGAGACGGCTATCATGCCATTCTCTGAAAATCGTGGCTTTGAGACCGAGGGATTTAGAGAGGAGGAAGGCGTGCCAGCGGCCGCTGAAGGAGTGGCCGTCGACGTCGATGAGGTATTTTGACTTGAATTGCTGGGTGAGTGTGGTTTGTGGTTTCCAGCTGAAGATGTTGTCGTAGAAGGAGCAGTCAGGGACGCAGCCCCAGGCTTCGACGAAACCGACATCGGAGATGTTGTTGGCGAAGCTGGCGGGGTGGATGGTGGTGTGGTGGTAGGTTGCTGGAAGGGTGGTTGGCATGCCGAGGTCGGCGAAGGGTGAGAAGGTCTCTGGAGCTTGGGGTGGTGGGTCTTGGGCGAGGATGGTGACGGTGTCTTTGGTGAGGTCCATGTGTGTGCCGTTCATGAGCTGGACGAGACGTTGTCGATGCATTGTTTGCCAGTTGTCGGCGATCTGTACGCCTCCGGATGTGACGCCTCGCCAGATAAGAGTGTCGTTCTTCTCGCGCCAGGCGACGTCGTCGTCAGGTTTATAGTCGTAGCGATCGTCGTGACGCCAGTACATGTTGGCTGGGAACATAATGTCGTTATTCATGCTCACTTTGCATTCACTGAAGATTGGCACGAGCTTGTGCGACGCAAGTATGGAGGACGCGGAGTAGAGCATACCGTGCAGATTGTGGATGGCTGGACCAACTGTACATAGGTCAGAAGAGAGGTTGAAGTTGGTGACTAAACCTGACGATGGTTCCTTGTACAGTGCATTTGCGTCTTCAATGGTCATATTAGCACGGGCGGGCGACTCTGGTGGACAGGCTTTGCTTGCAATGTCCATGTATTGTCTGCCTGGATAGCCAAACCACTCAGCACTATAGCGCTCTTCTGACTCGTCGATGGTACCAGGTTCAAGCCCAAGATTGGTCAGGCGGTCCTGGCCCGATGTGAAGTTGTATTCGACCTCGGGTGGCATGATTCGAGAGTTGTGTTCATTGCTTAACAGCTCCTGCAAGTCTTCCCAAGGCACCAACAATCGTGGTTGATCCAACAGGTTGACCATAATGTCCATATCTGGTAAAAATTCAACAAACAGCCTGATCACTTCTGCCATGGTTTCCGATCTCCAGGCAGGATTTCGTATCTCTGCGACCGTCTTGTTCCTGATATGTATGCCAGACACGCCGTCGTCTCGATTTTCCCACATATGTGCGGCATGCGTGCGCATAACTCGTGGTTCTATAGCCCAAAAGGGCCGTAGGTCGTCCATGACATGGTCGAAGTCGTCGATGTTCCAGACATTCCTCTTGCGCGCGTAGATATACCACTCCTTGAATCCTGGTGGTGGATGTCTACCATATTTGCTTCGATATCTTTCCACCGTTTGTCCAAACGTCTCTGACCGCGAGCTTTCATAGTCTCTCCATTTCGTATCGACCTCATTCATAAACGCGACGATTGGGTGCGCATCCTGTACGATTGCCGTTGGCTGCGACGCTGGTGGTTGAGAACTGTCGTGGGTAGCTGACTTTTCTTCGCTGTAAGGTCGGTCTAGTACTTCTGGAATGGGAGGCAGGTTGTCCTCCCATGCTTCGTCCTCGTTTTCTGGTATTGTCGGTTCCGGAGGATGTATAGGCGCCTGTTTGTCTGGCGCAAAGCGTAACCCATTTCCATTGATTGGGGATGACAAGAGACTATACAGCAGGAAAGAGGCGGCGCAGACGGCTAGCAAGATATAGATTCGTTTCTTTCCAACTTCTATTCGTGCCATCTTACCGGCTATAAGATATTATTGCCTGGACCTGAACATGGTCTAAACTTCAGACAATGGCTTGTCCTAGGCGAACCTGTGTTACGGCAGATCAGCGTCCATTTCCGCCCCTCAGAGTAACATGCAAGTACGCTTGGCACGTAAGCGGTTTGCTAGCATACGAGATAAGTTTGCGTCAAACGATGGAGATGTTTGCAGCGATAGCAAGCTTTTGTACAAGAGCAGGGTATGCAGGAATGCGATCGGACGGAGAGCGTGAGCGCACAGCGGACAACCCCATGGTCGGGAATTTATTCTGGGGGCGTCAAATACGGAATTCATACATTGCAGCTTTGAGACATTCGCTAGCTCGGATCATTCTCTTCCTCAGATATTCTCGATTTACGTGCTCAAACAGATTCTTAAGAAGATCTCACTTTTTGTCTTTTGCCAACAGTGGCTATATAGTTGAGTTGCGCCTCACACAAGCAGCGCATTTCGCCCAACGAGCATGAGAGCGACTAGCTGGTCAGGTCGTTTCATGTCGTTCTAGCTTGAAACCAAGTGTAACCAGAACTCAAGCCCCGAAAGACCCCATACCAGTACAGACTCGGAGGCATCTCGTGTTTTTAAAGCCGTCTATCCCTGTCGGCTCTTTGGTCTTGGACCACCACTCTTGACACGACGAGCTTCTGGCCTTTGTAGGTGGTGACTAGGGATCCACTCTTCTGCGTAGGCCTTCATACCAGTAGCTACCGCTGGCCCATCAGTATCTGGCTTTTCGCTACCAACATCGATCTTCTTGACCTGATTTCGAGCAGCCTTGCCTTTCTTCTTCTGCGGAAAGTATGGTGCAATCCAGATGTTGTAAAAGAAGTAGCCGACGCCAGCGGTACAGGCGAGGAGGAAGAGATAGAGGAAGATACTACGTAAAGTTAGCGCAAATTCAAATTAACAATATAGGGGACGAATGCAACGAACATTTGAGGGTCGAAGATGCTAGAATTTGGCTCAACCACTTGTACAGTGCCATTGAAGGCCTGTTGGGTGAAGAAGGTATTTCCCCTGGCGATCACAGCAGCCAGGTTCAGTCTGAGCTCTTGAGGGTGCATATTCGTTTGGAAGGTGTATGGTAGTGTCTCGCTTTCACCTGCTGGAATCTCGACGCCATACTGCTTAGTAGTCAGGTTCCGAAGAATTCGCGAGGTTCCCGCGTTGAGATCTGGCGTCCAAAGACTGCCTCCGACGAATTGAACAGCAACGGGTTCGGGTTCTTGGTTGGTAAAGGAGAGCTGAATGTTCGCAGGCTTTCCATTCACAATCTTGATGCCAAAGATCTCAGCATCTGGGAAATTAGCCTTCACTTGAACATTCAGAGTTGGAGTCTGTGAAGGGTCTCCAAGCTCTTCAGCAACATCCTATGTCACATATTAGCTTCTAAGCGTATACATCTGTGCGGGACACAACGTACCGCAGGGGCGACGAAGCTAGTCCCCAACGAGAGAAAGAGAAGTACAATGTCCAAGAAACGACGCATGTTGCTACACTTGAACCTAATGAAACTGTGATTGTGTGGTGAAAGTGTGTCAATTTTGAGTGAAGGACAACTGCTAGAGATGCTGGATGATGCCACAAGCAAGGATCAAAGGCAGGTGGAGCGAGCCTGGTCCTTTGCGTCACTTCCAGGCACTTGCTTTGCTCAAACTTCTTTGCGAAAGTTAAAAGTTAAGCGACTGAAAAAGGTCCACAACCATTAAGCGCGTATAATAAGGCAAGCACGCGTCTTTGGCAAACATTAGAACATTTCATAGGTCAATTGCGTAGCAAAGCGCCCATAAACTACCTTCTTCAGAATGAAACCCAGATCCTCACCACTGTGAACACAAAAGCGCACGTAACCCAAAAATCGCACCCCTTCGCTGACGGCACATGCACCATTCTTGAAATTGACATAGTCATCGTTACCGCTCATTGCCACGCTCTTTTGACCATCCCTATTTTGAGATCACTTGCTATAGCAGAATATGCCAGCTATGGCTCGCCTTGACCCATTTGCGTCGCCTATTCACGATAGGCCTACTAAAATGCAATCACTCTTTCTTGACAGCAGTCCAGATTTTGGTCCAGTCAAGTCTGAAACGAATAAGGTAGGTCACCAAACACACTGAAGCTGTCCAAACCACAGGGTCGTTACGAAAGTATACTTGCGCAATACGCTTCAGTTCTAATGCGCTTGATTACCAGGTACGAGCGATTGGAGAGATCACCAGCATGACTGCCCCAGTAGTGCCTCAGACTGGATTTCGTGAACGAAGCCAGAGATTGAGAAACCTTGAAGATGACAAGAATGCCTTGATCGATGTAAGTGCACGATCTCGCGTTCTGATGTGTTACTGACATCTTCAAGGATCTCATCCGCCAACTGGAAACGAACCAGCATCAACTGCAACAGCTGCGTTTAGACTACGAACGGGAGATGAAGTACAATCGAGAAAACCAGATAACAGAAGACGCTTTGCAGGACGAGATGGCGGCTATACGCACGCTTCTGGATCGAAACAACTACGTTACGGCATTGATCAACGGCGACGCCTTGACCTTTCCTAAAGAACTCTGGAGCAGAGGTGAACAAGGTGGATTGGAAGCTGTTGAGGCCTTGAGAGATTCGCTCAAAAGCTTTTCCAGGGACAGTTTACCACATCTCGATACAATTAACATACATGCGAAGCTATTCTTGAATGTTCGGAGCCTAGCTGATACATTGCTACGGCTGAAGTTCGTCGACAATTTTGCAATGGTCGAAAGCTTTTTGAGAGGTTTAATGAGCTCGGACTTGCTGTTCGATGTTTTTGATACTAGCCTGACCAAGACTTTGACTTGCCAGAAGATCAGAGAAAGCTATCATCACGATTTTGTCAATGTACACTGCCACCAAATCTTCTTGGCAACACTATCGAGTGATGACCTCAGCTCTTTACTTGACGAGAGCCCAGATATTCCTGTCCATGAGCGGGTCACTCTATTGGAACCGAAAAACATGAGCATGGCGGATAAGTTCAGCCAAGAGGTTCAGAGCATAAAAATGGACACTCTGCTCATGAAATTACCAAGCGAAACTCCTTCAAGACAACCTCCTCCTGCCAAAATGGCGACTCCGGTCCTGGCGAGGATCGAGTCTACTTCGAGCACGAGGACTATGAACACTGGTCCGAGCTCGTCATTAAGTACTCCAGTTTTATCATGGGCAGCCATGACTGCGCAACCTTTTGTGCCCAGACCAGGTGAGGATCGATCTGCTACATCCACGCCTCTGTCATTAAGAAGCCCGCCACTAGCCAAGGCTCTTCCACTAAAATCTGTGGCGAGGAACAAACATGGTCAACGTGTGGACAAAGTCGATGACAGCATACCATACCAAGAGCTGCAGCGCATCAAGAAGATGAAACTGTGCAACATATACTATCTAACGGGAAAGAATGCATGTGATGGCAGTTGTAATCACTCTCACACCTACCCGCTGAAGTCGCATGAGAAGAGCATCTTGAAAGAAGTCGGTGGGTTGCCCCTAACTGAGTCCATGCCGGAAACTTTTGCTAACACTCTATTTACAGCTCGCATGACACCCTGTTACTACAAGCTTGAGTGTGACGACCCCGAATGTATTTATGGCCATCGGTGCCCGCAGAGCAAACCCGGTAGAAACGACTGCTTCTATAAACAAGATTGCAGATTCACTGGATGGGGTCATGGAATTGACGACAAGGTTGTGAAAGTACAAAACGTGAAATAGGAGAGAGGTGCGAGTCGTTTAAAGAGAAGTTAGTTGCTTCACATGTGATACCCTGATGACTATTGCTGCTTGAGTTAGTCATGCATTGCGTTTTTTAAACATCGGAACCTTGAACATAATTCAATTCTTCATTCTTACTCTTCTTTGCTTCCAAGGGTGAAACGGCATGAATGGCCATGTTGCTGGCCAGGCCGCATCGCGAAAGCATAAAAACAACTTGAAGTTCAGCAGTGCCCGGTTTTGTGCAGTGCTAACAATCGTCCAGTCTGTTCAACACTATTGACAAGAGGGCTTTCTTCGATCCGCGCCTTCACCAGATACACTAGCGTATCATTCAATCAATTTCTTTATACAGCACCACTAGCACAGTCCATTCTTGGTCTTCTTGTGTTACAGACATATAGCACATTCCCATTATCTAAGACCTTCATGAGCAAGCAACCGCCTTTAATGCTCCCAACCATGAAGGTCAGACATCGATCAAATCCACCCGCATATCTCAAATAGAAACCTCTCCTATCCTATCCCCATAAAGTGCTTCCACATCGTCGCTGCCAGAACCTTCTCCAGTCCGTAGCATTGCACTCTCCTGACAATCACCTACTTCGTCCCTTCCCAAGCTTTGAGGAAATTCCCAAGATTGGCGAAAAAGCCACAAGCACCAACCATGCCCAGATTCAATCCAATACCACCCTCGACCGAATAATGAATAGCCATTGGGTACCAACTAGTAGCCACAAAGAATTCGGTCCACCACTTCTTATCCGCCTCCCTCTTCTGCTCCTCATTCAACTTCTGGTACGACCCAGTCTGCCTAGCGAGCTGCGCCTCTCGGAATAATCTCAAAAAGTCACACGTGATACCCGCCAGCCAAGCGCGGCAGCTCCAAGTCATGAGCTTAGTAGTGCCGCCCAGACGTGTGAAGCGGGCGTTTGTCCAGGTTGAAGCGATGACGGTCTTGTTGGTGAGGTGGAGGACGTTCTCGAGGAATTGAAAAGTCATATAACTGAGGCATTGGGTGATTTTGATAAAGTAGGTGATTTGGTCGGGCTCCTTGGACTTGACAAGGGATTTGAGGAGGACGTAGAGGGGGATGAGGCCGGTGAGACGCAGGGTTGTGCGCAGGTCAGCGAGGGTGAGGGCGAGGGGGATGAGGGGGGATGCAGGGAGGCCTGCGGCTTGTGGAACGGGCGCGATGGGCGCTTTGGGTGGTGTGCGGCCTAGAGCTGTCGCGAGCTTTGTGAGGATCTCGGCGCGGCTGGGAGCTGTGGAGTGTAGGTGTGCGAGGATGTAGAGGCCGTAGTTGGTGGTTGAGAGGAAGGTCGCGAGACCGCCTGGGGTCTTGAGGAGTTTGTTTAGACGGACGATGGTATCATCTGCGGTGTTGAGGATGGACTTGAGATCGGTGGGGACATTTGGAAGACCGATCTCCCTCTTCGACTTGCTGCCGTCGTCTGCGCCTGGCATCTCTGGAGCGACTGGGAGACTGGCGCCTTTCTCGTTCTTGAGGTCTGTAGGTGGAAGAGCTGGGTCAGCCGTGCGATCTCCGTGAACGTTGGGTTCAGCGGACATGATATTCAGTAGCGATTGTGGTCTAGGTTCTGTATACTGAGCTGTAGAGTAGAAGTATATGGAAAGGAAAGAGGGGGTGCAAGCGTCAGAGTGCAGAGGCTTCAAAGTGATCGAGATCGATGCAGAAGCTAAATCTTGAGTCAGGCGTACAAACAAGGTGCTGGTCTGCAAGAAGCTGGACGTGGACGAATGAAGAATCACAGGCTCGATCGGGTTTGCGGCAAATGGGAGGAAACTCCTGAGCCGAGGTTATCTTTTGCGGACTCGAAGCTTGGCTTGCTCGAGGGAGCTGCTAACAGACCAGTTCAGCAACGTTTGTGCAGTTCGTTTGTAGCATCAAAGAGAAGGATCAGCGCTGACTATTGCTTCTCTGTTCTCAGCATACCAAGCTTGTTACGCCTCTATACCAGGAGAAGAGCCTAAACAGCAGATCTCGTTCCCTACGTCGCCTACAGCCTGATCACAGATCTCAACGTGCGATGTTCTTCGAAGGCGCGGTTGAAACATTGTTGCGTTGTTATTCAGTTCAATTCTTACGGATTTAGAAGAAGGATTCGAGTTCAGCTTCCTTTCACTATGCAACCTCCTATGCTTATTCAGAGACATGGCTATAAGCCACGTTGAGTCTCGTTTCCTCCAGTCAGGAATTCGTTGTAGCCAAGGTGAATGAGCTGATCGACGAGGGTACCACCACTGACGGCGGTGGTTTGGGACGGGCAGAGGCTGCCAGGATTAGTTTGTTCAGCTTGTGCCAAATACCATAGATGAGTCTGACAAGGTTTCAAGGTCTAGCTGTACCATTTATTGCACGCAGAAATGCCATCCGCGCTCCCAAAGAAGCATAACTATTCCTTTGCATTGGCCGGTTTGGCGTAGGAGAGTGCTCAACTTGATTCGCAATCGCAAGTGTCGGACTCCTAGTTCTGTTCATTCGAGACTTGGTGGATGCCGTGGGAGTAGTCAAGAGTCCAAGTCCAGTTTTCATGCACCACAGTTCTCTGCGTTTCATCTCAGCCTGTTGCTGCTCAATCTCTCGAAGACGTGCCTTTTCTGCTTTTCGTTTTTTCCTAGAGACGTTGCCTTGCTCACAAGGACCGCTTCTTCCGAAGTCAAGTATACCTGCATAGTACGAACTCAGACGGACCAAAATTTTACTCTTTCTTGTTCGTTTGGCAAACTGGTCGGCGAGTTCATTCCCCTCCACGAACGCATGTCCAGGGATCCAGCACAAAAACAAGCGCACACCTAAGTCGCGAAGTTCTTGAGCATTAGCTTTGAGGAGCGGCATCTGCTTGTGCTGAACGGACTCGAGTGGAAACATGTCGATCGAGTGTGTATCGCGTATCTGCGACAAACTCTCTTGAGAGTCTGTATAGATATACACAGACGCGATTCTAGCGCTGGGATCATGTGTGAAGGAGTCCTTGCATTGTGACAATGCCAGCTTAAGAGCCTCGTTTATAGCAGAAAACTCGGCCTCGTTCACGCTGAGATACCCTTGAGTCTTGTAAGTCCTTTGCTTCCATTGACGTGGCGACGTCCCACTCTTCCATACTATACTGATGCCTGCCACGTCATCGAAATTAGTATGTTGCAAATGTCTGACAGATGCATCGGTCCAGAATACGAGCTTCTTGCTAGAAAAGAAGAGGTCGCTGAATCTGTACTCAATTGACGCTCTTTCGGTTGCTTCTTCCCTGGTTCCGACAAGGATATTGCCCGTAAATGGGTTTCCAAGAGCAGACAGTTGATATGAATTAAGCTATTCCATGTCGTTAGCAATTGTCCTTACGTTTGTTGTAAAAGGTCTCCGAAATCTCTGTCCTGTGATGGCTCAATACTGTCCTGTGGTCAAGTATACGAGTCTCCAGGTGACCACATTGTTGATGTGGGCATAGACTTACTGTAGAAGCTTGAATAGCCTGAATGCGTGGACTGTCAAGTAATGTAGCAACCCATGTTGTGATCTGAGCCGAACGAGCTCCAAGTGAACGTATCAAGGAATTTCGTGTGCTGGACGCGCGCCAGGCACTATTTCGACGTCTTGTCCAAAATGGAAGAGCAACAACAGAAAGATCTGTTCGTGATGCTGAATCTGAAAGATCTGTATCCCGAGAGTTTGTAGGCTTTCCAATTCGTGGTCTGAGTCTTGCGCCTCGCAAGACACTGAGCCTATCAATTCGGATTGTCATACAACTATCATCAGAATGCGTAGCACTTTGTAATTGCGACTGAGCGAACAAGGCAAAAACAAGCCCTCCGACTAAAATGCAGCACTGCAGTAGAGAATCAGGTTAGCGGAGCCAAAGCGAACGTAGGAATTTCGATAGCTACGAATTGTGATGAACAAATTGCAGCCCTGACAAATGTGAGATAGACAAGTCACGTGGATGCATAGCGAGGAAGTTGTATAACTAACAGGGAGTCAATATTTTGAAGCAGACGAATTTATTTTTGCTCTGCATCGCACGATTTACTACGTTTGCCATAACGTGGTGAACCCTATAAATCGGTAGTGTCCATGCGTTTTCCCCTACCCTCCATCGACGACATCGTCTTCGACCAAGTCCACCGTCCTACACATCCCTTGCACACTGAACCACGCTATACAGCCACACCCCAAGATCGACGGGACGTTTTGACCCGTTGTCGAACTCTCGAAGTCGGCTCTCAAGGACGATAACGTAGGAGTGGTGACTTTCAAACACAGCTCACTGAACAATACAGCTGTAACTTGGAGTGTTCCCATAACTTCAGGTCGTTGATAGCTAGACTTGACAGCCAGAGGTCCTGCTGTGCGGTACCTGAGAGTCTGAGTGGCATAAGTCTATGGTCAAGCTGAGAAGCTGACGTAAGCTCAGTGATGCTACAGGCTTGACAAGACTTTGGTAACATTCCTTAGTGTACTGGGTTGCGTCGCCGTGTATCGCTGTGCAGTCATTTGTACGAAGCTTTGCCAGATGGTTGCAGATACATACTTGGAGGAAGCTCCGCGATGTACCATGAGATGTCACATCTCACTTCGATCGTTCGATCGTCTACCACAAATATGTAGTAATCATGGGTCATCCATGAGTCTTAACGAACATTCTGTTCGTTCTTCTGACGATCTCTTCATCCTGCTAAAGCCTTTGCAGCCATAGCACGGACACCAGCTTCAGTCTTATGACCACCAATAAAGCCACTCGCGTGTACGAAGACAGCGCCGTCCTCAACATCGGGACCAAGCAACTGGTCAAGCTCAGCATCTCTAACACCACACCAGGGTTCGGGGAGGCTTTTGCGGTTGACGAAGCTGTTCATGTCCTTAGATACTGCTTGGATTCTCCACTTGGTACCAGGCTCCTCCTTTTCCGGGTAGATGGTATACAGAATCTTCTTGCTATCATCGATTCCCGCCTCTTGCTCAATGTTGTAGAGATGTTCTTTCCATGGAATGCCAGCTCTTGGTAAGACTAGGAGTTGACCTGAAGGATGTTGTGACTCACGGGTGTCGAATGCAGATTTAACGACTGCACGAGCGGGAAGCCAAGCAGTAGCTGCGCCGTGTAGCTTTCTCAAGAAGGCATTGCCCATAAGAGCTGAAGCTTGGCCAAATCTGTAGTCCTCCTCGGCCTGTGGTTGGTCGGCAGTGGCACGAGACACTCCAGGATTGAGTGGATCTTCGTGGTTGAGGTCTCCGACCAAAGCTGGAAGGGTAATCCCACCAGACTTGAACTTTTCCGCGATACCAGCCTCTTCCAACTTGCTCGAGTCATACTTGGAGACACCATTGTCGTTCGCGTCTATGGCTTCAATGAAGTCATCGTAGAGCTTCAGGTAGAGAAGTTGGACGTCTTGGTGGTCGATGGGCAGTTGAGTATGCTGTGCGATGATGGCCCTGCCATAATGCATGTACACCAAGCCAGCTGAAGAAAGTTTGGTTTTGTGCTCAGGGAACGTGTTCGTGAATTCGCGCTGGTGATGATCATAGCGTTTCTTGGAGTCGTCGTAGATACCGCCGACATCGACCACGGTATGGCATTGGTCTAGTAGACTGGGGTCTCTCGTGCGAACAAGAGATGCAGAGGAATATTCGGGGAGCAGGCGAAGCATGTAAACTGCAAGGGCTTCGTCAGCATGGAAGTGCCCATTGTGTGTACCAATATTGACGGGCGACATCTTGACTCTCTTCGCAGCGACTTCCGTGGTCATAGTCCTAATCAACCGGAGCATGAACAAGTCGAGGTGCAGCAGCAACTATTTACAGGAAAACTGCAATATTTCACAAATCGATGCGACAATGCGGAGCAAACTAGGCGAGGCTGATAGAGTGGAGCACACTCCAAGGCTTGGCAAGATGGTGTTCAAGTTATTCGCAAATGGTGCTGGCACTCGTGCACGAAAATGAAAGACGATATGGCTGCTGAAACCTATGGTTGCGCAGTGAAAGTGCTGGACCGAGACCAAGAAATTTTGATACAAGTTTGTAGGTTGAACGACTCAATGTTGCTACTGTGTACAGCAAACGCACTTGGTTGATCTTCGGAAAGTGTTTGGCAGACATCTACGCGACTGGCAGGAACCAAGATATTTCCTTCCACAGGTTCGCTCAACACAGCACGCGACCTCGAATCGCCAACTTTCAAGCCCGCGAGTATCCTGTTCCAACTGCACGTTGACGTCGTTGCGCACAGTCGTTCCATTATCCTTCAAACAAGTCTCAATTGCGACGTAGAATTTTTGTTAAAGTGATTCCAGGCTTTGCAGGGATATTGACATGTGATAAAACGATCCTGCCCCAAGTTCTCGAGCCACAACTTCGCACTGCCACACATGGGCCTCAGAGTGCGATAGCGAAAAGTGCAGTCGGTGTCTCAGCATTCACCGCTCCCCTACTCATTCGCTCTACATCTATCTTCTCCTGTGCCTCTTGGAGGCGCAGGAGCACTCGTTGTCCCTATGCTGATCAGAGCCGTCTCCTCGACCCTATTCCTGGCACTCATCATCCTCTTTATTCCATTGACCTTCGATATCGGTGGCCGTGATGCTGGCCTAGCATACAGTCTCTCGCTCTCCTCGTTCTACTTCGTCCTTTCTCTACTCAGGATATCGACTCCTCCCGGTTCACGTTTTCGAGCAGCTCTAGTCAATTTCGCACGAGTCGCGCAATGGCTGGTGATTCCAGGGCTATGCATTTGGGTACTTGGCAAGTTTTCCATTGATGGCGAGACTGGCACGAGCTGGGTCGAAAGGACATTCAAATTGAGAAAAGAACTGCACAATGAGAATACTTCCTTCTGGACCTGGTTCTTCGGACAAGGAGGTGTGACGGAGACTGTTGCGATCGGAAGCTGGGATAAGATCCTGCGATGGTCGTCGCCTGTCTTCCAGTTGCTTGAAGGGTTTTGCAGTCTACTTGTCATTCAAGCAACTGGTCAGCTTACAAGATGGTTGGTGAACAGGAGTGAGCGCAGTGATGCCTGGATGCTTACTCTTATCGTTTCTGCCGCAGCCACCACATCTAGCTCGGTCTACTTCCTATGGCGTGTGCTGCAGTTCCCAGACGTCGACCATCTTGATTCAACATTGATCGGAATCGTGATTGCTTCGGCAATATTCCTCTGCACCTATGGCGTGGTGTCAGGACGGGGAACCGCTGTTGAGTCGTCTCTACTCTTCGCCTATATCGTCCTATGTGTCTACCAAATTTTTACCGATTACAAACCAAGTCACCCAGAGCAGAACAATAGCGCCCCGTCGCCCGAATTTCCACCACTTCCACCAGTCATTATGTCTTCATTCTCCGCCGTTGTGCATGCACTCCAAGCGCTCCCAGGCGGGATTGTAGACACTCTACAATTCACAGCAGCAGCATTCAAGGCGGTGACGCCCTCTGTCCTCGTCTCTCTCGGCTACAGGCTGTTCGTTTTCTACGCTTCGACCCGAATAATTCCAGCAGTCAACGAATCTGGTGCTCGCGGTTTGAGCATTGAGCCTACCCTCGAAGATACCCACGCTGGCAATCAGTTTCTTGCTTTTCTCTCCTGGTTCTCACCAAGCATTCTGATAGCAGTCTATACGAGTCTTCTCATGCAGCATTTCGCCACTACAATGGGTGGGTATGCACCTGGCCTGACTGAGACCATCTCTTCGTGGTGGAGTGGTAATGGTCAACCTGCAATGGATGGCAACGTGTGGAAATGGGTCAATCTGGTTGGAACAATGGCGCTGTATGCAGTTGAGCTGTGGTTAGGCGATGAGGATACCATTGGAGCAGGTCATTGGAAGGTAGATTGAGGAAACCTTGGAACAAGACATGCTACGACAACGCCCCTGAACCAACATCCTCGCGCCCGCAGAGTGGTGCTAGGATGATCAGGCTAAGCCAGGGTGGACGCCCGGTAATAGTCGGATCGGAAGAATGACGAAGCTTCATCAAAGCCGCAAGAACCTCGACAAACTTCAACAATGACCACGACTGACGCTGTTGCTTACGTAAAGCACAGAATCTCGGGAACGGTCGAGGAGGACATTGAGTTTCACACCGAGCTTTACCTTGAACTGCTGCGAAAAATTCGAAGAAAGACCAGCACGAATCCAGCAAGCCAATCGATCACAAAGTGATGAAAACACAAGCCTAAGACGCTGTAGTGAATGGTGAATGCAGGACGAATGCGAGGTGCACAGGATGATTGCACAATCAAAAGAAAAGGGCACAACAGACGTCATACCCACGAAAAGTGGAACGAAGAAGCAGAATGCAATCGTGAACGTTGGGCGAGGCTACAGAAGATCATGACAATGGTCCCTACTTGGTGGCCCCCTGAGAACGTTATTTATACACGGGGTCATACCGCAGTCAGTGACAAAAACCAAAACCCAATAATAGAAGAAAACCAATTGACAACATCCTTATTGCACATTCGTAACTGCTGTGATGAATCAATATTGATCGTCCTTGTATGAAAGATACTGACCACTCTCCTGGTCATCGATCTGCCACGTAGCAGGACATCCAGTCCGTGTAAGCTCGCTAAAAAGTCCTCGAGGTTCCAAGCCGAAGCTCAACTTCATTCACCATACTCCTTACGCCAATTGCAACAGGATTTGCGAGTTCTCGCAGAGACATCGTACACGCTTGTCAGTATCAGCTCCTTCTCGGATAGCTCAGCCTTCGTGTTATGTCCGTGGTCGTTCGCGCTACGAGTACAAGATTTAGCAGGCTCTCGATGTTGGACTCCGCTTGCGAAATACTCTTCGCTTCAACTTGATTGTTTTCATTTTTAATCTGTTGGTGCTGCGATGTGTTACCGTCATTCCAGGTTTGGTACTCGACAACCCTTCTCTCTGTGCGATGAACACGTTACTGCGCTCCTCCTCGTCTTGTCATTACTTCATGCCAAGTCGTTCCATATTTGAGTAATTGAATCGACTCTATCTTCTGATGGGAATACCCTCGGTCTTCGCAGAAGGGCTGGTGCTGTTCATTGCCTGGTCGGATGCTTGGCCGCCGGTCGAGTCTTGCATGCCGTCTGCATCATCTATGCTTGAGCTTCGATTGAGATAGCTTTCTTTCTGCGGGCTGCGGCTATTGACAAGACTAATGCTGCCTGTGGGCTGGAGCATGCTTCCGCCAGGAATACCGCTGATACTACCGCGGTGCATACCGGCAGGACTTGGCCCTGTGAGTGTGGGAGATGAGCCATCGCCTGAACCGACTGCGCCCAGAGAAGGATTGGTGCTCAGGGAGGCATTGTGGGACGGAGGCGAGCCTGCGGCGATGCTATCGCTGCGGGATACAATGTGATTGAGAGGAGAGGTATGTGGAATAGTCTCGGCGGTTGGGTGCTCGGTGCCAATGCTTGTTACGCCTGTATCGCCTGCTTTTCCAGCTTTTGAAAGAGCATAGTCACCACTGTCGAAGTATTTGCGCTCCTGAGAGTGTTGTCAGTTACTGTCGGATTAGACGGTACCATGAAGGTCGTGTTACCTTGAGTTTGTTCTGCAAAAGGTCTTTCTTGTTTGGCAACTTTCCATACATGCGAAAAAGGCGCTGTTCATCAGAGGAGAGTGACTTGGTTATGTTAGCTACGCCAATATGGAGAGGTATTGCGGTGAACATACACTAATGTCGATCTTGTTTTTCTGATGAGGATTCATCTTGCTTATCGCGCTTCTGCAGACGTCCTGTATTTCCACTAAGTCCTTGACTCTTACAAGAGGCTTCAAGGACTCGGTCGGTCGTGTGAGGGAAGGTTTGCTTCGCAAGAAAGGTGGCTTGATATCGTGATCGTATGTTCGTCTGTAGTTAAGTGGCTAGTTGTTGTTCCTTGTTAAAACAGGAACTGGTTTGTGAAGGGAATTGTCTGGATGTCGTTGCCAAAATAGTCGTGAGTTGGTCGTAGAATTGAGCGGAGTGGTTGTGGATATCCTGCAGATGCCGGAGTAGAGGGGCAGTTGACGAAGTTTAGTAACGATCCTTGCGCGAGTAAACGAGTCGGATCAACGTCAACAATGAAAGGATTGGTCAGTCACTTGTTTCGTATTACCAAAGTAGTTTCTCGTGCAGAGCAACGTCAGGATTGTGCTGCAGGTTGTGCAAGAGAAGTGGTCAAAGCTTGGAGCTAAAGAGAAATCTTGGTAGAACACCTTTATTTACGTTCAGTGTCGTTGTTTCTTGTTACATGTGTTCACCCTTCGAGGATGTGATATGACTACAGCTAACAAATGCTCCTTCTGATTCGCTTCAGCAGAGAGTCGTTGCTCTACAGTACCTTAAACGAGCGTCCAATGCGGAGGATCTACATGTATAGTGGATCCCAGACACGAACTGTAAACTTCCAGAGATATGCTTGCCGTTCAATTCAGACTTGAATGAAGCCTCTGAGTATATCTAAATGATGTATTGTTTGTGATTGACACTCTGGATTCCTGTTGCCTGTCTTCGACTGCTCAGAAGTCGAGCACAAGGCATTCTGGTGGAGTCCTGTTCGCCCAGCACCATAAGGCATCAACTCCAGATCACACCTTCCAAACAAACTTTGTTTCATATATCACTGACCTTTATCATATCCGCAACATAATACGCACATCCCATCACATCTTACTGTGTTTGTGTACAGCTAACATGGACACACGACTCACTTTTGTAGTCGAACATCTTGACCCAGAGCTTGGCCCATGGTCTGCCCTGGAGTACCAGAACATTGCTGAAGAATCACGAACCGCTGGTTGCGACTTCATTCTGTCTTCCGTTCCCGCAGCTCTGCTACAAAGCGATCAACTGAAGCGTACTGGTGCCAATGCTCGAAGTGACGCTGTAGAGACGTATTTCGCCGAGAAGAAGGACAGAATCTGTTTACTTGATCCAGCTGCAAAACAAGAACTCGAGCCAACAGACGCCAAGAATTTTGATGTCTTTCTATTTGGAGGAATTTTGGGTGACGATCCTCCACGAGACAGAACGAGCGAACTACGAAAGAAAGGCTTTACAGGTCGAAGACTTGGTCCAGTCCAGATGACCACCGATACTGCTGTAAGGGTCACCCGTGCAGTCGTCCTAGAAGGAAAGGAGCTCAACAAAATCCCATACCTTGACTTTCCAGAATTGAAGCTAGACGAACACGAGAGCACAGAGATGCCTTTTCGATATGTGAAAGATAACCATGGTCAACCCATCATGCCTCAAGGTATGCTGGAGCTCATCAAGGCTGATGCTGACAAAGGGTTTGACGCTCTCGAATTCACGGACGAGACGGAAGGTCTTAGTAATTTGACCACGAAAGACTCATGATCTGTGTTACTGACTATACGACGAGAACAACATCTCTAAAGACTCTGTTACCTCGTTAGCATACAATACCAAGAATACTTCTAAGCCCTTCTTACGACGATACCAATCATTTTCAACAACGATCTATCCCAGTAGGTGCGAAACAGATTTTTAGAGAGAGCGAACGAGATGATCTTCGTGGAACAGAACACACATCAATCATTCCGCTCGTTGCAACCAACTGGTCAGTAATGATTTCCTACTGTATACTTCGCCAACGAGGTGACAATGGACTTGTCGTCTGAGGCCTTGTGGTCTTTGCCTCGTTTACAACGTTCAAGCTGCAGCCTCCCAGTCACGTCTCGTGAAACAAAAGCACGCCCATGCCCCCGCTTGCCGTGCAGATCATCCGCCATATGATGAACGTGGTGATGCGAATGATCATGCCAATGGTGCACTTCTATCGGCATATGTTGCTCAGCACGATAGGGCATCACAGGCTCCGCTACCAAGGTAGTCCCTTCCACTGATTGTCTACCTGCTGTCGATGTTCGAGAATTGGCATCATAATGTCCAGGACCCGAAGAATATGCTGGTGGTTTTTCACTAGCTGGCTTCTGAGACGTGCCTGTCAATTGTGCTACAGCAGGCCGCTGACTTCCCGCATATGAAGCCTTCTTGTTTTTCGATGATGTCTCAAGCTTTCCAACACTGGGAGTTCCTGGCAATCGTTGGAATGGAGTCTTGGCTGATTGTGGCTGGTAGGATAAGCCCCAAGCATTTGCGTGACCATTTACTGATGGACTTCGGTGAAGGTTTCCATGTCTGTTGGATGAGCCCCGGACAGTGTGCTCGCCTCCAGAGTGATTTTTCCGACATGGATTGCTGCTGTCTATTGAGCCTCTATGCAAAGTGTTCCGGTCCCAAGTGTTTCGTGAACTTTTTCGGTAACTGGAAGGCGCCCTGCTACCCGGTACTGCAGTGCCACAAGCTGACGGGCTTCGGTACAGCCGACTACCATGCCGATCTCCAGAGAAACCCGTTCCAGCTTGCGACGATGACCTCGATCTTGACGATCTTGCAGGACCGTTGTCCCAAGATTCTGACACCCGAACCCGCTCTTTCAGGTACCCACGATTAAAGAACGATTCAAAAGTGGGACTATGTTGTGAGAACGATGCTCGGCCACTTGTTGAACTGGCTCGGAATGACGACTCAGTAGCACGGCCTGAAGCTGGTAATCCAGATGCACGACTTGATGATCTAGTGCTTCCAGCTAGGCGCCGACGGCCAGCGTCACTTCCAGAGATACTGCCTGGAGTGACTCCATCCAACCACTCTTGCACACGTCTTGTAGTGCTTGGTGGCCTTGGAGAGTCTCGCGAGCTGCTCGATCGAAATAAATGAGGCATGATTGCTGGATTTCTTCTCTGCTTTGACTGATGCAATGGATTGTGATTTTTGAACTTGTGTCTACTGAAACTCGTTCAGCCGTGCCATTGTGCTTATAACGTTCAGTGGTTACAACAGCCATTGTGGGTGGTTTCACAAGAGGAGAATGTATCTTCTTTGTGTATGATACAAATCTCAGCCATGGACATAGAGACAATGCTGAGGCTAGTTGAGCAATACGACAAGGTAAACTTGTCTCAGTCATTCTCAATACGGTTTCGTGAAGGCTTGTACATCTGCACACTCATTATGTCCCGGTTGTGTCCATTGCTGTAGATATGGAGAAACGTCCTGGCACAGACACAATACAATGGCCGCGCATTGTACGTAGCCTTGGTGTTGTGGACACGACTGGCAATTTTGACACAATACATCACTAGCCTGGTGCGCACGATGGCATATCCTCACACCTCTCTCAAGACAGGTCTTAGTGCACCGCATCTTGAGCAGCTGAGCAGACAATGCCAAACAGTCCTCCGAAACCATAACGACCAATCTTGCGTCAGTAAGCATTGTATCACGTCTGTCGCACACCTCAACAAGAGCTTTCCAGCGCTTTCTCAAGCACTACTTTCATACCTCATCCGTCGTCTCAACCCTTCACCATACCGCCAGAACAAGACCGGTATAGGTGCCATCGCCGCCGAGCAACAAGCCAGAATCGTCGTCGCCCAGCCCACTCCTAAGCTCTGATACATCCGAAGCGCAAACAGTGGGAAAGCAGTGGAGAGACTGTACCGACTGAGCATGGCAGCTCCAGCGGCCGAGGCACCATAAAGTGGTCCGTATGAATCCAACATGAACAGGTTGGCAGAAGCGTAGATGAGCAGGGAAGCCAGGATTGATATGCCTTGAAAGATGATCGGGACGACGTAATGGATTGATGAACGCGATGTCCATGCGAACAGTAGTAGCGCAGCAGGTAGGATCGGTGCAGCGATGATAGCTGGGAAGAGTCTATTCTCGGGCGGAAAACGCGATGCGCTGTGCGGTTGCTGTGTCATGCGCCAGCGCTTCAGACGTGGTTGGTACATTGTCAAGTCGATAGTGATGAGGATGGGTGGTGCAAGTAGTGTTCCAACTATGAGTCCTAGAAAAGATAGTGATTGACCTGTTCGAGAGAATTGATAGTAGTGCTCAAAGACCCATGGGGAGGCCACCACGAAAGTATACATTAAGCCGAACATGAAGCCATTGTACAGGCAAATCAAACTGACAATCGGCTCTGTAAAGAGCATGTGGAGTGGTCGCAGAAACAGCGTAGTAAGAAAATACCTGGCTGAGTTGATGACGGACTGCTGACTGTGTGGTGAAGCAATTCGTACACCGTTTCTCCTGGCCCGTCGTTCAAGGATCGTCTTCTTGTACGTCTCCTTGGTGAAGAGTACCGGGATGATGAAAGCGATGATGAAGAACAAGGTTGTCCATTGAGTCCAACGCCAGCCCTTACTTTCAACTATCAGACCTCCAAGCAAAGGTCCGAAAACAGCTCCAAAGAAGGGGATAGAATAGTAGAATGCAAGTGAAATAGCACGGTACCTCCCAGCTGTATAATCAGTGATCGTCGCCGAGGCATTACTAATAGCAGGAGAGGCAAAGACGCCCGCAAAGAACCGACAGATTACCAGCGAGGATATACTCTGCGAGAAACCAGCACCCAGAATAAACAACGCAAAAACCGGCGTAGTCGTCAAAAAGACCACTTTCCGTCCAAAAGTCTCGCACAGCGGTGCACCCAGCAATGGACCAAATGCCAACCCTGCATTGAAGAGCGCGAGTGGGAGAATTCCAACCTCATCAGATACCTGGAACTGAGCCGAGACTACATCGTGGGAAGGTGCGTAGATCGAGCCTGCGAGCGTGCTGACGAAAGCTAAGAAGCTGACGGCCGCGGTTGAGGCTACTCGTCGCTTCAGAGTGAAGTTTCGAGGATTTTCAGGGTCGCTGTCCCAGTTGGGAGCTGTCGTTGTGGGTTCTGGTTGCGCGCCTGTGTCGATGACGTTCTCCTCCGCCTTTGTCATTTTTGGGTGGCCGAGAGCATATTGTGGCCCATAGATTAGGCTTGGAGAATTCCTGATCTATTTGAGAATTAGAGTCTTATAGGGACTTCTATGAAGAACACAACAACAAAGCTAAGATAGTAACTGTGATAGTGATTAGAAAGTATTGCCAAGTCAGCTCGCAAACTGCTTGATGGCGGTAAAATGATGCTTTGGACCGTCGGCGTTGTTGTCGATTGCCGATCTCTGGGGGGGTGAATTAGACTTTATACTCCGATTTGGTGAATAACATCGTGCCGAGTATGATTCATGCTTGTCTCAGCAAATCTTTCTTTGTTGTAGTGAAGATGACTACGTTCAGGACGTTCCAGATGCAGATTTGTCCCCAAGTAAATGAGTGTACAAAATATCAGGTGGTGCTTCAGGCAAGCTCCCATGCAGCAACTCCAACAAAACCCATCGCCACACGGCCAACGCCTGTCCTGAACTCGTGTACGGACAAGCCTCTAGCATCCTGTCTGTCGCCGAAACTTGTTACCGCGAACAAGGTCAATATCTCTTTTGGCGCGCCAAGCGTGCGAGCAGGTACATCGACATACCAGAGATCACCACCCTTGCCAGAACCTCTGACATGCTCGAGGGGAATATAATGCTTTTCTCTACCATCTACACCTCCTGCCGCCAAGATAAAGACTGGAGGTATCTGTTTCTGAGGGTCTAGCCTCCAGTGAGGACAGAATAGTCCAAATTGGAAACGTACTGTCTCCTGCTCATAGATGCTAATCTTACGAGCTGGAGGCACGACGCTGTGCTTCCCAATACAATAGTCTGACTTTGCATTGTCGAAAAGAGTTGGACGTTCGAAAGAGTATGGCCAGCGAGCAGGATCAATTTGGATATAGTCTTCCCACGACATAATTTTTGCTATTGAATCCCCGTCAGTATTTGCTCGATTGTAAATTATAGCTCCCGCGCACGATCATTTCCGTGTTTCTAAAACAGACGTACCTGTGTAAAACCCGTCTCGATCGTTGGGGAAATGGTCGATGCCGAATTCTTCGTTTGATTGTGTGAAACGCTCCGGCGCGAACTTTTGAACATAAGGCATGCCGGCCCCTTGAACGTGGCCAGCTCCCCAGCAGGAATCTATCAGCTTCCACTCACCATTGTCAATCTTCACTACATTCCACGCATGATTGCCGTTATAGGGCGGAAGGGGTTCACCAGGTTTGATTGGATTGTGGCCGAAGCCCTTCCCATGACCAGTTATCACTCTCGATTCAAGACCAGCATGAGTAGCGAGGCAGGTAAATAGAGCTGCATACCCTTCGCAAACTGCAAGACCGGTTTGAAATGTTGATTGAGGTGTTGAGCCCTTAATGCTCCCGCAGAAGAAGTCTTCGAAATTAGCTTGGTCAGAGACGGTTCAAAGATTACTGACCATGAGTATTATACGCTATGTTTAGGTGTAACCACGTGAATATTGCACGGGCTTTGTCCGTAGCTGAGACAAAAGGAGCTACTAACTGTTGGGCAAGGTGCGGGAGTGACGTGACTTGCTGTCGTGGGAATTCACGTGCGTGAGTGTCAGGACTGGAGAAGTCTCGACATACCATACAACCTGTGGCAGTAGCAGCTGGGGTGAGAGCCTGTACACTTGAATTAAGCTTGGGCTTCGTGGCCTGAATAGCAGCGAGATCAGGACGCGACGCTCGAGGTACTGGTGGAGGTTTTTTGGGCGGATCGACACCTTCCAGCCCGTGAACTGCCTGTTCAGCTGGTATTCGAGAAGGCCTTCTGACAGGAAGTGGAGGTGGTGACTCAGCAAGCTCTACGGTTTCGACATTCGCGAATGATGCTTTGCGAACTCTGTCCAAATCCTTTGCCGTGGCAAGTGGTGGTAGCCTGCGTGCTGCGCTCACCGATGTGCTATCTGTGCTTTTGCGCGAAGGCAAAGGAGGTGGAATCGTCGAGTGAGAAATACTTGACGCTGCTGTTGTTGTAGTGCTAGCTAGACTGGAAACAGAAGGTGTCCTAGCCGTGGACGGCCTCTCGACAACCGACTCTTTGCGAGTATGCAGTGGCTCAGTCTTTAGTAGGAGAGTAGGCAGATCACACTGTCCCCACGCTGGGGCCTTGATGCGAGAACTGTTCTGCTCGGATTTTGTCCTTGTAGCTGTAGCTTGAGGGCGCGAGCAGTTGTCATCTCTTTCTATTGTCCCAATCTCTTGGTCCGCTTCCTGCTTAGTCCTCCTTGCAGGCAGTGGAGGAGGTTGCCTTTGAGGCGGGCCATTAGGTAGGTTGGCTGGGTCAGAACTCGTGCTGACGGCGTTCTCGTTTGGTATGTTGAAGGACTTGTGCTTCAGTATAGGTCGTCGATCCGGTATTGGAGGCTTGGGCCGCGTTTGGGTCGTCTTCCCCGGTAGTCTTCCTAGATGATCAGCATTCAAAGCAGCAATGCGCTGCTGGAGAGTTTGAAGCTGCGCATCTTCTGCCATGTCAAATGTGAGTACAAAGATCGAGTTATCGAGCCATGCGTCGTACACAAAGACAACATCGATGCACTCGAAGGCTGGCAGGATACCGCAGAACGGGCAGTGACGGCTTGCTGCAGCTTGAGGTCGTCAGGCTTGTGTTAGGTTCAACGATTGCGAAATATTAGCTAGTTACACGATGGGGGGAGTGCAGAGACAAAGGGTCCAAAATCACATAACGAAGATCGAGACACAGTCCAGTATACACAACATGACCCGTGAACATGCTCTCACGTGTAAGAGAAGCTGCTAGACGATGAATTTAGCAGAGATACGTGTGAATCTAAGTCTTCTCCTCTAGTTTCAATTTCAATGCTCGATGGGTCCACGCCAGCCTTGTAACACTGTACCACCGCACTTCTTGACACTGCGAGCACCAACGCACAAGCTTTGGATCAAGCAAAGGTGCTTGCTGTATGGTGGGAATCATGCTTTCTCAACATGATCTTTCCTGGCGAGCATTGTGTGCACAAACACAAAGGCGAACCAAATAACATCAGTATATAGATTTGCTAATATCAGGTGGAGTTCGTGTCTGTAAGAAAGCAATGTTCTGGTTTTCAGAACTCGTCGAGCATGTTTGAAGAAGAAAAAAAAAGACTAAAAACGGTCCGGTCAATGGGTTGTGCTCGAGAGATACTAATCCTATATATTCCTGTTTGTTGGTGCTTACCTAACATCACATGAGCAAGTGATGTCGGTAGACCGGTGGTGAATCGCGGCTTTAGTAAGATTTATTCACGTAAGAGACGGTAGTGCTTCGGTGTGATTCGGAAGGTGTTCGCCTGGGCTGGGTCAAGGGAACCCAACTTCAAGTACCGTGCGAGGTAGCACACATATTACATCGTGCTTCACTCTGAGGCACAGTACATTTGATTATACAGACAATCAATATGCTCTCCGTGCATGAACCCCTTCATTGTTGCCCACAATCAATAGTGGGTCAGCACGAGAACTTGAACTGCACAGTCCCACGCTAGAGCCGGATTGGCTGCACGAGTAACCATCTTCGAACCAGATCTTGAACCACCAATCAGCATCCACACGAGTCGTTATCAGTAAAAGTTGCCGACCACGTCTATCTCCGTCGGGGAACCGATTATTGATGGGCGTGTCATCCTTCTTTGCTGTGGTATTGCTCCCAAGACACCATCATGAAGCACGGCCAATGAAGCGGATGGCTTACTGTCATGCTGCATAGTCATATGCGACATGATGCTAATCGACTCCTCGGCTCGTTCCTCATGCGAGCCATGGTCATGTCCTGTGCCCGCAATGCTAATTGATGATGTGCATGCCACCTCGCTGCCCGCCCGCCCTAAGCCCGCCGTGTGCACGATAACACTACGGCGATTGACAACGCCTGCGCCTGCCTGATAGAGCTGTTACTGTCCTGTTACACTGCCTTCTCCTCCCCTCCAACTTGTGTTATTCAAATTAGCTAAACTGCCTACAGCATCACTCGGACACCATTGAAACAGCTTTCCACATATTCTCGTGACAATATTGTGGTGACAAGCCTGAGAGGCAGCCGTGACTGGCAAGAGAATAACGACGTTCTTGCCGATCCTGTACAACGGCACGGACCAGACGAAGAGCAGTGCCTGCTGGAGCGTTTCGAGGCACGAGACAGCACATACTCGATGCAAGAAGGAAACACGGTAAACAGGGAACTGGCAATTGAATCCAGCGAACATTACAGCCATCACCACTACCATGAAAGGTCTTCCGCCTCACTGCACTCCGACAACCCCAATCCTCATAGACCTCTCTGCTAGAATCGGCGTCTGCGTTCCTACACCACTAGCAGCACTCTCCTCGGCACTAGGGACACTCTCGATCGTTTCATGGCTATTTGCTCAAATGCCACAAATATACAAGAATTACCAAATTCAGTCCACAGCTGGGCTAAGCATATACTTCCTTACTGAATGGCTGCTGGGCGACCTGACCAACCTCTTGGGTGCAATATTTACAAAACAGGCTACGTGGCAGATCATAATAGCGACCTACTACACATTCGTCGATGTTTGCTTGGTGATACAGTTCTTCTGGTATACACATCTGAAGCCAAGATGGGTGGGAAGCAGTCTGCATTCGGGAAACTCCAGTGACATAGACGATGGTGACAGCGATGTCATTAATGCCCTAAGTCCAATCAATACGGAGTTTCCAGATGGTTTAGCGTCTCGAACTGAGATGCAACAGTCGTCCAGACAAGAGAGTAGTTCAAAATCGGCTTTGGACGAAAGTGAACCACCACTCTTCACTCCTGTCGATTACGAGGGTAGGTCTCCAATCCCTGAGAAAAGACCCAAGCGTACCAGCTGGGACTGGACAGGCCTGGCTTCACCCAAAACTCTGGCAGGAGGGGCAATTGCGTCTCTAGCAACTCCAGCCAGGGCGGCACCTCTACCAGCCTTGCTGGCTCTCAGGCTTGTGCCAGTCCATACTCATCAAGCAACAACTTCTGTCGAATTGGCTGGGACGATTTTGTCCTGGTGTTCGACATTGCTTTATCTCGGCTCTCGTCTTCCACAGCTGTACAAGAATTGGTCGAGAAAATCTACTGCTGGCCTCTCGCCTCTCCTGTTCCTGGCTGCCTTCTGCGGAAATTTCTTCTACTCGACCTCCATCCTGACCAATCCGAATGCTTGGAGCGATTTTGGACCTTATGGAGGCCACGGTTGGGCTGATGACAAGGGCTCGGATCGCGTAGACTGGATACTCCGCGCCATGCCATTCTTCCTCGGTGCCGCCGGGGTACTGGTTATGGATGGCATGATGGGTGTTCAATTCCTGCTGTACAGCGAGCGAGAAGAGGAGATGGTCAAAGTTCGTGACAGTCGCGGTTATAGCCGGTGGGAGAAAGTCAACGGCTGGATGCGAGGCTGGATACCGAGGATGACGACAAAGTCCAGGGTCGTTGATCTTGCAGAGTCTCAGAGGTTGCTTGCTGAAAGCAGAGAGATAGAGCGATTCCATCAACGATATGATGGTGTGTCGACCTAGTAGACTGATGGAATGATAGTCTTGTTGATCAGAGCTGGTTTCTGTCTGTTGTTAAGATCTGCTTTCTCCTCGTTCGCAACTAGAATCATTTTCTCAAGCTGGCAAGTCGTGCTTCTAGAGCATCGTCGCCGCCTCCTATAGCCTGTGCTACACGGCCTTCTGGAACAGCAGCAGACTGTATACCGCTGGGTGTTTCGCCAAGCTATAAATTGTCAGTGCCTCTGTTCGAAAGTTCGATGTGGTGAGACCAACCTTCGAGTTAAATTCTACACCCAGCTCGTCAAGAATCTGGTTGATCGTCTCTTCGCTTTCCTCCTCTTCAGCAGGATCACCAAGTGCGTCGTCCACAGCATCCTCCATCATTTCTTGACGCTGTTCCATGATATCATTCTCTCGCTCAAAGTCTTGAGCAATCTTCGACAGTGCAGGCAAATTCATAGACCGGTTCATGCCTCCTATGATCTTAGTTGCGCCCTTCATCGACTGCATCATCTGTTCGTTCGTTCTTACAGTCTGTGACTCGAGTTAGCCCAACTGAGTCGGTTTCCTAGCGAAAGTTGTAGCTTACCTGAATGCGCAGTGATATAGCTTTCAGCTGCACAGTAGTCTGGTTGAACCTGTCTATATATTTCCTCGTTCGAGCCAGATCTTTGGCCTGTACTTTGGCTGCATTGAGCTGGCCCTTCTCGGCGTGCTGTTTGATGCTACGCTGCAACTTGTTCTGCTGGTCCTCGAGTTTGCGCTTCTCGCGATCTAGCTCGCGCATAGTCTTCTCAAGAGCTCTTTGGTGCTTCCGCAGCTTTTCCTGGGGTGTCATTCGCTTGCCGAAGGCCCATTCTATGATCTGTCACCATTAGCAGAGTGTAACGTGCTGCAAGCCCGATACATGCTTACGTTCATGTTGACAAACGCTCGCGATGTTCAATCAATTCGAACAAGGAAGGACGGGCGCTGGACTAGCAGCTTATCATCTAGGTGAGCCGTAGATGCCTATATCACTTGCGGGACGACCGTTAAGTTCAGCACGAATGACGTGATGTGATAGGCTGGCTCAGGAACGTGCCGGTGGATTGCCCCAGAGCCTGAACCTTCCGTCTTCAATTGTTCGAGAGGCAAGAACTATTCACATTTCCTAAGAACATTCATGCAGCCTCTTTCAACCAGTACCTTATCAGCCAACAATGGAAGGCGCATATGACGATCCGACCAATGCTGGTCGCGCGCCTAACTCACCGCGACCAGAGAGTGAGCCTGCATCGTCGTCACGCCATGCACACCAAGCAATCCCGCAACCTCGATACATGACCGTTGGCACTGGTTCTCAATCGCAATATGCGCAGTCGTTGATGGAAAGATTAGAAAGAGATTCAGGATATGGCAGCATGCCCAGTGGGAGTCAATTTGGTGGCGATCTTGCATCTTGGGAGGATGAGCTTCTACAGGACCGACCAACACCAGTGCATACACCTCGAGGCCCTGGACAATCTGGCATGTCTGAGAACGAGAAGAGAGCGCTAGCCAGTCATGTTCATCAGCTATATTACAATCAGAACCGAGTTGCGCTCGCCAAAGCCATCAGTCAGACTATTGAGTTGCTCAAGCAATTGCAGGACATGAACCACAAATGGCCTGCGCACTACCCTACTGTGCAAGGCGCACAGCAAGGCAAAAAGAAAGAGCTATCGCATTCCTCCAGGCCAACGCTTTCGCACAGTTTCTCCACACGCGATCGCCTGGATGGAGAGCGATCATTTCCATTGGCTTCTTCCCACCGACCGACTCCTCTACGCAGAGCTGAAACGACCAGACCGGAACCCACAGCTGAGTCGAGCTCGGCGGTTGAACGAAAGCCAAAGGAAGAGCCACGTCTCATGACACCTCAAATTGCACAGGAATTCTCCATCCTCAAACTGGATCTGAAGGTCGGATCGCTATCACAAGCAGAACTCGTGCATTCGCTGGAGAAAAGGTCGATCGCCTCTCTACTCGATGGCAAAATCAGCGCAAGTGTAAGGCACTTGCTCTCCCTGAGAGATCGTATAGAAGATACCGCCAGCAAGGTACTGGTAACCGGAGACCTGAACGCTGGAAAGTCAACCTTCTGCAATGCTCTACTGCGGCGCAAGATCCTGCCGGAGGACCAACAGCCTTGTACAGCGATATTTTGTGAGGTGCTTGACGCCAAGGAAAACGGAGGCATTGAAGAAGTCCACGCTATTCCACAGGATGTTGTATATGATCGCAACGACGAAAGCACTTACGACACCTATTCTCTAGATGATCTAGAAAAAATTGTGATTGACAACGACAAGTACATGCAGTGCAAGGTCTATGTCAAGGATGCACGAGCCATCGACGAGTCTCTCTTGAACAACGGTGTGGTGGATATATCCTTGATCGACGCTCCAGGTCTCAATGCAGACTCAGTCAAGACCACAGCAGTATTTGCTCGCCAGGAAGAGATTGACGTGGTGGTCTTTGTGGTGTCAGCAGCCAATCATTTTACCTTGTCGGCAAAGGAATTCATCTGGCAGGCAGCGCACGAGAAAGCCTACATCTTTATGGTCGTTAATGGTTTCGACAATATCCGAGACAAGCAGAGGTGCCAGAAGATGATATTAGAACAACTTGCTAAGTTGAGTCCACAGACCTTCAAGGAAGCTTCCGAGCTCGTACACTTTGTCTCAAGCAATGCTGTTCCTACGAGAGCAGCCATTACAGCATCCAGCGGTGGCGGAGGTGGTGGATCGGATCCTAGCCCTGATGATAACGATGGCGATGATCCTCTCCCTTCAGGCAAGCACGAGGGTTCTGAATCAAGCGACAAAGGCAAGGACAAAGACAAGGAGAAGATCGAAGATTTCGAAGAGCTCGAGGCTGCTTTGCGGAGATTCGTACTTGAGAAGCGAGCTCGGTCGAAGCTTGCGCCTGCAAAGACATACCTTCTGAACTGTTTGGGTGACATGAATGTTCTCGCAACTGTCAATCGTGATGTCGCGCAGTCTGAGCTGGACCGTGTATCCAATGAGCTCGCCGAGCTCGAACCACAGTATCAAGAAAAAACAAAGCAGAAGACCATTGTGTCGGAACAGCTTGAAAAAGACACTGAGACGGCAGTCAAGGATGTGTACGACCATACACGATCTACTCTGTCGAGCACAATATCGACCGTGGGTCAAGCCGATTTGGGTATTGAATACCCAGGTATCTTCTCGGCTTTCCAGTACGCAGACGATCTACGCATAGCAATGCTTGACCAAATAACCGCGTCCGTTCGATCATGCGAGGACCACGCTCGCGCAAGCACAATCAAAGGTGTCAGCATGATAAAATCCTTAGGAATGCTGCACATTGGCAACTCGTATGAGAATCTGAACTTTCGAGCTGACATGATGTTTTCGAGACGAAAGGACGCCTTGGCCCGCACAGTCGATACCGATATCGAGATCTGGGACTTCTTCGATGTAGCTGGATTATGGGAGCGACAAGAAAAGGTTGTTGGATCAGGCATGGCATTGACCCTTGTGGGCACATTGGGCACTCGAGCAGTCGGTGGAATGGGCTGGGTCAATGGTGCTTTTGGAGCAGTCAGAGTGCTGGGATCCCGCAATCTGCAAAGACTTGCGGTTCCTGGTGCAATTGCCATTACTGTGGCCGCAGTTGCCTATATCTTATCTACAATCCCACAAACCCTACCTCCTCGACTCGCTCGGAAGTTGTCAGCACAGCTTGCAGCTATGGACTATACACATTCCAACTCCAGCAGGATCTCAGCTGAAGTGAGAAGAGTTTTGAAATTCCCGGCACAGCAACTTTCCATCGACTTGCAAAATAACGTTGAGGAGCTACGACAGAAGAAGGAGGATGTCACCAAGGTCAAGCAGGAGTCAGATATTGCGAGGAAGTACTTCAGCAACCTGGTGAGAGATACAACAGAAGGACGTCGTCGCGTACAGGCGGTCGACCTGGAAGGCCCAATTCCTGGCGCAGCTGGTGCTTACGTTTCATGAAGTTCATGTGTTGGGTTGGAAATCAGGTCATTTATAGGTGAACAGTGGTCTCCTCTCTTTGCACTTCAGCGAATACCAGAATAGATCATCGTCGCGATCCTAACCTCTACTGTGCATCGCCTGCCTGCCATCTTCGATTCGCGTCTTTTCCGTCACAAACGCACTCCTAGTAGTTGAAGTGAGTTGGTAAATTTGGTCTCACCCTGAGGAGAGGCGTTTGGTATGAGGACGTCATTTGGAGGAGGCGTGTTCTCGCCTCAGCTTGCTGCGCCTGGTAGACGTGCGAGCAGCACTGTAGGTCACGAACAACTACGTAGGTGGTGGAGACGCTGAGTACGACGGGAGCGAGCTGGAAGCCCCCGCAAACGATAGAAACTCCTCCACGACTCGAGGAATTGGCAATCGCATAAATGCAGCATCGTTGCAGGTGTGCCTGACCAAGCTGCATGTTATTGTTGTTACCATTGCTGCGTTGTCCTGACCACACTGGCCAAGCATCTGTGTTTGCGTAGTCACAACGTAGGTAAAGCACGCCACGCCCGGTGTCGACTGTCTTTTGTGCACATTAGTGTTTACTGACTGTCGGACGAAGGTTACCTCCGTATTCCACTTCACCACCTAGTACCAATCACCCCTCAAGGCCCGGTACCTGTCTAGATTGACCACCCCTCGGCTACCCTTCTATTCCACATTCGATCTCTGAGCCTGTTCTCCTCCACGGTTTCGCACAATATCGGCAAGCTGGCTGGCACTTCTGAAAAGCGAGCCTCCACTAGTGGAGGCATCCTAGGTCGTGTGTTTGGGAAGAAAGACAAAGACAATGATCTAACACCACCAAGAACCAGCACAGACTCATCCGCTATTTCGTCATCGCCTACGAGCACCAATATCAGCGTTGAGACAGATTTGAACAGAGTCGAGAGTCCTCAGTCGCGCACCTCCGACGAGATGGCCTCGCCTACTTCGGACGCTAAGAAGCGTAGGAGTAGTAGTACCGCCAAAGCAAAAGAGATCTTTACACAGGCCAAGAACTCGCTGATACATGGCGATCGTGAGGGACCGCAGACGCCTATACAAAAGCTGAGCAAAACCGATGCCGCCCTCAGTGTGCCTCAAGGTTCCAACAACAACTCTGCTGGAGAATCGCAACCTACCCCGAACTCGTCGTTCTTGGTTGGTGTAACAGAGGATAAAAACAAGAAATGCAGGAGGACTATGGAGGACACTCATTCCTACTTGTACAACTTCCTAGGTACACCGGCCCCGGTCCTGCCTACTGAAGGCAGCCCCAAGCAAACAAGAACCAACGAGGCTGGAATAAACCTCAATAAGATCCCCAGCGACCCAGCTCAGCACGTGGTAGAGACTGACAATGGCTACTTCGCTATCTTCGATGGACATGCGGGGACATTTGCGGCAGAGTGGTGCGGCAAGAAACTCCATGTCATCCTGGAGGATTTAATGCGCAAGAATCCAAATATACCTGTGCCTGAGCTGCTCGACCAGACGTTCACCACCGTGGACAACCAGCTTGAAAAATTACCTCTGAAGAACAGTGGCTGTACAGTTGTGTGCGCTGTACTCCGATGGGAGGATCGCGTGCCCACTTCTACATCTGCTACGGGTTCTGCTGCAATTGCTCCTCTTGCTGCGGCTGCCGTGAGCAAAGCTGAGCAGGAAAACGAGGACGGCGAAGTTCAAGCTGAGACAAAGAGATCGAACTCTACAGCCGAGGTAGCAGCGCGGGCTATTCAAGAGGCGAAGAAGACTGCTACACGACAGCGTGTGTTATATACTGCTAATGTTGGCGACGCTCGTATTGTGCTATGCAGGAACGGAAAAGCACTACGGTTATCGTACGATCACAAAGGCATGGATGAGAATGAAGGTCGAAGAATTTCCAAAGCTGGTGGCCTGATCCTGAACAATCGAGTCAATGGTGTGCTAGCAGTGACCAGAGCACTGGGAGACTCCTACTTGAAAGACCTTGTAACTGGCCATCCATATACAACGGAGACAGTTATACAGCCGGATCAGGATGAATTTCTGATCCTAGCATGCGACGGGGTAAGTCGGGAGAATCTCTTTACATAATTGATCGTGCTAACATATCTATAGCTCTGGGACGTATGCTCTGATCAAGAAGCCGTTGAGCTTATACGCAATACTCCAAGCCCTCAAGAAGCATCGAGAATGCTGGTTGAGCATGCCCTGGGAAAGTTCTCAACAGACAATTTGTCGGTCATGGTGGTACGTTTCGACTCGAACAAGGTGCGAAACAACACGAGTTTGGACATTGGGGTTGAGCATGAGGGTCGTGACAAGACAGCAATTAGTGAAGTAGAGATGATTGTTAGCGAAGCTCGACGGAATTCCGGTATTCCACCTGAAGGGTTGTCATTGACGGAGAAGGATGAACAGGAGATTCACAATATGGTTGTCAGGGAAGACAATGAGAGACAAGAGACAGGGCCAGAGCTGACACCGGAAGGCAACGCAATTGCGGAAAGACAGGTAAAAGAGAAATCGGAAGCAGGAGCGCGTTCTTAGTGTGCAATGGAGTCTCTACAAGTACACCGGACGTGGGCAATTATCCATGAAAAGCTTTACAACTGGAACCCGTCCAGGTAGTCCACAATTCAGTGAATGGAAGATCAAGGGAGACTTCCGAGCGGCCGAGAGGAAGACACGACGGGGAATGGAACGGAGATATATTGTGTTTATATTGGCACTAAGTGCTTGGTCGTCCGGTTCATCTCAGGACGGGTTGTGCTAGCTCGCAATGATAGCTGTATAGCTGGCAACTCATGGTTTTCGTCAAGTACTGTGGCTTGCGTGAAAGGAGCTCTACCGCGTGCACGTGCATGTCCTTTGACCCGTGCCGCACGCTTTACGCCTCGTGTATTGAACCAAAGTATATCGCACTCAAAGGCTTTGTAGGTTGCAAAGATACTCCTCGCAATCTGATACGATCTCACCTTGCCATCACGATATAGTCGCTGTTATAGACGTTCAAATACTTCGAAGTTCAACTCTGCAAGAAAACACGTTCGATTATCCACGACGTCACTAGACAGCTCAATGCAGGTTCAGGGTCATATCTGACACGATTTGTGCCTGGAGCATTCCAGTGGATGCGGCAAGTATTATCTTCTAAAATTGAAAGTGGCAGGGTTCTTGATCAGTTCGCGTAATATTGGCGACTCGCAAGTCTTGAACTGCACCGGTAGAACTGGAATCAAGCTCTGTGCAGGACATCGCTCTTTTGTTGACGTTGTACACTCCATTACCCGCAGCTTTCAAAATTTTAGCGACGTTATCAAAGGTCGAACGCAATTGAGCGACCAGAACAAAGACCAGGCAAGATCGTTATCAGGACCGGCGCCGTCACAGTGTCCACACACGAATCTCGAGGAAGCTTACACCCAGCTCCATTCACCTATCATAGACAATTGACTCCACTGATCTTTGCACCTGAGAAAAAACATTTCGACGCAGTTATCGCTCAGTGAAGCTCCTGGGATTTTATCACTGCCGTCTTTCTGCTCTGCACAGAGTACTAGCTCCATCTTGGACTTTCAACGATGGCAAGCAGAATGCTGCGATCACAGCCGCTGCGCATCGCGCGTCCCTTCGCTCAACACATCCCTACAAATTCTAGCAGATCCCTCGTCTCTGTGGCTTGCCCCGGCGGCTTGCGACACAGTACAGCCGTTAAGCCATCACTACAACAGTCAGTTCTGAGACAAACGTTCAGACGGCACTATGCAGACCAAGCACCTCAAGCCATGCTATCACCTGCTGCAACAAAGCCAAAGAAGAGACGGGGAGTTTTCAAGACGATATGGCGGATAACACAGATCACCTTCTTGGGTGGAGTTGCCTACTTGGCCTACACTGTCTACGATTTGAAGAACCCCCCGGATCAGTTTGAACCCGATCCTTCGAAGAAGACCCTTGTAGTTCTTGGTATGTGGTTTCTAGCACTTCTTCCTATCTGTACTAAAGTATTCGTTAGGATCCGGCTGGGGCGCGATTTCCCTACTAAAGAAGCTCGATACCGAAAACTACAACGTTATCGTCGTCTCCCCCCGAAACTTTTTCCTGTTCACTCCTCTCCTGCCATCATGTACAACCGGGTACATCGAACATCGATCTATTATGGAACCTATTCGAAACATCCTCCGACACAAGAAAGCTGCAGTGAAGTACTATGAAGCTGAGGCCACAAAGATTGACTATGCGAACAAGAAGGTCATTATCCGAGATGATTCGGAAGTCAAGAGCGACAGGATGGAGACTGAGGTTGACTTCGATATGCTTGTCGTAGGTGTTGGAGCAGAAAATGCGACATTCGGTATTCCTGGTGTGCGTGAGAATTCGTGCTTCTTGAAAGAGGTCGGCGATGCACAGAAAATCCGGAAGAAAATCATGGATTGTGTCGAAACCGCCATGTTCAAGGGTCAATCAGAGGAAGAAGTCAAACGTCTGCTGCACATGGTCGTCGTTGGTGGTGGCCCTACTGGTGTCGAGTTTGCGGGTGAACTGCAAGACTTCTTCCAAGAGGATCTCCTCAAGTGGATGCCACAAATCAAAGATCACTTCAGAGTGACGCTGGTAGAGGCTCTGCCAAACGTCTTGCCCATGTTTTCTAAGCAACTGATTGATTACACCGAATCGTCTTTCAAGGAGGAACACATTGACATACGAACCAAGACCATGGTCAAGAACGTAACAGATACAACAATCGAGGCCGCTATCACTTTACCCGATGGATCGAAGAAAACCGAGATCATTCCCTATGGTTTGCTTGTATGGGCTACGGGCAATGCCGTTCGACCCATCGTCAAAGACCTCATGGGTCAGATACCAGCACAGAAAGATGAGCGTAGAGGCTTGAAAGTCAACGAGTACCTTGTGGTCAAGGGTACTGAAAACGTTTGGGCTGTTGGTGACTGCGCCATTGCCAATTATGCTCCGACTGCTCAGGTTGCTGCTCAAGAGGGCGCCTTCCTTGCACGTCTTTTCAACACAATGGCGAAGACGGATGAGATCGAGAAAGATCTTGTCGACCTATCCGATCGCCAAGCAACAGCTAAGGCAGACGAGCGAAATGAGATCCTCAATCTGATCACCGAGAGGCAAAAGCAATTGCGAAGGATCAAGCAAGTTGGTCCTTTCCAGTATACTCACCAGGGCTCGCTAGCCTACATCGGCGCGGAGAAGGCTGTTGCTGATGTTAGCTGGTTCAGTGGTAACATTGCTTCTGGTGGTACCATGACTTATCTATTCTGGAAGAGCGCATATTTGAGTATGTGCTTCAGCAGTAAGTCTCTCCTTGTTCTTTGTTCTCCCATTTACTGACGTGATTCAAAGCCCGAAACAGAATCTTGGTTTCCATGGATTGGATCAAATCCCGAGTCTTTGGACGCGATGTCTCTCGAGAGTGAACCATTATCGACACTATTGTACTTGTGTTCTGCTATTGATTCTACCTGCCAATGACCTGCCGGTGGCGTCTGCTTAGCACGACTCGCCGTTTCTCTTCGGGATGGATCATAATTGCGCTCGAGTGTTTAGCGGCTTGAGCATAGCATTGCTTTTGAGCCACGAATGCAAAGACATTCGGGCTTAGGGATTAACCGGAGTCTTGTTCCTTAGCCTTTGTTAACGATATTTACTGTCCGTAGAATGAAAACTACCCTACCCAGAGAGGGAAGGGCGTTTACACGAATCTACAACAAGACGTCTCATGCTAGAGGGCACTCCAGTACTTCGCGCAAGCCACAAGTTTGGCCTCGCTCGAAATCATGAAACTGTTTAAAGTTCATTGTCTGGGCAGTGACCGAGAAGTCATGCAAAAACGTGGTGATCGGCAAACCCTAACTGATTTCTGCAGGCCCACTACACAATTGCTTGTGACCACTTGCACTTGACGTAAAACTCCGAACCACCTGCTCAGATCCTCTGTGGCTTCGAGCTGAAGTCAATGGCGTTCAGTAGTCAAATTTACATGCTGAAGCGCCACTCTAATAAATTCCGTCCCTCGTGTATGGCGCGCTTGAGAAAACGATCTCCTCTCGTGCCGCAAACTTCATGCATTGGCTGTACAGTGGACGGATACTGTCATCTCTTCGCGAAGCATGATAACGATGTTACTGGGGTGTGCACCGTAGCCCATGCATACGCAATAAGCGAGCAGGCCATGCTCGTCATAGCCATCGCGCTTTCCGCTCGTCAATAACATCCGCTATCCACTAGCAGCGATGGAAACGTTGTCAGTTGGACTGTTCCCTGCTTCTTACGACGTAAGTTAGAGTTCTACCCCAGTCACGCCTCTTCAGACTCGCGATACTATGTCAGTCATGCTATGGCGTAGTCCTCAATTCCACTACTGTTATGCTAATGAACGCCCCTCTTCTCCCTACAGTATAGAGGAAGGTTAGACCTCGATGCAACGTGACGGAAGTGACAGCTTGATTTTACGAGCAGCATCGATCATACTTTATTGCCAATGAGGCTTCATACACTATATGTCGCACACCGACACCAATAACTCATTCATGTCCTTTCGCATTTCCTCTGAAGACCACAACCAAGCTATTGATCTCTAGTCCTTCACGCTTCGATGTCGCCTTTTCGGATCTTAGAAAACGATAGATTCAGTCTGGAGGCCTGGCGCTCTCTCTTTCAAGCATATGGAACCACAGTATAGTATTCCTTTCCCTTCGGATGCCAGGAGTACATTCACCTGGTCGACTCCTGACCAGTCGGCGCGCGCGATCGCTACCCCAGACCAACAGTTCCGACTCCTTCATCCACCAGATGCGATCCAAGATCGTAGATCGACATTGAAGCAAAGTTCGGCAGCAGTTCAACAACATGGTCTGGTCAAGTCGACGCACCTACCATCACCACTGTTGTCCCATAATGGTCATCCGCATCCCTGCCAATTCCAGTACGTGCAAATGCCACGTACACCAGTGACACCCTCATACATGCACACCCGCCGACCACAGCTCCCAGTTCCGCCGCGCGTGCTACCTTCTCAATCCAAGGTTCAAGAGCCTTGCTTGGCTTGTAAGCGACCCGGTTGCGCACTGGCTTCACACCGGTATTACTCCAAATACGTCCGAGATCAGAAGGAGCGCGATGGGCAATCGGAACTGACACCCCGCCCAGCTACAGCAATGCTTGCGCGACCACTCACAGCATACGGTGGACCCGTCATGCAGCCTCCATTTGCTCTGGACCTTGAACGTCAGCATCTACTCGCGCTGTGGTCCGAGGAGTGGTCACCTGTGAAACAAGGATACGAGAGACATCTTTTTCCCGCAAAGTTTATCAATCGGGTTCTACCAGTGGCTCAGAACCACATGCCGTTGCTTCAAGCACTACTGGCCTACTCGGGAACAATATGGGCGATTGCAAACAATATGCTCAGCGATGCGATTTCCAGACAACAAGCACTCGCAGTAGAAATGTTGTCCCAAGCATGTCCAACCGAGAGCGAGGCAAGCACGGACCAGGGTGTATTGGCTGCGACCTTGTTGCTCCTCATCTATCTGGCCCAAGGAAACAGTTTTGAGGTGGGGAAGCACGTATCTGGATTGGTGCATCTGACCAGAGTACGAGGTGGTCCACACTATCTTGGATTATCAGGAGTCGTAGCCGAGACACTCATACACGCGGATTACATGCAGGCTATATTTTTCAACCACGAGCCCGTATGGCATTTTCCTCTTCCTCAACTTGAGTTTGACTTTCCAGAGAAGATGGGCCAAGGCTTTCGAAAGGTCATGTCGGTACAAGGACTTGACGCGTCGCTATCGGCGACGGCACAAAGCGTTTGCAAGGTTGCAGACATTTTCAAAGATGCGTCAAGCGGCATCTCCCTTGCCCCAGCGGTCAAGCACGCGTACGGCTACTTGGCGATGATGGCGGAATATCAACTTGCACGATGTAATGCGGCTTACCATGCATCATCCACGCCAAGCGAGTGTATCTGTCTAGCCTTGGTTCTATTCAACCACGTCGTTCTCAATAACGATGGCGCAGTCACCCCAAGCATTATGCAGATAGAACATCGCTTCTGGCAAGCACTTGAGGCCGCAGAATACAAAGGGCTCATGCACCCGAGTATGCCTATTTGTCTTCATATGTGGATAATATTGACAGGCTTAACAGTCGGCACCAAAGTGCCAAGTCGTTATCGCAGCATCGGCGTTGAGAAGCTTCGTGCCACACGGATTACTTCCGGTATAGTTAAGTGGGAACAAGTGAAGGCTAATGTCTTGGATAAATATGTGTGGTTGCCGTATGCACAGGAAGAGGCTTTCCGCGGTATCTGGCTCGAGGTCGAAGGGCTTAAGAGCGACAATGGTAATTCTGGACGTACGGTACCAGAAGGACGGAAGTTAGATGTCTTGCCGCCAGCAGGCTGAAATCTGCACAGATCGGTCTTATCAACCAATTTTTAACAATGCAACAACTGGAAACTCGGAAGACCCTCGGATGCGACAAGGCTTGATTTTTACAGAAACACAGTTAGACCCCATGTGTCCACGATACGGTCCTGAAGGTCACTATCGGACAGCCGTGACATTCTTGATCACAACTTTCCACAAAGGCGTACTGTGGTACGACGGATCTTGCCAGCGTCGTTGTGCTATGAGGTTCGCACACTCCAAGCACGACGACTTCGTTACGATCTGCCTCGCGAACAGAACCTCTGCCACAACGCGGATTGCAGTTTATGTCTTACGACAATTGACGCGAACACTCTCTTTGTAAGGCTAGACGGCAGGCTTCATGGCGCAATTAGGATTCAATCTATGGCCACGAGCTGAACGTATGCCTGGTCGCACGAGCACTGCTGATAAAGTGTTGAGGGCCTTCCAGGCCAGTTCAGACGTTCCTGCCTTCGAGGGTCTTATTCAGACCACAGATTTCAAGACCTCCAAACGGATCCTCACACCTGGCCAGCAGCGCAAGCGATATATGAAAGTGACTACATGGTCGTAGACACCATCCGTATAAGGCAGCCTTCACGATGTGAGCAACAGAACACACCGTTCTACTTAGACTTAGCGACTTTGAAGCAGCTGTTGTGAGGTGTTTGATCAGACAATCCCGAGCAATGCGATTAGTAAGCCCGAACCGACTCTTTGCTCTTCGGGAATAAACATGCAGATCCTGTATCGTTATTGTTTGTTTCAGAATTGAGACAACAGGCTACGCGGCTACAGGCTAGGCTGGGCGCAAAGTCGACATTTGTGATTGGTGAAAAACAACCCGAATCCCGTGACCACAGTGCTAGGGGATCGCTGCAAGCGCTTGGCTGTGCCAAGTCACCAACCCTCGACAAATCATCTTGCAATCGCTGCCGTGATGCTCACAGACTACAGTGTTATCTGCACGAGCCTGTGATATGTAGTATCTCAATGGCGACTAGGCTTCACCTCGAGCCTCAGTGGCTGCCGAGGATACTTCGACCGTCTAGCATTCCATGATTCTCTTGTGTTTCTTATGTTTCGTGCTCTTGTCCCCTCGACTGCGTGCTTCACTTCTCACAACGAGGTGGTAATTTCGAGTTGTATTAAAACTGTACAACAATTTAGGTCAGGCGTTCCTTCTCGATAACAATTTGCACGACATTGGCACAAAGTTGTACGCCTTTTGGAGCAAATCCTCTGAGCAGCAACTACAGCCACGACCCAATAGTTAATAAGTTTAGGCCAATCTTACAACAACATGCCTCAAAATAGAGCTGTGGGCTATCCTACAGTCCAACCTCCAACAGCACAACCATATTTAGGCCTCGCTCCACCGCAACATCCATGGGCTGCTGATCATGCGAGGTTCTCATGGCAGGAGACGCCTATCGATGCAGAAAAACAGCTAGAAGTTGGAAATCTCACTGCTGGTCGGGAGGATAGAAAGTCGAGCGTTCTACCACCTCTGCCAGTACTTCCAGATCATCTTTCGACTACTCAGCAGCTTCCGAACAGAGGTATACCACCGGAAGTCCCAGTATTGCCATCACAGCGGAGCGGTCAGTTTCAGCAGTCTCAGCAAGTAGGTCAGCAAACATTCCAGCAACAGACAGTAGGCCTGGAACAGCAGACCCGACAATTTAGACCTGATATTCCCAGAAACCTTCAGCAAGTCACAAGTATACAAGGCCCAACCCCATCCTACGAAGCATCACAAGCTGCCTATCAACAGGCACCGATATCTCACGCAAGTATGCAAGAGCAGGCGGTGTATCATGGTCCGTACCATGCCGATCAGGCACAGCTCTCCGCTCATGATTTACCTATGCATCAAGAACACCAAATTTCTCAATCGCACACACAGCAGAATTCACAAGAAGAAAAACCACTGCATTCAGAGACGTCCCAACCCAAACCAGTACATGTAGGACCAGACGCAAACCCTCTGTCTCCACAAACACCACACTCTGCCATTTCTCCCTCAACAACCACCACAACCAATATGCGCACCCTCCCACCTCTATCCACGACACCTTTTCCTCAGCCAGCCGCCTACAACAACGCCTACACCCAGCCATCCCACCAATCCCTCCAAGGCGGCACCTGGCACCACAGCCTCGGCTCCTGCGCCGACCCAACAACCTGCCTAGCCTCGCTCTTCTGCCCCTGCATCACCTACGGCCGCACCCAACACCGTCTGGCCCTAAAATCTGCCAAGAAGGACCCCACGAATATGCTCGGCTACTCCTCTTTCAACGGATCTTGCGTTGCATGGTCACTGCTGTGCGGTATAAACATCGCGTTGACAGCGATACAGCACACGAGAATACGGAAGGTGTATGCGATGGATGCGGGGTCGGGGAACGTGGCGAGTGATTGTGTCAAGAGCGCGTGTTGCTGTTTTTGTGTGGTTGCGCAGGATGAGAAGGAGATGAGGGTGAGGGAGAGGGCGGTTGAAAAGGTTGTGAGTGAGGGTTATCAGAGTCCGGGCGGGATGACATTTGTTTCGCCGACTTAGGCTGAGAGGGAAATGATGGGGGTTGAGCTGCATTTTGTAGGATTGAAATAAACTCAAAACGAGATTGTAGATACACATCTGAATCAGCGAGCATATATGATTACGACAACGACATTACGATATGTGTCTTATACATATCAAATTAGTTCTAAACGTGTTCAAGATTGTGCTTTGTAAACCCAAAGTGTTGCTTCCAGGGTTTGTCGTTTTGTTCCCTATGAGTACGGCCAATACTGCGAATGCTCATTATCCCAGAATCACTTCGAAAATCACCCCTAGCCAGTCAAATCCACAAGACCAGTTTGCACATTTCAACACGAGTATATAAAACTACATTACATCTACTTCCACCAACCAACGTTCCCAACACACTCTCAATACGCCCCCTGCCTCCTCGACCACCCATCCCTCGGCAACACATAACTCAACCTCACCTCCCTCCCTCTCCCACTCATAACCGGCGCACTACTCGTCCTCAACTCAAACCCATCCAACTTGACCCGAACACCACTATCGTCGTCCTCTAGATTCCAAAGACTAACACCAACATAATTCAAACCATGATAATTCAAGACCCCCTCAGGCACAGGAAACACCGTCTGCGGGCCAATATGGTTGACGTATTTCCCAAACTGGAAGCCGTTGATGTACAGTTGGGCGCGGAAGGCGGTTGGTCTGCTACCATTGGAGGTGGTGGTGCTACTGTTAGTAAAGACAAAAGCCAGCGGGATATCGTACTCTGGAGTTTGCAGGTCAAGAGGGAAAGTCGTGGCGTAGAAGCGGAGGCCTGGGCCGGAGAAGCCGGCGAGAGGAGAGTCGTTTTGAGACGGGAAGACTGAGGTGTTGGTTAGAGGGGCCGAGGGGAGGTGGTAGCCTTGGCGTTCGAAGAACATTCCTCCTTCGTTGAGGGGGCCGCGGGTTTTGTCGATGTAGTGTTCGCCGTTGAGGTTGCCGGTTAGTTTCCATATGATTGGGATGGAGGCGGTGGTGGAGGTGGTGAGGTTGTAGGAGAGTAGGCCTCGTGGTTCGCGCATGGTGTCGTTGCCTGGGTTGAAGTTTTCTGTTAGGCCGAGGTGGTCGATAAAGATCGTCACGATGTAGTTTGTGCTTGGTGTGAGGCTGGATAGTGGTATGGTAACGTTGTGGTTTTGTGAGGTTGAGATTCCGGGATACTGGAGGATGTTGGTCGAGTTTAGCCATACACTATAGCCATATGCATAGCCGCCTTGTGTCAAAAGAGAGAGATTCAGTGAGGTCGAGCCAGCTGGAGTGCTAAAATGACCTCGATATAGTAGGGAACCACTGTGGTATCCATAATCACTGGCGTAAAGTACCTGTGGAGTTGTTGGTCGGAATTGGTTGACTGTGCTTGTTTTATTCGCAATAGTCCACAGCTCATCTGAGTATGTCGATTCGATTTCCGGTAGAGAGTTCATAGAAGCCCATGTCAACTTAGACCAAGTCGCTTTCGACAGTATCGGAATATTGAGTTGGGGCTTGATATATACGAGTGTGGCAGGCGAGGTCCCAACGTCTTTGCCGTTGAAATAGATCTTATTGAAGCTGGGTGAACCAGCCACGCTGATAGTAGTAGTTGTGTTAATATCACCAGTCAAGTATAGATTCCCACCTTCGAGTCGAGCTGTACGCATAAGATAGCCGCCATTGATGATCACGTTCGTCTTGGTTGGTAAGGAATAATTTGATACAGGCGCACTGGCTGGCAGTTCAAGCACCCACCAATTGTAAGCATCGTTGCGCCAAAGAAGATGAATAGTCAAGTCCCCGCACTGAACTACACCAGCATCGGGTGTAACTTGCCACTGAACAACATCATATTGATCCTGTGTTGCGATAGTTACTGCTGAGGGATGCCCTGACCGAAGCTTGCATTGACTGGCAGTAACAGCGAATTCATGAGTCTCGTTTTCTCCTCCATACAGCACTAACACTGTCTCTTTGCTGTATTGCTGCCAAGTGAATACTTCTGCGGATGAGTAGAGTAGTTTCTTGTTACCAAGCGAACAGTCGACTACGTGTATCTTAGAATCTCTGCCATTCAGGGTCAGATGATCCGACAAGGTCTTCAACTGTGGGATAGTGATATTGCCAGCACTAGAGGGTACACTCAAAGCATATGGAGTTGAGGTCATTGAGTTGTAGGCAGCATGTCGAACAACATAAATATCAGCATCAGTTCCATTCCCGATCAGTGGTGTTACAGCAATATCGGATGTGCTAGCGAAAGAGCCGTTGGTGTAGTTCATCGGAATCGAGGTAACGTATGCAGGGGTAACCTTCAGGAAATTTGCTATAAGTTTCGCTTCGGAGTACTTTGCGCGAAGAACGGCACGATCCTCTGATATAGGCGCACCGTAGTCATATGATGTATATCCTAGAGGATGTCCTAAATTACCCCAATTGGTTCCGCCCTATTAAATTGTTGGTTTGAAAACTTCAACTTCACAGCATACAAATGGGCAATGCTGAGGACTTCTCAGTGGTGGGGAAGGCCATGAACGTACGTAAGTCATATACAGATTGAGCATTGTAACTCTGAAGCTGATATCGTTCTTGTAGAAGATTCGCTCGAACTGCTCGTTGGTAAGGGTCGCACAGTTGTCGAAGCCGTACCCTCCCCACGGATCAAAGGAACCTCCCTGAAATTCAATTATCGAGTAGGGAGTGCTGGGACTTTGTTGCTCGTGTAAAGTCCAAAAGTTCGTGGGTAGCCGGTTGTCGGTCCAGTTGTATGGCTGTTCACCTAGAGGACGTCAGCGAGGTCAATAGATGCAGGGATGACGTTCTTACAGTTGAAACCTAGAGGATAGCTTTTATCGAGAGGTCAGTATACACAAACAATGACGAAAACAGCAGCACAAAGTTCTCGGGAGTACACCCTTCACATACCTATCGTGTCCGTAGACGTCGACGTGTGTGGTCACAATGGCACTGTCCGGTGAGAAGATCCCCTTGGGGCTAGCATCATTGCTGATAGTGGGAACAACTATGCCAGCAGCACGAATCTGATCGATCACATACTGAAAGTAGTCACTGTTGGGGAATGTTATGTTGCCTGCTGGGTTCGTATACTCGTTCTCTGGCTGTACCAAGATAACAGGGCCACCTTCAGTGATCTGAGCCTTCGCTATAAGCTCCCCAACTCGTTTCATATAGAGGTCGGTCGCCTCCAGAAAGCCAGTCGCGTTCGTCCTGAAAGTACCATCAACATGGGATAACCACCCAGGAAATCCTCCACCTGCGACCTCAGCATTGATATAGCTTCCTGGCCTAGCCAATAGGTAGATTCCAGCCTCGCTGGCTGCTTCGAAGAAAGGTTCCAAGGCGAACACGCCGTCAGCGCGGAAAACACCTGGTTCTCCCTCAAGTAGTGCCCAGTTGACATAAAAGGAAACGCCATTGTAGCCCAGCGCTTTGACCTTCTGGAGGACGTCCAGCCAAAGATCAGGTGATGGTAACCTGAAAGGGTGGAACTCGCCAAAGAAAAAGACGATTCGTTCCCCACGAACAAGAAACGAGTACTCGTCCCAGGTAACCTTGGCGTTTTAGTACAGCTTTCCGGGTGCGCAAGCTTGACATACGATATCTTGAAGTCCTTGAGACTCGGTGGTGACCGAAGCTCGCTGACCTAATATTACTGGATTAGAGATCGCAGGCTGCAGCAACGGAGAGGACCACAACAGCAAGGGCAGGAGGTTCTTGAGCCACATCCTTTTGAGACTCTCAACAACGTAAACAACGTGAGATCGTGCTTGGGCGTACCTCAGAGTGTGAAAGGAAGCGTTGAGTCTCAGTCTTAAGGCATGGTAGCACAAATTCCCGGGAATTTCCCACACTCAAATAATGATTATACCTCAATTCAACACTTGCTTGAACGAAGAAGCTCTTCCTTAGCTTTTTTTAGCAAGCTTGGCTGGATCAGGAACACATCTTGTCCCTCCAGAGGGTGCTGCTCCTTGACTGATGATATGAATGATCGACAGGCGTTTTGCGGAGATTTGACCAATCCGGGGTTATGACGACGTCATAGCACTTCACTTCGGCACTGTAAAGGCCGAGCGACCTATGATTGGGAAGCAGAATATTTTCGGAGCAGTGCTCTATACGGTAGATTGCAGAACTTTCCGCTCTTCTTGGTGTAGTTTTCAGAAGCTTGGGAGGCCGCCTTGCCGACCATCGCGTGTCTAGCTAGCTCATCTGCTTCATCCATGATCAAAAGTATGATTCGAGGGCTGAGGGCCACTCCATCGAGATATTAGTGCAGTCCCAGAAGAGACTTTGAGTTCTCATAGACGATATACGATATGCTCACAGCTGGCGCGACCTTGAGCAAATTGGGAGTAACACCTTTGAAGAGTCCCTTCCATCCTTCGTTCTGAATAGTTTTCCTTGTAACATCGGCGATTCCAGTGTACGTCGGTCTGTGCAGGACCGTTCCTTGTGCTTGTAAACGTGTGCGCAGTACGTTGATGGGATAGACCACCGTCGCACTGATGGCTCCTGACGAGGCTCCAATAGCTCCAGTGATGAAGTTTCCCATTTCCACATCCTCTTCGTGAACACCGAGCGCCTTCGCTTTGCGTGTCAAAACAAACCTTTTACAACCCTCAAAAATAAAGAGATCAATAGCTGAGTAGGGAAACATGCCTGCTAGGCCCATGGCCAACCCACGATAATATGGACGTAACCTGCCTTCATGCCACATGTTCTTGGCTGTTTGGGCAATCAACTTGTTGCCATGTAATCCTCCTTCTACAGTTTCGCACTGCATCCGGCTTTTCGAAACCGTTAGATAGATTTAGAGAAGGGGCAGATCAAACTTACAATTTGAGCGTGTCTAGTGGGTATACCACACATTGAGAGATAACACCTCCAAAACCACCAGCCAGAAATTGCGACGTAGGATGCAGATGTTTTGGGTCACTGCCCTCCAGGCTTGCAAGTGTGCGCTTGGCAGCTTCGTAGGCTCCGAATTTGATAGCAGACTCGGGCATAACCTTGACGACATTGAGGCCGTTACCTGCGAATAGACTACGAATGCCACCAGCTCTCCAAAGCTCTTTGCAAGCATCGACTAGGTTTTTGCTGAAGTGTTTCAGCGCACTTACCGGCGCGCCCTCTTTTATGGCCTTGTCTAGTGTGTCCCTCGGACTGACTTGTGCAATTAGGTAGACCTTTAATCGATCTAATGGGGCCGTGGCCGTCCGCGATACTATGCCAGCCGCACCGCCAGCAACGAAATAGCCTGGTACAGGAAGAAAATCGGTTAGCTCAAGGTGGTCTTCGTCATCATCCAACCCCGAGTCTTCGGGTTCATCTCAAAACCAAAGAATTAGTGTTTGTTGAAGCAAGGAAATTGGGCCAGACAAGTAGAAGTGTCTATTGAGGACATTGGTCACGGCCAGTCATACTATTGCTTCTGGAGGGGAAGGGTGCCAGAAACGAGGAATCACATTACTTACCTAAACCTTGCATAGTATCGTTGACATTTACATCGCCTTCTTGGTTGACATTAGCTGTAGCACTATAGTAGGTCAAAATGGCGCGAAGGTTGGGTGCTCCGTGTGGTACGAAGAGTAAAAAGTCTCTGCAATCTATTAATTCCAAAGACAAGATCACACACGGCCTCATTACTAACCTCCATTCTTCAAAGCTGATCCGCCCATCATGGTTCGAATCAATCTCGTCAAAGAACTGATCAATCTTTGAATTGCTGACAACAATTCCGCTCCGAGCAAATGCTTGCCGCAGTTCGTCTTTATCGAGACTACCACTATGATCTCGATCTATGCTGTCAAACAACTGGTATAGCTCGTTCTCGGCGTGCTCAATAAATGTTCTAAATTCGCTGAATTGGATATGTCCATCGCCGGATGTGTCGACGACCTCGAGAATATCGCGCAACAGCGCGTCGGCATTTTTTAGAGGATGGTCGATTTTCTTCAGGCCCTTCTTCAAGCCTTTCACATCGATCGCACCATCTGGTGTGGCATCCAGACTTTTCCACAACTTCGCTATTCGCTCGTCGCGTTCAGCTGCTGTCTCTTCAGGCATACTACCTGGTTTTTGGTTCGGCTAGATGCTATCTAGGTTGAAGCATGATTGTGTTGTCGGCTGCTCGGCTTCGTGGCCAGGACCTGTAGGAAGAAGGGCTGCAGTTGTTGAGTAAGAGAGGGTTTTTTTGTAGGTGTTCACCGCAGCTCAAGATGTTCCTCGTTGGTCTCGCCGTTCAAAGCTTGCGCGCTGGTAATTATTGAACAAGGAGAAGAGCTTGTTTCAGGTGGTTGCAGTCTCTGCGATCAAGCTTCCAGTGGTTGGCCCTGTAGGTGTGACGCAGTTTCTGGTTTGTGGTTTTCGGGAGGTAAATAGTGGGGCTTAGCAGGCTGGCTCCGTCCCAAGAGAGCCTGAAGAGTCCACCACGCTAAACACGTTCACGACCACCGGTTGAGATCTCTTTACAAATGGACCGTAAGGTGCCAAGTGCTTCGTACGAAGCAGACTCGGTGCCAATGTATATTGAAGCCTTGTGTGAGTATGTAAGGCACGATCAACAGCAATGAAGCGTTCGATACTTGTGCTACGTTCAAGATGAGGACGTCTTCACCTCGTACATGGCGACTACAGTACTTGTGATTGCTATATACCAAAAGGACATTTCACGTATCTTGCGACCTTCTCTCTGATTGCGCCTCAGTCACAATGGCAGCGAACTATTGGACTTCTACGCAAAAGCAGAATTGGCTGTTCGAGACTTACGAAATCGCTGACTTACGAGAAGAGATTGGCAGACAACACATGAAAGCGATAGAGCAGTATCCACTTCCAGATAGACGTCTTATGTTTGTGTTCATGAAGGACAGACTTATGCAACTTGGCAAACGTTTGCAATTCCGCCAGCAATGTGTGGCAACAGCTCTGGTCTACTTGCATCGATACTTCCTCTTTAATGCCATGCAAAACGTCAGTATCTATCTCTTGACGGCGACCGCGTTCTATCTAGCTTCAAAAACCGAAGAGTGCCCTCATCACATCCGACTTGTGGTATCTGAAGCACGGCAATTGTGGCCGGAGTACATTCCCAATGATCCATCACGACTAGGCGAGATGGAATTCTGTTTGATCTCCGAAATGCATTCGCAACTAATTGTATGGCATCCATATCGCTCCCTTACAACTCTGAAGGAGAACCAAAAATTGGCCTTGACGAACGAGGAACTCAGTCTCGCTTGGTCGATCATCAACGACAGCTTCATGACGGATCTGCCACTCATACATCCACCATACCTGATCGCGATTACGGCCATGTTCTTGGCTGTCATCTTTGTCCCTAGTAAATCGTCCTTGGATCTCAAATCTCCAGTAATAGACTACCAATCAATGCTAGATGCCACCCGAATGAGCTCACTTGGTGGTAGAGTCGGCGTTTCTAATTCAATCGCGAGCGCACTCAATGGTTCAACTATGTTACATCCTTCGCATGATGTGTCAAAACAGCTTTCTCAGCAACAAAATAATGCCTCAATCAAGGCAAGAACACTTGTAGCAGCGGCGAACTCGGAGAAGATGCAGCACATCATCGAATTCCTCGTTGAATCAGATATTGACGTTAAGGCCATGATTGATGCGACGCAAGACATCATAAGTCTATACGAGATGTGGGAGCAATACAACGAGAAGACGGTCAAAGAGGCGGTCGGAAGATGTATACGCGGTCAGCATCTTGATACTTGATCATCTGGTCTTAGTCGTTGTACAGGAGATGGATCAAAGCGTCTGCACTGCAACCGCAAGGGCGATCTCTAATACCAACAGAATCGCTGCACGATTTTGATGCAGGGAGTTTGTCAGCATTATACAAAGGCACTCATCGTGTTCAGATTCAGTGTTACGTGCAGACAGGACTTCAAGCCTTCACAGCAGCGGCTGCTTGACCTGCCACCCCTAGCTTCTTTCTCAATTGTACAACCTCGCCTTTGTTTGCTAGTGGTGCAGAATTCCAGTTCGTGGTTGTGGGCAATGCTTGCGGTTCTAGCAGATATATGGCATCTGCCGCATATTGCCGTATCTTTGGCCATTTATGTAGAAGTTTACGTGACAGAATGTCAAGAGCTTCGTTCTTGAAGCACTGTATAAGCGCGAGGTGAGACACCAGACGTATCAAAGATTGTATACGCGGTATGTCTGCAATCGAGGTCTGCAACCGGCTAACAAGGCTCATTATCCTTGACTTCTGATCAATAACCTGGGCTTCAGTTTCTATAGGAAATTGTTCTAAAAGCAGGCAGAGTGTGTCAAGCAAAGGCACGACTTCTCGGTCTTCCCGTCCACTGGCTGCGGTAAGTTCGGACAAGAGCACATCCATGATATGCTGCAAATGCTCCAGGCGGGCATCGGCAGTCATGCTGACTAGATTAGACACTAAGGCGCTGCTTGCGTTCTGACTCACATCGTCAGCAGTGCCGATCGATGACACGAAGCCTGTGAGCAAATCGTCGTGAAGCCATCGAACACTAAAGAGTTTCGCGATCTCAGAGAAGTATGCGAACGATGAGACATCTGCCTGGTGCGCAAATCTTTTACTAGCGAAATCTAGATCAGCATCTGTCCAAATTACTTGCAAGCAATTCCAGGCTGCAAATCGTACTTTAGCCAGCCTTTCAGCTGCAAGACGGGCAATCACTCTGATAAAGCGTCTCATGCTGTCACTCTTCAGATGGACGGAGTTGATGCTCTGCACAGCCTCGATGCTGGACAGCCTCAATAGTGACCCAATATCACCTCGCTGATCATTGGTGTAATCGGACAGGCCATGGAAGATCGCACTATTCAAAGTGTGCATGCATCTCGCTTCAATGCCAATATTCGACCGCTGTATGGTTGCTATTGCTTGCATCGCATTCACCCTTGTTTCAATTTGAAGCTCGGAGACCACAATTCCGTTCAAGAATTTAGTGATGGAAAACGAATGGTGGGAGAGCTTGGAGTCAACTACAATCAATGGGAATATCTTCCCCATGGTAGCAATACGTCCATGGCTAGTGAATACACTCTTTTGTCCTTGGATCCCTGACGGTAGCCAAAGATCTAGGAGGCGACCTTTTGTGTCCAATGAAACCAAGGAGAATACCGCCTGATTGGCATCAGCTGCAGCTGCAGCCACTGAGTCATCTTCTGAAGCGATTGTGCACCGATCTAGTATTGCAAAGACTGGTGAAGATTGCACTGGTTGTAGTAAGGCTCGGTCTGCCAGACCGCTCCTTGCCCAAGCTGCTATTACACGTGCTGTGGCTTCGAATATGTGGACAAGATCAGCAGTTGTTCTACCAGTCAGACTCCCTGTTATGTGCTCAAGCGAATCGAGAGTCCTCCGAAGGATTTGTTGTACCTCAGTTGCGATATCTTCACCTGGTTTCCAGATCTCGAAGAGACTCGACAAGGTCAGCAACAGCCCATGTCGAGCTGCAGCATTGACTCCCAAGTTGCTAGGTTTTAGATCTGCTATTTGTGAGGTGAGCTGTTCTGCAAACTTCGTTTTGTGTTCAGTTTTGGCTGTCAAAAAAAGACTACCGATAGTGCCTGCAGCCTGACGACGTGAATCAGCATCAACAGCGCGGCAACCCCTCCAATCCAGCAATGCATACAACAAGCTTATATGATAGGTTTCATCCAAGCACGCAACACGTTGAGCAACTGCCGAGATTGCTCTTGCTCGCCTTGCAACAGAGTGGTAGTCAACTTCTTGTACCACCGGAATACCTGCTTTGATAGTGTCAGGATGACGTCCAATAAGCTCTTGGAGCGCGGCAGAAGCACCGCGACGAATGTTGCCTGAAGGATCTAGACACGAGGCAAGAACCAACTCAACGGCGACGATCTGCAGGGTAGATATTCTGTTCGCCTTGCCATATGGTCGCGATGCAAGGAAACTGGTGGACAAAATTGTTGTGGCCATCTCTCGTGTTGAGTATTTCCTGGCCAATGACCAGATACCGAAGCATGCGGCATCGCGTACCCCTACTCCAAGCGATGTACCAACACTGGACCGTTGCTCGAAGGTGAGCCCCATCAGCAATGCCTCGAGGATACTGGTCAATTGCTCTACGGGTGGTGAACGCCGGAAGAGCAAGTGACCCAAGGTCAACATGGCTCCATGCCATTTCAGCGGGTTCACCGCATTGACGTTTTTCTTGAAGAGTGTTGGATCAACGTCAAACATATCAGTCGCAGCAGCAAGCGACCCTGTGCGAAGGTCTTCCAGCAGCATGTTTTCGTTCAAACAATCTAAGATAGCTTCAATGATATCGCTGGCCAAAGTGTTTTCCAACTTCAGTACGATCAAGCTTAAAGATTTACTTGCCACTTGTCTAACGGGGGTGTCGGTGTCTGCCAACCACTCCAATAGGATTTGGATAGTGTCTTCGAGATTTCCGTCAAGGAGCTGTGATGCAGTAGGTTGTCCACTGTCGCTTAGCACAACTGCATGCAATATGGAGGCACGTAGCATCTTGACGATTAGTTTTCTCGAAGGAGCCGATTGCCTCACAGAAAGCGCCGATGAGCTAGACCCATTAGCAAACCACTTACAAGTGTTGAAACTCTGTTCGAGGAAGGGCAAAGCTTCACTGCTAGATGCCGAATTTATGAGACCATAAAGTAAAGTCAGCAGGCCGACACACCGATATTGCTCAATCGGAGCCGCTCCATCCTCGAGAAATAACCCGTTGGTACACCACTGTACAGCAGCATCGGGTAGACTCAGTTTTTGCATATCCTTTCTCAAAGCGAGCCGAACGATCAGCAAGCTAGCAGCTTCGCGGTCTTTACCTGGAACACACAGATATCTTAGAGCTATGTTTAGCAAGGCTAGTCCTACATGAGGCAGTTTTAAATCCTGAAAACGGGTTGGGATGCTTATATCACTTGTCCGGGAGCCAGATATTGTGGACAGCTCGAAGGGAGCCAGCATTAGATGGGAGAGCCAAAGGAAGAGAATGTATCGCTCCTCCCACGACATTCCAGCATTGAGGTTGTTTTGAGGCTGATCCCATGCACTGAAGCACTCAAGCAATGGTTCGATATATTTGGGTTCATTGTTTAGCAGACGAACGATGACCTTGTAACCACGAACTTTGCAAAGGGTGTATAGGATTCGACAAATCGCCCGAGGCACCGGTTCTGTCTTGTCAGATTCACTAGTGACGTTTTGATAGTAGACGTCCGGTTTGCGTGTGCAGGCAAGGAAAGACTCAGCAAGTGAATGCACTATGCCTCCCAAAACTGGGTCTAATAGTTGGGGCCATTCCTGGAACGAATTAAGCTTCGCTTAAAGTCAGTACACTCAACTTACTCTTCTTCGACTGGAGGCTCACAAGGCGTAATAGTTCGTTCGTCTTATGATGTAGCACTAGTCGTCGTGTGTTGCCTTTCAATGATTTTAAGAGCAGTGGAAGTTTAGCTCGAAATTCTCCTAGAAGCTCAGCGGAAGCTTTATAAAGCTTAACATCGGCATCCTCTGCAGCCGCGTCCATCGGGCTCGCGTCTTAATACATGAGGTGTTGGTACATAAAAAATCTGAAGCTGTACCTGCTGGTAAGAAGGTGAAGGTTGCTCGTCCGGTCGTGCCTGCTCGCGCTTGGACACGTACTTTTAACGCTAAACTCGATCTGGTCGTGGTTTCTTTGCTCACGCGTTAACCCCGAATGTGTTGCGATGCTAGTAGTTGCTCGAGAGTACACCTCATCATCGTATCTTCACTGAACAGAGGTCAAGGACATCGCAATTATTGATCTCGCACTACTTCCTGTCCGCCTTGAGATCTGATATCCTGTTTGACGCACTAAGTAGTCAATCAGGACGTGCATGAATCGCGTCACATCTGAAACAGGCGACATAGCAGGCGGCCGTCATCCGTTGTCGAGGCTCTCTGTTCCTCGAATCATTACATTGACCATGATTCGCAACTTATGCCTCCTAAAAGTGTCTCTAGGTCCTAGATTCAGACGTCGTCTACCATCATCACGGTTCCTTCAGCTGACCATTTCCTTTCCAGTGTACCATCTTCCCATTGATTCTCACCATCTTTTATGCTGTTGATCGACTCACCCCTCCCGACTCAGAGACGCGTTCCGCAGTTTGCGATATGAGCATCTTCACGAGAATTATACAACGTGCCTTAGGCAGTGTGGCTCCTTCACCCACTGATGCTGAATCGCGTGAAGTGATATCCAGAAAGAGAAAGCGTGACACTAGTAATGACAATGAAGATACGGGACCGATCTTAAAATATGGCGATGGTGAAGCACCGGTTGTCGACAGTGATGACAACATCACAAAGCGCCTGCGCACTGGCAGGAATCTGTTTGCGCCCATAGTGCACGGAAAGATATATGAAAGCACTTCTATATCAGGACCTTCTGGCATGCACGATTGCCACCACGCAAACATCGCTCCGGAGGCTGATTGCATCCTTATGCCGCCTCCTCTAAATACTGCATCCTCGAGAAGGATGCCGGCCTACCACTTCCAGACGACTCAAGAAAGTGCTTCTGCTGATTTTGATGCATCCTCTCAATTTTCGGCGGGTACAACGACAAACCTGCAGAAGACGTCGGCCGATATATTGGAAGAAGATGATATGGAAAGAGCGAGGAGACATGCTGCAGCCACCAATCTGCCCTTAAACTCAGGTGTGTGGGAGCGAGGTGAAGAAGAACTATTTTTCCACCTATCATACCGAGGCTTCGAACCACTGCTCCCGAAGAACTGGATGACCGATTTCCGAACGCTACCACTCACTCTCTATTCACCCGATACCGAAGATGCGTCCGAACCACTAATCAAGGCTCGTAAGCCACATGGTGAATTTCGAGCTATCAGAGAGCTACGAGACTTGCTAGATCTGGGAAAGGACGTACGTGACAAGGTTCTCATAAGCCCGGGCGTCAAGGTGGAAACTATTGTCGAAAGAGCGACTAAGAGGTACATTGCTTGGGCACTGGCCGATGCCGGTATCAAGTTGTCTATACCTGCCTCGCGGCGCGGCCCTCTACCAATACACGTCATAGTCAAGCTCAAATCCAATCAGACCACTACGAGCTGCCTATTGGAGCTGAAAGAGAAACTCCACGCGTTGAGGACACGACATTATCGTGTGCGCAATATTCATGAGAGTATAGAACGAGACACCAGCGACCTCATGACACCCGAGAGTGGGAGTCCAACGAAGGTAGCCGAAACCTCCAAGGATGACATACCTGTGCTGTATGGCATTCTTATCTGCAAGAGCATCTTAGCGATCTTCACACTGAATAGTAGGACCCCACCAATGAAAAACACCGCGTTTCCAGCTTGGGGCCGCAACCATTACAGGCCATCTCCAGCAATCACGGAATCCACTACAGCTACAAAGCTTGATACACAACACTTGCCAAGCATGGAAGTGGATGAAGAGAATGAAGATGATTCTACCTCAGATCCAAGGTTTATAGCCGACTTCGATTTCAGTGATTCGACTAAAGATGTATGGAATGCCTTGGTCATAGCTATCGTCGCTATGCAGATACGGAAAGATATGCTTCTCCCTGAGGGGACTGGAGGTGTTGATGAGTCGATCGAGGACATTCGAGCAGGCATCGAAGACAACTCGATCATGGACGAGGATGAACGTCTTGATGCGTGAGCAAATCAGCCACTGAATAAAGACCTACTCATTGTGTGTATAGAAGAAGTGTCTAGGAATATCGTCGTGCCTACGTATCTCGTGAACCAGTGCCTCAGCTGGTAAATTTTCGAATGGGAGCTCTGTATTGCACGAAGTTCTGAACATGGACCTCAATACTCCCGCGCTGCATTAGTGCGGGAGTACTAGCCCCTGCTGTCTCGTACCCTAGTCCATTTCCACCACCGGGCTCGGCGTGTCGACCCACATGCAAGGGTAGAGCGGACGTGGTGTGATGTTCTGTCGTTTCGACTGAATCCTCATATGCCACCGCCCATATTTGATTCCGCGGGCCGCTACTGCTTCACTAGCAGTGGAACTGAGCTTCCTTGAGACCCGATACAGCATAAATTGTTGAATGGCTGGCTGTGGTGTCTGTCAAGCTACAGCTACTGCAACCATGTGTATCCCAGTATACCATTGGAGAATTCTGTCAAAGCGTCGGACATCTTGTGTGGAACGTTGCAAGGCGTCCCGACCCATTTATTATCTGGGCTCGTTCCTCGCATTGCAAGCGTGCCATTGAGGAGCAATAGACACATAGACAATCGTCGCTGTGGATCGGCATCTCTTCTATGCCGGCATGGCATCGTGCTTGGTATCTTTGCTTCATCTACAAACCGGCCTATGGCGGCAACCTCCATCAAAGCCGTAAGAGCAAATGGGATTGGATTGCGTGTTGCAGAATCCTTGCTTCACCTCAATGTTCCGCTTCAATTTCTCACATACAAACGATCCTTTCTGTCACTCCGCGATAAAGTGCGTAACACAGGCACAACCCAACAGAAGTGCGCTATCAATGTTGTGCTATACTTGCACAGCATGAGTTGTCCCTACGTTCCGAGGTACATTGTCACAACCTCTATAGCACACCGGGAGCTCAATGACAAAAGTGTGGCGAGCCTTTAATTGGGGGAGCAGGTTGCACGACACGGGTGTAGGTCTACCGTGACATGCATCGTCTTGAAATCAGCTGATGCTGAATAGATCTTCTGGCTATGGTTACTTCATCTTCGAAAGAATCTGTCACTAAAGATATGGTTGTCCTGCTCGAACGATATCTCTATGTGCACAACAGTATCCCACAACATGGAAGTTCTTCGGCTCGTAGGTCCTGTCGACATTATCAGCAACAACTGAAAGTCTACATTAGTAACCTTGATCGAACAAAACGCAAATTGTCGCGGCAAAAAATGCCGCCGGTTTTCCAAATGAGTGAGACACTTTTGAGCAACTTGTTCTGTTAGAAACTGTGAAGTGAAGATAATGAGTTCGATTACTATTGTCATTCATCGTAAATGTGGTGCTTAGACCAGTGCTCATGGCTCAACAGGCCGGGTATGCACACGCACGTTTTCCAGTAACCACAGATCTAAAACAGCAGCAAATCGCCCACTTTGACCCAAACCAATATTGTTTCTTGTCTCTCTTGCATATAGAACCACGACAAAGCCCCGAAAGTAGCCTGAAAGTCTTGCAGCTTGACTTAACATTGCCAGCATTAACTAAGTATTAATGTTTTCGTAGTGGAGAAGATTTATGCAATATTGATTTGTATCGTTTCCGGAAAAAGCACTATGAAACACCGTGCCAAAGAGGAATAGCCAAAACGCTCGAAAAAAGATAAGTCGTTAAGGATGTGTCGTAAGATAAACCATGGAAAGCAAACACAAACACTGTCCGTGCTATGTAACGACGACAGCAGGTCCAGGTCGAGAATCTGTTATTGGTGCAGTCTGAGGTGGTTCGAGGATGGTTTCTTTTAGACACCGTTCGCATATGTCATGTTCGCAGTTTGGGCAGGCTGAATCACCGATTCTGAACTCCGTCTTGCATTCGTGGCAGGCTCCTGTATCGACGGGCGCTTTGGCTTGTGCCGACACATGGGCCTTCTTGGCTTTCTTTGCCTTCTCGGTTGGTGTTTTCCTCGGAGGGTATCTTATACAGGTGTTGCATCGAATATGACCACACTGCGAGCAAGTTTTGTCTCTGCCGAAGGTTTTGTTACATTCATGACAGGTATATCGGACTCTCATCCTCGGCTTTTTCTCAACCCTTTCATTTGCGAGCTTTGAAGGCTGAGGCCATTCATCATCGCTCAAAGTCATGTTGTATCTTGCAAATACAGCCCGTGCTCGGTCGAATCTCCCGTCTTCGATAGACTCCTTCCTGTCAGTTGAAGTTGGTAGAACCGTTGTCGGAGTCTGCCTGCTGACTATATTAGCTGAAGGTGCCGGTCGTAAGTGCGAAACATACATTTCCTCAAAGTCTTCAGCGTTGTCAGGCTCGATAACAGGTTCTGATGGGACTAGTCCAGCCCGAGACTCTAATGCTGCTGGAGTCATATCATGATGGGAGTCGGGTTCCAATCTTGGGGTCGTTTCGATACCACTCGCGGAGGGTATCATGCTAGCAATAGCTGGTGGATTTTTTTGTGGTGCTTCAGGAAACGTTCTGGTTGGAGTGGTGGTTGATGGTTGGTCGACATCAGACTTCGTTTTCATGGATGTTTTCAATCTAAACCACAGCTTCTTAATCCCCTTCTTCTGCTTGTCTGTATTGATGCCGGCCGGATTATCCATAGCAAGATCAATTGACTCGATGTGTTTTATCTATCGCAATTGTGCAACAGTGTGTAAGATATTGACCAGCTTTGGGAACGAATCTCGGATAGATGTCTATCTCGTTCAATGGTTGGGTACCAAAACGATCGTTAGGCGGACCAAACGGCTGGGAGACAATCAGAACCCTAGAGCCACGATAAGCCTCGGAACCAGGTTGCGAGATTGGTGCACACGTTTCACGGTCAGGTCTGTCGTAGGTCTTGTAGCGAAGCCGATGTTGAAGTTTCTGTTTGTGCAAGTTCAAACAATGATTATGTCAAGGTATGAGAGTGTGGTTGAGGGGAATAGCTAGGAGCGTGGCAGAGGTCGCAAACGACGCAAAGCTGGAGCCGGCGATCGTGCAAAATCAAGCAGGATCAGCGAACCACAGTAAGCGAATCGGATGCCAGCTTCTGCTGTGTGCTATGCAAAGCGAGACACCACGGTGCAAAGGATACAGGACTAGCAGAAGTTCTGACGATCTTGCCAACGTGTGAAAGATGCACAGCAACGTGGAAGACACCCACAAGCTGGACAAGCTGCAATCGAGATAAGCTGGCCATAATACACTTTACACTAGAGCAGCAATGCTTGTGCGCTTCAAGGTAGTCCGGGGAGCACCCGGGCTGTAGTACGACCAGTGGCAAGACCATTCCGGACTGGACAAATAGTGCTGTAAGGAGTAGCTGGCGCCACCGTGACGGGCTGACCGGAACCAAGAATTGAGGAGCGAAAGCTGCAGAGCCAGCCAGACGGTGCAGCTTAGAATACACGTTTCCAGGTTCACTTTCACCCCTGCACGACCATGTACAGTATGAATACTGTACGAGTACACGTATTCAGACATGCCCGCTGGGAAATTCCGTCAATCGGGATGCAGCTTGGGTTAGCTTAAATGTATGCACTCGTAGTGCCTCCAATCTGTTGACATCTGTCGCATCACAATACGTTTTGAGCAGGCCACAAAAGCAAGCTATCGCGTCTGTGTTTGTGCTTCACATGCACCACCTCGTCTTTGGTGTACAAGTACAAGCAGAAGCATAAATAACATAAGACGGATATTATAGTTTGGCCGTCCAGATGTTCCAGCATGGTCTTTCGGCTATCACTCTTATCCAGAAAGTTGTGTATATCAGTGAAGGTGCCCCCCAGCTGCGACCAGGTACTGATTTTCGAGTCGAGACATGAAATTTAGAAGCCATGGTACTCGTACTGTCGTGGAAGCCAAGCCAGACCACATCGACCCAAAAGCTCGGAATGTGCATCGAATTTGAGTTTGAGAACCGCACATGACGGCATAGAATCCAATTTGCGTACTTACTCCTCTTTTAGTGTGTCGCTAGACCGGGTCCTCCTGATCTTAAAATGCGTGAGCCTTTTCATGACTCAGCTGGGGAAGGCTCTTTCTTAATCCCTTGTCTTTTGCTAGTCATGCATCCGGCATCGTCCAGCGTCTTCAATAGGATAGACACAAGCCAGTAATCTCATTTTACAATGTAATCAAGGAGTCAGATGTGTCGTCTACGCATATGCCCACATGAAGTCGGTCGTGCTCAAAACCAGCTACGACTAGCAGTGTCAGCCGCAGTGACAAGTAGGATAGGGCGTTTAACGGAGGCACAGACGAAAATGTGCACTTAATAGTCGAGAAACAGATCTCGTTCATCGAAGGATTGCAAAGTCGTTGTGCTTGCGTTCCACCTGCCTCCGGATCGTAGCAATGCTACTTGAACTGGCAGGCCAGAAGTAACTCTATCCAGAACGTTCTTTGGTGTGCGTGGAGGAAAAGAATTCAGCTGTATCGACTATTCTCTCCTAGCCAATCTTGTCTCAATCGTTTCTAAATCCTCAGTATTATCGAGCTCGATGACTCTGTTGACCCCGGCTGCTTCTCTCACCTCCTCGACTGCGCCAGCATACGACATGTACTGCTTTGGATTGCAGTTTTCTGGTCGATAGTACAGCAGCACATAAGGCACTGAAAATCCTCCCGAAGGCTGCACGTATCGTGACTGATTAGCTCTGTATATCGTAATCACAAGAAAGCATCGATATGCGGTGCAACCAAGTTGGGCTTGTAGCATGTCTTGCAGGCTTATGCTGCGATGCACTGGAAGATTTCGAGATCATACAACCTCGAAAAGAAAAAGATATAATGCTTGACTCACCATAGTCATTGGATAGCTGAGCAGGACAAACCTCGGCGAGGTTTCAGGCAATGCATCTGCTAGTTCCTGCATATCCGTGTATATCTCTTCTTCGGCAGCTTTGATCTCCTGCGTTTTGATATCGATGCTGTCTGCGATCTGCTGTTAGTATCCAAGGCACGTATGAAATCTGCCACAACCAGGGAGAAATGTTGAAAACGCTGGTTCAAACGCATCCTCGATCTCAATCATCATCCTTGTTTAAACATACATATTTTTGCTTGGGGTGTTTTGGCTCTGGATGTACCCAGTCGAAATTTCAGTAAAGCCTCTCTGGTCTCCTGAGAGAATGTATACATGCTGCCTGACTATCATAGTCAGATTGTTTGTGTTGCGAAGCAAAAGACGTTCCGCATTTACCATCGTCCAAGACTGCTGTGGGAAATGTGAGTGGTCTAGAGGGCACTGCTCGGATTACTTGAGCCGGTGGTATGATGCTCGTTCGGCACAATCTATACAATACTCTCGAACGAGCCTCGAGGAAACAATACACTCTAGCAATTGGGCTTGGGACGAGGGGAGAATAAACCCTTATCGATAAGACCTAGCTGCCGTGGTTTCACATTCAAGGACTCAGGTTTGTAGTCAAGCTCATAGCCTGCGAAAATACAAGATCGCCAAGTTGTTGCGCGTTACCACTGGACAATGAACTTGGACAGAGAGTGCGCTGCATTTTATCCACTGTCTTCCATGAACAAGGCTCTTAAATCTTGACACACATCACAAAAAAGAGATAACGAAGCAGTCTTTCAAGTGGCCAGCTTTAGCTTTGGGGAGCTCAAACTCAAGCTGCTTGCACTCACCCAGGTCATGCCTAAACTCCCCAGTGTGAAGGTTGTGAAGACAGGCAATTCTGCAAAGTCGCTAATTAGCATAAGACCGAACTGGACTGCGATACCCCATTTCTTTGCGACTCAATTGAAGAAGTCGTGACGATTTCCTGCATGCGCTCACAGCTACTTACCTAGCTGCTAAATATCAGTTCTGTCTCACTCTACACCACGATCCAATCTGTGATCTGTATCTTATTGTCCCGTGCACATCGAACATTGATACATTGGAACATACTCTGCGAATATCGACCACATGTTCTCGCGCCTATCTCAACTAGCAAGGCACTTTTCCAACCCGCTCCCTAATTACGCTCATCGATCTGCTGCAGCTGTCAGCTCCTTACCTAAAATGACATCACTGCCGCACCTGGGCAGCAGCACTCGGCAGATACATACAGCGGGTTGTATCATAATAGGCGATGAAGTACTAGGTGGTAAGACAGTTGATACCAATTCGGCGTACTTGGCAAAGTATTGCTTCCAGCTCGGTATTGGACTCAAGCGCATTGAGGTCATTGCCGATGATGAGGACGAGATCATTGAGACAGTGAGGCGCATGTCGAAGAATTACGACTTCGTAGTTACGTCTGGAGGTATAGGTCCTACGCACGATGATATAACATACCAGAGTATAGCGAAGGCTTTCAATCTGCCTCTGAAGCTGCACGAAGCTGCATTTCAAAAGATGAAGAAATTGAGCAAGCCACATAGATCACAACCCAATTTCACATGGGACGAGCCCAGTCCTGCTTTGACCGCTAAACTGCGAATGGTCGAACTGCCTTACGATGAAACAAGGCCGGACGAAGAGCAAGTCATTTTTGTGAAAGATGACCTATGGGTCCCCGTTGCTTGTGTTAATGGCAACGTCCATATACTCCCGGGCATTCCCCGTCTATTTGAGGCCTTGTTGGAAGGTATACGTCCCCTTATCACGCCAAGAGTCGTGGATCCTGAAAAAGGTAACTATCGAATCCTAATCAGTACGCCATTAGCAGAAAGTGCTGTGGCAGGCTATCTGACTGAACTCTCGAAGAAAGTAGCAGATCGGAACGTGAAGGTTGGCAGTTACCCCAGGTTTGGAAAGAGTAGGAACGTGGTTACACTAGTTGGCACGGATCGGGAATACATGGATGGGCTAGTCGGTGAAGTGGAAACAGGTGTGCAAGGTAAAAGGGTAATGGTAGAGGGTGAAGACGACACTGACGACGAGGAAAACCCAAAGAAAGACCCTGACGCATAGATGGTGCAGATACTCCTCTGAAAGTCCATCAGTCGATGTGATACCAAGATGAACAATCGCTGGGTCCGAGTATAGTCTTCTGGATCATCGTTGCTCCAGCTCGGCGCGGATTCACGACTACCTCTACATGATGTGATATCGTCAGACGACTTCGGTCAATAGCGCCGCAAGACTTATGCGGTCACCTCCACGGCTTAATCAACCCTCTCAGGACGCTGTAGTATATTGCTAAGTTGCGCTACAGACGTCTTTCGTGGCTCTGGACCTGTACGTAACTCCGTAAGAGATACGACAAGGGACTGAAACGCTCTATCTCTACGGTGTTGTATACACTTCTGGTGGTGGTAGGGCCTGAATACAAACGCTCAGAGCACTTGAGTGATGCAAGACTTTCACCCAAATACTGAACCATGTAACGGATTGGCAAGTCGCAGACCGCGATTCATCATTGTGACTCGGCTCTCACGGCATGAGCCTCACATTCGCTTCACAGCTTCGCAGAATACATTGAACTGTTCAGGCCATTAGGTGACGTTCAAAACTACCTCCAGTCAACAGCCTGACAACCCGTGGCGTGTAATGCATTCAACGAATGGCCCTCGGTTCACATCCTCTCCTACACATCAACAACAATACAGCCCTGGATGACAGCAAATCTTACTCATCCCAGATGCGCTACAGGACTCATGTTTGGTGCTGGCACGACGAGCAGAGTTACTCTCTACAAACGCGATAACTTCGCTACTACGGAGAAGTTCTTACCTGGCATCATCTTGTCTCAACCTAACCTTGAATGTGTATCTACATCGTGTTTAGATATTGTGGGCACTGCTCGGGGCAAATTCCTTGGGTTGCCAACAGGCCTTCATGCCCGGTGATTCACCCATCAATACAGTATGCCTCAGCACGAGCATCGCTGCAGCTCGGGTAATCGCCTAATAGCAAGCAGCATTTTGTATCAGTGAAGCGATGTTTGTAACACTCTTCCTCATATTAAACGACACGGAAAGCGATCTAATCAAATCCGCATGTACAGTAGCACCAGGATATCTTTGTGCATTGTGAAGGATTAAACTGTTTCCAAGCCAAGCCATACTAGGAGAGGGCTGGTGGCTTCTTGTTACAGACTTTGATATTTCGCGCAAACGGGCCCATCCATAGCGTAAGTGAAACTTCAAGCTGCAAGGTTCAGATGCAGCTAAATATCGGACTAGATTTGGTGGGCTTCTGTCTCATGACCATCGTGTACTTCCAACAATTCGTGTCCAAATGGTATCTTGATTCGATCAACGATCATCGCCATCGAATCATTGTGTCTGGCCAAACTCCGTGCAGAGAGCGTGTGAATGAGTCCCGTTCCAGAGACACGTCGTCTTTTCATTCTTCTCTAAGCCATTGTTGTATACAACCTACTCTAAGTGAAAACATGGGTTCGGAAATGAGAGCACACACCGAGGCACCCTGACAATTGCTCTTACCAGTACCAACAATTGCAAGACTGAGTGCGCGGAACAACTGTTGGAAACCCGAAATGGCTTTGCAGCGTTTATATTATCACACTTGCACCATACAATACGGCTTACGGCTATTCGAGGTGAGCTAAAGAGCAAGTCGTTCCAACTGTACTTTCCACACAGCGGCCCATGGGTCCTTCTCCAGAGCCTATAGTAATGCTCATCCAAATCAACAACAGAATTCTAAGGGAAAGTAAAGTACAGTGGTTCCCGTGATGCCTTTGTTGCCAAATAGCGTGAACTATAGGCGCACAACTATTTGACTCGTTTTCGCAAGTAAAGAGTCGAGCTTCATATATTGCCGTGATGAAGGATGGTAGGCCATGCAAAGTAGTTCTTGCTTCTCAAGCTAGATTTTCTAGGACGCTTCACGAGCAGCAATAATTCAGAAAGGATAGACGGAGTCTCAACGCTAAGCGTGTTGGAGACACCCAGCATCAAGCTCATTGATGCACCCAATCCAGAGTGCTCTAGCGTACCTGGATTCGAAGCGTGGCAAAGGGCAGCTTTCTGTGACTGGCTACGAGCACAATAGACTGCTGCAAGGATTCGTAAATATGGCTACTGTGCAGACTGCTTGATCGCAGCATCTGGATCGATCATGAATCGAAATTTCGAACCGAGCACTTGCGTCATTTCCATGATGGGGCATGTGCAAGAGTTCAATGATTTGAGCTTGCAAGTAGGTAGCGCTACCGTTTGTGGTCGCAAAAGTTCGTGATCTGATTGTAGAATGATCGTCTGAAGATGATCCAGAGACGTTCGAGTCAGGGCAAGAGATCGGCAGGTGTTGTGGCCTGTCACACACAGACTCAAGTGTGTAGAGGAGACGTGGTGCCCCAGCTTCTCCAGATTTTTAGGGTCCAATCACGACTCCATAGGTCTAAGCTCAGGCGCTAAACGACTAGGGCTCGACCTTGCAAACTTCCACGAATTCACACTTGAGTTGCATGGCGCAAAGCAACACGAACCTAGCTGAGCCAAGACGAACAGCGATCGCTTGCCGGTAACCTATTCAGGCATACTGCCACTCGGACTGCGCGCTACCATGTACCCAGCTGGCCGCTGGACGTTTCGTTCTGGTTCTCTTTTCGAGTTCTGTATGCATTCATTTGTGTGGTACTACGTTGTGAGGCCCGATCGCAGGATTCGATAGCATTTTTGTCCATACTGGTACAGCCCATATACTCGCAATATTTACACCAAGCGGATTCTTCGGTACAAACACGTCGCTTGTGTCAGTCATCCTAAACACCGACCAGAAACGCTGCGACTTCTGCAGCGACCAACCAGAGCCGTCATTGATGCTCAGTGACGTTGCCCACTGCATTTTATGCAACTTGAACAGAGTGCCTCGATACAGCACCAGGCTTGCTCGTTCATTCTACGATCGAAATCGCCGTCGCAGTCTTGAGGAACTACTCTGAAGCTTTGAGTGTTACAACCGTCTGTCGACTTCCTAACCGTGCAAAACATTGCTGCTTCCACCATAGAGATATGTTTGCCTTCTAAACGGAAGAAAGTCGTTTCTTGGGTTCCAGGTATACACACTTAACTCGACCACATCTTAGCTGGGTTACCTTCTATATAGAGGCTACCAGCCGAAGGTTACGCTTACTGACGCTCTCTATTGTCAATCTTGGTTTAACCACAATTTAAATTCGACGACTATACAAGCTTGTTCGCTCTTTCCAGCCTGACATACGATACACCAGGAGAAATCCCTTCCCAGTCAAAGAGAGTGTTTATCTGTGCGTTTCTGTTCCACAGGGCCCTGATCAGGTGAATTCTTTGAAGGAGTGTAGACTGAGTTCCCGGCTGCCGAAAATTGAATCGACCTGACCAGGGTATCCGGGTGTCTCGACGTTAGAAGCGCTGAGTTCCGAAGACTAGCAAACATCTACCCATCCCCACTTACCAAACGGACCTTGCTGCTGCTAAACATGGTCGAAAAGACGTCTACAGTGGTAGAGGAAACGCAAAGCTCACCTCGATCGTCTACCTCGCCAAGTGCTAGTAAATCTCAGAGTGGTGAAGTCAACCAAGTTACAGATGGTAAGTTGTCGTAACTTGGGCGTGATGTTTGCTGACAACGACAGTACCGAAGTCGCCCTCGTCGAAGCCTACCTCTGTACCGACCTTTCCTCCACCGAAAACAGACAAGCCGAGGCCTCATGTATGTGTGACATGTACCCGATCATTTGCTAGGCTTGAACACCTCAAACGGCATGAACGGTCACATACGAAAGAGAAGCCGTTCGAGTGCCAATCATGTACAAGGTGTTTTGCAAGAAGAGATTTGTTGCTACGACACCAGCAGAAGTTACATTCCACAACCACTCCGTCATCGAGACCGCGAAATGGACGTCGAGAAAGCGCAGCTGGTGTCAGCGGTGCAAGGGTGCGAAAGAATTCTATGGCCAGTAACGCGAACCAGACAATGAGACCAAGAGCGAATACCTTGAGTCATGTAGATGCCACGACCCTGGGTGTGATGTCTGGTGGTCCACTTCACAGACCCTATGCTCCTCTGCATAGTCATCACAACAGTTTTAGCACAATGTCCGCTATCCCAGGGTTTGGCTACCGAGGCCTAGGTATCGCGAATCCTGCTTCGATGATGGGCTTGCCGCGACTGGACACCAGCTCGATTCCTTCAGGATTGTCAAGCGGCCTGCGAACAGCGCCTCCTTTCGGCGGTTTCCCTACAGATTTCGATTTCGATATGGGCAGCTACGAGGGAGGTGACTCTGATACAGTCAATCCGCATGAACTCCATACCCCGGGTCTTCAAGGTCTTGCTAGTGACGGTCATGCCGGTCTCGGTACCAGCTACTATCCTGGTTTGCTCAATTCGCAAGTCATAGCTGACGATGACGGGAATTTTGAGTGGATAACCCAGGGGTTCGACCACCAGATGCCGTTTATGGGTGCTGAGAATGCAGTCGAGTCATCTCCGTCTGCTATGGACACTAATAGCCCTGCAAATTTCCAAGAAGCCAATGGCGTGAAACATGGGTATCAGCCGATGCATCAACCGCACAAGGTAGACAACATGTGGCACATGTCCACTGCAGCTCATCAGCAGGATCTTAGCAGTCCGACGGGTGTAGACGTCAACTCTCTCTTCACCGATGTGCCAGCATCACTCGATCATACTATCTCACCCAAAACGCTCTTAGCACACGGCAACGTAGGGTACGACATGTATTTCACGGGCACTTCTGATTTCTCCCAAATGGACACGACCAATCCTACGAACCTTTCCAACAGTCCTTTCGTGCTGCCCTTCAAGCGAGACAATATTCCTTCTACAGCTTCGACGACTTCGGTAGACAGCAGCATGCGACATAGCTCTGTCACCACGAACTGTAGTGAGCTGGTCACTGAGCATATGCGGAGCTCGATCATGGCTAGCTTGTCACAATGCTCAAGTTTTGGTCGCAGACAATCAATGCCTGTAGTGAGTTCGCCATTGACTCCTGGGGGCAGCACCAAAGCTAAGGGTTTCAACGCGAGTACCTTTCCGAGTACAGCAGATCTTCAGCGATATGCTTCAGCCTATTTTCGATTCTGTCACCCTCATCTACCATTCCTGCATGTTGCGACGCTCAATTTCGAGTCACCAGAGTATGCAAGCTCATGGAGAAGCAGTGGGTCATATAGTAACTACGGACAAGTTGGTAACTTTATAGGAGGAAGTTGCCTCTTACTGTCGGTTGCAGCCATGGGTGCTTTGTATGAAAACGAGTCCAACGTGTCGAGGGAACTCTTCGAGTATGCTAAACGCACCATCAGCAATTACCTAGAGGGCAGACGAAAATCGAACGTCAGCAGAACAATGTTTGCCTCTCATCATCAAGCTGATAACGAAGACACTCCTCTGTGGCTGGTACAAGCAATGTTACTGAATGTTGTATATGGTCACAATTGTGGCGATAAAACTGCTGCAGACATTGCAAGCAATCATTGTGCTGCTCTTGTGAGTCTAGCTCGAGGGGCGGAACTTGCCAAGCCCTACCCAAATCTCACGGCTTCGGAAGCATGGATGAGCTCAAATCAAGATAGCATTGACTCGGAATGGTTAGAATGGAAGATTCTAGAGGAACGAAAGCGTACCCTGTACTCAATCTTTGTCCTGTCGAGTATGCTGGTAATGGCATATAACCGACCACCAGCACTAACCAACTCTGAAATCAGACTGGACTTGCCATGCGATGAGGAGTTGTGGGCAGCGGAAAGTGCTCATGCGTGGCGAGCCCTGGGTGGAAATGCGGCGGTCAGGAGCCGCGCTATACCATTTGCTGGTGCCCTGACTCATTTACTTACCACAGCGCAAAGAGAAAAACAAGCGATGGAGCAGAACTATAATACAGACTCGTGGCATCAGCACGAGATCCCGAATTCTGTGCTGAAGCCTAGCTCTTTTGGATGCCTCGTACTGATTAATGCTTTGCACAATTACATATGGGAGACACGACAACGACATCTTGGACGACAATGGACGCCACAAGAAGTTGAAGCAATGCATGCCCACATTGAACCCGCCCTTCGTGCTTGGTCGACAGCCTGGAGCTCGAATCCTTTGCATGTTATTGAGCGGCCAAATCCTTTCGGGGCCGGACCATTACCAGCTGATAGTATTCCGTTATTAGATCTGGCGTACGTTAGACTTTTTGTCGATTTCGGCAGATCAAAGGAAGCATATTGGCAGAGGGACTACGACAGTATGGCTCAGGAGCTAGCCAAAGGACCAGAAACGGGTTATGTTGGTAATGCCGGACGACCAGATGGGATGGCTTCACCAAATGGTCACGAAGGAACACCAGAAAGCAGTATGGGTTCGGGATTCTTCGAATCGTCAGGCAATGACCGAGGTGAGATGCTTGAGTACACATCGAAACCTACTAGGCGGGAACGACATCTCCGCAAGGCTGCTTTCTATGCTGCTGATCACCTCATTAATGCAGATCGTTTGGGCATGGCATTCGTAGAGAAGACATCGCGAGATCTTCCAATGCAATCGGTACTTTGCGCTTGTGACAGTGCTCAAGTATTGTCCGAGTGGGTAACAACGTTGCAAGAGCGGGTCGGCAAATACGTCGGCATGCTTGGAATAGATAATATCAACCTCAACGAAGTTCCGGCTGTGCTCTTGCTCGACGAAGAAGATCGCAAATTGTTGGGTCGAGTCGAAGAGCTTTTGATAAGTGGTGAGCAAAAGAGTGATAATCTTGCTGCTTTGCACGAAGGACGTCAGGGCGGATACGGAAGCCGAGTCCTGTTACTGACGTCGCAGACTATGGCTCGAGCAGCGGTGTGGCCTGGTGAGTGTTCCTTTCTCCTGGTAAAGTGAAATGCTAACGTCTCCAATAGTCACCAAATTGATGTCACAATCTCTGGAGATACAGGCCGGACACGTATCAGCCCGCGTGCTCAACTCTGTGTCACATGAGCAGATTCTTGTCAACTAAACACAGTCTTACCTTTGACAGCTCTGTCTGACACCAATCAACAATTCGCTCGCTATAGGAAAGGCAAAACAAAATCTGAAGCAAAATAACGATGAAACCTCAGGAAATATGTCTATAAAAGATACCCATTGTTACGAGTAATGAACCAAAAATTGGATAGGGTAAATGGTCAAGGGCTCCTTCGAAATTTTCGATTGAGAGGTGGGAGGAAGCTCACTTTCACTAAACGACTTTGGATTTGTATATAATTTGATTGACATTTTTCAAATCCCGCATCTGCTGGTTCAATCACAAAAGAATGCAAGAGCCCTTCTGTGTAAACTTTTTACGTACTCTGGACTTCTAATAAGTCTTGACCCATACTGTGGTATGGGGGAACTGCCCTGATAGCCTATCAGTTTACACGCCTCTATTAGCAACACTTTAGCACAACATACGTATTGTGCCAGTTTTTTCCGGCCCGACTCTGACTCAGCCTCTTCAAGCCGTTCGAACAAGAAAAAGCGAGTCATTCTTATAACCCCTCGGACTGCTTCAGGACTCGAAGTATGTATGTGAGTTCAAATCACGTCCTGATACATGCGAATGGATGACTGCTCAACCACTAGCGTGATCATACCGTGAGGAAGCAAATGTTGCCGACTTTACAGACTTTCGTGGGGGTCCAAATAAATGCTGGGGTACTGTACAAGTACGTACAAATTCCAGCTCAAGAACCTATCACTTTTATTGACTCCGTTGTGCAGCCCATGTCTAAATCACCAACAAAGCATCTATCTGTATATTGACTCCTGCGTTACATCTGGGCCTTCACACATATGTTGACATCGGTCAATAATCTACGTTGGATAACATTAGTAGAGATGGAATGACTAAACACGCAGAGTGTGCGTGACGACAATGGTCTGGGGACGCATGCAAGGAACGAACGAATATATGACTTTATTGCCGAGATTTCCGAAAGGTTTGGGACCGCAAATCTTCTGACGCGCTCGCCTTTTGGCCAAGTACTACTCGTTTGTCCCAGTAACACAGGCATGCCGTATTTACCTGTCTGTCATAAACAAACTTTTTCGATTCACAGTTTTGTTCGAATGATCATGTTTGGTTCATACAACCGCAAGAATCGGTAAGTGAGTATTGTGCCAAGCTCGGCCAAGACACCGAATCATGCTGCAGCTGAGAAACCAGTGAAGTCTATCCTTGGACTTCTGACATTTTCACGAGTTCATCCCCACCTGCGCGGACTGAAGACATCTTGGCTTCATTCTACGATTGCTTCGCAAAGACGAACCGACGAGCTATTCGCGCCAACATTCTCGGCGAGTTCCCATACCTTTCCTCATGCCTGCCTTCATGCTTGGTCAAGACGTTCTTGTCATGAAGCCTTGTGATCCCTTGATTTGAGCTTGCCAGGTCTTCGTTAAACAAGTTCTGCTTGAGCTGCAACACGAATCAAAACTCAGAAGATAGAGTGCTCCAATTCTGAGGCATCGCAGCACCTTCCCGCACCCCTTCTGGTGTATTGTATTTCGTCAGTCGCCACACTAGATCTGCACCTTCCACGCGCTTGCTGCAGTATTGCCGTGCTTGTTGCTACGATAAACCCGAAGGATAGAATACGAGTGCTCCTTGCCAACCCCACTACGTACCAGCAAGAGTTATATCGTTTATACAAAAGTCGGCCCGCCGTTCGTCGTCCGTTTCGCTTCACTGGCCGCAACAACTCACGCAATTCCGCAACCCATCAAACATCCCTTCCTTAAACCCCAACGAGATCTCGGACGAATTCCCTTTCTACGATTTGTAGCTGGCAATCAGTGCGACAAGTCTTTACTGTGAGTGACAAAGGTCGTGGTGGCATTTTGCACGTCAAGAGAGCAGTACACATTGGCCATGTTAAGCTGAGAGGAAGACTTTCCCGGAGGAGACTGTCAAAAAACATAACACTATTCACTCCTTTGAAGAGTACAAACACTAGCCCACCATGGTTTGGGACCAGTTGTCGATTAATCGACCGCACCTGGTCTACATAATACTAGGAGGCTTCACCAGTATATTCATGCTGGTTTCTCTCTACATAAAGGAAAAGCTCTACATTGGTGAAGCAACGGTAGCCACGCTTTGTGGCTTGATATTTGGGCCACACTCGGCCAACCTCATTAATCCACTAACATGGGGGAACACAGACCAGATCACCCTGGAGTTCTCCCGAATAGTTCTGGTGGTCCAATGCTTTGCTATTGGTGTCGAGTTACCGAAGGCGTACATGGAGAGGCATTGGCTTTCTGTCGTGTTACTGCTGATTCCGGTCATGACATTCGGATGGCTTATCACAAGTCTCTTTGTCTGGTGGATGATTGTGCCATTGACGTGGCTTGAGTCCCTGTGTGTCGCAGCTTGTGTAACAGCTACAGATCCAGTCTTGGCCTCCTCGGTCGTAGGCAAGGGCAAGTTCGCAAAGCGTGTGCCCAAACACATCAGAGATCTCCTCTCTGCCGAATCTGGATGCAACGATGGCATGGCTTTCCCCTTCATCTATCTCGCTCTCTACCTCATCCATTACCACCTGGATGCCAAGCACGTCGCCCAACATTGGTTCCTTAACACGATTCTGTACGAATGTATCTGGGGAGCTGTATATGGTGTACTTATCGGCTACATAGCTCGTCATGCTATCAAGCTCGCCGAACGCAAAGGTATCATTGACCGAGAAAGCTTCCTCGTCTTCTACTTCGTTCTTGCCCTGTTTTGCGCTGGTTCAGGGAGTCTGCTGGGTATGGACGATTTGCTGGTAGGCTTTGCGGCTGGCGTTGGCTTTTCCAACGATGGATGGTTCACAGAGAAGACAGAGGAGTCTCATGTTTCTAATGTTATCGACCTGCTGCTTAACCTGACATATTTTGTCTATTTGGGCACCATCATACCATGGGATCAGTTCAATTCGGGTCAACATGGTCTAGACGCATGGCGACTGGTCGTCATCGCCATCTTGGTTATCTTCTTTAGGAGAATACCTATTATGCTTATGCTCAAACCAATCATACCCGACATCAAAACGTGGCGGGAAGCACTCTTTTGTGGACATTTCGGTCCCATCGGGGTTGGTGCTATCTTTGTGGCCATCCTTGCACGAGCAGAACTGGAGACTAATAGTACTACTCCACTGGCTGTACTTCCTCCGCCTGAGGACGCTGAGTACGTGCTGATTTACACTATATGGCCTATCACAACTTTCCTGGTCATTACCTCGATTGTCGTCCACGGGTCGTCCATTGCGGTCTTTACTCTGGGCAAGCGCATCAACACTCTAACCCTGACCTTGTCATACACCACGGGTAATGAAAAATCATCGAATTGGATGGAACGGCTTCCACGAATCGCATCTCGTTCTAAATCACAAGGCAAATCTATCTCTTCTGACTGGTCCGAGGATGAGAAAGCTGAGTTCCCACCCGGTCAACTGCCGCCTATTGGTGTACCAAAGTTGGCTCTACGACGTCAAAGGGATGAAGATTATGAGAGCGAAAAGCCGGTTGGACGTCCTGGCGTCAGAAGCCGGAGCAAACGGAGAAAGAAGAAGGGTCTAGGAGCTGGTGGACCTATAAGCGACAGTGCTATTGCTCCCCAGCGCAATTCTGACTCCGTACTTGGACGACAAGACTCGGGTCTAAACACTCCGGATGACACCTCAAGGAGGCCTTCAGTTCACCACCTGAACTCAGAGCAAGAAAGAAGACTAGTGTCTCCCGAGTCAGACCCTGAGACTTCTCGAGCTAGGGCGAGGAGCGAAAAAGAGACAGGAAAGCGCGAGCAAGGAAGTGACTCTGACGATGGCAATGTCGATCTTGAGACATTTGACGAAGGAGAAGATCTGGTAATAGAAGATGAAGAAGGCAATGTGATCGAAACCGTCGATGTTCGAGGTAAGACGGAGGAGGAAAAAGCTGCTTTAGTAGAGGAAGCCAGGTTGAGGTTGAAGCGTGATAAAAGCGGCAAGTACACCAAACACAAGCATGAACCCCACCCAAGGACAGAGGGTGAAGAGATTGTCAAGACTGTTTCCGACACTGTGGAACATCCTGAAAAGAATTTCCGTAGCCACTTCAAAGGCTGGAAAGGGTTTGGTAAGAGTGGCAATGCCGATAAAGAGGATGCTGCAAAACAGCAGGAACGTAAACGTGGTCCAGCTCACGCTTATCAATTTGGCAACACGATTATTGTCGAAGATGAGGATGGTGAGGTCATCCACAAGTACGACATTCCTCGAGGTGACCAAGAGCCGAACAAGTACAACGACTACATGCGCAGAGGTGTACAAAGAATGGGTACCTGGGTTGGCACTGGTCGGAAACCTTCACAAGCTGCAGTGCCTACAACCGAATCGCAACTGAAGGCAGACGACGCAGAAGATACTTCAACCACATCCCCGGAGAACGACAAACAAGAACATGACACCAGTAACCCCGTCGCTCCAGCACCCAAGTCTAAAAAGCAACAGCCAGCGCGTGCAGAGGCTGGTCTTAATGACGATGGCTTACGCATAGCCATCTCAAATGCTGAGCAGTACGGGTTGACAGGTTTGCGCAAGCCTAAAGCGGGCGCACGTCCGGGCATGGATACAGGCAATCGACGCCTTAGTGCAGTCGACTTCATCAAACAGATGCAGCAACTTGACAGACAGACTCGGCAGCAGGTGATGAGCGAGGCTGGAGTCGGTAAAGACAAGCAGGAAGGTATTAACCGGGTAGTCTCACGTGAGGAACCAGGAAGTGCCCACGATCGACCACGAGCTCCAGCGAGGTCAGGCACTCTGCCAAATGCCACCCAGGCGTCTCCGATCGCTGAAAGGGATGCAGAAGAAGGAGATGTCGCCGATTACTTTGCCTTACCGCGTAATCGAGGACGATCTCAGTCCGGTGCCAAGACTCGTTCATCCGAGCCTAAGAGAACAGAAACTGCCAGATCCGCAACAGATGCTGACTCGGACGAGGAAGACATCCCAACGCACAACGTTCGTGCCTCCATCGCTCGTCATGGAGCTGGCAACCTCTCCTCCGCTAACGCTCGCCGAGAGCGCTTCAACACCACTTCACAGGCCGCACCACGTATTGACGAGGGCGAGGAAGAAGAAGACGACAATGAAGAGACCGCCGCCGAGAAGCGGCGTCGACTTGCTGCATTAGGACTTGGCGGTGGTGATGAATCTGACTCTTCCGACTCAGAAGCGGAGGAAGCACCTCGAGTGAAAAAGACAGCAGTGCAAGAGCCTGGGCAGGAAGATGTAGCTCCACCCTCGGCCGCAACCACTGCTGCCCCAAGGGCGAGGATACAGTGGGGTGGTGAGAGGGGACGAGAAGGAGACGACGAGGAGAAGCAGGGAGGCGAGGCAAGTGAGAGTGGTGGCAACAGAACGGTTACAGGTACAGTGAGCAAAAAGCTTCGAGGATTGTTGAACAGGTAGAGCTGTAATTGTACGAGATCACAAAGGTTTGGTGCTTATGTCACGAAGATGTTTTGTCCAGCTAGTTCGGAAGTTTGTGTTTAGATGAATGTGTAAAAACGTGACCTCCTTGCAATCAATTTTACCAAATTCTTTACTTCGGTAATAGAAGACTTTTCTGCCAGGTGTAGACGCTGGGCCGCTGTCCTCACAAATTGCTGAGTCACATCTACAATACGCGCAAGTACGACATAGTATCCCGACTACCGTGTAGGGAAAGAATTGATCGATAAATTTGGCACAATATTCGAACAAAACGAAGAGCTAGCCAGCACCACCTAATCTATCATAGCATCATATACAGTACACACGCACATTGTACCTCCCAAGCCGTCATACCAAGTATTACCACATCGCTTCAAGTACATGATAGAAAACAAGAGACAAGACGCCAAACCAACAAAGACTAGTAACGATCGTACACAACCTCGTTACTGGTAGCTCTTGCGTGCGGGGTTCCCTTAGAACGGCCACGTACGGTCGATTGTTGACGGTCGTGCTGATAACTCGTGGCATCATGGTAGTCGTCGTAACCTCTCGGACCCTGGGCGGAAGCCGCTCTTGACTGTGGGACGACATTTGCGCTCTTCCTTACGTCGCCGTAGCCTTGTCTTCCATCAACGATTTGAGCGTGGCCATGGCCAGAAAGTCTTGGGTTGGAGTTGTTGCCTAGGTAGTGGTGGCGAGAAGCAGGACGAGGGTTGTACTCGAGCGAATAGGTATCGTACATGGAGTCGACTGAAGTGGCGGCAGGATCGGCGTAGAAACTGGCTCTCTTGACATCGTAGGGATCCGTAGAATCATCGTGGCCGGCCAGGAGTGGGTCTACTACTTCCCAGTTCCCTTGCTTTGTGCCAACGCTGAATTCGAGATCTTCTTTGGTGATGGAGTCCCAATACTGGAATAAATCAGTAAGAGTGCATAACGGGAGGAAATGAAGTCTTACCTTGTAGACCATCATGACTGCTAGGAGGTTGCAGATGGTGGCGAAGAAAAGAGAGTCGAGGTAGTGACTGGTTGACTCGCAAATGGTAGTGCCAACTGCGTAAAGTAGAACCTGGCCTGCAATGAAGAAAGTGGCGCCGAACAGCAGATCACCCAGTGGCCAACGATCCTGAAGGGTATTGAGCACCAAGAAGACCTGCATGACGACGTAGACAAAAATAAATAGGGCTGGAACGACGTAGAGCACAGCAAACAGGACGGCAGTATTTTCTGGTCCCAGGCCACCCCAGCCTTTGAAAGTCATCAAGCTGACGAAGAACTCGATGATGAACATGCCTAAGCAGGTGCCTCTCAACAACCATACGGACAGAGCAGTGCCGTCTTCGTACAGCTGGAAGCCAACAAAGCCATTGACCAGCAAACTCATGCATAATGCGCCTGTCAAACCGTTCTGGATGGCAACGAAATATGAGAAGGCACCGCCACTGGTGGCTGGTATGACACCAGCGTCAAGAACCAGACTGATGCAAGTCAAGATCAGGTATATGTAGAAGAAGGTCAAAATCTCTTTTCGTCCCACAGCCGTGAACTTTGAACGGATATGTAATATCATTATCGTTGTCATGATGAGGGCGCCAATGTGGGCGAAGTCAGTCGCCGCTTGAAATATGATGGTGTTCGCGAGCTCTATCGATCGTGCGGAGCATGTTGTAAGGAGGAGTGGTTGGTGTGTAGTTGTGAGTGTCGAGGGTGGTCCGAGGATTGAGCAGACCGGAAGAGGTGACTGCTCACAGATGCCGTCGAAGTCACCGAAGCCCATGGCTGGTAAAAGGGTGGATTGACGTCGAGAAGTCGTATTTCAGCAGCGCAAGGGCAAGCTGTTTTGAGAAGGTGAATGAGTGTGCTATCCTTCTGTCTTCGATCTTGCTACGGGTTTTGGTGGCCAAACGAGTGTCTCTTGCGAAAGCGTTGATGGTTCTCAATTTCAGAAACGCAAGAACGATGGAAGGACGGAACGATGGTGCCGATAGCTTGGAACGAGTGTCAAGTGACGGACGGTATTATGGCTGTGAGAATGTCGATGCAAGTTGAGTTGATGATTCTCGGAAGTTGCGACGACGACCAGGTTGAAACTCCCTGCCACACTGCAGTACGCGCTAACCCTCAGCCCCCAACACTAACTAAACGTGGATCCTTGCCTGCGGAATATTTATCTTTTCAAGGCTCTGTGTTCTGCCGTAGCCTACTCTGACCTCTCTTGCAGTCCGTAATACTTTGTAAATCGATCTTGTCGCTGAATGTTGTAATCTCTTGCTGAAGAGCGCAGAAGGTAGGGAAGCAAAGATGTCAGGTGAGTTCGATACAGTAATTCAGACGAGATATCAACCAGCAAGTCTGACACAACACAGCTCAATGGGACATTGCTGAGCCTCCTAGCGACGCGATCTCAGCCCTGCGCTTCTCGTCAGACAGTGCTTCCCGCAGATTCGCTGTTGCATCCTGGGACAAGTATGTCTACATCTACGAGGTCAGCGACGACAAACAATGCCTACTGCTCAATAAGATCGAACACCGAGCCCCAGTCCTAGATGTATGCTTCGGTAAAGACAACGACGAAATCTATACAGCATGTTTGGATTGGGACGTAAGAAGAATTCAAATCTCATCGAATGAGCAGACAGTCTTGAGCACTCACGATGCAGGGGTACGGAACGTCGTTTACAGCAAAGAACATGGTCTTGTCATCTCCGCTGCCTGGGACTCGACTGTTCATGTGCATCCAGCTTCACCTGATGCTGAATGGTCCACTGCAACTATCAACCTTCCTAGCAAACCCTTCTCTCTATCGCTCTCGTCCAGCAAACTTGTCGTGGCCATGGCCAATCGCGCACTGAATATCTACGAGCTGGCCACATTAGCTAAGGAGTGCAAGAATTCAGCGAATGCTTTACAAAACAGACTGGATATAGAGCCATGGCAGAGGAGAGAAAGCAGCTTGAAGTTCATGACCAGAGCTGTCGATTGCATGCCTGGTGACGAAGGTTACGCAACCTCAAGCATCGAAGGACGAGTCGCTGTTGAATGGTTTGATCCCAGCAATGAGAGCCAAGCCAGGAAATACGCCTTCAAATGCCATCGCCAGCCAGTTGACGATGTGGATGTTGTCTATCCGGTGAACTCTATCGCCTTCCATCCTGTCCACGGCACTTTCGCGACTGGTGGTGGTGATGGTGTTGTCGCTATTTGGGACGCCATCGCCAAGCGCAGAATCAGAATCTACCCGAAGCTGGCCTCCAGCATCGCCGCCATGTCGTTCAGTGCCGATGGCCGAATTCTAGCCACTGCCATCAGTCCTGGGTTTGAAGATGGCAAAGAGGAGCTTGCCGAAGGCTCTATTGCCATCTACATTCGCGAACTGGGAGAAAATGAGGTCAAGAAGAAAGCCAAATAAAGGATCAATGAGTGCGCTCTTTCGAAATCGATGGCTCCAGTGGCGGGTAACGTGCAACAATGCTGTCCCGTTTCTGTCTGGCTCGTCGTATCTGCACTGAGCCATCTGCCATACCAAAGTAACAAGCCACTGGTCTTTGTCCGCCAATGACCGAGGCAGCCTTTGCTTCCGGGCCTGTGGGACCGCAGAACAAGCCAACCGCTAGTACTCCGTTAATGTCGTTGATGGCTTGAGAAAGCTCCTCGACTTCCCAGATTCCCTTGTGCGGGTCTTGGGTCTTGCCCTCGAGCAGATCTGCACTAGTCAACAGAGGTTGTGGGAACGGAGCATCAACAATGAAGAAGTCTTGATCTGTTTTGATGGGTCCAGCTTTGGTAATGACCCCTTCGCGAATGAATGGGCCGACCCCAGCCGCACTGCAGCTACCCATGAGTCTCAAGCGAGCCATAACCTGTCGTGCTGCTTTCGGTTCGACCTCGATGGGAATGGTCGGCCATTTGGTCAGCAGGCGACTCTGCAGCTTGCGATAGTCGGCAACACAAATAAAAACATTGGCTCTCATGGCGACCAGCTTTTCTTGGTAGAGGCAAGCTCCGCCTCCTTTAATACAATTCAGCTCATCGTCTACTTCGTCTGCACCGTCGAACGCAATGTCAATCATAGCACCATCTGGCAAGGCATCGAACTCTATGGGAAGCAGCCCGGCATTGATGATTAGCTGTTTAGACTGATATCCCGTTGGCACGAAGCCAATGCGTGACAGATCTCTTCCCGACTCTTTGATAGCTTGCACCACGTAGACGATTGTTGTGCCTGAGCCGATGCCGACGAAACGAGGGTTTTCGGGGAAGTGGTTGGCAACCGCTTCTTTGGCGGCTGCTCTTTTCGAAGCTTCAATGTCCAGAGACATGCTTCGAGAGGGACAGAAATTGTACGATTGCAGTCTTGATCGAAATGAGGACGCTCCTGCTGCAGATGGTACTGGTCGCACTGACTGGCAAATGAGCCGTCTGCCTTGAACAGAGGGTGTGAGGTAGGTGGTGACTTGGAACGCGTGAGTGCAGGTACAACCCAACCTCTTCGTAACTCACAATATTTTGAAACCTGTGGATTGCCTTTCATCCACAACTGCGCCTAAACAGGCATGCGATAGATCCGATTGCGTGGACTGGTTATGCTGACACAACAAGCAGATTGTACTTGTATCTATAATCCAGGCTCTCTTTGCTTACAGCTCAACAACTTGCTTAGTAGATCTATGCTTTTCTCATCAGGAACTTTTTTGGTTCGAAACGATTGTGTCGCTGGAGAAGCGGGGCCTCCAAACATGACGCATGAGGAGGGGTTCCAGGCTCCCTAAACGCGCTTTCTTTTAAGTCCATAATTAGCGCATGCGTCAATATGTGCAACAGCAGCGGCGACCAGTAATGCCATTGTAGTCTGCTCGTCCTTCTTTTATTTTCGACGTTGTCTTGTTCTCCCTTCTGAGCGTTCTTTCATCTACCGACAGCCAAGATGGCTGAGGTAGCTCCGCGAGAGGTCACACCTCCTCCATTACAGGCACCCTCAGCCAAAGAACGAAAATACGATAGACAACTCCGACTCTGGGCTGCTGCTGGTCAGAAAGCTCTAGAGGAATCTCACGTTCTCTTGGTTGTTGGTAATTCGAGTGGCTCAAACAGCAGTGTCGCGGGTATCGAAACTCTCAAGAACCTGATCCTCCCGAGCATTGGTCACTTTACCATCGCAGACCCAGCAACTGTGACAGAATCTGATCTAGGCATGAACTTCTTTCTAGAGCAGACGAGCCTGGGAAAATCAAGAGCAGAAGAAACTACCAAATATTTGCAAGAGCTGAACCCAGATGTTGAAGGCCATTACATCGCAAAGCCTCTAAGACAATGGCTGTACCAGACAGATTCACTCCTGCAATACAACCTGATCCTGATATGTGCTCCTTTACCGCTTGACCACCTGCAAGCGTTTTCCAGTTATGCTTTGGCACAGTCAATCCCTCTTGTGTACATCAAATCCAGTGGATTTTATTTCACTGCCTCCGTGCAATTACCCGCTGAGTTTCCGATTGTCGATACGCACCCAGACCCAGACACGATTCAAGACCTGCGACTGCTGGCACCATGGACCGAATTACAGGCAGCAGAGAAAGAGCTTGGAGATTTGACAAGGCTGTCCGACCACGATCATGGCCATGTCCCTTGGCTGTTAATCTTGCTTCACTACCTGGAGGAGTGGAAGCAGGCTCATAACAGCGAGTATCCTTCGTCTTTTGCTGAGAAAAAGCAATTCCAGAGCCTTGTAGCCTCCAAGGCGCGTACCGCCAATCCCGAGGGTGGTGAGGAGAATTTTGATGAGGCTGTGGCTGCTGTCCTCAAATCAATAAGTCCCCCGTCGGTTGGTAGCGGCTGTCGAGAGATGTTTGCAATGCCTTCCTGCACGAACTTGACGCAGTCCTCGGCCAACTTCTGGGTCATCGCCAATGCCATCAAGCAATTCTATAGCAAGCACTCCGTCCTACCACTGCCAGGGACCCTACCTGATATGAAGGCCACTTCCGCCGGATACATAAAACTTCAGATTATTTACAAGAACAAGGCTCGCAGCGATATAGCTGAAGTTACAGACAACGTCCGCAAGCTCGAGGCTTCCCTGAACAGATCTGCTTCGTCACCAATTGCAAACTCTGAGGTTGAACAATTCTGCAAGAATGCCTCCTTCGTCCGTGTACTTACCAATCCCTCTAACCTGCCGCTTCCCGAGCTTCGCTTTCTCCAGTCTGATACGAAAACCCTCTCCAAGCTACCCGTTATCCTTACAGCATACCAAACTATCTCCGAGGTCTTTGTTGCACTCAACGTTGATGCTATACCATCTGATAGCCTTCTTGAACTAAGACAATTAGTCGATGAGATTGAAGGCTGCACGCTGGAAGAACGCATCAATAAAGCTATCGAAGAAGTAAGAAGATGCGAAGGATCAGAATTGCACAATACAAGCAGTATAGCTGGTGGAGTGATCGCACAGGAAGCAATCAAGCTTCTGACGAGACAGTACGTTCCTGTCGATGGTGTCGTCATTTGGGACGGTATTCGAGCTAAAACTGAAATTGTCAAGATCTGAAAAGTACCAGCACCACATACGCAGGGAAAAGTAGTAAGATTTGAACATTGAGCTGTAAATTCTTACACAAAGTACTGCAACCTACTCGAGCCATGCATGCTCACGAAACATTTTGAGGCAGCAGTATAACCACTATACCCTCGGCTCTCCTTCATTCCGGCAGCTGTTTGCTAGCACAGGCTATAACACCATATAGTTTAAGCCACGAAGAAACTGCTTACCGTTGGGCAATGCTAGTCAGGTCGAATTGTTCGCGCTGCTCGGACACCTAAGCGGCACGCGAAGGAGTCGTCAGTACGACAATTTGACTCAACTGTCTGAAGTATACTAGCCATACCACATAAGGAGATTGATAGTAGAGGAAGAATAGAGCTGTACCAAGAGAAGCAAGAGCTGGGTCGGCTGGCATGACACATGCCTCCTATATGATGAGAATCAACAATGTAATTACCATTCATAGCCGGCCAGACCAAAAGTGTCAAGAGCATAGGAAAAGCATTCTTCGAACAAAAGAGGTATAAGTGAGAAAAAAGACGACCTCAATCTCTGGCACTATACTGCCAATGTATTAGATTCTTGATCGCACGCTTCCGATCTGCTTCACTGCTTATACCACGCTCGCAGAATATACTTACAGACACGTTTGCAATCAGTATAATGCGTGGACTACTCTAGACTCGTAAAGACATGATCCACCACAGTACATGCTATTCACTACGAGACCATCGGCACCCGAAATTTCACAGATACATTCTAAACCGTACTACAGTAGCGGTACACAAGTACGTATTTGTTCAAATGAAAACGCGTTGAACGTGTAGAGAAGCTTGCAGAATATTTACAGTAGTTTGGCAAATGTCAACCGGGTCAGTGTAAACCCTTCGCGAATGCCAGTGAATGGAATAGGGTATTTGTGGCAAGTGGACAGAGACAAGAAAACAAATACACTCCGTCAAGGACGGGAACATTTTGTATTGTTAGTCACAGTGCTACGTACTTTACACTTTGCGCCATGTTTAAGCTAATTATCGTGAATACATCTTTGTTCTCTGTGCCTTGAGCCCGCACTCTTTGAGCTCATTTTGGTGACAACGCCTTGAACCCGGCCATCGAGGAGAGTAGTATAGTACAGAACTGTCGTATGCTCTTGCGGATCATTATGGCATGTGATCAATCAGCTCCGCCAATTACGCGTAATGTGGCGTGGTTGTAGACAGTGTTTAGCGAGCACGGTTGCTGCTTGCTGCGTAGGAAGGAAATTGAAAAGCGCCAGATTTTGTGGACGTTGGAATTATGGTTGCTGTGCAGGATTTGTTATGGGTAGATTTGTGGCATTAGCCTGGCCAACAGGTAGGGCGTTGGGTGTATTGCTTAGATATTCCGAAGGTATCCTTGGCATCCGAGGACTTTGCCCTGGTCCGCCCACGCTGTTCAGATATTGGGTTTGTCCCGCAGATGGAGCTCGGAGTCGAGCTTTCTCTTTCGCACTCTCACTTCTTCCTCCTGTTAGTCGGCGCATACCTCTACGCATGAAACCTGCTGAGGTATCAGTCGCTGATGTTGGTGTTACGGTGACGCTCTTAGTGCCTCCGTCAGATGTTGTTGGTACAAGATTTGGAAATGGACTGTTTTCGGAGTCCGATTGTATATCCTCTGCATGATGTTGGTCCCCGAAAGTTTGTGGACTTAGACCAGGCACTCCCGTAGGGTTGGAAGCTGAATACTGGTTAGCGGGAGAGGTGATGGATCGAAAGTGAAGTCCCGGACGATGAGGAAGTGCATTTGTCATCACATGCGTCACCACGGGCGATTGTTTGTCAATTGTAGGCAACGATGGCCCAGGACCATCGCCCTCGTCTATAGAAGAGAAAGAACTTTGATATGTGGTAGCAGCAGACGACGTGCTTATCTGCGATCGGTGATAGTGACTGGTAGGTGGCCGTGGATCCACGAGGCCATTCTGAAAACTGAGCGAGGACGAGGTCCGATTGAGTGACCGCGAAATAATTGGTGCTGTCTGCTGGTCGTATACGTTGGTTTCATGGTCGCTATCGCTGAAGAAGGCAGACGGATTGAGACCAGCGTTCGTGCTAGGATCTGTTGTCGGAGTGGTTGGAGAATCGTTCTCTTCAAAGAAATCATCGAGGCTGTCTAGCGAACTCACAATCTCACCTATACTGATATCGATTGTGGAGGTCTCAAAGGAGCCATGTACATCCGCACCAATGTGAGGAGGGAAATATGAATCCCCATATTCTTCCTCAGTGTGGAACTCAACTTCAGGAGTCTGCGAAGGTGTATCGTGAGCACCGTCAACGTCGCTGCACGAGAAAAAGACGTGGTGCACGTTGCTCCGGGTCTGAGCCGAGACGATGGCGGGTGTTGCCACAGACCAGCCTGAGCTTTCAGGTATTCCGTACAAACTTTGAGTACGCTCGTACTCCTTACGAATTGCTCTGGCTGTGCCAGAGGCCATGCTCATCCGCAAGTGGTGACGTTCTAGCGGAGTCACATTGACTTCCATAATATGATCCATAACCTTGAGAGCCTTGTCGCAGAGATCAGTTTGCAGCAGGCGGAGAAGTGGTGATATCAAGTCCGCCCCATGTTCACGAATTCTTGGATTGTTCATATTTATCATTGGTACAAGGGAACACAAAATTTCGAGGATGTTCCTACGAAACCATGTTGTTGCGTTGCTTAGCAGACCAAATGTGAATATGAGTGCTTCAGCTTCGTTGAATGGGAAAAATGTGTCTTTGACAGCTGAAAGCACGTGGAAAAGTCGCGCATTAGGTGACTTCTTCTGCTGCAATGTCATGTCGTTGAGCGCTGTTTCTAGACCGCTGAAGCCAAAGCCTCGTGCATTGGCTGACAGACGTACAACCTGGTCGGCGAGCGTGTATGGAACCATAGGTTGTTTGAAAGCTTCCATGAATTGAGGTAGGTGTGCCAAAATGTCGAACAGAAGGCGGTCGCTGGTGCCCAACAATTCACTGTTTGGACAGCTCGTAAAGCTTTCCATGACAGACAATGTCCTCTCGAAGCACTGCGAAGACCTGAGACCTTTATATACTAAAGGACAAATACCTTCGAAATTCCCTTCCCACTCTGCTGGCCGAGCTCTTAGCATAGCATCAACAGCGAGCGGATCGGCAAAGTCGAACTTTCCAGCAAGCTGCTCAAGCATTTCAATAGCCGCCAGGAACTCTGCTTCGTGGATAGTATTCAGGCATGCCACTGTTGTCCAGAGAAGCTGGGGAAATTTCAGTAAGCCTTTTGTCTCTAGCCCAGCGATGACGATCTTGAGAGTTGTAAGTATTTCAAGAGAGAATGTTTGATAATCGGCATGCTCCTCTGCTATAGTGTTAGATAGTCGAGCCAGCATATCTGACAGAAGTGCAGAGTCCAGCTTGAAAGAGATGCAGCGGAACACCTGAAAGGACCTGCAGGCTAAATGCCGCACGGGGCATACCGAGGCCCAATGCAGTGCTTCCTTTGCCCAAGCATCACTAAGGTCATCGAATACTGCTGAGAAGAGGTCAACTATTTGCTCCGCGAGATACGACATGCCAAGTGGAACGCGATCATGAGTCTGTTGCGACTCATCCTTGCCGGCGACATCGCTGTATGACCATGCAACTGTTGCAGCGTTGTCACGAATCGCTTCAACAAGCTCTTCAGTCTTTCGCAGGCGTTCGTCCATAGCAGAACTTGAGTCAATACTAGATATGACAAGTGTATGCATCAGATGTACAAGCATTTCCCGCGCATGTTCCTGAACGGTTGGAGTGTGATGATCCCAAAGAATGAAGACTGCATGCAGAAGTTTGAGGGCATCTAATTGTGTGATCTGGTACGGAGGAACCAGAAGATCAACAAGCAGTACCAGGGATATTTGGCCAAGAGAAAACGTTGCCTGCCGAGCTCCTGTAGGAAGAACTGTTTCAAGGTTCGCCACGTAGGGCAGCTGAGAAATCTCTGGTGGTGGCCGGTCAGACGTCCTCTTCTCGTTTGGCATGTTCTTCGGTGCGAGATGAAGCAGTAAATGCTCGAATATCTTAGATCCTGCTGGTGTCACAGATAAGTAGACGACGATCTGTTTTGCACAATAGATAAAGTTCTGCTCGCGTCGTTCAAGTGAGAGATCAATAACAAAATCCAGGATGAGCTGTACGTTTCCGCCATATGGACCAGTCGCAAGAGCTTGCCATAGCGCCTGAACCTCGTTGTGTAACGAACTGCTGAAGCGGATCGTGATCTCTACCATGTTCACAAGGAGCATATACGACAACTCGGTCGGTGCATTTGTGTCAGGAAGGAGTTGAAGCTCAAGCATCTGAAGCCAGGGCAGAATAGCTGCCACCATTCCTCTTTGAATGTCGGCAGTAACATTTCGAAATTGTAAGCAGAATTCCGAAAAAACATGGAAGGCAAGATCCGGATGTGTCTGAGCTAGTCGTCTGCAATACTCAAACTGAGCGGCTTTATATACTGCTCTTGTTTTGTCCGAGATACTGATGTCGAAGTGCTGAAGATTAGAACTTTTCTGTTCTTTCTCGTCCAGGAAACGGAGTAAGCGAGCGGAACGTATCCGAATATCGCGGCTGTCATGACCTAGAGTGAACATCACTGCTCCAAGAACTTTAATGCTGCTTATGGGGGAACGAGCATGCTGCGTAAGGACATCAGCTATCACTTTGAAACAGTTTTCGAGCGCGATGAGACCTTTGGTACCGTAACAACATTGAATAGCGTGTTCAACGAAGATGCTGGTATTAGCATTGTATATGATGAGATTTCTTAGCGCTCTTTGTCCGATTTCGTGAAGTTTGTGCTCCCTTGAAGTGAAGATGGAATCAATCCAGGCGAGCATTCTTGACACATTGAATTGTAGCAACGTGTTGGTGTCTGTTATAACGCTCACAGGACCAGCACAAAGCGTAGCCATTGCGCTGAGTGCGGCTGTCCTCAAACTGATCTTTTCTTTTGCGACCAGGCTTCTATCTCCACCCTCAGCCTCACGCCAGAGAGTGTTGTGAGTTTCTGTCTGATAGCCGCACCACTCTTCCATCAACATGAACGCAGATTTCCGTGACTCGAAGGACATGTACGGACTTGATTCCGGGAATCTTTTGATGTTTTCGTATATGACATCCACAAGTCCACAGTAATGAAAACGCAGGCGGGCAAATTTCCAGTCTGAATGGATATCACTATCACTAAGGAACAACCTAAGATCCTTAGCATAGTTCATCAGATTGCTCAATATCCATTCGTCACGCAGTATCTCGTTGTGTCTCAGAAAACTTGCTGTCAATTTGTATATGCAAGTCACTTCTGCACGCATCCGCTCTGTCATTTGTGACCTCGACGGACTACTCGGGGTTCGCACGTGGGCACCTCTTCTAGCCTTTGCTTCGTCATTGCACGTTATGACCGCGTACTGAAGGGACTCAAGCAGAATACGGTACAATTTGCGGTTGATCGAGCCCAGAGCCGTCACCACAGCAGAACGCAACGTGTCTATACCGGAGCCCAACAGTGGTATTACTGCCGAGAAAAGCGCACGAGCCGACGTCAATCGATCCTGTAAGCCTGACGTATTCTTTGAGGTCTTGCGCGAATGAAGACTAATATCCAGCTGACCTCGGGTTTGTCCACCTGTTGAGCTTAACGTGACACAAGCCATAACAAGATAGAGCTTCCATTGGTCAAGAAAGACGCCAACGGGAGTATCCGCACTGCGTCCTAGAAGCTTTAGATCTCTTTGTCCACCAGTGGTACTTGCGATCCTCTCTATATCTGTTAGCATGAGTGCGAGTCGATCACAAACAAACTCTCTGCTCAGAGCAGCGGCATGCGGACACGTCTCGAAGATATTGCGAACAACATTAGGGAATGCTTTGAACCACAAACCTGCATCGTAGTGGTTTTCACTACTGCTGAGCTCGAGCAAGACGTTCTGTGGTCCTTTACGGCGTCTGTCCTTTTGAAGTCGACTACGCTCCAATGCATTGAGACTATCATCCGCGAGGTTGAGGACCTGCTCGGTGTTGGACTGCAGAACGCTAATGATTCGAGCTTGCTCGTCTTTCCCAAGCACTTTGTCGAACTGCAAAACGAGTTCTAGGACCTTGATCGCGTAAGATCTCACGCTTCTTGATTGAGAACACAAGAAGAAGAGCCCGTATCCTTCGATTTCGTCCACAAAAGAGAGTAAGTTCGTCCTCTCCATCCGTAGTGCTCGAGCTGAATTAGCGTCACCAACGGCAACGTGTGGTGATTGCGAAGCAGCGGTCCGCTTCTGTATCTGGGCAATCCAAATTTGCAGAAGCTCTAGGTATAGTGTAAGGGTCATTTCGATGTGACAAGGCCCGAGACGTCCATCATCGGACATAGTAGAATATTGATGGTCGTAGCTAAAAATGAATCTCGGAAAGGCAGTAGCCACGGTGTGGGCGAGACCCTGCTCCGCGATTGCTTTCAGTGACCTGACTGCAGCCGTGGCAATATGGGGCTGTGTATGTGCAGAAGCTGTACATAGCAAGTTTATTAGTGGACTCAGAGGCACGTTCTCAGAGAGACATCGAGGTAGTGCTTGGATGGCCACATTTAGAAGCTCATAGAAGGATTGCTTCTGCTCCTGGCCCATACCATCGTCTCTTTTGCTCGTGTTGAAGGCGTCCACCAAAGGAGTCTTAGACGTGATTGTCGTGAACTTCTCACTGAGTGCAGCTGAGCTACCAAAAGCATTATCGCACAGCACAGTAATTTTACCCAAGATTTCGCAGAAGTTGGCGAAGTATGCTCTGATAGGCTCGTCCAAAGCAGCCGTATTGATTGGCAATGTGGAAAAAGAAAAATCCATTCTTTTGAAAACAGGCTGAATCTCTACAGCCTGAGTCAAAGCAAAGGGCATGGGCGATCCCGGAATGGAGTCGAGTGCTGGCAGAGGCGCTTCAAACTCTGGAAAGGTGATCCATTCTGTCAGCCCTTTTTCTTTGTCTTCCACGACACTTAAGAAGGCTTTGATTCCAATTGTAACTTTCTCAGGCTCTAGATGCTCGATGCGTAGCTCTCGTGAGGACATGGTACCGTCAGAGCTAATCAAGGGTAATATGGCGAGCTTGAAACAGAGATCTGGATAGTAAACACCGATGAGACGAATGAAGGAAATGGTTGCCTCGGCCATGGATGGCTCCGTGCTCAAATGGGACTTCTTTCCAGGAGGAAGTACGAGTTTAATGACTTCTTCGATCCTTTTCACTTTTGCCGTTTGAGAATCGGAAGAACGTTTTAGGTAGGCCCACGTGAACTGACAAATAGCTCTCATTGCTGGAGTACGTGTTGATCTCTCGCGTAACTTGACAGCCAGGGCGTTGACCTGTGGCATCCATTGAGCATGGAAGATATCCAGAGGAGAGAGACACAAAAGTGTGATAGAGGTACCCAAAGCGCTTGCCCAATGCCTCATCTTTGTCAACATCTGATTGATACGTGGATTAACGGTCTCAACAAACTCTTTGAACTTGATGTGCTGCTCTGTCACATCCGGACGAGAGGCAAGTTGCAGCAGCAACGATTCGAACACTGAACAGTAGCCTTGCTTGATACGTGGTCCATGTGCACTTGCAAAGGAGTGAGCAAGAGCAATGAGGAAATCGCAGGACTGAGTAAGGTCCGAAGGTCCAGTGCCCAGACGCAGCAGTTGCATGCTTGACAGCAACAATTCAAGACGAGCTTCAACTTCTCTTGCCTTGGTAGTGGTACCAAGGTTGGTAGCGATATCCTGTTGCCATACTTTTAGTTGGTTGAGAAAAGGGTTGGCTACTCTAACGAAGTCGATTTTACTCATACACCCGAGCAAGTGACTATAGATTCTCCAATTTGCTGTCCTGATTTTATTTGTGTTCAAATGAACTGGCTCGAAGGCTCTTAGTTGCTCAAAGACGATGCCCTCGAGTTTTGAGGCGAGGTCAGGAGTGATGGCGTCGAGAGTACTCTGGTCAAAAACCTCTATCAGTCCTCGACAGAGAATAAAGATAGAGACGGTCGCCTGTCTATCAAGAGATAGATGTTCCTCAGGCGTTAATTCATCCGAGTGCAACAGGGCCGACGCAGGTGTACCAGGATGGACGGGAACCGCGTCTTGCACAGGCTCTGTATAACGGCGTGAAAGGGAGGCGGGCAAGTTGGCGAGTGAAGGTGGGGAGCGAAGTGAGGCCGAGTGCTTGCGAGAGGCAGTAGCCAGGTCGGCCTTGGTCTGGCGCCAGAGCATCAAACTGTCGACGAGAGCTTTAGGATGATGTTTGGTTACATGACCTAGAGCCAGCAGGAGCTGATCGAATGCTGGGTCGGCGCCTGCGCCACATACCTGTTCAACAGGAGAAGGTAAGGAGTCCAGCTTTGCAAGACATAGATGGATCTTTTGGTCTGCTCGAATAACGAAAGCGTTAAGCAAATGGTGCATGGCATATTCACTGGGAGTACGGCCATCGGGTTGTGTGTTGATGGAGGAGCCATAGGCATGGCCTGCGCCCGCTCTTGATGTAGAAGATTGTGTACGTGCGGAAGCGGTACTGAGTGAACCCGAAGAGTCCAGATTGATAGTCGAATCGATGGAGGAGGCGTTCAGATGAGCGGACAGAGGGAAGGAAGCCGTGGGTGAAGCCATCTCGACGGCAGTTGTAGGCCCTCTGCGAAAAGCGACATTTCTGAGGCTCGTGCCGTGTGGTGAATCGGGACTGAGAGGACTCGCTGTCCAGCTAGAATTAAAGCTTGGATTTCTAGAGTGCTGGAGGCCGTTGATAACGGAGGTCTGTCTATGGTGTCGATTGGAGGTTCGCCTTTGTAAGCCTGTATCGCCGATGGTCTCTGAGTTGGCAGCTTCGTCTTCAGGAATGGTGGGATGAGCCGATGGTGCTCTTGAAGCAGATCCTATCACCTGCGACAGGGTTATACCATGAATGTGTCTGCCTCGTGTCAACGAAGGGTCTCTCGAGTGTGAGCCATGTGGAAGGTGTCCAGCACGGTAGAGTAAGCCAGCCGATCCTGTCTGGTCTGTGCTTTCTTGTGCGCTATGAGGGGGCGAGGAGTCGTGAACATTTGATCTCGACGAGGTCGAATCTGCAAGCATACCATCAGAATGTCAGTGAGTGTGGCCTGAAAAGGATCAACGGACGACGCATGTAGGCGTGAGGGTTGAATGTTCATTGGCTTAGACGCGAGGCATGTGCCTCTCGGGGCTGATTTTGGTACCACTCACGATCGTTGTTAATTCTCATTCTCTTGCCTGCACTGGCACTGGCACTGCTATGCTCTCGCTTGTAACGACATTACTCTTACGATTGCTCAATTACAGCACTTCTCGCAGACCATGATGCCAACGAAGGCTGAACTCGATGCCTGGTAAGTACGAAGAATACTGGGTACAGTGACTTGATTACTGCAAGAGCGACGCGACGCACCTGCCGATCATGAGCGTTAGAATTAGCCAGGAACGAGCAGGAACCATCTGCACACAATCCTTGTCGATTTCACACAAGCATCAGCGATCCATGCTAGCACAGTCACACTATCTTACTGGTCGACATAGCCGCAAAGTCGACGCTGTCGACTGCGAATCACAACTGTATTGCTGTGTTGCCTTAGCTTCAGCACGACACCCACCATGACTTTATTACTAGGAAGACCTTGAGGAAAGGATCACGCATCTGAGGAGTCTACAAGAAGCACCAAGTGTTTTGTCGTATTGTGTGTTGGCGAGTCAGCTTTCTATTGTTGCTATGCGCCGCTACATCAAGGAGAGAAGCGCCAAACACTCATGTCCTTCGCCTTTCCAGTTGGTGACAGCAAAATCGCAGGCGCTTGGTGGTCATGTGCTCTCGGCAGACTTTTGTCTGTCGACATAAAGGTCACCGACGGATCATGTACGTGTTTGTGTGTAAATGAACAATCCGCTATACAGACGTGCAATGCAGGACATATTGGTGCGCTTTGCGTACTCAATACCATATCGACTGTCCGCTTTTTATACTGTAAATATACCCCACACATGTGCTATCGGGAAAGCACGGCAGTTCGGTCGGGTTGTGGCGATCAACTCAAAAAAGTCAATCTAACAAACTCGTGTGCGGAATGAAGCGCAAAACAGGAGGCTCGGGAAGTCGATCGTTTTACGAGCGGAACAATCGCATCCCATGGCAATCTATAACAAGTCCATCATCATGCTTGGTACAGGTGCTCTTGTAGCCGTTCTCTAGAAACAATCGACGTCTTTGCTACTGCCGTGGTCAACTACTCTTCCAGTAGTAGTGTTGCCCTCCAGTCAAGAATCCCGCTGCCCGATTTACTTCTATATTCAGACACCGATCGGGTCCCCACCTTTGCTCATCTTGGCGTAATTCTGGACACTTTGTGACATTATCGTTTGATCGAGCATTCTAGTGCTCTCTGCGACTACTACTTGGGTTGTTTCGTCTTCTACCCCACGCGGCAACTGCCTCGATATCTATCATCTACCGACTCTGCAGATCTGCTCATCTCCTCGTTATCTGTTGGCGGTTCGCCTCCTCTAATCACCATGGCTACCAGCATCGATACTCTGGACATCCTCGTCTTGGCTGTTCTTCTGCTAGGCAGTATAGCCTATTTCACCAAAGGAACCTACTGGGCTGTACCCAAGGACCCATATGCCACCAGCTCTCTCAATGGCAGTGCCCTCAAGAAGGGAACGAGGAACATCCTCGAAAAGATGGAGGAAAGTGGCAAGAACTGTGTGATATTCTATGGTTCACAAACAGGAACTGCCGAGGACTATGCTTCTAGGCTGGCGAAGGAAGGGTCCTCAAGATTCGGTCTCAAGACCATGACTGCTGACTTGGAGGAGTACGACTACGAAAATCTCGACCAGTTTCCCGAAGATAAATTGGCATTCTTTGTCATGGCCACATATGGAGAGGGTGAACCTACCGACAACGCCGTCGAATTCTGGGAATTCATTCAAGCCGATTCTCCTAGCTTCTCCAAGTCCTCTGACGAGAAACCTCTCGGCAATCTTAAATATGTTGCTTTTGGTTTGGGTAACAATACTTACGAACACTACAACTCTATGGTACGAGGTCTGGACAAGATTTTGACGAAATTGGGTGCAAAGAGAATCGGCGCTGCTGGTGAGGGTGACGATGGCGCAGGCACCATGGAAGAAGACTTTTTGGCCTGGAAAGAACCAATGTGGAAGGAGTTGCAAGAAGAGATGGGTTTAGAAGAGCGGGAAGCATCCTACGAGCCAGCCTTCAGTGTTGAAGAGAAGGAAGAAATGAACAAAGAAGATCCTAATGTTTACCTGGGCGAGCCCAACAAGAACCATCTCGAGGGTAGCCAGAAGGGACCCTTCAATGCATCCAACCCCTATATTGCTCCTCTGGCCGAGTCAAAGGAACTTTTCACTGTCAAGGACCGTAACTGTCTCCATGTCGAGATTGACGTGTCAGGCTCGAATATCAACTATACCACTGGCGATCACATTGCGATATGGCCTACCAATGCAGGCATGGAAGTCGACAGATTTATCAAGGCCTTTGGTCTGGAAGAGAAGCGACACAACGTTATATCAGTCAAGGGTCTGGATCCAACTGCCAAGGTCCCCTTTCCAACACCTACCACATACGATGCTGCTGTACGCTACCATATGGAGATCTGTGCTCCCGTCTCACGTCAATTTATGGATACCCTAGCAGAATTTGCTCCTTCCGAGGACGCAAAGAAAGAGATGAAAAAGATTGGCACAGATCCCGACTACTTCAAGGAAAAGGTCGCCAACTCCTATTACAACATTGCCCAGGCAGTAACATCAGTACATCCTGGACCCTGGTCGTCGGTGCCCTTCTCGTGTCTCATCGAAGGCATCACCAAAATTCAAGTGCGCTACTACTCCATATCCTCCTCGTCATTGGTACAACCCAAGAAGATTTCTATCACCGCAGTGGTTGAATCCGTCCGAGTCCCGGGAGCCGGCCACGTCGTCAAAGGAGTAACGACCAACTATCTCTTAGCTTTGAAGCAGAAACAGAACGGTGATCCGGATCCATCACCACACGGTTTGACATATGAAATCACCGGCCCTCGAAACAAGTACGATGGCATTCATGTGCCTGTACACGTTCGTCACTCGAACTTCAAGTTACCATCCGATCCTAGCAAACCAATCATCATGGTAGGTCCAGGTACAGGCGTGGCACCTTTCAGAGGCTTCGTGCAAGAGCGTGCAGAACAAGCAAAGCGTGGTGAGAACGTTGGCGAGACTGTTCTATTCTATGGCTGTCGGAGAAAAGAAGAAGATTGGCTATACAAGGATGAGTGGGAGGTAAGTTATCGTCCACCTTTGTTAGCAGAAACACGAATAACTGACCTTGTTCCAGCAATACAAATCCAACCTTGGTGACAATTTAACAATCTTTAATGCCTTTTCCCGGGAAAACCCTGACAAGAAGAAGTACGTCCAACACGACATCTCTGCAAACTCCAAACTAGTCAATGATTTGCTGCAAAAGAAAGCAAACTTTTACGTTTGTGGTGACGCATCACACATGGCACGGGAGGTCAACGAAGTGCTAGTTGAACTCATAGGAAAGGAAAGGAATATTCCAAAAGAGAAAGCAGAACAAATCGTGAAGAGCATGCGCAGCAGTGGGGTCTACCAGGAAGATGTCTGGTCTTAGAGACGCCTTCATGAGTGATTTCGAGGCTTTCATCCGTCGTCCGAGGTGTTTTTTGAACATCAGATCTTGTTGCATGTGTGCGGGCATTAGAGCGTTCACTGGAGTTTGCTCAGGTCACCTTTCGCTGAAGGAGTAGGTGGTGAGGGAATGAATCACGCAAATCTCCAAACCCAATATATAGACATATTTGGAAGCAGAAATTGAACATATGAAATTCTTTAGCTAGCCTCTAATGCCTCCAGGACTCGTCCCACAGCATCCTCAAGTGCGAACACATCAGTCACACTGACACCTGCTGCTTCTAAACTATGCCCACGACCACTGTTGGGCCCAGAGTTGACAGTCTGCCCGACTGCTACATGTCCGACCAAATAATCCTTCCATTTCACAAGTCGACTGAGCATTTCTTCCCCTTTACTCAAAATATCCACTTTCGCAGCCTGAGCACTCGGCACGGTGCTGCTTGTACCTTCTTCTTCCGCAGGCCCAGCTGTTGCTACAGACATGTCATGGTTGCGTGCCATCATCCACAGCAGATTCATACTGGAGATGTAGAAAGGCATGTCTGTGGCAAAATCTCCGACGACCTGCTCTTTCTCCTGGGAGTCAACGTCGACAGCAGGGACGGGCACCATCTTATCAGCAGGGAAGACAAGAGCCCACATATCATTACCTAAGTGATCTGACGTCAAGCCTTGTTCAGTATCCGGCTGAAATCTCGCCATCATTTTCTCCACCCTCGGCGTAGGGTACAGTTCGGCTTTTAACCACTCCACAGCTATGGATTTGAGACTACCGCTGTGTGCCTCGAGGACTGAGGACCGCGCGGCAGTATTGTCGGTCAGTAACAGCGTCTTTATGATCTTTAGTCTCGTCTCGCGCTGGCAGTGGCCGTGTAATATGTGAGAAGCGATATGGTGTGCATTATCTCGTAGATCGGCGTCTGGCAAGGTGAGGAATATGTCTTGGAGGATGTTGTCGATAGCTAGAAGGAGGGTCTGGGATTCTGTAGTAGTTCCTGTGCGGGAGAGTGTTGCCGGAGGTTGTTCGTTTGTTGGGTGGTGAGGTTCAGAGGTGCAGAACATTAGATATAGTATTGAGAGGAGAACGTCCACGGCTGGAAGTGATGAGCGCATTCTCAAATCCGTCTCATACTGTCTATCAACTATCTGGAGGACCATAGGGTTGACAGAGTTCGGGAGCGTTGTGGTCTTCGAAGTGTCCACCTTGGATGAGAGCGTCTGCTGGAACAGCTGTGTTGAGTAGAGGATCAGCAGCGCTGTGGCTGAGATAGGAATCTGCGCAGGGGAAGTAGGATAGTCGTGTTGCGATTCGCTTTCAGCTTCATCTGTGGCGTCCAGATTGTCCAAAGTTTGTAATTCAGCTAGTACGTCGAGTTTCAGATCTCTTGCTACAGACGCAAACTTCACAAGAAGTTTATCTGCTGCTCCAGCATCGGCATTGTTTTCCAACCCATCCACTTCTGCTCTCCGTAAGGTTGTGACACTATCTGGCTCGAGAGAAACTCTCAATCGTGCTGTGAGTGGCGGTTGCGGCTCGCTAGACGCTGTTATGTGTTCCTCGAGAACTTCTAGAAGCACGGCCTGTAATAGACGTTGTGTTATAGCAGCCTCATTCGCGGCTATTGATGGTGCTGCAACCGTTGTCTCGTTCTTCGATTCAGGATCGGGTAACGGAGCCGAAGCAAGTACGTCTGTCGTGGATACTCTGGGTGGTAGAGCAGGTCTTTTCCTGCCTGCCAGGTTCGTCAACGTGTTCAGGAAGGCTAGCGTCGATGCTGAGCTCATACTCAGCCTGCGGTATGCTGCAAGAGCTGCAGGAAGAGAGGTGGCTAAGAATCTGCTGGGATATTGCGTTCTGATGCGAGGATGAAGCAAACTCAGCATTGACAAAAGTGCCTGAAGCTTTACTTCCTCCATCGCGAAATTCGTGTCTTCGTCTTTTTCAAGGTCAACCTTATCTGCACTTACCCCCGACTTGGTCTGGGATGGCATGCCATGCAGGCTCATCGTTCCGAGGTGTACGTGTGGTGCCTCACCAGCGAATGTCGGTAAGCCATCTTCACGCTCACTCGGATCCGCTTCGATATCAGAGCCGTCCTGTCCAAGACGTTCAAGCTCCTCTGCTACCCTGACGACTACCTCACGAGGGTTACCCCTTCTCGCTATAACATCCAAGCATTTTTGTGCCTTGTCTGGCTCTATCCTCAAAATGGGTAAGACCAGTTTTAGTAGATCCCAGCCGATTTCTGTTGCTAGCGTACCATCGTCCTCCTGCAGCAAGCTGGTCAATGTTGGCAAGTTCTGTGGAGTTAGCTGATATTCGAGGATTGTAAGATACGTGATATAGTCCGTCCTCGGCGGAAGAGCTGCGATCAGTGGGTCCTCTGCTGACGATTGAGCGCCTTCAATGGAGTGCGAAGTACCCTGAGCTACCGACATGTTTAGCATAGGATGCTCGCTGTGTATGTACGTGCAGAATAACGAGTCGATGAAGTTCAATAGTAAATCACAGACATGGACAATTTCATGGCGATCACGACTTTGTACATTTCCAGTCTGCCAATAACGCTTTCGTCAACATAGAAAGCGGCTGGGAAAAGTAGTAGTAGCCACAGTCTCGACTCTTACTATGTTGAAGGAACGTAATTGTAGAAGATTCACCAGGGTTTGGTATGGGCTCTTTCGACAAACCGTGTGAACGATATCTAGCCGCCCGTAACATTACGTATCACATAGAGAGGCTACTTTTGTGAATGGGATGCTGCATCTAACCCTGTTTTGATCAGAGCCAATAATCTATTATATTGGTGTCTTCCTCAAAGACGTGAGATTGTACGTGCTATGGATTCGAGATTGCGATATACTAGCCATTTTGACATCCTACGGACGTCTTCCGTACCCCTTACTACACGTTGGGCCAAAGTCCCTGAGAGTGATGCTCATGTGAATTGCACAGTGATCGTCCGGTGTGAAGGTGGTCTTACTCCAGGATGACATAAAACCTATACTCGTAGCCCAAGGATCCAGATGGAAGGACGATGACTTCAGCACGCTATGTATACGACGTGAGGTTTGGAACGCTGAGCTTTCAAGGTTAGATTCTTGTGAGCACTGACAATACCCTCAGTCTTATCTACTGTATCGCTTAGCCAAGGCTTGAGGCCTGATTGTGAAGGCAGTAACAACCGCGTACCCGATTCACCATGGATGGTCGAAGTTTAGAGGGCTCTCAGCAGCAGCAGCATTATAGGCTCAAGCAATGTACAAGGTTCGCACCAACGGTCCAGAACACGCACTTCAGACTGCCCTTAAATCTAAATGTTGTTTGCCGCAGCTCTGACGACATGACATCAACCTCAAGCATAAATGGCAGAGTTATCGCGCATAGTAGTATAAACAGCAGTGTCTTGTTCCATTGACCAGTCACAGCTTTACTTTGTATAAGCAATCACAACATGTCACAAGACAAAAACAAAGATATCAAGCAGGCTGCTGTAGATGATGGAGTGTAAGTTTAACATGACGAGTTGTCAACAATTTAGAAAGCTCACTCCATCAGTCGTAACCCGGGAGGGATAGGCATAGCTGCTTTCGGTGCAGCTTATCTTGCCTTAGTACCTGTTACGTGAGTTGACAATAATCCAAATAAAACCCCTTGTCGTCGAGACAGGTTGGACCTCTCAGCAACGAGCACTCCCTACCTCGTTAACAACAGTATCTCCTTCCAAAAAAAGTCGGACCGCCCACTGCCTTGTAGTACTGACTACGACCAGGAGCTATTTGGCAAGAACCAACGCACTCTCATCTCTAATAGACGGCATCTCACGCTTTGTTCCTGGTCATGTCGCTTCCACTGGCCGAACGGTTCCAGCGTTGTCGGCTCTATACATCTTCTGGACCTTTGGTGCGAGCGGCGCAATCTCAGCAGCTGGACAAGCAATGAGTCGTGAGGAGGGTCTTGATCCACTCCATCCTCGCAAGCACACCCATAACATGAGCGGGCTTCCACTTCGGATGATGAGTGCGCACTACGGCTTGCTTGAGAACTTTCCAGCTTTTGCAGTGGCTGCAGCGTTGACGCAAGTCCTTGCACCCAACAATCGCGAAGTTCTTAATTTGCTCGGCTTTCATGTCTTCATGAAGCTATTTGTCTTTTACCCTGCTTATCTCTTCAATGTGGTGTAAGTTGTGTCTCTTAGATTTTCAACCCCTGCAACTGTCCTCTGTTGACTTTGACTCATGTCATTGCCGTTACTGACTGTCGCAGTCCTGCGAGGACCTTTGCACACATATCATCGATTGCTGCCGTCATCAACGTCTGCTGGCGGTTGACAAAAGGTGCTGTGTAGTGGCCTCGATGGAAGACCTAGCCAGCTTAAGAGCTTGGCAGCGACAATGTGGTTGCCGAAAGAAGCCTGGAAGAAGAGAGACGCAGTTTAGTCCATCGTTCGTATGGTGGCCAGATACGGCTCGTGTCTATTGCTGCCAGGGATGAAGACAGCCCGACTGCACTACTCCGGAACACTAGGCCCCGAACCATACATTTCCTGAATGTGGCAGCTGTGTCGCGTTTCTAGCTTCACTACCTTCAGGCACTAGTCATAGTGACAATGGTACAGCAAAGCTATTAGTTCGATGCTAAGCTTTCTTGGGTCTGAAGTCTTTGTTGTTATATGCAAACTTGAAAAAGATAGAAAAAGGCATTGAGTTATGGCAATCTGCTGCTTACGAACTTTCACTAACCGTTCTTCACTCATTCGTCTCTTGTGCTCGCCCGGATGCATGCGATAAATGACCTACTTTTACAATTCGCGAAAGTGAGTGCCAGTTATGCGTCTCTCAATTGTGGCAAAAGTATCGTGCATATCGAGGTTTCCTTCTCATGCGTATAGAATCGAGGAGCTGAGCATCGAAATAGTCAGACATCGCCGCCACAGCCGCGCGAACTGGTGCGAATGCGGAGACACCAGTCCATTGTCGCGTCGATGCCAGCCTCTATCAATGGTACTGCTGGCTTAGCAGGCTATTGAGCCATGCAAGCTCTCGCTTGTCTATTATGGTGAGCTGACAAGTACTGTTCAGGCTGTGCAATTTCGTAAAGAACGACCACGAGAGAAATACGATTACCTAACCAGGAAATGACGACTCCTGTAGCACAAACTAGTACTGCTAAGTTTGGTATCCTTTGCTACAGTGTCCTGCTTTCGGAGCATTATTTAAACATCAGAAGACGGAGCAATGTCAGCGTAAATCTCGCTTATTTAGCGATCGGAAGCACTAGCAAAACCCATGTCAATCATGAAACGAGCATCTCAATTTTCCGGAGCAAGAAACTTCGTATCCCTCCAAAGTAGGAACATTGTTACTTATATGCTCTGCACTGCCTTAGGGAGGCCATGCTAGCAGTATTAGACACGCATACAAGGGCAACATCACGTCCTTTCTCTTTTTACGACGTGAGCTCATCGAAGCTGGGTACCATTGGAAGGCCTCGATCGAGTCTTGTCTTGCCAGATTTGTACTCGACCCATACATTGATGGACAATTACCACAAGGAAGGACTTGCGCATCAAATTGCGTGAAAGCAATCTTCAGGCATAGGCGATGCTTCCTTGCATATCACGACTTGTACACGCCTGAAGGCTGTGCTGCTATCGGCCCTGGACCAGACCGCGTAGAAGGCGGAAGATTGACATTGTGTTTGATAAGTTGTATGATTTGACATACACCCTTTCCGAACAGGCAATGTCGCAGATTATGCAGCCTTGCTTTATTGACCTGCAAATGCTCAGTATCCGGCAATGCTGGATACTGCTTTCAGTAGCCTCTCATTAGTCGACGTGTAACGGAAGCCCGGTCCCGAACTTCAGTAGGATCGGCTCCACTAGTCTTCGTGTGTTGTCCTACAACGACCTATTTTGGGATATCGATCCACGACAACAATCAGAGAGTATCACGTGCTGAGAATAACGGTTGGTTTGCAAGCTGTCTCTTGAACGTCCAATTTCCTGCATGCTGGAGGAGCGCATCAAGCGAGAAAGGCAATATATGTAGGTCAGCAATTCACAGAAGAAGCGAGCTATCTAAGGATAAGTTCGTATTCTGCTCGATTAGTGGACGCCGCCCGAAATAGGTGGCGGAAGGCGCCTCCAACGTCGATGTGTACGGGGTACCCATATTTTAACGGCGATTGCGAAGCCTTCCCAATTCAGGACCGAGTCCGTTAAGCGACTCCCAAAACAGTTGCTCTTCTTTTCTTAACGGACGTCACAAACCAAGACAAGGCTGTGCCATCCCACATTCAGACATCCGCGGCCAATGCGAGCTTGGGAAGAGATCATTGGTCATGTTTCTTTTCCTTTCAAAGTACTGCTTGGTAGTCTTTGATTAAGGCAAACATCGTTTTGCATTCGTTGACTTCATCTGCAGGACGCGTCGCGGGACATGGAAGCTGAGTCGATACGAGATTGGTCATTCAGATAAAGCTTGAATTGTAGAGTTGAGTGGCTAGTACAGCCCTGTTCCGGCCGGGTTTGCGTTTCTCGCCGCGATCCACTTGACCTCGACAATCGACTTGTGTCCGAGTGGCACTTCCTTGTTGAGACATAACTCTGTTAATCTCCAGACCAATCTTGCTTCCAGATCAGACTATGTCGCAATAGCCGGCGGCCCTTTGAAGCCAAGCACTCGATAGACCCCAAAACTAGTATTGCGGCATTCTGCACAGAACCTCAGCTCATCAGGGGTATTCCCTGTACGCACAAAATAGGACTGCATGGTTTGGGTGGAGTTGCGGTATCATGGTGCTATTGACCCAATATTCCAACGCTCGATCGAAGCGTTGGATCAATATCCATACTGACGAAAATGAGGAAAGAACGACCATCTCTTCCGTTAAGCCAACATGGTGGTTGCGACCACTTTCTGCTTGGTCTGCCTTACTTCTGCAATCCTCGCATCTTGTTTATGCCGCCAAACAAGCATAAAATGACTCGCATATGTATGAGAGCCACATCGACCCTCTAAGTGGCGGATTCAGTCCAGGCTATCACCCATCCATATCTCTGCTGGTCATCGATACAGTGTAGCTATACAATTCCCCATTTGAGATCTCTGGTCCGTGCCTGCCTCCCCAATCATTTCTCAACACCAAGGATATTTTGGTTCGCCAGAAATTTTTGCCACAAGGACATTAAGGCATCCATCTGCCTCAGGGCTTTTCTCGTATGTAAGTTGACAATCTCCACGACACAGTCCATGTTGGATACTGTGTCTACAAAGACATTGTGTTGTTCTATGATGGCACTAATACAAGACCTTCAGCTTATTGGAGACACCAGCAGTGGTGCATGGCCTGGCCGACACCTCAAAAGCTACGATCACGTATCGTAATACACTGGCAAAGAGTGTTCTCCAACAAGTCTCGTTGCTAGGACGTCTTTTTGCTGAACAACACGTTCCTCACCACTCCAGGACTACCTCTACAGACTTAACCTCAGTGAAGATCAAACGACGAGTTGCTGCGTGGTTCTGTCGAGACTCGAGACACTAATGCCTTCGTCACGATCATCTGGCTTTCCGACAACTCATCCTTCTTTTCTAACACATAGATTCAACGACAGTTGTCGTGGCTTGGCATTGAAAATTGATCTGCCTCTTTCTGAGCCTCTGCCAGCGTGGGCGTCTCTCCCAACTCCTCCCATGTCAGGGACCCCCCCGCCAGGTCCGCCTTCTGACCCAACGCAACTGGCAGGCAGACGCAGGAAGAGAGAGGACACCCCACCGCGAACGACACAAGAAGAAGTACCTCGATCACTTCTTACTAACATTCCAAGATCGCCAGCTGTCGAGCAAACCCCACAACGGTATGGAGATGCCTTGCGCGGTGACAGGGCCCTCGGCCAGTCGATTATGCAGTCATCACACATCATGCCATGGGAACAACATCCTAGTTATCTCAGTGGTAGTGGTCAAGGATATGCACTGGTAACATCCAGTATGCCTTCGAGGGCGCCGCAGGTCTCACCGCGTGCAACCAGGAAAGTGAAGGCTCATGTTGCATCTGCTTGTATCCACTGCAAGACGAAGCACTTACGATGCGACGAAACCAGACCTTGTCGAAGGTGCGTGCAAAGTGGGAAGGAGGTATGTATAATTCGTCGCTCAGAAAATGCAGCTAATTGGTAGCAGAGCACTTGTGTTGACGTAGAGCACAAAAAAAGAGGTCGTCCTCCTCTCCGCGAACCTCTGCCTGAGGCAACTCGAACGATGGGCGGTGGTGTCTCGTTAGCGCCCATCGGACCGTCGTCCGGCAGGACTGGGCTAAGTCATGGCCTACAACCAATATTGCCGAGTCTCATGCCTTCACGTATGTCCTATCCCACCCCATACGCTGCAGCATCCGTCGCACATAGTTCAGCCACAGCACATGGTCAATTCGCTGCTCCTCAGAGACCACTTTCGTTCCCACAACAACAGCCAATGCCAGCTAGTATACAAGGCATGCGACCTACCCCTATGAATCCTTACGATTATACACGTCCTATGCGACCGCCAGTTAATTACAACACCTCTGAATATCCAACTCCGCTCTTCGTACGGCGTCAGGGGCCTCAACATCCTACCAGCGAGTCTATACCTATGTATAATACAGCTCCATTTCAATTGCCTCCAATCCTTCCTGCACCACCAGGTACGAACATGGACCCGGCCATAGCACAGCAGCAGCGGCATCTTTTACCTCAGAGCAGCCCGTACAGTCAGCACATGTCTTCGAGAATAACTACTACTCAGGCTCAAACTGGAACTTCATCGGACGAGCGTAATCCTAAACGGCCGAAGATGGATATGCGAAACATTTTGGGCCCACGCGAGTGAGGCAAGCTATGTGTAACGAACAAAAAGGAGACAATACATTTAAACAGTTGAAAGGAATCAACAATCTTTCGTTGAACGATATCATGAGACACATCAAACAGACGAATAAAACAGACGACCGCAACTTTGCCGGTGTCTTATATACAATATTGCTCTGAATGAACTATTTCTCAAAGGTAGGCACTCCATGCTGAGAAAACGATGACCATGGAATTCATTTTTCGCAGCAATTTGAGAAAAGAGACAGCACGGAACTTGCTGTCACCATGTCAGAGTTCAAATGAGGGTCAGGACATGAATCATAAGGAATGAAGCCTATGGGTTGGATGCAAAGCTGTATATGGAGAACGGATAAGATTCTAGTCCTGGGACATACGGAAAAATACATTTCCTATTGCGACGTTCACTATTGATAAGGTACAAGTGTAAAGGTGCCGTCACGTCCAACGATGAAGCACATGGAATGTGATTGTCATTGAGATTACGAACCGCGAAGAAATATTCATGTGCCTCAAACAAACAACCATCACTTCTGCAGCGTGGACCAGATGAGGAGAGGGGTTGAAACCGAACGAGGCTACCTCACAGAGCCGTCTTGCGTACATCAGCTGGCTCCTCGCTGGTATTCTGAGACGTGCTTGCAGCACAGGCACAACCTCCAGCGCAGTGGAGTGGTATGGTGAAGCAGTTCGTGCTCGAAGTTGGTAATGATGCGCAGCGGAGATCTGTCATCACAATGTCCGTGTTCTCCAGATCAAATGCACCATGTCACCATGAAAAGTGACACGAATGCAGGTCAACTAAATTTGCTACGCTAGCTGCAGCAAGCCCAATGTATGTTGGGGTAGTATCTGTCATGGGAAGCGACATGCTAGTGCATCAAGTACAGGGCAGCTCGTGATGGGTCTATTCTCGCCTGCAGCAGCCCTAGATGGTTTTTCTATGTGTCTACTGTTTTCCGTCCAACTTGGCCACGAATGAGTGAGCATGGGCGTCCTCCAGTGCTGGATCTCATCACGTACGGGTGACTGTCTAACCTCTGGCATTCCGGCCTAAGCGTTCCAACTTAAGTTTGTGCTATTCGCAATATCAATGGTTCAATAGTCTACGTATCATGCATCCTGCAAGGGTCCTCAGCTGTCAAAATCCGGAATACCCGGGTGGAGCTTTGAGTTACTCTATATTTCGGCGAGAACACTATTCTGCTCTTCTGCCAGTGCGAGACGCCGAAAAATGCAAGCAGACTTTGACTTCGCCAGGATACCAAGCAGAAGTTCCAAGCACTATTGGAGCACCGCAGGACGTTAGCTCATGCATTTCGATGCACGAGCGCATTGACTAATGCCGGGGAGAAGGCGGACTGACTGCTCTTGGGTTCAAGCTGGATACTCGAGCAAAAGGAACACAGTGTGGCTTGCCTCTTACTACCAGTGGCTGTGCTGATGGCTCAGAGCCAATGCAGGAGCAAAGCCGGCGCTGCAGTATCTTTGTGGGACTATGTATTCCATCACTAGACGCACTTCTGCAATGCTGACTACTGCAATAACAGGGAGAAAAACTGACGCGTTTCCAACCCTGTCATCCGATAGTGCATAGTGCAGTAACCCCACTTTGTTTACCCTTCCAGTAACGTCGAAGTTACTGTAAGCAGAGCAATGACTTTTGATAACGCCGGAAGATCTCTAGCGCTAAGAATCTCGTCGGATTACTCCGAATACTTGGACAAGTTGGGTGTTTGACAAAGTCAAACATCACTTGAACGGGTTCACCCTCGTCCGACGTACATACAACTTATAGGAGCATTTCTACAACGCCGTAATGCGGGAAGAAAACACACTGGGTCCCACGCTAGTTCCTGCGGTATCATCGGACTGGCGAGCCGCAAGCGACGTGCTGGTGGGTGCTCGACATCTTCGTCTTGCGAAGGCGTTGATTGGCTACCAAGAATCAAATAGACCGGCGCATCGATCATTATCTAATAGATCCACTAGCCACAACACCATATCCCCTCTATTCAAGCCACATTGAGGCGCAATAATCAAAATGGTTACTGGTGCCAGCTGCAGTCACGAAAGGTAAGACGAATCAGCTTGTTGTGTCTCAACATCTCCCCCAGTCATCGCTTTGAATTCTAGGCCGTCGATGCACTCAGCTAATGCTCATGATGAAAAAAGCAATGCCACAACACCACCGGTACAGCTGTATTAGCTTCTACGGTCAGAAAGCCTGAATCTGCGACAGCGCTATACATCATCACGGCAGTACACCAACAAGACTCGTAATCTGCCTGTCAGTAGGCCCTCTACATCTTGTAAGGCTACGGCAGCCTGGCTAAGTCAGAAATATGGGCAATACACCACATCAAACCCAAACCTGAACCATGCTGGAACGTGAACATCGCCACTCCCAGCACAATCGTAACACCATCAGATCACTAGCATTTAGCGAGGAAGTAGAGAGTCAATAAAGACAGTGGAGGATGCCTCGTCGTGTTCAATGACCTTACACATAGCCGATATGTCCATAATATACTATCATGTAATGAGAAGTCCTATCATCCAACTACCACAATGCTGCCACCGAGCCACCTTGATTTGAGCTTACGAGGACTACCTATACACGTAACATCTGAAAGTGGTGTCGATACGTGATCGCAGTCCGGCCGGTGACCATCGCTGTCGAAACTAAACAAATACCAATCGTCCTTGCGAGGTACGTAGTGTCCGTTAGCACGTCTTTCAATGCAGGTTGCGATACCTTTCAGCTCAGCAGGTACGAAATGATCCTTCGGTTTCAAAAAGTCCGCATCGATTCAGCTTACACCACCTCTTGAACATAAGCAGAATCCGACAGTGTGGTTGACGGTGCTTTTAGATGGAGGCCTAGAACCGTTGGTTCGCTTAGTAACGTGTAATTTTGGGTGACTTACCTCTGGCGACACTGGTCAAAGCTCAGGTCCTGCTTTCGTGTCGAGAGGCAGGTCGCGGTCATACTACCGGAGAGGCACAGAGATAGAGCACAACCCACGCTAACGAGCTTGGGAAGGACTCGTTCCACCCTAGGAGTAGTGACAGCGGATCCTCGAAATTGCACATGTGCCCAATGGTGTTTTGCTCAAACGCATACCTATGATTCCAGACGATGCAGCCAAACGTCGAGATGGCTGTGCAATCTGCATGATAAGAGCGAGTATAAGCCTGGTCGTCTTTCCTGTGTTATCGGACTGACCCTGGTTGCGAAAAGTTGTATCCAAATTGAAGCACAAGGCAGGAGCCACCCCTGCCACTCTCGTTTGTCCTTTCAGGTCAGCTCTACGCTTGCTCCACTTGGTAAACAACTGCCATACATCAACCAACACCAAGCCCTAAGCCACATCAACCTTCCTTTGCTGTCTCGCAGACGTCTTCCGCAACGGCGTCGTCAAGTGCGCAGCACTCGCTCACATTCACAGGCTCAACATGGCTGCTGGTCCAGTTCAATGGTTTTATCCTCGCCAAAGCGTGCGTGTCTGCAAATCCGCCAGTTTAAGCTTATCTGATTTCATACCCAGGTGACCACCGACGCCGATAGTGACGAGAATGTTGGTTCAACGCGCAATCAATCTGCATCCGCTTCTCAACTTGTTTCGACGTTGGTCCCCACGCTCCTTATTGCTGTCGCATTCTTCGCGCTCTTCCTCATTCTACGTACAAGATTTCCACGTCAATATGCTCCGCGTACGGTAAGTTTATGCAAACCTCGTAGAGTGTCGCGGAGCAGATGGAGAGAAATGTGGACTAATACTAATGTGTGTACAGTACTTGGGCGCATTGCGCAAGCAAGAGAGGACACCCGCTCTGCCCAAAGGCTTCGTGGGCTGGCTCAAAGCACTCAACCAGATTCCCGACACATATGTGCTTCAACACAACAGCTTAGATGCTTTTTTCCTGCTGCGGTACCTCAAAATATCGGTCATCATCACCTTCGTAGGGTGTCTATTCATCTGGCCTATTCTGTTCCCTATAAATGCAACAGGCGCTGGCGGACGCCAACAACTGGACTTACTCACTTTCGGCAACGTCGACCCCTATAGCAATGATGGTTATCGATACTATGCTCATGCCCTCGTTGCCTGGATATACATTGGCTTCATCTTTTTCATGGTTACAAGGGAAATGATATTTTATATCAACCTGAGACAGGCATATCTGCTCTCGCCCTTGTACGCTGAGCGCATGTCTAGTCGAACCGTGCTCTTTCAATCAGTTCCAAGTCAATATGCAGATGAAGCCAGAATCCGCAAGATGTTCGGTGAGCAGCTCAAGAACGTGTGGGTTGCCTCCAGCACTAAAGAACTGGAGGAGATGGTCGAGAAAAGGACCAAAACGGCTATGAAGCTTGAAGCTGCAGAGACAAAGCTCGTGAAACTTTGCAATCAAGCAAGACTGAAACAGCTCAAGAGAGGAAATGAGGATATCGAGGCACTACGGAATACTGATGCAGAACTTGGTGGTGAATCTGGCTCGCTTGCTGCACGTTGGATCTCGCCGAAGCAGAGGCCTACTCACAGGCTTAAACCTCTTGTCGGGCAGAAGGTCGATACAATAAACTGGGCACGTGAGGAGATCGCTAAACTCAACCCGCTCATCGAGAAGCAGCAGGACATATACCGTGCCGGCGGAGCGGAGCATCTGAATGGTGTCTTTGTTGAATTTTATCGCCAAAGTGATGCACAAGCTGCCTATCAAATGGTCGCTCACCACCAACCTCTACACATGTCTCCGAGAATCGTCGGGTTGCAGCCAGAGGAAGTTATATGGAAGAACCTAGGTATCACGTGGAAGACAAGGACCATCCGAAACATTCTGTCGATCGCTATCTGCGTGGTCACTATCATATTCTGGTCGATACCTGTCGCTGTGGTCGGCTCGATTTCCAACATCAACTTTTTGGCAACACGAGTTCCTTTTCTAAGCTGGATTCTGGACATACCGAGCGTCATTCTCGGCGTGATCACAGGTCTGCTACCTGCTGTTGCGCTGGCTATATTGATGTCCCTATTGCCACCATTCCTCCGCTTCTTAGGTAAATTCTCTGGCAAAGCCACCTTATCTCTGGTCGAACTCCGATGCCACGAATCGTACTTCTGGTTCCAGGTTGTCCAGGTTTTTCTTGTTACGACGATGACTTCTGCAGCGAGTTCTGCGGTGCCTCAAGTCCTCAATGGTGGCATCAACCAGGTACCAACATTGCTTGCTCAGAGCTTGCCAGCCTCGTCGAACTTCTACATCTCGTACTTCATCTTGCAAGGGTTGACCTTTGCTTCTGGTGCTTTGCTCCAAATTGTTGGTCTAGTCTTGTTCCATCTGCTGGGAAAGATCCTTGACACAACACCACGAAAGATGTATAATCGATGGTCGCAACTTTCAAGTCTTGGTTGGGGAACCATTTTTCCAGTGCTTGGTGAGTGATTTGAGCTTGTGTCCAATCTATATCCAAAGATACTTGTCCAACTAACTGTCCAACAGAACTGCTCACCGTCATCTCCATCGCGTACTCGGCCATTGCACCATTAATGATGGGCTTCGCCACCATCGGCCTTTTCCTCTTCTATTTTGCCTATCGATACAATCTGCTCTTTGTCAATTCTTCCATGATTGACACCAAGGGTCTAGTATACGCAAAAGCCTTGAAGCATACTTTGGTTGGATGTTACCTGAGTGTCATTTGCCTGATCGGTCTCTTCGGTGTCGCTGCAGGAGGCAAGGGCAAGGGACCACTCATCATGATGATTGCTCTCCTAGTATTCATGATCCTTTACCACGTTTCACTGAATGCAGCAATCGATCCGCTTCTGTACTACCTACCACGATCCCTCGAGACCGAGGAAGAGTCGTTGCTACGACCAGAGTATACGACATCGATGGGCGGACGTAGTGGCCATGGTGCTGCTGAAGAAACTGCACCTTACGAGAAAGGCTACAATGTGTGGACTGGAGTAACAGCAAAGGATACTACTTCCAGCAACCCTCCACCAGCCACCGGTTTTCTGGGCATGATCCATAAATGGCTGAGGCCCGACATCTATGCGTCATATTCAGTCATGCGACAGCTTGTTCCCCGAGACTTTGCGCAAATCTCATATTCTTCGGAGATTGAGAGGGATGCCTATCAACATCCTGCGGTGACCAACGCGGTCCCTCTGCTCTGGATCCCTCGGGATATCATGGGAGTCAGCAAGCAAGAGTGCGCTCATACGAACAAGGTGACACCCGTGACAGACGACGGTGCTACTTTCAACGATAAGGGCCGCGTCGTCTGGAGTGAGGAAGAGACAGGTGGGAGGCCACCGATCTGGGAGGACAAGATCTACTACTAACCTCTATTAACGATACATCACTAACGACCTGTACTGCTTTCGTTTGAGTCTTTGTTTCGGATACCCTATCAGTACGTATTTTGAGAAGTAGCGAGAGCGTTCATCTTTATGTTCCAGTACCTTAATACAGTTGTGTTATACAAGTCTTATTTGGCTGCTCGAATGCAAGGTCGGTCTAGTCATTTGCCGATTACTGGTTGACTATTGTCCTGCACACTGTTTTCAGCTCCTCAGTATACTGATACCGACCGCCCATCATGTCCTGCTGGACCGGAGTTAACGGAATATTTGCAGCCATGATATTCCGAGTGATGCAATCACTATACTTCTCCTCATCCATTGACGGCCACGCATCCTTGTCATAACTTGGGTCCTTGCTCTTCATTTCTTCTAATCTCTTAGCCGTGTCCGCTGCGTGCCAATCCCGCTCAAGACCGTGGAAGTCCTCCAGTTCCAAAGAGAGGTCCCAATACTGTTGCGGCGATAGAATCGCAGGCCAGTATTCGCGCCACGTCCTGGTCACGAAGTCAAGAAGGTACACGTAACCACTCGCGGAGGCTGGAATGGCGTTGTAGTTCTGGTCGAACGATGGGTCGTGGGAGAGTGCTTTGAGTAAAGCCACTGTGTGACCGGCCTGAGCTAGGATTGTTTCCTTGTCATTCCTTGACCCGGCAGGGTTGTTGTTGTTAGTGGATACGTTTGTGGCCATGCAAGTTTTCTTGTGGCTCTTCCAGTCTTGTTTTTGGCATTCCCGAGAACAGTAGACTTGGCTTCTGCATTTGGTGCATTGCTTCAGTGGGTTTGATAGTTCACTTTGCTTCTTTCCGCAGTTTGCGCAGGATCGTTCTGTTGTAGCAGGGGTGGAGGAGGAGGAAATTTTGTTTGGCCTTGAATCCAAAGTAGCAGTCTGCTAGTATGGTATAGTGGACTCTCACATGGTGAGTATCGTGCTCGAGATCGAGCCTTCCCGTGGGTGGGAACGTGTCTGAATGACGCAATGGGGAGGAGCGACGCGTCAAAACTTAGCGTGTTTAGAGGCTGTCGAGCCCTGACGATCTTCGTTCCACACCCAGAGGCAGCGCAATGTTCTTGTGCATTGATTCTAGCCTTCATGATCGTAGAAAGAAATTTCGATGAATGGTAGACAGACCACATTAACGATCAAACACCACACCACTTTACCCAACAATTCAACTAGTCAATCATGGCGTCTGCTAACATGGCACAAGATCTCAGTGAAGTAGACACAGTTTTGCTTGATATTGGTAAGAGCAAGTGGAACTAACCGGACATCGAGCTGATAGTCCTGTGCAGAAGGTACAATATGCCCCATAGAGTTCGTTAGAGCCACCCTAGTCCGTCTTCCAAGGGGTAAGCTTTACCAGCTCCTAATAAACTATAGTTCCCATATGCTATACAGGCATTACCAAAAGTCCTTCGAGAAAAGTGGGATGACCCAGATTTCAAACCATATCGTGATGCGTTCCCAGCAGAGGCGAGAGGATCACCCGACGCACTAGAAGCACATGTGAAGGACCTGACTGAACAAGATGTGAAAATCGCTTACCTCAAAAATCTGCAAGGTCGGACAGCAAGGAATTGACTCAACGGCATGGAACACTAACTATTACCACAGGCTATCTGTGGCAGGAGGGCTACGAAAAGGGATCTTACAGCACACCGCTTTTCGACGATGTTGTTCCAACCATGCAGAAATGGCACGACAAAGGTCTCAGCAACAGTATCTATTCATCTGGCAGTGTGTTTGCGCAGAAACTTCTATTTGGCCACGTCAAAGACAAATCCTCCTCAAATCCGGGCGCTTCAATCAACAGACAAGACCTAATTCATGAATGGTTCGATACCGTGAATGCTGGGCCAAAGACTCAGACTGGAAGTTATGCGAAAATTGCAGAAGCGCTGGTCAGAGAGCCTGCGAAGATACTGTTTCTGAGTGATAATGTGACGGAGGTTCAGGCCGCGATGGAAGCAGGTATGCGGACGATTGTTGTGGAGAGACCTGGCAATTCACCGCTTCTGGACGAGGACCGTACAGTCTATCAGGTCGTTCAGAGTCTCGACCAGATAGACATGTGACGGAAACGACGCCAGTGTCATGTGGAAAGTCGCAAATTTTCACTTCAAGCTGGAAAAGTTCGACAATCTCGAGCTTGAGAAGTGGTTTTGTGTTACGCAAGCAGCAGCCTGCTTCGTTGACCCCTACGTGAATACGACGAGACGCGCAACGATGTGCCACGCGAGGTAAGAGCTCTACATGCTTACATCGACGCGCTCCACGACAAGTGCTTAGGTAGACTTCCTTCCGCAGAGAGCCTTTGAAAGCAATGTAGAGGTGAGCATACCTGGTCCAGCTGAGTTGAGGGTAATCATGTGCGAATGGTATGACAAATAGGTGAAGAAGTTCCAAGCAGAGTCGTCATTCTGGTGAAGAACTATTTCGGCGTTTCGACCGGTTCTTGTGGAAATTCTGCCCGTTGTTCTTGTGTCTGAAAGTCTGTGCCGAGCTGTTATTAGTCCTACTCGCGGTGTTCTGCTCTGCAGGATTCTGCGCAAGCCAGGCACTCAAGACCTCAGTGATACGTGGACTCCATGCAGCCTCTCCTCGCCCCAAATCAGCGTATTCAACAGCTGGAAAGAACTCTGCATCTTCAGACTGAACTGCGGTGTACGCTCCCTGGCGCGTTCGAGCCAATTCTGCCATTGTGCCATAGGAACCACATGCTATCCCGAGGTCATGAGCAAAGGAGCGTACGTAGAAACCGCTGGACACAGTCAGCTTGATTCTGGCGGCTGGTGCGTTTGCAGGAAGCTCAGATAGCCCTGTGATCGTGTGAGTGTGCATGGAGGCCTTTTTCTTTCGTGCGTGCGCATGCGTATTATCGGCATCTCGTGGTGTGTCGAGAACCGCACGCTGGGCCTGATGGTCGGCATTTGAGTTTTCTTTTTCTCCTCCAACATTCTTGTGAAGGGGTTCCACGTCTGATTCTTGTCCTGAGGTGCCTTTTGTCTTGTTTGTAAGCTTTGAGAGCACATCTTTTTCCTCTTGAGGAGCTTCCTCTGCAGGCCAACGGAAGTCGTGCTGTCCAGCCTCATACCAGTCCAAGAGAACACACTCTGAAACTTTCATATCTCTTGCAGCAAGTTCTCGAGGAAGTTCTTTTCCGCTGCGGGCGTAGTCGTAGGCTTTTATGCCGTTGATCTTCAGAGCGCTGTAGATGGGAGGCACTTGTTTGATGTCACCACGAAAAGCAGACAACTTGTCCTCGACTAAGTGTGGGTCGATTTTGCTGGTATCGGCAGACGCGACAACTTTACCAGCAACATCATAGGTGTCAGTGCTCTTTCCGAATAGCACAACAGTTTCGTAAGTTTTCGTGCAGTCGAGAAAGCTTTGCAACGATTTTGTCCCTCGACCGATGCCAACAATCAGAACACCTGTAGCCATAGGATCTAAGGTACCTCCATGGCCCATTTTGAAAGCGTTGTCATTGTCTATCTTCCTTCTTTTAGCTCTTTGCCTATTTTGAGCATCTTGTGCATCGGTCTGCTTGAGTAGGGGAGCGAAAGTTTCTGAGGTGCGAAACGTATTTTGCAGGTCTCGTAATACTTGTGCAGATGAGATACTCGGTGGCTTATTGATGGCTAGATCGGATTCTTGTTAGATGTGATCATGGACGAAGACGATGTGAGAAGGAAGTGCTAGGAGAGGAATTGGCCTCACCAAAGACACCTTCCAGGACCTTTCCGGCGGATTGTGCCATAACGGTCCGCATTTACATAGGTCGTAGTCAAAAGGAAAGCTGAGGTATGAAAGGTACGGCGTGCTTGATATGTGTATTATTTGCTTACGCGATGCATATACTTTAGGTATGACTCAGGCATTAATATGCACCAAGCTAGTGGTTAGCCTCTCAAATGACGTAGATGTGCCATTATTAGCAAAGCGGATCCACTCATACCAGAGTATCGCAGCCTGTTCCATCTTCTCTCTACTCTTAGGTATTCGTTGTTGTTTGAGGCGCAAACATTCTGTGATGTTCACTGCAGTTGATGATGTGTGTCATACCGTCGTGTCGCACAGATCGTCTCTCTGCTCGAGAATTCACCGGAAGGCTCTACCTGCGCTGAGTATTGACAATTTCGCCGAGCTGTTGCAGCTGACTCGCGAGTGTCCTGGAACACTCGACGCGTTTGACGCGTCTCATGCTCGATAAAGTGAAAGCATGCTCCGTGCTTAATCATTGAAATGACCACATATCCCGAAGAACGCGTCCTTAAACTGCTCGATCCTGTTCCGAGCGATGTGAACGAATGGCCTGACTTTGCCCTGCGGGAAGTGAAGATCTTTTACCAAGGCAAAGGCAGGTATGCTGATCTCCTCGAAGCTTCTGAGCAGGTGCCACTATGTGTTCTAGGAGAATTGATGCCACTTGAGGACGAGCAAGAACATCTTGCAGTACTGGAGAATCCTACCTATGTTCGCATGAAGATTGACAATGTCATGAATTATAGTTTCGGACAGAACGATGATGGTAAGCCAGTTATTTGGGCAGCAGGCAAGGCTGGCTGGTATGAGATTACGCCGTCTGATCGATACATCAGCCATTACAACAACACTGCAGAGGCCATTGATATGTTCTATTTCATGGTTGATCAGCACCAGAGACTAGGGCCGAAGCGAAAGAGGCTAGGTTTTCTCATCGATCCATTCTTGCGCGAGTATCAGAAGCACACGGATTATCGGGTGGACGACGACGATGAAGCTATGGAGATCCTACACAAACACCACAAGTTCCTGCTCAAACAAATGATAGAAGAGAGGGAAGATGTAGACTGGTCTCAGACACATCTTTGGAAACATCTAGCTGCAACATACAACGACGAGATCGAGGAATTGCGAGCGAGTTTAGCCCAAGAGGCCCAAGTGGACATAGTAGTACTAGAGCAATCGTCCGGTGGCGAAGAAGGCTTACAAGAGGAAATTGCGACAAGTTCGGTGGACGAATCATCTGACAACGACGATTCTGAAGATGCACCGCTGGTCAAATCTAGTAGCTCTAGCACAGCCTCCGCAACATCAACTGATAGCGAAGCCGAGACCACCGACTGGACGAAACCCATTTGGTCCTTGTTGAATGTCTTGAGGAAATCGCCGACCTTCGACATCAAGACAGCCGGCATTGACGACCTGGCACGTGAGGTGGAGAAGATGCCAGCATTCTTTGCTGGTCACAAAGGCGCTCTCAAAGCAATCGAGCGAGCTGCTGAGCCTCTGCTTCGTTTGATGAACGAAGCAAAATTGCGGAAGAAATTCAACTGGTCAACACGAGCCATATATGCGGAACTAGAAGCAACACTGGCGGAAGAGATAGCTGATGATATACGTACCCCCGCCCCACGAACTTCGAAAAAGAAACACAGACTAAAGTCCGTACTAAGACCGAGTGGAGCAACTAAAGCTAGTAAGAAAACCTCCTCGTTAACCCCTGGCCAGAACGACAATGAAGACGAGGTCATGGAGGACGATGTCACTCCGCGACCAGACCATATCCCGATAGTGCATAAACGAAGTCTAGCAGATGGCCGACGTGATTTCAGTGAGGAGTCTGGTGTCAGTCGAATGGACAGTCCAAGTCGACAGCTTAATGGTCACTTCAGTGGTGACGCTCTACCCGACTTGCCGCCAGCGCCTGAGGCTCAAGAAATGCTTGACTTGGTCAGAAATGAAGCTAAGAAGCATGGTCGTGTAAACCAAGTACACCATCTTGAGGCCTTGCTTGGCCATTTCAACGGCGGGTTCTGATACCCAAATGTGTAACGATGTCCTCCGAAGTGACCCTTTCAAGCGCCAACAAACTCGAAACCTCCTCTCCCCTTTTGATGGACAGATCTTCCGCTAATGGATGGTTCTGGCACATATTCAAGTTGGCCTTCGGGTAGCGACGAGGTCAAACCTGAACACTGGGTTCACTCTACCAAAACAGAAGCGGTACCCATCCGTTGTGCATGTCATGGTTGGCTAAACTCCTATCGAGATCGTCACAGGGACGACCTTCGTGTTCTGCAGCTTAGCTCCTTTCCCAGTTCGGATATGGATTCATCTCCTCTTCCGCTACGGTACGCTTCCGTATCGGCAACCAAAAGATACAGCAAATGCCTTTCAAATCATCTCGATACTACGGACATGATCGTTGTTCAGTCCTAAATATTACGTCGCGAAAGAGCAAGTTTCATCATATACGCGCACCCCCTTTCATATCTCGGATGCAGGAAAATGATCTCGCCAAGCTTGTGCTTGACCTGTATACACTCACAAAGAGCTCAAGCACACTTGCTGGCCTGACATACTCTACCTAACTGTTCATAAGCGTACAGAATACTGTCGACTCTGCTAATCGACTTCGTGGAGCATCAGTCATTCCTCGTCTCGAGAGGCAGAAGCTAGAACTATTGGGCTAGACATTATGAATACCAAGCAATCGGTGCAACCTGTCGTTCTCAGTAAACAGGATATCGATTCGCTCCCGGTCTTGGGCTTCCCAGAGCCAGGACGAATAGTTGGAGGGTTTCAAAACATCTTTGCTGATGAGTCAACTCCCACGAATGAACTCACGTTCGGAGTCGCAAGATTTCCAGCACGCACTTCGCAGCAAACAGCCTTCGAAGCTTTACACAGACACCATCCAGCAGAGTTCTATTACATTCTTTCTGGCCATATGGTTATAATATTGGAAGGTGTTTACCACAATGTTACAGCTGGACATGCGATATACATTCCAGGTGATAGTGAGCACGGCTTTTGCAATCCAAGCAGCAATGATGAATTGGTGTTTGTTTGGGGATTTGCCACAGATGGGTTTAGCAAAATCGAGTACAGGTGGTCGGAAGAGCAGCCTGACTGGTCGTTGGTGCAGTGATCAAACATGACGGCCCGATACGATTGAGTTAGGAGGGGTCAGGTGCGCCGAACCGTGCGGACTAGTGTCGAACGAAGTATATTGGTGATATTTTAATTTGGCAGTGGTCTTCGACAGATCGTGGGCAGAGTAGACAGAACTGCGAAGAGTGTGGAGCTAACATGATACTATAAATTCAGGCGGCCTATACCAGGCATATTTGGCTGAATACTGACCTTTGATAATCTGAGCACCTCTGCTCAGCCGAACAGTTTTAGGTAGTACTTTCGACATTCGATCATATATAAATACCAACTGAGAGTCACTGAAGAAAGGGTTAAGAAGGTCATTCACAAGAACTGCAATCTCAACAATCTCACTTCCTAACGGAACCAGCATGTAGACCACCTGAGCACTGTCAACAGCTATAATGTATGACATCGACCCTGTTCAGCACTCACCTGTCATCAAAAAATCCGCTCCAGTCACAAATGAAGCAGCATCACTCAGGAGATAACAAATCATTGGCGTTAAATCTTCTGGTACACCTAGCCTTTGGAGAGGCGCACCTTCCCTGTAGAAATCCAGAATCGCTCGCTTCTCTCCTTCCAGACGTTTCAATAGAGGTGTTTGGATTGCGCCTGCAAGGTTATTGATCCAATATGTCAGGATCATGTGAAACTCACTTACCTGGCGATATACTGTTAGTTCTGATACCATACTCACCCAGCTCTGCTCCGATAGGACCCATCATTCCTTTCACGGCTGCTTTACTAGCGTTGTAAGCCGCACATGGTTGCACAGGCATATATACTCCTTGGCCATTCAAGCTGGCGATGGTGACGATACTACCACGAGTACCTGTTTCGACTAGATGTTTCCCAAGCAACTTGATTGTCCAGAAAGTACCTAGAACATTCACGTTGAAGGTACGTTGACTGTGTTCCCAGTCGGCCTCAAGGAGTGGCTCGTCTATGCATATTCCTGCGGCCAGCAATCCACCATGTAATTGGCCCATCGCTCGAACAGATTGTGCAAAAGCCTCCTCCAAAGATTCTTGGGACGTCACGTCGCCTCGAACATACGACGTCTTAATTCCGAAGCGTTCACTCAATGTCTGGAACTCTTCCACAGGTTCGGCAAGTGTGTCAACCACCGCAACACCACCTCCAAGCTGAGCTATTGCTTTCGCGCATGCAAAGCCAATGCCCCGACCACCGCCGGTAATGAGGAAGTTCTTGTCTTTAAGGTTGATGCGATCAGTAATCTTGACGTCGGAAGTATCGTTCTCGCTGACTGTAGTCATGACTTGTCGCTGCTTGTGGTTTTAGTGAATCAATACTTTCTCAGCCCTTATGTCAGATGTGTACCGCACACAGTGGAATGAACAAGCGCTGTGCCCGACCTAACTTAGGAATCAGCATGGGACCGCGTCTGCAATGCATGTCGACACGTTGTTCGGTACCGAGCATTGAGATACGATTTACAGCCTCATGGGCTTTGACTGCGCTGCGCTCTCATTCTGATAGCCGCTTCTGGTAAAGCCTCAGTGACCATTAACCTCTCTGAGTAAAAGCACGCAGCACCTTTCGAGCTGCGCAAGAACTGCATGGGATACTACACGACTGGTGAATTTGGTAATCGGCATGTATCGCCGTAGCGTGGTCCAAATCTGAAGTGAGGCACAGAACCAGATAGTTCATCACTGGCGGCCAAGATCACGGCATATTGACAGGATGAGGAGGTGACCCTGAACGCACACATAACCAAGCACGATATGGTGAAGGTGATTGCTAGTACAGCTGTATCCCGGAAGCACAGAGTCAATAGGCAAGCAGATATTGTGATCACAAACCCAGACCGGAGGATACAGGGACTTCGTCATGGCCGATTCTGATCACCTGACAAAGAAGCCTCGGGTCAGCCTTGGCCTGATGACATTTGGTCCTCCAGGGTCCGAAGCTTACGGAACCAGAATCACATCTCTGGACGACTTCAATCAATGCTTAGACTGCTACCAGTCACGGGGCTACAACGAAGTTGACACAGCACGCACTTATGTCAATGGGCTTCAAGAAGCATGGACTGAGGCTGCAAGGTGGCGCGAACGGGAGCTGGTCTTAGCAACGAAGTGGTACCCATACGTCCCCGGAGAGCACTCTAGAGCGCAGGCTAACGAGAATTTCGCAAAGAGCTTAAAAGAGTTAGGCACCGGCTGTGTCAATATCTTCTATTTGCATGCGCCTGACCGATCTGTTCCATTTCAGGAGACTTTGGAAGCTTGCAATAAGCTGTATCAAGATGGTAAGTTTAAGCAATTAGGCCTTAGCAACTACGCAGCTTGGGAGGTAGCTGAGATATGGAACATCGCCGACCAGAAGGGCTGGATCAAGCCAACTGTTTATCAAGCAATGTATAACTGCTTAACTCGCACGATCGAGGAGGAACTGATCCCATGCTGTCGAAAATACAGCATTGACATCCTCATCTATAACCCATTAGCCGGCGGTGTTCTCAGCGGCAAATACCAGAGTAAAGAGATTCCGGAAGATGGTGGCTGATATTCAGAAAGTGATCCGGTAGTCGGTGCTATGTACCGCGAAAGATACTTTAGAGATGCCAACTTTGAGGCTTTGAAGATCATAAAGCCGGTCGCGAACAAACTTGGGTTGACGTTGGTAGAAATTGCTTTTCGCTGGTGCATTCATCACAGCAAGCTCAAGGTGATGGATGGCAATGATGGTATAGTCATAGGCATCAGTTCTCTGTCTCAACTAAAGGTCAACCTCACCGACCTCGAAAAGGGAGCGCTGCCAGTGGAAGTGGTGGAAACACTAGACCTGGCGTGGCAAGTCACGAAGCCGTCGTGTATCACGTACTGGAGATAGTACTGCAATGATCAGGTCTTTGAAATGCCTACAATTTCTGCGGTCGTGGCAACTGATCTACATATTGATAGAGAAAGCAGTCCAGTGTGATACTAGCTAAACCATGCCGTCAGTGCAACACTATCGACAGCTGCGAAGACAAGGATGTATGCCTACCAAAACCGGCGCGCCGTGGTGCAGTGAAGGTATGCTGGACTATGATACAGGTGTTAACGATAATGTTGTGTAATTATCTGACGATCACAATTCAGGTCGTCTGTATAATCCTCGTGATTCGTGGGTACACCATTCCTGTGACTTAGATTGCCTCTGGTCATGAGCTCAGAATATTCACCTGCGTAAGCCAGACAGGGAAAACCAGTCGCTGCACAGCAGTAGCATGTTTGCAAAGAATCTCATTATAATTGTTACGCAGATTCATACACTGTTTTGTCACAAACAACCTGAGAGTCGTTAGAAGCCTCTTAAGCCGGAGCTTGTTAGAGCCTAGTCGAAACAGCGGAGGTCTGTTTTCCGCCTACTATAACACGAAATAGCCGCCCTGAAACTCACACATTATGAGGGCTCGCTCGTTCTCAGTCGTTTCGCTGCCCACTCCTTTACCATTAGTGCAAAGATGCTGCTCCTCTCATAGTAGATGAGCCCCATCTTGGGGTGAGCATCGTCCTGTCGCAGTACGTTCACATTGGACATTCCCTTGCTAGGCAACTGCACAAGCATCCCAATTGAACATGGACGACCTGGCTGCGCGAACGGTTCGTGTCGATTTTGGTGAAGATAGCTCGGAGGAGACTCAGGTGGACATAGAGGCACAAAATCATCGCGACTCCTCCGGCAAGGGTTCTCACTCGATCAATCCTCTAATTTCGCGTCACGATGGCACGTCTAACGAACCAAGTTCACCTACGCAACACGATATACAACGCTCGGATACCAATGCATCTCGGACGACATTCAAGTCTTTACGAAGGCGCGGTAGAGCCGACACAGCAGTCGCATATGGCACTGAAGACATGGGTAGAACAACTGGTTGGGCGCCAGGCTTAGAACCAGGAGTCGATACGAGTGATCCACCTCCTTATGCGCAGAATGAGCCGGAATTACACGATATCAGACATTTGGATCAGCTGAAGCAGAAATGTGAGATTATGGTTGTCGATTATAGTTCTGAGCAGATGAACTCTCAGTATCTGGACAATGAGAATTTAAAGGACTTCCTAGCACAACCTCAGGACGATTGGGCTCAAGTTAGGTGGATTAACGTTAACGGTCTTTCGTGGGATGTCATAAAAGAGATTGGAAACCACAAATGTTTGCACAGGCTGGCTATTGAGGATCTGATCAACACTAGGAACCGAACCAAGGTCGATTGGTACGACGATCATACATTCATGATCCTTCCTCTCCAGAAGCTCGTTAACACGAAGTCAGAGCACGACAGCAGTAGTGAAGAGGAGGAAAATGACGACCACGATCGTGCCACTTTCGACATGAACAAGAATGGTCAACCCAGAGTGAATACGCGAGGCAATCCTGAGTATGAGAATGGCGGTTATAGACATGCTTCTGAGCAAAGAAAACAGCAGACAGGTGCTATCCGCGGTCTGATCAGAGACCTTATGAGGCCTACGAAGAAGGACAAAACGAAGTCGCGAAGGTCACATCTGAAAAAATCCGCCAGCTTTAAGCACGCCGCTAGTAGTCCCTGGATGCATCCAAAGGTTCGAACGTTGCAACAATGGCACGCTGGACCTAACCAAGATCGAATAGATTACATGCAGCGATATTCTACCTTAGGCTCTCGAGGTTACGGTGTCTCTATTGAGCAGGTGTCAATGTTCCTGACAGCCGATAACACCGTCATCTCATTCTTCGAATACTCTGCCCAGGATGTGGAGATGCCAATCATGAGGCGGCTTCAATCACGAAGTACAATTCTGCGGAAATCATGCGATGCAAGTATGCTCATGCAGTCGATACTGGACACCATCATCGATCTGGCAATTCCTGTACAAACTGCATATCAAGATGCGATTGGCGACCTCGAATTGGCTGTGCTGACCGACCCAAACATCGGAGAATCCACCTCACTATACATCCTTACGAGTGAGATATCAATTCTCAGGAGTGCCATCGCACCTGTAAACCAACTTATAACTTCTCTACGAGAACACAAGGTGACTGCATCTGCACTCACGATGCCTTCACGGGCCATGAGTCCTGCTCCTTCACCTGCAATACAGCTGAACCGGCAACTTGGTGATGGTCGACCACCAATGCCACAATTCCCGCGTACGCAGCGTACGGAGATCATGTCTTCTGGAGTCACTATCTCCGAGCTCACGCAGACTTACCTCGGCGATGTCGAGGATCATGCACAAATCATTACGGCCTCGTACGATCAGATGAGACGTAATGCTGACAACTTGGTCGACCTCATCTTCAATACTGTATCGGCATACCAAAATGAAGCCATGAAACAGCTTACCATTGTGACGGCCTTCTTCTTGCCTTTGACTTTCATGACTGGTTATTTTGGCATGAACTTTGAAGTCTTTCCTGGTGTTCAAAAACATAGCGACAATTTCTTCTGGAGTATAGCTATCCCCGTCTGTACTGTAGTGGCTATAATCTTATTGAGGGACTGGATAGAACGATGGCTGACGAAGTGGGCAAAGAAGACGTCCATCAAGAGAGGCAGGCAACGAAGATTGGAAAGGAACTCGAGGTGATGTTGCGGTCGTGGTAGATCGAGGACGGTCGATCATGTCAGTAGAACCTTGCAAATTTGTTGTAGAACAATCAGCCACATAGATTCTTGCAGTTTATAAATGAGCGGAATCCACCGCAGCTATATACCGTGGACTAAAAGACCTTCGAGAAAGCATCTGCTACTTGAACAAGGTGAGTTCTGGCTGTAGCATAAGACTTGTGCTGTGAAGTGAAGGTATTCGTTTTGGTGCCACTGGTGGGTTTGGAAAGGAGAAAAGGGCTGACCAGAGAGACCATATGTGCGAAGGAGCTACTTCACTTTCTCAAAACGATCTGATCTTGTGGCAATGCAAGGTTAATTTAATGTAAATCAACAATCTCCTAACAGAAACGAGTAACACAACACCCTGCTGGTTCTACCATTTGTGCATAGTCAACGCAAAGCTGCAACGAGCAACCAATTTTCGCAACATAAGCCCGCATCACAGCTTCACGTTGCCTTGTTCTCCTCACGTGCACATTCACTTCACATGAACCGCAAGCACCGCAGAGGCCAAAAAGGCAAACCATCAAACCACGAACAAGAAAATGACTTGGTTCTCGCACGACCGCCAGAAACTACTCAACCACAAGCCAAAACACTATATGAGATAGCAGCAGAGCGACAGGCAGCGTTGACCCCGTCGAAATCTGGCTCATTCCAAAGGCTCCCTTCAAAAGACAATGTTGTCAACGTTGTGGTGGGCCAGGATGGGAAACTCAAGACACTGGATGGATCAGCACTCCCTGGTCAGGAATTGTCTGAGAGCGTGAGTCCGTGGTTGGATACGCTGCTTTTGGCTACGAGTCTGTCTGCGTTACATTTCACGCTGGAGGCGTTGACGGTGCATCAGTACGCTGATGAGCTACGGTGGAAGCATGTGTTGTGGCATACTGTGTTGAAAGCGTTTCCGGTGTTGACTTTGCTGGTTCACTTTATGCATGGGCATTTACTTTCACTGAGGACGTCGAAAAAGGTGTCTGATGCTATTGCCGGGCTGAAGCAATTACTGTTCGTGGCGGTTGCTAATATTGCTGGGTGCTATTTAATCTACTTGACGAATGATAAGGGGTATATGGCGGTCATGAAGAATGCACCGAGTATAGGGACATTATGGATATGGTCGGTCATTGAGCTGGGGCTGGCTGGTGCGCTGGTGGGTGTTGCTGGGCCTGGTATATATGCATATTACTACGGGTATGGAATCTTTTGATGTTCATACAGTTCCGGTCAATGGAAGTCATTGAGCCTTGGTTGAGTCGATTGAGTGCAGGTACAGTCCTGAACGCGAATAAAGAGCACTCCGTGTTCCTTGGCCGTAGCGAATGGTGCCAACTCACGTTTGTGCTGCCCATATCCGGCTCCGCAATGTGTCTATAAAGCGCAAAGTGATGCACTAAACAGCAGCGAGGCCGTAGAAATCGACGGTTGATACCTCATGGTGATAGCCTGCGCAGGTGCACGGGGTCGAAATCTGATTTGTGTCTAGAGGATTGATGACAAGACAGAGTGAGTTTCGCTGAGACTTCTTGTTCATCACAGACACAAGGAACGTGCTCAGTGGACCTCTTCACCGACAGAAGGTATGGATTGTATGCGCATTGCCCAGCACTGTACGAAGACCCTTATAAATTGGCCGGAGTCGTGATCGGAGACGTCCGCGCGGTTGTCGCACAAAAATCAGTCCAGCTCGGTGGCTTGAACCGTACTCCTTGCATTCTCCAGTAGGCAAAATCAACAAAATGCTGTGTTACCAGCCAAAACGAATCGCCTTGTAGCAAGTGAGACAGGCCGTGGGCAGGTACTTGTACCTTGTGGAGGAAAACGCGATTTCAATCGAGTAATAGGATCGTCGGGCTTGTGCGATAGGGAGCCGCACGGCTTGCACGTGGGAAAATTTTGCTGGCTTCAATGGTCGCAATGAGTCAAGGTGTCATCGGACAGATGTCCACTAATGAGCAGAATAAGTCGGGATGCTGTCGGTAGCAATACTGCTTTGGATATCGTGGCAGTCGGCGAAGAACATACTGTGGTTGCAAGAGTACTTGCTTCGATATCAATATTGGTCTTCGAAATTGTTATCGCCTGGGTCCGCGGAGTATAAACACTATATCTGAGGATCGACAACCCCTCAATCAATAATAAGATCCTGGCGCTGCAGCACTGATCTTGTGGCTCGTATTATTAAAGATGCGGGGTGCAGGACGCTCTTGGTAGCTTGCCGCTAATTTTGGTGCCGGAATTCGCTTCGTCAATTGACTGGAGCCCTTGAGAAAGGACAAGGTCTTGTAGCTGGTACACAAAGGTTTTCAGCTGGACACTCAGTTCCATGTTATGGACGCGGTAAGTTGTCTTCGCAGACGTTCACAGAAGTGTTGGAAACCAAGAAAGATTGTGGTGATTACCACATGCGTTTGCATAAGCTGTCGAGGAACAATTTGCGGAAGGCGCAAGTTGTCCTCATTCTGACGTTGTTGAGTTGCTGGTCATTGCATCAGTCCAGATGCTCCGCCTGCAAGATCCCTTCCTAGCCCCTCTCGTCTTTTTCTGCACGTCGACCAGAGCTTCGCAGGAGCTCACCCGTGGATGATTCCGTCAATCATTGACGAACAATCCCATGTTTTAGCTCGTGATGGAACCAGAACCCGCTAAACATGAGCTGTTACGGTGTAGGAAAAATTTCACTGGCTTCCAGCTAGAATAATTCAGGACAATCTCTGGCTCAAGCGTGAAAGTTTCGAGCTGTTGCGTTTCCTGATCCTGTATTCAGCCGTTCCATCTGCTGACCTGGAACGCATTGTTTGGCCTGAAGTGTGCTGGTGTATGCAGAATTCTAATTTCCATTACTCAATCGTCATGCGAGTGTCACGACTTGACAATGAATATGAATGTGTCGTTACATACAAAGGGTACGCGTGCCTGCGATTGAGACACCTGCTCAGTATCCAATATCGAATTTCTTGTCCCTCTCGTTGTTTCTTTCACTGCAAAACCACATCAGAGACCGAGTCGTGTACATCACTTCCGTTGTGGTAGTGCTTACGCTGTACATCCCACTTGCATTGTGAAGACGAGTCAAGCGTCTGCCCAGTCCAAGCAATTGATTTCCGACGACTGCTGCAGCCCGTGACTGTCCCAGACTGAACCTCGTCGTCATAATCAGTTTCAATTGCAGCAGTGCGGACCCTGGTCCTGCGCTACAAGCATTTTGGGCAGTCACATCCCAGGCACATGCTCCGAAGCGAAATCGATCATGCCAAGGATAAGAAGACCATCGATTCACGACGCCACGACACCTCCTGCTACAACTAATGCGGTGCAAGAAGTTATTGGAGCTTTGTCGAGAAAATTAACATCGCAGAACCTAGACACAACATCGATTAGTCCTGCGACCACAACCCGTAGAGCATCATTCAAGATGGATCATATTTTACATCCTACAAAGAAGGACAAGAAGCGAGATGACTCAAAAGACAGGGATTCTCGGAAGGAGAAAAAGCACGGCCTTACAATTCGACCTGCTCTGATGTCCAAGGACAGAGAAGCAGCAAAAAAGTCTGGTCTAGCATCCCCAGGCCTCAAAGCATTCGCTCCCGGCAAGTTTGAAATGATCATGGAGTCACCCCCAGCTATACTGCACGGTTCAATCAACTACTCCAGCGGAGCTCTCATATCAGGAAGGCTCAAGCTCAATGTGGAAGATCCTACAGGCGAGCTTCGATTGACTGATTTCAAAATGGTCTTGGAGGCTGTCACGACTACCAAGAAGCCTGTGTCGAAAGACTGTAAGGATTGCTCAACCAAGCACGAAACATTGAAAGAATGGAAGTTCCTGTCGGAAGCGAAGACATTTCAGAAGGGTCAGGACAACCAGTTTCCCTGGTCGTGCATGCTTGCAGGACGACTCCCTGCCACCACACAATCCCAAGTTGGCTCTATCTCATACGCTTTCACCGTCGAAGCTCATACCGCGAACGGAGAGAAGCTCACTCTCGTGCATCCACTACAAGTATGGCGAGCCATGTTTCCGGGTTCAGAGAAAACGAGCATCCGCATTTTTCCGCCCACCCACCTGACAGGCAAGGTAACTATGCCGACTGTTGTTCATCCCATCGGAAAATTCCCTGTCACCATGCTACTCAGTGGTGTCGTTGAAAAGAAGGCTGAGAGCACAACGCGATGGCGGCTCAAAAAGATGATGTGGAGGATTGAGGAGAACTCCAAGGTCAAATCAACTCCCTGCGAGAAGCACAAGCACAAGGCCCCCGAGGGCAAGGCTATACAACACACCGAATCGAAACAGCTAGGCAACGATGAATTGAAGGGCGGCTGGAAAACCGACTTCGACACCCATGGTGGTGAAATCACACTAGAGTTCGAGGCATCTTTAGCCACCAAGCCAGTTCACAAGGCCACCTGTGATGTCGACTCTCAATCTGGTCTGGAAGTTAGGCACAATCTGGTCATCGAATTGATTGTGGCAGAAGAATTCGTCCCTAACAAGAACACAAATCTGATTACACCAACCGGTGCTGCTCGTGTGCTTAGAATGTCGTTCAACCTGGTGGTGACCGAAAGAGGAGGTATGGCTATCAGCTGGGATGATGAGACGCCACCAATGTATGAGAATGTACCTCCATCACCTCCTGGCTACGGTAACCCCGATAAGACGGCTGGTGTCTCTGAACGTGCCACGATGGAAGACTACACAGGTCCCGACTTCGAATACGTTGACCTGGAGATGCTACCTAACAGAGATCCCGATCAGCCTCCTGTCTACAGGCAACGAGATCCGGCCGACATCAACGCCGGTCTGCCAATGAGAGACGAAACAAATCCTAGAGATTCATTCGAGGCTGGACCGAGCCATACAAGGCAGCGGCTAGGCGGCTTCAGACTAGACGACCTTGAGGCTGAGCCTCAGAATGCAGTGCACAGACACGAGTCAGTCAGCAGCAATACAGAAGACGCGGTAGACTATGGTGAAGGAACGACACAATAAGTGAGCACCCATGGTTTCTGGTAGACGTTGGAGTGCAAGGATATGGAAGGTTGTGATGCTTACGAACTATTGTTACAGCGCATATGATACCCATCGATGTTTAGTGGTTAGTGCTCTTGAGGCAGGCCCTTCATGCAGGCGGCTGTGTTTGTTTTACACGTTGCGAAATTTGAACTTCATTCATCAAAAACACTGTTAGTCATGATATTTCTCGTACTGAAACTGCCCTATGTTTGTCCTAATAACAAGGAAGTTCGTAAAAAAATTTTTAAAGACAAAGTTGTTACGAGTGTGATAGAATACACTTTTGAGGACGGCTGCATTTCCCAGTTAGAGCCAGCCGCACGGTGACGCTAGTCTGTTTCTGCAACCTCCCGCCGCCAGCCATTGCATACATCCCTTCGCCTCTACTGCTCTCCTGCTACAGATCTCGATCACGGAGCAAACGTGTCGACTTAACGAACTATGGCACCAAGCAGGGGTGGTATGGTCATCTTCTCTGGAGGAACTGCGGCCAACTCTTTGGTGGATGTCTTCGAGTCAATACGAAAATCAAGATCCAGTTCAATATCCTATATCATTCCCATAAGTGATAATGGCGGGTCGTCTTCTGAGTTGATCCGTGTGTTCGGAGGTCCAGGTATTGGAGATGTCAGATCCAGGCTAATCAGATTAATCCCTCTACAACCATACAGCCAGGAAAGAGAGGTAATTGGCACATTGTTGAGCCATCGCCTGTCAGGTTCAGATACACGAGATGCGCGGAACGAATGGGCTGATGTTGTCGATGGGACTTCCCCACTATGGAACGGCATATCCTCAGCCAAGAAGGAGCTCATTCGGTCCTTCTTCAACCTCGTCAATCTCGAGATTTTGAAACGTTCCAGGCCACCTACCTCAACATTCGATTTTCGGAGTGCAAGCATTGGTAACTTTCTCCTTACCGGCGCTAGACTGTTCAGTGGCAGTTTCGAAAGCGCGATATACCTGCTCAGCGCTGTCTGCGGAATACCTGACGAAGAGGTCAAGGTGATACCGAGCATTAACTCCAATTTCTCTCACCACATCGCCGCTGAGCTGGAAGATGGATCGGTAATAGTTGGCCAGAACAGCATAAGTCATCCTTCTCCTAATGTGGACCATATGGGAGGTTCGAGTCAGACAGAAACGAAGAGGCCGCAATCTGATATACATGACGCTGCTGTTAACAACATCACCAGCTCAGCTACACCCACTCCTTTGCCAGGCATGAAGGATGATGTGGAAGCAGGGCTCAATGCAGCGGAGGAGGAAGACGCACATCCACCATTCACTTTGCCCACATTAAGAACCAGCAACATAACCTTTTCGAAGGCAGCCGAAGAGCTTGTCGATTTACCTTCGAAGATAAATCGAATATACTATGTGAACTCCTTTGGTCAGGAGATCCTGCCTCCTGCCAATCCTCGAGCAGTACAAGCATTGCAACATGCTGAAGCCATCATATACTCTATTGGCAGTCTTTATACCAGCATCGTACCCAATCTCGTCCTCCGAGGTGTTGGTCAAGCCATGCACAAGAGCCAAGCATCACTCAAAATACTCATCCTTAACGGCTGTCTCGACCGAGAAGTAGGGCCTGACTCGCCTGGAAGACCTTTCACAGCTGCAGACTTCATTGACGCAATCGCAAGAGCCGGTGAGCAGAGTCGGGGTGTGGTGTGGTCGCCGAACAATCGCGCTTGCGATCAGAACGCTCAACACTCTACAACCGAGGCTGCACAACGACAATCTCGTCGGCCAAGCCTGCAGAGGGCGAAATCAGAGGGTGTGAGCCTGGTCTCACAGAGTCAGACAACTCGTGCAAGACTTTTGCCTCCGCCAATGCTTGCCTCTGCGATGCCATCACGTGTGGCATCTCCCTCAAGTTCTCCAGATCGGCCAAGTTGTCAAACAATGTCGACCACTGTCTCCAATGGTTCAGCAAATTCATCAAATGCCGTATACAAGCATTATGTAACGCACCTCATTCACCTCCCGAACTCAGAAGGTACACCATGGGTTGATCAAGAGCACCTCGCCTCGCATTACGGTGTGAAGTGCATACGAGTGTACGGTAGGCGTAACAAACATGGTCCAGGAATGTTGTATGATACACAAGCTTTGAGAGGCGCTATAGAGGCCGTCTTGGGTGGTCGAAGTCAAGACAAGACGTCGAGAGCTGATGATGATGAGACAGGCTCACGAATGAGGTTGCAGGAACGAGAGAGAGGCAGGAGGAACACGGTTGAGCGATAGCAGTTGACATGTAGAGACTCATCCAGCGCCACGTAATCATACTAGAGATCGATCGACCAAGCACTCTCTTGAGCTTTTCTCTTTCTGGTTGAGCACTTCATCTCACACTGAGAATGCCACCTCGTCTTCCTTCCCTCCTTCCACCTGCTGTATGGCCATTCCTCGATCCACCAGTTCTGAAACCTCCAGCATGAACACTCCTATTAGCTTGTGCTCCGTTTGCACTCTCAAGGCCCAGACCACCCCTTCCACTCATCAGCCAATCCAATCCATAATCCGTCCAAGCAGCTTCCCCAACTGCGGTGATACCTCTTCCGGTCCGTTCTCCAGTCTGGTCAGGTACTCCACTCTGATTCATCGCCCTTGCAATGCTGAACGCAGCATGCATATCAGGCACTACGCCATCTTCATCTTCTGGGTTGAGAGGCATCAGATGCGCGGGCAGGTTGATCGATTCAAAGGGCAGGAAGTGGCCGGGTACATAGGCTAGTGTTGGGTCTGTGGGGTCTGTAGCTGTATTGACTGTCGGTTGTGTTTGGTTGAGGTGTGAGGAGGATTGGGTGTTACTGGAGGAAGGTGGGTGGCAGAATTCCTCGAAGAGATCGGCGTGATGTGAGGCGTGGAAGTGGATGTGGGTGTATGAGGAGTCTTTAGACATGGTTCTCTGGTCCTCTAAAAGGCTGTGGTACATTCTTCGTCTTTCCCTTAGTGAAATCTCCAAATGTATCGTCAGCTAGAAATCGGGGCGTGTCAGGTTCGTGTTTACTGTTATGGAAGCAGGCGCACCTGATCAGCGAATCATCAGCCGCTATTTGCGGAGTGAAGACGAAAGTTCCCCTCTAAGAAATGGCCGCTGCCTCATCTACTTGCAAATCCCTAAATATTTCGAACAATATTCTTACAAGTACGATTAATACACTGGCTGCAGACTCGCATTGTTTACTCAGCCTACAGGGAGTCTTCTGTGGTATATTGGTGGCCGACTCCCCAGCTTCCCGACTTTCCTACAAGCACTCAATGATTCCGCTTCGCTCAACCAGATGAACGAACAGCGATCGCATCTGCTTATATGAGACGCATGAGACGCAAGACACTAAATATCAGCCCGTGATCAGATAGTTGGAATAGATCCAAGCAGCACTCTACCATCTCAAGCGCATTGCGCCTGCCTCCGACACAAACAATGCCCGCACCAGCATCCTCGAAACGCATTCGCAATGTCCAGATCTATCGTCCCTTCATCTTCGGCAGCGAAGCAACACCTTTCGCACCTGACAGACGTCCTGACAGTGCACCACCAGATCACACTCACAAGTGGGCTGTTTTCGTGAAAGGCATCCCGATCGCAGACCCTTCAATTCCTGGCGTCGTTCGCAATACTGATGTAACACACTGGCTTCGCAAAGTACAGTTCAAGCTTCACGACACGTACGCTAACTCCGTACGCATGGTTGAGGCAGATCCTAGCGGAATTTTCAAAATAGAGGAGACAGGATGGGGCGAATTTGAAATCGCGATCAAATTCTATTTCGTCCCTGAAAGTGGTGAGAAACCGCAGCAGCTATGGCACGCGCTAAAGTTACATCCATACACAGGCGACATCGAGAAGCAGAAAGCAGAGAGAATGACGGTGAGATCAATATGCTATGAAGAGGTGGTGTTCAATGAACCGGTCGAGGCTTTCTACGATATCCTGACTAGCGGTGCGGACAAACCAGTGGGTGGTAAAGGAAAGAAGACCTCCGAAGTCCCGAAACGAACAGCAGAGATACCTTTGAGTAGTGGAGATGGAATAATATGGAGCAGGCAAGAAGAGGGAAAAGAGCTGGATCGCCTGAGCGAGGCAGTGAAGAAGGTGGAGAAGATGATACAGGACGAGAAGGCGCAGCTGATCGCCGAAGAGAAGAAGCTTGCTGAACTCGAGAAGACGGAAGGTAAAGTGCAGAAAAAGCGGTAGACTGGCGATGAAGATGAACACGAATTTTCCACCCAACTCTGGCTACTTGACCTGACTCTACCCAAGCATGCAATACGGAATGTATTGCCGTCAGCTCCCTGGCGCCCAGTTCCACGTGATCATTAAAAAGCTGAATTGAAGAGGCTTCTCAGAAACCGAATGAAGATCAGTATAGCACAGTCATCGACCTGGGTCAAGAACATCCTCGTTTCCAGATGCAGAAGCATCCCACAAGACATGAGTCCCAGCAACCGCAGCCCGTTGTCAGCCCGTTGTCAAGCTCAAACAAAACTGTGTCCGTCTCTCTGTGAAGATTTTCTCCAGAATATAGGACACTTAGCAGCAGCTGGCCGCATTGATCCAACATGTTCCATGGAATTCCGTAACCGAAAGACACAGCACTGGTTTCACAAAGAGCGCTAGCTTCGAGCCAATCTCCCTGTGATACAGTGGTAGAGGTGCCGTAGTACCGTATACCCGCCTCGTGCAAGAAGGCGCAATCAACAAAGCGGAAACTCACTCGTACTTTCAAGACCGGGAAACGGGAGAAGAAGAAGAGCAGACAAGAGAAGACGGGGTCGGTAAATGAAAGGAGCTCATCACAACCACCTACCCCTAAGTCAGGAAAGTTAGAGCGAATACTCAGGTTCGGTCAGGAAACAGTTTCGAGGAGGACTTTCCAACTCGTGACTCTGCAACGTGTATCATACCATCACGTCGCTTGATTTCAGATGAGTACCACACGCGTTTGCTCAAGAAGAGCCCCGTATGAATACAACCACGATGCCTAATATTCAATCTTGACTCATTAAAGCAAAGATTCTGGCCTTTTTTTCCTTTGAAGTCATGCTGGTTGGAAATGTGCAACAACAGTATTTCGTTGAACAAGTCAAGAAGGATAAACACTGCCCAGCAATTAAGAAGCTAAGTATGTACTAAGTCAGTCTCTTGAAAGCTTTGCATTCGTATATCGTATCCGAAGGGTATCATGTTTTAAGAAGCAAAATCTATGAATCCAGTGACCCGTCGAACTCAACATGTTCACGTGCCCCGTTTCTCGTCTACATCCACGATCTACTCTATACATCCGCATCATAGCCAACTCGTCAAAGTCGTAAATTGGTCATGGTTTCGTCACCCTTTATATCTTCGACACTTGCTAATAGCCCAGCTGGAAGAACAGACCTACTAGCCCTGACTTCTCAAATGGTCAACCAGCTGATTCAGCTCAATGCGAACCTCGTCCGTGAGTTGCTCGGTCGGCTCACCGAGAACACTCAACATGATAGGAGCGAGCTTGGGAGTTAATTTCTGGACGTTGCTGTCTTGCTCTCGATACAAGGTGATGATCATCTTCCATACTGGCTCGTTTTCCTGGAAGTCGTCCTTGAGTGGTAGGATGTTGACAAGTGCTGGAAGGACATCGGATAGAGGTACAGCGGATTTGTTCTTGAGGATCAGCCGAGAGACACAACCCGCTGCATTGTCCTTACAGCGCGCGTTGGAGATGGTGAGCAAATTCTCGAGCTTGCTCAGGATAGTGCCGTATGACTTGGAGATAGTTGCTGTATCGGATGACTTCTCCACCAGACGACCAGCTGCGTAGGCGGCGTTCGACTTGGTCTGGTCATCTTCGTCAGACATACGTTTTAGCAGGATGGTCATGAGCTGAGATGTCATTGGTGTGATAGCTTCGCCCATACCGACGATGATCTCCGAGATCACTCCACAAGCAGAGGCTCGTCCGAGACTTTCTGCACCAGATGCGTAACGCAAGACTGGCTTCTCGAAGATCTTCCACAGTTCGTTAAAATTGGGTCCTAGAGCAGCTGCAAGTCCAGAGATCACATCCATTGCGGAGTCGATCACGAGCCATTCGAGTTCAGTGCTGTCCATGTCTTCAAGGTCCGGCTCTTCCTCTGCCAGGTCTGCCTGACAAGTATGCTTCTTAGTGATGAGTGTACCGACTACCTGAACGACCTGGCGTAGGTGGTCTTGGTTGGCGATTAAGAAGGGGCCTGTCATCTTGAGGTTCTCGGCAAGGGACTGAGCGATCGTGGACACAACGGCACTAGATGAGATTGTCAGCCTTGTCGAGGGAACACAAATCATGTAAAAATAGAGGTGAGCTTGATAGTCAGAGGGTTGAAAACGCTTCTGCGTCATCCATACTTTGTATGTAAGAGTGAGCTGGGTAGCGATGGTGATCATCATGTGATGCAAATAAAAACAAATTGGGAGCGAACTTACGTGTCTTCCTCATCAGCCCATGTAGTCAATGTGGCAGTCATAACCAAGTCACCAAGCTTCTCAAGCTCAGGAACGGGCTGGACCTTGAGCGGCAGGCCTGCTTGCCATTTTTCTTGTGCTCCAGATTCTTCTTGTACTTCGTACAGAGCAGCGTATGCTCGGTGCAGTGTGCTGAAAGCGGCTTTCCGAATATTCTCGTACGAGTGGTCAACCAGAGGCAGCAACTTTTGAATCGTCTTCTCGAAATAAGGAATGTATGCAGCCTTGGTGTTACCAACGACATCGCCGATGACTTCGATCGCAATCTCTTTCTCGAGAGCAAGTGGTGTAACGGTCGTTAAGTCATTCCAGTCACTGTCATCGTCGTCAAGGTCGATGTCCTCAATATCGTCGTCATCATCGTCGTCGTCGTCGAGCGCATCTGCAACCTTGATTTTTCTACCAGCAATAGTGACCTCTTGGCCAACCAAGTCTTTGGCTTCATCGCCGAGCTGAACTTCCATACTCTCCTCCTCTTGGTCAATGCATTCGAAGAGGCCGTTGACAACTCCACCAAGGAAAGGTGCAAAGTCCTCTTCGTACACTTTGGCCAACGAGCCCCAGAGAATGTAGGTGCTCTCTTTCAGTCTGCTGTGCTCGAGCTTGAGAGCCTCTTCACTGGCTTGCATCAGGGGTTGCACATAATCCTTGAAGTCTGCAGGACCAACAGCCACAGCCATCTCGCCCATAGCGTCGGTACAACTGGCACGTAAATCGAGTTCATCTTCGCTCTCCTTCTTTGTAATGTAACCCTGCATTGCTTGCATGGACTCGCTCAGATAAGGCTTGAAAGGCTCTTCAACAGTAGAGGCCAGGGAGCCGAGCGCACCAGCAGCTAGGCCTTTGATCTTGAAATCGGGATGCTGAATCAACCTCTGCAAGAGTGGTGCTAACTTGTCGAGGTATTGCACTGCGTCGTGAGACTCCATGCCGTCAACCACAGAATCGACGGCACTGACAGAGGACCGCATGATATCGATGGCTGGGCCCTCCTCCTCACCCTTGAATTGCTGCATAGCAGCGGTCAGGTTCTTAGCTAGCAGAGGCATGAGCTTCTCATGTTCTTTTGTTACGTCGGTTGGTAGATCATCAGCCAGACGAGCAGTAGTCTGTAATGCCGCTTGTCGAACGGAAACGTCCTGATCTTCAAGCAGTTGGTACAGAACAGGGAATACGCGTGCAAGCTGAGTACTGATGAAGTCGGGGGCACCCTCGACGGAATAGCCCAGAGCCATGATAGCTGCTCTGCGGTAAGCAGGGTCACTATTCGCTGCATATTTTGGAAGTAGGTCAACAAGTGGAGCAATCACTTGCTGGGCAGGTAGATTCTGTGCCATCGTATCGATCAAACCCAAAGCAGAGCGACCTGGAGTAACGTCGTCATCGTCGTTGATGTCCTCGATCTCAGCAACAACAGCAAGCATGCTCTTTGTAAGTGGCTCGCCCATCTTCATACCCTGAACTCTAAGTCTTCGGTACACAACACACTGTATCAGAAAACTGATAGCTTGTGTTCTCGTCTCATCTGAGAACTGCTTGTCGGTACCGATCTGGTTCATGAGTTCGACTAGATCATGAAAGTGTTTCTGGAGAAGCTGGTATTCTGTAGTAAGCAAGGTGTTGAAGACCTCAAAGGAAAGCATAATCTGTTCATCTTTGCCATTCGAGATGGTGTCTTGCAGCACTTTGACCATAGCAGGAAACAAATTTTGAAAGGCTTTGACCGGAGCCTGATCCTCTTCGGCATCAATCACCATGGCCATTTTCGAAATTGCAAGGAGGGTATTGACTCGGACGTCGAGGCTCTCGGGATCTTCGATTGTCGTCGAGAAGAGTTCGAACAAAGCCTGGAACCTGTCGCTGAAGTTTTCACCCATTGTCTCTAAAAGACTGTACAACAAATATACACCGACTGCTCTTTCGTCCGCATTCGAGCTCGTCGCAGCCTGCTGCAGCATGTTTGGTAGTTCGGCCCACTCGCCATCTTCGAGATCTACTTTCGCAATCGCACTAACTAATCTTGAGGAGGAATGTCGTGTCAAAGAATGTTTCTCGGTCATTGTCGCTTGGAAGAGCTGACTTCGTGCCGACTTCCTCTGCTCATCTGGAATTTTAGTCCACATCTTTGCGACGAGAGGTCGAGCCTGTGTAGCAGCAAGCTGCTTCAAGTCTGGACTATCATGAGAGATGATTATTTGCATCAGGAACAACAGCGCTTCTGGCCGCTTGTAATATTCATCTTGTAGAACCTTTGTGGCAGTCTTGACATTGCCTTTCTTTGGATCAAGCACGATCTGCAGCTGCTGCAGGAATCTTTGCTGGTCCATGTTGCCAACAATGTCGGCGCCTGCGCCCAGGGATTTGTATAAAGGACAAAAGATATTTGAGCGAACAGGGTTACAATTGAAGGCCAGACAATTAAAAAAAGCAGCAGAATTACACAGGACTGCGATGCACATGCAGCCAGGAAAAAAATGCCCAAAAAAACTTGCAGCCCAAAATTCCTGTGTTAATTGTGAGGCTGCAAGGCATGAAAATGCACAAATAGCTTCTGATGTGGGGTAGACCTAGATGAGATTCCGGCCAGAATGCTGTTCTAAGCGGGCGACATAGAGGCGCACTAGTAGTTCGTTCTCAAGCAACTCTACCGAGTTTGATCTGAGACGGTGTTGTTGAGACGTGGATGGAACATTATGGTAGAGATAGCCACTCGTGGTAGTGCGATACTGTTGAACAACCACTATATCGACCCGAGACGTCATTCCACATCAATCAATCGTAGATCATGTCGCTTATGGTAGTGCCATAGTATGCTCTAATCTTCGTGCTTGGCACCATCCGCAGCGAGTTTCACGGACACGGTTGTGTGTTCTGAGACACCACTAGAATTGTCCCCGCCAACCAACAGCCGCTGACAGATCGTAATGTCTTTCCAAGTATAAAGCTTTCAATGCGAAGACAAATACAGTACTGGCTTGCCAGCTTTCAGAAGGGGTTGAGTCGATGGACGAGGCTAAAAATCGCCCAATCGCTGTACTTCTCCGAATCTTGGTTCATTGTCAAGCACCGCCGGGAATGTATTTCCGGACCACTCGAATTCATATACAGACAGGGTTCATATTTTATTTCGTGTCAAGCAACAATACCAATGTGACGCTTTGTCATGGCTCTATCAAACAGCGCTTACTTGGAAAGATTTGTTGAGCAAGGAAGTGCCAGTCTGACTCTATGTCAGAGAGGCAATGCAGGTGAATGCTAGAGCAGCTTTCACATTGTGTTAAAATTGCAGATTTCGTGTAGATGTGGTACAGCTAGCTGACCCGAGGGACGACATGAAGCATCCAACAGTAAATGTTTTGTAGTTTGCTTTGCTTTGCTTGCCATCACTCTCACAACAACGTTGAGTCGTCCCAAACAGCGGTCGATTTGTGCTCGATTTAGCTTGTTGTCGCAAATTTGTGCGTGGCACCAGTATCGTGCAGGTGGCATAGTGGTAATGGTTGGCTGCGGATCGTTTGTCCGAGCTCTTACTGTAGGTCGAGATTATTTCGCGGCCAATGACAGCTTCAGGAATAATTCTTCCGCCACTTTGCAAGCCATTCTTCGTGAAAGGTCCAGGGTTGCACGCTGCGCTTAATTAAGGTACATACACATACCTTGCTTGAGACGGCGTCAAGCAACGATCCGGTCATATTGTCTTCTGCTGCCAGATATTGGCCGCGTTTCCTCAAACTTTGGTTCCGAATGCTCAACAGAGAACCAGCTCCGTCTGACAGGTCATGTCGAGACCGATTATACCGCGTCCACTATCTGACAAATCTGAAATGAATCCTCCTTCCATATCTCAAAAGGCACGTAAAATCTCCAATGCTTGCACTGCGTGCAAACAGCGCAAAACAAAGGTAGGTCAATTTCCCGCCAACCTTTACCCACTTCACTCACTAGCACTCCGTGTAGTGTTCGGGCACAACACCCTGCGATGCCTGTTCGAATCGAGGTGGGGCTTGCGTATATGATGCAGCATCTGACCAGCGAAGGAAAATCATGCAGCAGCGGGCTTTGCAGGATTTAGTCGAAATGCAAGCAGCCCTCGATCGAAATCGACAGTTTCTTGGAGGCATGATTGCCACCTTTCGTGTTGGCGACACTCAAACCTCGAACGACCTCCTGGCAATGATCCGATCCGAGATTGGCCTTGCACAGCTTGGCTCTTATGTCGCGAACACTCGTCGTTCGAATCCCATGATCGAAGAGGCTTTCCGAAGTATTGATTTCACGAGCGATGCCCAGGAAGGACTCCCATCTCCCATGCAAATTCTGAAAAGCATGACACCGCAACATAGCTCAACCATTGAGAGATCCGCGCTAGATGGCGGCAGTCAAAGCTTGGGTTCGGCCAGTGACACTGCAAACTTCCACGAATCGGTGGATGAAAACATATGAAATCGCCAACGTCGGTCAAGTACGCGTAAGCACGAAGTCATCAGGATCGTCGGCGGCACTCTCGTGTGCTGATTTATGATCTCGTCTCACCTCCCTGAAATCTTGCTGTGAGAAATCATGTTTGACTGCCTACTAGTGTTAGCCTACCGCAATAAGATAAGTGATGACTCGGAAGCCACGCCGATCCACATGTCGTCTGACAACGCTGCTGCGGCGTAGTTCGTTGCCAGCTCATGGTGTACGGTAGCAGGCGTGGTTGGTAAGAGGAATCCTTCGAACCCAACGAGAATCAGGGCCAACGAGTACCAACTGTATATTCTTGAGAGGTCGGCATTCACGTCAGGCTCGCTGCTTCGTTTGTGATCCCTGGCCATAAAATCAATCAAGAAAGGTGTGAACAGCGACAGTCTCAGAGCAAGCAGTACAGGAAGGAAAGCATGTGTATTGAGTGCAGCTGGGACACAGAAAAGCAAGAGGACATAGCAGAGCAGGGCTGCTGTTCGGATTGTTGGGACTGGTCTGATTTTCTGGCGGGCTGCAGGCTGTTCCCTAACCGTATCCATAACTGAGCAGAATAGGTTTTGTGAAAAGGAGACTGGAAGGGTCTGGTTCAACACGAAATACATCCACAAATGAGGCACGTTGTATTGTTGACCTGTGAAAATTAGCAGACCACGAGGTCAGAGGCAACGAGAAAGGAAGAAGTTCACCCAGCATGCTCATCCATAAATTACACCTGTAGGAATACAGTAGTGAAAGGCGTACCTTTTTCCAGGTCGCTGGACTTGCCAATAGATCTTCTGCAAAAGTTCGATACAAAGTCGAATCATTAGCCCACTTCCAGACTTGTTGCAATTGACGGTGTGAACCGGAAACGGTTCTCAGGCGATGGAACAACTGTAATGCGTGTCCAGTCGTCTAGGCATGGTAAGACGCAATGAGGGAATGGGGCATATTCCACGACAGTACTGCAAAGCTGATCGAGGCCGCCACCGGAAATAGGATGCGTAATTTTATTTAGGTCCCAACCGCTCTTTGATAGATTCGTTCATCCTTCTGTTCTGCGAACGACACATTTTTCGACGTAGGATCCTGTTGGTGTTGAAGACCTGAAGCCTGATTACTCAATGATCAAGTTCGAAACGACCAAAGCAGCAATGATATAGCTGAAAAACAGGACCGCACCGAAACCATTTTGACCTGCTACAGTCTTTGCATCACCATCTTCCGCTGCGGTACTAACGCTGACGTAGATACACAAAATGTGCACAGTGAGAAGTATTGTTTGTGGCATTGTTCGAGGGCGCCAAAGTCTTGTGGAAAGGGCCAACACTCTGTGGAAGGATGGGAAAGAGTCGAGAGAGCTTTCTCAAAACATGACCAGACACCCGGCACGACAGCTTTGACGCTGTCAAAGACACACATTTATTTTTGATGCAATCTAGTTACGGCATCTCCGGCACAAGTCAGGACCGAATCGAACGTGTTGTGTTGAGTGCTTCGCGTGGATGTCTGGAGCAGCGTCAGATCGACCGATTGTCTGAAAGACCTTCAATAGGCCATTCTTCGAGACACAACTCACCGTCATTCACAAAAAATTTGGCTACAAAAAAGGCGTTCAATAAGTTGCAGCCAATCGGAAGGGCTGCTAATGGCTCACAGGGAGTGAAATCATGCTGTGCGAGTACAGCGAGAGTGGGATGGTCACAAACGATAGCAGGATATTGTATTCAGGGAGCCGACGGCTTTTGCCATCCGACAAGCACTTCTTCGATGAACCGCTATCCGCAGCGCCCTACAACTTCAACCTGGCAAATATCTGGACGTAAGCCTGTGCTCGAGCACCAAGTCTTCACCACACAGCAGTCAAAGCCCTTCACACGTGTTGAAGTCGAGCTTACTGCTCTACCGAAGATTCCAGTTATCTGTTAACGTGAACACCTAGATTCAGAACTACTTGAACCAATAACTTGGCTCTAGCCTGCTAATAAGCTGGTGACGATGCTCGCGTTGGACAAGTGAAATAGAAAAGTGCCGTCGGAAAAATATTCCGGGCATGGATTTGATACTAGCCATCAGCTCTACGGTCGACGGGCTGATTTTCGTATGGTAATCCACTCAATTAAAGCCGATAATTTAGAACAACAAAGGAAAGTGCACATGCTGGTCCTTCCCCTATACATTGAGCATAATCTTTCTCTGATGATACGCCATCCTGTGCTTCTCTGCTATACTATCGTAAGGTCTTGAGATTTCGTCTTTAGTTCTGAACAATCGAGGATTTGACAATAACAACTTGATTCTAGCGAAGGACTGATGGACGCCGAGCGCCGACGCATGGAGGTCATATCGGACTACTAGTATTCCCTTCACTTTCTCTCTCTCTTTTCCTCTCTCCACCTCGAAACGATCCATGCCAGCAAAATGCAGTTTCCGAATGCCTTCCGGGACGTGAGAACATCGTGATGAACCATCCACGCCGTCTCTTGCGTAGCCCAAAAGCCTGGTTTCTCCGCAAGCGTGTATCGATCGATAACATGCACGGACTACCCCGGACAGTGCTGTAGCGATAGTACGAGGGCATCTACGCCTTTTGACAGTGACTGCCTCAAAGAATTTTGTATCGCTTTCGGTATCTACTAACTTTAAGCCTAAAAATTTTCACAAGCCACCCTTGTCAGCAAGACAAGTTCCAGGTCGTTGAAGTGCTGACTTTGCAGCAAATACCTGTAAAATTGCCAGAATGACACAAGCATGCAGCGTTGGCTCGCCGAACATAATCATTGTCGGAGCTGGTGTAATCGGCTTATCAACAGCAATATTACTTCAGGAGGCAGTACCTAAAGCATTGAGTATAACAATTGTTGCTGCAGAGTTCCCATCTCGATCTCGCTCAGAGACTGGCAACTCTGTTCAGGAATCGATATCTTCAGCAGACTACGCCTCAATGTGGGCAGGAGCCCATTATCGACCTATTCCATTTCTCTCGCCATCGGATCCTGCATATACTCCACTGTCACCTGAGCAACGTCGTTTCCATGCACAACTTGCGAAGGAATATAGTCTTGCTCTACACACCGCTGAAACCATGAAAAGGCTGGCAAGGTCGGAACCAAGATCAGGAGTGCAGATCGTTACTGGTGAGGAGTATCTAGAATGTCCTCCGATAGAAAACCTGAGCCGGAAGACGGGGGATGTGTATGCGAGTGTTGATGACAAATTCAGAGTCCTAGATCAAGACGAGCTTGACATTATGAACACGAAGCATGCTCAGCGGACGACTTCCGGCAAAGTGAAATGGGCTTGTAAGTACGAAACATATGTTGTAAATGTTCACTCATACTGTCAATTTCTTCTAGACAGGTTTATCAAAGCTGGCGGAAGGACAACCAAGAGATGCTTGCATGATCTTTCAGAGGCTTTGGACGTCCTTCCTCAAAGATCACCACAGCAGAGCCGCGTTCAGCCAGTTATAATCAACTGCTCCGGTCTGGGTGTACCCACCCTCTCCGATCCAAATACCAAAGTCATTCGTGGACAAACCGTACTGGTACGCAATAAATTCAACAAGACTCTAACGCGGCAATGTGCTGATGGAACCTGGTCCTTCCTCATCCCTCGACCTTTGAATGGTGGCACTATCGTAGGTGGTACCAAACAAATTGACGACCTGGATGACTCTGTACGATCCGAGGAGCGAGGAAAACTGCTAGAGAATGCAGTGAAGTACTTTCATGAGTTTGTGAGCGATGTGAATGAGTTTGAGGTCATAACGGATAATGTTGGTCGAAGGCCGTGGAGAGAAGGGGGAGTGCGAATTGAGGTAGATCGGGATACGCTTAGTGGGAGAGCTGTGGTGGTACATGGATACGGTGCCGGTGGAAGAGGGTATGAATTGAGCTGGGGCATAGCTTCTCAGATTTGCGCCTTGGTGCAGACACACGTGCAAAGTAAACAGCTTGACGCCAAGTTGTGATAAGCGGGAGAACAATACGATGTTTCCAGACGCAATACGTGTCGCAGACACATGTGCCCCATGGGATCTTTATCAAGCTTAAGATTGATTGTGCTGTCTCGAGAATCCTCGCTGCATAACCGTCTTGCTCAATTGGCTCTCCGCAAAAGACATACCGCAACCGGTGATATTATGCCTTGCACTTCGGCCTTCTTCAATGCCAGCATCTTTTCCAACCTAACCCATACCCACTTTTGATAGCACAAGATTCTAGTACAACGTGTCTCACTAGCCCAAAGCCATCTTCCCTGAGTTGTGGACCATATCTGTGTTCGTCAATCATATAACGTTTCTCGTAACGCCGTCGAACATATAAATAAAAGCCTAACAGACACTGCACTAATGATAACCGTTGGTCTTGGTCGGAGCCGAAGTTCGCTGACTGTAGACGGCCGTCCCTCCAGTAAAGTAGTCGTGCAGGCAAGCCTGCTTAGCGCTCAGTCGTCGGCTCGGGTCGTACTCTAGCAACTGGTCGAGCAAATCAAGACCAGCTTCATCGAGTGTAGGTGCAAATTTCTGCGTGCTCTCACGTCGCCATTTGGGGAAAGTTGCCTTGAAGTCTGGAAAGGACGTGACGCCTGGCCAGGTATTCTCGTCTGGTGTGCCGAGGAGTCTTGCAGGAATTAGCACAGGGCCGTACAAAAAGAATTCGATATACTCACTTAAAGATTTTGAAGATCTCATCAATCTCCGAATCACCAGGGAACAGTGGTTTTCGTGTGCACATCTCTGCAAAGATTGCGCCTACAGACCACATGTCCACGCCAGTCGAGTATTGTCGGCCACCTAGGAGAATCTCAGGAGCCCGATACCAGAGTGTAACGACCTGGAAAGTATTGTTAGCAAATTATTAATCCTTATTCGCTTACGAATATGCTCACCTCGTGTGTATATGTTCTCAGTGGTACACCAAACGCTCTAGCCAGCCCAAAGTCCGCCAGCTTTAGGTTGCCCTCTCTATCAATGAGCAGATTCTGTGGTTTAAGGTCACGGTGTAGGATCCGATGGCTGTGACAGTAGCGTATACCCTCGACAAGCTGTGCCATAAACTTCTTGACCATGTCCTTGCCTAATCCCAAGCGTTGCATGTCTTCACTACCTGTAGGCAGTGCCTTTCCGCGTCCGCCCTCTGCAACTGGTAGCGCCTCCATGTACTTTTTCAGGTCTAGATCGAGGAATTCGAAGACGAGGTATAGTTTGTGGCCGTCGGCGTGGACAATGTTCAGCAGGCGAACAATATTAGGGTCGTTCATCTCCTTGAGAAGAGAGATCTCGCGGATAGCCGTGCTCGGTACGCCTTCATCTTCGGCTTCCAAGCGGATCTTCTTGAGGGCGACAATGCGGCCGCCATTTTGGAGGTCGCGGGCTTTGTAGACGACGCCGTAGGTACCTGGACAAGGTCAGCCGAGGCGGTTCGTGCTTCAGAACCTATGCTTGCCTTCTCCGATCTTTTCTATCTTCTGGTAGTTCTCCATGACGCTGTGCAGTCTCGAGTCGAGTCGATCTCGGTCGAGTACAGGGGCAGGGTCTGGACGGAAGACGAAAGAACCCTAATATAGCTGGAGACAGATAATGCACTGTACCTATTCGTTTGCACCAACGCTCGTTAGTGAGATTGCATGTATCGGCTCAGTCGCTCGAATTGTAATTGACCTCGTTGTCGCTGAATCTGGGAAGGGCAACGAGGCTGAAACAAGCAAAACAAACAGATTCTCGAGCGTGTTTTGGCGCGTGCGGGCCTTCGCGCGAGCATGTGAGTTGTGGGGCGTCTGCGAACCCTGCCAAAGACTTGCCTCTGATGCCTATCACTACTGTTATGGTTTTTGCACATCGAATCTTGGATCGAAACGTTTACTTTCCTGCTACAAAACTATTACTTAAGAACAATACCGCAAATGCATTACTGGTTAGCCACGAGCCGTCACGGCCTTCAATGCCAGCATATCAACACGTCTAAGATACACTTCCATAGCGTGCATTGCTGGATCCCCAAAAACAACGTTCCTTAACTGTGCATCGGTGACAGTATGGACTGTTACCTTGCTGAGATTGTCTTTCTCCCATCTCTGAGAAGTTACTCTTTGCATAGCCGAACTGCTCTTTTCGCCTGACGAGGATGGCTGAGCAGGAGCACGCATCAAGACTAGTCTTCCTGCATTGGACAATGTCGCCTGGGGCACTAACCAGATGTTTGGCTGCGGACGTGTGCTTAGCTGCTGCTGGAATTGTGCTGATGGTTTCACACTGGTGTCTTGCTGTAAGTAGCCTAAGAGACTGCATTTGTTCACTAGCCTATTAGCCACAGCCTGGCTGCAAGGATTGGTGAGCTCCATTTTAGGTATTGTCAAGTCGAGCTTTGACATTGAGTTCTGCAGACACGTCATGGTTGTGCCAGCAGTCACCCGCATCCGCTGATCTGGCTTTGACGAGATTGGTAGTGGCGATGAAAGCAGGTCTACCAAACTTCTCATATATGCCTTTTCTGCCCTCACAACCGGATCACCTTCATTGATGAAGCTGAAGAACAGAGACTTTTGGAAATTCTTAACATCTGGTTTCGCCAGTGGTAGAAGTGTGACTGGCGGTGCTCCAAAGGTGACACAATGTATCCTCTTGAAGCAACCAGTCAGTATACTAAGCTCACTCCGTATCGAGCTGAGCATGTGTGAATACAGTAGAGCAGCAACAGCGCCACCAGCAGAATGGCCAGTAATAAGCAGACTGCAGCTTGCGCGGCTCGGGTTCTCCTCGAGCAGACTTCTCAGTCGCATTGCGATTGGTTTGATCATGGCTTTGGCAACTTTGAGAAAACCTGCGTGGCAGAGATTACCTTCATCGTCGAGGAATCCGGCTGGACTTATAGGGGCAGTTTGTAAGTTCACGTTCCAGTCTCTGAGACTGAGAGTACTCGTGCCACGGATAGCAAAGACCAAGGTCTTCTTGTCGTCGCACGGTACAGAATTAATCACCATGGCCTTTGTGCCCAAACGTGGATCGGCTGATACAAACGCGTCCCTGCCCATCGAAGAATTTAACGACTTGTACGCGTTGGCTGAATATTGAGCTGCAAGACATATTAGTGGCCACGTGGGAATATACACGCGCAGCGGAGGTAGGTCTGAAGGTAGCTTCGAGTTGTTGTAAAAGGAAACCTTGGACCATATCGTGATCTTCTGGGTACATCGCTGATTTGGCTGTGGTCGTTTCCGTTCTGCTCTGTTCTGCGTCACAGCTCTTGTTGTTTCCACGGATCGAGGCGCGCTCTGACCTGCATCTTCCGATAATATGATCGAGAAATCGTCGTCGTTCTCGTTCCACCTATCTTCATCAATGCCTGCAATTATATTGCTGAACTGTTCATCCACAGCGTCCTGGTCGATCGATCGTTGAAGGGTAATGGCATGGGCACCAGGCGAGTAGTTCCCTTGCTCGAAACTGGCTGTCTGTTGTGACAGGTTTTGTGCTTGGCTGTAACCTCCTAGAACGTCGCCGTATGCCGGGATGGAGTGGTATGCTGGAGGGGTAGCATTAAACTGAGGCTGAGATGCTGTCGCGATCATCGGTGGAGGTTGTGGGGGTGTCGTCGTCTGTCGACGGCTGCTGAAGAGCCCCATGTCGCCATGTCTTCACCACCATATACTGCTTTTGCAGAGGTGTATAGGTCGCGGCTTTCCCAGGAAGTGGAAGTAAGGATAATGCTACGATTTCACTGATATGGTTGTTGGAACGGCTCGTATTGCCGTGATCAATTGTGATAACCGTCAACCAATGGTTACCACCGCCACGTCATGGATGCGATATTGAGCCACCCTGCGCCTCAAGGCGGAAAAACGCTTTCCGTTCTTGGCTCACTCACCTCATTCGCTGAATCACTCCAATTGATCACTGCTTCAATGCAGCTTTCAATGTCTCAGAACCGTCGAGGACGAAACATGCTTCAATCTCGGCCCTTGATAGAATCGTGTCCGAAGTCCCGTCAGCTTGTTGATTCGCTAGGTCGATCGATGTCCTCGCAAAGTATTCCGGTTGGGAATTGTGCGTTGACCAGGGCCTTCGATGAGACGTGCAGGCAGCTGTCAAATATCGAAGAAGCTGACCGAGGGCTACATCGTTCTTACGTGTTGTCGAGCTGGGCAATTGGCCATGATATTGTCCATGGTTTACTGTGCTCTGTACATGTCAACTCTACATCAGAACTTCGGATGGGTGATGTTGTCGTCAAGTCATTTGCAGCCCTTCCTGAGCTGTCACACAGGTTGCGGTGTCAACCCACTGAAACCGTTTCCTCAAGGTAAACTCAGATCTGGACTGAATTGATTTGACTTCAAGATGAAGAGACACACTGACCAGGTCGAGCCAAACGAGTTAACTTTATGACTGCTATTCAGAACCTGCCCTCAATCGTGATGGATGGTGACAAGTCGTGCTGTAAAGAGGATGATTGTTCAAGTCTACCCTAGGTGAGCCGTGATGCGTCGATCTAATGGCCAATCTTGTATCTGCATGGGACGACATGACAGCGGATCTAGCACTAGTACCGGACAGAACACCAAGGCTGGACTTGGCTGATATGCTGGGGATCTACTTCAGCCTGTATCCGAAGAAGTCCGATATGAGGACGCCATATTTTCAACGACAATGGAAATCTACTTACAATGCTGCAGGTTATCGACGACAGCTGGCGATAATGCTCACATACGAAACGGAAATGTCAAGAAGACTGTCCGTTGTGGCGAGTCGAGTCCGTGCCTTGACAGCATCTACTACAGAAGAACCAGCTATGGATGCACATCGATCCGTCTCGATACAGTCCAGCACAGTACGGTCAGAGCAATCGGTTCGAAATGTCGTAGGGACAAGGAAACGGAAAAGAGATACCGAGAATAGTGACGAAGAGGTCATTCCTGCCATCAAGAAAGCCAAAGCACTCACTCAAGACTCGCCTCAAATGGGCGGTACTTGTACTGGTGCTCCTGTCCTGCAGGGAGACACGATAGCCAACCCTGAAGAGTGTCAAGATGAGCCTAAGTCGATGTTGAGAGCTTGTTTCGATGACACCGATATCGCAGCGATTCAGGGTCTGCATAATCGAATGGTCGTTGTTATGGCTACGACCGTTGAGTTAATTCAAAAGTTGGAAGAAATAGATCGCCTGCTCGACAAACACCTCTTTGCAAATTGCAATGAGAACAACAGCGGACGTAAGAATTTGACGACTGACTTGACGCGCGATATTTGCAGTTTGCATGCGCGAGGCCGATACTTCATCTCTCATATTGATACCTTGGCTCATCGTCTGCTAGGGTATTTGACTGTACACAATGCTTGTTTAGCCACTGCAATTCACGCTTCAGATAAGGAAATCGGGGAGACTCCAAGTCACGATACCGAGAACGAGCTCTGGTGGGAGCAATCTGAAAAAGGAGCAATACATTATTGGTTGTGGGCTACCACTCTGCTGCTAGACAAGCCGGAACACCATGTTCATAAGGTGTAGGACGAGGGAGATCGAAGCACACCTTACAGGAGCTGACAAGGTTTGGATGGAATTTTATACTTAGTGCGACTCTGGCTGCTTTTGAATTAACGAGCATATTTGGGATTGAGCACACGTTATCTGGAATGAGGAGCTGTCTGCACACATTTAGCATATTTACGTACTCTTTTCTACGTTCACGGCTAAAAAAGAAGAGCCCGAGTATCGAGGAGATGTCACGTGATCCCGCCTCAATTCATCGCAGTACAAAGTCGTTCCGAAGTCGACCTATCAAGTCATTTTCATCAGATCTCATTGCTGACAGCCTGTCTGAACCGCGGCCACCTCGCCTTCGTTACAGTGCGCGGCTTGCCTAACATTCCGGTGTCCCGTTTTACCAGGCATACTTTGGAACAAGCACACTATATCTACTCAGCAAGTCGCCCAAACGTTACAGACAAGAATCCAATATGGTTTTCGGCGGTCTCTTCGGCGGCGGTTCCTCGTCTGGCTCAAATAACAACAATAACAACGATGATTCCTCATCCACATCCTCTCCGAGCACGATATCCACACCCTCTCCCTCGCCTTTCTCTTCAATCAGTACCTCGCCATCAGGCGGTTCTTCTTCAGCCATAAAAGCGAAACTCCAGGGTGCCATCACACAGCAATCGAACCTCATCAACGCAAAGTTCCTGATATCTAAGATCAATGAGAACTGCTTTGACCACTGTGTGTCCGAGCCGGGTGCCAGCCTCTCCAGCAGGGAGCAAACATGTCTGAGCACATGTATGGAGAAATATATTGATGGTTGGAACGTTGTCAGCAGAACGTATGTTGCGCGCTTGCAGAAAGAAGGAGCTCAGTTGCAACAAGGAGGCATGGGAGGACTAGGTGGAGGAGGGTTCTAAAATTTCAGGAAGATCGTGAAGAGACATAGGATTGATTGTTTGCTTGCTTGCTTGAAGCAGGAAGTGGAAAGATATGAGAGTAGAAAGTGTTTAGTTGGTCTGGATCACACAAGGCCATCCATTTTTGACAAGACAGAACGCAGGATCTGTGATATGAACTCCAGGTATTCTGAACGTCAGGTTGCTGGTAATGTGGCAATGGCCGTGAGCATCTACAGCATGTAAACCAAGATCGGCGACCAAGATTGTACAATACATAGACTTCAATTCCCTGCACGAATACAGCATTTGTCGTCTGAACAATGAATAAATGGTAAAGACAGCTCGGGCAGCGAGCCTCTCGAAGAGCGACCCGCAGTTTCGTAACCAGGTGGATCTAACGCTCCAATTGGTGCTCGCGAAATAGTGTCGCATGTGCACTTTCTGTCTTTAGAGGCCACGATGCGTTATGTTTAAACATACCTGAAATATTGTCTGCTACGCCTCCTGACCCGGAATTATATGCATAGGGTCGCAAACCTAAAGAGCAACTTGATGTTCTCCTGACGCTCTCCGTCTTGACTGCCTTGCTCCTCCGTCTCCCGAAACTTCACCCATCACCGCTACCAAAATGTATAGTACCAGCATGATCACGAGCCTACTGCTTTTCGCAATATGGCTCGTCTCAAGCAACGCAGCTGGTTTGTCGGACACAGAGAAAGAGATGAAATCAATACCAGTGCGCCTATACCGACCCACAATTGGGTGACCCTTTGCTGACCATGAGCAAGCTACGAACACATAGTCTGGCACCTCCATACCTCGACTCGGACCTGTCAAGTCGATGGTGGGACTTCGGCGGCGACACGATAATACGGGCAGACCAATACATTCGTCTAGCAGCTGACATGCCCTCACAGTCAGGATGGATCTTCTCTAAAATACCACTGACTGCGACCAATTGGGAAATCGAGTTTGAGTTCTCTATTGCTGGCAAGGGCAACCTACATGGCGACGGCTTCGCATTGTGGGTGACGAAAGAGCGAGCACAACCGGGACCAGTGTTTGGGCACGCAGATCGCTTCGAGGGTCTAGGACTTTTCTTCGATACGTACAAGAACAACAGACCAGGGGTAGTGTTTCCTTACGTTATGGCGATGATGGGGGATGGGAATATACCGTATGATGCAAACAACGATGGTAAAGCGAATGAGATTGGTGGCTGCTCGGTAAGCAATGAATGTGACGAAAGGGAGCCTTGAGCTGACAGCATGCCAGGCACGAGGTCTAAGAGGAGCATCGGTGCCTACCAAAGCAAAATTGACATACTTTCAGGACCAGTCACTCGAATTACAGCTGCAGTACAAAACAATAGATAGTTGGGTACAATGCTTCAGAGTTACTAAAGACGACGGGAAAGGACCAATAAAGATGCCAAACACCGCCTACTTAGGCTTCTCAGCACATACTGGCGAGTTGTCTGACAATTTCGATATCGTTAGCGTCGATACGAAAAACTTGTACAGTCCGACTGCTGGATCGAGGGGACCACAAGGAGGTCAATCTAGACCTGGAAATCAGAGCACATTCAAGAGTTCGAACAAGCAAAGCGGTGGGTGGGGATGGTTCTTCTTCAAAATGATCGCATTCTTCCTGGTTTGTGGTGGTGGCTATGTGGGTTACACTGCGTATAAAAAGAAGCAGAGAAGGGAATACAGGGGCTTCTAGGATGCTTAAAGGCGGATGTTAGTGATCACTTGACAGCATTTCTGCGAGAAATCTTGAAATCGATGCGGAACCTGCCTCGCCGAGCTTATATCCAGAGCTTTTGCAAGACATTACCCTTTCAACCCACGCTTGGTCTGCCTCGCCTCACGATGCGCCTCAAAACTGCTTGAGATCTTGGCATCGGGACATGTTCGAGGCACGGTGCATTACTTGGAAGCAGTAAAGAGTTGTCAGGAATTGGGAGATTCCTGAGATCTCCGCATTTCATTCAGGTTGTATGAGGCTAGGAAACACAACAGCGATCAAGAGACCTCGCTACAAGCACGTCGGACATCGACACGATGGGTCGTCATCTACTCGGCCAAGCAAGTCTGAGTACATTCGCGACTTCAGCCACCGTCACTAACACAGGGACGAGGTATATGGCTGCTGAGTATCTAGCTGGTGGGAACGTAGGATAGGCCTGGTACGCACGCGTAGAACAACAGTCGCCAAAATAGACCCGTGCTTAGCACCTGCTTCGAGCAAGCTAACTACGAGAGGTATCTGGTGGTAGGGTGCACAATCAGGCGAAGGATGAGTAAACACATGACATCGAACTGGTAGCTTGCTCAATACACGGTAGATTTCGACGTCGTTCACTGTGGCTACTAGATCTCAGCTCTTAAGATCTGATCATGTTCGCGTTCTTAATTTGGTAAACGGAGTCTTTGAGTCAAGTATTATAGAGTATGCCTGTTACATCTCGAATGCAATAACTAATACGGCCACTTCTGAGAACATTTGACCTAAACTCACTTTGAGCTGACCGTACATCCCAAATAGGGCTAGCTTCCTGATTCACTCGTGCTCGCACGAATTTCAACACCAATCAGATCGCTCTGTTTCGTGCCTCTTTGACCTGCGTTGTTTCCAGATCACGAAATTTGCCAAGCCGTCTGATCGGTCTGCATTGACAATTGCAGTGACGCCGGATCAGCCAGCACCTGCTGCAGCCTACTTGTACTCCGTTTTCCACTTCTCACTTCCGCGTTTCTCCTTCTTCTACTTCCACGCTTTCCACCCACGCATTCTATCACGAACTCCATCACGTTCATCGCAACTTATCTATTTCTCCACACTAGTCACTTCTATCACATCAATCTATCACAATGACAGGACGTAAGTCAACACTCTCCCACCACCGCGTTATCGTTCAAACGCGAGACCTTGCCGTCGCGTCACCCAACGCGTCTTCGGCAATCTGTTTTGGCTCCTTCATTTCTGCTCAATTGCATACTGACATATACAACAGGAGGTAAGGGTGGCAAGGGCCTTGGAAAGGGTGGTGCTAAGCGACACCGAAAGGTAAACATTATTGTCATGGCTCATTCAGACACGTACTAATATGTCCCAGATTCTTCGCGACAACATCCAGGGTATCACGAAGCCAGCTATTCGACGTCTTGCTCGACGTGGCGGTGTCAAGCGTATCTCAGCCATGATCTACGAGGAGACACGAGGTGTTCTCAAATCCTTCCTCGAATCAGTCATCCGTGACGCAGTCACTTATACCGAACACGCCAAAAGAAAGACAGTCACATCGCTCGATGTCGTATACGCTTTAAAGAGACAAGGCAGAACTCTGTACGGCTTTGGTGGTTAAGCAGTTCTACATTTTCGACGGCAAGACTTTTGAAAGTCTAAAACATAGGCCTTATTCTTTGCAACCATACGACGAGAAAGAACACGTCGATGGAGATTATGTTATCACGATACGAGGGTGCTTTGCGGTGAATGATTGAACGAACTTTTTTGCAATGCTTGCAGTTTTGTACAGACAGAACAACAGTGGACGGGTTGCTCATTCATGTTCACGAAATGGGATATGTTTCGCGAAAGCCTATTAGGCGTAGCAATTAGGCACAGACATCCAATAAATTTCATTTGCTACACGATTTTGCTTTCTAGATTTCTTGGTCAACCAGTAGTCACATAATGCGTGTATTCGTCGGATGATGAGTTTCAGATTGAAGGAGGCCTGGTAGTGGCGATTATTGATCACATTCGTGGGCGAGCAGGCACCACCGTTTCCAGGCTATTTCCTGGCGAGTTCCGCCTTATGTAGCTGAAACCCGCCTACAATTAACAGAGACGATCTTAAAAGCGATATCGCAAACGTTTGGGACAGACTGGAGTTGAAATGGTCTTCAAAATATGAGCATTACGTTATCGTGTGCAGCGCACTTCTGAGCAGCACCCAATTAATATGTGGCACCATCACCAACGCCGCGGGCCTTATACACGTGGTGGGCACCTACGAGCGGCTCACCACCTCACTCAGCTCTACAACGATGCGAAAGTATCCTATGAAAACACCTTGGGCCAAAGGAATACGTCAACAAACATTGACGATGACCTTGAGGTAATACAGTTGAGAAAAGACTTTCAAGAGCAGCAAGACCGGCTCTTGGCATGGGGTGTATACTGGGCTGACAAGCAGTCCGGCGGACAATCTGTGAAAGGGAAGGAGGCTGGCTTCGAGCTCAATATCGATGAGAAAGTCGACCAAGCTGGTCTGGGTGAGGTGGTAGCCAGCATTATGGAGACTATACGATCCACCCTCGCGCAAAGTGGCCAGCTACAACATCCGGAACGATGGAAGGAAAATCACGGACCACCTACAGGTGCAGGGGGTGCCTGGGGCGCATTCAAGAGCAGTCTGCTGAAAGAGAAGCTTGCAGCATCTTCTCCTCGACCTGATCTGGAGAAGTATAAGGATTACGAGTTGACTACTGGTCGGAACTTGCTGGAAAAGTTAAGGAATAGTATTGACTTACTGTACGACTTGGATGAAAACCAGCAGGACCCGGTCAGTTCACAAAAGCTTTCTGCAGAAGAACCCATACATGCTCAAACGCAAGCAGACTCTATAAGTGGACCTCCATCCCTGCCCAGAACTGTCAGCGTTGATGAGGCCTTCAGTGCAAAAGAGCTGGCTCAGCTCTCACACCAACTCCTCAGTCATCCACTCTACATCGATTTCTCGAGACTAGAGGCCATGCACGATCCCAATGCTGCAGCAGAGCCACCAAGCTACGAAGAAGCCAAAGAGAATACACAACCCATCCAGCCAAAGGCGGTGTATTTCTTCCCAGGTATGCAGACCCATGTTCTGGTTGATGTTGCTCGAGCTAGGAGTTATCCTGTCATTTCAGAAGCCATGTCCGTTCACGATCCTTTCAGGAGTGCGCATGAAGTAGCACAGCTAGTCTCCGGAAAGGGACTACTGACCTGGGACGGCCATCTCAAACTCCTCGGCTTCACCCTGGCTCACGGGAATTCGAGGTTCGGTCTGGTATACGCTCTGCCTGCACCAAGCGATCCAACCGCACTTCAAGCTGGACAGACTTTGACTACCAGTATTCAGGCCACGCTCGAGCACGAAACTTCGTTCCCTCCTCTCGAGAACAAGTTCAGACTTGCTTACAACATCGGGTTAGCTGTCACAAGCTATCTTGCCCATGGTCACTGCCATGGTTATGTTAGAAGCTCAAACATCGTATTCCTGCGAGAGAATGATAATCCCAGACTAGGAAAGACATTGAGATGTCCCTACTTATTGCAACCTGTGCAGAAGCTTGTTGGTGAATCAAATATTAACCTTCCTCTATCCCAGATCATCTATCATCATGCTGATGCTGGTGAAGTAGGGTATGGTACGGTCCCAGCATACGATGTCTTCAGTGTAGGCCTGCTGCTGCTGGAAATTGGTCTGTGGCGACCCCTAGCAAGTTTCTGGAAACCGAAATACGACCTTGCTCTGTTTCATGAGAGATTGCGAAAATACTACATTCCCAAGCTAGCATCCAAATGCGGCACCCGATATATGAAGCTCGTACAGGCATGTTTTAATGCACCGGATCAACTACAGGACAGACCTTCGCCTGTTGATGCAGCAGAATATTTGCTGGAGATTGTCGAAGAGCTTGGCAGATGTTGTGCTATCGATGAAGCAGGTGCCCCATCAGAGCTTGATATAGAAGTGTTTGAGTCATTGATTGAATCTCAGCGCGTTGATTATCCTCAATCATCAAAATCGCAGACAGCAGCACAACCACATATAGCCTCAACGGCCGCATTAACGAGTATGGTTGATCCAACACAGCCGTCAGTCAAAAAATCCCAAGCCTCAAGTAAGGTGAAGCAGAAGACAGCGGATAGTTTGAAAAAATGGCCTAATATGGACATCCCACAAGACCATCTGGAGACCTGGAACAATATGCTGATGCCACGACTAAGCAAGATGTTAAAGAATTGTCTCAAGGACTCGATGGAGTCATGCAGTGTTAGTCTGATGATGATCGGCAGTACTCCCGAGAAGGCGAAGACAACGATATGTGTACAATGCAGAGACACTGCCCGTGTTCGAGAAACACTTTGTAGTCGCTTCAAGCCGAAGAGTGGATGGGGTCTAGTAGTATGTCCTGGCGATGTCAGGAGGAGTGGACAAGTTCGACGTGCTACAAAACGAGGCTCAAATGCACGAAGATCAGGTGCTGACACTGATACCGTTGATAACAGCGCAGAGAAGCCTAGGGAGCAGCTCTATCAACCCTGGCCTGGATGTGGTGCCAGTATTGGTGCTTGGACAAACGAACAGCATTTGCCACCTGTCTCTTTTGGTGGAACTATCATTGTGGATGGAGAACCGTATGGTATGACTGTGCATCACATGCTTGATGACCCAGATGATGTTGATCGACATAACCAACAAGCTAGCCCAGAGGCACCAACGCGATCCATCGCACCTAGGACAACCACTCAGGTTGCTGAATATGGCCATAGTCTTACGCTCAGGGCATCGGAAGAGGAACTGCCAGATGTTACAGATGAGCTTGAAATTTACAATGATGACGAAATGGCAGATACTTCGGATGAAGACGAGCTATCTGACACCGAAAGCGACACTTCGACTATCAAACCAGATTACATGGTAATGGACGAAGAAGGCTCCGAATTCTTCATCATGGATGATAGTGACGACGAAGACGATGGACCTCCTGATCTTGAGGATGAAGCTGGGCACTCTTCTGAAGAATCGGACGAAGAGCTCTCTGAAACAGGTAGCATCGGCGATACACCCTCGGTACACGCAGGCCGGCTTGACGATGAAGACTTTTGCATCACACAGCCAGCCTGGGACGATGTGCCTGAAAACTTTTTTAGCGACGACCCAGAGTACCGAGACGAGGAACACCTCTTGTCGCACTCCTTTGGATACGTTCATGCGTCAAGTGGTCTGAAACGCATTACCAAGAACAACCTGAAGCACGAGGTCGACTGGGCATTGATCAAGGTCAACGACTCAAGACTGAACCATGCTCTTAACCCTGAGGCCCCAGTACTGCCGGGACGGAAGTCCTCAACGACGGCTAGAAGAAGGAAGAGGGGGTCGAACAAGCCGTCAAGTGCTCCGTTCACAGAGCCACCTCTTGCTGGAGTGACGCCAATGATCGAGCTCCCTCGACTTCAAGTCACTTGTACAGGCCGAACAAGCGGTCGTCAAGTCGGTAAAATCAGTCCAGCACTATCGCTGCTCAAATTACCAGGTCGTCGGACTTTCAGCGCATCTTTTACTGTAGAAGGTGGCATGGGCCTCCCAGGCGATTCAGGTGCATGGGTTTATTCCGAAGAGAAGCGAGAACTGTGTGGTCACATTCTCGCCTGGTCTGACGCCTTGAATATTGCCTATATCGCCCCCATGGAAGTGTTGTTCGAGGACCTCAAAGTACGGCTAGCCGCAAAGGAAATCAGACTGCCAGCGCAGCATACCGAGATGACCACTCAAGAATCCACCACTACTACCTCCAATCTTCACGCCAAATCCACAGTCATCAATCGACCAAAACTTCCCCCCTCTCTAACCCAACAACAACAACAACAACACCCTAATCCAAACCTAACCAGCAAAATCGCCAGCCTCCAAATCAACACCACCACCACCTCCGCCCTCACAGACGCCCGAGAACGCGCCCGCACAACCAGTCGACCCTCCTCCAAATCATCTCACAGGGATGAAGCTAGCCCAATGAGTGCCGGGAGCGCGAGCGCGAGGAGATCGAGAGCCGAGACTGTACCGAAAACGCAGAGTCCGACGCAGTTACCTACGCCGCCTTTAGGCGGGGATACGAAGTATGCGAGGAAGGATATTTATGAGTTTAGTGGGATGGGGGGTGTTGAGGAGGGGAAGAAGGGGAGGGGGTTGGTGGTTGTGGCGGCGAAGGCTGTGCCGGGTTAGAAGCTATGGGTCGTTGGGTAGTGAAGGGGAAGGTGCTTTGGTGGTTGGATTGGATTTAGGTTCTGCTGCATGAAGTATATGTAGAGATATGATGTAGAAACTTGAGACTCGTTCTTTCAATTAATCTGTTCTGGTCTATTAACGTACAGCTGTTTCATCCTGTAGCTGCTACATTGCGGTACCTCGACGCTAATGAACCATACTTGGCCTGCCAACTGAAGAAGTAGATCATAGCTGCAAGAGGCTGCCCGACGAACACAAAATTAATCCAAAATATACAGTTTCCAAGGACTTTGCCAGCAACAGTTTTGCTCCTGCCTAACGGCTCCGTCATCTGTATCAATGGTAACTGTAGGACCATGCCTAAAAACGCCACGCCTAGCAACGAGTGTGTAGGTACACCTACTGCCAGTTCGTGCAGAAAGCCTGAAAAGACAAAGACTGCTGTTGAGGCACTAGAGTGTGACCAGCCACGGCCTACAAGAGGCGAATAGACGTGTCGTCGCATGAAGTGGTAGACGGGTTTGTTCCAGGTAGACCAATAATTACGCAAGCAGGTACTGTTCCACCAATCGCCGTAGAATTTACGGTCACCGAATCGTAGGAGTTCAGCCAGCATGTTGAGGAAGGATTGAAAGAGAGCGAAGAATCCGGCTAGCCAGATTATCAGAGATATGGTTGACAATTTCATCAGCCGCTCAAGAATAGAGGGGTAATCTAGGACGACCATCTTGTCGAGGCTGTTGTGGAGGACAGGAACCGCATACTGAGCGCATGTAATCCACATGAACACAGACAGTGCAACGGCTTCGCCTAGACGTTTTCCGACGTAAAGCCAGCGAATCCTGTCGGTTCGAGGATAGGCTGGTTGGTAGACAAGAGTCGGGGCCCACCAGAAATAGGTCAAGTTTCGCAAGGTGATGTTGTTCGGATATGAACATGACCGGTATATATCAGGTAGAGCAACTGATGAGGGTGATGGATGCAACATAGCGTGACGAAGGTCGCGATTTGTGAAGGCGTAGGAGCAAGTTTTGAGCCACACCACGATTGCGTGCATTTCTGATATTGTGCCTATACCCGGATTCTCAATGGCATAGAAGACGACGAGTGTAGTGATGGCCAGTGCCAGTGTCGCGTTCAAAGCATGACCAAAGGCAATCCAGCGCCATGTGCTTCGAAAAGCTCGTCTCTCTTGCTCGGTTTCTGGAGCGTTAAATCCAGCATCACTCTTTTTACGCAGACCCATCGCTCTCTTTGCGTGGTCCATGGCCACTCTTTCGATCATATACGCGGCAAGTAGATGACATGGTGTTACAGCGTACAAGAACAGTCCAATTCGTAGGTCCACGTTCTTGATATTCGACTTCACGGAGATCAGCAGTCCATACTTGCGAGCATTCTCGATGACCAGGCGAAGGTTCATGACAACTATCAGTGTCAGCTCATTAGCCACATCATGCAACAAGAGACGTACTAATGGTCAAGACCATAAGATTTCTGAATCCAAGGAAACTGGGAACCTCCTGCGAGTCGTGACTGAGCACTGAGGGACGAACAGCTCTATGCAGAGCCTCGACATGCTTGTACTTGCTGCGAAACTTGGAAGCCTTTTTCTGCGAGTCCATTGTGCCATTGACTTGAACATTTGTGTCCTGCTTTGGCAAGCTCGTCGTTCCTGCTTCGTCGACATTCCTCGCCTGTGTGGTAGCGAGGTAGAAAGAAGTCATTGTTGCGCTCCACTTCGAGTGCAGTCTCTCAACCAGGAGAAGCAGCAGGAGCAGTCAAAGCTTGCAGCAAGCAGAGAACGGAAGGAACAAACATTCTGTGCATGCCTCCCGAAACAAGGACTTGACCTACGAACATGTTAAGAAGGCGCATGCGTAAGAAATGTCGTGGATAGTTGAGCTCGCTGCCCGAATTGGCTGGGGTTGCTCCACGAGACATTCGTGTTGAGCCAGTCCCGGGCCACAAACTCGTGCATACAGATACCCTGCAGGTGGGAACTCGTCAACGTCTTTTTGCTGCATATCTAGAGGGAGCTGACAGACTGGTGTAGCCGATCTAAGGGCAAGGTACCAGTCGACGGCATGGTGTTCAAATAATGTTCACTGTCGAGTGTATGCAAGACAGGATGCCAATATGCTCGCATATAGTGGGGTATCATCTACGGACAAGCACTCTAATCAATATCGTAGGCACTCGATTGCTCGACAGCCGCAACGGGCTCTGTAAATCCTGGCTGAACAGGTTCTCCCGTCGCCTTCTTTTGTCGCTCTTCCTCCTCGATCTCGCGGAGCCTCTGTTGTCCTTCCTCGTTGGTAGCATCGATGACACCTTCCTGTAAGCTCAACATGCCACCCTCACCAAGTTTCTCGACCACTTGCTCGGCTTCGTCTATAGCCATTTTGCCTAAAACATCGTTGATTTTATCTAAGCTGCCCGTCTCTAGAGCTCTTTGCAGACCAGGCGGAAATGTGTCGAAGATCTTTCTGGCCTCTATTTCAACTGGATCAGTCGAGTTTGGCTGGGGCACATTGATGTGAATTTCTGTCCCAGGTTCAACAGCGTGCAGTTGAATCTGCTCAACGCCTCCTTTCTCCTCCACTTCTTGTTCTTGCCTCTTTAGCTCAGCTGTTCTGGCCTGGATACGAGCGTATGTGTCGTTCACGTCATCCACAAAAAGCTTATGAGCCTTATGGCCCTTGGTGGTGACTCGCTTGAAGAAGACCCCGACACCATCCTTGCCGAGCTGTTGACAATACTGAACAAGTAGTGCCTGGTGAACGCATTGCTTCGCGTAGGTTGCTTTTCCTTTCATCTGAGCACTAAAGGCTTCTCCAAGGAGGCTGTCGTGCGTCTTTTGGTTCATGATTTCGTCGTAGTTCTTACCAATGTATTGTAGAGATGCCTGAAAGTCACCAATCTTGATCTGAGAAAATCCTTTGGCTGTAGGAGTGAGTTCTAGGTTGCTGTCGTCATCCAGGTCGTGCTGTTCAATGAGGTTGTCATCTTCAACGTCGGCCTCAGCGCCAGATGAGACTTGACTGTCCGAACGGGTTGGGACGCTTCTCTGGTTTGAGGCCAGTCCAGCTTTGGGATTCAAGAGTTCGGGATCTTTCGTCGTCTTCGGTGCAGCTGGCTCCTTCGGTTTCGGTTTGTTGACAGACGAATAATTTACGCCGTCGTGTAGTTGGTCACTTGTAATCCGCGAGCCCTCTTCCTTCTCCAACTGCGCAAGTTTGGTCAACAGTTCCTGCTGTAGATTTTGCACCTTGGTCAGATGACCTCGTACGCCATCTATATAGTCCTTGAATCTGTCTGGAGACTTTTTCTCGTCAACCTCCTTCTTGACCTGATCGATCAAGCTTGCCATCATCTTGGAGTAGGTAGGTTGTGGCTCCTTTTGGTGGGTGTAAACTCCTTCTGGTGGTTTTGGTGGTTCGTCCTTTGCAGGATCGGCTGCGCTTTCAAGCATGGACTGAAGGACAAGCTGGTCCGGGTCTTTCGATTTAGCTTCCTCCTGGTGTGAGCTGAGAGCATCGAGCAGGGCATTGATACGCTCGAGGAGGCCATCATTGATGAGTCGTTCGTACTTCAGAGTATCGATTTCTCGTCTGCGCTCGAATCTGTGCTGGTGTATCTGGTTCTGCTTCGCTCGAATGAATGATCTTTTGTCCACGTTCGGATGGACCTCGATATCTGAATCGTCTGAGAGCTCAAGAGCGTCCCACTTGCTATAATCGACTGGCATAGTTGCAATAAGACTTCGTCTGCTGACTGCCTGCCTCAGAAGAAGGAAGAGCCTCTAGGTGGTTCTTTCTGGATGCGTCGTAGACTTAATAAAACAACGTAGTTGACCTGGCTAGGTATTGTGTGTTATATTGAGTAGGGTTTGCAACTGTCCAACAAATCAGTATCTCTTTGCTCATTCATAGATTTCTATTGACCTTTTGGAACTTCATCGAATGCATGCACTGTATTTAGCCAGGCTCAAAAAGGTTGTGACGCAGCGCAGGAAGAGGGGCAGTCTAGGGGCTTTTAGCGCCTGATAGATCCGAGACGAGCTGAGCTTCATAGGGCTTGCAGGGCCCACAAGACACTCATCATCCAAATAATATTACTTGATGACGCCTCCAACTCTGTTAGAGATCCTGGTGGATCAGATCGTGCTGCGAGCAACATTCACTTGTCTATGAGTTAAAATCCCTCCATCGTCCCAGGCACGCGCAAACCGTTGAGCTGGACAATGGGGCCAATAGTCGATGAAAGGTAGGACTCTGAACATCTCACTGACGCAGCGACCTCCCTGGCTACACGATGCGCAGCTCCCTGCTGCTCGGAGCTCGAAGCCTGAGATCGTTGGCGAAACCGCAACAGCAGGACCAAAATGTGTTATTCTCCTTATATAACTCCGCGCCTCGACACTCAAGGATAGAGCCACCAGTCTGTGCCCACATTGTTGTTTCGCGCCCACTACAAACGTCAAGACGTGAGCTGTCCACATCAGCAATACCACCTTCTTCCGCGCGCCCGTTGAGCCAGCTCCAGTTCCAGCGACCTCAAGTACTACAGCAGCTCAGATTTCTCTCCTCCACTCCAGCCAAGTCCGAAACGCCGACGCCTGTGATCAAGTCAGAGCGAAAGCAACCTAAACAGGAGGATAATGACGATGACGAGGAGGAATCATTCCAGAGGAGCGAGAAAGCGAATCAGGCGTCTCAGGTCAATCTCAGTGCTCGCTTGTCCAAAGAGGGCTCTGCTAATTCAGGAGGTGCTGGTTTCGGCGAGGTCTGGCGGCTGATCAAAATTGCTCGACCAGAAGCAAAGATCCTAGGCATTGCCTTCGTCTTTCTGCTCATCTCCTCCTCAATCACCATGTCCATTCCTTTCTCTATCGGCAAGATCCTCGATATCGCCACCCAAGGTGGACAGAAGACCGAAGATCTGCAGTCAGACGAGGGTTCTCCCATGTTATTTGGCTTCTCTATTGGAACTTTCTATCTGGCCCTCGGTAGTGTACTGGCTGTTGGCGCGGCAGCAAATTACGGGCGAATTATTATTTTAAGGATTGTTGGAGAGAGAATTGTTGCTCGCTTGCGTTCCAAGCTCTTCCGCCAGACTTTCGTGCAAAATGCCGAGTTTTTCGACGCCAATCGAGTTGGTGACCTTATCTCCCGCTTGAGCTCTGATACCATTATTGTCGGTAAATCAATCACTCAGAACCTGTCCGATGGTCTCAGGGCGTTCGTCAGTGGAGCCGCCGGATTCAGTCTTATGGCTTGGGTTTCGGTCAAGCTGACTGGCGTCCTAGCTTTGATGTTTCCGCCTGTCGCGGTAGCAGCATTCCTGTACGGTCGCGCCATCAGAAATCTCAGCCGCAGGATCCAGAAGAATTTAGGTACTCTCACTAAGATCGCCGAAGAACGTCTCGGCAATGTTCGCACGTCGCAGGCGTTTGCTGGTGAGATCTTGGAAGTTCACAGGTACAATACTCAAGTACGAAAAATATTCGATCTTGGCAAGAAAGAATCATTGATCAGTGCCACTTTCTTCTCGTCAACAGGCTTCATGGGCAACATGACTATTCTGGCCTTGTTGTACATTGGAGGCGGAATGGTTTCTCACGGCACCATCACTATAGGCGAGCTGACCTCTTTCTTAATGTACACAGCATACGCAGGCTCCTCCCTCTTCGGCCTGTCGTCCTTCTATTCTGAACTGATGAAGGGTGTTGGAGCTGCCTCCAGGCTCTTCGAGCTGCAGGACCGTCAGCCCACAATCTCACCAACGGCAGGCAAGCCCGTGACTTCAGCTCGTGGAACTATTCGCTTTGAGAATGTCTCGTTTGCCTACCCCACTCGTCCTGCAGTTTCTATTTTCAAGAACCTGGATTTTGAAATTCCCCAAGGGTCGAATGTTGCCGTGGTAGGTCCAAGTGGTGGCGGCAAGAGCACGATCGCTTCACTGCTTCTACGCTTCTACGGTCCCACTGAAGGGAAGATCCTGATCGCTGGCGAAGACGTGTCGACCTTGAATGTGAAGCAACTACGACGGAGAATTGGTGTCGTGTCACAAGAGCCTGTACTATTTTCAGGCACAATTGCAGAAAACATCGCCTATGGAAGACCTCACGCCACGAGGTCCGAGATCTTGCGTGCTGCAAGACGTGCCAACTGTTCGTTTATCGGTGATTTCCCTGATGGCTTAGATACTCCTGTTGGAGCTAGAGGAACGCAACTCTCTGGTGGTCAGAAGCAGCGAATTGCCATCGCCCGAGCTTTGGTCAAGGAACCAGACATCCTGATCTTGGACGAAGCTACCTCTGCTCTCGATGCAGAATCCGAGACTCTAGTCAATCAAGCGCTGACAACATTGCTACGAGGCAGTAACACAACAATATCGATAGCTCACCGCTTGTCGACTATTAAAAGATCAGATACGATCATATGTTTGGGTAGTGATGGTCGTGTTGCTGAGATGGGCAGCTACAAAGAATTGAGCAGCAAAAAGGACGGTGCCTTCTCCAAACTTATGGAATGGCAGATGAGTGGCGGTGATTCCACCAACGAGCGGTCTCACGCTGCACAAGCACGAAATAATCCCACTCCCACGGAAACAGAAGAAATCGAATACATGCTACATTCAGGAGAAGGTGAGCATGATGACGTTCGCGAAGGTGATGAGGAAATACAAGGCTCAAAGATCCAAGAAACAGTGACAGAAGCTGTAGAGCAGAAAAAGAAATAAAGATCGATCTTGCTGATACCTTGACGTTATTGGAATATAGCAACTTGTAGAGTTTAGCATAAAAGCATTAGCTAGTGCGACGCAATCGTACAAATTCTCGCCTCATCAATTTTTCAGTTCGTAGCTCAGATGTCCTTCAACCTTCATGCTGTCAACTAGCGGGATGTGATGTTCGTGTCTAGGTTGATGCACAAGGCTTTCGCGCCTGTAGTGACTATCGGATAGCTGGCACAAGTTGTCTTCAGGAAAGTTTCCCACCTAGCGATGATCACGTGAGCATGTCAGGTCCAGGCTACCTATTTCGTGGAAGCTCCCTCCTCTTTAGATTCATCGAATCTTTGCTCATCTAGTAATACTGCCAACCAAATCACAGCGGGACTCGAGCCTGATACCAATAGTCACCTGCTCGTTACCACTTGCTAAACTCAGTGTTTCCGAAGAAAGAGCGATTCAGCACGATGAGGATACTGAGCATCGATTCCAGATCACTTGCTGATATCCTCACACCTACTGGTATTTGCTTCATCTTTATCAGACTCGAACCTAATGGTTGAGATGACACTCCATGGCTTCCCTGGCGATTTGCCGACAAACACGTATGTGCTGCATGACTTTTCAGCAATAGCGTACATAGTATGTACAGGAAGTGCACCTGCAACGTCCGACCAAAACAGTAATGTCCAGGACAGCGGGGCGCGAAACCATACACTACCTCGACTCAGAAACGCGGAGCAGCAATTTCGACAAGCGTCGATTTTGACTAGTCTTGATGTTGAGAGGCTCGAACTGTTTACCTTTTACAAGAAGGTCGATATAGTGAAAGACCAGAAGACTATACTTACCAAGTTCACTAACATTTGCAAGCTCAACAATTGTGTTATTGCTTCCAAAAACGCGTGTCAGGTCATGGATCTTTTGAAGCCCGATATGTTTCACGTGTACAGACTGTTCACATCTGCGATAATATCAAGCCTGCACCTGAGCACAGCACACGAGCACAAGATGGTCAAGGTCAACTCTCAAATATACCTGCTTCCTGCTCGTAGTGATCCAAGTCTGGAATGGAATCCACTCGAGCACGAGCAGACACGATGGATCCTGCAAAAGCTAGACTTACACGTTATTGCTAGTGGGCACCTGGTTCTGGTTGTTAGACATTCCAAATGGCCGTCGTTGATAGCTATGCCTGACCTTATTAATCCAATCGCTTCACCGCTTGATCATTCCAAAGGTACTAGTCTGTACTTGGTGCCGACTGGACAGCTAGCAATGTATCGGGGTATGTGGTCAGCTTCCGTGACGCCAGAACAGGAACACTTCATGGCACGTAGCGGCAGTGATAGCTCTGTGTGGAAGAAGCGATGGCTTGAGATTGCAAGAGATTGGCTGAGCGACAAGACTGAGCATACCACGCATCTTCAAGCGGGCACCATATGGCTTGAAGTAGACATTCCTGTCTTGCAGTCGGACGACGAGAACCATACAACAAAGGACTTTGTCTGGAAGACCGTACATTGGCCAGCAGCTTTGAGCTATGCTTTTTGCAAGTCACTCCAAGCCACAGGGAAGCACGAAACTGATACAACGGATCCTTTCAAGATTGCAAGGGACTGGTTTCTGCAGGGAGCTGCAGACGCTGTGCAAACTCGTCACCATGACCATATCGTCGACTTCCACGCACAGACGGATGAACATTTCTTTGACGATGAGCCCCCTTTCGGAAGTCCTCAACAATCCATGAGTCTGCCTATGCAGAATTTTGCACCAACAGTATATCCTACCCCGCCAGAAGCTTTCAACACTCAACCTACTCCTGGTATGTCTATCGACGGTGGAGTGCAAACACCCGCTTCGAATCTTCAGCCACCTATGAACCACAACTTTTCGTCGCCATTCACAATGATGACCGACACTGGACTTGCAGGTGGCAACGAACAGGCCATCTCAAATTTTTTACAGCACAATGAGGACGATGATCTTTTTGACGATTTGGATGAAGCAGGGTTAGGAGACAACACGTTCGCTGACGAGCCCGACTGGGATTTCTTCAATCAGGAAGCAGTGCAGCCCGAGAGGAGAGACAGCCATGTGCAGGTTGCTAACTCTTCGAATAACGACGAAGAACTTGAGCAGAAAAACGATCAGGTTGAAGATGTTGGCATGGACGCAATCCGCCTTTCGGAGAAAAGCACCAGTCATGAGGCAGATAAGATCAGCAGCGTCCCTTCGCAGGAGCAGTCTCATACCAATTTATCTGTACCAGCACATTCCCCATTACCTCTGTACGAGCCGCCGCTAATGAGGGATACTACTTCTCCCAACCTTGAAGTCAAGGACGAGGTGTTTGATCCTAGGCTAAGCACCACAAGGCCGAACGACTACGTGCCTTCAGGCAAAAGGAGAAGGTCCAGCGTATATGACATCGATGCTCAGTATGACACAACGCGTGACCAGAAATACGGTACACATGGAAAATTCTGCTTTGAGCCAACGAGGTATGCAGGCACAAGGCCAGCAGCCATAGTAAGGTCGGTGCCTCGACGACCTTCCAGCTCGGTGTCCTCAACCTCCTCCCTCTCAGACGACAACCTGCTTGACTCCAAGGCAAATCTTGCACCAACGCACCCATGGACTCACTACGAGCCGGTTCGGTCAGCCATGCCTGAAGAAAGTAGCGGCAGAGAGCCTCACGACGCTATCGACCACGATGCCGAGATCCACGCACTTCTGGATCTGATAGGTACAGCATCTGGACTGGAACCGTTTCTCACACGAGTTCAGACACAGACCAGCATTCAACAGATAAAGGAGACTGATCCTGAACGGTTCTCAATGGTTCTTCAGATGCTGACTGAGCAATTAGCTCTGTCTACCATTTTCAGGGGTCATCAAGACTTGCGTGTTCCTGGCGTGGGTCGTCCACTGACTTTAGATATCACGATGAATGATGCTGGAGTCAATACTACTCTCGTAGCCTCGTCACTGGCTGACTTGGCATCACTACAGCACCCGAGTGTCCCTGCAAGGGTGGAGTCCAGGATTACATCGCTAAAGCCTACCAAACTTCGATTCATGCAAGCGAACAGCGAGATTATTGCCAAAAGCCCCATTTTAGGCTATTGGGAGACCTTAAGCCTTCAGCCGCTGAATGGCAGTAAGGAAGTGATGGCCGTCTGCTTGCATCCGGAAAGTGACGGCTACCGACTCGGTTGTGAGTCCTTTCTGCAACGCATGACCGAGACGTGGGATTCCTGTAACCTAGGCCAGCATCGCAAGATGATGTTGGAAGGCCTATCTGATACAGGGACAATCGCGTGGAAGGCTTTGCCAGATCTACACACCCTTTGCCAGAAGATTGGCAACGGTCTTGCGGATGATGTATATGATGACTGCACTGTTATATATGTCGTCGTCCCAGAGGATGACCTCTCTCTGTGCTTCCAGCTGTGCGATGCCTTTGTGGAGCTATTCGAAACTCTAGAATTGTCCAGGCAATCTGATGGCGGAGATATTACGCTACAGCTTGTTCCGAGTTCTTTCATCGTGGGCTGTGACACAATATCCGTGCCGAGCGAGGCCCAGTTCGTCGACCTTGCTATAGAAGTCTATCACAGGGTACCGCCCACTGAGCACGTTTCAAACACTGCCTCCTGGGCACCAGCATTTGTCTTAGAAGAACCCATACCTCTGCACCTACAATTTGATCTGAGTTCGAAAAGTGTATCACCTTTGGAGAAGCATGGGAAATGCTGTCATCTTGCGTATTGCCTTACTTTGGACACAAGATGGCTTATAGCCACTTGGTCGGACAGTATTGGTAGCATTGCGATGTCGATGTCCTACAGCCTCTCAGAGGACAAGGAGAATGCTACTACACGTTCAGATGTATTCCGACATATCTGCGAGACGTCAGCAGCTCTAATGAATGATCAGCGAGGGACGTGGTGGTTTGTGATTGCCAAGGTTGGTATGTATGAGATGAGTGAACTCCAAGATTGGTCTACTGTTCTGGTTCCATTTTTAGAGGAGCAGAAGTTACTGGGCAGGACCATGTTACTTAGTGCCGACCTGCAGCCTCGTCTTGCATTCAGCAGTTCGGCTCTGCTGGCGAGACAATCTCAAAATCAGACAGCAGCTGGACAAAACACGTTGGGCACACCTGTTTCGACTCCCCAGGCAACGAGCACAACTTCGCCAGAGCAAACGATACCTGCCACCCCCACAAGCGCTTCAGCAGCAGTGTTCGCCGCGAGCGCGCAAACACCACCAGATACGAACATGGAAGCAGGAAACGACAACGACATTTTTCTCAGTGATCCTACAGAAGACAGCTGGATGATGATATTGCCGTTTGGTCTGAACCCATCCTATCTCAACGTTGAAGTTCGGCCATCGCTAAACACCGGCTTCCTTCTCAAGAAGACAATTTCTGAGGACAAAACAGAGGTACAAATGGCACTACTTAGTGTTGACTTAATCTTGATACCTCGCAATCAACCCTCGAGCACCGCTCTATTGCCCCAAGAGCGTGAACAATTACTAGAAGAGGTACTACTGCAATATCGGGGACTTCATACCTTGGCTGTTGCGAGGAACTTCATCGAACCAAGCAATACATGCGCACCATGGCATATAGCGTCAGCCTACAAAAGTGCCAAGGTCTTGGATATGCTGGTCTGAAGCTCGACGGTCGTGTAGTTGGTAGTCTAACATGAAAGACGTGGGGTTTGAGGCTCAAGCGGCGGAGGCACGCACGAATATCTGGGCGTGTCTGGCTTGGTTATAGATCTCGCTAAGGCTGCGTTCGGAATCACCGATGAGGGTCCGCTCATTTCCCTTCGATATTTTGGTGATGCCTAGTGTTCTCTACCATCTCTACTATCAACTCGTTGACAGACTCCGGTAGCTCCTGCCGCAGAGGCTTTTGTCTTGTGCGTGAATTGATATCATCTTCCACGGTAGCATCCAGCAAAGGTGCTTTCCACTTACTGTTAAGTGACTGTCAAGCTCCATTTGTTAAACTACGCTGCTTGGTTGGCATTAATAAACTCCGCTCTCAGTGAGCACCCTCAACGGAAGGTTCCGAACGCAGCATTGGCCTAAACACAAGCCGTTAGTACCGAGATCAGCTCGGGATACAATACTACTGTACATGCTCCACGTACCGGGCTCGAGACTATGTGCGAGTAGGAATACTACTTGCTTCACCAGCGTAGACGACAAATTCATTGCTGTGACAGCAGCGGCGCGATGGTCTTTCCTAAAGGATTCAAAAAAGAAAGTACTCGTACTCGTGCACGGTGGAAATCTGCACCCGCTAACGTACTCCGTGATCACAACCCATGAGAATCTTGAGTCAAGGACTGTTAGAACCAATGACTACGACTTTGGCAGCTACAGTGGATGAAAGTGGAAATGGAGTTTGTTTTAGCGTGGCAGAACGTGTGCCCAGCTCGCTTAAAGTGTCTTGGATGACGTCCATTTTTCATCTAATCTGATCGAGCCTTTGGAGCTTTTCTTCTGTGCGTATCTGATTAATTGTGATAATCGCGCGGATTAAAGTATATTTTCTCTCTCTTCTTGTAATTCCTTGAGTTTCCGGTTGGGAATTCTAATTTGTGGTTGACACGTGCGTTGTGTTAAGCCTCGTGGTCTGGCGAGGTCAGCGATCCTGTCAAATATACGACAGACGGAGTGCCGTCAAATTTTTGATTGTTGTGCCAGATCTGGCTATTCTTGTCGCTCGACTGACCGATTGACTGGTTTGTGGTGAATAAACTGTCGGAGGCATTTCGACAATGGCTAGCGCAAACCACAACAGCATGGCCCATATGGGCGACAAGGAGCAGTACACTCGACAACCTGGGAGCTCATTTGATCGACCCAGCTCGAATGACAAGACACTCTACGATCATGATGTCTCGAGACGTGTCTCAATCGCTGACACCAAGCCGCCTGGTGTTATCCGAGTCGAAGCTATTGCTCAGCATATGACCACGGTCGATCGCGTCTGGATATTCTTTGGAGTGTTTATCATTGCATTCGCGTATGCTCTGGACGGCTCAACTCGGTATACCTACCAGTCGTATGCCACAAGCGGGTTTGGCCTGCATTCCCTTCTCGCAACCATCAACACTGTACGAACGGTAATAGCAGCCGCCGCACAACCCACTGCTGCTAAAATTGCCGATGTTTTTGGTCGTTTTGAACTGGTGATGGTCAGTGTGATCTTCTATGTGCTTGGTACGATCATAGAGGCAGGTTCCAGCGGTCTGTCGGCGTTTTGCGCAGGTGCTGTGTTCTATCAGATCGGATACACATGCATTATCCTCCTGGTGGAGGTAATTGTGGCCGACTTGACCTCGATGCGTACTCGTGTGTTTTACTCCTATATACCTGCAACACCCTTTATCATCATTACCTGGGTAAGCGGCAATGTCACATCATCGGTGCTGGGTGTAACCACATGGCGGTGGGGCATTGGTATGTGGTGCATCATCTATACAGTCTGTGCCTTACCACTGCTCAGTGCACTGTGGTACACTGGTTTCAAAGCTCGAAGAGCAGGTGCTCTGGACTCGTATAAATCACCATTTCAGCAACTGGGGTTCAGCCGACTCTGTGTTGAGCTCTTCCACAAATTGGACGTTGTCGGAATACTCCTAATTATTATCCTTTTTGGCTTCATTTTGACACCTCTCACGCTTGCTGGGTCAGGCCAAGGCTGGAGGTCAGCTCACGTCATCGCCCCGTTGGTCATAGGAGTCCTGGCTATTCCAGCTTTTGTCTTGTGGGAGCTGAAGGGAGCCAGATATCCGCTCGTACCATTTTACCTGCTCAAGGACAGAGGTGTATGGGCAGCCCTTGGTATCGCGTGTTTCCTCAACTTCCCTTGGTACATGCAAGGCGATTACCTATACACGGTTCTAGTCGTGTCGTTCGATTTCAGCATCGCGACGGCCACTCGGATCTTGTCTTTCTACTCTTTCTTCTCGGTCATAAGCGGACTGATTGTCTCTGGTCTGATATGGTGGACTCGACGCCTCAAGCCGTTCATCGTTGCAGGCACATGTCTTTTTATGGTTGCCTTTGGGCTACTCATTCACTTCAGAGGAGGAACGAATGGATCCAGTCAATCGGGGATTATCGGAGCTCAGGTCCTACTTGGTTTGGCAGGAGGCATGTTTCCGTATCCTGCCCAGGCTTCGATTCAGGCTGCCACGAAACATGAGCATGTCGCTATTGTCACAGGACTCTACCTTGCCACCTATTCTATTGGGTCAGCACTTGGATCAGCAGTGTCCGGGGCCATATGGACTCAAGGCTTGTATGCGCGGTTGGAGTCAGATTTGGCATTCCAGAGCAATTCGACGTTGGCGTCAGCAGTTTATGCTTCACCTTTGACGGTGGTACCTTTCAACTACCCTGTCGGTACTCCTGAGAGAACTGCCATTATTGGGTCGTATCAGCATATGCAAAGGATTCTTTGCATCGTGGGAATCTGCTTATGTGTACCGTTGATCGTGTTCGCTGTGTTGTTGAGAAACCCCAAGTTGAGTGACCAACAGAGCCAACCGGAGGCTGAGGAGGGTCACGTAGCTCGTTGAGCTCGTCGTGTGGTGTGATGGTTTAGTAGCACGTACCAAGCGCGAGAGGCGTGAGGCAGAGTGGCGGCAAGTAATAATACCAGAATGCTGTATTATATTGGTGGTCAACATATAGATAGGATAACCAACCCGAAGGAACGATTTTGTGATTTTACTTCCAGCTTGGAATCTTGTGAGAAATAAATTGCCGTGCTAACACGGTAGGATTTTAGAGGATTTGGGTCACACGCTTCTTCCCTCACCTTTCGATATTTGGCCTCAGGCACTCATCGCCCGCCACTAATCGGCCGACTACGTTTCACCTCCCAAAATGGCAGTCACAGCCCCTGTGGATCATTCTCCTGCGGCTTGCCTTCAGGCTTCAGAACGCGGAGATCGCAAGACAAGTTGCGACAACTGTCTGCTCAGCCTCCCTGTTAGTTTCTGCTTCGTGTTCGTGCCACTCGTTTCGGGGAACCATTTACAGCATAAACACCACTCTTTCAGAACGGCTGGCTCGTCCTGTATTGCTGCAGCCTATACTATCTGGCGACGCTCCTTCGAAGACCTTGGTGGTACACTGCTGGGAGAGTACCGACGTTCGTTGAAAACAGCCTCGATTGCTACACGCGCACCGTGCCAGTGATTACCCTCACTCAGACTCTACAGTGCTTTCTTGAGGTCAATTTGAGCACTTACAATGTCGGACCTCATCAACGATGTGAAGGTAAACCACTCTCTTTGATTTGGAAGGCTATTTAGCTAATCAGGCTGAAGAATGTTGGCTCTACGTTTACCTCATGGGACTCTTGCATGGCGCACAGCTACTGCAAGTGGCCTGTGATCGCTGGAATCGCCATCGGCTCCTTGATCGTTCTCTCGATCCTCTGGTGCATTTTCTCCTGCCTGTGCTGCGGCGTCAGTCTCATGACAGCCTGCGGGCAATGTCTAACGTGTGGAGGGTGTTGCGGCGCTTGCAGAGGGGGACGTCGACGTAAAGACCCAGCATATCACCCTATGCCACCAACTCCCACTCCTTACCAGGGCTACCAACCTCATTTCCAACCTATGATGTACAACGGCCCGCAGTTCGCGACATTTGACGCAGGCAATAAGAGAAGCGCACCTATACACGAAGATTCGTTACCCGCCATGCCGAGCTGGGATAACGCACAAACGCGCAGGGTACAAGATACTCCATCACAGCCTAGAGGTTCGGAGGTGGAGATGGAGCATATGTTACCCCAGTCGCCAATTCGTGAATACCACAATTCAGATCTAGGAACTCAAAGACCAAACCGGCCAGAAGGGCCGAACAACAACTACTACAACAACGAGCCACTTTCTCCCGCACCAACATATGCAACCACTGCTCCTATGGCTGGTGCTTTCTCAAATCAACAGCATGATCGATTCTCCCCAAGACTACAGCACCACGACAATCCTTTCGACACGGGAATACCCTCGAATAATGCGCCCTATCCGTCCTCGCGCGAGAGCGTGCAGTTCGCCGCTCAACGGAGCATGTCGCCTCACATGGCGCCATACAATCCATATAATTCACCTTCTTACGACCAACCACAAGCTGGCAGACCGCCTACTTTGCTGCAGGTTGGTAGGAAACCTGTAGCTGGTTCTTACAGGGAAGTCTGATTGCGATCATTGAGTATATATGAATGCTATATTTTCAAGTCTGAAAAACCTGCTCTGACTAAAGTTCAATCTGCTCATTTCTGCCTTGCGCTATGTACTTACACCACCAAGTTGGCGGACCTGATCGCAAGTTGGTTGTACTGGACCAAACTACTGATCTTCGAATCGCACAAGCAGATAGTCTCCAAGCTAACAGGTCCTCTACATGTGAATATGATTAAAATCAATGGCCGATATCACTTCTTCTCTACTGACATACGAGGAGTATGGCGTCTCCAGCCTCGAAGCGATGGGACAGGATGCAGCGGTAGTAGTTTCCAAGATTTTGCTTTTCTGAAAGGACTCATGAAGGATGGATTCAAGCGCTTCTTCACATTCGGAGAGCGAGGGTTTACCTCCTTGTTCAGACCACGATTGTACAACGACTCCCAACGAAGACCTCCTCTCCTCTAGTGTCGCAGTAAAAGCAAAAGCAAAAGCAAAAGCAAAAGCAAAACCAACGACACACACACACATCCTCACGATAACATCGATAACAAGTCACCAGAACAACCCTCCCATATCCAAACCCCAACCACTTCTTCAACCACAAAGCACAACCCATACCCTCCGCCCACTCCAACCTCAACTCACGAACTCTTCTTCTTCCCACCATTTCAAGAAAACTCATCAACAAAAACCACCTGGCTCTTATCGTCCCTACCCAAGTACGCAAAACGCGCCATCTCGGCAGTCTGCCAGAGGATCAAGCACGTGTACAAACAAAGCAAGACCATCACACGAGTGTGGTCTAAGAAAACTTCAACGTCTGCGCAGTCGGGTAAGGGTAAGGAATCAGAAGAGGGACTATCGAGTCGTGTTGGGAGCGAAAGAGATCCTCCGTTTTGTCCGAAGGGTTGGATGGATGATTCGGGGGAGTGGAAGTGGAGTGAGGAGCATAGTATGTTTTTGCGCGAGTTTATGACTAGATAGACAGGCGGAATGTATCTAGGGATTAGGGATGTAGGTCGGGTGAGGTAACGAGCAAGAAGATTAGCGGGATATTTAGTGAGACGGATTTTGGATAGACAGGTGTATATGTTTGTGCATGCAGAACCGCATGATCGGGTGGACACAGAAAACCGATATGAGCTTCCCAGTTTGTGAGCAGCCTTATGGCGGTTAAAGTATGAAGTTTCGAGGCCGCGCACTGCGCTAGTGGTGTCGACATAAGAAGTGAAGTTTAAGAAGCCATGTAACACAACGTAACACAAGGCCGTGGGCAAAATTCGCAAAAGTCTGGTCAGTAGCAACCTCTGTGGCGTTCAACACAAGTCATTGTACTAATAGAGCCGTGCTCAAGACAGAAGACCATAGCATCACCGACTCCTCTCTCCATTCGTGATATGGAGTATCCAATTAGGTTATTTGTTATCGTCAAAAGAGCTCGGGAAGAGCTCAAGTATTAATGATACATCGTGATCCGTTATGCTGCTCGTATGGCTAGCCGTCCTCCACTCTCCTCGGGTCCTACCCGTCTGGGTTTAACCACTCAGTGCTTGGCTGGTGGCGGACCGGCTGGTGGCGCATATTGATTATTGTTGTACACATTTTGAGGTGCCTGCATCTCAACATCGTTTCTCTGACCACCAAAATAACTCTGGTTTGCACCATTCTGGTTCTGTCCATAATAACCACCATCAGGATACTGATTCTGGGTCTGATTGTATTGCGGTGGAGCTGACTGGTAGTTTGACTGAGGATTGTAGCTTTGACCATTGAGCTTGCCTCCAGGTAGTTTAGACGTCCACCCCGTCATGTACAATGGAGTACGTCCGGCCTTGCGGCGTCGGCGCTGGGAGATGCAACTGCGGCGAAGGTCAGCCGAGTACCGCTGAAGAGAGGAGGAAACTTACGCCATAAGGAAAAAGAAGAGGATCGCAGCGACCAGTATCACAACCAGAGCCACCCATCGGCCATAGCGACTCCAATTGCTGCAATACACGTAGCGCCTGGACAAAGGTTAGATTCCAGATCAACGAAAATGTAAGGGGATCCTGGACTGGAACGCAGCGATAGAGTTCGACAAACTAACCTGGTGTATCTGTTATAGCACGTAGCCATTGTCTGTGATCAGAGGTGGTACCGTGGGGATGTGGGAGAAACTTCGGAGCTGATTGCGGAAATACAGTAAAGTTGTCGTGGAGGTATCGAAGGATATCGCTTATGCTTCCCTTCGAAGGCGTTCAGTAGGATTGTCTGTGCGTGCGCGTGGTATAGCGATGTATAACTCTGTTGAACGTACGATATTGAATCCAATTGTGTAAAGTTGGAAAGGATCAAGCTTGAAGACAGGAAATTCGATGATGACTTAACTATGCCTTCGACCTGGGGGAAGGCGCAGCTTGGTCGAAACCTAATTCGTACGTTCCATGGAATAAGGCAGTGGCCATGACGGCATTACCCAAACTGCCAAGCTCTGCTATGATGCGTCGTTGACAACACTGGTTTCTAGGCATTGTCGAATTTTGCGCTTGATCCGTCGACACAGTTGCGGCGTGCCACTACACAAGACCATGCTCGTGTAAGTGCGACACTTGGGTAGGAGCACAAACGTGTGCGTGGCTTGACGTTCTGTCTCTCTGCTTCCATGTGATTTTGATTGTGGACCTGCAGAGTGGAGGTTACTGCCCCTTGAGATCGGTTGATCATGGTCCGCGTTCGTACTAGCACTTGCACACTAGCAGTACGTACTAATGTCGGACCTTGGCGAACGTCGCTCAGCGAGATCGATGAGGCCTGGGGGAGAGCTGCAGATCTCATCGAGGTCGGAGAGTGGCTATGCAGTGCCTGCTCCGCCATCATCACAAGACGTATATTTGACGCTATCAAAATGCAATAGTCGGAGAAATAGTGAATTACAGGCACGTGACAGAATCGACGCTCGCCTCAGAGGTCTTTCTCCGCTCGATCAGGCTTGGCACAACGGTGAACACCATCCAGGTACTCAGGCGCAAATATGCGATGAACGCGACAGAATACGATGGTTGCTGCGGAGTCGTCGTAATTCTTGCTGGGATTACGTATACTCTATTGTTTCGCTAAGTGACAGTGAAAGTCGTCTTCACACCCATGGCCGCCAGCTCAACGTCGAGATACCTCAGAACGCCTGGCACATTGACCACAGTAGTATTCTCTCCTCCCACGAACTCTTTGCCTTCACCATCGGTCCATACTTTGAGCTTGCTGTCGTCCCATTTCGCTTCTCGAGCGCAAGTTCGGCACCTCACAATACCGCTGGGCATAACACTACCTCCACCAACAGCGCGCTTGCCTGTCAATGCATTGTAAGGATTCGGGACCATCTGTACAGATAGAAAACTTCCACAAGTTTTGCACACCCAAGCTCTTTGTTTGTCACTGCAGTCCATCAATCGATCTTGCAAGAGGTAGGCACAACCGTGAGCAATCAAACTGTCTCTCTCCATTTCCCCAACACGGATACCGCCACCTTTTGATCGACCTTTGATAGGCTGTCCCGTGACCGCGTTTACTGGTCCTGTCGTTCTCACTTGGAATTTATCTGACACCATGTGCCTGAGACGCTGGTAGTATACCACGCCCAGGTATATGTCAGCTGCAAATTCCTTGCCAGTGATTCCACTATACATGGGCTCGTTACCGTTGGAGTTGTAGCCAGCTTTGAGTAACTGCTCTCCAAAGAAGTCACCAGCAGTGTTGTCTTCATCGAAGGTAAATGGCGTGCAATCTTGGGCAATGCCATGTAGTGCGCCGGCTTTGCCAGCAAGCGACTCGACGAACATGCCGATGGTCATACGTGATGGGAAAGCATGAGGATTAATGATCACATCCGGTTGCATGCCTGACTCTGAGAATGGCATATTCTCAGCTGGCCACAGCATGGAACATACACCCTTTTGACCGTGCCGTGAGGAGAACTTGTCGCCAATAACGGGCCGACGTGGTATGCGATATTTGACGCTGATTGCCTGAAGAACCTGGTCACCAGTTTCGACTCCGAGCAGTCGGATTTGGTCAATGTAACCGCCTTCTGCATCTTTGTATTTCTGGTAATGAGTAATGCCATCGAGGTTCTTCAGCGAGTTCGTGGAAGGATCGAACATTACTGTGTGGTATGCTGCAACGACTGATCCCTCTTCAATTTTGGCTCCAACTCTGGGCAGACCGTCTTCGTCGATGCAGTTGAGTGCTGCTTGTGGTATGTTTTGATCACCTGGAGCGAAACCAAACATAGATTTGATCTCTGTTTTAGACCGAGAGGATCTGCCTGATTTCTCAGCAAGGTCGTAGAACTTGGTCTTGTAAATCACACCATCACCGAAGCCTCGTTCGTGTGCAGATTTGTTGATGATCATAGCGTCGTCCATGTCGTAGCCAGTGTAGGAGATGACAGCAACGACGGCATTCATACCATTTGGAAAATTGTCTAAACCATACTCGTTATACAATGGTGGTCGAACCACAGGAGTTTGACCTGTCTGCAGAAGATAAGCCTTGTTGTCAGCTCTACACATCATGTTCGAAGAAGGTGTTCCCATAGCTTGCTTGGACATTTGACATTGATACATATTGCGAGGTGATTGATTGAAGTCGGAGAAGGGAGTCATGTTGGCTAGAATTGAGAGGATGTTGGTCGGTTTGTATTCGATGTGAGTTGTTAGATCTGGTATTATGTCTGCTTCAGTGCATGCGATGTTCATGTATTGCTGTTCAAGAGGTCCAACGTAGTCGAGCTTGTCAGCTGGAAGATACTTGGTGGGTCTGATCATACGAGCAGGACCGCTGAATATGTAGAGTCCTGGATAGAGACCACCATTGGACGTTGGTATGTGGGCAATTTCTAACTCTTTTGGTATTCTCTTCTCATCGCGCACCTTCCAGTGTCGAAGGAGTTGAGCTGCTTCTCTTGCACGTCTCGCTGACATATGACCTAGAACACGACCGTCCAGTTGAACCGAAATTCCATCTTTGACTGAGCGGGAAGGCTGTTTAGACATGCCCAGCCTTGATAGAGCTGCCTCAACTCCACTAGCATCGATGCGATGAGTTTGTATCACGCACTGATGTGAAAGGTGATTCAGTAATCCGCAAGGGGAACCATCGGGTGTGTGGACCGGACATAGGAAGCCCCAACTTTCGGGAAGCAGCTTTCGAACAGTCGTGGTCTTCAACTGCGCGAAGAAAGCACCTCGATGTATACATCTGAAATGACTGATGAATCTGTAAAAATTGATCTTTTCTGCCATGACTGTATAGCCAGATGTTTGTTGCTGGTCTAGACCACTCTCGCTGACCAGGTTGCCCGTAGAGAGGAAATATTCTAATCGTTGAGCAATGTTCTCATTCGTTTTCCGCACGATCTTGGGAAGGAAGTCCTGCTCGAATTTTGTATCGAAGCTTGGCGGACTTCTGCTTCTGATATACTCTCGTGCTTGTGAGCCCATTGACAGAAGCCAATTGTAGATACTCTCTTTCAGTATCATACCATATAGAAAAGGGCCTAGGAGCACTTCCTGATTTGCGACTGCATCTGGATTGTCTACTGCACAATCACCTGCCGCTAGAGCATACAGCTTTCGTATAGAGAAGAGGACCATCTGAAACTTATCGTTGTTTTGTCCAGCTGTAACATCAATATTGCCGAGGTGTGGCAGCACTACTCTCCGCAAGAGCTCTTCGCCAGTCTTCTCATCGGATAATGTGATGGGTGTCTGCAAAACAGGTCTGAACTTTTCACCAAGGTAGGCGAGGGTCTGTGATCTCGTTTTCAAGCCGTATGCTTTGTAAGTCCTCAGAAGCAGTTCGACACGATCTGACACAAAAGAGCTGGGTGGATCAGAACTTGAAGACACGCCAACAATTCCTTGAGCAATCTCGTGGTCATTTGTCTCAACGAGCGCCTTTAGAACCATTATGACTGGAAGCAGATACTCGGACTTTCGCCATGCGAATCTGAAGCTGACATTGCCATCAGTCAGATAATGCAGTACATTCGTAACCGAGCTCTGGTCAGGACGTACGGAACGTATTGAGATGCCGTATTTGGAATAGGTTGGGCCTCTGTTCTCGAAAGAGGGTCGCAAGATGGCCATCGGGTAATTTCTTTTTGGTGTGATAAGCATTCTAATGAGCTTCTCATTGCCGTTCACGATGAAATATCCTCCCAACTCTTCAGCCTCCTCTTTGCGCTTCACCATCTGAGCCGGCGAGAGACCTTCTAGATGGCACCGATTTGACCGGAGCATGATCGGTAGAGATCCAATCTCTCTGACCGCCTCTTTCCAGTCGCCATTATTGAGTCGATACTGTAAGCGTGCGCGTAGCTTTCCTTTATATGTAGCAGCTCTTTCTCTGCATTCTGCCGGGTAGATTTCGCGAGTCGAGGTATTGCGATTGCTTGAGGGCAGAGTGGCTTTCTCAAGGAGGACTTCGGTCACCCTCAAGTCAAGTCTGTTGCGAGATGTGCTCTTGCTTCGGTCGCGAGGGTCACCATCGGTCACAGAGTGTATTCCAATGTCTTTAAGACCTTCGTCTATCAGTCCTTGATCGAAGAGTGCATTGAAGGAGTCAACGTGCGGTTTTATGGCAGCATGCAGCAACGGCCAGGCTGTTTTGTCACTAGGGGTATCTCGAAATAGACCATGCCGACGAGTTGTTTGAAAGCCAACATCCCATTTGGTATTGGTTCTGCTTGACCTCGTTACTGTCGTTGTCGACGACATAATGTGAGGAGTGGAATTCTATGACAGAGCTTGCACATCAAATACCGAATATGCATGCGCTATGTAACCCTCTGCTGCTCACCCACCTCGACACCTGTTCTTCAATACCTGCTGCGACAAAAAAGTTTAGACCTCGTCGGACTTAATTCTATTCTCCGCTGCTAGTGTCAACATAAGGTTGCACAGTTTTGTATCCTGGTTATCGATAAGGTGAAGAAGTGATTGGCTCACCGGCTCACCTGCAGGTGTCACCCGACCATTCATCTTTCATCAGCACGAGGCACCCTCGAAACAACAAACCACGTCGTAGTAAGCCAACAACACCTTCACGTTCTCTTTCGGTACTCAGCACACTCGCAATTATTATTGTCTACTTCAGAGCGGACTTTTGAGTGTCTATCCAGCTGCATAGTGTGGTAGCCTCACTCCCTGGTATGTGATAGCGTAGGAGCTTGATTCCTGTCTCAATCATGGCTGGCCTCTTCACTTGGTTATGGGACTGGTTACTGTGGCTCTTCTGGGCCACTGAAATGGATGTCACCATAGTCGGCCTACAGAATGCGGGAAAGACATCTCTTGTGCGCGTCTTAGCAGTAAGAATCTCGATTTCTATGTATTTCGAATACTTACGCGTCGTAGGGACAAGAATTCACGGTTGACTCAATACCAACTGTCGCATTTAACAAGAAAGAAGTCAAGAAGGGTCATGTCTCGATCCGATGCTGGGATCTAGGCGGTCAAGTCAAATTTCGCAATATGTGGGAGCGGTACTGCCGAGACGTCAATGCCATTATCTTTGTCGTTGATGCCGCCGATCGCGATAGCATGCCTGTGGCAAAGGATGAGCTGCATACATTGCTCGCGAACGAGTCGCTCGCATCTATTCCTTTGCTTGTCTTGGCAAACAAGTCTGATCTTAGACAGAAGATGACTGTCGACGAAGTGATTGAGGCTTTGAATCTGAAGAAAGTTACGCACAGGGAAATCAGCTGCTATGGAGTAAGTGCAAAGGAGGAGACCAACCTCGAGGCTGTATTGCAGTGGCTGGTAGCGAGGTCAGGAAAGTGAGCATAGCCAGCACGTCCGGATCGAAGTCGATTACTGGCGGAAGGAAGACTCTTTCAGGATGACTAAAAGGTTTCAATTGTTAATGATGTGGGCAGTTACACAATGTTGTGTGAGCAACATCGTGCTTGCAGATCTACAGAACCACTAGTCTAGCCTGAGGACACAATCAGCCGTCTGGATACCTGTCGATCCCGTGGAGCACGACGCTCCTTCCGTTATACGAGCATTTATGACCCTCAAACCCCAACGCCAGCTAACACTACGCAGAGAAATGATCGTTTTGGTAGTGTTTTCGATGGCAACAAGTAAACCTTAGCAGTGTCTTCGTGCCATTCCGCCAGTAAATGCTTTATATAATGCTCTTGCAACTCCAGATACGTAGCTCCTTACATCATCATCATCATCCTCGTTGCACGTTTGCTGCTAAAACTCGGACGAGGGGAATTCTCGTTGGCAGTCCAAGGCTTGTTCAGCCATGAGTTGTCTCCCTCTCCCATAGTCATAGTCGACTGTCGATTGCTAGCACCGCCGATTTTGGCTCGCTGTGGCATTTCAATCATGCTGCCTCGGTAAAGTGGTCCCATCAATCGATCTTTTACGCTCTTGTTCCTGCGTGGGGCTCCAGGTCGCTGTAGTTCTGGCGCAAATTTGTCGACCTTGTCTGATCCGTCCCTATTTTTCTCTCCTGCCATGATGGCTCGTTCTCTGTTTATTGCTTCATTATGAGCTCTGCGTCTCATGTGTATAATGAAAAATGTGATTATGAGGCCGACTATCACAATTGCAACTGCAATGCCGATGCCTAAACCGGCTTGTGCACCAGCAGTCATATGTCGCTTGATAAGGTGTGTCGAAACAGGAAAGGCTGACGCGGTATCACTCAATATACATAGTAGCGCCAGATGTCCCGCATTGGGTCTGTGAAGTCTCGACATGGTGTTTAAAGAGGGTGGTAAAGTGGTGAAGTGATCTTCGTCCAGCGAGAACACGAGAGGAAATTGAATTGCGGCTCTGTTCAGGAGAGAATGTGAATGATGACGGTCGGCGAACAGCTAAAATATGTACCGGTTTGAATGGAATGTTTGCAAGAGCGCGAAAAGAGTGGTCAGGAAGGTATGACAAGGAGGGTAGGACAATCAGCAAAGTCCAGGAGGGTGTGAAACGATGTCAAGTGCTCGGGATGCGATTCAAGAAAAGAGACGTGCAAACGGGCTCAGACGAAGTCTGTAGGGAAGTACCATCCAGGGTGTCCATGCTCTCATAAACCACTAGGCCGCGCGAAAAGTGGCTCTGAAAGAAGTCACTGGCGGAGCCAAGATAGTCTTGGACTTTGGACGATGCGCCAGCTCGTTGCGAGCCACCTGAAGCATGATTTGTTGCCTTTCTGAAACGTCCTTCACAAATGTATGTCGGAGGGGAAGACATGAACCACCGACATCAATTCCTTGTCGGGCTGCACAGGAAGGTTTTCATTCGTTCTTTGACGGGCGCCGTAGCCAGGTTCCTTGCATAAGTGGCGTCAATCATGATAAGATCTCCAATCACGAACGAGGAAGGCGCAAGACGTCTCCGTCTTGCCCCGGAAGCAGGTACCCAGTAAGCTGCGGTGCCCCTGAGGTCAGCATCTGGTACTGGAGTGGAATCGGACATACTAAGCCTTTTATAGAAGTTAGTCATTCGGAAAGCAAACGATAGATGATGTGAAATTCCACACATAGGATACCTAACATTCCTCCCACACCCAACGTTGTAGGATCGTGCGAGCCAGTATCCGGACAGAATTTGGACATTCTTCCGACCGGCATCCTCACCACGACCTCGCTTTATTCACAGAGAACTTGTGTGCATTGCTGTTCCATCTTCCACTGCCACCTTGCGAATGCGACGAGCTCCGAGCACGTTGACTCGAGCTTGGAGGAGTGGACCGTTCGGAGCATCAAATCCCCATATGATTAGCTCATTTGACATAGCTAATCTGATTAACGACATTACGGGGTTTACGATAGGAACCGCCTGTTGGTTCGCTCAAACGTTGTTCTTCTATCCAAATGACAACGTATTGACGTCCAGCGTGGTTAGAGACAGCTAAACCGCGACTTTGATAGGTGGCCCTCTTCCATCATTTTATCTCCCGAACTCTAAGTCTTGCCACTGTAGCTATTGCATGAACAGGAGATGAGTATGATCTTGCATATCTCGGACTTGTTGGAGACGATCGATGGTGTTGAAACGAATTGCTACGAGTGTACTCGGTATGCCCGTTTCATTACCAGGTGTACTCAAAGCACTTGAAGGACACCTATGGTACCGAAAACCAGTCCTTTGAGGCTCTTCTATAACTGAGGTCAACGGCGTTGCTGATAGCAAGTACACCACAATCTTGTGATCTCGAGGGGCGTGCGCCACAAGACTCTCTTCTTTGTGTCGGCACGTTTCGCGCCATCCAACATCTCTGTTGAGTTCGGTGTCTGTCCACAGTGTAAGGTTGCGCCTCGTGCGCAGCATGACTCGATACCACTATCCAGTATCAAGCTGGCTTCACCACGGTAAGACTAGCCTTTGCGCTCCACATTCGAGGAGCAATCTCTACGGGGATCCACATCCATAGTTAAGATCTCTGGCTCGATGCTAGTCAGCCTATCTGACTATTGCTCAGATTGCGTTGCGTCTTCCAAGTATACTGTTGACGCTTGGTAGCGTTTCACGATCTCAAATCTCACGGAAAGGTTGAAAACGTGTACATGTTGCCGGAGATATTTCCGAGAGATTTGCTACCCTTCTGCCGTACACCACACATAGCTTGGGATCGTGCTACATGTAGTAAAGAGCAAGATATCAATCCTCAAACGATGACAATAGCTGGAGGTTCGGTAATTGGTCAAAGCAGAATGAAACTTTGGCATACGATGGATCAGTGATACCGAGAAGAGATATTGCTATAGATGACACGAGGCAGAGGCTCGTGCCAATGCTCATAATGTCACGACTGCACAGAGTGAGGATTAGAATTGAACAGCTTGTTGGACAGGTAAGAGTTGTTCCTAATGAGTCCCTTGTCTTGTGCGCACGACTTGCATGACTGCTTGTACCCAACATGACTGTGTTGACTTTGAACGACTACTGCTCGGAGCATCACTGAAGCTCGATAACTAGACGACATGCATAGCGATCGACTAGTTACGAAAAAGCATGTATCAACCTTTCTCATTCTAAGATCTATTTCATGGTAAATTTATTGAGTAGGGGTTGTCTTGCGAACCACTAGTGTAGTCTTGGCTCTCCCAGCTCAAAAGAGAGCTAAATCTATAATGGTCTCGATGTCTCAAAGAGCTGAGTTGACGCGCTCGGTACCATACAGATGACACACAACAATCCCTACCAGCGAGAAAGTTCATTCCAAGAACCAACATGCCTCCTCCAGCGACACCCCCCCCCCCCTTCCAGCTCGACCTTGGCACCGGTCTCTCCTTAGCACTAGCATTCTCCTTCATGCCAGCAGCTCAGCTCCTAGCCAGCCGCCTTCTTCCCAGAACCGTTTCGAAAAAGTACTATTGGATCTTCACCTGGTGTGTTTACGACTTCCTCACCCACAGCATAATCGAGGGTTCCTATCTATATCACTGTTTTGTGTCCTACGAGACCATTTCGAACCACTCCGACCACCCATCATCATCTCTTCTCGCCAAAGGCCCTTCCTTTCTCGGCTATACAGATCGCAACTATGGCTCCTACTACTCCCAAGGCCCGATGGCTCGACTGTGGCGAGAATACGCAAAGGCCGATAGTCGTTGGGGCGGCTCGGACCTGAACGTGATCTCCCTAGAATTGCTCACAGTACTTCTAGCAGGACCTGCCGCTGCCTACATATGCTACCTCATCGCGAGAATCACAAACTCAAGCAACGTGACTGAAAAAGCACGTCTTGATGCAAGGATGTGGTTTATTGCGGTGGTGCTCTCGACAGGCGAACTGTACGGAGGCTTTATGACATTTGCGCCTGAATGGCTTTCTGGAAATACTGCTCTGGCTGGAGATGATCCGATCTATTTGTGGTTGTACCTGGTTTTCTTCAATGGGATATGGGTGTTTGTTCCAGCTTGGATTCTGTATCTGGGATACTATGAGCTGACTGGTGCTTTTGTGAATGGGGTGAGCTCGCAACATCTCAGGAAAGTGTCTTGATCACCTGCATATATATCGAGGTTGGAGAGTTGTTGGATGAGTTCCAGTACGAGTACTGCATGACAGGCCGCCACATTCTCCGAAACTTCGATTGCGGGACAAGCACGAAGTTTGAGCTTGTCTGTTTCCTACGATCGCCATGAGATCTGTCTGTTATCCTCATATCACGAAAACAATGTGGAAAAGTTAAACGAACTAAAACCATGACTCTGATTTTGCTATACAATATACAGACACGCTGGAACGAATTCAACTCTATCTTTCACAACACCAAACGCTGTATAACAAATACACTTCTCTCCTATCGGCCAGCAATTTGACCTTTGGGGAATGGCTTGATGAGTAAACCTGGCAGGTTCATGGCAATTGTGAGTATACCGATGATCCAGAAGCTCTTCGCATAGTCAGTGCCAATATATCTGAAGATAACGGCGCAAATAATGCCACCAAGGTTACCAAAGGCACCAGTGAAGCCGGAGACGACTCCGTTTGCCTGTATTTCTGATTAGCAAATATTTCGCTCACAAAACACAGAAGGAAAACATACCTGAGGATAAACATGTGGTACATAGGCGAAGAGAGCACCATTTCCAGCGTCCATGAAGAAAGCCATGCCGGCGACCAGGCCAATGAGGGTAGGCTGATGACGGGTGTCGAGTACGCCAATGACGATCTGGAAGACACCTGTGCCGACACACAAGAAGGCGATCCAGTATTTCTTCGCCCAGACGGAACCGCCGGTTTTGTTGTAGATGTAATCAGAAACCAGACCACCGACTAGTTTACATTAGTAGTGCGTCAGAGGCAGAAGATCGGATGTTACTCACTTGGTCTGAACACAACATTCAGCAGGCCAAACATGGCGGCCCAGTTACCTGAACCTGTCTGTCCCAATCTTGGGAAGTTGCGAAGGTAGTATTTTCCGAGGATCGAGTTGATAGCCAATTCACCACCGAATGTGCAGAAGTATGCGGCTCCACATACGAGTGTCTGTGGCGTGATAATAATGTGCATCATCTCTTTCATGGTAGGCTTGACGACGATCTCACCGCGAGCTGTATCTAACATCGATTGTTCGGAGAGAGGAGCTTCGTGATCGGCATATTTCGATGGTCGACGCTGTCCAGCTTCGAGGGTCTTCTCGTCGACGGCGGGAGGGGAGGAGGAACCGGATCGAGAGCTGTCATCCTCCTTCGCCAGGATACCTGTTGGAGCATCGACAATAGTCTCCTGGATACCATGTGCTTGAAGGTTTCGCTGAGCAGCCTGGTGGCGATCTGCCCATTTACCGGTTGGTGTATCGTCAGTCAGGAGCAGCATGGCAATGGCAACGGCGACGATGCAGATACCAGGGACAACAAAAGTGACTCTCCATGCTACATGGGGGGTCAGACCCTGTCGACGGACGAGGCTGTCGAAGATGGCAGGCTATACTTCGTTAGCATAATCCTTTCTCGCAAAGGGTCCGTGCTTGTTAGCATAATGCCAGGCCCAACTTACCATGAGGAAATAGGTGATGCCACCTCCAGAGTTACCAAAGCCTGCAATGAAAGCATTCGAAGTGCCAACAATTGGCTTATCGAAGAAACCTGTCGACCATACCTGGCACGGTACGAAACTGCCACCAAGGATACCAACAAAGAATCGACACGCCATGAGCTGACCGATTGTGTAGCAGGTACCAGCCAAGAAGGTTGGAACTGCACCGATCAGAAGGCAGCCAACAAATGTCAACCTTGGGCCAAACTTGTCACAAGCAGGACCAGCAATAAGTCGAACAAGGAGTGTTGCAAGCAAGCCAACGATATTGGAGTTGAGGACATCGGTGGTAGTCATGCCAAGATCCTTCGAGATGGTGACTGACAGGAGTGGAGGGAAGGCATACCACGACCAAAAGGCGATCAGGAAGCCGAACCACGAGAAGAACCAAACTCGTCCATACATGTTAACGACATTGAGGGCTGGTATTGACTCGGCCTTGAGGTTGATCGGGTTGACCATAGGGGCCTTGAACAGCAACATTGGATTATACATATTGGCGGTGGTGTTGCTGCTTTTCTGTTTTCACTTCAAATGTGTTGGTGTACAAATGGGCTGAGCTTGCTGCCCTGGGTATCTGTTGAACAATACTGGCATCTACCAGAAAGGCATGGAGTGGCAGTCTATATAGATGTTGGAGGTCTATCATCTTACCCACATTTGTCGAGTTTCAATGTGCAACTACAGATATGACGTTCATGCTTTCTCCGGGGGATAGAGACCTGGACCAGGGTATTTACAGATGTGGCATATGGAGTCGATCTTGGTAGATCCGCGGGTCGATACTTTTCAACAGTAGCCGCCTCGGAGCCAATGGAGATGCAGAGATAGTTGAACCAAGCCCTGTCGGGCCAATACGGGTTGAGAGATAACAGACCACAGCGACAAACACAATGTCTTGTGCTTGCTGAGATTGTCAATAGGTTTCTGACTTATCGATACCATAGTGCTTGCTGCGATCTCGAGTTTGTTGCACTGGCCCAGGTTCTGCAAGTACGATCTGTGTTTGCGTACAATATCGATTACAGCAAGATTGGCCCATGGTCATCTATCTCGGTCCAATACCGACATGCCTTGGAATTGCAATCAGAGTTTCCTCTAGCCGTGTTCTAAAACCGACCGCTAACATCACTGTTGCCAGTGTTTCGATGTCAGTATATCTGAACAAGCTCCCACCCCAGGTTTTGTAAACTCTTCAGACCATTTTCGAGCAGAGTCTTGTTGTCGCTTGAGATTAGAGCATTTTTTGTCGAGCGACACCAGTCTGCAGCACTGATCAAGGATGAACAGCATGTTGATTTGATTGGTGATGCTAGGATTCCGAACGCGCAGTTGGGAAGTGCCCAAAGATAAGGTCAGGTCGATGTACAGGTTCGAGATGCCACGAGGCTGAGGATTGCTCCATTTTGATTGGAGGAGATACTCGTCCCTTATCAACATCCATCCCTTGCAGCGCTAGCGTTTCCAATTGCGGAACCCAAAGATAAGACATCCCAACTCAGCAGAACACATGTACAGCAATACTCGCGAGGGCCAAACTTTGAGTTATCTTGCATGATATGGCGTTGTACTATCTGTGGTGTCGGTTTGGCATGTTCGAGACCTCTTTCAATCGGCTTTGTGTTTTTGATCACCTCAATCATCTCCTAGTACACCAAGGCATGGTAGGCAGTGACCACGTTCACTCGTCTTCACTCGTCTTCACCTTATGACCGATCAAGTATCGAGGAAGTATTGCTTTCGAAGATGGACTATCGCTGGAGTGAAGTGCAACAAGGAAAAGTAACTCAGATGTACTATCTTCTACCCAAATTCGGTATCGTGGTGAAGACGAAAGACTTGGTGAAGACACGGCTCAAATTTCCAGGACAAACCTACTGTCACACAGCAAATCAGACAACCCTATTGCCAGAATTTGCTTGGCGATCTCAAGAACCACGAGAACTTAGACGTCATAGTGTGCTGCAAGAGGTTTCTGGCTCAAAGACAGGGGTACCTCAATGTATGGTAGTCGCTCCGTGTGCATCGCGAATCGATCGGCTAGTCTAAAAAGACAGGCTTATCTTGAGGCTCGTTGCCAGGTCAAGGCTTGGAAGACCACCGCCCACGATGGACTAGAGCAGCACCATGGCGCGTAATCTTGTTCTCAGCACTATCGACAGCCTCGCTGAGTGTACTCGTAGACAATCTGACGTAGATGCTGCATCGAATCCATTCATCATGCAGCTCATATTGCTCGTCATATTGTGCGGACTTCGTTGCATGTCGTGCGTTGAACGAGTATGTTGACCCTACCCGAGTATGCTGGCGTAGCAGAAGTTTGAAGATTTCGTTCAGAAGTGTTCACCCTACCACACAAAACTCGGGGATTCACGATCTTCTCCAACTTCGTATCAGCACGACGATGGTAATCGTGCCGTGCCGACACTGTATCCTCATCAATGGTCGCTGGATGCAAGTTCCGTCAGGTTCTGTTCTGTGGATTTAGTCTAGCGCCGCACGCTAAACCTCAGTATGTGTTCAAACACGGTAGAGGGAACAGTCCGCTTCTGTTTCGAGTGAGATGGAGTGATTGCTGTTCTTGAAGATGAAGCCAACGTGTTACTTGTTAAGTCACATCGCACGGTGTCGTTGTTGAAGTGCTAAGAGGTAAGTAACTGCCATGCGATCGCAATCGGCCGCAGACACGATCACGGCCAGGAAGTAAAATGTTCACGTCTTCGCCTTCCGTTGCGAAGGCGGAGGTGGAGGCGCCATCCGACCCATTTGTCTCTCCTCATCTGCTGAGGGTCTTCTGCCGTAAACTGTATGGCAATAGTAGTAAGCATGTATCTTGCGCGTCTGCATACTTTCCCTAACACTAGCCAAGAACAGTTCGATCTTAGCTCTATCCCATTTCATGACCTCATTAAAGGTCTTGTACGATGCAGCAGGTAGAGAGTCATGAACCAGGGTGTGAAAACGTTTGCCAAGCTTCTTAAGGCGTGGAAGTGCTGGCCAGCCTCCTAGAGGAATCTTGACGACCACTTCTTGAACGTCAACGTACCCTGATTCTATCATCCATCTCTTGACAAACGGGGCTATCCTGAGAGGTCTTTCGCCTTGCTCAGTGGCGTAGACCATCCATTCCGACCATCTCTTGAGAGGCCAATCTTCAGGCATAGTTCCATCGTCACAAGAAGGTATATTATCTACCTCGCAGCATTCCATCCAACCTTCTCCAGGAACAAGATACTTCCGAGCCGTGATCAGAAGTTGCTGATAGTCCTTCAAGCTACCCATCAAGCATTGGCTGAATATGAAATCGAAGCTATCGGCTGGTCGACACCAATCCAACTCTGAACAGTCTTGTTGCTCGAACCGAACTCCTGGTGGGACTATATGAGGTTGTATTGGTGACAAGTCAATGCCCGTGATCTGAGCATCTGGAAATATGTTATCAGCTACGGAGATAGCCCAAATACCTGAACCAGTTCCAATATCCAATATGTTGCCTGGCTCCTTGATGTCAGCCATAAACATTTTGCCCTCATGTGCAGCCCTAATGAGACAAAACTGTTCGTTCATCCGCTCTACTTCCTGAGCATCGTTTGGGAAAGGGTAGCTGCCTGCCTTGTATTTGTGGTAGGTTCGGTCGAAATGGACAGGAAAATCTCTCATCGTATCATCGAGGGAAAACGTCTCAGAGTCACCTCCTGAAGATGCCGATGAACCACTGTCTGCAAGTAGCGGTGAGGTATTCCGCGCCTTTCCAGGAACTTCTTTTGACACTGGTGGGTCATCCGAATTGGTGCTGCTGTTAGCCATAGCATTTCCATTCTGAGTCGCCATCGAGAAACTCCGTGCAAAAATCAAGTCTGACTTTCAGTTGCTCCAACGAGAATCTTTCGCCTGCACAAAGCTCGATCGTGAATGTGACAATGATGTCCGAAATCCTCGTCCTGAAGGCCGCTCGACCAAGCAATTCAGTGGGGTTGCTATATAGCTTGTTCTGGCTCTAAAGATTCGAACTCCTGGTCATCCACGTAACAATATGACCAAATTCATGAGTAAATTGACAAAAGTCCTTTGTCCGTCTGTTCGCGAAAGACTCGACTCCATTAACTTGAAATTAGATCTCAGTTAGAGCAACATCCATCTGTAGTCAGTTGGGTGTGTTGACATGGTCCTTGCTGAGTGTTTAGATCTCGATTAATTCTAGTATCAGAAGAGAATACAAGTCTGCTTGCGAATAAGATATGGGATCAAAGTAGAAGATGGAGATTAGTGCAGCGATCGTCGCGTTGGTGGGTCGTGATGGAAGGAAGGAAGGATGTCAGACAGAAACCGGAAAGTCCATGATCTGATAGTGGAGAGCTTAAACTTTCCCATCAAACTCCAGCTAGGAGCATACAGGCTTCGGCTTTTATTGAAGCTACCGCAATACGGACAATACTTTTCACCTTGATACTGTCAAGCGTCGAAGCGAGAGGGGTATGCAGTTGATGATCCTATAGATATGGAAATCTAGCTAGAAAATCGCAGCTAGTGCAAGAATTGGTGGGTACCCTGTAGCCAAGCAATTGGTCTTTGTTCTTGGCTTGCTACCAACCCCAGCTCTCGACTGAAAACATGACAGCGGATGCTCGGTTTCGACGAGTCACAGCTGCAGCATTCGACAAGGGCCACGTCCAATATGCACGAACTCCCGGCGGTCTGGCTCAAAAACAGGTCCTTACGTCTAGGTGGCACCACGTTCCTGGGTACAGTCAGCATCCGAGGTTCCCCGACAACAACCGAAAGTGACCACGCTCGATCTACCAAAGACCATTTTGTGTAGTGCTTGGTCTTAGTATACACTCCGATAGCGTTGCCAGTGTTCGGCACCCGATGAATCTGCTATCGCCCTGTTAAATCGTGGGAGAGAGTAAGGTATCAGCACCTTTGAGGACCACGTGAACACAGCAAAATAGTTCTTCTGCTTTGCCGTACAGAGATTAGAGCGGGCTTCGTGCTTCACTTGCATCTTTTTTCGATGATACTTGCACCGTGCTCCTCGTATTCTTTCTTCGAAATCCACATTTGATGAAATGTTCCCAGGCTAGCGACAATGCTACCCCCAATCCAGCTTCCAAACTTTCGCTCCACAGGCATGCCTGCAGCATTGACACGAACTTTCGTGCTTGGATACATCCTGGTCAATTCTCCTTGGATTCGATCTGGCAAACCTTTGATTAACGAAGCGCTTCCGGTTATGACTACACTCGCTAACAGCATTGGTCGAAGATCGACATCGCATTGATTGATGCACAATTTCACCAGACCTGGTATGGTTTGATTCTGCTCTGGCGCCGGGTAATATTGTGCATCCAAACTTCCAGCAGGGCTTGGCGAATGACACTGTGCATCGAAGAGTGTCTCCACGATCTTGAAGCGATCTGAAGAAAATGTTTGGTTGTAACCATCCGGAAACTCGAATGGGTGTGCGTATTGCTCTCGTGCTATAGCTTCGCCCTGACCTCTGAATGAAGTGCCAGAAGCCCAGGTCTGTAAGCATACTTCTTTGAATTCAAGTATTGTCTTCTCTTCCTGATATCTGTGGTAGGATGTTTGTGGTGGCTGTTTGAATTGATCGAATGTTTTGAGTATCGCATTCGCCGGCTGACCAGCATCGACGGGCTGCTTGGCTTTGACCATGTAGTGAGGATTGATGGTGATCGGCGGATCGTGGGTAGCGAGCATGCTTCGAATCTGCGAGGAAATGTAGTTGCCGCCTAGGTGTGAGCGTGTTATACTTTTTCGAAGGATCATGCCGTCGTGTACAGCCGCTACCGAGAGCTGAGAGGCGCCGATATCGATGACCAGAGCTGTCGACTTTCCCATGCTGAAGGCAGACAATACGCTGGATTTGGAGATATAGAAAGCTGGTGCCGCCCACTTTTCCAAAGCTATTTCGATTGCTTTCTCACGGTTCTTGATCGGGTTCCAATTCGGTTCGCTCATGAACAAAGGATGGTCTTCCAAAGCTCGTTCAGTATCTTCAGCGTCAGCCATGGCCTTCTGCAGGTTAGGCACGGCGTTAACATCGTTGAGCCACTCCTGAAGTGCCTTGTTGGGCCGTATGCCCGTCAATTTGGAAGCGAAGGAATATTTCCATAACTTTTCTGCTGTATCCCAGTCCTCAACTATGCCATCCCTAGAGTATGGGTTTCTGATTTCGACATTATCTCGGGGGACATCGATGACATGGTCGCCAAACAGACAGGCGTCCTGGTAGAATGCATAGTTGGATGGCACGATCGATTTAGGGGCGTCCTCACCAGCAAAGCCTGCTCTTGTCGAAGCGTAGCCAGGGTCTAGGACAATTGCAGATACCTCATCTGCACCACAGATGTTAGACTACTAGCCGGGCAGATCGGACACTTCTTTTGTACTTACCGCCAGCATACTCAGCTGTCCGTGGCTCATCTTTGCTTGTAAGTGCTGCCATGTCTATAAGGATTGTAACATGGCTCGCGTAAGAGCAACTGAGCGTGAGTGAGAATTGCGACAAAGTTATGGACCTTTGCAAATCTGGAGAGTTTCGCGAACCAAATGCGACAACTACCACCTATTTACGCGTCAAGTTTCTAAGAACGCGCCTGTGCCAAGGCTTGTGAGCCGCAAAGTCACCCCACCGTAATTGTATTATGGGATCGTTCGGGCGCTGGCAGGATAGCACTTTCGCAATCGCATGGTTAAGATGTTCATCTATATGAGGTGTGAAGATGATCTAAGGCTACTGACACTTCAAGCTAAGTCATGCGGCAAGAAGTCATCTACGTAACACTCTGATGAAAGCTCCGCCAATTCTTTCACTAGACTTTCCGCATCAATGGATGAGTCGGTGATGCTATCGCGAATCTCTTGCCACTTACCAGATCTTGCTGAGCAGCGGATGTTCGTGGTTGGCAACTCAGTCATGTCCTTTTGCACCGAACTTGGTTGAGTAGATCCTAGGTTGTCCGTTACTTGAGCAATTTCCGATCCCAGATCGGAGTGATGAAACAATTCAGGGTTGACGGTGATGCATTTCAAACCTTCGTCTCTGCAACTCTCGAGTAGCCGGACGTCGTATGCTTTGCACGGATTTCCCAGGTTTCGCAATGGCTCACGTGCTGCCAACTCGTTGAGGACTCTCTCTGCTGCAGGCCGTGTGATGGCGTAAGCAAAAGTACAGAGTGGTTGCACAGAGTTGTGAACCAGGCGCTGTTGGTCTTTGACCGCCCCAATTTCTTTGAGGAAGTCTCTTGTCCAGGGGTGGAGCTCTTCTAGCTTTGGCATCGCAGAATCGATGAAGGACTTGATGACAGGAATATCAGACCCTCTAGCAGCATTGAAGAAGTCTCCGCAATGTCCTAGCCAGATAATGTCCCATGTCTCAAGACTACCGTAGTACCCATTGCCGTGAGATCCCAGAAGCTCTCGAATAGCATAAGCGGTTTGCGGTATCTGCTTACTGCGAAGCTGAGTATCCCAATCAACATCGTCTTCGACAATCAATGCGGTATCGTGCCTGGTCTTCAGGAACTCGCTCAAGACATTGCGATGACCCAACCAAGCTAGTGCTGAGCCACGATCGAGGGCTGAGTTTCCAGGTGTCTGCAGGTCTGTAATATCTTGCTCGCTCCATCTAGGCTGTAATGGAATGGTTATATTGAGGCTTGTCAGTTTTGCAGCATTTATCAGAGGTTGTTGTCGTGGTGAACCAGGCTTCGAGACTGCGTATATGGACCCAAATCCCAGTGTTGAATTTGCAGAATGATCTTGGAACCGACTTGTTATCAGAAAATCTCCCGAGCAATATTGCCAGGCGAGAAGAAGTTGACCTAGTATTGTCAATGCAACCAATAGGCAGACTCCTTCTCGAACATATTGAGGTCTTCGGCTGGCTCGCAGTACAGGACTTGTAGGCAGAGCGATTGGGTTCTCCTTAGTTGCGAACATTTCCCGAAAATGTTCTGTGTGCAGCCTGCGAATTAATCAGGTATAATATTGGTGACCAGCACCGAAATAAACAAGACAGCCTCCTGGAACGACGCACTGCGAGGTGTCGATGAAGTGAAAGAAGGAACGATCGAAGATTGGAAAGAGCGAAGCTGCACTTTGGACCTGCCGAATATCTTGCTGAAATCGCCCAAATCGCAAACAAATGAGCTTCTGTGTGGGTGCAGTGTCAATACAAATATTCTGTGTGACGATTGTGCGGAATATCCGTCCTCACACTCCTAGGAGTTACTGCACACCGATTCGTCAACTGCTATGAAAACAGAAGGAAAACACGACAAGGAAAGATATGTCTGCTCGAAAAAGGCGGGCAACGACCCTGCACACCAGTCGACTTCGTTACAAGATTTGTATCAGCGGCTGTTCCTGTTATGTGGAGCGTTTGACAACAATCCGAAATCTGGCGATCATATCATAGGCAGGAATGCGGAATATTCCCTACGCTGGACTGAGTCTCCATAACTGTTACTGAACATGCTTCGTTCTACGCTCAGGACAACGCTTTCACAGCTCGCGACAAGTGCGAGCAGAGGCATAAAGGTAATAGTGATGGGTGAGGTTGAGATGTCGTTTCTCTGATTAAGAGGCTCCTCAAAAGAGTGGACACCTTGAATGTCTGAAACAAGCTAGTCGATCGACGCAACATGCCAACCACCCATCTTGCTCGACATCTTCCTCGTAGCTCCTCGAGTAAAGCATACCATGACAATCTCGAAGCACGAGCCTACCTATCGTCATGCAGAGATACACTGTTTGGACAAGTAGCTACAGGTATGACCTCGGAGTTAATACGTGTCTTGGTAATTGCCCTTTGTTTCGCTTGACCACGTTTCACCCTCTCCCTCCCGTGCATGTGCTGCAGTTGTGCCGGTCAATTATGATACAGCCAGTGAATACCAAGACCTACCTGAGTGCGTGATGCCGCTGCCCTGCAATATCTCCACCTCCATGGGTTTTCCAATGGGCAAGGACAGGACCCGTGCATCTTTCGAGAATCAGCCTTTTGAGCTGGCAATATAATGTGCCAGTAGATGATGGTCGAGCCTGGACTATTTTGCAATTCTAATTCTTGGTTTTGAACTTTAGCAGGCGTAAAGGCGGATTTTGGGGATTGAAGGCAGGACCAAGACGACTCGGACTTGACGAGTACCTTCCCTCAACGAAACAAAAGTGGCTACACTTACCACAGACATCCAGAAGCCCAAAGTCTCCTTCCTCACACCCGTCATAGCCATTCTGCTGCGCATCAGGCTATGGATGTCCTCACACTTTAAGCATTGTCAGTTCCTTGCTTGTCAATCTCAGCCTCAAGAACTCGGCATGAAGAAACAATGGCAAGAGTAACGTCAACTTCCTCCAGAAGACGCATATGGCTTCCGTTCATCTTAGTTTTGATCATCATTCTGTGCTACAGAAAAAGCAAAAGGGTTCAATCATACGAATCTCCCGGCTGGAATGTCATCGACTTCCAAGTCAAGGACTACAAATCCAGGGAGGAGACATATGTTGCTGATACAGCAGAAGAAGATTTCTTAGACCAGCATGGCACTCACCGTCAACCTGGTCACAATCATCATGGCTATCATGAATATCAGGCCCAAATTGACGCAATACGTGGTCGGCCAGCTTTCCAGCAACAGCAGCTCTCGTATGATGCGCTTCAGGACAAAATCCAGCAATTCATTCAGTGGAATAGACCATCTACAGATCATTGGCCGGCTTGGCACGATTATGACGATGCTGATTATGACCCAAACCGGTGGGAGGCATTGGACAGGTAAGAACTACGTACTCGTCGATGTGGTGCAGCTGCTGATGCCTGATAGGGAGTACGGATACTATCTCAACAATACTGTGCAAGAACTTGAGCATGCCGGTCACAAGCCCGAGCCTTACCTGCCTTACCCCAACTACAATTCACTCGCCTGGAGGAAGAAGTGGCATGGCCAATACAAAGCATGTGAAGGTCCTCAGGGAGAGCTTCTAGGTGAAGCCTCTACAAACGATCATGTCGTACACGGCTACCGGACTTTGGTAGACAATTCACCGCCTGAAACTCTAGGGTCTGCCAAAGTGTTAGGCCTCGATACAAGCTTCTGCTTTGATCGCTACTCAAGATATTCTCCATACGGCATGAAAGACCATAATTTTGGCAGATCCAGTCGTACCAGATGGGATCGCATGCGCTGGGGTGCGTTACAAGAAGCCTGTCTAGAGAAGAATGCGGAAAGATATGTTCCCGATGGGCGCACAACGATGCCTTTAAAGCCAAGTAAAGTCATGCACGATGCCAACGATCCTTTGGATGAGGCAAACAAGCGCAGGAAGGACGAAAAAGGTGCAAGACAGTACAAATCAAGAACTGCAATTCTCATAAGGACGTGGGAGGGTTATGAGTACAAAGAAAATGATATTCAGGCCATCCGAGCCTTGGTCACAGAAACATCACTGCTAAGTGGAGGGGAGTATCAAGTATTCCTTTTCGTGAACATTAAACAACGTGAGGCTGATATCTACAACGATGACAAGATTTATAGAGAACTCCTCAAGCAAACAGTGCCTGCAGAATTGCGAGACATGGCAATTCTTTGGACCGAACGTGTCTGCGAAGAGTGGTACCCCAACGTTGGCGATTGGCAAGTCTACTGGATGCAATTCATGCCGTTACAGTGGTTCTCAAAGCAGCATCCCGAGTTTGACTATGTCTGGAATTGGGAAACAGACGCCAGATACATCGGCAACCACTATCACTTCCTCGAACAAATTTCTGCGTTCTCCAAACAGATCCCTCGCAAACATCTGTGGGAACGCAATAGTCGTTTCTTTTTCCCAGCATCATGGAACGGAGACTACGACGCCTTCCTTGCAGACACTGACGAGAAAATACTCAATGCGTCAGCAATGGGCTTGATCGATGAACCTGTATGGGGTCCTCGACCATATGCACCTTTTCAATATCCTCTGGGACCCTTTCCTCCAACAATTGCCGAGGAAGACAACTTCGAATGGGGTGTGGGGGAAGAGGCTGACTTAATATCACTTCAACCTATCTGGGACCCTGCAGAAACAGAATGGTCCTACAGGAATCATGTTTGGAACTTTATACCAGAAGTCCGACCTCATTTTTCCGCTGAGAATCCGAACGATGATGGCTTCGATCATCCAGGCTTCCCGACCATACCTCGCCGTACATTCATCAACACAGTGGTCCGCTTCAGTAAGAGGATGCTACATATCATGCATCTCGAAAATATGCAAGGTCGTGCAATGCAAGCAGAAATGTGGCCCGCCACAGTAGCACTCCACCATGGCTTGAAAGCAGTTTACGCGCCGCACCCGATTTGGACTGATCGAATTTGGCCTGCCTGGTATGCTGAAGCTGTTTTCAATGCCGATGATGGCATCCCAGCAAGATGGAGTCAACAGCTTGATAGTCCTTACAATCATGACCGAGAGGCCAATTTCGGTGGTTGGAGTTGGTACTACAGGTCGGTCTTTCCACATGTCCTCTATCGTAGATGGCTTGGTTGGAAAGCCAAGGATTGGGGCTGGGACGCCGACATAGCCAGAGAAACAGAACAAGAAGAGAAGGAAGCACTGGCAGAGAAGCTCGGCAAGGATGTGGAAGAGTTGGACGATCTCAGAATGTGTCTTCCTGGCATGCTCTTGCATCCAGTGAAACATGTGTACGAGGGCGCCGATGGTGGTTAGGAGCACTAGTCGTCGCTGCCAGTTGAAACTCAGAATGGCTTGATGTGCTATGTGTTGGTTTGAAGTCTTTTACGCACCATATAAAGCTACTACATTTGTGTGGAAACATCCTTCACCACAAATGGTGCCGTTTCATCGGAGTGGCTCGAGTCTGGTACGATGTCACGTTAACCACCACTGAGTTGGACTATGAGGTACGTGGTGTATGGCAAATTACCTACACATATCGATCGAGCAACCAGATGCGATTCTTGACTTGTATAACAAAATCAATAATCAAAGTTCTCAAAATCGACAACTTTTCCAGGTAACCATTCCTGGACCTGCTTCCTCATGGCAGGCGTAGTACAGAGATACCAATTTGCAACTTTGACCCCAAACTTAGCCTCAACCCCAATCAAATCACCCTCACCCATCCGGCGCCGTTGGATCGTAACTCGGCCTTCCGATAGCTTACTCTCAATCTCAGCGAGCAACTGTACTTCTGTACTCGTCTCAGCTATATCACTCGTACCAGTAATAAACAGCTGCATCCTCACAGCTCCGGAAACGACCTTTAGCACTTCAGCAACTAATCCAATATCTCTGACATGTAAGGTCCACAGCACGATGAGCCTGCCTGCTTCCTCTTCCTCATCTTTCCTTACCTGTCCCAGCAACGGCGTAATACCCACCCCAGCCGCAACAAAGACATTGACCCGATCCGCTCCCCTCACCTTCAAGTCCTCAAACCTAAACGTCCCTGCGAACCCTTTGACACCAACACTCAGCATCCCACGATCATTCTGCCAGCTGAGCCAGCGCGTGACACTGCCGACGTTGCGGACGATGATTTCGAACTCGATTTCGTTGCGACCAGCGACGTATGAGGATGCAACGGTGAATGTCCGGATGAAATCGTCGTTGAGGCTTGTTGGGTCGTCGTCGCGCATGTGTGAGTAGCCCATGTATAGCTCTTCGGAGAAGTCGAGGATGACGTATTGGCCTGGTTGCCAGAGGGGGGTCGTTGAAGTGCCGCTGTCCGATGCGAGACGGAAGCGATATTTGGTGATTGTGGGTGTGAGTTTTGTCTTTTTGACGAGTGCTGCGGTTCTTTCGGTGTCGTTGTTCTTTGAGGTGTTGTTGCGATATTCATTTGGCGGCAGGGAAGAGGTGAGATTGTCTTTTTGGGTCTGTTCGTCGAGTTCCGAGATCAGGTACCGGACTCTGGGGTTGTAGGGGCTCATTCCGTCTGCGGTGTTTTTTGATACTGCTGGATTGCTCGAGCTGACGTCCTTGTTGCTGGTGGATAGTGTGCCTCGGAAACATAGTCCGTCGGCAACGAAGCGAGCGGCTGTGACTGTGAACCGAACCGCGAGGCGTGTTTTGGAGATGACAGATGCTGCACTTTCGTCGATGAGGACTTCGGTTGTGCCGCTGAGGTAAAGTATTGTTCCTGTTTGGAAGTTGGGCACGACGATACCGGCTCGAGCGTCTAAGGTGAGATTGCCGAGTGTTTGGTAGAGGTTGTTGCCGCTGTATTCGGGCCAGATTAGTACGCTTTGCGTTTGAGTTTCTTGTTGTATGATGCGGATGAATCCTGGAGGACCACCTCTGATATTGCAGTCCATGTCTTCTGGCCCGGCTGAGGCGATGAAGATGGTGTCTGCGGATTGAATGTGGGATATGGCTTCGGCAGATAAGATGGGTGAGTCTGATAGCAGACGTGGTTTGGCGGTGGCGTATGAGGTTATGTGCTTCTTGTTGAGATACTTGGGACAGTTTCCTAGAGACTGAGTAATATGCAGGACAAGTTGTGCATTTCCTGTCGTGCCTCTCGTCCCGTTCACCCCTTCCTGGCTCTCCTCGCCCTCAGAGCTAGCATTAGCATCAGCATTGCCGGCACCCTCCACGCTCAAACTCCCTGCCAACATCCTTCCAAACAACTTGACACGATCCCTCTCCTCAAGATGAATACTTAACCCACTGACCATCCTCCCTGCCTTAGGATCATTTTGCACAACTTCCCCATCCGTCCGTCCACCGTACAAAGCCTGCACGACAGGGTCAAAGCTAGCATCAACCTGCGTCCTGATACCCAGGACCCCTCCTCTAGCAACCTGCTGAGCTATCGGAACATCGCCGCCCCAAACAGTGCACCATACTCGACCTTCGTTGTTGATCGTGCCAAGCGCAATCGTTGGAGAGCGTGAGATGCGTGCGGCTAGCATGGGAGGCAGCATTGGGTGAGTAGGGTTGTCTGCGGATGGGAGTCGTGTGAGCTTGTGGATCTTCTCTTCGCCTTCGTGCCAGGGCATGGCTTGGTAGAATGCCATCTCGGTGGACGATAAGTTTGTAAGATCGGAAGTGCTGTGGTTAAATAGAGAGTAGTCCTTCCTGTTGTTGCTGGATCAATAGACAAATTTTTTTCTCAGCTATATCAGTTTCGGTGCTGTTGTATGATTAGGACAGGTACAACAGCTTCGCATATAAGACGGAGGCAAGAAAGGAAAGTCCTGAACTTTGCGAGCGACATCAGAAAGTATATATACTTATTTGCCTCCTTGATGGTCTTCCATTGCGGTTGCTGCATTCAGGTCACCAAGCATAGTGATGCGCAATTCCAGTCATTAGTGCATGATTTTTTGACGTCTTGGATCATATTAATGGAGGATAGGCGAGATATCATCTCACAGGATACCACAATACATACGCCTTGTACTTGACGGACAGTACTGGCAACGAGATATACCCCACATTCACTCAGGTATTGGAGTAACGTACAGACAGCGCTAACTGTATTCAAATATTTACAGAAGCTGCTTTACAACACTTTTCGAAAGCAGCACGATGAGCGTGACTAATGTCTATTTTGAAAGTGATGAAGGTTCGAGTGACGACTTACGCTGGAATTCAAAGGAACTGGAAACGTTCAACAATTTAATTCATGATCTTTTTCGTAACTAACATCCTCGTGACCTCGTTCCTCGATGAAGACGAGTATATTCGTCTTCATCCTGGACCTTCATCCTACCGCCGCACGATTTCCACAACATCTTGATTCATATCAAAATCCCGAACCAGAAAGCGACCGGATCAACCAAAACCCACTATAGCTCGTCATGGTGATCCTGAGGGATATCACTGTCATCAATGAAGGTGCCGACCACCTCTGCAGCCCCCTTTATAGCATCTTTGACTGCCGCGGCAGCACCAGAAGCGCTCTCAGTTGCAGCTGGTGCAGCCCTGGCCATAGATTCAGGAATATCTGACATGACAGTGTCGTCGTCCTCAGTATCCTTGGAAGACTTGGATTGAGCAGATAGAACATCAACCTTGTTGCTGCCATTGTCCTTGATGAAATTGGCCAGATCCTCCAATGTTCGTGAGCCAGAGTAATCGACTGGCTGGTTCTTGGCGGCGGCTGGATACAATTTGATGGTAGGGAAGCCCTGGATTTTCTCTGGAACGTCGTTGGTGGTAGCATCAACCTTGGCAATGACGACCTTGTCGCCGAAACCATGAGACTGATATAGCTCTCCCAACTGGTCATATGTAGGAGCAAGAGCCTTGCAGTGTCCGCACCAAGGAGCGTAGAACTCTACAAGCACGTCCTTGCCGGAGGACTCGACAACAAGCTCTTTAAACGTAGTGGCGACCAGAACGGTGACTGGACCATCATTCTTGTCGGGTACGGGCTCAGACTTAACAGACGGCTTGAGCTTGCCATCGACGTATTCCTTGACGAAGGCACCAATCTTCTTCTCTGTGAGTTTGTGACCATCAAATGGATACTTCTGATCGGTCACGGTGTCCTGAAGGGCGAAAGATGGCCACTTGTCGGTTGGGAGGTTGAGGTTACCAGCATGAGCACCGAACGCCTTTGCGTCGATGGTAGCAAAGTTGATCTTGCCCTTGTACTTTTCTGCAACTGGTTTCAATATCTTTGCAAGCTCAGCTCGCTCCTCCGCAGTCTCGCTGAAGATATAGGCCAGAGGAATTCCAGCTGCCATATAGCCCTGGTAGGTCTCTGGACCAACTTCTCCAACCAAAGGAGTGGATGCAACCTTGGCGAACGATGCGATGGCCTCTTCTGTGAATTCTCCTAGGTGAACATCCTTGCCTTCGTCGAAGTCCTTGTATAGAACAACCGCAGGCTGCTTGGCACCTTCAGCTGATGCAAGCTCAGGATCACTGGTTGCACCGAAGATGTACTCGTCTCGTAGGCTCTCGGCAAGGGCTGAGTATGTCTGGTTCGAGGTCTTATCGTCTAATGCGAAGTAGGCAACAAGGACGACCTTGTCAGTTGTCTTGAATTCTTCGAGGGTATCTTTTGTAAGGATAGAGACAGCTGGTAATTGTTGCTTCGTCATATAGGAAACGATACTACTTGGTATCAGTAAAAGTCACTTAGCAAGCCAGTGTTTCGACTTACGCAGGGGCTTTTCTGGCGCCCTGATATGGTTTAATGTTGTCTGGACCACGGAACACCTTGACGGTTGGGTAGCCCTCAACACCGTATTCTCTGCATAGGTCTGCTTCGACTGTGCAGTCCACCTTGGCCAAGGCCACATTTTTCTCCTTCAGTTGTGTAGCAGCCTCCTCATACTCTGGGGCTAGAGCTTTGCAGTGACCGCACCTGATCATGTAAGTATTATGCTGGAACGACAGGATTTTCGACTCACCATGGTGCGAAGAACTCGATCAACGCTAGGCTATTCGTCGAAACAAAGTCCTTGAAGGTATCTGTTTTTAAATCGTGAACATCTGACGCAAGCGCAGTTGCGAGCAGAGCCGCCGCTGCTCTATAGCTGAAGCGCATGTCTATTGAATTGAAATCTGCTCGATGGTCGGTAGGTAGTGGGGAAATACTCGACTGGATCAAGTCGTTGAGAGTATGAACGACAAGGGATGGGCCGAGCGGAATAGTATATGAGGACCAGAACAAGTGTAAATCGTGTTCTTTTGAGTAGTGACCTGCGGCTGAAACAACGAACGGATTGTCACTATTAGCCACTAAGAAAACGAGGGCGATAAACTATTTACCCCACACACTTCGACCTCTTTTTGTGCAGGGGCTCCAAGGGGTGATGTTTTGTAAGCAACATTACGTTTGACTCGAGGCCGCTTTACTGTAAAGGAGAGAGTAGCCAAGGATGTGCAAGATCTGCAAACACAGTGACAATTAAATTCGATAACACGAACGTGTCTGCCGCTCAATGCAAGATACCCAGGTAATTTTATAGGAACCTCGCTATACAGTATGCGTATCAATCGAACGCATCGAAGTCTACCTGTCCCAACACCCTCCGACGTATCACTCATTCGCCTTGGCTCCGATAAGCATACTCACAGGAGCGGTCGACATTCTTCCATGTCGTGAACTCATGTACCTTGCCTCGTAACGCCTTGATTCCAGGCTCCCTAAAATGCTTCGAGTAATGAAGTCAACTTGGTCTATCTTTCGTCACCCTCTTCCGGAAATCCCGAAGCGGGAACACCGGGCCTTGATCTAGCATATTGATTCTGCCCACCTGCTAATTCGAGGGCCATAGCAGCTGCATCCACCTTTGCTCTATCGGCGTCAACCAGTAGAAGAAGTGGCAGAGGAAGGAAGACCAGGATCGCCAGAAACACAAACGCTGGTCGAATATCGCCGTATCGATCTGTTATGGCGCCTATAACGGCGGGTCCGAACACGCTTGAGCCCTTGTCGGTGATTGCGTACAAACTGTAAAAGGACGCTTCAAATCCAGGAGGAATCAATTCTCCGAAAACTGCTCTGCAGTAACTTGAGAGACCACCGAGTACAAGGCCGTATATCACTCCTAAACAATATATCTCAATAGGTTGTTGCAGCCCAAAGCCAGCATTCCTGACAGCTGGAATGAAGCCTAGAACACCGTATAGAGGGATGATCTCCAAAAGACATACACACGCAACAATGGTTCGCGATGCCCTCCATCCCCAATAGCGGGAAAATCTTGACCAATAGAAAGCTCCTAGACAGCCTGATACGGTGCCTAGTACACTGATTAGCGCCAGCTGTGTTGGTTTCATGCCCAAGTTGGTCTTTGCGAACAGAATAGCCGTGCCACTGATCGAGGCTATGGCATCACTGAGTAAGAACCATGCTGCCAAAAAGGTCATCATGTCGCGTAACTTCTTCGCCTGACGCAGAGTCTTGTAAAGCGAGCCCCACGAATATCTGACGTAGCCTGTCCAACCTTGTAAGTGCGGTGGTAGGGGTGGACCAGGTCGTGGCCTCAACCACAGGGCTGCTGGAATGCTAAAGACAAGCCACCACAAGCCAACGATGAAGAGAACCAGTCTCAATGAGAAGGTAGTGGATCCAGTCAGTGCCACAACCAGAATCCCTCCTACCTGCACTATCAAACCGGCGATATACCCAATACCGATGCCATTCGCAGAGATGCGTGTAGATAGCCTCATCTCCGCTGACACTGCTGGTGATTTCGGCGCTATAGGTGTTGTAGCATCCGATGCGTTGTGGTGCTCAAAGGTAGTAGTCGAGCCGGCAGACGAGCCAGTATCGTCATAGTAATGTTCTTGACTGGCATCCAACAACGAATCTGTCTCTCGAGGTTGATCGCTAGCAGCGAGTGAAGGGTGATGTCGCACCAGGACGGGGAGGAAGGAATTAAGCAGCACAAAGGAGGCGCCAAAGCAGGTATTTGCAACCATGGCAAGCAAAGCTCCCAGGAGATAGACTTTGGGCACCACTGGAAGGAAAAGCATCAGTGCAACAGCGCCAGTAAAAGCAAACACCAATAAAAAGGTCTTGCGAAATCTGCCATGGTCGGCCGCTGCTGACATGGAGACTATCAATAGGCTTTGCAGCAGGACACTGAGTGAGAAAGTATACATGGCAAAACTAGCCGTGTTAATCTGTAGATGACCGATTCGCACGATACAAGCTGGCAGCTCATGTCTTCTAGGTGCGCTCATCAAGGAGGGTGTGTTGGGAAAGCTTGTTTTGCATGGTGTCTTCCCGTCGCGTAGTAGCACTCCCTGATCTCTAGCCAATTGCTCGAGAGTCATGGGCAAGAATGAACCCATAGCGCATATGGCGAAGACTTCGGCGGCCCAGCCATATGAATACCAGCCTGCAAGCTCCTTCTTTGAGGTTTCGCGAGTATCTTCATCTTGATGTGGTTGCGGACCCATCTCTGCGTCTGTTGTTGGGTCTGTACCAGTAAGGGAATCGTCCTCGTCGTAGTCGTCTTCTAGATCGTCGTCCGATTGTTCATCGTCTCCGTCAACTGATGGAGTTGGAGAGATCAGACTCTGATGGGAGTTCTTCGATTGTGTTCGCGGCAGGGACGGTCGTGCATTGTGAAAGAATTGCTGGTCGTTTCGCGGGACCTACAAGCACAGGCAAAGCCAATTAGACCACATACTCAAGCAGTCAGCTGTGCGCAAAACAGAGAGCTCACCATGTCGAAGAGGCAGAGATGAGACCCGGGCCTTGCGGCTGCAAGACCCTGGGAGCAGGGATGCCGACTCCACGGCAGAACTTCACCAGTCTCATCACCATCAACACTAAAACCTGCGGTAATCAAGCACACGTATGCATGAATGAAACAATCGTTTATCTCTACTTCAGCGAACCGTCAAGTACATCAGGGATGGCAGCATGCGAAGTAGACTGAACATGTTGACAGATGATCCCGCCGATACAGGAGGAAGCCGAAGTGTTAATACACGAGCAAAAAGGCAGCGTGCTGGCAACCATCATGAGCTCCGCCTGAGTTTCGCGATACCGATCACACCGTGCTTGCCGATATTGACGAATAGGAAGATTTTATAGACGGGTAACAGAGCGTGACCATCTCTGAGATAGTTTAGTTCGAGCTTGCAGAACCAGAAAATGACCAGTTGTGTCAAACATGCATGAGATCGGAAGCGGACCATTCAGCCATCAACTTGGATCGATAACGCCGCCCCTCGAAGTGGACTCGCCTAGGTAAGCATCACATGCCTGAGAAAGTGATCATCTAACGACAAAGTTTCGAGGTCTAGTAGGAGTGAGAGCTTATAACAACAAAAGACCGAGAGGCTTGCGATCGTCTCTCGGCATGCGCAGGTAAAAGAGAAGTCAAATATGGTAAGAGCAACCCAAGTCTAAAGCGAGGTAATCGTCTTGTCGTGCAGAGTTTGGAGCTACTGATGTGCGTATGCATAAGTGAATCTGGTGAAGGGCATGCCTGCAGGAGATTGCGTCTGGCATCTCTACCAGAAGTATCGTTTTGACCAACCGAGAGCATGGACAATGGAAGACTTCGAACTTCAAGCGCATATTTTACAGAGTATCCCGTGGAGCGGAGTAGATGTACGGCATTGGCAGGCAGACACTTATTGTGTTTGAATAGAAGCTCTACGGAATATTGCGCCATAATCTATATGGTGTGAGTAACTCACCTTGTACTCGACGCGAAGTAAGGATCACAATCCAGTGCGACACCACAATGTGTGAATCGTTTGGTGTTACGGTCACAGATACTAGGTTAGGCAGAGACTAGGCGGGGTAGGAAGGCACGTGATACGGTAGATAAGTAGACTGCATATCGCCCGCTCCTTAGCATCGCCCTTCCGGCGATGAATCGCTGTCATACCAGAGGTACGTAGCTAGATAGAACAGACTGATTAAGAGAGATTAGGACGTCCCTTACATTTAGGTAATTGACTTGTTCTCGTCGCCAATCCTGCTACCACTACGTTCATCGTGCTTGTACAGCAGTCATCATCACATATGCAGTTAAGGAGACACGCAAAAGCGTATTGAGATGGATGCATGAAACGAACATCGTTCCTCAGAGTCAAATGTCATCCTTTCGTACCCGGCACGAGGTCTCTTTGTATAACGAGAGAGATGCTGGTGAAGACTATACATTGTGTTTCGATCTCTTTTCTTCCCCTCTCTCGCTGCTGCAGTCGCGTCAAACATCATCTACACCGATGACGGTTGTTGTAGGCCTTAGCCGGCACGACCACTCGACGAGCACGGACGAGAGTAGCAAAGATCATTCGTGAATCTTTGCGAAAGGATGTGAGATGAGATGGGTGGCTTCTGACAGAAAGACCTGCCCTGTCGACACAGCCACGCTGGAGCTCGTATTTCTGACTGGTCAGAGGCCATGCCATACGAAGCTGTAGGGCAGTTTGGACCGCTTGTTGCAGAGCACGCCGACAGTCACGACGGTATCGACCCAGCCCGCGGGTCAGCGTCCGCTGACATACACGCTGGACATGCTCTTCAAGGCAACGACGCTGGTCGTGGAAGTCATATCTTTCGTGGCAGAGGTGTTCCTGCGTAGCTACTGGATAGGATGTCAGCGAGAGTCCATCTCTTGCACTAGTCGTGGTGATCGTCAGACATACCTTTTCGGACCATATTCCACGCTTGAGGGAACAGCATCATTCGGCGAGCAAGACCAGGCAAGTCTTTCTCGAACACCTCACGTCGTAGCACACAGGACACGTATTGAAAGAACTTGGTCGGTTGGGACACACGGTGATCGTGTTGCTGGCCATGCGGTGAACTGAGTAGAACTCTGTCCGGGCCAGCATGAGCTCTTTATGACGTGTGGTGGTGGGCTTGTGTTTCTTGTAGGCTCGTAGAGCTTGCTTGACTGACCGCCACATCGCTTCCGAAGTCTGGGTGAGAGTTATGTTCGAGAACATCACATCGATGATGAGTTCACCAGAGGCAGGATAAAAGTTCATCGGCCAGGAAGTTCACGATAAGCAGATTAGGCTGTCAGCAACGAGTGATCATAGTTTTGTGGTGTGCCAATCGTGCATGAGGTACAACTCAGACTACAGCCGTCGGGTCATGAGCTTGAACTTCTGGTTCAGCAGGACAGAAGAGATGGTGCCGAAATTGATCGAGTACGAGAAAAGACTTTGCGAACAAGGCTTCCGAGAGCTGGCAGAAATCGAATCGACAGCACCATCTTCCATCACAGGTGCACTTTCTGATACGCAAGTCCTACGGTTTCACTACTTCCTCAGTGATATATACAGTGATTTGTACAGTGTCAAGGATGTCTCAAGTCAAATATGATTACGTCTTCTATCATTTTAAATAAGGGCCATAGAGTGTTGACATCTGAATGTGATTGATAGTAATATAGTCGACCACGTATCAAGCTCTATACTTCATCCTGCCGCGTGCAGTTGTGGGAGAATGCTGTCAATTTGCGTGACCTCACCTGTATCAGGCATGTACCGGAGACGATTGGACTGTCATATACGAACAGGATGATTTATGAACTCCAACTTGAGACCACACACGCGGTCTGAGAACGATCAATTTTTCGAGACGCCACCCAAGACTTCTCTAGATTGCATCTCTACGTACACAGCCCGTGCTATTTCTTCAAGTAAAGTGCCTGGGAGTTGCAGTAAGAGATCAGGCCGCTAACACCCCATTCTGTGCCGATACCACTTTGTTTGTGACCACCAAAAGGAACTCTTGGGTCCAGTTGGAAGTGTGAATTTACCCAGACGTTTCCAGCTTCAATCTTTGTGGCGAGATTGTTTGCTCTTTCGATATCGCTTGACCAAATTGAAGCACCCAGGCCATACATAGTGTTGTTGGCCTTTTCAACAGCCTCCTCGTAGGTGCTGTAGCTGAGAAGTGGGACGATGGGACCTAGAGATGTCAGTAAATCTTTTATCTCAGAATCGTTGATTGATTTGTGCGATATTTGCTTACCGAAAGGCTCTTCAAGGACAAGACGTGAGTCTTCAGCTGGCCGATCGACAATAGTCGGCGTGATAAAGTATCCTTCGCCCGATGGATTTGTACCACCAACAGCGATATTATACCCCTGTTTCTCAACATCTTGGAAAAATCCTTTGACTTTGTCGTACTGCATAGAGTTCTGGATCGGACCTAGGAAGACATCGGGTTCATTACCCTCCCCCATCTTCAGATTGTTGGTCGCCTCGACCATAGCGTCTCTAAACTCATCAAAAATCTTTTCATGAACAAAGATTCGCTTCAAAGCAATACAGATCTGTTGTAGAGATTAGCGGATATGTAAGAAAGCAAAGAGATAAGTAAGATCTAAGGACTGACCTGACCAGAGTTAAGGAACGCAAGTTGCGCAATCTAGATATATGATTAGCAGTAGACCTATAGTTCTAGGAGATTCCAAATACCTGAGGAGCAACTTCCTTGATGTTCACATCCTCACAAATGATAGCAGGATCTTTACCACCTAGTTCGAGTGTCACCCTCTTCAGTGTTTTGCTGGCTGACTCCATAACTTTTTTTCCAGTAAAGCTAGACCCGGTAAAGCTGATTTTAGCTGGCACAGGATGTGCTGTCAGCCAGGGGCCGAGTTCGTCGTCTCCGGACAGACACTGGACAACACCAGGGGGGAAAAATCGTTGTGCTAGCTCGCAGAGCTTGAGATCTCCATTTGGTGTAAACGGGGATGGTTTTATGATGATGGTGTTGCCAGTCATCACGGCGGGCGCGATTTTGCCGACCGCGAGAAGGATCGGATAATTCCATGGAACGATTCCGACAACCACTCCAAGGGGTGTGTAACGCACGACAATTTTCCTGTCCTCTTCCTCGATCACCTCCTGAGGCAATTCGAGCTTCGCAATGCCGCGGAGCCATTGAATGGCAAAGTCGAGTTCCATGCGCGCGAATTGTAGCTATCGAAATTAGTGATGGTATACAAGATGTGTACTAGATCCACGTCATACTGGCTTGCCCTGCTCCTGCGTCAACATGGAAGAGAAAGCTGCATGTTCTGTTTCAAGAGCGTCCGCGAAGGACAGTACAGCTTGTCGTCGCTCATCGTAAGATGTGGTAGACCACTGTTTGAACGCCTTCTGCGCCGCTGTCATGGCTCTGTCGACATCTTCCTGAGATGACAGTGGCACTTCGGGATTAGCCTTTCCAGTTGCTGGATTGATGCCGTGTCGTGTGCGTGGTGTAGTACACAGATCGCCATCTATGATGTTACAGTACTGGGACCATTCCAATGTTGTATTGTGAGTACTGATAGAACCCATAACGAGTAACTTGATCCAATGCTATTGCCTTTTAGCAAATAGTTCGTGCTTTTGATAGGAGATTACATCCAGCACGGATGGTTTGGGTCGAACTTCTACTCGCATACTTTATATCACTCAAGCTGACCCCGCACTGGATGCTGTACAACCAGATGTTCTATGGCATTTCTTACATTTTACAAAAAGACCGTGGGTGACGGGTTCGCAAGGCCTGTCCCTCCACTATCGTGCTGTAAATTGTAGTTCTGGCGATCCACCCCCTCATGATCTTGGGGCTATCGTCGGTCCAGATGCGGAGGCACGATTCTTGCATCTGACCAATAGGCACAAGCCTTCGAGATATGTTTCTGTTCTGCCACAAAAAGCGATTATCATAGACAGATCATATGGACACAACTAAGCGCGTACATAGTAGAGATTGGGAATTGCTTACCCAAGACCTAAGTCGCGCCTAAGACTACACAGCTGTGTCGGACTGGGTTGGCGGGAGAGTCTTTCTCCCGTGGGATGTGCAACGTACCCTGCGTGAGTAATCTACCTTTCTTCGATGCGCTCGCAGGTTTGAGCGTTCCTTTCTCTGACGAACCAGAAGAACGGGGCTCTCAAATCATTCACGTCGTGTCAAAAGATGTGTATCTTAACTTGGTTCTACATGCAGAAAACCGCACCGAGTATGCCGCTGCAATGCTTGCGGCAAAGCTCTGGCTTCAGCGCATTAAGCGACTTTTGATATTGCACTCCACAGCAGGTCTGCCAGGAAGAAGCGGAGCACATATTAGCTTTGATAGCGCTCGATGAGCTTCCTAGCCACATAGTCCGAATTGCCAAGCTTTCGGATACACCTCGCCGAAATGTCGATGGCTTTAGCTTCGAGCTCATGATTGGTTTGAATATTGCTGTATCGGGAATAGCTCTTCGTCGTGGAGTTTTGATCTGTCAAAATTGTGTGGACGTAGTCCATGTGCTGGCAACACGAGCACCCGAGATGTAGCACAACGAGCTAATGTTGCACTCGCCACCGAACCAAGAGACTATGAAACCATGGTTGACAAGGTAATCTTGCTGCTACCCCGCAGAGCTACTCATGTTCGCTCCTGGGCTGGAACTTCGACAAACATCTTCATTGTACTACGTGTCTATGTGGTCCCTAGTAGAGCATAGTCTGGGTCGAGCATTGCATATGGTGGACTTTTTCTTGCAACGTGTCGTCTGTTCGAAGGATTTGAATCAACTCCACATCGAAGCAGTCTTGCGAATGTAGACTCAATCGGATCGACATTTGAACCATGTTAGCACACCATTCTGGTTCTGTGGCTTTGAGCTTCGAGATTTTGCCACGAAAGCCTCTCTCTCCGTACGACGCTCGCAATGTCACGAAGAATCACAATCACTTCTCCAAGCAACAGTGCAATGAGGAAAGGGTGGGGCTAGAAAGTTCAAGTTCTCGGTCGTCCAGAGATTCATTGCCGTGTTGATCAATGTGGAAATCCCATCTGCAGCATGTGCGCGTAGCCGTCCACATTCGACAATTAATGTCACTTTCTTTGTGACACGAAACGCACACCAAATTGCTCATTGTTCAGCATCTTCCCTTGATAGGTGCGTATACCAAATCATCGAGGCAGGCTGTGCAAAGCACATCATCTGCTTGGAAGGATCTCCATTGATACTGATTTATGTATTCTGGAAATATCCTTCAATATTCAACCTTCATACATCTGCTGAGCTGCCCTGGACAGAGCATGAAATGTGGGTGACACTATTGCATAGCCATTTCAAGTAGAATGTCTCACCACATGTTCCGCGCGATCTGTGTATCTATCTAGTAATCGTAGACTTTAACTAAAGTAGTTACACGTCGATCCGACCAGACTTACTGGGACCTTTGTGCACCACATGCATCGATATAAGCTATTGGATCGTATTATTGCGATTCGTGAGATATCGAGGAGTCTTCGCCTGCGATACCTTGTGTCCGTATTGTGCATAAAAACCGAAGGCGTGAAGATTCCCACAGATTTGGGATACATGGTCATGGGGTGCATGATAAAGAGGGAAAATTGTACCCGCTTCGAGGATTCCATCTGCGTCGACCCCTATGCCATGCTTCCCACCATTATGGATTTTGCAGTTTCACATTGGAACATGGTCGAGATCAGCCTTCTTTTCTTTGTTCTAACATTACGCTGCAAAAGCAGATGTGGCTGTGTTTCCTGCAGATGAGATTTAACAATCAGCTTGCGCTACCGTTTATCACATGCATGCAAACCGTTCCCATCGCCTTCACGGCGCAGTCGGGGTGGATGCTACTTGTCCGAGCAAAGACACTGTCCGATGCACCGCTGCGAGAAGGTGCGAAATTGATGTGTTGTCAACGGAGCAAGCCATCGATGTAGCTGTCTGGGAGGCACCATATCCTTTCTTTTGTTGTGTGACTTTTGGAGTCCGCGGGTAGCTCTGTATATCTTTCTGATCATCGATACCAACGCGTGTGACGTAAGGACGATGTCGTCCGACGCTTCATCACCTGAACTGATAGCATTACGTCGTGGTGCTCCGATCGATAAGTTGTCGTGGGAGTGGAAGTGATATTGTTGTATCGGAGTATTCGCACGACCAGTACTATGTGTATAGAATTTGCATCATTCCGATAACTACTTGTAAGATCCATTTGTAAGTCTAGGCTATCGGTCAGATCCGCATTGCGATTGTCCGACAGTCTATCCGAAATCTATGAATCTGAGCAAGCGCAAATGGTTGGTGGCAGATCGTGACGACATAAATAAACACGTGAGTCCAGAATATTAACAGCTAAGTATCACGACAACGAACATCTTCACCATCATCAGCTTGAATGCTGCATGAAGTATTCTCAATATGGTTTCTAGCTGCTACTCTTCGTATGTCCCTCCTATCCAATCTAGGTCTGAGTTTCACTCCGAAATATTTTATCTGCGACTCCGCTCAAATCGTGTGGTGCTTCGGAGTTCCCTTGAAATCCGTCAGTCGCTACCATGCCGCTGCCCATCAACCTCGAACCAGATTGGGCAGGAGAAAAACGTCGTCGAGGTCGCCCTGCCAAACCTCGCATTCCACAGCATCTACTACACAATACAATTACAGAAGGCTCGATAAAATCTTGTGTTGAAAGCCGTACTCCGAGGCTGTTATTGCCGAGAAATTCGATTGCACGTCGTCCTTATAATCGGCATGCGCATCCCAGTCGGCAATGTCTCATGTTCGATTGCCGATTATCGCCTTGCTCAATCGAATCACATTGGCAGGACGGTACCAGGTCGGACAGAAGAGCCATTGGTGAAATGACCGATACCCTGTACGCGACTGGCGAGAGACCATCACAACCTCGGAATCTTGCTCCTTCTCGCCCTATAGCAGATCTTGCTACAGGATTTTGGACACTTCCTTTCCCAACCAAACATACACTACAATTCCAGAATCTGCTGAAGTTTTTCGTCAATCACGTTTTTCCACATGCTATGGCAGTAATGCATCCTTTAATGCCTGTGGAGCCGCTGGTACGCTTTACCATACAAGGAATCTCAACGAAAGAGATGATGACCACCACCAGCCTCGCCATTGCTCAATATAATATTCTCGCTGCCCAAGATCATGCACACCGTGACACTGTGACTGATGAAATCTACTGGCGCCTTGTGCAGGCGATTAAGACTCGAATCACTAATTTTGAGAACGACGGAGTCGATGATATCATCCTTGGTGTTAGTTCTTTGACACATCTTGACATCTTACTACAGAACCATAGTATGCTTGTAGTGCACAGAAGAGCGCTAAACGATATCGTATCAGCACGAGGGGGGCTCCAAAACTTGGGTCGCTCATTAGTACACATTCTCGAAATCGACCGCCAATTGGCTGTGATGATGTGCACTCTTCCCATGTACGAAGACCCAGTAACATCCCGTCAAGAAACGTCACTTAGAGCATTGGAATCCACGGGAAGAAGTTTCCCGGGCTTATTCGCTCGACAATTGATTACAGAAGAAGTTTGTGGTTTCTGCCAAGATGCCGTGCAACTGCTCGACCTTTTTGAACAATCAAGCTTGACATTTGAGACTCATAGCACGAATAATACTTCTTGCTTTGATGTTGATCTTGTCCAGTCGTTCTTGAAACGTCGTGAAGAATTAGACAAACGCTTTCCACAGCTGTACCATATGTACTCGTTGTCCGAGGCCACAGACCACGACAACGACCTTAATCTGCTTGCAATCGTGTCTGTCAGACTTTTCACATATTCCACTGCACATGGCAATGTTACGAGCGAGATGACGAGGTTTTTATGTACAAGACTGGTCGATAGCCTTACATATTTGACGCAAACCTTAGACTCATACAAAATCAACAACGATCTGAAACAAAGCTTTATCTGTTGGACACTGTGGGTCGTAATGACTGCTCCAAGTCAGCCTACAGGGTCTGCAGTATTTGGTCGATTGCGCATTGCCTTCCTAAAGCGTCTTCGTACATTGTACGATTTGGACGGTCCTGCTGAATCGGTGCTGGCACGAAGCAATCGCACCATGGGGGCACAACGGACTGAAATTGAAAATTGTAACGACTGGCTGTGGCTGAACAGGCACAAACGTTTGACAATGGCAGTTGACAATATTTGGAAGGCCGTGTAGTCATCTCAAATGCCGTCTGAGTAAAGCTCATGGTGCTGCTGCTTCTTCAAAAGTGTGTACATACACCAAGAATCAGAATCGTAACATTACCGCAACGAGCTAAGACCAAGATCATTTATCACACAGTCTTCAAAACGACCAAGTGCTCAATCAAGGGTTTTCTTTCCGTTAGGCGTGCCGCAAAGCTGCCTCTTCATGATCACAAGAATCATGGATGCTCGCCCTTTCTGTCCATACGGCGTGACGATTTCCCATGCATTTATCTTTGGTGAAAAGTTCCATATCAGTTCTCGGAATGTGCTAGAGTCATCGAAAGCAGGATTGTAGAACATTAATGCCTGTCCATTCCAGCCGATCGTATAACCCGCACTGTGACGCGACAATTTTGGTAAAGCTACATTTCGCCCTTTGCCAGAGGCCCAATGTACAGCAGCTGGTCTATGCTAGCGGTCTGAGATGGAGTAGATCGTTTCTGCAGCTCAGTGACCGTGGAGCAGGACCGTGAGCGACGCATCCCATAAGAAATCAGGCTTGGCGTTAAGCTTATCGTGCCTGTGACACATACAGCATTCAAGCCCCACTCACGATCTAGCAGGGTTCAAGAGGTCTCGATTATGCTGTTGAACGCTCGGCTTGAGCACGTCCAACTACCGTTCACAAATCCTTCGCTTGAGTGCATGCAGGGTCTCGAAGGTTAACGCCACGAATCACGACGCCTTACAGCTCTTTCCGCAAGTACACCAGGTGTGGTGTACAGTCCGATTCACTTAGCGCTCGGGCGAGGGCTTGGCTCTGCTGTAGTTTTGCAGGGGTTATAGCCAATCGGCGAGTCGTCGGTGGGATGTGACCTCTATGACCATTATTATACTACTCCTTGATAGATTGGTGTGTCGGACACGCTGGTCAAGAGTAACATAGAGTGGGTCTGCTGGTCACCGTCCTAGCTATACCTATAATTGCCCTAGACCCATCTATAATTTGCGCCAACATACATTAGTTCCACTGTTATCCACCGTCTGGCCCACTGGGTACTACACCTGGTGTGTAGCCCAGGTGCATAGGCCTGTTTTGCGGAAAGGCTACGCCAAACAGGACTATGCACCTGGATCATCCACCACACCTGGCGCCCTTGCGGAAAGAGCTGTTACACCGCCGTACAAGCAAGAGCGAGATCCATGTACAAGCAGTATATAGTTCCGTGAAACTATGTATTATATTCACGGTTCAGCTGCACTAAGAAGAACATCATTTGCAATCATCTTTCTGACAGTGTCACAGAACCAGAGCCACAGCTCGGAACCACAACGCCGAAGATGTTGCAGAATGCAGATGTACTTCCCAGCAGCTTCAGTGCTAGCATCGCTCCCAAGAACTCTCCGTCATGTTTAGCAGGCATTAAGATTTACAGACAAGCTCAAGAAGAATACAGTCTGATCAAAAAGGCACATCGTACCTTGGCTCCCACTGGCTGTACACCAGATTTCTGCCAGTCAGGCAGAATGACACGCATTCTGGAGCCTCGAGTGGGTAGAGACCGTCCCTTGGCCGAGATTCAGCAGGAGGCTGCGGATTTTTTGCGTGAATGTCGCGACGAGAACATCATAGAGTCCGACGATGTATTGGATCGTCGGATCAAGACAGCTCTGATCCAGATCATGGAAACATCAGAGAAAATGGTGGTCACAGATCGAGACGGAAACCAAATCGAGGGTATCGCTGGAGGTATTTGGACTCAGTCACGCCAAGAGCTTGAGTATGGACTACGAGCAGCATGGCGAAATTCAAGAAGATGTATTATGCGTTCCGAGCATATGCATCTTGCCTTATGTGACCTACGACACGTTACGTCCAGTAGAGAGATGGCTAGTACTATGCTCGATGGTATGGTCAGGGCTTTCAACAGAGGCCGTATCTTACCAACTTGTTTTGTCTTTCCGCCACGTTTGCCCGGTCGACGCGGTCCAATGATTTGGAACACTCAAGTCTTGCAGTTTGCCGGGTATCGTCAAACAAATGGTTCGGTACTTGGTGATCCTGCCAACATTGAGCTCACCGAAGAGATCATTGCGCTTGGCTGGAAACCGCCACGTGACAAGACACGCTGGGATTTTCTCCCGCTAGTGACCATGGCTGAAGGCGATCGACCTCATATCGCAGAGTTGCCTGTGGAACTGCGTCGCACTGTCTCTATCACACACCCTCGTTTCAAGGAAGAGTTTGAAGTGATGAACCTCAAATGGGTTTTGGCCCCAGCCTTGAGTCGCCAAGGCTTTGATATAGGTGGCAATCAGTACACCGGGTCTCCTTTCATCGGTTGGTTTATGGATGCTGAAGTTGGCGTTCGTGACTTGGCTGACAGCTTTCGGTATAATGTGCTACCTGAAGTCGTTCAAACATGTAATCTCAGCGATGAACCGCAAACACCGTTTGAAGATCTGCCAGAATACTTATCCCTTGTGGCTCTATCAAGAGCTCAGGCTGAGCTCAACTTCGCTGTCTACTATTCCTTCCTACGAGCTCACGTTATGATGATTGACACTGTGACAAGCTCGACGAAGTATCAAAACTACGACCTAGATCGTCGAGATATCGTCGGCTACCGACTCCCAGCAGATCCGTATTGGTTGGCGCCGCCCCAAGGCTCTATCATCTCTGTCTGGCATCGAGGTGGTATGCCGAATTACCAACCCAAGCCGATGGTGTGTCGACATGTGCAAGACCCCATGAAAGCCTGGAAAAGGGAACTGGAGCAGCAGAAGAGGATGGAAGAATCTGACCGTTCGAAGAGTCTCATTGGGCACGTTAATAGCCACGGATCGATTCCGACCATCAGGATCTTTTCGTGCAGCAGTGGCGTTAATGCCAGCAAGATGGCAAAGAAACTTTACAGCACCCTCGAGCGATTGATTGCCGATACTCACGCTGAATTTATGCTCGAGAAGGAGAAACCACTCAATTCTTTGTCGTTAAGTGACGTGTTGCAGGACGATGTAATCTTGATCATTGCCAGCACTACTGGATCGGGGGAAATACCGAGTAATGCAGCGAGGTTTGTGGAAGAACACACCGCAGGTTCGATGATTGGCAATGCTCCTCGGTTTTCGGTTTTCGCCAATGGTGACAGCACTTATGGAGATACCTACAACGCAGCTGCAAAGAAGATTCAGGAAGTTATGACTTCTCTAGGCTGCCGGCCACTCCTTGGTCACTGCTTTGCAGGTGATACTGCTCATAAGAACCCTGACTGGGACTCTTTCAATCGATGGCTCGATAACATCGACCATCTCTTCCTAGGAAACTTACATAAGGTGGACCTTCCAACCAGTCTCGAGAAGATCGGAGACAAGACAACGGCTTTGCGAGCGATGCCATTCGCAACATTGGTTCGCAAGCACCGTCCACATTCAGACGGAATGATTCAGGCAACGTTTGACATTGGAGATCTGGATTACCACGAGATGGATCACCTGAAATTACTAGCACCCAATCCACGAATTGAGGTGCGTCGTGCTCTGAAACTGCTGCACTTACAAGAAGATACTGTTTTTAATTGGCACTCCGAGAACGCTTTTAGCTTCTTATGTCGCTTTGTCGATCTCGCCCGTCCGTTCAAGACCCTTGACTGGTACCCCGGTATCACGACGCTACCTCAGACCGCCAAAGAGCAATTGAAAACACTCGCAGTTTGTGACCTTTTGAGTCAAGCTGAAATTACCTGGACAGATGACTTGGTAGAAACTGCTTGTAAAGATATGGGCAGCATACAGCCGAGACTTTATTCAGTGGCATCGTGTCAACGACACTCAGGTCACAGGCTGGACGACATCCTCGAAGAATCTGCTGGAAATCTGGTGGACGTGGTTGTTAAGATCAACCAAACGGGCAAATTCAGTAATACGTGGCTTCTTCAAGCACCTGTCGGAGCGAAACTACGGTTTGGTCAAGCGAGTCCTGATACTTGGAGACTTGTGCGTGCACAACGACCAAACGCGCCTTTTATTGCCATTGCGACAGGGTCTGGAATCGGTCCTGTTCGATCTGTTCTACAAAGCCGAATGAGTGACCTGGACTGGACAAGCGGCCTCAGTAGCCTTTCTTCGGTTTTGGCTGTTGGAAATGCACCAAATAGTAAGCAAAGCTCTCGAAGATCATCAGTCGGATCGGGTACAGGCGGACGTGGGCTACCGAAGTTTATCAATCATCATGCACACTTGGGTGTTTCTAACACCTCCGGGTCGGTCCATCTTTTCGCTGGCTTCAAACCAGAAGATGAGGTGTTGTTTGACCACATACTCAAACCTGCGATAAAGGCTGAGATGTTTGGTACATTGCAACTGGTTCGTAGCAATGCCCAAAAAATCCGAGTGCAAGATTGTCTCTTCACCGAAAGAGAGAAGCTCGGAAAGATTCTACAGGACCCCGACTGTATCGTCTTTGTTTGCGCTAACAACAATGCTGCTGATGCTGCTGAGAAGATACTGAGTGACGTCGTTGGGTCAAATGTCAAAGAGAAACTGGGTGAAAGATACATTGAAGAAGTCTTCCGAAGTCACGTTGAGTAAAGGTTTGATATTCTCGACGGATATATCACATCCCAACTTATGATCATTCATTACGTACTACGTCGGAATTGGCATGCATGATGTATCTGACTGATAAATAAGGTTCGACTTTGGCTTTGTGCAAGGTGGTATGAACAATGTCTTACGTCGGAGCTACAGCCTGATCATGTATTCTTCTCAATTTGTACTGAAGGTGCGATTTTGGCGGATATAGTCAGGTTCATAGATCATCACAGGTTCGTACATCTCTCTCATTGGCTCTCTTGCGGCATACCTGAAACGTTCAATGTTCTGCGTGTTACAGCGTAGAGCCTTAAATCCGATGCACAGCACATGTGCTTCTGACCTACTCGACTTCGTTGACTGCGCGACTTTGCGAAACATGACTTGGTTTTGGGAATTTATAACCACCAAGATGTTAAGTTTATACTAGGTTCATATTATAGCGAATAAATGTACTATACTAATTACGGGAGCTAAATTATTACTTTTAGGACGCGCCCTCCCCCCCCGTACACATGCACTGGTGTGGCTACTCTAAATTGATAGACCGAGGACGCTGTTAGGCCTGAGGCAGGAACTGGCTCATCGTAGGGCCGACATTCCAAAACGCCTGAACGTCACATCCGTGTCCATCGAACACTACGCACTCGGCGACAGTGACATGCTCAATCTATTCGACCAGCATTAGTCCTTACCATAGTCGTGTGATAATTGCTTCTCCTGCTCACCGTTGAGTGCATCCTTCGTCATTTCATCTCCGTCGCCAACCGATTCGGGTGCAAAACCTATCGCGACTGACCAGGTTTGCGACAATTGATTTAGCCCTTGCGACTCGCCTGTTTCCTGTCTAGGTCGCGAGTGGCCCACCAGTTTGATCACCTTTCGCAGACCCCAGTGACGCCTCGAACGTGAACCTAGGTCATCCTGGCAGTGCTGGAAAGGACTAGGGTCCCATCCCTTCTGCGCAGGCGCAGATTGCAGGTAGAGATATGCTGCACGTATGGCCGATTGCGAAGTGAAAGAGTCTGGCATTGAAAGCTTCACGAACAGTCATGGCGTTACCGATAGTGACACTCAGGCGAGGAACCAGACCTCACGCGCAAACGGCGGGTTGTACGTTAACTCTAACGCCGTCAGAGGTACAACCACCGGCACACACCCAATCATGTCCATGAATAAATCAGACGGCGCCATGAACGGCATAATAAATTCTCACTTGGACCAATCGACTTCTCTAGCGACACTTCACATCGCTCAGCTGCCGGAAGAGTTGCTCGAGTCTTTCAAGACAACATTTCCCGACGATGTCTACGTGTCAGTATCGCAATTGGTGGAACGGGCGACACGATTGTGTTGGACCGATCTTGCAAGACTGCTAGAAAAACTCAGAGAGATAAAGATTCGTGACCCAAAGGATATCGCCGATAGAATCCCGGGCGAGGTTCACACACCAAACGACAGCTCAAAGGAAAACAGGGAGAAGAAGCTGAGAATATGGGAATATGCAGAAAAACACAAGCGTGTGCTGATCAAGCTCCTGGTCATTCTTCAATGGAGCGCAAAGACAGAGGAGAACCAGGCCACAATTGCTCTGAACTGGTACCTCAATGAGCTTCGTCAGTGCTTCCACGGCGCTAACAAAGCTTTGGGAGAGACCCTGAGGTTCAACCACACATGGCAAGATGCTGCACCTGATCTTCACACTGCCGCCGAGATTCTCGCTGCTGGCAAGATTGCTGCACTACCGGATCTCGGTTATGTCGAAGAGCGCAAGTTGACCGCAAAGCAGATGTTGTCAACAATGCGTCGTCTCGACAATGTTTTGAGTGTGCGAATGATCGTCGAAGACAATATTCCTGCTCCGCTCAGCAAATGGCGAATCCACGATGGTCGTGTTATCTTCACCATGCCTCACGAATTTGAGATCTCGCTTTCCGTCATGGACGAAGAACCTGATGCAAAGTTTCAAACCGTGGACGTCACATTCATCTTCTGGCCAAAACCCACCATGTCCCAGTTTCTGCTCGATGATATCTTAATTACTACAAATCATCAGCTAGCTGAGAGAGGAATCGAGGGCGCTTTTAGGTTCTTACACGAGTTGACGCTAACGCAGAAACTACAGGAGTTTTACCAACAAGCAGTACTTCTGACACAAGGCGTGTGGTCTGGTCATCTTGAAGTCGAAATGATTAAGCGAACGCTTGTTGTGCAGTACTGGACAAGACGAGCTAGCAGTAAGAGCTGGATCGAAGTCTCTATCAATAGTGGTCGTCTTGACCTGAAAGAAGAGCCAGTGGAATACCCTATTCCATACATACACCTTCGTTGGTTAAGATATGGAAAACTCGTCCCTGATCACATGATCGAAATCGATCTGGTACACTTGTCCTTCGAAAGCATCCTAAATCAGGTTGTCGCTCATCACATTGACTTCCTTTTCGACAGTATCTATGACAGGCTAGCGGCTACTAAACTTTTCCAGAACGGCGACCTTGAACTAGAGCAGACTTCGTCGCTGACTGATGGTCTTGAGTGTTCACTCTCTATTGAATTGTCCAAGAAGGAGCACGTACGGCTTACCTGTGACTGTGTAGCAGGTGCAGTCGTAATATCTCCTGCTACTGATCGCACGAGCCGGTTACAAGCGGAACTTGCGCGGTCGAAAAATGCGGTTGAGGACCTGTTGGCCAGATTCCAGACTTTGAGATGCAGCATCGTTCACAACAGCTTGTCTCAAGCCATGCGAGCATCATCCTGGCAGAATCTGCCCGGCATGCACATTCCGTACAACGAGCTCAGAGAACTGTTTGGGCCCTCGATCATTCGAGCGAACTTTTTCAAACGAACTACTTGGGCAGAAAATTGGCTACTTGTTGCATCTTTTGGCACGTATGGTGATTTGTGGTGGCTTGTTCATTACCCGATCAATGGCCAGCGTACTGTACAAGCATTGGAATACAATCCAATCCATCTTCAAAAGTCACTCTCGTCTGGCTACCTGGAGAAATTGGCTGAGTACGCTTCTAGAACTATCACGATGCAGACAAACCAGCACTCTGCGCTTGGGCTTGCTGTTATGAGCAGCTTACCTAGTGCCGAAACTGCTGGTGCCGGAAGCATGAAGGTCCATCTAGATGACCAGGAGGACCTTTGCGCAATTCAGGGCGACATTGTTGTGTCGTCCTCTAGCTCTAAGAGGGCTTCACAGAAACCTCACTTGATCGCCTATGCTCGATTGAGAGCCCCTGACGAAGTTCTCAAGCAGTTAGTGGAAGCAGAGCTGGATTCGTCAACAAATATCGACGCAGATAAGCGGTTGCTTCAGCTACGCATCCCTTGCGCGGTTGGCGAAGCACGCCTCGGAACAGTACTGACCAAGCTCCGACACATCAATGACTTGATTAGTTGTATGACTTTGGTCTACTATTCCAAGGCTCTGACGACGCAACGTGTGACTATGCATGAAATTGTCATCGACTATTCTACCGATTTGACCTCGAAACTCAGTCTGGCTTTGGTATTTGAGGGAACGTCGGATGTCTCCAGAGTCCGGCTACTCCCACAAGGCAGTAATCCGCACGCTCTAATATTGGAACATATTCAGCCACTCATGTCTCCTACCCAGGGCACGTTATCTGAACGCGTAAACAAGCTTCTTGCGACTTTGAGGATGAACTTGGCGCTTGCCAGGTGCCTTCAGTATCTGCAAGGGCTTGTTTGTGTTGCTGAGGTACCCAGCATGAGCACATTGAACCTAGCAGAATCGCGAAAATGGCTTCGCATGCATATTTTAGCTAGGGACATACAACGTTTTGGGGTCCACTTCTTCACAACTAACGCTGCTTTCAAGCATGATATAGATACTCAGGAGACCCCTCAAAAGATGCTTGTACGCCTAGAGATTGAACCTAATCTTGGCGGCTTTGGGAGTAAGCTTGGCTGGATCGTTCGGCCAGCTATTGAGGAGTTCAAGAATTACACTCGGCCCTCATATGCATCGCATGCGCTGGAGGAGCGTTTAAAGCAGCGACTTTTGAGTGCTAACGATACTCGATGGCTAAGTATGGATCAAGCAGTGAAGTGCTTGATAGACCAACCTGGACCTCTGCTTGTGGCGCTACACGACATAATCCTGGAATGGGTGAAGGAAGCTGTCGAAGAACAATCTAGAGCCACAGAACCCCAGCCAAATGAGGACGCTATGCTGCGAGATCCTGCTGGCCCCCAGACTAGTCATCCCAATGGTCAGCCCAATCTAGCTTCAGTGCAGAACATGCAGAACACTCAAAACTATCCTCCGCAGCAGCCGGCCGTTGACACCATGCAATTGAAACAAGCTCAAGCCATGAGAGCTCGCCAACAACAGATGCAGCGGCAAAACGGCCACCCACAAAGTTTCCCACAAGGAAGACCTATGAACTCAGCCATGAACGTGCAGCAGAATGGAAATCCAAATATGAACATCAACATGAACGGCACAAGTAGAGTCATGACTGCACCGCCCCAGCAGGTCAGACAACCACAGCCAAATCCCCAACAGCGCAGAGCTGGCATGAACCCAGCCGCACAACAACAACAGCAAGCTCGCAATAATCAAAACCGAAATCAGAGACCACCACCTCATCCGAACGATGTGATAAATTTGGACTAGGTATTCCTCCTTATCCCGATCGCTGAGGTTTTATTGCTTCGGATCGGCTGGGTGTCTTATCGTTCCACTTTCACGGCAGAGGGTTGCTCATACGATGTGGCAGATGAAGCTGGAATGGTCTGACGATGAGGTAGACCTTGGCAGCTCAAATGAGTACCATAAGCTGCACTTCTCTTGCAGATTTGGTTCATATCCTAGTAGCAGCTGCTAGACAGCAAAGATACAGTCTAGTACTTTTAGCATTTCATAGAATCTCGAAGTTCCATTTTTTCAATGAGAAGTTGACTGTGAAGTCAGAGTATGAGCTGTCAGCCTTCCTGGTCCATTCTTTTAACGATACATAGAGCACTGAAGTTCATAGTGACAGGAATCGTACGTTCGTTGTGCATCAGCAAACTGCTACAACATAATTCAAAAGGCTCAAATCTGCCGCTTCACTGTTACTACTAGTATCGACTGAAGCTGATCATGTCGCTTATACATGTCTAACAAAGGCTCATTCTCCATTCAAACACCTTCGTTGATCTGCGCCATACATTTTCATCCCAAGACCACAGCGCAGCAATCACGCAAAGTCGCTTGACCAAACAAACCATAAAGCGTCGCTCCTCCTTTTTATGTCTCACAACGACTCAACTAGAGTTTCCCATGTCTAGCCTTGAAAATGGAGATCTTGTCGTCGTAGAACAGGATCTCTCGTAATTTGAATTCACGCGCTACCTCGTCATTGTTGTCAGCGGTATCTTCGTCGTCGCTCGAGTTGCCGATCCTGCTGGATAGGTTACTTTGTATATCTTCGTGGTCGTTGTCATCATCATCGTCGTCGTCAGAGAAGTCGCCTGGGCCGATGTGGTTCAGATTGTGAGTGACGCCTCCGTCGTCGTTATCTCCGTTTTCATCGTCTTCGTCAATAGTGGAGTGCATGTGTTGACCATAGCTGGATGAAGAGACGTAGTTGCGCAGGGGTGATACGGGACGGACGTATTTGGATGTATATTCTAGAATCTCGTAGCATTTCTTCTCAATGCCGAAGTAGCATAGCTCGATCTCGGGGCGGACGGCTATGATGTTAAGAAGGGAGCGTGCGATTTCTTCTCGGTCGTAGTGTCGTCCGTTGGGATGGTTGGCGATGTGAGAGATGTGCAGACTGCGAAGGCTGGTGGCGTAAGGAAGACGCTGTAAGAAGTAATGCCATTTCTTGTGGTCTATGCTCATGCTGAGCTCGCGAAGGCGCATCTTACCGCTTGTGATGCATGTGACGAGGTCCTCGTGGAACAGCCAGTCTTGCCAATGGGTTTCTGGTGGTTCTCTGTCCGGTCGTTCGCGTTCGAAGCGTGGCATGTGTTTGTATTCACTGTCTATCAGGAGTTTGCGGAGGCTACTTTTGTGCCGGCGGATTGCAGATCGATAGATATCTTCGATGGACACGTTACAAGGACATGCGGGTGTCCTCTGCAAGAAAAGCCACTCCAGAGTATCTGGAGCCAATGTGTTCTTGATAAACCCAAGCAGGGATTTGGAGACAGTGTCCGTATGCAGTCTTTTTATTTTGAGCTTGTATTCTGAAGCGTCGAGAGCATTGACAGAAGAGCTGTTCGCACGCTGTCGTGTTATGGATGAGCCGAACCTAGAAGGTGTGGTCCTGTGGAGTGATGCTGGTGCGAATTCTCTGTGCATAGCGGACCATAATTCCTCGTGATTCGTGCAGCCAAGTAGGGTTAACGATTCGAGTCTTGACCAATCTATGGCTCGTGATAGAACAGGGATCGATAGATACACACGCTCAAGTTCGAGAGTGGAAAGCTTCAACTTCCTCTTCGAGGCTTCGCGAACAGGCTGTCTGGTCACGGGAGGCAGCGGTGAGGAAGGTTGCTCAGAAGTATTGAGTATTGGAGTGGTATATCTGTAATCGTGTGAGCCTAAACGAACCTCGTCCGTGTCCTCTTGAAGCGAGTGCGCAGATAGCATTTCTCCAAGCAATTCGACCTCTGTGTTTGTGTGCTCAATAACATCTTGAGGCGACTTTGCCTGTGAAGGTAGTCTTGCAGTGCCCGGAAATGAGACATGATGCTCATGGACGTAACTTGCAGGAGCTCTACATGCTACTGTGCTCGTGGTAGTGTTGAAAGGCTGGCAAAAATGCTGAACAAGTATTCCCAGTATGCCACCAGGGTGTGCGCGTTCGTTGCATGCTCGAAGTTCGGACGGTACCACTGACCTGTCGTCTCTTGGTCTAAAAACAATTTCTCTCTGTGCATACGCTGCCACTCCGACCCTGAGCTCCTGCACTTTCTCCAGCGAGCGTTCCAAAAGGATGCCTAACTCTTCAGCATATGACAACTCATCAATATCTAGGACCGTTATACTTTTGAGGGCTGGTAATATCGAGAAGGTAGGAAATTCGACAGTTGGATAGGCCGGTATGTGAAACAAAGAGGAGATGTTCCCATGTAGCAAAGATGGGACAGTATGATGTCTTGCATCTCGTGGAAAAGGAGCCACGTCTCTATTGTCGTGCCATCGCACCCATACTTTTTCCAACCGGCAATCGCTATCGTCTCGATTAGCCAGCGATGCCAGAGCAATCCAGACGTCCCGTAGTACACCAGTAGGCATATCCCAAACAAACGCTTCTAGGTTGTGCATGCGGCCGATTGCTAGAGCAACCAGAGTTCCAAGCATTTTCCCACCTTCTTTTGTAATTGAATACTCAGATACCCAGTCAGACGGTCCATTTCCTAGGCTGAACTTGCGCGTAAATCGAGCATAGTAGTTGCCTCTTCGAGTTCTCATCGGTAGATTGAGCGACTGCAATTTCAGACGAGGAGGTGTGTGTTTTTCGCAGCATTGGCACGATGAACAAGATTGTTGTATCGCCTCTCCAAGAACATCGTGGGCCATTACCAGAGTAGAGAGACCGTATGTTAATGCGTCCACACCCATGCGACTTTCGACTGTAGGATTTGCTTCGGGCCATACTATATCAAATCTGGAGTAGATGTAGGGCACAGCAAGACTGTGCAACGAAGAATGTGTCAGAGCGAGCGCACACAGGTCATTGGTGTGAGTAGTATGCGCAACCACTTGTTGTAGTATATCGATAGGGAGATCAAGCAACTGCAATCGTCCTTTTGTCTCAAGTCCTGCTCCGTCTGTTCTCTCTGAATGAGAAAACATATCTGCTGAGGGTCTGTAAGAGTGGCTTCTCTCCCCACGGTCCATCTCTAGTAGCATGGTAAGACGTAGGACTGCGATCGCACGAAGGAGAAGTATCGACAATAGTCAGATCGTAGTGCTGAGGGCAGCGCTTGCGGCGCGATGCCCTCACTGGAACAACGTCTCAGTCCGTGTTCATATTGCAGATTTATGATGTCTGTGCTGCACACAAGGTCGTACAAAAGCTTAAGGTTTTCGGTTTGTGTCTATGGATGTAGTGCTGATAGTGTTTTTGCAAGATCGATATCGTGAGAGTGACAGAGTATACCGCCAGTAGTGGTGGACATGCTTTGCGCTGCAGCCAGCTCTTAATTATGGAGGCTGGTCGATCATTGGTCTGATACGCGAAATAGCTTGGCGCTAAATCACGCGTTCTTTCCTGCATTTGAAGCGGGGAACGAAGTGGCGCCTTCCTGCAGCTTGCCGCAATCGCTAAACTGCTTTGTGATGATCATCCTTCATGTTTGCATCTTTGCATGTCTATATTCTCCCTAATTTGTCTTAGATAACTGGAGATCGCAGCCATAATGAGACCAACATAAAGATGTCTACCTTTCCGACAGAACTCTGGCAGATCATCTGTCACTACCTGTCATCTGATGAACTCGCATGCCTGAGACTCGTGAACAGAACACTTGCTGATGTTGCTGCCGAAACACTAATTACAGAAATTCGTTTCGATACAAGCCATGAGTCGTTCGAGCGTCTTCAGGCGGTTGCAAACCACAATCTGCTATGCAAAGGGGTGAAGAAGCTCGTCTACGAGGGTGGTATGATCGAGGATGCAGGATGCATTCACCACTATTCACATCATTATGATGCACTACATCCCACTCTAGGGAAGCCGCTCCCACCTCAAGACAACGAGAAAAGGTATGTTGCAACCTCTATCTTCGTTAAATGCAATCGCAATCGCATATGACAAGAGGTTAACCAAGAGCTTAAACTATTCATGGCTGTCGTCTATTCTCATTGGATCAGATGTGCTCAAGATACAATGTACTGACATAGGTGTACAGCACACGTGCAGATCGTCTTCATGCTCGGAACTTGGCAAAATTCGAAAAGACCATGCAGGAACGTTATAGAGAATACCGTACCCTGTATGAGGCTCAACAAAACCTAGCTGAGACAGCAAACCAGTATTTGTCTTGTATAGCACGGCTCAGAAATCTCGACGAAGTCAATCTGAAAACCGATACTCCCTGTGTACACCAGGTATCTCCTGTCTTTCGGAAGAAGTACTATCAGGACTGTGCTGTCAAGATCAGCCTTGATACAGCCTCTTCTGTCTGGCAGCTTGAGAACCTTCTTCACAAAACAGGACTGACACGACTTTCAGCCCGGCAATTATCACCAGAATTCTTTGACGGCACCGGCATCAGGTCCAAACCTTGGCTCGCTTCACGGTTCAGCAAAATGGAACGAATTCAATTGATGTTTCGCCCTGATTTCGATAGTACTGTTGCAGACGCCGATGCTTCGATTCCCATAGGCAGTCTGACATTGAAAGCAGCAAGTCTACTAGCGTACTCACTAGGTACAGCCACAAATCTCCAATCACTTACTGTGAACTTTCATCCAGTCATAGAGGAAACAGCTGGTCAGCTCATTCACATCATGGCCGGCACTTCATTTGCGAGCTTGACTCATCTTGATCTGGATTTCTTCTCCACTACTGAGGACTACTTCGTCCAGATGCTAAAGCGTCAGCCGAAACTGTCTGGGCTCTATATTGCGTTCGCTGTTCTGACCGAAGGTCGGTGGGCCAACACGATCAAAAGAATGAGGTATGAATTATCGTTGGAGGAATTCTTTTGCAATGGGCAGCTGGAGGATCCGGAAATGATGTTCTCTCTTGATCTGTGTGAGCGGGACATGTGGCGGGATGGAGACAAGCACACCCTGTCCAGTGCTATCGACCTCTATGTGACAGATTCCAACTACCCAGTCGACGAGGATGATTTCGATATGGAAGACCCAGATGTAGATTTTGACATAGTCTGGAACCCTATCTACCGAATCGACGAAGACTTCGACAGCGAAGAGGACCTTACACTCGACCTGGGTCCAATATCGGACGACGACGAGAAGCACGGTAGCGATTCCTCTGGGTCGGATTCAGATGAGGAAAACGACAGCGACGACGAAGACGAGGACTTGCCGGCTCTTATGGACATCGATTGAGTTTGTCGCCTCTTCTTTTATCGAGCATGCAACCAAACTAGCAATGGAACAGCTACTGTATAACTTGAAGGTTAAGAGTGTCAGTCTAATCATGGTATGGGATAAGCTTCATCGGTAATAAAGCAATGATGGTTCAATGTAAGATACAGTTTGATTTTGTACATGGATACCCAACAACCATAGAGACATGGACAGGGCAGATGGATGCAGAAGCAAATGACACGACCAGAATATTGTACAGTTTTCGTCAAAGCATATGATAGTCCGAAGTGAACATCCGATGCATGAAGCAGCAGGAATCACCAATCACCTCGACCGCCACCCACCACCCCCAATTGATTGATAGTTGGCACTGGTTCCGACTCATGCACCCAATATGAAACGTTCTCGCTGACGCGTTTAGTATCAACACCACCCTCAGACAATCACTCAGACTCCATCTGCAACCTCTTACTGCTCTTCGGCTTCTTGTCTCTCACGCGTATACTCTCGAAATACACATAACTAGCATAAAACACCTTACTCGTATTGCCCGCCATCGTCCCCTTCTTCAAAAACGACGCCAGCTGCGCACTCTGAATAGACGTCTCCCCTCTCCCAAGACACTTGCTAATCTCCCTGCAGAAACTAGCCTGCGTCACGCCCTGCTTCTTCAAATGCGCCCTAACCTTCCTCCGCACACCATCGCAAGTATCGTATGTCTCAACATCCCCCGTCTCTTCCCCTTCCAAATTCGGCATCGCATCCGCGTCCTGCTTTTGCTGGTTGGCCGTACTTGGTTTCGTGACTTTTGGCATTTTCTCACCTGCTTCTTCGCGGGGGCAGAAGAAGGCGTGCACGGCGGCGTAGGTGCTGTTGTCTTCGCCGCCGTGGGGGTCCTATTGAGTCATGAATCTGCGGTAGGAGTTGACGTTCATCTGTAGGTGGTTTTGGAATTCGGTGACTTTCATGCCGCCGTTGTTGATGGAGGTGTCGATGTTGGTGCGGATTTGGTGCAGTTATAGTTCATGGTGTCCTCTGTGGGGTGGTGAGGTGCTGGTTTTGGGTACTTGGTGGGGCAACGTGGGTGGTGTTGGTGTCTTGTGTGAGGTCGATGACGGAGGAAAAGGGAGGAAGTGTTGGCGCGTGGGTGGGATGTGATTGTGGTAATATAGGTTATTGGTTTGCTGAGAAAGGTGGTAGTGGCTATTTTTGCGGATATGCTGGTGCTATTGGCACGAAGTTCTCCTGACCAGGTAGCGAGGACATGATCGGTGCTGGTTCTTTGCAGGCGCGTTAGCAAGGTAAGTCAAGAACAAGCAGTCGAAGACGCTTACTTGTGCTGTTGTTGTTGCGGGTAGCTCGATTCGAATTCGTGGCTCTCAATGCCATGTCGTCTAACGTGGTGTAGTGCTGGCAAAAGTGAGTGTAGCAAATGTACTGGGTCTGGGCAGGTCGCTATCCAGGAATCTTTGGTTGGTGTTCGACGTAGTTCTTCGTCCGGAGTACGTCATCGCTGATAGTCTCGAGTGAGGTCGCGTCGCGAAAACACGTGAATCAATACCCCAGATGAACGAATCTGCTTCAATCCTCTTTCCTCTTTGATATAGATCCGAGCACATAAATTTCGACAGCAAGGTATCAACCACTAGCAACACAGACTAGACTATGGGGAGCGTTCATAGTGAACGACTACGATTCTAGTGTATGACATTAGCAGAACATGCGCTGAGGACTACCGATTGGGGGTCTCACGAATAGACAGCGTAACACACCTACAAGGAACGATAGAGCTGCAGGCACAACGATCAAGCGCGAAGGGAACTGTGGGCTCACGCTTACACAGGGCATCCGAGCGAGTACTAGTGCACGTCTCAGAAGAGAAATAAGAAAATTGTAAGGAGCAGCTTAAGGTCATAGGTTCTATGCAGCCCATTGACCTCGAGTGAAAATGAACAATAGATGACTTGGGCATGTAACAATGCAGTCATTTCCTCTCTTTGTTTGGCAGCTTACAATGTTTGAAAGAGGAAACCTTGGCTTAGAGCACTAACGTGGCTCTGCGAGCTGCTGGTATGAGCAATGCTCCTGAGTAAAATCTCTGCTCCCCGTTCTCTTCGATACTTGGCAAGTTACCAATGCTAGTTTGTAGAGTTGATGCGCAATATGACTGTCTTTTTGATGCGCTGCAAGTTTAGAACGACTTGCTCCAGCAAAGTGCAATCGGTCATTTTGGGTACGAGATTAGGTAATCCTTCGATATATCACGTGCACGAGTCGCTTCTCCAATGCGAATCAATGCCCGTTTTTTTGTCCCGATGTTCAAGTTCGCCAGCACGAGCCAGAGTCGTAGCGTATCAACCATCACAATTACACTCGCCAGGTCTTCATCTTCATCTCGAAGTGGCTAACCCAGTACAATAGCCGACCTTGACGCAAACTACCCTTGTCCTTGACAGCTTCCTGCCATCCACCTTCTCGGACTAGACAGAAATCCAAAAGTTGGTCCTCAGTCGACACCAGCGTCTGGCGCGCAGAATCCCATCAGCCCACCTTGTATAAAAACACCTCATTATGGATCACTCTCGAGATCCCTGCCCGTGGGTGGCACTCTCCGATTTTGGCGGCGCATTCAGTATGGGAGCGATAGGAGGCAGTTTATGGCATGGCGTAAAGGGCTTTCGAAACTCACCATATGGAGAGCGACGGATAGGCATGATCACAGCGATAAAAGCTCGAGCGCCCGTAACGGGAGGCAATTTCGGCGTGTGGGGAGGCATGTTCAGCACATTTGACTGCGCAGTAAAAGGGATAAGAAAGAAGGAGGATCCCTACAATTCGATTATCGCAGGTTTTTTCACAGGTGGTTGTTTAGCAGTAAGAGGAGGATGGAGAGCCGCCAGAAATGGTGCCATAATGTGTGGCATCTTCCTGGCTGTTATTGAGGGTGTAGGTATTGGCCTAGGTCGATTGATGGCCGACCGAGGAGGATATGATGTAAGACACACACACTAAACATAAGAACAGCTACTGACACTGCTTACAGATGCCACCACCTGGCTCAGAACCTCCTAAAATCGCCTCGGCGGCGTGACTCGAATTAGCTGTCCCACACTTTATCTGAGGGCGTTTCTTTTCACCACATAGACTCAATCTCCTCTTCTCGACTTGTCTTCCTTTCTAACAGCATAGGGTAGGCGCCGGTAGGAACAGTGCCGTTGTTATTCTTCTGCGATGAGCGTCATGAGCAATTGAAGAAATATGCAACGAAGCATGTCTGGGCATATTGGTTGAACATAAAGGCCTGGTATCCTATACAGTTTCACGGTCTCAACAAACTAATTCACGCCTCGTGCTTGCCTCAGCGGCTGAGGTATGATGTACAATATAAATATGACACACTATCGAAGGTGGCTACGCTGCACTATCGCCCGGCATAACCCGTATCATACTTGCTGTTTCCTTGCGTGTTTGTGAGAATTTGTCGATAAGGCATCTCAATCGATCTATTACCTCGCCTCTTCACATCTTTGTTCCAAGAAATATTGGTTAATCAACGTTCATTTGCCTTGCAGTACGAGCAGAACCTGAGACTCGAAAGCGGAATCTCGGCCGAGTCCAGCGTCTTTCTGCCGTACCATCACTCAACTTTGTATTGTGGAATGCGACATGCGCTCTCATGTTCCAGGCATACCTGATAGCACCGACAAGGATAGCTTCGATCCTGCTAGAGACGTTCCCGACTATCTCCAGCGATACTTGATCGTTACTGACAAGCCACCGGAAATCTATCAATTCGTTTCGCAAACACGCGAGCATAAACTACGTCTATTGACCCGTCGATTCTTCAACCAGATTCAGTATGGCTGTCAGAACCCTTACTGCGATGCTCCTTCGTGTCTATCTTACCGCAAACGCATTGCAAATGCTCCTCTACGACCTCATAGCGACGTGACTGCTCGAACCCTTGCCGTGAGATGTGTTGAACAATATGCTAGTCGAGGCAGAGATTTGGGTCGTACTCCTAGGCGAGTCAGAACCAAAACGAAGTCTCGGTCCCACGATTTCTCCTCATCCGATGGGTTGTGCCAAAACGATCCAATTGTGCCATGGTATGCCGATGCGCAAGAACATCTTACAAAGCGAGTCGCCGCGGCATTACGACGCCAGCCAGCCTCTACCCAGCATGCTGCTAGTCGTCAATCCAAGTCTAGAAGGAATGACAGTCCCACTTCGAGCCCAAACCAAGCGGGAGAGGAATCTAATAAGAATGGCATACCCGTGAGAGTCTCGAGAAGGTCTATGCCATTCGATGCGGTCATTGAAGAGAGTCTGCCTAATACCGCTGAAGCTGCTTTTGAACAGGATCATCCGTTACCTAGTGTCGATGCTATACGATCTGCCTCTAGTCAAATTCCCGACCTCGACAACGCCTTCTATCATTCTTCAAAACGGGAAGCCCGCGGCAAGGACATTATCAACGATCAACACGATCGGTCCAACGTGGAAAGGAGCCTCCGCACCGCTGTGCAGGTGCACTTTCAAGGCATCCAGAGCGGAAAATTGTCCTTGAACGATCTCGAAGACTTCACACGCATTCAACTCGATCTGAAGGAGGACTATCTTCACGATCCGTCTTGGAAGTTTGCAAGCAAGAAGATTCTTCAAGACGAATACGAAAGACTCTTATCTAAGCACAATCAATTTCCTCGCCCAGCCTCGCCTTTCCGTTGCAATTCCACAAGCAACATAAATGATGCATCCACACCAATCGAGACATCCTCAACAGAAGACGACCACATATATGCTACAACAGACTCTGTCGCAGTCGACGACGTAGCTGCTACCCATGTGGAATCCATTCCAGTTCCACCGCGGGCAAGGAGAGCTGTGGTTGATCCTGCTTCGCTGCCACAATTCCTCCTGATGAGTTCCAGATTAGACACCATTACGACTGCCATCACCGAGAACCCTGCCTCCAAGACATCCTCGATCTACAAGATTGACAGACACGGCTCAACTGTAAGCAGTCTTAGTCGTGCCTACACCTTTGAGCTGCTTCCTGCGACCGCTCTTGGATGGCTGAAAACCTGCATTGGACTAGATAACCATCACGACTCGAAAAGAAAGGTCGCAGTCGATGCATTCATTGACCAATGTCTCTTTTACGTCTTTACCGACCCACATCGGCTTATGCTGTCTGCTGCTACATGGAACCAATATAGACAACATGTTCCCCTTCGTTCAGATAAGAGAGGCTTGCCTCAGGACCCGGCATGGCATGACCAGAATGGCCCGCTTGTTTTCCCTAAATGCACCTCCATCAGTGCAGTAACTCGTGATATAGTTGGTCTAAGTCGAACCCGCGAACAGACCGCTTCACGCCTACTCTCTCATCTTCACCAGCTGTTGCGGTGTACGTATCCCCTGCCATCTTGGCTGATGGAGTCTACCACTCGACGTTCTCACTCTTTCTTGGAAAACCATCAGCTGGCGTACATCCTTGCGCTCTGTGTTGCCATTGCCGCGAACCTAGTCGAGGAGTTTGCCGATCAAGCCCGTTCGTTTGACCACGTTGACTGTACATTTGGCATGGTTCCAGATGCTACTATACCAGTCTTGCCGTTTCTCGACACTCCCCTATCGAGAATCATGACAAGTCTCGCTGACGTCGTAAGTCATCGAGCAGCTTTGGACATTGCACAGACGGCTAGAAAGGTACGCTCCAACGAAAATTCTCGAGGTCACTCAAAAAGCACGGTTGCCAACGAGATCATAAGCATTTTGAAGCAAGCACAGGCTTCGCATGACTCTACAGACCTGAGTATCCATTACGCTGGCCGCTTGGTTAAGTTCATGCTGGCTGTAATGCTCTATCGCTGGGATCGCAACCCAGTTGTTCGACGTACTGGCCCTGTCAGTGGCGCTCTGACCCTTCTTAGGGGGCTGTACCACTCAAGAGCAGCACTCTCGCTCGACAATGACTCTTTCGAGATGGCCTTCATCTCAGACGGCCTTGACGACGTCCAAACCCCATCGCAGTGGCTCGAGTTCAGACCAGATTCTTCGAATCTTCACATATTACAGTTTCCCTTTCTCCTTCCTCCAGCAGATTTAGTCAAGTATTTCCGGTCGATCAATCTGAAGCTGATGAAACAATCACACGAAAATGCTCTGCTAGTATATGCAAGTGGTAAAGCACAGTTGCTGCTCAGTCCGTGGCGTGTCAATAATGTCACTGAGGTGCTCGACAAGACCAGAGCGCATATGGCCAGGTACTTTGTTATGACCGTCAGTCGAGAACGCATGTTGGAAGATGCCATCGGGCAAATCTGGCGCCGCGAGCGTCAGGAACTAACACGACCATTGAAAGTTCGTGTGGGCATCGATGAAGGTGAATTAGGACTCGACCATGGTGGCGTGCAGCAAGAATTCTTCCGACTCATTTTCGCTGAAGCTTTTCACCCCCAGTATGGTATGTTCGAGACTGATCCCGCAACGCACATGACCTGGTTCAAGCCAGGTTCTCTGGAGCCCCTGTACAAGTTCGAAGCTCTAGGTATCCTCATGTCGCTTGCGGTGTATAATGGAGTTACTATACCAATGACTATGCCACTTGCTTTGTATCGAAAAATACTGGGCTTGAAGGTCAAAAAGGTTGAGCATATTGAGGATGGGTGGCCCGATCTTGCACGAAGTTTCCGACAGATGCTTGACTGGACTGAAGGCGACGTAGGTGAAGTAATGTGTCGTACCTACGAATTTTCCTACGAATCATTTGGCAGATACGTGACCATCGACATGACGAAGACACAACACAGTACCACATCCGGTCTGCCCGGTCCTTCAGCTGACAAGACGGACCCTAAGAAAGACAACACCAACGACATCAGCGGTCTACCTAATCCAGACGAAGCACCTCTCGTCACAAACGCCAACCGCAAAGACTACGTGAAAGACTACATCCTCCACCTAACCGACAAATCCATCTCCCCTCAACTCACAGCCTTCCTCAAAGGTCTTCACACCCTCCTCCTCCCCAAAGCCCTCAGCCTCTTCCCACCCCACACCCTCAAACTCCTCTTCGAGGGCCACCCAACATCCCAACCTCTACGAATCACCGACTGGCAAGCCGCCACCATCTATGAAGACTACACTCCCTCCGACCCTATCATCATCTGGTTCTGGGAACTCCTCCGCAACGAATTCACGCAAGACCAACTCAGGAAATTACTCGAGTTTGTGACGGCGAGTAATCGAATTCCTGTGGGAGGGTGGAGTGGTGTTAGGTTCATCATTCAGCGGAATGCGGCGGGGAATGAGTGGTTGCCAGGGAGTAGTACGTGTTATGGGAGGTTGTTTTTGCCTGAGTATAGCTCGAAGGAGATTTTGAGAGAGAAATTGACGAAGGCTATTGAGACGAGTTTGGGATTTGGGATGGTTTGAGAAAGTGGTGATAAAGGAAATATTTCTGCACGAAAGCGAAAGGGCCAGCACTGCAGTTCGACTGATAGATTCATTGGCATAAACTTTGGTGCAGCTTTCTACGAAGTCATTTTCAGCACCACGTAGCACATGATGCACAGTACGAATGGATGTTGTTTGTGCCTTTCTATTGCTCAACGACCGTTGATTTGTAGTAGTTGGTTCCTCGTGTCTCGCTTACATTGCCATGGTACCAATGTCTGCAAAAATTTCAGTTGGTCGTTCCATTCGCGGCGGCCACAAAGAAAGTCCAAGAGGTGATACGATAATCTCAGGGGGTGAAACGACAACCTCACCACTCTCCTGCTCATAAATCCTGTAAAAAGTCCCTGGACAAGGCGATCTTGCACGAAACCAAGCGGTTGACTACCACAATAGTAATGCTTGATACCTGAGCTTTAGCGTGACTAAAATGAAATCGCTGACGCTGTATGACTGTTGTACTAGCCTGTGGCTGATAGTTTCCAGGAATATCTAGCGCTTATGCGCTTCAAGTGCTCGTTGTGGTCGTCGTTGCTATGTAATGATGTCCGGTATTGTAATACGGAAGTATACATTACTGATACACGGTACGGTATGGATCTGACACGGTATAATATCGAACCCGATTCCCATCGGCACGGCTACAGATTTTGAGTTAGCTTGGAGCTTCTACGTCACCGTGTCGCGCGACGCGTCAATGGTAGGAAGAAGTCGAAATCGATGTTGAGCAAGAAGCATAGATCTGGGAGCTCGACTATGCTTTCTCTAAACTCAGCAGGTCCAAGTTAGCTGAAATCCAAGTCATCAACTTCGAAATTGTGTATCTGCTCTGCGACAGCCATCATTCTCGTCCGAGCACCATATCGCTTTCTGGCTGCTCTCGGCTTGCGACAGCATCTAGCACTCGGCCGCCCGAGGACACAAAGCATGTCAAGTCTCAAGCGCAAGGCAGGTCCAACAGCCGCAGCGAATGATCCTAAGAAGCCTAAGAAAGACGCGAGCCTGACTTCATTCTTCGGTCAACCGAAGATTGTCCATTCCACAACAGGCAGTAACTCGTCTGCGCACGCCGAAGCTCAAGGAGCAGCACCAAACTTCGACAAAGCGAAATGGGCTGAAACTCTAAGTGCGGAGCAGAAGGACCTTCTGAAGCTTGAGATCGATACTCTCGACCCTACTTGGCTGGCGCACCTGAAGGACGAGATCACTACACCAGGCTTCCTTAAGCTCAAGAAGTTCTTGAAGAGCGAAATTGATTCAGGGAAGACCGTGTTCCCACCTCTGGAGGAAGTGTATAGCTGGTGAGTCCTTCTTAGAATTGGCGCCAGCGATCGAGTACTGACATGTGCCTGCAGGTCTCGCCATACACCACTGAACACTGTTAAAGTCGTAATACTAGGACAAGATCCTTACCACAACCACAATCAAGCCCATGGCCTCTGCTTCTCCGTTCGACCACCAACACCGGCGCCTCCTTCTCTCAAGAACATGTTCAAAGAGCTGAAAGATGAATATCCATCCTTTACGCCTCCACCCAAGAACGGCGGGTTGCTTACACCCTGGGCCGAACAGGGTGTCCTCATGTTGAATACCTGTCTTACTGTTCGAGCACACGATGCCAACTCACATTCCAATCAAGGCTGGGAGCCATTCACACAGAAGGTCATCGACCTGGTCGCCAAATTACGCACTCGAGGCGTCGTATTCATGGCATGGGGTTCGCCTGCCCAGAAGCGCTGCACTAAGATCACGGGTGGGAAACATCTTGTGCTGAAAGCTGTACACCCTAGCCCGCTGAGTGCTGCAAGAGGGTGGTTCGGCTGCGGGCACTTCAAGCAAGCTAATGATTGGCTCGAGACACGTTATGGCAAAGATGGCATTATCAACTGGGATTTGAATGTGCAGAAGCCGATCAAGGCACCCGAAGTGACTGGTGAGCCCGTAAAGGTCGCCGAGAGCCAGCAGAAGTCGAATACAGTCAAAGAAAGCGGACCTGCTACTGAGTTGCCAGAGGTCAAAGCAGGAAAGCCTGCATCTCAGAAGGAGGATTTTGATGACGAGGAAGACGAAGACGCTATCGAAGCTTTGAATGAGCTAGCGAACAGCGATGCTGCTGAACCTTCCCGTGAGGATGTGCCAGGCAAGAGCAACGAGACTGCGAACGAACCAGACAGTGGGAAGGTGAAAGACGATGTCGATATAGCAGAACAGGATCAGGAAGACAAAGAGAACAGGCAAGTATCAGCTCAGTGAACGGCTATCTGGCTGTCATGTGTAAATCGTAAAATATCAGGCCTTGGATGTGGCCAGCGAGCGTTTTAGTTGATGTAATATATTCACGTTAAACATATCAGGCTTCGGAGAAATTGACTTCGCCAGATAAACGTGGGATGGTGTAAGGTCCACTATTTAGGGAATTCTATAATTACAATTCTCCGTCTGTCATTCGAAGTAACTGCTAAAGTCTGCCTTTCCTGCGGTCAAACATCATTCTAATACATTCAGGTCTAGCCCAAGGGTCAAATAAGCTCTTGTGCCGTTGCGAAGCATTGGGCACTATCCCGCTGTACCGCCACTGTTGGCTCTGATCAGTGCCTCTACGTCCTGCTCAAGCGAGGAGGCAAACCCAGGTGTCTCAATGGTCATTCCTGGGACTGGTGAGATACTAGCAGCTGTATTGTCATAATTTCCATCGAAGCCAGTCACTCCCATTTCTCCAAGATCAGGGAACGAAGCGTCTTGTGTAATGTACTGATCGTGTGAGAGCTTCCGCTTCTTGCTTGAAGAAGGACCTGCTCCGTTGGTGACAGGCATGGTGCCTGATATATCGTCTGAGGTTCCAAAGCCCGCCAAGATGCCTTGCAAGTTAGGGTTCCGTGGCGCGGAAACTTCGATCTCTTCTGGAATTGGAGTATCATCAGGCTCTGGAGTGAGCTCTTCGACGTCGGGTCGTGTGTCGTTAAGTGGTAGGTTATCGTCAATCTCTTGCTGGGTTTCTGCAAGTCCACGCATGATGCTATCCTCGACGTCCCTCTTATTTGTTTCTTCTGCTGCGCGCTTGGCGGATAGATCCACGAAGAGAGCTTCATCCTTGCTTAGAGCTGCCTCGTTCAAGTCCAGTAACCTTCTCAGGTCAGCGACGAGGGCTTTCCTAGCTGTAATCGTTTCTGTGAGACTCGCTTCTGCACTTGCCAGCTTCTTAATCAGGCTAGAGAGATTGGCAGCATAGACGGGAGCGCTGGGTTTAGTTGTGCTTGGATCATTGATTTTGTTGTACTCAGCTTGAGCCATATCCACGACTGGTCGGGTCGTGAAGTCTGATTTAGTGACAGCAGTTTGAAGAGGGCCAAGGCTTTCAAGCTCTTTTGGCATGCCAGTACCAGTTGACGAGTTGAAGAGAGAGTTGCCCATGAGCGTTTTCTTTCCAGAGGCTGGTTTCGAGTTGTCCACATCGTCAACTCGAGCCTGAATAGCAGCGAGAATGCTAGGTTCGAAGACATTTCGAGTTTTCCACACCTCAAGCAGACGCTTCAGTTTTCCTTGGATATCAGTTGGTGAGGATCGATATGCTTGCTGGACTGCCTCGGCGATAATGGGCGAAAAGGCATTTGGAAATTCAGCTCGTTTTCGAGCTCTAGCGTTTTGAACAATATCATTGACAAGATAGACATAGTTCAACCTCTTGGGTGGTGGTGAGTCTTTCAGTTTCGTGAGCCAGACCTGGGCTATTTTGTCGGCGTAGCGTCTATGGAAAGCGATCCATTGGGACACTGAAACTATGCTCTCTTGTGTCTCGTTCAATGTTGCCAGCTTAGCTCTCAAAGCTTCGTCATTGTAGGCCATGGTAGCTACGGTCTTGCGCCTTGACAGAGCGATCTACAATAGCTGCTCTCAGAGCACTGTCGTTCTGCGACCAGGTCACGCTTGCCTAGAAGTACGACCCAAAACGCAAGGCCTCACAACTATGGAGGGGCTAACAGAAGATTCTTTCGTGCTCTGACTAGTGTCACTGCAAGTGTTCTTCGATGAATGACTGACCGACTACGATTAAGGATCGTGCGATGAGTGTGATGAAGAATGCTTCGTAACGAAGAGCGACGTTTCTTCAGGCTGTCAGAATGGAAATTGAGGGTAGCTGCCAATAAGAATACAGTTGCTGACTGACATTAGCTGAACCATCTACAAAGCGGCTACTTCTTCACCGGGGATGAACTGTCACTCAGAATTGGCAACCTCGTCCATGCAGCCCGGAGTCGCGCATGCGTTATTGAAGCAGCTCTAAAATATATTGACGAGCGCATTGAGCACGAACACTGTTGTGTTACCTACTCTACTGCAATCTGATCTCGAACCTGTCCAGCTGAAGCATCAAGCCTACCAACAGGAGCCGAGCAAGCCGTCTCAGCAAACACAAAGCGCAATAAACAATAGGGGAAACATTCTTGTTGACGCTCGTTACGCATACGTCTCAATCAACGATTATACAACGTCGTTGTGAAGAGTCCTCTCAGAAATTCCGACCGTCACGTCAAGCTCGTCTTCACCACTATCACACCCAGCACTTGGGCTACAGCTACTTCTATTGTCTTTGCACCATTACCGTACCGAATATGGCGGACAGGTTTCCTTCTCTCGAAGACATCGACGCAGGTAGGTAATCCACGACACTTGACAGAAACTACGAGGCTGACGCCGGTCATAGGTCAAACAGACGTTCGTGACGGCAATGCCTCGGGAGGTGGTGACTTTCTTGCAAGAGAAAGAGCAGCTCTAGGTGAAGATGCAGATCTCTTCTCCTCAGAAAACGACACAAGACAAACCACAGTCGAAGACGGTGACGACGATCTGCTAGGAGGAGATTTCTCTGGCGGTGCTCCGCAGACATCAGCTGGCCAGGGTGACGACTTGGACACCTTTGAGTCTTCATTCCCTGCTATGGACAATACAAACGATGTACGATTTTCCTCATGACAGTCGCAACGTAGCTGACAAGATCGCAGAACATCGGACCAGGCGGTACAATTACAGGATCAAACCTGCCCTATCACCCTCCCACGACTTCCTACACGTCAGGCTACGCTGCGCCCTCACAAACCGAAGAATCTGAGCCTATTCGAGCTTGGCGAGAAAGACGTGATGCAGATATCGCGCGACGTGACGAGGCATCCGCTCACAAAAAGGAGGAGACTGTAAACACAGCCCGCAAGGACATTGATTCGTTCTACGAGTCATACAACCGCAAGGTTGATCGACAGAAGACCCAGACTGCCAAAGAGGCTGAAGAATTCCTGGCCAAACGTGAGGATACGACCTCCGGTGGCACTTCTTGGGAACGTATTGCCAAACTGGCTGATCTCAGTGGAAAGGGCCATTCAGCTGGTGCTCAGGGCAGCAGCAAGCAGAAGATGAGGGAGTTGCTGTTAGATCTATCTAAAGACCCGAATGCGCCTGGGGCAACTGGAGTTTAGTTACGCCAAATACTTTCCAAATTGTTCGTGATTGTACTATTTCAGACTATAGCATTCCAGTGTTGATGGATGATCACGGTGGATTGCCAATCTGGCTTCCGACTCGTCAATTCGAAGAAGTGTACAACTCACAGGCTCAGCATGTTTACCTGTACAAGTCGTCCCTTGTGGTGACGCTGACATGCCATATTAGCCAAGCTCAATTCTCGCCGTGCGCAAAACGTGATGAGGTAAATGAAAGCAGATCTCGTATCAATATAGCGTTACCAGCGTTTTCTAGTGAGCTCCCTGAGCTGGTCATGGTTCTGATGAGAGCAGTATTCGATGTTCTGACCTTCAGGATTCATGCATATTTATTCAGAGAGCATTGTATATATGAGCCGCAGAGTCCATGAACCTTGACTACGATATATGAATTCTCCCGAAGCTTTTTATTCGGCACTCCTTTTACTTGACGCTCGAATCTTGACAAACACCACGCAAGGCCGCAACACGTGCATCGATACGCCGCCTGCTCTATAACATCGGGAGTAAAATGCTTTAGACACGAGGCGAAGTATTACTAGCAGGAGCATGGAAGTGACTAGATTGTTTCGTTATGACTGTATTAATAGCACTAGTACAAGCAGCCATCGGTTGACGCATGAGCACTCACGACTGGCCTAAAAGAAGCCGCGACAATAGCGAGAAGTAGAAAATTTCACAGACCTTCACTACTACCTACACTGCGCAAAGCCGATAATATTCCCCAAAGCACTGCTAAGTTGCGTTGTTCTTTTTCTTTTTTGGTGTCAGCCCTCGACACCCAGGAGTACCAAAGCTCTGTCTCAGCACGTACGTAGTATACCCATCCATCATGCTTGTCCCATCGCCGATTATTCTGCTTGTTGTACAGCCAAATTTTGTGTTTCGAAGAAGAGAGAGCAAATTGGAAAACTTGAGAAACTCTATTTCTGCTCGCTCAATAATGGCTCTGTTTCACCGGTTTTTCCATTACGCTTCTTGCGTCTTCGTCTCTTCTTGTTGCCAGCCTCCTCATTCTGTTCTTGATCCTGGTTGTTTGATTGGGAGGAACCTTTTTGAGAGTTGGATTGTTCGTTCTTGGAATGCGACTTGTCGTTGCTATCTTCATCATTCGTGTCACTACTTGATGTAGTCTCAAGCACGACTTTCCGAATTCCGTTTGTGTCTACGATGTTTTCTGTAATACTACCACTTCTGGCTGGAGTTCGGTTGTAGAAGGGGCTGTGGGGACGTTGGTTATTAGGCAGATCTGAGATGGTGTCGTGGCTTTCAGCGCTGCGAGCTGGCGGTCGAAGGATTGAGTCTGATTGCTTCGGGGACGAGTCCGTATCTGCGTGGCCATTCGATTCTTTAGCTTTGTCGGCGCTCACCGGACGTGTCTGCGAGGGTGACTTTGCGATAGAGCCATAGTCTTGAACAAGTGCTTGCACCCCATCGCTGGCGTCCTTACCACCAGAACGAAGTAGCCCTTCGCCAATGCCTGTCGCATATTCTGAGTTGCCTTCCGATATGCGACGAACGGGGGTTTCGCGTTGTAATGGAGCAGGGCTGGTACCATCAGTACCTGGCTTTATCTTGACCGATGCATAGCGAGTGGTCTTGGGTCGGCTAGCGAGATTCGAAGGTCCTAGATGCTTCAGATGTTCTTTATCAATATTTGCTCGTTGTTTCGTCTTTGAATCGGCAATCACGCTGTTGTTGCTTAGCCGTCTCTGTCCATTGGGAGGCTTTGTCGTGTCCAGATCCTGGTTCGAATGACGGCGCATGTCGGCAGCCTCTAAAGTTTGATCTTCACTGATGTCGACGAGGTCTGTGGCGACAGCTCTGCTTGTCTTCGTGTCGTTGGCAGGTCTCGGAACACGTGTGCGTGGGGCTGGGGTCATACGACGAATGGCTTTGTGGACGTCAACGAAGACATCAGACTCGTCGATAATCTCTTCACCAATAAGCTCTTCAATTACATCTTCGAGGGTGACGACTCCTAGAGCACCATGATCCTCTCCAGGATGGTCCGAAACAAGAACCATGTGGGACTTTCCCTCCTGAAAGAAGTTGACAATATCCAAACAGCTGGTCCTTGGACTTGTTTCTGGCAGTGTCGCCAAGGCAAATTCTCGCACGGGTTTGGCATCTTCAGGGTCATAAGTGATAAGCATCTTGACTAGCAACATACCCACAAAGTTTTCGTCATTGTCCGGATGGTGAACAGGAACTCTGGAATATCCTTGAGAGAGGATGTCATCCATGGTCTCCTCGTCGAGAACGTCGTCCAGGGAGAGAGTGAATACATCAGCCATAGGAGTCATAATACTGCCTATATTCTTTTCCTTGAGGTCAAGGACAGCGCTGATAATGGTGACCTCGTCTGCATGCAGTCGTTGTCCAGCTTCTCCCATACTTCGGTGAAGAGAGACCAGTGTCTTTAGTCCCGCTTTCTTATAGGTTGTTCCATGATCTTCACCCAATAGCCAGTCCAGTAGTTTTGCAGTTGGCCATGCAACAGGACTCATGATGTACATCAGGCCGAGGACGAATGGGGACATCCATGCACCAATTGGTAGGCCGTATCGGACACAGATGGACTGAGGGACAATTTCGCCGAAGATAACTGTGATCTGTGTCAACTAGCGCTCTCAGAGAGGTATGTAGTTTCCTTACCGATTAGTACCGTTGAGCCTAAGACAGCTGGCCAGCCACCTCCCAAAGACCGATCAAGAACAATAGGTAGTGTCTCATTGGTAATGACGTTGCTCAGAAGGAGGGTTACTAGAACCCAGTGCTTTCCCCTCTTCAACAATCTCAAGACCTTTCCTGCATTTTTTCTCTCGGCACCCTCGCCCGAGTCTTCAATGACCTGTAAATATATCTCATCCTGACCCATCAAAGCAATGGTCAAACCTGCAAAAGCTCCACCCAGTAGAACAAGAGCTGCAGCAACTGCAAGGTATATCCATAGTTTAGGATCACCAGGAGGTTTGGGGTCGGGTTTTCCCGCAAGTGAATGCAGAAGCTGAGATGCGTGTACAGGAACTGCTTGAACAACTGGAAGTTGACCCAACGCGAGGAAGAGAACTTTAGACAGACCCAACACAATGGGCCGGCCCAGGAGGAATCGATTCTGTGTCGTACTCATGATGGTGTCCCTGGACTTACACAGCCATGATGTGATGTTATTGGTGTCTGAAATGAAGGTTCAGTGAGACGCGTTGTCAAGAGTGGTAGCTGCGGCTCGCGTGACAAACGACCAGGCACAGAGAAGGAAATGTCGATGACAGTGATTTATACAAACACAATGCTAATGATGTTGAAGGTTTGTCTAAGATGCTAAGTGATCTGCTCGACGCAGGTACTTTGACGAGTAATTAGAGCTCCGCGTGAGAATCTCGTACGCCATGCACGCAATGTGCCCACCTGCTACTGCATGTGCTAGAGAGCTTGGCGCTAAAATGCTTTACTGTTAAATCTAAATTGACCAGAGCTTGGATTTACAGAAAACTGTTCTCTACAGAGTAGTAGTACGTGCTCACATCAACGTAGACTGTAGCTAGCTTGACACCAAAACTCTCTTGCGCTGTGACCAGAGCTTAAACACTCGTGATAAATCTCGGAATCTCGATGATGTGATGATTGGCCATAAAAAGTCTGGGGGAAAAGGGCAAGTCTGCCGCTAGGACCGGGCGGTTGACCTCGGATATTCGAGGCTCTGATTGATGGACTTCCACCCTTGCGAACAGCAGCATCTCATCTATACCTTTGGAAGTCCGTGTCCTATCAACACTATGGGCAGACACTCGTCCTATCGTATTCGCAGTACCGGTGTCCGATCATGTCTACAGTTTTCAGATCAATAGTGAAAACTGCTTTAGGTGTTGTAGCCAGGAGATCATATGCAACTCAAGCTACTTCAGCTCGAATAAACCGCAAAGTCGACTACGAGAAGACACCAATTCTGTACAAGACCGAGAAGGTTGCCCGCGATGCTTACGGGTTGGGGTCGGACGGTGCACTCGAATGGCAGAACTTGAATCAAGCAGTGTGTAATGCGATGCACCACGCCTTGAAGACTGATGACAATGTTATCCTCTTTGGAGAAGACGTTGCCTTTGGAGGAGTCTTTAGATGTTCAAAAGGCCTTGCTGACGAGTTCGGTGGCACGCGAGTGTTCAACACTCCTCTGACGGAGCAAGGCATTGCTGGCTTCGGAATTGGATGTGCTGCCCAAGGGATGAAACCAATTGCCGAGATACAATTTGCCGACTACGTGTTTCCAGCCTTTGACCAGATAGTCAATGAAGCCGCAAAATTCAGGTATCGAGAAGGAGGTACTTCTCAGCACTGCGGTGGCTTGGTTATTAGAATGCCTTGCGGAAGCGTTGGCCATGGGGCTTTGTATCACTCGCAAAGCCCAGAATCACTGTTTACACACGTACCAGGTGTCAGAGTGGTCATGCCGAGGTCACCTTCTCAAGCAAAGGGGATGCTCATCAGCTCAATACTCAACTGCAATGATCCCGTCATCTTCATGGAGCCGAAGACCCTGTATAGAGCGGCTGAGGAGTTTGTACCTCGTGATGCATTCAGCCTGCCGCTGGACAAAGCGGAAATCTTGAAGGAAGGCACGGACCTGACAGTCATATCTTATGGTCAGCCACTATACCTCTGTTCGGAAGCTATACAATCACTGGAGAAGGAGATCAAAGGATTGAGCATCGAATTGGTTGATCTAAGAGCAATTTATCCTTGGGATCGCGAGACTGTATTGAAAAGCGTTAACAAGACTGGTCGAGCTGTGATAGTGCACGAAAGTATGCTCAATGCTGGTGTTGGTGCGGAGATGGCTGCAAGCATTCAAGAAGGCTCTTTCTTGCACCTGGAAGCGCCTGTGGCTAGGGTGACCGGCTGGGATGTTCATCCCGGATTGGTGTTCGAAAAGTACAATATTCCGGATGTTCTGAGGATCTACGATACCATAAAACGGACACTGAACTACTAAGCAGTGAGGGTGTGCATGAGCTGGGTATGCACACACCACGTTATTCGGCTATACAGAAGATTTCACATGGCGATTGGCGGCACTATACAACACAGGGACAGCGTGGGTCTGGCACAAAAGCATCAGCGGGATGTACTGGATGTGCACAAGGCGAATGACGCTTGCCCAGACGTCTCGTGCTTGTCAAGAAAAGTTAGTGGCAAGGACGCGACTGCCATGCGAGGCTGATAATTCATAAACACGAAGTTGCGGGGTGTACAGCCTTTGTGGAGCTGATTGTGTGCTTGTGATTGGCTCTCTGTCTTCCTAAGCATCGCCGCAATGACGTCTCTTCCATGCCTGCCTCATATGCGTTTGACGCCCAAGTGAACATCGATTACCATATCTACCAATTCATAGAGACTTTACAACTTACTAACCTTTGTTCGTTATCGAGACCTTGTTTCATTCAGCTCACCAATTGTGCTTGCGAATAGAGTATCGCCTATCTGAGACATCACACGGTTAGATCAATGTCGGGTTACTATCCTCCTTCCGGGCCTCCGCCCCAGCAATTCGGGCATCCTCAGCAACCTCCTCCACCTCAAGGACACTGGGGAGGCCCTCCTCAGAACAGTATGGGAGGATATGGAGCTCAGTTTCAACCTCCTCCTCACCCTCCGCCAGGTCACAGCCAACCATGGCCACCACAAGGTCTGCCACCACAAGGAATGGCACCAGCAAGTTTCGCTCCTCCGGGACAGCCTGGATTTCAGCAAGGCATGCCCCAACAAGGCTTTCATCAGGGACCGCCACAGATGCCTCCTCAGCAAGCGTATCCTCCAGCGTCAATGCCTTCTCCCGGTTACGGGAACGATGTCGCTCAGATGAATGCCAATCCAGACGTTGACGCCCTCATGAAAGCCATGTCCGGAATAAGACGCGATCATACAACGGTCATACGCATATTGTCCAAGGCCGATCCACGTTATCCAGCACTGCTACGTCAGACATATGCACAACGCAATGGAGGAGCAAATCTTGAGGCGAAAATTGAATCGACGTTCCGCTCCCACTATGGTGATGCTCTACTCCAACTTGTTCGAGGGCCTCTATTGGCGGATGTTCACAACATCAACCGAGCAATTAAGGGGCTAGGAACCAAAGAGGATATGTTAAATGACGTCCTTATTGGTCGCTCCAACGCTGATATGCAAGCTATCAAGGCCACATATCAGACTGTATTCAAGAAGACTATGGAGTCCGATGTTGGAGGAGACCTTTCTTTGAAAACAAAGACGATGTTTCAGCTCATTATGCGAGCCTCTCGAACCGATGAATCCTATCCCTACAATCCGGTAGAAAACACCCGCGATGTTGACGCGCTCTACCACGCTATGCGAGGCCCGTCCATTGCCACGAATCAGGAACAGGTCTTCACCGTTCTGACGCAACGTTCCGATAACCAGATCCGTGCTATAGCCCATGCATACCAGCAGAAATACCACAAGTCACTCGAGGACGCTATTCGCTCCGGCTTCTCAGGTCATATGGAAGATGCTCTCTTACTGGCACTAGGAAGAGCTACCGACAGGGCGAAGACGGATGCATTCGGAATGGAGGACACGATGAAAGGTATGGGCACAAAAGACAATCTGCTCGTAAACAAGACAGTCAGAGTACACTGGGATCGACAGCACATGGATCAAGTCAAGAAGGCTTACCAGCACTTCTTCAAGAAGGATTTGATATCAAGGGTCAAGGGTGAGACCAGTGGGGATTACAGGGATTGTCTGGTCGCTTGTTTAGCCTAAGAGGTGAACAATCAGTACTGCTCAGCACCTGTATATTGAACACATAAGCGCCGGTCAGTGTCAAGGCAAGAGAAGAGTATTGGCGAGGTTTGTGAAGCTCACGATTGATGGTTTGGGAGGTTTTGTGATTTTTGAGATACCCGAGGTTCAGGTGGAACGAGTGACACGATAATCCTACGTATGCTTTAATTGTTAATAGCATTACATTTTGTTCCTACTTGTTTTGATGTCAGTCTTGACGTTTCTGTATCTTATGCAGCCAATTCTACACTTTCAGTTTCTGCCTGAACAATTTGTCTGGTATTGCCAATGCTAGTAATCAGCAGCATAACCAAGATCGTACTCGTAGCCGGCCAGAAGTAATTTTTATAATCCGGCTATGACATCCCAAAGAAGGATTCGCGAAGCTTTTTGATGGCTGTCTCTTCGCAAACCATACCCTAACGGGTGGCTAAGATACAGAACGCTAGGCCTGTATGAGCCATGACGGCGGTAACGAAGACATGTGATTGAGCCACATGGACAGCGTCATCCATTCAAAGTGGTGGCCAATAACGTGGTAATCATATTCGAGCCAGGCTGTTCCATTGGTATGGGCTCATCCGGGTTGCCTAATTCATTCTTAAGATCACATTTTTGAGCGACGACTTTGACCTTCTGCTAACGCTCCCACATTTGTAATCTTTACAAGTCAGCCAGCAACCATGGGTATGGTTGGACCTACAACCTTTTGGAGCTCGTACACATTCTGGACGGGCTCCTCCATTGCAGCATCGATACTGCTGGTCAAAGCTGCTCCAGAGTTCACTCTCAGTCAAAGTGTTACAAAGACAGCCATTGCTATATTCTTCGCGCAATGGCTTGTGTACGGCATATATGCTGTGATCCTGTACCCGAGGTATCTCAGCCCATTACGCCACCTGCCCACAGTGACGGAAGGGAGTAATCCGATCATGGGACAGTGGTTTGCTATCACTAGAGAAGCTTCTGGCGAACCGATGCGAAGGTGGACGAATACAATCGAGAATGACGGCATGATTCGGTACCTGGGCTTCTTCAATCGCGAACGCATTCTGCTTACGAAACCAAAAGCGCTATCAGAAGTACTCAATACCAAGAACTACGAATTCCAAAGACCTGGATTATTGCTTCGAGGTATCAAAGCCATCCTTGGCGAAGGTCTGTTGCTTGCAGAGGGCGATGATCACAAATTCCAACGGAAAGGACTTGCGCCAGCTTTCGCCTTTCGCCACATCAAAGAGCTATATCCTATATTCTGGTCGAAATCCAGGGAAATGGTCAAGGCTATGGAAGAAGTCGAACTTTCAGGTGAGAAGCCCAATGAGGCTGTTGAGATCGGAGGATGGGCATCTCGTGCCGCACTAGACATCATAGGGCTCGGAGGAATGGGTCAAGATTTCAATTCGTTGGCAGACCCGAACACGGAACTGAACAATACCTATCGAAAGGTGTTTTCTCCCAACCGTCAAGCACAAATACTTGGCTTGTTGCAGTTCTTCATCCCAGGCTGGATTGTTCGAGCCCTGCCACTTAGTCGCAACGATGACATCGCGGCAGCGTCCAAAGTGGCTCGTGGCACAGCTCGAAATCTGATCAGACAGAAAAAGGCCCGTCTTGATCAGAAGGAGAAGATGAACCCAGATATCATTTCCATTGCGCTCGAGTCTGGTGTCTTTACAGAGGAAAAGTTGCTGGACAACATGATGACCTTTTTAGCAGCAGGACACGAGACAACTGCAAGCTCTCTAACATGGGTTGCCTATCTTCTTGCGAAGCATCCCGAGGTACAGAGCAAGTTGCGGGATGAGATTCACGAGCACATCAGCAACCTCAACAATGACGTGGATGACACCATCATCGACCAAATGCCATATTTACACGCAGTTTGCCAAGAAGTACTCCGACTATATCCTCCTGTCCCAGTCACACTTCGTGAGGCCGTGCAAGACACTTCTATACAGGGTCAGCCAATCCAAAAAGGGACTGTGATCATGTTGAGTCCATGGGCCGTCAATGCTTCCAAAGAGTTGTGGGGTGACGATGCTGATCAGTTCAACCCGGAAAGATGGATGGGCGGTAAGGCTAACTCTGGTGGTGCAACAAGCAATTACGCTGCGCTGACCTTTCTGCATGGGCCGAGGTCGTGCATAGGGCAACGCTTTGCAACGGCTGAAATGGCATGTCTGACAGCAGCTCTGGTTGGAAAGTTTGATTTCGAGCTGTCATACCCCGACCAAACAGTAGTCATCAAAGGCGGAATTACTGCAAGACCAAGGGACGGAATGCACCTGAAGCTGAAGCCTGTTAAGTGGTAGCTGATATCTGTGGATAGAAGATGCAAAAATGCACGCTTGGTCACCCTATTCTGAACTGGTATACGTGATTGGCTTTTTTTATTAGTACGTATACCTATAAACTCTTCGATAGATCGACTCAGCTCATCTTCAGTAACCTAGAACTGATTCCGTCCATGCTTCCACAAAGTTAACGATATATTGCTTCGGGAATACATCTCATCTAATATTCGGTTCGCTAGGCTCAGTTCCGGACGCTTCGGGCCGTGAAAGCAGGGTTCAGGGCGCCGAATCACGAAACCTTCAAATTGCGAACCAAGGGTTTCGTTCACCCCAGCTCACGAACCTTCCTTGACCTCTTCCTCTCATGGCGACATCGAATGACACAACGCAGCGGCCTCGACTGCAGTTCTCGCAATCGTTTCGCACACAACCAACGCAGGACGCAGTAGCAGATGTAGCACCTTTAGTTCGCCCTCCTGCTGGCGAGCAGGGGTCGCACGATTCACAGACTACTGTCGCTGAAATGCCGACTGCCAATGGCATACGAAGGTCAACTACCAAAGCACACCCGCCCAACGCAGAGCGACTTCACCACAGAATCAATGCTTCTGGAAGTGTGCAAGCGATCGTTGTGGATGTTGACGTTCTTTTCGCAGGATTGCAAGGTGGTGATATTGTGGTATGCTACCCTCAATTTTTCAGTCAAGTTCTATGGTCTTACAAACCTTAGGCATGGTCCTTGGAGACCTACGAACAGCATGCCAGAATAAAAGCTCACCATCAAAGTGTTTTGGGGTTAAGTCTATCTGATGATCACAAATTACTCTTTTCTACAGGTGTCGACTCGATTGTGAATGTATGGGATTCCAGCTCACTCCAGCGGCTATATTCTTTGCACTCTCCTTTTGAAGTCGGAGATATATTCTGTGTTGCGTATTCATCGAGCATACAAACTCTATTTTGTGGCGCACAAAATTCTAGCATCCAATGGCATCAACTGTCGACCCCAGCAGTGCACAATGGGACTGATAACGGAGATCCAGGCTCGCGACAACATAGGTTCTTTGATTCACTGGGTCCGGGAGGAGCACCTAATCTTCTGTCCCATGATATTGATGGGACAGTCCGCGCAGCTGGCGGCCAGATCCTGACAATTGCCAGCAACTGTTACCAGACCTACGCCCACAAGAGCTACATATACTCTATGGTTTTGGCGAAAGGACTACTCGAAGATGAGTCAAAACAGGAAGCTCTCGTCACGGCAGATGGTGGCGGTACTATCAAGGTTTGGGCCATTAACAATCTCTACAATGATGGTCTGAAACTGCTGTTCAAGCTCAAAAGTAAAGGATTGAGCATATATACTCTAGCATACAAGCCACCCTTCCTGTACGCTGGACTATCTAATGGGAAGGCACACATCTATAACCTTGTCTCACAACAGCTTGTGCAGAAAGTGGATGTCTGTGTCGCTGATGTTGCTCAGATACAGATCTTTGGAGGGGGACTGTATTGTGGTTCAAACGATGGCATAGTCACGAACATCAACAATAGATTCGCAAAAGTATCGTCTTGGCAGGCACACCAGGGCAAGATACTTGCGACGGCTATCTCGCAACTCGACAAAAGGAAGATGCTAGTGACTGGCGGAAACGACAATACGATCGCCTTTTGGGATATTTCAGACCACGATGCACAAGCTCGATCCCAAACCAGCGGCAACGACGAATTGTTTTCTAACCTCAGACAGTTTGTATCCTATCGAACTGTGGCCAAAAACCCTGCATGCATTGGAGAATGCCACGAAGCTGCAAACTTTTTGCGTAAACTGTTCAATGCATTTGGTGCAGAGACTTCCCTAATCTCGCCCCAAGAGCATGTGAACCCGCTCCTACTTGCCAGGTTCGAGGCTTCGGTGCACCCGCAACGAAGGAAAACCTTGCTCTTTTACGGCCACTACGATGTAGTGGACGCAGAAGCAGATGTGGGTGGCGCGAAGTGGTTTGCTGATCCGTTCAGCTTACATCCATTGAACGGCTACCTATATGGTAGAGGTGTTACAGATAATAAGGGACCTGTTCTGGCTGCATTGCATGCTGTCGCCGAGCTTGTGCAGGACGACTGTCTCGCCTGTAATGTGGTGTTCTTGATAGAAGGTGACGAGGAAGCAGGATCTCGAGGATTTGAAAAAGTCGTTAGAGATCACAAAGTAGATATCGGAAAGATCGACTACGTCCTCCTTTCGAACAGCTATTGGCTTGACGATCACATCCCATGCTTGACTTTCGGCATGAGAGGTGTGGTGCATGCCAACATCGAAATCACTAGTGGCAAGCCTGACCAGCACAGTGGCATGGATGGTAAAGCCCTCCAGCATGAGCCACTGAAAGACCTGACCGTTTTGCTTGCGTCACTCATTGGGCAATCCGGTATGGACATACACATCCCCAGATTCTACGATACAATCGATCAGCTACAACCTTCAGAATTGAGAGCCTACAGAGGAATTGCAACAGCACTGATGGCGGGTCATCCTGAAATCAAGAACGAAGACGCTTTCACGCAGTCGTTGATGCAGAGATGGAGAGAGCCAAATCTCACTGTCCATTCCATTACAGTTCCCGAGAGCAAGACAGCAGTCACAATCTCATCTCGGGCAAAAGCAGCCTTGTCGATTCGAATAGTGCCAAGTCAGAATGCCGAAGAAATTGCTTCGAGTCTGAAGAAGGTGCTTGAGCAGCAGTTTGATCTGCTCGAGAGTCGAAATACCATCAATGTCAGCATTACAGCCAAAGCCCATCCCTGGTTGGGTAAAGTCCACAGCGAGATCTATGAGGAGCTGCGAGATGCCATCATGGAAGTCTGGAGTCACGACGAAGCTTCTCAGAGACAATTTGCAACGTCCGACGATCCTACGTCTCCAATCACGTCGCCTACTCTGCGCGCTAGAGGTCGAAGAGCATCTGTGTTGACATCCGCAGGCACGTTCACGGCAGCCAGCATACCGCATGAACCACTCTTTATCAGGGAGGGTGGCTCGATACCTGCCATAAGTTTTCTGGAACGTGAGTTCGGAGCACCTGCCGCGATGTTTCCCATGGGACAAGCTAGCGACAATGCTCACCTTGATAACGAAAGAATTCGAGTCGAAAATCTTTACAAGGGTCGAGACGTGCTCAAGTCGTTGTTCTCGAGGCTAGGGACGAGGACGAACTTCAGCCTACGCAACCGAGCATCTACCGTAACCATCTAAGGGCTCGAGTTTGGATCTGAACAATCGATATGGTGTTGCTGGCGCCATCACAGCACTACGTAAAAGCGTCGATCTCGGTCAACGACAGAAGCACGTTCAGATGACGCGCATGTGTCTCCAATTGCTCGTTCAACTGTGTTGGTGATCTCCGCCATGTGTAAATCTAGCAGAAAGATCATCGCAGCTGAAAGAGAAAGCAAGCAGGGGGGTTCGTGGCTGTGCACACCAGCCACGTCGTTTTGTCGTTCCGATTGGACAGAAGTCTGTCATGGCTTCCGAGAGTGCTGTATTGTGGCTTGAACACGATCTAGGCGGCCCAGATTGCCAGTCGTTCTTCCCTCATCATCTCCATCCGTGGTGCAGCGCCAAACAGCGAAATGAGGCACCAGTAGAAACTTAGGAATGCTCTACAATGTAGCCCATACAAAACTGCTCATATTGCCGCCCAATTTGACGTCTTAGACGACTCTCGATGTTCTTGTCTCTTTGTCTACTGCTCTAACAAGGTGGATATTTAGGTCGTTGACCGACATTTACCTCGTTGTCCTTCTGCTTGTCGTTTGTCTTTCACCTACTCAACCTTGAGCTAAATATGTTACAGTCATTGTGAACAACGACATCAGCACGGGCGCCGCACACTTCCGCCCAGCTACACGAGGCTTCTTGCGAACAAAGTGGTGGGCGCAGTTTCGACCTACGTGGCCAAACTGTGACAACATTAGACTCGCATCACGTACCACAACCTGGTCGCATTCTCAATACCAGTCTCCCCGCTAAGTTCTTGAGCAGAAGCTCTCCACCATAATGACAGCCAAAGTCGCCCAGTATATCACGGTGATCGACCGATCGAACAAAGTGATTGGTAACTCTAAACAGTTCAAAGATGTCTTTCGAGAGGCCAAAGCGGCTTATCAGGAACGCAAAGCCGAGATCAAGGCTCAGCGAAAACTAAAAGAAGAGGCAGAACTACAGAAAGCCATTCGTGCAGTGAGCATACAGGACGAGCAAGAGAGGGCAAGCACTGTACGTCCAAGCAACAGTCGAAGACAAAGTTCCCCACGAACACAGCATGCAGATCGCAGAAGTCCTGCCGGTTACCAAGAACGACCAAGAGCACAGCATATGTATAGTAGCGACACATCGCAATGGGAAAGTGGTCGAAGCAGCCCTCGCGAAGGTCCTGCTCAACACATGTCGCTTGGTCAATTCAACGACCATATCTATGGCCCGCATGGCGCAGCAGCTTCAGCTCGTCGAGCCTCGCATACGGTACCAGGCTCACCAGCTGCAGAATGGGACTACTCTGATCCGACATCTCGAGGTTTAGTTCGCGCTCGGACTGATCTGCCGTGGGAACATCGCCAACGACCTTCCCAACAACTTATCCGCTCACAATCTGCCGACGACATAGATCTCGATCTAGCATATGGCGAGTATCACCCCGAATCCCTCATCGTCACATCTCAAGAGCAAAAAGAGAACGAACTAAAATCGCTCGTCTTGAAATGCAGAATGCTCCTCGAAGAAGCAGACTGTGCAGGCCATTCCGCAAAAGCCATAATAGGACATCTACAGAAGAACCCAGATACGCTGGCCGCAGTAGGTCTGACTCTTGCTGAAATATCAAACATAGTCGGGAAGATGGCTCCAGGCGCAGTAGGCATGATCGCTAAGTCCGCGCCCGCTGTCATGGCCCTGCTAGTCTCACCACAGTTCCTAATCGCGGTTGGAGTCAGTGTAGGCGTCACCGTCATTGCAATTGGAGGTTACAAAATCGTCAAGCGCATCAAAGAGAAAGCTGCAAACGAAGACGCAGACCAGCATATCGGACCTGGTCTCGATGAGGCAATCGACGTCCACGAACTCGACAGAATCGAGCAGTGGAGACGTGGCATCAACACGACCGCTCAAGACGACGGCGGCAGTATCATCAGCGGCACGAGCGTCGAAGGAGAGTTTATCACACCGTTCGCTGCGCAAAGCATGGGTCACTTACCTGCGAAGTCTCTGGCTGGAAAGAGCAAGAAGAGCAGCAAAGACAAGAAAGCGGATAAGGAGAGCAAGAAAGGCGATGCGAAGAAGAAACACAGGAAACATCGAAGTGGTAGTGAGGACACAGGCAGTGCAACTAGCCAAGGCACTGAGAGTACTTTCAAGACCAGCAGCACACTGGGCCAGAAAGACAAAAGCCTCATCAAGGTGAAGAAACCGAGTCCATTAAGTAGGATGTTCAGTGGGACAAGCGTAAGGAGTTGAAAGAGACCTGCTTGCCGTTGCCTGTCAAACTATAAGATGTATGACACGATTTATGAGGATAGGAGTTACTCGAGCATTTACCGGGCGTATGTGAAACGATGGACAGCATTTATGGGTATACCTAAGCATTGTATCCGGCGTTTTACTCTAGCCCATTTTGAAAAACATTGCAAGCACAAATACCGCATCTACCGTACTCTATCTGTGACCTCACTACTCCCTTTCACAAGCAATATTATTCCATCATTTCCCCGTCAATTCACCCACACATCCATTCAAGACCTTATACTAGACCTCCCATCTACGCATTCTCCTCCTTCAAAACCTCCTTAAACCTCTTAAATGTATCCAGCACATTGTGAAAATCCTGCTCAATCTCCTCGAATGGCTGGAGGGCGAGAAGCGAGTCTTCGAGCGCTTTGATCTTGGCTGGGATTGTTGAGTTTGGGGGGAGGTAGGTGTATTCTCGGGTACTTTCTGGTGCGTTGTTGTTATTGATGTTCTTTTCGGGGAGATGGTCGGGGTTTGGGGCTGAGAATGGGATTAAAGTTGAGAGATGGTCTTTGAGAGGGTCGTTTGTGGCTATTTTAGAGTTTGTTGCTGGTGGAGTATTAAGTCCTGAAGAAGGGTGTTGTGGAGTTGCGTTGGTGAGGTTGGTGAGGTTGTTGGTGTTTCTGTAACTGGTGCTTTCAGGTACGGTTCGATTGCTGCTGCTTGGTTCTTCTTCGTCTTCGTCGCTGCTACTGGTGTCCCACCTTCCATCAGCAAGCCCTTCGCGTCGTCTTTTCATGAGTTGGGCGTCTGTTAAATCCTTACAGCTATCGCTATCGCTGTCGCTGTCACTGTCATTGTCACTAGCACCATTGCCCTCGTAGTCGCTGTAGATAATATCGATATGGTCTGTCTTGGAGTAGGTATCTGCTGCAATGCGTAAAACCGTGACTAAATCAGCATTGGTCTCTGAAATGTCGTCGCCATTCTTGTATTGTAGCTGCAATTCTGTGGCGGCTTCTTCCACTTTTGCAGCGTCCTCCTCGAGGCCGAGAATATCTGCTAACAGTTAGCTTCCTAAACCACCTATAGACATGTAGAGAGGCTGTGACTTACTGAGAAGATATGCCAGACAGGTGAAGTATCGATCGTACTCTGCAGGCCGTCGCAGTAGTGCCTGGATGAAAGAGACGGTCGGATAGTCGATTTCTGGCATGATCAGATACATTACATAGTCCAGGCAGTTGACAGTATCCTGGACACTCTCTGGGCCATAGCAGTACCGCTGAGGTAGAATATCATCACGAGTAAAGACTTGCCTGAGAACTTCTGGGAAGTCCTTGTGGGACATCATATCATGCACTTTGTCACTAAGTCGATCTTGAATGCCAAGTTGTTGCCTGTAGATCTTGAAGGAGCTGACAAGTGCAGAAACATCGTGGCGCTCATCACGATATCGGGACGAGTATCCACTAAAGAATCCAGTGAGTTTATCATCATCGAGTTCCCAGATATTGCAGTGATTATGCATTCCTAAGTTTAGGCTGGACTGCTCAGGTAGCTGAAGATCTGTCGTCTGCATACCAGGTGTGAGCTTAAACTTTGCTTCCATCCGCAGAAACATGTGCCAGAGGAGATTCAGACTGCGTTTACTGGGATACGGTGAGCTGGATCGAATCCACAAGGCTATATACTTCAAAATTCGGGCGGTCACCTCACTGCTGAAACAGGCGTCCTTACATACACGTAGGAATGTAGGCATAGACAGAGCGATGAGCTCATCTGTCGGGTTTTGCGATCTGATTCGTGGCTGTCCCGAATGTACGGTAATCTCTCGAACTTGTGGAAGTGGTGTAATGCCTACTTCTGGGTTCTTCGAAGAGAAGTCCGGCTCGTGTGGGATTTGGAGAAGCATCTGCTCATATACTCGAAGCAATGATGCCGTCCACGAAGGTCTAGTCCGAGGTTGAATTATGTTCAGAATGACCTGCAGCTTTTCTTCGAATGTGTGTACCAGTTCCCCATCCGGGTAGGCTCTGAGTACATGACATACCAAGAGAAAGGTAGAGACATAGGCATACTCCTCAACGTCGTAGCGTCCATAGCAGTGACTTGCCTCAAGCATTAGATAGCTCCAAGTATGCAGGATGGCATAGCCTATACCTTTGCAGTAAGGCACCCATCCTTGCGGAAGTCCTGGCGCGTTGTCGTCAATCATTGCAGATAGTCTGCTAAGGACACCGCGGGCGGTGCATGGATTCTCGTCGTTTAGATATCTGAGAATTATGGCAAGTCTTAACATGGCTGTCGATGCAGTCCATCCTTCATCGTAGCAGGCCATGATGAAATTATGTAGTCCATCTCCTGTTCTGCTGAAATATACCATATGCTTTTGTAGGTCATTAGCGAAGTGAAAAAGAGCATCGTGTTCCAACTCGGTAATTTCCTGCAACGGATATGTCAACGAACCCCGGGCAGTATTCGCTTTCGTCTTTGGCAAGGACGCTTGCTCTATTTTGTCGAAACTTATCCCACGCCCCTCTAATAACGACCTAGAGAGTAAGAAAAGTGGTGACTTCATCATGTCGTCCTTGCTGAGAAGCACCATCTGATTGTTTAGATCTTTCGGTGCGAGTGTAGTACTTGACACCTGTTTTGTCTTTCGTTCAATGTCTCTGTCTATAGCGGCGCATCGTGCAAGAGTGTGATAAAGGTAACTACTTTGTGGTTGGAGTTTATCTGAATCAGCTGTGGGAGCCTCTTCTTGAGCCCTCATGAGTTGTATGATTGCTTGGAACGCATCAAGCACAGTATAATTGTAGTGATTCTTAACGCTGCGTGGAATGCACTTGACCAGTGGCCTGAACTGCTCGAGGAAGGCACGTAAACGATAATCGATCTCATAGTCAATGACTGCGCTGATCTGCAGGACGTCGCGGATGTTCATCATGACGGCCTCCAAGTGATTGAGTTGAACATTTTGCAGAAATTCGACGTACTGCACAGGGTTATGCCAGTGGCCATCAGGATCATCAGCATTTTGTAGACGGCGAGAGGCAGTTTCCAGAAATAATTTGGCTGTGTCCGGAAGGATATCGGCTCTTCGTCGCGATATTGCTCGTCCTACTTGTTCGACTGCGTTGTCAGGACGTTCTGGCGATAGTGAAGGGTCTCGAGACTTATCGAATCGTTCCGCTGCAGCGAGAATTGCCTCACCAGCTTCCTAGGCAGATGTTAGCAGACGGTCTCTTCCATCGTCCCGCTTGAAGTTTGCCATTAAGTCCAAGATTGAAAGGAAACAGGACGAGACTGTCGCAGCTGATTATTCACACTTGTTGCTTAGGACTTACTTTTCCAAAACGTTTGAACTTTTTGATGGCTTTCTCTCTCCACTCTAGTTCTAGTTGCCGGTCCTTGAGTAATTGGATGTCACGCTGTTTTCTAAGTGCATTTTTCATCCGTATGGTCTTGCTGTTGAGAATTCGATAGGCGTAATGCGTGACTGTGTCATATTCAAGATATGATATTCCATTTGTGGTCTTTGCTTGCTTGCAGATCTCATGACGACAGGGGCGTCCTCCCGGTATATCTATGTCCTAAGTCGATAGTTAGTACTGAGGCTTTATTCTGCAAGCTGATATATCCTTTCCGAAGAGAAGGCCACTCGATAATTGAAGACAACTTACCATAGGACAGAGGTTGGCCTGGCCCACATACCTGTATCCAGCAGTTTCATTGTCGTACTTCCAGTCATTCGGTGCTTTCAGATCTCTAGAGGTCACCTTACGCTTTTTATAGTCAATGGAGAACTTGTGATGGTCTTTCTCGGCGTTTCTTCTTTCTGCTATCAGGCTATCGAAGACAATCAAATCTTTGTCATTCCAGGTTGAGGTATCAATCTTCTCGCTGATATCCCGACTGCTTGCCAGACGAGCTGTAGTGTCAGCTTTGAGCATGTCAGCTTTGAGCATATCAGCTTTGAGCATATCAGCTTTTAGCTGTTCAAGAAGAGCTGCGGTAGCCATGTTGGTAGAAATTGTGGAAAGTAGACGTCAATGGGGAATAAAGAACCTGGAAATGTACTGATCACATGTTAAGGTTGCTAGCACAAATCCGCAAGCTTGACTTCGAGAGGCAACTTTTCTTTCGCAAGAGCAATGTGAGTGCAGGTTTCACCCGTCTCGACTTGCACTCCGGGGTCCACGTTGAGTGGCTGCACTCGGCTGCGGACAGACATCGCGTAGAAATGGCTCAGAGATAGCTCTGTACATGGTCAAAGTGACGATATTCCTAAACAAGACGGCATCGTAGATGTTTCGGCCTTCATTGTGAAAGCGACGACCAACATTTGATCCAGCTTAGAACTCGACCGCCATGGGCTGCTGCTGAGCCAAAAGTCATCACGGCTCTTACAAAGATCATACCTCCTACATCATTCTATGGGAGCTCGACAGTCCACGCAATACAGTTGAGCACTACCGTTTGAAGTCCAAGGAATGCACTGCACGTGATTACTTCTGAAACTCATCAGTTCCTTCCCTGACTGCCAAGCTTGCCCTCTATGGAGCGTTTGAGTCCATGGTTTTGTTTGTCTGCGGGAGTTTCCTACTTCCAAACGAACCCGCATTATCGGCCTTAGCACAGCAGTATACATTCTTAACACCTTCGACCGTACATATACTTACTTCCCTAACACCGATATCAGCATTGAGAACCCCAAACAATGGTCAGTCCATACGTTGGTATTTGCATCCAGCAGGAGAGTGGGGCAGTACGAGCAAGCATGTGCTGTTGGTAATGCTGACACAATTGTTTACAGGCCGATTCTCTTACAGAAGAACAGGTCTCTGAATTCAAGGAGGCTTTCTCTCTATTTGTAAGTGCATGAACATTGCGGTGAGACTTTTGGCTAACGTGGTGTAGGACAAAGATGGCGATGGTTCGTGCTCCTCTTCCAGACGACGACGACCGTAGAGAGAGCGCGACTGACAATTCCAGGCCAAATCACAACTAAAGAGCTAGGCACGGTCATGCGATCACTGGGCCAGAATCCTTCCGAGTCAGAGCTTCAAGACATGATAAATGAGGTCGACGCAGACAACGATGGAACCATCGATTTCCCTGGTACGAGTATGAGGATCGAGGGCGGACAAGTGACTGACTTGCGACAGAGTTTTTGACCATGATGGCTAGGAAAATGAAGGACACAGATTCTGAGGAAGAAATTCGAGAAGCGTTCAAGGTGTTCGACCGCGACAACAACGGTTTCATCTCCGCGGCCGAGCTCAGACACGTCATGACCTCTATCGGCGAGAAGTTGACTGATGATGAGGTAGACGAAATGATCAGGGAAGCTGATCAGGATGGGGATGGCCGAATTGATTGTAAGATTTACCACTACCACATTGGGACGCTATACTAACTACAATAGACAACGAATTCGTCCAGCTCATGATGCAGAAATAGTCAAAAACTACTTCTGACACCCTTAGATTTCGTTTTCCTGGTATCCTCCCGTGTTTCCATGACAGCAAGAACGAATCATGATTGATGGCTCTGATGCTGCTCCAGCACGTCCCGACGAGCTCGCTGTCTGGCCTGGCTGGACTGAGGCGGCGGAAGAGACTATGTCCTCAATACAATGACTGGAACATAACCAATCTCAACGGTATCACGCGCTGAAACAGTACGTGCTGAAATTTACCTTCGCTGGTCTCATATCTTTCGTTGAACAGTCTGGCCAGTTTCGCATGGTCAGTAAAAGAAGGGAAGCCTGAGAGCATCGAAAGACTATCTCGGTTGGCACAATCAGTGGCGCATCATCGTTATGTCAGAAGAGACTTTGAGATCTAGTTGCACAAGACTTAGCCTTTGACGTGTATGGAAATACATGCTTCTACGTTCACGACTCATGATTGTATCAATGCGCGTTGAGCCAAGCGAGCATTCCGTCGAACGCCTTAGATTGAGCGTCGTTGATCTTCTGGGATTCGTATTCGCCGACCACGGCGAAACCTGTCATCGAATGTGTTAGTCTTGCAATTCAACTCCATTCGTGCTTCTACTTACCGTGCGGCACGTCCTTGTAGACCTCAATCTGATGATCAATCTTGTGCTCTTCCAACGACTTTCTTCCTTCATCAAGGACGTCTTCTGGAAATAGTGGGTCATCCTCAACACATACTAACTGTATTGGCGCCTTTATGTTTTGGACGTCCTTCCTGCCGACGAGAGTACCGTGTGCACACACGCCTGCCTTGATCTGTAGTCCTGTGATCATCTGACCTTCCTCAGCTTTGCCTTGCGCCTGCTGTCCAGTTGGCGTATCATGCGTCTTCCCTGATGCTAAGAGAAGCACATAACGACCACCAAAGCAATATCCAACAGCGTAGACGCCATCTCCATGGCTGACAGCATCAGCGTAGTCCTCTCTTGCGACCTTCAGAACACCATGCAAAGTAGGCAAAACTGTCTCCTCCGTATGCCGAGCAAGCCACATGTCAAGACTGAATGACTTGGCTGTTTCTGCAACCTTGAGTTTGACAGTATCGAGCCAGGTAGCATCCGAGCTTAGTGGAGTCTCCTCTGGCTTCGTGTTCGGTGCTGGATCACCCGCGAAGAGGTCTGGCATAATAGTTAGGTAGCCAGCGCGTGCGAAGAGGTCGGCCTGATGCTGGTTGTTGCGAGAATGCACACCCGTGCCATTGGTAAGGAGGAATAAGAGCCGTGCTGGTGTGGTCGGATAGTCCGTAGGCTTTGACACGTAAACCTCAACATCAGAACCAGTGTCGATAGACCATTTTGACAGCGTGCCGGAGGGTGCTTCAGAGGCGATACCTGAAGGAAGTGGTCGGTCAGTGGTGCAATGGTCTGAGACTTGTGCAGCTTGGCCTGGTTGAGGCTCGGCGGACGATGTTTGTTTCGAGGTTAACGGGCTCTTGTCATCCTCTAGTGACTCTTCCTGTAAATCTGACTCTGGTGCTCGGGTTGCCAATTCTGAATCCGCCATCTTGACAAGGCTAGCGGGGACGTCCGGGGCTCAAAACTATACCAGGCGCCTGCTTCCGTAGTTGGGTCGATACAAAGGCTGGCGCTTGTTCCTCAAAAGAGTCTTGGTAACGACTAATTAGGCACTCGGCAAACAGTTACATGCTGAGTAGTTTGCAGTGCATCAATGACTGAATAGAGGGAGTTATTCTGAATCCAGAGTGGACCCCTGCCAGTGGTATGTGGTGGATTGTGAACGGAGTGGTTCGGCACGTGGTTCTAGCATTCGGCGAGCACATGTCAGTCCAACGCTGTTCCTGCATGACATCGCTGCACTTCCGCCGTTCCTGCTCGTTGTAACAGCTTCAGAACATTCGCGATTTGCGTCAGTCACATTGCTTGTGAAGATGTCTCAGTCTATCTGCTCCTTGCAGCTATACAGCATATTTATCTATGATGGCGTTCAGTCCATTCCAGTGGCTGTACTCAATACTGCAATGGATTCTGACTAGCATCTTCTCGCCCGATCCTCCGGCTCCTGGTGCTCGATTGCGACGGCCTAAAATTGCCATTGTTGGTGCTGGTCTGACGGGAGTCTCAGCTGCCAGTCATTGTGTTGGCCATGGCTTCGATGTTGTACTCTTCGAAGCAGGAGGGAAGGATCACCTTGGGGGAATATGGAGTGTTTGTGCCATAATAGCATCCTTTGACCACATGCTAATATGTTCCAGAAAGTCAACAGCACATCCGGACTCCAGATCCACAGTATCATGTACCGTTTCCATCCTGGAGTAAAGTTTGACGAGGGCTACCCTAAGCAAAATGCGATCGTGGGACAGGTCGAAAAGCTATGGAAGATGTATCACCTTGAGGACAAGACGTTGTTCAACACCAAGGTCGAGAAGGTTTATAAAGACAAACAGAATCGTTGGATCGTCAATGATCCCTCGAATGGCAGATTTGATGGCGTGATCGCTGCGGTTGGTACTTGTGGTGACCCAAAGATTCCTCATCTCCCCGGCCAGGACAAGTTTAAAGGAGAGATACATCATTCTTCTAACCTTGATGGCATCGACGGCAAGGGCAAGAAAGTGACGATCATTGGTGGCGGAGCTTCAGGTGTTGAGGCCCTTGAGTGGGCAGTAGAAACAGGTGCTAGTGAGATCAATGTTCTTGCTCGATCAGACAAGTGTAAGTGTCTATGGCATGTTTTCTGTTACACCGGCTAACTCTTTATCCACAGGGATCGTTCCTCGTAACGCCTTTGTCGACATCCTCCTCGCATTCAACATTTTCGGGCAAGAAACCTTGTTCTCGTGGGTACCCGAGAATATCCTTAGGTTGTTCTTCTATCGTGACCTGAAGGACATCGCTCCAGCTGATCAAGGTCTATTCACAGAAACTCCTATGGTCAATTCAGAAATCTTCAGACAAATACGCCAGGGCAAGGCCAAATGGCTTAGAGGAGATATCGAAGACTTGACTGAACAAGGTGTCCAGTTCATTAAACGTGCGAAAGGAGTTCCCAAGGGTGGGCCTGGACATTCACTTTTAGTCGAGGCAGATGTGATCATTATGGCGACCGGCTATAAACGTCCCTCGCTTTCTTTCCTGCCTGACGAGGTCTTCGAAGAGCCTTACGGACCGCCAAGATGGTATTTGCAAGTATTTCCTCCATCGCATCCTTCCATTTGTGCCAACAACTGCACGTACGTCAACGCAATTGGCACGGTCGGCAATTACCATATCGGCATCTATACTCGATTACTGTTAATGTTCCTGGTCGACCCCTTAACAACACCAAAGACCTTTTGGATGAAGAGGTGGATTGACATGACCTCGACCCTCAAGGCACTCGCGCCTACCAGAGCCTTTGATTTCTTCACATACTCTGAGCTCATCTATTGGTTCTGCTTCGTGGTGTTGATAAACCCTTTTCGATGGAAATGGGCGCTTTTTGTGTTCTTTGGTATTGGCAAAGGACTACCAGCACGAGTGGTTGGACATGAGGACCGCCTGAGGAATGGTCTAGGCTACAAAAAGAGCTACTTAGATTAGGATATGCTTTGCGGGTTGGGTAGAGTCGCCTCTGGGTCGAAGACTGCCGAGACAGTATGGAGGTATCAAGATGTATCTTCGAGTCAAGATGTCAGACTGAGAGTGTCCTTCGAGTGTCCTTCGAATTTGGTCCTTGGATAGTATGGTAGTATAGATTAGTATGGCATAGCAGACCGAAGCTTACATCGAAGCCTAGTACACGTCGAGATTGGCTAGCTCAGCCATTGTGCAATGGCATCCAGTACAACGACACTGTCATCCCATCGGGGTAGTGCATTAGGACCTGGAGGTGTGTATTCTTTGCGCCGAATTGTGATGCTCGTACCATTATCATCCTACTTCCTTCCGTTTACAGCGAACAGGGTTCTGAGGAAAAATTTGTCGCAAAAAGGGCCAAAAAGTTTGCAAAACAATCAACAGCGAGGATTCGCTGGTTGTCTCCAACCCAACTACTAACTCGTCGGCGCCTGGCTTAAGTACGGGTGATCGAACGGGAACCCCTGTTTTCCAAACCCTATGGTCGATTGCGAAGAAACAACGATCGTTCCTAATACATAAACCTCTACATTACCTGGCCACCAACGTGGATAGGTGGTAAGAAGCGATACAGATGCCTCGCAAACGCGACGTCTGGAAACGGCTAGCTTGACTACCTAAACTGCAGCCCGGAATGCTTGGGTTTCAGGCGACACCAGGCCCTGGTCGTGGTGCCCACTTTCACATGTCAATCAATGTCGTGCGGTCCAGCTTTGGAGCTTTCCTCTGAGCTTCCCGTCGTGTTGTCGATTCAGAAAACGACTTTGAATACTGGCTATCTTTATCGCCAACATGGGCTATCGTTTTGTCGCGGTTGCTCAATGATACAACCCTTCTTTTAGGACGCTTGTCTACCACCATGGAGGATCCCGTCAAGGACATCGTCCCTCTTATACACACATTGACTCAAGCGATACCTTCGAAACAAAAGGAAGCCGTGGAGAATTACTTTACACCAAACGCGGCTTTCGCCCATCCTTTTTGCAAAACCGGCTCCTGGGAAATCGACCTCTTCGATCTGAACTCAAGATGGGCTACGCTCATGATCTACCAGTGGTATAAGATCCTATCACCCCGGATCGACTTGGAAGTACTCAGCGTTACCTTCAACGAAGACAAGCTCATTTTGTACGCGGACATACACCAACACTTCAGACTCTGGCTCGTACCTTTCTACGACGCGGACGTACGATTCACGACGTGTCTACACCTTGCTGAAGGCGATGAGACAGGTCCGGTATCAGCCCTAACGAAGAGGTTTGAAAACCGGTACAGAAGAACAACTTCTTCGAAATCATCCTATCATGATGTGCCAAATGGAATAAATGGAGAGCCTGTGAAGCTGTACTACATAACGTTGCAAGAAGATTTGTATCAGACCTCTGAGTGGATCAAGTTTCTAGTGCCTTGGGGTGTTGGTGCTACCTTGGTTGCGACTTGGCAGTTTTATGCCACTTTCTTCTGCATCCTGGGTTCAATAATACTTTACCCATTGACGATGTGGAAGGAGAAGACTAGAGCCGATGTGCCGAAGCAGATCCTGCCTCCTCGGCGGTTTGTGGATGATTAGCTGATACGTCTTGGCCATCTCCTCTATACACTGTTTGAGGGCTTGGGTATAACCACTTCAGTACTGAATGACTGAAGCATGCAGTTCCGTGGCAGACGATCCCACGGACACGACAATGAGCTTAGAGGAAGGAGTGTTGGAGATCCACGGCGGATGCAGCCTCATCTAACTCAAAATAGTCGTTGCTCTTAGCTTGTTCAGGAGATACACATGCTCGTTCAATCATGCATGCTAGAAGAGCGAAGTGGTAAGAACTATGGCAGCATGGTTATCAAAAATTTTGAGACGCTGTATAGAACTGCTATCGCTATGATACTAGCCAGCACGATGGTGGTTGAAGCCTTCGGACTTATCAATCCACGTTTTCGAGGGGCTTATCCATTGAGAATGGAGGCAGTAAAACTGTCCCAAGCATTGACAGGTTGAAGATGGAGACTATTCCTACCCGCTACGGCAATGCTCTTGTTGTATTTCGAGGCACTACCAATTCACTTGTCCAACCAGGCCGAGCACGGGCCCGATGACGGATGCTCGTCAAGGCAGCTGACCTCAATTTTGTGCATGGACTGGACCTAGTAGCTGAAGAAGCTAGGCGCGATTCGCTTGTCCAAGCCGTACTCAATAGCCCTGTCCAATACTGCTCTCTGGCTACTGATACGCACAAGTCTATGTGCCTGCGTTTAATGTCTCTTCTTTTGTCAAACAAAGACTTGGTTTTGGAGAACTGAATTCTACAGCCAAAATATGTGCCGAGATCAAGTCTTTTCTTCAGGTACCGTCTCAGCAGTCTTCTCGGCGAGCTTGACCTGCTGAGGTGACGCAGCAGAAACAGGTCTCTGGTCGGGCCGTTGCAAGAACTGCGACCCAGAGTTTCTAGCGGAATTGCCTGTGGGCCTCGAAGCTTGAGAATGAAGAGACGGTGCTGCTGCTCTTCGAGTCACAGGTGCATTTGCCCAAGGTGCCTGTGTGACACCATTGACGAACCCTGCCGGAGCTGGCCTTGAGCCTGCTGGGGCAGCCCAAGGAGCTGCAGTGCCTACTCCTGGACCTGGAGGAGGACGCATCATAGCAGAACCGTTCCCAGCACCTCTAGGGTCGCGAAGTGGTTGGCTCGTGGTATGTGTGCTATGTAGTGGCGTTTTCGCATCTGGATCCTTCTCCCATGCAAACAGGCGGCCGAAGGGGAAGTGCTGTACTACTGGAAATTTTGCGAGCACTTCAGCGTCGTACATCTTTATCAGGCCTTTGTTGATCTTGCCCCAGCCATCTTTTATGCCACTGATATCGAAAAGAATGGGACTGTGTTCCCAGAAGGGTCCACGTTTCACAGTGTAGATGAAATCGATAGCAGAGAAGTACAAGTTAGCTTTTGCCTCCTTCTCAACAAGGTTCCGTTTGGTCACAATCGAAGGGTCTGGTGAAGATGATAGAGAGCCCGAAGTCGGTGTCGGTGTAGATGAAGATTTATCCTCAGGCAACGGTGGACAGAATTGTGCAGAGCCGAAGAGATATGGCAAGAAGGAATTGTCGTCTAGACCCCAGACACCATGTGAGCCTGCAGGCTCGAGATTGTAGGTGATGATGAGCTTTCGAATCAGGGACAGATATTGCTGAAATAGCAAGAGAACAATCTGTCTTTCTGTGCTCACGGACGAGGGTGCTGTGAAGGTGCCGGCGTTCTCGGACGTCTTGGGTGAGCTGCTGAAATAGTCAGTCTTCCATAAGGAGGCCAGGAAAGCAATAAAGCTCAATTCGTGACCAGTTCCATAGTCAAGCCGCTGAGGGCTGCCGAAACTTCCAAGCAGGTACGCCTTGTATTCGACGATTGCCGGGTGTAGTTCTACTGGCAGCACTTCCTCTAGCAGTCGCTGAGCGCACTCCTCAGCAAGCTTGTACCACTTCCTGAAGCTGATATTTCCAAACCTTCTGGGTCCTGTGTCTGGTGGTGCCTCAGATATCAGGAGATCCAAATTCGTGATAACTTGTTGTATGCATCTCACCTGGTGAATAGGTTCGTATTCGTGGTCCAACCTGAACTCATGAATACTATTATCGGACGTCGTTCTTCTAGGCACCATAGACCTGTTCAACTGAAGTATGAAGGTAGTAACATCCCTATATGCAAGCGACTGAAGAAAAAATTGTACATCAGCACCATCATGTATTCTCTTGACAGGTTCGGCGAACGTATTGATTTTCGAGATCTCAACTGCGCGCAGACGTGGTGAAGCAGACATATCGTCTTTGAGGATCAGTCTGCAATGGTGAAGTCATGTCAGTCTGTCAGCAGTTTTCCATGCTGAGTCAAAACGTTGAATTGAGAGTCGAGACACTATTCAACGCACGTCAAGGTGACATCTGAGGCTGAGAGTGTCGTCGGAGTAACGAACGACCTCGATTTATGACACGACTTTCCAGATGCGTTAGACCCTAAGCCCTAAAGTTGCAACCCCGAAACCCGCTATGGTAGGCGGGTTCGACTCTGTTTCCCGTGCCTAAACGTACCAGACATTTGCGTACCAATGTATCGCACAATATGACATCCGCTGCAGCCTTGTTAAACAACATGGCTTCTGGATCGAGTGCCCCTGTAAGCATAGGTAAGCGACGAAGAGAAGTAGACGAGGCAGCTGCGACACCAAACAAAAGGAGATTGATCAGCGACGAGAAGCAACAGGAAGAAAAGCCAACTCTTGAAGATAAAGCGGTCAAAACCGGAGCTCGTAAGAGCAGAACAAGCTTACAGCAAACAAAGGGGACGCAAGTTACGCCCAACGAAAACCAGCGACATGGGAACACTGGTAACCAACACGAGTCGTCTCATGCCTCACCTGTCGAAGCTCCAGAACATCGTCAAAAGCCTAGAGCTAAGAAGATATTGAAGCGTTTCAAGCAAATAAAAACACAGACAGCTAGTCCTTTCCAAGGACAAGGGGAAGTCATGCTTAAGAAGCCAACAGGAGCTATTCTGACGTCTAATAATACACCAGCGAAGACTGAGCGTGGTAAGAGACGCAGATCTTTGGCCAGACTGCAACGTACCAACATATGGGATCTACCGAAGACTTCTGCGCCGCCCAATGAGGATCTACCTGACGATGAGCTCGTAGAAGAAGCTGACGAGCGTTCACACTCCCCAGAGCAGGAGCTAGAAGATGTCGATTCTGGTGGTGAAGGATATCAAGACATCGCTGATGAAGAGACCGAAGACACCGGAACGGACGAAGAACACGAAAGTACAGTACCTAAGGCCTCCCAAAAACCAAAAGGCCGTCCACTTCTGACTGAGGAGGAGAAGAGAGCAAAGAAGAAAGCAATAGCCAAACAGCAACAAGAAAACCTGGAGGAGACTGAAGCAGCACGGCTCATTGAACTAGGAAAGCACTGTGAGAGGTTTATGCGCGGCATTGGAGACAGTGTCTGGCACCTTGGTGGTCAAGATTGCTGGTCCAAAATGGGCGGCGCAGCAAACATGATCACTTCCATGGTCGCACCAAACAAAGACATGGGCACCGAAAGGAGTCGTGCGGTGTGGGAACATCTCGAGGAGTTGTCCCGGATCTTCCTGGGAAAAGAGGGTGTTGAACCGACCACGATCGATAATATTCTGCAACGGCTCGACAAGAGCACTACAAGATCGACACTAATGGAGGTACAGCCGAGTGCACCAGGCGACCGTACCGTAGTTGATACGTTCGAGTACTTGATCCCGCGTTCTGTGCAGGTGCTTAAGCACGCACTTCGGGGATCTTTACAGCTTCACAGCAAGAGGTCGTTGAAACAACTCCAATCTCTTGTCGACATATCCCGCAGGCTCTGCAATACTGCACGAGGATGGAGGCCAAAGCCGAGCACGTTGGAGGGCGGTATTCGCAGACATGTTCGAAACGACATTCAGCCAAACCTTAGAAAGATTTCGCATTTTGTCAACAATCACTTGAGGGTTCTGGCAGATGCAGCACTTCGAAAGCAGGAATTGCGCCAACTGGAGAAAGAGCAATTACGAGCAAAGGCGGAAATGAGGCGATTGAAGGAGGAGATTCGAATGAGGATGGTGTCCCAGCATGTGACATCTAATTCCCATTCACGTAGTGCACATATGGACGCTGAAGATATAGACGAGATTTTGGATGATGAGCCGTCTGAACCGATACCTCAGAGCACAACGATGCCTCAAGGCCAAGCTAGTCAAGGAACATTTGTTCACAATAGCGAGCAATGGACGGAGGAGGAAGAAAAAGCTCTTCTAGGTGGCTTACAGACATTTCAAGCTGGCGACCGATATGTTCGCATTCGGAGCATGTGCCCCACGCTCTCGTCGAAGAGTATAGATCAATGCAAAGCTCGGGCACAATATTATAGGAGAATGTGCAGGGCTAAGCTGGAACAGCACGCTGCTGATGGTGACCACAGGTTTGACTGGCTTGAACTTGTGTAATGATTGTTCAATAGTACCGAGTGTAGGCGAGATCATTGGACAAGCAGGAACCGGAAACTTTGGACACCTAACAACAACGCTATATAGATTGCGTTTTGAGCACCTCACAATCTCATTCGTAGCATCGGAACTGATCCAGGTGTCCACCGCGTACCATGTTCCAGTAAAACGTGGCTCGAGTTCCGAGTCATCCTGCAGCGAGGTGGATTTCAGAGCGTCGCCGAATCCATAAGGCTAGAATAATGCCCAATCATCACTTATCATCAAAAAGACCCCCGAAAGTCTATAGCCCACCGAACCTGTAAAGTTCTGATCTGCGACGCGTCTGAAGTGCAGCAATTAGCGTCCTGAGTGCTGTTACATGAAATGTATTCACCATGAGACGTCAGTGTCGCTCTATGTGGTAGGGTGTCATGTACAGTATACTGAAGTATTGCACTACATCTATGCACGTGCACCACGCTGATCAAGCTCAAAATGGAACGACCAGCGTCTCGTGCACTGAGCACGACGAACAACGAACCAAATCCACGCTCGAGCACGACCAGCACAGTAAAGAAACCTGCCACGAAACCTAGTCTAGCACGTCAGTCGACATTGACCGACCGCCTGAGCAAGCCAACTGCTGCTTCCGCAACTAAAGCTGCCACTACCTCAACTGCCTCCGGCCTCATCAAGCCTCCCATCAAACCGACGGTTGCCGCGATTGTACGTAAGCCTGCAACGACCACCAGTGCGCCGTCGACGATTGCACACAAGACGGAGGCTTCTACTGCTTCGATCGACAGTAGAGCGACAGATGATGAAGGCAGGCAAGACGCTGAGGCTATCACTGCCAAGCCAAAGCGTCTGCCCACCTCATCCTCTACTATTGAACGATCTTCTACTACTCGAACTCCTGCTCCCTCGTTGATTAGACGAACGTCTACTGCAACATCGACCTCGACCTTAAGAGGAGGTGCTACTAGCCCTGCGTTGTCCAGAGTCTCGGTGAAAAGTTCTGCTGCTACACGAACAGGCACACCTCCCATCCCGAGAAATACATTTGCCTCAACAAGCCGCGCTAAGCCTGCCTCGACCACGAGCGGAATTGTGTCCGTTACAGATAAGAGCCGCTCAGGCACAACTGCAGACACACCAACTGCTCGTACGGCAGTCAAGAGCAAGAATGGTCACATACCAGCTAGCGAGCAGGCTTCTTCCAATTCTGTTCGCAGTGTTCGACCTACCCTAGGGTCAAGAAAGTCTACGCATTCTGTGTTGATGGAACAGCAATTCCGAGAATTCGAGCTTGTCAACCGAATGCTACAACAAGCCTTGAATGCTGAGGGAGCAGATCCAGACCGACAGGAGGCTCTTGAGACTGAGGCTGCGGAGACTATGGACAAACTTCGAAATACCTTAGGCAAGGTACGAAAGTTTGAGAAGAAAAACAATCGCGCGCCGACTGAGGACGAGCTGGCTGAAGTCTCTTCGGTGGATACAGCCCCGTCCGACGTAGAAAAGGACTTAGACCCCGATGACAGTATGGTCTCTGCTGCTCCTTATGTAGCTGGTGGCCATGGGCACACTTTGCGAGCAGAGCTCAATGAAAGCAGAGCTCATGCTGCTCAACTAGAACATCAGATTGGAGAGTTGACTGCCAAACTTCGAGTTTTTAGTGAAAGTGCCGAAGAAGAGAGCGAGAAAGCTAATGACGCCGTCACGAATGTCAAAGATGAACATACTCAACAGATCCGACAAATGTCTTCGCAGAATCAGAAGCGTATGGATCACCTAAGAACCATTCACTACGAGGAGATGAAAGAATTGAGAGAACAACATCAGCAGCAACTGGACGAGTTGAGGCGGAATCAGGAGTCTGATGTGACTGAAAAGGACGACCAACTTCAACGTCTGCAGGAGCAGATTGAGAGCATTCGCAATGAGAACAAAGACGCCGTCAGGAACAGAGAACTCGTCACAGCGCGTCACAGCTCAGAAGTAGCAGACCTTACACAGAGGATCGAACACCTTGCAAAGGAGAAGAGTGATGCCATGGCGACAAGTGAAGCAGCGCTTGATGCTCTTCGAGCTGAGACTACAGCACTTGCTGCTAAGAACAAAAATCGTGAAGAAACTTCACAATTAGAGATCGAGAGATTGCGAGTAGACCTGGAGCAAGCTCTGGCGGCAGTGCACGACATCTCACAGTACGATGCACAGATCGCTCAACTAAAGGCAGATTTGGAGCAAGAACGTGGCCGCATAACAGATACTTCAAAGCAGGACCAGGAGATCGAGCGGCTGACTCTTGCCCTGAAACAAAAGAAAGAGCTTGAAGCGAAGGTGTCTGATCAGAGGACTGAACTTGATCATCTAAAGTCCCTTCTTGAAACAGCAAACAAGGGCAACCTGACTATCGCGAAGCTAGAAGCTGAGCTTGCAACTGCGAATACAGAACTTCGGGCTGAGAAGGACAAATCGTTCAAGGTTCGAGACAAAGAAAGGGCCAATTCGCGTGGTGAAAATCCTGCATCTATACCTAAAGTGAAGCCTGACTCTTCTCTACCTGCTTCACGACCTGTTTCTCCGATAAAGTCAGATGCTGAGAAAGCAGAGCTTCGCAACAAGCTTACAGCAATGGAGAAACGTCACCAAGCTGCAAAAGATAACGCAAAATCAAAGTCTGCCAAGCTAGCTGAAGAACACGCAGCGCAGATGGCTGAGCAGCTGCAGAAACACGAAGCTGCTCTGAACGAGTCTCGTCAAGAGCTAGAACGCCTGCAGGAGGATCTCCAGGTAAAGCAGGTTGAGCTTGACAGCCTGGAAAAGAATCATCGAGAGGAGCTTGGCAAACTTAAGCAGCAGATCTCGGAGTCCTCCTCAGAGATGCAGACATTGCAAGAGTTGGCAAAGAGTTCGGAAAATCAGAAGAACGAAGTGGACGCGGCTAACGAGGCGATCAAAAGCCTACACATCGAGATTGACAACCTAAAATTGCAGCATATCGAGCAGGATAGAATTGCAAAGGAGAGCCTAGCAGCAGAAAAAGAACAATATACCCAGCAGCTCGACTCAGCCTCAGCACAACTAGGCGTGGTTCAGTCCGAACTGCAGGAGTTAAAAATGACGAACCGTGCGATGACCGAAAATAAGATCACGAACTTACAGAACGAGCTAGCACGTGCTCGAGGAGATCTGACCACTTCTAGAACCACTCACGACGATGCCCTGAAGGAACTTCAGCAAGAACTCGAGGCTGCTCGCAAGGCCACCGGAAATGCCGAAGCAGAGCTCAAATCAAGACTTGCAGAGCTTCAAAAAGACGCAGAAGAGGCAACGAAAGCCCACAAACTTGCGAAGACAAGTCTAGAAAATCAGCTGGAAACGACACAGAGGCGGTTAGTTGACATAGAGTCTACTTTGGAGACCACCAAGCTTTCGCATGCAGAGGCCACAGCTGAAATCGAGTCGACCCTCAAAGAAAACCACAGGCAGGCAGTAGCTAAGCTCAAAAGCGAGCACGACGAAGAATTGAAGCAGTCAAAGGAAGATGTCAAAGCAGCTTCTATGAGACTTGACGAGTTGGAGAAGATGCATAGTGAGACACAGGCTGCGCACGTGAGCGAAATAGCAGAGAATGAGTCGAAATTGAGGGCCAACCATGAGCAAGAGACAGCTACACTCAAAGCCAAGCACAACGAACATCTCAAACAACTAGAAGATGAGGCCAAAGCAGCGCTTGCCAGTCTGGAAGAACTTGAAGCAACCCATAATCAGAAAGTTGCAGAACTTCAGACTGAAGCCTCGGCTGCTCGTGAAGCCGCTCTAGACGAAAGAGACCAGGGCCATCACAAGGCCGTCGAAAAGCTTAAGGAGGAGCACAAGTCGCTGCAGGAAGAGCTTGATTCTGTGAGGGCAACCCACGATAAGGAGCTGGAGGTCGTTAGAGCTAACCACGAGTCTGCCCTCCAGAAGCTAATGAGCACTTACATCACTGAAAATGAGGCAGCTCTAAATTCTTTAGAGCGCGAATTTGCTTCCAAGCTGGCCAATCTCGAGTCTCAACCCAAGGGTATTCCCGCTAGCGAGATGATCGAGCTGAAAGAAGCCCATGCAGAGCAAATTCGAGAGCTTCAAGCACAGAACCAGAATCTTCAGTCACAGGCAGAAGGCACACGTTTCCAGCTGCAGACCATGAGAGGCATTTTCGCTGACCAGGAGAGGCAAGCCGATGAGAAGCAGAAGGAGCACGAGCAAGAGTTGCAGTTCGAGAGAGACCAATTTTCACAGGCTGTGCTCAGAATTTCAAACCATGGGGCTCAGCTTGCGCAGAAGGATGCAGAACGTGCCGAAGCTCTCGAAAGATTACGGCAAGAAATGAGTTCATTCCACGACAGAACTCTCCGAGATATGAAGGACGAGCATGAACGTGTGATCCAGGAACTGACAAGCAAACTTGACGCTGATCAAAGAGCCGTGCTGGAAAGCGTCACACTCGAGCACGATAAAGCACTAGAGGCTCTTAGACAAGATTCTCATGCGCTGGACGCGGACTTCAAGAAGTTGAAGTCTGACCACCTGGAAGCGCTTGCAGAAACGGAGCGAGCATCAGAAGCTCGCTACAAAGACTTGATTAATAACTCAACTCGTGAACACCACAGCAAGCTCGATACTCTCAAGGCAGAACTTGAGAGCACTCACAAAAACGTGCTCGAAACAGCGAGAGCGGAGCATGAAACAGCATTACAGAAACAGGCAGAAGAGCTAAATACAATGATGGCGATGTTGAAACAAGAGCATGAGGCAGCGTTGTCCCATGCTCAGGCCCAAACAGACAGTGCCGAATCTACCATGACGAACAATGCCTCGAAACTCGAATCGGTAAGCGCTGCCTTAGCACAGGCTAGAGCCGCGCTCGAAAGTACCCAAAGTGAACACGAAGCCATTCTCAAGAGCGTTGACGAAGCTCACCAAGCAGCTGTATCTAAGCTCCAGGACGAGCTTGCAGATGCCAGACATGCTGTGGATCAGAAAGCTGCCACTACAGAATCAGATGACAATGCCAGTGTTGAAGATCATTTAAGGACGCAGCTGGCAGAGTCGGAGAGCAAGATTGAGAACCTGACAAAAGAGCATCAGACCGAGCTATCAGAGGCCAAGGCTGAGCACATCGAAGTACTTGAAGCACTTCGGAAAGAGCTCAGCCAGGTGAGGGAGCAGCTAGCTGGTCAAAGTGTTCGAAGTACCGAGTTGGACGCTTTGAAAACAGAAATGGAAAAGCTAAAGAGTATAAATGAAGGACTGAGTCAGAAACAGTCCGCCCTGGTCGAAGAAGTAGCGGAACAAACCAGACGAGCACAAGCAGCAGAGGATGAAGTTGATGAGCCTAGGAAGCCCACTGGCGTCGCTAGGCCGCCCTCTGCTGTACAGCCTAGTCCGTCGTTGTCCACCAAAATGAAATCTGCTATCGACAGTGCTATCTCGAGTCCTAAAAACAGTTCCACGGGCTTGCAATCTAGCAAGTGGGCAACAGTCGAGAGTGCAACCAGTCCTACGAACAAAGCTCTGAGTGCTGAAGCGCCGAGCTTCTCGCCAGTGACCAATGGATCCTTGGCAGGCCTAGGTCTGAGTAACGGTGATGATACTCATAACGACGGAGGAAGTAACAGAGCTGGCCGAAGCGAAAGAAACATACATGGACAATTGGCTGGAATTAACGAGGACATCAGAGCATTGAACGATCTGAGCGAACAAATGTTCGCTGAGAACAGGCTTTTGGCTAAGACCCTAGGCCGTGTCGACGAAAGTACAAGTACAATTGAGCCGGGCTTGGAAAGAGTGACTGTGGATGAAGAGCAGTAACTTTGTGTTTGAGCGTGGTGCTTGCGTTGGCGTTTAGATTTTGAATTGCCCTGTTAAGCGGAAAGCAGGCACGACGGTTGAGCGTTTAAGATGTTGGGTGGTAAGGTACTATTCGTATGGGTTTCTACTGGTTTCATACGGGAGACCACAGAAACCACTTTTGGTAGTGAACTAAGCACTATGACATAATGGGCGTTGGTAGTCCTCCGTAGCATTGTGCTCGCATTGAATACCCTATCATTTCCGCTTGTCCTCCCTCTGGGTGGTATTGCAGCTGCCTTGCTTTAATTCAAATTCATGAAAACGGGCTAACCTTTGTTACTGTTGTAATCGTCCCCCTTACAGAGCCATTTTGACTTCACATTACGAACAATGAATCGAGCTCGGCCAACCGTGGCCAACGATCGGGCAGCACAAAATGCCCAAACACTAAAGGCACTGGTGAAACTCGAGAGCAACAAAGTATGCGCAGACTGCAAGAAGAACAAGCATCCAAGATGGGCCAGTTGGAACTTGGGAGTGTTTGTGTGCATCCGGTGTTCAGGCATTCATCGTGGTATGGGAACACATATTAGCAGGGTCAAGTCGGTCGACCTCGATGCGTGGACAGACGAGCAACTACAAAGCGTCCTGAAATGGGGAAATGCAAGAGCCAACAAGTACTGGGAAGCAAAACTGCAACCAGGGCACGTACCGTCCGAGTCTAAGATCGAGAATTTCATTCGGACAAAATATGAATCTAAGAGATGGTGTATGGACGGGCCTATGCCAGATCCGTCGACATTAGGTGACGACGACGATGTCCCTCTGAACGTTGTACAAGAGAAGGCAAAGATTGAGAGAAGCGCCTCCCAAAAGCAGGCCGCAGGTCTCAGACAGCCTCCTGCAGCGCCGGCAGCAGTGCGGCAGCAGCCACAACAGGCCAGTGTGAACCTGTTCGACGATTTCGAACCTCCTGTCCGGCCTAGCACCACCGACAATGCCTCGAGCAAGCCTCCTCAGCCAGTTGCCGCACCTGCAGTCAAAAGCAACATTCAGTCGAACAACCTGATGGGCTTGGACTTTTTCGGTGCACCACAGGCTGCAGGCGTTGGAAGACCGTCGAGTGCTACATCGAACCCAGCACCTACAACAAACGCAAGAAGTGATCTCAAGAGCTCAATTTTATCGCTTTACGCAAGTGCTCCGAAGCCACAAGCACAACCTGCTACTCAACCTATGCACGAACGACAAACCTCTTTCGGCGGTATGTCATCACCAACCGCAGCGAGGCAGGACGCGTTTGGAGGTTTGGCAGATGCATTTGGGGGGATGAATTTCTCAAACAATACAGCCAGCAATGTGAGATCACCTCCTCTACAGTCGCCTACGTCGGCGTTCGGGTTTGCGTCTACTACATCGCCTCCGTCACAATCCTCCTCATTGTCGGGCCTCAGCTTCGCTACCACGAATCCATCCAAGGCGGCTCCCGTTGCAGCACAGGTAACATCGCCTCCTCCTCTTGGTGGTGGTAACTTCTTTAGCACAGCAGCAAAGCCGCCAGCGCCGAGAGTGGGTCATGCTACTCAGGTGTCGAACACTCTAAACTTTTCCTTCACCCAGGCTTCACCGCCCTCAGCAACGCCAAAACCTACGACAACATCCATTCCTGCAGACTTGTTCGGTGATGATGGATTCAATGACTTCGCTTCGGCACCTGACAAGACACCTTCTGTGCCTGCAGCCAAACCTGTGTCTCCACCTATACAGAGTCCACCAATTATGAATTCTGCCTTCAATCTGACTTCGCCAACTCCGAGTGCACCAAACCCCGCTCCTATTTCACAAGCAGTCAGGCCATCGATACCTACTCAGTCGAGTAATGGGCTATTCGACCCGTGGGGAGGCGCGGACACAAACGCCTGGGGTGCTCCTGAGGCTTCGAAGCCACCACCAGCAAAGGTCGAGCTCGGTAGTGTACCCTCACACATTACACCAAACGATATCTCTGGAGGTTGGGGAGCACCTATCTCTTCAGCGAGCAGGAGCACTCAACAACCTACTGTTGCGGCAGATGAGGACTTTGGCGGATGGGCATCTGCGGCGACACCAGCAGCAACGAGCAAGCCCTCTAATGGCTTTGGGGCATCCGATCCATTCGATAATCCATGGGGTTGATGATGGCAGAAGTACGTATTGGCAGATTAGATAGGAAATAGGAGGGAGCTGCGGGTGGAACGTGGAGCGGCATGTCTGGTATTCGGAGGGCGTCTCACAGTCTTACGTTCGGCGGAACGAGCCATTACTTTCGAGCCAAGTTTGTAGCTACCAGTAAAACCATAGCACGAGTCAGGAACCGTGTGACCAGGTCTTACTCGAACGTAAAGGCCATGTGCCGATTTGTGAACAATGACGCTGTGGGGTCGACTCGGCCACAAGAACTGAGCATAATTAACCCCTGTCCATTGAGCTAGTGGGCCATCACGCCGGCGGCAGGCGCTGGGGAGTCTTGGAAAGTCAGGATCGACAATGCAGCGGAACGCATTGCCAGTGGGCAGGAAATGGTTCTCCCTGATTAGTGCTCGGTTCGGTTCAATTTTGACCAGTGTTCTCGTGTCTGTGGACCTCTGAGAGTCTCTAATACGACTGCGCCTGCTCGCTGAGTGGTTGTATTGCTGGTGCTGCCACCGACATAGTGAATGATCGTTTTTGAGGAGAACCTTGCACATATTCGACACTTTCACGCTCACTCCTCAACCCAGAAAATACCCGCAGACAAGTAAAGAGTCCAATACCTGCTCAGAAAGCAACCGACTCATCAACAAAGACAAGAAGGACAAGATTGACAACAACGACGTATGAGCGGCTCCGTACTCCTGCATGACCTCTTCGAACACACCGCGAACCGACCAACGCATGGACCTAGCACAGATGGTGCATAGCGGCGAAGACAGGATTTGAATACAATTCACTATCCAACTGCGACGCTGGATTTGGTTTGTTTGTCACAGCCTGAGGCTGCCCGATGCAGGTAGGCATAGTGCCCCTCCCATACACATTGCAACAGAGAAGTCTAGAGACCCTAGAATGCCCTGGACCTATACAATTACTAATGTTGGTGCGCTGAAACAGACCTCCACGGGCAATCGCGAACCGGCCAGCGGAGCGAGCTTCGCCGTCCGTTCTAGGGATAGAAGACATGCGCCGCACCTATCGATCAGCGACGATAACCACCATGTGACCGAGACCATCGGCTTCCTTTACGGCGATGACGACGAGAGAGATCCGAGAAGGAAGTCCAATGCACCATCCATTGCTCGCAGCTCTGTGTACAGCGACTCATCCGCCGATGGTGAAAACAGTACGAGCTCACAGACCCCAGCTTCTTTGCGAAGACCAGGCCTAGAGAGCATCGTGTCGCCGGGTCGAAACTATGAGCAAGTAACAGTACGGCCGATTCCTCATCCAAGCAGAAGCTACTCGTTCGAGAAGACGAATGGACAGCCCCTCTCACCAGGCATGAATGCGAGAGATCAGTCTCCGTCCGAGACGGCACAATCGCACTTTCCTCTTAATGACATAGACTACGAATCCAGTCCTGCTGCAGTGGCACAAGAGCTGAGCAATTTACAAGCATTGCGGAGAATGTCCATGGATGTACATGCTGCTGGAGATCCTGACCTGCCGACTTTAAATCCAGCTGCAATACCAAATGCTCCGTCACCTACCGCATCCGATGACGACGCCTCGCGGTTGTTCTGGGTACCAGCCAGGCTACATCCAGAGCTAGCACCAACGGAGTTCAAAACGTTCCTCGAAAGCAAAGCTGAGCAGATTAAGAGGAGGTCGGGTGATTTGTCGTCCTTGGGCTCGTCTCCCATGTCCTCAAGAAGTGCTTCATTGAGCTCCAACAGTAGTGGGCTTGCGAGGAAGAAGTCTATGCTCTCGAGGGAAGTCAACAATTCGGTTGGTTATCAGGATGGAGCGGACATACTTGAGAGAAAAAGGTCAGCAGGTCACAAGCAACAGCCGTCAGACCCTAATCTTGCCGAACTGGAAACTTTAGTTGCCCGAAATCTGCAGGTACAGAGACCACAAAGTCCCGATGAGGACGTCGATTTCATATTGCCTTCAGTCCCCTCCTCAAGCTTGAAGCGGTCCACGAAAACGAAGTATCAAAGAACTGGAGGTGGTGTCAAGGCTAGAGGTGAAAGACAGAGGCCCCTGAAGAGGGTGCCGACTGGTGACGAAACAACCAGCTCTGATGTTACGACCTCTACTTCAGGTCTTACAAGTTTTGCACCCTCGATTGTATCATCTCATCCCAGTAAACTCGCGGATACCTTGAGCTTCTCGTCCTCGAAGTCCACGTCAAATGCGCAAAACTTCTCACGCCCTGCTGCACGAAGTCCGTCACCACCTCAGGACAGTACGCAAGCATCCATCACATCGAATACGTTCGACACAAAATTAGCAGGTCCGAACAGTGCTGATCGATACAGCACGCAAAGCGCGCCAGATGGTCGAACGCAGAGGAGGCACATAATTCAACCAGAAAGATATTCGATACCAGAAATCATTGAGACTCCTCCAACTGAGCAACAAGTACCGCCTAGAACGTCGTCGGACCAAGCTCCAATTTCGCAACCTCGCCATCCAGAGCGGACATCGTCACGCGACAACTCAATCAGGCCTGTAGGTGCCGGCCGACAACCAATGCCAAGGAATCTGGGTTCGTCAGGGCTACCGACTAAAGTGTCTAAAGTCGAGATACCACCTCTTTCAAATCCCAAGCAAAGTTTAGAGCAACCTTCACCCCTGCCTGGTCAAGATACTAATACTAGTAACCTTTCCTTCATACCTACGTTGACTGTTGACAGACAGTCTCATGAACAGCAGAAAACCAAGAAATCTGGTTGGGGCTGGCTGCTTGGCAAAGACGAGGAGAAGGAGAAAGGCAAAAGTAGACCTGGAAAGAATGCACAGAGTCATGATAACACCAGGCTTGATGTGCTGCAGACATCGATTGACGGCAACCCCAGGCGTCGTGAGACAATTGAACTGGATCGGGACAGCTTGAAATTAGAGGAGGAACGCAGAAAAGAGAGTCAAAGGAAAACGTCTTCGACAGAGAAGAGAGAGAAAGAGAGTTTCATCTCCTCTCTGTTCGGAGGCAAGAAATCCAAGGCTGAGAAGGAAGCCAAGAAGAGCCCTCGCCTATCTCCAGAACCGCCGTATCGGGAACTCAAGGCCGACATTGACTACAGCTGGACACGTTTCTCAATATTAGAGGAACGAGCGATCTACCGTATGGCACACATCAAACTCGCAAATCCACGAAGGCCCCTCTATTCTCAAGTGCTGTTGAGCAACTTTATGTACAGTTACTTGGCCAAAGTACAGCAAATGCATCCTCAAATGAATCTTCCGACCAATGCGAAGCAACAGAAGAAGCAGAAAGAGCAGCCTGCTCAGCAAAGTGACGAGTTTAGTACTTACCAGCGGTATCAGCAGGTATGTTGATCGTATAGAACATTGAGGTATCTTGCTAATCTTAATAGCAGCAACATGAACAACAACAAGAGCCGCAGAATTCTCAGCAGCAACCCATGGCATATGAAGGACAGTATGCTAACAGCCAGGAGCCAAGCAGTTCTCGGCCAAGTACGAGAGGAAGCAACCGTCACGCTGAAGGAACGTATAACTCCTACACATACAATCGCCCGCAGCAGCCGGCCCAACAGCAATACGAAACTGACAGAGAACAAGAGATGTGGTGATACAATTCAACGCACAATTACTGTCCCTGTGGTTACTACCTTCGGGATTACATGCACGATTGCAACCTTCTAAATACCGCGACAACATGTCATGTTTGAACAGAACCTCCTTCTCCTGCATTGCAATACGAGCATATCTGACAGGATTTACTTATTTGGCATTGTCGCTACCGACAGCACGACGGTCCTTTTTCGAAAATATTGACCGAGTTTTGGTGTTTGTTTTGGTACACGTCTGCCATCTGGCACGAGATAGCTTGAAGCACAGGGCCACACTCGACAGCTACCCTGGCAGGGGTGGATGAGTGAATTGCTGTGAAATAAAAAGTATTTTAGGAGGCTCGGATGTGGCGTGCTGGATGAGTTGTAGGATATAGATATGAAATACTAATGCTTATTCTACTTCACGACTTGCGTACCTACGCTCGTAAGGCGAGCCACATTGTTCTTCGACCATGATACCTGAACACTATGGTGCTCATGTTTTACGGAAGCAGCATGCCCTATCATGTTCGCAAATATAGATACAAAATTGCCATATCACGAGTAAGAGCCGCCGTATGTTACGGGCTTGACTCGAAATGACTTCACTGCTCTTCAGCGACGTGCACCTATTTATTGTTGTACTGTTCTCAGTGCTCTATTAGTTGCAACTTGCATTGAGCGAAGCATATTTCTACTGAAAACATTGTGCAAGATCAAAGTTATGCGAACTACAGTGTTGTCCTGACTTCTTCAACTGATTCCATCCGAACCGAATAAGCACATAGCCTGCTTATCACCATCAATCTGTGCCTACATCACACTAGCTTAACAGCCTGGAAGCCGCTAATTCACCACGAGCACACAAAACCTTTCAACTTCTCGGTCACAATACGCCAACACTCGCTCCCTACACACAAAGAAAAGACACCAGCCCCAAGCACACCCAAACCCATCCTACCCACCATGACAGACGCCTACTCCCGAGAAGAGTAAGTCCTCCATCCACCCCTCCTCTCCCTCCCTTCTCACACTTCCACAGACAAAACAACGCCCTCCTCTCCTCTCTCCAGCAAAAATCCGCCCAACTCAAACACATCACCCTAAACATCTACGACAATGCGCGCGACCAATCCACCCTCGACAACACGAACGAAGCCTTTCAGAGCATGGGTACAAACTTAAGAAGTAGTATGGGGAGGTTGGGGCGGATGGCGAGGCAGGGAGATAAGATTGCGGTGTTTAAGCTTGCGGCGGTGATTGTGGGGGTTGTGCTTGTTGTGTGGGTTGTTGGTGGGTGGTTGGTGAGGTTGGTTTTTGGGAGGTAGTGAGGGAGGAAGAGGATGGTACTTGGTTAGGCTTGTCGGCCATCGACAGAGGACTGCGTATTGAAAGAGGATGCAAGAGAGAGAGATATTACGACACTTTGGAGGCACGGTTGAAGCAGTATGGATTAGAACACAAACAAGTCCTTGATCAGTTTCATACACTCTGAGATCCGACAATAAGGCCAACGAATGGTCCGGCATGCGACGGTACAACAGGATGAGAAGCGAGACACGTATCGAGTATATCTCAGCCGTTCTCGTACGCACAGGGAGTCCCTCGGATCGGCTTCACCCTACAGTTGCAAGCATTAATCGACTTGACCGTTTTGACGATTCAACACATATACTATCCTGTGATTCCGGCAGCCCGAAAACACCTGCCTAGAATGATCCGCGACCATTACAATCCTGAGGTGGCACCCGCTCCGGCTATGGGTGTTCAGATTACACGACTCAACCAGGAGCCAGCCTCGTCATCGAGACCGTTTTGGCAGCAAGGACAAGGACAGTTTGAGTATATCATAAGCTCTAGACTGTGAGGACCTGGAAGAGAAACTACAGAAAGGGTTTACGAACTCGGTAAATGTGAGAGCAAAAGCTGACACTTGTCGGGACTGGAAGCGATATAGTCAAAGAATGATGGAGTTGAAAGACATGAATAGGGCTTCGGTATTGTTATATTACGCTTAGTGAGCTCGCAGGGAGACCCCAAGCTCGACGGTAGTTTTTAATACATAAGAGCACAGGCATTTACTTCGCCTGTCCATTTCCCGTCACTGGATCATCCTTGTTAAACTTGAGCGAAACACTGTTCACGCAATGTCTCTCATCCGTCGGTGTATTGTACCCTTCTCCCTTGAACACATGTCCTAAATGTCCTCCACAATTGCTGCACACAATCTCTGTCCTCGCCATGCCGAACGAACTGTCCGTGTGCCTTGTCACCGCACCTGGAATGGCATCGAAGTATGCTGGCCAGCCACATCCACTCTTGAACTTATGCTCGGCCTTGTACAGTGGCGCCTGGCAGCCAGCACAAGTATAGACACCTTGGCTAGGATGGTGCTTATCATATTCGCCGCTGAACGGGGCCTCAGTGCCCTTCTCCCGTAGGACACGGAATTGCTCCTTATTGAGGACGGCTTGCCAGTCGCCTGGAGTACGTTCGTCTGGGTAAGACATCTTTTGAGATGATGAGGTTGATGAACTGAAGAGTGAGCCTAGGAACGGGATGGTTGGCATAGACCGGATGGTGGCGCGCTGGAGGGGTTGGCCGAGGGATTTGACGATGGGTTGGGATCGGAGTGTTGTGTTTGAGAAGGCGTAGAGTGTTCTGATTATGTTGGGGAAAGAAGGTAGACGCATCAGATGTGGTTTGACAGATGTGTAGAGGGTGTATGAGTAGTCAATCAAGAGAATGAGGGAGAGGCGTCGTTGAATACTAATCGAATTGAACATTCGGATTGTTTCATTAGCTGATTGGAGCAAGTACCGACGTCATGATACTGAACCCTCTTTCCACGACCGACCACGACTTTCTGGGGTTTGCGTGAATGATTCACTTCATGCTATCTTCATCTCAATTATCGGACCATGATTTTAGTAAGATCATGCTTGGTTACGTCCATAGCACTTCAAGACTCGACCTGGTGCTGCAGTTTCTCCTTTCGGTTGGCAACAGAACCTGATGATATTGCGTATTGCCGGCGAATGCGAAGAAAATAGTGTATCTCAAATGGTTGCGAGAAGTGCTCAGGAAATATTTCTGACCTCAATCAACGGAGAATCTGTTGCACAGAGCCCGTGCCTCAATTCTCGATGTGGCAATTGGTGTCTACCGTTTTGCGCTCTAAATATTCTTTGACACAACATCTCTAGAGCTTCGCTGACGTGTTGAACGTCCTCAATGATGAGCATCGATTTGTGCAGTCTGTATGTGACAAATATCCATCTTATCGAGGAAGACCTTCCACTTACTTGAGGTGCTCCTCAAACCATTGTAGTGCCTGCAAAAAAGCCGACTCTTTCGCATACTGAACCTCACGTTTCTCCGGATCGCCACGAACAGCAAATCCGTGTTCGACCCCCGAGTAGAGGTTTATCTGATATGGTTGGCCCACTTCCTTCAGAATCTCCTCTGATCGGTGTCGCTTCTCCGTTGGAAAGATATGGTCGGTTTCCGCTGCCGAGATGGCAAATGGTCCTTTGATACCCTTCAACTCATCCTCCTGAACGAAAGAAGGATGTGCAGAATACCCGACGTCAATCTGACCTGGTTTCAAGAAACGAACAACGTATTTTCCACCGAAGCAATAGCCGACAGCACCAACTCGCTTGATGAAGGTTAGCTAGTGGGGATATGTTCCGACCTTGCGACCTACCTTGACACCATATTTCTCCCTCATTGTCTTGATGCTTTTCTCCATGATTGGGTCTTCGACACCAGTTCCGTAATTAGACAACCACTTTGGAAAGTCGAAGTCATCTGGCCGATTCAATGGTATAGGGTTGCCGTTAAAGAGGTCGGGCATATATACGAAGTAACTGTAGGTCGAGACTGTTAGACGACTGGTTGACACAGACGAGCGACCTTACCCATTCTTGGCAAAAGTGTCTGCGACCAACTGGACGTTCTTGAAGCGGTGACCGATCACATCCGTAATACTATAATCCTCAGCAAGATCCAGAAAGGTCTATCTGAGCCGTACATGAGGATGCCATGTTCTGTGGACTTGTCAGATGTCTCCGAGATGTATACCTCGACGTCGTCCATGTGCTCGAAACGGCCAATCGTTTCGCCCTCATGCTGAACGCCTTTGTAGCAGCAGCTTCCGGGAGGATTGGAAGCCATGTTAGAATAAATTCTAGTCCAAACGAATAGAGTGAAGGTGTATAAGGCACTTTCTATGACATCTGTGAGGACGGCTCTACACGCTTTGAATGGGCCCAGGTAGACCTTCCGTGAGCTTCCTACAATTGCATGACTACCGGTCCACGATGTAGGCGGGGTTCATGCTCTACCCACTTGCTTGATTACGTGATCTGCAAGAGTGGCCTACCATCGAACCGCGATCAACCTATACGCGTTCCGGCCGTCAAAAGCGTCGGAGTGCTGATACAGCCCACGCTTCGGCAGACCCGACGCTTTTGAAGGCTGGGATGTGCTGTACTTTACCCGGAGCAAGTTGGTGCCGAAGTCCTTCATCCCACTTTGTCGGGCACAACACGAGATCTCAATGAGGCAAGGTGCAATGACGCGAGGTCACGCCGCACTGACTCCCTGATGTCAACCTGCTATCTTTCGAGTTCAGATCACCTTCTAGAAATGTTGTGCCGTATTTTGTAACTGTGAGTGGTGGCTCGGGCATACCCTGACGTTTCTCGCAATGGGGACCGATTTCCTACCAGCTTAAACTCAGGGCGGACATGAGATGCATTCGTGTTATACTATGACCGAACCCCTTTTTCGATATCGTGGACAGAGTACGTGTCGATTACTTGTCGAGACGCGCTTTTGCAGATGCCTCGATTCCATTTTCCATGTCGGAGACAAAGACACTACCGAAGACGTTTTAACGTGAGGATGACATTATTGATCATCTTCTCACTTGCTGCCTGTCTCCTCCTCGCTCCCTTGTACGTCGTATACAAGCCACCAACCGCCCTAATTCGATACTTTCAACACCGTTGGCCGGATGTCCTGTGGCATGTCGAGACGACGAAGAAGGTTGTCGCGCTCACAATAGACGATGCACCGTCGAGTCATACTCGAGAGATTGTGCAGGTTCTGAAAGCCAACAACGCGACAGCTACCTTTTTCGTTATTGGTTCGCAAGCTTCAGGCCAAGAAGAAGTGCTAGCAGAACTTGTGAAGAATGGACATGAGCTTGCGAACCATGCTATGTACGACGAAGCTTCCAGATTCCTGAGCAATGCCGAGCTGTTACACCAGATTGAAGCTGTTCATACACAAATTGAGCATGCTTATCATATGGCTAATGCTAGACATTCAGAGCTTCGATTCTTCCGCCCTGGCTCCGGTTTCTTCGGTACACGTATGAGACAAACTCTTTCCAAGGTTGATCATCAGATCGTCCTAGGCAGCATCTACCCTCACGATGCACAAATACCATACTGGAAAATCAATGCGCGTCATATTCTCAGCATGCTTCGACCAGGAGCGATCATTATCTGCCATGACAGAAGGTCGTGGACTGTACCGATGCTCCGTTCTGTCTTGCCCGAGATGAAGAGGAGAGGATACGAGATTACTACTGTATCTGAGCTGCTCAAACAATCAGCAAGGTGAACATCGTCGTTCTCCCCCTTTCGAGCTGAGATGTGACACGACTACGAATGTTAGTTGTCAAGGATGGGTTTGTTTATTAACAGATCGCAGCTCACCTATGTTGTTCAAGAAGACATCAAGCATGACAACATACTCGTAGATGATCGTCTTCGTTTAATGCCCGTTGGCACATTGGCGGATACTGCGGGCCACGCTCGGCACGCCAGCTCTTTTCGGATGATGTCATTCCGAGACAGGAAACCATAGGATCCACCTTCATCTCGAACGAGCCCTCGGACTGCTAAACGGTACAAACTTTCCAAGTACCTGACTGCGCATCCTCCGCAATCACGGCTGCGCTATGACAAAACGTTCTCCGCTCTACGGACTGGTAAAAGGTACCAGAGCTTGCCAAACACCATGGTAGCTGTGAAGAGCTCTCATAGTTCACGCTAAGTTCTACAATGACGCCAAAAGAACTGATTTACACAAATTCGCCATGTCCAGATGTCCGATGATTCAAGCACGATATGATCATTTCGAGCTTGGGAGTCACTCATGTGGCTTCACTGAGTTCGAATGCAAACGCCTTATCACCCAGCCCGAAGCTGTGGTGTGGTACGCCGTTTTCAAACGTCTCCACCAGGCCACAGCAGATCATTGTGTTGGCTCGAAGCTCCAACAGCAAGGTCAACGATGTCACGGAATTGTGAATCAGCAGATCACGATATTAATACAAGGTTACTGAAGTATCGTCTGGTACTTAGGCATGCGTTTCCACTGCAGTTTTTGCTTCTCTAAACACGTCCATTCTGTATAGTAAAGTCGTTCATTCAAACATGGTCCAATCTTTGACGATAGCTGCTTTCGCAGCTCTAACATCGGTCGCAGCAGCCGCTCGCTGCCAGAACTTGACCATACCTATCTCTGTCTCGGCCCGTAATGGAGTCTTCAATCAGACAAATCCAACCAATGCCATCGAGGCCACGAACTTTGCTCTACGAATGTCCCGACAAGGACACAATTACACGCAGGAGAGTTTGACCGGATACAACACAGTATCGGGCAATTACCAGATTGCTGCAACTTATTGCGAACCTGACGCAGGCCCTGGCAAAGTGGTACAAGTCCTAACGCACGGCATCGGATTCGATAGAAGGTAGCGCTGTCTGACTATCACAGTGTTTACGTACTGACCTCGTACAGTTACTGGGACTTCTCATACAACAACTACAACTACTCATACGTCCGAGAGGCTGTAGACCATTATGGGTACAGCACGTTTGCCTTCGATCGATTAGGTATCGGCATGTCGACACATTTCACGGACCCAATCAACGAGGGTCAGATTTGGATTGAGGTCGCAGCTCTGAGATACCTCACCCAAGGCCTCCGAGCTTCATCGATACCCGGTGTTTCGGCCAAGTTTCAAAAGATTGTCCACGTCGGACATTCTTTCGGTAGCTCGCAGACCTACGCCTTGACCGCTGCAGACCCAAGCATCAGTGACGGTCTCGTCTTGACTGGCTTTTCACAGAATGGCAGCTTTGCGTCGCAGTTCATCCTAGGATCGAACTTCATCATCGCAAATACCGTCCCAGCACTTTCGAGCTACGTAACTGGCTACCTTGCACCACAAAGCGCAGTCGGAGTTCAAATCGATTTCTTCGCACCCAACTCCTTCGACCCTCAGCTGCTGCAGGTCGCGTACCAAAATGGCCAGCCCGTGACACCTGGAGAGATCATGACCCTCGTTGGCGCCAGCGCCAGACCCAACCCAGTCGCCAAGCCAGTTCTGGTAATCACCGGAGGTATGTTTGCTACATCAACATCCATTCTTAACATGCTAACAATGCCACAGAGCACGACACTCCCTACTGCGGCGGTGACTGCCTCGCAACCGGCAACGCATCACTCCCCTCCATCCCAGCCGCATCACGGATGTTCCTCCCAAACGCCGCACCCTTCCAAGCATTCATCGTTCCGGGCTCCGGCCACGGCTTAAACTTTGAGTATTCACACCCAACCACATACGGTACGATTTTGAACTTCCTTGCCCAGAACGGTCTTGCGGCGAAGTAGGACATCGCATGTCAACATACGATGAGCGAGGAACACTGACGAAATGGATACGTACTACATGCTTGTACGACGTTATTAGCACATGAAGATAGTAATGAACATACATAATCAGGGGCAATTGGAATGTCATGAACATGTGTTCGTCCGCTGCATATGGTTGTGCAAGTACTGCAGTAGCTCGGAGATAGTTTCATGCCGATCCTGTGCGTGTTAGCCTTGTTAGGAAAAGGCATGGGCGACAATATGCATGCTGCCGGTGATCCCGGCATGTTCGACTTACACGACGAAACTCGGGTCCATCTGCTTAGCACGAGTTTGTGGGCTTCATGTGGAAGTGGTAGAGAAGAACGAGAACTCCGCACTTCTCGCGAGAGAACACTACACCTCATGACACAGTCTTGCATTGCCGTATATACTATCAACTTCTAACAGGATATCCACTTTGCCTTTCTGTTCGGATTCTTTACTGATACCCAGCATTGACGAATTTCGGCCAGGTGTTGGTCAACACCAAGTACTTGATCTCGTTCTCTGCTTCGACGAAGACGTTCTGGTCGAATCCCGGCGGGATCTCTCCTGAGTACCATGTATCGTCTGGTAGAGAAGAATCATTACTTGATCTAGGCATCACAGCTTCGACGTCAATTCTCGTATCTGTCTTCTCATTCTCTAGGTTGAAAGGCGTAGCGGAGTTGTATGTCGACTCTGATCTCGTGTCATTGAGGAGGTACTTTGTTGGACCAGCAAATATTTCGTCAAGAGCTTTTAAAGCCCGAGATGAGATATTTATTGGGAACTCGGCATGTTCGACCGCGACGAAAGTGGCGTACAGACGTATTGCTCCGTTGAATTGCCTTCTTGAGTTGTGCTCTGCACTGACTTTTCCTCCTTCCTGCCTTCGCCATCTTCTATGCCATGTAGATAGATGAGTGAGGAAACTAATGTTTTCACCCGAGAAGTCTTTCAGTGCAGCAAATTGTTGAAGTCGTGCAGCATCGTACTTGAGAGCATGTTCCATTGCCGACATAGTATACATCATATTCTTTCGCAAGCTTGTGCTTCTGCTCGTCTGGCGACTTGTGGCTGCCAAGATGAACTCTTCTGATCCTTCGAGCGTGGGTGTAGATGAATTGTTGAAAGCTGTTATGAAATCACAACCGGACGTGGCAGGTTTGAGGTGGGTGTCCCGACCAGCGACAGCACCGAGGATGTCTGCTTGGGAACTGTGCTGTCGGTATATGTGGTAGCATGGGATGATCAAGGCGAAGGCTTCGAACAAAGTAATGGATAACACGAACCACTGCGGTGGGATCCAGAATGCGTTGACAGGCTCGAATGCATCGAGGTAGAGCGCGCAGAGCCATAGAGGAGAAGCAGGTAATCCGGAGATACAACAGCGAATGGTCTGTACCCGCCACCCATAAGTGTCCTTGATATCTTTGGACCTCCAGAGGATGTATGGGGCATAAATCCACGACCAAAACACTTGCCAGAGGATGGACAGCCACCTGGAAGATGTCAATCATGAGGACGAAGAACAAGAAGTTAACTCACCACTCCCAGCCACGGGCACAATTTAATCGAGTCGCCGAGTTTGTACCCAGGAAATCGTCCGCAAAGAGTCCGAAACCCTTGTGAAACTTCTCGGAAACCAAGAAGATGAACAAGGACAGAGCAATCTAATAGTTTAGCGAGAAGTCGACCTTCGGAGAACTATACTGACCTGCATACCCATCGCAAGCACAACACAGACGACCATCCTAATGATACGATCACGGTTGTTGAGCGTCCGTCCGATTCGTTGCCAAAGGTTTCCTGAGGAGACCTGAAATGCTGGAGCACTCCTTCGTTGAACCATTTTATCGAGACTGTCGAAATTGAGGTATTTTTCCTGTTGCCTGGCTATGTGAAGAAATTGAGAGTTTGCGACCTGGAACAGTGCTATGCCCAAGGGTAAAAGCAGGTTCATGTCCCAATACTCTATAGCACAAGGAAAGTTGACCCCAACACCGTATGCTACGTAGCATAGCACTCCGTAGAGGTGAAGCAGGCTCATAGCCGTGAACAGGAGAGGTAAACGTCTCATTCGAACTTGTGGTAGTTGACGATGGCGCCACAGATATGCCATGAGACTGAGGAAGATGGCCGTCCATCCTGAAGCAACAGCAATGTACACACAGGCAAGGACGCTCAAGTGGGCAGCCATGGCAATTTGTGTAGGCCGGGCCACCTGACATAAGAGAGCGGTGGAAAGTCACAAAGTCGAAAGAAAGCGAAGGTCAAAAAGGAGATCGAGTAAAGTCGGTTAGCCAGGGTAAAGTCTTGCATTACTCCAGATGTTCGTGGCAGATTCCATGCCACAGCACATGGCGTTGTGTAGCAAAGAGTGTTCTGAGGTTGCTAGAGATCTTGCTCTGTGTCCAGTCAGTGACGGCCTGGCCAGAAGCCCATGTGGCTGCGCACGGTTGCTTGCATCAGGTAGTTTCGACTTGTGCTGTGCGAATCTGGAGCGGTGCTCTCTGATCTCGCAAAGTTTGTGCCCGACATAACAGAACGTGGATCGAGGGTCGCGGTGCAAGCGAGGAGTTGATGGACTAGTTGGCATAGCGTGCCGCACACGGCTCGACCACTGAGGAAGGGATTGATGTGGATATGGAAGCGTTACAGAACCATCGATCCACCGGGGAAAGTGGAGTCTCAGATGCCTTGCATGTGGCACGAACTTAGACACGTGTAGTACGGACCTATCGGCATGCGGTACTGCTTCCAGACGCGGACTGTTTCAAGAAACGGACTCTTTGTCTCGTGAACTGTTGTGTGTGGCTCGACAGCTGGCAAGAGAATCAAAGTCTTGTAAAGAAAATCCAAAACATGCAAGACAGGTATTAGGGAGTTGTCTGGTTCTGAGCGTCTCTTGTGCTGCTGAGAGGCGCACTCATTGTGTCTCTCACTGCTGCTGTTGTAGCCAAGGTTGGCTATGTTGTCGTATTGCAGGTAGCTGAAGACCACGTCGTAACGACTCAACTTGCAGCAGACCATGTGCTATCGACAGGATCCTGGTGAATCAGCTGCCTTTGCAAATTCAAGCTTGGCGTCGAAGATGGTCTCCATCCGACCGCTATGATAACATTCGCAGTCAGGATTGAAGTTGATTGTGGAGGTTCGCACTTGACTAAGATATGCATCCATACTCGTGTCGAATGCATCCCATACAAGAAGTAGCGTTTGTGCTGAGCCCTGAGCAAGACAATCATCGAGGAAAAGGCGAGCCGTCACTAGCACTCCTGATCAGTGGTTGAATGAACCATGAAGCTAGCAAATTTTCCTACCAGCTCATCTTGCTGCTTGTAAAGTACGCTCATGCAAGACATTCACCGCTAATGGAGCCATTTCCAGGCTGGCGAACATGTTCGCAGGACAATATCCTCCACTTCCCATTCCTGTCTTGAGCTTAAAGAAGTGCCTTCTCCTCTCAACAACAGGATTGAGGGGATGTAAACTTCAGATCAGACTCATCATTCAAGGAAAGAAGGAGCAATTGAGCTCTTACCTCGTGGGCAGATCAATGCAATCATTGGCTAGATTGAAGCTGAGTACCCGTGGATCAAAGTTGCCTCACCTGTCGCTCATTATTGGGACAGCCGCAGCACAAAGGTAACGGTACTGTATGAGTAGCATTGAGCTCTCCCGCACATCCCCTCAACATGAATCTCGCACACAATGATGATGCGCGCCGCCGGTCTTTTGTCCTCGCCACCACAATCGCCAACAACCTTCCACAAGATGATAACGCCTACGTAACATCGTCTCCATCTCCTTACATATTCGTTCTACAGTCCGCCTTTAAACAAGCCGTGATCCGCTGAGGTCATAGCGAGGCACGTTGAACGATAGGAGGAGACGATCGAACACATGAGCCACTCTCTCTGGAAATACTTCTTTGACGATGATGTCGATGGATTTCGACACTATCTGGCAAGAGCCACCTTCGACCGCAATGCACCGAAAGGTCTGGGTGGCGCCTATAGCCATTCCCTCAAAGCAGGAAGTCCTGGTACTCTCGCGACATCCCCGAGGACGCCTGTCAAGAGCAGGAAGGCTGGAAAGATAATCTTGACAAGATCTGACATCAATGCAAGAGACGGATTTGGTCGCACCTTGTTACACCATGCGGTATCTTCGCGCAGCGACAATGCGCAGGAATTCGTTAAGGTCCTGCTCGAAACACCATTCCTCGATCTCTATGTGCAAGACACGGAAAGCGGATGGACGGCATTGCATCGCTCACTCTACTCTGGCAATATCGCAGCTGCCCAGGCTCTCATGGTGAAGGACATTCAAAATGCCACCGATTACACAACCAATGTCTCTCACGTCAATGCGGGTGGCCTTGTAAAGATCAAAGACCACGAAGGTAATAGCCCTTTCGAGCTGTTCGGTCTGACTACCGCTCCTCGAGATCTCCAGCAAGACGAGAACACACTCGATGCTGCTGAAACTGCAAGCTTGTTGAGCGGGGATATGGACGAACGAGCAGCGACAGCTCAGCGCGACACCAACCCAGTGAACGACCTGAACGGCGAAGAAGTCTTTGCATTCGGAAGCAATAAGAATATCACTCTTGGCCTAGGCGATGGTGACGATAGAACGTTCCCAGAACGTGTACAACTCGTACGTCCTGCACATCTCATGCAACATCTCTTCGAGGATTTCCAGAGACAACGTCGGCAAGAATCGCTCAACAACGATCTCTATGGAGACTTGCCTGATGTTGGAGCGCTACCGGCTGTTGTCAAGAACAAGCCGTTTACGATACAGGATGTCGTCATGTCAAAGCTTCATACAGCTATTCTGACCAAGGATCCTGTATCCAATCTGCATGTTTGCGGCTTTGGTCCTGGTGGTCGCCTTGGGACTGGCGATGAGGTAACTCGTTTCGCTTTCACCTGCATACAAGGTGGTGGCCTCGCTAAACGACGCGTCGCGAGTGTTGCACTTGGCCAAGATCACACCGTGGTTGTATGCTCATCTGGTGAAGTGTTTACTTGGGGCAGTAACAAGTATGGTCAATTAGGTTACGAGCTTCCTGAGGTATCGGCGCAAAAAGTCCCCTTGCAGCTCACTCCCAGGCAGATATATGGTTTGATCAAGAAAGAACAAATTATTGGTGCCGCGGCTTCGTCCCTGCATTCTGCCATTTACACTGCGTCTGGATTGTACACATTTGGCAAAAATGAAGGCCAGCTTGGACTAATGGATGCTGATGCGCGATCTCTCGATATGCAAATTGTGCCGCGTCGTGTCGGAGTCTCCATCATTCAGCACCCTGTCCAGTCTGTCGCTGCCATCGATCGTGCTACAACCGTATTGCTCGAGAACCACGAGGTTCTTGTCTTCACGCACTATGGTTTTACCAAGATTGTCTTCCCTCTCGATTCTTTCGGAAGCTCTATTGCTTCTGATGCATTTTTCGCGAGACACAACCGCCAGACCAAACATATTAGCAGAATCACCTGTGGCAGTAACACCATATGCGCCTTGACAAGTTATGGTGAGGTTTTTACAGTAGATGTGCCTCGGAACGTCGAGTCGGTGCCAAATAAGTCAACTACCAATCCATCTAAAGCTCGCAACGCCTTGCCTACCCCGTCCAAGATCTGGTCGATCCGCAAATCTCATATGGCTGCGGCGGATGTTGCTGTCGGTCAGGATGGATCCGTCATCCTCTGTACTGCCGCTGGAACAGTATGGAAGAAAGAGAAGCGAGCAAAAATCAAATCTGTGCATGCAGACGATACGAAATCTAAAGACTACAAATTCACGCGCGTGCCCAACATCTTTGGTGCAATTGCAGTTCGAAGTAACTCGTACGGGGCGTTCATGGCTATTCGTAAAGATTGCCAGGTCATGAAGAACCAAATTGCAGTGGAAGCGCCACATCTTTGGCACGACATGTTCAACTTGCTTGCATTTCGTGAGTATGGTGAGATTACTGACGACGAGAACGCTGCTGAGCCACAACTACGTCTCTGGAGACCTGCCACTGCAGGACCATGCCCAGCACTTATTAAGCGAGCTCTTCTGACCGATTTGAAAGCCGAGCAAGATTTCATTCATTTGTCCAAACGTTTCGAACCATTATCCACCTCGGACTACGATGTATGGATTACTTCAAACGTTACCGAAGTTCGTCTGCCAGTTCATAGTCTCATTCTCAAAGCCAGGAGCAAAGTGCTTCGTAAAGCACTTGCCGAATTCTCCCAGTCTTATTACTTCTCGCTTCCAGATACCTTGGCCATCGAATATGGTTCTGACGGACAGATTCAGATCCAATTGCAAGGAGCAGACTTCCTAACTCTCACCAATTTCGTTTTTTACTTGTACACTGACAACTTGGTGGACGTTTGGCGTTTCACGTCAAGTGCCTTGCAGCTTGCACCTCGTTACCGTAGTGTACGCACAGAGCTCATGAAGATCGCGAACGGTCTGGAAATGAGACATCTTGAGCGTGCAGTACGAGTCATGGACGAGCCCAGTAGGTGCCTGCGAGAAGACTTCGAAGATGGATTTCACGATTCCGACTTATTTTCCGACGCAGACGTCGCCGTCGACCTGGCTGACGGCGAGGAACGATATGCTCATAGTGTTGTTCTTCAGGCAAGATGTCCATTCTTTGAAGGATTGTTCCGTGGCCACACAGGTGGAATGTGGATGGCGGACAGACGAAAGTCGGGCAACGAAGTGCTTGAGGCTGCTAGGGTTGACCTGAAGCACGTTGACGCCAATATTTTCGAGATTGTGCTGCGACACATCTATGCTGATACGGGTGAGGAATTGTTTGACGCGGTTGTCACCACTGATATCGACGAATTTATCGACCTCGTGATCGATGTAATGGCATTGGCCAACGAACTCATGCTGGGAAGACTTGCACGAATCTGCCAAAAAGTTATCGGACAGTATGTCACACCCTGGAACATCTGTGGTCTTCTCAACACCATCGCTGAATCTTCTGAGACCGAGTTCAAACTTGCTGGGTTGGAGTATATTGGCTTGAATCTCGAAAATATGCTTGACCAGCGATTGCTCGAGGAGCTGGACGAATATCTGCTTGAAGAGCTAAACGCCTCAGTTCAGTCGAACCAGCTAGCATTCATGCCAATAGCAAGAAGTAGCAGGGCCCTGGATCTCCTTCTCGAGCAGGAGCCAGCACTTGTGGAAAATATTGAACGATGCCGACAACGCCGACTAGACTCAATGCGTTTGCCAAGCAGGTATGTAATCGAGGCAGTTCGACCGACCCTAGCTGCAAGACCACAAAGTAAGGAAAACGTGCCAAGCCGGCCTCCCAGCGAGAAAAGATCAGTCACATCGACGTTGTCACCAGCAGCGGGAAGCCCTGCGATAATTCCTACGGATGATTTACAGTTCGAGATGGAGGACGAAGCTTACATCAGACCTGGCTCGGAGTCTAGCACCACAGCGTCTCCGTCCCTCGGAGGAAAACCCGAAGCTTCTCAAACACGATTTCCACATTTAGGACCGCCAGGACAGAGCTCTGTGGAACAAGAAGGAGGACTTGATGTTGTAGCAACATCCCCACAAACTGCAAGCCTTCCAGGAACGCCACTCGATAGCGGAAAGAACGTTTATCGTCCCGTATGGGGCAGCTCGACACCAACAACACCTGGGCTAGGTCTCAGAGACATCATGTCACAAGATTCTTCAGTCAAGGTCTCTAACTTGACCCAGTCCTTGAAGCAAGCCGCCGTTTCGTCTAAACAAGCACAGCCAAGAATGTCACAGAAAGAACGCAAACGACAACAGCAGGAACAAAAGCTTCAGTCTCAGGCCCATCTGGTGGAGATGGAAGAAAGAGCCAAGCAAGGGCCGAACACCAAAACAGAAGCGCCGCAATCTCCTTGGCAGAAGGTCGAATCTAAGCAGACTCCGGTGACATCTCCCGAGGTTACTCACGAGGTGAGACCAACACTTCCATCTCGAGAAGCGACGAGTGCTGCAAGTGTACAACAACCCCAAGGTCGGAATAAGAAACCATCCCAACCAGCACGCAGTGTCTCTACCCCAGCCTCAACCCCAGGAATGACTGGTTTCTCGAAAGCCCCTCCACCACAAATACAATCCATCCGTCATACACCAACACCCGCACAAGCAAGTTCCTGGTTAGATGCACGGACGTCGATGGCAGACATATTAGCACAGCAGCAGTACGAAAAGTCAGCTATCAAAGAGTCTGCGGCGAAACGGTCGTTGGAGGAGATTCAGCAGGAGCAGGAATTCCAGGCTTGGTGGGACAGTGAGAGCCGTAGAATCCAGGAGGAGGAGGCAGCAGTGAATAATGCTGTAGCCAGAAGTCGACCGTCAAGAGGGGGTCAAGGCGCCGCGAAGAAAAATGCAAGTCGAGGAGACGGTAAAGCTCAACGCTCTCGCACACGACCAGGCCATGACGAAAATGACAGACCCGCGCACGCAGAGGCATCTCATCGAGGCAGGCAAAACGGGCGCGGTGGTTTTGCAGGTAGTGCTCGTGGGAGAGGTAATAGGAGCATGCCGCAAGATGTACAGTAGTCTAGACAGTCTGCCGTAGCCAATGAGCACGAAACACATACAAGAGCCAAACCTCGATGGATCCCACGTGAGATTATGTCTAGGCTGCAGACTGAAAGATTCTTTGCAGATCTGTGCGACCAGTAGGCTGCCGAGCATCCACTCATGGTGTGACTGACTGGCAGACCCGCCTCGTTATGCGGGCATCCGTGCAACGATGACGCTTGTTCGGCGAGGCAGCTAACGCCGGCTGGACACATGGCTTTTGCAAGGTGCAGAGCTCTACTGACTTGTGTAACAGAGAGCTATAGCTGTATGCAGTGAATTGCGATTGGCTAGTTAAACTGCGAGGTCATGGTCTCGACAGGACAAATAGGAACAGGTAAGGTGAGTCAGGTCAGTCATGTACATTTGACCCCTACAGTGTTCGAAAACGAGGAAATTGAGCAATGCCTCTATGCAAGACGTGGAAGGGCATTGCTGCCTATTTCTGTTCATAGAGGACTGAAATAACATGGACATGAACTCAATTGCTATATTTCTGCCTTCTTCTGCAATTCGAAGGATCCGACCTTTCCACCACCTGTGTGTACAGATAGATCATACACAAACGACCCTCGAGTAACGCTCCTACTAATAGCAGCACGTCCAGAAAGCAGCGAAATCGATCCAGGCGATTTCTGTGCGAGCATTCCACACGGCTCATTGACGGACCATCCACAAGGATGTGGGGAAGTGCAAGGATTTGGCGTTGGTGGAGTCAAGGAGGATCACGGATCTCTGCGACGGGCTGTCTTTATCTGCAGCCAACGATGATCCGAGAAGCAGCTTTTTGAGCTTGGGAGGCTCTCGGTGATTGTGGATGGGTTATCTTCGACGAGTCAAAGACGGAGCTGGCAACGCGAATGCATGTGTCCTTTCGCTTCTGACGTTGAACCGTAACTGACCTCTTGACGAAGTAAATCCGAACTGTCCTCATGGCTGTGGAGCAGCTTGGTGAATAAGGTCTGCTTGTATATTGCGTAGAGTCTGTTGTTCAGGCTGCTTCATGTCGCGTTCCGGAATTTGTTCCTGCGTGTGAACAGCACGCCATTTCGTTCTTGCAGGACGACATCATCTGTTCTTTCTTGGTCTCCATTTTCTGCCTTGAGTCGATCCCTGCAGTCATGGGCGACCGGTCATTTGACTCTGCCTGGTGCACTTTTGAAGCGGTGACCATCGAAGCTAATTGCGGGTGGAGAGCAGTTGATTCGCGCGTCATATGCTGCTAGTCGCACGCGAGGAGTCCGAGTCCAGTGACCCAAGTGTGCTCATGGTGCATTTCGACTCACATCTGCTGTGCCCTCGACTTCCCAACATAATTCATCCTTCGCTCAATATGCAATGACTCCCTCTGCTTTTTGATCGAGCCCTTATCCCAAACCACCAGAGATGCCATCGTAACCAGTTTGGTGCGAGTAGTGCCTCCCACAGTCTTCCTCCTTGTCCAGCTGCACAGGCAACTGATAGCATGAATGGCTTCAGAAACCACGACTCCAGTCCATCAGCCCGTCGACGCTAGCTCCCATGCCCCCATTCGCATAACCTGACAGGGCTTTCTACAATCCAACGACACCACCGGCAGTATCACCACCACACCGCTGCTCGCTCAGCCATGCATCAACATCCAAGATCAGCCCCGGCGACAGCTTCGCCAGCAAACGCAGAACAGACCAACCCTATACGTCCTAACAATCCGAGGGACAGGACACCATCGACCCAAGCATCGGGCTCAAGCGAAGACTTTGCTGCTTCTCGGGAACCCGACAATTCGGCCTCGATGCAACGGCTAAACCAGGTCATCCAAAACTTCCACACTAAAGCCGCCCTGATCATCTTACACTCAAGGGCCGAGCTGTCTCCTGCCTACTCCTCGAAAACAAACGAAATCAGGGTGAACAAGTGGTTTAATATCGAGCTAGACGAGACGGATGACTATCTAGACGAAATCAGGAGATGGAAAAGGATAGACGTGTTGCAAGAGAGACCTTCCCCTTTAGTTCTCGAAATCTACCTTACTACCGATGTCTTGTCTCAGGGACAACGGTTGGTCATTCTGGACGATGATCAGAAGAGATGGGACGTTTACAAAGCCCTGGAGCCCAAGAGTGACAGAAACACTGGTCGTGCAGAGAAAAATAGAGAGATATTACTGGAAAGATGGACTATTGAGCTCGGGAAATCCTCACAGCCAATGCCAACCGACCTTGCTGTTGTCCTGCCTCATGTCTACAAGAAGAGCATAGTCCTGTTTCGCACCCTCTACACCTACTGTAATCTATTACCAACTTGGAAGCTGATTCGGAAGCTTGGCAAAAATCGTTCGACCATGGGCATGAAAGTAAACTTCCGCATTGTCGATGGAAACCAGCTGGATAGTATTGCAAGAGCAGACAATCTAAAAGCTCCACTCTGCGGTGAAAGTTCAGATGTCCTGTCCGAGTACTCGTTCGGTTCGACTGACTCACCTGCGGGACCCTTCTCCATTCACCTCGCTTATCGCACAAATTGTGACTTTAGGATAGACGATTCTGAAGAACTGCTAAGTTCGAGGTTTATTGGCGCCGACGACGATATCTTCAAGTCACGCGATGACCCTGCTCATAAGGTGGGCTCATTACCCAGCGACCAACGCAAAAACCTGACCGAAAGACCTGAGCTTGGCCACGCTTACGGAAGTCTCTCGACTTTTCATCAGGTCGGCTTCGAGCCAGGTACAAGTCCCATGTCCACCCTACGTGCACAGAAAGATTATGGTAGTGACTCTCCAAGCCCGCAGAGACCACTCCCACAGCAAGCGCAAACATCAAGGCCAATCGCATCCAGGACAAATACAGGAAGGAGAAGCTCGTTTTCCATGAACCCGTTTAAAGCACCCACCCTCTCTGCGTCCCCTATGAGCTCTTCTCCTTTGGCAGCTTCTCCACGACCCTCCACAAAAGCAGTGCCTACCTTGGGATCGTTGAAAGAGGAAATAATACCTGAGCCTACACGAAGCGTACCCATAAGAAATACGTCGGAGAAGCCCTCATCTACGTCGAGCTCTCCAAAACCAGCTCCGATGCAGAGGTTTCAAAGTAGTTTTGGTCATCGCAAGAACAGGTTGTCAGTCGACCGAACCGCGAACAAGACAGACGAGGATCAGACAAGTAGTGGGAGGGCTAGTACAGCATCTTCAGGACAACCTGGCTCAACGTTGATGGCAGATGCCCCTGGCGATGGCAGTTCAGGCTCAATGCAAGAGGACGACGAGAACATCTCCGACTTCTTAAAAATGTTAGATCAGAAGAAGGACTTGCTGAATCCTGCTTCTAGTGGTGCTTTAGAGTCTTCGGCTCGCAGGACTGCAGCTGCTTTGAACAGATTCCACAAAATGCGTGATTCCAACGCTGCATTATCCGAATCCATGTCTTCTTCTCTCGTCGTGCCTAAACCATCTACCCCTTCGAGTCGGCATTCACCTACGCAAGCCGGTATCTCGACCTCGTCTTCTCCAGGCACCAAACCAATCTCGCCACATACTCCCCACACGCCGTTCGCTCCGTCACGGTTGAGCGCGGCTTACAGTCATGACGATCCAGAATTGCAACAAACAACTTCACCCATGGAGGAAAAGCTGCCACCAATATCAGATGCCCCTGGTGCTATCGACATACCGAGTTCTCCTCGACCATTCGTCCCCGGGTACCGACGATCCAGCTCGGCGCAAAGGCGACCTCTATCGTCAGACGATGATATTGCTGATCTGTATGGTATGCGGAGTGCTAGTATGGGCGCTAAGGCCAGACAGCAGCCTTCGTTTGCCGAAGAGTCTAGGCCACCCAACCCTCAAGAGCGTGAGAATACAAAGTCCGAGACCCGTGCCCCAGGTCAGGATGGGGCGATCTCAGATTCAGGTTCAGGAAGGTCATCCCTACCGACTGCTTATAGATCTAGTTTCGCCAGACGTGGTACTAACAGAGGTGGGTCACATGCTTCTCCCACTCAGGGCTCTGTATCGAGTATCGGAGCGACGGGTGCAAGTGTCGAGAGGACAGGAGATAGTCCGTCAGTCAGCGGTAGTTGGGGAAGAGGTGGAAGGCCACAAGGCCCGGTAAGACCAGAAGGAAGGCCTGGCGAGGACGATGACGAGCTACCATTCGTGTTCGATGCAAGTACATTCATGTCGAATAGAGGAGACAACAGACGAGAAAAAGGTGAATAGCTGACAGCAGCATCAACATAATTTTCCAGGCGTTCAAGGTAGGGAATGGCGGGCATCTGACGGTCACAATTTCTATTCACAACTTGAGCGAAATGCGGGTCAATCTATGGGCATTTTCTGGTCGGGTACCATCGTCCCATTCGATCGTTTGAATACAGGTTCTCGGTTTCTCCAGGCCACAGTGCTCTGGTGCACACATAGCTCGTTGGAGAAGCCCGGTGTAAAAGGAAGTGCAAAAACTGGGCGAAAAAGAGACTCTGCGTGTGCTATAGACAGTTCATGGACCACTTACAAGTTATCACGTTGGCCACAGTACATTGACACTGCTGGCGATTATTGGCGCGGCCTCGTTCGTGAGTCATGGTGAATCTTGGAACGCGGCGCTAAACCTATTTTGACAATACGACCCTTTCCTCACTTTGGCCGGATTAGGAGACGAGGCAAGCACGACTTTCCTGAACAGGTTTAGTGCGAGTGAAATGCGCCATGCTCTTTGACTTGGCACAAGCGACGTCTATTGCTACTTCTTAACTAAACCACAACTACATAAACAGATATTCGTCGACAAAATTTTGCTTTTCAGGAACAACTTCTACTCGACAAAACTCCAGATAGTGCCTAAGTTTTCTACACACTAGAAGCCCAAACGTCAACGCTACTTGACTTATAACACCAATTCAGACCACCATGGATGCCGGCTCAGGTGGTGCGGATTCCCTCACTGCTCCGATCCCAGAACAGATTTCCGAAAACAACCATGAAGACATGGCCGAGCTATCATCAGACAGTATCGAAGACGAGTATGACGAATCACAATGTTTGTTCTGCAACCAGACGAGTCCAGACCTAGATCAGAACTTACTACACATGTCAAAGGCTCATGGCCTGCATATAGACACAACCAATCTATTGGTAGATGTCACTTCTCTACTCGCCTACTTTCACCTCATTATCTCTGCGTACTATGAATGTCTCTACTGTGGAACACAGCGGAATACTCGCGAAGCTGTACAGCAGCACATGATAGCGAAGGGACATTGCAAATACGACATTACCGACGAAAACGCTGAGCTGAGAGACTTCTATGACTTGTCCTCTGCAGATATTAGAGCAGAGATACAGCAGAACCTCGCCATGCGCTATTCGGACGATTCTCAAGTTTTGTTGCAGACTAGAGCGAAGAAAGCACGATCGTCAAAGCAAACAGACAGGCCTATTTCCAATACAACGGCTTCTCCTTCAAGTTCAACATCACAAATCCCAACTCAGGACGCGCAGACTAATGCCGAGTCAAGCTCGCATACTACCGAGCCATCTTCTGATCCTCCAGGTGAAGTAAGCACAAGAGTGCTAAAGCAAGAATCCATCCTCAACAGCCAACTCGCACAACTTCGTGCAGATGATCGCAGGAGTCTTCTACACCTACCGGCCTCACAACAACGGGCGTTGCTGGCAACCCGTCACAAACAGATGGAGAAGGCAAGGAGGGCAGAGCAAACGCAACGTGGTAACTTGGAGAGAGCAGGTAATAAGTTCGGTCGTTTGGGTACGGTCAGATTGGTGCGGCAACCTCCTCACTTTGGTAATGTCTCTGGTCTGAACAGGTGATTTGGGTTGGATTTGGCGTCATGAATGTGGAGAAAGGGTCTCTGCTTTCGGAATGTATCTCAAGGTGCAAACAAGTGTTGCGACAGCGTATTGTCTCATCTTTGAAGGCATTCTAAGGTGGTGAATTAATGCTCTTGGCGCAATCAACATATGATTCGGGCATGGAACAAGAACAATACCAAACTTGAAGAGGAGAATCCGGAGCTATACAGAGCTTGACTCGTTTCAAACAAGGAATTCCCGGGGTTTCAACGTCCCTTGCTGCCCTGCTGAGTGCTGTTATGTCAGCTAGTATGGTAATAAATATCTTCATTTCGCTCTGATGGCGACAGCAATATACCTTCTAGCCACAATACAAACTCAATCAAACGTGATCTTCTTCCCAGCAAAAGACGATGCCCCCACATTAGCAGTCTCCATCTTCCTCTTCCTCGCAGCCTCCCAAGAAGGATGTAGCTTCTCATTTCCATTTCCACCTGTTTGCTTCACAGTAGTAGCACGCACACCAGACGGCACAGAACGATTCTTCTGTTCTCGATCACCCTGAGTCCTAGCACCAAACATCTCCTGCTTCCTCCCACCTCTACTTCGATCTCCAACAGCTCCCCGCCTCGCATCCCACCCATCATCACTCCTCTTGGTCCCACTAGCAGCACCAGAGATAAACCTCTGCCTATCGCCATGCACACCCTCCGCCCCCCTAGCTTTCAATAAATGTTTCGCGCTCGCGCCGTATTTCTTCTCCGCGATCTGTTGTCTTGCGCGCTGGCCGCGGCGGTTCTTGCGGATTGTTGTCGTTGATGTGGCGGAGGAAAGGGCGTCGAAAAGGGCCTTGTTGGGGTTGTCGGGGTCGGAGTCGGACTCGGAGCCTGAGTAGTAGCCGCCGTGCATTAGGGAGGGGAGGAAGGATGTTGATGTTGGTTGGGGTTGTGAGGATTTGGGTGGTTTAATTGGTTGATTTGATTCTTTGAGTTGTCGTGCGGGAGGTGATAGAGACGGCCTGTTGTTGTCGTCGCCGTCGTCGGTGGCTGAGTGGTCTTCTTCATCGGTTGTGATTTCCATGTCGTTGAGTTCAAGTTCTTCTTCGTCTTCGTCATCGGAAGAAGTTGCTAGTCGTGAGTCGTAGATGTTCATATCATCCGAGCCTGAGATCTCGCTGCCTTCAGCGTCATTTGCTATTCCTGATATACCATTTCGTTTGACAGGTTGGGCTTCATTTGGTGCTGCTTCGTCCGAGAACCCTGAGAACTCATCATCCGGTACTTCTGTCGCGCCGTCCTGCCTTGAACTTTGCGCAATACCATTCGTATGCCCATTGGTTTCGAGAGGCTTATCTACTCCAAGCACCTCCCTAATCCCCTTCATAATCTCAGGCAGAACCTCACTCACCGGATTCGACTTGAACAACCTCCCAAGCACATTCGACTCCGCCCCGTTCCCAGCCCCCTGCACCCTCTTCTCAACATCACTGCCAAAAAGCGTCCTGAAAGCCTCAGCCTCAGCAATCCTCTTCGTTCTAACACATTGCTTCAACAAGTAGTTCTTGGCTACTTTCGCCTCGTCTATGTCCTTCAAGACCTGAATTTCCGCTTGTAACCTCTCGAGTTTGGCTTTATCACTTTCGGCTTGCTTGATGCGCCGGGTCATCTTTTGTCGGTCGAAGCCACGGGCGAGCTTGAGTTGTGCTGTGAGTTGCTTGACGCCATTGTCGAAGCGGGCTTTGAGGCGTGAGGCTTTGATGCGGATGGCTTGGTCGGGAATTTGGGAGATGCCTTCTTGGATTTCTTCGTCGCGTTTTCTTTTCGGCATTGTTGGATTGAAAGTGATTTATTGAGAAACCTGGTTTTGGAGAATTTTTGTCACGGGCATGGCGGACTGGGGAGACGGCTTGTACCGACGCTAAAGAGCTCCAGGGCCGGGTCTTGGCGGGTGTGGGTTCTGCTTGTATTTCGAAAGTCCTTTTTTTTCCTCGATCACATCTTCGCAGGGTTACTCGAGGTACTAGCCATGACCGCGAAAGTCAGGCGCTCAGTGCACTCGTGATTTCCCGTGCGATAACAAAGATGTGAGCTGGCCAAGAGATTGTTCAAACAAAGGCTGGAAAGTCAACCTCTAAGTCTGCCTGACTTACTGGGATGTGCATGGTCCAATTGGTCGGCTAAGATTAGCCCTGACCTACGGCGCCCTCGATTGCGACGCCTGCTCAGCTCGTGCGTCAAAAGCACCTGGAAGCTGCTGTCGCATCAGGCAGATGTCCCTGATAAGTGTCTGTGCTGTTCTTCTTGAAAGCTGAGCGTTTTGCTACAGCACGACTTGGTTTTGTCACTCATCTTGCAAGCTTGATACAGCAACTACCTCCCTATACCTCGTGCTGATATCCTCTTTTAAGATTTAACAGAATGGCAGGGACAGGAGTCAAGGTCACACTCTTCATCTTCTCAGCCCTCGGGTTCTGGACATTATGGGGATTTCCTGCACGAAACAACCTGCTACACTTTCTTGGAGAGCTCTCTGAACCTGGCGCATCGATTCCGGGACCAGCGTATTACCCTATGAAACAGCGCTGGACGGGTATAGAGCCTGTCGATAAACAACTGACCACTCTAGTTGGCTTCTTCTACACAGCAATTGACGGAAACAGAATTGATATTACGTTGAGCTTCTTGAATCTTGGAAGTCAGGTGCTTGCTGCGTGGATCTTGATTACTACGGAGAGTTATCGAAGCGGCAATAAAGGGAGCCTCACTATCACGTCGTAAGTTGGTGAGTTCGTTACGAATGATGTACTAATCTGCTTGTAGCATTACCATCTTCGGCCTCTTGGTGGCAATCGTCGGTTATGCATGCGTGGCACCGATCTATTTCGTGTTGCACCTCATCAATTCACCTGTTGTCAAGAACCCTCGTGACTGGAACGTCGTCCTCGACCAGCCCATCAAACTCGCAATAGTTCCTGTCGCAACACTCATAGGCTTCGGCATCCCTTCCGCACTAATGGCACTTCCCGCTCCTGGCCTGCTCACCCTAGAGTCCAAATTGAACTGGACCGCCATACAACAAGGCTGGCCTATCTGGATCTATTTCTCACAAAAGGCACTCGAAGCTCTCGTCGCCTGGTTTGACCCGATGGTCAGCATGCGAACTGAAAAGCAGAAACGCGCTGAGACAGCAAAGTACATGTATCGTGCCTACGTCTTCGCCCTCGGCGCATCGGCTGGCGCACACTTGCTCTTCGTTGGTATGGGTTTGGCCGCCTGGTTGCTTCCAGGTGCACTTAGCGCGAAACTGCAGGTCCAACTTCATCCCGAGAACTTTTTTATCCCGCCGAATCCGTTCAGTGATGAGAAGGCTACCACTCTTGCGAACGGAGCGCTATGGTTTCTGCAATGGGACCTGATTGTTGGAGTACTGAGCACGATGGTTTGGGGTATTACGGTGAGGTTGAGTGCTGTTGGGAAGGTTGATAGTTTTGGTGCTTGGGTCGCAGCGTTGATCAAGTATGGGTTTCTTTCGGCAGTCGTGGGCCCCAGTGGTGCGGCTGTTTGGGCTATTTGGGAACGTGATGTGGTTGCTTTAAAGGTCAAGAGGGAGTGATTCGGTTCTGTTTGAAGATGAGTGATGTACAACCGGTTCTCGAGCACGTTTGACTCGACGGGAGGCCATAACTTCTGCATGAGGACGGCACAATTGGGTACTGTCATCGAGCTTGTTACAACACAATCGAATGCTGACTTCTTCGCAAGCAGTCGGTACATCTCGTGAAAAGAGATATCACAACGTCGACTTCTCCAACTCTGTCAAAGGCTGCCTTCCTAGCTCCAAAATCTCCTTCATCTGCACAATGTGCACCTTATCCTTGTACTCCCCCCTCTGTGCTTTCAATCCAGCCCTCACCGCAGCTCTTCCAATGACATCGCCATCCTGTGCCCAGCCATCCTTCAACAGACCACCACTAACATAGCCCAACCCATCCGCAATCCACTTCAGCGCTGTCTCAGCTGGCCGTGAACCCTCTCTTCGGCCCGTGATCAGCCCAGGTCGCACGAAGACAGTATGCTGAAATTCAAGGGCCTGTATATCACGTTCAGTCTCGCCTTTCATCTTCTGGTATCCAAAGACTGAGGTGGCGTCAGCTCCTCCGGCAGAGATCAGCACGTAGGTCTGCACGCCGGCTTCTTTGACTTTCTTCGCGAGATCAACGTTCAGATCGTGGTCTATGAGGTATTGCTTGTCAAAGCCACCAGCGTCACCGCGTGTTGTTGCGAGAGCTGAGTAGACGATCTGAGGGATTGGTGATAAGGAGGGGATGAGGCTCTCCCATTTTGAGGTGTCCTTTTCTATGTGGGCGTTGAGCTTTGTGGTCGTGGAGCTACTTTTCTCTGATGCTTGTGGAGGCAAGCGACGTGAGATGGTTTGTACGGATGATACTTGTGATGGTGGTAGGGAGAGAAGGGTTGATAGGATGTGAGAGCCTGTCTTTCCGGTTGACCCAATGACTAATGCTGATGCCATGGCTATAATACCGTTCGGGTGACAGGAACTTGGTAACAGCAGTACAAGAATGGTGTTTGTCGTGCAAAGTCCTCGAACACGACCTTGCTTGTTGATTGTATTGCTCGTGTTAAGTTATGGATTCTATCACGTCGTTAGAAAACAGTTGCCTGAACTTAGAGCTCCATAGTGTGCTGTTATGCACGACCCTAATCTCTCCGCAAGGCTGCATTCGATCGCCTCGGCAAAGCTACCACCAAGCCAGATCTTAGTGCAAATTGCGTGATTGTCAATGTGAAGTCAATTCTGCCGTCCTTGCAATGGCTGGGAACAACGCCGAACGGAGCTCAGAATTCGAGAAAATGTGAGAGGCAAATTGTGGGTCGGGTCTTTTGGCCTGGCCAAAGTGCTGAGATTCTTTTTTTATATCTTTCTGGGTGGTCGCTGTCAAGATTCTGCAACCACACTGCCAGCCATGTCTCTGTTCAGGGTGTCTGTCGACCTCGCCCAGCACTATCCTACTGTGGCTGCTATCAGTTCTAAGCAGCCAGAAATCACCTCGCGAGCCCTGCCCTTCGGCAGACAGATCGGCCTCAGCTCGATCGATGGCCCTACCTATGTGACAGCCCAGACGCTGGTCCAGCAAGTCGCATACTTGCTCTCAGACAAAATATGGTCCTACAGTCCCGAGACCTTTGACCTCGATGTGTCAGCACGACAATGGTCGCAGGAGCAGCAGAAGAACGTGCATGGCTATATTCCAAAGACTCAGTCTATGGACATCCGAGCTGGTGCAGGAACAGCTGCCCTTGGATATCTATTTTCCAAGGACTTTGATGTTAAGAGAAGGCACATTCCACAAGCAGTACTTGCCTCGTCTGCTGCTCTTGCCTACATGCGACAAGCCCTAGACCAGCTCTCCTTGCTCTACGGAGTCGCAAATCCATTTGTAGCTCACGTTGCTGCTGCAGGATACGATGGTAGCAAGCAGGGCACCTTGGCTTCGGACTATATCTCTTCCATGTGGCTAGCAGAAGATCTTGGGTTCAGTCTGATCTCTAGTCAATCGGCTCACGAAGCTCAGCACATCTCGCTCCTTGCCACGTTGCTTGCTCAAGATGGACCTGTACTGCACACCTACGATGGTGTCAAGATGGCACGAGACACTACTAGAGTTATCGACACTCTGGGTCAAGCCAACCTGCGCAAGTCGTACCAAAATGTCTTGGAGGCCACTTCAAGCGACGAACACAAGCATTCGACCCCTGAGGGCAAAGTCTTGAAGACGATCAAGGCTTTCAACGAAGAGCTTGGCACAGATTACAAGGCATTTGAATACTACGGTCACTCTGCAGCTGAGCAAGTCCTTGTCACCTTTGGCTCCGTTGAGTCCTCTTTGGCTGCTCAAGTTGCTGAGAAGCTTGCTCATGCTGATAACAAGATTGGTGTTGTAAATGTTCGACTATACCGACCTTTTATTGACGAGTCTTTCCTCAAGGCTCTACCTAGCACTGTCAGGATGATCGGTGTATTAGGTCAGGTAACCTCGGCTCAAGAAGTCGCTGAAAGCGGTATTCGATCACGACTCTATGAGGACGTGCTCGCTGCTGTCTCCTTCAACAATATTCTGCAATCAACCCCGGAAATACGAGACATTAAGTTTTCCAGGTCCGAATCATGGTCGCCTCAGAGCATCACTGGTGTATATCACATGCTCGCTGGCAAGCCGGTTGACACCATTTCCCAAGCTGAACTCGCGCCTATCCTCCTCGACAGTGATGTCAGGCAGTATACTTTCTGGAATGTGGATGATTCTCCATCAGCTGACGCAGCTCTATCTCTTGCTCAGGCACTTGCCAAGGACTCTACCTACAACGTTGCCGTCAGTCAAGCACACAATAACCTGATTCTGGGAGGAATCCACCGAGTTGACGTGCGCAAGTCTTCAAAGAGCCTCGACGCTGCCTACACCATCACAGAAGCCAACGCTGCTGTGGTCACTGACGTTGCGCTTTTGGACAAAATTGACGTCCTGTCATCCGTTGAGCAGGATGGCAAGCTCATTCTTATCCTGCCTGGCGTCAAGGACGAGGATGTCGAGAAGAAAATTCCAGCTATGGCCAAGAAGCAGATCGCTAAGCGCAACATTGAATTGTATTTGATCAACCCTGACGCTACCGAACTCGATAAGGAAGACAAGCAATTGGCTTCGCTGATTACACAAGTCGCGTTTCTACGCGTTGCTCTGTCCAAGAACGAGGAGGTCGGTCTCCAGAAGCTCGCGCAGTTTGTTAGCAATACTCAGACCCTGGAGCAGATCGCCGCGGATCTAGAAAAGACCCTACGTCAGATCGAGGTGCCTAAAGAATGGGCCGAGACTGAGATCGATGATTCTAAAGCAGCACCACCAACAAGCATTACCACAAACAGCTTTGAGTCATGGGACAAATCCGAAGTGGAGCCACCTTCTCTGCTAAGGACATGGCAGAAAGCTGCCAAGGGCCTGCTGTTCAAGGAAGCATACGGCACCCAAGACAAGCTCCGACCTGATCTGCCTGTGAAGACCCATACTGTTCACGTCAAGGAGAATCGTCGCCTCACCCCTATAACATATGACCGAAATATTTTCCACATCGAGTTCGATCTTGGCACTTCTGGTCTTACCTATGCTATTGGTGAAGCTCTTGGTATTCACGCCGAGAACGACCACGACCAGGTCATGGAGTTCATTAAGTGGTATGGTTTGGATCCAGATGAGGTTGTCGAAGTTCAAGCTCGTGAAGGCGTTGACAAATTTGAAAACCGTACGGTCTACCAGTCACTCATGCAGAATGTGGACATCTTCGGCCGGCCACCTAAGAAGTTCTACGAGGCTCTTGCCGAGTATTGCTCGGACGACGAAGAGAGAAAGAACTTGCTCACCATTTCCGGGCCAGAGGGCTACAAGGAATTCCAGAGGCGAGCCGAAGTCGACACAGTAACTTACGCTGATGTCCTTCTAGAATTCCCATCTGCCCATCCCTCTTTCCATGAGATTGTGCGTATCGTTGCACCAATGAAGCGACGAGAGTACTCTATTGCTTCCTGCCAGGCAGTAACGCCTACCACTGTTGCACTAATGATTGTGGTAGTCAATTGGACCGACCCTAGAGGCCGTGACCGCTTTGGTCAAGCCACTCGCTACCTTTACAAACTGCGACCTGGTCAAGCTGTTACAGTCTCTGTCAAACCATCGGTCATGAAACTGCCCTCGAAATCAACACAACCTATCATCATGGCTGGTCTTGGTACAGGTCTTGCGCCATTCCGTGCCTTCGTCCAGCACCGCGCTATGGAGAAGGCACAAGGCAAGGAGATTGGAGCAGTCCTATTGTACATGGGTTCGCGTCATCAACGAGAAGAGTACTGCTACGGCGAAGAATGGGAAGCTTATCAGGCTGCTGGTGTAATCACTCTTCTGGGCCGTGCTTTCTCTCGAGATCAACCACAGAAGATCTACATTCAAGACAGGATGCGACAGACCATCGACGACATCGTGCAGGCCTACCGCAAGGAGGAAGGCTGCTTCTATCTCTGTGGACCTACCTGGCCAGTAGCGGATGTCACGAACGTGCTTGAAGAGGCTATTGCCAAGGAGTGGCAAGCTAACGGAACGAAGGTGAAAAAGGGCGAGACATCTAAGGAGATCATGAAGCTGAAAGACGAAAACAGATACGTGCTTGAGGTCTATTAAACATAAAACCAGGAACGGTTAAGCATATAGATTGTAAACTGATAATACGAAAGAGCTATTACATTACACGCTTCATTCTTGTTCCTCGGACATAATATAGTGACCTGTTAGAGCATACAAGCTAGAAGCAATGCTTATTCCCGTTGCCATGTTGCCCTCACATAAAGAAGTGGATCCAAGTTTACATGAATTGGTTTCATACTAACCCTCTTTCTCAATTATCTCATCTTCCGTTTGGACGATGCACCAAGCAATCGAGCAGACTCACATTTGCCTGCTTGTACCTCTACATTGACCTTGCTTTCGCCAATCAAACTGCATCGCCTACATAGCAATCCGTGTTACAAACACAAACATGAGTGATCATTCATATCCCATCACGATCCAACTCTCTTGGAAAGCTTCCTTGCATCCTCTCTAAAATACAGACCAACATCACCAATGGCAACCTCAACGCCTGTCCAACGTATCTACGACTCAACCCAGTGGGTAGAATCAGCAGGATGCATCCTCTTCGACTTTCGCAATACAGGCTTTAATCCTCTCACCGCACCAGTCCCCAGCACTACCACTACCACTACAACTACAACAGCCACACCACCCTCACCCTCACCCATCTCAGGCCTAGGCTCCCTCCCCACCCCACCCCACCCCACCGAAGAGCCCAAAATCGTCCTCTTCTACAGTAACCCACGCAACCAGTACCTCCTCCCCAAAGGCCGCCGCAACATCGGTGAGAGCCGCGCCGACGCCGCACTCCGAGAGACCTTTGAAGAAACAGGCCTGAAATGCTCCCTATTACCCGTAACGCTGCACTCACGCGCTACATCCGTCAACCCCGCCGACGACCGCACAACAGCTGGCGGCTACACCGTCGACGAACCACGGACATTCACCCGCGCAACCGAACCCTTCATGTGCATGGTGCGCCGCTTGAATTCTCGACGTGGCAGGGACCACACGGCTGCGGACGGGAGTATAGCGAGGCAAGTCGAGGAGTTTGTGCCGAAACATGTGGCGGAGTTGGGTGGGGTGGGGGAGGTGACGAAGATGATTTGGTGGTATGTGGGGGTTGTGGATGAGGATCAGGGGAGTGAGGAGGAGGTGGAGGGGAGGGTTGTGGAGCCCGGCTGTGAGGTTTGTAGTGTCGGAATGAGGGAGGCGATGGACAGGTGTAGTGATAGGGATGATGGGGTGGTTGTGCGGAGGGCGGTTGAGGTTGTGAGTGAGACCTTTGGACTTTGAGGTTGTGGGGAGGAGAGGGCGTGGGTAACATGGGATGTGGAAGACTGGGGATTAGGGACTCAAAGGCAAAATATGAAAGCGACATTAAGAATTACTTGGATTTGGCGTTGGAAGTCCTGGTGCGATACATTTGAAGTTCACCGTCCTTGAAGAGAAGCTATTTCTGAGTTGGAGATGTGTCTCAGTGATGAAGAAGGAAGCACGCAAACCAGTTGATTTAAAGTGCTACCAGTCTAAACTCTTCTCCGCTAACAGTTTTCTGAAGTCTTCACCCAGAGCATCGATGACTATCTTCACGTCTGGCTTCTTGACTATACCCTTCTTACCCTTTGTCCCACCTCCTGGAACATCCGGCTTTACCGTCTGGGCATCCACAACGTTGTTTTTGCCATTAGATTCGAACACGACAGTCTTCCCACCATCAGCATCAGTAGCTGACTTTTCCCAAATGACTTTATCACTTGCCCTGTTAGGCTTGCCCTCTAGTGTTAGTGGTGTGATAGGTGTCGAATCTAGTAAGTCTTGCCAGCGAGCTAGGTAAGCGCCCGGACCGGGATTCGAGGATACATGTGGTACTTCCGAGCCATCGTCGTGGGAAACACTCGTGGGTTTGTTTTGTGTCTGAGCTTGTGCATCTTTTGGACTCGGAGTTGCTGGTCTTGCAGGTGAGTTGGCGCGACTACTCGTTCGACTAAGTGTCAGGCGCTCCTTGATGGCTTTTGTCGCCGATGAGCCTTTCGCCGCGTCTGTAGGTGCACTACGAATGACATCTGATAGGCGTTGTAACGAGGAAGAGTGCATGGCGTTGATATAAGCGACCATATTGTCCAGTACCGACAATATCTTCTCGCGACTGTCGGAAGGTAAAGCCCTGAAGAGCTGTTGTAACGATTGTGTAAGATCTCCAGCATCAGACGCTTTGTCTGCTTCGGTCGTATTGAGATCCTCGGCACTTTGAGACTCGGTCGCATCAACGAACGAAGATTCCCGCTGAAACCGTGAAGCTGCGTATTTTGCCCAATCCAAATACCATCGAGTGACCTCACCACCATTCTTGCAAAGTTGATGTATAAATTTGTGTGTTGCAAACTGATGTTTTCTCAGTAGAAGAATGAAATCGCCCACACTGGGTATGACGGTCTGACCGTCCTTGCCAGCCGGCTGAATGCGACCTACCTTCAGCATATCGACGACAAAGGCTTGTAGATCTCCAACAGTGTCGGACAGATCGACAGCATTATGCATGCCCCGGATGACGGGTTCGTATGCATCGAAGAGGGTTCGCACCATGGTAGTGAGATGATCTGGATGTCTATGACATGCCACTTTGACGAGCTCGTTCCTGTCCCGAATGGAAAGTTTGCAAGCCAAATAGTCAAGGGCCAGTTTGTGGGTGTCTTCTTTAATGTCCGATGCTGTTCCTGCATCTGCAAGGATAGTAAGCACAATAGAGGTAGAAGATTCTTGACTGTGTTTTCGTAGCGATTCCTGTTTCTCTAGGTCTAGGGTTATGTATTTATCGAGAGCATTCAATACCTCCTTGCTCGGGCACTTCTTGTCTTTCGTGATCTTGGAGACACGACTCTCCAGATCTTTGACATCCCAGTTGAGCACAGTAGAAATGACTCTATCGAGAATTAGCATAAATCACGGTGCCTGATCAGAGGCATACGTACTGCTGTAACAAATTCATACCATCGTTTTCCGTGGCGGTCAATCCAATCCAATTGGTAAGGCTACCGATGCTCACCTTGGTTAATACTATCTTCACTAATCCACTAATCATAGTGGCGATATTACCGATCCTTAGAGTCTGTTTGATGGCCATATAAGGAACGAGTTTGTTAGCATTATCGATCAGCTTTAGGAGATATTGTCCCTTGGGTGACAAGACAAGTGTATAATGCATGAATGAGGCAAGGCTATGTGATCTGTTAGTACAGTTCGTAGATATATCGGCGGCGCCGCTGACAGGAGCTCACTTCACAAGCACAAACTCGTGTACCGCTTTGATCATATTGGTATGTTCTTCGAGCTTATCAGTCTCGCCTGCTTTCTTGACCAGGTCATCAAGCACTGAGCCATAGATACATTGGTCAACAAAATTGCGAAAGCCTCGAGCTAGATCCTCAGCGGACTGCAGATTGTATTTGTCGTTGTCATCATCGACCTCTGCAAATCCACCATATGTACCTCTAACTGGATACTCGATCAGGGCTGAGATGGCCGTAGAAAGCGTCTTGCGACTGCCAACAGTTCCTTTATCATAGCTTTCGCTCAAGTTGGCTGCCTCGAGGTCCTCAATGAGCTCACGGATTTGGACCTTCCAAAAATCTGACGGGACATCTTTCAATCCAGGAACTACGAGCACAAAACGAGATACTAGCGCTTGCAATGCTGGCGCCGTTGATAGTCTCTTGCTCTCTGATGTGAAGGGCGGTCCATAGGTCTCAAGTGCTCCTACTTTGCGAAAGTCTCTGATCTCAGCATACGTATCGTGGTGAGTTAGTATGTCCAATAGTGCTGATGCCTGGACTGGCGATAATGTTTCCGCCATTATGTTGGCGATGAAATTGTGCAAGTTGCCATGCGAGCAGCCGTGGCGTTTTATGAGTGACCTGACCGATGACGTTGCTGTATCTGATCACGAGAATGTTGCATGGTTAATATTGCTAAAAGTACTACCATCAAACGTTCTACATTTCTAGAAGGTGAAAGTTCGTTGTCTGAACGAGCACGTGAATTCTACATTTGCATGGTGGGTGTAGGTATTTCAGATCACTGTATCTGCATGACTGCTTGTGACACAGCCAGCTTGTGGGCAGACGGTCGTAAGAGATTCATAAGATACATATCGCTGAGGAATCGACGGAGAAATAGAGCAAGACATACTAGTGATTAAAAAGTAGATTGCTGTTAGGAACTACCAAATTACTCCTCTCACTTTAGGCCATATGAATTGAATCAATACTGCGCTGCATAAGAAAGCATGGCGGATGCAGACAATATATGCCTGCGTGGAAGACGTGCGAGTAAGAAAGAGAACCCTGCCAAAGCTTGTCTTGAATAGTGTTGCTATCGAAAATCGATCCACCATTTGTCTGGGGCCTGACTCTCGCCACATCCTAAGTGGTTGTTCTCGCGTACATGATACTCATGCTAGAATCTCGCTGCTATTCATTTAACACCATCTATGCCTCGCTTGCCGTCTCGAAGGCACCTGGGAATCGTCTAATGTTGTTCTCGATCTTGCCCTTGTTTCTCAAGAACTGAACGTAGGCACCATCAATCAAGACACGACCCTCCTGCTTCAACTTGACATACTCGTCTCGTCGTAGAGGTGTGAAACCCCAGTTCTTGCTGACAATGATCTTCTGTCGACCAGGGAACTTGTACATGGATCGTCGCAGAGCCTCAATGGCGGTTGCTCGGTGAGAGTCTCGAGTTCGGACAGATAGAAGGATTTGGCCAATGTTGACACGAGCGACTGTGCCGTTTGGCTTACCCCAAGCACCTCTCATTCCAGTTTGCAGTCTATCGGCACCAGCGCAAGACAACATCTTGTTGATTCGGACAACGTGGTATGGGTGGGCTCGGACTCGGAGATGGAAACCTTCCTTTCCTGCAATCTTGACAAGGTATCTGAGGAAAAGTCAACCACGATTCGCACATTTTTGGAAACTCGGTTACTCACTTGTTTGCGCAGATACGAGCAGCCTCAAGAGCTTCCGAGCTCAATTGCTCGTACTCGTTGGAAACCATGTGCACACATAGTGGGAATTCGTCGACGTTTGCTCGCTTTCGGCCAAGGTCGAAGATTCGAATTTTTGGGTCTGGTACACCACGGTTGAATCGAGATTTAGGATATGGCTGCTTTCAGTTAGAAGAATGTTTGCGCTCCGTGAAGACCAGCACCGACCTTGTTCTTGCAGTATCTGTAGCATCTGGCTGGTCGTCTGGCCATCTTGACGGTACTTCGTGTATAAGGTGGGTTGAGAGAGTGGTAAGAAAGTGAGTGAAGAGGTTGACGGCGACGATTTCATAACCTCGTCGCACTTTCCACTTGATTTCTAATAATTCTTGGCGGAGTGGCCGCAGTTTCGCCTCCACAAAATCAATTGGTCCTATCTCAGGATAAATTCAAGGTCTAGCAACCGGCCAAATATTTGTTCGGTCATAACTTCCTCCTTCCTTTTGCTTGTTAATCATCCCAATCTCGGACACTTATGCCATAGTCTTTGTGAGTCACCGACTACGTGGACTGTCTCTGCGCCGAGTCTAGCAGATCACTACGTGCCCGAGGATGACTGATCATGGTCGAATCCGCCAGTCTGAGGTTGAGCCAGACTTGCGGTGGTTGAAAAAGGTTCGATGATAGCTTCCCCTGTGACACTGCTACAATAATGCTCTGCCTGTGGGTTCTGACGAGAGGACTGATCTCAGATCTGGGTGGTATAGACTCCTGTGTATAAATCCTAGCACGGGCTCCATATAAGTGCTGTTCCAAGCCTTGGAATAAGACGTGCAGGGGCTCTCCCACACCGAGCTAATGGTAATAGAAGACGATCAGGTAGCAAACACTGGAGATCATGACCGTGGCAAGGTACAATTCTTTAGCCATAGTCTCTTGCTGTCAGGTTGATGAATGCCGAAAGCAGAAAGCAAGAAGCAAAATGTCGAGAGAAAAAGGTATTGCTTATTATTGTCGTCAGGAGCGAACGCTCGTCTCTAGCTGAACCAAGCTTGTATCGAATCTCGCATCGCTGCTTCCAACATTCAACACAGTATTGTCCGTACCTATGAATATGACTCCTGATCAAGTCGGTGGGTGCTATTATCCCAACACACCCGGAAAAAGAACTTCTGTTTGCATACTCTTCCCATGTTAAGCAATAATGAATCCTTAAGTATGGCTGACGAAGACCAACATCCGTCCCTGCCCACAACAGCGGATCCTCGCAAAGACAACAACGAAATGCAGGGAGATAAGAACCCGTCAGGAACGCGGAGCCGACAAGAATTATACTTTCGAGCATTGTGCAAAGAAGCTGAAGAAGTCTTGCAGCATGTGCTGAAGCACGTCTTGTTCAGCTTGGTCCTCTCAGTCTATTTGTGTTTCCTCCCTATACTTATGATTCTCCGAGTATTTGTATCAGCGGGTGATCATGATACTCAACTATCGAGCTCCGCGGCACAACCATCCTGTCGCAGCGGCACAATTTGCCAGGCAGTCAGTGAATACCACTTTTCGACATCCCTCCCTGTCTGGACAAAGGCAAAGCTCATCTGGAACAGACTCGATCGTCTATGCACCAGATCGGAGGCATGTGCTGAAAGCCTCGCCCCAAATGTAACACCTGAGAAGCTAGATCGTCCTTTGTCAGACATTGAATCAGATTTGGAAGCGATCGATTCCGTGAAAGAGCAACACCCACCTATAATATCATCTCGCATGCACCCCGCTGCTCTGAGTGAAACGCAAAGTCTCGACAGCCTCCATTCATCGTTTGATGCTGAGCGCAACACACAACTAGTGACCCCGAAAGCACTTCTGCCTGAGAAGGGCCACTGGAAGAGCATTACCCGGCTAAACAGCTTATCAAACCCCTAGAACATGTCTCCCTGTGTATGAGCCCGCCACTTGTTGCTGCTCGAATTAGTCAAGCCAAGTCGGTGTTGCAAAGTACATCCACCGATGCAGCAGACAAGTCGTATCAATCTCTGGAGAGTGATGCTCGATCGGAGTCCCTTGCAGAATCAAAGGTAGCAGCAGAGGAACAGCAGAACATGCAGAAGATTTCCAAGAACGATCCAATCAGATGTACAGCCTGCGAGGTCAAACCTGGTGAATCAGAGCGATCGTTGGACACCAAGCAGGAGGAACCGAAACCAGACACAGCCATTACGACACCTACAGCGTACACCACGGTATCCACTCCAAAGAGATCAAACCTACCTAAGTTCAGGAGGAGTTTGGCTAAATGAGCGAGCCAGTAGCATAGACTTGAAACGACGCATATAATGTTGGTGTTCACTATAAGGATGGTATGTTAGTCTTCTCGTATGTTTCGCGAGCGAGTCAACCCGATCGATGCTTCGTTCTATACCTGGGTCTGCTTGGGCTAGAAGAATTGGTACACGTATTTAAGGTCTTGTTAGACCCGTCGAACTATCTGCTACCGCCAGCGTATTTCCACTCCGTGTAAAGTAATGAAACTGTTAATACTGGTGGACAGTAATTTTATGAACGTAGATTTCGAGCTCATACAGGCAGTCTCGTGTTTGCGGGCGTGTTCTCAGACGCGACAGGACGCACTCACGTGTCACTTCGTTAGCGCGTTTCTGAACTCGACTGGCCCGAAACCAATTGTAGCCTTGGACCAATACACGATTTTCCTTTGAGTAAATAGTTTCAACCCTTTCACAACTACACAATCGCTTACCACAACCATGGAGAACTTTGAAAACATACATCTGGACCTGTCCAAACAGTCGGGTCGATGTAGACTTGCAGAAAGTGGTTTAGGATGGAAGCCCGCTGGTGGCACTGATCCGTTCACTCTCGACAGCAGTGCGATCGCAGGTGCACAATGGTCGCGAGCCTCCAAGGGCTACGAGATCAAAATCTTCACAAGGGACAACCAGGTCATACAACTAGACGGCTTTCAAGAAGAGGTATGGCTGGAACACGTTGCGCCTGGGCAGTACACTAACATCTGTACAGGATCACGATCGCGCTGTGAAAGCTTTCAAAATATGGTACGGTGTGAATGTGGAGAGCAAGGAACACGCCTTAAGAGGCTGGAACTGGGGCAAGACTGAATTTGGACGGTCAGAACTGGCATTCAACGTTCAGAACAGACCAGCATTTGAAATACCTTACTCCGAAATCTCCAATACGAACCTGGCAGGCAAGAACGAAATTGCCGTAGAATTCAACTTGGGTGCAGAACCGCATACAAACGGCACGAATGGTGTCAATGGTAACGCTGGCAAGACGAAGAACAGGGGTCGTAAGGCTGCCGCTGCGAGAGATGAGCTTGTTGAGATGCGATTCTATATCCCGGGCACAGTATCGAAGCGCGACGCAAACAACGAGGATGAAGATGGTGCTGGTAGCGATGCCGAGGAGAAGAACGGCGACGACGACCAGGAGAACGCTGCCAACGCTTTCTACGAGACTCTGATGGATAAAGCAGAGATTGGGGATGTTGCTGGCACCACGTTCGCCACGTTTCAAGACGTGTTACATCTCACACCTCGTGGCAGATTCGACATCGATCTGTACGAAACCTCCTTCCGACTGCGTGGTAAGACATACGATTACAAGATTCAGTACGACCACATTAAGAAGTTTTTCCTCCTACCCAAGAACGACGAAATGCACACTCTTATTACTCTCGGCCTGGACCCTCCACTACGACAAGGTCAAACAAAATATCCCTTCGTGGTCATGCAATTGAAGCTCGACGACGAAGTCAACCTAGATCTCAACATGACCCAAGAACTGCTGGAAACGAAATACAAAGACAAACTGGATGGTCACTACGAAGCTCCCATACATCATGTTATCGCAAAGGTATTCAAAGGACTCTCAGGCAAAAAGATCATAATGCCTTCTAAAGACTTCACGTCACACCACAACATGAATGGTGTGAAGTGCTCCATCAAGGCCAACGAAGGTCTTCTCTACTGCCTCGACAAATCATTCATGTTCGTACCGAAACCAGCCACATACATCTCTATCGAGCAAGTATCGAATATCACAATGTCCCGAGTTGGTGGTGCACTGGCTGCTAGTCGCACCTTTGACATCACCATCAGTCTCAAGAGCGGAGGCGGCGACCACCAGTTCTCTAACATCAACAGAGAAGAACAACAGCCGCTAGAGGACTTTTTCAAAGCAAAGGGTATTAGATTCAAGAATGAAATGCTGGAGGAATCATCGACACTTCTCAAAGCTGCCATGGACCAAGAACTCGCCAGTAGTGAAGACGAGGAGGGTGTCAACAGAGGCAGTGCCGATGAAGATGATGAGTCGCCAGACGAGGACTTTCAAGCTGGATCTGATTCTGATGTTGCGGAGGAATTCGATTCTGATCATGAGTCTTCAGGAGGTTCCGATGCGGAGATGGAGGATGCTGATGGTGATGATGGAGATCAGGAGGAGGAATCTCGGCCGAAAAAGAAGGCTAAGACTTGATGTTCTTCAATGTGTGTGTTTTTAATAATTTGATACCCTGGCATAATTTGCTATGCTACAGATGCTATGAACGATTGGCCATGATTTGGAGTAGGGAATACTGTTTTCTTGGCAATATCACAGCATAACAGACAAAGATGCAAATTGGCTATTTCGCATAGCATATTTGATACAGGGGTCATTGCTCTCGTAGCTACTTTGCAGTCGTTAAAGGCAATTACAATCTTGACAGCGCTCGCTGTGTGCCAAATGCCTCGAGCACTCTAGGAGAGGCGCGGTCCTGCGAAACTCTCGAAAACGCCCTACACCTTGAACTGATGCTTGCAAAAATGCTCACTATCATGCCGCCGATACATGTGTGGGTAGTGCCTTGCTTGAGACTAGTCGATTCACCCTCTGCGACCTGTCTTGGGCTTCGCAAATGTCCATTCCAAGTCGTAGCCACACCCATCACACACTCTCAATAGTAATCTTAAACACTCTCCCCTCCAGACTTGGCTCCAGTATTATCACCACCTCCCTCCCGTCCCCCACCACCCTCACTCTTCTTCTTATCCGCCCCACCACTAACCTCACTCGTCCCCGAACTCAACCCCGGATTCGCAGGACTAGCATCCAACGGATTCACATCATTCCCCTTCCCAGCCTCCTTCATCGCCTCCTCCGGATCATTCGAGCTATTCGGGTCAAACGCCGCGTGGTCCTGAGCCGCAGTCTCTTCTTCCGTTCCTGACTTGGAGTATTCGTCGGATTGGCGGTCGATCTTTTCGCGATCGAGTTGGGCGTCGCGTTGCGGGTTGGGGTGTTGTGTGGAGGAAGCGACGCCGGTTTGGAATCTGCGGGAGTAGAGGAGGGGGGTATGAGTTTTTGGGAGGGGGGTGCGAGAGATGATGAAGGCTCTTTTGAAGGGTGTTAGACGGGAGGCCATGGTTGTGTGTGTGTAGGACCTGATTCTTGATACTGAAGGGACAGCTGATGGTTTCGAATTAGGTTGTAGTAGGAGTTGAGGTTGAGCAGAGAAATCTTCGCTGTTGTACTTTTTTCAATGAAGCTATGGTATAGCTCTGAGTCGTTGCGTTTTGCTATGATCATCAGCAAAGGATTAGTCTTCCGCTCATGCATCATGACGACGTCATTGCTGGTTTCACGGCCAAACTTACTCCAGACTCGTGTGACCCCTTTAAGCTAGTAGAACGAACTTGATGTCGTTATGCCTATAGACACGACTTGGACACTATTGTAGATTTCTTGAGCATGCTCGAGGAATACTTGGTGCGTGTTAGTAACAGAAAGCAAGAAGACGGTTTGACGAATACCCTGATCTGCTGGAGATGAATAGCCTGTCATGGTTAATCAGTTAACCGGCGAAGCTGAGAAGTACTACGTGGTGGTAGCAGAAGAAGCTCAAGAAGGACAACACATTCAATCTTCATGATCTTTATCACTCTAACTTGCTAGCCGCAGAGGCTCAACCAGGAGTGTCAACCGTCATGCGCTTCGATCCCCGAAGGGAGAGCTCACGAGGGCAAACCCAGCGGCGAAAAGAACTCTGCTGACTGTCCAAGTCAATAAAGCCCTGACCAGCAACTGCAGCAGCTCAACCAACATGATAACGTCAAACGTTCACCGAAATGAATGCCCGAGGACTAGCACGTTGGCGAGTGCACATCTGCAGAAGGGGCCAGCCAGGGCCAGGTCTGAATTACCCATCCAGACAAAGACCACATTTTCCAAATCATAATGCGCAACCAAATCAGCATCAACCATGATGCAGAGCGCATGTTCCTTATTCTCTTGTTCCCATCCCTCAGAAGAGCATGCAAATTGAACTTCCAACACAATTATCAAGACTTTCCTCTCTTGTCCAACTCTTTTGTCCAGCATTTCCTTTCGAGTGAATCAGATGCCAACTTGTGTTGTTGTCGTCACAAAGATGTGCCACCATAGCTCTATGGCAATTTCTCTGTACCACATCAGTATGAACATCACTCATGCGGAGGTATGTTCTCCTTACCCCTGCCCTTGTAGTCCTTTTTGTAGTCTTTTGGTGGCGGAGGCTTCTTGTCTGCATGAGACTTGCTCGGCTGATTCATCAAGTTGTCGAATACTCCGACCTTCTTTGGCAAAGGCAGATACTCGCGCTTGGTTCTGTCGATCTTCTCTTTCCCAGCTGTAAAAGTTGGCTGTTCGCCCTGAGACTTTACGAAGTCCTTGTTGAGCTTTTCGGGATTATATCCACAGGACTTCAAGGCTTTTGTCAAGGAATTGTTCTTGTCCTTGAAGATTTCGATTTCTCGACGGGCGGATCTGTTCTCGCCTTGTGGTCGAAGAGAGTCAGAGGTGAGAGATGAACGTCTTGAACTAGATTCAGTCTCAGCTCGAACTCTGGTAACAGCGTCTTCTGCCAGAAAGATTGGGTCACCGAAGACGTCTTCGTCATTGGGGACCGCTGGGCTCTCTCCAGCCTCGAGGTCGGCCAGCAAGGTATCTGGGACGACCTTCTTTTTGGTATTATACGCCGACGTTCTCGTCTTGGGCATGGCTCTGGATCGTTTGAGGTCAGAGACTGATCTGCTCACTTTCTTGTCATGCTTCGTACTGCTCTTGGGCTGAAGCTTGGGCAGTGCAGGTTTAGAAGGCCCATCCTTATCAACGGTCTCGTCTAGAGAAGCAGCAGGCTTTGAGCGAGGCTTTTTCACAGGTCGCTGCGCGGTAGCGACCAAGTCCTCATCGTCGATGTCCACAACCTTTCTTTTGCCCACCTGCGGAGCGGTTGTGGTAAGAGAAGATTGCAACTTGGGTTCTTCCTCTACCACCTGTTCAATTTCAACACTTTTCTTGCTGGCCTTGACAGAGATTCTGGTGTCAGTCGTGGGCTGTTGGGCAGTGGCGCCCTCTGCTAAATCAACACTCTCAGTTGGCTTTAATCGTTTCTGAGATGGAATGTTAGACATCTCATCGTCACTTCGCTTGCGCTTCTTTCCAGATGAATCGATGACCAGCTCTGGAATGGGGTCGGTAGCAACGTCTCTTGCTGTTGCTGCAGTCAAGCCAGGTGTCTCTGGCTCAATGTCTTCTGGAAATATTTTCGATCCTGCACTGGACTGCTTGGACTTTCTAGCCTTCTTCACCTTTTTAGATTTCTCTTCTTTATCTTCTTGGCTCTGCGATGAGTTTGAGGCTCGTTGACACGCTCCTCCAGCCTGGAATTGTTCCTCGTCAAAATCTTCGTCACCTTCGTCCACTCCTTCGTCAGGACTACCCCAAGAAATTGTTGACGGCGGTGATTTTCTCTTCGAAGCTTTGGTTGTTGGTTCGGATTTTGAAGGATCAACTTCTTGAGGAAGAGTCTAATGCAGGTCAGCCAAGAAGTGGAAGAAGTCAGAGCTTGGACTTGTCACTCACAGATGGAGTTTGATGAGGAGGATTGAGGCGAGGCTTTTGTGTTTTGTTCAGGCGCGTGGACGTTCTTATACCTGCGGAAGATTGTCCGCCAGATGCAGGAAGTGGTGAGTAAGGCTTCATCTGCGAAGACGTTTGCTTAGAGTTGTTCTTAGCCATGACGAACTAAGAATTACCAACGATAAGGTTGCGCTTGACTCTGATTGCTTTGTGTCGCTAATGGAACACTGTCGCGCTGAGGCTATTGATAGTCAGATTGTTCTGTATGATACTTCGCGCAACTTTTGTCGCAAGGCTCAGCTGTCGAGAGAAGTGGATGAGTAAAGAAGAGAAGGGAAGATTCATCCAACAAGTTGACAGCTTTTGTATTGGTCTGCATGTCACTAACTCGTGTGTTGCGTGGACCTTGACCTGTGAAACTCCTAGCTCCAGTGTCGATACATATTTATGTGTGTTGCCTCTGAGCATCGGTGATAGCTGCAGTGAAAGTTGGCGGACTAGTGTTAGGTCGAGCACTGCACCGCAGAATCTACGCTCCTTTCTGTTTCCATCCTTTCACTCTGAGTCTCACTCCGACCTTCTCATCGTAGTGCCAGTCGAGCTCTTTCTGTGGCAGCTGGATTCCTGTCCATGACACTACTTCACTCTTCTCAGCCTCGTGCCAGTTGTTCGCCTGGTTTTCCAGATCTTCAGGCCAAAATGTGTCGCATTCGTAGCCGTCACTGCCATCAGTTCTCTCAATCTCAGTCTGTAGTATCCGCAGCCTGGGTCGCATTTGCTCGTCTTGTAGGAATGACTTATAGATTTCCGAGCCTCCTATGCAGAAGATACCGGATTCGTTAGCCTCATCGACTGAAGCCTGGGGTGAAGCAACGACAGCAATAGCTGATTCTGGGATTTTTTCGATGGTAATCAAAGATCCAGTAGGCTTTGTCTCAATCCCGATATCAGACTGAGCCAACCTCAACTTCTTCAGTTCCAGCATAGTCAGATCTGATTGTTGATTGCTTAGGACTTCTAGCCACTTCTCGCCATATTTCTTAGAAGCCCACTGCTGCGCTTGCTGCTTTTGCTCTTTCAAATCGTCCAGAATCTGGTCGACGACTTGACCGACACCAGAACGCGTGATGACAATATTCTTCCTTCGTGCCAGAGGTCGAAATTTTTGTGGTATAGAAATATACGTTTTCCGTCCCATAATGACAGAATTTACTGCTGAGTTGGATATTGTAGAGTGAGGATCTGTCGCCGTGCCTTTCTCTGTGACTTCCTTGAAATAGTTCATGTCTGCTTTGATCATCGGCCATGGCAGACTTCCATCCTTTCCGATTCCCAGTGTTGATTTGGTTGTGCCATTACTGGATTTCATAGTACATGGAGTGGTGGCGACCACGAGATATATTGGTCTCAATCCTTTTGATGCATTGGTGCTGAGCATGTCGATCTTCTCGGCTTCGGCAGCTACAGGATCTCTATCTTGGAGTTCTGTTGGTGATGGTGTGGAAAGTGTCGTGCCGGGTGGGGTCTCCATGGGCTGCTAATGGTATCAAAGTGGTAGCTGTCATATTCTAGTGGTCGTGTCAAGCATAATCAAGAGTCGATGTGTCAGAATCGTCGACACGCTCACCATGGACACGTCTAGCGATCAGGACAGATTGTTTAAGCGAGGTGGAGTGAAATATCTTGCTGTAAATCAGGTCTCCACATTAGAGCTCGCCTGTGAGATCAAAAGAAGCAGAATCCTGAATAGGTGATTTGCGAGGTTAAGAAACAAGTCTATTTAATCACTCTAGCAACGTTTGTGGTCAAATTGTTCATTCGCAGCAAGCTACCTGATTCCACAAACTACAAGCGAGCACACCATCCTCCAGGTGTCGATTGTACAACTTATGCTGTTGTACATATCCATGAGGATCAGGCTTTAATCTGCAGTGGCAGAGCAGCCATATCTACCTTGTAGGCGACCTTCTCCTGCTGGTATCGTCGATGACGTTAGAGCACTCGTTTGACAATACTTTGCAGGATGGTGGCAGATGCCATGATACCATTTATTCGGTCAACCTATTGGTGTATTTCAACCAAGTGACTGAGACCAGTTCGCAATGAGGCAGGTCTGATCCTGTGCTGTGCAATATATCAGGTCAAAGAGTTATCTCGTTGACTGTAGTTCTGTCATGGGGAAGGAAAGCCACATCGACACTTTCAATCGTTGACCATTTTGGTGTCTTCCTCTCCTTTCTGCTCGTCAAGCGGCCTGGAAAGCTTGTCTCCATTCTGCTTAAACCATTCATGTAGACCTCTCACGACAGCATCCTCGTCCTTCTTCAGGTTTTCAGTCTTCTCTCGCTCTTCGTTCGTCTGGTCACTGACCAGGGTATCGAGGTTCCCCAACAGCCACAACTCCTTCATAGTCCTCGTGAGAACCATCAACTCTTCCGCAGCACGTATCAAAGCCATCGTAACCGTGTCTGCGAGGAGCTGATGGTTTGCTGTATCGACTAGAGAAGGTGGTTGTTCGGGCGTGTCCTTCTCTGGACCGGCTGGGTCTGCACTTTCCAGCAAGTTTGAAAGGCGGAAGACGAAGATTTGTGTGAGGACATCGATGCGTGCTGTCAATGCGCTTGTCAGTCCCCAGCTCTAAAGGGCGAGCCTTATTTTGCTCCTCTTACCCAGCATGTACTGCGCATTTGGCTTGGTAGAAATGACGTTCTCGCGCTTGGTGCTTTTGGCTTCCGCTTGAGCAGCCTTCGCAGCTGCTAGTGTGGGATCCTCTGCCATGGGTGTTGTAGTCGCATGTTCAGATAGTAGTGTTCATTGCAAACTTGACTAGGCTGATTGGCGGTCAATCAACGAGAATTGGCATACTTCGTCTGTTTCGAGAGTGACTAGGCCTCGTGAGACAACGCTCAGACTCGGCTAGACAGAATGTGATATTCTGCAACGATCTTGAGTTTAAGATGGACCACGCTCAGACTTGGTGGGAGAGGGAGCCCCAATGCGGTCACCAGACCTGCCTATTGCGGCAACGCCAGCAACTTCGTCAACCAGTTAGGGCTTAGATAGCGCCACGAGCACTCGGCCACGAGCACTCGGCCACTTTCAATGGTACTTGCCGCCACCGAGCATTTTATCAAGCTTAAAAGCCGGCAAGTCGTTGATCTTAGTCCTCTGTATGCATCAGATAAGGACGCGCAAATCTACGTCTACTACTATTCACTCGAACACGAAGATACTAAAGAAAATATATACATTACATTTCTAGGCCGCACCAAACGCAGACTGGTTGTACCTACAAAACCCGTAGGCCTCTCAAACAGGCTTTGCAAGGAAAAGTTACGATGCTGTGAGCCTCCCATTACGTTGACTCTCCTCCCTCATCCACACCCTTCTGCAACGGCACGGCTGCACCCCAAACTTACCATCTTGTCCTTGATCCAGGAGGTCCACGTGAGATACGTTTGCTACGTCGCTCATAACCGTAATCTGTCTCACCTTTGTAAGTGGGTCTGTCGCTACTCGAGAATCGCTCAGTGGCTGCTGGGTACTTGGGTGGTGACTGGACCGAAATTCGTACCGGTATTGGTAGCCGAGACGGCGACGCTTTCTTCACGTCCCGTGGATATTCGGAAAGTGTAGGCTCTTCGCTTGGGTGGAAAGTGGTCGCCTTGGCATTCAGCGTCCGAACAATTGCGGCTACTGCAGGGGTTACGTAGGGAAACGTGCGTGCTCGTGGATTCAAGCTCGACACACTGTCGCTTGTTTGCTTGTCTTGTTCGTGTTCTTGTTCGAGGTAGTTTTTCCGACAGCGACTCAAGTTCAATTGTTCCTGAGAAGGGTTCACTGGAGCCTCGAACGTGCGTGCTGTTGGATTCAAAGGCTTACGCTTGATTGTTGGTGTCGACTCTTGTGACTTGACTGATTCTCGCGATTTGACGGACTCCTGTGAAATGACGGGCTCTTGTGGCTTGAGGGGAGACTTGATAATCCCATCGACTTTGTTCTCCTGCTGGCCCTCGACCTTCGCCTTCTCCCTCGCTATGTGCTCATTCCACTGCGCGACATCGTTGTTGCCACTCCACTTGCGACTCATGTCAAGAACCACTGTTGTACGGTGCTCTCGAGACTTCCTCTTTCGCTTAATAGTTGTCGTACTCTCGCTCGGATATAGCTCTTTTTCGGTGCTTGGTGAAGGTGGAGTTACATTCTTGGTGACAAGGCTTCTCAAATACTCCGGACTAGGCGCCTCCCCGACTTGCTCTTCTCCGTAATAGTGGGTTTTCGGTCCTGGCGGCAACTTGACCTTCTCTGCTTCGGTGCCTTGATAGGTTGGAGGCCGCCTGTATGGCTTGTATACTGGTGCAGGATTTTGAGACTTACCTAAGTTGAGTGCGTTGGGAATAAGGTCTGATGTGTCCTTCTTGACTCGATGGCCAGAGCGTAGGGTGCTTGGATGTCGCTCTATTGAATCAGTGTGACCTGTCGAGACTTTGTTAGTACGCTTTTGCTCACTTACCTGATTATGTGGCCCTGGAACTCCCGACACAGCTGTGGCTTTTTCATGACAAGGTCGATGTGCTGTTGGTGATGGTTGATCGAAAAGTTGCATGTACGCATCCTCATCCGACGATCCTTGTTGGGGTATTGCTGTAGGCGGCTTCTCTTTTGGTTTCGTCCCAACGACAAAGCCTTCGGAGTCGTACACCCACTGGTGTCCTCTCGGGAGATGTCGTCGCGCGCGGTCTACGTGCTCGGTTACTGTCTCAATGTAAGAGTCGCGGGAATGGAATTCATCCTCGCTGATGCCCACAATTGCTCGTTCAGGCATGCGTGGGACATGAACCATGTCATTTTGAACTGCATGTTTTGCGATATACTTTCCAAGGCGTTTTTCGGGATTCAGGGCTCTGGAGGCTACCCCTTTTCCAACCCGGTCACCAAGCTTAGATGTAGTTGAACGCTTCTCTGACAGAGTTTTCGAGGTCTTCTCGGGTTGATGACTGGAAACAGTTCTGGCGTAATTGCTGTCGAGGTGTGGCTTCTTGGCCGACCGCTGACTAGAATTACTGTTACGAAACATTGATGCCCGCTTGGTGTCGTTATCTTGTATGGGCGATGACTCAGATGGAGAGAGTAATATCGAAGTCGGTGAAGGCCAACGAGACTCGGCGCACGTCCAGCGTGGTCTTAAGCCGGTACTCATGCGATCTGCGTCTGCTGATGTTGTACGTTAATTTTTGTGTATCTGCACTATTTGCTCCTTTCGGAAGAAGTAAGATTTAGTGGGACTGCAAACAATTTTTTTAAGCAAATGAACAGAAAATTGACTTGAGGCCAGTCAAAGGTAAGTTGACAAAGACTTCCACTCATATCGAACAACGAAGGCGATGACAAGTCTTTGTCCATAGCCACAAGATATTCTGGGTATCAATATCCATATTGGCTGTGCTGACGTCGGGCTTGGAGTACATGGACGGCGCATTGTAAGAATAGCAGTTGAGCATTAGTCGTACTCGCTTCATGGTTCTGTGCTCGTAATCTCAATTGTTGGCGACGGAGCACATATACATCAGCTTCAACATCTGCTAACAATAAAATCCGAACCTTGGCGAAGTTTTGATGACCACATTCCTATTGGTCTCAAGCTTGACCTCCTCCTGCCATGCCGCCATCTTTCTAGTGGTCAGAGTGAAACTGGGCATAAGATGTTTAGGCGGAACATGAGAGAGAGTCAACACTGAAGATGCCAATGCCTCCGCATGTTGGTCCAAGTGCCGAGTCTCTGAGAACTCGTTAGCAGGACCAGTGCCGGTTCATACAAGAGATTAGCTCAGGCGTATCTAGCCTGATTCGAAGCCGAGCTAGATTCGAAGGTAGATCAGATAGGTTGACGCCTTAATAACTCAAGTTCAAGACCTTATTGTAAGTGCTCAAAAGTGTTCATCTCAAGCCAAAATCACAACTGCGGTGCTGCTCAAACATGTCTTGTAAGAGGAACAACAACGAGACCTTTGAACTCAATATGCCACGGTCATTATTACTCAATTGGACAATACCCATACCAGTTGTCCGAGCTATATGTTTTGGGCTTTTGTCTGATGGTGATATTTGGGGGCAGATAATCTGTGTACTTACTGATCGGGCATTGTGGTCAGACCACTATTAGCATCGTCGCTGCTGATGAGTACAAGAAGTAAGCAGAAAGACAGACTGCGAATCAGAGTCGGGTACTGTTATTGCGCAATACACGATCCAAAGCTTGTTCTCCATTCCTGGCCGTTCTACAGATTTTCGCGCGGTCGTACTTTCTACTCCTGTGGTGCCAGGATAATGGGACAGAGGCGACGTGTCTCATGCTACCTGGTGTCATCCAGATAGAGGTGCCGAAACTTGGAAGCTGAAGTAGTGAGACCGAGAAAATGCCGGAAGTATACAGAGGCGTTGCAGGGTGCAGTAATACTTGGAATCAAAAAGTCCTCGTAACGCTCTCCACATGTCGTATAGAAGCCTGTGTTTTGCAACTCAAGGGATTGTGGTTTTGGGCACTTTCACGTAAAACCAAGCAGAGTGGGGGCACAGGACGAATTCTCGCAGCTCCAAAAGCCGTGCTGTGAAGCGGTTTATGGTGGGCATTTTGGTGCTCTTTGTATGGCTGTCTTTGAGTCCACCCCCACGGGCATCCATGTCAGCAGCCCGTGCAATTCGTTCTGACTGCCAAGATTGTGCTACTGCTGGACGTTGTCCGAGAGTCGATTGATATAGAGGACAGGTCAGAATGTTGCCAACGTCAAGACTGCACATGGCTACAGATTCAATCTGCTAGTTGTTTTCGCGCCGACACAATATTTCGTCATTGTCTCATCCTTCTGGGACGTAGATAGCAGTACTTGTACAAACAAGGAACAATGAGCAGCAAGCTTTCCGGTATCCGTTGCGTCCATACACATGCCGTGTGCTCCAAGTAGACGAATGGGTATCACAACAACCAGCGTCAGAGTCTCTGTTTGCAGAAGACAATATAATCGAGCGTGGCATGTTATACAGCATAGAAGAGAGACATTGACATGCTGACTATGTTCTGTTTTGCCTATTTTCCAAGCAATTGGCCTTTCTCCACCATAATCGTGGCGGAAGTCAATCCAACTCTAATCATCAATGGATCGGTGAGAGAAGACCGTGCAATGCCGAGCCGACAATAACCATGGATATGGCGAATTGAAATGCTACCATATTCTTCTGCAAAACTTCTGTTGTTATTAGTCGGTGAGACCGTTGGCAGATGTGGACCAGTGTCGTGCAGTAACGACAATCTATCGCCTCGATGCTTGTGGCAGAAAGCAAGCAGTCCATTGGTACAGGTTGGACTTTTTTTTCCCGCTTATCAGGACGATCATGAACAGCCTGGAACGGCACCACGTAAAGTGGTCTGTGGGGTTTTCTTAGTTTGTACCTCGTGCAAACCGTTGCTTGCAGCCCACCAAGCCACCACGCGGAACTTGCGCAAGTCCTCGTAACGTACACTTAGACTTTGTTCGAGACTACAACCAAGCCTTCCTTTAATCCAGGAGTCTGTCCTGTCCAATCCGTTCACCGACGATTTCTCTGCTTCGCACACACCTGCCCTGTCGTCCCGGGCCATTTTTCCGACTGGCACTTTTCCATACCGTGAACTGACACTGGATATTCGCTGTCTGCAATATTGAGATATCACTTCACACTAGCTTGCAAACCAATATACGTGCCCATGTTGCGACATCTGGCAGATACAGGACTTACTTTTCCCAAGTCTCGTTCGAAATGCACCACAACCCTTCGTCCTCCTATATGAATATCCTGCCACATCATTCGCTGCCGTCGCCCGACTATACTGGAGATTCAGACAGTGAATCAGAGATAGCCAAAGAGCTGGAGCAAAAACGCAGAGAACTGGACGAGGAAATAGTTCGTTTTCGGGCACTGAAAGACAAAGAGTTCAAGGACTTTGAGGCAGACCTTAAATCTAGAAGAAGACAAAAAACCGTCCATCAGCAGCACCTGCAGAGAGACAATTGCGTTAATCACTATGAACTTATCGAACACTCTCCCTCGAGTACTCCTCCAACGAAATGCATACTCAGTGCTTACGAGAACAAGACCAGGACTTCAATTAAGCAGCTGCAGCCAATTCGACTTATGAAGTCCAGTACTGGACCCAAAGTTACACCACCCACCATCTGCTTAGACAAAATGAATATTTCGTGCGAGCATAACCTTCAGTCACATGCCAGCTATCCAACGCCGCCCATATCAGTTCCCATAGTCACATCTGGTCCAGGTCGTGTCTCTCCACCAAGCACATGCTTGGCAACAGCACTGCCTGAACAGCCTCGGGACAAGCCTCCACATTCACCCGATAACAAGAGGCTCTCTGCATCAGAAGCTCTGTTTGCCCCGGGTTACCTACCTTTGCTCGATGCACGTTACGACAGTACCGATGGCCAGGTTGAAGGCATCCAGACAGAACCTGCCACACCCACCGATCCAAGTATGATTGTCTCAATCGTCGCTCATGCTTCATCACTTCCGATCGAGTCGTCTCTCAACGAATCTTTCCAGATACCCCAAGCTAAACGTGCATATACCTCGCCATCATCAATCAATCGTTCTAAACTGCCACCAATCATCCGAACTGCCAATGGAAGAAAGCGGACCGGTGGAAAGAGGAAGCACGTTACCTTCCAGCTCGCAGATCGAGTTATCGTAGAGCCAAGCTCGAGCTATGAGGAGGGACCTTCGCCAGAGGCCAACAACGATAGAATCGACACCCGTGACGACAACGATTCGACTAGGTCTAGTCCCTCCACTAACAGTGACGGCGAGCATACAAGACCCAGATTTCAACGTAAAAGTACTCCTCTCGATCCTTTTGGTCGCCGCAAGAGGCCGGTCGAGACACCCGAGGAGGAGGTTGGAATGTTGATGGGTGACCTCATGTATGGGTCTGATGCAGGAGACGAATCTCTCAATGTAGATCCACCGATTATGTTGCAGGAACACGACTATTTCTCTCCTACTCACGCTACGTACAGATCAAGTTCGATGATCTTTGCGAGGTCTGCCACGTCCGAAGTTGTGGACACTGATGATCAGGTCAACAAGGGAATCTCTAGCTTGCAGAATCACCGCAACAGTCCGACTATATCGCAGCGAATAGCTTTCGACAACGATCCACATATTGGCAGAGAAACTTCCCCAAAGTCAATCCAATCTCCGAGATTCCCTCCACCACACTCACCGAACACAAAGCCAACGCAAACGCGACGTGCTGGAGCATTTGAGGACGAGGATTTCCTAGGCCATGGAAACGTAGGATTTTTCGAGCTCGACGAGGAACTCCATACTGCTTCCGGAGCTGGTAGCACAGGACATGGCACAACACAATACAAGGACGAGGAAATGGACATCGAGGAGAACACGACGAACAAGAAACGTCGGACGCCTGATGCGACTTCTATGGGTTCAAGCCTACCCATCAACATCGTGAGGCCCGGAAACTCGAATATCAGCAACAGCTGGGCCGGCAGGCTTGGACAGTGACCAGCTTGATCTACACCTCGATCCAAATTCTCAACGAGCCCTCGACCTCTATGAGTCTTCTCACTCCTTCTCATCAACACATCCAAATCAATGCATTTAGCGAGGTTTCCTGGTCTGGTCTGGTCTGGTCTGGTCTGGTCTGGTCTGGTCTGGTCAGTCATCTGATATTTCTGTTCAAAAGTTCGGAGTTATACATAAATCGACAGCAAGCAGCCTTGCTTTTTTTTTCTACATTTCGAGAAGGGGAACGGATGGCCATTGTGCTTCGAGCTGTATATAGCTTTTTCTTTCCGTTAGTCGGCTCATCGCCGCGGTGGCTTGTGGGCAGAGAATCGCAGTTAGAATAACGTGGCTGATACTATGTCATTTCTGAGTTTGATTCCCTTAATTGCTTTCATCGTAGTGCTACAGGCCATTGTAGAGCGTCCAAACAAGACTTGCAAGAGCATGCAGGTCATGTCATGGGCAATGCCGCTCCATCTATCTAGCATATGCCTCCTCCAGTAAATACAGCGCTTCCACTCAAAAGGACTGTGCAGCGCTACAACCTGGACTCGAAGCATACGAGTTACTAACTCATTACTCATGCTTGAGATCCATACATGGTGTGAGACTCCTGTTGAGCTCTGGTTTCAGGTGCCTGCCGTGCTCGTATCTGTGTCAATCCTTGGCCAGTGGTAGACAACGTGTAGACATGATCCCAGTCACACAATTGATGGAGTAAGCCGCACTCGAGTCGGCCAGAGGTAGAGCTGGGCTAGGGAAGTGGCGCATGTGCCAGGAGAGAATCAAATTTGATCGACCTGCTGAGTTCGAACCACATCACGAGCCTGCCCATCAACGCCTATGCTATGAGGTGGGCCTGTTCAAATCCACAAAGAGAACCTAACCAGACTCCTCTTCCTCCTTTGCCAGGCCTTCCTCTTTCAGAAGAGCATCGATCTCTTTCCCGCTCCAAATATGGTGGTATATTGTGCCGTCTTTCGTTCTTCCTACCGTCGCAAACTCGATCTTCTCGCTGCTCAATTTTGTTGAATCCATGGTTTTGCTTAGAATCTTGACTGCCAAACTGCAGGCCTCTTTGAGGTTACAGTCTTCCTTGTAATCCTGCTTCATCAAACTCTGAGCACTTGCATTGTTGGCGCCCACACTGGTAGCTTTCCAGCCGCCGTAATTGCCTGACGGATTACTCTGGTAGAGCTGGAACTGTCTCTGTGGGTCCCAGCCTGCATAGATGAAGGAAACACCGAAAGGACGCAGACCACCGTGCTGTGTATATCCTTGCTTGAGATCGCATAGACGTCGGACAAGTTGCTCGCAAGGAATGTCTTCGTTATAGGTGATGAGATAGCGCTGAGCTGCTTGTCGAGCGTAGTTGATGAGGATATTGGCATCGGCTGTCATTCCTGCCACTGCACATATCATGTTGCTGCTGTTGTTAACCACAATTGTCGGCTGAGACAGGATGCGACGTACTCATTGAGGATGTAGAGCTTCTCGGCCGATGTGTCCTGCTCTAGCAGTTTGCTTGTGACTTTTCTTTCTGCAGCGAGGACGATACCATCTGTGGCTAATACTCCTAACGCAGTTCCCGCGTGTGAGATGGCTTCGAGAGCATATTCGACTTGGTACAGTCTGCCCTCTGGTGAGAAGATAGTGGTCTAGCATGAACATTAGCAAGTCTATGGCTGTGTAGCTGGACCTGAAACTGACCCTGGAATCGTATCTCCGAGACATCGTGGTTGAATGTAGACAAGCAAGGTGGAAATTTGGAGCTGAGTACTACAAATCTTTGATTCTAGAATCAGCAGCGCTTGAATACACGCTGAAGTAGTGCCGAGCCTTGGGAAGGCAGCGTGGTTGCGCGTTGCCATTGCCAAAGACGCCAAATTATGACGTACTCCGATTGGTCAGGCACGACCCAGGCCAAAACCTTCGATGGGAAGTGCTTTTGTATATTTATTCGAGGTCACCGACTGCTTTGAGCGCAATGAGTCGCGGAGCTGCTGCGATGCTGAAGTCCACTCACCGTCCTGCGCCACCACGGGCTGCATCGACTCTTCCTGCAGGCTGGACGGAACACCGAGCACCATCTGGTCAAATTTACTACCACAATGCGAATACCAAACAATCTACCTATGTCCGTCCTGTCGACGAGGCCCAGAGCGATGTGTTGGTCATCGACTTCGCTGCGACCATTCCAGATCCTGAGATCCAGGCTTCCCTCAAAGCCATGCGAAAATTCGACGACCGTCACAGTCCTTTAGCTAACGGCAGAAGTCTTCAAAATGGAGATGGGTATAAACCACGATCACGACCTAACAGGCAAGGAGATAGACCAAAATCAAAAGCCGAAATACCCAACTGTGCTCCATGGCTGCTCGTGAAGACCAAGTATGGTCGTCGTTTTGTACACAACACTGAAACCAAGCAAAGCTTCTGGAAATTTCCCAGTGAGGTTATGATGGCTGTGATTGATATGGATAGGATAGAATGGGAGAAGAAGAACAAAGAAGCTGATGAAAAGGAGAAGTCTATTTCAGCTCAACAGTCGAACAGTACTCCACAACCTGAGCCTCAACAGCAACCACGACAACCATTGCCCATGCGAGACGTATTCGACAGCGACGAGTACGAAGAAGTTGAGGTTACGGACGACGAAGACGAAGACCACCCTCCAGCCCTTAAAAGATCACGTACGGAAGAAATACCGAACTCGACAGTTGACGGCCAACAAGGCCGGCCCCAGGAATTCAACGAGGACGATATAGAATGGCAATTGGCACAGATGGAAGCGGACGAAATTGACCCAGGTTACGACTACGACCACGAGGATCAAGACCTTGAAGATGAAGAAGCTATGACCCTTACCGAAGAGGACAGACAAGCTCTCTTCCGTACACTACTCGATCAACTACACATATCCCCTTTCTCGACCTTCGACGCCCTCATCGACACAAACACTAGAACAGCAACTACTGTGACTGACGATGATCGCTGGACAGCCTTGCCCAACATGTCCGCTCGTCGTGTTGCTTTCGACGCATGGTCGCGTGACAGAATCACTCAACGCAACGCGACCGAGAGTGTCGAAGATAACTCCGTGCCCGATGGCTCCAGCAATCTCCCCACGTCAAAATTCAAGAAAGTCGACCCACGCATAGCATACTTGAGGTTCTTGAGTAAAGAAGCAACCACCAAGCTCTATTGGCCAGAATTCAAGCGCAAATTCCGCAAGGCTCCTGAGATGACGGACCGTTACTTCCTAGACAAAGACCGCGAAAAGCTGTACCGCGAGTACATCACAAAACTCAAACTTTCCGAAGCCGATCGAAAAATAGAATTCACTACATTGCTGAAGAGTGTCCCTGTCAAGGACTGGCAGACCAATTCGATTCCTGAAAAGATAGAGAAGGATTTGAAGTTCTATGGTATCAGGGAAGAGGGACGTAGACAAGAGCTGGTCGAAGGATACATTTCGACCGCTAGATAATTTCTTTCAGGGTCCTAAACGCCTATAGAATGAACAGTTCACGATTGGAAAACCTATCACGATTGGTCCGTCAAAGACAAGCCCTGTGGTTTTTGGTAAAAAGGTTAGCATCTTTTTCTTCTATGTGAGTTGTTCAACGCTGGGTTCAAGTCAATCACGTAGGTAGCCCGAAGTAGCACTACTGGTGTCTGTATATAACATTAGCAGCCGCCCAAAGGGAAAGACACCACGGACATTAATGTGTGAGGTAGGCAGTGTAGTGTAGTTGTGTAGGGTCTGGATTCCTGTTCCGATTCCTCCTCTTATATTCGAGTCGTAGTAAGCACTGCACGTTCTAGAATTGTACTTTTCTGTATGGTGGACGACGACGAGGCCAGACACACACGCACACACGCATGCACGGTGTTGTGTAGGTTAGCAAGTGATCAAGACACGTAGTTGCTCATGATCTCTTTCACGTATCCTCCGAACCAGAACCAAGCAGGATTAGATGTGGGTACTTGCTGAGTTCTGGCATAGGCTTATACAATTGTGAATGTGCTTCACGTTTAGCATATGCCAGCTATATCTTCATGGCTGTCCTGTTGATCTGTTCGATCCACTTGAAAACAGTTGCCATGTCCATATTGTGAGCTTCGTCTCTACCACCGAAGTGCACCTCGTGGGCTTTCTTGGTCAATGTCTCTATCGCTTCCCGTGCTCTTTCTAGATGCTGGCCGACTGTGAGATGAAGGTAAGTCCATCGGGCTCTCGTTCGTCGAGCTCTGGTTCGTGGTCTGTCCTCATCATCGTACTCATCCTCTCATGCGAGTAGTGGACAGACTGAATGATCAACAGCGGTGGCAGCTCGAGCAATTGCAAGTTCGAACTGAGCATATGCTTGGAGCATTTGGAAATTGATCTCGAAGATCGTGTGTTTGTCCCGAGTAAGATGAAACTGCTCCAGAGGTTGCCTAGTTATATCACAAATCTTGAGACAAAGCTCCAGTAGTATCTGCATCGACTCTGTACCACGCCCGGGATCGATGATGAGATAATGAGATTGAGATGCAGGACTGTTCTCGGAGCACATAAGGTAATCAGACAAGCCTCTCAGAATAAGGCCAATACTGATACATAACTCGTGCCTTGTAAGGTAACCTATCAGAGGTGGAATTTCTCTGAGATTTTCAAACAATGCTTGAAATGTTTCTGCTGCAGCTGGTAGGAGGAACTGCACTTTCCTCGGTATATCTTGTATCACCTTGAGCTGGCCGATATAGTTTGACCTGGCCTCTTTCAAAGTGAATGTGGATGGGCTTGTGTGAGCTGCTTTGAGTTTTCGACTAAGAGCTTTAGCCTCATTTTCCTTGATTACCTCAGGTGAATAGATAATATCTGAGCTCCGGAATTTGTAAACCAAGGTAGTCATATCCTTGATCAAGTGCTTCATCATCGCATTCGTGTTTCTATTAGTAGTCTCATGGACCTGAATCGTGAGTATCGGGAACGATCTAGAGTAGTATTGCAATAGTTGGCAAAGCAGGAGTTTCCTGACAGGATCAACAACGAAGTTGACATGATCCGTAGCGTCACCTCCGCTTCCTTCCTCTTCCATCTCGATTCGAATGACGGGCAAATCTGAAATGTCATTGTAATCCAACAGGTTGGCGAACAGAGCTTCTATTCGTGGACAATCAAAGTTCCTGTGCAGGTATGCCTGTATGCAGGAACTGAAGATTTGGTGTTGAGGTGTTCGATAAAACTTCAAGCACACGAAGGTGCAGTTTCGTGAGAGACATGCAAAGAAAGCTTGCCGGCTTCACTTGTCAATCTGACCGAATGCCAGATTGATATCGCTACCCTGAGGATCCTGGTTGGTAACGTCACATTTGGGTGGTTGAAGAACGGAGTACTCTGCTATCTGGATGAGAAGCTCGATCGGAAGACTACTCTAACGAGGCTGTGGCTTTGGTATTGAAGTGTCTTTATGTGTTGCGCTCAATGCAGACGAGTACTTGCTACCATGAACAAATGTTGGACGATTCCATGCAGCCGTTGGCATTGTTATTGCGCAGGTGATTTGTCGATAGTTTGTGAAGGTAGCCTCAAGTGAGGAGGAGGTATTATTGGGTGTCGTGGTAGTCTTCTGGTAAGAAAACAGTTTTCCTTGTTTGTAAAACATAGTATGAAAAGATGCGAAGGACCGAACAACAGGTCTGGTCGTCTAAGCGGAATAATTTGACCAGGGGCCAGGCTTGTACTTACTAGAACAGGTATCCTGGAGTTGCTGCCTAGCGTGACCAAACTTCGAAACTTCAAGTGCCTCACAAGCTTGGCATGCGCTGTGTTGCCTGCGTTTGATCTCACTCTGCACTCTGTCAACAACGTGTCTGCTCTGATGAGTCATCAACATCGTGTGAGTGACAAGCCTAGTGTTCCCGCATTCAGCACACTCGATCAACTTGTACGTGTCTTCTCCTACGAAGGTCGACTCTCGCCTGTCACAGGATCTCGGCTTCTTCCTCCAAGGGCATAATAAGGGGCACTTTCCCAATTCTCATAATTCGCAAATTGAGTTTCATTCGAAAGAGCTTTCTGGTCACCAACGATCGCCACTGATTCAAGTCCAGACGATGCATCAATTCCAGAATCTTGTTCAAAAGGTCCCGTAAGTTGATCAAATTGTGTCCAGTCGATAGAGTTGAAATTGTTGGCTTCGAACCCACTGAGTATTCCTGAGAAAGGACTCAGAGCTGGATCCGTGTCCATGTTGAAACCCATTGGAGCTGCCGCGATGTCTGAGAACTTTGATCGCTCGTAGCTGTACCCTTCAAATTGTTGTGAACTGCGTCTGAAGAATGTCGCCGAAGGTGAAGAGCTCCAGGCACTGGATTCTGTGCTGCTCTCATTCAGTAATGGAAGGTCTGGAGTGCAGTCTTGGAGCTGAAGGGGACACTGACTAGCTGTGAGATTGATGGACTGTTTGACATGTTCTGTAAGAGTCAGCCCTGATAAGTTCACGCTGTCCCTGTCTATGCCCCTCTTCGTGTGATGAGGTCTATTTTCAGACATTATCGCATCCAACATGCCGAGATCAGCTCTGAACTTCCCTGCTATCACGGTAGAGCCCTGATTGAAGGTTCGTAGTCTTTCTAGTACTGCGGACAGAACACCGGAGACACGTATAGCCTCACGACTTTTTTGTCCAAAATCTTTGCAGATACCATGCGATTTCTCCAAGATAACTAGCACATCTCTTGTGGCGTCCAACATCAACCATTGTTGAACCTGGCCTCCAGCACGGACGAATTTCTTCCGACTGATGGACAATGCGAGACAAAGAATAATGATAGCCAGCAAAAAATCCGTTATCGTGAAACTAGTGAGCATCCAGCCGCTATCTGGGTACCTGCCACCAGGCTGAAACTCAGGATAGAGGTCAATGATACTCTCACACATTGCAGATGCAGTCTCGATGCACGTCTTGCGGCTATATTCGTTGCCGTCCGACATCATGTATTTTCGATGCAGTACACAGAGAGCCTTCTGCCAAAGGAATGAGATATTGAGACGGACAACTATCTCGTGTGCTTGGTCTGTTATAGATTGTGAGACTGGTCGGATACGCAGACATTCGGGTATTTTCTCGACTTGTGCTCTGATTTCAGAATCCAAAGACATTATATCTGACATGGATGGTGGATTGGGTGGAAATGAGATTGCATGGTGGCAAACATTGCAGTAAATATCAATGAATCTGGCCTTTACCACGAAGTACAGTATCTGTGTGGCATCAGTCTCCGGTCGTGTAGGTGGAAGTGCCTGCGTATGCTCATCGAAATCAGCATCGTGAAGATTGCTTGGAGGTCGTGTATCCCAGCTATTAGGTGCCACGGTATTTGGAAGACCTAATTGGAATGAAACAAGTAGATCGAACTGCTTCACCATAGCCCAGACTCTGCGGCGCATTTCACCTTCAAAAGGTGTGAATTTGTGGGAGAAGCTGGAAGCATCGCGATGATAACCCATCAAGTAGGACAATCTGGTGAGAACGCCAAACATTATCGTGACTTCCCGCTGCGGATCAATGGAAGCCGCATATTTGCATTGCAGGAAGAGTGCAAGCGCCTCGACGACGTATGGTTGAGGTTTAGAGTAGTTGCTCAGGACCAAACATTGTCCAGCTGCGGTGCGGAACAGGTCCTTGGGGTGAACTGCTTCAGTGTCGAAACTCGGCGACTGGTTTGATACAAAACTAAGTGCTGCTGCGAGGGAACAGGTTGAGAACATGATTGACACCCATAGAGGATTCGCACTTAGCGGATCTTGCCAGAACTTTTCGTACTGACGGCGGAACTGGTTAACATGAATTATCGGAAGGATCATGTACTTGGCATTGAAGTATTGCGATATCTGTCTATCAACCTCTATCCTTGATGGAAGATATGTCCTAAGTACGTGGTTCAGGGAGGGGGGGTTTTCAGCGCCAAATAGTGCATCAGGCTTGGAACAATCTGCTGCCTCTTCCACTGGATTGTCTGCACTGATGTCGTTCTTAAGCTCATGGATATGCTGCAGAATGGCGGACCAATGAGTTGAACCGGTATAAGAACCACCCTCATTGAGTGTACGGCTCAATGTGCCCTCTTCGAGTGGCACGCTTGCGGAGTCTTCCTGATTCGATCTTGAGTGTGGCGATTCTGAAGGCGTTGGCAAATTAGCAGGCGGCTCAATCATACCACGAACAAGATCTTCGAGATGCTTCAGACGGTCCTGAGCCTTCTGGTTTGCTAGCCGCGTGTCGTCCTTCCTGGGCAAGGTAGTCGAAGAGATAGCTGACGGCTTGCCATACACACAGCCAGGTCCTTCACCGCGTTTCGTACACCCATCGCAGGGATGACCACGATCGCATTTCAGCTTTCTTACGCGACATTGCTGGCATGACACCGGTTGTCGATTACGTTTAGTGATCCTAGAGTCATTGTTGGTCTGCTGATTGTTATTGATGGTGGCTCTCCATTTGTGGGTGAAGCTGGAAAGATCGGCCATACTAGTGGTGTGAAGTTTCCTCAAGGATTTCCTCAAGGATTGCGTTGTACAGTGCTGCCATTGTGGCCATAATGAGTCAAAGCTGTTGAGAAGTAGCGGGCTGAAGCATGACAAGTGAGAAGGTGTCTTGGCCAGCGTGGGAGGCCCGATCGCTGATCCGCTCCATGCTAATGGACTAGAGAAGACGCATTACAGCACACTACTGTAAGCAGTACTGTATCGATTGAATCAGAGCAGAAGCAGTATCGTCTCTTAGATGGTGTAACGCAGATGCATGTAGGACGGCGAAATGGCGAAGCAACAATGATTAAACTTTAAAGACGGGAAGACAACTGCTTGTGTGGAAAAGTAACATAATATTCTAAACGATCAAAGTTCCAGTTCGAAGTAGCTACCGACCACTCTTCGAGATCTAAACACCCTTACTTCAAAACAACCACGGGCACTTTCTGGGTATCATAGTATTTCTGCAATAACGCCATTCCTTCCGATGCCTACTGAGGCGGACGACTAGATTTCCTCGCGTCTCTAGCCTTCCACGCAGCTCGAATTGCGTCTGCATGATTCAATAAATCCTGCTCCGTGATATGGTCTTGAATCGAGTCAATCACACTATCGAACGTGGAAATGTGATTCGCTTCATCTTTATCGTCCCTCATCCTATATAGTCGCCATCTTTTAATGTGTGCCGGTCCATCAGGCTGTTCCTTGCTGGAACTACCGTCCGATGTAGTGGTGTCCTCCAGGAAGCATTCGACAATCGCGTCCTGTAATGGAACTCCTCGCAGCTTCAGACCGTCCCACTCAGCGGAGGTGAGGTACAAGTCAGCCACGTAGCTGTAATCCATGTTTCTACCATGGTATATGTAGAGACCTATGCCGGCTGGAAGGGAGTCGTAGTCATGCTGGAGTGATTGGTCTGGATCGCCGAGGTCGGGTTTTATGGTGGCCCATTCGATGTGCATCAGGAAGTCAACCGTATTGTCGTGAGGGGGCTTCCACTTAAGAATGTGTTGATCTGTGCCAGATTGATACTGAGTACCGCGGCAAGTGAAGATCAACCCATCATTACCATGCAGTTTCTTGACTTGTGGGATGATTTCCTCGAACATTCTCTGAAGAGAGTACGCAAATTCAGTCTTCTTGTCGTCAAAAATGAAGGCTTGCTGGGACGCTTGGGCTGGGAAGTCTTTCAGCCAAGCGGTATAGGGTTTGAGGATATACGCCTTGAGGTAGGCCAGCCGCTTGTCCAAAGGTCTCTCTCTCATATCTTTGTTGTCGCAGACAAGGCAGTCGAAGGCTAGAAACTTGATAGTAGTCCTGCCATCTGGATGTCTGTCTTCGACCAATTCTCCATCGAGTAGAGTACGGGTATGGAATCTACTGTAGGTCGGGTTGTTTTCATGGTGAGGAAATCGAAGTCTGTCTACCCAATAGTAGTCGTTTCTTCTGTCAATTAGATATGCGACCGGGGTTACGGGAGGGTTCTGGCCATCGTCTGTAAGATACAGCAGGACTCGCAGTCCATCGGTCTTCTCGCAGACGAAGTAGTCTTGAGTTTTCAATTCATCGAGGTGCTTCTTCGCAAAAGACACAGGCTGGGCTCCTGGGAATACTCTTGGATTGTTCCTCTTTAGCATCTCAGCAACCTCTCTCTGGAACTCGTTCTGTAGGTCCTGGCCTGCCCAAACCCCACCCACTTTTGCGATCAGGTCTGGAACTGGGTGCGCCATGATGGTGAGTCGGGGAGGCAAGATCACAACTGTAGCACAGTTGTGATGATATATAGAATGCACACTTACATGGCTGGCTCCAACACCGTAAACAAAGAAAGATACATGTAGGCTAATAAGTGGTCACTGCACATGTCCGAGCACGTTTCAACCTTGAAGCCTGGCCTACAGGGCCACCTGCACGCACTACTGACCCCACTGAAGCCCCAGATCTACAAGCACTAATAGGCATTCAACCCATCGCTCATTCTGCGACATCTTCAGCACACTGATAGTCTGCCATTTCTAGCAGATATATTGGCAGTATTCTTATGTCCCGTCACTCGCTTTGTTTGATACCGCACGTGTGACTCTAGTCAATGTGAAAACTGCGACGCAATGGCCACCGCCATGGTCGGTCGACCAACGCAATTCCAAGATCGGGGCTTCCTCCTCGGCCTCAATCTCAAGAAAGAGGGCGCATTGAAGAAATCAGCCAAGATCAAGGGCCTGAAGGAGGAATCATCTAAGCAGAAGAACGAAGACAGCACGGTCGCCGCCCCGAAAACACCACTCTATCCTCGATTTCGAGACACTACAGCAGAGCCCCTCGCCGAGGAACAGGATGACCCTATAGACTCCATTTTTTGTAAGCATTGTAAGAAGACCATCTTGAAGCGCACAGCCAAAGATCATATCTCTGGCTGTCTCAGGTCGAAACAAGAGAAGGCTAGAAAGAAGAAGGAAGCCCGAGAAGCTGCTCAGCGTGCCAAAGAAAGAGCCGAGCGCGCTGACGATGAGGAGGACGAGGACGAAGACGTCAAGGACGGGAAACGAGGCAAGCTGGGCGCGGAAGATGCCAAGGGCAAGAAGCGCAAGGCCGAGGATGACGACGCCAAACCTAACAAGAAGAAGAAGAAGGACGACCAGAAGCCCAAAGGTGCTAAACCAAAGGGTCCTGTCGATGTAGAACGGCAGTGCGGTGTTAATCTACCCAATGGTCAGCAGTGCGCTCGCAGTCTTACTTGCAAAAGTCATAGTATGGGTGCGAAGCGTGCCGTTCCTGGCAGAAGTCTGCCTTATGATATGCTGCTTGCAGCCTACCAGAAGAAGAATCAAGCACGACAACAGAAGGCTGCCATCGACGCTACTGCTGCTGCTCTCTACGATGATGACCTCGATAACACCACCGGTCCTGTTGACTCGGACGAAGAGCGAGACGCCGTCATGACTTCTATTCAGAGGAGCATGGCTCGACCTCAACCTATTGCCACGAGAACCCTCTTCCCGACTCGTCGGAAATACCAGCTTGTTCGTATGAAAGAGATGCTTTCTAATGCTCTGAGTGGTAACAGAGGTGGAGGTCTTTTCGCTGTTCCCGCAGACGCTGCACGCAATGCTTACCCAAACTCCGCTATCAACGAGACCTTTGCCATCCCCTCCGCCACTCCACTCACAGCAGGAGGCTCTCAACCATTCAGACCTCCACAACGAGATTCTATTGACGTTAGGTGATCGACGATCTTCTCTTCACGTCTGACGATACGTGCTTAATGATACCCAGATAGCGTGCTTGCTTCGACAGATTTATAGGAATATTTGAGGATCCGGAACTAAATGAAGCATACTGTTTTCACAATACAGCTCACAACTCATCCTTCACAACGCTCTGTGCTTTTTCGCCTATTCCTTCAATCACTTCTTGCGCCTTTTGTTTCCAACTTACCAGCTTGTTAGGCTTGACGTGCTCGCTTTCTACCCATAGTCCTCTATCCACCATTCCCCTTTTGACAATGCTCGTCAAAATCTCATACGCGACTTGAGCTCCTGCTAGTGCGGTGCCTTCACCTCGATCGTCGTAACCCGGGCTAACCTCCACCACATCAGCACCCACAACGTTCAACCCTTCGATGCCTCTCAGAATTTGTATTAACTCCCTCGTTGTCCAACCACCTGGCTCCGGAGTCCCAGTACCAGGCGCAATACCCGGGTCGAGCACATCAATATCGACACTAATATACACTGGTTTCTCTGTGCCGATGCGTCCCAGAATAGTCTGCACAATCCCATTAACACCCAAAACGTCAATATCGTCAGTCTCGATACGCAAGAAGCCTTGCTGGTCATCATCCTCGTAGTCGCCGAAGTCGTCGCCGCTGAGTCGAGTTCTCAAACCGGCATGTACAGACGACGAGTTCATGATCAGCCCCTCATTGCTAGCGATCCAGAACATACTGCCATGTGTAAAGTCTGACTGAGCACCAGGACTTTCGAACCAAGCCGATGGATACTTGGCTGGATGCCAAGTATCAAGATGTGCATCGAAATGAAGTACTGCGACAGGTCCGCCATAAACCTTGCTCAGACTTCTTAAGGCTGGCAGGGCGATCGAATGGTCACCTCCTAGCGCGACGATCCTTGGATGGACCCAGCCTACGCTTTCGTCCCTGCTGAGTGCTGGTCGATGTAGGAGCTCGAGGTAAGCTTCGCTCATCTGTCGCAGGGCGAGCGCGTTGTCAAAGGGCGAGACAGGTATGTCTCCACAGTCCAGGATCTTGGGCCATGATGTGTATGGATTTAGACCGGCTCGAGCGTTGAAGCCTCGGAATGAGGTCTGGCGAGCTGAAGCTGCTCTTATAGCTCGAGGACCGAATCGTGCGCCGGGGCGAAAGGATACGGATGTGTCAAAGGGTATGCCCAGTATTCCGATGTCGAAGAGCTCGCTGGGCGTGGTCAGACAGCGTGTGTGCTGTAGGTGAGCCCATGTCGATATGCCTGAGAAGCCAAACTACAGAGAGATCAGTATTATCACATGGATAAGCTATGTCTAGGACCTGTAAATCAGATATGAGAGGGAAGCTAGCTTCCTATACCGTATTCCGATGTCCGTATGCCAGTGCTCGAGGGTGTTCAGACTTACATCAGTTCCCCATTTCTTCTCGAGCTCATCTATAGGTGTTCCGCCGTCAGGTGGTAGTTCGAATGTTGGATTATCGTAGAAAGATGCTCTAGCTGATGTGAAAATTGTGCAAAAGGAGATTATGCTGTGAGCAAGGAACCGCATGTTGAGAGCTGAGCTACAGACTAGCTATTGGCTGAGCTCTCTTTCGACTCTTGCAAATGATCGAGTGTCTTTAAGAACTGGAGACGAAGCTGATATGAGGCTGGATAGTGTGTGTGGTTCTCCGTCGCGGCCATCTCCTACGGAAGCATTTCTGAGTTTTTCTCCGCCCATGCCACTGTGAGAGTGTCTATCCACTCACTTTATCAGCTCCGATTCGACGTGTTTGTATACAGTGATCATTCGTTTCGCGCCATACCTTACATAAATCCACACTATATCCTATCAGGAAAGTCGATGCTAAACCCGGCGATGAGTTGAGTCTGAGATGATGGGAGATGGGTTGAGAAGAGTTGTTGTTACTGGCCTCGGAGCCATCACACCCCTGGGATTAGGTTTGTGTCTGCTTGGCTCACGCGCTTGCACAGCTGTGACCAGCGCCGCCTTTCGCATCTTGCTAACAAAGACCGCAGGAGTGAAGCGAACATGGCAACGCCTCATTCAGGGTGAGTGCGGTGTTGTTTCAACACGCTCGCTCGGACCTGAATTCACTGCTTTGCCTAGTCAAGTAGCTGGAATCGTGCCTTCTGGCCCCAGCTCAAGTGGTGGCTGGCAGGCCGATGAACATGTTACTCCGACTGAAATCAGGCAGGCAGCTAAATTCGCTCAGTACGGTCTCGCAGCATCAGCTGAAGCACTACGCGATGCTGGCTTTCCTGATGGCGTCGGGCTCGAGCCAGAGATGACGGGAGTCTGTCTGGGCTCCGGCATAGGTGCCCTGGAAGACCTCTACAACACCTCACTAGCTTACAGCTCAACTACACCTCCAAATTACCGCAAGATTCATCCCCTATTCGTGCCGAGACTCCTCATCAATCTTGGAGCAGGCCATATTAGCATGAGATACGGTCTCCAGGGGCCAAATCACACGGCTACGACAGCATGCACCACGGGTGCTCACTCCATAGGGGATGCAATGCGCTTCATTGCCCACGGCGATGCAGACGTAATGCTTGCTGGTGGTGCCGAGTCCTGTATACATCCTTTGGCCATTGGTGGCTTTGCTAGGTCAAGAAGTTTAGCAACTGGTTTCAATGAAAACCCCGAAGAGGCCTCTCGACCTTTCGACAGGGATCGAGCTGGTTTTGTGATTGGAGAAGGTGCAGCGGTGCTTGTACTTGAGGTGTGTCGCCATGATCTCTGAGAATTCATCGTTGACCAGGTGTAGAAGCTTGAGCATGCCAAACAGCGGAACGCACGCATCTACGCAGAGATTGTCGGGTATGGCTGTTCGGCTGACGCTCACCACATCACAGCACCAAGGGAGAACGGGTCTGGGGCCCTTAGGGCAATGCGTCTAGCCCTGAAGCAAGCTAAGCTCCGTCCCTGCATGGTCGATTACATCAATGCACACGCGACCTCGACAGCACTTGGCGATGCTGCAGAGAACTCTGCCATCAAGAGCTTGATGCTGGGAGAGAACGGGCTCGAATCATCAAGTCATGTCAACGTCAGTAGTACAAAGGGTGCGATCGGGCACCTACTCGGTGCTGCTGGTGCGATTGAAGCATTGTTTACTACTCTGGCAATACATGAGGTGAGCCTTGTCATACCCGTCAAAATGTGCACACTAACGACGAAATTAGGGAGTGATGCCGCCAACGCTGAATTTGGAGACCACTACACCAGAATTTGACTGCAATTACGCTTCGAAAGAAGCACAGCAACGACAGATTGATATCGCTTTGACCAATAGCTTTGGATTCGGAGGTACAAATGCCAGTTTATGCTTCAGAAAGCTGTAGCGGTGTCGACACGAGACGATAAGGACCGAGGTCCGTGTCTCGTTGATTTTCACGATGTGCCATTGGAATTACTCTCCTTGTGCACAGGTGGAAGCTAGACAGTTCTTCCATACCTTAAAACCAATTCTACAACCACTTGATCATGTCCTGTATCAGACTCAACCATACCTCAGCCAAACTCTCCAGGCTACTCGCCAAGCCAAAGTGGACATGGTGAATGCCAAATCTGCCTCTCCGGCTCCGTCGCAATCCGAGAAGTACGTACGTACTTTGTGCAAAGCCGTGTCCACCAATCGACGCCGTTGTCCAGCTACTTGTCGTTCTAGCCTGTTGCTATCAGCACGTCCTACTGCAATTTGCAAACTAACAATTCCATGTCTTTTTCTTTCTTGTTTTTGATTCCCGTGTTTCTGCGTCTGCTAGCACAGCTAAAACAAGGTCTCTGGTGTGAGCATCAAGTGTTGGCTGGCTCATGGCTCTCACCATTGGTCTCCGCAAGTACTTTAGAGGTCCGTGTGAGTCACAAACGAGCCTTCAGTCTCGGAACATGTCACAAAGCACATATGCCTTGCCACGGAGCTTGATAAGCAATTTCGGCAAGTACTCGCATCGTGTTTGTAGCTCTTTCGTACCCAGCAAGACACGCGAGTGCCTAGAGAAGAGGAAGCTGCTTATTGTGTTTGACAAGTTGCGGTGCGCGGCAGGTACGACACGATGACCAGGATTATCGTGTGCCGACAAATCGCGCTTCGACCCTTACAAGCACATGAAACTTTTACTGAGAGACCACTAAAGTGCTGTACACACAACGTGAGTCGTGGAAACACTTCATACGTACTTCCTGATAAGTGTGTTCGAGTATGTCGAGAGTTTCCGTGCTTCTAGGCTCATGAACGCTGTTCGACAGCAGGCGCAGCGCAGAGCGCGCAAGCTTCGTGTGCAGTAGAGAGAAGTAAAGCCGTGTAACAACTCGCTCGATCTTCACTCTCGAATTGTGACCTACTAGAGCGAATCCACTTTCTGGATGGAGTAAACCTTGTATCCAGCTGTAAACTTTATTTTGCTGTTAAAGGTTGAGATACAGGCCCGTTGTCACCATATCGAAGCTGGTACAGCCATACCCAGTCGGCGTTGGCAGTCTGTAGTACAACACCAATGTCCTCGCTTCGAGCCTTGAATGGGAGCAGTAAACGTATGAGCGCATCTCTTGTGTCAAGAGACAGCCTCACATGCCCCACTATGACAGCCACAAGGTTCACAAGCGAGTTGAAGATCTGCATCTTCGAGGTTCGAGTGAAGTGGTGTGCTAGAACTGCCTTCTCTGGACTTAGCTCTGACGATGCCGTGTTCGAGACGTGCAGATTAATGACCGAAGTTGTTGCTAAGGTCTGAGATCTGGCATTGGATTCGTGCAATGTGCCCTTTGCCCCTTCCACAAGAACACTTTTCCGCACTTGCTTCCACAATCTGATCAAGTCTTCGGAAATCCTTTCAATTCGGGAAGACATAAAATCACTTGCGTTGGTGCACAACACGGCAATCGTGTCTGCCGCCGCCGCCGTGTTGTATGCTGTCTCTTCGTCCATGCCCTCATCTGCAAACAACCTTGATACGACTACCGGCCAAACGTTGTTGACCAGCGGAAGAAATGAGTTCTCATCACCAGCAAGAAGTGGTGAAATGTCCTTGAGTATGCCCAGCAATACCTGCCGTACTCGAGGGGACGGCGAAGTCATGTGTGGCACAGTAGATTTCGCGATATTCAGCAGTAATGTATGCGATTTGGTCTTTTTGTGTTCTTCTGCTTCCTCGGAGTTTTTAAGTGGTGCTAAGTTCTGGTCACTATCTTGCTCAGTGAGCCCTCCATCTTCGTCTCCAGCCGGGTCTGTGAAACTTGGTCCATCCAGCGCATCGGTCCATGGTCGATGAGGAGCAGTTGCTGGTGGCTCGTTCGCAGGTCGTCCAAAATCGACTTTACGTTGCTTGCGAGCCCGGAGATCAGACAGCACATCCGACGTTCTTGAGATCGAGCTCGCTGTTTTAGCATGATTCGGTATCGTCCTTTGTCCTTGAGTAATTGCCAGTAGAGGCTGCTTGACGCTCACGTCGATTACTTTTTTGAGAGTAGAGAAAAGGGTCTCTACTAGGGCAGAATAGCCATGGTAGTTGTCCAGCGCTGCAAAGATCAACTGGATGAGATCATCGACATATGGTACGATCTCTGCGCCACACAGATGAACCATCATACCTAATAATTGAGGAGCTTCGGGGCTTAGACTATACGTGTTCAGCTTCCACGCTATTGAGTTGACCAGGTAATCGGCGTTCTGAATCAATAGATCTTGCGTGTTATGATACTGGCATATGCTAGCAAGCTTGTTCAAGGCTGTCATAGCATGTGAGCGAAGAAGTGAGTTGGGCGAGGCTAAGAGCGAAAGTACTGGGTAAAGTGTGTCTACTAACTCGGATCGAAAACTGTCTGGCGAGTGGCTCTGGGCGTAGAGGACAAGGACCTCAAGGGCCAGAGCTTGAAACCGCCAATGATCAGGGCCAGTGCTTTCTGTCTGGTGGACCGAGGACAACGACTCGAACGTAGTCGCATGCAGTTCAGCAAGTTGTCTTGCGCGATGCGTTGACTGATCAGAATCGATGTCTGAGACCAACAGATCGTCCAACGTGAAGCTGTCTTTGTCCTTCAGCATTTCGAGAGCAAGCCAGAGGGCGGCCAATCTTGTCGCACCATCCGCCTCAGCTACTATATCGGTCAAACTACGAACCAGGTTCTGGTTGCCTGACTCGTCACGTAGAGCTTTCACCAAGCGCTGGAGTTGTGTAGTTGTACTTTTCTGGGCCTCGTGGTTTAGCAAAACTAGCTGGAAGTCAAATTGCGACATCGATCTCGTATTCGACAAGGCATCTAGTGAGCTGTCAACATCTTGCATATCGACGGTTTTGGTAGGCGACTCTTGGATCAGATTCGACACTCCATCGATCAACATAGGCAGGAAGTTTTGCTGACTGCCTATCGTGCTCACATTTGTCTGTGCAAGAAGTGGCAGAGTCACTGTGAGCTTGCGCAGCGCCATCTCCTTGACTTCATCGTTTTGGCTCTGCATAAGCCGCGGCAGTGTGTTAGACCAGTTCAGAAAGTTGCTTTGCAAGATCTCCGCTATGTTAGGATACACGGTGACAATATGCCTGCACGTCATCTGAGCACTTTCGCCTTCTGGTAAAGAGGCAAGTACAACCAAGCTCTCAAGTACCACAGGCATTGAATCACTAAGAGTAACCTGGCATTCCTCAAGAACAACAACACATAGCTCCTCGATGCTTCTGCGAACACTGGCACCTTCATGCTGTCGCAGCTTACATACCTGTATGAGAGCATTTTTGATCTGCGTCGAAGTGGCCTTAAGCCAAGAGTTGTCCAGTATCTGCCGTTCTTCTTCCAGGTCTGTGGTGGTCGCTACCCTGTCTGAGAGTGTTTGAATTATTATCATTCGAAGCACTTTCACGTTCGACACCAGGACCTTTTGTGTCCGTCTTATAGTGGTGCTCAGCTTCAGTGCCTTCACTAGCGACGAGACGGTCCGCGGCAATAGACTAGCGAGGAAAACCCTGCTACGAATTGCTTTGATGAGTTGTAGGAGTGCCTCGGATGCTTTGAGCTGTACCTGCTCTGAGCTGTCGTCAGTGATGGACTCGAGAAGAAGGTAAACAAGCTGATCTGCAATGTTTCTCGTTCCTTGATCTTGAAAAAGAGTTTTGTCTTGTCTTGCCGAAGATGAGACCTCAATAATAGCACCAATACACGTGAAAGCAGCGTTTTTGAGTTCGTCGGTTGCTGGTTGAGTTTGGCCATTAGGTCCTGCCCCAGCAAGCATTGACATGAGCACCAGCAGCTGTCTAGCCAATTCAGGCAAAATGGCATAACGGTATCCATGCTGGACGAGAAGAGTGACACAATGGACGGCAACCTCGAGACATCGTGGTGAAAGGCGTTTTGCCTCGTTGAAAACTTGTTGGGCTAGAGGAAAGAATGCGTATTCGGAAAGCTTAGGATCAAGTAAATTAGACCTGCTCAGTTCAGCGAGGACATCACGCAGTCTTTCAAGCGCTCGAAGCACATCTTTAACAGGAGCGTCTTTGGTTCGAAATTTCAGCGCAACGACCGAGAGGTCCACGCACGGTGGTTTTAACTTGAATCGCGTGAGTGGTGGTATGGTATGCAGCAATCATTCGAATATCTACCTTTCTGAATGCCTGCTGGCGCTGGTCATCCATCGCACTACCATGACATTATATGGAAGGACCGATGAGGACGTTGAGAAGCAATGTCCGTCGCAGAAATTATTGGTCGAGAAAGCCACAAGTTTGCCTTGCAGATTTATTGTCTATAGGGAGTATGCCTGAGGCGCCAATGATCATTCGCGCGTCTCACGGTCTGCACCTTGTCCTTCTGTATTGACTCTACTCGTCAAATACTAGCCAGACGAACATATGTCGGGTTGGAAAAGAAGGACAAAAAGTCCCATGCGCATGCCATTCTCTACACACCATATCAAGCCTTCATCTCCTCAGCTTTTGCAATAACGTCGACCCCAGTCGAAATAAATTACACTACTCTCGAAGAAACGGAACTAGGCCATCTGTAAAGCTGTTGGTCACAGCATCGCCTCGATGAACCACGATCACTAAGTGTACAAAGCTTTTCCTCACTGCGCCCTGCAAGCGATGACGCACGTCTGACACTGTAACCTGTACGCCTGTAAGTGTATGCCGGGTATCCTTCCGAGTCGCTGTAGAGTAACCTTAGCATTTGTTTTGTAACAAAGACGAGCACCCATCTAAGACGAATCCTTTACTGGCTGAGGTTTTGCATCAGCAGGTTTGGAGTCGTCGCCTTTGGCCTGGAAACTACCACGTCCAGCAGCCATTCCTCGACCCCGTCCTCGATCGCCACGTCCTCGTCCTCGAGAGAAGCCACCTCTGCCTCGTCCACCTTCGCTGTCACTTGCTCCGCCACTAGTGTAGCCACCTCTCGTAGCTGGACCGGCTGAAGCACTGCCACCTCGCGACGGCACATTGGAACCACTGCTATCGCGTTGGTGGAAGGGACCGCTTCTTTCACGGAACCACTCGATTCGTGGATTCTTGCCTTGCGCATTTTTGACACTTCGAGATTGCTCAGACGCTCGTTTCAATGCCTCCTCAGCGATCTCGTGAGTCTCGAATGAGATGGTGAAGTTGTTGTACTTGTTCCCAAGTTTAGCAACAGTTTTGATCTTAGGTCGATCTTGCTCGGCAATGCAATCTCGTGCTTGCTGCTCGCTGTCTGCAAACATGACATATAGACTAGTTGTGGGAGCTCGATCAACAGGAGGTGTGGCAGGCTTGGGTCTTCCGGCTTCACCATCACTCAATTTCGCAGATACAGTGCCATTAGTACCAGACGGGGTACCTGGCTTTGGGGCAAGAGATGACGTGGTTGGTACGTTCGAGGAAGATGGTTGAGGGGTCAATGGCTTATTCTGTGTTGAAGGAGGGGCTGGCGAGTTGGAAGTGGGAGCCTTTGCAGGTGCTTGACTCTGCTGTGTCGTAGAGGCTGGCCGTGCTGGCGGTGCCTGCGCTCGAGACTGAGGAGCAGGTGGGTTCTGTTGCGGGAACGGCTGAGAAGGTGGTTGGAACGCAGGAGTTCTGGTCTGCGCTGGCCCAGTCGGTACAGAGGCAGACGTACCTGTTGCAGCTGCTGGGGCATTCGAGGTTTGTTGCGGAATTGGTTGTGCAGCCATAGGTTTGGCACCCCTATGGGCGAAGTTGAAGCCTTGTGCTCTCATTTCTGTACCGATACGACCACCGTCGACTTCCAGGACAAGATAGCCAAAGGCTGCATCGGCAAGGTTGAAGTTCCACATGTTTTTGAAAGCACTTTCATCAACCTGACCAGCACCAGCAACACCACCTACAGGTCCACCGAAGGGATTGCCACCATTAGCAACACTAGGCATCTTCTCAACGATTTCTAACGCGCTGTTCAACAATGACTTATGGCTCTCGTTGGTTGAGATGGCCTGCTCGACATCCATCTTCACAGTTTCCCAGACGTCGTTGAAAGAAGCCTTGGACGCAGCCAATTTTCCTCGGTAGTGGTCTAGAGAGGGATTGACACTGAATTCGTTGTAGGAGCTCCCATATCTGAAGTGAAGGCCAGCGGATATCGAGAAGTCTGCTTTGAGTGTCACAGAGAGCTGGTTAAGGATACCATCTCTGGCTGGCGAAGCATGAGTGAGGAAGATTCGTGTCTCTGATGGGTCGTAAACTCTGCTTGCCGTGTCGATGAGAGCTCCAATTTGCAGCAAGGTAGTCCACATGGTGCCTTGGCCGCCGGCTATATATGTCTTACCTTCACCGTTGTCGAAGAGCTTGTGAATAACCACAGCACCACCAAGACCGAGAAGTCGAAGCTTTACACCGCCAATATCCAGCAATCTTGAATTGACCTCATCAATAATGTGCAGGTTCTCAATCTTGTATTCACCGGATCGAAACTTTTCTAGCACCCGAACATCCTCACAAGCACCCCATACCGTGTAGACAGGCACGTCCAGGCGGAACTTGTTTGCAAGGAGGTCGGGCAGCTGCGAAAGAGGAAGATCGGTAGGAGAGGAAGAGGGCTTGACAGGCCGACCGACAGGTACGTTTGCTATCTGCTGCTTGATAGAATTGGAGATGAGCGGCGAATATTGTGCAACGTGTTTCAGAGTCCTGCATATTGTCAGCTAAATTTGTAGACGCAAAGGTGCAGGAAAGCGCACTTCTCAGCTATACGTTCTAGAGAAGAGTCATCGTAGAAGCCGAAATCGCCAGTATGGAGTATATAGTTCGCGTTGGCAGTCTTTGCAAGCTCATTGAGAGATCGTAGGTCACCTGTCCAGAGTCATTTCCGTTTGGCCACCAAGCGATGAGGACCAGCACTCACCTCTCACATCTGCGATACACAGGACTCGCACAGGACCATTCTGAATTATGCGGCCGTTGTTCGGTTGTAAGGGTTGTGCAGCTGGACCACCACCTGGTATGCCATTGGGCATGTATCCTTGCAGCTGATACTGTGGTCGAGGCTGCGAATAACCACGAGTTAGTGGTGGGTTCACAGGTCGGAGGACCGTTTTGATCATCTTGAATTGCTCAACACATCTAAGAAACAGAGTTGACTCACGGATGCCATGGATGTGACAGGATTAAATCGTGTATATTCTCTTTCTCGAATCTGGAAGGTGCAGGCTGGTCGCTTTCCCAAGTACTGTGTCGCTCGTCAATAGAAGTTACAACCGCGAAGTTTCGCGAAGCGACGATCAACAGAGATGCGCTTGTTCGTTTGTGAGGAAGGTGTAAATGCGATAGCAAAGTTTACGGGAAATTGAGTATGAGTACACAAGGTACAGATTCCAGGAACTTTGCAAATCGACCTGCTATGAAGGCACGCATCGGACTGAATCTGGCTAGTGCTGTTTGTATCGCGAGCTGATGCCTGGTTTGCTAATTAAGGCATCAATAGCAAGCAGCAATATCATGGCGACGTGAATGCACCACCAGACATTATACGACTTTGAACAATATCGTGCTATGTTTAAAGGAAATGTCTCGCTTCGTCTTCATAAAGTCTTCTTCTTTTGTACAGATTTTGTACTGTCGTGTCTTCATTGTACGCCAATACTCGTTCAGCCATATACCCATCAGCTCAATCCCCATCAAACTTGCAAAATCTCGACCTAGTGATGGACCACGAAACATATATGAGCGAGTCGAGTTCCTATATCACAGCCCCAGGATTCGATTCACGTGCTTCTCTTCAACCACTGCTCCTCCCTCCGAGCACTTGGCCTTCGCACGAAGTTCGCTGCACAGGTTGTCAATATCAATCTCGCCGTTGCGGAATTTCTCCATTGATTGCAATCGATCCCTGGTTTCAAATTAGCAGTGACCTGGTTCATGAAAGACCATAGTACGTACCAAATCTTGTTGCAAGTCATTAACTTAGGAGCCTCGAAACTCTTGATATTGTTGCCTCCCACAGCAGCGTCCATTTGAGCCATAAGATCTGGTTTCTTGGTCTGTTCAAGTGGCTGCTGATTGACAGGCAAATCGCCATAGTTGTGCGTGGGACTACCTAGTTCTGGCAACGGGTACGCATCGTTGAAGAAGGAACCGAAGTCTTGCGATAATATGTTGTCTGTCGTTTCCCTGTAGTCACCAAACAAGACTGGGTCGAATGTTCCTCCATTTTGTTGTGCTAGCCAGTTGAAGCCATTCGGGTCGAACTCAGGAGCACCGGTCGTGTTGACTAATATGACGCGTTAGTGTCGCACTTACTGCTGTCTCCTAACTACTTACAGTTCCATTGTCCCAGTGTACCTTCTTCGTTAATTGTATTCAGTCCAAGATCTTGCACTTTGTTGTATGGTGAGTTGAAAACGGGCTCTGGAGATGTGTCTATAGAAGATATTTGATTGTGTGCGTCAGATAGTGAACCTGGTGATTCTGTGTTCGATACACTCGAAGACGAGTACAAGCCTGGAACAGAAGAAAATGAATTGTCGGAAATGCCACGACTGGGACTGGTGGTGTTTTTCTCATTATTTTCGAAACCGAAGTAGCCATTGGCCGACTTTCTCGTTGCTTCCAGAATAGATGGACTGAACAATCCACTGAAACTGTCGATGCTGTATTGGTTGTAGCTGGGAGGTGAATGTGTGATATTATTCTTGGGCGAACCACTTGCTGAGTTCTGCCTTTGATTTTGCTTGTGAGTCTGCACATTGGCTATCGAATGTCTGCTCATGGAGCTGCCAGCTGGACTGGCGGATTGAGCTGATGGAGTACTGGACGCCCGGTGCGCTGAACGGACTGTGGATGGGGAAGGTATTTGATTCGCAGTGTTGCCGAAGACCGCCGCATTCGAGGCATCACCAAACTTGGGGAACTGGAACTGAAAGTCGTTGCTGCCAGCAGCCAGAGAACCAGTACGTGGCTGTGTGCTCGTCACTGATTGCTTGGCACTACCGCCACCACTACTGACCCAGGACAATCGTTTTCGGTATTCTTTCAGTTCCACCTCCAGACGCTCTACTCGAGCTCGCAGTATACCGTTTTCTTCGTTTGTTGCATCGGATGTTTTCTTAAGATCTTCGACCGTGGTCTCGAGATCTTTGAGATGTTTCTCTTTGCGTTCCCGAAAAGCTCGTTGCGCCGCTCGATTTTGCGCTTTGCGCTTCTAAGATCTCTATTAGCCCAATTCAGAACGCAGAATGATGCAGTGACGACTTGCCGATGTTGGTTCATTTGTGAGAGGTTTGCGACCTGGCTTTTTTGCTTGTTTATCTTCACCTTCCCTACGTTTCCCCCCGCCTTCGTCGTCGTCGTCTTCGACATCACCCATACTTTTCCGTTTGTCATGAAGGTGGTCTGTACTTGTAATTTCATTCTCGTCGTCGTCATCTTCTTCGGCAAGATCGCCAAACATTTGGGTAGATTCATCAAAGTTAAAGGAGTCGTCACCTTCACCATCTAGTGGCAGGTCCAGGAATGGACTGTTGTCATTGTAGTCTAGGCGACCAGAGCCTGGCGCAGAGGACTCTGACAAGTCATTGGGTGTGCGTGACTTGACAACCGCCTGACTACGATTGTTTCCCGCCATATCCGAGTGACTATCTTTCGACCGGTTGGAGGTAAGTGCAGCGACGAGTAAGTCTCGTTGGTTTTCCGATAGGTGCAGCGACGTTGACATTAGGGTTCCGGCGGCTGCTTAAGGTTCGAAGAGCTCAATACCAGCACGATACCTGAGCACAGGAAGACTTCTAGGCAGCGATGTAAGTCGTGTGGGACGAGGTCAACTCAGTCACCTTCGATCAGCGACAGTGGTGAAGTCGCCCTCGAACACCGAAGGGAAGATCTGGTCGCCACTTATTCACTTACGTGATGAGAGCGTGCAAGTAGTGGTGTAGCTGTAGGACAAAAAGTGCGCAATGAGATCTCGGTGTGGTTCAGAGGGGATGGCCTGGAGGGACACCCGTATACGGAATAGCTGGATAGACGCAATGCTGATGTGATTGCAGAAGTCCTCTTGAGCGACGCCGCAGCCGATGACTTCTTCAGGGTCTGGCAGGATCTGCGGGCCAATCAGGATATCTGATACCTTTCGATATCTCTCCCACGCTTACACTGCCGAATAGAGCCACATGTTTCAGACAGATATCTCTATCGGACAAACTGGGATATAGCAGCGTGTGCCTGGAACACGAAATCTGCTGTGGCCAGGCTGTGAAGCAAGCTGTAACGACGTGAGCCGTGGCTGAAATGCATGGAAAATTAAGGCCGCACTCATGTTGATTTGTAAGCCCACGATATTCTATGTCAACACTGCGGTATGACTCTATACCTAAGTTGCCACGCTAGCACGAATCAGGCCTCCCACCATGCCAATCGCGGATTTGGGGCTCTGACGAGGCACCCATGCGATGACTTCTGGTTAATTCAGGGACGATACATTGTTTCAGTAAATAGCTCGAACGTTTGTCCCAACTAGCATCGAACTGAGCTACACTTGGCCGGCCAAACGGCTCCAAATGTTAACATAATATTTTCGCCCAAACACCACACGCTTGGATGACCTTACCATACAGAATGTTGGATGTCTACAGTACTCTTGTCAGGTGTCCGATCTGTTTGAATGCCAAGGCGCCGTGGCCGAGTCCATCCTGTGCTGCTATAGCGATTTTGTGCCGCTTGTGAACTGCGAAATGCTTTGGTTGGAACAATATCGTGCCAATGCTAATGGTCGATACAAATTTGATCTTGCGCTTTTTCGACTGATGAGCTGCCTTAGGCAAGACTTCACTCCTCAAATTTCCCACCTATAAACGCTATGTTGCTGTCCTCCAACTTCTTCTTGAGATATTCATACACTGTGAAGGTCACAGCTTGGCCTGGAGCAACACGCATTACTCGAGGTGTAATACCCTTGTAAAATGCTTTCGGTCCTTCTTGCCTAAACATATCCTTCGATATCAGCGCTATTCTCTGGACAGCGGTCTGTCCTGGCTCGGCAGGTGTCTTTTGCAACCGCGTCTTGATTGTGTCGATGGGCGCATTGGTGAATGGGCCGACTGCACCACTGATCAGACCGATTACCGTTGTCTGGTAGCTGGGCAAGTTTTTGTTCTGATATTCTGGCTGTAACCTCTGCAGCAGCTCTTTCAATTCAGTATATGCTGTGAAGTTTGCAGCCTGGTTCGTTCCTTGCCGCAGAGCAGTGAGCGATACACCACGGTACAACGCGCCTATACCTTCGTCTTTTACCACGGTCAGGAGAGCATGAGGTGCTGATCGGTACTTCGGTACGTCGAGAGGATCTGAGAGAGAATGGTATTGGGCCTGCATACGAATTTTGACGACCTCCATCGGCGTCACGACTGCGACTGCTTCTGTCACACCAGCGCCTAGACCAGCTGTTCGAGTGAAGGTTAGTTTGGTAATGCCAAGGGTCATTCAAATCGTTTGCACAAACAGAGGAGTCGTGTACTTACCGAGAAAGGTAGCTCGACTACTAATCGACCCGTCCTCACCAGCGAGCGCTTGCTTATACCACTCGTAACTGGTGAACCGGATGGCCATCTTTGGCACAATACCTGTCATCACAGCTCCCAACCCTTTGTAAAGACCAAAGGCAGTCTCTTTTTTCACAATGTCCCGACCCGTCGCAACAAATCCTCTTTTTTTCGATCCGGGTGTCCTGCCTCGCCGCGAGAGCTGCATTCGCACCTTAATCGTGTCGAGCGGGTGACATACTAGGGCTTCCATCATTCCAGCACCACCACCTGCTATTAAGTTCGTGGCCGCCGAAGCTGGCTTCTTTCCATGCTCGCCTTTTACTGATTTGGCCGACATGGTGAACTTGTGTTTAATGCGTTTAGCTCGTGAGTCGTGGAGTAAGAAAGGCTATCAAGTCGTGAACATGTGCCGTAGCTGCCTCGTCTTCTTCTTATATCTAGAGCACCAAGACTTGTCTGATTCACAAGCAGAAACACACACGAGCTATAACCTTCGATCTTGCAGCTTGCCGCAAGTCTGTATATGGTACGAACGAGTGCGTCGAGCGAGAGGAGCGCGAGTGTGAATTCAGTGACGGGCGCCAACCTTTTATGCGAGATCTTGTCCTGCTCGTGTGAAAAGGTATGTGCCTCGGCGACCAGTGTCCCAGCTAAATCCGCAATTTGAAATGTAGATCGAGAACACCACACGAGGTCAACGAGTATATAGACCAGTACTGAGTATTTCCACAACCAAGCCCTCTAAAGCACCAGCTCATTTATTCCTGGTCGATCTATCACGAGGAGCCGCCGTCAGCACCCGAGCAAATGCTAAGACGCCAGGCGCTTCGTTTTGGCCAGGAACAATTTCCTCCTCGAACGCGAAGCTCCCCTTCCGCCGAGGCACGAACAATAGCTCTGCCAAAACATATGAAACTGCGTCATAGTGTGCGGGCTAGACAGCACGGGATTGTGAGGGCCGATCTCCTCCGCGTACAAATGGTGACATTGGCTCCACCGCGCTAAGAGCCACCCACCACCTTGTGCACACTGTAAGTTACTCATTATAGTATATATAGTATTTCACGCCCTGGTATTGCGTTTTGTATATATAAAGCTATTTATATTACTGTATATAGCAATATATTACGATTTCCTAGTATTGTAAACTGGTTTTAAGTAATATAGCTATAGGTAGTAACCTCTCTCTCTTCGTTAACTATAGCTGGGTTAATAATATACCTATTAGTATTGTAATAGGCTATTTAGTAACCTCTATTAATATATAATACTCTATTATACTATTTATAGTAGCTAGACGTACGCCTAGTACGAACCCGCTATATAGAATTAGTGATTTATCGTAATAGCTAGTTGTAATTATATACCTAAGTTATATACTTAGGCTAGGTATAATATATCCTTCTCTTTAACTATAACGGTGTATATACCTTCTCTTATATATAAAGTAACCCTTCTACGAGTTGTTATAAGAATACCTAACGATCTTAGTAGTCTCGACGCTGATTTTCTAGCTAGGTGGTCTAGATAAGGTAGGTATTAATATAGGCGATATCTATAAGGAAATTAAAGAATATCTTCGTCTATTTCTTCTATCGTAGTCGCTAGACGGTACCTACGGTCCTAAGTTAGTTAAAATTATTAGTTATGTTTATATAACGGTTATAATTAACAGCAAATCGCGGTTGCTTAATAAATTAACAATTAGATACCTACGGAGTCGCTCTAGTATTATATCGCGCTCTTATAATACGCTAGGCGAATATAGTATCGTTAGGGCGATAGATAGTGGTAATAAACACTACGGTATTCTAGCGGAATTTATCTTTCTAGATATTATAGCTTATTAAATCGTCGACGCCCTAGTATATTACCTAGTTATTAGTAAGTAATTTATTCTATTTATAGGCGATTACCTATAAAACCTTTAGTACGTTAATAGTATCTTTCCTTACAGTCTCTACTAGTCTAATATTAATTAATAGCAGGGCCTAGGCGAGTGGTATATTAGTAAAGAGGTTATCGGTATAGTAGGTAAACGCCTATAAGCTATATACGTCCGTTACGCGCTAGCAGAGTATATATACTATTAATTTTAGCGGTAGGAGTGTAATATCGTATGCAATATTGCCTTAGGCACCTCTCTTTCGCTTATACAGCGACCTTATCGCCAGCTAGAGGGTAATACCCTCTAGTACCCCCTCTAGACCCTCCTAGCTAGAAGATACGACAAAATCGTAAATCATACCCCTATAACTGTAGAGAGAGTAAAGAACGAAGCTACGCTTGGCTAGTTTATATTTTAGCCTATACCTATCTCTTTTAGACCCGTAGAACTTTAATGAACTCTTATCTACGATGATATAGCTGCTGGGGACGAGAACAGCTTTTAATCGGGTCTATAAGATATCTAGGGTATCTTTAACCTTCTAATGCCAATTAGAATCGTCCAAATCGCCCTCTATGTCACGACTTATCGTACGGCCAAGTTACGGCCGTGCACAGGACTAGGCCACGTTATAAGTGGTCTAAACCAGAACCAGCCTGGGCTACACTAGGACGGGGATGGTTTAAAATATAACGGTTATAGACTAAACCAGGACAGGATTAGTCCAGACTAGGATGTGTAATAAGGAAGGTTTAGCGAGACTAAACTATAAAGGTTACTGTGCTTAGTGCGATTAGTCTAATTAGTAGTGCTTAGTACTAAGTATATTGATTAAGGTGAGTAATACTGATTATAATATCACAACTTATAAGTATATAGATTCTAGTACACTCTCTAGTTACTTAGATAGATTCTCTGTAATTAATCTCTCTTACTAATTCTACTAGTACCTTCTAAGTACCTTCCTATCGTGTTTATATTTCTTATTACTAACTAGCTAATATACCACCCCACTGCCTGTGATCAGACCTACTTACCCTAGGCCTAGGAACTTACGTGATACTCTAGGTAACTATTAAGTAAAATTACGCTCTCGATTACTTTAAATCGTTAGAAACTAAGGGCATCGGTCGAGAGACGGCTAGTACTCTAAAACGACTGTATATTAGCGTAGAAAGAGAGGTTTTTAATTATATTAATACGATAAGCGATCTAGCGACGAATTTTAAGATCAGTAACTAGATTCTAGCGATTTTCGTTGGTCTGTTATCGCTTACCGATAATATTAGTATAATAAACTAGTAAATTAACAACGTATTAAAAAAACAATAAAAACAGCTGAATAGGCGATGACGAGCTTAAAGACGCGTCTTTTAGTGACTAAGTTTAATATTCAGTTACTACTAGAGGTATATAAGCTGGTTTATACGCGTTAATTCTCTCCTAACAGTTCCTCTTGGTGAACTTATCGATTAAACGGACGATCTTAGTAGTTTTAGTCGTATCTGATGTGTTTAGATTTTCGGCGTATACTTTATATAGCTACTAGAACTTAAACGTCGCTATTTTTCGATTTTAAAGCGACTGAATTAATGGATTAGATACTTGCGACAATAATGATAGTAATTACACGAATTTATCGATAGTATTGGTATAGTAATAGTGGTTACAAAACAGTTATCGACATGGACGCGACATTTTAGCGTGGTGGGTCCAATGTCACCATTTGTACGCGGAGGAGATCATGTCAGCCAAGCTGGCAGGTTGTGCGGGGAGTCTCCGGGTATTGCATGAGAGCGCTAACCTTCACATGGAATCTGGCCATCTTTTGTTTAGTTAAGCACAATCAAGGCTACGAGTACTGTAATGGTATCAGAACACACCAGAATTAATTGCAATTCTTCGTTGACCAGAAAGCGGGACCGCTGTTCTTGCCCTCGTCAATCTCTCTATGTCTTCTCGGCGAGGTTCCGAATATATGGGGCGGACTCTAACCGACTTTGACCAATTTCTATGAATTTAAGACCGGCAGCATCCGATGCTGGTCTCGACCTGGCTAGATGACCTGCAACCATGCGAATATGAACCACGAATATATTTGCAAGCACTACACTCTCTGATTGCCGTATCAAGTCAAACTCCGCGACCGCTGGAGCTCAGAGGAACCATGAAGATCTACGAGGTAAGAAAAACAAAGCAGACAGATTGGAGAAGCCAGCGTGTCGCGAGATGGAAAGTTCCTGCTTCAAAGAGAGAGAGATTCACTTTGATTTGAACACAATACGGCAGCTCAGTGGGATTGCTGGGCAGATACTTCCTCTCCCTCGTTACTGCGATCTACTCACTCTTAGCCCGTATACCGTGAACACTCGACACTATCTCTGGGTACAGTCGTGAATCACAAAATAGTACCTCAGGTGCTCCTGACTCACGAATCAAGACACTCGACAATCATGTATACTAATTCAACATTCGATATTTTGTGGTGCTTGAATTGCACTATACAAGGCGGAAGGCACTTTGACGCGACAGGATCAATGCCGCATCTGTGAGACTCATTCAGCAGAGCAGGTTCAGGCTTGCTTGATTCGCGGGCTCAATATTCTGCTGAGCTCTTGCGACTTTCTCACAATACGTGTCGAAGTGAGCACATGTAGGTAGATATGCGTGTTTATTGTTCGAAGCAGCCGCCTGTACAACCAATTGTGGGCTTGGCAGGAAGGACAGTACATCCTCGGACGGCATGGTATAGTTTCGGGAGTTGAGGTAGGCCACCGGAAGTCAATGGCAGGAGCCACCAATCGGCAAGCTTAACGTTTCACGATGGATTGATATCAAATCAGGAGCTTGCATAACTGCTTCTCCTTTGCGACGACGTAGGGCTGACTGCAACGGACTGTGACACCTAGAATCGTGTAGACAAATTACCGGCAGCGACAGAGACGGGGTCGATGCATGAAGCAGAGTGTACGTGAGAGAAAGTGAAGATACAGTAGTGGGAATGCACGAGCTCCGTCCGGCTTGCACAAATCTTCACCATAACCATGATGAGCGAAGTCCGGAAACAGGCTACGACTGCACAAGGCATGAACATTTACGAGAAGAAAAGGGAAAAGTCCGTGTCGTGGCGATAAGAACCGAGACTGTTCGTATGCACTGCGAGTGAATCGACAGTATCGCTCAAATCTGTGAAACGTGACTGCCTCATGGTGGTGGATCTTGGTTCACATGCGGGTGGGGAGATTAATTACGTTGTATGCATCGCAGACCTGTCTTTACTACTGGTACTCTCGACAACGATATCGCTGTTTCCTGATGGAAGGCCGACCATGAATTGAAAGTATTGGTGAGAGCATAGGCCAATCCCGACTGCTTGGTTACGTTACTGAAGACGAACCATCTCTATGATCGATTCGCAATACTTTCTTTCAAATAGAGGTGCATTATTTATCACCGTAACAACGAACATATCAGTCTTTACATCCGCTAGAAGATCGGCACATCGCACAACACGGCCACAACGTGGGACAACCGGGAAGGGCAATCCCTGAGCGGTCCATATCTCCAGTTTATCCAGCCAAAGACGGAGCTCGCGAGCGCCGTAACGGGACCGTCCAGCCAACTGGAACCTCACGAGCGGTTCTAGTGTTGATCAGTGCCAAAGCCGACTGGCGTCACGGATTCCGGGGATACTTCTTCCCACACGTTCCCTCCGATTTCCTTTCCGCTCTGATTCCTCTCATGGAGAACGGCTCAGTCGAAGGGTCAGCCCCTACGACGCCTGCAGTCACGTCGCATCATATTGTTCCATCCACTGATGCCATCGATAACGTGGTCAAAGCTTCAAGTAAGCAAAGACAGCGCACAAGAAGGGCATGCTACCCTTGCAGCAAGGTTTGTGACACTCGTCGGAAACCCAAAGTCATTGCAAGATTTGCTAACAAGACCAACTACAGAGAAAGATAAAATGCGACCGAGACGAACGAACACCTTGCAGCAATTGCGCGAAGCGACCAAACGCTGAATTGTGTACCTTTGACGATGATAGACCGCGTTCGGCACGACCCAGGCACTCAGCCAATACCGCTTCACCCACACCTGGCAGCCTAGCCAACGATGACTTGAAGCATGAGAGAACACCGCCGCAGCCAATGCTGCGTGGAATACAAAATGCTGGTACAGCTTTCGGCCTTGAAAACGGTGAGCGCAAGCTGGTGCTGCAAGCAAATGACCCACCTCGATCGATAGCTGCTCACGAATCAAAACCTTCTCTGCACAACTCTGCCTCGAATTCTGCAAGATACAGCGTGGTTCCAGAAGGCTTGACAGGCAGTACACCATCGTCACACCCGGCCTTGGCCAACAGTGCATTTGTGGGAGTCAATTCAGCGCAGCAACCACCATTTCCAGGTCCTACAGCTCTCACGCCACTACAATTCAAAACACCTGGTGAAGAGCTCAGATCTCTACTACCACCAGTGAAGCATGTAACCAAGTACTGTGAGATATATCACAACTCCTGTCATGTTCTCTATCCGGTTGATATTGGGCTACCGCACATGGAAGAGCTGTCGCTGCAGTACATTCACCAATCTCTCGGCGAGCGCTTCCTTGCTCATTACGAGAACAGGAACATGGAACTGTTCAGAGAAGAAGCACTTAAAATCGCTTTGCTTTGTGCAGGTATTGCTGCCGGAGTACAGGTGTCAGATCTTGAAGAGTTGACCCGAAGGTCATTACTTCGGCAATACGTCTCTAGCACTATGAAGTTACTGCGCATCGCTGATGCACAAGCAAACTCGTCAATCGCTGCATATCCTGCGACTTTGATCGTGTGTCGTGTTGTGCAAGACGAACTGGAGCCGATTCTGTCGTATACCTTGCTTGGAACATTACAGAGGATGGCTCACATATATGCCACGACATCAATCTTCACAGATCGCTTCTCGGAACAGACACGTCATCTTCGGGCACCTGACAACCTCGTCCGAGTTCGACTGCGGCAGGAAGCATTTCTTGCTCTCATTCTTGGTCAGAGCAACTTGCTCGAGAGACCTCCATTTCCGGACGTTCGTAACTGGAGCAATGCTGGATACACACAATGTCTGGATGTGTTAGCTAGTATCTCTACCTATTGTGGCACGGAAAACATAGATCGTGAAGAGCTCTTGGTAAGTCATGCAGACGCTCTACAATCTATTCAACCTCTTGAGCGATGGGTTACGCCACATCTAGCTGATAAAGCCAATTGTCGTAACGTACATGAGCTCACGGAGTTTTGCACTCTTCGCCTCCATGAGTGCTTGGTCAACGTACACTACTGCCAGATCATCATGGCTGCGTGCCGTCGATTGCCAGGACACGAAGAAGAGTACTTCAAAACAGGAGATGTCTGCAAGCAGAAGGCACGAGACTGCATCGGGGCCTATCTCGAGATGTTGGCCTTCAGCGTCGCTCCCTTGCGAAGCTGGATCTTGACAGTCACAGCACTTCGTGCAGCACTAGTACTGGGTGTGCTGCTGGCTGAGTTCTCTCAAAACGTCACAGAATCAGCTCAAGATCGAGAAAGACTGTCGAGGTTGTTGCAAGCATTCACAAACGTACAGGATGAAACCCAAGCTGATCGTTCAAGATGGTTGCGTAGATACCGCAACGTCTTTGAGAGATTGCGAGAGATGTGTGAACTATTGGCTCAACCAGCCAGTCGCGCTATGGTCATGAATGGTGCGGCCAGTCCGCCCGAGCAAGGTACAGCTCTGCGACACATGACCAGAGATGATAGAGACAACATAATGATGCCTCAGCGCATGGTACAGCACTATCTTGCAAGTCCGTGTGGTGAGGAGAGTCCTTTCAAGTCTCTCTTGCTATCACAACAGAGCACCTTCGAGATATGACGGAATTGTCTCAACTGCAAAGATAACGACGACCTTGTGCGCAAATCAAACAGCATGAACATTTTGCTATCTGCTACGACATGAAATGACGTATGATAATTGAAGGGACGAAGAAAAAGACGCAGATTTACATGATATTCAGCAAGCGATGGCGAGTGCAGGCAAACGGGTTATTTCAGTTAAAAGTATCTACAGCAAGATTGTTATTCGGGTGTAATGTGGTTCATAGAAGATTTTTCTTACAGCTTGATGACGGGAGCTGAGATTAATATTGCTGATTTCCTAGTAAGGACAGGAGAGTGATTGATAGGAGGTGGTACAAGGCATTGCACAGCCTTTACGAAACTACAGTATCAAACAAAGCACAGATCGTTTCTTCACTGCGCTTGCTCTTTCACCTTTCTTCATGCTCATCACCACGCATAACACCAAACAGATAGACAGGCAGTCTTTTCAATAGTGCCGAGGCTTACCCACCAGCGAGTCACATGTTCTATCGTCAATTCGTTGTTCTAAAACGCGTTTTACACAGAGGTTCCATTTCCACACCAACACGAACTAGATCGGTATTCTCAGCAGCCAGACTACCTACTAACGTAAACAACATGGCCACTCCAAGACCACTACCAGCCCCCCGTCAAGACACAAGCGACGACATCCCCAATCCCACCCACCAAGAACCGGACCTCCCCCTCTCAATGTCAACATCCACCCTCCTCCACCCTAGCAACCTCCCCAGCAGCACCGCCCAAGCCCTCGCCCAAATCCACGAAACCCTCGACAACCCAGCACAAAAGGTGACCATTCGCTTCCAACCACTGCCCGGAGCGCCAGCTCCAGCTCCGAAGTGGGCGGCCGTCAAAGTGAGTGCGAGCTCGAAATTTGAGAGTGTGGTTGCGTTTTTGAGGAAGAAATTGGGTGTAAAGGGTGGGGATGGGTTGTTTGTCTATGTGAACAAGGTGTTTGCGCCGGGGTTAGATGAGGGGGTGGGTGGGTTGTGGAGGTGTTTTAAGATTGAGGATGAGTTGAAGGTTTCTTATTCGTTTGCGCCGGCTTTTGGGTGAGGGATGGTACTTCCAGCGTTCTAGTGGATGAGAAGGATGCAGGATGCTACGACTCAGCTTGGTTTGGTTCCATGAATTCACGGATGTGGGCTTTGAGGGCTTCGGTGACCTTGGGATCACTCTTGTAGTTGTGCTCTGGAGCAGGATAGGCGCGACTGGTCACTTCTTCCTTGTACTGCTTGATGCCGTTCAGGCTCGATGTCCATTCGTCGCCATATTTCTTCACGAATTTGGGCATGAATGCGTCTGGAGGTCGAGTGCCCAGCATATCGATTTGGACGAGTACCTGACCACTGGTCTTGTTACCAGCACCTATACCGATGGTAGGCACTTTGAGAGCCTGGGTGACCACTTCGGCAATATCCTGAGGTACACATTCCAGCACTATGCAGAAAGCACCAGCATCCTGAACAGCTTGAGCATCCCGCAGCAAGCTCAAGGCTTTCCCGACCGTGTTGCCCTGAACTTTGAAACCACCAAGAGCGTGCTGTCGTTGTGGGGTCAACCCGACGTGACCACACACTGGTATACCAGAAGAAGTTATCTTGTGGATTGTCTCGGCCATCTCTTGTCCTCCCTCTAGCTTGACGGCCTGCATACGACCCTCTTTGACCATACGGATTGCGCTGGCTAGAGCTTGCTTGGGACTGATTTCATATGAACCCATGGGTAGATCACCAATAGTAAAGGACCTGGCTGCAGCGCGAGCGACGGCTCGAGCATGTACAACCATCTCATCCAGAGTCACTTCTGATGTGTCTGCCATGCCCAAAGATACCATAGCTAGCGAATCCCCAACCAGTATTATGTCCACGCCAGCTTCTTGAGCTATGAGGGCCGAAGGATAGTTGTGCGCTGTCAACATCGTGATGGGTACTTTGTCGGCATACTGTTTCTGTAGCGAGTGGATGGTGACAGGCTTCAAGCCCTTACTGGCGAGCGTATGCGATACGGGAGCGTGTGAACTGTATCTGACCTGTTGAGAGACCAAATTGCGCATCCAGGAGGTTCCCCTTGCTACGAGCTGCAGTCGCTGTAAACATTGTTGCGCGACCATAATTTAGTACTTTATCCTGGTTGTAGAGCTCGTGTGGCTGTTCCCGACGCGTGCAATTTGTCGGTCAGAGGTTGAGGATCGTTTCCAATCATTTCCGGCACTGGTGGCTGGCCGTGTCTTTTATGCTACCTGTCGTGCTGGAATATGGCAGCGTATTTTTGAGGAAGGAAGTTCGCGACTGTGAAAGAGCCTCGGATTCTGGTAGCTAAGCGTTCCTTCTTGGTTGTGTGCCGTGGGAAGCGTCCGCGTTGCACAGAAACCCCGGCAAATCTATCCAGGCTCAACCATAACGAAACAGGCCAGTGGCCAGAAACTGCTTAGGGACTGTGGGTTAGGCTTTACAGGCTAGAAATGCTGGGGGTGGGGCTCGCCCAAGTCCCTGATTCGAACAAGTCATGCGGTTCCAGCTGTGCAGTGCAGCTTCCTTCATTGTTCACTTTCATGATCAATAGCATGTCTAACGGATCACTGAACCTGCATTGCTCTGAGCTATTGCGAATATCATTCGATTACGTTAAGTGTCTGCCGCACCTAGAAGCGGCGTACGAAACAACGTGCTGTGGCGACAATGATGCGCAAGAGAGGCCATGTGAGTGCTCGTGCTGCCCCGCCTGACGCGAGACGTTCCGTGCTGCTCGTGGCCATCAAGGTTGCCCGACCATATCATACCATCCAGCCTCCACCTTGCCCTTAACTCTCCTTCCCAACCTATGTACCACTGCATAACCTATAGCTGAATCGTCCACCCTCCCAAACCCTTATACCGTCTGCTTTCTAGTCACAGAAGAAGCGTGGGACTATATCACATTTGGTCATTCAAAGCCCTCGGGTGGTGACAAAACAAAGAGCCGCGGGCGTGATACTTTGTAGTTTGAGCAACGCCTGCTCTACCCGTGTACTCCTCGATCTCGAACTTACCGAACCGTCGAATTCTAATAAGTACTACTCGTGTCAAACACTCTGCAAAACACTTGCGGTTTGAGCAATTTGATTCACAAACCCAGCAGAACTGCGACTTTCGTAAACTACACAGTGTTCAAGGGTTAGCATCAGGCAGTGGGTGAGAGGTGGCAAGATGAGCAGTCCAAAGAGAAGGATAGAGACGGATGTCATGAAGCTGATGATGAGCGACTACGAGGTCACGTTAGTGAATGATAACATGCAAGAGTTCTATGTCATCTTCAAAGGACCAGGAGAGAGTGAGGACATGTCCGTGCAATTGTGACACTAAAGACTGACACAAATGCTTCAGCACCATTTACAGATGGCCGATGGAAGGTTCATGTCGAACTGCCCGATCAGTATCCCTACAAGTCACCTTCGATCGGCTTCGTCAATCGCATCTTTCATCCCAACATTGACGAACAGTGAGTCACCTGCTGTCTTCGCAACAAGCGAGGAGTAATTCTGACCCTGTGTTAGATCTGGTTCCGTCTGCCTCGACGTCATCAACCAGACGTGGTCCCCAATGTTCGATATGATCAATATCTTCGAAGTCTTTCTGCCTCAGCTGCTGAGGTATCCTAACCCGACCGATCCTCTGAATGGTGAAGCCGCTGCCCTGTTGATGCGGGAACCGCGAAGTTACGATGCCAAAGTCAAAGGTAGACCTACACGTCTCTGGTAGAACGACTGTGCTAATTCCAAGCAGAGTACGTTAAGCAGTACGCCACCAATATTCACGAGCAGTCAGACGAAGAGGACAAGCATGAGGACAGCGATCTGAGTGAAGTCGAGGACTATCATACCGACGGAGAAGATGAACCAGCAGGTGCAATGGACGACGTTTGAGCCACAGAGGTCGAGATTTGGACAACATTTTTGCTTCTATTACATGCAACAGCATTACGGTCGGCGTTGGGAGAGCCACTAACAAATGTGCACGTTATCAAGGCCAATGAGGGCTACTCTGTCAGCGACCCGTTGGGCTTAAACAACAACATTGCTGCCACGTTGTCTGAGGGTGTTTCTCGTGAGAATGTGTATATTTGCTAGATATTCAGCGTCAATTCTCCATCTCACTTCATTTCAGGTTGGTCTGCTCGTATCTTTGTTGTGTTCATGATAGGGCTTGCTTTGCAGTCTCTGTTACCTCGAAATGCTAAACTCGCTGTTGTGCACCACATCGACGTCGTAATATAGAATACTGTCCGCCCAACCTATTACAGTCACTCGACAAATTGGAGTCGACTCCAACTTACTCAATAGACTTCCGAACTCATAGCTCTTTCTCATCTTCCTTCTTTCCCAACAATGTAGCAAACGTCAACAATAGAGGCCAGCCTCTCTTGCTCCAGACAAAATGTTCTCCTCGTTCTTCTCAGGTGGCTTACCCAAGCTCAGCTTCAACCGAGCAAGCACAGCCAGCACCGTCAACGTCCCATCAGTCGAAGTCCACGACGTTGAAACATCGTTGGAAAAGCGCGATCGTCGTCTCAAACACCTGCTGAAACTGAATCATGCCAACTTCTCTATTCTCTACAATCACAACCGTTTCCATAACCACACGCCACACATCCTAGGAAGTGCCTATATTCTTGGCGGTTCTGCTGACCATTTGACTGAGATCTACGAACATGTCAGTCACTCTGGTCATGAACCATGGCAAGACTCACCTAGCGAGATTGCACTACATGATTACAGAGACTTCCTGGCGAGGAAGGAGTATCAGCGGGCTTGGGTGGACTTCTTCGAGGACCAGCTGGTCGAGCATTCGTATGATTGGAAACAGGTCGCGGCTAGGTTTCTGTTCGAAAGGGGGGAAAAAGGATCACCTAACGAAAGACCCATGTTCTCTTGTCTGATGGGCGGGCTAGGGCATCCACTGATCCACCTAGGGTATGCATACGAACTGGCAAGCAGAGAAGTTGGAATGGAAGCGCTAGGACTGGCAGCCACATGCTACGATGGAAAGCTCGCAGCCCTCCTCGAAGACAATCTGAACACTACATCCTCAAATTCCACATCTACACCGATCGAAGACCTCACCCAAGTTTTCGAAAACACACGCAAGGACATCAGACTCGACGCACATTTCTCCCACCTCAACAACAACAACCTCGAGCACCTCCTCTCCACACCAGCCCTAACATCCATCCTCCTCGAACACTTCACCTCCTACAACATCACCTCCGCACAAACCACCTTCCAACAATCCCAACACCTCGCCGTCGCCCTCCTAGTATCCACCTCCCCATCCCTCAACGGCCACGGCTACGACTTTTTCCTCCTCCACGTTCTCACAACGTCCCACGCCATTCGCGTCCTCATCCCTTTCCTCCCGAGCGAGCATCATGTCCCCTTACTCAAGCAATGGCTCCTCACCACACTCGCCCTGTATGTCACGCAACTACGTCCTGACATCCTAGCAGCCAACCATGCCATCACAGACTACGACACGAAAGGGAAAACGTGGGATGACGCGACGAAAATGGCGCTGGAGGGTAAACACAAATTCGACGAGCATTACGTCAAGGGGATCAGGGCCATCCGAGAGGCGAGCAAAGTCTACGGAGATAGTGGGGAGTGGTTTGAGAAGGCTGCGGTTAAGTTTGCGGTTGAGTTTGAAGAATGGGGAGGCTTTGCGGTGGCAGGTGGAGATGATGTGGAAGGGAAGGAACGACACATACACTAAGAGATTAGATGGGACGGCAATGGGTCGAAAGACCTGCTGAAAGAGGGGGGAAAGATGCGCTGTGTAATGGTGGGCAGGATCCTCGACGTCGAGGAGGGAAGAAGAACATTTACTGCGTACTCAAATCCGAGGAGGGCTTGTATAGCGGGCAGGGTCCCGACTTTGTGGAAAGAGAAAGGGGTTGGTGTATCCAGTATGCGTTGTTGACAAGGATACGTATGCTGGGGCTGAAAGCTGCATCAGGGATCTAGTAGGCGCTTTCAAGTTTATGAAAGCTAATTGTTTGCGCGTGTTACACGAATTAACGGTATGTACTTGTGTTGACGCTTGATATCAGTACCCGTACGACATAATGACCATTTAATTCCTATTCATTCAAAACGATCCTTGCACCACCATTTTCTTCTCGCCAAATTGGATCGATGGCTTGTCACCTTTGAGCGGCACGTCACTGCCATACTTCAACCTGATCCCAAAACTCACAGCTGTGGCAGCCAAAAGTCCAACACAAAGTAAACTGGTTCCCCACTTGTCGTAATACCTTCCACCAACTTGCGCTCTTCGCTTTCGAATCATACTTACCCGTAATGCATAAATCACAACACTGTAAAGAAGTGCTGCGACTGCCACGACGGTGAAACCCCAGGCACTAGCGAGAGAGACGTTATCTCCAAAGTTGACAAGAGTGGCTGCGATAGAGCCTAAGATGATGCTGAATTCGAGCCAAGAAAGGAAAGTACGCTCAGTGGCAAAATAGACCTTTGGCTCAACTCGAACAGGTACATGAATCTTCTTGCCTGGTGGTGCCTTGAAGCGTTTTGTGCCTTGTATTGGTTGACCTTGGGGGTTGACTTGGCCCATACCACCTCGTTGAGGCAGATGTGTTGTGGTGGGTAACTTGTGGAATATATCTGTAATTGCATGACCTGCCTTCAGGACATGATGCTGTAGCAATAGTGGATAGTAGTGTAAACCTCCAGATCTCCGAGCCTCTTCGAGTTTGTCGTCTGGACTTTCCTCCTCATCTGTATCATATAGGTATTCTTCGTCAACGAGGGGTTGCTGAGCTATTCGTTCCTCAACGTCAAGAGAATTGCCTGGAGCTCGTGCATCACCATTTGCTGTAGCATCTGCCTCATCTCTTTCGCGCTCTGCCGCAGTCTGTTCCAAAGCATCACGTGCTGCATGCAGTCTGCGATGACCCTCATCTTCGTCTTGTTCAATGCCACGCGGTGGCGGTCCTTGACCTGTCTGTTGTGCAAACTCGTCCTCGGAGTCATCATCGACATCGCTTGTAGTATAGCTCGCCGTAGTACCGGGCCTCTCGATTCCAAATCTATGAGTAACGGGTTTTCGGATGTCGATGTCCATTTGGGGGAACCAGTAGGGCAGCAAGTTGATTCTGTTGGGGAACAATGTTGCGGTGCCATGAATGAACTTGGAAAATTTGGGCACGGCTTCGACAAGATGGCTTGCAGTCAGATCACGAACCCATTGAGGTGGCTCTTGACCTGCCTGGGTCTGTAGCTTGACTTCGAGAACAGCATATGGGAATCGTTCGACATCTTCGGCGGGTAGTTGTTGGAATGGCCAGTCGATTCCAATATCCATCCTCCTCCAGTTGGCACCAGTCCTCTTTCGACCGTCGAGGTTGTCTTCCCGAGTCATGGTCAGTTCTGTATCAAGTGAGATTCGTACTCGAGCATCTCCAGGCAATTGGAAGGCCGTTCTGTGATAGAAAGATCGAGTGACAGGTACCAGTTTCCTTGTAATAACACGATACTGGATCTCACGAGCAAGCTGTTCAAGGTCAGCAATCTCCTTCTCTCCCTTTTTGCCTTCCTTTCTCATTTTCGCGAAAGCCTCTTCGACAGTCATCTTGCCAGCCATGAATGCATTGACATTCTTTTCTTTCAGATTAAAACGAGCTTTGACCGACTTCTCGCCCGTCCAATCTTCTCTATGTGTCTTTCGTTCGACGAAGATGGTTTCATTTTCCATTCCACCGTACCACCGCAGGCGTATAGCTTCAGCACCCTCCGTCTTCTTGAGACGACCCTCGTACAGCTCCCACGTGTCGGTGTTGTCGTAATAAATAGAGGTAATTGCAGAGTCCTTGTCCTCGAATTCCTTGTTTGGGTTGAAGACCAGCACGGGCAAGTGCTTGAGAATGATCAACTTAACCTCGGTGATGTTGTCGGCATGCACCCAGTATTTTGTGGTCTGCCTAACAAAGTTCTGTTGTTTTTCTCCCGCGGAACTATCTCCTTTTATAGGCTGTCCTCGTGTCCTTACCAAGTCATATAGTCTCGACAGTGTAACGATGAATGCGTCGTAGTTATCTTGGAAGAAGGGCTTCGCTTTCAGGCGAGTCGCAAAAGTGGGACGAAGTGCTATCGAAGTCTGCTTGTCGTGCTTCTTGATGATCTTCTGGAAGCCAGTATAATTCAGCTGTGTATATTTCGCCAGGTCGTGAACGTCAGCAATAATATCACTGAGATCAGCTTCTAGGAGCTGAAAATCTTCTTCCAAGCTCTCATCTGTGTCGGCGTCCGAAGCTCGATTGAGCTCTTCCTGCCGATCAACAACCTGCTTTACTTCATCTTCCGAGCTCTTGATACGACCTATGATCTCCTTGCTCTTGAGTTTTTGGAACATGAAAACCTTGTCGAGCTCTCCCTCGAGCTGACGAATGAAGGCTGCTTCATCGTCGTCGGTCCAGGCTTCTCGCTCGCCATCGTGGCCATTCTCAAAGGGCTTCTTGAGCGATTCTTTCAGGCCATCATAGTCAATGTAGTGCCAGTAGTAATCCTTGATCAGGGACTGCTTGAGCTGCTGGCCGAATCTACAGGTATCTAATTAGTCGTGATCAAGATGTGGGGAACGCAGCAAACCTCATATCTCAAAGACTATAGCTGCACGCTAAGAGAGGTGCATGAGGAATAAAAGTAGACGTCGTACGTGTTACACGCAAAGACTGTGCCAAAGCTCTTTTGCTTGAATATATCGTTCGACAGGAGCAATGTAACGAAGCTTTGTGCAAGGCTTTTTCGCTCGAGACTGCAAAGCAAGAGCGAACCATGCGCAATCGTTTATTGCGGGAGAGCTTGCTTGGCCTTCAACCAATAGATATAGAGGACCACAACCCGTGCACCACGTCTCCACTACTAGTACACGATGGATGCTCAGTACTGTGCTACTCGTGCACATGTCTGAGGTTGCCAGATATCATATTGTACAGTCTATTCACTTTTGCTTCCTCCCAATACTAGTATCAACCAGGCTTAGTAACCAGGCAACAACAAACACAGAAGAGAACCCAGCAATGATACTCAACGGCTTCCTGAGGGCCGACATCAAGGTGTACTCATAGCTGACTAGAACATCAATGTCTCTGAGCTCATCGACAACATTTGTAGCAGCAAGCGTCAAGCTGGTCCTTCCTACCGTGTCCATGAAGGTTTTGTGCAGGTCTTGACTTTCAATCAAGACCGGCAGGTTGGTGCCGCCACTCGTTTCCCATTTCACCAATTTCGAGCCTTCTGGCAGAATGATTCGGAACTCCATACGTTCATACTGAATCCCTTCTGACATTTTAGGCCCTTCCAAGAAAGGCACAGACAAGATATATGTGTCGGATGGAGTCTTCAACTTCCTGACGAATAAGCTCAAGGCATTATTCCAGCCAATCTTGAAGCTATACTTCCAGCCACCAAAGATGGGATAGCGTGGCTTCAGCTCGAGACTGGCATCGCGCACCTCACTCGGTCGGAAACGGGAAGTCGAGACGTTTCCAATGTCATCCGTAAAGTATGGGTCTGCACTTCCAGGCTTTAGCGGTACCTTCAGCTCTTTCAGAGCGGAAGATGGGGCACCCTGGTAGAAGTTGCTTTGAGCCCACAGCACTCGGTTGAAGTTGTCCATCAACGTCGCAGCGTCATTTCGTAGCCAATACCTTTCTTCCAGTGCTATATTACCTCCCCAGTGGGACACTTCGATATCTCTTTCTAATAATGAGGCAACGAGGATCGGCTTTGTAAATTCGTAGCGTATAGTGACGGGATGGATAGCACCAGCTTCGACTCGAGAGTCATACGGACCATACGTGAGTTTGGTGCCTTGCACTTCGGGATCGTTGCCCTTCGTCAAGCCAGTGGTTGTAGTATAGTCTGGGACATCGGCAGAGGACAACTTGACATTAGTCTTCTGCTTTAGAGTTGGATATGCAGAGGGGAAGTATGCAGAGAAAGAGTAGGTCAGATACTGCCTGTCATTCTGGTGAATTTGAGCAGGCAATGGCGACAAGGCTGTCAGGACGTAGTACGAGATGGATAGAGTGAGTTGAGCCTTGGGAGCAAGAGGTTCGGAGAAGGTGACGATAAAGTATTGACTCGGTCTGCGAGCTCGTTAGCACACTCATATCCAAATGGGCATATCTCATACTTGGTGGTTGTTCCGTCCACGCCAGTGACCGAGGCCATACCAGCCAGCCTCACATTGAAGGATGGTTTGGCAGCATCCTTCTTGTCTCGCACCTCGATGCCGCCAACTCTGCCTATCGTGTCATATTCGAATGGTAGATAGTACTCTGACTGTGATTTCTGGTCTGTATTCGAAACGACTACATTGATTGTTTCTCTCACATAGCCCTTTTCCAGGTTGGTGGTCCGAACCAGGTTGACATTCTCAAACACTTGCGGAGGTTGGAAATCAGCCTGTAAGATCTGCCGAGACTGTCGCTGCGTTGTAATGTTAGACTGGGCCGAGCATGCAGCTGTCAGCAGCCAGACAGCGCTCAGTGCAGCTTGGAGCTTCATGTCGACATTTGGCTGTACAAATGCTAATCGTCGCCTGTATCATTCAATGCATGGGAAATGTGTCCCCGAAGCTGCGCTCCAGCGCCTTCAGGATGGCCGTACGGGTTCTTCGTTCAAGCAGAAACGACTGAATGCACTTTACTTCGGAGCAACGGTGATTGGTTAGCAGCTGCAGACGGGAACGAGTACCTCTATACATTACTCCAGGTTGTCTACAGCGACATATATCTCGTCCAGCTTGATCCAAAAGAGCCATGGCCTCCAAGCTCGTGCCTTTTGCGAGGCAGGCGACACGCTCGCTCAGCCGAGCAGCGAAGCAGCACCAACCATTACGCTTTGAGCGACCACTTTCTACGACCTCGCATCGTCGCAGCGAAGCACTCAATGTGGTATGTACTACAGGGAACAGCTTCAAAGGAAGTCCAGCTAATACACTTACAGCACAGAGACACACCCTACAATAACCCAAGCATACCTTTCTCTTTCAACGAGCAGAACAAGAAGATCATAGAAGAGATCCTGAAGCGATACCCGCCACAATATAAGAAAGCAGCAGTCATGCCTATACTCGACCTAGGCCAGCGACAACATGGGTTCACCTCTATCAGTGTCATGAACGAGGTCGCGCGCATCCTTGAAATGCCTCCTATGCGTGTATACGAGGTAGCGACCTTCTACACCATGTACAATCGAGACCCTGTCGGCAAGTTCTTCGTACAAGTCTGCACAACCACTCCCTGCGTTCTGGGCGGTTGTGGAAGCGACAAGATTATGAACACCTGCAGAGAATTCTTGGGCATTGATCATGGTCAGATGACTGAGGATGGCGTATTCAGCTTGCTGGAAGTCGAATGCTTGGGAGCATGTGTCAATGCACCCATGATTCAAATCAACGACGACTACTACGAGGATCTGACTCCAGAGACTCTTAAGCAATTGCTACAGGCATTGAAGGACAGCGCTACTGTGACCGGTTTTGACAAGTCCAAGATCCCTCGGCCAGGCCCACAAAAATACGAAGGCGTGCAGAGAATGACTTGTGAGCCTAGACCAGGAAGGACATCTTTACTCGAAGAGCCATATTCGACGCAGCACAATAGGACCGATGGAGAGTTATAATGAAAGAAAACTGGGCAGCCTGGGTGTACATAGCGACTCTTTGCGACGTTGAGTTTCTGTCATTAAGCAAGCAATGTGCTTACCTGGATTCAATAGGCTCGGTAGCCTACACAGTATGTCAAATTACTGTTCAAGCACAAACCTCTCTCTTCTCGGGGTGATATCATAACTGATACATCGCTTGACACGAGTAACTTTGAATGTCAGTACAGCAGTACAGTATTGAACAAGGCTGGTCCACGGCGATTTTGTTGAACCACACTGTCAGAAAGCATGAGGGATAACTGCTAGTAGAACTGTGACTGTACTGAGGCTAACAAAGCGATCGGTCAAATTGGTTGTTGTGATGGGATTTGTACTTTGATTGTTTTCGAATGTACTTTAACGTAGTAGCGAGACTATTTCTATGTCCAGAGGCATGATCAAGCAACTCAACGAGGACTCATTCTCGCTGAGCGGGTTTGCGATGCACTTGCACTTTTGGGTCAGGCTACAAGGCCGCACCTTCCTAAACGATCCAAATATCAACTCTGTTGACGTACCAGTCACCATTGTTTCGCAGGCCTTACTACACCGCGTCCGAATCACTCAGGAGTTTGTTCACGCCAGACTCATCATGACATGCTTATGTAGCAATGTCCACAAACCCGCGACCTGCAAAGCGGCAGCGCAGGTCGAAAGTGCTGTCCGATGACGATGACGAGCCTCCAGTCACAAAGTCGAGTCTACCGCTTCGGCGACAAGCACCATTACGAAATTCCAATGGCTCCAAAGCGGCGATCAGTCGTACAATCTCAAGCAGGAATGGCGTCAAGCCATCATCAGCCAGACCATCTCCGAAGTCATCCCCAGAGAAGGGTAAGAAGTTCAGCAAGCTAGACCCCAACGAGAATACAAACAAGTCTCTACATACTTTCTTCAACCGAGTGTCCGAACAAGACAGATGGCGCAAGAGATCTGCTACGCCGGACGAGGTCAAAAGATTGGACCCGTTCCTGGAGGATATCGTTGATGATGACGACGATTCCATGGAAGAGGCATTGCACGAAGCAATACGTAGATCGGAGACAGACTCAATACGTTCTGCTACGAATGTGAAATCAGTTGCAGCTGTGTCTGCGACTCAGCCAGCGGCCGTGCCTTCTTCTAGTCAACGATTTCGCAAGCCTACCTTGCCAGCGAAAGCCAAGCAGGCAGACGAGGTTTCTGTTACCGAAGAACAGTCAGAGACGAAGCCTTGGGCTGATAGATATGGTCCTGTATCTCTCGAAGAGGTCACTGTACACAAGAAAAAGATTCAAGATGTTCAAAAGTGGGTTGAGGATGCCCGGGCTGGAAGATCACGCCAGAGAATCCTTATTCTAAAAGGTCCAGCTGGCGCCGGTAAAAGTACTACGTTGAAGTTCATTGCTCATAACCGACGATGCGACCTCGTGGCCTGGCAGAATCCCGATACCTCTGAAGCTGGCACATTATCTGGCAGTATGCAGTTTGCCGACTTCGTGACTCGTGGCGGTGATTACGGTGCTCTGCCTATGAGCAGTACTGGTACTCCTATTAGTACAACGAGCAATGCTCACATCTTGACAATTGAAGAATTCCCAGCCTCGACGACAAACAACTTACGTGCTCTTGAGTCCTTCAGATCTGCTCTCCTCCGTGCTGCCACGACAAGCAATACCTCGTTGTCTTCGTTCAGCAAACCTTTCGAACCTCGACACCTGCCACCAATCGTTTTAGTGATATCTGAAACCCTAGTCAGCTCTTCGACAGCTTTTACAGACAGCTTTACAGCTCAACGTTTACTTGGCCCGGAATTGATCAATCATCCTGCTGTGTGCGTGATAGAATTCAACTCTGTGGCACCCACCTTTCTCAGCAAGGCCCTTGACCTTGTTGTGAGGAAGGAGGCTCGAGATTCGAAGAGGAGAAGGATCCCCGGTCCTGCTGTGCTTCAACGGTTGGCAGAAATTGGTGATATTCGCAGTGCTATCAACTCGTTACAATTCCTATGCACTCGCGGAGACAACAACGAATGGTCAGGCACTGTCGCCACGATGTCTAAACGAGTAACGAAGTCGAATCAACCTCTAACACCTATAGAGGAGAATAGCTTGAAGCTGATAAGCTCCAGAGAAACAACTCTTGATATGTTCCATGCTGCTGGAAAGGTATGCTACAACAAAAGAGAGGATCCTCGGCTTGGTGATCCCAAAGCTCACCCTCTTCCTAAACCACCAGATTTTCTAAGCCGTCTACACCGACCAAAAGTCTCCCAGGTTGACGTGGAAGAGCTTCTCAATGAAACAGGTACTGATATACAGACATTCGTCTCTACTGTACAACAAAATTATATCCTGTCCTGTAATCACGAAGACTTTGTTGATTATTTCGATAGTTGTGCAACTGTACTTTCAGATAGCGAACTTCTGGATCCTGATAGCCGAATGTCAATTCGCAGCAAAGCGAGAGCCTCCGCATCACAAAATACCCTTCAATTAGGGACATCGGATTCACTGCGCCAGGATGAAATTAGCTTCCAGGTCGCAACCCGTGGGGTGCTCTTCAACTTACCCTTTCCAGTGTCACGTGCTGCGCCTCCAGGTGCTGGAAAAGGTGCTGCGCACAAGATGTATTATCCTGTTTCACTAAGATTATGGCGTCCCATCGAGGAGACGAATGGACTTATTGACTTAACCATTTCTCAGCTGTCGGGACGTGCGACTCTCAATCCAGGTCGAGTACAGGATACTGAAGGCGTAGCATCATGGAGGACAAGAGCAAACACATTCGAGACAGGTCCAGCACCGACTGAGTCTGATACCAACGACGCCATGCCACGTGCAGACCTTTCCAGAGATAATCTGGTCCTCGACACTCTTCCATACATGACCAGAATCAAAACTGCCCACGGTCACGACACAAGCATCCTCCAAAAGATCACACAATTGCACGGCTTCAACGCAATGTCCGAAGGCGAAGCTGACGATGACGAGTCACCGACCGAACAACCAACGAGCACTGTCAAACTGACGCAAAAGATAGAATCTGCGTATCAGACCTTACAAGCTCGACGAGATTATCATCATCAGCAGCAGCAGCATGGGAAGAAAGAGGCTGTCGAGGAATCACTAATGGAAAAGTTGTATATTGAAGACGACGATATTGAAGACGATTGATTTGTACTTGAGAGGCATAGATAGATCTGATTGGCGTTGGCGACGTATGTGCCAACTTCTGTATGTAATATTCTAATATGCATAAGCATACTTACTGGTATGCTACGAAGCCTATCAAACAGGAACGCCCAAATACTCAACCTCTTTCTTACGTCTCTAATCCAATCTTCAGTGCGTCCTCGGTAACCTCCAAATTCTCAGCATCTTGCGTGAAGTCACTGTCATGCTCTCGTTTCTCATTGTCAGTCTCGAGATTCTCGGCTCCAGCAGACTCAGCCTGACCAAGACTTGCTGTCTCTGAACCACCATCTCTCCCACCAACATCCACACCATCACCACCGCGTATCTCATCAGCCATACCAGAACCCTGCGCTCGCACCTGATCTTCCCTCACCATCTTCTCCCTCTCTTTCCCCTTCCCCTTATTCTTCACCTGCCCCCTCTTCCGCAACGCCTCATCCTGTGCCGGAAAATTATGCAACCGCTCACCAATCAGATAAACCTCGTCCCGAATCTTTGTCCTCCATCTATTTACGCGAGCCCGTAGTCTATGCAGCATGTACGCCGCGATAGCGAGTGCTAGGACAGCTGGATAGGAGTAGCGGTAGGCACGGGCGTGAAGCTCTTCGTTTGCCAGGTTGCTGCTGCAGAGTAGAACGATACGCGCGAGGACGAGCGGTAGGATGAGGAGGATGATGCAGACCGATAGGAAGGGAAGGACTAGTGCGCGCGAGGCAAGTTTGACGTCTGGTCTGGTGAAGCCATCGCGAGTGATGTTGCGGATTGCGATGGCGGGACGGGTTGTGGTGTTTGGGGTTGTGGTCATGACTCGGAGGATGACGCGGAGGTAGAGGAGGCCCATGATCCAGGTTTGTAGAATGTGGATGATGGGTGAGGCTTGTCCTTGGGTTGAGGATATGAGAGGGTTGGCGGGCCCGGTCTTGTCTTCGCTTACGAGGTAGCTGTAGATGGGGATATTGATGTAGAGCTCTGCCAGGAGAGAGAGCGCCATTGGAAGGACGATTCCGACAGTAATTGCGAGGTAAAGCTGGCCGAGGGTGCGCTTCAGAAAGACAGCGATGGCTGGTAGTGCTTGACGTGTGTTCTTGAATAAGTTACCGATACGGTCGAGATTCTGGTTCCATTTTGTGATGACCTGGTGAGACACGAATATGAATCCTACAAGGACATGAATGCCAACCGTGACTGCATAGAGATCGTTGATGACGACTGAAGGGCCAACAACGGATCTGATAATGATTCTTCCGAAGATTAGGGGTCCGATAGTGAAGATCAAACCAGCAACCGCAATGAAAGTCCAGATCAGACCTATGAAAGTTGTTATCCTTGCGCGAAAGTGGTTGGGAACAAATATCTTGGAGAACCGTTCATCCTTCTTGTTATGTAGCCGGCCAATTTCCGGTTCGTCCTTGCCATCGATGCGATTGTTGTTTTCATCTACGCGAACAAAGATGTTTGTGCCTTTGGGGATCCGGACACTATCTTTGGCTGGAGCACGAACATATGTGCCCGCGGAAGGGTCAACTGGTGTGCCACGAGCAGCAGGCATGACAACAGTCTCCACGCTGAGATCCTTGACTTTGGAGATAACGATTCCTCCTGTATTGCCATTATTCCATATTTCAACCTTTCTCATAATATCAGCCATATCGTCCTCTTCACTGAATTGCACCAAGACTTGAGATTTGTCGCTCGAGAGGTTAAAAATCTTTGGGCTCCGGACCTGTCCGACTACCAATCGTATTGTAGTTTCGTCGATTGTGGCGGCATCAGACTTAAACCACAATAGTCGGTCTTTATGATCCGCCAGCTCTTCGATATAGCGCACCATTGGGTGTTTCGTCCTTCGCTCGTGTAGAAGGACGTGCAGAAACCGTCTCCATAAGAAGGCACCTGGGCTCTTCTCTTCATCGTTGTCCACTCCAAACAGAAAGTCAGATAATCTCAAACCAGCGGCACAACCTCGAAACCACCATTCAAATATGTTCGAGAGTTTTCCCGTTAAGTCAACCTTGCGCAGGAAAAATGGCAACATGAAGTTGTAGAATATGATATCGCCTGGAATGATCATGATTGGATCTTGACTGCCCCAGTGAAGAGGTAGAATGTCACCGGTGCGGCTCAGGCCTGATACCACTCCACCCAAACATATGACCAGAAGACTTCCATACACGAATCCAGAGAATGCGATCTTTCCTAATTGAGTAACAACTGGTCTTTCGAGCACATCTCTGACAGGATGAAAAGTTGGATCATCAGGGTCGCGTATGAAGTAAAGGACTCCTCTTCTCATGACCTTGCGACACATCGACACGAAGAGTGCGAAGTGAAACATGTAACAAGTGCCCAGGAACCAATGAATAAACAATGCAGTGAAGGGCGTGTTGAGCAAGAAGTCTAGCCGTGATTGAAGAGTGGCTCCTTGAAACAGCGGTAAGAGTGCGATGTCGAGCATTGTGCCACAGTAAAGTGGAAATACGATCATCTCAATGCCGATGATCACAACAACCTTCATGACGCCACCAGCTTGCCGAAGAGTATCAGCCAGGATGCCTGGGACTTTCTCTTGGTGCTTCAGGTTTAGGACACGATGCGCAATCTTGAGGTACAGATAGCCTGTGTATGCAAAGAGCGCATATCCCATGACAATGCATACAATCTTCTCCCAGGCAGTCCATTGCACAAGTGTATAATCAATCTCCTCTGGTTTGGCGAACGATAGTGGTCGTAGATCATGTTGCAGCTGAGCGAGCCATTGCTGAAAGGCGACCACGGTCAAGCGAGATGTCCTCGGAGTGGATGCTAAAAATCTGCCAAAGGTCGTTGGAAGAGTCACAAGATCTTGCCAGGAAGTAGATTGTGAAACTCGCGTGGTCCATGAGGCTATGCTGTAGACAAGGTTTACAGAAGCTGACCTCAGATATCGACCAAGCACACGTTGCACATGGTGCGATTGTACTGAGAACGTAGGCAAATCTGGACGGAACCCAAGAAGGGCCTTTGAGATACTCTTCTCGAGGCGAGTGCCACTGCTGGAGGAAAGTTGTGTCGATATTTTCTCGAGCAACCTCGCGTCGAAGAATCTGCTGATTGACGGCAGAAGTGGATGAGTAGCAAGTCTGATGACTTTGGCAATGTGAGTAAGGAGTAATCCGAAGAGACTAGTGGTGAAGAGGCCGATATCGACGATGAAATCCGCGGTTCTCGATAGCAGGAACAATGGTGCCTTGACGAGTACACTAAAAGGGTGCGCAATGAAGAGTAAAGCAATCTTGCCCCATATGTAGGGGCACCAAACACTAGCAGACAGCGTCAAGGTGATGAGGAAGACGCTGAATATGATATTCTGAATCATGCCAGCGATGGGACCCTCCATTCCTATGAGTTCCATGATCCCTTCCATGTCTTCAGCTTCATCCACAACGTCGTGTTCGTGAGGTGCATTGTTTCTGGCAGCATCAGGGGCTGGCACTTGTGGGACAGGACCGTTGTGCGCAGCAGCATCCGCTCTTTCAGCGGGCTGATTGTGAACAGGAACAAAAGGAGCCTGAGCATTTACATCTGCTACAATCTCAGTCTCAGGGACATTCGGTTCGAGCTGATTCTCCGGTTGATAGTCTTCGGTATGCCACAACCACCTACTGAGCCGGTTGAAAAGTGTGTTCGGCTCATTGGGAGGAGCATTTACTGGCCCAGCCTCGGGTTGCACGTCCTCATTCTGATCAGTGGTGTCTGATCGATCATCCGTCTGGTCGTGCGTAGCTGTTGGGTGTGGCTCGCCTGGTTGAGGCGTTCCCTGTATCCGGTGAGTAGCGGTCTGCTTGTTTTCTACCACGTCGCTGCCTAAATCAGATACCCAATCGTCGTCGTTCTCCACTCGTACCGCGTTCTCCGCATCTTCAACGTTCATATCTGTTCCCGAGGGCTGGTTCGGGGATCGGAACGTGAACTCATTCTGTGCAAGTCGCTGTTCACCGAAAGGTGGCACAGTTGCAGCAAATGTAGGTGAGGTAGATGTCGCCAACACGTCTCCCGGCAGAGGTGTAGCTTGTGTCGGCAACGAGACTTCAGGAGTTTCTGAGCTCGTCGTATCTGCCGAAGGACTGAAAATACCTCCCTCTTCAATGCTTCGGCGAATGTGTCCCATGTCGTCAAAGACGCCACGATGAAGTGGAGGTGATTCCAGGGGCTCATTTTGTGTCTCGTGACCAGCAGGTCGTTGTGGTGCTGGTTCGGATCCGATTGCTCCTAATTGACGGGCATTGAATTCTAGTTCCTGTAAAGCAGGGACAAGACTTTGGGCACGCTGAGGAGCAAGTGGTCTCGGGAATCCATCTGCAGTCTCCGGCACGAGGATATTGTTCTCAGTGGCCCGCCTCCTGGGTGCTGGAAGGGGTCGAGCTCGTGGCGCAGGAAGTGGCCGATTATCCAGTTGCAGGTTATTGTTGTTGCCCAGCTGGCGGATACCACGGCGGCGTCGCCGCGCTGGCTGTCTCGGCTCGTCTTCTGCTTGTGCTGGAGCTGGGTTATCTCCCTGCTCGTCATCTGGCATATTTAGAAGTGGCTGTTGGTTGATAACCCACTCTCGAATCAGGAAGACCAAGATGAATGCGGCCACTATAGCTAAGCAGATAAGTTGACCTTCAAGGACATCCGCAAAAGTGTTGTTTAGAAAAGGGAAGCGGGTGGCTGATGTGATTGTGTCAAAGTCGGAGAGGAGAGATGCAGGTCGTGGGACTGGCGTGTACAGGACAGCCTTCTCCCATTTGAAAGACTGTCCACGAATTGTTGGCCATATCACAACGTGCAAAAGGGCTCTGGAGACTGCACGTAACACTATCTGAGGATCAAAGAGGCCCAGAAGAGTCAGAACGGCGGAGAACAAGCTAACACCATTAGTGCTGGTGGTGGCGATCGTCGAGTTGGTCAAAGCATCGACGAAAGGTGAAGCAGAGGTATTTGGCATATGGGAAGCGTACTGCTCGGCGGCTTGTTCCAGCTCGTGCGAAGTGAGCCAGCTTCCGTCAGCAATCCAGAAGAGAGCTCGCCAGATCTGACGGATTGTCCAAGGCAGCCAACACAACCAGACGAAGGTGACCAGTGTATATCTTGCCCATCTCGTAATGGCTCGAAATGAATGAATGAATAGTTGACGAGTGAATAATAGCCATGGTACGCTATCTGGCATAGATTGGTCGTAGAGTTTGGTGAAGCGGAAAGGAGTCTTGCACAGTTCACAATGCTTCTTCTGAGAATGAGACAGCCATTCCATCAAACAGTCCTGGTGGACAAATTTAATGCTTCCACTGCATTTGCACGGATAAAAGAGTGGTTGCTCTGGTGTTCCCTCGCCTCGACATATTCGACAGGTATCTCCTCCATCTTCTGTCACAGGTAACGAGGCCGTTGAATGCTTTCGAGGGGGCGACTCTGAGATCGGTTGGAGGGGGTCGGCGGCAGACATGTTGAGGACAGAAACGACTGTCGGATCATACAGTACATAGCAGGAATTCAGCCACTGAGTATCTACGACGTTGGATAGTTCGCATTCTCCATCTCTCAAGAGCTCCTTATTGCACAAGTCTCAGTAGATGGTATATGGGTGATGGATAGCTGTGGCTGTAAAGATTCAAAATGGTTCGGCAAAGGTTCGTTCATTCATCTGCGCATCTGTCAACATGTAGTGTTTGCCTGTGGCCGCAGGTCCCGTTCGGGAGGGTGACGCATGGTTCCAGGCATGCCGAAAGTGCCTAACTTGGTTGGGGTTAGGTCTTTGTTAAGCAACAAAAGTGGGGACCTCTGGGTTTGAAAGAACGTGGTTTAAGTTCGCAACACCGTAACGACGCACTAGGGTAACGACGCACTAGGGTAACGACGCACTCCACTCAATTTTGCTGTTAAATTGATATAGTCATTATGCGTTATTAATACTGCGAAATCTATCTACTAGGGCTATAAATGGATCTAAGGGGATATTATCTATCTCTATAGGTAGCTAACGATTGCCTACGCCCTATAGGTAAGGCTGGAATGTTATCGCTAGTGTAATAGGGGCTCTAGCAGCTTATTCGATATCTTATAGGCCAATAAATAATAGATTTAAGTTAACAGCGTACTTCTTTTTCTACTTCTTCTTAAAGGTATCTAGCTGCTTTATAAGGGCTAAGATCTTACGCTAAGCAGCTGCTATATTAATAGAGTAACTGTTAATAGCCTTACGGGTCTTAGTAAAAAGAGTATATACTGTTTAATTAATAATAACGCGATAAGAGATAATATTAACTGCCTATAATAAAAGAACGCGGTTATAGGGTATAATAATAACGTCTAAGTCGATAATTATAGGCGGAGGAGTAACGGCTCGCTTATTATATAACTTCTTAACTATACTAAGTATAAATCTTAACCCTAGGCCCTTTAACGGATTAAATAGCTATATACCAGCTATAGAAAAGCTAGCAGCGTAGTTAGTAAGTATTATAGCCCTTATATAAGCCTCTTAGTAGTATAATAAGAACTATACCTTCTTTAATATAGCTATATTATCTATAAGCGGGTTAATATTTATTATAGTATAAAACTTACGCTTAAGCAACGAGAATACCGCTAGATTAAGAGGTTAGAAGATATAACTGGTATAGGGGATTAAATAGTAGTACTAGACCTTATTAAGGTATATAGCTTATATAAAGTCGATTAAAATATAAGATTTATAACTATCTAATATAAGTAGGCTATTACGTAAGTTCCTAGGCCTAGGGTAAGTAGGTTTAATTATAGATAGTAGGGTGGTATATTAGCTAGTTAGTAATAAGAAGTATAAATACGATAGGAAGGTACTTAGAAGGTACTAGTAGAATTAGTAAGAGAGATTAATTACGGAGAATCTATTTAAGTAACTAGAGAGTATACTAGAATCTATATACTTATAAGTTGTGATATTATGATCAGTATTACTTACCTTAATCAGTATACTTAGTGCTAAGTACTACTGATTAGGCTAATCGTACTAAGTACGGTGACCTTTATAGTTTAGTCTCGCTAAACCTTTCTTATTATACGTCCTAGTCTAGACTAATTCTATCCTAGTTTAGTTTATAACTGTTATATTTTAAACTATCCCCGTCCTAGTATAGCCTAGGCTGGTTCTGGTTTAGACCACTTATAACGTGGCTTAGTCCTGTGTACGGCCGTAACTTAGCTATATAATAAGTCGTAATACTATCCCCTCTTTAGGTACTTGCTTCTATGTAAGTATAAGTAGAGGTAAGTATTCTATTTTGCGTATGTCGTCTTTCTCTTTCTTTCCTATAGCTGACTATGCCTTAGAAGCGTTGAGCTAAAAACGAACTTTCTTATCTGAATAAATAGTAGCAGCTTAAAGAGAGTTCTACCGTCCGTCGTAGAAATCTAGGAAACTTTATTTAGGTGTTTAGTAATATAATACCGAAGGTATATTCTAATTATCGTCGTCTTAGTTTAGAGTATAAGGTGTATATAAAATCTAGTATATATAGGAAATATTATCTATTAGGGAGTGGGATAATATATAATATAAGAGTGACGTAAGAAGAGTAGTCTTAGTTAGTCGCTAAGCGCGCGAGATTGTTAAATAAAATAAAAGTGGCTCTATAGGCGTAGAAAGATGCTGAGTAGGCTCGCTAAAAGGCAGTTAATCTAAAGTTCTTACTACGTAAGCAGCTATGAAAGGTAGAAGTTAAAGCCGAGGAGGTAATCGCTATTAAGGAGGTGTAGATATAAGTCCTAGAGCGTTATAAGACGGAGTAGATGAGGTTAATTAAGTAAGAAGTTTAAAGATCTTTAAATTTAGCGTTAGCTCCTTATACCTAGAGTATAGAAGGTAGTGTACTAGACGACTTCTAAAAGCCGTTTAAGAGTACTCTATAGGTATATTAATCCTTAAGGTCGTATACTTACCTCGTTAGTTATATTTAAGGCTAAGTATATATAAAGTTAGTAGTTTATATCTATTTAAACCCTAGATTAGGCCTATACTTTAAGCAGTAGTGCCTTTATAATAAACGAGATTAGTATACGCTAGTTATATAAGATTTTTATACCTTAAATCACTAAAGAGTTAGTTAAGAGCGAGTAGCGCCTATATCACGACTTATCGTGCGGCTAAGTTACGGCCGTACACAGGACTAGGCTACGTCACAAGTGGTCTAAACCAGAACCAGCCTAGGCTACACCAGGACGGGGATGGTTTAAAATATAACGGTTATAGACTAAACCAGAACAGGATTAGTCCAGACTAGAACGTATAACAAAGAAGGTTTAGCGAGACTAAACTATAAAGGTTACCGTACTTAGTGCGATTAGCCTAATTAGTAGTACTTAGCACTAAGTATACTGATTAAGGTAAGTAATACTGATCATAATATCACAACTTATAAGTATATAGATTCTAGTATACTCTCTAGTTACTTAAATAGATTCTCCGTAATTAATCTCTCTTACTAATTCTACTAGTACCTTCTAAGTACCTTCCTATCGTATTTATACTTCTTATTACTAACTAGCTAATATACCACCCTACTATCTATAATTAAACCTACTTACCCTAGGCCTAGGAACTTACGTAATATATTAATTACCGCCTCTAGTAATAAGGCTTTAGGATATAATAACTCCTAAAGCTGTTTAGGAACTACAACCTACCTTACCTCTTAGTAATCCGGATTAAAACTCCTCTATTACCTTACTTAATACTATAATTAATAAGGGACTTAAGTAAGCCCTAAGTAGTGGTTTATCGTTAAGTAACTAATCTATACCACCTAGTACTAATATATCTAACGACAATAGCTTTACTCTAAAAGGAATAATAGGGAACCTACTTAAGTCCTTCTAAGAAGACCTAACTAAGCTACTCTCGTTCTTCTAATATTATAATATATACTTTATAATTAATTAATAGAAGTTTTAGGATAACGGTATTAAGATTAATATAATATCTTTATACTTTAAGGGTAAAGTAGAGGAATAGTTTTAACCCTACTTTAGGGATTAAATAGATAACGATAAAGACTCCTAGAAAGATAACACTAAGGAAATGTTTTCTAGTTATAAGAAGTTTAAGAAACATGTAACTAGTACCTTTAGAGGACCTAATAAGGTTAGAGAAATAGAAAAAGCTATTATAAACCTCTAATAGATAAGTAGTATTAGGGATTATACTATAAAGCTTAAAGGATATATTACTGTCCTTAGGTAGGCCGATAGCGTCACTATACCTATTTTTCGAGAGGGTCTTAAACCTGGTATTAAGTAGGAAATTTATAACGAGAAATCTATCCGAACCCTTAGTAAACTTATTAAGAAGGTAATTAAGGTCGATAACGATATTTAGGACCTTAAAGGATATACTAATAACTACATCTACCTAGGACGAGGTACGAAACCTAATTAAGGAAAAGCCCGATAGAATGATGGCCCAGATTCTCACGGGTGAGCCGCCCAACGGGGGTGTGGCTCTGGCCGCTTTGCTCACCCCCGGCTCACCTTCCGCTCACCCTCAACTCACCCTGAGCTCACTTTTCATCACCTTCCGCTCACCCTCAGCTCACCCAATCAGCCACAAGGTGGCTACACTGTCTGAAGGACGTGGGATGTCCTGCCTCGGACTCCACCGGCGGTCGCTGCGAAGCTGAGGACTCAGTTTTGTTTGCATTTATATGTCACGGACTTTCGCATCTTGGAAGTTCGTCCCCAACGCTTGCTACAGTCGCCGTCGAGCAATTACTCTAGGTTGCTGGACCAAAAGTGCCGCAGGAATACTTTATTAGGAGATTGAGAGCAGAAGTACTGCTATGAGGCCCACTGCACCGAGCACCGAGCCAGAGGCCGTGTCCCTGGTGTCATTGTCGTGCGACAAGACGGTTCGAGATCTTGAACGAGACTTTATTCGGCAATCACGAGAATATCAGAAGAAGATCGAGTCGACCACCACAAGCTTCGTGCGCAAACCTATTGCTTTTGGTACGACGCGATTCTATCAGGTCATGCTGCGGGAATGGGACCTATTCGCTTCCGAGTACAACGGTCCCAAAGATCCTGCCAACCTCAAAACCGCCAAAGATTTCATCCTCTTCTTCAGCAGTGGCCGGAAAGGCCGCAACGAACCGGGCGGTCGCCTGACGGTGGCCTACACCTACACCGCTTGGAAGTCGTTCATGGCCGCATGGGGTCGCATGCACCACACGTCATTTTCCAAGAGCCACCAAGATACCATCCTCAACTTCATCAACGGTGGAGAGAAGTCGGGCGCTCCTGACCTTTCTCGCAAGGCACGTGCCAGTCGTAACTTCACCAGGGACGATTTCTTGGTGTGCGTCCAACAATTGTGGCAAAACGACTGGCACGATTTCGTTCACGAACGCTATCGAGCCGGTCTGCATCTGCTGCTCCTGCTCCACTGCAACACATCCGGTCGTCGCGCCGAGTACGAGAAGGAGTTGACGTACGCCGATATATCCTTGGCGGTGGTCTGGTTGGACGGCACCGACCAATCCCAGCTGATTATCGACTTCAGACGGACGAAAGCGAAGGGTCTCCAGAACTATGAACGAGAACAGCCCCAGCACATGCTGTACGAGCTAGTAGGCCTCCCATTCTATTGCAACAGTATTGCCTTCTTCATCGCCGCGGCGCTAGCGGATCAAGTGCTACGCCACTACCATACATGGGATGAGGTCTGCGCCATCCCGCGACCGTCTCAACAAAAGCATGTCATTCTTGAGTATGTGCCGGAGAAGAGCCATTGGCCACTGTTCCCTCGCAGCTCATTGGCAGGACATCTGGTCCACAGTCGAAGCTCCGCCTCTTTGACATCCAAGGCACTGCTCGATTTGGGCTTTCGAGCCGGCTTTCGAGACCACTTGACGCTGCATGCTGCTCGACGCGAGGTCCTCATGCAAGTCGACAACTATGGCTATTCTTGCAACGAGCGAATGCGTTTCGCTGCCCACATCAACCCCAACACCTATCGCCGATCGTACCAAACGTCGATCCCACTGGTCGATGGACAGGCGTCGTACTTTCAGTATGAACCCCGCAACGTGGAGCTACATGCACTCAGGAGGGGATACTCGTGGCGTCGTAATCCTCATCACCAACCCAAGCTCAAGGAGGCGACCCGGATTGCTGTACAAGAGGACATCAGCGACGAGGAACGAGAGATCGTTGAGTCCCTCTGCAGTGACCCGGTCAAACGTCAGAAGCTGTACGACCAGCGACGACACCACCGAGACCTTCTCTTGCGCGAGCAGAGCTCGGCCGCACCACCGCCCGATGGTCGGCCGTATGAGTCCGACTTTAGCCAGACCCGGAAGCTGATGCCTGAGAGAGATCGGCTGGCCACCAACCTCTTCCGTGAGGGAAGTCTCCGAGACGAGACAGGTCGTGCGATCATGAATGACTTGATCCAACTGTGTCGGCAGGAAATGCCAAACACATACTGCTCGGGTCTCAACCCGTCAGGTTCCCATTGCAATACATGTGGGGAGGAGGTCACTCCTGGCAAAGAGTACGGGTGGTGGTCCCACCTCTATCGATGTCGAAAGAGAGTCATCTGCAATCACAGTGGCTTTGCTGAGTTCTGTTTCTTGTGCTTCGTCTGGTACGATGATCATGATGCATGGGAGCAGCACAGTCGAGAGCATTTGCAGGACTTGCCTCTGAAATGCAACATGGTGGTCTTCCGTCACAATGTGGTGCGACCAGCACTGTGTCCGGCGTGCCTGGGTGAGGGGAAGTTTCGGCAGTTTGTCAGCCTGACCACCTGGAAGAATCATCTTCAAGATCACATCCTACACGAGAATGTGCAATCATGCCCACACCCGCAGTGTGAACCTGTACTCGGGCACAAGGACAAAACTGTGCTCTTGAATCATCTGGCTGACGCACATGAGATACGCTTCGAACATAGAAAAAGACAAAGGGCCGTCAGCTCTACCGCCTCGCAGCCAGCTGAGAAAGTGCCGAGGAATTTCTCATTCGTTCATGTCGACGCTAATGAATACCAAAGGACTCATGCCGAGATCGACACTAACAGGGACAGCCTCCACCAGACCTGTGAGAAATCAGCCACGCCTCAGGAAGTGGTGCCATCGGAGGCTCAAGCTGGTCATGAGGCAATGACAGCGAACGAACAAGAAGTCAGCTGTACGAAAGTTGGATCGGGAGAATCGTGTCGAGACGACGGTGCTGATGGTTTTGGGATGGTCATGTACGAGGTCGAGGACAATGTGCTTATGGAAGATTACGAGCATGTAAGCGAAGCTGAAATTTGGCAAGGATTGGAGGAATCAGAGCAAACACGGATTCGGAGACAGCCAGGCTTGGTGATCAAGGTGCCGCCTGTACCTGAATCGTGGAATAGCTCCACGATACCCCGCATTGAGTCACTGGAAGCGGAAAGACCGAGCCAACCAAAGTCGGCGAAGCAGTCTTCTCGTGGCCGGCCTCCAGGCTCTCGCAACCGGAAAACATTACGTCGGACACGACGGAAGGCTACCATAACCAAAACCCGCTCATCCCTGGATTTATCAGTGGGTAGCTGATTACGTAGAAAGAGAAATAGTACTTTTAACGACGAGTACACTAGTCTAGCAGCTGTAGTTGGTTCGAGACTGTAGAAGAAATACTACCCCTTCACCCTTGGGCAAGATTTCTATTGGGTTCTGATCTAAACCTCAAATCATTCATAAGACGCTGCAGGCGCCACAATTGTAGCGCAGGACAGTAAGAGGTGCAATGACGGTGCGTTGTGGCATGTTGCCTTGTTCGAAACTACCAAAGCCAAGAAGAGTAAAATGCGCATCGAGCTCACGGCTCCTTGGGGCCTAGGGTGAGGCCGCTCTGGCTCAACCCCGACTCACCGTCACGTGGGTCAACCTCACCGACGCTCACCTGGACAGATCCACTCTAGGTAGCAATGCTCGGCGTCGCGCCAAACCCGGCGCTTCGTCGATGGTGAAACGCAACCCTTGCTCACCGAGGAACTGGACATGCGAAGCACGTGATGTCTAACCCCTGGAGCAACACTAAACCAGCGACGAAATTTGGCCATCTCCGGACTAGTTTATCAGACCGGTCTTTGGTCCAGAGACGTACCACCACGGCTGGCACCACAATCTCACAGCTTCACCACTTGGTTTTATCTGCGATCTTGTCGTCACCAGCTATGGGGATCGACTTCATGTCGGTACTTCACCCAGTAAGCGGTGCTCTCGGCGCCCACAACTACCTTGCCGTAAGGTAGACTTATGGTGATATTTCTACACTGATCTACATTCGAATGATCACAACCTCGACCACTCTGCCTTATGTTAAACCGCGCCGAACACCTGCAGAGGCGCCAAACTCGAAATGTCTCGCCAGCTACTCACAAAAGCTACCGGACTATTCCAGTATCCTCCGACAACACATCCATGACATGAACGAATTGGTGGAGTGTCGCGCCACCAATGCGATGGGCATTGTGTACGCTTGTGTGACGAGATCACATGTAGGGCGAGACATCATTGTGGTGGATAATGAAGACCACCAATGGCGATTATGCCTCGCGATACCGGTGTCAGTGGCGGCACTGCAGTAAGCAAGGTTCGTGGGTCGGTGGAAGCAACCACTTTGGACAGAGACGGTGACGATCGCAACTCTGCCTTGGACTGTTATATTGCATGGGTCAGCGGCTGTAACAAGGACAGTCGCGAGACGGCTAGCAGGATATGGAATACATAGACATGGAGTATACTTGGTGTGCTACGACGGTAGCCAATACAACCTACCCGCAGCAACAGCCAGGCGCAGGTGTCTTTAGCCGACGAACAGCGGCGGCGTCATTGGGCTGCAAAAGATGCACGACATGTCATACAAGCCTCATTAGCATGAAGCTCTGCGTTAGTGGTGGACGAGGGAGGCGATGCATGGTCAGGCTGCATAGAGAGGAACGATGGCAGACCGGAAGAAATCCTTTTGGCGCTTTCTGCGCATTACTGTGGTGGGTCGACGACTTCTTCCAGCAGTGAGCTGCCTGCCGATCAGCTTCAGCTACGCAGGGTGTTGTCAGAATTTCTGAGACGGCCCAGCGAACAGCCTGTGAATAGTGGGTATGTCGCGAGGGTCGACAACGGCGGCAGGTCTCAAATATACGCCGGGGCTTCGTGGTGAGACCTGGTTGTGTGTGCCTTGTGCGGTCGTCCCGACCTCTTGCGTGTCACACCATGTGCGCATTGATCAGGCAGCCTTGCTAAACGAGGAAGTTGCAAGCCTGAGCAATAACAGCACCGGTAGCGGCGTCCCGCCCTCTGAGCTATAAGTCCTGGTTAGCATCTTCCAACTTCGCTCCCACGACCAGCTGCTGCAGCCTTTACATGTTTCCTGGCTCATACTTCGTACAAGTCTTCTATCATCACAGATAGAACCTCGGATCCGCCTTGAGGCGCCAAGCGTTGGTTCGGCATGGAATCTTCTAGTGAATATGGGCCCTCAGTTGACCACCCTGAGTCCCCATGCCCAACTGATATAACCAGTTTGAGTGAAAGTGTTGATGTAAGTCGTACTCTGAATTAGTAGCGAGCTTAGGCTAACTATGATACCAGAATAGCGAGCCTGACAGTGACACGAATTCGGACTCTAGTCTGCCTTCCCTCCGTGATGTCCTAAGGCCCAGAAAGCGGAGCATCACAGACGTAAAAGACATCGAGGACGGTACGGAACAGAAGGGGTCACACCGTCAGAGTCGTCACAAACGCCAAGCTACTGCTGAAAGGCGCGGATCAGTCGAAGTCGCCGAGTCTCCGAGTCGCAGCGATCATACAAGTGATTTGCACAGTCTGGACGTTACGACAGTAATCACTGGGTGTCAAGATAAGGGCGATTCGATGACAGAGCGAACAGAGCAGCACAAGGCGCACAGCGGGCAAGGGCCCTCAAGCTCGACGTCTAAGAGGCAGCTAGATCCGGAGCGAACGTCTTATAGAGACTCTCAGGCAGAGGACCGGGATTCACAAATCCGGACAACAGGAGTTGGCGAGATCTCCGTCAATGTTAGTAGCGGTACTCTCCTTGGGTTGTATGGGCAGCGAGAGACATGTCAGGGGCCAGAATATTGCTGCCTGATTGGGACCTGGCTTCGGCCTAAGGATGGGATACCGCAGAACCAAATCCAGAAGTACGATCGAGGGGTGGCGCAAGGCCGTCGTCGGCGGCCCTTGAGGAAGCGAAGGTCCTGGTGTGAACGTGACGCAGATACAGAAGTTCTTCATGAGGTCCGACGGTGGAAGGCCGGCCTGGTGTAACACAGCAACTATAAAATCTGCTGTATAAAAGGTTGGACAGATTGGGTATACGGTGAATTTGGCATTGTGTGGGGATTCAAAGGCGCAGAAGTTTGTACTAGGGTGGTTCTAGATATCGCTTTTTGCATAAGTACTTGCGGTGCAGAAAGTTTGCCGAAACGCATCCTCTTGTGAATGCACGGAATTCAGATCGTACGCGCACCACCACGCTATAGTCTTACTGATTGCTCGCTAGCTATAAAGTAGAGAAATCAAATGCGTACACGCATATACTAGTGTTGCCCTATCATTTGCTGTACGGAGCGAGGAATTATTAGGCGGTAGCCTATACCTAACGTGAGCGCCTGTGATGCCGAAATTCTTAGGTGAGGCTAGGTACAGCCTTAACTCCACGTATAGGGATTTGCACCAATATAGATTTGCAACACCTCGTCCAATACCGTTATTGTAACTGTCATCTCTTGTCACCTACCACCTATTGCTCGTAGACGTTCAGCAACCATCAGAAAGGGCTCGGTAGACGTAGGAGGACGCGTAGGGGTAGGTTTTGAGAGTCTCGCTGGCCTTATTGGCCCTCTTGTCGTCGTCGGAGGTAACTGGGCCTTGTCATAGGCCTTCTTGATACTGTCGATATTTGCAAAGGTCCTATTGAGGTCTACCGGTCCCTGTTTCTTGGACCTTGCAGCGTGGTCATCGGAGAGGCGTTTATAGGTGGTACCTTGACGCTGGGCCTCTGCAAGGCGAAAGTGTAGCCGGTCTATTGTGCGACCTGTCTTGGCGAATAGGTCTCGTATATTGTAATCGAGTGGTGTAAGGGTATGTAGAGTGGTAACGGCCTGATCTAGCTCTCTGTGGTTGGTAGGTGTTCGCTGAACCTCGGTAGGCGTTGTCATCACCTGTGGACTATGTGAACGTTGCTGCTGGCTGTCGCTAGCCACTTGAAGGATGAAGGGCGAGGATAATACCTTATTAGGGTTGTAGGGCACTTTTCCTGCTGATTTAAAGCTAGATTTGATGTTCCTTATAGTTATAGCAGCGTCTTTTGCAGATTGGTAGTATTCTAGGAACCGTTGCTTCTTAACTGGCGCAGTATCATCTAGTTGACTGTGAAAGTTGACTGTAGCTCGATAGCTGCGTTTGAGGGACGAGAATACGCATAGATCGAGTGGTTGAAGAATATGCGATGCGTGTGCGATGAGGTAGTAGGGTATTATCTTGTTCTGATGACATTCCCACATAAATTCGGTGGTACAGTGACTGCGATGGCCATCTAAGATTAGTAAACGGTATTCGCGCTTATTGAGGTCGGTCGTAGTCTGAGGTATAAATATCTCGCGGAGCCACTGTAGTCCGAGGTCGTTGGTAGTATAGGCATTGTCTGAGGATGTATAGTACCAATCTGGGGTCTTATGAGGAAGGAACCACTGCTGTTGGACGCTTTTCCCTTTGAATATAACCAACGGGACAAGGGCCTTGCCTATTGCGCTGATACACTCGATAACGGATACCCATTCTCTCTGTTCAGGTCTCGAGACGTAGGATCGCTTTGAAAGACTGGATCCAACGATAGTTTGGTTTGTGCAAGGGCCAAGGACGTTACCAGTCTCGTCCATATTGTAAATATGCTTAGTTTTGATCTTGTAGACAGTAAGTAGCGAGAGGAGAATCATAAACCACTGGGAAACGTTCGAAGAATAGAGGTCATGAACTCTTTGGCTAGCTATTGAGACACCCTTCTTTGTATGCAAGTCAGGGTGTCGTTTTATGAAGTTCCTTGCCCATAGCTTTCCAAGCTTTCCGTCACCACCAGAGGCCTTGTGGACAATAGAGGCCATTTCTTGTAATTGGCGATGGTTGAACGCGTGTCCTGCTCGCTCGGCTTCGAGTAGCCACTTAGCTAGCATATCCTCTTGTATCGGACTGAGTTTCTGTTGGTTGGCGTGACTGATAACCCGACTTCGTTGGCCACGCCTTCGCCGTGATAAGGTGGTATGATCGAGGTTGTAGGCGGCTGCGCAGGCTCGGAGGGAGGAATAACGACCGGTATCGAGGTCTTTGAGGGCCTGGCTAATGATATATTCGTTGTCCATTGCGTTGATGATGAGTTGGTTGAGTAGTAAGTGGTCGCAGTTGTAAGTAGTGGTGTTGAATGCGGTGTTGCAAATCTATATTGGTGCAAATCCCTATAGGTGGGGTTACCTCCTAGCCTTACCTAAGAATTTCGGCATCACAGGCGCTCACGTTAGGTATAGGCTACCGCCTAAGTTTTCCTCCTCTGTACAGCGTTAAGGTAGCTCTAAGTTAGTACCTACGGGCAATTAATAGCGAAGACAGTCTATAGCTATAGGTAGGTAGGCCTAATTACGAATATTGGTGGTGTACACACGATCTGAATTCCGTACATCCACAAGAGGATGCGTTTCGGCAAACTTTCTACACCGCAAGTACTTATGCAAAAAGCGATACACTCCGTTACACGGACGCGACGCGTGTCGACGCGTGCAACAGGTCGAAGGTGGAGAGGGCAAGCCAACTTTTGGTCGGAGCCAGAGTGTGGCATGTGAAAGCAATACAGCCGATAAAGTCCGTTGGATTCAAAGATCACTGAATCAGCGATGGGATTAGTGTACCAATCGACCAGATCTGTCTTTCGTCCAATCTGGTACCACCATGTCTGGCTCTCAACACAGTACAGCTTTACCGCCTGCTCTCCCTTGCGATCTTGTCACTGGTCATCCACGAACGGCTTCAACTCGCCTACTCAACGAGCGTCATGCTTGCGGTCCTCACCTCTGCCTCGTTATGACGACGACCTACACTCATTTGTGTGCGGTCCATCATTCCAACTCGATCACCCTACCCGACTTGCTTGATCTTAAACCACGCCAGGGCGCCTTCAGACCTGCCGGACTCACGACGTCTCATCTAGCAGTTGTACAGGCGGTCGGACCTTTAGCATTCTTAGTACTACTCAATGACACGCAGATGCCACGAATAAGGCGGTAGACCCTAACGCCGCAAGAAGTGCATTGTGTATGCTTTGGCGATGAGATAAAGGGATAGGATGAGACAGTGTTCTCATAGATGGTGAAAACACCAATGGCAAATATGCCACACGGCCCAGCAGTCGCCAGTGGCATTCTAGGGAGCAAAAAGCAAGACCCGTGGGTCGGTCGATGCAACCACATCGTACAGCGACTGGCATAGTCGGAAGCCGGCCTTGAACTGCTACAGCGCAGGGGCTAAATACTGGAGCCATAGACAGTGACAAGAAGACCAGCAGTATGTGAAATACTCTGGACGGAGCCTGTGACGACCGAGAGTCTGCCTTGGACTATTACACTGGGTGGGTCAGGAGCTGTGACAGGCACATTGCGAGAGGGACAGCAGAACATGGGGTACACAGCGGTGGAGCATGCTTAGTGTGCTACGGTGCTATCCAACTCAACCTACCGAGAGCGACAGCAGAGCTCAGCCGACAAAACAGCGGCGGCATCATCTGGTCGTAAGAGGGGCACAACAGGTCATACAAGCCTGATTGGCCCGAAGCTCAGCGTTGGTAGTGGACGAGCGGAGGCGATGCACGGTCACGCTGTATGAGAAAGAACAGTTGCAGACTGAAGGAAGTACTTTTAGCGCTTTCTTCGAGCTATGTCGGTGGGTCGTCAACTTCTTCCAGCAATGAGCTGCTGCCAACCTGCCCCAGCTACGCAGGGTACTAGCGAGAAGCCCGCTAGCGAAGAGCCTGTGAATAGTGGATATGTAGCGCTGGTCGAGAACGGCAGGATCAGGTCTACCCTTGGGCAGTGTGGTGAGACCTGAGTCGCTTGTGCCTTGCATGGTCAAGCTGAGCTCTCCTGCATGCGTCACCATGGCAGAGAACCACAAGCAAATCCAGGAGTACAACCGCGAGGCAGTGCGAAGCTGTCGTCTCCAATCTTTAAGAAAGCGAAAGCATGAGTCTGGTCATGACGATTCGGGTGCACGAGTGCCTAGGAAGGTCCAATGCCAAATAGCATTCCAAGAACCAAGAATAATGGGTTGGTCGATGCAACTACTGCGCGGAGAAAGTGATGGTCAAAAATTCTGCCTTGAACCAATACAGCGTAGGGATCAAGGACTTGGATCTAAAGTGTAACTAGAAGTTTATCAGAATGTACAATTTACAGGAGCGGAGCGCATTAGTATGCAGCGACAGGATGCCTGGTGGATCAGCGCAACACATCCCCACGTGATACTGTTTTAGTTCCAATTGCCCTTGGCCCGCCTGCGCTTTCACCACCGATCGAGTGTGGAAAGGCGTGTGTTGTATCTGACATGAAGGTGCAGTCTAGCACATGCGAGCGCCCGGATACTGAGCGCTTATTGTTAGACTGCAGAAGAGATTAATAGGTTTTCCGTCTCGCTTGCGACAGAGGAAGTACTGTGCCCATGACACCTTTTCTTCTTGACTGCGAACATTCGCAGCACCACGAAGCGTGCAGCACCAGAAGCGACTCGTTTGGGAGGAGAAAGAAGAAACGCCGTCTGCTCCCATCGCCGTCAACAAGCAGCTCTGCACAACAAGAGGTAGGAGAGATGCAACACATGAAGATATCCCACGGCTAACTTATCTTCAGCAGATTCGACGACCATCCAAATCAGCCCTACAAACTTTCCAGAAGAGATCGCAATCTGCCCCGGACGCTTCTGCGGCAGTTTTAGATTCCCCCCTCAGCATCGAGCGATCTACGCGTCAACTACAAGGACAAAAAAGGAAGATAACTTGGGCCGACGCCGAGGAGGACCTGTGCAGACACCACAAAAAGAGGCAGTTATCTCGGATCACCCCGGAGGCGTCTAACGCAACTGGTCCGGCACCCACTGAAGACAACGAGCGTTACGACACGGAAGTTTGTCCATCGACAGCATCGCCGATAGCACCACCGGTAGCGTCACCGGTAGCACATTGGGTGCATACTGCGCAGTGGCCTAAGGACTTTGCAAGCATGAGTCAGGAACAGAGTAGCTCGTCGAAGAAACGGCCACCAAGTTCAAGCTATACGCAAAGCTTCAAAGCTGGAGAAGTCCCCAAGGCGCACTCTGCTGCGCATGAGAACACTCTGGCTGACCACGGTGTGCACATGGACGAGTTACAAGGTCGATCACGAGCGCAAGAAGAGAGCAAGTCATTTTGCAGAAGTTTATTACAAAGCACATACCCAGAACCGCAGCACACGGCCTTTCCGTTGCCGGAGTTCTTGTCAGTGTGGCAGAGAGTGCAGAAGCGGAACGAAGCCAGGGTCTATCGAGACCTCACGCCGCTGCTGGTGCCGTCGCCCGAGCTTCTTTGGGCCTCTGGTCACCAAGAGCTTGAGCACGTTGCAGAAGAGATCAGCGTTGAGTGGACAAGGTGCAAAGCTCTAGGAGGACCCAGGCCGAAACCGGATCTCGCGGTTGGCATTGCGCCATCGGCGTTCGATGAGGAGGAAAAAGCCAAGTTGAAGAACCATACAGCATTTGAACGAGCAACCCTATTCACGGATAACATTTACTTTCCATTCCTACTTTGCGAGGCCAAATGCGGTGACGAGGGGATCAGCCGGGCAGATCGCCAAAACATCCAGAGCGCCAGCGTGGCTGTAAATGCGATCATACAACTCTATCGAGCTGTTGACGAGACCAAGGTGGCCGACTTGAGCGGACAGATCTTGGTATTCTCGGTTTCTCACGACAATTTGCTTGTGAAACTATATGGTCACTTTGCCATCATCGACGGAGACAAGGTGGCCTTCTATCGATATCCCGTTGCGTCCTTTGTGCTGAACTTTGAAGAGAGTCAAGGCAGGAAGAGGACGCACGACTTCGTACGAGAGGTATATCACACATTCTACCCAGCGCATATGAAGAGGATTCGTGAAGCATTGGCGGCAATTGAGGATCCTCGGACCGTATCGATGACTTCGAGCATGAGCATTGAGGACGATCAATCTCAGGAGCAGGACCCGAGTGCTCAATCTTCCCAAGAGACCACAGGGTTCAAAAAACCTGGCACGCCTGCCAGTAAGAAGCAGAAGGGTCAAATGGCCCTCCTGCGAGAGCAATTAGCAGAGCAACAAAGGCAGAACAAAGAAAGAGAGGCTAATTTATTGGAACAGGTGGAAAGACAGAGGCAAGATGCGGAAAAGCAGAGGCAAGATGCGGAGCAGCAGCGGAAAGAACTTATGAAGATCCTGACGGAGCAGCAGAAGCAGAGTAAAGAGCAGATGGCTCAGCAGGAGGAACAAATCAAGTTGCTAAAGCGATTGCTTGACCGACAGTGAGGTATCAACTTTATAGCGAATTGTTATCCCTTATTTCCACCGTTTTCCATTGAGAAATAGTCCAATCCTCCTGCAAAGTGTATTGGAAATTGCAGCCCAATGAGGCAACAGACAAATTCATCGATATGGTGGGAATAGGAAGACGTTTGGGAAGCAAGTCCTTGTGCAATGGAATAAACAATGGTGGTTACGCAGCGGCTCCTATTCTTCAACTTGACATCGCTGAGCTTTATCGCGCGCATCAACTGGTCATGGAGGGCTACAAGGAGATGTCCGACAAGCAGATTGTACTGGCAAATCTTTGCGACAGTTCCGAGATGCGCCGTCTTCCTGGATTAAAATCAGCAGGGTCAGAAGGTGGGGAGAATGGTCGTATTGATAGAGTTTTTGAAATTGTCGTGATCAACACTACTACAGTATCGGACTACGAGAAGAGGATAGTTGGTTAGTAGAACTGATAGTGGACAGGCAAGAGAAACCTGAAGATGCATGAAGATGAATGAAAGAAAGTGAAAGGCGACAAAGAAAATTTGTTGCCCCGCAGTCCATCCGCATGCCATTACAAGTGTCTGTCGGGCACATCAATGGAGAGCGCAGTCCACTTGTGCAGACACAACGAGTTGTTTTCCTTCTCGCAACTTGATTATTGAACATTTACACATTGCAATTCGAAGGCTTCTATCGAGACTATTCTGCGCGGTCACGACGTCCTCATGTTCTACTACCCGCTAATAAAAGGGCAAAATCACGATTATTTACCGCACCTTTCAGTACAACATATGATTGCTTTTGCTATCTGCCCGCAGTCAAGCAGCGCCTGTCCAACGCCCGAAGACCATCATTTTCGCTCACGCTCTGACCTTCTCGAAGACTCTCGAGGAGGGTTGAGAGCCTAGCAAGAGCCGAGAGACCAGACATCGAGATAGATAGCCTATAGTGCAGGAGTGGCCACCGATATGTCTGAAGAGGCAAGTATATCTGGTTCATTGGTTTTTAAAGCTAACGCATGGTAATATCTAGGCTGGGGCTAAAGCCCTTAACGGAGAAGATGAATATATCAAAGCAAAATTATTCAAGGGAGTCGATCGTATGAGGACAATAACCGGCCGAGGCACGTTAATTCAAGTTTATGATCCAAACGCAGATATGCATTCCTCCTCATATTGGGAACACGAAAGCTCTTCTGAAGTGGGTTCACATGATGTCCCTGCAGGTTACGAAGTCCGTGTGTTAGGAGCCACTGTCAAATTTACATAATTCAAGTTGGAGTTCTTCGATCAACTTCATTCCCTTCTCATAGCCTACCAACAAAGTGATCGATATGTCCTGAGTCCGACTTTTAGGCACCAAAGCATTGACGCAATCTGTTGACATTTTCCCTCCGAGGTCGCGTTCCCATTTCCACTGGTGGCTACTCTGCACGGCATCAGAGATCAAGTCGCTGAGGAGAATCATCTGATTAATGGGGGCTTCTGAGTATCTATACTCGATATCTGCAACAAATGTCATTAGCAAGTCAATATACACACGCCCTTCTGCTGCCTACGTCTGTTTGTGGGAACCGCCTTTACCAGCTCATCTCTGACGTGGTATGCCGGAGCACTGCTCTCCTCTAGGTTTAGCCGCGCGTCTGCGTTATCCGGGAACCCATCGACCACTCCATGCGCTTCCGGTGCTTGCGCATCTTGTTGATGGTCATGGAGTTTGGCTTTTCTTTGGTCGTAACCTGCACAACTTGGCGCCGACCCAAACAAAGTACTGACAGAAAAGGTGTCACAGAGCTTGCTTGCAATACCTGAAAGTCCTTGAGGGTGGGCAGTCTCTTTCCACCAATTGCCCAGATCGCGAATGAGACCCTGTTGTGCTACATCCGCAAGAGTAGTGATAGATGCAGCCAAAGTGCACAACAAAAATACCTCAGAATTCAGCGCCAGGAAAATGTCTTTTAGGAGTACGCGAACTCGAGTCCGTCTACCGGACTGCGGGCTTGACCTATGGCTGAGAGACTTAGTAGATTCTTGCAGTAGTTGAATGCATGATTCAAACTTTGTGAGTTGGTAACTGGGTAAAGGGTATGTGGTATCGTCGAAGGTATCTTTCTGAATTTTAAGTTCGTTGATCAGCCAGCCACTTGTTTTGGTATTTTTGGGCATTGCTGAAAGGTTTAGGGGGAAAGTGGGAAGCGGTCAAATGCAAATGGGTTTGAGTAGATAAGTTCTTATCAGTGAAGGAACATTGTTGAAAGGTCAAATATGTGAATTGAGTAGAGGAACAATTCACAACAAGTAAAAAGAGGGCAGGCTAGTGAAACGAAGTGAGACATTAGTTGAGTGGCAGAGTATACGAGTAAACGAGGTGGGGCATACGGAAAATTATGAAAGTGCATGAAAGTAAATGATATTCACCTTCCAACCATGTCTCGGCTTGTTTGATCATCATGCAGTTTCCTCTGCGTACATGAAGAAAGCGCGGCAAGGTGTCTAATGCCAGGTGATGGAGGGTTTACTATACTTCGTCCACTGGTATTGGGAATTCTACTGCAAGCGTCTCGAATCATGCCTGCACGGACCATGCACAAACCTCAAGGTTTGCTGTCAAGGAGCTCCATGGGGGGCAGTCCACCAAGGAATAGCTTAGCATCGATTGCCGCAGAGTAAAGCATTAGATCGAAGAGCTCGATTCGCTGCCTCTGCAGACAAGATTCATCTCAGCACCTCATACCACACCCTGACCTGAATGATTGGTCTTCCAGACTCGTAAATGGACTGCAGCTCTACGAGGTGTACAATCCGGTCCTTAACATATGCACGAAACCAGAAACCTCCACCCCGATGGACGTGTTGCAAGCTCTGGCGACAGGATAGCCCAAATGTGCGACAATGAAAAGTATAAAGAAGTCGCTTTTTCGTATGCAAATCTCATCTCAGATCCATTCGAATACGTACCTCTTAACTCGTTCAACCAGAGACATAAAAAGACCAGCCATCATCTTCCCAAACCTGCCAGGCATTCTTCTTCAAACAGTCGCCTCAAGCTCTATGCATAACCATGTCCTCAGTGGCTAAAGCACCAAAAAACAACAAAGCTGCTCGAACGCATACGGTCAGCCCGGCCAGTCCTCCAAGCAGTCCAACCATGCAGTGTTCAAACTCAAAGCCAGCTGTCACCCTCTCGAAGCGCACTGATACATCCCAAGCTCGCACTGCCAGCTCTTGTCATCGAGACACTTCGCCGAAGAGTCTGCCAATGCGAGCGTCAACTCATCAAGAGGTTGCTCAACTACTCAAAGATGCCGTCGAGTACATTATGTCAGACTCCAAGGAGACCGCGAAAACTACCGCACCTCAAGTCGCGTCCACAACAGCCTCCAAGCCTGCTGTGAGAGGCACGAAACTAGAGGTAAAAGACATACAAGAAGTGTGCGTCATCTCCATTCCTCAATACCGTCCCAGAGAACTGATCGCGTATAGCTGGGACCCCGTAGCATACGCATACAAGGTCGTGGAATCACCAGCTGTCACTGAGGTGATGGAACTAGACACCTATGCTTTCGTCATTCGCACGCGTGCGGGCAAGTACTCCAACTCAACAGGCCACCTCAAAATCTGACACGAGACTAGTTAAGGCAGAGACCCGATCCATCGTCTACGTCGACATTAAATTACCAGGCTTGCGAGATATTTTGAGAGCTGTGCTGAAGGATATCAAATGGGTCAGCTTGGCTGACGATAAACCTTCGGTGAGTAGTTCGCAGACCAATGGGATCACTTGCTCAGAAGGTGCATTAGTTTGAACATAACTTGCTCTTCCACTATCTGCCCGAACTCGAGGAGTATCAGGCCAGTGCGACTAGGGATGGAGCTCGTGACCTGACAAGTCTCAAAGCCCTTAACTTGTTAATACGCACCATCAAAGACCGAGCAAAAGCTCCCTCAGAACGTCTGGATCCGCTTCTGCGAGAAGGTAAGATCACATACGATTTATTGTGGGCGCTGTTCAAGGCTAATAGCCACGTCATCACGACTTGCCTTGGCAGCGGTCAGTTGAGGTGTCTCCAGTACAATGTAGGAGAGGAGAAAAAAACTGAACAGGGCGTCGAATACTTCGAGCTTCAATGCCAATACCTCGATTTTGATGGCAAAGTCTTTGGTACCGTCACCGAGAGGCTGCCTATTGAGCGGTTTCATGGGGCTCGACCGATCACCACTTTGGACATCTACCCGCTTTATTTTCACCCCACCCCGAACAAGATCATGCAGTCGTTGATCGAACGCGGCCGAAATTTCATGTCTCTCATGGGCTCGCATCACCGGATATATGACGGAGTCGCTTTTCGACGGGTAAAAGATGGCCTAGTCCGAAAGTCAGTTCAGTCCAAGATCATGATTGATACAGACCAATTCCGCAAAATGATCCCAAGCTATGCGCGCATTATAATCAAGAAAACGGAAGAAGGCTTCTTTTCTGACTTCATCACGACGCAACAACGTGTGATGGACGGGGAGACGGATTTAGCCAACCTGCCGGAAGACAAGCTTGTCCTATGTCCTCCCACGGTATTGGGTTTCAGTCTCAATGACAAATTCTGGGGTGAGTGTACACCGACGCTGGTTGTGTTGCTAGATGCTAAAACTCCGCTACAGGTGAGTACGCGGTCGATCATATTCAGGGTATCGAACCGTCTTCCGCACTCTTTGACCATTTGTCCATCCCCATCCGCATGAAGAACACCATCAGATCCCTGACTCGTGGTCATCTGGGCCCACTGAAGGATGCAAAACGGTCAGGCTCGAGCATGAGTATTGTAGGAAGTGGAACGAGGATTCTGCTTCAGTGAGATTTCTCGACTTTTTGGCTTCGCCACCGTGCACGCTGACGATAGTAGTGGACCGCCAGGCGTGGGGAAGACCCTCACCGCCGAGGCCCTGTCCGAATACCACCGACGACCACTCTATTCGGTAGGTGATCGTGCTACCACTGTTGGCAAGGGAGGCTAACGATCCAGGTCTCTGCCGGAGAACTCAGCTCGGACGCGGGAGAGCTGGATCCCCAACTCACTGACATCTTCCGCGTCGCATGCGCGTGGAACGCCATTTTACTGATAGACGAAGCGGACGTCTTTCTCCAGAGACGTGCTGAGCTAACTCTGGAACGCAACCGACTGGTGGCAGTGTTCCTCCGAAAGTTGGAACACTTCGATGGCATTCTGATCTTGACGACCAATCTGGTCGATCATTTTGACAGTGCTATCCTCGATCGTATGCATTTGCAAATGCAATACCATCCTCTTGACAAAGCTGCCAGAAAAGAAGTCGTCATCGGCTTTCTCACGAGCCTCTGTGGGGAAGATGGATTATCTAACTTTGGTGCAGACTATCTGGACCGGTTTGCTTGCATGAATGTCAACGGTCGTCAGGTAGGTCCGCCAGCCGACATCGATGTGCTGAATACCCTAACATCACTAGATCAAGAACACTGTGTCTATCGCTTACACGCTTTCCATGGAAGACGAGGACGAACTGTCCTGTCTCCACATCGACCATGCCCTGGAAGCCACGGGTTTACGTCTGCCTCAAAGCGCTGACGAGCCGTTTGACCTGTACGACTGAACGTGTACAGGCAGGGATTTTCGAGCTTGAAGGATCAGAGAGCCAAAGGCTAAAAGTACATTGGAGGCCGTTCGAATTACGTATATGTGAAGCGCAGGCAGGCAAAAGTAAGGTTCGGATGACATTTTTGTCGACCTTGAAAATGTAAATATCGTCTGGTTCATTGAAACTAAGGGTGCTGAAACAATAGACACTTTCAATTGCGACGCTCTAATGTCCTTGATGCAAGGCAAGCACCACATGGAGTTGTGGTTCGCACACCAGATTCGAAGAAACAGTGAAGCTCTACAAGTGAATATGTACACTAGCCTACAACGGTCTCAGACGAGCTTGGAAATTTGTAATGTGCGGCGTAAAAAGTATCGGTATCACATTTCACAATGATGTACTCTTCCAGAACACGAGGAGATGACCTTACTGTCAAATTTTCCCTATTCCAAGATAGCTCTGACCGCAATGATTGCATGTTCCGTAGATCTCTTTAAGCTTTGCTCTAGCAGACGCACCTCCTGCGTGAGGCTTTCGCGGGATGATTCTAGTTCTCGTTATGAAGCGTTTTCGATTATACCAACGATGGTTGGGAGGATAGGCTTGGTCACGAGCCGTTAAAGCTTCTCGCGGTTTCCTGGGCTGAAGTCGTTGAACAGCACTTCAATCTTCAGCGAGGTGATTCGGGAAGTAAGACGTCCACAGTGATCGGGACGCGTAGAGCACAAGACAAGTCCAACCAGTACGACGTAATCATAGCCCTATTTATTCCTCTGTCAAATATATGGGCCAAAGATCTTTCTCCTGGTCCAGTTCTTTCCGACAAGTCGGACAGGTTACTTCATCTGCAGCGTAATGAATAACCTCATTGAGGCAGTCCGAGCAGAAGCCGTGACCACACTTGGTGACTGTACACTTCTCCTTTTCCATGCATATGTCACAGATAAGGTGGCCCATACGGTCCAAGCGCTGCTTGATCGCTTTCAGCTCCAGGCGTAGCTGCTTGTTGCTCGCACTGAGTACAGCCTTTTCTCGTTTCAGGTCTTTGATAACACTGCTCTGGCCTGCAGACTTTTGCAGCCAAGAATCCTTGTCTTTCTGGCGCTGAGCGAGCTCATGGACGTACTCGCGCCGATATTTATCACGAGACTCGCGCAGTCTGCCGATCTCCTGCTTCACCCTGTTATTGCACTTCCGATAGGACTCTTGAAGATTAGCGACGTCTTGTTTTGTGCTTTCGAGGCACATATCTAGCGCCTCGCCATCAACATCGTCGTCGAGGTCGATGATCGTGATGACGTTGTCGTCAGTCATGTTTGGTCGAATACTGTCGTTGAGACGTGACTTTATATGATGTTGGATAAAGGCTAAGACGCAGACGCGGAGTACAGTAGATCAGAGAGGTGGCAGAGGTATGAAAGGAGGGGAAAGACGACGGGAGAGAACTGGGCCGTATGCTCACCTTAAGTACCTTGCGAGGGCTTTGGTCTAGTAGCCCCTCAGTGCCACCACTACACTGCCGCTGCTTGGGATAGACCAATGAAGCCTCGAGCACGACCATCCATGCTGTCATGGCAGTGCCGCATAGCATTGGTGGTACAATCCAAGGGTGATTCGTTGTTCACGCCGACTCGGTCCCGTTGTGCATACAACTCCGCATGGGATCATAGGGGGCCATCTTCCCTTACAGAGCCAAATCTTGAACAGTTCGCCCATTACCGTGCTTCACTCGACTGAAGGCGGAGGATCAATTTTGAAACAAGATGATATTGACGTACCTCGTCACTGTCATTGCCTCTTCTCTGCCGTCACTGAGCCAGGAAGTCCCATGCACGACGTTCGATGGGTATTGGTGGGAGGACATAGTGTGCATTGAAGTCTATGCACGCCGTGTCACGATGTGTATCGTCGCTCATGGAGTAAGCCTGTTTCATCGAGTCGCTTCTTTGATGGCTATTGCATGTGACGCGCTCAAGGGGTACTCGTTCGTGCTGTGGGGAAATAGACTCATCTCTCCGTTGGCAGTGCTCCTCCATGAGGCTCGCCGCCGAAAAGAAAGACAGAATGTATGCGAGCTCTGTCGAGGACAGCCTGTTGTATTGCCCCAGTTGACTCAATCAGGCCGTGAGAACTGCAAACCACGTAGAAGTTGTGCGGCCAACAACATCGTCCAGCGCTGCTTTAGTCTATATGCGGTAGAGGAAATTGCCATTAGGCAGGTCTCATCCCGTGAGGAGTAATCCGTAAAAAAAATTTCAAAAGCTCGAGGTGGGATAGGAGATGATGGGGAGAAGAAGGGGAGAAGGGCATGGCTTTCATCTTGTACGCCATCCAGTTAGAGACTTACCACAAGACAGCCGCGTGTCCCGGTGACATCGTCACGCAGACCTGCCCATGACCAGCACTAGACTAGAACATTTGCCGGAGCCCCATGTCTAGGGTCTGAAGGTTGCCATGGTTGGACGGGTAAAGTAGGACCCGGGACTCCTGTAGTCTATGCTCAGCTGTGCATACATATTGGTAGAAAGCCCCGTGGCTGTCAAGGATCTCTTCTTTAGCTGCTACCAGATCGAGGCACACCTCGATACAAGGCAGAGACAGGCTGTTCGCAGACATATTTAGAGCACTTACCCTCCGCCTCTTCTTTTCATCCTCTTGTCTTCCATCCTCTCCCTCATCCTGATCCGAGGAAAAGTCTCTAATATGGCCATCACTCGTGAAGCTCGCCGCCAGATGGAGAAATGGAACGCACACAGGCTTCGTTCTGGAAAGAACGTGGCATCGCCCCAGACCACACATCGTCGTCGTCGACCATTAAGTGTCCCGGCGCCACGAAAGACCACAGCCAACAATGGCATCGTCGACCACAAGATACTGAGTTCTTTAGCCCCAGCAGTTGTCGCTGAACAAGCAGATGTCGAAAATTTCTTGACCCAGCCATGCTCTTCCACCACGGAGGCATACAGCGCAAACCTTCCAATGTCGACAACTACTCCTCTGTTCTCACCAGGTTCCCACGACAACCTTGCAATAGGGCTACCAGCAGACGGACAGTGGGATCATGATGACGCCTTCGCTCAACGTTTCTGTTTCCGACATGGTGAGACTGAGTATCTCTTGAGCACGCCAGACCGATGGATGGATGCTAGAGATTTTAAGCGACACGATGCTGCGGAGCATCTAGAGACACATTTCGACCAATACAAGCAACATCTTAACCCCCTAGGTCACCAAGATCATCATGCCGAATGTGTCGGTACATTATGGTCACATATCGACTCTGTGGTTGTAAAAAGGCAGATTGGGTTCCGGGTGTGGTACCGTGTTCACTGGAAGCGGTGTTGGACTCCAAGCAGCCTCATAGATAACCTCAGCTGGGTGGAGAGTTGCCTACAAGTCCACGAAGAAAGGAAAAGACGTAGTACAAGACTAAAAAGGACAGCAGATGTCAGGGCTAGAGTAAATGAAGCGATTATGGCAGTCGCTAGGATAGGATAGATTGCCGAGGCTACACCATTTGCGAATGGTTCATCCACAGATTGCGGAGTTGACCAAATTCAGAGAAGTTGACTGGTCAGCTTTGGAACTTGGCTGATCAGCTTTGAAAGTTGACTGGTCCATTCCTTGAAAGTTGACTGGCCAGCTCTTGGACTTGGCTGGTAAACTTGAAAAATTGGCTGGTCAACGGAAGAAGTTGACTGGCTACCTTTGGAACCTGGCCAATCAACCCTGAGAGAATGCTTGGTCTACACCGGTGGTACTACAAAAAACTTACGCGGCCGCGGGTCTATTACCTCCGGACTAGCCCGTCTTTTCCTGCGAGAGTTCAACTGCGATAGACATCTGTCTTGGTCTGCTTGGGGTGCAACGAGGATAATGTGTTCATCATCTTCAAGAGCTTCCGCCAAACACTCAGTAGGCAACATGGATCGAGAGCGTGCATTAAAGAGGAGGCAATGTTCATGCCAGTACCTCGACGCCACACGTTCGAGGGTGGGATCGTCAAGGCCATATATTTGAATTTCTTGCAACACAATGAGCTCGCGCTCTTCAAACGTGATGAATTGAACGACAGCGAGTGGCAGCGATTGCTGAACTGGGTCGGTCATTTCTTCACTCGACGCCTGCGATGAAATCTACACCCTATTAGTACCACAGAAGAATTGTGTTCAAGCACACTCACCCCAGTTTCTTCGTCGATGGTGGACGGCATCTCAATCACTTCTGGGCTGTTCACTTGATGGCTGGCGCGGACTGAAACCTGAGAGGCAGGACGGTCGATGTGGGGAACTAGGGCTCTTGAGTCGGATTCATCAGCTGCATCCGTAAGAGCACGGGAAGAATCTGCTGAATTCATGTTGACGTCAGGGGCGGTGTGAGCATTGAGCTCGCCAAAGAAAGACAGATATACATCTCGGCGGATATAAAAGGTGGTGAGACCCCCGACGTCGAGCGAGTTGGCGACATGGACATTGTCGAAGGTGAGATGCGGCGCACTCTCCGCGAACACGCGCCTTTGCGGTCGTCCACAGCGTCTTTGCATGTTGTCCTCACCTGGCCCGTCGACGATCAAGCTGGGTCGGCTTCTTTGAGCTTGGACGGATCGTGCTCGAGTGTATAGCTGGACGACGTCGTCAATATACCTCTCGAAGTGGGCACTTGGGTATTCAAATTCGCCACGAGGACGAGCCCGGAACAAAGTCTCCCGAGCCTCAATGCGATCAGGGTGGCAAGCCAGCCGCTTCTCGATTTATTTGTGGATGGTGGTCAGATGCTCGATCCTTTCTTCCCAGTTTGGAGGTTGACTGGAAAATTCTTCACCACAGAACCCGCAAGTATCGCTGGCCACGTTCCGAGAATTTGGGCATGCCGCGGGGTAGAAGGCGGCCTGATATGTCGAGATTGCTGCACACGACCAGGACTGTTTGCGAAGATGAAGGGAGTTCTGGTGTCGTTCGGCCTCATTCTTGTTCTTGAAACGGTTGTGGCAGTATGTACACGTGTATTGCTTCTCCTTTTCGTGAGACCTGGAAGACGGTTAGAATAGCTGTGAGAGAAAAGTGTAGTGCTTACCTCAGTTGTTCCTCCGTTTCGAACTTCCTTAGCTTTTTGGGACAGCATGAACATATCCAAGGGTTGCCAATGCGTGATGCTCGAACACGTAAGTCTGGTTGTACTGCTGTCTTGTTGAGAGGCTCAGGAGCTCTCCTGAATGGCAGTATTGCAATACCAGAAGAGCTGTTTGCTGACGTCGGTGATGCAAAAAGTTGTCGGCTTGGCTCGCGTGTTAGGGGTATGTCCATTGATGAGATACTTGTCTTGCTTGATGCACTGGAGAGTATGTTTGATGAGCCGTATGGGTAGTAGTGGTTGCTTGATGCAGTTGAGGATAATAACCCTGTCTTGTAGGGCTGATTAGCCGAATGGTAGCTGCCACCTTCTGAGCGTGTTCTAGTGTCCTCCGGGCTATGTGTGGGCTCAACCCGAGGTCTTGTTGACACATATCGTGGGAACGGTTCAAGTTCGATTCTGTATGATGTGCTTTCGGAGGCAGGACTCTGGGGGCCCATGCTGTATTCTCGCCAACTGAAGCTAGGGGGAGGCAATACAGCTGATGTAGGACTTGTCATGTATTTGTCCCATGAGCGAGCTTCACGAGCGGGGCGTGCCAGCAGGTTTGGACCTGTTGTCTGTATCGAGAGTTTCGATGGATGTTCTGCTGAATTTGACTTGGAATGACCTGGCGAATGCGACTTGCCAATCTTCAGAAGGAGATGCTTATCATAGGCATGTGTCGATTGATTGTGGGTTTGCTGTGCTAGGGGATTCTCATCCCGATATCTGCTCATCATTGGAATTAGCATCATCGTATGCGACACAATAGAATAGGAGACGTTGGCGTATAAATAGTATGGACAGGAAGAGTGTCTCACTTTTGATTTGTGCCTGGTGATGAAGGTGGTCTCCTTACTAGGCTGGGAAGAGAAGTTCCTGTTGCGACGTGTAAAAGCAATGGAGATTGAGCGGCATGATCAGTGTCCATATCCATATCTATATCTTCATCTTGATCCCTTCGCAGCTGAGCACGGCCGAGTAGGGATGATCCCCCCTTTATTGGAGCTAGTCTGCGGTGACCGCGTTCTTCGTTTTGGTAATTCCATGCAACATCAACGCCATTATTGAGATCATCAACATATCTTGGAGGACGCAATACTGGAGGAACACCATCCATTTGTGCGCCCGGTATGGCCATGGTTGATCTTGTGCGACCAAAATCAGAAAAGATCTGAGAACTGGAGCGCGACAGGCAGCGCCAACGGGACTCTGATGTGGGAGGCGGAAGAGCTATTAATGACCCATGCGGAAGGTCCATCTTCGTCCTTTAGTCTTCGGAGTTGCTTCTCGGAGTCCCCGTGGTGGAGGCAGCGTTTGCGTGTTGGGCGGAAATTGGGGCAAGTGCTGTGGCCGCCAACCGCGTCACGAAGACATGTTGTATATTCAGCTGAGTAGTCAATCCGGTCAAGATAGTCTTCCTTGTGTGAGTCCACTCTTAAGAGGCAAATTGGTTGTATGCAGAGCTGAATTGGACGCACTGGGGGACGAATTAGTTGAGTCGACCTCGATGTCGTAGTCTTGACGGCGCTACAGACAGTGTATGTTCAGTGTAGTGAATATTGACTATTCTTCTGCTTTTGACTCTCCAGTCCAGGTTGCACCATGGAGTCTCGGGCTCACACGTAGAGAGAGGATTGTTATTCGGGGTGGTGGGGAGGCATGTTTGGAGCCCATCAAGCTAGACAAAGCACATCATAGGTCGTCGAAAATGGAATCAGGAGCAAGACACAAGTACGGCGAGCGGTGATAGTGAGCGAGAAGTCATCGGGTAGATCTTCGAGCTGCATCTTCAGCAACCGAGTCAGATTTGCCTGTCTCCAGTTCAGCCTTACCAGCAGTAGTGCTACCACAGAAGCGACTAGGAGTAAGTTCAGGGTAGCGGAAATGGATCAGCTCTAGCGGTATCGCCTAAGTCCAAAGCCCCGGTACTGCTGCATCCTAGTAATGCTGCACCGATTTACATACATAATCGCGATTCTAAGGGTCTCGTATCGCTGTGAATGGGGCACAGTTCTAAGTGGAATGGCCACGGCTGATCGCGGAGAGTTCTGCTGTTATATTAGGGCTTCTAGCATGTCGTGACATGTATGCCAACTCGGAAGTGGTTCGAACACATGTGATGAGGCTCTTCGTCGTCTTCAATCGTTCACCGATATTCTTGCCGCTGGCACACTAGTAATAAAGTGGATTAATCCTAGCGGTATCGCCTAATCAAAAGTAGAGACCAATATCGCGCTAAAAGACGCACAAATCTCGCAGCCGATATGCCTTGAACCCTTCTTCGATCGGCAAAGCGCCAAGCCCCGTTTTTGGTCTCCAAACCGGGTTGTAACGAATGTTGTATTGGAGATTGGCGTGCTACGACTTCATGTCCATGACACTCAGTAAAATGAAGTCGAGAGCATTAACAGCTTAAATACTCAACAAACCCCAACTCGACATATGGTTTCGGTGGCTAGGCTTTCGCCTGGGTCGCCCTCTCCAATTGAACAATGTTGGAATTACATCAGGTCTGTTCTTTGGACGACGCCTCTGCCTTCTTTTCGGAGAACAGATACGGCATTTTGATGAGTCCTTTTCGTCTTCTTCTTTCCGAGTTTTTTACTAACGCTAAGCAGATCTATGTCAACCTCTTGATATTCCTTTCGTCATTTGTAATCCTAGCACTACAATGGAGCCTATACGGCCCTCTCACTACGCCCGAAATCGATGAGATTTTCGAACGATTTGTTGTCAAGACCACGGAAACTTTTTTGGCGACGTTTCTACTTAGGGAGACAGTTGACAGAGGATATGTCTTGCTGCTCATAGGGCTGTTAGTAGGGAGGGTGTGGGCCTGGATAGGACAAGGAAGAGTGACATGGGCTGAACAACAGCCATCTACATCCTCGAGGTTGCGAGTGTGCTTCTCCATCTCACTTTTATCCTCCCTAACATTCGACACATACATGTTCGTCTATACAGCCGAAGCAGTCATGCGAAACGACGCACGACGAACGATGCCCATGTTTGCTTTTGAGTTCGGAAATTTGACGCTCTCATCGACTTTAACAGCTGCTCGCTATGGGCTGTCCCTTACGGAACCGTATCTTTCTCGGCGGAATCTGAATAGGCGTCAAAAATCAGAGAGAGCGCGGTCTATATCCAGTGAGAAGGAGGAATATGAACACGACCAAGAACCTGTGGAAGATGTTCTCGAGGAGTGGAGTGGGAAAAGACAATCGACATTGTATGTGGACTTAGGAATTGGTAAGAACTACTTTAAATTTGCTGTTATCCCTGAACAGCTGTTCACCTATTGATCCCTCAACGAAGCTGTATTTACCCCCACCATTCAGATGACCGCACCGTCTCCGGGGATGAAGAGCTGATTTGTCCTTGAATTAGGTCTGACAAAATTGATCTTCTGCCTTGCTTACGTCTTCATCTGGGCAAGATCATATGCGTCTTCTGCTCACGTCGTTCGTGACTCCTTTATCAGCGCACGTCAAATCACGAAGCATGCCGGCGATTGGCTTTATCATATACGGACGACTCAGTTGATCAATCACCTCTTGTCTGACGCGACAGAAGAACAAATTGGTCTTGCGGATATATGCGTCATTTGTCGCTCGAAATTGAGGTCACGGCAGAAGACAGTTCCTTTGCAGGCGCAGACTGGAGCGCTCCACAGAGGGTCTGGTCTCATGAAGAACTCATCTGGAGACTATTCTCAGACTGAGCGGCCAAAGTGCCTACCTTGCGGCCATATCTTACACAAACGATGTCTTCAAATATGGTTTGAGGCACAAGCCACATGCCCGACGTGCCGCCGTCATGTGAAATATTAAAAAGGTATGTGCGGTCCACCAGCGACTCATCTTAGCTCGAAGCCGGTACAGGTATAGTGGTAATTGTTCTAGTGGGATAAACTAGTATGATTGATTGCGTTTCAGTCTCCGTCTTCACAGAGTACATCTGACATGTATGTCACAGATGGCTGGGCAAATGGCCTCCGTTCGACCACATTCGAGATTCTATTGCACGGATTTTATAGTTCAGCTTGAAACTGTCATGAAACACCCCGTTGGGCCGAACGTGGCGTCCGCGATCAGAGCAACTGTCGATGGCCCAACGGATTCAGAAGCTATGTACCAGGTCGCGTCGTGAGACAAGCTTATTGAGCCCTCTTCAATAGACGTAGAAGTTATTCCATTAATTAATCTTCCAGCAGATTCAGCTATCAGATCTATCGATCATCTACAAATTGCGCTATGCAAACATGAAACCAAGTTAAAAGCAGCACTTCTCACGCTGACTCTGGGATATCAAGCGTCATGTGGTTTGCCAGTATAGTGTTCTTGTTCGTAATCTGATGACTTCAAGAGTGACGTCTCTACCAACACTGCCTTGCATATGTTCATTCCTATGGTAAATACACTGATAGTTCCAGTCCCCCACTGTAGGGTAATGTAAGGCTCCTGAATCCGTTCTCTGGATTGCGTATATACTCCAGAAACTCCCTGTACAAGAGCTTTGCTATTCCCACATTGTCCGTAATGACAACAGCACCACATTTGAGCATTGGTTGGACAAGCTTGAGGGTAGGAAGTGCGAGAGGCGTCCAGACTGCATTTTGTCAGCAGATGTCCGCAGGAGTCTATTGCAAGCTAGGAGGAACGTGTTGAGAAAGTAACGTACTGTCCAACAGCAGGAGGTCAATCCTCTCCGGCACGCCATTGTCAACCTTCAAACTTTCCAGCAAATCCCCCTCGCGCAGCTCGATCCATGGTTCAACTTCATCACCAGCCTCCTTGCAATGCAGTCTGGCCTTCACTGCTTTAGCATGCTCTTTTTCCGTCGCGGTCACCTTTCCGGTGAGCGAGGTAGTCCCAGCAGCTATCTTCCGTTGAAGGAGCACATTCTGGCCCACCGCCAACGCTAGATATATCGTCGATAGCCCGAAACTCGTCCCAGCCTCGATCACGTTGCATGCCCCAACACTCCTTGTAAGCAGATAGATAAACTGGCACTTATCTCGGTCTAAAGCGACAAACTTATCTCGCATATGCTCATCGGCGGCGGCGGACCATATCTCACCAAATACAAGGAAGCGAACCAGCCGAGTCAAGTAGAAGAATCTCTGGGACCAAGACTTCTCTTCCACGTCCGATAGAGCATGTAGCTTCTGCAAAAGTTGCTGTACTCTTAGACTGGCCACAACAGGTGTCGGTGAGTCACTCTTCATCCTTGACAATGTCGAGTGGCATCCAGCTATACTAAGGTGAAATGCGCGAGCCCAAGAGTCGTTGTTTACTACTCGAAGAACGTCGGCTCTTTACTAGGATCGGGTCTGGAGTTGGCCCACAAGGAGTTGGGTGCTTTTGTTGGCCCTCAGAAGTGGCTGGCCTATTGGTCAGTGATGACACGGAAGATCAAATTCTCCTGTTTCGTTGACATTTAGGACAATTGCCTCCATCCATCCATATTCTCGCTGCGGGGCAACCTCAAGCGTCAAGAAATTCTTTTGTAACGATTGAATTCGTGATTCATGCCACTTCTGGCGTGTGTCGTTCGGACTGATCCCAACGACACCGTGCGGAATGCGGAAAATGGTGATGCGTGGTTTTTGCCTGTTTTAGTGTCCAGCCCTTTCTGGGCACTTTGTCGTGATCCAGTAATAGTAATGCCTCAGCTCTATCTCGCTAATGAAACTAACGGGGATGCTAGGTCGCCACTGCTATCACTTGGAGGTAATACTCGACAGAATTTTGATTGGGTTGTAGGTATGTAAAATGCGCACAAATGCCTCAGAGTGTCGTCAGCATTCACGAAGAGACCGTTAAGTTCTGAACGATTAGTTGATGCTTCCCACCAGTCATTTTGGTTGAGCGACAGGTTGTTGATAGATGTGGTAGCGCTCATGGATGATGCCTAGTTCTCTGGCTATGGACCCAAGGTCGTAATGAGGTACTGCTTTCATAGAATGCTAACCTCGCTTGATGCAACTAAATTGCATAGACTCGGAATGTGCAGCTGCGCTGAGGTCCTGTAGGCCAAAGCATGCCTCACTGTTTAGCTTCTACACAACATAGCGCTCAAGTGGAAGCGTAACCTTTCCAGGCTAAGCTACAAACAATACTGCTCAGGCAACTGTTCCAAGGCAAGCACCACAACCGAGAACGCTTTCGACAGAGCCAATACTTGTTGGCGTGCTCGGTTGCTTAAACGTCCATTTTTAGGATTTCGCGAATGGAATAACTGGATCTCGTAGGCATACATGTTAGAGTCAATCTTCGTCATATCGCATCCGACACTTTGTCGGGTTATCGGTAGGAAAAAGCTGTAATCCCCCGGATTTGACTCTCATTATCGATAATTATCGACAAGAGCAACAACGGGTTAGTATTGCTAAGTAGTGCTCAGGGGGACCAATACTGATGCCCTCCTCGCCTTCCTGGTTAGAAATTGACTGAAAAGTATGTCCAGTGTTGCGTATCAATAAAGACGATCTCAACTTCTGGATATCACTGTCGTCACATCGTTCATACTGTGAATCTCTCTAGAGCGGAACACGGAACCAAGCATTTACAAACAGGACGCCAATGACGAAAGTGTCTTCCCTCCAGCGTCTAGCGTCGCCACAAGCAGGATAACCGTACGTGCAGCGTCATTATTACATCAGCAAGAGTGCTGCGGTTGTCGCATACATGAATGACTTATTACCACCTCGACGACCTTTCCGACCTCATCTCATCTACTACAATCATCAGAAATTTGAAAGCAAACTTACTTTTCAATTACAAACACTCTTCAATTACAGACAGGCGAAACCTCTCAATATGGCATGCGGCTGTGGACCTGGGGGCGAGAAATGTCCCTGCAATGGGCCAAAATCCTGCACCTGCTCCCAGAACTGTCAATGTAAGGATTGTGGGGTAAGTGAGAAAACCGAACGTTGCCCTTGCGAGAAAGTATAAATTCTGACTCATGAAAAGAAAAAATAAAGAGGATGATTCCTCGATGAAGTGATTGCTTCGAGAACATCTGCCGTACTGTGGCCTTGCAAAGAAGGGACGATCCGATCGCTGTTGCTGCAACGTTGCGGAGATGGAGAGGGGAAAAGAAGAGCGGTGTTATTCCACAGAGAATTTCGCCGGAACAACTATCTACACTCATTAGCACCATTACTTGTTACCATAAAAATGATACTGGTCGTAGGGACCCTGAAAATCAACAAAATTGTATGCGAAGGTGGATTTCTCAATGAATGGGAAATGCCTCTTGGCACCACAACTGCCGGCTGTGCCCGAGGCTGCGGGTCACTGCACATAGTGGCATGTACTGGCACCACCTCACCGCCGCTGTAGCATTACTAATATTTCCGATTACGTGATCTTGAAGCTGACCAAACGTCTTGTATAGACATTTTCTGGTGTCAGTGATTGTAGAAACACTACTCACCAACCCGCAGAGTGCTCCAGTACCTGTTATTGAGCTATCGCTTGAGCCATCCTTGAGCCATCACCGTCTACAACACCAGGACTGGGAAGAGGAAGCCGCATAAAGAAGCGTAACAAGGCGAGCAGAAGTAGGTTGCCCATTGGGCAAGGTTAGGGCTGCGATTTTTTCGAGCTTGTATGAGAACCTACACGGTCGAAGCCTCGCCCTCCTACGCATTAAAGAAACAAATTAATCTAGTAAGGAAAGTGGAACATTTAAGCGGAGGATTTCAACCCTGCCCACCGGGGAGTCTAAGCGCGCGACCCGTTGCGCCTTTTGTGCGTATTTCTTGGCGACTGGGACCACCCTTGTCACAAATTCCGTCTTTGTCGGGTAGCCATCAACGCCACTGTTCAGGGGAACTTGTGGACGGCTGGGCGATGCAGATAATCGTACGAAACTCACTAGTTGCATACAACCGGAAAAGGAAACACATCTCTCTGTCCACCTGGAGCAGATCTAGCCTCTCTGTGGACCAATCCTTGGATAGTCAAAAGCTTTCGCATATGCCAAGTCTTGCTTCTGAGTCTTTTTCGCGCCTTTTTCAGCCACCATGGACACCTTAAGATTACTGAATGGGAGCAATGACGCATTCACGTCAACCAGTTAACTTATGCAGACAAACCGACCTGTAGCATAGGCCTAAGCGGTAGCGCCCACGGAGCTCAGTATTGCTCCGGGTGAAGAGTCCCAGGACCAGGTGCGCTCGCTAGGCCCCATCCTTCCATTTGCACTAGAGAATCTGATAATACTTGGTACTGCGATAAAGTGTTCGTACGCATGACACTATTTCGCGATAGGTAGTGATCGCTCAACCAATTGAACAATGTACATGTAGCTGGACTGGAGTCAGCCTTGTGGTAGTGGATCTGTCTTAGGATAAGGCATATTATGCTATTGGCTTACAGATCACTACCTATCGCGAAATGTCATGCGTACGAACACTTTATCGCAGAACCAAGTACCAGTGACTGTATTGCTGAACTTCCGGAAGCGAGATCCATTGGCCATTGGGAACAAGAGTAGTTTCGCTAGTGGCATAAGGTCGTCTTTCAAGTGCTTAGCATTAAGATCTGTGCCCTACTTAGTAGCATATTCTACATGTCCTAGCTTGCGCTGCCAAGTGCACGAAACTAGGCCGACGGGACTCGCTACCGGTGTAACGACGCATCCGTAAAATTGATAGCCAACTACAATCGCTCATTTTACGGTCGCTTTGCTCTTCAAGGCAATTGGGAAATAAAACAATGACCATAGCTAGCTCAACATATCTCTTCCATTCTTAACATTGCTGGTGTGCTCCGGCGTCAGGATGGTGGGGTTTCTGATCCTTTTTGGTATCGGGGATCACGAAACCTTTGTCGGTTTCCCACTCCTCTCTTTCTCTGCGCATGTCCCTTCGGACCCAGCGTACGCTGATGAATGCCCAAATAGTAGCCCAGATAAATGGCACAGCCCAGCCTGTAATATGTTAGCTTTTGTGTGCGAGTATCGGAAACGTGGTACTCACAGATGCCGTAGGCCACTGTTGCAGGAACAGAGTGTATCACAGCAATGACTGTGAGCGGTATAGCAATGATTAGAGCCGGGATGGACCAGAAGAGTGACAGGTTATATATCATTTGTCGGAATCGTGGACTTGCGCCGTAACGAGCGGCAAGTGCTTCCCGGTACGGTCTTCCAGCACTGGCGTTGACTGCTACGACATCTTCAATGAAGTAGTACACACCAGGCTTGACCGTCTCCCCCTTGCCTGTAGAACTGAGGCGGAATGGCGCTTTCCAACCACGCATATGATAAAACGTGAGCAGTCCCATAATGCCACCTAGTGAGTATAACAAGGACGGCGCAGGCATGCAGAGAACCCTTAGCCAGACGATGTGCGGAGCGCTTCCGACGATGAACAGTGCCGTGGCCGCTGTTATAGAGACCACCGACGTCCATGTGACCACATCGAAGCACCAACGACTGTTTGTCCCTAGCGGCCGGTAAAAGCGTTCCTTCTTGATAAGCCTCAACGTGCGGATGGCAAACTCGAGATATGTGGGACCTCCCCAAATTGTTGTGACGACGGCAAAGGTGATCCAGTTTGGGACGTGGCCGCCATAATAAAGTCCGTAGTAAAGGGCAATAGGCACGACACATGCATCAATCCACATTAGGACGATGAGTGCACCGAGCCTGAAACGCCGCACACCATGATGCCATGTGAACGGTAACTGTGGAAGCAACTTTGGATTCTCCTTGTAGTATTGTTGTAAGTTACTAGCTCTCCGATGAAACTCCTTTTTCGTGGCAGCGCGACTGTCATAATAGACTTCTGCTTCGGCGTGGCGCATTCGATCGCGCCCTTCAGGCCAGAATGAGGAACTATGTCGGTGGTGGTCGACATGAGGGCGGGCAGATCCAAGGGCAAGATGACCAACGCTACTGGGTGATGTGGCAGAGTCAGGAGAGACAGCGCCTCGATCAGGACTTGAGGATGTCGGTGCATGCAGTCTGGGCTGACTTGGGTCGTCGAACGACAGGCTGCCGCGAATGAGTTCAGGCATGATGATTATGGGGAAAGAAAGGTTAATGGACAAAGAAAATGTATTTCAGCAGATGCTATGAACTTCAGTTTCCGACGTCAGCAGGTTTAGCGACTAGCTACAGGATTGACTGACCAATTTCAAGGCTGTTGATCAGTCCTCAAAGCTGGCTGATGTCTATGCCGGTAAAAGTATTTTCGTACGGGACATGTTGTGGCAAATTGTAGCAGGTAATTCATTTGACTTTGACAGGAGATTGTTGGAGTAGCCTGTAACGATCTCTCCATTGCTTCCAGTCTGCCACCATGAGAGGGATCGATAGTGGCTGAAAAACGCAGAAAAACCTCAGTCGAGGTCTATGATCAATAGGCCTTGGCGTATATGGAGCCGAGCGCTTAGACCAAGCTTTCCTAGATGTGCGGCCAATGTGAGAGTTGAGACAGATTATGTTCTAGCCACACACTGTGACGTATTTGCTCTTACTGCCATCAATCTTCATTCGATTAATTTCTCGTGTAGGTACTGTACATCATTCACATGTTCAGACGTGCTTCTCGGAGGTCGCACTGATAGTCTGTATTGACATCTGTAACCTTCGTGTGAAACTCCCGGCCGCAAGGATGAGCACTTGAGGTTTGTGGTTGGCTACATTGCCAAGAATACGCAAAAAGGCCGCAGTAGATCACCACTGCCTCAGTGGGTCTTGTCCGCCCAATCAACTCGGTTGCTGGCCATGTCTGGAGCGCTCATTGAGATCAAGCCTACCAGTAGGTGGCACAATGTTCTAGTAAGAAATATGATATGCACCTGGGGAACAAGTATAGTTGAAAGCAGATATCTCTTTCTCATTGCGGTCAACCAGTATTTTTATGTACCCCTAGACCTTTGAACACTATGCAGTTGTTTCTATATGTCGTCGTGTTCCTCCTGTCCTTTCGACCGCAGGGGACTCGTGCCGCCCTTCGTTCATACAGTCTCACGCTACATGCTGGCACTAGAGCTCCAGGTTGGTGTTCGAGTCGAGTATATTTTGTATGCCTCTTCCTAACAGTGTCATAGATGGGGTGTCCCGTGAAGTCTATCTCATCAACGATCAACAGCCTGGTCCATTGATTGAGGCTGAGGAGGGAGACGACTTGGAGATCTTCGTGCAAAATAATCTGCCGGTCGAACAAACAATCCATTGGCATGGTCGGTCCCTTTCTCAAGGCGAATTCCTTTGCACATGATATTTGCATCGCAGAAGAGAGTGACTAAGACATGAGTTGTAGGCCTTCTTCAACATGGTACACCAGACATGGACGGTGTTCCCGGTGTCACTCAGGTCAGTTGATTTAGCGCAGCCCGTTAGCTTCTACAGTGCTAATATTGATGCAGTTTCCGATTCCGCCCCAAGGGAACTTCACTTATCGGTTCTCGACAGGGTCAGAATACGGCTTCTACTGGTATCACTCTCATTTTCGAGCGTATTACAACGATGCCGTACGCGGGCCACTTCTCATACATCCCTCACCGTCGCGTCGCCGTCCATTCGAGAGCCTTGCTCGAGATAGCACAGAATTAGACGCGATGCGACAAGCCGAACGAGCTGCTACGCCGCTTCTGTTGACTGACTGGTATCATCGACTCTCGGATGATATCTATGATGAATACTTTACCACCGGCGCATTCCCTCAGTGTGTTGACAGCCTTCTGGCCAATGGGTATGGCAGAATACAATGTTTGCCTGAAAGTATTCTTCACGCCGGTCCGGGATTGGGATTAGAGTCCATCATCGCGAACGATCCGCATGATCCTTTGAGCATGCCTGGCATGTCGATGGACACAATGTCATCGTCTTCCATGTCATCGTCCTCTATGTCGATAGACTCAATGTCGATGGACTCCATGTCAATGGATATGTCCATGAGCATGCACAAACGGTCTGATCATGCAACAATGATGGCAGCAGACTCTACAACCTCTGGTATGAACATGCCGTCCGCAACCAGCACGTCCACGTCACCGATGGCTTCCATGTCAGGCATGGCAGACATGTCCAATCTTGGTCCCAAAGGTTGCAGTATGCAAATGATGTTCAAACCAGGGTTTAACGCAAGTTCTCTCCCACCAGAGACATGCAGCAACACCACGTCAGAGCTGTTCATGTTCAACGCCGATGCTTCTCAGGGCTGGGTAGCTTTTCATCTGGTTAACGCAGCTGCCGTGAGCAGGCTGAGCGTCTCACTTGACGGTCACTCCATGCTCGTCTACGCTGCAGACGGGCTCTATGTGGAGCCGCAAGAGGTCAAGGTCAGTTTCTATGGGCGTTTCCCGAATGTTCTTATTAAGTATAGTAGGTTTTACACATCTCGATCGGTCAACGGTATTCAGTGATGGTGAGACTCGATCAGACGCCGGGAAACTACTACCTGCGTTTTGCTTCATATCCATACGGCGATATGCAGCAAGTTATCGAAGATCAAGCAATCCTGTCATACCAGGTCAGGCGTGAAGCTCTAGCTCTTGATAGCAATCTTGCTAACTCATTTCAGACTAACGGTACCAGTATGACCAATATGGACATAATGGATGATTCTACCTTGACCTGGATGCTCGTGAACGGGTCAGCCAAACTTACCGCTCCCGAGTTGGACGACCAGATGCTTGCACCCTTTGACGGGAATGCGCCCCCAAGCGGGCCATCAGATACAACAGAACTGTTCGCCATTAATCAGACCGATATTGTAACCTGGGTGGTTAATGGCCAACCATTTTCGGAACCACAAAGTCCTATAATATACGGGAATGTCTCCGATGGCTGGAATGCTGCCACAACTCTCCACATGCCTGGCAACTCGACAATTGATCTTATCATGTATGTCGCGAACGACTCGATGGATACGGTAAGTTGTGTTCTGTTCTCAAGAAAGCCAAGACGAGTCGCAGCTGACCCAAGCTTGGACAGATGGGGCATCCCATGCACCTCCATGGTCACAAATTCTGGTTTCTGGGGTCGGGTGAAGGCGTGTTTCCATATCAGTCTGTGACGGACGCACCTTCATCCATGATAAACTTACGCAATCCTCCTTATCGAGATACCATAGATTTGCCGCCGTCAGGGTGGGCCGTTATCAGGTATGACACAAAGACTGCGTGAAATTAGAGGTAACTGATAGCTAATGCGTCCTAGATATGTTACCGACAACCCAGGAACGTGGTTGTTCCATTGCCATGTGCAGTGGCATCAAGTGGTATGTTATATCCATGGACGTCTGGATTACAGAAGCTGACTGGTATCCTTGTATAGAGCGGAATGGGAGTGGTACTCGTCGAAGATGAGGAGCGAATGCGAAGTATGGTGGGGTCGATCGAGGACGCCGCCAACAATCCAAACACAGCTGCGTTGGCAACATCTTTGGCCAGATCTACAGTGATTCCCACTTCCTCATATTCAGCTGCCTTGTGCGCAGCAGTATTGAGCCTTCTATTTCATTAACACTGGCGAGGACAAGACAAGCCGTCACGATGCGTTCGTCAAATAGAGCTGGATTACTTTGTCGATGTATACAGGCATTGTGCAAATATTGTTGTTTTACTCTTGCAGCGGCCATTTATTGCTAGGTGCTTGGAATGCGACGCTTGAAACCGGTCTGGCGGAAGGAGGACGACATCTGTGTAAATCCTCCGAGTTGGCTTCCAAAAGATGGGCGGCAAGATCAATCTGGTGCCAGAGTCACTGCTCCCGTGCTACATGAACTCACATTTCTTCACTTTAATTAGATGCAAATGCAATAGTAAAAAGGCCAGCGCAGCTACCATTGCAAAAGTGTTTGCATCACAAACGCAACCAATTACGAGACCAATTTGGCTATAATAAAGACTACTTAAAGCTCTTACATCCCCGTTAGCCCATTATGCGTTACGGCTGCTTCGGGAATGACAAGAAATCAATAAGCTCCAGGTAGACGATAGTGTGTATGGCCATCCATTCGACGGCGTAAAGTCCCTGGCCGGATGATGTGCACATGAAGTGCACTCGCCGCGTAATACGCACAAATAACGCAGCCATTAGCTCCTATTACTGGCCCTGGCCAAAGTAAGCGTTGGCCACCGTCGTTTTCAAGGAGCAAGTCCTCCCCAAATGGCAGCAATGGCCACGTCCAGCTCGAACCACTTCCCAGCGTTTATGGCTTGGCATTAAAATGATACACGGCCATAGAATTAGTTGCGCTCTTGTATCTGGGAGTCGTTGTAGTTTGTCAAGCCCTCAACCCAGTCATAGGAAAACTTCTTAAGTCTGACGATTTGTCCGCCGTCAGCGCCTCCGAACACGTCTTTTGCAGGTGTTCTTCAATCACGCCCGTCCCCTCTTGAAGCGTCAGACATGCCTCAACCAAGGTGGCTTATTGGTCTGCAGGCATCCATATTACGGAAGTCGATGGAGTTCGGCATGTTCATCAACGCGCTGCATTCCCCTCGCCCACCGGCACCTTCATTCTGTCGACGTATCCCTGTTACAATATCCCGCCGAAAAGGGTTCATCGACCTGCTCTTCTACACACCCAAGGACTACTCGATGCCGCATGGTGTTGATACAGGAAGGAGATACCCAGTTATGGTGAACTTTCACAGCGGAGGTTTTACCCTCGGCAGAGCCAGCGATGACGCCCCATGGGCATCTATCGTGGTCGAGGTCGTCCATGCCGTTGTCGTCTGTGTGGAATATCGCCTAGCACCACAATTTCCTTTCCCTACAGCCGTGGAAGACGGCGCAGATGCTCTTATGTACATCATGCAAAGAGCCGAAGAGCTTAAGCTTGACGCAGAGAGGATTTGTGTAAGCGGCTTCTCTTCAGGTGGCAACATGGCGTTCACCGTTCCACTTTTGTTACAGAGTGAAAATCGGCGGATGCGAACCGACCGGGAGTCGAGTGGGGAGAGTGTCGCTAGCACAGCGCCAAGAACTGTGCAACAGGTGGCCCTGATCGTCAGCTGGTATCCAACAACTGACTACGCCACTTATACAAGAGAAGAACGCAGAAAATGCAATACTCAACCTGGTAAAGAGCCTCCTAAATTCTTCACAACTCTCTTCGACGCCGCCTATATTCATCCAATCTATGAAGTCTCATTGTCCAACCCATACCTTTCTCCCAGTCTTGCCCCAGATGACATGCTCAGGAAACTTCCTGATGATGTCCTTATATACACGTGTGAGTGGGACGGATTGCGTGCTGAAGCTGAGAGGTTCAAAGCGTACCTAGCAAACGAGTTGCAGAAGCGGGTAAGGTACAGGATGGTTCCAGAAGTGACTCATGCCTGGGATAAGAAACCGCATCTTAAGGGCAATGGATTTGAAGAGAGCGTGTATAGGGAGGCTTGCTTCGAGATAAAAAGAATTTTTGACGATGGATTGGCGCGGAAGTCTTGACTACTATTCCCTGCGCTACCAAATGTCGAATATCGGAAGGAATTCGACATTTTGGTAGCGGAGGGGATAGGCCTTCGAAAAATTGAAACCATTGCTTAGCTTATTCTAAAAATGGAATAGATGTTATGTCATGCAGCTGAAAACGTTAGGCTTCGATGTAAGTCATATGGCTTGTCTTACGATGCTGATATTGAACCACTCTATAAGCAACAAGACTCTCTCCCTCTCGCTCGTAGGACATATCAATAGAACAAGTACAGCAATTGGGATGAACATCCGTGGATGATTGCGACCCCGGGACAGGGTGAGCATTGGATACAAGAATACTACCTTAAATTGCATTTAATGAACGGGAGAAATATCCCCTCTGCTACCAGAACGTCGAATTCCTGCCTAAGGCATCATTGGCATATGCACTCCAGAGGAAAGTGATTCTGTAAGGAAACTCAGGCGCAAATGGTGCCTTAGGCAGATATTCGACATTTTGGTAGTGGAGGGGCTGCGCCCCGGACAACCAAAGTGGCCGGTTTTTTCGCTGCACACCACCAAAATGCCGGACAGATGGGTTGTCCGGGTGGAGAGGGGATACCGTGTCTAGAGATCCAATCCGCAAGCTTCAATTTGGATAAGGTGAACGCTTGCGAGGCTGAGCGGCAAGGCCCAATCATCGTCTCTATCAAGCACAGGCCTCTTTGATTCCTTTGTTGATCAACAACCAATTGATTGGGAACCCGGTCCAGTGTCCGAAGAACATGCCGATCTGAGACACAATATATTAGCACCGCTCTCATCAGGAAGGATCAGATCGGACTGATCGCCTACCTGCATCATGAACCAATACGTCATGGTATTCATGCCTAGCTTCTGGTCGAAGATCCAAAGGTCAAAGATGGCCATCCAGCCAAAGAGGCCAATCTCGAAGAAGGTCAGTGACAAGAAATCAGCCTTCGCGGAACGAAGAATGGTTTTCCACCCGTAGTCCCCCGCCATGGGAGCGATGGAAAAGTACTGGAAGACGATGCCGAAGGCGAGAGCGAGGACGAAATCTAAAAGAAAGCGAGCACATCAGCAGATATAGCTGAAGGTTGGTAGATCAGAGCCCACACCTACCCACGATGAAGGCGGCGTAGAGCATACTTCCACCGATCGTTGCACCTGACCTGTAGATTAGCCATTCCCCAATGATGTCGCCGAGGACACAGCCAGCGCCGCAATGACAGGTTGCGATGGTGATGGTAGCGAACGTGGGTTGGTTGGCGCTCATGCCGTGGGGGTGCTGATGGACGCCTCCGCCATGCCCCATACTATGACCGTGATGACCAGAACGAGGATCTGTGACTGTCTCACTGCCACCACAGCGCGGTTCGCCACCTGTGTTCCCTTCGCTGTGATCCATCCGATGGTTCGAGTGTAGGAGCGGATCCTCTTCGCTCTCCTCTGCTCCATCCTCAATTTTCTTGCTCGGCAACTCCGGCCTCCCGTACTTGATGTACGTCCATACAGTAATCGGCCACAGGTACAGCGCGTTGATGATGTAGACCGGAATCCTACAGCCCAAGAGAACGTTGTGTTACTCAGTGTACAGCCATCGATGGAGAAAAGATTACGGAGTATGTTGGAGGGGACGACTTACATGACGGCCATCATGGACCTCCATCCCCGACGGTAGACGATGTCAAAGGTGAGCCATAGTGAGGCGAGTACGGCAACGCCAATCGAGACCCAGGAGATGACGGTGAGTCCGAGTGGAGGCGTGTAGGTTGAGAGATCCATGTTCCAGTTCTCCATCTTACCAGCACAACTTGCCTCGTGGATTGACAAGCGAAGGAGGCTGAACTAAAGAACTGCGAAACAAATCAGCAGCAGCAACAGTGGCGTTTGCGGTTACCCGACTCAGTACTTGATGTGACGATGACGACACAAATGAACCTCGAAAGGCTGTGGAATAATGATGCCGGTGTCCCGCATGGAAAGACGTCTATGTTTTTATAGCGCAAAGTTCACGGATTATGACATAATTTAGATCGCCTAGTGGTGAGTTATCCCCTTCAAGAGGGACCAATAATACTATGGGTAGTGAGGCGCATGATGCAGCATAGTAACCCCATCCACCTAGTAACGCACCAACCGCGATTTACACCACCATCTTCAATGAACGTTATATTCTTAGGGAAGCGAAGCCATGGCCGAAAATTGTGCTTTCTAGCGATACGCAGCCTCAATTCCGAGGGCTGAAAGCCGTATGCTCGCCAAACCTGCCAAATTACATGACGTCCGCTCTGGATAAATATCAAAGCGGTGTCGATTAAAACGAAGCCGTCGTAGCTTAGAAAAGTTAGCCGAGATTCCTTACCGAAAAGAGGGTAGCTATTTCCATGACGTTCGCGTTCAACCGACAGCGCTTTTGAAATGTATTCCAGTGCAAACGGTGCAAACAGCCCTCCTTGGCGCTGGTGGCCAACTGCGCAAATTGTGCGTTTTTCGGGATGCACCTTCCTATCAATCATTCTCTGTGCCATGTTTCGATTGCAATGAACCAATTCGCTATGCGCTTCTACGCACAATACACTCGAGGAAGCTAGCATCTATGACTCATACTCGCCAGCATGTTCTTCCGTTTTCTATGTCTTTGGCTTCTCCTTGCCAGTCTATTAAAGAGCTTCAGTGTTTGCAGCTTGTCCCAATCTTCGTAACGTCCTGTCCTTACCGTATCTATCTCTGAACAGTAATCATTTAGGCAAAGATATCTTCGCCACATAGCACACCACGGCAAACTGGTGGCGCTGCGATGGCATCCGCTGTCTCCTCGGCTAATGGTCTGCTGACCTCGACTTTGCTTGTTGCTAATATCCATTGTCCATCTTGCGCCTCTTATGCCGAGGACATTCTGCGACCTTTTCAAGGAATTCGAAACGTTGATGTATCCATCATTGACCATGCCATACGCATACAACACGAGGTGGATATTTCCAGGCGGTTTACAGACGAGTTGGTGAAAGCAGCATTTGAGGTTCAGCATATCTCTACATGTGACGCCTCAGGGCGTCAACTGCACACACGCGATGTTCCTCACGAGCCTACGAAGCCTACATCGTACCATCTATGGCCTGTCTTCATGTCTCGAGCGCAGAGAAAGCACATCGAGAATTGCAACGCATGCCAGAGCGAGCGCCAAAAATACAGCATCAAACACCGAACATGGTCCGCCCTCACGCAAGCAAGGCGACGTGGTCAGGCTTCTGTGGATGTTTCGGCCCTCGAGCGTGGAGAAAGCCAACTGCATACTCCCGTAGGCAACCGGTCTTCACTTGCTCTTACGAATGGTACAAGCTCCCTTGAGAAGGATGAGGCAAAAGTCTATATAGCGACTATCTCCATTGAAGGCATGACATGTGCTTCGTGTAGTGGCACTATCACCGCTGAACTTGAGCAGATGGACATTGTCCAGCACGTCGGTGTTAATCTTCTCAGCAACAGTGCAACTGTCACATTCAGTGGTCCCAGCTCCAATGCAGATAACATTGTCGAAGCTATTGAAGATGTGGGCTACGAGGCTACCATCGACGATGTCCAGGCTGCTGTTTCACCCAATGACTCGAACCACTTTTACAAGGCGTCTCTTAGTATTGAGGGCATGACATGTGGGTCCTGTGTTGGAACGATTACCAGGGGCCTTCAAGACCTCCCCGATGTCCAAGAGGTCAATGTTGACTTGGTGGGAGACGGTGCCACCGTCGGGTTCAAAAATTGGTCAACTGTTGATTCGATTCTTACTAAGATTGGGGACTTAGGCTACGGTGCCACTGTCGTCGACTTTGAGGAGCTCTACGCCAAAGAACAAGGGCGCGCCTCTCACGAACGCAGCGTACAGTTCCAAATATCTGGAATGTACTGCCCTAATTGCCCTATCAACATTGCAAGTGCTATACACGGGGCTTTTGGTGATGATGTACTCATCTCGGAGCATCCAAGCCTTAAAAACCCTCGAATCACTCTTGCCTATAGGCCCAACCCTCCGACATTGACAATACGTCGCCTACTGTCCGTGATAAATGCCGTTGATGCTGCATGGTCAGCCACAGTCTATCACCCTCCGAGCGTCGAAGAGCGGTCACGCACGTTGCAGCGCAAAGAGCGAGATCGCATCCTTCGCCACCTTTTCCTGACCTTTCTTGTCGCAATCCCAAGCTTTATCATTGGTGTCGTGTACATGAGCCTTGTGTCCGAGGAAAATGGGACAAGACGATGGTTTGAAGAACCAATTTGGAGTGGCACTACTATGCGAATGGAGTGGTCACTTTTTATCATGACGACTCCAGCCATGTTCTACGGTGCCAGCATCTTCCATGCTCGGGCTCTAAAAGAGATCTGGTCTTTATGGAGACCAAAGAGCAAGGTTTCTTTTCTACGAAGACTCTATCGATTCGGCAGCATGAACCTGCTTATCAGCGCAGGAACAAGTGTGGCTTATTTCGCATCCTTAGCGGTCTTGATCATGGAAGCGACGGCCTCTCAGCCTATAGATACCCATCACGACATGGATAATCGGCGCAAGTCGATGACTTATTTTGACACTGTCACCTTTTTGACCTTCTTCATATTGATAGGCCGTTTTCTAGAGGCCTACAGCAAAGCCAAAACTGGAGATGCAGTCGCTATGCTTAGTGGCCTTCGTCCTACCGAGGCGCTGCTACTAGACGACAGTTTTGACGAGAATGGACCAGAATACAAACCTGCAACGAGGAAGGTCCCAGTGAGCCTTCTTGAGGTTGGAGATAATGTCGTTATCCTTCATGGTGCATCTCCACCCACTGATGGCATACTCGAGCAAGATGGAACGTTTGTGTTCGACGAAAGTTCTCTTACAGGAGAGTCGAAGCCTGTCAAAAAGATTCGTGGCGATACTATTTTCACCGGCTCTGTGAATGTTTCAGACCCAGTCAAGATCACAGTTACCGAGCTTGGCGGCAAGTCTATGCTGGATCAAATTGTCGCTGTGGTACGCGATGGCCAAGCCAAGCGAGCACCCATTGAACGCGTAGCCGACCTGCTGACTGGTTATTTTGTCCCCGCTATCACAATGCTAGCTATTGTGACGTGGATCGTCTGGCTTGCTCTGGGAACATCAGGTAGACTGCCGGCGGATTGGCTTGATGCTGATCAAGGAGGGTGGGCCTTCTGGTCTGTGGAGTTTGCGATTGCAGTCTTTGTCGTTGCTTGCCCCTGCGGCATCGGACTGGCTGCTCCAACAGCCCTCTTCGTCGGCGGCGGACTAGCTGCAAAGTCCGGCATCTTGGTTCAAGGCGGCGGCGAAGCATTTCAGGAGGCATCTCAGTTGGACGCCATAGTGTTCGACAAAACTGGCACACTGACAGAAGGACAGATGATGGTTACAGATGTTCAATTCCTCGACGAAAAGAAAGCAGTCTTGCTGCAGCACCTTGTGTTTGCACTTACCAAAGCTATGGAAGAGTCCAGCACGCACCCTATTGCGAGAGCAGTTGCTGATTACTGCTCTCAACATGGAGCCGACCGCCCTGAAGTTGTGATCAAGAGCGCCGAAATCAAGGAAATGCCCGGACAAGGGATGACTGGGAGGTTCGTTTTGCAGGACCCTTCATCGCCTACAGACACAGCATACGAAGCTGCCATCGGCAACGGACGATTATTGTCTACTCTCTCGCCCTCCGTTACGGAGCATAGCCAAGTGTCGGCAACCAACCTTTACCTGAGTCAAATATTGGCTCGACTCCAGTCGACTGGCTTCTCGACTGCTATCTTCTGCTGGCGCAAGTTACCCCTGGATGCGCTCAGTGACACCTCTTGCGCTGCTGCATCTCCATTTGTTCCTATAACAGTATTTGGCATCTCTGATCCAATCCGACAAGAAGCACAAACAGTCCTCCAAGCTCTCCGAGACAGTGGAGTCGACGTCCACATGTGTACTGGAGACAACCAAACGACAGCTCAAGCCATAGCATCACAACTCAGCATCCCCGTCTCCAATGTCCGTGCCGGCATCATGCCTCAGGGCAAAGCATCCTATATCCGAGAACTCCAGTCCCTCGGCCAATCCTCCCGTCGTCGCATCATTGCCTTTGTCGGTGACGGGACAAACGACACACCCGCCCTTTCCGCCGCGGACGTGTCGATCGCACTTTCTTCCGGGTCCGATGTTGCGGTGACAACGGCATCTTTCATTCTCCTCAACAGCAGTTTGCAGACGATCCCTGAGCTCGTTAAACTTGCTAAGCGGGTGTTCCTACGAGTGAAGCTGAATTTCGCTTGGGCGGCGGTCTACAATATCTGTTTGATTCCTGTTGCAGCGGGAGTGTTCTTTCCCATCAGCCAATGGAGGTTAAGTCCGGTCTGGGCGAGTGCAGCCATGGCTGGGAGTAGCGTTAGTGTAGTATTGAGTAGTTTGGCACTCAAGTTGCCGGAATTGGAGTGGATGAAAGTAAAGGGGTTGTTTGCCAGAAATGAACATGTTGGATGACGCCGAGGAATGACTGAGATTCGGCACTACAAGTTGTGTAAGGCTCTGGTTGCTCTCCAGAAATCTCTATAGTATATAACCTTCGCCTGGCAATACTAATTCGTTATTGCTCTTATCGGTAATGAGAATCAGTTGCTGAAAGATACAGCCTTTTCCTACCGATAACAGGACAAAGTATTGAATACGGTATAACGAGGATCGACTCGAGTAAGTGAGCCACGAGAGCTAGTCATTCTATTCGCGCAATCCCAGAAATGGACGTTTCGAGCACGGCCTAGGTATTGGCTTCGTTAACGGTGTTCCCCGTTGTGGTGCTTGCCTAGGGTCAAAGCCGTACCGGTAAGAGCTTTGTTCAGCGATTTAGATTTGGAAGGCTTGCATATAGGCAGGGAATTACGCTTTTCTAGAAGAGGCTAGTTGCATGAGTGGTTTGTGCGTGTTTTGTTGGAATACGGCGATCTTGATCAAGTCTAACTCTGATAACGAGCAAATCAGAAGCTGCGAACAATCCGAGCCGCTGCGTGATCATGAACTCTTCCTACATGCGATATGCGTACCAGAGTGTAAGCCGAACTAAGATGTTGCGTTCTTCTGCAAAACGCGCTGGTTGGTCTTGCACTTATCTCGAAGGAAATGAGACAGAGGCTTGCGGATTGTCCGACCAATCACCTATTTGACATTCCCTTCACCTTCAATCCGATGGTCACGGTATGTCCGGCATCCGTACCCGCCTGTACAGTTGTCTAAGCAGCATTGCTTGCAGCCAGAGTCCCCCATCTTATATACAGTGTTTTGAGGTAGTAAGCAATAATTTATAGCCTAGAGGGAATACGCCTGTTGAACACCGTATTGTGCAGAGCTGAACAGTGGGGCATGGCTTTAGCCTGGAATTCTAATTGCATCTTGTGAGGTCAGCATTCTATGGAGCAGTTGTCCCATTGCAAAGTCCATGTGCAAAGGAGCGGGGAAGGGCACACGGAAATTCCCTTGGTCCCACTAATGACACGACTTGTTGTATTTGCGCAAGCGGATGTAGTTGTACGGAAGCGGTGTCAGAAAGCCTGCGACAATGGCAGCGCCAGCAGCAAGCCAGAATGGTGCACTTCCAAGCTCCACAGTACCACCCGTCAGCAGGTAATCAACCACATTTTCGGCGACCTCCATCGCTAACATCGAGATCAGACGCATACCAGTAGCCGTCTTTGCTGCGACTTTCCACGGCAGTTGATCTCGGCCTCGGTGAAGGAGGATTGTTTCTAGAGCCATAGACGAACTGATTCCTGCCGACACTAAAGAACAAGAAACTTGTCAGCACGATCTTAATTCAGTCAAGCAAGGACCCGGTGGTAATTCGGCAATGGGCAAGCTTACTTGAGAGGAGCATGATCAGTCCAATTCCCAACTGCGGATAGCTTGACTGAAGAAACCACATCGTTGTAAAATCGCCGAAAGTGCAACCGATGAGACAGCGCAATGTGTTGATGACAGCTCTCTTCCATGTCATGCGAGCTGTGCAGAACTTCACCGAGGTCAAGCGCGACGGCTCGATGGTTGTGCAAGTATGGGATCGTTGTAAAATAAAGGGGCCGTGGCAACTTCGGGGGTACGTCTCCTGCCGCCGAAAATTACCAAGCTGCTGCGGAGAGCAAGTTTTGAGAAAACTCGAACAAGCTCGCCTGTATGGGACGCGTGCCATACGCATGCGGCTGACCGGGATTGTAGATGTCAGCATGTCGTCACCTCCGCCTCATTCGAATGGTTGACAGAATATGGGACAGAAAGTCAATGACAGCTGCCTGCGTAAGTACTTCCGCCTTTTCCCAAACTCGCCAGTTCCAATACACGAGGAACGAGCAACAGGCCCAAGGAGATTGCGCAACGGAGCAGATTGTGTCTGCTGAAACCTCTACGCTAAAAGGCGTTTGCAAGCGCGATGACTGTCACGGCCAAGAATACAGGCTTCAGCCTGTGTAATGTCGTAGCAAAAGCTGAGTCGACAGAGACAAACTCAAGTACTATTTTGAGGTCAGCATGTGTCTGCACATTCCACCCCCGGCAGTATTACTTACAGGCAACCAGCAGCATGAGCCGTGTAGTAAAGCTGGTAAGACTGGCAGGAAGAGCCACGACTGGGTTGGCTTTGACGATGAGGTTGGTCGTTCGCTGTAGCAATCAGGCATTTTTCAGTAATCACAAGCATGGGAACTTTTCAGGATTGCGGATGTGCTGAACTGCGCTACCTTATTTATGCACTAGATCTTCGCCTGTGACGTTTCACTAGCGCGAAAATCACGCTCAGGGTGCCAATGCAGTACCCTCCTTTAGTTGTGAGTGATTTGTGCCCGTGACAACGGAGATTGAAGTCGAATCGGTAGGCTACACCCCAGATATCGAATCGTTTTCCGACGATCCTCCTCCGGAGGTCGCTCGTCTGCGCCTTACATAGCGCACACAGCACGTCAAGCTGACCCGACGCACCGGTCACAGTTCGCCCAGTTGTAGTAGGCTAGAGCTCGGCCAACAGTCTGATTTCCCTTCTTGACGGCAGGGATGATCGTGTGCCGATCTGACCCTTTCAACACACGCATGGCCTTGGCTTGGTATACCTCAGCATCGTCGGAGTAGTCAAACTCGTACCGATGAACGGGGTGCAACAGATAGAGTCGGAGACGAACGGAAAGCGTCACCGCTTTGCGAAGAAAGTGTCTGCAGTCGAAAGTGTATATGCAGACCTTGTTGTCATTCTTTTGGTACCTAAGCGAGGCTATCCAAGGCCTGGACCGTGAGGTGTACAGCCAAAACATCACTTGAGCTCAAGGTCCTCCCCGCATCGTGATCGCTCCCGCCAGCGGGAACCGCATCACAAGAAGTTTCCAACCATGACATACTTGCAGGAGATGATAAGTCAGATCTCGGATTTGTCGTCGCACTTGTATGATCTCCAGATTCGGTACCCAGTCATCTCATAGTAACCATCCAGAGGAATAGTATAAATATGTTTCATACCACATTCGTTGTTGTCGTAAAGTCGGCAGGCGGAGGTTCTCGGCGCTGATAAGCTGTGTCACAAGTCCGGTCAGGCCTAGTCACGTATGCGTAAGCAAGGACCGAAATTGGCACAGCCGTGCTCTGATACGTTTCGGACATCCGTCAAGTCCGAGGCATTGGCAAGAACATCCTGATCTCTGCTTTCCCAACTGGTGACATGAGTGTCACGCTCCTGACCAGCTTCTTCGACGCCTAGCACAGCCCATCTAACAGTCGACAATTGTACTCCTGGCTTCTCGCAGGGTGTGCAACGAAGGGCTCTAAGACCGCTCGCCACGAAGGCGACGAGCGAGTTGCATGTCTGTGGACTAAATGGTGATCCTCTTAGCGTGTATGGCGCAGAGTTGTGTGTCCTTAAACAAGCCACACAGGTATGCTTCGGTGGCCTCCTGCAGAGCTCCAATGGCCGACGACTGGAAGCAAAGGTCTGCCTTGTAGTCTTGGGCTATCTCACGCACCAGTCGCTCGAAAGGCAGCTTGCGGATGAGGACCTCTGTCGATCTCTGCATCCACGAATCGCGTCAGCCGCTGTCCGCTCGTGAGGACCAGACCGTAAACATACCTGGTAGCGTCGAATCTCGCGGAGCGCCATTGTTCCTGGCTTGTATCTTCTTCGTCATTTGACTGCATCATCAGATTCAGGCCAGAAACTCTATATATCCCTCGACAATAACAGTTTCGATCGAGCCTCACCAGGAATACTCTTGCCCACACGCTTCTCAGAAGGCCGAAGAGGCTTCTTGTGAAGCGGGAAGCGAGGCTGCTTTCCCCCAATGCTCTTACGGGCCGGCGTTCACCGTCAGCACTTGTACCAAGACGCGGACATCAGACATACTGTTTGCTTGGTTCGAGCCATCTTCGCGCACTGTCGAAGTAGGAGTACCACGATTGACCACAGACGATATCCGTTCTTATATGACTGTCGACTCAGATATAGAGTCGAGATTTCAGGCTGTCTCGTGACGAGCGTTTGGCGACAATGGAGTCTTGTCGAGTATGGCCTCTCGCATCAAGGCGTCAGATGGACGATTGGTGCGACTGAGCGGCCCACCAAATGCTAATCATAGCAAGCTGCTGCGTCATGTCTGAGTGCAAGACACACACTAAAAACGTTCAGTCGTGCTTTGGGTGGCAAATGGTGAAAGGCCGCTGTCTCCCTGGCGGGGCGAATAGATAAGATTCTGCCTCGCACCAAGCAAGAGACGCTAACAGTGCATCAGAAGCGTCCACGGCCACGTATGGAGGAAGACTTGGCCTGACCGAAGGTTCAACTCGTTTCTGCAAGCAGAACATCCACTCAACCGACCCTTACGGGATGGAATAGAGACAACGCCATGTGAACTGACCACACGAGGCCTTCGATCCTTGTCAAGTAGGAACCACGCATCTCATAACTTTGGAGGACATGGCTACGCAGTGAAGAAGGAACAGCAAAAGCATGACCTGGTGATCGTCGTTCTCTCCAAAGTAATCGTGGCAACCGGACATTTGCTGTCGTTGTGGGCCATGGAATTTACGAAACCGATATCCTCACCATTTTGGCTGACTAGATGGGGTTCCGGACTCGGTGAAGGCGTGGAACAGTGCTGGGGCTGCATGGCGTCCACAACATGGCCCGATTCACTCACAGCAGGGCAGCTCGAAGGAACCACGGCATGCACTTCGTCCTTGCATCAACATCATAGCCCAACCACAGTGTGGTAGAAGTTTCAATAGGGGTTAGACTAGGGCGAGCCGAGTGAAGTCGCTTCGGACGGGCTTTGACGTATTGCAGCCCCAGAGGGCAAAGTAAGGCATTTTCGACGACATGCTTAAGAAGCCCGGTCGTGACTGATACAGCTGACACCATTGATTCACTGCAAAGTTGGACTTTCATTGGCACTTCCTGAACCGACGTGGCCATTGTCAGTGATTGATTCTTGAACGTAGTAGAGTATCATGGTTAACGAGGGTGCCACCCCCTACACCCACACAAGCACATACTGACACGCTTGCAGGATCGAAAACGTACCCTTGAACGTGCCACAAACGGCAGCACAAAAAGACTCAAGTCTAGCTCGGCTAGCAACGGCAGAAGGATTACAAGATCGTCTGCAGTAGTTCATCATTCCACTCCTAGCACCACGACTGTCATTGAGGTCAACTCGAACGACACGGATGCCACGACTGAAGTTGTCGATAGCCGGTATCTTGCGCTTCACCAAGCACTATGCCTTATGAATGAGAAGAGAAGATATCTTCAGTGTCGGAAAATGGCCGATGATGTCGTATAAATACAGACATTCGCCCACTAGCATAGCGAAAGAAATTCATTTCATTCGGCAGATCCGATATCACCAGTGCTGGCGAGGCAAACACAAGTTGCAAGGATGCCTGACAGATTTCGCGAACTGCCCAAATCACACCTATGAGTCAAGCCAAGGATCTGCAAGTAGTTCTTTTGCGGTTGCACGATCCTCCGGCAACCACTCAAGCATTCTAGCAATGAACCGAAGGAAATTCCTCTTGTCGTCTCCAGAGAGCATGGTGATAGTGTCATCGAGACCGGAGTAACGAGGCTTGGCTGCCTTGCCAACGATCAGGTCACCTTTGATAAAGTCAGCAAAACCATCCATAGGCTACATTGACTATGATTGCGTCACATACCCTCCGACGTGAAAAAGTGACTGGTCAACTGTCCTCGGAGAAGCAGCAGCTCTGGTGGTGGACCCAGTACCGATATCATCTCAGCAAGATGCATATTGGCCGCGTAGTCTTCTGCTTCAGGGTTCCATGCATCGAAAAGCGCTCGGCCTTCCAACAGATCCCAAACCTGCGAACGAGAAGTTGTGAGCTTGTGAATCTAAGGACTAAAGAGCGCGTACCATTACGCCAAGATTCCATATATCAGCGCTGTATGACCATCCAGCACGTAAGATTACTTCAGGAGCTTGTAAGCAATCAGGCTGGATGGGGTGGCTGTACATGTGTTGTGACGATCTGATGGCAAGTCCGAAATCCCCAATTTTCGGCCGTCCGGGAGCACCTCTTAGATTACCGAAGTTCCGATGAGGATATATGCGACGGTCGTTGTAAATTTTCGCAGGAGTGGGATCTTTTTCCTCTTCCTGGATGAGCTCGTGTATTATTCGTTCATCTTCTATCCCAAGTAAAATATTCTCGGGTTTGAGATCTGACCAAGTCAGCTTAATTTCAGATATTTAATGTGTAAGATGGAGAGTTACCTGTATGAATGATGTGGCATTGCGTATGCAGATAATCAAGCCCAGTCAATAAGAACCTGAGCAAAGGTTTCAGGAGATTGCCAGGTATGCATCCATGTCTCAACCTCCTCTGGAACGTAGAAAGGGTCTCTCGCATAAGCTCGTACACCAAACAGAGATGAATCCCTCGTTGACTTTCAATTTCGAATGATTCCAAAACAGTTCGCACATAACGCAGGCCTTCGTGCTTCGGATCTGCTTCTGCAATCTGCTTTGACAATGCCAGCTCGGATAATGCCGAACGATTGTCTTTTGCATTCTTTGTGAGGATTTTAAGAGCAACGAATCGGTTGTTCTGGAATCTCCATCTAAGGAAGGGTAAGAAATGGGTAAAGATTACCACAATCTCGATTTAGAACTACCTTGTTAAATCCTTCGCAAGCCAAGTGGTAGATTCGCTTCCGAATCCTAACTTCGCCAATATCTTGAACTTTTCGTTGAAAACTTGGCCAATTGACACAGGAAAATAGTCATCGGGACGATACCTTGGAAGGGTCTCCTCTTCGATGGGATCGGAGAATGTCATTGTTGATCGTTGATGTCTTAGACACAAGGCGGGACGTATTCTAAAGATACGGGGGTGAGCGTAGCAGGAGCGACTCGCGAACATGTTGATACCGTTGGTGGTACTCCGCGACGGAATTCAAAGGACCAGGTCGCAATTTGTACAGGACGCCAAGCCAGTCACATGATACTTCGAAGGCTAAGAGTGTTTCAGATGTGGCGGGTGTTAATGCAGGAAGAGTGTCTCCTGGTCACCAGCAGGCGCGCGCGTCCCTTTGCAGACCAATGCCACATGGACCGCCCACTCTCAATGAACACGAACCGCAGATTGGGGTTAAGTGAAACGTCTCGTATTGTATGTGTGAACGAATGCAAGGGCTATAAAGACGCGCATTCTCTAATGTTCCTTTTGTCACTCTTCCATCAATTCTTATTCGATTATGGCACGTCAATTTTCCACCGCCGCACGAGCCTTGCTCAAGTTTATGTGGGCTGGCATGAGCAAAGACACTGAATGGGAGACGGCAGCTAGACAATGCATAGAGTACAACACTAAACTTCCTGCAATTGAGACGGCACAAGTTAAGTCAGTGATGTCTGTATATTTGCGCATATATCATTCTGATAACTTTATGTTTAGAGGGAAACCCCATAAGTCGAAAGATCCTAAGGAACATGTCTCTGTGACTCTCTATGACAAAGATGATATCAGAGTCACTTCGGTTCATGTGTACAAAGATGGTACAGGAAAATTTTCCAAGAGCAAATACAATTGAGAGAGCTGGCTTTATCGAACAATTGCAAAAGAAGCGAGAAAGGATTGTAGAAATACATTACAGGCCGCAGTGGTGAAGGGAAATGCTGTTACCGTTGAGATCCTCCTAGATGCAGGAGCGGATGTGAATGCTCAAGGAGAAGACTCCGGCAACGCACTTATCTGAATCTTTACCATAGTTTAGAGCTACAGAGACCTGTCACATAACACACACATTAAACCATCGTATCGCCATATCCTTGGAACGTTGATTCTATAGAATTGATGTTCGGAAAGGCATATTGATAGTTCAGCTCGGTTTGCCGTGGCGGATTATGACATCCTTCTCTATCGTGTGGAAGCATCACTAGGCCATCGCACTCGCACGATTCAAACAATCTGTCGAGAAGTGATGCACTGCTCAGTATCTGCAGACACACCAATGTCGTCCCGCGACTTGACTATGAGACCAGCTCAGCAAGTTGGCCATAAGGTCGCTGAGGAATGGCTTGGAGGAGACAAAGCTGGCAGAGTCAACGACGTATCCCTCTAGACTACATAATGTGGTGCTGTTGCCAAAATCTGCCGAACCTGAAAGGACTACGAGATATGGGTTTCTGACTAGCAGGACAAGACGCCGCAAATCTGCATCGCGCTCACCTCTCTCCTCACCCTCCTCCCGCCGCTTTTATCGTCACCTCACCCTTCGCTCACCTTCCACTCACCTCGACTTCACCGTCACCGGGTGAGCCTGTCGCACGATGTCTCGCCCTCTCCACTTCGCTGCAGCACAACCTCCATTCTTTGTTCTACGCCTGGCTGATTCGTGCACGGTTCCAGCCAGTCATGTCGCTGCTGCAATGTGCCCCGAAAGTGCGGCCAGAGCGATAACGTGCTGGATGTTACGATGAAGACTATTTCAACATTGCCCTGCCTCTCTGTGTTCCTCTTTCCTTCGACCTCCGACCTCTCGATTCTCGTCTTCTCCTCACCGGTGTCCTGACCTGATTACCCGGTTACCGACTCCCACGGTCTGGGTATGCCACAACGTTTGGCTGCACCTGGTTTGAAATGCCGCCGAGCTAATGCTACGGATCTGCTGGCCAGAGCTGAGGCGAATGGCTACAAGAGGGGGGCTCACACAGAGCGAGATCAGGTGAAGGACGACAAGAAGCACAACGTCAAAACGCAGAAGAATCACCGAGGCACACTCCGTCGCTATGTGCTCTGGCAACTGGGCGAAATCACCCGCGACCATACGCAGCGTGGCTTGCCTGTGCCGAGCGAAGAGGACACAATGCCTAAGGCCTGGCGTCGAGGCACCTAGTTTAGCCACCATCAAGAATTTCTTTCGCTTCTACATTGCTACGAGCTGTCCTCAGCTGACAGGCCAACCCACGACCGACTCGATGGGAACCATAGCCGAGTGGTTCTTTGCAGGCTTTGCCAGCGCTACAGGGACTGTCATCCCTGAAGATGAGAGAAGTGAGGTCTACGGTGTAAGTCCTCCTGTTCGCACCTGATCTCCGCAGCGATCTGACCTGAGAGCTGAATGAAGTTCTCGATAGCCCACCTGATGGCCGACAGGATTACCTTGTTACTCATGCTTCCATTCATGACATCGCTGTACATCCCCAATTGCTTGATGAATTGCATACCAAACGGGCCGGGTAAAGCAGTTTGTGAGTGTACACATGGGATCTCGTACCTCGATCGAAGCACAAAAGAGAGGCGACGATATGTATGGTGGTATTCAGTTGGAGATCATTCCCACATACCCTCTCAGTCGACTCAGAAGACTCACTGGCAGGAATATTAGTCTGCTTATTGCACCTCTGGCGGGTGGGCAACTAGAGGCTGTTGTTGATGAAAGCGCTTTGGTTTTCGATTTGCTAAAAACCATTTCGGACTCATATGGAAGTTCAACTCATCATTCTGTCGATGGTAAGTCTTGTGGTCTCTCTGCTGGACGTCACTGACACTCGACAGTCAGCTCGCCCATGTTTTGGGGTGCCATCGTTGGTGTCGGTATCTTCTTGCTGTGGATGGATGTCAGCTTCTACTTCTGGAGACGATTGAAGCGTCACAGATCAGCTCAACGAGCTGGTTCCCCGCCTTTCTGATAGGACTCAGGATTGGACAGTTCTGGGTCCAACGGACAGCCACTGTTGGTTCACCTTTCGACCTCGACTGTCAACGATTACTGCCAACAAATCGTTCTTGACCCGTCCATCTTGTATTGGCTCTAGAGTCTAGCAGAAGACTCGTCTTGGCTACCGTGCTGTTGTCTCACCATGGCCAAAACAAGCTCAATGACAAGTTACGGGTTGGTGCTCAGAGCGTCCACCGTCACGTCCTTGCAGATTGCTGAACTCTGTGGTCGTTGTAACAAATCGAACATCACTGTCGAGTTGCTCACTTTTTGGTAAGCAACCACTAAGCTACCAACGGACTTAGCCAACCCTCGCTGAAGGCTCAGCTGCCGAGAAGACTGGTATACAGGGTGTTCAACTAAATGATCGTTGTGCGCTCACAGACCAGAATATTAGCAGAATTTCCAAGTTATTGAACGACTGCAAACACTGCCACTTTTGGGGCAACCCACAATGCTCCTTGGGGCAGGTTGTGAAGATAGCAAAAAAACACTTCGCGGTGTAGCAGAACTGGTACAGTGGCCAGGCGGCTTTACTGATACCCTTTGACGAGAAGCCGCGCAGTAAATCTAAATTTGGATCTCAGAAGAAGAGCACATAAGTCCAAGCGCTTTCTTCCCGCCTTTGTCCCGGACTTCCCCTTCTGGAGTTCAAAACCCTAGACAAGAAACGGATATGCATGAAAAAGGCCGGGCTTCTCCGACATCCCACAGGCCGCTGCTACTTAGAAGCAATCGGTGATATAGCTGATGAAATAGAACTAAACAAGGTTTCGGACGGAGCTCGTTCGGCTCAAGACTGGTCCGAAGCATATGTGGACGTTGATTGCATTCGTCTTCTCCATACGACGCCCCATATTCGATCTGGGATTGAGGACAAGGTATGAAAAACCAGCCAGATGAGAGATTAGTGTATCTGGCACTCAAAAACGTCTTTCGGGACACCGATGCACAATTACGCAGGCCTAAGAAGATTCGCGAACTCATCCTCAAGCGACAAGAGAGCATCGATGTACGAGACCTAATTGAGGCCCACAACATCGATAACGTATGCAATGTCGCGAAAGCTTTGCTCGAGCAACAGATCTTTGAGTCTACATTAAAGGCCAAGATTCGATTTCCAGAAGTGTTCGAAGTATCACCTGCGCAGAGCGCAGAGCGATCGGCGTCGGAGCAAGAAGCTGCACGTACGGAAGCTGATGCGATCCAAGTCGTTGCCGAGACGAGTCGTGCAGCAGGAAAGGCCGCAACGCAGGCTACTCGTACGTTTATCAAACCTCGACCACTGTTATGCTCACAATCGGAACAGCTCTAAACCCCTCTTCGGCGCCTTCCGGCAAGCGAAAGTTCCAAAACATAGCCTCTGGTAACCCATCTCTGTATCCAGTCTACCTGCCGTACCAGACACAGCACAAACTTCTAGTGTCTGTGCAACAGTCCTTAGAGAGAGCGTGCTATGCATTCGCTACACGAACACTGCCAGACGTGGTCGGAGACAAAGAGTGGGATTGTGCTGAATCTGTCGAATTAAATCTATGGACACAAATCTTCATGAGGAATCAAGACAAATTTCCACAAGAGGATGTAGACAGAGTTGGAAAACCATTGCACCAACTTTTTGACTCCGTCGCACAGCTTCGCCATACCGCCGTACACCGCTTGCGTATTACAGCCAATCGGGTGGAGTTGTTCTTGGTTGATGCAGAGTCTCTGGCGAGGTTGCTGAATGATGACCACTGCTATCAAGAACTGTCGCGACTGCGCCGTGAGACGCACATGTCTATTGAAGACATCAAGCGCAACAAGGATCTCCTTGAGACCCAGCTTACACTAAAACTGAAAAAGATAGCAGCTCAAAGAGCAGAAATAGATCGATTGGAGAAATCAGTTGTCGCCGACATGTTGAGGGAGGACCAGGAATATCGACAATTTGCGGGGACTGCCTTAAACCAGGCAATAGATGCACCAGATACAGTCTTGCCAAGTACAGCAGCGACAGAGCTTGATGTGGAATCAGATCTCGACGTGACAGGGTTTCAAGTGCACGATACAGACGCAAAATCGGGCAGGGACGATTGGACAGACTAAATATGTGCTGTTGAGGGATGTCGTTCAACCGCCTGGTATTCCTGGCTCGGTTTGTGGCTCAGATGAGCTTGTCCATGTTGTCAACGCGGATCCACTTACTGATGCTGCTGCGTGTCTTCTGCCTTTTCTATTGACTCACGCCCGTGTGCTTGTGATAAGCGTCTTTATTTCGCAGACTGTAGCAGCTGCACGATCCGCCGTTCATCGTTGTCGGCGGAGCTGTCGTCGACCGCTTGGAGCAGCTCCCGATTCTGCATACGAGACGGGTCAGCCAGCACATCCATGACACTGACATCCGTCATGCGTATGGACTGGAGAAGGCGTCTCCGCTGGATCGCCACCTCGCGGACCAACTGCTCGTATTCACTCCGCGTCAACTTCTGCTCGAACCTGCTATGGTTAGTCTCGCTTGGGGAGAAGGGAAAGCTGTCGATACTTACACGCTGTCAGACACGCTCAGCCGAGACTCCGACGTGTCCCAGTCGGGAGCGATCAGAGCTAGCACCGACCACCCGTGCTGTTCGACCAGACCCAGCCACCGCTGACCGGCATCCAAGAACCGCACCAGCCCGCTTTTGTGTTTGTTCCACCGAACAGCAGCCGTCGTCTTGGCATCGATCAGCCCATTCTTCGTCTTGGTCGTCCCGCGATGTTCGGTGGGAAAGGGACACCCCCAGATTCGCTCAATCATCCTTCCGAAGGCGGCCGCTTTGTCCATCTTGCGCACCACGCCAAACCTCTTGCCGTACTGCTGACACGCCCGATGGTACACCTGCGCCAGTCGGCCCAAGGCGAACCGTCGCTGATAGCAGTTGAGAATTCCTGAGGTCTCGGCCACTTCCACCATCCCGATCAGTGCTTTGGGGTCGTCCACACTGAGGTCGTGGTGCGCTGGTTGACCTTGCTGAGGCAACGCGATCAAGACGTCTTTCAACACCCTGAACGCGGATGGACTGCCCACCGCCTGTGCCATGGTTGCCATGCGGTCACGCGGCTGGTTCTCGTTCGATGAACTCCTCGCAGGACTCTTCTGAAGGTCTCCTGATGACGCCCGACCGTGCTTCTGAGGCGCAGTAGGTTCTGCTTTCGAGATACCAATGGTGTCACTCACAAGAGGTCGCAGATCGAGCTTGATCTTCTTGGTGTTTCCTCGAGCGCTCAACCCGAGCGGTCTCTCCCTTTTCATGGCGGATGTGCGTCTGCGAGACTCGGCGCCAGCTGCTGGCTTCAAGATCCCGGATGTCGATACCACTTGTGTGTCTTCATTGTCACTCGATTCCCGGTTGTCCTCACCGCCACTTTGCACATCCTCGTCCGGCTCGCCGTCCGTCTCATTCGGACCCTGCTGCACTTCGTCCGGCTGTCGAAATGCCATGTGCTCGTTGAGTATGGGGTGGCCAGGACACTTCGCGGAACAGCCAGCATAGCCGGTGATACTCTAGCCTGCGGGAGCGTAGTTGACCGCCTCTCCCAGAGTCGAGCCGACACAGAAGCCTTGGTGGTAAGCTCCCGGCAAGACCACCACCACCTCGTTGGAATGTTGTCGCAGCGTGACTGCGCTGGCTCCCCATTCTGCCAGCGTCCGAGGGAGCACCCACGTAGAACAATGGCGCAGACTTTGTGCGCAAGTATGTCTGTGTTTCCAGATCGACTTGTGCTCCTGCTCGACAAGTGACGCATGACGAGGAGCCACGACCGTCCACACCTTGCACCCGTAGTAGAGCACGTTCAGCGAGACCAGGTCGCAGTCCTCCTTGTGCAAAGCGAACGGCGCTCCGAAATGGGCGTCAGACTTGTAGCCAAAGGGGTGATGCAGACCGGGCACGTACTTCGCCGTCCTGTCCAGCTCGTTGCTTGGGAGTCGCCAGATTGGAGACTGCTCGGGGAGACCTAGGTCGTGCCGATCTGGGGGCGTCTTTGCATCATAGTCGGTACAATACACGACTCCGTCGAGGCCCGACTCTTTCTCCAGGGCAGCTTCGAACTGTTCCAGCGCCTGCGCGGTCCTGGTTTCTGCAGGATCTGGCACCATGCGCAGCGAGGCTCGTTGAGGCTGTCGACTGAGCTGGAAGACTCCTTCTGTCTTCTTCGTGGCGGCGAAGACGGAGACAGGACAGTCGTCACTGTCTACCACGTCAAAGTCTTGTGGCATGTCTTCGGGTAGCACCACCTTGAACACGCCAACCTTTTCTGCCCCAAGCTCTTTCGCACAAGCAAGGAGCGAAGCGAAGTCGTGGTACTGTGCCTTGGTCGGGAAGAGCCGGAGAACATTCTCTTCCATGTCGGACTCGATCTTTTCAGTTGACGCCTTTGTTTTTGGTTGTACTTCTGCAAGCAAGGCCGGTGACAGGAGCGCTGGCGTACGCGCTGAGTCGACGGAAGGAGAAGTCGTTGTGGAGGCGGTCTCGGGCTCGGTGCCATGGCCATGGACTGCTTCCTGGGCAACATCGTTCTCTGACTCTATCACCTCGGCAGTGTGAGTTTCTGACCCAACAGCTTGTGCCTGCGCGCTCGCTTTCGCTGAGAGGTCGAGTCCGCAAGCGGCACTAACCGTGCGGTTCTCAAGACCCCCGGCTGATCTTTCATCTGCCCGCCCAGTGGCGGCTGCAATCCCTTGTAGGTCTTGCAAGAAGGCCTGCACTGCTCGACGAAAGTCGTCGACAACCGGTCGAAGAGGGGGAGGATAGTCATCAGGATAGATCGTGATACTGGCTACTGTCGCGTGGGGTGACTCGATAGCGTCGTAAACGAAGCTGCGGAGCCGCTCGCCCTGGTCCAGCTGGTGCATCGTGATGCGTTCACCTAGACACGTCAGTGCCACTGCTTGTTCAAAAGAGAGGTGGAAGCGTGCGACCGCGCAGTAAGACTTTTCGGCTGACCACTGGATGCTGTAGCACTGTTTTTGATGATCTATCTCTAACGATCTATCGACATCGGTCGCACGCGGACAGTGGTGAAAACAGAGTAAAGAAGTTTGCAGAACAGGTCAATATGCGGATCCTACTCCTCTGCCGCCACCTCAAAAGTCGTATAGTATGAGGCGAGCACATTGTAACAAGTAGCGCGGTCTATCAGATTAGTGTAGGTTGACCAGACCCGATCGACCCGTTACAGTGGATGTGCGACCAGGCTTTGCGTCGCGCGGCCATGATTTCTAGTCCCGCACGCACGTGACTTGCTCGCTGTCGCATGGCGCAGGTCACAAGCAGGATCTTCTCACGTCGTCAAACTCGATCGTCACTCCTAAAATTGCCTGACGACGGGGGAAAATCTTGTCGAGACGACGTCGCATATACTACGAACACGACCTCCTGTGCCGTGACACCATTCCCCTGATGATACGGCTCCAATCGTACTGATCACGATGCATAAAGGTTATGTTGCTGCTGCGTTGTTCCCCAGGTGGTGCTGCGGAGAAACAAACCCCTGGATAGCATTATGATTGCGTGGTTGAAGAGGTCTGCAAATTCCTCGAGACAACTCCAGGTCCCTTAGCCGATCACACCTTGGACCACTTTGACATGCCACCAATATTGGTTATCTCACTCCACCGAACCACCCGATCTCCAGCCTGTTCGATGGACAAATCGATGTATTCCTCGGATCCTCCACTTGCCATCATCGTAGGGCACTAAAATTACTGTTCATATACCTGGCACAACCTAGCGAGAGGAGGATGACACTACCGAAGGAGTCAACCTCACACAGGGCGATAACGGCCCAGTATACGATATTTCTGATCTCGACGGTGACCCTCTCGACCTCTCTCCTTCGCGTGCGCATGCGGCCGACCCTCGTCCAATCGCGACCACCCCAGCTGCGATGACCTCCCACGAACAAGCACAGACGTTAGGAAGAAGTAAAAGAGCAGGGACACAGACACTGAAGGTGACACAAGCATTTGAAGAGGCGGAACAAGCGTTGGTGTCAAGGCAACGACGGGGGAAGAATATAGCTGCTTCAACGCCACGAAAACGGGTGTGAAAGTACCTCCTAGTCGGTGAGGAGAGAACAACATCGTACAGCTTGTATATGTCCACCTCTTTTGAACGAGCAATAGCACTGACAAGCGACGTGAGGTTTTCGCGCTGCGATGCAACACCCAGACCCAGGAGAGCAGCTCTGCGACTTCCTCCGCACTGCCATCGAGTCGCCACAAGACACCATCGAGAGTATCACGATCATCCCTGGCGACTATCCTCTTCCTCTTCGACCGGCGGTCTGCGAGTTATATCACGCAGTGCAGGACTTCTTGGACGAGCTACAAAAGAGTGCGGCGGCTACAGGCCAGATGGATGAAGGATCAGAAAGTAGTTTCGAGAAACATGTTCCTGATGACCAATCTATAGGAATGAATCTGGCCATGGAAAGACAACCTCTTGTTCCGCTGTTTGACTGAAGAAGCAGAGTCCGTTGATCCATCTCCTGGTTCTCAGTCGCGGAAGTCCTCGGTCGCTGAGGTCTGCCTCCACGTCAAGCTCCAGCGACACGTGTTTGTCGACTGGCTCTTGCGTATCTCGGAAAGGTGAACCTGAAGCATTGTGCCATGAGGTGAAGACATGGCGGGGCAGATCATGTGGGTCTGTTGCGACAAAGAGCCCACAACCAGTGCCATGACTTAGAAGCTCACCAACGACAAGCCTGCGTTTGTCGCTCCAGGCACGAGCCACTTCTTTGGCCATGGCCACCATAAACTCGTCTCGAACCGCTAGATTAGACCTTGTCTTCCTCTCCGATATGAAGTGACTCAGCCGACTGGCTAACGAGGGGTGCGACGATGCTATCCTCTGAGCAAGCTGATTCAAACATGCCCATAGGCTGTCGCACGACTGTGTGGAGCTTTGGTGGGAAGGGAATTGGTATCTTGCTTCCACGCTGCCGACCTTCAGAGCATCTGTGATCCGCCAAAGATATCCTGTGGTCGCTATTCCTTCATGACACAACTGTATATTCGTGAGGCGGCAATGTTTGAGGAAAGTGAGGGTGTCCATTCCCATTGGGGGTTGCACCGCGCTGAATATCTGCTGATGGAAGAATGCAGCGAAGCCTCGACGAAATGTTCGACAGGTGTGCTTCTGGTTGACCAGAATTTCTCCGTTGATAAGTGCCTGAACGAATAAGGACAGCCCCAGGCTGACTTCATCGTGCTGGTCTAGCGCTTCCTCGTCGAGCCGTCTGCTATAAGCACAGCAGTTGGCCGAAACGGCAAGAAAATCCCGTGGATACTTGATACGGCGTCGTTGGAGGTCTGCCATGATGATGGCCGACAAGGTATGTCCCCGGTGCCTTCCATGCTGGTAGGACGTCTGGTATCGCTCCGCTTTATGCAGTATGGTCTTTTGCACAAAGTGTTTCTGTTTCGCGTCCAGTCTAGCGTCACGTTGACAAGCCAAGGCAAAAACGGTGAGTTGAGTGCGCAGCTCGATGGCCGGTATCTCGAGCTCGCCACGCATCGTTCCAAACTCTGGAGTGTTCTGTTGTAAGCTCGGCTCGCATGGAATGAGGATGGACATCCTCCGACCTGCGCAGTATTCCTCCTGAAAGATCCAGCATCGCCGCCACCAGGGATCGGAGACGAGACGGACAAACCACTTCAGCACTCGCCAGAAGCCAGCCGATTCGAGAGACGGCGGCGCAGTCACGACAGTCTCATCTCCTGTGCCTCGAAAGAGGGATCCATCCAGCAGTGCACTCAGAGCATTCAGCTTCCACTGACGGTCTACTTTGGTCGTTAGCATGCCGACCGAGCAGGGACTTTCCGCATAGAGTCGGTCCATCGAGTGCATTGCGATCTGGTGCTTTACGGTGTCCTCTTGATCAAGACACTCGTGGTCAATCCAAAAGCCCTTCAGGTGATGATGTTGCACGTAGTGAACAGCGCGCCGCATGATCGTGTCGCGGACGACGCTGGGATGTTCGTCACCTTCGAGCGTCCTGATCCGAAAGTTCTTACATTTGCCAGATTCGTATGGTACCGGATGCCAGGGGTAGGAGATGGTAACATATTGGAACTGCTGCTTGTCGAACAGGTTTGTATCGACCTCGTGGAGGACGATAGGCATCGCCGTGTTCTCCATAAAGCTTCTTGCCGTAGCTGTTGTCAGCAAGTCGCCTGTAGACAAACATACGAGATGTTTCATCCAAGTGAACGACTTGAGTTTAGCTTGTTCAACGTCCTGGATCTCTAGCATTTGCTCGATCAGCGAGCGTTCTCGACATATCCGGTCAAGTGAAAAGCTCTTGACATCGTTCCATATGCTGTCTTCGCACGCGTATGGCTTTCCCAGTACCTCATAAGAACACCACTTGGTCTGCCTTCATATCCGTGAAAGTTCAAGTCACAGTCTTCTTTTCCGTTCCCAGAACAAGAAAAATCGAGAGCAATCCTTTCGCGGTAGATGATCGTTAGTAGCTGATCTTCTTATATCGCACAAAGCTCGTATAGGCTGAGGATAGAAGGTCATTGAGCTCGTCAAGTCATGATGCACATTCTCATGCAACAACGGCGTCCACTAAAGCCGTGCTCGGCGGCTGATGACAAGCATTGCCCTTACGAGCAACTCTTATTCTCGAGCCGTGCCAGTGACTACTCAGTCTAGAGATTTCGTGATGGCACCAAGGCAACCGGTGTGATGGTCATCCACACCAGCGATCCACCTCGACAAGGATTGAACGTTGTGCCAAGGAATGAAGTCTACGTGGCAATTATGATCACGCCGCGAAAATCTCGCCGGTTCGCTACAATTTAAGCCCGCGCTTTTGTTTATATGTGACGATTGCAAAGTGGTTACCCGTCACAATCACTTCCATCGCTCAATTACCTGACGCGATCAAATAGAAGACTGCGAGTCTCTCTGGCAAGACACGGTCTGTCCAGTATTTGAGCAAGATCGGGTTCACCACCCGATCGAGAACAGGAAAGACCAAGACCCATTTCACCGACTAACTGTTTCGAAGGTATGATAGAACGTCTTGGTGGGCTTGGTCGTGCATCTCTTGTGTTCGATTCGACGTCACCGCACAGATCTCCAGGCCGCTCTTGTCCTCTCCTGACCTCTCCTGACGCTCGCACACGAGCTCAACTTGATATTGGCGCTATTCTTCATAGCCTGATCGGTCTTGCAGCTCAAAATGGTCGTCAACTTACGAGACGCCCAACTACCTTCAACTTTGCATCTGACAAGTGCGGGGGTCTAATGTGGACGTCCGCGAACGGCAGCTATCCTATTCTTACGGTTTTGCTTATTCGTGGATTCCATTGTCTTGCCTTGTTTGGATTTCTGACAAAGCTGTCTTCAGACCTTCGCGCCAGAGCCCTCCATTGCGCAGTCTGACCGGTCAGATAATTCTGCCTTGCCTTGCCAGTGTGATTGTGACGCCGACATTGTCGAGAGATTGCGGTGGGCGTGCTTCGAGCACCACGGTAGATGGAAACGGTGGCTGCCATTCTATGGTATCACACATGTGGAGGAAGTCCATGTAAGTGACTTCAATGCTTTCTGCTTACGGCGTCACTCATGCAGCACAGTTTCAGTTTGTGGGTGTCGTTGATGACAACGGAACGTTTCCCATACGGATGGTACCCTTCGATCTTGCCAGAGTTCGGGAAGAAGTGGACCAGGTCCTCGCACTGGAACCGGATAGCATCGATATTGAGTTTGGCGACTCCTGTGACGAGTATGGATACCACAGCAAGCAGTGTGTGGATATGATGGAACATCGATCACAACCTTGCATACGGACACAAATCTCTATGGCTCGGTCTCGCCAAAGGAAAATCCAGATGCTGGACCTCCTGACAGTATGTGCGCGAAATCCATCGGACGCCAACGGTATCAGAAGTCTGGAAGGAATGGTTACGGAAAGCTGTATCTACGAAGTGTAGTGAGTGACTTTTCGTTCATCGTGAAGCAGCAGCTAACCTCGCAGTGGTCCGAATCGGGTCGTCGGACCTGTCCGCCACCAGCTCTATGACAGGAACGACGTGCTTCGCGGTCTGCACTTCACTCTCGGATGGCAAAGAGATCGGCTCTGTCGCGAGCTACCACGTAATGCTGTCGGGCTCTACTTGGCACTGATAGTCATTTGGTGTGTGTCTTCAGTTGGCAACGGCCAGCAGGAGATTGGAGCAACGCCCTGGCCTTTGGACAACTGGTGGCAGCCTGCATCGCTTTGCTCGCGTTCTATGTATAGTAGCTCTGTCATCAGATGCCTCTAACCAGTTCACAGCAGTTGACACGCATCGGACGTGGCTGAACTAGCAACGAAGAACAATGCCACGCAAATGTAGAAGTGGCAGCTCGCGAGGACGAGTGAAGCGTCCTTGGCGTACAGCGGTATAGACCCCAATCTGACAATCGATCCACCGCATCCAGTACCGATGGCTGGAGCTGCCATGCAAAGCTGAGGTCGCAATGTGATCAATCTGCCCCAGATCTTCAGTGAGAGCCTCACATCGAAGGCGGTTGGCGGATCGACCATGGCCTCTCTCGGTATTTGAAGCAGCGGTGCCACCGAAAGGAGCGGCACATTGCCTCAGCCATGCCTGGGATAAGGACTGCTGATCAGAACGTGACCCTCACGATGTTGCAGGCAATATGCATACAAGCCATAGAAAGCCTTCAACCCTTACAAGTTTATAAGAGGAGGAGTGGCACTGACGAGAAAGCAGAACTGCGTTGAGTGTGAGTGGACTCCGAGACGAACACCACTAATTGAGGCCATGGTTCACCGCCTAGACTGAAGGCTGCTGATATGGAAGCTGGCTCTTGTCTTCGCGACTGCCATCCTATGAAGAGGTAAGACGGTGCTGTGATGCCTGCTTGATTCGCCGCCGCGACTACATTAGCCAGCTTCTTCGCCCCATCTCGTCCGTTCCCCCTTCTTTTGGCAAACCGTTCAATCACACCTCGCGCTGGCTCTCTCCATATCGCAGTTTCCTAGCCGGAAGAACCAACCTGACAGCCTTTGTGTGATCGAGCTGAACCAATAAGTCTCGTGCCATCATGCACTGTTTCGCGTCGTTGAGTTTTGCCTTGCTGGCGTATCAGCAGTGGCACTCGGTCCGTCATTGAGCACCTATGGTATCTGCACCGTTCAAGCACTCGGAGAACATCTTCCGACTTGTATCTACAAGGCTGCATGGCTGTGAGTTATGCGCGGTCATATGTGCCGCGTTGAAAAGTATATCTCTTGAAACCGACGAGGTCGCGAGTCGCTCAGGCAACGCTCTTGAGGAACCAATGGAAAGTCAGGAGCGGGGTCTAGTATAAGTCACGCATGACAAGGCAAATTAACCAAATAGAGCTGCAGGTTTGCTGAGCGCCAACTTTGAAAGCGACGACGGGATCCGAGCAGCGACGTCACTGGTTGAGCAAAGTCGAATTGATGCATCGTACATGATCGAGCGACCGGGGAAAATAGGAAAGAAAAAAGGGTTGTCATTTTGTCCAACTACCAGGACACTACAAGAGCATAGACCTACGGGGGTGGCGACGAGTAGTGGATATTACAGAATGATCAGTAACGTAGGGAGTCGGTGCGGCCGCACAATCCACAAGAGCAAGGCCGTGAAAAAATATCCTGGATGTTCGTGAGTCGCCGTAGCGGGGTACACTATTGTCTTCTGCCAACAGGGAGACTCGACAGTCTCTGACGTTTGCCTTTGCAGTGTCGCGGATTGCACACCCCGGCACTATCACGCTAGCTCTTCTATCTTGTCCCATCTTCACAATCTCCAAACGTCTTCGATGTCTCACAGGCTTCTCTGTCTCCCAGAGATGCGAGAAGGTCCGACAGGACGAGGGTCGTGATGCGAATCTTGGCGAGATGGCGCTCGATCGATTTGAGTCCGGTACGCGACTGTCTCGAGAACAACTGTGTTGCACCACGAAGCTTTCCGGATTTCGTCGTGCAAGTATTCGAGGCCTGACGAGTGGCTAGGATGGAAGGCACGTTCTGGAGTTGAACCAGAACGTTATACAGAGATTTGCAGACTGCCGTTGGCATGGACACAATGTGGGTGATATCGCCCCACACGCGCCAGTCCACTGCCTTGTCCTCAACACCGAGAAGGATCCTGTCTCTGGTGGTGTCGACCCGATGCTGCGCGTGGATCAACCATCTTCTCAAGACGGTGAGACCGGTCCTGATGCTTTCGATGGCGGCGTGAGAAGCTCGTCGATCACGGATACGAGCCTGATACCGCTCCAGCATCTCGAGGACCGGATGAAAGTTCTGTTCGATCTTGCGGAAATGAGCACGGACAACGTCATTGTCGCGGTTGACCATTCTGTCTGTTTCCTCGCAGCCCACGGACAGACTGTCGATTGACCCACGCAAGGCTTGATGGGCCTGAGAAGGATTCACAGACGACAATGGTAGCCATACATGCAGTGCATGGTATCAACATGGCTCACTTCTCCGGGTGCGTTCATCGTTCTTTTGCTAGGCACCGCGTGAGTGCTGCCACGAGAAATCGATGCTGCACCGCGACGAGAATGCTCCACCGACCAGTCCGCTGCTAACAACTTCTACCAGATCCTGCTGCTGCATCTTCCACTAGAATTTGACCACCAGGAATTCATGCTGCATGCGGCCAAGAGTAGAGAACAGCTTTGATTGCTGGTCGAACAAGGCCCTGCCGCTACAGCATTCATACTAGCATGTTTCAGAAGGCGCGCCGCCGGCCGCTTTCGCCGATATCATGGCCTCCTCCCTCCCAATATTGAGGACAGCACCACATTCTGGTAGCACAGTGGAGCACCATCCCGAGGGGCGACGCATCGACTTCTGGTGGGATATGAAACAGCATGGCTTCCATACAGCGTCACCCGAAGCAAGCATGTGTTTCAGATCGCTGCGGCCAGTCTTGCGGCCTGTGCACTGACATCACGGCCACGGCCCACCCAATCTCGAGGGTAGCTTTTGGGTCCCAACGCATACCCCATTCGAAAGCGTTGCCCAGCCTCTTTTCTGCTTCGCCCTTGCCCCATTGAGTCAAATGGGCACATGCTCAGCTCTAACGTATTACGCTAGTAACGAGGTACACAGCACAGAAGAGCTTGGGGATGTTCTGCGTTCCTATCACAAAGTCGCACGCGAGAGATTTATGGACAACCTTTGCAAGCAGGTCATGGACTACATTCTGATCTGTTCCAAAAGTGGACCACTACACGCATTCTCTGCAGAGTTTTGGGGCAAGCTTGAGGCTGAGGATCTCCAACGACTTGCTGGTGAGGATGATCTCATCTCTGAACAGCGCAGTAAACTACAAGCAGAAGTTGACATCCTTGAACAGGGACGAACAGTTCTAGAGTGAAGACAATGGTACGAACAAAGGTTGCGCGAGTGCCCAGTGCCTGGCGTAAAATTATGGGAGTCTGGCTCGGGAGTCTGCACAGTCGAAGTCAGAAACATAATGCTGGTGAATTGGAGCGTCGAGCTAAACAAAGAAATCCTCGATAATCTGCTCTTGGAATTTTGCCGTACACGAATGTCATAGTAGTCTCAACATTCCCAACACCACAGAATCGGTGTCGTCCTCAGCATTCACATCGCTAATGTATCCTAGCCAGCCATTCCCAACCTTCACGAACGCAACAGGAGTCTCTGACCTACTTGCAACGGGCTCTGGGAGGAAAAGGCGGGATTCTATGACTGAGTCTTGATTCCGTAAATACCATGCTGCCTCCTTATCGACGTTTGCAAGAAAAACGGCTTTCTGGCTGTACGAAAACGGTAACCTGCCGCTCGGAAGTCCTTCTGCGATCTGATTCAGAACGACAGTGGTGCGATGATAGGAGTCCGCCGCCTAAGGAAGAGCCCACTTGCTGCTGAAGTATGTTCGCAAATCGTTTGGCCGTATCAAAGAGCTGAATAGGCCGCCTAGGACAACTGTACCACCGTTTCGGGCAAAGTCGATGACCTTGTCTGATACACTGTCCTCGACATCTCTTGACTTCGTGATGTTTCTCTTCTTGTTACGCCCGAGCATGATACTTCGAAGGGAGGGGAGATCATCGTCCGATTCTGTATCCCCTTCGAACGCGCTGTCCTGGTATTGAGATTAGGCTGTGCTGAACATGTGCTCTCGATCGGACATACATCATCACTTTGAGTCAAATCAATAACTTCAGGTTGGTATGGACATCCACCGTCCTCAATTAGAGCATTATGCTGGACTGAATCTTTCATGCTGAGACGTCTCCTGTTGCTGGATCGAAGCAGTTTCCAGGGTAAATCTTCCGAGACGCAGGGCTTGCACAAAGCAGCAGCAGTGATGGTTGCCAGGAGAGGGGATATTGGAAGGTTGCCAGCGCTTTATAGTGTACGGTAGAAGACACGATGATGGCAATGGAGATATTGGCCGATCACGACGAGCTCGTTTAGCACAGTGGTCGGATCCATGCATGTACAATGCGCCAGACATGCGGAGGCCGACTCGATCAAGCACGGCATACGACGTAAGTATTGCCAGGAGCTTGCAGAAGATGTTGACACCCAGCGCCTTGGACGAATTCTGCCCTGCCTCGTTTCTGCACTAGTCACAAGCGCTTGCTATTGTTCTGAGTTCTCTGCAGGCCCCTCGTGCGATCGGGAAATTGGCCGTGATCAGCTTTTCCCCAGCATAGATTCCACTTCTCGCTCCACGTAGATGCATTTTGCGCTGCAGTATATCGGGCCATTCTCGTTGTTCCCGCTCCACTTTTCTCTCGTGTCAAATCGATTGGTGTCGTAAGCACGGAACCCCAATGGCAAGGCAGAGTCGTCGCTGAAAGTGCGACGTGGCAGACAGAGAAGAAGTTGATCGTACGGCAACTCGCTGGGGTTGCACCCAGGTGGTCGCCCCGACCATGCTGGAAGACTTGGTCGTTGTCACAAGCACCTCGACATCATGCGAGGGTGGACGTCAGCACTGGTTCGAGGCATGGCCCTCAATCGCACCCGTCAGGTGGTGACCCAAGCAAAAGTCCCTGTAGTAGAGAATCATCAGCATATGCGCCTTGCAATGCACTGCCCCCAAAACGTTCCTTAAAGGTGTCCACCTCCATCTTCAAGGGGTCATCAACGATGTGGATACGTACCGGAAACTAAAATACCACAATCAGCTGCTGTCGACCTGCACCGCCGCGTGAGCTATCGCTAAAAGCCCAGGAAGCTACTTCCAGGACTGAATATACGCGGGAATACCGCGCAAGGGGAGCATGAGGCATTTTTGCGATTGGCAGCAGCAACGCCAACCACATTTGCAATGTAACGTCGTGCCTGCCGGGCGGTGGTACGGCTCCCAGGAGGGTCCGGTAGCATTTCGACTTGGACCGTTTCGGCAGTTGGCCACGTCGGTCATGACATCAGGAATCGGCCCTTGCGCCAGAGCCATCCAAGAAATGTATCGAAGATTTGGTGCGGGTGAGCTGACAGTCGAGCTTGAGAGAGGGGCACTGCAAAGAGTAAGGCCAGGCCCACAGTGTCAATGATTCAGCATCGGCATGGCATACTGTGATTGGTGCCCCGGCAGAAGGTGTGTCACATACTTGTAAAGACCGGAAATTTGATAGACGTCTAGACCGAAAATGTGCAGAAAGGAAGAAGAGTGGTCTTGGGCGCTGGACGGGGAAGGACTCTTTATAGACGTGGGCAAAGCGGCGAGGCAGCGCCTTCCCCGATCGGGCGGCACTAGGGCGGTGTCGGTTTAGGCCTCCTCTACACCGGTAGTCCATTATCGTTAAGCATGGCTCGTGAGCCTAGCTGGTCTTGTTCTTGGCTAGCGACAGTTATCGGGTAGTGGAGCTTCGTCCTCACCGTTGTCGCTCGAGAACGATCGTCACGGTTTCGAGGCTGCTTTCCCGGAGATAGTGGTCAGCTCGAATTGCGAACGACCTCCATCTTCGCAGACCCGTCAGATTGGCACATTGCATCCATTATTTTTGAAGAAGCTCGTGCTGTTAGTCTTGGGTGGCACGATTCTCCGGATTCCTCTTGACCACGACAACCACCACGAACAGTCGTGTGTGAGCCGCATTCGTGCCTATCGGCTTGGCGTTGTTGGGGTCAAAGGCATGCCCACCTGGTTGCAGCTTTTCTACCTCAACCAACACGACCTTCTGCAACACAATGTCTGCGGTGTACTCCATGTCGCTGACAATCTCAACGTAGTTTCAGAAATAGTCCAGAAGCTCATGGTTGCCAACTATCCTCACATGAGAAATACCATCTATGAACCGTTGCAGTCCACACAGTCAACAGTTGGATATGGTTGCATAAAGGATGTGCGATCATGCCATCCTAGATGCAGGCGAGCAGTCAGAACCAGGAACACCCTGTAAAGACTAACGATGAAGTGAATTGCAAAGAATACTTCCTTTGCAGCTTCGATCGAGGTCTAGGATGCATCATTGTCGCGATGATCGATCAGCATGGTGAGGTTGTGATGTTAGTCTCCACAGGGTGCACCGAACATGCTGGTGAGGCCACTGGAGTTTCTGCTGGAGATACTGCCTCAGACCAGACCGAATCTTCCGGATCTTGTAACATTTTGAGTTTTCCTCGCTCTCAAGGTCGTAACGTAAAGGCTTCCGCTGCACAGAGTCGGTAAGATGTGTGCGCATCGTAACCTTCTTCGTATCTCCCACGTCTCGTGCTCGGTGGTCGGTCCTGTTCAGTATGAGCTGAGGCCTAGCTTCACTTCGCCGTGCTTTCAGTCTTGAGGTTGTGCCTCAGCGCGGTCCTGTCGATAGAACTCCAGGATCGTCCAGTCGTACACGTGGTCGTGCTGAAAGCGTTGTTGGCGGAGCAGCTGGCGAAACAGGTTCCGAAGATAGCGATAGTCCGGCTGATCGTCTTCGTTCAAGGAGCGAGCATAGGTCATATATGTAACGAAAGCAGGTGGCAGTCCTTGGCAGAGCTCGTCCACGCTGACGGTTTGCTTCATCTCCAGCACGCGCCGATACTTCTCCGCTCGATTCACGGTCTTGAGGCCCTGCCAGGGCAGGGACCCGGTGACGAAGTAGATCAGCATGTATCCCAATGCTTCGAGATCATCTCGTCGTGACTGCGCTGAACACACAGCTTGGTTAGTGGAGGGTGCAAAAAGGTCAAGGAGGAGAAGCACTCACGGACACCGAGATGGGCGTTGACGCTGGCGTATCGACATGTGCCGATCAAGCTCGGTTCGCGTGGTGCTCTTTCGGATGAGATGGGCAAGTGCAGTGGCCCTGGGGCTGTGCGTGCCGTGACCAGCGGTCGATAGATGGCCAGCCCCATGTCGGTCATGTAGACGGTGTTCCCATGACGGCCTGTTCCCAGCAAGAAGTTTTCGGGCTTGACGTCGCGGTGCAAGTAGTTGGCGGCATGCAACGACTCAAACCGATGCAGCAACTGGTCGGCCAGCATCAACGTCGTCTTCAGGGAGAACGTCTCGCCACAGTAGCAGAACAGGTCTTCCAGGTTCGGTCCCAGCAGCTCAAACACCATGACCTGGAAGCTGTCCTGCCAGCCATGCCAGAACACCCGGGGAAACCCCGGCTTCGACTGGAGACTCTGGTAGACGCGGATCTCTTCGTCGAGGAGCGAAGGGTCGATCTTGCAATGTTCCAGCTTGATGGCGACCTCATCGCCAGTCTCTGCGTCGCGTCCTGTGTATGAGTCAGCATTAAGTCCGTTGGTACAATAGACGTCGTGCTCACCTAGGTAGACTTTGCCGAATGATCCTTCACCCAGCAGCTGCACGAGCTGGTATCGATCTCCGATGCGCAGAGCGCGCATCCGCTCGACGAAGTCACCCATGAGAAGGAGGAGTACATGGTGGTTGTAAAGAAGACGTTGTGCTCAAGGCAAGATAGGGCGAAGCCAAGGTTCAAATATTCCCTCGGCTAACCTGCCTTGACAATCAAAGAATGAATGCCGAGAAGAATGCGCCTGCGCTGAACCTCGGACTTCTCGCTCCATATCTACCACATGCAAACACAACCACCATCTCAATACTACACGCATGGCTACGCGCCATGCACTTCCACCAGCACAGAAGACCCTCACGTCGACCGTGCATGAAGGAGCCCTGAGGGCGACTTCGATCACGCACGACCAACCGTTTCGAGCTACGCATGCTGGTGCCTGCCACCCCATGCATGTCTCTGCAGGAAGCGCCGACCGACCTGACACGCTAAGGTATCGACTTTGACGCGGCACAGATGAGGGTCGGTGGGGGAACTTTGAGCGCCGATCGATGAGACAACTCAGCATACAAGATGTCGCACTCTCACAGCCGTCCGTCACCTGGTCACTCCTTCTCTTTCATGCCTGCGGTCGACCACAATCCATCCTCTCGCAAGCGACGCGCTCCCTCTTCATCTGAACACGCTGCTGACGAGTGTCGTCCTCCTTCTCCGAAAAGACACCAGCCTTCGCCCTCTGCTCATCGCCATTACCAACCGAGCCCTGGCTTCTGGGATCGACTTTCGCAAGTACAGCTCAGCCGGCAAGCCCTGCGAGAGTTTGACGACAGGACACGAAATTGCAGAGATCGAGCCACTCCTGCTCCTTCTAGTGCATTGCTTCTCGAGCTACCTGAGGAACCTGATATTAAGCGACTCCAGCGATTTGCCCGTCGTGGTGGTCCCGTCCTCACACATCTTCGTGGAGTAAGTCGAACTGCCACCTCCCAGCTTGCATACCATGCTAATGTTGAACCACAGTTTGCACTTGCTCCTTTTCCGATGAGTGCCTCCAGCGGTCAAAGTCTGAAGCGATCATCGGCCTCTAGTCGCACGAGATCGACGAAAACCTCAAAGACTACGCCCTACAGTGGCCAGTACGAACAGGCCTTGATCGATGCACACGTCTATCCTGAAGGCCACGATTATGATGGCGACGACGCGCCTGTCCCTACAAACTACGAAGACATCTTGCGACACCTGAGCGCGGAAAGAGCATCACTGTCTCCATCGCGCTTTACGGACGAGGACTTTAGACAGTTCAAGCGGACCAATGCCCAAGCCCGTAGCGAAACGAGGATGATGCAGAAAGTACTGCTTGGCATCAGCGGCCGAGATGATCATTGGAAGACTGAGGGGGACGTCGAGTTCAACCACATCAAGCCGTTCAACAAAGACCTTGCGGCAGCTAAGCCTGACCTGTACGACGGGGTTGCTGCCTCTAAGGTTGACAAGAAAGTGCGCGATCAGCTCGGTGACCTGATCATCCCATCCACGAACACAACCAACCCTATAGCACCCAACTTCTTCTTCGAAGCCAAGAGTGAGAAGGGTCGTGCGGATGTGGCCAAGAAGCAGGCGTGTCACGATGGAGCAATTGGTGCCCGAGCCATGCAGAGCCTACAGAACTATGGGGCCGACGAGGTGGTCTACGACGGCAATGCGTATTCATTTACCACTACCTATCTCGACGGACAATTGAAGATGTACACCTCGCATCCAACAGCACCGCAGACCACTGGGGAACAGGCGGAGTATCATATGACACAGGTCAAGGCATTCGCAATGACGAGCGATCGAGAGACATTTCAGAAAGGCGCCACCTACTATCGCAATGCCCGCGACCTTGCTGGCGCCCAGCGAGAGAGCTTCATCGAGCAGGCTAACAAGCGTGCGGCTCAAATGCTGGCCGATACCCCATCTAGCACGCATGTCAGCAGCCATACGTCTCTGTCCATGTCGGTGCCTCTGGAGGGCGACTCAGACACCTCGGTAGATGAGCTGGCCCTGAGTCCAGCCCGTTCCAAGCGTTCTCGGCATGGGTCGACACAAATGAGACGATCTGACTCAGTCGTGGCTGCAGCGGTGCCAGGTTCACAAGAGTTGTTCGACACGCAAAGCACGCAAGACACGGACACTAGCTTCCGTACAAGTCGATCCCAGCGACAGACTCCATCCATCACACGGTCACCAACAGAAGTCACTCCCTACAAGGCGAAGCTGAAGCAGAAGCTTGGACGATCGTTCGAGCGAGGGGAATAGCTGGTGTTTGTGCCTGACGAGGAATGGCAGCCCGCCACCATTTCAGGTCGAGCAGCGTTGTTCAATGACAAGTACAACGTATATTGTTTTGACTGATTAATCTGCAAGAAGCGCTCGGAACTGAGTGCCGTTCATTTTCAGGACTGACGATAATATTGAGGAAGAGAGAAATTTGTGTCCTGCTATCGAGTGTCGGTAGACCCAAGCTGTCATCATGTCTGTGCGCTTGCTTTGCAAGTAATGCATTGCATAGCCGTCCTTCAGTCTTAGTGCCAGGAAATTGAACGTCGTCGATGCCTCAGCTTTCAAATTGGGCATCGACAACGGCGTCACAGCCAGTGTCTCACTTCTTAGATCGGGTACAGCATGGCTGGCTACCCCTGACGGATAAATGTGCTCGTTCGAGTGCTTCAGGTCACACACGGAGTCGCCAACTTCACCATCACGGGCTGTCTCTGCCACCACTCCGTGGTGACGTAGTTGGTCTCGTCCGATGGTGGAGAGGAGGAGCTGCGACAGAACCGAGGTGGAATAGTGCTACCAATACGGGCGTACCTGAGGCCGACGAGTGACCTTCACATTGGGTGGTGGTGCTCATCATGTCCCCACCACGGCCACCAGAACGGTCGGAGCAACGATGAAACACACTAGTGCCCCCCAAGAGGCGGATCATACTGTCGCAGGCACTGTTGCCACCAGAATTGGACACAAAGTCCATGTATGCCATCCACAAGAAGTCGCGGATGCAGAGGACAGATAGCCCCCAATATGTCACCAGGTCAGAGAGTGTTGCTTCCTTATGGAACCGAGGCACCCTGTCAATTCAGGGCCCTCCTGCTCCTTGATGCTGCAGGGTCAATTCGATGCCCACGTTGGTGGTCATTCTCTACTAGCAGTGCCACTTCGTGTGGGTGCGCTGTATGATAAGCGGTGCGAATGGTAGGGGTGCGAGTCCTGTCGAAGCGAGTCCTATGCCTTGCCAGTTGTGATGCGGCAGCTTCTTCTGCGGCCAGCACTACTATGTTTCACAATTGCTGTGGCCAATCTCGTGACTTCCATGCCGATATCACGAACATGCTGTCTTGAAGAGTCATCAGTGCCTTTCCGGATGCCAGGTGTGTTCTTCCCCCCAGCATTTTCTTACCTCCTTCCAGTGCAGTATATCTGCTCATGTAACGAACACATGCTCAGCCCGAAATAGCCGCTCCTCCTGCCACCTAATCGCCAACTGTAAGAATCGCTTGCATAGCATCATGTTTTAGCATACTACAGAGTACGAGTATATGACTGTCACTTCCGTATGCCGCAGCCAGGTACAGGCTGCGGTAGGCGCTCAACAGCACCACCTAACGCAAGCCCGTATGTCTGCTTGAAGAAGAGACGCGTTCACTGTCTCGAGTTGTCCTGTACAGATAGTGAGGACTCTGAGCATTGTGCCAGCTACTAGGCTCTCCTTTTCCTTGAGCACCAAACAGTTTACCGTTGATTATAATCGGATGCTAGCTTGGGGACTACCCGACTTCGCATTTGCCTGCCCGAAGGCATATTCCGGGGCTTTAAGGTTGGTTCCTACGCTTTTCTTCGCATATGATTCAGCCGGCCTTGCCGGCTCAGGTGGCTCAACTGCGAGGCACATAGCGCTCGAGATCTGCCGCTCTGGTTGTTGCATCTCTTGTGGCAGGCAGAATAGGAAAATGGTGGTTGCCATTCTGCTTCGCACCCATTGATCGCTTCAGCCGTATTTGGTCCAGTACTTGATACTTGATGATACGCGTTGTAGTCCGTTACAATTAGGTCTCCAACGTCCTGAACCAGAAGAGAGTACTTTACCTTCCATAGGTCTAACTGACGAGGGCTGATCACAGGGTCAGCATGGCGGATGAACTGGTCAAATGTGTAGACCGAGGAAATTGGATCGGCTATACAGGCTTCCAGCTTGTCAGACTCCCTCGTCGGAACAATAACCCATATCTTCGGGTGTCCTTTACGTAAGATATTCGTGGATAAGAGGTTCATATCTTCTTTGTGCAGGAAACCGCAGCTTAGCCCTGTGCTAATATACACATAGGGAGTATTGATCCCGGGTAATGTAGCCATGGTCGTAAGGCGATCTGATGTCCTCATAGCATTCATCGAAAGGCCGGTATCGATACGGTGTTGGAATTCGCTCGCTTCTGCTATGAAACAGGGTGAAAGCTCTTGGGGTGCGGCAAAGAAGTGTTCGACTCAGGCTGAAGCCGTTTCTCCATTCCAGATTTCATCGTGGAGCTCTGGCGTTGTGAAAGGCCGATCCTCATTTACATCTTTGACGACGGCGCTACATTCACATAACGACCCTGTGTGTATTGTCTGCTTCTGCACCTCGCCGAGATCGACTAGAGGTTTCGATTGGACAGTCGGAGCGGCCTCATCGACTGACGTCTTGGTGTGACCGTCGATAATCTGCTCCGACAGGGGCGTCACCCAGGCACGATCCATCTCCACATAACCTCGATTGAAATTGACCGTCGACAACGTATCTAGGGGATATTTATGTTGGATGGTAGAAGACAGCAACTCTAGAGATTTAAAACAGCCAATACAGCGCGTTCACTTATTCACCTTTTGGTCGAAGCGTTCGATAAAAGTGTCAAACCGAACATTTCCGATTCGCTTAGAGCTTAGCCCCGACGCCATGTGGTTCGACGCAGCAATGGTTCCCAACGCGTGTCTCTCTTATTAGCTCCAGAGTCAAAGTAGTCCATGCTAGGCTATTTCTGTGGGCGCATCAGTCTTCGGTATTCACAAGCCAAATCTAGACGATCTCCTTTGCCTTGGCAATGATTTCGCTTCACTATGTGCATATTGGGCAAGTACGTTCCTCTCTCCTTATGTATTCGACTCCCCTCCAGGTCCGGTCATTTTCACCACGAATCGACGGATTTAGAGGCATCCACGGGCCAAGCTCCGAAGAGTAAGGGTGGGTTCCTAGCAGAACCCATCACTTTCGTTTCAGTTGCAGTAGCTTACAGATCTCCCGTAGCCAAGTCTCTCAGCTCCAAAAGCGAGCGTGTTCCGATGGTATGGTCACATAACTGTCAGCTGCTCAGTAAGTTTACGCAGCACGTGATAAAGCAAATGTCATGCGCAATCGTCTTTTATCATTGTCTTCTCTGGTAGTCTGAAGCTACACTGGTGTACCAGCGGAGACTAAGTCACATGCACCTTATGCCTTTTGGATAGGAGCTGAGTTCGAGCAAAAGCATGTGAACGCCTATGCTAGTGTTGCTTACGCTCGAAGAGGGTGGAACACCCATGAAGTAAGGAATACTAGGCAGCTACGGTGTCGGTTACTGCGGACCCGCCAAGGTTGCATGTCAGTTCGGAAAACATATCGGGATCCGACTCCAGCGAGATGAAGTGTTTCGATTATATTCCCGCAGTGGTGAACACACTCTTAGGTTACCATATCAGCAACAAAGAGAATCTTATTTGTGTCATAGTGGGCCTCAAGTTCTGCCGTAATGAGAATAGTGCAGCCTTCCCAACCAGCTCCGTTAACGGAGCAATCAGCTTCGAAGAAAAAGGGAAAGTGCGACAATTTTCCGCCCAACCCACTACGTTTCGAACTTCAAGTTGTTGCCTTGTACCACGTCGTAGGAAGAGGTATACGAGCGAAGGGCAGTACAAGAGCAATTCCTTGTCTCCTGAGATCCCACGCATCTGCGAACCTCACTTTGCGTTCACATACTTGAGACTGAGATTCAAATGTGAGTTGGATGTCCTCTCCGCATACCCTCCACCGTCTGAGAGCGGCTCGGGTCTTGCCCACATCGAACCATTTTCCTTTACACAGTGCCAACAATGCAAGGGCCGCATGATGTCCGACCTGGTTCCAGTTCGCCTCGGAGGAAAGATCCCACCTCTTCAACATCAGCTCAAGCTGGTCCTGAGCAATCTTACAGTGAGCAGACCGATTACTGTCGACGGCGAGGTACTCGTGGGGCTGACACACTCCGAGATCTGAATGCTGATAGCCAGGTATGGACTTCTGGAAATCTTGGATTCTGAATGCCACTGTGTCCGCTGGCCGAATGATCAGCCATTTGTCCTCGTACAGCGATATCGCATGGTCGATGATGGATAGAGTCTTGAATTCTCCTTCCACCTTGATGCGCCTGTTGGATGGCCTCGGCATATCGCGGTGTAGCAATGTCGTTGGCTCGCAGACGGTAGACGGACCACCTGGCATTGTGCAGGGCTCGATACTGTGTGGGGTGGCTGCGACGTCCGTGCTCGTCGATGTGAGCACTATATTGACTTTTGGCACTTAGAACAAATTGCACTTTGTTAAGTCAATCTCGACCGTTTCGTACGTGAGATGGGAGAACGAACGTCCAATAGCCGTTGCACTTAGGCTTCCACTCACAGACTTGCTCCCGCCGACATTCACAACAATAACAGAATGGTGAGCGGCATTGGCTACACACAACTTTTGTGTCCTTCTCGACTTCGGCAGTCCCTTGACGAGAACACACAGTACAGTGGACTGGAAGTCGGCACCAAACCGGATAGCACCTTACTCCTGTACTGCGCGCCTGTGAGACCATGGCCGTACTGGCTGCAGACTCGGTTGAAAGGAACATGTTATATGGCGGTCTGTGGCAACATTTGACGCGGTCTTGACCTGTGACACGTTGCTAGAGCAGTGAGCGCGCCAACCAATCACACAGGCTAGTGTTTGGCGTCCACTCACGCGATAAGTCAAGTGGCAGGCAGGAAGGGTAGGCAGGGTCCTCCACTACTCAAAAGCCAGTCGTATCCTCATGATCTTGCGTAGTGTTCATCACGTCTGAAGCATAACCTCCAGTCATGGATCGAGAGAACCGCCTTCAAGCGGTCGAAAGCAGCATAGCATACAAGCAGCGTGAGCTTCTCTGTAAATGTGTGACAGAACACTTGCACACAGACTCCGGTGCCGATCAACCAATCGAGCCGGAGCATGAAGACATCATCGCACATGATAAGCCTCTCTACGAATATGCTTTAAAGCAATTACGCACAGACACGGGTGCCCATCAAGAAGTCGAGCCGGAGCGAGCAGGCATCATCGTACATGAGCGGAGCGAGCGTCTTTACGAACCCGTCCACATGGACTTTGATCACTCCTTTGCCGCAAGAGCCTGGTGCCTAGGACATGACGGTCCAGTATCTAGCAGAGGGAACGGAAGGTACGATATGCTCGTGACTTCCGCGAATCGAAGTGCTTACACCTGACTAGATACCAGCAAAGAGCACACGCGCATTACGAGCCAGAAGATAGGAAGCAGCCTTCCACCTTGAAAATGGGAGAAGTGCGGGAAAGCATCGACGCAGTGCTCGCAGCGGCTGCAGAGAGGGAAGATTTGGAAAGGCGATCACCAGCCTGCCGAGTTCGCCGCTAGACCACCCATCTGATGTCGGGTGTCTAGCTAGTAGTGGAGATACGTGCCTGAAGGCGTTGTTTCGCCGAAGCTTCACAATCGGCTACGACGCGTGCAAAGCAGATAGCAGCAACGTGCCTGACGAGCCCAACCATCCCTGTCAGCCTAAAACTTTGCGTGGCGCGTTGTTTGCCTTCACAGCTGCCACGTCAGGATCGATCGGAGGACCTTCATCGACAGCCTCTTGTTTCTCTTGGTTAGAGGAACGCGTCGAAAATCACTCCACTAAGTCTACCTCACGCTCGACTTGAATACTACGCGTCAAAACAGTGGCGTGCTTCTCCAGCATGGGACGACAAGTGTACAAAAGACAACATCGCATCCGAGCAGTCTACTTCACTTCTTGCCATCATACTCCGACGCAGGAGACAGCAATCTAGCACCATCAACTTCCTGGACAACCCCCGGCGACGAGCCTTGCTATCAACCATGTCCAACCAAGAGGGACCGTGGACGGTCCCAACCTGCTCCACTGAGCCACTGCATAGATTACTCGACTTCGATCGTTACCAATTGCGTTACGAAGAGGACACTGTGCCTGTTCACGTAGCTCTTCACGACACGACTACCTCTCTACGACACTGTCCCCACAACGAATACTCCCTGTATCTTCACGGTTTTTATCAGACCATCGCAGCGAGATTCCTGCTTACGATCGAGAAGACGAGCGATCTTCACCAACAGCTGGTGTGCACTTCATATAGCACACACACTCAGGGCTATTGGAAGACCTTACTCAGCCTCAATCGATCATACAACGACGGTGTCTTAAGCGACTATGACATTAATGTTGATTATGTCTACCTCATGGTGCGTGGACTCTCGTGCCTTCCAGTACCGTGGTTCTACATGACGCCCAATCATCCCTTGCTTGCCAACCTCACCCGTCCTCCTGCTCGGCTGAGCTTGCCCATGTCGCCGGATACGTCAAAGGCTCTAGTGGTTACCGAGATCAACAACGGAACAGCGTATGAAGAGAACAACAAAAATGAAGGTGGCGCAAGCGGCGAAAGTGATGAAGAAGGACGATATGAAGACGAAGGTGGCGCAAGCAGTTCGGCTTGAGAGACGTATGGTCACAACGAGTGGAGCGATCGCTTTATCGTATGTAACTCATGCCCTTGTTCAAGACAGGAAGGAATGTTATGTAGCGAACGCTTTGCGCGTGCTTGAAGCTCATTACGGGGTTCCTCCTCTGCCAAACATTGAAATGGGGAACTTCTTGACCCGGCCAGAGGTGTTTTTCCAAGGTGCAAGGTAAGAACGAAGCGACGTAGGTGGGAAGCCTTGTACAAGATGTGAAGCGCCTGTGCCCGTTCTGAACATAGACAAGGTACTATCAGAATCCTTGATGACGATGGAGATCCGTGCTCCTGTTGCCTCCGCCAGTGATTGAGCCTTTCCCACAAGGCATTGTTTCCTCTGTCGTATCTGTTCGGTGCACCCCTAACCAAGCAGACGCACGGCAGCGGCGACTGTCGGCGGCTTAGAGCTTCCGTCACCCCACCATCGAGGAAGGCCAGCACATAAAGCCTGCAATGCCCGCAAGGCTCTGAAGCGATGAGAGAAGACTGGCAGGATGGATGTCGAAAGATTGTTAAAGTCTGAGCTCCTGCCATACTAGCCGCAGCTAACTAATCAATCGGCAGATACTGCCATGAACAAGTGACAGCGCCAAAACTGCTTGGCTCTCGCCAAGGCCTCTTTCGAAAACGATGATCTCACCTATGCGATCGTTTGGTCCGCTTCTCGGCCCTGTAGGCGTCGGGATGTTTATTTTTCATGTGTCTGAGAAGAGCATCCTTCCTCGTGTACATTTTGTCTCCATCACACAGATCACACGGAAGCCGGACCAAATTGTGAATCGAGCGCTCGTGTCTTTGCAGATCCCACGGCCTCGCGAACTCAATGTCGCATGGCTGGCCACTCCGAGGATCGGTACGATCACAACGATTTCGTGAGTTGTACGAACAGATGAGACCGAGCTCTTTGCATATAGTGCAGCCCTGGCTTCTTCCATCGCACTTGCTCCCTTTTCGAGATTTGCATTGGTCACAGGTTTTCAAGCTTGTAAAATCCGTGTCGAAATGACAATCACGGTTCTTGCTCACATTTGTAATCCTGCAAGTACAAGCGAAACATTGGTTGGAAGGAAAGGGCGATCAGCCAGGTCGCTCAAGCCGTCTTCGCTGAAGCCAACGTCTATCTTGCCCGCATGGCAGCTGCCGCAGGCATGAAGATCCTGGATACAGTTCTCATCTGCCCATGGCGACCCCGAGCTGAAGACTATGCAGGGCGAAAGAGAAAGAGAGCGTGGAATTCAGCGCTCGGGTAGTGCGGACTGCGTCGTGAATAGACGCTTCGCGTGCTACGGCTGAATTGGAGTGCAAGCGTGCGACCATTATCGTGTGTATGGAAGACAGATGTCCCGCCGATAGAGCTTTGGGATATCAATCTATCAGTCAATCCTGCTCAAGGAGACTACGGGGTTAGCGGAGTAACAGCCTCAGACCTCACGTTCCATGCTGTCTGCTGACGCCGTGCTGATGCGCACAAAGTTGTGCCGCGGAGGCCACCACGATGTGATGGGAATGAAGTTGAAACCAGAAGAGGACTGGAGGTGCAGCCTAGATTCGCGCACGCAGATCAAACTCTTCCAGCTTCCTTCTTAGCCGGTATGCCGAGGTTGTCCCACAGTCAAGTCACAACTATCCGCCCTTGGCATTTGCAAGCCTCGCTGAGACAATGCTCACTACATACCTATCATCGACGCCTAAGGAACAGGCCGCTGCTACTCCGCAGAACTTGCATCATGGCCCGTCGTCGTTATCGACAAGAAGCATAACACCATCTTCGCCTCAAGCGCATGGCGCCAGACAACTTCGTCAAACGAAGACCACGCCTACTACGAAGTACGAACGTACAAAGATCTGCATTATGAGGAACAGCACAGCGGGCCGCGTCAGTTCCAACACGCACACGTACACCGGCTGCGACAAGGAAGGCTTCATTCAGGAGATCAAAGCGATGGACGAGCTTCAGAGCTTCTAGCATACCAGCACGGATACCGATAGCATGCAATCCCGCGCGTACCGCAAGACAGTCACAAATAAGATTGTAGGACAACATACCAGCGCAACAGCCGTTCCACGATGAGTCACTCCCGCACAACCAGTAGCCTAAACATCTCCGGGCAGCATGTGAAAAGTAGAGACACCGATAGAGTCCTTGCCTACCCGATGAAGGGGCTTCAACCGTCATTGTGGCAGAACTATCACACCGCGGATGCGGTACGGACGGACAAGACAAATTACAGCCATGTAAACGCTGTTGTGGAGTACCAGTACTACCCGATACCGATACTCGGACCGTCATTGAGCCAGGAATTCCACGCTCGGAAAGCGATTCCAGCACTGCATGGAACCTTGGGCAGCCTATCTCTATCACGACAGCGACAGGAGCGAAGCAGGCTCACCACTCGGCTGACGAGGAGTCTTACATCAGAATAGCACACTAACTCACGATGATGCCGGTAGGCCGAGCTTAATGCTCACGACTCTAGAGTGATTGGCAGCCCAAAACACGCACAAATAACTCACGGGACTAGCCTTTTCGGGAAAAGCGTGATTCCCGGCCCAGATGCGAGTCTTCTAAATCCCGGTCACTGAATAAAGCTCCTACAGCGCCACAACGGAGAACACTTTCGACGGCGCCAATACCTGTCGACGTGCCTGGATGCTTCAAAAGCCTGTTTCTAGGGTTTCGTGAATGGAATGAATGGACCCTCGCAGAACGCACCAAAAACTTTGTCCGTTTATCGGTAGGAAAAAGCTGTACTTCCCGCAATTGGCTCTGATTACTGATAAACACAACTGCCAGTGCATTATTGAATGTATAGTGCTCAGAATGGCCAATACCGGTGCCCTCCTCGCTATCTTGGCCAGAGAATGGCCTGAAGTTGTGGCCAGTGTTTCGCATTAATCAGGAATACTGTCGCCACATCGTTCATGTTGTGAATGCCTTCTTGTATCGAGACCTCTCAGAGCGGAACCCGGAAATATGCATCTACAAACAGGACACCAATGTCGAAGTGCCTTCCCTCCAAGGTCTAGCGTAGCCACAAATGGGGAATCTTACACACAGCGTCATGATTATTACGTTGGCAGGCTTGCTGCTGCTGCCGCATACATAAACGACTCATTACCGTCTCGATGATCTCTCAAATCTCAACTCATTTACTACACTCACCAGACAGTTGAAAACAAACTTATCCTCAATCTCAACATACGAAAGCTTTCAAGATGGCATGCGGTTGTGGACCTGGAGGCGAGAAATGTCCCTGCAACGGGCCAAAATCCTGCACCTGCTCCCAGAGCTGTAAATGTAAGGATTGTGGGGTAAGTGAGAAATCCAAACGTTGCTCTCGTGAGAAGGCATCAATTTCTGACTCATGAAAAGAAATGAGATGAAAGTTCCCTCGATGGAATGATTGCTCCGAGAACATTCGCCGTTTTGTGATCTTGGAAAGCAGGGGTAACTCGATCGCTTTGGGTATGGAGCAATATCGCAAAGATGGAGAGGGAGGAAAGAAGAGTGGTGTTGTTTCGCACAGAATCTCGCTAAAACAGTATCTACGCTCATTACATTATCATAAATAACATTGGTCGTAACGACCCTGAAGATCAACAATATTGCATGTGAAGGCAGATTTCTAAGTGAATGGGAAATGCCTCTGAGCACCATGATGGAATCACACACCACGTGCATCGCGTAACCTTGCCGGTTGTGCTCGAGGCTGCAGGTCACTTTGATGTGTCCGCCATAATTATGGCCTGCACATAGTGGCATGTACTGACACGACCACACCGTCGCTGCAGCATTGTAAATATTCTCATTACGTGTTCTTGACTGGCCAAACGTCTCGTATAGACATTTTCTGGAGTCACTGACCGACCCATCAATTATCTCTTGAGCCATCACCGTCTACAACACGCAGGTCAGAAGGAGGAAGCCGCATAAAGAAGCAAAACAAGGCAAATAGGAGTAGGTTTCCTATTGGGCAGGATTAAGGTCGCGATTCTGTCAAGAGGTCGAACCCTCGCCCTCCTACGCATCATAAGAAACAGATCACTCTGGTACTTCTGGCCTGATGAATTCACGTAACAACTGAACGCGTGACCATCGGTAATGACTCTCGACATAGATCGCGCCAACTATCGCATCCTCCAAACACAACTTGCTGTGGCAAATGATGGTTTGCAACATCACTGAGCTGCTGCGTGCAACAGTTGGAGAATCTTCACAGTGGTGAGGTCCGTGATCCGTTGCGTCTTTTATGCGTGTTTCTTGGCGACTGTGATTACCCTTGTCTCAGGTTCCGTCTTCGTCGGAAAACCGCAAATGCCACTATCCAAGGGAACCTGTGATCAATTGGACGGATGCAGATGATTATACGAAACTCACTAGTTGTAGCCTCTCGGTGGGCCAATCCTTTGTCAAGGACAATGAGGAGGCGAATGGCGTAGTCGTATGCACAAACGCTTCCTGATGCCATGAAGATGCGAGAACAGCTCTAGGCCTGCTCGGAACCTCTTGTATCCTGTCCTCAGTCTGGTAGAGTCTTGAGCCCAGAGATACAGGCCTAGCCTATAGCAATCACTCTCATGACAGCAGCAACTAATTTATCATATATTAAGAGCCATAGTGTCTTAATTAAGTGTCCATTCCGGTCTTCTTTCGTTGTGTCCAAGTGCATGAGTATCTAGCGCCTGCCACCATGTTACCTTTTAGCGTTGTAACATACATCCTGCTTCTTAGCACATTCATATCCTCTGTGCTCGGCATCACTTCTCTCAATGGGACCACGAGGACATGTTTCGTGGCTGCAGTAGAGCGGGATTGGGATTATATGCCTACGTTTGTTATTTTGTCAACAAAAAACAGGCGGGGCCAGCTGACCAGTTTAGTGGTATGGACATGATGAATGGAGTGCCTATCGAAGACTCTCCCGAAGCTGCAGCAGTCGCAGGACACAATGGGCAATGAATCGGACATGTGTACAAAAAAGCCCTCTTCCGCGAATATACCGATGAAAGCTTCACCACCGAAGCACCACGTCCAACTGTCTGTGGATCGTGAACATTCGTTCTGTGGACGTTGGCTAATTTTCTCGACAGTGGCTGGGCATGCTTGGTCCGATTATCCGCGCAGAGGTGGGCGATACCGTCAAGCTTGTCTTCCGCAATATGGCGTCCCACAATCACACTATGCATCCGCATGGATTTCGTTATGCAAAGAGCAGCGAGGGACAGTCTAGCGCCATGCAAATGTCCGATGGTAATGCTGTTCCACCAGGCCAAACTTGGACATACACATGGGAAGCACCAGGTAAAGCATTCCCATTCATTTCAAAGTCAATACTAAATAGAGGTCGCAGAACGTTCTGGGCCCGGCCCACTTGATCCGCTCGGGCTTGCTTGGACGTACCACTCTGACGCCGCAGGCACGCAAGATGTCTTCAGTGGCCTGGTGGGTGCTTCCATTATATATCGTCGGGGAGAATTGGCCAAACATACTCTAGATGTTCCAGCTCCTCCGGGGTCGGGTCTGATCGAGGAGGTATTGACGCTCTTTCTGATCGTGGACGAGAATGAATCATACTACATCAATGAGAACACTCTGAACAAGACCAGCATTTCCGAAGGACAGCTTCAGGTCAATCGAATGGATCCTAGCTTTCAAGAAAGCAACTTGAAACACACGATTAATGGTCTCGTGTTCGGGAACCTCATGGGCATCAACCTTACGGTTGGTACACGGGCAGCCTGGCACGTCGTAAGTGGTCACTCCGCCACTCCTTGGGAGGCACCATGGCTAATATCACGATACAGGAGGCCCTTGGTAATGTTGTGAATATGCATACGCCTCATTGGCATGGTAACACACTTGCGTGGGCACAGCAACAAGCAGGCTTTCTATCCATATTCCATACTCCATATGGAGCTCTATGATTATGGATTATACAATCTGTCTCGTATGGAAACTTATTCCATACGTATGGAATACAGGGAATGACGTCATACATCAGAACTTTCATCTGCCAGAGAATCTGGTGTTGAGGCTCGCCATTCGGCCCTTGTGCCCGCGTCTACCTGTCTCTCCTCCACCAGCTCAATGGGAATGCCCTGGGTGATGCCGCTTTTGATCCAGCTCTTCAGACATTCTCCCCTCTCAATTGTCCGACTTCCAAGCTGGCATCTGTCCCAGGAGATTGTACGGCGTGCACCTGAAAAGACGCGCTCAGGTTCGGCGGACATAGCGGGTATTGAAAGGACATCGATGGCCATTTTTGCAAGCCGCGGATATCGTTGTTGCTGCTCCTCTCGGAGCCACCAAACGAGCGCTGAACAGTCAATGGCGATTGGAGTTTGGGCGGTAAAAGATTTGTATTCGTCGTGTGCGTTGATCGCAGGACCAACGACATCAAGCTCTTGTGCGAGTAGGTCGTACTCATCTGGAGGCCGTGACTGGTCAATCAGTTCAGGCGTGGTGGTGGCGATTGGCAACCCTTGGTAGTGATCCTCCCAATATTTCTTTACCGCATCAAAAACTGGCTTGTGCCATGTTTTTGGCCAATTCTTCTTGATGTGGGCAGTACGCCGTGATGGATGGAGGATCATGGCCGCGCCATAAGCAGGGCTCTCATCCGTGAGTTGATAGTACTTGTCAAAGATAGCCCAAGAGACGGCGATGCAGCTGCGCAGCGGGTGGTTGTCTTCGTACTTGTTGAAGGCTTGAGTGTAGTGTCGGTGGAGGACGTCCATGGTAAAGAGCGTTCGATCGAGCGTGGCGTAGCGGCCCTCTGTAAGCTGGGTTATCCTCCAAAAAGGCTGAAGGAAGGAGCGCGTCTCTCTCAGCGTCCGCCAGTCCTCCGGTGTTAGATAATCCTCCTGTAAGCTCTCATAGTACCTTTTCTGGTACCATTCGACATGCTCTTGCAGATCAAGCACGACGTCCAAAAGAACAAACCATGAGTTCCAGCGCGTGTCATTGTCAAGCACCAGTCCTCTCCCAGCATGTTTCTTAAACAGGTTCCACCTGTAATCGTTGTCTCGCATATGAATCGCGGTATTATGGACTTTGCCAAGAGGGCCCAAACGTCGCCAACCAAGCGCCTTTTGCACCTTGAACCCGTCAACAAAGTCGGCCCCGAACGCGGCCTCGTCGCCCTCTTCTATCTGCTCCAGGGCCGCTTGGACAGCTTCCTTGGAATCCATGAAAAGGAAGGCTTGTACAGCGAGGTTGATAACATGGCCGTGGCACCGAATGCGCTGCTTCTTCGCGTCCCAAATAATGCCTTTCCCGTTCAAGTTTTCGCCGAGCAAGCGACAGACTTTGTCGTTCGAACCGTGATTATCACCGGTGTAGAAGCCAATCTTATGCCAAATATTGTAATCTTGGAGGACGTGATGAAGAAGCTTCCATTGTTCAGCTCCACCATGGCTACCGGGACCATCCAGTCCTGGCAGCTCTGAAAGAGCTAGTAACGCTTGCAACGTCTCTTTGGTGTCGGGATCAACAAATTTGACACAGGTTCCTAGGAAGGCTTTGTGATTGGGAGCGGACCAGACATCAGCAGATAGGTGAAGCTTCGAGAGTGAGGATTGAAGCTTCCTCCGTAAGATGTCTTTGTGGACGCAGTAGGAGTTGGAAACGAGCTTTTGTATCGAGCCGTGCGACAGGCTGACTACGTCCTTTGCCGTGTAGTTAACAGCGGAAATAAGCGCGTGCAACTCTGGCCACGAGCTACAATTATAAGAAAGATTGCGGACAGTCACAAGCTGGACGAGGGCCTCCAAAGCAGCTTTCTGATTGACTGCTGCCCTCAGAGTCTCGTCCTCCTTTACCGATTGCTGTATAGCATTGATCTCCCCAGCTTTGGCGAAGGCGTCCTTTATGAGATTATCACGCTGCTTCTTGATCGGATGTTCGTTGGCTTCTAGTTCAATCTCGTGGACTCTGAGTAGGTGATGACGGAAAGTCGTTGATACGGTTGTAGAATATGTCGGATCCACACAGTGCTTGCAGTAATAGATTTTCTCGTTCTTTCGAGCGCAGCGGACAGGTTCCGAGTTCTGCGGCGCGCGTGCGTGAGTCCAGGTGTTTGCGGTTGCCTTGCGCTTTCGAGTGTTTCGGCTGGTAGAAGATGGATTTTGGAGCGTTGACGTGGCGGAGGAGCTAAGCTCAATGGTCGACAACACGGACGACTGACGGTTGCTGGACGCGCCCGAAGCTTCGAAGGACTGCCTAGAAGCCATCACGAAGTAAGGACGAGACACAGCGCGTTGATATTGACAATACCAACGAGTTAGAATGCTGACATTCCCTAAAGCTACCCCTGCAGCACACGTTCGTGCCGGAACAACGCTGTTCCGGAGTATTTCCATACTTATGGAATACGGCAATCCCGTATGGATATGGATTATGGAGTATGGAAAGTTCCATATGGATTAGCTTATTCCATACGCTTATGGATAGAAAGCCTGGGCAGACAATCGAGTGGCTGGCGAGAAGTCGACCGGGTCAAGCAACCACTGACCGACCGGTGACATGTTGATAAAGTGCATGTGCATTGTACATAGGGCTCCGAAATGAATACGAATATTCATGAATATTCGGGGAAAAAACGAATACGAATACTGCGAATACGAATAATTGCGAATATGAATATGCCATCTATTCATATTCGCCATATTCGGAAATAAAACGAATATTCGCATAAGTGGAGTCATACTAAACGTCAAACCATCTGCACGAAATATTGTTCGGGTACAAAACCAGCAGATATTTTGTATAGTCGCATTGGAAACTCAACAATGGATCATGTATGTCCTTAAGCAGGAGTATCGTAATGGCTCTTCAACAAGACTAGCCACCGCATGGTCTCTGCATTCATGGAATGCCTACGCAAACCCAACACGTCCCTTGCGCCACTGAAGATACGCTCTGCACCGACCTCAGTTGACGGTACTGGGAGATAGTCGCGAGCGGCACGAGCCATTGCTGGAAACTCAAATGCATTAGCCTTCCACCACTTCAAGACCCAGTCGTCAGCACCATCTTGCGCACAGCTGTGTGACCAGCCGACCGGTGGGCTCTCGAAATACTTGTTAATGTCGGATACGACCAGAGGGTTTCCAGGCTGGATACGTCGAAGCGTCTTCCAGAGCGTGTCTGGCATACCGTTCGGTTGTCTTGGCTCCTCATGAGGAATGGTCGTTATTGGATACTCCGCGGCAAGAAAACTCCTGACCTGCGACGTAATGACGGAGGCGTCGTTGCCGTTCATGTGAGCTTCAATCAGAGAGGTCTTCATTCGGGGATCGAGGACGCTCGCCACATAGTACAAGAGGTTTTCATCCATCTTCCGTATGAACTTGTCCGCTTTCTCCATCGCACGTTGCACACATGCCTGCACTGTGGCATGCACACCGTGAAAATCACCCTGCGCCGCACGCACGTCTGAAAGCAGATCGTCCAGGCCCCAGTAGATGGCGAGACTGTCCGCAATGGTAGGCATATCCCTTGACACCACATTGGTGTATTCCCAAAATGGCTTGAGGACGGTCTCCATCTGTATCAACTATGTCCAATCTTCCTCAGTCGGCAAAAGCATTTCGATTTCGGCGTGGGTTCGGACATATTGTGTCAGCTCCTTGCGTAGTCGCAATGCATCGGTAATCATGACGAAGGTTGAGTTCCATCGTGTCTCAACATCGTAGCTGATTTGCTTCGCAGGGGACAATCCTCGCCATGCTTGCAGCCGTTGAGGGCTTCGAGCAATCCACAAGACCAGTAGTCGTATCTTTACGATGGCATTCCTGTCTCGAGGCGTTGTGCTATCTAAGTTGAGTGGCAGCTGGCTTTTTGCAACGCTAATCTGGTCCAGAGTCGCCTTGGCCTCCCGGACCGAGCCAGCACCAAAGTGAGACAGAATATCTTTGCATATGAGGTTGATTACGTGTGCAAGACATCGGATGAAACTTTGTCGGCCACGGAAACGCATCAAAGGCCTCAAGCGAAATTCACTGTCTTCATCATCGTACAGCTGGGACAATTCGGCATGCAGCGTGTCGCACATGGTACCATTGTTTCCAGCATTGTCACCTGTGATAGTCAAAAGTTTGGGGGCAATGTCCAGCTCTTGGAGTAGATTCATGACGGAGAAAGCCATATTTTCACCAGAATGAGGACCGACCAGTTCGACAAAATCTAGGAGAGCCTCACGTTTCTCGAAGCTCGGCGTGATCCAATGCCCAACAACTGCCATGATGCTCAGCTGGTGCTCAGATGTCCATGTATCCAGGGAGAGAGCGATGCTGCTGCACTGCTTTGCCAAGTCGAGCTTCAACTGTGCCCGGTGCTGGTCAAATTGAACCTTGATCCATTCACGTACAGTATCAGCACATCGCAGAGGGGAGTCGATCATGGCGGCTTCAAAGATAGCCCTGAAGCTCGGATGCTCTACCGCAGTGAAAGGTTGCCGTGTTTGAACGATCCATTGCACTACTGCTTGTTCCAAACCTATGCTCTCCGGGTGGGAGCTTAGCATGCGGTCTAGTGGCCCCACAGTCAAGCGCTGTGTAGCTTGGGATTCTGGTCCGACGTGGTGTTTCGTACGGAGGTGCGTGGCAAGGTTTGAAGTTGTCCCATGACGGGACGAATCGGTTGAGGGCCAGCTGCAGCGCTTGCAAACGAGCAAGCGGTCCTGCTGCAGGAGGCGACTCCTGTTGGTCCATTTCGTGTCAAGGATGGTGATCCAGAAATGCTCTTGCGTCCAGCTGGTGTGGACTTTTCGCCTCTTCGCCGCTGATTCCGAGTTCAGACCTGAGCTCAACACATCCGAGCTCTCGGAGTGGCTGGTCACGCCGGTCGAGACACTGCCTGACACTTGCGATACCGACTCGAATGGCAGAGGACCATCAGAATCATCGGGATATGCTACCTCGATGGTGTCAGATGCTTCGCTATCTGGCAGCAGGCTTGTGTTATTCGCCTCAACACCGTTGTTGAGGGCGACATAATCCTTTCGGGGAAGCTTGCGTACGGAACGCTGTCCAAAGGCGACGGATGCCATGCTGCTGATACTGCAAGTGAGCAGGCATGATGGAAATGGTCAGAGATGAGAGAATGGTGGGATATTCCTTACTGTCCATTGTTGATGGGCTTGCGACCAATGATGTCGTTGATGCGCGCCCAAAATCAACAAATGCGCAGAATCTGTGGATATGATCAGGGGAAGTCGTGTCTGCTACGTGAATCACGTGTCAATACTTATGTAGAGGATATTGGCGTAAGAAGATCTAAGGTAAGTGAGGTGACCATCGTCGTCGCCGCGTGGATGTGAGGACGAATTATGAAAAGGCGCAAGGCGGAATAAATTCAGTACGGTCTGCATTAGCCGTCACGGAGCCAGCGTTCACAAAAATTGGATGAGCGATAATGGCGGATAGCGCAATCTAACGGCATTGAAACTTTGGCAGTCCACGAAGAGCATCAGGGAGGGAAAGATGAAGCAGTTTCAGATTAGGGGAAGATGTAGGTGGGGTGCTGGGAAGCATCGCCGCCGTTCGATCGGAACGGAGAAACGTGAGAGCGAGGACATTGTGAATATGCGAATATGAATATGAATATGCCCTGTATTCGTACGAATAATTATTCGCATTATTCGCAGTCTACGAATACGAATATGAATATGGCCGATATTCGTATTCCCATATTCGTTTCGGAGCCCTAGTCGCAATGCAGTCTTCCATTGCGTGGAGTTGTGATATGTTAGGTGTGAACAGTAAAGGCTTCTCACAAAGTATGCGTGTGCCCTCGGCAATTTTGAATTCAACATATCATGAAGGAAGCTACCATAGCAGACTCCCTCCAACAGATGCACCACGACCTCACTACCAGAATTACCCACCTTCACAGATTTATCCTCCGCCTCCGCCGCCAAGTCAGACACCATTCTATGCTGCTGGCCCTGTCTACGGTCGTCAGAACAGCACCTCAGGGCCCCCAAGATCACCTACTAGCGCCCCACCAACGCATTACCCTCCTGCTGTGAATGGTACACCTCCACCTGAAGGTTATTATCCACCTGAAGGTTATTATCCACCTGAAGGTTATTATCCCCTGAAGGTTATTATCCACGTCAAGTTTTCGGCCACCACCCACCTAATGCTGCGGCAGACATGGAAAATACAACCACCAAACAGACGCTCCGTCCCGCAAACAAGAGGCGATACTATTCGGTTGCCAGCATGCTGCCAAAATCGACGACGGTGGGAAAGAAAACCCTTCGTATCCAGAGTCTAACAGCGCACGACACCGGTGATGACGCTTGCTCGGTCTCTTGGAAAGATATACTAATCAATCGTTTATCACTAGCAGACGACAGTTCCAATGTGACAAATTCCGTGAAGGATGAAATAGTTGCAATCATAAAACGGCGGCGAAGCTTTGCCCTCCCGCTCTCCGGCATTGCCACAGTTGACGAGGAGACTAGATGAAGATTTGAAATTGAAATCAAGTCGGACACAGTTCAGACGAGAGAGGTGTAACAGGTATGATCGAGATGCAAAATACCCAAACGCATCTGGCCGCTCCGAAGAGTGTACTCGCGAAAATAGCGTGTTTCTCGCGCGGGTCCTTCATGGTAAACCTCCAGTTGCCGGTCAAGTGGTTACCTAGCCGCAACCTATGGATACCGGACCCCAACATTGTGGCATTCACAGTGCCATATGTTCTGCGGTCGACAGGGTCTCGTTCTGTAATGACGATGTTGTCCGCCATCACTTCAATAGTAGTGAGCCAGAAGAGCATCATTGTCTTGGACTGTACACGATGTATGACAGCCATAGTGATGACGGGCTTGGCCCCTCGCCGCGAGCTTTCAGGAACGCTTATCTTAAGCACAAAGTTACGTGACAGCCTTACTTCCGACGGCGAGGCTAACGCCAAGGCTGGGCGCTGGGCCTTAGGCGTCGGGCGGTCCGGAGTCAAGTCCACTGGAGAAGCTCTTCGGCCTGTTCTAGCATATGATGAGCTCGAAAAAATATCTCGAGCATCAGTACTGTTGCAGTCTGGACCAAATGATACAGAATGCTTGCCCAAGGTCCCACTTTCAAAAAGCCCACAGTATTGGGGACGTCAGGTAAGAGATTCAGCTGTTCTTGTGCTGCGGTAACACATGCTGTGGCGCCTTGATGGTTGAATAGTTGGCTCTTGGCGGACTGGCCTAGCAATTTCCGGTCCATCCGGCAAAGACATGGCCGATGTATCATCTGTTTCGCACTATAGTAAAAAAGAAACTCAGTGCGTAACGAGCATCTCGGGACTCCTTATCACTTTGATTACGTCGGAAGTCGAAAGCCGCAGGCAATTTGTAATACCAACCGGAGAGTCTCTCTTCGAATTCCTTGATATTAGCCTGAATATCGGACCAACGTCCCTGAACCGCAGTAGGGTTGTATATTCGGATGAAGATCTGCTGTGTAAGCCGAGATATTTGTATCAGCTGAAGGAAGTACAAAGCCATATTAGGTGGCATCTCCTTGGCCCATTCCATCTCTGACGTACTCTGAGACCGCGTCGACTGTTGACCCAGAGGAGATTGTGACGATTCGTTGGCTTTCGTATTGGACACCGAGCGAGAAGAAGGGTTTCTTCCTGCTGCGGAAGGGGTAGGAGCATTCGACCGAGGTGCTCGGTTTCTCTGTTGATACTCTTTGCTCAGAGGCTTCTGGCCAACCGCAGTCTCGAAATCTTCTTCTCTAACCGAGGCAGGCAGGGGTGTCGTGCAGTGGTCGTCCAGTATAACAAGATCAGCCTCTATGCACGAAAGAAAAGACGGTTCGACAATGGCTGAAGCTGAGAGCTTAGAGTAATGCTTCGTATGCTAGAGACCACCTTTATCTCAGACCATGTCTAGATCTTTATCAGCTGACGATGCCGTGGTTGGGTCGCTGAAGTTTCCTCAAAGTTGCACGATATGTTTCCTTTACCCACTTACTAGACCACTTTGTCTTCGATACCCTAGGGATAGCAATTTCCGTTTTGAATCCAATGCGGAAATGTCACTCGGATCAGTGGACGAGAAGCCGTATCTACCCTTTTAGATGGGTCGAAGGGTCTTATATGGCCACATCGCATCTTTGAATTCCTCGAAGACTTCTCGACATGAGGTGAATTTCATCTTCCTCGGGCCTCGCCTTAAGCCAAGGCGGTATGGTAGAGAGTTCCGCAATCCACGCTGGCTCGGTTCCAACGTCGTCCGAAACCATTCCAAGGGTTAGCTCGCCTGCACCAGGACAGACAGAGGAACGTTGCGATTCCGTGAATCTCCCGTTCGTGTCGAAGCAAGCAATGCTTGGGAAAAAAGGCTTGCCCATAGCAGGTATATGGTATCAAATGAGACTCTAGATGCTTACTAGGCGAAAGTAAGTTTTCCTACGTGCTTGGAACCATTGGAAGACCTACTTATAGTAGCATTTTAGGCAAAACGGCGTGCGCGTGCAGCCCTCAGACACGAAGGGGCAGTGGTATAGTCTATTCTCGTCAGCCTCCGCGGCGTATCTAGGATTTTCTCTTGATTTCTCGTTGCGAGGCTTTTGGATTCCCAGGCCTTCCCTGTCAATCAGTAGCGGGGGAATATGGAGGAGTTGAGTATTGATAGTCACCTGAATGATTGCGCATCGTCGGTATCTCGTACAACAGACCCAAACAGAATCAGATCATTGTTGTCCTTCAATAGACTTGGGTCATTCACAGACTTGCACCAAGTCCACTCTCAACATAGCCCGAAGTTGCATGGACACCGGCGTCGTACGAGAACCATAGGAAGTCGGCCGTGTATGGGTAGGCCGAAGCATGATCGATAGATCCACTGTGCGAGGTGTCTGACTGGCAACTTGTGCTGTATTCTACACTATGCAAAAACTGATACATAATCGTGCTGCAATACTCAAAAGATTATTCCTAGATATGAAGCACAGTAGGATGAAAGAAGACGAGAGAAGGGGGTTCGAAAAGGAGATTTAGTGGCGCTTGATCGTCATAAACGCTCGGCACAAATTGCGACGACCATATTACTATGATCGGAGGGTGGACCAATGAACATTTTGAAATCGACAGTCCGTTGTGACCTATATTCCGATACATCTAGACTAAGACCGCCACGACGAGCACTTAACAACCCTATAATACAGGTCTTATACCATCTTTTCGTGGCCGACTCAGGGACACCCGTTCAGCCACTAGCTTGTACGCCTTGCAGCTACGTATCTAAGTTGGTCTCAGAGCTGAGCTTTTCACAGAGGAAGGCCTCGTCATCTCAGAGAAGCTTCTGTTCACCGAGCATTACAACTGGAATGTGATCAGGATCCCCGTCGGTTGAAGTAATATGTCTAAGAATGTAGAAGGTCCACGAGCTACTGATACTCTATGGTGTCGTCTCAGCAACGTAATTGACTATGCCTTATCCATGTTCACCACAGTTCCCTGGTTTTCGACCTTCGGTGAAACGGGATGGGATGTAAGATAAAAGCGGGATGGGCTGAGAGCGGAATGAGACCAGGCGGGAGGAAATTGATGCTGTTATTGTTGAGTTCTGAACATTAACAATGCTCGCAACTCCTTATAAAGTCACCTCAAGTATCACCACGCATCGTCGTCCATCATCAAAGCACAGCCGTACACCCCGGTCTAAGAACCTCATAGATACTTCTGAGTTCCTCCCAAATTCTGTTCGCTGTGACCGCTCCCTCCTCACTCCTCACAAACTCACTCGCATTTTTCACCACACACTCACTTAAATAGGCACCACCTGTCTCCCGTCCCGCCGTGGCTCCGTGCACTAGCGTCCTCGCACCCTCTTCACTCGAGCGACCCATCACTTTCAAGGCCACTCTCAATGGCGCGTCCGCGAGACGAGTTTGTTCGCGAAACAGGTTCGTCACGCAGAGGCCTGGCGCTACGTTGTTGATGACCACGAGGCTTTTGGTTATCGGGTCTGCTTGAGCGGATGCAGAAAGTAGAGAAGAGAGATGACGGACGAGGAGCATCACGGGGAGTTTAGACAGGTTGTAGCGGGATTTCATATTTGTTTTTTCTGGATCGGAGATAGAGGACAGAATCTCGCCAGTCGGCGGAGTGGTGAGTTCTTTCGGATCGGCCCAGAAGTGCACTGCTGACCCGACAACAGCAATGTGGGGTGTTATCTTGTATTTCTGTGCAGACAAGCGAAGAACCGGTACCAGGAGTGTGGCGAGGAAGAATGTGGAGATGACGTTGACGGTTATGGTGGTTTCGTAGCCTTCGGTTAGGGAGAATTCAGTAAGATCAACGCCAGCGTTCAAGATGGCGGCGTCAAGGCGGGGCAGGTTCTGACACCTGTCTGCAAATGCGGCGACGCTGATGAAAGAGCAGAGGTCAAGCTCGAAAACGACGATGGTGGGTTTGTCATTGTCCAATCTGGATGTAGAGAGAATCTCTTGCTTGGCTCTCTCGCCCTTCGCGATACTTCGACAGGCTAGGACGATAGTGCTGCAATTCAGTCTCAGGAGAAGTTTAGCGGCATCTAGGCCGAGGCCAGAGTTTGCCCCGGTCACTAATATGGTGCGGCCTGTCAGATCGACATTGGGGGTCGGTGGTGTTGAGAATTGACCGTTCAGGAACTGTATCACTCCAGGCATGCTGACGGTCTTTCTGAGACCGATGGCAAGCAGGCTTCAAGAAAGGTGGCTTTTGAGAAGAGAATGTCGCAATGGCAATCTGCAGTCTGTCAGGTTGCGATCATACAAGCTTAAATGCAGTTTGCTAAGGGACGCCTGTTCAATTGCAAAAAATGAGACTCCGAAGGTGCTTCCAATAATTTCCTTTTTCGGCACAGGGACGGGTTTAAGAGAAATGAGGCAGCAACTTTGCGCCACTTTGCGATGTCACATACTCCACTTCCACGGACGAAAAAGGACGACCAGGCTAATCGAAGATCCCAATCTCTCGGAGCTCGCTGGCCAGTCAAGACAGCCGTTCGTTTCATGGTAGGGTGGGCTCAGAGACCTGTTCCACAACACTACTAAATGCCCACCCTTCGCAGTGCCGGCCCCGGCACAGCCTTGGCAAATCTCGCGCTAATTTCTGACATTTCTGACGTTTCTGGGAGGCATCGCTACTCCATCACCTGGATATTCCTCTCAACCAATATTGATTTGATGATGCATCACATTTGCATGGCAACAATGAAGCTGGACGATAGCTTGAGTGATCTTGATGTCAGACTTAAGTACAAGAGGGATCGGTCAGAGGACTGGACGAAAATAGCGGACGGAGCTCTTAGAAAGAAGATACAGGACAGACTAGCCAAGCGGAAAAGCAGTACGTCCTTGGTGACCAAATTGGGACCTTGACACAAATGAGTGCCTAATAGGAATGAAAGGAGCTACAGATGCGGTCACGCGCACTAAGTGTGCTGAAACCGAGAAAAGAGTGAAACTCAAAAGCAATGCAAACAATCGCCGTCAAGAGTCACCAACTCCGGCCTCGATGGGGCCACTGAAAACATGTAACACAAACCACATTGCTGCAAGCTACGACACTGTGGAGCAGCAGATTGCTGTCTTCTTTACCACGCCCGGTCTTGCCGAACACCGTTTCATTAGCCTTACACAATTCTCTCTTATGCGAGCTTTCGTACAGAACGCCGCCCTGCTTGCTCTCGACCCCTCTGATTTCGCCGACGACGACTGCTTGTCGCCATGGACCATGTCCAACCCGTATCCCGTGGTGGTACCACATGACCTTGCTCCTACCCCACTCCAATTGTGGACGCCACATCATCCATATCTAGACATCATTGCACCTAAGTATCTGCGAGATAAAATACTTCTCACCTCAATGGACGATGAGACGGAGAACCAGCTGTGCCATGCGATACACGTAGGAGCGTTTACAGTGTGGGGCTCGCAGCCGTGGTGTGCTCAAGGTATGCTTGCTTCTCCTACACTTTTCTACGTTGCCACTGACACTGCGGCCCTGAAGCATGGGAACTGACACAGGCTTTTGCTACTGAATGGTCATGGCTGCTAGATGAGGAGATGATTCGCGTTTCGAACTTTTGGAGAGGTGAGAGAGGAGAGCCGCCATTACAGCTTCTGAACTACGGGAAGTCGATAGAAGAAGAGATTAGGTAGAGCAATGAATATACTCGACGCATAGGCAAGAAGAACGTGTCATGGCGCGGGGTAGGGTACTGACAATGAGGTCTAGGAATGCTTTATACGGTGGTAGAACTGCCGGTGTTCCTGGATGTCCTTGAGGGCCGATAATCGTTATGAAGCTCCGCGATGGCCGCAACAAAAGCAATAATAGTCATATTGATGTCTTGTATTGATGTCGCGATTTCCGCGATTGAAGCTGCGGTGAATGACGCGGCATCTGCGATGACATGCCGACCGGGGTCTTCAAGTGCTGTGCAAGGAGCTCTTGTCTGACGTATAGGAGCTTGGCAGGGTTGCGTCCATGCAGTTCCAAACTGAACGCCATACGGCACAACTTCTGCTGACGATATCGTGTGACCGGAGGTAGCGCTGAAGACTCGACCGGAACAGAAAGTTCGTTGTAGCAGTAGCACTGAATGGAGTGTTTGTGCCCGGTTGGTTTGATATGGGAGGTGGACGAATGAGATCAAGTCCTGCATAGCGATAGAGTGGGTGAATTTGCTTCCTTGCAGCGAAACACGTTCGTAAGCGTATGAAGTTCCATTGTACGCTCTTTCCATTTCCCATTACGAACCACGCTCTCACCGTGAGATTGTGTGCTGAATCATGGAGATTTTGTAAGAATGGCAAAGCCTGACGTAGTATCGCTTTTTTCATAATTCGTGGCCCTCTTGGCAAAATTCGGCAATTTTTTTGTAAATCCACAGCCAAATAGCCTTCTTACGCGCTATCATCGTCCATCACCCTGATATTGCCTAAACCGATCGAATTGAAGCTCAATATTGCTTATAACACTAGATTCTTAGTGTCGAAGATGTCATACCCTCGCCCGGCTTATGATGACAACCTGCGCGATCGTATTGCGGTGCTTATCGACGTTGAGTCAAGCAATCACTTGATCGCTAAGCGACTGCGCGTCAGTGTCAATACAATCAAGCGTGCTCGAAGGAGATAAGCAGACCTTTGGTACTGTAGACAGGCCTGCGATTGCTAGTAAGGGTAGGCAGCGAAAGGTGACTAAGGCAATGGAGGAAGCTTTAGTTAGCTATATTGAACAGTGCGATCAGTCACCAACTCTTGACGAATTCGCAACGTACTTGCTTGAGGAATACGACGTCGACTTATCTGTTCCAACTCTTCACCGCACTATGAAGAGGCTCAAGTACTCGCATAAACGTGGCGAACGCTTCAATCCAGCTCGAGATGATACCTTGCGATCAAACTATTGGGCTCGAGTCTGTAGGTATAAGGCGTCGCAGTTGGTAGTTCTAGATGAATCCGCAGTCAACGAACGTAACCTCGATCGCAGGTGGGGTTGGTCGCCAACAGGCGTTGCCTATCGAATGATTAATACAACACCTGGAAGATCAAGAAGTTGGTCGATCCTACCTGCAATCGGTATCAACGGCTATCTCGAGTTCGACATCAACCAAGGCTCGTTTAATGGCGAGAGGTTTGCTATCTTTATACAGAAGGTATTAAAGAAGATGAATCCTTTTCCTGGACCACGATCAGTACTGCTAATGGATAATGCTTCTATTCACCATATTGAGGGCATTCAGCAGCTTTGCGACGACAAGGGTGTGATTCTTGACTTTCTACCACCGTACTCACCTGATTTCAGTCCTATCAAAGAATCGTTTCAGGTCTTAAAGGCCTGGGTCAAGAAGTATAGGTCGTTCGGAAAGGAAATGGTCGATCGCGACCTGTTCGGGCTGTTTCTATGCCTTGCTGTCCAGGAGGCTAATCTTGAGTCCAAAGCGCGTGCTTTTTTCAGAAGATGTGGATATGAGGTTGCTGATAACGATACTGACGTCGATTATCAAGATTTGAACGACGTGGTGGAGGTGGTAGCTGATAATATTGAGTAGTAGAACCATTGGTCTACTATATAGAATCAATCGACCTCATTGTCGCTGTCGCTACCACCAGTATCTTCAGTTAAATCTACAGGCTCTTGGGTTTGCTGTGACTGTCGACGTCGAAACACTCTCTCCTGCACAAGATACTGCTGCCAAACCTTCTGATTGCGTCGAATTGCAAGCATTGCGCCCTTCTTTACCCCCATCTCAAGCCAGTCGCCGTCAGATACCTCGCGCAACGAGTTAAAGCCAAACCCTTGATCTCGTAGGCCAACTCGAGCGAATTCTGCGTGTTCTGGAAACACTAAACCTTGCTTAACAAGCCAGACAAGGTATTCTTGAACGTTGTCAAAATCATGCCCTTCTTGCGTCGGTGGGCTTGACCTTAACTCCTCTGCCTGTATACGGCCTGGCGACGTACCGAAGTTGATAACAAACGGTGCGTTCTTTGGTAGTTCGTCGTCGACCTTCGCCTTCTTCTTCTGACGGTGGAGAGTCTTCTTCAAGCGACGGTACATTAGGCTCTGAAATAGAGCATCCGGAGGGTTCTTTAGGCTTGCATTACCAGCATTGATACCCTCGCTCCATCTCTGTAGGTCACTACTATCCAGAGAGATATGATCGCCACTCTCAACGAAGCACACCTTGTTCCAATTCGGGCAGTGTTTGTTGTGACAGGTCCATTCCTGGTGGATATCGCCGATGTGGTTACCAGTCGCTCGATCTGCATCTCGTTGCGCCTGTTTCCACCTGCCTTGTCGCTCTGTCGCACCCTCACTACGCGTACGCTTACGACTTGAATCAGGCGTACTTTGAGACGCTAAGGCAGGTGGTGGTGTCTTCGCCCTTGCCTGGAAAGTTTCGATGATGATCCAGCGAATATCCTTCGCCTTCTCGCGCCACAACGCCCTGACCTTCTCATATACCGCCTGTAACGTCGCCTCTTCAAGATAGTCAATCTCAAAGATGAACGGATCCTTGGTTATACCTCGACAGCTTACCTCAGCATGAATATTAATGGTATTCAGGCGGGCATGGTATAGACCTTTATGAAGGCCGCACCAAGACACTAACCACTCTTCAATATCGCGTTTTATATTACCTAACTCTAAGACCAGTTCAACGGAGTCAATGCTATTGTTTGGCTGTGTCCAGTCAGCCATTACTTGGGTCTTAGCACCAGTATTGCGGCCTTTAACGTTGGCGACGATACGCTTGATCTCAAGCATTATAGTGATAGGTGGCTCGGTTTCCAACAACTCAGAGTCATCCTCCTCCTCCTCCTCCTCCTCCCCTTGGTTGTCCTCCTCCTGCGACTTTTCAGGCGTTGAGCGACGAGGTGGTGGAGGAGTACGACGTCGACTAGGCATAGCCCTACCGGGGTGCGGTTGGTACGCTGGATTGTCTTCGAAACGCACCTTCCTAGATGGATTTGAACGCAACTCACGTTCAGCCATACAACAGCAGTGTCAATACTAAGATCTACAACTTATACACCTTTTCGACAGCTATATCAGGCGATACCGTTGATAATACTAAAAATGGGGTGTACGATCGATAGAAATAAGAATCAGGTGACCGTCGCCAAGAGGGCCACGAATTATGAAAAAAGCGATACTACGTCTAGTCATAAACCTTACAAATGCTGAAAGGACGCATGGCGCAGGAACGCTAGGCCTGCTCTGCTGTCCGGCCAATGTCCTTGAGAATTGTCTACCGGACATCGCCTCACCATGTTACCGCACATCACTCGCTACCCACAAATGTGGGTGAGCTTTTGCAAGCTCGTCGAAAGGAATACCGCTTTAGGATCTACCAAAGTTGTGCATGAGATGATGAAGCAATGGCTCCAATCAACTGCTCGCTCCACACTGCCGGCGTGGCAGAGGACAACAGCATCTTTCCGCAGCACTTCAACCATGCCCACCTCTCCACACGACCAGACCTTTGTCCTCCCAGATGGCCGCCTCCTAGGCTTCGCAGAATACGGCTTGCCGTCTGGCACACCCCTCCTCGCTGGCGTGCTGAGCACTGACGCATAAACATCCTCGTAGTTAAGGTGGCTTCCTCAGACGAGTCCTCGGTGAAGATGCCTAGCCTGATGTAAAACCTGTTCGGCGCTTGCGATGAGGTCAGTAGCGGATATTTTGAGTCCGAATTTGTCTCGCGTGGCTGAAAGAGCGTTTGCGCCTAATCAAACGACGGGACATGAACGGTGGAGATCGGGTTTGTCATCCAGCGAACAACGACATGCGCCCCCTACGAATGCCGAGCTGCTGCACGAAGTGATATCTTCTGAGGCGTAGGTTCGCGCCACTGCATGTTACCTCGACCCCGCCGCTCGCGGAGATGACAGCGCCAGGAACAGGAAAGGGGCTACTTTTGGATGGAGCTATACGCCGGTTTGCAAGTGGGGTAGCCGCACTTGTTCTTCGACGCCGGGAGGAAATGTTCGTGGCATGCAGATTAAACTGGTCGCAGTACCCCAGTAGCGGAGCGGAAGTTGCGGAAAAGCATGTAGAAAGTCGCACGATTGACTTTAGACTAGCGTCGAATTTGCTTGTTGCTTCAGGAGCGATGGTGTTTCCCGATGTCCGCCTTGTACGTTGGTCCATGCCACTAGTGAGCAAATGATGGCGCAAAGCTGGGCTACCGAATGCCTGTGGGTTCGCTAGCGGGTTAAGAGTCGACGCTTGAGAACGTGGATGTTAGGATTCTCACGGCAGCCAGAACAAATCCTTCGTAGGTTGTTCCCATATCTGCCCTCTTCTTTCTCTCTCTCTTCGCTCTCCAGCAATGCAAGGTTTGGTGGTTGCACAAACGGTAAACCAAGATATCCACCCTGCCACTCTCCGAAGGCGAACTACCCTGGTTTGTCCATATGCTAGGCATGGATTCCTTAAGCAAAGAACGAACTGCTCTTGGCCGATTTTGAGCTTTGGGCTTTGCCTTGCAGATGTCTCGACCCCGTAGAGATCAGCACCTGATGCTCAATTTCCGCATGCCAACCAGAGGCAATTTCATGATTCTTAAACCTTAACGTCATGATCCGGTATCCGATGAATGATGCTGCCTGAGCCGATCTGTGGCAGTTCAAGAGGCAAGACACGAGAAATCTTGCGATAGCGACACTACCCCGCCACTTTTTGCGAGGCTTCTTGTGCCTAAAGCTTGGGACTACCAATTCCTCGAAGCTGCTCCTTAGGCTGTGACCGAGCCTAATGACGACACAGTCTTGAGTGCCAAGCTTTTTGTCGGTTAGCCTGGGGTTGTGCCAAGAGCGTTGCTGTACACAAGTCCACAGAGATCCGTACTCGCTGGCAACCCATTTCCATGTCGGCTAAAGGACTAAATATTAGCACTAAAGCGATCAACACCTTGGAACCAACTCTCGATACGTGGAGGCGGGTGCTCCATGTGGACACGAAAGTTGAGAGTTCGATGTCATTATATGGCACTGCCCAGAATGCATTTTTGGGCCAAGCAAGCGCAGCTTATGCTTGATGTTAGCAGATTGGTAGACTATGAGCGTTCTTCTTTCCTCGCAATCAAGTTGAAGACAACTAGTCAGGCCTCTTTATAGACTGCAAACAGTAGGACGCTGGGAAAAGGAAAAGACATAGGACGAAGAGGCTTCGAGACAGCACACTATGACGAAGAAGCAACCGGACACCGATGCAAACAAGTCCTAGTACCGCGTAAGTGCTTAGACTTGCGTAAGGCACCGTGGACCTGACCAGGCCGGTGCATAGTAGTAATCAACGATACCCAGTTCTTGCGTAGGCCGTCGTACCAGACCATACAATTAACAAGATCGTCAACGATATAGCTAGTTACTGCGTTATCAGGTAATAACTCTGGAAAACGGTGCTGGATTGCAAGCAATATTGGTGGTATACCAGGCGCGTTCTTGCGTATAGTACCGCAAATACTAATATTGATAGCTAATAGCGCACGGGCTATACTAACGTCGACAAAGAGGTTATTGACAAAGCAGATATACTGTCGCTTACGCTAGGCAGCTGTCACTCGCTCACAAAGTATATATACTATTGACTTGAGTGCGGGAAGGTTGATATTGTCTGCTGTTGCACCTGTAGTGCCCCGTTTGCGTTTTCGAGTTGTCCTTGTCGGTAGGTCAATACTGATACCCTGGGGTACCCCCTTGAGGCCCTCTTGACTCGAGTGCATTACCTAATCGTGTGCTAGGCCACCGTAACTAGTGAGGACGTAGCAGACGAAGCTATGCTTCGCTGGCTTGTGATCGAGCTTCATAGCGTCGAGTTTCCGGCCATGAAACTTGATTACACTCTCGTCAACGCATATATGACTGGAGGGCACCAGTAGCTCACTGAATCGAGCGCGGACAGCGTTCACCGCGTGCTGGATCTTCCAGTACCACTGGGCATGCGGATCTGCCTTTGCCTCACCCTCTGGCTGACTATTCAGGCTAATAAACTGTTCAATAGCCTTAAACCGTTGGCAGCTAAGCCGTCGTGATGCCTTGTACTTATGAGACCAGAAATCTTGGATTTTGGCCTTCGGACCAAGTACAAACATCATCTCAAGGCGACAAGCCAACCAATATCGCAGCTCGGTTGCTGTTACCTGTTGCCATGGCTTTTGTGGTGTGGCACGCCTTTGGGCCACGATATTCGTATGCCATAGTAGTAGGTCGAGGACTGGCTGGAAGAAGAGCAAGAATAGCTGCACAGGCGATAGCTGCCTATGCGCTGGATCTCGTACACTCCAAGGACGGTAGGCCGTCGCTATTGGAGGTTGATAGTACGGTAAAGGCTTACTTAAGTGCTGTTCGCACTGTGATCTGGTGGTACCTTGCACAGAAGGTACCGTACTGGGGTCGTTTGACGCGTCGGACGCGTCGAGATTTTGGACCACCTTTTCAAACACCTGCTGAAACTCGAAGTCAGGCATGATACTGGTGATATTGGTATCGTTATATAGCTCTTGATCAGGCGACAGCAACGGTACAATAAAATATCGTTAATTGTTATTATGCAAAGTACAGTGGTGTTGACAAGATTGGTACGCGCACCGTGGAGTATCATATAAGGTTGACGCTAATTGGATCATTTTGTACGCAGAGGGGATAAGTATGAATATATTGGGCCTCAAGGAGAGGGAGGGAGAGCACTATTGCCCCCGAATCCAGTACCAAGATGGCTACTCTGGTCCTCCCACACTGCCGCACTATCGGATGAACCCTGACTTATCGATAGTGCGTTTCTTCTCCTGTCGCGTTTGCAAACACTGATTCGGCAAACTCAAGGTTAAGGGTCATGATAACAGATTCCCAAGCTGGGAGAAATGTATCAACACGTATCAGAACCACGGTCAAGTTGATGAGTATGCTTACGAAGGCGCGGTCACTCCATTCGGCCAACCAAGGATTGAACCACATCAACTGGCTTCTGTCACATGGCTCACAAACCGCTGTAACTACCCAGAGGAAGCTCAATTCAGGCACGAGGAGCGACGCCAGTCAGGACCAGCACCAGCACCAGCACCAGCACCAGCACTGCGTAGGTACGACAGACCACAATCGTGCTATTCACCACCACCTTCTTGTTCCTACGGTCCATTACGATCCCCACCTCGCTATCATGACGAAGGAAGGTACAATGGTAGAACTGTGCCTGGAAGATAGTTTGATTGATTGATTGGTTCTTACGCCCCGGGGTGCCAAGATTTGGCCCTTAGGCTTGACTACGCACTTGTAACTACGGCAGGTTTAGCGAATCTGCGCCCTCGGAGTTTCATCCCAAGCCCAACGCGCTGGCTACCGACCTTCTTTACCAACATTCTTGGATTTGTAAAGCTCCTCCTCCTCTTTCTCAGGTTGTTTCCTCCTCTTCCGTATCCTCCGCCTATTCTACTCGAGAGCCATTTCCCGACTGTCAACCTTCAATCTATCGGCCGGTCAACGATGGTGGTCAGAAGGATTGTGTCGTGGGGAGAAGGGTGTTGTGTCTATGTCAGTCGCCCTGTGGCGATAGCGAAATCGATCGTTCGCCGGACGACAGTAAGGTCCGGCTTCCAGGACTTGGCCGGTCCATCGCGAGGTTCTCCGGAGAACCGTCGCTGTATCGACCGTCCTCCGAGGTAGGGCTGTCAGCATCTCTCATTCTGCTCACGTCCACTGTCAAAGCCTGCCGCAACCGTGTGTCACTTGGACGTCGGTCAATTGGAAACGTCCTTGGTATGGACGCGCACAAGGGAGTGTGCAGGACCCCTTGCATGACCCCTTGCCCGCATACGGTGCAACCGTGCACCAAACATCATATCTCAGACCGAGACATTGTGATGGCAGCCGCCGGACCAACCATGCTGTGTAACCCACGCCTCCAAGCCCCTTGCACTTCGTTCCCGTCCATTTTTGTAGATATGGCTGTTCATCTTTTCACATTCTGTCCCTTCGTCGGTCAAGCAGACGGGTCGATCGCGCGCACACAAGAGAAGAAGTCAGGCAGTGTTGCTGCTCGCGCCATGTCGTTATCGCTAGATACGGTCCTCGTCATCGTCGGCCTGGTAGTGGCCATCGTACCGATCGTGGGGCTTGTGGTGGGCAAGCTGAGGCAACGACGATCACATCTGTCGTCAGCTTCCGTCACCGCAGGCATGTGACCCAACCAGCCGCGTCTGCAGTACCGCCAGTAGTAGTGCATATTAGCTGACGAGGGTGAGCACAGGACACAGCATCGTCGAGAACGGAGAAGCAGACCTCCCAATCGGTGAACACAGACCACCTCGCTCGGCGCGGCGTGATGACAGGGCTGGCTGATCATGGAGTCGGCGACCACGTTTTTGGCCTTACAATGATGGTTGGAGTGCAAACGCTGGTTGCTGGGGCATTGGGAAGCCCTGGCCCCGTGGACGAGGCTGTACCCAAGGCTTTGAGTCACGTGATCGAAACGGGTCAGGATGCCAGGTTGAGTAGTCGTTGCTGTAGCTGGATGCCCTGCGATATTGAAACGTACCGCCGACTAACTTGTTGGCCATGGTATGAAAGCACAACATTGCAACCACTCTGTTCCGATAGAAGCATGCAATCTATCTGAGCGTCGTGATGTGAAGCACTAGCACACCTCGACTCTCGATACAATCTATAACATCAGTCTGCTCTATACTGATCAAGGCGGGATGCTCCAAGCGCGGTGGACGTACACATGAGCATTAGCTGTCTACAAGACAACTGCGTCGGAACAAGAACCCAAGCGGACTCTCGATGCGGTCCATACCCTCGGTGATCTGTGTCGTAAGCAAGGGATGCTGGATGAGGGCGGAGCAGATATTTGGACGTGCTGAAATACAATGAGATGTGTTTCGAATCTAGCCTCGGACAGAGTGCTCACCACAGTAACGGGAAGATGCCGCAGCTTGAATGGCACCAATGTTGATCGAGTGGAACGTGAACAAACCTGCCACCGACACCATGACATAGCTCATGCGACAGTCTCACTCCTGCACAAAGACAACGAATCTGCTAGAAGTGTCATTCGCAACTTCAAGATTCAAATCCTCGAAATCCTCGGCGTATCAGCGTGGTGAACGCACTCGTCGACCCCTCGGTGAAGGTCCGGGACGGTGCACGGAAGGAACCAAACCTCGGTGCGATCTTTTAGACCGATATACCTTCAGCACCACGCCTCAGGAGACAGGCTTCACAGCATCGAAAGTGTCACCTGCAGTTGGAGGCACTGTCTGAAGGGAGATGGCTAGCATCAGAGCGTGGCTATATCTGATACATCATCTCTATCTACCATCGCGCCGCTATTCCCACACGGGAAGAGGGTCTCGCTCTGTCTGCAGCCGATCAGAATACCAGTCTTCCGGTCTTGCGCTAGGCTAACGTGTGTCATCCGACACCGATATGGTTAGGTGTCCATGTGATCAGCACGGAAGGAGCTCGACCGCCGCTCCTCAGTGCTGGTACGGCAGACCAATTCCTGGCAAACCTATCCGTGGTCCACGGTAGTCCTCCGCCCGAAGCTCGGCTGGAAGTGCAAATTGACACGGCTTGCTCTCGACGTCGAACAAGCTGCATGCGGAGATGTTGCCGCTAGGGTTGGTGCACTGTTCTCCGGCCGACTGCAACAACGAGAGGTCCCAGGCCGACATGAAGTCGCCGTGGTAGCCGCGTCCGGTGGGACCACCGTTGGCCAACGCGAAAGACCCCGAGCGGTTGGCAAACACCGTCGTTTGCCACGAGTACCTCGTACAGAAGCGTGGGGAGTCGCCAGGGATAGCCGTCGGGACAAACACCGTCCTGCACCAAGCTCGGAAACGCCACGTGGCTACGGTGGTCGCTCGAGTCTCGATGCTGGCCATCCCAGCACGAGGGGAACATCAGCTCCAGACGCAGTCCGACCGAGCAGGACCGATCGAGGAAGGCCTTGGACGGGAGCGAGTGTCGCTGCAACGACCCTTCCGGCGGGTCGCTGCCCAGACAGTTGAATCCGACGGCTTTCTGTCGCAGCGCGTCCTGCGTGATGTCTGCCTCCGACCAGAAGGACTTCGGGACGGGGATCGTGATGGTGCGTCGCTTGCTGTCACCCCTCAGCATGCGGAAGTCGGGTGGGAAGGTCGCCATGGTGCCGTTGGGATGGGGGTTCATGAAATAGTATCTGGAACGTGCATCAGCCAGGCGTGGGGAACTAGAGCAATGAACTTGGTTAGCCAGTTCACTCCAAGCGGAGGGACGGGCTGATCTGCTCTTGTATATGAGTAGTTCAGCGACGCGACGACACTCAGGATAATGTACTGGCCGAAGCTGTCGCTGCTGGCTTAGTAAATAGTTTAGTAAGACGTTTTCTTGCTGTCTTGTTAATCTGGCATTGCTAGGCAGCTGTAGTTTGTGATGTAATGGCCGACTTGCTGCCCCCGTCACCCCCGACTTGCTTACCTTGAATTTGGAGGCAGCTGCACGAGAGGTATGATTAGGATCTGCTATATACCACTATTTAGCCTGCTAAATACGCTTGTGCAATTTGTTTACAGCCATTGTCAATAATTATTGTGGTGTACTCAGTAACGCCGGGAGAATTATCTGTTAACGTCGGAGGATACTCAGTGTGAGGGTATTGCAACACTGGTCATACATTCATAGCTGGCTGCGCCGTCACACACGCGAGCGAAAGCAAGCCACCCTCTCGGTATAGTTGGTGAAACTTGCAGCTGAACGTACGAGAGGGCTGCACATTTGTTGGCGGCATTGGGCCTCGACCTCAGCCACAAGACTCGGTCGAGGAAAGCAAACAATGGAATGATTTTCTCGAGCATTATCACGTGACTTTGGAGGTATTTTTGCACGTGCAACTCGCAGTGAGCTATCCGAGTAGCACCCCAGTCCGTGGTCGCGAGGCACCATTCACGGATTTCTTGGCACGTTTACCGTTTCGCGCTTGACAAATCCTTCACCGGAGGTTCCTGCATTTGTGCCGATGGCGATCTAAGCCACTAACGAGCCGGGCCAAGCGAATCTAGCCGACCTGGTGTGGACTTGTAGATAAGTACAGGCAATGAACTTGAGAAGTTTTATATTTCTGTTCCATTTTTCTGCCTTGTCAGTCTCATTGTCGCAAAATGTATTCCACTTCGTCGATTGGCAAGGATGGATGCTGGGATGGCGCATTGGGTCAAGTGTGGGGGGATATTTGACTTGTGGCATCTTCAAATCCTCCAATTGGCAGATTTGTGCGATAACATCACTGGCCCTAAACCCCGAGAAAAGTATGAATTTCACAAACAGTATTTACAGTAAGGAGTGTATGCAGGTCAGTTCTAAACATCAATATCCTGGACCTCAATGATCTGAATCATCTGTCAATGCCAACATTGTTCAAGACTATGTTGCCATCAGCTATCCCATCTACCACCATGACTCGCTGGCACCGGTATTGTCTCGCTTGACATAGGTGGACCACTCGATGTTGCCATTGTTCTTGTTGGACTTGCCGCTCTTGTTGGACTTGCCGCTCTTGTTGGACTTGCCGGAATTGTCGCCACCATCTTGACCCCAAGTTGGGCACATAGGGCCATAAGTATAGCATGGTCCTTGACCCCAGGCAGCAAGGGACGTGCATCCGTTGGGGTCAGGCTGGGCCTTGCACCAGTCATTGCATGGTGAGCTACCAGAAGAGCCAGTGGGGGTGGCGGCAGCAAGAGCCACTGCGTGGCGTTAGTGTTGATTGTGCGGTCATGGAGCTAGAGAAACTCACTCAAGGTAGTAAATGCGACGAGGGAGAACTTCATCTTGATAGACTGAGCGAGTGAATAGAAGGTTGGTAGTAGGCTCAGAGAGTGTGGTCCGGTAAACGAGCGTGTCGGTCTCTAGAAAGTGACTTGAAGAAAAGAAGGGTAATAGAGGTGTACAAGTTGCCATCTTATATACCATTGCTCGACTTATGTCGAGGCCGCATGCTTTGATTGAGCGACACTGGAATTTCCGCTTGCACAGGGTTTAGCTAGGGAGATTGCGAAGAGTATGATCGCCGTTCACGCGGCAGGTACTTTGGTGGACACTTTGGAGCAGCTGCTGGGGAGTTACTGATCTATCACTCATGGCGTTCGTCAATTACTTTAGCGCGAGGACCTGTCCTACCTAGCTTTACAGCTGCAGAATCTCCTGAGGCTTGCAGCTCCTTTGGTCATCATTGGAGGGAAGGGGTCAGGTATCCGCAGGCGAATTGGAGTTCTGGACATCCATAGTTGCCATCGACTTTTTAAGCTAATGGCAGTGAATGGTTCCAATTCCTGCCGGTGTCGGGCATTTTGGGGAAAGCGTGCTTATTGTAAGTCACGTCCCTGCAGGCGAACTTTGATGACAATTACTGGACCGGGAAAGACACATCTGGGGAAAGACGGACTTCGAACATGAAGAAGCTTGATGGACTTCCACAAATCTGACGCTTAGCAGCTTGACGATAAGCATCATCAAGAGAAATTTCCACTTACAACGGAGCTGTAACAAAGACCACGCGACACGTATTATGTATGACTGCTTGAGCACGCCAATGTCCTGCTAACAAGCATCCGCTGAAACTTGTTTTGATTTAGGGGTCTGGGAACTTCCTTGTGTCTGCACGCATGGATGCCTCACTCGACGAGTCCGCATTCTTCGCAGGTAGTGTTGTACGTACAACAGCTGATCTGCGGAAGGTGGGGTCCGGAAACTCTCACAGCGCAGGACTAGGGCCAGCCTGAAGCCGATGGTTCAGAACGTAGCATATCCACCCTACCACCACTGATTGAGGTATATCAGGTGTGAGGCAGCGACCAGCGATGGTCTCTTTCGTCAACTCAATGCTCATGCTGAAAGAATCCCCCTATCATGGATACCCTCAAGGGCCCAGAGTAGGAAGTTACATTGTCTAATTCGGATGTCGAATTCAGAGTAAGCCAAGGAACAGAAATCTACTCACCATCTTGGCGTCACAATTTGGATCTCTCCAATAGTAGATCATCTGTCAGAGAATATCACTGTACCAGTCTCGTAGTGCAAGTACTGTCCTCAGGAGGCCTTGTCTGATGGAACGGATATCCCTAGAGGTCAGCGACGAGCTTCAGGCGTTTGCATCGGCTCAATGTACACTTTTCTGACGTCATGGATTAAATAGCCCCCGACCGACACTAGATCTGGTGTGCAATGCTATTTTGTCCCCATCCGGAATAGCGACCCTTTTGAGGTTTGAGTCAATGCGGTCTGAAACATGCAAGCCACATGCAGCCCGGTTCTTGGTAAAACCCTGGGCTTCAGCCGCTAGCACTCGAGAGTAGAGGAGCGCCCAACCGCGAGTGCAATCTCATAAACCCTTGACCTCATCAAGCTGAAGTGGTCATCAAGGTGGTACTCAAGGTCACGTATCGAAAAGTGGATGGGTCCGTGCGAGCCAAATGTTGCCATAAGTAGGCACGGGGATAAATCGATCGACCATCAATCTCTAAAAGCTTACCAAGTCCAAGCATGGGAGACTGCTTACAGCGGTCTAATGCTCCATTCTCCAGTCCACAGAAACAAGGGTGTCGATCCAAAAACGAACCAGCTTTTGCCAGAGTCGGCATTGGCAACGTCGTCCTCTCGGGCGTCGTCTTGATCTTCGCGGGACTCCTACTCAATATCGTCCTTACTGATGGTATTGTCGAAAGAGACTCGGTCGTGGTGAAGACTGACACAGAAACCTATTACATAACCGCCACTATCACGAAGACAGAAACATCACTACCGGTCACAGCAGCAACGACACCTGCTACAGGTCTTCGTGCTTGGCCGAGTCCAGATGTCCATACATATCACGAGGCAATCATTCGCCCTAGCAACGCTGCAGATGAAAGTGACGAAGCTCGGAGTGAAGAAGAGTATGTGGAGGAAGTCGACTGGCTTCAGGATTTTGAAGTTCCTTGGGGTCAACTCGAGAACTACGAATTTGGAGACAAACTAGGTAAGTAGTTCAAGTGTCCTCTGCCAAGCAAGGGCAAGTGATTGACGGATGTGCTCAACCCGCAGGAAAGGGCGAGTATGCCGAAGTATTTCAAGCCACCGATCTTCGCAACAACAGAAGCTGTGCTGTGAAAGTCCTCAAGCCTACCGAAAAGCACCTGGCGAAGCGAGAGATCAAAATCCTTCAGGACTTGATTGATGGTCCAAACATCATCCGGTTCGTCGACGTTGCCCGTAATAGCATGGGCAAGTGGCCATCGATCGTGACTGAATACGTCGACAGTCCTTACTACAGACACTTATACTCAACCTTCGACGACATTGACGTGAGATTTTATATGTTCCAGTTATTGTCGGCATTGGAGTTTGCTCATAGCAAGAATATCATGCATCTCGACATCAAACCCCACAATGTCATGATTGATCATGAAAATAGAAAGGTATGCTCCAATCAGTTCCACGCTTGATGTTTCTCTCCCGGTGTCTCGTCTAACGTAAGCTGCACCTAGCTTCGTCTCATTGATTGGGGCCTATCGAACTACTATGATCCTGATTATAGCTATGGGACATCTGTCGGATCACGATTTTGGCGAGCGCCGGAACTTCTCATTAATTATGAATGGTACAACCCTTCATCAGATATCTGGGCCGTAGGCTGCATGATGGCAGGTCTCATCTTCGAAAAGGAACCCTTCTTTCGAGGACGATCCAACGACGTTAATCAACTCGTTCAGATCGCTAAGATTTTGGGAACGGAGGGCTTGTTCAAGTGGATCGACAAGTATGGCCTTGAGTTAGGCGAGGAGTTCGACGACATCAAAGGCTTGTACCTTAGGCAGACATGGGAAAGTCAGGTGTATTGGCAAAGTCGGAGGAGGGTTGGGGACGACGCATTTGACCTGCTGAGCAAATTGTTGGTTTACGATCACAACGTAAGTTTACGCACGTCGTTCCTCCACAAGTGTTGCTGAACTGTATGCTGACCAATGCGGCTTCTACAGGGACGTTTGACCGCCACCGAAGCGATGAATCACCGTTATTTTGATCCGGTCCGCAGCTGGGCTCTATCGCATCCGAATAGCACGACAGCTTGGGACATCGAGTAGCTACTATTTCGAGCCAGCAAATATAACGTTGAACAACGTAAAATATTCTTTTGATCATCTTAGATGTCAACAGACAGCAAGTATGACCAATTTTGCTTGCATCCTCAGGGAGAAGCAGCCTGCTGCATCACTTGTATTCCACACACCTACAGCAAGATCAGCTTCCTCCTCTCCTCGAATGACAGCCACACAACCTCCATCGATGTACTTTCTGAGTCTGATCATGCTAAGCGTATCTCTAGTCGAGCTGCAAGTTCGGTGGGGCTCTGCTTCTCCAAGCAAAGCAGAAGAGATTTGGCTTGTAAGAGTCGTCCATCTAGATACTTACCGTACGCCAACGAGTCAGCCAATTCTCTGTGCAATCGAACCAACTATACTCTCTTTGCACGCATTGCGCGTCCGTAACTTTTGCCAACGGACGTAAATGCAGAGTTGCAGGGGACGCAGGTGCGAGGTTTCGCCGACAATTTATAGATAGCTTCTCAACTCATAAACTAAATTTTCCTGACACCTTTCTGATATCCTCCTGACACATGACTTCGTTCCAACAGAGTATATCCGCTTCGTCGCTTCTCTCTTGTCCTTACCACATTTCTTTCAAAATGGAGCAGTCCGCGATCCAATAAGTCAAAGTAGGAGGAACATCACCGCATTAGCGTGCCGATTTTGGGCTTTCGACCCTGTACCCACGGCCTGGACATTGCTCTGCTTTCAAGACGATACTAATTTCCATCTCCCTATGACACGCGCTGCGTAAGGGAGTTTACTGCCCGTCCTTCGGTTTGGCACCCCTCAAACTCGTCACACCACATATCCGAAATCGAAGAGTGTATGAAAAACATCGTCAGTCAATCAGAGCTGTCGACTTGCAACTTCCAAGTTCAGTTGCAAGTTTGCCTACGTCAGCAGCTTGAACTCGTCGTCGCTGTATTCTGTCTCGGTGTCACAAGAGTTGTAGCTCAATATGACCTCTTTTCAACCACCTGCGTAGGCACTCCCTCATTTCAATAGTATAGTCGCTGATAGCGCTCATCCTCGAACGCAACAACTGCTGAGCACTGTTAAAGACTCGTTCGAGGTCACAAGAGATTGGTGGTATGGAGAGGAGGTCGAAAGTCATGGATTTGCAATGAGGATGACGCTCCTCATCCCAACACTTGACTTGTGACGTGACGGATTACATGTTGGGAAGGCATCGCTGGGACTATCAAGCACGATGTTCTAGCTTGGAAGAGGTACTGTACATTGTTTCCCAGCTATGATTCTCTCCTAATTATACATTGGCAAAAGTGGCTGCTGAACAAACCTGGAACGCTTGCCAATGAAAAATGATGTCTTACCTGCGTGCGGCGTACTGGAGAAGAAGGAAGTTTCTCAACCATGTCTGCATGGATGCGATTTGGATCTAGTCCAGCTCGAATCTCGAATGCTCGCCCAAGCTATCCGCTCTGCTCTTGAGAAGTAGATGAAACTCCTTGACTCCATCTCTTCTTCAATCAGATCCTGCAAAATAAATGTAAAATGATAAAGTTGACGTTGGCCTTGGATCAAATCTCGTGCAATAGCGCTGATAGTGATTAAAACTAGCTTGTGAAAGCTTTGGCAGTATTTGTGGAACGCCCAGATGACCAGACCTTGTAGAATTGTATATGCGAGTAGCAAAATAGTTGCAGTCAACCGTTGCTCTTGTCACTATCGTTACGCTTATTAGAGCGGAAACGGCGTGTCTCTCATAACTCTCGTCGCCGTACGAGTGCCGGAAAATGTATGGATAGGATTAGCGATGACATGAGAAGCTCGAATTCGCGCTGCTCGGGTAGAATGTAGTGACATTTCTGCGGGGAAACAGCTCGTTTTGTACATGGCGGAGGATTTGGGCGTCTTTGCCGAGTGCTGGGGAGACGCTCGCTTTGTCGTCCAAGAACCCGATAGTGCGTGTCAGAAGTTCGCGAAGCTTTTCTTCCGACACGAGCGATCGCAGTCGTGGGTCCGGCGAGTTGAATGTCGCAGCAAGGACGAGGACATTGCCAAACTGTCTAGTCACGTCAGTGGATGTTCGAAGATTGACCGATGTTGAACTTACGCGTGAGCCGTGCCTAGGATATTAGTTATCACCAGGCGCCCCGGAACCTTGTCGAAGGCAGTCGTACTCTTGATGGCGGCATCAATGCATTGTGTGCAGGCGTCCAGGATCCATGGCTCTAAGGGCTGCTCAGCCGCTTGCGCAGGAGGGCGTGTTTCACCAACTTTTCGGCTTGAAGGAGGATCGCCATGATAGTTCATTGGGGGAAATGTGTGTTCAGACTGAGCACCGCCGCCAATCGGCGACTCTGAGGTTTGGCTCATCGGGGTTCCAGGACCGGCCAGGTTCAAAGCATACTGTAAGGCTGGACGGTTGATGAGATACTTCGCCCCATAGTACTTGCCTCGCATCCTGGCTAGGTTGATATCGGTACTCTCGAACTCATCCTCTTCCCAATCCCAATCTAACCTTTCTCTCGTCAACTCCCGCCAACTCTCTAGAATTTCTGTGATTGTCGATATTATCGCCTCCGATGGCTTCTCTGATTCCCGCGAAGAATTGTAAATGTGGTTGACCGCATCATTGATAGTTCTTCGAAGCTGAATTTGGTTCGAATAGTGGTCGGCTGTGGGATCTTTGGTGCCGGGCACGTATCCCTCTGCCTCAGGGTCCGCAACTGTGAAATCATCTGGGATTTCAAAAGCCATGGCACCTTCTGTCGCGACAATTCCGCTGGGGGGAAGATCGACTTCTGCGAGAATGTCGCTTTCCAGCTGCAAACAACTCCAGAAAGCAAAATTGATCAAATTGCGCCTTTCGCGTGACATTTTCTTCTCTTTGAATTCCGAAGACTCGATCAAGATCATGCAGGCTCGGCATGCATTGGCAATGTACCAATGACTGGGGATAACACGTGCAAGCTGGCCCATGTACAACCCTGCTAGCAGATTAGCTTGTACATGCGATACATCGACCCCACCGGGCAGTTCGCCCAATATGCCGGCAGCCTTAGCAAAATAGGCCAGACCTGGAATGACGCCGATGTTCTTGCCACGGAGACTCGAGCCAGCAAGCCCCATTGACAGCCCGTTGATATGCGGTATAGACGGTGACTGAGGTGCAGACGAAGGCGGTCGTCCAAGGGGAGGCAAGTCGCTATATCCCAATTGTGGCTGTTGCACCGTTGTCTTCCCATTGGGCGCAATGGACGAGCTTTTGGCCGGTCCAGGGAGTGGCTTGTCGTAGGCACAAATTTGGCCGAGCGCCATCACTAGCAGGACGATGGCATTTGAGACAGAGTGCTCAATCGGTGGGTTGCTGCGTACGCGTTGCCGCACACTGTTGTGATGAGGAATTGTATGCAGGTCGCCTCTGGTTGAATGTGGCGACTGGCTCGATTCGCGTTTTCGCTTTGTGCCGACACCCACACTTTGTGCCAAAGGGTTTGCGTTATTGTTATCGTCCCAGCTATACTTCTTTTTGAACACGTTCACCATCTTTCGCAGGACCTTCTTGTCGAGGAAAGGGTGCAGGATGTACATGCGACCGAGGTAGCTCTTCACGTAGGTGTCGACGGCTTCCTTGTCGAGCAGCAGCTCACCGTTCGCGGTAACTCCGCCCGGACAATCGTATACTGCGCGTTGATTGTCTTCTCCGTATGGCAGCGGTCCTGTGCCCCACACGCCGCTCGGTGACGAAGTCGAGGCCTCTTCATCCACCCGACCAGAACAACTACTAGCAGCGGCACTGGCCACGGCGCCTTCGTGGCCATCACCTTTGCCATCTCCTTCACCACAACCGTAGAGTCGCAGCAGACCTCGTTTTGCCTCGCCCTCCAGCACGTAGGATGCAGGTATGTCTTTGGGTACCAACTCACTTATCGCAGGCCATTCAAGAAGAGCCGAGGCACTCACACGCTTTCTCTTCTTCTTCTCATTTGGGCTCGAGCCCTCTGTACTATGTGTCTGGTCTACAGCAAACCTTGAATTTTGAATAAAGCCCGCATTGACCGTTTCATGGCCTCTGAAGTGCACTAAATGGTCAGAACTTGCCTCTTCCTTCGTGTGCGGTCGCGATGCTGTCTTCGACATTGGCACGCTGCCTGGGCTTTTGGTTTCTACAGTTCGCCTGTCTACCAGAGACTGAACGGTGTTGAGCAGAATGTTCACTTTGTCATCGGCGGACTTGATGTAGCTGTCAAGTCTGTCACTAAGTTGACCCACTTTCTCACTCATCTGCAACATCTGTCCCTCCGATTTCTGGGGCGGCACATCTCGATACGTGCACCACAATCCGTTCTCTCTGCAATGTGTACATTCTGGTCTCCCTTCATCGCACTTTGCTTTCCGCTGTCTACACGAATCGCACGCTTGGGCGGCGCGCACAGATTTGCGCCTCTGTTGCTGATACCGACCGCCAGGTGGAGGACCCCAGTCATGGGGCGTTGGAGGTGGTCCGGCAGAATGAAGTACCGGCAGATAGCCGGGCGCCGGCTCTTGAGCTTGGGGCTGACCAGGCATCATCGCATGACTAGTTGTCCGTACGTGCACTGCGGATTGCGGAGCATTTACAGGGCTTTCTGAAGGAGCATATGCGGGACGATTGCCGTAGTGCTGGCGATAGTAATAGTTGTCCAGCGGAGGCGCACCGTTGACAGCCTGAGGGTAGTGAGGGGGCGGTACACTGAAAGGTGATCTTGGCGGGTCAGAAGCGCTGTTCTGTCGGCTATAGGTGGGATCAAGTGTGTATGTCGGAGTCTGACTTGGTGGCGGCGGAGGAGGAGGATGAGAATTTAGGAAAGGAGGATAAGAAGGATGGTGAGGTGGAGGTGCGTCGGTAGGAGGCGGTCTGTGGTCACTCGGATCGTAGTAAGGTAAGGGTGCTCGATTCCATGCTTGTGGCATCTGAGTACCCTGTGGAGTAGGATGATGGTAGTTGTGTAACTGTGGTGCGTCGGCTGGCGGCATGTGCAGCAGTGGAGACTGACCATATGCTACATGTCTTTCCCGCTTAAAACGGGGATCAGCTGGTTCGTCCATACTAGGCGTACCATTCCTAGCCGACCATTTGACAGGAAGTTCGGTAAAGGACAAGGTGCTTGATATGCTGCATGTCCGCTAAAACGTGATAATATGGCCTGGAATGGCAATGGTGCTCCGCGCAAGCCCAATTTTGCTCTGCTTCGCAAATGCACGGCGTTTCAAACCAGACTGGCTAGTTGTGCAGGTCGGTTGACAACAGCAATCACCGCCCAAGACAGAGTAGCAAACGTGGGGTATAGCACCTCTTTCCAACACAAACATTAGCAACTGTGAGTCCACGCTCACAACAGCTTTGAGCAGTGGTGCAGAATGCTGCCCGCTCCAACGCTAGCTGTTCAATTCAGCGCAATGGTTATCTTCTGTTTCTATGGTCGTCTTGGACTATCACTTTCAAAGATGAACGGGAAGCATTGTGGGTGAAAGCGGAAGAGTTCCCAACGTCAGTCATCGTGCAAAAGAGCCTAACCTACGTGGTACTCAAGACCCAGCGGTCGAGGAGATTTTTGATGTGTTACTCACACAGGTCACATAAGTCACGAGCCGTGAAAATAGAGGCAAGCGACTTCCACGGAGTAATTACGGTGTAATGTAAGGATGGGCCAAACATTCTCTGATGTACGCAAAGATATATTGGGGGTGGTACTTGCTGCCTGTGGCTAGCTCCGACTACTGGAGTGTCAATGAAGCTTCGAAGCACAACTCTGAAACTTGTGCCACATGGCAAGAATGGCCCGTGGTATTGTTTGTTCCACAATGACTGGCGGAAACATCGTTGGAAAACAGGAAAGGGTGATCGACTTGACGGATGAGTGGAGAGAGGTGGAGGCAAGACTATCGAGCGAGTGAACGATCGAGGTAAAAGCGCAGTGTCAAGGTATTTGTACATATTAGTCATTGACTGGGGAAGTTTTTGCGCGGGTGGGCTACAGCGAGTACCTAGCTTAGCGAGGCAGGGTGACGGCGCTTGATATCGTGGAACCGACTCGCTTGAGCAGCCTGTGGCTTACGCCCAGCGCCTGGTTGACTATTTCGGCCAAGCCCAGCCACATTTAGCTGCAAACTAAACTTAGTCCTAGTCTTCGATTCCAATCTCTTGCGAGAAGCCACCCAGATTCTTCCCGTCTCGCTCTAAGCGTTTCCTCGGATTCCCGATTTGGTGGTGAAAACCTCCGCTTTCCAGCGTGAAACGTGTTGACTAACTGTTCTCGGCAGGATCCATGTTTGTTGCGTTGACAAATACAATACTTTTCGCAGCTTCTCATTACCTGTGGGCAGTTTCTTCACGGCAAGTATTGACCACTAGTTCCTACTAGGTAGATTTGCGCTGCGGTCGAGTTGCCTCCCTAGAAGCGTGGCTGACTTAGCAGATAGACCACGCTAAGCCAGCACTCGGCGGCTGTTTCAGGATCACGGCGATATACCCCATCTGAGAGCATTGCACACGTCAAAGATTATCTACGTGCGCTCGAAAGCTGCGCTTTGCGTTGACGTTTTGAGCATGTGCCATGCTCCTCATCCTATGTGCATGACACAAGCAGCGGGACCATGAGCCATAAATAAGGCGCAACATCAAGGTTAATCTTGCCTTCATCTGGCAATCGTCACTGAAACAAGAAGTCGGTCCCCCTGTGCCGGTGCAGTTCTTCCCGTACGTGATTTCTCACTTCGGTGGAGTATCTCTCTGAGACAGCCTCATGTTCAGGCGGGTGGATGATTGCCATCGATCTTGGCCGCTTTTAATCAGAACTTTGCGCGGCTTCAGCGCCTGAGCAGTGATGGCTGCAGGCCTCAAAAGAGTCAATCACTCATGCTCCGAGGCAGGATTGGCCTGCCGCTGGTGGATTGGGCACTGTCTAAGGGAGCTGTATTCAAAGCGATGATCAGCATCTACATTATTAACTTCCGTCTGATGTTCCCAGCTAGTCTCACGGCCGTCTACCATGCTCCCAACGTCGACGGTGGTCTTGCATGCTTCACGCCATAGTCAGTCATACACGTCCTCCGACAATCCATGTCCACCGTATGTTTGACTGTTGCCTAACACGAGTCGTGTCATGATTTCAATCTGTCGCCGCTTAGGGACGAGTGATGTGCTCGCACATTCATTTGCCTGTAGAAATTCAAGATTGTTCAGCCGTAAATATGGTCGTAATAGAAACCCCGTCAACGAAACAATCGGCGAAGACATATTTCGAACGTGATGATACTCAGGGTTTTCCGTCTTCTCCAACGAGCGAACGTATGTCAAGTATCTGGAAGGCCGATGCTAATCCGTGACACAGCTCCTCCATACCGATTGCTTGCTCCTTCTCCGGCTCGCGTCGGTACTTCTCTGCTCGGTTCGCTGTCTTCCAAACCTGCCACATCAGTGAGACGGTCATGAAGTACACCATGATGTATCTCAATACTTCGAGATGGTCTCACCGACGCCGTGCTGAGAATGCATCTCACGAGTGGACGCTCAACACAATGAGGCAGATCCAACACTCATGTATTCCCGGATGAGCATTGACGCTGGCATGTCGACACGTGCCGACCGAACTCGATCCGCGCAACGCTCGTTGGACAGGGGCCAATAGCTCCGGCAACGACAAGGACTTGCGCTGCGTTGTTGCCTGTCGATAGATGGCGGTACCAAGGTCAGTCGTGTACACTGTTTGCTGCCTCACGCTCCTGAGCCGTAGCTCGATCTGCGCATCTGGAACGGACGTTGAGTGTCCTATGCTTTGAGGCGGACGCCGACTCAGACCGCTCGCTCCTAGGGCAGGGACATTCCAGCCCCCGGATGCTTTGCTCCTCATAAGCTCAAGGAGGACGCTACGGCAACGCACTGCAGGCGGCATCATAGAGTGGTCGCGAGAAGGTGGTGCAGATGCTGCTCGACACAGGAGCTAAGGTCAATGCTCGAGGAGGACTCTACGACGATGCACTGCAGGTAGCATCAGAGGGTGGTGCTCGGCTAAGCACGCACGGGAGCCTCAGCAGGTCTTCGACGCGGCCGCCTTTGGCGAGGATGACTGACGGCATTTTCTCAACCTAAAATGAGTGTATAGGTGATGCAAACAATTTCCAGCTCCCACTGAATGGCCAACTCGCTCCTCTATTTTTGCACCAATGTCGCAACCTTGTGTTGTACATCCATCAGGCTCTTGTTCGGTAGACAGCATCAAACAGAGTCAGAGCTCCAAGTAGGCCGTGCCTACCATGGTCATTCCGACCGACTGCGACAGATTCGAGACACCAGTGACATTCTTTGTCCATCCAGCCGTAGATAGAAAGGTCGAGACGCGGGCCAGTGAAAGCAAGGGCCAGCTTGATGATCGATTTGCAGTCGACTGCAACGGCACCACCATGGAGCAGTAATACTTCAGAAAGTCACGAAGGAACTCGCAGCTCCGAACCGTAGGGACAGCCTCTGATATAGATTGAATGAACAGATGAAGCATGAACCTCGGCTGTATAGATGAAAGACATTCCGCGAACTGCAAGCTCAGCCCTTCGGAGGCCGGTGGGAGCATGTGGCTTCTTGTTGACGTAGAAACCTCCTTATGCTGGTGCCTTCCGATGTCCACCAGACAACACACAGTCTCTCGATAAGACGCGCTTTCTCATCAGCCTAGGCTGATGAGCTGGATACTCCGACCCACTATAGCATTGTACTGTGTACTTCAGCTGACATAAGCGCAGATTTAAGGCGACCCAGCCATCAGTCTTGCGATGGTCATCGTTTCTGTAAGAGTTCTTTGATCTGCGTGCTCTGCTCCGTCAGCAGCTTCATGAGTTCTTTCTGCTGCTGCTCAGACTCTTGCCGCTGCTTTCCCACATTTTGTCGCTGCTTCTCCAACTCTCTCAACAGATTAGCCTCCCTTTCTTCCGTATCTTTTCTCTGCTGCTCTAGCTGCTCGCGCAGAAGGGCCATCTCTCCCTTTTGCTTCTTGCTGGCAGGAGTGTCAGGTCTCTTGAACCCTGCCGTTTCCCGAGAGGACCGAGCACTCGGATCTAGCTCCTGGGATCCGTCTTCCTCCATGCCCACGCTGGAAGTCATCGACACGTTCCGAGGATCCTCCATGGCCGCCAGTGCATCACGGACTCGTTTCAGCTGTGCTGGGTAGAACGTGTGGTACACCTCTCGCACAAAGTCGTGGTCCTCTTCCTGCCTTGGCTCTCTTCAAAGTTCAGCACGAAGGACGCAATGGGATGTCGATAGAAGGCCATCTTCTCTCCATCAATGATGGCAAAGTGGCCGTACAGTTTCACTCGTTCGTTGTCGTGCGAGACCGAGAACACCAGGATTCGTCCGCTCAAATCCACCACTTGCGCTTCGTCTGCAGCACGACAAAGCTGGATGATGGCGTTCACCGCCATGCTGCTGCTGTGCATGTTTTGACGATCAGCCACGCTGATCCCCACATCCGCGCTTTTGGCCTCGCTAAGCAGAAACGGGAAATAAAGGTTGTTAGTGAACAATGTGGCGCGCTCGAACGCCGTGTAGTTCCGCAGCTTCGCCAACTCTTCTTCGTTGAAAGCGGACGCGGCAATTCCGAGCGCCGGATCAGGTTTCAATCTGGGTCCTCCGAGCGTCTTACACCGCGTCCACTCTGTGTCGATGTCTTCCACGACATGTTCCAGCTCTTGCAGGCCACAGATCAACAGCAGCTCCGGTGGCGGCACCAGCAACGGTGTGAGGTCTCAACAGATCCTCGCCTCATTACGATTTTGCACTCGCTGCCACACTGATAAGAATTTGGACAGTGGAAATGCCGTGTATTGTGGCTCCGGGTAGGTACTCTGTAACAGGCGTTTGCAGTACGACTTGCTCTCTTCCTGCACGTATGATAGGCCCTGCAATTCGTTGATGTACACTCCATGTCCCGCCAGAACTTTCTCAGATGCGGCAGAGTGCGCCTTCGGGACTTCTCCATCCTTGTAGCTTTGCGTGTAGCTTGAACTTGATGGCCGTTTCTTCGACGAGCTATTCGGTTCCTGACTCATGCTTGCGAAGTCCTTGGGCCACTGCGCAGTATGCGCCCAGTATGCTACCGGTGACGCTATCGGTGGTGCTATCGGTGGTGCTGTTGGTGGACACACTTCCGCGTCGTCCCTCGTGCAGTCTTCGGCGTTTGCCGGACCAGTTGTGTCGGACGCATCTGCGGTGATCCCAGATGTCTGCCTCCTTTTGCGGTGCCCGCGCCGTTGCCCCCTCGGTGTCGGCCCAAAGTCTCTTTCTCTTGTGTCCTTGCAGACGACGCGTAGGGTCCCCGACGTCGAAATGTGGATCTAGACTTGCCGCAGAACCGTCCGGGGCAGACTGCGACCTCTTCTGGAAGTTTTGCAGGGCTGGTTTGAATAGTTGGTGAATCTGCGGAAGACGGGTTAGTCGTAGGACATCTTCATCTCTTGCAGCGCCCTTCCTACCTCGGGTTGTGAAAGAGCTGCTTGTCGAGGGCGACGGTAGCAGACGACGTTTCTTGTACCGCCTCCCAATCGAGTCGCTCCTGGAGCTACGCGGCTCGCAACGCTGCGAATGTCCGCAGTCAGACAAGTGTGGCTTCATGAGCACTGTACTTCCTCGGTCGCAAGATGAGCAAACGACGTATTTATTCTTCCCTGCAGCATTGCCACGGGGCACTCGGTCTTGCTGGTGCGTGTAGATGCTAGGCTGCACACCTCTGTCTGACAAAATAACCTGCAATGTCATGGTCGATTGGTGGCCGAGATGCAGGTTCCATGCCAAGGGCGTTTAGCAACAATACGTGCATCACGTGGGGTACTGCCGCTAGCCCACAAGAAACCCTTGCATTTGCTCCGCAAAACGTCAGAGCCTGAAAGCATCGTGAGTCCAGGGCAGATTCCCCGACGCCAGCATTTCATGAATGCGGACACTGGATGCGGGCGAGTGCAGGGCGGCCGGCAGGACGGCAGTTAAAACCACAGCAGACCAATCAAACACAAATATGACATTGGGACTGCGGCAAATTCAGCCCGCCCATCTCCAAGCTCGACTCACGACGAAGCAACAGCCATTCCCGCGTTGGCTTTCTATGTTCTACCGGGTTGCCGATCTCTCGCCTACACTACCATGAGTTCACGACATCGAGCATTACGGTATGCAGAGCTGTGGTGCTGCGGAAAATTCCTTCTCACGGGCGGCAGCGATTAGAAAACAACCCTCGCCAATACAGAGGTTACCCCTGGGACGCCTAGTGTGCACCTTGCAGAGAGTCAGAAAATTGCTGCTGGTGACCCCGAGAGGCGAAGAAGACCTGCCGATCGACGATGACACGGCACAGCCAGACTGCAACCCATTCTACGGCTACACCTGCACGTTTCAGGTTTTACGACCACCAGAGAGTGTGAATGAAAGCAGTCTGTCAGGGTCCAGGCCACTGCCCACTTTGTTTCCTCTCTCTTCTCCCCTATCTCCCCTATCTTCCCGTCTCAAGATGTTCCTCGAACGAGACGTGAACTCTCATCCTCCGCAACACCACATCGTCGACTAAGGGACTACTGTCGGCACAGAATCGAACCATGCAAAACAGTGACCTAGCATGCCTTGCCCTTTTTCATTCTCACTTGAACCTTAGCTCCATCTTAGCTCAACTCCAGAGTAACTAGCGCATGGTCCTGATGTCGATATCTTTGCTGTTCGGGGCAAAAACACTGGCCAGTCTTTGTGAAGGAGCCTTCAGCTGTAAGCTTTTCTAGATTCTGCGCTCCGCAATGCAGTACTCCTATTTGGCCAGTCCTCCCCTCGACCTTGTCTTTCCGATACTCAAAAGCCTTCTTAAGGAACACAACTGTGGTTGTCGTCTCTGACTTTTATCCCAACTGCAAGTTCCCCTGTGACCTCTTCGCGTTAGCGAGGTTTCGCGCTCTTTGTGCGAGGTTTGCTCATGTACATGTGCTGGCGGCGCGAAAGTATGGCCTGCTTACTTTTCAGCCTTGCCAGTCCGGGTGACCACAACTCTGATCTTGTGAAGGCAAGTGATGTGGACCGAATGCTTGCTGAGCATTTCGAGGAGTGTACCAAGGAGCACCGTGTGTGAACTGTGGCGGAAACATTTGATCGTACGCGTATTGTCCTTGGGCCTGTCCAGCTCCGATTTGCGGGCTACTCCGCATGCCCATAGCTACTCTGTCACGGCTCGACTGGCTCTGCACTGCCGGTATGGTAATGGTCCTTTGCATCTTCGGAAACGTGTTGCCGTATTGTTGATATGTGCTCGGCGATTGGCCTGTGTCGGACGTGGGCATGCTGCCAAAGCTTGGTGGTGCTGCGCCACGCAGTGACCCGATGTCTTGGTTGCTGTGTTGAAGCTGAGGGTCTTGCGGTGGCAGGGCAGAAGCATTGGCAACACTGAATTGTTGCTGCTGGTATATCAGTTGAGTAGGGTGGTTCGCGGTCCAGTAGGCTTGGGCTGGTGCGCTCGGGGGCTGATTGTGCTGTGGATGATATACATTTTGCATCTGGACTTGAGTCGACCGGGTGCTCCGGTCGGGGTACTCCTGGGTGTGCTCGGTTCCAACGCAGGATGCTGATCAAGTCAGTTTAAGGTGCCATGAACTCGTTAGCAACAACTCACTCGGTGATGCCGTCAGTCTGTGCGCACGTGTCTGGACCGTGTTTGACGCGGCACTTCGTATTGAGGCCGTATCGTAGGGATTCTGAGTAGACGTTACTGGATCTGGAGATGGCGAACCTTTTGACACCTGCCGTTCACCGACCGAGGATTTGGTTCGGAGCTCTGACTTGGACTTTCTCGTGTTCGCTCCCTCTCCTTCGACAGGGTAAAATTGTCACACTCTCTTCAGCCTGATGCAGTTTTGGCATCGGCTTTCGGTCTGATCAGCTGAGGGTATGCAACGGATTCTTCGATGTCGACAGTGACCTGTGTTATCGTATCAGTCATCGAGCTTGTGTATGTGACACAGGCACTCTTACTGCAGGCCACTGGCGTCTTAGGATAGCTCAATTTGTTCCGCTTCTTGCGCTCACTGCCCGAAGCAGAAGCAGTTTCGTTCTCAATCTGGGGACTGGTGATGCTTGAAGACATCGCGTAAAGCTTCAGAGCGTACAGAAAGGACTTGGCCGCGAGAAACGAGCCTGACAAATACGCAGCACAGTTGGGGACGAGACGGAATCGAACACCAGGTCTGCTAGCGACTCCCGAGGCCAAGAATGTTGAAAAAGGTTCGTCTCGATGATTCGAGGAGCCAGCGGCGATTGATGACGACAGTCTTAGTACTGTACTCAGATATCGCAGACATACAGTAACAGCCAAATAGTGCTATTGGATTGTGGCGACCAACGGCGGAGCCATACCTGTCCGCCTCGTAGGTATGTGGTCAAGCAAGACCCTGGAACTCGGTTGCCTGGTCCCCACTAACTGTTTCATGGAGTTGAAAGAGTGGCCATCCACGCAGTGCGCAGACCAGCTCTCTGCCACTGCCGCTTAGCGAAATGTTCTAGGCCAGGTCGCTTGGCTCTTGAAGCTCGTTGTCGTACGAGTATTCGTCGTTGCGACCGTTAACTCCAACAGCGGTGGAAGCAATTGATCGTATGGGTTGTTAGAGGTTCAAGTCCGGTCGCAATGGTCCGGCGACAATCGAAAGCTTTGCAGAAAGAGGAATGCTGGGTTAAATAAAGGTGGAACAACCGGGGTTCAAGCCACAGAGGCTCTGGCCGAGGGCTAGGCTGAGGCAAACTGGGTGCTTCCGGTTTGCCGCTGGAAGATTAAAGGCAACATAAATCGCCGAGCAAAATGCAAGCCAGAACGACAAGTCAGATCGGTTGAAAATGCCGATATCTCAGCGGCTGTGGCTACAGATCAAAAACTCTGTCGCTCGGGTTACTTGTCAAGTCAGATATCGGGAAGTCTGATTCTTCTCGCGCAATGAGCGCCCTAGCAGCATTGACCACAGTGTACTAAGAGTATGCCTCTACGTTTGGTCAAACGTGCCACCGGCCAAGTTAGACTAGAAGAATGTACGATGCTCTCGGAAGAAGTCACGTTATCGCCATGAGCCTCAAACAGCCGCTGAGTGCTTGTTTTCGCGTAGTCCCATCTGCTAAGTCAGGCACATCAACCACGTTCTTGGAGGATTTAGCTCGACAGCAGCGCAGATCTACCTAGGTGGAACTAGACCAATAGGTGCGGTGAGGGTATCGCTCACAGGTGGTAGCAGGGGAAGCTAAGAGATGCACTACGTTAGGGGGCGACTAAGTCAGCAGGATCCTTCTTAACGTGACCTGCCGTTCATGCGGGAGAGCGGAGACTGCGATCGCCTGTGCGGCGAATATGGGACACGCCTGGAGTGAGACAGAAGGATGTGAGTGGTTTTTTGCGGGGAGTGGAACTGAAGAGTAGATCAGCCTGCAGCTGAACCGCCCGTACGTACAGGATCTATCAAAAATCATGTCTCGAATGAGTGCATGCTCAGAGCCCGTCAGATTGGGCGCCATTCCCGAAGTCTACATGTGTAAAGCAATATGCATAATGTGCATCCACCGAATGCACGCACTACAACGATCATCTTGACATACTGTTCTCATAGTGCTGGACAGAGTAACGTAGGATTCTGGAACAGGTATAGTCGCTTATTCGAAACGTCTTGGCCGCCTTGGCGGTGTCGCTGTCCAAAACGTGTTGTACTGAAAGCAGTGGGAAGGGACCTTTTGCAATCAACCGTATCATTACGAGACTACGTTACACTGCTGTTGAAAGTCCGTACTGCAGAAGGTCATTAATTGTTGGTGACATAATTTAACATCAGGTATAGGCGGTAGCAGCAACCAGGGAGTAATGGCAATTTATCATACCAGTCTGCGGCGTATATGCCTAGTCACCTCGTCAGAATTAGGCCCTAAATTCTCCTCGTCGTTCCAGGGCTAGCCAACTTTTGGCCGAGCCAGACCTGGCTATACGAACTGACTGTCTTCCAGGGAGCTTCATCCGAGCTGCTTAGTGCCATTATAAATGCGCCTCAATTCGACTTGATACTCATGTCTGTTTCTGCTCTTCCGCACGGGAGGCCATCGCTGGGGTTACATCATATCAATATTAACTACTACAAGCCCCATCAAGCTCCTTTTTCTAATTCTCACGTTCCTTCGTACACCAGCATTCCACAGCAAGCCTTTTTCATAGCTATTCCACGTTCAACAAAGCTGGTTTCTCCCAACCAATTCAAATACGCGCCTATTACTCCATCTTAAACGTCGGTTCTTGCGGATCTACAGCTACTGCATGTCGCTATTTCCGCAGCTCTAACAGCATTCACGCTTGCTGAAATAGCAACAGACAGCGCACTTGAACCACCATCTTTGAACAGCCTCGATCGCAAGCACGATCAACCACGGTAGCGGACGACACTGTTTACATCTCGTTTCCACAGAAGCTGTTCTCTTGGACGACGATCCCGTGTACGACATATACTCGGCGGCGTCAGTACTGCGTTAGCGACTGAGTCCTCCTTGTTCAGGCGCTACAGAGACATAGACTCTGCAATTCTGAACGCAAAGAAGCTCAGATCGTACTGCACGAGTCTTTTCGCACGTACACGGAGAAAACGATATGGCGGAGAAGACCACGGACAAGGTTTCCATAACAATTTGTGGTGATGGTGGTTGTGGTACGAGATCTGCGACACGCATCCATGTGCATGTGTGGTGCTGACGAAGATCTGGCGCTGATTCGCGTTTAGGAAAATCTTCTTTGACACTACGTCTGGTCAGATCGCAATGGACCGAAGAATATGCACAAATGGATAGACAGCTTGGGAGACCTGGCTGACGATCTTCCAGATACGACCCAACGATAGAAGACTCGTACTCAGTAACCCGCACAATCGATGGACTTCCATACCACTTATCCTTGACCGACACAGCCGGCCAGGAGGAATACCGCGGACTATGGGCTGCCTCAAGCCTCCAGTCAGATGCCTTCCTGCTCGTCTACGACATCACAAACTCCAACACTCTTGGATTTTTATCATGGTTCTTCGACATGATCAGCATAGAGGCTGAGAATCGAATCGAGGAGAACAGCATCTTACTCCAGGAGAGGGGCACGCGAGTTAGAGGCAGACGGGAGGAAGGTTGGAGGGCACCCCCTGTAATGTTGGTCGCTGGCAACAAGTGTGATTTGAAAGATGCACGTGCTGTCAGCAGTAAGTCTGGCTGGGAGTGGGCCAGGTCGAGAGGTTGTGGGTTCATGGAGACCTCGGCCAGGGAGATGGTCAATGTTGAGGAAACTTTTACCTCTATGTGTGACCCTTGACCAAGTGCCCGCGGTCCTGACTGGTACAGTGATCGTGAGAAGAGTAGTCGACAATCGAAGATCAGAACTCGGCACGTCGACCGCACGATCAACAGGCCCACAAACGAGCGCTGTTGGTCGCGGCACGTATGGCACTCCCTCACTGATCTCCTATAACAACTATGAGGGCTCGTCACGGCCCACGAGAGATGTGGATGAGGACAGCCCCTTTAACCAGCAGAAGCCATGGTGGAAGAGACCACTACGTTGCAGCTGCTTTTCTTGATATCCGTGCTTTTTCGACCAAGCCATCAACAATCATTCGAGCTACGTTCCGACTGTGTTGTGACAGGCGAACTGTCCACATCGGACCGACGTCTGGAATCCTGGTTGCCACCCAGCACTAATCCAGGCCTGCGTGTCACAGATCAGTCGGGTCTCATGGAGGAGGTGCAGATACCTTTGATGTAGAACTATATGCCATTGCTGTTGCAGATTGCAAGAAAACCACACATGCTAGTTTTCGCAGCGGGAATCATTGATTACTCGACAATTGAGGAGCTGGCAGTTTCGACGAACCCAGCTCTACAGGAGATGCACCAGCCCGGATCGGTGAGTGAGCAAGATAGGACAAAGCTACCAGCCAAATATTATGGCTCGTAACAGTCAGTGCAGTCAACGTGATTGCTCGTTGGGAAGTCAGGACCACGATAGAGCGATTGAACGGCCGTGTCTTCTTGTCTTCTCTCGGCCCCGGATCGCAGTCTTTGACATCGAGAACTGATTGAACAGTCACTATCAGCGTTAGTCTTTCTCGTTTTGAAATCGTTCGCATTGTTGGACACACAACGCCTGGTAGTCTTGTTACCGGGCAAGCTTGCTCCAGAACCGGATGGCTTGCGGCTCCACAAAAGTGACCGTGCACAAGGGCTGATCCAGACCCAGCGTTTGTGACGAGGCCGGTCAGCTACACTCTCCGCACTCAATTCACCAGTGACCCTACCGAACTGTCTCGTCGCACCCCGACGCACAGGTTTCGACTGCTCTCCTCCGAAGCACTTAAACATCCATTCGCCTGCGGCAGCATGCGACATCGCACAAGCAACAGAATCTTGGCTGCCAGGTGCAGAGTGCAAGCTCGATGCAGAGTCCAGAACACTGCGGTCTATGAAGGAATGTCGTGCGGATCCGCTGTCAGCTTGTCTGGAAAGATCCCAAGTGTGACTCTCGTTGGCGATCAGAGGACGACACCCCAATGCGCCGGACGAGAGAAGTGCGGAGCATTGAGACTGGAGATTGAACTCTGACTCCGTAACTGAGCCGGTTGTAGTTTCATTTTTTTGCGAGTCTGGTCCATTGCGCTGGACCCTTTTCCTCCTAAAAATACGGGCCTTACCTCCTAAACTCCGTTGGCGAAACCCTCCGTCGTTCGAGCATTGTACCTGCTGTGAGCTGGATCGTTCGAAGATCTTGATGGGTAACGGAGCACTTAAGCTCTGTATCGATCCAATGGGTTGCGAAGAAGTTTCAACATGAATGCTGAGATCTGTCATCTGCTCTGACACGGTATCTAGCGCTCGTTCATTTCGTGGAATCTTCGCTGGAAATTGTGTGGTCGACAGCATCTTCGAGAAGCTCAGATCGAGATTATGGTAGTTGCTGCTCGTTGCCAGAGTCCCAGTTTTGCTGCTCTGAGCAAGAGCATCGCCGAAAGCTCGTGGCAATAGGAAAAGCTGGCTGTCGTCTTGGCTGTAACACGTCGTATGCAGACCAAGACACTGATGCTCTTCTGACTCACTACCATTGAGAGGATGGCGGTTAGAATTGTCGTCCCAGAACGGCGTCCCGTTGACAGGCCTGTTGGCCGCAAAACGCATGGCACTATGGCTAAGAATCGATGTAGTAGCGTTCCTCTTGATTCGCTTGGCCTTCTCGAGTGGGTTGGTCTTGTGTGGATAGTATTACGCGACTGAGTCATTTTGGCTCATACCACTTGGTCGCCAGGTATTGCCGACCTTGCTGTCAACACGAGTGCGCGATGAAATGCAACAAACGAAAGCTTCCGTCAGCCGCGGATCGTGTCGTACATAGGTTTGTTATGAGTACGAAGAGCTTTTGCTAGAAATGCTCGCCTATCGGCACAGAGACCGACAAGCGCCCTCCCGAATCGCTGTCAAAGTCAAATGCTGAACGGGTGCCTGAGGACCTATTGTTTTCCTCGTTGATCCTTTCCTCTAACACCATCCTACCTTGTGTAAACTTGCTATGCGGCGACACCGTAAGCTAGATTCACTACCAGGTGAATGCAGTAACCCGCACCAGCAAGGTGGGTAACAACCTTTGCCCATTTTTCCAACGTCTTCGACCTTGTGTGGAAAGCATAGCCGAGTGAGGATGAGCTTGGATAAGGTCTAAGCAAGTCGACTTCCTGTGAGTGTCGCACAGGGTGGGCTCCTAGCGACTGAACTCCCATCCGCCGCAGAAATCGTCCACGGTGTGTGGTTTGCGGAAAACTTTACGCCGAGCAGCGCCGCTGCGGTTTTGGCTCTCAAGAATATCGGCGATTGGCACGCCGTGCTGATTTCCAACGCAGCCTCGGAAAAAGGATCTTACGAGCCATTCCTGACCTGCGCTCGACGTAAGCCGCTTTAGTGGAGAGAACAAGCCCTCAGTTTGAGGACTAGTGCTTTAAGAGACGCCAGTGTAGGCTGTCATTTCCTGCATGTGCCGGGATCGAGAACATGGGGCTTAGCGAACCTCGCTTCCAAAGGACTTAGTATAGGTTAGCCCTGGAGCACCAGCAAATAGTTTTCTGCAGTGGCCCCACGCCAGCTCGCGCTTTCGTTAAAGTGGATTGCCCATGAAAATGCTGTTCACAGCTGCATCTACGGGTGCGAAGGGCCGGTTCCACGCGCCACGCGCCCGTTTCGCCTTGCAGCACGACCTTGAATTTTGTCTTTGTTTTGATAGTCCACCTTTTCGCGATAACACGACCCCTGCTGTGTCCAACATCGCAGCATTGGCCCGTCCGTCGTTGGGACCGTGCAGTGGCCTGATGACGGGGTACTCTTGACTTTTTCGCTGATTCATGTTCCCGCGCCGGCACAAAAGTACAGTAATGTGCTTATATTTGTTTCCGTGCCTCGGTGGCCAGATGGCGTTGAGGAGGCCTATTTCTGCGGCCTGAGGACCCAGGCTTCTCGCGGCGGTTATCGTGCGCTTCCTGTTGGCCTAGCGTTGATTCTTAGCTCCAAATGCTTTGCATTACTGACCTGACTAGCGATTCCCAACATATGCCTTGCATATGCTGACGGATGTTCTCGGCATGCAATAGAGAAGTAGTAGGTCAAGCATGCTGGGCCAAGTCACCGTATGAGCCACTCCCAAGACAAAAGTTCGTAGTTTGCGGAATTGAGAGGTCAGTGCTAAAAACTTCGATAAGTCGTCCCGAAAATGGGATGGCAGCCGCCCTCTGCACACAGTTCGGCGCTCTAGCCAAATGCCTCTCCTGCAAAAGGTACGAGATATCGCACGGCATTTGGGTCCACATCTACCGAAGTGGTAAGAATGCCCCTTGGCGGGCAGGAGGCGAGCTTAGCGTCGAGGCGAGCCTTTTACTCGTCCATCGGGTGATTCTGCGTTCTGGCTTCACAGTACCCTGAAAACCTCCATTTCTCGTACACTCTATGCTCTCACTACCTCCATTATCCATGGTTACCGTTGACCGTATCGCATCTTCGAAAAGGCGGACCATAGACTGACCACATGGGCATCTTCCGACGATATCTTCAAAGCAGCGGGACAGATTTCCACTTGCTTGTCAGAGGAAAACGCTGAGATTCGTATGTCAACCAGAACCAATAATGGGACGCTTTTGGCCGTTCAGCCAATCACGTCATACTGAACCAGACGAGACTCAAAGTACCCATCTCTTTACCAATGCCGTTCACTCACAGACTTCGGGCAACAATGCACGGCTTGCAAACGCTGAGATGAATGCTGAAGGACAACAGTTTACCTGGACTACCTCTTCCAAACCCTATAGCTGTCCTCTGACGGTGCGGTTGAAATCAGCACAGAGCATAACAACCAACCATGATGACCGTTTGAAGAGCTCGCAACAACGTTGGAGCAGCAATCCCCCGTCAGTTCCTTCCCCGTCTCGAAGTACTTGTTTCGCGCCGGTTGACGCAACACCAAACCTTGCCAGATCACAGCTGCTATCAGATGCATCGGTAGCTCTGAACACTTCCCGCCCCGTGCTCAATCATCCGTTTTCCTCACCAGGCCACGACGAAGGATACCAGTCTCGCTCAGCAGTATACGGATTTGATGTATCAGACATCGTGAGTCACAAAAGCTGGTTCTTAGATGACTCAGACGCCGAAGTGGACAATCAGGACAAAGCACCCACAAATGCAATTCCTTCGGTCATCGAGTTGCTGGAATCCAGCCTCTCGGAACAAGAGATTGTTGGCAAACTTGTCAATGAGGTTTATGCCTCGCCGAGTGGCTGTAAATCAGGAGAGCCGTTCGAGCACAACTTCATCGCGTCTGAACACAGCCATCCGCCCGAAGAATATACTAGGCTTGGGAAGAGGACGAGAAGTCCCAAAAACCATCGGGATCCTTCGAAACTGCGAAGGCACTATTCACGGGAAAGTGAGGGTTGCCAGTTGACAGCGGCATACTCTGCTTCACCTCTGTGTGGTGCAGCAGAAACTGCGTCCCGTCTCATACCGTTCAGGAGTAGCTCTTGGAGACATATCGATGCCCCCAAGGAGACAGGGTACGAAAAGGTGTTCGGTACTTCGGTACTGGAAGGAGTTGAAAGCCAGCGGAAGCACTGTGGACCTCCCCAGTTATCCTGCCCACCTGTTGTGGACTATGCACAGGAATCGACTGGCCGTTGCTTGTCAACAGGAAGGCGCTTAGATAGTGCTCCATTGCCGGAAAAGCTCTGCCACCTCATGCCAGCATGCATGCGAACTTCTCCGGTGACGCTTCCCTGGGCACTATCACCTTACGAGAAGGCAATGCAGATACTGCTCGATGCGGGAGTCGATGTCAACGCTCAAGGAGGAGAATTTGGCAATAAATTGCAGTTCGTGTCAGCACGTGGTCAGGGGGAGATGGTGCAGGCACTGCTTGATGTCGGAGCTGATGTTAATGCTCAAGGAGGATGGTACGGCAATGCGTTACAGGCCGCATCAGCACATTGTCACGACAAAGTCGTACAGATATTGCTCGATGCGGGAGCTGACGTCAATGCTCAAGGTGGATGGTACGGCAATGCACTACAGTCCGCATCATATAGTGGAGACCAGAAGACAATGCAGATACTGCTCGATGCGGGTGGTGATGTCAATGCCGAAGGAGGAGAGTATGGCAATGCATTACAGGCCGCATCAGCACGCGGTCTCCATATGATGGTGCAGAGACTGCTCGATGCAGGAGCTCATGTCAATACTCAAGGAGGATGGTACGGCAGTGCACTACAATCCGCATCAGCAGGTGGTCACGAGAAGGTGGTGCAGCTGCTGCTCGATGCGGGAGCTGACGTCAATGCCCAAGGTGGAGAGTATGGCGATGCATTGCAGGCCGCGTTAGCACGCGGGCATGAAAAGGTCGTGCAGATACTGCTCCGTCAAAGAGCTAATGCCCGTCCTGAACAGACGACCAGCGGCAAGCGGAGACCTAGACGACAACCACGAGATGAGCTAACTATTGCCATACCCATTGCGGGTCTGGCTGTGGGGAAACGACGGACTGACCCGAAAATCGTACAAGAACCTGAACCTTACACGGCAACAAGTCCTTCATTTCATTTGCTCGCAAGTTACAGGAACAGAGACAGCGTGGAATCTTCATTGAGTCGATGAGTGCGTTGCGAATTCAAATTAAAATTGGTCTTGCCTGTTCTGGGTGTCTCAACTGTCCGGAGGAAGGTACGACTTTCTGAGCATTGTGGCAGTGACGGCGGTGAAATTGGTCACGCAGCCAGGCACAGATTTCGCAACCAACAAGCAAGATAAAGCGAACAGTCCTTGAAATTGTGTAAGATGGTGTCGTCGTGCAGAGATTCCACTCCAGACATTGTCGCCGGTGAAGTCAAGATCGCATTGTTGTTTTCTTCGGAAGAGCACAGGTGCCCCACCGAGTGAGTGGCCTTGGTTTCGAACCCAGCGGACGGGGCGCTGCATGTCTGATCTAGTGTGCGATATGGATAACTTTCGAAGTACATTTTGGACGGGCGTGGAGCTTCGCTGGTAGCCAAACTATTAGGAAGGCACGTGAAAAGCGAAGGTGGTGAGGGTGGCAAATCAAGAAGGACAATGGAAGGAAAGCAGGAAAAGCGTATCCGATCTCAACAGAACTCGACTCAAGTAGTGCTAGCTTCCAATCGAAACTGGATGCAACTGGAGATTACAATGGCTAAGCTTCAAGGTAGCTTTAGGAGAGAAGAAGCTTGACAGTAGTGTCAACCGTGGACGTCTGAGAGGGACGATTCGGTGTCTGCCTCCAGCATGCAGAACATGGGAAAAACAACACATCGAGGTCCTTTCATGGTTTGCTTCCGAACCTATTTCTCTCTCTCTCTCATCTTCACCCATGACAAAGCTGCCCACTGGCTCCAAGCTAAACGACATTACCACCAAAATTTGTACAATAATCCAGTGGTTCCAGTCTAACCAGCAGCTGATATCCTATCTCTTCGGATGACAAAGATGCCGACCTCAACATCGCCACTCGCGGCAGCAGCTGTACTCTTCTGGAGTCCCGCCACGATTTCTTGGATCAGCATTCCTGGTGTGATGTCGGTCCTGCCGCCATTGCCTTGAGAAAGTGTGCCACCTTCCTTGCGGTAGTCTACCAGATCCTGCTTCATGCGCGATTGCTCTTGCTCGACGAACCATGTCATCCAAGCGTCTCTGTCCAGCATGACTCCTGCTGTCTCGCTGTGTGCCAGGACGAACGTGCTCCGCGACTTCTTAATGCTGTCGCTAGCATTTAACGAGGTGTAAAAGGTTTGAAGACGATTCTACATGTTATCGAATTGGAAAATGGAGTCTAGAGCTCACATTTTCCCTAACCGCTCAGCAGCATCGATGGGAGGAGTATACCGTCCCGAAACGAGGTGCGAACCATGACATGGACGAGTTGGCTTCAACCCACCACAAAAGGAAGGCCGATCAATGTACTGCTATGGGCAACGCGCTCCTGGCGCAGACCCATTGTGACGCGGGTTTGTTGGTTCAGGGACCTGGCATTCCTCCTGATTTTGGTACATGTTGTACGACCCGTGCCTTCCGATTATCTGGTGTCCTGCAAAACCTGGTAATTGTGACACGTCAACAGCCCTGATCGTTCTCGGAACGCAGAGGGTGAACTCGTTTCGCTTCAGCCAAAACAGCTTCTCGAGCAATTGCCGCTTCGTGTCGCACAGTATAATGCTTTCCTGATGTGGTTGGAGCGCAAAAACCATCTTGTAGAAGCAAAATGGCATATAGACGCTCGGGTAATCCATGGTTTTCCAACGTGCGACTATTGGTCGTCCTTTCGGATAGCTTATCCTTACACCTGGGGATTGGCCAGGGAGGCTGCATCCAGGATCATGCGCCATGCGCTTGATACGATTCTTTGCATTCGATCCCCAGGGCATTCTTCTCTGCTACATACGTTGTTCTAGCAGAGGCCTTTGCCCCATAATCACGTACACGGGGTAATAGCTGTGCACGCTCTTCTGCCTGAGCTCTTGCCTACATTCCATGAGCAACAGTTCCAATTCGGCCATTCCGTATCCTAGCAATTCTGTGAAGATCTTCGCACTCAAGCCCTGTATTCCATCTATCAGATTCACTAAGCCAAAGAGTCCCGCTTGCTTCATTGTTGGGTCTTTCGCCCATGGCCCGATCGGCAACTTGAAATTCTTGCGATGAACATTGATAAAGCCCACGTCACGCATCTGCTGCATTACGAGTTCGGGGTCACAGCGACCCCTGAGGCCAACCTTTTTGAGGCCAGCCAATAGTTCATCTTCCCAGTGTTCCAGCCTACTGTCTGGCTCTATCGTGCCATCGTCTGAGCGGCGGCGCCAGTCAAATTCCTGACACTCAACCCAACCTCCGACTGATAGAGAGGCGTAGGCCTCGGTGAAGAAATGCCACCAAGACTTCAGCGAGAAGTCGTTCATGATCCTGGTATGTATCAGATCGAACTTCTGGCTGAACGTCCAATCATCGTCGGCATCGGCAATCTCAAAGACGCAATTTGGCGGGACATTATTTGGCTGGATAGGTGATAGGTCAATGCCTTTGACGAGAGCGTTGGGATGGGCGTCTGCCACATCGATACACCAAGCGCCTGCACCTGTGCCCACGTCTAATACCGACAGCGGGTCTTTGATGGGAGCGAAGAATAGATTGTCGTGGAGCGCAAGGCGGACGGCATGATATTTCACTTCCATGCGCTCGATCTCGGCGCTGTCATTTGGAAAGAGGTACTGGCCGCGGTGAAAGGCGTGGTATGTTCGACCGTGGGCTTCTTCGTAGTCATAGATACTGGATGCTACAGTGTAGGTGGAAGACTCAACATCCCAAAAACCAGAGTCGCCTGAGACCGAAGCGTCGTCTGCTCGGTCGTCCTCATCTATCACTTCCACTGATGTATTGAGAATACTCGATGTAACAACAGAAGACTGATCTGTGTCACCCATGGGAGCGGACGGGGCTGCGAGTGTGTTACTGATGGCCAGGCTGTCGAGAGAATGTTCGATCGGCGACAAGCAAGACCGACTAGGTCAAGAGCCTTAAGATCACGTTAAAAGAGCACGAGTGTTCGAATTTAGTGGAGTACTTGATCGCGTCAGGAGGGCGGAACCACAACGGAACCCTCTTGAACCAGACTGAGTGCACATCTAGTATTGTCCAATTGCGCCGCTGAGAAAGAGCATTAGCCAGGCCAACACGATTGCTAACGAGGGTCACCTGGCCTCGCCACCACGGCTGAGACTAACCCTTTCTAGATGCACTTACATCTTAGGTGACCGTTGGCGCCTTATTTCGAAAAGGCACAGCGGTAAAAACCTTGCAACGGCGTCGTAAAATAGTGCGCGGTGAGGGGAGTAGCAGGATCTTTGAGCCGTTTCAAGGTCCAACAAGGATGCGAGCGGGCTTGAAAGGCCTTTTAGCGTGGCAGGTAGGTCCATTCTAGCGCCTCGATGAATTGGTCTCCATCCCGTGTGTCCATCCCGTGTGTTCATCCGATATGGGCTCGTAGCTGACCATGGACGCTACGACTTACTCAGCAGCGACGGCCGAAAATTAATGTCGAAAGATTTTGGCGTAGCCATTCCGCGTTTCTACCACAGCCGCCAACTGAAGAAACGTAGTTCTACGAAATGTAGCACGTCACGTTGTCGTCTCCTTCATGGTACTTTCTGGTGGCCTACTATAGCTCGCTATTGGCGCCAAACCAGAGCTGCTGCGGGGTCTTGGACGGTTTGGGACGCGGCACTGCAGGTACTGGAGCACGAACTCTGGGCATTATTTACTGCAACCACTACTGGGCATCCCACTCTGTCATGTAACAGGCCATCTTCCGTATTGAGTAAAAGCTCAAGCAGAAGCGTCGACAAGATGATAGGTCTCTACAATGTCCAGGAGCCTGATCTTCTAGCAAGCGTTGATGTGGTCGGCCCAAAATCGACTTGCCCTGGTCAGAACCCAGAACGAAACTTGACCATTGAAAATCTGCGTGATTGACTTCGGATAACTTAGCTCATTTGAGTGTGCCGTGCCGTGTACCCACTCAGACGTGGAAAGCGACCCGAATCCCTTTTCGTCCAAGTGGGTTGCGACTCGTTCAGGTCCCAACAGACTATCCTCGGCACAAACACCAAATATCACTCTGGGACCGCGCACCACGAGGCTCACTCATTTCGTGGAAGGTCGATCAATCCTTCGGACAGGGCAAAGCAACGATATGATCGCAGCTCTTTAGGAAACCACACAACTCTGCGCAATAGCTTCTCGGTGCTATGGACAAACACTTCGTCCCGTACACAAGAGGCGATACTATGCAGTTGCCAGCATGCTGCCAAAATCGACGACAACGGGAAAGACAAGCTATTATCTCCAGAATCCGACAGCGCATGAAGCCGGTGATGATGCTTCTTCAGACTGTTGCAAGAATATATCCGTCAAGCATTTACCACCAGCAAATGACAGTCCCAATTTGACGGATTCCATGAAGGCCAAAATGGTTGCAATCGTAAAACGGCGGCGGAGCTTTGCCTTCCCGCTCCCGTACCTTGGCACAGTGGACACGAAGACCCTAGATGAAGATTTGAAAATACAACGAAGTGGTACACAGTTCCGACGAGAAACGTGCAACAGGTACGATCAGTGCTGGAAATACTCTAACGCATTCGGCCGCTCCAAAAAGTCAAGGCGTGAAAACAGCGTGTGTCTCGAGAGAGTCTCACATGACGGACCTCCATGTGCCGGCCAGATAGTTACCAAGTCGCCACCCATGAACACCGGGCTTCAGTACCGTGCCACTCACAGTGTCATGCGTTTTGCGGTCGATGGGACCTCGTTCTGGGATGACGAGGTTGTCCGCAATAACTTTAATGATCGTGAGCCAGAGGAGCATCATTGTTTTGGACTGTACACGATGTACGACAGCCAAAGTGATAATGAGCTTGCCCCCTCGCCTCGAGCTTTCAGCAACGCCCTTGCTCAAACCAGCGAACGAATGAGGACCGCGACAATAAACACTACCCATTCCGGTTCTCATTTGAGCTGTTCGAGGACGCTGCCGGCCAAATAAAGATCAGGGTCAACCGCCTCAGATGAACGAGCGCTAGAAGTGTTAGAGCTAACAGCAGGTCTTGACCTTGATGATGATGTCAATTTCAGCAGCACATCACTGAACAGAAATCATTCGTTTCCCATCGATGATCCCAAAAGAGTCAGCTCACGGCAAGTCCAACGGAGGCCAGGGCCTAAGAGGTAAGGGGCCTACTTTTGAGAAGAAGAGTCCTACGCGATAAACCATTGTCAACTAGTGCGACTCAAGCGCCTGGTGCAGTTCAGGAAAACAAAGCGAAAAGGAAGCAGGCTGAACACGACAAGGCTGAGATTTAGGTCCTGCTCGAACAAGTTCGAAGCCACATCTTGGCGAGATGGCGCTCGATTGATTTGAGTCCGGTACGTGACTGCCTCCAGAACAGCTGTGTTGCACCACGAAGGTTTCCGGGGTTCCTCGTGCTAGCCTTCCAGCAATCCGAGGCCTGACGAGTGGCTAGGATGGAAGGCGCATTCTGGAGTTGAACCGGAACATTTTGCAGAGGTTTGCAGACTGCCGTTGGCATGGCCACGATATGGGCGACATCCCCACACACCCACCAGTCCACTGCCTCGTCCCTAAAGTCGAGAACGATCCTGTCTCTGGTGGTGTCGACGCGATGCTGCGCATGGATCAACCATCTTCTCAAGACGGTGAGACCGGTCCTGATGCGTTCGATGGCGGTGTGAGAAGCTCGTCGATCACGGATACGAGCCCGATACCGCTCCAGCATCTCGAGGACCGGATGCAAGTTCTGTTCGATCTTGCGGAAATGAGTACGGACAACGTCATTGTCGCGGTTGACCACTATGTCTTGTTTCCTCGCAGCCCATAGACGGACTGTCGATTGACCCACGCAAGGCTTGATGGGCCTGAGAAGTATTCACGGACGACAATGGTAGCCATACATGCAGTGCATGGTACCAACGTGGCTCACTTCTCCGGGTGCGTTCGTCGTTCTTTTGCTAGGCACCGCGTGAGTGCTGCCACGAGAAACCGATGCCGCACCCCGACGAGAATGCTCCACCGACCAGTCTGCTAACAACTTCTACCAGATCCTGCTGCTGCATCTTCCACTAGAATTTGACCACCAGGAATTCATGCTGCACGCGGCCAGAAGTGGAGAGCAGCTTCGATTGCTGGTCGAACAAGGCCCTGCCGCTACAGCATTCATACTAGCATGTTTCAAAAGGCGCGCTGCCGGCCGTGGCCGTCTGCCGGCCGCTTTCGCTAGTATCATGGCCTCCTCCCTCCCAATGTCGAGGACAGCACCAAATTCTGGTAGCACAGTGGAGCACCATCCCGAGGGGCGAACGCATCGACTTTGGTGGGGTATGACAGCTCGCTGCGGCCAGTCTTGCGGCCTGTGCACTGACATCACGGCCACGGCCCACCCAATCCCGAGGGTAGCTTTTGGGTCCCGATGCATACCCCATTCGAAAGCGTTGCCCAGCCTCTTTTCTGCTTCGCCCTCCCCCCATTGGGTCAAATGGGCACATGCTCAGCTCTAAAGTGTCAGATGGACAGGAGCCGACCGCCTATGCACACTCAAGTGAATGCACTCACGCACCCAACCATTGCTGCTTGAGCTGGGGAACTCGATAAAGCGCAGAGGAATCAATCATTCTCTATGGTGTTTCGCTACAGTCGGTACTTCATCCTCCCAGCCCACCCAGCGTGTTTCGAGGCGACAGACGTTCGAGCCACTTCACAACGTTGGGATATCGGCAGTCCAGCAGATGATTAAACGTCGTTGCTCCAGACCTGCGATCGATACTTTGCTGGTTCACCACGTCCCAATTCAGATTTCGTCATGCACTTCAGCCCCCTGCCGCTTCTGCTTCTGGGTTCAGCCAACCTTATCCTTTCGGCTGCTCAGATGCCGCAGATCAAGTTTTGCAACGAGCCGGAACTAGCCGAGCCGTGTGTCGTTGAAAACATCGTACCAGGCCAATGCAAGCTGATTCCGGACTCCAATGCGAAGGGTGATAAAGGTAGCAGCATGACGGTATGTCTTCACCCTTGCTTACGCATACGTGACTAGGCCTGACTGGACTTGGGGCACAGCTTATCCACGCCGGGAACCTCGCCTGCCGACTCTACGACAACAACGAATGTGGTATGAAACATATTTATACTATTCCTCTGGATGGGTACTATGAGATGACTGGGTACCGAATCTGGAGATCGTACAAGTGCGACGACAAATCCGAGATGTGATTGATCATCTCCCTGCGGATGTGTGATGGTTGGAAACTTCTAGTGATGCGGTTCTCGCTGTCGGGAGCGACCCCGATCCGAGGAGGACCTCTCAAGTAATCTACCATTCAGGCCTCTAATAGCCTCACTTAAGTACTAAAGGAGTGATAGTAAGGCCTGCATCGCGTTACCTTGCTAGAAAACCCTCTTCGAATATCCCTTCAACTGTTTTCTTTCTTCGTAGCTGAATCACGTACCGACTCAAACCGGGACTTTGTAGGCAAACTGACCTCTCGACGATGTTTCCGTACCGTAGCATCTATAGCTTGGCTCAGATCGTCTGTCCCTGGGTTCCCCGCCAGACAAGACAGATACCATTTCCCTTCCCGCTGCTCTTGTTCATCTCAAAACCAAGTTACCAAAGATCTCGACAGCAGCGGACAGATGCAGCAATTGGCAGAGTCATGAACGTATTTCATTGTGCTATGTACAACTAGAAGCAGAGAGTTAAAAAAGGAAAATAACACACGGACCATGTCTGATCTTATCACTGCAGTATTGTTCTGTGACGACACTATGCCTTGCTGACCGAGGTCTGGTGCTGTAGCGCTGTGCCCACCTCCACCTGGAGTGTTCGCAGTCCTCGCTCCCAGCCGTGGAGAAGCACCGTCATGGCTTGCTCCTTGTCCCCCGTACTCTGCCACCAGCTGCGTGCACCGCAGTGCTTCCACATCGCGCTGCTGGATGGTGGCCTGCAGCTCGCGGAGGTGTTGTTCCCTCGCGTCGTTGCTTACGTGCAGCCGCTGGATCTCGGTGGCCCTCTCCTCGACCACCGACACTGCCACGGCCAGTCGAGCGAGCAAGCTTTGGTTCTCGGTCTCCAGCTCCTGCAGGGCGGACCGGTGCTCAGTCGAGAGCTGCAAGTGACCGGATCAGCTTTGTCGTCACGAATGCACTCTCACTGACCTCTCGCGTAGTGTGGCCTGGCTCACCGTCACCGCAGCCATGAGAAGGTGGCGATCTTGCTGAGCGGGACGGTGGGAGCCTCGAGCGCTCTCCCGAGTCCACATCTCGCGGTGTGGAAGACCGCACCGGCTGACCATCATGAAGCACCGCCTGGATCGCGTGACCTAGATGCTGACAGATCTGGCGGTACGCACTGACGTTATGCTTGCTGAACTGCCTGCGGAACAAGTGCTCCTGCTCGAGGCCGTACCGCCACGCGTAGGGATCTGCGGGACCGGAGACTAGGCGGACGTCGGCCGGATCAACGTCGAGGCCAAGCTGTTGCGCTGGTCCCGAGGTGTGAGCCATGGATCCCGAGCACCCGAGCAGAGAAGACGTACCGATGTGCCGTGCCAAATCCCCCCGACATATGTCTCGCCACTGAGCTCGATCGTGGTTCGATCTGCGGCGAGATGGCCCGCTGGGAGAGCTAGACCGACGGTTAGCCATGGGCAGGATCAATGGAGAGATACATACCGAGCCAATGGGCGAGACGATCCTGCGTCACAAGAAAAACAAGGACTGAGCTAGGTATGGTAGATCAAGACCCCTGCATCTGTTGATTCAAGAAGAACGACTTCTTCGGGCATGCCCAACGTTGGTCGCTTCTGGTGGTCAGTTCTGGTTCCAGTCAGGCGCACACCATTGGCCCTAGATCTGGCTCCATCGGTCGCGCACTTGCTGCTGCTGTTCCAGCGCCATCCACTCCTGCGCCGCCAGCTCGGCCATGTGGGCATAATCCAGCAGTGCAAAATCCAGCTCGTCCGCCAACTGCAGCCACGCACGGTCAGCGTCGCCCGCGTCGTTCGGCCGCACGTAGTAGTTAAGGGTCAGGTCCTGCACCACCGAGCGGATGCGGTCCCGCATCTCTTCCATCGCCTGGTAGACGGTGCGGAAGAAGCGCACTTCTCGCGTCAGCGAGGCTTTGTCGCGGATGATCTCGACGAGCCGCTGCTCGTGCGGGGGTCGCGGGACGCCTTTCTGCCCCGCGATCGCCCCAGGCTGGAGACCGAGGGCGAAGGTGGTTACCTTCATCTGCCGCAACTGCACGCCAAATGGTTGGAGCGTGGGTGGCTGATCGAACATTGGGGTTTGGTCGGTCTGTACGTGGTCTATATCCTCGACCAGATGGTCCGTGGTCAAGCATGCCATGGCTCGGTTAGCATGCGAAAGGACGAGAAGGGGTTGCAAACACGACACGATGAAATGCTCTTTTCATATTGTCAATAGCTCCTTCGATTGGAGGTGGCACACTATATCGGTGGATGCTCGCCGAGGATGACACCCCCTCCCTCTCTGAGTGTGATCCGTCACGGAGCGTGAAAGCTTCCGTAAACGGTCGAGTGCCTTGATTGTACGTGTCTTGCTCGGGCCTACAACACCTGTCTGGCGACCCATGAAATCACGACCGTTCCCCCATCTGCTGGTTGAACGACTCGGCAAATTCCAGCGCCCCGTTCACCTCGCTCAAACACACGCGGAGTTCGTCCTGCGTACGCTGCGAGTTCACCTCGATCTGGCTCATTCGGTCTTCGGACGCTTGCAGTCTAGCACCCGGGTTAGATCAACGTGGACCAGACGGCAGTGGACCCATCTCGAACCTAGCCTGCATGTCGGCCATCTAACTCTCCAGCATCTGGATCGACGAGGCCCGGTGGAGAGTCTCCTGGAGAGAGCGCCTCAGCGATCCCGAGGTGGGGACGGTCGCAGTCGGCGGGGTCGGGCGCGACTTGGAGACTCCTGATCCCACGCTGCGGCGGTTGGTGGGGCTGGTCAGTCGACGTGGCGCAGTGCCGCCGGCATCGGGTCGCGACGTCAGCTCTCGACGGCGAAGGACGCCCTTGCTGAAGCCCGATGGATTGCTGGTGCCCGCCTGTGGTCCCGGGTGCGGTCCCGCTTGTTGTGTGCTCGGCGGGTGGACGGTCGTCTGGGTGGGATGAAGGGAGAATTCGTCGTCCGCCGCGTCGGCAAACAGCCCAGGCTCGTCAATCTCGTCGTCCATGCCGTGGTCGAAGGTGAGGTGGCCGCCGAATTCCATGGTGAGCCGCGATGTTCGAGTCAGATCGGAGGGGTGGTCCTGTGCGGCCGGAGGATGGATCTCTTTAACCGTCTGGACCCCACGCCGTTCGTCCACGTGTTCTGGTGGTCTTGCAGCCGACGCGCGACGCCGCAAGTATGAAACCTAAGCGGTGTCAGAGGTCATGCATGTACTTCCGATCGACCCAATTCGATGGACAAAAGCCGTCATAACGCGTTCGCGCTATAGTAGTGACGAGCTCCACACGGGTCAGCCGCGGTTGATCGAGGGGGTCAGCATGACCGTCCACCAGCAACCAAGAGAGTGCAGTCCATCCATCCACGGAACGGAAAGGCTCGCCATGACAGGCTTCGGTGGCCAAGAGCTGTCTTTTCCACAATTTCCTGCGATGACGCATAGCACATAAGTAGGACACAGACATCGCTCAAGAACTGTGGCCACAATTCTGGTCTCCTTTTTGTCTCGCTTGAGTGCCACTCTTGCACATTGTTGTTGACCGCACGACTGTCCCACATGCCTTTCAAGATCGGCAAACCGCGCAAACGAAGGCCTCGAAGCGGACCGCCAGCCGACAGGTCAAAGACGAAAAAGCGCGGTACGAGCGATGCCGTCGTCGCCGGTGGGGCCTGGTCAAGAAGGCCCGCGAGTACAGTGTGCTGTTCGGGGCCGAGGTCTACTTACTCGTGAAGGACGAGCACAACGCCCACTACTTTGCATCGGAGGAACAGTGGATCGGCGCCCCCGAGGATGTGGTGAGCTAGCGGGTTCCGTCGACCACCACCCCTCTGATGCTGATGGTGGGTGACAGGGAGCCGTGCGCGTCGAAGCACCCGGACGCAAGGTCCATCGAGTCCGAGAAGACCTGTCAGTTGTGCAGACCGGTTCTGATGACCCTGAAGACATCTCTTCTGAAGGCTCTGATAGTACGACTGCTGCAAGTCCTCTCTGCGCCACCTCCAAGGGCCGAGACCTACAAAGCGGGTACTCGGGATTCGTCGATTGCCTGAAAAAGGTGCAACGAGCACTGGGCACCCTGCGACGCCCCGACGTTGACCACGATGATGCGGACTTTGAGATAGACGCCGCCCTGGGTCCGGAGGGCGACACGATACGGGGACCATAGCTGTCTATCACAGCACTCCTCTAACCACTCGTGGACTTGTCTTTTCTGACTGATTTGGAGCAGCTGCACGTCCAGGGCGGTGTGTGGAGCCGGGTCCAGGAGACCTTCACCGGCGTCTCTCACACCAGCCGGTGCTGTCTCCCTCGAGGTTCTTTGGTGTTGGGCAACGGGCAGACGGCCTTTTCGGTCGCCTCGCCATAGGTCTGCAGTCCGTGCCCAGGATCGCTGTCACCATTGATTCGAGCTCGATATATCACCTAACACAGCTCGACGCGGCCGACAGCCAAGTGGCGCACTCTCAGCTCTGTCAGTGTGGCCACCTGACTAGGCGGCTCGCTTTTGAATCCGCGAGCCACCGACTGCGATCACCGACAGCCATGGAGATGATCATAGAACGGCCATGGGCATAGGCGTGGAGGAAGGCTTGAAGACCAGGACGTGTGAGGCATCGGAGGTCGTGCAGGTGCCGATAGCTCTCTCCAAAATGGCATGTCTGCAAGATAGATCGGCCTCAAACCGCGTCGATAGCTTGCGGACCCGGCCCACATGCGCAGTGCCAGGTCAAGGAAGCCTCCATCGTTGTGTTGTTCGTCGTGATCTTGCTTCACTGCCACGTCCCCTTGTCCATCGTAGGGAGGCCCTTGCTCTCCTCTTGCAGGTCGTGACCATGAGCGAGCTCAATGCGAAAGCTGGTCTTCTTGCTTCGCCAGCTTCAGCTTCGAGCCTGACATCGCCGCAGGTGACGCATGCGTAGTACTCGGGCAGGCAGACAGTGTAGGCGTTCCATCGATGTTCGTTCAGCGATCGAGAAGGGAGTGGGGAATCAGGAAGGTCGGTCGAAGGGGTGTGAGGCGTTCTCTATGTCCGCGAAGCAGATCTTGAATGACCGTGACCTGCAAGGTCCGTCAGCACAATCTGGAACAGTCATTAGAAAGCGGGTCAACAGTGTCAACAACATTAGGTTGGCTTGTGGCCATGCTACAGACCAGCACCAATCAATGACGGTGACGCACAATTACGCGCCAGTCGGTGCTTGTCGCAGTATTCGAGGATGCTGGCTGGTGGTACTGCCTACATAAACAGATTAGTACTGACTCCAACGGTTATACTGTTACTAAGATTGTTCAGATCTTCTTTTGGTGTACGCAGTCGCTGAAGGCCATTCAGCGGTACACGAGCAACGCACTGCTTATCGTCGATGCTACATTTCGTACCAACAATGAGAGAATGCTTCTCATTATTGGTGTGGCCAAGTCGAGCACCAGTCGCACCTTCCCAGTCGCCTTCTCGTGGGTACCAAAGGAGGATGCAGAGTCACACAGCTCCTTCTTCCGGTGTCTACGAGAAGAGTTGTACCAGGGTTTTCCAGAGCCCGTGGTAGTGCTAACAGATCTCTCTACAGGCATAACCAGCGCCTACGACCGTCTCAAGTGTATGCCTAATTCGCAGCTACAGTACCGAACTTGGCAGACCACATGATGTTTCCGGTAGCCTCTTGGAGGACGAAAGTGGACATTGGCCTCTGCATTACCGAACTGTATTCTCAGCTAAAGACTACGTGTTCTTTGCCTTGCTCCTTCTCCAGTACCTTGCTGATTGAGGTGCAACGGTCGGACGGCAAGCAGCGCGGGTCGAGTTAGCGTGGTGCTTTGATTGGTTGTCATGTCGTTTCTGAAACCAACAGGTGCCCGCCCCGCAGGTCGTCGTGCAGATACTCGCCGGGGATGCAGGAAGTGCTCCCCGGACCGACGCTGGTTCCCCTTCCTTGTGTGGACCGCAGCGCTAACTACTTATATAGCCCACTGATCCTGTACGAAGGTCAGTGTCTTAGAGCTTCACGGCTATTAAATCATGGCTGAAGATAGAGAATACGCCATCGCTCCAGCAGTGAGTAACAAGAGAAACAAGGAATCTTAGATACTGATACGAGCTAGGCTCTAATAGATCTCTCCCGGGACGAGGATGCGGACTCGGCCTACGGAGGGGACATGTACGAATCCCTGGCTTGTGGCTGAAACGCACGCCTTAGAAGACTGGTGCTGACGTTCACATAGTCAAAGCGAAACAGCGTCTCTAACGTCTTCTATTACCAACTACAGGTTCGAAAACGGAAGACGTTATCATGCCTACGGGGAAGGGGAATATTGGGCACCAAACGACGAGACTCAAAACGACCAACTCGACATCGCAAACCACATTTTCCTGTTACTTTTCGACGACAAACTTTTCCAAGCGCCCATAGGCTCTAGTCCACAAGAAGTGCTTGACGTTGGCACCGGTACTGGTATTTGGGCCATCGACTTTGCCGACCAGTTTCCCTCCGCCAGTGTGATTGGCACTGATCTGTCTCCGATTCAACCGTTGTGGGTCCCTCCCAACTGCCAATTCGAAGTCCATGACTGCACGCAGGAATGGGGTTTTAGAGAAAATCGGTTTGACTTCATCCACGTCCGCGCCCTTTACGGCTCCATCGCTGACTGGCCCGCCTTCTACGACCAAGTCTACGCGCATCTAAAGCCAGGGGGTTGGTACGAGCAGGTCGAGTACAGTGTCGACTGGAAGACAGACGACGACTCGATCCCTCCAGGCCACATTTTCCACGACGCGTCTGCAAACTATATCGAGGCTGGCGAGAAGATGGGGAAGACTTTTCGTATTCTCGACCTCCAGAAGGACCACATCGTTCGAGCCGGTCTCGTCAACGTAGCCGAAAAGCGATACAAAATGCCGCTCGGGCCGTGGGCAAAGGACAAAAGGTTGAAGGAGATTGGCCGCTGGCATCTCCTAGAAGCTTGTCAAGGAATCGAAGGTTGGACAATGGCGCTGTTCACGAGGGTTCTAGGGTGGTCCTTTGAAGAAGTGCAGGTATTTCTCGCCGGGGTGAGGCAGGGCTTCCAGGATCGCAAAATTCACGCCTACACGAGGGTGTCGGTCGTATATGGGCAGAAGCCGGTGCGATGAGTAGTCCATCATGATTACGTGCAGCAGAGGTGTGGCGCGTGAGTGCAAGAGCCATAGCGCACGGTAGACGTTAGCACCATAGTAGGCAAGATAGGGTTGAAAGTCTGATTGGCGTTGCCAGAGAGAGTATTCGCGTTCATGAGGATGATACCAGATCATCAGGGCAATGTGAATGGACTCTTGTCATTTCTCCATTATGTTCTTTTTAAAAATGGGAGAAGTGGTTTGACTACAAATTGTTGTACGCCTGCGAGACACAAATTTAAAGATTCGCTCCCCGTTGTCTGAAGAATCTCATTGCACGATGACCCGCAATCCCATCGATCCCTTCTTTGGCTGTGGATTGAAAAAGTCGTGCGCTACATCAATATCTTCTCTCGTCGTCTGGTACAAAGCCATCTCGAACCGCCGAAACATTGCTGCTAAAGTGAGATAGATCTCTGCTTGCGCCAGGTGCTGGCCCAGACAACCTCTGGTTCCCTTGCTAAAGTTCACTAAATACTTCCCCAGTCGATTTCGCTCACTCGGGTCTAGCCAGCGCTGTGGTCTGAAGGTCTTCGGTTCAGGGAAATGTTTGGGATTTTCGTGCATGAAGATCGATGTCATGCCTACAGGTGTTCCAGCGGGGATGACGCTGTCGTGATAGATGAGCGGTGCGTCAGGAGACACCCGCTGGAGGCGGTGGGTGACGCCGTAGGATATGCGGTAGCCCTCGTACACTACTGCTGAGAGATATGGGAGCTGTTCAAGCTTCTGCAAGGGAGGCAAGCTCTCGTTGGGCATGGCTCCTCTGAGTTCTGCTTTGAGTTTTGAGAGTATCTCCGGATTGGCAAGGACGTGGTAGGCTGTGGTATTAAGGTAATGAGTCGTCGTCACCTGACCGGCTGCCACGATGGATTGTCCTTCGTCGACCAAGTGCCGCAGCTTCTTCTCCTCTGGTGGCAGCTCGCTGGTCTGCACAAGTTCCTGGAATATGGTTTGATGGCCCGAAGTCCGGCTGTCCATATTATTTTCTTCCATGACCTTTGAAACTTGCTTGGCTAAGTCCTGTTACGTGGCTATTAGTCGTTGTGAGGATGTTGACGGAATTTACACGTACTATCTGAAAGCCGATCAGGCGCATTATGTGCGGGTTGAGCCGTGCCACCAACCACAGTGGCATCAACCTCATCACAGGCAGCAACCAGGGGAATTGCTTATTAATATGACTCTGTTCGGATACTGAATCGATGGCCTCGGGCCAGATGGGTGCAAAATCTGGTTCGTCAAGACAATTGTAGGACTTTGCGAAAGCGTAATCCGTGATAACGTCCATGGTCAGAGCGGCAAAAGCATGACGCAGATTGACTGGTTCTTTGGTTTGCTGAAAGCCTCGCAGTCGGGTACAGAGCTTTTCTACGACCGACTTAATCATGGGCTCGAGTTTTGTAACCGATCTCTTAGAGAAAAAAGGGTTCAAAGGTGCCCGCCGTAGGCGGTGCTGGTCATGTGGCACGGTCCCAAAATGGGACGAAGAATTCCCAAACATCGCCGCAGACCAGGCCCATTTATCTCGTCGTTTAGTTGGACCAGTATAAATCTCGTCGTAGTACTCTGGGTCGTCAATGTGCAGCTCATATGGGTTGATCCGGACTATGGGCCCTGGCCGAAATCAGCAACACAATCTGAATTTGAGCAAAGTCTGATTTGGCGCATACCGTATGTTCTATGCATCTCCCGAATCTTCCAAGTATATCTTCCGCGTTGGACCACATCGTAGTAGAACTCGTACCAAAGCGTCGACGCAGCAAGCCAAGGACCGGGGAACTTAGCGAGAGGGCTCAAATATAAGCGATAGACAGTCACGGTGACAATATAGACGAACACAAGGACAAAGCCCCTCTGCAAGATTGAGTCCATCCAGAGAAACTGAGCCATGAGGTCTCAAATGTGGAGGGTGGAAAGGCAACATTACTACCCAGCCTTGATGTTGCGGGGGTGGGCCAAGAGTCACTTCGTGGACTGGTACGCTAATGCAAGTATGTCGGTTCTAGTATCTTCTCATATTTCGAATTGTGCTATCTCGTATTCTTGCGTTTTGTTGTGCCCTCGTTTTTCTGCCAGATATCATATATGAATCATCACTTTTCGTTTCGACTCATCTCGTCTTATCTCGTCAGCAATTTCCCTTCGGAATCTTCTGGTACACATCGGCAACGGCTTGCCACTGTTAAACCCACGTGGATTTTGTCTCAGCTAAAGAATTCAGCTAAGCAAGACCAAACTGTTCATCACACACTCGACACCTTTCTCCACTGTCCTGCTTGCCTCGTGCTTGGTCTCGCCTCGTCCGGGACCTGTAATCACTTCTTGCGACGGTGGTCTTCTGAGCACGTAGGCAGCCCACCACATCACCTTCTCTTTCTCTCCATTTACAGTTGTGGGCCCCACTGTGACCTGTCGTTGGTCCCGAAGCTTGTGCACGTCCACTTTCAAGAGCAGGAAATTGCTTTCGTCTTCCATCATCCCCCGATGGGTCAATCTTAGGCCATCTGAGCACTAGACTTGAACTTGTTCAGTGGCCTTTGATTAAGGTTCTCCTTCAAAGCTGTCTGAAACGAACGAGCAGACGCGGTGCTGCCCCACTAAAAATCCCAAGTAGCGCGTCGAGGATTGAGCGGTTCTGCCGGCGGCTGTCACTTTGATGGCCGAAAGCTGGCAGTCATCAGATGCATGAAGAGAGAGTGCGAGTATAGCTAGAACGATTCAGAAACGAGAACAGAAAACCTCGGACTACAAAACCCCGCAGATGGGAATGCCGTTGCAGCTGTCTTCACCCTGTTCGACGCAAGTATTTTCAGACCTGCTAGGTGGAGCGGGTGCAGTTTTGCATATCCCTTTCGTCGAGACATTTTGCCGCATCCGCACGGACAGGTACGAGAGGTCGCGTTCTATTGCTGGCCTGCGTGAAAGCAGACCACCAATGGGTGGGTATTGCGAACATCGATCATACTGCCTAGGCGCTTTTTCAATGGTAAAGGACCTATGAAGTTGCTTAGGTGCATGCTTGCAAGGGGCCTTTGCTCATTTCGAGATTCACGCTACATTGCCTGCGGGCATTTTGGCTTGCTGCGCCGCTCTGTCCCTACGTTCATGTTCACGAGCTACACAATTCGAGGAGGAACACATCTCCTGTGCGCGTCGAATTGCCTGCCTTCTCGCATTACGGAATGAGTCACACTTCGATCATGGCTAACAAAGGCCAGCAAAAGCATACAGGTGATCCTTGTTCGAAACCTGCCTCACCCTCGCTCGCTCACTTATTCCTCGAGAACGTCTGGTTCTGGCTGCACGCAAAGTCAAGATGAATGCTTGGAAGGTGTATATATGCAGGCCATTGTGTCCTCGGCTGCAATAGATGTCTATCCAGACCTCATCTGGCAACATGAGCATTGACCTCAACATGGATTTCGTCCCTTTGGGCGGCTCAAACCTGCCTGTAGAGAATGACGGACAAGATTCACAGAACTCGGACCAAGAGGATACCGCCTCTGTTGCATAACGCGACGAGAACTTCGCCGAATCGGATTATTGGTTCGGGAGTATTTACTTTCGGTGTGTTTTGGCTCAAGAGGTATTTGATCGAGCGACCGCAGGATGCTCTATGGTTGCAATTGATGTACGTCACTGCTCTCCAATTTCACGAGAAAGAGAACCTTGCTGAACGTCTCTCAGTCTCTACTTGCGGCTCAGATGGATTGTTTCCCATCCCAACGCGCGATGCAGGCGTTCGGGGAGCACCGTTTGTTCAATCTCGAGGCCAATACCTATGTTCGCCAGGGCCAGTACCTTTGCCTTGCTTCAGTGTTCGATCATAATCTTACCACTTGACACATTTTTTGGCCTAGTCCATCGCCTGTACCACTGTCGTAAACTGAGCCACTTTCAATTCGTCTATCGGCTTCCGTGTCTTCCCGGGTCTCTCCGTGGGGTGGCACATGCGACTGCGGGGCTGGCAATGCTAGACAGCATCTTTAATAAAATATCAAAAACTTTTCAAGACTTCCACCCTCTCGACAATGAAACTACATCAACCATGGTTGCAGAAGAGCAGAAAATCATCGTCGATGATATCGCAGAGGATGAGGAGGAAATTGGTGGAAAAGGTTAAGACAATGGTAAAAATAATTTGATCATCAGAGTGGCACGAATATTCAACTCGATGCGGACGAAGCTCCGGGAAACAACCTTGTTCTTATCGACTCCTCCGTTTGCGCTGTCCTCGTGAGCCTACGCAGTGCCGAAGGAACGATCAGAATCACCGGGAAACAAGGTGCGGGAGAGTGACCATCATGTTCACCTCATTCTGCTGGCTTTGTTGGAAGAAACCAATAAATTCAGAAACGCTAATGGATGTGACTGAGACAGGATTGGAGGTTTTGACTAGCTGTCATGTGATGTGACTATTGGCCTCTTGCATGAAATATGGTCAGCGCTACTTTTGACTGTGCACTAGACTAGGCTCCGCTCACAAACAGTGGCATTGTCCTATCTCCATGGCCCTGAGCGCGGCAATGGCAAACACCAGTCCAAGATGACCACCAAGGGCATCAATTTGACCCTGACCGGTGGCCACGGATTTGTGTGGGTGCGCAACATCGTTGTTGGTGGGAGCAGCATTGGGGGCGTGAGGATCAACTGACGTTGCACTACTGAGGTATGAACACCACCCTACAAGGAACAGGTGGGGATACCTAGACTGACACGCAGCCTCGAGGACGTAAGGAAGACCCTCACCCATCTGGGAGTGGAGCAGCTCATGGACCGAAACACCACTTGGCGAGGAGGAGAGGGGACACGAAGATCGGTTCGCAGCCTCGACTTGTGGTGGCAACCTTATCATATACCGAGTCGGTCTTGTGAGGGACGTCGGTTTGTGAGGGAGCAGGAGGGTTTGCAGATCGGTTGGTAGATCGACATACAACCTCGCCGTCTGGTGGCAGACTTCGGCATTGGTCCCACCCATCTTCGATGTATTGTGGATGAGCAGGTCGACAGGACCGCGATTGGTTAGCAGTACATGCATGCGGTCTGCCTCTCGTCCGGGTGTGGCAGCAGTTTGTGATGTCGTGGCCTGCCGAGCGGCCCGCCTGCTTGGCCGCACTAGAGTGTTTCATCGTCGCCGCGACCCCTCCGGTGGCCGTGGTGCTGACATGACGGGCATCACCACCGAATGTCAAGGTCACCTTTCGGCCATCGGTATGCCCGCATCGATAGCACCTTTCTGCCACTTTGTGCCCATTATCCTGCAACGCAGGGTGCCAAGGCTCGACTTGCTGCAACAGAAGCTACGTCAGCAGGACAGAAAGAGACATTTGTCGTCGACATCAATCTGACTCAGGTGTCAGACTCCATGCGACCAAGGAAGGAAGCTGTGATGCCGGAAGTGGGCGTGTGCAGGAAAGTGCCTAGTCACTGTTGCGCGCCCATGGTGATGAACACCCCATATCGTCGTGGCGCTCGACGAGAATATCCAGACTGGTCGAGCTTATTTGCCTTTGGCCCACTGTATGCCAGCGGTCAAACTCGACGTCAAAAGATCTAACATGGTGGTTCCGACAGAGTCGTTATGCCCGGCGACAGTGGTGTCTCCCATGGTCGCCGATGAACCAGATCTTGGCTGCTGCTATAGTGCCAGCGTAGAGAGGCAGACATCGTGCCAAAGAACACTATAGCCAAAGGGACTTTCTCATTCATGCCATAATACTGCTCCTTTCATTTTTGTATGCCTCCTTAACCATTCCTCGCCCTTTTCGAAGCGCTCCCTCCTGACCAGGATGTCTTCCGCTTTCGATCTGAGCCAGAGCAGGGACATTTGGCGACCGAATGCCACGACCTCAACTGTCCGTCGCGGGTTTGCTTGTCCACGAACCATTGCATGGTGTTGGGGAAGCTGGAGATGTGACGGCGCGTCTCCTTCTCGAAAGCAATGCTGAGATCGACTGTGATGTCCAGGTGACGTACCTCAAACTTGACGCGGGACTGAAAGAACCCACACCCGGAACAACAGTCGTCATCACCCCCCAAACGAGACAGTACCTTGGCATCCAACGCGATGTGGGGACCTGTATATGCACGACGGATGGCCTGCAGCAGTGGTCGGGCGTCCTGGAAGCTACAATATATGACTCCCTCACAAGTGTAAAGACCGCGGCTAAGCAGAGGCTGCTCTATCAACTCGAAGAGAAAAGCCGAGGCCCAGATGGCATTCCGGTACGGTATGAGATTCAAGGTCGTATTCGTCGTGAGTTCACACAACCAGGGGATCTGCGCCACGTCGTCCAGCGCGGGTTCCTCTTCTTCAAACTCGAGATTGAGGCGAAAGAAATCGACCTGCGCAGCCTTGTCGACTCGGTTGAGCAGGGAGATCCAACTGTTCTGCCCGTGCAGGCACGGAGACGAGAGAAAGGCGCGGATGATACGAGGCATGAAACTGTCGTACCAGAAACCTCGACGGCCTCCCAGCTCGTGAGCGGGAGAGCCTTGATAGCCCGTACCCACCGACAGTACCAGGCGGGGCCGGGCGTGACCGGGCCAGATCGAGTCTAACTCCCACAGACCAGCTTCGATGGGGTTGTTGGCTCGCAGTCCTCCATCTTGGAGCAAGCCGAAACCCTGGACCATCTTCGGCCGCAAATACCTAGAGCCAAGTCAGCTCGCACGGCACGCAGGATGGGAGGGCGATATCACATACCCCGGTGCCGCCACGGTGACGCGGGCACTGATAGAGCTTCAGTAAAACATCTCGCAGATGAACAGGTCGACTTACACTTCCTACACCAGTGGTTCTTCGGCCATCTTGGTGGGCCGGAGAAGTCGGTAGCCTGGATCACCGTCAGTGCATCCTCGCGGTGCCCGTTAGGAAACAGCTCACCGGGGTCCCGGTGATGGTCAGCCCGTCCACCGTAGTTCGTGAAAATGCAGAGTTGGGACGTGGATGCCATCGTCGCCATGATGGCGAGTCGGAGGCCGGACCAGCTTTGCGATGATGCTTCGAACAACCGCTGTGTCGTGCCGAAAGCCTGTTGCATCACGGTCTCCAACACCCGGGAGTCATATTTGCTGTCTCGGACAAGCCAGATGAGGAGATCGCGCAGCTTGTGGCAGTGCGGCAGACAGCGGTACGGTTTGGGAGGAAAAATCTGGGTGACCCAACGCCGGAAGCGAGCCAGACTCTCATCCAGAGACGAACGGTGGACAATCAGATCGAGGGCGATCACCCCGTCTAGAAACTCTCGTCAGCCACGACCATCGCCCACACGGCTCGACCACCGTACCCACGCTGGTTCCCACCACCGAGTGGAAAAACTCCCAAAACGGGTACGGCACATCCAGCGCGTCCTGCAGCCGTCGCGCCAGCACCAACGCGACAACGCCTCGTACGCCACCCCCGTCAAAGCCCAGCAGGGATGGCATCACCGTGGGACCTTTGACCTTGAATGCCATGGCCACATGACGCCCACATACGAGGCACGCGTCCACCACGTACGTGTACACGCCGTAGCCGGGAGCGTAGTATCCGTCAAGACATTCTTCACAGATGGGATGACCGCAGGACAAGGTGCGCTCCGCTGGCCGTACTAAGCACCAGAGACATGTATATGTGCTCTTGAGCCACCTTCCGGACGATCTATGCTTACGAAGGACTTGCCGGCGCAGATCGCGAGCCGTACAGTGGATGCCTAAGTGGAGGAACAACGACGCAAACTGTTCTCGAATGCTGACAGCAGTGACGGATCCTCCTCCCGTGGACTCGCGCGGAGGTAGCGCAACGAGGTCGAGGATGGGTCGGAAAAACCGGTCAAACACGATCGAAGGCGCAAAGCCTGTCGTTTTGGTCAGCACCCATGTCTTCGTGATTGTGAAACTTCTTTTCCTTACTGTGTGTTGTGGGAATATATCCTTGCACCAGCAAGGCTGAGGCAAGCAACTGGTCGATGGTCGATGTCGGGCATGGCCCGACGGCGAGCGACAGGAAGTGCTGCAGACGACGTGCAACCAGGGAGCGGGCTAGTGAGTGTGCCGGATGCTGCGACAACGTCAGCAAGTCGACGCGTGTCGTCGCGTCTTGACCGATCGCCTCCACGGCACGCGAAAAGACATCTGCCAGGGCGGAAGCACTCAGCAGCAGGTGTCGCTCCTGCCGCAGTTGGCGGGCATCCACAATCACGTGATTGAGTATCCGCCGCACCTTCTCGCGGTTCGACATGACCGCGATCTTATCGAGCACCACGATATAGAACGATTCGAACGTCAAGTCGAAACACGAATGACACTCGACTTGCATCAAGGCATCCATGTCCCGACTTTCGGTGGTCACGACCAGCAGATGTGGACGAACGTCTAACCCACCTGCCGTTCCGAGACGCAGTTTCGTCCACTTCTCGACATACCTCGCGGCAGCACGATTACCACCGAGATCATCCGCGAAGACACAGACCACGTGGGAGAAAGAGAAGAGCAGATTGACCTGAATGAAGGCGACCATGTCCTGGTCGAGCAGGTCGTGCTGAGCAAGGGTGACCCGATGAGCCTCATGACACATCCTCCACGGGCCAGCCAGGCTTGTGGGTGTGGCATCCAGGGTGCAGTCAGCCAGCAAGACCGGGTGCGGTGCCATATCGCTGGTCTGGTCGAGCAGAACGTTGGCGACGCCATGCGCCGCTCGTCTGCTCACGTTGTTGCTGGTGTACAGCGCTCGTAATGTCTCGGCCTTGCAGCGCTTGCCCACGAAGAACACCACGGATGGCTGCTGCCGATCGGGATGCGGCAGATCGCTGATGATGCGCCGAAGCCGACCCGAATCGGTCAGTGTCCAATGCGAGTCGGTTTGATCAAGATCGAGCCACTGGACATGCGCACAGCGGAGCAGGATAGAGACCATCGCCGCATCAAAGGGTGCAAAGAAAGAGAACGATCACTGGATTCCCAGAAAACCTTGACTTTTATGTCGGCAGGCGGGGGTTGGAAACAACTCCCACCGAAACAGCGCAACTTTGCTGATTAGCTAGTTGGAAAGGTCCTTAGGCCGGCCCGATACGCCGTGCTGTGGAAGGGTGTCCTTCCAACATCTGTGCAGGCAGGCAGTCTCGGTGGTGGGAGCGACATTGCTTCCTCCTCCACCAGAACCTGATGCCCCCTGGTGGCATGGTGGTCTACGGGTCCTGCTCTTCTGTTCTCGGTCGAATGTATGACGCTGATCAGTCAGACAAGGTGTCCATCGAGGTGGAGCTGATGCACCCTTCTGACTATCATTCTGTGTGTCTTCTTTGGGGAGCCTATCTCGCGAAGGTCTGTAGGAAGTAAGAGTGCTGCAGATTCTTCGTCAACTTTGGCGAGCATCAGTATTTGGTGAGACATCAAACACCAGAAACATGTATTTGTGGTCGTGAGCGGTCCGGCGGAAGGTCAATGCTTGCGAAGCACCTTCCGCCACAGGCTCTGGGCAGTACACCGCTACTCAACGCCTCGGTCGCATCCCCTATCATTAGAGAACCACCATTATCCGTCCTCGTTACGGTGCATGAACATGCCCACCGCATTCTACTGGTCGTATTACCACCTGTGTAGCACTAAAGACTTCCTTGGTCGACAACCAAGTACCTCCTGGTCCGTCGTTCGCACCTAGACGCGGACACAAACAACACACTGAACAAGACATGGCCCTATCGACGTGGTTGTTGGCCTTGCTCCTGTGTGCGTGTCGTGTCTACGCGTCGTTCTGGCGTCTGCCCTGCTCCTCTCGCGCCGGCACAGGACGTCTCGATCCTTTGATGAGTCCCGGTGTGCCCAGTGATCACACCCACGTGGTCTTTGGCAGTCGCAGTAGGTGGTCGTCGATCTGACCGTGCTCGTCTGCTCACCCGTGAGATCGGAGAAAGAGCTCGTAGCACCATCGTCGCACGGGTGGCCAGCACAAAACCAGCATGGTTGCCAGGGCCAGCGCTGCCTTGCTCGGGTTAGTATATCATGTCTGCGAAGAGAGAGGTTGACCAGGACTCACGACAATTCCATACAGCTGTTGGGACAGTCCGTCAGCAAAGGCTGACGCGCTCGGCTTGAGGATGATGGCATGCAGAGCGACCGCCAACACCAAAGATCCCGACAAGCACCCATGCACGAAGCGCATGTCTGTCAGGCTGAGGTGTAGGCAGTCTGCTTGGTAGGAAAGATGCGGACCGAGGCAAAATACGCCCAGGTGCAGCGTAGCCAGCTCGCCAGCGCGGCCTGCTACGCGGCGCATATCTGTCGACGGCAAGAAGATCAACAGTAGATGCGCTCCCATCAATCCCAGCTGGACCCCAACCGTCCACCACGTCCACGAACCTAGCCATGCGGAGTTCCAAATCGAGTGACGGCGGCACAGATGCATCCACAGCCATCGCTGCATCCCATACACTCGATGACTCAAATATTGGATCCATCCATGGCTCATGCAGAGCACGAGCAGTCCTGCCACAACGACCGCGTAATATGCGATGGGGGACATGCAGCGAGCTGGTCAGACCTAGTACAGGCACAAGAGGCGGAGTGGTGATGGCGAGATATAGAAGCTCAAGAGGACGAGTTGTCTGCGTTGCGTGACATGCCACTACTCTACGTCAATGGAGACCGCCTACATTGTCTGACCAGAGCATCGAGCAAAGTGTCAAGTCATCTGACACACCCACCATTCTGTGTGTAATTCAGTCTTCCATCTCCCACCACTTCCCAAGGGCCGTCACTTGCTCTCACGAGGCACTCAATCCACGTGAATTGATTGCTCGTGATCGCCAAACACGCCAAATGGTCCGAAGCACATCTCCCCATTCGCTTAATCAATGATCTGTTCTGGCACGGCCGGTAAGCTTTAGTCAGTTTGGAAGAGGATGAGTCTTTCACAGGCGCCATTTGGCTCGACGAGTCCACTCGCTGGGGTCAACTTTCATGGTTTGGGAGTGTCGCGAACTGGATGTATTCGCGGTTTGTCGTGAGGCTTGTCTGATGGATTCATATGGAAGTCTTTGGCGAATGGAAAACTGTTTTCTGGCTTATACGGACGCATGATCTAGTGCCTACAGGGACGCATGATCTGGATGGACGAAAGGTATGAGGTAGACATGTCACATTTGGAGAGAAACAGTACAAGACTACTCGGAATGTGAGTGCAGCAAGAAAGTAGGCAGACATCCCGATCACTCTATGTCGAAATGTGCTCCGAAAAGCCAAAAAAGCGATGCACCACGAAGCCTGCTACCGCCACCAGAGCGGTCAGTTCCTCAGGGTGCCAGTTGACGGACAAGAATTCATGCTGTGGTAGGTCAGCATCTGCTGCTGATCGATATCAGGGGCACTTACCTGAACCAGGTCGGCGGCTGTTCTGGTGTAGCAGCTGGCAAAAAAATCGTTATCAGCATTGCTATGCCATGCACGTCAGCAGCGTCATACTACATAACGTGCTCTTCAGAATTAGTTTTCTATTTACAGTATTCCGGCATCTTAGCCAGCCATGCACGAGACTACCGCAGGACGTATTGGTATAGCCTACAAGACGAAGTTAGCTAGCCAAGAAGCATGCTTGGCGGCTGTAGAGACAGAGCTCGCTTCGCCACGTGATGATTTCGGGCACGGTCAATGCTGCACAGGCATCTAGCCGGGCAGAACCTGCGCGCCACGCTTTGTGTCGGCTGCCCGGCGATGAGCTCTCATCCTCGATTCTGTTCGCATGGGCTGTTCCACAGCAAGCTGCCAATAAGTTCCTTCTATACATCCTTTGCTTCTACTGCGTTTACACATCAACATAACATACAATGAATGTTGTTGCGAGATCGAAAACAGAAGTCTCCGAAGGTGGAGACCTTTGTGATTGCTGCACCAGTATCAATCTACAAGACCTGAAGAGCAGCCCGGGCTATGAGCATCAGCCAACTTGGGGGTTGCTCCTTCTTAGCTCGCACCATTGCGCTCTATGCAACCTCTTCGTAGAGTCGATACAGCGCAGTCTGGATCGCCCTAACGCCTTCCAGCACAGCCTCCTTGAAGACAGTGGTCCAGTGCGCTTGGTCGCCGCTGGCAGGACCATTCCTCAGGAAAGCGACGGTCGACGATTTCGTGAAGGACCTATCGACGAGATCCTTCTATGGAAAGAAGCAGCCCTGGTAGTTGGCGGAAACGTGGACAAGCATTGCTGCTTCTATCCCTTGAATGCACAAGTGGTCATGGTCGCTGCTCATGGTAAGAAAAACTCGGATTTCATGCTTATCAACTTAGCTAAATCTCGCTAAAGGCTCAGCCGCCGAGAAGGCTGGTATACAGGGTGTTCAACTCAATGATCGCTATGCGCTCACAGACCAGAATATTCGCAGGCTTTCCACGTTGTTAAACGATTGCAAACAATGCCACTCTCGGGCCAACCCACAATGCTCCCTGAGGCAGGTTGAGACGATAGCAAAGGCACACTTCGCGGTGTACCAGAACTCCGGATTACCCAGTCGATTGATCGACGTTGAAATGAAGGACCGATCGAAAGTCAGATTGGTCGACGTCAAAACTCGAGAACAGTATCTCGCTCTGAGTTATCGCTGGGGCGAGTCTCAACGACTAGTCACGCACAGGGACAAACTTGAGACAATGCGGCGCGGGTTTGAGATTGATCTGCTCTCGAAGACTATCCAAGACGCAATATTACTCTGCCGTGAGCTCAAAATACGATACCTCTGGGTGGATGCATTGTGTATTATTCAGAAAGGAGACAATGGCGCTGACTGGTCCTTAGAGTTCCAGAAGATGAGCCTCATCTATGCCCAGGCATTTGTCACCGTTGCAGTGGCATCCTCAGATGATTCGAATAAATCATTCCTCTTCGCACCGAGAGTCCCTTTCGTAGAGGCTCCATTTCGAAAGACAAGCATGGCGCAGTCGGATGGAGCACTCATGTTCGCAAAAAAGTACCATTTCTTCGAAGAGGAATTTGAGGTTGCTACATACGAGAACCCACTTGCAAAAAGAGGCTGGGTAATGCAAGAGAGACTGTTTTCTCGACGCACTATACATTTTACAGGGCGACAGGTTTACTGGGAATGTGCATCTCTCTTCTGTGCTGAAGACGGTAGCGCTAGAACCCCGCTAGGCGCCCATTCGATCAAGATGGCAGCCACATTCTACAGATGTCTATTCACATTGGCCAATCATACCAATGACATCGGAAAGAAGTTCGCTACTCGGATGCTTCTGAAGGCGTGGTCTGAGCTCCTCACAGAGTACTCTGAGTTAGAGCTCACATTCGAGAAAGATCGGCTCCCTGGAATTAGGGGCGCCGCAAGGATGGCTTCTTTGTACCTCCCAGGACGATATCTGTCTGGGCTGTGGGAACATACTCTCTCAAGCGATCTCCTGTGGGTACCGAAGAAACGTCCAATGGCCCTGTGCCAGCGTAGATGGGCACCTACATGGTCGTGGGCCAATAACAGGGACGCTATCTTGAGTCGTGGTGGCGACATCTTAGGCGAATCAGAGTCCTGCATCGTCCTGGACAAAGTTCTGAATTTTGAGACACCATCAGAGACTCTGGTCTTGTCAGGGCAGATACAATGCTGCGAGGTATCCTTAACACCGGAGGCGAAGCCTACGGCCCGGTGTTGGAAGGACCCTCCTGCAGAAGACGATGATTACATGTTTTGGCCGCAAGGCTTCGATAAGTTGAAGAATGAGATTGACAATGATGGTGGTAATATTTGCCACTTTGATGTGGAGAGAGGAGCTCAGACGGAGTTCCTGTTTCTCGCGGTTGAGTGTTCAAAAAGGTTCAGAAAGTGGCATTGTAGGGGTTTGCTTCTCAATCGTGAGAATGGCCGTCAGCTGGGCCCGGTATCATATAGTCGCGTCGGTATTGGATGGGCTTCTCACCGTGCTTGGCATGATGGACCGACCTCCACCATATCGCTGAGATAGCAATGATATGGCCGATCTATCCTTAACAGTCCGCTCATTTTGGTCAAGGAGACAGCCTCCATTTCCGATAATCAACGGCACAGGACCATAGTCTTTCTTCAGTTACCTGGTGGTCGGAGGAAAAAGGCAAAGACATGATGGAAGGAATGAAGCCAAACAGAAGAAACAGTAGGAAAAGAAGAAAGGTGAGTCAGAGTACGACAGTCGTTCAGGAGTGTTCTTTGGAGAAGACGCAGTGAACATGCTCAGACTGATGCAGTAGTCTTCGCTCCTGGCTTTGACATGTGCACAACCAGTTAGGTGTGCAGATGGTCCACATACCAGTAGCAATTCATGACTACTTAGGCTCTGTCCCTCTGAGATTATCCATCTTTCCAAGAATATTCCCAAGCACGCTTTCGATCTCAACACCTTCTCGACCTTGGTTTGCCTAGATGTGTAAAAGTAAGTTAAGATATACCCTAACATTTGGATGTTGCAGCTATAGGGTCATTAGAGAGGTCTCGAAGGCTTGAAGCTGGACGTGTTCTGCCCTAGGATACTTGTCCTAATCATTTAGCACTGTAGCCAGGTTGTTCATGCTAGTTAGCGTGTCGGGATGTTCGCGGCCGAGCACCCTCTCCCCTGCTTCCACTACCACGCGGTATATCTGCTCGGCTTCAGCGTGCTGGCCCTGATCTCTCAGCACTGTAGCCAGGTTGCCCATGCTGCTCAGTGTGTCGGAGTGCTCTTTGCCCAGCACTCTCTCCCTCGTCTCCATTTCCACACGACGTAGACTGAAACTGGCATCATATCGGCCCTGGTCTCGATAGAATGATGCAAACCAGTGGGCATCGTCGCAGGTAGATATATCTCGACCAAGCCGATGCTCGTCGTGGAAGAACTCATTATCGCTTGCGAGGACCGCATCCATGTGCAGGAGAAGGGCCAACTTGACCGGGGCATCGCTGTCCCTGGTCGTGGAAATCCGAATGGAGCTGGCTATCACGTCGACAGCCTCACGAGTGTATGTCTGGCGTTCTCGAGGGGCCAGTCGAAGTTGGAGCCAGTCGTGGATCAGAGGGTGAAGGAGAAAACTTGCTCCTGCTGACTCGGTTACTGGTGATATACTCGGTAGGAGCGATATCTGGGACGCCTGGTATATAAGCTGCCAAAAGTGGTCCGCATTCCAGGACTCCCGGGGGTCGCCAAAACTAGTTCGTTGATGGGCTTGAGACAGGTTAGACATCGCGTTGTCTCGTGCAACAGTGTCGCGCTTCACTCCAGATGGAAGACCTTCCTCCGTGGCCCCTTCTGGTGACGGTCCGGTGAAGACGCACATCCACGTGGGTGGAGGTTCACTCAATGCCCAGTGAAACGGAAACAGAGACTCATTGACCAGGGTCGGACCCAAGAAAGCTGAAAGCGTCAGAAAGTGGGCCACACTGTCTCGTTCCTCCCAAGCCTCGAGAAGCTGTTGAAAGGACATTTCCCACGTGGTGAAAGCGTTGATGGCTGTCTGCCGTTCGTTCGGGTGACTGATCTTCATGTACTTCCAAAAATTGCGTGTGGTGTGCTGGAGGACCTTCTCACGTCGAGCGTTGTACTGCGGCAGAAAGGTGCTCAGTTGGTTGAGTGGTAGACGGGTGTATTGCATGTAGGCTGACGCTTGGTCGATGGCCAGAGCCAAACCACCGAGACGATTCACTATGGCGGTGCCTTCGGACATGTAATCCTCGATATTGATACCGTGGTATCGGTGCAGAAGGAGTGTCACGCCGGGCTTGGGAGGCATCGGTGGTACCTCAATGATATCGCCGAGCTCCTCCAGATCTCGATGCCAACTCGTAAAGAGAATGTTCCCTCTACCGACTGGAAGAGTCAGCACGCTTCCATCTCCAAATGAAAGACATTACCTTGTGGCATGAATCGCTCAACCTCCGAGAAAGTGGCAGCATCGTCACAGTTGTCAAACACCATCAGCCAACGATGCTCCCACCGTTCCAGCGTCCGGAGAGCAAACGCAACTCTGGCATCGTCGTCAGGTAACGCTGCAGCAGCTGAGGCGTTGAGTTCTTGTGCGATGCGGACCAGAGATTGTGTGGTCGTGGAGGTCGAGCTGCCATTGACCCAAAACACACCCCCGTAGGTGTGGCGAGTACGCTGGCAGTACTCAAGGGCAATCTGGCTCTTGCCTTGTCCTCCCATCGCATGCAAGACCAAGATGCGAGGCTGGTCACTTTCATCACCAAAGCAAGAAGCGATCTTGTTGAGCTCGTCCTCACGACCAAAGAAGTCCTTCGCGCGTCGCCTCGGAACGAGAAAGTGTTGGTTGGTTCTGGGTTCGTTAGCTGCACCACAGTTAGTAGAAACGATGATAGGCGGCGAGCTGTAAGGACGAGAACTGTTGACAGGAACATTCAAAGCTGACCTGAACTGCTTGGTTTCCTCTCGGGAGTCCACTCCATCAAGAAAGTTTTCGCACAAGCAGCCGCCGTGGCCGCCGCATACCCTTGCCAGCCTTTCCTCTTGTGACTGTCGGCGTAGTCACATACGCCTTTGATGACGATGCTGGGGCCATGCCTCCACACCCCGGCTCCTTCCATCTCGACCGCGATGATTCCCTCCCGCTGAGCGAGCGCGTCACGGTGGTGGCCCGACTTCATCACCGTGTCCCCGGAACCCATTGTGCCCAAGTGAATCATGGGCTGAGTGGTGGATGGACTGACCAGGCGCTTGCGAGTGACACGCATGACCGACTCACACCCGAGGTCCTCACATTCCATCGTCACGGAGGCCTCACACACCCCGTCACCGTGCCCACACTCATCGCACGCAACAGGTGGGTGGTGCTGGTGGGGTATAGGACGAGTGGTAGAGGATGTCGTTCTCGATACTGGGATGTTTGGTTTGCGACGACTTCTGCCGGAGGGCGTGGAGAAAGGTGGCGGTATTGTTTTGCATGTCTCGCAGGTGCTGTCTGGTCCCCAATTTGGCTAAGAGAGCGAGCATCTTCTCACTCGGTGGACCGAGAGTGTCCAGCACGTCCGTCTTCCTCTTGAACCCCGTGCGGGTATTGCTTCCCAAAGTCATATCGGATGAGCGCTTTGCTGATGACCACATTACCGAGCACGATTTCCTCGTTGCTGGTCCCACGAGGCATCCCTCCACAAATGCCCACCACCAGAGCCAGCTTGATGTGGGGGAAGCTCATCTTCAAGTGGCCCGCCGCATACGCCGCGCGAATGGTGCCCATGCCGGGCATGTGGACCAACACGACATGGTGCTCGCTGATCACTCCGAGGGTGTAGGCATTGTCATCGTTCGGGGCTTTGCCATATTTCTTGTCGTCCCAGATCTTGTCCAGCGCGTCATACACGCATTTAGCTTCCAGGGACAAGGCACATGTCACGGCAATCTCAAAGTCGCCCCGGTCGCGAGGAGGAGGGGCGGAAGCCATGTGCTGGAATGATTCGAACTCTTGTAGATCGTCTGATTCTCGTGGATTTTTCGATTCTCATAGATGAGTTTGAGGATGTATAGGCGTCCACTATAGACTTAATCGAGTGTGTGGTTCGAGTCCGATATGCAATGGCTCCGGCCTGCGCGTCCCCAGAACTCCGCTGCTCGATTTCAGACTTTCCAGGGCGCTCAGACTCGAGCTGTAGCTCAGATTAGAGACACGATGCACAAGCATGTTGAAGAAAGCTCGATTAGGTCGAATGGTGAGTGGAAGCCGAAGTTGGCATCGATGCGGCTGAATCGTGCATGAAGGATCGACGAGCGGATGGTAATAACGTGGAGAAATCCCAGGCCGGCCGCACGTGATGACAGGCATTTAAAAGCTGAGAGCATACGCAATATCAGAACCACTGTACGCTGTATGCTCAAGTTTATAGATTGCACGATATCACAGGAATTCGTCATGAGAGCAAGGTTATGGTGATACCGCAAAAGTATTTGTTCTTTCTAGCTAATGAAGGGTGCATTCCGCCTTTAGGACGATCGTGATATACGAGTTATGAGAGAATACTGGCAGAAGATAGGTTAGTTGAGACCGAAATACCATCAACGCCTTGTGCCTGATTGTCAACTTACTAGTTCTTTCACATCACGGTAAACTTCAAGGCATTGGAGCTTTTCAAGTCGCGATAGAAACTCGATAGACAAGAGCGTTACGCAGACACGGTATCTACATCATATTTGGAGGACACCGAGACATGATGAGGCGAATTAACGATAGATAAGCACACGAGTAGACCGGCGACCCATCTTCACAAATTGCTTCTGTCACAGCTTTCTAGTCCTGCGGCGGAATGCTCTTCTCTTTCTTCTCCATGCCATTACGGTGAGGCACAGACCTGCTGTTGATTAGCAAGTCCAAAAATGACCCACCATACGAAGACCCTTTCAAAAGAGCTGAAGGCGACCTGCATTCAAAATCTGCTTTGGAACCATTATCGCGGCCCGCTCCGACCCGACTTGCGCAGTGATGTCGCGACTCATGCGGTCTTAAATGTCCCGACACTGGTAAGATCTCCACGTGATGTCCAGAGCAAAAGACCTCATGGTGGTAATGTCAGATGAGACATGTTGCACATTGTTACACTCGTTGCCCTCGAAGACCAGGCAGCTCTTCCTGCCACCAGTCCCAAAGAGCTACAGTACCATGTATTCTGTTAGTCTTTTCCTCATGGCGAAAGTCGAGAAGGAATGGACAGTAGTTGGTCTCACGACTCTGTATTACGAAGCATCAACGTGCAGCGAGGGAAAGAAGATGTCACTGGACTTACCCAGACACTGCTTCCTTTGTCACCCTTGGCGTTGGAGTCTGGGATCAAATGACAGTCGTTGTCCAACTGCTCTGTGATGCAATCATACGACGGACTAAAGTACTCGTTGCAAAAGGTGATTGTGGGTGTTTCGGTTGGAGCGGAGAGAACGACTGCGACCAAACGGGCTGCCAGTGGGAGGAGGATCGGGAAGTGCATGGTTATGATCGTTATAATTCTAGCAGGCCCTCAGGGAGGTCCTTAAAAAAAAGGAGAAGATGTGGACGCGGTCGTACGGGAGTGAAGTGCTAGCAACGGCAAGCTTGGTAGGCTGCTTGAATGAGAGATCGAGTGGGCGGCGTCAGGACTCCCCCGTGTATGCCAAAAGCGAGTGAAACGAGGTTTATGTCAATGGCTTGGAGATCCTCTGACGCTTTGGTGGTCTTGTCGCTTCATGCCTCCAAGCGCTCGCTTGATTGACAGGGCCATTGTCGTAGTGATCACTTCTTGATCGTCGTGTAGCTGTCGTCCGGAACCATACATGTTAGAGGCCTCACCAAAGTGGTGATCTGTGCCATATCTGGGTGCCGGATCGCCAGCAGCTATGAGCCAGGCGGGCCAGACCTGGAGTGAGGCGTTGAGCGTGGAAGTCAGACACCACCAAATCGAGTGGTGTCTGCGTAGCTAGTCATGTTCTGGGCCACATCACATGATTGATTCGCACCGCATCACTACGTGATACCGTGGAAGTGCACGACACCAGGATCATAGAATATAGCTATACCTCATCTGGGAAACATTGGATACAGAAGCGAAAGACGTAGGCGCGCCGTGACAGAGGTCACGTGTTCTCAGCAGATCCAACCCTTGGTAAGTTTTCGCGTCCCTCGCGTAGCAGCCTCGCTCAGGTCTTGTCGACCTTTGCAGTGGTGACACAGAGCTGAACTTGAGAAGATGAACCTTTGGAGAAAGTGATATGGGTTCCTCCAATCTAATAAGCACGGAAACGCAACTCTTCTTCCTGCGCTAAAACACTGTATCTGTGGTCACCTTCACGGCTATTGTTGGGCGCTCTCCTCATCTCCTTCTTGTTCCCAACAATTTGGGCATCTCGATGACTAAATGATGACTTCATCTGGTACTTCTCCTCTAGGAGTACGAAGTCCCTGTGTATCACCCCGGCCATGATGACGCCAAGTTTGACAGCATCCGCGAACGCCGGCGAAGACGAGCCCAACGATGATAAGGATGCATATGACGATGAGGAATTTTTCGTTCCAAGCTGTCACCGAATTAGCACTGGAGGTGAAGATTGGTAAACCTGGTGCCCGCTCCATACACAGAGTGTTCCATAAATTCATGCTGCCACTAGACCTGTTTTCGAAAGCCACGATCGCCGTGAAAAGAAGATGATACAGCTCAAAACGGACGGTGCATCAAGTTTATGTGCTTCTTATAGGCATGAAGGTAAACTACGACTGATGGCGGTCTTTCCAATTCTGGCTTTACGAGATCTATTCCGGGCGCAGAAGCTTGTCATCACAACAGAGCCACAAGCCATCAAGAACCCAGCTGCGAAACAAGGCACAACGCACAGCCGAGTGGACAAGCCTAGAAGGGCTGACAGAGATTTGACAATGTGTTGCCATTGTTCCCTTGGTGTTGTACACACGGAACTTGTGCCCACAGCGTCTCCACCGCAGGGGCTGTGGCTAAATATCCACTGGTTGTGCCTATACAGTAGGGCAGACCTAGTGTTGCGTTGATCCGGATCTCCCTAGCAAAGAACGCCTAACGAGCGCCAAAAATGAGGCGGAGTACCGCAGGAGAGGTCGACAAGACTCACTCTTGCGCATGAAGTGCAGGCATGACAGCGTGCACCTGCTCATCCTGCCTAACGGGATCCGCTCGACACCCTACATTCTGTGGCTGGATGATGAACCCATATGTTTCTGATAGGGGGCATTGATGTCGGGGTGGTGAGGCCCTAGCAAGCCTTCTTTCTTTGCATCAGTAGCTATGGAAACATTTTCCACCTACTCGTGCTTACCACACGATCTCTGCTCGGAGGATCACGCTTGCACTTTATTCAGATAGGCCTTGATGGCGCGATGTGCCGATACACTGTATCGACAACACAGCACATCCTGTGTGATACTATAAAGTCAACAGCAGAAACTGTCAACGAACTCGGTAAGTCCTAGAAGGCATACCTCGGTACTGTCCAATGAACCAATGAAATTGCTATTCCGACAGAGTGAATAACGCAGATCGGGCGCCCATGTCCCACGCCAAAAATTGTATCGAACCACCACACTTGATCGCGCGATAGGTTGAAGTTGGTCGACCAAAAAATGACTGTCGAGTAGAGTGGGTGAAGGGACATGGGAAAGGAGGAGATAACCCGCGAAAGAGAAGGAGAGTCTTTCAGAAAAACCAAGACTGCCAGCAAAGAAGATAGACAGTAGGCGCGCTCGGCTTGAAATAGACCGCCGTAGACGCGGTTATGTCAAACCTGCAACAGCTGATCGTGAACACGCACTTCAGGTTGTAGGTTGGACCTTTGCACTGGGGTCATCAGATCAAACCAAGTCAAATCGGTCTGCTTTGTCTGCATTTTTGAATTGTACTCACGTACATCAAGGCTTCAAGCGGTTTCCTCTGTACTAGTGATTCCACCACTAACGCCTTGAATGCTCAAGTTCCCATTCGTCTATCGCAAGATGAGAAGATAAAGAATCAGGATGCTTAGCGCCTAGGATACGAGTTTGACGCTGGACACAGTCCTTCATCAGCTGTACCGCTTCTACGTCTCGACCGAGCCCTTTCCACGTGAACGCCAGGTTGGCCATGCTGGTCAGCGTGGAAGGATGCTCAGCCCCTAGATTTGTCCTAAAAGTCTCTACCACTTGCACCTGCAGCTGTTCCGCCTCCTCCCACCGGCCTTGGTTACTGTACGTCGACGCCAGCCAGGCCATGCTGCTCAGAACTGAAGGGCTCTCTTCATCGAGCGTCTTCATTTCTGTCGCAAGAATTTCGTTAAACGACGCCTCGGCCTCACTCCACCTTCCGTCGCTGTAAAGACACTGTCCGTATCTCCACACGAGAGCCATTCTTTTCTCCCCACTGTTACTGATCAGATCCGACTCTAACACCTGGCGCACATGCGGGAGGTATATTCTCCAGATGCTCCTGTTGTCATGGTCATCGTCTGGAAATACCTCCTCGAGACGTGTGATGGTCTTCTCCATCCACTGGCTCAGCATTCCTTCCTTTCGAAGCCAGTTCCTGGTCGCTAAATGTACCAGCCGATGGACATCGAGTGCAGACTCGACAGGTCGCCTGCTGACAAAAGAGTATGCAGTGAGAGTGCCGATAGCTTCTAGCTCCCTCTTTCGCGACGATTCTGATGGGAGAAGAGACTGCGGTATGTTTCGGGAATTGATACAAGCTATGAACGACAGGTACTCGGCCGCCAGAGGATCGTGCTGTCGGATTTGCTCGAACGAGATTAGCCATGTGGTGGCCACAGGGTTCTTCACCTCGTGATATCTTCCGCCATCCTCAAACTCCTCGCTCAGAACCTCGATTGTCTCTTCTTCCTTCTCGTCGAGGAGTGATAGATAATCAGCGAGCGTAATGCCATTCGCGTTGATGTAAGCCGCTGCTTGGGCAATGGCAAGTGGCAGGTGTGTGAGCGCTGCCAGTAGTGCTGTTGCGTCCGGTAGATGATCGACGAGGTCAGGAGTGGCTAAACATTTCTTCAGGAGCTCTCTTGCCGCCGTTTCGCTCATTTCTGGCACTGTGATGATGTTCTGTTGGGCTAACTTGGCTGCTGCTTTCCGATCACGCGTTGTGAAGATGATGCATCCTCGCTTGCTTTTGGGGAGGTAGTCGATCAAACGGGAAGGTTGACCCGAAGAAATCTGCACTGAGCCCTCCACATCCTGGCGCGCTGGTGTAGGCAGAGGTGTCATCCACATATGGATATCGTCAGCATTGTCAAACACCAGCAACCATTGGCCAGTGTCTTCCTTGCTTAGGTAATCCTGTACGAGTTTCTTGACGTCCGCCTTGTCATCTTCGTGCCCTGCTATTTCAAGCTGTCGTGCCACGATGAGGTATCCTTGGTGCAGACTTTCGGTGTTGGTGGCCGGTATCCATAGGACCGAGCAACCTTTATGCTTCGTCTTCGTTCTGTAGAGCAGTTCGAGCACCAGCTGTGTCTTGCCCACCCCGCCGAGTCCTGTGATGGCAATTTTCGAGGTGTGGCCCTTGGCGAAAAGTTTTCCTTGAAGGTCGCCAAGCTGTGTCTCGCGGCCAGTGAAGCGTGGATTTCTTTCGAAGGGCACAACCCATGGGGTATCGCTTGCGACGAGCAATGCAGGGTCAGCAGATATTCGAATCTCTCTCTGCAGCCGCGCCAACGCTTTTTGCCGTCCTTCACCGTAGATGAGGGGCATATGGGTGTCGAAAATGCCCAGGAGGCAGTATACAGCATCTTCTTCGATGGTTGTTTCGCGCCTAGCTGTCCATGAAAGTCGCTCTTGCTCGTCAAATTGCGCGAGCGGCTTGCCTCGAAGAGCGTCGATTGGAATCCCGGTGACTTGATGAATCGGTCCTTCGAGTGACATCTTGTCACCCAGCTTCTTACCCTCCACGGAGAAGAACTCAACCGCCTGAGGAGCGATCAATTCTTGGAGCGTCCAGCCTCGATCAAACCATTCACTTTTTTGAAATGCTGCTTCCCACTGGTCTTTGGTGGGTGTACCACCAGCGCTATTATATATGGGTACGTCGGCCAAGTACACGTAGCACTTGGTCGCATTTTGGTACCACTTGAACATCGAATTGATGGCTTCGGAGAGTTCCGTGTTGTTGGCTTTGTCGATGCAGCAGGTATCGATCCAAAAGTATACAATCCCATCGTGAGCGGCTTGCTCCGCACAGAACTCGAGCTTCCGATAGTCAGCCTTTGTCTCAGCAGTACCCGATTCCACGTCTTTCAGTGTGACCTCGTCGGGCCCCCATCGGCGGGATAGAATGGCATATACTGGTGGGATATTTGAAGGACGGAACTCGGTCAGGCTGAACTGGTTGGAAGTGCTGACTCCAGCCAACGGTTGTCGTTTGAGGAGACGCATTCCGTCGAGGTCTTAGAGGATATACCCTGTTCTCTTGAGCTGCGCATGATCGAAAACCGATAGTGACATTGCTCGCGTACAACAGTGCGCTGTCTTCGACGAGAGATGTTCAAAGTGTCGGTCGGTGTTGTTTCAACAGCGCACTCGCCAGGCGGCAGTAGGGACGGCAGGTTTTAGCGGGACTGCACTTTCCAGGCTTCACTCCGCCTCCTGCTGCGAAGCTGCCTGATTCTCTTTCCGATCCTTCTAGAGTAAACATTGTACTGTAAGTCCGTTGCATCTCGGTCTCTAGGCCGTTCTCGTTGTTCGTAGGGTCATTTCGCGAGGGACTTTAGGTATATCGCCTGTTGGCCTGTCATCTTTCGTAGACAAGTCGCTAGACGGAAGAGAAGACACATGGCAGACGCACAGGAAAAAATCGTAACGCCAACGCTTGCACGAACGCGCCCGTGTTGTGCCGAGACGCACTATTACGCCGTAAAATTGAAAGGGGTAAATGCTTAGCGGTAGCCTGACATTTAAAGGGTCCTTGTAACGTAATATCGATTTTTAAACGATAATGTAGATGCTATACTTTCTCGTACAGTTGTAATTTCAGTAGGTAGGAATGCTTAACGCTTGGTGGACCTCACTTTTATTATTCGGTCGAATCTAGGTGTGCTCAAAGTGAAGTCGATTTTGTAAAGTACTGTGATTGGTTATAGTATTATGATGGAACTAGTACTCGTAAGGCAATCTGACTCGCTTAACCACAATGCTAGCTAGGTGGAGATCACGTCAGTACTTATGGCGTGACGAGAGGTGCCAGGCTTTACGTGCCTTTTGTGCTTGACTGACGAGGCAGAGATTTTGGAAGGAAGATGATCATGCGTTTGAGGCGGAAGATGCCAAGACCCAAGGCTGGAATTGACCTGCGACACTCTGGTAAGGCTGACTTGCACTGTGTTTCTGGCGGTTCTCAGAGACAAGCCTCGAGCCACTGCGGGAGCGGTCATGGGTTGGTGATCAGCAGCCAATTAGCAAAATTCCCTCACACAGTTGCGACCACATATTTCCAATGTAAAGTAGACTGAACTGTACGTGCCCTTGTGCTGAGGGTTTCGTAATGCATTTGGTTTTCCGTTTTCATGAGCGGTACAATCCGCCTGGCGACCATTACCGGTGGTCGCGAGAAAGGCTGTGACCTCCTGCAGTATGTGGCACAATGCACGGTATGCAGCCGTAAAAGCCTCCATAAAGCGTGGGCTTAGCGATTTAACCCTGGACGGCGTGGGCGGAAGGTACAATGGATCGATTGGCCACTGGAACCACTGAGACAAGGGGGTATGGACTGGTGAAACAGCTAGTCGCTTCAGAAAAGAGTGATTGGTGGGAGTTGGAGCCACGGCTTGTGGTGGGTAAGGGGAGTTAAAGTTCGAGCTCACCCTCAGCTCGATTGAGCACATTCTGAGCACACCCTCGGCTCACCTGACCGGGTGGTTAAAGCGGCGGTGGCTCACGAACTAAAGCGGAACGAGAAATTTCATTCGAAGAATCTGGGCCGTTAATAAGGAGCTTAAATATAACAAGAGTATTTAATAATGTCCGAATTTGATGTACTGTATGTGCGACTGGAGAAGGATGGCTAGTAAATGGTGAGCAGGCGCGGGCCATGGTTGCCCAAACTAGTGTCTTCTCCTGATATCTGTACCTCTAGCGCAGTCGATTGCGACCAGGACACCTTCGCTGAAGGATGCTCCCGCAACCGTAGCGCCCATTGCAGTGGCAGCTCCGTAACCTCCTATAATAGCGTTTTGGAGTGTCACAACAAGCCCGTCAGCTGCAATATGTGGTCCAATTGCTGATTAGACGAGGGCAAGACGACTTTCTGCTAGACTCTAGAGCCAATATAAGATGAACGGATAAAGAACGATTTGTTGGCAGTAAAGGTTGACAGTCGAGGTCGAAAGGTGAACCAACAGTGGCTGTCTGTTTGACCCAGAACTGTCCAATCCTGAGTCCTATCAGAAAGGCGGGGAACCAGCTCGTTGAGCTGATCTGTGACTTGAATCGTCTCCAGAAGTAGAAGCTGACGCCCATCAACAGCAAGAAGATACCGACACCAATGATGGTACCCCAAAACATGGGCGAGCTGACTGTCCAGCGTCAGTGACGTCTAGTAGAGAGACCATAAGACTCACCATCGATAGAATGATGAGTTGAACTTCCAGAGAGCGACTTCGGTGCCCTCCCACTGGTGGAGCTACTGCTGGACGATTTTCCTTTCGGTGCCATTGTTGAAGAGCGGCAGACTTGTGGCGTTTGCAGTAGGAAACCCATTTCCTCAGGTGCCACATTCAGATGGAAATGCTACAGCTCTTATACCCATGATTCGGCTCGTGCCTTGCAGGATGGCTTAGGCTATCGACCAGTGGTCGACGTGCTTTGCCGGATGTGACTATGCAGCGTGGCTGTCAAGGTACAATCTGGCCATGGGCCAGTCTTGTGGATGACATCGTAGTGCATCACTATATTGCAGCACTGCCCCTTCATCCCAACTTGTGCAAGGGTCGACGTGGGTCTATCTCACTGCTTCCGCGCTCCTACCAAGCAGCTGCGAAGGATGAAATTCGATACTGCGACTTTAGAGAACGACGATCACCAGGTCATGCTTTTACTGTTCCTTCTTCACTGCGCAGCCATGTCCTCCAAAGTTATGGGATACGTGGTTTCTACTTGACAAGGATCGAAGACCTCATGGGGTGAATTCATATCGCACTGTCTCCATCTCATTCACTAAGGGTCAGTTGAGTGGATGTTCTACTTGCACAAACAAGTTGGACCTTCGGTCAGGCCGAGTCTTTGTCCATGCGTGGTTGTGGACGCTTCTGATGCACTGTCGGCGTCTCGTGCTGGGTGCGAGGCAGAATCTTCTTTATTCGACCCGCCATGGAGACAGCGGCCAGCCTTTCACCATTTGCTACCCAAAGCACGATTGAACGTCTTAGTGTGTGTCTCGCACTCAGACATGACGCAGCAGCTTGCTATGATTAGCATTTGGTGGGCCGCTCAGTCGCACCAATCGTCTATCTGACGCCTTAATGCGAGAGGCCGTACTCGACAAGACTCCATTGTCGCCAAACTCTCGTCACGAGACAGCTTGAAATCTCGACTCCATATCTGAGCTGACAGTCATATAAGAATGGATATCGTCTATGGTCAATCGTGGTATTTCCGTTTCCACAGTGCGCGAAGATGGCTCGAACCAAGCAAACAGTATGTCTGATGTCCGCGTCTTGGTACAAGTGCTGACGGCGAACGCCAGCCCGTAAGAGCACTGGGGGAAAGCAGCCTCGCTTCCCGCTTCACAAGAAGTCTCTTCGGCCTTCTGAGAAGCGTGTGGGCAAGAGTACTCCTGGTGAGGCTCGATCGAAACTGTTATTGTCGAGGGATATATAGAGATTCTGACCTGAATCTGATGCAGTCAAACGACGACGAAGATACAAGCCAGGAACAGTGGCGCTTCGCGAGATTCGACGCTACCAGGTATGTTTACGGTATGGTTCTCACGGGCGGACAGCGGCTGACGCGATTCGTGGATGCAGAGATTGACGGAGGTCCTCATCCGCAAACTGCCTTTTCAGCGACTGGTGCGTGAGATAGCGCAGAGCTACAAGGCAGACCTTTGCTTTCAGTCGTCGGCCATTGGAGCTCTGCAGGAGGCCACGGAAGCATACCTGTGTGGCTTGTTCGAGGACACGCAACTCTGCGCCATACACGCTAAGCGGATCGCCATTCAGTCCAAAGACATGCAACTCGCTCGTCGCCTTCGTGGCGAGCGGTCTTAGAGCCCTTCGTTGCACACCCTGCGAGAAGCCAGGAGTACAACTGTCAGCTGTTGGATAGGCTGTAGACGCGCAGAAGCTTGTCAAGAGTGTGACACTTGTGTGAGCCATAAGCGAAACAGAAATCAGGGCGTTCTTTGCTAAGGTTGGGGACTTGACAGAAATCTGAAGTGCATTAGAGCGCGGCTACGCGAAGCTTGATGACATTGAATTGATTCATCCACTTGAGAAAATCTTTATAGCACGTGACACCATTTCTTGGATTCCAGCAAATGACATGTGTTGAGCCTATGGTTCACCAGTGTACACTAGCTCTTCCGGTAGGCATTAACTAGGTGTCAGCATCAGCACGCCTTCACAGCGTAGCAGACGAGCGTCCTATTAGCTCACTTAAATTCTGTTGAACGAGTTCCATTGTGTCTTGCATCTCGATGGTTTCCTGCTTGGTGGGCTTGGTCACCTGCTTCGGAAGTGGAAGGAGGACACATTGCCGTGGACAGTATGGACACTTGCGGACGTGCCAATTGACCAACATCCGACAGCTTAGCATGTCCTGGTGGCATGCCTCGCAGAGCAAGACATTGCAGGCGGTCAAGCCGACGGCTCCGGCGTCCGAATGGCCGCAAGACTTAGACTCATTATCAACTCTTTCATCAAGCCATTGTTGGACGGTGGACAGCTTGGAAGAGATGTCCGACAAGCGCGTCAACTGGTCTTCGGCGGCCTTCGGTGGTCGTGGATCTGCCATGTCCTTGTCATTTAGTCCTTGCAGAAGCTCAGTGTTCCGCTGTCTCTCTGATTCAAGAGCGTCCTGCATGCTCTGGACTTTCTTATGGTGCTTCTTGATGGTGGCCTGCGATGTCTTCCATCGCTCTTGCAGTAGCACGAGAAGCTCATCGGTGCTCTCGTCATTATAGACTGACGCCGCCATACGTGACGACGCTTGTTGCTGGTACAGCTGTAGTACTACGCCTCGGGTCTGGACCGTTTGCTTCTCAAGTTGCTTGTTCTCATCGATGTACTTTGTCAGGTGGCCCCGGAGATGGCTCGTCTCCTCTTTCAAAGCCGCATGCTCCACGTTGAGCCCCTCAAACTTGCTTCGCCAACCTTGAAGTTCTGCGTCCACGGAAGCCTTGCCTCGGCGGTATCGGTCTAATTCGTGCGCCAGGCTGTGTAGTTTCCGGGCATGCTGAGCCTTGGTCCAACCTAGTTTTGCTTCACCGTTTTGCCAGCGCAGCTTGTATTCTCGATTCTTCTTTCGCAGCGCATGATCAAGCATGAGAGTCTTGGACACACGTTGATCCATATTGTCGAGCAAGAGCCACCACCATGGCAGTACACGAAATGGCAGTGCTGAGTTGGGAAAATGTTTAGCAAGAATGGTCAGGGTGTGAAATTGGGAAACATTCGTGAAATGCTGTGATGGGAGAAAAGTGGGAAGGGAGAAGAGAAACGAACCTACCTCCTGGGCAGAAGCATGACTTATATGCTACATGGAGGGCTCACCATCCTTGCCAGCTCTCCGCTCCTATGTCACCTCCAGCTTCGCCTACTCGACATTACCAATGAGATATGCTCGAGTGGGACACGCTGATGCACGATGCATGGGGGATGAACGGACATACCGCACAGGTAGGATCATGTGCGAATGGCTCATTGTTACTGTCTGCCTCATTTGTGCTTCTCGACCCCATCAATCTGATGCAGGTCTTTGACGCAATGGTGCATGGCAGAAGAATGGTGAAGGTGCTTGCCGGACTATCGTCATCGTTCCAAGGTTGCTGGAAGTACTGTATTTGCTCCCGGTGCTGCATTAAAGGAAGAGGATGTCGCAAGTGCCTCCGAGTTGTCTCGGAGAGTTCTTGATATTGTAGTGGTGAAGGAGGTGACTGAAGTATAGCTTGTGATGGTCGCGGAGCAGAGATATGCCATTGTTGAGAACTCTGGCGCACGACATTCTCACCACGATCAAGTGGAATGCGCCAGGCTCCTGATCCCCAGCGTGTGTTCAGACACAGCTCCTGATTTGCCGCTCTTATGCATCTTGTGATGTCCTTCTCACTTGGAATAACATGAACTCCACATCTGCAATATTGGAATTACCATGATCACTTCGTGCGGCGCGAGACCGCTTCAGTGCCTCACAATCGACGCGGCTGTGAATTCCATCACTCTGTCCCTTGTTGACCCTATTTTCATCCTGCAAACCTCGCCTTCCTGATTTGTAAACTCGTCGGATACCAGCCGCTTCGCCATCAACCTTTATACCATCGGCATAACACCTTCCTGGCTCATCAAGATTCTTTGCAGCATTGTGAGCGACTAGGATATTGCTTGTCGGCAACGTCGCTATACCGTAAACACTATGGAAAGTCTCTCCGCAAGCGCATATATGATTGATACAGATTGAAGGCATTCAAGCCTAGTCGTATTTCATTGACGAGAAGCGCCACCCACCCGCTGATATTGTCCGAGGCACTTTCCTTGCCAATATTTTCGCTCGGAGGGCACCCAGCAGCAACCCATATGTGGACCATGCCAAGGCTGGGGCACACCACTGTAGATGGGGCATCCCACTGCTGGTGTACACCATCCAAATTGCTGTACCCCAAAAATTCTGGGTTAGTCCACTATTGGGGTGGACCACTTTGGCTGGCACACTCCATGGTTGGGGTGCCCCATCCCCAAGGGCGTACCCCAGGTTGCGCGGAGCACACAAAATGTGGTCTGCTCCATATGGGAAGGGGTGCCCCTGAAATCAAGCTACCAGGTATCGCATTGGACCACTGCCTATGGCTTGTCGTTTACGCGGCTGGGAGCCATCTAGCAAGTCATCACTAGCTGATCGCTTCAACCCGGCAATCTGACATTCCATGTCAAGAAGCTGACCCATATCAACATCGCGAATGAGGTAGATTGTCATGGAGTTGTCCTCCAAGGCGGAGCGAAAACACTGCGACGGAGCCAAAGTGCGCATGTTACGGTCCATGAGAACCAAGCCCTCGCACATGAATCCAGCAGCCAGTAGCTCGATGCGATCATCAATGTCCGTTGCGCTGTCAATGGGCGCCTCATGAACAGTCTTGAGGGTGCCTTGCTCATGCAAAATGAACCGAACACATCTGGAATCATCACCACCATCACCGTCACCACCATTGCTGACGCCCACTTCCGGGTTGAGGTCTTCGCTTGGCGCCAGCGAAGCATCCTGAATTGAAATTAGCCTTCTAACTTGGCACCTGTGGTCTATGCTTACCGTATAAACACTCTCTGCGGCAGCTGGAGATCCTGACGTTTCTACCTCCTGCCAGCCACTACCAATAGCTTCAGCTGATGCGCTACCACGGTGAAGCTCCTCGCCAGCGCCCTGATGGTCTACACGTTCATGAGATGGACTTGAACGAAGACCTGGTCGTGGGTCGAAAGACCATTCAAGAGGTGCACCCAGGTGTTGGAGATCTAGCTTGCCATAAAAGAACAGGTAAATGTCTCTGCGCACAAACAATGCTGTGGGCTCTCCATGCGTATCTGGATCTGGGCTGTGTATATGGGCAAAGGTCATGGCCTGGTGACTCTGCTCCTGAGCTTTCTGTAGCGGACACCCACTCCTTCGATCGAGTGTTTCTCCCAGTCCAGTGCACAGAAGCGCAGCATCTGTTGCGTCGGCCTGATTTCGTCGAAAATCCTTGAACAGAGCTGCGATCTTGTGAATGTATGACTGCATGCGCATACTGCTGCAATCGGTCATAATGGATGCTCGGGCGCCCAACAGCGCCCAACGCGCGGCGGCTTGGTCCGGATCTTGTGACAGCTGTTGTGCGATCTGAGCAGAATGAAAGCCAAGTCGATCGGCAAGAGCGGCCAATTCATATAATGCCACGTCGCTTGGCGGGACGGCGTCTCTGTGGTTCCCGTCAAGCAAAATTGATTCAGGCCGAAGAAGACTGAGTTGTTGCATGACGTGAAGGACAAGGTGACGATATGCAATGTTTCCGTGTGCCTCACCACGGGTCAAAATAAGTTCTCCCCGGCCTTCACGGCCATTTTTGGAACCTTGAAAGGCCTCTTCGAAAGCATCAGCTACTGTCTGTCGATAGACTGGATGAACCACGCGCTTGAGGGTCTCGGCGATAGCGATCAAATACTTGAGGTTCTCGAAGAACGAGTAGAAGGACGGGATGAAAGCTTTGTACTCGAGCAATCGACGCCAGATGTGGTCTCTTTCAGATGCGGAGAAGCGGCAACAGATACTGCCGTTGTTGAAGAGAGGCTCCAAGAAAGTACGATCGGATGTGCATATGGCCGGACATCGTAGTTCCAGGGTTTTGACGTCGTATCGATCGATCTTCTGCAACGATGTTTTTTCTCTGCCAAACACAGATGTCCAGAAGCCTTCGATAGTTCCAAACCCACGCAGCACCTCATCGTCGCTCTTCAAACGCAGGATGGTCCCGATCATTCCGGTCCGAAAATCCAGAAACAAGGGCTGTATGTCACTCAAAGCGCCCAAAACTGTTCGGTATTCTCTACGCGACAGCAGCCTCTCAGCCTCTCGTCGTTGGTCGCCCGAATGCAGTCGCGTCCACCAAAAGTCCTCACCGACCGGGTCGAGGCGTATTTTGCTGTGGAGAATGCGGAAGAATACTTCACCCTGGTTCCGAAGCCTTTCATTTGTCCCTTGGTGTATCAGACTACCTCGTAGTTGTGTACTTAGGTCTGTAGAGATCAGTCTGAGCGACTATCGGTAGAAAAAACTCACCGTTTGAATACAGATTGACGACCCACCATTGGCTGGCCCTTGGCAGGACCTTTTCTGCCGCTTTGGTCCTGTGCCGGCCAAAAAGGCAGGGGATTTGAAATCCCTCAGGCAAAGGCAGGATCGGCAGACTCGCCGGATTGCGAGCCAGCAACGCCTCTGATGTGATACCGTAGCGAGACAAGACCATGTCCAGGTCTCGTCTCTGCATTGTCGCTGCCAAGTGGAACATCGGATCCAGAGGCACACAACCGTTTCGGTGAAATGAGTCGATGAGGAACTTCTCGTTTTGGACATCATCTTCACGGTCTGTCACCTCATCGAAGGCGAGATGCACCAAACCAATCTTCGCTGAGCCCAGAAACTTTTGTTCTTTCTCAAATTCATCATCGACGGCGCGCTGTTCGGCCTGATGTTGTTTGGTCCTAGAAAAGCGTACCTTCTTAGCCATGACGATAGTCGAGCTGCCAGACAGTCAGGAATGGGAGAAGTTTGATATAGGTGGTGAGTCAACCTGCTTTGAGCCTTGTTGGTAATGCTTACGGCCCTGCATCTGAAACGTAGAATCACATGTCAACCTGTTTCATGCAACATGTAGAACGCGAAGGAGCCAAGGCATAACAACGATATGTATCTAAACGTTTTGGTTCTCCTATCTTTTAACGAGTGACTACCTACAACTAGGTTGTTTACTTTTCTACAAAGGTGACACGCCCACTTCTCTGACTAGCTTGCAAGAATGCTTGTAACTCCTGATCATGGTTTCTTGTGTCAACGTTCGTCCGGCTGATAATCCAGTTCGTGAAGGGTGACATTATTCTCGATGTACTTGCATACCAGATTTCGCAGTTGCGTCCGGATCTTAGCGTCGGCGGAAACTGTGCAAAGGTCAACATTCGTGTAGGGAGTCTCATATTTGCATGACCTACCAGCGACCAGTGTTTGACATGCTTCCTCCTCAAAAGGCGACTCGTACAACTGGCCGCGAGATGTCCAAGCTCCATCTTCGGGATGCTGGGGCCGTGACTCACGCGAGATGATGCTGTCCCAGTCTGCTTCACCATGTTTAAACTCGATCCGCTCGTGGTCGACAATCTGCAGCCCTTTGCGATCCTTGTATCCCCGCTTCGAATATATCGATATGTCCAAGAGCTTCACTTTGCGTCAGTCTCGTCTCGCCATACACAAAATTTACTTACGTAGCCATTCTTGGACGTGTCGTCGGAAAGAGCATCGTTCAGAAAATCTTTTGCCATGGCACCGTCAGCTACATCGTCGATTAGCACTGGTACAACAATTCGATAAAATTCCCACCAATGTGTTCGAATTGCCAGACCACACAAATCCGCCGCGTTCGGGAGGTAAAATTATCATACCCTCGAACCAATTTGCTGAGGTGTGGGAGCTGAGCTAGAAAGCCACTGCCCGACGCTGCCAACACAACAGTGCCATAATCGAGGACAGGGATTGGAAGACCGTGTGGGCCACTGAACAAGACCACATACGATTGAGTCGCCTGGGTCGCAGCCAGAGCACGCTGGAGTAGGTGCAGGGTCCAACCACGCCGGGGTATGACAACAAGCCTCAACTCGACCCCCATTTCGTCTCTATGAGCTGAAGCAATCACAAAAGGGTGAGTCTGAAACAGAGAACGCACGCTGAGACCCGGCATCCAGATATTGATGTACTGACCTCCGTGTATCTTCACATTGACCGGCGTCACGATGTCAATGTACACGGCTCCGTTGACGTGAGTGATCTTAGCTCGGGCCGGTCCCCGCAAGAAGCACCTGTCTCGAGCGAGTAGTACAATAATCTGCAACAAACAGCTTCCGACAAGGAAACAGCCACAACTTACAATGCAGTACCAAATCAGGGTATCATGTGATTGGAGATGCCGAATCAATGCGTAGATTACTGCCCCTGATAACAGCTGGTGAACACGGAGAGATCCCTCATACAGCCTTCTTCGAAGGGAGGGAATAGAGATCAGAAGCAGACACAGCTGAGCGAGCATTGCCTATTCACTGTAAGCTAATGTACTGAGCATGGACTTGTGAGTGAGCTCACTATTGCTCCATGGAGATGTACGGTCTCGCTCCAGACAAATTTCGGTCCTTTCAGAAGCATGATGGCCGAGTGAATCGCACTCATGGAAGTGGTCATCAGGGCAGTCTCAGCATGCAAGGAACGGAATGTCGACAACGACAGTCCTAAAAGGTCCGCCGCCGCGGCGTGATGAAATCCAAAGTACAGCGGGACGATGTTGATGCCAGCCAAGACGCCTGCCATTGGACCAATTGTATCAGCTGTACTATTTCTGAAGAACAGGAGGAACAGGTTGATGGCGATGTATAGGATCCTCCGAATGAGTTTGATACGAGTCCATCGGCCTGGGCCCGGCCAGTCCTTCCAGACCGGAGGATAAATGAGGTGTTTGTAGAACACCACTTTCAGATCAGCGGCTGCCTGGCGAATGAATCTGTTAATGCACCTCAGACCAAGAAGCGCAAAGATGCCACCTAGGATGCATATATATATCTCTGGAGGATTCATCGGGACAAAGATGGCGAGAACACAACGATTCTCAGTGCTTGAATGATGAATGACCTCTGTCACACATATGTCATCTAAAGTGCTTCTCAAGAAGGAAAGCGAAAAGTGAGTATGGTGGACATGTGTGATGGCAGTCATTATATAGTGGTGTGGGCCGGGACGTTCCCTTCCACCCATTATCAAGGGCTGCATATTGCGGAACTACCAAACAGGCCACGCACCTTTCGGCAAGATTCATTATGTGGACTAGTATGATATTGACCTCGGACTCACACGTAAACGGGTCCAGCAAATTGAATCATTCTGACACTCAGCGCTTGTCGTCTTCTTCCAATACTCGAGACTACCGCTACTCGCTTCGGAATTGAACACCATCAGGTATCGGCCGATCTCTGAGAGCATGGAACACCGTAATCCACGTCCACATACGCATCTATATGATTGGGACTGGACAGATGCACCAGAAGCGGGGAATGATATAACAAGTAAGGAAGACGGAATCCAAGCTGATCATCCAGCACAGCCGCTAGACGCCAATGCTATCCGTTCTGAAGAAGAGCCTGTCACGAGAAAAGTTATTACAGAGCCATGTGAGAATGTTCGAGGTGAAAGGTCACAGACACTCTCTCCCACAAAGTCTCTCGTTTCAAGCGCACGACCAACGTCGCTGCCTGGTATCAAGACACAATCCCCGTGGTCGCTCTATGACAAGTGCTACGAACTTGATTTCGGAGAGGGATTCATGTGGATTGTCCGTAAGAAGGTCGGCGCTCGGACACTGTTCTTGATGCATCAGACCAGTGATGTTGACCTGGAAATACTGTCGGAAAGCTTTCGCAAAGCGCGAAGTCCATATTTCGTGAAATGCTTCGACATTCTGCAAACCGGAAGTGACACAAATATCATCTTGGAGTTCATGAACATGTCATTGGTGCAAGTCATTGGGGCGCCAAGGCCGGTGACCGAACAAGAGGTGCGCTCCATTGTGGGACAAGTAAGTTGATAGTCTGGCCAGAATTGAGTGCTACTGACGGCGTGAGCTTACCAAAGGACTGTTGGAGGCTGAGCATGCTCGTGCGCCAGGATCCCATCTCGATCTCTCCAGAATATGGTTGAACCTCAACGGCGATGTCAAAATATGTTAGTGTTACCTCTTCGCTGCCAAGTGAGTTCGTAAATGCTGACTAGGAGCAGTACCGCAGATTGTCGAAGTCGGTAGAAGCCGTAACCTCGATGCAGCACAGAAGCGTGTGCACAGTTTAGGGTCCATAATTCAGAAATTGGTGGCAAAGACGAATAGGCCAGACCTGTCCTCGAATGCAGGGCCCGGGCATTACTCCCGAGATCTGCTTGATTTCATGGGCGAAACCACAACAGGCGATGTGAAGACATTATTGAAGGTAGGAAACCACCTTCTTCGGCGCAGGATGGCGAGGCTAACATTCTACAAGCATCCATTCCTGGCTAAGAAATGGTCATGTGTAGACTTGCTCGAGCTGACACATCTAGCTAGCATGACATCCAAAGTGTATACCCGAAGCACACACAAGATCCGAAAGCCAGAAACTCGCGCCTGATAGCTGGGCATAATGGACGTGTCGTAATAATGGACAGGATTCTATCTCTTTCACATAATGAGGTGCAGAATATGGTCGCTGATAAAATTAAAGAATTCGTATGAAGTCGACTGTAAATGGTGTTTTGCTGCTCGTGCCGTGACAGTGGTAACTCCGTTACATCCACAATGTCACTCTGCTCAATGGGACACAACTTATAACATCGAATTTTTCATAATAGTCGCAGGGCGATGGATGAAATGAGGCCAGGTAACGAAAAGGAAAGAAAGGACTGTGACCGAAACCAGTCACAGTTGAAACGAGACGAGGTTGCTTGCCTGCCGAATTAGCCAGTCAAGACTCAACGACTGCGATATGAACATTCGCGTTCGCGTTGCGATGCCATGCTGTTCGATGTTCCCGCTCCGGCCTCGGTTCACAGGCATTTTCTGACTCTTATGCGCGCGCTAGGAACTGATTCTGAGAACGTATATCAAGACTGCTTCTAAGATGTGCACTGCAGTAGGAGCCGATAGAGGACATCGTCATGCGTACGGCGTGTTGTAAGGTATGAAAAAGAGACATGCTGGTGTGAGAATTGAATATGTTGATATGCCGATTTGGACAAGTTTGTCACTTGTAGCGCCCTCATGCTGCGTCGTGCATGCAAGCTGTGAGTATAAATGCACATATACAGACTGGCATTAGGATGGTATCGATGTGATGTTAGCTCCATCGCTGAAAGCTCTCGAGCATCTTTTCAGCTTGCTTTCGTGATCCTTCCAATCTGTCATGTATGGCGTGCATTTCGGCACGTAGTCGACCGTTCTCATCTTCCAACATCTTCACCTCCTTTCGAACAGCTTGCAGCGTGAGGTTTCGTTCCTCATTCTCTACTTCGATCTCTTTCGCGGCTAAGCTCGTCCTGAGCGAGCTTCTGCCATTGCTGTATTTCTTGCTGCTGTCCATCAACCCCTTGTTCGGAGAGGTTGCCAGCATCGGGTGGCTCTTGCGGTCCGGCCGCCACAGCTTCGAACCAGGTACCGACGTGGTAGCATAGACTTCTGTAAAGACCGACTGATAGCTTGCTAAGAGGTTTTGGAAAAGGTAAGATTGTTCAGTCGAGACGGACCACCTGTAGCCATCCCGAAGGTCAGATCGGAGGCGCACCTGGACCGGCTCAACTATGAGACCTAGACGAGACTCTACTCATCATAGGTCAGAAATTGCACCGCCCTTCGGTGAACGGTGATAAAGAGCAACGCCGTTTAAAAGACCGATCCTTCACAAGCATAGCCTACAGCTACCGAGGACTTCTACGTACTTGCCGAGCATCCATCTTTTTTCATTCGGAAAGACCATAGTCGATGAATTTGTCGAACATATCATCGGATGGGAGCATATCATCAGATAAGAGCATACCATCAAATGCGAGCTCATTCTCGGTCGGCCCGTCCATGTCTATGTCTGACAACCTTTGCCTATGGACAGGCCAGGTAGACGAAGTGGCTGCTGGAGCATCAGACCCGTACACTTCTGCTCCATCTGCAGTGATCGAAGCGCCGCTTTCTGTGCAACTTTCTTTGCAATAACGAAGCCCGTTTTCAGATCGATGGCTCTCGCCGGTTGAGGGACTGTCAAGAGTTTGGGAGATATTGTCTTCGCCGTCGCCGTCTTCGTCGTGGCTTTCGTTATCACTTCCATCGTCGTTTCCGTCATCGCTTCCACCGTCGCTTTTATCCTTATCACCCAAGGGCCGGGGCACTCTCAATAATCGTCCGGCTCCACCGAAAATCTCTTCTTGTCTGCGGGAATATGATCGAAAAGTCTTCTCGAGGGCAAGCTCAGCAAGTTTCAAGATCTCAGGACTTGCAGCACTTAAAGATTTTCGACGGTCTTGCAGAAGGCCTGCGAGCCATTTGACAGTCTGGTCATTCATGTGCAAGCTGTGTCGCGACCTATGTCAGCAACCACTTTTTGCGGATCAGAATAACAAGAATCTCACCTATAATCATTCACAGAGGGAGGAAACAATACCAACACATCTTCGTTCACGTGATCCACTAGATATTGCCAACGTTTTCCTAGTTGTTGCACATTCCCGAGTTTCGTGCGAATGGACTCACGATCCTGATTTGTTTCAGGTCCTCCCAAGCATGCAAAGTCGGTCAAGCGATCCAGCACGACTGACGGAACTTTGTTACACTGTGGCTTTGTTGGGTGGTGACCATGCATTTGGAGTAATTTAGCACTTTCTTCGATAAATACGCTTGGCCGGCCTTGGACCCTCGCAACAGAGACTTCGTGCTTTGCGGCTAAATAGAAACGGTGTAAGAACACCACATCAAAACGATGCAGCACAGCATTGATCCACTGGGATGAAGAATGTTGCATGACTCTTTGCACAGACTGGGCGACGAGCGACATTGTCAAGGGCTCTGATTTGCTGGAAACGCCCAGTCGCCTGAGAGGATGTGAAGTCTGTTGTGGTTGCTCCGGGAAAGGTTTTGCTTCTTGCATTATTTCTTGGACTTCTCTGCCACCTAGCTGAGCCACGATATCGTAGAGATCTTTTGCGCCTGACGTGTTACGTGCTTTTCGCTTTCTGCTTGTCCGTGGGCACGGCGTTGCCTGTCCGGCCAACTTGTCCCTGGCTTCACGTGCTGCGGATCGGAAAGAAGGAGCTCGAGCAGGGACTTTCGAGCCCTCTCCCTCAAGAGGCTGTTGACCCCGCGATGTAGGCTTGTCCTCAGATGGCTGCTGGTTAGGCGAACATGGTTCTGAAGTTGACAATGGTGATATCCTCGTATCTGACTTGTCGTTTCTTCCTGCGTCAATCAGATGCAAATCCTCCCACGGTGGTCTATGCATGGTTGGTTGACTCAACGGAGGCGAGTGACTTCCTGGACTATCCTGTGATTGTTCCGGATTGCTTGAAGCTGGGCATCGACCGCTTGGCTTGCTGACTACTGAATCATTAGGACGAGTCTGTGTCCTTTCCTCAATTGCATCATCAGTGTCAGTGTGGTCAAAGTCATCAGGAGGAGTCGCAGGCAAGTGCAGGTTCCACAGGCTTGTGGGCATCTTCACGTTCGCCGTTCCAGAGGTCGCTATAGTGCCAGACATGAAGGCGTCCTCACGATCTGCTGATGGAGGTCGCGCTGGAATGAACAGCGCAGGCAGCAGTGGCGGCAGATATTTCTGGAGATCGGACTTGGTAGAAGGCTTAAGGTGCATGGCTGTCTTGAGTAGGACCGTATATAGCATGTCTATCTCCTGCTTTGCTGCTTGACACGCCTGCGTGTCACCAGCTTGTCCAATCTCTGCCTCCTCCTCGGTCACATTTTTAGCGACCCTCGCGGATAAATCAGTGGCTTCGAGAATCAATCGTCTAAGTGTTGGATTGGTGGAGGACAGTTCTACCGTCAGAGGCGGAGTTTCTTCAAGGCCTAGTGAAACGTCAGTACTTTCGAAGGTCATACTGATCGACCTGCGATCGTCGTGAACTCCTCCTTTTGCAAGCACAATCAACTTCCTCCAACGTTACACGCAGATATCCACACTGTGCCAACAGTGGTGGATAGGCTACGCTACTTGTGTTAACTCAGACCAACAATACGACAAACATCACCGGCACACAGGTTGGAGCCTTCATTGGAAGAGAAGGAAACCAAGCAGCATCAAAGAGGCATGTTTGATGAAGTGTGATCGAGCGCCCGCAAAGTGGTTGACAACCACGACATATCGTGGTGACCAGAACATGAGACTAAGGCCATCAACGTCAGCGCCATTTTCAACAAAGACGAGTGGTTCGTTCTGCCACTGAAGACTCGGCGCGATGAATGTCTTTGTCTACTCTGGTACCTTCTAAAATGTATGTAATGTGGGCGAACCTCCGTCCTAGGCCAACATAGATAGATGAACGATGGATCTCAATGCCGAAGCTGAGCGCAGTTGCGCCTACGGCTTAGGTCCAAGTCTGGATTGGGTCTAGCGTCTTGTCTGTCCGCTCATACATGTGACTATTTAATGACTCATCGTGCTCACGTGCCACCATCTTTCACCGAGCCCAGTCTCAAGCTGGACTCGTGGACCACACACTGTGCAACATTGCTCTTTGATTCAAGACGTCCATTTCAGTCCATGCATGGGCAATTCGCCAAAAGGTTTATGTGGTGTGGTTTTGATGCTACACGTGTCTTCCGCTCGTAACTAATGATGGCGACAAACAGTCCGAAATCCAGCAATGAAGAGGGCTCAGGCCGTATTTGCTTTGACGTCCACACCTAAGCGTATCGTCGTTGAGAAGAGGGGCCACGAGACCAGAAGCTAGTGAGAGGAGAGTGTGAAGCACGATAGGAACGGGACGGAAGGAGGGGGGCATAGCAAGTAGGAGCAGGTCCTCCTGTTGGTCTATCGTGTATGCTGACTATAATGGTATATTCGGCTGGTGGACCTTCTTCCCTATGCAGACAAAGCTTTGCTCGCGAAGCTTTCTAGTTGATTCTGTACATAGTGGCCGTGTTTGAAGTGTATGCCTCAGCCTGGCCAGGCTGGAGTGTATCCCCTGCATAAAGAATTGGTTGACCCTACTCGTAGACCCTTATGAGTTAATCAGTCATCGCAAATTACTCAAGTAAGTTCCGGCGATCCTGTTCGATACCTTTCGTTCAGTGCTTGCCTTGCAAACCACGGTCCAACTCAAGGTTAAAAGAGCTCCGACTAAGACAGCGGAGTGCCTGTCAAGATCTCTTTCGTTCTCCTTCAGTTACTTTATATTTCTAGCTTCGAAAAGTGCCTTGCCCATCCATAGCTCGTGCGCGTACAGTCCAAGGAGGTCACAACTAGAAGCTCCCATACAGACTCTGGGGAGGATGGAAGCCCGTCAACTCGCCGAAGCATTCAGCATCTCCCACGACCATGTAAAACTACCAGATATCTTGATCCAACTAGGCCAGTACGAGTGGAAGGTACACAGTACACTCCTGATAGCCAAATCTGGATTCTTCCGTATCGCCTTGAATGGCTCATACAAGGTTGGTCTGCTCCGTCACTGGTGATACACGGTTGACGCGATCAGGAATCAACGATGATGACCGTGAGCATTCATGACGACGATCCATGGATCTTTGCCAGGTTCATACAGTATCTGTACGAGTCCGACTATGAAACTTCGCAAAAGGACTTTCAACCCTCATGGCCGCCACGGGCTCGCACCGTTAGCCTCCGGAAGATTATAGAGCAATTCTCTCACACAGAAGCTCCCGTAGATGCGAACATTGATTGCCAACGACGATCCTCTACTATTCACTGTCTGATGATTAACTTGGCGGACAAGTACGACGTACCGGAACTCCTCAGTACGGGAATCGCGAGGTTAGCTCACGAATTTCGTTCTGTGATGCGAGAGGACGGTATCAATGACAAGTTTTGGTCCTGTCTGGAGACGATTGGCAGCCAACGACTGAGCCGGCACAGCCAGTTACAAGATGCATTTGCCAATATTGCCGCGATGTATTTCCCCAGTCTAGACAGTGATGAACTGCAGCAGTGGTGTCTTGGAGATGCCACGATGTGCTGGAAGCTCGCCTGGAGCCTAAGCCGGCATAAGATTGAGGGGGAGGAAAAGCTGCGTGCAGAGATTGATCGAATAGATGCTCTGTTACCTAAATCGAAGCGAAGGCGTGGGATCCTATGATCTTGAGCAACATTTGATCATGTCAGACATAGCAATTCAGATAGTCTACAATAGAAGAGCACTATCTCAGATGATACCTAGACAGTGACGCGGCCTGCTCGATTCTCATACCACGAGATACGTAGATGGGGATGATGAGAAGGCACGTATTCGACCATGGGTTCTAGCACATGTGATCTTAGCGATGTTACGATTTGTCGCAAGCAGCATTTTCGCACCGATAAGTACTTCGGAACGTTCCTGGCTCGACTCCAATGGTAGAAGCTTGATCAAGATCACATCGACACCACCGCACGGATTTATCTTCTTCAAATCGACGTCGAGGGAAGTCCTAGCGTTCGACAATCATGGCTCGTGTGGAAGAGCTGTAGTCGCCGTTGGGTCTGGTTGTTATGAGGCGGTGCTGCACCAGACTCGTAAAAGTACAAGGGACCATCGCCTAACATGCCTATACCTTCTGTCGTGGCTGCTGTGCGGCCTCTTGACTTGTAATGTTACCACTTGTGCCCTAGCTGACTGCAAGGGCGCGCTTCACGGTGCTGTTAAGTTAATCAATATTAACGGACAACAGTATGAATAGAACCAACCTTCTATTTCTTTCTCCAAACTCTAATAATGCATGATGCCAGGACGAGTATTAGGACAGATGCATCAATCAGCGAGATTTAGATGAGCAGGACAGGTCTCCTCACAGGCGGCATTTACGAATTCGCTCGTAAAGTTTATGTTTGGCTGAGAAAAAGCGATAACGAGGACAATCAGGCCTTCTAACGTATTGATGGTGCATGCATCGCGACTCCCTTTGGTCCAAAGCATTGCGCAGTCTGTCTAGAACAGCGGCTAGCGAAGTTACCATCTCAATGGTCAAGTGGGAACAAAAAAGGGAGTGTCACTCCAGTCAGCTTGTGATGTTCTATGAAGAATTCGTCAATGAGCATCATGACTCACTTGCAAGTCGATTAGCGATTATTGGCCATGTTGAGGAATAAACGGATGATCGTCATGGGTAAGTCCCGTGACGAGGACAACAATGTGGCGAATGATCGACTGTGTATAATGGTATTTATTGCATAGTCCAGTCCAAAAGTTTGGCTAATAGGGTTTAAGAAAGCTGGACTAGTCCTGCAAGGGCACTAAGACGTGCACCATGAAATTTGTCGGTTATACCTTGCTCTACCCACAGATCCCTCCAGATGTGGTTGACAGTCAGTGGTGAAGATGTCTATGATTTGTCTACACTTTCTCGAGAAGTGCCACAAGCGGACCTGCATTTTCCAGTGGGACATGAGCAACGCGGTTTATGGTGCAGGAGCCACCGTCCTCGAACGACTCTGGCCACTGATTTTCCTTGGCCTCCAATACAGGTTGACAGCTACATGCACACTCCTCAACGGCTGCCAGGACCTCGGGTTCCTTGCAGCTCGAGACCTCTCAATCCAACCAAAGCGAAGCAGAACGTTGCCATCGTGCCCACCATCCCAACAAGGCGGCCATAAATTGGCATAGGATCTGCTCGTCGCTGGGCCAAAATCCGAGTCGGTGCTACCACCTGAGTAGGAAGATCTAGGCGGCTCGGCCAAATAAGCCATTGAAATCTTGAGTTACGTAATGGGGGTTGACAGCTTCTAGAACACATGCTCTCATGAGGTCGTGTGCAAGAAATATGGATGGATCGCGAGGTGAATCGATTGGAGGCATCATTTGACCGTATGGCCTGATCCAGCGATCAAAGACTGACTGTTTGGCAGATCATTGGCCGGTTCTCCCTGTGGATGCTCCGTATTTCAAAGTTACCGTTGCGGTTGGTAAAGCGCCGCCATTTGGTGGCTATCGCATGCTTGGTCTGCAGGATCTTTTCAGGGTCAGACGCATGCCTTTCTTATTAATGGCGTTCTACCATTGTCTCCTTTGTCCAGTGACACCGATCAGGAAAAGGGGCAAGTCTTGTCATTATCGATAGCCCATTGAACGACCCCAAACTAAGACCTAATGACTTTACGTCATCACTACCGTCCGACACCGAGAGCAGTGCAGTTCCTTTTCCTTCTCTCTAAGACAGGTAGGATGAGTACACAGTATAGCTTACGGATGCTTGGAAGAGTTAGAATAATGAACTGGACAGAGCCACGAATAACTCACGATTAGTTCATTCAAGGTGAAGACAGCACTTGCAAGCAAGAATCTGCGTAGTCCGAGGACCAGTACGGAAGATGCGATTAATGCAATGTATTGGCTCCATCGAAAGCAGGAAGAGAGCATGAGAAAGGAAGGTTCATCTTTTGGGGGGCAAAAACGCCTGTGGAAGTGTGTTCTCACCACCACCTCATGCTGGGAATCATGCCTTGTCTTGACGATCAGGGCTGTCTGAGTACTGGCAATGCCAGCGAGCTCGGATACATCTGGACGCCGCAAGCAAAGGTTCGGCATCTCGCTTTCCATTCGAGGAATCCCAACGAGGTAGCCATTACGGTTGAACGAAGACCATGACTCCGCGCAGGCCACCAGGCGCGACGGAAATCACGGCTGGTGGATTTGCTGTGCCTCGCCGTTCCACCCCAGCATGGTGAATAGGCTTGCGCATGTGGAAAGGAAAGATAAGAGACTACAATGCAAGACTCTTAGGATTACTATAAAGCTCATCAATCGGCTATTTGAATGTCCAATACTGTACATGAACATTAAAGGAGCTGTGGCTTCTGTGTTTGTTATGATGTTGCTGTTTTCCGACATCTGTGGTCTGCTCGAGCAGCTGTCGTCCTCACGATCCGCCCACCAGGACAGAACTCATCACCCAGGAATGGTTCGACCGGCATGTCGGGAAATTGCAATTGTCCGTCGAAGGCCATGCACTTCTATCGTGCTTCATTCCTGCTCGACGATGCGACCGCGTTTACGGCCTCGGTGAGGTAGGTATTGCGCGTCTCGCAGTCAAAGCCTGGGGAATTGGGACAAGTCGACAGCAAGAAATCGAACGGATGCGGAAAGAGGGAAATCTCGACTGCGCTACCGCTGTCATGCAAGCCGTGGCGGAGTATGGTGCGCAGCGTTCATCTCGAGCACCACTAACCATCACCGAGCTCGACCACAACCTGGATCAAGTGGCTGCACTGTGTGACTTCTCCGATGTCGAGCTTCGAAAGCGGTATTCCCAATTGGACAGATCCTCCTTATCAAGTCAATTGACGTCGATGTTCCAGCGAATGTCGAGCCTGGAGGTCAAATGGGTTGTGCGATTGCTGCTCAAGGACTTGACGCCGGCCACCGTTCCCCAAGAACTGATGGTTGAGCTTGTACACCAGAGTCTGCCTCCTGTGCTGAGTGTGCTCGACTCATTCCCTAAAGCTCTGAGCCACCTTCAGGAACGAGAATCAACCTGTTCGGGCCAAGCTCGGCCACTGGTACCACAAGCTGGTACGCGTGTAAGCCTGCCCCACTTTGAGAAAGCGCGCAGCATCAAGCATGGCCATTCTCTGATGCGAGGACAAGAAGTTAGTGTCGAGCGCAAGTACGATGGCGAGTATTGTCAAGTGCATATCTGGCAGGACAGCAATAGTCGAAAGCCAGTGATCAAATTATTCTCGAAAAGCGGTCGAGATTCAACCATTGATCGTGATCCTATCCTGCCGACGATTCGACAGTGCCTGGGCGCAAGCAGAATGGCAGATCGAGTGCAGAAGCATTGCGTCTTGGTTGGGGAACTTGTGGTGTGGAGTGATGTGGTCCGCGACATCATGCCGTTCCACAAGATTCGGAGACACGTCACCCGTGCGGGACGCCGTCTGGGTTACCAAAAAGACTCCTCAACAGATCCAGATGAGCATCTGATGATCGTCTTCCACGACATCCTGCTGTGGGATGACCACATCTGCATTTATGAGACTTACAGGCAGCGACGACAACACCTCCAGAAGCTTGTTCAGTCGGTTCCTGGCCGAGCCGCGATCGGGCGTCAAATCGTGCTCGACTTTACTGCCACTCGAGGTACGTCTGCACTGGCTCGCGAGATGGCGTATGCACTTTCGCAGAGATGGGAAGGTCTGGTGCTGAAAGCGTGTCGCGATCCATACATCGGTGTCCATGGCGGAGTCACACAGTACGTAAAGGTGAAGAAGGACTATATACCAGGCTTAGGCGATTCGGTCGACCTGCTCGTCATTGGTGGTCGATGCGATCCTGTGGCAGCGGCAAGCTTGTCACTGATGCCGGGAACGTGGACAAGCTTCTTTCTGGCCTGTCAAGAGGTGGATCAAGAGGGCTGTCGTGTCGAGTTCAGTCCTTCGTTCCACATCGTGGGCACTGTTTCACATCCATCGATCTCAATATCCAACATTCACTTTCTGAATGCTCATGGCCGTCTATCTCAGTTCCAGTTCTCTATGACGGGACAACAAATGCAGATCCTAACGGAACTGACGGGACGGTCCCTTCCGACACATCTATTCTCGCAGGCTGCCGTGGTTGAGGTGATCGGTGCGGGGTTCGATCGGCCTTCAAATGCACGATATCTGACACTCCGATTCCCTCGTATGCTCAAGGTCCATCTTGACCGTCCTCCAGGTGATGCTATTGGCTCAGTCATTCCCAAGAGTCCGACTTGTCCAAGGAGAATGCCCCAAGTGCACAGGTTGACCGTACGACAGGGATCAAGAGACGGGCCAGTTTCTCACCAGTCCATTCAAGCACTATAAAGAAATGCCGGCGGCCCGACGTTACAACAAAGGCGCTTGGCGAGGCATACACGCAGAGCATGGAGGAAAGCAATCCAATGGAGATCCCAGACAGCCAGGAAGATGCTGAAGGTGCAGGTTAGGGCCTGGGATATGTCGCACTCAAAGAGGACGATGAGCCCAACCAAGATCGTATTTATTAGCTTACCCAATAGAGTCGTCTAGCCCCTAGACAAGGTTGCTTTCCTGCTTTTCTGCTTTCCTTGGATGTGGCCAGAGAATTGCTGACGCTTGGGGAGCGCGCTACGTTGGGTCAGATTGCTCTCGAATCCGATTGGAATGTCACACTGGAAGGGATATGGTTTCAAACTTGCCTTTCTGTCGAAACCCACTCGACAGATGATTCTAAAAGGGCACAGCAGATTGATGGTGTTCTCGGCGTCAAGCCTAAAGTTCGTCCCTAGTGCCGTGTCCTCCAAAATCACCAGCACTGAGCCGAGGCTGGTCCACCATGTCAAGTCGTCTTCGTAGTACGAGATGATGCTTAGTGTTTGTGTGATCAGGTGGCCGAGCGGGCAGATTTGGGACGCATTGGCAAATTTGCTCGGGCTGGAAGAAAACGGTCTCGCACATTTCAAGGAACATGTCCATTTTTGGCGCGAATGTAAGCAGACGCTTGAATTAGATCAATTCGTTCGATCAAAGAAAACGAGATAATCTTGATAGCAACACTTCCATAGCACTTGGGACACTTCCGCGTACTCACAATTATGATATCACGACAGGATATGCAACTTCGCTGGGCTAGATTAATGTCCACCAGTAAAGCGGAGCTGTAAGTTACTCGCGATAGAGGCCCCTTGAAATGATGTGAAGCTGTCCCACTCGACAGGGCCATTCAATCGGTCGAGAGAATCGTCCGTGGGGGTGGCTGTGCTGTCTGGCTCACCCAAAACGCAGCTCAGCTCACCCTCAGCTCACCCTCGGCTCACCCTCGGCCCAACTTCGGTTCACCTGAGAGGGTGAGTTCAAGCGGCAACAGCTCACCCACTAATCCGGAACGAGAAGTTCGGTCGTGAGAATCTGGGCCATTATCTGCTAGTATAAACTATAGAACTATAAGATACTATTACTACTAGGAAAAGAACCACCCTATAGACCTCTTTACTTACTTACTAGAGAAGAGGAGATCGAGCTTAAGAAATACCTTAAAAAGAACCTTACTAAAGGTTTTATCCGTAAATCTAGTAGACCTATAGCGTTACTAATCCTATTTATACTAAAAAAGGATAAAACTAAACGACTCTATATAGACTATCGAAAACTTAATAATATAATAGTTAAAAACCGTTACCCCTTACTACGGATCGATAAATTATAAGACCGCCTTTAAGGCGCGAAATAGTTTATCGTAATTAATATCTATAAGGTATACTATCGAGTCTATATTAAAGAGAGGGAAGAATAGAAAATAGTATTTTATACTTAATACGGCTAATACGAGTACCTAGTAATACCTTTTAGGCTTATTAACGCACTCGCTTTCTTCTAATCCTTAATTAACAATACGCTCTAAGAATACTTAGATAACTTCGTCGTTACTTACCTTAACGATATCCTAATCTTTTCTAAAACCTATAACGAATATATAGTTTATATTTAAAAGGTACTTACTAAGCTTAAAGAAAAAGACTTACTAGTTAAACTAGAAAAATACGAATTCTATAAATATAAAGTCGCTTTCCTAGGATACGTTATATCTAGTAAAGGACTTAAAATAAGCCCTAATAAAATTAAAGACGTCCTAGAATAGCTAGAACCGAAATCTATTAAGGATATATAGTCTTTTTTAGGATTCGCTAACTTCTATTAACGGTTTATTAAGGGATATTCCTATATTACTACGACACTCTTAAATCTAACTAAGAAGGATAAGTAAAAGGTATTTACTTTTAGTACTAACACACGAGAATCCTTTCTTAAGTTAAAAAGGCGCTTTACTTCTACACCTCTACTTCTAATGTTTAACCTAGAACGTCCTATACACCTTAAAACTAACGCCTCTAATTATATAATAGGAGCTTATATATTACAGCCTAACGACAACGAAAAGTAATTACCCGTTATATACTTCTTAAGAAAGCTTACTAGACCTAAGCTTAACTATAAAATCTATAATAAGGAACTCTTAGCTATTATTAAGGCTTTACAACATTAGTATATCTACTACAAAGGACCTAAACACACGGTAGAGATCTACACCGACTATAAGAATCTCCTATATTAGACCACTACTAAAAAGCTCTATAGTAGACTTATCCAATAGTCTAAAACTATATCCGCTTATAACTTTCGAATCTACTACGTTAAAGAAAAGGAGAACGGTTAAGCCGATACCCTTAGTAAACGACTTAACTATAAGGATAGCTCTAAAATTAAGCCTACTAACGCCTTACTTAAATTAAAAGGCGACACCTTAGTCTTTAACCGCACGATAATAATAGTAGAACGTAAGCCAGTTATATATACTACTTCCTAGAAAACTAAATTACTTCAGTTACACTATAAAGACAGCCTTACGGGATATAATAGAGTCGATAAGACTCTTAAACTCCTTACCCGAGACTATTCCTAGAAAGGAATAAGACAAGATATAGAAGAATATATAAGGAAGTATTCTATTTATTAGAAAGCTAAGCCCTTATAGTATAAACTATACGGCCTTCTACAGCCTATACCTATTTCTAAACTACCTTAGTAAGCGATTACTTAGGACTTTATTATAAAATTACCTAAATCCGAAAATCCCCTTACGGGTACAGCTTACAACAGTATCTTCGTAATCTACGACCGAATAACGAAGTATTTCTACTTTATACTATACCTTAAGGCTGTAAACGCACCTTAATTAGCTTATACTTTTCTCCGAACGGTATTCACTAACTACGGTATACCCTAGACGATTATTTCCGATTATAGACCTATATTTAACTCTCTATTCTAAAAGGAACTTATAAAATAACTTAGTACTAAATATAAATTCTCGATATCGTTTCACTCTAAAACGGATAGTTAAATAGAAAAGATAAACCAGACTCTTAAACAATACTTACGATATTATATCAACTACCGCTAGAATAACTAGGTTTTATTACTACCTCTAGCCCAGTTCTACTTTAATAACAACACCGTAGTCACCGGAGTTTTACCTTTCTACACTAATTACGGGTTTTACCCGATATTCCCTAGAAATACCTTAAAATCAGATAGTTTAAATCACCTTACCTAATTAACTACTAAATAAATAAATAAATAAACTCTATAAACACCTTAAGACCGAACTTAAATTTATAGCCTAAAGAATAGCTCGTTTTACGAATCGATATAAGATTAAGAGACTAAATCTTTTAAAGAGGGACCTTATTTACCTAGCTCGAAAAAATATTAAAATAAAACAACCTAGCGATAAACTCAACTTTAAGAAACTTAGACTATTTAAGATCGAAAAGAAACTCGGACTAGTTACCTACTAACTAAAACTCCTAAAGGACATAAGGATATATCCGGTATTTTATATTATACTCCTAGAACCCGCCTATATAGACACACCGCTTAAGATATTATAACCACTAGATAAATTAACTAAAGATACCTATAAACTCAAGACAGTCCGCTAAGTTAAATAGGAAAAGGGAAAACGAAAGTACCTAGTTAAGTAAATAGAGTATAATAAATTAGAAAACACCTAGGAACTTAAGAACCACCTAAGTTAAGATACCCTTAACAACCTATATAAGAAACACCTAGAATAGATAAAGTCACTTAAACTAAATAAAATACCTAAGAAACACCTTAACTAGATATATTATAATTATAGAGGAAGCGAATAAGTATATAAATACTATAACTACTTAGACCCTAACTATAAACTGTATAAAGAAAGAAATTCCTATTAAGTTAATACTTAATTATAATAACCTACTCCCTCTCTCTTACTGTCTAGATAAATATTAAGTTTATATCTATACTACTTATAACTCGTTAATTAGATATAATACTAAATACGTTATTAATCTTATTAATATTCTAGGTATATTATCTCTTAATATATTTACGTTATATAATAAGAGAGAGGTAATTATACTAAATCTAGATAGCGCTCTCTATAAGGTCTTATAATTATTATATATTAAGAGCGACTCTACGCTTAGTACGAACCTAAGGGTTATAATACTTAAAGTTTATAATCTAACTCTTACTAATAACTACTAGGCTACCGTTAGTCTATAAGATTAATAAGGCTATAGAACGTAGTTAAGTGTGTATAGGTACCTAAGCGTAGGCTTTAAGGTTAATAGATTATCTAACGAGTATTATCTCTTATATAGGGGATAAGATTTGTTTATAGGTATAACCTTACTGGCGAGTTAGTCTGCTATTAAGCCTTTAGCGAACTAAGGCTTCTACGACGTTGTACGCGCGCGTAGCTGCTCGAATCGACGTAAATTCACCTCAACAGTAAGCTACGACAGCAGCATCGACAGCAGGCTTGGATTTACGCGTCATATTGGCTAAATGGTGGTGTGGTAAAGTGATAAAGAGAGAGGATGAAAAGTGGTGGAGTGCGTCGTTACCCTAGTGCGTCGTTACGGTGTTGCGAACTTACATGGACCACAGACCCTTTCGTGAAGGCGTCTGTTCAAGACATCTGATCGCTGATGTACAGGCTACGAGGTATCTTTTGTAAAACAAGGACGGTATAGCAGGCAGGACAGTAGGATACTGTGTGTTGCGATTTAGCGCAGACAGATTGGTTCAGCAGAAACAAGTTGGTCATACAGCCATAATGAAAGACTTGTATCACATTCGCAGCAACATTCCCGTCTTTGTACAGATACTGTCGTGCCTTCGTATTATGGTTGTGTAGCACGCGACAGCGACAGATGGATCTATTTGGCTTTTGAGCGGAGTTCTGCTTGCATGAAGTTGTAGCATGTGAAAGAGCACGGCTAGCCTATCAACACCATCTGTACAAGGTCTAACGAAGCGCAGCTTTCTTGAATACACCAGATCCCTGTTGAAACATCATCACGCGTCAGAACAGCTCAAGCACTTCCAAGTTGCGTCTCTCGCTTGCAGGTTTAACCAGTTCTTGTTAATTCTGCGGCACTTTCCTCTCCTTTCATAAAACTTCATTTTCAATATCCGGAAGAAAATCCCATGCAGTTACCAGATCCATTCGAATATGGCCAAAGCAGATGATGGCAGAATGATCAAAGATGAAGGACGTGTTGACGGCCAGCTGCCACAATCACAGGTGGTCAGAGTGAAGAAACAACGAACAAGGCCGCGTCGAAGTTGGTCGAGATGGGCTGTGAGCAATTTGGCCAGGTAAGCAGGATCGCTTTCTGTTGAATATTTTGCTAATCAAGAGCAGAATAGCAGCGTGGTACACGATTATCACTGTTATGTTTCGATGTCCTTCCGACTCTCAATCACTTGCTGCGACAAGTCCAGCGATATGTCGGCCATATCTCAGCACTAAATCCCTCCTCGATCCCTTTGTGGGTCCCTACTACGATACATACGCAAGTCCCTACGTCGAGAAGGCTAGACCTTATGTCGACACAGTCAATACTCGTGTCATAAGGCCGGCGACAGTCCTAGCCATCAATAATTATAACAAATATGCTGCTCCTCAAGTGTCAAAGGCTCAGGAGTATACCTGGTCTGAGTGGGAGAAGAGAGGCCTTCCTCAGTTCCAAAAGGCTCAGAACGCCGCCCAGCAGATATACAACGAAAATCTAGCTCCTCATGTTGATAAAGCCTCGGAAGTCACAAGTCCTTATTATAAGGCCGCAAAAGAAAATGCTTTCAATGTTCACGAGAACCATATCATGCCTGCCATAGCCTACTCGCATCCACATCTCCGAAAAATAGGAACCACTACTCAGAAGTTCCTGGTAGAAAAGGCCCTGCCAGGTATCCAATACGCCTGGACAAATCTAGTGATCCTGATCGATGGCACCATATGGCCTTTCGTCAAGGGACTTTACGCTCACAATGTAAGGCCTCAACTGGTCATGATTGGTGAGAGGATTGCAAAATATCAGGAAGGTCGCAAGATGCACTCCGCTATGGAACAGGTCGATCAGTCTATGACAACCTCCCTTCCACCTGACACCGTTCTTCCTCGGGATGTATCGAGCACTGTCGAAACGACTTCTTCCACAATAACCACTTCAAGCACAGAGACTTCCTCTTCAACTTCGGCACGTGTTGCAGCGACCGAGAAACCACAAATTGCAACCGACGAGACCATTACAGAAGACCTCGTCAAATGGCAAAAGAAGTTTGCTGTCGCAGCAGACAAAGGCACCGACGATCTGAAGGAGCGCATCCAGGACATCATCACTAGCATGACAGAGAGTGGAATATCAGAAGGTCAAGGCCTCGCCACTGCTCTTGAAAAGACAAGTGAGTTTGAGATAGCATCCATCAAAGCAAAGATCAACAACGTTGTATCGCATCTTCCGGTTGATGCTGACGCTGCCGCCTATACCGCGGCTGAGGACGAGATCTTAAACACCATCCGCGCTTCCGGCGCTCAGATCAAGACAAGGGCAAAGAACGTTCGTGCCTGGTCTGGCACTTTCAAGCAAGACTTGCGACAAAGGGTTGAGCTTACCATCGATTCGACATTGCAAGTGCTCGATGACATCCGAGATCTTGGCCTTCAAGAGATCGGCATGCGTTGGGCTTGGATGGAAGGTGTTACTTACAAGCACTGGCAGAAATATCATGATCTGAAGAAAAAGTTTGCAGACTGGCGTTCAGAAGTCAGGCAGACTGCTCTTTCTCAACCTGCTCTCAGTGATGCTCATGAACAAGCTGACAAGCTACTCGACGAGAGTATGGCCGTTACTGAGGACGCTGCTAGAGAGCTCGTTCGATTGAGGGATGTCACTAAATGGAAACTCGCGGCGCGTGACGCTACAGATGATTTCGATTCACGAGCCATTCCATCTCTTACTGCGGCAGTGTCAGCAGCGTCATCTGTGGCAGGCAGCATAAAAGAGGCTCTTGTTGGGAGCAGTCAAGGCACGGTTGAGTCACTCGCTTCAGCTGTTAGTGGTCCAGGCTCAGGAATGGCGTCAAGCGTGTCCTCGGCCGCATCAGACCTGTCAGAAAGTGCCTCTTCAGCTGTGCTTGGCTCAACAGGCACAATGGAGTCTCTGTCGTCCAAAGTCTCGTCTTCTGCCTCTGATCTTGCAAAGAACGCACGCTCATCCGCTTCTTCTGCCGCTGTTGGCACCAGCACAGGATCAGCCAAATCACTTGCTTCCACGCTATCGGAGCAATACAGTCATGCTACTGGTAGTGTCTATTCGATGGCATCTTCGGCAACAGCGGGGCCGTCCAACGGCGCAATGTCCTCGGCAAGCTCGATTGCTGATTCAATCTCTCTGTCGGCATCATCTGCTGTGGCTAGTGCGTCCGCGTCTGCCAAACTGAAGAAAGCTGTCGACGACGCAGGCCAGAAGGTGGCCGACTTTACCTCTTCCTTGACAGGCGGGTCCTGAATGTTTAATGATATGTGTAGGTTTGGCATACTTGAATATTGTTGGTAGCACTATGAGGTTTGACGCAGCTTTGACGATACGTTCGATACCCCAATGCGTTTGTGATTGTTGTCAGTATTTGACTTGAAGTTCTAACGTGCAAGTACATAGACCATAATTGTTAATATCAATGAATGTGGTTTCTATCTACCTGGCCTTTGCTGCAGGATTCAGTTTCGGAAGTAGTCCAAGTTGTGTTGAAGTACTAGCCTACAGACTGTAAGGGCCCAGTATATCACCACTGAGCTGCGATAAACACAAGCTGCATCGGCAAGATCACATGCTTCTAGAGGTTTGTGCATGCCATCCAGGTGCACACCAGAGCAATCGTGATCCAACGCGCTTCCGTCAGATCTGTACCAACATGAAACTGAAAATCAAGATTGAGTTATCGAGGTTCATATCTCCTGATCGCTTGGCAAAGGCAGCCACGCTTGACGTCATTGCATACAATGAACGTCGCTTCCTTGTCAACAGTTTTGACGGCTGTGCTAAGCGACATACCGCATCGCACAGAAACACACCTCCCTAATCTTTGACTGCATCTATCTTACTTTTCTGAGCTTTTACAATTTCGAGCGTTCCTAGCAATCTTACTACCTGACAGCCTTGTCAAGTGTTAAGCTCTTAATCACTACATCGCGATGAAGACGACAACAGTACTGGTGGCTGTCGCTGCCGTAGCTGCAACGAATGTTGTAGCTGACGACTCAATCCTCAATCAAGCAAGCGATGCCTACTCTTCGGCACTGGGTGCAGCCTCGTCGAACCTCGAAAAAGCAAAGAGCATCATCTCAGAACAGATATCTGGTACACCGAAACCCATTCATGAGGAGATGCTATCTTCGGCAGATAGCGCTTACTCTGGAGCCGTGGCTGCTGCTTCGTCTCGAATGTATGCCGCGGCGGCATCACTATCCTCAATCTCGAACTCGGCATTCCCGTCACAGGGTTCGTACGATTCCGTCTCCTCGGCCGCTTCGGCCAACTACCAAAGTGCGCTTGCTGCTGCGTCGAGTCGTTATGCTAGTGCAAAAGTTGCTGCTGGGGCGACTCCCACCCCAGCGGCCCAGAAATACCTTGATGATGCACGGAGGTCATACTACGAGGCTGTTGGGTACGCCTATGGCCAGTATGACGAATACCTTGCTTCAGCCAGTTCCGTGATATATGGGACACCTACTGGAACTGTGGAAAGTGCCACATCGGCTGCTGCTGAGAACTGGGCCTCTCTAGTGGCTGCAGCCAGCGAGAGAATATAGTAAGTCATCCTTCCGATCTCACTCCGGCACTATTACTGACTCTGTTCGTAGTGGCACTCCTACTCCTGTGTACCAAGCCTATGCTTCCCAAGTCACCGACTCCGCTAATGCTCAGTACTCCGCCGTTCAGGCTTATCTGTCCGAGCTCGTCTCGGGTAAAGAGCCTAGCTACACCGAATCAGTCTACTCCCGTTTCTCCTCTGCCTACTACACCAACGAATACGCCTCGAGTGCCTCAAGTATTGCATCTGAAGCATATGCTAGTGCCACCTCAGTTGCCTCCTCAGTCTCTTCTGCTTTCAGCTCCTACTTTGCTCCACCCGAGGCAACAGCAGCCCTTGACAAGTTTACAGAGAGCCTGAACAGTGCAGTCGATGCTGCCAGCAGGAGTTTCTATGGCACCGAGCCAAGCTATTATGAACAAGCCTCCTCGGCAGCTGCAGATGCTGCGTCAAGCGTCAGCTCAGCTGTCTATGGTACTAGCACTGGGTATGCTGAGGCCGCGACATCATCAATGAGTGATGCTTTCGCTGAAGCTCAAGCTGCCATCTCTTCTGCGGTCTATGGAACCTCTACCGGTACTGTGGAGTCCGGAGCAAGCGCTATCTCCTCGTATGTTGCCGATAGTGTTAGCAGTGCTTCGGACGTTGCTGCTAGCGTTGCTGAAGAGGTACAGGCCAGGGTCAGCGCCGCAATTTATGGTCCAGAGGTGACACAGGGAGCAATTGAAAGCATGAACAGCCGTATGAGTGAGGCAATTGCCAGTGCATCGAGCAGACTCGCCGAGTTCGGCGAAACAGTCAGCAAGAGTGCCTCTGATGCCGCGAGCTCGGTGAGCAGTGCTGTACAGAGTGTCAGGGACGAATTGTAAAGTTGATTGAGACTCAGTCGAAAATCTGGAGAGAAGGGGCCCTGCAAGATGTCCGTGGCGAGAGAGAAATTCGGAGCAGCAGCGTGGTGGAGTTCATTGAGGCTATAAGATTGCGAGCGTTACGGTATAGGAGTATGATAGCGGTTTGAGGTTTGCACTTCACGAGTCAACGATTAGGAGCCGGCAAATTTGTAAGTGCTTAGATATGTTTATGACCACTACGATGGACTTGTACAATGTGACTTGCTGATTGCTTGGTGAAGAAAGCTTCTCGATCATGATTATCACTCGCCTGCCGCTGTGTTCCTTGCAGATCGATGGAAGCGATGCATGGTTCAGTAATCATACAGTCGTTATATGGCCATTCCGTCGAAGACTTCTCCAATTCGGCTGTATTTATTCCGGAGGGGAAGGACGAATGATGTGGTCAATATCGACCTGACTATTTGATACGAAACTTTGGTCTTTGAACGTGAAACTAAGCAGTGAGATCCTTTCTTCGAGTCACCTTCAGAAACACAACAAGTGTTAACCTACTAAACCTGTCGACAAATACCAAGATGTCTATGAGCATCGAAGAATGTCAAGTCCCACGACAATCAAAGCCCGTGCCAGACACACCCAACAATGTCCTCGAGCAATTCAACATGAAAGACCGTGTAGTATGTATAACAGGAGCAGCGGAAGGTATCGGTCTCGCAGTCGCCGAAGCAATGGCGGAAGCAGGAGCCAATATCGCTCTTTGGTACAACTCGAATAAGGCCGCCGTGGACAGGGCAGAGGAACTTTCAAAATTACACAACGTTAAAGCCAAGGCATATCAAGTGGAGGTTTCTTCTCCTGAAAAGGTACAACAGGCGGTTCGAGATGTTGTTAGCGACTTTGGTCGATTGGACTGCTTGGTTGCGAACGCAGGAATGGCGATATCAAAACCCATCCTGGAACAGACTGTGGAGGAGTACAAACGCCAATTCGAAGTTAACGTCGACGGTGTATTCCACTGCGCGAAATATGCTGGGGAGGTCTTCAAAGCTCAGGGTCGAGGGAATTTGATCATCACGTCGAGTATTTCGGCGCATATCGTCAATGTACCTGTTGACCAGCCGGTCTATAATGCGAGTAAAGCTGCGGTCACGCATCTTGGCAAGAGCCTGGCACGAGAATGGCGGGATTTTGCAAGGGTGAATATTGTGTCGCCGGGGTTCTTTGATACGAAGATGGGAGCTAGTGAGAGGGTTGTCAATGAAGGACTACGGATGACGCCGTTGGGGAGGCAGGGCCATGTGAAAGAGCTGAAGGGATTGTTTTTGTATCTTGCTAGTGATGCTAGCAGTTATCAGACTGGGAGTGATGTTGTTATTGATGGGGGGTACATCCTGCCTTGAATGTCATGCCATGTCTGGGAGAAGCAGCCGCCTCTGGAACGAGGCACTCGTCCCTAACGCTGTGCTTGCTTGCTTCTTTCGTCATTGCCGGTTGAAGTGCTAGTAGTAGTATATTGTGAACGTCGAAGTATGGTCCGAGAAACTAGATTGTAAAGACCTCTTATTCGTGCTCGTATTTCTGAGCCCACCCCCCACCGGACGTCGGGTTACGACACGTTTATGGAGGCTACTGCGATAACCTGCAATAACCCACGATAATCCGCAGTAACTTGCTGTAATCGGGTGTAACCCACTACAACTCGTCATCACGAACCACAACTCGTGACAACTCACTACTGGCCATAGATCATGCCTCTAAGCTGTACAGTTTTTCAGAGAATATTAGTATCTGGGACATTAGACATGACTGGCATCACAGTGTAAAGGATAAGAGTTTCGTTCCATCATGCAAGCTCTCACAATCTCAACATCACTGGTACTGTAGTCTGGTATCGTCCCCACCACATTCGCTCGACTATAAGACCAGACTGTGCGGTGTCATATCTCTTAATGCGCGTGTGGATTTGCACCCAAAGTCCTCCGGTACCTATTCTTCAAGCCATGAGTATTCTTGAAAGCTAACCTCGGCCACTGACCGTTGGAGATGGGAATCAAAGCAACAGAATTGAGTTCTAGAATTTGACATTCTGGCGCGCCTACCACTACTTTTATGATGTTCCTGCCCCTCTCTCTCATGGCGCGAACCATCTTACTGCCTGTATTGGGTCTATAACCTCAAAAAGAGACAGGTTCTCCAAATATCAAAACTACTAACATCCCAAGTCCTGCTGTTCATCGTGGCCGAACCACAAAAATGTCCACCCCAAACATCACAGTCTACTTCCTCGGCGCCTCCCGCGCAATTCGCATCCCATGGCTCCTCGAAGAACTCAACGTCCCGTACACCCTCGTCTCCTCCCCTCGTTCAAAAGCGGGAGTCGCACCGCAAGAGTTCAAGGATAAGATCCCTGCTCCGCTGAAGAAGAGCCCTACACTTACAGACGGTGATGATGTGACGGTGCAGGAGAGTGGTGCAATTGTGCAGTAAGGATCAGACGATACACAGACTTCTGAAGAGAGAAGAACTTGAATGTGGAAGGTGCTAATATCGGTGGTGTTTGCAGGTATTTGCTCGACACGTATGATAAGGACCACAAGCTCCTTCCCAGTGCGGTTGCGGAGAGATGTAAAGTGTATGAGTGGGTGCATGCTGCGGAGGGGACGTTTATGTTACATGCGCTGGCAATTTTGTATGCGAGGTGGAAGATCCCTGAGGGCGCGAAGGAATATTTACCTGAGATGGAGAAGAATATGTCGGCGAACGTGCAGAATGATTTGAAGTGGATCGAGAGTGCGCTGAAGGAGCAGAAGGAACGAGGAAACGAGTTTTTGGTAGGTAAGACGTTGACTGCGGCGGATATCATGATGGGGTTCAGTATTGAGTTTATATTTACGCGGAAGCTGGGCACACAGGGTGGGAACTGGCCTGAGACAGAGGCGTGGTTGGCGAGGATGCTGGAGAGGAGCGCATATAAGAAAGCTGTAGAGAAGAGTGGCTATACGCTGGATAGTAAAGGCGAATTTAGAACGTGAACGAAGTAGTGTTGGTACATCACGTTACTATAGTTTGTTCGTGGAGGTTGTGTTGTATTCAGCAAGCTGCAAGGCGTCTCTCCATGCAGGCAATACCATGGGTATGTTGTCTGGAATGAGATGCGGTAGTCGCTGCTGGATGAGTTTCATCAGCTCGCCGTATAACACGTCGTAGCCCGAGTTTGTGAGATGTAAACCGTCGCGTAGAAAATCGGACAATTGGTTCTTGGCGTTAGGTATATCAGTAGGAGCGTGGCAGCAACCTGGTATGTGCTGCTCTGTTGGTCTCGAGACACCATCTGGAGCATCAAAATGACTTGGGATGTGGTCGCAACAGCACTCTATCCCCATTGAGCTGGACCAACCCACTCTGCTCATTATGACAGTCCAGAAATCCAGAATGTGTACGCCAGCAGCCTTTCCAGTTTCTCGTGCTGCTCGAGCATATTGTGAAGTTATCCCGGCTCGACGCTGAAAATGCCCATCTGGCATTCGCTCGAATTGGTGCTCGTTGACAGGTGGAGGAGTAATGACGATGATCTCGGTCAGTTCTTTCGGGCTGTGATTGAAGACAGGGTAGGCTACCATCTTTTGCAAGGCGTCGATGTAATCTGTGAGTTCTACATGTTGACTTTGTCCAGGCACACAGGCGTCGTTGGCGCCGAAGAAGATCGTTGCAATACGAATCTTTGGCCAACTCGACTTGGGGGTTGATGCTGGCAAGAACTTTTGCAGAGCGACAAAGCCCATAGGAGCAGTAAATCCTGACAGACCTCTGTTGAGAACGTCTAGCCGTCGAATGTATTGATCTTGCAGACGAGCCTGCAAGGTGAGAGAACTGAACTGTGTGATAGAATCACCAAACAGTATGAACTGGGGATATTGTATCAGCCCTGCATCGCTGTGAGAGTCTCTGTTTGAGGCCATCTCGTGCATTGTACATGAGTGTGGACCAGGAGAGGTGGACATGTTGACCGTAATTCGAGATTGCCAGTCTGGCAGGAGCCGAGCTGATGCTGAACCCGGTTACTACGAAACAAACACTGTAAGTAAAAGTGCAGACTGGTATTGGCTTCAGCCCTGATATTACGCCATGTCAGATGAGCGTCTACATTGACGAGTTACCAAAGTGAATGTGGACGATGTGGATAGGGGTCAGGACTGTGTTGACCTTTACAGCATGGTTCGAACCTGATTGGATCGCGGTGCTAAGTAATGTATCTCTGTATACATGAACTCACAACCTGCCATGCAGGTCAACACCGTGGTTGGAGGTGTGTATATCCGACCTCGCATATCGCTCGGGCTAGGGGTATGCAGCAATGTCCTCGAAGTGTAATTGGCCAGATGAGAACGGAGGAGGTCCGAAGAATGCGGTGCGACGTCAATGAAAGACTATTTTAACGCTTATGCGAGGAAGAGCTGCATAGCGGCATGCGTGTCAACTTACCAGTGTTTTTGTATGGAAGATGAAACCCCGAGTTCTGCTCGACGAGATGCAGTGCTTCGAAGAGACGGATATTGATCTGATCTGATAGGCAAAATGTTCAGAAGGTCGACGCCGCTGCCCAAGCGCTTACTTGGCAATGCACAGGCAGCACGAATGATCCCCACCTACAACGAAGGTCATCCTTGAGGACGCGCTTCACGTCCACACCGACTACCTATCATATGACCTGTTTTTCCACAAATGGACACGTTGTTATAGCAGGAGCAACACACCTTAGTATTCACTGATGGTCACTGCCACGTTCGCCGCCTGACACGAGTGACGGACGTTCTTGCTTCGAGTCATATCATCCCTCTCATCCGCACGTGCCTTCTCTTCGTGGCTATTCTGGTTCATGTGCCTAGAGGCCGTTATTGAAGGCGATGCAGCAGACTGCTCATACTCGACTATGAATTCTGCACAATGCACAGGGTCGTGCCTCAATTCTCGAGCTGATCCAGCAAGACGTTAATTTCTTCGTGTCCGTTGGCATCTTCTGTTTTGTCTCGCGAGAGAAGATCAAGATGCCCAATCTGAGGCTCTTTACCACTGACGATGGGAATAGCAACCACAATACCAGTCCTGCTCAAAGCCCTGCTCCAAACACCCTACGGAAACCTGACATTCCACGAACTAGAACCTCCTTGTCCATGAACGATGCCGATGCCGAACAGTACGATGAGCATACAGCCCTTTTATCTGCAAGTGATATTATTCCAAGAAGCAGATACAACAGGAGTGGTGCGAATACGCCGAGGCAGGACCGTCTGTCTAGAATAAACAGTTTCGTTGGCAGTCTGCACTCTAGAAAGATATCAAGGACGGGCACATGGACTCAATCATATCCTGCAAGTCCTCTACACACCCGGACTGCCGACCTACGAACTCCCAGGCTCCATCAGTCCATTATGGGCAGTTTCATTTCCGACGATAGGATGTGGTACGATCAGTTCACCTCCACAGATTGGGTACACGACAGTATTGCCGATGGTCATCATGTTCTGCGCCTAAGACGTCTAAAGGGCTGGAGAGGCAGACTTCACCTCCTGTTCGACTCCATGCAAGGCTGGATCCTTGTCTTACTTGTTGGTATACTGACTGCATTCATTGCATACTTCATCGACATTTCAGATGCTGCTGTTTTCGACGTAAAGAGAGGTTTCTGTTCAGACCGTGCTTGGCTTAGCCACAGACAGTGCTGTCTAGGCGATACCAGCTGTGCAAGATGGAAGACTTGGTCAGAGATTATCAAGTCGAGTAAGGTTAGTACTGTATGGATCGATTACATCGCCTTTGTTGCCTGGTGTGTGGCACTCGCTTGTCTATCTTGTGCTGTTACCCTCTTCTCAAAGACTGTCGTTCCGTCTCACATTGCTGCTACTTTCGACGAGAACCTAGCTGCCCGACAACACCAGCGATCTGGCTCGAGTGACGACAAAGATGATCAACTGCCACGCCCTTTAACTCATCCGAATCCTCCGCCACCCAGCATATACTATTCCGCGGCTGGTAGCGGAGTCGCTGAAGTCAAGGTGATTTTGAGTGGCTTCGTCCTGCACGGTTACCTCGGCGCACGCACGCTATTCTTGAAAGTGATAGCTCTCATCTTGAGCGTCTCTTCGGGAATGAGTCTGGGCAAGGAAGGGCCTTATGTCCACATTGCGACCTGCATCGGCAATGTTGCATGCCGTTTGTTCAACAAGTACAATGAGAACGACGGTAAGCGAAGAGAAGTACTTTCAGCGAGTGCCTCGTCGGGCGTCGCTGTTGCTTTCGGCTCTCCGCTAGGTGGAGTACTCTTTGGCCTCGAAGAAGTCAGCTATTACTTTCCTCCAAAAACGCTATTTCGAACCTTCTTCTGTTGTATTGCGGCAGCCCTTGGTCTAAAGTTCCTCAATCCTTATGGCAACGGCAAAATAGTGCTGTTCGAAGTGAGATATGTCACGGATTGGGCAGTCTTCGAGCTGATGCTCTTTGCCATGCTAGGAGCCCTTGGTGGTGCTCTGGGCGCACTCTTTATCAAGGCATCCAAATTGTGGGCGACAACATTCAGAAGAGTACCTGTCATTAAAAAGCAACCAATGCTCGAAGTCTTCCTCGTCGCGCTCATCACGGGTATTGTGAGCTTCTGGAATCGTTATACTAGGCTTCCAGTGGCAGAACTCCTCGCCGAGCTTGCAAGTCCGTGCAGCAAGGGTGCCATCATGGGAACTGGCTTGTGTCCTGCTGCCGAGGACATTCCTGGAGTCATTGCTTACCTGTCCATGGCCTTCGTCATTAAAGCAGCACTGACAGTTGTGACGTTTGGTATCAAGGTGCCTGCTGGCATCTATGTTCCCTCCATGGTTGTGGGTGGTCTCATGGGAAGAATCGTTGGCCACTTTATCCAATGGCTCGTATACCGATATCCTGGTTCTTGGATCTTCGGCTACTGCTCCAACAGTACTTCCGGAGCTATTGAGCAGTGTATCACTCCTGGTGTCTATGCCCTCGTTGCTGCTGGCGCGACCATGTGTGGTGTCACACGTTTGACAATCACTCTTGCTGTCATCCTCTTTGAATTGACTGGTAGCCTGGACCATGTTCTGCCTTTCTCTCTAGGCATTCTGTTCGCGAAATGGACTGCAGATGCTGTGGAACCGCTTAGCATCTACGACTTATTGACCGACATGAATTCCTATCCTTTCCTCGACAACAAGTCAAGTCCTGTGTTTGATTCTGAACTAGGGGACATCGTACCGAGACTACGACTCGACAGAACCATCGATACCACCATCTCGCCTTACGTTAGAGCTAATGACCTACGTATCAAACTCAACCAACTACAGGATGCAGGCGAGCTAGATGGTGGACTTCCTATCCTGCGCGAAAAGATCCTGATAGGACTAATCCCAGTGCCTGATCTTGAGTTTGCACTTGACAAGCTGGAGACGCCGGAAGAGGAGACAATGTGCCTTATGTCATCACAACAGTCCATTAACTCGACGCACCACGGTTGGTCCTCTTTTCACCATAGCTTTGATCCCGACGCTGTATCCGTGGATGACGAGGATGCATCTTTCCACGAACCTGCCGATCTAACACCATACATCGATCCTGCACCTGTCGCTCTCGACGTTCATTCTCCTATGGATTTGGTTTACCAGTGTTTCGTCAAGCTGGGCCTAAGGTATATTTGTGCTGTCAGTGACGGACAATACCGTGGGATGGTTCACAAGAAGTCTTTCGTGAAATATATCAAAACCTGTGAAGAGCGAAGTTAGCAGCAAGTTTTCTTCGAAGAAGAGCGCTGGGTTGATGATCAGCAAGCATTGAACGTAATTGCATGGCGTAGCGTTGGCATTCATCGTGATGTATTGTTCTGAGCGAGCTCATTCTGCGTTATATCGGGTAGTGTTCCAGCATTAGATTGGTGTGGTCTGACTAGCATGTTAAGCATTGCGAGCATTATATAGTCTGGAATACTAATCAGACCTGAACGGTCACATTTCAGGCCGAATGACCTGTGGCGCCTAGCAAATGACATTGTCGACAGCTGTAATCAGGCTTTGCTGGTCCTGTACGCCGGGTAGTCCAACCTCGTACGTTTCGAGGCGGGCCCGCTGCCAACACGGTCAGACCGGGAGAATACTCCGAGCTACGCATTCGCTACACGACGATCGCCAACGACGGACACATTACAGGCTTAGGAGTATATCATCAATGCGACCCAAGCTCGTTCCTAGGGTGTACTTCAGTAGATGGCTATGTAGTACCTGAGGCATCAAAACTTCACACTAACTCAAAAAGGAAAGGAGCGACTATTTAGCACTCTGAGTCTTTTCGAAGCCTGGGTCTTCACCTCAGTTCACCAGCCACAGCATGCCCTTCCTTCCGTATGGGTCAAAGTCTGTGCTCGAGACAAGTGCGGCTCTCTCACTGAATGTCAGTCTCAACTGCCGCTGGGGGCGCACCTCGTAAACGAAGGGAGAGAAAGCTTCCAGATTTCTAACTCGAATGCGGCTGAGCGAACGCAATTCACCTGCTACACCGGTTGAAGAAACCCCTGACAGTGACGCACTGTCGCTTCCGCTTTCCAGACAGGAACTCAAGCTCGAGCACTATCTCGGCATCACATTCCAAGAGGATTGAATATGAGTTTCTGCTAGACTAAAAGGCAAGAGTATGTGGATCTCTCGCGCATGTGCACGTTCGACCAAAGTCGGTATAGGATAGAGTCAAGCATCATAGGGTGTCCGCCTCGAGGAGGACAATCGAAGTCAGTGGTTCGGATTCAGTCCCTGCTAGCTCCAACGATCTGCTAGCTGCAGCTACGAGAAAAGCCTCCTGCCTGCTTCTGATCGCCTGCACTTTTGCTGCTCCGAAGTTAGATGCAGTATGTGCCTGGCCGAAACTCAATACACCACGCTCGTTCTGTCAGTGGCGTCAAATCGTCGTTTTGATACATACATGCCCAGCAACGATTATCAATCCTCCAGTCAAAACTTGACCCTTTCTCCGAACAACTTGGCATTGGCCTACCTGTGACCTTGGAGAATCGTCTGGAGGAAGAAAGTCTTAACCTGAATTGGGTACCTCATCTCAACAACATCGTGTCCGCCTGAAGGGTAGCCGCCTCTCGATCTAGAAGGATGAGCACTTTCCTAGAGCCAATGTTGGAGAGCTGTCCTGTCGTCGAGGCAGGCGACTGTGTAGTGATAGCTGCACGATTCTCTCCAATTGCAGGCACAACTAAACGCTGGGAAAGGCACGAGATTGCCAGAGAATGTTACCCAACCTATATGAGGCTGATATACATGGACAGTTTGCAGGATGCAGCACTCCTAATACAAGAGGACACAGAGTCTCTTCTCGCTTCATACCATTCCTCATCTTACTCGATCTCAGGATCGTCAATGCTATCCCAGCAAAGCTCATACTGCAAGACACGGTATACTAAAAGAGTTTGGCCCCCGCCCACACCTGAAAGGCATGCATCAACCACTGGTAGGGCTGATGATGGAGTATTTTGATACCTTGTCTCCACGTGTGTTATCTTCCGTGCATGTGCGTGCACCATACAGAACGTGCTATGTCCTTGTCGGAGTGTAGGATTCATCGCGCTTGCAAGGATGCTAATATTTTAGGGAGTTGGACTAGCAGCTCTCGAGTGTATCTTGTCTAGTTGTCAATCTGTCTTTAGTGGGGCTGCCCCTACCGATAGTTCAAGACAATCTCTCTCGGTCCTGGCTTTAAGCCCTCAGCAAATCTGTCCTTCTGTTTCTACGATCCGCTACATCTATCAAAACTCTTCCTGCTTTCCCTCAATATGACAGTGGTGTCTCTTTCTTATCTCCTCAGCACCACAGGACTCGCTCACTCCCGACATGACAACTGGTAACATCTTCAAGTGTCGGATCCACAAGACGCGAAGGATCTATTCAGCACGAACACTCCCCTTCAAAAAGCACATCGACACTTCTGCAGCTCCTTTAGCCCTCTCCAATCTCTTGGTCTCCCGAACAGACTCGACTTCATATGCTGACGTTATGACTAAGATCAAGAAGTCCACAGTGAGTCTATGAAGTCTGCTACTTGATAGCAACGAACTACAAAGCGCTAACGAACAGAATGCATTGACAAACCTACTTTCAGTCAATTGCAACCAAGACCACGATTCGAAGACGTCCACCCGACATCATGAGCATGCTGAAAAAGCCTCCGAAAAACCTGCCCGAGAATTCCTCATACAAGCGACGACTTGTGCAGGTGCTCAGTTTGGATCAAAAGATTCAGCCAGCGGCGCACGATCAGCTACAAGCAAACCTCCGTCAACTAAAAAGCCAAACGCATTCGTCTCATGGTCCTGAGAACAAAGTCCACTACCTCCAAGAACGCCTCGCTCACGAGATCACGTCAAACGACATCTGACCAATAGTTGGTGAGCAGGGGTTGTGATTCGAGAATGTGCATCTTCGAACCTTGCGCTCGCGAGGCTTGTCCTAGGCAGAAAAATATCTGGCATGGCATGAACTGAGAGCTTGGAGACAGTTGCAGAAGCCTGGATACTAGCTGCCAGTGGAGAAGGTCTCGAGTCCAAGTAGCAGCCTTTATGGTTAGGCATGTGATCTGGAAACACCACGAAAATCTACTAACGATTAAAGACATCGCGATTATCATGTCACTCATCTGACTCAATACTATACGTATCTATCATGCAATCCCTCAAACCATACCGTCGGACTACCACATCATCAATCACTTGTTAGCGGCAGCACGAGCGTGCACCAACATCCAACAAATCGAGTAAAAGGTCATCAACATTTCCGTGAAATGTCTCACTGAAAACCAAACAAGTGTCTGAGTCTACAACTTTCAACGAGCCTTCGCGAAGGTTATAGTCGACAATCATATATTCAATCCACTTGCATAACGGCAGATGATCAGGCGATGAGATGCTTAGCGCCAACTATGTCTGAACACGCCGAATGGATGGCTAGTCTGTACTCAGGCTCATCTGTATAGAACGCCCATAATCTATTGACTATACACGTTCCCTGTCACCCTCGCAACGAAACACAAGTATACATCTTCCTCCCAAATCCACTCCACCCCGCCCATCACAACTTACAAAACGTCTCCACCGCCCTCTTCGTCTCATCCTTCGTCTCCTTCACCAACCCACTAATCGCCTTGAAATCCTTACTCCCCGCATCCCCTACAAGCTCAAACAACAAACTCTCACTCGTCGTCACCACAGCCCCCTCCCTCGCCAATCTCGCCAACGCAACCGGCCTCTCCCCCTCATTACAACTACTCACCCCATCCGCCAGCACATACACCCTGTTCCCCATACTCAGCAGATCCAGCGCCGTCTGCGTCACGCAAATGTGCGTCTCGATCCCCACCAGGATAACAGAGACGGGCGTGTGTGGTTTCCCCGTTTCGGCGGGTGAGGATGATGCTTGTTTGGTGAGTGCGGCGGTGAGGTCCGGGACCATCATGCTGAATGCTGTTTTGTCGAATTCTACGTTTTGAGTGTCAGATAGAAGGGAGGTGAGTTCGGAGACGGTGGCGCCTAGGCGGGAGGCGTTTTGGGTCGTGGCGTAGATTGGGATGTTGAGGATTTTGGCGGCTTTGACGAGTTTGGTGGCTGTTGAGATGCTGTGGGGGTGATGGGGTGGTTAGTGTTGTTGTCCAGAAAGGTTGGCAGGGGAGCAGTAGTAGTCAAAGATATTGAGGAATGCGGAAGGAAGTTGTATAGAAGGCTGAGATAGATTCACACATACACCTTAGGAAACTCCCATATTGCAGAGCGGAACTTCTCTTGGATGTCGCAGATACTGGTGGAAATGGTGAGCTAGTCGTCCTTCACTAGAGACTCCCTCCCGTGCTAACATATAACATACAATAGTGCTGGGTTCTCTATATTCCTCTGTTAGCGCATTCTCCTCTATGCGTGTAATTATACAGCACTGCCGAGGTCAAAAAGCACTGTCAGTCACTAATTCACTTACCTATTCTCGAAGGCATATTGGAAAATGCTCGAACAACACCACGGACTGTTTTCGTAAGAACTGATCTATGTGTGTTTCGAAAGGGAGACCTGAACATGTGGTTTGATATACAATGTATTACTGCTGAAAGGGGAGAAGGACGACGGGTTTATTCCGAGTGCCGGCCAGCAGGGTCCGTTAATCTTGCATGATGCATTGTGTGGGGAAAGCTGTGGGAGAGTGGGGTGGCTGGCTGCATGACGAATTACAGTACGATTGGAAGAGTTTGCGTTGAGGGCATGTAGGTGTAGGTATCAATGAGGCTGTAGGAGTCATTGTTGATAAGAGCTTGGGCGTTGCGAGCAGGAATTACTCGTAGAAGATCAAAAAGTTGACGATCGACACAGAATAACATGTCACGGAAACGTCTTCGATTCAACCATACTACTCAGACGATTAAGGAATAGCTAGTCATGCGAATGAACTTTGAGATTGGTAGAAGTTGTGCTATACTCGACAATATCACTTTTCGCAATCAGGGTCCTCCACTCGTCGTGGTTCTCCTCGACGCACCAGAGTTCAACCACCCGAAAGCACTCCCTGATCCTATCGGGTTTGTCCTCGTTGGCACAGGACCCTTCTCAGTTGGACTTTGTATCGAACTCTCCGTCTGTACAGGCTGAGTATCAATCGCGTTCGCTGTCGTGGGTGTGGACGGACTGGAAGCGTTTCGAGTCACATTTGCCATTGACTTGTTGGGACGAAGCACTTTCATAGGTCGAGGTGCGCCATGCCGCGTAAAGGCCGTCGAGCTCTGAGGATCAGCAGGTTTTTGGCTCGTGGGTACGCCTGCTGCAGCGCTGCGCCAAGAAGATGACCAGACACCGGAGCTAGACTTTGACGGAGTCGTCGTCGTCGACCTTTCGCTCTCCGTCCCTGACTTGGAGTCTTCGCTTGGGCGGTTCTGTAGATCTGTTACCGACCTTGTTAGAATCTGCCTGGCTTCTTCGATCTGGTGAGTATCAGACGGTTCTGGAGGTATCGAACCATTGACAACTTCAGTCAGTGGTGAAGCTGGACTCGTGACTGAGCTTAGTCTGCTGGGACGACCAATAATTCCAGGCGCTGATATTTCACTGACCAGATCAGAAGGGACGACTTCAGACGTTGAAGATCCGCTCCTACTTCTTGCTTTGGTGACGAGATGTCTGTATACATTGTCATCTTCTGGTCTGACCAATGGTACCGAAAGCTGATTGCGATCGTCGTCGAAGATGACGAGCTTGTCCTGCGACAGGAGCAGGTCAGCACTCTGCTGCCGCAGTATATCACTACCGAGAACGATTTGAATCGACTTGTCTGCAGAGGGACGCTCGTCAACGACAAACTTGGCAGTCACCGTAGGAACTTGAGGTGATGGGCTAGCAGACCTCGAGGAGGGTATTTGGATCTTAGCCTCCGTCAAGTAGACAAGAAGTCTTATCTTTCGTAGCCCGTTCTCTTCGATAATCGAGTTGTCAAGGCCCAAATTGTGAAGAGTTTGTATACCGATTGAAGACACAGCAGCACCTGTACAAACAGCAGCGTAAAGCAAGGTATCGTTGGTGAAGGTCTCAGTCAGCCAACAGCGAACGATGGCAGGACATGGTCCAAGGGCAAACAAACCAGGTGGCGGATTGCCGGAAACACGTGGGGAGTTGTGTATCGATCCAAGCAGACGGCTGTTCTCAAGACCAAAACTATTTGCTCTTCCGAAGCCTACCGTACTGCCACGTCCATCCGAGCGGTGTGATAACGATCTTTCTGACAGTGGATGGCCTCCTAGACCACTACCTGTTCGTGTAGGCAAGTCTATCGATTGTCTGGAAGGGGCGTAATTGTTCGCGCTTTCGTCGAAACGTACCGAAGCCGCTCTAGAGGCTGCTCTTCGCGACTCATCACTCGTATCGAGGGTTAAGGAACTGATCATGCCACCAGGAGTATCATTGTCAAAATTACGGAAGGCTTCCGCAGCAGGATTGAGGGTTGACTCTGGTGTAATCATCAGCTGACCAGTCCTTATAGATCAGGGCCGACTCACCTGTCTGCGAAGAACTCAAACCAGATGGGAAGGGAGAAGAAGGTCCCCAGAGACTCTTTGATCTGCCACCATCTTCAGTCCTCTTCTCCAGGCGCATAATGCGCTCGGCGTGCTGAGTCTGAGTTGTCGACAGACCGTCGATGGCTGATTGTAATCGCCAGATTTCTTCTCTTGTGGCAAAGCTACCTCCATCCATCGCCCAACAGCGCAGTCGTCTAACACAATCTAAAGCTCCTGCAGAGGCCTAAATACACTAAAAGAAAGCACATATGTGGTCAAAAGGTGAAGCAATCCCTAAAAAGAGCACATCAAGGTCAAGGTGTTAGTTGATGCACCTCAGCAGCTTCTCTGCGTCTCGGGAGTAGGACAAATGTCTGGTGTCTTTGCTCGCTGTGAAATGCTCTTGAAGTGAGATGTAAGGTGTATTTGCAGGAGTCTAGCTCTTCAATAAGTGTATAGACGACTGCGCTGTGTAGGCCTCGATCGCTTCTGATACAATAATACGCTCGAAGATCTCTAACGATTGAGGACTTGTAGGGACTTGCTCAGCAACTTGGAGCGTTGCCTCTCGATGGGTAGGACTGCAAGGAAATACAAAGTCTCGTCGCAAGTCGTCGGTGCGAAATCGCCGCAGACTTCAGCCGAATCGCAATGTTTGATACACGTACTGCACTCTTAGAATCGTTTAGAAAGTCGAAACAGTCGGAAAACGTTAAGTTGAGTCGAATCTAGTTGAGTAAAAGCGACGTGTGCTATAACTTTCGAGGGCCGCATTCTTGACACGGCGTGACGCCAAGATTCTACACTAATAGTCGAATGCAACCACTATTGCTAGCAGTGGCATATCTTTTGCGCCAGGTGTTGCATGGGAATGAAAGTGCCTGGAGTGCTGGCACGTAGAGTACAAAGGAACGGTATTCGTCCTGTTCACTACATACGATCTAGCAGACTGTCGACCGCAAGGATGTTCACACCAGCTCCACCTCTGCATTTGCGAGTAGATCCAAATTCTTCACATCCTGTCCAAGCAAATACAATTCGTCAAGAAAGGTAGGTATAAAAGAGCCTGGACCTCTACATGAGCTCTGTTTTGCCGCTCTCTCCGCTGCAAGTTCATAATGCAAGATACCAGCAAGTGCTGCAACTAATTTGTCAGTACCCTTTTGTAATGCCAAATAGCTCACAATCACACTTCCGAGTGCACACCCACTGCCTGTCACTTTACCTAGAAGACTGCTTCCGTTGGAAATGGCCAAAGTACGTTCACCATCGGACAGGAAGTCAGTGGCACCTGTCATTAGCACAATACACCTCTCTCGTTGTGCCAACAACTTGACCATAGTCGCCTTTGCCTGGACATCTGATGTGGAAGGTCCTGAGTCAACTCCTCTTTGCTGCGTGGCAGAAGTTCCCAGTACTGCTCCAATCTCACCTTCGTTTCCTTTTATCACATCATAGAAACCTGCTCTGAGCAGAGTTTGAATTGCTGTTCGTCGTACCATCGTGGCTCCTCCGCCCACAGGATCCAGGAGGACAGGATTTCCGACTGCGTTGTATGCTCGAACGCCAGCTTGATATGCATTCATAATATCAGGCGTGATAGTTCCCATGTTGATAACAAGGCCACCACCCAGCTTGGCCAAATCAGGTGCTTCCGCACCGTTCGTGGACATTATAGGTGATGCTCCCGTGGCTAAGCACACGTTGGCCGCAAAGTTTTGGACTACCGTATTCGTCATGTTGTGAGACAACACACTTGAAGCCACATGCTTTTCGATGATTGCCGGTATTTGACGTAGTATTGTGTCTGTGGTCGTGGCAGCCTGCACATTGGGGGGAGTGCTTACATAGAACGTGTCATATGCACTCTTAACAAGCTTAGCAAGCTCTGTCGCTGCATCTTTGGGATTGGAGGCCGCTACGATGGCGCTGACTACTGCGACGCCGTTTAGTCTGTTACCTCTTGCTGTCGATTGATGCAGTACACGTTGTACGTTAGTGGCATTGATACTACCGATGGCAACACATCCCACAGAGTGTTGAGTTCCTGTCTGGCAGCGGGACAAGATCTCCTGTGTTCCTCTTGTACCGATTATAGACTTGGTATCCTTTTTCCTGCTCACATTTAGTTCAGGGAACGAACGATAAGATGTAACTTACGTAGGCGTGGCGAACATGGTGCCTATTCCTAGGTAATCAGCACCTCCATTAATGGCGGCCTCTGCTTCGTCAACTGAGGATGCGGTCATGCCGATAATAGCATTGGCAGGAAGAGCACGCTTTGCATCTTCTATCTTGACATCCTCCTGTCCAATATGTACTCCCTCTGTGCCAGCGGCAAGGCATACGTCCAATCGATCGTTGATCAGCAGAGGGACACCATATCGTTTTGTGATGACATGTAACCTTTTGGCGGTGGTAATCAATTGACCAGTATCGGCATGTTTGTCACGGTATTGTACCACAGTAACACCACCCTTGATGGCTTCTTCGACCACATGACAAAGGTCCTTGTCCCCGAGTATGTCAGGGGTCGAGTCTGTCACAAGGTAGAGGCTCAAGTCTAGATGTGGCTTGGTATCACTCATGATCGGGCGGTAAGGACAATGTAAGGTAAGGCTGTAGCTACGCCGAAATCATGAACAGGCTCGTCGAATTAGCAATAACCAATAGGAGGAAAGAGAAAGGACGAGGTACTTGTGGTAGAAATTGACTACAAATTTTCGATTGTGTCATACGGATCTTCGAAGAGCTCCTGCCGAAGTTGTGATACACGATATGGGTAAGTCGTGCCTTTTGGCTGGGACACGAAACATGAATACAGGATCATGAGATGTCTTATCCAGGTCAAACAACACAGCTACACGCAAGTAGGACCGAACTGTGCAGATGTTGACGAAATAAGCTCGGCCTGCCGACCACCTAGCCCTCTCGAAGAGAACATATACGGTGGCTGCTACGCATGTTCGTCATCTGGGAAAGATAACGCTCACTGCTACCTGAAGGCTGAGAATGAAAGAACCATTTTACGTATGCTGTGAAACTGAAGATGAATTAGTAGTAATTTCCGAAGTGTGCCGAGTCGACGATTACGATCCATGATTTGATATTGACATGATCGACCTCACTATGCAGATGATGCGAACGGCTAGTCCTCGGGGCGTGGTATGAGTGGTTAGCTCTCTGCAATTCCGCTTGTAGACGTTGGGTCTGTGAACCACAAAGCTCATTGTTGCATTGTTTCCCCAAAAGCACGGGATCGTCTTGTTCCAGGCACTGTTGCCTACATGTGAGAGGCAGCCGACGGAGTAATACGTGCAACTCAATGTACCTGTTACGGCTGGTAACAGTGTGCACATGATACTTGGACAAAGACTGCCAGGGGTATCGAGTAATTGATAAGGTTGCCTGAGGCCCGCAGAGTGGTTGCCGTCCGTCCTGGAGTCATCACTCCGCAAGCTTATTTTCGACTTTTCGCCTCTGCCGATTCTCTTTCTTTCTTTTTTCACCACAATAAAGTCCTTCCACTCTGATCGTTGCTTTCTTCAGTGTCCTACCCCATCCCCATTACTCAACTGGGATTGCGACGCGCCGTTCGACAAACAGTTGTTGACAATCGCCCACGACCTGCCTTTGCGCAATCGCACCCTACAACTCCTCCATCGTCAGGAAAGAAGACAGCCATCGGATTGTCTATGTATCGTTTCCATCCCTCAATATCTCTTCAACCTCAAAAATTACAAATATTCCCGCTCTCGAGAAAACCTCGTAAAGACCATTCACGGTTCGCCTATGGTTAATGCCTGTCGACTTCGACCGCAAAGATTCATGTTGAATATAGACAATCGGTGGTGAATATTTCCACGCATGTCTAGCCAGACGACAATCAGCAATCTTTCCTTGTGAACATTCTGTCAATATTTGTGGCTCTCGTACATCTTTGGCAGTCTTTGATCAACTACCGCAACCATGGCTACTGTTAACGTGAGTTAAATACCCTGATCCTTCTTTCTTGCGATCTAACATTCTCTAGATTCGTCGGGATGTTGCCGACCCCTTCTATCGTTACAAGATGGAGCGCCTTCAATCCAAGATTGAGGGCAAGGGCAATGGTATCAAGACCGTCGTAGCCAATCTTCCAAGCGTCGCTCAATCTCTTGCACGTCCTCCCTCCTATGTAATCAAATTCTTCGGTTTCGAACTTGGTGCTCAAACCAATACCAATCCGAAGGACGACCGATGGATCATCAACGGAGCCCACCAGGCAGATAAACTTCAGGAGTCTCTTGACACTTTCATCAACAAATTCGTTCTTTGCAAGGATTGTAAGAATCCTGAAACCGAATTCGTTGTCAAGGATGGACGAATCCTGCTCGACTGCAAGGCTTGTGGCCAGCGCACCGCCGTCGACCTTCGCCACAAGCTTAGCGGCTTCATTCTCAAGAATGAACCTAAAGGAGGAAAGAAAGCCAAGAAGGAAAAGATGAGTCGCCGAGATCGTGCTAAGCTTGAAGCTCAAGAAAATGGGTCCGTCAACGGCACCGATCGTAGTCCGCACGAGTCCAACTCGGATAAGGATGTCGAAGAAGAAGACGATGGCGAGATTGCTGCAGGTAGTGATGACGAGTTCACCAAACAGATTCAGGAAGATGCTAAGACCATCGACGCCACCAACGGTGCAACCAAAGAAGAGAAGTGGGCAGTCGACACTTCGGCTGAAGCAGTCGCTGCTCGTGCCAAAGAACTTCCCACTGATCTCAAGCGTTCCCTTGCCTTTGACGAAGAAGACGATGGTGGTGAAGAGAATGGCTTCAGTGTCTACGATCAGCTGGGTACCTGGATCGATACTCAAGCCAAGGAGAAAGGTGGTATCGGAAAGGTGGATGATGTCGATATCTACAAGAAGACAGCTGAACTTGGTATCGAGAGCAAGCACAAGACTTTGACTGTGCTTGCTCAGATCATCTTTGATGAGAATATTGTCGCTCAGATTCCTAAGCGGGCTGGCATGCTCAAGAAGATGATTGGTGATTCTGAGAAGCACCAGAAGGCTTTCCTGGGTGGCATTGAACGATTCGTCGGCAGTGGAAACAAAGATCTCATCTCGAAGGTTCCCACGATCCTGATGACTCTGTACCAGGAAGATGTCATTACCGAAGAAGTCACCAAGCCATGGGGAACCAAAGCTAGCAAGAAATACGTCGACATCGCTACCAGCCGGAAGGTCCGACAAGCCGCTGAACCCTTCCTCAAATGGCTCGAAGAGGCAGAGAGTGATGAGGAGGAGAGTGACGATGAGTAGGCCTGCTTGGGTCTGCTAATCATATCTCGACCACACTTTTCTGTAATTCGACTATGGGACAATCTTTCAGTGCACATCTACAGCCACTCCACTCTGGTGTTGCCATCAATCCGGGCTTTTCATCTGACTTTGTTGCGGACCAGGAGCTTTGTGCCATAACAGGCACAACACAGGCCGCCTGCCACTCTTTCAAGCTGCACAGCATACCAGTTACCTTTTAAGGTATAGGTAGTTTCACAATAGATTACGTTTGCCACGAATATTTGTCCTCCTATTCGATCGGATCATTCTTTCCGCAATTGCTTTGACCCTTATGTTGCCCTTGTAAACGTGCCACTCACAAAAAATCATACCTGACGGTTCCAGTACAATAGCATAAAGGCGTCCACCAGAAGGGTCACTCTTTTCGATAGGGACGTGGTCAGCTTCAGGTTCACATGTTCTTCTAGACTCGGGAGTTCTGCGGCCGTTTCAGCCGCGTGGCAGTCGCTCACGTTGATGCGGAAAAGGTGTGCCTTTCACACGTCGGCCACGCTGAAGCCACATGTCGTAGTTTCCTCGGGCTCCTTCTGATTGCATCACATCTCTCGTCCAGCAACCACCATTTCTAGCACTTTCACCTCTCTCTCAAACCATGAGCTCTCATGTTTCACCTTGCGTCGTAACGTTATGACAATTCAGAGCAGAGGGTGAATGCTCTAAGGCTATATCCTCGCACAATGAACTCCCTACGAAACTCGTTGCAAGGTCTTTTTCGTTTTGCGCCTGTTGCTCGAACCGCGGGCTCTAAAGCTACCACTCGACACATTTCGCATATACAGAGACGATTCGTATCCTATCAGCGCTTTCCAGAAAGAGGTGGGAGCAGACCGAACTCGGGGCCATACAGCAACTTTGCGCCATTCGCGAGAGTCCAATATATATGGCGAAATTACAAAACCATCGTAATTGTTACTGGGGCTGGGGGTGGCACTTTCTATGTGGTCAACCTGGAAGAGGTGCCTGTCACAGGGAGAAGGAGGTTCAATATTGTCTCTCCCGAGAATGAGAAAGCACTGGTCTCGGATTCGGCATATCAACAAACACTTCAAGAGTTTAGAGGTCGAATCCTTCCCAAAGAACATCCATATACACAGCTTGTTGCCAGAATTGTCACAAGATTGCTCCCGTCTGCCCATGGCCTCGATGGCGGAGATTGGCAGGTTCATGTTATTGATGATCCCAATAACGTGAATGCGTTCGTTATGCCTGGTGGAAAAGTTTTCGTGTTTACAGGCATTATACCTATAGCACAAGACGAAAATGGTCTAGCAGCTGTGCTGGGCCACGAAATAGCTCACAATGTCTGTCACCATGTCGGCGAGCGTCTGTCGAGGCAGGTTTTCACGATAGCTGCTGCCCTGCTCATCTCTTCAGTGTTTGACATTTCAGGTCAAATTGGTAATTCCATAGCTGACCTCACACTTACACTACCCAACGGCAGAACGCAAGAGTCCGAGGCGGATCACATTGGTCTCCTGATGATGGCAGAAGCATGTTACGATCCTCGAAGAGCTCCAGGTCTATGGAAGCGCATGGGTGAATTTGAAAAAAGAAAAGGCGGTGCACCTCCCCAATTTTTGAGTACACATCCGAGTAGCGGCACTCGTGGTGAGGCCATGGAGAAGTGGATGCCTCAGGCTATGGAGAAATACAACGAGAGTGAATGTTCGATCACGGCAAGGGGATTTGACGAGTTCAGGAAGATTGCGGATGTTGGAAGACGCATGCCAGGGACAATGAGTGTGCTGACTGGAGGTCGCGCGTCGAGGGAGAATGAGGATTGGCCTTTCTAAGACAAACAACGATGCTACCAAATGACCACTTCATTTCATCTTGCTGTAATAAGAACTCCGAGCATAACGTGATCTCTTAATCTGCTCCACCTGGTATATGGTCCATCGTTTTTGCTGTTGCCATCACAATCCAACCCTATCACCTCATCGATATATCGTACCCTAGATACGGCAGACCAAAGGACATTCCCGTCTACGATCACTCTGGCTTTGGCTTCAACACTTTTTCCGGGGGGACGCCTGGTTTACCGTGTACTTCTACTGCATGCGATCGTTAGTATGGCTGCTGAAGTGACGATGAGGCATAACATGTTCAGTATCTCGACTCCGAAGCTTACAAGCTCTTTCCCCTATCAAGATCATCTCCTCTTCTGGTATCGGCTTGTGCGCCATCCAACCAAGACTCGGCACATCACCCTCAGCGAGGAAGATGTGTGGCAGACTAAAAAATATGCTCATGTCCGACAATGTATGCTATGGCAGATTCGCTGAAAGAGGAACTGCAACCGTGCCGCAACTTTGGTTGCAGAAGAATTGAATCGAGCAGTAAGGTTGCTCCGGGAGGACGCCAGTGGAAGTGCAAATGAGAATTCCGAACACAGTATATCAGCTTGCCAGAGCTCATGGCAGCGTCTTTGGAGTAGCATATCTAGAGGGAATGGGAGCTGCTAAAGATACTAAAAGGGCTGGCGACTATCTAGTACCGCAACACCGTGAATAAAGACTGACTGATCCGTATCTGGCTGATGTATATTCAATGAAGTCCAGAAGACCAGCAACAAAACTAAGAGGCAGCCAGACTCAATGAATTGATGTGTGGAAGGATCCTTGGAAGCGCACCTAAAAGAGAAATATATCTTCGATCACGACGTCGGAAGCGTCAAGGATGTCAGTGTTCAAGACTGTGCTTAAACGGTAGCTCATAACCGTTCACTTGTGGAAATTTGTTCACCTGCGTATATTACTCAAAACGTGTTTGATATCCTACACTATCAACCACCGCATGTGGATTACGTCATGGTCAGACTGGACCGGGCTATTTTGGTCTCCACCGTGTGCTATGATCTATATTGCGTACAATATGTAAATCAGGTGTTCTGGGAAAATGCAAAAAGAATGATGCGGGATTTTGACAGGACTCTAACCTGTCGTATGCAGATGTGTTACTCTGAAGCAGAGAGACTCAGCCAGCCCGATGCGGGGGCTTTAGATAGTCAGTATAAGGATTTAGATTGTTGATAGATAACATACTCGAACCCCTGAGATGATATTAGCCTGTCAAACCACTCAATCTGAAAATCCCGTACTTACGCAGCCTTAAGATCTTGCTCTGTAAGAGTCTTACGCTCTACCGATTGAGCTAACCGGGCGTTTGGTTTGTGATCTGATTTGGAGCGAAGAATTTTAGCGATAATATATGACCCTAATATCACAGGACATGTGGGAAGTTTTCATGATGGAGACAGAAATGCTTGGCGAAATACTACACGGGCGTCCACCCGGCCGATCTCCCAAGCCTATGATGTTTCCACAGCACGAGCAGCCAAATGTCATACCAAGAATCCGTGAAAGGTCTCACCTACAGTTCACCTACTATACCCGACGATAGCGAGCCAACAGTCCCCAATCTCTCACTCAAAATGGCTTCATCATCTACATCTGTCAAGCCTTCTGTTGGAATTCTCAGCATAGGTGACATGGGAATGGGCATAGCGAAACTGCTTCTTGCCAACGACTACGAAGTTCTCACAGTCTCAGCAGGCCGAAGGCAAGTTACTGCCTCTTCCACCTTTACCCGGCTGACGGATAAAGTCAACACACCCTAGAGCGCATTCGAGCAGCAAAGATTGTGGATGTCGCCTCAGATGAGGAGTTGTTGACACGAGCAGACATCATCCTCAGCATAGTCCCACCAAGAGACGCCTTCACAACAGCAAGACGTGTGTTCAACGCAAGCCGGTCTGCTGGTGATGCACGAAAAGCGAAGAAGGGTCCCGCTTCTAACCAGATAGTCTACATCGATCTCAATGCGATTTCACCCAGAACAGTAGCCAAGATTAATGGCTTGTTCGACGTGATGCCAATCACGAGTCCTCCGCCTACACCATCGCTTACACGTAGACTAACCCGAACTCTGTCCATGGCTGGTAGTCAGCAGAGTACATCTGAACCACCCCCGCCACCACCAATCGATATCAGATTTCTGGATGGCGGTATAATTGGTTCGCCTCCCTCGAAAGACAAGTCCAGCGACGAACCGAATAACAGCAACGACCAGGACTCTACTTGGAAGAAACCATCTATCCCATTGTCAGGTCCGCATGAATCACTGCTAACCCCAGCTCTGCTCACACTTCTCAACATGAAATTCATCTCTGGCAAACTTGGCACTGCATCGGCGCTCAAGGCATGTTTCGCGTCGTTGACCAAAGGCTTCACGGCTCTTTCGATTCTGAGCTACACCACGGCGGCGACCTGTGGAGTACTTCCCGAACTAAAGTCGCATCTTGAGGAATATATGCCGGGTTTAGCACAACGCGCCGAAAAAGGACTCACAGGTATGCCGCCGAAAGCATACAGATGGGTCGACGAGATGCGCGAGATTGGAAAGACTTTCAAGTCTTCTGGAGGAATGAAATTTGGTGGCGAAATGTTCGAGCAGGCTGCCGAAGTGTATCGCTTTGTTGCAGAGGACACGGTTCTAGGTAACGAGAAGACTGGAAAGAGAAAACGAGGTATGACTGTGGAGGACGTTGCAGAGGCTGTGGAAGAGGGTGTGCAGAGGAAGATGCAGAAACGTGAAGGAAAAGACGAAAAGCTAGAATTGGCTTGGAGAGGTAGCTGGGGTTTGTAAGTGGTGCACTTGAAGCGTATGGCGTTCACTCCAATAGTCTATGCGTTAAGGCCTGGCAATAGCATCATGGTTCGTGGCATATTGACTGCACTCGAAGTGTTGGGCGTCCTCCTCAATGGCCTGCACGAGGAAGATCCACTTCAGCACTCTCCCTGATGATATCGACCACGTTACGAACACGCTCCAATGGTGTATGCATCGTCGATGTTCTTCAAGATGATTCCAGCGTCGATTCCCTTCTGATAATCCCATCGCGGGTCATTGAGTCCAGACGTACTCCAGCTCCAGAAACACCAGCCGATGGCTTGCCCTTTCTCATAAGCCATAACCTGGGCAGCGAACCACTTCCTGTAAAAATCCTTGTTCGCATCGTTGTTTGGGTCCCAATCACTGTTGTGCTCTACATCACTGTTGACCGATAGGGACCACTCGCCAACAATCACAGGCCAGTTTCCGCTTCGATCGTCCTTGCACGAGAGGTCAAGATACCCTTGATGTGATACCTTCGCATCAGTATATTTGACGTACTGATGGTCATCATATGCCGCATGCTGAGTGAGAGTTAGTTGAAGACTTGTACTGGCGAGAATCCACTTACCCAGAATGTTCTGTCGGGCAAGAACTCATTCGGATCACCCGAGTTCCACTTCTTATCCATCATCTGGATGTGTAATTGACCATCTTTCGAGATACTCAAGGCGGCCTCCTTGTTTCGTATGGTTGTCCAAGCCCTTGGATAGTACTGACTGCGCATCGAATCGGTCTGGGCTTGAGCATTTGGATACCGTGAATCTCCAATGCGGACTGGCTCATTGACTAGACCTATCATACCTACCGTATTGATATAGGCTGGATGTGTATGCGCTTTGTTGGTCATCCATTCGAGCCACTTGCATGCACGATCATAGTTGTAGTTGTCGTAGAACCCGGGTGAAGGATTTAGCTGACCAGTAAATACGTCGGTAGCTTGAGCGCCGGGCGCTCCATGAAGTTCAATTATCACATAGAGGCCAGCATCCTTCGCCCACTGAACAGCTTGATCAAGGTATTTCTCTCCACCTCGAGGAAAGTGCTCGCTCGAGTCCACCAGAGATTCGAGAAACCAGTATCCTACAGGTATCCGTACCGTATTGAGACCATAACTTGCCATCTTCTTGAAGTCGTCCGCTGTCAACCATGACTCCCAATGACCTTGAAAGTCCTTGTCTGCTTTGGCTTGATCCTGAAGACTAGAGACGCAGTCGAACTCAGATTGAGAATCACAACCGAAGCTGGAAAACACTGTGCTTGCCATCCAATTTTCGACAACGAAGTAGCTGCCTAGATTCACACCGCGGACCTTGACTGTGTTCCCGATTGAGGGTAGCGATCGTTCAATGAGGCCATGTTCATGTAAACTGCTGCGATTGAATAGGTCGACGCCGGACCGAGCAAAGATCTGCTTGTGTTCACCTGGCAGCCATGCTGCAGCAAAGAAGGGACACGCCAGAAAGAGGAGCACACCCGCGTACATTATCAAGGTGGCTGGATGACTAAGGAGAAGCAGAGATGCAAGCAAACTGTGACAGAGAATTGAGGCATATTCAGTTTTTTATTCTGGAGCAGGATGTCTTTCTCACCATTGTCTAAATTAAGGTCAGACTCGACAGAGGTGTCCCAGACGATGATCTCAGGTCGGTTCGAAGATATTGAATACTACATGCCTGGCAGATTGGAGGAGGAGGGATACCTGACAATGAAACCTGTCGAAATGGAGAAGTTGGTCGGCATGATCAGTCATCACGCTGTTTAATTTTAAGCTTTGGCCCGCTTGCAAAGCTTGTCTGGCCACGTTCCGTTCCTCTTCAGCTTGATATCCTCCCCCTAGTTGTACTTGGGACGCTGGATCAACTGCGATTCACGTACTCGAGACGAGAGCAGCATGCTTGTCACAATAAACTTCTCGCTGAAGGGCGAGATCGGGCGGTGTCCCGCATTACAGTATGGGCAATGATCTTGGATCACAAACACAATTTCATGCAGGAGGCCTTATTAATCTGATGCTAACGACATCGTCTGACTATCAGCCAATGGAGACTTTACCAATTCTTCCTGGATCGTCAATGTTCTCGTTACTAATCGTACAACATGTAGTGTACTTTTCTGTCCCCCGTTTGACGCCCTCTCGTACCTCACAGCCAGCTTCGAATGGCCTGACTTATCGCGCTCTCTGTCAGAAAAAGCGATCGCTCTGGTGGACGCTCTCACAAGTTCACAAGTTTGCCGGAATGTCTTGTCTGTTCCGGACATGCCCTTACCAGGATCAAGCAGAAAAATTGTCGCTGTCTAGAGACGTGCTAGCTTCTGTGGCTTTGTTTGCACACCCTGCTAGCGAAGCTTAGCGCACTAAGCATCTACCTCGAGATTGGCCCTGTTTCAAGCAAGCTGGCGGGTGCCCTACATATGCATGAAAGAACGTGGTGAAACGAGAGGTCTAGTCCCAGTCTGTCTCCAGTATTTGCTTCAGAGATGTTGGTGTCCGGAACCCGCTCAGGCAGAATGGCATTGGCAACGCCATGTTCTTCCGACATAGACTTTATGTGTGACACGGCCAGGAGTATTCAACCAATGTTGCTCGATTCTTCTGGACATGCTTGACCAGTCGACAAGAATCGAAGATTATGCTTTCTTAGGGTCCACGATCGTCGTGATCAGCTACAGTGACATGCTTTCCTCTTATTTAGCAGATCGTTTATCCCAAGACTTCAGACGTCCTCCTGTTTCTATACACGATAGGTACGTCCTCCTCCGGTTGCTCTCCGTGCTACACTTTCCGAAGAGATGACTACCCTCGGCCTGATACTGCTGGCGGCAGCAAGCTCAGCCACAGCACAACAATGTTACAGCATGGACGGTTCCGTGCTTGACTCACGTTACAGACCATGCTTTCCCGAAGCCAAAAGTAGTGGATGCTGTATGCTGAATGTGAGTCACTTCATCCTGAGCTGGTTCGACTGTGCATACTGAACAACTCTACCTCACGACGACCATACGATGGCTAACGTGTGGCAGGGAACGCAAGGCGAGAACCAGCAAAATGACCTCTGCCTTGACTCTGGTCTTTGTCAATCAACATCTGGCTGGTACGCAGGATTTCTATACATCAATGGCTGTACAGATCAGACTGGTAAGGCTGAAGGTTGTCCTAAGCTATGCTCTTTCATGGGTAACCAATACTCGTGGTCTGTTCTGCAATGTGAGCCAGGGAAATTTTGCTGTAGAGCGGCATCAGACAACGAAAACTGTTGTGGCAACAACGCTACAATGATCTCAACATCACATATCGGCAACCTCCTTTTGCCTGGCGCATCAGTACCGATCAATACGACATACAACGCGACCAACGATGCACCTTCCACAGCGAGTGGCTCAACATCAAGCAACAGCACATGCTTATCAGCATCCGATACCAGTGCAAATCCTCAATGCGCTAAAGACAACTCGGCTCTAATTGGTGGAGTGGTTGGTGGTATACTCGGGGCGGCCCTCATTGGTGCTCTCACAGCACTTGCCTTCGCTGTGCGTAGCAGAAGGCATTACAAATCTGATCTGGGCTCGACGCAAGCAACCTTGTCTTCCACGGAAGCACATGCAGCAAAAGAGAAGCTAGATCTCGAGCAGAAACTTGAGGACAGTAGGAGACATATGCAAAGTATACCACCTCAATACGTGAACACAACATCCGGAACGCCGATGGTCCATGGACAGCCGACTATGGTTGGGACATATTCACCAGGCTTGCAAGCTCGATCGCCGGCGCTCGAGCTCGATCATGGCCGTGAGCTGAGTGAGCTTGGAGTAGAGCTTGAAAGTAGGCGAGCCGAGCTGATGAGTGAGAATCCAAAATTCGATAGGAAGTAGATGAAGGAATCCGAATGATAGTATAAGAATGTGACATGAAGAGACGCCCAGGTTGGCATGAGTCTTTGTCAGGGACATGCTCTAGTCCCTCAAAAAGTGGTACTGATAGGGTATCAGTAACCAAGAGCAGGAAACCAAAGAATTCGATAAGATCGCCATGTTGTATGTTCATGTTATGTTCACCTTTTGTTCACATTACGTTGTCTATGACGTCCTCCTCGTTTCATGGTAGCGAACATTGGTGGTGAGAAACTCTTTGCAAACAGAATTCGGTGAATCACGTGACCATGCCCTTGAGTCTTCCTCATCGACAAGCGACTGCTACGGTGGCTGCCTACACTTCAGAACGAACACTCGCTAGGATTATCGAAAGGCCACGCCCAAGGACATCTATTAGATGAAATTATCGCGTTCTCTCCTGTAAAGCGATGATGTGTGAAGTACATCTACTCCCCTCGTTCCAATGCCACGAAGGAAAGCTGCCCTTCCACCTACTAACCGTCAAGGAGCAGCCACGCGTAGATCAACGCGTCGCGCTGAGACCGAAAATGGCGCCGTTCCAGAGATCTTTAATGAGATGTTGATCGAGGCTTACCACAATAACCCAGAAGATTTCAAACCAGATCCTCGACCTCCAAAGAGGAGGAAAATCGAAGTAGAGGACGAGCTGCCGACTTCACGAAACGAGCATGACTCAGCACAGAACACGCTTCCCCCACCAGTAGTCCACCCCTTGACCGAGAGCGCCGACACTACTGTCCCTGCTCCGATACAGTCAGTGTTCGATGACGATTATCGCGATTCAGATTCCGACGCAGATTTTGAGGATGTAGAGATTCTTGAGAATGTGGAGACTGACACTGAGAACGAAGAGCCCAAAGCTCTTCAGATTGACCTTTCGAGCTCTGTCGCAACACCAAAGCGTCTGGTCCAGAGGCGAAAGCCAGTCACTAAAGCTGAACGCGAATTTCGTCTTAACGTGCATAAGTGGCATTTGCTTTGTCTGTTACTTCACCTAGCGACAAGAAACAAATGGTGCGAAGACGAGGTCGTGCAGAAAACACTGAAGTCTTTAATACCAAGGAAGTTAATTTCACGACTACATCTAGAGGGAACTCAAGCGGAGAGGAAATATGCTTTCGATGCTGCAATCGGTGAAATTTGTAACATCTGGCGGACGACCTGGAAAGTGAATGCACGAGGTATGCGACGTGCTTATTGGAGAGAACACCTAGACATCGAGAAAGAAATGGAGGAAGCTGAGGACCCGTACGATCTGGATGATTATCGCCATGTTGCGAAGCAACGCTCAGGGTCTAGGGACATTGGTGCCCAGATTTTTTGTGCCTTGTTACGATCAGTCGCTGTCGAAACCAGGTTAATATGCTCCTTACAGGTATTGCCATTTTCACGAGTGGTGAAGGGCGAAACACCACAGAAGGACGAACCGAACTACATACAAGCAGGCAATCAGAACTTTGGGACTGCGAGAGCCACTTCAAAGCGCAAAGCCATTAACGAGTCGCCGTATCCTGTCTGGTGGGTGGAAGTCTTGAATCCTGCCATTGATCAATGGATACCCCTCGATCCTCTCGTGCGACATACGATCAACAAGCCAAGGACGGGATTTGAGCCACCAGCGGCCGATAGCCTAAACAACATGTCTTATGTGATTGCTTTTGAGGACGACGGACGTGCCAAAGACGTAACCAAACGGTACACGGCGGCGTACAACGCCAAAACTATCAAAAGTCGAGTGGAAAGTACGAAGAACGGTCAAGAGTGGTTCAGCAAGGTCATGCACGTCTTCCAAAAATGGCCTGAAAGCCGTGACGATATCGAGGACGCTGCGCTAGACCGCAGAGTGGCGCAGGAAGGCATGCCTAAGAATGTGCAAGACTTCAAAAATCATCCCGTATATGTGTTGGAGAGACATCTTCGAGCTAACGAAGTGATTGAACCAAGAAGAGAATGTGGTAAGTTCTCTTCGGGCAAGAACCGAAAGCTAGAGGCTGTATTCAGGCGGCAGGACCTTCATGCTTGTCGAAGTGCAGATGGATGGTATCGCAAGGGCAGAGATATCAAAGCAGGTGAACAACCATTAAAACGAGTGCCTAAAAGATGCGGAACTAGTGTACCCCCAGACGATGCGGAACAGGAGGAAGAAGGTGTCGCGCTCTATGCAGAGTTTCAAACACAACTTTACGTTCCGCCACCAATCGTCGATGGTCGTGTTCCCAAGAACGGCTTCGGCAACCTCGACATATACGTGTCAACGATGATACCAGCTGGAGGAGTCCATATCCGACATCGCCTGGCAGCACAGGCGGCAAAGACTCTGAACATAGATGCAGTTGCTGCAGTGATAGGCTTTACGTTCAAAGGTCGACAAGGGACAGCCATCGTTGATGGGGTTGTGGTGGACGAACGATATACTGCAGCAATGATTGCAACCATTATTGCTACGGAAGACGAGCTTGAAGAAGAGGTCAACGCTCAAAGGCAGGCCATCACGGCCGACGTATGGAAGAAAATGTATGCTGTTTTGAGAATGCGTCAACGCCTTGAAGAGGAGTATGGTGGATTCGGCAAAAAGGCAGACGATAGTGACGACGATTCGACTTACGAAGAAAGCGCAGAAGGTGGCTTTCTCCCTGACACTGCTGGTGGTGAACCAACTGAGGCATCAAAGGCACAAGAAAGAGCGGTATTCAACTCATTGAAGGCTCGACAACCAATCGTACTGCCTGACTCAATCGTCCGTCAGCAGGTAGTGGTGGTAAGGTCACCACACAAGCATCAAGCACCAAAAGAAGAACTAATGGATGAATTGTTTGGGACTGAGTCTGAGGTAGAGGGAGATGTTCTGGACAATGACCTCGAACCTGACCATTCCAAAGCTAAAGGCTTCCCAGCAGAAGTTGAGTACGCTGCTGGTGGTTTCATACCGGACACAAACGAAGGTGGTGGGTTCGTCTTTGAGGACGAATCAGATCAGAACCCTACCGTTGAAGAGACTTCCGGAGGTGGCTTTGTGACGGAGGAGGAGGTCGTTGACGGCGGCTTTATACGTGATGAGGACGATCCAGAAGAGCATCCACATATCAAGATATCTGTCCAGGCGCCTGAGGAGCAATCAGATGTGCAGCCAGAGGAGAGCACTATCTCAATTGACGACTTGTCTATGAGCGTACCCCTCCCTCAGAAGCAAACACATCTGGTAACGCCTACACATGGTCTGCAACCAATGCAACAGCCAGACGATCCACACGTCGATGAGTCAGATGCAGGTTCGCTGTTATCACACGATCCAGATGAGGAAGCTGCTGACATGCAGTGGGTCGAGGATGCTTTTGAAGATTAGGGCATGGTCAAGGAGCGATGAATAGCCATCATGTGTCACCGCCATGTAGGACATTGATATTCAGTCAGAATCGTAAGCAGATAGCGTTGTGGCGATAGCGGTCATCGTCTTCTGAACATCCTCGTCAGCTCCATTTGCGTCTAGAGAAGCCCGTGTGGGCTCCGGCATAGTACTGTGCTCACGTCTCGAACCAGGATGCCACTCACGGCGATCCTTAAGGAATGGGTCACCCCTGGCTCTTGTGTTGCTCTTCAAGCTCGTGTACAAGACAGACTTTCGTCCATCGATGGCGGCAGCCCTTGGTTTCGCGTCCTTCTGCTTCACGAACGCAGGCGACTTAGGCTTCGCTTCGAATATGCTACGCGAGGTATTGTCAGTATCCTTTTCGGAAACGAAATCAATCAATCTTGCTTTTTGACCGTCCTCTGCAGTTGGCGCGCTTAGATCAAGACCCAGACCAAACTTCTCCTGCAGAGCATCGCCAGTCTTCTGGTCAGCCTGTCGTTCTCGTCGTCCGACCCTGAACTCTCTTCGTAGCCTCTTGTTCGCATCATAAGGATCTTCCCAGTCTCGCTGTTGCCTCTTCTGCAACTCTTTCACTCTAGCCTGGAGTGAATTCTCCACCGCCTTGTCCTTCACCCTTTCCTCGAGTTGTCCAAAAGCACCCTCCTTTTCATCGACCTTGGTCTTTCCTATCAAGACCTCACCTTCCAGCAATTTGTTCTCCCCCACATCTCTCTTCCGTCCACCCTTCGCGACCACATATTCTGTATTTTTAGGATCGGTCTGAACCTCAATCCAGCCTCCACAAATTGTATGCTTGATTCGAAACGACCATATCGGCGTGCTGTAGTAGTTGCCTACTTTCTTCTTTTCGGCGTTGAAACGTACACCTTGGCCTATGATCTGCTCGGGCTGGCAATTCGTGCACCAGATTGCGAAAGGGCATTCGAAACGGACGGTTTGGCTTCCATCGGATCGTTTGTTGGTTGGCTTCTTGCCGCTGGCTTGGTTGAATGAGAGAACACCTTCTAGCTCGGGTGGGATGTAACGTCCCATGTTGAAGCCTTGCATCTTGAAGGTGGCATTAGGATAGTGTTTTGAGCATTAGTGGTCAGTGGGAATGCCAGGTGATGGTGTTTAAGACTCTTGTGACCTCGACACGATTATCGTGAAGGCTGTGAGAGCAGTAAAGAACAAGATTTGGGACCTGAAATTGACTGGATAAAGTTGAAGAGTGAGTGCGGACTGATACACAAAGGCCGTTCATACAGTATTGTACTTGTATCGTGGGGCACGTTATTTCGGACGTTTTTGGCCTACATGGAGCTGCAGTATGGACCAGCTTCCAAGCACTGATTAGGGCCGAATACAATACGTTACGTCACCTTGCTGAACCCCAGAAATTCCCGAACACTGGTTTGGCATGTGCTTGCTTCGCTCAACCAGAGAAGACTCGACAATTCACTCGGCTAGAGCACAAGTACAATATGGTTCTCGTAGGCTATTCTGACTCAGAAGGATCAGACTCTGAACCTCAACCGACACGCGCGCCGAAAGCAAATCAGAAACCACCTGCAGCGCAAACGAACTTCGCAGTTGACAAAGGCAACCCAAAGAAGATCCGTGTCAACCTCACAGAGACCCTTCCCACTACGAAAGATGCTGGCGATGGCGAGCCACCTGCGAAGAGACCACGAACTGGCGCCGGCACATTCTCTGGCTTCAACGCGATGCTACCAGCTCCTAAACGGGATGATATGACCTCGAAGTCAGCCACTAGCAACAAGGCGCCAGCACGGAAAGTATTCAGCCTGAAGACAGGTGCTGAGCCAGCTTTCAGCAGAGACTCCGACGCTGAGTTGAGGGATCTGTTCGCTGGTGAAGATGCGCCGAAAGATACAGATCTGGAAGCCATACCAACGAGCATACCCAAGCCTACGTTCTCCTCCGAAGATACCAAACCGACAGTCACGGCAGGGAAGCCATTCATGTTCAAGCCACTCTCGGTAGCACGCAACGCAAAGAAGAAGAAGCCAGTAAGCCAACTGACGGGCACCAACGGGAATCCTGCATCACAAACAAGAGCTGAGCTACCGTCACAATCGCTACCAGCACCATCATCAAGACCAGATACCGCGACCATTGAACCGCCAAACCCACCAAAGAAAATCAGCCTCTTCTCCTCAGGTCCATCAGAACTCCCAACACAGCTCGAGACGAACGACGTCCTTGTCGAAGACGAAGATGGGGACGAAATAGTAGAACTTCTCGACGATGACGACCCTACCTCAACTTTCTCCTCAGATCCAACCCCTCACAACTCTATCAGTACAAATCAGCCAGAATCACTAGCAAATATAGCAGACAACCTAAATCTCACCGCCGCCGAACGTCGCCAGCTTCTCGGCAGACAAGGTGGCAACGCCAGCAAGATCATTAATTTCAATACAGACATCGAGTACGCTGCTAATCAAGCTCACATTGCGGCTGGCGAGCAGATACAACACAATCCGGTTAGAGCTATTGCGCCTGGCAAGCATAGTTTGAAGCAGTTGGTTAGTAGCGCTCAGGGTCAGAAGGAGGCTCTGGAAGAGAGTTTTGCGAGTGGACGGAGGAATAAGAGGGAGGCTGGAAGTAAATATGGTTGGTGAAGTGACGGGGTGCAGGAGTGCTGGGTAAGCCTTTGGTTCTGTCTTCCGAATTTTATGCTCCTGCTCGCTGTACTGAGCACGACAAATCAATCCTTGAAGGAATCAAGAGTCGTGATCGATATCGACTGGCCACCCCCTTCACGATAGCTCCATTGGTTCTGAACTATCCTGCTCCGATGCTTTCCCTTTTGCCTCTTTCTTCCACTTCTCTAATTCTGTAGGCAACCTTCCTAAGAACTCATCCAATTCCTTAGCTCTTCTCGCGCCCCTCTCTGGGTCCGGCTCGCATTCATTTACATGTGCACTCCAATCAGGTAAACCGTCGAGTATACCGCCTCTGTGGCGTGGCTGATTGTTGTAGATGGTATTTGCTAAATTCTGCCCAATCATCTTGGGGGTTATTTGGAATGGTGGGCTCGTGGGATGGCGGTTGTGATTTTGATCTGGATGGTGCAATCAGCAGCTTGCGTTTATTCATTCGCAATAATCAAGTGGATATACAAGTCAAACGCAGATAACCAAAAGGCACCATTGCGTTCGAATGGCCATGTTCTGCGGAGTGGAAGGGTTCCCGCAAATATCCATGAACAATGAGTGTAACGTACCTTCACGTGGGTGAACTTCGTTAACGGCATTTTTCTGCGCATCTGTGGCATGCTCCTCTCCAGTCATGGCCACGTACTCAGGCGGTGGAGGGTAGAATGGGTGTCGAGCAAGTTTTGCTCGACGCTGTCGAAGAAATTGGAAAAGTTGTTCAGTTGCTCTGGGTGGCCGAACAAGTCGTTGTGGAGATCCTTGTGAAGGAGAGAATATTCCAGCTGTATTAAAGAGCTGTCGTCTGCTACTGTCTCTCTGCCTGGTCTCAAACAAAGAGGTCTGGTAAGGGTCTTGTTGTTCGTCGTAGACTGCTTGTCTGTATGTTAATTGTGCCTGATACTGATCAAAGGTAGTGCTACCACCACGAATAGACATGGTCAAATCTAGACGGATGTTACTGGACTGTGTCAGAGGTGCAGGAGTATAGAAAAGGAAGTGACATCTGCTAATGAATATCAGTGATTATTGCTTGAAGACAACGACTCTGGCTATGGTCTCGTTGTCACATGGCCAACAGTTCCACTCTGTCGAGCTCTTCCCTAGGACATCTTGACCTCTCACTTCTTGTGAACACTTCAGAAACCAAATTGTTGGGAAGTGTTTACAAGCTCGTCTTGCTTTACTGGTCTGTCGAAAGAAAGCTCGCGATTGGCTCGTCCGTCTATAATGTGAGTGTCAACCCATTCGTTGTTGTTACTTCACCAGGAAACATGGCGCCATCGTGAAAAAACAACCACACCACTCCAACCATGTAATCAGTTGTGTCTTGCTGAAAGGTCAGTCTTGCCCCAGACCTCGAAAGACGTAAGCTTCATCGTCGACTGTCGCAACTAGAAACCATGTGGTGGTTTTTGGTAGTCTCTGCCTGTCCCGGCGATGAAATATAGTGGCACACTCTTTTCCTGGTCCCCCCGTAGTTGGTGTGGAAGGGGTGATGTTAGAAACAATACGGCTAATCAAGCAACATCTTAATACAAGAAGAATGGGGATCTCGCACGCTTTACATTAACTCAGTCTGGTTTCTGACTTGAAGATATCCTTCTTAATGCACAAGCTCTGGGAGGGCTTGCTAGATACCAAATCATGGGCTTTACGTCGTGGGCGTATCTCAATTTCGGCATCGTCCGAAGTAAATTACACGCTTCTAGAAGTGCATCAGATCTCACTTCACTATCTGCCTGGAAAGATAGTTGACAGGCAAGCCGCTGTCATTCTCAAGTGCCAGCAAAGACACCTGTACCACTACATTTTTGGTATTGTGCTCGACACTGTAGGCGCTGCGGCCATCGTCAGGAGACAACACGAATGCGACTGTGAAGGATGTTTCGAAAGAGCTCGAGGTATTAGTCGGATATGCAGTACACATCTGCCGAAGTACATGATTAAAGACGAGTGAAGTTCAGGATATTCCGATATGCGAATATTGTGCCGATGACATCTCACAGATGAGGTCATCGGTTGCGACCCAAAAGCCCTAATATGGGTTAGAGAACAGCACGAAACAGGCTAATTCTTTTTAGTGTTGCTGGCACGTGTCGAAGTGCCGGAGGTCTATTTTCACTCGACCACGCAATTGCTTGTACACAACGTCTTTTGGAAGGTTATCGACCTCTTCGACTGTAGACCTTGCGGTCGACTACATCTTTCTCAAACCAATGCTCTTCCGAGGCACCATAGGACAAGATCGAGTCCAGCAAATAGTTCGAACTATCTGCCAAGTTGCCAATCCCTTGGCCAAGTCGTTCGGAGCGATCGCTGCTTATGCCATGGCCACCACTAGGTTACACTCGTTCTGGCGGGGCTCGATACCCTGCCAGCGGAGTGTCTAGCAGCCTGTCGAAGCGATATCGATCACAGCGGCATGATTTTTCCCCAGCTTCAATGCCTCCTGCGATCTTGGCTGCCCAGGTCGCCCCAGGACTTCTCCAGCTTTCGGTCAGATTGAACCCATGCTGTTTGCATCACGTTGCATGACATCAAAAACTGTCGGTGGTGAATATCTGGCACGCGTGATGTCTCGCAATCTTGGCACCTGAATTCCGTCAAATTAGGATGTTGTTTCGAGCAGAGCGAGCAGTTGACACAATGGTCCTACACGATGGAGAAAGTATTGGCATGACAACGTGGCTGATACTGCTCGCTCTGATATTCGGTGGTCCCATACATATTTCGGCCGTGCTTGCTATGATGGCCAATTACCCATCTCCTGATTGCTGTGAAGGAGCCGAGGTCGCCTAGAAACTCGGCCGCCAACAACATATAATATATGAACATTGTCGTGCTACATCTTACCTCTCTTGAAAGCCCAGCCTTCTCATCGCGAAGTACACCTACTCAATCGCTCGCAGAACATCAACTATGTCTAGGAGAGCTTCCGTGGTCCCGGTCGACCGCCACAATGATGGTGTCCTCCGTGTCAGAGACGATTCTGTTCGAAAAATGTCAGCGACTCCAGATTTCGCTGGCAAGGATTTCTTGGATGCAAAGGAGGCTTCCAGTGCTGAGAAGTCCATGTCTGTTCGAGATTCTCTTCGACTCTACAAGAAAGCAGTCAGCTATTCACTCATCATGAGTTTGGCCGTGATCATGGAAGGGTAATGAAATCCAGTTCGGTTGTTGTCTTCGTGCTGATTCCATACCAGTTATGACCTGTCTTTGATGGGCAGTTTCATGGGCTACGATGCATTCAAACGGCGATACGGTACAGAAGTCGATGAGCTTGGAGAACCCATCATCTCTGCACCTTGGCAGACAGGCCTTCAAAACGGTGTTCAAGTTGGCTCCATCATCGGGCTGTACCTCAATGGCTGGGTGTCGGAGAAGATAGGCTACCGCAAGACCATGCTTGGTTCGTTGGTTTTAATGGGTGAGTTCGCTGAACCTTGAGCTCCCTTAGCCACCATCGCGATCTGCTTCGGACATTCAGCGAGAGACTGACCAGAGTTTAGTGGCCTTTATTTTCCTGCCGTTCTTTGCTCCAAACATTGAGACTATCTTAGCAGGTGCAGTATTGCAAGGTATGACGACTACGTTGATCCATTCTAAGCAGATGGACTCACATCTGGTACAGGTATCCCTTGGGGTGTCTTTCAAACTCTCACAGTTACATATGCTTCTGAGGTAACTCCCACGAACCTTCGAGCTTACCTCACGACCTACGTCAACTTATGCTGGGTCATGGGTCAGCTGATAGCCGCTGGTGTTCTTCGAGGATGTTCCACTATCGAAGGTCAATGGTCTTACAGGTATATACAACACCATATTGATTTTGCTGGTCTTAATGTTGGACAATGTGCTTACTCGGTCTACACAGATTGCCATTCGCCATACAGTGGGTATGGCCTCCTCTCATTTTTGTCGGCGCATGGCTAGCACCAGAATCGCCATGGTGGCTAGTCCGCAAGGAACGATACGACGACGCCCGAAAATCTCTCAGAGCACTCACGTCTCCTGGGACAAATCTCCCCTTCGATCTGGAGGGACAGCTGGCCATGATAAAGGCTACAAACGAGCTAGAGAAGGCCATGTCCTCAGGCACCAGCTATCTGCAATGCTTCAAGGGTATCGATCTCCGACGTACCGAGATCTCTAGCATGGCGTGGGTCATTCAGGCTTTTTGCGGAGCAGCCCTCATGGGCTATTCAGGTAATTGATCCTGTCAAAAGTTCTGTACTGCTACTAACGACGAACAGTCCAATTTTACAGAGAGGCAGGAATGTCCGAGGAAAATGCACTCAACATGAACATCGGCCAATATTGTATGGGCTTCGCCGGTACTGTTGGCTCCTGGTTCCTGATGAGACGACTTGGTCGACGCTTCCTCTACCTCTGGGGCCTTCTGATAATGTGCGGTCTACTCGTCGTTGTCGGTGGTTTGGGTTTCATTTCAAACGACAACGAAGGTGCCCAGTGGGGTATTGGCAGTCTCTTGCTGATTTACACCTTCGTCTACGACATCACGGTTGGTCCGGTTTGCTACTCGCTGGTGGCTGAAATTCCTTCCACCCGTCTCAAGATTAAGACTGTCGTCCTTGCGAGAAACTTTTACAACATAGGTGTAAGTTTGTCTGTCTCGCTACGAGATGTCTGTACATGTACGAGCAAAAGCTAATTCTGTCACAGGGAATAATCGTAAGTCTGCACCGTCCTTACATGGGCGCCTACTTTACGACCCGGCATTGGGTAGTACATACTAAAGTTCTCACACTAACACAACTAGAACAACATCATCATGCCCAGAATGTTGGGACCAAATGAATGGAACTGGGGGTAAGTCTCTAATCAGATACATCTGAACTCTCACAATAGCGTCCCTGATTACGATGCTAACTGAGCCTAGAGCACGAACTGGTTTGTTTTGGGCTGGTGCCTGTGCTTTACTAGTCACTTGGACATTTTTCCGACTGCCAGAGCCAAAGGACAGAACCTATGGCGAGCTCGATGTCCTCTTCGAGAACAGAGTATCAGCAAGAAGGTTTCACAAGACTCGCGTCGATCAGTTCTCTGGCGACCACCTCGAAATTGTTCCGGACGATATCAGCAGTGGTGATGACAGGCATTTCGCTGAGATGAAGGTGTAGAGTTATCTTGGGCTTCTGTCACAGAACACGGGCCTCAAGCAAGCGTAAGGAGGTCTCTCATTCGTGCTTGAATTTCATGAAATCTTCGTACTCCCCTAGCTTGGAAAGAGGAAATGAAACAATGAATGCTTCAAATGGTGTCCCTCGAATTATCATCTTCCCGGATCTTTTAACTAACTGATGCTACCGTCGCTCGAGCCCTTAGAGTTCTGGCCAACCACGCGGAAGTCACCGACAGCGGCCTTTCGGTTTCGTGTGATTCACAGCGATCTGGGGGACGCCTTTGGCGACCGCCACGTGCCAGCGTTGTACCAACATGGTGGGTAACAACCACAACTCGTCTACGATATCCGCTGAAACGCGGGCAGAATAACTGGTATCACCCGCCTCTCCTCTTGTTGAGACGCCCTGCAATCTGTCCAATAGTTACAGTATAGCAATAGGTTGTGGCAGGATAACCGTAGCATCAGAGCTCGAGAGCGTATAGAGAAGCACAAGGGTAGAAGACCTCTGCTGTACCTTTCAAACGTCCAATCGAGCATTCCACATTTACTCTTGATTATTTTGTCCACGAACTGTTGCATGGTATATTCGTTCCTCATTATGATTGCCAAAAGTTGCCGCTGATCTGCATGAAATAATATGTGTCAACAGTCAAAGTTCGATTGCATAGTTTCCACATTCACATGTGCTCACGGTCCCAAACATTGCACACTATACCCGCCTTGCTCTACCACATGGAATCATGCCAGCTCTAGCTTTTGGTCTGAAACCTGCAAAGCCCGGACCCGGCATCTCAAAGACACCGGTCAAGCGTAAAGCACCATTCGTAGACCAGCAAGACGAAGCACAAGACGACAGCGACAATGATCAAGGCGCATTCAGCGCTCTGCAAAAGCCCAAGCCTAAGTCCAGGGTATTTGGTATCACTCCGCCAGTCGAAAGACCACGTAAGTCGCCCAAGCTAAGCGACGGCAACGACGCGACCAAATACACCAATCTGTCCGCGCTGCGCAGTGCGAAATTACAGGATGAAAACGCGGCGAAACTCGATGCATCCGTTTACGACTATGATGCGGTGTACGACCAGTTCACGGCCGACAAGCAGAAGAAGAGTAACGCGACCTCGAATGGCGAGCCAACGGTCCCGAAATACATGAGCAACCTCCTTGCTTCGGCGGACGTGCGCAAGCGAGATCAGTTACGTGCAAAGGAGAAAGCACTACAACGAGAGCGAGAAGCCGAGGGCGACGAGTTCGCGGACAAGGATAAATTTGTGACGGGCGCGTACAAGAAGCAGCAGGAGGAGAACAAACGTCTAGAAGAGGAGGAGAGGCAGAGAGAAGAGGCGGAGGAGGAGCGTAGGCGGAAGGGTGGTGGTATGACTGGATTTCACAAGGACTTACTGAAGAAGGACGAGGAACGTCAGCGGACGTTGGAGGAGGCTGCGAAGGAAGCACAACAGAGGAAGGATGAAGAGGGTGGTGGTGAGGAAGGGAACACGGATGAGAAGACGGAGCAGAAACTTGCGGCCGAGTTGAACGAGCAAGGTGCTCATGTTGTCGTGAATGACGATGGTGAGATCGTGGATAAGCGACAATTACTCTCTGCAGGTCTCAATGTTGCGCCTAAGAAGCCTGGTGTAGACCAAGTCGAGAAGAAAGCGTCAGCGCAGAAGGCGCAGGAGTGGCAGAGATCTGCTAAGCAGCAGGATGCAAGACTGTCACAACGAGAACGACAGTCCCGAATGATGGAGAGACAACTCGAGGAGATTACTGCCAAGCAGAATGAGAGTGAGCTTGCGGAGCGGAAGGAGGTTGAGGAAAAGAACAAGAGTAAGCTCACGGAGAACGATAAATTGAGTGCTAAGGAGCGGTATCTGCAACGTAAGAAGGAGAGGGAAGAAGAAGCACAGAGAGTCAAATCGGGTGCTGGATAATGGTGGTAAATTATGGGTATCTGTTGTAATTCAGGTATTCTCTCCAGCAGTATCTCCTGTGGGAGGCGTCGATGGTACTTCGCTATTCCCACTACTCCTCGGCTTAACCAACAACAGCACAAACAAGCCAAAAATGACCAGTATCAGCAGTAATATGATCTTCCTTTTGGTGTACCTCTTTTGGTAATTCGTGGCCACGATCAACTCCTTCTCTGCGCCTTTAACCTCGACCACCATACGTTCGACGTTGTAGTCTATCCTGTCAAGCATAGTACCCTGGTCGATGACCATAGCTTGAAGATCTCGAAATATGTCACTCAGCTCTATGATGCCTTTGGCTATGTCGTTAATTTCTTGCTCGCGCTGAGCGATAACCGTGTCGTTCCTCCCATGTCTCTTCTGCGCTGTTTGTTGGAGTGTTGAGCGTGAGAAAGAAGCGTCGGTATCCGCGTCCATCAGAGCTGGATCGGTGTAGGGATTCTGGGCTTGCACAGGCGTGCCGGATCGTCCAGAGCCAAAAGCAGGAGACTCGAAACCGCCTAGCTGCCGTAACTTGTTCAGGTAGCTGGACTGCTTCTTCCGAAAGGAAGCACTGACTTCCTGAACTTGTCCTGCCAGAGCTGTCTGTATATTTTTGGCCATGACTTCATCTCCTCTTTGCAGGGTGTTGTTCTGTTGAGCTTCTTTCACCATACGCTCTATCCTCTTGATCGCTTTCCTACACTCTTGAAAGCCTCGCGTGATTTCTTGCGTCAGCCCTTCAATCTCCATCTCCTCTCGAGCCTTCACATCCTCGTCATCAAATCCAGGGAGGATGTGCTTGGAGTGTAGTTTGTCCAATTTACCCGCTTTCAGGGTTATATCTTTGAGGATGTCGCCTACCTCTTCCTGTACATCAATCCAGCGAGGAGGGAGTAGGTCCATTTCTATGACTGTATCGCCGTCGTCCTCGAAGGCTCCTCGCGACATGAGGCCGCGAGTCTCCTCCGATTCATGAGCTGTGAAGCCATTGCTGGAATCGTTGAAGCGCCGTCGTTTCGAAGGGTGATGGGTGTAAGACTGCCGGAACGATATGTAGCTGTCTAGAATGTTAGAGGCACCAACACAGCGCCCTGTGTTGTACCTACAGGTTTGTTCTGTCCCTCCACATGTTTGGCTTATCTTTGGTCTCGTACTGGTTTGTATTTCGACATGGGACTGGTCGAAGGGTTTGTCTGTCGCAAACTCATTGTAGACCTTGATTGGGTGCCATTGGTCGAGTGATAGATTCACGTTGCAATCATAGTCGTAATAGACTGCATGTATTCGAGTCAATGTTCAGCGCAATCGTGTCCTTGCAAGCACGTCACAATGGTAGGATGTCTAGACACCGGAGCACATGAAAAGGATGCCTAGAAGATGCGCCATAATGCCCAGCAACTTTACCGCATAGAGGCTAGCACGGGTGGAATTGCCCCTATCTCCCAGCCTTGGCCGCCTGAAGGAACTTTTCTACCTTCACCAACAAAATTCCTTGGCTTCTACAATTATGTCCAAAAGACGAAAGCTCACCGGCGACATGTCAGTCTCTAGTGGACTTGCTGCGCAGGCTAGGACACAGGAAATACTCGATGCAGCCAGCGAACATAATAATACTAAGCTGGAAAGACTTCTCAATGAGTACAAGTTCAAGGACGTCGACGCTGTTGATGTTCAGAATGATCATGGAACGAGTCCACTACATGCTGCCATACTTTCATGTGCCAAGGAAGGCGACAAAGGTGAGTCAGATTTGAGCACTGTTGAATCCGCAGCTTGCGACACTGTTAGACTACTGCTTGAAAGTGGTGCTATCTGGAACCAACTTGATACCAACGATGAGACTCCTGGATGCATTGCTTACAGACTGGAACTACTGGATTTGTATGACCTTATGGTCGACGCTGGTGTTCGCGCCGAAGTGCTATTGAATCGATTAGAAGGTTACGAAGCATTGGCGGATGATGAAAACGACGTTGCCGAAGAAGATGATGGTGCGGATGTAGTTGAAAAGAACGGAACCGAAGAGGCAGAGGATGAAGCACCTCAAATCATCAACACAACTGCTGAGACAGCAAACGGCATAATCGAGCAGGCGAAGTCCGATGTAAACAGCGGAGATTATCTTGCCTCAAATCTGACGCTCACTCGAGACAAACTGCTAGATGGAGACCAAAACGGTGTTATGATGGCTTGGGAATCAGAAATAATGAAAAGATCGGTCGACCTTCTTCTAACTAAGCCTGGCATGAAGGTGCTGAATATTGGGGCAGGCATGATGATATTTGACACATTCGTACAGAACCATGTTCACAAGCCCGAGATACACCATATCATCGAGGCACATCCTGACATCTTGAGCAACATGGAGAACGAGGGCTGGAATGAAAAGACGGGAGTGACTATACACCCAGAGCGTTGGCAGGAGATATTGCCCCAACTAGTCGCTGACAACCAAACCTTTGACGCTATATACTATGACACCTTTGCAGAGTCGTACTCAGATTTTCGAGAATTCTTCACTGAGTATGTGATTGGATTGCTAGAACCAGAAGGTAAATGGTCCTTTTTCAATGGAATGGGGGCAGACAGGCAGATCAGCTACGATGTCTATCAGAAAGTGACAGAAATCGACCTGCTTGAAGCTGGCTTTGACGTTGAATGGCAAGAGGTTGATATCCCGGAACTTGAGGCAGAATGGGAGGGCGTGAAGAGGAAGTACTGGAACGTCAAGAAATACCGTCTCCCACTTTGCAAGTTCATGGGTTGAATTGGAATATTAGGTTGCGGTATGGCTCAGGTAGATCGAGCCTCCTCCCTCAGATCAGCCCAGTTTCCCAAGCTGATAGTACATCAATTCTTGGTGTCACACGAGCGCTTGTCAGAATCTTCGAGGAACAGTTCCGCCACGAAGTTGTATTCGAGGCATGATTTATGCTCGGCCGGCATAAAACCGAACTCGGTGCCCTAAATGGAGACGCCAAGCACGAAAACAACCATTCAGCTGTACCCCAGACCGGAGTTTTGCACGTGCAACGCGACTTCCTCCCTGCTCGAAACGCGTTCCCCGCACCATTTCTCTCTCGAACTTCGGTTCTCGCTCGGATATGCCTCCACTGTATACGAAGCTGGTAGTCAGGTATCTACGGAGTCGTAGCGAAGCCGTGAGTCCGGTGAGGAGCACAATTGTTTTGTGTCTGCATATAAGCTGGGGAGTTGCTGCTATGGACGGAGTGGTCGCTTTGGCAAAGCTACAACGCCAAAAGACGTGACAGGCTCGAACCTTGAGTTGTCCCAATCAGCCACACCACACCTTGCAATATAGCTGCTGCTTTATTCGGTATGTCTCCTCCAGCTCGAAAGGAGGAACGTTCGGCTATCGTTACTGGCTCAGCTCGAGGCATGTAAGTGGCCCCTTTGCCCTGATCATCTTCAACTCCTCTAATGCTTCACTCCAGAGGCGAAGCCATCGTCCGCAGGCTAGCCAAAGAAGGCTATAAAGTCACAGTCAACGATATCTCCGCCAACAAATCCGGGATCGACAAAGTCGTGTCAGACCTCAACTCCGAATATGGCGAGGGTTCAGCCATAGGTGTCGTGGCAGATGTCACCAAATCAAAAGAGGTGGAAGACATGATCGAGCAGTCTGTCCAGAAGCTCGGTCCTCTCACCGTCATGGTCGCCAATGCCGGTATTGCACAGGTCCAGTCTATGCTCGAAATCAGTGACGAGGACGCCCATAGAATGTTCGATGTGAATTACTTTGGTGTATGGAACTGCTACACAAGAGCTGCAAGACAAATGATCAAGCAGGGCCCCGTGCCCGAAGGCTCGACAGGATACAAGATTATTGGTTGTGCGAGTATTGTGGCATTCAAGCCGTTTCCTCTGCTAAGTCATTATTCGGCTTCAAAATGGGCTGTACGTGGACTCACACAGGGCTTCGCAATGGAGGTGGCAAGGCATAAGATTCAAGTCAACGCGTACGCACCTGGCATCGTAGGCACAAGCATGTGGGAGTTAATAGACGAGAAGCTGGGAGAGATTGAAGGCAGACCAAGAGGCGAGACAGTCAAGAAATACTCGACTGAGCTTACCGCAATGGGAAGAGTATCAACACCAGAAGATGTTGCAAAAGTCGTAGGAGGGTTCATGTGCAATTCCGACTCTGACTTTGTCACTGGTCAAACGCTGGTGGTTGATGGCGGTATCATCTACACCTAGTCGCGGAGAGGACAAGCGCATCGCGATGAATGGATGTGGTACAGGTATATACATATAGAAAGCGAATTGATCTTGTCTACGTCAACGAGGAATCTTACTGTCAAGTCGTGCAAAAGGATCGAATTATGAGCCAACCGACTGGCGTAGCATTGTGCTGTTGAAATGCAATCTACTGAAGAGTAATCTCTCCAGCCGATACTGTCCGTATTTGGCACCTACAAGCCTTTGACTGACCCGTCGAATCTTCAGTAGAGCACCGGGTATTGTATTAAACTATTCAAAATGCTATGTTCTGACGTCGGCAATCGAAACATTATGCAACAAGAACAAAGTAAACCTCCAGCTGGTCGAGGCAGTATTAGAGTGTGGAGTAGTCATGAGCGATGACATCTAATACATCTCAACCTAAAAGTCGTGATTGTTCTTTTGCGGTGTTCATGGTTCTTCTACATCCTCATCGATCACAGACTATCATTCCCTTCGAATAGCGCTGGTCTACTTTCTTGTTCACCGAATATCTATCAAACAAGACCGAGTTCGGCATCCAGCAGTCGTTCTTCCATCTGTCCGCGGCTCCATATCCATATACTATGTGTCTACGACGTCAATGTCCAACTTGTGGTAAGTGAGATACCTCTCTCTCGGCACGATGAGCGTGGACTCGGAATAGTCTCCTGTTCTGTCCAGATCTACCGGACTTGCCATACTCACAAGATCCGCACGTAGGCAAAGCGACCTGGGTAGGATGTGGTCGTCACATTCCAATGGTGATGGATTCGATTTCGCAAGGTGATTGGTGCACCTGTACACCAAAGATGGTGGTTGATGGCAAGGAATACCCACCAATGATGGGCCAGGGACAAAGAAGCGAGAGTGCGAGGGTTGAGATTGGGTATGATTCTTGATTTGGGTGGTGGACAGCTGTCAAGACCAGACCGACAACTTCCGCAATATCTTTTGAGCTGTCAGTCGATGTGTCACCAACGACAAGATTTGACAATAAATGCTTCGAGATATCGTCCTGTGCATGTATCCACATTCATACCTGTTAGAAAATGAACCAACTCGGTGCGTCCATCCTGAAGTCACAACAGTCGTGATTTGTATGACTCTGTGTCGTAAGAGGCTTTCACTTCCAGCGACATGATCATAGTCTTTGGAAGCTTTTACTCAAGTGGCAAGACGTCTCTCGTTGCAATCATATTGACTCGTGGAATTCGGCCTGGACTAGATCTGCATATCCAGTGTTCGGTGTCAAGGCGACCCCAAAGCTGATGAGTTACGTCCCTCTTGCGCGTTCAATCCTGTATTACGAACCAAGTCTGCTAGCTCGTCCGGCGTGTAGTGCGGCATTCGGGCACCTCGCTGCGCAAGTCCAAGATGAGGATCAGCATCTTCATGTGGTGGAGGTGGCTCGGGATAATCAGGACCTGGACCCGGCTGTTGCGTGTTTTGACCTTGGTCGACTTCGTAAGAAGGTAATCCTGGATCGATCGTATAGCTCGGAGCTAAGCCAATATCATACCGTACGTTTACAGGCAGATTAAGCTCAACTTTAAAACCTCTACCCTTTAGGCTTTTACCACTGAGACCAATCGAGAGCCATATAGTGTATGTATGGGAGAGAAACGATGTGCGAAATGTTGGGGTATGCCCTGTTGTCGTTGAGAGTGTTAGCCATAGGTCCTGCGACGACGTCCATACACTTCCATTGCCATCTTCTACCTCGGGTCTGGTCCACTTCGTCCAGGTCATCTTCAGCTTCTTCACCGGTAGATGTCTGGTGCGTAGATGAAAGTAATCCTCGGATGGTGGTGCTTCTGGCGGACGATTGTTCGGTTGCACAGCTAGTGTAGAGATGGATTTCATGAGCCATTCGACGTTGCCTTGTACAGGCGCCGGTGGTTGTGCTGCCTCCGTGCCCGGATCAGTGCTTCTATAGGTTAACGTAAGCCGCACTTTTGTGGCCGCAGCATCGTTGCGAAGTTGAAAGCAGAAAGGCTGAGGCTCTTCGGCTTCCACAATGATGTGACTACCACCATCATGAACACTTTTCCTTCGATTGGAGGAGGAGAAGAACGACCGTGACCGCTTCAGAGACACAATACTTGATCTTCGATGTTGTGTTACTTCCTCGCCAATGTCAGGTAGAGGCGGTGGAACCTGCGACTCATCCAGTGCAACCCAGATTCGGATTTCCTGTTCGATTTTCTGCTTCTGAACTTCACCACAGAACAATTTTACCTCAAGTTTGTACAAGACGTTGATCATCATCGTAGGTGAGAGTTCCTTCAACATGTCCAACGTCGTTTGCGTGTCAGAAGAAATGAGCTTCAAAGAGGGTACCACTTCCCTAAGCTGTGCAAGGGTCCGCGCTGCAAGTGGGAAAGAGAAGGGAATGCGCCTGCCATGAACACCAGATCTCTCATATTGTCCTGCCTCTACCGAAAGCGTATCGAACATGTCTAGTACAGGTATAGAGACCACAGGTCGAAAACCTACCATGGAGAATGCATAACGAGTGTCGTAGATATTTGTTGGTCTGCCTCCAATATTCAGTAAACCCAAACTTGCGCCACCCGTCAATCCTATCTCAGCAGTCAGTTGTGGTATCTCGTGTGCTATAGACTCGTTCGCCTCGATGCACAGGTGACCTGAGACGCCTTCATTCGCGAAAAAGATAGGCGTGTACAAGATGTCGTATGGATACCTCGCGAAACGCGTCGACTCTGGATATTCGAACCACACCTTCATTTCGTTGGGAAGGTCCCAGTCGTCTACACTCCTGTACGCGCGTTCGGCTCTGATAGTACGAGCGGCATTGTCATTATACACAACGGTACGAAGCATTACAGGGCTAGAGAAGGCAAATGATTAAGTTAGCTATTTTGAGTCGACGATACTGAACCTAAATAGTACTCCGTAAAGTGACACAGGTGGCGCGCGTCAGTCGTTATTGTGTGGACGATGATCGCCACCAATACCTCGCGTCTCCAAAGATCTGAAAGAGGCAGCGGGCTCACGTCGCTCTACGAGTACGAGAATCGCACAAAAGGCGTGCCTAGAACGCTGACATAAGCATTAGAGCATTATCTCTGAGCAAAAACACTAGAAACTGTTGTGAAATTCTTTGCTCAAGAAACAGTCGCTAGTGGCCGCCAGTCACCCGTACGACTTGTAGCAAAATTTAAACCCTTAGACAGTGTATACAAAAGCCGCAAGTACGGCGTTCTGACCTTCGTAGTGGCTGCGATATTGAGAAGATTACCCAAGATGGCTTCAACTTCTATGGGTCTTGCTTGTTTGATATCCTGCAACATGCTCGGCTCCTTGCCTCCAGTCGTCATACGCTCAACATGTCGTTTCATGTGGTCTTGAATTGTCTCTTCTGATATAACGTTGTATCCCATAGCAGAAGCAACGTGGCCGACCTCCCTCATAATATCGCAGGCCATGTCTAGTGCTCCCTCAGATGAGCGTAGAAAATTTCCGTCATCACAGAGAGTTAGCGCACACACGGGGTTCAAGGTTGCGTTGAGGGCTAACTTATACCATCTTTGAGCTTGTATGTCACCGTAAGCCACACAGGTAGCACCAGCATTCGTGAATTGCTCGACCAGACCTCGAATCTTCGATCGTGCTGCTTCCGAGCCAGAGGCAGGATATACACCGACCTCAAATCGCTCCAGAGGTGTTCCATGCTCTACGACCCCCTGTTCGACCTGCACAACAGGTAGATAGACCACACCAGAAATGATAATGTTCTGTGGGTACGCTTGACGGTAGGACTCTTCAATACCGATGCCATTCTGTGCCAGTACAATTGCAGTATTCTCAGAAACGGCATCTTTGATCAACGTGTGAGTGTGGGGAAACGCTTTGCTGCAAACCAGGATATAGTCGAAGGGACCGTACACATTAGCTTCTGCAACAGAAGAGACTGCGACTGGCTTGTGTATCAACGTCCCCCATTTCCTGGAGCGAATCAACAATCCATTTTGCTTGACCTGGTGATAATTCGAACGACAGACTGCCGTAACTTGTGCACCGGCTTGTTCAAGAATCCAGCCATACACACTTCCAACACCTCCAGCTCCAAAGATCAGTACTCGTGTCATATTGCAGCCGACGACTGTATGATGCTAGACAGTGTTTGCCATTGAGGAAGTTGTAGGCAAGTGACCGATATCGCGAGCTTGTTCGATAACGCGGCAGGACAATGATCTCGCCGAGGGGCAATCAAGACAAGCAGGTTTGCCGAGTAAATGGTCCCGAGCCGACCTAGGTATAGGTCCCTGATTGCCGATCTTTGGTATGCCTCGTTCAGGAGTCGTGTAGCCAGAGCCCGTTTGGTTTGTATTTAGCACGATGTGCGCTAGACTTATTGTTGAGCTCTTTCCGCAAGCAATTGATCCACATCAACCGCTCCTCCTGCCAAATATTTGAAGTTTGTGCCCATGCCTTCACCCAAATCGAGGCGATTAGACAACTCCTCTTTCAACTGGGCTTTTATCTGCAGAGCTTTGTTTCGACTTGTCTCTTCGTTCGCAATCCTTTTCTGTCTCCGCTCTTTTTCTCCACCTCTTCCTCTGCGTGTGTGCTTACTTGCATTTTCGAACTCATCGCTGTCGTAATCAACGCCTAGTTCCTCCGCTGCCGTTCGAAGCCAATTATCATCGTTCTTCACTTTTGCTGTACTATCCGTTGACTCCACGAGTTTTTGTGCAAGTTCGACTCTGCGAGTGATCTGGCGAAGCAAACCATTTGACAAGTACATTCGATCTATGAGCTTGCTCATGTCTTTCCCGGAAAGTGCTTGTTTATGTTGATGAGTTCTGGCTATTAGGTTGCTCACCCCCAGGACCTCATCTGGAGAACATAACAAGACAGAATTGCCGGACTCGTTAACACGTGCAGTTCGACCTGATCGATGGACATAAGTATCAGCTGTGCGAGGCACATGGTAATGCACGACTGTCGTGACACCTTTGATATCCAGACCACGAGCAGCGACATCTGTAGCTATTAACACAGAGGTAGCCAGGCTTTTTGTGCTCTCACTGGATGCAGAAAATCGTTCAAGCGAGCGTAGACGGGACTTCTGAGGCATGTTACTGTGTAGAGGGGAGATGGCCGTATCTGGTAGTTCAAGCCTCTGCAAAAGAGACACCAGACGCTTAACAACAGAGACAGAATTTGTGAACACCAGCGTTCTAGCTGTGCCAGTCATACGTTGTCCATTTCTCGCTTGCTGCAAAGCCTTCTTGCGTCTGTTCTGATCATCAAGCAGAAAGCCATAGAGGTACAGGTCCTTTTCCATAGCTTTGCATTCCAAAATTGTTTCAACCAGCTTCTCAGCCATTTGAGATTGTGGGTTTGCATCGACAAATACTGGCTTTTCACCTTCCTGAAATGGTAGTTTATGCATTAGATATTCCATCGATGATTTGTTGGATATTAGGTTGTTCCTATCGTGACCATTCCGATCTTTTTGTCTAGAATTGAGCTTTTGTTGAAGGCCTTTGTGAAAAGTTGCGGAGAAGACGAGAGTCTGACGCGAAGTCGCGGATTGAGCCTCTACGTGGTCTTCTCTATCCTCGTCCACAACCTTCCGATCCAATGCGTCCAAAATGTCTTCGAGCTCTTGGAAATGACCTTCACTGAGTAATCGATCTGCCTCGTCGACCACGAGGTATCGCACATTCTTGAATCTTTCGAGCAGGTCATTTGAATCATTGATGACGTCCCAAAGCCGACCAGGCGTACCGACCACGATGTCCGCATCCTGAAGCTGTCGCCGCTGTTTCAGTACGGACAATCCTCCTGTGACGGTGACCACTTTTGGAGGCGAATCGAGGCCTTCGCAGACAGCTGTCAGGTGCTTAGAGATCTGATGACCAAGCTCTCTAGTTGGTGCTAAAATGAGTGCATCTAAATGAAGTGTAGAATTTGAACGCGACCGAGAAGCATGTAACTCGAGGCAGGTTTCAATAATGGGAATGCCAAAAGCCAGAGTCTTGCCAGATCCAGTCACAGCCTTACCTATCACATCCTTCCCTTCCAGTATTAACGGGATCGTGGTTTGCTGAATCTGCGTAGGACTACCGAATTTGAGGGCCGAAAGCGCATACAACATCTGGTCCGAGAGATTAAGTTGATCCCATGCTGACATGTCTATTTCCGGTTCAGGTGCATCGCTACCTAGCAGGCTGAATTGCGTGTCTTTGGCCAATTCTTCTGACGCTGGCTGCTTCGGCGGAGGCTTCTTTTGCTTGTCGGACGATTTGTCAGTCGATGTAGGGGGTTTCTCTGGCTTGTCGCTTGCGGAGGATAACTCCTGCTCCTCACTGTTTTCGTCGCCACTAAAACCTGACCATTCCTCAACATCGGTCACGCCTTTCGTCGCATCTGCTAGTATCGGCTGCCGAAACAGAACACCTTTGCCATCCCCATCGTGAATTACTTCGACATCTGAAAGTTCCTCTAGCCCGTAAAATCCTTCTGCATCATCAAGACGACTCGAAACTGTGACTTCCCTCCAACTCAATTTATCGCCTCGAACGGCCTGACTTCGATCGACATGACGCTTGGCCTCAAGGATAGCATTCCGCTTTCGAGCCGCTAAAGGCTTGACAGATCTTTTGCGCTTCTCGCCTTGAGGCATTCTGAGGTCGGGGTTGTTGCTGGACACATTCAGACCATTTCAGAAATTCTCGAAGCACTTTGACTAGCCTGATCGTAGCGCGACACTAGCGTGATCAACGAAGAGCGCTACTTTTCCAGTGACAGACTCTTTGCCGCCAGGACAGCTAAAACTATAGATTACAACCGGCAAGGCTTCGCGATCAAGTCTCTGAATAATAGCACCTTCCTCTTTGTTTCTACTTGAGAAGTATTTCTTCTTGCCGGCTACCAACAAACCCAATTTGGTCTTCCACAGTGTTCCGGAGAACGCGGGGTGTTTAGCGAGACACATACAAACGACCGACAGACCCCAGACAACTACACCTCCAATCGAGGTGTCGATTGGGTATGGGGAAGTCCTCAAAAGACAAACGTGATGCATACTACCGTCTAGCCAAAGAGCAGAACTGGCGAGCACGCTCAGCATTCAAGCTCATTCAACTCGATGAACAGTTCGATCTGTTTTCTTACAAGGAGCCTGAGAAGTGCAGTAGAGTCGTTGATCTATGTGCTGCACCAGGGTCATGGAGCCAGGTGCTTTCGAGGGTATTGATCAAAGGTGAGAGTTTCGGACGAAGAGCATGGATGGAGAAAATGGATGCCCTCGTCAACGAGGTCAATTTGGCCAGTCAAGAGGCATCGGAAGCTAGCATCGAAACAGAAGTTAGGTCCCTACACCTGAAAGCACAGAAACCCGTATTACAGCCTCGAACAAACGTCAAGATTGTGGCAATTGATCTACAACCAATGGCACCATTGGAGGGTATCATACAACTTCAAGCAGATATTACGCATCCATCGACCGTAGGAAGAATGTTGGCTGCATTGAATCCTGAGAAGTCCGAGACAGAGTACGAGTTGGTGGACTTGGTAATTTCAGATGGTGCTCCGGACGTTACAGGTTTGCACGACCTCGACATCCACATTCAATCACAACTCCTATACAGTGCGCTGACTTTGGCTATCCGTGTTCTACGTCCGGGAGGTAAGTTCGTGGCGAAAATTTTCCGTGGTCGGGACGTTGACCTGATATTTGCGCAATTTAAACTGCTTTTCAGACGTGTTCATATTGCTAAACCAAGATCAAGTCGTGCCAGCAGCATCGAAGCCTTTGTGGTCTGCGAAGATTACACACCGATCCCAGGTTGGACGCCAGATCTGGGCAGACCAGTCGATATACCTGATACAGCGAAAACTTCTATAGAGGACGACCTCGAGAATATTCCAGAACAGAAGCGTATTGTCAGGACCGATGGTGTGGTCGAGCTTTCTTTTCCACGCAAGGAGGCCACTGAACTTCGTCACAACAACAGGTGGATTGCACCATTTCTCGCTTGCGGTGACCTTGATGCTTTTGATGCAGACGCGACGTATCGTCTTCCTCCGGGTCATGTAAGCTTAGAGCCTGTTCAGCCCCCAACTGCGCCACCATACAAGGCAGCCATCGAGCGAAAACGTGCAGAGGGCGGGATGTACGGCAAGACAAAGAACAAGGGCCAGATATCAAACACCACATGAATTACTGTGTCTGCCTTGAGTCAACATTTGTCTCAAGACGTACAGTGCTGTCATGGACTGCTGTCCAGCTTTGGTTTTCGACGTACTTGGTCAAGGGTTACTTGTCTGATCAAGTCGACACCAGCGTTTCAGCGACTGGGGGTTTTAGATCATGGGCACGACAAACTCGTTCTTATTGCCTGAGATGTACACTAAAGCATCGGACGTCAGCAAGGTAGCACAATCAGCTCGCGACTGTTTTGGGTTACTGGTCAATGAAGCATACACGATCAACGTCGTCTCCTGTATCAACTTGCCAAGGTGCTAGATGTTTTTGGCGGACTCGCAGAGTATGTTATCAACCTCGGGGCGAAACAATCTCCTGAATGATCATGGCAATTAACCGATGTGAACATAAAACGAGCAGTGTGATCAGGTTGACCACCACATGAGTGCACAATAAGCCAGTAGGCTCTGACCATGGTCGCTCCGGTCCGTCGGTTTGTGCTGCTTGCGCTAGCGGCTGGGGCCGAAAACAGATGCAGGACTTTTTGTGCCGCTAGCTGCTGTTTCGCCGAAGACTTCAGTCTACATAACCTTATTGTGTCCTTCTGGCCACGCGTCATATTCAGTGGTATTACGCGGACCCATCGTGCATGATGTGTCCCATCTCGCGTCAGACTACACACAGACATGAAAGGGTCTGCAATCAGATCTATGATGATGGAAAGTATGATACCTTGGCGACGAATGGATGAGTAATTCTCGGCTCAGAATGTGCCGAAGAAGTCCTTGCAACGGCGATCTCCTCCGCGTACAAATGGTGACATTGGATCCACCGCGCTAAGAGCCACCCACCACCTTGTGCACACTGTAAATTACTCATTATAGTATGTATGGTATTCAACGCCCTGGTATTGTATTTTGTATATATGAAGCTATTCACATTGCTGCATTTAGCAATATATCGCGATTTCCTGGTGTTGTAAACTGGTTTTGAGCAATATAGCCATGGGTGGTGACCTCCCCCTCTTCGTTGACCACAGCTGGGTTAATAATGTACCCATTAGCATCGTGATGGGCTGCCCAGCAACCTCTGTTAATGCATAATACTCTGTCGCACTGTTCACAGTAGCCAGACGTACGCCCAGTGCGAACCCGCTGCGCAGAATTGATGATTTGTCGCAATGGCTGGCTGTGGATATACACGCGAGTTATACACTCAGGCCAGGTGCAATACGTCCTTCTTTTTAGCTGTGACGGTGTATGTGCCTTCTCTTGGATATAAAGTAACCCTTCCACCAGTTGTTGGAGGAATACCTGACGATCTCGGTGGTCTCGACGCTGATTTTCTGGCTAGGCGGTCCAGATAAGGTAGGCATTGACGTGGGCGACGTCTATGAGGAAATCGAGGAATATCTTCGTCCATTTCTTCTGTCGGGGTCGCCAGACGGTGCCTGCGGCCCTAAGTTGGTTGAAATTGTCGGTTGCGTTCATATGACGGTTGTAATCGACAGCAAATAGCGGTTGCTCGACAAATCGACGGTTGGACACCCACGGAGTCGCTCTAGTGTTATATCGCGCCCTCGCAGTACGCCAGGCGAATGTGGTGTCGTCAGGGCGATGGACAGTGGTAATGAACACCACGGTATTCTGGCGGTATTTGTCTTTCCAGACGTTGCAGCTCACCAAATCGTCGACCCCCCGGTATATTACCTGGTTATCAGCAAGTAATTTATTCCATTTATGCGCGATTGCCTGTAAAACCTTTGGCACGCCAATAGCATCTTTCCTTACGGTCCCTACCAGTCCAACATTAATCGATAGCAGGGCCTGGGCGAGTGGTACATTGGTGAAGAGGTTGTCGGTATAGCAGATAAACGCCTGTGAGTAATCGGAAACCGAGGGCATCGGTCGAGAGACGGCTAGCACTCCAAAACGACTGCATATCAGCGTGGAAAGAGAGGTTTTTGATCATATTAATGCGACAAGCGATCCAGCGACGAATTTCAAGGTCGGTGACTGGATTCCAGCGATTTTCGTCGGTCTGTTGTCGCTCACCGACAATATTGGTGTGGTAAACCAGCAAATCAACAATGCATTGAAAAAACAACAAAAACAGCTGAACAGGCGACGACGAGCTCAAAGACGCGTCTTTCAGTGACCAAGTTCGATATTCAGTTGCTACTGGAGGTATATAAGCTGGTTCATCCGCGTTAATTCCCTCCTGAGCAGTCCTCTTGGTGAACTTATCGATTGAACGGACGATCTTAGTGGTTTTGATCGCGTCCGATGTGTTTAGATTTTCGGCGCACACTTCATATAGCTGCTGGTACTCGAATATCGCCATTTTTCGATTTTAAAGCGACTGAATTAATAGAATAGACACTTGCGACAATAATGATAGTAATTACACGAATTTATCGACAGTATTGGTATAGTAATGGTGGTTGTAAAACCGTTATCGAAATGGACGCGACATTTAGCGCGGTGGATCCAATGTCACCATTTGTACGCGGAGGAGATTCCCCATAAACTGGACAGATGATCACGAAACCCTGAAGAGCTGAACGCGCAGTCGTGCAACCAAGGGACCACGATTGCGCAGTACTGTGTCTAGACGACATTCCTTGCAGGTCGAACTTGCAGTCGTTCCAAAGCTGCCAGTTGTCAACACCGTGTAGCTCCTAGATCTGCTACCTATCTTCAGCCCGCTTTGAACAGAGGCCTCTCAGCACCTGATCAAAGACGGCCACACTCCCTTGGCCAGCCAGCGATTGCTTACCAAGACGTAACCTCGTAATCACTCACAGGCACACGCCAGTCACCATTTGTGTAGACGTACCTCACTCAACCCTACAGCCCAGTACATGACCCTCTCTTGGCAGTCAAAAGTCACCCAAGAATTTGGAGAACCGACCCCACGAACAACGCTTATCTCAAAGCAGGAAGCATTACAAGTAGCTGCATATGCACGCACATCCAAGCTCATGCAGTTGGGAGTCATAAGTTCCCTTGGTGTGGGTGTTTTTTGCTGCACAGCACTTTTGGCGTTTTCTTATTAGTGGGTTGTTGATCGGCATCAGGACCCTATCTCCATGAACTGTATGTGTGACTCCTCGATTGCGAGGTATGTGTCTGGAGAGTACAGCGTGGCATCCTGATGAGAGTCAGTTGTCTATCGTTGTCGTGCAAGAGTCGAGTGCCTGTACAAAAGGGTAATGGAAGATCGAAGCGTGAATAGGAGTAATTCTTGCCATAGTTGATTTGACATGCTATCAAATAAAAGTATAAACAAAAATATGAATTGCAACCATATCCAGGTTGACAATAACTGTGTCTGGTGTAAAAAGTCATCGTGCTGTCGAAGACATGCAAGCGATATTGTGAAGATAAATCGAACTGGTCCCCGAAATTAGGACCACAAAATGTAACGCCTAGACGCCTTGGGAGCTATGCCAGTTCATAGTCCCTTCAACGGACTGTTACTAGCCAAGCGTCAACCACCAGACCATCCACCCTTAATAATTCAATATCCATCCATCCGTCCATCCAATCCAAGCGCCTTGCTAATGGGGTATCTCATGAAGAAGTCGAAAGATAAAAAGTACGCGTTGAAGAAAGTCACTACACAATCTCTAAATGCCGGCAGTATGTGAGCTGCGGACGACCTTAGATCACAGATGATGTCTTGGTGATCGAGGTACTGATGCGTAGATGCCTTCTCCACTGTATCGATGTCGTCGTCGTTCATCTTCATGGTAGAGACTGCCCCTTGAGCGTGGCTCGTAGTATCGTCTATCCTCGTGATAGCGTTCTGCACTCCTTGGTGTGTGTCTGCTCGAGGTGTATCTCTCATACGGTATCTGGAGGTTTGGTCTCTCAGGCCTTCGTGACTCGTAGTGAGAAACATCCGGTTGTGTATGGTGTACGATAGGTTTCGGCCTCGACTGTCGAGACGCATTGGTGTTATAGCCGCCTTCGAGAGCCTCGAACAGGGTGCTGACATGCCTGTACTCGACTGGAACAAGGACTCTGGTTTGCTCGTTCTTGCGAGTTCGGTCGATCAATGAGTATGGTTTGCCAGACTTGCAGAAGAAGTAGGGGAGCATGTCAATGACGTAGTTGTGTCCTCGTGAGCAAAGCCCGTTTCCTGAGTGCCATGAAGTCAGGTTGCGGTAGCAGGTATCGCAGTGTTTGACGTGCTTGTGGAAAGTTCTCATAACTTCCTTCTCATCTCCGAGAGGATCGCGAGCGCCTTCTGACGCAGCCCAGCTGACTGTTCGAGCCATTGTGGCACGTCTGGGAAGTGGTGATGCTGTAGGTGTAGTTGCTGGGGATGAGTAATATCCTAGCTCTGGCGTGGATGGTCTTGGAGCTCGACCTGTCGATGTGGAGATAGTCATTCGATTGAAAGTCTGCTGTTCTCCAGTCGCTCTCGATTTAGGACTGTAGTAATAAGTCGTCGTCGTGCGTGAGGAAGACACGGTTGTTGGCTTGTTCGAGGATATAGTAGGAGGTCTGGTGCCAGCAATGTGTGTGTGTTGCTGGTAGTAGTGAAATCTGTTGGTTGTTATATGCTTCTTACTTCGTGAGTGTTAGATGTGCATGAGACGGTCTGGAAAGTCAGAAGGACAGAGGACTTATAATCCTTTACCTTTCGAGAAACAAAAAGTCCTACAGGCAGCGACTGATGGCGGAAGTGGACATGAGTGGAGACCGCGCGCATGATTGCCTAGTCTGAGTAGCATAAGAGTTCCCCAAAAGTTCATGATCCATGCGTGATGCGTAAATGGTCTCGGCAAAATTCTGCGAGATCTACCTGTCATACTTTGCGCTTCATGCAAAGGCCTAGTGTTCATCGACTCGCCTTGTGTGCTGCAGAGAATTGCGCAACATCCACACTAGCAGAGAAAGCATGGAGCTCTAGCTACCAGTTTAGTGTGTGCAGAAGGCTATCGGAAGGTCAGCGACACGCAATGGATGATCATTGGGCGATAAACTAAGCAGTGAGTCACGGTTGGGAGAGCGACACTCAATTCGCAAACTGGTCAGATAGTGGTTGGCGGCAATGGTAACAGCTTTGGATGAAGTACAAGTTGACCGGGAGAACGAATCCGACCGTGAATGGCAACACAGACCTCGTGAACCATCCTGGTGTCTACATCGCCCGAATCAAGTGTCACGCCGGGGAGGTATTTGACGAATGGGAAAGCTGTTTGCTTGCTTAAGCTCAAATAATGATGAAGCTTTGAAGACTCGATTATTTTTGTGATGGTGTACAGGTGAAACAGGTGGGTTGAAATTCGAGGCGAAGCAGCATTGGAGGGAACATAGAAAGATGGCGAAGAGAGAAGGTGCGGCAAGATTCAGGACAGCATGACCTGCATGACAAACACTTTTCCCACCAGACGAAAGTTCCTCCACTAGTCCTTTTCCAGCAAAACAACTCCCGTGTCTGCTAGCCTAGCCGGAGCCTGAACTTTGACCTACCTTTACAGCCGGACGTTTTGAAGTCAGAGGATTTTAGTTGTGGTCCTGACAAAATCGTCCCGCCTCAACCTGACTCCGCCACGCATTTGTGACTTCATTGCTATACCCATTACTCTTAAAGCCGTGAAAGTAGTACGACAACATAGCAGCCTCTCGGTGACCTGGTATCTTCGGCACGAAGACTATGGACTTACGCGTGTGCTGAGGAGGAAGAGTTGTCACTAGCTGCTTGACTAGCCAACCGGCTCGTCCTCTGATAGGCTTCACCTTTACCTTGCCGGGTGTATACGATTTCTTGAGTCTAATCGCATCTTTAGCATGAGCCTTAGCGGGTCGCTTTCACAATGACACCTCGTCCTTTCAGCTATCGACATCACTTTGCATAGGCCAGCGAAACCAGCGATCAGGCCAAGATATGATTGCACCTTAGGACGTTCTTGCCAGGGATAGTCACCCCTGTTATCCTCCATCGAAGCCACTTAGCGTCATTCTAGAAGACCATGTGACACTTCTTGCATGGGTAACGGCTGAGGATGCTCAAGGCACAAGGGACTTACTTTCGGAAAGTACTGACCATGAAGGAGTCTTGTCAAGAACTTCAAGTGCAACGTCCCTCGTCTAAGCGTCCTCGCAGAAAGTGTCAGCCGATAGGATTCTTGTGCCGTGGGAAGCCTTCACTAACAGCGCAATACGAAATCTTGAGAACAGCAACAACGTGTCAGAGTCAAAGGCAAGCCCATGCTAAACAAGAGCTTGAGCTGACCAGTAGCTGCTCACTAACAAAGCAGGACACGATCTGGACGAAACCATTTGATCGTGCGTTTCAAATCACGTACCCGGTCACCGTGTGACGAAGAGCATTATCCACCGATTCCTTCAAAGCCTTTGTTCGCAACACAGACACAGACACAATACATCCACAGCAACGTCCACCTCCACAAACCTCCCCCAGCCTCATGTTTCCGGAAGACATCCGTCTGGGTACGTATACCAATGAGGAAGAAAATTCCTTTCAATGAGTATCCGCAAAAGACACATCGTTACACAAGCACACCCCTCCAAGCCACAAATAAAACTGAAACCTCAGGCATCTCTTCGAACACAGGGATCCATGGCAGGCTAACAATTGACCCTATATCCGAGCACATTTTCACTTCTACCCCATCTATCAATAGCGCATCCACAATACGCGTGGCCGAGCAACACCCGCTCGCCTCACTTCCTGCTCCTACCCGTCCAGCGGTCTAGAATACCGGGGCCGCAGCACAACCTGCCTCCCTGTAGCAAACACTCCTGAGCCTTCTGGAGATAACATGACCAGCATCGTATGCGTTGTCCGTCCCGGGAGCAACACCACTGTGCGCAACAATGTGCGGAAAGTGTCCGAAGCACGTGGACGTTGTCTTTGCCTTGCGTTGCGTGTTCTTTCCATTGTGACTGATCGCTGACTAGACCGCCAGACGGTCCGGAGCTCGGCTGTGCTCTGGGATGAGGCGTGACTGACACGATCGAGGGTGCGACACAGGCATTGCTTCGGACGGTACTTTCGTCAATTTGGCAAAAGTGGGAGAGCTGGTAAGTGGTGATGGGTTTGTGGCTACGCCTTGCCTCCGAACGCTGGCGAGAGAAGAAGGTGCAGTTGAAGCATCAACTAGGTACGCAGCCGAGAGAGACTTGACAAAGGTCAGCATATACACGGCAATGATATTCAAGCTCTTATCAGAATATTTACTGCTATTTGGCATTCAGTAATCATCGTCGAACTCATCGTCGTCCCTCAACAGGCTTTGATATCGTCTGCTTGCCAGATCTTCCTCCAGGCCTCCATCGCCCGCTGGGTCCACATAGCCCTCACCTCCAAAGAAACTCAACAGGACTGGCAAGAATACTAATGCATGTGTGCTTGCAAGGATGACCAAGCCCAGCCAAATCCTGAAATAGTACACCTCGAATACCTTGCTCTTTGTGAAAGCTAACACAAAGACACCCAAGAATTTGGTGATGGTGATTCCAGAGAACACTGACCCACCCACATTGACCAGCGCAGTCCAGGCACGCAGATCTCTGCCCCGAAAGCGAGACCGCGCACGCTCCATCACACTCTTGGACGGGAACATAAAGGCACGGGATATATGTGCACAGAACTCGACTGATATGCCGACGCAGATGACGAGGTTCACAAGTGATAGTGCGTTCAAAGAGACATTGAAGAGTGCCATGACGCCCATGATGTCGACTAGAATCATAATAGTGGTAATGCTAACCACCAGTCCAGTAAGCAAAGAGCCAAGGAGAAGCGACGTCAAGATGAAAATAACCATGACAGCGACTGACAACAAAGTTGCTGTCAGGTGGACGATAGACCTGTACTGGTCGAAGAAGACATAGTGTTTGCTGTACGGGAAAATGTCAATGTTGTGTCTTTCCGAAATATCCTTAGAGATACGTCGAGCTGCAGCGTAGGAATTGATTAGATCGTCTTGGGATTGTAGTGGTGTGTGAAAACTGCGCCAGTGGCTGGCGGGGACACTGGTGCTATTCGAATCGACGACAACAGCGTTTGAGTAGGCGGCTGCTCCAGCTTTGAAGCAATCATCAACGATGGGTGCTTTCAACCACTTCTTGGCCAACTTGACAAACCTATCACCTTCCGGCAAATGTTTCATTGATAATGACCATTCGTCCTCGGAAAGGCACGTAGTTCCATCATCGTTAAGGCAGCACTGCGATGCCGGGTCCAGCCATAGGAAGTAATCATCTATCCAGCTGGCTGCGCCTGTGTTCATATAACTGACATTAGGTCTGTGAGCTTCTTGTTCTAGAATTGATGCGAGAGAATAAGTGTCACATGCCGCGAAAAGTCCGCAGGTCTGTTCTTGGTGTACACGTTCTGTCATATTAACGTCTCGTGCGACGAAGTAGACTGGTGGACCAGAGCCAAAGTATTGGTAGAGATCATCGAAGTACTGAATCATGTAGCTGTCAGATGGAAGTGCTATACGCTGGTCCAGCCCAAGTTTGATCTCTGGGATCAGCGCGAGAGCTGCAGCAAAGATAGTGACAAACACTACCACAATACCTGTTTTAATTTTCTTGTCGAGGATGAATGGAGCATATGTTCTCCTGATAAAGCGCTGCAGCGCACCCTCCTCTTCGCTGCCGAAGAAGTGGCCACCCGGCATGCTGACAGATTTGGCCCGCTTCACGACTATGCAAGGCATACAATCCGCTCGAAGACTTTCGACACGACGCTGGTTCAGTGCTAGGACAGAGACGAACATTGTGACCTGCAGTAGAGCATTGATCAGAACAGCTCCAGCGGCATAAGCGGCAAAATTCTTGACAGCTGGCATGCCAACAAAAGCTCCCATGGCAAAAGCGATCGTCTCCGTCGAAGCGGACAAGAGTATGCTGGGTCCCATACGTCCAAGTGCTTTCGCAATCCGATCGTCGATCTCCTCGTCTGGATGGCTGACATTGACACGTTCGAAATCGTGTACAATTAGGAATATGTTATCGACACCAACAGCTAGTACTAGAAAGGGGATGACTTCAGCGATGATCAGAGTCACCTTGATGCCAGCGAGAGAGAAGAGACCGACAGAACCAGACACTGACATCAGAACAATGACAATGCCCAGCATGCCTAGGGTGAACTTTGACTGTACAAGCGCGTTGGCAGGGTTATTGACTAAAGACTTGATACTCATGCTTGTAGACCCAAGAGCCAATGAGGCATAGATGAACATAACGACATAGCTGATTACCACGATTTTTGCATCGGTGTTGGTCGATTTGTTGAGCTCTTGTTCAAGACTTATCTCGGTGTTGAATGATAGACGTAGACCTCGCTCTTTCGCCTCAGCTTGCGTCTTAAGCAGAGTATTCTTGAGTACTTGCTCCCATGCTTGAGCATTTGCTTCAACTTCAGTCCCTGGTTGACCGTTATTCACGACCCACGTAACGATCAACGCTTTCGCATCAGTTATGGTGGAGATATTGTGGAATCCACCAAGTACACGTCCTGGCGCCAGAGGATTTTGAGATGGAGGCAAGCACTCCTGGTCGCCGTTGTGCTCAGCACAGTACCCAATTTGGTATTGCCAATCACTGACTTCAGCATTACCAAACCAGCCGCTTATCGACTCGACAACACATGCTTCGCCAGTTGGGTTGAAGCACACATCCTCAAGTGACAATTGTGTGTCTGGAGTTTGTAGACGAGAGACTTCTTCCTCGATGCCAAACCACCAAGTGAGGGTATCTTGATTGAGAACAGAGGCATCTGGTGCACTGTCGTTGACAAGGAATACTTGCTCAGCACGAAAGAAAGGACCAAAGTTATCATCGAAAAAGGCCTTCTCTTGGGCAGCTTCTGAATCGGGTGAGACCCACAGCTTGACAGGATCTCGCTCGACCGCAAATTTCAACCAGCCTAGACTCAAAAGTCCAATGATAGCAATATTGGTGCCTATGGTAATACCAGGATATCTGGCACAGAATCGACCAAGCCTGTTGAATGCCCTGTCCAAGATCTGGTTAAGATAGTAATTGCGCTGTGGTCGGTCCAGTAAACCAGCATTGTGCACTAGATCGCCCTCGTCCTCATCGTCGCTAGGAGCAGCGTCTTGCAGAAGTTGTAATCTTTCGCTCTTTCTTTGCTTGTGTTTGGCATATGCGACATGTCCTGAGACTGCTATGATGAGTAGGAACAAAGCGATGGAGTAAATGAGTATGACGGCGAAACTCAAACAAGGTAGTCTGCCGACATGACAGCTTTCCACATCTTCGACCTTGGGTAGCTCAGGGCAGGATGCTGGACAATCGACGCAACGACATCGAAATTGTGGGTCTTCGTCGTTGCATGCCTTTGGTTTCTGTGATACAGGCTTCATGCCGTCAGCATTGTCACCACGGGGATGTTCCAAGAAATCAATCTGGAAAGGACTCCCCAGTGCCTTCTTGTCGCCTAAGAATTGTAGAAAGTGGCTGTAGTCCTTTGCGCCACCACCAATGAATGTCATGGCCTTCTGGTTTGCAGCACCGAACTTGACGTCTTTGCAAGAGTCGTAGAAGCCACTTTGATACTCCGTACTCCAAATGTTGTCAAGCTCTTGCACTGTGTCGTTCCCTTGCCTGTTCTTTTCAGTCGCAGTCACATTGATGAATAAGCTCTGGTCTGGTGAGCAAGTAAAAGTACAAAATAGGTTGAAAAAGTTCTCCTTGCAAGCTGGACAAGATTGAATGATGCCTTGTGCTCGTCCGAGATTCTTCTTCAGTGCTTGGACTTGCTCTTCCACACAGCAAACGTCCGTATCCTTCCATTTTGGACCACAGAGCTGTACAAGCTCGTCTCGTACAGAGTCTGATGGAGGTGCGGCAAGACCATTGTCAGCGCAAGGTCGACCGGGACCGAAGAATCCATTGGGCTCGCATTGGCCTCTGACCGCGCAACGTCCTGCTTCGTGCTTGAAAGTGGCAGTGTCTGCCGATACTAACGAGGATAACGGGGTGATGAAAGCGAGGGTTCGGAGGTAAAGAGAGATACGCATCGTGGCTTGCCGGTAGGTGTGATGGCCAACAGTTAGCAAAGTGCAATGGCCAAGGTCAATCGATGGTAGAGAACAACGCAAAAAGTTCCAGCTGTAATCAGGTCATTCTAATCGACACGTAGGTCAAGTCAACACCTCAACAAGGTTGAGGAGATGGGAGATCAAATCGACGTGACAGTAGGAATATTGTTTGCAATCGCGTTGGATACGTGCTGCGTGCTGCGTATTGCTCGTGATGCCTCGGTGGCGCGCTATCCAGGCAGGTGCTACCCAGTGCTGGATTCAGACGTCATGCTGCACCAACTTCCAATGTGACTTGGCTGGAAGGTCTGGGAGTCACGGTGCGGGCGTAACTTCAGTCTGCCCTATTGCGACCATCACATAACAAACAGACTATCTCTTTGATGTGGCTGCCATCGTGGTGATGGTTCTTCACGAATGACAATAACGACCTGGAATACAGAAGTATCTCGGGCTCTATTTTCAAGGCACACCTGGCTTCCTTGTTAGTTGACTAAAGTCTAGTCTTGATCATTGACTTGTTCTCCGTTACCACCTTCTACGCCAGCAGTAGCTCGTTCATTCGTCCTAGGTAGGCTTACAAAACAAAAAGAAACATGAGGACTAGGATGGCTATCAAACTACATGTAATGGACGCGACTGCAAGGTCAAGGGATGCTCAAGATGAGCTCAGTGAAGATCCAGATTGAAAGACAAATGAAAGATACCTCAACCCGAAACTTTCACTCTCTGTGAAGGTCTGCAATTCCATTCGATTCTTTCATTTGTTCGACGTTCATATCGTGTTGTTCCTCTATCTTCTTTCTACCGTTGCACTACACAAATACTCACGATATCGGGTCAATCGCAAGGATAAGTGTCTTCTAGACCATGGATGCCTCACACCTCCAGTTCTTGATCACCGTCCTAACTAATCTTGATGCTGGACCTGTGGATTGGGTCAAAGTTGCGAGAATCAGTGGCATTAATCGCAAGGACAATGCAGGAGCCAAGTTCAGAAGCATAATGAAGCAGTACGGAGTTGAGTATAAGAACAACAAGTTTACCACTATCGTGGGTGTCGAGCCTACTTCGAAAAGCACTTTTCCATCTACGGGCAGGAAAGTGTCAACCAGCTCTAAAAAGCGAAGGCCATACAAGGACGATGCGACTGACGATGTGCAAGAGTCACCTACCAAGAAACGGAAAAGCGAAGCATCTGCGGCAGAGAACGTCAGGTCCGAGGCAGAGGATGGAGGAATAAGCGCTGGAACACCATAGCATCTGTGTTCAAGGTGTATGCTAGGAATCGGCTACCGACAGAGTGAGTTGGAGTTACCTCCTCATACGTCCGAGGAATTAATGGCTGACGCGAACAGTCTGATAGAATCTCGACTGGGCATTGTTTCCAAAGGTGCGAGGTCTCCTTCGTTGTATACACTCTTCACTTTCCGCCAAAAGGACACAGCACAAAAGAAGGAGAAAAGTGGGTGTTGCAGACAACATACGTAGTATCTCATCGGCACGAGCTGTATCGCGAAGCAGGTGGCATAACCAAGACAAGACAGTATACTCTCTACAATCGATCGAAAAATAATACATCGTTTTCATCCTCTCCTCCGCGGCGATGCCCATGCTGATACAAAGCGCTACAACGTGAGTCCAGACCTGTGATACTGCACAACAAAGCACTTCGCACACCATGTTCCTCGCCTCGAGGTTCCGTGGCGTCTTGCCTATACCTTGTTTTGATGACTACTAACCCCAGCGTGTGCTGTGAAAAAAGTATTGCACACCATTAACCCACGTCTTTTGCTTCGATCGTGAACACAACTGAGTAAGTCTAGACCCGCACCTGGCATCGATCTGTACTTCGCTCCACGGTAATCAAAGCACTTTCCAAGCCGTCTGCTAACACTAGATGTCCTGCAGCAAATTAGAAAAACACATCGATCGAAACTCGGCAGCTAGACATGTCGGTCAGGTAAAAGTGGATGTGCAATTGCGGTCCGAAAGACCCTGTTGGCATAGTGTGCATGCCCAAGATCCGTACTTGCAGCCCTAGAAGTTGATCACGCGGCCCGGCAAATTCCAGGTGTGTCTGTTTGTGTGTGTGTTTGTCTGCCTCAGCAACCAGCAGGACCAGTAGCAAGCACAGGAATTGTGCTCAACCTCTAGCTCTCTTTATTTTGGTCAAAGGAAATGCAATTTCGCACGGGTAAATCATGTGGGAGGGTCTCGGTTTTTGTCCAGATGTCCAACGGAGAGCTGTAACCGCCAGTCCGGACTTTGCTTGGGCGACAGCCCTGTTTTTGTTTGTTGGTCACGCGAAGGCACCTGTGTGTAGGACGAGACCAGACATAGAAATGAGCTGATGCCCAACATTGATGTGATATGTTTATTCTCTCTTCCTTCTCCTTTGCTTATCCATTCTTCCAGTCCTGTGTTTTTTGATTGACCAAAAGTGTTTCGAGTTTCATGTGGAGTTTGTCAGGCCGCACGTCCGATCGGCCAGACACGGATGACCATCTAGGGTTTTCGGGTACCTGACGCTACTATTTGATCTACACTGAGTCAGGTACCAGGACCCTTACTGTTTATATCATATCATTGTGATCAGTCGTGAGAAAGATATCCAGTTCCCGACCTACCTCGAGCACTCAATCTTTCTCCTGCTTGAAGTTGGGTTCTCCAGCAACTCATCTTAACCATGGCTCTCAATCAAGTTCTGAGGATTCGAAGAGGCTCGCAATAAATATGTCCTGTCCTACGGACCACCACCTTCTCTTTTCGTCCCTCTTACACGCGAGGTCGTCGCAGAAATCATGGACACCCAGACATGACATCCAACGCCCAATTCGGCACCTAAGAACAGACCACGCAATCAGCTTGTCAAGCCAGCATTTCTGTTGATAGATCGGCATACGTCACGGAATGTGGAAAGATCTTCAGGGCGCAAGGATCATCCGAAACCTACGCGTACCTTGCATCTGCCGAATTGCTGGGTGGATGGAGTCGATCGTGGCCAACGACACTGAGCAAGGAAGAAATGTACTACTCTACTTTGTACAGTACAATGGCTGGCAAGCAAACATTTCTCGTCACAGTCCACTCCACATATGCAGAACGACGTGTCGTACACATCAGGACGGATGAGAAGGAGAAGAAGGGAGGGCAAATACCGCCCCGGAATCCTTTTGTTACACAACTTACGAACGTCCATGGAGGACAACCGTCTAGTTCAGAGAGAAATCGACGACAGCCGCCGAGTCCACACAAAGTCCTTCGCGGAACGACAGAATGGACCGCGTAGTAAATCCTGTCACGGAACCCCCGTTCATGTGCATGAAGGAATGTTCTTTGACGAAATGCTCCACTCTTCTGTGGAATCTGTCACACATGCTCACATGTCAACAAACAAATATAAAACATCAGCACAGTCCACGTCGCCCTTGAGTCAAGATATAAGGGTTGGATGTTCTCCCTTAAAACTATGGCTGAAGGAAGGGATGACACTGCGAACTCAAAATCATTTCTGAGAGGGAGACAAGATAGGTGTGTTTTGTCTATGTACTAACAGGCTTCTAGGTCATGCTTGCATGCCAGTCGTCCGTTGTTCGTTATGAACACTCCTCCATACACAAAGACAATGCTGGCTCCAGTGATCAACTAAGCACCACCTTTCGAAAACGTGAAAACCACATCTCCTCAACGACCATCTCACGGTTTAACCTGCGTCACGAATGGCCTGGATGACATCTCATCACAGACTTCGGCATAGAAGACTCTCCAGCAACAGGTGCGTGGAAGAGTCAATGTACAACAATCGACAAGAAGCGAAAACTTTTCAGATAACCCAACAAATCCAACGCCATGCAGTTCCACAAGAGCACTCGCGATCCATGCTCACCTTGATCGCGGCATCTTCAATGCTTCGTGTCGATCATGTTTCTCGTCGAAGTCCAGGTCTGATCGTTTTCGTGGACGAGAAAGTGACGAGAGTCTATTAAAATGCAATATATTCCTCAACAACGCCCTGTCAATCTCGACAGAAAAAGAGTGATCCCCAAATGTGAGATCAGATTGATAACACTCAAACGCATCCAGATATGCAAGGGTCGCGCTGAAACACGCAGAGAGATTGGTCGATAAGACGGGGCACAATGACACCAATAAAGGTTACCGTACCTTGACTGTCAAGCCAAATATATCTTCAACACGCTATGCGCAGACTGTGTCCACGCGAGGTGTTGATGGCCAAACAACCTGCTGTTGAGCCATGATTGAATGCCGCTCGGAGATCTAGGTATCTAGCCGAGTATGACAGTGGCTTGTGGTGCCTCTGCCATAAGAGTTTGTGATGGTGTAGGATGTGAGTATCCGAAAGCAGGTGAGTTTGACCCAGACTGCGAACAAGATCCAGTAAACAGCAAGGGCGAAGACGCCCGTGAATAGGTAGGTGTCTGCGATTTGACCGACGATAGCTCGGATGGTGGCGAAGACGTTACATCTTGATTTACTGGAGTGGAGGCACCTGATGATTCAGCACTTCCAATACTGTCTGCATCAGATATCGAACCATCGTCCGCAGTGCCATCTGTTGCACGAACAACAAGCCCTGCGTTCTGTATTGGTGACGATTTGGCGGTACCAAACTGTGCCAACCATTAGCATTTCATTTCGTGGATATCGACTCCTTCGATGTTCGAGGGGCACCTACAAAGCAGTACTTGTCCACTAGTTCCTGGTAGGACTGGGAAGTGAGTGCTGGCTTTTCTGAGAACAGAGCTGGATTGGGTGTCACAGGAGCAACTGTTACTGCAGGAGCGCTTGTGCCGAGTGGTTTGCTGTGCACGCCATTCTCCAGTTTTTGAATTGTGGGAGCTGGACTCTTCGCTACGACAGGAATTTCGCGGGTAGACTGCTTTGCAACCATTGGAGGCAAACCACTATGCTCGCCGAGCAAAGCGTATGCGCTGTTCTTGGCGGCAGACAGCGAAGAGTTGAAATCGTATCTATGTCCGAACATTTGCGACGAGCCTTTACTACGTCGAGCGGTGGAAACATCAGGAACCAGTTCCTGCTTTGAACGTGGGCTTCTTAGTTTGATCTTCGGTTCACCAATCAGAGAGGTTGGAGATGTGGAATACGCAGATGCATAGTTATCAAAGCCAGAAGCAAAGTCGTCGAACGAGATAGGCATGGATTTCGGTCGGCCATTTGATGTGGGAGGTGATGGTCTGCTGCGTGGCAGAGCATTCAGAGGTCTCGCACCAAGTCCTGTAGGCTGTTGAGAAGGTTTGGCTTTCACCTTCTTGATAAAGTCAACTTGATAGTTCATCAAATTGTTGCTGTCCCAATGTTCTTGACCGTTGACATTGTAACGCACGCAGAAGAAGAGAGTCTTGTTCTCGAGGTTCGCCTGGTCAGCTAGACTAATGCTGAACGTGAAGCGATCAATCTCAGGGTGGTCAGGTTTGCTCAGGTCATCACTAAATTCTGCAGCGACCTCTGATGTGGTCTTCCAGTAATCCAGCGTGAAGCGTGCAGTAACGTGCTTCTGGAAAGCCAGATTCTTCACAACCACCACACCAATAAGATTCTTCTTATCGGCTGAAAGAAAGACTCGTTCGACGTGTACAGGGAGAGCTTTTCGCTCTTCGGTAGGCTGTTCAGGAGAATTGGCCAATCGTATCTCCCACTCAAAGGATGGACCACGAGAGCGAGCGCTGGCTTCATCCGAGCCAAAGGGAAATTCGCTCTCACTCTCGTAGTTCTCGGCCGGAGAAGAGCCTGCGCTGACTGCAAGCGGCCTGTCGACCTGTAAGAAGTGACGTATATGCTCGAGCTGAGAATCGAAATGTACAGCTTTGTTGTAGGTAGGTGTACCAGGCATACTGGAAGGCCTCCTACGGGAATGTGGCCGAAGAGCAGGTTTTACCAGTTCACCAGACTTTTTCCTCACCATGGGTGGTCTCCGACCAATACCATCGCTTTCGTCCGATTCCGAATCTGTGGCTTTAGGTGACAATAATATCGGTTGAGGGGGTGAGTGAGAGTGGGTAGGCTTGACTTCGAAGACGATGTTAGAATCGGTACTTGAACGCGAATGGGAGACCCTTTTTTGCGAGCTGGACAAGGGCAATCGATTCTCGCCTGCAGGAGATGAGCCTTCCGAAGCAGCTTTGCCATTGACCTGTATCGTCTCTTGTGTCCTTATTGGGGAACCCGACTTGCGCTCACCACGAATGCCTCTTATGGCGGCTTGCAGTTCGGCTAGGTTCTCTTTCTCTAACTGTCGAGAGCGTCCTCTCGTCTCTTCATCGTCGCTGTTGTGATTGGATTCTGGAGGAGATATGGTCATGCCTGGAGGTATTAAGCCGTTTGTTACAGGTGGTGGTGACTGTCGCATACTGTTATGAAGGTCGAAAACTACACCTCTCTGCAGGTCTGTCATCGCGACTGGCGGCTCATGGCCAGTCGGCGTCGAAGGGCTCCTTCTATGCTTTGTCAAGTACGAGGAGGAGCCAGCAGATCTCGGCAAGCTTGGCCGCATGTCTGTGGTTGGGAAGCTGAATTCTGGAGCAGCATTGTATTGTATGTAAGAGGGTGTTCGACTCGGTGTCGGCGTGGAGTGTTTCGACGTCGCAGGAGATAGCTGCGATGGAGGAGTGTAAGGCATTCGTGCGACAATCGGGCGATCGGAGCAAGAATGCTATTGAGAAGAACAGGTGTGCATCAAGCTCAAGCAAGAAGAACGAAGAATAAAACTAAATACCGCGAGACTGAGTAAGTGTCAGCACAATACTTGTTGTATTGGGGACAACCGTTTGTAGGAGGAAGCGATGCACAACTGAAGCTGAAGATGAGTTTGCACACGAAAGTCATCCAGATCGAAAGATAGGTTGGAACTTACAAGATAGACTGCAGTTGTCAAAAGGTTGAGTGTTTGCGTGGCTCGGTGAAATCTTTCGGTTGATGACTTCCGTTTTCGTAAAGTGAGGAAAATTGGACCTTGGACCAACTCAAACTCGCAAGTGCGACTAACCAGTAACTTGAGTACTGGCAGCAACCAGTCAATCTACCACACAGAACCTTGTACCTTCGTAGACCTCTATCCTCGTTTAGAAGTATACGTTGTCTTTGTTCTTTCTGGTACTGCAAAACAAAAGATCAAGCCACGAGAACCCGCTGCGGATTAGAGCGGAATTATCAACAATGCTTTGCCTCTAGCGAATACTTCCTCCAGAATTGTTGTTGATATTCGAAGCAGAGTAAGACAACGACAACGGGGATGATGATGGGGTTAAGGACAAGAATGAACAGGCGTGGAGGGACGACTGCTCATCAAGGTGAGAGTGCTTCAAAATAGGTTTTGCTCGGAGCCACAATGTTGATCTAGAGCCCCAGCAGTACCTGCGATATTAGATTTAGTTTTTGACAATGGCAAAAGCGAATCCTTGTCATATGGAGACTTAGTGCGGCATTAGCAGGTGGACAAGCTGATTAGCCTTCCTACGAGTGCGGCCGACTACGATTTGCACATGTTACTTTGGAGGCGTTAACTGCACAGCACGATCTGCATACAGCACGGCTCAACAGCTTCCCAGAAGACATTGTAGTCCGTGTTATTGGTAGACCCCAACCCTCGAAGAAACGGGAGGTTACAGGATGCACGAAAGCTCATGCTACTCGTACAGGCTATAGCATCGCTGGGTCGTAGTTGCAGGATCAATGATGGCAACACCAAGAACGGATGACTGCGTTCTTTTCACACTTTGGGCTCGTACATGCCTGCTGCAATACGTGAGGAGCCACGCCCAAACAGACACATTAACGGTGTTGGCCCTCTCACTCCACACGTTCAACATGTGAATCGTTTCGCAGAACCAACGCCCTCTACTCGAGTAATGTGTTGAGATTGTGGGATGTTCCTAAACGCCTACTGTATGGAGTCACTGGAGTACGACAACAACACTCCGGATGCAGCTGAAAAGCTTAATTATCTCGAACGATATCGGGAGCAAAGACTGCGCACAGACACTGAATACCACCAACCTCTCGCCTACTGGTATGCGCATTCTTGTACACCATATGGCTCTTCCTAACGTGAACAGACTGTGCAAGGCCACTATTCGAGCCTGTCGCCCCTCTTGCGAGCACGACAGAAATCCGTCGGCGGCTCCTTCCCGTTTCGATAATTCGCTAGCCATATCGCCTACTGCTGCCAAGCTCCGCATTCCTGATTGATTAGCTGAAGCGCCAATGATCTCGTATCACGAATCTCTGAAACATTGCACAGCAACTGTTGGCAGTTTCTTGGTCATTGATAGAGGATCGTCCTTGAGAAGCTACACTTTCTTGTCGTTGGGCAATGCCTGTGACTCTACTAGACCTCTCAAGGTCTTTAGATTAGCCGACATCGCGTTTCGAACCAGATACGCGCGTCTCAAATTACGCGACACCCTGGTTGGTCATCTCCAAAGATTACGCCCCGATAATACGTTAAAACGATGCTCAAGAAATTGTGGTTGTTAAGGTGCTATCAAGTTAGCTACCGCACACTATCTCAATCTACCGGAAGAACCGGCTTGAGCTTACTTCAGGTTTTGTTTCTTTTAAGGCCCTGAAAACAAGGCAGGTCTTCAAGTACCTCGTCATGATAACGTGGCTAAGCGAGTGCTATCGCCTATTCTTCCGCCTTCCGTCCCGTGCGGTGCATACCATTTCCCTTCCTCAACATACCGTCCTTCCTTTGGTGTTTATCATTCGTCGAGCTGCCTACATCATGACATCTATCAGGATATGTTACTGGTATCGTGTCGACTCGAGACTTGTCGCATGACACGTCTTCTTTGCTTGGTAAGTCGGATTCGGTGCGTTTCGCAGTGTAGCTATCTGATACGTTGGAATTATGCAACCAATGCCAATGCATGCCGTGCACAAGTATCTTGTCGAGCTTGCCTAGAAACTCATATCGCTCAGGAACATTCTTGCTAATATTCCGGCTTCTGGATTACGCTAGTTACTCAGCTCGCTGATCCCCAGAAGCCCTAATTATGCTTCGCTATGTCCCAGATCCAGATCGACTATCCACGCCGGACTCTCCATTATACCCTCCTCATTGCAGCCCATAGCGGCATCGACAAACAAAGTCTGCTCGCCATGTCTAATACTTTGATAGATAGCCGGTCCAAGCATCGCATGCCCCCTCTTTTTGCACGAGTTCTTCCCTATCCAGTCCGGAGGAAGCATTTCCATACTTGCTTCGTCATCATCACTACTTTCGCTGCCCTTAGCGTCTTTCCAAGCCACTCTGGCGGACCCCCATGCACTATGTATATGTCCGAAGCAGTGTAGAAGAGGTCGTGTCCTGACGATAGCTCGACGGAAGATGCTCGCAGCCTCCACTTGATTTGAAGTGTCTGCGCACTGGTCGAGGATGTACTTTGGTGATCCGTGGGTCATTACAGTGTCGACGTCTGTGGGCATCATTGACAGCGGAGTTGCTATGTTCTACGCGTGTTCTACTGATCCTCGATTGAAGCGATCATGGCTGGTCGGATATTGAAAGGCTGAGACTCCGTAAGCTGGGGTACATGGTGATGCATAGATTGTGAAGGAGCTGCCGTTTTTGAGTTTCAATGTATGAGTGCCTTCCTCGAGGTAGTGAATGCCGTGGCCGATAACTTCGTTGCTGGTCCAGAGATTCTTGACGATCGAGCAGAAATCGTGTCCCATGCCTTCTCGTTCGCAAAACGCAGGATCGAGGTCGACATCATGATTTCTAGGTATTACCCGTTTGAGTTCTGCTGATAGACTTACTAGTTCCTCGATAGCCTCTGGATGTTCATCCAGTCCTCCCTATCTGTGATATCACCACAGTGGAGGACCACATCGGCTTTGGGTAGGGGTTTGACGGATGATTCACTGCTGGTGTATATCCTGAGGTCAAGATCGTGAGTATCCGACAGGATCAGAAAGCGGGTACTTACACTTGATTCTATATTGCTTCTTGATACTGATGAACCGGGGCATCGAATCAGGATGGGCTTCACGCTTGGCGATTAACAGGGAGAGACGCAGACTTGGCACTCATATATTTGCGGGATATAGGTATGGGCTCTGGATAGGCAGTAATGTGCTCGAACCTAGAATCTACCCATACGCGCGACTGTCAGATAGCCTCGTACTATGGTGGCGCTGTCCTGAGTACCTTATTTTACAGTTCATGTCCATTCGCAATATGAAGCATCCCCTGTCTTAGAATAACTACAACATCGATCGAAATAAAAGCACAGGGAGGATGCCCGCCCCTCAGCAATGAGAAGTCTAAGCAGCAGTTGCCTACACGTTTGATCGAGCTGTACATGCTATAACCATCACCAATCTCATCATGAGACCTTTCTATTACGTCCCCATTACACTCCGCAACCGGATGAATCGTGTCAAAATGTACTGGTATACTGTTATTCATGCCTGAGGCATGAACGATGGATTTTCGATATTGCATGCATTAGCGAGCCGTTCACGGCCTGGCCTGTATATTTGTGCCTGAAGCATCAGCCACTTACTCCACCACTCGTGAGAGCTTGGACATGCGGGACCGTTTTGCTCTTGCAGGTAAACATGTCAGCGCATGAGAAACCTGCCCTTGCACATCAGAAGCCGGGAAACGATGCTGCGATGAGTTGAGCTGAATGGCGGTCTGCGTGATAATAACGCGATTGGTTCGGATTCGTAATAAGTGTGCCTTCACACACCGCCAAAGTCAATTAAGCGACAAGACTCGTGTCTAGTGGATGTTCATTGGATTGGCACGACCTGGTTCGGTGGATATGTTGAGCTTATCTCTATTGATGGAGTCCCACGGGGAGTACTGGGGCACTTAATCTCAAAAGACCTTGGTATAGCGGTACAGTACTGCCCAAGAAGGATGGAGGGGAGAAAATATGTAGATTTGCAAGCTCTAGAAAATGGAGGCGTCCTCCTCGTTTGTTGAACGATGCTGCTTGTAGCAAGAGCACGAGGTGCGCTATTAGGTACAGAATGCATGAAATTCAGGAACATTACTCGTATGACACCTTACCATATGCGTGTCCAGGTTGACAAGGCTCTATCAAATCGTGCAGGGGTGTGTCGTTTTTCTTAGTCAAAATTCTGCATCCAGTTCGAACTTGCGGGGTCCGATCCAGGATGTAAAGGATGGAGAAGTCATTGGAGCTACGGCAGCAAAATCAATCGCCTAGTGTACCAGTGGCGGAGGACCAAGAAGAGTGCTGTTAGTTAGCGCTTCCCCCACGTACAGCAACTACCGCCATCAGGTCAGGGTCTCCTCGGACGCCAGATCAGTAGGCGTAACTGGTTTTCGCTGGAGAACAAAGTTTCAAGCATCCGTGTCGAACCCAGATTCAAGGAACCCGCCCTGCAGAAGCATGTGAGATATTTGTGGTACAGTACTCGAGCACGAAGGTTCACAGCAAGCATCGTACTTGATATGTTTTGTTGATATCTTGCTGTGCAGCATGTATAAGCAGGCAGGCTGTGAGAATTAGCAGGTATTCTGTACAAGCCTTCCCCATATTCACCTATACTCACTCTTCCTCTATGCACAACCATGTTACGAGCATGCAGCTGATCCCATGTCGCTCAGCGGAGCATGTTTCTCCCTGACACTTCTGCACCCCAGAGAATATCAATAAATTGACATCAGTCACATCTGGACAAGTCGGTTTCCAGGGCTCCATCTCTTCAGATCAAGACACTCACAGGCAACTGCTCGTACGCCGTCGCCAGCTAGACGAACACGAACTCATCTCATCGTGACCAGCGATCGTCAACGAGCTTGACATCGAGCATGCGCGAGCGTCGAGCACATGCCTAATTGCGAGTGATTGGCAATCTAACAACACTGTTGATTCTTTAGAGTCCTCAACAGAAATGAAAAGGTGTGGTCCACTAACACCGTATTTCTCCGATGACAGAATATCTGTGGAGATTTTCACACATGCCAACTCAAGATCTTGATCGCACTCGTTTTGCAAGATCAGTGCGTAGTTGGTCACCTCAACATGATTGTCAAAATATGAACCCAACTCTCATGCTGACGAACAGTGCTCCGGATGTTCTGTGGGTGGTTGAATGATTACCAAGCATCATCGTCGGACTCCGAAGATAGATTTTGTGCTCATTATCACTAACCAGACTAGGGCCTTTTGCCAGAAGCCTTATCACTTCGTTGACAATGCTTGTATTGCGACACGATATTGGTCTGTCTCGCGAACCACAGTAGTCCAGGGAAGCAGCGAGAACGTTGATGTCGGCGAAACCTACCATTTGTTCTGTGATCGACTCCTTGTTGACAGGGTAAAGCACATGCCATGAAGGCTTCGCTTAACAGCCTTGCATGACTGGCAGTCAAATGAACTCAACAGTCTCGGCTTTAGTCGGCGTTTGCACCAAACTTGTATGATGAACCAAGTGATCCACGATAACCAGCCAGGGATTCTCCACGGGGTATAGGTGCAGGGTCTGGAGTGCACTGCAGAGACACAGACTCTTGGACTGCAATGGTGTTGCACCGCTTACGTGCATGCCTTAGGAGAGTCTGGGGGACCCTAGGATACTCCATTTTTGGGCCATCTCGATGGCGAGCCATATTCCAGTGGTGGTCAATGAGATGTCCAGCAGCGTACTGATGGCGTGATGTACGTAGTCGAGCCCTTCATGAGTGGAGTTTCGTGCTGTCCATGCTGTGTTATCAAGAGTGGTTCTACATTCGAATACTGTACGTTTGACTTTCAAGTCATCGTTGCACAACCAGATCGTCGACTACGGAGTCAACAACACTCGACATACCTGTGCTCTGGCTACAGTGGTGGATAGGTGGCAAGGTGGTGTGGAGTGAGTTGCGATCCATACTGGTCGCAGCTGCCCAACACAATATTGTGAGGTTGCACATGCCATCACTGCTCCTGCCTCAGCAGAACATCACTGTGGAAATGGGAAGGAGCTGCGCATATCGATCGACCACCTTCCAAAGGGAGTAAGTGGAAGGCACTTCGTGCCACAACGATGTGATTAACTCCCGTCATCGAACTCAGATGTGGTGGTGTGCTCGCGACCTCACCATCTGTACGAAGAGTAGGACCAGAACTCATACACCAGCTCGAACCGAATGGTCGAGTTTCAACCAGATGTTTCGTGTTGCTTCGAGTGGCTTGTCCTGTCACAACGTCTTGTAGTTATAGTAAGAACGCTCGTAAGACAACGGCGACGATTGGACACGAGAGACGTGCCATGAGGAAACGTTGATGTCAGATGTCATTCATGTGTTCTGTCTAGTTTCTAAAATCATAGTTGTCACAATAGATACCTTTTCTCAATAAGATAGATCCCGACAATACCCCTGACGAATCCAACTCTTCCATCGCCAATGGCTGATGCTAATAAGAAGTCCGGTCTCGTAAATTGGTCTTGTGGTGTCCTCATCCCCAAAGTCCTAGCTCCAATGTGCGCAACAGTTCCAATCCAAGCTCGTAGCCTCCGTATATCTGGCACGCCTTCTCATTTCAGACGCACTTCTCCCATCAAGCCCAATGAAGCAGCTGTATCATCAAAAGCTTATCAAAAGCTCATCATCAAGCAAACATTTCTCCCCTAAACCTGAATCCTAGTTACTTGGACCCGTGGTTTGGCACTTCCTCACCCAAATCCTCATGCTCTCGTTCACTTTTCCCAGCCCTTTCCTTTCTGTGACGAAGCTGTCCTCGCGCATCCAACAATGAAGGTCTGAGCACCGCTCGAGCTGCTCCTCAATATCATTGTTGATGGTAGTGATGTATGCTATGTCTCCTGGACTTGATAAATGAGTAATCACGAAAGTCATGAACACTTCGCTCGCATGTCGATTAGCATATGCGATAGATGTGAACAGTCTCTGATGATCTTGAGTAGCACGTTCGGTGATGGGTTGAAAGCCCTTTTCAGGGACTGCTTGTGCGCATCCTGGAAGTTCTGTATCAGGTTCGAAGAGATCATCTAGGATGTCGTCAAGAGTAGGTTCCGACGTGTTTAAGGCGAGCTTGCTAGATATGTCGGTATCCTTATGTGCAGCTTCTTCGATGATCGGCGAAATTATCTTTTCCCAATCCACGCTCCAGACATTGGGACCTCGACACGCTTTCTTAACTTTTACGTTGTTGTATGCCTCTTCTGACGGGTTGTATCTCTCGCGTTCAATCCATGTACGACAACCGACATCACCGTCTTCGCCCATAGCGAGTTGCTGCTCATATTCTGTTTCGTTTTGTTTGAGGGTGATAGTATACTCTTGAGGAGCATTCGAATCGAGGTTTAGGATGTCTTTTCGTACTTGTGGTGCCACTTTAAGCACCTCCTTAATCGCCTTAGCACGGTTTAAGAATCTGTCGATAAGGTGCTGCCCATTCATGCTAGGATGTCCATGGATGTGCGAGTATACTAAGTAGCGGTAGCATTCTGGCCTACCAATCTCGCCCTCAATTTGCACCTCGTTGTGGTCCTCAACGTCGTCCTCTAGGTCTGAATCATTGAACTCAGCAGAAGGAGATAAGTCTACTTCTTCGATCTCTATGTCCTCAGATGTGGCATCCACATCGGCGGGCTTCTGCTTCATGGCGGCACGTGCAGACTCGCGGGCCTTCATGTCTTGTAGCATTTGCGAGTCGGGCTTCTGTGCTCCTTGCCTGTTCGCATGTTCTCGCTGCTGAGTAGTGGTCACCATTCTTTCAAGTAGTGACTGATCAGCGGCCTGGACAGGGAGAAGTCGCATCTGAGACTCAGAATCTTCAGCATTACCAGCTATGTCCTTTGATTCAAGATCGGTTCTCTTCGGGGCGTACAGAAATTCGTCACCCTCTTCCTCTTCACTGGTATAATCATCCCCGCGGTCAGGAATGTCAATTTCTAGCACAGCCTCCTCCCCATCTCGCTGTTCCGCAGCTTTGAACTTGGTCAGCTGGGCGCGAATTTGAGCTGCAAGAGGTCCATCTTTTTTCGTACCTGTGGCTCTTAGAGATGCTGTGGTCTTCTTCGCCTTTGGATTACCCTGGCATCCTCCCCGTATGCAGGTCTTAGTATTCTTCTGGCTGCAGAGAGCCTTTAGCCTATCACTCTCGCTGCGCAATTTTGGCACCTCAACCTGTAATTTCTCCCAATAATCTTGTCTTAAGATGTCGCTTAGTCGGTCCTCTACCGCGCCGTTCGGAAGGGCATCAGTGTCAATCTTGCTAAGCCTTCGCTTGACATTTTCCCGTACCTCATTTATTCTCTGTCGATTAAGTTTTCCGGTACACTCATCTTCGAGCACTTTTTGAGTGAAGGTTTTCAACTCCCTTAGTTCTGCGGCATTGCTGCCCAGTAAGGCTCCATAAGAAAGTAGCTTGGCAAAATGTTCAAAGCATCCCTGTATAGCAGAAAGATCTCTCAAGCGCTCTGACGCTGTCTCCCGTTGGATGATAAGTGATTTTCGGACACTTTCCATCGCCTCAAACCCTTTAGGAAGTGTTAAGTACTCCGGGAGACCTTGCTCAGGGTACAGGCCAGAAGTGTCGTTTTTCTGCTTCTGCGAACCATGATCGATATGATCCTGGGTGAGCTGCGAAAGGCCAGATAGGGTTGGACGGGCACCTTCTGAGGTTTCTGTTGCTATGCTTGGTTTGCTTGAAATACCCATGAGTGTACGGATATCGTTTGAGGCCATAGTAATTTGTGGTTGGACAGGCTTTCTCGCTCTCTTTGCTGGATTAGCCATCTCAGGCGCATGGAATTGCACGCGCTTTGCTGGCTTTTTAGAGCCGGCATCTTTAAGCACTGACTTCATTGGTTTACCAAGAGCACTGGCTGTGATGCGCGCCAGTCTTGCATCTCTCCTCTTTTGCTCCTCATCGATGCTCTTTACAGGCTCAGGGTCTTCTTGGGAACGGAATTTACGCTGAGCGCGAAGCTGCTGGCTCTTTGCGATCCCACGAGCTTCTGCGGCACTTCTGGCAACAGATGGTGCATCCAGTGCTGGAGCTGGCGAACCCGGCGCATCACCGTCTGCATCGCCTGAATTATATATCGATAGAAGATGCTCGATGTCCACATCAGGCTCGGCTGCGTCTATGGTCGCGGCGCCTCGTAGATCACCACTGTCCGGGCCTAGCTGATCAAGGGAAGAGGTATATAAGGATTGTGCACTAGCTGTAAAATCGAAGCTAGAGTTTGGGGAGACATGGGCGGAAGAAGGTGGTGTCAGTATACTAGGAGAACTGGGGAGTTTGTCACCGAGGAGTTTGTCGCCCGACACGAACAACCTCTTTCTGGTGACTTGCGACCGAGTATGGGACTGAGAAGTATCTATCGCGTTTTGTTTCGGATATTGCGACGGTGCTCCTGGGACAACATCGCCCTTAGCGTCGATGCTCGAAGTCTGTGCTGCAGAAGCTGGCTCCGGTAGGGCCACGGAGTCGTCGGCGTCCGAATCCAAATCAATCACAGTCGCATTCTGCAATTGCTGTAATACAACCTGACGATCATCGACGCCACGACGATCACGCATACCGCGATCACTGTTGATGTTCATCTGTATAGATGGCGATCGGCTCTCTTTGACTGGATCCATTGTTTACAGTAAGTAGAGTCAATTCTTTAAAAGAGGTAGAGAGGAAGGTCGTTGGTCAGGCGGGATGAGGGCTCGAGACGATATGGTAGTGGTCCAGCAGGGAGAGGGGGAAACACAGCGACGAAGATATACAAGAAAGACACGAAGGTAGGAGTGGTAAGCATGTTTAAATAGTAGAGATTACATCTCGTCGCTGAACAGCTTGAAGTAACGAGACTTACCTGTAACTGATATGAACCTCACTTTCGAACAGATCGCCATCAAAGGGTCTGGTCTGTACCAAGGTGTGTTGGGTAAGATACCTTCTGGGCAATACCAGCTATTGAGTATTTACCACTCAAGACACGATTGCGAGCTTCAGCGATGATCAAGAGCCGTGGAATCATATCGTCGATGTTCTATGAAGTCGGCGGCATCGTGCGATGAACAAGTCGTGCGGCAGCACCTGCTTCATTTCGCTCAGCTCTCATGGCCGACGATGAGGTCGTTTAGCAATGGTTCGAGTCACATAGACTCAACGTAGACCATGTCACTCATGACAACTCGATACGGACCGTGGATACTGCGAGGATTCAGAGACAGCACGAATCTTCGCCGAAAGGCAATTCGTTATCGAACACGGGAAGCGACACAATAAGAGTGATCTGTACAGGACTGGAGCAGATGATGGTTCCGTGCTGGAAGATAACGCGGATGTACTCAGCCAAGCATGCGTGTAATCCGACAGTGGCTTGGCCCGTTTAGGAGATACCCGAAACTTGCCCAGAATAGGCGGCTCAGGCCCTATGAGTCGACGAATGCGGCACTAATTATATCAGTCGCGATGCACAGTATATGCAAGTCAGCTTGGAGCTGAAGATGAGAAAATTGACCTGATGCGATCGTATGATTACAACAGAAGAGTGTTCGACCTTGCTTCAAGTGTTATGAGCTGACATCTATCAAGCCGTCCCCCGCGACTTCCCTACCAACACTAGAGATATCACTGACATGGCAGGTGAAGGACGACGCAGCAGTGGCAGTGGAGGGAAACTGGCCAGCTTTGAGAAAGAACTCGTCTGTTCTATCTGCACTGAAGTCTTATATCAGCCACTAACTATATTAAACTGCTTACACACTTTCTGTGGGTCGTGTCTGAAGGAGTGGTTCTCCCATCAACATCGCAAGGCCTCACGCTCTGCCTCTTCCTCCTCTGGAAACCCATATACCTGCCCAACATGCCGTGCCGAAGTTAAGGACGTCCAACACAATGCTACTGTCAGCAACCTGCTCGAGCTGTTCTTGGCTGCGAATCCTTCCCACGACCGGAGTCGGGAAGAAAAGGATGAGATGGACCAGATTTACAAGCCAGATGGTACCAGACCACGTGCGAAGATCTTGCCAAAGCTTGAACGTCGTCGTGAAAGAAGGACAAGAAGAGAAGACGAAGTTGCAGTCCAGGAGAGGCAACTGCTGGAGGAAGCAAGACAACGTAGCCTACAGGATATGAATACCACGGCTTCAGCAAGCCATCTGAGTTTGCCCGAGTCCCACAGAAATCGAAGTACTAGTGGTGAGAGAGAAGATCGTCGTCACCGTAGGCGGGAAAGAGAGAGACAGCGCGAACAAGCATCTGCATTGTCAGTCCCTTTCTCTTCTCATGCAGAGGACAGCGATCAGCTAGATCCATCATCTGAATGTCCTCCCACGACTTCTCCCAGACATCCCAATGCAATTGAAGCGCGCCAGCGAGAACACGGTATGTCTCATCAGGCAAGTTTACGTTCGCTTGTAAGTGCGTCAGAGAGTGGTACGGGTACAGGTGACAGCTTTGATGAAGCTCGTATCATGCAGGAGATACTTGACGAGGGTCTACTTGGAGATATCGACATTGACACTCTAAACGAGGCCGAGCAGGATGCTTTGGCAGAACGTATAGCTGAATTGTATAGGCAACGGCATCCAAGACCTATGACCTCAAGCATTCTGTCTCCCGAACCACGAACTTCTACCCCTCCCCGTTCCAATCAACAGCAAAGCCAGCTCCGTATATCGGGCCAAAGCAGAAGCCGGACAGACGTTGCTCAAACTGCTACGCCTTTACTCCTGCCTCGTCATAGTGGTTCCACTAGTCACTCCGACATCTCGAGACCACCACCTGCCTTCACGACCATAAATAGATCAAACTCTAATGGCTCTTCAGTGACCATCAATCATCGCAGAACAACTTCAGACCTTGCACGAACAGGCAGACAGGTCGAAACTCCGCCAAATGGAAGTGTCGAGCGCCCTGCTACCTCGACCGTGAGTGCTTCAGAAGCTCGGATACTGCAGCCAACCTTGACAAGGAGTCTTTCGAATGGTGCTGCGAAATCGCGTCCTGAATCACGTCCACTTAGAGCTTCGGAAACCTGGCGCCAGGCTGCTGGAGACGAGGGCAAACAGAGAGCAAACATTGGAACTTCCTATTTACCTTCTCCTCAACCAACAAGCACGACGCTCACCATCGCACCCGCCTTGCCAAATGACGGTTCACATATTGCTGAACTTGATAGCACGCCCATACCGCAAGCTGCGACAAGATCGCAAAGTCATTACGAGGAGCCTTTCGTAGCATGCTTTCGTTGTGAGAAGCCCGACATTCAGTATGAAATTTACAAGCATTGCCGTACTTGCGACGTAGATCTATGTACGCAATGCTATCGTGTGGGTAAAGGTTGTAAACATTGGTTTGGTTTTGGACACGTCGCAGAGATCAACTACGAAGCTCTCAAGTCTCGAGATGAGATGACAGAACCACCTCACAGCCTAATTGGCAGACAGTATCACAAGCCTACACCATCGACCATTCTTGGAACCAGACCTTCGACTCGAGAAGAACATCAGCCAGACAGAACTTCCTCTAATCCCATTGACCGACTTTCAGAAGGTCACTTCTGTAATCGATGTGGTTCTTTTGCAAATGCTCAATTTTGGCTATGTGATATATGTAGCGATGGAGATTGGGGCTTCTGCAAGCAATGTGTACAAAGTCACCACTGCTGTACTCATCCTCTATTACCCGTGGCCTATCATCCTGAGCCTTTTCCAGCCATACCAGGCCTTTCCAGTTCAAATGGTCTCCATACAGACACGCTGCAGCCTTTTCCACTGACGACGAAAGGCACGAGTGCCAACAACAGCAGACCGCACACGCCTATGTCAGCTGCCTCCAACCGCTCACAACCGGGTGTTGGGTATGATTATCTCTTTATGGACGTGGTGTGCGATATGTGCAGAAAGCCTATAATAACACCCACTCAGTACTACCATTGTCCCTCACATGAGACAGACTACGACCTTTGCAATTCCTGCTACCAGTCTTTCCTCCAACATCCCCGTATGCGACGTGACCAAAACACCAGCGCCGAAGACATCGCTGGCTGGCGTAAATGTCCTTCTGGGCACCGAATGATCGTTCTTGCCTTCGAGGCCGACGTCTCCGATGAAGGCGACGGTGGAATGCGACGCATAGTCAAGCAAGATCTCGTCGGCGGCTGGAAAATGACCGAAGCAGATATCCAAGCTTGGAATCTGCAGAACAGCCATATCTCAAACGCACCTAAGAGCCCACCACTTACCAGCAGAGCAGGAACCTGGACTTGGAAAGAAGACGCCGCCGGTACACGAAGACGCAGTCGCTCTTCGACTTTGAACAACACTCTAAACGGCCTCAACCTCGACGGCAGTATGGTACTGAACAACTCCATGCGCTTCCCACCTAATGGTGGTTACGGCAAGCAAGGGGTAGCGTACTATGCGTATTGGCCTGAGGAAGGCGAAGCTGGTGAAGGCGAGTTAGTGTTACCTAGAGCTGCGGAAGTCAGTGAGATTGAGGATATTAATGGTGATTGGTGGAGTGGTGTTTATGCTGGTGATGTTGGCGTTTTTCCCTTTGGCTTCGTCAGAGAGTATAACTAGGTAGCCTATTTGATAACCATCAGAAGAGCATCGGTTTTGGCAATGTACTTCGTTCTTGAACCTTGTAAATACATAATTGAATGCCGACACGCACAAACTCGGAACCGATTTGAGCATTTCAAAAAGAGACTTGAAAGGAATCTTGGCGTTTGTGAACGCGAATATATGGGAGCACTGCACTCCAGTAACCACGACTCAGATTGGGATATTATGGAGTTAAAATAAATCCTGTTATCAAGGCGAAGGAAGAGCCGCCGTGACAACAGCGCCTGGTTCGAGGGTAACTGTGCTGTAGGCCGTAACCACTTGTGATAGGTTGTCAGTATACGTTTAATCGGTTGTGATAGTGGTGGGAAAAGGGGTGGGGGAGGTGACTTACCAGAAATACCTGATGAGCTTGAGCTCGGGGGTCTAGGAGTCAAGTCTGCTTGCGTATCTACGTATCACAGATTGTCAGGGTTTTGACATATTCAGGTATCTTTTCGCGCGGGTCTTACCAGCAGCAGCAGGAGCAATGAAAGAAGCCGTACTCACCGACGCCGTACTCAGCGTCGTACTCGTCGTCGTCGCAGTCGTGGTATCCAGCGACGTGACGGTCTCCTGCTCCGTTGTCGTATGCTCGCTTATCGTGGTATGGTCTGATATGACCATGGACGTAACAGTCTCTGGCTCAGGACTCGGCAGGACACTCTCAGTGACGGTGTCGAGCATGGTCGTGGTATAGTCAGAGGTAATCATGGAAGTAATGGTTTCGGGTTCTGGGCTTGGTTGAGCGCTCTCAGTGATGGTGCTGAATATAGTCGTAGTGGAGGTTGTGAGTGAAGGGGTTGCGGTGATGGTCGAGCTGATAAGGATTGTAGTCGTGGAGGGCTCTGGCGGCGTGGTTGTTACTGTCTCTGTACTGATTGATGTGCTAGGTGTAGGTGTAGGTGTAGGTGTAGGTGTGGTGGTGGCGGCTGTGGTTGTGTTCTGGGGCAGCAGGGTCTTCACCATCAAACCTGTGAAGCCAGCGGTCAGAAGTGCAACCCCGACGATCCAGGCTACGATGCCGCCGATCGAGCCACAGCAACAGGTTGCAAAGACCTGGGATGCCTTTGATTTGGGACGTGGTCGATGTGGCATCTCGTTTTCAGCTCCTCTTCTCCATCGGTGGTATGGGTCTTCGTGGTATGCTGGTTGTGCTAGACGGTCTTTTGCCATATCGTCGAGTTCGTGCTCGAAAGGAGTCCTGTAGGGCCCGGTAGGTTGAGGAGTCATCTTGTGTCGAGGCGTGTGGTATCTAGGGGGGTGGAGTTTGTATAGACATTGGTGGTTTTGGATGTCCCTCAGAATCTGAAGTGGTGAGCCTAGTCAGTAGCAGACAAACTATACAGCTTGCGTTGCATTGGGATACTTTGGTCGTTAGTAGGCAGGTGACAGCCAGATATTATGGATGTCACGGAGGAGACGCTGCCTTGCAGCGACAAAGATTCTCGCGATGTAGAAATTGGTCTACAAGCTCCGACCAAGAGTAAGATCTTGTGGTGCGTAAGCTGGTGTAGTTTCACTTCCCACGACTGATCAGCATTCGAGATCGAGGAGGCATCGATAGAAGAAACGTTTTAAACGGACTATAAAAGAGACGGGGAACCGACATTAGCTCCATTTGCGGATTGCAGGGAATGTATAGGATTGTTAATCTGCTTGAACAGCTCGCGCTCGATTTACGGTGAAGCCGCATGGCGAATGAGCTAGATACTTACCTTCCATTTCTTGATTGTGGCATCAGCCCCTATGCTGTAGACGCCTTCTTTAAGCCAAGCGACACCATTGACACCTTCTTTGTGGGCGTTGGTAGCTTTTATCCTCTTACCTGGTTCATTGAGGATCCACAGGTGAATGTTCGTGTCCAAACTACCACTCACGGCATGAGTACCTTCAGGATTGAAAGCGATGGAAGTGATCTTGCCAGTGTGTGCACTCCATCGATCAGTAACAAGATCGACGGAAACTGAGCCGGTCACAAATCCAGTCAAGCCAGAAGAGATCTTGTAGACGTAAATCTTACCTGCTGCCGTGCCGACAGCGAGTAGAGAACCGTCAGCACTGAAGGATAGTGCAGTGATAGTTGTGGCTGATACCTTGTCAACGGCTGCTGCTTGTCGTGGGGCAGAACCAGGCTTGACAGTATACAAGCGAAGACTCGAGTCTGCGCTACCAATTGCGACAGTGGTGCCGTGAGCGGCGAGTGCCGAAGGGGAAGACTTCAACGGAAGCTCGCCGTCTTCTTCGCCGTCACGGTAGACGATGACGCTCTCGGCTTGAGCAACGATGACAAGAGAATCGCTTGTGCATGTTACAGCTTTCGGTTGGGTGTTCAAAGATGTAGGCTTGCCATGGAAAGTGTGGGCTCCAAGGTCGACAGTACGAATTTTGTCGTCCCATCCTACGGAATAGATCTGAGCATTGGAAGATTTGGTCGTGGCAGCCAGCCCAGAGATGATGTTTGTGTGGCCATCACCTTCGATCGTTTCGGCCGAGCCTTTTGCGATGTCCCAAGCACAAAGACGACCTTCGTAATCGCCAGTCCACAAAGTAGGCTGCGAGTCAAGTGAGGAGACGGAGAGGGCTGTAATATTCTTGGAATGACCGGAGATGATCTTGGTCGGCTTAGCTGAGTTTTCATTGAGGTAGTTGAGGTCACCACTGAGGGATAAGGAGATGATTGTGCCGTCTGCGCGACTTGGCCAGACAACTCCGACCTGCTGATCAGCAATGTTGATATTGTCGCCAAAAGACCATGTATGTGTGACCTTGGCAGCTTCAATGTCCCAAGTCTTAACAGTACGATCGCCAGAGCAGGTGACAATGGAACGAGAGTCCTTGGACCAGGAGACACCAAATATGCTACCAGTATGACCATCGGAGGTATCAGAGACCTCGGCCTTCACTTCTCCTGTCTTGCCATCATACAGATAGATCTTTTTGTCACCTCCGACACTGACCAAGTGGGTACCATCAGGAGAAAAGGCTGTGCCGTAGATGTAATTGGTATGGTTACCTCGACCGGGGATGCTGTTGAATTTGAAAGGAGCACCGTGGTAGAAGACTAGATTCTTGTCGTCGCCAACAGTAGCAGCTCTCAGAGGTCGCTGCTGTCTAATGCTCACAGCATTGACCTGAGCAGAATGACCGCTGATCTCACCGACGGTATTGCCAGAATCAGCAGTCACACAGTGTCCATATCTTTGCTTGCCGTCTCCTACAGCAATTATACGTTGGCTATCTCCATCCCAAGCAATGTCGTTTATGCGACCATTGATGATCGAGTATTCGCCCTTTGTGGTACCGGAGCCGTTGGGAGAGCAGTCCCAGACACGAACTACACCAGAGGCATCACCAGAGGCGCAGTAGAAGCCGGAAGGAGCGAAACGAGCGACGGTAGTGGGCGCAGTATGTTGAGTATACTGAGTCGAAGTCGCGGGATTGTCAATAGACCTGAGAAAGATGGACTTATTCGAGGCGTATGCTATTCTTTCACCCTTTGCATCGGCGGCTAGTGGGGTGGGTTGTCCTCGAGTCGTGCTTGGGAGGGCAGCGAGGATGTTCTCTGGTCATAGTCAGCTCTTGCTTTGCTAGGTCTGACTTTCTGGGTACCTGTTACAATTGACATGGTGGCTGCGGGATTGGAGAGGACATGTATTCAGAAAATAAAGCTAGTGAGTTGGAGGAGGGGTGTGTATAAGGACCACCTGGAAACGCAGATCAGGTCTTTGAATTACTGGAAACATTTACAGGACTAGGATTTGTATACATGTAGCGATACATGTAGCGACTTTCACATGAAAAGTGCCAAACCTCTTGATTGCGTAATGTTATTGCTCTGCCTCTCTTCTCTTGGTAACTGTCTGAATAGCTCGGGTACATAACCTTTCCGCAAATCTGAGCACCGCTGTTCGTGCTACCATAAAATCGAGTTCCCCAACTCCTTTCCGACCCATATATAGAATCCATAAAGATGAAGGAGAGGATGGTGATAGATTACGAAGGAGCTAGGAAGCTTTCCTTATCCCTCCTATTTTGTTCCTTAAGGATTTCTGGGTGTTTGTACACACTCGGCATGAGGCCCATGGCCACTGCTCTCTTGACAGCTTTGGCGACTCGACGTTGGTTGACGCGCCGTAAGCCTGTTAACGATCGAGGTTTAATTCGGCCCATATCTGTGATGAATTCGGACATGACAGAGAAGTTCTGGCAACCATTAGACCGTGTCTTTGATGTTCAACTCACAGATCAACTTACTTTGTATAGGTCAAGGGGGTTGATGGATAGCACATCAAAGACGTCCTTGTCAGGAGCCCTTTTCGACCTCCATTTCCGTGCTTCTGCTGCGCTCAGATCGTGGGGAGCATACACATCACCAATCTTCCACTCTCGTGTGAACATTCTTTCTAACGTGCGTGCTTCTTCTGTTCTTTCTAGCTGTTGCTGATGGAGTCGTGGTGATTTGCGAGTATTGTAAGATCGAGTTTGTGTATGTGATGACTGGATCAACGGCGACATCCTCGCCAGCGAGGATGCTATCTGGCTAATGCCATGGAACCTTGATGGAAGCCTCAATACCTGCTTGCCTGCCATGTTTGCTGTTTACTGAATGAACTGCAAGCTGCAACTATGAACATGAATATAAGTTGCGACGAGTCTTAATTGGGTGGAGTTTCATGCGGCCCAAGACTCGCTCCGCAATAACCTTCCGCAACCGATTCATAGTCGTACCTTCCCCATCTTTGTGGCATCACTTGAGTCGCGAACTTACTAGCATTACACATTCGAGTAATATAGCCATGCACTCTTGGTCACTCGAGGTGATGGCAATCCCGATACATTCATCATGAAGTCATCTTCCCATCTGACTCGAGCCGTCTTTCGAGCTCTGGTCGCCAGTCGACCGTACGTCTCACGAGAATGTCTACGCCGATCTCCTTCAGTCCTATCGCCTCCAGCCCATATTACCCCCTCGGTCGCATTCCAGCAGCGGAGGACATTTCTAGAATCTCTGCTCGGAGACGACAAGCGCACAAGAAGCCTTGCTGGTCCTAAACAATCAATCAAAGATTTCGATGCCGCAGTTGGCAAGCTGGTTGATTTACTTCGTGCCCGTCGATCTCGCTCGAGGACGCCTGCCCACGATGAATTGACCGAAGCCCTGAGGTCTTTGCTGAAGACTCGTCACCAGCAGAACCAGCCTTTAACGAGAAATGAGGTCTACCTGGCCACCGAAACATACAAGCACTTGCAAGAAAGAGACTTGATTCTCACTGAGGACCCCGAAAGCCTACTTGAGCAGGATCTGCTTCTTATCCTTGACACCTTGGCCATTCCTGCCCCTAAAGAGCGCTTCAGAGGCGACATCAGAGCCCTTGCCGAGTTGGTCGTGGTGGAGGCCAAAAAAACTGCTCCTCTACCACCGGACTTCGAAAATGCCTATATCACCATCCTGGCCACTACTGGCTCAGCACTCGAGGCCAGAGACCACGCTTTATCCACATCCTGGCCGCCAGACAGGAACCTCATCTTGAATATTCTGAAAGGTCTGATCTCCGAAGCCAGAGATGCTGATTTCTGGTCGCTGCTGGAGAAATGGGAGCTCCACTTCGATGGCCTCGATAGTGACATGCATGAGGCTTTGGTACTTGCCTTTGTCCAAGCCGATCGTGTCTTTGATGCCCAGCGTCTTTTCGACAAGACCGTCCTCCCTAATAACGAGCCTACCACCGAGTGTATCCGTCAGATGTTGGAGTTTCTTACCAGATACGGCAAGTTGAACTCGGCTGAAGAACTCGCCAACATGCTCACCGACAGACCTCGTGACGAGAGTGTAATCAGCTCCTTGATCCTCTGGCATACTGCAAAGGATCGTCGCTTCGAGCACTTGCGTCAACTGGTTCATGCTCTCCTGCAGTCCAGTCATGTCAATATCTCAATGAACACTTTCAATCACGCCATCGAATATGCTCTCACCTGCAACAACCCCACTCTTGCTCAAGCCATTCAAGAGCTGGCTACCGCTGAAGGATTTCAGCCTGATGGAAAAACCTATGCCTTACGACTCCAGCATGCTGTCGATCGGGTAGCGCTGGAAGAGGCTCGTGCTCTCTACGAACAACTGGTGCGGGAGGATATTCCCACTGATAATTTCGACCTGAAAGTTCTGAACAAGTATCTGACAGTGCTATGCTTTTCTCACAGACCATCGTATGAGCTCACCATGCGAGTGACCGACAATCTTCTCGACCGTGGTGCCGAGCTGGACGTCGATGCCATTTCTGGTTTGTGCCATACCTTCCTTCAGCGGGGCGACATTGACGATGCTGTGAGTTTGTTACGACATCGCATTGACTACCTGCCAGTGCCGGACAGAGTCCGCATCGCCAAGGTATTCCAAAGCTTTATAGTTGACCCCAACATCAACCCTCAACGCGCCTTCAATGCCTACGAGCTATTCCGCATTGCTTTTCCCGAGACCTCTTGTCACGAACGTCTGCCCATCATGCAGTCCTTCTTTGATCGAAAGCGCGCCGACCTCGCATGTCAAGTCTTCGCGCACATGCGCGAAGCAGACCCTGCGGACCCGCCCAGACCTGATGCATTGGCCTATACGAAATGCTTCGAAGGTATTGCACAGTGTCGTGACGTCGACGGCCTGCAAAGTGTCTACAATATGCTCAAGCTTGATCTGCAAGTTGAGCTCACAACCAGGATACGAAATGGCATCATGCTCGCCCATATTGCCTGCCAGACCCCTTGGTCAGCCATTATCGATCATTTCTACAAGATCATGGACTCACGTGAGGGACCCAGCTATAGCACTTTTGAAGTAGCCCTGCGGGCTTGTGAGACGTGGCCGCCATACGGCTCATTCGAGGCCAGGAAAATCATCGCTGTTATGCAAAGCTGGAATCTCGAGATCACGAAACCACTCTACGATAACTATGTCGGTGTACTAGCAGGTCAGTGTGAGTTTGAGAATACTGTGGAATTGATTGAGAATATGGAAAACGACATTGGAGAACCACCAGATGCTTTCACAATTGGCACGTTTTACAATGCTATCCCTTGGCAATTTCGGAAGGATGAAGTTGAGAAGTGGGCTAAGCAAGCATATCCAGATTTGTGGGCCGAACTTGTTAGCTATGGAGAAGAGATTGACGAAGAATGGGATGTGAGATATTTCAGGATAGATCGATCTATCGACATCGATGACCCGCCACTCTTTGCCGCAGGTGAATGGAAGCCAGAATTACAGAGAAAGGTTCAGGCACAGATCGAACCTCTTCCGGTCATGACTTGAGCCAGCGCTGTTGGTCTGAGCATGGAGACAAATCCGAACTACAGTGAATCATGAATCAGTGGAAGAAACATTGGCTAATATTGGCAAAGAGATACCACATGGTGAAATGTGGTCATGCGACCATACAACAGCCCAACCTGGAAAGAGGCTACGATTTTCAAAGAGGACAAATAGCTTGCAGGACAGGAAATTGTGGCTGGAACTGACTAGGAAGCTATTCACGAGTTCACTAACTGTCCCTCTGTCGTTCAGTTGAGACCAAGCTAGCTTTCAGACGTGATAGTCTGCCCACCTTCTCGGTATTTTGCCTCCTGTCTAGACGGCGTTCACTCTCAACCAGGATATAGACTGCAGTCGAGTCCAAGACATGCGTAGACCAAGGTAGGTCTTCGTCTCTTGCTATGCGTGCGGGGATTGGTCGCATTGAGTCCAGACTAGAGGGAAACTGAGCAGTGATCGCGAACGATTGTTTGGTCAGGACTGTCCGATGACCATCTCCCCTACGACTCGATATTCTATGGAACATGGTGCACAAGCGTTGTCAATGAAGCAACGAGCTTTTGGCAGTTGCGCTATACGGACGATTTGGAAGAATAGGCTAATCTCGAAGAGCCCTAGTTGGAAAGCTACAATAGGGGCGGTTCAGATGAGCAGCTGGATAGATGAGGGGAAGTAACTAGTCATGCTTTGGGCCTTTCAAATCATGGCTAAAGATGAGGCGTGTAAGCCAGACGAGAAGATGTGAGGACATATTACTCAAGTTTATTACACTATGTTACTAGGCTCAACGACGTAGTGGCATGACACAATTTAGCCTGTAAATACAACTATAAATGAACGGTGGATGAACCAGTGTTGCGATCCTATTCATCATGGAGGATTCCTAGTATCTTCCTGATCGTGGTTCTTCTGATGTGCACCGCCAGTTTAAAGGGCGGAGCGGAAAACTAGCGTGCGACTCCCATTCCGCCGCGGCAGCCAATGCTCTAGCGTACCACGATTGAACTGTCTCACTTCACTTCTTGGTTCCTGCGCCGTTTGTTTACAAGCGCATCACTTGCGATGTCTGGCCGTCCCAATATCACGCGCTGATATCCAGTCAAGCGCGTCTGTCGACAAATGCATCCCCCGATGCCACGACAGTATCGAGTCCGACGACAAGCGCTGTAGCCGGTCGAGTCCCTCACCCTTATTTTCAGTCATGGACGACATATTCAACCCCGCGACCCTGACCCGTCTAGACACCTCGACCTCAGTCAACGGCAGTAAAAACCTATCTGCCGCGCCCAAAAGCGCAAAGTCCAGCGCAACCTACCCTCGTATCGACCTCGAGCCAATTTACACAGATCTGAAGGATGCCATCGGCCATAGGTGGGAAGTCTACTTCGACGCCGTCACGAGGTTCACAAGAGGAGAGCTACACGCGCGAGAATTCGGCGATGCGACGGACGATATCCTCTATTCAGCTGACAATGTCCTCCATTTACATAACAAGTTCATCTGCGCTATAGCGTTTAACTCGACTCGAGATAGTCCTGAGCCTGGAATTGCGGCATGGGTTACGGCTGCTACCGACAAGTCCGCTGCTGCGACCGCTACGAAAGCAAATGTGACGAGTGATGCGGGCGAGCAAAGGTTGAAGAAGGAGGTTATGGCTATTCATCCCAGGGATCGGAGACGGCTCAAGAACTTGGGAAGTGAGCCTGATGGTAAGGCTAAGGCGGAGGATGATCCGTTTCAAAGGCGCAACCAGTACGAGGAGGCGTACCTGGCGTCCAAGTACAAGGTGCCTGAAGTTAGTAATGCTGCTGCTGGCGGACTTACGAAGACGAATTGGGAGCCCGAAATCAAGAAGAGGTATCAGCAGCCGTTGTTCGCTGAGTCTGCTGAATTTCCTGACGCTGCGAGTGTTTATGCGAGGATGGTGCCGATCTGTTATGAAGAGGCTATACCACAGGGTTCTACCATGGCTTGTGCGGAGCTGGTGGTCACCAGCGCCGAGTTCTTCATGAAAGATTTTCTCAATACTGTGTTTGAACGGGTCAGGGTCAATGGTCCTAGAGATGAGAATAGTGTTACTGGTAACGGGCACGATGGGATCTTTGGTGGAGGTGTCTTCACTAGCAAGTACAAGAAGCGAGTCACTCAGGAACACGATGCCGTCAAGGCTGGTCAATTGCAGCGTGTAAAGGATGATGATCTTTTGCCCATCGAGTCCGCTGTCTCGAAAGCTAGGCGACCGCTTGCCGTTAGCGACTTCAAACTTGCGGATCGTGTTGGTCCACCTCTATGGAATCGTGTACCGATGTTTGGCTTTGAGCTCGCTAACAAGGCTCCTGAGACCGAGTATGATGACTGGAAAGCTGAACAAGAGCACGAGGTTGTTCAAACTAACGGCCATGTCGATCACGGCAGGACAGATGATGAAATGGATGTCGACGATGATGACTTTGATTGGGAGGCTGAAGGATTTGGTAATCGTGGTATGCTCGATTCCCTGCTAAGTGACTGTCTTGCTATGCCTGCTTGAGCGAGGGCAACCAACACCATTTTGGAAAAACAGTCGTTTCTCGAGAATACCACTACACTGCACTCTCCTGAGAGCAAGAGGAGCGACGCTGTCAGCGCTAGTGACATTTGAACTTACATGAGGTCGAGTTCGAAGAACAATAGCTAGGTTGTGCAACGCGACGACGAACAATACCTCCCGGTATGCCAAGGACACTGTCACTAACTTACGATTATGTGAGTTTCGCATCCACGACTCTTAGACATTGTCGTGCCTGTCACAGCAAGAACAATCGTAACGGATTGTCCCAGTATCAGGTTATAATGCTCTATCGTCGATGCGTTTCGAGAATATGGAAAGCAAAGTCAATACTCGTCAGATCAATTACAGAGAAAAGATTCCTACAGTACGTGGACGATCGAAAGTCGGTATAATTTCACGGCACGCCGATAAGAGTTTTTGAAACCGTTGTCTACGAGACCTTGTCTACGAGTAACGAAGGCACACTACCTTGCAAAAATGACCACAGCAAAGGAGTATATCGCGTCTGTATGGCGAGATGAGAGAGGACTAGTTGTCCTCCTGCTCATCACTCTTGGCATAATCGTCATGTTCATCGGTCTGTGCGCATATATGTCATGCTGTTCCCCATCGAGGCAACGAGACGAGGACGTGGAGAAAGGATTACCAACGACCGAGTCTGTGATTGACACGATGCCACCGACATTTTCAGCCGCGTTACAGCCCTCAATGCAAGATGCCAGAGCCATGAGCTTTGATTTTGGCAGGAACGATAGCAACGTCAACGACGAATGCAATGATCAGATTCGGTCACCATTGAACCTGCAATACTCGGATATAGTGGACAGCATTCGCGCGCCCCATGAAAGCAACATTCCATGCAAATGTACAATCACCTACGGATCATGTCATCTCCCTTTTATCGGCCTACACGACTGTCCTCAAATCGTATCAGGAGATCAAAACACTCTTCCGACATCCACACGGGGAGCAGTCGATCGAAATCACTTCCCAACTTCGCCACAAAGCCTTCCAGATGCGGCACCTCCATCGTACGAAGAGTTGATGGTATTTGAGCCAACACGAAATATGAAGGATGAGGACCACAGATGAGCTGCTCGCGATTTGGCTCATGGTCACTTGACTCGTAACGGCCTTCAACGGTCAACGATGTCATGGTGTTTTGTCTTACAAATTGATCGGTGGGAAGTGAATGGATGCAAATATTATTCTTGGCTGGTTCTTTACAAATTCAAAATATTGTGGTATATAGCTGCTGGTGCTGGAATGGGCTCTTTCCTTCGTGGACTCCCATGAATTAATGAATTAACAAGGAAATAAGTAAGTCATTCTCGTCAACTACGTATCTTTACCTATAGCATGAAGATTGTTTGTCGTGTGCGCTCGTTGTACCTTGTCCAGGTCGTGTCGGTGTCCTTGGTTCTTGCCATTGTTGGGCTCGCCCAGCTGTACATTTAGTACCCGTTAGGGTAAGGTAGTGGCTTCGGCTTCGACTTCGGCGTCGGCAAATAGGGTGGGTGGAATACGAGTGAACGAGGATAACCGCCACCACGGCCACCACCGTCGAGAAAGGGTGAAAAATTACTACGCCCTTCTCTTTTCTCAGGATCGAGAGTAAAAACTAAAGGCTTATTGGCTGGCTTGGGCCGAATCGCCAGAGTCTGCTCGCCGTCCTGAAATTTACCATTCGACTCACCATGGATCGGTTGTTCTGATCTCTGCTTCTCATGGGAAGCTCGCCTATTGGCTCCGTCCAGGATGATGGTATGCTCGAATTTCTTGAAAACTGCTCCAGGACCATGTCCACCTGCAGCGACCAAATTGTCGAGATGAGAAGCTTTAAATTTGTTGAAGACACTGCCTCGGTCTGTGCTGCGGAGCAGAGGACTATCGCTTTGAGTTTGCAGCGTCAAGTCAAGCTCATCCTCAAGTCGTTGCCTGAATCTTGCATGGTCCGTACCAGGACTGGAAGAATTTGGAAGTAGAATTGAATCAAGGTATTCAAGCAGGACTGAGAAACGATACACCTCAGAGATGTCCAGACATCCATGTCCGTAGAGGCTCAAGCACTGCTGGTGAAGCTCCAAGCTTCTCGCATAGCTCGAGCGCGCTTCGACAAAATGATCCTGGTACCACTGCGTACGACCTATGATTGAGTAGAAGGTTGCTAACAGCAGCATAATAGCTGGACCGTGTTCATCTGACAGTTTTTGCTCAAGCAGTTGAGAAATGCAGGATTGCGATAAGAGCTCAGCCCTTTCATAGTCGAAAGCAAGCATTGACCAGGAGATATGAGCAGTTTGTGCAGTCACATATTGCCAGATATTCGTACTGCTCGAAGACCGTGTCAGTTTCTCGTCAGGCAAATCCACCAGAAAATCTTCAGATCCCTGATAATAGCGTTCCTCCGCGAGATTCATTGCGTGGCTCGCCTGAACGTCATGATCGGACGGCCACAAAGTTTCCACATTACGAAATTTGGCTTCGAGGATAAAGAGACTTCCATCGATAATATCTTGCAAGGCAACACTAGTCAAAGCCAACAAGAAGGACCTGTGTGGTGCAGAGCATGAAACGGTATGCAGCAACTTCTTCAACATCAGCCAGAAGTTTTTTGCGGCATCGACAGCCCTAAAGCGAATGAGTCGTACGCAACACCTTATAAAGGTCGACCATACATCAATATCAGGGCACAAGATGAGGTTCTCTAGCTGGAGTGAGGCAGATCGCCAGCATAAACCAGCCCAAATGTAATCGCCCTCTTCGAAAGCTCTTGTGCTGGCCCAGATAGACAATTCAAACTGTTGGGCCACAATTTTGGCATCGGGAAGAGATATGGTCCACACGAGTGTGTCGTCACTAATCACGCATATGCCTTGCTCCTTCGCCTTGTAGAGAAGCGTTTGTTGCTCACGCAGGATAGCCTCGATACCACAGACAAGATCAATTGCTGGTTCTGGTCACATTCGTGGGTGACATGATAATACAACAACATCTGACGGCCGCAAGGGCCTCGTATATTCCAGGGCGGGTTTGGTATTTGTCCGACGACTTTGGTAAGTATGAACACGCTCTAGTGTCTTGTACAGTTTGCCTCTCAACAAGATAAAGCCGCGCTTATTCAGAGCGTCAAGGTTCCCTCGCGCTGCAAGGAGATCTGCAGCATCTCGAGGATTCAGCTTCTTTACAAGGCCCCATCTCTCTAGTCTTGTTTTGAGTGTCTTCTCACTACCTTGATCAGTGCTTATGCATCCTTACTAATAGACGACTTACGTCAGTAAAAGGTGTTTATTGTTCTTGACCGTCGCAATCACGACAGATAATGATTTGTCTTCTTCGAACCACAGCTTCGTAACCAGAGGTCGGATGCCCTCCCGATCCTCCTCAGAGGGTCGATGGCGGAGGTTTGATCCATTGGAAATCCTTGACGTGAGATCCATGGACGCGCCTATCAGCCTGAACGTATACTCAATCGGTGCTTGTATTGCAGTTGCCGGAGTCGTGTTCCTGTAACCAGTCCTGTAACAGATAGAGCCGTTGGGTTGGGGGGACGACAAAAAGAGTGTTCATGGCAGAGCATATGCGAGGAAAGCGTTATATACATATTTTCTCTCAACGTGCCTAGTCAAGGGGAGTAGATGGAAATGCTGAGTATGTGAGGTTGAAGAACAGGGAAGTCACTGTGATTCGTCGAGAACAAGACAAAGTCCCGCCAAGACTGAATCGGTACTTCTTTCCTCTCCTGTCGAGCTCGATAAGGCAAACTTCCACTTCCTTCCCTGGCTCAATCCCCATTTGCCTCGAGCTGACCATTCACAGGAGAGAGTCCGGCTTCATTGAAGGTCATACGATCACCAGAAAGACTTCCAATATCAATTCTTCTACTGTTGAGCACCAAGACTCGTGCATCGGTGCTTTGGCGGCTTCGTTGTTTCATGGCTCGCAACGACTGACCAATCGAATTAGACGACCTCTGTCATAAGCAAACTAGGGCTTCCTGCTCCATCGTAGTCAAAAGGTCTTGAACACGATTCTGTACGAGGCTGAGACTGGCACAACGGGTCACCAAATTATTCGATCCATTGCACTAATTTCCACTCCTTGATCGGCACCAACATGAATACACTATCCAGCAGAAGGATATGCAGAAGCTACCACACGCCAGCCACAGCAATATTTCAATCAAGGACTCTTTCACAAATCGCTGCGCAAGAAGCGAATTGCCGTCGATCATACAGCTCAACCAGTCGCAGTATGCAAAACGTACCCTCAGAGCCGTCAAAGTATGAATCCCTCGCTGCTTGGGCCAAGCGACTGCGCGAGCTCACTGCCCGGGGCAGAACAGAGACCACGAAAGCAGAGGCGATCTTACAGAGACTAGAAGACGATCAGACGCGTCAACTGGCGATGTTTCGCGAAAGTTTAAGACCTTATGCGAACAGAGAACCTCGACCGGAGCACTTCGGTTTGCCTGAGAATCATTCTACGCCAGATCAGTGGTCGAAAGACTGGTACAAGTGAGAGCCTGATTCTTTGGGGGAAGGACAGTGGGAAGGACGAGCTGAACTCACGACCTGTCTGTGTCATCGACACAACGTCGCTTCGCCACTCCCTGGCTTTACATGAAGCATTACTGTCTACTACGAACCTCAGGAACTGGTGGCCAAGCAATTCCGAAGTGCTTACGAGGACCATTCATATAGGCATCCGCCCTGTGAAGGCCTACTCTATTCCAGCTCGATCATATCAACAATTTAGACGAACAGCTCGTCGTTAATACACGAACAGATGACCTCCATGGCGTAAATGAAACAAAAGCACAACACCCAAACGGAGACAAGACTCGAAATGCTAGAAACGCCACCATCACATTCAGCTTCCTACATAGATAATCTACAAATTTCTCCGAACCACATGCTTCTTCTCCGTCACATTCCAGAGACCGTCAGCCATCTAGCCTGTTATCGTCCCATTACCCATCGGACTATCAGGAAACGGCACCGTCCCAAGCCCTCGCACAGGCTCATAAACTCTAATCCCATTGAACGCCCAATACACATCCTCAAACGCTTCCGGATGCGCACTAACATACTCCTTACACGTCGGTGCTAAACTCTTACACGTCGGATTATTGTCCCATACACTACCCGCCCAATCACCACAGAAAGCGGTATTGATGATGATCTGCATGTCCCTGAAGTGTTTCTGTATGGCGCCTGGCCCGTTATCTGGTGAATCAAAGCGCGCGTTGGGCAGGCCCCAAGTGCTGTTTGTGAGGACACCGGTGTCCATGTTCAGGATTGTTGCAGATGTTTCGTTGCCTTTTGATCCGGTGGGTTGAGAATGGTGTGGTGGGCTTGGTCGTCCAGCGGTGATGTCTGCAGGGATGGCGGATCGCTCGAAGAACCACATCCGTATGCCGAGTTCGTCGATCAGTGTCGCGAATACGCCGCCGTTATTGTCGTTGAGGGCGTCGCCGTAGCTTTTGATGCATGCTGCTTCAAAGGTTGAGCACCCGACGTTCTTGTCCTGTCCTGGAGCATTGACATCGCAGTTCGATGTTGAGAGACGGCCTTTCATACCGGTCCCTGTGTGGTTTGCCGTAACTATGCCAGTGCTTGTGTGCAACGTATACTTGTTGGAAGTGGCATCGTTCACGTTCTCGAGAATATCGATTTCACCAGCTTCGGGCCAGATCGCACCACTACCCAGCAGCCAGTATGCAGGCCATGTCCCACATACAGGAGCAGGCATATGCAGAACGTCGGCGATGATAAGAGCTTGGTTGAATTTCTGTACACTGCTCACACGTACCGACTTGCGGCCTCTCGAGTCTGTGCTATTGGCAATATTGGTGGTGTAATCGACTCCTAGGTATATTGGCCCGGTCGAGTTAGCTGTCGCATTAGTGTCGAGGCCCTTGAGAAACCCTGCTAGACCAAGAGAATTGGCAGTTGCCATGTCAACATAATCAACGTGGCCCTTTGTTGGATCTGCATCGCTAAAGAACTGGAAGTTATTGAAGAAATTTTGACCTGAATAATCATAAGAGAGGGAATACGTTGTTGATGGTGGTATAGGGACGAATGCTGTTGTTAGCGGAACGGTGCTGCTAAGCGCTATCAATGACAGTAAAGCAGCTGCCATCCTTTGCTGTAATTGCGAGCCTGATGTTGAATTGGCGATATTGGCTGTTAGTTACGGTACGTCGGGACTCCAGCGACAATGAAGCATGAGCGACGTCCGATGTCTTATGGAACTGAAAGCAGCGGAAGACAGCACAATGCGATGGGTAGTTGACACGCTAGGAGCACTCGAAGACAATGTCGGAGAAATGAAACCACATTTCTTTGTCTTGATTGTGTCTGTATAGAAAGACACCGACTCCAAATAGAATTTCCTCATGTCCGATTGAGTGTTCGAGTCATAATATTGCAAAGAACGCTGCTATAGTGTAGACATTCAAAATCGATATGCACGACCATGTCTCCAGGATGGCGAGGAAGCTGCAAATAGCGAGCAGGGAGGAGCAAAGGGCCTGCAAGCGGATTGGTGAGCACACAGGACGACCGACATGTTCCTGGATTCAACATCGACCCGCAGTTTGGGCCTGTGTAGTGGAAGAGTGATCTCGTGTCGAATTTGGTTCGTACTAGTCAAGCAAAAGAACCTTGAATGGCAAGAATCATGTTGCTAAGTCCTTTGCTCGCTCCCAAGACAGCGTCAGAAAGGGTTGCGAACCATAGCCAGTGTCTCAAGGGCCACATTTTGCTTGCCTGGAGAACAGTGAGTGTCAGCTATGGTGTCACTACTGCCATGCAAGAGGGTATTGTGCCCGCGGATCGTGCATTGGTGCAGCAGTCACGGCTGGAGCAATTGAACGAGCAATCATTGGTCGTATCGAGTACATTCGACAAGCCTGAAGAGTAGATGTGCATCCCTGACTCTTAGTTTCTGTGTATTCTATTGGTATGATTCTTGTTACAATCTTTCTAGTTAATGAAATTGACGCAGAAAGCATGCAGGATCAGACTTCCCAGCACATAATCGGCAAATGCCCTTTCCGAACTGATTTTATGAACAGGTTTGCCATCTTCATCTTTCTCTTCGAAGCCTTCGTCGTTGAACTTCGTGGCAGCTTTCTTTGCTGCGGCCGAAGCAGTAGGCGGCGGTCTTTCGGCAGTCTGCATTCGTAGAGAGGCTGTCAGCACAAATTGGCCAACGCAGGCACCGAAGCCGGAGAGGAAAGCGTTGAAAGGCTAGGTACATATTAGCCAAAAGGAATCGACGCGAGATTGATAGAGCCGTACATAGTTGCCAACCAATAAGCAATACAAGAACTGTACAGCCCCTACTAAAACCAGGAAGAGCATAAACACGTCCAATAGTATGGTCCTCTTGGGCGTATCATCTAGATACTTGTGCCAAACGTGCAAAGCAACCTCGTGCCATTGTGCTTGTCTTGATAGATTCGAAGCTGATGCACTCTTTGTCTGGGATGATGGAGGTGTTGAGGTCGTGCTTGTGGTCGTAGCCGGTTTGGGACCAGCAGGTGTGACGACTTTCTTAGGAGGCATGTTACGCAGTCACAATCTGGTGAACATTGGAGGTATCTTATGTTTATTTGGCTACTAGATGCTCGCGAAGCACTTCCATCGAGACAGTTGTCCCCGAGAACGCCAAGATATTTCGGGATTATCTCGGGGTTTCTTCAAGCATTTGGGCAGGGGGCTGTCAAAATTTAGTACTTGAGCCAGAAGCTGTTATCTACATACACCCTACCCTGGGTAGGTTTCGCCATCAAACCAAACAGCTCAGATTCTAGAGAAGCAGGGTGGAGTTCCAACGGGTATATGAGTCTCAGTTTCTTTGAAAGGGGGCATATATACCACGACTTCGCCTTCTATTGACTTAGCATCCTGGAGGCCGTTCAGTGCTAAGGAGTTCGGACCCATCTTCTCTGGTCTCAGATTCTCTCTCACCTCTAGCCCACATCACTGACAATCTCCCTCTATGTGAAAAAGGCATGACAATCGCTGGTGCTGTAACCCCTGGGAGCTTCAAGCAGCCGGCTGATACCTTCGGTTCGTCTTCCAATGTAGCCAGCATTTCCTATGTTCGGAAAATGCAGTTCGAATTGCAGAGATGTCGGAGGTTCGTTCTTCGGGTCGGCCTCGGGGCGTCCTACCAGCTTTTGCATAGCCTGTCAGTACCTCTCCTTGCTCTTGGGCAGTCGGCTTCAAGACTTCGCAGTAGCACAGTGGATTTCCGGTCATTAGACCTCCCTCCACCTTCGCCCATCACGAACGACTTGAAGCTCGAGTTGTGTGCAACGTGCCTACCAATGCATATAGGCGTTTGCTTGGCCCGGATGACTGTCACGCTTCTCCTTATCCGCTTCGAAAGATGGAAGTTGTTCAGCAGGGTTCTCATTGCTCGCCAACACCACTTGATGCTGTATAAAGCTCTCCTACCTTTCGACACCGGTTGCACCTTGGCACAGTGACGCTCACAACAGGCCTTTTGCCGAAGCTCTGATATATCTATATCCATCATTGAACCACTTCATTACTCTACTTGCCTTGCTTCTGAATAGTTATCAGAGCCTGCTTGCCAATTTCGCCTTCCATTGGCTTGATTTCCCTACAGCCTTCGATTTCCGCAAACGTTGCTTTAAGCTTGCTGTGCAGCTTTTCTGCCTCTTCCTGCGTGGCTTTTCTCTGCCTCTTCTTTGAGGCGAGCAGTATCTCCACTTTCCTTCCTTTGTCCACAAACTCGCGCAATTGCTTCAACTTCATGTCGAGATCATGGCCACTAATGGCCCAATTCAGCTCTACCTGTTTCATTTTGGTCTGTCGTGCCTCCTTCCTGTTTTCGGCTTCTTGTTCCAACTTCTGCTTCCTGTGCTCGAGCAACACACTTTTCTTCTCGATACCCACGATGGCTGGTCTATCCTCAAAGTTGGCCAGTAATCGTAGGACCTCCGTTTCACTCTGAATCTCACCAAGCGCATCGGACAAAGACATAGGCTCGCCTAACTTCGCAGTCTGTGAATTCCTTATCTGAACAAAACGAGCTGGTATGTCCTCGTTTATGGTATGCTCTTTGCGCAAGATTTCGTTTTCTCGTTTACGCATAATATCATCACTGCTGCGAGGTGGCTTTCGGATACGAAAGGGGCCTGAATCTTCCTCTCGTAATCCTGATGCGTTTGTGGTATAGTTTCGTTCTCGAACCGTGCCGTAGCATGCTTGGGCTTTTGAAGTTTGAGGTGCTGAGTGATGAGGTGGGTAGTCAATCATGCAGTATCGCTTTGGCCGTGGCCGAATGCATGCAGACAGGTACTGTAGAGCTGCTCTGGATGGTACTGGTCGAGCCATGTCGTAATCGCTGTCAAGTAGTGATAGTCCAGAAAGTGAAGATTCATGTTTCTAGAAGCTCACCTGGATTCGATGGATGTGACGCGGATCGTGCTTGCCGGCTTTTGCTTCCTCTCATTGGCCGGCTGTGGTGGATACAAATTCGACAATCTTTGTCCCTGCACCAAAGTTTGGCCGACGCCCGGGAAGACGCCAGGCAAGGAAACTCAACTGAACACTTCTTTGTCCTTTTCGCAATGCGGGCCTTTGGTTCTCCTCCACGCCGCAGATCTCTTGGAAAGACTCAACATCAATCAATGGGACGAGACAGCAGAGCCTGGGATCCTTTCGCCAGTGAGAAGAAGGAAGACGCCCCTTTGCAAAGAGTGAAGAACGCCATAATGCCGCAGAGTGGACGTCAACGCTTTCTGCGCCCTCTTGGGGCGATGGCAGCAGTAGTGCTATTATACTGGCTGTTCTTCTCCAGTAGTACAGGCAGTGTCAGCAATTTAGGAGGAAAGAATACATATTCGACATCTAATTCTCCAACAACGAAATGTACAAAACCTTACGATTCTACCAAATCACTCGTTCAATATGCGATAATGATTGACGCTGGAAGTACTGGGTCGAGAATACATGTGTATAAGTTCAATAATTGCGGCCCGACACCAGAACTAGAAAAGGAGGAGTTCAAAATGACAGAAAAGAGGCCAGGTGGCTCTGGTTTGAGCTCGTACAAGACCGATGCAGAGGGTGCAGCTGCAAGTTTAGATCCTTTAATGGCTGTGGCTGTGGACACCATACCAGACGAATACAAGTCATGCACACCTGTTGCAGTAAAAGCCACCGCAGGTCTCAGATTGCTTGGTGAGGAAATGAGTAGAAAGATTCTGGAAGCTGTTCGCAATCGGCTTGAGACTGTTTATCCTTTTCCTGTCGTTTCTGAAGAGAAGGGTGGTGTCGAAATCATGCCAGGTGAGATGGAAGGTGTCTACGCCTGGATCACAACCAATTATCTTTTGGGCAAGATTGGAGGACCAGACAAATCTCCTACTGCTGCAATTTTCGATCTAGGCGGTGGCAGCACCCAGATCGTATTCGAGCCTACTTTCCCAGAAGCCCCGAAAGGTGGTATGCCGACGCACATGGAAGAGGGTGATCACAAGTACAAGCTCACCTTTGGTGGACGACAATTCGAGCTTTATCAACATTCACATCTCGGCTACGGACTGATGTCTGCGCGAAAAGCTCTGCACACGCTCATACTGGACAATCAGGTCGAGGCGAACCCCGATTCTCTGGCATGGCTTCAAGAGCCGATTGCCAACCCATGTATCGCGCCCGGCAGCGAGCGCAAAGTCAACCTCACTTTTGAATCTACCCACCCCCTGAAAGGAGACCAAAGTGTGACTATGTACGGACCTGCCGACTCATTGCCAGCCCAATGCCGAAGTCTGACCGAAGAGCTTTTGCGTAAAGAGGTCAAGTGCGATCTTGCCCCCTGTTCCTTCAATGGCGTTCATCAGCCAAGTCTCGCTAAGACATTTGCAAAGGAAGATCTTTATGTCTTCTCGTATTTCTATGATCGAACCAAAGATCTAGGCATGCCAGACAGTTTCACTATCAGGGAACTCCATGACTTGACTCATCAGGTGTGCTCCGGAACAGAGACCTGGAAGACCACTTTCGCAGGCGCCAAGACCCCTGACGGTAAGAAGGTACTGGACGAGCTTGAGGATCGGCCTGAGTGGTGTCTTGACTTGAACTTTATGTTGGCCCTACTCCATACCGGGTATGAGCTTCCTATTGATCGAGAGGTCAACATTGCGAAGAAAATTGGTGGCAATGAGCTGGGATGGTGTCTCGGCGCTAGCCTGCCACTTCTCGAACAAACCTCCGGGTGGCAGTGCAGGCTGAAGCAAGTTTCGTGATCTCTCGTGTATTGTGCTGAGTTGACATCATGGTACTCGGGAGCTGGCAAGCGATGGATCGAGTTGAGGTGTTGGTCATAGCGGTGGCGCGAATGGCTTTATTGTACATAACAAGCGCCGAAATATAGATGGCGGGTTGCATCGCAAGGCGTTTGTGGTCGATAGGCTGGCTAAAATCGATCAGGTACATTGTCGTTCATGGTTGGCGTAGAAATAGGTATGCGGTATGACTATTATTTGCATAATTTGCACAAAATTGAAGTGCGTGTCGAAATCCATCCAACCCTCTCTTCAGCCGACCTCCTCAATCTTCCTCTTCTTCTTCTGTTTCGTTCTTCTCACCGACTGCGATTGACCCTTACCAATAGATTTTAGATCCTGGAGTACATCTGAAGCTCCCTGCTCATCAGAACCCTCAACTCCATCACCATCCTCGTCTAGCCCATCATCCTCAGGCACCTCAACACCCACCTCATCCCTCCCCTCGCCCTCACTCAACACACCCAACGCCAAATCCAGCTCTACATACTGCTTCCCATCGTCATCCTCTTCATATCCAGAATCCGAGTCCGTCCCGTGCTCGATGACCTCATTTGCACCTTCGTCTGGATGAGCTCTTTTCTCCGCGAGCTGGGAGAAGAATGATGTTAGGCGGTTGTGGATGTCGGTGTTTGGTGGTTTGGTAGTGGCTAGTAGTGCTGCTGGGTTGGTGTGGATTGAGATGTCTGTGTCGCCTGGGTTGGAGGCGGTGTCGGTATCGGAGTTTGATGTTGAGGTTCCTGATGATGATGTTTCTTCGGCGTTGGTCGTAGTGGTTTCTGCTATTTCTTTGGGGGTTTTTTGTGGATGAGCTTTCTTTTCGTGCTGTCCATGTGAAGTGGAGCGTTCTTGTGTGGTAGATGCCGGTGGAGATGCACGAGAGGGTAGCGTGGCCTCTACAGACTGGCTTTGTGTTTCAGCCTGACCCGATGACATGGCTGGTGTGGATCTTAGGCCAAGTCAAACGAGTTCTGGTGCGAGCTTTGCTGTTGGAGTTGATACCCGGGTCGGTTGGACATTTCGCCCCACCTAGTCTTTCCAAGCCACTAAAGTCCTTAAAAAGTGTAGAATGAATACCTTGATGCCTTAATATCTAATCCATAAGGTATAAAGTAAACTCTGGGGTCCAGCGAGCTCTGAGGTAATTAGGACCATAGCAGTTAATGGCCAGTGGGAACGAGTCTTGAGTAATGTTACATGCCTGATCTATACGATTCAGTACTTGGAAGGATTCCAAGTAACGTAGCGACGTCGGTAAGCAGGTGATGAACCGGCGGACCGCGTCTTGTATACCCACGGTGTACCGTAGTGGCACGTCTTCTGTTCCGACCAATGTGTGTGTGGTCGTAGCATTAACAAGGCAGTTAAAGCGAATATATACAGGCCCCGTAAGATACTCGCTAAGCCGGAGCTGCAGGTTTATTATATACTTTATAGATATTACGGGCATCGTGGCATTTTTCGGATGTGACGAGTGTTAATGGCGTTGATATATTGTCGTGAGCTTCACGAGTGCAGGTGGTAGATGCCTGAGACACTATGTACGATGCCTTGTTCACTAGGGTGATGCCTGAGTCAGAAGGGAGAAGTACTTAGTACATAGTTACTACCTACATACCACACATATAGCAGAGAGGCATGGCATACACTACTGTCCACACGCGGCCTTACCGTTCAGCCTTGTCATCGTCCTCTTCATAGGGCACCCGTACTTACCACTACAACATGTTCCACGAAGCAATCTGCTCCAACTCCAGTCTCATCCGTGTTGCATTGCCCGTCGCAGCTGTAGGTGGCCTCATACGGCGCGGAATTCTCGTTGAGCAGCCACAGACTTCGGCGGAGGACCGATGTTCTTCGGCTATCCCATCTGGCAGATATGTAAGCGGAGAGATACACGGATGTGCTCTATATCCTCCACAAACCAAGTTCCTTGTTCGGGGCCTTCGGTGTTATAGCGCCTGGGCGTGAAGCTTCTGGAACTTGGATCGCCCGTCAAGTCGAGGCCAGACAAACATACTTTGGCCGTGGCAAAACCTCGTGCTGTAGAGCTCTCATCACCCTTAATAGCAGATTTCACGTTCGTTAATAGTTCCGATGGGTCATTGATCAATTCTCCGCCCTACCCTTGTTGGGGACTCCATCTGGGGTACCGCGAATTCTACAAACTTCAGAAATGAGGATATAAGACTGCGCCGAAGTAGCTCTTCAGCAGTCTGACCATCAATCTCGCAACCACTACTTTCGAGCACGTTCTCAAGCTCACGACAAGAAGGCCTCTTCACCACCATGGATAACAAACAGAGTTCACCTTCTCTAGGCCCAGACAGGAAATCGATCGAGAAGGTCGCGGACGTTCAAGTCCTTGAGCAAGTACCAACCACCAATGAGGAAATATGGATCCAGCAGTATGATCTCCTCGTTAGCAAGTCGAAAGAGGAGCTCGATGCCCTCAACAAGAAGGTCGTCAAGAAGCTAGATTGGCGATTCTTGACTACAATCACGGCCATGTTGTTGATGAACTACCTTGACCGCATCAACGTTTCCAACGCTCGTCTCGCTGGTTTCCAGGAAGATGGCCACATGACCGATGTCCAATGGTCCGCTGGTATCTCGCTCTTCTACGTCGGCTACATCATCTCTCAGGTGCCTGCCAACGTCATCATCGCCAAAGGCCAGCCACGTTTCCTGCTCCCAGCCGTTATGCTCGGCTGGTCTGCCGTCACTATCTCGATGCCCGCCATTAAGTCTCCAGCTGGATTCATGATCTGCCGTTTCCTTGTCGGTCTTACAGAAGGCCCATTCGTTCCTGGCGTCGCACTTCTGACGTCCTCCTGGTACACCAAGCAAGAGTCACCCCTGCGCATGGGTACGTAACCGCTTCCTCACCCAGTCGCAACTAAGCTAATAACACTCTAGGCATCTGGCACGCTGGCAACATCGTTTCGAACATCATCTCAGGCTTCCTCGCTGCCGGTATTCTCGAGCATATGGACGGGATTGCTGGTCTGCACTCATGGCAATGGTTCTTCCTGATTGAAGGAATGCTTTCCATCACGGTCGCCGTCATTGGCTTCTGGGGTCTACCTAACTGGCCAGACAACACTGGCGAATATTTCTTCACTGCAGAAGAAAGTCAGATGGCCCAATTCAGAATGAAGGTCTCTGCTGGTGGTCACACTGAGGACGACCAAGGTGGGTACTGGGAGGGCTTCATGATGGCAATGAGAGATCCTTTCACGTGGATGTTCGCCTCCCTCCACTTCGCTCTTGTCCTCTCGCAAGCCTTCAAGGACTTCTTTCCCAGTGTCGTCGCCACACTTGGATTCACCAAGATGCAGACATATCTCGTTCAAGCACCACCATACGTTATCGCCTACGCTGTCTGTTTGGCGGTCTCTTGGTCTTCGGGTCGATTCGGTGAGGCCTGCTGGCATATTGTCTCCTGCATGGCTGTCTGCATGGCCGGAGCAGTATTGATGATTTCGACACTGAATGTTGGCGCACGATATTTCGGTCTAATCCTGCTTGTCAGCGGTCCATTCCTGGGTCTTAACCTCCAGCTCTCTTGGGAAACTACAGTCGTTCCTCGACCGCGTACAAAGCGTGCGGCCCTCGTCGCCTTCGCCAACTGTGTCTCCTCTATTTCCCACTGGTTCTCGCCATATTTCTTCTTGCGTCACCAAGGTAAGCCGACCATTCTCAATAGACTGATGGACTATGCTAACATCACACAGAGCCTCGTTACGTCATGGGCGGTGGTCTTTTGATCCTTGGTTGCGCACTGTCTATTGCTGCCTGTCTCGTGATAAGATGGTATGCTATCAAGAAGAACAAGGCACTTGAGAAGGAGGAGGAGAGAACTGGTGTTATCAACCATTTCAGATTCCAGACCTAAGCTACAACGATGAGACGAGATATGAGAATAGAAGATCTATGTGTAATTTCCTATATAACTGAGATGTCACGCATCGATTTGAGTCAGGCTAGCTAAGGCGCTAGCGATAGCGGTGCGCCCACTAGTGTGAACTAGGAAAGGCCTGTAGCGCGTTCAGATACATACGCCGTATGGATAGTCGTTCTTTGCTAGCAGCAGATACGTATAGCTCCAAACTCAACTTCCTGTCTTGTTGGAGCAATGCAAATTCCCGTATGATTATCTAAGATAGGGTTAGTCAGAGCGTCAGGAGATTTATGCAGCTTGTTAATGTCTAATTGCCGTAGTACTAATACCAAGCGTTGGGATCATGCTGCCATCCCCAGGCATATTCACCGACGCTCCGACCCACGAAATTATTCCATACACCTCGAAACGACGGCCAATCCTCCAAATTTCTCACGTCTAGCTCAAATGCATCGAGATCAATTGCATGAGGATCTGCCATGTTGTTCGTGTCTATACGGGATTCGTGTAGTCCAGACGTGCTTCCAGATGAAGATGACAGCCCGTTATCTCCGACAAGGACACCATCGTGAGACGTCTGCGCAACACCGGCCGGAACCTGCCAGGTATGAGATTCGTCCTTGCTGGCATAAGGTTTGCTGAGTGCCTGAAAGACCTCAGTAAAACGTCCCGCATCGGGCATCTCACTGACAAACTGGGACAAGAGTGCCGAACACGTCGTCAGTACTTGAGAGGCGTTTTCGAGGCTCTCGTTCAGCTCAGTGTTGTCCGAAGAAATCTTCAAGTGTGACATTGCATATATTACAGACAGACCAGACGTGAAGAGGATTTGGAAATAGCTCCTTGTCCAAGTGATGGCACCCATACGAAATAGGTTTGCGTAGAGTTCAATAACTTTGGATGCGCATTCGAGACAAAGGACCAGCAATTTATGCGGCAGGTGTGAACCAGACACAGACAAGCGAGCGAACGCCCCTCTGATCACTATCAGCTTGTCCTTTTCAACCATAAATTGATGCCATTCAGGCCTTTCATAAAGGCTACGAGGTTGAAAGAAAGATGGGGCACTAAGCTGGCAATCGTTCAGTTCGTTCAGAAAGGATTGAAGGTCTCTCAGGACTTCTCCTGCATCTATAAATGTCTTCGAGCGAGCTAGAGTGAGGCTTGCAGGACTAAAGAATCGAGTCTGAGATCGAGCAGTGATCTGACGCAACTTTATTATAAAAAGGAATATTGACGCTTCGTTAGGGTTATCAAGCTGTGTTGGATCAACTTGGCTAAGACAGTGGCCGTCTAAAAGCAAGATCTGATCCTCGCTTGCCTCGAGCGGGAGATCCACTTCGATGTCGTCGTCGGAAATCGCAAAAGGCCGTCCTAGAATTCCTGAGCTGTATCTGTCGTGAACATAACAATCCCAGAAGACATTTCGACGAAGTTGCTCTTCTTTGGCAGGCAACGGTGTTGTAGGTGGCAAGTGGAGACCAAGCTCAACGCACTGGCGCATGCACAACCGGGTGATATCCCAGATAGAACATTCTGTCTCTCGTTAGCGAGCACAGTGGTCAGAGTATAGTGTAGCACACCTATGTGGTGGTACATGGCAAATCGAGCAATTAGCAAAAGGTTTTGAATGGCTTGTAGACTTCCCACTAGGGTAATATGTGGCATCAGCCGAGATGCTGATCGATAGAAGCCATAGGGGTGCTCGTCGATGATGCCTTTTCTGAACATAGTTACGCTGCTGATAGCACTAACCATGAAAACATTGTAAAGATCTTGCTTATCTGCGTGTTCTGCTCGCGAATTGTAAACTCGGTCTAAGGTTGCACGTATGCATTCTTTAGTCAACAAAGGGTGAAGTAAGTGTGCATGCGAATAACTGTGCTTTGTCAACCTCATTTCTGCTTGAAGGCTGGTGGACATACTAGCAATCGACTAACTTATTTGCGAGCTCGAATGATGGCAAGATATGACTGGGAATAGGAGGCGGCTTCCTGAGAGAATGCTTGTTCAACTGCTCTAGGACTTTGGCTCGAGCTTCAACAGTATTGGCACTGGCTGAAACACGGTGAAACATGCTGTTGAAGTTAAGTGCTAAGCACTTTTGGTTTGAAGCTGAATCACTCACTCTGAGCCGCTCCCGTCTCCGACGTAATGTGACCTTTGGAGAGAAGGAGATGCTTGGGACGCATCGGCTGGTGAGACCACAGCCACATTGTCGTGTTCCTTGGCTTCCAACATTTCCAACTTCCGTTGCATGATGTGAAGCTGCTCGCGCGCGTAGCGTTCCCCTGTGGAAGTGTCAATTATGATGCACGCTGTACCGCCTCTCGAGCACGCAGAACACTTGGGCACAGCAGAGTCGCATCTGATTTTGCTCTTGCGACATCTTTCACAAGCCGGAAGCTTGATGGACATTGTGGAAGCGTTCATGGTGATTGGAAGCGAAACCGGTCCTGCATCTGACACGTTCATCTAAGGTGCGTTTCCTGGCTGAATGCGATGCAAGTCGTTCAACGCCTCCTGGCGATGGTCAGCGGGAATTGCTAATTCTCAGCCATGGGGCAGGAAGTGAGGGGCGTCAGCTAAGCCTCATAAAATCTAAGCATTAAGCATCACAGATGCAGAAAAGCCTTCTGCCTCAGGCTTATCACGGCTGCATAATTAGTCACATGCAGGTTCATCAAATCAACGTTCGTCTGTCAGAATTTTTCAATTCCCGTTCGTTCCAATGGAAATTTAACCACAATGGCTGCATCTTGTTGGAAAAGGGACTATAGCCAGCGTACTGGTTCCAAGTTCCTGAAGTGGTTTATCGGATGGATGCTGTGAAGTGGCCGTGGGCTTGCCGAAAATCCTCCCGGAGCAATAGCAAGAACGGAAAGCATTTAGCTCCAGATCCAGCCCCAGCCAGTTCACACAGACCGACCGTGCCCCCGAAAGTGGCAGTCCGACGGTCAAGACTCCGACATTGAATAGCATTGTATCGCGAGCCAGCATCTACGACATGTGCTGCCACGGTAGTTCATGGGTATGTTTGCCTACTGCTTTCGGAACTTGGTTGGAGTACCCGAACTTGGAAGGACCGAGAACTTGAACGCCCTTTCGGTGGTGACCGACGGCCGATAAGGAGTTGATCAGCATCTCAATTTGACTTATATATAGGTTAATGTTAGATGCAACGCAGCGCCTTTCGAGTCAAAATACGACCAGGCTAGCTAGTACTATTGACTGTACCAGCACGACCATGGCACCGATTGCGACAGCAGATCTTCAATCCAACACTCGTGTCAATACAAAGCCAAAGGCCTATTTGATCGACTCGTACCATCCTGAGGCAGTCGCGCGAGCTCAACAATTGTTCGATCTCGTCCTGCCAGATTCGCCAGAATGCAAGAACTGGAAGCAGGCTGAATATCTACTGGTGCGAGGTAGCAGACTTACAGCTGAGGACATCTCGGCGTGTCGAAATCTGCGCGCAATCGGCAAGCAAGGAGTCGGGGTGGACAAGATCGATGCCAGTGCATGTGCGGCAAGTGGAATCAAGATATTGAACACGCCAGGTGTGAATGCTCGCGCCGTGGCAGAGCTCGTGCTCACCTTGACGATGGCCCTTGCACGACAAGTGCGTTCCATAGCAGTGCGTCAGGAGTTAGGTCACGCTGTGCCAAAGGAAGAATGCAGCGGGATACTGTTGCACAAGTGTACCATCGGCATCGTTGGGATGGGAAACATTGGCAAGATCATCGCCGAAATCTTTCGCGGATCCTTCGACTCCAACATAATCGCATATGATCCCTATATGGGTACACACGCCTGGCCAGACATCCCGCACAAGCGTGTTCAAAATGTGGAGGACTTGTTCCAGGAATCGGATGTTATCACATTGCATGTACCATTCACGTCTGAGACGCAAGATCTCATCTCCTACAAGCAGATGCAACTTATGAAGCGGAGTGCCATCCTCATCAACACCGCTCGAGGAGGTATCGTGAATGAGGACGACCTGTGTCGAGCGCTCGATGATCGACTGATATGGGGAGTAGGACTCGATTGTCATGTGCAAGAACCGCCAACGAAGGAGAAGTACAGCAGGCTTTGGGCACATCCGAACGTGCTCAGCCTGCCTCACGTTGGAGCAGCTACAGCGACGACGCAACGCGATACAGCCGTAGCAGCGGTCGAACGATTATACGCCTACGCCACGCGTGAAAGATGATATGGCACGAGGCAGTGAGTGCTTTACGTAGAATTGGCGTTGAAATTGACTTGTAGCATTCATAGGATGCATTAAACTCCATCGAAAATTTTCAGGCTCTCGCTGCAGCATTGTTTGCGGTTGCCTTACCATTAGAACATCGTGAAAACCTCTCTGGTGACATATAATGCACCGCTCTATTGGTAGGCAAGCCTATCCAACTGACCAAGCCAAAAAAAAAAAAAAAAAAAAAGAGCCCCGGAAAGGAAGAGGAGGAATTTCTGAGGTCAATACTGATAAGAGCCTGTTCTTTTCGAGCATCTAGCAACATCGGATATTGCTCACCACCATCCAGATGGCGCATCGGTATGATTCTTCACCAAGCTGTTCGACAAAACCAGCATCTGGCGGCATTTGGATCCTACTGAAAGCTCGGTAGAATGGTGTAGCGCAAGGGAATGTATTGAGGCCGCTCACGGGCCAAGTGGTACCCGCTGGATGCTGTTCAGGGCAGCATTGTACAATACCTGAACTAGTAGTATCGACTTCTTTCTCCTCCACCTGTACCAACATACTATACATAGCGGCCAACGTTGCACGGGCTCCTACGCCAACATCCCAATGTTGAGCGGCATCATCGCTAGAATAGGCCCTGAGCTGGTTGGCTGTAGAAGCATCCAGTGAATGACCTTGATAGAATGCATCTGTGCACTAGAAGCATTCATGATGGGCAAACACTCAGGCGAGATGATATTCTCCGCGTGCCCACCCAAATGCGGACCAGCAAGGATAACACGTCGGAGGCCAGAACTCCTCCATATCGGACTCCACAATCTCCCCATCCTCCCCGTGTCCGACGAAGGCCGAACACGGTCGGACTGCCGAAGCCGTAGTGTGGTTGTACAGGCGTACAACACCTGCAGCGGAGTACCACGCAATCTTCACTTGTGAATTGGCAGTCCCGGCTTGACACGTGTTTCGTTACGTATCAGAAAATAATGGCTTAAATAGAAATTTTGGCCCTCAGGGGTATATGAGACTCAATGTCACTCTACGATCCAGGTGTTGGACAAGACAAGACAGCATTATCATTCTGGATTACATTGCAAGATGTCTACAACACAGCAGTATTCCATCTCAAATCCCTGGCGAGATCGTATTCTCGCCGGACAAGTCTGCTCGGTCATGAGCGTGAAATATGCTTTTGGTAACGAGATCGCCATGATGGCTAGAGTGGCTGGTGTCGATGGGATGTTCATCGACATGGAACACACTTCCTTCACGACACGCGAGATATCACAGCTTGTGCTGGCATGCAACTACGTGGGTGTGAGCCCCATTGTCCGCATCCCTGGCAAGGCACACTGGCATTTGAGCAGGATATTAGACGCTGGGGCGGCAGCTGTTGTCATCCCTCACTGCGAGACGGTAGAGCAAGTCAGAGAAATCGTGTTAGACGCCAAATATGCTCCACTGGGTCGTCGAGGATGCACGAACAACCAGCCGATCCTGTCGTTCCAGACCGTCCCCACAACCGTTCAGAATGACCTACTGAACCGAGAAACCATGGTTATCCCCATGATTGAGACACCAGGTGCTGTTGAATTGGCCGATGATTTCCTGGCGATAGACGGCGTCGATGGAATTCTCATAGGCTCAAACGATCTGTGCACAGATTTGGGTATAGCAGGGCAATACGACAATCCTCTCTACCAAGACTCGGTTACTAGAGTTGTGCGAGCCGGTGTACGTGCGGGAAAACCTATTGGTATCGGTGGTATCGGTGGGCGCTTGGATCTTTTGGAAAAATGGTTTGCCATGGGAGCCACGTGGTCCCTGAGTGGTGCAGATGGGTCCATGTTGCAGGCAGGTATGCAGAAGTTAGGGAAATCGTATGCAGAGATCAACGCACGAGTTCAGACACAGCGCTCGTTTCCCAAGAAAGCTATAAATGGTTTGAATGGAGACCATGTGCCAAGCAGGAATGGCGTAAAAAGCTGCAATGGACCTGTGGATGTGAATGGACACCATCAGCCGGAGCGGTTCGTGGTCAATGGCGTCTGATCACATAGCGAGAGAGCATTGTATATTGGAGTCCTTTAGTCGCTTTTCGCTTTGAGAGATCTTGATAGACAGCTATGTAGACTTGACTGGTGCACGAATACACGTATTGTAGACAATTGGTCCTAGCATGTCCTGTTGAAGATGGCTGGCCCACTGCTGCTAAAACCACCAACTTGGACCGCCAAGACAGAGTGGGCAGTTTCACCCAAAAGTGTCCGAAATTGTCCGGACTACAGGCTCCAATCCGGGGCCGAGTTACCCCACAATCTCCTAGCACGTACCGAACATCAGCTTCTGTGAACACATCGTTAGAAGAGAGTCTGAAGCCATCCCACATATTGCTCTGACCTAAGCTGTACGCGATAATGGAGATTTTAACATGCTGAGTCAGGCATGCCAGCGGTGCTGGCACAGAAAACAAAGGTGTGATCGACAAGCGCCAGAGTGCTCAGTCTGTGTTACAAATGGAGTCAAATGCGTACCACGAGTATGGGGTCGTGTACTGGACTCAGCTGCTGATGAAGTCTCCGAAGGTAGACAGATGAGGTCAGTGCGTGGTAGGCGATGCGAGCATACGCAAATTGTAACCAATTCATGACAGAAGTTCGATTGAGTACATGAAACAACGCATCAGCTACATCGAAAACAAGAATTCTCGCAACGACCATGTGGAGACAACACCTCCTTACCATCATACCTTTCAACAACAACCGGGTATTCCAGAACAGTCAGGCGCTTCAGCAAGCAGCATCAATGTTGCCCCATCTGGGACGGGGTCGAATGTTGCCGTCAATGAAGTCGAGTACCTTTCGCTAGCCGCTATGAGCGGAGGTGGCGCGAACGATCAGACTCACTGGCAGAGTTCGACTCTAAAACAGTTAATGGAAAGCGTTATTTCCATTCAGGGCATCAATCCAGCCTCTGTGACAATGGACGTTATACCAGCCATGCAGAACATGTTGTCTCTGTCTGATTTGCAATCAGGAATCACGGCAGTGACTCGGAAGGACTGCCATTTTCTCATTCGAAATTTTGCTCGCAGCTTTCCATGCATTTCTGAGCAGGAAAGCTTGACTGCATTCGACACAGCGGTACGCTCCGAGGAGAGCGCCACAGATTCGGAGTCAGCACTAGCACCGACCCCTGGTGTAATAGCCATAGCAAGCTCCGCTCTGGCATTAGGCGGGATTATATCCCCTTTCCATAGCAATCTGCAACTCCAGTTGTTGGCGCTAGTCGATAAGGCTAAGCGGGCACTTCCCGTCATCCTGACCACAATGGTGGACGCCACGGCTATTCAATGCCTCACTCTCCAAAGCATGCTGTCGTTGTACTTTCCGTCTGCTGGTTCGGCGTGGCATCTTTTGGGCCTTGCATTGACTAGAGCGATTTCTGCTGGACTACATCAAGCCTCTTCTCACACTTCAGCTGGGGAGGACAGCTATACAACGAACATCTTTTGGACTTTGTATCTTCTTGATCGAACGCTTGCGCATACCATGGGTCGACCTTTTGGACTCATGGATGACGATATTGCACTGAAGTTCCCAGAGGTGCCGGCGCATCATTCGCTCGATGACACTGCTACTGTATCGAAGGCCATATTCACGCTGAAGTTACATCACGCTCTTTTACTATCTCGATGGCGTCAGTCACCAGTGTTTGACCTAGCTACGCTTATCTCCAGCTATGAATACTGGAGAGATTCTTACCACGAAATGTGTGAGCACTTCATCGAACTCGAAATCGCAGAGCGACAGGACGAGGACGTTCACGCGCTCTCAGGAGACGTTAGTCGTAAAGATGAAGCACAGCTTTCATGCCGCGCTCTGGTTCAACTCCTCGCTCGAGCTACAGAGAAGCCACCTGCTGATCACGACTCACTTGTCCGGCTCAAGCAGTACATTGTTACAGAGGCGCCACGACTCATCGATACTGTCCACGAGGGCATCGATAGCGGTAATGCCGCGTGTACATTCCTTGACGGACACGACGCATTTGCCGCAGCTATCGTGTACGTATTCAGCACCTACGAAACACGTCAACCATCCTCATTTCGATTGGATGTATCGCAAATGCGGACAGTTGGTGCTTGCATAGCCATCATTCAGTATACTGCACGACAATTCAAGCCCATGCGCAGCTTGATAAATGTCATATGGGCCTTGCTACACACTCTTGAAGCGAAGGCTACTTTGGGGGATGGCGTTGAACTATTCAAAGAAATGTCTGGTTGTGAGGTTCTGATTCCCAAGCATATTGGTATGTTGCTCGAGATGATCATTTCGATGTAATGGTAGGCGAGATGTTTCCTCGCTTGAAATATGGTATTCCTTACACGACTTCTGTATGCCAGTGAGTTTAATGGACGGATGGTGTCAAATGGCCAGCACGGTATCGTACACCAGTCTCACCTGAATGCTACCATAAGTGAAGGAGGTAAACGTCCTTGGCGAAGTGTTTGGACTGCTTGGTCTTCCCGATCAGCTGGTCGCAAGCACTACAAGGCTACCGTTTGGCCTCGAAGACGATGACTTCACTCTCGAGAGCTCAGAGACACCAGAGTAACATCTATCTGAAAGCTTTGTCATTTCGAAATCTCGGTGGCATTGACCTCTTACTGTTCGCCTAGTAAGTACTATTTACCCCGGCAATTAGTCCGCAGATGAAATTGTAGTTCAATATCAACCAATTTTCTTCTCCTATCACTGCTACAGTATATTATCCTATTAACTTTGGATGCTCTACTTCTGCTAACGATATTCCTTTAGGGCTTTAGGGCCTAGCTCTATTAAGCCTACCGCTCCGCGGAAGCTATAGTAAGACCTGAGGATGTTGCTGGAGCATTCAAAACTCTCCAAGGGGCGTACACCTCAGCAAATAGTCTTACCGTGGATACATATCAATACCGATTTGCGTTGAATAAACGTATCTTGAATACAGAGAGTCTGCGACAGCCAAAAACGATCAGCTTCCAAACGAAGTCATCTCTTGACTCCCGAGCGTGAGCGCACGTACTCACCTTTGCCCAGACCTCCCAAAGGTTCCAACTCTCGCTTTTAGCATAGTAGCCGTTGCTGCTTACAACGGGCGGCAAATACTTGAAATGATCTCTATAGTTCCTGTCGTGCAGACTCATCCTGATCATGGTTAATCTTATCTCGTCTCCACTCACTAGACTAGTCTTTTTTAGGGACTTCGATGCCTTGAAGAGGCTGGATGGGGCGAAGTGTCCGACCAACCTAGGTGTCGTCTCTTGCTGTTGTTACTACTTGGCGTGATTAGGAATGTGGAAGAACTCTAAATTTATCCAAAGCACACCTGCACGACGTTTGACACCCCTGATAGTCTCCGGACAGCTCGATGACACTAGTCAAATCTACTGAACCACTCTACACATGAAAGTCATGCTCAGCACATCTCATACAAGTCCAGTCTAAACTCTTCAACTTCACAGCCGTGCAGTATGCGAAGCTTCACCAAAAACACCTCCACAGCACATCTGATATCCGAACTGCCCAGAGCCAAGCTTCCTAGCGATCTGCAAGCCCACCTGTGACCATCCCCACATCACTCTCGTTCCAGTTCATTTCGGGCATAGATCCTGGTTTCCATCACACCTGAAACACGTTTCAAAAACCACCAAGAACCACCAAATAACCGCCTAAACGACAGCCAATTGTTTGATCGTCTTCTCTCGATTTTCGCTCAATGCTCCTTTTTACGCAGCATCTGACAAGCACGTTGCTGTTGGAGTTGTGTTCACGAATGCCGGTGAACACGTAACCCTGCTGACTTGAAGCTCAATCATGCGAGATGAGACTCGTGGGTCATGGATTTTGTGGAAGAGGGGTGGTTTCAGAGGGGTGAGTGATTGGGTGTTTTGCTATTTGTGGCTGTTGTTCGAGGTAAGATAGGTGGACGCGATGCGTGATGTGACGAGGTGGGTGCTATGTGCTATGTACTACGTGCTTGCCGCTACGGAGCTAAACGTGAGCATGTATGTATATTAGAGTTCGTCCTGCTGAGTCAACCTTGCCTTCGAGCATACTGGTAAATCTGGACCATTTCATACCCACGATATACACTGGAAATACACCAAGAACACACAAACAGGACACATTGACAACCACCACTTCCTCGATGACAACTACAATAATCTTCTCACCTCCTACCATGAGTATGATGGGTATGAGCAGTATCTCATCACAATCGTTTCCAATAGACACCTCACCCACCTCTCGCCCACCCATCTCATCCCGCACCCGCTCCTCCTCCCTCCTCCACAAAACCGCCCTCTCCCGCATGCGCCCCCTCCCCTTCCAATACGTCTTCACCTTCTACCACACCAAATCCACCACCTCTCACACCCCCACCCTCCTCTCCGACACCGTCCCCGACATTGCAGCCTTCTACAAAATCTACAACAATTTTCCGTTTTCGTCGCTCGCAGCCAAGGACGGGGTACATTTCTTCCGTGCAGGCGTCAAGCCGCTATGGGAGGATGAGGAGAACCTCGAGGGTGGGTGTTGGACAGTGAAAGTAAGGAAGGAGGATGGGAGGAGTTTGAGGACTTGGGAGGAGTTGTGTTTGATGGTTCTGGGTGGGGAGTTGCAGAGTTTGGTTGCGAAAGGTAAGTGTTCCTGGATTTGTGTCTGGTTTGCTTTCTTTCGGAGAGAGAGTGGAGGAGTAGGAACGAGCTGAGTGCTGACTACGGACTGTATAGAACGAGATCATATATTAGGCATGTCGTACTCACCTCGACTGTACTATACGCATATCTCGATATGGACAAAACAGGGTGATAACAAGCGGAGTATTGAAGTATTACAGAGGACAATCGTAGAGCGATTGAGTCCAGAGTTGAGGCCAACCTCGGAGCTGGAGTATTACTTTAAGAAGCACTCGGAACACGAAGGCTGGGAGGAAGTGACGAGGCAGGTAAGAGAACAAGGACAGTCGAAGGCGGAGCAGCACGAAGGAAACGTCGTGATATCGATAAATGAAGAGCAGGAGACTATGCCACCATGAGGCAATGGTGTTTAGCGTCACGTAACAACCGCACTCAATGATTAGAGGCATGCTGACATTTGACTGCATCGAACACCTAGCGAGGTGTTGGACATGCCGAGAGTCACCACGTTACTAACGTCTGGAGTGTCGGTCAACTTCACGATCGCGGTCTTTGCCATCTCTTCGACTACTCTCGCGATATCGATCATCCCGACCTCTGTCTTCTCTGTGACCACTAGGCCGGTACTCGTCGTGACTGTCACGATGGCTGCTGGACTTGTAGCGATCACGATCCCTCTCACGATCTCGGTCTCTATCCCTTTCGCGATCTCGCCCATCCCGTTCCCTGTAGTCGTTTCTTCTTTCGTCTCTTCTGTCATCACGCCTATCGCGGTCGTCTCTCTTCCTAGCTGGACTGCGTGACCTTCTCCTCTCTCGATCACGGTCCTTGTCGCGGTCGTCTCTATCCCGGTCTCGCTCGCGTTCTCGGGGTCGATCTCTGTCACCCTCTCGATGGGCATCTCTCCGTCGATCTCGATCTTCGGTTTCTTTAGTGGCATACTCTTCTGATTTCCAGGTTGTCGAGCCGGTATAGCTTTCGTAACGTCTTTCCGTAGCTGTCTTTGTACGGTCAGAAGCTTTGGGAGTGTCACGCATCTTTCGTGGCTTATCACGATCTCTTTCTCGTTCTTCGATGCTGCGATGCACACCTCCACCAGGCACATATCGATCGATACCTACCGGTGAAGCAGAGCGTGGTCTCCGCCGAGTCACAACGGGAGAGGGCGTACCTTCTGCCTCACCCTCCTCAACATCATGACTTGCATCACGGTGAGTTGATTCGCGTGTCCGACTCTTTCGATCTCGGGATTTGCTGCGCTTCTCGTCTTTTTTGTAACTATCCACAGACCGATCCCGTTTTCTGGACTTTCGCTCGTCACGATCGTAATCATATTCCTTTCGAGTCGAAGATCTTCTGGCATGCTCCTTGCCTTCGTTGAGGAGAGACTCCAGGGCAGCAGCCTCGAGGTCCTTCTCAGTCAGGGGCTCTTTTCTGACGTCGACAGATTCACGACGTGCGTGTCGTGAAGGATCTCTGCTGTCCCGTTCCTTTCGCCGTTTCTCACGCTCCTGTCTTTCTGCTTCGTATTCGACCTCTCGCTGAAGTCTCTCCTCTTCACGCTTCTTGGCACGTTCATCTCTAGCCTTGATGCGGTCGAGCTCCCTTCTCTCCTCTTCCTCCTGTCTTCTCTGGCGCTCTAGTCTCCTTGCTTCTTCCTCTGCCTCTTTTCTCTTTCGCTCTTCTTCGACCCTTTTGAGTGTCTCTTCGCGAGCTTTCTTTTCTTCGTGCGCACGTAGCTTCGCTTTCAAGGCTGCTGTTTCTCTGGCTAGTCGATCCAGCTTCTCACGTCTGGTCTGGCGTTCGGTGGCTCTTTGTTCGGTTTCTGCCGCATATTGATCGTCGGTCTTACTTCCTCTATTTTTCTCCTCCAAAGCCTTTTCCTCGCCAATGTCTGCTTTGCGGATTGTTCTCACAGACTCGAGTACACCGTCAAGGTGTTTCAAGATCTCCTTGTCAAGTCTAGATTCGACTTCTTGGTATACACCACTGCGGTCGACAGCACCCTGTATTAGTGTCGCAGCAGTTCCTCGATTTCGGCCTAGCAGTTTTGGATCCTTGTCAATCTCTTCTTCTGCTACTCTGTTGATCGACTGTGTAAGCACGTCTTTAGCTTCTGATGTGTTGTAAGCAGCCCAGACCTGTTTTCGCAACGTATCATAGCCGCCCTGTTTCTTGAACTTGAACAGGAGCGCGTCAACAGCCGAGCGCTGTTCTTTAGCGAGAGGGAGTTCAGAGATCTTGAACCGTGGTCGCAACGACAATGTTGACGCATCTACCTCGTCGCTAGGGACAGTCATCGCCATCTCGACATCTGCCATGGCGTGGGAAGATAATTCTATATGGTCATACTAAAGAATTGAGATTAGGTGTTGCGAATCAGGTGGGTGTTACAGATCAGCACATTGCAATTAAGTCGGAAGTTGCGAACACGCGACTACCCCAATTTCGCGAAGAAGGTACGAACGATCTGTCACGTGACAAGCAAACCGGCAAACGAGCAAACAACAACCTGCCTTCACTTACGATATACAGCTCGTACTCCACACGCCTCGGCATACAACTATATACAATCACTGTCATACTGCTTTTCTTCCATACGCGAACCGTTCGATAAGCTCAAGCAAGGGACACGACCACTCTGGGACTTTAGGCTGCTGAAGCGAGACGAGTCTGCACCTTTCTCGACCTACATCCCCAACCCAAACACATAACAACAAACACAATGGTGCACAAGATCTTATTCTGGGGCGCTTTTGGTCGGTCCTTGTGTGCTGTAGATATCACGCCAGCTAACATCCTCCAGGTGTGGCCACAAGATTTGTCCAACTCGGCATAGAAATGAGACCATTCTTCCAGCGAGGCGCATTATGGGTATATCCCTTCTTCGCGACGATAGGAGGTTCTTTCGGGTATTGGCTGCAAGGTGTAGAGAGCAGACAGATGAAGATGTTGCAACAGAGGAAAGAGCTTGTGATGGATAAGAGGAGAAGGAGAGCTGAACGGGAAGCTAAGGAAGGTGGTTCTGAGACGACAGGAGTTTTGGCTGCAACTTCGTAAGGCAGGTATGGAAAGAGCGGACCCAGTGAAAAGAGAAGAAGTGTACAAATCATGATGGTATGACTGGTGAGCAGGAAAGCACATCTCCTGGCATGTCTGTCGTTTTTGCATAGCTGATATCTCACAACAGCTACGAAGGGAACGAGTCCATGGCCTGTAGACAATACATGTTCTCTAACCTGCACAACTTTTGTTCATTAAGGTCTCATCTCGTCATTGAAGTTGAGAGTCTATACCAGTCATTTCGCTCGCTCATACAACCATGCAAGACATAAATTGCAACCCTTGGTATCACGGAACAAATATACAGCGAATAGCTGGTAATACACCTGAGAACATGTTGTACACACTCTTCCCATCTCTCGATTCCTTACTTCATGATACGTGTGATCAAACCGGTAGCAACGGTACGACCACCTTCTCGGATGTTGAATCTCTGACCAGCTTCAGCAGCAACAGGGTGATGCGTAGTAATGACCATTTCGACGTTGTCACCTGGCATAACCATCTTGCCAGTATCTTCTACTCCTTCGGGCCAAGCCAGCGAGGCAGCCTCATCAGCAGTCTTCAAGAAAATGACTGGTCGGTAGTTCTGACCAAATCCAGATTTTCGACCACCTTCCTCTTCGGTCAAGACATACATGGAGACCATGAATTGAGTGTGTGGCTTGACGGTTCCTGGAATGGCGATAACCATGCCACGCTTGACGTCGTCTTTCTTGACACCTCGCAGTAACAGACCCGAGTTGTCACCAGCTCGAGATTCTTCACACGACTTCTTGAAGGTCTCGATATCGGTGACCTTAGTCTTGATGGGAGTTTTGGTTCGACCAACAATCTCAACCTCGGAATCTCTCTTCAGAACACCTCGCTCAACACGACCGGAGCAGACAGTACCACGACCCGAAATCGAGAAAGTTTCTTCGATAGACATCAGGAAAGGCTTGTCAAGGTCACGTTCTGGTGTAGGGATCCACTCGTCCACCGACTTGAGCAGTTCGTCGATCTTTTCCACACCAATCTCGCTCCTTTTGCCTTCGAGAGCCATCAAGGCAGAACCGAAAATAATAGGAGTATCATCGCCCTCGAAACCGTAATGGGAGAGCAGCTCTCTCATCTCCATCTCGACGAGCTCCAACATTTCTTGGTCTTCGATAGTATCAACTTTGTTGACGAAGACAACGATTTTCTGTACACCAACCTGTCGGGCTAGCAGCAAATGTTCTCTTGTTTGGGGCATCTGACCATCTCCTGCTGCGACGACTACCACAGCACCATCCATACTGGCAGCACCAGTAATCATGTTCTTGATATAATCGGCGTGACCTGGGCAATCAACATGGGAGTAATGTCTGTTGTCGGTCTCGTATTCGATGTGTGCTGTGGAAATGGTGATACCTCGCTTTCGCTCTTCCGGAGCTTTATCGATTGCGCCATACTCCAAAAACTTTGCGTAGCCCTTTTCTGCTTGTCGCTTGGTGATGGCAGCTGTGAGTGTAGTCTGTGCCTCGTTAGGAGTAGCTCAATGATATGCTGGGGCGAGTCTTACCTTTCCGTGATCGACGTGGCCAATTGTACCTGGCCAGTGCGTTAGCTGAGTCTATCACTCCCGCTCGTGATGGTCATACCGATGTTCACGTGTGGCTTCGTTCTCTGGAACTGAGCAGCATAGTTCCTTGCTAATATTCTATTCTGGCCAAAGACACTGTTGACTGGGTTCACATGTGTCGAGGACTGTGCAGCTATCCTTGACGAGCGCACCAGCGCATTAAGTGAGCGAGCGAAAGTCATATTGACCAAACCCCCGAAGCAAGCACGCCGAAAGAGAGATGCACGAAATGGATGAAACTGGTTGATGGAACAATCTCAAAGGCAAGTTGAAGGAGCTGCGAAATTCATTGACTATACGAGTCCACCAGCACTAACCCCATCAAATTGCCTATTTCGTGCTAGCGTGATCTTTTCCACATGCGAGCATTTCTGCTACTGATCGTGCAAAGACTTCTGTATCGCAAACTCAGCAACCATGGGAAAAGGTCAGCGCTTCTATTCTATCGCCTGTTTCAGGGAGCTGACAGGTAGTAGGAACCGACAAGCTCTATGTATGCAATGCGCCGCTACCTCTACATTGTCACTGACTAGTATAGATCACCCACTCTGAATGGTCCTCGAGCGATCAGTTCTCGGCTTCTGCTGGAGCAGGAGTCAGAGCTAGCAGCAACCAACATGCCTCTTTCAAGAGACTACCCTACAACTATTGCGCATTGAGTCTGCAGCCTTTTCAGACGCCAGTTTGCACCCCTGGAGGGCAGATCTTCGACCATGAGAACATCATACGCTGGTTGCTCAACCATGACACAAACCCCACGAATGGCCAGCCTCTCAGGCAATCCGATCTGATCAAGCTGAATTTCGCACAAAATGAAGGTGGAGGCTACGTCGATCCAGTCACTTTCAAAGAGTTCACAGACAACACTCACATGATCGCGATACGGCATGGACCTTCAGCTAATGTTTTCGCTTACGATACTGTCGAAAGACTGAACTTCAAACCTAAAATGTGGAACGATCTTGTCTCAGATGAGGAATTCACCAAGAGGGATATCATTACCCTGCAGGACCCCCAGAAGCTCGAGTCAAGAGATCTGAACAAGTTCAAGTACCTCAAAGAGGGTGAAGACTCGGGTGTGCCTAAAGAGGAGGCCGAAATCAATGTATCCGCCATGGGAAATGCTGCTAAGATTCTAAAAGCTAAGGAAGCTGTAGCCAAAGCTCGTGCTGAGAGAAGTGCCGCGACCCTGCAGAAGAGTGGCCAGAAAAACGACGACACCATCAAAACACCTGCGCAACCTGCGAAGGCGAAAAAGGCAACACCATATAATGCCACCAAGCACACCACTGGCCTCGCTGCTGCTTCCTTCACATCGACTGGCGTGACTCCTACCACTTCTAACGCCCTGGCTTTGATGAGTGATGAAGAGTATCTCTTGAAACGTGGTCGCGTCAAACAAAAAGGCTACGCGCGGATGGAGACTTCGCTTGGTGAGTTGACTCTCGAGCTGTACCCCGAGTATGCACCAAAAGCCGTTTGGAATTTTGTCAAGCTGGCCCAGAAAGGCTACTACGATGGCATAAGCTTTCATCGAAATATTAAGAACTTCATGGTTCAAGGTGGTGACCCTACAGGCACTGGTCGCGGAGGTACCTCAGTATGGGGCAAACCCTTCCAAGATGAGCTGCAGGGTCCGATGAAACACGATAGTCGTGGTGTTGTAAGTATGGCGAATAAAGGCAAGGACACGAATTCGAGTCAGTTCTTCTTCACGTATCGTAAGACACTACATCTCGACGGCAAGCATACAATATTCGGGAAAGTGGTCGACAGTGATGTCGTCCTCAAAGCAATGGAGGATGCTGAAGTAGGGCAAAACGATCGCCCTGTAGAAGACATCGTGATCGAGAAGGTGAGTATCTATATCGATCCATTCGAGCAGTTTCAGAAGGAGCGGAATGCTACCGAGACCGACCAGAGAAGGAAAGAAGAACAACAGCGGGAGGGTACGGACGACGACAGCAGGACGACATGGACCGGCAAACGTATAAGAGCTGACGGAACTATTGATAACGGTGTTGGTGGTGTTGGTAGATACCTTCAGGCCAAGATGGCTGATCAGGCACAACCTTACGAGGAGGACGAAATAATTGAGTTCGTCGATCAGGAACCAGATCCTGGTCCCGCTCGAAAGAAAGCTAAAGCAGGTCGTGGCTTCGGCAACTTCGAAGGCTGGTAATGTACAAAACGTTTAGCCTTTATTGGTGAAAGTGACGCCTGGGAAATGAGGACTGTCAATTTGCCTTTTAACCTGTATATTGTCCTTTTTCTACATTGTCCGCATGCCAGCTTCCTACCTTCAAGCTTCTTCCTGCTACTGGAAACAAAGCTTGGCTAAACTAAACCCGTGCAAACCCTGCGAATAATCCGGTACCCCACTTGCTTATGCAAGACGTCGTGCTTAGACTTGTTGTTGACTACCTCGCTACTCCTTCGGATCCGCCTACCGCACGTGTGATTCAGCTCGCGCTTTAATTTCACCCTCAGCTGAACAATGAGCATGGTCAAGGTTCGGCATCTTCAACATCACTCTGGCCTTCGTCATGCAATCTTGAAACACCATCGCAATTGAGCAACAACACCAGATCAGGCGCCCAGTAGGCGTTGGAAACACGTCGAGAGAATCTTGAACTATCTCCATGTCCCGAACCATCATCCTAACGAAATGATAGTGTCGTAAGTTACTCGAAGTACGATTTGCAGCCACAAGGACGGAGCTCCAGGCCGAGATCTCTCATTGCGCTTCCTTTGCGTGTACAAAGGAATCTTGGTCCTCGAAAGCTCCCGCCGCTACACCAACTGATGCGATGTCTCTCACTACCTTCTTCCAATTTGCGCACACCTCATATCTTCCACTTCCGCCTACAGCAACACAGCGGAATGCCAAGGCTGGATATTCTCCGCAAGTCAAGCTGGAGACGGTACAGGAGATTCAAGCTCGAGGTAAAAGAACAGCAGTCAAGCTTCTACATTCACCTGAACTCATGAGTACGTGCCGCTCCTTCACTTGGTTATTCAGGTTTTCAATTCGCTGACCTACCATCAGTCATGCTCAATCCACTAGTCCAACACTACAGTCGTGTTGACCCAGCAGATCCAGCTAATGAGGATCGTCTGGTCGATCTCGATACGCTGGCCCTGAAATTCAACGTCGCTCTAGCAAACCCACTATCCTGCTCAAGTTTCGCTGACTCAAAAAACGGCGAGTTCGTCCACTACGAAATCATAGATAAATTCCAGTTCCTCGGCGGACTCGCCAGCAAACTCTTGACTTATCGTGCTTGTTTTCGCCCACTCTACGACGTCGCGCCACACACACTACCCAATGGACAGCCAAGAGAGAGCCAAGGTCTAGAAACGATCTCTGACCCTGGCAATGGCGTCTCCCTACTTGGCAAATGGGTTGTCAGTGAAGACAATCAGAAACCTGGATTTCTGGTTCTTACGGAAACTGTTCAGGTTCATTGTAATGTGTTTTTGAGCTGGTATGTGCGAGGTCAGCTTGAGAGTGCTCACGCTCAGCTACACAAGGAGTTTGGCAGGCACTTTTGTGAGTCAATGGTTGCGGAGGATCCGATGAAGGGTCAGGATGAGAGGGTGGGGAAGACGTGGAAGGAGATCAGGAGATCAGAATCTGCAGGGAGCTATACTACTACTACTAATGAGGTGGGGAATAAGCCTCTGGACAGAATGCGCACGGAGTAAACACATGTGTGAGATGCTCACGGCTACTGATTGCTCGGACGACTTATCTGTCGATTTCACTCTTGGCATTCTGCATGCATTGGCAAGTGTTTGGTTATGCTGTTGGTTCCAACTTCGAGGGTGAGAAAGCTCGGAGGCACGCTCCAACTGTCCGAACCGTCTGCTCAGGTGTATGTGGATCACGGCAAAGTGACCGGGTAATTTTGACGGTTGGGGGCGTGGGAGGCAGGATGTGAACCACAAATACTTGACTTTCACAGTATACACCCCTTTCCGAATCACAATTGAAGTCGACGCTGACGGACAGCCGCAATGACAGCAATCCGAACCCCAAGCTCTTGATAGTATCGCTCGGTGTCGTCTGTGGCTGTGACGGAGCACAAGGTGAGCTTGAAGTGAAGGAAAAGGAACATCACACGTGAGTTCGTGTTCGCCCGAATGCGTCCACTTTGGCGCGTAGTTCAAGTTATCGTTGGCAGCACCTTATCACTTCAAGATGTTGACTTTGGCAGGAATTTACACTCAGGCACTCAACAATGCGGCTTCATATTTGACGGTGCAGACAATCTTGCAGAGCTATGAACAGGTGGCCAAATTGCTCTGATACACGGCACAGACGAAAACCGTGCTCAGATATAAACTTCAAGTCGCTGAATCTTCGAGGAAATGGACCGTGTGGTTGGTCAATTCTCTAGTAATTCGTTGCGACGGAGAAACAAGGTGTCCTTCAGTTGTACTGACTGTCATCAGTTCTTATTTTTGTCAAGGGTAGTCATATGCCAATTTAGATGTAGAGGCTTGGATTGTGCTTTCCTGTCGCTTAAGTAAAGCTCTATTTTTCCTTACGAAGTTCAGTGCACACCCCGGTCGCCAAATAGTGGTCGTCTGGCTCCACCGTAGACCTGCCTATTGGACACCAGAACGACCTACAGTAGCGGCTTACACTGTATACGCTCGTACATCGCTACTTCGTGCGATGGACAATGTCTCTATGTCTGCACACTGTGAGGTAACTCGCACGCCGCTTGCCCAAGCGACTGCGCGTCTCATCAGAATGTCGAGCCTCCTCCATCACCACCATGAACGAGCCTATAACAGACTCGAAAGACACGGGAACACCAGTTCCATTCCCTGATATAGTGGACGATGAGACACCGAGACCTAATCAGAAGAAGAAGTCGAACTCTACTCACAAGCGGTCAATCTCAGGGAACCTGCTCTCTAGATTGAATGTTCTACGTACTACTAGTGAAGGCGAAAGAAGCGACAATGACAGCACTGATCGCGCGACTCCAACCACTGGCCGTGGTGCCATGTCGGAAGCCTTACAGACCAAGAGTAATCGCAAGCGCAGAGGATCATTGCGAAAGGCAGTGCTAGGCAAAGGGCGAGATCGCAAAGGCTCAGAGAAGAAGTCACCTTTATCCAGTCCGAAACCTCCGACTACAAATGTGACTACACCACCTATACCGATAGACAATACCGAGGAGGTTGAAACACCAAGAGCAAGCAGCGAGGTCCGAGATGAACAAGAGATCACACCTACACCAGAACTGCCGCCTCGATGGCCCTTGAACTTCCGAACACTATCTCGTGTCTCAATCCCATCTATCCGCTCAAGCGTGGCATCATTTGAGCCCATCTCCTCCGCCGCCTCCATCCTCACATCTCCCACACTCCAGACAGACAGCACAGACGACGATGCCGAACTACACATCCCCAGCCTCGTGGCCGCTCGACAAGCACAAACGCCGCCCAAGAAACCCCTACCAGATGCCGACTCATACTTTCCCGTCCCCGTCTCTCACATGCGCAGACCCTCACCCCTTTCCGGATCCTCAATTGGCCTCGCGGTAGCCGAAGAAGATGACTCTGTCCTTGCAAATTCAGAATGGGACTACTCCGAGACAGCTTCATGGGGCTACTTCATTCTAACCGTTACCTGGATCGTCTTTGTTACAGGCATGGGCAGCTGTTTCGGTGTGTGGTCATGGGCGTGGGATGTTGGCGAGACACCGTATGCGCCGCCGGAGTTAGAGGATGATCCTACGTTGCCGATTGTGGGGTATTATCCGGCTCTTATGGTGCTTACGTGTATTATGGCTTGGGTCTGGGTTGTTGTTGCTTGGGTAGGGATGAAGTATTTTAGGCATGCGGATCTGAGGAGTGATGATAGGTGACAACGACGAGAGCATGTGGCATTGAGTGTGTTGCATATGTTGTGCTAGTGAGGCCGGGCATAGTTCTATATCACTCGATCACAAAGCTCTTCTACAAAAGTACGACGACTTCGAAGCGAAACCTGGTACAGTAGCTTACTTACATCCGAAAGCAACAATGGCAAGATCGAACCGAAGCGCCAGTTACCCTATGTGGTATCTCCTGGACATCGTTGCCCAAAACACCTTGTGAACACGTCATCGCTCCAGTTGAGGCTGGATAGTTTGCTTTCCTGAAATGGCAATCGAGGTTGAGATCATGTCCCGTATGCAATATTACTGTTCATACGTGGCCGCTGAGCTGTGTTTGACGTATAGCTGCCCGATGAAGCTATGCGCTGGAATGTGAGCGAAGTGGAGGGAGGCACGGCAGGCCATTAGTAGTGCAGAGCCAGTGCTCGTGGTTATATGATGAGCAGAAGACTCTTTGCGAAATTTAAATAGCCATATAAATCACGTTGTCCTTGAGATCCATTCGGAAGTCTGATGAAGAGCTCGTATCCAAAGCCACTGTGTATAGCAAACAGCTTCCACATCTATTGCCTGCCATATTGTAGCCATCTTCTGTTGTATCTCTGCCTGATCTATAACGCCATTCCCTGTATCTTGCCTTCTATGTCGTCCTGGCTGAAGTCTATTGTCCTAAATTTAATACCGTCGCCCTAAATTCAAAGCCGTCGTGGGCAAGGTATACCGATCCCAGTTGTCGATATTATCCACCATCGACCCGTAAGTTTCGCGAATTCTCCAACCCAAGCGGCAAACCTCTCAAGACTGCCACTACAAGCTCAATGACTGGATCGACGGCATCGCATGCATAGCAGCACTATTCGGACCAGCCAAAGGCGATGTTCCTCTCACATCTGGATTTATCATTCTCGACCTCAATGTATCCAATGTCTTCTGCCTCTCTTTCTCCTTGTCAGCGTCAACATAATCCGGACTATCTCTTGGCTGTGGTGTTCGGCTCGGTGTAGGCACTGCAGTGACAGCCCCGCCGGGTGCTTTAGTCATCAGTCCTTTCTCCTTCGCATATCCTGTATTGCGTTCGACTGAAGGGTCGGGGTCGTAGAATTCGTCCTTGATTGGCTGGACAAATACTGTCTGATCGCTGATGGTGACTATTGTGTTCGTTGGTACTGCTAGCCAATTATGTCGTTCAAAGGTCAGCGGTTCACTAGCCACGAGCACGACGTCCGAAGCTTTGTCGCGTCGTTCCATTTGAAATTGACCTTTTTGCTTTGGGTCCTCGACCCAATCTGTGCCGGAGCTGTAGTAGAGCGATGCTGCTGCGTCGGTCTTGGAGCTGACGTAGCGAGTCACGATCACGCTGTGGCCGTCTGTGACTGCGAAGTTGAGTAGACTCCTGGTCTCAACGTCTTCTAATGTCAGCGTTGATGGTAAATATGTACGAATCAGCTCGTTGATGCGTGCTATCGTCTTCTTCATCACTCGTCTGAGAACCTTTGCACCAAAACCGTGTTTAGGGGTAGATGAGGGGTCGACATGTTCTTCGGAAGCAAGAACATGTAAGAACAGCGCAAATGCCCACTCTGAGTCTGTGCCTCCTTTGACTCCCAAGAACCACTTGTCGTCCAAGGAAGCAGCAAGTGGTCGTTTGACATACTGCCAGGCGCCGATACCACCGTTGTGCATCCACATCAGTGTATTGTGCTGAAAGGGATGGCAATTGTTCTCGGCCAGACTACCTTCTGTCGTTGCCCTGACATGGGCGAATATGAGGTGAGAATGTGTCTTTGGGGCCAGTCTCTCAAGGTTGATGCAGTTCCATGCTGGGACTGTGGAGGTGAAGATGCAAGGATCCGGTCCGAGTTCTGGCTCCGTATACCAGCCTATACCAAATCCGTCGCCATTATGTGGTCGTCGAACATCCAGTCGTAGACGAGAATCATATGATTGTGTTAGTAAGGAGTGAGATGGTTCTGTGACAATCTTTGAAAGTATGATAGGCTTGGAGCCCTTATAAACCTGCTCAAGTCAATTGAGACGAGCTAAGCAAGCACGTCGATCTCACCAAAAATCTGCACATTATTGCGGTGACCACAAAAGACTCGCATTTCAGGCAGGCGGCATGAGGTCTTTTATACCTGAACCAAACTCTCAACCACAAATGACTGTATTTATACAGACAACGGAACGCCCCTGATTGATAGAAACTCCAAGACTCCTGCTAAAACCCACAACAGTGTTTGTCGTACAGATAGAGAGAGGTACTAACCAAAAGGCTGAACGCTTCACCGCTTCGTGTCAAATGGTTGGTCCAAAGGGGCAGTACAGCAGGGCAGGAATGCCTAACTATTCAAGCCAGTCAGATTGAGTCACACTCAGCATCGTCATTCCGCCCTGAACTTGCGTGATGCGTCAGATCGTGTCCCCTAGAAGTCCTGTCTACGGCCATACTTAAGTACCAGTATTGTTATAAGTTCAGAACTTGTGCTCAACCGTACATCGTCATCCGCCTGCGATCTCACATTGCTCAACGCTGTACTCGCGTCCCGGACCCGACAGACCATCGATGTCTGATCCCGACCTGTGATGAGTGCGAGACTACTCGCCCAAAGAGCGGCGCCGCTGCTCAGGCGAAGCGCCCGCCATATACAGACACATGTGACGACGAGTGGGGGATTATTGCGAACGAGACCAATACAACGACAATGGCCAACGGGTTCCAATTCTATCCACAACGTGCCTATGGTACGGTCGATATCTTTTCTTAGAGTGCTTCCACGCCTGGCGCTGAACTTGGCCCGACTTCCGGCCCTGTTAGGGGCTTCCATGATTGCTGGACTAGCATATCTGCAATACCAGGCACAGCAAGCAGGGAACTACGCGATTGATGCGTTTAACAAGGCAAAGGATTCAGGCGCCAGTTATGCTACGAGTTTGTTTGAGGGAGGTAAGGGTATTTTCGATCAGATTGGAACCGGCTGGGAGAAAACGAAAGAGCAAGTAGAGGAGAAGGAATGGTGGAGACGCATCTTCCTTGAAAGACCCGAAGAGAGTACAGGTGGCAACGGAGGTAATGGCGGTCAACAACCTGGTGGTGATGGAAAGACAGCTGCTGCGGCTGCGGTCGCTACTGGCACTGCTTTTGGCGTGGACGAGAAGGATGACACCCGCACGAATAACGAGACTGTACGAGACGAGCAGATGATGCTGTTGACAAGAAAAATGATCGAGATCAGGAACATGCTGCAAGGCGTTGGTCAATCCGAAGCCCTTAGCTTACCGTCTATCGTGGTCATTGGGTCTCAATCGTCTGGCAAGAGTTCAGTACTGGAGGCGATCGTCGGACACGAATTTCTGCCAAAGGGCTCGAACATGGTAACCAGAAGGCCAATAGAGCTGACTCTTGTTAATACACCGGATGCGAAGGCTGAGTATGGGGAGTTTCCAGCTCTGGGTCTGGGCAAAATTACAGACTTCAGCCAGATCCAGAGAACTCTGACTGATCTCAACTTGGCAGTACCTGTCGAACAATGTGTCACAGATGAACCGATACAGCTTACGATACATTCACCAAACGTGCCAGATCTCTCCCTCATCGATCTTCCTGGCTACATACAGGTTGTGGGACGAGACCAACCAGTTGAGCTAAAGCAGAAGATTTCAGACCTCTGCGACAAGTATATCCAGGCACCTAACGTTATTCTCGCCATCTCCGCAGCCGATGTTGATTTGGCAAATTCCACTGCTCTCAGGGCCAGCCGCAGAATTGATCCTAGAGGTGAAAGGACGATTGGTGTGATCACGAAAATGGACTTGGTCGATCCTCAGCGAGGCGCTGAAATGCTTTCAGACAAAAAATATCCTTTACGACTTGGCTATGTTGGGGTTGTATGCAAAATTCCACAACAGAGCAACAGTCTATTCGCACGACATAGCGGAAACCTTACCAATATTATAACAAGGAACGAGAGTGCCTTCTTCCAAGCACATCCTATCGAATTTGGCCCACAATCTGAACTATCAGTCGGCACATCAACTTTAAGGAAGAAACTTATGCATGTTCTTGAACAAACAATGGCATCCAGCCTCGGGAGTACAAGAGATGCCATCGTGCAAGAGCTGGAAGAAGCCACATACGAGTTCAAGGTTCAGTACAACGACCGACCACTAAGCGCTGAGTCATATTTAGCAGAAAGCCTCGATGCCTTCAAGCACTCTTTCAAACAATTCAGTGACTCATTTGGCCGACCTGAAGTACGACAACTACTCAAGGCAGAGCTAGAGCAGAAAGTGTTAGATCTGTTGGCAAAGAGGTATTGGAATAAGCCTGCCGAGGATTTGGCCAAGGCGCCATTTGACGCGGAGCCTATCAGCGATCTTTCAAAGCCAGACCCACCATCGTTGTTCTGGCAGAGGAAGCTCGATGCATCAACATCCGAACTTACAAAGCTAGGTATAGGACGACTAGCAACGTCGGTAGTTGAGGACGAGTTGAAGAATAGAGTACAGTCGTTAGTGGATGGTTCGACATTCGCAGCACACCCATTCGCACGACGAGCAATCGCAGATGCTGCAGAAAGTATATTACACGACCGATTCTACAGCACAAGCGACCAGGTTGAGAATTGTATCAAGCCGTTTAAATTCGAGATTGAGATCGAAGAACCTGAGTGGACTAAGGGTCGCGAAGGTGCTGGACGAGCATTGAAGAGCGAATTGAAGGCTTGCGAAGCAGCACAAAAACAGCTTGAACAAGCAGTCGGACGACGAAAGCTAAACGATGTCATCGGTTTCGTCGATCGAGTCCGAAAAGGAGATGTACACCTGGAAGGAGACAGCTCGGCTGGCGCGGGTGGATTTTCGTCCGCACTATTGCAGACTGGTATGTTCTTATCTATCTTATTTCTACAGAAACTATTCTAACACATATACAGGCCGACAAGCTATTTTCCTTCGCGACAGAGCCGACATTCTCAAGATGCGTCTAGCAGCCGTGAAATCACGACAATGCTCGACGCTAAAGAACAAATACCACTGCCCCGAAGTCTTCCTCGACGTGGTAGCCGACAAACTCACATCCACAGCCGTTCTCTTCCTCAACGTCGAGCTGCTGTCCGAGTTCTACTACAACTTTCCTCGCGAATTAGATGCCCGACTCGGTCGTCACCTAAGCGACAGTGACATCGAGCGCTTCGCCCGAGAGGACCCTAAGATCAAAAGACACCTGGATCTCATCCAGAAGAAGGAAATGCTCGAGCTGGTTCTTGAGAAGATTGAGAGTTTGAGGCAGCTGGAGGGAAAATCGAAAGCGGCCACGTCGGTTGGAGGGCGGGAGAGTGCTATTCCTAGGGAGAGGGAGAGAAGTCGTTGGTCTTTGTTTTGATGGCACGTTATGATACCACTGTAGATGCAACAAGCGGGCGTTCCTCTTTGGTTGTTGTCAGAGTGTAGCATCGCAACTTTTGAGGTCACTACACCGTCTGTGTAAGGACTTTGTCATATCGCGTTGTTGTTTTCCCGCTGCTGTGGCGATGAGTCCACTAACTGCCCGCATCTTCTTCCTGTGAGCCCTTGTCCTCTTCCCACTTACCGGAACTTCGACTGAGTATTCGCCCAATCTTCCCTCCTCGTATTCAACGACCCACTCAAAAACAAATCATCAGCCGTCGTCGCACTCCCCGCCCCCAACCCCTGCCCCATCATCCTACTACCAATACCACTACCACTACCACCACCACTACCACTCCCACCCTGCTCCACGGCCACTAACGCCTCCCTATTCCACTCCAACTTCCCCGTAACATCCTCAATCTTCCCTCTCTGATTACTCTTCCCGCCCAGCTTATCCCCCAGTTTCACGATCCCGAAATTGATCATGTGCGGGTTCAGTTTTAGGGTTCGTGTGATTTCGGTGGTGCAGGGGACGGAGGCGTCGAAGGTGAGGTGGAAGTAGTGGCCTTTGTAGTGGGTGTTTTGGTGGGCGAGTTTGGGGTGCGGGAGGTCGAAGACACCCCAGTTGTTGAGGTTGCGGATTGTGCCGTTGTTTTGGAGGATGAGGGTGCCGGTTGTGCGGGCGATGCTGGAGGAAGGTATGTTAATATGGTAATGGATGGGTAGGGGTGCGGGAGGAGGGAGGACTTACTCTTTTACATAATTGACGTTGCCCGTGCGGACCTGGATGTGTTAGCTGGGTCGACGTACAGGGTGGCAGGATTTGCGCGTACGATTGCGATTAGTTCGTAGAGCATGATGAACGTATATCTGCGAAGCTATGTCCTAATGGACAAGAACTTGAAGTACGATGGTTCGTGAATTGTAGAATGCGCTCGTCAGGCTGCAAGGCAGGGACTCGTGCTGAGTTCCGCAGTAGTAGTTCTCCGTCATTGCGGAGAAAGTTGGAACAAGTCCAGCAGTAAGGTACAGCAGAATCTTGTTCTTACCTACACTAATAACAATGGTCACCATAACACGTCTACTGCCTGTGGCCAGAAGGCTTGCGACTTCCAAGCCGCAAATATGGCGAGCTGGTGCGCGAAGGACGTTCACAACGAGGTCAGCCTGTACGACGAGTTTGCAACCATGACAACAAGAAGTGAGACTGATATTGGTTGATAGTAATGGTTAAGAAATATACTGAAGAACACGAATGGATTGAAATGGATGAAGGTGGAAAGATTGGTCAGTACACCCACGATTATTGAGAGCTGTTACGAGGAAGCTAGAAAGAGCTATGGCGTCTACAATACCGGAAGATATATCTTATCTATTCTGCAGCACAGATACTCGTGCTTTGCCTCGGACACGTCCACTCGATCTGTCATACTGACATTCTTTGCTTACAGGCACAATGGGTATAACCGAATACGCTGCCAAAGCCCTCGGAGACGTCGTCTACGTCGAATTACCTGAAGTCGGAATGGAATGCAACAAAGGCGACACCATCGGCGCCGTCGAGTCTGTCAAGTCAGCCTCGGATATCATGTCTCCAGTATCAGGCAAGATCGTTGAATCAAACGAGGCTTTGAGCGATAAGCCAGCGACCATAAATAAAGGTCCCGAAGCTGAAGGCTGGTTCGCGAAGATTGAATTTCAGGATCAGAGTGAATTGGAAGGCTTGATGAGTAAGGAAGAGTATGATGCTTTCGAGAAGGACTAGCTCAGACTTTACCATGAGGAATAGTCAGTGTTACTAAGGAGAAGCCTACGATATCAGGTACATATGCAAATTCATTCAGACGCTTGTTCATGCAGAGACTCCACCGACACTTTACCTTCACATCGCGTTCGATATCGCAAGGACTTTGCTCACAGGAACATCAGAGTACGCGAGAACAAAACTAACGTGGCGCAGATACGATTGACGACCAGGATCGAGCAATGGGATGGACATTCCTGAGGTTGTTGAGGACTGACATACCAGAGACAGGAGTAAACGCTTAGCTTGATATTTTAAGTGCTCTTCCAGCTTATGCACCGGATTGGAGAAGAACAATTCAATCTGCATTTCTAGACACATTTTCTTCGGCGAACGAATACGGTAAGCTGCTTTTCCCTTGTGCTTGGCGCATGAACGATAGTCTGCTGAACATGACTCAGAGCCCCTATCATGTTATATTGGACTGCTTTCGCATCAGTGTATGATTGACACAGTTACTGACCCGGTAAATTGGGGCCAAATGTGGCAGCATGTACCAGCCCGTGAAGTTCTTTATGATGGCAAATAACCCACAATGGGGACTTCGATACTAGTGCAGCATCGCTCGCAGCCTCGCACGCCAGTTCCAGGTTCTCTGTCCTCGGCACGCTTGTTGGGCGACCTTGCGCCACATCGGACTGGTCAGTTTGTTAGTAAGGCGCCGCAAATCCGTTCTCTTTCTCTGAGCACCTATGCAGGAAACCTCTTTGAATCGGCGCCCTTGTACTGACCAGCGATTTGACCCTGACTTAGTACTCGGTCCTCTACGAGGATGAGGGCTCGTATACCAGCCTGTGGGCTCGATAATACTCGTCCGATGACAAAAAGCTCCGTCGTTTATGTCGAACCTTCAAGCATCTTTATGGAAAGCACAAGGGACTGTCTATCTTATAGGAAGAATAGTCTCTTAGCACTCATGTTGGCATGTGAGACAGTAATGCTGCAAAGCAGGACTCGCACAATGCAACAAGAGATTGGTCTGGTTTCGGAAGTCAAGACTCAAATTACGATCATGGTCATTCACTAGTGCAACGCAGAATCATCGTTGACTGAACATACTGCTAGCCATAGAATATCATCAGATGCACGACCTATGGCTGGGTACCATTCGGATTACAGCATCCCTACACATGAGGACACAGAAGAACAGTGGGTTGATTCTGTTTGTGGTGTTCCACGCTCCTTCGTGCTTGCCAAAGGTCCGTGACAGCTTAACAGTATCGTTTTGTAAAGTGCTATTGACTGAGTCGGGCAATTGAACAGCTACGTAGCCTCATGCAATGCGGAGTATCTTTGCTTACGCCAGGATCTTCGAACCACCTGGCTCGAAAGAGAGGACTTGTGGCAAGTAATTCAGGTCCCCGACCTTTTGCTCAGACACCAGCCATATTCCAGACACATCAAATCTGGGAGCGGCATCCTTTGTCAGAGGTTTACAATCTAAAAAGCTTGAGACTCATTTGATGCATAACACGGTAGCAGGCTACGAGTTGTCACGGCCGTCATGTGGCCCACGCTAGAGCAGGGCACAAAAACCATCCTTACGACATACTCTTGGTGGAAGGGACAATTTACCACACCGCAATCTTCCACCAGCAGGGTTGACCGGCGGCGTCATTGGCAAGTGGGCCATCTATGACGCCCTTTGCGACGTGCTCTGTTATGCTTTTATTACCCATGTGATAGCAGACTTCTGTAAGGGGTCTGTCACATTGTTGCGGGTTGTTGAAACCCATGCTCCACCTCGAAAGTGCTTAGCTATGATATCGTCGAACGAGGCTGACCATAGTGCTCGTGCAAGGGCCACTAGCTGGTATTGTCCTTGTGCACTCACCTTGCCCAAGCTAGCAGGGCTGAAGCGAGTCTTCAAAGTATAAAGTGTGGCGAGATGCATTCGCATTGGACACTTAACGTGAGTAGGAAGGATATGATTGAACATAGAGCGGGTTTCATATTCTGACGCTGCGATGTTATGACCTAGCGATCCACCTCTACTCACGCGCCTGTCTACAAGACGATGAACTTAAAACCCTTTCCTCGGCAGAGTGAAAGAAAGTAGCCATTCGTCGTCTCAGTCCATCGTCACAACAGACTGGACACGGGAGGTTGATATTAGCTCCTCCGGAGGGTACAAATAATACGTCAGTGTGATACGCCCCAAAAGCATGCCTTAGTGTCGCTGCTAATGCAGCCGCCTGCGCGGAAAGGCGACATTCCGTTGCAATCTCCGTATGGAATCCTTCTTCGTGTCTTCTAGAGTGATCCACGTACAAATTCGTCGCAATCTATGTCGATCATGGATACATGATGTGTTGAATCGTCAACATATGTCTATGCGGACTACAATGTTGCAGGTACTCCGTAATGTGTAGTCATCTAGGCAGCTATCAGTAGTTTCTGCTAGTCGACACTAAAGGCAAAGGAGTGTGCCGTCTGATTTTAGTCGGAACTCTATGTGATCGATCTTCTTTACCAACACTGATTAGTGCGACTGGCAAGGAGGCGGTCAGGACGTCCTGACACTTTAATGGGCGGGCAGAATAACTTTCCTCAACAATCAAGCTAGGAGTCGGAGCTGTTCTCGTGAATCACATTCACAAAGAAGTTCCAGATCGGTCAACTTGGTGCTTCGATTAAAGTCTTCGTATCGAGCAGTCAGAGCCGAGAGGCGGTGATCATGAGCTTTCGCTCGCAGTAGTATCTTGCGACTTTCTGCAAGTCACCGATGGTTGCAAGGAGTTACTCCAAGATCTGCGCCAATACTCTGGCTTTCGGGGCAACTCCACTATCCGGAGAGCTTAGGGGGCCCTCGTTAGAAGAAGCCGCCCCTTCAGGTTGACATACGTGACTTAAGTTCGTGGACCAGACCTCGATCCTGAACTGGGCTGTACTTGTCAATTCACCAATACTTTGTGTCAGAAGTATGCTGTAGTCCAGGTTATCTTGTTCAATCAACAAGGAAAGTCCTCTGAGTTCTGGGTATAGACGTAGGAAGATAAATGCGGAGGAAGTGCATGGAACAAAGCCATCGCGGGATCAGCTTTGAGACATGAGCTGGCGCGAGCACACATGGTTAGCAGGATTCCTGAATGTTTGCAGACCGGTCAGCATCCAGCACTTTCGCGCACAGTAGCATAGTTGGTGCCAAGACATGGCCGTCTGTACCGTCCAAGTGTGGACCAGAAACCAAAGCAATGTGATGAGCCAAATCAAACTTCTTGTCCGTGACACTCCCTCTCTTGGCCGTCAATCAGAAGCCGGGCTTGTGTGTACGCATCAGACAGATACTGATTCTTGAGAGCGACTAGGTTGCTTCACCGCTACTTCGTAAATGAGGACGACATAGTGAACCTTACTCCGGACGTGTGCCCACATTGTATGCCCAGAGACCCAAACATCCTTGCGAGAACCCAGGTTTATTTCAGTGGTAGAAAGATGAAGATTCGTGGCATCCCTCATTGAAAATGCGATCCACTCGATGTTCTGTTCATGCGGAAATTTCAGATTCCGTTACTGGAGTTCCGCGGCAGATTCCGCTGTGCAGTGGCAAGGTACGCATCGGGTCCTTTAGTAACGGCGTGAAGTTCTCCATAATAATCTCATCCAGCCTAGCTCGAGCTAGTACTGAAACCATTTCGCCGCGAGCACTTCACATGCTACCAGTAGTCATAGAGTTTTAGATGAACAAAAGTTCCAGCCGTACTCACAGCGCCACGAAGTTTGACTTGGAACTGGATGTCTGCAAGGAAGTCTCCTAACCCACTCGCTATTTGCGGTTCGGTGCCGTGTTAGTGAAAACTACAGCCACGACGAGTAGCAGGATCGCTAATAATCTTTCGCCTGATATCAGGGTTCCAGTAGATCAAACTTCATTGGAAGCGTTAGCTCTCTATTAGAAATATGATCCGTTACCAACTTGACTTCGTCACGGAGATCAGGGAGTGAACCGAGGAAACACGTTCGGCAGTCCAAGATACGAACAGAAATGTGAACGGAGGCGCGATAGGTATCCACGTATTGGTGACCAATGCCTGTTGCTGGTCGCCATACTCGACTCAGGTGTGGCATAGGGAAGTTGTCGCTTGGCTTCTACAGCCTAAGCCGATCCATTATTTCGTCAACCGCGAACAAAATACAGCATGATGTCCTTGCCTTTGTGTTCTTCTGATATTAGTGTGATTATCTGGGTCGATTCAGCACCCGCATAATGTTCCCGAATTCGAGGTTGAGTGACGCTCGGTATTTTTACAATCAAGTGATAGCCACACTCTACTGTGACCGAGACTTCCTGGCAGGGATCAAATTAGCGATCGCGATGGATACAGAGCTCTCATAACAGCTCTCACATAGCAGTGGCCGCGTGATGGCATCCTGGTCAGCCATGATTGCCTTCTTCCTCACAAGGAAAGAGGAACCGCTCGACCGAGCTATTACACTTAGTGCACCTCTCGTTGAGGAGCGTGACATTCGTCGCAATATGGATCACTCCTCCAGGTCGAGCGTATCTGCATCCCTCCGTGACAATACCAAGAATGACGACGATCCCACCCCTGGAAACGCTAATAGTGATGTTTCCCAGTCTCCTATGGGGTCATCCTGTAGTGTTGAACATGCACACACCGTGTTCTTTGAAGTCCTCGAAAGGGGTCGTCCAAGTAAGTCACGCAGAGGTATAAAGGGCGATATGCTCATTCCTCTGCAAAGCATACCCACCTGCTAGCACCTACCCAGACACACGAACAGAAATCTCACGGGCTTAGAAACTCTGTGCTGTCAGACTCCGTCAGGCAGTGAAGTAGTGAAGAGTATGGCATCCAAGCATATCATGCAGGTACACCACTGATCTAGAGCCAGGTTCCACTGAATCTCGATACCCCAAGTATCAGTCAAGTAACTTGAGTAAGCGAACCATGTCGAAAGACGTGGCCCTGCTCGCAATACAGCAAGCGCGTCTCGGCTTCCGGAATACCAGCCTCCCTAGACCAGCTCACCAGCCTACTGCCAACAGGCATCCGAGACAGAATCAGCTTACAGCGACCGCGACTCAAGTGAGCAACGTTGTCAGCCGTAACGACCTGCTCGCTGGTGTCGGCACGATGTTCGACGAAGAACCAGATTTTAGACCGCAAGAGTTATCTCTTTCGAGCAATGGCTAGGCCAAAACGCGTCGCTGTATCGCAGCCGAATTAGGAGCTAAGACGGTGAAGTCAGTTGATCGGTCGGTCAAGAGTATGGAGAATCGAGGGTGTATACTAGTCAGATGGTAGGAGTCCAGGTGCTGATGCTGGATCGTGTGCCAGCAGCATTATCTCCAACCAGCTTGGGACGAAGCGGTAACGTGGCCAATACTCAAACCTCATGCTGACGGCAAGCCCGAAGAGACTTGATGCAAGCACACCTGTAATATAGTATTTCACAGCTTCTTCAGTGTAAAGACGTCAGTTGGGTATCAATTGTTTTTAGCAAGATTTCAGTCACAGGAAGAGCCCAAACACATCATCCCTGGATTGGAAGGAGCCAATTAGCTCATGACCTGGTAGCAGCTCTCCTGCTCTTTCCAGGTCTGCTTGCTGGCTTGCCCTTTCCCTTCATTCTCTTCGCCGAGAAACCTCGCATATCGGCACTGCTCTCCGCAGTACCTGACTTTGAGAATCGCTTCTTGCCGCCATAGCCAAACTTGCTGTCCTTTTTCTGTCGTTTTGCGTTTAGTGCACCACTGCGATCGCGTTTTTGTGTCGATAAAGTGTTGTCGACACTGACTTCCTGAAACAGGTCGTCGCCTTCTGTGACTCTGCCGGTGTCGTTATCTTTTCGTTCTATGCAAGGTTAGCTTCACTCCTAATAGCTGACAAGATGCAAACTCACTCCTCTTGAGCTCCTTGATCTTGTTTAGCGTGTCTCTCTTTTCCTTAGATCTCTCTTGCTCCTTAGCAAGCTGCACTTGCTTGCCGAACTTCTTAGCATCACGCAGCTTTCGAGCTTCGTTTGCTGCTTTCTTGCTCGAAGCCTCGTCGTACAGCTTCTTCTTGACTTTGTCCATGTGGTCGTCGTTCTTGGCCATTTCAGCAAAGTAATCTGGGGGTCTTGTGAATGGGACCTTCTCCTTCTTCAGCAAATCTCGGGCCTGTACTGTAGCATCACGAGCAATTTTGTAGAACATCAATTCACGCGTTTCGTCGTCCATCGCATCTGGTATCAACTCGTCGGCTGTCTTGTCGGTCGATGTGATTGAATTGTGGAAATGGAATGGGTGTTTTGGCTTGTCTGAGACAATTGCGACCCTCTTTCTCGAAGCGATCAAGGCAGGGCCATTGTTGATTGTCATGCGCTGATGTGGCACCACGTCTTCTCGGTCCTCTTCCTCCAGATCTGAATAGTCCACATCAGAATCTTGCTCTGCCTCTGACGCTGATGCATCGGCTGTGTTCTCTGGCTGTGGTATCGTTTCATTTGTCGTCTGGTCTTCTGTGTCGTCCTCATCTCCGTCTTCAGAGTCCTCGAACTCCTCGAAGTCGTCTGCTGCAGCAGAAGGTTTTATGGCGGCTTTTTCGAGCTGCTCGGCGGATGGGACACCATTGACAGTCTTTCCATCCTCCTCGGCGTAATCTTTTGTTTCTTGTTTGGCGTCCTGCTTCTGTCTTCTCTTCTTTTCTGCTTGTTTCTGTACTTTCCTGCGCTTTTCTGCCTCGTAGTCTCGTCCTTTTTGCGCATCCAATGCGGTCAGCAATTTGCTCTTTTTGACCATTGTGACGGTTTTGAAACCTAAAGGTGATCGGTTCAACAGTCGTTTATGAAGGTGCTATACACAATTTCGGTTCAATTTGCGATCGCTGGTTACAACAATTTGGAGACGAGAAAAATTGTTAGAGGTCAAAAACGGTACCCCACAAAAGCTGACAAGGACTAACTAATAGTTAAAATCGCGCTTATTCTCCGAGGTCTTGGGGCTCTTTTAAGTGTGTGCATGATCACGATCTCGGAGCTGGCGCAGTTCATACGCGACGCGGCATAGCAGGAACTGCTTGCTCATTCTCTCGACTGACAGGCACAACAAGCAACATACTCTCCTCCTCGAGAACACCAGTCCACTTACTAGGGTGCGATCAGCCTATACCTGCTACAACATGTCTGTACAGTCTTCATCTCGACCACAAACAGCAACTTCTACCTCAGCGTCCGTAGCGGCAGCACCACCATCGGAAGCAGCAGCCAAACTCGCGGAGGCCATTGACGATTTCCTGGGAGATGTGGAGAAGAAGTTTAAGAGCATATCCGACGAGATACTGACGAAGCGTGAGTGACCTGGTTTCTGGTAGTTGTTGACGTGCAGATGTACTGATGGTTAAACAGTGGACGATATGGCAGAACGGTGCGATCGACTCGAACAGGAGATGCTTATGAGAGACGCTAGTTCGTCCAAAAGTACGCTTGGCAGTAGTGGTGTCAGTCTGGATTCGTGATATACCGTGGCAGGAGTCTACCTCTTACACATCAGCATTCAGCATCATAAAGCATTCGGCGCAGGACCGGATTCAGCGTAGGAAGATACAGGTATTCGGTCAATGCTCAGGGCAGCAACCTCAAATCTATTCCTAGAACGCCATGGCCTTGGACTTTTTGACCAAAAGACGTACTCGCCTGGACCAATACTATCATTCAGAGATATCTCTGTTTATATCAGACGAGTTCCTTACAACTCATCCCTAACATCTCCGGACTCACCATCCTTTACCAAAAACTTGGCCAGGATGTTACTCCTCCTCTGCAGATCATCGATCTTCTCCGGCGCAAGGCCACCCTTCTTGAGAAGACCTGCCAAGCGTGTCTGTTCCTTCATGGCATACTCTGGGTTTCCAGTGAGCTTGGCCAAAGCCTTGAGGTAATACTCCTTCGTCTTGTCGGACACATCCTTGGCAGCCTTGGTGAGCTCTGCCGATGCCTTCTCAACATCACTGAAGCCATTGGGGGTAATGTATTTAGCAAGAATCGAGTCCAGAGCCGCGATCGTGCCAGCCTTGGTGTTGAGTTTTCCACCAATCATACGGTTCACGCCAGTCTTCTCATTAAGATATTCGATAAAGGCCTCCTCGGAACGGGCACCAGCATACGGAGATGGTTCAGCAGAGCCCTTGGGGAAGAACTTGATCGTTGGGAAACCACTGATGCCTTGCTCTTGAGCGAGAGACTTGCTGTTCTCAGCCTCGGCATCGACCTGCGCAATAATTACGTTAGGTTCGGCGGCGAAGTCTTCTGCGAGTTTCTCCCAGGTTGGCTTCAGTGTCTTGCAGTCTACACCACTTTGTCAGCATACCAGGCTAGGCAATAAGAGTTGAAGAAGAACTTACGTCCACACCACGGCGCGGTAAACGCAACCAGCACATCATTGTCCTTACCCACCTGCTCCTTGAAGCTCTTCTCATCCAAAATCTGCACATGACTTGTCGTCTTCTTGGCTCCCTTCGGCTTGACGCCGCTCTTCTCTGTCACGAATTTCTGTAGACTTTCCAGATCCCGCCCACCATTGTAGTCAACAGGCTCAGAACCTGGCTTGCCGTCGAACCATTTCAATGTCGGAAATCCCTGTACACCGAACCTTTTGCCTAAAGCTTTGTGTGCATCGGCGTCAACATTTGCAATTGAGACTTTTGAAGATTGAGATCCGAAGGAGGCGGCTAATTCGTCGTATACTGGGGCTAGGTTCTTGCAGTGGCCACACCTATAAAGAAAGAATGTTAATGTATCTATTCTAGGTGTATGCAGGTAGCCGTAAGCATGGGTAACTATCATACCAAGGTGCAAAGAACTCGACAAGTGCTGGCTTGCCAGATTGGAAGACAATCTCGTCAAAGTTCGAGGGTATCAGGTTCAGCACAGCAGATGCGCTGGCTGTTGCCGCAAAGAGGAGAGACGCTAACCGAACCATTTTGACTTGCATATGTCCTCAGGACGGTTTGGTCTAGAGAAAGTAGAACTGGTTGAATATGTGTAGGATTCGACTGTGCACAGTGAATCAGGCCTTGAGGCCAGCTGGCTCCAGATTTCACAATTCCACCGCCACATTTCGGCAACGTCAGAGGCTAGAAAGAGGAAATCTTTGTGGCCTGAAGATTCAGGACACAAAGTGTTCATATCACTCCGAATGATCAATTGAGCAGCAACAGTAGTGGAGGTGAAGCTGTCAAGCACTGAGAAAGTCGTGCAACGAACAAGATAGATATGCAAGAAACTGAATGCCTAAAATGTCTGCTATGTAGACACACCTCTTGAGTACCTCCATTACATACTATAATCGTTCTGTATGTCCAGATTTGCCTATATTACAACCAATGGTATTCTCATGGACCAGACTCACCAAGCATTTATATCAGAAAATCTCTCGCTACCATCATCATGCGCTTAGAAGCGCCATAAACAAAATTCGTGCGGTCGTAATGTACAGTATTAAAACGCTATGTGTCTTACCGAAACCTATTCAGCCAGCGTAGAGTTGATTATAAGCACTGTGGGCGTTGAGGAGCACTGACAATAAATTAGTACAAAATCAATACATCTTTCACACAGACTTACTGTCAAGTATCGACATTTGAGCTTCCTTACTGCCACACGCACATTGAACGGTTCCGCCAGCTTTGAGGTCAAGAATAATACTCCACGCCATCTCCTCGCGCTCCAAATCTGGCAGAGCCGGCTGATACAGCTCGTCGAGATGGATTTCTCGATTTTTGCCGTGAGTACTGAAGTCGTTGATCGGTGGTGCGAAGATAAGGTAGCCTTGATTGTCCACTCGCAGAAATCGACGCTTCCACAGAAGACCTTCAGGAAATTGTACATTGACTTCTCCAATGTCCACGACTGATCGTGTTTTGTGTTCGGGCATTTCTGCTTGCTCTTGTATGGTCTCTGTATGTAGCGACTCTTGTGTTGGCGAGGTAATTCCGGAGGCTTTAGTACGTGGTTTTCCAAACCCTGACAAGCGTTTCAGGACACGACTAGTCCTGGAGGCTCGTCTTTCTTCAGTGATTGAGGATGTGTCACTTGGCGGTCTCGATTGCTTTTTGGGACTACTTGTGATCGAAGGTCTTTGTGACCTCTTCTCCACCGGCGACAAGTTCCTGGAGTTTGCTCTGTGAGATGAAAACGAAAAGTGTCGTCTTTCTGATGTTGTACTTGGCGCAAAAGAATCGCTCGAATGAGTAGTATCGTGTGAAAGAGGCGACGGTAAATCGTGTTCTTCTCTGGTTTCATGCTGTACAATTAAAGGACTCCAATGCATTTGAGCGTCATCACCTGGTCCTTGTGGACCGTTGCTCGGATTTCTAACAATACGAGCGGTAATAGAAACAGTTTCACCTTTATGCGTAGGTGAGTACACTTCAGTACCTGCTCCAGGCCGCTGAACAACAGGACGTGCATTGGCTTTCGCAATTGCTTCCTCCAAGACCGCCGTGCGAGGAGAAGGTGATGGGCTAGGCACCTCCTTATCGGGCGTGCGATCAGTGCGACTGGAGTAATTCAGGAAAGATGCCCGCTTGAGCATGCCAGAAAGCATCGTTCCACGTGTGTGATCCTTTTCCGCAGCTACCGAGCACGCATCGCTATCAGGATGGCTGAGACCTTCGAACGTCTTGACTCGGGTCGAAATGCCTGCTGATATTTGAGCTTTCTGCTTGGGCAATGCTGGTACGGGTTCAGTTGATTGAGGTGGCCATTGTGGCAGCGCAGTCGAAACGCTTCTCGTGCTCCCGGCTCTACTGGTCGCCCTTGGCTTCTCGGGAGTGCTCGCTTGACTGCCGTACGAATGAGATCGATGTTTTGTGTTTGACATGTCAGAGTAGGTACGATCGCGCGACATATCTCTGGTTGGGATCCTTGACAAGACCGGTGTCATCGGAGCTCTATTGACGGACATGGATGTTGCTTCCTGTACAGTTGCGTTCTGTAGCTCTTCCATGAAGGATTCTGAATCAGATACCTCAGAGGGGTCGGTCAAAGCACCTGGAATTGTAATACGACCCTCAAATTGGTGTCGCTTCTTGTTCGGCTGGTTTGCGGACACCGAATCAGACATGGGCTGCGATTCGAGACTCTGGACAGAGGCCAAATCTTGCCGCTCGTGCTGATTGAACTCGGGGTGATTGATCGTGGTGATGCGATCACTTTTGGCTGCGGAGGATTCGTCTGGTCCTGACACTATGACTGGGCCGTGTGAAGCGCTATTGGAAGTATTGGTATCATCTATAGAGGTCTCCTGGTTTGTACATGGATCTGCGCGTTGCTGCCGCCCATCATTCGCTGTCGGTGTGGTCGAGCTATTTGTGTCCGAAGAAAGAGAGGCTCGTGACTTGTTAACGATGATGCTCATTTCTAGCGATGTTGCATCGGTGGAATGGTGATCGGATATCGTGATGACGGAAATTGGTGAAGTGGTTTCGGATTCATCAATGCTAGCTATTTCAGGGATTTGCGAATTGGCCATGCGACTTGCATTGTTCGTGGAAGAGGCGGCTGTGGACAGATCGGAAAGGCCAGACTGGGTGCTGTCTGTGCTTGCCATGGTGCTAGGAGGCACCAATGCAGTTGCTGGGGCAGATCTTTGAGCGAGGAGTTGATTCCGTTTCCGCATCTGCAATGCTTTCATAAGTCGCATTTTCTCGGGCGACACATTAGAGCTCTCTGCAGACAGTGTTGATGTCTGCGATTGCATTCGACTTGCAGTGGGTCGCGAAACAGGTATCGTAGGTTCAGTAGGTGAAGGGAGTGGTGGGGGAAGGTTTGCTGATGGTACGAAACGAGCTGGTACACTCCTTGTGGATTGCTGAGATCCTGGTCGCGACGGTTGGCTTGAGATTCGACTCGAGACGCGGACTGATGTGGGCAGATTGGCAACTCGCCTCACAGAGACCATGTCTTCAGAGTAGCCAGCAGTCCTTGGACGCCTTTGCGATTCCGGGTGAGGACGTAAAGCGCGATCGTGTTTTGAGCTTGTAGAGGCAGCGACATTGTTTGTCCATTGGCTAATGTTAGTCGATTCAGCAGCACTGAGGTGGTTCGAGTAGCGAATAGGGTTATATTCCTTTGGTACGGGCCGCCTTGCATCGTCGTCAGAATCAGAGTCGAAGGATGGAATAACCACATCGTGGAGGTATTCCGGATACGTGTCGGTGCCGCCCTTTGGCAAGCCAGTCGAGATCTTCTCTGCAGGTGGTACAGGCAAGTCCTTATCGATGATTATCGAGCTGGATCTTGGTGGAAATTGTTCTTTCGTTGATTTGGGAGGAGCTTCTGGAGAAGGTGCCACGACAGTTTCCTCAGCAGAAGCTGAAGGTTCCTGACCTATTTGCCATGCGTCGACCTTTGTCTCTGACTGCATGCTCTCCTGTCTGCGCTTCGCCAACATCGCTTTTGCTCGAATAGTGCTGGCAGGTAAGCCATCTGTGATGCCGGGGTCGTCCCTCTGCTTCTCCAGTTGTGGTACTACACTACTTTGAATCGGCTCCTCCTTCATGCTAGGACCCTCTTCGTTATCTTCAGCAATTTCATTTAAACGAAGCGACGTCTGCGAAGGAGTTTTCGAGCCGGAGGAGTGCGACATGGTTGATAGTCGGAGGGCAGATTCACTTAACTCATCGGCATTGGTGAAGGGGAAAACGGTATCGTGACTGAAGGTATCGAGAACAGACTGAAACTGTACTGCCAGACGAACTAGGAAAGTGTTAGTCGGTGATGGGTGTGTTTCTTCACTGATATATTACCTTGCAGCAGTCGAGAAGTACCTTCAGGAACATATTTCAGAATGAACCTCTTCCGTCGATAGTGAACCAGACCGTACAATGGTGACTTCTCTTCATAACCTTGGATAGCTCGTCTGGCTTCACTCACACCTCCTGTGCCACCATTCAACAACGCCACGGTGTCGCGACTTGCATATCTGAGCAGAAACCTGACACAACCATCAGTAACCATGATGTAATCTGCATTATCTGCACATACCATCCTCCTGCTTCTGTTGAAACGTTCTGCAACGCCTGAGCTATCACTTCGTCGTCAAGCCCATTCAGCGACATCGTCTCAATACATCTGGGTAGGACAGAGGTGAATACTGTGACCCAACAACAACATCAGACCACGAAGAAAGATTAAAAATAACGGAGACCTGCACTATTGTGCATGGTTGACGTTCCAAACAGACTTGAGACTGAAGCCAGAACACCTGCGGCTATCCCACCGCCTAGCTGGAAGATCAGCCCGTGCTGCACGACATTTCATCAACTGGGTCTTCTTCAACAGGAAAAAGGCGTGGAGGTTCAGGGGCACTTTGCAGCCAGCGACAGCATTGTGGATCGTGTTTGAGATTTTGCTAGGCCTGATAGAGCTCTTGCCCTGAGCACGATCAGCCCGAGAAGCTTATTTGTCGTGATGATCGTCTTCGATTCGCACAGCTCGTGGTTGATGGAGCATTAATTTTCCACGCTCTCCATCACGCTGTGCCAATGTGGGAATCGGACGTTTCGCTCGATGAACTCTGGACCTTGGTCTTGGTGCGACATCTCTATTTCCACCTCGAATGCATATTGAATAAGACAGCTCTTGACGGGACAATTTGCTGAAACAATGGCCTACAGTATGGCCTTTGCACAAAGAACAGTTGCGCGCGCCTCATCAACCGTTTTCTTCGACCTCAACAACAACTCAATTCTTCACGCATGATTCTACTCAACTCCGGCTCCACGGTTGGATGACGCTTCGGAGTATGAGCAGGGATAAGACGTCAAGCATCTGCTTGGTTTCAAGTCCGACCACGATTCTTTGGTGCGGTTTACCGAAAGCTTGTTGAACTCGCGCGGCATGGCACAGGGACATGCTTGCGTTGTTACTCTCAACATGTATATGATTCTGGCGTGCGATGCTCAATGCTAAGGAGGTGTACGTAATACAAACAACCATCGATGTGATCCAAAGCATACTGCTACCATGTCACTCACAACTCGAGTGCGCTTCCGGTCTAACAAGCAAGCACCATGTCAACAGCCACTGGTAGCACGCACCGCGTCTCTGGTTCGACTACTCGCGACTTGTTCACTGTGGGTGATCAGAAGTTGGCAAGCTGATCTTTTTGATCAAAGGCTACATTGTAGGGTGCATACAGCTATCTCTACAATTCATGCAAGAGCATATTCATACTGTTGAAGCGCTCTGCACACCACTCATGCTCTGTTCATGCTTCGCTTTACGATGTTCAATTTACCAATCAGATCTGTTCGACCATCAGTCACGTGTAAGTCATTCGGTTTGGTCTCCAAGCAAAATATTACTCTTATCAGGACCCAATCGTGCCATATGCTATAGCAATACCCCCAAAAACTGACATTTTGCAATTCCTCGACCTAAACTCTGGCTCTAAAGGTAGATGACAATGGCATCCCTGCCTGCGGTTGGTGCTGTATCAACCTTAGGCACCGAGGACAGGGCCAAAGTACTAGACCTTTTGTTCGAGCCTTGTACACAATTACATACATTGTCCGTGGAGAGCTTAAAGGAGAACAAATTTGATGACTATACAGAACTCATACGGTTCGTTGGAGGTCAGCTTCAGGATCTCTACCATTCTAGACTAGAGAGTGACCAGAAATGGCTCAATGACATACTCGTGGCACATCCTAGGTTAGGTGAGAACAAAGTCGACAGCGAGCAGAGTCGCAAAGAACAAGCTCAACTTAACCAAGGCGACCCTGAGGAGGCTCGTAAACTTGCCGACCTCAATCAGGCGTACGAAGAAAAGTTTCCAGGACTTCGATACGTGTAAGCATCTCCAGCGACAGAGCTTTCGTCTGCTGCGACCTCTGTGTCCACATGACTTATTTATTTGCATAGTGTCTTCGTCAGTGGAAGAACTAGACCAGCCATCATGGCAGATATGCACAGTCGAATAAACAGAGGCGATCTCGAGAAAGAAAAGCAAGACGCTATTCAGGTATGATAATATCAAATTCACTACCTCGAGATCCGAGACACTGCAACTGCGACACGACTAACAAGTTTATGCAACATAGGCCATGTGTGATATCGCACACGATCGTGCAAAGAAGTTATTGTCTTGAGCTTCAGACGACCCTTTCATGCTTGTGTCTCCGAAGACGTTCCAGGCAGTAGCACATATCCCTGCCCACTGCAAACTATTTAGACAGATCGAGAAGATAGAACCCAACAGTCAAAGTCTTCGTTATGTAATTTAAGCTGCTTGCGCGACTCGAGGCATCGTGTTGCTTGTAGAAAACCAAGCTGTGCTTTCCTTGTTGCAGTATCCCTTAACAAAGGTGCCCGACTGAGGTAGACGTCATTTTCTGGACTCCTCCTCGGCGGCTGAAATTGCAGGCAGGTGCGACCTGCAGCAATAAGTGATAGAACACTGGCATTTATTTCCACATTACTTTCGACTGCACGAATCATATCTTAAAGCGGCTCAGTATACTAACGTGGCTTACACCAAATTCTGACAACCGTCTATGCGATCTAAATTGAGGGCTCGATAACACGTTTACCTTCACGTGGAATATCCAAATATTGTGTCTGAGTTTCACCTTCGTCTAATCCACAATAAACAGTTGTACAAGCAGAACTTACCACTCTCAAAAGCGGTTGTCGAACACGCAAAAGTGTGGAGAAAGTCCCCGACATCAGAAGACTTTCGAGAAGTACAGCACCCTATGAGGAGAGCATCTGCGCTGTTGAGTACAAGATGCGCGGCAGATACGAGGTCGCAGACTTGATCAAGCTGAGTAAATCTCCATTAGTAGAGGCACCGGCGTCTCTACCACCCAAAGAAGAATGGATGGGGTATGTTTCTTGTGCTTATGTTAAACTGGCCAAGAAGGTGACTAACACCGAGATCGCAGTCTAGTAGAATCAAAATCACGACTACCAGCAACCAGAGGAAAAACAGATGATGCATTCGGTCAAACAGAAGGCTTTCAAAAACGACCTACCCTCTTCGAATCCCGAAGGTCTACAACAGGTACCATATGCTAAACCACATTCCCACTCAACCAAGCTAATGAGACTATAGATCCCGAACGCATTCATTTAGGTCCTCCTCGAAACTCTTTCGCTTCTTCCAACCTTAGAGCACGAAACGGCACACACGAAAGAACCAAGACCAATGACGAAGAAGATGAATCAGTGAATGACAGAAGAACAGGTGCGTCAAACGGCACGAATGGTAGAAGTTATACGCGAAATCACACCGAATACAATGCTTCCGATCGTCCGAGACGTCGTTTTGATGAAGACGAAGAGGAAAGCCGTTCTAGGAGAGATCCAGACCGCCCAAGATGGGGTGGCAGGGATACCCAATCTGACACTCCCTGGAGTAGACGCGAGAAGCGAGGCGATGCTGAAGACGATGAGCGGAAAGACAGTCCTGCATGGAGACGTGGGCCCAGAGACAGAGATAATGAGCGAACTGACAAAGACCCAGAATGGGTCGACCCAATCGAAGCATCAGGGCCATCTAAAGGACATACACACGAGGAATTTATGCAATGGATGGCTAAAATGAAAAACAAAAAATCTGAAGATGAGCCTGCCACGCCTGCCGCAGTCACTGCGACAGAAGTTTCAGACACACCCTCGCAACCCCATCCGAGAGTCGTCTCAGAATCATCCGTTGCTGCTGATAAGTTCTTCGCCAAGTTCGAGGATAAGAAACCATCTACCGATATGCCAATCTTTGCTGCACGCCCAGTTAAATCCAGGTTTGCATCCATTTTTGGCTCGAAAGACGAGTCCAAGCCTGACGTTTCGACTCCCGACCCAGCAGCCACAACTCCGTCGCCCGTCGTTCAAGCTCTACAACCACCTGTTGAGCTTGAACAGCCTCCACCTAACCCGGACAACCAGAAGAAGGCCAAAGAGAAGGTTGCATTCGATAACTTGCTAGCGATGTTAAAGCAGAACCAAACCCAGATTGCCCAAGGTACATCAGCTCAGCCAAGCAAGAGTCCGTTTAGTATCGCCGAACTGTCGGCATCAATGTCTCCCAGTATCGAGGCTGCCACTTCGCACAAGTTGAACAACAAGACACCGGTTCAGTCGCATACCCCCAACCTAAGTCTAGATAGACTCATTGAATCTCGATCACCAGCACATCCTACCTACCAGAACCAGTCTGTCCAGCAGAAGCCAGGAGCACAAGACCTTCTTGACCTTCTCAAGCGAAGTAGCTTTCAAGAGCAGCCACAGCCCTTACAACAGCTTGGCTACCACCCTTATCACGAACAAAGAATGCCGCCGCCACCACCAGGTCTGGGTCCACCACTAATCAGTACGCGTAGAGATGTTCCTCGGCCCTTCTTCGAAGATCCAACCTTTACTGCTTACCATAACGAACGTGAGTATCAACCGCGAAATTCTCCACCAGGAAACAATGTGCCAGGAGGTCTTGGAGGACTTTTCGCCGCCATCAACAACAAGAATTATGCCCCGAATGCTCAAGAAGAGCAAAGATCTCACCCAGGTCCTCCTCCAGGTCTACAACGACCACCAGGGTTCGAGAACCCAACAAGACCACCACCTGGATCGGGCTGGCCTACTAACCTTCCACAACGTCAATCTGCGCATCAGTACAACATTGACATTCCACCACCATATGAACAGGCCCGAAGTATTTACTCACAGGCACCGCAACAGCAGCCTATTCCTCAAAATCCGCAGCGCAAACCCACAGGCGGTGCGCCCATGATGCCTGGATATTCCAATGTACCTCCAGGCTTCCAACCTTCTTCTACGTATGCACCACCTACCTCACCAGAGTCCGGTATACAGTATGCCATAAGAGATGGGAATGGCATCAGTGAAAGAGACAGACAGCCGCAGCAACAAAATCCATTCCTAGCGAGAATGGGCATGGGAGGTCAAGCAAGAGATAGGGGAGTACCACTACCACCTGGTTTCAGATAGCAAACGTGCATAAGGGGGGAATCCAGTCAGCTGACGTTGCTATCCAAGAATGAGATGTATCGCGAGGTAGGGCACAATGCCAACCAGGCTCGATCGTGTGACGAACACAGTGTTTGATGACTAGGCAATCTATATCCCCAGGGTGGTCAATGCACGTGCAGGAGAGCCTCAATGTCAAGCACTCATCTCTTGAAACTACGGTACTTTAGTCTCACGAAACTTGGTTCTTATGAACGTGCTCAGTGCCTATAGATATCAACATCTTCCGTGGCAATCCCATGGCCCTCATTTCCATCTTAACCTTTGCTCAATCCACCCCTACAGGTAGCACGAGTACGAATTCGTGCGAGTCAACCATGCCAGCTGCCACTATATAATACTTGAAGTCATCGTGGCCATTGACATGGTGGTGCACAAGGGAAACACACGAATAAAAACACATGCCGTACTTTCATTGTTGCTACGTTCTGAAACAATATACTGCGCATTCATTCTCTCTGGGTATCCTGAGCTGAGCTATAACAAATAGAGAAAGTAGATAAACGACTCTTACGCCTTTTCGACCACGTAGTCTGGAACATATGATATGAGACAAGACTGTTTGTCCAATTTGAACCTGCGAGTCGCTCACCTCACCGTGTTTCAGGTTCGTAGGTTTGGGTGACAACAAGGTACGTATCAATACTGGTAACCACCTTGCTGACCTACGTAGTTCGGCATGTGTGGCTGGTAACCGTGGCCTGCTGCGCTTGGTGAGTGACTGTGGCCGTATGCGAAGGAACCGGCACTGTTGGGTAGGGGACTGAAAGGCTGCGAGCCTGGAGTTGTGGTGTAGGGACTATGCATGTGTTGTTGAGGTGGACCTGCCCAGCTTGCGCGAGGATTGTGGTAACCTGGTGTGAGTTAGTCATGAAACAGTTACGACAAATGGGACAAGATATCTGACCCTGCGGTGTTGTGGCGGGAGCACCGCCATATTGAGGGAAGTAGGGAGAAGAAGCACTGTAACCACCAGGGGTTGTAGCAGAGTTCAGCGAAGGTTGTGGAGAGAGCTCGAATTGCCCAGTGGGTGGCCTGTCCTTGCCCCAGCTGCACTTGAGAGGTCGTCCGTTTACGTTATAGCCCGAGAGCTGGCAGATTGCCATGGCTGCAGTTTCGTGACTTTCCATCTTGACGAAAGCAAATCCACGATCGGACTGGAAGCGAGTTTCGACGACATTGCCAAAGTTCTGGAATAGTGGAATAAGGTCATTCTGGGTCGTGTAGGGAGTGAGATTGCCGACGTAGCAGGTTGTCTGCCAGCTTGGTGTTTGGCTCAATACCATATCGTAGGACTGGGCGCCTTGAGTTGGGAACTGATGATGGCCAAAAGGAGTGGTGGGAGTAATACCCATAGCAGCCATAGCTTGTTGCTGGGAGATTGAAGGTTGACCTTTTTGATTGGCCCAATTGCAACGAATGGCACGACTTCCAAGCCATTCACCGTCCATGCTAGACACGGCTTTTTCGGCGTCGCTGCGTTCTCTAAATGCAACGAAGCCATAGCCTCGAGAGCGACCAGTCTTCATATCCCACATAACGCGTGCTTCTGAAACTGAGCCGAAAGTTGAAAAGGCTTGCAGAAGAACTTCATCATTGACTTCATTGCTTAAATCGCCGACAAATATATGAAAATGACTCGAAGTATCCTCTTTGTTGTTCGAATTGGACTGATACGCCCAATTGACTTTGATCTCAGAGTTGTGAACCCTTCGACCATTCAGTGAATTCATAGCTCGCTCAGCAGCACCAGGGTCGTCAAATTCGACGAAACCGTAGTTGAGACCTTTTGACTGGAACTATAAATGTTAGCTAACCGTCCTAGCTTAACTAAGTACTCAAGGACTTACGTTCTTGTCTGGGATAATTTTGGCAGATACAACGTGACCAGTAGTCTCGAAGATTTGTTTCAAGACTTCCTCAGTGACTCTTGGATCCAGTCCGCCAATGTACAAGGCACGCTTGTTCGGTTCAGGGGCAGCTCGTCTTACCTGACCTCCACCAGAGGAAGGATCAGTGGCGGACATCTGCTGTGGTACAGGTGCATTGTTTTGAGGTATGACAACGGGAGGGAGGGCCGGAGGAGGCATTGTTGGGAGGTGACTTGTGCCATTTGTACCAGGAGGGCTGGAGACACCAGGTGCTCCAGCGGTGGGAGGAGGTGGCAGTGTAGTGGCAGTCAGGTTGTCGGACATGGTCAAATGGCTAGGTACTTTTTTGCAGAAGTTCAAACAGCTCAAATGCTCGCTCGACAGAAGAAAGTTTGAACAGTGACAGGAATCGGAGGAGAAGGAAATTCGTCGCAAAAGCTCGCAGGAAGGAAAAGATGTCGCAGAGCAATCAGGATCCGACCCAAGACGAGTATGAAATTGAGAAAGTGTCGACGAGGTGGTAGAGGTGGATTGAGAAAGAAAGAGGTAGGTGATAAATGTACTGGTGAAGGTAGTGACTCGAGAGAAAGGCAAGGACCGGTGCCAGTGCTAGCTGCCGGGTTGGTGTTACAATCGAGTTGAGATGTGTGATGTGGCAGAAGCACGAAGTGATTAGCGACTGCTGCTCGCTGCAGGTGAGCGGTAATAGCTAGAGAACAAACGAGGTCAATATAGGAGGTCAATTTTTGTATCGTGTGTACTGGGCTGAGGTCTCACAATGCCCTCCCTCAAGTCGCAAAAGACCGTTTGCTATACAAGGATAATTCACACGAACGAGCTTGCGAGACGAGAATATAGATTGCGAGTACTTTGCAGTTTCCTTATGCGAGGACTCATCTATAGCCCCCAAATGGACAGCCTAATTGCATGTGGAAACAAAGTCCTTGGTGCTGCAGTGCCGCGCGAAGCTCCTGAAACCCAGCAGCATTGGCCGCTGTTCGAGGGAGTATCCGTGGCTGTGGGGTATGTGGAGTCTAAAGCTTCAAAAGTTGCAGGGCAAGCAGACAAGCGTGACAAGGACCTGCAGAGAAAGTCGCACGCAGACGTCAAACGCCAACTCAAATGGCTGTTAGGTAATATGTTGGTGATTGAGTATGTTTGTCACAAGAACAGTCTTTTTCCTGCGGTAAATATCTGTTTGACGAGATGCGCACAATTCTGCCTGTTTGAATAGCCCTTACGCTATCGGGCGGATACACTTGCTATATCAAATATACGAACTTCTACCCTTCTCGCAGGCACGACTTTCAGTATATCATTACTACCAGTGTACTCACTTATTTACACAATCTAAACAGCACAATACACTAGCACCATGGCGACAGCGACACCACCACCCCATGCGCAACCTGAAGGACCTAAGGTCAAGGTCTACGATCCCGTCAGAGTAGTAGAAGGGATGTTCAGTGGCTGTCTGACACGTATGGCCTATGTACTCAGGGATCCCAAGAACTTCGGCGAGCCGAGTCCATATATCTTCGCCGAACTCCAGAAACGTTTTGCAGATGGATGCGACGATATCGAGATTAAACTCCTTGATCTGAAATGGTATCTAGAACAGAAACTGGCAGAGAATGCAACGCGGAGACAAGCAGAAGCGATACAAAAAGGGACGACCACACCAACAGCATCAGCAACGAAGAGGAAGCACGAAGAGATAGACGATACTCAGAAACAGGAACAGTCAGAAACTCCTACCAAACGTCCAAAGCGCGATGACGGAACTTCACCCAAATCTGCTGTCGTCGCAACAGAAGATCCTCCAACCTCTAACAGTAATGAAAACCCACCTGCAGATTCTGCGTCGCAGCCACGAACGGTGCCAGACGTCGATGCGCCTGCGCAAGTACAGCCGGCGCCTTCGCAAGTACAGCCGGCGCCTTCGCAAGTACAGCCGGCGCCTTCATATTTAGAGAAAGCGAATGACCAGCCGAGCTCAGGACAAGCAAAGCAAATCCCTGTGCCTGCAACCGCTCCATCGGCTGTACCGCCAGAACCAGAATTCAATGCAGATTATACTGCCAAATCTACTCCTCAAGAGACTCCAATCGAACCAGGGGACTTCTTTATCGAATCAATGTTTGGCGACCCAACCGAAGATGGTAATACTGTGAACAGCGAAGACTTGAATTCTTTTACCCAAAACAATTTCGATCAAAGCACGGCTGCTGCAGGTACCGCAGTCTCGAATACAATAAACCAGGACCAAGACTATACACAGTCACAGGCCAACTCGTCCTCCCTCACCTCCTTTTTACCTGGTCTTGAACAATACGCGAACCAACCGGACGACCCTATGAACACACAAGCGCAGACATTACCAGTTAACACTCAGAGTCAAGATCTCTTCGCGGATTTTACTGCCGCACCTGAGCGGAACGTGTGGGATGACTTTTTGGATGATGAAACAAACAATGCGGGAAATAGCACGGATTTTGCGGACATTGATGTCGGAAACCCAGAGGCTACCAATATGAATTTTGATAGTTTATTTGACGATGATATGGGAGACTTCAAGGAATTTAGTGGCGCGAAATAACAGCAGCAGACTTGTGATAGAGCTTGTGAGGGAAGCATCAGGCACTGGCGTTGGTTGCTTCTTAAGATACCCAAATTGACCTATACTGCAGGCTTTTTATTATTTTTACACGAATAGAGTGTCGAAGTAGCCGTACTACGGTACAGAAACACATCAATACAACATCTATTTCCACATCTTGCTCACTTTCCCCTTGTGAGAACTATATACCTGAACATAAAATGTTACATATCAATGATCTACCGCACGAGGTGCTCCACGCCATCTTTCAGCACCTCTTTATCGAGAATTTCAACGACGATGCAGACTCGCCTTGGCTAATTGAAGATCACAATCCCAACCACCTCGTTCAGGTGTGCAGCTTCTGGAAAACCTTTGTCACTAACTCGAGCTTCTCAAACGATAAAGCTTCTTGGTACAGGCAAAGATCAGATGAACACGGGTGCGCGGGTTATTACTCTTCGTGGATACGGATGCGCGTCAAAAATAGCCCTTGACGTTTGCCAGGGTCACATCTACCTATAAATTCATGCATGTATGGAATTGGTGAGACAGCTATTTTCCCGGTAGGTCTCGAAAAGAAGTGTCTTCTGCGCTGATCGTAGATCGTGCCATACGACATCCTGTCTACAATGGACTCCGCAAGCATTATCTGAGAACATTCACTTGCAGTTCAACCAACTCAGGCTCTGGTCAAGTTGAGAGAAGAAAGTGCCTGATGATAATCCGTGCCGTGCTGAAAGAAGTCGCCAATCGATTGCAGGCGTCAGCAGGGGGCACATGCTGCCCAAGAATACTACCCAATAAAGGAGTTGGACAGCAGGTGAGCCCCCAAGACCAGGCAGCCGTGCATGCCAAGATACGCATCCATTTCATCACTTCCAACATCCCAGCCTTATCACTTCGATCAAGTTGACAAGTGACTGCCTCGGTGATACCTCCTCTACAATGGCTCGACGACATTCCCTCGACCCGAAAATTTCATGCTTGTGGTAAGCCACGTTCGAAAGTGGACCACAGATCATCTACTGGCGCCATGGCCTGTATTTTAGACTTACCCGCCGAAGTCCTACAACTCATCTTCCAATGTCTTTTCAAAGGCATAAATTTTCCTCAACGGGAACAGCGCTTCAGGCAGTTAGTCAGCGTGTGTCCCAAATGGAAAGCCACAATCCTCGACACAAAATTTACAACTCTCTTTCAAGTTGGTCACGACTACAGATGCGAGTATAAATATGTGTATCATGAGTTGTCAAGCTCGTTTCTTTGCTCGGCGAGACAACAACTTGTTCTCAAGAATGGTGTCGAGTCGATGAGACGTACGAGGTTTGCACATAACGAGAAGGAGCTTCGTGGGAAGGAGCGGCAGGTGGAAGCGGTGGCTTGGGATAGACCTGTGAAAAAGCTGTGTACTTGACACCCACAGCTACCACTCCATCTTTCTCAGCTTTTACCCAAACGCTGTGAACATTAACGCCTGGCTCACAGACGTCTCGCTACACTGTGCGGAGATATGTGCTCGGCGATATCAGATGAGGGTCACTTTCGCATCGATTATCGATAAAAGCAACTTGCACGTTCTCAAGGAAGGAGATTGATGCTTCCTAAAGCTCTCGTTCTGACAGACGGTCAGCACATCGTTACCCATACATCTTCTAGCTATCAGAGGTGGGGTGTATGTGTGCCTGAAAGGCTGGATTTACACTTCAGACCGTGCCCGCGGACCTCAATGCCAAGTACGAAACATGAACACGGAGTGTAAACCGATCATGGTACTCGCTGAATTGTTCTCTTGTTCGGCGTCTAATTGCTACACAAGGCGCGAGATTCGGCGAAGGAATTCGCGTTGCCAACGAGACGTAATGATCAATACATTGATTCTTTTACAACACACTATGAGAAGACTCTTCGTTGAAGCTCAGTAGGAAAGAAGACTTAAACACCAAGCTCGGATGCATTGTAAGGACGATTTGAGGAACAGTAATTCCGATGACCACGCCTGCTGAAGACCAGCTGGATACTACTGATAATTTCGGGCTTCGTCTTTTGTCTCTCAGTCATGGATTGTCACGTTAAGAGGATTTTTGGTGAAGACCGGGTCCATTCACATCACTCATAAAGTACTGTCGTCTCTTGATCCAACAATATTATGTTGGCCACCAGCCAACCATTTTTTTGGACTTCTAAACTGCTAATCGAAGACATCAACGACGATCAGTCACCTGTGCACATCGATGCTTCTGAATCCCTCTTTGACAATAGATCGATGCAGCCCTTTACTATTTACCCCAATATGGGTTTTGTCATCGATCCATAGGCAGATGAACCTGTCCTAATCAGACTTCACTTTCCGACTCCCTACTGCCGTAACTGCTCGGAAAACCATCCCGTAAAGTTGTACTATCCCGGTCCACAAAATCTGCAAATATGTGACAACGCTGCTCAGAAGCGAACGCTCCTTTTCGAAGTCTCCTTCGAGCCAGATGATCTCCGTTTCGTACTTTTCATCCTTCAGGTTGAGCTCTCCTTCCATCAGCCCGTGTAGGTAGCATTGGCCGACGAGCTGATACATCTTCTCCTGTCTCTCAACCCTTCTTAGAACAAAGGGGAACTCGCCGCCATGTAGTACAGCTATCATATCACCTTTCTGTGCGAACTGTGGGAACATGCCAAGATAGTTTTCCTTAGTTGAGCCGAAGATTTTGTCTCCGTTGTAGTCGTCGATGATCTGTCGGAACAGATGTCGAACGGGGAGGTACTGCGGATCAATCGGGACCATGCCTTCTTTCCACAGGAGGTGATGCCGCCATACCTCGTATGACATGCGATACTCCCGATATGCTGCTTCGTCTGCCTCAGCTGGTGCGGGCGAGAGATCATGAGTCATATTGCAGATCAGGGTCCGCCAGTGTACATCTCTTGCATCTTGTCCAGTTGGGTACCGGCCGGGCAGAGCGTCGTTAATGATACGTGACTCGTCCAGGTGCTCGCGTTTTCTCCGGAGAAGCAAGTCCTTGTCCAATGGCTCTTTGGCGGAGGCCAGAAAATACTGGTTCGCAAGGTTTTCTATGGTGTCTATGATCGTCCCTTTCACACCTAGTTCAGTTGCGTTGTCCGACCAGTGCAATTCGGGAACTGTACCTGGAGCGACGTGATAAGACGATGGCCGACGGAGGGGATCCCAGAAACCCTCTGCATGACCGAGAGTCAAGGTTTCGTGTCCGCCGTACCAGTCCGGAATCCAACTCGGCGCAAGCAATCGATGGCCATTAAGACCAGCGCGATATAGCACTTCTAGATTCCGGGTCCTCGCGAGGAAGTATCGTGCATATCTAATGCATGTGTCCAGTATAGTGTCGATCTTCTTGTATCTTGGTTTCAGGATCGGGTCGGTAACATTGTAGCCAACCCCCAACAGAGCAAATAAGTGATCACGAGGGTCGGTGGCTCTAGAGTAACGGAATATATAGGCCAAGTCCATGAGGTGAAGCTTTTCATTCTTGGAAAGACAGTCACGCAATGTTATAATCCAGTTGAGCTGTGACAGACTTTGCTGTACTTCGGCGCCTTCGAGCAAGGTAGGGCAAGTGGTGTGGTCGAGCACAGCTAGACCGTTGTCTTGAATATTTTTACGCACATGCTGCATGAAATTCCAGTCTCTCTCCCACTCACCACAGTGGAAAATCAGCTTCCTTGCTAGAACAGTTTCTTGGATGATCCACTTGCGACGAAACCATGGCCTGCAAAAGAACTCCTTGAGGGGAGCCCACCTTTGGGGCTCTAGTACTGTCGGAAGCTGATTATCATTGATCCACTGCCTTTGCTTGTCGCTATTGATCGGAGGCGCATTGCTAGGTGCTGCGTATATCTGGTCCAAAAGGGCTATTGCTTGAGCCGTCGACGCAGATGGCTCGCCAAGGTAGACCAGAACCTGCTGTGCAGACGCATAGATGCTGTCCATGATACCGACTTGAGCACTCTTCTCTTCTTTCGTACCTTGATCTATGCAAACCGCGTCGATCCACAAGGCTCGAACGTCTTCAACACGACGAAATCGCCGCAGAACGTTGTCCAGATTTGGGGTAATAGCAAGACTGAAGTACGAACCACTCTTTTCAACTTGAATGGTATGTTTTAGAGTGATATATTTTAGAATGGTATGTTTTAGAATGGTACATGTCTCCGAGGGAGATCCCCAGGAATATGACACGGCTTCGTACGAGACTCGATCGTCCATTGGTGTGTGCTCTAGCTTGGCACGCAATGGTTCGTCTTGTTGTCCATTCTGCAGCATTAGTAGTCGGATATTTGCAGCAGGGTCCGCAAGTGTTTCGTATTTGTATTTGGCCATCTTAGATAGGCTCTTGTTCAGGGTTCATGAACTACCAGTAACAAAATACCTGAGACTCTCCTGCCGATTTTGCCTGCACATACCAGGTCATGGGCTCAGTCTGGGTCGTTGTGTTCTCAACAAGCTGACAGTTCCCACGGCGCTCTGTTGCACATTAGCAGCCACAACTATACGGCTCGTCAATGTTGCTCATGAAGTGCTGGCTGTCAGGCACAAAAGGAATCGTAGCTGTAGACATAGAGCAGTAATATCATATAGAGGAAGCTTGGGCAGTCAGTAGATACCACACCGGTTAGCCTTGATATGTCCTGCGAACCTCAAGAACATAGCTGAATGAGGAGGGCGATCAGCAGTATCAGCCGACGCAAGTTAATGCTCATTGGCTTGGAGTGAGATCGGTCGTGCTCTTGGCCAGCACTTACATGCAGTGCATAAGCGAGGCATGGCTTGTACAATTGGTTGAGATCAAGCTGTCAGCCGTGCGAGGCACGGGCATGTAAGGGCTGTTCGCGAAGCATGAAGCACATGAGCAGGTGAAGTTCTTCCGCGTCACTTTCCTTTTTAGAGTGCAGAAGCTCGCTTCTTGCCAATATCCGCTGTCTAAGACATGGGGAGTGGGGAAGTGTTGCATGGGTGCCTCTCTCTAAACTGACAGGATCAGATGTGGTACATGAAGCTGTTGAGCTATTGATGTTTCACGTACCATACGAGCAGTCACGATGTACCAGTACAAAACAAGGCAGCTGTATAAAAGTCCATGAATATTGTTCGCAATACACAGTATTCGTGTCCTCAAAAGTTTTATCAGCCATTGCATGCTTAAGCATTACCCATTCAGTCTACATCAGACTCCAGATATCCACCTAACCTCTGTAATGTAACAATAACCATTTCCTATGGTCAGTCATCCGAACATACGGGTATATCATGCTCCTCGAACGCCTCGTGTCGCCTATTCAGCTGCGTAACCCCGTAAAACATGTCTCACAAAAACAAGTCAGTAATCCATTCCGTCGTATCACAACATGATGCACAGCATCTAGAAGTCTTCGTCAAAGTTCAATCCACTTTCATCTGAGGACTCTTGGATCGTGTTAGATGCGATAGCAGACATGCCACCGGGTATCTTTTCATGCTTGTCTTCTGACTTGGCCTTCTTAGCGCTAGCCATGACACCTGCTTTCTGATAATCACCAACTCGCTTCTCGAAGAAGTTGGTCTTGCCAGCAAGGGAGATGTTCTCCATGAAGTCGAACGGATTAGTGACTCTGTAGTATTTGCTGTTACCCATGGAGACAAGCAGTCTGTCCGCGACAAACTCGATGTATTGCTTCATAAGATTGCTGTTCATGCCTAGAAGGGCCACTGGAAGAGCCTCTGTCAGGAACTCCTGCTCGATGGCAACAGCTTCGATGATGACCTTCTCGATGACCTCTTTGCTCGGGCGGTGGTTTAGATGTGAAAGCAACAGGCACGCGAAGTCGGTGTGCATACCCTCATCACGAGAGATAAGCTCGTTGGAGAAGGTCAAGCCTGGCATAAGGCCACGCTTCTTCAACCAAAAGATGGATGCAAAAGAGCCAGAAAAGAAGATACCTTCAACTGCAGCAAATGCCACAAGACGTTGAGCGAATGTGCTTTCTTTATCCGAGATCCATCTCAGGGCCCACTCGGCTTTCTTTCTGATGCAAGGAATTGTGTCAATGGCATCGAAGAGATATTGCTTCTGCTTTGGCTCCTTGACGTATGTATCGATGAGCAAGCTGTACATCTCGGAGTGGATGTTCTCCATCATGATCTGAAAGCCGTAGAAGCAGCGAGCTTCCGGCACTTGGACTTCGCCGGAGAAGCGCTCGAGTAGGTTCTCATTAACAATGCCATCTGAGGCGGCGAAGAAAGCAAGGACGTGAGAAATGAAGTATCGTTCATCGTCGTTGAGCTTATTGTGCCAGTCGTGGAGGTCCTTTGAGAGATCGACCTCTTCGGCAGTCCAAAAGGAAGCTTGAGCCTTCTTGTATGCTTGCCAGATCTCATGATATCTAAAACGAACGTTAGCACGTGTTGCTAGGAGACCAAGCTGCGGTGGACCTCTAGCCACTTTACGCGTCCATCAGACGCGTTCAAGGATTCGATGGTGGCAGCGAAGGGATAGAGAGGTGCTTACCTTAATGGGAAGAGCACGAATCTGTTTGGGTTCTCTTGCAGAAGTGGTTCATCTGCTTCCAAAGACTTGATTCCTGGAGCGACCTTGACCTCTGGAGTTGTCTTCACGATCTCTGTGACGGGCTTCTTGAGATCTTCTTCAGTGGCTGTTGCCAGCGGTTCGAGGGGAGCAGGCATGTTCTCCTTATCCTCTTGGACGAAGACAGGTTGCTTGGTTGGTGAATCCCCGAACTTGAGGTTCTCGAGGTTCGAAGCAGCCTACATGAAGTCAGAGTGAGAATTTCGTGTGCGGAGTGGCAAGCTCACCTGTTTCGACGGCGTGACTTGAGTTGCCATTGTATGTGATGATGTAGAGACTCGTTATGAACAAAGGCAGTGTAAAGCTTTGTGTATGTAGAAGGATGGTTGCTTGAGAAGATGAACCGCGAGCGAAGAAACCTCTTTGTAGGAAAATCGCGTCTCACGCGTCGACCACGCTACTAGCGCGAAATATTACGTCAGGCGAAGCACTGTCGGTTGAGTCACTTCCCTTCAGTGGCCGCTGGAAAAACGTCGGAGCCTCTGCTTGCGGCCACGAAGCACTTATGAGTGGAAGCACTTCCAGCCATCACGTTAATAGTTCGTGTCAAATAACGCGCCTTTCTCCATGGCGACCACTCATGCTCAGTCTTCGACTGAAATGTGGACATTGTCTTCGAAAGTGCTTGAGCTAGACGTGGCTCGGAGGTTGCATCGGACGGACATGAATTGTTTGGATTGGTCAAAAAGCGTGAAGATTGATCAGATAAGATCACTTCGGTACCTTCACTGGAGCTGGAGCTCGACTGGCGCGTTTTTCAGTTGTCAACAGTGTCAAGGACCTGCGACATACGGAGACTTGGCTCAATATTGAATTTACTAACCCACGAGAAGCTCGTCATACAGTACTCTGCTCCGATACTAGGTGCGGAAGCTCGATCTGTAGCTTCACGTACGCGTTATGTGTCGAGAGCTTACCTTCACAATTGAGAAATGATTTTGGAGAATGCTCAAGCCGCCCGTTGTTCCGTGTAGATGTTGTCAGCTATTGTATAAACACCACGAATTTTGAAGACAGCCTGCTGAAATGCTAGAACTACGGCCACATTATTTACATCATCATACGTGTGTCCAGATCTCTAAAGCTCGAGACTGGCAGGCTCAGATCTTCTCTTTAATGCTCTCTGACAAAGTCTTGTTCTCTACCCACCTCATCATCTTGTTCGTCTGCTCGGCCAGGGTCAAGGTGAGGATCGTATGCGGTAATATTCGTGATAGATGGGCGAAGAAGCCTTTGTAAAGAGCTAAGACACCTTCCGTTGACACAGTTTTGTACAGGCAGTCGAATATGCCCTTGTATAGATTACCGTTCTGGTTGTACAAACGAGCCATGACCGTGTCAGGCGGATGCATGACACAGCACACAACAAAGCCTGAGCAAGCCGAGCTCAGCAGATGTAGACCCGGACCATCCTGCATGCCAGCATGTTTTATCAACCTTCTCTTTGCAAAGAAATAAGTGGGTAGCTGTACGGAACTTCCAGCGCCAGTCCTGACCATGCTTGCGCCCATGCCTCGATAGAGACCTCTTACACCTCCAGCCTGGTATATTTGCTTCACACCATCCAAAGCATTTTTGTATCTATGTTGCGTGCCAACGGGCAGGAACGGCGAGTATGATTGTAACCTCGTCTTGACCAAGAAGAAGGGACTACCAGCCATGGCGCCTAATATTCCGGAAGAAGCACCAGTGAATACATTCACGCCCAATGACTGGACGTTCGGATCTTTAAAGATCAAATTCGTGGTGAATGCTCTCACTGGTTCATAGAAGCCCAGTCGGCAGCCGTTGAGTAGGATTTGGTAGACGTATGCGCATCCGATACCACGATATAAACCTCTTATGCCCTCATTCTGAGATATGACAGAGACACCATGTAACACGCCCCGATACTTCTTGACAGCCACATCTTTTGCTTGCAACTCTCCCTGAAGCTGTAACCTGATCTTGACAGTCTCGAAAGGATGCGACGCTGTCACAGCACCACAAGCTGCGATACCACCAGCTATAAACGAGCCGAGAGTAGTCGACATGGTAGGTGGAGGAGGAAAATGGCTGGCGGAGGGGAGCTGTTTAGATCCTGATTTCTGCTACACCATTGCGCGCGTACTGGCTTGCGACTGTCTTTCACTCGAATGAGGGAAATGGTCGTGAGGCAGTCAATCCGGGGGAAATTTGGATACGAGGTCCGACAACCGCAGATCAGCTTGCTCCCCTGGATAGCCGAAGCTGCAGGATAGTGGACCCTAAGTCTTTACCGCTTAGGCGCTCAGACCCACTAAAGTGTGCCGCTGAAGCGCGTTCCTGAATGATTGTCAATCAACCTGTAGTTTGTCTCCAGGTCGCATTTCCAACACCCAGAGATGTTTTGACCTGAAAAGATGAGATAGACTCAGTCGCTTACTACTACAGAATTATATAATAGGTTCAGGATGTCCTTTCCTGTGCAGCAAAAGGTACAGGATGTCGTTAGACAATATCGACCAGCGAAACATTTCCCAAATGCGAAAGAGGGTTCCTATATCACTTCACTCGACTTCGATGACCAGGGCGAACATCTAGTCGCAGCTTCCTCTTCAGATGAAATGACAGTGTACAACATTAAAGAAGGGACGAAGACGAAGACCATCCCAAGCAAGAAATATGGCATACATTTAGCAAGATTCACCCATCACAATAGACAAGTTCTTTTCGCATCCACAAAACAAGACGATTCTTTGAGACTGTTGGAGCTGCACAATGAGAGTTTCGTTCGATACTTCTCTGCGCATACCTCTCAAGTGACCTGCGTCGCCCTCAATCCAGGCAATGACACTTTCCTCTCCTGCGGTAACGACGACCTTGTCTGCCTCTGGGACCTGAATTCCAGGTCTCCTCAGGGTAAATTGAAATTGATCACTCCCTACTTGGCAGCTTATGACCCTACCGCATCCGTCATGGCTATAGCCTCCCAATCTACGCAATCTATCCTCCTCTATGACGTGCGCAACTTCGATAAGGCTCCCTTCGCTACTTTCGATCTAGCAGATGCGGAAAGAAAGTACTGCCCAAGTACTCAAGGAAGAGTCTGGACTAAACTAGAGTTTTCGAACGATGGAAAGTGGATTCTCCTAGGCACTGACTATCATGGTCATTTTCTACTCGATTCATTTGACGGTGTTGTCTCGGCTTTCTTGACGGGAAAAACTGACGGTAGTGGTAGAGCCGCACCAGTCAGTACTTCTGGCAAGCCGCTTGGCCAAGGAGATGTTTGCTTCAGTCAAGATGCGAGATATGTCATTGGCAGTTCCGGTGGCTCTGGTGACCTGCTCGTTTGGGACACAACCTTGGCTGGGAACGGCACTACTCTTGAGTCGATGGTCAAGCTCAACGGACGTGGCTTCAAGAGTCCCGTCGTGCAAGTCAACCCGCGGTACAATATGCTCGCAACGGCTGATCAAAAGGTGGTCATGTGGTTACCATCCGATCAGATCAAAAATTCTAACACATAAGACTGGGCAGACACCACATGTCCTTCACTCAGGAAACCGGCCTAGACCATGAGCTAGACCTTTGCATTGCCTAGGAGACTTCTCTCACGACCACATATCAGTACTCTTGGTCCATTGAACTTGTGCTGTTCTGCAATATCTCCTGGGCAATCACGCTCAAACTCCAACTCATCCAGTGTTCCGTCAATGGCTCTACCCAACCACTCGGACACAACGCGGTTCAGAGATAGCGTTGTGACACCTGCTCTCCAACCATGGAAGAACACGGACTGGTTGAGAGGACTCAATCGAGGATGTATCGAAAGCCGCTGCATCACCTCTTCCTGCAGCTTCAAACATTCCTCTTCCTCGGAACAACCACTCTCAACATTATCCACAATCTCGATTGGAAGTTGTAGCCTGGTAGGTACATCGTGGATTGACAGCAGCTGTAGTTGCTGCTGTAGCTCACCAAGTTGTCGCCTATCCTCAGGCCCAACAGACAAGAAGATATTACTTCGCTTAGTCTCAGTCGAGGAGCCCATGACTCGGACAATATTGCGCAGGTGAGCAGCCGCTTTACTCGTGCAGACAAGTTTTCTGCCTCGCATGACAGGGTAGATCCGATTCGGCAGTAGCGGATCCCGAGGCTCCGTCAGCAGCTGCCCTTCGATATCTTGTGCGGATGGTCGGCCTTTGTAGTGAGCTGGAATCACGATTTCTGAACTGCAAATATGAGAGATGTCGGATATAAGTGCAATGAGGATCGTACAGTCGATGTTTAGTGCCGCGGTCGGTAATACGGGTGGTGATGGGCTGATCATTCGATCGAAGATAGTTGTGAGATCTTGCGGACTCTGGTCGATTTGCTGCCCTGAAGACTGGTAGCTAGTGAGAGTCTGATCACGTTCCAGTTCGTCCGCAGTCACAACAACCACACCCAAATCTTCAATATACTCAAGCACCATGTCCATGTCCCTCAAAGCACCTCTATTGATCTTCGTCAAGTAGACTTTCACACTTGGATGCCGATGCGCCGCTCCAAATCGTGCAGATTTCGCAGCAGCCAGAAACTCCCTCGCCAACTTCACCACTTTGAGTCCTTCCAAAGCCTCCCGATCCCTTCTACTAAACCTTCTACTCCTTTTAACACCATTCCCCTGTATTCTATCGTCCTGCATCTCACCCTCAGTACTCGTCCCATCGTTGTCCTCCTCCTCCCCCTCCTCCTCTACCCCCAAATCCACCAACCCTTCTCTCGCCATATCCATCCCAACCCACTCCAAACTCTTCGTAAACAATTTAATCCACACCGCACCCCCATCAGCCATGATATCCACCGTTACAGGTTCCTTGTCTTGCCTTCTAACACTCCCTCGGGAAGCATGCACGCTCCCACTTGCACTACTCGATATTTTCGACCGCTCTCTGACGTCCATGCATGCCCGTGCGCTGTGTGGTTGCTGGAGATTGGAGACTGAGACTAGGTTTGAGTTTGGATTTGAGCTTGAGATCGGTAAATACCTGACCTGTTTCCTCACGGCAACGACACCTTTGCACCTTTTGAGTTCCGTCCATAACCGGGCTAGGAAGGCGATGTTTGAGCTGCGGATGCGGTGGGTGGCTAGATCGGTGTCTGGGTGGTTGAGGGTGGCTGGGGGTTGGTTTGTTTCTACGACTGCTAAGTTGGTGGTGGTGGTGGCGGACGTGATGTCGAGGCCAAGAATCCCACCATGATGCTTGAGGAGTTTGTCTTCGCGCACGGCGTCGTTACAGAGTTTGTTGAGGACGATGTCGGGGTTGGGTACGAGGGGGTTGGATGTGATGTGGGTGGCGAATTGGTCGAGTTCGTTGAGGAGGGTGGTGGCTTGGGCTGTGAGGGCGAGGTAGAGGGAGTGGATGTCGTTAAACGCGGTTTCAGAGGTGGATGGAGTGGACATTGTTGGTGGTGTATAGATTGGTTTTGCGTAGTTGAGGATTGGTCACCAGGTCGTGATGTATTGATTGACTAGTTGGTTTGGGGAGCCAGTACCTTGCATTGGATTCCCTGCCCAGATAAAAATGTACTTATAGTGTCCTTTCCTATAATATTAAGTGAACCAAGTGGTGTCGCAGCTCACAGGTGCACAGCATTGATATGTGTATACTCTCAGGCTGTCGATGAACAATTTGTACGGATCTTGTTTATCTTGTGTAATGAAGACTCTTGCTGGTATCGTCGATATCTGACTTTGTTTCCAATATTTGTTAGCATTGTAAATCGACCTGGCCGAGCCTTTCTGACCAGTACGTGGAGTGAGATGCCTTGTCCGTCGATCTTTGTTCTACGACGACGAACATGTTGTTATTTTGAACTCGAATACTGTATGCTTGTACTGGAGATGCATAACGTTCAAAAATACGGGTGGAAAACCGTGCGCCAGACAAGGACAATTTTATTCAGACGAAAAGGCAGCCAATGATCGGATTGTCACATCTCCATAACATTGCTGTCTACGACACCGATATCCACAAGCAGCCCTGGGCAAGGAGTAATAATGACTTGAGGCTATATATTCTCTATATATCTTGCTCATCAATGACGCCTTTCCTTCGTAGTTCGTTCTTTGACCTTCTCTGGTATGCCATCAGCCTCTACAACGTAATGATAATCCAGCATGAGGCCATACATCCACATATTTGGTACCATGTTCACGCCAGCGCTACCTATATCGTGTGTATACAGAGCCACGTTAAAAACATCCCCGTTATACGTGGTTGGTTGATGAGACATGCATCTTGCAGGATAGGGTCAATCATCAAGTTTCGCTGGCGAAGCATACTGATGCTGGGATCTTTAAGCCTGACTCGCGTCCTCCAGAGTAGGCACCTTCCGGCTGTAGCTGGGAAGATGCGCATATATCGCTTGACCAACAGGTAGCCCGTCAATCCTGATAGGATAATCCAAACTGACATAACTTCTATCGAAAAAGCCTCAAGGCCAAAAACATTGCATAAAACAGACGGCCTGGACTTGTGCGCTCTAGAGTCCGTGATTGTGCTGTTCTGCAACTACAAGTAGTCGATGAAGCCTTCGGGGACCGGGCGACCGCTTGCACAAATTCCTCGGTGAGTGCAGACTAGGAAGCAGAGGCCGCCATGACATTGATCGGTAGTAGAGGAGAGGAATCCGTCGGCAGGATATCCTGAAATATACAGCATGTTGCACCCTCCAGGTGAAGGAGCGCTCGATCGCATTCAGTAGCTGGAATAGTCAGCTGCCTTCGGCAGCCTCTTGTTCTAGTGTTCTGAGATGGGCCGTGACTCTGGTGACCAGCATCAAGAGTACAAGTTCTCATCCGCCCAATTTAGTTGCCTTTTCAACTGTGCCGTCTGGTATAAATTGTGCTGTTGTCGCTGCTGCTGATAGTGACCATTGACCTCGCTCAAAGTACCATGGTCTTCGTCTCGTTGCTGGCTTGCTTGGTTGATCAGAGCCTGGTACCCATTGCTCAAAGTGCTCGATTGATGTGCAAATAGTCCGTTTGCAGCAACGTTTGGCAAAGATGATAAGCTGTTCATATTGTCGACCATCCCAACGTCCATGCCATTCATATGAGCCCAGTCTGGGTCTGGAGCTGTCCAGTTAACAAATCCTTGGGCTAATTGATTCTGATCATTGTACCACCACTCTTGACTTTCACCGATCAGGCTTTCAACACCACCAAATAAACTTTGAGCGCTAGCGTTTGCACCTGTAGCTGCCTGTCTAGCTGCCTGCTGTTGTGACGGCACGCTCATACGTGCTTGCAGAGCGTTCCATGCATCTTGTTGCTCTTTGGTAAGTTGTGTGCTTTGTCTGATACGTCCTGAATTTCTGGTCAGATCAGCAGCAGAATGAGGCGGCAGTGAGTAGTTACCAGACGAGCGTCGTGTATCTATTGTTTCGGCTGGAGAGGGTGCCATATATGCAGTTAAACCTGCCATCTGTTCTGTCGTGAAATGATGTGCAGTTACCGTAGTTGGTAGCTGTGGGGGTTGCTGTTGCTGGATATTTTGGGCCATCAAATCTGGCACAGGGCGAGCTGTAATTTGCTGAGTCATGTTTGCGAGAGTGTCTGGTGACACCGGTCCTGCAGTCGATTCGACGGACCCCCAGCGCACTTGTGCTCGAGCAAAACTTGCCTGAGCCTCTTCTGGAAGAACAATACGCCAACGTTCAGCACATAGATGTAGTATGCGCAGAGTGCGACGTGCTGCTGTCCAGCATTCACCCATCTCCTCAAGCTGCTTGAGACCATGCACTATGTCTCTCTTTGCATTCTTGTCTGGCAAATTCAGAAGATGTATCGTGCAAGCCGAGTGAGCTATGTAGACGACCTTGTTAATGATCTGCCGCAGACCATGAGTCCTCTTATAAAGTCTGAGAAGTTTTGAGATCGCACTGGCTGCTTGAGTACAAAACTTTCGTGGAGAAATGTGTACAGGTAAAGGAGAGGTAGCCTTTGTGAAGCGTAAGAAGGGTCGATACAAGTGTATGTACAATAGTTGGAAGAACATATGCATCAATAGAACAGGCGGAAGTTGGCCATCCTTCGGCTCGAATTCCACAGGTAAATCACGTTTCCAGGCTTCGAGCCGAGTATGAATATCAGTCAGCTTCTTCAGCTCAGCTTGTTTCGTCAAAGGTTTTTCGAGAAGACCAGGTTGGTAGAAAGATACCAGCAGATCGGAAGATATTTCTGCCAACTTCAATATCTGCAACGCGACAGCTCTTGTCCTCGCAGGCTGTGCATTGGCTTGAACGATGCCAGCGTCAGTATATGGCGACCATAGTTCGGAGTCTTCGGAAGGAAATACTTCGTACTTTTTTGTGTTTGTGTGGGCGAGCTGTAGCTGAGGTTGTCGACCAAGGTAATTGGACCAACATCTGGAGAGGGATTAGCGATGTGCTCATGTATATGCCACGATTCATACTTGTCAAAGAGGAAACAGCCCCAGAACGTGATCCTCCGAGCGTCAATGTCTTCATCTGACAATTTTGAATTGTCGTTCATTGCTGGTGCATCCACGTTCAAGCCGAGATCAGAGGCCATTCGAAAGCTCATGCCACTATATACCCAACCTTTACTTTCTCTACCACATCCTGCTTCGCGGACTGACATTATCGCTAGAGCCTGAACAGTGCATAATTTAGTGTTGGCGAACTCCTCATTCTCATACAGCAAGCGTTTTGCCTCGGCGAAATAATGATCACCAGTTGTCCCCGAGTCCTCCGGATCAGCTCGAGCTGCAGGTTTCGATGAGAAGTGGCAACCAAGTGCCAACATGGCGTTTACCAGAATAGCGGAACAATACTGAGATGAGGTACCTGTTAGGAAATCTCGGTAGAAGAGTTCTTTGGATAGTGTGGTGAAATAAGGGTAATGCCAGCAGAAATACATGTTCAGAAAATGCAAGATCAGGTCTTTATCATGGTGTACAGCAGTCCAGCTTAGAAGTGCATCTTCACGTGGGTGAACAACATTTCTTTCACTAGGTCCTGGCGAAGGGGCATTATTATCCATGTCATCCAGCCAGACAAGGTTGGAAGTACCGCCAATGAACTTTACCGAGCCATCTAACAGCAGATCACCCATCTTGCCCGACAGTTCGGCGTCGAACTTGGGTAGTTCAGCTGGTTCATCTCTATAGACTGGAGAATCGGGTATGTCCTGCTCGGTTCCCTTGTTCCTTGCGTCGACCATTTGTACAAGCTCTTCAAGATTGTCTGCGGTGCGCATCTGCTTCAGCAAGTCGACTGCGTCATCTTCTTCGTAGTTTAGCAATGCGTGGATCAATGTCTGCAGGGTGGACGTTTTGGACTTGAGGCTGTCCGCTTCCTTCTTGTAGACGCCCTTGCGACGATGATCGGTATGAGGTGCATATTCGCATTCTGTAAGATAGACACTGGCGCAGGCGGCACATTTTGGCAGATTGCCGTCACACTTGCTCTTCCGTCTGCGACATGCTATACAGGCTGTGCTTACACAGCGTCTTTTGCTAGAAGCATTCGGATCCTTACTTGCAGCATTACCTTTGGTCTTAGGAGTGGTGGCTGAAGGGGTGTCGTAAGGCTCGGTGGGAACGTCTTCGACCTTTACATCTTGGTTCATCTTAAATGTGCTGCAGAGTAGGGCACGAACGACATGCAATCTGCACCAGATCAGGATATTGCGTCAGATGCACCAGGCTATTACGCTCAAGATCGGTTCTCGCAAGCGTTCAACATCTTGTTGGTCGCTTCCATGGTTTTTGCAAACTGTCTGCTTCTTATCGGTATGCGCTCGCTTCGAGAACTATGACCTGTAGAGCCAGGCGATAGTCGGAGCGTCGAGAAGATGGCCTTATCTTTCTCCGAGTTGTGAGAGAATTGATTCGCCAGTTATATTATTGGTTCGTATGCAGACAAATTCATCAAACGATACTGGGATCAGAACCACAGGTGTGTTTGTAAGCCGCAAGAGGCCACATCGGACATCAAGTGCGATACTCATGGTATTCCACCGGATATTGTTGTTTGAAGTAAATACCAGGAACTGCGCGTGACCCGGACCACTCGAAAGACGATTAATTCAGGGCTACTGACCAGCACCAATGACGAACAGGACAAAGAAAAGTAGAGACCCTCCACAACCCAAGACCCTGAGTTGCTGGGAGAAGACTACGCCGATCAAAATTTTGACCTCGCAAGACCACGTGCGATCGTCCCGACACCCTGTTTTACGCCAGCACACTAGACTCAGTGCACGAAGAGTACATTCTCGAAGGAAACCATTCATACGTGTCTATCGACCGTGGGCTTGCTATTCGAGCTCAAGGCCGCGAAATGATCGTCTATTTCCTAGCTTCCTCCTCAATGCACGTGACCGCCAATTTTGATACCTTGCGAATGCCGTACACTTGCCCAAACGCTCTCGCTAACTTTAATAGGTAGCTTCCTACCTTTCAACTTCTGATCGATCAGCCATAATCCGACAACAAATTGCTGACGATGAAGGACCAAGGGTTCGTTCGGAGCAACTAGGTCGTAAATCTCCTCAAGGACTTGAGCTGACAATCGACTACGTTCCCAGATGTCTCTCACAACCACGTTAACCACCTGATTGCTTTCCGACTTGGGATCCACGAGCCTGCTTGGAGATGCTCGTGGATCGGTAGCCTTCAGAAGGATGCCTCTGTTGGCTGCGAACACTCCTTCATACCGCTTTCTTTCTGCTTCTGTTACCTTGTCTCGCCATCTTTTGCGGTCTCCTTCGCGATGCTTATTGGGGTGCTTGCGAACGAGATGTCGGCGTCCACGCTTTGTGACTTCAACGGCTTCATCATCGTCAGGGGAGGCCTTCCTCAGTGTCTGCTTCAACGGCTTCTGTGACACATGCACGGTAGGACCCTTCACAGATGAAGCAGGCAATTTATACAAGCTATTAGCAGAGACTGACCTGCGAAGTAAAGCATGATCGTAAACTTTGGTGGGCGATGATGTTCTGGTAGAAGCAAGAGAAGAAGCAACCATAGCATCTGCCATACGATTGATTGCATCTTCCCTGGATAAGCCCTGTAACTGCCGCGAGCCTGTCAGGTCCTCCTGAAGAAGACTTCTTACTGGAGGTCGACCTGTGCGTGGTGCTGGGATAGGAGGTTTTGGCTGCGCTGACCGAGACTCTAGAGACTTAGAAAGTGATAGGCCTACAGCGTGTAAATTGTCTGCGTTGTATGAGCTACTTTTGGGATGTGGCATAGCTACAGGCCGTGTCATCTTCGCGGTAGTCGGCCGTTTAGCTGGCTCATCGATGGCATTTGCTGCGACAGCCAGATCTGCATGTTCGAGTGACAGTGTTGGCAATCTGTTGAAATCAAGATCTATGGTTTTAGTCGGTAGTTGTCTATTGGGCTGTGGATTGTAGGATTCTGAAGCGATTGATGGCTTCGATCTGGTATTGTCTTCACTGGATCCTGTTCTTTCTTTTCGCAAAACGTCCCTAGGGAGAGACCCAGACTCTTCGACCCTCGGGGTGCTACCAGTCCCATTTCTAACAGGACTGGAGCTTGCTGAAGCCAGACGAGCAGCAGTTAGAGAAGAGGTTTGGTCTCGTTGAGCAGCAACTGGAAGGCTCCGATTGGCAGCAGCAGAGCGAGCACCTGCGAGCATAGCATCCTGCGGACTTAGATGACGACCCCGTGATGGAGATCGCTGCAAGAAATTTGTTTGTACATCATCGACGCATTCTTCAGCTGGTCTTCCTCTTGTGTCTTCGTTCTTGAGATTGGTTTCATACTGCTTCCGCAAGTTGCTTACATCTGGCAGCTTGGGCTTGGGCTGTGAAGCAAAAGCACTTGTCGCGCCTCGAAGAGCCGCCAGGTTCTGTGAAGGTGTATTTGCTGCATTGGACACTAGGTGTGAAGGTTTAGCAGCCGGGGCAGGCTTCCGGGAATAATAGTGGTGCATGAATCCATCAGTCAGTTTTGAGATGTCCAGATAGTCAGGGAAAGCCTTCTAGAATGTGGACAAGCCGAACGAGGTGCTCGACACCACATTTCCAGAAACTCGGAGGAGTGAGTCAGGCTTATCTCTTTTGATACGAACGAGGTGCTGCTCGTCTTGTATACACAGCCCAGCTCGATTGGGTTTCAGGCTCACTCACTGGGCTGCAAGTTGGTCAGGAATTACGGAGTACTGGTACCGAGCCCCACTACTGCTGATCACTCCACCACAATCAATATAGGCGCGTTCTTTTCGTCGCGTGTTGTTCGTGTCACTTTTGGCGAACAAACGTATCACAAGCTGAATGCTCAATTCTCTGTAGCGATCTTCGTGCTTACAGCCACAAATCTAGCAGTAACTGTCGTATCATGTTTGCCGGATGGTGTTATGACGTTGAACCAAGTGACTCGTGCCTGCCATGTCCGCTGCACGCTATAGATCCATACGCTCCATTGAACTTCTTCGAGACCTAACCTTAGTGCTGTTGTGAGCTTATAGCATAGATTTCAACAATGGGTCGGCGCTATTCCGATAGGGAGGGCAGTCCCGACGATCAGGGTACGCAACCTGGAAAGATAAACTATGCGACCCAGCAAGAAGAAGATGACCGCCTGTATGCCAGTTCAGTCTCACTCTCTCGTTGCTCCTTGCTGACAGCAATCATAGATATCCAAATCGTCCGAGAAACAAACATCAGACTCTGCCTTTCCGCACGTTATATCAAGATCTCTTCGATCCCCTGCTAGCTAACAAGTCATCTAATCAACCTAACAAACGGAGAAAGGTCGGTCTCAAGGCTGTCGACAGACGCAGCCCCCATGAGATACGTCGAGCTATCATCGAACGTTATATTTCAAGATGGCGTCGAGACGTTGGCGACGACTTTTACCCCGCAATGCGTCTCATTCTGCCAGACAAAGACCGAGACCGATCCATGTATGGCCTCAAAGAGAAGGTTCTGGCCAAATACATAATCAAGATTCTGAAAATTGACAAGAACTCCGAGGATGGTTACAACTTGTTGAATTGGAAACAGCCTGGACAAAACTCGGCAGCTAAAAAGGCAGGTGATTTTCCAGGCAGGGTGCATGAGGTGATCTCAAAACGTCCTTTTCGGACACAACCAGGCGATATGACTATTGATGAGGTCAATTTACTTCTGAACGACTTGTCGAAAGCGTCGAGGGAGGACAAACAACTGCCGATCATAGAGCAATTCTACCGCCAGATGAACCCGGACGAGCTCAAATGGCTGATATGCATAATTCTTCGAGTCATGAACGTCGGAGCCACCGAGAAAACCTTCTTGAACATCTGGCATCCCGACGCTGATGCACTATTCAACATTTCAAGCAGTCTCAAGAAACTATGCTGGGAGTTATGGAACTCTTCCGTACGAATCAATTCAGACGAGGACCGTGGGGTCGCGCTTTTCCAGTGCTTTCAGCCACAACTGGCAAACTTTCAACCTAAGAAGATGAATGCTATTGTTGCCAGAATGCATGTGACTGAAGACGACCCTGAATTCTGGATTGAGGAGAAGTTGGATGGTGAGCGAATGCAGCTTCATATGAGAACCAGTACACATGTGCGAAACAAATCAGATACCGACCGCGACCCCTGGAAAGAATTCTCGTACTGGTCGAGAAAAGCTAAAGACTATACTTACTTGTATGGTTGCTCTTTCGACGATGAGAAATCAGCACTAACCAGACACTTGCGGAATGCCTTCAATGAAGGTGTAGAGAGCGTTGTGCTAGATGGAGAAATGATTACGTGGGATCCAAAAACGGACAAGATGGTACCATTCGGTACCCTCAAGACCGCAGCTCTAGATCAGCAAAGTAACCCCTTCTCGGACGGACCCCGCCCCTTGTTCCGAATCTTTGACATTCTCTACCTCAATGGTACCGACCTGACTCGTTATGATCTCAAAACCCGGAGGGATGCATTACAAAAGGTCGTCAAGCCAGTCGAACGACGCTTTGAAATCCTTGAGTACACCACTGGCCGGACTTGGGACGATATCGAGAGAGCCCTCAGGAAGGTCGTCGCTGAAGCATCGGAAGGACTTGTGATAAAGAACCCACGATCCAGGTATCGACTCAATGACCGCAACGACGACTGGCTCAAAGTCAAACCAGAATACATGGAAGAGTTCGGAGAGTCTCTGGACTGCCTCGTGGTTGGAGCTTACTATGGTTCTGGTAGACGTGGGGGTGGATTGTCGAGCTTCCTATGTGGTCTGCGGTGTGATTCCGAACCTGGCGCAGGCCCTTCCCAAAAGTTCCTATCATTCTTCAAAGTTGGCGGAGGCTTAGCTGCGAACGATTACGCCAACATAAAACATCACACCGAGGGTAAATGGATCAAATGGGATGCCAAGAATCCACCCACTGAATGGGTTGAACTTGGAGGGGGTATTCAACATCAGCGTGAGCGACCAGATGTTTGGATCAAACCCGAAGATTCGGTCGTCGTTCAAGCCAAGGCAGCATCTGTCGGGCCTAGTGACGAGTTTGCAGTCAACCTGACCCTGCGGTTCCCACGTTTCCAGAAGCTACGCAGTGACAAGGATTGGACAAGCGCTCTAGGTCTACAAGAGTTCTACGAGCTGCGTGCACTGGCAGAAACGCGTAAAGAGGAGAATCAAGCTAAAGCGAAAATGCAGGCTGCCTCAAGGAAGCGTGCTCAAACAGCTGATCGGAAGAGGAGACCTCTTCAGGTTGCAGGTTACTCTCAGAAGTCTCTGGATGGAGCTGCAAATTACAAAGAACAGAGCGAACCAACGAGTGTCTTCCGTGGCTTAACCATCTATGTTATGACTGGCTCGACTAGCCCGAAGAAAATGACCAAGGTCGAACTCGAGAAGCTGGTCAAGTCTCAGGGAGGTAAGATTATCCAGACAGCAGATGCGAGACCCAGCGATGATGGTACCCCACCCGATGAGGTTGTTTGTATAGCTTCGTCCCGTGCTGTACATGTCGCTAGTTTACTCAAGAAGGGACATCTGCCTGTGTTCAAGCCAGCTTGGATATTCGACTGCATCGCTCAAGCACATATCGACATAGATGCCGGTCTCACTGAAATGCCTTTGCGACCCGAGCTCGATCGACATGTTTTCTACTCGCCAGATGATCGTAAGGAAATCTATCAGGGTGAAGTTGATCAATATGGTAATAGCTTCGCCCGTGACACCACTATTGATGAGCTGAAGGCATGCATGAACCATATGGATGACATCAAAGACATGGATTTCGATCGACGCTTATTGGACTTGGTGAGCGAATCACCTGGCTGCATGTTTCAGAATACAGTATTGTACTTTGTTCGCCTAGAAGAAGAGAGCGATGCAACGACGCAAGATTCAATTTCCAAATCCGAAAACGCTGAAGTCGTCGCTAGGTTTGCTGGTGCCAGAATCTCGTTGAGCTTAGACGATGAGGCCACAACACATGTCGTGGTCGATGCTGGTTTCGAAAATTCCAAGGAGCTCAGAAAACTGCGGCATAAGATTGCAGAGAGAAAGCTTCTGCCACGACTGGTGACAGTTGAGTGGATTACGACGAGCTGGGCAGAGGAAACACGACTGGACGAAGAGAGGTTTGCACCCTTGTAGGAAGACTGATTGTAGACTGTGATGCGCCTCCAATGTTTGCTGGGTATACTTGAATCTCTGGTGCACGCAAGATACCAGAACTCTGTTCGAGGCTGCCCACAAACGGAAGGACCCAATTTCACGGTGCACTTCTCCTTCAGTATCGCACGAGATACTCGTTGGAATGAATCCCAACCGACAAGCGCGAAACAGCGGGTTACAGTGGCTATGAATTAGGGGGGGAAATAAAGATGAGATCATCTGTTCGAGATTCGAAGGCTGAAGTATTGGTATTCGAATTCCGTTTTCAGCCTAGTCAGTTTCCAAGAACGTATGTATGTATATTCATACAGTCAAAATGTGGATCGAATTCTATCACAAACCTCAGCACGGAGCGATAGCTCAGTGGTAGAGCAGCGGATTGCAGCCCAGCAGCTTTCCGAAGGTCATCAGTTCAATCCTGGTTCGCTCCTTGGCACATACCTTCGACCATGAGTTAACTCATGGGCAATTATTCATTTTCGTTTTTCTTTTTGCCTTTTTTCATGTTTACAAGTTCTAAAGTAGAAGCCCGGTTGTCAGGGATTCGGGGATGAGCTTAGTGCCTTAGGTACATATGTGAGTAATTATACTTAGTCGATAAGACAGGGCTCGCAGCGAGAATATTGATACTGGAGGTAGAACGGTTAAGCAGGACTTAACCAGTACCGGCTATCAAATTGTGTTGCAGGGCCAAATTACCCGAGGAGTATACTAAGTCAAGAAGAGAACGTATTCCTACATTTTTATTCAGCCTACTCGCGCACACCCTGCTGGTCTATCAAAGGTGCATTGAGGGTAGCGGTGCCTGTCTTTTGCTACGTGGATCGAGAGACAGGTTGAGCCGCTGAAACTAATAAACGAAATAGCACACTCTCAGGGCAGGGAACAGGTATTAGGTGTTCAGCTGGCTCATGCTGGTCGACAGGCCAGTACCGTGGCTGTACGGTTGAGCAGTGGTGATACAGCTGGGTTTTGCGGTCGACTTTCTGCCAACAATAGATGATCATCGGGCCATGAAAGGCGTGTGGAGGATTTTTGCAGTCTCGAGTCTGATAGTTCGATGGGAAATTCTTCAATCTTGATCTGTTTTCACAAGCGTTAAAAGCAGGTACTCTGCACCCTCGAATGATCGTCTAGTGAGCCTGGTATCGATGCGGTTGCAGTGGGATGACACTCTACTACAGCGTGCCAAAGTTAAAACACGCGTTGTACTTGCCAAGACTCGGCTCACACCGCATCTTGAATCCGCGGCAGTTCCGACCGAGTTCGGTATGAACAGGTCTCTTGTATTCTCTTTGTAAAAAGAGAGCAAGACCACCGTAGCCCGTTGAAGGCGGACGACCGCGTTTCAGGATTTTCACGACGCTTACTTTCACTTGCTCCTCAAACGACCGGAACAGCACTTACGAGAACATGTAGCCGGCTTGCGTGGGACAACGCACGCGACCATAGCGAGTTTGTAGCACAGCACGTGGTTACCTCGCATCTGCCGGCGGCTCATTACATGACCACAACGAAATGCTGGCTAGTCTGTTCAGAGGCACCTCTGGCCAAAGCAAAAGCCAATATATCGAGTCCGTTACCGACGACGCGCACACACGCAGCTTGTTGTTCGGCCAATCTCAGCACGTCTTTAACCTCTCGGCTTCTCTTCCACCTTCACCATTCGGCTCTCCACCTTTACGTCCAAGTTCGTTCGATGATCAGGCAGGTCTCGAACTTGAAGAGAAGGACATACGTATCTTGTTAGCACAGGATGCGTATGGTGGAGATGACAGGCCAACTTTGTTATTTGACAGCTTTTCTCCAGAGAAACGTACTGATGGCCAAGGAGTGATTCGATCTCCATTGCCTGCCGAATGGCGACCTGAGGAGTTGTCTCGAAACAGAAGTTCCACGTTCTCCGGCAACCAGAGCTCGTGGACGAGACCAAGTAAAGATTTGCCTGCCAAGGACGATCCGTTCTTGGAGTGTATGTTTGGGGTGCAGACGTCTGCAAAGACCAACTCCGCTACGAAATTACATATCGTTCCTGCTCATAATAGGAAATGGAACGCCTCTGAGCGTGGGCCAAGAAAAACGTCCGATAACAGCGACCAGCGTCGACGTGCTCCTTTAGCTCGGGCCCATACATCTAGCCAGCAGATAACTTTGTCTTCCTTGGATGTTGGTGGCCGCGATGCCCTTCTAGTAACCCGTTTATTTCACGTTCCGCTTGATGAGACCATCAAAATTGCCAATACAAAGAGTACGATGTCCCCAATGCTAGGTCAAGACAAGCCTCCGAAGCTTGTAGAAAGACGAGTGCCCGCTTTTGCCATTGGACTTGTACTCTATCTTCCACACCCAACTCACCGGCCTCACTCTTCTCATTCGAGGAAAGGGTCGAAATCAGGTTATGGGCATAGTCACGCGTCAGAAGGAAGCTCCGTCAGCTCAGAAACGCGCTCATGGACGTTCTTAGATGCCATGCCTGCTTCGTTGTCATCTTCCGTAGCGGCAGGGAGTGACGAGGACCAAAGAGTAGATATGGTGGTTGACAACTGGGACATTGTTCTTCGCTGCCTATTTCGGCTGCAGAATATTGGTCAGCGAGTCGTAACCGATGAGTTGCACAAAATCTTGCTGCATCAAGCCGATGAACCGCGAAACAAGTCGCACAAAGAGAGGTCTATGCAGAGATCGAATCAGCGAATACTTGCGATTCATAATGCGCATGCGGTTGCGCGATCCCCTTTGATGGCAACAGTCTCGGTAGAGACATCGAAGCGCATCGTATACGCGCTTCGCATACCCCGAGTCATTACTGGCCTTGGCTTTACTGCCGGACATTGGATAGATGAAGCGAGGATGCTGTACCGTAGTTGTGGCGGTAAACAGCAGGGTGTCTTTCTCTTCAGCCTGTTGACTGCATTTTTGGGAAGTAACATGCAATGGCTTGAACGGCTTGCACCAGAGTGGTATAGAAAGCAATTCCAGGCGAATCACAAGAAGCCTGAGGATGTCAAACCATTGATCGCTCGAACAATCATCGTGTCAGATCACAAGGGTCTTGCTCGGCGCTTGATCTACATATTAGCTTCGTTTTTGCCTGGCCGCACCGGTATCGACCGACTAGCTCGACTGGGAGAGGAGAGTTTGGGTGCATCGTCATCCTCGCCCTTCAATCACTCATTACATGCACAAAGCTCTGGAAGACGACGCAAGCCATATATGAGAAACGCTCAGCCAACACCAGACCAAGCAAAAGAATTCATTTCCACAAGTGCCACATCACAGACCAGTCTTGCCTCGGCGATGATTAATCGTAGCCCTCGCAGGCAGCTCTCTCGAAAAGACTCCAACAAGTTTGATATTGGTGGTGATGGCATTCGTACAATGATTCAGGGCGGCTCTGGCACGAGCTCTGCAATCGTGCCTCAGGCAGTGGCAACACCAATGGCACACATCTCCGTCCGAGATGGCTACTTCTCCGAAAGTGCAATAGTTGACACGAATGACAGTATCGCTTCTGCGGATCTGTCCAAGATGCTAAGCAGGGCTGCCTCGAGTCATCGAAGAACAAGCTCGGTATCAAGTAGACTATCGTCCTTTGTAAGTGGTCTGAGCGGAATCTGGAGCAACAAGCAGAGTACATCTGGAGATCGATACAGCACCACAACCTTTTCCCAAGACTCATCACCCGTGCATCAACACAAGCGTTCGAGCTCATCTGCAGTACCAATTAATCGGAACAACCCTTTGCAAATCATGGTGGACGAGCTCGAGCAAAACAACGCGATACCTCAAGAGCTGAACCCTGGACAATATAGAGACGAAATGCTACAACGCACAGACGAATCAATCAAGTTGACATCAGCGGCACCACGATTGCATGTGGACCAGCAAGACGGCGTGATTGACGTGGAATTAGATCTCCCAGGCTTCATGAGTGCGACCAGTCTCAGCCCGCCACAGCACTATTTCAATAGGAAGCGTGCCAAATCACCCAAAGTGCGTGGTGATGGTTCTGATTCCTTCTGTAGCTCAATGACCATGGCTTCGGGGAAGAGGGCCCAACACGAGCACATCAATGTGGGCGGTTACCTTAGACGTCACCACGAAGACTTTGTCCTGCATGCTGTTCGACCTTACAATGATTTGCAAGAAGATATCCGACGTGTTCTGTGTGCCGAGCCTACACCACACGAAGTCATCGAAAAACTCAGCCAAGACACCCTGTCTTCATGCTGGATACCGGTCTGCACGACTTTAGTCGCAGATACAAGATTGTTTTCTATTCACAAACTCACGCTACGTCGTCAGTACGAGATTTCGTCCTCCCGACCAACCTCGGGTACAGTCTTGATTGTTCCGAATGGGTCTACCAATTCTTTCTTGAGTTTGAAGAACGAGGAAATTGCGGATGAGGTGGTCTTGGGATTCGATGCCACCTTAGCGAAGGCAATTGAGAAATTGCTAAATGTTACCCCTGACGAAGCTTCTGGATCGGGACCTTCGACGCGAACGCATTCGAGGAATGTTTCGGTGGGCACTACTTCGAGTACACGTGCTTCAGGCATAAAGCCTGCTTCTCCAGCAAATCCTCCACCAGAGGTCTTCAAAGCCGAGCAGCAGGACCTGGTCGCAGAAGCTCTTGAAGAAGTCGTTCGTAGTGTTGACGAGGCACTTAACAAGACAGAACCAAAACCTGCTCAAAACACTGGAAGCAGACAGGATAAAGGATTGCCACAACAAGAGAATGCTCTGCGCGAAGGAGTAAGGAAGTGGATGATCGATGTTGAGCATACCTCGGTCTGGTAAGAGGGCATAATCTTGTGACGACCAAATATGATGATTCAGTAATGTGTAGAGCGTTTATCTGGACGCTTGTGATATGAGTTTTAGAGAGATACCCTATGTATGAGCCCTGTAAAGATAGTGTAAAACATACTTTGAATAGCTACGATCATGCTGGTCTATGTCGCCTCAGTCGGCCAGTTCCCAATCCTTTACACGATGGAGTTTAAGATTGCAAGTAGCACACCACCAATATTGCCTATTCCGTGGAGCCTTTCAGGTACAGGCCTCGAGGCCCCTAAATCACGTGAAATGTTAGTGCCGTGCTCTCGATCGCGTTACACAACTCATTATGCTGTCTATATCTTTGTGTCTCTTTCACGAATAAGTTGTCTGGAAAACAATGAAGGGTCTTCCCATTGTTTCTACATACCGCAAGCCACTCACGCAGACCTCGGTACTGTAATTCTGTGAGAAAGAACGACTCACGAAGACGATGATGAGTTTGTATTCCAGCTCGACGTGTCTGCCGAGAGGCTTTTGTGATCGACAGCAGCCTGGGAGTCACTATTTGTTCGACGGAACATAACAGCAACTATGGCCGAGTTGTTGCTTACAACAGCATCTCGAGAAAGAAACAATAGCGGTTCTACTCTCAAAGCTACTCGTTCAAATGAGGTGGACGAATGTCGACCACATCACCCCAAGCAGAAAATCCTGTCGTTCCGAGCAAATCTGTCAACTCACAACGATACACTTCTTAAGGACATTGTCTTATTCGGAGCTTCTTGGTTAGCAGAATCCGGCTTTCATGATGGTGATCTCGTCGAGCTGCAGCAAGTTGTGGAGGCCACAGCAATCCGCGATTTCGAGGCCAAAGCTACACAATTTTCAGAAAACACGACTTCTTCTGCCAAGAAAGAAAACATCACCGCTAATGGTACCAGGCCGACTTATCTATGCCTCGTCAATGCTTCCTCGAACGAGCTGTCGATTAAGCAGCAGCCTATCTCTGATGTCTCCATACACAAAAGCATTGCCGCGGCGTTCGGCTTCACATCGCCCTCGCAAATAGACGTCACCAAGGTAATTAAGGAAGAGTCGACATCATCTCACGTGGAAATATGTTTTCGTGATGCATATCTCTCACGATCTGATATGTGGCGTTTTGCAAGTCAGGAGCTGGTAGGCAAGACGGTCTACGTTGGACAAAAACTTCTGTTCCTCAACAGTCTCAGGGCTACTGTACGACGTATTCACGTTGCTGGCAACCATGCTCAGGTTGGCTACTTTGGCAACACTACCGTCCCTGTCTTTCGTAGCGAAGCAGCTCGATACGTCATATTCATACAAATGTCATCGGAGATGTGGGATTTCGATTCTGAAGGTGATGGCGAAATCCTTTTTAATCGTGTTGTCAACGGTTTTCTGCCCGAACTATTTAAGAGATGGTCAGCCATGGATCTTCGTCATCTTGTCAGCATCGTTATGTTCGGTCGCCTAGAGTATAGGCTGTCCGACATGGCAGAAATCCTCTCCGCCAGCTTTGCCAACCAAAACTTCTCGGCTGAAAGTAATCGCCCTTTCGATCACCAGGACTTCTATCGGGTCGTTGTCACGGATATGGCAAGTGCCCAGTGGACAGTCATCCTCGATGAGCTAAAGCGTGGGTTCCGTGTCTTTCTGCGTGACGTATCATTGTTCAAGAAACCAGAGACTGGACTCAATGCCAGACTCTCTGAAGAAGGGAACGAACAGCCTGACAAAATCACTGGCAAGCTTAGCGGGGCTCTAAAAGGCAACATCCTGGAAGCTATCAACTTGGCGGCCTCCCAATTCTCGAATGACTACATCGACAGAGATCTGATTAGAACCGGAATCTCGACCGTAGTTATTACGGCTGGCAGCGGAGTGTTTGACGTTGACAGAGATCTTCTCAAGTTGACATCAGAAACTCTGACCAATAACGGTATTGGAATAGACATAGTTTGCCTCTCGAGGATGCCCCTTCACTCTGTACCTCTCTTCCGATACCGCCTCGAAGGCGACCATGACATGAGCAGCAGTGAAGATCTTAGGGTCGGGGCGAGTCCTACTTCATCATCCAACACTACCTTGGCACTGGCTTCTCTACCGGATTTGAGCGCATCTCCAGCTTTCTCCTCTCGCAACGCAGGCCTAACTTACTTCAGCCGCTTCCCGTCCGCGTTTCCATTCCGTCTTTCACAGAAGTATGGCTATGGGATTCCTCAATGGATTGATCTGTCTTACTGGTCCTCCGAAATGGGCTACGAGAACGGTCAATGTAAGAAGAAGAAGAACCTACTAAGAAGGATTCGCAACTCGACGTGGGGTGAACCATTCGTACCGCGTGTGCGCATGTATGAGTTGCAGATGATGGGTTTGATGGAATTGGGCATGGCGGACATCTCTATACCATATCTCAATGAAGGGGCAATTGGAATTGACACTGCCTCAAGGACCCGAAAGAACAAGACAAACGAGTCTAACTACAGTCGAAGCCTCTCACGATCACCCGAGCTTACAAAGAAGACTTCTGCTTTGGCATTGAAATTCCACAAGGATATTGGACCAGTGACAGCGGACGACTCATCCATTGCAAAGACAAAGAGAGTAATGAATCAATATGATGGAGATGTGTTCACAATGATGTCTTCGAAGAAAGAGGAGCGTCAGCATCACAACACGATGAAGTCTGCTAAACGTGCTGATAACGTCAGTGTTGTCGAAAGTACAACGAACCAATTTCCGAGCCTTTTGAACTTCCAGACCACGCGTGTCAGTGATGACAGTGCTGACACGCGAAGCATACTTTCGTCTGCATCCAAGCTTTCTCGACCAGCCAGAGCACCACGAAATTTCAGCTACAGTGATCGCGGGTTGGTTCCATTCAAGGCCGGAACAGTCACAGCGAGCATTCAAATGGAACATATTAAAGCTCAGAAGGCAGTGGTTACTCCCCTCAAAGAGAGCCTGGAAGAAAAGAGACCAGCTCTAGGGTCAAGGACCGGGACGCTTTCACGAGTCTCACAGCTAACTTCGGCGCTCACAGGTGAAGATGACCAGTCCTCAAAACCGAGCACTGTACCAAAGAGTGACGAAGGAAGCAAACCTATCAAGATCAGCACGAAATCTACTCATACTTCTAGTCCTGACACGAGGGACAAGATGCTGCCGTCACGACAACGCAGGTATCAGCGACGTGGAAGTGGGGGTTTCAAAATGGCACAACACGAGATTTCACGTTCTTCCGGTTCTGATGAGAAGCGTAGCGATTTCACGACGGAAGACTTGCCAACTCCGAGCTCTATACCGCGAAGCAGAATCCCGTTCGTCCATAATGTGAATGCTTCTAATCCCTTGAAGCAGCGCACACAAGCAGGAGAATTTGGCAGGTGGCAACACCTCTATCCACATGGACCGCGAGCTGCTACAGTCAAGTGGCGGTCTTTGTGTACGCCAGCGTCGGTCCCTCTGACAACGGACGATTTTCCGTCACGACAAGAGCTGGAGAATGATTACGAAGTAGAATCGTACACTATCGACATGCCCGATACCGATGAGCTTTACGAGAGACCTTATAACAACATTCATACCCTATTGTTGGAGATGGCCTCGTTACGGGTAGCTCATGGCTACCAGTTCGTGACTGGAACTGCTGTTTCTGACGCAGTAGGAGGCAGCCCCGTGGATTGCTATGAAATCTACAAGCCATCCACCTTGGACAAATCCCGACTACTGGTTGTTTTGATTATGGGCAACGCTATCCAAAAGCTCGAAGTTCACAACGCACTATCCATTTCTGTAACCAAGTATGTGCAGAAGCCAAGCAAAGTTGACTCTGCGGTTATTGCTTCAACCAGGTATTGCCCTTATATTAGAACTATTCTTTCCACTGAATACTCGCCACGTCAGCTTACCCTTCGCGGCTTCTCAGAACAATACCCGTGGGCCGATGCTGACAGCCATTTAGTCAGCCAAGGTGATGCTGGAGAACATGTGGTAGAGCGCCTAAGATATTGGCGAGCACGGTTCGTACTACTTCCTGTAGAACCACCAGCAAGTACCCGGAAAAAGCATCAGGCGGACGAAGACGACGAGGAGATTCACCTACTAGGTATTCGTGCTCTGACGCAGCTATGGCAGAAGAATCGCTATATCACAACAGATGAGAGAAGGGTTCTGCAGAAGAGGATGGGATCTGATAGAAGCAGAGATGAGAACCCGCTGGAGGTGAAAATGGAGACTCTAAACCCTTCAGAGCTCATAGCTACAGAATTGGAGAAGTTAATACAGGTTGACGATGACAACCAGTTAGGGCCAACCACATTGCTGCCGGAGGTGCAAAAGCTCGACAACGAAAGTAGTATGACCAAAATTGCACAGGCTATGCAGAGCGAGACAGGTATTGACATTAAGAACCGCCGCTGGCATCTTCGGCTCCACTACAACTGTTTCCAAGGAGAAGAGTTCACGAATTGGCTTATTCAAAATGTGAAAAACATGAATACCCGTGAAGATGCTGTTGAGTTTGGCAACCAGCTCATGAAGGAGGGCCTTTTCGAGCATGTCAATGGAAAGCATCGGTTCAAAGACGGGCATTATTTTTATTCAATCAAACCACAATACAGAGCTCCACGGTCTGACCTGCAGAAGCCATGGTTTATGCCTGGTCGCTCTTCAGAGAAGTCCGTTCCTGCAACGCCGATGGCTGAGCAGCCGCCGAAAGAGCTTTCGCTAACCTCAGGACGTTCGAGATCTGGTTCCAATCTTGCTCATCAAATTGGTGCAAATCCACCGTCGGACGACAAGCAGAATAGACGAAAAGCTGTATCTTTATCCAGGTTGATCCGGGTTGATGTCGACACCAGAAAGAGGTCCGCGCCTTCCCGTCCGGAAGTAGTCAATGTACATTATGACCGTTTCCACAATCCCGAGAATTGCTATCACATTGAGCTTAATTGGCTGAGTGCGACCTGCAAGTTGGTTGACGATGCCATCGTGTCTTGGACCAACACTGCCGAGAAGTACGGATTGAAGTTGGTTGAGGTGCCTATTGCAGAAGCTATTGATGTGCCAAATGCAGAGCCGTTCCGCAGTCCCTACTGCATTAAACTGGCTCTTGATCCGCCGAAGCAGAAGCCATCCAATTTCATGTTCAACCATACTTTCTTTACGGCTACGTCGTTTGGGCCTCATTCACCAGCGAACGCATCTACCACTGCGAGACATGTGTATCAAAAAGCTATACTTAGACGTTGCAATTTTGTGCTGGACCTGGAAGCGGTAAGTGAATTCCCGGAGGGTGTGGATATTCGCTGCAGCTGGGGTCAGCTTGAATACAAACATACTCAGTATGTACATCGTTCTGGGGTCATTCTTGCCCAGATCATGGATAATGGCGATATCATGCTTCTCGCTAATCGTCTATACAATTCGAGACTGGTCAGTACGAAAGACGCTGGTGGCCGGACAGTGGACCCCAGGCGTGATGTGGGTCCTCAGACACACAGGCCTGCCGTCCCCCCTACATCTACGGCCAGTATGCAAGCTAGTGGCATTATTGGGGTAAACCTTGCCTCGCCAAGCACAGTATTTTCTAGCCCAGGTCTTCGTGCAATGCCTAGCTTGGGTTTTGGACCTAGTCCTGCAGCTCGACCTTCGGACAATACACATGCGTCTGCAGGTGATATACCTTCCAACCAAGACAAAACAGCTCTCGCCGATGCCTTCAGCAGGAAACCGACCTTCGCGGCTACAGGATTATGGAATACTCCCATCACTCCAGAGCAAATCAAAGACGACCTCGAAGCATTTTGCCAGGACAAAGCTCGTCTTGAAGTCTTCTACAAAGAGGTAAATAATGCCCCAGCACCAGGTCTGACCATCGGAACAGGTATCGGAAATCGTACAGCGAGCAGCAGCTCTAGTAGTTTGCTTCGTCCCGTCAGAGAGGTACCTGGGACTATGGCGAGCGACATTACTGGTATACCAGCATTTGAGCTGCCAGAGGCTGTCACAGCTGTAAGACAGTTGCGAAGAGCAACTGTAGCTTATGACAACTCGGGTGATATGTTTGATCGAAGTAGAGTGAGCAGTCGAAATGGGAGTATAGGAAGTGGAACCAATGGCGGTGAAAGGGAAAGAGAGAGCCAAGATAAAGGAGGTGTAGGAGGTATACCACCGAGTCCGTTACGAAAGGGCTCAAAATGAATGTCTATTTCTGCCTATCCCGACTTACTTGTGTATCGCGTCTGCGTGGATCTGCATGGACTGGATGGATCTGGCGACAATCTATCTGCTCTAGCATGACCACTGGATCTGAGGGCCGATGTATAAGCATTCTAGTCGAATGACCTTTCCAGGAAGTGAACGTTTTACATTTCCAGCAACAATCTCGTCAATCAAAGTCGAAGTGATCACAATCCGTCCTGGTATAATTTGGTCTACTGGCCTCAGTACCATCGCGACAAAATTAATCAGAGAGGCCGGAGTAAGCCCCTATTTCATTCCCTGAATAACGACATGGACTATGGCATGACGGTCAATCGTTCTAAAAAAGAAGTGAACTTCAGCTGTGCATGCTGCCTTTTTTGAAAACAATTTCAGATCAGTCCAACTCAGTTCAACATCACCATTTATCAGGAGCGAACGTCGAAGCCATATTTAAACTCTTTGCCTCGCCGCCTCCAGCATGACATTCCTTCCTCAATATGTCACAACCTGTTGCATCTACCTTACCTGACTTAAGCTATGGATGAAACATCGAAAACTTCGCAAGCCGTCGAACCTATCGACCTCACAATGGACGAGGATGATGTCGATCAACCAGGCGGTGACATTCTCATGCTGGAGCCAGAAATAGTTGTCAAAAAAGAGCCAGAAGTAGCTGTCAAACAAGAGCCGGACTTATTTATCAACCCAGACCCTGACACCAGACTGTACGAGGCTCTAGCAGCCGAGCTACTTCCAGACCGACCAATCTCCAGTACAGGTGGACCGACGCATGAAGATGTAACGATCATCGACGAAGATGTGCAAACGAACAATGAAGATCTACTAGAAGGCTACTACGAAAATTCTCGTGCAGAAAGAGCATCAAGTCCAGATAACGAGTACCAGGAAGCTCTAGCTGCATTCGAGCAAAAGCAAAGAGAGGTTGTCACTCAAGAGTCCCTCGGAGTTTTTAATCCTGCTGACCATGTCGAGCTCAAAACCCTCGAAAATGCCTTGGCTCAATCCAAAGAACGGTGTGACAATTTAAGAGAATACGAAAATCAGCAGAATGAGGAAGACACGATGTTTTTCAGCGATGAGCACGCTACTGATGAAGAAGACGCTCCGACGACAGGCACTTGCGGCGATGGTGACAGTGACGCTAATGAAAGTTCACCTATGGAAATAGGAAAAGGAGGTACTAGGAAAGTGGCAGCTAAGGTCAAACCCAAAAAGAACTCGTCAACCAAAGGAACAAACAGGGTAACAAAAAAAGCACAGCCCGGTCGTCAAAGTCGAGTTCAGCCAAGCGCGAATTTGCTCAATCTAGGCTCGCTGATTCGCAACGACCTAGTGGCTGACGCACAGCGAAATCAGGGTCTCCCTGACCAAATTGATTTCGGTCATGTCAAGACTAAGAAGGACGCCTTGACTGCATTGGTTGCCAGTATTCCAAAAGAGCAACAAGATACGAGAAGTAATTCGAAAAAGCAGCTCGATAACGCCTGTAAGGCATTTAGTCGCAGAGGTCAACGGTCAATAAAGCCAGTCGCTAGTGGAGACTGGAAACTGAAAGGAATGGCCTCGCCTCTAAAAAGTTTTCAGCTTCTGTCGACAGCTTGGGCAGTACGTCGGGAGCGTGGGTCGGATGCACCTTTCGGTGGTATTCTAGCGGATACCATGGGATATGGAAAGGTAAGAACTTTCACATCCGTGTTGCCTAGATGAGTTCTAACACCTCAGCAGACTGTTCAGATGATTGCCGTCATGGTCGAAAACGAGCCTAAATGCAAGCGAGAGACAACGTTGATTGTGGTACCCGCCAGCCTCGTCTCACAATGGTACGAAGAGATCGCAAAGCATACGGAAGACGGCATCATGGAGGATGTTCATTTCTACAGAGCAAGCCATTGTGTACACATTCGTGATATTCCCAAACACCTCGCCAAGTTTCAAGTCGTTATTGCAACATACAATGAGGTAAGTACACTTCAGTACCTCGCACAGAAACCCCAATTAACAGAAGTACCTTCCTAGGTGGCGCGTAATTTTCCGAAGTGTAATCCTCCGCTTCACCTTGTCACTGATCAGGCAAAGGACCAGTGGTGGGAGCGCCATTATGAGGAGAATCGCGGACCTCTGCTGAGAAGTAAGTTGTCTGGAAAAGGCACTTTCTATGACTAACATCGACCACTAGTGAGGTTTTATCGTGTAATCCTCGACGAAGCCCATACGATCAAAAATCATGAGTCACGAACTTCAATAGCCTGTCGTCGTCTAAGTGCTAAACGCAAGTGGGTAATAACAGGCACGCCACTATCCAACCGTATGGAGGAACTGTATTCGTATTTCAACTTTCTGGGCGTCAGTGGCAGCACCTCCTTTGCGCAGTTCAGACACAACTATGCCAAACGTAATGATTGCACTATGCAACGTCTGGACGCGATTCTGAGGAAGGTAATGACTCGACGAACTTTGGGCGATCGGCTTTTCGGAAGACCATTGACGAAACTACCACGTCTCGATTATGAGACCAGATCAATACCGTTCAATGAGGTTGAACATGGAATCTACACTATTGTCCGCCAAAGGTTTATCAATCGCATCAACAGCTGGACTGCCTCTGGTAAGATCGGCCAGTCCAAACACCATATGTTTGTTATGTTGTTACGGCTGCGACAGATGTGCGCTCACGTACTTATGATCACCAACACATTCAAAGATCTTCTTGAGACGGAAGATCTCGAGAAAATGTGGAAATTGGTGGAAAGACACTCGCAGGAGCCGAGCAGCAGTCCTGGCACAAAGACGGCCATGGTAGTCAAACGGATCTTGAGAGAAGCCCAGGACGACGAGCAGGAAGCAAACGATTCCCCAATGAGCAGCAACAGTGGAGGTAATCAGTGTGACACAGTCGATCTGAGTATCAATGATGCTGAGCTTGATTATCGAGGTTTGTTCTATCGTCTGCAACAGGACGGTGCTTGGGACAAGGTACGGAATCGCAGCACATGCAGTTGTTGCCATGAGGTTCCAGAAGAGGATCGAGGCAAGCTTTCGGTGCCATGCAGCCATCTATACTGCCAACAGTGCTTGGGTATCCTTCTAAGTTCTGCTGCAGATAACGGCACTGAGGCCGAATGTGTTATATGTCACGAAGTAATGACTGGAGCAGCCGATATGACGGCCATGGAACTGATCGCAGCGAAGGTCAACCACCGAGGTTCACGGAGAACATCCGAGCCACCAACTGGGAATGCACCAGGTGAACCGCCTCGAAAAGGCAAAGAAGACCCTGATAGCAAATGGCTCTTAATTCCCAATTGCGAAACGCTCAGCACCAAATTGCAGGCAATCACAGGACAGATCAAAAGCTGGATTGAAAAAGACGCCGATGCAAAAATTGTGGTCTTTACTCTCTTCATTCCGATCGTCAAATTGCTGAGTAGGGTCTGCGTTAAAGAGAACTGGGGCTACCAGCAATTTACAGGCAGAATCTCACCAGATCAGCGGATCAAAAACTTGAGAGATTGGAAAGACGCTACAAAAGGACACCAGATTCTGCTCACGTCCATGCGTGCTGGCGGTGAAGGACTTAATCTAACTGAAGCATCGTACGTGATCATCGCTGATCCATGGTGGAACGAACCTGCTGAGGACCAAGCTTTCTCCAGAGTGTACCGAATTGGCCAGAAACGAGACTGCGTGGTGCGGCGATTTTTGATCACGGATGCCATCGACACGCAGCTCATGCTCCATCTACAGAAGACCAAGGCTCGGGAATGTGACCGTGTCCTCGATGGAAGGTCGCAGAACGAAATGAGTGTTGAAGAACTTCTCAAACTCTTTGGACCGACCAAACGCAATCCAGAGACAGGTGAATTAATTGTAGAAGACGGCGACGGCGTGGACGAGTTCATTGCAGGAGATGATCATATCACGACTCACGATAGCGATACAGAAGAAAGGGTGCAAGCTCCGGGACGGCCACGAAGCAAGTGAAGCTATCGTAGGGCCAAAATGAGGAATGATCGCACTTCACGAGGAGCTGCAGGGAGTGCTCATCGGAAAGACATAATTGCTTGTGAGTGTTAGCTCATGAGTTGTAGCAGGTTATAAGAGCTAAAAGACAAGATGCAACGGCATTACATATGTGGCGGTTGCGCAAACCTACTGTGGTGGGTGATACTTCGGCCACTCTACTTGGCTGTAAAACTTGGGCACTTACCTTCGTGGCTACCGTTTCACATCTTGAGCACGCTTGTCCAGGAACGAAACGTGACAATAAATTCTATTGTACCTGATCTGCTATTATGTTACCCCTCCCCACCTAGTGCCGCTCGTCAGCCATTTACTGAAATATGATTCGTTCATGCGCTGCTGGATCAATGCAGGTAAGAAGGAAAAAGGATCCGAAGTCATGTGCTGCTTGCGAATCGAAAGCAAAACCATTGCCAAGACGGAGTTGGCAAGACAAACCTCATCCATGCTCTACTGGACTCGAGTAGTGCAAAGTCCGGTCGAATTTAGGTCAACGGTTGTGCGACATGTCTGCTGCATGTCGACATCCGGATTTCTTGCTGCCCAATCCATGCTGCCAACCCGACCCACTAAAGTTCAGCCACGCGGTGTGTCGATCGGACTGACATCATCCTCGAGTCCTCCTGGTGTTGCACAAGTCTTGCGTCTTGTGCTGTTATTCCCAGGAACTGCTCTCAACCAACAACATTGCTTCCTGTGAGTATGCATACTCCGTAGGCGCAAAAGCAAAGGCACGGCTTCTGATTTCCGTCGTGCGACTTCGATCGAGCTCGAGCGCACGAAACCAATTCCCGCTTGGCGTGTTATTAAGCTACTCGTACAAAGTATGCGAAGAGACTTTCTTCAGCGCCTCTGGTGCATCTGCTAGCCAGGGTCCCTAGCTCATTTCATCTCGATGACAATATCGACTGTCAGAAATCCGATCGGCCCTCTACATATCTACTTCGCTTTCTGCTTTCTAGCTCGAGTTCCTGCGAACGCGCTGCTGACATTAATTTTCACTGCTGCGGTAGCCTGTTCTGCGCATTGCTGCACATATCTACCATTACTCATCCGGGCTTCTTGCGCAGTGTTGGACATTTTGTCTGGTCCACAGTTACATCAGTAGATTTTCTTATCTCTCGAGCATGCGGAAAACATGTCCGGATTGAGCTCACCGAGAAGTCCTCCAAGCAGGCGGTACCAGACGCCACTGCCTTTTGGCAATGAAGTCTTACTGCACGACCATGCGAGAAGAAGATCTCAACGGCAGGACAGCTACACAGACGATTTTTCCTCGATGCAGCGAAAACGGACCAACTCACTCACCGCCGCTTCGCTCAAGGCCAAGTCAAGTCGCGAGCACTTCAGCCAGAGAAATGGCAATCTAGACGACTACATGGCCATGCAGCGTGCCAACCCAATCATCGCTCCTCCTCTCGAGCAACGGAGGAGTCATGATACAAGCAGAAGCAGCGACTCATCTTACAGCAGGGAAGCTGCTGTCGCAACCGATTCCTGGCTGCCCTACAAACGACCCGAGCGTAACGATCTCAAAAGGCTGGTTGCAGAGTTCGACCTGCTTGAGCAGTCTTCTTCCTCCTCGTCCAATGGTCAAAGTGATGTTTCTACAGCTTCTACTGTGACTCCTCTGACCGAACCCTCTTCGAGATACAGTCCACCGAAGCCTGCTCATCAGCGGGTACACACCCGCCAGAGTTCTTCAGCAAGCTCTATACCACAACTCATCCCACAACGAAAAGAACTATACCACGAACCCCCGCCCGTCGAACCTCCTCCCGCTGAATATAACCCACCTAAGCCCAGACAACGATCAGTATCCGCCCAAAGATGGAGCCCACCTCAGTCACATCGTGCAAGATCAGGAAGTGTGCAGCCGCCTACGCAAAACCGTGTAATGGAGCAATTCCCACCACTTCCACTAGACGATCCTCTGAATGCACCACCACCTGTACCAAGGCGAAGTGAAGATCGGGCGCGGCCCCCACCAGCAGGAGGCCACAATGTTGTGCGACCACCAAGATTCAACGGCAGATCAGAAGATATGCGAACTCCTGTGCCACGCGACAGTCTGGACAAGGGTCGATCGTCATTTTTCAGTAACAGGCCAGAAGACGTGCGCCCAGTCCTACCAGCTAAAGAACCAGTCCAGGCGCAGCCACTCGTGCCAGCCGATATTCCCCACCAGCCACGACCACGTATGCCTGGTAGGCCACGACTCAGCTTCGAGGGACCATTGTCTCCTGTTTCAATCGAGCCCGAAGACCCGCCAAGAGATCGAGGTTACCCGAACCCACGATCGCCTGAGCCTCGCCACGCCACGGCATCACTCATGAATGCGGCAGCAACTTATGTGTCACCATCCTCTGAGGACGAGACTCCAAAGGATGAGGCACCAGCACCTTACATGCCAGCGTCACGATCTCGCCGTCGTGCTTCTACGCCCAACAAGAAGAACGGATACACTGTCTCAAGGCGAAGAGCTGCCTCAGCCTGGAGACCTCCCAGCGTGTGGTACGAGAACGTCGAAGGTGTCACACTTTCCACAAGGCCAAAGAGCGCCAGAGAGCACCGATTAGGCCTCAACATCCCCGAGATCGAAGCTCGCGACATCCTAGACATCCCACCACGAGGCAGAAGACGCCCAGACGAAGAAGACTACCAGTCTGAATCCGCAGAGCAAGACCGACACTACGCTCGCTCCCCACCACCAATCGGCGCAGCAGCTCACTACGTCCGCAGCATCTCGCCCAAGCCTGTGACCGAAGCACGAGAGCACATCTTCCTCGACAACTACTCCCGCGCCGGCCCAGAAGAACCATCCACCCTGCGCTACGACTTCCCTCGCATCAAACGTCCCGCAGCAGAACGCTCAGGCGCCCAGGCCATCGACGCCCCCGAACCAATCCAAGAAATGCCCCAACACGAAGAAGACTTCTCCGACGACGGCGGCGCCGAACCCCCCGACATCGCCCGCATGCGAGCCATGGAGCAGCAAGACGCAGACATGAAATCCCGCACTGACCAGATCCGCGGCCTCCTAGGCGGCATGCTCAAGACCTTTCACGCCAACAAGAAAAAAGATGATCCTTCTTCTCAGAGTCACTCTCACACTCATTCCCATAAAACAACATCTCCACCCGCCCCCACCACCAAAAGCCCCAGCACCGAAAACAACCGCCACCAACTCATCGCCAAAGGTCTCGGCCCAACTCCCCGCGAAACCCCAACCCCCTACCAACGCCGCCCCATCCAAGAATCCGCTCCAGGCTACCTCTTCGAAGACGTCGACGGTGAAGCCGGTGTGAAAGATGACGCCGACGAAGAAGAAGAAGAAGAGGCACAAGCGCAGTATACGACGAGATCAAGTAGTCGCGACACAAGCATTTGGTCGCCTCCTAGAGCGACCAGGCGTGATTCTGAGGAGGACGGTAGTATTTATCAGGAAGGGAGAACAAAGAGGGTGTCGTTTTATGGGAATGAGGAGAAGGAGTATGCTTCGGTGCCGGGGGTAGGGATGGGGCATGGTTCGACTTTTGCGAGTTTGGGGGGGCCGAGGTGAGGGAGGGGATGATGTGAGGCGGTATGACATGGAAGATGAGACGAGATGAGAGACGTAGACATGATATATACACTTCGTTGGTAATTTTTAATCATAGACGTGATTGTACATTTTGTACTTTGATGAGTTTGTGTGTCTACCTCTATCGAATTTTGAATGTGGTGCCTAGCAGAAAAGTGTGCTCGATTAAAATTTGAAGGGACTAGTCAGACCATAACGATATGAAAATGGCTCGTTGGTAGTGTCCTTTCATGTTTCATTCGTACTTTTCACTATGTATTCACGAAACCTTCGCCAACAATGTACGCCTGACTGCCATCTTCAAACACCAGATGCGGTTTCTCCTTGGCGAGCCATAGTATACACTGAGCAAACACGCTGTTGGCCCATGCAAACCAACTTCGCGTCATGCCCGTGCCTGTTCTCGCGTCTACCCCTCTCATTACGTCCACACTTTCATTGATCAGTCCAAAGACACTCACTCTTTTTACACGTTCGAGGCATTCTAAGATTTCGGTATCATTATCTGAGGTCATTGCTTGGACAAGCACACTCATTGGCCATGCATTCGTGAGACCGATATGTGGACCACCAATACCTTCGAAAGCTGGCCCGGTCAGGAAGTAAGGGTTGCCTTTGCTGGAGAGGATCATACGGCGTGTGTTTTTGTAGAGCTCGTTGTTCTTGTCGAGGAAGCCAAGTAATGGTAAGGACAGGAGAGATGGCACATTGGCATCGTCCATGAAGAGATGTGACGCATAACCATCAGTCTCGTAGGCAAGGACTTTGCCAAAGAGAGGATGATCCACAACTGCATGCTCGAGAATTCCTTCTTTGATCGAACTTGAGAACGAGTCTAGCTGCTGAATGAATGCTTGTACGTTCTTCCTATCACTCTTCTCGCTAAGAGTCGAAGAGAAGGCACGGAGAATGTCGGCGGTGCGATTGAGTTCGACAGACATCATAGCGTTTGCTGGGATAAAGAAGTTGAAAATCGTTGCATCATCAGATGGTCGAAAGGCACTTCGAACAAGACCGGTACCATTGCCCAGAGGATTTCCGATGCCTCGCAGATTCAGCGTTTCTGTACCAGTATTGGTCAACCTTTGAAATGTGTATTCATTGATACGTAAGTGGTGTGACGAATCGAATGTCGGCTGAGATTGGGTATAGAGCACTTCCAGAACAGTCCTCAGCGCAAGAAACCAACGGTTGGTTAGAAATTTTGTGCTACCAGTGGCAGCATGGTACTGATTGCCTAACGATAAAAAGTTGGCTAAGCTGTCCAATTCATACTTGCACTCAAAAACATTGGATGGCTCATAGATAGGGTGAACTGCATCTTGCTGCCCATTGTTCGAAGGATCAAGGCCTGAAGGATTTGGAGGCTGGAAGGCATTGCAGTAAGGACTTTCAATAACGAATTCGGCCTGCGTTGCAATTGCTCCTTTGATGAGATTGGAAATCTCAGGAGAGGTCTTTGCAAGAAGCTGATACTGTGCTAACTGATTTGTCGAATCTCTCAGCCACTCAGCATTAATATCACCTGTGACAATGAACGATTGTGCACCTTTCCACTCAAAATTGTCACGGTATCTAACGTACTTGGGTTTACCTGGATGTGTATGTTCTCCATCGACGTGCCAGAGTACTGTTGTGTCAAGCGTGTTTGGAAACGCATTTTGAAATATATGAGCAAGGTCACGGTCTTTGAGTATCGGATAGAGGTCTTGAATGACTTGTTCAACTGCAGTAGAGGTAAACTTGCGGCATAACTTGTGTGGACGTTGGTAAGGGAGACTCAGAGGTCCCTCGCTCAAGGGCCGACTGCCACGAGTCAGCTGTGACGATGATTATAGTCAAGCAGTCTCACTGTCGCTGTGTCGCATATCGAGTGTAGTCTGGACATGCTGGTTGTGAAAGTACACCTTGATCGTGGTCCAGTCCACTGTCGTAGGTTGCGTCGTCCCCAAGGCTCGGACTGTCATGAAACTCTGTAGCGCACGCAAGTCTGAGACAAGCAGGAAGAGCGAGGAGTTGAGCCCATACCGAGGTTCGCATCCCGAGACTCTGTGCTGCAACGGTTGATCAGGAAAGTGTAAAGAGTTCGAGCATTTGCAAACAATATGTCTGTTCCGCAGGTGCAACTATGGGGATCCACTTTGACTCTAGAAGGAGCGTGGACAACATCAGAACGAACGTGCCTTCCTTGACTCGACTATATGTTCACCGCGTTTCTCGCGTTTCTCACGTTTCTTCTCACTACTCGAGCCCATACATATCAAACAAGACTCGTTGTTGCTCGCTACAATAATCAGATATCCATTTATTCGGCCACGAATCGGTATGATCAATCGTCGCAATATTGTTGAGTGAGAGAGGACGAGATCTTACACCCACAGCTTATCTCTTGACGTTTCGCGAGGCGGCAAATTTCTCATGCCACTTCCTCTTGCCCTTACTGGAAGCTGTTGCTACCGCCTGAGTACTCTCTCCAGTCTGAGCTGCTGTAATCTGTCCATATTCCCGCCAAACGACCATTTCTTTTTCTTTTTCCAGTTCAATTGCGCAAGCACTACCCAGCACTTCGACAGAGCAATATTTTACCCAGCCAGTAGGCACAGCATCTTCCCACTGCTTCTCGAATGACTCCTTCTCGATCCCAGTACCACCTGTTTGTGAATCGTGTACCTGGAGGATCACATTACCTACCCACCTTGCAGTCTCCATCTCATTGATCGTGTCTTTCTCTCCCACATTCGTCGCTTTCTTGATCAATGCCAATGCAACAAAATGTCCGTCTCGTTCAAACATTGTTTTAGCAATAGCTTTGTACACATCACCTGCACTGCTGTCCATAAGATCCTCTATGTCAGAAAAGCCTTCAAGAAGCATATCGGCTTCTAGATCGCCTGTAATCTTTGTATCAGACATTGTAGCAGCTTCAAATAACCTAGTCCAGGTCTCGAGAAGGAGTTTTGGACTCGAGATGTACGCTTTTGCTCCTTGTGGTGACCCAGTTGTTACATCGTTGGAGATGTTCGAGTTTGACATTGACCAAGGTAATTGAAAGACACATCTCCTGCTCAGAACTTGTGTGATTACAGTCGCTGGAGCTGGAATATGCTCGTGGAGCTGCGAAACTGAGTACTTTGATGTCTTCCCTGTACTGCCCACCTGCGAAGCATCGTGAATCGTGGGTATTAGCCGGGCCAGTTGCTCATTCGCAATCATATCAGACCTCGAAGCAGGAACAGCATGTAATTCCAGGGTATTTGTCGGCTTAGCGAATGCAGTGATACCTCCACCTGTGTCCGTCGTTGCATCTGCTATCAGGTCATCCTCGTCGGGAGGTGTTTTTGACGTCCTCGTAACATACACTGAGTTGCTCGTGCTGACCTGCTTAACGAGCCAAGCTTTGTCGTTGCTGCATAGGTGAAGGTGGCCTTCCTTATTGTCACCATTTTGATTGAATTCCTCTACAGCAGGCGATGACTTGAAGTAGAGAGCTTGATTTGCACTGTTCCCACTGCTGGTGTCAGTGATGATGCTGAGCAGCTCCTCTGGAAGTTCGAGGAGCCGGACATTCCCAGATGGCTGGAAAATATTGAATGCGACAGGAGAGAAGTTGACTTTCTGTGTAGACATGTCACGCTCTGTGTCTACGGATGACTCACAGCGAGAGCGGCACGTGTTGTGGTCTGTAGTTGTCTTGAACGTGGATACATGGGGTTTAGAAGGGTTTCATAGGTTTCTGCGGGTTTTCATAAAAGCCTGGAAGATCCGAGTCACTGTCCTCTTGTTCTCGTGGTGGAAGTTGAGATTTCGCTACAACATCCGAGGTTTCGTCCTGAGGATTGCCTTCGTTGTGCTCGAAAGGAGTTGCTGGGTCAATGGGAGAAGAACCTACAACATTTTATTTGCTGCTACTCAAGAAAAGAGTCGAGTGATCGACGCGTACTACAGTGTACACACGCGTTTCCGAAGGCTGTAAATTTGTTCCCGAGGACTAAATCTAACGGACCAGCACTGACACAGCAAATATCTGCCAGGACGCTCAATACGATGTTCATCAAGTCTGTTAGCGTAATATATACAGAAACTTTCTCGGAGAGTATGTGCTTGCAAGCCGTCATCCCTTTCGTTTTTTGCGGATGCTAGATTCCCACAAAAGTAGATCCCAATGTTCAAGGCCAATCCGCGAAGCCTCTTTGTTACATGATGAGTAAAGTGTTCATCATGCTTTTCTATACCCGGAACTCCTTCAAATGCATGCCTATCCTAGCATATGTCTATATCATCTCAAAGCGTCGTCTATGTTCCCTCCCCCACATCGTTGAGACTTTGGTCGATGTGAATATTCCAGCCGTGTTGCATGTAAAAGTCATCCTAGTTCTTTTCAGCGTCTTTAGGCTTGGCCCTGTCGCGGACCTTCTGAAGCTTTTCTTGCAGCTCCTGATTCTCTTCTTCCTGAAGAGCTTGCTTGTCTTTGCTCCATTGGTCACTGATGTCCTTGAACTCCTCTTTAACCTTCTTCATTCTCTCCTTCTCGTCCGCTTCTTGCTTCTCACGATCTTGCTTTTCCTTCTCTATTTCCGCCATATGTTTCAAATCATCGACGGAAGGTTCGTATAAATGCCAGATGGTGTAGTGAGGTAGACCGACAACTGAGTATTGCATACGCTTGGCCATTTTGCCGAACCCTTCTGTCTCGGCATGGCGCTCGAAAGAGAAAGCGGGAAAATGGACACCTGCTCGAAAGACTCGTGCTTTGGCCAAAATCGACACACCACCTACACCATCTAGCTCCATCTCGACATCGGGATCACCGTAGGGATCGCGAAGGTAGGCAAGATGAGGCCGCCAGGTAGCATATTCTGCGTATCCTTCTACAATCACGGCGTCTTCGTCAAGGGTTTCGGCAAGGCCAAGGGCAGTCTCGGATTCTTGCCACGAATTCAGGTCGTAGGGTTGTTCACCACCAAGCCAATCGGGAAGTGGTCTCCAGACATCTAGCACGGTTAGCGAGGACTGGTGAAATGAGTGAGCTTTTCTTACTTGGCACGATCACATCTTTGTCGTGCGCCATGAGATCCTCGATAACAGTAAAGGGGCACGTTTCCACATCGGCATCTCTCCAGTAAACCCAACTGTGGGTTGGTCTCAAAGCAGCGCTGAGCAGCCAATTCCTTGCTCTTGCCATTAACTTCCGGCGCGGTGCTTGAGCAGTAAAACCGTGTCTACTTTCAACATCTTGACCCACTGCTTGACCAAAATCTTTATGGATGATGGATATTTCCCCGTAAGCCATTCCAGCCTGCGGGTCATTCTGCAACTGCTCGAGGTGTCTTTGTAAATTCTCTTCAGTATCGTCTTTCGAATCCGACACGAGGAAGGCAAGGTCTATTAGGTGATGAGGATAGGTGAGGTTTCGCAGGTGACTGAAGAACATGTTCAAGTGCATAGAAGCATCCCGCAACGGGGTGCAAAGCAAAACTCTCTCTTCTCGGTCCCAACCATGTTTAGAGCCTTGAACATCCTCCAGGTCGTAATACCGCACAGTTTCGATTTCATCGAGCTCGATGGCTAGTGCTGAATCTGAGGACCATGATATTGAGTCTGTCGGGCTCATGAACCAGAAAAGGAGGATCGCCGTTACCGCGAGTATACCGAGATTCCTGAAAAGCTTCCTCCTACTGCTCTGTGGATGTCGTTGGCCTTTCCACTTGTGATCCCATGAATCTTTTTCATCGTCTATTATATCCTCTTTGTTTCCAATCCAAGGACCGTTACGACCTTCGGGATCGTATGGGTCATCATCCTTTCTCCAGCTGGCTGGGTAGCCATTTGTGTAGGCTCCGTGCCTGTTCATCCTCCTCCTCTCATCACCAGGTCAAGGCCCAAATCGGCACACTCGGTTGGCTCCAATGTCGTAATGACCAGCTTACTTTACCATAGAAATCGCAAATTCGTGAATACTTGTGGAATACGGTTACAACAGCTGCTGCAGGTAGTGCAATGCAGAAGGCCAGATCTGAAGTGATACGAAAGATTTGACAAGGGATATACGGTATGGTGGATACGGAGCGGTTTCAGCGGAATAACCAGGTTTTGTATTCGAGATAGGACAACCTAAAATCGGAACATCCAGATATCGATGATGCCTTCAGCGTTCTTCTTCGTGGTCTTACAGAGAATCTAACCAAGTCAAACGGCAGGCTGCGGCAGGAGAGATGCATTGGCTCTCCCCTAATAACGAAGGACGAAGCCGCAAACCGCGTAGACAACCAGTATGTGCGTTATTGACCTATCAGGGGTGACAATGAAGAGCATGCGGAGGACAAGGGGCTTGAAACATGCTGCAAGTGCATCGGACAAACCAATTAGTACTAATTTGGGACGAAGCTTAGCCAGATACTTCTTCAACCTGTGCTGAGATTGATTATCTTTCTTTGAAGACTTCCCACGCACAATTAGTATGCCTGACAGCACGAAATGGACAATTAGTACTACTTCACGTGCTAATTAAGCCATAAGTTGATGCCTAGAGTCAACCCTATAACGAGACCGTACGAATGATGTGATAGCAGTACGGCCGCCTATAGCGAACTTTAATGCTGTGTATTTCGAACCTTGCCCTGCACACTTGGATTTCTGGTTAGTGTTCTCATATCCGAGCCGAAGGGCGATGCTCGATGCCTTTCTAAAAGAGACTGTTGAGAGTGTTTTGAGCAATCAAAAGCTGGTATTGATGTGCTGTGTATTCAGTTTGGACAGAATTGAAGCTCTCTTCGCGGTCCTGCTCCCCGCACGCTCTCGCGCCTGCACGGTTTGTTTGTCCGCAGGCGGTTGTCACAACTGCCAGTGGTGAACGCGACAACTTGAAGTATCGTGACCCGGGCCTCACGAACACTCTCATTCACCCTTATACTATATCACAGATACTTCAACTTTGAATCACCGCTACTGACTGTGTCGCACCTCAGAACGTGATCTTCACATTTTCTGTGCAAAGCAAGACTCTTTACGCTTCACAGCAGTTTGCTACGTCGTTCAACCCTCTCCAGATCCAACCGCAGATCCAGTATTATTTCCACAATCGATCTCCAATTCCAGTGTCGCTACAAGACGTATTGAAAACTAAGATCAGAGACGTTAACGGTTTCGCATCTAAATTAACAAAATGCCTGACGTATGAGTGCGCACCGTCCAGTCTATAAGCAATTGGCTCACGAGAACAGGTCAAGAGGACGATCAAGATCATTACCGAGCAGAAGGTTATGTGAGTGTTCTCTGTTGAAGCTGCGATTGTTGTCTACACTTTGCCCGTTCCCATTATGTCCTTGCGATCGTATCGCTTGACTTCGCAGCATTCAGAAGAGAATGTTGGCTGATCGCCTATATGTACAGACCGGGTGCGGACAGTGGCGTGGCTGGCTTTCCTTTACGACACTGGAACATGAAAATTGTTCTGCTACATGCCGAGACCAAGCAAGAAGTACCCGCGACTTGTTTCTCACAAGCCACATACAACCTGCACGAGTCTTTTGGCGACAGGTCTAAGCAAGGTAACGCGTCCAAATATCAAGAGGACTCTTCAGGCTGATCTGAGTTAGTGATCAAGGATCTTCCTTTCCGGGTCGCAGAAGATGGCTGGGGTGAGTTCGAGCTCAAGATCGACCTGCTGGATGTTCAAGGCAAGACCCACGAATTCCTCCACGACCTCAACTTTCAGCAATCCAAATATGAAGTCAAGCATGTCATTACCTTCAAGTCGCCTAAGCCTGTCCTGCTAGCTACCCTTCGCGAGTCAGGACCTGTCCCAGGTGATCCAGCTGTGAACGGCGCAGCGAGCAGCAAACGGGCCAGTGATATTGGAACAGCTCCAGAGCAGAAGAAGAAAAAGAAGGCCGGCGAAAGTAGCAAAGGCTTTGACATGGACAAGCTGGCCGAAGGTCTACAAAAGCTCAACGAAGACGATCTGTTACAGGTCGTGCAGATGGTCCATGACCACAAGACCGATGAGAGCTGGATGCGAAACGATATCGAGCGTAAGTTTTACTATGTGGAAACATGCTGTTCATGAAGCAGGAAACTGACACGGTACCAGAGGGTGAATTTCACGTCGACCTGTATACCTTACCAGACAATCTTATTAAGATGCTCTGGGACTTTACTAATGAGAGAGTCACGGTTACAGCTGCTTCGTGATCTCCATGGCCTTGAAAGATGAACCCAGGTGGCCTGGCCAACACGCACGGGCTTCCATTTCGTCATTTCACCCGATGCAGCCACACTTGCGATCGAGGTTAACACACCAGCACTATATACAAAAAGATCTGCGATATGTTATGTTCTGATCAGGCGTACGAATTACACGAGTTTAGACGTCAGCGACTCATCGAGTTAAATCTTGTCATGGAGTTCGGCGTGGGGAAAAGCTAGGGACTGAGCATTGTGCCAGCGGAACGCATCCGAGGGAAAGCAATATTTGATTTCCCCATCTTAGGGTATGGCTGGGTAAAGCGTCATCATGATACCCATGCTTTTAGCAATCTCGTATGGAGTTGGATCAAGAGGCAGTCTTTCCATGCTTGTGCTCGTACGGGCACTGAAGTGCTTCACTAGAGTGAGGATTGTGCTCATTGCACTGAGTGGAACAGCACGCGTCCTGCAGCAGTCTCAATAGAATACAGCAGCTACAAACACGGACTCAATGCAAGAGATAGCTGTCAACGTGCATGGTAACAGGATGCAGATTTAGGCAACTTATAAAATATTCATCTACCTGAATATCGTAACATAGTGGCTACTACCAATTCTGTACATGTACTCCCAGGCAAATATCTCAACAGATCGAGAAATGCTGTAAGTTACACCCTAATGATACAAAAGGCACGTCGCGCTATCAACCTTTCCACTCCCTTTTCGAGCAAGTTCAGTACCTGCAGAACGCTCTTACATCAAAAATCGGACTTGGTCGAGCATCGGAAGTCTGTACGTGCCCTTCGTTTTGAGTACCAGCACGTTGTCCTATGCAAAAGTCCTTGTTGATTCCATTCTCGTGTATCCAAGCTGGATGTTCTCCTGGCTTCGATTTGGCATTGATGGCGCCACAAGTTCAGCTCTGTAAGGTCTTGTGGGTTGACAGCTTTGTGAGACCTTCGTCGCAGATGGTGCACTGATATTGCTGCGTCCACGAATAAGCAAGCGCCACAACAGAGGTTTAGGTAGCCGGCATACAGTCTGCTCTAGGTGGTAGAGAGACACTGTCCCTTGTGCATGAAAATTATGCGGAAAGTCGTATCCTCGCCGACTATGCTCAGCTTTCTCACTTGACACACTAGTAAGACTAGAAGGGAGGCTCAGTTGGTCGTTTTGCTTTGTCCTTGTCGAATTTTCTGCTGGCGTCGACATCGCAAGAACGCCAATGCATGCTGGCGCCTGTACGCCCCCTGGTCGAAGTGCAACTCCTCTTGGCTGTTCATCATGAAGTTTGTGTAGCCAATCACGGTCGAAGCGGCTGAAAATGACTGTGCAATATGCACTTCTGTCACATTAGATAATCTCACCTGGTAAGCACACCCTGAGACCTCAGTATCCCTTCCAACCCCTCCCTCTCTGCACCACTAATCGTAGCAAAGACATCTCCTCCCCTATACGCCAATATCGCTGGTATATCCACCGTCTCCATCTCCGCAATCTCATGATGCAGCTTAACGAAGCGAATATGCGACCACTTGTATGCCATCATCTTCAGCTCATCCTCGACTTCTACGCTATCCTCGTTATTGGGGTCGTGCAGCAACACCACCACGTTCGTCTCCTTCGGGACATTCTCTATCGCATTGAGATAGCCGTTCGCATCGACTTGGTCTAATGTGCCGTACGTTCGTCTTGCAGGGGAATAGGGTCGTGATTGGTTCCCTGACGAAAACTGCGATTGCAGCTCTTCGAGTCGCTGCTGACGCCACCGGTCCATGAATTCGTCGTCGTCGTCGAGGTCGACGTCTGAGCCTGAGGAGTTGCCGTTGCGCATGTGTTTCTCTGGTAATATCGGCGTCGTCCTCTGTTTCTGGCCGAAGGATAGGGTGTCCGTTATGCTGTGGATTGTTCTTCTGAACGTGCTTCTTCTCGCCTTGTGATAATTCTGTGCATCCGCTATCACACCTTTGGGACCTGTATTTGCGTAATGGGTCGTTGATGGGAGGGTGTAGGAATTTTTAGTGCCTGTCGTGGTACCCATATTGGTTGCGTGTTCGTCGTCAGTGTCCTCGTCCTCGTCGAATTCTTGCTTCCTGCTTGAGCGTATTATCCGGGTACGAGACTTCTCGTTCTCTGAATCTACTTCCTCCCTGTCATAGTCTTTGTCGTCTGGGTGAGATGTAGGACTGGGCTTGTAATTGAAGAAGCGGTCGGCTTCCTCCTGGGCAAGGTTTGCCATTATATCAGCTGTCGAGGCTAAGAAAGAGTGTCGGGTGTTTCAGCGGAAGAGGAGAGCAACGTTCCAATAATGGTCAACAAGGACGTATGACAGCAGGGGTGTTTGCAGTCGATAGCTCAATAGGCTGGCATTTGGAGACCGTTGATCTATTCCCGCCTTGAAAGAGGAAACAATACTTTCATTTGCAGTAGCGATCTTCTGGTTTACGGCACTAATTCTTGACCTATGATCTGGGAATCAGTCTCTCGCTTGGAAAGGTGTCTGAATAAGTTTCGAGACGGTGAAGGAGACCAAGTACCCATAGAAGCACGATGGAAGAATATCCGGGTGGGAGTGAGTTTCGACGTTGGTTTGAGTCCGAAGCCAGGCGTGAAACAGCCGTCAATTTAGTCTATTGGCCCTGAACGGATGTCGTTTCAGCAACGTCGGCTTCCAGTTTCTTTTAGCCACAACAAGAAATTGCCGTGAGGTTTGCTGCAGCCACTTCGATCACAGTGGACCTGATCGTGGTTGTGGTGTCGACGTAGAAGATCACGTCAGCCCTTCGTATAGTTTTGTGGTTGTCAAGAACGTCAAAGTAAGTGTAAACCAAGCACGAGACGAGATAAGCGAAGATGGAGCAATGTGGGAACTCGTGGGGCTTTGAAACGTCAGGACGTGTCGAGCGCGGATCAGGGGATTCAGGTTACAATTCCCAAATGCAACTCATGTTCAGAAGAGGTCTTTTGCTTCAGTGACCAGGGATCGCATAGGACGCAGAGTACAACTAGACTATTTTGAGAGCAGAAGCATGACTCGACCAGGAATCAGCAAGGACAGCTGTCACCAAATATCGAGCCACAGTATTGTTCCACGATCCGTGATGTTTTAATAAGCAGGACGGAACCTGAACTCAAAGCACAAGCCTGATCGTTACAGCTCCATCAGAGACGGAAATGCTATTGGACGAATTACTGCCTTCATTCACTACAATGCGATTTGTGGAAGGACGAGTTCACACCGTCGAAGTTCTCTATCGCGATTACTCCGGCAGTCGTCTGGACGACTGTCTACTCGTCACTTCGTGGAAAAACAAAGTGGACAGAGGATATACAGGTGTATGATTGCGACTAGAAACTCTGTTTTTACTTATTTGAACTGACCCCAGTATGTGCAACTATCGGGCATTCAACCAAACGACGTCTTGGCAAGTTTGAAGTGTGTCATATAGGTGTTATGCGACCGAGTGTCGACATGTTCTTCTGGTTCTATATAGCCTAGTATGACTGCAGTGATTTCCCCACACAGCCTTTAGACACGATAAGACAGCAGCCTGAAGAGACTGACACTGGATCGTATGGCAATGACTCGCACTGCGATCTAAGTTGATGGAGTACAGGTATTGACGACTACTTCTTTCCAAAGAAGCTCATGATGTCTTTTTTCTTCCCACCAGCACCAGCATTTGTTTTGGGGGCAGACGACTTCTGGGGCTGATTCTTCGCCGCCATCACCTTCGAGGGTGGTAATGCGGATTTCTTGGCAGGTACTGGTTCTGGCTCATCCTCGGAGAAGCTCTCCCAGGCCTCTTCCTCTCGTGTCACCAGGAATCCTTCCTCGTCTTTTACCGTCTTTTTCTTCATCACTTTCCTTTTACCACGTCTCCTCTTTGGACCATGGTCATCTTGCTCGGGTTGCTTGTGCTTCCCTTCTGTGTCTGAGTCAGGCCAATCGACTTGGCCACTATCTCCATCGGGCGCGTCGGGATCTTCATTCGATTTCGCAGCAGGTGGTTCAGCTTGCATGTCGGTAGCATCAGCGACCCTTGGCACTTCGCATTCTTCTGCATCGTCTTCCATCATCTTGCGCAGCTTGGCTTGTCTTTCGTCCTTCTCCTTCCGTATCTCACTTGTTGGTCTCTTTTTGACATTCGTGGTTCCAGTATCCAAGAAGACAGCCTCATCTTCAGACACACCCTCGTCGTTGTCATCCATACCACCCATCTTTGCATCACTGCCTGCAGAAATGGACGTATCCTTTCGTTCGAGCTTTGGTTTCGCAGACTGTTTAGCAAAAGCCTTGAAAAGAGACGACCCATCTCTCCTAAGACCCGGTTTTGGTTTCGAGGTGGAATTGTCTGTGGTTGTGCTGCCCTTGGAACCTGGTCTAGACGTTACCGTTGGTGTTTCCTCCTTCTTCGCACTCGGTTTTGATACAGGCTTGACATCGTCTAGCTTCGCGGGCTCGACTTTAGACAGCGGTTTCGGTTGTAGTATATCGACATCAATAGGTCGTTTTCCTGGCCTTCTCTTTACGTGTGGATTTTGTATTGTGCCATAATCTTTGTTATGAATCAGAGGATCTTGTTTTGCGTGATAATCTGCGAAAACAGTTCGACCAGTCTCAGTCAGCGTTATCAGATCCGCCATACGCGACGGTGACAAGGCATAAACGTGTATGGATGTGATCTTTTCAAACTGTGACTTCACAGCGTCCAAGTCCTCTTCTCTGCACAATGTAACCGTCTTGATTGGGACTTGGTAGCGTTCATCGAGCCTCTCGGTGGCCTGCGAAGCTTCTGGCATGGAGCTTGATGGCAAGAAGGAATCAGACAGCACGGCCGTGTCCTTGCCCGACTCTTGGGGAGTTGCATTCTCGTCACCTGCTAGGACACGATTTTTCTTGATACCAGATATCAGGTAGGTTGCATAAACAGAACCGGCTTTCTTGTGATTTTCCTTCTTATGAAACTCGAAGAGCATGCATTTCGCTGCATTGACATGCACTTTGAGTGCTCGTGATAGAACGCGGTATGAGACGGTTCTCTGCTCGGACAAGATCTCTGTAGAGAGGTATGTCTTGAAGTCTGGGGCCATGTTCTTGGAACGAAACCTCTATGCAGTCATTGTCTGGAGGAATAGTGCTGTCTATATTGACCTTCTAAAGTCGCGTCGCTCGCGCGTCATGGAGGAAGTCGCGTCCTGCAATCTGAGTCTTTCTGATCGAGTCGCACGTTGGGTCGCTTCAAAAAACAATGCCGCTACACATCGTAGACGACTAAGTACAACTAGCGGCTATTTTCACGGTCTGTCTTCAAGTGCATTGCAGCCAGTGCTCGCACGTGTCGACGTGTGGCTACCATACTAGAGATCATCAATGTCAATCATTGTAGACCACGACTGAGTCCCCACCCTCGCCCAACTTGATTCAAAACCAAGAACAAATGTGCCATGTCAGACCTTGTGCAGTGGCTCATTGACAACGAGCCAGAGTTCAGCAGGTTGCCGACTGTACCCGAAGCTTGTTTCATTGTGCTAACCCTTCCTAAGGAAACGACTACCGTCACTCTATTCCGACCTAGCTCAACAGAAGTCAGCCAATCCTGATGGCTTTGCCGCAAATGCGACGGCATGGCAGAAGGCGCTCATCAGGGCTGCTTTGGCAGGCCAACTTCCTGGCGAACTGAAGATTATATTACGGACATCAGATGATCTGCTCCACGCACTTCACAGTCCCCGATACGGGTTACCTACAGGCTTAGGGACAATACTCGACGAAGCAATCCGAACGAGAAAGCTGGTCGCACTCAAAGATTTTACAAGCGCCGAACAAAGTATCTACCAACAAAGCTGGAGTTTAGGGTCTCTTCTCAGATGGGGCTTGACACAGGCAGGATTGTGGAGAAGTGATTCTTGGGACACATCCGGCAGGCTCAAGAAGGGTGATCTTGTCGTTATTGAGGGTCTTGAACAGCTGGAGCGCCAGCTGACTGCTCTGCGCAAGAACGACGGTCAAGGAATTACCGATCGCATCCTGTCTCGAGAGGCATTCTCGCAGCTGGTAGCCGGGACGGAAATCGGTACCCTCACAGCACGTGAAATCGAATGTCTGTTACAGTTTCTCTATCGTGACAAACAAGTATTATCATATGATGCACATACAGTCAAGTTCAGAGCACCTTCATCCAACAAACCTGAGAGCATATCCGAAGAAGATGCACATATTGCCAATGTCAAGACCACGATAGCTACGCTAGAGTCACAGGTGGCAGCTCTGAACACACGTATTGGCAATTTACAGCAGACTGCTCTGAAAGCTGTGCAGAGCAAGAACAGGAACGCTGCCTTGTCAGCCCTAAGGTCAAAGAAGCTTGCAGAAACTGCTCTGCAACAACGTACAAGCATGCTCGCACAGGTGGAAGAAGTTTACTCGAAGATCGAACAAGCAATAGATCAGGTTTCGTTCTTGCAAGTGATGCAGGCTTCGGCTGATACATTGAAAACCCTGAACAAACGTGTTGGAAGTGTGGAGAAGGTTGATGCAATCATGGAAGACCTGAGGGAACAGATGTCAGAAACCGCCGAGACTGGACAGGTATTGCAAGAACCGCTGACTGGCAATGCTGTTTTGGACGAGGCAGAAGTCGATGACGAGCTTGAAGCCATGGAGAAAGAAGAGCAAACTCGTAAAGAGAAGCTTCAAGACGATGCCAATCAAGCCAGATTGACTGAGCTTGGTCAATTTGAGAAAGAGGCTACACACAAGACGGTTTGGGGGAATGATGGCGATGCTGCTACGAAGACGCAGGTCGATACAGATCTCGCAAGCAGTTCTCAGAGGCTCGAGCAAGTGAGCTTGAATGCTGGCGCAGGGATTCCGAAAGACGGGGATACACGCAAACGCGAGGCACAACCAGAAGCCGCGTGAGCTGGTTTTACAAACGACACAAATTGGTGTCATCATCGCTTCTTTCAGTGGGAAGTCAATTGCCTTCAGCGGAGCACTTACGCTGGCCAGGTCACTTGACATGTTGCATGCCGCAGCACACTGCCCACTGCTTGTGTTGAGCTTTCACTGTGTCCAGAGCCTTCAAATATCGGGACTTCACAGTACCTCGAACTCAGCCTGCAGACTGTGCCGACTACTGCCTCTCGAAAATTACCATGCAGGAGCACCGCGCAGCTGCATGCAACGAACGTCAACAACTAGCAAATGGTCCTCGAAGATTAATCACCTGGGAAGTCCTTGGGTAACTCTTTCAGAATTAATGATGTGCATGTTGTATTTCACTTCTTGGTGGGTGAAAAGCTCTAGCACGAAAAAATTTGACGATTCTGAACTAAGGATTTCTCTACAATTGCTAGCTATTGATTCGGGTATCTCATCAGCATGTCACCTCGCCTTGCATATAACAGCTCTTCCCAACGGCTTTGCATGTCGGTGATGCGAGAATGTCGGCACCAACTTTCCATGGTTGCATTATGATCAGGTGCTCGACTCTTTCGACCAGCACATAGCGGAGCGTTCCAGTGACATCCTGGCCGACTCACAAACGGCAATATACTAATTCAAGCTTCGTAAGACATCGAAGCTGATCTCGAACAAATAAGACGATGATGGATACTCCTGACAGCCAACGACTTCTCCATCCATCTTCGTTCTATCTCTATACACCCTCTACGAGATGTTTCACTTTTATTGAGCGAGTAAAAGCCGACAATACCTACTTTACTTCTCATAGCTGATCCTTGCCTTCATATTACGGCGTGGATGTGCAGAAGTGGTATTGCCTGAAGGTCGCTGGTATCAGTCCGATTCCGGAGGATTTTGCGAACCGGTATACCAGGACTCAATTGACGAGCATTGTCTCTGCAACAAGGACAAGCGACCATTGAACACCCTGAAGATCATGCAACCAGCAACTGTTGCCGTGGCCCTTTACTTTTCCTCTCAGATTTCCTATTTGATCTCATGTTCAACACTCCTGACCTGCATTGACTCTGATCTTATCCTATTCGTTTTCTATTAGAAAGGCTCGAGTTCCCGCCCAGAGATGTCCTCTTCAAGATGACAGAAATGGACGCTAGAACGAGATCCGTAGAGGTCAGAAAGCGGCCACATTGATCCGAGATGGTTTCGAAGGTCTGAATATACATTTTTTGATACAGGACTGCTCGGATCAAATGCCCTAAAGAAAATCCCTACAAACTCGCTTTTTGCTGCTCCTTCCACTGCACTTCCCTACCGTTCAACTGGCATTTTCGCTGGAACACGTCCTCCATTTTCTCTTGTACACCGAGCTTGTTATTCCACCTCGTCAGTACCTCCTGCATCACGGCCTGCTTTCCACCTCTTCCGTGTTCGCGAACAATAGCCGCGATGTGCTCTTCTCTCGGCAGCGCATATGTAGCATGCGGGTAATCTCTATAATCGTCGCGGGCGTTTTGGGACGGTTGTATCAGCTGTACTGGTTCGACGCCTTCTGGCAGGGCAAAGAAGGTATCGACGTCTGACTCTTTGACTTCTTCCAGAGTAGCCGGTTGCCATTTCGGTTCGGTGGGAGGCTTATTGATGAGACGGGCACTGACGCCTTCGGTGAAATCTGGATGCTGCATGAATCGCGCGGCCATCTCGTGCTCACGGATGAATGTTTCGCCTATTTTCCAGTGTTTGCCTAGTCTCAGTTGTTTTAACGTGACTTTGAGTGACGTTGGTGAGCGCATGGCAATGGTTTTGGCTGTGGCTTTGGCCCAGTCGGCTATTCTTCCTTGGCCGTCGGCTTCTGTTCGGAGGGCTTCGAGGATCTTGTCTATAGAGTTGAATTTGAAGCATCTGTCGATGGCCTCTCTGAGTTCACCGCTGATGTTGCCGTTCTTTAGCTTCTCTCCGTAGGAGTCAGGTGAGGGTAGATTGGTGCTGAATTCGGATATCGTTGCGTCAATGAGGCTGAGTCGTTCTTGTAGGTCGGCGTGGTCACGGAAGTTTAGTTCGGATAGACGTGTGGTCAGTGGTTGGAGGACTGAGCTGTCGAGATAGTGTGTTGCGATGCCAGCATACATGGCCTGTACGCCTTGTAATCGTTCGGAGGTAAGAGCCAGATATGTGCCGACTTCACCATCTAATCTTGAAAGGAAGAAACTTCCGCCAACATCAGGGAAGAAGCCTATCGTAGTCTCAGGCATTGCAAAGGTTGTTCTTTCAGTAGCTATGCGAAACGGCGCATGAACACTGAGACCGACACCGCCTCCCATTGTAATACCATCCATGACCGCGATGTACGGCTTGCTGTACGTGCTGATCGTATGGTCTAGTTGGTATTCCAGCGCAAAGTAATTCGTGCTCTTCAGTTGTCCTTCCTTAGTCGCATTGTTTTTAGCTAATTCCGCAACGTCTCCTCCTGCGCAGAATGCTTTTTCACCAGCACCAGTTATCATGATAACATTGGCCATTTGTGACTTTTCCCATTCCTTCAACCGCGGCAGTATCTTCCTCGCCATGGATCCGTTTAGGGAGTTTAGCTTTTTCGGTCGGTTGAGCTCGATAGTTCGGACACCGTAGAGTGAGTTGAAGAGCACATCGTCAGGATCGTTCCCGGGCTCTTCCTTTGGCACAGTCGTTACATATGTATATTGTCGGCTACTGCTGGCCATGATTGACCTGTGCGATGCTCGGGACGCTCGGGCTCTGGCTAAGGACGTTACTGGATGTGATGCTGTGGCCGACCGGGGAGATAGCAGCGAAAGAGCGTATCGGGCACAACACGGATTCATCCTGTAAAAAGCTGGGAACGTAGGGAGCGACGAAAGAGTTTGTGATTTGAAGACTTCCGCAGCTCCAAATTGCAATGGGCTGCACTCCTCAAACCTCGGATCAGCGCTAGAACAACAGAATGTCTACGGCTATTCTGTGCACTACGGTCACGCACATGCTATTATGGTCATCCGGCAAAGTTGCTTACACCGATCGCAAGCTCTAACGCCGTACTACGTAATTGTAAAGTCAATTTTCAGGCTCGAATTTTCTCCATGATTAGTCAACCACTACATCGTCGTTAGCATTGCCACAGACTTTGTAGGCACTTCGTTTTCTTTTGAGTGATCAGAACTTCCTCATACAAGTAACAGTACTGAAATCTGAGACATTCGCCTCTTAACCATCATGGAGGTCGATTCTATGCCAATATCCTTGCCAGTACAAGAGAAAGCCTCTGCCACGATATTATGTTGCAACTGTGGTGCACCGATCGATGGCACAGTCGCGGCAGGCGCGCTTTGCTACGATTGTGTTAAACTCACTGTTGACGCTTCAGAAGGTATTCAACGTGAGGGAGTCTTACATACATGCCGAGACTGCGAGAGATGGCTTTCGCCTCCTTCACAATGGGTTACTGCTGCAATGGAGTCAAGAGAACTGTTGGCCCTGTGTCTACGGAAGTTGCGTGGTCTCAATAAAGTCAGAATCATTGACGCCAGCTTTCTTTGGACGGAGCCACATTCGAGGAGGATTAAGGTCAAAATAACAGTTCAGCAAGAAGCTTTCGAAGGAGCAATCATTCAGCAGACTTTCGAGGTTGAATATGTGGTGGCCTATCAACAATGTCCAGATTGTCAGAAGTCTTACACAGCAAACGTGTGGAGGGCGAGTGTACAAGTGCGACAGAAGGTTCCGCACAAGCGAACATTTCTCTACCTCGAACAACTAATGCTGAAGCACGGCGCTCATCGTGATGCGATCAATATCAAAGAGGTACACGACGGTATCGATTTCTTCTTCAGTCAACGCAACCACGCTGAGAAATTCGTCGATTTTCTAAACAGTTCGGTCCCTGTTCGTGTGAAGAAGTCCCAGGAACTCATCAGCATGGACATACATACCTCGAAGAAATCCTACAAATTCACATACTCTGCCGAATTAGTCCCAATCTGTCGAGACGACTTGGTTGCTCTTCCCATTAAGCTCGCCAAGTCAATAGGAAATATTTCACCTGTCTGTCTCTGCCACCGTGTTGGAACAAGTATCAACCTGATCGACCCAAATACACTTCAGACAGCAGATGTCCCTACACCGATCTACTGGCGAGCACCCTTCACTAATCTTACAGATGTCAAGGATCTGGTCGAGTTTGTAGTTCTTGATATTGAGCCACTAGGACCTACATCACACAACGGTCGCTTCGTTTTAGCAGAATGTACTGTCGCTCGTGCGTCGGATCTAGGCGTCAACGACAAGACTTACTTCTGCCGAACACATCTAGGATCAGTCCTGCATGCTGGGGACAGTGTTATGGGATATCAGCTGACAGGCACAAACTTCAACAACAGCCAGCTTGACGATATCGAGAAGAATAACGCTTATGCGTCACAAATACCTGATGTTCTCCTAGTCAAGAAGCACTATGCCCGAAAGAGGAAGCCAAAGACTCGCAGTTGGCGTCTGAAGCGTATGGCTAAGGATGAGGGCGAATTATTACCTAAGAAAGCCGATCAAGATAGAATGGATGCAGACTATGAGATGTTCTTGCGTGACGTTGAGGAAGACCCAGAACTGCGGCAGACACTTGCCTTGTACAAGGCTCAACAGAGAAAGAAGCAGGCAGATGAAATGAGCATGGTTACAACGGAAGACAGTGGAGACGAGGAGGTACCGAAGATCGATGTCAACGATTTGTTGGACGACTTTGACGATATGGACATTAATGATCAGGTCTAGGCTTAGGACGGGGCAGGCGTTCGAAGACGGGCTAGATGGGATCTCGTGCCTTTTGTGGCAGTGGGAAGTGATCATCGCTCGTCGGCGTTCTATGCGAATGATATATTCGTGATGCCACAATTATCATACTTACATGTTTCTCGAAATCATTGCTTTCAATCTCCTTACAGACAGCAGACTTTTGCCCACTTCTTTGCCAGCTCCGTGGCTACCAATCGCCAAGCTAGGTTCTGCTGATTCTACTCGTGCCTCACCACGAGTAGGATGAGTCTCCTCAGCGGCGTAATTTGAGCAGGACTCGATCATCAACTACTATACAGTACATACCGCGAGACACTGTAAGACTCCTCCTCTCTAAAGTCCGAGACTAACATCCGACGCCAAACGTTCAACCTAAACTTGAAGTTGCCGTGCTCGCCTTTTGATCCTGAAAGAGTATAGTGGCTTAGTCACAGGGACGTCAATACTTCCATGGTTACTTCGTCTCTTCAGCTTAGGTATTGGTGACTTGTGAAGCACCATTGACCGATATCGACAGGACGGACCCCATTATTGACATGGTTTCGCCGTGTAGACTTATCTCCGTGCTAGGCCCAAGCAAATTAAATGGATTACAGAAAGAAGACATACATGTGCTGATGTTGGATATATATTCATCTCATCCCTCCCTCAAAACGTAAACAAGATGTTGTTCTCTCAGCCAACACTGAACGCTCATGACACAGCGAACATATACTATCACCAAAATGCCAACCATCATCCTAATCACTGGCGCAAACTCAGGTGTAGGCTATGCAGCCGCCAAAGTCATCGCCAGTTCTTCCTTCGAATATTACGTCCTCATGGCAGGTCGAAACATGGCCAAAGTCGACGCGGCACGATCAGAGCTAGAAGCCAGCGGCACCATCAAGGGCAAACTGTTCAGCATTCGCCTCGACGTCACGGACGAATCGACCATCAAACAAGCAGCCTCCAAGGTCGAGAAACAGTTTGGACGAGTGGACGTGCTGATCAACAATGCCGGAGTCGGCAACCGCGATCCTGACCTCGAGACTCGTTTACGTGCAAACTTCGACACCAACGTCGTTGGTCCAGCTCTTGTGTCCCAAGCATCTCGACCCTTACTCTTAAAGTCAACCAATCCACGCTCTATATACATTTCTAGTGGCTCAGGTTCTATCGAACGTGCATCTCACCGCACAAAACAAGTTCTCCCAAATGCGGAATCTTATAGTGTATCAAAGGCTGCGTTGAACATGCTTGCTCTGAACGAGAAGATCGACTATGGTGCACAGGGTCTGAAGGTTTTCGTCTTCTGCCCAGGATTTGTTGTCAGTAATATTCGAGGAAGTAGTAAGGAAGAAAGAAGCGGGGGAGGTATGGCGGGAGATCCTGATGTTTCAGCTATGATGTTGCTTGACATGATCGAGGAGAGGAGGGATGAAGATATAGGTAAATTTATACATAGAGACGGCATCTATCCTTGGTAATGGGGATTGAACTAGCCTTTGCGCGGAATGAGCTGGTTTCAGGTCTGTTGACGTCGGCATATCAGCATCCAGATGTACACTACGAGAGTGAGCAATGTAAACTAAATAGGAACAAGACATATGACTAGACAAGAACACGAAACATAAACCAGACACGAACAATGCGGAACTAAGCGAGGACGACGTAGAAACTGAAAAGATGTACATGAAACTGGTGGACGCTAAGGTATAAAAGAGGCAGTGAGGAGCGATGGCGTGATATAAATTGGAAAATGTGAATATAGAAGGACGTCTACATCCATTTGAAGGAAGAAGTTCGTTCAGCCTTTTTGCAGAACTATGGCAGAGCCATGGGCAGCTAGAGGTCAAACGATATGTGTTCATGCTGCCGAAGCTAGGGAGTCTTCTAAAGCGGTGAGTGTCCTAAGAGACAGTATATGCTGTGAAGGCTCTGCTAGTTGCGTCTGACACTGTGACAGAGGCTGTGTTTGTGAAGGCTCATGTTGAGCAAAATTGCGCAGGGTCGTGTAGGCCGTGAAACGCGTAAACAAAGATGCATCAACATCCACCCACAAACGATATTGTTGGTCACGTCAGCTTGGACATAAGAACCTTCCTTCAGACCTCTGTATCTTCGCTCTCTCATACTCTTTGTCAGAATCCATATTGTATGTATCATATGTAAAAGCAACCAGATTTGCGCAAAGACCTGGATAGATCGATCTACCTTCAGCAGATACCCCATTGCCTTACCTCTACCAAAGACGACTTGCCGCAACGATGCTGTGGAAGAATTTGCTGGTTGTGGGCACTTTGATTCAACTCGGTACAGCTAGCCTTGCAGAATTCCGAGAAGAGCTTAGCCATCGACGACATCATCCACCCAGACAGAGACACGAAGACCCTGTCAGCAAGCCTCAGACCAGTACGTCTTGTGTTCGACCAACAATGACTGTGACAGTCACCGCTAGTGAGGCTCTGACTGAAGGGCCGAAATGGTCAAATTCGACGTCGTCGACTTTCCTCACTCAAGTGACAGTCACATCCACTGAGAGCCTGTGCACGGCCAATTCAGCCACTGGTTCTCTGTCGTATCCTCCGTCTAGCACGTCGCCTGCAACAACCACTATTCCAGCTGCTCCACAACCCTTACGTGCAGACACCGACACTCCCGGAACTTCTGCCACGAACGCTCCACCATCTCCCACAATGACAGTTTCGACTGCCTCAGCCTCCTCTACAGTGGCACCACTTGCCTCTCCCATCAGTGCCTGTGAGACGACTCCGTCCAACTTCACCTCGATGCCCACCTTCTTCGGCTTCAATATCGCCAATACAAAACCCGTTGACCCGGTACAGTTCAAGGGCAAGCCGTTACCAGTCAAGGCTACAGAAGATTGGGATGCCGCTTTGACGAAGATCAGATCAGTCTTTCCCTCCGTCAACGCCTTCCGAATATACTCCACCACAGATGAGAACAGCGAGAACGGAAAGACGGTAGTCTATAAGCACCTCGAAAACGCTCTTCCAGCTGCAGCGAATCAGAAGATGAGCATTCTCGCTGGCGTCTGGAGTGGTGGTGTCGGGAGGGAGGCTCGTTTTAAGCAAGAACGTGATGCCTTGGAAGCTGCTGTCAAAACCTTTGGATGCAGCAATATCGCGGCTGTAAGCGTGGGAAATGAGGATATGAACGACATTAACCTCATGCCATTAGATGGTAACAGCAAGAAACAGCGAAAGGTAGACACTGCAAAGCTGCTGATCAAACAGATGGATGAGGTGCGCAAGATGTTACGACAGAATAAATGTTGTGTACCTGTCACACACACAGACACGTGGGATGAATGGTATGGAACAGCTGGTGATTTCACATGGCTGCCGAAGGTGAGTTAGCACAGAGACCGGCTTCAGTGCTTGGTACTGACCAATTCTTAGCTCATCGCAGCGGTTGACCAGGCAGTGATTGCCAACATCTTCCCATTCTGGAGCAATGACACAGTGCCAAATTCCTGGAACTCGATCGGATTTGTGTCGAAACAAACATTGGGTAAGGCACAACTTTATGGCAAGGATATGTGGCTAGGAGAGACAGGATGGGCAATGGCTGACCCTGGAAACAACAACATGCATGGCGCAGGTCAAGAGCAGCTTCGAAATTATTTCAATCTCGTCGGCTGTCCGGTCTTAGCTGGTACAGGAACCAGCTTCTATTACATCGATTGGGACGAAGACCAGGTGAATGCGGGCAAACCAAGCTTCGGACTTTGGGACTGGCAAGGACAACCACGCATCCCAAGTTTGACCTGCTCGAAGTACAAGCAAGAAATGGCAGTCACACCCGAGATGCCATCTTTCATGGGAGGTGAGGGCTTTCGTACGTCTTAGTCGAGGCTCTTAATTGGACATAATAGAAGCTGGTTTGGATCATCGGAGGTTAACATTGGCAAGGATGTGCAAAGGGCCGAGCTCTCGTGTCGTTGGCACTAGTGATGTCGGTCATTGATGTTTGTTGTCAGGTTCCAAGACTCTGGGTGCTCGGTATGGTTCGAGCGAGTGCTGCAATTGGGTATTGTTCATAGTCAGATGGATGACTGATACATGAAGGACGATTCTGAAGTCAGGGACGAACTGGCAGAGACCAGTAGCTGCTGGTAGTTTTATCGGGCATCATCGAGACGTAGTCTCAGGCATCTACATACCTCGGTAGCTTATCGCGGTCGCGTTTCCTTCTATACAATTCACAATTTAAGATTCACGACATTGATGGGCGTAACTTCAGCTTTCGCCAGGTCGCGGGATTCAAGTCTGTAGCCGCATAGACTGTCGCAGATTCGGGATCGCCATGGTATTATTATGACCATATATCACAGATTATTAGCCCAAGAGAATGGAGTTCCTTCCCACCCTCCTCAACCCGCTCGACGAGAGCAAACCGTCCTTATTTGAGATCCTGTCTGAACAGCAGCTCTCCGGCCTCATACCACCCTCTCTAAGATACGTTCTTGCCGTCGCAACACATCGTTATCCACGATATCTACTTCGCATCCTCAACAACTACGATGAACTCTACGCACTCCTCTCACTCATCGTCGAGAAGTACTACCTCGAGAACTTCGGCGGTGGCTTCACCGAGAACTTCTATGGCCTCAAGCGAGAAAAGATCCTGCGGCTGCGTGGAGGAGAGATACGACGAGCTGCACTGGGCGTTCCTGCAGAAGTGCGCGAGCGATTACAGCTAAAAAACAATAAGGCAGATGTGTGGAAGAATTTGCTCATAATGGTCGGGGTACCATATTTGAAGAGAAAACTGGATGAGAGCTATGATATTCTCATTGCGCCGAGTGCGTCCCTATCGGCAGGTCTGGGAGGGGTCGAAGGACGAAATTTTCTAGATCGTGATGCCCTACCACCCAACCCAACGATCAAACAGAGGATAATGTACACGTACAAGTGGTTCCTGCGGCATGTCTATCCTTCCGTCAATGCTGCATACTATTTCAGCATACTCGTCTTCAGCTTAGGTTACCTGTTTGACAGCACCAAGTATTCGAGTCCGTTTCTGTGGATGGTTGGTACACGAATAAGACGCATGAACGCCGCAGACTACAGAGCGATTGAAGATGCAAGCAAGCTCAGTATCGCCGCCGCAGCAGGTACACCAGGCCGACCAGGTCAGGGCCTAGCAGGTTTCTTCCATCCCAGAACGCTTTGGCCACGATTATTGAGCAGTCTGAGATTACTTCTGCCCGCCAGCATCTTTGGATTGAAGTTTCTGGAGTGGTGGTACCAAAGCGATTTCTCGAGACAGCTTACCAGGAAAGCAGCTGAAGGCCTGGAGCTTCCTCCACCGATAATCAGTGGACAGGGACTGATACGCAGACATAAAGCCGAGCAGGAGAGAGTGCAGAAGGCGAAAGCGCAGGGCATCGCTAACACAAGCATGAAGCGTGAACCGCCGATCAGCAGTACCAGCTATCTACCAATCTTTACTGTCCCGCCACCACCAACGAGCGATCTGTGCCCAATATGCTTACATCCTATTGAGACGGCGGCTGCTTGTCAGACCGGATATGTCTTTGACTTTAGATGTGTATTCCAGTGGATTGAAGGCAATCATGCACGACAGGAGGCGTGGATGAAGGGTGAGAAGAACGATTGGGAAGAAGACCAAGAGGACTCTGAGAACGAGAAAGCGCCTCAAAGTCGAGACGGAAAGTGGGAGAATGGAGCTGGTAGATGTCCAATCACAGGAAGAAGAGTGCTGGGCGGCACTGGTGGCATACGAAGAGTCATGGTATAGACACAACGATGTCACGCCCTAATTTGACCTCACACTCATATCGCGCATTTCGATTCCTTGAGTGCCGCTTTCAGGCCTGCTTCTTCTTGATAGAGCGCCATTCCGTCAAGCCGGTACCAAGAATGGTCAGCAAGGTCAACCCTAGCGGAATGTACAGTGTCTGTATGACAGCTTTGTCGTAACCGACCAAGACATATTTCAACCGATCTGGACCGATCGTTCTCCGAATGTCCGAAAGGCCAGCATGCTCGATAGTGGTCACGTTTGTCCCTGGAGCAGAACGGCTAATCTCATCGCGCAAACGGCCTTGAAACAGAACGGCCGTTGCAGAAGAGAACACAGCAGATCCCATGCCAGCTCCGAAGCCAAGAATGGCACCGCCAATGGACACTTCTTTCGGCCTGAGCGTGGCAGTGACAGCTGTCAATGGTGCTTGCATGCCAAGTCCAAGGCCAAAGCCTAGCAGTCCCATCAGACCCGCTGCTTTGCCAAGCTGAGAGTCGAGGTCGAGTGTGGTCAAGAGACCACTACCAATGGGTGCCAGGACTGACGTGGCGACCATGAAAGGAGTGTAATAGCCAATATACGTTGTCCCCCAGCCATATAAGAGGCTCGCTGCCATTAAACCTGCAATCATGGGTAGACCGAGCAGGCCGGACTTGGCTGGCGATACACCCTTGATGCCTTGAAAATATACTGACAGATAATTCTCAGTTACTGCTAATGTGCCGTCACAGCACATGCAGAAAAGAGCACCTGCCAATATACTTCGTTGCATTGCAATCCTGGGCGGCACGGTTGCTTCATCTCCAGAGCGATGCTGGAGGTAAGCGAAGAGTGTCAGCAGTACCACAGACAGGACAAACAGAACGATGATACGAGGATCTTTCCAACCGTATTTGGCGCCACCCCAGGTTAGTCCCATCAGCAAAAACGTCAATGCTGGCACAAAGACAAGCGAACCTCTAAGGTCAAGTCGCTTAAGTTTCTCTCTAATGGGTAACTCTGTGTCCGGGTTGTTAATATTATTCTGCACGCTGTAAGCCGCAATGGCCAGACAGATTGCGTTGAGAGGTATGTTAATGCCGAAGCATGCTCGCCAGTTGAACGCTTCAATCAGGAGACCACCAACAAGAGGACCTGACACTAAACCGGCACTACCAACGAAGTTGATCATGCCATACCATTTGGGTTGTTTCGCGAGTGGAAACATCATGTTAAGCAAAGTGATCAGTCCAGCACCTTGACACGCATTGCCCAGACCAGCAATAGCGCGGCCCAGAATAAAGACCTTGGAGGTTTTAGCGAATGTGCATATCAGGCAGCCAACCCAGGATATGACAATCGATGTAAGGTATAGGCTTTTCGGACTGAAGAGAGTGTAGAGCTTGCCGAAGAAAAGTATCGTGGCGCTGCCGGTTACCATGAAGGCAGCATTATACCAACCAATATCATTGATGGACTTGAATTCATTGGTGAGACTAGGGACCTGCAGAGTTGTTAGGCGCAGTTGCTATATGGTCAAAGAGAGGCACTAAAGTCTCGGAGGTCTCAATGGAGTCTCGAGGATGACTTACTGCAACTGCCACGATTGTTATATCAATGCTGCGCACAAAATTGACGACCATGAACGATCCCACGTTGAGCCATAATTTGGCGCCAGTAGGATAGACGACTTCGTCCTGGCTCGAACCAGATTCCTCAATCTCAAGCTGTTCCTGGGGCTGACCTGGGATAGCAACTGCAGTTTGAGTAGCTACTGAAGGGACTGCAGATGTGCTGCCTGTAATGTCCTTCTGAGCATTCATAATTGTGTTTACCATAATTTTTATGAGAAGTCAACGTTCCCTTTCCTTGCCACGAATGAAGTATGCTCTTGTAGACAACAGCTTTTTCAATGCTGCCTAAAATCTGCACATTCGAGCAGCTCTACTCCGCGTCAGATTGTGCAGGATCGCCGATCAGGCTTGAACGAGCAAGTATGGGGGTCATACTCGCGTTCGATCACTGTTTCGAACATTCTGTAAACTATGCTGCCTTGGGAGAGTGAAAGTTTGAATGAGTCGCCGACCAATCGAACTATGTCGCACTGAAAGTGGACGAGAGTTGTGAAGTTCGGTCCAAGCAAAAGTACACAATGCGGAGTAGATTCTATGGAAAGTGCGGCCGGCTAGCTTCGGTTGTTCCTTCTGTATGCGGAGACCTGATATTTTCGATATGTACAATACTTTTGTCGACCCCATCTCGAAACGACATACATATACAAAATGTCGCGGCGCAATGAATTTCTTGACCAGGATCACTCCGAGGAATCAACTGAGGAAAGTGGATATGATTCTGAGGCGGCAGAAGTGTCGAGAACAGAACGCAGAGGAGTGAAGAGAAGGAAATTATCACATTCGTCAGCCAGTTCGGAAGAAGGACAAACAGACTTGGGAGAAAAGACACTCCAAGGCGAGAATGTTAGCGACAAAAATGCGATTGGGGACCAAGAAGTCGAAGCTGCAAGCGAGGACGATGATGTGCAGGGTCGAGAAACAGAGTACCCAGTCAAGAGTGCCTTGCTCGCTGTTCAAAAGAACTCTAAGAGGCCTAAGAAAGAGAGAACACCCGGTGTCGTATATCTCTCGTCTTTACCGCCGTACCTGAAACCGTCAGCTCTGCGCAATCTCCTAGGCCAGCGAGGCTTTGAACCTGTCACACGCCTCTTCCTCACTCCATCCTCCAAGCACAAGCACAACTCGAAGAAGAACTCGCGACAGCTCTACTCGGAAGGGTGGATTGAATTTGAGAGCAAGAAGACTGCAAAGAGATGCGCTGAAGCTCTAAATGCGCAGCTTGTGGGTGGGAGGAAAGGCGGGTTCTACTACGATGATCTATGGAACATGAAGTATTTGAAAGGCATGGCCTGGGACGAATTGATGGCTGGCATTCGCGAAGAGCGACGGGAAGAGGAAGGTAGGAGAGATGAGGAGCGAAGAAAGATTGCTGCTGAGACGAGGTTGTATGTGGAGGGAGTTGAGAAGGGGAAGCGACTTGAAGGCATGAAAAAGAAGAGGAAGCTGAAAACTTCTCACGCTGATCAAGCGGATGATGTTCAGAGGGTCTGGCGACAACACGAGGTTGCACAAGATCGTACAGAGACCTCACGCTCATCTTTCGATCCTGCAGTGCAGCAGGTATTGTCAAATATCTTTTAGCGATCTTGAGGTGACCGCTTGCTTCGCACCTCATTGAGGGTGCTTGGAGTTGATGAGCTTCTCCTTCTCGAAGAAACTTGTCACCACGCTCACAGTCGTCTTGACTATCAGATCAATCTCTTGAAGTGTGCTGGTGTAAGGTGGTGCTAGCAGCACGAAGTCACCTCGGGTGCCTTCCACCGAGCCTGTACCCGGGTACAAACTTATCATATGAGGCTCCTGCATTCCCAGCTTATGAATACCCGCCGCGACTTGCATTTCGGGTGGAAAAGGTTCTTTCGTGAGTTTATCTGCCACAAACTCGATGCCCCAGAACAAACCCATGCCACGAATGTTACCGATGTACCACTTATCAGCCAGGCAAGCCTTCAGCCCTTGCTCAAGAGCGTTACCTAATTGTCGCACTTGCTCCATTGTTCCAGGCTGCATGATGACCTTCTGCACTGATGCAGCTGCGGCGCATCCAACAGGATGAGCCTGGTATGTTTGGCCGTGTGAGAAGACTCCGGTACCTTGTGTCATTACACCGACAATCTTCTTGCTTACCAGTAAAGCCGCGACAGGTTGATAGCCGCCACTAAGACCTTTACCGAGTGTCTGTAAATCAGGTTTGACATCAACCATGGGAGATTGCCAGGCATGCAGGTATCCACAACGACCCATACCAGACATGACTTCGTCTGAAATAAAGAGAGCACCATATCTTTCACAAACCTCCTTCATGGCAGCAAAATAGCCAGGTACAGGTGGTACACATCCGAGAGCAGCACCCACAACAGGTTCCGCTACAAATGCACACACAGTTTCTGGTCCGAGTCTTTGAAACTCAGCATCGAGCTCTTCCGCAAGTCTTCTGACATAGTCATCGACCTTCTCTTCATTCCTTTTCCCACGATAAGCAAAACAAGGACTTACTCGACTTATGCTAGGTGAGAGCATAGGCTCGTATATCTTTCGTCTCAATACGTGGCCACCAAGGCCTAGACTTCCTAACGTTGTGCCATGGTAGCTTTGCTGCCTCGAAATGAATCGATACCGCTTCGTCTCCGGACCTTCGAGCTCGACGAAGTATTGTCTCGCCATCTTCATCGCTGCTTCATTTGCTTCACTGCCGGAGCTACAGATGAACGCTCGGTTCATCACACCATTTGTTCCTCTGATTAACAATGAGCACAGTTCCTCCGCTGCTTGCGTTGAATAAAAGATCGTTCCGGTATACGCAACTTTGTCTAACTGGTCCATGATGGCCTTCTTTATTATCGGGTTGTTGTGTCCGAGGCACGCGACTGCTGCACCTCCGGTGGCATCGAGGAATTTTTGGCCATTCTCGAGGTGCAGATACAAACCTTCAGAAGCCACGACCCGAGATGGTTGTTCATGCAGTGAGCGGTGCATCACTGCACCACTGTCGGTGGCGTCGGCCATCAGGTCTGGCTCTTCCACCTGCAGAACTTCTGCATAACTGTCAGTGTCGACATTCTGTTTGGTCGCTGTTGGTTCTCGTTGAATCATCGTCCTACGTATTTCGGACCCGATTCTGGTCCTTAGTGTCTACCGAATGAGTATGTGCCTGTAAGCATGGACTCCACTTTAACGTGGTTATAAGTTTTTATATTAGCCGATCAATCTTTCACATCAGCATTGACAAGAGTTCATATGCAAACCTGGCTGATCACAGCCAGTTCCATTATATACGTAGAAGACTCATGTCTACACAGGACTTTTACCTGTATATGGAGTTCTGCGCGCGTTACACGTGAAGGGCGCTCATAATCACGTGGTCACCCATCCGCCTGACTTTCCTATATCTTTTAGCATGCGTTTCTTCTCTATCGCGTTCACGTTCAAAAGACGACCATCGGGTCGCAATCGACTCAGGATGTTCAGTGTGATCTAACATATCCTCATCATGTCTTGAGCTTGTGCCATGCTTGGGCTCAAGGACACATTTCGGGTTCCTGAGATACATGACTTCCGACATTCTTGTGCTCGTACAACAGCCATACGTTCGCACACGTACACTCAGTCTACTTCGACTTTCCTTCCATCCAAAGAAATTCCGTTTGGCTGCTCCGACTGACGAGATATTGTCTCCTCCAATCAATATGGTGCCGCCTTGAAATATTCTCGACCTCACAGAGGGATTCTGCTACCCGCGAAAGTCTGTTCGGTAACCTAAATTCGCGTATGTTCTGAAGAAGTGGAAGAAAGCAAATAATAGTTGATTGTCTGTGAACGATTGTAAAATAGAGAGAAGCCTATGTAGCTTTCTGAATACGCTAAAATAAGCTAAAACACGCTAGTGAGTGACACGAACGTTAGTGGCCTGAATGCCTAGCTCACGTTCAACATGTTCCGCAATGGGATGTTCGAGCTGCAAACATGCCGTAAGACGTAGAAATGCTCATATCAGATGTGCGATGCCTTGAATTTGGACGGCGTCTTAAAATACAAATTGAAGTGTGATCAGATTTTGCGCTTCCATAGCAGACATGAGCATTTGACATCTTTGTATCTAGCTTTTTACCTACACCTCATCCGACTCGAGATCATCTCCAGCATCGTCCAACATATCGTACTCAGTTTCGTTCTCATCATCCTCATCGGAATCACTGTCCTCTTCTTCTTCTTCACCGGGAACTCCCTGCCACTCCACGTAATCGCCTTCAATCCAATGCTTGCTAATAGGTAGGTGGTACGGGTCGTAAGGGAAATACCCTTCGAGCATACCATTTTCTCCCACCCAATTTCTGTCACCATCTGATCCACTGCTCAAACTGATGTCGGCTACTGATCGCCACGAAGTCGAGATTCGGACACGCTTGTTCTCCTCGAGTTTCGGATAAACGTAGAAGAGCTGTAGTGCATGTGTGAGCTTTGCGAACTGCTCGACGATGCCTGGACTGCAGATCCGAAGAGGGTTGAGACGTGAGTATATGGCTGAATGAATGACTTCGCGAATTGCTTGAGGTAGAGCATATGGCTGCTGCTCGTCTTCAAGATCGGAGTAGTCGTCGTCCTCGGCGTCGAGAACAGATGTGCCGAGATCACGCCATCGGAAGCAGAAGATGTACATGACGGCTTGGAACATAGCGTAGAAATCACCGTACTTTTTGAGATCTGGGTTGATGCAACCTGGCTCGTATTTGAGACGCTGCTCGTCCAGCTGTTGGCAAAGCAGATCGAGGCAGTCGTGCACTAGTGCAGGGGAGACATTCTTGCCTCGTCCCACAAAGCCGGAGAAGTATGCAGCTGCAGCGTGGCGGATCATTGGAGAATGCTTCTGGTCCAGCAGTATACTGATACAGTTCGTGACGAAGCGGTCTACTCGAGCTGGATCAGCTTGCGCGAAGTGGAAGATTAGGAACTGAGGATGTCGTGATCGGTATGTTGGCAGAATCAGGCTGTTGAATTGTGCAATCAATTGCTCAACCGCATTGTCCCTCAATTCTAAATTGGTCGTGCTCGTTAGCTCCGCATAGTATTCGAACAATGTATCCATAATCTTGTCAACTTCACCAACATCCTCCTTGAGCTGTTTCTTTCGTGCCGCTGCAGGGTCCATTCCCTCTTCCTCGTCTGAATCGGAATCTTCTGTAGACTCGGCATTCGATGCGTCGTCGCTCGAAGTGTTTGAAGAATGGCGTCGTTGGGAGTATGCTAGCGTTTGTGACTTGGTCATGTGTTGCAATATCTCATCTTCCACGTCATCATCCTCTTCGTCAAGGTCTGCCTGAATCGAAGCATCTAGCTTGATCAGCTGTCGTAATATGGTTGTCAAGATTTCGGAGGTGATCTCAGGAGTGTAATGTATCAATTGCATGAAGTTTTCGACAAACGCCATTCTATCCTTTGACTTTCTGAATTCGAAATCCAGTTTGGACGATATGCGCTGTGCCAGGACTGAACTTGCGAGTGGTATAAGTTGTGTCATGTATTTGATCGTCTCCAGGACACGTTTGTGTATCTTCGGCTGACGCACAACCTTGCATTCTGCAATTCTTCTCGTCTTTTGGGGTCCCAATAGATCAACAAGCATGCCCACTATAGCGTTCACAAACCCACCTTGTGCCACAGCCACACTGCCTAAAAAGCGAACGAAAGTCGCCACATAGGCATCATCTCGACCCACCCATTCACTAGAAATCACTGACTGTACGAGCGAACCACAATCTCTTCTCAGTCTCGAAACGTTTGCCTCAAGCGCTTGGATGTAATATCTGAGAGCTTTTGTGGACAGCGCGCGCTCTTTCCCAGGCTCGATAGTAAACAGCGAACGTATTCTCTCATATGACTCATGATCGTAGGCCAGATGTCGTTCGAGGGCCCTTCGAACCTGCTCATTTACCACAAGTGGGTCCAAGTCATCCTCTTCATCGGCTGAGACTATATCGACATCGGCATCAAACTTCACACGCAAACGCTTGGAGGGACTCGAGGGTACATTGGTAAGGTTCGTGTCATCAATCGATCTCTTCAAGGTCGATCTGCGAGGTAAATTGGCAGGTCTTATGGACTGTTTGGAAAGCTTATTGGCAGTGGGAGGCGTCGGCCGCATTGAAAGTGGTGGAATGACTGCCATTCGTGGTGTAGTTGGATGTGCAAATTGTACATGAAGGGCTCAATATGTCTATGTACACATCAATAAAGACGACAATGTGCTTGACAAAAGGACTCCGATCTAGATAGAAATAGATAGTGCTCGCGTGAGGAACAAAATTCATGGTAGAATCTGAATTACTCCACACATTTTGGCCAAGATTTCAGGCGGGCACACGTGACCATATATGGTGTCTAGGCAGTAAGGCACTATCAGCACTTTATGCTCAACCAAGATCACAATATCTTCTGAACAAGTGATTTGACAACTTAAATCACTTTCACCTTCTGCGCTATATCGCGATCTAGAATTCACTCGGATTACGGCAGTTCCTACAAATTACGAAAAGTAAATATACATGTCCGAGCCTTCGATACCAACGAGACCATTCATGGCAGTATCCTTCACTTGCCCTCTCGCCGACTCAACTTCTCTGTTCCTTGGAAAGCATCAAAGTCCATCGCCTTCTCCTTGTTCAATGCATGACGATGTCCAAGAGCACGCCTAATGATCCAGTCTTTCGCCATCAATATCCCCTCATTTTTCCTTCTCTCCTCTTCCTTGCGTCCTTCGTCATCCAATGCCGGTATCTTGTCACTACCCTCCAGTCTCTTCATGAGCACCTCATTCTCTGGTCTGCTAAAGTACACTAAACTATATCTAGTGAAATCTGCTTGTGCGCCAGGAGGAGACACAACGCGATGGATATTTGATCGCAGCAAGCCGTTGGTGAATACTGCCATTGCATCGCCGAGATTAATGATTGCATGACCAGGAAGGGGTTTAACATAGCACCATTCTGCATCTTTGCCCGGTGGTAGGACTTGCAAGCCACCGAGCCGATTGAAGAGAACGGTCACACTGCCAAAGTCGGTATGTGCTCCAAGAGTGAGTTGACGGTCATCCATGGGCTGTGGTGGAGCTTTGATGAGACGTACTTGATCTCCTGAATTATGACCGACACGGTGGAGGTTTGCTAGTGTACCGGGAGGTAAGTCCAGGTGGTCGTTCAATAAGCTAAGGACCATAGTGATGATACCATGCGCGGAAGTCATGAAAGACTTGAAGAGAGGGCGTTGCGTATCGAGGACTTCGGGCGCGGGTAGCTTCTCAGAAAGGCCCATAATATCGTCCTTCGAGACCTGAGAGGAGAAACGTTAGCTGATTACCAATGCGACATACGGAGGTATGAGGAACACACATTGTAGAACTCATTACGGTCAGTTCGTCCTGTTTTGTCTACCACATTCGCACCATATCCCTTATACCCAAAGTAACTATTTTTATGCATAAAATCATACTGCTTCTTCTCTTCGAGCGGCAGATCGTACAAATTCTCACCAACACGAAACAGTTTGTCTGCATCTGCTAAGATGTCATCGCCAGGACCCCGCAAGTCCAAGTAGAAGAAGCCCAAGTCTTCACACGCTCTGAGTAATCGATTGACTTCTTCAAGATCGTTATCCCGAAGCTTGGCAAACGATAGCCGAAGGAGTGGTGCAGTCGGAACATCGTCGGGAAAGGCTGGCGGAGAAGTGTCGCCGTTAGTATGACCGTTGAGACGGATACCATTTGTCTGTGAAATCGTTTCTGTAGCCATCATATTTGGTGCTCACGTATTCTCGGTTCAACTCAACGAAGGAAGCAAGAATGTCACATTGCCGAAGCCATTCTCCAGCTGCGAATATGTATGACAATGGTCCGTGTCGAGTTGGCTCGGTAGTGCTGGCGTGCGGGGATGCGTCAACTGTGGCAAAGCACCTGACCAGTTTACGATATATCAGGACTACTATTATCTGAGCCAAGTTGGCAATGCTTAAGCCCGGTACTGGCGGCGAGGCTGCTACTGATATGCATGCCTGCAAACGCATACCACACTAGATTGTGCATGGGGATTCTGCCTTACTGCTTCTCGTGATTGGCGAGCTTATGTCCAATCACAATACATGAACAATCTGCTTGGCGAGCTTATTGTACTTCGTTGCGAATGACTGCCCTTCTCTTGATTACCGGCAAGTGTCAGTTGTCCACGCTCCTGCCTCATAATATCCTCATACAGCTGAATATGACATATCTGTCGAGGCCGCAGAAGAATCGTTCCATTCCAGTCCCTTTCTCCTGGTTTCCCACTTCTCCAGCTCAAAAGGTTCGATTTCGGTGACATTCTTGTCTTGCCAAAGGATCGTGGCACATTTGAAGTCAGCGTCAGGCAATGGATCCTGAATAACCCCAAACCCGCCTATCGCGATTCTTCCTCTGAAAGGAGCAGCGAAGAAGTAGACCTGAAAGCTCACTTGCAGCTTCGGAGGCAGGTTATGAATCGACCGCTTTATCCATTGTGGAAGATCATTGTATCGTCCCTTGAATTTCCGAAGGAGATTGGAGTGCAGGTCGATAGGACCATCGCCTGGATCTACGAACATATATTGGAGTCCTACCAGGTCAATGGTGAGTGTTCGTAGGTTCTTGAGACCAGCGAGGAAAGAGCATGGAGTCTTCTTGCTTGTAACTTTGGAGCGCTTTGGCTTCGTCCAGGAGAGTACTAAATGTCGAACCCTCGTCAATGTCGCCAATCTGTTCCAGCTTCGCCATTTATCGTGCATTCTGTAATGGTTGATCCTGAATGTGCACGTCTGGAAGAAGACCTCGACGGCCTCTTCCCGGATAAATTTGTTGACGTATAGCAGTGCTCGAATAGGGTTCTCCTGCTGATCACTCTTTTTCTGAGGAGCGTTGATGTCTGTCCAAGTGGTACCGCTGAAGACGTGTTTGTAGATCAAGACGCGTACTTCGGCTGGCAATTTGACGAACTTCGGTCGGCTCTTTCTCTGATTCTGTTTGTACCAATACCTCTGTTTCTTCGGAGTGATAACACCTCGCTGCGAAATTTTGCGCTTCGCATTTTCCGACGATGGACTAGAAGAGAATGCACCCTTCGGAGTTTCCATGTTTTCTTTGAGTCTTCGTGATGGCTTCAGCATAGTATCTGTGTTAGAATCAGCTCTCACCGCTAGTGCTGTCGTGTTAGATGTGTGTGAGTTAGAAGATGGTACTATTGGAAGGAGGTGAAAGTCCGCAACAAGCAAACATTTTGCAAACTGCCAAGCCTAGTATCTGTCTGATTTTGTCGAGTGAAGGCCTTAGTAGAACAGAGTGATAGTCATCACAAGGGTTTTCAACTGCGAAGAGAATCGAATGGAGAAGCTTTCTTTGGTGCAGAATATACCAGCTTAACTCTTTGTACTGTATTCAAGCATCTTCCAAGCATGTCGCCTGACATCAAGGTATGTACTCAGGTCTTTGCCATCGCTGTTGAGCAGTTGACGACAATTCAACTGCTCAAAATTAGCAACTGCACCCGATTACACGTGTTTGCGTTCGCTGCAATGACTGTAAGGTTGACACGATCTGGGTAACAAATGAAGAGGATGACACTCGTGTACATAGTCTCCGAGATGTTGACATTCAAATGATAAATTGAGAGCGGAAGTGATACAAAACTCCACGTGTCTGAGCGCACGTTCAGAGGTTTGTTCATACAGCACAATCTTGACAGTCACTTCCACAATTCCTACTGAACGTGGAATTTCGCGTCTATGACATTCTAAAACAAGTTGGTTCTTACTTGACATATATACTTTGAATAGATAGTGCTGAGCGGAGTTCTTCACCGACGCGAACGCCTGACTTTCAACAACGATACCACTGGCAGTCCTACTTGCGAAGCCTTTACCCTGACAACCGCAGACCTGCTTGCTCGAAATCGCTGAAAATGCCACAGACGCGGTCGTCTCGTCAGAACCACTCTTCGGCCTCACAAGAAGATGATCGTCTTACGCATACCCTTCTCAGTCTCAATATCCTCTACCAGACCCACATTCACCCACTACTGCCCGAGGCGTTGCAGCCGGTATCCAGCACAGTCAGCTCGATGATCCTGAACTCAGCACCCTATCTCACTCAAGTCATTGCAGTATGCCGCAAAATACTCGCTTCAGCCTCTTCCGTCTCATCAACAGACGCGTCCAGTTCCGCCCTACTTAGCCTGGGTGTGCTCCTGATCACACTATACATGGTGATCCGCATAATGAACTATGTAAGAAGAACGATAATGGGATGGGTTTGGCTTGGGGTTAAGTTGGTATTGGTGGCAGTCATGGTGCAGGTAGGGCTGTATGTCAATAGCTATGGATGGGAACGAGCTATGCGAAACGCAGGATGGCTTGGTGGGATTGGTTGGGGCTTGTTGGAGGATATGCTGAATCAGAATCAGCAGCAGAGGCAGCCTAGAGGGACAAGAAGCAGAGGGCAGAGTGGTTACAACAATAACTATAACGAACGTGGTTACGGTGCAGGGGGACGTTATGGTTATTAGCAGTTGGAATAACGGCTTGGAGACAGGATATATGCGGAATTTGACGATGACGACCAACCATAAGCAATGAGAACCGCAGCCATGACCACTCGGATTGATGTACTAAACTAGTGTATAACCACAAATGCTCTATATCCAAATCTGTCTGCCACCAACGCCTACGCTGAAATCCATACGTCTATCCGTGTTCAAGTCGTCAGTCGTTCTCCCAGACGGGTTCGTCGTTGTCAAACTCTTTTGGCTCTCTAGGTTCTTGTGCTTCGTGATACTGTATGGCATTGTCGATGTAGCTCAGGATATCACCCACACTCTCTTCATCGTTGACATCCAATTTCAAAAAGCTCACCATACTGAAATCGTCAATCAGTCTTGCCACGGCACGATTCAGCTTCTTGAAACTGCCGCCACTCATGACCTGGTCAACTTCAGTAGGGTCGCTCGGATCGAATGCGTCTTCCATTGTGAGAGCGTTCCGTTCGGTATCTTCGTCGTCCATCAGATTCGAGTCCGGATCCACGAATTTCTTCATTTGTGTATTACTGATCCGTCCCTGTATCAGATCCATCTTGGACATAATATTCACATGCGGCAATTCCATCATGACCATCGCACTCATGGCACTGAGGGTACCGGCGAAAAACTTGGCCTTGTCGACCACAAAAGTAGCCTCTAGCAGATAGGTCGCACAGAGGTTGATTCCCATTGCTCCTTGCCGGCTCAGAAACTTGATAAGCTCGGGTAGAAGTGGGATATGTGTATATAGCTCAATCTGTCCTGGTAGATCAAAGATAATCAAATATTCTTCGCTTAATGGTTCAATGGCTGTATGCAGGAAGTCGAGGTTCTGTAGGAGAAACTCGAAGCAAAAGATGAGACCACCATTGGGTCCGAGTGACATCTCTTCCATAACATCGTCAAGGCTGATCAGGTCGCGGATGTCGAGGTCAGGGGTATATGCAAAGGACTCGGCTGCTGGATCGAGGTTCACGTAGAAACAGGAGCGACGCACGGTTTGTAAGTGTTGGATCAATGCTGTGCAGAAGGTCGTTTTGCCTGCACCTGCAGGTCCCATCACGAGTACACCGAACTTGGACATCGTTGCGTCTAGAAATCGGGCCTTTGATATTGTTTGAGCAAAGTTGGACAACCTCGAGAGGACGATTTAGTGCGAAACTGCGAAAGAGAAAAACTGGAATCTGTTAGGGCGGGCACATTGTTAGCACAACACGCTGGAGAAGATTCACAGGCACTTTCGGCATTCGCATTTCATGTCAATCGAACAGGCAGAACGTATGATAGACAAACAGAAGTTGTTTTACTGAAGCAAGCGCCTCAACATTATTGCACTGGGCCACTTCACTTGGGGAGCAAACCTTCACCACCAGCAATAGTGCTTTACACCAACTTCACCGCAAGATGCGCCGAAAATGGTTCGACACGAATGCTTGGGATGATGTGATGATAAGTTTCCGGACCCATTTGTTCCCGTCATCGCGCAAGCGTATTGTGCTTCGTCTTTACAGCTTCACTCGCTACCGATCGAGCTTGTTGCCTGTAAGCATACTGTATTTTCAAGTCGGGGTCCTGGTGCAGTGGAGACCGTATTCATTCGGCAACAATTTTTTTGGGCTTCGAAGTCGGCGTATCTGATCGTCCCTCTGGCGTGCTCAATACACGTGGGGACTCGCTCCTGCTGTCATTGTTCTGTTGTAGGAAGTCAGTTTGCAGAAAACTGCCGTTCTCCCTCTAACACCCAACTTTTTCTAGTCAGAGCTGATTGTTCAGTACAAACACATTGGTCGTATATTTCTTCCCCACTTCACCAATACGCAGAATACCTTTCGGCTTCCTACCTTTTAGACAATTTCATAATGGGTTCAATCTCGAACGGCGTCGACAACGCTATTCCAGCAAAAGGAAGCTTCCTCTTCACCTCCGAATCAGTTGGTGAAGGACACCCAGACAAGATCTGGTATGGAGTCAACACCTTTGCTGTCAAGCCGACCAAATACTGATTCTCCCGTAGTGATCAAGTTTCTGATGCCATTCTCGATGCATGCCTCAAGGAGGATCCTCTTTCGAAGGTTAGGAAGTTTTGGTATTCTTGACGTGCAGAAACTTACCTTGACAGGTCGCCTGCGAAAGCGCAACCAAAACTGGCATGATCATGGTGTTTGGTGAGATCACCACCAAGGCTCGATTAGATTACCAAAAAGTCATTCGAAATGCCATTAAAGACATTGGCTACGACGACTCAGCAAAAGGTTTCGACTACAAGACCTGCAACATCCTGGTTGCAATTGAGGAGCAGTCCAAGGATATTGCACAAGGCCTTCACTACGATGAGGTCCTCGAGAAATTGGGTGCTGGCGACCAGGGCATCATGTTCGGTTATGCCACCGATGAAACACCCGAGTACCTACCTCTGACCATCCAGCTCTCTCACAGACTCAACAAGGCCATGCGAGACGCACGAAACGATGGCAGCCTACCGTGGTTGCGACCCGACACCAAAACCCAAGTCACAGTCGAGTACGACCATGACAATGGTGCCGTTGTACCCAGAAGAGTCCACACTGTAGTCGTTTCTGCACAGCATTCGGAAGACATCACAACCGACAAGCTACGAGAAGAGATCAAGGAGAAAATTGTCAAGAAGGTCATTCCTGCAAAACTGCTCGATGATAAGACAGTCTACCACATCCAGCCTTCTGGTCTGTTCATCATTGGTGGACCACAAGGAGACGCTGGTCTGACTGGCCGGAAGATCATTGTTGATACCTATGGTGGTTGGGGTGCACATGGTGGTGGTGCTTTCTCTGGAAAGGATTACAGCAAGGTCGACCGATCTGCTGCCTACCTCGCACGATGGATTGCCAAGTCTCTCATCAAGGCCGGTCTCGCACGACGATGCCTCGTTCAGCTTTCGTACGCTATTGGTGTTGCTGAGCCACTTTCGCTGTATGTTGATTCATATGGCACATCCACCAAGTCTTCAGAGGAGCTTGTTGAGATCATCAGAAAGAACTTCGACATGCGACCTGGTGTCATTGTCAAGGAACTTAACCTTACCAACCCTATCTACTGCCAAACTGCCAAGAATGGTCACTTCAGCGACCAGAGTTTCCCGTGGGAACAACCCAAGGAGCTCAAGTTCTAGACTATAGAACTTTCTTGGATGTCTCTGTTTCAACACCAGAGCATTTGTACAGTTTGCGGCAGCACAGGTGGCTACCACACATGCACGAATGATGCTTGATGATGTCTATAAATTTACGAATCAATACTCACGATAATGGCGCAGGTTGTGGGACACGAAGTCGGGAAAGACTACGATGTTAAGGAGCAATATTCAACATGTTCAAGATACCCATTGGCGCATATCGTACGGCATTGAAGCGGCGTTTTGTAGGGCGGTGGTGGCTACCGCAGATACCAGTCCATAAAAAGTGATAGAGTGGAGAACAATTCCGATGCATAGAAGACATTACGAGTCGTAGGCCAACCAGCCACGAACCACAAGCCACTGCAAGTCTTTCCCGGTCTTCAGAAAGACATCGTTCCGTGTGAACCACGACATGTTCTGCTTAACAAATTGCTTGCTCATTTCGATAGATTCGAAGCATACCCCTCTTGATTTTGTTCCTCGTCCACGAACAGGGCTCGGTATTCGATATGACGTCAGCCATATAAATTGTTGAGATGTTTGTGATCGTGTGTGTCAAAATAGGATCAATGGTCCGGGATACTGTTGATTTGGTGTAGGCCAGATACGTAGTGTTTCTGAATAAGACTCGCAATCATATCTTCGTGTCGCAAAAAATCAACTAAGCTACAAGACACACATATAGACCACAGAACGTGATATTTCGCTGTTCTAAGTATCCTTGTGCTACCACTTTCTGGGCGATATCTAAGAAGGGCCCCTACTCAAGCGAGCCAGAGTATTCTTGGCTACGTTCAATTCCGAGTAAGGACGAGATGGCAGAAACTACCAACTTTCATGTCGAGCACCTGTTCCGACTCAAGGGATATGTCTGCCTGGTGACTGGCGGAGGTACTGGCATTGGATTGATGGCAACGCAAGCTCTATCAGCCAACGGTGCCAAGGTGTACATCACTGGCAGACGTACAGAGGTACTGGAGAAAACCGCAGCGACACATCACCCGAAAGAGCAGAACGCAAAGACTGACCAGCATGGTGACATCGTGCCAATTGGATCAACAGACGTTCGCTCCAAGGACGATCTGGACAAACTCTGTAAGGAGATTGAGTCCAAGGAGGGTTATCTTAGTCTTGTTGTTGCTGCTGCTGGTGTCCCAGGTCCAAAAGAGCCACAACCAGACGTTCAAGACGCCAAGGAGTACAAGAAGCAGATGTGGGAGGCCGAAAGCTCTGAGGAGTGGAACGAGACTTTCAATTCGGACGTGACATCGGTATACTGGACAACTTTGGCGTGCCTACCACTTCTCCAGGCTGCGCCCAAGGACCACCTCTCGAGCGTCATCGTCATCAGCAGTATGTCGGGCATGATGAGAGATTCGCAGTCCCATTTCGCATACAATGCGGCAAAGGCAGCCACTGCACATCTGACAAAGATGATGAGTAAAGAATTTGCCAAGTTCGGAGTGAGAATCAATTCAATCGCACCAGGTAAGACCCCTCGTCGCGTTTTTTTAGCTGGGACCAGCTAACATTGGTAATAGGATACTTTCCATCTGAGATGACTATGAAACAGAGTGATGATAGGAACAAAACTGACATGCCAGATGAGAAGGTGAAGGAGAAGGAGCATCCTGTACCAGCCCAGCGGTCAGGCACCGACGAGGAGATGGGAATGGCCGTGATATTCTTGAGCAAATGTGCCTATGTTAATGGACATATCCTGCCTGTTGACGGAGGCGTGTTGAATGAGGTTGGACAGTAAGATAGTGCAGAGATACTCGAGTGATGCAGTCGTGTCGATCAATGCCAGAGTACAGTATCGACTGAAACACTTTGCGCCAGGCTGCAAGGCATATTGTGATCGCAGAACCCACCATGGCGTCAATCGTGCCTTCCGCTCGGCACGTTTTGTCCAAAACGCCGATAGTCTCTGGGTTTCACTCATCTCGTTGTCTCGTCACTGAGAGTAACTTGGAGCAAAGACGTCGTTTGTATAGCGGACGGGGATAGGTGCAGGTACAATGATCAGTGTTACAAATTGTTTACAGATTGAGTTGACGACACTGTCTGTCCTGGAGGACAAATTACTTATCTCGACCTTCTACTAGATTCCTTACTAATGATTGCTTACGATGGCGTCTGCCAACATCTTCAGTACAGCAAGTGAGACCACCTACTCTTCTGCCGCAGAATACTCAACCGCTACCTTTAATACCTCTACGTCCTTCTTGACCACACCTTCCTTTCGAGACGTCGCGCTCCTTCCTTTCCGTACGATTGCTAGAGTTGACCGTTTCCTCTTCAGAGCAATACCTCGCTTCATCGTGCGCACCACTGGTATCGAAGGACTTGCTCGTCATCTCTTCCGAGCAGGTCAAGCAGCTGGAGGTGAGGCTGTACCACAGGTTGCAGCTGAGGCTGGCGCTAGCTGGAGCGATCTTCTTGTTGAAGCGTTCCAAACGAGTACAAACAGGAGCTATTGGGGAATGCTACACTATGTAACTTCAAGATGGGCATTTACATGCTTCATCTTGGCCCTTGTCCTCAATCGTGTCACCATCTACGGCGCGTCGAGGCAGCGCATTGTTTTGACCTGGAACAAGAGGTTTGCATTACGTCTGTTACCTATTATCCTGTTCGCCGGTCAGATCTATCAGCTGCTTCAAGCTGTTCGCTGCCAGACTTCCCCGGAATTCTCCCTCTATCGTTATGGAGACAACAACAAGTACAGCATATTAGATTGGTCGACAGACGGAGGCGCTCTTCATACGGTCTCATCAACTGTGCTCTTTTGGTCAACAGATGAGCAAGCATGTGCGGCCGTTGGTATGAGCAGACCCGAGCCCGACGTCAGAGCACCTCGTGGTTCCTTTTCTCTTCTCTGGCCAACGTTTCTTCGCCTTAGTCTTTCCCATTTCGTGGAAAGCTTATCTTGCTCTTTGCAGCAGGTTCCGTCCATGACAGAGGTCGCTTTGTCTGTGTTTGAGCACTCGCTTGCTTTCGCAGAAGCTGAGAACATGATATTTCACACCCTGAACAAGAAGGTCGGCAAACCCGCGAATGCCACCTCCACCACGACTGCTGCTGCGGCTGCCATAACATCGGAAGGCACAATACCTGCATCGGGCACGATTCTTGCTATTACTGATGCTGCTCATGCGCTCTTTGGACAACATCCTTTCGATAGAATAAACGTACCAGTTGAGATACTACTCATTGCACTATTCTCCTGTGGAAATGCTTTAAGCTCGCATGTCATTGCTGTTCTAGGCAAGAGACACCATTTCAGACTAGTAAACACAACGTTCTGGGGATTGTGCTATATGATAGCATTCACTTGGGGATTCTTTGTGGAAAGCGACATGGTGCGCATGGAAGACGGAGTTGCAAAACCGGTCAGTGGGCTGCTACACTTCCCTACAGTCGCCATAGTGGGCTTTCTACCCCATATGGCCATAGTTTTTGGCATCGCTGTGTGCAGCGTGATCTATATGATCGCATTACTGCTTACAGCAGTGTCGCTTGGTACAAATCCGAATATCCGTCAACCTACCAGTTTAGCAGAACGAGTCAGTATTGCTCATGACAACTTGCAAGCTGCGATACAACTCAGGAGCATCACTTTACGCTGGTATGAGGACTTTTACACGTCACTTTTGCGGGTCGGATTTGCAGCGCTCACCGCTGCATCCGAGGCTGTTTTTCTCAATGAAGGCCGCGCTGTGGAAGCAAGGCAATTCACGTGGCTAGAAAACGACCGTCTTGATGAATTGGACGCATCACGGCCGGAGAAGCCATCCGATGAATCTCATTTCCAGATTGTGGAAGAATATGGTGTCCCTCACCCCCCTTACGATGACCAAGGCCGACAGATGGGGGATTGGAAATCAGGTTACGACAAAGAGCGAAAGCTCGAGAAGAACGACAAAACCTTGCAAACTAAGGATGCGTTCGTCTATCCTAACCCGCGCTCAGATGGAGTTGGTGCATTACAGAGGACAACTAGATTTTATCTTCTTTTCATATTTGTTCGTGGTATACTGTTCACAGTTGGAGGCTGGATCGCATACGGGGCGGGCGCATTACTAGATCGTTTCGGAGTAACTGCCAGACCTACTTGGTTACGCAAAGTGATCGGAGGCTCGTTGAAGCAGATAGCTAATGACAGAGATCGACTACGTACGGAAGAAGAGAAACAGGAATTTCACGAATGGAGACGGCGTCAGGGTTTGGAGCCACGACCCAAGGACGACCATATCGATATCGAGCATGAGATGAGGGACAAGATTGCTCTAGAAGGACACGAGAATCCTCAAGAAGTCCTTGATCAGAGAATGTACGACTGGTGGAAGGACGGAGGATGGTGGGGCACCAAGGATGACAGCGCCGATTATGTCGTGCCGAGTGTCGAGATTGACGAAGATGCCACAAGCATAATCACAACGACCACAACCGGTTTGGACGATGTTGCAGATGCCTGGGAATCGGGGTCGGAAGGTGCGAGGACACCCACGCAGCCATACCAGTCTCCTTCCTGGTCTTTTAGTGGTCTTCGACAGAGACGTTCAGCAACGCCAACACCCGAAGCACCAATACTTGACAATGCGACCTTAGCACGACTACTCAATCCACAGGACAAAGAATCAAGGGATGAAGCTAAGATTTTATCATCGCACTTGTCTTCGAATGATGGCGTTATGACTCGATCACGATTTCGTCGACAGTTCGAAACAGATCGGGCAAGACTGCTGCTTTCTGGACAAACACCTCCTGTACTCAACAACACCGCTGCCTCTGTGTCGAGTTCAAGTCGAAGACCTCTTACTCCTGATGAAGAAACGCACGCCCTGGAGCATCTGTTGTTAACACGTCGTAAGCAGAAAGGTCGACGCACCCAGCAGCATCGTCAGAACGATCAATCAGCATCTACTTCAGGCCAGATGTCAGGGCCATCATGTGTGGTTTGTCAGTCAGAGCCTCGAACTATTATTGCTTGGCCTTGTCGCTGCCTGACTGTTTGTGAAGACTGTCGAGTGAATCTGGCAATGAACAATTTCGGTAACTGTGTGACCTGTCGAAGGAGTGTAGGTGGGTTTGTAAGATTATATGTACCATGAGAGGATATAGATTTGTTCATAGAAAGCGTGGGTACTTTTGAGGCGTCATAACAATCCGAACTGATGTGACCTCTTTACTTACCTATATAGTACCACGATCTTGCACGACGTATACATACATCACCGACCCAATGTTCAAGCTCTTTGTATGGCAGTCTTTTATCCTCCACATCCTCTCGGCAAGCATTTGACAATTTGGTTCATCGGGCCCGCGTACAGCACAGGAACTCACAGCTCTTCCAAGGGTAATCTATCCTCCAGACCCATACCCATCCCTACAACGGACAAACGCGAGCAAACAAAACACCTACACATCCCAGCGATGGACCAAACTCTCCTCCTTTCACGAGTTCAACACCACCACCACCACCACCACCACCACCAGGTTCATTGTCTTCAAATAATGCGGTCGTTATGCATATTACTCCAGGTTTCCCCCACCCACTATGCCGGCCCAAACAGAACTGCAGAAAAATTTGCACGGTTGAAAGCATTTCGTCACGTCCATGCATTAGAATCTACAGCTCGACTGGTCCTGGTTGTCCATCTCCCCGTGGTAGAGGGAGAGGTAGAGATGACGGCGATGAACAAGGTTGCAACATCAAGCATGACTGCTTCAATGTGCACACATTTCACGAGCAGTGCCATTATATTACCGGCAGCACTCGTCACACCTATTATTGCCTGTTTTCTCCATCATTGACTCTGTCGATTTCTGGTTATCTTTGGATCTCGAGCCTCACGTCCCATTGTCTCAAAGCCAAGACGCAGGCAACGTCTTCTCCGCAGGAACGAGCTCGACATCCCTCCGTGGCCATGAGGAGTCCGTTCGCTCCCTGATAACGACTGGCTCAACTGCTGGTATTAATTTCATACTTCTCCTTGCATCACCACCACTACCACCAGCTTGCCCGTGACGATCTTCCCTCGCCACAGCCCCATGCATCTCAAACGCCATTGCCATCCCATCATCGGCCTTCCTTTCATTCCGATATCTATCACTGGTCTTCATGCCGATCCACGCCTCACGATGCTGCTGCCGCACACTTTCACCTTGGCTTTTAGCAGAACTTTTCATTGCCTTCCGTCGACGCTTCTTCCTCCTAATTACACAACAAGCCGCGAGCGCGAATACAATAGCGACTAAGATGACGCCCGCGCTAATACCGCCAGCGAGAAGGTTTATAGTGATGGTCTTGGTGGAGAGGAGTGGTGATGATGATGAAGGCGAGCGGGAGGGCGAGGTCGTGTTTGTGTCTGACGAGGACAGGGACGAAGATGTGCTAGAGGGACGAAATGTTGCGATTATCGAGGTCATTTCAGTGGACTATATGTGAGTTTCGATTTTGTGTTGGTGAGAGGTGTGCGGTGCTTATCGTGTGTGAAGTGAGGTTTGCAATGGCTGTCGACGAAGTTGTCGTTGTAGATGATGAGAAGTGTATGGAAACTCTCTCTTCACCGACATCGTCGTCTTGCTCGCTTAGGTTACTGGTCGGATGGCCGAGTGTGCGTACAAGCACAACACAGCACAGCATATTCTTCCGACACTCCCCTCTTCTCGAAGCTGTCACAATCATTTGAAATCCCAGCAGCTTACGCTAGCGTCGTGCGACGAATTGCTACTGCCGTAGCAGAGTCCCCAGGCAGTAGTAGGACACATCCCGCAACTATCCGTCTCTTGTGGCCCGACCATAGGCAATAAGGAAGAGAAAGCATCGTTGTGTATTGAGCTCCAGTTGAGTGTAGAGATCTATACCAATACGTACTGACAATGGCAGTTTTTCAAGAACGAAAATGATACCACGAACAACAAACATTCTTCTAGAGAACCACGTTCTATTCATGTTCAGCTTCTGCTCTACCCACACTTCAACTTCTTTTCGAGCCTCTTTTACCTATAATTCACCTCTACCTTGGTTCTCTCTCTGTTCCAAGTCTGTTCGTCTTGTAGTTCGTATTTGTCGGAGTAGTCGATGAAGAAGGTGAAAGTCAAGTGGGGTTGCTTATCGAATGACAAAGTATTCGCACCTGGAATCGACCATATGAGCGGTGTAACTGCGTCGATAAAAGAGCACTGCCTGGCAATCTCGATAGCCACTTGAGTTATGACCCTACGCCAGTACACACCGCGCAGATCCACTCTGCTTTGGTATACCGCCATGGTCGCACGGGCATTGACAGCGTTGGAAGACAGTGTATGTCTCGAGGTCGGTGGCTAGACTTAGTGAAATTGCATCCTGTCGAGGAGTAAGAGCCTCTAGTGTTTGTGGCTCGAGTCTATCAAAGTAGGCTCGTATCCGGGCAGCGACACCATTAAACCAGTCCTTTCGTTGTTCAAAACTCCAGCTGACCGATGTGCTAGGAGTAGATTTCTTCGCCTTGACTTCATCGCGTGTCTCGAGCGTTCTGGCATTTTTTGTTTTTTCGTGCGTGCCCAGCCATCCTACTTGACCTCTTCGCCGTGATGCTACTACGCTGGAAGATGAACTATCGAGGGAGAAGTCTCGGCTCGAAAGGCCATTGTAGGCAGTCTTTTCTGTCCATCGTTAGTGGGGAAGGCAAGAGCGCGCCACGGCAGAACCGTACGAGGAAGACAAGAGGCAGTCGCAGTGGTGCGCTCCTGTTACCAGGTTTGAACTGGCAGGAGCGCACCACTATGTCGAGTTTCGCAGCCATCACGCCTATGTCAGCGGCACGAGATACACAACGCCGAATAGACATAGAAGGCGTGATGGCTGTGATCGCATCTTAAAGTAAGAGAGGTTGTAGATCACTAGTAGATGACTTAGCTTGCCGAGGATACTGCCTCAGCCCACCGAGGACACCTAGTCAGGCCAAGGTGAACTCACTTGAGTAAGTCGGGTAGTTCTACCGTGGCTTCGAAGGAACTTCCTGTCAACCTCACCTCAGCAAGACACTGAATTGCACTCCTCTCCTCCTACTCTAGAACGACACGCCGGTCTCAGTAGCGCGTAGCATGAAGTTCATGTGCATGGTACGTTCCAGGATCAAGCTCGGAACGACCACCATGGTAGATCTGATTATAGACGTCCCGCCGATCAGGTTGTGGCTGGTAGATTTGCGACCCGTTAATAGGAGAAAGAGATCGCGAAGGACAGGACACCGTACTGTGCTTGCCCGACAATGGACTCACAACAGCGTCATTGGCCAGCTCGCTCGGTACGTGACCCTCTTTCTGTAAGAAAGATGGATTTTGCTGCATGCTCCTCTGCAATGGTGCCGAGTGCTCATGATAGCTTGGCGGTACTGAATGGACCTGCCGCCTCGCGCGCTTTCGGCCCCATTTGAAGGCAAGGAAGACGAGGAGAGCCACAAGAAGCAGGAAAACGAAGCCTCCTATAGCTATGCCAGCTACTACTCCTGCAGTGAGCGTCCCGCTGTCTCCGGTCGTTCCTGTAGCTATGCCAGGCGCGACTGAATCTGATGTTGATGGATCAGGAATGGGAGACGTGTTCGGTTTTGTAGTCGTTGTCATCATGTCAGTTACATCTGGGGTTCTACCAGTAGTGAGGCCGATGGCGGTGTCGGTGCCGGTCCTCGTGCTGGTACTCAACGTAGTAGTCCGCTGCGGAGTACCCAGCACCGTGGCACCGGAAAGGCTTGCAGAACTGCTCGTTACACTCTCGAACGTGAGCGTGGTAGATATCGTCTCGATGGTCGAACTGTAAGCTGTGGTAATAGTACGCGTGCCTGCATTGTTGGCACCAGAGGCCGAGAGTTGGGTTAGATGGCCATCAATCGATGTATAAATTTCCGTATTCAACAAAAGATCGCATGACCCACAGTTCCACGCCTGAGTATATTGCCCATCGTAATAAGGGACAAAGCATGTTAATGGGACATCATCGGTGGCAATGAAAGTAGCTGGATCCTTGAGTTGGGTAACATAAATGGCAGTCCCATGCATTGAGGTCATCGCCACATATACCTCGTCCCGGTCAGCTCCGAGTTGCACTGTAATGCTCATCGTGGTCCTCTGATAAAGAAAAGGTTAAGGTCTGAGTTGCGACTTTCGAAAAACGTATCAACACAGGTAGAGAATAGCAAAGTAGAGCCAGCGATCGATGCAAAGGACACCACTTATGAGAGACAGCCATGGCCAAGAACACTCCGAGCAGGCAAACTCGAACCGATATGGTAGAGCTCCTGCGCCTTCTCGTACGTGTGACAAGCCATCCAGAACCGGAGTTTGTGAACCAGAGCGAAGCTGCGGACGAGGTATCAGACTGTTTATATCCGTGAACAGCTGTTCATGCGGACAGCCTTGAAACTGTGCTAGAATTTTTGCTCGACTAGCTGTCGGGAGTGGCAAAATTCGGTACGATATCGTGGGCTCTGCACGTTTGCCCTTAACGAGATCGTGCTACTCTAGCCACCAGAAACTTGTGTATGCTCACTCTCTCGAGCATGGTGTTAGCAGTGTGGTAGTCATCTAGGAACCATTGGAGATGCGTGATCGATTGGGAAGGTGGGGATGCAGACTTCGCTGCATCTGGATCTGAGGCTGTTGGCGATAAGGTTACACAATGCTATTCCGTGTTGTAAAACAGTCGTGGTAGTAGCAAACTTCGCAGTCAGAGGTTGCAGATACCGCTCTCGAAGGACAGATGTGTCATAGCCGTCATAAGAAGCACATCTCTCTTCGTCTTTGTTTTTTCCCTTGGCGTCTTTGCACTTGGGAAGTGGCGACGGTGTTATCTCGACCAATAGTCGGTAAGGATGGTAGTACCATTGATACCATGGTCCGTCAACACACATCACAGGATTGTGATCGACGAATAGTGAAGTCTCAGGACTTCACTTGGACGAGACTTGAATTGTTGAAGAGCTTCCTGATACACAGTAAATCAACTTCTCGAGAACAAGGCTCGCGGGCGTCCAGGCAACCCCAACATGCTGATCGTAGTTGAAGGAAACATGAAACAGAATCGAGATACCTGGACATCGATCGTAGTTCCTGCGGTGATCAGCATCGAACTAGTTGTAGTTCAGCTATTCTGGCCACTATCGATTGGCACAAACGAGGTCGATATGGTGTGACCAAGCTGTGCAGCGGCTTGTGCCGTATGTCTGAAAGTTCGCGGAACGTGTGACAGTAGCTTCGCATCCATGCTGCATCATCCGCACTGAAGAAGAGAAAGTATTCGGAGTGTAACCAGGTGCAACAAATCTACGAGTGGCGAAGTTCGTGTAGCGTGTGAACGATGCCACAAGCTGTGCTGAGCGCCAGGGCATGTCGCACTATCTTGCCGCTATGCAGATCGATCGCGTAGTAGAGCTTGGCAGGCACTCCCTGAAGTTATCATCGTTAGCAACGAGTAACTTCGAAAGACTCACCATTCGCCGTACCGCCATCATGTCGAGATGGAGCGTGCATTAACAGGATTGAACTCTTAGATTTGGTAAATGTCTCGTATTGTGGTAAAGTTGCGGTACTGGTCGCTGTATCGATCCTCCCTCGAACTTTTCTATACACCATCTTGTGATTCTACCTATAATAACTTCCCGGATCTCCTCCTCCAGCCTGCTGTACCGTTGGCGGCACGTAAGGTTGATAGGCTTGATACTGTTGCTGAGGTGGCGGACCGCCATGGTACGGTAATTGCGCAGAACCCGGTCTGTCTATGCTCGGAGGAGCTGACGGACCATATCCCGTACCAGGCGGTTGCGGTGGAGCATTGTTAGGTGCTAATGGTGGTGCTTGTCCTGGTTGCGAAGGTGGATACTGGTTGTGACCTTGCGGTGGTGGATATACTTGATTAGAATGCCCATCTGGAGCATTATCGTTGTGGCTGTAGACCGAGGGTGAGTAATTGTCGTCCGGCTTGTCATGGCTTTGTGTTTGCTGAAGTGGCGCATTGGGGTACTGCTGTGCCTGGGGTTGTTGTGGGAAGTGGTATGAGTTTCTATTGCCGTCTACGGGTGTATCGTAGACACTTGTTCCCATCTCTTGAGGTGGACCAAAACCAGAGGGTTGTGAAGGGCGACGCTGAGGTCCTGGAGGGCCAGATGGCGGAGCACCATATAGTTGAGGCTGAGCTGGTGTGTGGGATTGAGGAGGTGGACTCGATACTGGGTAAGGTGGTTGAAATCCTGGTTGAGCTTGAGCTGGAGGATATTGCGGTATGGCAGCGTTAGGCGGCTGGCCGTCTGGAGTGTAGAACCTTTGTGGGCCGTAGGACTGAGGTGGTGGACCATAGCCTGGATATGTGGCTGGCGGGCGGCCGTATTGCTGTGCTGATTGAGCCATTGAGCTCTCAAGGAGGGATTCGTAGTCGCGTCGAGCTTTGATGAACTTCTCATTCAACTGCTGCAAATCATCTAAGACAAATTAGCACATTTGACACGATCAATTCTTGGGGCTCGGGCCTACCTTTCTTCTGTGTATACTTCCCAATGAGCTCAATAAGCTTGGGCCGTATTGCCACCGTGTCATGGTATAATCCTGTGATCTCTTCGTTCTCTCTCGCACCCATATCGCCGGTACTCGTACTCAGGAGCGCAAGCAATTTCTCCACATTCTTGATCTGCGAAAACACCTCGGCTTCCATCTCTGCTTCTCGTTGCAAGTCTTCCTGTGTCGGGTCCTGCAGTTTTTCCACGTAGTTCAGAGGGAATATACCTGTTTGTCCTCTTAGGCTGCCTTTCCACCAATCTTTGTAGACCGACTCTATCACTGCGATCACATCACCCTTTCTGAATTGCAACTCTCCAGGTTCGCTCGGCACAAAATCGAAGAGGGCACGTACTCTGCTCACTGTGGCTGCAGTGGTCCCCGTCGGTACTGAAGTCGGTTGTTGTTGTTGTTGTTGCTGCTGCTGCGTCTGGCCCTGTGGGCTAGACACACCCAGCTCGACCGCTGGGGATTGTGACTGGTTTTGAATCGGCATAGTAGGTGTCCTGCCTTTGTCCTGTATACTCAACGTCAAGGCCATCTGTAACTCCTCTTCCTCTTTCTGTCTGTCAAATTCGGTAATCTGTCTTTTCGTGGGTGCTTGAGGAGGCTGAATATTTGGATTCTGGCTCTTCAATTTCTGGTAGGCACCCTCCATAATTCCCAGCTCGGGGTTTGTGCCAAACATCTTGGACCAATCCTCCATACACTGTAAAATCTTGCTCTTGACTGCCTGATGGGTTGTCCGATCGCCAGCCAGCCGCAGCAGGGCATCAGTAAAGGATTTGCTGGACAACTCTCTGTGAATCTTGATACCACAATTCTGAGACAGAGCATTTGCAAGTTCGAGAGTGTATAGCTGAACGTTGGCATTGCGGTGTGCCAGCCTTTTGATCATGGCAGCGACGGCATCCTTCCCACCCGCGTCCGAGCCATTGACTTTGTCGCATACGTCGAGAATATACTCCCAGTTTTCGCTTGTGAGGTTCTCATCTGTCGCTTTAGCTATAGATATATGTTAGACACAGTCCCTCCGAAAGAGTTTCTAGGCTAGGATGCTCACCAACGACATCGTCGAAAGCATTCTGTTGCGCGCGGAACATCCTCAGCGTCGAGCTTTGTGATCGCTGAGGTAGAAGTTAGCAAAACACTGAAGCAGAAGTAGCTTATTTAGCTATTGAAAGATGGCAAGAGTCTTCCAAAAAGCTTTCAATGAATGAGATCTTGTAGTCCAAAGGTGCTGCAAATGATCGGTGCCTTTGCTGGAAACCCAATAAACGAGCAGGCGCAGGACGGAAACATGACGCAGATGTTGCCTGGCGTGTTGGCGGAGCACAAGGCGGTCCTCGGACGCAGAGTTCCCGATTCAAAGTGGAGGTACTACACGAATATAGGTCGATCTGGTAATGGTATTCTAGCAAGACAAGCAGAGGAGTATTATCTTCAAAGGTATGTAATCATCTGTTCTACTTGAGGCTCGATAGCTCACAATATGTATGTCCCACCTTGGCACTCGTCCATGTTGCCCTGCGTGCAATATCTGCAAGCACTTAATAGAGGCGTCCAAATTCTAGCTGTGTGCTTGGTATCAGGTTTTTCCTATTTCTTCCACTCTCTGTTCATGGCCGTCCATACTTGTCTCATTACACATAATTCCTTGGCTTTATCGTACAAATTCCTTACATTTACCCTTGATCGTCGAGGTGATGTATATCCGATACATAAGGAGGACAACATGATGTCAAAATTTTGAACAAGAAAGAGATGTTTTTATGGCTGAATGCCACAAATTGAGGGATTAGTTCATATCGCTGGTCATCGCGTAGGCAGTCGTAAATCCGAGATTCTACTGATTCGACAGGAAGGCCTCTAGCCTCCTCGAGCTTGCTTCTCTGCAGCTCTGCTTTCTTTGGCTGACTGTACTAATGGTGCCAGGCTCGACAACGGAGCACAACTTTGCATAAATGGGTGCTGCGACGTGTTAGCACGAACACCAAACAACCTCAATTGACAATACTCACTGTCAGTAAATCATGAGCCGACGCTCGCTTTTCCGGCTCGACCTTTAGTGCAAAATACAAAAAGTCCCTGAACACAGGACTCAACGCATGCTCATCCTTGATCTTTGGTGTGCCAAACTTGGCAATCAAGTAGAGCGCTCGTAATGGAGACTCGGTTAGATATGGCGGCTCGCCTTCGATCATCTCGATCGCCATGATACCCAAACTCCAGATATCCACCTTGCGCCCGTACTCTTTCCTCGTTACGACCTCTGGTGCCATCCAATAAGGGGTTCCAACCATTGTCGTTCGCTTGTTGTGCGAGTCGTTGATTTGAGCGCAGAAGCCAAAATCCGTCAACTTGATGTCACCCTTTTCAGACAATAGAATATTGTCCGATTTAATGTCCCGATGGATCACGTTCCTGCTGTGCAAGTGCTGTAAGCCGTAGAGCACCTCCCGACACACTGCTGCGATTTGTGCCTCTGACATGATGTTGAACGTGACCACGTCTGTGAGACTGCCACCCTGCATGTATTCCATCACAACCCACAAATCTCCCTCGTGTAGAAACGAATCCATGAAATTGACAATGTTCTGATGTTTACTCTCCCTCATCACAATAATCTCATTGATGATGAGGTCTTTCTTAGGTTGCTGTTCGAGGTTCATCTGCTTGATCGCCACACATTTCTTTGTACCAGTCTCAAGCGCTGTGTATACTCCTCCCGAAGCACCCTGGCCAATCTTCTGCAGATCTCCATACTTCGTAGTTGGATCGCCCGGACTACATATCGCCCTCAAGCGCGCCGCAATCTCGATGCCATTACTTGGTTGTCTCTGTTTCCGTGGTCGCGGCCCTGGAGAGGGTCCAACGTGCGCCACCTGTGCTGAAATCTGACCATTATGTTGATCTGGGACTGCGTATTCTTTTTGTGCTATGACCGGGCTAGCTCCCACGGGTTTTGGAGGCACCGCCGGTCCTCGCTGTGACTGACTTCGACTTCGATCTAGCTGCTTCTCCACTATTGCTTGTTGTGCCATCGCCATGGCTTTCTCCTGCTGCATTTGATATTGTGTCGCATTATTGACTGGCTGCGGTAATGGTGGAGGTGCATGCTGTACTTTTGGCTGTGTGGCTGCTGAATTCGATCGACTCCTATTCTGGTTCCATATGGCACTCGGTATCTCGCCAGCACCTGGTGATTTCTGCACCATCTCGGGCATTCTTGGTGGTGGAAGTAAAGTGTCGTTGTTTATCCGTATAGGCAACTCCTTAGGCGCTGGAGGCGGCAGTCGCATTGGCGAATAATTTTGAGGATGTGTCGGAGCTTTTGGAGCTGCTCGGTTATGTATGTAAGCAGGTGTGGGACCACGGCTATGAGGCATAGGCGGACTGGGCGCGGTGACTGGTCTTGTGCCAGAAGGTATTGGAGGGGCTGCCCTCGGATTTTCAAAGCTGCCCTCGTGGTTTTGTGGAAAGCGTGGACTAGAAGGAGGTGATATTACAGAATTTGGGCTGACGCTGTTGGCCAGCCCTGCGTTGATTCCAAGACCTGAAGCCGGGCTTTTGTGGAGTGCACTGTTGTCGCTGGAAGGTGAATCTCCTATCTTTGCGTGGTCGAATTTGTGGTAGGCCGTGTCATCATGTCCTCCCATATTGGTTTCATAAGTTTTCATGATATTGTACATCATCTGCGGATTCTGCTTCTGCTCTGCTTCGGTCACACCGTTGTCGGAAAGCATTGTCTCCCAGCTCTTAGGTAGCCCGGTAAATTGGCCCGTCTCCTCGTTGAAACAGACGTGTGTGATATGCGTAGGATCTTGTGGCGCAGAAATCTTGATTTGTCGCGGCGAGCCCAACATGCTATTCATAAAGCTGGAGAAACCACTCTTCTTTCTGTGAGCCCTCAGAGGCTTCATCTGCGCCGCCATGTCGCCAGAAGCCCTCTTCATAGTCATCTCGCCTATCTCCGAACGAGGTGGTGTTATCTCTACGGGTGTTGCATGGCCATTGGGTGCTGCCATATCGTTCGAGCCCGACATTCTGAAGTCAGGGAAGCGCAGATCCGGCGAGGTCACTGTGTGCTGAGGTGGATAAGGGCGCGCAGGCTGAGGTAACGATCGCTGCTGGGACAAAGGCTGGGTTTGTTCGTCCATAGTACTTGGTGTTGATAGGTCGAAGGAGAACTGAAAGGCATCGGCTGTGGGAGGGAAGAAGTCGTTGGTGTTGACGATGGGCGAGTATTTCGAGTTGACAGAGTAGGCCAGCGAAGATTGTGAAGAGATATAGGGCGTCGTGGTCGAAAAATTGCGCTGATGGTGGGCGCGAGCTGAGGACTTGGAGCTGGAGGAAGAATATGGCGCCGACGGACTGCGAGTAAGTGCTCGGGGTAGAAGAGCTTGTTCTTGTGTTCGCAGTGATGACTTCTTTGTGAGGGCGCTCCTCTTCTGTTTGCTACCTCCAGCGTTCATGGTCTGCCGATAAGAACTGAGACGAGCAGAGCCAGGCAGGAGCCGACTACCTCCACGCTGCCCTGCTTGGAGTCTCGGACGTGCCAATTGTTGCTGGCGATCGCGAGCCACCTAGCGCAGCCAATCCGGGAAGTTCTAGGCTACAAGCACCGTTTAGTGACCTGCTACGGGCGGGTGGCGCCTGCGTTGTGCCGCCAGGAAGCGAATTATTAATTTGCCCATACGCAAGCACAGAACACTGGGAAGGCCAAATGTACTCTTGTGGCACACTGCCTTACGAGAGCTACAGTATCCAGTACTGCTAATAGTGCATGAAGAGTTCACTTGGTCAATAGCCGGCAGCGGCCCCGATATGACGAAAGCTGCTTGCCAATGATGTGGATGCATCTGACGCACTGACTGACAGACCGGCTTGCTGCCTATGTCCGCCTCGAAATCGATGACCCATTGAAAGCTGCTGCTTAGCGAGGCATCAAAAAACGGGGTTTCGCCCCAGCATCAGCCCAACTTTATCCCAAATCTTCCTTTGTGCCATAAGCGTTGCTCACACCGGCATGCTGTGTCGATCTTGCCGACATTTTCAATTGGATGTATGCATATAAATACGCTCCATAAAGGGTGCCTGCTGCTGCCCTGGGATAGAAAAGTTGCACCTCAATCAATCGACCAGCGCCTAGAGCCCAGTGAAGGCCGTCTTGGTGACCCAGATATAACTTGGCCTGCGTTACAAACACCCCTGCTTCAGCTAACATGCGAGCCACACATCCTTGAATATTCATGTCCGATGTGGCTGTGAGCCGATAAGTGCCCATGTCAGCCCAACCATGCTTGCAGCTCTATACTTTCCCCTGCAGGTTGACGTGTACACAAATGCGCCGACTACTCAAAAGTTGACAGGTACAGCTCGTAAGAGTCACGTTCTGAAATGTTCCAGTTCTCGGAAAGTAACAAACACGATTGCGAGGCGATCGTCAGGGCCGTCAAGAAAGTGCGGGTATGCATCGTGGTTGCAGATCACAAGCTAGCGTCCGCATCACTGTGTGATATGTGTTTATGCTACGTCTGGAAGTCCAGAAAGGCGCAGTCACAACATGGCTGTGTAGCTGTTATTTTGACCGCGACTGCACACCGCAAATATCTAGGGAACGCATATAAAGTGCTGGCCATGCTGAGATCTACCTGCAACAGAATCGACGTGGGTTGCTTTAATTGCCTTGCTTTACCCAGTAATCACGATTCTACAGACTTGACGTGCATGACTGACAGCAAATTCAGTGGCGCCACTTCTACAATGCAAAATCTGGCTGTGCTGCAGTGCTGTTTCCCTAACGTTCTGGATCAAGATTCGTACTGATGGTCGCGCCTGCTGGTGATATGTCAAAAACGTGGCAGCTGCTTCCTATCGTACAATCCCAGTAGTAATCAACGATACGTACCACTAAACAGTGCCAAGTTTTGATTGGCGCCGATCTGGAAGAGGTGGATCACTTTCTATGCATCGATTAATTGTCGCGTTTGAGTAGACCACCTCGTCGCGTGGAATGAAGCACGCTAACAATGTAGGGCAACAGTGCAAGTCAAATCAAAAGGACTTCCAAAGTGTATATGCAGACGAGTGCTGGACAAGCGGACACGTCAGCGGCCTTTCGCGAAAAATACTGTACGTACGCCCACGAGAGAGGATTGTTGATTGCGCTGGAGGATGGCCAGTGTTTAGAATACGCTACAACGAAAACCAAGACATGAAAACTGTCCAACTTTGGAGACAGGAAATGGCATGCAAGGTTGGCAACAGAGACGACGCGATTTCTACCAGATGCGTTTTGCAACCATCTCATAGCGCTTGACCTGTTGTCACACGTTAGCCACTGTCGATGTAATTCAGCACGATCAATGCTCACCTTCTCCAGGCCTTCGGCACTGTAACCGCGTTCCTTCTCAGAATCCTTTCTGGCCTTGTCTTTAGTGTCTCTTATCCTGAGTGCTTGCAGTCCTGCAGCGTCATCCTCGTAGATAGCACGACGCTTGTCATCGTCCACTTCAACAACACCCCATCCACCAACTCGTCGACTGTCGTCAATGTGGTAGGACGGATTGCCAGACGTCTCGCGATGCTTCATTGATTGGTACCGAGCTCTTGAATACGCCAGGAGGCTCATGCCAAGGATGAGTTTGCAGATCAAGAGTACTAAGAACATCAGGAGAACGACGAGCGTTGTAGTAAAGTAGGTCGTGACTTGAGGACTAGATATCGCCGCCGGCAATCGGTTGAGAAATTGGTCCATCTTCCTGACAAGCATACCTGCTGTAGATGTTGGCATGGTCTGAGTAGGTGAAAACTGTTCATGTAAGCTGGCCAAGGTTGCAGATTTACTGCTTGTTGGTGCTGGGACCCAGGAGGCCACGAACATCTGATATGTCTGAAAGCCAGCTCGAATCATGAGACAACTGAGAGGTATGACAGGTAGCCCAAGACGTTTGGTCAGGTTCTGCTCTCCAAACGCGTTCGTGTAATAATCCTTGGCCAGGATATCCAAGAACCGTCCATAGATGACCGGTTTCACATTGTTGAATTTGTTGATATAGGCGTGCTTCAGCCAATCAATCAACATCTCCGATCCCAACACAATAACGAAAGGACCAAGCACGTGTGTGATTGTCGGCACGTACGAGCTGACAGATGCAAGCATTGAAGGCACAATCATAAATGACCTGGGCAGTATTGAGGCTGCAGATAAAGGCGGCGCTGCTTGTGTGATGTTGGGGTTGTTAGAGGTTGTAGCGGTAGCTGGGACTGAGGACAGGTTTGGCAGGCCAATACCCAGGCCGCCAGTCTCGACAATATTGCGTGACGCGATGATCATCAGCATATGCCAAAGCTGAAACCTTTCGACAATGTCGGCACAAGTAACCTGGAAAAGACTCTCCCTTTCGAACTTCTTGAAGACGGTTCCCTTAATCTCGACAAATTGATTAGACATTAACAGAGTGATTAAAGCATTAGAGTAAGAGTTGACAGCCACGTTCAACGTGACGACTTGGTAGAAAAGGGCGATGGAGTGCAAGACACTGTATACCAGTGCCAGGGCGAAAAGCCATAAGGGTCGTAGTATCTTGCTATGACCGTCTGGCTTACGCTCAAGCGCTTCTTGCGAGAACAGACACTCAAGAACGTCTTGCCCAATAGCTGAAAGAAGACGATCACAAACCTCGAGCAGGTTGTAGATAACGTAGAGTTTAATGGCAGCTTGACCTCGCACCCAGTGATACATGCGGCTTGCGTCGAGGGTAAGGAGTACATAACAGGTTGCCATAATCAAGAAACCCTTTATCAAGTCAGCTTTGTCATCTGGCTGTAGATTAGAAGGCATTGACTTTAGTCTTCGATGATGCTTTCCAGACCGAGGTTTGATCTTGGCAAGTGTATCTTGCGGGACCTGCATCTCAGAGCTTGTTCTCGACAGATTACCACCAGCCACTTTATCCCTTGTACGGCGCCTTCGATACATGCGTTGACTACCGGTGTACACGTAGTCTGCCACGAACTGGCATTCACGCAGCATGTTCTTGCCAAAACTTTCGCTTAGCATATAGATAGACTTGACCATGCGAAGGGGGAGAATGGTGAAAGTGTACAACCACGAATCAAGACATGCTAGAACACCAAACCACATGACACCTTCGAGTTGATGAGGCAGGAAAAGGAAATTGAGCAGGCGCTCGATCTTGACGCGTGATGATTCGTAAGGAAATGCATTGGCAGAAGAGCGGTGAACATAATTCTGGGACGACCGTTGTGATGACAATTCTAGCTGCAGATACGTTGACAGCCATAAGGGTGGGAGTGGGATTGAAGCTGGTAGAGGGGAGGGCAGTTGACGTCGCGGGTTGGAGTGAGTCCTTGGCTTGACCTGCTCAGTTCGAGAGCTTGCCCTTGATTTTCTGTAATCTTGCGGAAGCGCCGTTGGACTTTTCAACATAGCAGGAGTTGACAAAGCCCTAGGCACGCGAGGTCGATCGGACATAGTAGTTGGCCCATGAGCTGGTTTGTCCTGTCCCACATCAATAGTTAAATTGCGGGGCCTCTTGTTCAGTTCTAGCTGTGTAGCCTGGCTAAGATGGCCAGAGGCCTCACTGATTGAGGGGCTGCGCGGCTGCATCAGTCGGCCTCCAGCAGGAGGCAACCACGAGCTCGACAGATATGGTGAGCCATCCGTGTCTGTGGCCTGTTCAGAAAAGCTTGGAGAATGGACTGCAAGGAAAGCCGGGCCTGAACATTCTGCAAAGTTGTCAGGTTTCTCTGCTGAGGAGTCTTTATGAACGCGTCTCTCTTTTGGTGACAAGCCCAACTCGCTGTTTGACCTCCATGACTTGTAATCGAAACCCTTACCGCTGGTTTGGCCTGAATCGATATGCCCATTTCTGTCGTAGGGCGTCGGTTGATGGACTACTGGCGACAGGGGTTTTGCATCAGATAATGTATCTTTGTAGCGTTGGTTGTTGTTGCCATTGGATATGTGTAATGCTCTTCTCGAATCGTGCGTACTTGTGCCTGTCTGAATGCAGCCATTCGTCTCCACGGCAGGCTCAGGTCGCTTGAGGCAGCTCTCAATACCCTCTATGGCAAGTCCGTATCTTTCAGGTTCGTTCGGAGGAGTAGGTGGTGCTTTTAGGGAAGTCTCCTCTGACTCGAGGTCACCGTCGTCGAAGGCCGGCATAGCGGTGGAAGACAACACAGTCGGTGGCTTGATTCCATAGCGTAATTTTAGGACTGGCGTAGCCTTCAGGTGCTAATTAACGAGTGACTTCAATGCATACTATAGGTCTGGATCGCGAATGATTGCAAGAGTTTGGATTCTTCTTACGAGGAGTTACGGCAGAGACTCAAAAAGATGGGTCATATTGTCCCGTCAGGCTTTCAGGCGGCCAAACATGGCCCCCCGGGCCTGTTTCTCGTCGGTGGCGACTTCCTGAGCGGTCCGCGTGACCGACGACGTTGTTCCTTGATAATTCCAGCTCAATCATCTTACTACAAGTGACTCTCTTGCGTGAAGCATCAGTGTAGAGTGTTGGCATATCGAACAACCAGCCTCTGAGATAGAACTTTTCCTGCTGTTGCTCAAAGTCCGGTCTAAGTTCTCAAGCTAATCGGTATTCGAAATAAAGTTACTGTTTATCAAAGTCAATCTGTAGTGCTGGGGATGACTAACCATTCTGCAAGCGGAACCGTGATTTGCTTACAGCAGACGATACAGCTCAATACACGGTCTGCTTTAGGCTCAATAGTATGGACGACGTCAACGGCATAGAAGAGGAGTTGTCCAATTCTCTTCATGATTTACTGAGAGGAATCAGCTCGCCGTCCTCACAATCTGTACATACACAATGGAGCTCGAGGCTACAGACACATGAGAGTTCCACCACCCAGACTACTCGCCCTTCGTTACCATTGTCCTCGAATGTGACATCTAGTAGGACCACACCGAGGCCCCATGGCCCACCACGGAGCAGGACAATTTCTACACCGGCCGAGCGCGACGCTTCAGCCTCAGAGCCAACCCATCTCCTGAACCAGGTCAGCCCACCTCCACGTTCGATCTTTGTGTCCGGTCCACCGACTTCATCCGTTTCGGCCAATACAGCCCACGCTTCACTCAGTACCACTTCGGCTTCTGGTAGCTCTCTCCCGCTTTCTGCTTTGACAGGCACTGGATTAAATCGGAGGCCTGCTCAGAGACCTCCCGATCTTACTATATCTACTGCCAGCGCTAGTATACCAGGCATCGAGAAGGATGTGGACGATCTGGACAACACCCTCGCTCACGATGGAATTGATCTAGGACCCTCCAACACATCTCAAAAACTCTCAAGCCTGTTCGTGAGTGATACGCCTGGGCTTTTGTCTAGAGAGCCTACACAACTCCGACCCTACTCGAATCCGCGAAGTCCACCCCCCGACGCGACTACCCTGATTGGTCATCTCTTATACAATGGCTTCCTCGGCGGAAAACACTCGGACATTACTGTGCACGCCTTTGGCCAACGCTACAGATTACACAAGCTCATACTGGATAGAGCTCCATACTTTTCGTCGGCCTTCTGTGGCCCGTGGACAGAAAGTTCCGCCAATGAAGTGACAATCGTTCCTGAAGAGATCGATCCAAACATTACTCAGACTGCCTTTGAGCTTGCGCTGAAACGGCTGTATGGTACTTCGATAGCTTCACAAGAAGAGCAAGAAGCTGTTGGTCTCTTCGCGACTGCCTGCTGGCTTGACATGCCCGATCTTGTTGATGTTGCTGTCGATTACATTCTAAAGCAGATGACCACAACAAAATTGCACACTCTGATCAAGCTTGTGACTACGAATTATTACGGTAGACCCGGTGATCGCATCCTTTCTTCTGCAAAGGCAATGCTTTGCCGTGAGGGTTGGGAAATGCCGTATGAGCACTGGGACTATGTACCAGCCGAGATCATTCGAGAGATCGTGGGAGGAGACCCTTTCTACGTTCCGGGAGAATGGGAGCGCTGGTTTCTGACGCTGAAGATTCTGAACCGCAGGCTCAGAAGGCTAGCTATTGAGGCCAACTTAGTGGATGCGAGAGGCACTTACCTGCATCCTCCGCCACAGTCCTTGCGCTTTTTTGCAGTGAGGTTTGACACTACTTATCGTAGAGATACAAGTTTCGGTGTACAGAGACAGTGGTCGGACAGAGATGATGGTTGGTGCTCGCTATACACTGCACCTGAGGTGAGCCCGCTTCTTGTCCTGCTCGACGAGGGTATTCATTATGTCCACCTACGATTTGAGCAACTACAGCATATCCGAGCATCAAGAGACATATTAGGTGTGCCAGTGATACCAGACAAGGTTGTCTCCGATGCACTCTGGATGCAGATGGAGCTTCGACAACGTGTGCTGAATGCGCACGAAGGCGATTTGGAACTTGGATTTAGTGAAATTGCAGAAGAACAGGACGAGCCAGTGGTCGAAGATTTGCTTCGCGAGTCGGTCAAAGGAAAGGAGAAGGAAGATGTACCTCGAATTTCCCGCACCACATCCGATTTCGAGATGGACTCAGGTTCCTGGGACGGAAATGGCAGGCCTCGAAAGTTCTGGATTCCTTCGTCGGACGTGTCTTGCATTGTAGGGGGTGCACGAGATGCTGTTTCAACTCCAGCAGCAACCACAAGTGGAGACTGGTTGACCAACGCGACACGTTTGTCGGCGAGCCTCGAACCAAGCGACGTTGCATGGGCTGCTGATTTCGCTGGTAACGTCTTTGAAACTACGTCGAACTCGCGCAACGTGGCTTCATCTTCACCACCACGTTTCAGTCATTACCCTCCCTTCAGATTTTCCACCGAGTTTCCGAACCCTAGGACTCTGAAGGAGAAGAAGCGAGTGTACTCGCAGACCGTCTGGTACGCCGGCAGCATGTGGAACCTGTATATTCAGCGGATCAATACACAAAAGGGTCAACAACTCGGCATATATCTTCACCGAGCCAAAGACAAGGACCCATCTGACGATCCTCTAGCACAATTTGTTCCAGCCAGTGTGGACGATCGTATTGGACAATTAGAGCGCGAAATGCTTTTGCGGAAGGCCAATCCTCGACAGCATCCGTCAACGTCGTGGCACGAATCTGCAGGACAGGAGCACGATGAGCGTTCGTCGCCAACTCGCGAATTTGATGGAAACACGTCGATGCTGCTTTCTCCAAGCAGAAGTATTTCCTACTCAGGTCCTGGTTTCATCCAGAAGTCCTCACAGCAACCCTCGAAACCAGCTAATACACGTGCGCTATATCAGGTACACTGTAAAAATGCATCCAGCGATTCTGATGGTGCGAACATGCTGCCGGAATCACCGAGTTTTGATGCAGCTCTGATTCGGGCAAATCAGCAATTCGTTTCATCAATCTCAACGATGCCTCCATACACTGACTCGCGGAGTACTATTAAGACATACTTCAAGATCTATAGTCCAAGCAAGGCAGGTAGGTTGCTCAGTGTATATGAAAGTGCGCCGGATAGTTTCAATTTTGGCAAGAGCTGGGGATGGAGGAGCAGTCAGCTTATCCTCGATGATGGAATTGGATACGATTCGGGACTGACATCGAAACCTCCTACAGTGAGTTTGCCAAACGGAAAAGAGAGCAAGCTGCGATACATGGTGGTCATCGGCATCGTGTGACGTGACGACAAGATCTTCAGTGCAAACCAAAGCTTAGGACAAACTTTCCGGTATTGAAGCAGATTTGAGACTGGCTGCACTCTCGCCAGGCATCAAATAAGCACGGGGCCGGTGGTGACTGGGGTGCCAAGCATTTTTAGGAGTTCAAGTGCGCCAGCCGATCCTCAACAATCACTACGATTGGCTCCCACCCAGCTCGATCTGCAAGCCAAGATTAAAGGGAGGTTGAATTCAGGGCTTGAAACAACGAACCTTAACCAGTTCACGAAGTACTTCGTGATGTGAGCATCGCTGCTCGTCTTCTTTTTCTTGTCGGATGCCCTTCTCGCGACTTCACATTGCACAAACGTCAATTTGATCACAGGACCCCAATCGACACAGCCTTTGCGATTCCGAATTCTGAGCAGGTCTCATCATACACGAACTAAAATAGTCCTGGGTCCCACGTGCACCGCCAACATGCTCCCCACAAGTTTCGGCGCAATGAACCAACAAACTAAGATCGCGATCCTCGCAGTCTGTCTTGTCGTTATATCTGCCCTCTGTGCGGTATTGCTGTGCTTACACAAACGTAAGCAGTATGTGAAACAACGGCACGCGTACGCATCGCCTCAAGTCTCGAGAATGGAGCACGGCACGTACAACCATGAATGGTACGGCAAAAGCAATGCTGTTGATCACGCGGAGACAAGAAGGGATGGATACGAGAAGATCTAGTACCTGCTCTTTGAAAATCGCAACACTAATCATTGCGATGTGATGGTTCAATACTGGGAATTAATATCTTGCTGGTGGACGCTGATTTTGTTCTTGCACCATTGCGAACACGTGACACCACATTTAGCAAGCAAGCAAAAACTATCAACCTGCGGTATCTTGCTACCTAGCAAGTACTCGTATTCCACGGTTTAAAGCTTTACCTGCCTACGCCACATTACATGGCTATACTTTGCAAGACACTATAGCAGCACAGGCAACAAGCCTCCCAGATACACAAATTTTGGCGTCGGCATCAGTCCTCGAACCACAACGATACATAGGACTGCTGCCATAGCCGGGCACAGATTCTTTCCGGCGCAAAGAGCTGGGAGCATTTGTCGCAAAATATGTGGTCTGAAGTCGTCTATGCTATCGATGACGTAGGGACGCTGCACAGAGAGTCCAAAGAAGGTGCGTTTCTCGAACAAGGGCGAGAATGGGGGTTGTGTAGAATGGCGCAACACAACTTCTGAAGTGTTTCCCTTTTCCCCACGATAATGTTCTTTGAGAGTGGCGCAAGCAGCCGGACACCAGCCAAGCAGCTAGGAGTATGTGGTGGTACGAAGTTGGAGATACAGATGCTGGAAATGCATCATGTCAGACCACAGGATTGTACAGGAAGCAAGCAACGAGATAGGTGCGAATTATCTAGGAGATTGAGTCGTGGCCTCGGCCTCGTAGAATTGATACACTACGTAGTGCCTATCACTCGGTCCTCACCATGTTCCTTTCTGTTGCGACTTTCGCGTTCCTCAAGCGTGTAGCATAGAATTTTGCGTAATTCGCGAATGTGGTAATACTCCAGCTCGGATACGTAACTTGCGCAACCGTGCTTCCCTCAATAAATTCGCTCGTCCATCACATATTGGGTACATATCTTGCTGTTTACATACATACAGCCCAGCTCACAACTCTTACTCTCCCTTGTCGCTCCCCCCTCTCGAAGCAGTATAGCATCGACCTCCGTTCCCATCAAGCAGCTCCTAGCGATGCAAGAGGAACCTCCGTCTCCGCTGCACCCCCGCCCTCGTATGCTTCCGCTCAACAAGCCCAATCCCAGCCTCCGTCCCACTCATCAACGCATTATCGTCAGCAGGCGTCCATACCCCACCAAAATCATCCGGCAGGAACGTTTTCGCCTCTTCAGCAGTTGGCATTCGCGGTTTATACTTTAGACCGCAGGCCTTGTTGCGGTTTTTGCGGTTGAGTTCCCAGACGTTGTAGGAAGCGACGATTTGTGAGAGGAGGAGGGAGGAGGCGGTGGTGTTGTTGAGTGTTGATTGGAGTGTTGTGCTTGCGAGGCGGAGGAGGGTATTGGGAGGTAGGGATGGGTATTTTTGGAATTGTTGTGCTTCCCAGGCTTGGAGTTCGTCGGGTAGGGCGATGTCGGTTGGCCAGAGAGATTCTTCTCTGTTGTTGTGCGCGGATATCTCGTTGATAGGACCACTTCTATGGTTCGGTGGGTTTGAGTGAGCAGATGGCTGAGGTGGATTAGGAGCTGTTCGTAGTCGAGTAGGTGCTGGCGCATGTACAGCCTGTGGTTCCTCCTCAGAGCTCGACTCAGCAGTTTCGTCAGATGAGCCATCATAGACATTACGAAGTTGAGCTCTTGTAGCGGCATCATCGTCCAGGCTTCCATCAGGCGGATCTGAGTCAATAGTCCTCTCTGATATAGCAGGCGACTTGCTTCGTGTAACTGGGAGCTCGTCAAGAGGCTCGACTGATTGCAAGGCAGTATCTTGACTAGTTTGTTGAGCCTCAGCTTCGGCCTCAGCATCGATCATGGTCACGTCTAAGCCCAATGTTTCCCAGCCTCCCTCAGGGGAAGGCAGGTCGAGCTCAGTATGTTCTTCATCCACCGGAGCACATTCAAACAGAGCTTGGGTCTCGATGCGCTTAGCAACGTCCTTGCTTGTACTGTTCTGTTCGTGCTGCACAGCGTATGCTTGTGGGTCGCTTACTACTTCCAACTCCGTGGCTCTGTCCGTGGCTGTGATGGCTTCCGCAGCCTTGTCGTTTCGTGACGACAACTGATCTTGACTGGCAGGCATCTTCGGAAAGTAACCCTCTTGTTCATCTTCAGTTTCATAGCTGTCGACTTCGTCCTCCATCTCTGTGAAGTTGTTTCTAGGGATGGTGCCTTGAGCAGGAGTCGCAGTTCTCCTCGTTTGACTTTGTTGAGGTGTGACGTCGAATCCAAGAAAACTTGACTCTGAATCAGATGGCGATCCTCCGATGCTAATCTTCTGATTTTGATCCAGCTCGTCATCCTCCAAAAGGTCTAGCAGTAGGCTGCCCTCATGCCGCGCCTTGTCTTCCTCTTGATCCCATTCGCCGATTCCACCCCCATCGAGATGCACGTTCTTCGACATTTCAGGTTGGTTTTGTAAGGCGGTCTCGAAAGCCATAGATTCTTGAGATGTGGATGCACTTTTTGGTGGCAGCTGAAATGAAACGGGAGGCTTTTGTGCTGTAGATGAAGGAATTGAGTTTGTTGTAGCATTTGCACTTCCCGTAGAAGCGTTTGTAGAAGATTGCTTGTTAGAGCTTGTTTGTGTGTAAGTGACATGGTAATCGAGTTGAGTCTGAAGCTGGGAAACGGGCTGGGAAGTGGGCGGGCTCTGGTCGAGCCTGTGCCCAAAGAGCTTCTTCTTGGGGCTGAGTGTGGTCATAGTGACCTGAACTGCTTGCGAAGGTTGCGATGTGCTCTGTGTGGAATTTGTCTGTTGGCTACGCTTTCTACCTTCGTTTGCATGTACTTCAATTGGCGGGTCCATTGATCTGAAATCCGACACTTCCGCTGGGAAGAACATAGCATACTCCTCGTCTGGAGCGTCAACTATGCCGATCTGCACTGTCTCTGCATGAGCCCTCTCGATCTCAGGTTCATATTCCTGCTGCTTGCGTGTGTAAAGACCAGGCAACAACTCTTCGTCGTTGAAGGTAGGCTTTATTTTCTCCTCATGAAGCTTAGTGTTGTGCATGTGCTTCTGAAGTTGCTGACCTGTATATAATTTATTTTGGCGCTTGTACTGCGGCAGAATAACTTGTTCATAGTAGGCTTGCCATTCACGAGCTAGGTGACGCTTCCGGAGAGCTTCCAGTTTCTCCCAGTCTTGTGCCAATTCGGCAGAATTTCGGAGGAGCAGAAAAGGCACAGCTCTGTACAAGTTCTGAGAGTCATTTATTGAAAAGCCATACGTTTGCGCTGCTGCTCTGATGTGTTTTGTTAGGAGCAATTCTGCTTGCTTGGTGTCTCGTGGCTCGAGTTCGGTACCTTGATTGTCTAGTACTGTATTTTCGTCTGCCTGCTCGGACTGCGCATCTGTATCTTGTACCTGATGGTCGAGCTCGACGTCATCCAACCGTCTCCTCTTCGTGGCTCTTCCTTGTTCATCGATGGGGACTTCACTCGCAAGGTCTAAAGCAGGGTCGGCATCTTCAGTGACCTTCATGTTAGTTGCATACTGGACATGGTGTAAGTACCTGCCTCTCCAGCTATGGTAAGAATGATGCGGGTGTATGCGAGCAAGTTGCTTGTAGATGTTTTGACCAGAGAAGCCTCCTCCATTCTCACGAAAAGGTGTAATCCAATCGTACAGAATCTGATCATCAGCTGCGGTAAAAGGAGTTTTCGTAGTCTTAGGGGCAGGTCTATCTGTATGACTGTGGACAGCACTTTCGTAATCACCAGGATCCTGAAGCTCGTTGGCTTGTAGAGAGTCTAGGACAAATCTGTAGTCATGGGTGCATGGGGAAAAGTATGTATTCTTCTTATGTGGATCGACTAAGCAGTAATCGGCGTTTTTTTCCAATTCTACAACAACTCCTCCTTCGTCGCTTATCCTTCCTTTCAATTCACTCCTCGAGGGCAGCGTTTGCGACAACCAGAATTTCAGGGATGTGAGCAGCTTCTTAGAACTGGACTGTGGCACTTCAGCAGTGCTTACCTGCTGAGCCATGGTTGTTGAGGGATTATCAGGCTGGGCTGCCGTGAAAGTGCTAAGTCGGGTGAACTGAAGGTAGCGAAGACCATAACATTGATGAACAAGGAGGTATGCGCCAACGTGCTGTACCAGTAGTTCAAAGAAATGCGACGCGGAACCAAGACGAGCTCGAGCGGAAAGAACGCGGTCGGTCCTGCATTGCCAGATTCAGGTAAAGATCCCGTATGCACTGCACGTGAAGAAACTACAATGCCGTTGGATGGCCCGAAGGTGGTCTTCGTTCCCAGAGCCGAATCAGTCCCTGAACATCTCTATTTCTTCTAGTCTGATTGGTAGGTGATCCCCAACTGTGCGGCCTTGCCCCACCTCACAACTTTCTGAATCGATGGACTATCAATAGTTGATGTTCAATTTGTCCTTCCGTATCATCGGACAACACCTTCGTTCTGCTTCTTGCGACATACCACCTCTACTTCCTGGACGAACTGCCATATACGAATCTTTTTTCCTGTACGCCTGCTCGAGCCTTGACACAAACTATAGCGTGGCCACTTTGCTCTACATTTAATTCACAATGTCTCAAGAATTCACTTTCAAAGAGGTGGCTGCTCACAACACCAAGAAGGATCTCTTTGTCATAATTCACGACCAGGTCTACAACAGTTCCTCCTTCGTGGACGAACATCCGTAGGTCCAGCCTGACTCACCATACTTTTCTGTGCAGGCTAACATACTCACAGAGGCGGTGAAGAAGTCCTTCTCGATGTCGCCGGTCAAGATGCGACAGAAGCCTTTGAAGATGTAGGCCACTCAGACGAGGCCCGAGAGATCTTGGAAGGTATGAAGGCTGGCACTTTGAAGAGAGTGGACGGTGATCCCGCACCAAAGGTCGCTGCCACAGACAAGGTCTCGGCCGGGCCTGGTGGCGCAAGCAAGAGCGACAGCAGTTTCGGCGTTGGTCTGTACGCTGTCATCCTTGTTGGTGGCCTTGCTGCATACTTTGCTTATACTTTTATGCAATCGAAGGATGCGAAATAGAGAAGGATTGAGGAGAACCACACAATTACACGACCCCGGTTATTCTGCAGAACACACGGGGGAAGTGGGGGCTGGAGCTGCCTGAGAATTTACCGGAAGACACGCCTTACTTCATTCATCATGTGTCCACATTGCATATAGACAGCGTTGTTGTGTGAATACTGGAGTTCTGGTTTGTTGAAGATGTCGAGGGCCTGGAGCCGCTGCAGAACCATGGGTGAACTGGCCACACAGACGCGATTGTCTAAGCGGTGTGCGTGGACACCAGCAAATTATGGTTCATTACCATGCTCTGATTCGAGGCAGCAGAGAAGATTCATTGTGGCAGCAGCATCAAAAGACCTTCAAACCTATCTTCAATCTCAATTTTGGTCTGCATCTGACTTTTTTCAACGTGTTGTCTTACGTTAAATGCCGTGTCTGGCTGGATATCACTCTCTTTACTGGCATCTCTCCTTGCTTAGCCTCAGTCACCACTCCTGCTTGTAGAATTAGAAGCAGTGTCAGTTTGAATAGGTAGCAAGCGTCGTCACGTGGCTCTGTGCAATCATAACCTTTCCAATATTCGTGGCGTTGTAACCATCCTGAACACCTACCACATCAGTTGTAGACGGCATGGCAGACACGACTGGCTTCCGAGCAAGTAAACGGCGGAGGCTTAACACCAGGGAGCACTTGCGAAATGCTCCAGCTCCAGCAGATGATGTCGACGACCAAAGAGGGGAAACGATCATTCGAGCAGACAAGCGTCGGAAGACCACACGCACAGGGATGCATTTCTCTAACACAAGACAACAGCCGCACGAAGAGGCTTCCAACCACTCGACGGCTTTGTCAAAGATAGCTGAGGCGAACACAGTAGCAAATGGAGGTCTTTCCAACCGCTTCGTTGGGCCTGGTCGCTTAACACAACAAAATGACGAGAATAGAAAAATGTAGGTGTTAGTACTTTGCGCGCTTGCCTTAATATATATCCGACTTGACGAGCGGCACGATGAGCTCTCTTCTGATGCCATTCGACCACTGCTTGGCTTTGAAGTCGACGAGTCGAACGCTGACCAAGACGACGACGACGACGAGTTCTCCTCGCCTGAAGATGTAGAGGAGGCACTCGCAGCCATAGAGGAGATATTCTTCTCGTGCTTGAATAGATTGAGGACACTGTCTAACACTGCAAGGATGGAATACATAGACCGGTCAATGGCTGAAAGATTTAAGTCTGCCATATCCACCTCAAATACACCGTCGGACGAGCCGCCATCGAAGAGCGAGCATCAATACACGTCAGAGTCAGACCTCGAATTCGAAAACGAAGCACTCAGGTCATCGATAGAGCGAACTAAATCTCATCCTGACAAACACTCAGCTCAACATCTCTCCGAGGTCGATCTCGGGCCATCGGCCGCGAATTTTAACCTAACCAGAACATCAGCAGCACTTACTGGTCAGTCTCTCGATCACTCCGCCCCAACCAAAGGACGGAGGAGGAAGCCTCGTCTGGGCCGCAATGGCAAGCCGCTTCGACCACGTCCTCGAAAAGGCCCAGATCCGGAAGACATCGAGCGCGCTGCACTGGTCGAGCAAGTCCTGCACGAGAACGGGTATGGCACTTACGATGCAGCAGAAGAGATTGGTGTTGGCAGAAGGACAGGACAGGACGAGGCAGCTGATGAAAAGATAGCATCTGAGTTTCAGCAGCAGTTCCTGGATGCAATTGCGGAGAGAAAAGAGAGGCAGCAGAAGCAAAACCAAGCTGCTGGTTCTAACAAAGACACGAGTGCTACTATCAGTCAAGGTCCAAGATTAGGAGGCAGTAGGAGTGCTAGGGCAAGGATGGCTGCAGCGCAGACAGCGAACACGATGGAGAAGAAGTGATGTTTGGGAGATAGGTATTATCTCGTCAAAGTGACCGTTAGGACAGGCTGAGAGGCCGACGACAATCGCAATCAGTATGGAATGCAACTGCCGCGCGAGCGATGGCGGGAAGGCAGAGGCTGTTGTTATATTCATCGTCTTTGCGAGTTCGTACAAACAGCTAGGAAAAAGGTGTCGACACGTTGCTCGAAATCTGGTCTTACTACCCATTCTGAAGATTCGCCAACTTGGACGTAATCTACGACAGAGGGAACAAGACAAGTTGTCCCTAAACTTCGTCGAGTTGTCGTGTGCTGTTGCTTTGCTGTTGTTTAGGAAATACCATACACGCGTGACTGCCTTCAATCGCGTCAAATTTGTACCGAATTACGTAGTAGCTCCTCTTTGTCCGGCTCAATCGCTAACAGTACTAACAAAACCCCATTGTTGAACATAAAACTCCACTTGACCAGAAAAGGAGACGTCAAATTTCATGCTGATATCACACCATTTTGTAATACAAGCCTCGTTCAGTAAACGAAGGATAATGGGTGTGTTGTCCTGGTTCAAGGATTTTCGGGTAACGTCCCATAGTTGTGCAATTCTCATGTGCTTCAGCCAGCACCGAAACGGCCAGCTGTTTACCGAGAATTGCTTACCGCAAAGTTCCTGTTACAAGGAGATAGAAACGTCAGTGAATGCTCAATACCAGTGCGCCCAATCACCGAGCTGGTGGTGTACAAAGTGATTTTGATGGCTCTTTTTCTTCTGGCGTAATGTTTATACTGACAAGTGCTTTTCGTAAAAGTCCAGCAGTCTCTGAGGACACTTCTTCCGGACCACACCGTTCTTCACTCTTGATTTCTTGCCGTTCTTGAAGACTATGAAAATGTAGAGATCGCCGCTTGTCTCCCTTTCGACGGTGCGTATCTCTTTGATGTCGATTTCCCAGTTATTGCTTTTCGGTTGCCAGCTGCTGGTGAAGTCTTCTCCGCCGTCATCGTCGTCTTCTGCATCGGATTCGTCTTTAGTTCGCTTCTGTCTCTTGGCTGGTGGTGCTGGAGAGTCTTCGGTGGCTGACGCTTGACTGTCTGTGCGTAGTGATTTTCTGGAGGATTTCTTCTTTAGGTCTCCGCCGCCTGTTGGCGGTTGAGGAGCTCCTCCGATTTTGTGGTGGTATTTTGCGAGGATGTCTCGTGATCCACTGGAGGGAATGAGCAAGCGCACAATGGTGTCGTAAAGATGGAGACCTACACAAGGTTCTCCTCTGGTTCAAGAGTATTCTCAGACGTAGGATAGTTCTTCCACTTGACGTTATAGAGAAGAACGTATTGTTTGCCTTTCCTTCTGAATTCGTGATCGTGAATAGCTTCGACTTCGTAGCTAAACACAATATTAGTGCAGTCTTTTGCGGGAGGTTGATCACTCACGCTTCCTCTTCATCTTCTTCTTCATCATCGTCGTCGCCCTGAACGGAAGCTGTAGGCGACACTCTCTCCTTCTCCTCCTGCGCAGCCTTTGCGCCATTTGTCTCTTCGACGTCAGTCATAAAGTCGTCCTTCAACTGATCTTTGACCTCTACATCAGCTTCGACCCGAGACTCTGTATGCGCAGACACTCCATTGACATCCTCGTCGTCGCTGTTGTCGCTTAGAACTGCTCCGGTATAAGCTTCCTAGCGGTTGCGCCGAGTGGAGTTGTAACTTACGTGGTGGCATTTTTGACGCGAAAGTAAGCACAGAGCAGACACAGAAGAAGGGCTATTGAGAGAGTGATTTTGGATTGAACAACGCGACCAGCCTCTATCAGACGTGACGCGCTTTGTGGAGAAAGAAGGTTAGTTCTGCCTGGGGCACAAACATCACTGTCGAAAAAGGCGCTAAGGCATTCAACCCTAAACGTGGGTGTTTGAGGTCCACTGTCCAAATGTCCCGAAATTTTGTGAAGGCAGACTTGATACATGCGACTAACTGCATATACTACTCGAAAGCCCTGCATTTGCCGAACTTCAAGACTGAATGCGAGAACACTAACCACAAGGCCGTAGCTTGCAGATCCTTATATTGACGAAGTGCCTGCGGGCCATTCGCAAATATGGCGATGCAGCTGGATATGTCTAATGCTCAGGTGATGAAAGATGAGCAGGGACGACCTTTTATCGTCGTACGAGACCAAGGCAAGAAGAAGAGAATAGCAGGTACAGAGGCCGTGAAGCAGCACATCGTGGCAGCAAGGACAGTAGCCAATATTGTCAAAACCTCCCTCGGTCCACGAGGACTGGACAAAATCCTTATATCCCCAGACGGCGACATCACGATAACAAACGATGGTGCAACTATTCTGGGACAGATGGAAATATCAAATCATATTGCAAAGCTGCTGGTAGAGTTGTCGAAATCACAGGATGACGAGATTGGTGATGGTACAACCGGCGTGGTGGTTCTGGCAGCCTCTTTACTCGAGCAAGCAGCAGACCTCATCGACAAAGGCATACATCCTATACGAATTGCGGACGGCTACGATCAAGCATGCGAGGTTGCGGTAGCACATTTGGACGAGATCAGTGACGAGATACCATTTACAAGAGAAAACACAACAAATCTACTGAAGGTTGCAAAGACGAGTCTAGGCAGCAAGATTGTTAGCAAAGCCCATGACCAGTTTGCGCAGATAGCTGTCGATGCTGTCATGTCGGTGGCAGACCTGGAGCGAAAAGACGTCGATTTTGAGCTGATCAAGGTGGATGGTAAATCTGGTGGTGCTCTTGAAGACTCGTTACTGGTCAAGGGAGTAATCATTGACAAGGACTTTTCACATCCGCAAATGCCGGACGAGGTTCGAGATGCCAAGATTGCCATTTTGACCTGTGCGTTCGAGCCTCCAAAACCGAAAACGAAGCACAAGCTGGATATCACATCCGTCGAGGAGTTTAAGAGACTGCAGCAGTACGAGCGACAAAAGTTTGAGGAGATGATACAACAGATAAAGGACACTGGCGCCAACCTTGCGATATGTCAGTGGGGGTTTGACGATGAAGCAAACCATCTCTTATTACAAAACAAGTTACCTGCCGTACGATGGGTAGGTGGTCCCGAGATCGAGCTTATCGCCATTGCCACAAACGGCAGGATAGTCCCTCGTTTCGAGGATCTCAGCCCCGAGAAGCTTGGTAAAGCCGGCGTAGTCCGAGAGATGAGCTTTGGCACCACCAGAGAGAAAATGCTGGTTATCGAGGAGTGCGCCAACACCAGGGCGGTAACCGTCTTTGTAAGAGGCAGCAACAAGATGATCATCGACGAAGCAAAGAGGTCATTACACGATGCACTCTGTGTCGTCCGGAATCTGGTCAGAGATAACCGGGTAGTCTACGGAGGTGGTGCCGCGGAAATTGCATGCTCTCTGGCCATTGAAGATGCTGCAGCTAACAACGCGGGCCTAGAACAGTACGCTATGAGAGCTTTCGCGGATGCGCTTGATGCCGTGCCGATGGCGCTAGCAGAGAACTCAGGTCTTAGTCCCATCGAAGCTCTTGCTGCTGTCAAATCGAGACAAAACAACGAGAAGAACAGCAAACTTGGAATTGATTGTATGCAGACCGGCAGCAACGATATGAAGGAACACTTTGTTATCGATCCATTGATTGGCAAGAAGCAGCAACTCCTGCTGGCGACGCAGCTGTGTCGACTGATCTTAAAGATCTCGCAGGTCATTGTCCCAGGTGAAGAAGGTTCGGAGTATTAGAGCGGTTAGGTTCACGTATCAAGTATATGTTAGCGTTCCCTGGTTTAGGGCATAAAGAAGCAAGCACGTTTGCAAGCGGTAAGGTGCATCAAAGTGTGATACCCAGGGTTTACTAGAAGATGAAGCACAGTGCTGTGCGAACATACTTGTTGTACTTGTCTGAGGCCTAAGCTCATCATAACGGCTGGCAATAGATTGACAAAAATATTGAGTATCAACATGGTGGTCTGACGCTCGAATTTGTCACGCATTCAGAACCAGGAACCATCCATGCTCCTTCTTTTCTTGCTCAAGTATGCACCATTAATTGTGCGTGTCGATTAGACAACGCTTCCCAGAAGACGCAGCTTGTCTGTTGAAACCATTGCTCTGGTGCCAACACCAGACAGTGGAGGAGGAGGAGGAGGAGGAGACACTGGAAGACATCTAACGCTCGATTGTGCATGATCCCGCGAGTTGAAGCCAATTGTACGAAATTCGGATGGATGAAAAGAAGGAATGAGATTTGCTTGTTTGTGGTGGATGGTCGAGGTTGTGTCCCCCACGGTCTACTATTGCTACGTTATTTGGACTACTGATGGTGTGCCATGTGAGTACTACAGTAGCTACATCTGCATTCGCACACTCATTCTGGTAGACCTCCAAGATAGATAAGCTTCTCCTGACACAAATTCCACAGTCAGTGGCTGAAGCGTGGTATCTGTTATTTCTACGAACAACGAAATCAATTGGTTGCTTCCAAGACAACGGATGAAGCATGCATGCATAAAACTCCGTCTCGGAACCAGATAGTGGCTGGAACTCGGAAGTGGCTGTTTACCGCCAGTTTTTGTCAAACAATTCATTTGACCACTCAGCTTCTTGCGTTTGCCCTTGTGATTTCGAAGGTCGTCAATACTTTCGAGACGAAAGATGTGGTCGTCGTTCTATCTGCTGCGAGCGCCGCTCCTTTCCCAGGGATAGGATATTCGACTAACAGTAAAACTTGTATCTGTGATTGAAACGTATCACATGAGCCACATTGTGCCTGTCGCGCATCGAAGGAGATGAGTTTCGCTACGCCTTTGTTGATACGATTGTCTTGTTGCACGATGGTTGCTAGGTATCTAGCGTTGTTGAAGTCGATAACGATTATGTCTAGTCACCTTGAACTTCAAGATGCTTGACCGCGACAATCTGGAACGAGGACCCGTGCAGCCATCTCAGATCGGTACTCCACAACCCGGTCCATTCCCCGATTCTGCTGTCACTTGGAACTCCCCTTAGCCTTGGGATAGCACCTGGCGGCGCCGACTAATACATGGTATATCTGGGTGGAAGGATGGAATATCGTCTCGACTAGACAGTATTATTTCCTCTTATTCTTGGTTCCGCATTTTGATGGATCGAAATTCTCTCAGTCCCGTTACATCTAGAAGTTGTGTATTCAGGCTGTTTCCGGTCGACGGAACGTCCGTGCGGATAATGTACGTGCACCACTTTCTGTCCGAGGTACGCAATGCAATGTCTTGAGAAAGTAAAGCAATGTTCTCTTCTTCAGAGCTCTTCATTTGAGAGAAGAGCTCTGAGTATATTGACATTATCGAGGTACTGCTTTGTTTCCACGAGTATTCATTCTAACGTCATCAAACTTCTTTGCCAGTAATATCCGATTGTCCGATCTGGAGCAAGTCCGGCGGCAGGGGTCTGGTCCTGAGGAGGTCTCGAAGAGGAAGGAAGCGCCAAGTGAGCTCGGGCGGAACAACAGCCGCAGATACTTTACGGAGTATATGGGGTGAACCAAATCAAGGCTTAGTCTGTCCAGTAGACTTTTAATAGTGTGACTTGCCAGAACAAGCTGGCAAGATGGTGAAGAAAGTTTGTGCAGCAAAAGAAACTAGAAACAGGAACTGCTAATAGAACACATGACCACCATGCGTGACTTTGTTCAGATACGTAGCAGCGTAGTATTGGTGAAGTTTGAGTCTGCCCAAGTGCAAATTGGTGCCACGTTTGTAGCTTGTCCATAGAAAGCAAGAGCGCACGAACTAGCCTGCGGTTACTCTTGCACACAAGAAGCCAGCTCAGAAGCCGCGAGTCAAGAAAACTGTCAGCAGGTACCAGACAGTGGAAAAGTTAATGCGCCTAGCTCTCAAGTGCTGCAAGCTATTCCAGCAGATAGTGAAGATCTCTGTCCAAGCACATGACCAAGTTCTGCGACCGGCGGCGGCGAACCAACATCTGTGTACCTCCGTACTCCGTACGCGAATCGTGCCCCTGGATGTCCCGTGTCATTACACCCCAAAACCAACGGTGATCGCTGGCCCTGAGCTCTGGAGTCTGTGTGCTTCTGGTGCTGGAGCCCAGCCGGAGTGGTCCACCGCCAACGCCCTGGCATGCCATAACTGCCAGACATCGCCCTCCTTGCTGCATTCAACTATTTCCTCTTCCGTGTTAAGAGAACCCTACCACTATACCGATCTGGTTTCTGGCTATCAACCCATTCGATTGCATACTGCTCATAGCAACGCACATCCGGTGCTTGAGACTTTCAACACCGGCACTTCTCATCATCGATCACCTATTTCACCCACCGCGTCTGCTCTGACATCACCACGACACCTGCGAACGGCGCAAAACCGTTGAGCCTCTTTTCGGCCGGTCCTTACGCGTTCTTCACTGGCAACAAAGAATTTCGACAATAAAGCAGGTTTCCCCATCTTATCGCTTGCCCACACGCGGGCACAAAGACATCAATATGCTCCATGCCGCTCCAGTGCTGGAGCTAAAGCTCGACAAACTACACGAAATCGACCCTAGGAATGTGGAGAATTTGTTTGGGATGTGGACGGGTGAGTAGGACGATAAGATCGCCTCTCTGTTGGGCGACACTGACTTTTACATGCAGTGTTCTCGAGGTGTGCGAGCACGATCCCAGATGGCAAGAGGTTGGAAAACATGAGCTGGAGAGTGTGGGCAAGAGAAACTTTGTGCTGTCCGCCACAACCTGAGAAGACTATTGTACCAGCGATCGACATCCCCTTACCACCGAAAGAAGACGTTCCTTCCTTGTCAAACTCACTAGCCTCAGTTAGCAGCGATGGCGACTCAATACGAACGCTAGAGCACTCGGCTTTGAGTAAATCCAGAGGCGTTGAACAACACTTGACACCTACTGGCTTGGAGAAGATCATCACCAAGATTCACGAAACAGAGCACCTGGTACCATTAGACCCAGAGATACGCGCTTGTGTGGCTGAAATGTCGCCTCCAAAGCAGATCTCGAAAGATTCGCCTGTCTCAGAAAACTCAGACCAGAAATCCATCAATTCCAACATCGAGTCATCTTGTATCTCGACTGCCACTAACACGACGAACGATACCACGGGTACGGAGCGAGACACCCAACACAGAGGTTCGGACACCAGCGTCTCCTCTAGTGGTCTAATACGTTCTGGTAGTGTAGTGCACGGTTTCTCCCCTGTTCCGTCGATACGAACGAGAGGGAGCTCGTCCATCAGTAAAGCCATGCCGGTTCTATCTAGAGGCACTCCCAAGAATGCCACATCAAAGAAGACTGCCATGTTCACCATGGGTGGCTCCTCCGAAGATGACGAAAGCTCTTTCGAACAAAATATGTCCTATCGACGACAGATACTTGAGCCGAGGAAGAGCAGCTTGTCTAAAAGCATGAGTCACGATGACAGACCCAGACAACAGAAGAAGACTACTTCCTTTCGAGAGGTTGTAGAGCAGCACAATATACAGACAGGAGGCAGTCCTGCCGATGATAACGCTATTGCCAGCGATGACGAAGATGACGACTCTGCCATCGATGACTCTGCTATCGAAGAAGATGACGAGGACGGTTGGGAGGACGAACAACCAGAGGAAGAGAAGTCAACGGTGGAATCTGTCTTCAAGCGAGTGGACAGCACCGCGCATCTACCTAGTCGCCGTTCCATACTTACTGCTGGCTTGACAGAAGGCGATCGAGCGAAAGGCCTCCTCAGTGCTGCGTCAAAGTCATCGCCAGCTATCCGACGCATGGACAGAACATCTTCACACAACGGACTCTCGATAGCGACGTCTTCAGATGGCAACGACGAAGAGGGACCTATGATGATGCGACCATCGAATAACAGCAGAGCAATCCCAATCTCACCACCAAATCACCAGGCAGCTTATGCAATGGCACATTCCCCGCGGACTACACGGCGGAACATGCTCTCTACCGAACTTACAGAGTCACTACGTAAAAATCTTTTGTGGGAACGACAACAAAAGAATACAACAATCAACGCATTCCTCAAGCGAGAAGCCAAATCTATGGCCAATCTACACAGAGCTGGTCAAACGGCTCGGACACAGGGCGGGCCCACTCGAAACCTACCATCTCGCGAACCTATAAGGAATAATAACTCCTTCGATGACTGCTTCAATGTAGCCAACGAATACCACACTAAGGGTTGGTGATCCTTGGAATTACGTCTGCATGTCAAAGGAAGCATATACATACGTTTACGGATGCAAGTCCTGGTTTGGAAAATGATCCAGCGTTCACGCACGATCATCTATAACTGTATTTTACTATTTTGCTGCGTTCAAGCGATTACGAATATTGGCATGGCTACTATGGTCGACTGTGGTACGAGCCATACTCGCAATGGGCGAGGCAAAAGTTGGTTAGAGCTCAGATTTGAACTCAGGATCCTGAAAGAGACGATTAGTCACGAAGTAAGTCGTAATGACAGTTTTGATATATGAGCAATCCAGTTTCACGCGACGCGGATTGAGCCGACAAGGCTGTGTAACTATACCCTGTTCGCCGCAGCGAGAGCATATTACGCAGATATCGTAATACTGATACTTTATCTGGATTCGAGAGCGGTGAGGATGAACAAAATAACAAGTTAGTGGTACCATGTCTTACAAGTACCAACAGAAAGTTTGGATTTGTTTGACATGTGCGACTCTAGAATTCGCTAGCTTTGGGTAGCACGTTGCCACGACTAAAATACATACAATTACTGAGCAGAAAGTTCGTCTTACACACGTACGTTGCATTGGATGATGCTTGTTTCTTAGCTGTAGCTGTGCCGTCTATTGAACGAAGAATCGCCGAGGCCGTTTGTACGTCGATTGTCGCACGATAAAGCTTCTTGCACATGAACGAGGCACACCTTTTTTATTTCTGCTGCGTTCATCGAAATTCCCCCGGAACGTAAAAGGATAGCCAGGGCGAAGCAGAAAGTCCCGGAGAAGTACCGACGCGACCCAGCCAGGAGCGTTACAACCCGAAGCATCAACTAAAACTCAATACTCTTTACCACGCGACCGAGGTGTTGTGTTGGTCACATGCCGTTACGAGGAGGGAACGAGCAATAGGCTGTTGGAGGATGAATACGGGAACGTTTGTTAGCTACGGCAGTTAACAAAGTCTATGTTACCTAGTTAGATGTGGAAGGCGCTGCTGAAACCAATCGAATTTTGTTGGGAAGATTATTTCTGACTGTTTCGATGTCACACCTGCGAACATGACCATCTGTTCCAGTCCAATACTGGCCAATAATAGTTATGCTATATCGCTGCTATTCTTCTCATTTGTTGCAGGGTCTAGAGTGTGTGTGTAAAGCACGTGAATTACAGGTATTGATACCTTCTTCGCTTATCTGCAAAGTGTGCGAGCCACGACGTTTCTGGCAGTTGTCAACACTTCCAAGAAGCAGGAGATGCACCGCAACAGGACGAATGAAAGTGTGCAGTGCAAACATTCAATAGCCACCAATCGTCCATAGCACTGTTGACACAACAAGAACAACGACGAGCTGTGGAAAATACTGATGTAAGTTGTGCCACATCAGCAGCCTTACATTCAAGACCTGTCACGCGCAACGCAGCCGCGTCAACCAAGGCTGTAAGTGCTTTCAATGTGGAGATGATTACTGAATCCAGACCTGGTGATCCGATGCACGATTCTGCGGAAAATAGACCCACATCGCTGGCAGCATGGATCGGCCATGCTTCTTGCATAGCCGACACGAGTCGACAAGTTGGGCAAGTGCAAGGAGACGGAGCAACTTGTGGGTCTCTATAGGCTCGGTCGCGAACACCGATTGTAGCCGGACCAGCTAAGCTTCGAGCCACAAAAGCCATGAAGATGTATGAGCAAGTTAACGAGTGCAACGTGCCACGGGGTGGCCATCATTTGCTTTTTAGGGACTAGATGTGGGCAGGACTGGCTACAATAGTCCCAGAGATATGCTGACGGTGGACAAGCGAGCTGTGAATGGCACGTTTCACGTCTCGTGCAACAAATCTCCAGGCCAGCAGGAATACGAACGAGGAAGCGTCAAACGTCGATTGCAATGGTCTCGAGCCGAAATGCCCAGGTGTGTTAAAAGCTTTACCAAAGCTCAAAGCTCTCGGTATCAGTCAGTTGATATTGATTTGACCCGAGGTTCAGTCAACTTGTGGTACCCCACGAAGAAATTAGTCGTCGCGAATGCCAAACCCGAGCTCGTCCTCGCGCGTTTGACCGCTTAGAGATCAAGCAAAGCAATTCTCGCCTGAAACGGGTTCGCAGAGGTCATGGGACAGCTTTGTCCTTTTTCATGCCTATGTCGGTAAGGAAACAATCAACGTCACCTGTTTCAAGTCCCAAAATACGATCGCGGAGACAATATTGTTGTCTACCTCACGAGTAGAGTAAGGACGACAAATACTAAGAAGAATAGGTTTCCGAAAGCGAACGTGGTACCGTCAACAGTCAGAACTAAGCGAAACAGAACTCATGCGTCAAATTGCCCAGTGGTACAGACTGTATGAGGCTCATCGGCGTTGCTCAAATTGTTCCACAAAGTACAAGGACTTTATTCTTGCACGACGTAAAGGAGTGTTTGCCGGCACTTGACCTTTTTGCTCGCCAATGTTCTGGCCTTGTATCACGACACGTGCAATAGCGGTGTCGACACAACTGATGATGGCGGCCACGAGTAAGTTCTGAAGGGTGATAATATCGAATGCAGGCATACAGCACTCGTACAAACATCAGGCTGGTTTCTGGTAGTGTGGATTTCACGATCAATATTGACGAGACAATTGACAGCGAGCATTCAGACGATCGTTGCATAAAAAACATATTGGCGAAAGTGTATGTTCTATCCCGACTGAGGCAGGGAGCCAGGAGTGCTTTGCGAGTGTGGCAGAGCGGCTCTTATGGTTCAACATCAGTGCTTCGTTCGAGGACAGCAGCTTCGACTATTGTCCCTTCTCTCTACGTCCTGGGTATCATGGTCGGCGATCTCTACCTAGAATAGTGCTTCGTAAAGCTGGACGTCTCAATGCCTAGTCGACCAAGGCGTCAGGTACCACAACGAGTCTCTGAGCGACCTCGTTTATTTGAGATGTCAACTCTCCAAGGTTCTTTGTACTTTGCGTGTCGGCAATTATAGCCTTGGTGGCACGATCAACTTGCCATATCCAGCTGGATACTGGCCGCATCAGATTACAAGCTGCACACCTCGTCATTAGTATGGTGGCTCGTATGCATCTATGTCCTGTAACGATACTGTAATTTATTTCTGTGAGCTCAAACGTCGAATAAGAGTTTTCTTCAAGCCGCCAAAGCAAGATTGGATGATGCACAGTTTTCCGAAATCCCCATGACATTTTGATGAGCAAACTGCCGAGCAGAGTGATCAGCGCGTGATCAACGTTCTAACGGGAAACCAAGTGGAACACAACACTTCGAGACGAGGAGCGACAGTTTCAAGATGATGTCAACCAGACACAATCGAGATCAAAAAACAATACTATCAGAGTAATCAAGCGTACAATGAGTAAACCCAAACACGATAATGACCTTGATACAGGGGTGAGACGACACCACCGCACCTCAATTGTTACGTACTCTACGGGAATGTAATCCATCTCAATACGTGTTTCTCCTCAATACCGGTCGGCTCTACTGCAGAGACAGGGGCATGATTCGAGGTAGACGAGTTTTCCGAGCCCGAACTGCTTTAAGGTTCAGCCGCTTTGAGCCTCCATGCACACCATCCCCCAGGCTTAACAGCCAGTTTTGGCTTCCCCGGTCCGGGGTAAGAACGGAATTGACGCCTAGCGCGATAGACTGATGGAGTGGTTGCAATGCGATGAAGGTAAACGACGCGAGCAATATCATTCGCAAACCCTCAATTTGTATTGCATAGTTCGTCATAACAATTCCAAGCATGTCCTTTTCAACCGAGGGTTGAAGCAAGTCTGTTGCGACTGCGGAATTCGAGCTATGAGCTCTCAAAACAACACCTTTATTGAACGTCGAGTCAGTCGAGTCATACCTAGTGACCCACTCGGTTGGTGGTTCTGATCTGCAAGACAATGACGTTCCTGCATGGAAAGCCCGTTTCGGTTGAGTCATTCGTCGGTGTTTCCATCGGTCGCTGTGGTCTGCTGTACTCGAGTCCTGAACCTGTTGCGATGGACCGTTTTCTTCGCTGAGCCGCTGAGTCGCTGAGTCGCGCTAATCCGTTCCACTAACGCGTTGTGTGACCAAAGTATGCTCAGTCAGAGAGGAGATTGAGCATCTATACTCGCGACTGCACACCAGATCGTTCTACATATCTTACTGTCAGTACACACTCGAAATAGTTAACTACCAGCCCCCTGCTTCTCTGGAACTGCTATGAACGTCCATGGTTATTCGAATAGATTATCAAGTGGTTGTAGGGTCATAGGTGTTGCATATGTAGCGATTACAATTGTAGAGAGCACTCTCAGAGGCACCCTTAACGTTGGTATTGGCTTCAAGCTTTCCGTGTATACTCGAGCGAAAGAGTTCACGGCATTGTTACCACGTATGCGTGTTCATACTGCGACAACACTCAGCCATTGTAGGGGTACTCCACATGTATACAGACCGCAGTTTTTCGACCGAACAATACTTACATTCAATTCTTCCTACATACTCGATGTGGTGTGATTAAGCAATAAGGGGCGGCTCCCTCGTTCTGTCTTGTTCGGTTCATGTTGTCGCTCCTGCCTCTTCTGCCTGGACCGCCTCACTGCACGCGAAGTCCAAAAGTCTTCAACTTTCCGTGACTTTTCTCAAGATTCAAGCATGTTCCAATTTCCTATTTGAGCACAGCACGAAGCAATAACCAGAATCTTCTTTATACCAGTGCTCCGAGATGACTCACTCTTTACCTTGTGAAATTCTTGTCACTCGATGATATGATCATGCGCGTGGCAAGATTTATGGACTTTTCATTCATCAACATCTCACCTGCACGTTCTTCCGCCACAGACCAACCAGTTGCCATACCGTTCAAAATTCCCGGCGATTTTCAGTCGCCTGTGCACGAGACTAATCCTACTATCGACAGACTACATTGTATTCTATTCCTCGACACTTGACCCTTGTTACCTGATAGGATACGTCGTGTCAGGACATCAAGCATTATCTATCCTCGCTATTTCTCTTGAGGCGGTACCTATCACATTCGAATCACAACCACCTTCCCAGACACCCGGTTCAGTATCCCTCGAATCGGCCCGGGATTCTGGTCACCTGCCACAACAGCTACTCACCTATCACTTCCACAAGCGAGATTCGTTCTCATGATGGACAACACATCTAGCGCTGCAAGTCCCGGGGAACCAGCTTCTGCAGCTGCCACCCTAGAACATCCTTCACATGCTCGTAAGTTCTTCATATGCTACCGCTCAAGAGCTTCTCCCATTCGATAATTGTTCTCGAGTTCACCTGCAAATTGCTCTTCTCAATCCTTCGCCATTCGCCGTCACTCACCGCATTTGCAGCGAATTCCTTCCCATTCGTTGTGCAGCGTCATTAACTGTGGTCATCTGCCTGTAGCGACCGATCTCGCAAGCGCTTCAAAACACAATGTAGCGCTACGAATTGGCCTCTGGCCAACGAACTGCTACGGTCCCTGACGCTCAATCTACGATCAACAAGATGTGATTGCTTGCCAGTTCACCATGTCGTTCCCTGCTGTCGCGGTCATATGATTTCACATGAATGCTGACTATGATGCGCTGGCAGACTCAAATATCAACCAAACACATAGCAGTGCTAGTCGCCAGCATGAATCATCAGGAGACAAGAGAACTAAATTGCAGCAATCGAGACCGATTTGTCGCTACTTTGTGACAGGGAAAGGTATGTCGTCTTTACATTACACGTCTATTCTATCGCTGGACCTGAGTCGGCCGGTCGTGCCTGTGCTTCGTTGTTCAAAAGCAATACAGCTATCACGCGGTACTCGCTTTCGCGTACCTTTGCCCCTAGCCCCTCCTGGCTCGGGACCGCGGTATGGACCGGCCCCAGCCCTTCAGTTTTATCGTTCCTCGTGCTTGGCGATATCTTTAGGTTCAGCACGTGCTAATCTTGATGGACAGGGTGCCGTGCAGGGAATCAATGTCGCTTCCAACATATTAAGCCAGTGGAACCTTCCTCTTTGATCGAAAAGGGCAATTCAACAGATGCAGAACCTCATGCGCTCTCGCACACAAACCCGCGTGCTCTAAGCGCAACAACTGTGTCGAGTGCACGATTGGAGCGTGCCAATGTGAGCAGAGCGCCTGTCTCAAGACCAGTAGCCCAAGCAGAACTCGATGATCCTCGAGAGTATCAGATTACCCAGGTGGTTCGAAGACACAAACCCTTCCGGGCTGATCTTGGCGATGAGACCACTCTGAAATTTAGGCTGTCTCCTACAGATCCAGACTTCCCGTTTGAGCTCGAGAACGGACTGCAATGCGTGCTACGTGTTCCGAGCACATATCCACGAAATGGAAAGCCAACGCTTGCTGTGCAGAACCCTGAGATGGCCAGGGGTTTTCAGATTAACGTTGAGCAGGGGTTCAATTCGCTTGTTAGTCAACATCCGGGAAAGAGCTTACTCGCTCTTCTGAACGAGCTGGATAAGAGCCTGGAGCGATTTCTGACGTCGACAAAAGCAAACACGGTGAAGCTCATCTCTAACAGACCTAAAGAGGTACCAGTTGTGCCTGAAAAGGAGCATGTGAAGCCGGCTCCGGTTGACGTACCGGCCGTGCTGAGATACGATGTTGCTCAGCTGCGCGAAGCGAAAACCAGGCGTGAAGCAGAGATTAGACAACTGGAGGCACGTCTTGGACGTTCTGACCTCTTCTCGAAAGTAGGAGATGGTATCGCCTTCAACGTGCCATTGCAGAATATATCTCACAGCGTATTGCCCGCCTCGTTACAAGCAGTCAGAGACACAGCGTTGATTGTGCCCGAAGTTTATCCCCTTGAGCCTTGCACAATCATACTCAAGGGTGTCCACGGTGAGGAGGCCGAGCATGTGGAAATTGCATTCGAGCAGCGTGTGGTTGAGAAGCCGGAGCTCAGCCTCATGGCGCACATAAACTATCTTACGCAGAATCTAGGCAAGATGGCTAAAGTACCATCATCAACATCGACCCAGGTACGAGATGTGGGTGTCGATCACGACTATAGCAACGAAATCATGCCATCATCTACTAGCCAACAACAAACGGCGAATGAGACAATCGATCCAGCTCGGCCACACCTCAGATACATGGCTCGTCCACCAGAATGGCAGCAACCCAACAAGGGCAATGTACCAGATGAGGTTGACTCTTCCGAATCTTCTGAGTACGATAGTGAGGAGGACTCCGAGCATGAAATCGAAGACAGTATCGAGGGTATGGTTTTGCCAACCGCTATCGAGAAGGGCATCCAAATCTCGCTGCCACGTCTTGATATGACTGGCATCGAACTCCTGCAGATTTCCAAGCTGTCAATCGCGGTCAAGTGCAATCGCTGTAAGGAGCAAGCAGAATTCAAGGACCTCACACCAGCAACAAACGCTTCTGGTGTTACACAACGATCCCTAACCTGCCAGAAATGTAGTGCTGTACTTTCAGCCACTTACCACTTCGAGCTCATGCATGTCAATTCATCACGAGCAGGGCATATCGAGGTTGAGAATTGCTCAATATCTGACCTTCTGCCGTCGCTGTTCCAGCCTACATGCGCGCAATGCAGCACGACATACCCATCACCACCAGGTGTCGTTGCTGTTGCAGGTGATTCAAAGCTCACGAACTGTCGATCTTGTCATTCGAAGATGACCTTCAGCATTCCGGAGGTAAAATTCCTCAACGTGTCTACGACAGTATCGAAGACGACACTTCCACTCCGCTCGACCAAGCCCAAGGAGAGGCTAGGTATCAGCGCAGGAACACCACTGCCCGACAACGGCAAATGCCAGCACTATGCAAAGTCATACCGGTGGTTCCGATTTTCTTGCTGCAACCGCGTCTTTCCTTGTGACAAATGCCACGACTCAGCTACCACCAATCCAGCACAGAAAGACAATCCTCATTCCAACGAGCATGCAGATAGAATGATTTGTGGTTGGTGTTCGCGCGAGCAGCGTTATCATCCTGATACATGCCGTATGTGCGGACATAGCGTTGTCAAGAAGCACGTCACGACGGGATTTTGGGAGGGCGGAAAGGGTACGAGAGAGAAACACTTGATGCGAAGGAAGGAGGGTCGTAAGTATAAGGTCAGTGGGCGTGAAAAGAAGGAGCTTGAGAGCGTGAAGAAGAGTAAGGAGAACAAGGGTAAAGGCGGAATGTGGTGGCCTGGTTAGCAGGTGCTATGGGCTGTAGACATGCCAGGGACGCTCTCTTCCTCGACTTCATAGAGCTTGTAGTGTAAGAAGCTGCATTTAGTCGCTGTCAGTTAGTATTGGAGGATGCACTCTGACGACCTACATTCATGAAGCAGTATTACCAGCAGCTGATTGCATCGACACTGTCTTCTAGAAGCAGCTCTGCATACGTATCACTACGACGCAGTAGCATTATACGCAATATCAAGCACACCAGCACCTTGCTCAACCGCAGCATCCACCCTCACCGTCAGAACTCTACCCGACGCACCAGCCGTCAAATTCTGTATCACGTCACCCCACGAATTATAAACCGTTCCCACAGCCTGGCCCTCCTCAACGTCCTGCAGCGGAACCACATTCATCTGCACCCAACCACTCCTCTCAGCAACAGTCGTAGAGAAATTCGTTGCGCGATAGCTGTTCTCCAAGCCAATACTTGTGGCCTCCTGGGGTGCCGTGTAATTCGAAGGAAGCATATTCAAGTCGTCCAAGAGCCGCCACACGAACTCTTGGGATCGGCTGATAAGAGTCTGATTCCAGTTCTTGGCCGGTCCGATCTCAAGCGTGATAGCCGGGACGCCAAAGTCGACCCAGGTGGTTTCGATGGAGCCTGGCTCACCAGGGTCGATCTTGATCACGTCCGCCTCAGTGAGTTCGGCGAGTCGCTGCACGCCATCGAGACGATAATCTGCGTAGCACCATAGCGGACCATTGCTGCCTGTAGATAGCGTGTGGAAGTCGACGGCGATGTCGACGTTTGAAGCGTTGCCCCATACGCTGTTCCAGATTGTGTAGGCGTAGGACGTCGCTATACTGCCTCCTTCTGCTATGCTGGTTCCTGGAAAGACACGATTGAGGTTGGTAAAGAAGCCATTGTTCGAGCTGGAGAAGAAGTTTCTCTGGTTCAGAATGTTGCCGTTGATGTTTTGGGTGGGTATGCCTATGACTGTGCCGTTGAAGTTACCAGAGGACACCACGTCACGCAGGGCAGCAAACACACGTTGCACAACTGGAATACCATTCAGCTCGTCACCGTGTATCGATGCTGAGAGAGATAGGCGACGGCCACTTTCCAGAGAGCCTGTGGAGCCACGAGCCACGAAGATTGGTAGGAAGTATGGCAGACCTCCTTGAGCTTCGGCTGCTGAGATCCAGAATCGTGAGATTGTGTTTGCTGGTACGTCGGCGAGGTCGAGGTACTCGATGATTGGATAGCCTTGGAGGGTATCACCTGTGAAATTGGTTTGGGCGAATGCTTGGGCAGTGAGTGCCGCGAGGACAGACGCGGTAGAGAGCTTCATGATGTGGTCTGGGATTTCGAGGCGGATTCTGAATTTGACGTGGCGGTGGATGTATTTATGTAGCTACAGTAAGTGTGAGCTCCCGAGCACACGATCGTCCGCACATCGCCGGCGACAAAGTGCGATAGTGACCCCGTAGTATCGCCATAGTTTGATGCTTGGCTTGAACTTCGTCATAGACGTGTTGTCGTACGACTACTGTAGGTGGAACAATATGATAAAGCTCATATCAAATACGCACCTTCTTGTTAAGGACAAGTCCTCCAGTAGGCCAAGAATGCCAAGCATACGCGATGGAACGTCGTCGTTACTCAGCTTCGTTATACCTTCCACCTTGAGCCACAGGCGGTCACCCCCTATAACAAGGCAGTTCTAGGGACTGATAACGGCTGGCAGAACTGATTATCAACAATCCTTATTTCTGAAGCTGTAGTCCGACCTCGTCCCGTTTTGAGTCTTCACAAGTTCTCGCCTTGCCGCCGCGCATATAGCTACCCTCGTGCAATCCGTTCTATGTTGCAATATCGTAACGTGAAGTCGAGCTCGAGCGAGGAAATTATCGGCCACGGTTTCGAGGAAGCTCCCGATCTTTAGCTGGCCCGCGGGCGATACTTCTGGGTGCACAGTTGTTCTTGCCGTAGTCAATTGGTTGTCGTGTGGTCACGATCCTTCAATTATTGCTAGCTCATCCCCTTGACGATACACCTCGAGTTCAGATCCTCATGCAGGCCTGACAGCAGTATTGTATGGTGGTTGCTTCCAGCTAAAGGCAATCTTGTCCGTAACACCATGAAGCATCTGCTCTTGTTCTGGTAGCTGACTAACAAGCTCAATAGGACGATCTAGCCTGAGTTCGCCAGATATTGTAACGACTCCAGCATCGTCGGAAGAGGTATCCCAGGATATCGTGGCCAGATTATCCTTACCACTCTCCCTGCTGTGTTCCGCTCTGATTAATCGATCCAATTCGACATCCAAAACCCAGACCCAATTGGCCTTCAGGGTCTCGATTAGCTGTAGTAGTCAGTTTTGTACATAAGATCATGACAATTCCCAAGCTCACTTGTTGCTCCACTTGACACAGTCCATGCCTATAGGAATCTGAAAGGCATGAGGAGGGCTGTCTGATACAAAATGTCTGCGTGAGCATGTCTCATTCTCTTGAGATTTATTCATCGGTGACGAGACTCATATCATCAATAGCGTTTCCCAATACGAGATATTCTCGCTACTCACTCTCCCGATGGCGCCGGTTTTCGCGAGGATTAAGACATCGATATGGTTGCCGCATCTGACCTGTGCTCTGTTGCCTTTCCTCCGCCGAACCTCCTCGCATAGCTTCGAAAAAGTCGATTTGTCCTTACGTTTACGACTGAGTAGATGAGCATGGCATCCTCCAATATGATCGCGATCATGTTTAGCTTCACCACACCTCTTATGATCAATGGATCAGCCAAATGGCGTATCAGAACAGGCTTCTTCTATGTGACAATACCATGATCCAGGTCCAGCGAACGATGAACAGTTTCGGGGGTACTGGTATCATCGCGGTCGCTGTATGCTGTTTGATTCTGCCAGAACTTGCACGTCGTACACCTGCTGAGATCAATGAGATGTAAGATCAACCATTTTGTTAGCGGACGATACTAACTTGAGACAGGTTCGGGAAGAAGGTCAATCCTAGGAAGTCTGCAAAATTTGTGACAGATGTAGAGATCGAGACCAGAGATGCAAAAGTAGACGGTCAGTAAACCAGAAGCAGATCCCAGTCTGTATGTGCAAGGTTATCCCACCTTCCTGGATAGAGCTACGAAGTGTAATAACACCAATGCGTGTAGGGAAAATAATGTGTTGACCATGTAAACTTCGTCTTGGACATCTAGCTTATACTCATCGTGGATGTTCTCGTGTTCACATGTGTCTTCATCGTCATTTGGATCGTCTGATTCGAGGTAGAGGTTGTCATTGTTGTAACCTTCTCCTTCTCTTTCTTTTGGGTTAGAAATAGAATAGAATCAAAAATCTCACATTTTTAGTATCACTATCATAGCAACAGCACTTGAGCAAGGCACCAGGACTGGAACGTTGCTACATTCTTGAATACAGGCTCGAACCCCCTCGTGTGCATGTCGTTGCTGTCGTCGCTGTTACCAATAGTCATGCTGGCGACAGTTTCTTAAAAGCTACCGGCTTTCGGAGCTGTGTCGTCGGCGAACTTAATCATCGTGAGACCTAATTTTTTTTTCTCTCAGCCTCGATTCATCAACAACTGCTCATCAGCATTACGTTGAAATTGTTGCCCAAATTTACAGCCTCTCTCTTTTGTTTGCATTCCCTTGATACCCTGTATGAATAGAAATCGCATTGCTGGCAACCAAAAGTTACGTATAATCACTGCTGCTTTCTCTTCAAAATTCATCCACTTTTTGCAACTTCACATGATTCAGTATATACCGGAGATCATCTAAAGGGTTACACCTTGCCCGTATTTAATATCGAAAGTACTGTTTTTGCATGTTGCGGCATATTCCTCAGGGCTCGGTGCGATATACAAGATTCACATCACTGAAAATCTGGCATGCTATTGCTAGGCATAATCGGTGTACGGGATCGAAACGCATCAACCAGCTGAGCACTGCCGCAAACATGCATATACGCGACGACAAGTCTTCAAAAGTTTCGCACCACCGAACTGTGAGACCGCGACATCCAACCGACCTAGCAACTCCTGAAGCTGAGCTCAGCAAGCTTCCATACACCAATTGCAGAACCCGGATACTCAACCTCAAGCACCTTCCAGATATTCCCACTGGTAAAGACGTGTCAGATGAGCAGTATCGCGAGATCTTCCAGAGATATCTTGACGCAAAGCGACACTCACCATCGTTTCATGCAAATGCTTCAGACAATAGTGTTCGAGATGAGGCTAATAAGAATGCCGGTCTTGAAGAGTCGCAGCTACTACGATCAGCAATTCAAAGCTTGACAACGGGCATCGCCCCTCCTGTCGCGTTTCCAACTGAAACGGTTTATGGTCTTGGCGCCGATGCAACCAACGGCGCAAGTATTGCTGGCATCTTTGCGGCAAAGGGCCGCCCTGGAGACAATCCGCTGATCGTTCATGTAAGCTCTGTGGCACACCTAGAAAGATGTTTGGGTGGAACTGAAACCGATTCTGCCATACCGAAAGTATACCGAGAACTGATCGATCAATTCTGGCCTGGTCCTTTAACTATCCTGGTGCCTGTACCCGAGGACGGTAAAGGTGTGAAGTTTGCGCCGAATGTTCATCCAGGGCAGAAGACCATCGGGTTTCGACTGCCTAAGTCTCCTTACGCGAGATTTCTGATAGCAGTTGCGGACAGACCAATAGCAGCACCAAGCGCGAACTCTAGTGGTAAGCCGAGCCCAACGACTGCTCTTCATGTGAAAGAAGACCTGGATGGAAAGATAAACTTCATCCTGGATGGTGGTGAATGCAAAGTAGGCGTTGAGAGCACTGTGGTTGATGGCCTGCATGACCCTCCGCTCATCCTTCGGCCTGGAGGATTATCTAAGCGTGATCTACGTGAGTGGGGAACTAGGCAAGGCAATATCTGGCAACATGTACAGAACGGATGGGAATACAAGACTGGTGTGAAGCGGAAGAGGGAAGCAGTGACTGACACAGTTCATCCTGCTACGAAGACATCGAAAGCTGCTCACAGCCACAGCGACGGGGCCAATGTGTACGACAGTCCTACAATACAAACTCCAAACAACGAGCACTCTGATCTAGAGCTTGAAAGCGACATCTCCGCGGCTCCACGAGCGCCTGGCATGAAGTACAAGCATTACGCCCCATCCGGCCGCATGTTCCTCTTCGAAGCCCCTTCTCGGTGCTCAATGGAAGCGCGGACAAAGGCCGTGTATGACAAACTTGGTGAACTTCTCAATGCCAGAAAACCTGAGCCCAATCGAGCACACGGCTCTCCGAAGAAGCTAGAAGACGAAGAACCGACACATCATCTGACGATAGGCATTCTTACATCAGTGTCTTGGCCAGAACTCGCAGGTCTTCAAGAAGCGTGGCATCAGTTGTATCCAGCGTGGTCCGATGCATCAGCTCCGAGGCGTCTGAGTGGTCACGGACCCGCTCATTACAGCCTTTCGAAGCCGGCTGAAGTTGAAGGACTTCCAGCGAAAGACGTTCAGCTATACGGGATATCACTCGGCAAAGACTCCGAGTCCATCGCACAGAATCTGTTTGCTGCGTTGCGGACGTGTGACGCGCTTAGTTGCGAGTGGATATTTGTGGAAGCACCTTCAAGCGGTGATGCATCCACGGAGCAAGACAACGAGGAGTTTGAAACAGTACTTGAACGTATGCGCAAGGCTGCTAGTGAGATAACTAAAGTATGAAGCTCAATCCTGCTCTACCTCAACTTGCCACGATCGATTGATAGAAAAAGGCACCAACCACGTAGGGCGCCAAAAGCCAATGCCGAACCATCACATGCATCTCTATAGGCGAGCACGAATAACTAGCACTCCTAGACATACTTCGTAACCAACTTCCCTTGGTTCGACCCCTCAAACAACCTCAACCATGTCTTCGGCACATCCTCAAACTTCGTATCAACAACCGTCTCGTTCTCCTCCCCAATCTTAATCTTACCCTCCTTCAACGCTCCAATAAGCTTGCCGACAGTCTCAACCGCTCTATCCAAGTAATCTATAACAATGAAACCCTTAATCTGCAACCTCATACTAATGACATTGAAGTAATTCTTCATCGGCAACGCTGCCTCCCCGTTGTACCCCGTGATCGCACCGCAAGCCGCGATCCGTCCATACCGGCTCATGTTAGCGAGCATATAGTCCAGAATCTGTCCGCCAACATTATCGAAATAGACGTCGACGCCTTCACCGCACGCCTCCTTGAGCTCCTGCTCAAAGTCCTTGCTCTTGTAGTTTAAGCATTTATCGGCGCCGAGACTCTCGACCCAGCGACATTTTTCGTCTGAGCCAGCGATGCCGACGACATAGCTGGCGCCAACGATGTGTTTGGCAATTTGTACGACCATGCTGCCTGTGGCGCCAGCGGCACCACTGACAACGACTCGTTCGCCTTTCTTGGCGCCCACGACCTCGACGAAGCCGTAGTATGCTGTGAGGCCTGTTGATCCCAGGGCGCCGAGGTAGTGCGTGATGCTCAGTCCGCCAGGAAGATCCTGGATTTTCCGTACACCTACCATGGGGTCTTTGACGTCGACGACGGCGTACTCGACCCAGTTGACTGTGCCTTGGATTATGTCGCCTTCGGCGTAATCGTTAGCTTTTGATGCGAGGACCTTTGCTAGACCTCTGGCTCGCATAGGGTCGCCGAGCTTCACGGGTGGGACGTAGAGACGTTTTGGATCGATTTGTGATGGTGGGCTGATCCAGCCGCGCTGAGCTGGATCGTTGGATAGATATAAAGTCTGGACTAGGATTTGACCATCTTGTAGGCTGGGCAGGTCTACGGTCTTCAGGTTGAAGGCACTGTCTGACTGTCCATAGGTCGGTAGGCCTTCAGGGTGGTTAGCGAGGACCCATTGGCGGGATTTGGTAGGGAGAGATGACATTGCAGTTGTTATGCTGGGTTGTGCCAAAGAAGCTGATAGCTGTACACTGCAATCGTGTTGAGGACTGTGAAAGCCAAACTCTTGCGAATAATTTATGAGGATGATTCGGATCGGACGGATCAATTCGTCCGCCTTGAATCTTCCTCGAGGAGTGTCTTGTCAATCGTGGATCTGTTTCAGCTGTTGTCCGGCTAGCGAAATGGGTACGCGACTGCTGTAATACAATCACGACAAGTATAGAGGTTCCGCGTTTGTAGAAGCTAGTGAAATGCTATAATCAGTACGAATAGCTCATACGACATAGAAAACACTCCTTCTTGAGGTTCAACGTAGATGTTGCCATTTTCATACACTTGGCACACGACGCTCGAGTCTTTCTGTTACTTCGTCATGCATGCCTCGTCTTCACCACTTTTTGACCCCGTTGATTCCTCACGATGTTGTCATATGTTTGCGTACCCCACCTTCGTGAATGTCCATAAGTGGAGTGTATTCAGCCAAAGTGTGCACATCGTGAAGTTGGATACTCGTAGGATATTTGCTTGTCTTCGGCAACGATATTCTGCCGAGGTATCTTTTATGTCAGGCGGAATATAAAATTTGACCACCCTATACACATAACAGCTGACAAAGCACATCGGTGAGCATCGTGCCAGGTCAATAGAATATTAATAACTTCTCCCACACAAAAGGTTTTCAACAGGGATGACATTGGCTGATCAGGTCAGTACTCAAAATCATCATCAACACCTTTACCAGCATTAGCCTTGTTGACCACTTCTTGCTTCTTGTACATTTCCACGATTGCACCAGAAGTCGTGGCGTCCTCGGGCTTCTTATCGTCTCTTCGCTGAATGAATCTAGGAAACCGCAAACTAATACCTTGTCCTATTTCGTCGATCGCAGCTCGATAACGTGGACTTAGCGTTAAATCAGCGGTCTTCACTTCCCACACGTATTTTGGTTCGAACCATACATCAGGTTGATGGGCGGTAACAGAGGAGTGACTGTAGAATGGTTTAGGCCTCTCAATGACAATATCCTGCAGTTGATCATGAAGCTCTTCCAGGATGGATTCGCTGAATCCTGTTCCGATGTTGCATACTGTTTCAAAATTCTGCGTCTTGGAGTTGTAGCAAGCCAACATGAAAGCTCCATACCAGTTTGTGCGCTTGCCTTTACCATAGTAGCCTCCAACGACGACAAGATCGATTGAGTCTCCGACACCAGACAGGTAATCTTTCTTGACTTTCAGCCAATTGCGTGAGCGCTTCGAAGGCTCATACCCAGACTCTTCTGTATCAAGCATTTTGACCATGAGACCTTCACAGGAAGCCTTCACAGACTCGTCAAGAAGGGTTTGAATCTCTTCAATGTCTCTTGTATCACCATACTGAGCAAATTGGAATTCACCCTTGACGGGAGTGAACGCTTCGTGCAGCAATTCTCGACGCTCTCGCAGAGTCTTGTTGACCAAAGCCTCTCCATTGTAAAAGAGAAAGTCGAAGGCGAATACACAGACCTTGACAGTAATATCCTGCGTCTTGACGTCTTTCCGCTTTCTGGTCATCAACTGCTGGAACGGAAGCACTTTCTCGGCTTTAGGGTCCCAGGCAACAGCTTCACAATCAAGGACAAAACTCGTGGTTTCTGGTTTAATCCAGGTATTGAGCTTTTCAAGAATGTCAGGATACTTTTTGGAAAGGTCTTCGGAGTTCCTGGAGAAGACTGCGGCAAGACCTTTGGTAGACATTGGGTTCTTGTTGAGATTATCTTTGGCGGCTGGAAATTTGGATTGCTCTTCTGGAGCAACGTAGTGTATCTGAGCTCGCTCACCATCATATTTGTATTCGCAGGTAAAATCTTTGCCTTCAAACCTATCCAGAACTTCAGATATTGACTTGGTCGGCTTGGCCAACATGGGCTTGAGAGGCACACCAGGCTGTAGTTTGCAACTTTCGTGCAAGTTGAAGATACCATATTCAAGCATTGCAGGAATGATAACCTCGTAGGACGGAAGCTCGCTGTAAACAGTCTTCAGGGCAGCCTCTCCCTTGGCCAGTTGATCTGTACTTGAGACTTTGCCCTTCTTTGAGGCTTCGTAGGTAACAACGGCTTGTGCGAGAGCAACAATTACCGTTCTCTCTGCCAACCCGAGTCGAAGCTTGCCTTCCAGAAACCGAACTATGAATTTCGCTTCTGATGGGCCGCCTTTGTCCTTGGTAATGTCAACTGTCTTGCTCGTGGATGATACATCAGCTGATGCCAGAATCTTGTTAATAGCCTTGACTTTCTGATCTTGAGAGCCATGACCCTCCATCTTGGCTATTTCTAGCAAACCTTGGTGCACACCTTTCACAGTAAGTGGCTTGGGCTTGAACATCTGACCTTGCTTGGATTTGCTTTTCGCTGCGACCAAACCAAGATCACCAATCTTACGATGATCGTCCTTGATGACAGCTAGCGATCTGCCGGAGCTTTCTCCAATGGCCTTCATGATCAATGACTCGCCAATGCCTAGCTCGATGCCAGCATAATCAGCTGCCAGTTTGTTCAGCATGAGTTGCACTGTCGGCAGTAGATCGTCGGGAGTGAGGCGGAGGACCTGCTGCAGGAATTGGGAGCAATACGCAGTAATCTGCAATCTTTTCGTTGTCAACTCGATCAGAGAGAAGGTCGTACACAATGCTGCATACGGAACTGGACTGCCAGCCTTCCAATCAGGGTATGGTGTTTGGGTCGTGCTCTGAATGGTGGCCTGGATCTTAGCAACCTGCTTCTTGTTGACTTGCTTTTCTTCCGCCTCGCTTAATGACTCGTCCGCCTCTGATTCAGACTCTGTCTCTTCCCCATCGGGCAAGGGTGTAGATACATCCTCATCTTTCGGAGCCGGCTTTTTAGGTGATACTAACTGCTTAGACGATTTGACGTCCTTCTGCAGAGGTCTCGCTTCGCTGGATGTTATCTTCCTCTTCTTGCTTGCAGGTCTTACATCTTCATCTTCGTCGTCTTCAGTCTCTGGCTCGGGTGGGGAAGATCTTTTGTGGTTGCCATTCTGTTGAGTTGACCTGAGCTGTACCTCGCTTTTTGTGGATGTGGATGTGGCTTTTGTTGTAGCCGCTGAATCCCTAGTACCGGCAATGGGGTTTTCTTCCTGTTGTTCCTTATCTATACCCTGCTGTTTCTTGGGGAGTTTCTTGTCTTTGGGCTTGCTATCGGATGACAAGGCGGACTTTTGGTTCTTCTGCTTATCGCCTGAACCGACAAAGTTTCTAGGCTATGTCAATATTCTGTTTAGGACAATGGAAGAGGCACTGACTTCAACGTAGACTGTCTTCCCTGCGCCATCGTCTTGGTTGCCAAAACCACGAAACGGTTGAAGGTCCAGATTGGTGAGGATCGAGAAGTGTTTGTTTCCGCTGTGCTTTGAAGCGCCCCGATCAGAACTGGACGATGAAGACTCAGCACAAAGGGGCTGATCAGCAGTTTCCTGGTTGCATGAACAGCCAGATTCATATAGGCTATACCTCAAACATCTGATCCTGCCTCAAGGCCTCTACATCCAGCTGGAAGGCGCGACTGCCTCAGACGCGAAAGAGACACGTCAAAGTACAGGCAGGCGCGCGCCATGACCTCATCAATAATGCTTTGCTGCCTTACTTTGTAGGCAGCCGCAGGTAGTCTAACAGGTTGCAATTGGCAGACACGGATCACGATCAGAAGCATAAAGAGGTTGCCCTGGAACACCAGTAGATTTCAGGTTTGCTATGCACGTTGAATACGAAGGAAGGTAGACATCAAACATAGACGCCTTTCGTTTTACCCACGGTTGCCAAATGTCTTGTGATAGGCACAAGTTTATGGTTTTGAATGGTATTGTTTTCAGCTCAAAAGTAAGCCTATTATCATTTATTGGGCTCAACGCCTGTCGCTTACTTCCCAGGGGTATTTCATAAGCCATGCACAGTTCAAAACATAAAGTGAGTTATCACAGAACCCGTCTTGCCCTCCGCCATATACCGTAAGAGCCACACTGCATTCCTGTGTGAGCCGATATGACAGTGTAGCTCATTACAGCTGGCCAGGTTTGGGACTCGAGAAATCCAGCAATTAGACAATGTTGGGTATCGTATGTATTATGAAGAGTGAAATACGTGTCCAATGCTTACAGCATCATAACGGCTGCAAGACCTGCGAGGCCGGCGAAACCGCTGGCGGCCATGGTGGCCATAGGAGCGGCACCTGCGGCAGATGAAGCAGCACTGCCAGCAGCAGAAGTGGCACTTGAGGCGCGGCTGCTTGCTGAAGCGGAAGCAGAAGAGACTGCCGACGAACCGGACGAGGCAGCACTGGCGACGGAGCTCGATGCGTTAGAAGCGGCGCTTGAGGCAGAATCGACAGCTGAGGAGCCAGAAGCTGATGCGTCGCTCGCAGCGCTGCTGGCACCGCTAGCTGCTGCGGTGATAGTGCTGGTGATGGCGCTGCCAGCTGAATCAACACCGGTGGAGATGATACCGAAGACCGTTTGGGAGGCTGACACAAGGCTGGTGATAGTGCTTCCATCAGTGGTGAGTGTAGTGTAGAGACCTTCTGTTGTGAGTGCGGCAGCACCAGTAATTGAGCCTGCGGCGCTGGAGACTCCAGATGAGGCAGCTGAGGCGGCAGAAGAAGCTGCAGAAGAGGCGGAAGAGGCGGCAGACGAGATGGCGGATGAAAAGGACGAGGCCACGGACGACGCGCCTACGACGGCTGAAGTAGCAGCTAGAGAGGATGCAGAAGCAGATGCAGAATTGCCTGGACATATGTTAATGGACTGGGTGCGACGAATCCTTGAAAGCACTCACCACCAGCTGCGAGAGTAGCGCAGTAGTCGTTCAGATAGGCGGTAGCTGCAGCAAAATCCGTACCAGCTGGGCACGACTGGGCACTGCAATCTCTGACGCCGTATCCAAAGTTGGCATTGCCGCATAGGCAGTTCGCATCGGTTGGTGAGGTGCAACCTAAGGATTGAGAGAGACTGAGCATATTGGTGATGCAAGTTTGCTAGGACAGTCAGTCAAGCGTCCATTGTAGTTGAGATTTTGACCTACGATGCATGGTGGGAGGCCACTCAGGTTGGGAACTGTCTGAGCCTGAACGGCGACCAGAAGAGCTGCGGCTACGACATAGGTCTTCATCTTGCTTGTGGTTGTGAGGTGATCTTGAGATGCTCTAGGTACGATGTTCAGGTAACTTTGGGAGCGTAGGTGAAGGACTCAATAAGAGGCAGCAAGTGAGTGGGTTGATCGGATTGATTGTTTATGTGCAGCGGGAGAAGGAAAAAGTTGGGTTGAACAAGAAAGAGGTTGGATATGTATGGGAAAATTAGTATTTGACAGGCACGGGTAGCGCAGCCAGTAGTGAGCGACAAGCCTCACATCATGGCAGGTGCAGACCCACTTTTGCTTTTCCATTTCCACTTCTACGTCTTACCTTCACCGTATGTGTTCACAAAAGTCAATCTTACTCGCCCTCCTTGTGGCTCATGAACAGCACCAACAGAAAGTGAAATCTTGATGGAACACAAACAGCGAAACGTCAAACAATGCAAGGACCAACCGATCTCCAAGCTACTGCCAAAACCCGGCACTATCGGCTAGGACAGGGGTGCTATAACCGCACTAACCAACACCGTACCTGATTTCTGTTCGAGCGCTGGCCAACCACAACACACCTCGGCCTTTTCCAATCTCCTGCCTGAATAAGTTGACTTACTTGCACAGGTGGACACTTGTGAAAAGTGCCTGGAGAACAGTATGTGTGATGGTGCAACACTAGCCACAATCTATGCTGTCATGCCCGAGCCACTTCACTTTTTCCTCAGTCTCCAGTGAAGGAGTTCTGATGAAAGAAAAAATCATGCAGTGCAAGCAAGAGCCACAAGCTTTGACTCAATGAGACCGTTGGTCCCACTGGAAGAAAACCAATCGAATCGTCCTGGAAACCGGGAAGGCGATCCGGCAGCTTCTAGTGACCAACAACACATTTATAGTTCGGTTTGTATGACATTAAGAACCGGTTACAGCGTCAGCTTCTTTAAGTTCTTATGCCTAACAATCGCAATCCGATGACATAAAGTCTAGACACAGGCACGATCTTCAAGGTGAATGAATACCTTGTTACATCAGACTTTTAAGCCCGAGCAGGTTCGTGGTATTTTACTCGACTATCACAGTAGAGTCACAGGTTCCTCCTACTCACGACGTCTATACCACAATCAGAGAAGGTCCCGCGATCATCGGGCCGGTTTTACTGACACAAGTACAACACTAGGTCTCACAAAAAGGCCGTTTGCATGGAAACTGGCTGTAATCATGAACCGCTTACCTTGATGACTTGGTTGTTTTCTTTCTGAAACGTCTGAGGTCATCGCCCTCCACCCTGAACTGCGTTCTTGGTCCACGCGATAACCGAAATCCTGCCAGCTGGCCCGTCGAGATGGTCAACCTGGCATGACTTTCCGAGGATCCAGCATGATGCAAACACTCTCCACTGCTGCAAGGTTAGTTACCCAGTACACAACAATCATGTCGAAGTCAATGTCGAAAAATGCCCAACGCGTTCACGATGCAACAGTCTTGTGCTATTCAGCTGCGTCGTCACCATGCTAACAGTTTTCTTCTTAGCTGAACGTGTCACGGTTAGCTGAGATTGCGACAGTCGACGCGTCTAGATCTGCAAACACTTCCAATTTGCGATTGTGGCTGGACGTTCTCCAAATTTCGCTTGCTCGGGCTTGGCAAGTTTGTGTGTGGCAGTGTCGATGCCCCTGACTTCTTCGTGTTCGAAGTTCGTGCTTCGCCAGCACTCCCGACTTCTGCTATTGGTTGCCAATGCACGTCGCCGTTTGCAGGGAGGCAAGAATCGTGTTGCTCCTCTACAGGTTCATCGCTTCTCATGCAGCGTTCCTGATTGCAAGCTTACCATACAAACTAGCAGCCTACACTCTCAATTGGTTTCTCAAGCAGCCAGAGAAGTTGCTAAGTGCAGGCGTTGGCCTATTCGAAACGCAGAGCGCAGTCCGAAAATATCCAAATCGCGGATAACTGCAAGGAATGGCACGCAATATGCAACTCGCGTTGTTGCAGACAACCCTTGCCTCTTTATTGGTGTTCATAATATTTACAGAAGTGACCATGATGTGAGGATGCTCCACGAATTGCAATCAACATGCGTAAACAGTCCCGAGGCAGGGAGAAGCCATATGCCGTCCTATCCTGCTGCTCACTTCAGTGACATCTGGACCTAACTACAAGAACCTCGGGTGACATATTCACCTTCGTCAACGTGGATGTTGAAGAGTAAGCCCCTGAACTTATTCATAAGATACCCTAGTCAGCGACGCATCGATTTCTTAGCATTTTCAACGCGTCATCTCCAGTAGAACCGACTATAATACTCAGCGACTTCGAACACTCATAAGTAGTAAACACGAGCACTTTCCCTTTGGCTCAAAGAAACTAAATAAATGACACGACAACCAATGACTCTGTCTATTTCTTGACCTAAACGCTATCGAATCCCGTACTTGCCCTTGTCGTTCTCCCATCAGTAAGAGCTTCCCAAGAGCGATGCCAGAAAACTGCACACACTATTACTAAAGTTCTTTCCGAGCAGAATAATGGTATCGCTCAACCAAGTCCTATAACCTTCCATATACGGTAACTAGCACGAAGTTCATCTCCTAAATCCCACATTTCCGAAGGTCTTTGAAAGGACTTCAAAGTGTCCTTCGAATTTCCCTGTAAAGTAACGTCACTAGCGGACACACCAAATGTTCTTTTGAGCAGAGTAGTATCGTCGCTTAATTGAGATCGCTTACCTTCCGTGAATGGCAATTAGCAGGAAGTTCGTCTGCCAAAGGCACATTTTCGAAGGACTTTTGAAAACTTTGGAGACACTTTGAGGTGTCCTCTGATTGGTGAGTTGGTTGATTCTCATCGATCATCATGATTTCGTGCTGGCATTCATTTCCTCTCTCTGTCGACTGTGGCAGGTGATCGATTGGTTCTCAAAACAAGTGTTTAATTACTAGTAGTTGAATAGGCCAAGTAGTATTGAGACGACAAGTATACAACTGTTAACTATACCGAGTATACTACAATTCTATTTCACTGCACTTTAGCACAACGACAAAACCCCATTCTACCTCTTACTTCCCTTCCCACCCCTCGACTTGCCGTACGTCTTACCACTCTTCGCCGCTCCTCCACCAATGACCGCGCCGGCCCCTCCACCCATCATAACCCTAACACCTTTCACTGGTAAGACACCAACGATCTCCTCAACTCTCCATTGCTTGATCAAATCCACTTCCCTACTCCATACCCTCTCTTTATCCATGTTCTTCTCATCAACCACCTTCGGCCCTTTATTGCCGAGACCGGACCAGATACCGACTAGCTCCTTTAGCGCCTTGCCCTTCTTCATGTTTCCTGGTTGAAGTTTGGCTTTGTATTTACATCTTCCCAATGCAGTCCATGGTGCGACTACTGGGATAGCAGCAACGAGTTCATCGCCTGGTTCGGGATGTGGCACTAGGAGATCGATGTTCAAAAGCTCCTGCATCTCGACTGCGGCCTGCTCCGCGTTGTCGCCATCTTCATCGTCCTCGATCGCGTCTTCTCCGTTCTGGGCCTGCTTAGCGAGCTTCTCTTGTCTGGCTTTCTCTTGGTCCGCAGCTTTCTGGTGTTGCGCCCTTCTTCTTTCTTTTTCGTGTTCTAGTTTGGCTTGACGGGCGACTTTGGCTTCTTCCTCGGCCTCTTTGCGCTGCTGTGCTTTGGTGGTTCCAAGTAGTTCTGCGGCTAGAGCGCGATCTTCGTCGTCTTGGAGGGCATATTTGGCTTGTCGACGTTTGGCAGCTTTGGTGTTGGCGCCACGCTTCGGTTGTGGGGGCTTTTGTTTTTGTTTTGTCGGTGGGTGGAGCGGCTTCATGCGGGACGATTCAGCGTCTGAAGTGGCTTGTGTAGTGGGTTGTGTTGGAGGTTCAGATTGTTCTTGTGATTTTTCTTCTTCTGCGCCTTCCTCCTCTTCATCGGCAGTTTCTGCTGCTGAATGAATCTGCGAAGTGTCGGTACCTCTTTGATCTTGTTCGTCGTCGGTCCTTTCAACCTCGACTGTCTGCTCAGGCTCCTCATCGTCCTGTTTAGCACGCGACTGCAATGGATTCGAACGGTGTTTTATCTCTCGATGCTCATCGTCATGCTCGTCTGACGCATCAGAATCGCTGTCTGAATGATCACCATCAGCAGCCTCATCGTCCTCCCTGACTTCTCCCTCTGCATCCTGAGCAGCATCCTCGACATCAGGCACTGCCTCATGATCTTCGTACTCATCATCACCGTCATCCTCAATGTTGAGTCCTCTTGCATCCTCGGCCAATGCCTCTGCCTCACCAGTCATCATGCTTTCAGTCCTCAACAATCTGTTCTTTCCATGGTTGGCCCTGCTAGATTCGCTAATGAGCCAATAGCATCCAAATCCAAGTAGTAGTTGACTAGGAGGTAGAAAGTTCTTCTGACCACGAATGACGAAGCCTCCAGTGGTAAGATATTCTCCGGTTGGTGCCGTCTTCGATACTTGATCAGAGTTCACCCACCATGCTGCCATGACTGCTTTGCTGTCCCATGCTGAAGAAGAGCATACCGAGAGTGCACCAGCTTGAGATAGGGTGGAAGGAGGTATCGGTGCATCGGGTGTTTGAGCATTATTCTTGATGATCACACTGCTAGCACCATGCAAGTCAGCGTGAACATAGATATCGCCTCTTTTCAAATAGCGTCTGTATAGCAGTTCGTTCTGCTGCGCATCTTTACCACCAAGAACAAGATAACCGTCCGATGAGATGAAGTAGAGGAACTTCTCAAACCAGAAAGGTTTCCGAGTGGCCCGTAACGTTTGCGTTTCCTGCTTCAAGCCTTTCTTCAGATCAGCTTGCGTTTTCTTCTCCATGCTCTTCAGTGCTTTCTCGCTTGCTGCGACGGTTTTAGTTTCTTTTTGAGCAGCTGTCTTCTTTTGGTCGTAGTATTGGCGGGCATTGGCCCAAGGCGTCTGGGCTAGGTCCACGTCAATGGCCAGTCTCTTCTCTTTCTCCGCCGGCATCTTTGCTTTGGCAAATTCATCCTCAGAATCCTCTTCGCTTTCTGTTCGATCTGCCTCATCATCACTTTCGTCCTCTTGCATACCAGGCTCGTCGAGTAGCAGTGTAACAGTGTTCTCATACAACTTCAGAGGTAGCTTGATCATTTGAGCAACCACATTATGCCTTCTTTGCTCGTTCTCGATTAACTTGCCAATATCCACCCAGTCCATTCCCTGACCAACGAGACCATTGACAGCAGCACAAGCCTCTTCAACTCTATGTGTATTTGCCTCGATGGCCTGAGCTTTACGTATGTGCAATTCCTGGACCTGTTGCAGACCAGCTAATCGCTTCTCATGTTCGGTCTTGGCTGACTCGAGCTTCTTGCGGGCAGCTTCTTCGCGCTCGGTGAGGCGGGAGGATAGTTTCTGCGATTCTAAGGAAGAGTAAAACTCATCGACGGTACGATTGAAGCCTTGAAATTCGAGCACCTTTGTGCCAGGTTTATCTTGAAATTGTGCAGGAAGGAAAGGATGAAAGTCGTCATAGAGGAGGTCATCCCTGGCAGTGTCCTCGGTCATTGTACCTTCAGCAGACGGTTCATCTGTTCTCGCCTGCTTCACCTTTGCTATTATGTAGCCCTTCTTTTCAGCGGCACTGTCAAAACTGCGGAATATTTCCCCCGCTTGGTTCATGGCAGTCTCAATCTTGGCCAGGATGTCTTGACTCTGCAGTACATCGTCCAGTTTTGTAGCAGAGTCTATGCCTTGGTTCGTAAAGACATGTTCGAGTAGATGAGGTGGAAACTCCGGGAAGCCAAGGCTCAATGCTTTCCTCAAATCGTCACCTCCTTTATGTCTCTTTGCTTTCTTGCCTCCAGTCTCTTGCGCAGACTTGAATTTGGCAGCTTGTTTTTCAACTGTCTCTCTTATCCGCTCAGTCGTGACGGGTGGTATACCATTGTAGTTTTGCTTCGAGTCTAGCACATATTTCGACCCGAGTTTGACATCGACCGCCTCATCACCTTCGCTGACCTGCCTCAGCAGTGCTAGAACTGTAAGATCGGCATCTGTAAGGATGATGTTTCCTGCTGCAAAGAACTCGAGGAACAGTCTATACTGGCCATCGGAGAACTTGATTTCTATCACTCTGTCTGTGCCGATTTGTGATACGCTCGTGATACGTCTGCTCTTCAAGTACTTTCGTAACCTAGTAACAAACTGGCTAGGTGCACTGGCAGCAGTGCGGGAGAAGGAAGTGAGGTGAGTCCGAAAGCCGCTATCAACCAAGAGCTGCTGCTTGGCTCCAGGCTTTGCACATTTGAACAAGAATATGCGGGAGGAAAGGTCGTAGATATTGGAGACTCGAAGCGTCACAAGAGCCGTACTCAGTTCGGCAGCGATGACCTTGACGTCCAGCGAAGAGAATCGCTGCTTCATCTTTGCTGGAGGGTATGCAGCAGAGTCAGAAAGAAGAGTAGGGATGTGTAGATCTGGACAACAATAGAGTACTGAACTGGCACTCTAGCAATCGCCGACTGGAATTTCCTGTCGCGCTTGCTTGCATGACGTACAAACGCCTCTACTATCGAGGGGTCTCAAGCCTGAACTTCCAGGCATCAGCTAACGTTCGGGCAGGCAGTAGAGTGCACAAAGTGATCAACTGTTGCCAACCACGTTCTGTAACATGCACAAGACAAGCAAACGAAAAACAAGAATTGTTCACTACTGTAGTCGCTGAGAGTAGGATGTATGTATCAAGGAAAGAGGCTTGATACAGCCATGCAGCGATTCCGTAACAGGTTCAGCATCCTCTTCACATAAACAAGTGATCATTTTGACGGGCAGATGAGTTAGGGCTTGGAAAATGGAGTTCGTCCCCAACTACCACATTAGGAAAGTGGAAGAACCCGGACGGGTTATGGGCAGCAGCCAAGCATATCTTCTCACAAATGGCAATGTATGGTCTTCCCTCCACGTCAATCGACCAGGGAGATGCCTATAATCTGTCTACCCCGTCCCGTGGCTAGCCTCGGCCGACAATCAAATGTCAATACACGCTTGCTCACGACAAGGTGACTCCAAATCGGATGCCTACCAGGCTGAGAGCTGAGGCGGTGCGGATGCCCTGCTTACCATCGTGTATTTCTTCGTGCAGAAATCAGTACGTCAAATTGTGGTTGACCAGAGAGAAGTAGGTTACGAATCCCTTTTCACTTTGAGGTGCCTCTAATGGTCCAGCTCCAGCTCTCCAGAGCATATTCCAAATCAATGCGTTTTCGAACAGATGCTCATGCTTGAGCAACTGCCCGGCCACTGGTGAGCTGGTGTGTCGAAGCTAGGCATGGCCTTGTTGTGGGGAGACTCCGTTCATTGGCCTTTGCACCGCGCTGTTGTCCTCGGTATTCTTCAATTCTCCTAAAATGCAGTGACTGTCACGTCTTCTCCTTGCATGCGCGCCATATTGGATACGTTCAACTCCGTAACCGCCTGCCTCTTTTGTGGTGTTCAATTCTGACAGCTCGTAAACCATGCGAAGATCCGTACTCCAGCAGTGAAACACTCCCATATTCTTTACATGGCCTCGACTCGTCGCTGTTTAGTCTTTCACAGATTCCTCCTCACAAACTCAATACCCTGCTTCTTGCCAAACTCCCATAAATTCTGAATACCCTGCTCGCTCAAATCAATATTCTTCATGTTCGGCGCATCCGCTGCAGGCGCCTTGCTGACTCTGCTCGCGACAATGACTGGATCTGTTTCCAGGACGATGCCGTCGTCCACGATCTCGTCAATAGCCAGCGTAACGAGGTCGTAGTTGTCGTGTATCGTGCGCTTGTCGGTGCTGTTCCTGTGGATTCTGTTAGTACACAATACCGTCTTCAGGGATCTAAACTGGAAGTACATACTTCAACAACAAAGACAAACTATCCCTCAGGGCCAGCACAACATTATACAGCAAGATCTCGTTCTCGTGCATGTCCCCCACAACGTATAGCATCACATCGCTCTCCATCTTGAACACTACAACCTTGTTGTCGTAGAGTATAACATCACTCGTCTGCTTGGCTGTCTTCTCTAACAGGCCCTTCTCGAATGCTTTCTGTTCTTTGAGAGTTCGGTAGGATTGCGTTGGCGTTGGGAACGTAGCGGATGTGTGTGGTGGTTCGTAGTATTTGGTGAATATCCGGGCGTTCTCTGGGACGCCGTCTGCGGCCAGGATGAGGATCGCGTTTATGCTGTGGAGGGACATATTGGGCGCCATGATGGGCTGGTTGTGCGGTGAGGGAGATCGTAGCAGAAGGGGAAAACTGTGTAGTGAATTGGACCGAGAGGAGACGTATGAACGGAGTCCAGTAGGTGGTGTATCGAGGTTCTGAAACGTTTAGGTGTTCGTTAGTTCACATGCCATCCTGAAAGGTTCGGGGAGCCATGCCTCCCGCGGGTGTGCTTGGCAGGAGCTGGTCAGTCACAGTGACTACAATATGCATTCGGAGGTTTTTAAAACAGCAAGGTCACTGCGAAATCACGAGGAGGGAAGCACAGCTTCGATCGGGCAATGTATTTCTATGAAAGGGTTGCAGAGCACACTATGGGTCGTGATTTACGCCTCCCAGTGCCGGTCTTCTCTATTTCTATTCAAACCACTTTACCAAGTCTGATTGTCCGTTTATTCCTGCCAGAACCCTGGAAAGCTCTGTTCTCGATGCAACTTAGAAGACAACGCTTACTTGCTTGCGCACCCGACTCCTGGCTTTCCAATAGCTATACATGTGTCCCCCCAGAATCAACGCCTTGAATCTTGAGCCTGTAGATCATACTAATACCTATGGCCAAAATTGCTGTGCCCATAGCCTGAACTGTATCCTTGTTCCTGCGCCGGCGCTTGTGCATAATGCAAATCGTGACCAAACTGATTCATCAACACCTGTTGTCCACCACGTCCACCTAAATCTCCATAGTCGTTGTTCGCTCTATCTCCGTGACCCGAGCTGGCAAATGTATTTGTGCGCTGTCCAGGCCTCCATCCTACTTCTTCTTGGTCTCGATATTGCTGGCTCGCATCGGTATAGGGCAGGTCGTGAACACTACTTTGCTGGCTGTGCCCACCCGTTCCAGCGTGCGTGCTGTTGTATGGCTCAAGCTTAACTTGACTCGTATTATCTCGCATCTTAGCGTATCGCCCGCTCCTGGTCTGGCTCATTCGTGCTCGGAAATCAACCACGATCATAGCAATCTGTGAGATGGCGCCAAAGACCACGAAGGAAAAGAGTGCCTTGTATTGTTGACATATCATTACACCATCGTTGTTACCCCAGTTCGAAATCGTGCAGCTATGTGCTAATGTACCATAGATGTTCCAGCCTAACAAGGCTACCGAGACGAGCCAAAGAATGAGGAGCGGGACGTTGAGGACCAGGTTGAAGAGTGGCGCAAGTCGAGTGCAGAGGTGGATGCATAGGGTGAGGGCGAGGCAGAGTAGTGTTAATACAGTTGTCAAGAGTATCTATGCTTGTGTAAGTACGGGCTGCTGTTGGCAGAGGGTCATACTCACTATAAGAAATGTCCATGGTATCTTGTAGTTGTCGTTTCTCAATTCTATGCAGAAGAAGGCCAGTATCGCAGCGACTATTATTGAGGATATGGCTAGAACGAATCGTACGCCGTGAAAGGATCTCGCATTGTAATGTGAGGGCTTCATCTTGGTCTTCGTAGGTGTATCTCGTGAATTCATCTTCGTAAGAGACCAGAATCAAGATGGAGTGATTCGCGTTCAGTGATAAGCGTAGGATCTGTAAGGTGAAACACAGGTGACGTTAAGCGAGCGGCAGCAATGTAGTGTTCTCAAACACGACAGCAGAGACTTGAAGAGACTAATTCACCTTGAGCGAGTGGACGTATTGGTAAAGAGATCATGCTGGTGGCTACGTTGCACGACCACTGCCCGTGGTGACACACCATGAGACGCAACCACCCACCGGCATTTCGGATCCCCACCAGGGTCTTCGTTCAATTGGGTTGGGGGTGCTGCCAAGAAGGGTTCCTGCAACCTCTTAAAATAAAAATAGACCACCAATTCTAACCGATTTAGGCGTAAGGTCAGGGCAATGTCTGCTAAAAAACCATCGCTGGGAAACAGTCTCCGGAAACTAGATTTTCACAGCAACATGTTTAACAAGAGTTGGTTTGGTCGATTGAAAGACTGAAGAACAAATTTAATGGTTGCATGATTTACTGGATGTTCAGATCAACGGAGGATCGTACCAAGCTTCTGTATCTTTGTTTTGGCTATATTGATGCGAGAACTAAACAACGAGCGAAGACTTCTGTGACACGACAAATAAAGGCGTGGCTGTTGGCAGCAACCAAATTGCGACACATCTTCGAGTAGTCATATCGATTACTCATTTGGGTTCGGTGTTTCCTCCGCCTGCTTATTCTTGTGTTGTCTATGATGGCGGTACATAGTCCTCTTCGCTTCTTCAAACAATAATCGAAATCGATCGCTACCTGCAGGCGCTGCCTTCATCTCTTTCTTTTGTTGTTGAGCACCCTCTCGACGCTACCGCAGAGGGCTCTCCTTAATTAGCGCACTGCCAGGCGTGAGCATGCCATTGCTCTTGTAGTTGGGACTTCCTATTATGCTTCTAGCAGGTGTCGCTGGAATGCCTCCGTGCAAGCTCATATCTGGCGTGTTTCTTCCGCTTGGTACTGCACTGTTCGTCAATGCCCCGCCCTCAATGCTCATCACGGCACTCTTGTTTGGTGGTTTCCACCCAAATCGGCTGCCTTTGCGATAGATGTCCTCAACCATCTGCTCCACAATTCCTGCATCTTCAAACTCTTGAAATTTACGCCAGAGCCGTAAAGCCATTCGTGCATCTTCGATACTGTCGTGGCCGTCGATCTGGGACATGTCCTCGGGGTCCTCTTGGATGTACTCCTTGAATACTGCCCAGGCTAGGTATTTCAGAGAAAACCGCCGGTTCTTGCCCGGCAGTAAGTACAAATTTTGTGTATCGACCGTCTGTAATTTCGGTACGTGAATGTTGGCTTTGCGGAAGTCTGATGCCAGGCCATGTCCCACAAAAATACATCCGAGATTCAAAAGCAGCCATAGCTTTTTATAGGCGACTTTAAGTGGAACAAGATTGTGCCTAGACATGCGTACGTCAAGATCACCAGGCTTGATTCCCGAATATTGTGTCTTGTAATCGACGATCGTGTCGAAAATGGTAATGTAGTCATCGACGAAAGGTTTGCCTTCTTGCATTCCGTTACCACGAAGGACGCTGACTCGTGCCAATCCGTTTTTTGCTGGTCGAATAGTTTCTTGTGTACCGTCCGCCTTCACGTCAATCTCTGCTCGTTCAAGTTCTACAAATTCAGTATCCAACGCGATCGGCATACCAGGCGCCGGCCTCTCATTATCCTCGAGAAGCTCACATTCTGGCGTTCCCGCAACACCATTGATGGTGTATGGTGAATATAGAAGACTGATGTCCATGTTCTCCTTCCAACGCTCATCAACTTTGCCATGTGCGGACTTGACTTGATATGCAAGAATGCTAGGCATTTTCCATGCTCGATCAAAACTGACAGCCTCGCGACTCTCGACAGGGGAGACCAGGAAGTCGTTGAACAAGTGCCAATCAGTGCTCCATTTATTCGTTGGGCTGTCCTTCCTCGAGGAGACGTCCACGTTGACGAGACTGACCAGATGCGGCTGTTGGCGTTCAGTCGTGTCAATGTCTGCTACAAAGCCAACCAGTTCGTACACAATGATACTTGACGCCTTGTTCCGGAGTTGTGTCTGCAGTTCAGTGCCCTCAAACACATATATACCTCGATTTTGCATCATAACGCCGACTTCCGTGGGCAACCAGCCAGGGTTCTCCCAGAGCGTATGCATAGCAGGATTGGTCAGGGCAGTGTTGAGCATGAGCACAAATGGAAGATGTTGGATAGACTTTCTGGTGGCAAGTTGCTGATATCTTCGACATTTGTTGCAGAAACCACGATGCTTGACTTCTCTTTCCATTGTCGCTTTGAGGATACTGCTGAACTTGAACATGTGGCTGCGCGGATTGTGCTTGGGGTCTATATTGGGGTAGAGCATGTCATGTACGTAGAGGCTTCCATGTTTGGTAGTGACGTTACCACAGTGCAGGCATCGGATAGCCTCTAAAGCTCCGGTAGACAGAACTTCGTCAATGCCATCCGAGGAACCTGCCATAGAAGCATAGTCGTGCGAAATTTGTTTAAGGAGGAACCTATTGACTGACTGTATCGTGTTGGAAAGGGTAACGTGGTTGGCAAGTGCCGCATTCTCCAGTAGGTTTAGGCTTCGTGCTTCGCTCAGAGAGCCGAAAGCGTGTAGCAGATTCGTAGCTTGACAATTCTGGCCTCCAGCTTTCTCTAGCATGTCGAACAGAAAGCCAAATTCACATAGCATACAGTTTGGTTTCACGCATGCGGTAGCAGCGTGTTGGATGGCAACATTACGTATCAGTGGCACGAACTTGTATAATTGGAGCAAAGCGTTGAGGTAGGAATTCTTGATGTGAGTCTCCAGACCGGAATAATCTGTTTTGTTATAGAACTGGAAGTCGAAGTCATCGACACCAAATCTGCTGTATTTGATCTCGACATTGCTATATTTGAGCATACGCTCTTTTTCTGTTTGGGCTCGACCATTGAGAAGTAGGCCAGCCATGGCAGCAATAGCTCCATCGGCTTGGGCTAGTGGATCGGCCTCAGGAAACTCTCGTGCTTTCTCGCTGAGAAACTTTGGCGCTGCAATAGTAGTTGGACCATGATCAGACCTGGTACTCTGTACTTGGTATCTGCGCAGCTTTGAAGGATTTTGCCAAGGACCATAGTGACCGAGCTCAGCTGGTTGCATGTAAGCTGTGGCAGCAGGATCGAGGCATGTTGGCGATGCACCCACGTCGAAAGTCATATGGCTGGGCCAGGCAGACAATAAACGGTCCGGATAGTATGGCATACCGATAGTGTTCAGTGGCTGGTCTTGCCAGTCTATCGAAGGAAGATTTCGTGGTGGTGGCTGGCCAAATTCAGTCTCTTTGCTTACGTTGTTGAACCTGGCCTTAGCAGGTGAACCCCAAAGGTACAACCAGCCACTCAGATCATTGACGACGAGAGCATCTCCAGAAGAAGCGATTTCCATACCCAGCATAAATTGGACGTTTGCTTGTCGCAGCATGACATTGACAGGGTTCATGAGGTCGACAACTTGCATCTGTCCAGTGTTTGATGCGACAAAGCTTGTTGTAGAAAGCTTTGGATGCAAACGAACGTAGGCTGCTCCTGCGTGGAAAGGGATTGGAGGCAAGGGTTTCAAGGATTTGAGGTCGTAAACGTTTGCTAGTGGGTCTACCATTGGAGGACCCATTTGACGAAACGACAAGCCACAGGTTACGAGGTAATCATGCCTGGCATCCATATCATTGACTGCGCCCGAGTGTGCCTTCCAGGTCTGAAGTAGCGAGTAGTTGTGAACATCCAAGACGTGGATCATACCATCATCAGTTGCAGCACAAATATGGCGGCATTTTTTGAGGATCGTGTACCTGGCTTGAGCAGGATGAATTGAAACAATGGTCCCTTTCTCGATATCAATCAGGTAAAAAGTGGGTTGGCAACCAGCGACCATGAGAAGATTGGGAGTGGCAGTGAAGGCCATGCAGCGCAACTCGGTCATGGAAGGATCGGAGAGATGCCATTGTGTTAGGGCTCGCCGGTTGATCAGGTGAACACTCTGGTTTGAGATGGATAGAACGCCCTTTTCGCATACGAGCAATTGTCGGACAGCCCCCTCTTGGAGGTGGGCTCTGATAGAAGTGTACTTCTGTAGCTGTGGACCATGATAAGATATGATGCGACCCTGTGCCGTTAGCTAAGACAATGTCAACACAATGGTACAAACAGGACTGACTTGATCTGTACCAATCCATAGTAATTCTTGGGAGTCGTCAAAGGCTATTGAAGAGGCAGGGGAGGGGAGGGCAAGAGGTCCAGCAGTAGGGGCCGCGATGCGGACAATCTCGTCCCAGTCTGCCTCCATGGGCTTCTAAACTATTTGATCGTCGCATGTGTGTGCCGAGGGCATGTAAGCACTTGCAGCTCACGATATTCTGCTGAATGCCATTGCAAGACAGTCAAGCGAAAAGAGAGAATAGGTTGAGATACTCTACGGATTCATAATTGTGGTAGTAGTTGTATGGAAAGGAACACATTTTGGTTGTCCTTTCCTCGCGTTCCAGTCTCAATTCCAGTTCCGTTTCAACGCGCTTGGCTTCGTTTACTTCAGGCCATTGCAATCAACATATATTCTCTCTGTCTGTACTTGCCACCGAGATCGACGGTTTATACCTGTTTGCGCTGACTAGTACTCAAACTTGATGCGTTTGAGCAATTTCATGCTTCCTTGCCGTACTACTGGTACTCAATAGGCGCTTTGTCGCGTACGAAGTGAAGACCTAAAAATTCGCTCGAGAACACGCAATCTTCTGTCCGCCTGGAACTATTGACCATTTTCTAGATTGCCCTGCTTACTGCTTTCTTCTGCAACAACTCTGTCATCATATTGGTGGTCGCAGACATTAAGCTCAGCCTGAAATACTGTGCTAGGAGTAAAGGTATCTCGCAAGAATTGATCATGGCGAGCTACGAAAGTGCGACATGCTACCATCTATCAATGTCATGAACTTTACTGACTTCTAAACCAGCTGAACACGCTCGTGATGCCCCTCAAACCAACCGTGCTCGACGGCCGGATCTCTCCTCTCTGAATGCCCTCATCACAGAAATTGCCCCGGAAGCACGAGAACGAAGAACAAGAGAGCACGCCGTGCCAGTTCCCGGAGACATTTCTGCTGCCTTCACCCAGTTTGCTGATGCTTTACAAGTCATGCAAAGAGAGAACGATAATGCAGACACCGATCTGCTTCAGAATATGATTTCTAATCTTCTAGCAACAGCCGAGCGACCACCGACAGAAGTTAAAGGTGTCGACGAGGAATATATTGCAAAGCTAGAAAGAGTCCCTATCAAGAAGGTCAAGTCAGATGCGGATTGTCCAATATGTGGCAATGAATTTAGAGAAGATCCTCATCCACTGCTTGTGCGCTTGCCTTGCCACGACTCTCACATCTTTGACATGGAATGCATCAGGCCGTGGTTGCTCCTTAATGGGACTTGTCCTCTCGACAGGGTGGACCTAGCTAAGAAAGAGAGAGATAGGAAGCAAAAGCAGCTTGACGATATCAAGAAAAATGCTGCTCCCGAGGACGAAGAAGAAGAGTGGGATGGTCTATACGGTTAAGCTTGATTATCCATGATATCGCTCCTGCGCCTCAATACCTGACAATCCCGAATTCGTCTTTAGTCTTCATCTCGTTGGGAGCTCGGCTTACAGAGTTGCATGATCTATTTGGTCGTTGACTTCTACTTCAAGAAAAGTATCAACAAATAGAGCTGAGACGACGGGGTGTTGCGTAGTCTGCGATGTCACAAAGCAGCACACGTGAATGCTTTCGTTGATACTGAGCGAATCTGGTTAAACCCCTCGAGAAAAAGGCAAAGGTTTCGGTGAGATGTCAGGTTGCGATGGACGAAGAATCTTCATGCGATGAGCTAAGTAATACTCGAACGTGTACGTGTTCTTGTTGCTGTCAATCATCGATGGGGCTTCCAACAGACGATCACGCCTCTTGCTACTTTGACAATGCAATAAGTCTGCATCTCTATAACAATTCTCATTGGCGACATCCAGGAGCCCCACTTGGCGGATGCAGACTTATTGCATTGTCGACTATAATCAGGACGTTTGTGCAAGGAAGCCTGACTACAGTCGCATTGAGGTCGTAACAGCCAAGGATGATTTTGTACTTCAAACCTACTATCCGTCGGCAGAGAATCATGTTCATTGGTAAGAATCTGAGCCATACCAGAACCGCCAAGCACTTCAGACCTTGGCAGTAGGCAGATCTAGCCACCGAAAAGAACACAATACATATCGCTCTCAGAAGTCGATATGATCGATGGTAAAGCCGCCTAAAAGCGGATCAAGCAGAGAGTCATTACTTAGTCAACAAGCGCACCAACGATGGACTTTTGATCACAACACGGGCATACTTCCTGCCTCAGCGGCGCGTTTCTCCAGATTCGGCCTAGCGTCTCCCATGTCGTTCCCGCCTTTTCTCAGCTTCATTTGTGCTCGGAATCAGTTTATATGATTCGACCTCTATCATACTATCTATAGCATCTGAAGAGGCTTCTTCAGGCACAGCACAAGAGACCTAGCATCTGGCACAACCGCGGACCTGTTGGATCCTCAGGACATAGCCATGATCCACACCATTGACATACTCATAGTGCTGACCGAGCTTTTACACAGAGCCGAATGGTAGCCAAGCTGGCTGATCTCGTAGAGATCAAGCATTGTTTTTGCATCAGCCACTACACGAGGCTTGGCTGGGTGATAGCTAAATCTTTACAAAGTACAAATGTCTCGCCCTTCTCATCGATAGTCTCTACCTCGTGGGATTTTTGGGTCAATACACCAAGTATCTAAGCTCTTTTTACATTAATCATGTACAAGTTCGCAGTCACTCTATCGCTGTTGACACATCTTCTTGCTACACTCTGCTTACCAACACAGGAATGTCCCATATTGGGCCCTGTCCTTCCATCTGAATTTGACATCGCGCAAACAGATGCCTTTCTTAATGCTACAGAGCTATTCCCTCGGCAGCTTGGGCTGCTGTTCTCTTCTGGTGTCCTCAATAGGACAAGCTCTTCTTTCTCGGTCGATGTCTTCTCTTCAGTGACAAACACTTCCATATACAGTTACAATCACGACGCCACAGACCTACATGAAGCCCTGACCACGGGTGAACTCACGGACAACACGCTCTTCCGTATTGGCAGTGTCTCAAAGTTATTCACGGTTTACGCGCTGATCGCGGCTGCTGGGATTGAGATCTTCAACGATCCGGTAACAAAGTATCTCCCTGAGCTTGCGGGCAATATCGGGAGGGCAGCTGTTGAAAGCATTATATGGGAGGATGTTACTGTTGGCGCACTTGCTTCACATCAGGCAGGCGTGGGAGGCTTCAGTAGGTACAAGGCTAGCATTCACGCGCACATACTAATATGGCCTGTAGTCCTGGAAACAGCTGCATGTACAGAACTTGGAACTTGCAACGTATCAGGTGCGTCATTTGCTATCTCATCACTCAGCTCACTGACACACTTTCAGATTTTCTCGCCCAGATGCGTGACAACAAGCGGCCAACCACATCTGCATTCGAGACGCCAATATATGCCGACTCAGGATTTGGTATACTAGCTCGTGTACTGGAGCGTCTGACCCGCCTGGAATATGGCCAGGCTATACACAACACTTTGTCCGTACCTCTTGGCCTGAACGCCATCTCTACCTTCAAGCCGGAAGGAGACGCAGTAGATGGCCTCATCGTGCCTGGCAGTCTTGCGGAGTCTTCATGGGGTTTCGACAATCAAATTACGGCAGGGTAAGTTTTTCCATCCATTTAACGAGTGTATCCACTACTGACTACGTTCGTAGTTCGGGGGGCATATACGCCAATGGTGCAGATCTGCGAACTATCGGTCTTTCAATTCTACACTCTCAGCTTTTACCACCAGCAGCAACACGACGTTGGATGAAGCCACTAGGGAGCGTCGCCGCCCTTTCAGAGTCCGTCGGTGCACCTTGGGAAATAAATCGTCTCGCCCTTCCAGTCACGTCAAATTCCACCCGCACTCGAATTTCTGATCTCTACACTAAGGCTGGAGGTCAAGCTGGGTACGGTTCAATATTTGCTCTGTCACCTGACCACAATATCGGATTCACGATAAATGTCGCTGGCGCCACTGCTGGCCGAGATAGATGGGTGCTCCGCGACCTCGTTGGTGAAACATTCGTGGTGGCTGCGGAGCACGCCGCTGCCGAATATGCTGCTCAAAATTATGTTGGAACATTCGTGGACGACTCAATAGATGGTACAAATCTTACTGTGACAGTGGACGACGACAAACCTGGGTTAGGTCTGGCGTCCATGTTCTGGAACTCGACTGAAGTGCGTACTGCGCTCGTCAGCTTACAACCGTTACCGATTCCAGCTGAGAATGTCACGGTACGACTGTACCCTACGGGACTTCAAGATGGAACGAGGAGGGTGTTTCGAGCGGTAGTGGAGTATTATCCGATTGAACCTCGTGCAGCAATCGAAGGTGGACAGGGCTTGTTCAATAACGGTTGTACAGCTTGGCTGTCGGCTGCTTTCTATCCGGATTCAGACTCACTGACATTGGATATTGTGGATGGCCAGCTAGAGAGCGTGACAAGTGTCCTGTTCAACAGTACTATGAGGCGAGTTGCTTAGGCCCGCTGGTTGATAATCAAGCTTGGAAGCATTTTCGAAAGAGCGGAGCACAAGAACTGATTGTCCGTGTATTAAAGTCTGTCTGCCGGACGTCATAACATGTCATTTAGATTAAATACATATCCTGTTCTTGTTCTCTTCACTGAACCTGACTAATCTCCATTCTCGCCTCCTTTCGCTCCGCTACCTTCTTCCTATGTAAGTAGTAGACGATGCCTCCGATTATCAGAGCGAGACCTAAAACACCACCGACTACACCACCAGCAATGGCGCCGACGTTTGTGCCGCCGTTGTTGTCGTCTATTTGTACCGTGCCCGAGGTGGCACTGACTGGCGGTGCTGTAGCGGAAGGCGTCCTAGGTGTGGACGTCACTACCTGGTTGTTCGTGTCGGGCGACGACAGGCTCGTTGTTGCTGTCGTTGTTGGTGTTGTCGAACGAATCGAGGATGGTGTCGTGGTGGTCCGTGTAGTGGAGGTTACTGTCCTGGTGGTAGTGCGGGTTGACGTGGTACTGCTTGGATAGTCGGTCGTTGTCCAGCTTGCGAGTACGGTGTAGGTAGCGCCGGCTTGAACGCTGTTGCAATAATAGGCTGTGTAGGTCGCTGAGCCAGTTCTCATGAGATTGATCCCGCAGAAGGGGTAGACCGAACCGCTGAGTTGTAGTTAGTACGAACATCCCGACATAATACTGCATCACAGGGTATCCACTCACCACACACGATTTTGGTAGTAGCATGCTCCAGTACAGGCCGAGGCGCTTTCGTATGGATAGCAACCCGTGTATGGATTGTTCACGTTCGGACAATCTGACAGTACAAACTGTCCAGCTGAGACAGAACAGCATCCGAAGTAGTTCTTGTCGTTGTTGTAGGCACAAGCATAGTCTCCGCCATCGTCATCATCGCATGTGAACGGGTCTGACAGGACACCGTCGAAGTAACCGCATGTCTTGGTCAACAGACTGGATTGTCGCTTTTGGAGGTCACCAGGATTTCGCCCTTTTAGCTCGAGCAGTCTGGGTCCTGGAGTTGGAGCTGGCGATGTTCCATAGAGATCGAAGTTGGGTTCGTGAAGCGCCGTATACTGCGAGATGGCAAGGACGTTGTTGAGCTGTGAGAATCCGAATAGCAGGGCTGTGACTGTTGTTGGGAGCATTTTGCCCAAAGTTTTGTCGACGCTGTTGTATGTTGTAGTCCTCGAGTTTGTGAGAGATGGTTTGAAATTTCACAACGTGTTGCCAATGTCCATAATTTTAGGTCCCAGCCTTGAACATCCTAGAAGTTCGACTAAAGAGGATACCACAAACTCAAGTTGACCTGCATATTGCCGACTAGGCAGTGAGCAAGCACATGGCTAGTAGGCGTGACAGGAAATTCACGCTGTAGCGAGAGCGGAAGTTGATAGCGCCATCAACTTGCTTTTCGAAATGAGCCATGGCTTACAGAAGTGCATCCTGCATGGCTTGATCTCGTATCTTCGCAAGCACAGACGCAGGCTAACAGGGGCCAGAAGTCCAAAGTCGACGACGACCCGGTCGACAAAGAAATGGTGGTGAGACGCGAGCCAATGTTTGAGAAGGGTGAAAGTGTGCTATTTGCGGCTGAGGCAGCTTTTGGGACAAGCTCGGGGATTTTGGGGCTAGCTCTCGTCAAAGCTCTGCTGCCAAGCGCACTAGTTGAAAGCTTAGAAATCGAGCTCTTCTCTTTGTGTGGTTGTGCTTTTTTCTACTCACACTGTATCTTCTTGCTCAGCGAGAAAGATGATCAGGGGACGATATTTACCACTGTATTTACGCAGAGCTTCTCGAAGTGACACGCATACAATTCAGCTCCAGTGATGTCGAGTGCTCGATCAGGCTGGAATTTTGAGGCGGACTTACGAACTCAAAATCGACACTTTCGATTCGGGACCATGCGTGGTTGGTACGACCCTAGTCAACAAGGTTGACCGGTCGCTGCAACACATCGCTTGTCCTGATCTGGACAGGTCTTTAACCAGCAGATAGATCAATTGAGGAAGCGTCCCGTGAACACGTTTCCATTGCCGAGACTACAAGTAAATTGTTCATTGGACAGCGAGTCATGCTAATGAAGTTAGCCATGGTTGCATTGATTGAGCAAAGTCAGCCTGACCTTTCAGTACTTGACATTCGAACCAGGTCTAGTGCGCGCCCTGATCGCCGAGTGAGACATTCACATCGCTTGCACATTGCTGGTGCGATGTGCATGCATTGACACCTGGCTTGCTGTGATGGTCATTCGAAGCAATAGCTACATCACGTGGTTGTACAACAACCCTGTTGCTCAGTTGGCTAGTAGTGCTCTTTCGGCGCAGCTTTACAGCGAGCATAACAACTACTCTCCATGATTGTAACGGGAGAACTCTTCACGAAAAGCGACATTGCTGGAAGATACATGCGACTGTCATGGATGGTGGCGCGATGACTACTCTCACACTATCCCAGGCAGTGTACCAATTCAACGCGGTGGAAGAGCAAGCTCGAGATCTGCTGGAATCAACGAAACAGGTTTTTGAAAATGTGCAAACTGCTCGTGGGTTGCGCAAACAGAAATCGCAGCAACTGAACGGAACAGAAAAGACTTGGATTGATGGCGTCCTTACAAACATGGACAAAACGCTCGACAATGTCAGGACTCTGATTGAACCTGCTCGAGTTGACATGCAAACAAATTTTGGAAACGTTGGCTTCGTAAATCGAAGTCTTTTCGTGCTTCGCGACTCACCCAAGGTTCAGACAAATCTGGCACGGTTGACTATCGCAAGTGGTAGCCTGGACAATGTGCTTGGAATTCTATTCTCCAGGCAAGTACAACCGCAACTGCCTATCACTCCGCAAACATTGTCACCGCAGAATTCTGTGCACTCTGCACCTCCGCAATGGCAACCACGAATGGAAAGGATTCACTCACAAGACGCTCTTTCGACCATTAGCAGATTCTCGGACCCTCCTTCATATCCAAGCCCAGCTCCATCTCAGCCACCTGCGAGTCCTCGACCTTTTTCTGGCGCACCGCTCGTCTTGCAAGAAAGTCCTCAGAGACTCTCTTCTACTGCATCCGTACCACGACCCTATAGTAGAACTATCTCCGAAAACGTGATCGAACTTGCAGATACTTCATCACAAATATCACATGACAGGCGCCAATCCTCCACCACAAGCTCGAATGGACAAATACCACAGTCTTTGTCACATCCAGGCCTTGGAATCAGGACCTACGAGCCACCAGCGACAACACTAGACGCAGAGAAGATACCCGTTGTACAAGTCAGCGAGCAACGACCCAGACCCACAGCAGCGACCGAACGTGCGATCTCCCAACAATATCAACAATTTCGACATAACCGACACGAGCCTTTACATTCAATAAGTTCCCATACTACTCACGCACCTCGAGATAGAGACGAGTATGCGCCAGAACCACTATTCACTCAACGTCCACCAGTTCGACACAGTCAGCAGGTAATACCTCCACAACAACAACAACAACAACAAGGGTTCTATTCACCTAACCACCACCACGTGCAGGGACATGATCGACAAGGTCCTCCCGATTTCGTCCTTCCTCGAAAGCCATTAACGCGAGAGAGCCAACAGTATCCGCCTGAACCTGTCTACCCACAGAGTCCGCCTGTCAGAGCAAGTCAACAGTATCCGCCAGAAGTGGTGGTGCAACCTCGAAATGAGAACTATATGCACGTACCGGAAGTTCCGCAACATTTGAGGTCGAGGATATCTGTTAGTAGTATGAGCACGTTGTCACCTACTGAAACACAGAGGGTGGACAAGCATGTTACTGGGAGTAGTATGTCCCAGATGTCCTTTTCGTCGAAAGCTAGTGGTGGTGGTGGTCGACGAAGGGCTTGGTTGGCATATCAGGCGACGCGATGATGATGAAGAAAGGAGAACGTACTAATGGGCTTAGTATAATTCATAAGCATTGGTACTGCCTCTTTTACGGTTCTGCAATTTTGCATATAGGTAACGCACACGAAGTTTCCAAGCTCGTGGCTTTTGGGTATCACGCCGAACATCATTCAGAAGCTCGGACCGTCCTACTATAGGTCCGCCATGCCCTGTGGCACGATCACTGCAGCAGGATTGACCTGCCTCGAATTGTCATCTCTCATCTTGAGCAATGCCGGCGTGACAACCAGTCTACCAACACTCCTCCTTCCTCCTTGTCTGCTCGCGTCCTCCGAGCCCCATGCATACGCAAACTCGGCCGGCTGACTGAAGATCGTAAGTCCGACCTGTGCAGCACTACGCATGATCGCTTCCAGATTTTGAGCCACGGCTGCGGCTGATTGGCCAGGGTGAAGCCACGGTGCAAAGGCGGATGAAAACTGGTGTGCTGCAGCTCGAATTGCCAAATCCTCGCCTGTTTCGAGCTGTGATGTTGACGTGTTCGTTGGTGCATTTGCTTCTGGTCTGAGATAGGCTGTAAGTACCCGCCATTGCGCGAAAGCCTCAGCTGAACCTGTACACTGTCAGTCGGATGCTAGCATAGCTGGGTCAAAGAAACACACCTGGCTTGTTAGTGTGAGATGCGGCTCTGCGTCTTCCTTGTGCCAAGCTGGTACATTCGACTGGCAAGAAAGACGACTGCTTCATATCAGAAACTGAGATATTTGACACGATATGTTGAGCGAGAGCACGCTTAATGACAGAGGTCGGCTTGTTAGTTTGTCGAATCAAGGTCAAAATTGGAGCTGGCAGATCCTGATTATCGAATTCTTCGATTTCTTCAAGAATATCCGGACTCAGACTGGATTCGGCTGGGTACACATCAGCGTACAAGTTCTCGACATGGAGCTCAATTTGGTGGAACAATGTCCGCACATTCATGCGCAGAGTGTCGTCTGCCACTGGCTGTGGCAGATTGCTCATCCAGCTTGGAAGTTTTGCGCCTACCCCAACTGCACCTATCTCTCTAGTGCGGACCTGAGTGTAGTCCTTCTCTGCTGCGCCTCCCATGGGTAAGAGACGGGTACTGTTGCTGCGACGAGCATTGTGGTTGCGCTTCCTCATGAAGAACCATGTTATCAGTGCGGCAAGCAGTGCAGCTCCAATGGCAGCTCCAACTGCGGCTCCTGCAACAGTTGCTGTAGAAATCTCACTCTTTGAGGGTGCCGAATTTGCGCCGTCACTGAGAGCGGCCTGAGACGAAGTACTTGAGGCAATGGCTGCCGTGCCGGTTACTGCTGTGGTGGCAGGACTAGTCGTTGCTGAACTATATGCCGTGCTGGTTACTGCTGTGGTGGAAGGACTAGTCGTTGCTGAACTATATGTCGCGTCTGAACTGCTTGTAGCAGTGGTCTCTGCTGACGACGTTTCGTAAGTACTAGTTTCGGTAACATTGGAAGATGAGTTGTTGGCTTCTGATGAGGCCACATTTGTGGGAGCTGGAGCTGGAGTCCCTTGATTGCCGTTAGGAAATTGACGTCTCTCCATATCTCTACCGATCATGTAAACGTTTTGATGTGGTGAATCGAGCACTTTTGAATACGTTGGTAGGGACTAAACGTCCAGAGTCTTCGTTGTTAGTGAACAGTAGAAGATTGTACCTGTCAGCTAGAAGCAGACCTCAGTCCAAGAGCATAAGCGCAAGCAGATCATTCTCGATCAGAGACCGTAAGACCACCCTCATGCATGCTTCTGCACGGTCAGCCTTAAGGTCCACTTCCTGTACTAGTACTTATGGACCCCTTTAGCGAACGTGCATGAGCCCCCAATTCTCCTAGTGAAACTTTATGCACGTTCGACCTATCTAGCGAGCTTAGCTCCTTCAGCCCACCACGTCGTGACAGGGTGTATTTTCTGTACCGAGATTATTGGTTCCTGCAATCATCAGACGACCTTGAGATGAGCCTCGCCTCGTTCAGCGCTCATTGTCCGTAAAAGGGAATGGCTTGTGTGACACGGGATGGGTCTCGACACATTCGGACGGAGGGTGAGGCTGAACAAGAGCTCGCTGTTGGTGTCGGTGTCGCTCCCTTTCAGCCGCTCAACGCACTGACACGTCGCTGTCGCTTGATCGGATTTGACGACGTTCGCTCAGCATGCTATTGAACATCTCAACAGAATGTTTGATCGAAAGCAGCCAAAGGTCATTTACATGCCGCATGGAGACGCGCCTGCTTCACCAGCCACAACGATGTATCGAACACCGTCGTCGGCGCATCCTTCGGGCAGCAACTTCCAGCCAGAGATCATTGTCGGAATTGATTTTGGTATGACAGTATGTAGCAAACCAAGACATTAGCCGTGTCAGACTATCTAACGAGACATGTTCAGTGTACCGGCGTTGCATATTCCATGGCACCGGACTGGTCACGTCCAACAACCATTCAACATTGGCCAGGACGACTCGGCCACGAGAACCGAAACAAGGTCGCCACCACCATAGCTTATGATAGCAGAACTAGCAAACCCGCGTCGTGGGGCTTCTTGGTGGATGAAGACGATCCTAACCTGGATATTCAACAGTATTTTAAGCTCTACCTCGATCCAGCACATGACGATGAATTTCGTAATGCACCAAATCTGGACGATGCACGAAGATGGTATGTTGACTACCTACGGTGCATTTACCATGCTGTATGTCAACATTTCGATGCAAGCTATCCCAGGTGGAGAGGTAAGCCCATTGAGTTCCTTTTCAGCGTACCGACGACATGGAGGAATCCTGGTATGATTGGAGAACTCGAAAGTTTGATACGCCATGCTGGGTTTGGCGAGCGACCAGAGCAGAAAGTGGTCATCTCTCTCACAGAAGCCGAAGCAGCTGCCGTATATGCCAGTAAACAACACTATCAATCAGGAGAAGTCTTCCTTGTTTGTGATGCTGGTGGAGGCACGACTGATGTCAACGTCTTGAAAGTGGCCAGTGACACCATGCTTACACCACTGAGCTTTGTGGAAGGGTCAGCAATCGGCTCAAGTCTGATAGACTACAAAATGGAGGAGAGGATTCTTGAGAGATTGGAAAGCATTAAACACCATCTTCTTGATGAACCAGTCAGGATTGCTGAGCAGATGATCAGTAGTGGCGGCAGGTTCGAGACATTCAAGTGCTCTTTCGGTACGGAAGCATTGCAAGTCCTGGACCTTCTCATCCCTGTGCCTGGTCTTCCACAAGGTAAAGACTTTCCTCAAGCTGGTATCTTAGATGGTAAGATGGTCATTACGAAGCAAGAGCTGCAGAAAATCTTCGATGAACAGGTCGAGAGAATATGCGACCTGATTGACGGAGAGCTTCGCAAGCTGCAGGTTGAGCATGCCAAGGAGCAAGTATCATATATCGTCCTGTCTGGTGGTCTGGGAAGCTCGCCTTATGTGAGACAGTGGATTTGCAAGCGATATGAATCTGGAACATTCTCAAATGCTCGAAATTTGAGGGTACTGACTGCACTGGAACCACAACTGGCTGTGACGCATGGATTGGTCATTGATCGGGCACAAGAGCTGAAGAGTGGTGCTGGAATCTTTCTTGAGCGTTGTTGCCGTAACAGTTATGGGGTCGTGGTTCGTGCTCCTTACGATCCGATAACACATATGGGCGAAGATGTAGTGATAGATCCTAGGGATGGTATGAAATGGGCTGAGAGACAAATCGACTGGATCATCAAGCAGGTACGTGCAACAACTTCATTGGAATTTCAATCTAATTGCTATCACAGGGACAAAGAATAGACGCAAGAGAAGGAATCAGGCAGCAATACCGGCTAAAGCTTGATCTTGGGAAGGAGCGACATACTTGGCGTACACAAATTGTCTGCTCGTCCTTACCACCGACGCAATTGCCGAAAAGCATGAAATGGGAAGGAACGAAGCCAGTTTGTGTTGTGGAGTCGATAATTAACGGAGCAGACCTAAAGCTCAAGAATAGGCATTGGTGAGTATATTGTTCATCTGAGCGACATCTACAAGAGAGTTAACACTTTGTGACAGGTACAACCTTGGCAAACAGTACATTCGAGCAGACTTTGCTCTGAAGATCTTGATTGGTCCAGCGGACTTGAAATTCCAGCTTTGGGGTAGAGACAAGCAGCTGAGCAAAAGTCATGACCAAATTGCAGTGCAGTGGAACCCATTGAATACACGAGAAAGTGTCGCCATGGATCAGAAAGTCGAGATGTATAAGAGTTATTGAATGCGTCATCAGAATCAGATCAGTCAAGCGCCAAGTCAGCCGCAAGCATTGCTCCTCGTGATAGATGTCATCAATCCAGCCAAGTTTGCCATAACCATACTGAGCATAGACTGCAGGACCAGAGTCAATACAATCGGCCTTGGCAGGGCCAAATACCATGGACTCGACCACAGAGTCTTGATCTGTCACATACACCAGGTATTCTTTTGCTACATTGTACAAGTGTACAGCTCTCATGCTGTAGCTAAGTTAGGCATGGTCTTTGAAGGCGCCACAGAGTTTGAGTCGTTTCTAACGGTACAGGACGAGCGTGGTACGAAGATAGGCTTCGTATCTCCAGGGCGAGTCGAGAATGTCAGAAAAGAACGTGTTGAGTTCGTTTGCAGAGACGAAGTTGCTGCAAGCGTACGCGAAGACCGTGGTACCTCCATTCCTGGTGAAGGCGGCTATAGCATCAGCTAGCACTCTCACTTGGCCGTCAAAGAGATCTTGCTCGTCGTCTTCCTCGTCGTCGCCCGAGTACTGAATGAGAGTAGGCTCTTCCACAAAAAGGGCCGAGAGAGGCTCGTGAGGATTTTGGACCAGATGTCTGATTGCATCCTTGAGAGTCGTCGCTCGAAGGAGAACGCAATTCTTCGAAAGTTCATCAATGAAGTCGTAGTAGATGTCCCGAGGTCAGAGTGATCTTCCAAGGACAAAAGAAGAACTCGCTTCATGTTGTTTTCTATTACTATTGGTCGTAACGTGGCGATTCAATCAGGTGAAGATTCCAGAAAGTTCGTTTGGACAATTCTTCTGATGTAATTTGTGGGTGCTTGCTTGCTCGTGGAAATTGTTTTTCTGTTTCGTAGCCGGTACAAAGCCAGCTACATTGCAGGTAGTATCACTAAAGAAAGTGCAATAACATGGGCCAGGCAAGCTACAATACTTCCGAGACCTGTGAGTGAAAGTGACCGCGCTTTCTTGAGGAAACTGTGTCACAGGCGGATGTTGTGCTCGATGTTGAGCGTCTGGGTGATAGAATAACCATGCCAGTTGACACTGATTGTCACCGATTTTGATTAGCCAAAGTGTAGGAACACTTGAATAGCGTACGACTGAACCAACCAGGATATCAACCACTACCAACAATCATTCCATTCACACCACTGACACCCTTACCAAGCTGACTAGCAACTACAGTGGCTCTCCTGACAGCTCTACCGATAATGCCACGCACACCTCCTTCCTCAAGCTCGATCAAGCCACCCATAGTACAGCCACCAGGAGTACACACTTTCTCCCTGACGAGAGCAGGATGTTCTCCATTCAGCACAAGGCCAGCAGTACCTGTAAGTGTCTGAGAAGCCATTAACTGTGCTTCAGCTCGAGGTAGACCCATTGCAACAGCTCCATCGGACAGGGCTTCGATCATGAGTGCCACGAAGGCAGGTCCAGATCCACACAGAGCAGTTGATACGTCCATTAGATGTGGTGGTAATTGTACAGTCCGACCGACTTGGTTGAACATCCATTCTGTCAAGGCTTGATAATGTTGTGGTAATGGAGGATTCGAGGTCGCAATGACTGTCATGGATTGTCTCACTAGAGCTGCTGTGTTAGGCATGACACGACAAATTGTACATGGTTTCTGTGGTTGACTAGACCCCTTGGACATGGCCTCGGCGTATGGTGTCCCATATAGTGCCTGGCTGATCTGGTCGACTGGAACACCCGCGCAGATTGAGATCAAGAGTTTTCCAGCTAGAGCTTCTTGCATGCCCTCCTCTCCAAGCACATTTGCAACCATATACGGCTTGCAGCCCAAAATGACCACGTCGGCCTGCTGTACACCTCGAAGGTTTTCCTTCTGAAATACTTCCACGTTTTCTGTGGCTGATGGGATTTCTGCTACAGCTTTCCGTATCCTCTCGGCGCTCTGTGACCGCTGCACACAGGCGACAAATCTCGTAGGTGTTTGGAAAAGATCATTGTTGCCGTTAGACCCTCCAGATTGGTGTGCGCTTTTCGAGATACTGTCAAGTATGCCGCTCAGGATTGCAAGTCCTAGATTTCCACAGCCTAGGACAGTCAAGGTTGTAGATTTGTTACCGTCCATTGTGTAGGGGGCAATCCCTAGGTGAAGTAGTCCAATGGTTACTCGTATTGTAATTTGCCAACTTGACAGTAATTGCATACTTTGGTCCCCCACGAAGGAATCCTTGAATTATGGTGGAGACACGTTCGGTCCGCACTCTTCAGGTACCCGAAACGCTCATTTCACATGCAACTTCGTCCTTAACGACCAATGTACATGCATATTCACAGCATTTTCAATTATATCTCGTCGACAGTGCGCCGACGATGCACTTTGGCCGTCAGAAACCGCTACCAAACCAGTTTCGCGATCTAACATAACGTGAAACACCTTCACCTGCTCCAACCACATAAACAAGCCCTACTGGAAATCCCAAAGATATATTCCTCACACATATCTCATCACCATGGCCGACCCATTCGAAGTCCGCCTACGCTTCACCAGCCTCCTCACCCACCTCTCAGCATCCACAACCTCCAGCATGAAAACCGCAACCTACGCCCTCAAACACCGCGACATGGACGAAGACCTGCACTCCTGCATCCTAGAATCCCTAGACTCAGGCTCCACATCCATGAACACACGCGCCAACATCATGTGGTTCCTCGAGCACTTCTGCGACATGGCCATGAAAGAAGGCAACGAAGGACACATCCCCTACGTTGACATGGTACGGCGGGATATCCTTAAAATCGTGACAGGGGTTGTGGGTGGAGACAGAAAAGGTGGGAATGGGATGGGTGCCAATATCAAGGTTGCTAGGAAGGTCGTTGATACGTTGAAGGTTAAGGGGGTGCTGGGAGAGGAACTCGTGCGGAACATTGAGGCGGATCTTAAGAAGAAGGAGTATGAGCGGAGTAAGGGTTTGACAGAGGAAGGTGGAAAGGACGAAGAAGAAGAGAAAGCTGCGAGTCAGGGTAAGGAGAGAGACCGGAAGCAAGAGCATAAAGACAAGTATGCTTCCTCGAGGCCGAAGGAGAGCAAGAGTAATGGCCACAAAGTTGATAAACGAGCCATTGAGCAGAGGATTGAAGAGGACCGAGAGCGGAATAAAAGGCTACGAGAAAGTGTATGGGCTGTCAATGGAGATGATGAGGAAGAGCTCAACAAACTCTGGGAAGAGACTAGTGATCTGAACGACGATGACTACGCGATTGCCAGGGAAGAAGCTGACGAAAGGGCTCAATTTGCTAGGTATCATAGAGCACTTTTGCTGGAAGCTGGTCGGTAACCATGCTCCTGTGGTGTGCTTAAAAAAATCACCTGATCTGTTCGGAAGCATTATAATATAGCCTGGATAGAAGCTTATGGTCGTGCCCTCTTCGGCATGCTCACTTCCAGCTCTCCTACTTCCTCTTCGTCATCATCCTCAACGACAGGCCGCTTCCTGGGTATTGAGGACTCGCCATTACCAGTCAATCCTTGAGCACTAGCTTGTCGTAGTGCAAAGAGCATTAGAAGGCCTTCATACTCATCTTCTTGGCCTCGCGCACTATCTTCGAGCCCGTTGTATTTCTCCTCCGTATCTGCTTGCCGTAATACGTCTTTGTTCTTTCTATAGATCCGCTGTTTGAGAAGTACCCGCCACCAGTAGTATATTCTGTCGTTCACATCTTTGTTGGTATGTTTTTGCAGCTTGAGCTTGGTAAGGCTTGCACCACCAGTGCTGCGATGAGAGAATGGAATCAGGGACAGAAGGTATAGTTCCGTTAAACGTGCAAATTGTCTTGGTGCGATTTTGTTCTTGGTCCGGATCGAGGTCAAGACTTCTAGGGGCAACAACACAGCTGTGGGTACTCTTTCAATCCGTTTACTGCCGGCCGGTTTCGAGGCGTCGATTGCGAGATGAGCAGCTCGAAATTGTGGTTCGAGGACCTTCCAGTCGCATGAGTCTCTAAGCTGGTCAAATTCCTCACTAGGGTCTTCGACTGTCAGCTCGTAGATCGTTTGATCAGCTATGACTTCGTTATAGATTGCTTGGTAGAGCTGCGAGCCATGGCCTGATTTCTGGTAAGGAGGGAGCAGGAGAAATTGTGATACACGTAGGCGAGAGTCAAGCTGCTTCGGAGAGATTGAAGGAAGATTCGGGAAATGCTCTATTATACTGCCTCGGGTAGCTTGTGTTCTTGAGACGGCATATCTCCAGAAACGATACGTTGTCGAGTAGCCCATGAAAGTATACGACGACACGGCTGCAGTGGAAGGTGTGGCTTTTTCATAGACGAAGTAGACTCGCCATCTGTCCAGGCTCCAATCGACCTCATCTAGGTTAAGCAAGGAACCAGCTTCAATGTAAAAAAGGACCAGGATCTGAACATTGTTGACCAACTGCTTGACTTTTGGATCGAGGAGGCTGCCAGCCCAAACTTCAAAGTCTTGACCTTTCTTGGAGTATTTGTGTACAAGTTCACCAGGTGGTGTCCATTGGACTCTCTCATTCTGTAATCTCTCGTCATAGTCTTGCTGGAATGCGGACGCGGGGAGGAACTCTTTCAATGTTCTGTTCAAGTCGAGGGCTTGTGTGGATTTTACACCAGGGAACTTCTTCTTGTATGAGATATCGACGTGAGGAGAGCCATCGTGGGCTGCAAGCTGTATTCCAATCTCGAGCTCCTTATACCCAAAGATCTGCTCCGCTTCGCCAAAGATGGGATATGTGAATGTTGGCGAGAATTCAGCCACTGTTTCGATGCCATCTGATCCGGGTCTGACCATGGAAAGCACGACGGCATCATTGGCAGAGACCGACCCTGTACAGTGTCAGCCATTTTCGAGTCGGATTAGACGTGCCATACATTCTTCTTCGGTTGATGCCATTTTGTTATTCAATAATCCCGTAACGAAAGACTTCCCCTGTATGGGAAATAGACACTGCACACAATCAATGTTCAACACATTCTGCGACAGTACAACACTGAGGAAAATAATGTACTCTGGATAATGCGACTGCGATGGTGAGCACGCGTGCTGGACACGAAACGCGTCACGGGCGTCTTAATTACACTGAAGTGTCCGCCTAAGAAAGTCAAGCTCGGTCGCTAAACCTGCCTGGCAACTCCACATTTTCTGTCGTCTTCAACTTTGTTTGAGCTGTCATTCAGTTTAACCATCTTCCGGCCACTACCTGTTCTCCTTTTTGCTAGCTGCGATGAACAAGCCAGCTTACAGTAACAGAACAGTATGCTGCCACACAGTGTTGCTGCTGCATCTGTATGTCACAGAGATCACAATGAGCTACGTACTCTTCGATCGCAACATGACCATGGTAGAAAGTGGATGAGCTCTGTTGAAAGCTCCTTCTCACACTATCACTGATCATCCACGTAGACCAAATTTGTACCACTGACTTAATTGACATTCTGTACCGGCTGTCGACAGCGTTTTTGCTGTGGAATTTGCCTGGCCTAGTCTGCAACCCTGGGACTGTTCCACATGAAACGTGCTTGTGAGTAGAGGTGCTCCCTCCATATTGCCAAGAAGGCAGCCAGGACCGGAGAAGAACGCAGCATTATCACGTGCGGGATTGTCGAGTTGTATTGTCCCGTGTGGAGGAGTCCTCACCCATGTTGCAAGATGTGCTCTCACTGACCACGTGACGTGGTTTTATAGATGAAGGACGAGATTAGCTGAGAAACAGGATTCGGTAATATGTGCACCGTGGATGTGTGGCTAAAGTCAAGAGGTTCGTCGACTATTCTACATCTGGCTGGGTGGTTGCGATGTCTCGATTTCAGCCTTCAACGTTTTCACGGCTTGCCTCAAGCGTCATTCAGAAATACGATTCGACGATATCACTAAGTACTATAGCTATATTAAACTGCTAGTCTACTTCCCCAAATTATTTAGACTATCTATAGAGATATTAAGTCGAACATACACTTATATCATACATTACGTGTAACGAGTACAGGCACGAGTGATCACTTCCAAGGACAAGCAAGCTGCTATCGACCTTTACGGTCGTCACACTCGATCATCTCGATACGATCACGCTACGTGTGTCAGCACACGCCGACTGCTACAATCAGCAGGCTGTGGGCGACGACATTGTTCTCTCAATAAGCCTTTGAGCGATATTTTTGCGGAATGATGAAGACTTCTAGCGATTCAGCTCCGAATGACAGACGGAATGGACACACGCAGAAACAAGGGTGGAGATCGCCGTTCAATAGACAAGCATCGAAATTGCGTTTGCTGACGAGGCCGTCGAAGCAGGTCGGATTACGATGTGCATGGCGAACACATTCTATACTGTTGTTCGGCTACAGTTTGGATAATAAATAACTATTGAAGAGCTAGGCGGGTGCACGACAAAGATGGATCAGTCGCTTTGGTACTCTACGCATTATACGTGCTTCTAGCTGCCTCAATTCGCCTGTTCGTTCTACGGATATCATTGTTTTATAAGAGGACGATCAGGTGCAAGTCGACACGCATGTAGCTTACGTAGTGAAATAGTTCAAATCGTATAGCGAGCTTTACTTACGTGTCATGCGAGTCGATGCAACCATCTTCTTTATCTGTTTTTATACCGTAAGGCACGGCCCATCAAACCTCTCGAACATACCAGTCCCGGTAAATCCTGCTGGATACACAGTCAATATATACCTAATACGCTTCTAACACGATATTAATATGCATTCAGTGCCGTGTTGACACATGCTTGACACGTGGTCGACACGTAGTCGACATAGTGCTAATGATACCTTTGGCTCTATGTTGACACGAGACTGACTCGAGGACACAGATGACGGGATGAATCGAACCCGTTAGCACGTAGAATGACGCTGTCCAGGCAGCTAGACGATACATAACGTGGAGCATACGCATGCTTGTTTTCTGGTGTAGAGTCGAGGCAAATAACAGGATCCGCGCGCCCCTGCACAAGCGTGATGATACGTATGTACGTACGTAGTACGTAGTTCTGTTCGAGTACAGTTGAGCCATTTCTTACCTGATCTGGAGGACCGCATACGTATTAGGTCGAGTTGTAATGCTGTCATTCGAAGTAATAAAACAGGTTAGGTGCGAGGCTGAGGAACGATGGGTTAGAATACGTATGTTAATTTTCGGGTCTGTGTAAGATAGTACCGCCTCGAGTCATACGTAACGGGCTGTATGTTTAAATGTCTGCGACCTCAAGCTGGTATTTACGTAGTAAGGCTTTGCCGACCTCTTCCAGCGCCTTTGATCGTAGAGGCACAACCTGTAGTTCCAAGACCAACAGTCTCTTATCACCGCTCAAGAAGACGTGACAAATGCTCATTTTGTCACCTCACCTGCAAAGGATCCAGAACCTGGACATTCGTCCTGCGATCCACGAGCACCCACTTTTCTTCACCCACATAGTCCTCCAACCCAGTCTGGTCGTCCCATGCCTCTCTGATCCGTCGACTTGTTTCCCTTGCGCTCTTGACACAATCGTTCACACCGACACCACCCTGCCACCAGGGTCCCAGTACCTTAATCCTTCCTTCATAATCTTTGACTAGATTCTGGTGGATTCGCGCCATAGCATCCCGATAGCCGACTTGATACTGCGGAATTGCCTCTCGTTGCAGCCGTGCTTTGGCCAACATGGGCTCTTCGGTAACTTTGAGGTGACGCTGGATGACTGACTTTGCCATTTCGATGGCAGTCTGTTCGTCTGGCAGATCCTCTTCTTTCCAGCCGCTCCACCAATGGCCACCAATCATGACGGCAAGTTTTGTGCCGCTCGCAGTATCTTGTCCAACTTGAATGCGCTGCTTCGTGCCTTGTTCCATCAATCTGCGAAGTGAATCTGGATCGAGCTCGGGATCCTCCTCGCCTTCCTTCTGTTGCTTAGGCAGGTCGACAATTTCTACAAAAGCATCTTTTGGACCGCGAGGTCCTGTTGTTTCGGAAGCAAAGATGACCCCGAGAGCGCGTTCAGGGTTCTGCTCGACAGGGACTGATCGAGGTATGAGGTACCCAAACCCTCGAGGGATTGGAAGATTAGGGTTCTGGTAGTACAGGTTGACTACCATGACATTGACAGACTTAGGACAGCCATTTTCGAGACTACTGATGAGAGAAGTGCTAGGCACGGATTTTGTTGTATCGGCTTTTTCAGAAGGCTGCAAGAATTGAGCTAGGACAGCAGGAGACAGAGTGCAGATGGTGTAGTCAAACTCTTTCGAGCTTGATGGCTGGCTAGATGTCGAAACCGAAAACTTGCGGTTCGAGGAGTCGAATTCGAGCTTCTCAACTTTCGTGTTTGGCCTCAGAGTAACGTTTGTGTTGGATTTAAGGTAGTCCAGGAGGAAGTCGTTCAACTGACCAAGACCCCTGACGAAACTATAGATGCTTGTTTTGGACATCTGTCGTTGGAGGAAGGCAAAAGATTCCTTGTTGCCAGAGTCGTCCTTGATCATACGGTTCATCAGCCGAACAGTGTCGAACGAAAGCAAGCTCCGCGATTTAGTGATGAGCTCAAGTAACTCTATGTTGATCCCATGACCATCGGCAGTATCTCTCTTTTCAAGATACCAAAACCTAGGCATGAGTGTGCGAGCACTGAGGTTGTAGATATCTCCAGCGTAAATGCCATGGTACAAAGCCGACACCAGATTGTCCGCAACTAGGGCTCCGTATCTTCTGGAAATGAAAGAGCCCACCGACTCATCTCTTGTGTTGGAGGAACGTTCGGCCACCCACGTTTCGGCAAATAACTTTGAAAAGACACCAGAAAATATAGGCTCGGAAAGTAAGGTGTATAGATTCGAGAAGATGCCACGTTTAGGATTGGGCATGCAGACTAGATGGTCTGGGTAGTAGAGGTAACGGTTTGTGGCAGAAGGTTGGTCGTTTGGAATTCCACGGATAGCTTTTGCAGCATCTCCTACAGAATCCTCACCACTCAACCGGTTGAGCTGAAGCAATACATTAGCTGGGTTAGTCCAATTCGAAGGATGAACCTGCTTACTAGTTGTAAAGTTGCTCGACCAGAACCTCCCAGATCTGACCGTAGCGATCTTGGGCCCCATTCAAAGAGAACGGTACCATCGTCGACGTCGATATGCTCGGAGTCAACCCATCCACCCAGCTTCTCCTGCTGCTCAAAAATTGTGATTTTCGCAGAGGGAATGTCCTTGGTTAGATTGAAGGCTGTAGCAAGACCTGATATACCTCCACCCAATATTGCTATATTCCGTGCATGATGATTGGGGCTCGAATTCGGGGTGTAGGTACCCAGTGCCGAAGCCTGCCAAACATCATTCTGCTGTAGCGAAGACGAGGTAGAGAACGATCGGACAGGGTGACAAGGCCACAATTTGCGTGGCCGCACAAGCTTCAGTGAATTTTGAAGACTTCCATGTCGACATGCAAGGTGCATCTCCAACGAGGCACCAGCATGGGTATTGGTCTACGAGGTGAAGCCGTGTAAGGTCGTGCTGGCAGGGACAACGCAACGTAGCTCGGAAATTGGAAAGTTCAGATCAATGACGCACTCTCCACATAGTAATTATTGGTTGTCCGCTGCAAAATGCGGCCTTCGTTGCTGCTTTCTGTACGACTTGCACAACCATTTACTTCATACACTCCAAGTTCTGTGCATTCACGTCCCAGTAGACCCATTCTGTTGGGGATACGAATGATATCCACGTTTGAGGACACAAAAGACGAATGAATCAATAGAAATCGAAATTGAAATAGCATAAAGAAAGGGTATCTGTCTAAACCTACAACCATGTCCATATTCTTCACCCACGCTCATACGATCGTGCCGACCATGAACCTGCCTAATAAGTTCGCGGTCTTCTGATCGAACACTACTTCCTTCCGAACAATCTTTGCCACATGGGAGACTTCATGGGGCTTTCGTCCATGTCAAAGTGCGACCTAGGAACGTCAATTGTAGGCTTGGGCTTGGGGAGCCTCTTGTTCTTGTCGACTTCGCTGCCATTACGGGTATGCGTTGCCTGCTTCTGCTTCGGTTTGCTCTCATCAGACTCCTCGCTCGGTCGTGCAATTTCCCCATCTTGTGCTTTGAAGCCCTTCTCCACGTCACCGTGTCGTCCGTTGGAAGTCATATCTTTGTTCTTGTGCGTGAAGGTATGCCCTTGTTGGTTTAATTTAGGCGATAGAACGCCCTTTCCGAAAGTTGCTGTACGCGGCGTCATGGCTCGAACCACTCTGGTCGTGGTACGTCGGATGGTCTGTCTAACCTGCCACTGTCGCTTCTTCGCAAAATAGAATAGAATTGCTAGAGTCACTGCAGACTTAGTGAGCTTTTGTCCACGAGAGGACGAAGGCTGGCTGACTTACCTCCTCCGATGACAACAACGGCTACCACGACTGCTATTGCAATAATGGCGCCTTTACTCAAATTGGCTGAACTGTGTGAAGCGCCATCCGCACCATTTCCCGAGTCGCTCAGATTGCTGTTGTCGAACCCGTTTGCAGCACCACCATCACCAGACTGAGCACTGACTGTCAAGGCATACAACCACAATGCTAGCCAAAAGTGGGTGATACTACCACATCGTATGCGATGCATCTCTATGCAACTGTGCTATCACGACAGCTTTGATCGAGGGAATGAGGGTAGCAACGATGATTCTGTGAGCTCTCTGTAGGCCCTAACTTTCTCGTGCTGTTATGGCTCAGTAGTACGGTAGTTAATGTGTTTGTGTGGGACACGAAATAGGAAACTCAAGGGCCACAAAATATCACAAAAACTGAACAGTGTCACACTTTCGGGACTCACCTCACTTTACACAATGTGACTTGAGACAAGTACAGCGGTTCCAATTCACGTAGCTCGTCTTGCGCTTACAACATGAGCGGGAGCTAAGCTTAGGACGACAATGCATAGGCTGGGAATTACCACGAGTAGATGATTGGCCGTGGTGGTGGCCGTGACCTTTTTTGTGACATGTCCAAGACGAGCAAATGTCTATGCTGGGCACATTGTGAAACGACGTCTTTCTGTTGCCGCCGTAGGGATCAAAAGGAACTGACGAAGAGGAGACCTGAGAAGGGTCAAGATGCGTGGTTCTTGGCGTGATGGGCGCCTAAAGAGAGCGAATCAGAGGACAGAAGTGGCAGTGACCATCGCGACCATGTGTTGAGCAGCAGATCACCACCGGCTTTGTGGTCTCAGCATGATGGGCTCCAGGCGCCGCAAGCCGATCCTTCTTTGCTTAAAAAGGTGGCACGACCCCATGCCTTTCAGTCGTCTACTCATACAGACGAACGATTCAAGGCAGCAACCTGGGCGTGGTCGCGTTTGAATCAGAAATAATTTGACCAGAGAAAGTGTTAACCATGGCATAGATTACACTTGAGAGTACGAGTAGGACAAATGCATTGTGCTGCTTCCTGTCCGTCTCTTACAGTCTGTACTTCCCTCTTAGTAGTCATGTCTATATTTTCAAGTCAAAGATGCAATGCTTACTAACAACGCCGTGAGTTTAACTTGGTTGCCAATGCAGAGTATTTGTCTCGCAGGAATAGATGAGACACAATGTTGTGTAATGGTGAGGTGATATTCCAGCCACGTGAAAGGTTTTGTAGCAGACCCTGTTCTTTTTATTCTTTTAACCATGCAACAGCTAAAATCTCCGTTCTTGGCTCCATCCCCATCTCAGGCCATGTCGCTGTCAGCTCGATGGACTGAACAGCTTGGTGCAAATCATAGCAAACTCGAACAACCATCGACAGAGTCGGGAATGCTCGAAGTTGTCGACCCCAGAGTTGTCACTAAATTGGATTCTCTGGCAGCGACAGACTTATACCGACTCAACCGATACAATTGGAAAAAATGACAGCGAGAGGAGGTAACAGGTGCAAGAAGACGTTGCTTATGCAGTGGTCTATCTCGTCACAATTGGCCACCAGCCTTGACCATCGAAATTCGCAGAGTGGATTTATAAATTAATACGAGCAACCTCAACGGCAATCGAATCGCGGTGCAAGGGTCCAGCATCCGAGGCTTACAGGCACTAGTGAGACTTAGGGTCTCTTCTCCGCTAGCGCAGCAAGCTTTCTCACAATATTGGTCGTTTCTGACCACGAATCTTGCACAATACAACGACTATACATCGAGCCCAGTTTGCAAGCCTGGCTCTATCGCCAGTGCTGGAACATGTCCCTGGTCGAACCGACTAGTTCTCATCATAGTCGAAACTGCTCACAACGCTCACGATGCCGGCGTAACAGTCCATTAGGACGCCGCCATCGATCCCTTCGGCTGTACATTTTCTAGCCGAAGGTCTTCTAGATGTCGGAAACCCTCCAGCCTCAAACAGCTTCCGTCGGCACAAATGATTGGGTCATTCTTCTACCAGATACAGATCACGTTCGTTTCTTTAAATCTTGCGACTGGGCTGCTACACGACTGGGACCATACGACAATTGGAGTCTAGAACTTCGATTGTACACGCTGCAAGCCTTTGCCGATATACGGCCTGTCTGCATATACTGCTGATTTTTACAAACAATCTACATAGACGATGACTGACACGCCGCAGGGGAGTTCACCGTGTAGCCATCTACAAGGCGGCATTCGTCCTGCTGGCAGACAAAACACATCCAGGGCTGATGGGATCACGATTCGAAGATGTCTATCCCGAGATAGTCGGCGCTATTGACCCGGTTTTTACACAAGCCGAAGTTACGAGGATGGCATCACCAGTCATCGATCTTCCTCTGACTGTCGAACGAAATGACTTCTGGGAGGAGACCTTCTTCAACGGCAATTTTGTTCCCATCATGCTACTGGATGGTGGTGTGGGCGAGTTCGCCAATAATGTCCAGCAAGTGACAAAACAGATCCTAAGTGAAAGACGTACCCAAATGTTCAATCTCATGTCAGCTTCAAAGGACCAGTTCACAAGCACGAGTGTTCATGGACATATCACATCTTGCCTCAACACAAACAGGTTAGACGTCCCATTTGCTTGCCTATGGGAGGTCGACACCGAAAACGATGATGGCAACCATGAGCTCATCCGACTTGACGGGCTGGGTTTGGCTGCGACCACCGAGGTCAATCAACGTACGAAACTTCTCGACAACATAGGCTTTATGCCTCTGCTTGCTGCCGCTCGAAAGAAAATAACCACGATTGCATTTGACAAGAGCTTGGGGAGTATGGACTGGGAAAACGTGACTTGGGGAGGGCACGGTAAAGAGCCGCGGTTCCTTACCTGTATTCCCCTTTTGAGTGGTGACCGTTCTTACGGGTTCTTGCTTGTTGGAAACAATCAATTGCGACCACTCGACGATGGTCATCACCAATTCATGGCGGACCTTCAAAACTATGCGACTTCTGCTGTTGCTGCTACAGTTAGCGCCGACGAGGCCTTGCAAAGAAACCAAAAGTTACAGGATCAGTTGATTGAAACTGAGCGCCAGATCAGATACATGGCTCAACATTCCGATACCGGGATGGTACAGCTGGGGCTAGATGGTAATCTCATTTGGGCAAACGAGCACTACCGATTCATGGTGAATCACGAAGACGAATGTAAACCACGTCGAACATTCATCGACGAGGCACAACTTTTAGAAGAGGATCATATTTATGCTAGAGAGGTGTGGCAGCAAGTGTGACAGGGAGAAAAGGTTAAAACGGCGGAATTGCGACTAGAGAAAAAGTATCAGCCTGCCATTGGCGAAGGCATACCCATGACTATAATCTTGTCAGCAGTTCCCTACATGGTATCAGGACACGTTAAGTCTATAGTGGCATGTTTGACGGAGGTTAGCCGATTGAAATGGGCTGAGTCGTGGCAAGCACAACTAGCTCAAAATGCAAAGGAAGCCAGGACACGACAAAGCGAATTTACCGATGCAATCTCCCACGAGGTAAGGACTTTGTTCAAACGTGGTGTTTTTTGTCTTTTCACGACTACGCCGCTAACTTCTAGGTATAGGTCAGGAATCCGCTTTCTGCTATATTACAACTCGCAGACGGCATCGCCGAATCCATGACTCACATACAAACACCAACAATGGAGGACTACAAGGGATGCGTGAAAGGAAACGTCGAAGCAGCAAAAGTGATCCTTACTTGTGCGTGTCACCAGAAGAGAATTGTTGATGACGTACTCTCTCTTTCGAGAATGGACTATGCCTCGCTTTCTGTGTCACCAGTGGCAGTGAGCCCGGACAAGATTGTCCATGAAGCTCTACAACTTGTCAGGGCCGACGCGGCAGCAAATGCCATCTCTTTACACATGGTACAAGAGCACTTCTCGGACGCACATATTGTCGACCAGGTAATATGTGATTCCTTGCGCGTGGTTCAGATACTAGTCAACCTGCTCTCGAATGCCATCAAGTTCACTAAAGAAGAACCTGCACGAACCGTGACTCTCAGGTACGGAGCCACGTCGTTGGACCCTCGTGCGGTGTTCAGCCCACAAATCGTGTGGGCTCCGTCACAGGAAGCAACTCATGATCCGACACAACTTAAAGAGTGGGGTGAAGGCAAGCCTGTATGGCTGGCTTTTACTGTGCATGATACCGGCCCCGGCATGACTAGAGAACAACTCGGTCGTGTCTTCAAGCGTTTCGAGCAGGCGACTATCAGGACGTCAGTTAATTACAACGGTTCAGGACTTGGTCTGTTCATCTCGCAGAACTTGACGAAACGACAAGGTGGTGAGATTGGGGTTGATTCGACTCCAGGGGTGGGCAGCACGTTTGCGTTCTATATCAAGGCACGTCATGCTGAAGTTCACTCGGAGCATCTTACACTTGATGGCGATGCCGCTTCAATCGATATCAAGCCCGTGCACCCGAACAGTAATGGAAGTGTCAAAATGCCTGCTCGAGTAAAAGGCTCTAGCAAATCTGCCTCTAATAAGACTTATAATTTGCATATACTCCTTGTTGAGGACAACATTGTCAACCAGCAAGTACTACGCAAGCAACCTCAGAAAGCTGGATGTACAGTCTATGTGGCCAACCACGGTATAGAGGCTCTAGGTTTCCTCCGCAAAACGTCCTTGTGGACTGAAAATAACGGCTCGGGTTTCCATCTGGACGTTATACTTATGGACTGGGAAATGCCCGTCATGGACGGACTGACGTGTACCAGAGAGATAAGGACTCTGGAGAACGCTGGTCGATTTGCAACTTATCCAGAAGTCCTTGCGGTTACTGCCAATGTCCGGTCAGAACAAGTTGAGATAGCCTATGCAGCCGGCATGGATGCGGTGGTTCCGAAGCCGTTTGTGGTGTCAGAATTGCTCCAGAAGATCTCGGAACGCATGGCAGACAAACAAAACAGCTAGAATGCACTGGGCTTTGGCGCCTCGAAAATTCGTCAAGATTCGTCGAAATAAACTAGTGTGAGAGGCTATGGGGCATCCGAATGCCAGTCGTCATCGCTATCGATCTCCACTGTGCTCAGAAGATTTTGCGACCTCATAGATGGCAGGACGCCGCTATGATTCGTTTCCCTCGCTCGAATGCCGGCCTCGCTGAGTCGTCTCTCCGTTGCACGATTTCTTCCTACGAGGTCGTCATTCATGATCGAGAGTCGGCACTCGGACGGAAACATGCCTGAAATGTGTTTCGTACGTGTTGGACTGGTAACGAGGAGCAGGAGAAGTGCACCGAGCTCTGGATTGTAGACCAGATCTTGCAGCACTTCCACTGCGGACTTGCAGTCCTGCACGATATCGTGGCCTTCGAAGAAACTGATACTGTCAACGATGCAAGAAAGGACAGTAGTCACCGGAAACTGCCGAACCAGTCTAGTGAAGGTTTCACACAGTGCTCGGAAGTTGAGCAGCTCCAGCTGTTGACGAAGGCGAACTGAAACGAAGTCAAGTCGCACAGGACAGAGGCGCAATATTTGTGTTATCAAGCTGCGCATCATGCCGCTAGGTCCTCGCATGGCATCGCTCATGGCTGTGTGATGTCCGCAGAAGAAGTAGATAACCGTGGCTTCTGGTCGATCTTGTAAGCTCTGGACAAGATTACTACTGACCAGCGATACGGCTGAGACATGACGACTGGACACGGAGGACAACTGAGTCTCGATGAACAATTCTGCTGATGTGTCTGCAGCCTGCCATTCCCTAAATGCGTCATCAGTAGTTATGCTCAAAGCTAGCTCAGACTGGGAAACTTCTGGAGTTGATCGCAGGATCTTTCGGCTGTCGAATAAGGGATGCTCTCGGCCGATGTCCAGGATTTCCAGCATGTCATCGAGAGTCAGAGCGTTGGCAGCACGTTCAAGCTCCTGGATCTGCTTCCTCAACCTGCTGATGTCCTTCTCTTTCTGACTCATCCATTTCGCAGTACTGTTCGTGTCTGCTAATACTTTCTTCATCTTCTCGATCGCGTCCTTACTAGCTTGCTGTGCACGGCAAAGCTGGACCATCTGGACCCGCATTTGTTCTTGCGACCCAGACATATCAGTGATGGCACCACCTAAATATGACGATGAAATGTACGAACAGCATCCTGTAAAATACTGGAGCGACACCAAACGCAAGAAGCTTGCTTACACAGACCACAATCACATTCACGACGACTATCCGGTAGATAAGGAACGCGCCATCATCTACAGGAACAACGAGCTCATCTTCTCTCCAATACCCAGCGGATGGGCAAGTAACGCTGAGATGATGCCTGAAAAGGATATCGGCCTGCTCGCTGATCGTGTCTTCGCTTTTGTCTTGCAAACACGAACATTTGGTAAGTCGTGCTTGTTCTCTCCATTCGATACTACAATTGAAATGAGTGCCGCTGTCTGAGCTCGAGATCCTGTTAGAACCCCTTATGAGAGACCACGCATACCTTCACTGAATGTCTTTGGCTTTGGTCAGTAAGGTCGATCTTGTGCTAATTGTGATTTATAACACCCTTGTGGCTCTGGGCATTGTCACCCATCAAGACCCAGAAAGAAAGCCTCGACAACCTTCAACTGCGGGATAACGGTTTCAAAGATACGATACAAAGGCTCGTAAATGCACACTTCAGACAGTCCTCACTCAATACAGATTTGCAATACGATGTCGTGCAGGGTAAAGGCAAGAGGCTTATCGTGCTACTTCACGGAGCGCCTGGCATAGGCAAGACCTCGACAGCAGAGAGCGTGGCAGCTGCTTGTGGCAGGCCACTGTTCAACATAACATGGTGGAGACCTTGGACTAACACCTGTCGAGATTGAGAAGGCTCTGAAGGAGATCTTCCGCTTCGTACAGCTCTGACATTGTGTGCTGCTACTGGACGAATGCGATATTTTCCTTGCACAAAGAACCAAGAACGATATCGTGCGAAATGGCCTAGTCTCGATATTTCTACGCACACTCGAATTTTATACAGGCGTACTCTTCCTGACCACAAATCGAGTAGGCGTCCTAGACGAAGCCATAAAATCGCGACTTACGTACACAGCCTATTACCCACCTCTGGACGAGAAACAGACACAGAACATCTGGAAAGTCAACTTGAGACTTCTGAAAGAAAGAAACAAAGAGCTCGACGTTGACGAAAAGGCTATTTTGAGGTTTGCCAAAAGACACTTCAGAGCTAATGTAGAAACCAGTTCTACATGGAACGGAAGACAGATTCAGAACGCTTTCAAGGTTGCTACAGCACTTGCAGATTGGGATGACCAGAGCATCAATGATCAACAGCGTGATGGTGGAGCGAAAAGGAGATCAAAACTCCTTCCATCGCACTTCGAAATCATTGCGCATGGCACACATGCTTTCGACCGATATCTTCGAGCGGCAGTCGGCTACAACGATGCTCAGAGAGCTTACAACGAGCAGGTCAGAGACGATGAGCATCAATTTGAAGCACATCTATCTCTCGACACCCATGATCATAGTCACAGTTTGCCAGCCGAGGACTACCGTCGAAGCGCTCCCTCACTGTCACCGATGCAGACCTATGGCAGGCCTTCCAGCAACATGATACCCCAGCAGTCCCTTGACCCAGGCCATGGTCAATATGCACTACACGCTGACGTACACAACACAGTCAGCCGTCGCCGATCCTCAACACACTGGCAAGCTCAAGCGAGTCATTCTCCACAACCCACAAATACACAAGCTCGTCAACGCAGGCTCTCGAGCAATACCCATTCTGTCCCGAACCTGCAGACATCCTCCCCTCATGTCGGTCCGTACTCCATGTCGCCCGCACGAAGAGGAGGCTTATCCGAGAGCTATAGCAGAGACGCAGATCGTGATGGTGCACTAGACCTGGACTCAGACGTGGATAGCCTGGAGTCTGACATTGACATGCCCAAGGACAAACATCGCAATGTCTCCACCCAGGAGAACCTCAAATATGCTCAACGCGAACAGGACGAGGAATGGGACTAGTTTTTGAGGTTAGAATCGATACAGGCTTGGATGAATGCCTGGTTCATACAATCACGGCGATAGTGTTTTACATTTGTTCTTATCGTTATCTATATGGTCTCTGTTCTGATTACTGACCTCGTCCCCGTCAAACGAGAAATCTTCTGCAGACAGCGTATCGTTTGGCTTCCCGTATTTAGTGATCAGTGCATTGAAAGGGTCATCAGGTATACTCCATACCTGTCTTTACTGGTCGGGACTCGCTCGAAGTTGATGACTTGGTTCTTTGACCCATTTGGCACAATACATAATACTCGAGAAGTGCAATGATGAGAAAACACAATATAGCCATCGCTGGACGCTGGATATTCTACAATCGTGCTGCACGGAGAAAGACACCAAGACCTCCCGTGCCACTTTCTGCATAACATCCAAATTTTATACACGTTGTTTGCAAAACTAGTACCCAGAATCACAATCATACGTCCATCAACAGACGCTTCCCGCAAACCCCCTAGACCTTTTGTGCATGTTTCTCTTTCAATACCTCGCGCAACGTGTTTGCTACAGCCTTCTTCCTCCTTAATTTCGCCATTTGCCTCTCTCTATCCTCCGCAGAAAGCATCAAATCTTTTACAGGTGTGCTTCGATTACTTCTGTCTGTTCGACTTGAGTGTGGTGTATGATACACAGAGCTCGCGCCACTTTTCGGCGTTACAGGTGATCGTCGTGTAATTTGTCTTTCTGGTGTGGATGGTCGCTGTACCAATGCCGTGGTACTTGTGAGACCGAGCTTCTTCATCTGTGCCTCAAGCACATCAACATCGGCACTTCTCTTCTGCGCCATACTCGTCATCTTGCTTACGGTGTTCATTACCGCTTCCACGCTCGGTTTCTTCTGTGCTGGACTTGCGAAGCCAAATGGCTGCTTGTCGTCTCTCTGACGAGGTGCAACATCTGCAAGTCTTGCTCGAAGAACAGCAACGCCGTTCTCCACTTCTCCCAATTTGGTAAGGACATTCGCAGATGACTTGCGCAGATCAGACTGGATCGAGAGCTGTTCTGCCGAGAGTGGTGCGTGCGCATTGTCTTTTCCTTCAGCCTGCGTTCTGGCGGCGGTAGAGCGACGAAGAATTGTAATGCGACTTCTGAGGTCGGTCACCTCCTTCGTGAGGAGGTTCTGGCATTCTTCTAACTTGTGCATGACGTCTTTGACTTCCAGGCCATGTACGATCTTGTCAAGAAACTGCGGTCCAGTCGATAGCGTTGCTATATCACCCAAGAACCATTCATCGTTCAACGCATCCATTGGGGTGTCGCTCTCAAGGATCTCAGGCCAATGCTCATTGGGCTGCTGGCCGGACTGATACATCATATATGAGCTCAAACTCTTTGCATTGATACCCAAAGTGATTACCATCGAGTTGATGTCTTGGTACAATTTCTCGATTTGTGAGGGAATGTCCGTCTTAGAAGTGGTGCCAAGATCCTGGAAGGCTCTACCTGGTTGGATCGTGACAAATGGATCGAGAGTCTCACTGGGTTGTGTCGGCTTGGCAAGCTCTTCTTGGATAATCGCATCCTCATCGTCTTCCAAAGGCTGTGTCTCGGCAGCTTCAGCGGCCTCCTGCTCACGTCGAGAGGCTTCTCTTCGTGCTCGATCCTTCGCCACTTTCTCATCTCGAGCTTGGGCCGCTTGCATTCCGAATGCAGATTGTGCATATTCCTGCTTGCGTTGCTGTATGAGATTAGATCGTGGCTGCGCCGGCGCACTAAACGAGCGCTCCGGAGATCGTGAGAGCAAGTCTTGTCGTGCAGGCTTCCGTAGAGGACTCGGAGAGCGAGGGCTTTCTTGTGGTTTCGGCTTTGGCGGCGCAAATAACGGCGCGGTTGATCCCAGTTCTCCGAATAAAGGCTTGATTGGTTTGGGTTGCTCTGAAGGTTTTGTGACTTTCATGAATGGTCCACCAGTAGGAGAATCAACAGCGCTATGCTCAGAGGCACGACCGAACGAACTTTCGGGCGATGTGTCAACACGTTCTGTTTGGTCGCCTTGCTCGTCTTTGTCCTCGACAGGACTGACATCTCCAGTGACATCCTCTCCACTGCCTTCGTCGAACTCGGACGACAGAATTGAGGACGGGACATCCGAAGGTTGTATTTTCAGGTTTTGCGAAGCACTTTTGTTGGCAGGGAAGAAGTCTGGCGGCAAGGGGGCATCTTCTGGTTCTTTTGATGCTTTTGAATTGAGTGAGGACGCTGAAGTTTCTCCGGCTTGATAACCAGGCTTACTGAATGAATCAGGTGGCAGGGGGGCATCAGGCACTTCTCCCGGCGTAGATTCTTCTTCTCCTCCTTCTTCATCTTCATCTTCCTCGTCGTCGTCGTCACTGAGCGACTTGACTCTATCTGAGTCACTAAGTTGACCAGGGTCTCTCGTAAAAGAGAACGGGTTGCTGGGTTCGCTTTTCTGTACAACAGCAGGTGTATCTTTCGAGGTTGATTTCGTACCAAAGATAGATGGTGTATCTTTTGGTAACGTAGAAGTGAACGAGAAAGGCTTGTTTGGTTCACTCTTTTGCACCGCCGCAGGAGTTTCTTCTGAGACAGGTTTCGTGCCGAAGATGGGATTCTGCTGTGGAGGTGCATCCTTCGGCGTTGTTGACGGAAGGTTGCCGAAGCTCCAGGCCGTGCTTAACGAGTCTTGAGGTTGCGCTTGAGGTGTCGTGCTAGTCTGCTGACCAAACAATGACTGCACATGTGGTGTCGTGGTTGTCTTTGGCTGGTTAATTGTCGAGGGTGGTGTCTTCTGGGAATTCTTGGCAATTCCATTGTCGGCTGGACTACCATCGTCATCCTCCATCTCTTCTTCTTTGCTAGGACTCTGTTCGGTCGTAGACTGTGCCTTGCCCAGAAAGTCTGACATATCAAGGCTTCCGCTGCTATTCTTCTGATCCGACTCCCTGGCCGGGGTCGTATCTCTTTGGAAGGTCGACTCCAGCTTGAAAGGCTTGGCAGGTTGAGTAAATGGACTCGACGTTGATGTCGTAGCTTGTGTGAAAGGCCCTGATTTGCTAAAGGTGGACGGCCCTGTAGCTTGGCCGAAAGCAGTTTGAGTATTGGTACCAGTGGCGAAGGATCCCGACGGCTTAGCATCACCAAAGCCCCCACCACTACCGAACTTGCTGAATGGACTCTCTGCTTTACTGTCCTTGTTTGCTGTGCCGAAGCCACCACCCTGATTGGCGAACGAGCTGAATCCGCTTGAGCCAGCACCGGTAAAAGGATTAGATGTCGAAGGCTTTGCAGCTGAGGCAAAAGGACTGCTTTGAGCGGTTTGAGCACCAAATCCAGTCTGGCCAAATGCAGGACCAGACTTTTGACCAAAGCCGGATTGACCGAAGGATGGGGTCGCACCTGGCTGCTGAGGCGTACTACCTAGAGCTCCAGTCTGTCCAAAAGAGGGTTTGGTTGCTGATCCCAAGCCAGGAGTTGTTCCAAATTTTGGCGCCTGTCCGAAGGAACTGCTTTGCTGTTGGGAGTTGTCTGAAAAGCCCGTGCTTGCCCATGAGGGTTTGTTATCTCCACCAATAGGAGTTGGTTTACCAAAAGCACTGCCAGTCCCGAAAGATGTCTGACCAAAAGCTGGGGTCTGTTGAGCTGGAGCATTGTTGGCAGCACTTCCAAACGGCGAGGTGGTGTTGCTTGTGAAAATTGATCCGTTAGCGGGCTCAGCAGGCTCAGCAGGCTCAGCAGGAGCTATAGGTGTAGTTATAGATTCCATGTCATCAACATCTACGGTTCCTTTCGCCTCTCGTAACTTAGCTATATCCTGAAAGCCAGGATACAGCTGCTTTGTTCGCACACCATCATCGTACACAACAGCCCAGATGCTGAAAAGACCTTCATTGTTTAAAGTGATCAGCTCGGGCAGTGGGACGACTGAGGTGTCATACTCTGGATCTGTCGGCAGAGGCAGAACAACAGGGTCTTTGTCAGAGAGGTCTATGGCCATGCCAATAGCGGTTGTGTCATTCATGTCGTCGCCCACTGGAAGTGCAGCCCATCTCTTGTCATCTTGAGGGATTGCCAGGGTATAGGCTCCTTGCTCGGAAACCTCATCGCTCAAAGGTTGAGAAGATTTTGTGAGCATTTTGATGTCGGGGCTAATGGTGGCAGTGAAGATGACAAGATCGTCGAGGTGTGGCTGATAGTTTCGCAGTCGATTTGTGTGAAAATGTACAGGCGTGCGGTTGACCATGGGGAAGAAGGGGTCGGCGGCAATCTTATGGAAGTTCCAAGCCGTCCTGCCTTTGTCGGTCTTGACGATGTAGTATTCAGACACCAGAGAGCTGATATCTTCTGGAGCCTGAGACGGAGTGTATATGAAAAAGAAGACGTCGGTTTCAATCCATGCAATTCGAGCCAGGTGGCAGTTTGCAGGGACGGAAGAAGGCTTGCCTACACTTGCTACGGTCGAACCGTCTGGTTTGAGCTGGACAGCAGAACCATCACCTTTACCAGCCATAAGTTGCTTTCCCCTCGTGCTCCAAACTATGCATGCAACGTTCTCTGCCAAGGCTGAACTGATCTGGCCTGAAGCTAAGTCTACAATGTGTAGCTGGCCATGCGTGGTTAGGAGAGCAAAGAATTGTGCCTGAGCTGGATCCGGATTAGGGGCAATTTCTCGCACTGGGGCAGTGGTAGACAGTTTGAGTGCTACGTTAGATTTCCGTCCAGCTAGATCAGATGTCTTGTATACTATTATTCCTGACGATTCCTGCTCGGCGACAACCAGACAGCTTTCATCGGAAGCAAAGACGACGTGGGCCAATCGTTGGTGCGGTATAGTATGAATAGATTCGCAATCTCTGATGTCCTCGCCCTTCCCCGCATCATATATAGCGGTTCGGGCATCACTGGTCTTACCAATAACGAGAGCATCAGGAGCAGCAGCGGCGTACAAACCACTAGCGGAAGCTATTCCTAACAGCGAAGCGTAAGGGGGAGGGAGAGCGTCTTGCGGCCAAGGTTGTTTCAGGACTCGAGCCTTCTTGTCGCCATTGAGAGTCTTGAAACCAAGCAGTTGTGTCTGTATCTCTGGGACTTCATCTTGTTCATTAATGGCAGAAGTTGCGGCGCCAGAACTGAAGGCCGTGGACATGCCGTTCATACTGAAGGCCATTCTCAATCGTGGGATCTCGGCAGACAAGGGACGTGTTCTTTGGAAGGTAGGTGAAGTTGGGGAAGCTGTGGAATATTCGCGACGGGCATTAGGCGAAGGCTGAGCTCGTGGAGGAGTGACGAAGTGAATGGGTATAAATGAGTGACGAGAGAGGGTGCTTGACCTCCCCAGACCAGGTCTCCTTGAGTCAGCTATCTTGAAGGGGCATTGAACTCTGAGCGATTCACTGGAGTGATGCGCTGCCTAAGGAATGTTGCTAATCCTGCAGTAGAGGATGTGATGCTGCTCCGCATCAACAGGCCTCTCCACGTATCATGCTCAAGAAACTTTGGCGGAAAGAGCGACCGCGCGTAGGAAACGCGTTAGAACGGTTGATGCCTGAACGAGGCAAAAGGCTACACTGCCGCATCATCGCAGTTTCCTGGAGCATTGGGTCAACTTGAGTATTTGCTCAGTCTGTAATCTAACCGTACCAGCACTACTCGTATCGCCAACTGCTCTAGCTCCTATCACAACTAGGTCTTCCTCACCTTTTACGGTCCGCTCTTCTCGCGCAGGCCGGCTTGAGGTGACAGCCTCACGACACCCTCCAAAATGCCCGGTTTCGACTTTAGCAATCACACTCGCAATGCTGCTCTCCATGCACAAGGCGTTCCCCTGCCGAAAGCAACAAGCACAGGTACGACCATCGTGGGCTGTATATACAACAATGGCGTGGTCATCGCTGCAGATACAAGAGCGACTTCAGGTCCCATAGTAGCAGACAAGGTAAGTAGCGAGCATACACCAGAGCAATCGCCTTCATTAGCTAGCTATATTATCAGTACTGATGCGTCTGTTTAGAACTGTGAAAAACTACATTATATCTCCCCTAACATATGGTGTGCTGGCGCTGGTACCGCAGCAGATACTGAATTCACTACCGCCCTCATCTCCTCCAACCTCGAACTACATTCCTTATCCACAAACCGTCAACCTCGTGTGGTCACTGTCATGACCATGCTGAAGCAACACCTATTTCGATATCAGGGACATATCGGTGCCTATCTGGTCGTGGCTGGTGTAGACCCGACTGGAGTAGGTCTTTTCACAGTACATGCGCACGGCAGTACCGACAAGTTGCCCTACGTAACTATGGGCTCGGGCTCTCTTGCAGCAATGGCTGTCTTTGAATCAACATGGAAAAAAGATTGCACACGTGATGAGGCTGTCAAGTTCTGCTCCGAAGCTATTTTGGCTGGTATTTTCAACGATTTAGGTTCCGGATCGAACGTTGATGTTTGTGTCATCGACAAGGACAAACCAACTCAACTAATGAGAAACTACATCAAGCCAAATGAGCGATCGAAGAAGGAGCGGAACTACAAGTTCCAGAAGGGTACCACAGCCGTACTGGACCAAAAGATCATTACAAGAGAAGAGATAGGCCGCTACGTTACCGTGCACGAGATTGCTGGAAGCGACAGCGACAGTGGAAGTCTTGTGGTGGTAGAGAAGATGGATGTTGACGATCAGCCGTGAGAAAGGAATTGATCCAAATGCAATGTGTATTACTAGGTGCTCTTGGAATGCAAGCTTGTGCAAGGACAATAATGTGGCCTCGCAGGACCACAACCATTGTCAAAAGCACACTGATCACGAGAGACTGCGCCTGCTGCCTGATAAGTCGGCTGAATCCTAGATTGTTGTGGTCTGTGGCGGGTAGATGCATTAACGACACATGAGTCCGTCCAGCTCCGACATGCACGGACAGGGAAACTTGGAAAACAGTATTCGTCTCTGCAACGGTGCCGGGAGCATAGAGTGAGATTGCAGCGGAGCGTTCTTCTATACTTGTTAGACAATGAGACTGGTCCAGATTTCTCGAATACAGACTTGTCCTTTGACCAAGTCTTGTTATGCAACTACTGCACTATACAGCATTGAGATGTAGAGTACCTGCCTCGGTCTCTCGTAATGTCTTGTTAGGACGAAGCCTTGAGTAATACATGGAAACCTCTGTCTTTAATTCCTTCCATGCTAATAGTCATAATTCATGACACATGAACCGGCAGTCCAGCCTTCTTCAACGAATAATCCTTGACCTCACGGACTAAAGGTGAGAACTCTGTAAAGCCTTTACTCTTCTCATCATCCCAAATCGTCGCTCCAGAGCGCAACTCAGGCCTCACAGAGGCAGCCTTCTTCAACAACTGTTGCGCTACGTCCTGCCCTGCATACTCAACCACCAAAGAGTACAGCTGTTTGACCATTGCGTAGCTCTGATTAGGATTCCTGATCACACCAGCATGCCAGAGTGCTTTGAGCATATCGCGTGTAACAGGCGCCCGATGTTGGTGAAGATATTCCATCAGCCAATGCGTATGGCGTAGAGCGTTTCTGTCCGACAGATGCCTTGTCGTCGCACAAGCCCAAGCAAATTTATTGATCATCTCGACGAGTTGAAGATAGCTGAAGCCGCCCAAAGCATGTGTCTCTTGTGCTATCTTGCTGGGCAGCCATTGCGTTCCGTCCCAGGTCATGAGGTTTGCGGCGTGGCGTAACGCGAATTTAAGTTCGTCGTTGTGCCAGAGAAGACGCTTCAGAAGCTCACTGACTAGACCTTGCGTCTCATTGATCAGTGTAAGACTACCTCGCTGGAAAGCGTCCATATCCTCGTTGAATGATTGCGATGTCCGTCGTAAAATTTCCGGGAAGTGGTGCGACGCCGCGCGGTAAAACCTCGCGTCGCGCAGTTTTGAGAGGTTCAGGTTGTTGAGTTCGTCGAGCTGCTCGCATAAATCCCAGTAAGATACTTTAATGTTTAGGTGTCCTCCGCTGAAAGTATGTAGGCGACGAAGGAATTTGTTCTTTGCAGTCAACGGTGTCGTGCGTATGACGTCGAGTATACTAGATAGAAGGTCTTGCTGCCGCTTTTGACTTTCGTCGGAGAAACGCTGGCAAAGCTTCTGTCCTATCTGATCGAAATTTATGTTGGCTAGTGGTCGGTCGTTGCGTACTGAAAGAGCCATTACTATCCACAAACAGATTACCAGCCTCCGACGAGGGTCCTCTCGTCCTTCTTTGCCTGTCAGAAAACTGTTGACAACTTGCATCGAGAGCGTAGTGTCGCGAGTCTCACGTGAACCGAGAGCAGAAAGAAAGGCATACCATGTTTCAATGGCAAATGGCTCACGTTGTAGCTCGGCCAGAGTATTGTGATTAGCCGCTAGTCTGGCGTGCCGACTCAGTCGAGTTGAATGATCGCTGGCAGATGGAGCGCACTGAACCACGAGAGGCACTCTACCAGAAAGCTCCTGCGGTCCGCAGGCCTTGTCGACCAAGTTTCTCCTGTATAGATTGTCTGCTCTATGCTCTCTATGAGACAGGCGTTTGTCCTTTGAGATTTGTGGAATAGCCATCAATCGTATAGTGGTGTTGACCACATCACGATAAAGCCACTTGCGCTCTTGTGCCAGAGCAAAATCCACCAGATGCGTCAACATATGCACATTTTTGTTGTTGATCATTCGCAAGGAATCACCTAGAGTCCCAAGTTGATTGTTCCCATTCAGTTTATGCAAGAGACGAGGTGTAGATGGATAGAAAACGCTTCCGGTCACCTGTATAGCAAGTGCGGCCAAGAATGGTCTGCCTAAATCTTCGAGTGCGAGGATACGAGATTCTTCCACCATGTCCAATAGGTCGTTACAGAATAACGCCGGATCTTGGGCTTCTCCAAACATCGATGACTCCAGCTTCAAAGCTGATACGAGGATGGTCTTCAGATCAGGTACGACAATTAGACCAAGCTGTGTAGCCTTCACAAAAGTTTTTCTCTGCAGCAGGACATCGAGCACAGATGAATTTGCAAGTGAATCAAAGATTCTCCCATGATTTTGGGCTCCTGGCGGGTTCGTTCTTGGGTCAAGAAGAAATTTGGCTATCTCATCGACATGCCAATTCTCCGCGAGCACATATTCGAGTTGTTTTCGTGCAAGATCTTGGTTGTGTATGAGGTCGATCTTTAATTCGTCCAGAAGTAGTACTAGCTCTTCGTGTGTCCTTGTACTGTGTAGCCGATCTTCGTAAAGCAAACGTTGTCCCTTCGACAAACCTGAAACAGAGAATGCTGTGTCTTCGTATATTAACTGCTCTTGCTTCTGCACAGTTTCAACCTTGGGAAGTGGTTTGTGTGAAAGCAAGCCAAAAGACCAGCCCCATCCTGGTTGCGGTGGTACAGCCTTATCTTCCTGAGACGTCCACCATCCTCGTTGAGGTTGCGTTGTTATTAACGTTGCTGGATCGAAAGCTTGACCCGTACACGGTGTATGGGCTGAACTTGTAGCCTTTCTCTTCGCGGCGCGCCTTCGTGCCTCTAGCGGGCCAGGTACATTGCTTCCATGTCGTCGTTGGCTGCGTGTAAATGCGTCGAATGTCTCGGAAAGTAGGTCATCGGATATCCAGACGTGGGCGCTGCTCCTCTTTACTAGGCGCGATCTGGAGGCATTGCAGAGCCCATTGAGCGTCTTAGGCATAACACTATTGTTGTGATAAGACCATTGCGGTTAGCCCGATATAAATTCGTATTTGACACAACAGGTTCGATACCCTCTCCTTAGGTGTAGTCGTTCGTGGTTTCTCAGAGCTGATCAGGAACCGTATCTAGAGCTTGGTTCGGCGAACCTTCTTCAAGCAGAAGAAGTTGCATCCCTGGCGAGACCAACAAGCAATCGCGGCCCGGCACAGTACAGAAAGACGTCCAACACCACAATGTGTAGCTATACATGGAATCTGTCGAGCTAACTCGACGCATTCTCGCGGGTATGAATACACGGATGACGAGATGAATGACGCAGCATACATGCGATGTACATACATCTAACTGACCAAGAGCCGGTGCAACACGGTCCTTTAGCAAAACGCCTTCACACCACGAGTAAGTCTGATGCGAGAGTACAGGCCGAAGTTTATCAGCTCATCAAATATCTAACCTGCTAACTTCCATACACGACATGATACTTGAGAGGCTGTGGACCCAGTTCATTGTCGATTTTGGTCTTCTCTATAGATGTGTACTTTGCCTCAAATCTCCGCAAAAGCATTCTCCGGAAGGAGATTCCATGTTGAGCAATACCTCTACTTCTTGCACACCTGACAGAATTCCTTGGATTCGAAGGTGAAGCAAGCGACTGGCAATATCCATGATCAGGGTAAGCTGGACCAATTCCGAGGCTCAGGTCTACAAGAGCTGGGTCCCCGGTGCTTATGCGGTCGATCATCGACTGTCGAGTCGAGAGTACAACATACAGGCATTTCCAGAGCTTCTCTTCCATCACGCATCGCAGCATTTTGGTGTAATTAGCACGACGACGAGTGAACGTTCATGCCACGAGCCTTCATCAACAGCAGCGTTACCATGTTAAGAAGGAGCGAAGGATGCGACCATTTCGATGTAGTCTTGAGCTAAGCGTGTATGTGCTTGCAGATATGACTCGTCAATACTGATCGTTCAAGACCGATGCTTGTGCCCTTGAAGGAGTTGGTACATTCCATCGTAGAAAACGAACAAGTTCTTGATTAACTGTTTCGCATGAGGGCTTCTTAACGATACAGAAGGCATCCGAGTCTAGTCGACCGCCTTTGCAATCCGCCTCAGATAGAACCAAGATGCAAAAAGTACTTCGCCTGAGTGAACTCAGTTGGGCAAGCTTGACTTTGCCCGGGATCGAACCGGGGACCTTGTCGGGAGACAATTGTTCAGCTGAATGTGAACGACACGTGATAACCACTACACCACAAACTGTTGCCAAGCGTTAGGTTGGATGGTGGCAGAGAAATCCTATGGTAACTTACGTCTTGCATGTGTGCAAATTTTCAACCACTTTTCGACATGTATACAACATCAATACCTCAAGAAGCAGCAGTTTAGACGAGAAAGGAGGGGTTATAGACTCCACATCAAATGCGTTATCTTCATCACTCGTTCTGCTTCTGCATAGAACTCGGTAGACGTGCCAGAACTACAAAGGAGAGTTGGGCAAAGACACACTCACCTTAATACCCTCGAGAGGTCTCATGATAAAGAAGTAAGTTGGTCAAGCGCCGCAGCTATGAACCTGTATCCATTAAAGCTCAGTTGAAAGGTTTGCGCATCCTCAGCACAAACCCATTAAGTTCAGATTGTGGACATTCAGAGCAATTGCTTGCTTACGAAAGACCGAGACCACATCACACTACTTCAATAACTATTTGCAACTCACGGCTCGACAAGACGCAGTTAGTGCCACCAGCGCCAGCGATATTGCATCCAGCCACTGGTTTTCACGATTCTTGTTAAGAACCAGAAACCGCCTGTTCGACAAGCAGTATGTTCTAGACTGGTCACATCATTGCTGTCTACACTCTGCCCAAATCCAAAGCCTGACAAGAGACAGCTGACTATATGTTTGACGAAGCTAGTGAGGTCATGGTACGACAGCCACTTTGCATCTCGTCTACAATTCTACACGACCTGGACGAGATCAGACAAATCGCTACCTGAAAGTACTCGAGCACTGGCTACATGGTCACAAGTTTACATCGTACGACATGTCAGCGTGGAGGAGTGTGTGGTGAGGGCAGAAGCGGTCGAGGTGCCGGACGACGATGGTTTCGCTGTCTTTACATCTCAATCCTGCAGCATGCACACATCACATTCTCTCAACAGCTGGCGTTCGAATGCAATGACCACGTCCTCGGATGCAAGATGGCCCAGCCATCAGGTTATTTCTGTTCTCGTTAATCTGCCAAACGAGCACATCGTGGCATCCTGGAACCACAATCCTTGCACGACATCTCTCCAACCTCGTTTGATCGCCCGGCAGAAGTACGAATTGCAGAAGTTGCTTATCAGAGCTCGTGGAGTGGAAGCTAATGGGCATTCTCCATGACACTAGCCATCAACAAATCGATCGATGATGATGCCTGCGCTTTCGCAACTGGTTTCCGGCATAAAAGTTTGCAGTTGCAAGAAGAATCTCGAGAATAGTCTTCGCCGAACTCAGCGGCGGTATTTTCCATAATTCAGAACCCTGTACATAGCATTTCCGCCAGGATTACCCAGTAATCTCTTGCCGATAAACTTTTGTTTGCGTGCTCAAACATACGAGTAGTGTAGGCTATCTGTGCAATGCAAACTCATTCGTAATTCTCACTACCAAACTGGCCCGCAATTGATCAAAGTGTCATGACTTTTCGGAGGCTGGATATGTAGGAATTCTTCCGAACCATCCCATGCCATACAAGTGGACTCGACGACGAGATCACTGAGTTGTGCAAGCTCATGCACGTCGAGCTATTAATAATGCTTGAACGATGCTTCCGAGTCCATACAGAGGCAGAGCGAAATAGGGTTGTGTACAAAGCTCAATGGTCGCCTTGATGTGCGACAGCACAAGTACTTCTCCAAGTCGATCAAAAGATGCGAGTGGAACACGATAACCCACCAGTAGACAAAGCACATTGGCGGGTGGGAAACCGGAGCAAATGTTCCGCGAGTTCGAGCTGCTACTGAATCTAGCCCGAACGGGAACTGGCTCTCAACCAACTATTTTGTGCCGTCCTCAGAAGCTTCGACGTTCTTCCAACCTATGCACACTTGTCACTCGCGACTTGAATTGGTCAAGATGACCATGTATACAATTTTCGGTGACAACTTTCGTGACATGTTCGTCTTGTTTTATCGTGATTAAGAACTGGGAACTCTCATGGCCTGAACCTGGCATAGAACGCGTCGAGACATGTGTATACGTAGGCGATTTCAATCAGGCCATGTTTGCCAGGCTTTCAACCGAATTTCCTTGAACCAATTCAGCCTGGCAGTGAAGTGCGTGGTCGTGGTCGTAAGTGTCGTGCATAAGAGTATTGGCATCGGTATCCAGCACATCGGACATGATGCCAGGATCTACCAGATTTGATACTGATTACCAGGGTCTTACACCTGTATCCTGTTTGGGTGGATGTTGTACTTGACTCGCAGGACATCTGCCGAATGGGTCGCTCGAGATCTTGACATCTAGATGTCTGGGTATTTTTATCGGCCTGCAGCATTGCTCCAGGATGATCCCAATATGTGTACATATTCATTTGCATCTTACCTGAGATATCGGGCTCGCCCCCGGGCGTATGGGGGTACACAGGAAGAAGCATCAGCTGCCGGGTTTCCACTCTGTAGTGAACAGACAGTCACTTCATGTAAGGATAAGGCCGAACTGAACATGGTTGACCAAGTCGTGTCTTGCTGCCTCTTATCTGACGGGGACATGCTGGTGCGGCTGGGGAAGTAAGTTGGTGCACGTGTCATGAATGCAACTTATCGTGAGATACACCAAATATATCAAGATTTGTCCTGCTCAGCTTGCATTCTCGTGCAGTAGTGCTGTGCCAATAATGCTGCGGCAGGCCTTGCGAAGCTATAGTGGAGTTGTTTGGGTATGAAAGCAGAAAAGAGGCGCGCTGTATGCATAAGCCAGGTGAAACTTGCCGGCAGTCGACGGGTCCTATCATCGCAGAGAGCGGCAGCATCTTGTGCTTGCCGAGTGCCAAGAGCCGTTGTGATTCTGTCCTTGTTATTGAAAGCTGCCAGCTCATCGACTGGCTCCTGAGCAGATTGCGAAAACTGTTTGTCTACACAATGGAAGCTCTACGCTTACCAGATTTAGTGCTTGTCCAACATCATTGTGAACACATACTGTTGAAGCACCAGGCCAAAAGAGGCAGTAAGGACGTTTGAAACGGAAAGCAGGCACCAAGCCAAGCCATGAACTGAATTGAGTTTTTCTAGGGCTGCAGATGAGGTCCAATCAAGAACTCGTGGTGCAATCGTCTGAGAACGCATTCAGTCAATTCTTCTCGCAAGCGTCCCGAGCGGCAGCAAAGGGACAAATTCTTGGCTCGATACATTTTAGCTTCTTGGATTGATGATAACACGTACAGTGGCTTTACGACACTAGCAATCATGGTCAACAAAAAGGACAACAACCATGCCGTCTAGCAGCTAGCGAACGGCAATGAAGAAGTTCTTCTCGGGGAACAGTCCTAGCATTGAAGATGAGGCTACGATAAAACTCGTATCAGACAATCTGTGTCTAGACTATCCCTCATGAGCAATAAGAATCGTTCTTTTCGCCAATAACAACAATCTCAAACGACCATGCAGAACGCGAACATCAATGTGTGCCTTATCGTGAAGCTCATTCTCAAAGCACATACCGTGGTGCCATGGCACGCCTGTGTTCGCAGGTACATCAGCACGATATGATGCGATACCGTCAGCAGAGAAAAGCATTTGTTTTCGTCAAGGCAGCTGGTGACATTACAACGCGGTTACTGCCTAAACAGTGTGCCAGTAAATGAGTGACATTCGTTCCTCAGGCGAACACAGAAACTCAGACAGTAAAGGCTGATGAGTGGTCTGGCTGTCCTGACAACAGCGAGGCGTACTCGCTCGAAGCACCTTCGGCAGTGTGCCAAAAAACAGTTCGCCAGAATAATGATCTAAGAGGCGCCACGCGAACAGCTGCGCAATCGTAAGCGAGGGGTTGAGATTGAGATGCTCATCATCGTTGACAATAACGCACAGCCTGCAAGCTCCCCTGCCGTGACTTCCTCAAGGGTGATCATATAACATCATGACTGCTCTGGCCATGCTGGAAAAGAGTAGCGAGAGAATCGTGGAGAAATGGAAAAGTCACTCACTTGCCAGGCTAACGTTGAGTCTAAAATTGACATCAAGGATTATTAGACTTTGTGGGCCCCCAAGAACCCTTTTTGAGCTGCAGCTAAAACGACCAGGATTGATCTGGTAGAGCCTGCATAAGTGTAAGTAATTACCGTATTTACTTTGACAAGATCGACACTAGAATGTAATACTTTGCTGACCGAGTTAAGTGGTTCAACGCTGCGCTGCTTCTCACCAGCCGCAGAGTCCAGTATCTACGCATTTACCTCCACTGCATTTCCTCGTCACCTAATCATATTGACTGGACTGTCTGATCTTACGCTCGTTTCATCTCACGAATCGTACTGGACATACTGTATCAACAAACACTGTTGTGTTAATTGTGACCCTTCTAAGAGAGACTGGCAAAATGATCTGCCTCTCATGAACACCGAACCACGATCCAACGTTCTTTTCACTACTCTCGCGGCCTGAGCCGATAGGAAGGGTTTGACCGTGATCCAGTTGGTCGGACATTATCTATTCTTAAAAAGCAATACACTCATTGTCGGTACTATGGATTCGCCAACGGAGCGCATGCCCATAGCATGTGTGCACTGTGCGAAGGCAAAGGCAAAGTGTGATAAAAAGGTGAGCTCTATACATTCGAATGCAAGGAACAGATGGTTGGGGTGGTGACTAGTATTTCGTTGACGCGGCTCGTGGCAATCAAGTCATGACCGTTCAGCGTCCAGTTACTCGGCTGTCTGTTCTGTTACCACTAGCCAACGTTGCTGACAGGTATCTCTAGGTTCCATGTTCGAGATGTGTTAGCAAACAGATAGTGTGTCTGAGTCGTGCGACACGAAGATCTTCACACAATCCAAATCGGAGAGGAAATCTACCACGTGCTCATTCAGAAAGGACGTTACACACTTCAGCAGCATTTCACGTCTCGCAGCTTTCACAATTCTCAGCTCCCTCCACCACACAAGAACTACCATTAATGTCACCAAGTAGGTATCTCAACGTCCTCAATTAGGTCTGTCACTGATAATTTACAGCCCATGTCAGTCCTCATGGACCTCATCTCCATCACCACCATCACCAACACCGCCACAGTGTTTCTGATATATCACATCAGGTGCCTATAGCCCCTGCAGTCTTTGGACCTGAACTAGACCCGAACATGCTGAGAAATGGCTACTCTCAGACTCCTCCAGACATGGCACTTCCAATGACTCCGATGATGCCTAATATGCCTCAGATGGGACAATTCATGCCTCTAACAGGTACACCTTATGACCCTGATGGGGACAATAGATTCCTGAATATGGGCTCTTCTCACAATGGGTTGCTGGAATTTAACGACAATATGTTGAATGATTTTATGACTTCACCAAGCATGTTGCATGATCCAAACGATATGCTGATGATGAATGGAAATCCACTTATGCATAGGGCCAATCACATGGCAATGTTAGCCAACGGATCTGCAAGACTCCCTTCACGAATGAACCTAGAAACTCCTCCGCACCACACGCATCAACGAACACAGAGTGGCCCGTCTCCATCTTCATGTTCATCAGCCAGTGGTCTGCAGGAACCCGACGCAGTGCTTGCATTACATCCACTGTGGCCCTTTTTCCAATGTCAACGTGCGGAAAGAGCGTCGATTGCACAGCCTAAAACTGCAAGCATTTATCTTGAAGGACTTGCACAAACACTGCGAAATCAAGCTACCTGGCAGGCATGGACAGCACAATTAGACGAGCGTATGCTGGATATTTCCTTCGAACGCAAAATCTCTACAGAGCCAATCGTAGGCTGGTCGCGTGAGAAATTACTCGCCATAACTCAGGGCTTTTTACACAAGGCACTCGATATTCACAAAGTTCACCACGCAAGTCACGATGACAGCCCAGCCAGTCCGGAATCGACACACGAAACATTCCTCATGTTGCCACCACCCGAGGTGATGCAATTCTTCCTTCGCAGTTATGTTGTGCGTTACGAGCCGTACTACTGCTCTATACCTGGCGGACGGTTAGACCCTAACTCACTAATGCATTCTTCAAATAGCAAAGCCGCCAGCTTACTAATATTGCTGATGGTGGCATCTGGTGCGTCAGCTACAGCCACGCCGGAAGGACGATACGTCGCAAGCGGCTTGACTGAAGCATGCCGTGTATCACTCTTCGACACTGTAGAAAAGGATGTCGCACAAGCTCGTGAAGTTCTGGTACTTCGATCTGCGTTACTGCTAATATGTCTTGCTGCATGGTCTGGCGACAAGTGGCATATGGACATGGCCATGGGTCAAAGAGGCCTGTACCTTGCTGTAAGTTGGGATTCCTACCTCCATTCATGTCGAACCCTTGCTAATATCAGAACAGATGCTTGCCCATGCTGGTATGCTAGATGTATCAGAATCTAGTATCGATGTGAACGAGTGCAAGCTTGACCCCGAGATAGCATGGGGTGATTGGAAAGAGCACGAAGGCCGTCATCGTCTTGCTCACTCTTGGGTTATCGTGGATCAGGAAATTTCTCTGTTTTCTGATACGACACCCCAATTGTCCGTAGTTGACCTTCATGTTCCTATGCCTGATACAGACGATCTGTGGCATGCGCCATCCTCCGCCGACTGGTTGGTGCTTTTCGAGAAAACACATGGCTCGACATATCGCAGTCCAGCGTCGGTGAGAGACTTCTTCACCAAGTTTGTCGACGGTGATCTAGCAGGCAAAGAGCTGTCGCCCACCCAGCTGCGACTGCTTTTGCACCCACTGCAGGCCCAGGTATGCCAGCTGCGACAATTCATTGCATGCTTACCTGATGGCGGGTCGCATGCTAAGTCACGAGCTGTATCAAAAGCAGCAACGAAGGCAAGGCTGGAAGAGATTGCCGCCCTGTTACAGCAGTGGTACACGATCAGCAAACAGAGCTTTTCTGGAAACCAGGGGACTTGTTGGACAACCTGCGCCAACCTCATCATGTACCATCTCATCTCCCTCAACACCATCACGAGCTTCAAGGACATCGAGCAGTTCGCTCGAAGAGAAGTCATGGTTGGACCGACTAGATATGGTACTTGGTTGCAGAGCAGATGTATTGACCAGCCTGAGGAAGCACTCTTCCACTGTGGTCAGATCTTGCGCCTGATTCGATCGATGCCAAAGCCTGTGCGCCCTCCATGGTGGGCAGGCGCCGTCTACAGGGCCGCCATGATTGCTTGGGCCACTGGCATGTCGAGAGGAGGACAACCGTTCGTCTCGGAAACCCACAATGGCGATGCCGCAGCGCAATTTGCCATCGACGACCTCACTCCTGAACATGACCTGATAAGTCGTTTTGTCAAACATCAGGAGGGTGAACCAATGATCACCAACGGCGATCGAACTCTTAGTCCTGTTCATGTCCCTTCGAACGTGCTCAGTGCTTGTGCAGGTGTTCTCGAGGACGATCCCTCGATGCGCCTAGCTGACGGCATCAGGCGTAAACTGCTCATCTTCATTGACACGTGGAGAGAGTAGTGGTGAAACATAACACCTTCAGCAACCAGGTCGTGCATCGGCACAAAATTTTTTCCTTTCATCGAGAGCCTCTGCTCTCCGGCATGTGGTGGCCATCCTTGTACAGCTTTTTTTTGACGAATTGACGAATCACGACAGCATAGACCAATTAGAGCACTTGGAAGGTGTTTGACGATATGATCGATTTAGGGTATAACGGGGTTAATTGGTGTGCAACCACATCCACGACTTGCTGGAAACGAGACAGGAACGCGACCTGGTCTTTGAAAGTCAGCCTCGATGAGGGCATACGTATGTGAGAGAATAGGATGTTGATCTGTCAAGACTTGTCAGTAGCCCTTGGTGCAAACCTTTCCATCCAGGTCGAGCTAGATTCCAAAAGTGCTGAGTCAAAGCCTTTTGTTGTTCTCCTTCGTGCCCCATCGTATCATTCAGACATATCTTAGCATTATCGTCTTTTTCTTCGACCAAGCAATAAATCCATGGCGTTCAATGGTATTCATGGGTGAGGGGCAGCCTTGGCTAATAGGTCGTGAGCCAAATCGGCGGCTGCTGATTGTCAGGGAGGTATTTTTCCGCCCAACATTGCCAGCAAAGTACTGAACACACATCTTCCTCCTTCAACTACCATTGCGCAAGCAGTGTAAGTCAAGCATATAACATCACGAAACGACTACAAAATCTGCAGAAGCAATAATTTGGACCCAACTAAACTAATAGTGGCATCGGACAAGTCGGACACTCAGATCTCCGTGCTCTCTGCTATTTCGGACCAGAAACAGCATCTGGAGAGTTTACAATGCGCCTGGCGCACGCGAGCAGTTCGGAGTTGCGACTGCGCGGCGTTTGTTGAGTTCGGGCATATATTACGAAAGAACTGGGGAATCTCGAATGTTTGTGATGTGTTTCAACAGGGGGAGTCTGGGGTTCGAGGACCCGCGTTGATGTTTGAGATGTGTGCTGCTAGACAGGTGAAACTACGGCGAAGATGTCCCTCTTCATCTCACATCGATGGCGGACTTGGGTTAGAATACTCGAAAACGTCTCATACACCATAGACTCAACATATGTCGATGTGTGATAGACGATGTTCGTCCCATATCAGGCATTCACCCAAGGCAAGACGGACAGCATGCCCAGTCTATCGTTCAGGCACATACACGTTCCTGCCTGAATACTAACAATCGTTCTCAACGGTTAGCGTGCGGACTTGCGGCATTGAAACGGTGGTTTTCATGCAAAAACGAAACGGAAATTTAGCGGTAATATTCCATTCCCGCTAGAGCACTTCTTCCTGAGACATGCGTAATGCTAGAAAGCTTGTACCTCTTGTTTGCTCCGGCACTGCGAGGCGTCCCAGGTTCTAGCTTTGGCACTTAGTTACACAAGACTCGCGATCATGCAGCTTTCGGGGAGGGGGCACAGCAATCAGTGGCTGCTTACTTGTGAGATGATCTTCTTGCCTCATCCCCGTCTTGTCGCCAGTGGAAGCTGCCACTACTTCATTCTGCATTTTAAGCCTGCGCTTGCCGCATGGGATTCCAAATCCATTCAGAATCTGCAACGCCTCGAGATAATCCAGCAAAACGGCCGAGCTTGGAAGTGGTGACGCCACGATTCCTTATCCGAGACTCTCGCTAACAGTTACTTGCCACATACGATGGGCATGCTCCTAGTACTGTGGGACACAATTGTGGCACGAGCTGAGAGGAACGGACGTCAGCATCAAACGTGCTCACATTCATGGCTGCATCATAAACGTTGACAGGTTGGCATCCGTCCTCCGCCCGACCAAGGCACAGTAGCCTGCATGACAAGCACGAGTTGAATTGTCAACCCAGTTACGGTACCTTTGTTGTTCTTGCATCAACTGCGGAGCTGTCCTGGGCATTGTGTCATCTTGTTCGCAGTAATTACTCGTATCTTCTCCAGCTCTCAAACCACATGTCCGAGTGGTGGGGCCTGAAGTGCTACAACTCTCGGATATCGTGCTTGTAGCAGTTCTCAAGCTGGAGCATTTACCAGTTTGTGGTCGTGCGCTTGGTCTTGACAAATTCTTCACCCAACCGACTAAAGGTGTCCATCAAACATTCGCTATTGAACCACAGTATAGCTGATTTCCTACTGGTCTGGCAGCTGTTGAACTAGTTTCGTAGAGACTAGTAGTCTAGCAGTTTGGCCAAGCGTATACCCAAGGGACACATCTTGTGATATGCTGATCAGTCCCTGGCATATCTTGTCAACCATCTCGTCATGACTGCTGGTATGGATGAAGACAAGCAACGAGGTGAAAGGAGTGACTCCAAATTAGCAACTCGTCGTACCACACATTGCCGCAACTTGCGTTGTCGAATCCTGCCCACTGTGTCCGTTATCGAAGTGCTATGCTTCAGACCCAGGAACGGCGCACTCTTGAACCTGCAAGATCCCAATGAATATGCTTGAGCAACTCTGGTCCATACGTATAACTTGCCTGTGAGCACCTCTGTGCTGTACGATCTCGGTGATGTCGTTAAAGCTCTCCAGTAGTCTTGCTCTAATGTTTGCAATTCTCAGGCAGCAATTTCAACGTGTGCTTAGCGCTTCCTACTGCAAAACCGAGTCGTGGTTGCTTTGTTGATGGCAAAACATGACTGCTACTGTCTCGACTTCGTACCTTCCAATTTGCAATTCCAAGACGGCTAGAAGTCTGGTAAGCTGTCAGTGTATGCAAACACACTTCGACACACCTGGATGACTGCCACACCACACGTACCACAAAGGACATTGTTCAATGCCTCGATGCTTCGCAAGAAACATGCCTGTGTAAGGTCTTGCTTCCGTTGTTAGTGAGCTCGTGGACTTACCTATTCTAGCGTAGGTGGTGGCAAGCCATTCTCTGGCCATGTGAACTTCTGCTGCAGCACAATATCTCGTTGGCATACCTGACCTTTTGATCATTCGAAAGAGGCAACCCACCTTTTCGATATCAACGATGACACAAATCGTTAACCACCACAAATAGCTCAACGACTGGCCGATGACACTTTCATCTCCTCCACTCCCCTATGTTTGCAAGAAGTCGCCGCTATCACGTCGAGACATCTTAGTATTGCTCTAGCCATAGCCATGAATTCTAGGCTCTTTGATAAGCAGGATTGTTGACTATTCTTGGATGACAGTACAACGTCTGCCGGCAGTGCCCGACTTCAGTCGTCTTGTCGAAAGGTTCTCATTGATACAGTTCACCACTCCGAATGCTGCTGGAACAAAGTGGTCACATCGTTTCGCATCACAGATAAGGGTTAAAAGAGAACAACACAAGCAACGATACCACAGGGCTGATGCCTAGGATTCGACCGTTCGACGACGAGGAAATGCCACTGAGTAGATCTTCAGCCAAAGAACCCTGAGACCAACTCGTTGGTTTACTTCTAAACCGATACAAGTGCACACACTTATACACGCTGGTAGCCCTCCCTCCACAACGAGTTGAGGCTACTATACACACGAAGTTCAAATTCAGCACAGGCTAGCAGGTATCAAAAGTACCTTCCATTTTAACTTTGACTGGCATCAGAGGCTCTTTCCGAGCTGGTAACACTCTGTAATGGTCATTCTATCAGTAGAAACAAGGAACGATATCAGTTACAGCTACGGACTTCGAAAACGCACCAAGCATGGACAACTACTTCATGGTGTGTTCTATGACCCCCTTTATGTCGGTATATCGGCGTCAAGAAAGCGCCGATTATCCACCAATATGCAGCCAAGTCGTCCGAGAGCCTCCTCACGTCACTGCAATAGCAAATGTATCGAAAGCAAGTGATCGCAGCATACGACGGGGAATCAAAGGCCAGCATGTCAGTATGAAGTCCGCTCTTACTCACGAGTGAGAATTTAAATGGTCTCTATCCAAAACGTTAGACATTGACTGAAGTCGTTCAGGCCCCATCGTTATGTACCTGCATCTGGCGACTCCCGAAAAGCTCGATACGAAAGGAGAATTTTCGCTGCATGACATTCCATCGGAGGACAAGGTTGGAGAACTCAACTGCCGCTATATAGGCGTCGTCCGCAAACTCAGGCAGGGATCATATCTTGATCGCCGCAATACGTCCTGACCCTTTTCGGTAAAGCCATTGCCCCATGCGTTCTTGCTAACGCCGCGAGGGGTGCTCGACATCTCAGAAGGAAAGCTGGTTGGGCACACACTGCGAAGAACGAAGTCAAGCATGCGGCTGACCTAATCGCTCCAAGCAGACTAATCTGCGTTTCGGACCCATCAGGCTCAAACGCTTAATCTGCATGACTACAACTCGTTAACTGCTACCTCAATCCAGAGGCTTGCTGCAATACATTTGCGCCACTGAAGGCCACACGTTGTGCTGTGTTTGGCGGACATGGGCAAGAAAATTCGCTCTTGGACGCCAACGTCAATTGCGCCTTGAAATTTGACACTTTTGATTCGATCGGAAACAGATGTGTTCGATGTGCTTGAAGTGCTGTATGTATGTGGACTAGGAAGCGAATGACAGTTCCAATGCACGCTACCATCAAGTCCGGAGAGTGATATGTCCAGGCGGTCATTGTTGCGCAGTGCAATCCAGGCTGCCTCCTAGCATGTCCTCATACGTATCAAGTCTCATCTGAATACATGTATCTGGTTTGTAGGCCCACTCATTCAACAATGAGTATCTGGTCTCGGAGACTGAGAGTCCAGCTTTAAGCAGCAACGAATCACCCTTCGCTGAGAGTCACTACGGGCAATCGGACAGTGGAAAGCTTTGAATGCCCTGCCCCACCAACGTTGTCAGCACTGATTGAGTACTTCCGTGAAGCATCAGGACATTTCATGCCTATCTTTCACCAAATTGTCCAGCAATATGTCTGAAGTCTCGCTCTCTCTGCAGGTTTCTTACACGATATCTTGTCTTCTTTGACAAGGATTCTGCTTGGAAACGCGCATGGGTCGAAAAGAATGTGGTGATGGAAGCTTTTGTGGGCAGAATATGTGTTCGCGCCGACCATTACAGCAAGACTAAGCCATGTGCTTCACACTCAGTAATGCTAACGGCGACGTAGTCGAAGCACTTCTTTAAGGCTCGTGGGTTGTCCAGTGTGGATGCCTTACTCGAGAACCTTGTACCTGCTAGTCAATGGGGTCGATCGAGCATATCGTAACGCAACTGAGGTCAACAAGGACGATGCGACGACACATCACTTTATAGTGTAAAAGAGCTTGGCTTGAAAGGCAACATATCCTCTCGTCAGTTGCATAATGGCATTCTACAACGAAAACCTCGTACACAACACAAGCCTCTGCAGCTACTGATGGCAACCAGCGTTTGCAATCTACGAGCTCACCTGTCTCAGATCTACCGTACACTATTAGCCGGTGGAAGTCCTTGCAGTATAGGTTGCGCATCTACTTCACCTGGGTAGGCATGCGACCTAGAACCAGCGATGATAGTGTGCCCGAGACCACAGGTACAGCGATGGACATTCTACTGTCTGAGGTGACTACTTCCTGCTTGTCCTGTACCTTGTTCATCGCTCACAGGCCTGATATCATGAAACGCTTGCTTCACATCGGTACTCCTTGTCTCAATGCTATCTCCTCGCTGTCTTGTTTCACTGCGTGCCTCGCCACCAGCAGGTTGCAGCTCCGCGTCTACATCGAGTAACTCCGCGACGCCTCGATCTCCTGAGCTCAAGCGCAATCTTGCTCTCTCCCGATCTACCCACCTTCGCCAAGGTCGATAGCACAATATGCTCACAATCCCTACAACTGCAAAGCTGCCACAAATTGCACCACCGATCACGTCGTAATACTCTCCAGCTGTGTCGACGCCTTGCCAAAATCGACTATGTTCAGCCGTTTCCTCTGAAACAGCAACATGCCGAATTAGCGAAAGCAACTGAATTACTCCAATAACGATAGCAACGACGACTGTCAATGCTGTGAGCACAATCGAGTAGTATAGAAATGTCAAAGGCGATCGCACCCGCAGATTTGCTGAGTTTCGCTGCGGCGTGGAGCGGTTCTCCTCGTCAGAGAACTCGGTTTCTCGAATCTCGACATCGTTCTCATTATCGGTCTTCTTCATATCAGTAGCACCCATAGGTGCTAGGTACAAACTCGACATGAGAGCCCCGTCGATGGTGTCAATCAGACACATGCCAACGGTGAACAACACAGGAAAGATGAGGATCAACCACATACTTGTACCTTTGGCACCTTGAATACTCGAGATACCGAGTAAAGCTACCTCGGAACTCGTATCAAACCCGAGACCGAAGAGCACGCCAAGCGGATACATTTTCCAAGGTCGATCAATCAACTTGAACATTCTCTTCAAGACTCTGAACAATACACCACCACCTTCTACCTTCCATGCCTCGCTTGCCTCCTGCTCAGGTTGCATGCGAATTACTTTCCTCAACTGTACGATCAGCTTGTACAGGATATATGCATTCATCAGTCCCAAGGCGATGAGAAAGGCTGCAGATACGCTCGTGCCGATAATGCCACCAACGTTACTGAACTTGTCGAAACGCTTGCTCACCCCCGCGGCAGTTGCAGCAACGACCACACTTGTCAGCACGACGATTGTGCTATGTCCCAGACTGAAGAAGGTGCCGACAGTCACGGGTCTTTGACCTGTAGCGATCAATCGTCGAGTCATTAGGTCGATAGCGGAGATATGATCCGCGTCCAATGCATGTCTCAGGCCGAGCGAGTATGCTAGAGCACCAGTGGAGAGCAGGTGAGTGTAGCGGCTCGCTAGAACGAGGCCACATATCGCCCAGACCGCCAAGTTGATGACGACGAGGAGTGAGATGATCAGGATTGCTGGTAACGGTAGAGCCCTCACATACGGGATCGATTTGTGTGTGCGCTGGAAACGATTGTAGAGCCGTGCCCGGAAGGTCTTTAGACCTCGGAATTGTCCATGATGTCGCTCTGATGAGGATCGTGAATGCGTTGAAGCCACAGGATCGTCGACCTCGACACTGCTCTGGAGCTGATCGCGGGTAGTGTTCGACATTGTTGTAGCTTTGCTAACAGTGACCAGATCCCTCTAAGCCGTGTATTTCAAGATCACTTCGTCGTAGTCCTCTCTCAACACACAAATTCAGACTTCTTGCGGACCCCTCTTCATGGTGTCTCAAGCTTCAGAAAAGTACATCTTGAGCTTACCAGGAGAACGCATTTCCCTGCTCCGGCTCCTCGTCAGTACCATTGCGCTCCCCTCCCCCGCGCCAACAGGCCTCCGATAAGATAGTAATGAGGACTGTTACTTTCTTCCAACGAACAATTGCCGCTTTGACGGGCGGGCTTTCGAGCGTTACTCGGTCAAGTCTTCTTACGGTGTGTAATGCCAAGTGGTACGTACGCTCGCATATTATTGACGCGATTGATTCTCGCTGGGTATAGAGATCCGTCCGTAGGTTGAATGTGTTGTTGTTACTGAATAGCATGGACTGTACACGTTGAGTGATGAATGTCCTGTGTGGATGGAGTGCTGCTACCCTTACACCCAATGAGTGACTTTATACAGCGAGCATGATTGACGAGGACAGGATATTTATCTCATTGAAAGGAAACTCTCCTTTACAAATGCAAGAAAAGAGTTATGGACCACCAGTTGTTGTCATCAAGATCTCGTTGTTGACGGTGATGATGATGATGGCAGAGCTGAAAGCTATTCTAGTTTTACAAAATATCACATATGCTGTCTTCGTTCCAGTCGTCTCTTGTTGTGACCTCATGCAGTAACGCCCAGCCATGCAAAAAGTCTGGATAACTCAACTGTAGTGGCAATAGTAGTAGTATGGCTCAAGCCTCCTAAACCTGACCCCAATTACCAATCATGCCGCTTGATGCTAACACACTCCCACTACCAACACTACCTCCAATATCCCAGTAATTCCTCGACGACCCACTCCGTAATGCAGACGCTTTCCTAGAACCCTTCAGCGATTCGCTCGCACAGCTGCTACTAGGTCGACGCGCAGCTATCCTCGAATCACGTCGTGTCAGTACAGAGGAACGGTGTGCTCGGTTGACGAGAGGATGGTGCTGGCGGATGATGGCGGCGCGGTGTGCTGAATCGTCTCTCTGCAGGATTTGAGGTCTTTGCTGTTGGACTGCTGGTTCTTGTGATGGGGACGAGGAAGAGGAGAATAATCTGTCCTTGAGGTAGCGGAAGACCATTTTGACGTCTAGTTCTCTTTCCCAGTATTCTCGTTCCCTCTTTAGGTTGAGGCTGGATTCGATTTCGGCAGGTGACGGTTCTTCTTCGAGACCCCAGCCTTCGGCGTGAGTGTCGTCGCGCAAGGTTGGTATGAATTTAGGTTCTGTGTTGGATGTGAAGCTTGGTGTTGTTATTGTTTGTGTGGCTGCCGGAGCAGGAATGGATCTGGGTTTGGATATGCTGATAGGCATGCCAGCGTAGTCGGCGTTGTGTAGAGGGTAGGTAGTGAAGGCTCCAGGATGGGGAGTCAGTTGTGATGGAAATACACCCAACTCTTGTGCAATTCTGTGAAGAACCTTGTCCCTCCAGCCAGCGTCCGTACTATTGTCCTCGTGAGACTCTTGCTTAGACCTGGCGTCGTCCGGCGCTGGAGAAGTAGCTCGTGGAGTTTCTTCGCCAGGTAAGCTCTCGCCCAGAATGACGGAAAGTAATGGATCATCAATGCCTATGATATCTCTAATAAACTTCCGGGTTATCCTCCTCCAAAAAGGCTCGGCTTCGGAGTCTTCTTGCTCGGTGGCAGGTCGCGGCCTATTCGAGGACATGTAATCACTCTGTTTCGGTGTTGAACCCAGTACCTCTTGTACACTGGCATCCATGTTCAAAGGGTGTGCGGACGACCTGCGTATACGCCTTCGTGTTTCCTTCTCCACCTCTTCCATCAGTGCTTGCGATTGATCTATGCGCCACTTCTCTATCCTCAACCTCTTCTCTTCACTTGCTTGTGCCTCAAACTCATCAATGGTATCTAGGTGACGTTGTACGCTGGAGGGACGTCGGTGGTGACCTTCGTGCTTTCGCTTGGTGTTGAATTGTTCGTGACGCCATAGTTGTTCTAGCACGGGAGCACTCGATGCTTGAAAAGAACCTAGTCCATCGTGAGCAGGAAGTACTGGAACAGTGCCATTACTCTGATGCGTCATGGTTGGGAAGAGAGTAGGTTCTCGAAAGGCGTGTAACCCGTCATCTAGGCTATCCAGTTCGGCGTCCTCTGTTGCTTCCTCATCAAGTATGGACGAGCCAGGTTGACCTGACCTCCCAGTTGAATTGAGGTAACCAAGCTCACTTTGGTTGGTCAAACCTGGAGTCCGAGTCTCCGTGTGGTGGGTGCTTGAGCCAGTTTGAGATTCTGGAGCGAACAGGATCCATTCTTGCGACTCTGTAGGTTGCGGTTGTTGTTGAGGTATAGACCGTGTTGATGGCGCAGGCTGGACTTGTACGGTTTGTTGCCTCTGCACAGTTGGCTGCTGGAAAGCCATGATGATCGGACGAAGGGGCACGGGGGCCTCTCGTCAATAAGAGTGGCCCGCGATGTACAACGGCTGCTCAAGTGTATGCGTCGATATATGGAATGGTAAACCGGTGCAAGGTCAAGGAGTAGTGTGATGGACTGCCTGATCGTGTAGTATTAGGTACAATTGTGAAGGGTCCAGCAAGTAAGGGTCAGCTGGTCATGGTCACTAGGTTCGATATCTAGGAGGTTCTTTTGGAACAAAGGGCTATGGTGTACACAATTGACAAGACATGCATCATCGACGTTTGTTTCCCATAACAATTAGCCTGGCGAAAAGAAGAACAGGTGCTGAGGTGCGTATTGGAGTGGTGAGATGATAGTTGAGAAGCAGGAACAGGACTCATCATCAGCTTCCAATAAGGCGTGTTCACGCGCTCGGATGAGCTCACTGCTTGTCGGTCTACAATCGGGCAATCACGTTGCCCCAGCCAGGAGCAGCGGAGCGATAGATAGGCTTGAAAGCGTATGGATTGGCTCTTTGCGATAAGATCTCCCGCTAAGAAACCTTGTCGGGCGAGGGGTGGGATGAATTACAATCCCGAATGCGTTGCTCTTTGTTGCATAGTCGAGCGTACAACAGGTCATCTCGTGAACGACTAGCAAGAGAGGGCCGCCTGTTTAAGACCTACGTTCGGTCTGCCATTTCCCCTTGAATTGCGAGGCATGAACGCAAATACGCAGATCGCCTATGTTGTGCCAGCTTCCGGACCTACAAGAAAGTCAGGGCAAATCCGGCTCTACCAGGCGCTGTATTCAACTACAACGCAACGGACACAGCACGTCTCATGCAACTTGTTGATTAATCCCTATCGAAGAATGAAAGATGATCAATCATTTAAAATTCAGCTACCTTCTCATACTTCATGGGTATCGTCTATTCAGTCTATTGATCGCGTCTGTTGAGATTAATGTGTTTGGCTTGCCCCTCGAATAACCCCGGCTCCCCTGTACCCGTCCGAAATTATATCTTCAAGGCATTTCCTAAACCCTGATCTTCCCAAGCCAGATGACCAGTATGGCAGAGTTCTTTCTGCTCTTCTTCAGTAAGCGTTGAGTTCTCCTTTCCCCGCCGGGCGCGACTCTCAAGTGTTTCAACGAGTGCTGCATCCTCGTCAGTGCTATCTACACCTGCAAGATACGTGTATGCTCTTGTTTCGGTATTGAGCCAGCCAGTACCGTAATACTTGTTGCAATCCTCCCAGTCATCTGTAAAGTAGTGCAGATATCCTCCATGCGTCACAAGAACCACTTGAGCATCCTCATCGCCAGCATCCACCAGCTCCTTGAGCAACTCTCGCACCTGATTGCGTGCAGCTTGTGCTCGAAGTTTTACGGCAGCACCTGCGGGAGAATATCTGCTTTCCATTGTCTTCACGTTCCAATCTTGACCCAGTCGTGATAGGTCGACAGGCCATTTCTCTTCTTCACATCTTGCTCGTAGTACATCAAGGTCCGAACCAGTGTCACACGGAAAGTCCGATGTCTCTTGAGCATCAGGCAAGGCAACGATGGCACGTTTGCACTTGCCTTCTTTTAAAGCAGGCTCGAATGAAAGGTATGCAGTTGCGATAGTTCGTGTTAGAGGAGAGGCGGTCACTAGAGAGATCTTCGTCTGGTCTATCAAGTCGCTATTCCTGAGGGTGGCACACTGTGCTTCACCCAGTTCGGTTAACTTTGGATCTGGTAGAGAGTGAAACTCGGCTCCAAGGTTGTGGAAACCTTGAGCATGTCGAACGCAGATGACAGTTGGGGACATTTTTGTAAAAAAGTATGATCGACCAGCTGCAATCCACGGATCAGCAACAAACAATATATAGACGATTGGAAGCAGCTGTGTTAGTATCACAAACGACTGAGTACTATGAGTGAATAGGAACTTGCAGTCAGGTTGAGTCACCGTTTGCGAATCAGAGTACAACAGTGACTACAGAATCATTAGCCACAATAGAGGGTCAACGGTCCGCTTTTCTTCCACCAGATCTCAATGATAGCGTGCTTATCTGAGCATTTGCAGGAACGAACAATGAAGGGATGGAGACGCAGGAGCGACCATGCCCTCAATCCGTCCTGTCATTCGCCGTCACTAGAAGCACAACAGAATTTGCGTGGTTGCCTTTTGAACCACAAGAGTATCCGACGTGATACCGGTGAAAAGCCGGCGAACCAGAAACAAGAGGCAGGTATGACGACTGCCATTTGTTGCAACTCGGGCATGAATATTTGTGTCCGTATCACTACTAGGCTGACCTAGAAATCACATACTCGATTACGAACAAGCTCTCGGTCGAGTGCGACACAATAAAAAAGCATGGGTCCTCCTACAAAAAGGAGAAAGATGTCTCCCATTACCGACGATGTGCTAGCAGCGACACGGAACAGTACAGAGGCAGAATCCTTGCCAGCTGAGTCCAGGTCTGCCGACTCCGACAAGCCTGCAGAAGACGCGCACGAAGCCACGCCTGAGCTGGATACAGAACAAACAGCGACCTCGAAACCCAACGGTAACGATCGTCTAGCCCGTTTTGCAGCCCTGAAGAAGCGCGCGACAGCCTCCGCAAAGTCCAACCTAACTGAAGCCAAGGCTGAGGCTCAGCGCGCCGCAGTAGACCCATCAATTCTCTCAAATCTGTCACGACGTAGTGCCATAGCTCAGCACAATCTCCTCAAAGCAGACACCGAAGAACAACTAGGCACCGGCGCATTTGAGCGCAAGCGCGCGTGGGACTACACAATCGAAGAGAGCGAAAGATGGGATGAGCGAATGGCGCAAAAGAAAGAGGCTCGCGACAAAAATGCATTTAGCGACTATGGAGCAGAAGCTGCGAAAATCTACGACCGCCAAATCCGGGAACTAGAAAAACAAGCCGCCAAGGACGGCGGACGCAATCGCGAAGAGTACCAGAAGCAAAAGGCCGAACTGATCGAGCAGGCTGCACGTTCAGGTGGACTGGAGATCGTAGAAATAGAAAATGGAGAGCTAGTGGCCATCGACCGTGACGGCAGATTCTACGCCGACGAGAACAACACTGGATTCGTCGAGCAGAAACCAAATAAGGAGAACGTGGACCGTCTGGTTGAGGATATCCGCAAAGCTGAAGAGATACGCTTGCAGAAGAGGAAGAAGAGGAGAGGTGAAGGCGATGATGGGGACGTCACGTATATCAACGAGAAGAACAAGCAGTTTAACCTCAAGCTCGCTAGGTTCTACGATCGGTATACCACGGATATTAGGGAAAGTTTCGAACGAGGCACCGCAGTATGAGATAGCAAATATTATGCGTTGGTCGACCAGTAAAGGTTTCCAAACACAACTTCATGCATGCTCTTTCCTGGATAGCAAGGACATTTGCTTCGACCTCGAATTATACAGCACAAGACAGGACGTAATTAGGCCAGGTAAATTTGCATTAGTCCCATACGCTCAAGTATGAGATGTCCTGAATCCAAACGCGGCATCTGTCAAACCACCAACCATTACCAACACCACGCTAAAGTAGACTCTTATCAGAAACAAGAAATTCAAAAACAAAAAGACACTCGCTTTTCTTGATTAGCTGTCCCTCTCCAACCTAGCCTTAAACGCCTCAATCTCCTCCATCGTCAACCACCCCCTCTCAACCCCTAAACCAACAACATCACCCGCACTCATCGGTATCTCAGCCAAGTCCTCAACCATCAACACATCCCTAATCTCGCACAACTTCTTCCTCAGCTCGTCTTGGACCTGTTTCGCGACCGCGTTGCTGCCAGCCACGTATTTCGTCTTGGCCATTTTGCCTGCTCGGCCTAGGAGGCAGGTGACTAGGTAGCCGAGCCAGGCGACGTTGCTTCTGGGGACGTGGCGTTCCCATGGTGCAATGCACTGTTGAGGCTCGGGGTTGGGTTTGGTGGCGTTGTCGGATTGTGCTGCCGTTTCTGCGGCGAGGTCAATTAATCTTGCAACTTTGGCGTACGTGAGCTGCTGGACTCGGTCTTCGAATTCTTCGGCGTTTTTTGTTGGTTTTGTCTTGGCTAGATCTTTGCATAGTTTGTCGTAGCCTTTTCCTTCGATGACAAATTCTCGAAAGTTTGTGTTTTTCAGCTTGTCTGTGCCTTCAGGTAGTGCTACTCGGCTGAAGGTGTAGTCGATAATGGTCAGCTGGATGTTGCTTAGACCTAGTAATTGCCTCGGTTTTGTGGTCATGTTTGACACTGTGCTTTCTGGCACATCTAAACGATTCTCGAGGCTATCGTCCGCTCTCACGCAGATATTTGAAACATGGAGGTCACGATGTTCAAAACCACAAATTGCCTCCGCATTAGCTAAATGTATAGTGGTCAGCCAGAATACGTCCCAGCTCTGAAAATCGCTGGGTCTCTTCAATACGTCTGATAGTTCCTGTCCAGCATCTTCCATCTCGATTACAGCGTAGTATTGCTCTTCGCTAAATGCATTCGCTGGATCCTCGTTGAGCGCTTTCTTTCGAGATGTGCGTGCAAAATCCCGGAAAGCGGACAGGAAGGACGAAGCCCAGCTACCACGGAGGACGAGACAGCCGCGATAGTGGATGAAACCGTGAACAGGATCCATGGCGCGCATTGTTTGTAACTCGGAAGCGATGTGGAAGGTCGGGGTCATGCCAGCTGTGTCTCCGCCAACAGCCTCTTGCGAGGGAAGAAGGATAGGTAGGATCTTGAGGATGGTAGTAGGATGCAGGTCAGTTGTATTAAAGCTCGATGTCTTGGATTGCGACTGAGACTCTGAGTGTGAGGATGATGAGCAATCGTCTTTTTTCCTTAGAGCGAAGACACTCGAGTACGTTCCTTCACCGATCTTCTTGACGTGGTACTTTTTGGCAAGGGTATTGCCGTACTTCTCGAAAGGAAGGACGCCCCGGTCGGAATAGTTCCTGACGAATTTTTGTATTACTGTCTGGTCTTCTGCGGATTGGATACTGGACACATGGCTAGATTCGGTGCTTAAGCTTTCGGGGTCACCTTTGGCGTTCTTAGTCCGTGATGACTTCGTGGTCGTAGGTCTCGATCGCGAGAGTGATATGCGGTGGTCTGCTGCCTCTGCAGCGGTATGTGACGGCGGTTGAGAACGTTCGCGTCCGGTTGGAGACCTTCTAGATGGTTTCTTGGCATTACTTGAGGTCTCTGCTTGTGTTAATCGTTCGGTTGTTTTGTCCTCTTCACAAGATTTAGGCTGTATCGCTTTGCCATTTTCCGATATCGCAAGCTTCTCTAGCTGCTTCTCGATACTTTGAGTCATTGTGAATATTTCTTTGGCTGCTAACACAGATGCCATAGGCTTGCATTTCTTCCCGTAGGTCCTTTTGCGGCGAGTCGTACTATCATTCTCGATGGTCGTAAGTGAGTTTGTTTGCAGCGTTGTCATCTTTGGTTGACTCAAAGTATGGACATGCCCACGAAGGTCGAGTACGAGTGCACGAGGTTTCAGACGGCGCTGTCGATGAGTCCTGCCTAATTGTGATTAGCGTGGTTACCTGGACAATAGAGTCACGTGTCAAATTCACGATCACGAAAGTGAGCAAACGAAACGTCCAAGTTCTGACCATGAGAGAACACTGTTGTGTAGATCATGCCTTAACACGTGTCGTACTGCTTCTGGTTTCTGACTTCAGATTCGAAAGGCAGCCGTGCTTGAGTCGCAATTGATGAATCGGAATCTAGACTTTTTCACGTTCTGTTTAGTCAGCGGAATACACGCAGTTACCGATGTAACAAGGGGATGTAGAGTAGTCAATATTAGGTATCAGACAGCTGTGTTAGCAAGATGCCTATTAGGTACATTGACTGTCCCAAAACAACGCTTAGGCTAGCACGATTGGTGAACAATACGAAGTCGAGCAGTCACACATCTTCTCCTGAGCAGAACCTTAGGCAGTTGCTATGAGAGACTGATAGCCATCGGCGCAGTATTAATTCAGATGATTGAAGAATCTACAAAGGTACGAGTCTGATCATGAGATATTTCGATTGAATGCTTGGAATCAGCTGTAGCTATTCCAAAATGAGCAGTTACCGCCTGAAGACTGCACAGAAAGCTGAAACACGGCAGTTTTTCAAAACGACATCTTGATCACGTGTCGACATCGTTCGAGCTTAATGCACCCGCAGCTTCATGTCTGCTCACGACAGCATTTGCAGTCCAGGATTCTGTGAACACCACTTGGCTCCTCCCGTCTCGAACGCCGCTCCCTCAATTCTGAAGAAAAGATGGTACAACCAACAGCCGCCCGCCTAATGCAGGCCACACGAGCAAGATTCTTCCGACCTGGAATGAACAATCAATGGGGGTAGGGAACATTCTATGGTGCAGTGCAGGAGTTCAAGAGTTGAAGGAAACGTACGCCTAAACAACGGACTGACGATTGCTTGTAGCTATGTATACCGCGAGAACAGAGTACCACATTATCAAAGACTGATGCAGGCTCATGACGGAAAGCGAACATGGTGGAAGGTCAGTCATGTCGGATATCCCTTCAAGCACATACGAATTCACTATTTGCCCACCGTCACATATACCCCTTAGGAAAACAGGTGCGATCAGAGAAGCTGTCCGCTCTCCACACCATTTACATGCGCTCCTCCTGCAGTGGACATCTTAGATTCGGGAGAAGGAAAGAGCAGACAGCTGGCTTGTTTGTACACAATACTCACCTATTTCTGGCGATCTCGCGATTCATGCATTAGAATGTGACGAGCTTGGAGGACACAAAACATACCCTCAGACTGTGGTCTCAAAGGCAATGCTAACACGTACTTATAGTCACCACGATCTGCATATATCCTCTACCCATACTACGTTATGATGTGGGGCAGCTTCGCCGCTTCCATCTACGCCACGATTCGCATGGTGTTCGGCCACAAGACTTGGTGGTAAACAGCGCTTGGCAAGAGACGAAGGCAGGGCGTATAGTCAGCATGTATATAAGGAAGGAGCATTGCTAGCACAGGGCAAGGAGACCACTTTCGCTGGTGTGGCCGACAGTTCGAGAATGAATAGATTTTGCCGCAGAAATTTGTTTAAGAACAAAAACTTCCACCTCTAATTCCAGAGGGAGTCATTCTGTCCAGCAACAATATCGTCTCGCAAAGCCCACCTCTACGAACACGGCGAATGTTCTCTGGTCTTGTTCCTGCAACACTTTTGCAAAAGACATAGAGAAAGAACGATCGATACCAGTGGCTTAATCTTTCTCTAGAGTTTCTTGCTGCTAGCCAGGTCAAAATTCACAGCTACGGCACGCACCATTTCTGACCACTTCTTGTTCGAGCGAGGGCAAGGCGTCGAGCTCGAATGCCAAATGGAATCTCTACTCATCCCCAGGCAGCGCAGATACTGCAAGATGGATACATGGTAGGGTAATCTTTGTGTGTTCTCCGTGTAATATGTCTTGTCTACAAAAACCGTACTAATTTAACTGTACTCTTCTTCTTTCAACAGGTTAAGCACAAATAGCTGCGAGATCAGGCCTACCATGCTGTTCGTCAATATCTCCACAGGTGCGAATCGTGTGAAGCAGACAGAAGCCGGTTCCCTTCTGGAACGTATGGCTACTGACTCAGGGTTCCGAACCAACATGCTGAGTCTTTCAAAATACAGATGTATTTGTAGTAAAGCATACTTCCTTCAGTACAACGTCGCTAAGCAAATGGAACTCTACTACTTCGAGTTTAAATCCCGAAAAGGGCGTGCTATTATTGCTGCCTGAGGCCATGAGACGATGGTGAGCCTGACCAGCTATAACACAGGAACAATACAGGTTATATAAATTTTCTTCCTCATCTAGCGTACAAGTCGTTGTTGCTTTCCTATATTCAAGGTCGTGCTGCTTGCTCGCGGTGAGAGCTTATTCACGACCGAACTGCTAGTCACTTTGATAGCCTGATCACTACCATTGCCTCGACAATATGCCGCTAAAAGTCCTTCCTTGCACTACGCTTGACTATCCTCGAAGTTTCGAGGTTGAGCGGAGAGCATGGGCTCAAGCTCCGTTCACCAAGATCCTTTTTCCAGGGCCATTCCCCGAAGATATGGCTGAACTTCGTGCACAGGAGATCGCAAAGCAGGTGGAGGAGGATCCAACCACTCGGTGGCTGAAGGTAGTCGATGCAGACCTATCCGACCCAGATGAGGGCATTGCGTTTGCTAAATGGCATGTCTATACCGACCAGCCAGCCAACATAGGGCGAAGCAGATCATTTGGAGAGGGATGCAACATTGAGGCGTGCGAGTTTGTGTTCGGCGGTGTCTCAAAGTCGCGAGACTCGATCATAGGCGGCAAGAATTTTGTCTGCAAGTCTCTCCTCTTCTGTTTTCTTCTCGTTGTGTGTAGCTCAGGTAAGCTAATTCAGAGCAGATCTCGCTATACTTGCCACGGATCCTGATCATCAACGTCGTGGTGCTGCTGGCCTATTAGTGAAATGGGGAGTAGAAGAAGCCAAACGGTACAATCTGCCGTTGTATGTCGAAAGTTCCGAGGCAGGTCATGAATTGTATAAGAAATACGGCTTCAAGGATTTGGAGTTGCATGAGATCGACATGAGTAGATGGGGCATTGCACAACCACACCGTAGCTGGGGGATGATGATTGAGCCCGAAGCCAAGGCACCTTTAACAGTGGCTGCAATGGATGACAGCACAGTAGGTGCGACGACAGTGGCAACAGCCAATGCCTAGATGAGGTGAAAGGCGACTTCTCACAACGAGTGGCATGATTACAAACAAATTTGCAGACCTAGGTCGCAGCTTTTGCTTGTAGGACAATTCTTGCGATGTGTTCATGATGCTGTGACTGCATTGTTGGTCACATCTAAAATGGTGGCAGAGTCGTGAGTGAACAGAAGCAACGAGCGTCGATTGTAGAAGCCGATACTGGCAGGTGACGGGACAATGACACACCGAGCCATCCCTCAGCCATCACGACCGACGCGCCTCATTCCACGTGTCTGTGCTGTCCACTTGACGAGCAACCATGCTATGACCTGTCATTACGGCCCCGGTGCCGTCACTGATGCCTATTGCTGATATAGAACTTCGTGAAGTCCTTCATCCTTCTGCTATGGACAGAATACGGAAGTTATTCGAGCCCTCGCCTGCCTACGCTCCAGTCGATACTGAACAAGATAACGATGAGGAAGACGACGATTCATCTCGGACACTGGACGCAGCTGGTGAGCTGCCGTTCTCATGGCTAGAATATTGCGTGTTCCTCCTCCTAGGAGTAGCAATGTTATGGGCTTGGAACATGTTTCTTGCGGCTGCGCCCTACTTCCAGAGTAGATTCAGGAGCAATAAATGGATCTACAACCACTTTCAGGCAGCCGAGATCAGTGTTTCGACCATTACAAACTTATTATCTATGATCGTCCTGTCCAAAATGCAGAAGAATGCTTCATATCCAAAAAGAATCGCAGCCTCTCTCGTTATCAATGCAATATGCTTCTCCATTCTTGCAATCTCTACACTAATAAGGTCCTCTGCTGGCGCATACTTTGGCTTCCTGCTTGTTGCTATCTTTACAGCTAGTCTAAGCACAGGCTTGATACAGAACGGCCTATTCGCCTTCGCCTCTGGTTTTGGAAGAGGAGAATATACACAAGCAATCATGACTGGTCAGGGTGTCGCAGGAGTCTTACCGCCCTTGACTCAGATCTTTTCAGTTCTGGCAGCTAGCAAGCCTGCTGACGACGCCGAGGCCGAGGATGAGTCCAACAAGTCAGCCTGCATTTATTTCATTGTTGCTGTCGTTGTTTCGGTGCTTGCTCTCCTGGCATTCCTTTATCTGCTGAGGCGAAACAACCAAGCCGAAGCTCTACGATCAACCAAACGGACAACCGTTGACGGCTCAGCAGAAGGCGATATGCTTACTTCTTCTCACCATGACGATACACTGTCGGGCCGTACACCTGTTGGCCTTTGGACGCTCTTCAGAAAGCTTCCCTTCCTATCCGCAGGCGTCTTTGTCTGTTTCACTGTCACGATGATAGATTTCCCAGTCTTCACAGCAGAGATCCTGTCAACCTCTGGCGTTGATGATGCAATCTTCATACCCCTTGCTTTTTTGATCTGGAATCTCGGCGACCTGCTCGGTCGATTACTCACAATCTGGCCGACAGTCTCCCTAACACATTGGCCGTTCTCGCTGTTCTGCATAGCCATGGCACGCTTCGTCTTCGTGCCACTATACTTTCTGTGTAATGTTCGGGGTCGTGGGGCGGTGGTACCGAGTGACCTCTTCTATCTTATCATCGTGCAGCTACTGTTCGGACTTACTAATGGTTATGTTGGAAGTGAATGCATGATGGGCGCTGGAGAGTGGGTCGAGGCTGAAGAGAGAGAAGCTGCTGGTGGCTTCATGGGTCTTGTGCTCGTTGGTGGACTTACAGCAGGCAGTCTGCTCAGTTTTGCCTTGGGCGATGTCTGAAACACCCCCATCGAATGGCATTAAAGCGCTGTTCGCAACACGAATCCCAGCAGATGAGCTAAAAAGCACAATATCTCCACTTCGGCGACCTGACACCGCACCTGCTCTGGCCACGAACCAAGATGAGTCCGCTTGTTCGAGTGTCCGCAAGCAACAAGCTCGGACTCTCTATCCGTCAGGCCCCTCCAGCCTCTATAAACATTGTCGCAGTCAGCGTAACAACCTAAAAGTCACGTGTTGATGCTGTCCCAAAATGGTGACCTCACTATCGGATCTGGAGATGATACAAGCACAATCTAAAAGTCGTTCAAGCTTGCGGGAGTGGTGGAAACTAGCAGAAGCTTGAGAAAGCAGTCCAAGGGTAGCTGAAGCTTCTACCATCAGCTCTCGGTACTTTCGCCAATATGGCACGATGATATACACATTATTGCGGACATTCCTGCTACTTCACCGGACCTTGATGAGCCGGATACGCAACATGCAACAGCACCATAGGCAGCCTACGGGTAGTGAGGTCACGGTCATGATCGAGTACCATCTACCTAGCCACTCAATTACTTATTATGCCTGTCTTACTCCAGCTCATCTTTCTCGACCATTACTGCCTGTGGTCGAGTACTCACATCCATAAAAGCAGCTAACATGAAGCTCGTTGCCATCGCGTTGAGCCTGGTGTTGAGTAGCTTAGCTGCAGCGCAACACATAGCACAAGATACTGGTGTACGTGGCCCACCGATAGAGATTACTCACTTGTTCTACGATCAGATGCCTACAAATGTGGCAGTGAGCAGATCAGGACGAATCTTTGCCTGCTATCCTTCCGGTCTCGATGCAAACAATACCCGATATCAGGCCGCTGAGCTGACCACGAACACTACTGAAACCCCATACCCAAATGCTGAAATCAACAGTCCTCCTGGAGGTGCCATCAACTACACCGTATGTCCTCCAATGGGAGCAAACTACCAGAACTACTTCCTTGGCGTCCAATCTGTTGCCATCGACCCTCTTGAACGTCTGTGGATTCTTGATACTGGTCGAGCACTCACACCAAACGGTACACTAGTGCCGGCAAGCTACGGCGGTGCGAAACTTGTTGCAGTCGACCTCGCAACAAACACCATCAACCAGACCATCGTCCTCCCTTCCACAGCTGCATACCCAAACAGTTACATCAACGACGTCCGCATCGACCTTCGTCCCAACGTCACAGTATCCGGCCAAGGCGTCGCCTACGTCACAGACTCAAGCCAACAAGGCCAAAACGGCCTCATAATCGTCGACCTCGGCACCAAAGAAGCCTGGCGTCACCTAGACTTCACTCCCTTTGTCCGCGCACAAAAATAACACCTATCATCCGTCTGGGGCGAACAAGTCTACTTCATGCCCGGCCCAAACCAACCCTTCACCTTCGACTCCACCGGCGCAGACGGCATCGCCCTCCTCGACGGCAGCGACACAATCGTCTGGTCAATCACTGGTGGCCGCCACCTCTACAGCATCCCGAACCAATATCTCCTCAGTCGAGCCCCCAACAGCGAAGTCCAAGCTCAAGCGAACGTGAAAAGTCTTGGTGAAAAGGGCCAGACAGACGGCTTGATGCAAGATACTAACCAGTATATCTATGCTGGTAACGCGGAGCAGAACGCGATTAATGTCTACAATGCGAGGAATTCGACTTTGACGACTTATATTCGTGATCCGAGAATTGGTTGGACTGGTGAGTGATTAGCAGAAACCTCTTGCTTGAGTAATTACGATTTACTGACGCGCTATGTGTGGTAGACTCGATGTGGATCTCGAATCAGACGTTATATTTTCTTGAGAACCAGCTTTTCCGGAGCCCGTCGTACTATCCTGGGACGGATCGGAGGATTAAGCCGTATGTGTTGTATAGGGCGCCGACGGCGGATGGGGGGAGTAGAGTGTCTCCTATGATGATTTGATCTGTTACTGGCGTGGCTGAGGGGCGAAGGAATGTGGAACCGTAATGGAAGATGGAGAGTAGATGAGTTGCATGGAATTAATGTCTCGTTGAAGACAACTGATGCTTCATTGCTACATGCATAGTAGCTTCTAGATTCTCTTGCTCGATTTTGTTCCCAACTATATTGAGGGAGGCTGCGAGCGTCTCGATGTGTTGACCTTATCCTCTAGCAGACCGTTCGAATAACTCGGCCCGTGTCCAAGCTCTTCGTTCGGTCCATTTCTCAACCACGTCCTTCGGTGCTGAGACGCCTATCTAGCCCTCATCAGCGTGACCTTCCGCAATACCCACAAGGTCAGATAATGCTCGTTTCCCCCTCGTTGTTTCCTGCTTTCCAAGAAATTGCATAGGCGGGATTGCCTCATCCTCCTTCAATACTATCGCTAAATCCTCCTGACCCCAGGGTCTTCATCGTATAGCGGCGTAGCTTGCAGTCTGTGCGTATAAGGCAATGTCCTGACACAAGATTTCAAAGTTTCTAGTCAGTGGCACCCTGACTCTATTTATCGACCGTTGCGCTTGTCTTTCTCTGTTGAGCTCGGTGTTTTGGGATATAGCATGCTCCTGAGGCACAGGTACTTGAAAGAGTAGTTGTGGATAATAGACCGTAGTCGAAGCGAGGTCTCGTGCATGGCACTTCTGGTGTTATTATAGACAAAACAGCCATCGATCAAAACTTGCTTGTCTCATCTCACGCCCATCTGAGCTCTAATCTGCAATACCTGCTGCTTCTCCGTCTCCGGCAAACTGTCAATAGTCCTTTGATCCATGGCCAGAATCTGCTGCAACAACTGGTTCTGATCAGGTTGTGGAGGTGCCTGGACGGGAGGCGGCTGTTGTTGAAGCTGCTGTTGTGGTGGTGGGTAAGGTGGAGGCGGTGCACCATACGGAGGCATGACTCTAGGTGGCATGCCCACGCCTGGCATTTGCTGGCCTGGAATGGGTGGAGGTGGATAGCCAGGGTACTGTGGATGTTGCTGTGGCATTGGTGGGTATTGTGGGTGAGGAGTTTGATGTGGTGGTGGGATGGGAGGTGGCTGAGCAGCCATGGGGGGTGGTACGACGGCGGCAGGGCGCTGGGGTTGGTCGAGGACTTGCTGGAAGATCTTTTCGTCGACTAGACCCATGAGGAGGAGAGCTTGGAAAATGGCGTAGGATAGTTGTGGTTGTTGACGAAGGAGTTCTGTTGTCTTTGCAGGTTCGGAGATAGCCAGGGATTTCATTTGAGTCAATATGTCGAGTAGTGTCTGTGGCGGGAGCTGGCTCAGAGTCTGAGAAATAGCATCGGTGGCTTTGAGATTAGGAGGAAGTTCGACACCAGGTGGAAGAGGAGGTAGAGCTGTTTGAGCAGCTTGTCCATTGTAGGCACCATCAGGCGGCACCATATCCCCATCGCTCGCCTTGTCTGCTGCATCCTTGTTCTGCTGATGGGGCCAATCGACTCTGATCTTGCGTCCTCCAACCTCATAGTCGTTCAGGTTTCGCACAGCAGAAGCGGCCTGGTCTGGGTCTGCGTATGTCGCGAAGCCATATCCTCTAGGTTTTCCAGTACCACTATCGGTCATCAACCGGAAGCTCGTTACCTGGCCGACAGTATTTAATATGCCCGTTATTTGCTCCTCGCTAAGATCTATTGGCTGTTAGTATTGGTTGGTGCTGTGTAGAAGAGGACTGACTGAAAGGAATGTTTCCCACAAAAATCTCCTTGGAAGAACCCGGCGCCATGCTGAATTACAGAATTGTTACAGAACAGAAAATGCTAGTAGAAGAAGACGAAAGGGAACGTGAATGATGGACGAGACAAAGCACGCGAACTTGTCGCATGCGATACATTCGACGGTCAATCACGTGACTACGGTCGATCTTCCAGGTGGAGTCAAAACGCATCTGCATCTCGTCGCCCGAAATATAACCCGTCATCAACTCGCGCCTTCTCATCCAGGTCAACGATCGTCAAGCACACAACTCCCACAGAGGCTGTCCGAAGATGGCGCAAGATCCTCGAGAATACATGCAGCGGCTGCAAAAAGCCATACAGCAACGGCAAGGAGGGTTTGGAGGTGGTGGTGGCCTGCCTGGTGGAGGCGCTGCTGGGAGAGGTCTTTTTGGCCTCATTGCTCTAGGTGTTGGCGCCGCGGTCATTTCCAATTCCATCTTCAACGTCGACGGTGGTCACAGAGCTATCAAGTACACGAGGATAGGTATGTGGCAATTGTGGTGTCTGGTTGTTAACAGCAGCAAGCTAACAGCACTCCAGGTGGTGTTAAGAAAGAAATCTACGCTGAAGGAACCCACATCAAGATCCCATGGTTTGAAACACCCATCGACTACGATGTCCGAGCCAAGCCGAGAAACGTCGCCTCTTTGACAGGAACAAAAGACTTGCAGATGGTCAACATCACCTGCCGTGTCCTATCGAGACCGAACGTAGATGCTCTACCCCAGATATACAGAACTCTCGGCACCGACTACGATGAGCGAGTCCTCCCATCCATTGTCAACGAAGTCCTCAAGGCCGTCGTAGCTCAATTCAATGCCAGTCAACTGATCACTCAGAGAGAAAACGTAGCCAGGCTAGTCAGAGACAACCTCGCCCGACGCGCCGCCAGATTCAACATCATCCTCGATGACGTCTCACTCACACATCTCGCCTTCTCCCCCGAATTCACCGCCGCTGTCGAAGCCAAGCAGGTCGCTCAGCAAGAAGCCCAACGAGCAGCCTTCATTGTCGACCGAGCTAGACAAGAGAAGCAAGCTACCATTGTCCGAGCACAGGGTGAGGCCAGATCCGCCGAGCTGGTCGGCGAAGCCATCAAGAAGAGCCAGAGTTACGTTGATTTGAGACAGATTGAGAACGCAAGAAACATCGCCTCGATATTGCAAGAGGCTGGTGGCAAGAATAAGCTCTACCTTGAGTCTGAGGGTCTAGGCCTGAATGTCCGTCCCGGTGAGCACAGCAAGCTGAAGTAATTGAGAAAAAGAATGTGTAATGGATAGCTGGGGTAGCTGGAAAGGCGAAAATGTACAATTCATCTCTTATCATGAACTAAAACACCGCCTCCAGTGTCCTATCGGATTATAGTGCTTCTATGAACTGCTGCCTCTGTCACTATTCCGTCTTCTACCTGTCTCAGGGAAGCAGCAGTGACGCGTCGACCCCAGCATCTTGACCCCTCTCAGACAGACAGTCTACTTTTACGCGACTAGAACTATTCAGTGAGAGAGCCAACTTTTCAAGATGTATACTTCTGTATGTGTAACGTAAACCAGGTTGTTTCCTCCAAAGTCTCACGAACCCTCACAAGACCCCAAGAAAAGGTTGGCCTTTCTTCCTTCTTGCTACTATATCGGCCTGCCTAGTTACTAGGCACCACCAACCTCTTCACCCTCAACCCCGTCTGCATCGTCTCCTCCCCCTCCTTCCCCCAATCATACTCATACTCCATCTCCGCCACAAACATCGCCCTCATCCTCCACCTCTCGCCCTCCAAATCCACCTCCCCTGCGTCTCTCTTCATAGCTCCCGCATTCCACCCCTCCACCACATCCGCATGAAAAATCAAATACCTCCCATCCGGACTTACCGCCGGACCACCCGGCGCAAACAATACCGCGTCGCCTTTCCCATCATTGTCGGGTTGAGCATAAGACGCCGATTCGAGAAGCGTGCTTCCGACGGAGTTCTTGAGTTCCTGCCACGGACATTCGGTAAAGTGTGTTATTGTGTCGTTGAGGAGGCAGGGGATGTGTTCGATGCGGTAGGAGGAGTCGACGAAGCAGCCGGAGTTGTAGAGGAGGTGGTAGGCGTGTTTGGTTTTGCCAGACTTGTGGTGGTGGTATGCGTGGTGAACAATGAAGGGGGATTCGATGGTGCTGCCGTCGCTGCAATCGTTGTGGAGGAAGATTGTGCTGTTGTTGACCGTGTTGATTGCTTGACTGCCGTTGTTGGAGGTGAGAGCGGACTCGGTCAAGTTGCTGGTGAGAATATCGTATTGGAATGTTGTCGGTGTATTTGGCCAGTTACTGTTCGAGCACGCTCCTCCACTTCCGATGGCGTTTCCGTCGTTTTTGTACACAATGTAGCTCGTGTTGCTCGTTGGATCTACCAGGAAGGTAGGGTCGATGATGCCGCCGAGCTCGAAGTGGCAGACGAGTGGCTCTTGGCTGGTTGCTGTGTATGGACCGATCACTTCTAAAATGGTCGCTATACCCAGGCAATGTTTGTTGGTGTGCTCGCTATGCAGCGCTGAGAATAACATTACGAACATCCCGTCGTCTCTTTGGTTGACCTGAGGAGCCCAGACCGCTGCATCGCCTGGGCTTTTGACCCAGGACGGCAATATTGGAAGGGCATCGTATCCCTCGGACAAAGTCCAGAAGGATACATCTTCAAGCGCACTTCTAGCCACCTGCACGTGTAAACTTGCATTGGCTCCGCTTCGAGTTGCGAAAGCGTATAGAGTGTTGTTGACTTCGATCACTGTCGGATCAGGGAAATTGTGCTTTACCACAGCGTAGCGAGCAGCGTCATCGGCATCTATTGGGTCTGTGAAAGGTTCCTTTTTGCCATTCAAGTCGACAAGCAGCAACACTGGTAACAAAATCACCAGGAGTAGAATTACCACTCCGAGAACAGTGAGTAGTATTTTCCAATTCCTCGAGTATCCAAAGAAACTCGTCTTTGTCCTTCGCCATAGCGCATTCCTATTGTCCTGTACGACCTCGACCTTCACATCTTCGAGAGAAGATTGGCGCTTGTCAAGTGCTTTCCCTATATTGTAGCGGTTCATACTTGCTACCAATTGGTAGCACAGTATATTGCGTCTGGCATGGTGGAAAAGAGAGACCAATGTCAGCAAACAGGATGAGGTGTGAATAAGACATATTTGAGCTTTTGGTCAGGAATTGCGAACGGGCCTCTCTGAGTGACACTGTAATGATCAAATGATTGCAATTCACTCCTGCTGTGAACGCTCGTGCCAAGTCGTGCCGAGCTCAAAAGGGTGAGCAGTGTCCGTACATCTTCTGTAACCTCAGAATTTCAACCGGCAACTTCGTATAACTGGTTCATAAAGTGTCTATTCCAGATTGAAAAGTGGTTGCACAGTGGCTTCCTTCCTACAGGTTGCACAGCATTCGTGCAACATAAGTTGTCACATCTCCACGCAACCAACGCACGAGAGGCGTGGAAGACATGTTCAGACAATGAATCAATAAATCTATGATATACCGAGAATAACATAAATTCAGAAGCAGGAAGCGATGGCGCCTGAACAGCCATAACTACATTGATCCAACCAACATGTGACCATGCAGCTCTTCGCTGCCTCCACAATATGCACCGTAAAGACAATCATAACCACCTATACTCATATTCCCGTAAATTCCAAACTTCCCATCATGGCCCTCTCAAACACTTAAGCACCTGTCAGGTACCTGACCAAGTTGTCTCGCTCGCTTGTAGGAACTAAGCTGAGCACTTCTCTAACACCCTTCAAGCCACCTTCCTTGTTTGCCATCATCAACTCTGCAACCTTCTTGCTGATTGCATCGCTCTTGACAGCATCAACTCTAGCGTAGATGTCCTTTCTGTGGCTCTCGTACCACTCGGCGACCTTCTTGTCATCACGATCGAACTCAACATCGAGCATACCAGACCACGCCTTGAGCATTGCAAGATGTTGGTCTCGCTGAACGATACGCTCAGCCGATGTCAACGGTGTTGCGCTGTTGACGGAAGACATTCTCTTGAGCATGACCTCCTCAGAAAGTCTTCGTCGAAGACGCCAGTAGAAGAATCGTCGTGCATTCTTCCAGTGAAGACCCATTCGAATGACACCCTTGGCTTGCATACGACCAGCTCGATCGTGCAAGTCCGCGAACTGGATCGCAACCTGCTGGTAGACTGGTCCTAGCAGGTTCTCTCGCTCAGTCATCTTGGACTTGATCTCGGATGCCTGCTCAGCAGTGATGCCCTTAGCAACAGACTGTGCCCTAAGTTGAGCATATTCTGGATCCAATCTGGCCATGGTCTCAAGCTGCTTCTCCTTGCGGTATTTGATACCAACAATACCTTCTGGCTCTAGAACACCTCCACGAGCGTCCTCATCAGCATACATCTCCATCTGCTCAGGATTGATGGTAGGATCAACAACGACCCAGGAACCACCACGAAGCTCACCGAATGGTGGAATGTAGACAAATACAGGCTGCTCGTACTTGACAAGAGCATCGACAATGTACGATCCGTACTTGAGCACTTCGTTGTACATGTCTCGCTGACCACCAGAGAAACCACGCCAGTTGGCCAGAATCATGACCGGCAACTGCTCACCGTAGTTGAAGTCCTTGAGGGCTTGAGCAGTCTTGAAGGCGGAATTCGGATACCAGACACCGCCAGCTTCTTGCACGACTTGCTCCATAGAGTCAGCGTTGGCAGGGTCTGCAGGTGTGACGTTCTCAACAGTTCTAGTCTCAACTGCGATGACACCCATTGGAATACCGGCAAGACGAGCACGACCAACAACGACGGTTCTCGCCCAGCCACCAAGTGCTTCGGTGAAAGATCCTCTGTCGAAGAGACCAGATTGGAAACCATCTGCAGTCTCGGCACCTGCGATGAGGTGACGGACATCATACGGTGCCGATCGACCTGGTGGGAAGAACGTGATGTCTCGATCCCAGAGGTCAACAGAGGGACTGATCGGAACAGGGTTGCCTTTCTTGTCTGGCACGAATGAGAGCCAATCAACAATCTGTTCCACACCCTGGAAGTCGTCGTTCGCCGTCATATGGGAGACACCATTCTTGTACATGATTTGTGTGCCACCAAGCTGGAGGTTGGAGGTGTACACCTCGCGTCCCAATACCTTGTTCAAGGCAGGTGCACCAGTGAGGATAATTGGCTGACCCTCAATCTGGATGGCACGTTGGCCAAGTCGGACAAGGTAAGCACCAATACCGACCGATCGGCAAGTGACCAGAGTCAATGTGAAGATATCTTCGTATGCCTTGGATGTGGCACCAGCGATGAGACCAGAGCCTCGCAAACATTCAACACCAAGACCATCCTTGGCACCAACAATCGTGACGATCCTGTGTCGGGTTTCTCCTTCGTCTTCGATCTCTTCAGTGAGCACATCCTTTTCTGCCAGGGTCTTTCTCTTTGCTGGTGTTAGGTAGAGGTACTTGAAACCAGCATTTTGGTTATTGGGATCATTCCAGGCGACCGAGAAGTGTGGGATGAGCTCGTCAGCCATACCAATACGAGCACCGGAGTTGGCGGACAGGTAGATGCGTGGTACACCAAGCTTGCGAGCGAGTTCAGTGCACCTGTTGAAGAACGCATCTTCTGTCGGACCAAATGAACCAATTTGGTACGTGATATCGTTGGCAACCACAACAAATCGTCGTCCTCGAGGATATTCAGGTGTCCTAGCTGTGATAAGCCAGCCGACCATACCGCAATTGTTGGTGCCTGGCTCACGTGCAACCTCGCTTAGGTTGTCGGCATCGTCGAGCACGAGTTCCTTGTAATCGATGCAAGTGCCAACTTCAGGTCGTGATTCGGCCAGGGCAGGATACTTGGCAGTAGCCTTGGACCAGCTGTTCTGAATAGCTTGCCTGAACAGCTCTGGGAAGTCGTAAACATATTGGGTTCCCATTAAATGAGCCTTGTTTCGCTTGGGCTGTAGCCACTCCTTGATAGCATATGGTGTCGACACTGGTCGCATGTGCATGGCTCCCACTTGGGTGCCGCCAATACTCTCGAAGATCCAGTCTCCATTCTTCGACTTTCGTTCGACATACGACTCGACCTTGACCACAAATCCAGATGTGTTATTGATGATAACACGGAGAGGGAATGGCAGTCCGGATTCTGGGTCAGTGCACAGAATACGAAGCTCAGCGTTCGTTACACGAAGGCGCCAAAGTCTTCGACCAAATCGTTCCAAGAAACCAGCAAGCTGTTCTTCAACATCCTTTGGCTGAAGTGGGAAAACTGGAGTGAAATTGATGAAGATGTGGTTGAGATCCGAGTTGTTGTTGCCAATAATCTCAAGAGCATCAAGAATATCGTTGACCAGTCGGTCAGTCTCAGCAATGAGATACTCGGCAGTAGGAATGTCGTCCTTCAATCGACCTGGGCGCACGACAGCACGTGTAAAGTAGCGCTTGTCAATGACCTTGTCATTCTCATTGCCTTTTCCATAAGCCTCGAAGATATGAATGTTGCGATTCTCCGTGAAGACAGGCTTGATCTGGAATCTTGAGAGACGTCCAAGCTCAAGTTGGAAAGCAAGTGCAGGTTCGACGTGTCGCATGCCAAGGTCTTCGTTGTAGAGGGGTCCTCTAAATGTGAAGTAGCCTGGATAAGCAGCTTCCTTGTGACCGCAGATGAATGTAACTCGTCGAATCTTTCGTGCTGCAAGGTCACCCTTGTAATCGTCAATCAGTGCTGCGGCTCGGCCAAGCAAGTCTTCGTCGTTCATGCCTTCATCATTCTTAATGGCAATGTTCAGGACACCAGTAAGGTCACTGTCATCGTCGACATTAGGCTTGGTTGATCCACGACGCTCACTTGGTAGAGCGAGTGACGAGACGCTAGGTCGTGAGGCTACACCTCTGGGGAAGACCTCAAGTGCACGAGCCATCACCTCGTCAGCGTCGTCAAGGTATTGACAAGCAACGATGACACCCTTTCTGGTGGGCTCATCAGGATCCATGACCTTATTCAAGTATGAAAGATCGCTGACAGATGTGACTCGCTTGAAGGCATCGGTGCTGCGTGCTGGTGTCCCAGGCTGTGATGGGTAGGACGATTGTAGTGGCAGACCAAATTCAGACTGACCAACACGTCGAAGCACAAAGTCCCACGAGAGGTAAAAGGGTGGTTCCACGTCATTGTGATACTCCACCTCTTTTACAGTATAGGCACGATAAGCTCGTCGAATATATGTTTCCAAAGCAGCAAGGCCAATCCATGGATCTGAATGAGCAAAGAACGATGGCAACACGTCAAAGACAGTGTACTGAGAGTCAACAACCTCCTTCAAGACATCCAAATCTGGCTCCCGATGACCTTGGCGAGACTCACCATAGCTTGATTGCATGACAGCAGATTTGAGAATGTGCTCCATCTGCGATCGTCTCTCCTCGAGTGAAGGAAGAGCAGCTTGGATCAAGAGTTCTCGGGCTTTGAGAGCGACCTTAGCAGTGACTCGGCCTTCAAGTTCAGTCAGTCGTCGTAAAGATGGCTTGAAATACTTGGCCATATCGCTGGTAGCAGGCTGGTTTGGTCGGTACGCATCCAGGATAGCCACGATGAGGTTGTTCTTAGTGGCAGCTCTGGTGTGAGAAAGTACCTGCTGCACGACTGGCATGACATCCTCTTTGTTTGCCTCACGAAGCTTGAGAATTACATCTTCGTCTCTGAGGACACCAGAGCAGAATTGCTTCTCCACAGCATAGTACTGATCGAGGAAGTAAGTAAAGATGCGGTACTCGTGCACTTTCAGGCCGTCCATGTATTTGTTGATGACATCAAGTAGTGGTTGGAGAGTGGTTCGAAGTGTGGCAGCATTGGCCGGTGAGAGGTTGTCTTCCAAGAACTTGGTCAAAGTTCTCAGCAGCTGCTTCGAAGGGAAATCCGAGTGGCGTGCATGAGCGCGTTTCACAGTATCTTCAAGCTGGGCATCCAACTTTTGAGGTGTTCGCGAATGAAGTGCCGAAGCTTGTGCAGCCCACTCACCATATGGCAGCTCGGGATCTCGAAGCACACTGATGAGATCTTTCAATGTCTGAGCCATAATGATCTGGTTATCGTAGCCCTCAAGAATACTGTTGAGGACATCGTAGGCCAGAGCGAATCTTTGTGGTGGTTTGTTACCTAGGAATTGAGGAGGACCGAAATCTGGCAGCTTGCCAATAAATGGCTGTGCAGTCTTGACACGTGAAGGGTCATCGAGAGCAAGGATACCAAGGATGTCGCCAGCCTCGAGAGTGGCTCCTGGCTGCTTAATGAACTGCACGATACCGTCTTCTGATGCGATCAAAGGCATGTACATCTTCATGACTTCAACCTCAGCGAAAGGTTGACCAGCGCTGACGTGCTCACCATTCTCGACAGTAAACTTGACCAGCTTACCAGGAGATGGAGTTCGAAGCTGTGTAGGGTCGTTCTCCTGCTCAAGAAGAGCTGTCTTGCCGTCAACGCTGACACGAGTGGCACCAGGCTCGTCCTTCCAGTAAAGACTGTGTGACTTTCCACTAAGAAGCATCAAAAGACCACCATCGGCCAACGGCCTGACTCCAACAGTAGCTTTGGTGCCGTTTATGAAGAGATGGTAACTGCCTTTGCTGGATCTGGTGGCAGTGAATTTGTATCGTTGGCCATCGTAGATGAAGTCGATTGGGAAGACAGTCTTCAAAACATCTTTGGAAGGTACTTGGCCCTTCTCCAAGCCCTTTCGGTACTCAGTGATGCAGCCCTCGCTGGCAACGTGAGCCTTGACGGTGGCACCAGCAAGTACAGCCAATGTTGGATCTGGCCTCTCTGCAGTCAATTTGTTGGTGATCAGTTGATCGAGCCAGCCAGTTGTGATCGTGTTGCCTTCGAACGCTGGAGTCTCGAGCAGCTTGATCAAATATTCGACTGTAGTCTTGAAGTCTCCACGAATGTTCAGTTCCTTCAGGGCAACTACCATGTGCTTTCGTGAAGCAGCTCGGTTCTCGCCATAAGCAAAAATATGACCGAACTGGCTGTCGGAAAAGCTGTGAATAGATGAGGCAGAACTGACGGAGAAGTAACCCCAGACGTTTGAGGACGATCTGAAATTGAGATCGTGAATAGTACCTCCAGACGGCTTGAAGCCCTCGTTTGGATCCTCAGAGGTGATACGACAAGCGGTACAGTGACCCTTTGGTTGTGGTCGTCTTTGAAGTTTCGAGGTCTCTGGCTTTGTGAAGTGGAAGTCGATGTCAGTGGTAGTATGAGGATCCACTCCGTACAACAAACGAATGTCACGGATTCTGTGTAGTGGAATACCCATAGCAACCTGTAGCTGAGCAGCTGGCAAGTTTACACCACTGACCATTTCGGTAGTAGGATGCTCGACTTGTAGACGTGGGTTAAGCTCGAGGAAATAGAAGGCATTATCGGCGTGCGAGTAAAGGTACTCAACAGTACCGGCAGAGACGTAGCCGACCAGTTCACCAAGGCGAACGGCGGCCTGCTCCATGCCACGGAAAATCTCTGGACCTGCGATTGTGACTGGTGCCTCCTCGATAATCTTCTGATGTCTTCTCTGTACTGAGCAATCTCTGCCGAACAGCGAGATGTTATTGCCATACTGATCAGCCAGTAATTGAACCTCCAGATGTCGAGCATTGCCTGCGAGCTTCATGATGAAAATTGGTGAGCCTGGAATTTCACTAGCTGCGGCGTTGTACAGGCTAACAAAGTCCTGTTCATTTTCGACTTTTCGAATACCTTTTCCACCACCTCCTTCTGAGGCTTTGACCATGACAGGGAAGCCAATTTTCTTTGCGGCTTCGAGACCTTCTTCCGGGGAGTTGACACAACCCTTCTGATAAGTCTCGTCTGTGACTGTAACAATGCCATCCTTGTCAACCTCAACATCAGCAACACCTTCACCAGACCATGGTATACATGGCACTTTTGCGTGTTGTGCAACGATTGTAGAGGAAATTTTGTCACCCAAAGATCTCATGGCAGAGCCAGGAGGACCAATGAATATAATCTTCTTCGGCGAGGCAGCGAGAGATTCGGGAAGCTTTGGATTTTCGGAGGCATGACCCCAACCAGCCCAGACTGCATGGGCGCCGACTCGCTCGGCTACATCGACGATAAGTTCGACGTTGGCATAGTTGTTGTTGTTGGTGCCACCAGGAACCTATGGTCCAAGCGTCAGTATTTTGTGCTAACTGCGACAATGTTTGAGATTTTCCAATGCACGTACCTCGACGTATTGATCAGCCATCCTGATGTAATCGGCGTTCGCTCCCAGGTCTTCTGGAGTAGCCATCACAGTGAACTGAATGGCTCTCTCGTCGCCAAATGTCTCGTACGCCCATTTTCGGACTGATCGAATTTCTTTGACTGCAGCAATACCGTTATTCGCTATCAGTACCTGACCGACTCTGTTAGAGGCTGCAAGATTGACAAGACGATGTTTAAGCTCACATTTGTGATGACCGAGTGACCATCGCTAGCATGTACGAAATCCTTCACTTTGCTCGGGGGCGCCTTGGACAGCTTGTTCCCGCCAATGAAGTGGGAAGCCACTGTCTGTTTTGCTTGCCAGGCACTGGTTGTGCCATTTGGCGTTTTGGAGCCGTTCACACCATTAACGGCAGCCATATTGTCTGATTTTGGGAGGTGTGATCATTCACAGAGATTCTGGAATTGAACAGAGGGGCGGACTCTCGGTGTGGAAGACTGTTCCAATAACTGCTCGACGAATAGGGGATCGTGGGGAAACTGGACGCCGATCCTGAATCCTTTTATGGGAAAATGTGGTAGAAAGTATGTGTGATGTATATTAATGTCCGAATCCTCTGAAACACGACGCTTGCAAGAAGGAGCGAAGATGTCGACAAGGACAACGTTAACAGAGGGTAAGAGGAGAAGAAAGATAGAACCAAAAAGAGTACGAGCAAAGCGAGGCAGGAGCCAGAGGAGAGATAATATTTCTCTTCGTCCTACGAAAATAAGCACAGCACTTGCAGCAGACGATAAAGTGTCCTGTAGCAACTACCAATAGGGCTAGAATGGCTCTGGAAACCGCGTTGACTTGATCCGGGTCTCCTTGATTGTTGGATTTTCCATCTATTCCGAGTAGCTTGACTTCGAGGCTACGAGCTGCTCAGAATGATGTCGCTGTCACTCTCAGGTGCAGTTGAAGGTGGAACTTCTGCAGCGTCGGGGACACTTGCTTATCTTTGATTGGCGGGGCCGGCCACTAAATTCAGGGCCAACTGCACCCCAACTCCAACAAAAATATCCTTCTCTCCAATATGTTCAACTAATCTATGCTGAAAATTATGTTGAGGCGAACATTCTCTTGTTGGTTGCACATCTGAACTTGCGTGCTGCTGTGCAGCATGGTTCACGTTTGTAGTTGCTCTGGCTCGTGAGAACTGCGCAAACCAACTATGTAGATACAATCCTGGTCAGTTCATTGATAATCCCGATCTCCTAGATATCAAGCTATTCAGCCCAATCGTCTCCTCACACTGATCTGTAGTGGAGTCCGGCTAGTTGGTCATCTTACATACATCAAATAGTGTGACAACTTCGGAGTCCGCAGCATTTTGATTGTGTATCAGTCGCAAGACCTGAGGCTCGGTTTCCGGTGCAGGAAGTATAGACGAGGAGGCAGACATGGCCTCAAGCGCAACATCCTCTCAAGTACAAGATACGACATTTGGCGAACTTTGAACCCGGAAGCAAACCGAATCGTGGAATTGCCCCTTGCAGACATCATCAGCCTTGTACCCACTCTATAAGTGATTACTTCAACGCTTCTTCCGCGTTCTGTCGGACATTATGTGCTCCATCTGCATGACCTTCTTGCTATCCTCCTTTTGAAGAGTATTGTCCTTGTGCAAGCACGCGTATAGCACTCATAGTAATACGATGTGCTCGCATCATTGAGTACTGTAGCGCAGTTATAACTGCACTTCTTAGGAGGACCCGGGTTCACTATCTGCGTCGATCACCCGTCGAGCAGAAGATCCCTGTCAGTACTAAATTTGGCGTGGTTGAGGACGCCTCAGAGGACCCACCGTTACCGCCATTGCCAGTTTCGAGCATTGTTCGTGCCAAGACTGACAATCAAATCTATCCTTCTTTACACATATGTTATACAAGAAATCAAGCACGCTCGTGCGTAAATTTGTAGAAGAATATTGTGGTCAAGTGCTGACGAGCGGACTTCACTGCGTATCTACCACTGCACAACCACCCTTCCAGATAACACCGTAGTTTTCTGGTTACTCTCAACAGGGTCTGGGTGATATAAACTATGGTCGCCAGCAACGCTATGTGAGTAACAACAGAAGAAACTGGATGAGTTGGTATGTTGACACACAGTGCTACCTATACTGATCCATAAACTCTTTGTGGAACTTTGTGATTCTGCCCACCCATTCTGTGCCAGGTGCCAAGAAGGTTGTCCTGAAATGTAATGTTCCTGGCTTTTGACCAAAACCACTCCCTGGAACGACACAGATGCCTGTTGCATCCAACAACTCAAGACAATAGAACTCGTCGGCGTTCTTGCCCTTCTCTTTAGCCACCTGCTGGGCTTTCTCTGGAATGGTGATGGTCGGGAAGAGATACATCGAGCCCTGGAACGTTTGTCAGCATACATACGCGAATTAATTTGTGGGTAGAAGACTCACCTGCGGCTCTCCAATGTCCACACCCTCCATCTCCTTGAACGCCTCATACAGTGCAGTTGCGCGTACTTTCAGACCATCCTCAATACCCTTGTACTCCTTGTAGTAGAGCTCGTAGCTTGGGTCACCCTCTTGAGGTGGGTTGATCATTAACTCAACACAACACTGTCCAGTGACAGGAGGACACAACATAATACTGATGAACTTGTAGATCTGCTCCTGCACTTCCTTATCAAAGCCGACGAGCTCAAAATAACCACCTCTATGACCACACTCTCCAACCATACCCTTCGATATCGAGTGAAGCGAAGCAAGTTCGACGTGGTCATAGGTACCGGGGTTGTCCCTCTGCAGTTCTCTAAGCACTTTCTTGAACGAGATAAACTCGCCAATAAAAACGTTCGTCTGGTATACCTCATCGGCCATGACAACTAGCTGGTTCTCTGCAGCAAACTTTATTATATTCTCGATGTCGCTGCGAGGCAAAGAGGCACCAGTCGGGTTACCAGGATTGATGATGACAATAGCTCTGACATCTGTACCATCTTTCTTTGCATCCTCATAAGATTTTCTGACGGTCTCGAGATCTGTGCCCCAGCCTGTCGACTCGTCTAGATAGTAGGGACAGCATCTAGCGTTCAGTACGGAAAGCGTTGCGGTATACAATGGATATTGAGGTATTGGGACTAATATGCCGCTCTTGTCATTGGCGCACATGATGTGCATCAGGGTGTTGACTCCAGATGAAGCACCAGCAGAGAGGTAGATGTTATTGAAGTCTGCAGGGAAGCCATCTCTCTTCTCGATGTACCTCGCCACACTCTTTCTTATCGCAGGTACACCAGTACTCTGACTATATGCACCGACTGATCCAATCTCTTTGATTAGCCATCTCGCACGATCCACGGCGTCCTGCTTGTAGTCAAGGTGTTGGAGGAGGACGTCGCTGTGGTCGAGAAGATTAGGGTACTCGAGAAGGGAGAGCACTTGTCTAAAGAATGTGATGGGCTTCTGATCGAGTTGCTGAGGGTTGCCAATGTTGGCACTGATGACTGTGTCGAAGGGCAGCTTGTTTTCGGCCGGAGGCGTAGGTGGCTCGTCTTTCAGCTTTCGTAACTGTGCTCTATATTCTTCTGATTTAATTGCCAATTCTCCACGGACGGCATACTTTGCCGCCTTCACGTGCGGGTTAATATTATCAATGTTTAGCGCTTTGAGTCGCGGGGTCGAGGACATCATGCGGTAGTGAAGATGTATAGGGTTTGGCAGGGTAGAAACTGCACAAGAGCTGAGGTCAGTCAGGGCTTAAGGGTTTGATCACGAGAGAAAGTGAAACAAAATAATTTCTTTTTCGAGTCACGCAGACAGATATCGCTGTGGTTCCCACGAGCGGATCTGCCCGACTTTGCAACAGGGCAGGTGCGACTCGGAGTGGACCATTTTGACTTCACAAACAAGATAGCGCGATCGTGTTCACGGGGCAGTGGAAGCTCACCTCGAGGTCGGTTCCTACTTGTATGGCTGGCGAGACGTGGTCGACCAAATTGTGTCTGTATGAACTGACATGCAGAGGCAATATCTTTCGACAGTCGTTCTGCTCTGGCGAGAACCGATGACGCTGATGATGTAGCCATGCTGGTCTCGTATCTTCACGGGCACAAAGTGGGGTGGTTCGATAGAGCACAAGGCACGATAAAGTCAGCCAAAAGCAAACGACAAGAGGGAAACACAAGCTCTTCGACAAGCTCGGTCGCGAGACACGCCGCGGAGCGCACAATGTGAGGTCTGAGATAGTCAGACATGGTGCTCGTGGCTCACAGCTCAGATCTGGCCGATGCTTATCGACAACGCTTCGAAAGTGTGGGGGAAACATGCAAATCTAGCCTGTCATTAACTTTCCCAGCAAGCTGATCTCTCCTCCGAGGCGAGGGATCAACAAGCGATAAGCGTGCTTGAGCCACGCGAGCATTCATGGATCGCTACAGCAAATACTGATAGGCAATACTCCTTTTTTTTTCACGTGGCATATGGAAGCTATTCGAAGCGACATATCATTTCGTAGCACTTGCGTTCTTCAAAATGGCTTCAATCTCCTCGTCTATCGTTGGTCCTTGGTATTCCTTCCGCCCCCGGACAAAATACCACAAAATGCTGAGGATGATAACACCACCTAGAACAACGATCGAGTAATTCATGTTGACTGCATTTGTGGCTGCTTGAGGAGGCCAGAAGGACCAGAAGATCACAAAAACCATGTAGGTACAGGCATACGCGTTATTGGCAGTACCGAACCAGCCTGGAAGGTGAAACGGTCCCCACCTCAGTTGTGTGTGAGCAATCGAGGATTGTCTTCGCTGTTGACTAGGTCCGAGAATTGGCTTGGAAGAATCCTTAGAGTCATCACTACCACCTCTTTCGCTTGCGAACATGGCATCGCTTGAAGGTGTGTCGAGAGTATCGCCAATAGCAGGAGAATCTGCCTCTAAGCCATCTGTACGCGCTCCTCTGTGCGGAGCCACATTGCCCTTCACTCTGTGATACAGCAGAAATGCCGAAGGAATGAGATACGACAGGTAGAAGCCATTGATCGTGAGGGACACAACGTCATTGAAGACGGTGTAGCTTCCTAGATAGATGAGTGCAAGGGAGGCCGCTAGCCCGCAAGCAACGCACAGAGCATTAAATGGTATGCGCTTCTCTCTCGTTACCACACTCAACCAGGAACCGAACGGTGTGCCGCGGTCTCTTGCAAAAGACCATATCATTCGTGATGCAGTCGTACAGATACCTATTGCGCATGACCAGACCAGAGCTAGAACGACAGCTCCCATGACTGCTGCACCAGTGGTGTTATTGACAGAGTTGTAGAACACCTGAATGAATGGGTAGCCTGTTGCTGTTTCGAGGACACTGTCCACATCGCCCAAGCAGAAGAGGATCGTGATCATCGTGACAAAGCCAACGGCACCATTCACACACATACCGGCGATAATGGCTCGTGGAATGTTTCTGGCTGCATTCTCTGTCTCTTCAGCTAAGTGCACGCTCGCATCTGCGCCGACAAATGTGGCTACGTTTCCTAAAAAGCCCACGCAGTAGCTTATGCCTTGCGTAGGCCAACCGCCTTCGTTCAAGCTTGTCGTGAACACGAAAGAACTGTCATGCCTCGGAGTTGTGCAAACCCACAACGTGGTAACAACAGCGATGAATCCAGCGATATGAAAGACAACAATAAAAATCTCGAATTTCGGAAGCAAGCCGGGCGTAACAGTGTTGATAAAGATACCACTTGCAACCACGGCCCAGGCCATAAGCATGCCCTGCCATTCTCTGGCAACATAGTCATCGTGGCAGAGAATAACCAGCCCTTGCAAGATAGTCCCTGCGAAGATTGTCTGAATAGCCACAGTCGCAACCCATGCTATGCTCGTCAACCATCCCACGATGTAGCTGCTGAGGATCTTCCATCGTGGAGGTGCTGTCAAGTAGGTCCAGTAGTATTGCCCTCCTGCAATGGGAGCCATGCTGGCCAGCTCGCTAATGACTGTATACACTGACAATGTTGAGGCCCAAGCGATGATGAATCCATAAAGCGCTCCTGCTGGTCCGCCATTTTCGAAGCTTTGACTGAAGAGTGCGAGCACAGTCTCCCAAGTAATGAGCTCACATACAGCAAACCCTAAGAGGGACCAGAAGCCAAAACGCCTTTTCAGAGCTTGCTTCTTGCCGAGAAGAGCAAGTGTGCCACTGTCGTCTGACGTCGTTCTGGTCAGCGCCATGTTCGAAATTGATTCTATCTGCCGCTGTGACCGGTAATGATTTTCGCTACCGCACAGTAGTGTGAACTGACGAAAGCAGGTTTCAGCAAAGCTCTCGGAAATGTTATTGCATGACGATACTCATGAGCCTTGCCATATAGCTTCGGTTTGAAGAGACGTAAGAATAGAGATGTATCGAAAGTAGCACTGGTGCTGCAAGTGTGAACAGTAAGATGTTATGCTTTTCGTCAAAGCACCATGCTTTGGTATTTGTATTACCTCCAGCATTGGGCTAGGTAAGATTCGCTGGTCGTACACAACATCCACTTCTCCACGCTCTACCCGAGCCCACTAGTCGTGGAACTCGCGCTGACACGCTCACGGGTTGCGGTGTCTTTGCCGTGATGGGAGTCAGAACGATTCCTCTTATATGGCAGGTTTGAACTGCTGGGTACGTTTATTGCTTCCGTCTCGACATAAGTCTTCGAGCCCAACAGTCTTTGCGGGCTAGCTTTCAGTAAGGACGAGGACAGTTACAAGTTCGAATGAGAGGGTAAGGTTTGGAGGTAGCCTCGCTAAGACTAGCCTTCTCATGGACAGATGCTTGATCCTTGGCCACAATGCTTGTTCATGGATCAGTGGTGCAAAGAGACAGAAAACAAGCTTTTTAAGGAAAACTTCGTGGAATCGTCCGAACTTTTGTGTTGTACTTGGTCTGATTCCTGCTCAGCACTGCGACTATGTGACGCGAGCACATGCGAAGGACTAAGAAGCCACATTGCCTCTCAAAGTGATACAACTGCGGCAATTTAGCGGTCATGTTCTAGCATCACACTTGCAGATTGTCTGATGGACTGGCCAGCCCTTTTGAATTGTGCCTTTTATTCGAAGAGGCCTAGATAAGACAAAATCCTTCTAGTGATATAACACTATGGTTAAATTTAAGTGTTGTGTCGACCTTAAGTGCTACACATCTATCTATGTCACAGTCGCTCTCCTCCCACCTATCAAAACCCTGCTCAATCTTCTCAGTCGCCCCTCTTTTACCGGTTTTCCTGACGTACCTCCTTCTCCATCCTCTGCACTGAGCATTCTCTCCACATCTGTCAACTCTATGCCGTGACTCCCTCCGTCCTCCTTCACCGCACTCGTCAAGGTCTCTCTCCTCCTCAACCTTTCCCGTTGCTGAATCCTTTCCTTCGCTTCTTCCGCCTTCCTCCGTTTCCTGTCATCTCTCAATCCAGGTCGCTGCTTATACTCATCCATTGTCACACGCCCATACACACCATAGAGCGTATGCTCCCCCTCCTCCATATACATCTTCCGCTCCGCGAACTCATTGAGCGCGGCAAGATACGACTCACGAGACTTAAAGCCGCGTTGGACATGAACGGATGGTGTTAACGTGATGCTGGATGTGCCTGAGAAGATAGAGGAAGTGCTAGGAGCACGAGAATGGGGTTGACGTGGTGTTGGCGGGTCTTGTGAAGTTACAAGCCGGGCTGTTGAGTCCGTCGAGGCACGAGGCGTGGAAGTGTTAGAGTAGTCTGAGAATGTGCTGGAGTTCATGATGAATGAGTCGGGAGAAGGTTTACGACCTGTTGCTCAAAATGATATATAGGTATCGTGCTCCTAGTGACCAGAGTTGTGATTCTTGATATGACCGAGTTTCGACGTAGTTCGGCTGACTTGGTTCAAAGGCGACAAGACGAGACTTTTGCGAGTCTATTGTGTAGTATACTAGATAACGATCTTCAACCAGTAGGGTCTTGTGAAGTATGACCGAAGAGTCAAGGTTCTTGAGGGTTGGTATAGTTAATGATATTAGTTATACTGTTTCTACAGTGACATGGTTGGAGTATAAGGGACGACTGCAAGTGTCTGTTACAGGACATAAAGAGTAAGTACTACCAAGGAGGCGAATCCATTCAGACTTGACCAAGATCAGCCAAGTGATGACATCCGTCGACTCGGACATGGGGGAGATGTTGAACGCAAGCCACTGAAGCTTGGTTGAGCCTCAAGTTGAAGAAGGGTCATGGTATCCAATAGGAACCCCGATAGGATTCACGTGAAGTGATCGGACTGCCAGAAGATGACCACTGCAGGGTGGTTAGATGCTTAGCCTACCAAATGATGTGGGTTGCCCTTAACATTGTGCTACCGAGAGTCGAGCACGGATAGTACACGCACCACATGGAAAGCAGGAACTCAGTGGTAGGGTATGCCCACAGGTGCTTTGGTACATGATTGATTGTCGTTATGTTTTGAGATGCGATATGGAAATCCATAGGTTTTCTGAGGACGTCGCGAAAATAGGTGCGTACGGTTAGTGGGGCAGGTCAACGCGTTCCAGTCGCGTGCTTCAAGGACCTTCTCGGAAACAAGCTATAAAAAGTCCAAATCATTGATCAAGGACAATCAATAATCGATACGACGAGCACGACTACACTAGAGTCGAGATCAGATCCTCAGTGGTACTAGGTGAGGACACATACAGTTCACTACAAATCTCGAGTTCAGCTGTTTTGTGTGACTTTTTTCTGGTATCTGTCTCAATCTCCGAACCAGTCCTGAACAAGAATCATGTTTGATCCGGCACAATACTATGCCTTGACCTCGGATCAAGCAGCACTTGTCCAACAAGTCACCAAGTACACCAAGACCTATTTTCAAGATCCTAAATTTGACGCTTCACATGATTTCAACCACGTATTGCGTGTCACGGCTCTCGCGATCAAAATTCTTGAGCAGGAGCAGCAACTTGTGCAATCTTCTGGAAGAAAATCCTATAATGTCTTGACAGTCGTTCTTGGAGCATTGTTGCATGACATCGATGATCGAAAGTACAGGTCTGCACAAGCCGCGACGGTGCCGGAAGCACAAGCATTGCTAATGAAACTCGGTCTGGAAGAGTCTTCGGCTGCTCGTGTACAAGCCCTGATCGATGCAGTCTCGTATAGCTCCGAGAGCAAGAACCCGCAGAGGGTTAGGGATCTGCTTGTCACAATTCCCGAGCTCGGTATTGTTCAAGATGCTGATCGGTTGGATGCTATAGGGGCTGTTGGCATAGGTCGCTGCTTTGCTTATGGCGCTGCAAAAACGCCAAGGGATCTTGACGCAACACTCGAGCACTTCGACGACAAGCTTCTAAAGCTTGCTGACATGATGAAAACGCAGACTGGTCGAGAGCTCGCCAATAAATATACTGCTCGGTTGCAGCAGTTCAAGTCTTGGTGGAAGGAGGAAATTGAGTTTGCAAATGGTCTGCCGTAACCGTATCGCATCAAGTGACTTCAGCTTCTCCAGGTTCACCCAGATCATCATCCGCAACAGGGGCGTCTGGCTGTTGTGGTACAGATGAATCCTTCCTAGGAGGTGGAGGTGGAGCTGCAGGCGTGCCCTTTCTTGACGGGATATGATCCTGCTCTGCGCTCTTCTTCGCTCCCTCGTTGAACATGTCGTCAAATCCTGGAACGGCAGCATGTCTCGCCTTCTTGGTTCTGCCACCTGCAGCTTTGGCAGGTGCGGCATTCGGATTCATCATTGGTGGCGGAGCAGTATTCGAACTCAACATGGGAGGCTGAGCCACAGCATTCAAAGACTGAGGAGAAAAGAGTTCAGGCTGGACAGTCTTCTCGCTGAAAGTTTCGATACTCTTTCGTTCCGCGTCGAACATATTCTCTCCAGGTCCCTGGACTTCTTCGCCTAGGCCGAGTGGAAGCCTGTGCAGCGCTCCATAGCCTAGAACAGCTCCCAGAGCACCTTCACCTCCCCAGCCTCTTCTCGGTATCAATTCTACTTCACGAACCACATCAAACTCTGAGTTGTAGACCCATAATGTGAGACTTCTGTTTAGATGGTCCTCTACCAGCTCTCCTAGTGCTCCTTCTCCTCTCAATGCTCCACTCGGCGAGCCTAAAATGTAATCGCTATGTGGTAGTAGACCTGCTTGATGTGCTGGTGAAAGTGATGAGGGGATTGTAAGCACGTGCCAGATGTTCTGGGTCGAGTCCAAGGGTGCAAGTTGCAAGGTTAATCCCAATGATTGAAGGTCATGTGGAATTGGAATGGGAAGAGTGTATGTTCGTTGGCCTTTCGCACTCCATATCTCGAAAGAGCACTGTGCTCCTGCACAGTTTCGTACTTCAGTCAGGAAGAGGGAAGGGTCAGGTGAATCCTGATCAAAGAGTCATTAAGTGTCAAACGACCCAATGACATTCACCTACAATATGGTGCCCATTCAGGCCGACAACGAAATCAAACCACGGCTCAAGGTTGACATCTGGGTTAGTATTGCGCAGGATCTGGAAGCCATAAGAACTGTCGTTGCTCTGCTGTGCTTGCGCCTGCGGTAATGGTTCTGCATCGAGCCGTGAGATGAACCTATTCAGTGCACCGAACATATTTGCAGATGAATACTAACTAGGTGCTCGCAACACGTCGTGAGAGCAGCAATCTGCAGTGACTTCGAATTCAGTAAGCGAGTGACTCCTTCAGGTTCAAGTTGGTCACAGCAAGTACGCTGTTAGTCTTGGGTGACCACTATAGTAATGCAATATGCGCAGACTCCTTGCATACTATTCCAGGCGCGTCAATGCCAGCCCCGATCTTTCTAGCACTTTTAGCCGCGATACTCCTACTATATACACATAAATTAGGCAACTACATGCGAACGACGTGATGTAGGCCTCTACGATTCGCTAGGTCACTGAATTCGAGTTGGAACATCATGTTTGCCTTGAAAATTCCTGTTCTCAATTCTAGAGCTTATCAGCAAGATTGTGTTTGTAAACGCGGCATAAGCGGATCTTGTGATCGAGTCGCACACTCGACGCCTTTGTGTAGATTTTACACCTAAGGTCTTTATTTCGGTTCAACTCTCGAAGAGCTTAGAAGATCTTACAACTTTCAGCTTACCACGACGTTACCTGCGCATCAGTGTTTCGCTTGGCGCAGGCACTGCGAAGACGTAGATTCGTAAGAGCTGTTCATATCCTCCACTAGTTACAGAAGCCAATAAGCGAAATCTTTCTGACATGGCTCTAGTTGTCATGCTCAATTTACGCCAGCGCCGCTACAAGCCTAGATAAGCGCCGACCCGTCCACCATTGGACGACAATCACTGTGTTATACCACCAAGCAAGAGTCCTCTGTTTGACTATTCTACTCGCGCGCGTCAAATGAGAAAGGTTATGCTATGCTTGACAATATTAGCATGGCGCCGACGTCCGGCGTGAGCTGCGGCAGAGCAGTTCATAGCACATCAAATTAGATCTCAACCTGGGTCGTCTTGTGAGCAGCCTCCATGGCGGAATTATCGATCAGCTGCCGATTGAGCTTCCGAGCACAACAAAATCATGGGCCCTCCAGCTTCTTTCTGCTACGAAATTCAGCACTCCTTCCAGCACGTCCAGAATTAGTCAATCATGCTCAAAGCCTTCCAAAGATTGTGGTCTGACAATTTGAGCTACACTGACAACGAGCACTGGCAAGGCCCGGGCCGTGCAAGACACACATCATCAAAGAAATTGCTGTTAGGCATAGAGGGAACGCTCGCGGCCTCATCGCTTCTTCTAGTCCTAGCTTGGTATCTTTCAAAAGCACATTCTGGGTTCGAGATTGCAATAATCAGTCAGTATGTTCTAACATATGCTCCTACAGCTTTCATGCTGGTGGTAATCGCGGCTTGGAGGCAAGTGGATCTTGCCTGTAAAATTGGAGCACCTTGGATTGCCCTGGAACACGGACGAAGCCCTGCAGACAAGTCAGTCCTGCTCGATTATATTTCGACCTTTCAATTACTCGGGTTCTATCAGTCTCTCAAAAATGGTCATCTAGCGGTGACACTTGGCATAGTCGGCTTCCTGCTGCTCAAACTCGCGACAATCGCATCTACTGGCCTGCTTGTTCTCAGACCACGTGCGAGCAGCTATGTACAAGACGTCGTCATTTACGACACATTCGATGGCACACTCTACAATGCTTCCGATTTCACTCCCTTACAGGATCAGATGCCAGTATATACCGCATATGGATTGGCAATGGGTCAGCTTGAACCCCCTTTTGGTACCTCATCGAGTGCAGCTTACACGACCTTCAGCTGTCCAGCAAGCAACACTTCCGATGCGGTGTTTGAAGTTGAAGTGGATGCCTTTCTTCCAGCCTTCACCTGTCAGCACGCTGATATCACCATCGAGATGGTGGTTACGAACACCACCGATATCAACCCGAAGCACCAAATCCGTCTGCCATACACTGAGTGCGATAGCGAAATTGGACCGATCTATGCTCTGAATCCTACTCAATATGTCTGCCCATCCCGCCAGCTTAGTGGCACTATATATCCGTTCCAGTGCCAGGTCAATGCAAGAACAGAAACTCACTATCTGTTGACAATGACTGATATTCGTTACCAACAAACTCTTAATGGCACAGGAAATAGAGATTTAGGTGATCCTATCGTCGCTCTCGACTCTTCCACTACGGTGGCTCGAGCTACGAGCATCATGTGTCAGATGTCATATACAACTGCGAGACTGAATGTTTCTGGCAGCGTCGATGCGTATCCTAGCAGCATAAAACCTGCTGGCATACCCGTTCCTGTTACCAGTGGCCTGGATGTTCTCACCGCCGATAATTTGACTCACATGGTCAATATGGCAGCATCATCGGCCAGCGGGATTTTCGGTAGCAAGGTTAATGATTACAGACTTGAGTATCCGGATGCAATACTGAAGCTGCTAGCCTTGCGAACGTCTAACAACACTTACGAAGGCTTGCTAGATCAGAATACGTTCATCGAGGCAACACAGGAAGTCTACAAACAGCTTGCTATACAGGTTGTCAGCAGGCGTCTTCGACGAGGCAAACCGTCAAGCTCCCCAAGCTACGTCTTCGAATCTATGGAAACTTTGCAAATAACCGAGACCTCAGCTTGGATCATGGCTGGAGCTTTCGTGGCTACCTGTTTAGCTGGTCTGGTTCTCCTTCGGCTTCGGGCAACCACTGTTCCAAACGTCCAGTCGCTAATCAGACCTTGCCAAATTGTGCGTGCAAGCAGCGATCTGGCAGACGTGTTGCAGTTGACACAAGGACAGAACGAAGCCGATGTGAAAAGGATCTTGAACGAATATGAATTCTCAACGCAATACAACCCAATTCAAGACTCCTTGTCTGTCACAACTTCAAACAAGCAATCGTCTTCCCCTCCCAGTGTCGCGCGGTCCGGTGCCTCGCACTGGTGGAAGCAAATAACAATCTCTTATTGGTTCTTTACTCTGACCTTTGTTTATCCGACCCTCGTGATGGCATTGCTCGAAGGACTGCAACACATTTCAGAGACGAATGACGGCATCGCAGCTATTTCAACGTCGACTGGATTCGTGCAGACCGCGATCACCAACTTTGTTCCAGCCTTGGTTATGATCCTGCTGGCTACCATGTTCAACTGCCTTGAATTCAATGTAGTCCTGCTGTATCCATATCACAAGCTAACCACGGGCGTCTTTGCATCACAGCTACAGCATCAACCTCCGCTGCACCGACTAGCAATTGTTTCATTGTGGCAAGCTTTTCGCAAGCTCGACTTTGCTCCTTTGGGCTCTTCAGTAGCTGCCTTTATAGGTGCTACCCTAACCATAGCAGTTTCAGGCCTCTATACCATCGAATCAATCGCTCGACCTCGGTCGCTCGACGTGTCAGGATTGGATTCTATCACCCCAATCTGGAACAACAGCGTGGTCGATGACGGTGGGGCTGCGATCCTTCTCAGTCTTACCGAGAATCTCAACCTGCCTTATCCTCAAGGTACCTATGAGGAACTCTACTTCCCAAGGCCTTGGTCACCAGCTTTGCAGAATTCTCATAGTAGAGGTTCCGTCGAAAATCAGGTAGTGGAATTGGAGCTGCCTGCATATCGAGGAAATTTGGTGTGTGAAACTGCCGCAATTGGAGAGTTTAACATTAGTGTAGAAAAAAATCGTATTCAACAGAGCGCGACAATAACCAGCATCTTTCCCCTGCCCCCGAATTGTCTTCGTGGAGGGTACGAAGGCAATAGCTCGAACCTTAGTTTCTCTCACACGTTTCCATTCGAACGCAATGCGACAGAGGCGTATGTCGCGAAACTCCTCGACATCCACGTAGGTCCTTTCGACAGAATTCGCGGCACCAGTGTTGGCGAACTCTCTGGCAACGGCAATCCAGACAATCCGCCTGGTTGTCCATCTATTGCCCTGATCTATGGCTATCTTAGCCCAGCTGATCTGTCTCAAACCAACCCCACTGGGGAAACGTTAGCAGTTCAGGTGTGCTATCAAGAACTCCATCAAGTTACGATAAATGCCACTCTCGAAGGCGTATCAATGAAATTACCAGACAGGAATCCTAAGATTATCGTGAACGAGACGTCTGCACAAACCCTGAAAGTGCCGCTTGGCGAGACTGATAGAGAAGAAACGTCAGGTGACCAGATAGCCTTCCAGTTTCGCATCCAGTCACACATAGATGACTCTCTCTCTTTCTTCAACGACCCTGACAACATCTTTAGTAGAGGCTCAAACGCCTTTAGTACAGTTGATCGATTTTTCCAAGGCATCATCTATGGCCGCTCCAACGTTCCACTTGAGCGATTGCAACTGCGAACACAGTCAGATTTTGATATCGTGCAAAGGGGCATACAAGGTATGTACCGAAAATACATGGCTCAAGCGATGTCTCGCAGGATGAGCACTAGTGTGAACAATCGCGAAGCGTCCGAAACAGGACAGAACCAGGCTCTGAAATTTACTGGCTGGTTCAAGAGTGGCGACGGGGTTTCACAGCGTCGCTTGGTGCAACATAACACTCCAAAACTCATCTTACAATGCCAGATTGCGGTTATGATTATTGGTGGGTTAGTAGCAGTGTCGACAATGCAACTGATGAACCTGCTACCCGCTCACGGTAATCCTTGCACGATTTGGGGCCAACTAGGCTTATGGTCGAAGAGTAGCTGGTGCTCCGAAGCAAGTGCTAGAGCAGAAATACAGTCGTTGGCACCAAAGTTTAATGTAAAGCTACCAGCACAGAGTACAGTGTTTGAGGTCGATGCTGAACAAGCATCTGGCGATCAATTGTTTAGGCTCGGTTGGTGGACAAGAAAGAAAGCTGATTCGACACTGGAACGTTGGTACGGAATAGACGTGGTCCCACGAACATAGATTGATACAATATCTGGTAAGCCATACGATGAACCAAAGGATTTGGAGCAATCAGGAAGTGCGCTACCTGCTGTGAACTTGTATCATTGTGTCTTCTTGTACATATCTGAGAACATGAATGACGAGAAGTTACATGGTGTAGCTCATCGAGATATTGATAAAACTTCTGATGGATGGCTACAATAAAACTTTATCAAAGGCACGTACTCTTTGCATCGTCGTAATACACCCACATATCATGAGCGCATAAAAGACATCGATTAACATCCCAAGAACGACTAGAATGGACCTGATTGTTCAGGGAGAAGATCATAAATGGTGGAAGCCACGTCTCAACAGAGAGGATTTTTTACAGGTTATGGGTCCTGTTCTTCTCTTCTATAAATTTGTGTTTTGCTCTCGTCTCATCGATCGTTGGTCGTGATCTCTATACTGAAGCATGGACGTTGACAGCCGTAGATGTATGTCTGCATATATGACACTTCCTCTCGCTAAAAGTCTAAACACCATCATCACAAAGATCGCCAAAAGAAGTACGCAACAAAGTGAAAATGCTATGGATGCAGTAACAAAATCCTTACATACCAGCATATGCTGCTCCGACAGAGTTCAAGCTGGTGCCTGAAAGTAGGGTGTTGCTAGAGGCCATGAATCCAGCGTAACGTTCGACAGCTGGGGTTGACTCAAGGAAAGCAACAGCTTCTTTCATGAAGCTGGCCTGATCAGCGGCGCTTCCAGCTGGTGCAAACTCAGTCAGCCAGACTTTGTTGACGCCGTTTGCTTGTGCAGCAGCGATGACATCGGCGACGTGCTTCTTGAAGTAGTCAATTGAGTCAGCAGTGGCATACCAGTGGAAGGCGACGAAGTCAACTGGGCACTGTCCGGCACATTCCTTGAACCACTGGTTGAGCCAGTCAATACCCATCAACGGGCTTGTGCCAGCGCCATTGGTGACAGCTGGAGAGCCGATCCTGACCTTGCCAACTAGCGACTTCATGCCTGCAATGTGCTGCTTCGCGGCATTTGCAGGATCAATGTTGGCCTGTTCACCGAGGTCTGGCTCGTTGAAACTCAGCACATGTGTAGCGCTGCCGACCTTGGATGCAAAGCTTGAAACATCGTTCAGACCCCACATCATGGGCACAAATTCTACGCCGTTGAGGTTACCCGACTCTGATGCTCCCCAGTTGTAAGACCAGGAGATGGAACTGCCGAAAGCAGCAAGCAGCTTAGCATCGTTGAAGGACATGCCTCGCTTGCCACCAGATGAACCACTTGATGGAGCAACTGCTGAGGCTGAAGCAGCGGCAGAAGTTGTAGCGGACTTGGAAGCAGAGACTGAAGCAGAGACACTGGCGGAGCCGGCTGGAACAGAAGCACTTGGTACAGTGGCGAAGGTTGTTGATGGTTTGGCTGGCGCTGATGAGGCAGGAGCTGAGACACCAGCAGCAGATGTGCTCTGACCCCAGTTACCACCGTTGTTGCTCCGAGATCCTTGGCCACCGTAGAACTGTCCTGCACTGACTGAGCTTACTGTCAAGGAAACAGCCTTGGTCTCGGCATCTGGAGTAGCAGTGACAGTGATGAGGTTAGTAGAGGTCGACGTCACAACGCTTACAGTGCTGCAGGACAATGTGCTTGAGGCGTCAATGTCGGAAACGACATTACCGAACGTTGTTGGTACACTGCTACCCGACTCCATTGGTAGCGTGAAAACACCAGTCCCTGTTGGACCAAAGAAACCATCGGTGTCATTGCCAACTGGAAAAGGGCTACCAGTGCCTGTTGGTCGAACACTTCGAGTCCGTGAACCAGTACCGTGAAATTTACGGTGCTGATACTCGGGCATTCGCTTGTGGAAGGGAGAAGCGATGACAGCGGAAGCTGACAAAGCAAAGATAGCAAGTGTCTTGGTTTGCATGTTGTGTGATGTTGTGGTTGGGTTGGATGTTGATGATAATGTAGATAGTCTTAGTGTTGTTTCGAGGCCTAGCTTCGTCGTATGGAGGTTATTCTACCAGAGAAGGAATGTCGTAAAAACGGGAGTCACGTCAAGTGAGTGTAAGCTCAAGGACTAGCCTGAGATGTTGTTTGGAAGGAATGGAGGTGTGCGGTGTGTTGCACAGAACGTGTGAAAAGAACGACGATGAGGTGTTAATTGCAGCAAGAAGCGAAGGAATGGACGAAGGAGCAAGAGGCATAAGTAGAACTCACCTCCCTCGATTGTACGAGCACAGGAGAGGCAGCGTGGGCATGTTTCACAGTGTTTCTCGTCCTTCATAGTGGAGGACACGAACTCCCTAGTATACCGGCACTGAAGTGTCACTGGATGGTCATTTCAAAGATCATGCTCTCACTGTGTGCAGGACATGCGTGCAAGGTGTCGTAAGAATAGCTCCTGAGGCGTTCGAATGACCGACATACCGAACGTAGATGCTTGTCAGGGACAACAGCAATCGATCCACACTGTGGCCAGAGGCGCTGGATGAAACAACCAAGCGAGCCCAGAGTTCAACTTCCCATACCGAATTGGAGCTGTCGAGAAAACTCGGAAGGCGGGAACTTGGCAAAATTGGCGACCTCATGGTCTGGTTGATACCGAAAAGGGGCAGAGGCCTTGCGATTCGGAATCACGGCTGGAATATGCAAGGTCGATCTCCATAAAACTAAGACAGACTGGTGTATGAGTTTGGTGCTTGATTTTCAAGTGCTGGCCAATCAAACCTCAATGTCAGCCTGAAACAGAATCGTCAAGGTTCGGATCCGGCGCCAACGCCAGATACACAAACTGCTTTTCGTCCACATCATCGTCCTAAGATCCAGCTTTTCTTTCTACGGAAGATGAGAAACCTCATCTAACATGAACTCAGGCGTCAATTCGTCACAGGTGCGGTATGAGACTGTGGTTAACAAATGAGCAGGTCGTGGTCGCAAAACTACGATGTGAAAGAGGTGACGCTGCCATTAACATATCCAAGAAGCCAAGGCTCTTGACTATAGACTTGGCTTGAAACTCCAAGAGAATCGTACAGCATTAATCGCTGACGAGCAAACGTCCGTTTCTACATATTTGCTCATCCAGCAGTGGGCCGGTATCAAGTATACCAGGGTCTGTACAGTCTGGCGAACAGATCCATCCACAAACAGCAGCCACGTTATCGCCACTATATCTCCCGGTCAACGGTGGTTAATCCGTTGAATAGCCCATCGGGTAATGCCAGTTGGTTCAAGGCCAAGCTGTGGTGCCGCCATCGTGGTCCTGTTCAAAAAGAGTGCTTGAGGACGCTTTCAGCAAGCACATGATACAGTTTCGAAGTGCAACCAGTCGTCAAGACGACACGTTGAATGTCTGCATCGGTCGTGTCGACAACGATTGAGTGGTTCAGACGTACCTAATTTCCACACGCGGCCACCAAAATGTTTTAGATAAAGCAGATGCATCATAGTGACCAGTAATACCCGCGATATTGTGGTCGCATTGTAAAGTGTGATCAGTTGCTGCAAACGTATATGCCAGAATTTGCATTTATCGTCCCACAGTGCTAGATACAGACTCGTACAAGGCTGACGCCTCATCGTCATCGGCCGCGTACACTCTCTTTTCGTACCGTATAGTACTGCCTCATCACGTTGGCCGTCAATAGTCCACCTTGCGCCTTTTGGCCCTGTCTCATCCCCATCCGTGAGATAGTCGGAGAGCCCAGCTGTTCTTCACTTCAAGTTTTGAGCTCGATCGCATTCCCTCCAGTTTTGGCTTTGGTTAGAGTCGGCGTTTCTGTTGCTGACAGACTGAGTTACAAAACATTAGACACTGGCAACGGCCGCACATATCAGCCAGTAGATCATGAAAGTAATGCGAGCAAGGCAAAGTTTCAGCCAATTGTGGTCTTAGCCCATTCATCTTCGTCGCTGCGTGAGTGAAGTAGTGGAAGTAGTGACTCGGGAACAGCTGACACCTCTACAACTCAGCGAGGAAGTCTGAAGATCCAGGAAAGCAATGACAAACTTTTGTATGCGCGACAGCGATATCTGCCCAGCTACGCACACTGTCAATACTGACATTCAGGATGAGCTCGCAACCCAAAGCTTTAATTCCTCAGACTTCGATGTTTGTCATGTTTGCAGCCTTGCCTGATCAAGCACAACCACGAACTGACTCCATTATCAAAATTTTGACTTTCTGAGGCGAGAAACAATTCAGCAGGCAATGGCTCACGCTGCGTAACCTGATGTTTGGAACGCCTTCGCGTGATAGTCAATTCATTGTACAATCCAAGACTGCTTATTTCCCACGATACTAACTCCCAAGGTTGTTCACGAAGTACACTTAGATATGGCAAGTGATACCACAAACGTGGCTGAAGGTCTAGCACCGAGTCATACGTATATTGCAAATCGTGGCTATGTTCAGAACAATTCACATATTCAAGACAATGCTATTCAAGGCCAAGACCATTATGAAGCTCGGCAACTGGAAGAGAATGCCTCCGAGGATTACGACGACATTTTCGACGAAGATGAATCAGACGATGAAGTGGACCCAGACCTTGACAGTCTCGCCGCCTCAAATCCATCTGATCTTACAAAGTCATACAACAGACAACGGAAGCTCAATGCAGCCATATCAGATCCAAATGTTCCGCCTTCATACTACCCGAAAGCCAACCCTCAAGCCAGGGCTGCCGGTGGCTCTGTTGACGACCAAGTTGCATCACTCACCCGTCACGCTAACAAACTGAAACTGGAGGACAAGTATATGGGAACCACTCATAGTAGAGGTGCTGACAAGTCAGAACGCGCAACTGCCGAGCAAGTGCTTGATCCGAGAACTCGGATGCTATTACTTCAGATGATCAACCGCAATATCGTGTCTGAGATCAATGGGGTCATCTCGACAGGCAAAGAAGCAAACGTCTATCACGCATTATCGATCGACGAGGAATCTGGTAAAGAACGCCACCGAGCAATCAAGGTATACAAAACCAGTATCCTCGTCTTCAAGGACAGAGAAAAATATGTGGCTGGTGAACATCGATTCCGATCCGGATACAACAAGAGCTCGAACAGAGCAATGGTCAAAGTCTGGGCAGAGAAGGAGATGCGTAACCTGAAACGAATACATGCAGCAGGTATACCTAGTCCCGAACCAATGTACCTCAGACTACACGTACTGGCTATGGACTTCATCGGCGACAACAAGGGTACACCAGCTCCACGACTAAAAGACGTCGAATTTGTGGACCAAGATCCTGCCCCAAAATGGCGAAGCGTGTACCTGGATGTGCTGAGCTACATGCGCGTGATGTATCAGGTATGCAAACTGGTCCACGCCGATCTCAGCGAGTACAACATGTTATTCCACAAAGACAAACCATACATCATCGACGTCAGTCAAAGCGTAGAACACGACCACCCTCGCAGCTCAGACTTTCTAAGAATGGACATCAAGAACGTCAACGATTTCTTCCGACGAAAAGATGTAAACGTGCTACGAGACCGATCTCTATACGAATGGCTCATGAAGTCCGAAGGAAGCACAAAATTCGGAGACTTAAGAGCTGAAGCAGACAACCTAATGGCCAATAGAACAGACGAAGCAGAAGACGACGTCGACAACGAAGTATTCCGCAAACAATACATTCCCCAGACGCTCAACGACGTCTACGATGCAGAAAGAGACTCCCAACACGTCACCAAGCAGGGACGCGACGCACTAGTCTATAAAGACTTATTGGCGGACACAAAAGACAACAACGACAACACAGCACTTCCAGCACCAGAAGACCAAGACGCAGCAGACAACCAATCCGCTTCCGACAGCGAAGTCAACACAGACGCAACAGCAGACTCGGACGAGGAAGACGACGATAACCCAGGCAGACCACGAGGTAAACGCTTCCAAGACAAGGACGAGAAAAAGGCACATAAGCAGGCGGTCAAAGAGGAGAGACGAGAAAAGAGAAAGACGAAGATGCCAAAGGCTATTAAGAAGAAACTCGTCAACCAGAGTACGAGGAAGAAGCATTAGGACCATCTAGTTATAGGTGAGGTATTATCAATAAAGTGAGTTTGACCTCCTTCTTATGCACAAAGTTTTTCGCTATGGTAGAGATGAAGAGATATTGAAACTTTTACACTTGATATGAAGGATGCGGCGCGGAGTTGTGACGGTACCTGGCGACAGGAACCTCTGGCGCGGTGTCGATTCTTATGATATACGAAGAGAGCACGGACTACGTTCACAGTATTGAACACTGTTGTTTTGGCGGCTATGCTCATGGTCTAAAATAGCTAATGCAGAATCTAGGTTTGAAAACGACAATATACTTTGCCACAACTTCTATCCAATGCAACGTCAAGCCTTACGACAACGACGACTGACTGCTATCGTTCGCCTGCCTCTCCCATACCATGAGCAGCTTTTAGCCGTTTCAAGGCACTGGCCACAGTCTCCTTCGGTAGGTCGGGTATACTATCCAGACCTTCGTCGTTGGATCGGTGAAACGCAAACTGTGAGGGCAGGACGTCGAGGCCATGCCAGATATCACTTGGCAGATAGTCTCCTTGCTCGGCACGAAAGTGCTCTCGTTCGGTGAGATCATCCTGATACAACTGATCGAGCTGCGTCTGGGCCTCCTGCACGATCTTCTCCATCCTCTTGCGAACACCCTTTCGACGTGCAGCTTCGACGATCATACCGTCGTAAGCTGCCAGGAAATTCTCGTACAAGTCACAAAGCTCCTCCATGCCTACCATGCATTCGTCTATTTTGCCTTTCTCTACGGACCAGTAGGAGGAGAAATCGTCGACCTCAGCTAGATGAGCAGGTAGTTGGTCACCAATCTTTTGCAGGAATATGAAGGCCTTAAAGACATCCTTGTAGGAAGCTTCACAAGAGGCACGCCAGATCAAGATGCGGTCGAGTTGAGCGTCCATATCAGCAGCACGTTCTTGGATTTCTGCAACGACATCTTCGACTTGATCGGCGTCGTTTCGCAACACGTGCAGCATTTCTGTACGTTCATCCTCGGACATTGGTTCAGCAGGACCCTGGAACGTCTCGACATTGACACCTTCAGGTAGTTCTTCGCTTGTAAAGTTCTTGGCGACAGCAGCACCGGCGCCTTCGGTATGCTTGATGGCATTGACGCATGAGTCAAAGTGCTGAACAAGACTCTCTAAACTTTCGGCCATGTTGTGAGCATTTCTTTCGAGGAGTTTGAGCTGTTTTGGTATACCTAGAGGTTGAAGGTCAGATTTCGTAGAGGAGGATGTGGCAGTTCTATCAGTGAGCACTTCATTAACCTGTTGAAGATCTTCTTCCAGGTTACGAATGGAAGCATCTACGCTTGACCTGGCAGCGTTGACGTTGGCTTCGGCCACACGAACCATCTGCCTCAAAGTTATGACGGGCTGATCGTCTACGAAGTCGAACAAGGTGTTCTTGGGATCGACTTCTAACTCTTCGCCGTTTTCATCCAAGGGCTTGCGAGCCTTGAACCCATGGTGGATGGCAGTCTGCTTGAGTAGCTGGATGTTGTCTTGTAATCTCCTATCAGTGGTCTCGAGCTCTTTGATTGTGACATTTGCTTCCTGCTTGACAACGTAGGCGTTACCTTCTAGCTCGAACTGCACACTGCGTAGGATCTTGAGTTGTGCGTACAGTGATCGACGAAGGTATTTCGTTCTGGCCACCAGAGTAGCAGTTGACTCGATAGTCGAACGTGCTTCGTTTAAGAGGGCAGTGGCACGGTGGACATGGTGTATGCTCGACAAGGCTCTTTTGGCTGCGACCAAGTAAGAGATCAAGGTCTCGACTGGTACGTCTCTGACATTCTCATGGTTGTCTGGACTTCTGAAAGAGCCGGCTGGAGAGGCTCGTTGTGAAGAGTGCCTAGATGTGAGAGAAGCAGTCGATTGCAACATACGATCGAACACGTCAATAGATAGCTAACAGACTTCACAAAAATAGCGTGTAGACAAGCATTGGCCCTGCTGGACGTACTGTCCCTTGTACTCGAGTATTGCTGAGTCGAGTGAAGACAATAGTTGATCACTCACGTATGAGATAAGCAGGAAACCATGTGAAGCCACGCGCATGAGGCGCCCGGAACTTGCCGTCTCCAGGCTCCAAAGCCTATGCTCGGGGAACACGGCAGGAACAGTGATTTGTGATGTGTGCCCCGAAATTCAATTCTTGCGTGCTCCAACCTTTTCTGCTGCAGGAGCAAAGTCCAGAAAGCACCAAAACATGGATAAGCAAAATGCCTTCTTACGTGATTGCTTGAGAAGAACAGAGAATCCAGCCAAAGACGTTGCGCAACGATAGTCCAGAAGCACGTCATGCCTAGAATCGTCCAAGATTGCTATCCAGCCAGTCAGAGCCGCACTTAGAAATCGTTCCGTGTGTCTCGTGCTCGCCAGAACTTGTAGCCGTTGCGGCAAATCGCTTGGGCTTGCCGACGAGTCCAAAATGCGACTGCGAGCCCATTTACCGCATCGAGTATGAGTAACTTTCTCACTAAGAATCAATAATCTCTGCGTACAACCTGTTCCTGCTTTGAAATCTTTGGTACCGGCGACAGACAGCGACATTCAGCCCCTGGATTGCGAGAGCCTACGAAGCAGAAAGACTAATCGTATACCGTCGAGTCATCCTGGCTTTGTGTAACCTTTGTGCAGTCCATAGTCTGAGCACATCTTGCACCAGAAAGCTATCGGAATTTGCAAGGCAATCAGTATTCTACGCGTGAATCTGTCCTTGCAGCTCAAGAGACACTCTACGGTCAGTGCTCAGTCAGCAGCCGAGTGCAGGGCGTTGATAACGTTGCGGTGAGCGCAACAACTTATACCTGCAGTCTTTCCGTCTGGGGGCCGGTTCTGCCCTACGATGACTATCTCACCCACCTCTTGTTGAAGTCGAATAGCAATACGCCTCAAAACCGACCATGGAAACCAATGAATCATTGCCTATGCGCTGGGATGTACCGCCACGAAAGAGAATAAGGTTGGGCAGCGACGACATGAGCGCTGAAGAGGATGAGATGGCCAAGAAACATCGCAGATATCACGAACCACTGGCTGCGAAGGAAGAAAATCACAAGAATCCTTCGGCCAATAAATTGGATCCTCAGGTTGTCGGATCTTTCATGGTAAAGCACATTCCTGCACAGTACAACCCTCAAGGGCCTGTTACACAGTCCGGCACCTCTCGCCAATCAGAATCCAACACAAAGTTCTGCTACAGACATCGCCCCGATATGCTGTGTCGCAGACAAGCCGATGAGCCAACCATGGACAAGTTACAGCGAAATCTCGAGAAACTGTCCGAGAACGATAGGCAGGGCATCGTTCAGGTCTGGTCACTTTTCTCTGCTGCACCTTCGAAGCATCGCAATTTGATGTTGCAGGGCATCCTGACACAATGCTGCTTTCCTCAACTGTCCTTTCTCTCCGCCAATGTACAAAAGCTCATCAAGATCGATTTTCTCTCCGCCTTACCTCCGGAGATATCCTTCCGAATCCTCAGCTCGCTGGATACCATTTCCCTATGCAAGGCCGCGCAGGTCTCTCGAAAGTGGCGACAGCTGGCCGACGATGACGTGGTCTGGCATCGTATGTGTGAACAGCATATCGACCGAAAATGTATCAAATGTGGTTGGGGTTTACCTTTATTGGATCGCAAGCGATTACGAGCGTCTAAAAGACAGATGCAATTGCGTGCGGCTGGAAAGGGTATGAATGTTTGGTCTCCCGCCGGAACTCCGATTTTAGAGCTGGAGAAGGATCCTATATCACATATTGTCGAAACACCCAAAAGTTGTTCTCAAGAAGGGCAAGTGACTTTAGTAAAGGGCAAGGCGGCATCTATAGAATCCCCTAAACAGGACCTGACACAACTGAAACGCCCTTGGAAAGATGTTTATCGCGACAGATTCCGTGTGGGCAAGAATTGGAGGCGTGGTGTTTGTACGACGAAAGTGCTAAAAGGCCACTCGAACGGTATCATGGCGTTACAAATCCATGACAACATCCTGGCCACGGGTTCTTACGACACAACCATCAAGATTTGGGACCTTGATACCGGCAAAGAGATCAGGACCATTCAAGGCTATCCTGCCAATCCTGATGGTCATCATGGTGGTATCCGCTGTCTGCAGATGGACGACACCAAGGTGATCAGTGGAAGCATGGACACGACCATCAAAGTGTGGAACTGGCGTACGGGCGAACATGTTGCCACCTATCCCGGTCACAATGCTAGTGTCATTGGTCTGCATTTTGATTCCGACTCGAACATACTTGTGTCTGGTTCTGCAGATCACACAGCCAAGGTTTGGAACATCAAAAAGAAATCGGTGTGTACACTCCAGGGTCATTCTAATTGGGTCAACTCGGTCAAAATCGATACAGCTTCCAGAACAGTATTCACGGCTTCAGATGATTTCACGGCAAAATTGTGGGACCTCGACACAAGAAGATGCATTCGCACCTTCGAAGCACACGCTGCGATGGTTCAACAGATAGTTCTTCTGCCTCAAGAATTTGATGCTGAAGACAACACGACCGTGGTTGGAGATAATGCTTCTGATCCAGGAAGTCCAGAAAGTCGTCACACCATGGCTTCGTCTTCCTTCTCTGGTCACGAATCACCAGAGCTGGCACATCGTCTACTGCCTGCTCAGCGGCAGGCTCCCGACGCCTACTCAGACACATTTACAGACGATCGACCAGAACCACCCAAGTACATGATCACTTCGGCACTTGACAATACGATCCGGATGTGGGATGTTTCAACAGGGCGTTGTATACGCGTGTTCTTTGGTCACGTTGAAGGTGTTTGGGCTCTTGCAGCGGACACTTTACGAATCGTTTCAGGCGCCAATGATAGCTTGCTCAAGGTCTGGGATCCAAGAACTGGAAAGTGCGAAAGAACATTCACTGGACATACTGGTCCGGTTACTTGTGTAGGAGTCAGTGATTCGAGAATGGTATCTGCGGGTGAAGATAATGAAGTGCGAGTTTATTCCTTTAGTGATGCGGACTGTCTTTAGCGAAGGCGTTTTAGGCGAGGGAACGATACCCAGGATTCTCATGTGATAATAGATTGGTTATGGCGATGCACACTTCTTTATGCACACTCGTCTCTCGTTCTCCCATAACTTTTGCCTGCTGCTGTAGACTAAACGTTACGTCCTGCAGAGACGCCAAGCTTTTGTGTATGGAGACGCGGACGTGCCTGCTCAAACGCGTCGACGCGTCTTCCACTTCCATCCCACCATTGCGATCATTTTGATTGCGCCAGTGATACTACCAGGGCAATTACCCTGAGTTCATCGACAGGATGTATATCAAGCAGATGACCATACAAGGTTTCAAGAGGTACAGTCTTCTACTATCGTGTCTATCATGCACTAATGTGGCGTAACAATATAGCTACAAGAACCAAACTGTTGTTGATCCATTCTCGCCAAAGGTTAACGTGATAGTTGGTCGCAATGGCTCAGGCAAGAGCAACTTCTTCGCTGCTATCCGGTTCGTTCTCGGTGACGCCTACAGCCATGGCCTTAGTCGTGAAGAGCGACAAGGTCTTATCCACGAAGGCTCGGGCTCTTCAGTCATGTCCGCATACGTCGAGATTGTGTTTGACAATTCCAAAGACCGTTTTCGCACTGGTAATCCGGAGCTAGTGCTGCGACGCACGATTGGTCTGAAGAAGGACGAATATTCGCTCGATCGCAAAAACGCTACACGATCTGACGTGATGAACCTGCTAGAGAGCGCTGGCTTCTCTAGAGCAAACCCATACTATATCGTCCCACAAGGTCGAGTCACGAGGATCACGAATATGAAGGACTCTGAACGATTGGATTTGCTCAAGAGTGTGGCAGGTACTCATGTCTTCACCAACAAGAAGGAAGAATCACAAAAGATTATGAATGAGACGAACAACAAGCTGGGCGCAATTGACACAACCTTCGAACAGATCAACGAGCGCCTGAAGGAGCTGGAAGATGAACAAGCTGAGTTGCGCAACTTCCAGGAACAAGATGCTGAAAAGAAGGCCATTGAGTACGTTATTGAGCAACGAGATCTTGAGGAGACCAACCAAGGTCTGCAAGAGCTCGAGGACAAGCGCTCCGATCGAATCGGCAACGTCGATGCCAGACGTCAAGCTTATTCTGAGAGCGAAGACAATATCGCGCGTATTGACCAGCAACTGGAAGAGTTAAAGCAGAATCTGCAAGCTGCACGGGTCGAGAAGAGGCAGCTGGAAGAAGACCGTAAGGAGCGTGCAAGAGCTAGAGCACAAGCCGAATTGGATGTCAGAAATCTATCAGCTGGTCAGACTGCAGCCCAACGGAGTAAGCAGCATCGCGACGAAACTCTAGAGCAAGTGCGAGCTCAAATTGCTGAGATCGAGGAAGAACTCAACAACGACGTCTTGCCTGAGTTTCAGCAAGCCTCACAAAAAGCACAGGCAACCAAAACGCGTCTTGATGATGCGGAGACAAAGCAGCGAAGACTGTATGACAAGCAAGGCAGAAACGCTAGATTTCGCTCGAAACGAGAGCGTGATGACTATCTCAACGAGCAGATCAACGAGGCCAATCTGGCACTCTCGAGGTTCAAGGCCACAAGAATGCAGACTCAGGAAGGCATCAAGGACGACGAGCAGGCCATCGAAGACCTTCAGCAAACTGTCAATGACCTGCAGAATCGCATCAGTAATCAAGGAGGCGCTGCTCGAGATCTTGAGCAAGAGCTTCAAACCGCTAAGGAGAACAAGGACAAACTCATGGACGAGCGAAAGGAGCTTTGGCGAACGGATGCTAAATTCACCGACGAATTAAACACCGCACAAGAACAGCTGAGAAGGGCCGAACGAACTTTGTCACACATGATGGACGGTAACACTAGTAGAGGTTTGGAAGCTGTCCGCCGTATTAAGCAGCAGTACAACCTCACAGGTTGTTACGGAACTCTAGCCGAACTACTTGATGTTCCTGCTCACCATGTCGCTATTGAGGCTGTGGCTGGGAACTCATTGTTTCACTACGTGGTCGATACCGATGATACTGCTACCCGAGTGCTAGATCAACTCAACCGAGAACGATCAGGCAGAATCACCTTTATGCCTCTCAATCGACTCAGACCAAAGACTGCAACGTTTCCGAACGCTAGTGACATCCGACCATTGACTGATCTCATGAAGTACGATCCAATGTACGAGAAAGCTGTCCAGCAGGTCTTTGGAAAGAGTATCATCTGTCAAAATTTGACCGTTGCAGCTCAATACGCACGTACGCACGGCCTTAGTGCTGTCACACCAGATGGTGACCGATCCGACAAGAAGGGCGCCCTCAGTGGTGGATATATCGATCAAAGAAGCAGTCGGCTGAAGGCTGTGAGAGCGGTTGTCGAAGCTCGCCAAAGATTTGAGGAGGTCCAGGCCAATGGTCACGACATTAAACAGCGAATAGACAAAATTAATCAAACCGTCACCAAGGCTCATTCAGAAGTGCAGAAGCTTGAGCAGCGATTGAGACAAGAACGAGATGGTTCTGGTCCACTCAGGCAGGAGCTCCAGTCACAGCTGTCCTTACTGAACCGCAAGCGAGAAGATGTCGATGCGAAAAGAAAGCAAGAATCTCTGATTGCCAGCAGTGTCAAAGCACTTACAGATCAACAGACTGCACATCAAGCGGAGCTAAGCAGTGCCTTTAAGCAAGCACTGACTTCAGCTGAACAAAACGAGTTGAATCGACTCACAACACAACTGCAGACTCTGCGTCGAGAATACTCTGCATTGGCTGCAGACTTGGCTGAGGTTGAGTCAAGAAAGGCTGATCTCGAGGCTAAGCTCAACTCAAACCTGAGACCCCAACTTGCCATGCTTGAAGCTGATGATGCGGACACAGAAGGCACGACCTCGAGTGCGCTCGTTTCCAAACAGAGAGAATTGCAAAGACTGACCAAATCGTTCTCCGACGTGGAAAAGCAGTTGAGGAAAGTAGACCAGAGCATCGAAGAAAAGCAGAACAATGTGGCTGATTTGGAGACTCAGTTGAGTGAAGCCAAACAACGACAAGAAGAGCTGTCGAAGGCTATTGAGAAATCCCAAAGACGACTCGAAAAGGAACAACAGCTTCGACGAGACTTTCAAGAACGCAAACAAGCATCTTTAGAAGCCATCCGAGAACTAGGTCTTGTCTCGCAGGATCTGCGTGACAAGTTCAGAAATACGAACACGGACAAACTGGTGAAGCGACTGCATAGACTCCAGACTAGCCTCAAGCAATTCGAAGCAGCAGGACTGAATCGTCATGCTGTCGAGCACTACCGCAAGTCTCAAAGATCCAAGGAAGAATTGCAGACACGCAGGGCTGAACTCGAGAAAGCCAAGGATTCAATTGCACAATTGATAGATACACTCGAAACACACAAGGACGAAGCTATCGAACGCACTTTCAAACAAGTCAGTAAAGCGTTCGGCGAGATCTTCCAGAAGTTGGTACCACAAGGTAGTGGCAGATTGATCATCCGGCGAAAGCACGACAGACGAGGACAAGAGGAGGAATCCGATGATGAAGGCGAGAGAGGTAGCGTAGAAGCATACGTCGGAGTTGAGATTCAAGTGTCTTTCAACAGCAAACACGATGACCAACAGAAAATCCAGCAGTTGAGTGGAGGTCAAAAGAGTAAGTCGCAAAATGACCCACCATTCCTGCACTGCCAATACTAACATTTCGAAACAGCTCTTTGTGCCCTAGCACTCATCTTCGCCATCCAAGAAACAGATCCAGCACCCTTCTACATCTTTGACGAAATCGACGCCAACCTCGACGCACAATACAGAACCGCCGTTGCCGACCACCTGCGACATCTTTCAGAAAGAGCAGATGAAGAAAGTGACGACGAGAGTGACGGAAGTGAAGATCGTGACGATAAGCCGAGAGGAGGTCAATTCATCTGCACAACTTTCAGGCCCGAGATGTTGAGGGTGGCACAGAAGGTGTATGGTGTGACTTTTGCGAATAATGTGTCGAGTATTCGGGTTGAGAGCTTGGAGAATGCGCTTGATTTCGTGGAGAGTCAGACGCAGTGATGGAGGTACAGGAAGGGGTTGATGGATTGAGGAGCCGGGGAGGAGCGGACGAGTGAAAAGATCACCAACTACGATACTTGTTTTTCAGCTGATGAATATAACGCTGTATTATGTCATGCTCTTTGCAACGGACAAGGAATCGAAAGCTCAGTTTGGTTGGATGTAATACGACTGCCAAAGAGAAAGGTCTGAGATCTACAGAATGTGTATAGGAGGAAGTGTTTCCTGTCATTCCTCCCAAGAAAGCTCCACCAACTGTCTGAAGCATAGATTAGCTCTATTAACAGTGTCGAAACATTTTCGATCCGTTGATTACTGATACCTCTTGTTGTAGATCCAGATATGAGTAGTTCAACAAATTTCTGAGATGGACGATGATCACATTGGACTTGCACTAGGAGCTGGCAGAACACATTCGTGTCCTTGAAACTTTGAGGTAGATGCATCTCATTATTGACGTGCTGATGCATCCGCAGCACACCATCATCGTCAGAGAAAAATTCTTTAAACATGATTGTACAAATGCAGGACTCGCTTCTGCCGCCCGCCACGTGAAAACGCCATCCCTGCAAGTATTGCCTCTTTTCGCCAAAGTCTACCACCGCGCAAGGGTGGATGAGAAGTAGGAGTGAAGATGTGTTCGCTAAGCTGACAGACTGTGCCGCAGCAGCAAGTTCATTGTATCGTCGCAGGAGAAAATATACGTACAGTTCGGGCATATGTTGGAGGGATTGTTGCGGGAGAGGTTGTGCCGTATCCCTGGGTTCTGAGTGTGGGAGAGAGATGAATTGAAGTGGTGTTCTATTCGAGAACGACTTTTCGCGTTATCTGTCATCTCGAGTCAGCCATGTAACGCGACATCTTGTCAAGCCAAAACTTACCGCCCATGCACCAGCTAAGGAAGCGACTATGCTACCAGAGATCACCATAGGTCGGACTCCTCTCGTGCTCTTGAATACCATGCCACTTAGGGCGCCTGCCACAATGCTGTTTGCGGTATCGTGTTTCCCCCTATAATATCCTAATGTCGAATTTGCGCCATTGTAGACCATGGCAATGACACCAGCAGAATTACCAAGGAAAGGGCCTCTCCTTGTGATGCTGTTCAAAACGCCGTTGAGACGTAGTTTAGGTGGCGCCGATGGAGGCACTTTGTTTAAACCTTCTATTAATCCCCACGCACCTCCTGCTGTAAGTGCTGCCAAATATGTCGTTCCTGTGCCATAGCATAGATCGTCCGACCAACCTCTTGATGGTAGGAACGATTTTGCTCCCGGGAGATCTGATAGGGCTGATTCGTCTAACGAAAGGTAATCGAGAGTCTGCTGATTCAACCCTGCCAGAGGGTGTAGCTTTGAGGCATCTGGTATCGATGCGCCACCTAGAAATGATGATACATCAGGTGCTGTGATGGGCGCGTTATATGGTAGGGGCTCTGCAAATCCTGTGCTTGTTTGTGATGAGGAGGGAGATGGAGGAGGTAATGTATCGCCGGACGATTGCCGTGGTTTGTTGCCCGTCAGTTTATCCCAGAATGACATGCTGTATAAACTGTAGAAACTGACAATTGGGTGGTCGAGATTTCAATCCGTATGCGAGTGTGGTGATCGAGCACGATGAAGGCTTCGAGGATGGCGGCGCGAGCAAATCAATTCGTATCGGCGTCGACGCAAGAAAATCGCAGCCCGGAGCACACTCACTTCCGCTGTTTACCCGGAACACAAGACTCGCTTTACCTTCCGTCAACGAAGAATGCTTCCTGTCGCAAATTTATGCAAGACACTATACGAGATGTTGCTGTTTTGGCAAGCACGAGGAGGAATAGAAGATGCTTCACTGGTGCCGCCTGCGACCTGCTACTCAGCCTCACTATCTCTGTGAAAGCTATGGACGTTGAGAGGGCACATTATAATGTCAAGCATGGCCACTATCCCAGATATTTTGCCCTTGGATGAGCTCAGCAAACTCACTCGCGCGTCAAAGGCTCCTAGTCTGGAGCAATTCTCACCTGACCTTTTGCCTGAGACACAAGCGTTATGGCAGCGTCTTCTTCTGACAGTTCACAGTCTGACAGCGACCGACAAGCACATGACAGCTGCTTGCAATGCTATCTGCTTTACTGCAAGGAAGAACTCAAACAGCCTCGATGAAAAAGTGCGGGTCTTTGCGTTCTCTGGAGACACATTTCTGGACACTTTCCTTGTTGTTCGCTCAGCCTTTGCTGCTGGGAAGAACAAGCCGGCCCTGCAGGTCTTGGATACTATTGCATATCTTGCTAATTCTAACCGAGATGCAGATAGCGTTGGTAAACACGTTGCAGAAGCTGCTGCTGGTATGGTCAGGATCGTATATTCACAGCAGCCAAAGAAGTGCTTGAAAGAGGCATGTATTGTACTCTACTTCTTCCTTAGAAAGCTGTCTGATTTTATGTCTTTCCCAGATGTGCTCAGAAGCGTGTACTCGGACACCAAGCCAAACTTCCTACGCTTGTGTCGTGCCTTCAAGATTGATTGCAAGTGTATCGATGGTCAAGAATCGCCATGGCTTTCGTTTGTCATCTCCCTGCTAATGGTGGTACATGTGGCCGAATCAAAATCGGCAACGCTAAAATTGCTATCTCTCTTGTGCACACTGCCAGCAAAGACTTACGACGTTGAGTTGAACCAGATTACTCGCGAAGCCGTCGCCATATTCGGTGCCGCGAACGAGACATCTATGAATCATGTCATGAGAGATGTGATACCATCGATTGTCTCCGACAGAGATCAGTTTCATGCACTCTTGCCTCAAGCTGGAAAAGTTGCAGTTACCGAGACGTCTGCTATACAGTTAATCCTTGCCCAGCTGAACTTCGGCAAGACAAGAGCTTACTTGAAAGAAAGTGGTTAGTCTATCTGCTTGCGATGATGTTTGATTCTCATATCCTGACTGAAGCAGATGTACCACACTATGTAAACAGCATGATTTTGGCACGCCCGGAAGAGACCTCCTTGCAAGATAAGGACTCCTATGACGGCTTCCGTCTACTACTCAAAAACGTGTCTCCTGCTATACGCCAAAGTGCTTGTGAACTACTAATATCCTCGACTTCGTCTCAGGCTTCAATACAAATCGGAATGTTGCGTTGCCTACGCTATGCCCTTCCTTACTTGCACGATGATATAGACGCCTTCTATCGAGGTGAGATGTTCAGCATTTTTCGTAGATTTGTGACCAGGCTGTACCAGCATCGTCCCGTATCTCGTGACGCTGCGGAGGATGATGAAGCAGCGGCGAGTGTCGACGATATCGATGATTTCCTCAAGAGTTACACCATATTCCTGAAGAGCGAGCTTGCGGCGCACCTATCTTATGGGCGACATATTTTATCACTGGAGATACTCTGTTTCATCTCGCAGAACTTTACTACTCGGGACAGAGCACTTTCTGCATCAGTGCTCGCTGATTCAGACGCACAAGCTTGTCTATTTCGCTTACTGCTGGACCCGTATGATGATGTTCGAGCAATGGCTGCTAAAATCCTTTCTTGTGCTGCTTCAGCAGCTAACACTACACCGGAACGGGCAACATTTGACATGTCAGTCGCAAGTATTCGACCCGTGCAAGAAGTGTCGAGACTGGCAGCACGTACTAACCGTGCTGATCATGCCGATGCGCTTGGTCGAACTATTGCTCTCTTAAAATCAGATGCACAGATTAGTAGTCAACACGATACCGAAAATGTCTCGCAACACCCCCTGCTATCAGCTGCGCAAGAACTATGCAGATACCTCGACTCTATATCGGACTTCTTGGTGGTGTCCACGTATCCGTTACATGGCAACGTACTTGGAATAGCATATGCAGTTCAAAATCACAGACTAGTCTCCCGAGGCGATGCACCTCCTGCTCTTTTGGAGACTCTACTTGCTAGCTGTCGACGGATCTGGCTCTTGTCTCAAACCCATCTTTGCGTTGATTCACCTGAAGTGGAAAGCGATTCTTCGGACACTACGCTGACAAGTGGGCCAAAAGACTCGCTTGCTTACGCCTGGCGAGCACTCAGGGATGCCAACGTCCTGATGCAGTCCATCCTGGAGGGATTTGAAGTAAGCCACATGCTAATCGAGGCAGTTGGCGACATGTGTTTTGAGCAGCTGCGTCTGTTGAGGCATCGAGGAGCGTTCTCAACAGTTTCCCAGACATTTTTGACATGCTGCCAGAAAGCTCGTAGTGATGGACCAACACAACTCAGAGGGCTCACCGACCAATGGTTCGACGAGGCGTTGAAGGAACTCGAATTTCAAGCTGATAAATTGACTCGTCGATCTGCAGGCCTGCCAGCCATATTCGCTGCCTTGCTAGATCCATCAAGCAATGCTCACTTTTCCGCGTCTTTTGAAGCTCTTGTTGTCATCGCATCGCAAAGTCAACCGAGCGTTGATCCTGCAACTACTCAAAACAAGCTACGATTGCCACAAGTACACGCTCTGAACTGTATCAAAGACATCATGACAAACTCACGATTTCGAACGATGACAGAGCCCGTGGTTGTCCCTACTATCAATCTGGCTGCTCAGTGTATGAGCTCTTCGATATGGGCAATCAAAAATTGTGGACTGATGTTATTGCGAGCAAGTATCAACCGCCTTGATCCTGATACGACCCTTGGCGCCGCCGAAGCCGGCATGAAGTTACGTGGTAATTTTGCTGCTAACAAGACACCTCTTGAGATTGCTGTGGCTTTGCTGGGACAAAACACCGCTTCTGAGTCGCAAATACAGCAAATGAAGTTCCAGGGTGAAAGCGACCATAGAGGCAGCACCGAGGCCTTGTTTGCTGGTTTGGATCTCCTGAGTCGCCTTTATATCACCGATCGGGAGCAAGGTGCTGTAAAGAAACTCGTCGAACCAAGACTAGGCCACCATCTGTGGCATATCCGGGCACAAGCTGCTAGGTTACTCGCGCACATAACACTACCTGGCGAAGAACTGAGTGTGGTTAGGGACATGTTGAGCATTCCTGGTTCCGACCACAGTACAAACAGCTGCCACGGGAGGCTACTTGCTGTGCATTATCTTTTGAAGAGGTTGGTAGACCGAATTGAGCTTAGAGAACATCTCAAAAGCTTAGTGGAAATGTTGTTACAAGCCGAAGAGTTACCTCAGATTCGGAGAAGTACCACACTAAAAGCAACGTGGTTGGGTGTCTGGCATCAGCTGGTGGCAACCACTAATCTCTCTATTGACTCGACACAATATCTCTCTAATACAACAGGTACAAGATTGGAGGATAATCTTGAGGCCGCACAACCTACTGCTCTTTATGCCCGAGCTTCAGCGGTGGCTCGCTTCCAAACAAATCCTGGTAACGATCCGGACAGTTTAGATTTGGCTCTCAAGGCCTTGCAGACTAGTGATGATGATGCAGTGGTCGGCGCATTGGTTGAGTGTCAGGTCACTCAAAGCAATAGTGCTCATAAAATCCGACTCGAAGTGTTCTTGCATGCGTTGAGAGATCGACAAGCCGACGACGTTCGGGCGCTTGGCATGAGCATGATTGCATCCATTGTCACTCACAGTGACATGTCCCTAGGAGCCGCAGCAGCACGGCAACTAGTCTCCGAGATCGGGTTTGGGACACCTGTTTCGCGAGACCTGATGCTTAGCCAGTTGAAGCTCTATACCTCGATATGTGCCTTTGGCTGGAAGCATCGGCAAACGCACGAATACGAAGACACATTGACGGCAATCGAAGACCTTGCGAACGCTTTCTGTCTCCATCTCAGAGCAGCAGCCAATGAAGAGCATGACGACTCAACCAGGCATGGAGCGCTGCAAGCTCTTCTTCAATGGCGCTATCTCCCGGGCGTGGATGAGATGACAGACCAGATTCTGGGCCGGACAGGCAGATTCGAGATCCTGTCGATTCTGTATGACTTTCTCAACGACGACGACGAAATGATCAGAAGTACGGCCTCAACCCTTGCTGCAAAATTCTACCGCACTGCATCCTCTGACCTTGGCGTTCTTAAAGTTCTCAGTGCAGCAGCCTCTCGCGACAGACTTCGTCAACACATGAAAGAGGAGTTCTTGAGAAACGAGATGTTGAGCATGGAGTGTCTGCGGCGTCTGATCGGCCTCGAAATGACAGTAACTCGACCTAGACTAGCTGTTGCTCTGCGGTGTCGACTCAGCGACCGATCTGTGCAGGACGATCTACAGGATATCAGTGAAGCTGCAACCGATCTCTTTGCTGAGGAGAAGCAGAACTTGTACCTGGATGAGGTTGCTGAGATCAAGGCTTGGGCTGAGACTTTGTGTTGTGCAAAAGTTGGCCTGCCGGTATATGTGCAGGAGGCCGCGAGGACTTGGATTTCCGCCGGCGTACAGAGTTTGGACGACCTCTTCTCGAGAGAGGGTGGCATAGTAGATATGGGCCACAATACGGATCTTGAGATGTTGCTGAGCAGATTGGTGGTCATTGGAAGGCTTGTGGGAGGACGCGAGGAGGAAATCGACACATTAAAAAGAAAATGTTGTCACTTAGACTTATCTAACACAGTGCTGTCAGCCTTCACTTGGTCGCTGCAGTAACGAAGACGAATAGGTGTAACCACAACATCTCTCGTGAAAAATTTCCTACCAGTCGAGGTCGCCGGTTCCAATCCTGGTTATCGTACTGTATCTCAACGAATGACAAACGATATACTGGCCAAGTCCTTGAATCTATTAGCAGCCTTATCTCTGATCATACGAGCACCCGCCTGTAAGCCATTATTGCGCTGATTCTCAGTTCTTCTCCTGATTAATGCTGACAGACACTTCCTCGAAACCCTTCCGTCCCTTAGGACAAGATGCCGAAGTACAACGTCACACTATTTCTCTGCTTCTTCTTTGTTACGCCAGTTGTGATCTATGTTGCATGGAGGATGTGGGTCAATTGTATACTTCAAGAAGACCTGCGGAGGATCGAGGAGGGACTGAGGCGGCAGGAAACAGGACAGGCGCCTGCAGCTGCGGCGCCATCAGCTCCAGCACCAGCCCCGACGTGAACGAAGAGATGATGTGAAGGTCGATAGAGCCTGTGTGCCAGTGAAGGTGGATCAGGCATAGTGTCTGTGAAAAGACTAGACGATAATAGAGGGAGAGGAGTTCTGAGCCTGCTTAAATATTTTGTTGCGTCTTTTGATGATCGTGCAGGAGGAAGGATGATATATTGTTCTGAGAATGGCTGTATCGCTTTGAGACTCTGATGGAGGATGTGTAGGGCAGACACATGTGGAAATTTTGCCTTCAGGTCGACCTCAGCGACACCTTCACGTCCACTGCTTGCTCAACTCCAACACTTCGCCAATCTTTTGTTCTTTGGGAACTTTTTCTCAACCAATATGGCGTCCTCTGTGATACTGTCGACCAGCGTCTTTATCTCAACTTCACTATTAACGGCATTCAGCACAATCTACCAAACTTCCAAACCTGTAGTGGTCACCACTTTGACATCGGTCGCAAGTCAGCTCAGTACCTTTGTTCAGTCAACCACAATCACAAAGTCCGATATCGTCATGGCATCAACACTATCCATTCCAACCACCGTTACCTATACTCTGTCGCAAGTACTGACAAGCTACGCTCCAGCAAGCACGCCGACAATCGCTGCTGCACCGTTAACAGTAACCGCGACTATCACTTCGACTCTCTTCCAACCACCCGAAACACTTACCTATTGGCTACCTCCACCTCCACCTCCTCCAACGACAACGACGGTCTCCGCAAACCCAACAGAGTACCTGGGAGGAATAATATACGCACCTCTTCTCCCAGTCACAGTCACCGAACTCATCTTCTTCCTCGAGAACGCGGCTGGCAACGTCTACTCCACCATCACCACAACCATTGCACCGTCTACTCTCCCAACGTCGCCGATCATCATCGTGCCAGGCAAAGAAGAGCCTAAGCACGGCTGGGACTCGTGGAATGACTCGCAGAAAGGTGGTCTCATAGCTGGTGTCGTGCTTGCGTTTCTGCTTTTGCTAGGTCTCCTTGGCCTGCTGTGGCTCTGTCTCAGGAGAAGGAACAATGTCTGGGTTGCAAGCGATTGGACAGGTACACCGGTCGTACAACAGTCTGGGAATGCAGTGATGGTCCCGCAGACTTACTGGGGACCTGGACCGGCAGGATGGGGTCTGAGGAACTGAGTGAAATGCACTTCAAATGGAGATTGCTAGAGAGCTCGTGACGATTAGGGAAGGCCAGCTACGCGAAGAGGAGTGAGTCAGGTTTTGGTATTAGGATTACTCTGAGGCATTTGAGACTTCATTTTGTTCATACTTGGAGCTAGAAGGAGCGTATATGAACGCGGTAGTTTGATCTGACTAGAAGCAACAGAGTGCCCACTGTGAAGATCATCAATTGAAGCTCGCTGTCGTCAAACATGCCTGGGGCTGAGCAAGCAAAATAAATAGGTTGCCTGGATGCCTGGAACTGCTTTTGGCTGACGTACTCTTATGGTGGATGCTCTTGCCTCGAACGGCTCTCCATGTTTTAAGACGTGAATCTAGTCCGTAGTATGTAGTACAGCTTTCGCAAATCGACGTCTTCTTTTTAACCTCTATGTTCAGCTCGTGAGTTAATAGCGCGCTTTCCAGTCCACTTTACACAGGTCGTGAGCAAAAGTCATCAAGCTGGGTGTCCGGTCGTGGTTCACGAGCGCTGCCTTTGTTGAGACGGAAAGCGACATGTGGGACGAGGAGGACAACAACCCTTATGGTTCTTACGGACGCGATGTCTCGACCGAGCAGGACAACCCTGCTCTGAGCTCCTCATGTAAGGATTCCGAACCCTCATTGAGAACGAGCTGATAGCTGTACAGATACTGAGCAAGCCGGAACACCACCCTCATCGCAGGCTTCTCCTCAGCGCAATCCAGCTTTCTATTCGCAAGATGCCGATCTTAGTGAGGATGAAGACCAGCAAGGTCAAAACCATGGTGGTCCACGGAAAGGTGGTTACGATGGACGTATCCAGCAAATTCTTTACGAGGATCCTGAGCTTGAGATATTAATCGTGGAGGCCGGCAAGAGTCCCGACGGAAACTTCATTGCATATCGTGTGCGCACGGCAGTATGTATTCTGAAGTCACAAAGGAGGTTCCGGAGGCATATACTAAGCAACTAGTAGGACATTGAGGTCTCACGACGATACTCCGAGTTCGCCTCACTACGTAATGCGCTCGTCAATTTACATCCTACGCTCGTCGTCCCACCAATACCGGAGAAGCACACCATGGCCGACTACGCTGCGAAGCCTACCAAAGCGAAAGAGGATAAACACGTAATAGAACAGCGGAAAAGAATGCTGGCAGTGTTTCTTAATAGGTGCCGGCGCATGAGGGAGGTCATGGACGATGGAGTCTTCTGGCGATTCTTGGATCCCAATTCAAGCTGGGTACGGTTGCTTGCAAATGCTTGGATGGTTGGCTGACAATGACAGAACGAGGTGCTGCACGCCCATCCCGTAGTCTCGATACCAAAGAACAATCTCAAAGCACCCCCTCTAGATCCAGCTAACCCAACTCCTGCACATAACTGGCTTCCTGTACCTTCGTCCTCGGCAAAGCTCAAAGGCACGACATCTAGTACAGGTACACCTGTGTCGCCTATTGAGTATCACACCATGCCTTCGGCTGCGGCCCATAGCACTCCTGGCCCTCAAGTCTTCGGCCGCTTCCCTATACATGCAGACAGGTTATCGGAAGGAGAACTAGACCCTTACTTTATCAACTTTGAGGCTTCAACGAAGGAACTGGAACTACTGTTGCAGGGCAGTATCGACAAGGTGAACCGAAGGACTCTAGAACATCTGTCAAAGCTCTCGGCCGACCTTGCCGAGCTAGGAGCACGTTACAACGGCTTCTCGTTATCAGAACAATCACCATCGGTCGCAGCAGCAATAGAAAGAATCGGTCAAGCTGTAGATAGCACGTACCTGTCCACCGAGGACTTGTCCAACAGCTTTGGTGCATCGTTTGCCGAGCCCATGCGCGAAAGTGCACAGTTTGCAGGCGTCGTACGCAGTGTTTTACGTTACAGGGTGCTGAAAAGGGTTCAGCAGGAGATGACAAGGGATCAGTTAGAGCAGAAACGCAGCCTCCTCGATACACTGGAACGAAGTGAGCAGGAGTCAAAGCGAATCGATGCATATCTGTCATCAAGTACAGCTAATCTGCCACAACGATCTGCTTCTTCGGCATCAGCAAAGAAAGCTACGCAACAAGGCACACCAGTAAAGCCTCAGACTGAAGAGACACAGTCGATAGATTCAGATTTCCCGCCTACTCATGGGGAAGCGCCATCTTCACCACCATCTGCAACCCAGGGTCAACCATCAGAGGGCCCAATGTCGCCTTCGCACAAAAAGACACAAAGTGGAAATTTTGTGACCAACAAGATCTTTGGCAGCTTCAGACACGCTGTGAATGGGTTTGTAGATTCGGATCCAGAGCGGACAAGACGCGACCAGATGGGTAAGACAAAGGATAGTTTGTCGCAGCTAGAACAAGCATTGGAAGTGTCTGAGAAGGATGTAAAGGATGCTACGCAGGGAGTAATGAGAGACCTCAAGAGATTCCAAAAGGAGAAAGAGGATGACCTGACGCGGTATATGGTAAGTTCTCATCTGTCCCAGTCTACCATGTTTGGAGTGGCCACTAACAATGACTTTTAGGTCGCTTACGCAAGGTGTCACATTGAGTGGGCGAGGAAGAATCTAGAAACTTGGACGGAGGCAAAGGACGAGGTTGACAAGATCTCGACAAGGAAGGCGGTCTGAACCGGTCCCTTACCAAAGTGCCTCTTGTGTGTTATGGGTTGAATGCAGTCTTACTGGACAGAAAAGAAAGGCTCGTTTGACAACAAACACACTCATCCAGCAAGAGCGACACATTGGATGGAACAATCAAGTAGCATCCTGACTCTTGCTTGAGTGACCCAGATGTTAATAATACTTAAGACGAAAGCTCACTTCTAGTAGCTTTCGCTCCCACCAAAATATTCCTGCATGAATAGCTATACCTCTTCACTCCTGCTATATAACGAGATGCTATCTGTCACAACGCGTTCTTGAGCACTTCGAGCCTAGAAGCAGCAGACCGGACGTCATGTGTGGAGCCTAAGGCTTACCCGCAGTGGTGACGCTAAAGGCAACCACGTTGGGAGTGCGGCCTGTGAAAGTCGATTGCGACTGCTTGCTGCAAACTACACAAAAAATCGACCCTGTCTGCTGTCTGCGATCCAATAGATTCTTAGCGACAAGACACACTGCTACTCTTCTTACTCCAGCATACAGCACAGTACATACCGTCTACACTCCTTCGGCGCGTACACTGTCGATGCCTGGCCGTATCTTATCCTGTCTCCTTCATCCGTAGCCAGCACCGGCTGTCCCATATGCAACATCTGAATAACAAATCTTTACCACTCAAGGATGATCTGAAAGACCTCAAGGACCGAGAACGAACGCTCCGATCCTCTTCTCCTGCTATCAAGCGACCGGCGGCAGACATGGGCGGTCAAGAGCGCGAGGACGACGGGAGGGACGTCGAAATGGCTGAAGCTACCGACACTGCCTCTACTTCGTCTACTCATACACAATCAAACAACGGCAAACGACAAAAGAGCGATCTAAATACCAGCAATCCAGGCCCTGTCTCCCAAGCAGCATCCTCCGAGGCAGACAGTGTGTCGGACAGCACTCTGGCTGACACTTCAAACGAGTCAAGAACCTCCACTGCTGCTACCTCCATCACAGGTACAGCCGACTCCGAAACCAGACCCAGCATTGACGAGCAGATAGCAAAAGTAACACAACTGGTACAAGAAACTCCAAGAGATGGTGCAAAAGGTTACTGTGTCTCTTGTAAATGGATGCAAAGAGTGCTTGCTCGCTCTTCTGAACCACAACCCGGCATCCCAAAGTCTGCTCTCGAAGGAGAGGTAGGGCCTGTTGACAATGCTGACATAGCTATGGTCATCGAGGGTTCTGGTGAACTAAGAGACGAAGCTGGCGAGCCATTTACTGCCTTGAGACCTGGTCTCGAGTTGGGCGAAGACTACCAAGTAGTGCCAGAGGAAGCATGGAACCTCATTGTACGATGGTATGGTGTTGCCAAAGAGTCGCCAATTATTACCCGATATGCACACATCCTCAGCGAAGACAACCCTTTAGAATGCCAGTTCGAGCTGAATCCACCTGTCTTCTCCTTTCTCAAGGTTGTTGGCACACAAACCCCTCAAACGCAGAAAGAGGCAGAACACCTTCCACCACGTATGGTCAGCAGTGTCCACAGACCTTACATGGAGTGGCTGAAGGCGGCCAAAGAGAAGCTCAACATAGATATCAATACGAAAGTCCGTGTCTGGAAAGTTTTGGGCGGCATTAAGAGTACCTCTGCCTCCGGCATACTGACACCTGCTGCTTCACGAAGTGCCTCTCCTGCTCCCGGAGCCGAGATCATCGCCAGTGCTGGTACCAAGATGATCCTCGATGTTAACACTTTTGGTCTGTTGACCCTCGGCGACCAGAGAGAGCTTATCGACCATAAAGACCATACCATGGATGCAAATTACAATGGCAAGGTTGATCTGCGGACCATTGGCTTAGGCAGAGACGAAGTGATCGTGCTCGAAGAACAGACTCCTGATACAGACAAGTTTCCAAGCGACAACCCAAAACTCTCCTTCAAAGGTGCCGCCAAGGCCAAGAACCTTACTGTCAGTGGCAGGTCTTCACCGACTCCGAGTATCATGACAAGAGGCAGAGCTCAGAGAGAAGGTAGGCCGAAGGGCATCGTCGGTCTGCAAAACCTTGGCAATACATGCTACATGAACTCTGCCCTCCAGTGCATACGGAGTGTTGAAGAATTGACCGAATATTTTCGAACAGGTTATTACAAGAAGGAGCTCAATCCTAGCAACCCACTCGGTCATCACGGCAAGGTTGCCAAGGCATACGGTGGCTTCATAGAGGGTATTTACTCCGCCAACAGTAACGTCTTCAACCCTCGTGATCTGAAGAACATCGTGGGCAAATATGGTCCCTCATTTGCTGGCTACGGTCAGCAAGACTCACAAGAATTTCTAGCTTTCCTGCTTGATGGCTTGTCCGAAGACCTCAATAGGATACAAAAGAAACCTTATATAGAGAAGCCTGACTCGACTGATGATATGGTCAACAACGATCAGCTTCTCAAGGAATTCGCCGACCGTAATTGGAACGACTACAAAGCCAGAAACGATTCCGTGATCGTCGACCTATTCGCTGGCATGTACAAGTCAACTCTGACTTGTCCGACCTGTGACAAAGTCAGTATTGTGTTTGATCCTTTCAGCTCGCTGACTTTACAATTACCTATTGAGAATAATTGGTCGAAAGAAATCATCTACTTTCCTCTACAGGAGAAGCCAATGCGTATCGACATCGACATTGACAAGAACTCGAGCATCCTCGACATGAAGAGATTCATTGGCCAGCGTACTCAATATGATCCCGACAAGATGATCTGCGCTGAATCGTACAAGAACAAGTTCTTCAAAATCTTTGATAATACTGATGTTATTGCCGAAACCAGTATCAGTGCTAACGATATCATTTGCGTCTACGAATTGGCAGAGAAGCCCACAAATTACAACGCTGACAAGAAGAAAAAGTTCACCTTGTTTTCGAACAAAGATCTCGATCCCAAAGTTGACCCTGACAGTCCCGCTGCTGAGCACTTACTGGTCCCTATCTACCACCGACTGGCAAAAGCCAATACTAACAATAGATTGGTCCGAAGCTTCTTTGGTCATCCTAGTTACGTTGTCCTATCCCGAGAAGACCGAACATCGTACGACGGAGTACTTAAGAAGGTCTTGACACAGGTTGTGGGCATGACAACACTGGATATTCTCACGGACGAGCGTGAACTTGGCAACGACTCCGCACCAGAAGATTCTGATACCCTTGTGGTCTCCGATGCAAGTACGGGCTCGCAGTCTCCAAGTGCCAGTGGCAATTCAGTACAAGGTGAAGACGGCCTTGTGGATGTGTCTATGAGAGACGCTAGCCAGATACCCGAGCAAACATCCAGATCGCGAGAATCAATCATGGAGCATTTGCTGAAGCCTGGTACTCCGATACCTAAACAGCTTCAACGACTCTTTGATATCAGAGTCGCTCATACTGAGGAGGGTATTCCTACAGGCTGGAACAATTTGGCCGAATCAACCGATTTTGATTCTTTGAGGCAGAAAGCTGAAGAAACGACTCGAATACTTGCTCACCACCCGAGACATAGCAGCGATGAAGTGCCCGAAAGTAGTGCAGATGAGCTTGCCGAGGAAGATTCTAAAGAACTTCGCAAATCTCCAAATTCGGCTTCGGAATCTGGCGGCAGCCCTCCCCAACAGGAATCAGACGTCGACTCTGTTGAGTTGCCCGAGCCATCTGAAATGTTTGGTGGCAAGGACACCAGAGGTGCCAAAAAGCACAAGGCCAAGAACCAGAAGACCTACTCTCGTAAAGGCAAGAAGATCGTAGGCAAGAGTCACAAACGAACACCTCCACCTCCACCACAACCGAAACCTGCAGTTTCTAATGGAGCCGAATTATTAGTGCCAGGTGATGCCATCGTTCTTGATTGGAGCGAAGATATCTACGAAGCGCTGTTTACAGGCGATGCAGCTGACACCATGAGAGGCTCATTGACACACCGAGACCCTGAGTTATTCGAAGATGAAGAGCTTGTAAAGAAGCGTGAATCACGACTGAACAGAAAGAAGACCGGTGTGACGCTCGAAGATTGTCTGGAGGAATACGGCAAGACCGAGACTCTTTCTGAGCAGAACGCCTGGTACTGCCCGAGGTGCAAAGAACATCGACGTGCCAACAAGCAGTTCGAGCTGTGGAAAGTTCCAGATATCCTAGTCATGCATTTTAAGCGTTTCAGCTCTGCACGCAACTTCAGAGACAAACTTGAGTTGAAGGTTGAATATCCTGTCGAGAACCTCGATTTGTCACAAATGGTAAGAGACAAAAGTGATGGCAAGAGCTCAATCTATGATCTGATTGCCGTCGATAATCATTATGGCGGGCTTGGAGGTGGTCACTATACTGCTTACGCCAAGAACATTAACAACAAGATGTGGTATGATTACAATGATTCGCATGTGTCGCCGGTCAAAGACCCTGAAGTGGTAGTGCAGAAAAATGCGTACCTCTTGTTCTACCGCCGCAGATCGGAAGACCCTTTAGGTGGACCCAACCTCGAAAAGATCCTCAGCGAAGTCGACTCTGAAGAGAACCTCGAAACACAATCCAGAGATGCTTCACCTTCGGGGGAAGGCCAGCGTCTCGGCGGCTCCTCCCACAATGGGTCGTCGAGCGCTTTAGTCGGTCAAGCTCACCGCGTGGGAGATGGTGGTTCGGCAGTAAATCGACAGGTGATCAAAATGAAAGGTCTGTCTCGGGGTCTCGAGGACGAACAAGAAGGTCATTCGATGTTTCACGGCCCTCAGAGTCTTAGCAAGTCAGAGGAATTGCCACCCTATGGGGATCGCGACAGCGATATGCTTCTCGACAACGATGTTGTTGACGAGGGCATCAGTATGATAGGACCTACTCAACCATGGCTTGACGATGCTCTAGTCCAGGGCTGGGGTTTTGATGCTGCCGCTCCTCCAAACAGCAACGCGGGTGATAGCGAACATTTTGAAGCACCTTTTGGTCGTTTGGGCAGAAGGGATAGTAACGTTTCTGTGGCGAATGCTTCCAGTACAGGTGGGTTGGGCGGCAGCGAAATTGCCAATCTCTCAGATCTAGATGATGAACAAGATACTGGCAACATTTTAGAGTATGATGACTTAGGGAGGGACCCTATCCTACGAGGCAATCGAGAGTCCGCACCACCACCAGACGACCCAGAGACATTACCGAAGATAATTCACCATGTTCCGATTCCTGAGGGTGAAGACGACGAGGAGCTAGAAGTCCAGGAGTTGAGAATTCACAGTGAGGATCCAGGAAGGTCGTCATAGAATGCACCAATGTCTCCGAGTAAGAGGTCAGGTACCGATAGATCTCAATCACCAAGTAAAAGGACAAAGATTAGTCGAAGCACATGTACAGACCTGCAAGCTGACTGTTCGTTGTTGTCACCGGAAGAGAAGGAGCGTAAGCTGGATGAATTGATTACTCGAATGCGTGAAGCCACGGCAAAACACTTCCCTCTCGCCGACGCAGAAAGGCTTCCCGTTAGCCTAGAAAGGAAATCCGTTGACAAAGCATATGTAAGAGGATTGATGATCAATGACTTTGAAGAAAGAGGTGCCTCTAAGATGTGGGCGATAAAAGCTCTGGAGGAGGTGAATTGGGAAACCTTCGAGACAGCCTACCATTTACTGAGAAAGTGGCGCTGTCTGCCATCTTCGTGCAGCCCACTTCAAAATGAAGAGCCGAGATGGAAGCAGATGCATACAGCCCTGATCAGAGCTGGCCTTTTAAGCCATGAAGCTGAAGAAGCATTGGTAAGGACGAATTACGAGTCGGTAGACTTGGCATACAATTACTGGACGACAAGCCATGTTGCGAATTCCTGCGATTCCAACTCAGTCAGATCATCAGATACATCCGAAGAGACCCAACTTCCATCCGAGGAGAGGAAGAGCAATATGCTGAAAGACCTGATGCTAGAAGGCGTGCCTAAAGATGAAGCAGCAGAGGCACTAGCATCAACAAACTGGACGGCATCGGATCTAGCACTTCAGTCTTGGATTGAGCTCGATGGAGAAGAACTTCGATGCCGAAAAAGGAGCATCAAGAATTCTGCTCAAGCTGACCAGGACGATGGCAGGAATCCATGGCGGTTCTACTCCACCCGAGCTGGAGGAACCCCTCACAAGCTGAGTCCTCGTCAGAGCCTCAATGGAATTGCCGTCAATGAGATGACCAACAAGAGGCAGTCCGAATTGCTCCGACAGCTCATGGAAGTCCTAAGTGTGACGGAAGCAGAAGCTGGTCAAATCCTTGTGCAGTCAGAAGCAGATGTGGTCGAGGAGGCGATTACTTGGTATTATGCTAAACAGGGAAATTTGTGATAGAGACCCATGTCGCTACGTAGTGCGGAATTATTATTCTTGTTCTCATGCTATCACCCGACATGTGGAAAAGGCGTTAGCAGGTATGGACGCTTACAGATGGCAAGCCTCTGGCGGACACAGGACTAGGTCAAAAGTTATCGTTAAGTATTCTTCGTCCTGCAAGAGGAGGCAAGGATCGATCCGCTTGTCTACCAGCAGGCAGGTCTGGTTGAAGTCAATCAGGCTGTAGATAGTACATAGACATGGCGGAGTACAATGTTGTGTGCATGATGCACAATTGTATGGTGTTTGGTCTTTTTTGTTTCTTGGTCAAATCTCACCATTTACTTGTGATAGCATCCGAAATGCCGTCGTGAGGTTTCTTCCTCAGGTAAATTAGGCATTATGCGTTAAATAGGTTAGTACTTTGTAGGCGATTAAGGGATCATATGCGTAATCGAAAAATCAGCAATGCGCACATGGTGACTTGAAGACAATTAAAACCTAGTGATTCGGTGATATGTACACGCCCTGTCTCAGACAGAGTATATATGTAGAAGGAATCAAGGCGGCCTGGGGTGGTGAAGAAGCACAATAAAGTAGTTCAACTATCCGTTCTGATCGTCCATCGGGAGTTCCAACCACGTAACCCTTGACGCTGTCAGGCTTGAATAAGTGACCTTCCAGATCGCTCTGTGCTAGACGTGCACATACGTAGACATTGACCCTGTTCCAAATCGGACCATGTCGATGTCGACTCGTCAAGTCATCCTTCCCTTCGTCTTGCCCCTTTTCATCTTTCGGTATTGTGATAGCACTTTCTTGTAGTGCCTAGGAGTACTTATGAGCAAGTCTAGCGGCATGAGTACGCCGGCAAAGACTGCGAAACTTGTCATGAGTGCTTGAAGAACACATTCTGCCAGGAGACAGACGACGAACATCAGAAATTTGATTAGATCTGCAACGATCCAAAGTGGAACAACGACAGCGACGGCGGCGAGCAGGACAGTGAGGCCTAGCAGGACCGCAAAAGTGCCGCAGACTGTGATCACATTGCAGTTGAGCCAATGCCATGCCATTCGGGTCCAGGTTCTTGGCTTGGTGGCTGAAGCCGACTCTGTCTTGCTCTTCTCGGCTGCTACTTCCTCTAGGAAAGCGTATCGCACTATCCGTATTGATCGAGCAAAGTTACGTGGAGGTTCGTTGGCATTAAAACTGAAGTTAAATTTCAATGAGCCGAACCAACCTGAGGTTGTGGTTCCATTTTGCTTGTCATCCTGCAGCTCTCTTGCTGAGATTCATTGCATCTCAATATCGTCCGAACCATTGTAAGACACCTGTGGTGGAACGTCGCTCCGCGTTGCTCGAGCTTCAGGTTACTGCATCGCGTTTTGAGAAGCCATGAGACTAAGGCCGCTGAAATCAAAATCGTGAGAGGACAGGATATGGCCAGATAGATTCCTCTAAAGACGCGTGCTGTAAGGAAGTTATCCAGACATGAAGAGGCTAACTTCACGTTGCTTGGTCCTATAACAAGCCTTCGTGAGTGCAGGACTGCGGTGGTTCGAGCAAAATTGGTGTTTCGTAATTCGGCAGTTGTAGTATTGGTAGGTCGTTTGCAAAGAATACTTTGTTAATGCTGCGCGGTGTTTTGAATCCCTGAACTAACACTCTATCATCAATGTAAGGTTCTGCCAATACTGATACTTCTCATAAAGAGAGCAAGTGCTACAATTCCCCCAGCAGATATGTTACATGAGCTCGGATACAGCATTTCGTGAGAAGCTGCGTATCGAGACAACCATGCGACACTGGTCTGCTAGTCTCGCAGCTCACTTGTCATCGTCAGTGAATCGTTCATCGAGCCACTTTGAAAGTCCAGTTGTGCCGTACAGGTCTTTCCAACCCTGACTATCGTCTTCTTCGACATACTCATGTACAAATTCAGCGACTTCGTTAGCTTTCGTTCTTGCAGCATCTGTAGCGTCCTGAAACTTCTCGTTTACTCTCTTGATGCTGAGGTCGTAATACCCCACACTTTGGTCCTTTGCTCGCTCTGCTAGTTTTGAAGCTCGTCGAGCCGCCTTGGAAGTGTACCTGGAAAAGATGATACCTAGAAGATAGGAAATCCGTGAAATGACTCTTGTGACCGCTTGCTTCACCGACATGGTAATGCCATGAGATAGGAAAGCCTTGAGGACTTCGAGATGTAGGCCTTCGTAGAAAGCTGAAGGCCCTTCAGTCTTGTAGATTGTGAGCAATGTACTGAACAAAGTGTTTCGAGCCGCCTTCTTTCCATACTTTTCTACCCGATCACTTCTCGATTGAACTGCTTCTTCGACAGTCTTGTCTTGGGTTTGCTCTTCCTTTTTGTTGTTCAAGCTTCCTGCTTGTAGACGTGATTTGGCGAGACTGATAGGATATGTGACGCTACTAGCGCACGATTTTGACAGAGCTGCAAGGACGAAAGTCGCAGAAGCAGGAGGCTGATCGCGTTTTGATCTCGGTAAAGTGACACGCTTGAAAAACTCGAACAGGAAGAACGTCAAACTTGGATTCAGCGTTAGAACGAGTGAGGCAGAATATCCGGACCAGAAGCCCCAAATCCCATCGTCTTCTTGTATCCTTCTCGCAATTTCCATAAATCCTGGAGTTCGGCCAGCAGGATTTCTTAGGGCCGCAGCCTGCTGACGAGTGGCAACGTTCGCGATGGGCGTTGTCAGGAGCTTCGTCGTGGCACCTGCAATGAAGCCCACGCCTAGTTCTTCATAAGCCGGCAAGTTATGCTTGTTGCCATTCTTAGCGAAACGACCACGTCGGATGTAGTCGTAGAGGAGGAAGAATATAAACGAATCGGCAATTGTTTTGCCAGTATCTGACAGAACGCCAGCAAAGAAACCGGAGAATCCTCCTTCATTATTGTAGATCTTTTGAGCGGCATCGACCAACCCTCTGTACTCTTCTTCGCTAGCTTCTTGGGCATTCTTTCGGAGCTGTCTCTGTATTTGCAGGCGAGTGATGATTAGGGCAAGGGGATACACGATGACATTTGAGAGAGATGCACCGACTGATCCAGCCAGCCCGTCTGCAATGGCTTTCGTGAGCTGCTTAGAACCGGAACCACCATTTTTCTGGTCCTTCTCTTCTTGGATCTGGTGGTAGAGCTCGAACGCGTCCTTGATGAATCAAATTAATCTTAAGATGCGACGGACATCGAATTATGCTTACAAGCTGAGAGATATATATCGTGCCCATCATAGGCTCCTGAGTGGTGAAAGCTTCGCATACGAGTCCAGTCAAGGGCTCGATTGATGCTACCTGTCGAAGGCATCAAACTAGTCGTTCGCACCTGGTGAAGATGTCACTGAATGATGTCGACAATCTGGTGTTGACCTCCACCTTCCCCAGTTTCTAGATGACTGCTCCAATAAGAAGTCGCGATGGAGCTCCGCGCCTGCCGAGGCACCTTTAAAAGATGAGCATGACACGAGTATACCACAGTAGGACAGAGCAAATTGAAGCAGACGTTCATTGATAGACAGTGTCGACAGCCAGTTCATTGCAGAAGTCCCAGTGATTACTGCAATACTCAGCTTTTTCATCTAAACGTGCAATTCAGACACGCCACTCTGGGCAATATACTCCCTGTAGGGCTGAATCGCTGGTTCAACCTCCTCCTTTACAAAGCGTTCAACCTGTTGTGGTGCTCTACCAATGAAATCACCCGGATTCAGCAACTTGTCCTCAGTGAGCTCATCTACAATAGATGCGAAGAATGGCTCCTTCTTAATCCTCTCTACCAAGTCGTTTTGCTTGCCCTCCTGTTTCACCACTGCTCCAGCTTGATGTGACAGCACTCGGATCTGCTCATGAGCCTCTTGTCTGGATTGACCCTTGGCAACTAGTCGCATGATAATGTTCTCGGTCGCCATGAATGGAAGTTCCTCCTGAATGCGCTTGTTGATGACCGCAGGGTACACCACCAATCCGCTAGACACGTTGTCCAGTAGGATGAGCAGTGCGTCTGCAATCAGGAACATCTCTGGTATATCTATTCGTCGAATCGCGCTGTCGTCGAGACTTCGTTCGAACCATTGGTGAGCGAATGTCTGTGACGTCGAGAGGTTGAGCGTGGCCAATTTTCGACCCAAACTGCACATGCGCTCGCTTCGCATAGGATTGCGCTTGTATGCCATTGCTGAACTACCGATTTGGTCCTTCTCAAATGGCTCTTCCAGTTCTTTGAGCATGGCTAAATGTCGAATATCTGTGCCTATGTGCTCACAGGTTGTGCCGAAAGACGCTAGCACATTACCAGTATCGGTGTCGACTTTGCGGTTATAAGTCTGGACTGAGACGATGCATGCTCCTGCACAAGTTGGTTAGCCTCCACGTCCCTCGTTGCATCAAGAAAGAGGTACTCACTTTCGAAACCTGCCTTTTTAGTCACAAGTCTGTCCAACTCTTCCACTTTATCGTGATCACCCTCAAATATCTGCAAGAAGCTCGCTTGTGTACCCGTCGTTCCCTTGACGCCCCTGAAGCTTCTCAGAATATCCTGCTTTGCTCTCGTCAGGTTCCTCAAATCCATCAACAGACTCTCAACCCAGATCGCAGCTCTTCTGCCCACAGTAATCAGTTGTGCTGGCTGTCCGTGCGTGTATCCTAGACATGGCGTAGCTTTCTGCTCCAACGAGAATTGGCTGAGCTTCGAGATCACCTTGGCCAACTTTGGCAGTAGAATATCCAGTCCATCTCGCAGGAAGATCAGGTCAGCATTGTCAGTAACGTAACAACTCGTCGCACCCCAATGTATAATTTTCTCGGCAGCTGGTGCTCGTTGACCAAAGGCATGAACGTGAGCCATCACATCGTGTCGACGACGCTTCTCCTCCACGGCAGCGACTTGGAAATCCTCGTCAGTCATGGTCTTTGCGGCTTCCATCTGAGAGATAGCATCATCCGGGATTTGGAGACCAAGTTCTTTCTGTGATTGTGCTAGGTAGATCCATAGTTGTCGCCAAGTAGATGCTCTGGTTCGTGCACTGAAAAGACTGAGCATTTCTGGCGAGGCATATCGGCTAGATAGAGGTGACGAGAAGGTGTCGTATTGAGAGGGCATCTTGAGTGCTTAGACAGGCGTCTTGTGTGTATCTCGGACTATGTTGTTAAAGACTGAGGACAATAGACGACAATACAACTTAACGTGCCAAGCGTTCTGAGGCAATAAATTGTATACAAAATCTCAAGTGGGTCAATATCGCGGAAAATTATCTTGCGTGTTTCGAGAGGAGAATCCCTCCAACCACAGGTCACCAGATATCGACGAGCGAAGGAAAGTGCAAGTATTTCATCACAACCTATCAATCCTTTGAAGTCGTAGTTGTCGCAAAGTGGTACACGAACGGTTATATATCTATTGATGAGCTAAAGCTTGGGTATCACGATTGAGACGCATCAATACTACCCCTATTAAACCAATTTCCCATCCAACTCTGTCTATTAGCTTTCTTCCGCTCTTCTTCGTCTTGGTTTTGTACAAGTCGGAGCGGTCTCAATTGGCTCTGCTTCATCACTCCTGCAGTCACAGGAGGGGCCATGCTTTCACGATCGCGAGTGTGAGTGCTCGTCTGCGCAGATGTAGCCTCCGTCGACTGCCTTCCATAGCTTTCACCACTATTGACACTATTTGCTGAGCTTGACGGCTCTGCTGTGCCGCTCTGTGACGGTGCTCTTATAGTCTCTGATCGAGATGGTGGCGCAAAGTATGAAGTTTGTGCTCTTTGGAGTGGGCTGATGCCTGTGGTAGGCCCACCACTGGCAGTCCTGAGTGGTGAGCCTTTGTTCACGTGTTGCACAACAGCAGCTGCTCCGAGGTCTGGCGGCTGCATCTGATCGGAGCGAGCTCGACGATGACCTCTATTGATTGGTACACTGGGAGCAGTCTGAGGGTTCTCGTTCGCTGTAGGAGTCGAAACAGTAGCAGCTTGCATGAAAGACATTGGTCGAGCCCCACGAGCGGCTGGGGCTCTACTTACCACTGACTTTGCCCTTGATAGGAAGCCGCCCACGACTGTTGGAGTCGTTGGTGCGTCCGCAGCTGGACCTGAAATGAGTGCTGCGGGAGCTAGAGGAAGTGGCTTTTCCTTGACCACGGGTTTCGGTGGTGGAGGAGGGATATTTTCGTCCGCATCTTTACCAGTAATAATGTGCATGAGGTCGTCGTGTTGCAATAACCGTCCAATAATCTTGTCAACATACAGTGTCAAAGCCTTCTTTTCCTCTCTGACGCTCTTTAGATCTGCCTCCAACTTCTTATATTGTTCCATCGAGATCTCATCGTTCTCACCAATTGACTCCAGCTCCTCTGCGAGCGAGCTCATTCCACCAGATTCTGAATGTGTATCGTGCATAAAATCGCCCTTCAGGGTCTTTTCGCTGAGCAGCATTTGGAAACTGTCATTCTCCTCTACCAGTCTGGCATTCTGCATCTTGACATCGCTCAATTGCTTCTCCAGGGTTTGTAGATTACCATCACCCATATGTTCCTGTTCTGCGACTTTGAAGTGCACATCTGCGAGTTCCAGTCTCAGAGCATCAATAGTAGCTTCCTTCTCTTGCAATACCTGCAACAATTCTTCCTGGTTCGAGGAGGACGTTTGTGGTGCGGATTGAAGGTCTTCTTCACTACTAGGATGCGTTCGAACGATATTTGCCTTTTCCACGTTCTTCGCCTGCAACATATCGGTCAACCTCTTAACCGTTGTCTGTAATTCGTTCTCGCGCGCTGATGCTCTGCTTTTCTCCTGAAGAAGTACGTTGCGTTCTGATTCAAAGTTGAAAACCAAGTCCCTCTTCTGCCTGGCACTATCCTTGACCTCCGCAGCGAGCTTGTCGGTCTGAGTACGGGCTGCGAACTCTCGCTCTTCGGCCACTGTCTGCTGATCTGTGGCGTCGTCAAGGCGTTGTTGTAATAATTTCAACTGCTTGCGGTATTGCTCTGAGGCATATTCTGCTCGTTCAACCTGCTCCTTAAGATCTGCGATGAGCTGAGCATTCAAGTCCTTGGACTCGTCTCCATCCATCTCGTCTCCTACTCCAATGCTAGACCGAACGGGAGTCCGCCTTACTGATCTGCCGCGTAGAGAAGGATTGCGTGCAAGACCCTGCGCTGTAGAGGGTGGTGAAGTCAGGCTGTTCAGAGGCTTAGAAAAGCCACCAGGAGAAGTCATACTAGTCCTAGGGGTCATATTCGAAGTGTTGGAGAGAGGTCGCCCAGGAGGTGGTGTCGCCATGGTGGTGGTGTAAAAGAGCACAACGATCTAGCAATAGCAGTCTCTAGTCCAGTGTGTATGCGCAAGTGATACTGGTCTTACATCTAACTAAAAGCAGGCGAAGTAATGCTATGCAATCAGCTGACGGACTCAAAATAACAATGCTGATCCTCACGTTGGATGCTGCGCACCGACTTGGCTACGCAACAACCGACGCAATTTCGGCCAAGTGATGGATACGATCTGACAGGTTAAGCCTGGCACGGTTTGTCATTGTCTCAGTATCGGGAGCGTTCTCTGTGCGTGTTACTAGTTCATGTCTCGCAGCCATAATGGTATTGTCGCAACCTGCTGTTCAGCTTCGTTCCTAGATTTCGTCCTCGTAAGGATAGTCGCTTGAGCGACGCAACGCACTGCCCAAAGCTGGACGGGGCGGAGTCTGCAATGTCCATGCGTGTTCATAAGCGAAGGATAATTACTCCAAGGAGTAAAGTAGCTGAGGCCTGACGGCCTAACACGCTTGTCCCGCTGGACTTGCCCTTCTCATGCTGCCAAGATTGCTGTGTGCGCCCTTTTGAAATTGGGACAAATTCTACTGCCTTGTCTACCGTCAATCACGAGATCATACCGCCGGAGCGCAACAACACCTTCTCTACTCGAACATAGTAGCGCGTAACGATGGCCCCAAAGAAGACCAAGAAGACAGCCGACAGCATCAACTCGCGCTTGGCGCTGGTGATGAAGTCTGGCAAAGGTGCGACCACAAAACGATATAGCACGACGTTGTCATTAACCACTTTCAGTCACCCTCGGATACGAGTCAACTCTCAAGACTCTCCGATCTGGCAAGGCCAAGTTGGTCATTATCGCCGGAAACACTCCCCCTCTTCGAAAGTCGGAGCTCGAGTACTACTCTATGCTGTCCAAGACCAATGTTCACCACTTTGCTGGCAACAACGTTAGTACACACTTACAAGAAGTCCCTGCGAAGAAGCTCCCAATTCGTTTTGGACCTTGGGCTTTGGAGGGTTAAATGCTAATGCTTATCTCAGATTGAACTGGGTACTGCCTGCGGTAAACTCTACCGATGCTCTACCATGGCCATCCTAGATGCTGGTGACTCCGATATCCTGACTGGTTCCACCGCATAAGCAGTATCGATCTAAGACCGCTTAAATAGAGGGACGGTAGCGATAGGGAGGCTCATGCAGTCCGCAGCTCTGTGGTCAATGTCTCGACCTAAGACCCTGCTCGAAGTCAATACAAAAAGGACCTGTATCCATAATGGCCAAGAGCTCGAGTGCTAATGAGAACTACGTTGGCGCAGCCCTTCCCGAGTCCAGTGTTGTCACAAGAATGCCGTGTATATACTTCGAAAACAAAATTTACATTACCCACCTTTTGAATTTTTTATTTGCCCATTTTCGATGCATCCAACAGATGTCCTCGACTAATTCAGCTCATATATCCTGTCAATCTTGGATATATATCTTCGAGGTTCTCGAAAGTTTAGGCCTTCAAGTCGCTCACTAAGTTCCTTATCGGTGCGATTGTCTTTGTGCCGACGTGAAGGAGATCTGGACCTGCGGGTACTGTCATCTCTTCGTCTATGCATCTTCATTTCGTCAAAGATGCTATCGCCACGTGTTCCACAGTGACTGCGGCTGGGGCGACGACTCATTTTGTACTCACTCTCACCTGTCCTATGACTGGATGTACGGCTAGGTCTTATCGGACTCCTCTGGCGATAAGTATTTGCTTCATATCGAGTTCGTTCGTATGCTACACGACCTGGTGATATTGACGGTGCCTGTCCGCGTCTGCTCCGACGATTTGAACCACGATTGTCTTCCCTGGAATGGCGCCGGCCTCTACCTTCGTGTTGTGAGGCATTACTGGATCGTCTGTGCGACCTGGGTGGACGTTCGTCGAGACTGTGTCGACCAAAGAGATCAGAGAGCTTATCGAGTTTTCCCATTTTGATTCTATTGTGTTCAAGATGATGTGTGTTTGAATGTCACTGATACATGCATGCATCTTGAATGTTCAAATAGCAAAATGCAGAAGGCATGTACACAATGAAGAGCTTGTTGTACCTGGATGTTCCAAGAACAATCCTTCCTTGTCCATTTCTTTGAAGCCTTCACGAGTCATTGGTGCCTTCAAAACACCGACAAGTGCTTCTTTGTGACAGCAGCAACAAAGAGTACGTTCTCTTGCAATGAAGACGAGCTTGGGAGAATTGGATATGGGCAAGGAGGAACATACTGCTCTCCAAGGCAATCAGGCAGTATCTCTGAGCCAAGCTCGCCAAGCAATGCATACCGCCTTGTCGCAGACAACTACTGACTTGAAACCATTTGCCATCCCGGTTTATCTCATTCCTCGCCATTATGTCTCGCCTCCTGTTGCTCAGAAGCTAGAAAGGCTAACAGTAATGGCAGTTTCCCTGCGAAGGTCTGGCAGACGTGTTTCCTGTCAGTCGTGCACGTCCAGCGCAGCTTGTGCCTCCCCGAGTGAGGTAAACAGGTCTTGTGCTGCATCTTGCAAATGTTCTTCGTTTCGTTTACACCCTTAAAGAGTAACAAGATACGTGATCATTCACCAAGATGTTGCTGCCACATCGCTCCAATCCCGCTCGTGGTGATTCGGGACTAGGCAGAAGTGAAGACACACAACAATGAATTCAGGCTTGTTCTTCGAGCTTTATGAGAGCTCTATTTCTTTATGGTCCGCCAACTGTCATTCTTTCACGCACGGACCTCCCGGAACACGTCACGCAGTGGTGACAGTACTCTTTGGTGACGAATCCGAAAGAAAAGGCAAATGCATTTCCACAAAGCTACGTCATCGCTCTCGTGAGCAATCCTGTACCCTCCCTCCTGCCCTGTACAAATAAATACCAAGAAACTCTTCGACGATCAAAGACATTGCATATCAACTCCACAGAATTGCTTGTTAGCCATATAGCACTTGCATAAAACACTGTAGGGCTTTGACTTTAACCAATACTACACACCCTCTCTCTATAACCCACAACCCTTCCCCCAACCACCACAATGTCAACAAGCAACACATCCTCCAGTCACTCAATCGGCGAACAAATCAAATCTGGCGTCAAAGGCATCCACGGCATGGGCGAAGCCATCCGCGGCACCGTCCTCAGCGAAACAGACAAGGCCTTTGGTACCGCCAACACAGCCGAGAACACCAAGAACGAGCAGATTGCGCAAAGGGGGATGAGCGATGTGAAAGCGTTTGACAACAATGTAGGGCAGAACCATGGTGTGGGTGAAAGTGGGAGCACTGCGTCCGCGACGGCGACGGCAAACACTGTGCCTGCGACGAGTGCGGGGGCGCATTCAGTGGCGCCGGGGAGTATTGGGTCGACGGGGAGTACAGTTGGACATGGGACGGCTGGGGTGCAGGAGCAGCCAGGTGTGAATCAGAGGTTTTGAGCTGGGTTCTGTAGTTTGATGAGATGTCGTTGGACGAGGTGCTAGCCCAGAGGGCTAGTCATGTAGAGGGCTGTTATGAAACCGCTTGATTTTCAGCATTCACAAACAATTTCTCTTCATTCACTCGTCTCAAAACGCGATTAATGTAACTGACCACAACAGTATCGTTGCATGATCGAGGTTTGTGCGTCCGGTGCTCAAGTGATGCTCAAAGGGTGTAGCATTCATGTCGATTCTGCCGCCCGCCTGCTTAGGCCGCAGTCGTGATATCCTTTTCAGTCCTTTCTTGGGCTTTGAGCCGCGACAATTTTTCAATCTATATTATCTGCGAGGGTTCGTTGGTAGAAAAGCATTGTGTGTCGATAACTGACCAAATGAGCTGCTTTCTCTTAGTCTTGTTTTCTCTGGCGAACACCAATAATATTCCGAAGCACTTCCCGCTTTACGCCTCGATTTGTAGCCAGTGTGTTATTCCTGGTTGTTACGGAGGCCCGAATTTTTGGAGGCCTGCTCAGTCGAGTTTGTTTCCAAGTTTGGATGGTAGCACCAATATCTCGTTCTGTTGTCCTCCATGTGCGAAAGAACCACGATCGACTGCTAATTTGGATTCAGTCATCGTCCAAATCGTCCAAGTCCTCCCAAGCTCTTCTAAGTCTTTCTACTTCGGGGCTATTCGTCCCGTTGACATGAGCATGTACTCCGTTGACTCTGTGAACGCCGTTGACCTCTGCCTTGGCCCTATCTTGACTTTCCTCGATCCTCTCTCCTTCTCTATCTTCATCTTCAAATTTGCCAACACCACTTAAGAACTCTTCAATCTCTGCTTTCAGTTTATCGCATTTCTCCATCTCCTCCCTGCCAGCCTCCAGTCGATTCGTCAGCATGATCTTCAGCCCTTCCCGTGCCTGATGAGGTCTAAGGGTGTTGATAACGCCATTCACATTTGTCATCAAGACCTCAATATCCTTTACTTTCTCCTGATAACTCTTTGGGTCAACTGCCATGATCGTGCTCAATTCGAGATAGTTGAGTACAAGAGATTTAGTGAGTTGCCAAAGCCTACGAGCGTGGACACGTTGGGTTGATGCTGTGGTTAGAGAGGTGAAGTCGATGAGCTGATCGTCTTCGAAAGGCAGGGTAGGTGCTGGTGGAATAGTGTATGTAGTGCCATAGACGTGGTATTCCTTGGTGTTCTCGGTCGGACGAGGTGGTGGGCGAAGAACTGCCAGGCTGTAAGGGAGGTCGGCCGGATCGAAGTCTGCTTGTGATTCATGTTCTTCGAGTTGAGCAAGGTTCTGAGTGGTGAAGCTGCGCCAGAAAGGTGGTGGTGCTGGAAAGCGAGCGTCGAAGATCGGTTCTGGTTGGAGTGGCTGCTGACCTTGCTGCGCTGGCTGTGCTTGCTGATTGTCCATCACCACGAGCCTTCAGAGAGAGGTGCTTAGAGGAGGCCACAGTGATAGGCACAAATAGAGAATGAGACTCTAGATTCAGTGTAGGTTCATATCGATCACCACGTCGACGCAGATGGACTCGTTCCTGTAGCGCATCGCGTGAGATCAATGCAAGTCCGAAGGCAGCTTTTGGTATCGTATCGCAAGTGAACCAAAGAGCAAAGGTCTATCAAACGTGCATGTCCGCACGAAGAGGTGGTGTGGTTTCTGGTAGCCAATCAGAATGCCTAATCTGCGGCGAGCGACTGCCGTCCTCGAAAGAGGTGGCAGCCACACTGAGGAGACTGTCTTCACACCTAGACTTCACCATTTACATAGTCCATGTTCCTCATGGACGATATCGGTGACACATCCGACCTTCGCCTTGAAGTTTGCTAGATGACGTCCTTCGTGGACCAGGCTGGATGGAGAGGAGCCATTGCCCGTTTCTGGCAGCGCTCGTATGCAGCAGACTACCTAGGCTATGTCCTGCTGCAATTGGCCTATTTTGGGGTATGCTATATAGTCGGGACGAGCTCATATACATACTGACAGAGTGCCCAGAGTAAAGCCTTGATAACACCTTTCAAGCGCTACTTCACCCTGGACGACCACTCCATCTCCTACCCCTATGCCCTAGTCGAAACCGTCTCGGTCACTCAAAACGTTATCTACGCAGGCGTCACTCCTCTCATCATATTCATCCTCTATACTTTGATAGCTAGACCGGGATTCCACAAAGCTCACGTCACGATACTAGGCTTCATTATCAGTATCACTTTGACGAGCTTCATCACAGACCTGATCAAGAACGCAGTCGGCAGACCAAGGCCAGACCTCATAAGCCGTTGTCAACCAACACCCGGGACAAGCGCGACAGAGATATTGACCATCGACGTGTGCACAGCACCGAACGGTCGTGTTCTACAGGATGGATGGAGGAGTTTCCCAAGTGGGCACAGCAGTTTCTCCTTTGCTGGACTAGGCTTTCTAAGTCTATGGCTCTGTGGACAATTGCACGTACTAAGGCCGAGAACAGATCTTGCAAGAGTACTGATCGCACTGGCTCCACTAACAGGAGCTCTACTGGTCGCTTTGTCACGAATGGCAGATTACAGGCACGATGTATATGATATTACAGCTGGCAGTTTGTTGGGATTTACTGTCGCCCGATTCTCTTATAGAAGGTATTTCAGGCGATTAAGAGATCCGAAGTGTGACGTACCCTATCCTAGTCGAGCAGATGTTGCGAGAAGGGAGGGATTGACCGGAAGTGGAAAGAGAGACTTGGAAGAACAGAGAGTAAGAGCTGCAGAAGAGTTTGAGCTAGATGACCTGGCTAGCAGTGATGATGACGAGGCAAGACCTTTGACTGGAGAGCGGGTATCGACTAGTCTAGCAAAGGGGAAAGGGAAGAAGGTTGAGGATAGTTAGCTGTGATAGTGTAAATACATATAGATATTGTTGAAGAGCCGTATAGGCCTGGGGAAGGTGAATCCTTTTCGTAGCATTGAGGACATGAACAAACTTGTACACATGGACATCTTTACCAATCCAGATTCGAGTACAAAACAAAACGGTCAGTATAGAAGGGACAACACTACGAAGAATCGCTTGGTTATTGCTACCATTCGCTTACAAATCCTGCTTCTGGACCACTTAATGAGTGACTCGGGTCAGTTCAATCTCGAGCTAGTAGCACTGCTGCCACGACATTCTAATCATGCCACGTGCTTCCGCTGGTAGGCCTCAATTGAGGCGTAAGAAAGGGGTAGACTTCTAGTCCTCGCCAGCACCAAAGAAGGCACCAAGTCCACCTCTTGCCGCACCAGCAGTGGTGACATCCTTCTCCATATATGAAGCAGCTGGAGGTGCAATATGAGGGGTGACTAGATCGATGCCACTTCCAGCAATGACGCTGGTAGAGTACCATCGGTTGTGTCGTGGTGCCAAAGGTCGAGTATTGAAGTCGTAAGCACCATTCCCCACATCCGCACAACCAGCACTCGTGCTCAGGCTCCAGCTACTAGCGGTCGTGGTCGGTGTATTGCCCAAGCTAGGGGTTGTAGGAGCAGTAACGGTAGCAATTCTTGTGTTTGCAACATCTATTCTGATCTCATTTGGGGTATCATTGTGGTCATTACTTTCGTTATTCTTGTTGATAATGCGATGGAATGAAGACAAATATCGAAAAGCCTCGGAGTTGTAGCGGCTCGAGACTGGACGTTCACCTCGTGTCGGTTTGGGCTTCCATTCGGTCGGGTCAAGATCTGACTTGAAGGAGTGGTTGTCGGCAGGTTTCCTGGTGGAAGAAGGGTCTGTGCTGATCGTCACACCAGTTGGGGTTCGGACCTGAAGTCTCGGCAGAGAGGGAGGTGTCGTGGGGGGCGACATTGAGGTGGACGTGATGTTGGCTGCTGAGAGTGGTTTGGCTGAGTCCTTGCGTCGACAGGCCTCAGAGCAGTAGAGTGGATTGGAAGCGTACAAAATCTCCTTCTCGCACATCGCACAGTAGGAAGGAAAGCAGGCTGCCATCATCTCTTCGGACTGAGTATGCTCAATGGTTCCTTCTCGAGGAGATCCCAGTAACGAGCCGCTGGTAGGGCTTTGTATACTAGTAGCATGCGAAGGACGCTTCAGCCCTAATCCTTTGGTCTTTTTGTTTCGGGTGCTAGGAGACATTTGTGCGACACTACGCCCAGACATACTGGGCGGTGAGGCAATGCTACGAATATTCGAGCGAGTTAAACATGCCTCAAACATACAGCGCGGACGGGTACTTTGAAATGTCTCGGTGTGCCGCGATAAGCACCCCCACAGCCAGATAACCCCCACTCCGCAGGAACAGTCACTTCCGTCCACGCGTCAATTTAAGCTTCGCCTTGTCAAGTACGACCGAGTACGTGCACTCGTTCGATAGTTGTATAAAGAACTGTTCATATTGTTGTTCCACCAGTAAGACATGATCACGGCAAAGATTCGAGCAAGAACCAAGAAGTGGCTTTGTGACTTCTGTAACGGTTCAGCCGCCTACTTCGTAATGTAGCACTGTATCTGCTACCGGGTAACTGTATCACACCGTGCACCACAAGATCGGACTACACCCGTGTCCGATCGTGGTCCTGGTCCAAGGTTTAGGAACAAAAAAAGGGCTGCATTGTAAACAACTCGACAACAAGCGATGTAGTTGTGCTGCAAACGGTAGCCCTCTCACTCCCCTTGTTTAAACACAATGTTAGCATGAGGCTACGTAACACGACCCTGGTAACACGACAATCTGTGATTGTCAACAATGCGGACTTTGAGCACGAAAGGCGGCATTTGGTACATCAAGGTAGCGCTTAGGTTGGGCAGCGGTGAAACACGTTGACGCATGTGAGTAACAACAATTCTGACAAGCCCTGTTAGGTCCAAGCAGAGTGTTTGCCAGCAAGCACGAAGTCGCAATGGCAATTTCTACTCCTCAAGAGCTGGCAGTCTCACCTTCTGCATCGATGCCAAAGGGCTACAGCTTTGTCAAGAAGGGCGACGTCTACGTAACCAAAAATTGTCGCAAGCTCACCCACGACTCTGGCAGCCAAGTATACATCGTACAATCTGAGAAGAAGACTACACTCGGCATACGAGTGCCGCGAACTATCCACAATCAAGTGCTCACGCTGAACACAGCTACCAAAGCCGCTCGAACTGCAGCAGTCGCAAAAAAGGACGGAGCCTTGGAAACAAAAACATGTGCAGAATTACTTCGTCTCTACCATCGCATTCCCAAAGAGAGGATAGCTATGATACTGAAGCACACGTTGAAGAAGAATAGTGGCAGGGTCGGCCGAAACAAGGAGCTGTCTCTCACCGAAGTAGTCGATCTCGCGGTTCGCGCGCACATCAGACACAAATTTACGGAATACGACGCCATGCTGGCTAAGGGGGTCAGCAGGGAGCAAGCGCGACAAAGAATACAGAAAATCGTGGATACTATGGCTACTATTTGGGGCCGCACAGTCAAAAAGACAGATCGGAGGCAGCTGAAAAGCACCAAGTCCACGACTCGTGTCCGCACGCTCACCACGAAGAAGCTTGCCGCACATCCTGCGCCCAAATCTGTGGTAAAGCGTCCGGTCCAGACACAAGCCTCCACGTCGCGACCAGCTCTAAGATCGAACCGTGTCAAACCCCAGGTTTTCGGCAGCACTGATAAGATCGTGGCCGTGCCCGAGTACATCGTAATCTCATCTGGCGAGTCCGAAAGTCCAATCGAGCTTGATCCCTTGGACAACTATTCCAACTCGCCAGCTTCCCAAAGCTCCACCCTGGATGACTTCGATTGGGACGAGTAATTGTTGTGGCGTACAGCTTATCACATTGTCCATGGATCTATCTCTGTTCTACTATTTTCAGAAGGCACTGCAATTGACCTACCTATAGTAATCCTTCTAGGTCATCAGAGCATATCATTGTCCACCTGACCATCATTTCATCTCATCGTGAATGTCCTGTTCAGTGACCAACCACCTATAGACATTGACGGTCGATCCCAATCAGCCCAGGAATTCATTAATGTCCTCTGCGACTCGTAGTGGATGCTCAAACAGGAAGGAGTGGGCACTCTGCGGATATACCTTCAACTGCGCATCCTCAATTAGCTGCAGCAATTCCCAGCCTCGACTTGCCGGGACAACGGTGTCATCGCGCCCATGCAATAAGAGTACCGGCATTCTCAGCTGCCCGAGCCTATCGAACAAGCCTCCAGATGCTGGCGTATTGACCAAGTTCCCTGCCGCAACCTGTCTATCTCCACCACTATACATATGCTGCAGGTTGAGATGTAACGGCTCGATTATCCTTTGCTCAAGACGCGTCCAATACCTGTCAAAAGCTGCCTTTCCCTGCTCCGAAGTGGAGAAACAAGTTTCTCTGAGGGCCTTCCTGCTACCCTCCACATCAGTGGCGGCTGCAAGCTTTATCAATGCACCTTCGCCTATTGGCTCTCTTGGCCACACGATACCTCGTGGTGGCTTGGAAGTAGGAGCTGATGCATGTGAACCCGCTATAACGAGCTTACGAACAGTATGCGGGGCGGCGAGCGCAGCCTCCAGCACTAAGAACAAGATCAGCCTGTTGTTCATTCTGATATCCAGTGGTCTTACTTGGCGGTCCACCTATCGAAAATCCCAAAAGGTCGATTTTGTCGATGTTCAAGGCCTCGGTGAACAACAGCATGTCCTTGGCCCAGTCGCTCATCAGCAATGGTACCTCGCTAGTACTCCTGCCTATTCCAGTGTTGTCGAAGATTATCACTTCACGCTCAATTGCTATAGCATTTAGAGATGCAGAGTCCCTATTCACGGCTCTTAGAGCTGCTATAGGAGTCGAGAAAGTTCTGCTCACCAATGGTCCATATTTCCCCGAAAGTGCATGTGAAACACAAGTGGAATGCTTCTCGTGTTTCCAAAGCGGCGATAGGCAAAGTGAATATTGTTGGCAGCAAGGACGTATTGTGTCGGGGGGGTTTCTGCGGATATGACTGTTGAAATGGTGAATCTACAACGTGTCTTCTCTCTAATGAAAAAACTATCAACGACCAGCTAGTAAGTACTGTCAAAACCAGTATAGATCGTTGGAAGGTACGACCCTCTTAAAGAGAATGTATGTTTTGCCATGATACTGCAGTTTTTAGCCATGCGCATTTTCCATTTTAGGCGTCCCGCAAAAGTAAGCCAAGTTTCAGGTGTACCAATGACCGATTTTTAGCTTCATCGCGTTGGACAGTAATTAGAATCTTGTTCAACCAACGGTACCTGCTGTGCTTCCCGACTGAAGGGGAAATAGATGGTAAGAAGTCTCGTTTGTTTTCAGTTGCTCGACCGCGCGATAAGGACTTGACTCGCAAGATCGCAGTGGTTGCCCTTGTACCATGGGAAAATCGATCTTAGCTATCTCTCCTGACGGTTGTCTGCTTCGTTGGCAGTGTGGTAATGACCGTAAGTGGCCAGTCAGAAGTAGCAGGTTCCGATAGTTATGTACTCATCCTTCGTCACCAGCATTGTCCTTCAACTTGTCCAACTCATCATCCGAATCTAGATCAGCCATGTTGACCGTATGTCCCACCGCGTCGTCCTCATCATCGTCCTCCTCAGGTGCGGCCAAAACAGGTGCAGCACCGGTATCTGGCCCATCAATCTCACCACTCGCCTCCAATCCACCACTCGTCACGAACAGAAACGTATTACTCGGGAAATTATCAACATGGTTGAAAAAGTTTCCAAACACATTCTCCCTCTCCTCATCTTCATACATTCTTTCGTAAATGAATTTCTGCTTAAACGCGTCCATCTCAGTCTTGTACTTGTCGAAATCGATCGGCTCCTTCTGCAAATCGGCTTTTGCGCGTTTATTGTAGGAGTCGAAAATAGGTCGTTCGAGGAGCAGGCCTAAAGAAGGTGCTTTTGGAATGGAAAAGTTTCCAGGTCCATATGACTCGGTGATTCGAACTGGATCACAGCCACATCTGACGATCAGGGCAGCCATGCCGACCATCTTACGAATCTGATGCATCATGAAACTCTGTCCGTGCACTTTCAAGCTTAGCCATTCTGTTCCGTCGATGAGAATAGGCTCGAAATTCACGTTGAAGCTCCTGATCACTCTCTTGGCTGAGGGATCTCGGAAAGGTTTGTTGATGGTGTAGTTCCAGAAATTGCGGGTGCCGAGATAGAGGTTGAGTACGTCTTGGAGACGCTGCTTGCGTTGATCTGGGACTCGATATTTGCGCTTTGCTGTAACGTAGGCGGCTCGTAGTCGTTTGACGCCATCGTCGATGAGTTTGCGACGTGCTACTCTTTGCTCTTTTGCTATACGTTGTTCCTTGGTAAGCTCTGGCTGCGGTTCGGAGGGTTGCAACTGAGGTTGAAGAGATTTCTCTGGTTCCATGTCTTGTGCTGGCTGCTCAGTCTTTATTGCAGCTTCTTCAGTGTTTGAGGGTTTGTCTACCAGTACCTGCTCCTGAGTGCCACCATTGGACTGAGGCTCGGCCGACGGCTGCTCTTGAGATACCTCCTTCGCGGATTGCTCCACCTCTTGTGCTGTCGAGTGTGTGATTGCATCCGTAGTCTCCCCAGCCTTGTCCAAAGCAGCGTCCTCCGAATCTGGCGCAGTTTGCACTGTTTTTGGCTTCTTAGAAGGTCTCGCGGAGCCATCATCACCATGCCTGTTAGCTTCCTGCTCGGCTGTCAACCACAAAGCCTTCTCCAGTACACTCCGTATGTCATCAGGATAGTCCTGCAATATCGGTCTGACCATCTCCTCGTCCACCTGGTCCCAATAACCTCGAACCTCTGCTTGTCTCTGCTCCCAAGCTTCAAGTTCGCCCTTCCGCTCTGCCCAGTCTCTGCATTTCCGCCCTAGAAAACTTCGCGGATGTGGTGGTAGAAGGGTGTGTGTCGGTATTAAATACTCATAAATACGACTGTCGACGAGCTGGTACGCGCTGAAACTATTGTTGGTCCGCTCGAATCCCCAGACCCGTATCTGAGGGGTCAGATGCTCATTGATTTTGTTGACAATGTTCTCATCCTCGACGATGAGCTTCAGGGATATGATGTTGCCCGCAGCATGTACTCCCTTGTCCGTTCTTGCACATCGCACGAAGCTGCTCTTCTTCGGATCGTCAGCATTCGCCTTGCTAATTGCTCCTGCTTCAACGAAAGCTTTGAATAGGTCTCCCTCAATGGTCTTCTGGTCAGGCGCAAGCTGCATGCCCTTGTAGCCGGTTCCAGAATACCCAAGCATAACTGCAACCTTCTTCTTCGGCCTTCGTTCCTCAGCTGCAAGCTCCGCTTCGTCGAATTTGGTTGCGTAGACTGGTAGAGGTGCCGCTTCGCCATTGTTTAGTTTCTGACGTTTGGCCTCTTTCTCTTGTGTATCGGTGTTCGCGGTGCGCTTATCTGGTTTTGTCTTGCTTTAGTAAATGAGGTCAGTACGTCCATAATCACCGTGCTTGGTGAGGCTCCGAACCACGACTGGAAGAGCTATGTGAAGGTGGCAGCTTACCTCCACTCCGACCGTCCCATATCTCGTTTCTTGCCCTTATGATCTCCCCTACCACGTCCTCCACGTTGATTGCCTCGTCCTCCGCGAAAAGATTTCGAACCTGAGCCTCTTTGCGACGACGAATTTCTTTCCTGTCGATGCGGCGCAGCTGACTGTGCTGAAGCTGACTGATCGGATGCCATGTTGCTGACGTGCGCTTGGCGAGAGGTCTTAGCAGCTGCACAAGCCGCCGTTGCATGAAAGGTCTGTCTTGATAATTTCGAATATGTGGATGAGGTACTTCGGATTGCAGCCTCGGGGATTCCTCAAATTTACTCCGCGATTGAGACTTGGCAGGGATTTTCAGATGTTCAGCTTCCCTTACCATTCAGGGCCAGTCTAGGACAAGAGTGTTTGGAGTAACCGAGATTGTGTGTGACACCCGTCAGTGCTGTCATCAGTGCTCCAGGCAGCAGTCTATGCTGGTAAGCGGGCAATTACATTAATCAAAGGGCCATACAGATGAATAGATTCTGTAAGGAGCTTCAAATCTCGGACTTGGACCTTCGCTCGAGTCCATATCAATCCAAGATTGTGCTACTCAATGCTTCGTAAGTTCAGCTACTATCTAACCGGTTCCTAGGGCCGTACCTCCCAATGTATTCGTGCAAGTCCATGGTCAAGATATTCTTTCAACATGTCGTAGCTTAGCTACCCCTTATTCATCCCAGCTGGTCTCTCAACATCCCACAATGCCGCCATATTCGGTGCTCTTGTCTTTGTTGACCTGAACCACTTATACTTGGACACCGATCGTGTATACTCTATCTTTGGCGAGCCCCAACTCTCTGACAGCTCACAATCGAGCTTCTCCCACAGCTTCAATTGCTTTGTAAACCTGGGCTGAATAATGGGCCGGACCTCTTTGAGTGTCCTATAAGCTTCTTTGAATGTACAACGATTTCGCCACATGAGGTAGGCAATGATCGCGGATGCAGACCGTGAAACCCCAGCACGACAGTGGACGAGAACACCGATCCGATCTTTATCCTCCTCTGAATACGTTCCTGGTGGATCTTGACACGGTTCCAGGATGGAATGCAGATACCGACAGATCTCTGGGAAATGCTCGATCATGTTTCTGCTCGATGAGTCCGCGATGTGAAGTTGCATACTGACAAGCTTGCTCTCTGGGCGTTGTAAGAGAGTGTGGACATGGTCGTCAAATCCGCGATGAACTGAAAGCAGGTGTGTAATTCGTGGCAGCGAGTCATCTGTGCCGGCAATGATTGTTTGTGCAGTGCAGATACTACGACAGTATTGGCTCGTTACGAGTGCTAGAGATAGAGAGGGAAACTTACTTGCTAATATAGAGGCCCTCGATCACCTTGCAGATCTGATTGTGCGGCGTTCTGTTGCCGCCTGGAGGTGGTGTGGTCTTAAGATGCTGGTGATACCCGTGACATTGGCAACATGAGATGAAGTGGTCGTCTGCGTTTGGTTGATGTTGAGGCAGTGTAGAATCTTGAGGAGGTGGTTGAAGTTCCAAAAATTGAGAAGTACTTTCAACACTTGGCAACGAGATTCTCGACCAGGAACTTTCTGGCTACAGAGCACACCAACATAAGGGAAGTTGCGAAGGGAAAAACGAGCTCGAAGTAAGTTTTGTCAACTGCATTGCGGCTTCTGCTGGAATACAGAAATGCGAACGAGATGCAGGAACAGTGCAGAGTTTGGATTGCGTAGAACTGTAGGAGCGAGAAAGTGACACTCTTTTGTGTTGTACAGTGAAGCAGTGAAAGCTTCACTCTTGTACGTCCAAATTACTGGTCGAGCAGACCACCCGCAGGTATGCGGAAAGTATTTATAGGAGCAGAACTGTCTCTTGCGAGGCATGCAATGGTTTTCGCGAATTATGGAGGCTTCTTAGTAGGTCTGCATACTCAATTGAGCTGAACGAGTCTACACATCAGGATCTCTGCGCACAACACTTTTTACATATGGATCTGGTACAAGATCTACACATAGTGAACGAGCCGGGCGGCAGGTCTTTATAGCTCACAAAAAGCACTACAAGACAACGACCTAGAACCGGGTTTCTCAAAAAATGACTTTTAATTCCGTTCAATCATGTGCAGTTTGCCTGCCAGTCTGTTGAATTTCCGAGATCTGCCTCAGGCATCTACGTGCGGCGAGGTTTAGCCGCCAGTGACGCGGGCGTATATTGTGCTTATAAGCGTTGTGTTTTGCACCATTGTAAATAGTTCAATCAACTGATATTTTCCTTTTCACCTTTCTACTCAGTCCTACATATTCGCACAGGGGTATCAACAACAATTGCAAGTAATCATAAGTCAGTGTGCCCAGACACACCGCCGGTCATCCACTCCCAGCATTACCTTCCATCTTTTGTTACAAAGTCCATGAGCGTGTTCGCATAGCCTCGTTGCAGCAGTTGCGTAAGATCAACAGTTATGTCCTCCTCTTTCTTCTTGTTGACATCCTCCGACACCCCCTCCAGCACGGGTCGAGATCTTGTTGCGCAATCGATCATGTCCAATAGCACGTTCGCCCAGAACTTTCCGTCAGCGCTCCCACCGTCAGTGTTGCGCCGACCCACCAAGTCCGTAAGCGACTTTCTCATCTCTTGTATGCCATCTTCCACTAAAGACTCGGAAATGTGATCATCGGGCTCACACTGCGATAGCTCCAACAGTGTGATTGTCGTGAGTGTGAAAGTGTGCAACGACAAAGGATTATATAAATATTTACCACCATTTGCTTCCTTTTCAACCACTGAGGACCGTCGTATGGCCTCGGCTAAATTAGCTGCAGGACCAGTCACGGCTGGCATATGCAAACGAGAGCTACTGCATCTTAGCGACAAAAGCTCTGTAAAGGCTTTGACTTCTGCAACGAGAGGATCGTCAGGTGCGAGACCGGTTGCGGTTAGCCAGGCTCGGATGTTGGCGGATTGTAATCGACTGATCTCGTATGCAGTGCCTCTGCACATAGAAACACCACCCTGTGGTAGTAATGATAATGAAGCCTGCAGACTGTCCGTCATCATAATGAGGAAAGAGAGTCGTGATGGCATAGCGCTATTGAAGCCCAAATGTTGTACAAAGGACGAAGGGACTGGATCATGAGCCTCTCCTTGAGAAATTGCGTAAAGTCTTGCCATCATAACTGTAATGTGTGCTGCGCAGATAAACTCCATATCATGCATATCGTCTGAGGTGAATTGCTTGATTCTGAAGAACTCATCACAGTTGGTGAAGGACATCTCAATTAGGTCGCATTGGGGTAAGCTCGAAATGTTCCAGCTAGAAATATCATGTTGTACCATGACAAGGAGAACAAGCTGGGTCCAGAGCAGTACCAAGCTGTTGTGATATTGGCCGCGCTTCACATAATCCTGTCTAGCTCTTCCATTCACGAATGTCTCGAGTCGAGCTTGTCCATCACCCAACTTCAGCTGATCGGCATCAGATATTGATGTATTTTGAGGTTGGGACAGCAAAGTGACAGCTAAAATGAGCGCTTCTTGGAAATTCCTGTCTGCTGCGTAGAAGATTTCAGGTAGTTGTGTGGACTGGGAATCCGGAAGAATAGGGCATAGCGGGTGTATGGTGTCATAATAATATTGGAACGCCGTCTTGTCTTCTGGTGTTAGCTCGGCTGTTTGTAAAGGGTCCTTACACATTTTGGTTGGTGAAACAATCCAATCAGTCCAAAAGGGTTTCATTGTGTTTACTGATGGTAGCTTGTCCCGTGGAGATGCAATCTGATCTGGTGGTATTGCAATACTCGAGTGTCTCGGATTGGATGTGATAGCACTACTATTCCAGCCGCCAGCGCTTGGAAATCGCTCTCTGGCGAAACCAGCAAACGGGTTACGGTTCTGCGAAGACAATGAGCGTTGCCGCAGAGCTGGATCTTCGCTTGGAGAGAATGGACTTTCGTTAGGTCCTCCGTATTGACTGTCAATCGAAGCGCGATAGCTGGCTGTGGTATGTAACGCAAGTTGACCTTCGACTTGCTGGACACGTTCGGACAGCTCCTTGATGTAACTATAGCGAGGTCAGTTTCTCGTCCGAATGCAAAAGCGTAATCGCGTACCCTTTACTCGGCCCACGCTTCTGCGGTATTCTGCTGTATTCGCACGTCTGCCCACCCTTTTGACAACTTGAACACGTTTGCAGTTGACCTGCTCCTTCGACATCTGCGTCACAGCGTATCTACCGCAAAGTTAGCTGCCAAACTCTGCTACTGTAATATTATGTATCACTTTTTTCCTCCTGCACTGATCGCATGCCCTCGATACCTTAGATCGCTTGCGCTTTAAATCACTCAGAACGGGTGTAATCTCATAAGGTCTCTCTGCACTTTTACGCTTAGCAGATGTACTGATAGGTGTCGTTGGTTGAGTATTGTTGTTGTTGTTGTTTTGAGCAATCGGACTTGGAATAGCGTGACCCTCATTTTCTACATGTGTATGCCCATTCTTGTTAGCATTCGATGCTCGTACAAGGAGCTTTTCAGCGGAGGCCATTCTATCGTTCGATCGAAGGCCTGTTTCACTGTTAGGACTCTCGCCTACGGCGATGAATCGATGCGCATCGGGTGAGAAGTCGTATGCTGCGGCGATATACTGAGCACTTCGAGGCTCAGCACACTCCACCGAAGCTGGCCCATCATGATCTCCAGCTTCCATAATCCCAAGCCTTCAGCTCTGAGGGCCATGCGACAAAGCACTAGAGAGGAAGCACTTCGGAAAGAAGCTCTGCTTCGAGTCGGGATTGAAGTCAGCCAACTAGAGGCCAAGCTCGATCTCGAGCCGCAGACAGATCCGAGATCCCGTGGGGTAATCGTTAGGCAGAACTGTCAGGCACTAGCACTACAGCTCAAAGTGAAGGCTCAACCCCAACCAGGAACTCTTCAACTTCATCGCAAGGACATATATGGCGCCTATTCTTGATGCATCTATTCTTGATTCGTTGTTAGAGCCGCCTGCCCAGGTACCGCCTCGCACTGGGAGTAGGAAGTTTCACGAAATCTTGATGAGCAAGTCTTAGATTGGTCGAAGAACGAATACGATTGCGAGAGAGCTGCTATTTACTGCCCACTCCTGCGAAATTTATTCAAAATCGTTGTTGCTGTACCGCTTGTAACCACACATACAGGGATTGGTTCGAGCTGTTTGAAGGTAGCGGATTTGTACAATTCGTGTGACTCCCATTACCAATAGCAAACAAGTCAGAGAGCAAAAGAGAGAGGTCAATCAGGTCGATTGCATCGCATTCAGTGTGTAATAAGCTTGTAAGTCAGAGGCACGCATAAGCACTTCACGATGCTGAAACTCTTCGAGAGATCGGCCACTTACTTACTCGGACCCTTAAGAACTGAAATGTACGAGCGAGCAATCTCTCTTTCGTCTTTGTCTGAGACTGGCAGCGCTAAGAATCAGAACAGCAAAACCTGAGGTTCAGGCTGCTCATCATATCTCCTTACGCCGTAGAGCTGGGCCTTAATCTCAAAGGCTGATACCGGCATGGTTCAGGATACCTGTGCATCTGTCGCAAACATGTGCTGACTTTGCTGCACGGCTATCGCGCAACAGCCACCACGTTTTGAAGGAGCGAAGAAGGTGAATCACGTCCAGAACTCGCATGCGTCTATTGGTTAGCTGTGACTTTCTAGCAACGAGAATGTTTGATCTAAAATCAATCACCTCAGGCTCAATGAATTGTCAAGCACAGGACAGCACGGAGGACACAGGGTAATGTTGGTTGCGTGTATCCGCCTCTCCACCTGCTCTTTTTACGCAAACGTAAGAACGACGATATGCCACGGAACGTCCGTTGCGCGTGACATCTTTTTACCATTATAGCCGTACCCGATGCAAAGTACCTCTACAACTCGAAGTGTCGTTGCAGTAATTACAATATTAAGTCTTCTTCAGCTGGTAGCAGGTACATACTGGACGTTCGGATGTTGTTCCGTTGCCGCAAAATTGATAGCAGAGAGATTCTTCGTGTGTGGGCAGGCATGATTGCGCTGAATCACGTGTGGTTCATCCTTTCCCACATTGGCTTGACACCAATAATGAGAAACACGAGAGTTTACCTTGTCTTCAGGATCACGATCTCAGGTGGAAATTGATGGATTAGGATCCGGCAAGCACAACAAAGATAGCCGGCTGGGCGTGACGTTAAGCTACTTCGCGAGTTTGAACAATTTCCTACAAGAGAAAGCGTTATTCCTAGTCCAAAACTCAAGCAACGTTTTCAGAAAAGATCAGTGTTCAAATGAGATATCGAGGCTCAGTGGCCGAGGGTATTCGTCATGTCAAATCAGCTGACAAGACTATGTGGTGATCACTGACAGGCGTTCTGATACATTACAAACATTCTTAAGCAATGAGGTAGTGGGCATTTATCAAGTCTCTCCGCGGGTACATATAGAGCAGATAATCTAGCGATGTTTACTTGGACTTGGTAAGCATGCCTAGTAGCGACACGAAGCGTCAGTCGCTGATTCAGATTGGCTGGATCATCTTTGTTGCGAGTCACTAGATTGAAGGTGATCTCATCGGCGTCTTGGTATTTGATTGCCATATGCTGATCCTGCCACATTCGAAATTCATGCATGAGCATTGCAGACAAGTGCTGATGGCAGCTCGCGCCACGTCTCCCATTTGTTCGGCCATTGACTGTGGCACTAGCTAATGGCTTTCAGCTCTTCGTTCATTTGCATGAGGTGGCTTGCAGCTCGAAGACCATACGAGCTTAGACAGGTGTGTTCCCCGCTTCGATGCTAAACGCGTTCGTCTTTGGGTATTTTTTCGCGACTCACCGTTGAATCGCGTTTGAGAGTCTCACAAAGGCCCGCTCTAATTTCTTTTCACTCACACCATGACATCTCGACCAAGACACCGCCTCGCTTGGTCGCATATGGTATGGCGAGCAGACAATCGGCCACATCGTCACGGTTGTGATCCGGCTTCACACAATCGGAACTTTACGGCACTTTGCGCAATTTATCTCTTACTGCCGTCGTTCAGGATGCGGCATTTCTCGGTAGTCACTAGATTGAGTACCTTGAAGCCATGGACTCCATCGTGTCTTGGTGTGCATGACCAGGCATGCCTGCACGTCCCCGGAAGAGGAGCATCCTGCAGCCATTGAACAGTGTCCAAAGAACGGGTAGTCTTTTAGCTTGGTCTCATGTCTCGGGGGCATTGCTGCAAATACGAGAGCGCCTTGCTCATACTCGGCTATGTTGGCTAAACGTAAATTTCGTTGTGTTCATGCACGCTGGCGCATGGCACGCCAATCGATGCCGTCAGACAAAATCTACACATGCTGTTATCGGAAGTCAAGTTGAAATCGCTTCCACTTCCCGCCCATAACTCCGCAGCGGGGGCAGCCGCGACGCATTGGTGCACTTCCTGGTTGGATGGCGATGACGGGGCTGCTGATGATCTGGCCAACGCAATCACTGCACACACCACAGATACACTCTGTGCATGCAGATGCTGTAACCAGTCGGACGGGCCGACCACAATTCGCGCAGTAAATCTCGAGTAAGTCTGCTTTGCTGCCAAATGACGAGGTCTGCGAGTGCTGATATGGATGACTGTGATACTGTAAAGGACTAGTGTCCTCGTTAGATGATGCCGAAGTAGGTAGACCCGACCTTGGGATATGGAACTGGTGACCTGAGCCCGCACTTTCGATGGACTCGACAGTGGGAAAAGGCTCAGGATCGTTAGGGCCTGTGAGATCAGGCGGCGGCGGCGTGAGCGTTTGTTGGAGCGGAGATGCGTTGAAGGTTGAATGGTGTGGTTGGAGCTGTAAATGGCCAAGCGGCCGGAAGCCAGGCGGTAAGGATGATCGCTTGTGAGTACTCCCTCCATCAATTCCGCCACCCATTTGACCTGCATGACTCGCTACACCAGCAGCGGACGGACCAGTGGAGGCGGGCGGGAATTTCGGCGACTGAGGCATCTATAAGAAGCGCCAAGGCTAGTCAGCAAGGTTGGCCATCAAAATGCGCAAACTTGAAAAGAAACAATAACTTATCGATAGCCTAACGCAAACAGTAAAATTGAGGAGGTTGGTGTACAGATTAATTAGGCGCGTGGATGTGAATAAAGTTTTCCCAGGCATGAGGCCTGAGATTGGAATCAGGAACCAGGCCTCAGGACCCATGTCGCTGTCAAGTCCACGATGATGTTTGTACTTGTGATCTTGGGTATCGTAAAGGTTTCGCTCGTAACAACATTTTGTGGTAGTGACAGTAATAGACACAATTGCCATGCCATGTTCGATGCTTGCTTTTCGCAAGCTTGTGCACACCGAACCAGTGACATTGATAAGATCCTTTCCCATCCATCCCAATTCGTAGTGCACGTAACATGGACAACAATAATAGACTATTATAATATTTCGATCTCTTGGCAACAACAAGTGAACAGAGGACAATCAAAAAATGTCATCTGACTTACAGGAGTAAGATCTCGATCATCATCGGCTTCGGTGGCAGACGTCGCAGCCTCAATCAGATCTTCCCACCTCTTGCCCTGCATCCATGCTGCGGTCGGTGGTTCTGCAGACATGGCTTTTCGACCTTCTTCGGATAAGCGTCGCGAAAATTCCTTGAGAGAGAAGTCTTTCGACCTGTCCCTGTCGTGTTTTCCTGCTCGTGCGTGTTCTGCGACAGAGGGCTTTCGTGGGCGCTGTTTCTTGTCGCGCCGTTGTATCGGTGGTAGGGACGTATATCTTCCTGTAGGTGATGGTAACACTGATGGCAATAACTCTCGGGTTGACGGTTGGAAGGGTGGTAACGTGTCATGTATAGATGGTAAGCCTCTGTAATAGCTCGAGTCTTCGTACCCTTCCTGTCATACGTAAGCACGCGTCTCGTCGCCGTCCACATCCTGGGCCACTCACATAATCAGAGTCCCCACCATGCAACTGTGCCAATGCTACGGCAGCGTGAGCGTCGGAAGGGGGCATAAGGATTGATTGTTCTGAGATGCTAATATCTGCAGCATAAGGGTTTTCTTCACTCAAATCTGCTGTTCATGTCTTAGTCCATCTGATTCTGTCGCGACTCGGCCACAAACATACAAGGACCCTTCCGAGAAGGAGTGGTTATCGTGGGTGGTAGTTGTGGTCGCTCTGAAGGAGGTGTATTGATCATTAACTGAAAACTCTCCTCGGTTGCTGGCAGTTTTGGGATGTAGTAGTTCGGGTGGGCGCGTCGAATATGCTCCTGCATGGAGCGGTAGCGCTTTTCCTGTTGCGCACGTTGTCAGTTGTTTGCTAGTATAGGTCACTGTAGTCGGGTAGCATACTCCAATGCATCTTTTACGGCATTGCGAGCCATCCTGGTTGGCCAGTGGGCACACGACTTCGAGATCGGCATCTCCTCCAAAAGAGCCTGCGCCTGAAGTTGTGGGCTTTGGTGGCATAATATTTCGGTGTTGTTGTCTATACACAAATCGAGGAAAACGCGGTAGAAAAGGCTGTCGGCATGAATCGGGCTCTGCCCTCTCAAGCTTGACCCAAACGAGACGATGACGAGAGGTTGAGGTTCGAGGGTGCGGCTTTCATGTTCACATCTCTCAGGCAGGGAAGGAGTGTCTGTTTTCGAATTGTTGACACCCAGACCTTGACCCGCAACGTCTGCAGATGTGAGTACGGAGGGGAGAGTCTATCGTTTACAAAGATGAAAAGAGGTGAAAATGTGTTTGTTGTGTGAGGCAGACGAACCGACAGGGTAAGCTTAGGGCGGTCACTTCCAGCACCTTAAGGCATGCACTGGTGCCGGCTGGAGCATAGAAAACGTAAGGACGGAGCAGCTGCCACTGGGAGACCAGGAATAAGCTTGATGAACCAGCCTATAACTCTGTTCGGCACCACTAACTTCTTTTCCTGCAGTCGTGATTCGGTCAATGGAGCTCTGCCAGCTTCCTGGCAGCTCTTCCCTTCAACCTCATGGACCTCAGCTTTTCCTGTCTTCCTACTGGCTACACAGCAGTAACCTTTCAGGTACCATTCCAGCTTTCCTGCAGAAATATCTTTTTGCTTTTAGAGCTTTGCTCTGTCCCATTAGAACATGCCGTACAACTGCCAATTGTACAGCAGAGGAGAAATCGAATCCTCGAGTCGCTCATACTGCTGATATGCTGAATCAAGGACAGTCTCCGAGCAGTTACCGGGCCAGATCAACCGATTTGCATCAGTGTACTCTACCATGCAAGTGCCCCTCAGAGCTCCAACCTTCTTCTACTCGGAGTTTTACTGCTTTTTTTCGCCGCCTGCCGCCATATCGTCATATCTCCTCACGAGATTATGTCACAGTTCGTGCACCGACGCTGAAGTCGCTGACGATGGCAGCGATATTGCTCGTACCTGGTTTGACCATTCTAGCCATTGTGGTAAAGGTCTCACTCTCGAAAGATATTTGCAGGCTAAGCCCTACACATAGTAGTGGGCGGCAGTCGAGGGTCACGACCACCCACTGGAGATGCTGTCAAGATCTCTGTGAAGATGCCGCAACACAACGAGACAGGCCTTGGATGCTTCGTCGGCCTTCTTGTAACTGGGTCTGCATGCATTCGCCGACAGCCTGTTGAGCTGATACATCTTCAAGTGTACTGACTATTCTGGATTTGCACATGATACAAGTACCATCGGGTAAAAGATATGCTGAACTAAGGTCGAATTCTATACGGAGTAGCCTCAGGCACCAAACTTCACCCAATTGCACGTTCTCGATAAGCTCTAGCCCTATCAACCATTCAACCCATACGATTACAAGCTGTATATCTCCACGCGTGGTGGTCCCAGGTCCTGACTATCAGTATTCTGGCTGTTTTGATTGGATTGAGCAGTACCTGCTATACTGTGCTTCAAGTCAACCTCAGATTCCATGGAAAAGGCGTTTTTCTTCAGCGTGGGCAGCTGATCTCAATACATAATGCTACCAGTAACGATATCAGACTGTGATTTTTCCGACTAACTCAGGTTCTCCTCGGTGGTCAGTTGACTAGCTAACAATTTAGGATCGTTTGTACGGAAGAATAATCGAACCGCCTTTAGCCCTTGTGTGCCCTTCCACCATGTCACCAGCTCTTACCATGGAGGCAGAATCTGATCATTTCAGTCCTTATCGACCGGACGGCAAGCTCTATGGCTTCGTCTGTATTGTTACTGGAGCTGATAAGCCTGTTGGAAGTGCAGTCGTGGCCGAGCTGGCAAGCAAGTATATGTCGATATATTGATAGTGGCTGGCTAACTATTTACAGCTCATGGCGCTGCGGTCGTTTATGCCTGCCACGATTCCTCAACCTCACCCGAGTACTCGAACCTGAACAAACAACACCCTAGTACGAAGGTGATCGACTATCCCTACTCAATATCTAGCGAGCACGATACGCTTGTATTGATTGACGAGGCGTTGAATGCGTATGGAAGGATTGATGTCTGGGTAACCTCGAGCGGTTTACTGGGACCAGCTTCCATCGATGCCACAACACCACAAGATCTGCAGAAGTGCTTCGAAGCTAACAGCTTAGCACCATTCTTCGCGCTGAAGTATGCACCACATGCAATGGAAAAGACTACTAAAAAGGGATCATATCCTAATGCTGCTCCAAAAGATCAAAGGTATGGCAGCATTATCGTGATAAGTAGCACTGCCTCTCAATATGGCGGTTGTTGGGGACCCTGTTTCACCATGAGTTCACACGCGGCATTGGGCGTGGTAAGAGCAGGTGTGGCAACATTAAAGGGAACAGGTGTAAGGATAAATTGCATATCCCCTGGTCAAATTGACATGGGCGTCAGTCTGCAGGGACTTGATATGAAAGGCATGAGTGCACAATTACCTCCTGCTCAACTGCAAAGTCCGGAGGTACAAAAGAATGCCATAGGACTGGAGAGAGCTGGACTACCTGCTGAGGTAGGGAGAGTGGCCGGTTTTCTTGCTTCAGGCTTCTCGTCGTATATTACTGGCGCCAACCTAGTCGTTGTAAGTATGACCCGAACAGAACAGGCAGTAAGACCAGCATGCTAACAGCTCAACAGGATGGTGGAGCAAACGTAATGAACCCTTTGATGGTGCCTATGTAGAACAATAGAAACCTGGCTATTGGCATGGCAATAAGATGGTCAAGTTCACTGCGTGCTCCAAGACTGCCTGTTTGTGTAGTGATTTTAGATACAAAATCGACGTTGTGCACGTCCTGTTTGGGTTTAGACCGTTTTCTGCATACATCTATCGAGGTTGGTTCTATAGGATGCAGGTCAATCCTGTATGTCGAGCAGGGCCGTGCTTATTTTGAGATCGATGAAGGCAGCCTGTGCAGGTGGAGGTCATGATACGGAATGGGTAGCTTTCGAATAAAATAGCCGTATTGAGTGAGTCCAGGCACTGAAGAATGATCATCTGCACACTGTCACGATTCACGGCCAGGAACCGTTCGAAAGCCAGCAACTACATCGAATGTTAGGAGTATCTATCTAACAGTACCCTGAAAGATTGCATATGGTCCTGCTAGCGAAAGACTCCTCTGTGTTGGTCTGGGCATCAGTGAAATGATCAAGAACTGTAAGAACGACGAAGAGTCGTGAGAGTAATTGACGATAAGGAATAGATGCCTGCAAACATTATATAGTATACCAGCGTTTGCGCTGTTCTTCGTACACCTTTTAGTAACTCGGAAATGTTGGCAATTGACACAAAATATGTCGTACAAGGTGAGATGCAATGTGAGAAAGAAGTCTTCGAAAAGGATTGGCGACCATCAATTTAGGTAAGCAGTATCCACAGTCGTGATCCCTCAAGGTCATCTTTGATAGGGACGTTTTTGAATGTCGAATTGCAAGTTGTCCAAAGTTCAGACTACAGCATGGCACCACGATCAAGAGGAGTTGCTTCGCTGTTTGATTTGCTTCGTATGTTTTCCCGAAGATGTTGTGCGCTTCCAGCTGATGTAAACAGAAAAACCATTATCGCGACAGCACATGTGCGGATCGTGTCGCAGGCACATTGCTCAAGCACGTTATGCATCAACAGCTACAGCGCAAGCTACGATCGAATCACCTCCAATAAGCCAAGTATCTCCAGACGAACCAGCTCCCTCGAGCTTACAGCAGCCGCGCATAATTGTCAAAGCAGGAGTCGTCGTATCACGTCCACCGCTCATCACTCCTGATCCTCATCCATTCGAAACAGCCTTCTACTTGTACCAGCGGCGACTTAACGAGAGACTTGTTCTACCTTTTACACAATACTTTCATTATAAGCGCGGCACTCCAGCATTCGAGCATTGGCGAACGAGGCGACGAGAGCGAGGTGGTGTTGCGGCTCGTGACCTTGGAAAATACAATGCCTATGCAAAGGACAATTGGAACGATGAGGCGCTTGTGGGAGACAAAAGTGCAGATCAGCAACACATTGTTGAACAGCTGCTCGATGAAGAAGGCAGACAGTCAGAGTTTCTAGGAGATAACGCTAACGAGAGCGACACAAAATTAGCCGGCCTGAAGCGAGCCACAGACGCTGATCGGGAAAACGACCAAAAGAGCCTCGAAAGAAATCTGAGCCGGACATTGTACCTGCTCGTACGGACCAAAGATAAGAGCCAGGCCGAAGATATGACAAGAGCTTGGACCTTTCCAAGTGGTGATGTAGATGGAAAGGAAGGGTTGAAGGAGGTATGTTTCTACTGCGATTTCGTGGTGTAATACATACTGATTAGTTTCCAGGCTGCGCAGCGGGTCCTTGCTACAGCCTGTGGTGTCAACATGAATACTTGGTTCGTCGCAAACCATCCGATCGGCCACTACAGCGAGCGTCCAAATGTTGAAAACAAGTCAGAATCGACATCAGCTACAGGAACGTCGACCACGTCTGAGATTGACGCAGAGAAGACCTTCTTCATGAAGGCGAGAATATTTTCTGGGCAAGCTGATCTCAAGGAAAACACCTTCGAACTCGAGGAGTTCAAATGGTTAACCAAAGAAGAAATTGAGAAGCATGTGACGCCGGGCTACTGGCAGGGCATCAAAAACATGTTGGTCGAGCACTAACGTTGCAAGCCACTGTACAACACCGTACTAGCTATTGGGCTCTATAGCATAGTGACTGTTCACAACTGACCAGCAGCACGGAGGATATTTATTGCTGGATTTGTATCAAAACGTGTACATGGTTCGACTCATGGCTTGCCACACGTATCCAAGACTCATCGTGAAGCAGTGGTGATGGCGCATCTGCTAAGTGAGGACTTCTGCAAGACTTTATTCTTGTCGCATTCACATTGGTTCCACTATCGAGTCTGTTCTCTCCGAGGTATGAGAATGACGCTGCCTGATTTCTCTGCACCTGGGTTTTTAGAGATATCGGGCTCCATGGTCCGTGATTCCAGCAGGCGACGTCTTATTCAAATCGTCACAGTTTGTCACAAGGCTTCGCTTGTGGCTAATGCGAGGAAACGGCAAAGAGATATTGTTACTGGTACTATATAGGTATTGAAGGACTGAAGCGGATTTATGTAAAATCCGTGAGCAGAAAGCACTCGGAGTTTTCCCTCTTCTACGTAACGGTTCCTACCTTCGGGCAAAGAAATATGGGTGGCCTGACCGGTGTTGAATTAAACCAATCCTATTCACGTCTCCTTCTAGGCGTGACAAGGCAGCACCATTCTCCATATGCAGATTGGACCATGCTTCAAGTGATGGCAGCAGAACGAGTATCTGGCTGAGAGGTAACGGCCGTAGTATGTGTAAAACCAGCCGGGTCTACTGCGACCAAACGTTGAGGTCACGAGGTGGCGGAGGAATATTGGCCTTGGTCAATTTATGGCCCTGCTTCGCTCAACTCTATATAACTTCGAATAGATAGCAGGTACAGAGCATATCACGTTCCTGCCATACTGTGCCGGACAAGATCATCGAGCCATACACGAGATAGTAGATCACTCGAATACTACTAGCTCCAGCAAAATGGTTAACTTCAGCCCCGACAAAGATATACCAGATCTTTCTGGCAAAGGTATTGACTGCTGGCCGCCAGAGACTTACCTCTTCTAAAACCTTGATAGTCATTCTCATTACTGGTGCGAACGTGGGACTCGGCCGCGAGTCTCTTCACCAGCTTGCCAAACACAACCCACGCACGATCTATCTGGCAGCTCGATCAAAGGCCAAAGCAGATCAGACGATCAAAGAGATCAATGACACCCTGCCAGACACAGCACAATCGACGATCAGGTTCCTTGAATGTGATCTCACATCTTTCGATAGCATCAAGAAAGCTGCGAAGACCTTTACCAGCGAAAGTGATAGACTCGACATCCTCATGAACAATGCGGGTATAATGGCATGCCCAGAGGGTCTCACGAACGAGGGCTATGAGGTACAATTCGGTACTAACCATGTTGGCCATTCTCTACTGATCAAGCTCTTACTACCGACGTTGCAGAAGACAGCTAAGGATGCTCCTACTGGCTCAGTGCGCATTGTCAACCTCAGTAGTGCAGGTGAACAACTTGCTCCCAAACCAGACGGGATAAAGTTCGACTCACTCAAGACACCCAACTCGGGTGGTCTTAGCACCTGGACTAGGTACGGTCAGAGCAAACTTGCAAACGTCCTGTATGCACGAGCACTGGCTAAAAGATATCCCGAGATCGTCAGTGTCAGCGTCCATCCCGGTGTCGTGCAGACAGAGTTGACCCGTGGACCTTTAGCCAGCTACGGTAGCTGGTTGTATTACCCTACCAAGATCATGGCAGCTCTGTTTTGCAAGTCGGTTGCTCAAGGAGCTTTGAACCAAACCTGGGCCGCTGTGGCGCCTGTCGCGAAGCAAGAGGGTGGCCAGGGTGTGAAGAATGGGACTTTTTATCATCCTGTTGGTGTGGCTGGGAAAGACAGTGGGCTTGCTAAAGATGAGCACGACGTGCTGAGTGACAAGTTATGGGAATGGACGGAGAAGGAGTTGAAGGGCCAGGAGTTGTAGCTGCCCAGGGTCGCAGGCAGGCTGTTTTATACGTATTTGATATATTCGTTCGCACAGCAAAGTCTGTATAAGACATCTTGAAGTATGTGTAGTGTTAAATAATAATGTGACAACGTTATACATCTGTATCAATTATATTCTGGCACACATTGCAGACAACTTCTGCACTGAAGACTATAGCATGCCTCTTCTCCAAGCCTTGGCCGCTAGAGCTTCGATCTGCCTTGTTTGCTGTACACCACTGACTTCCTCTTCAGCGATACCCTCCACCACGGCCTCTGCTACGATGTCTGCCTTCAAAGGCTTTTCCACAGCGGCTCCCACAAGCCTTGTCAGTGCACCTCTAAACAACCACTCATTAACTGTATTTCCGACCATTCCAGCAGCCATGATTGGTATTGTGAATGCACGACTCGAATCGTAAAGGAAGCCAGGCCTAAAGAAGAGACTGCGCATCTGTGGGAATTTTGTGGATAGTAGCGACTCAGCTTCCCGCTTCGTCGTGATGTACCGTGTAGGCAATATGGGTGCTCCTGCCGCTGCAGAGATGTACGCAAAGGTCGGTACACCTTGCGCCTGTGCTTCAGTCGCAAGACTCAATGCTGAGTCACGATTCATCAGCTCGTAGGTTATCTGGCCATCAGCCTCGCCTATGCCGATTCCCTCGTCGCTGCTCTTCTCTTCACCACGCTCTAACGGGTTTCTGGCACTGCCCTTCTTGGTACTCGAGAAGGCCCGTCGCAGGCCAGAGATTGGCGATTCTTTACCTGAGACTACTCCTTTGTAGTCTGCCTCCAGCAGTATGCCCATTGTATGCACGACCGCATACGTGCCTTCAAGGTGATTCACATAGGACGCAGGCTTAAGGATATCGGCCTTGATCCAGTGCACGTCTTTCGACCATGGCGGTGGCTGAGGTGATGAGGAGACTGAAGACCAGACAGGCTCTCCCGAGCGACTGCAGATAGACAGAGCTTAGCCGGTTGATTCAGTGGAGAGTAACGAAGTGGAGGATCGTACATGCAGATGGGTGGTGGCATTTCACTTTACCTTAACGATACCACATCCCATCCTCTTGTTGCTGCATACTTGCATATTCTCGAGCCTAGAAATCCATTTCCTCCAGCTACCACTATCTTTCTCTTAGCTGCGTTCGTCGTGGCAGACGCCATGATCCCAAGAAGCTTCTAGCTGAGTTTAAAATCAGGATAGAGGCATGTGTTTTAAGCCATGGTCATGTTGAAATCCACGGCTTGCACCCTGCGGCCTAGGTATTGCCGTGCATGCACTATGCTCAAGCTGAATGTTGAAATGTTTATTACAATGCGTCATGATCGATGTAGCCGACAGAAGGACAATACATGGTTGCCTGAGGCCAATAGCTGATACCTGTACAGTCATTCTTTCCTTTCGCCTATTATTTGTGCACGATAGCCATTTCTTTCCACTGTACCTACTGAATTGTCTCGACCTACCAGCGTGTCAATCACTCAACGGATTGGGCGATTAGTTGCCACGATGGGCTGTCCAAGGCTGATATGCACAGCCATGATCTGAGATCAAGGGTATTGACCAGCACACCCGGAACACACTACTAATAAGGCAATATGTCTTTGGCCAGATAGGGGTCGAATAGCTTCCACTTGCGGATTTAGCTGGTGGTGGTCAGCTCAAGCGCGTAGGACTCGTTCCTCACTTGCTTGCTCTTCAGCCTTTAAGCATGCCGGGCTCTCTTTTTCCGTATACGATAAAATGTATCGATTCAGGGCCAGAATCTGAAGGAGACCTGCGGCGGGCAGCTTCTTCCTGTAATAAAGCTTACCTCAATTCGCCGCCTCGCTCCAGAAGACAACACCACAATCATGACTCTACGATTTCGGTCCTTCATCTCTGTGTCCACCAACGAGACTCAGAGCATCTCCAGTTTCAACGACGAAATACCATTACAGGCAAGGAACGCACCCATCGAGGCATCCACGGTCTATACTGGTGCTGAATTGGACGAATCGTCGTGCGGCCGACAAGAGACAATGTTCAAGCCTCGCTCAGCCCCAGCACATCATTTTTGGAACGAGCCGCTGGGCTTCGGTACAGTAATCTTCGTCGGCGATATCCTGCTGACTGCGTCGCCTTGCCTATTTTTGATTCTGACTTTCCAAGCACTTACTGTCAGCGGCAAACCCATTTCAACAATCGAGCAAGCGGCTAGGCTCGGACCGACCCTCTTTCCTATTGTCTTTGCGGCTGTTGTTGGAAGGCTCATGAGAACTTTCGCTTTGTGGAAGGCCGAACGTGGTGCTCCTTAGGCATTCTGGAACAGTTAAATGGTTCTCAAAAGTTACTTGCTGCTCTTGAGCGAGCGGTACTACTGCCCGGTCTAGGCATCCTTAGCAGTGCAGTAGTCTTGATGTGGACATTATCACTTCTTGGCGGGCAGAGCTCGCTGCGCGTCTAGTCCCGACGTGAGATTTTCACACTCGATGAGACAGGCATTTATTACTCCAACACTACTGGCTCTGCTTTAATGGGCGGCGCTTTCGGAGGAGCCAGCTCGCTGGCCTCAAGCGGCACGACCCTGAGTGGTATCTTTCAAGCCGCCCTACTATCAATCCAGCGAGTCAAACGACAGGGTCTGTGAGGTAACGTCAAGATTCCCTTCCTCGAATACGTACCTGCATATGTGGCCAACAATCATAAGAACGGTTGGTACGACTTTTTGGAAGACGAGTATAACGCGCCGTATTCTTCCATGGTTGGGATCGTGATCAGTGGAACCAAGGACGGCTTGGATACGAACTTTGCTCTGGAGTCCACTTACTTCAATCTGATATGTCAGGGCCACAGTTCTTCACCATCGACTCCGGTGTTGGTGCCTAGGTCCCTGATCACCCGAAAGGTTGCTGGGAATGGGCTGGGCGAATCATACAAACTCGTCTACTGTTTCAACTTCAAGGGATACTCTTACGCTGAACTCATCTATGATGGATACAAATTGGGACAGAACCACCGCAATATCCCGGACGAAGTTCAACGTCATCAATGCCTCGCTTGACAGTGAATAATCGAGGTAGCTGCCTTTAATTGTACCATGGAAGTTACGCACGTCGAATCAGATGTGTTATGTATAGGAACAGTATGCCAAGTCAGGAGATTGCGACGTTCAAGCCTCGTCACCTGGCCGGCATCAGATGCTGGCTGGCCATTCAATTCGGAGGGTGTAATTGCTCCTTATAATTTGTTGAGCTGGCTTTCGATTGCCACTTCCTCTATGCGTTCTGCTATGGTTTCTCCTGTCGATTGGTATGTTTACGGCTCCGATACTCCTTTTCAACTTGACTACAATTCCAATAGTGGTTTGAGCTATCGTAACATTACTGGAGATAAAGTAGCTCGACGTCTTGGCAGCCTCATCAACACAGCATATCAGGCGTCTTATCAGCTTGGTGCAACTGCTCAGTCGCCTTCCAAGGATAAAACAGCGCTAGCACTCGGCTTGAACGACACTACAGCCAGCGAGGGTGTCGGCTACACGACCATCTACACAACAGCGACCACGACCCCCACGGAACAGGTATTCATCGCAAACATTGCCTGGGTTACTGTCACGATGGCCGTCGCAGTCATCCTACTCCTTTGTGGCGTACTCAGCATGGTCTTCAGATACGGGACACGATCGCCAGATATTTTGGGCTTTGTATCAAGCATGACTCGTGATGATCCCAACTTCCAACGTATTCCAGGTGGTGACTATCTTGACAGGCTCCAGAGGGCTAGGATCCTCCGACATGTCAGAGTACAAATAGTGGACACAAGACCGTGGGACAATGATGGGCATATACAGAGGAACCTGGGACGCTCAGGAAGGCGATAGTCTGGACTGCCAGCATGCATATTTGTAAATATCCATCAAACTACCAAGTCTTAGATCCTCATGGACTAGGTTAGCTACGGCGCAGGGATCCCTTCAATGAACGTGCTAGATGCTCGCTACTGGGCAAGAGTTCGTTGCCGGGACAAAAAAATTCTACCATTTCTACCTCAATAACTCTCTGATAATCCGTCGAAATTTGGCACAGCACTATCGCACTTGAATTCAGGATCGTAAGCTTTCTGTGGGAGAATGCCAGCGGCCAACCCAAGTTTCCAACTCCATTGCGTTGCACTCTCCGTCTTCCAGGTCCAATAGAACCATCCTTGTCCCTGCTCGAAAGCGAATATCTGAGCTTCTGCATACATTTTGAGGAACTTCTTGTACTGGTCTGTGTATTGTCCCGGATCGGCATTTGCTGGGCCACATTGACAAGGCGGAGAAGCGCAGGAGGGTGTATTTACGTTCACGGCGCCTGCACCAGTATTTGTATTCAGGTTTCCAGCCCATCGTGATCCGGCGCCGACGTTATTTAGGTTGGGGGTGCAGTCCGTGTCAGCTTGGGACCACTCTCCATTGATCGTAGGACCCCAGCCAGTAGTTGGGTTATTCGAGACGACTATAATCCCTTTCCAGCCGGAACAGACGAGGTTGATTTTGTCCGCATGTTTCAACTTTAGCTGGCCGACGTCGAAGATCTGGTATTGATGTGTGTCGATCATCAGTTTACCGTCCACCCCTTTCATTGTATTTTCCCATTCCGTGAGTGCAAGGAAGCCATCACCGAAGATCAATTGTTGTTCTATGCCATTCTTGCGGACCAGGTCAATGGCTTGCTGATTCCATGCGATTACTTTTGACGGGTCGTCCATGTTTATCATCTTCGGCTCGTTGACGAGGCCGTACAAGGTAACGACGTTCTTGTAACGGTCCTGAGCGAAGAACTTGGACATTGAGTCATGAATTTCGAGACTTCGTTGACCGTTTAGATCCCCGTCTGCGCCATTGAGCCAATTGATTGTTCCTTGATGTCCGCTGTGAGCCCAACCGTTCTGGGATCCTGGCACAGCGTGAAGATCGAGATTCACTCGCAATCCATATTCGCGACACCATTCGATGGCTCGAAGAAGATATCTCCAGGATATCTGAGGGACGAAAGGATCTCCATCATAGGCCTTGACAGCCCAGTAACCAAAAGGAATGCGCACGTGGTCCAGCCCCGCGTCTCTAATGCCCTGAAAGTCTGCCTTCGTTATAAATGTCGCGTAATGATTTTCAAGAGTTCTGGCACAATTCGATTTACCAAGTTTTTGACACAGAGTCCATTCATCGACAACATTGTCTGAGGCAGCATAGTCGAACATTGAGGGTGTGATAAAGGGTTCGAGGTTGAGCCATCCACCAACGTTGGTTCCTCTAACTGGCATCTTGCCATACTGCCATTGCTTGTTGAGGGCGGGCGTGTTTGCATTTGCCTGAGCAGAATCATCCCACTTGGACTTCAACCCAATGAGTGGCAGACCACCAACAGTTTCTGCTGTGTATGTACAGTTGAAGTCGGACGTATCCAACCAAGTAGACACGTCGTAATAAGTCCCCTTTACTGATTCGGGTATGTCGCTTGTGTCGCAGTCATTCTTAGGTGTGGCACTCGTCGAAGATGCAGTGTTGCTCGAGTCACCTCCACTAGCTCCTCCTGCTTTTTTCTTGCTGGCGATGACAGCCGCAACAACAATGATTATCAACAGAACGATGGCGATCGCACCAACGATCAGCCATCTCTTCTTCTTGGTCACAGGTTTCTTGCTTTCTTTTCGTAGTTCTCGTTTTTCTTCGTAGTCGTCGTAATGATCGGCTGGCTCCTTTCGCCTCTTCCTCTTACCGCTCCTTCCTTCCTCAAGAATAGCACCACTGACGTCCCTGTTCTTCTTTCGTCTTCCTCGTTCTTCTGTCTTTTTACTCTGCTTCTTTAGCTCCTCATACTCTTTTTCTCTTTTCTTCCTCGCTTTACGCTTCGCTTCAAATTCTGATATATCATTTTGCTCATTAAGTTTGGAAAGAGCATTTGAACTTAGTAGTTGCGTGCCGCTATTGGCGGACGATCCGGACGTGTACTTCGCACGATCATGTTCTTTATCTCCCTTATCATACGATACTGGAGGCTCTGATGCTTTGCGTTTGTGACGATCCTTCCGTCGATGGTCGCGCGTAACCTCTGCGTGCCTTTCGTTCTCACCACAGTGCCGAGTGTTCTTCTTCAAGGGCGACGCACCTGGTGCTTCCTTGGTTCGCTGCCGCTTCTCCCTAGACGATCCTTGTTTGACTTGTAATGGCTCGCCCCTTCTCCGCCGCTCCAACTCAGACCAGTTGTCATCTTCTGATGTCCAATCCGAATATTCGATTCCTCTGGATCGTGAGCGCTGCCGAGTAGGCGATGTCTGTTGTGATGGATACGATGATGGAGGAAGCGCGTGGGCTCCAGGTGGCCGTGCAAAGGAGGGACGTGCGTCTGCGTTGGCAGCAGAAGATCGACGACGTTCTTTCGGCATTCAGCCTGCAATGCGTACTATCCGTTTCAAGCGTACTGTCTTCAACAAGACTTGATGTTCAAGCTCGACCTCATGGTTCGCGCAACCTGCACATCGGCACTAGCTCAACGTAGTGTTTGTTGCCACCTCGTTGAGATGGTAACCGGAGCGACGCCCAATCAGTAAGCGTGGAATTTAATGCCGTGAATCCGCAAAAGCGTTGCGGAACAATTTTCCAGGTCCACACGGTCTCGCTTGATGTGTGGTAAGTTGTAGCAACCAGTTTGGGGCGAATTCCGGGATCTGTGGTCCATCTGCAAACATAGGTCAACTCTTTACCTGCCTATCTGGTAATAGAAACTACTAGCAACTGCAGGCAGTGCTGTGTAAAAACACTCCAACTACCAGTCAGAATCTTGCGAGCATTTGATCCTTCAACGAAAGCGGAACGGACAGATCTAGCCTCTCGTTAGATATACCGTGTCGTACCCACGACTTCTAGCTCATTGCTGATCTTGATCTAATAGGTTACAGGTCTCTGCGGAACAGATTTCCATTTCCATTTCCATTTCCAACCGGCCAACGACAATCGTAAGTGCAAGCCTCAAGAGACACTCTAGTCTGTGGCGGGTTTTGGTTCCATTTAGACCATGGATGCACGAGTCAGAATGTCGGCCCTAGATTCTGGGATCGATCAATCGTTTGAGATTAGCCAATGGCAATCAATTACACGTAGCAACGGTAGGCCGCTACTCAGGATCATATCTACGAAGATTTCAGCTCATCGAGATGTCTCCTTCAGTCTACCATTCCGCAATTCAGATAGCAGTCCTTCGTCACAGCTTCAGCAGCCGAGAGGACCTCAGCAACATGCAGCTGACCGATGCAAGCGGCAAACTTGCTCAAATAGCAGAGTCGCTCATGCAGACCATCAGCGAAGATCCTTCCTTAGCATCATCCTTATTGTCACCTCAACAAGGAGAGGGCAAAGCTAACAGAAAAGCAACCTCAACGTTTTCAGGAGAGGCGGATGCGATGGTAGATGTGACAGCGGGGAGCTCTCCCACGCAATCATCTTCGATCGAGGATGGAGAGGACATACCGGCCCTGACCCTGACTGAACTGCTGTCGCTCAAGGATGTAGACGCAGCGTGTCAGACAGATCCTGTCAGTCTAAGGTATCCAGGGCGACGAATTCAAGGTATTAGTTTCCATACTGACGGACTTGACCTCGACAGACAGCCTGTGCAACTCTTTGAAGAGTTGCATGCTTTCTGGACACAGCACGTGAGTGGACGGCATCCGCCGCAGCTATTCGATGTTGTACCCATGGAACTTGCATTCGACACCAGATTGACAAGGACTGCAGATCATATGTCCAAGGCGATCGTCGATTTTCGCAATGGCGCTCGTCGTGCCATTCAGGCTGGCGCGAGGCTGGACGATATCTTGGGCAGCAATATGCCTTCTTTGGAGACTTTCCACAGCCAAGATCCAAACACCCCAATTCACTCTGCTTGGAGTTGGGCTTGTCAATTCACTCGAGCTTTTCCAGAACTTCCACTTACCACGCAGCTCTCCACCATCTATCTTGTAGGCATACAGATGCGGGTAAGCTCATCTCTTCCTGCTTGAGATTGGTGTGTTTTGATTATGCTAGTTCTTCATCCACCCTAACGCCGATACCTTTGACGATTTGCCTCCAATGCTCCGACCTCTCCGAAAGCAATATACTGTCGAACACGCGGCGAGCATTGACATTTGTTATTTTCCAGCCCTTAAGGACTTCCTACTTGACAATCAGCACCAATATTCTTCCCTTTTCATCAAGATAATTTCAACACAAAGCTGCAACTGGCCTTACAGTGAGGCAGCATGTTTTAACAACTGTAATCAACCTTCTCATACATCGACCTTGTCACGTGCTTTCATCGAGCATATTCGGAACGGCCAGAACTTCACAATCGGTGCAGAGATCTTTGAAGAAGCGCCTCAGCTGAAAGCGCACGTGCGCTGAGCTGAGTTGAGCTGAGCTGAACTGAGCTCAACATCTATCGACGTCTTCTCGTAACGACGATAGATAAGCACGATGCTCACCAGCTGATATGTTGAGGAAATTTACACATCTCACGATAGGCAACTCGTGTCCACCATTAGTACCTGGACGAAACAGAATCTGATGAAGCGACGCTTTGCTGCACATCGAACAGGGGATTTGATCCCGTGCCGGCAGGAAAGTAGCGTAAATGCCACATCGTTTTCCAAGACTTCCCATCACGTCAAGCCTGGACTCTCAAATCTAGGTATACAAATTGGCGATAAGTGACTATGCTCCATAATCAGTCTCTGACGCTGTACGTTTATGGCACGAAGAGATACCTAGACCATTGAGGAGTGGAAAGGGGGGGAATGGACACTTGTCGTCATCCCATGCTGCCTGAGACCGAACGAGGGCGACTGCTGGTACTAGGCATCTTTACCCACCCATAATGAGGTCGTGCCTCTCCAACTTGATCAGTCTGTGACTGTTTTCTGTCGTGTCATTTCTAACCTTCACCAGCGTTGGAAGACATCGAGTTTCAGTCAAGGGTCGATGACGGCGAACGCAAGGCTGGAAGGACGATGAATAGAGGCACGCTACAGCAGGCTAGAGCTGACATGCACATTAATTGGCTTTTTGGCTGTTTGCCTTGATGCGGTTGTCGCTTCTGATTGCAGATGCCAGATGACTTGCCAGTGACCTACGTACTGTACAGGAATTAACGTGCTGTTTTACAGGGTTGCTGTTCACAGCTTTGCTGAGACTGTCGCCCTCATCTACGCATGGTGTCCTGTCAAGCACAGCTGATAATACTGGACAGGGCTGGTGTGATCCTTTAGTATAGAGCCACCATTCCACCAGATCTTCTACATAGCCACGTACTCACTCGCCCATAGCTCCAACGTTCTACTATAATTGGACTATTTGGTAGGGGTAGAGTACAACAGAACCTGATGGGTCTAGACTGTTCCGGTGGGGTTGCCCAACACCTAAGTAGGTAATGAATACAAATGCTCATTGAGAGAAGATGGGTTGGTGGCTTTGTACTAACGAAACGATGGCCTCCGATCAAGGGTTCAATGAACCATGAATTTCTTGCCGCGATCGCCGTTGTGCCCGATCGAGAAGAGTGGCTGGCGGCTGCCCAGGATAACAAGCTTGGAGTGCTCGAGGTGATCTAGCAGGACACTGGAGGGAAGGTCTCAGTACACCAGTTGGGACACAATTCGTTTTGGTTGCCTGAAGCACTCAACGTTAATTCAAAGAGCTTGAATGAGTCGATATTCTTTTCTTTCGGGGCTACGTGCATTATCAAGCAACTACAATGAATTGTGTCCCTAGCAAGAACCTGTGTATGTGAAGCTACTGCCTCAGGCAAACACTAAGTCGTGCCCCTCCTGATTGGATGGATATGGGAAGTTGCAGAATACAACCGTGGTTCGGCGGTTGGTACTCACCCAGCTAGCGCCATGCATTTTGCACAGTCTTCGAATGCCCTCTTCGAATTCCCTCTCAACGAAGCTTTGTCTGTATGAGCACCACCGTCGGATTCCCTCAGTCATGGCCCATGGCTGGCATGCGAGCTTCAGTAAAACTCATACCATTATACTCTAGTGCAGTGGACTCCAGCAATGGAGTACTCGTAGAGCTACTAGATTCGTTCCGTCTCGCGCTCCAACCTTCGGATCTCCTCCTCGATATGTTATAGGGCGGAGAATGTATTCCCACTGCATGCAGAGCAATGGTGACCTTTGACCTTTGACCTTTGACCAGTGGCTGGACACTTGGTGGCTCACAACTTTATCCTAACGCGAAAGTGGCGCGGTATGCCCAGTGTAGCAACTTATGCCGAGTCAGAACAAACGACTCTGTCGGAATTGGACGAAGAATGGACTCTCGCCTTGCACGAAGAGCATGACAGGGATTCTCTGCTTAGCTCAACGATGCTTTTGTCCGTGCATAGAGCAGGGTCAACTCTGGACAACCCCAACAAGGAATCAACTTCGATCACTCTACATACGTATTCATATGCCTATTGACTCCCCGCTACGCACGGATTGTTGATCATGGTCTCGTGGTGTCATCATGTATGAATCCATACAATGAATTAGCCACATCTTCGATAGCTTCCACATCCGCGAAGCCCCGCGAGCTCCTCCTGTCGTCAACATCCTAGTCGATATGCGGAGCTACGTGTTGCCATCTCGATGAGTTCGGATTCTAATTGCACTACTCTATCTGGTCGTCGCGGATGACGCCAAATTTACATTAGACTTTGCGTTCCGGTTGAGATACGGAACGAAGCCCTGAAGGAGCCGCCTGCTTGATGGTTTAGGCGACATCACTTTCTTTGAGGGAGTATGAGCTTAACGCGAGACCTAGCACGATCGTTGAGCAATGGTATTGCGTTGAAGGTCGAGGTTACGTTGTGGGACATACTCTATATCTTGCCTGGTCGAACACTTGGCATCTATCAGCAGGAATTTGTTTCAGACGTATTCCGAGCGGCGAATGTTCTCGTTGCTTGGACTACACAGGTACCTATGAATGGATATTCAATCTGGTAACATTGGTGGTGGGAGATCGTGCTAATGCAATGGCCTGCATCAGGCCCTATTAGTGAAACGGATATTTGAGTTTGCAGTAGGGGACATGTCTTGTCGTCTCCAAACGGTCTTAAGTACCCCCATAGCGAAATGGGAAAGAGAGTGGATCCCCGAGAGCACGTAAGACTCGATCTCATAAAGTCTTGGACATTAAAGAGGGAGGACGTTTAGAGTTTGGACAACAAGTGCACGATCGAATATCAAACCCGGCTGGCAACTGATGCATATACTCTTCACAAGTTCCTGCTCATAGTAACTGCTAATCACAAGGCTTACTTCCAGCAGAATGGCTCGAAATCAATCCAACGGACGGGATCGTCAAAGCAGTGATCGAGGTAAAGTCACAATCAAGCCGAAGGAGACCTCGTGGTACAAAGAGACCCCAGGGGTAAAGCGGCGATCAAGGACGCTGAACGCTTGTGAGCCTTGTAAGAGACGAAAGACCAAGGTACGTGTGGTCCTCACTGGTAGCTCATTCATAGGAACACCCTCTGATCTCTCTGCAGTGCTCAGGTCATCCAGGTCCATGCACGGCCTGCGCAAAAGTTGGATACACTTGTCGATTCAATATCAAGCATGAACCAAACCGCAAGGTACCAGCAACATCTACGACACAGCAGGGAGACCTTTATGCTCTAAACCACGCTTTACAGGCTATGAAGTATGGGCGAAGACTTCCACTGATGCATTTTATCGAGACTCTGCGATCCGATCGTGGCCCAGAGGAGCTCGCAGGCAGTCTCAAGTCAAACGTCGAACTGTCCCACGAGCAAGGAGTCATTCCAAGCACAAAGATCGAAGATATAGACACGATGTCTTTGCCCCAGAAGAGCTTCTCCGAAGACCTTGGCTGGAATTCTAGCTTCGAGTCACAGCCAAGTCACACTGTGAGCTCGACGACACAGAGTGAAAGGGACTGGGCTCCGATAAACTGGTATGGAAAATCAAACGCTGCATACCCAACCCCAACCAGTAGCCTAGGCCAACCAACACCAGTAAACTACACTGACAGCCCCTGGTCATGGAGTCGCACTACTGATTACACAAGATGTGCTTCTACAGCATCGGCCTTTTCACCTACGCAAAGTGACTGGCAGTCCGAGAATGGTCTCCTGCAGGCAGAGAGACCTCAACAGCGACCTACTCATTGTCAGATGCCAATCAGATATGTTGACGGTCGAATACCCCAGCCTGGATACCCTTCACCAGGTGTGGCACTCCAATACCATCCACGCTACGTGCCAGAGGGACTGAATGTCCCGCATCACTTTGCTCCTCGAGTGGAACAGTACGACTCACTCGGTTACCCGGGTGGCTTGGCCGCCACGACGGTAGCCGGGCCTTGGCAGGCAATGGCGCAACATCCACAAGCACTTGTGCAGCAGCAGCGACAGGAGCAACACGAACAGCACCAGCAGCAGTTCGCAATACACAGCCATGGGGTATACAACTCAGTCAGTCCAGTTACTCAAGGACACGTATCCCATGCCCATGTTTCTCAACAGTACTCTGGACTTGTCGCATAGTATTGTCGACGAGATCGCTGGCGATAGCACGACAATCAGCATCGGGATGAGGGAAGTGGTAGTGTTCCAGGCAATCTATTTAGCGGCACGAAGGCGAGGTGGCTGAGCAAAGTCAAGAATACTACTTGGCCCTGTACGAATAAAACGACTGTAACGAGAGCATGCATTATAGCATTAGGTGCCCCCGAGCAATGGGCAACTCCTTACGTAACGAAGCACCATGATTCTGTCTCCCGAGCATTCTAGTCACTCCCAGCCCATCCTCTGTGCTGCTGGAACGTATCGTCCAGAACGACTCGTCGCTCAAACGCACCATCGACAGATATTGCCCTCGCTAGCATGAAATACGTAGTAAGCTCTTTCAGCTCAACGTGTACAGGCTCCCTACAGGATCCTCGAAATAGAGTTTGGAGAAAGCTTGGCCAATATCTTCATTCCAAGGAACTATACCGACTGGGCACATCCACTGATCGGCCCGTTCGTCAACGCCACGGCGATACTGTGCTTGCCGAAGTTGTACAGGTGCAGCAGCAATCAGACGAAGCTTGATAGTAGTCGCGGAAACAGGGTTTGAGGTTGGCGTTACTGTGAACGTCGATCGATGACGGGTGTACGGAGCTATCCGAGGATGTGGATGAAGTTGACGCGAACTGTCGTGCTAGTACTAGTACTCGTACTACTAGTACTGCTTCGACATTGAATGCCCCACGTTCACGAGGGCATGTCGATCACGAAGCATATTCTCGTATTCAAGTATTGTACTTGCGCTCCTCGCCGTTAAGAGTTGCGCAAATCATCTGGGGATGATTTTACTACGCGAGGTGTACAACTCTTGACGGTGGGGATACGAGTAAATCGCGTGCTGCACTCAAGGACGACTTTACGGTTCAGGAGCATGGAAATGAAGAGGACCGTCACTTCATTGTATGCAAACAAACAAGAGTTTCTGTGGGAGCTTGAATTGTGTCACTACTACTGCTACTGATACTTCAGCTTACACTCTAATTGAGAGCCATAAAGCGAAGAGGAACAGTCTAGAACGAAGCGGCCCTCTCAAGGTGTTGATGAACTCTCACATCATTCGATCACCATAAAGTAGAGTTCTCGTTTGACGTACGATCGTGCTGCATGCAGGCTACTAGTAGCAAGAAGGAGGATCCTGCAAGGTGTCGATTTCGGTTTTCTGACAATACAAACCTGGCAGGACACCTGCTGATCTGATCTGAATATCCACAGTTCGCGGCCTTAGCGCTCTTGTCCTTGAGCAATAACGCTGCAGCTTAGGACTGCATCTTGTTATTGGACATTATACCCTGGTTTGACATGACAACCCCTCAAGCACATACTCCGTGTTCTGCTTTGGCAGGGGTAATGCAGAACCCGCGATCGTGGGACTGTTCGTCGACGTTCATGCGCTAGCTTTCCAGATCGAGGTATAGATTGGATGCAAGTAGCTGGATTAGGAAGCATATGGGATCGGGGTTGCCGCCGTGGGGGTGCTAGTGACGCAAGCAAGTGGCACGAACTAGGGGCACAAAGAACGGTCAGAGTGGCGTCTACAGTTGAGAGAACAGAAACTTTAACCCATATCTAGTTGCTGAGTTTAAGCCACATGAGATTCGGCGATCATTGCGCAAGAACATGGTTTCGAAGATGAGAGAACGTCAGTAACACGATTGAGTTCAGCTGAGTACTACCGGGAATCGATCCCAAACACCACGAATAGTGTCTCGAGACGTATCACGCAATGGTTTTTGAGCATTGTCGCTATCGACTTTCAGAGTTCGAGCTATGCACAACCAGTTAGTGTGCCTCTACGTGATGCACAGGAGACGCTACCAGAAGGAGGCGTTCGTGATGCTCTATCCCGAACTCCGCGATCGTACTTCTTGTGCTCGCTTGTATCTAGCCGAGTCGTCTTTGTGCCCCAGCTGGAAAGTATACTCGCGACTGTGTTTAGTGAGTTACATGAAGCTGCAGTATTGACTGTCACTGCCAAGGTCAACGACTCACACAGACCACCAGCACAACGTAACCATTGAAAGCTCCTTACGATTTGGTGTTCGCACTGTACTCCGTGCCGTTCCGAACAATTGAACAAGTGTTGCGATAGCCTCAACTCAATTGCGATGAATGCCCAGAAGCGGCGTCGAAGAAGATTCACGCGGTGCCGCCGGCTCGCGGGCCAAGCAGATGAGTAGCTTTTTTGGTCGAAGGAAAGGAGCGAGCCTTGAATGTACCTCGTTGAAACGCAATCGAGGTGCTATAGAGCATCCATCCATTTTACGGTCGTTCTATAGCTGTATGCAAGATCAAACAGTCGCGAAAAACCTGCTGAGGTGTGTATAGATCAGACCTTTTCTCTATGGATGCTGTTCATCTCGTCTCAACCTGCGTCTGGTAATGTTTATCGATTACAATTATCATCCAATGAACACTGGACTCGGAGTCGTATGCAGGCCTCCTCGAGTCCAAAACGTAAACAGGTTTTGAACAAATTAGCCTAATAACTGTTCGTCGAATGGGGTGACCATTAAGATCCGCCTACAGTCACAGATCTCTAGAATGCTGCTCTCGATCACCATTCGGTGAGATCAAGGAACGTACCACTATTTGGCTATTAGCTTCTTGAAATTAGCACAACATTGTCGTTGGTAAAGAGTCAGGCACCACACACGTCCCAATCAGCCTAACAGATTATCACATTTTGGTCCTCTTTGTCATTGTCAATTGGTTCCATATGGCTTCAAACGCATCTCGATCTTGTACATACGTGGATCAATCAAGTGGTACCAATATCGAAGAGGGCTTCCGATCAGGTGGTTACGGATACTGTACCTGTCCCACTAAGAGTTGATTCGCTATAGCGATTGTCATGCCGCGACAAGGTTGCATGCATGTTTGGCGAGATGACCCAGTTTGCGTTCGACCGAGCAAATCCTGCGTGGAGATATACAGCCTACATGTCTCAAAATCGATGAGATAGTTGATGTGGGTAGTGTGCTGCGCTACAGCTCACGACCAACACAGCTTCCGCCACACTCTTCCAAATCACAGCATTGCATGCTGCAGGCTATGCATGCCCCTGTCCCTGGCATGACGACCCAAAAATTCTCTCCTGCAGATTTTTGCGAAGTGTTGGTACCAATTGAAACAGTTGTTTGCATCCGTGAACACGAGCTTCTGCAGGAGTGATGGCTTCTCCCGTAAGGTACATACCTAGCCAAAGCTAATGTAGCCTCCAGGAATTAGACCTCTACAGATGAGTTTTGATCGGAACAGTATCTTGGCAGTGCTCGAGGTCAAGATTCAGCAACGTCTCTGTCAGAATCAGCCTCATCTCGTTGCAAACTAGATTTCGAAGTACGTAATATCATCTCAGGTGTTCTCTGATACCTTGCCTAACCAGTATCTGGCACGAGTAGAAACTGACTCGAAAGATTTTGACGATCGAACCTAGATTCAGGACCTCCGAGCCATCGCTCACAGCGTAGGTGGTTCATTGTTTTTCTGGAGTCGTACTCTTGTTTGTGCCTGGCAAGTTTTTGGAGATGAACACGGGTGCCTTCCGGCACGAAGTATTCACCCACTATCGTGCCCCAAAGTGGCGATCTGCTAGGGAGACTGACGGGCAAGGGCACATACATACGTAGATCTTCTTTGGTTGTGGCGTTCAAGATTGGCAGTCCAGCTAAACATTTGGATGTTAGATTGTCAATGGCCTGAATGGTCCCTCAAGCTTCTTGTTGGATTTCATGAAGGTAGTCAGGTTCGCGTAATCAGTGGTAAATCACGCCACCTGATGCTGCTGCGACCATCCCTGTTCCAGCAATTAGGAACAAGCTCAAGCCCGAATTTGAGCAGTAGTATTCCCTGATGGCCAAAACGTGCCGATCGGGGGTCCGTAAAGCTCGAATGAACACAACAGACGCTGGATTAGGCGCCAATCGTTGTAACGAGTGCCTATTAACGAAACAGGAATGTGTGCCGACGGCCACAATGAAACGCTCACCTTGAATGTGCAGGGAAGCTCTGCCGCGTCGATCGAGCACGCGAAGCAAGAGCAGGTGCACAGCTACATACCTAAGAAGCCATCGGGCACACCCTTTGCAACCTGGCCAGCACGACCGACATAACATCCTAGCATGCTACTCCATTGATAACTGTGGCATTGAAGCTCCCTGAGTTTTTGGAACGCAGTAGCGTTCGCATATGCCGCACTTGATTTTGGATCGCGGTATCTGGCTGGCAAACCAGTAATTGCACATAGCTCGGCGATGTGCTTGACAGGTCTAGCTGACTTCTTGGAGGTGTAAAACATATTGAACGCTTGTCTTGCTTCTGCAGTCAAGTCTTCGAACCCTTCAAGCACAACTAAATTGCGTGTGGATGTAACCTCGATCAGCGAAGGTTGTGGCAGTGTAGGTTCACTGTCTGGCTCGACCAATATGGTCCGTGAAGCAGGTTCTGCGAGCGTCGAATGAATTTGTGGTCTCTGTGTGTCGTCTGAGCGAACGCCAGCTGTCGCAACTTGGGCGTCAGGAGGCAAAGGATGATCTGCTGGTGGCATCGAAGCAATCTGCCCTGCTACAAGACTCGTTGGATTGATCGATATATTTGAGTTTGGCTGGGATGGGACTATTGTCCTGACCTGAGTAGATGGGAGGATTACAGGTGCTGGCTTGGTGCTGGGTACCTGCTCCTCCGACGTGACTGATTGTGATTGTGCCACCCTGTAATCGCCCGAATTGGCATTGCCGTGTAAATCGAGGTTTGTTGTCTCTCCAGGGCCAGACTGCCTTGCGTACTCGTGTATACCAGCCAGCCACATGTCTGGAGCAGGTTGTGCAGGATCTTTGGTTGTTGTACCTGACTGAAGTGCCGGATTGCCAGTGGTCACAATGAAGGATGAGGGAGCGATGGCTGACAGACTTGACGGTAACGCAGTTGTCTGTTGTAGCAGGTTCTTCGGTTTGGGACCTCTCTTCTTCGGCTGACCGTCATCTATACCACCAGAAACCGGACTCGTACGCTCAATCTTGAGCCCCTGATATTGGTGTCTTGAGCTATGCAGCGTGATCACCGGGCCTTGCAGAGTACGACCTTTGAGAGCAGCCAGCTTAGCAGCTTGCTCTTCGAGTCGTTGTTTCTCCATGGTTTCCCATCGATTCAGACTCCTGGCATTCCTTTTCTCGTTCTTCTCGGCTTCGGCAAGCCGGTCTGCTTGAGTCATCTCCTTAGGTGCTTCAGCTTGCTTGATTTTTTCTTTCTCCTCACGTTGTGCTTTGTATTTCAACCGCTGTTCCTCACTTTCCTTCAGACGCTCCAGCATGACTTCTCGGTGTGCGACAGTCTGTTTTCTGAGGGACGTACGACCAGAAGCAGCGTTCTGATCTGGCAGCCAGGAGACTCTTTCTTTTCGTTTCGAGGCTTTCGGTTTATCGGGTGCTCTGTGTAATGAGGTAGGGTCAATCTTTGGCTTCTTCCTTATGGCACTCATTGTGGTCATAGCCATGTCGGCTTTTCGCTTTTTCTGCCGCTCCATCTTGGCCTGTTTCTGCAACTCGGTTTCACCATCCATATCATCAGGCGCAGCATTTGGTCCCTGATCGTCATCTTCCGAAGAGGACATATCCGCCTCATCGTCGGCCTCATCGCTGTTGTATTCTTCATCTTCACCTTCTGCGTCTGCAAACAGCAAGGCAACGTCGTCTTCCTTGTCCTCATCTGCTTGCTCTTGTGCTACGACCTGGCTGTATCTGTTACCGGCTGTCTTTCGTCTTTCTCTGGTCGTGATCATCAACTCGGGCTGTGATTCGGGAGCACTGTCCTCTGACGAGGAATCCGAAGCGGCATTGCTGCGTGTCTCGGAGTCGTCCATGAAGGTCAAGGTATCTTATGCGGGCAGAAACTATTGAGTCGCGAAGGAGTGCTTCATCGAGATGCGACAACGTTCACCTTCAGGTGCTCTCAATCCCATATACAGTAAAAGCTCTTATCTCTGACGTTGGATCAACGTTACTGGAACTGTGGATAGGATTGTCCCAGGCACGAACTTCCATTTCGACGGTTCGGAAACGCTTCTACGAATTATAGTTGCGTATATTTTTTGGGCGTCATTTTTCAGAGCTGAAAGGCTAATCTGCGGGCACTTAAGATCGCGTGCTCTTCGCGTTAGTGCTGATCTAGGCTTAATCGTCATCCGACAAGGGCCAGTACGCGTGCAATCAACTCCGCTACAGCAAACAGCTCCCTCACCTATCTTGAGCATGCCCTTCAAACCACCAAAATCCAATGGCACATCTGCTACAATTCGACAGTCGCCGAGAAAGCGGAAGCAAGACGATATAGAGCTAGATTCCATACCTGAACCGAGCCGACATGAGTTGAAGTCAAGTGATGCTCAACGTTGCACAGAAGGGAGCGCTGTCGAACAAAACAAGCCTCCTCGACCACGCAAGAAGACCAAGGCAGATATTATACTAGATGAACCAGGCCGAACCGATGTGCTCGAAGAACGGAATGAAGATGATCCTGATTCCACGAATTTCACGACACAAAACAAGGCCACTGACTCTTCTAAGAAAAAAAAGTCCATAAGGGCACCCAAGCATACCAAAGCAGACGACAGCTCTAGTGACCTCTCTTCGATTCCAGACGACGAAGGTACCGAGTCAAAGGCAGTCAAGGTCAAACGCAAAAGAAAGACCAAAGAGCAAAAAGAAGCAGAAGACATGCCGCTGGCGCCAAGGACAACAGGTCTGAACATGTTTGTTGGTGCTCATGTCAGCATTGCCAAAGGTGTCGAGAATGCCATTACCAATGCCGTTCATATTGGTGGAAATGCATTGGCACTATTTCTCCAGAGCCAGCGAAAATGGGAGAACCCCGATCTCAAGCCAGAGAACAGAGATGCTTTCATTCACGCCTGTTCCCGTCATGGGATCGACGCTAAGCAACACATCGTCCCGCATGGTTCCTACTTGGTCAATCTTGCAGCCAAAGATGCCGACCAGGCCAAGAAATCCTATGATTTCTTCCTTAAGGACCTGAAGCGTTGTGAGGCTCTAGGCATCAAATACTACAATTTCCATCCTGGTGCAACAAACAAGGACCCCCTACCAGAGGCTATTACCCGATTGGCAACTCTACTGGATAAGGCTCTTTCTGAGACGGAAACTGTAGTGCCTCTACTAGAAAATATGGCTGGCACAGAAACTATCATCGGAGGTCGCTTTTCAGATCTTGCTCAGGTTATTGCAAAGCTTAGACCGGAGCACCAAAACCGAATTGGAATTTGCATCGATACATGTCATACATTTGCTGCTGGTTATGACCTGAGAACGCCAGAAGCCTTTCAAAGGACATTTCAAGAATTGGATGATGTAGTTGGTTTGAAGTATTTGAAGGCTTTGCACTTAAACGACTCGAAGGGTATGTTCGGTTCAAAGAAGGATTTACATCAGAACATTGGTCTTGGTTTTCTTGGTCTACGCGCTTTCCACAGTATCATGAATGAGCCGCGCTTAACCAATATTCCCATGATCCTTGAGACACCATGTGAAAGACCTGATCCCAAAGACTCCAAGAAGACTATCGACGACAAGACTGTCTATGCGCGAGAGATCAAGTTGCTTGAAAGTCTTATTGGTATGGATCCTGAAAGTGCGGAATATAAGAAGCTCGAGTCTGATCTGGCCAAGGAGGGCGAAGAAGAGAGGGACAAGATGGCAAAGTGGCAAGCTGAGAAGGAGAAGAAAGAAAGAGACAAGGCTGAAAAGGCTCGAAAGAAAATAGAGAAAGTGGAGCAGGGTCAGCAAAGTATAGCTGGCATGCTCGGTGGCAAGGGAACAAAGAATAAGAAAAGGAGCACATCCAGCAGCGGCTCAGAGTCCGAATAAACGTAATTCGACCACAACACTCTGTTCAGATTTCACTCAACCGCTTTTGTAAATAGTATTCAGCTTGTTAGAACGGGGACCCATCTTGTAGTGTTTGAGCAGTAAGTGACTGTTGTACTGTCTGAACACATATGCCTGTCACGAATGGCCCGTTTGCAACAGTGAGAGTGTTGCCTGTCAAGTGAAGGTTCTTGAAAGGGGTTTACTGTTTCAAACGAACTTTCGCTGCTGCACGCATCAGTGGCACTTTGCCCTGGTTTGCCGCACTTGGGTCTACCCCACTCGTCACTTGTGACTGGACAACTTGTCCTCATCATCGCAGGCCCGCAAGAAGCCACGGTAGCAGCTGCGCTGTATCGATAAAAGCCAAATCGGTGCCAAAAGTTCTAAATATTTCCAATTCCACATACTCCCTCCCTTCGATTGGATTTCCACCAACATACGCCCTGTGTGATTCCAACCGTCTTTGAGTGGCAGACACGGATCCCAAGTGTCTGATTTCGAGACAGTCCCTCGAAATCTCGAGTATTTACAAGAGATCGAGTACATACGACGCCCACCATGGCGACGCAGAGAGCGTCGAAGGCTTCCGCCTTCCAGTTCACTACTCTCTTCTATCTTCTCCTCTTATTCATTTGCCCTCTGGCATTGATAGGTCGTGCGCAGGCGCAAGACCAGACTCCTATGAACGACACAGCCAGCGAGTATGGCACTGTCATTGGTATTGATTTGGGCACTACATACTCCTGCGTCGGTGTGATGCAGCATGGAAAGGTCGACATCATTGTAAACGATCAAGGAAACCGTATAACGCCATCTTATGTGGCATTCACTGACGAGGAACGTTTGGTCGGAGATGCGGCAAAGAACCAATATGCTGCAAACCCAGAAAGGACTGTTTTTGATATCAAGTGAGTATTTCCTCTACCCATATTGCCATTGCTAACAGTCTTAGACGTCTCATCGGTCGAAAATTCGCAGACAAGGACGTCCAAAAAGACGCCAAGCACTTTCCTTTCAAACTGGTCGAGAAAGATGGCAAGCCCACTGTCAACGTCGAAGTTCAAGGCAAGCCACGAAACTTTACTCCTGAAGAAATATCAGCTATGGTTCTCGGAAAAATGAAGGAGGTAGCTGAGGCTTATCTTGGAAAGAAGGTCACCCACGCTGTCGTTACTGTTCCAGCCTATTTCAACGATGCTCAACGTCAAGCTACCAAGGATGCTGGTATAATCGCCGGCCTTACCGTCCTCCGTGTTGTCAACGAACCTACCGCTGCCGCTATCGCATATGGTCTCGACAAAATCGCCGATAAAAAGGAACGTCAAATCATTGTTGTAAGTACTTTCCAGCCTTCACCTGTCCATAACTAACTCCAAAAGTACGATTTAGGTGGCGGCACATTTGACGTGTCATTGCTGTCTGTCGACGAGGGTGTATTCGAAGTCCTCGCTACCGCTGGTGATACGCACTTGGGAGGTGAAGATTTTGACCAGAGAGTGATGGACCACTTTGTGAAGCTCTATAACAAGAAGAACGACGTGGACATCCGCAAGGACCTCAAGACAATGGGCAAGTTGAAGCGCGAAGTTGAAAAAGCCAAGAGAACGTTGTCGTCGCAAATGTCGACTCGAATCGAAATCGAGTCATTCCACCAGGGTAATGATTTCTCCGAGACACTTACCCGAGCCAAGTTCGAGGAGCTCAACATGGATCTGTTCAAGAAGACACTTAAGCCTGTCGAACAGGTATTGAAGGATGCCAAGGTCAAGAAATCCGAGGTTGACGATATTGTTCTTGTTGGTGGTTCTACCAGAATTCCAAAGGTTCAATCTATGATTGAAGAATACTTTGGTGGAAAGAAGGCCTCTAAGGGTATTAATCCTGATGAAGCTGTCGCTTATGGTGCTGCTGTTCAAGGCGGTGTTCTTTCTGGTGAGACAGGTACGGAAGAGCTTGTTCTCATGGATGTCAACCCTCTCACTTTGGGTATTGAGACAACTGGTGGCGTCATGACCAAGCTTATTCCTCGCAACACTGTCGTTCCTACCAAGAAGGCTCAAATCTTCAGTACGGCTGCCGATAACCAGCCTGTCGTCTTGATCCAGGTCTTCGAAGGTGAACGATCAATGACTAAGGACAACAATCTATTGGGCAAATTTGAGCTTACTGGTATTCCACCTTCACCACGAGGTGTACCTCAGATCGAAGTCTCATTCGAGCTTGACGCCAATGGTATCCTCAAGGTTAGCGCTGGTGACAAGGGCACTGGCAAGTCGGAATCTATCACGATCACGAACGACAAGGGCCGACTGTCTCAAGAAGAAATCGAGCGAATGGTACAGGAAGCCGAGGAATTCGCCGAGGAAGACAAGGCTCAGCGTGAGAAGATTGAGGCACGAAACAGTCTCGAGAACTACGCTGTCTCACTGAAGAACCAAGTCAATGACGAGGAAGGTCTCGGTGGCAAGATCGACGAAGACGATAAGGAAACACTTCTCGATGCCGTCAAGGAAACCACTGACTGGCTCGAGGAGAACGCATCTACTGCTGAAAAGGAGGACTTTGAAGAACAACGTGAGAAACTCAGCAACGTCGCCTATCCAATCACATCTAAGCTCTACTCTGGTGGTGCCGGTGGCATGCCAGATTATGGCGATGATGATGAGCCAAGTGGCCACGACGAGTTGTAAATAGACGTTGAAGTTAGGGGGTGGCAGGTGATAGAGTTTGTAACGAGGTATACTGATGACTGATGAGAAGGCGCGACTTCATCCGCCCGATAGAAGAAAGCTCGTTTTGTGTTTGTGAAGCGCATAGCAGACCGACGATCTGATGCATGACTATATAGGCGCAAGATCACTGCGATGGCATAGAAGTCGTTGAATCTTGTCATAGACACTACACATGGTAGAAGCCTATCATGTTCAATACGCCAACATGAAAGAATCATTTCAACCACAAAAAGGTTTCACCACAATAATCACACCAATGGTATAATCAAATCTCACTGTCGTCACTTAGGGTAATATGCAGAAGGAGGACCATCTACGAGTAGCACCCTATACTGTCATCGAAGCAAAGATTCCGGGTAGATTTAGCTAGATGCGCTGGCCGAATAAGTGAATGCCGGGAAACTACAAAATTATTCACCCTGGAAAATTCTGGTCAGATGAACTTCTCGATGCATAGAAATATCGACTCTGGACTATGACGAAGACTTGGGACAATAACTAGGACACTAGCATGAGTTAGAAGACGTTGTGACAAATTCTCATAAGTTACACCAAGTTAGGGTGAGGACATTGAACTCATTGAGCAGGTCACGATAAATTCTGCTTCTGCTTCTCTATACTACAGTTGACCGTCTCTTCCACTTCTCATCGATTTCATGCTTTCCTTGCAGGTTCCAGAAGCGCTTTTCAACAATTGGATGTATTGTGTTCGTATTCAGAGCGGTATCGACATTTCCGAGAAGATCTCGTTTTGGCTTTGATGGTCCTTGCTCCTGCTTAGAGAGCGTAGTCAAGGTCTCGTCTGCATGCTCTGCAATTGGAGGAGAAACATTCGCTGCTGTGCCAAAAGCGTGCGCTATCGGTATTTCGTTGGTGGGGGCTCTGGTCAGTGGAGAGATCGGGCTAGGTTCTAATGGCGAGACCTCTTGAGAGCCCGAACTATGCTGTTTTCTGTGACGAGGTTGAGAAATAGTAATGATCGGCGAAGGTAGGGGACTGACTTCGTCTGGAGACGTTGACAGAAATGGTAGAACGGGTAAGGGCAGCGCAGGCGGTGTATCCGGTACCAGAGATTTTTTCCTGTTCTGTGCTTGTCGACGTTTGAGAGTTTCCGTGGCCAGAAGGTCAGCCATTCGCTCGAGCTTTAACACAACATCTGGCTGTTCCAAGTAGAGATGAGTCAAGTGCTCGATCTTTCCTAGGCTTCGCCAATCGTCAAGCTGGACATCTGCGACACCGTTGTTTGCACTGACTCGAGCAAAGGTCATGTGTTGCTCGTTTGCTTTGCTGTCAATAACATCTTCCATCTCTTCTTCGACTCTGTCCGAATCAGTCGCTATAGCCTCAAGATCTCGCAGAAGGTTTCGTGCCTCGCGAATCGCATTTGGAATCAGTCTGTCTTTCCAGTTGCGCTGGTGAATGGTCGCTATCGAAGATCGTCGTGTCCCCGTGCTAGCTGCATCGCATTGTGGTCTAGGTGAGCCAGTCCCGATATTGAGCCAAACCACAGGACATTCCTTGTAACCAGTAACTTTGGTCAAAAAGTGAAAGTGGGCTTTGCGAGTCGGGTTATTCGTATTGCCGAACGCTCCATCCACGAACATCCTTCTGTTTATAACGATTGGAGCAAAAAACGTAGGAGCTGCCGTTGTAGCCCGACATGTCATCCATAGCTCGTAGGGCATATACTTCCCAGACTCTTTCGGCGTTGATCGGCAGTAGTGACTGCATATAAAAGCCGGTTGATGCATACGCCTGCCAGAAGGATGCAACTCACGGCAGACGATAGTACAAGACGTCGTGGTTCCTCCTATGTTGCCTTCCTCCATGAACCTAATTGTCCCAGAATCTCGTTGACCGTATTTATCGAAGACACTTTGTACACAATTTCGAAAGATCTCGTGAGCATATCGGGGTACACCCAAGCCTCCGATACAGCCGCCGAACTGTCTCTTACCGAAAATGCGTGGTATCAGTTCCTTGTATTCTTTGATGCAGGCTGAGACTGGCATGTTGAGTTTTACCAGCATTACGGCGATCAACCCTCCGGTACTCGTGCCGACAATATGATCAAACAGCTCGGATGGCAGAACCTCAGCATGATCGTCGCTTGGTCCCAGCCGCAGCTGAACTAGCCGAACTAGGTGCTGCAGGATGACTAACGAGGAAAGACCTCGTACACCACCACCATCAAGTGATAACACTCGTATTGCTCTTTCACCAGAAGCCATCTTCGTGATTCCATATGACTTTCGTGGTTCAGCGAGAAGAAGTATAGATTCATCCCGATCTCTTCTCGCCAGGAAAGTGTTCTCCGGAAAGGTAAGAAGCATTCTTTGTTCAGCAGTACGAAGTGGTTGGTCCAAGCGTCACATAATCTCGAACATTGCCGAAAACGAACAAAAGAGTTAGCAAACCACTTCATCTGGTGTCGACGCCTGATGAACCATATTCTTCTCTGATCGATCATCAGTATGGCACAAGTAGACGATAACTTGCGAGGGGTCGACCTTAAAGTCCTCACCTTGCGTGGCAATGGCCTGCAAGGATTGGGCATAATCAGCATTGTCGACGAGTTGTGCAGTCGCATCGCTCGCAAGAACAACCTGGCCAGAGTGCCTGCGCCATGCGAGCTATTCGATATAATAAGTGGCACAGGAATCGGAGCGTTGATTGCGGTACTGCTCGGACGTTATTGCCTCGACATCTCAAGATGCAAACAACACTATATGGACTTTGCGGAGTTCATCGAGGAGAGAAATCTATCTCGGCGGGCGCATCCAAAGACGCTACACGAAGAGGATGTCCAAGCTTTCATGGAAACTCTTATCAAGAGCGAAGACTGGTCTGGGACATTGAACATTCCTTCATCGAACCAAGTGCCGCGCTGTCAACATGTCTTGGTAATACAGAGACGGAGGAAATATGGTCGCGGCCATGAGGCCGAAACCTTTCATGGCTGTGTATTCAATGACTTGGATCCAGCAAACCAGCCGGCTTCTCTGCAGCCCTCACAATCGACCCAAGTGGCACCGATCGTTGCCGCCTCAATGACGCACCCTCTTGATAGCTGGACGTCAGTGGCGGACGATGATGTTCAAGGATTCCAACCACGAATCGCTTTTGTTTCTGCCGTTGTGCTATCAACAGTCGAGGAGATTGTGTCAACATACGGCTCAGCAACCAATATTTCTTTCATCGCCAATTTCGGTCCAGCCCGATTGGGGCAAGAAACTCCTGATGTATCGAAAGGACTGAAATCTCCAGTCATGTGGGTTGCAGAGAAGACTTCCCCAATCAAATCAGCCGTAATGTGGCCGCTGAAGGCGACGTGGAGGACACTAGCACCGCATGAATCGACTACCTTGCACAACCACGATCTTGGAAAAGAACATAGCTCTCACGAACACCACCGGAAATCATTGTCGCTGCAATGGCCCATCCAGTCGATGATAAACGACAAGAATTCTTCTAGGCCTGCATCGAAAGAAGACAGGGCGCAACGAGCCAGACTCCTTGTCGAGAACTTGATGGCCTCGGAATCTGATAGAAAGATGTTCGACTTTTATACCACGTCGAGTGCGTCGAAGAACGAGGCTAATGACATGACCGACTTGAAGGGAACTCGAAATGATATCAGAGATATTGTCGAATTTCTGGATGGCAGCGGTCTTTTCGTGGATGCTGTAAGACAGTTCCAGGCCCTGTAACGCAAAGTATGGCGGCACGTGATCAGTCCTGTGGTCTGCCTGTTCTGAGTGATAGAGCTGATCGTAACAATCAAATCGTCTTGGACTTTATCCTATCTGACTCAACGGACTTGCTGCGCCGTTATTCTCGAGGTTGATCTTGTTCTCCAGCACTTTAACATATGTGTTGTGGCTGTTCGGGCTGGCTGATAGACAACTAAATAGATACCTCAGCTCATCACTCATCGACCAATCCAGTTTTGCGATAGTTAAAGCATCCAGCAAAGTGTAAGCGACTTCAAAGACCTTTTCGAATATACCAAGTCCGTGCACTTGAATAGCATCGTATTGCAAACCGCGCATGACTCGGCACAGGTCTTTTGCAATCACAATGGGGTAGTTGTAGAAGAATACTTCATCGATGGAAGAGCTGTTGATGAGTCCCTGCCGCATCGAAGCTTGCCAGAAGATAAGACGCAGCCATTGGTGTGTTATCAGAACGTCCGCTTTCTGGACATCGGTCATTTTTGTTTTCATAAAATCGAGCTGGTTCAGCTCGTGTTGTATAGCCGCGATGTTTTGGAACGGTGTACTCTCGGAATCATCTTGGTACCAGACCTCTACGAACTTGTCGTCAAGAACAGAGAACAGATTGCAAAGTTGTGTAAATCCTGCCAAGACAAGCTCATCGTGATTGTCAAAGTACTGTCGCGGAACAGTCGGTAGGCGCATCATAGATATAGGCTTGTTCCTCAAAATTGCACATCCTCTTTCGGTAATAAACAAAAGAGCAAGCATTCTCTTCCTGCATATTGACTCAACCGGATCGGTTGTGCTTCCTTCCAATTCGGGATTCATTTCCCTGGCAAGACCGATCGCTTCTCGCAGAAAAAAGTGGTGTGACCGTACTTGCTTGAGTTCGAAATAGGTTATACATATAAAGAAGGAAGAAATGACGGTCGTCAGATTGGCAGTCTCGATCCACTCGTATGTGTGTCGGAGATGCAGACATTGCTTCAACAATTCTCGTCCCAGATCCTGCTTATGCTGAAGACTCAAATCTGATGGAGGAGCTGCGTGTACCACTGTGACTGAGCAAAGAGACAATATTAAGATTTTGTCCTGTATAGAAAGTTCTTCTGGCTGGTTCAGCAGCTTCGTAATCGTCGGTTCGTGTAAAATGGGCTGGATCGGATATATTACACGAAACCATTGTTTTATACACTGAGACATCAGATAACCCGAGAATCCAATCTCAGATGCCAGAGCCATAAGCCGCGGTTCGGCCTGCAATGCACCAGAATTTGAGCGATAGAGGTATTTTGGCCCGTGCTGAGGATGGGGTGAGCTAGTATCCGATACAGATTCCGAAACGTTGGCTGATGCTACAGACCCTGTTAATATAGCGTCAAGAGAATGAGGAGTTCCCAAAGGAGCTCCTGCGATACCATTTGGACTGTACATAGGTGGATTGGCTGGAGTGGGCTCCTGAAAGATTTGATGCGCGAGATCGTTCACGGAGACGTAGCCACTGGCGGAGGTTGGTGGTGGATATTGTAACAATGGTTGATCCTCATTCATCTGCCAAGCTGATGGAAATTGTAGGGCGCCATGTGTGAAACCACCATTTCCCAGCGGACTAATTTCGTCGCCGAAGCCGAGAGGCACAGATCGTGGCATGCTGATAGCGTCTGGCGTACCTCCATATTCTGAGAAATGAGAGGCAACAGGCGAGACCACTGGCGAGGAATCAAGGCTCTCAGCTGTATATGTTCTTTGTAAGCTGAGCAGATTGAAAGGTGGCAGACCTGTTTCTTGCGCTCGTGGGTGCTCACCCTCTCCGCGTAGCCTAGCTATAACGCTACCTGAGCCTTTCTTGGGACCTGCTTGCCAGTCAACGTGTATTCTTGTCCCATCGATGTGAGCTGACCTCGTTTCTTCCTAACTATCTCACGCGTGCAACTTAGTGAGGACTGTATACATCGATCGCACGAATCCTCGTTGTTCTGCTGACACTTGACTTTCTGCGCAAGGTCAGTAAACTGTGTTACGATGTTTTAGAGGGGATATCTGACCCTACGGCGACACTGATCGCAAGGTGGCAGTTTGTGCAGAGCATTGTTGCTGGACTGCCCGTTGGGTGGACTGGAAGGATTCACGTCCCGTGAAGGACCTGAGGCGGACACCGGTCTTATGTCGCCGTCCATGGTGTTCTTTAGTATTTCTCAGCGCATCTTGAGCATGTCTGTAAGCATGGAGCGCTAGTCGCGTGCCGAAACTATCGTTGCAATTCCTTGCTCAATGACGAATATTACTGCTCGGGCTCTCAAGGAACCAATGAGGACTTCCAACAGGGACGTGTCGTTGGACTCGCCAGATCGGTATATACACGTTAACGTGAGGCTGCAGCGTGTAGCAACTGCAGCAGGACGAATGTTTCGTCGGGCAGCTAGTTCCGTGCATGGTGCAACGTGGCTATAGCTGGAGATATCTGAGCTGGATGTGGGTTAGCCAACGAATTTGCAGGCGATCGTGGGGAAAAGTGTCAAGGTTGAGTTGCTTCAGGCGAACTCTGAACACGAGACATGCAGCGTTTGGGACGTGCTGTCCAATCCCGTGAAGCATGCCCCCTAAGCTCTTTTTTGTATCCACCTGCCCACTAACAATCTACACCTCATGCCTATAACTGCAGTACCTGTGGTGCATGCACCTACGAGCCACGGTCGAGCAAAGTAGAGCTCCTTTGAGTCTTATCATACAATTCGACTGATGATTAAAGGTTGTCTCACGATATAGAAGGAGCAGATTAAAACTGTAGAGAAAACTAACAACACTTCTAAAGATGACTCTTCTCTTACATATCCGTACTCTGTTCGAGGACGAAACAGGAGAAACGGACTGGTGAAGGCATTGAACGAAAATTATTTGGAAAAGCACGCTTGTTTCATCAGAAGAGCATGTGAAAGAGACGTTTCCCAAGCGTTAAGGAATACGGATGAAACGAAGCCGAGTATGTGCTGTCTTGTCGTCATATTCCACCTGAGCTCCAGCAACATTCAATCTACACGTCCTACAGCCCCTCCATAGACGTTCTTGATTGATCGATGGTTCCTGTATGACATGATCCAAGCCAGGATGGCGTACGATTCCTGAAAGACAGCTGTTCTGACAACAGACCTCTGTCATAAGCCCCCAAAGACTTGCATATCCAAATAAGGTATATAGTTGATGCAATCTTCTGGCTACGTAGCGTGTCTGGATATGTTTCGAGCTTCCACTACCATCTTAACGACATTTCGCCTATCTCGAACTTATAGTACACCATTCAATTTGGGATCGAGCCTCAGATTATTCACAGCAGCACCAATCCACAGAATGCCTGAATCTGTCAGCAAGGAGGAGATTACCTCCAAGAACGATCCATCCGTCACCAAGCAATACGATAGAGAAACTCCAAAGGACCAACAGTGGGAGGAATTCTACAAGTTCGTTGATGGTGAAAAAGTCACCATGCTCAACACATACCGTAAAGGAACTGGTCCTGTCGGTCGCTCAATGGCTATTGCCAAGCGCGCAGGTCCTGATATCCTCTATCTTGCCAACAACAACAGCAAGAAGTTCGATGATCTCTCCGAGAACAAGGAAGTTCAGATTATCATCCAGGACACAAAGACTCAGGACTGGGCCAGCATCACTGGTGAGGCTGTAACAACTGCAAACGACGATCCACGAATTAAGGACTTGTATACCTCGACCATCTCTGCTTGGTTTGGTGACTTGGGCGATGGCGTGCACGACGGCACATACAAAGACCCTCGTATGTCGATTATCGAGGTCAAGTCCAAGTACATCGTACATTGGAAGAAGGATGTCAGTACTCTGGGCTTCATCAAAGAGGTTGGACAAGCCGCCATCACTGGTCAGGTTGCTCAAACTGGCTCACATCGCGATTTTACCGAGCAAGACATTTCACAGCAGAGAGCGTAAAGATCTTGCAGCTCGAAGACAATGCAGGAAGAGAGGACGACCAAATTGACTTCTGGTGACCATTTAGAAAAGTCTATAATAACAGCCATTTTGAAGCTCTCCAACAAATGTGCCAGGAACATGACGTCCATGGTATGACAGTTTGGTCTTCGTTGTCTAAGCACTCGTAGTACTCCCATGGTGCGCCCAGAAGCCTTTGCCATAACTGACCAAGACCTCTTGGCCAGCTCGAATGCCATGCTTGCGCTTGCCGCTTTTTCCAGCCGGGAGAACAAAGATAGCAACGCCCTGCATGCCGATCCTGTTTCTTCGTTGTTGACGCCGGAGATGTTTGGCTTCTTTCGACTTATTTTGAATATTTCTGGAATTCTTAATCTCTTTCTTTGAGCTACTCTGCTCATGCTTGCTGGCACAGCTCAAGACAACATCGCGTATGCCCTGCTCCATTCCAGCTGCCTCAACTGAGGTAGACCTAGGCTGTGTTTTGTGATCTTCTGCATCATCGTTAGCATCCCATTCGAGCCAGACACTGCGAAATTCGGCGTTGGGCATCGCTATGTGATTGGGCATGGAGTAATAATTTTTGTCCTCAATTGCAGTGGCATCTTCAGGTTGGTTCCAGCTCCTAGCTGAACGCTTCGACTGTCGGTCCCAGTGCTTCGTCTCCTCACCTGTGATTTGAGCAGACACGCCACGATAGTCATTGCAGAAACGGGCTTCGTTACCCATCTGTGAAGCATCCACGGCGAGCTCGATATCATCGTCACGGTAGAGATTGAGATCGTACTCCGATGCGTCCCAAAAGCCGATCGGAAGTTGTGTAGGATTGTGTTGCGGTAGATCTAAGCCATCGTGACCATCACTATTTTTGGTAGTGGTCTGTGACTCTTCAAACTTCGGAAGTAGTAAATTGTGCTCCAACTGCTTAGCTTCGTATTGTGCTTGTTCAGAGCCAGTGTTGCTGTGCACATAGCCAATGTATGGCACGATCAGTTCCCCAGGTGCTAAATCACGCTCTGCAAATAAACCAAGTTGACCATGAGCAGGGTGCTGTTCATCCTGGATTTCCTTCACTTCGATCCTAGCATCGATGTCTTCCCTTGTAAGAGGTAACCTGATAGTGAGAAGTTCGGAAGCTATGCTCGAGCCAGCTTCGCTGGGCTTTTCAAGGGACGGTCGGGGTTTCCGACGAAGCCATTTTTGTTGGCAGTCGTTCAAGTGAGGCGATGCTACGGGTAGCTGAAGATAGACTACCTCGGACGGCCACAATGAAGGTGGCAATTCCGTCAGAGCATGCGCAGATACCGCTGACAACGTAGACTGCTTGCTGCTGGGATTTGAGTATTCCATGGGCCTTTTCTGTGCTGCTGTCCCAGAAATTTGTGGCTTGGTCATTGCACGTTCAGAGGATACCGCTCGAGTTTAGCGAGTAGCACTTCTAGAACGGCAAGGTGGCTTAGGTTTTCGAGAGCTGCTGATGCCTAGCTTGCCGTTGCTGCCTAAAGCACGACGCGACTATTACGCGTCGCGAGAAAGCGTGCGGCGAAAGTATTTGCGGGGAGTTGCATCGGCATTCAAGTGCTTACTTACCACTTTGTCCACCTATCTATACACAGTTCGCTCAACCTGTAAAAGATTCAGTACACAGTTCGCTAGATATGGATGCTTCAGAAGTGCAGGCTGCTATCGACAAGGGTAGTCTTCAAGCCATCTTTCAAGACAGCCCCGGCCGAGTTCAACAACCAGTCGTGCAATGTGTGCAGATCAAGCCGATGTCACAATCGAATGGAGAGGCAACAGAGCGATACAGAGTGGTGTTCAGCGATACACAGAATTACGTTCAAACTATGCTTGCGACGTCCATCAACGATGAAATCCATCAAGATCGGTTAAAGAAGGGTGCAGTTGTGCAACTTGTCTCATATCAAGCCAACCTTGTAAAGGGCAAAAGGTACGCAGGCACAATGTCCTGGTGAAAGTATTGCTAAAAGGCTACAGAATTTTGATTGTCACTGGCATTCACGTGCTTCAGCAATATGGTGTCCATCCTACCTTAGGCAGTCCAGTCGTGATGGAAATCAAAGACGAAGGAGCAACTAACACGATCTCAAGCAACGGCTTCTATGGCAATCAGCCTCAACAGCAACAGGCACAACAACAGCAAACTCGAGCAATGCCTTCCCATAGCAAACCTCCATCCTCCTCCGCCCACGCCAATATTTATCCCATCGAAGCACTTTCGCCATATTCGCACAAATGGACTATTAAGGCTCGGTGTACAAGCAAATCAGATATCAAGACATGGCACAATCGGAATGGCGAGGGCAAGCTGTTCAGTGTCAATCTACTTGATGAAAGTGGTGAGATACGAGCAACAGGTTTCAATGATCAATGCGATCAATTGTATGAGCTCTTTCAAGAGGGTAGTGCCTACTATATTTCGAGTCCTTGCCGGGTGCAAATGGCCAAGAAGCAGTTCTCTAACGTAAACAACGACTACGAGCTCACCTTCGAGCGAGACACTATTGTCGAGAAAGCAGAGCAGCAAGATGACGTTCCGCAGATCAGATTTAACTTCACCACAATTTCAGACCTGGAGTCCATTGACAAGGACACAACAATCGATGTGATCGGCATTTTGAAGGACGTAGGTGAAGTCAATCAGATCACGAGCAAGACGACAAGCAAACCCTACGATAAGCGAGAGCTCACCCTCGTTGATGACTCTGGCTATTCAGTTCGTCTCACAGTCTGGGGCAAAGTTGCATCCTCCTTCGAAGTTGCTCCAGAGACTGTCGTTGCATTCAAGGGTGTCAAAGTGTCCGATTTTGGTGGTCGATCGTTATCGTTACTCTCCTCTGGCTCTATGGCGACCAACCCAGACCTGCCTGAATCCCATAGGCTGCGAGGTTGGTATGATCATGCAGGACAAGGCCAGAATTTCTCAACACATGCCAATGTGCAAGGTACTGTTATGGCAGGTGAACGGAGGAATGAACAAGTAAAGAGTATAAGTGCGGTGAAGGAAGAGCAGCTCGGTATGACTGAGCAGCAAGACTTCTTCAATCTCAAAGCTTCGATTCAGTATATCAAGCAAGACAACTTCTGCTATCCGGCATGCCGCGAAGAGAAATGCAACAAGAAGCTTGTTGAATTAGGTGATGGTTGGCGTTGTGAGCGTTGCGACAAAACCTTTGATGCACCTGAGTATAGATACATCATGTCTGTGAATGTATCGGATCATTCCGGTCAACTCTGGTTGAGTTGCTTTGACGAAGTAGGACGAAACCTCATGGGCATGACCGCGAACGAATTAATGGCAATCAAGGAGGAGGGCGACGACAAAAGAGTCAGCGACATCTTTAGTGATGCTAATTGCACAACTTGGAACTGGAGATGTGTAGCGAAGATGGAGACCTTTCAGGACAACACAAGGTAAGCACTACAACTCTTGTAGCTCCACTCTCGCTAACAATCGATGCAGAGTACGATATCAGGTCCGATCATCATCTGGCATAGACTTTGTAAGTGAGGGCCAGACAATGATCGCTTTGATCAAGCAATACGACAATATTGCTATGTAGGAAAACAGCATGAGGTATGAGCACAATGCTGTCGTGTATACGAGGGACGTTCGTCGGTGTGAGAAATGTTTTCCTGTACAGTATGATATGTAGGTTTGAGGATGTCTCCAATATGACCTCACTTCTTCACGAAGCCACAATGGTCCAGCAAGTACTGGCATGCTCCGAAACACAGCTTTTCCATTAGCAGAATCTTTGGAGATTGCTATATTGTGTTTAGGTTGCATCTCTCTCGCAGTGAAGAGAGTATCGGATCGTACTGCTTACAAATCGGCACTGAACGAAGATCAAATGCAAAGCACTCTTACGTTTCTTGCACACCAGTAAATTTCAACATCTGTCATAATAATTGCTAGCAGAAACCCGGATACCACAGCAACATCGCCATCATTGCGACTGGAAAAATCATAGCAAGACGTCCTTGTGTTCATACACCGACACACCAAAAAAGCAAATCAGCATGTCCTCTTCAATCCCCACAACAATGAAAGCAGTCGACATCCGCAACGGCAAAGGCGACGCCTCCGCCCTCTTCATCAACGACCAAACTTCCGTCCCACAACCCACCGGCTCCCAAGCCCTCGTCAAGATCAAAGCTTTCGGCCTCAACAGAATGGACCTCCTCCAGCGCGAAGGCAACTACCCCGTCCCAGCCGGTGCACCAAAAACCCTAGGCGTAGAGTTCAGCGGCACAATCGCACAGCTCCCAGACAGCTCCGAGGTCGAGCACGGCTGGAAAGTCGGCAACGAGGTCTTCGGCCTCGCGTACGGAGGCGCATATGCGGAGTACATCGCCGTGAGCACGCACATGCTCATCCACAAGCCGAGTGAATTGTCGTGGGAGATATGCGCCGGTATTCCGGAGACGTGGATCACAGCCACGCAGGCACTGTTTCTGATCGGCGAGTTCAAGAAGGGTCAGTCTGTGCTCTGGCACGCTGGAGCGAGTAGTGTGAGTATTGCGGGGATTCAGCTGGCGAAAGGCGAGGGTGCGAGTGCGATCTATGTTACTGCCAGTTCACAGGAGAAGATTGATTTTTGCAAGAATCTCGGTGCGACACAGGGCTTCAACTACAAGGAGAGCAATTGGAGCGAAGAGCTGTTGAAGGCGACGGATGGGAAGGGTGTGGATGTGATTGTGGATTTTGTTGGTGCGAGCTACTTTAACCAGAATTTGGATGCTGTTGCTCGAGATGGACGGATTGTGAATCTGGGGTTCTTGGGCGGTAATACACTCAAAGGCGATGTCGATATTGGACGATTCCTGAGAAAGAGATGTCGATTTGAAGGCAGCTCGCTGAGATCGAGAGATGAGACGTACCAAGGAAAATTACGAGATCAGCTTGTTGAGCATGCTTTGCCTAGGTTCAAGGATGGTAGGTTCCACGTTCCTGTTGAGAAGGTGTTCAAGATGAGTGAGGTGAAGCAAGCGCACGAGTTGATGGAAAGTAATCAGACGAAGGGAAAGCTGATATGCGTGGTCGACTAAAAGCCTAGGACAAAGATTCGCGCAGCATGTGCCGCGGGAAGTCACCGAAGTATAGAACTACGTTGTCAGGTCGTGTAAGTTCTCCTGATCTAACATTCGCTGGGTATCATCATGCTCTTGACTCATACACACTCATCCTTACTCATGTGTCTCATGTTCGACGCCTGAAGAACGGCGGCTTCACTCGGGCTCCTGTTTATTTGACCTCTAAATTTTGCAAAGCATCTTGCACGTTCTCACCGACCTTGACCTTCTCAGCATTAGGGCCTTCTATCGTTCCATCCGGATTGGTTTTGATACCACCAGGATATCGTGAGCCTTTGTCTTTAGGCTTTTTATCCTTCTTCTTCTTGTCAGGTTGTTCTGATGGATATCCGCTTTCCAGTGCTTCTTGCCAATCTTTATCCTTCTGAAATTCCTCTTGAATGGGAGCTAATACAGTGTTCAGAGTATCCGATACACCAGCCTTTAGCATTTGAGGCGTCAAAGTGTCGGCTTCGTAAGCTTTGCGGATGTCGTCGATGTTTGAGTAAACTAATGGTTCTCCTTCTCTTGGCGTGAATTTCATGCTACCTTTGCCTTCAGGACTTTGTAATGTGCTGATGGGCAAGAGAACGTACTCGATGAAGGCAATGAGACCATTACCCTCGGTCACTTTAGCCTCAGCAAATGCTTTTTTGATCTTGTTTGTGACTGATGTCGCATCGTCTAGGACATCGATCTTAGAGTTTGGATCTGAAGCTGACATTTTCCCGCCTGCTTGCAGTCCTGGAACCATAGGATTCATCAAGTGTATGCGCTCTTTGTATCCAATCTTGGGCAGAATCTCTTGTGCTAAAGTGAAGATCTTCCTCTGATCAACACCACCAAATTGTGCGTCGACCTTTAGGTACTCTTCGTCTAATGCCTGCATTAATGGATAAATAGAGCCGGCGAGCGTAGGGTTCGATATCTGCTTCACAACCTCAGACCCAGCCTTTTTGGCATCGTGTTCAGTCACTATAGTCATGAGTCTGTAGTTGTCCATTGAATACTCAGCGCTAAGCTGATATTCCGAGCCATTGACGAATTCCAGCTTTTCCAAGCTGACTCCGACAACTTTCAGTAATGATTGTACGACTCGCTTGTAGTGTATCGCTCGCTGTTTGACTTGTTCTATTGGTGCTTTGGTATTGTCGAGGAAGCCGTGCAAATCAGCCATCAGGATCTTGACTTTACAACCAGCTCGCAGAAACTCAGCAATCTTGATCATAGGTACAAAATAAGCGCAATGTGGTCTTCCAGTAATGGCAGTACCCCAGTAGAGGGTGAGAGGCCGCTGCTGCTTTAGCACGATGTCCTCGAGCATTTCTGGGTGTAAGACTTCGTCCAGTTTCGACTTAATGAGCGCGAGCTTTTGCTCTGGCGTCAACTCTGTAGAGGACGCCATGACTACGGCTTTGAGGCTTTAGGCGAGAAGGAGTGGTGGTGCACGCTCATGAACCACCAGAGAGCCAGTGCTGTGTTGATCCAAAAATGAGCCACCAGTTCGTGCCCGCACCCAAGGGTCTGTTGAAGTATCCACACGATCCGAACAGCATTTCTTGGCAGGGACGCAACGCCAAGAAGCACCTGGATCATGTTACTTACTACGTAGTATGGCTGTGCAACTACTACGTATTGCAGCGGTTCCTGGGGACGCAAGGACCGTCTTCGAGGCTTCACCGAAACAAGGTTCTGAAAGACTTTGCACCCGGCACAATCGGACGACAAATAGGGACTAGCAAAACGACGTTCGAATACTCAAGTGGCGCGAAGAGAATGGACAAATTTAAGCATGCCACCAGGCATTACCGGCATCGTCTGAAATCCACTACGTACTCAAGCTGTACCTGACCCTTTGAGAAGCCCTAACCTCAGCAAAGGATGGCCAGGATGTTGCGCATTTGCTTAAGCTGGAGGCATGCCATCCAACTGGTTGGCGTGTGACAATGCTGTAACGTGGCTGAGACGTTGCGGCGCATACAACTCAGCACCATGCTTGACGTTGTTGAGAACGTTCACATCATCAATTACACCCGCTTTGATAACTCTCATGCCATCGTAGCCACCGAAGGTGTCGCCCCATCGGTACAGTGTCGTTCCTAGTTCATATTAGCGTTCTTATTTCTTATCGTTCAATCATTATGCTGACCACTGCGAGATGTTAGCTCAGAAATCCATATCAGTTAAACTCGTAGACGATTCTTTGTGGAAACCCATACGTGTTTGAGGAAGTACCTACCAGTCACCGCAGAAGCAGCTCGTGATCTTATTGCCCCCATCAGCCGTCTTGGAGATCTCTTTAGGGGTTCCGGAAACGAGTTTAAATTGCTGGCTAGGGACCACAATGTTATTGCTGTAGTCACCACCACTGATCTTACGGCAGTCTGCGCAATGGCAAAGAGCCTGTCACCGCGTCAGCTTCTGTTCGAACAACCTCGACCACAATTGTGTACCGTCATGGCGGGCTCGCCGCTGTACTCGATTTTGATGTTTCCGCAGAAACAGCTTCCGGTAGGCATTTTGACGTTGGTGATCTGTAAGAATCTTTCGAATTTGTGTCCTTCAAGAGTAGAAACTGGTAGCCCTCCACTTGTCGTCGGAACACTGGGAAGAATCGCGGAACTACTTGGTTTTATACCTTTTTCCCCCTCTTCCTGCGACCGGCGTCAGTCTGACAGCTCATATTATCTCCAATTTCGTGGTGGAGACTTTAGTTGTGCTTCTCAGACCGGAGACGTGGATCACAGCCACGCAGGCACTGTTTCTGATCGGCGAGTTCAAGAAGGGTCAGTCTGTGCTCTGGCA